AAGTATAAATAAGTTTTTATAATATTATTATAATATTTGGTCTATCTATTAGTCTTAAGATAGAATATGATTAATAGATATTATATAATCTTATAAAGTTAGTAAATCTTTATTTATAAAGTTTTAATAAATTATATTCTTTTATTAGAGATAATAGATATAGGGAATCTATATTATTATATTAATATCTAGATTATTATCTATGTTATATTGTTAATAAAGATTAAGTCTATTTTTTTAAAGATTATCTTTTTAATTAATTAATTAATTAATAATTAGTAAGATATTTATATAATTATGATTAGATAGTAAATCTATTATAAAATCTAGTATAATATCTCTCTAAGATTATTTTAAAATAGAAAGAGGTTTTAATAGTTTTTGTTTTAATTTATATTAGGGTTTAGTCTTTTTAGAAGGATTGTAATTTTATATAAAACATTATATATCTTCTATTATATTTAGCTAAAAGTATTCTTATTTGATAATAATATATATCTTTTTATGGCTAGAGTGACCTGTGATAATGGAATTATAGTCTAACTAGATTTATTTTATATAAAGGGGTTCTGAATTAGAGATCTAAATCTTTTTATAAAGTTGTAATCTATTTTGTTAGTCTATTGAATATTCTGAAATTAAGATTTTAAGATATAATTTTGGGAAGAATTTATGAGTGCTGTTTTTATGATAAATATTTACAAAAATATTTATTAAATTTCTCAATTCCAAAATTGGAGCATAATATTTTTTCAAACAAAACTAAATTAATTTATTACTACCCTACAATAATTATTATAGCTATTATGACATTATATATATATACATACCTTTTTATATATACTATTAAATAATACTATTAGATGAATTTTATCTACCTTCTAAATAGGAGATAAAAATTATTTTTATTAAATTTTATAACTCCAAAATTAGAGCATAATATTTTTACAAACTAAAATTAATTTATTAAACTTTATACATAATTATATTACCTAATATGATATTTTATGTATATACTATTCTATATACTCTATAATATTAAAGTATAAGAATAGTTTATTTTATTTTCTAAATAGGAAATAAATCAATATTAATAATTTTTCAAAAAATTCTAGAAACTAAAATCAAAAATAGTTTTTCCTAAATATGAAAATTAATTTTTTAATTCTTAAAATAATAATTACCTAAAAAGATAATTAATTATCAATAATTTCTAGCTTATTCTAAAAGTTTAAAATAAGTTATAGAATATTTAATTTGAAATCAAAATTCTAAAATGAGTTATAATTTAATAAAACATTTTATAGCTTATTAAATTATACTTTTTATACAAGATCATTCAAATATAAATATGACCTTAATCCCTAGGGTAGATTATTAATCTCATAATATTATCATCTTATTCATCATCTTATTCATCATCTTATTTATTATCTTATTTATCATCTATTATTTATATGTCATAACCTTTATAGTTTTATATAGTATATAAGGTTTATTAGTAAATGATATTTTGGATATAAGTTTCTTTCTATTTATTATTTTTTACAGAAGTTGTTTTATTAGATAATATATTTATTATAAAAGCTGTTATAAAATGGATATTTATAATAGCTTTATTTCTTTTTTAGATAAGAAAGTACTTTATATGATCTTTGATTCTAGGATTTTTATTAATTAGATTATTATATTTACTAGTTTAAATAGTATTATTAATTATTTATAGAGATTATATTTTATATAATATATTATATAGTAAGTTTTATAGAGATATAGCTTTTTTGTTATTATTATTTTATATAAGATTAATCTTATAATTAATCTTTTTTTCATAAAGTAGAAATAATTTGATTATTTATTTAAAGTTAAAAAGTGATAAAAAGTTATGATATTATATAGATAATTTCTTAATAGGGTTAATAGATATTTTCTTTTTTAGTATTTTCTTGATATTATTTATAAAAATAGTTAAAACTTCTTTTTATATAAATTAGCTTTTTAATAAGAGTGATAAATCTTGTGGTATATATATACTATAAAGATTTTAATAATATTAAAAAATGATAATTATCTAATATTCTATAATCTTGTTTAAAAAGAATAGAGAAATAATTGATCTTTGGATAATTTGAAATAAATGTTTTATTAATTTAATTAGGGTAATCTTAAAATAAGATTATAACTAGTATGATCTAGGATTATTTAAAAATAAGTAATCTTTTTATAATAATAATTAATTAATAATATTGTTTATATAATATATATAATTTATCCTTAGCTTTTTATCTTTTGAAATATTTAGGGTAAGGTTTTGATTATTTTTAGTTATTTCTTTTTTATAAAAGATTTATTAATAGTATTATATACTAGATAATTATTATTAATTAATATATAAGTGATAGTTTATTAATTAAATATAATTATAATTATAAATAGTAGAAAATTTATATATATAGTTTTAAAGTTCTTTTATTTAATTTGTATAAATTTTAAACTACTTAATAATCTTTATATATAGTTTTATATAAAAGTTATTTTTTCTTTAAGTTAGAGGTATTTATATTAATTAAGTTATTAATAATCTATATGATATTAATATTAGTAGTTAGATAGACTATTAATTATATCTTATATTTATAGATAATATAGTTTATTTAGTTATAATAAAGGTAATTGTTATTTTTATAATATTAGTTAATCTTATTTTAAGGAATCTAGATTGCTTATTTTTCTATTTTTAAATTTATATAAGAAGGTTTCTTATTAAGGATAATGATATATATTTTATAAATTTATAAATATATTTTTAAAATAATGATCTAGATAGGTTTTTAATCTATTTTATTACTATTATTAGTTTATAAAATATAAGACTAATAATTATTAAATACTTAGTATAGATAAAAAGCTTTTATATATATTATATTATTTAATAGCTGATTTTAATATTTATTATATAATTTAAATCTAGTTTTATAAATTAAGGCTAGTATATTTTTTGAGATCTTTATAGGTAAAAATAAAATCTTTTATTCTTTAGGCTAATTAATATCTCTAATAGTAATTATTAATTATTTAAATTTATAAAGGAAGTTAAAGAATATCTTTTTTTCTAGTTTGTATATATATAATTATATAAGTGTATATAATTTAATATTAGGATCTTCAAAATAAAGGTCTATAGTGACATGAAAATTTACAAAAATCTATTATTCTTTATTTTCGTCTTTAACAGTGAGCTATATATAGATATATTAGCTAATAAGTTTTTTAAATTTACTAAAGATATATTAGATTTACTTTTAAAAGATTGAATAATAATATTTATTTATTATTAACTTAGTTCTTAAGTTTATATAAAAGATAAGATATTATTCTAGATTATTATTATTAAATTTAATAATATTTAGATATATTAGTTATAAAAGAAATATATAAGATAGTATAATTAATTATAAAAGACTTATTATTATTTATAAACTAGTAATTATATTATTTTTTATTAAGATATTTTAAAAAATAGATATAGAGTTATTATTAGTATTATATATTTATAAGAAATCTATCTTTAATAATTTATATAAAGGTTTCCTTTTATTAATTTAATATTATAGATATCTTATTCTTCTAGATCTTATTAATATTCGTTTATCTTATTAGTTTAAAGATTTCATATTTATTTGATCACAGTTTATCATAATCTACTAAAATATCTTTTTTATATTATTTTTAAGGATTAAATCCTAATATTAAGGATCTAGTCTAGTTGTACGATAATAGATATGGTTTTTAGAAATCAAGAAGGATTCGATAAAAAGGAGAACCTCAGAGTAAACTAAGCTATAGGTAAATATGCGGGAATCATTGGTAAGCGAGGATGACTAAACGTAGCGTAGTAAGTAACTCCAGAGGGATCTTCTGTATAAGAAGATCCCATAATAAGATCTTATTAATATTTATTTATTTTATTGATTAAAAGATTTTATTTTTATTTAGTTATAGCTTATTACAATCTAATAAGATATCTCTTTTATATTATTCAAAGATTAAATCCTAATATGAGAGATCTAATCTAATTATATAATAATAAATAGAGTTCTTAACGATCAAAAAGGATTCAATAAAAAGAGAACCTTAGAGCAAACTAAACTAAAAGTAAATATAACTCTGACCCTTGGTCCTTGGAACAACCCCCCCCGACATCCACCAAATCAGCATATATTACGCATCTTATTGGTAAGATACTACTTATACCTAATAGATAGCTACACTCCTCTTCCTAACTTAGCAAAGCCCTAGACGTCTAGACTACACCTCCACCTGATATATCAATTGTCATGCGGTTGCTCCTTCAGTCTAAACCAGTCAATACCGATACATCCAGGATGTTTCCACTTTGCAATTCTTACAACCCTTGGTAGGCAATCAATCCAGGGAACGAAATCAGGTAGAGGGGTTTTCCCTCTTCGTACGAGCATCCCAGAACGGTCCTGTCTCCTGTCTCACCTGGGCCGTTATAAACGGTAGTGCTTAACTGTAATTTCTTGCAGTCCCAACATGGCTCAATTATACAATAGAGATAGGTCTTAAAGGCAAGACTATTTCGACAGAGAAGGAAATACCCTTAAACTAGGTGGCCGTACACGCGAAGCTCAGAATAGTAGCATACCGGATGGTATAGCTTGTAGTTGACAGGCAGTTAATACGCGCAGAGAAGCACAACTGAACAGACATATATTTGGGGGAGGATTCTGCCACACCGACGCAGGCTCGCTACTCATATGCTTCACATACTAGAACATACCTAGATATTGCCGAGGAGCTGGAATTACATGAACTTAGAGTTGTGAGGGTATATCCAGATCCCAAGGTCCATCAATTCAGTAACTCAAGACGAGCGGGGACACTTTACACTTAAAAGAGGCAGAAAAGAAAGAAGAAACGAGATCCTGCTCAGAGCCCTTCCACTACCCAATCATGAACGCCATAATAAACACCTGCTAAATCGTACGGTCAAGCAAGTCATCCCCAATGGAGCTCACGGGTTGACTTGTCATACCGCCCAGGTCTCCACTGCCAGTCTTCCGCAGGGCCTGTCGCATGGTTTCTACGTTGAGGTCACCGCCAAAACTAGAAGATACAGGACTTTGAACAGAACCGGCAGCAAGATGTCGATCAGGAGACAACTCAGGTCCTTTGAATGACGGTGCGATGCTCGTCGGAGGCGAGGTGCTGAGCGCATGCGAGGAAGTGGGAGACCGCAAAGGAGACGAGGGATGAGTGAAGTCCCCCAGACGCTCACGGGAACCGAGATGGGCTTCACTTGTTTCTGCGTGCTCGGCGTTGACAACGTCCGCAAATGAGATGAAACTCAATCGGCGCACGTCTGTTGTGTCCAATGCACCGTAACTCGATGACATATCATCGGTATCCGTCTGACTTAGCAAATGCGCATCGATAGAAGATGACATTGATTGCTCGGCGGAGGTGGTGGCACCTGCAGGGTGGTGAAGGCTATGGGTGACAATCTCCACGGAATCAGGATCCAGGCGGTCATCTGTGATTGCAGCCGAGGATGCCTCGAGAACGGGTGGGATGTAGTTTTCCGTGCGAATATGTGCTGGTATGGCGGGCGATGCCTGAGCCGGGATCATATCTTCCTGGACGTCCCGTTCGAAGATCTGAGAAGCGGGGGAGTGTATCCGGGGCGGCAGGTGTGTTGAACTATCCGGCGACGAGGGGTGTCGCGAGTATCTTGACTCATTTGGTGTTCGCAGAGCCTCAGAGGAGCTCACAGGTGATATGAAACCTGTCTCTGGGTCTTGTTCCTGCGTTTGACCCCAGACCAACGAAGCAGGCTTCGGGGCGCGTGTACTCTTATCGGCCAAGACTGGCGAAGTTGGGAGGGTAGAGGGACCCATGGTCTGATCTGTAGCGTCCGACATGGCGATATCAGAAGAATAGGCTGTCAAACTTCCATCCCTGAAGACAGCGGGTTAGGATACAGCCATGTTTCAAAGTGAAGAGAGCGCAATATACTGTAGACCAGGTGATCAACGGGATGAGTACTCGGTACTGACGTATGGGCTGTATGGGCTGTACGGATCGTATGGGGTAATTTTGGTATGTGTACGGGGTTGGTATTATTACATAATCACAAGTCACGAGACCAGGGGAAAAAAGATTCGGGTGTGAGGCCGTGAGATATACCAACACGTCCCTGTCCTTCACCCCCTTCTAATTCGGTACGTTGCCATCACGCCACCGGTGTAGCTTTGACTAATTGCCCAATCTTGATTCTCCAGTCCCTGAACCCATTGACTTGTGTTTTGAGATCACAATGGCGACCTCCATCGCGACGAAGCGACCGTTCCTTACGTTGCCATTCCTTTTACCATCATTGTCCGACTCGCTGGCGCTCGGATTCCGTCGAAACCAATCTTCATACCGCCGCACTAAGCAACGGCTCCGTGTCAAGCCCGACACCTCCTTTGGCTCATCTCACCAGGGGCACGATCACATCATCCACAACCCGCCATCTAGTGCTCCCAATGTTTACCACACGCCATCTAAATTCCTGCCCGCCGATGACGTTCGCCGATCCTCCAGCCTCTCCACTACCACCATCACCAATGCTGAGGATCTCCCCGGTGTTTACAAGTCCGTGCCCGAACGCACATATCACCTCGCCCCTTCAGACATTGAAGAAATCCGGAACCTCCGCTTGACGGATCCCATGACCTGGAGCCGAAACAAGCTTGCCAAGCGTTTCGAATGCTCCCCCGTTTTCATTGCCATGGTCTGCCAGGCAAGCAAGGAGAAGAAAGAGATCCAAGCCCGCATCCTGGAAGCTGTGCAATCGCGATGGGGCCCCAAGCGACGCATGGCCAGAGAGGACCGCGAATTGCGGAAGGAAGCCTGGGGACGGGACGCATAATGGGGGTTATGCGTGGAGTGGTTGTGTATCTGTCTTGATATTTTATTATGGTTGTCTTGGGCGGATACTCCACCCAGGGTGAGACTTTTGTAAAGAAATCCCTGTATTCTAGCTTACTAGCATTTGTTTTATGTATTCCATATCAATTTTCTATATATATGTATATATGCCGTTATATATACCCTTTTATAGAATGCTCGAGTGCTAATTTAGGGTGCCCATGGATTTAATGTCGAAATGTCGATAATAAAATAGAGAACTACCTCCAAGTGACCAGGTGACTACCCGAGTAGGACATGCGGGAATTGCCGAGGGTGCCGTGTCCACTTAAGTCACTAAGCAGTCACTAAAAGGTCACTAAGAGGTGTACGTCCAGACGGACCGATTGTAACGTCGCTACCGTGATAGGGCGGGAAAAAAATTACGTGACAAGTTCACCTCCATCTGTACGGTTACCTCAGGGCAGAGACGGATATGCCCCTCTTTCCCCTCCGTCGCGTTCCTCTCACAGCTTCTCTTTTCTCCTCTCGACTCACTCCATCCATTCGTCCTTCATTCGTCTCTCGTCGCTTCTTCTACGGCCATATCTCCGACTCCAAAATGGCGCCACAGCTGGAGCCTTTCTTTAAGCAGTGAGTTGTGTTTGTGTTTTTTTTCTCTGTCTTTTCCTTTTCCTTTGTCTAACAAATTTTAGGGTCGACGACTCGTCCAATGACTTCATCGACCGTACGTTCCAAGCACCCACAAGGTCCTCGGTAGCTGGTCGAGCTGACTGGTGTTTTAGGTCTGCGCAAGGCGGTTGCTATCCCCTCTATCTCCGCACAGGATGAGAACCGAGAGGATGTTGTCCGCGTAAGTTCATTTAGCTGCAAAGACAAAATCACAAAGAACCAACGACACGGCAGTTGCTGATCGCCATATCTACATAGATGGGTCAGTTCTTGGCCGATGAGCTCACGGCTCTAGGAGCCGAGGTCGAGCAACGGCCTTTGGGCAAGCAGCCTGGAAAGGAACACCTCGAGCTGCCCCCAGTAGTGATTGCTAGATACGGAAACGACAAGAACAAGAAGACCATTCTTGTCTACGGACACTACGACGTTCAGCCCGCTTTGAAGGAGGACGGCTGGGCTACCGAGCCCTTCGAATTGACCATCGACGAGAAGGACCGCATGTACGGCCGTGGCTCCACCGATGACAAGGGTCCTGTACTGGGCTGGTTGAACGTGATTGATGCCCACCGCAAGGCCGGCATCGAGTTCCCCGTGAACCTGCTGTGTTGCTTCGAGGGTATGGAGGAATATGGCTCCGAGGGTCTGGATGACTTTATCAAGGCCGAGAGCAAGAAGTACTTCAAGGATACCGACGCCGTTTGCATTTCTGATAACTACTGGCTCGGCACCGAGAAGCCTTGCCTGACATACGGCCTGCGTGGTTGCAACTACTACTCCATCAGCATTTCCGGCCCCGCCCAGGACCTGCACTCCGGTGTCTTCGGTGGCTCTGCGCACGAGCCTATGACTGATCTTGTCAACGTCCTCTCCAAGCTTGTTGACGCTCAAGGTAACATCTTGATTCCCGGTCTCATGGACCTTGTGGCCCCTCTCACCGAGGAGGAGCAGACCCTGTACCCGGATATTAGCTACACCATGGACAACCTGCATGAGTCTCTGGGTGCCAAGACTGGTATCCACGCCACCAAGGAGCGCACTCTGATGGCTCGTTGGAGATACCCCTCCCTGTCTATTCACGGTGTTGAGGGTGCCTACTCGGCCCCCGGTGCCAAGACCGTCATTCCCGCCAAGGTCATTGGTAAATTCTCCATCCGTACCGTGCCAAACATGGAGAGTGAAGAAGTGAACAAGCTGGTCTTTGATCACATCAAGGCTGAATTTGCCAAGCTGAACAGCAAGAACACCATGGACGTCTGGCTGCAGCACGATGGCAAGTGGTGGGTCGCTAGCCCTAAGCACTGGAACTTCTCTGCTGCCGGCAAGGCTGTGCAGCAGGTCTTCGGTGTTAAGCCCGATCTGACCCGCGAGGGCGGAAGGTAAGCAACATAACTCACCTTGTCGAATGATCAGCACTAATTTCATACAGTATCCCCGTCACCTTGACCTTCGAGGAGGCCACTGGCAAGAACGTCTTGCTTCTTCCCATGGGCAGCTCGACCGATGCCGCTCACTCTGTCAACGAGAAGCTTGACAAGCGTAACTACATCGAGGGAACCAAATTGCTGGGAGCCTACCTGCACTACGTTGCGGAGGAGTCTACAGCATAGATTTTGCATAAACAAATAATTGAATAATTAGCTATTGTTCCTGGTTGTCATATATTGAATTTGGATGTCAGCGCCGAAGCACATATTATCGAACGTCCACGATATCTGTTCCTCATCTACGTTAAAAATGTGTTCGCTGATAGAAGTAATACGGACGGACAAGTTGAAAATCAATCGACGTTCTTCATAACATTAAATGACTATCGTGGTATCCATGGCATAGAATAAACATTACCGTCCCAAGCATTAAACAAGATAATCACTCAACCACGCCTTGGAGAAAACAAAACCAATCAAGGGGGAAAAGAGAAAGAAGCCACAGAAAAGAGGAAATACAACAAAACACTGTACAGACATGGCATCACTTTTCAGATATGTGCCCTGGAGCCACCAGAGCCAAAATAAATATGTACAACCGGAAAAAGTCATTGGAATCGAACATGCCGGGTTATCACGCAGCAACAGTCTCTGCAGGCTCTGCAGACACTTCATCGTCTTTCTCAGGACTGGCAGAAGCAAAGATCTTCTGTTTGGAGCCGATAGCATTACGCAAAGAGTCAATATATGTGCGGAATTTGACAATTTCCCGCAAAAGATATGACGACTTGCGCTCCCAATTTGCCATTGCCTTGGCAGCATTGGGATGACGCGGGGAGAATGCCAGGTTCATTGCAGAACGCAGCTCGTTGTGTCGCGAAAGGTCGTCCTCCACGTTCTTCACATAGTCCTGCAGTGCCTTCAGTTGGTCCTCCTCGTTCAGGTTGGAGGCGACCATGCTCTGCTGTGGTGGGCTCCAGTCACTGATATTCACCCGATCTGCCGGGAGTCGGGGTCGCATGCCCTGCTGATCCATGGAGCTTCGGATGGAGCTCTGGATACTGGGTCTCGCGCCAGATGACGGCGGCGGTGATCGACTTTCACCACCACCAATCAAGGCACTGTTAATGACAGAATCGCTCCATCCGTATTCAATGTTACTGATGCCTCCCACGAGCGGCTGTTTGGATAGGCGTGCACTCCAGTAGTTGGCTGTTGAAACAAATTCGCGGACAATTTCAGGTGTTCCGGCCTGGAAGAGGTGGACTGCCCCGGTCGGCAAACTCAAGGCCCAGACATGAGGGCGAGACTTGGAGTATCCGGGCGAGGGCAAGGCGCTCGCAATGGTCTGGCGCAGCATAAACTTCCAAAGCTCATCAGCATTCTCAGTCCAGTTACCGCCGCCCACAACAACACCTCCACGCTGTTTGGACTTCTGCCGCATGGATTTGGTGGAGTTGTTGAATGAGAAGAGCCGCATCCAGCCTTGTTGGATAACAGCGAAGCAGTCATTCCAGTTGCGATCCTTGGCGCGTTTATCGACCGCATCTAGGTGGTGCTTGTGCTTCACACTTCCTTCCTTGGCCCACGGCGCTCCGGCCAGAGCTAATGTATCATCCTCCAGAAGTGGAGTGGTTCGCTCGGGCTCCTCATAGCTATATACCGAAGTAGCAGAGTCCTCGCGAATGATAGCCTGGCTGAGGGCATTGGCAAAACCGATGGACTGTTGATATTCGCCACGAGGGAAGTCTGAGCCAAAAGAGTCCACTGAAGCTGATGTGAATTTGCCCAATGAATATTTGCTCCAGGTGCTGGAACCAGTGGGACTCCAAACAGAGGACTGATCGTCGAGGCTAGTACGACTGGAGCCCATCATAGAAGGTGGGTACAATCTCCCTGCCCGCGAACGAGGCTTGGAAGACCACCGCGCAGCTCCGTGGCTAGAGTTGGCAGAGCGACCACGAGGGAAGATATCAGAGCCGCTCTTGCTGATGGTGCTTGGACTTCTGCGAAGTGTACTGCTCGAGGGACCCAGGAAGTTGTTTGATGACATACGGGAGACTTCTCGTTCTGGCTGGGCACCAAAGAGGGGGAGTCTTTCCTTCTGGATGGATGTATAGAATTCTTTGAGGACGGCCTCGACTTGCTGCTCCCAGGCCCTCACAGTTCCAACGAATGGCGTGTTGACCAAAGGGCCGGCATCCACATTGGACTCGCTGTCTTTGTCCAATGAGGACCGCGTGGCCTCTTGTGGGAAGGTTGCAGAGCGTGCTGATGTAGGGGCGGAGGTTGCCTCCTGAGACTGCGTCTTCGAACGGTTGACTGGGCGTAGAGTCTCGAAGCCTTCGGGAGCGGCATCCATCGCAACTCGATGGATAGTGGGCATGGTGTTTCGGACAAATTGAGACTTGGTCATTTTCGACTCAATGTCAGCCAAGTGCAAGTCGGTGTTCAGCAGAAGGATGGAATAACAGATGGTGTGCACAACGTCGGTGGCTTTGAACCCATGGCTCGGGTTACAATCACACCATCTGGTAGAGAAGGCATCCAGCACTCGATCAACCTGTTGAGTTTCTCCTTTGAGAACCAGACGATCACAGAGTGATCGCAGGGAGGCCACAATGTTGAGATTAGACCAATTGAACAGTCGCATGTACGCTTCACGGATCGATGCCCGATCGGGATCACCGAGCCAAGCCGCAGCGGGCTCATTGCCCACAACCTCGTCCTGGCTATCAAAGAGCCTTTGGGCTTGATCTCGGTCAGTGGCTGTGGGCCCGTCTTCAACCGCGTCGCCAGGCCCATCGATTTGGTCATCAGCTTTGATGGTTGGCTTGGGCTCCTCTTGCTCGATATGCGGAGTGTTCGCCGCCGTGTGATAGTGTGAGGCTGTTGAGACAGAGTCAACGGGGGACTCGCAAGGAACATCGTCGGATGGAATTGTCAGCTTGGCCAAGCCAGCGGAGGGCACTTCGGCCTGGGATTTAATGCCCCGTGAGAAGTTCTCCTCCACCGGCGACAGCGCAGCCGACTGGGCAGCGTTTTGGAGCTTCTCCTGCAGCACAGTCTCCGTCGATGCTCCAGCCTTTGCAGGTGTATCACGATTCTCTGCAAGCGTTGAACGCTCTTGGGGACGAGAAGTCGATGGCTGCAGTGAAGTCCTAGCTTTGGGAGGAGCCCCTGGAGCCGAAACACTTTCTCGCTTCTGCTGTGCCTGCAGGAAGGCAGGCTGTCGAATCTTAGCTTCCCAGTCTGCAGTCTCTTTTTGATCTACATCTTCGTCGAGGTATGGATTCATGACCTGGCGCAGGCTACTCACTGGGCTTGGCTCCGGCTTCATATTATCCAAGGTTTGCGGCGCGAGGTGCTGTGGAATTACGATTGGCGGAGGGACATGATCCGCCACGGATCTCTTCCTCCTGCGGAAGAATGAAGATTTCTTGTTCACGACCTGGTGAGGTCCTGTGCGAACCGAGGCTGGAGAGCTTCCTGCGGGGGTCTGGGTATTTTGTTGAGATCGTGCCGTGTAACTGGCGGCCACTGCAGTGGCCTCTTTGACCGCGGTTTCTTGTAGGTACGCTAACTCGCTTGGGCTATAATTTGGGGTCTCCTGAGGAGCAGGCGCAGGCCCAGGAGCCGGATTTTTGGATCCAAAAACGCGCCGGAAGAATCCTGGCCGTTCCTTGGTGCTTGGTGCAGGGTTGGGAGTAGATATATTTGTTGAAATGGTAGTGTTCGTTGTCGGCTCTGGGGGCGGAAAGGCTGGCTTGTTGTATGAGATAGTGGGACTCGGTGCGGGAGGATCAAACGACCCCGGCATGGGCGGCGGAGGATCCAAATCCGTGTCACCCATGTTATGGAAGTCATTCTCCTGGACTCTTGTCGCCTCGGTGCTGATGTTGTCAGGGCGGGATTTTCGGACTTGGGGTGCCTGTGCCGATTTCGGTGGTAATGGCGCTCGTGATGGCCCCGAGTTCAAGGACCCCTGATAGTCGACAACCTTCCGTGGTCCCGCTGGAATACTCGGGGTGGGTGCGGCATCTTGATCATCATACATGGCTGTGTCCTGATCCATGTTCACATTGTCGTAAGGTGCGAATGCTCGCTTGGGCCCGCAGTCGAAGCTCGCAGAGCGTCGATCCAAGCCCTGGTCCGTTCGTGCTCTCGGGATGGTATAAGAATAATCTGCGGTGGACGATGTGCTCCCTTTGCTCCCTTTGCGGGCGTTTGTTCGCGGCATCGTTCCGATTCCGCGCGAGCTGATGGCATCTCCGCCACGCGAGCTTCCCGCTTGTCTCGGTGCCGTTTGGTAGGTCGAATTGCTGTTGCTGCGCCGGCCTTTGGTGGCTGAGATGGTCGCATAGCGGCCACTCCCATCTTCGTACCCATACTCTGGCTCCGAAGACATCGATGAGGAGAATGTATGGCCCCGGTACCGGCCCTGGGTCGGTTCTTGGGAAAATTGGCCGTGGTCGTTCTCGAACGCGGAATTGAACAGACGGTAGTCATCTAGCACGGATGAGGTCGGGGCGAACTGATCGAGCGACAGCAGCATGTTATCCACGATAGACGTTCGTGCCGCATGTTGCGGCGATAGAGACAAGTCGTGCGGGTCGCGATCATCCCCAGATTCGCTGGTCCGTGGGTTCTCCATGGCGTCTGGGAAGGCATCGCGAATGGACGGTCGAGCTGAGTATCCGCGCTTGGGCTTGTACCTTGCGGTCTGGGCGGGAGGAGTGTGAGGAGGAGAATACGGTTCGCGTTGCTGGGACATGGCGCTGTGTCGTTTCAATGTCAATGGCGAGATTCACTCGGGACACTGAAAGAAGGGGAATCGATGTTGGGCAATTACCTACCCAAATATGCCCAAGGCCCAACTTGTATCGAAATGGGGACTAGAGCGAATCACTCATGTCCAGGAGATATATGTATTGGCAATGAAACTCCTCACCCCCAAAAAAAGGTGTTGACAGAGAGGAAGCCGGGGGCGGAACCTCCTGAGCGGACAACCCCTCAAAAGCTTAGGTTGTTCGGAACTTGAAACAGTCCGCATTGGACTATTGCCATGCTATGGAGAACTGATTCAGGGGAGTTTTAAAATCTATAGCTGTTCTTCTTGGCTTGAATGTCTGTTTTTCTTTCTATGTGCAATGTGCAATGTGTTCTATGCCTTATCAACGGAGTATAACGATCTACGTGAACTACGGAGTATACTTGAACCCCTTGAAACTCCATTAGAATCGGGAATTTCGTGCACTGAACCTTGACATATGATGCATCAACTCCGTAGAAATCATACCTATCGACAACCATGAGCCGATGGATCTGATATATCACGGCGTGGGAACGAGTTCGGTCTCCGCAGACTATTTTAGCCCCTTGCAGAGTGGATTCCCAGGCAGTCTTTTCCGGCCAGTCCATATGGATGGGGTCAAGGTGGTTGATCCATGATCTAAGAAAGAGATGACCGACATGAAGTGAGAATCTGAAGAATGCGGTCCTTTTGCATGGAGTATCCCATCCATTGACGTCCTCATTGTCGATGGAGGTTGAAACAAAGATGAAAGTGGTTTGTTCCGATAGTTTAGATACCCCGTTCACGTGACCGTATGACATAGCGCGGCCACCTTCAACGCTCCGATGCTCAACTCTTGAGCTCTTCGAAGCCTTCGACCATGAACCCTCACATCTCTGTCCCTCGTCAACATGCCGGCTCCTCAACCTTTGGCTCAACCCCTGCAACCCGGGGGTCGAGTGTACGGATGCCACGCTTCTTCAAAAGGTAACCCCTCTCCGAGTCTCCGGGATACTCAGTGCCTGACATGGGATAGGTTGTTCAAATTCCCCCAGATGGACTTCGAGATGGCTGTCTGGGAGATGACCTCATTGTTGATCGCCCCCAAGAAAGTTTTCAAGTCCATATATTATCATGTGAGTGGCATTGGTCGGACCCTGGCCTCGAGTCGTGCTAACTGACATGGATCTAGAAACGTGAGTTGCGCCTCGGGCTCGATGCTGCATCGAATATGCCGCATGCTACATGACCCTTTTGAAAATTCCATCGCGGCACTGGGTCAGAGAGCATTATTGACCGAACAACAGAAACAAAAAACACATGGCACCGGCCAGATCCATCATTCACCTACCTTCTCTCCTTCTTCTTGATCCTTACAGCCTTCGCATGGGGTCTTGCTTATACGCCGAGCTTCGGTGCCATCCTCCGCTTGACGATCCTCTTCGTATTTGTACATTTCATCGGCTCGTCGCTCTTGATCTCCACCATTGGATACTTCATCATTGGGAAGCTCTTTGGCCCTGATGGGGCCGCTGCCTCACTGGCTGGTCTGCGGGGGTCGCGTGGCCGCAGACGAGGCGCCGCCCAAGGCCTGTTCATGCAGCCAGGAGAGAAGGAGCAGTTGGAGTTTGGATATTGCTTTGATGTGAGCGCAGTTCTGCGATGCCCGGAAATGGGCCCAACAATTCTAACGACTGTCTTTGCAGGTGTCTAACCGGGCCTTCTTCCCCCTCTACCTTCACCTCTACGTGGTGCAGTTCCTTTTGCTTCCTCTTCTCACCCGCAGTCCGAGTAATTTCCTGGCGACCTTCCTCGGCAATTCGCTCTATCTCTCCGCCCTCATTTACTATACCTACATCACTTTCCTGGGCTACAATGCCCTCCCTTTCCTGCACAACACCGAGCTCCTGCTTGTGCCCATCGTCATCTTCGCTATTCTGTGGCTCATCAGTTTGATCGCTGGCTGGGGAATTGTCATGCAAGGCCGCAGCGTGGAAGGATTGCTGTTAGGCGTGTGATGTAGGCAACCTTGGCGCAATAGACTCCCCATTCGTGGTTAACCCACACCCCCGACCTTGGGACTGAAAATCCCGTGTATGAACTCCCATGTTATGTTTGTTTCTTCTCGTTTGATTTAAATTTGGCCGGCTCATGCATTTCCAGCCCCAATCTCAGAGCGGCGTTCTATTCAATGACACAGGCATCGGTGTATACGATTCAGAAGGCATTTGATGTTATCGGTCTATTCAGACCCAAAATGGCGGGTCTCGACTTTTTGTTTTGTTCGTCTAGATGTATATCAACTCGACTCAACCTCATAATCACATAATCCTGAAAGAAAAGCAAAGCAAAGCAAAGCAAAGAAAAGAAAACAGAAGCCAATGCACTATCCAGCTGTCCAGCTTATCTCTTCTTGCCACCGGCCTTCTTAGAAAGCTTGCCAGCAGCGGCAAGGCGCATGCGCTTCTCGCGCTCTTCGGCAATCTCCGCACGTTCCCTAGCCTGCTCGTCCTTCTCTTCCTTCTCGGCGAGCTTGCGCTGGCGCTCCGCCTCGCGCTGCTCTCGGATCACCGCCAGACGAGCAAGATCCGACTTGGCCTCGTCGGTCTTGCCCTCTGCATGCAGCTTCTGGTAGCGCTCGCGAGCCTGCTGCGCCTGCACAGCTTCCCGCTCACGGCGGGAGAGCTGGGAGATATCCTTCTTGGCCGCCGGCTTCTTGGGGGCGGGGGCGGGGGCCGCATCGTCCGAATCGGAGCCCGCGACGGGCTTCTGGGTTTGCGAGCGCGACTTGGCGGTGTGGTTGGGGTTTGCGGGGAGAGCCTCGTCCTCCGATTCCTCGGAGTCAGAGGGGGGCAGATCGCCGGGTTGGGCGGGGCCCTGGTTACGCTTCTTCGCAGCTGCAAGCTTCTTGGCTTTGGCGGCTGCGCGACGCTCTTCACGGGTTCCTGCTGCTGCTGACTCGGTGGGCTTGGACTCCTCCTCACTGGATTCCTCGGAGCTGTCCTCCTCGGAAGAGGATTCATCGCCGGAAGATTCGATCTGATCTTGGGGTTCCTGTGGGGAGCGATTAGGATTAGCTCTCGCGATGCGAATGTGCGCGGTGCAACTTACCCGCCACATGCCCATCTGGTTTCCCTCCTTGTCTGTTCCGACAAGATCTCTGCTGAAGTGCTTGCCTCCTGGTTCAATGATCAGTCACAATTCCCGTCCGTTCTGGCTGGCGCACACGACCTACCTCCACGAGAGGGCTTGGAGAACTTTCCTCCACGACCACGGGGCGCCATATTGAATAAGTTGTTCTGGAGATCGGGTGACTAGGCTCGAGCAGTATGTAAATAACTATGTTGATCAGTATACTGTTGTCCTACACTTGTGTGGAGGGGTAAAGTGGGGGAATGGTGTTTTTTTTTATAGACGAGAAGGCAGAGCCAGACTTACATGGGCAATTTCAAAGACCCAAAGAAAGATATCAACAAAAGATCCGCAAATAGATCGAAGTTGTTCAGTCGAGGGCGAAGACAAAGAAAAAAGGATGGAACGAGTCACCGCATTCGCATTAATCAGATGGGTGGGGGCCCTTCCGTCAAACCACATTCCACCGATTACTTGGCGACTCTCTTGACTCTTTACTCTTTACTACTCACGTCAATGAATATATCACTCAGTTACTGCAAATATACATTTCTGTCCTGTCTCAGACTGTAGCTTTTGCCCTTTCCTCTTTGTTCTTCATACTCGTGCTAAGCCAGTGCCAACCTTGCTCAATCGGGCTCCAACCAGAGTGAGACTTCCAGCCACAATCGCGCTGCCCATGAACATCTGGGCATAAAGGTAATTCCCATCGTCATAGACCACCAGCGCACCCGCAATCGGGGACCCAATGAGAGCTGCAACTCCCACCACACTGAGCACCATACCCATGCGCACTCCGATCTTCTTCAGATCCGTGGTGAGGGTGCTGAGGGTCGCAGGGAAGAGCGATTGAATGCCTGCAGCGAAGAGGCCATAGAAGACCGCAAAGGCCCACAGTCCCGATGTATCCTTGACCGCAGCCCAGCAGTACGCCACAATCGCCGTGGCAAAGCTAAAGGGGATCAACAGGTTCAGCGGACCGGTAAATTGATCCGCAAGCAGATTGGGAACGAGTCTTCCAACCAGTCCCACGCCATTCATCACCAGTAACAGATCAATGGATCGGTCTGTCGAGACACCAATGATATTCCGGCTGAAGCTGCCAATGTAAAAGAATCCAACATACAGTCCCCAGAAATTCAAGAACATCCCTACCGCAAAGAGCAGATAGGGCATCTCACGGAACGCAGCCCATTCTACCAATGGGCCACTCTGACGCGGCGGCAGACGCTGCTTGAGAAATAACACGCAGGGGGTCAATGTTGCCAAGGAGATGAAGCCCAACGTGCGCATCGTCCAGCCATACCCGGCGGTTGGGAGCATTTTCATGACCACCGCGGGAAAGACAAGACCGCCCGTAGCAGATCCAGACGCCACCATGCCAATTGCAATCCCGCGATTCTTGGCGAAATACGTCGAGATCAACGCCAAGGTCGGGCAGAACATCATGCCACAGCCAATCCCCTGACCCAACCCCTGCGCCAGAAACAGCTGCCAGTATTTTGTACACAGCGAGGTCATGAAGATACTGAAGCATAGCAGCAAGGCGCCGCAGGCCAGCGTGATCTTGAAATAGCCTGCATCGGTAGCTCTGCCGGAGAACGTGCCGATGAAGAAGAGCAAGAAGATTTGAATACTTCCCACCCAGGAGATATCGGAGGGTGGATGGCCTAGCGTCTGGGTGTAGTAGGTCTGGAAGACTCCGAAGCTATTGATGTAGCCCCAGGTGTTGAAGATCACAAAGTGCGCCAGCGCCACTTGGGACCAGGCTTGGATCCCACCGTCTGGTGGCGGGCCAATGGATTTGCCTGACTCTCGGGTGCGAACTACTGACAGCGTGCGAGTGAGGGCACTGGCGTTGGTCGGTACCTGAGAGAGGTTGGGCTCGATGTTCGACTCCTCATCTGAAGAGGGTCGGGGATGTATTATGTGCTTTTCATGTTGATCTTGTTCTGTGGGAGATTCGGGAATAGAGGAGGCCATGTTGTGATGTACTCACGATCATTTCGAATGCCAAAGAAATGAGATATGACTGTTCGGAGAAAAAAAACTTAGCCGATAGCAGACGGGTATAGCGGGCATAGCGGGGATCGCTTATTCGCAGAGATTGCCGATTGCTTCGGGATTGATTCCGGGGTAGCGGGGGTGGCATTGGGCATCAGTCTAATGTTGTAGTGAGTTTGTATATGGCAGTGGACAGAAATGACCTTCCAAGATTTACAGCTTAGTATACATTTAGTATTAAAGATGTACCTGAGTTATGCAGAAACGTGGTGAGTATAGAGTCTAATATCCAGCCTTCAAACCTAAAGAATGTCAATGTTGTGCTATTAATTCGGTACTGTGTTGGTATATCATAACTCATCAGAGATTCTCCTTACCAACTATATACAAAGAGATATAGATTAGACTACAGTCGAATGAAGCTTTGAGGCTAAGCCAAATTGCAAAAACTGGAGACCACATGGCGCAATTCGCGGGGTCCCCGCAAAACGGGACTCATCTAAAAGAGACGCTCTTGTATTATGCTACTTCAAATAAAAGCAATTCGTATTTACCTAGCATATGCTAATGTCGGGACTCTTCCCATCTCAATGGTCGGTATTGCTGAGGAGCATCTGGATGGACCCAATGACGTCGGCAGGCTCCAGTAAATGCCAACTGGCATCGGTCTGCTTCGAGCTGGCTCCGACAGTCACTGAATACACATGGTCGCGGGGCAGATCCGTTTTCTTAAGGGCACGGAACATATCTAGCAAGTCAGGTTAGCCCGAATGTCCAAACCTGGGAGCCTCTCCCTCTCTCTCTTACCTTCATCAGTAAAGTCATCACCCAGACACAAAACAAACTCTGGCGCCTTTCCAGGAGCGGTCCCGTATTCATTGACCAGCCGGGTAGCGATGAAACCCTTGTTCACAAAAGTCGGGCGCACCTCCAGGTTGGCTTTGCCCGCCATGACCTCGACATCCCAGCGCTTGGCAACGGTGTTCTTCAACTGCTTCCGACACTCGCGAGCCTGGAACGCACCGTACTCCGGGTCGGCACGGCGGTAGTGCCAAGTCAGGGCCACCCGTTTCCGTTCGATGAACGAGCCCTGGGTTCGTTCCGTGTAATGCTGGAACACGTCGACAACTTCCTTCTGCCATCCCATGTTAGTCCGCTCCGCCAGATTCTCCCACTCCTCCGATCCAGGCTGTCGGATAAAGCAGCCATGCTCAGCGCTCAGTCCGAGCTCGGGAATATGGCCCATCCACTCGTCCAGGAAAGCCTGGTCTCGCCCACTGATAATCCACACCGCATTCCGCGGATCGGCGGATAAACTTTTGAGTGTGCGGAGGACCCGATCCGAGGGGATCGCCGCCTGGGGATCCTTAACAATCGGCGTCAAAGTGCCATCATAATCAAACATGAACAAGCGTCGACGGGCCTTGCGGTATTGCTTTATTAATTTGCCACGATCGAGTGCGGGCGTAGCGACCGACTGGTCAAAGGATGATAGGTTGGTCAGTAGGCGATGGAGATACTGCTTGGCCCACATGGCAACGGTGTTGGTCACCACATGTTTGTATAGCTTCAAGTGTTGATCCTTTCGGAGATCTGGGGGCATGTTCAATGCTTGGTTGATGGCTCCAGCAACTCCGACAAGATCCCACGGGTTGATGTGAATGGCACTGGGCAAGGTGCCTGCAGTACCAGAGAATTCAGAGAGAATCAAAGGGCTGTGGTTGGTCTGCTGGCAAACAATATACTCCAGACTAGTAGTGTTCATGCCGTCTCGCACCGTGGTGATCAAACCGACATCTGCCACCCGCAGAAGAGCGAAATACTCACGCGGGGACAGGTACTGCGGATAGTACTGGACGGGAGCAAAGCTCAAAGAGCCAAATCTGCCGTTGATGGTCGAGACCAGATTCGAGATCTGACCTGCAATCTTGTTGTTGGGGTCTTCCTTCTCCTCTTCCACACTGGTCGGACTCGTTACTTGAATGAGAACGACTTTCTCGCGCCACTCAGGATAGCGCTCCAGGAAAATCTCAAAGGCCTGCAGCTTCTGCGAGACTCCACGCACACTATCCAGTCGATCACGACCGACAATGATCTTTTTCCCGGCATAAAGCTTCCGGATTCCCTGCACAGCCTTCTCAATGTCAGGTGCCCCAAAGGCAGCTTTCTGAATCGCACGAGCGTCGATGCCGATGGGGAAAACATCGACTGCCACATGAGCCCCATAAGCATCCACTCCAGCAGAGTTAGACTCAAAGCCCAAGACACGGGTACAGCAGGAGGTGAAGTGACGAGAGTAGGAGAACGTTTGGAATCCAACCATGTTTGCTCCCAGCACTCCTTCTAGGATTTCCTTCCGCTTCGCCAGACATCGTACAAACTCACTGCTAGGGAATGGCGCGTGTAAATAGAAGCCCACATATATGTTGGGGATGCGCTGCCGCAGCAGGCTAGGCAGAAGGAAGAGGTGATAGTCATGAACCCAAACCACATCGCCTTCCTGGTACTCCTCTGCGATGCGGTCCGCGAAGAGCTGGTTCAGGCGAAGATAATCGCCCCACCAACGACGCTCGGATCGGCCATCTGTTGGGCCGTGCTGCTTGTAGTGAAGCAAAGGGTATAGCTCACGCTCGGCATACCGCCGCCACCTGCTTTGATCCTTGAGCACTATGGTATCTTGTGGCTCCTCAAGTGCATCTGATAGCCACACTGGCAGGACGCGGCCATGACGACCAGAACTCAACTGCTCGTCAAGTCTCTGTCGGTCCTTTTGGGTGACATGGATTCCCTCTACCAACGGGTGGGCAGGGAGCTGTTTGCTGGCATCCACCGGAACGGGAGCCGCGGCTTTGTTTAATGGCTGACTGGCAACGGTACTGGGGGGGCGCTGGGGGAGCCTGGCCGGAGGCGTTGGGATGAATCTGCTGCAATGGAGTCTTCCCTTCCATGATGGGCTCGACTTCTCCAGTCCAGCCCACCAGCGTGTGGGACCACGGAGTCTCATCCGAGGCAAGGTGTGCGAATGAATCAAACAGTGCGGAGGTGCCAGATCGGGACTTGAGAGTCTATTGCGCAGTCAGTATGGCATATCCTTTTGATCACGAAAGACCTCGATCACATGCATACCCAGTCTGATCCAGTTTGGAAGTTCAGTTTGTATGGAATGCAGAAAGTGGCGCTGATGAGGCGGCCGCTTAGGTTGAGCCCAGGATGTTCCACGCGCGGGTCCAGCTGGGGCAATGTGGCAGATTCCGAGGTCAAGCTTAACCGGCGTAGTAGGTCCATGCCTGATGACGCCCTTCTCGCAGCCTGCACCGGCGAGGCGAGATCGGGTAGGTCCGTTGATTCCCCCTGGGGCCCCGCGAGACTGGCAAAGTATGAAGGAACCTCACTCGATGCGGATTCTATGGCAGGCGTCGCACTAGTCGCATGGGTGTAGGCGTCCTTCTCGAGGGCCTTGAGCCCGGGACCCACGAGCACCGGGTTCGGTTGGCCATCGGGCACTTGGACGGGACTCTCTGGTTCAGACATGACAGAGTAAATTCGATCTCCAGGACTCCAAACCGGTTGCCCGCAGACTGGAAGGGTGTTAGGTCGGGGAATTGTCACATGTACGATCAAGGAAACCTTGCTGGGGACGTACCTCTCGGAGGAAATAGGCGATACGCAAGATCGACACAGAGACTATTCACGCGAGATAGCCATGAAGTAACGGGAAGCTCAGAGAAGGATAGGTGAGATCGTCAGAGTCCAGAGGAATCGACCAAAATCCACGATCACCTAAGGAGGGGCAAGCGGTGTGAAATGAGGTCTTATCAGGGAAACCGGTCCAACGCCAAGTTCCAAGATTATCTCTCAGAAAAGAACAAGATGGCAGATCCAAGATTCTTCGGTATAACTAAACACCAAAGATATTCCAAGGTCTCGATGTGGGAGGTGGGGATGTTGCCCTCAGTGCTACGTCATGATTGGGGCCTTATTCTTTTATTTTATTTTTCCCCTTCTTTTTTTGCTTTTGGGAGATGATTGAGACAAACATTGTATGGACAAAAAGGAGAGATCAACGATGCTGAAAGGGAGTATTTAGGAATTGAGGGGAAATTGATCAGATCTAGATATCTCCAAGCTGAATGGCCTCTGCGAAGAGTCACCGGAGAAGATCTCGCAATTGGTGGAAACCTCTCGACAAAGATCACGGTCACGTGATCTCTATTACTGCCTGAGGCCTCACTGTATGCCTGAGGCTCCTTATCCGATTACAACCAACCAACAGGATATCAGCTTCTTCCCACCCTCGGCATGCTGACATCGTCTCTAGCACGATTAAAATGCAGTGAGCATGAGATGCGGCTAAGAGGCCTCCCCTCTCTCTCCACAGATTTCACAGTTCGGCCACGACACGCAAGACCCCCGATGTCTTCGCCAACAGCCTCCGAAAGACCCTCGAGGCCCATCGGGCTGCCAATCGCGCTGGCTTGATCCGCAAAGTATACCCCAAGGAAGATCCTCCGGGGCTCTGGCGGCCCGAGATTCCACCTCAAAGTCGCGCCGGATATCAACCCCCCCGTGGATCCAGCCCTATCAACTTCAGAAGATCACAAGTCCCCCGAGCCGGCATCGGGGTCTAAGAAACGCCAAAGCAAGCGCAAGAGCGGAGACGATATCTTCGACGATGAGGACCACCTCTATCACGCACATCTCCGTTGGAAAGATGCAATTCAGTTGGCAGGGAAAGACACGGCGCAGACCCCTTGGCTGAGAGATCTAGAGCTCCCGCGCGCCAGTCCCGAGGTGATTTTAGACACGGAACTTCGGGCGTTGGCCACATATCTCACCCCAACCGCCGAGGAGCGATCTCAAATTCAGACGCTCGGGGCCAGAGCAGTCGCCGCTCTGGACCGCGACGTGGTGCCCCATGCGCCCATAGTCATTGGGTCTCATCGTACCGGACTGGCTCTGGCACACTCCGACCTGGACTTCATTTTACCGTTCGAAGACCTCCCCCGATCGCCAGCGCGTGATCGAAGACCAAGCCCCACCCGGCCTCAAATCCAACATCGCCATATGAAGCTTCTTCGTAAGGTTGAAAGGGCTTTGCAGAAACACGGTGAAGAGGCCTACGATGTCTTTCTAATCGATAGACTGCACACCACGCTATCCGCTATACAATTGCCAACGACCCTGTTGATGCAATTCCACTGTGGCGAGGGAATCCCTGCCATCACAGAGTATCTGCAGGATTATCACGCCGAGTACCCCTCGCTCCTGCCTCTGTATGCCGCAACACGCACACTGCTTGAAGCACATGAGCTCTTTGGTGAAGTTCGAGAAAGCCTCAGCCCCGATGCGCTGAACATGATGATTGTGGCATTCCTGAAAATGAACCATGGACGTTTCCGTGCCCCCCAATAGCCTAGGTGACCAGCTCCTCGCTTTCTTGAAGCTGTATGGCACTGAGATTGACCTCAAAGTCGTGGGAGTTGCCGTCGACCCTCCTGGTTTCTTTGGCGCCGACAAGGCCATACACATAGGCGAGCAGGAAACAGCCCAGCAGCGCGGCCAGCGGTCTCTCCTTAGTGCTAGGCGCACCGCCGCTGCGAGAGGGAACACCCCCGTGTCGAACCGGCTATGCATACAGGACCCCACGCATTATATGAATGACCTCGGTCGTTCTTGTACCCGTGTGTCTGAAGTACAGAGCACTTTTGCAACCGCATATGAACGGCTTCGTCGTGCATGTGATGAGCAGGCGGACAACCCGAAGACGAACTCGAGTATTCTTGTCTCAGCTCTGCGGGCCAATTTCAAGAACTTTGAGAGTGTGCGACGTCGACTCTTTTGGTGGTAGCCAGGATGAATCTCAGGCGATTTTGTATAAATATGTATTATAGTAATTCCATGATTCCCCTTCTGTTACTGACAACAACGAATACCTGTATGACTGGAGAAGACATTAATTTATTGATCGCTAGTACCAGAAGCTTGCCAAACAAGTCTAAGACTATGAAACCAAAGGCAGCAAAGAAAATCCAAGAGAATGAAAATGCATCAATCGCTATAATACCGCCCGAGAAGTGAATCAAAAAAGCAAGCACGAGCATACTATATTATATCAAGAAGACGCCGCCAAGTGCAAAGCCAAGAGGAATTAGTTACTAAAGAGCTGTCAGTACGCGATTCCAGATCCAGGGCATGTCCAGGTGTCGGTGTCAACTTACTAAATCTCCAATGGGGAAATCTGATCCAAAGCGTAGAGCCAATTTCCCCCTTGCTCTTCCTTTTCCAGCCTAGAGCTTCGTTAGTGTCTGGTCTCAAGAAAGTAAGTGAGAACAATACGTACCAATCATACGGCCACAGGATGAGATGGCCCTGAGTCTTGTTGAGAAGGTCCTCGGCACGACCTTTGTCCATGAACTCGTCTCCACCAAGAGGGTCCCGCTTAGAGCCAATGGTTGTAGCTCTGCGCCTGCGCCTGCGAGACTGACTGGTAGAGTTCAGGTTCAGGTTCACAGCTTCAGAATAGTCAACTTGGGCTGAAGCTGATCGTGGCTTTTCAGAGTCTTCGCCGGCGACAGCGTCGTCGTTGCCCGCTCCGTTCGAAGCACTGCTCAACAGGTTTGGGTCTGATGCAGTCTTAAGGGCGGCCTTTTCATCAATCGATGACAAAGTCTCCTGCTGTGCCAGGTTCTCTGATAGAGGGCGGGCGGAATCATTCCCAGATCCGATCTTCTCATCGATGGTTTGCGGGCTCTTGGGGTCTGCAGGTGACCCGTCGGCCGCCTTGGGTGGGGTGATGAATGATAATTGGGAGGCAATTGACATGGGGGAGCTGACGGCACCGCCAGCGGGAGGGGGCTATTTGGTTTTTGTTGAGATTGATTCGGTTTATTACCCTGCTGGCTCTGCATTTCGGCAAACCGCTCTCCATATGCGGCGTACTCTTTGTATTCCTTCCAGGATTTGACCTCGTTGTCCGGCATGCATCGGAAGACAGAGCGGTAAATCTTGGTGTTCTTCTCGGCAACAGCTTGCCAAGTGTCAAGGTAGAAGCCGTCGATGACTGGGTCTCTCATGCAGTCGTTGTCAATGAAGATGCGCTTAAGATCCGGGGCGGATGGATGATGGTTCTTAGTTTCTTCAGTCTCTTCTCTGGAAACAGTCAGCCCGGTACCATTTGTCTCGGACTCGCGGGATGATGATCCAGAGGCCCCATGGCGTTGCGTGGTGGCATCTCCATTGGTCTCTGAGGTGTGGGCTTCGCCCGCAGACCCGGGGTGCCGGTCTTGACCAGTGGAAGACGTTCGAGATGACTTTTGTTGCGATGATGGCCTCGGGCGCTCAAGGGTGCCTCTGCCCTCTGAAGCGATGGGGGAAAGCAGTGTCTCTCGTCCATTCTTCATATCAGAATCACGCGCATTATCGAGCCCAGCCTGAGCAGCAGCCGTCAGTCGATCGTGGCCATCACCTTCGACGTCCTTCCTGTGCTCTGAGTTGTCTGTCACTCGCGGGTCAGCAGTGAGCTTCCGATTCGATTTCAGATTAGGGTTAGCACCCTGCTCCCAGTCCACGTCGTGATTGAAGCTGTACATCGCCTCAGAGCGAGAAAGGAACTCGTCTTGAACACGGTGTCGACGTTCAACCATTTCCCTCTCATCCTGCCGTTCAGCGACCGAGGAGCCTGAATTTCGGTGCTCGCGGTCATTGGCAGGGCGACCAGCCCCTTCGGCGACCTCGATTTTGCGCAACTCCTCTTCTGTGGCAAAGTCATGCTCCATGAGCTCGTCTACATCAATTCCAAGATGTTCTCTCATCAAACGCATACGCAAAGTATGGGGGAATCGTCCGACGAGATAAGGCTTGCCGTTCATGCTTGACATGATCATGTCGGTATCTCGGACAATGGATGCGACCTCGGAGTCTCGTGAACCCAACATCGATCGTTCGTTGATGTTTGCTGATCCAATGATGGCAGCACGATCATCGACAACCATGCACTTGGCGTGGATGTAAAGTTGTTCAGTCACCAGTGTCTTCTGCGGCCCAATCTTGCCCCAAGTTCGAAGACTGAAGAATTGGATGTAATCTTCTGGGTCAATACCGAGCGCACGAAGACGACCGAAGATGGATGTCTCTCCACGGCAGATACTGCGGTATTGACACTGCATGATAAGACGGACACTTGTTCCACCCTCGCTATCGACAGTGTTCTGGAAGCCTGGCATCAATGGGATGACAATGACAGCACGCCATGCCTCCTCGTTCTTGGCTGCTCGAACAATACGCTCGACCAAAGCGTCTCCAATGAGGTTCTCAATCTTCCGACCATCGATCTCGCAAGTACTGATGAAGAATTGGTTTTCAATATACACGAAATGTTCGGACTCTTCGATCATTTTCACGTAGGCGTTCATGATACTGTGTTCGGTGACATCAGGGGTACCTGTGGACCACATGCTACTGGATCGTAGGATCTGCACCTCACAGGTTCCATCCAGACCCAAAGCCTCGAGATCGGCGGGATTGAAATCCGGGGGCGGCAGTAGGAAGGGTGTCGGCCGCGTAGGCTTCCGCTGGCGCAAAATGTAGTTCCAACGTTGCACGAAATGACGGGTGAGATCACGAGCAGGCTGGCCTACGACGTGCATGGAGATGTCGTGCCAGGGCATTCTTGGCACAACATTGCGGTCGTACATCTCCTCATACGGCTTGTCCAAATCATAGAAATCCTGAATTCTAGGATTGGAGTAATCCTTGCCTGGCCAAAGCTGACAGTGGTCTGCGTCTTTGGGTCCATCTGTGGTCTCAAATCCGGTAGGCTTATCATCAGTCAGCTGGTGTTGAGGAGTATCCCAACGTCCAAAGCAGAGATCAATGCCACCAACGAAGGCAATAGTATGGTCAATGAGGCAAAGCTTCTCGTGATGAGCCCAGAAGAAAGTGTTCTGGCGGAACTGGTTTGGTGAACGTTGGACGAAGATGTTGGGGTGGAGGTCGAGAAGGGAAAACTTGGAATACTCCGAGTCAATGGGAATGGCGGAGTTGATGTTGCGATACATGATCACAAACACCTTGATGCCCTCCCGTGCTTTCTGCTGCAAGAGGCGGTCCAATCGCCATTTTTGACTGATGGCAGCGGGACGACGCATGTATAGTTCTGGACTGAGCCACCAGTCGTGGATGTAGATGACGTCCTTAGCCTGGTTGATGGCTCGCGACACAACCCACATGTGGTCTCGTGCGTCAACTAGCCACTGCGCGAAACAGTTTTGTCGAACAGGAGCAAAGCTGTCAAATCGATTAGGACGCATCCATGGGGTGTTGGCAACCATGAAGCGGATCGAGTCTTCAAACTGCTGCAATTGACGCTCGTTGCGGGCCAGGAGTTTCAATTTGCGCTCAGAATTCTCGAGTCGAAGAGTGTGATGCTGAGGGTGCCTGGCCGACTGCTTGGCGGATTTAGCAAGATCCTTGGGGTTCTGATTACGGAGGCTCAGTTTCGGTGTCTGGATCTTGAAGTTGGAATCCACCAAAAAGACATCATAGATGTTCATCTCCTCTGGAGAGTCCACACAGACAACGTAGCTGTGCCTGACCAAAAACCATTTCGGCCAATGGCGTTTCTTGACTAAGGACGGAGTGAGTGCCTTGCGGAAATCAAGGCCCTTGGAGGATTGGATGATCAAGAACCCTTCTTTGCCGTGATAGCTGCCTTCTGCGGCCAATCGGACACCCAGAGCGGATAATTCCAAAAATTTGCACAGCCGGTTGCTGTCAGCTCTGAAGATCAAGAACCTGATCATCTTCTGCAAGTAAAGCTCTAGCTTCTTGCGCTGTTTCCCAGGGTACGTCTCTTTCCTGGCACCTGAGACACCTTCATGGGTGGACGAAGGTCCTCCTGCTCCGGCAGCAGATTCACCTTCTTGGTTGGTAATGCTGGACTTCCTGCGAGCAAGCGGACCAGAAGGGCGACGCTGATGTGGCTGCTGGCTCTGCTTTTTCTTAATGGGCGGCCTCTCCGTTCCGCTCATACCTTCAGCACCGGTTTCATAGCCACCCTCCTCGTCCTCATCTTCGAACTCACTCTCCAGACCTCGAACGCCTCGCATGTAGGGAAAGGCGCTTCGGGGGAAACGGGGGAGACTGGGGCTGTTCTCGCTCGTGCGAAGTTGAATGTACTTTTGAGTTCCAAGATGAAGCTTGTACTTGAGATGGAGGTTGGCAAAGTCTCGCAGTGTACGGAAGATAATCCACTTCATTCGTGTCATGCCGCTACCGTACTCCATTTCAACTCGGAATACCAGGTGACGATCGCCCGAGTGAGAGTCAATTCGGCTGTCGGTGACCCGAACTTTCAGTTGCTCGAGGAGAATTGGGATCCTTTTACTGCCATGCTCGTCACGCTGGAATGCACTGGCCAAGATCAATGCAGCCGGTACGGCAGAAGCAAGTTCGGCGAGCAGCTCAGCGGACTTTTTGTTGTCCACCGTGTTTTCTGGCTTTCGTCGCTGGCCGATGAGCTTGAGACCTGCTTTGATCTGCTTCCATCGCTGCGCACTGGCACTGGTGCCTCGCTCGTTTCGATGACGTCTCCAACTCGCTGTCAAGCTCTCTTCGTTTCCTTGTCCGGCGAACCCTGTCAATCGCCGTAGATTCGACGGCCGCTGGTCGTCTTGAGTGCCATCGGGGTTTCGCCCAGTGTAGCTCGCCCCCGTGTGTTTGTCCACGGACGGCTCCTCATGCGGCGGCTCAGCCTCTCCCGTCCTTCGTCCTCTGAAACGCCCTCCCGGGGCTGGGGTGTGAAGTCAGTTGTGCTTGCTCGCCGGGGGAACAAATTGGTTCTGTAGTTTTCGAACGGAGCAAATGAAGAGGAGAAGTGGAACGATGGCCTGCGTCCCGTTTTAGGGGTTCCCGGTGCTGTCTGCACCCCGTCTTCGTTCTCCTGCTGCTTTCTTCGCTTCTGCTTTCTCTTTTTGGGTCGAGAATCGCGCTGCTCGCCTCCGCTTTCTTCCGCATCGGCGTCCCCCTCGCTTCCCTCCTCTTCTAGAGGCTCCGGGAATCTGAATTCTCCTCTTTCCGAGCCCGGGGTCGCTAGGTCGGCCTGAGTTGGTCGGAAATCCGCACTCGCACTGCTTGGTGATCTTGAGTGAGAGACTGCGGCGAGGGACTTGAGCTTGCCAAACAATGACTGTTTCCCTCTCGGGCCCTGATCTTCCTCGTCCCCATGTTGAGAGACGGGTCGGGACTGAGGTCGGGACTGGGATGCTTCGGGAAGCTCGGTATCGGTATCGCGGAATTGGACACTCTGGGCGCGTGACGGGGGAGATACTCCAGGGACAGAGGACTGGCGCTGATGGCGAGTGAATGGTTGTTGTGGGTCGTCGGTTGATCGGTTCGGGGGTCGTGTGCTCAGGGAGGACCTGCCTCTCGGCGAGCCATGTTTAAGAGAAGCCGGACGCGTGTTTTCCTTCTCTGCTCGCGTGCCAGTCCCCTGGTTCTCGTCCGTGCCTTGGCTGTTCCTGACGGAGGCCGGTTGTTTGGTATCGGTGGGGGAAGGGAATGGTGAGGCTAATTTTGATTTGGAGTTGGACAGCAGGGCCTTTTTCGTATCGAGCTTCAAGGAGCCCGTTTCAACGTCCTGGTGGACACTAGAGGCCGACATGGTGGAATCTGCTAATGCACGGTGATGATCAGTTGCAGTTTCACAAGGGAGGGGCAGTCAGGCACCACCACCTACATGAGATTCCTGTCTCAACTGGTCAGCATGCTCCAAAGAAACCGAATCACTCAAGGAGCTGGAGAAATACAAGTAGTCCGCGGTGGAGCTGTCCGTTGTACTGCGCCCCCAGAAAAGTGGGCGGTCAAACGATAAAAAGGGGCACGGTGCTTTACTTGCGACAGTCAGTTCTTCACTCTTTTCTTTTCAATTGGGAGTTAATTGATAATTGCTTTATTCTCTATACTGGAGTAATATTTGAATGGGCCATTGAGTGAAGAATATTTGGTTTCTGTTTTGGTTTCCAGGTACATTCATTCTACTTTGTATTCCACTTGGTTTATACTTCGATCTATAAGCATGCTCAAAACGTCTCAATGTCAAAAATAGCAAATAAACAGAGTGGCAGGTTAAAGTAAAAGGACTATTAAAGTACGGAGTAGGAATTTTAAAAAAGAAGCATAAGACCCAAAATTGAGAGACTAGCCTAACGGCTACTACGGAGTACATGGAGGACCCTCGGCATGATGTCGTTATATACCCGAGTCACCTTCCTCCCCACTACACCCCCTCCAACCCTCTTCACACTCTCAGAAAACAATGACCGACCCATTCAAGTCCTTTGATGATTCAGGCCGGGAGAAGCCTCCTGCTGCCTCCAGGGATGTCTTTGCAATCGCCGGCATCTCTGTAACGGTCTTTGGTTTACAAGAGCTCCGTTCCGAGGCCTCGGAGGTCGCCTGTCTATGGCTTCTTCATCCCCGTCTAGGTACCCAGAAGCGGATGATCCGCGTAGCAAATGCAGCTATTGCCGATTGGAATACCAGAATCAAGGACACGCCTTCGGCCAAAGGTCTAATTGCAGTGGCATTTGACCAGAGAAACCACGGCTCTCGCGAGATCGAACCGCTTGCGAATGAGTCCTGGAAGAAGGGAAACCCGAGACACGCCCAGGATATGTTTTCCATCTTTCGTAAGTGTATAAAAGCTATGATATGCATGTACCGAGGCAATCTGCTAACGAGAACCAGAGGGCACCGCAAGAGATACATCAGTACTGATGGACTACCTTGCCTCTTACACTTTCCCCCATGGCGAGCACAAGATCACGGAGAACCTCGTATTGGGCGTCTCACTAGGCGGACATGCCGCGTGGAGCTGCTTGCTGCACGAGCCTCGCATCACTGCCGGTGTCGTCATTATCGGTTGTCCAGACTATATCAACTTGATGGCTGACCGCGCTCGTCTGTCAAAATTGCCATCCTGGACAAACAGTGATCCCCCCGGCAAGGATGTCCTCGGTTCAGAAGCCCTCCCATCCTCATTCCTAGATACTGTGAAGCGATTAGACCCGGCCAGTATGCTGCTGCAACATGTCGACTGTGGGCCGGTGACAGGTCCCTTGCGCGAGGGCCCGCTGCCCCAGCCATCGGAGAGCGAGCAGCAGGTTCTACGACCGATCTTGGACCGTACCCTGGCCGGAAAACGCATCCTCAACTTGGCTGGTGGTGTTGATAAACTAGTTCCCTACCACCGGGGTGAGCTCTTCCTTGATTGGTTCAAGAAGGCCATCTCCCGCGATGGGTGGTATGGTGATGGAGCCGTATCGTTTGAGGATATCATTGACGAGGCGGCGGGACATGAAGTCACCGACAAGATGGTGGACCAGGCAGTGCGTTTCATTAGTGAGACACTGGCAGCCAAGTCGGAGACAGGACGCCGAGGCTCGGTGCGTGAGTCAAAGATGTGAATGATTTGACTGTAAATATTTCGATTTGTCTAGACTGGTATAGACAATGCATGACGACATGAAAATCCACAACGTCAGTCGATCAAAATCTACTGATCAGATTGTTAGTGCATAACATGTGCAGTACGGAGTACTCCGTACTCGAATGACTACTCCAATCTACACAAGCGTAACTCAGTAATGAGATATACCTCACCCTCGTGAACGAGAGGCAAATGCACCGAGACCTTTTTGAAAAAAATTCCTCCTTATGGTATTTGTAAACACAATTGATGAAATCGTAAGGGCATTCGGAGGCCATGTGCTATGCTTGGATTGCATACAAAAAAAACCCTTTTATTTTCGATCGCTCGACCCGACTTGATTGCGGTGCGGGCAGATCTCTTTCGAACTCCGATCGTCCTCCTAGCTTGAGCCGACAGAACAAGTCGAAACACAGCTGGGCTACAAATTGCCCCTATTCACCCGCCTTCTTCGAGAAACATCGTCGCGAAACGCTTATGCGACGAGCTCAACAACACCACCGGCGGCCTTGATCTTCTCCTCGGCGTCACGGCTGACGTAACGGGCACGGACAACGACGGGGATCTGGGGGAGACGGCCCTTTCCGAGGACCTTGGAGTAACCGAGGGGGAGGAGGTCGATGACGGGGGCGACATCGGTCTTCTTGCCGCTCAGGTAGGCATCACGCTGCTCGGCGGGGACGAGAGACCAGAGCTGTAGAAGAGAACCTGATCAGCAAATGTTCCAAGCTCAATTTTTTTCCCCCATGATGCGTCGTGTATCCTCGGATTGGCCTTCACTCCTCTTGTGAATGCGCCATTCGCATTCTTGTAGTCCAGACCAATCCAAGCATACCCCTCCACACACAGAGAAAAAAAAATCCATTTCTCCATTCTCATGTCGAATCGATTCGTAGGATGTCACGTACCTTGTCAACGTTGACAGTGGGCTTCCAGAATTGCTGGTTGGTCTTGTGGAAGTAACGCATACCGACCTTACCGAAGTAACCGGGGTGGTACTTGTCAATGTTGGTACGGTGGTGGTGTTGACCACCGGCCATACCACGACCACCGGGAGACTTGCGGTGCTTTCCGACACGACCGTAACCGGCGGACACGTGGCCGCGGCTGTAAAGAAGAAAAGGTTAGTGATATGCTGGAAGGATTGCGACGGCTGTCGAGGTCGTTTTTTTCATTCGGTCGCGAACTGCGACTGAAGATTTTTTTCGATTCGAGGAAGCACAGAGAGAGACGTTGACTCACCTCTTCCGGGTCTTGGACAAACGGGTAGGCATCTTGTCGGCGGGTTATCGACAAGATCGTGGATGTTTGGCGTTGAAGGGGATAGTCTTCAAGTATGATCGAAATCCACTTGGAAGAGGAGGCAGCTGACCGGACCTGTGTGCCCTAACAGGCTCTGCTGTGATTGGCTTCCGAGTCGACTATCTTAGTCAGCACTTCCATGAAACTAGCTAATCTAGCCCTAAAGAGATCACCTGATATGAATATCACGTGATACACTGAGTTGATGCTTCATGGCTCCAAGGCCATCCATGTTCAACGTACCCCACAATATCTCAATCAATTACATCTTCAACTATGAGCGCTCCACCAACATGCATCAGTTCGACTACTACTAAAAATCGACTTTCCAGTATCAATCAAATCATTGGTCCGCTCTCAAAATGTGCTACTGATCAAAGGGAAATATTCCAATGTAGCTAACATTGAGAAATATCCGGCGCAAACTTATGAAGGATTTTGAGCGTTTTATGAAATAAAAAGACCGCTGGTCCCCAATCCCTCATTCTCAGTTCAAGGCTTAGCCAAGACTTTCTTCCAAGGTTTGGTTGACCAGTCTTACTATATTAAGATAAATAGCTATAATAGAAGTTATATAGGTAAGTATAGAACGACCTCAAATATTACAATTACTAGGCAACAATTAATAAAGTAGAACATATGAGACTAGGAATGTTATTGAAGATCATACACATGGTTAAGGTAGAAACTATTGTATTATTAATTCCAAGGTATATTTTGTCGTCTTTAAGATAACGAATAGATTACTTAGATTAAATTACCAATAGGACAATACTATAAGCAATTATAGACTTAATGTCAACTGAAAGCTGTTCAGTATCACAGGAGTTGATCAATTAGGGTATGGAGTTAATAATCTGCAATGAGGATCGGAAACCCTGAGACATCAAATTTGTAATGGGGTAGCTGAGACGGACATAAAGACATGACTTAAGGGCTCAAATGGATATAATATGATCTGGTGGAACGGATGTGATATAAATATAGGATGGGCAACTGTCTGTTGGTTAACATGATTAGAGACATAATCACCATGAGGGGGGTCTAAGAGAAAATGGTCTGGTTTGACTTGAGTATATGTCGTCGCAGGGGGAAGGTTTGGTTGCTTTGCTTGGACGACAGGGCTGGGAACTGATTGCTTGGATATTAGCGGCTTGGGTCGAACAATGGGACCGGGAACTGAATGCACTGCCTGGACAACGGGGCCGGGAACCGATAGCTCGGCTCGAACAATGGTGGTGAGAGGTGTGGACATGAGCGGCTCGGCTCGAAGAACTGGGCCGGGAACTGAATCCACTGCCTGGACAACAGGGCCAGGAACTGATTGCCTAACTCGGACAATGTTGGCTGGGAGAGTAGACGTTGGTGGTTCAGCTTGAACAACAGGGTTGGGAACTGATTGCCCGGCTCGGACAACGGTAGTAAGAGGGATAGGAATTAGTGGGTTGAAAAGACAGTCCAAAAGAAAGTTCAAAAGACAACTGAAAAGAGGTCCCGAAGTTGATGATAGCTCTCTTCCGTTGCCAATCGAACTGAGGCTTGTAGTAGTAAGGGGGAAAGGGAAGGTTGGTACTGCAACAGCTTGGCTCCACCAAAACTGCCCACGGATGAGATCGATACCTAGCATGCGGACGTATTCTTCGTCGGTCCTGCATCTTGACGATATGATGTCTTCTAGCTCCTCATCACCATTGAACATGCCAGCACGTCGGACTTGGGGTTGGGGGTCTTGAGACCCCATCTCGGCCGGCCCATTCGAGTTGATCAGCCGGTTCTCCCAATCCTTTTTGGCCATCCAGCGAATCCTGTTCCGGATTGTAGTTTCCGATGCTCGGTCAAAATCTGGGTATGTGTTTCGAAACTCCTTAATCCGTTCGTTCGTTACCACTGGTGGCTGAAATGATTCGGATGAAACCATAGGGTCACGACGGAAGTTATGTCCTTGCTGGTTCCGTCTTCACTCCCAGAAGTCAATGTCCGGGTCACCGATGTACTCATTTATCACACCGGCCAGTATTGATTGGACCGTATGGCCCATGAGGCTCGCTGCCGCCGCAACATTTTGAGTCTGCTCTTGTGGCACCCGACTGATCTCGGCAGCGGCGCTGCGCCGGATGTCATGTGTGGTAACTCTGCCTATGATTCCGTATTGTTCAGCCAGTCGGCCGACATTTTTATTGAGTTGGGAGATCGCGAGGGGGAGATCGAGATCTTTTTCTTGTTTGGAGGGATCCAACGCGACATGTGTTCTGTGCAGAATCGGACGGCCCCCGAACTTCCATCGTATAGTCCGCGTGGGGGTTCTGAACCAGTAGCCCAGAGCCCGTTCAACGTCTGGGTCAATCTGCCCGCTATGAGCGGCAACAATCAATAGTGCTTTGATGATGCACATGGAAACGTCCTTTCCGAACGATATCGGTTTGACATGCACCACTCTCAGCTCGGACGGGGTATCCCTCTGATATAGAGGTTAGTACAATCATTTTCCTGCTGGGCTTGACTGTTCAAGCTGAATAATTCAACTCACTTTTTGTCTTTCTCGTATCTAACGGAGAACTTGCTCTCCAACGAGGAAATGGACGCAATCACTGCATCCGTTTGGAAAGACAACTCCACGTCGTTCCATTTCATAAACAAGTCTGAGCGCCGCGTTCACACGTGGCCAAAAAGACGACCGAAGAGACCTCGGGAGCTATCATCACCTTCAGGACCTGTTTTGAGGTGTCTTTTGAGGTGTCTTTTGAGGTGTCTCTCCAACTAATCGTCGAGTAATTGTGGTTAGTCGAGTAAAAGAAGACTTGACTAAGCCGTGATCACTGAATTAATTATTGTTGATTCATCTGCGGTATATCCCTGGGACCGGACAATATCGCCGGCCCGTGCATACAGGCAGGATTGCAGCATAACCGCCAAGTGGATCATCATAAGATTTTTCGAATAGAAAAGTGAACAAATAGACGGCTGCTTCATGAACAGATCAAAGTCTGTAACCAGCATCCGTCGGATGGATCTGAATGTGAGCTGTTGGCGCTCGAGAAATCTGCCTTTGTGCAACGATCCGTCTTGAACCGCTTGAGCAATGATCTCTGTAGCTTTTGCCGATAAACCTGACGAGATCTGCCTGAATGGGGGTCCGAATGTAAATTCCATCACGGCGAGAAATGTTTGGAAGTTACTTTGGATTGTAGAACGAGACGGCTTCTCCTTGGTCAACAGATTTGATTCTGTCCGTCTGATGATCGTGTATAGAAACCGAAGGATGGTTTCCTCTTCAGGAAGACTCTCGGGGCTAGCTCGTCCGTCAGTAGGATTCGATTAAGAAGGACGGGTCAGACCACTCACTCTGTATCAACAGACAAACAGAATTTCTCCCAGAGTCCCATAACATACTCTCTCTGTTGGAACGCAGATGGCGGTCCACTTGTCAAACCGAGTTGACGAACGGCTTTTTGGACGCAATCCGATCCTCTTGTGCGTGGTCTGCCATTCGTTTCCGTGTTTGGCTTGCATTGCCCGATTTGAGGGCCCCAAACCGGGACCTAGGGGCTGTATCCTCACTCAGGCGAGTGCTGTATCTGGAGACAGTCCCTAACATTCTGACATATTGGTCGGATCTTGAATCATCTCAGATGGTGTTGTTTCTTCAGGAGTCACCCCACTTCATAGACAGCTCAAAGCCCTTCACAAGGATAGGCCGGATGCTTGTAAACGTGAGCTGCTGGCGTTGGAAGTATTTCCCTTTGATCAGTAGCCCATCCCGAACGGCCTGGGATACCATCTCTTTGACTGATGAGTCAGTTATTGTTTTTAACAAGAATGAAGAGCAAGAAGGTGGAATTCAACGGAGAAACCCATGATGGGGAGAGAAGAAGAAGAGGGAAGAAGAGCCATGAAGGAAGCAAGCAATGAACAACCAGGAGCCCGGGAGGAAGCAACAATCATGGGTATGGAAATAACAAGGAAGGAAGTGCATGTATGGAAGCAGCATATGGCGAGAGAGATTATGTGATATAGGCAAGCAAGACAGTTAGGAAGACAGTTAGGAAGACAGTTAGGAAGACAGTTAGGAAGACAGTTAGGAAGACAGTTGGAAAGACAGTTGGAAAGACAGTTGGAAAGACAGTTGGAAAGACAGTTGGAAAGACAGTTGGAAAGACAGTTGGAAAGACAGTTGGAAAGAGGTCTCGAAATGGATGATAGCTCTCTTCCTTTACCAATCGCAATACGAGATTAAGCCAATACTTAGCTACTCATGTTAATAAGTTTACTATCTACCCTATGGGTATTATAGATCTTAAAATCAATTGGTTATAATATGAACTAATTGTTCCAGTCAAATCATTTACTTTGTTCTTGAAACCCTTTCTCAGCAAAGAATTTGGTAAGTCTTTGCACGGTAGTTTGAGCTGCTCGAGTGGGAGGTGCAGGAACGAGGCTCCCGCGAATCCAACCGGGCAGTTTCCCCTGAATCCGTGCAGATTCATATCGACGATCGATCATGATGATAGCAGCATAGTCATTGACGTGTCGGATTGCTCGCCCAATACACTGATTAACCGCTCTCATGCACGAATTCTCGTAAAAGTCTCTCCCGGCCGCCTTGCCCGCCGCCTTCCTTTCTGCTTCGGAGCCAGTGGTTTGTTTGTAGGTCTTTTCCTCCAGGTACTGGATCTTGGCCTGCCAGATCGCGCTGCGGATGTTGGGGAATGGCAGACCGACAATGAACACGCCGCGACCCAGTCTGTCAGAGAAGTTGATTCCCTCCGAAAGTTTGCCGCCCACGATGGACAGGAGCAGGGCACCGGACCCTGACTCGATAGCTTCGGTGTACTCTTGCAGCAAGACATCGGTCGATGTTACTGCCTCTCGAGAGTCGTACAGGATCTTTTTCTTGCGTGCCAGCAGGTCAAAGGTGCTCTGACCACTCGCATTTACTTTTTTCCAGACACTCAGCACATGGCTGAGATAGTCATAGCTGGGGAAGAATGCGACGACGCCGTCGGGGATGACTTGGCAGAAGGTTGCCATCGTCCGCCCAAGGTCGATGATCTATCATACACATCAATGACTGTCACGTCACATTCGGGTATAAACGGGGTGCTTACCATCTTTTCGGAACTTCGTGACTCGTAAGTAAAGTCAAAATCGTTCCCCATGAGGCCTTGGGTTAAGGACTGTGCGACCAAGTTGGTTTTGGGAATCACATGGCCGTAGCTGAAGGTACCGAGTCGTTCGGAGGGTAGGTAGGAGAACAAATGGTTCACGTAATCCGACATCTGAGAAATATCAGTATTGATTCAGATATCAATCAGACAGTTGCTTCTGTTTCTTACAGGGGACATGGTACCGCCCGCTAGAATCACAGCGCGGGCATCTTCTGCGATTTCTCGAAAGTGATTAGTAGGATCTAAAAGCATGTATTTTAGAACGATATCGTCAGGGCTCTTTTGAAAGAAAAGTCGTCCCTCCTCGGATGGGTTCATCAAGGGAAGCAGGAAACTTTGGATATGAAACAAAACCGGCACGGTGGTTCTGTCTCTAGAACGACCGGGCTGTGGCTGTTGAGATGATTCAAGGTATCCGTCGACCTTCCGGGCAAGTTTGCTCTCTTGCAGATACCGCGATAGTTTGTATGGATTGATCTGGTCTATGCCCTTGCCCGACATGAGATCTGATGCTTGCAGGGAGCCTTCGAGTGGTCCCTTCTGCTGGGAGATTGACTTCAAATGCTCCGCAATGGAGCTCACGAGGCGGATGACCTGCGCAACATAATTGCGATTTTTCCCTTTGAGCCGATTTTTGAACTTGCGAGCGTACGTCGTTAGCTGCATCACGGCCGTCTGTAGTTGACCCAGTGATACTGCCACCGAATGGATCCCGGCTATGGCATCCATAAGGTTGTGCGCCTCGTCAATGATGACAATGTGACCTTTGACAGAAAGGTTCAGGGCCTCCCGAGCCGACCGCTGCAATAACAGGGGGTAGGGAAGTGTCACAATCTAGTTCGAGTTAATGACCAAAACACGAAGCTTCTCCGACCAAGTACGATCAAGTCACTTACCTCGCTGTGCTTGATCACCGGGCGTGATGCATAATAAGGGCATATTCCAAGCTTTTTGCCCACCTGGCCAATATCCTCAATATCTTTGACTGTAGCCAGTGTGTGGTCTCTGAACTCGAGTGCCAAAGCCTCATCGTCCTTGGACGGGATAAATTTGCACTTTTTGTCAGCGGCCACACCGGGCTGCTGTAGATCTAGACACTTTTCATTGATAGCTGTATTATTCCCCAAGGCGCGAACTTGAGGATTGATGCACAAGTTCTTTCTCGAGCCCAGTGAGAGGTGTTTGACCCGCTCTTCGAGTTCCTGGGTCTCAGAATCAAGATCGTTAGGAAGGCTGGACGGGAACGTGACGCGCCGTAACTCGCCGGCGAATTGACTCAATTGCGAATGCGTTCTCGAACAGAAGAAGATCTTGATTTCGTCTTCCTCTTCCCCTTCCTCTTTCTTCGGCGCGGAGAACTGCCCTTGAAATTTTTGCAGCAGGGCTAGAGTGCTGGCGGAGAGCCCGTCAGAATCTTTTGGTTGGGCGGTTCCCTCCGTGTCGCTGTCATAGTCATCGAGGACAAATTGATCCTCGTCGGCTGTCGGTTCTGAAGCTGGCTCCTCCAACCGCTATTGTTTTGTTTCGGTCAATTCGAGACTCGCAGGGTCTGTTAGGAATCCTAATGCGTACCTGCTTTTTTCGAGGTCGCTCAACGCTCTCCTGGGCCTGTTTCAAACGCTCTTCATCTTGGCGAATCTTTGCCAGTCGCGCTTCAAATTCTTGTCTCTTCTCGGTCAGAGCGCGTCTGGATTCCTTTTTGGCAAACTCGAGCATCCACTCGGGTTCCTCATCGTCCCCTGCGACGTTAGAGCTGTCGGCTCGAGCTGGAGCTCATTTCTCTCATACCTGTGGCGTCCACGGATTCCTGGAATGCCTTGCGTTTGTGATCTCGCAGCCAGGTCAAAGAGGCACATATCAGACTCAAGGATTTTCCCTACGAGGCCCGTCACTAGTGTTGGGGCGCGTAGACGCAGGGACACTTACCGTACCTGTGTCAGATTAGATTAAGTGCATTAGGCTAATGGGAGGGCGGCTTACCCGTCGGGGATTCAAAGACGGCGATCTTGCTCTCTTCCAGGCAGGTGTACAAGGCCCGCATAAATTGCAGTTGAATGTCGTATGGCGTGTACGGATGGTGGAAATTTTGGGCCATCATAGCCAGTCAGAAGGATTGGAGTTGGGGAAAGGGAAAGCGGAGAATGGTGGAGTCGATGAAAGGAGAGTGTAATATGTATCTGCCTGCATCTTCTTACCAGTCCAATGAGGCGATGATGGATGATTCTGAATGTCTCATTTGAACGAGGCTGAGTGTCTCTGCAGAGAGCTTAAGCGGAAGAGGGCTGAGAGATCGACTCTATTAATAACTTCACCAAGCGAGTCATTGTACGGAGTAATTGACTTGATGATTTACCTCTTTTGTACTCCAAACGGTCATGAAGTAACACCAAATGTATTGAAGTGGACTCTACTTCCTCTTGGCAGCCTCTTTTTTCATTTAAACACCAAAGCACCCCTCTTAATTCTCCCCCCTCCCCTGGCCCTCTCTTTCTTTCAACCTCCCTATTATTCGACACAATGAATAGACCGCCACAGGGTCGTGGTCAGCCACGGGTGGGCGCGACATGGTATCCAGGGGGTCACGATGACTTTTACATGCCGGAGGTCATATCCCCCTCTCCTCAAAGGTACATGGGTTCCCTCAGTCAAAAACTTATACACACCCACCATGCCAAAATTACGTGTACTGATTCATCCTGGTAGAGTCATGCCAGATGTTCCTGAGAACATGCAGGACAACATCGCCCAGCTGGAACATCGCGCTCATGACCCCCGCCGCCAACCGCCCGCGCAGTACCAACAAGCCTATCCCGAGCGCACGTCCTCGGCGGCCCAAGGCCCTCCTCAACACAATCAAGTGCATGATCCAAGCTCCTACGCGCAATCGGCCACCTACGATAGTATGGATCATCCCAACTTTTCGCCGTTCCCCGTCCTCCGGAACCCGCCCCCAAACGTCCCGCCCACCGATGAACAGAGGGAAGCGAGCTTGGAACGCGCGCGGATGGCCGTGCTCTCGACGACCGACCCCGAGATGCAGCTGGCGTGGGCCTTGGACGCCCTCGCCTTTGTCGAGGTCGCCGCGCAGAACGAGGCCCGACTGAGTGTGACGCAGCCCCCGCGCCCGCAGACCCCGCAGGTCGAGCGGCAGTTGAGGGTGGACGCCATGAATATCGTCGGCTTCCTGGCTGAACAGCGCCACCCCAAAGCCGAGTTCATCAAGGGCATGTGGCTCGAGTTCGGCAAATTTGGATGCCCCGTGGATCGCAAGGAGGCATTCCGATCGTATTCGCGGGCGGCCGAGAAGGGATATGCGCGTGCTGAATACCGAATCGGAATGCAGTTTGAGAGCTCGGGGGAGCCAGAGAAAGCGATCAAACATTACCAGCGGGGTGTCGGGCGGGCGGACTCTGCGTCCTACTATGTGAGTGGAACCGAGGGGAGTGTTTGCCGGGAATGTGAGTTACTGACGGACTTTTTTAGCGCCTGGGAATGATGATTCTGCTGGGTCAACATGGCCAGCGACAGGATTTCAACACTGGCCTAGAGTATATTCGCCTGGCGGCGCAATCATGCGATCAGAACGCACCCCAAGGTGCATATGTGAGTGAACCCCAGCACATTCTTCCCGTCGGAATTACCCTAATAGGCAATAGGTATATGGTATGCTTCTCGCTCGGGAGCTCCCCCAAGTGAGTGTACCCGAGACTTTCTTGGCGATGGATCTCGACCTGGCCCGTGTCAATATCGAGAAGGCCGCCTATCATGGATTCGCCAAAGCCCAGGTTAAAATGGGTGCGGCCTATGAACTCTGTCAGCTGAGTTGTGATTTCAACCCGGCGCTGTCGTTGCACTACAACGCATTGGCGGCTCGCCAAGGAGAACCCGAAGCCGAGATGGCGATCAGCAAATGGTTCTTGTGTGGACATGAGGGGGTCTTTGAAAAGAATGACGAACTGGCATTTACCTACGCTCAGCGCGCGGCGCAGAGCGGTCTCCCTACCGCTGAGTTTGCGTTGGGTTACTTTTATGAGGTTGGCATTTTTGTTCAATCTGATATCAAGGAAGCTCGCTCCTGGTATGCCAAGGCCGCTGCGAGCGGCAACAAAGATGCATCTGGTCGTATCGAAAGTATCTCTCGCTCCAAGACTCTGTCGCGAAAGGACCACGAAAAGGTAGCGATTTCACGGATCAAGTCGACGCGATACACCGCTCATCAGCGCGGTAACTCCTTGGAGACTACCCCGGAGAATATACAAATGCCGGACCCATCGAGGATGACCCTCTCGGACGGGCCCCCAACTGCCGCTCCTTACCCTGACCGTCCCCACTCTACTCGTCCCCGGCCACAGCAGGGATACCAGCTGTCCGACCCTCGCCCAAGCTCTGCTTTCGGCGTCAACCCCAACTTGCGACAGAACGCGACCCCGGGATACGGTGGCCCGCCTCCCTCGGGCCCTGGATCTCGCAACCCCTCATACGGACCTGGTGGGCCTGGGCCTGGTCCCATGAACTACCGCCAGCCTGGCCCTGGAACACCACTCAGCGCCCCTGCTGGGCCCACCAGCCCGCAGAGCGGTAACATGATCAGCCCGAGTGGAACTCCTCGTCTCGATATTGGATATTCCGCACCCATGCCACCTCCCGGCGGAAGACGTCCCCCGCCTCGATTGGATTCGGCAGGTCCTCCGGATCGCAAACCCATGCGCACCCCCGTTTCAGCCGTCTCATCCCAGAATGGACTCCCTTCGCCCAGGCAGCAGGCGTCCCCCCGTCCCCCGGGCTCTCCTTCATATCCTCCTCGCACAGAGTCCCGACAACCCTCTCGGGGCTCTGGTGCCTCTACGCCACAGCCAGCTCCCTCGGTTGCCTCGTCGACCGCATCTGCCCCGCCCCCGCAGCAGAAGCCCGCCGCGAAGCCAGCCAACAGTAGCAAGCCACCAAGCAAGGGACCCAAGACCTTTGAGGAAATGGGTGTTCCTAGTGCGAAGAATGACAATGATTGCGTGAGTACTCTCCAGATGATATTCTGTTCAGTTGAAGTGAACTCGAGCTAACTTGAATAGATTGTGATGTGATACCCCGGGCGTTATTCCTATCTAATATCAGATGATTCTTTTTTTTTTTTTTTTTTTTTGGTTCTACCGCGTCCTTCCATGCTGTGCATTTTCTCTCTATAATCCCGGGGTTCAATAAAAGCGTTCGTCGTCCGGGGACGAATGATCTCAACGGGGGTGTTCTTTATTTCATGAATGCATCTGTGACCCTTTTCTTTCTCCTTTTTTGTTTGCCAGGGGGCATTGTCTGAACATATGGTTATTCGGCTTCTGTGGATTTCTAGGCGATTAGATATCAGTCAACCTTCCAAGGTGACCTACAAATGAATAACCAATTGACCTTGGAACTAGTCCCCTCTTTACCAGTCAATAGTTCTCCCAGGAGAGAGTGGTAGGCGTATACTTTGGGTGAAGATGAAGATCGATGGGTGGTAGACTTGAGCACGTGGTTGGGACGATAGTTGGCTTTGCTTCGCTCTTCCAGCAAGACTTGAACCTTTTTCAACTTGCCAGCAGCCCACACTCGTGCCAATTGTCTTTCTCCAGTCTATCTTTTCGCATATCTAACATCCGCAATGGCTCGTAAAAAGAATGATGCCGATGACGATGGTGAGAGCTCCAGTAGATCCTGGCCATTCGAGGACTGACCTGCTAACTGCCTTCAAGATACATCCATGGTGCGGAAGTATCTTCGTGAGTAGTCATCATAACAGTTTGACCAATAGCTTATTTGCGAACTCCCAGGCCAGCAGAAGTACACGGTTTCTTGGTCCAGTCCCAGTTCGCGTGTACTAACACTCTTTGCCTGGCAGCCGTCCGTATTCTGTCAGCTTCCTTCTGTTCCATGCCAAAGCTGTACTGGCTGCTGACCGATCTCCAGGCCATTGATGTCTCTGCAAACCTTCACAACAAAGTTTCCAAGAGTAGGGCGGGCTGATTGATCTTACCCGATACATTGCTGATATATATGTTCGTGCAGCCCAAGCAGCCAAGATTCTTCGAGGCTTACATGAAAAGAAGGAGATTGAAGGACGAGTTTCTGGTAAGTGAAAGACTTCCAAACCAAACAGATCTAGTCGTTTAGTTGCGACAGGGAAACAAACTGTCTACCATGCCCTACAAGACCCCTCGGACGTCATGACCCCTTCCGCGGCGGCGGCGCTCAAGCTCGAAATTGACCAGCTCGAGAGTCAGCTTGCAACCTTAAAAACCGAGGAGAAAAGGGCCCGAGCAGCGTTGGCCAGTCTGAAAGCATTGCCTCGAATCTCCGAACTTCGCCACGACATCAGCCACTTGGAGAGTGAAGAGTCGGCGATCCGAACGCGCTTGGCACGCCACCACGAGGATGACCCCGTGGAACTCTCACCGGCAGCACGAGCAAAGCTTGAGACGGAATGGAAGCAGTGGCAGCGACATGCCAGCGTCCGCCGGCGCATCTGCCGCGAGCTGTGGGGACAATGCTCTGAGGTTGTTCCGGAGGGTATGACGGCGGTGGAACTGTGGGTAAGTTGACCTACATTCAGATTCATTTATACCGAGTGGATTCTGACGACAAGGTGTCAGGAATCGCTGGGGCTTGAAGGAGTGCTCCAATAAGAACCGATCGAGGCGATGATGATCCCTCCAGTTCCCCACCTTCACATCATTTGACGTCTGGAGAAGACGAGAGTCACGGAGGCGATAGGACCGTGTGCGAGCATGTTATAATTGTATTTCCGTCCGCAGTGGAGATTTGATTCGACGGTCTGCAAAAGGCCTGGAGTCGATGGAATGGAGGCAGCGGAGGCAGCGGAGGGTCATGAGGACGGAAGTATTCGAAGCTTGATGTTTTATGAGGTTGATGAAGTTGATGAGCATACTATTTTTTCATAAAGAATTTCAATTAATTTAATTATCATTCCCTTTCTCTCTCCCTCTCTATCTCTCTATCTCCACTGAATTACTTGAATCATTGACAATCATCGTGATATGTAGTCGGACTTACGACTCATACCCACCGCCCGCCGAGCCTATCGTCTTTCCCCTCTCCAAATCTCCAACCCCTCTCACACTCCAGGTGTTTTCTCTCCCTTCATCTCATACCAACACAGAGATGAGAGGTCGCGCACCTGTCCCAGTTTCCTCCGGGGCCGCGCCCCAAAACGGCCACTCTCGCACTCCATCGGGACTCGACGTTGCCCGCAGCCCACCGAACCAGAGCAACAAGAGTCAGTCCTGGACATCTCCGGACTCGGGATATAAGCTCACCGAATATTTTTACAGATACCAAACATGTTCCTTGCAAGTTCTTCCGACAGGGCGCGTGTCAGGCAGGCCCTGCTTGTCCTTTTCTACACTCCACCGACGCAGGAATTGAGTACGCCCCATGCAAATATTTCGCCAAGGTATGAGCCCGGTCCCCTCTCGCCCTGTTGTATCTCCTCATTTGGAGTCTTCCGAGGGATTTGGAAGTTAACGGAAAGACAATTCTAGGGTAACTGCAAATTCGGCGCAAAATGCGCACTGGCGCATATCCTACCAGATGGACGGAGGGTCAACCGGCCCACTGGAGGCATGGGAATGGGAAGTGGTCACCTCAATTTGGGCGGCAGAGTGAACCCGCAAGCCTACGTGAACCAGGATTCCGCTTTGACCAACTCGGTGCTTTCGCAGCAGCGCATGAATGGCCATGAACAGCAGCCCAGATATGCCCCGCAGATGCCCCCGCAGGACGAGTATGGATCCCTGCAAGGCCAGCAGCAGCAACCCTACGATGGAATCCCGACGATCGACACGGGTCTCGCCTCCGATGCCGGGTCCAAGTACGGCTCCCCCATTGACGACGTTCGATTCCCCATGTCGCCCAACCACAACCACCTGACCGCCCTTGACGCGGGGCTCCCGGCCTCCTTTGACAGCCAGGGCATCTCCCACGCCGCTCGCTATGGCCCGGTGGCTGCTTCGGTGCCGTCGCAGTTTGGATTGGAGTCGCCTCCGGCTCAGAGACCTGGTCAGGCGGATGTCTTCCGGAACTTGCGCGACATCGGATACAGCACGAGCTTGCGGAGGCCGGGATCGAATATCGGATCATCTCCTCCTGCCCCCGACGACACCATTGGCACTCGGTTCATGCATTCTTCCCGTCCTGTCAAGCCGCGCATGCTTTCCGCCAGTGTCCCACGCCCTACAGCCCTCGAGGACTGGGACGAGAATTTCCCCATGGAGGAAGACTACTTGCCCGTCAACCTGCACGATGATGTCTTGACCCCGCAGGAGAAGCTGCGCCGACTTTCCCGGACCGATCATGACCTGGGTTCCAGTCACCGAGACATCAGCGGTCTCGGTATGACCAGCACCAGCTTCTCCAAGACCGGTTCGCCATTGGCCTCTAGTCCGTCCCGATTTGGTGCATTGTTTGCCAAGCAGCGTCAGCGCAAAGAAGAAGAGTCCCACGGCTCTTCCTCCTTCCACATCGGCTCTCCTCTTCGTGAATCATCCCTGAACCCCATCACCAGCCCTAGCCTTGGTCCCATTGGCAGCAGCAGAGCCTCTCACGACGGGGGATCCTTCCTTTCCAGCCCTGGACGCCAATCATCCATGTCCATGATCTCCGATCAGCTTGGAGGTATGTCCCTTCACCCTGGCTCCGCTCGCCAGTCATCCACGGGCCCAAGTGGTCGTCTGGATCGTATCATCTCCTCGCCCGTCAACACCACCAAAATCGAAGAAGAAGAAGACCCCAGTGATCTCGTCTTTGACATGGAAGAGGAAGTGGGCAACAAGCGGACCAGCACCTCCTGGGGTGAGAACAAAGAAACCACCGATTCCTCCTAAGCCCTTTTCACCTCATGACGATACGCCACTTCAGACTTGTCCATTGAAACATGTTCATACAAAACAAAACCAGAGGAGAAAAAAAGGACATTGGAGTTCAATTGGGCACATACTTCCAAAAACGGGAGATAATACACACGTCTCTCAGAAAGACCTGTCGGGCCAAAAAAAAAAGACAGAAAAGAAAGGGAAGAACGCGACATAAACACAAAACCCCATCTTGCCCATAGACTGTGGCATTGCATTGCTCTTTCGTTCATCTAGACCAGTCAATATGTTCTGGTGCGGGTTATTTTCCATCAACTGTATTAATCTTTGTGTTCTGTATGCTTGGGTTAAACCTGACCTTCTGATTTCCTGCTTTCTTCTGTTCATGAATTCACGACCTGCGTTTGGTGTTTTCTTTTCTATTTCTGTTTCTTCGAGGCTTTGTCTTCTGCTGGAATACTCGGCCTGTACAAACTGGATACGTGCAAATAAACATGTTCTCATAAAGTAGAAAGTATCTCTCATTGAAATAGTCTGCCTAGTCATACAATTGCTAAATCTTGCGCTTGAAAGAAGGAATTGACGCCGTTTGAAACCCAGTGCCGCACCTAAGCCTCATCCAAGTAAACAGCAGTGCCCTTCAAATTAACCAATCCCTCAGTTCTCGACTGATCCTGGATCTGCTGAGTCTGTTCCTTGGCCCGGTTGGCTAGGATGCCACGCTGATGCGCGAGATTAACGTCAGTAGCATCGCTGTGCTGACCAGCCCGAAGAGACTCCAACAATTCCGAAGTGCCCGCAACAACACCCTTCACAAGGGTCTCCACAGCCCGACCAGTGAGTCCCTCGATGCGCTGTGCGAGTGCAGATTCTTCATCAGCGCGGCGACGCTTGGACTCGGCTTCCCGCTCTTGCTTCTCCTCTTCGAGCTTACGTTTGCGCTCTGCAACCTTCGCTTGATGGCCCTCCTTGGCAGCAAGGTACTTGAGAGAATGGCTGAGCTTCTGTGGTGGAGGGATGTAGTCAACCGGTGGAGCGGAGAAGAACAACACACGGCCCTGATCATCGCAGTGGAACTGGCGGCGGATATCTTCGGGGATAGAGGCGTTGGCTACATCGCTGAGATGGAAGACTTCCACGGGGCGTGGGGCGTTGGGATTGTATGCTGCGGGAGGTACTTGCATACGGTTGCCTGGGTAGCCCGTGTACGGGGTTTGCTGGGCTGGCATGGGCTGGTAGTTGCCTGCGGGAGTCTGTGGAGTGGCAAAGTTGCTCGCGCGTCGTTGCAGAGACGCTTGGTAGAGCTGGGCCTGGCTCATTTGAGGTTGGAAAGTAGAAGATGGGGCGGGAGATGTTTGAATAGCGATGGGAGCCGCAGGTGACCGTGCCTGGAGAGCGGCTGAGCCAGGGCTCATGGCAGTGATGGGGAGTGGTTGACCCATTGACTGGCGTGGTATCGCAGACTGGGGGAGAGAAGGAGGAGGCGGTGATGGTGTTGGTTCGGGTGGTGGGGACTCCTGGGGGTGACAATTAGCTTTTGGGGTGATTTATTAGGTTAAGAGCTAGGCAAACTTACGTTCTCATCTCGCGGCCGACGGTGCACGGCGCCAACGACAGGTGGTGCGTTATCAGCTCCCCACGTTGGTCGGGGAAGATCGTCAGTCTCCTTGGAATCTTCTTTGAGAAGATCCTTAATTGGAGTCGGGATCTTTTTAATTTTGCGAGGCACATCAAACAAGTCCATCTCGTAGTCTTTCTCTCGCACTTCATCTGGCAAGCAGCTGGCCCACGTCTTGATCTTGTTCAGTTTATGTTTCTCCTCGTTGTAGCGTGCCTCGCACACATAGATCTCCTTATCAGGTGCCAGGTCTCTGGGGCGACCACGGCTGTAACGTGTGAAGAACATCACGAAGCAGCGATCCACGATCTCATCAATGCGATGGTCTCGGTATTGGCCAGTCTTCACCACTTCATTGGGATAGAAGTGCTTCTCAAAGTGGTGCACTGTTTGCTCAGGTCGATAGTACCAGCATGCATTAATCCACTTCTCACCATCCGAGTCCTGCCAGGTTCGGTAAATCTGTGCAACGATTGGCTTGGTCACATCGTTTTGATTCTGGATATGGACCCAGTCGCCGACTTTCCATAGCTCACCGCGGTGCAGAATACCATCGGGCAGTGGGAAACGACCATCTTCCATAAGGAACTCGCTGTCTGGTTTCTTCTTCTCTGCGTCGGCTAGCTTTCGCGACTCGATTTGCAGATCAACAGCATCCTTGTAGATTTGACTATCAGACTGATTGTACGCCTTGGCGTTCTCAAACATGTGATCGAGATCGCGCATGAAGTGATCGACAGAGGTGTACTTCTTGCGCTTGGACTTGCGCTTGATACCGTCAATCGCGATGGGTTCCTTAATCTCATGGTAATAGTCAGGATAAGCTGACTTATCGGGAAGTCGTTCGAAGTGGGTGATCTTCATATGTCCACCAGCACCCTTGAACTTTCGGATTCCTTTCAGGATGGTCTTTATGCGTGTTTCCATGGGCGTATCCACGCGGGGAGGGCGACCTCTCTTCCGACGAAGGTCGGGCTCGTTCTTTGGGGCCATTCCACGCTTGAAGCCAGGCTTAGGTCCGGGCTTCTTTCTGCGCCGACCCTCATCTTCAGAGTCGTCATCTTCGTCTTCTTCATCCTCCTCTTCTTCTTCATCATCATCGGGCAAAGGATCGGCCTCGGGGATCTCTCCAAGATCTGGAAGCTCTGCCTCGTCAGCAGCAATCGCACCCTGCGCGGCCAGCTTTCTGAACTCGGAGGCGAACACGTCCTGCAGGTTGTCAGTTCACGTGTACGCAGACACGCCGTGCGCTTTTTGGGGGAGCTTACCCTGATGATGAGCGCATCTTCGTATGCTTGTGATCGGGGTCGATTGTATGTTTGCGCATTGTGCGGGATCTATTTGGTTAGCCCATGTATCAATCCGAACCGGTGCAATGTCTTACCAAGGCGCAATCGCGAACGAACTCGGAAAACTGCTTGTACTCTCGCTTGTTGATGCGCGCTTTCAGAATGCTCAGCGCCATGGGCTCCTTGATGATCTCATAGTAATCGGGGACGTAGCGCTTGTTGACACTGCGGTGAAACAGTCTGGACGGGTCATGACCACTGCGCAATTCCTTGTTAGCCAATCGAGGTTCGGAGCTGAACGTTTTTCTCTCAACAGAAGGCTTACTCTTCTTCACGATAGTCATAGATCGCCATGACCAAGTTCATCATCACTTTCCATAGTTCGGGGGTGATTGACCCGTCATTCTCGATGGAGTTGACGGGCTCCTCACGCGGGGGTTGCGAACCCTGCTCGGACTCCATATCTGCAGGCGCTTTTTTTTTCCGCCACAAATTGAAGGAGTATGAGTGATTGGGACCAGATGGAGCAAACCAAAGTGTCGCAAGGAATAGCTCAGAACCGAAGAATGTTTGACTGACGAGCGCGTCAACGCTTAGTAATGATTTTATTGTTACCAGATACCGTATTGTCAATACGCATTCACATGACGAAGGAAGTATATTCGTCTATTTGTCTACTTCGCCCATTTAATGTCCCCATTTAATAAATCAGATGAATGCTTTTGCTCTTACCTGAGGTCTACAGATGGACGCAGGTGGGCAATTCCACCTGTGCCAGGTTGCTTCTTCAGCCACCTTCGGTAATGTGCCATCTACAGCTTCCATCAGATTGCGGTTTGCTAAAGCACTCACTCTACACTTACATGTATGAGTAGTATATTGCTTCTTGAAACTACAGAGTTTCGTCACATCATATCCTCTGCTCTATAAGAGTTTCACCATAAGACACTGTTTATAACTTCGTGCAAGTGTTGAATACTAACTACTGCAATCTCATTGCGGGCCCTACCCCACACGGCGTCATATCTGCCACTTATCGGAAGCTGGTTCTTTTGCCTCTCCAACATCTCACCCACTCAACATGCGAATTCGAGTTCGGGGCCCTTCTGGCCAGTCTACAATTACACTGGAAGACTCTGCAACCATCCAAGAGCTTCAAACTCAAATTACGGAGAAAACCGATCTGGCAACTTTCGACGTGAAGTTCGGCTACCCCCTCAAGCCGCTCGAGCTCGATAGCTACCCACCGGGCCAAAAGATTATAGAGACTGGAATCAACCTGAATGGGGAGACACTTATCGTTGCACAGAAAGAAGGGGCTACCCGACCTGCCAACGACGAGCCGCCATTACAAACCACAACCACGGCAGCTCCAACGCAGCCAACAAGGGCGCACAAGCCAGAAAGCTCTGCCGATGATCCACCAGAGATCGCCTCTCCCGAACATGCAGGAACCTTCGTCCTCCGTGTCATGCCCGATGACAATTCATGCCTCTTCCGAGCAGTAGGCGCCGCCGTCATGGGCGATATGGACACGATGGTGGAATTAAGATCAATCATCGCCGGCGCGATCCAATCAAACCCCGGAGAGTACTCGGCAGCGATCTTGGGCAAGAAGCCTGATGAGTATTGTACCTGGATTCAGAACGAGGACTCGTGGGGCGGCGCCATCGAGCTCAAGATCCTGAGTGAATACTTCAACATTGAGATTTGTTCCATCGATGTACAGACTCTGAACCTCTTCCAATTCAACGAGGGTGCGCCTACGCGTTGTATCGTGGTATATTCAGGCATTCATTATGATGTACTCGCGTTGTCTCCCTCCGATCCACCTTATACCCGTGCGAATCCTTTGGCATTCGGGGACACCAAGATCTTTGAGGCTGTCGATCCGGTCGTCTTGGAAAAGGCCAAGGAGCTGTGTCGAGTACTGCAAGGGAAGCATTATTATACTGATACATCTGGATTTACGGTCCGCTGCAATACCTGCGGAGGTACATTTACTGGAGAGCGGGGCGCCACCAAGCACGCCGCGGAAACCGGCCACTATGACTTCGGAGAGGCAAATTAGCCTCGGCTTTACATATAAGAAAAAGACATAGAACATGCATTTGCGGGAGCTTATATTTTACATGGGTTTGGTGATAGTCTTCATTGTCGTGAATGGATTAGGCATAAATCAATATCATAGATCGTACAAGGTTCTCATAGCATGGCAACTTCATCTGCCTCGTCTTCCTCTTCCTCTTCCGCCGAGTCTGCGCTTTCTTCTGGGTTGCCACCCCACTCGACATCATGATGAACGGGGGCAGTGAAGAATTCATGCTGTAGAGCGTCTGTTGCGCTGAGTCGCTTGGAGGGGTCCAGTTCCATTAAACCGGCCAGAAGACGCGTTGCTTGTTGCTCGCTTTCGGTCAAATCTTCCACACAGCTGGACCATTTGACTAGCTTCTCCCAGCCGTAACCCTTCTCTCCAATTGTTGGAATATTGGTTTCGAAGATCTGACCATGCATGGCCGCGGCGGTCTTCATGCGCCGGATACCGAAAATACTGGATATCTCAATCATTGCGTCGATGTCGTCTGCGGAGTTGAAGAAGGGGAACCGGCGTCCCAGCAAGGTCAGCAAAATGACACCCACTGACCACATGTCAATCTTGGTTGTCTGTGAGGTGCATTTCAGAAGAACCTCTGGGGCTCGGAACCCTCGAGTTCCTGCACGATTCGCACGTCGCGAGGGCCGTGAGTCGTTCTTGGGGTATCCGGCTGAGACGCCCGCGGGTGGTGGGTTTTTGGAGTAGTAGCTGGACAATATCCGGCCTCGGCGAACATAGCTCTGGTGGGTACATAGGCATGGACTGCCCGAGTATTCAGATCCTTCACGCTGCAGGAACGGTCAGCATGCGAGGAATTGTTTGATGGGCTTGATTTTCATACCTCAGCGAGTCCAAAGTCAACCAAGACGCCTTCCTTGAGATCTGGATTGTAGAGGAAGTTGCTAAAACTGCTTGTCAGCACGGGCCCAAGTATACCAGGAAGGAGGCATGCTGAAACTTACGTTGGCTTGATATCACGATGGAGAATCTCGTGCTCGTGTACCGATTTCAGCGCGGTCAGTAGAGATCGTAGGTAATGGCGCATGTCTGCAACCATGAACGTGCGGTATTGAATGCGAAAGTCTGTGTGTGGGAAGTAGGGCAATACGGCAACCACTTGATCTTGGTATCGGAAGGCCGTGATGAGTGGGCAAACAGACCCGCAGCCTCGAAGATCATGCAACAGTTCGAGCTCGTTCTGGATTCGCAGCGGGCTACTTGTGACGTAGATTTTCTTTAATGCGACGAATCGAGGCTTCTTGCGGTCTGCTGGCGCGCCTTCCACACGCCTCCGTTTCGAAGGAGGGCTGACATAGTTGTCTTGCTGTGCGCGTGAAAAGATATCCCAGTCATTGTTGTATTGATCGTAATGAAGATCCTCCGCTTTGTAGACAGTAGAAAAAGTGCCTATGCTTTGTCAGTACCACAAGATCAGAGGCAACCGCGGATTGATCTGAATACCTTCTCCAATCCGATTGACTAGACGAAACCGATCTGAGATTCCTGGGAATGTGTCCTCGAGCTTTGCCATGTCCTCTCGGACCGATTCATCCACTTCTTCCTCGTATTCACTCTCGCGGGGCGTCCCGCCTCTGGACTGTATGGTATCTTCTTCATCCCGCGCAAATTTTGTTTGCAATGCCTTTGCTTCTCGATATGAGTTGCTGCGCTGCAACTCGAACACGCCTGGGGCGGCGTATCGAGTCGACATGCTTTGCGCGGTGGACACGGAATAATGGTGGGATCTGGCAGTGAGAGCTTGATCGAGTCACGAGACTGCGGCTTTGAGGTTCGAGAAGACCAAGGAATGAGAGGACTCGGGACAATCCAAGATGTCGAAGAAAGTAAACAATATCTCTTCAAAGCATCGCAATTGCCCAATAATCCAAACGCGGTAAGGAACGCGGTGACACAATTTGACAATACACCAATACAGGGCGGTCAACGGTGCATGCGCATATCTCTCTGCAGGTGCTTTTAGATTGAAGTTGTATTGAATCTAATGCTTTTGTGAATATCCGATATGACTCTTCAGCTTTACTTGATTTAGATCTTATCACATTCAATATCGATAGCTCAGAGATGTTGAAGCCCCGAACATGCATCCGTATTCATACAGTATTGGAGTACGGTGGATTACATAACACCGAAAAGGGCAAAAGCCAAACAATCAGTGATCCTTATCAACAATCCCTCCCCGCTTCTCTTTTTCTTTCAACTGCGCCATGGAGGACCGAATTCAGTTCGATATAAATGAGTCGCTCAAGTATTACTTGAGTGATCCCACTTCTGTTTCTACCCCCGATGCGGATCCGGAATTGCTGGACTGCGAATCCGACCCGGAGCAACTATCGCCAGCGCTGATTGACAATGTCTTGAACCCGATCGTGGATGCCGTCGCGGAGAACCCCGAAGGATTAACCAGAGCGTCCATCTTTGACTCTCTACAATTTCTATTAAAGTGCGCCCCGGTCCCTTCCCAACTTGCCCATGGTGGATGGCGCCCCTCTGGAGTCGACTCTGACGAACCTTCTTACTCACGCAGATATTCAACCTGTCTTCCCGCAAAGTCACTCAGCAAACTATTAGATTTGGTGGTTTCCGGCTTGTCCATCGAGGCCGACATTATCCATGGAGATCTTGAATCCGACGAACAAGATGCCATCCAACACCACAAGCAGCTGCTGGAGATGTACGGATTCCTCCTCCAGTGGGCCCTGTCGGCTGTGGAGGTCAAGGCAGCGGAAAAGCCTACCGAAGCAGCGCCTGTGAGACGGGGAGGCCCCAAATCCAAGAAATCCGCCAACAGCGGCCAGTGGGATTGGACACCGCAGATTCAAATTTCCATGGAGACCATGTGCAAAGTGATGAAGCTCAAACTTGGACGCATATTCTTGACCACCTCGGATCGCGATACCTTCATCAGTCTGTTTACCCGAACCATTTATCTAGTTCTCGAGAGCGAGCAGCGAGTGAAGAGCATGACTATCCGTATGCATGCATTCAAAGTTCTGTGCATCGCGGTCAAGCATCACGGGCAGGCATTCGGTGGGTACTCCGGTATGATGGCTAGGGATAAACTAATATCGGTGCAGGAGCGCAAACCTCGATTGTTCAGAGCTTGACCTATTTTGAGCATCTTTCCGAGCCCATGGCCGAATTCCTTCACATTCTTGCAGAGCAATACGACTACCCACAGCTTTCCGACGAAATCTTAAAGTACGGATTGATTTTCGATGTGTCTAATAGCCAAGCCGTCTACTGACCACGCCTTCAGGGAACTTGGAAACAAAGAATTCAACTCTAACGACACCAGAGGACCGAAGTCTGTATCATCGTTCATTATCAAACTCTCTGAGCTTGCTCCCAGGTTGATTATCAAGCAAATGACTCTGCTGGCAAAGCAGCTTGACAGCGAGGTAATTTGATGGTTTTGCTTTCTCTGTTGTATTTGACTGACCCAAAGACCAGGCATACACATTGCGGTGCGCGGTGATCGAGGTCTGCGGAAACCTGATCTCCGACCTCAGCCGACAGGAGGAACGTAGCGAAAACTACAAGACTCAAATCAATGCCTTCTTCGACGTTTTGGAGGAACGGTTCCTCGATATCAACCCGTACTGCCGTTGCCGTGCCATCCAGGTCTTTATGCGAATTTGTGACTTAGAGCAAAAGTTCCCCAAAAGGCGACAGGCGGCAGCCGAGCTGGCTGCCAGGAGTCTGGAGGACAAGAGCAGCAATGTGCGACGCAATGCAATCAAGCTTCTCTCTAAGCTTGTATCTACGCATCCATTCAGTGTCATGCATGGCGGACTTCTATCATACAAGGAATGGACGGAGAGACTAGACGGGGTTGACGCTGAACTGAATGCCCTGCGTCCCCCCGAGACTCCTGGTTTCGAAGCAGGCGACATGACACAAGTTGATCCCGAGCTATTGGATGATGCTACACAATTGCCCGATGAGTCCCCCTCAAAGGCGCCTCGCATGAGCGACGAGGAAAAGGCTATCGCTGTTCAAAAAGCGGCAGAGCAGGCCGCTACATCCGAATTGTTGACTAGACTTCAATTGACGAGGAAGTATTACAACGAGGCCATTCGGTTCATCGAGGTACTCCACTCCGCCTCCACCATCGTCACGCAGCTTCTCTCCTCTCGAAACAAGAGCGAAGTCATCGAAGCCATGGACTTCTTTGTGATGATGGATGCCTACAAAATCGAAACTGCACGCAGTGGGATTCGTCGCATGCTGCGGCTGATTTGGACCAAGGGAAACAGCGACGAAGGAAAGGGTGTCCAGTCGCACTTGATTGACTGCTACAAGGGCCTCTTCTTTGACGCACCCGGATCCTTCACCCCCAACGATGCTGCGAACTACATTGCCCGTAACATGATCAGTTTGACCTTTGGCGCAACTCCCGCAGAGCTCACATGTCTTGAGCAATTGTTGAGCACCATGATGAAGGCTGGCAACGTCTCCGAAGCAGTCATCGCTAAGCTCTGGCAAGTTTACAGCATTCAAAAGAAGGAGATCTCACGGACCCAGCGCAGGGGCTCGATCATCGTCCTTGGCATGCTTTCATTGGCAGATCCAGAGGTGGTGGTCAAGGAGATCGAGGCCATGCTGCGAATCGGTCTGGGTGGATATGGCAGGTCTGATCTGGTACTTGCCAAGTACACATGTATCGCTTTACGGCGCATGATCCCGGGCCGGCAGGCCAAGTCAAAGGAGGTCGTCGGTATTCCCAAACTCGCCAGTGATCACTCAGTCCTGGTCCGCTTGGCCGCGATCCTTGAGATTGAGACCACCAGCAAGGAGTGGTACGGAGTGGCAGAGCATGCTCTCAACGCTATATACGCTCTTTCCAAGCACCCCGATGTTCTATGCTCCGATATTCTGCGGCGAAAGACCATCTTTGTGTTCCAGCCTCATCTTCAACAACGCCCACCTTCTTCCCACGCCTCTGTTGGAGGTGACGGGGAAGATGAGGAAATGGCGGACGATGAGCGCCCTGCCACTGCATCATCCGAGACCCAGGAGCCAAAGCCCAAGCCAGCCTCCGCTGCCCTGTCACAACTGTTGTATGTCGTAGGTCACATTGCCATTAAACAGATTGTGCATTTGGAGTTGGTTGAGCTGGACTTCAAGCGCCGCAAGGTTGAGCAGGAGAAGACTAAAGCGGCCGCTGAGCCGCAAAAGAAAGAGAATGCAGATGAAGACGAACTCGACCTCATTGGCGGAACGACTGAAGATGATTTCCAAGATGCCATGGCTCACATCCGAGAACGCGAGCTGCTCTTCGGGGAACAATCCCTTTTGGCCAAGTTTGGTCCGCTTGTGATCGAAATTTTGGCTAATAACAACTCCTATCCCGACCGAGATCTCCAAGCCTCAGCGACCTTGTGCATTGCCAAGCTGATGTGCGTGTCTGCCGAGTACTGTGAGAAAAACCTGCCGCTCCTTATCACCATCATGGAGCGGTCCGAGGATCCTATCGTCCGAAGCAATGCCGTCATTGCTCTGGGTGATATGGCTGTGTGCTTCAACCATCTCATTGACGAGAATACCGATTTCCTTTACCGTCGTTTGAACGATGAGGATGCTTCCGTCAAGCGTACCTGCTTGATGACCCTGACCTTCCTCATTCTCGCTGGTCAGGTTAAGGTCAAGGGACAGCTTGGAGAGATGGCCAAATGCTTGGAGGACGAGGACAAGAAGATCGCCGATCTGGCTCGCATGTTCTTCACGGAATTGGCGACCAAGGATAATGCCGTGTACAATCACTTCGTTGACATGTTCAGTCTGCTGAGTGCAGAGCGCAACCTGGATGAACAAGCTCTCCGTCGTATTGTCAAGTTCTTGATTGGCTTCGTTGAAAAGGTACGTCTACATTCGGCTGATATCGTCATCCGCTTTCGCTAATTTGATTCTTTAGGAAAAACACGCTCGCCAGCTCGCCGATAAGCTCGCCGCTCGACTGCCTCGCTGCGAGACAGAACGGCAATGGAACGATGTTGCATATGCCCTGTCGCTTCTGCCGCATAAGAACGAGGAGATTGCCAAGACTGTCAGCACTGGCTTCAAGGTCGTCAGTGCCTCAGCTTAAGGTTGCCGGGATGATTATGTGTTGATGTATGATGATTAGGGCCTTGGGGCCCGGCGTTGGGGCTTTACGGGGCTTTGTAATTGTTTTCTGGACAGTCATCACTGTTTTTTTTTTTCTACCACCATAATACAGACTTTGTGTCATGAAGAATATACGAGGATGTACAAACTAAGTAGGATGAAACTTCATTGGTATATGGTATACCAACAGGCCTGTCCGATATGAAGCCCTGGACTGTATTTCATTAAGGGCTGCAACTCTGTGCAGGTGCATTCCTCATTGCACCGGAGGTATCCAATAGCAAAATTCTTCAAAGTGATGCACAAGATCTAGTAGGGAAGAAGACAACAGACCGGACACAAAAAGTCAAATCACGAGAGAGACGCCGAGGTTTGTATGGCCGCATACCAGATACGCCATAGCACAAAGACACGATCTATGCACCCTTGACCGTACTTTCAGTCAATGCGAACTTGTCGGCACGAATCCCTTCAAGAGCCTTCTGTCCCTCCTCTGTGAGCTCAGGCTTGCCCAGCGGCGTCACAGCCCCAGTGAAGAACCGCGGGCTCCACTCAGTCCCCTTCTCGGTCCGCTCCGTCGCCCGCTGCCGTTGCCGCTCCTCAATATCCTGCTTGAGTTTCGTGGCCTGGCTAAACTGCTTGGCAACAATAGCATCGGTCACCTCTGACCAGAACTTCAATGACTCGTTCGAGAGCTGTTCCTCCGCAGGAGGCAGTTCCTTTGTGACGGGGAAGAGCGGCGTGATGTCGATGAGCAGAGTTGAGTCCTTGCTACCGGCCGGGGTGAAGTATATCTTTCCGTGCCAGGAGCCAGTGATTCGAGCGACAATGTCTTTCTCGGGTACATCCTTCATCCTCGTGACTGTGTCTTTGTCCGCACTATAACGGAAGATCACACCTTCCATCTTATTCTGAGTCCGGCCAATCCACCCTTCCTCCATGTACTGCAAAATTGCCTTCAACCCTGTCTTCGGGCAGGTGACGTAGCAGGTGTCGGCGACTGTGATTGAGAGTGCACCCCGCAGTATTCCGCCTAAGTGAGCATCTGGATGTGTCAACTGATATTCTTCGTTGTCCCGCTTCTCAATATTGACAAAAATTCCGAGGTTGTGTTGGCCGGGGCTGACGCGGATGCTGGTGCCGGTGAATTTGGCGCTGATCTGATCGAATCCACGCGCCGATACGCCTCGCTCCGGGCAGTCGATATAGAAGGCCGAGACTGGAGGGTGGTGGGAGGTCTGTTCTGTAAGGTAGCACACCTTGACCTTGTCATCTCCGTCGGTCACGGTGGAGGAGCCATTGGAGGCGGGGTTGATTCCGGGGAGGTTCGCTTCCTCGGGGATGTTGTCATCGACTTCCCACGAGCACTGGATGTCGGTTAGCGATCGGCGCCAAACGAGAGAGATCCGACGTTCTTACCCGGAAGAATTCACCCAGAGTCGAGTTGTATGGTTTGCAGGGTTTCCCCTTGATATATTTCTGTCATGCGGTGTTAGTACCTGTGGAGTGCGACAGGGAAGAATCGGGGGACATACCAGATCTTTGGTGAACCAGAACCGTAAGACCTCCAACATCCGACCTAACTCATCATCCGACTTTCCAATGCTGTAGCTCTTGGGTCAGCACACGAGCATCCGCCAAATATGGGCACTTTTGCTGACCTCGCAAAGGTCTCCGGTCGATCTAAATAATGCCAGTATTCTGCCCGCCCGCATGTCAGCTTCAACCCCGCACAGCATATGAACGATGGCACCTACCCAGGTTGGGCCGTGGCTCCAGCAGTTGCGCGGGCAGCGAGAATCGCACCGAGGCGATATCAGCCACCCCGACGAACCTAGAGACGTGGATACGTTAGCGCCGGTTGGAGGGAGCGGGAAGGCCGCCATGCGGGGGAGGGAGATTCTCGTACTTTCGGAGAATGGAGAGGAACGTCTTCAGCTTGGAAGAGTCATCTGGGGCCTTCTCAGGCACAGCGGTAGCAGACATGATGATATGTGTTCAGGGAGATATGTGGGAAGAGTGACAGAGTGCCGAGGACGGAGTCCGGAGTGGCAAAGTGGCAAAGTGACCAAAGGGACTCCTATCTCGAGGGAAGCAAGGAAGTCAAGTAAGTCAGACGAGTCACGAGGAATCCCGATAGATCCAAAAATGGCTCCAAAGAAAAACAAAAAAGAAAAGGGAGGCGAAGGAGCGATAGCATTCGAGGCGGTGACGTTTGTTTTTTTGCCCGGTGGGGGGCAGGTTTTTATACAATTGCGACTACATTTAGACAGTCGGCTTTCTCTTTCTCTCTCTTCTATTTATACATGTTTGATGCCTAGGGGACTTGCCTAGTTCTGTTCTAGACGCAATTCCTTGGTGACTCTGACTGGCTCCCTGCAGCCCTATGACTTCTTGGTGTACATTAGTATCCAATCCCAACGTCTCACCCTACGTCACCGATAAGTATTGGGTCGGATATATAAAGAATGCATTTGTACGATGACCAAATCCAAGACAGTATAAGGGTTGGATCTATTCGATTGTACTCCGTAGAGAGTCCAAACCTCCGAACAGAGAGCAGAAAGTAGAAATAGGGGGTATCATCGGCCAATCACTCGGCCACGAGGGCGGACAACTCCTGCAGCTCTTGTTTCCGCGCCAAGAGCCGTAGCCACCAGCGAATCGCCGGGCTGTAATCATATCGACGCCCGGCCGCATATTCATCATCCGACCGATGGGACTGCTGTTCTTCACGAATCCGTGATCGCAGTCCCCGCTGATTTTGGGATTGGGTCTGCTGATGCTGTAGTAACTGACTTTCGGAGCACGTGTGGTATTCCTGGAGGATCTCCGCGGGAATGACCACCGCATCAATAGCCTCTCGGGTCAGGGTCAGGGAATCGTCAGGCCCGAGCACGGTGTCATCCAAGGCAAGTGCTTCGGGTAATGACCCAAGGCTACTGGCACGTTCGTTGAGAACCTCGAGACTCTTCACGTTGACAGCAAGCTCGGTGACAAGATCAGGGAGAGGGTCATGTACAAGTCCCAGGATGGAGAACTCGATTTCATCTTCCTCATATGCAGCCATTCGGTCTAGAAGATTGGGCCTGACCAGTTGGAGCCAGTCCTCGTCGGAACATTGACCTGTAGACCCGTTAGTGCCATATTTCTTGAAGTATCATCGTAAAACTCACCAAGTGCCCGAGGTTGTCGCTCCAACCCATCGAATTTCCAAAGCTGGCCCATGGCGGGCATAAATGCAATAAAATGGAAGGCGGTATCTGATTCATCGTCTTCATGGCCTTTGGGGCCCCTCTTGCGGGTGGTGGCCTCCGTCTTTAGCTGGAAGTCTGAATTGAGGATGTCCATTTTCCTACATATAATCAGCCAGGGAGTCAACCACTGCCGAATGGAATCTTACCTCGCATATGAGTTGTGTATCCTCTTAACAAAGTCGAAGTTGTTGATTGCGTCCCCACGCAGGGCTGGAGTGAATGGCATAGTAAATTCCTTGAATGCCCGAAGATGTTCACCAAGGTCAACACCGGGGATATTATTCACAATATTGAGCAGTGCCACACTGGCACATGCATTGTTGGCTGTCTGTGGAGGGTTAGCAGCGTAACGACGGACTGAGAAATGGAGTTCTGACTTGGTTTGCGAACCAGAGTCCGTCTGGACAAGTCGCTTCTTGCTTTCCATCGGTGTCCTGACGCCAACGGAATAGGAATATCAAGCCATATACCGGATTGCTGCCCGTGGTTAGCTATCATACCGTTGACAGGATATAGACCACGTACCTGAGGAAGGCCATCATCTCTTCGTCGAGGGAAACCACTTCCTGAACTTTGACGCCTTTGACGCCAAAATCTCGCAGCATGACATTGAACAAAGCCTGAGTGAATTCCAAGCGTTGATCAGTCCACACATTCTTCGAAGTGATGAGCAAATCATACCGGCTCCGATTCAATCTCGCAGAACCCATTCCAACTATCTTTCTCTGAGCTGGAAGCGGGCTGACAGATCTCGTCAGGTTGTAAATCATTATCGGTCAAACGACGTCTCTTGACTCTGGTCCCCATACTGATCGATTTTCACTGATATATGTCACGCAAAACGTCTTGGTAAGAAAAACGAGGATAATTCACGAAAGAGAAGTGAATGGGAAGCTCGGTAGATAAAAGATTTGGATAAAAAGAAAGATAGAGAGAAAGAATGAGATCTCAATAGACAATGAAGCAATCGAGACAATAGAGAGCTGAGGCGGCTATAGTGTGTAGTGGCATGTCGTTGGACCGAGCTTCGACGCGCTTCCCGCGTCTCTCCAACTTTCAACTTTCAACTTTTTGAGCCTTTCACTATCTGCCACACACAACCACCTAGGTTTCTCCATTGTGCTCATAGGAAAGCATTATTCGGCTGCTTTTTAGAGTTCTCTTTTGCTGAGTTCTCTTTTCCTATAAAGTCGCCACGGCATAGCTCTGGCAGCCACAGCATGCCATGAACGGCACTCCCCTTCTCCCGTCTGCCTTTCCTGAGACGCCCAAGAACATCCCGGGCAGGAAAAGGCTCTTTGAAACTCCTTCGCGATCGCAACCACGAGAGAACCGCCCTCTGAGATCGTCCACCAGATCCCCAGTCAAATCCGCCTCCAAGGTCTCGAGACTACCACCGCCAAACCCCAATAACAATGCGCCACTGATCTCCACTGATGTGATCGACGCTCCCTCCCAGCGACTCTATGTCGTCGCGGTGTATATTGCATTGAACGCGTGGAGGTTCTATGAATCTCTGACTGCATCAGATGATCTGGATTCCACCTGGCTCCTCTTGAAATGGGCCACAATAGATGGAATTTTCTTGGTTGGACTTCAAGCGCTGCGCATCCCGTGGCTGGAATGGGCTTTCCCGACCACATTGACTCTGTTCCTGCTACATGCCGTGGGCAACATCTTCTTGATGTTCCGCATTCCGGTAAGTCTCTAGCTCCCACGGTCGATCCAAGCTAACAACGTAGATTCCTTGGGCTGCTTGGATTTCTGGACTTGTCAAGGTTGCATATGACCGTGAAATTTCCATCTCCGAGCATAGGGTCAAACCGGGCGATATCATCCACAATGCTTCGTTGATTTTGGGAAGGCAAATTGTGCATATTTTGCCAGAGGGGTTAGTTTACCTTGCTTTGATCATTTCCGTGCAATAACTGACTTTGACAGATCTGCCGTCCTCAATCCGGACCGCGGCTCGCTTTGCCTTGACTCCCAAAGGACTACCATCGACCTACCCATCCGCGTCAACCAGACTGACCCTATATTGATCGAAGTTCTGCGTATGGATCTCAACACTGGCGAGAACGAGACCATCACCATCCCTTCAAAGCAATTGAAGGGCCTCAAGCGTCAGGCCGAAAAGAAACACACCCCTGGTCAACTGCACCGCGACCTGCTGTTCCCCGTCCGCAAGACTGGTATTTACCGCCTTCAACGGGTGGTGGACGAGTCGCAGCTCGATGTCCACACCCGGACATTTGATGCTTTGGTGGTTTCTTGCCCGAGAGCATTGATCAAGAACTCACAGATCGACAAGTGTAAGGGAGAATTGTCCAACTTCAAACTCGAGGTGGAAGGTACGCCTCCATTGAAGATTAAATACAGCCGCCAGGTCAACAATCTCGACCGTGGATTCTCAGTTCTTAACATTCAGCCGGACAATTTGCGTTCTCCCCTGCTAAATGGGCGAACTACCTCAGCTCTGTTCAGCGTCAACCAACCAGACGTCTCCTGGGCTCAAAGTCAGAAGATCGAAGTGCCGCTGAATGAATCGTTGAACGACGGCGGAGAATGGTTCTACACTATTGAAGAAGTTCATGACGCTATTGGTAATGTGGCCAATTATTCCACCATCTTTGATGACGGAGATCGGCCATCCACCAAGTCCCAATCTCAGTGGTACCAATTCTCCGTCCATGAACGTCCGCAGATGTCTTTACAATACTGCAACTCCCAAACGCCGTTGCAAGTCGCCAAGGGAGACAGCACCAGATTCCCCCTCAGTTTCCATCCCGATGGCAACGCGTACTCAAGCGATGGCCCATTCTTTGTCGGATATTCGTTCGAACAAAATGATCTTATCCAGGAGAAGATTGTAAGTCTGAAGAATCTTGAACAGCCCCTGGATATCAAGGAGCCTGGCTTGTACTCTTTGACCTCGGTCTCTACCAAATTCTGTCAAGGTGAGATCTTGGAGCCCTCTTCCTGCTCCCTACAAAACCCGCCCGAGCCAGAGCTGGCTGTCCGCGCTGAAAGCGTATTTGACAAATGTGCCAACAACGCTATTGGCTTGGTTGTGGACTTGGATCTTACAGGAACGCCCCCATTCTCTCTCCGATACAGCATCGAGAGCTCCAAGGGCGTTGTGAACAAAGTGTTGCCCGTCAAGGGTATGCGCGCGCAACTCGACCTCACTCCTTCCGAGGCTGGCTTTTACCGTTATCAGTTCCTGGATGTGGAAGATGCTGTCTACTCGGCGCGTTCCCTCAAAGACAAGGTGCCCGTGCTTGAGCAAGACGTTAAACCGGCAGCTTCGGCTCAGTTCTTGTCGAGAGAAACGCGATCTGCTTGCTACGGAGAAGCGGTACCCGTGGAAGTGGCCTTCCTTGGAGAGGCCCCATGGATGCTGTCATATGAGATTGTGCACAATGGAAAGAAGACAAAGCAGGTGCTGAAGTCTGATTCTGATGTCGCAACCATCATGACCGACAAACTGGTTGACGGCGGCAGGTACACTGTGACCCTGACCAATGTCAAAGACAAATCTCAATGTAAACGCACATTGAAAGAGAGTACCAGTATTGAAGCCCGATCTCAGCCGCCGCATGTTGCCTTTGGTCAGATTGACAAGAAGAGAAGTGTGCTGGCCTTGCAGGGTTCCAAGATCGATCTTCCAATGAGGCTGAGTGGCGAACGGCCATGGACCGTGAAGTACAGAAATGTCGATACAGACTCGAAGCCTATTCAGAAGACCTTCTGGGATGCAAACAGTGTGTTGACTGTTGAGAAGCAAGGTCTGTATGAGATCAGTGAAGTCCATGATTCGGGATGTCCTGGAACCGTGGATGACTCTGCGAATGAGTTTGAGGTCTCGTGGATCCCTCGGCCTCAAATCACAGCATTGGATGGCAACCCTGTTGGCACCGCCAGACAGGTTGCCAAATCCGAGATCTGCCAGGGCGACGACGATAGCCTTGAGGTTCGTTTGTCGGGTAGCCCGCCGTATAGCCTTCAGTACGAGAAGCGACGCAAGGCGGATCGCGGAGGATTCTCCTCGGCGAAGCCACGTGCTCTGAAGTCGGCCCTCCACGTCACTTCCATGGAAATGGATACCTCGGAGCCTGGAGAGTACAGTTACAAGTTCACCCAGGTTGGCGACAATCTCTACGACCATGATCCCAAGATCAACCCCCTGGTTGTGACACAAAAGGTCAACCCGCTGCCGTCTGCCAAGTTCGACTCTCCTGGCCACGTCTATGGATTCTGCAAGGAGGACATCAGTGGCGAGGAAGTCATCCCCATTACATTGGAAGGCGTGCCGCCATTCTCGCTCGAGATCAACATCAAGCACCACTCGAACGCCAAGCCGGAAATTGTCACCATTCCCAAGATTACCTCTAACCGCCACAAACTGCTCATTCCCCGTCGTCACCTCGACCTGGGACAGCATGTCGTGAGCATCCACAAAGTCCGTGATTCTCGGGGCTGTCAAAAGACCACCGAGATCGATGCCTCCTCTGTCAGGGTCGCGATCTCCGACGTTCCTACCATCATTCCCCTTGAGTCCAAGACTGACTACTGTGTGGGCGAGCGACTTTCCTTCTCGCTGTCTGGCCATGCACCATTCGACGTCTTCTACAACTTCGAGGGATCTTCACGCAAGGCCAAGTCTCAGACTACCAACTTCCGCCGCATTGCCGAGCACCCCGGTGAATTCGTCATCACTGCGGTCAGCGATGGTGCCAGCGGCAAGTGCAAGGCACACAAGGATATTGCCAAGACCATCCACCCGATGCCCAGCGTGCGTATCAGCAAGGGCAAAGAAACGGTAGTGGACATTCACGAAGGTGGAGAAGCCGAGCTTCACTTTGAGTTCTGGGGCACGCCACCATTTGAATTCACGTAAGTCACCCCAACCCTCAAATCTGTGGTCAAGTCTAACATCCTGCAGATACATCCGAAGCGCCAATGCTCGCAAGGGTAAGAAGGCCGAGATCCTTGATATCAAGCACGACATTTCGCACGAGAAGGTCAAGACCATCAAGACCTCTGACGAGGGTACTTACGAGGTCATTGCGATCAAGGACAAGTATTGTTCCTTCTCGGCTCAATCGCCCAAGGGAGAGCGGTGAAGCGGAAGCAAACGATGTGATGAATTGGTGTATTTTCTGGGTGCTTGGATCTTGTTATTTATGTGATTTACCTCTTTTGCATTGCAGCGGCGCTGGCACTGTCCCATTGTCTTTCAATAGCTAATTCAACTCGCGCTGGAACCTGGGAAATTGGGCTGTTCTAGTGAAGATAGAACATAGAAGGTTACATTATATTTCAAGTTTTTGCCAAATCGCTGCCTTGTTCATTTTGGATCAATCTTTCCCAGGTTCTCATTTTGTCACTATACTTTAGGGCCGTGATGTTCTGACGTTGTTTGGTTCTGGGGGCGTGGCCAAAGTGGAGAGCGAAGTCACGTGTTGCACCTAAAGCTGACGACCCATGTGATGAGTGATTAGTAATTCAATTTGTTTCGAGGTCCCGAGGTTCCATACTCGAGTCAACGCAAGGCTGGAAGTTTTGATATATACTGAAACTCTGAAAGTGACTACAATTAAGTAAACAGTTCAGGTTTTTGAAGTCAATCGCTGTGTCAATCAATACCCCACCGTTCTTCAGGGGTATGTACGGAGTACACGTAAAGTGATATCAATGGATGTACTCCGTATTTCTGCAGCAAAACCAAGCACAGAGTACGGAGTACGATATGATAGCCCCTTGCATCGGAACACGCTGAAACTCCCATTGGGCAATCAAATTGTCTTGCACTCCGTACTCCGTAATTAAATCATTGTTTCAAGGCCCAAACAAATCGTCCCATACGGGGTACACTTGTACTTGGTAATCTCGGCACAAAGCAGGCGACACCTAAGGTGTCCACAAAGTGATAAACCCGAGATCAAGAAACATCACCCTCTTCCTTCACCTCCAACCACCTCACAATGGCCTGCATAACACGGGGCCAACGCGCCCTCCCAACAAAGCTCCAGTACCTAAACCGAAACCACCAACCCTCTATCCTCCGCCATCTCTCCACAACCCCCAATCGGCGCAGCCAACCACCACCACCACCACCAACAACCGTGACAATCCCCTCAAAAAGCGACCTCAACGCCCCAATCAGCACCCTCCCAATCGACCTAATCACACCCGCACCAGTATCGCCCACCGCAACCCTCGCCGACAAACTCAAACGCTATGTCGAATTCGGCCGCACATACTTAACATTCTACAAAACGGGCCTGAAAAACGTCTACCGAAACTACCGCGCCTCGCTCCCCCTGCGCTCCCAACTCGGTCTACCAGCCTACATCCCCGTCTCACCACCGCGCAACAGCAAACCATCCGCGCAATCTCAATATGCCGAGCTCGGACTCGGACGAGGCCAATTCCAACTCGTCCGCCGATCCGCGCGCGACGTCCGCCGCATGATCCCCTTTACACTAATCCTGATTATCTGCGGGGAATTCACACCGTTAATCATCCCCATTTTCGGCTCTGCCATTACGCCTGCTACATGTCGAGTTCCGTCGCAGGTGGAGAAGGAGCGCGTAGCGTTGTCTGCGAGGAAGATTGCTGCGCTGCGTGCTGGGGGCGTTTCCAGTGCTGATGCATTGGGGGGCTTTGACGCGGTATGCGGATGGGGGATGGGTTGCTGGTGCGGATGCGGCGGAGGTGCTTAGGGCCTGTGCTGTGTTTGGACTTGTTAAGAGTCATGAGAAGACTGGTGGGGCGCTTTTGTGTGGATTGATTTATCGGCCGAGATTGGCGCGGTATGTGCAGTATTTGGAGATTGATGATGGGATGATTCGTGCTGGCGGTGTTGCTGGGATGAATGCTACGGAGGTGCGGATTGCGGTTGAGGAGCGTGGGGGTGTGGATGTTTCTGCGGGGTTGGATCGGGGGAGAGCAGAGAAGGTTGAGAGACAGTGGTTGGAGAAGTGGCTTGCTGCGAGAAAGAGTGTATAATAGATAGAATAGACCATTGTAGATCTGAAGAGACACATGTATTATAATCCAAATTGGGGAGTTCGCTATGGAAGCATATATGAATCACGCTAAGGAACATGACAATTTGATCGGGTATGAGAAGCCCTGGAAATGAAAATGGAACGGGGAAAGAAAACGCTTTAAGCTTAAGCGATCGCTTGCGCCTGCGCCTGCGCTTGACCGCGGACTTGCTTGGCCCAGCGTAATCCGCAGCTGTTACAGAGATCACGGTTTCCACTGGGTCCGCGGCGCCACTCGGGTGTACTTTTGGTCTTACACATGGCGCAGGCCTTCTCGACAGAGATGGCAGTCTGCTTGCGCTTGCGCTTCTTTCGACGCGCCAGCAAGCGCTGGAGTTCATCAGATAGCGTGCGATTTTGCTTCTCCAGCTCGCGTAGCTCGATTTGCCAGCTAGATCCACGGGTGGGATTGAGCTCTGTGAAGAAAGTGGCCGGATCTGCATTGGGGGAGATGCTGCGGTTGCCGGTAGGGAGACCGTTCAGGCCAATGAGAGAAGATAAGTCGGGGATGCGCTGACCGAGAGCGCCGTACTGACGGGGTGGAAGGGGGTCGTCGACCGTGAGGGTCGCGTTGCGGGCAGAACCCGGAAGAGTGGCGAGGTTGTCGTCCGCGGCGGCTGAAATGGCGGTGGAGGAAGGTGGGAATGAGCGAGCAAAGCGGATCTGGGCGACGAGGAAGGTAGGTTTGGAACCTTCGCGAGCGTCGCCGGTATATATGGTTGTGTGGGCTGAGAGGGCATGGCCCTTCTTATGTCGCATCTGATGTTTGAACGAAGGAGCTTCGTCTCTGGATGCGTTATCCGTGCTGACGGTGGCCAAGCCAGCTCCCTGGCCACGGGATGCTGCCTCCAGGGCTTTTGTGATCGTGGCAGGGCCGCCAGACTCCGGCTCCATGATTTCTTGCATGCCCTTTCCAATGAGATCATCGGGCGTGCGGCCAAGCACTGGCTTCACCTTGGTAGTGATGAACAAGATCACACCGGACAGGGAAACCTTGGCCCAGACGTCATTCTCTGCCAGCGCGGCAGACGACCCCAGACGGGCAATCTGGTCAAGTGCGTAGACGGGCCGTGGGCGGCCCGTCATCACCAGATGCTTTCGTCCCTGGTTGGGGTCAATGTGCCAGGCGCCGTGACTCTCGAACCACATGTAACCCTTGTACTTTTGCCTGATGCGATACACAACACTCACTGGAGCAGTGGTTGTACTCGCTCGCAGATCACGTATCACAGGACCAATATCACTGGGATGACAGATGGTGGACAGTGTCTTGCCCACGAGCTCGACCGGCTCATATTCCAGAACCCGGGAGCAGGAAGGCGAAAGGTACAAGAACTCACCGTTGAACGAGAGCACGTGGATCACATCGTCGGTGTTATCAACGAGGATGCGATCCAGATAGTGGCGGTTCACCTCATTGCCCGAGGCACTCGCGGCATTGAGAATGGCAGTTACTTCGTCATGGCCATAGCGTGCCATGAGGTCTGGCCGTGAGGAGTAGACATCCGGCGGGACCACATACTGAGGCAACTGATCCCGCTGGTAATTCACGCTGTAGGTGCCGTCTGTAGGACATCATTAGCAGGTCTTCTCCCCATGATCGGTAATTACTGGAGCATACCAGGATTCCTCCTGCTCACGGCGTCAGGTTTTTCAACCAAATCTACCTGGAAGCCGACATAGAACCGATACTCCCCCGCGTCCCACTGGATGGGGATCATGGTGATGAGATTCATAAAGGGTTGACCACCCTTGCGATAGTTAATGATGCTGGCTTGAATCTCGTTGCGATCATCGATAGTCGATCGCAGCCGGTGGACCGTCTGGCCGTCCACGAAAGTACGCTTTGCGCCGGCACTGATCTTGCCATCTGGTCCCTGCAGAAAGCGACAGTTGCGACCAACGATCTCATCTTTGGTGTAACCTGTTAGCCGCTCAAAGGCCTCGGAGACATAGATAATCGGTTGATCTTCGCGTTGAATATCACACATGACAAAGGCACAGGAAAGATCAACTGCGCCGATGTTGATTTTGGGATTCGGCCTCATCGCCACGCGACCCTACTTCCATGAGCATACTGTTTTTGCTTTGTCTTGTGTCCCCTTTGCAGGATGCAGAGAAGAAGGGCTCTTACCAGCGCACCTAGCACATCAAACCCACTGCTCGAGTAGATACCGGTGTGCTCGGTCTTACCAATTTCAGGCTTCTCCAGCCCGGGCGAGATATCCTCTTTGCCGCGTCAGTCGCGTCAGCGATAAAGGGAGGGGATCATTGGCGCGACAGACACGCACTCACCTTGCGCGGGAGCAGGCTTTTTGGGCTGGATGGCCACCGGGTGAGGGGGCTTGGGGCCGAGCTGGGGTCTCTCCAGCCGCCGCGGAGCCCGCCCGGGCACCTGCGACCGGTCGCTATTCCGGCCTGAGACATCGGAATCCTCAAAGTTGGCGGTGGAGTCGGTGCTGGTATCATGTTGCTCCCTCCGACCGGGAGGGGGCTGTGGATAACCGGGCATGGGCTGTTGGTAGGCCGGGTATGAGGGCTGGTACTGGGGCATCCCCATGGTGGTGGGCGGGTAGGCGGGCGCATCGTAGGCGAAGGCGTTGGCGGGATCCAGGGTCATGGGCATGGAGACCGCGGCCCCCTCGTAGGCGAGCATCACGTTTGACATGCGGCCTTCCAGGTTGGCGGGTTGGGAGCGGTCGAAATTCTGTGGTGGGAGGTCCGAGTCCTGGGGGAGCATGGCCCCGAAGGCATAATTGCCCACCTGGCCTGGGAACGGCAAGTAATTCGGGTCTGGCAGGTTCGGATGTTCATCATCATATTCGAGGTTGAAGGAGTTAGATGCCATCGTGAAGGCCTATATAAAGTCTCGGCCAGGCGTGGGGTCTTGGGGATGCAACGCCCGGACAGAGTACCAGAGCCCCGGTAACGTCCAAATTTGTGGGAAAACCGGTCCACTCCACCTTTTTTGGGTCACAACTTTGGGTGACAGCTTGTACGGAGTCGAGGCGTCTCTGTACAAGTTCACTGTAGCCTCCGTGCGAGTGCGAGGTATATGAAGAAAAAGATGTGAGAGAAGGGAAGAAAAGGATATTCACTCCTCTTTCTCAAAAGTACAGCCGGTGGAGACCCTCCGGAGGACCAATGAGCGAGTCTCTGTTTTTGACGTCCGACTCAGATTTCCGTGGCGTTGTGGATGGGAGAGGGTGCAGGGTGCAGAGTGCAGAGTGTGAAAGTCCACTATGTCCTTTTCAGTGGCAATTTGGCAGTCTCCACGACATTGTCGAAGTCGAGTGGGAGAGTGTCGAGCGGCAAAAGAAGATGATGCATCACAAACACATTAGACTTTTCGGGGCAACGACGTGTCTTCCGCGGGAAGTTCAACTGCTCGATCTGATGCTTTTACAATATATTGTACTACAGGCTCTACATGTTCTATTTGTTCTACTATGGGATAGATCTATTCAATTCATTGCTTTTCTTCTCCACATTGCAATGGACTTCACCTACGGAGCTCACTCTAAACTCAGGGGCTGATCATCATTGGTCCTGACTGCTTATGTCTCCGAATTGAATCCAATCTCTCCCCTGGCATCTTCGCCATGGATAAGATCTCAATCACCATCTGTGGAGATGGCGGGTGCGGTACGTTGCAGCAACCTTCTCTGTTCTTCTGGAATCAATCCGTCACGTTGATTCGGTGCCACGCCTCCGGGTTTCGCGATCGAGATCTGATCAGATCGGGACAGGCAAATCCTCCATCACCCTGCGGCTGGTCCGGAGTCAATGGGTTCACGAGTGAGCTCTCCCCTGACCCCCTGCATTCCTACCAATCTACCAATCTCTGACTCGCTGCAGATATGATCCAACCATTGGTATCGCTACTCCGTATTCCCCTACGTCAATTCTCCCCCTTCTAATCCACCGCAGAGGATTCCTACTCCGTGACCCGCACCGTCGATGGCCGCCCCTACTGCCTTGCCATCACCGATACCGCCGGCCAGGAAGAGTACCGGGGTCTCTGGACGAGTTCGACTCTCCAATCCGATGCCTTCCTGTTAGTCTACGATATCACGAACCCCTCTAGCCTCGAGACCCTCAATGGCTTCCTGGAGATGATCGGCATGGAGGCCGAGCAGCGTCTGGAAGACAATGACCGACTCCGACACACGGGCGATGGGCCCGGTCGACCGCCGCCGGTGATGATCGTGGCGGGCAACAAGTGCGATCTGAAAGAGGGTCGCGTGGTGACCTCGCGCGAGGGCCTCGAGTACGCGCGCCGACACGGCTGTGGATTTATGGAAACCAGCGCGCGTGAGATGGTCAACATTGAAGAGACGTTTGCCCGTATGTCTGATCTCTTTCTCCGAAGATCATCATGGGAGACCAACATATTGACCCATTCCTCTAGATCTGGTCCGCCGCGTGGTCGAAGCCCGCCGACTGCAAAGCACTGGCGGCCATACTCCAAGTCCCAATAACCCGACTGAGCCGAGTGATGGGAGTGCGAGTGCGAGTGCCTCTCCGGCTGTGCAGGGGAAGACTGTGGCTCGATGGAAGTGGTTTCAGCGACAGGGTCAGGCACCCGGACGCAAAGGAAACGGTTGTGCCTGTCTCTGCACTGGCAAATAAGAACGGAGTTAAACTCCACTGTATGACTATGTACATAATTGTGTATCAAACCCCGTGGACGGGAGTGACGGTAGCAGCAGATCGACGGATTCGGAAGAAGGCTCCGTGGCGACTACCCCGGACCATCCTGCTGGATCGAGAATCCGAGGCGATCTAGCCCACAGCTCCAGAGGGCTTTTTTTTTTTTTAATTTTTCCCTGTCATCTTCTCTGGCTAAGCTTTGGCCATGAAGTCATGCATTTCCAGAATCTTTCCGGTCTCGAGAGGTGAAACCGGATTGGTTTAGTCCTGTATACAAGTACATACGCTATGTACGCTACTCCGAATACCCATTAAACTATCTGATATACAAGTAGCCTATTGCTGGAGAGTTGAGTGCCAGGACGGAGTTAGCCAATCACCGCCCATGATATATCCGGATTGTTCAGAGCTCCGTAAGCAGTCGGAGGTCGAACAGGTTGGGCGAACCAGTAAGGTTCTCGCATCACGTCATGGACTTTGCATATTTAATACGAGTGTCATGATTCATGAGGTGTAGTATAGTACTATCGAGGTGAAGGGGAGAATGTTACATACTATATCCAATAATACTACAATAGTCCAATAGTCCAATAATTCCATGAAGAACCTGTTCTTCCCGTTCTTGATCAAACCTGCTCCCTATGTCCTGCAAATCGTGTATAGCATAAGTAATCGGCACTATCCAGCCGAGACGGAAGTGGCAGTCCGGATATACGTCAAAGCAAAGTCTCCGAAGGCCGGATGCTCCGTTCTCCGTCCAAATGCCGAGTCTTCCATGTATCGTATCGTATTGACTATTCTAGTTTAGTTATAGTAAAAAAGAATAAGAAATTAATTGTAGAGTAATCATGAAAATCAAATAATCAAATAAAATAAATAAAAACGAGATTTATAATTCACAAGGCCCCCTCCCTGGAGGTTCTAGTTATAATATCTACTTCCTGCTTTGGATTCAACTCTAACTCTCGACATCATTATATCATTATATCATTGACCTTCCCTCCCATTGACGTCGATCCACTCCTTTGGTCGCCGCTTTTGGAAGTATACCTCAAAAGAGGGTCATCCCCCAATTTCCTGCCATCTATACTATAGACCATTTCAAGACACGATATTCATATCGATATCAAATACCATGGCAGCTCGACAGTCAACACCAGCCTCCGAGCACTCCCATTCCGATAGCAATGTTCGCAAGAGAGTCTGCAAGGCCTGCGATCGCTGTCGCCTAAAGAAATCCAAGGTATGTGCACCCGTCGCAACTCACTTCCCCCGGTCACTGACCCGGGACCAGTGTGATGGATCCAGTCCCTGTTCACGGTGTCGCGCCGACAATGCAATCTGCGTCTTTGGCGAGCGCAAGAAGGCCCACGACAAAGTGTACCCGAAGGGGTAAGCCGAGCCCTAACCAGCGAACTATAGCGAACATCGTATACTAACATCCTTACTCTAGATACGTTGAAATGCTCGAACAGCAACAATCATGGCTCGTCCACGGTCTCCAAGAATTATACCGCCGCAACATCGAAGGCGAAGGCTGGCCCGGGGATCATCTCAAGCTCGAACCCAACGGCAATCCCCTCACGCACGATCTCCTCATGCGCCTCGGCGCCCTGGATAGCAGCAAAGGCGAACGATTCGAAGAAAGCCCCGAAACCCTGCAAACAGACCTCTGGCACACGAACAGCGGGATGCAACGACAAGAGTCCTCCGACGGCGGATCCGAGAGCGCACAATCCCCCGCCCGCTCACGCTTCTCCGATGCCTTCTCCCACATGCCCCCAACACCACCCACCTACACCAGCAGCCCGACGCAGATCAAGAGCGAGCAGATGCCCAGTACGCCCCAGTATGCGGCGCCGATGTCGATGCAGGGGGTGGTGAACCCGTTGGCGTTACAGGATCCGCCACAGTGGACGGGACAGTTCCATCCGTTCGATGAGATGGATTTGATGCCGGAGTATGCGCAGATGCCGTTTGATGATCAATTGTCGCCGATGTTTAATCGTCAGATGCCGGCGAATTGTCTATCGCAAGGGTCTTATCTCGAGCCGAAGAGTGATTATGAGGACTTTAATCAGTTCTTGAATCCCAATCCTACGGAGATTACTTCGATCTAGAGGGGATCTTTCGAGGGATCTGGATCTGGATCTTTTTCTTTTCTAATGCCGTATGATGTGATGCATGTATACTATACATGGTCTGCCTTTCGTTTCTTTTTTCTCTTCTCTTTGGGGAAGAGCTACTTCACTTTTTCCCCATCTTTTTTTCTTCTTGATCTTTTCTTGTCTGGATTGGGGATCTAATCTGTACAGTGATGGGGGTTCGGAATTGGGAGTTGGAGTTGGAGTTTCAAAACGGAGTTTCCAGGCGGCGTCTTCATTTTTTGTCTGTTATTGATCACTTCTAATCCACACCATTCACCATTCACTATTCACCATTGAAGTCTTCATGATTATGCGATCGGAGAAAGATGCCGAGTTCCAGTTCCAGTTCCACTATGCCAACGGGTATAACTCGGGCAGGGTTTGACATGGCATGACTCAGCGGGTGTAATCATTGCTAATCGGTGATCCGTCAGCAATACGGTAATCTTACCGTACGGCCATTTGAGCGATTTTCCTTTTTTTTCGATTTTCTTACGTGAGACACTCCGCCGAGACGGAGTTTTATATTCCTGTTTTCTTCTCTTTTCTCTTTTCTGGTCTTCTTTCTGGTTTGGGCCTCGTTTTCGTGTTTCGTGTTTCGTATATTCGTACACAGAATTTGATTGCCTAATGCTTTAACCTTGTCGAAACGGCCTAGCCCAAGGGGCATCTTGGCAGTCTTGGAACAACGAACCTTGCGAGTTCCCCTTTGAGTCCGGGGTAGAGCTGATCCTTTCGGACTGCCGGACCCCGTTTCGTCCGATTCGGATGACCTTAATGCCGTTATTTCCGTTTTGTGCTTGTGCGCTTATGTGCACTACTCCCCCCTCCACCCTTATGTAGGTGAGACGGTCCAAAGCTACGGACCTCCCAAGGGGAGTAGTCCACGTATAAGATCCTTCGAGGCTATGCTCGTATAAAGGTTAACCTAGAACCTGCCCAGGTGAGCTCGGAGCTTTTAAATTCTAGCGGTCGCACCATATACCCTAAACAGACTTCCAAATCTATCAAGCATCTGGGCACTCCCACGCCATAGATACCATATTAGGATAAAAGCACAGCTCCCAGTGTTCAAAAGAGAGCTTCCCTCCTGTTTAGCCTAATACAGCTCCACCCTCAACATGAGCTGATCAACCGCCATTTATGCTAAAAGACGTCGGTGATGGATCCCGCAAACTGCGGGGTTCCGACGTCAACCCTTCATAGAAGGATCATCTCCCATCTTCTGTACAATAAATCCCACCTGGGCATAACCATAAACTTCACCTCGAAACTCCAAACCCAAAATGGCCGAACAAGCCGCCTTCACATTCCTGCCCCTCGGCGCCATCATCCAAGAATTCCGCGTCGGCGATCGCAATATTGTCCTAGGCTTCCCCACGCAGGAGGACTACGTCAAGCATAACACCCCGCACTACGGCGCAACCATCGGGCGCGTTGCCAATCGCATTAAAGATGGAATCATCCAGAATCTGAATGGGGAGCCCGTGCGTCTGACGCAGAATAACGGGCCCAATGCCCTCCACGGGGGTGAGAAGGGTTGGGGGAAACGGGTGTTTGACGGCCCGCACACGGTGAAGCGGCAGGGTCGGGACGCCTTGCTGTTCAAGTATCTTCATCGGGATGGGGAGGAGGGGTATCCTGGGACCGTGGAGGTGCGCGTGTGGTACACCGCTAGCAAGGAGGGGGACGCTAAGACCGTGCTGACGGCCGAGTACGAGGTTGAGTTTGTTGGCGAGGAGTGTGATGAGACTGTGGTCAATCTCACCAACCACAGGTAAGAAGACAAATCGAAAAAAAAAAAGACAGAAAGAAAAGAAAAAGAAAAAAAGCACAAAGCTGTCGAAACCAAGAACCCGTCTCTAACATGTGTACAGCTACTTCAACATCGGCGACGGCCCTGATATCTCAGGCACCACCGCACAGCTCGCAACAGCCGACTACCTCCCACTAGACGACACCGGCATCCCTACCGGCGGAACCGCCAAGTTCCCACGAGATGTGACCACCCCCTTCACGCTCAGCGCAACAGGAGCCCACATCGACGACGTCTTCGTCCTCGAGCCCGACGCCAGCAAAGTACCCCTCGACACCCGGGGACTCCCCCTGCGCCGTCTCGCGCAATTCCACAACGGGAAGACAAACCTGCACCTCGAAGTGCACAGCACCGAGCCGGCCTTCCAGTTCTACACGGGCAAGTACATCGACGTGCCGTCGATCAACGGCGCGCCGGCACACGGCGAGGGCGCCGGGTTCTGTGTGGAGCCGAGCCGATTCGTGAACGCGATCAACGAACCGGAGTGGCGGTCGATGGTGCTTTTGAAGAGGGGCCAGATCTTTGGATGTAAGAATGTTTACAAAGCCTGGAAGGAGTAAGGCTCTTGGCACATAGCTCTTGGCTCATGGAAGTTTTTGGGTTTCGGGGCCTCGGGGACTATGAGGCATTAAGGGATTTGGCAGAGTGGAGAGCATAATTTACAATGCGCCAAGTTCAAACGATTGTGGGAACGAAAGAGAGAAAAAAACATGATTCAAACCAATTGGAAATAACACACATCGGTGTGCCGAATGCCCGAACTCCTCTTTTTGTTTTTATCTCCGTTGCCCGATCGGATATTCGGCCTGACCAATCCGGAATCACTTCGAATCTTGCCTAAACAAGGAACGCTCTTCGAGAACATTACCCCTTTGGGTCTGGAAGTTCCGAAATGCGGCACTTGGAGATCTTCGATATACTCACGCCCGTGTCACTGTAGATCTTTGTTTCGATAGCTGTCACTAGCAGGTGGGCTAGTCCTGGTCTCCTGGGGCGTTAAGTTTCAACTCTGTACTCCGTACTCCGTACTCCGTACTGGTAATGCGTATGGAATAGAGTACTAGCACCCTGCGCTAGTGAGCCAAGTAGCCAAGTAAGCCAAGTACTTGCGTAGGCAAAGTGTAGGCAAACCAATTTCAAGTCCAAATTAGTCCAAAAGAGAGGGGGGTTCAGCAATACGAATACGGATACACGTGACCACCCCGGGCCAACCCGACTGCACCCCGCGCGGGGAACAGCAAAGTACTTCCCGATCAACTTAAAACAGTGTACTCCGTACTCCGTACTGACTCACACACCATGGCTTCAGCACACGGAGATCTACGGCATCTACTGCCCGGCAACTACAAACGCCACATAACCGCCTGGCTCGAAGAAGACTGTCCCAGTCTCGACTATGGCGGTTTCGTAGTCGGCGAGTCAGAAGGCGAAGCCCGACTCCTCGGCAAGAGCAAGGTAAACCAAACATACACACCTACACACGTATGCCAACGAAAAAGCCAAGCTAAACGTAATTCGTCACAGGGCATTCTTGCAGGCGTTCCATTCTTCGATGAGGTTTTTACACAGCTAGGCTGCACGTATGCCAACACCCCCCTTCCCTACCTTTCTACTGCACTTGCATGCAGAGGCAGAGGCAGTGCACGGCCAGGCTAACGCAGACAGAATCGAATGGCATATCCAAGAAGGTGAAGCGATAACGCCGATCCAGCACTGCGCCACTGTGCGCGGACCAATTCGCAAGATCCTTCTCGGCGAGCGGGTAGCATTGAACATTCTAGCGCGATGCTCGGGGATCGCTAGTAAGAGTGCATCGATGCTATCCGCGCTACGTGCGCAAGGATGGCAGGGAATCTTAGCAGGCACACGCAAGACGACGCCTGGGTTCCGACTTGTTGAGAAGTACGGGATGTTAGCGGGCGGAGCGGATCCGCACCGACATGATCTCAGTTCTATGACGATGTTGAAGGATAACCATGTGTGGGCGTGTGCGAATAATCGGGCGGCTGGGGATGGGGGAGAGGCAGGAACGAAGATTGAGAGTGTTGCGGGGGCGATACCGCGGGCGGTGCATGCGGCCAAGGCGACAGGGGGATTTTCGACGAAGGTGGAGGTTGAGTGTCGGAGTGTTGAGGAGGCCAATGCGGCGATTGGGGCGGGGGCCGATGTGATTATGTTGGATAACTTTACGGCGGACGGGGTGCGGGCTGCTGCCAAGGAGTTGAAGACGGAGTGGGCGAGTAAGAAGGCCTTTTTGATTGAAGTGAGTGGAGGCTTGACTGAGGAGAATGCTCCGTCGTATGTCTGTGAGGATGTGGATATTCTCTCTACGAGCTCGATTCACCAGGGGACGGGGATCGTGGACTTCTCGCTCAAGGTCTCATTGCGATAGGCTGTATCATATTGACAGAAAGAAACAAAAAGATATGGACTTGTATAAAGTACAGAAAAGGGAAATCAATCAGAATCAAAATAGTGACCGAAAACAACATAACGCCTGTCATCTCATAACCCATCGTGAAGAACCATAAAACATAAAAAATCCTGAGATAAAGCGCCCCCTCCGGGATATAATGTACAAGATAACTCGCGACAGAATCACACTTCGACCTCCACGGTGATGCCTTCACCTTCACTGGAACTAGGGGCCTCGTCCGAGATGGGCGGGCGACTGCGACTGCCATCGGTGATGGTACCGGAAGGTCCACGACGCGTGCGCTCTCGGAGAAGCTGGTCGCGAAGTCTTTGATTCTCTGCATCGCGCTCCTCGAGTCGCTTGCGGGCACCGCTACGATCCAGGAGACGGCCTTCACGCTCCGACTTCAATCGCTTCTCCAACTCGTGCAGCCGGTGGTGCCATTTCTCATCTTGGCCGTCGAACCCGCTGTGAGAGCTGCGGGTGCGCGGGATCATCGCCCCGACATTGTTGGTCAACGTACTTGTCGAGGAATGCGAGGGGACCGGGAGGCCAGTGGCACTGCGAGCGTGTCCCTTTTCGGGGCGAGGCCGTTCCGAACCAGTGGTAGAAACAGGGCGCGATCGTTCTGACTCCGCTGTGGAGGTCAGGGAGGGAGAACGGGGCGCGGAGCTCATGACTGCCGCGGCCGCTGCAGATGCGGATCCATGTCCACGCGAGTTGGATTGGAGCAGGTTCAGCTCTGCCTTCAGAAGCCGATTCTCGCCGCGCAGTTTAGACATCTCTGGCGACGAACTCGACTGTCCGCGGACAGGTCGCATGTTCCTGACAGCCTCTTCGAGGCGCTCGAGCTTCTTGATGCGCCCATTGTATGAGATTTCAAGTGTGTGGTATCGCTTGGTCAACTCGTGATCAACGCTCTTGATGCGGTTCTTGAACCCTGCCATGACGGTCTCAACCGTCTTCATGGCAAGGATCAGATTGCGGCTGAAGCCTGGCCAGAATAGCATGTTGCCAATGACTTCTTGACTGGGGAGATTGCCGTTGATCAGGCTGTTGGAGTGCGCCCAGTCCGGTCCGCAAAGGCTCGACAATCTGGACCAAATGGACAGGAACAAGGTGTTTCGCTCACTAAGCTGGTCCTTGAACTGCTGCTCCAAGGAAGCATATCGCTTGCGGTCCTCGGTGCGCGCCTTCTCCAGATCAGTGATACGCGAGTTACTCTGGGTGATGGTCCGCGATGCCTGCTGGTGGGATTTGAGGGATGACTCGAATGACTGCTTGTCCGCACGACGCGCGTGTCGCTCCCGATCGAGCAGTTCGGAGAGCTTGCGGGACTCTAGCCCGTGGCTTTCGAGTAGGGCGTCACGGTTGCGGAGAAGCGTCTCTTTCTCGTCTAGCTGCGAGCGAATGCTCTCCAGCTCGAGCGCGGTCGACTCGAGCTCCTTTTGCAACTTCATAATATTGGTGATCAAACTGGACCGGCTGCCGCTGAGATCACCCAGAGTCTCCCGAAGGTTGTTCTCCAGGTCCATCAGTCGCTCTCGCCAGGTGGAGGTCTCGACTTCCTGGGCCGAGAGACTCTTCTTCAGACGTCGGACTTCCTCCTTGGAAGCCGAGGCCTCACGGTTCAACTCATTCATAATGCGCTGGACATCTTGCTTCTCCTTGCTTCCAACCACCTCGCGTTGGTGCCGCTCATCCGCCAATCGTTGCTCCAGCTCCCTGGCCTTTTCTTTCTCACTCACGAGGCTGGTATGGTAGTTCTTCAAATCAGACTCCAGATCCCCGATGCGGATCTTGTCGCCGTCCTGCTCTTCACGGAGGAAAGCAATCTCGTTCTGACTCGACTCAATTTGAACAGTTAATCGTTGCACCTTCGTGTTGGCTTCGAACAGACTCTTCTCTACAGACTCCATCTCCTGGTTGGTCTCCATGAGCTCTTGCTGCACAGACTTGTACGCAGACAGATTGTTCTGAGCATCCTCTTCCAGACGGATGATGCCCTCGCTGGCAGACCTCATCTCGCCTTGGAGAATCTTGAGATTTTCGTCTTGATTCTTCAATTCCTCGTTCAAGCGCTGACACTCCATGACCTTCTGGTCGAGCTCGTCACCAAGCGTATCCAGCTCTTCCTGTGCCTCGGCCCGCAAGTCTTGGAAAGCAGCATCGCGCTCATCAGCCATATGCAAGGCCTGGTCTCGTTCTTGCTGCGCACCGAGGATCTCCTCCTCGGCTTGATCAACATCGGCTTGATAAGCCTTGTCGAGCGCTTCGAGTTCGGCCATGTATTCCTCGAGCTGGGCTCGAATGGCCTGGTTGTCAAGCTTGAGAGTCGCCACCATATCCCGTAGCTGTCCATTTCTTGCCTCTAACTCATCACGATCCATGTCGCTTCGCGAGATCGCCCCATCACTTGCCTGAGAGGACGGTCTGATATGAGCGCGCGAGACAGAGCGGTCAAAGATGCTATCTCCCGTCATCGACCGGGGGTGACGACGCTCCCCAAGCTTCAGCTCTTCGATCTCCTGGTACAGACGCTCCTTCTCTCGGTTCCGAGATGTAAGCATAGAAGTCTGAGCGCTGACTTCTTTCCTCAGTTCTGCGTTTTCTTGCTTGAGGAGGCCTAGCTCTACAACAAGAGTGCTGGCAGCGCCGCGGTCAGCGTTGTGGTCTGACCTGTACATCTCGCTGCGTAGACGAATGGATTCGTCTCGAAGCCGCCGATTCTCCTCCTCGGCTTGTTCGCGCGCTGATGTCTCTGCGTCGAGTATGTCTTTCCACATGTCCTGATATGGTTAGATACGGATCTGTTTGCGTGAGTGATCTGTAACTTACTCGCTCCTCTCGAGCACCCGCTTCAGACTCCCCGGCACGGTTGTCGGTCAGTGATTTGACCATCTCGGCCAACCGGCGCTTTTCGCTCTCCCGTGCGATGGACTCGGATCTCATACGCTCAATCTCAAGCTCGTATGTATCAACTCGTTCGCGCAGGAAGATAATTTCTTCATCTTGCGCCGATTCACGGTCGCCATCTTCCGACGCTTCGGGGTCATGATTGACCATGGAGTCCTTGTCGGATTGGTGGTCCTTGACTTGCTTTTCCAGATCGCGAATCTTGCGCTTCAGGCTCTGGTTGTCTTTTGACAACTTTACCTTGTCCGATTTGAGCTCGACATTCTCCGAGATCATCTCCTTGATGCCTTCCTCGGACCGCTTGTTTAATGCCTCGTTGAGGAAATGAATTCGCATTTTCAAGTCGAAGTTCTCCTTTGCGAGGCGATCGATCGTGCTGCTCTGCTCCTTGAGGGTCAAGTTCCGGCCGCTCTTGGCGAACGACGCTGAAGCACCCGCACGCTTTTCGGCAGGTTGTTGGTTGTCTTCTCGGAATCGTTGCGCAAATGTGGTAGGCACCTGGATGCCCTTCACACGCTCGGCGATCACCGTGTCCGTAGGGACAGCACTATCTTGTGGCTTCGCCTTGGGTGTCGCTGGTGCCGACAGGTCATCCTCCGGGGCTGGGGCTGCGCGAGACTTTGGAGAGCTTTCCTCCTCGAGCGTATGCAGATTGCTCTCCGCCCCGGGCGCATTTCTTTTGTCCACCGAGTTCTCCTCACTGTAACCAGAAACTCCCGATGCCATGCTTCCCAGACTAGTTGTCCTTGCCATATGAGCGCGGCTGCCAGAGTGGAGACTGCCATAGTTGTCGGATGTCGCGCCGCCGGTTTGAAGCGCGTAGTCAGCGCCCAATGTAGCATCGCTGTTTGTATTTTCCGTATTGTTGCTGGTCACAGAGGAGTGAGAGAGGCGATGCGAGGACTGGCGGCTAGTCAGATACTTGGGGCGGCTGGGCCTTCGGCTGCTCGTCGCACTGCCGCTCTGGTCACTGAACAACCTCGATGCGCCCGGTGACAAGCTGCGGGAGTTGGTTTGCAGTTTGGAAGGTGTGAGTTGTGATTCGTTGCCAGCCATGGAGTAGTCAGATCTGAACGGGCGCTCATCGGAGAGCTGACTGTTGTCGCGCGCATTCTCAGACAGCGTTGACTGGTTCCGGCGCAGTACTGCCGCCGCTGTGGGGGAGGAGGAGAGGGAGTCTAGCATGGAGTCGTTCGGGTCTATAGGGTCATTATCTTCAGCGGGGCCTGCTATCTCTGGGTCGATGTGAGATCTGGGGTCTTCGCTCTGGTCGGTGCGGTCGGTGTGGTCGATTTCCGGCTCTGCAAAGGACAGCTGTGAGGAGTCTTGTGTTGTATTGGCACCATCATCTTTGGGGATCCCAACGAGATATGTGTCGTCTGCGCCGACTAGCGGGCCCTTCGCGGCGACGTCAATTGTGGAGGGTTCGGGCAGGAAACTCGACTCGATGTCCATCAACTTCCGGCGCATTTCGTGCTCTTCGATTAAAGTTTGATTATTGACGCGTTCATCGCCATTTTCGCTGGGTTGGAACAGGCTTTCGTCGGTGATTGAGGGAATAAAGCTGTGGTCGTCCAGGTCTAGTTGCGCGGAGTTCATGGTAAAGTCAGGGTCCTCATCGGGTTCGGAGGATTGGGCGTGTGACTGTGTGACCGAGATCGGGGGATTCCCCCCGGTGCTTCCTCTGCCATGAAGTAAACGGAGCTGGAATCGACATCCAACTGGTCGAAGAATGTCGAGGGAGTTGGCTGGGATGTTTGGGTCTCCACGCTACCCGCTGGGATCGACGAATGAACGTCCATCTTGGGATTTAGTCTTGCACGCGAAGTATACAAACAGTAGAGAAGAGTAGAACAGTAGAACAGTCGAACAGTAAAGAGTAGATGATCTGAGCATGTAGAGTCTACAGTAATTAGAAGGCAGTAAGGCAATTAAAGGTAGATGGTTCACTTTGGAAGGAGCGACAACCTCTCCTATTGTACAATAGAAGTATACCTGGACAACATCCTCCTCTTCTCTCTCTTCTCTCTCTTCTCTCTCTTATGCTCTATGTTAACAGTCTGGTACTTTCTATTCCCCTCTCACACACTACACCACCATCCTGGGTGGCCTTAATTATCGGATTTCACGTCTGAACGGTCAGCAACTGACTTCCCCCTCAAAGCACCAACAGACTCACCATTGCTCTCATATGCCTGGATAGCCTGGTCAAAAGCACCATCAATCGACTTGGTAATCCCAGGAGCAACAGACTTCTCCAACCCAGATAGCTTGTCCGTCACCGCGGCGGCAAAAGCATCCGTGTCCTTCTTCAGCTGGCGGAGGGACTGCAGAACAATGATACCCAACTCGCCAAAGGTATCTTTCTGCTTGGCGATATTGTCCAGAGTCGACTTGATCTTGGGCTCCAGCGCCACGAGCGCCAGCCCAACCTGAAGGGAGCCCTTGCCCCCGAAAGGATCCGAGTCCTTGGCATCTTCAGTACCAGCGCGGATCTCCTTGCCCAGCTCCACGGCATCGGTTTCCACCTTCAGAGCGATGGGTACTCCAGCCATGCCGGGCTTCATGGTCTGGGCATCGTCGCTCAGCGTGGTCAGCAGGGTTGTGATGTTCCCAATGTCACCTTTGACTGTGTTCCAATCGGCCAATGCCAGCACAGGCAGGAAGAACCCAAGGGCAAGTTGAGAGAGACGCATATCTTTGGAGTTGATGAAATCGGTGTTGTGTTGTAGATTGCAGGAAACAGCCAACTCCTTTTCTACATTTCTTTATCGACGCTGTGAAAGCACGATAAACATCAAAAATGAGAGAAAGAATGTCCCGCATACCACAGCCCCAAAATTAAGACATCGCTGGACGTTGGATTGTATGCCTTATCCTGAAAATTGGAAATTTGAGGTCAACAAGGATCTACAGGGCTCTATAGATCTGATGTTTGGGCTTCGTATCCAATACGGCAATAGGTAAATAATGGCCTGTTCGCCCAGAGTACTCATACTTTATCGTCTGTCTGAATCTCGACTGTCGCCATGATCTCTGCATTCTTCAAGTTCGTGCCTGCGTTCGGATGACAAATACTTCCGCGTTCCTCACCACAATGACCGGGTTCCGCAGATTCCGCCAACCCAACTGGGCTTTAAGCACCATGGCCCTGAGTACTGGGAAAAGGGTGCGGACCAGAACGATGCTTCTACCACCTTGGCTTGCGGTACTGATTCCGGTGTAAGTGCATTTTGTTTTTCTCGAGGCCAATCAGCTGATAACGCACGAATTATACAGAAGTGTAACGCCGCGCAGAGCTTTGGCGGAGATTCAATCAACCGCTCACACCTCACATACACAAACTTGGTTATTGGCAACTCACTTTTTATCGAGGCATGTGGAGCAAGGTAAATGATTGGGGTCAAACTGTTAAGTATCTGGCTTGCTGGTGACTGTTTACTTCTAAATCTTGTAGTGGGGGAACTGCTATGTGATGAATGAGCCCTGGAGCGGTGTACGTATTAGTCAGCATTGTGAAACACCTGGGCACCTCGTGAAGTGGGAAGAGCGCAAGGGCGGTCTGACAAGTTCATACTTTTTGCTAAGAACGAGCTGCTTGCATTATTTAGGTCCCAAAATGGGGGCCTATGACCCTAATGGGCCGAGGATATTGGCCCATTAAAAATCAATGGGCCCAAGGGTCAGCCCAAAACCCAGCCCATTTGCTAGTTGGGCTAGGCTGGGCTATGGGCTTTATGGGCCGGTGAAGAGGTCGACTCGGGCCACATGGTCCGAAATCCATCCCCGAATCCTTGAAGCAAAATTTCCGAGCTCCCTGTGTGGAGCGTCCAGACCCACCGAAATGGGTCGCGCTGGGGATCAAAGAATCGAGGGCTGAGTGACACTGAGAGGTATCCTTGGATACAGGCTAGACTGGGCCTCTTCAAGGATAGCGGCTAGGTTTTGGAGAATTCGTTCCTGCAATATCAGTGAACAGACAAGCAGATAGATACTGGAGGACCAAAAACTGTCTGCTGTGCGACTCCTTCGCTCACTATCGCATTGTTATCATCTAACCTAACCATGCTGGAGCAGTAGACTGTCATTTCGAGCGACGGCCTGTGAGAAGATAGGGAAGGGGGCTAGTGTCTTGGTTGTGAAAATAGCTTTCTTGCTAGATATTATATTAATAAAAGGAATATGTTATATACTGATTGTTTATTAATTAGATTATCTTTCATGGGTGAATGTATTAGGGTAGATCTAGTTGCTCTTTAAATAGATCTTAAGGCTAATTTATCATTTCATACTCCACACTAGAGGGAAATCCAAGATATACAACAAGGCCTTTAAATACACAAGACTAGAATCAATCAAGATTGGAAAGAAAATAAAGATCATAGTCCACAGGTGAATATACACAGGCTACGTTCACCAAGGGAGCCAATGATCCACAATTATAATCAGTTCACATTCTCCGAGCATCTAGTCGACGCGAAAATGACAAAGCCCATCTTGAGTTGGCGATCAAGCAGGAAAGAAGAGAATCTAGCAAAAGAGGGGAATAGGAAGAGAGCTACTTCTTCTCTGGACACGAAAATCAGGGCGTAACTTCAGGGAACAAGTCTCCCGACAAAGATCTGTGCAGTTCATATGCCAAGCTATTTCAGAGACCAGCTAGGGAACCTTGAAACGCTCTAGGGCTCGGGAGTGGCGATCGAGCAGACAAACCTCATCTGTCACTCAGAATCTGCTATCGTAGTGGGGAAACCGCGCCACATCTCATGTGCGCCCCTGTGGCTAGTTTTGGCATTTCTAGCTCGCATTTCTGTAGTTTAGCAATACATGCGTTTTACACCTCTCGAAAGAACAGCATCTGTATTCTGGTTAGGTTGCCCAGGGGGCCGGTTTTGCTCCCTCGCTTCCCCATGAGCACTGAGCACCCCCATCGACTTGATGTCAGATCGCCATCGCACTCTTCCTTCTTTCCTAGGTACTTAGTACTTACCTCGGGAAATCTGCGGATATTTGTAGAGCGCCGAGATCATATGAATGATATGATCAATATAAAGATCTGGTGTTCATGTATTTTTAGTAAACATAAGAGAACCTCAGTACTTATGAGAATTTGATGACAACATCATTCGCTTTTGATCAAACCTTCGCACCCTACCGCCGGGGCAACTGACTCACCTTCCACTCATTCCTATTTATTTCCAGGTTAGAAACCTTCTCGTATTTCTTTCCTCGTTCTACTTCACCTCTTCATCGCGGTGCGAAAACTCAGCCCTTTGCCGTAACCCCGTGCTTTTTGCACCACCACCACCACCACCACCATCATGTGCAGGCCTTTGTCATATATGTGGTATGACCTCCGTGCCGACGAGCCACGTGATCACCCGGAATATGTCGAACAAGGCCCGCCTCCCATGATAGAAGCTTTACACCTGAGACTCAAGGACAGCAGCTCCACTCATGTGACCCCCAAAGAGCTAGAGGGCTTCAGTGTGGACATATCCAGGGTGCAAACTTCGGACGACGAAGTGCATTTCAGTCCATGTTTCTTTCGACCAAATCTGGTCAATTTTCTGCGGGATTTTCCCCTACTTTCCCACGATGACGACAGATACTATACCTCTGATCCACCCTCATGTCCACCAACAGCCAAAGCGTTTAAAAGACTGTGTGAATTCAATCAAGAAGTCTATCGTGAACGAAGGACTCTCAGAACACAATCTAACCCGAAGTGTGATTGCAGTATTTTAACGTTTAACGATATAGTTCCCGCAATGTGAGTACATAATTAGAGCTACAGCAATAGAGCTTAAGCATTGTATAACCAGTTAAGCTAACATTTATAGGTGGCATGAACCAGTTCAGAACCTTGACCATGAGTGGTATATAGACGAGACACTCGATGCATACACTAGGGAGAGACCTGACCTACCACATCTAATTGGAGTGTTTGTATGTGGAACAAATCCGGACAGAGACGCTCAATCATTATCTGTTGCTGAGTTGGAAGCTATTGGGGCAATTATGGTAGAACAGATGTGGCACGGTCAGCATGCGATCTACCCGGTAGGATTTCTCTATGCCTCGAGGCACTTCCAATTCAAACGCTAATCTCCCCAACTGCTAGCTTTTACTTCTCTCGTTCATAGGCTACAAGCATGGCCGGATTACACAGGCTGTTCATTGGGGCACAGAACTCCATGTACAGTTCTCGCAATTGCTGAGCTTTGAATCGGAGGGAAACGAACTGATGGAGCTGTTCTGTCGCTATGCCACAAGTGACATGGTCGGCTGTGAGCAGAGTCCCCTATCCATATCAATTTCGGGCGTGTAGAGGAAGACCCGAAGTATGTTGTCGACAGATGCACACCTACACGCTCTACGAAGTAGTACGTCGAATGTCTTGTCTTTGCTCAACAATCTTGTCTTGTCTTGCTTTGCTCAACAATCTTATCTTGAACTCCCTTCACCACCATATCAGACACAATAGATGCCCATTTATCTTATTAAGTCATGTCATCTACCATACTTATACAACATGATATACTACTAGCCAGAGTACACAATATAGAGCGCAGAGGTTTCCAAGGTTTCACATCCAATTCTTATGATAGAACTATTTAACAATCCATATCGTGTCATTGGAAGCAGCACTGTAACTTCAGGCGGGGCTTATGTTCTAATTTTACTTCGCTCCGCTCCGCAATTATTCCATATAGATACTCGTAGATTACCCAGTCAATCTATCCGAGCGAAAAATGGAGTGAAAACTGGAGCGAGTCTCAAAGAGAACCTTGGAACAATGATGATTTGAAGCAATTTGAAAATTGGATCTATACGAAAGTTTCATTCACATCGTTGATAATGCCAAAACTGTAGAACCAAAAAAAAAAAACTGGTTCCGAAACCAAACTCGCTGTTTCATTGGGTCCCATCCACAAATCCGATGTCGTCCCTAGGTTGACCTCTCAATATCAAAATGGAAAAAAACATAGGTGTTGTGTTTTTGTTTTCCGGATGACAGGTATTTTGAACTGCCATGGAATTGAACGAATGAAGTCACTGAACTTTTGCTGATTAGCATATATATTGGAGAATGCACAGAACAACATAGACACTTTGCCTCTAACCATTTAATCCTCAACGGCAGCGACTACAAACTGTCCCCGCTGCTAGGATGGCCACATATACAAACAATTTCTAATGTTGATCTGATTCTGGGGCTGACAGAAGATGTACACCAATCCAGCAGAGAAATATCGGGGTTGACCAGATCTGCTTATATGTCCCTGGAAGCCGCTGTCGGTTTTAGCACTTTATCTTATTGTGTTCCTCGAAAGTTCAGTGGTTTGAGCCAAGCCTCCGATTGCATTTGTAGATATTTCTCTTGTTGTTGTCGGTTCCTGGGTATCCGTTAGCATCGAGGCTATGCAAAGGCAAACCGGAGGTTGAAAGTATCTTCTGTGGGAATTTTTAGTAGTTTAGGATTTGCCCTTGTATATTGATCAATTCTTTAGTTTCTTGATCCCACGCCTGTCCATATCAACTTTCGGGGTCTCGGTATTGTCACTCTGGTGCCTGCGATGCATCTGGTACTTCGTACATCCCATCCTTGCCGTGTGAGCTCGCGCCAAGCTCAAAGTGTTCTTTCTGTAGTTAGTCAATCAGCTATACATATTTAGCATCGAGCTTTAAGAGAAAGGGAAACATGTCAGTATAGTCCTGAGGGGCGGTGGATTATTGCCCATTCTGGAGTCTGGACATGTGCCCAGGTGTGCGGCGCACCTTCTCTCTCTCTCTCCCTCTTCCCCTCCCCCAAATCAAACCAAAAATGCCTCCCCCCAACAACAAGAAGAAGAAGAGGCCCTCAAAGGTAAGTCAAATGTTATCGAGGATGATATTGCATCATGTTCTGCACATAGGCCCCAGGGGCTTCATATCAAATGCTCTAGAGCTATCGTGTTGCCAGATACAATATCATATGGAGCCGATGCACATCCATGTCTGCCCAAGGGCTCTGAAGGAAACAAGCTGACTTATTGGAATGCAGAAGTGGTGCCACCACTGCAAGATGGGTGGGCACTCCGATGCCGAGTGCTACCGGCAAGTTGGTACGTGGATTCCTTTCTGTCCATCATCCAAGCCTCATACAGAATTACGACAAGATCTTACTCTCTCAAGACAATATTCCCTGGCAACAGAAAATGTACTGACACACTCTCAACAGGCAAGAAGGAAAGCCCCGCCGGAAAGAAGGGTACGTTGTCTCCTTTGATCATCGCGTCCATCTGAGCCTCATGCAGAATTACGGCGAGATATTACTCTCCCGGGCCAATTCCCCCCGTTTACACCCAAAGACGGCAACAGAAAATATGCTGATAGACTCTTACTAGGTCCAATGGAAACCCCCGCCAGAAAGAAGGGTACGTTATTTCCTTTGCTCATTGTGTCCATCCAAGTCTCATACAGAATCACGGCGAGATATTACTCTCCCGGGACAATTCCCCCCGTTCACACCCCAAGACAGCAACAGAAAATATATTAATACACTCTTACCAGGCAACAAGGAAAGCCCCGTCTCAAAGAAGGGTAAGTGGATATCCAAATCGAAAAATCCACCCTTCGCTCTCAACTATCCCTTCAAACTTGCATTCACATGTGGCATTAGTGTATCACCCGACAAAAAACTGACTTGAGCACCACATTATTAGGCAACAAACGTGTCCGGTCTCTAGACACAACGCCCCTGCCCGCGCCCTCTCCAGGTAAGCTACTAATACCACTGCTGTCCTCCCAAAGTTTTATCTCCGCGCTATGATTGGCCGAGGAACAGTCCTGTCTCTCGGACGGAGAAAATTTACGGGGGACCTCAATTGATCGAAAGTTATACTAAAATATATCTAGACCGCAAACAGAGAGAGCTGACCCTCCCCCCTTCCCCAATTCCTCCGACCTCAAAACTCGGTAAGTCTTCTCACTTGCTATGTCCTTTCCCTGCAACTAGTAGTAAATAGGAGACACTGTGTTGTTCCAGACTACCGCTTTGTCTCAGACCGCATTCAATTAGCGCACGGTTGGACACTGGCTTTATTGAAGAGCACTGACAATAGTTCATAGGAGCCAAAAGGGCCCAGGGCCCAATCATTCAATTTGGCGACCCGGTCGCCCCGGAAGAACGTACGTATAAGACACCCAGCAAAGCCTGATTCACTTTTGACTTCAAGTTTTGGCTTCTCATCTGTGTGCCCGATTGTGACTCGAAGTGATGCATTTGTCGTTTCGTTTTACCTAGTTGATTCTCCATCTGCTTGCCCTTCCAGTGTGCCTGTTCCCCTTTTCCTCAAAATTGGAACCAATCACCAGCGCTAGCCAAGCTATTCGACTCAAGCTGACCCTATAATATAGCCTCCCGCCCCCCTCTTGCTCCCTCCACCGGGGTCAGCTCGGCTGTGCGAGATGGGGATCTCAGTTCCGGTGAGCTAGTCTTCATTGCCGCGTGGTTGGTCTCGTACCGCCGCACTGGCAGTGTAGCTCTAGCCGCCGGGGCTGCGTTGGATCATTGGGCTGAGAGCTCTGTTTTGCACAGCCGGGCCCCTCGTGTGGAGGATGAATCCACTCAGGATGGCGGTGCTGCTGAGGAGGAGAAGAAGAAGGAGGAGGAGGAGGAGGATGAATGGGAGGACATCGATGAGTAGGGGGCACGGGGGCGAGAACGGGCCCCAATATATCAATACAAGTCTCTGGGTCGGCCCTCAACAGCCTTTGCACTGTAACCTCGTAGACTGAAGCTCCAGATGAATCTTCAAACGACGACCATACGGGCTGTAGAGCCCCCTTGACTGCCTCTTTCGTCCCAAACACACTACCATAGCAGTAGCTTTGCTCTTCAGCTGGATTATTTCAATGTCTGAATTTAGATTAATCCGATAGCAAAGGGCACTGTGCTGATGAAATAGCTCCTCTACACTCAGCCTCGGGTAAAGGGACTGAAAACAGCTGGACACGGCCTCGTACAAATGTATAATTGGAAACATCTCTCAACACTACAACTCAACCTGCACAGCAATCATGCTCTCCGACATGAACCCAGTTACAAACAACCAAGCTAGCTTCTTTCCATCCCGAGGCTCAACGGGAACCAAGACAGCCGCACTGGCAGTCCGGATCCTCATTCCATCATCCTCGAACAACAACTTCTTCTCCCACTCACCGGTAGCCGGCAGGAACCGCGTATACCACACCTGCGAAGCATCAGTGGCATTCTCATCCTTAGCATTGACAGGCAGGTAGATAGCCTGCGAGATACCAGCAACAACAAAGCCACTGGCATCGTCCTCACCCGTGCGGTACGGGTCCGCATAGTAGCTTGGGTTATCGGTGACAGTGTCAAAGGGAATAGTGGCGTGGATCTCGATAGAGTGGTTTGACTGCGGGGAAGAGACGTAGAGCTCGCCGCCGACAGCGCTGGAAATAATCATTTCCTTGTCTGTGCGTCCATGACCGAGACCGTTGTTGTTCCAGAGTCCCGTCAAAGCAACTGAGGCATCGACACTGGCCTCCTTGCTAGGGTTCTCGAGCTGAACGTGGATAATGCTAGACCATTTCGCGGAAGGCCAGACATCCTCCACGATACGCATGAGGCCATCACGATAGAAGTGGTCGTTGGTAACGTAGAAAGAAACGGGACTCTCTGCGTAGATATCATTGGGAGTCTCTATAAGCGGGTGATGAATCGAGCGCACATGCTGGACAGTCTGCGACTCTAGGACGTGGTGGAAGAGCTCGATCTGAGACCTGGCCTTGTGGACGCCTTCGGGCTCACCGGCCTCAAAGTAGGCCGGATTGGGCAAGTGGTTGACAGCGAAGATATAGACAGCGTCAGGCTGGTCTGGGTCTTCAATAACGTCAATTCCATGGGTAACAAAGGGACCATCAAAGTCAGTGAAAGCCAGACGGCTTGATTTCATGGTCTGTACAAGTAGTTCTGGTTAGCAGAGCTCCACACGCCAAGGCTAAGAACGGACCTTGGGATCCACAATGTGAATGGAGCCGCGGGTCCTCGGCTGCAACAAGTTTCCGAGAGGCGGGAACCAGCTGAAGCGCGTGCTCTTGTGGTCTTCGCATGCGGTGAACAGTAGGTTCGCCGGACGGTAGTGGTGCACATCTTCGCAGTGGATGGTATCGGCGATGTAGATAGGACCTTGGCCTTCACCGAACACTGTCGGAGTTGGCGTGAGGAAGACACCTCCAACGCGAATGACGTGACTGACTGGGCCAGCCAGGAAGGCAATTAGGGCGGCGACCAGGCCGAAGGTGAGGGTTGTTCCTAATCCCATGATGAGAATTGCGGAGAGAAAGAGAAGTGCAACAGAAGAAAACCCAGAGTAGTCCCCATGCCATTATTAATTGTACAGCTTTGTGGAACCTCGCGAAGTTAGCTTCGAGTAAAGATCGCCCCAAGACGCGGGGTGGAGCGCGGGATGTTATCATACCTCGGCCTCTACGAGCATGTCAACTCAATACTGAAGGAAGTCTCTGGTAAAAAAAAGAATAAGCAATTGCAATTAAAGAAACTAAATCGAGATCTTTTTGCGATTTTTCTGTTTCCGCTCAAGTTCCAACAAAGAAAGGTCAATCTCATTAAGTCTGAGCCAAAGGACTAGACCTGGCATTCCGAAAAATTAAGTGCAAATTCCCATTCCCTTTCCCATTCCCATAGCATGCATCTCATGAACTTGTGCGTCTTTAGTGCGCGGATTGTCTGGCATCCAGGAACTCTTGATCGCTAGCATCGAGAACGTCGTACTCTTCGTCGGTGAGGAAGCCGGCGTCAGTGTCGTCGTCAAGGCTGAGGCTTTCGACCCCATCGAGGACATCACACTCTGAGGAGTTGGACAGAGTGGGTGCCTGTGGAGCAGGGGCTTCGAACTGCAGGGTGCTCGATGCCGGAGACTCCTTCTCAAGTTTGGGGAAGATCATAACACTGCCTTTAGCTTCGGGTTCCGCGGGAGAATCAACCTCCGAAACTGCCTCAACCTCTGACACTGCCTGCACCTCCACATCGCACCACAGACGGTGACCGATAGCCAGGCCGTTGGGGAGCTTCAGGCGCCAGTAGGAGATGGCGGTACCCTCGCGACTGGGAGTGCGCAGATTGACAGTGAACTCGGCATTGCCACCTGCCTCAACTGGGGCCGGCAGCTTGTTGCTTTCCATCGCCGAGCGAATAGACTCAACGCTGGAGGGGTGGTTAAGTTCCACGTTGAACATGGTATCTCCTCCAACAAAGCGCACATCACAGCCAGCGGGCCATGCTGTGGGTCCAGGGTTGTGAAGAGTCCAGGTCTGGCGGAACATGGTGTCAGGCGCCATCTTAGTGCCGTCGGTGATGGTGTCACAGATGAAATAGGCCTTGTACTCAACCTCCTCAGTTTCCTCGGTCTTGATGGTCTCGGCCACGGGTGACTCGACGTTCACAGGTGTGGGAGACTCAACCTCGAAGGGCTCCTTCTCCTCTTCGGTGGCCATCTCTGAAACGGTGGATTCTTCTTCAACAGTCTCCTTCTCATCAGTGGCCGTTTGAGAGGGGCTGAAATGAGGGGGTTGATCACCCAGAGCGACTGCTCGGTTCGAGCCGTCATCACCCATGGTGCTCACGGTCACGCTACGAACGGGGGTCTTGAACTTGACCAGTGGGTGAGTGCGGTTGTGGTGATCGGTGGGAAGGGCCTCGCAGCTTGCACAGAAGTCGGTATCATCGCACACAGCGCACTTGTAACGAACGCCGTTGATGTAGCTCTGTGCAGGCTTGTTCTTGCAGAGAGGGCCATCACAGAAAATACCATAGTGGACTTCATGCTCACGTGCAGCCTCGCCGATAGTATCGTAGATTGGAACGAAGCGATGGTTGGGGTGGCTCTCAGAGGAGTTCACAATACACTCCGGGCAGAGATCCCAATCAGGGCACGCCAGGCACTTGTGACGGACGCCAACGATGCGCTTGTCGCATCCATCGCAGACAGCCGCATGGCGGAACTGGCGGCCAGGCAGGCAGCGAGATGTGATGAGATTCTTCAGGCAGAAGTTACGGTCAGATCCGAGGTGGAAAGTGTGACCAGGGTGGTGGCCATGCTTGTCTCGGAGGAGGCAGCGAAGGCAAAGGTCGTAGTCTTCGCAATCATTGCAGCGTACAAGATTGCTCTCGTCTGCTTCTGCTCATTGTCAGTACTGGGAAACGATAGATGAACTTGGAACCAAGAAGATGTAAAAGAACTTACCACGACAGCATCCATTACAAATTGGCTTGTCTTCGCCCTGAACGGCAGCATCCAAACAAGGCGAAGGGGTAGCTGGCTCTGGAATGAATTCTTGGACTGACTCAGGGACGTGGACCACCGGCTTGGTGATCACCTCGCGCTTAACCTGGATGGGGAGGTGGATGGGAAGCTGGACGGGGGCTTCGATCGAGGGTCCACGGGGAGGAATAATCTCAGTGGTACTGTTGGTGACGGCACCGTCTTTGACAATTCTCTTGATCAGCCAGTGGCCATCGCCGCCGCAAGTTGCACCTGCAGTGACACACTGTGGGCACAAGTCGTAGTCTCCGTTCTCGCAAATGCTGCAGTGGTAGTGACCGTTGGCAATGGAGCGACCGCATTTGTTGCAGTCGATGCAGAACATGCCGTTGGGGGAGTTGTGAGAGATGACTGGGAACTGATGCTTGTCTGCCTCCATCTCGAAACTGCGGAAGCGAGGTTGACCATAGGTGTGCTGCTTCTCATGGTGAAGAGTTGGGGCGGTTTCCACGGGTGGCATATTAGGGGAGTGGAAGTGGCAGCGGGGCTCAAGACAGTCTCAAGGTAATTGTGACGAGGCTGGTTGAACTCCATCGTGGGCTCTGAAGGAATGGGCGTTGATGATGTGTCGAGTGTGGAAACCTTGATACGAAGCTTGGATTTGGCCTTGGCAGCTCGGTAAAGCTGCTTGTAGACTCCTACGTTGTCACAGTCCAGGCGAACGTAAGAGCCGGCGCTGTCGGAATAACGTTCGAGGATGACGTTGACATCCGCAGGAACGCCGAGAAGGGTTCGAAGCTAAACTCAATCTTAGTCAATGTGATGCAACTGAATCACGATGAACGAGGAAGTGACTGGAGTGTGAGAAGATATCAAAAGTCCAGAGAGTAAGACTTGATGATGATCATGATAAGGAAATCGGCTAGATGGCCGGTCGGGGGAAGCTTGTGTGGAGACTTACCATCCGGGGGAGGATTTGGGCTTTGAGGTCCTTCAAAGGCAGCTTGAAGCGTCGATTGCTGTCATTGTACAGGACCTTGACAGTAACCAGGTGCTCTGGGCCCGGGTGAGTTGGAGCTGGTGTTGCCATGATGTATGATGAAATGCAAGATGGAGTGGATACCAACTGCCTAGGCAGCAGTACCGTTTAAGGGCTTAAGAAAAGAGGATAGTATTTGAGGATTACAGAGAAGTGGAAGAGGATGAAGGGATACAAGGAAGGGAAGAACTATGAAGATGGAAATAGATGAAGCAGAGGATCGGGGAGAGGGAAGTTGTACAGAGTCGAACTGAAGGGAAAAAGGTGGAGAGGACGGGGTCAGCTGCCGACGGATAAAGTCGGGTAGGCGGTGAGGATGTGCAGAATATGGCGTCAGAAGTCGATTGCCAAGCGGTCTGCACGTCCTTTGTTCTTCGTGACTGGACGCCCGACAGAGGAGGGGTGCAGAAGATCATCGAATAGGAAACAGGACACTAATTATGAGGTCATGCATAGTGATATTGGATTTCATTGCCCGATTGGATGCTAGAAATTGAGAAAAGGGCTAGAACCGTGTGCTACGTGATTCCAGTGATGTGGAGTAAAATAGGAATAAAAATAAAAAAAAGGTGGACATGACGGGAGAAACGCTCAAATGCAGTGATCTAACGACGGCCAATATAAGTCATAAAAACAGAAGATTAGGATAGGAGATCAGGCATGGCTAGTGAATGTGAGATGGCAATAATGAAGGTGCGAGGGAGGTCATGTGAAGGAAAGAAGATGTTGAGAAGGAAGAGATGGAAAAGATGGCAGAAATGTCATATGAGAGTGAGGGCAGTCTCACTATCCATAGTATTGGCCAGGCTGGGGGTAGTAGATGGTACCCGGGGGAGTCATCATCCCACCCATGCCAACCACACCCCCAGGACCAGCCCCAGGACCTGGGGCTGTTCCCCCATAGGGGTGATTGGCATCATAGAAGTAGACAGTGCCACCAGATTCGTGGGCGACGGTACCAGGCTGCGATGGTTGTTCACCAGCTGTGTAGGGCATGTGTTGCTGCCCGGGGAAGTTGGGAACGGAGGCCCCGGGCCCCACGGGTCCATTGTAACCCGCGTATTCGGGACCCGAACTCGGGTAGTACATGCCAGCAGGTGGATAATTCGGAGGATAATACCCAGGTTGCTGGTATGAATAAGGTTGGAAAGGAGCGGCATGGATGGCCCGCTCCGGGATTTGGGAGAGTGGAGTGGCCGAAGGCTGACTAGGCGGCCCATGGGAATTCATCTCATGCCCATGGGGGCCTTTAACCGGAAGGGGGACCTGATGATGGAAAGGTTGTTCTTGCTGGGGCTGGGGTGGATTGAAATGGAAGGGGAAGGTCACCGGGCTTTCAATATCAGCCACGGAGACGGTCTTTTGAGGACGAGGCTGATGCATAGGAATTGGGGCGGGTCGACTTTCCCGGTAGGCCGGGTGTGGCATGGGCATAGCCATCGTGGGGCCAAATGGCGGGATCCCAACGGGGGGACGGGGTGGAGGAGGAAGACGGACAGCGGGCTTCGGTTCGGTGGGGATTGTGGGTCTGGAGTAAACAGACCCCGCAGGTGATGGCCACCCGTCCTGGGAGGGCGGCATGCCAAAGGAAGAGCGGCGGCTGACAACGCTCGGTGTGTACGAAGAGTTAGGGTAGTAGCTAGGACGACGTCCACTGTACCAGCCACCACCCCGACCCCCTCGTCCACGAGATACTTGATTCGGCCGCAGCGCACGAGGGATGAAAATGAAGGAGCGTTCGACTGATGGGAATATATATCGGGGAGGCTGGCTAGGGAGAGAGATTCGAACTGGCTTATCGCGTCGCAAGGGAGGCCGATGTTGAGGGAGACGGGTGTGGAGTCTCTTTGGCACAGCAGCGAAATGGACTGGGCTGGTCATTCCGGGCAAGGACACAACGACAGGCACACTGCCGACCAACGTCGTGCTCGAGAATGATCGATTGGGCGGATCAGACCTTGGTGCGGTGGGAACTGGTGCAATAGGATTAGGCATTGCGGGGTTTTGCTTTTGTGAAGATTTCTCATCGCCGGCCACCGTATCATGAAGGTCGTGTGCCCATTGTCCTCCACTGGCATCGGCTTTGGACGATCTTCCCAGTCATGTTAGCAGGAAACATAATCTAGATCACAGACAGCAGACCTACCTTCGCGAATTTCCGTCCACAATAAGACCATATGGGCGAGACTTGCTCTTGCTAGACCGATTGCCGTTTTCTGTCGACCGTTTATCGTGAAGGAAGAAGCTGCCGCGAGTAGGGACGAAAGCTGGGTTCTGCTCTCGCTCCTTGACATATTTCTCGTTCTCACGACGTTTTTTAGATGCCAAGCTATTCTGTCTCGGTTCAGTGGGAGGGGCAGATGGTGTTCTGCCGGTGTGAGGCTCCCGCTGTTCTCGGGGCTGGTCCAGGTGAACCTCCGCCGTGCTGCCATTGTCTGAGACCTTCAACCCGTTGAACATTGCCTCTGTATCCGAAACCGTTGTCTTGGATCCTCGCTTGCCGGGTGAAGCGGAGCTGTTTCGTGTAGAGTTCGTGTTGTGACCGTTGACCTGCTTGCTCTTTGCCGACGGTGTGACCTCATCCTCACTTTCTTCACTTACTTCCCCATCCGCGTCCTCGTCCTCTTGGTTGCTGTCCACGGTTCCCTCACTCAAAGAGTCATCGCCTATGTCTCCAGCCATTGAGCCCTCATCCTCGCCATCGTCCCCATGCCTCTTTCTGCGGCTGGCTCCGATATGACGTCGAGGAGGAGCCATGGTGGAGACACGAGGGAGCACTTGAGACGGCTGGAATGAATCCTACCGGTGATGTTCACTGCGTAGCACCAGCAGATATGAGCGAGGGGCCCAAGGAAAAGGAGCGAGATTCGTTGGGAGAGACCGATGTTGGAGCAAGGACGAAGAACCGGAAAGTAACCAAACCACCGAAACAGAGCTATTGAATCCAATATAGAATATAAAAGGGACGCCTTCACAAAGGCGGAGAAGAGAAATGAAAAGAGCAAGGGGGGGCAATAAGAAAGAAGATGCAGCCCAATAAAAATGAGAAGCACAGAGAGAAGAAGAAGAGAGAGAGACTCACTCCAGAACGGCATCCATCGCCAGAGACGTCAGGCGGGTCTAGCCCGGGCGGTATGTTTCTGCCAATTCGGGCCCAGAATTCCTCTACTTTATTTTTGTTAGTGTCCGACTAAATCTTGACGACCTCCCTTCTGCTGTTCTTTGCTGAGAGCAGATATTGTTCCATCTCGTGGACCCCGGACGCTAGGGTGGAATTGGTTGTGCCCTGTTAGGTCTATGCAGGATGTTGTGGTATGCTGGGTCGGAAGTATACATGACCTTTGCCACAAGCTGTACTACAGAGAGGACTCGATAGCCTGTAATATTGACTCGTAAATAAATTTTGGGTACCGAGGAACTGAACATAATACACTGATCTACAGGGTATAGGAAAGCAACGACTCAAATCCATGCATCGAAAAAACGAAAATGTCGGATCGCCTCTAGTCGAAGGTGACCTTTTTGCCCTGAGCCTCGACAATACCACCACTGAGCTTCTGCACAGTTTCCTTGGAGTAGCGAGACTCGTCGATGGGCTCTGATCTTTTCTTGTAACGGGGCTTTTCTTGTGGTGCACCCTCTTCGGTGATCGCGGGTCCATCCTTCTTTTCGGCATCCTTGCCGAAGCGCTTCTTGTATCGTGTAGACGCATCTTCGGCGAACTCCATTCGCATACGGCGACCGAACAGTTGGTTTACCCAGATGCGATTCATCTTGGGCTTGAGCTTTTTCGACTTCTTCTTCTCAGTGGCCGAGTCGGATTCACTGTCAGAGGGATCGTCCTCTTGGCCGTCGTCCTCCTTGACCAGAACGAATCCTCTCACCGCTGCTTCCGCCGCGGCAAGCTCTTCGAATTCCACCCAGGCATATCCCTTGCATTTTCCTGTATCTTGGAAAGTCGCCATATGCACATTGTTGACCTTTCCGCACTTGCTGAAGTTCTCCTCGAGGGATTCCTTGGTGACATCGAAGCTCAGGTTACCGACGAAGAGTCGCTTGGATGGAGGGTGACCAGGCTTGGCGGCAGCGCCGGCGGCATTTTCTTGTCTCTCGGACTTCTCAGGACGACCCTCGTAGCTCTTGGCATCCTTGATGAGTACGCGGCGGCCAGTCATGAGCTGCTCGCTCAGGCCAATTGCCTCTTTCAGCGCCTTCTTGTTGGTGAAGTCGACGTAAGCGAAGCCCCGATTCTGGGGCCGTCCAAACCTCTCGGGTCCCTTGGGGAGGTGGATTCGAGTGATTGCGGACTCGGAGATATCGGAGTTGGCGGTGAAGAACATGCGCAGTTCTTCCCTGGTCACTGTGAAAGACAAGTTTCCGATCCAAACACCATATTCAGATCGTTTGCTTGGAGTGGCCTCCTCCTCGAGATCCTTGGTATCATCGATATCGTTGTGCTTGCTGGACTTGCTGGACTTGCTGGACTTGGGTTTCTCCGCATCCTCGGTGTCGATACCCTTGTCTTTGTTCTTCTTCGCTTTGCGCAGCGCCTTTTGGAGACCGGTTCCGGTGCATCGACGTCGATTTCTAGCTCGGGGCCATCTTGGAGCTTGCGCTTCTTGCTGCTGATGTCTTCTGTATCGGACATTATGAAAAATGTATAGAATTAAAAATGACAGTAAAAGTCACGAATGTATTGAGACTCGAAGAAATTCGATCGGCGATAATTAATTTTTTTACGGCGGACCGGACCCGCCTCCGACGCAGCCCGTGACACCGGGTCTAGCTCTTGGCGCGATCGCGTAGGAACCTCATCCCCTTCAACCTCTCCATCCCACGTACATCCCGGTCCACCATGGCGGAACCTCACGACAACACATCTGTGCCCGAGCACCAGCCCGAGGCTCATAATCTGGCACCACCTCCTGCGAAACAATCAGTCCGATCTTTCAAGTCCGTATCCTCCCATCTCAACTGGGATAACAATGCTGACTGACCTCGTCTTCAGGAAGAAATATGCCAAGCTCAAAGTCAAGTTTGAGTTAGGCACACGCGAGAGCGAGAAGCTGATTCGGGAGGAATTGCGCATTGATGACCTATCAAAACGCATCCAGGAACAGAACGAGTATGTCTCTTTGTCATCCCTTCTGTGAAGCTGCTAACGCTGTTAGTCAATTACTCGAGGTCCTTCTCGAATTCAACGAGAGCTTACATGTTCCTCCTGAAATGCGGTTCGGACTGAGCATGCCGAATGACCCTCCCTTGCACCCCGCCACAGAACAAGAGATCTTACCTTTGATCAACGATGCAACCCTCGCAAAGCAGGCGTGGGCTGAGGCTAAGGCTGGACTTGCTGCCGGCAGTATCGACACAAGCGCATACCGCATGATTGAAGAAAACATCAAGCGCAACAAAGCGTTTGCGCCGTCCCAACACTACGGCTCTCTATCACAAACTGACCACGCCAGCCTGGAGGCTGCCGCTCAAGGCAGGAAATCCGACAGCGACAGTGAGCGCCAGCTTGGATACCTCACGCCCGAGCATGAAACGGAGTTTTATCTCGCTTTGGATGCCAAGCTTGGTGACAAAGCCGCAGCGGCAGAGCTTGCCCGCATCCCAGATAGAGCAACTTTTGCAGAGCGCGAGCGCGATCGGTCTATCAGAAACCCGGCTTCAGTGTATAACTGGCTGCGTCGCAACCAACCGCAAACCCTGCAAGACAATGAGGGTGCTTCTGAGAAGTCATCATCGAGACCTTCCAACCAGCGATCTTCCAAGCGAGCACCGGCTCAGCGCAAGGACGAGGACATGTATGATGAAGATGGAACTGAGACACAACCCACACCCAAGAACAAGCGCAAGCGCGAAGAGGATACAGGGTACCGACCCAAGGGAGGCAGCAGCCGGTCCAAAAAGAAGAAAGAGGAGCCCAATCCTAGTGCAAACAAAGCCGCCAAGAAACCTTAGGCTTGCGTTGCACAGTATAACCGGATCTTGACTATGTGTATTACTACGGGCGTTGGGTTTGAACTTGGGGAAGCTGATCATCACAGCAATTATCTCTGGGTATTTTTGTTACCATAGAGCATTGAAATTCGCAAAATTAGCCACAATAATAGTGTACCAAAATCTCATGGGCTACTTTGAAGCAAGTTAAACATCGAACTCTGGAACTAGCAACTTCGTTAGTTATATAGTGGATCGACCCGCACGTGATCGGGATTTTCCTCAGATCTTGCCCCGGCTGGGAGCTACCTCGATTCCCATGTCAACGCCGTTTTCAAAGCCATCCACCTTTTTTCATAGGCAGAATAGCGCAAAATGGGTATCACAATTCTACCCCCAGTAGTAGAGGACCTCGGTCCCTACCAATCCGACTCCGAAGATTCCATGTCCATGGACTCCGATCAAGATGTTGAAATGACCGGTGTCTCTCGTCCTCACAAGCGCCCTCGTTTACAATCAAAGTCCAACATTGGCACCGGAATTGTTACCCCCGGTGAAGTTGTCACAGATGATCCACAGTGGATGAGGTGGGTGGTCTCAAGAGGCTGCGCAAAATGCGCGGGGCTCTACCTTTTTTTTTAAATTTGTCCAAACTAACAACATGCAGAGGTCACGGTACCTATATGAACCCCCTCTCAACATCCATCATTGCCACCGTTGCCGGAACCGTTCAGAAGACAAATAAGCTACTCTCCGTGCACCCATTGCGCGCGCGCTACACACCCGAAATTGGAGATTTAGTGGTCGGCCGCATTGTTGAAGTGCAATCTAGACGCTGGAAGGTGGATATCTCTGCGCCATTGCTCGCACAACTCCCACTCTCCGCAATCAACTTGCCCGGCGGTATTTTGCGCCGACGAACGAGTGCCGACGAGCTCCAAATCCGAACATTCTTCAGCGAGGGTGACCTGGTCATCGCCGAAGTGCAGAACGTGCACCAGGATGGCTCAGCATCACTACACACACGCTCCTTGAAGTACGGCAAGCTGCGGAACGGTATCTTCCTCGCTGTGACGGGAACCGGAGGCAGTGGATCAGCCGGCGCTTCTGTCAAGGGCGGCATCGGGGCTTCTGCCGCTGTGGGTAGTGCTCTGGCAGCGCCGGGAGGGTCTGGCACCGGTGGTGTGGTGCGGTCTCGTCGACAAGTCTGGACTTATGAAACTGCCAACGGCGGTGGTCTGGTAGATATCATCCTCGGAGTCAACGGCTACATCTACATTTACAAGCACACTGACGGGGCAGATGCTGCCTCTTCGACTACGGAGAATGTTTCAATTACCCGACTCGAAGAGGTGGCATCGAGTACGATCTACTCGAGCCAGAACGACGACATTTCGCCACAGACTCGGAGGGAGATTGCACGGTTGTCCCAGTGCATCCAAGTCTTGGTCCAGTATGGAGTGCGTGTGGATGAGGATACAGTCGTTGGTTCTTATGAGGCTAGTCTCCAGGTAGACCTTGAGGTTGGCGATGATGAAGATGAAGAAGATGAGTGGCGACAGGAAGGCCGTGAATATCTCGAGGGTGCTAAGAGCCGGCGCATCATCGAGTTGCTCGGTCAGAAGAAGGTTTAGCTCGACATTATAACCCCTATATGTATGATAATGATACCAAAATCTTTCCACCAGTTTCAGTGTTGTAGACTTGGCATGGAGAAAACTCCAGTACAATATAATCTTATATGATCCAGGCGGGTCGGCCGCTCCAGTACTTCGTAGTTTGATGGGAGATGTAAACGATACATATGAATGTAAGTAGAAGAGGGTGGGAAGCACCTGGGCAAGCTAATAATTGTAGACAGCGAGATCACATGACATGACTATAGTGAAACCGTCCGGGTCATTATCCAACATGGACCGTAAGCGACTTCGGTCAATCTCGAAAAGTAAAACTTGACCGTTTTGAAATCCAATGGCCACCTGGTCGCCTTGCACAATACAACATTGTGAGACCAAATCCGATGGAAGCCGAAGGAAGGGTATCTCTTCATGACATATCCCCTGATTCCTGACGTGAATTTCTCCCAAGGGCTCCGTAGTAGAATCCGTGGCAATGCTTCTTCCACCCCTCGGGAGATCCTCGAGACTGATTCGACCTATGTTTGTTGCGAGGCATCGGTCATCTGACGAGAATTTGATGGTATATATGTTCTCCGATGTCTTGATTTCTTTGATTTCTTGACATGAACGGGACGTCAAGAGGCTCCTGAAAGTACGCCCAAAATGTTTGGAGCCTTGCGGAGATTTAGTGACATCCCAAAGCCTGATAGCGCTGGATGAGCTAGAGGCGAGCTTATCACCCTCTGAAGAGAAGGCCATAGCCGTGACTGGGTGATAGTGTCCTTCTAGAGTCCCCTGAAGGGTCCCAGTTGTGGAGTCCCAGAGCTTGATAGTGTTGTCACGAGCGCCAGATGCGATTTGGTTCCCATTTGGGGAAAATTTGACAGTATTGACCCAGTCAGAGTGGCCTACCAAGGTTTGATGGCTCCCTGTCCTGATATCCCACAGCTTGATGTCGTTTTCAAACGCGCTAGAAACCACCTCGGTACCATCTGGGGAAAAGGCCACATCTGTGACCGATTTAGAGTGGCCGATCAAGGTCTTCTGGAGATCTCCTGTTATTGCGTCCCAAAGCTTGAGTGTAGAGTCTTCTCCAGATATGATGTTTTTGCCATCTAGAGAGAAGGCCATGGCTGTGACTGCGCCAGAGTGGTGTGCTAAAGGCTTCTGAAGATTAACCATTGTGGTATTCCATAACTTGATAGTTTCGTCGGAAGATCCTGAGATGATCTGCTTACTATCTGGAGTAAAGGCCACAGAATTGACCCAGTCAGAGTGGCCCCCCAGAGTCTGTTGCAGCTCGGTCGTTGCGGTATCCCATAGCTTAGTCGTTTTGTCAAAAGAGCCAAAGGCAAGCAGTTTGCCATCGAGGGAAATGGCCAAAGCTGTGACGGGGCCAGAGTGGCCTACCAAAGTCTTTTGAACATTGGCTGTTGCAGTATCCCAAATCTTGATTGTGTGATCATGAGCACCAGAGACAATCTGTTTACCATCCGAAGAGAATGATATAGCTGTAATTTGACTGGAATGGCCCGATAGGCATTTCTCGAGATCTCCCGTCCTAGGATTCCACAGCTTGATAGTGGTATCATCAGAGCCAGAGGCGATCTGTTGGCCATCTGCAGAAAAGGCCACAGCTGTAACTGGGCCAATATGGCCTATGAGAGTTTTCTGTATTTTTCCAGTTGTAGAGTCCCATAGTTTAAGAGTGTAATCCCAAGAGCCAGAGAGGATTTATTTGCTGTCCGGAGAGAAGCTCACAGCACTTACACGGCTAGAGTGGCTTTCAAGAGATCTGTATACATCTCCCGTCGTAGAGTCCCATAGCTTCACGGTATCATCATCAGAGCCAGAAGCAATGTATTTGCCATTTAGAGAGAAAGCCACGGTATTGACTGAGGCACGGTCGTTTTTCAGAGTCTGGACCAGCGATGACCAATTTTCCTCCATTTTAGGTGGTTTTCGCAACCAAATGGGAATTTTGTTCATGCTTTTCGTCTTCACAATGCTTGATTCGGGACTGAAGATGATAGCAGAGCTGTAGATCTGCAGCGGCCAATTCGCTATAGTGTGATAGTGTCGTGACAAAAATCGTGTAGCATCTTGCACAAGTGAGGATAGGCAAGAGTGATCCTATATCAAGCTGGTCAGCAAAGATGCTAGGTAATTAAAGACTTGATACTAACTTTTGCCAGGTTTGCTAGTGTTTTCAATGCTTCCATGGTCTGTGGAAGCTTTCCTAGTAGACTCACACATTCCAGCCATTCCAAGAACTTTGTTTGGAGGAATATGATGACTGTGTCGATCAGAGCGAGGTTGGTTTGTGGAACCAGGGGTTTCTTGGTATCCTCGAGATGTTGCACCCAGAAAGTAGCTGCATAGTCCACTCTAGCTAGTAGAACGTTGTCTCTCTCATCCTTCAGTCCTTTCAAAGATTTTGGTGTTGAATCAGGTCGTGTTAATTCAACAAGATTTGCCGTCAATCTTTCAGACAGATATGACAAGCATCCGAGTGCGATTTCGTCGGGGCCAAAATGTTCGCCGGAAAAGAAGACGGATTGTGCATATTTTCCGGCCAGAAAGTCACGAGCAGATTTATGAACAAACTCGATCTTATTCTCATGGAGCTTGATGAATGAAGCACATTGATCCACAAGTAGTTCGATGGCATCTTCTTGATCGGTAAGACCAGTCACACTGCGAATTTCCTCCAGCTTCAAGGGTCGGTATACCAGCATCATCACTTTCAACAGTCTGGTATATTTCTGTACATCAGTACTCTTGCCCCTGCTTAGCTGATTGATTATTTGAGTGTAAAAAGCTTCAAGGCCAGACGGTAAGTTTTGAATGGTGGTCAGAGCATTATTTCGACAGACACTCTCAAGTTCCTTACATACCAAGCTAACCCATAGGAATGTTCTCCCAGCCTTGTTGATAAGCTCTGTCTGTATCTCTCTCTCGCTTTAACTGTTCTCCGTAAAGACACCGACGATCGAGTTCAGTCATTTTTGAAGAAATGTAAATATTGACAGCTTCAGAAACAGATGACCACTATTCTAGCTTCTAAAGCTTAAATAGAACTAATAAAACTTAGCTAAAGTATCTTTCACGTAATATAGTCAAGCCAAGTGTTGTAAGTTGCCATAAATTTGGTGGATTCCTTCCAGTCTATATGAACGTAATAGCCTAATAAGGTTATCAATTAAAGCTCTAATCCATGTAACTAATAGTAAATAGAAGAGAGGAAGGATGTCTTCTATATTCCTAGTATCCGTTTTCTCACAAATATCATAGTAAAGATAGATAGAATCTACAGACATATTTTCAAGATATGCGAAGGAACTCAGATAGCTAGTTTTAGACTCCTCGCAAAGTATCAACTAGAGCATCATACCCCTAAGAGGAGTCTTTCAGTTGTAGTTTTTGTCAAGGTAGAGACGCTTCACATTATAAAGTTGCGGTATGAAAAGAGTGGTGAAGGCATCCATCAATCCGACGCATAGCTTTCGGATCTATTCTTCAGCATAAGGAATATTGAACCTTGCAACAAACTGATCCTCGCGACAGATACTGTGTGGTCGATGCTATCGAAGCCAGCCAGACATTGAGTACTATCCTCAATGAATCATTTGCGAACGCTATCCCTTCAAGCGATGAAAGTCCCGTTCCGATTTCTCGATGGCAAGTCATTCCCATGGAAGCCGATTCTGAAGTTTTTTACATCGCCGACCCACAGAGTGGAATAACGGCTCCAGGATGCAGGATCGAGTATTGAGTTTGCCGCGATCTCAACCGATGGTTCCACTAGTGACCCCCAAAATGACTCTATTCGTCTGTGGCAGCTTGTTGCTTTCGCTGCTGCGAACAATCTCACATCGGTGGAAAATACTATCCATTTTGCGAGGCCAGCAATGGAGCACCTTATCTCGCAGTGGGGAGACAAGAGGATTGTGTATACTCCTAAGAAGGCAGTGGCCAGAGTTGCGTCCATCGACAAGAATGACTTGAAGACTTTGAAGGCACAAGGCAACAAAATGAAGGCGGGCGATGAGGTGGCTCTCCTGAATGGTGGGGTTCGAATTGACCGTCAAGGCTTCTTCCAGAAAGGGGGAGTCAAGAACTCACCCTATTTCGCCAACTTGCAAGGTCAGGTTGCTAAATGGTCAGTTTGGCAAGTGAATGTGCAGACTGGTCAGGATTTTGCTGTAGCTGCTATCAGGATGAGTATGGCAGAGAGTATGAATTCGAAAAAGGAGATTTGGCTGGAAAAATGAGTTACAAGGAACAAACTCTGGGGGCACTCATTTCTGTCGCAACTTGGGCAGTAGAGCCTTTTGGACTTTCATTACAGTATATTTGTGAACACTATCGGGTAACAGAGGCGTGGCACGGACAAGTATCTACTGCAAATTCGAATGAGGCAAGTATGAGGCCAACCATTAACCAAACAGCGAATGTTGTGTAGGTATGAGCCGCGGAGGCCGGTGCAGATCTGGAAACTTCCACCTAACCCCATGGAGGTATTTCCTTGAGCCTGAATGCCATTAATTGAGAGTGGGTCCCCATAGTTAAAAAAGTAGGGCTTATGCTGAATGCCGTTTGTGTTTAAACGCCGAGTGCGGCCATCCAGGCATTTAAGAGTACTCAATTAACAAGACCCTTGAGCGGAGCCAATTCCGATGGTGCGGCTTGGTTCCTGGTCTGCACCAACATCATATCACAACAAATTTGATCATTCTGATAATACTATGTAAAAACAAAAGACGTAAATCAACTATCATCGCATTGAGCACCAATAAATTTCCTAGTATCCACTCCGCTGGTCAGCATACCCAGGTTGCGCACTCTGTGGAGTTACTCTGGCATCAACCTTGCTCAGAGGATCAGCGTCTAGACGGTCAGCCTGTTGTCCGACACCTTGGGCGTTGCTGCTACCGCTCGCAGCACTGCCGCCAAATCTCGGCTCGTTTGGCATTTTCGGGTCGCATTGAGTGACGTGGCTAGTAGCTGAGTGAGATTTGTGCTCTTGAGTAGAGGTCTCGTGGGATTCCTCGCTAGTGGATTGGCCAGTTTGGTCGAAGTTGTCCGAGGGTCGGGACTGGTGTTTCTTCTCCTGGGTAGATTTCTGATAATCATCTTGGCTACTGGTGTGGTTATCAAGACCTTGGGTGGGAGAATTTCCCTGGGGATTCATGCTGGTAGGGGCATTGCCAGACATTTCGGGCTTCGTAGCTCCGAGACGCTGACCGCGATCGTCTGCGCATGGCCTCAGATATTATCTTGATTTCTGTGGCGTTTGTCTCGACTTACCGATTTTACTACCCACGGGAGCATTCATGGCTTTTGGTGGGGTCGAATCATAAGATCCGGCATTCACGTTACCTGAGCCAGCGCTTGTGGCTCTGGTGGAAGTATCTCCACCCGATGCCATTGATCCATAATTGTCGGGGTCTGATGAACTGCGCGTATCTTTTCAACTTATTAGTATATCAAGATCGTACGACAGAGATGAGCTTTGCCTGGGACCAACCATTCAACTTGGAATCCTGATAGGTACCAGGGTCATCATCAGAGCGGTGACGAGAGCCGTAAGGATTATTAGGGCCCAGGCCAGAAGGAGCGCTCATTCCCGGGGGGTTTGGTTGATTAGGATTCGATTCAGCCGCGCGGATGTTCGATGTTCCATGGTAATCCTGGGGAGCTCGGTAGCCAGGGGCTTGGTTTGTATCCTTCCTATCATCCGTCATTGCGTCCTTGACCTTATGCACGAACTTTGACATGATATGACTAGAGTGTTCAAGATTTTATTAAGTTTGTTTTCAAAATCTTTGTGAGATGGTGAAATGTTACTGATGAAACTCGTGAAACCTATGTAGCAACGAGGCTTTATGTATTTCAGTCATCCTTTGCCACGATGAAACCTGTAATAGAGTGGAAGTTGGAAACTGGTCATGACGCTATGAAGAAGCGAAATGACTGCAAAATCCAGCAACTATGACTGATGACTTGTTCGCTAACTTGCTTTTCATTCTCATGACGTCCTGGATGATTCCACCAATGGGATAGTTAAAGACGGTATAGATCTGGAGATCACCTGCGTACTTCGTGTCGATTCCACTGATTGGATGGGTAAAGACGGTATAGATCTGGATATCACCTGCCTACTTCGTATCATCTACGTCAGTCCCAAAGCTTTTCAATGGGTTATGCGTAGAGAAAAATAAGAGAAACGGGGAACACGAGCTTTGATTGTAGTTCCGTGGTTAGGGCCAGGCCCGGATGCCTGAATTTTGCCTGAATTCTGCCTTGAGGCCTGACTGAGCCACCCCATAAAGTCCTAATGCATATCAACCAAGCCATTAAATTGAATGGAATGAACTTTGGGTCTATTTGGAAATATATATATTCTTCGACCCTGATTTTCACATGCACCGCATCTCGGTAATGCCCTCGTTATTGGTAATGGCTAGAAATTTAACTAATGGTTCGAAAAGACTCACGAGTTGGAGGCCCTCTATCATTGGTTTCATCTCGCGCGAATACAAGCTAATCATCATTGCAACTAATAGTCATATGAGAATTGTTGCTTTTGAGGATGTCTTGACCTTTTTTGAAGTCGCCTAATGGGGTAATTGAGTCGTCAGTAGATTTATCTGCGGCTATGGCTATAGACTGTCATACCCATGACGTGTTCCGTCACTTTGATATTATCCCTTATAGTTCTTTCCCCGACACCCTTCTTTACTATGGACTCGCCAAAAAGAAAGCCCCAGAAAAGCCAGTTTCGGGATCAAAGATCATCCTAGAAGTCCCTAAATCAATGTAGTTCAGAGCTTTTCCAATCCCGATATTGGCGAGCGTTTCTGAATCACGGTGGGGACTGGCAGTTGTTAGACAGGGAAAAGCATCCCCGGCCTAAGATCGGATGTTTCAAGATATTTTGATGCTGGGGTTTACGGACAGGGAAAGTGAACTTCTTAGCTCAGTTCCAGGACTGTGGTCACTAATGCGGCTCTCATATCCGATCGGAGAAGGCTTGAAGATGGTCCAACGGCAATGCAGCAATAGGAGCCTCGGGTAACAGTGCGATTGGAAGATGCAAGTTCTGGGCGAATGATATTAGCACGGGAAACTCTTGTGAGGCTACTGGGCCGATCATCAGCCCCATCAAACGGCCCCGAGATCCCAGCCGACTGTACGTTGTGAGATAATGAGTCTTTATACTAGCTCGAATTCAAGCCCTCGATAACATTGATCCTTGTCCAGGCAACAAGTGGCACTTGGTCGTGAAGAATGATAGCTGCGCTACTATTGTTAGCGAATTCGGCATTACCAAAAAAGAGTTCTACCAAATGAACCCTGCCACAGGATCACAGTGCTTGAATCAATGGTCATCCAATCCTGTCTGTGTCAGCGTATCGGGTTGGTGCATTTTCTTGATCTAATACTTTTGAAACCAGTTATATATTTAAAATGATAAAATTAAAGGTTCTCCTCCGTGATGACTGGCTCGGTGCCCAAAATATCCGCTTTTTCAGAATGAAGCTCTAAGCGGGTTCCCCGTGACACTAAGGAATATCATGACACAATCTCAGAAACCGGTTAATGACTTTCAAGTCAATCTGAAGGTGGATGTTGAACAACGACATATCCAGCATTTGTTTGGTACTTTCATAAACAAAACACACTAGCTCCTTCTGGATTAGAGGGTATGCAATCTCCATTTCCCGTTTGAAAATGTGTGATATAGGTATTCAATGGTCATCAACTTGGACATCGTCATCCTCTTCTTCCTCTATTTCATCTGCATAGGAAATAAACAAACGTTGAGGGATAGGCAGAGTGCCATCCCCGTCCTCCCTTGCCCCGCTTTCCTTCTCCTTTTCAGTAAGTGCCGCCAAAGTCGCACCCCGAGACTCTAGCAAATCGACCATCTCCTGATCACCCTGCATTTGAGCAGCATAAAGTCCAGAATGCCCGTACTGGGCAATATTGAACCCTCCATCAAGAAGAAGTCTCACCATAGACTCATCCTTCTGCAGCACAGCTAGCTTCAACGCTGTTGCTTGCGGCCCTACCCCGTGTTCGAGCAATGTCGGGATAATGCCCCGTTTATCATCTTTCACAGCACGATATAATGGTGATGGATGATATCGCTCGGGATCAGCACCTCGCTGGAGCAGTAATTTTACTAGCTCCAGATTTCCAGCCTGCACTGCAGTGAAGAGCGGTGGGTAATCAACCTCTTCATCATGCCACCGGTTGTGAGTATAGGGAGTGCGTCCCTTACAATAGAAGTTAGCCTGTGCACCAAAGTCTAGCAAGATATCCACGATTTTGGCATGTCCAGCCCGAATTGCCACCACGAGAGCGTGCTGGACATGCACAATGGTCGGGGTGCTATATCCCTTTTGGAAAAGAGGATGGGTCAAAACATCCGTTTGGTCCCATTTTTCTCGTCTTCTCGGTCCTACTGCATCGTATTCGTATTCGTCTTCATCTTCGTCCTCGTCTTCGTCCTCGTATCTTTTTGGAGCCTTGGCTTCCGTTGCTTGTATCACTGCCAGGGATGGTTGAGGCTGGTTGCGAGCAATATCTAGCCCGTGTAGCAGATTTTGAACTTGGAAAACGAGGTTCCGCTCGGCGAGAAAAAAGAGCACAGCTCCATGCTTATACTGCGCGTGGAAGTTATACAGAAACTGGATGAGCGTTTTGTGGAGATGACGATTGGTCTGGATAAAGGCAAAAATGTCTCTTTGGTGGTAGAAGCAAGACGCGATAATCCACAGGATCTCAATGGGTAGTTGAATGAGCGTCATTATGGGAAAATGAAATTTCATGCATATGTGTAGAGGGGAAGTTGACGATACCGAGCAGAAGCGTATATGAACTTCCAGAGGCTCTAAGCCGTAGTGTGCAAAAGCCCTGTGTGATACGGTACTGGTCTATACACTTGGCACAATTTTCCATTAATCACAGTTGTGGTGAATCCATCAATGGAGCTGGAAGGAAAACATGGAAATCCTACACCAAGGCGAGTGCTCAATCTATTGAGATTCGAAGATTGAAGCCAATCGAGATTTAAATTTCAAATCACCTTTATACAATTTGAATCCTACACGGAGCCCAAATTAGAAATAAATGGAGATTTTTTTCTTAAAAAAAAAAACAACAGCATTCGAGGGGCGTTGAATCGCAACAGGAAGTGGCACAGTATCAACAAAGCCCCATGCCAAGCCTACTTATGCCTTATTTTGCAGGTGTCATACATCTTATAACTAACTAGCACGCCCTTATTTCAGCTGCGGAGGCAACACACGGGTCTAACATAAGTCTAGTCAATATCAGAAAGTAGTAGCTCATGATCGTTTAGGATCACTGCCAACCTCCAGGGCTTTACTACCAGCTGTTGCTGTACTATGAAAATAGCTGTAAAATGAAGCTGTTACATTTCTTCGATCGATTTATGTAATGCTATACCAGGTGAACGATCTTAACTCAATAATATCTCCGGTAGTACGTGCACATTATTCAGAAATCGGCATAAAAGCGGCATTGGACACAATGCGTACAAGGTAGAAAGATCACGAAAGACCACAATGGAACCTTAGAAGTCTTTCAATAGAAGGTTCTATTGAATTGTATGTATGGCCATTGTGATACACAAAGTTAATAGAGAACAATGGAAGAAAGTCGAAGAAGTGATTGGTGGAAAGTCGAAAGTTCAGAGAAAACGCGAATAGAAACACCGGGGCACATGACGTAGCTTACATACTCAAAAGGAGCCTCCGTCGCCCTTTTTTTTTGACTTCGATCAGTCTCTTCTCTCACACGAACTTGGAGATATATCATGCCCAGTTATTTGTTACCTTCACACTCAAATCTTACATACTGTCCAGTTCCTATAGGTTAGGTTGTGTTATTCGCTTATCAAACATCGGACCCTGTTCCATTTCCAACCCAACCCAACCATGCCTGATCTACGCCGCCAGATCTTTGAAAGCGGCAAGACCGTCTCACGCAAGGCAGCATCTCGCGAAGCATCTCGTACCACTTCTCGTACCGGTTCCAAGCAGTCCTCGCGCCAGGGCTCTCGCAATGCCAGCAGAGCTGCTTCCGACGAAGAAGACTCGGGGTTCCTCTCTGATGAGACATCTATGAGGTAAGCTCTAAAGTATCATGTTCCTTGTTATTCCCAATATATCATCCCTTGATTTGTCTTGTATATGCCCTTTTTCTCCCTTCTTTTTTTTTTTTTCTCGGGCGCATTGATTTTCTTGTTCACCCCACATCGCGGGATGACATCACTACCAATGATGTCGGGAAGTTTTGCAATCAGCACGCTAACCAAATCGGTACAGCATCGGCTCCCTCGACGACGAAAACCCCGAAGCCGAGAATCCCGATTGGGAACAAGAACTCGGCGAACGCATTCAAGAAATCCTTGACCGCAAGCGCAGCAGTGTGCAGGGTCGTGAAGAGGCCCTGCAAGCTTTCTGCCGCCTGACCAAGTACCACTACGCCGTGGAAGAGCTCAACGGCACCGTCGATGAGCTGCTGGCTGCATTTGCGAGAAGTGTGCGCACTGAAGTCAGTACTCGTGAAGCTACCCTCGGACTCCGGGCTATTGAATTACTCGCGCTCTCAGCTTTCGACAACACTATTTATGAAAATGCCGAGCCCTTGCTCACCCGGACTATTCGTGACTCGACCTCCACCGTCCTCAAGGCGGCTGCTATCCAATGCCTCGGAGCATGCGCCATCTTCGGAGGCGCTGGCACTGATGGTTTCCTAGAGCAGATGGCTTTCTTGCTGGACATCATCGCTTCTGACGGGCAGTCCGTTGAGGCCAAAGATGACGCTACCGTGGTGACAGCCGCAATTCAGCAGTGGGGATTCCTTGCAACCGAAGTTGACGACCTCGAAGAAGAAAGCGAGGAAGCAGTTCAAATCTTTATGGACCAGCTCGACAGCACCGACGCCAACGTGCAAATCTCCGCGGGTGAGAACATCGCTCTCCTCTACGAGAAGAGCTACACACCCGAAGAAGACGACGAAGACGAAGAGAGTGGCGAGGAGGATGAAGATGATGAGCACGACAACCACCAGACCACCGGCCCGAAGCTTGTGAAACGCTACAACGCCTACCACAACACCCCGGACCTGGAAAGCCAACTTCAGAACCTCGCGCACATCCACACCAAGCAAATCAGCAAGCGTGACAAGAAGTCACTACATAGCAACTTCGCCTCCATCCTCACAACCGTTGAGAACCCGCGCCGTGGCCCGCGCTACAACACCGCCATCGACCAGAACACCAACCGTCATTACGGTAGCACCCTGACTGTCAAGATTGGGCGCCACGGGGTGATGTCGATTGACCGCTGGTGGAAGTGGACTCGTCTCACTGCTCTGCGCCGTGTGCTGCAGGGTGGCTTTGCCGAGCACTACTTCCAGGGCAATCGTTCCGTCCTCAACAGTCTTCCTGTCATGATGCGTATGGCTGACCAGAGCTCTAGCTTTGGTCCCGATCGCCAGAGTGCCCGCAAGGCTGCGAAGATGCGCAACTCTCGCCGTTGGACTTCTCATCAATCGGACGATGATGAGGAGTAGACTTATACGTTTTTAGTGTTAGCATTGTCTTCGTCGTTTCAGTTTGCGATTGATTTTTATTTGTTTTTCCAAAAAAATTGTTGTTATTTTTCTGCCTGATGTTCTCGCAAGGATTTGACAGGGTCCAGCTCGTCTGTTCTCTTCATTTTGCGCTTTTCATTCTGTTCTGTTTCGTCCACTGATGGACTTGCTTGACTTTCGCATTTACATACTGAAATGATACTCAACCACACGCCATAACTACACATCCCTCTATCGTAGTATTATCGTAATAACTTCAATAAAAACACCAACCTGAGGATACTCTGAAAGAACCCCGAGAAATGCATTGATCTATATATAGAGTGAAGAAGGTCCTGCCCCAACCACGCCCACAGAGCGTTCGCTTTCATCGCAAAAGTTCAAGTCCAAGTCCAAACCGGAGTCCGATCTAATTCCCAAACACAGGAACAACATTAGACCAGCTCCCTCTCGCTCTCTCTTCCCAATACCCATCCTTCCCACCCTTCAACCGCCAAGCACTCTCATCACCCTCACCACCAACCCGCGTGAACCAGCGCGGCGTCCAACTCTCCCCCCGCATCCTCCATCTCCCGTCTCCGCGAACGCTGTCCTTCTTCAAGCTGAACCTTAACCTCCTCCGCACGGTCGAGATCACCCTCTTCCAGTGCGCGCTGATCAGGTCTCAGTCTCGAGTCCGTGACAGGTAGATGCTTATCTTCAATCGAAGTGATCTCGTTAAGTGTAGCCGCGAAAGCCGTTAAACCATAGTGCTTAGGCGCGGAGGGAACGAGCGAGCCAGCATTCCAGACTGTGTTACCAGTAGGGTTTCCATCGCGGGTAAGAGTCAAGGAAGAAGGCCATGTTCCCGTCAGACCCAATGGGAGGGAGGCACTGTTCGAGTCGATAGCGCGGGTAGTGACTTCCTCGCTGCGACCGGAGAACATGCCACCTGCTTTGAAAGTGGAGATTGAGCGGTGGCCAGTTGATTCGTTTGTGATTGAGAGTTCACCGACTGGTTCAACGTATTTTTCGCCTGCGATGATATTGCGCAGGAAGGATGTTGCGGGGGTCCAGCTGAAGCGATCGCCTGTTGAGTGGAGGGTTACGCGGACGCGACCTTCGGTTGTGATCTCGGCGGACTTGCCCCAGAACTTTTGGCTGGGGAGTGGGGATTGAGAGAGAGACCATTCTTTGCTGTCGGCTTGGTAGGCGAGCTGGACGGGGCGGTGGGAGACTTTCTCGGCGATGAAGCGGAAGCCGCGGTCTTCGCGGACTAGTTCGTAGGTTTCGCCGAGCATGGGGTTGAATGGTTTGCGGATGGAACGTTCGCGGACGCGGTTGGATGAGAGGGAGGAGACTGCGAATGCAGTCACGAGCATCAGGCGCTCGACGGGGTCTGAGGATTGGCTGGCCTTGTCGAGAAGATCGGAGTATTCCAGAATTTCCGCTGCACGTTGCAGCAGGGACATTGGCTCGTTGGCGGAAACGGGCATTGAGATTGTGGATAGATCCTTGCCGACATTCTTGCGAAGGAAACCGATCAAGCTTGGAGGCAAGACAGTCGGAGCGAGAATAGTTGCACGACGTTTGATAGGGTCCAAAGGCAGCGGGATCAATGACTTGGGCTTGATAGGGAATAGTCCCGAGGCACTGCCGCTTTCTTGACGAGTTGCTGTTGCATCAGAGACACTGTCACTGTCTGACGGGGCGTCGTCCTCAACTTCCTCGACCGCAGAGCCAGGTCGGTCCTCTTCAGGGCCCTCATCGTCGCTATCTTGAATGGTCAGCAGGGGAGACCTGTCCCCGCCACCGTCCGTTGCGTCAAAGAACTCCTGCGACATGTCAGACTCCATGCTCCGCCGGGGAACCATAGAGGGCCGAGGTGGGTGTCGTCGCTCCCTGCTCTCAGCAATCAGCGTGGAGAACTCGGAGACAGCATGGTCCAGATCGCGCAGCACCGCCATCAGATGATCATGAATTTCATCCATGTTGTCGGTATGACTGGTGATACTGGCAGGCTTTCCCTTGCTCTCCTTCGAAGGCACCACGAGTTGCGACGAGCTTGATGTCGAGGACACAGCTGGCGGACGCTTGCTGCTCGTCTGCGACTGATTACTAGTCTTGCGCTTCCAAAATGGCCGTTTGATCTCCTCGGTCGGAGTCGCCTCCTGCGTAGCGGAGGGAGGGCTGGGCTGAGGACTCGGCGACCGACCACGCGACCGAGGCCGGTCGACATTGACATTGGGAGTCGGAGAGGTGAGATACTTCGGGTCTGTATCCTTAGCAAGACGACGGATGGCATCTCGCGAGCCAGAGACCTGGCTGACAAGGCTCTGCACACGCGTCCATTCGTGCTCTTCAGCAGGCGAAGCCTGTGTAGGGGCATAGAGCCGCAATTCGGGAGGAACACTCAGTGCAGAACTGGGCTCTTTCGGAGCATCCTTGGAAGAAGCTCTTTCCAAGGCTTGTTTCCACGCACCAAAGTCATGCTCGTTACCGGCACGCAGGTGCCAGATCTCGGTCCCAGAGTCAATTGAAATCTCCCGAGACTTCTCATTGGTCGCGACGGCCGCGAGGGACAGCGGGATGGCACCCCGCAGTGCGGCGGAGTTGCGGTCATGATAGTAGGACAGGGTGGACGAGGTGAAATCTAGCGAGAAGTACCGACGCGCCCAGCCTTGGTGGCGTTTCCGGCGTCGCTTTTGCAGCAGCCCCGTGTGGACATTCTGATTCGACGTGTCAATCTGAGAGTTCAGAGTAGCCCGGCTGTTACCCCTCCCCCGAGTCTTGGGCTGCGGCAATGAATCGGTCGATGCACCTGCCTGAGCGCGTCCGGCGGAAGTCGAAGAGGAGGTATGAGGTGGGAGTCCGGTCGGGTAGGTCAAGAGGACCAGCGTCAGGGTCTTGGAGATTTGTTTGGAGAATGTGTTGTCGAACACAAGCGCGTAGTTTCCTCCTTCATGGGGTGGTACATCGTAGGTACCTTGCGTGATCTTGTCTGCCTCGCATTTCCCGGTCCACTTGATGGTCTTCAGACCAATCCCAGTCAATTTCTCGATGATAGCGGATTGTTGTTGGCGCGCGCCGGCGGTTGATGCGGTTGCGGGGAGGTTCTCGGTGGAATCGGTGCTTTGTGAATCGGAAGCAGGAATCTGGGAGCTCAGAGCGGAAGACTGTCCCGGGTGCTTGAAGATGCCAAAGTTGACGGACTTCTTGTGTGGCTGGATGCTCCAGGAGATGGTATGGCTGGCGTTGACATTGATCCAACGAACAAAATAAGACTGCCAACAGATTAGTTCGGAGCACAGGGATCTGAAGGCAGAACTCGCACCTTGCTGTGAATCTCCAGCTCCTCCATGGCCGCCATGGTTGCGCAGTGAGGGGTTGTACGATGTAAGACCCTCTCAATATACAGCCGACACGGACCGGTGCGGCTGAACGTGGCGATGCGGAGAGATGCGCCACAGCCCTGATGCCGATTTAATTATAGAATGGCAAAGACTCCCCTTTGGAATAGATTTGAACATGAACATAAATACGGAATATCCCTGACGCAATATGAAGTGTCGGCCAAGAATTCACAAACAGGTTGAAACCGAGGCCAAGCCAGCTCACATGTGTCGTATTCGTGTCCTTATTTACAGCCTTATGGACTATTAGGGAACTACCGAGGTCGATCATTGACAATTATTATTCTTTAGAAAACAATTCCATGCTAAATGCCTTGGGGCCCTTTTGGTTGACTTCATGGGAGAAAAAAAAAAGAGAAGATAGTACACTATACAGACGAAATGAAAAAAAAAGGCGCTCATCTCCGCTGGCTCATATTGCTGAACATCAGCTTGAAACCGTTGCACAGGGCGTTCATATCGGGGTAAGGGTTCTTTTGGAGTTCGAAGCCCTGTGGGATGACCTTGACGGGCCAGTTTTGGAGTCGCGCATGCTCGCCTGCCTTGAAGCAAAGGAAGAAGTAGCCGGGGTATTTGGGGTTGATGCAGAAGGAATAAGCCGAGCGACGAGGATTGGCCTTGGTGTAGGTCTCAAGCCATTGATCTGGGAGTGAAGAAGTTAGATAAAGCAAACCATGACAGAAGGAAGAATCAAACATACCTGTCTCGGTCTTGCTGCTGCCCTTGCGGAATTTCTCGTGCAAAACCATCTCGTCCACCTTCTTGGCCATGGCCTTGACGTGGTTGACGATCAGGTCGTCCAGATCGCTGTATGTGTACTTACCACCGACCTTGAGGACACGGCCGACAGAGAATTCATTTTCTTTGTCCAGCTCGAGCACATCGATGTGTTGATACACACCCTGAGCCACCTTCCAAGTGACTGCCAGGTGGTCGTGACCTCGAGAAGATGGGCGGATGACAACGTCACCGGTGCCCTGGGAGCCCAGGAACTCCTCGGCTTGGGTGGAGTTGAATGGGCGGAAGAGGGGGTGCTTGATAACACGCATGGCCTGGCCACCACGCTGAGTCTTCTCTTGTAGCGATTCCTTATCGGCTCGCTCTTGGACATCATCCCAGTCGCCAAAGCCATGGTCTTGGTTTCGGCGAGCTGGATGGCTGACTTGGTCCTCACGCAGAGACACGTTGCAACTGAAAGCCTTGCGGTTAAGGAACAGAATCTTGGCTGGAACGGTCGAATGAGGCTGGTATGCGCTGCGCACAGGGATCTCGGCGGGAACACCCAGTTCGGTCTCAGCCACGAGCACATCAACTCCACAGTCCAATTTGGCTTCGATGTGATCCTCGAACACGCGCTTGATGGCGATAGGTACCACCATACCGATTGAGAGGGATTCAAGAGTCTCACCAGTGAGCATGGTGAAGATGTCATCGGTACCAAGGAAGACGAATTGCTTGCGCAGTTCTTCATATGGTGATTGTAATTCAGCTCGGATTGTCTCAAGAGTGGCGCGCTTGCGCTGGTTAAGGTTGCTCTCCAGCTGCTCGGCGTACTCCTCCAGAATCAGATCGTTGACACGGTCCTGAGCCTCTTCGCGGAAGAGCTTTCGCATGATAGCGCCATTGCCGTTCTCGTCGTTCTCGGCCTTGATATCTTCTTCGTCCAATTCCAAAGCATCGGCGGCCATTTTACGCGCAATATCGTAGTCTTCAGGGTGAACACGAGTGTTGTCCAATGGATCGGCGTCCGGATCGGCATTCTCAAAGTCAATGTAGACGAAACTGGCACAGTTGTTCCAGACCTTGACACCCATCGCTGGGTATTGCGCATTAACACCAAGCAATTCCACTCGGTTGTTCACAACACCACCGTTCATGTTGACAATCTTGAGGAGGTGAGCGGCCTTTCGGGGTCCAAGACCACAGACATAGGGCAAGAGGTTGGCAGATGCGGTGTCAGCCACTGCCTCGTTGAGATCGACACCAACCAAGTTGACCATATCGACCAGGGCGGTTTCCAGCTGCTTGAGAAGCAGATCCTGAGACACAAGGTTCTGGCCTGGCTTGAATTGAATGGAGACAATGTCACGACCCAAAGAGGCGTATTCCTTGAGGGGGCTCTGCAGGTAACGACCCAGACCAACACAGTAGTGGGTCAACGGCCCGAAGCCAGGGTTGTCACTCCGAGCACGAGGGCTGTTGTGGTACAATCGGGCAACCTCATCGTTAACAATGACCACCTCGAGAGGGTCGCTGACTTCCTCGTCACGGTCATCTGTGTAGGAAGCACCGCGCATGTCCTTTTGCTCGACAAGCTCTGAGAGAGTCTTGTACAACCGCCTAGTCTCTGGCGTCATACCTGAAACACCAATGACATCCGGCCGGCGGCGATCAATCAGCTCCACAAAAGCGGCGACGTTGGCGCCGTCTGCAATGCCCCGACTCTCGTCTCCCAGGGAGAGGTCAATGAACTTGCCGTTCTCCAAAACACGACCATCTTCTTCGGTGTAAGCCCAGTGAATGGGATCCCGGCCCACTTGCCCGGAGCCTGTGGACAGAGTGAGGACACGGGGCACTGTGCCCAGAACCATGCCCTTGGGCTTGTAAGGGGCCCTGATCCAAACGCTGCGAGAAAGCCTCACGACACTCCTTGGCCACATGGTTCTCACATTCCTGGCGAATGTTCTCCTTGACACTGCGGTTGACCAGCTTCTCAAGTTTGCCGAGAGCAAGATCCAACGCCTCGCGACGGACGCGGTTCCAAGCATCAGCAAGTTCACTGTAGTTGTCGGACTCGATGTCAGTGTACAGGCGGGAGCGGAATTGGTCGAAGTTCTCAAAGCGGACGCGAACATCCATCAGACCTTCTTCCTCAGCCTTGAGCATGCGCAGGAACATCTCTGGTCGACGGGCGATATCACTGAGTTGTTGGTTACGCAAATATTTGAACTCTGCGTAGGGGTGCTGATCATCGATTCGACGAAGACCTTTCTCTGTGCGGAAACAATCGACAACTCCGTTCATGTAATAGGCTTGTCGAATGACCTTGCGCATCTTGGGGCTGAGAACAAGTTCTTCAGCAAACATGCTCTTCGCGGCAATGAGAACGTGCGAGCTGTTGGAGAAGTCGTTATCAACAAACTGATCCGCCATCTGGTCTGGATGCTCAGCAGGATCTTCTGTGTACTGTCGGCGACCCTCCTTGGAAGCATTCTGAGCAAAGGCATCCGCAGTGATTCCAAAGCTGCGCACCAGGCCGTAGGCCTTTCCGTTTCGCACACGTTCAAAGAACGAACGACCGGTTGCCTTTCGGCGTTGCGCCTCTCCATTGGCTTCGCCATTAAGCTGGCTCAAATCCCGTAATTGTGAAGAGTATTGGAAATGGATGTAGTCTTGCACGTCCTGGAGCTCTTCCATGCTGATAGCGGCAGCCAGTAGATCCTCCACGTTGGAGTCATTGACATTAAACAGCTCGCGCAGACTATCATATGACTTTTGAATGGTACCGCGCTTATCAATCAGAGCGCGGAATTTGAGGTCATGGTCGAAAATGTCCCAGAGATCAGTCATGTTGAGAAGCTTCTGGGCGCGGATGCTGTATTGTGTGGAGTCGTCGTCGGGATTACCGCTATTGTCCGTTTCCTTGACTGCGTGAATCATGTAGTCCTTGCGATGTTGGAAAATGAACGGCACTTCCCAATCGTCTGTGATCAAGAACTCCAACATCTTGGCAACAGAGCGCTGGAAAGGTTCCCGTAATTCTGGCTCCATGCGCTTCTTCAGCAGCATTAGGTTTGAAATCCAGACAGCTTCCTCTCGGAACTGATCTTCAGTCAATGTGACATGCTTGTATGGCTTGCGGGCGACCTGGTGTCGTTCGGGTTCATCGAGGAGACGAATTTCGTTATCATCTTCAGTTAACATGCGCTCGGCGAGCTCGGAGGGTTCGAAGACATCCTTCAAATCGAGATGGCGTTCTTCGGTCTGTTTGTCTGCATCCTCTTGTTCTTCCATCTGGAGTGCGAAATCGTATTCAGTACCGTCACCGAATGCAGCGCGCATGTCCTCAAGCGCATTTTCGTCCAACCCTGATGTGTCAGTGGGGATCAATCCGGTCTTGTTAACTCTGGAAGCAGGCGCAACTTCCATGTCATCCCGTTCGCGCTGGGCCTCATCGTCGGAGAAGGTATCCTCCTCAATGAAGTCGTCCATTTCATCGCGCATGACGCGGCGCTGGCCGGGACGGGCATATTGCTGCGCTTCCTCTTCTTCGTCGGAATTGAAGATATCATCGACACCGTGGGATGGCTGGTGGCTCTCGCGGTCTTTGCCTCGCTTCAAACGCTTGAATTTTGACTGTGGCCGTTAGCGGGACAATGGGACTGCGGCCGCGAATTTCATACCTCTTTAGCTGGCCCCCGCTGTTGACTGGGAGTGTGACCAATAAGCTCGAGATCATCTTCGTCTAGATGCTCTTCTTCGCGGGCCGCGCGTGGGCGTTTCTTGTGTCTGCGATGGGCGCGTTCGTCTTCCTCGTCTTCATCGACAATGAAACCCTCACGAACCTAGCAATTCAAGTTAGTCCTAAAGCCCCTCATTCAATTCCATGGCCAAAACTCACGGCGCGAGCGGCTTCTTCATCGTCCTCTTCTTCATCCTCTTCCTCACTGGAATCATTGTAATGGTTGGTGGTGCCTGCACCCTCGCGGACTTCGCCTTCGCCTTCGCCCTCGCCATCATAGTCATCAGGGACTTCCTCGTCATTGTCGTCGTCGTCCATCCTCGCCTCCCCGTCAACCAGGTCACGAAGACTCATCTTGCCCGGAGGTGAAGATCCCTATTCCCAGGAATCGAGGAGCGAATGGGCAGGCAAATTCGGGTAGGATATTAAGAATAAGGTGGCGCAATGAGGGAACTAGATGATTCCCTGCGTATTGAGGTAGTTGAAAAGCGAGGGAAGTGGGAGATTGAAGCAACAAGTTGTCAGAGGAAGAATCGCGACCATCGGCGAGGGAGAGACGCGGGTGGCGGTGATTGGTCGATGCTGCTGTGGCGCATCATCAGCCACAAATGTGGCTAGTGAGTAAGAGCTACCACGTGACCGACGCTGTACGCCCGACGGTCCAAAGTCTCCTGCCCGGTCTAATCCTCAATAACTCTGCATATAGTTGATGGTATTATTGCAGGAGTCCATTGGGTTGCCTCAAATGTGATTCTAGATTCATTCAGAGTGGTGTCTCGCACGTATAACCGCTGAAACAAGTGAACATCAGGTTCTCAACCCAATTCAGCCCGAGTGGAACCCAAACTAGTTATTGTTTCATTAATAGTAGCGTTTGTTTGAAGATCTCTGGAAATTTCCTCTCCTCTCACTGTCATCAATCATCAATTTTGGCGCCGAGGATATTTTAAGAGCCCGTTGGTCGAATCGACGCGCCCGCAAAGGTCCAATCAGCGTCGCCAAGCACATCGCAAGGTGATATCGGCTTCCCCGCTGTTAGCTCGGCTTGTCCTGACTTTAATATCCCATCGGCTTTAGGAACCGCGCTCTACTTCTCCTGTGTCTTGCTCTTCTCCTGCATTCTTGCATTCTTGCATTCCCCCTACTCTTCCTCATAAGCGCCATGGCGGACCCATTCAAGGCCCGGACGCTGAAACGCAAGAACGTCAAAGGACTGGCCCTCAATGCGGCCCCTCCGCCCGCCGCCAACGGTTCCGATGGCGATGCACAAGTCCCTGGGGCGATTGGAAACAGTGAAAGCAACCGCACAGATACCCTGGAAATCGGCTTGGAATTCCGCCTTGATCTTCGCAGCGAGGACCTGGTCACATTAAAGGAACTGGGCGCAGGAAATGGAGGCACAGTGTCCAAGGTGATGCACGCATCCACCAAGGTGGTAATGGCTCGAAAGGTGAGACTCTATCTCGTTGGAATCCAATCGTCAGTCATGGCTAACCCTGGAATTTTCCTAGATCATTCGTGTCGAAGCCAAAGAGAATGTGCGGAAGCAGATTCTGCGGGAACTCCGAGTGGGACACGACTGCAACTGTCCCAATATCGTTACTTTTTACGGCGCGTTCCAAAACGAAGCGAGAGACATTGTGCTGTGCATGGAATATATGGATCTCGGGTATGTTCACCTGCGTGGTTGGCCGGTATGGACATAAGCTGACAATACCGCCAGTTCTCTTGACCGTGTTTCCAAGGACTTTGGTCCCGTGCGAGTTGATGTGCTAGGAAAGATCACAGAGTCCGTGCTGGCTGGTCTGGTCTATCTCTACGAAGCTCACCGCATTATGCACCGTGATATCAAGCCCTCTAATATATTGGTCAACTCCCGTGGTAACATCAAGCTTTGTGACTTTGGTGTTGCTACTGAGACTGTCAACTCCATTGCCGATACATTCGTTGGCACTTCCACATACATGGCTCCCGAGCGAATCCAGGGAGGCGCATATACGGTTCGTTCCGATGTATGGAGTGTGGGATTGACAGTCATGGAGCTGGCTGTCGGAAAGTTCCCCTTCGACCATTCCGATTCGGCTGCTGGAAACCGTGCCAGCGCTGGACCGATGGGTATCCTTGATTTGCTCCAGCAAATTGTCCACGAGACTGCACCTAAGCTGCCCAAGAGTGATGCTTTCCCGCCCATCCTGCATGACTTTGTTGGAAAATGTCTTCTGAAGAAGTCCGAGGAGCGACCGACACCACGTGAATTATATGTAGGTCACCCTTTGTGTTCTCATGTATGGGAGGATATATTGAAACAGAACTAACATCTTGCAGGACAAGGATGCTTTCTTGCAAGCTGCTAAGCGCACTCCGGTTAACCTGGAGGAGTGGGCCGTGAGCATGATGGAACAAAATAACCGCAAATCCTACCTCGGACCGCCAGCACCAAAATCACTGCGGGATGCTCAGACACCAACCTCAAACTCAAGCTCATCTCCCGTTGCAGGCCCCTCTTCAACGACTAGCAGTATTGGCAAACCCCCTCCCATTAGCAAGTCCAGCCGGACTCCACAGCAGTCCCCATATCCCTCCAACTCAGCATCAGCGGACATTCCCCTCAAGATGGCAAACGACCCTTCATCCAACTCCCGCTACGTCAACTCCCAAGCTCAACCCCAATCACAGTCTTCCCACTACTACTCATCGTCTCGATCCACGCGATCTCCGCCCCCTCCTTCCCTTGAGCACCTCTCATTGGAATCCAAAGACGACGACGACATCCGCGCTGGCCGCCGCCAGATGCGCCAGCAGCTGGGTGACCGCGATACCGCCTCTGCTCTTGACGGTCAATCCCGCCCATTCATGAGCCCACGCTCCGCAAGCTCTAACAATATGAGTCCCCGCACAAACCTGGGCCCGGCATCGTTGCCCCTACGTGCTGCTCCTCCGAGTGGACCCCCTCCGCCTCCACCTGTTTCAGCGGGTGGAAACTGGCGTAGCCAGCCGGGTTCAACGCCTCGATAAATGCATGGACTGATGTGCCTCCCATATGATTCAATTTTATTTTAGCGGTCTCGCTATTCTTTCTCATTCCATGTCTATGTTCAGATGTACTTGCATATCTGTATGAAAACCGGACTCACAACACAGCCTGGATCATGTTTTTCAACTTCTGTCTATGCCAGTCCCGAGGTCTATGTTTTTTGTTCGACCGGTGTAGATTTCTCGTTCATGGCTGAAGCAGCCATGACGCCAAGACAGCATGCCTCGATACCACTACTTCCTTTCCCTCTTCTATTTTTCCTTGGTTCGTCTCCTTTTGGCGATTCTGCTTTCATTGGAATATCTGGTAACAGGCTTTTTTTTGTTCATTCTTGACTTCATCTTTTGCCTGCTGGGATTTCCTCCTGCATTACATGGCGTACATAAACAAGTCCAATATCATTCTTCTCATTGACATCCAAGCTCCTGAGGCACGGTTTTGATACATTTTTCGCTCTTCTGGCGCCTCATTTTGTATTGGTCAATGATACCGCTGTCTTGTTCTTTAGGCCTCGTGTACACAACTGGGTTTAGCACGGGCTTAATTCAAAAGTTTTAAGATTTCTGGTTGAGACAGTGCAGCAACAACCCATATGTACCTTGTTAGCAGGACAGAGCATGTGGTATTTGGCTCCTTATAGCTGGCCTGAAGTCTGAGTGCAAGGACGGGCTATCTAACAACAACTCAAATGCTCAAGTCTGTGTCTGTGTGTGTCTGTGTGTGTGTGTGTGTGTGTGTGTCTGTGTCTGTGTCTGTGTCTGTGTCATCCATCAGGTCCTCCATGGATTCTGCGCCCAATTTCCTGCAGTCCCCACAGACAATTAATTCGTCATGTTTGAAACATACCCGTGAGCGTGTGTGTTGATCTCGAATCCAGATCCGACAGATGTCGCATCTATCATCCATATCTACTTCCTCCTCCTCCTCCTCCTCCTCCTCTTCCTCTTCCCCTTCCTCTTCCTCTTCCCCCTCACCTTCTCCATATTCCTCTGCTGGGGGCTCGAAGTTCACAATCAAAGGCTGATCAACTTCACATTCTGGAGTTAGAAATTTCAGAATCTTGTAACTTTGTGTTCTAGTGGCCTCAACAAGCGCTGTACGACCAAACATATCCGTTGCGTCTCGATCGACATTTGGAGCATCGAGCAACGCCGCCGCAATTTCATCCAGGCCAAACACGATGGCGTTCATCAAAGGGGTGCGCCCAAACATGCCTCTGTGATTTGGATTACCTCCGGCCTTCAAGAGGATTGACACCACCGACTTCGAGCTCTTGCAAGTCTGAGACAGAATTTGCAAGGGTGTTTGTTGTTTTTCATCGGTGGGGTTTGGATCCGCACCGTGCTGGAGTAACAAACTCACCACTGCTTTCATATCCCCACTGACTAGATCATAGGAATCTCCGGAGTAGTTCGAATAACCATAATACCCTGAATCATTCTGTCTGACCGCCCAAACAAGTGGCGATTTGCTGGAATCGTTGGGGTAGTTCACTTTGGAGCCAGCATCAAGAAGTATCTTGACAATCGCCTCGAAGCCTTGTCCGGCTGCCAAGCAGATAGCGGTTCTCCCATCACTGTCCTGGTGATTGGGATCCGCCCCTTTGACGAGCAAAGCTCTCACTAAATCGCCCTGCCCAGCTCCAGCGGCGACCAACAGAGCTGTGACACCACCGCTCTCCTTCCAATAGCCCTGCAACCTGTACACCTCAAGGTCTTGGTGGGACGCCCGAGAATCTTTCTTGCCGTCAAACGCTCTGACATTGGGATCCGCACCTTGTTGAAGTAATATTTGCGCAATGGATAATGCGCGGTGTTGGACTGCAAAGAACAGCGGAGTTCTACCGGAGCTATCCCGGGTGTCAACTTCGATCCCTTCCTCCAGTAAAAGCTCCACCAAGGCCTGGTCTTCTTTTGCGATGGCATTGAAAAGCGGTGTCTGGCCCAACTCATTCCTCATACCAATCTCAATCTGACCCTTCCGCAATATTTTCACCATGGCTGTGCCTCCCCGACAGATGGCAAGGTAGAGCAGTGGTTTTGAGCCAACCATTTCTTGCGCAGTGTGCACTTCAGCGCCTCTTTCCAAAAGAAACTCAACCGCTTCGAAACGTCCACCTGCTAATGCCTCGCCTAGTGCCAGACTTGCACTGTGAGAATCAAAGCCCTGTTTGGAAAACAGCAGTTCCATCATTGAAACATCTCCGGATTCGGCTGCCCGCTGGAGCATGACTGATAGATATGAGCTCCTCATCGATGGCTTCATGACTGTGTCGAGCAAAAATTCCATGACCTGGGGGCTTCGAGCGGCGGCGCCTTGTCGGAAATATTCAATTCCACCAAGCGGTTGAGTATCCATGCTTGTGTGGCTCAGAATGTTGGCGTTGGCAACCAGGTCGGTATGCCCCAATTCAACAATCTCACGGGGTGCAGTCTTCCCTTTTATCCGGGATAGTAGAATATTGCGTCCCTTGGAAGTTTTGTCGTGACATGTTGTTTTACAAATGAGTAAGATCATCTGCTCGTGATTATAACTTTCCACAGATGGACCCCAAATTTGTCGTGCTGCTTTGCAATAGGGGGTTTGATCATCAGTACCTATGCTTTGAAGGCAGTGGTAAGTACGAAACAAAGGATAAAAGACATCCCAAGCCTTGCGGTGTGCATCGGAAACAAATTCTTGACGATATACGGGGTTTGGATCAGCCCCAATTTCCCGTAACAGATTAATCAGTGCAATTCTGTCCTGAAAAGTAGAAGAATCTTGGCAAGTCGTACTGGAAGCACACACTGCTCTCATGAGAGGTGTTTCCGAAATGAGATTCATTGGCTCTGGACTGGCCCCTGCCTCAATCAAGAGTCTGGCAATGGCGCTTGTAGCGGCAAAGAAAAGAACAGTCTCTTGCATTAGGTTTCGATGGTAAATATCGGCCCCTTTGGCAATCAAAAGCTGAACTGTGCTCTCGCTTCCACTACGAGCAGCAAGGAAAAGAGGGATATCTCCAGCAATATTCTCACTGTTTACAGAGAGCCCCGAACCAAGCAGAAGCTCACAGACAGAGGCATGACCGCCTTCCGCTGCGGAAAACAGTACGTTCTCAAGGCTTTTATTGCGGGTGTTTGGGTCTGCTCCCCGCTGTATTAGAGAGTTCACTGAATCTCTGTGCCCGTTTCTCGATGCCTCTAACAAGGCTGTCTCTCCATCTTTGTTCACGATGTCTAGATTGGCACCGTTCTCAAGTAAAATATCCACGGCGCTAGCAAATCCATTGCGGGCAGAAATTGAGAGGGCAGTGCTGAGATCTTCATCCTGGGTGTTTGGATTGGCACCATGTTCGAGTAATTGACGGACGACTTCTTCGTAGTTGCCTGGTTTGTTCCAGCACTCACATGCCATGATAAGAGCGCTTCGACCGCGGTTATCCTGCCAGTTACGATCCGCACCAGCCTGGAGAAGCCGCTTCACAACACTACCGAACCCTCCCTGTGCGGCATTTGCAAGAGAAGATTTGCTGTCTGAGAAATTGGGGCTTGATTGAATATCAGCTCCCCTTTCCAGCAGAATTTCGACCATTTGATCATCACCTGCTCCGGATGCGTCGTACAAAAGTGTCTCTCCGAACGTTGCTTGTATGTTAGGATCGGCTCCTCTTGATAGAAGAAAGATAACAGCGTTGAGATGACCTGCTCTATAGGCCTCTAGCAAAGGTATTCCAAGTAGCTCTCTTCCGGGCTTTGACTGGAGATTGACATCGGCACCGTTGTCGAGTAAGAATTCCATCATTCCAATATCCCCATGACAAGCTGCCACGCATAGTGGAGTCTCTACTTCATTGATACCGTCTGGGACCCCTGGATGGGCCCCATGTTCAATGAGAATTTTCACCACTTCTGCATGTCTCCCACGTGCTGCAAGCAGAACAAGAGTCCTATGACAATAGTCTATATGATTAGGGTTGGTGCGATTTGACTCGAGAAGAGACCGACAGACTTCAAGATGGCCGCCTTTGACAGCATAGACAAGCGGCGTACGCTCCCGAGAGTCTGGTTCATCGATGTCTGTGTTTTGGCGAATATACTCATCAATAACTCTCGTTAAGCCTTCTTTGGCTGCGAGATGCACCTTCGTCTGTTGAAATATTTGATGTTGCATCGTAATGCTTTTTCGGTTGAAGTCTGAGCCTGCCGCCGCAGCCTGTGCAACGGCACTGACATGAAGTTCTTTATCCAGGAACTGCAGAATCAGTGCGAGTAATAGTGGATCATCTGATGAGTCCAACGCTGCTTTCGCATGGGCACCCCAGTGGGTCGCACAATAGTCAAGGAGCAAATACCGTTCTTGTCGACGCTTATAGTCGGCCTTGTTTGCTGATCGCCCCTCGGAGAAAGCATTGAAGGAAAGGTAGGCAATAGAGATCTCGGTCAGCTCTCTCTCTGCATTGTCATAGGTACTGTTTCTGACGAGAAACTCCCTTGTTGTGTAGTGGACCAATCGAATAATGTCGCTCTTGCGATCACAAGCAACCAGACCAGCACAAACAGAATCAATGATCTCGATAGGAGTGAGATATCTAGGATCAAGCTCTTTCATACCAACATGAATCGCAAGAGCATGTTGTAGTTCTGTTGCAGACAGAGCTCTCTTTGAATATGCTAGCCATGATAGGGTTTTGACAGCTAGTTTGTAGCTAGGCAATTGTTGGGCACGAATGATCTCAATTCCTTTTTGATAAGCAGTCTCAAGCCCGTTCTCTCCATTTGGCAGGTTTAAGACAGCATCTTCAAGGTCTCCGGGGTTGGTGTACCCCCCGAGATAGTTTAGGTTGAGCACTGCGAGCAAGAACCTATGTGATATCAGTATTGGTCTCAGAAACCCATCGGAATATCAGAGGTGCATATCACTCACATTCCATCGGCGCTTTTCACAACTTCTCGCCGCACAACATCCTCAATTTTTGGGTAATTTGAGATGAGTCCACGGAGAAGAAAAGGAAGTCTTTGGTTCACATATCTCAGGACGTCGTCCTCATGTGCTCGGATCTCCTTCCTTTGGCAGCCCTTAAAGCGTGCCATGATCGCCGAGTTAAATCGAGATGTCACTAGTATGCTGACAGGAGCATTCATTTGAAGACGGAGAATCCCAGTGAGAAATTCTTGCAGCTCTTCTGGAGCTTGCGCGAGGAATTCATCTAACGCATCAACTACCAGATAGACCATTTTGTATGACTTCGCTGCTGTTGCAAGCTGGGTTTCGACATCCTGGAGGGTTGGTCGATCACTCCGTGCTTCGTGGGTCTTGTAGACCTGTGCAATGTTCGGGAGTACCTGTGAATCTTTGACTGCAAGCTGTTTGAGTAAACTGAGCTGGAGATCAATATTGGTCTGCCGATGCACAGGCTGGTAACTGCAAGATATGTATCCAACTTGCACTTTTGGATCTTGGTTTTCACGCTTCAGATATTCCACAACAATTGAAGACATGAATGTTTTTCCAGCCCCGGGCATCCCCGGACACACCAGTGTGCTTCTTGGGGTGTTGAGCCAGGTTTTGAACTGATGTGATTGCAAAAACCAGGCTCCGGTTCCTTCCTGTGTCTGACTGAGTAGGTCGTTTTGTCTTTTGGAGAAGTCATTGGGAGTAAGCCAGTCCAGGATGTACTGATTCTGTCGCGCTGAGTTGAACTTGGTAATACTCTTGACTTCATCATGGACTGGGTTTGGTTTGGTTTAGTCTAGGACTTGTCCGCAATATGTCAATTCGAGCGCTCTAACTAACCTTGGCAAAGAATATCTTTCAAAGCTCGCTCCCCATCCACAGATTTAGGTTGTACATGACTCAGAAGCTCCTTTGCATATGCAGCGGCTATAGCAGCCGCAAATGGCTGCCACCGGTCATTCTTGTGCGAGTCGGCATAATCTGAAATGCCACGGATAACAACGCACGGGAAGTTGTTCATCAAACCAGCTGCTTCCATATCAAGGCAGATTGCAGAATGTTTCTCTTGGATCTGAAGACGCATCGAAGCATCTTTCACCACCGTATTTCCCGACGCAATGGTCCCGTAGTGGATCACAGGCTCATCATCAATACGTTCAAGCCTGTAGACTTCTTGGGATCCATCGCACTCAGCGCATGAAGCCGCTTCATTTGAATGTGTATAGCTCGGTTGAAACAGGCGATCGAGCGACTTGCCAGGGTAGCAATACCCCGTTTTCCGCATGCGCGGGTACTTCGCCAGCATTTCTTCCAGGTAGGATAACATCTTGCTTTCCTGCATGTCATGCTCGGCTTTGATGCTTGCGAGAGCGGTGCTTAACGATCGAGGAGGTCGATTGAGGATTGAGAGACTCTGATAAGATCCATTCGCAAGCTGCTTGCCGAGGTCATAAACCACGACTCCCCCGCTGGAGGAGTCACTTCCAACCACGACATCTCCAAGACGAATGTCTCGTTCGTTGTTTGTGGCAGGTATACCCGCGCCGATACCGACAAGAAGCCCAATTCGAATTTTCGGGAACGTAAATATCATTTCTCTGGCTGATTCTGTGGCCGAGGACGCTCCAAACTGGTGCAATGGCAGGCTAGCCACGACAACTTGGAAGTTCCCAATAGTCCCCAGCACGTATGTATTGTGGTCCGCATCAGCGGGTGCGGTCTGTGGGCTACCGTGGATCTCATCCATCATGCCTTTGGCGGCTGCGAATTCTGTTGGAAGAGCGCATATCCAACCCACGGTATATTCCTCATTGGCAAAACGTGATTGCGGCGAGATTACCATCATGTATCAGCTGCCAACAGCGAGCGATTGTCGAGACACTCTTCGAGTCCCAAAAGAGACTGAAAATAACATATACTTCCTCCGGGACCTATCGGATGAACAGAGGTACGATGATGCACGGCGTTGTACGGAGTACTTCAGGACTCATAAGATGGACAGCGGCCATCGGTCAACCCAGTCCACTCGATCGACGTTCGGCCCCCCTCAGCCCCCTTCAGCCCCATGCACGGATGCCCGACCATCACGTGTAATGCTCATTCTCATGGCGATAGCTTTTAGTAGACCGGAATGATAGCCTGGTGCTTCTGCAGTCTGTTGATTATTGCGAGTGGTGGGCAGTGAGCACACTGCAGGGGAATAAAAGCGCCTTGCTAGAAGCGGGCGTCGCCACACCGTAGGGCTGGCCACAACATTATCAAAGATGCTATAGAAAAGACATCAAAGTACTCCGTAGAAACTCAAGTATAAAATAGATCTCCCAGAATATGCTGTGCGCAATGGGCTTTCTGTCGGAGCTAGTGTTGCCTGATTTGCCAGGCTCCCACATTGCTAGATCGGGGACTTCCCTCTCTTCCTCCTTTCTTTCTCCTCGTCTCTCACAATACATACAATTGACGCTACAGACTGTTTCCGCTCTTCGATCGATACTTTTACTAAGTTTGGAACAAGCTGGCCTTTTCGAAGAGAACTCAGAACCCCTCATGCATTCCCGCCATTTGGACTCGATATCGAATGGGTGCGTTTTAGTAGCCCTTCAATGCGGCAAAATACCAAGTCGGAATCCTTTATGGAACAGTCCGAGTCCAGGAGATATGCTCTCCAGCAGTTGACCCACCCTCGAGCTGTGATGCTAGCATTGAAAAAGTCGTAAGCGCCCTCCAAAAGTGAGGCTAACGCTGACCCCGCCTGCAGTATGCGTTGTCAGCTGACCTTTATGTGCTAGCAACCTTTGGATGTTCAATTTTTGCCTTGTTCTGTTTTTACCTATGCTCCATCCAAAGAATTTCCAGGTGCTTTTGATCCGCAACCTCGGAAGAACCGCGCATATATATCACAATGTCTAGTGCGGAGCTCTGTCTTGCCCTCCAGGGCACCCTTGATCTCTGTCTGAAGTATGTATGATCAGACTCATAACAAATCAGCACTCGCTAACAATCATCCCCTTTAGATACGGGGGAATTATTGTTAAAAAGTACAAGGTCTTTGGCGATTCAGAGAATGAGATTCAAGAGCGAACACTTGTTATTGACGCCACGTGGGCAAAGATATCGCAGCAGCTCACTTTTCTTCAACGCATCTCGACGAGCTTAAGCGAGGACAAGCCGGAATACCTAGCCCTTCAAAAAGAGATTGTTCTTGTTCTTCAAAGGAAACTTGAGGCTGCTATTTTGCACCTTTCCAAAGTTGAGAAAAAGGCTTCCGGAAATGGGGGCGAAACCAGCTCCTCGAGCAAACTAAAGCCAGCGAAACACGCTTTGATGGTGAAGCCTCCACTCGAAGTAGCCATTCTGGATCTTCGAACATGGCAAAAGCTGTTTGATCCATCGTGGTACCTGCTTCTGCGAATAACCGATAGTTTCATTGACGCTGAGCTGGCTCGAAACTGGAGAAGTGAGCAGCTCTCTGTTGCTAGACATATTCGAGAATCCCTGATGAACTCCAAAAAGTCCAGCCCTTCTCTTCTCCCAGAGGATGCTCTCGCCCCCAGAGTCTTCGGAGCATTCTACTTTGCCAAGTGGATTGCTCCCTAGGTGACAAAATCAGTCTTGCTGAGCAGCTAGCTACTTCGATAAACTTCATTCATGTCCTTGATCTAGTCCATAAGAACGTTCGGCCTGAAGCAATTTTGGTCTTCCAAGACGACCAACGCCCAACCCACCTCGGGCCATTATTTCTCCTTGGATCCAAAGCACTTCAGACGACTTGCGATAAAACACAGCGATTCGACAGCTCAGCTAGGGAAAAAGATATCTATCAGCACCCAGATCGGCAGGGAAGCCATCCCCAAGGAGAACACAGCAGCATGCAACATGATATATACAGCCTTGGAGTCTGCCTCCTTGAAATTGGGCTTTGGAAATCTTTCGCCGATACCGACAAATATAAGGACTATTGTGTTGAATCTGGTTCACTCAAGGACCAGTATATAGCATTGGCAAAGAAGCAGTTGCCCAGGAAGATGGGTGAAAAGTACATGAATGTTGTTATCAATTGCCTATCCTGTATGGATAAGTCCAATGAAGATTTCGGAAACGAAATCGAGTCTCAGGATAGTGATGGAATCTTGATTGGGGTCAAGTACATTGAAAAGGTATGCAGTCTACGAGCAGTAGTGTTACGATTTTCAAAAGGAAAATGAAGCTAATTTACTCCACAGATATGTCTCTTGCTCAGTGACATGCTTCAGGATAGCAGAACAACTTTTTCTGATACTTCGGAGAAAGATCTACTTTCTAATGAGACGTTCCATGGTGTTAATCTCTACAAAGAAGAAAAGGTGAACATTTCCTCAACACGAAGCAATTTCGTTGATTTGACTGACCATGCAACACCTAGGCCACTGTCCCAAATTCTCCAAAATGTGCTCAAGATGAGATAGCTACCTTTGTCTCGAACCATAATCAGTTCAACAGTGACAGTATGGAGGAACCTTTCAGACAGATTGGCGATCATCTGGGAGGTTTAGGCGTTAAGACACCGACTCAGATCAATATGGAACCGACTAACGATAATTCGTTATCTTCTCAACCTCGAAAGCGAGCCAAGCTCTCTGAAAGTTCCACCACGGCACATCAACTAGAATCCGCTGTCGTGACCGACTCCGACTCAGATAATTTCACCTTGAGGGGATCAGTCAAGGAGGCTTATGTCAACGAGCTTGTCGCCGAGCTCCTCATGGCCACCTCATCTGTCCGAATGGACGTCTATTCCAGGAGCCAAGTTGAAAAGTTTATGCCTGATTGCCTGGAATCATTTTCATCAAGGTTTTCAGCGACTGAATCGTCCCAACCAGTCAATCAAGATGTCACTTCGTTTATTCGGAGATACAAACTGTAAGTCAAGAGCATAGTCACTTGAAGACACGCTAAATGCAGCAGTGTTGACGACAAACCAAAAGTGATATTGTCGACGCTTTCATGAACAAGTCGCTTGATGATTCATCTACAAAGCATGAGTCTAGAACCGGTGACAACGTGGCATTGGCAGATATAGCTCTGAGTGCTGCAATGCCGGGACTAGAGAAATTCCGCGAGTGTATTGTCAAAAGCTACGCCTATGAATGTCTTGTCAAAGATCTTCAAAGACGCTGTTTCCACACGCCTCTAGGCCCGGCTACGATGGCTCACCTCGGTGATGCAATACGTCATCGTCTACCCTCGCCGTCTCGGTCCAGCAGACGAGAGTCAGATCTACCCTTCAAAATGACATATGCCATGGAATGGGACTTGGTTCAATTCTTGGAGGACCAGGAATACATCGAAACAAATTCGCAAGCCCTCCCAATGGTAATCACACTGACAGGCTATGGGGAAGCAGTTCAGGCACTCACATGCTCCCAATATTTGCATCAAACGTGGCCATCGTCAGGGGGAAGCATTATCAGGCTGCTTCAATTACTATTGGGACCTGAAACAACTAGCATAGCGAGAGGTAAGATACCCTGAGCAACCACTCACAGGTATATTCCAGTCTATTGGACATTATTTCGATCTCTAGGCACCTTATCAGACGGCACGAGACTGCTTGCTTGGTTTCAGCCGTCTGAGCCTTCGAAAAACTTCAAGACCATGTTTGAGGTCATAGGTTCTGCCAATTCAGTCGTCGAGGTTGGCGAGCAACTCGCTTGGCTTGGCTCTGCTCTTCGATCCTCACCGAATCCCGACCAGCTTGTGTACTGCTGGCATCATGTCAATGATGTCCAGGTGATCCATCATACACAGCATACAAAGCCGCTATATACCACAGAGTTTAGCGTAGAGCTCCTCTTTGAAGTCTGCCCGGCAGCCGCTTTTAACGGAGCCAACGGAGATTGTTGGCGCGATCTCTTCCGCAGCGGCGTCGTTGTAAAGAGCTATCCAATACCCAGACGATCTGAAGCCGATGCCACAAGTGGCCTTGAGATCCCTCTTCCAATGATGGCCAGCCTGGCACAAGCGAGTTATGTCAACACATTCTTGGACCGGCCAATCATCAAAGGCTACTCTACTATGCTTGTTCCGACCGAAGTCCATGATGGTGTTGTTATGTGGCATTTGCTGCACAACAAAAATGGCGATCGCATATCATACCTTGATAGCACAGTAGTCTCTGTGGAGGGGCTGATGATCGGTCAATTATCACAGGCACGTCACATCCTGGGATGGTGCTCAGATGCAAAATATCTTGCCGGTATGTAACCACGCGCCAATCCTTTACTTCATGCATGAACTGAACCTCGTTTCGCACCCCAAGGAACGCGAGATGCAATTTACGAAGTATCGGGTTCCCGGCTTCCCAAATCACCTGAGGGGGGATCTTTCACAAAGCATTCCTCTCCAACGGACATATGATCACGGGCGGCGAGCCGTTCCTGGTCGGGTACAAGGACATTCCACCTCATGTTTCTCGGGGTGGATACATGAGCAAATTGAAATGGATCGTCCGGAAGTCTGCGGTTCTGTGGGACGAAGAGACCAAGCGTGGGTGGTTGTTAAATGGAGCCAGCGCACTCTTGCATCTTGTGCGGGCCTCCATATTGTATGATTGCACAGGGCCCTTGAGCTCAGAATGTCAATTTCGCTGGGAGACCCTGGACGAGGGAGCGACCAATCCCATCCACAATCATCAATCTGCCATTTCAGTACTTTTGAATCAAAAAAACCGGACTTTGCTGATCTATGAAAGCGATGATGAGCACGTTACATTCGAAGATAGAGTCAACCACTTTCTCAACATCCTTGAGCAGATGTTTGATCACCAGATACATTCTGTCGGGCCAGATGGTAGCGGATATGCTTCCAAGTCAATTCCCCGAGCGCATCTTGAAGGCTGGGACTTCCGTGAACTCGCCACAGAGTCAGATCCATTACAGCCCCGAGTAGCCACCATTGGCTCAAAAGGCAAGTCATGGATTGACTTTACACGGTCAATCCATGCAATCAATCTTCTGGGCTTCGGATTTGGGGAAATGCTAGAACCGTCTGGTATTTCCTGTCCCTACTGGGCATCACTTCCTAAAGATCAATACTATCTCGCTGCAGGGATGACAGACTTGCAGATGGCTCTTGAGTATACCGGAAATTTCAATTCCAATCCGATACGCCTGAGTGACAAGCTTGTCTGGCACAAACCAGAGTTGAGTTTCGAGGCCTGCGGCTGCACTGAGCTCACCGCAGAGCATCTCGACCTGGTACAGGTCATCTTGCCCGAGAGGCTGTCAGAAATAACAGAGCGAGCTGATCCTATTGGACTGAATCGAAATGGAGCAGTAGTCTTTGGATACAGCCAAAGATTTCAGTGGCGATGGGGTGATATTGGGGACCCTGAAAGGGAAGATGTCAAGGCCGGCCAAGAGCAATTTCCTCCATACCATGAAGACGGACTCGTCATCGAAGTTACATCCTCCGATGATTCCGAGAATAATTCCAACCAGCAATGGAGCACTCAGCCCTCCTCAGTGGAAATTACTGTTGCCACTTCATCCACTGATAGCGGATCTGCGCCACCAAGATCCCGAGTCAGATCTTACACAAAGTGGAATCTCGGATTGCTCAGTGCCGAGGACTATTTTGTCGGCATCGTGTGCGCATTGCCGTTAGAGCTTCTAGCTGTCCGTGCTTTATTCGATCAAACGCACCCTCAACTCCCTCGGTCTGCTGGAGATTCGAATCACTATGCGCTCGGAAGTATAGGGAGTCACAGGGTAGTCGCTGCCTGTCTCCCTGACGGTGAGTATGGCACCAATTCTGCCGCGGATGTTGCATCCAATTTGAAAAGAAGCTTCCGCTCAGTGAAGTTTTGCTTGCTGGTTGGCATTGGCGGTGGTGTTCCATCTTCTGAGAATGATATTCGTCTCGGCGACGTCGTCGTGAGCAAACCCACAGGCACAAATCCCGGTGTCATTCAGTACGACATGGGCAAGGCTCTTGAGAATGGTATATTCGAACAGAATGGGGTTCTTCAACCACCTCCACGGGTAGTCATGACCGCAATCAGCAATTTGCGATCTGACCCTGATGCCCCCGAGGCCCCTCTTCAAGGATCTATCGAGCAAATCGCAGCTTGTAAAAGGGAGTACCGGCACCCAGGGCCGGAAAGAGACCGCTTATATTCTAGCGCATACCCACATCCTCCCAACAACGCTACCTGCGACCCTTGCAGTGTAAGCCACGTTACTTTGCGAAAAAGCCGATCAGACAACCACCCGCGAATACACTACGGACTCATTGCATCAGGCAACAGCGTCATGAAAGACGCAAGACTGCGTGATAGATGGAGCAAGGAAAAGAACGTTCTTTGCTTCGAGATGGAAGCAGCTGGTATCATGAACACTTTGCCTTGTCTGGTCATTAGAGGGATATGTGACTATTCGGACAGTCATAAGAATAAGCGATTTCAGGAGTATGCGGCTGCGACAGCTGCGTCGTATGCGAAGTTCCTGCTTTCTTACATGAATCATGACAACGATGTGGATGGAAAGGTATCACGGTCGACCGATGGTGACCAAAGTCCGCTTGGGGCTATTTGGAGGGCTCTTTCTTATTTCAGTTCATAGCACGGAGTTCAAATGAGATTTCATATTCAATGTGGAAATGTCACCGAGACGGAAGTTGCTGAAGTTATAGTCACAAGGTCAATGTAGATAGAGATGACTGTTCGGGCTACCATGAGGCTCGATTCTCCGAGCTTTCCAAGATTGACAGTGCGTTTATGAGCACTTCAAGAGCGAGTGTATCATAGGTAATCATTCAGAGATACAGCTAAGATGAATCAACAAGGTATACATACACCAGGGCAGAGCTCGTGTAGGTATCTTAAGAAACCAGCCCCTGGACCGAGAACAAAAAAGATATGAGGGCAATCCAAGCCCATGAGCAAGATAATAAATAGTAACGAATAATTCAACAGGACTCCCAGTCCCGACCATGAAGATAACACCCGCCATGATAAAATCAATCAAATACTCTATTTCGTCATCAGCTCCGGCCGAGCCAGAGGACTCGGACCAGGCGGTGCGGATACCATGCTCGGGGTCGAGGGCGAGGGAACATGATCCGGCGTAGATATCGGAGTAGACGCTGTAGGTGTAGACGTAACTGCAGAGGCTTTTCCACCGCGGGCACTGTTGCTGGCACCACGACCGGTACCCGAAGCACCGCCACGACCACCGCGGCCTTCATTTGCGGTGGAAGCGGTTGTGCCATTGCGCTCGGTGGTGTGTTTTTCACCGTCGGTTTTCTTGGCACCACGTGCACGACGTGATGTGCCGCCTCGAGAACCGGGTCCTCGTAATGGTAGCCCGGTATCTTGGGAGATGGGCACAGCTGCAGCGATTGGAACATGGGGATGTGAGGCCAGTGAGCGTCCACGACCTGTTCCCCTCCCTCGGCCTCGGCCACGTTTGATTGTACCGTCGGCGCTATTAGATGTCAGTATGCATAAAGATGAACAAAGGGATGTGGGGACCATACCGTTCTACGGAGATTTTCTCTCCCTCTGGCACCAACGGTCCACTGTAAACAAAGAATCCATCTTTACTCGCAGCAGCCTGCTCCTGCCACACCATTTCACTGTCGTCGACGAAAGGATCATCACGATCGTATTCCTCGACCTTCTTGCGACGCTTTTTCTTTCCGTCGCTGGCCTCGGAGGGCGCACCATTGGTTCCTACACCGGTACCACCCATAGTAATGTCGCCCTCTACATCACTATCACCGCCCGCATCCATGCTTAGATCCTCATCGGCGCTTTCGCCAGCAGAGGACCCTTTCGCGGTTTTGTCGTTCTTCTCCAATGCAGCCCCAGCAGCTGCTACCCGAGCCAAGCGCGCTTTGTGGGCAGCAAGACGGGGGTGCAGAGCCGCAAAGCCATATTGCTCCTCTGCGAGTCGAGCGAAGTTGACAATCTGGTTAGGCTTGTTCAATGGAACGTGAACGATAATGTTAGGTGTTGATCGGGAGTCTGGTGATTTGGCTGCTTCATCCGCTCCACCAAACAGCGCGGTTGTGATCAAGCCGGAGCCCTGAGGAAGATGGGGAGTCTCCTTTTCCTTGGCAGGCCGAGCGGGCTTGGGAGACGAGGCCTTTGAGGCTGGCGTGGCGGCACCCTTCTCTTTCTTCGCACTTGGTACCGGTTGCTCCTTTTCCTGTTTAGGATCAACTTCCATAGCTTCCGGCTGCTGCTGTTGCTTTTGTGGTGTTGGCTGTGCTGTAGGTTCTGGCTGTGTGGGAGGTTGGGGCTGGCGCATCGCCGGCGGAGATAGCTCGAGGTTGGGTGGCTGCGAGGGGGTGGATCGCTGTTCGGGAGGGGGGTATGGCGTAGTGTAGTGATTGGCATGGGCCGACGCCTGGGGATTGGAGATAGCTCCATGAGACGGAGACGAGGCGGGGAAAGGCGATGGAGCTAATGATGGATGTGAAGGGGTCGGAGCCATCGCAGGTGCTGCCGGCGAGGCGACTCGAGAGGCATGACCGGAAGAAGATCGTTGGAGCGGGGTGTAGGCATGTTGATTTTGGGTGGGCGGGTCGATGATGCTGGAAATAGCCGGCGATGCGCTAGCGCGATAGGTATTGTGTGGTGATAATGCGCGAGCGGTCGGGCTGTATGCTGGCGCTGGCGATGGGTTGTCAAATGCGGAGCGAATCGGGTCGAAGTTCTGTCCACTCGTTCGCTGAGGCTGCGCGGGTTGAGAGACCGGGGTTTGGGTTTGGGTACGCGGTTGATAAATGTAATGAGCAGCTGGATTTGATTGCGGAGGTTGGGAATATGCGGAGGGAGAAGCTTGGGCCGGTTGCACTGGTTGAGGAGACTGGGCAGAGTGCATGGGCGGAGCTTGAGGTTGAGGCGCTGACGGGGCGTTTACCGGAGCGGCAGGAGTTGGCGTCTCCAGCTTCGGTTTCTTCCGTGAATTTGGCGTGCCCGTTGACTTCTCTCGAGGGCGACGAGGAGCACGGGCCGGTTTCTCTTTGGGTTCTTTGGGTTCTTTGGGTTCCTTGTCTTTCTTGGCTGACTTTGTCTCCGGGTCGTCATCTTTCTTACGACGCGACCGCCTGGCGGTACCGGAGGCACGTCGGGCGCTTGTATCTTTGGCGTTACTCGTAGGCTGCTCCTGAGTGAGGTCCACTGTCGGCGGATCCGTAGACATAATTTCTGTCACAATTCACGCAAACCAACAAATTGATGACTTTGACTCAAATGACGATGTGGTGGTGATGGACTGGTGGTTGGGGATGAAACGGTCGCGGAGACGGGTTGGGAAAACAAATTTAAAAAAAGACACAGAAGGGAAGGGGAGAGAATTCCGAGACGAACAGAAGCTCAAACGAGGAAAAAGCGGGAAGGGAAGGGGGTCAAACAGAAGAAGGATGGAGAAGGTCAAAAAGGGTGGGCAAAAGGTAAGAAATCGGAAGGGAAAAAAAGAGGGAAAAAAGGGAAGAAAAGGGAGGAAAGGGGAGCGCTGGAAAGAGTATTGAAACGGGTTGGAGTTGAGTGTCAATTCGATATGTCCAAGCGCTGATACTGGAACATCAACCCCATTGGACTCGGTAGTCTTGCGATACAGCTTATTAGAGTGAATGAACCAGGTCAGCTTCAATTTTTCTCCTGATTAAAATTCACTAGACATTCTGAATCCCTCCGCGTCTTCGCGACTGAGTGTCGTACACCAGGTACCTTGGATACCTTGGATACCAGGTACCAATGTCTCTATGCAGTCAACGGGAGATGGTTATATTCACATCGGGCAATGTATCTGCAAGCTGACTAGTACTTTGAATTGGACGTCTCATCTTTTGAAGAGACCATGTTCGAGCCAACGTCGTATCCATTTGGTTTGTGTATCCCTATTGAAGCTTAAGGCAGGTACAGGTCATAGTTAGCCCTTGACAGATCGATAGATACTGGATGATATTCGAATTGATGGACTGCATTTACAGAGCAGTGTATGTATAGAGCCCTATCAACTCTATAGCCCCTATTCAATCGTTCAAGCAGGACTTTTCACCCACACCCGGCCGAGTGGAGGATCGACTTTTGTATAGATGCACCGCACAGATGTGAGGAACCCAAAGGGGACTAGCACATCCGTTGTCTTCCACTAACCCAATACGGTTAGACTGTTCTGCAGCCCCATTTTTTAGCTTTGGGAGCCGCATCCCCGCCGCGCTGACATAAGAGTTTTCTCTTCTTCACATCACTCATCATGGCTTTTCGTGGAGAGCGCTTCGTCCTCAACTTGGATGATGACTCCGGAGCACCTGAAATCCCCTCTCAGGCTCCGTTCTCTCTGATCGGGGAGATTCAAGAACGGCCTCCCTCCACCGCTATTCCCCCCGCACCCAAATTGCCAACAACCACCTCGACCGGGTTTCCAGCACCCCGCCAGCGCAAACCCTCCTCTTTCAAGCAGCGACGGGCAAAGCAGCCTGAACCAACCCCCTCGTTCACTCCACCCACAGCTCAAGATGACAAGAAGTCAATCGACGAGGAAAACCGTCGACACCTGGCAGCAATGTCGGACACGCAGATCCAACAGGAACGCGAAGAGTTGATGGAACAAATGGACCCAAGTCTCCTAGAACGCTTCCTCCGAAGAGCCAACATCGACGAGGATAAACAAGCCGAGGAGCCCACACCACCAGCTCCGGTCGCGCACGAAAAGTCCCCCAAGCCGAAGAAGTCGGTCTCGTTCGACGTCCCCGAGCCTGTGTCGGCAGCTCCCAAGTCTCCAACCCAAAGTGCACAATCTCACTCCCTACCCAAATCATTACCGCCGCATCCTGGCAATGAAGACCGACCTTCGTCCACACTCCCCGCAGACCTCCACCCCGCTTCTCAACGCCCCTCCCTCGACCCAGCAACTCTAGAGACATTCCACTTCCCCCAGCCAACCAAGCCCAGACCAGTGCTGGACCCATCGTCACCTTCTTTCCTGTCAGATCTGCAGTCACATTACTTCCCCGAAATATCCCAAGACCCATCCACCTTGTCTTGGCTCCAGCCCCTCTCCGCAGATGAAGAAGACCCAGACTCAACCTCAGCCTACCACCCAGCCAGTAGCGCCATCTCTCTAGCACCATCAGCCATCCGCTTCTCGCTGACAGGCACCATCCTGGCACCTGAAACTTCCCTTTCTCTCCCAACAACCATGGGTCTGCACCATCACGGTGACGACCCCCATGCTGCAGGATATACAATTCCAGAGCTAGCTATTCTTGCGCGTTCCACATTCCCCGCGCAGCGATGCATTGCATGGCAGGTGATTGGCCGTATCTTGTTCCGTCTCGGTCGGGCAGAGTTCGGAGAACGAGGTGGGCAGTTGTCCGAAGGACTGTGGTTTGTCATCGAGAAGGAAGGTGTTGTTGCCGGTATGCTTGCTGAAGCCGATGGCAACGCTGGTCAAAGTGAAGGCCGTAACAAGAGCAGCTCATCAAAGGACCAGAAGGATTCTGAGGGTACTGAAAGCTCTATGCCTGTTGCTTCGGGAGTCGGTCGCCATGCCAGCGCCGCTGCTTGGGCCGTTGAGGGCGTCTGGCTGTGGCAGAAAGGCGGCGGCGGAGATCGTGGTCTAATGAAGGAGGGGCAACACAGATCAACATGATCAGATATGTGTTCATGTTTTGGTTTTATTGTTTTACACGAAAAGTCCCATTCACATGGAGAACAAATTCAATGATGATACGAGTGTAGTGTTCAATCATCTGCAGCTACTTCATTTGCATAAAACTAAATAGAATGTCCCATTTGGCTCATATTTGCTTACACCAAACTCTGTTCACATCGAACCTCTGCCCACTGCAGCTATCAATGTGAGATCCGTCGAGAGACAGATTGATATCTGCAGCAGTGCAGGGTAAGTTGTGGAACCTCAGAGTTTGATGCAAGCATTGCAGGATTCAATTGCAAGGAGCTAATGCCGTGGCACTTTTGTGATGGTTTTTGATATATCGCATCCGATACAGAGCTTATTCACCCCCGAAGGAGGAATTTCAAGGCATGATTCTCGCCTTGCGCTCCACCTTACAGCGCGAAGAAGTTCTACTAGACGAAGAAAGAGTGAGCAGAGAGCGAAAGTGAAAAAGGGAAAAAGGGAAAAGAAGAGAGTAAGTATCCCAAGATGGGAATATGGGTATTAGTTTCCGATAATCATCTATGGCTGGTTGAATGGCCGTTGCTGTGTTAGACAAAGGTGCGAGTCCGCTTCACGGGGCTGCCCATGCGCAAAGAAGCACTTCCGGCTCCGTTGGCCATGCCATTGAGGAGACGACCCATTCCCTCCACATCAAGCTCGCCACGTCGGAGCATCAGCTGATCGGTTTCATCGGTATTTTCAACTTTCACAGCCGACTCGTTTTCTTCGTGATCAGACTCCTTCAATCTCGGCGCCAGGATTGACAGCTGAGACTCTGCTGCCACAAGTACATCGAAGGATTGCCTCTCAGCTGCACGAGAACGACGTACTGGGGCTGGTAGGTGGCCGATCGCTTGGAAATTCTGACCCATCAGATTCACATCTTGGAATGGGGACAGTCGGCAGCGGTTAGACGAATCAAAGGTACCCGTGGCCTTGACGGCATTTCGCCACAAGGATAGTAAGCTTGTAATAACGGCGCTCTGGCGGCCGTGACGAAGGAGAATTGACTCATCGGGTAGCACGTCCGACGAAGGATTAGTCTGCAACACCGAGATCTGGCCTCGGTGAGACGGGCTGGCTGTGCCCGAAGAACCCCTCAACAATCCGTCTTCCCGAACACGTCTTGTTGAAGGGGTCATGGGTGCGAACCGCGGTCGATGCTCTGCCTCGGAGTTACTGTTGGAGGGTGGTGTCATGATGCGGCCACAAACTGCGTAAGCAGTCAAGGAACCTCCAGTGACACCTTGGATGCTCGTTTGGCGGTGGAGCGGGCCCTTTGCAGCTCCGGGGCCAGCACCTTCGATGTCCCATATGCCCCATTCACCATCTTCCAGAAGTACCATCACTGCCCGACCGCCGAGAACCCATGCGGCGTCAACAATTGTCTTCCGCCGAGGAAGCCCTGTGGGACCTTGCTCGAATCCGGGATATAGAGAGATCAACCACCGACCCTCTGTGTCAACAACGTCGTAATCTTCCTGTGGTAGCGAGGCCCTACGCGCAGATTTGGGTGCCTTCTTAACAGAGAAGCAGGAGTATATCTTGACACATCCGCTGTGGAACGCAACAAGCAGGTTGGCATGGCGGACAGACGGCCACGTTGAAGGGTTGAAAGCGATTGTTTGGGCGGGCGCTGGCAGTAGTCGTCGTTGTGAGGTGATTTCCTCATCCAAGAGATAGAACGATCCAGAGGATTCGCGAATTGGGATGCGGTGCAGCAATAACGCACCACAGCCTTCTGCGGAATGCGTGGCGACAAGCAGATCCCATTTCCCATGGGATCCAAACCGACCCCGCGACTTCCGCTGGTCTTTCTCATCTTCGAACTCATGACAAGTGAATGTAAGAGAGATACCACGAGGAATGTCTTGGTGGGTCGTGGCTCCATTGACGGTGAATGTTTGAATGTGCCAGCTTTTAGAGTCAGACTGTGCAGGGTGTGGAGGAGCAATCGGTAGAGTCACGACCTTGGTTGAAAGGTCAGAGCAGACGACAGATATAACGATGGTAGACCTCAGAATTGGCGGGAAGGGCTCGAGGGGAGAGCGCGATTCTTCAGGAAGAACGCGAGGCACTGCCAAATCCAACACTCGGCTTCCAAGGGGGATGTCGATTTGTCGCAGAATCTCCTCGTATGGAGCGTTGGGGTCAACTTCAGTCTCCTCCAGGTCAAATTCAATATTGAGATCCTCCTTTACTGGCTCAGGCTCCTCTTCTTCGTCGGAGTCAATGATCATAACCGAGTCGTCCGCATGATTTTCTGCGCCTTTGGACCGTCCTTCGGGTGCTTTTGTCTTGAGTTCTGTGAAACGTCGTCCTCCCCTCCAGACCACTTTTAGGCCAGTGTCATAGCCATAGACAAGGATCGATGAGCCATTCGGAGCTCGAAGCGGGTAGCCCTGGGCAGCGTGGATGCGATGAGGGAGCGGGTAGCTAAAGATTTTTGCACAGTTAGAGCAGCGCAATTCAAGCAAACCCAGAGAGCGCATTTGTTCTCACCTGATCTGAAGACCATCCTCCCTGGTCCGAACCAAGGGAGTCGTAGGAAATGAAGGCATTATGTTGGTTGCGATGGCTTTGGAGAGCTATCGGGAGCTTGAAGTGCAGGCGCCGGCAGGGCACCACGCGAGAGACAAGCAGTCAGATAATTATTGACCGACAGTAATTATTCGTTATCTGGTTGCTCTTCGACAAGGAAGAAGCAAAGAGTGAAGTCGTTTTGGGGTGGTGAGGGGAGAGGTAGCGTAGATGGAGAAAGGAAGTTGTTTTGGTCGGAAAGCAAAGAAAGTCGACCGAAGCCCGCGTTCCAGCGCGTCCTCCAACTTCAACAACCACTCGGCATGTCTCTTGGGCGACACACCGTTACATGAGCTCACAGCTACGATGGAAATGACCAATTCAACAGTTTCGATCGCAGACCTGTTTGTACAAGCGCAGTGCCATCGCTGCTACTAAACAGCCCACCATGGCGTCCGTCCGCTCTCTAGGCATTCACGAACCCTCGGCCGTCTCCTACCTAGTTTCAGAGGGCATCCTACCCCCGAGCCCTCGGAAGATCTCTACACATGGACAATATGTACGGACGAAAGCGGATTGACCGGCTCTTTGGACGACGAGCTGGTATGGACCAAGCATTGTGTTGTTTGGTCTCGTGCAGGGATGGTCAAGCGAGTCTTTCGAATGGACCCAGAGAAAGAAGAGATTCGACATGCTCTGTTCACCCAGTTTGCCGCTGGGCATAACAAAAACTCGGGAAATACGCCTCTCAGCCGCCCAGATGGAACTTCGGGAGCACCAGGTGCGCGAAAGCCCTCTCAACGCACCGGGAAAGCGTCAGCTCCGGAGGCATTTTCAACTCTGGATCTTCATGGAGATGCGCGAGTAGCGGTCGTGGCTCCGCAACAGTCCAGTGAGGCACTCTCCCGAGCTCTCGTCGTGGTCCTCAAATCGCAAGCCCATATCTTCTTTGTCGCGGGAAACAGCCATACAATACCTCTCCCATTTGAAGTTGACTCTGTCTTCGCAACACCGCGTGGTCTCATTTTCCAGAGAAAGGTTCTGGAGGACGATGCCGGTAGTCAACACCCAACCGCGCCACCTAATTCATTTATGACCAGTTCGTTATTTGATCCAGGCGCGTCCCAGTCGTTTGGCATACCAAGTATCAAAAAGAGCAAACGTCCCTCAACAAAATCCTCCTCTAATCCGGTACCTTCCTGGTTGCCCAAACCAAGCTCAAGCGCAGACCTCCCTCGGGTCTTCTCTCTGATTAATCCCCAGTCGGAAATGGGCCTGGTTGTGACAGCTCAGACATCCAAATGGCTTCAAAGCAGCGTCAATAGCACCAGAAGAAGACCATCCGGTCTTGAAGTGTTGGATCCGGTGGATGAGATTGTGTACATCTCTCCCAAAGACGAACTTCTGGGCACCAGCAGGGGTCCACTGAATGGAGCTCCTTTGATCCTTGTGGTTACTATCAATACAACCACCGGGATATACACAATTTGGACTGCGCGCTACAAAGATGACGAATCCGGAGGTTCAATCAAAGAAAAGGCTAGACGAGAGACTGGAGGCACTCGGTCCGTGCGACGAAGCTCACACTTCGGTATGGCAACCGGTGCAACAACTCCCGCCGCTCGGTCTGGGGCAACCAGAGAGAGCTTTGGGCCGTGGACGGAAGACTGGCCTTCTAGCCAACCATCACTGGGACGAAATGACCCCGAAAACGACCTGGCTGCGAGGGTAGCCCAGGACTTTGGGGATGTCGGTGTTCCTCTCAAGGCATCCAGGCGAGTCAGCTCATTGCTTGCTCGAACCGACCTTGCTACAAGTCAGGACCGCATCACCTTCTCGGAGATGGCCACTGGCAGTCAGTCCAGCACTATGCCCCACGGAGCTGGGTTGAGACAGTCTATAGGCGGAGCGAGCACACGAGGGAGCTTTGGCTTCAATCCTCGAGGGTCTTTACCTCCGGGTACAGGATCCGTTTACAGCAATGCAGGCAGCTTTCTGGATGCCCCCGTTGATAAGCTACTTGAAGAGCTGAACAGCGAGAGTCTTTCCAATGGGTTCGAGAACATCGGGCTGCGTGAGTCCGCATCTGGGCTTCCTGAAGAGCTCTTGTTGAACAAAGTCGAAAGCTTCTCTTCGCAATTCTCCGGCATTTTCCAAAAATCTGCTCAAGCGCCAGCGTCCCACCGAATGAAAGTTTCGACATTGGCATCTACCGACTATGGAGGCAACCAAAAGGGCCACACTGCCTCTCTAGCAGTGTGCATCTTAGATAAAACGTCACGAAACATGACCATTGTGAACCTAAGAGCAGATCGCGAATCACTCTCCAAGAGCCAGAAGAAAAAGGCCAAGTCCACTGGACAAAGCTCGGTTCTTGTCCGCGCAGTTAGAATTCAAAATGTATCGAACGTTCTGGATGCCTGCAGGATCACAGACGGCGAAATTTCGCGCATCCTTTCGCTGAGCGAGACGGATTCCAAACATCGCGAGCTCTCATTGCAGACTCTTTGGGGTAGTCCTATCAAGGTCGAGGTTCCAGTGCCGCTACAGCTGTACGAACCCGATGGGATCTCTGCCTACAAGCTTGAAAAGCGCCCAAGGGAAAGTGGTGTCCACCGGGTTATGGCTGATCCAGACCTGATATTTAATCGATTTGATCACGGCTGCTCTCGAGGGAAGATTGACCTCGTTGACACTCACCAGCAGCGACATCGACTGCAGATTCAAATGGAGCCCCGCAATGACCTGGTGAAGAAGATCCTCAAAGTCTGCAAATTTGCTTTGCGTGACTCCGAGAAAGCCGGCGATGGCATCATGGTCGCTTGGTGGGAGGTGATCAAATGGCTCCGGAGCAGAGAGGACATTGAAAATGACCTCGAGTGGACTGCTATGACTGTTGTCCTCTTAAGTTTGGCTGTCCCCTTTGTCTCTCCCCCGCCAACCCAAGCACCGAAACGAACACGCCGAAAGAAGAGTCTCCTTAGGTCGAGCAGCGGAGGAAACCTGGACCTGGAAAGCTGGGAGGCTATGCTGGATCTGGAATCTGGCCCGGCGGGTGTTGTAGCTCCGTGGATGATGGAAAGCTCCTGGGGCTGGATCGTTGAACAGGATGCAATTGAGAACCTCACAACGAGAGCACCCAAGGCCGATAACCCAAACAGTGGCAGCCTGTCTACATATCGCCAGAATTCATACTTAGTCCGATGCATCGCCCTTGCTCGCGAGTTCATCCAAAGCCCCCTGGGAATCAGAGCTGCGGGTCACGATGGATATCTCCCTATATCGGAAGCATTTTCTGAGAACACAAGATGCACTGCCTTGTGCAGCGTTGTCGTGGCTTTGCATTTACTCCGCGAAGAACAAAAGCTCTCCATCTGCGACTCAGAGGAGTCACGGAGACCTCTTGGCTTGTTGGCTCCTGTCCTCGCCCAACTGGGTAGCTGGTTGGGCTGGGAGTCCTGGAAGGGGAGTGACGATGCTTATTACGGCACAGAGATGACTAGCATGGAGCGTTGGCAGTTTGAGGACAACACACATATCTCTGGATTAAAGGTTCCTAACGAGCCTTTCCCACCTCCGTCCATTTTTGAGTTCCTCATGGGTTCTGCCTCTCATCGAAACCCTTCACCATTCGTTTCCCTTCTGGACATCGTGAATGCATCTGAACGGACTCCACGGAAAGGGCGGATGTGGCGCGAATGCTTCAACATCACACCAAGGACGTGTGCATTGAATGGGTTCTTCTCCGAAGTTCACAGCGTGTCTACGCCTCTTGAAAAGATCAAGCTCTTGCATCGCTGGGGATTCACCAAGAGTGTCATCGATAGCTTCCCGGAGGGTGTTGGTGCGCCACTTTATGAAGCGGTGCTGCAATGCCAAATTGAGGCCTCGACGTCGTGGAATGCCGCGCTCCTGGAGCTGATCGATCGTGAAGACCTTTACATGTCGATGAATCCTGCCCAGACCAATTCATTGTCAGCACCACAGCAAGCCGTGCTTTCTCACGATGCCATTCGTGACTTCCATTATATCAGCAAATCTGCTTTAGACATCGATGCGATCAACGCATTCGAGGCATCTGCTGAGGCCGACCGTTCCTCGGTGACCAAGCTCATCTTCCGAGAAGACAAGCGATTCCTCGAGGCAGCGAGGTTATTGAACCAATCCAAGGCCCCAGTGGCTGAGTGCATTGCTGAGCCTGGCTGGAGAGATCAGGATCTGTTAGACGCACAGAAGGAGATTGTGCAGCTTGTCACAGTTCGAACGCTGTCTACCCCCGCTGGTCGTGGAATGCTCGCTTTCAGTGGCAGATTGCCTTTGTTGACAGAAAAACTGCCTCTTCCATCCTTTTCCTTGCAGTGTGTGATGAAGCCAGACAACGTGACAGTCAGCGCGGACAGAGCCTTGTTCTCAGAAGAAAAGGTCTGCTGGGCCTTCTTCCACAACGGTGTGTCCACTGGTCTCGCTATTTCCAAAGCTTCCAAAGGTATCGATACTTCATGGATCTTGTTCAACAAGCCAGAAGAGCTCACGAATCGGCATGCTGGATTCTTGTTGGCTTTGGGTCTCAATGGCCATCTCAAATCGCTGGCTAAATGGGTTGCTTTCAAGTACCTCACTCCGAAACATACCATGACATCCATTGGTCTCCTTCTTGGACTCTCAGCTTCATACTTGGGCACAATGGACACTCTCATTACACGTCTGCTCTCAGTGCATGTAACAAGAATGCTGCCCTTTGGGGCAGCTGAGTTGAACCTCTCGCCGTTAACCCAAACTGCTGGCATCATGGGAATTGGCCTGTTGTATTGCGGCTCTCAGCATCGCCGCATGAGCGAGGTCATGCTCTCAGAAATCGAAAACAGCGAGCATGACGAGCAAGCTGCCACCCAAGAAGATCTTCGCGACGAAGGATACCGCCTGGCTGCCGGATTCTCCCTGGGTTTCATCAACCTTGGCAAAGGCGACGACCTGCGAGGCATGCGAGACATGCACATTGTCGAGCGTCTATTGGCGATTGCCGTTGGCACGAAAAACGTTGACATCGCCCATGTACTTGACCGTGCCACAGCCGGCGCTACCATTGCCCTCATGATCATCTTCATGAAGACGAATGATGCAGTTCTAGCCCGGAAAATTGACATCCCTGATACCACCGTTCGCTTTGATTATGTGCGGCCAGACTTGTTCTTATTACGGACCCTGGCACGACACATCATCATGTGGGACAGTATCAACCCCACCGCTGAATGGATCAGTCAAAGCTTGCCCGAGGTGTATCGGGGACGAGCACGGCTTACAGATGTTCGCCGCCTGCGCAGCGAGGACATGCCTTTCTTCAACATCATTGCAGGCCTTTGCTTCGCGCTTGGCCTCCGTTATTCTGGATCTGGAGAGGCCCAAGCGAGAGATCTTTTGCTGTTCTATCTGGACCAGCTGATTCGCATTTCAAGACTGCCTGTTCGTAGCTACGATGCTAGGCTCGCACGCAACTCGGTGCGGAATTGCCAGGATGTCGTGGCCCTGTCTGCGGCTGCTGTCATGGCTGGTACAGGCGACATTACTCTGTTCCGTCGTCTGCGTTCGCTGCACGGGCGAATCGACGTAGACACAACTTATGGCAGTCATATGGCGGCGCACATGGCAATCGGTGTGCTCTTCCTCGGTGGGGGTAGCTACACACTCGGCACTTCTAATCAAGCCGTGGCCTCGCTCATCTGCGCCTTCTATCCGATTTTCCCAACTACTGTCCTCGACAACAAATGCCACCTCCAAGCCTTCAGGCATCTCTGGGTCCTCGCCGCCGAGCCACGCTGCTTAGTACCTCGTGATCTCGACACTCGCCGTCCCATTTCTATTCCCATCACCATTACATCCCACGACGAGTCTGTTCGCACCCTCGGTGCCCCGTGTCTACTACCAGACCCCAGCCAAATTTCTCGAATCGAGATCCGCGGGTCAGATCATTGGCCCCTTGTCCTAGACTTTAGTCAAAACGACACACTCCGCGAGAAATTCCTCCGCGGTGACCCCTCCATCTATCTCCGTCGCAAGGCGACCTACAACCCCGCGAGCTCTTCGAGCTCTGTCTTCGCCTCGACTTTGACCGGCCTGAGCGAAGCTCAAGACATTCTTCCCACAGCTGCCGCCGGAGCCTCAAACCCAGCCAAGGCAATTCCCCCCTCGGCCTGGCCAAACCGCACCGCGCTACTTGCCGGCAAGCACTCCAAGGCCGCATCACCATCTCAGAATCCTTGGGACTGGGTCTTCCACCTGCCATCCTTACAAGACCTCGACATCCGCGAGCGTTCCCTCGTCCTCCCCTCATCCTTCCCAATGCGCTCCGCGCGGCTCACGAATGATCTCATCTCCGCACCACCCTGGCTGCGTACCTCCGCTGTGGACGCACGCCTCACGTTATCCCATACTGTGCGCAACATCGTACAATCCGCGCGCGGCCGCGGCGCTGATCCCGACCAGATTCGGGATCGCATGTGGCAGCTTCGTCTGTTATTTGACTGGCTGGATCGTACTCAACCTGGTGATGAACGTGATCATCTATCTAGACAGGTGTTATCGGGTGAACAGAAGCCTCAGCCGTCTGGTCTTTGGTTGAGACGGGACTTTGTTGAAGATGCCAAATGGCAGATCTGGGGAGTGCAGATTGGGGATCGAGCCGAGGCTTCATAATGTAGAATAGATTTATTCCAGTATCCAATTGTTGGTTTCAACCCAGCTGAACTTCATGTTACTAGTCTTTCCATTTTCAAACTACTTTTAATTCTCTCTGATAATTGTGCAATGCGGTCTAATTTTACGCTGAAATGCGCCCTTCGCTAACCAAAACCGAATCACCCCGGAGCAACACTTCCGTGATCCTCTCTCCATCTCCGCTGCGGGAAACGGTGACGAAGATATCGTTTCTCCTTCCCATTTCCACACCTTGAATGATGTGATAAAAGAATGGACCGGTCCCGCGTTCCTTGCTTTCCTCGAGTGCCAAATAGCAAGCAAGAGCACTAGAAGCACTCCCCGTCCCAGGATCTTCCCAAGAAACAAACATTCTCGTGCGAAGCTGTTTGATCCCATTCTCATCATTTCCAAGGTCCACAAAGTATTTCGTTCCTGTCAACCCGCAATTCCACCCATCATCCATAACCTCAACGTTGAGACAATCTTCCAGCAATCCAGCAGAGACACTCGCCAGGCGATCCACGTCTGACAGCTCAGCTAGGACGAACGACAGCCCCTTTACGAATGACATGATCGGAGCCGTGCCCTTCACCACCATATCCGATACAATGGGTGTCTGATGCAGATGGCACTCAAAGGGAATCGAGGCGCTCAAGAGTCCAGACAAAACTTCCTGTGAAATCGGGATGGGGCCCGCCTTTGTCACAAGTTCTCTGAGGTTTCCCGCGCGGCGAGCATAGTCTCGTAAGACGTACATGGCTGTCCCGATGGTGGGATGGCCGGCGAAGGGGACTTCGCATTTTGGTGTGAATATGTCAATGTCGAAGGAGTCGAGTTGGTCGGAGTCATTGGTGTTTTCTGGATGCTCGTGGAGGAAGACTGTTTCAGAGAGATTGAACTCGATGGCTATTTTTTGCTTGGTGCATTGTGTGAGGGTGGTTCGATGTTTTGCTGGGACGAGGACGATGGCCAGTGGATTGCCCAAGAACCGAGTCTTGGTGAACACGTCTACCACAGCATATTCTAGGGACATGGACATGGTTTCGGGTCGCGTTTGGAGGGTGTAGATGGAAGAGGCCGGATGTTTTGAACTTCGATGGCCTGGAATCTTCATGAAGTATATATACGGCCTAATATGGTATCCGCTTGTCTGCTCGGACGCCACTTCCGAGCCCTGGAGCGTTCCAAGGTTCCCCAGCTGGTTCCTGAACTACTCAGCTTCGGATATGAACTGTATGGATCTTTGGAGGGAGATCTGTTCCCTGAAGGCCAAGCCCTGTCGTTCTTATATAGTAGAAAAGTAGCTCTCTCTTTCTCTCTTTTGCTGGTTTTTGTTTTTCTCTTTCTTGATCGCCGACTCAAGATGGGCTTTGACATTTTCGTGTCAACTAGATGCTCGGAGAACGTGGACCGACTACAATTGTGGATCATCGGCTCTCTCGGTGAACGTAGCCCGAGCAGATCCACCCGTGGACTATACCCTTCCCCCCCCCATGCTTGATTAATTCTAGTTTTGCGTAATTAGACACCTTGCCGTAGATCTCGGGCAACCCTCTGATATGGAGCTCAAAATGACAAATCAGCCCTGGAGTCATTTAGTACCTCTTCCCTTGGGGGTGATCTATATAAAGAGCGATTGGATCTGCCTTAATACACCCGCGAAAGACGAAGGAATTAACAAACAGCCAGCACAGAATTCATATCTCCCATCAGTAAGATGTCCGGCAAGAAAGTTATTTTCACAACCAAGGCACCAGCCCCCTTCCCTGTCTTCTCACAGGCCATCGCTCGAAATGACACAGTCTACTGCTCTGGCATGGTTGGGTTAGATGAGAACAATGCGATAGTGAGTGGAGGAGTCGCACGGCAGACAGTTTGTGATCCTCCAGTCTCTGTCTCCTTGTCTGGTCACTGATATTGCAGGACCGAATTCTCCAAAACCTAGCCGCTGTCCTTGAAGAGGCCCAGTCTAGCTTGCAAAATGTTTTGAAGCTGAATATCTACCTCACATCCATGGACGACTTTGGTGCTATGAATGAGGCATATATGGAGCATTTCTCGGCTCCACTACCTGTATGTTTTGCTCCATCTTTCTTCTGGTCTTCATCACTCGGCTGTTACTCATCTCTGTAGGCGAGAACATGTGTCGCTGTCACAGCATTGCCATTGGGTGCTCATGTGGAAATGGAATGTGTAGCGTTCATTTAAAATATGAGATTTATGGTGCATATCCGAGATGTCAAAGTTGATCTCTTATTTGAAGTTGCTTGAAGTTGTCCCGGCGTGGACGGCTATGAGTGATGTTTACAAAAGGGGAAGGCGGTACATCTTATCACCTCTGTAAGCAGGCTCTCACTAGTCCATATCGAGCAGGCGGAATAGAATTGCCTGACAAAAGGGACATAGGCGGCTCTGCAGGTCCAATCGCTAGAAGTCACCACTTCCACCACTTTCAATAGTCTCATTTGTAGGCCATATCGGAGGTAACTCGGTGTGTTTCGCTGATTAAGTTCCCACAAACATGCCCAGTCCGGCGAGAGCATGTTTAGAATGTCGAAACCGGAAGTTGAAGGTCGGTGATCATGATCATGATTCATCAATTGCCTCTTGAGCTCTATCTAATTTGCACAGTGTGACCATGTACGACCAATGTGCTCGACATGCCGACGCTCCCGTAAAATATGTGATTACCAGACAACTCACAGAACGCCATTGACCAGAAGGTAGAAAGGATCGTCAACAACGAACGGGCCAAACATACTAACGTCGGGGTTTGATTCCAGCTACGTAAACCAGATTGAACAGGAGCTTGCTGAAGCAAGAGCTCTTCTGCAAGAAAACGGCAGCCGAACGTCCAATGGCCCAGGTTCCACGCCCGGCGACGCGGTCGGCGACGCAGCCGGCCATTTGGAAAGTGAGCCACACTTGCACGCGTCTCGCTCAAGAAGCCCTGGTATTAGATCCAGGGCATACCACCTAGAGGTATGGGCATCGGAAACATATGGCACACATGGAAGAGCCCGGTCTGAATAGGTCTAGATAGCCCTCGGGTCAAGAGTCCACGATACGATGCGTTCTCATGCCGCCCGAAGATGGGCCACCATCATTCACGTTTGAATGGGACGAGCGGCGAGATGCGGTGAACAGCGCATCGTCCAATACCCATTCAACAAATGATTCTGCGAGAGGTGGATACTTTGGTACGTTTCAGACTTATCTATGGATGCAACTCGTCAAATTTTCTAATGGCACCTTAGGAATTGCTTCAACAAAGGCATTCCTCCGCATCATCGGCGTGCGAGAGGATGAGTATCACCATCCAGTTCATCACCAAACTCCGCTCACGAGTTCATGTGAAAAGAAACTGTCCCTTCTGGGTGAGCATATCGATGCTTATTTCGCGTGGTGTCACCCTTTATACCCCATCATACATGAAGCGACCTTTCGAGCTCAGATGATGGAGCTGGTAGCTCGGCCGTCTGTGACAATTTGGAAGATGCTCCTTTACACCGTTGCCGCTCTCGGGGCATTTTCCATATCCACAGAGAGCGAACGAAGTGATATGGCCCTTTTCGACGTTGCCAAGGCACAATTTTCCCATGAGATCATGGAGATGGGAAACATGTCCCTTGTCCAGGCATTGTTGTTGATTTCGATCTACCTGCGAAAGCGATACAACTTGAATTCCAGCTATAATTACCTGGGCTTGGCTAATCGGGCTGCAATGGGAATCGGGCTCTATAAGGAGTTCCACTCTTCTACCAGCGAGCCTTTCTTCCGGGAAACGCGGCGGCGCCTGTGGTGGTGCTTATACAATCTGAACCTCGAGGTGTCCATTGCATACTCCAGACCGCAGGATTTGCCACAAAGGGAGATCGAAGCTCATTACCCTCTTAATATACATGACTTGGTTAGTGACATTCGTTGATCTGGTGATCTCATTGGAGCCCTTTATAATAGGTTGCAGGATTTGAACCCGAACACTAGCTCCGTGACAGCTGAAGCGAACAATTCGACGCTTTACTCGTCTTTGAAGTTTGGAGCAGCATTCTACTTTGCTATCAGCAGCATTTACCCGCGAATCATCTCAGGCCCTTATCCATATGCAAAGGAATTGCTCCTCTTTGACGACTCTACGACCAGCGCCTGGGAAACATCACTTCCATCCTTCTTTCGCACAAACGTCCCACAACCCCCCAATTATGTCTTCTGCCACGCCATCCTTCACTGGCGTTGCTTGAACTTTCGAATACTGATGTACCGGCCATTTGTCGTCTGGCTCTTCATCATGCGGTATCGCAATAATCCACCCAAAGAACCGAGGGATCCAGCCTCTGTTAATACCGCCATCACTCGCTGCATGAAAGCCGCAGAAGAGTCAATCAGCACGATCTCGGATTTCTGGAACTCCCATACTCAAAACGCACTCACGGGTTGGTACGCGCTGGACTTCATTTTCACCGCCGTCTTGATACCAGCTATGTGTCTTCGTTATGACTCAGGCTCAGCACAGGTACCTTCATGGAATTTACAAGTCCGAAAGGCTGTGAGAGTTATTGAGTCTATCACTTTGTTCAACAGTTCCGCATCGCACGGCCTCCGTATCATTAAATCTCTATACAAGGATCCTGATTCTCAGGAGACCGAGCATGATACGTTGGTTTCAAACTCGGCAGAGTCTCAGTTGCAAGACTCTATTCCTCATCCAACGACAGGAGTTGAAGACTTTTTCCCGTCAACGCCTGACATATTGTATGTTCATCCCTGTCCATTCGATTTTCGTAGATAATGCTAATAAACGGTTTTTGACCTGACAGTCAGAATTATCATATCTGGGATCATTTTGATGCGTTTGCTGAACGCTGAAATTCCAGGTTTCTTGGCCTGTTCAACTCAATCTATCAACTTGCCTTGGACATTATCATCAAAAAGAAGAAGAAAAAGAGAACTCGGTCACCATTACATGGAACCTTTTCATCAGACCTTGCTCGATGCCAAGTTTCAATGATGGACTCATGCTGCATGCATCCATCCATGGATACTTCCTGATATGACTCAGCCCTCGGTTCTCTGATCCCCAGCGACCCATCTCGGTGAGTCTGGACGCCCACACAGGGAGCCACTAATAATTTGCTTCATGGGTGCTCGGGAATGGAATTCGGACATTGAGGCCCGAGATCCGAGAACCGGGACGCTATGCGATCCGATCATTAGACTTGCACACTTCGGACACCTCGTCCGAGGTCCAACATGATCCCTTAGCCAATGAGGGAGCTGCAGCTTGACTGAAAATCAACTAAAGCTTTTGGTTTGCACTATCCCGACGATTTCCGAGCTGTGGCTTCTATCCTCATATACGGAGTACCTGAGGGGAGTGATGTGAAATGTCTACACTATTACTAGTGATTGTATGATTTGAAGTTGGAGCAAAACGAAAATACAGCGAATTTACTTGACACACTATGCCAAGTAATCAGTGATCATCCAATGGCCTTGGGTGCATGGTGCATCTTGGAGATTTAACGATTCCAGTTTTTATATAGATCTGAGTCACCTGATCTTGGAAGTCCAAGCTGAGTCAGCCTTCGTCAAGGTGGTAAAGAAGACCCCACTCGACATGCGAGTATCAATCTAACTAAATATCTCTTTGATGTACTCATATACTCCGTAGAAGTATCAACCATTGCAGCCTGATTCTGCGGGAATTACCAGACTGAATCCTCACCCACGTAGCGGGCTTGAAACCATCGCAGCGTAGTCTCAGTATTCTCCGCATCACATCGGAGATATTGGCGGGGATCCTGACACCATCTCCAATTCAGATCCCGCCACATTTGTTCTCTCCCTCTCCTTCTCTTCAATAATTTCTCCAATTGAAATCTCCCTCTCTCAATCCTCGCCCTCAAAGAATCCAGACACCAATCGCAATGGCTCAAAAAAAGCAACCCCCCAAGCGGAGTAAGCATCCAACCCCAAGTTGCCAACCGCAAAGCAAACCACACCCTAACATCCAATCCAGTCTGGGCATCCCTAATAACAAACCTCTCATACCTCCCGGGCCTCCTAACCCTCCACCACTCCCTAAACAACCCCACCCCAGACCCCAAAGCCGACCCCACTGCAAGCCAAGGCACGAAATACCCATTCGTAGCCCTCTACACCTCAACCTTCCCAGCCGAAGGCCTCAAAATCCTCGAAGCACGCGGTATAACAGCCCAACTAGTTCCCTCCGTGACACCAGCCATCACGAGGAAGTACGCGCAAGACCCCCGGTTCGCGGAAACATGGCACAAGCTCGTCGTCTTCTCTCTTGAAGAGTACGAGCGCGTCGTCCTACTAGACGGTGACATCATCGTCCGTCGGAATATGGATGAGCTTATGGATCTACCGCTGGAAAAAGGACCACTTGCAGCGGCGCATGTTTGCGCTTGTAATCCGATGAAGAAGGCGCATTACCCCGCGAACTGGTATGTGAGCGAAAAGCAAGTTGCGAATCGCGAATTGTGAAAGACTTAGAGATATCTCATGTCGAGATCCATGAAGCTATGATTCTAACGCGCCGCAGGAAACCCGAGAACTGCGCCTACACAACGCAGCACTCGACATCCTCAACGGCGCAAACTACAGCGCCGACTCCCTCGTCCGGAGTCGGGATGCTCAATAGCGGGGTTCTGGTAGTGCAGCCGTCAGCGCAGAGCTATAGCGAGATTACAGCTGCGTTACAAGAGACTGAGCGGATTGAGAAGTACATATTCCCAGACCAGGATTTGTTATCTGATGTGTTTCTGGGGCGGTGGGTATCGCTACCGTATGTGTATAATGCGTTGAAGACGTTGCGGATAGAGGGGGTGCATGATGCGATTTGGAGAGATGAGGAGGTGAAGGCTGTACATTATATTTTTGCTACGAAGCCGTGGCATGAGACGCAGCGGGAGGGGGATACGGAAGGACTTGATGAGACGGGGGTTTGGTGGTGGAGGGCTAATTGGGAGAGGATGGGGAGGGAAGGGAAGGCTGGGATTGAGGATCAGTTTTCTCGGGGTTGATTTGGGGATTGGGGGAGAAGCAGTTAAGATGATGGTTAGAGGTGGAAATAGAGATAGATGGTTCATGTGTTTATGTGTTTGTGTATAGATTTTGTTAAGTATTGCTACTGTATCAAGTTAAAATGGTCATATTGATATCGACATTCAAAAGTCAAGTGAGATAGCTCCTGTAATGCATATTCGCAGGTTAACCAGAGTATGTCCGTGATTTGCATCGACACCGTCAACGTCGCTTTCATTTGTACAGCTATTTAACCTTCATACCCGACAGCAGAGAGATCTTTCCGCACCGCGTCCTCGGTCTGAATCTTCTTCATTTGCGTATCCTCCAACTTCTCGCCGCCTGCAAGACGCATCTTCAGCTCATCGATAGCACGGATCTTCTTCAGGAGACCACGAATCTTCTTATCTTGAGCAGAGGGGTCCTCAACAGGCGCGGGTGCGGCAGGTGCCGGGGCGGGAGCAGCCGCGGGAGCAGGGGGAGTAGACTTGGCAGGACCGTTGCCATTGGGGGCATTCTTGCCGCGGCTACGGCTGCGGTCTGGGCTGGGGCCAGTGGGCGCATTGGCAGGGGGAGCGTTCTCGCCATCCTCCTTGGACTTCTTAGCGGCCTCGCGCTTCTTCTTGTTCTTAGCAGCGGACTTGGACAGGTTCTCGGCAGGCAGGGCAACGCCGCCACCGGGAGCGGCTCCAGGAGGCAGGTACTCCTCCGAGGGCTCAGCGCCGGGGATCTCACGGCGACGGGGCTTTCCGAAGCCGTTCATGCTGGCGCCGGGCACGCCGTCGCGAACAAAGGCGGCACCACCTTCGTCCTCACGCTTGAAGGCGAGGGGAGTCAGCTGGCCACGTGCACCGGGGGGACGGTAGGCGCCTGCGGGCTTGACGGGGGCCTTGCGGGTGCCCATGTAGGCTGTCGCGGAAGGATGGGGTGCGGGAAGCTTGGTGAGCGGCTCACCCAGCGGGTGTTGATCGATGCTCTGTGGGCGCCAGGTGACGTCGTAAAGCTCGGTCATTTCTTCATTGTACATGAGACCTCCGCTCAGGTGCCAGATGCGCACACCGTTGTCGACACGCAGGCGGGGGCTGGTCGTCGCAGTCAGAATGTACTGTCCGTCGGGGGACCAGGCACACACGCTGGCGTTGGAGGCTTCGACAGTGGTGATCTTGTGGTAGTTCTTATCCATGTCGTAGAGATCCATCTGACCAGCCAAGTTACCGAAACCGGCAACCAGCACAAATCGACCGTGCGGGGAGAATTGAATGGTGTTGCGGGGGGCGAGAGGGAAGTTGTGCTTGGGCACACCGCGGAAGTTGAAGATGGTGGTCTTAGCAGGCATGTAACCGTATACAACACCGAACTCCTTGGAGTTGGGGTTCCAGCTCACATCGTGAATAGGACCTTCCTTATCTGTTCGATCATTAGTAAACAGACATTCAACATAAATTCAAATCTTGACATACCAAGATCAATACGCGAGTCGAAAGCGCCGCTGGCACTCAACAAGTATAGAGTAGTCTCGCCGTAGTAACTCTTGCCAGTGCGATCAACTTCAGTCTGCGCAAGCACAATCAGAGTAGTTCCGGACGCGTTCCACTTCAGCTGAACCTTGTCACCCTTGAAGAAGCTCTTCTGGGAAACAGGAGCAGAGAACTGTGGCACGATGAACACCTTGACCTGAGCGGGCTGACCCTTGCGCTCGGGGATGAACACCGCAATCGACTGGGTCTGACCGGGCGACAGGGCAAAGTCCGACACACCCTCGACACGCAACTTGTTCCAGACAGTGGACAGGTTGTCACTCTGGTAGAACTGGACCTCGTTGGTGACAGTGCGGGCGCACAACTTCTCATCGGCGGAGTATTGCAGGTTCCAACCGGTCTGCGACTTCTGGACAAAACTGCCCACGACCGAGTGTTCATCTCCGGCCTCAATGGCACGCCACACCTTCAAGTTCTTGACGGCGTCTCCGTTCGCATCCTTAGACGTGCGCTGCCAGGTGATCACGTAGGTACCGAGCGGGGAGAATCCCAGCTCGAACACGTTATCGGCGGGGATGGTTCCAACGACGTGGCCAACGGAGGGGTCAATGATGGTGACCCTAGCGACAAAAACGATGTTAGCATGTGACATGACAGAACGAAGATGAAGCGGGATCGGCTTACTTCTCGGGCGATGCCCAGGCGTAGTACCGGCCACACGGCGAGTAGGCGCTACAGCGGAGGTTACCCTCTGGTCTAACAGACGGTCAGCGATTATTCTCCCCATAGATTCAGAGCTGGACTTCTCACTTCACGAATCCCGACAAAGGCTCATAGACGGGAGCAGCATCCATGATGCCAATGCCCTTGAGCGTGCGGTCTAGAAAGCACGTCAGCGATAATCCAGTGGTACATCCAGTGCCAGTATCTCCAGTTGATCCAACATCAGAAACAAAGGCCCAGAGAAAGGGAATCACGCACAAGCAAGTTGCGTAGGAGCTGCCATGTTGATCTGAATTCGCAAATCTAGGAAAATCCACCGAATGAACCGAAATCGCAAATCTAGGAAAATCCACCGAATGAACCGAAATCGAAATGTATTCCAACAGAAGCGCAGAGGCGGGTCTCAAAATCACGAGGCGCGAGTCACTGAGCGACGTTTAAAGGCCAAAAATAACCCTGAAAGCAGGTTAAAAGGATCGTGGAACAAAGCGTATCGAAAGGTCGAGAAATCGCGGACGCGTTCAAAAAAACGGTGACAGTAGGAATTGAATCGGAAATGAAGACTGCTAGACAAGTCAATGCCAGCAAAGGGGTCGAGGGTGGTTTGGAGGTGGGGAGGATGAAGAGTGAAGAAAGAAAATTCGGGTGTTGTGAAGTGGCTCAGATGCCGTCATCTACCTAAGGCGGCGAGCGATCTATAAAAGTGGTGATATCGTCTGGATAGGCATATATCTAAGGGATCTATACATATTTGTACTGTAATTAACATGATTCTCCGTTAGAGAATGACTCTCATTCCTCTTTCAACTTGTTTCGACAGTCTACACGCAAAAAGAACAGGTGGCAATGTGGAGGGGAACAGGTCCAACCACAAAGAGTGCAGAAACAACCACGATCAGATCGTCTTTCACGCCTCATCTTTGATCTCTCTTGAAACAGATCATATAATTTCAAATTCGTCATCTGTCTGAGAGTCATTCTCGTATAACTACAAGCCATTGAAAGTGTCATAACCCTCCACCGAAACAACATCACCATTAAACTAAAACGCCATCGTAACAAGTCTTAACCAACTCGATTTGCAAAAGCAGATTCTAATCCCGACCCGGTGATCCAATCCCATTGCCACCAGACGGCGTAGCCATGCGCGGCGTGCGAGCAGTAGTATCAACCACATCCGGATCAAAAGTCATCCCGTCCACCATGCGGGCATCCTCACTCAAGGGTTCCGGTGTACTCGAACCCGCAGGCGATGGCGAGACCATCGATCGCTCCCCAGCATGATACTGCTGTTGCTGGAGATACGAAGAGAGAGCATTGGGACGACTTACATTCGAGCTCATGGAAGGAGGACGGTTCCCATGGCCCGAGGAAATGCGATTCAAGCCCGGGGGACGAGAAACTGGACCGCTGATGGTACTATTTGCGCCCTCGCCGAAGCCAACGAGACTAGCGTTGCTTTCACTGACATTGCCGACGCTGTCCGTCTCGTCATCGTGGTCCTCGCTCATTTTGTCGGCGTCATAGACATCGCTGCTACTGGCCCAGGTGGTGCGACCGGCGAGACTGCCAGTCGCACTGGCGCTGCCGACGGTGCTGCGCTCTTTCAGCGCTTGGCTCTCGAAATAACCGGGGGCATGCGATGGGGGGATTTGGGATGTCTGGTTGCCGGCGCGGGCTGTGGCGACGCGCTCCAGGCCGGCGAGTCGTGAGATACGATCTGCGCGTTCGGCTTCTAGGGTTGTAGCTGATGAGGTGGAAGAGTGGTGGGCGTGACGACCGTGGGGGAAATGGCCCTGATGGCCGTCTTTGATGGCGGTGGTGGAGAGGGCGGATAGGGAGGTTGTGCCGGAGTTAGGGGTGCCTCTGATTCCCCCACCCGTTGGTTAGTATTGATTTCCTCATCGCTTTCACATGGAGAAATTGAAGGTCTTACGGTCCCATCTCAGACGGGGTGACCGGGTCCGATGGGGGAGGTGGCAAGTTGATTAGAGTAGGAGTGGTCATGATGTGTGTAGATTGGATGTAGATTGAGATATGAGATGAGAGATGGAGAGATGGAGAGAGGAGAGGAGAGAGAGAGAGAGAGAGAGATAAAAGTAAGCGGAGAGCTACAAGGTCAGCACCAAAACGACAGTGTATTTAAAATGAAAGGGAAGTTGAGAATCAAAAAAGAGGTCTAAATAATTAATTCCGACGTCATCTTCCGTCTCAAGAACCAATAGTCGTTTCACGGTATTTCCATTACCTCGTATCGTCTTTACTGTCCATTCATACATAGAAACAGTCCTGCTGTTCACTTGCGATTCTCATAGCTTCCTCGTAAGTCATCTACCTCTTTTTGCAGCTTCGTGAGGTCCGCCAGGATGTCCAGCGCGTTAGACGGTGGCTGGTTTTCCACTTCGGGCGGTACACTATCACTACTACGGATCATAGAGTCTCGCGTGCGCCGCGGCGGAGGGAGGCGGAGGGGGTCCTGTAGAGCCCGCGGCAGTTCCCGGAGTACCGTAAGAGGAGGCACGCCGTCCGGCTTTCAGTGAAGACGGTCTAGAGGTGGGAGGAGGGGAGAGGTTGGAGGGAACATCCGCCAGGGGAGTGATCGGTTGGAAATCTCCCAAAGATGGCGGGGGCATACTGAGCCTGTTGCGTGCAAGAGACCGAGTAGATGGAGTCGACAGACCCGGACTGGGAGGACGAGAGCCATCATTACTCCCTGAGTCGCGCTCGTATGAAGACATGGTTAATCGATGATGTTTCGACTGTGTAGACTTGGATCTCCGCATTTGACTCTGCCGTCGACTGAGCGGCGGTGTCGGCGGGCGTTTGTTCTGGGAATGACTGCGTGTGAGCGAACCCGTGGGTTCCGTCGCTCGGTGGTTGTCCACTGAACCCGAGTAGTCCGCGGTTGATGGCAAAGACACCGTGCTAGGGTGTAAGCCCCCGGGCATCAAACTGTGAGGGGAGCCATGAATGGACAGACGGTTTGTCGATTGAGACCGTCCGGTTTCTGGGGGTTCAGCAGTCGTAGAGCTGATCCTCCGTCCATGATGGCTTTTCGGCGGAGGGGGTGGCTTCTTGTCTCTGCGGCTGGGCGGGCTGGTACTTGCTTCCAGCCTGGAGCCTGGCTGTACTGGCTGACGTACGTGTATTGCGTGATGGGAGGAGTCCGGAGACGGATGTGTGTCAGGGGCTGTGCCCCCTACCGAGCGCATGTTGCGGTCGGGTGAACTGGACGATGTGGAGGATCCATCTGGCGATGGAGCTTGGTGTGGAGCGGACCCAAAGGATGGTGGACGATCATCGGGAGCTGACCAACGGGTCTGTCGATTGTGCTCATCGCTTTCGCTGGCCGACAGGTCTGGGTTGAATGGGTTGTCGTCATCGGAGCTCGAGCTCGAGTCGTTTACCTCGAGCTCGAGGGGGATTGACGACTTCCCGTCACCGTCGGAGACGGTCGGTGGGGTAAATTGCGACTTGAATATATCAGGGGCAACATTTGAGGGTGAGGGCAAGACGGATTCGGGGGATCCTGTCTCATAGTCCCATCAGCATCTAGCTCTCCCGGTGGTATTGTGCTTGGGCTTGGGATTAAACGGGGAGTGAAGAAGCCAATGCAGGGTATACTCACCCAGATTTCTGCGAAAAGGGTTTGATCCCGCCATCGCCAAGGGGTATTGAGACTCAAAGATGGAGGGGAAGAGGAGCGGCTTCCCCGCCATGTTATGTTCTACACGCCGCTTTCCGACTTGAGGCGTCCGGCTGTCCCGGTTGTTACAATGTACTTATTGGACTTATTGTCCTTAATGTCCATAACGTCCATGTCCAAGCCCAAACCCAAACCCAAATAATAATATAATAATAGCAGTCAATTTGAATGGTCCCTATTGTACAGGGAAAGTATGATACAAAAATAAAAATAAAAGAACGCTCCTCAAACCCGATATAACCCGGTAAAAGATAGTATCCCTCCCAATTTCCCAGCTTCAAGCCCTTTCCCCTTAATATATCACCGCTCATTATAGACATGCCACGTCTCTTCGTCCTCGAAGAACTTATGTGCTAGACGTTTGCCACTCTCGGTAGGCTGGCTGAATGCAATTTGATCCTTGGTTATTTCCATGCCGTAGATAAAGTTGATGACCACGCAGTCGAGAAGATCCAGGGCGATCCCCTTACGCCGCGAGGATCCGGAGGTCCAGATGCGAGAGACGCCAACAATGGCCGGGTGCACTTTATCTTGAGTGGAGACCGAGGAATTGCTCGCGCCATTTTGGTCCTTGGCGACCGGTCGCGATTCCCAGATGCGCTCCGTCAGGCAGAGTCCCACGCAGCGGCTATCTTTCATATGGAGGAAGACCCGATACCGGTCCACTTTCTCGGTCGTGCCATCTTGTAAATGTTTCGGGGGTTCCGTCTGGCTCCAGAGCGTCTCGTCATCGATCTCCGGTGAGGAGAGCTCTTTGCTGACCACCTCTAGGACTTTCTTCGCCTGGCTCTTGGCACTGGGCGACGCTTTACGGTCGACAATCACCACGTAGCCTTCGTCAAACCGAGTCGCTTCGTAGATCCAGCGCGAGGCGTTGGCGCGCAGGAACGCCTTGCCCAAGTCGATTCCGGTCGCGTTCATCTCGTGGAATTTTTTGTGCAATGCCGCGTCTTCCGTGTTGGAAGGAATATATTCCATGCCGCAGGTGGCACAGGTCTTTCGTGTATCGGTGCCCAGGTCGATCTGCATCTGGCGCAGGACGGGCGGCTTCTGGCCCTTTTGCTTGGGCGGATCCGCGGGTCGCACGGTGTTGGAGTTGACTTCCGTCAGCGGCGACCCGGCCGGCGCGTCCTTGTGCTTGCGCTTCAAGAAGGAGAAGGTGGGCTTGCGCGTATTTGCTGGCGGCGGGGTGAGCCGTGGGGGTGGCGAGGACGGTGGTGTGGTGAGATCGTCTATATCGTCGAGGGTGCCTTCTGATAAAACCACGGAGTTGCGACGCGACGGGCTGGACAGCACGGCGGCGGACGATTCCCGGATAGCATATTGGAGGTTGGCTTCAGCTTCATCCGACTCATCTTGCACGCGTCGCTTTTTGGAGGCGCGCTCGTCATCGTAGACGCGCCATGTCGGTCTTCCGTATGTTTTCATAAGGCCTCTGTGGGAATGGGGTTAGCTTTGGTTCGCCTGTTGGGGGTCATCCACGGTACCTCTTAAATGAATTGGTCACTGTCCACGGCATGGCCCTGTATTCCAAAAAGTGACAGACATTCAAAGGTGGGATGAAGTTGAGAAATTGGCAAGTTTACACCTGACGGCACGCGCGGGACGCTAATCTCTTTTAGGACATATTGTTTCGGTGACTAACGGGCTTTCTTACCTTTCCTTGACGTCTTTTCTGATGAACAGATGAAGCTGAATATGGAGAGGATGAAGATGAAGATGAGGATGAAGATGAAGATGGAATATTGATGGAAGTGGGAAGGAGGGAAGATAATCCAGAGAGAGAGAGAGAGCAAGGTAGTAATAACAACAGAAATCCTCTCGCCACCGGAATTATGAGTAAGGGGATCTTATACTGTTGCAAGATGAAGTTCTTCACCAGCCATCTCTTTGTGTTTAAATTCCTGACTTGTTGGTATGCTGGGAACATTGCCCCTTTCTCCTGTCAAACAGAAGCTCCGCGCAAGTCCACACGGCTCCCACTTCCCTCAGCCAATGGGACTATTGGGTAGGACTGACTCTGACGGGAGATTAAAATATGACGCCCTTTTGTGGTGCCAAGGCACCCTCATTGACTCCCAGTGAGAGTCAGGATACACTGATTTGTGCTTGCTGCCTTCACTCCACGGCAACCTGCTACCGGCTCTACTCGTTCCCTATGCTACCCTTGCTACAGAGTACACCTGCTACACTGCCATCCCAGCCCCAAGTACGAAGTACGGAGTACGCCTCACTGAGCACCACTTGCCAACACGAAGGATTGGCTGATTGGGCGTCAGAGATCATCCCTCCACACTGATTGGCTCCCACGAGGGGGACCTTAACCAGCACGTTACGAGAACCCAAAAAGGCCCCCAGATTTCACCTCATGGGTCGAGTACATAGAGTTCACTGGACTCGGTGGCAACTCAGCTTCTTGGCCGTGCCTATCGAGGTTTGTTCGGTCGCTAACACAACTGGGTCCCCCAGAGGGCCTTTCGTTTCAGAATAAGCATAGAGAGACCTCGCACGCCTAATGGGGTTTCTGCTCTGGGATGTGGTCATTCGTATCACCTTCAAGCCATTCATGGCCGCGGGATTAACGCTGACCCGGATTCATCACTGCTCATTCGACTGGCTTCCAGCGGACCCCCGAGGGAGAGATGGAGCAGGAACCAGTCGGATTGGGTTGCGCGAGGTCACCAACGCAACTTGCAGTTGTTACACATACTCATACTCATCATTTGGTCTCGATCAAGTCGATCTTCCCCAGGCAGAGATCCCCAGAGCGCGTCCAGCTTCATCCATTATGATTGGGATGAACGGAAGACTGAGTTCAACACGCAGTGTCAGGTCTTTTGTGGCGAAGCTACCAGGATACTGGTACCCTCCTTCTCTCTGGTCACCATGATCTGGTACAGTAAGATGTAGAACTTCCAGAGACTCTTTCTTCCACAAGACCCAAATTCTGTCAGTCCATACTCGTCCAGGCTAGAGGAGACGATCCCGGCGGCAGATTGACAACGGTGCCTGGAGCTAGTGCTCACTATGCTCGCAATGGGGTATCACCGAAACGGTCAGAGCCAAAAGTTCCGAAAAAATAGCGGTCAGATTGTAAGCGTGCATTTTCAGTCCCGAAAGAAGGCTTCGGTATACGAAGTAGTTCGAGGTCAAGTTCAAGTTCGAGAGCAACAAGGCGAGGAAACTCCGCTCCGCAGTCCGGCCCGAGTCTTGCCCCCAAAAACTTTTCTGCTAAAATTCTTCAACTTCCAACAACCCAACTCAATCCCAAAATGTCGGAACAAGAACAAGCTGCGGGCAAGAGAAAGCGTGCGAGTAAGTTCACACCTGTTTGAATTGTTTTCTGGTTCTTTGGTGATCTGTCACCCCCCTTGCACTGTACACACATGTTCGGACAATTCAACTCCGCACTTGCAACCGCGTTGGGAACCCAGTCACCAGTGGCCAACGAGTAAGGGGCGCAAAGAGGGACTGGTTCTTCAAAGGAGCTAGTTCAAAATTGGGCTGTGCAACCTTTCGGGTCGATTTGCCCCCCCGACCTCCTCGCCTCTTACCCCTCCTGCATACTTTTTGCATCTCCAAATGTCTAACGGTTTATCTACAGGGACCCAGTCGTGTCCTCCTCCGGAGCTCCCTCAGCTCGTCGCGGAGCAGCATGTGGCCATTCCTTCGCATGACAAGGACACCCAGCGCCTGATCGTGGTGCTCTCCAATGCCAGTTTGGAAACCTACAAGGCTGTCTCCAGTGGCCGTAGTGGCACCAAGGATGAGAAGTTCTCTCTGCTGAACAGCGATGAGCACATCGGCATCATGCGCAAGATGAACCGTGATATCAGCGAAGCTCGCCCCGATATCACTCACCAGGTACGATTCAACATCGCCCGGGTCATCTGAGTCCAACGCACTATATGCGAAAGAGACGATTCGTAAAAACGAAACAAACACATAAAATGACTGTCCACTAACCGACCCGTAGTGTTTACTGACCCTGCTTGATTCTCCCGTCAACAAGGCCGGTCGTCTCCAGATCTTCATTCACACCGCCAAGGGTGTCTTGATCGAGGTCAACCCCTCCGTCCGCATCCCCCGTACCTTCAAGCGATTCGCCGGTCTCATGGTGCAGTTGCTTCACCGTCTCTCGATCCGCTCCACCAACTCGCAGGAGAAGCTGCTCAAGGTCATCAAGAACCCCATCACCGATCACCTGCCGCCCAACTGTCGCAAGGTCACTATGAGTTTCGAGGCCCCCTTGGTGCGCACCCGGGACTACTTGGAGTCTCTGAAGCCCAATGAGAGCGTCGCCATCTTCGTCGGTGCCATGGCCAAGGGCCACGATGACTTTGCCGATACCTTCAAGGATGAGAGCATCAGTATCAGCAACTACAGTCTCAGTGCCAGTGTGGCGTGTAGTAAGTTCTGCCACGCGGCCGAAGAGGTTTGGGATATTCTGTGAGAATTCTCCGGTTGAAAATGCCCATCGCGCCCATTGAGTGCGCGTCTGTGTCGTCGTCGACGGCACACGCCTTTTGGCTCTGGATTTCTTCCGGGCGGAAATGAGTCACGTTGAATGAATTGCTCCTGTAAACCTACTGTGTAGGCTTTGAGGGAGTGACTCTTTCGAGTGTTTTCCGGCTGTTGATTTCTTTCTTTTTGTTTTTCCAAGAAAAAAACGCCCCCTCTGCCTTCTTATGTCTTTCTCTGTTTTGTTTTCAGGGGAATCTTATATATAGACGGCAACTACAAGCATCGGGATTCATCCCAGATCGCAGTGTTTGTCTGCTTTGGGGTTGAGAGGACTGACGGGTCTTCTCCCTCATCTCAGCACACGGGTTGGATGGCATTTGGTTCCTTTTCGCCAGTCCTAATCCTTGAGCTTCCATTGTTAGTCTTCCGACTGCGATGCGTTGACCAGAAAAAGTGAACAACACACAGATCGGGGCCTATTGAGGATCCTGAGAGGCACATATCTTGAATTTGTGTTGAATATTATTATGATTTATTTATTCCTGTTCGATTAGTAGTGTAATATGATGTAGTATCAAGCAGTTGGGTCAATTCAAGGTTGATATGTTCGGTGCTCTCCTGGGCTATTACCTTCAATACCCTCGAGTCTAGTTCTCTGGATACTCCCAAAGTTCCAAGGTTGCTACCTCGGTATATACTATATACAATGGAGTCATCGTACATTGAGTAGCGTAGGAAGTAACTAATTATTCCGTAGCGCAACGGTATAAGCTACGTATCTTTGGCGACGTGGCACGCCTCACTTTGAACCCACGAATCAGACTAGTTTCATGCACCTCTGCCCAGAGGATCTTAGAATTGAGGGAGTAATAAGATGATATGACACTCCTATCATCTGAAATGAAATGACTCAAAGACTAGACCGTAGACCGTAAGATAGTATAACCTCCAAATAGCCATGGAGTAGTCATCCGAGTAGTCATCAACAGTGGCGGTCAGCACACCTCCCATTTCTCACTTCGGTCGGTACTTCCACTTCCACCAGAATTTCCCTTTGGCCCCTGCCCTGCTCCACTGCGAGGTCGCTATTTGCTCCGTGCAGGAACAAGTAAGCATGCCCACTTAACCCGCTTAACCTTCATAGGCCTATATGCACGGCCTGAACAGACGCCCCATCCGCCATGACCAGAGCCCACTTGGACTCCCCGCGATGACCTGGCAGCAGGGTTCATCCAATCGCCGTAGCCACAGGCGTCTCACCATTCAAACGGAGATTGGGCTGCACATCCGAAAGCAGCCAGGAACAGGAAGACCCTTTCCTCACTACCGGCAGTGGCCTATCAAGGCCCAACGGGTCTCATCTCGCCTCGTTTTTTTTTTTTTTTTTTCTACAGCAAAGGAAAAAACCCCCAAAAAAGAGAGAATGAGGATTGGCAGTGCCTGTTTCAACCGGTGCCGATCGCTAGATCGGAACTGTACTGGACAATGAGTTGATCGTGGCCAATCCTGTCCCACTCGCCCCAACTCCGGACAGGAAACCGGAAGTTCCACCTCTTTGGAGGGGCTGGGCTCAGAACATGCGGTGTTCTTTGACTTGGGCAGGATTTCAGGAGATTGCTCTTTTAGGATTAGAGTCACACGGCGGTTCGCATTTGGCAAGCTTCGGGTCTTGTGTCATACTCCGTACTTGGTGTCCACGTCCATAGACCCCCCCCTTCACCGTATATATCCTCCTTGCCTGCAATTTACTCTTCATCCTCTCGTTCGATTCTTAATCTATTTATTCATTCGGTCCTCTCTCTCGTTTGCGACCTGCATCCAACACACAATGCCTGTCTCGCACATCACTCTCACGGTCTCCCACCTTCCGACCTCGACCTCCTTCTTCTTATCATGTCTGCAACCATTGGGATACCAGTTCATTGGCAGACATGACGACTATATAGGTTTCGGTCAGAAGCAGGGGGAGCCTGCTGATTTCTGGATGACTGAGACTAAGCCTGGGTAAGTCGGCGCAAAGGATGAGTAGCAGTGTATAGAGACAGCAGAAAGCTCATCTTTCATATAGAACTCCTCCCGGTGCTGTCCATGTCGCCTTCCCAGCCCCGTCGAAAGACGCAGTCGGCTCGTTCTTCATAAGCGCTCTCAAAGCAGGCGCGAAGATACATGGGGAACCCAAGGAGCGAGATTCGCAATCTGGGTACTTCAGCGCGGCCGTCATCGACTTCGACGGCAACAGCATTGAAGCCGTGTACCGGCCCGAAGTGTCGTCCGCTGCGTCGGCCATCAGCGGGCCCACCATGGCTCTGCTGGAGGATTCAAATCGATCCGTGGTTTCGAAGGCAAGCAGCAGAGCCAGCACCGTCAAGGCAGAGAGCGTCGCCCCGCGATCCGAAGCAGGATCCGTGGCCAGGTCCGAGGCCAAGTCTCGTGCAGTTTCCAAGGCGCCCACGGCCGTGTCCAAGGCTCCTACGGCCATTGAGCGGTCTGCTCCAACTGTCGTCTCCCGTGCTCAGGCCCCAGCCCCGTCATACGTCGTGCAGGCAGCGCCGGTGCAGACTGATGACGGTAGCAAAGCAGCCAAGACCATCGTTGGCACGCTCATTGGTGCTGCTGCTGGTGCCGCCATCGCATATGCCATGGTCAAGGGTGACTCGCAGTCTACCGCGGAAGACACAAGGAGCCAGCCTCAGCAGTTTCCCACGGACTTCCCGCAGATCAAAGCCGCAGCCCAATCCTTCTTTGGCGGCGGCAACAACAACAACAATGGCAACAACTTCCAAGAGCAAGACCCCCAGCAATTCCGTGCCATTGAAGCACCGCCCCCGCCTCGCAGCGTCTACTCCGCTGCCTCAAACCCGCGCTCAACGCTCTCCCGCAGCGTTAGCTCCAAGAACCCCCGCGCCAGCACCATCTACGAAGGCACTGAATACTACCACGGTGACAACGCCCGCCGTGCATCCGAAGGCTCAGTCTACACCATCCCCGAGGACACCCCTCTGCGCGCCATCGAATACCCACCCGCAAGCGCCGCCTCGCAGCAGCGATACCCATGCGCACCCTCCACCTTCATCAGCAGCTACCACGAAGACATGCCCCGCCACATGTCAACAGGCAGCGTGCACAGCGCCTCGACCGTGAAAGCCGCCTCCGCAACCCGACGTCACAGTCACGACGACAAAGACGGCTACTCAACCGTCAGTCACCGCAGTCAAAGCGTCCACAGCCAGCACAGCCAGCACTCGCACCGCTCCGTGCGCACCTCCTCGCACGCCGGACGCGAAAAGGAAAAAGACAACGCCAGCGTTGCGTCATCGAAATCAGCACGCAATATCCCATTGCCCGTCACCTCGACCCCTAGCTTCTATTCCAGCTCCAGCATTCACAGCAGGGACATCGCGATCGGACCCAAGGATTCCTACGTCAGCCCGTCAGACCACTACGGACCTAAGGATTCTTACATCTCCGCGCGCCATGTATTGCTGCCCGAAAGCGTGCTCGACGTCGACGTCGAATCAAATGTCTCGCCTGATGATTCGATCAGCCAGGCTGGTGGAAGATCCCACCATTCGCACCGCTCGCACCGCTCTCATCGATCCAGTCATTCGAAGAGGGAGCCTAGCGTGCACTCTAAGTCTGGTTCTCGCTTTGACGAGGCTGTTAAGCCGGCTGATTCGGTTAGTCAGGTCTCCAGGGCCTCACAGAGGACTGTCAAGGCTGAAGGTAGCAAGGCTGCTTCTAAGGCTCCTAGTCGTCGTGGTAGCCAGGTTGCTTGATCTGTTGCTGTGGTCACTTTGCCGCTTGCGCTGTAGCTTGCTGGTTCTGGTTCCAAGGTTGACACACCGGCCTCTCTCACTCACACCTTATTTTGCTGGATCTACTTGGACTCAGATTGTGTGTCCCGTACGAGATCCAGTTGCAGATTCTCATACGACAGATTAGATTTTTTGGTTTCTTTATTTTTTGGAGTTGGAAGACATTTTGGGTTGCTTTGCATTTACACAGATATATACATACATTTATGGAGTTGGGGCAAATGAATGCATTCTTGAAGCTATATGATATCGAAGATGAGCCGATCGCTTTCCATTTCCAAGTTTCCAAGGTTGTCCCTCGAGGTCATCGTGAGTCGTCCAATGGACACCAATTTGATATAACCAACCTAGGCACGTGCTCAGCTTCCAAGGTTAGGCCCCGGGGTACAGGACCATAGTCCTGCCCAACCTTGAAACCTTGGAAGTGCAGGTGGACCTAGGGGGGCTTGGACTTGGCCTGACGAGTTCGGCAATCAGCCCTGGAGTTAGCTCCCTCAGAGATGTTGATTTGGTATAGGCCATGTTCATGAACACATGCATTTCATATATGCCCCCGACCTCGGGCTCAACCAATGATTATCCCAAACTTGAGCCTCAGTCTACAGGCTACAATCTAACATATCAAAATCAAAATCGGAGCCAAATACTCCTGAACACAGAGACGGGCCTACCTGGATTGTGCTATTTACAGAAAAGTAAAGAAAGAAAAAGGTCGGTTCCCCCAAACGCCGGACAGATCACACAGCAATTCCAAGTCTGGAAGTGAGCGAGTCTACTGATTGGATACCGAAAGATCCCCGGAAGATATGGCATATCATCTACAGAGTCCCGGAGGAAGCGGTTGCGACTATGGCTGCTTTTGCGAAGGAGCGCCATGCAGGGTTAATTGAAATTACCCCTGATGACCAACCCAACCCTTACTATAGTCTGCCCACTGAGGCTTATATGCAATCACTCATCGACGCCGTATCGGGGGGCACACCTCACATCACTAAAGCTGCTGAAGTCACTGGCTCCTACATTGCTGTTCTCCCAAGCGAAGTCGCCGTCTCATCTTTCACCTGGTCTTCGGTCGCGAATGCTCTCGGGTACGGGGTGTATGAGGACCGTGTGCTGGTATTGGAAATACCAGCCTCATTAACCCGAGCTACAGTCGACATACTCGACCCCGCATCCTCTGGTATCTCCTTCAAGGTACAGACTGTGTTAGCGTCGGGAAGTGGCGGCTCGGCACGGACGGTCTCAGCGAGTACCAAAAGCTTACTAGCGGATGGACCAATCTCCAATGTTTGCTATGAAAGGAAAGGCAACACCATTATCTACAAAGCCGACGTCCTGATAACCTCCGCATTCGTGCGTCTCTTCATCGGCACGAAACAGCCCATCTTTGGAGACGTTCACGGAGGCCGATTTAGGTGCCAGGCGTGGACGACGAGGGTGTTGCGCACCACGAGGTCGTCAACTACATGGTTGAAGGGAATGACTTTTACTCTGGTTTTTACAAGTACACTGGTATTTGGCATGACACTTCTAAGTCCAATGCTGATTAGATCACTTCCCAGGGGGGTTCACAATGGTGTCCCAAACTCTGTCTTTTATTACATGGATTTCAGCCCCTTTTGCATTTGCAAGGATCTTTAATCACATAATTTAGCTAGTAATATACATGATGCAAACTAAGGATTCCAGCTCTTCTAGTCCGCAACAGAGATTGAACGCCTCCTAATCAGCGATTCATTGGAGGAAAATACTACGAGGTCAAATGCCCTTAGTCCAATCAAAGGTTCTTATTACCCGCTGGTGATGAACTACTGCAGAGCGCCCCAGCCACGTCAAGTCCCTCTGTCTGATTCCTCCTGCCTGTGACGGCCTGATTTAATCTTCCATCTTATGATATTGGCAAGGTTATATTTTTTGCTGGTCTACATTTGAATGAAGTATATTCAATTAAACTGTTACCACCTTCCCAATCAAATGTTGTTTTGATATTCCTCCCAATACTCAACAACCTCGTGATCAGACCTGGAAAGGCGCCTAGATGCCTTGGCAACTTTGCCCACTGAAGAGGTCGAAGAAGACAAAAATCGAGGTGATGAAACCTGCCTCCGATGATTTGGGTCTATGTTGACTAGTACTCTTTCCGAAGCCATCTGGTTATTCGCCTCCAAACTCTAATTTACCCGTGGTACTGAAGCCCAAACATATAGTAGTCTCATCACAAAACACAGAAAAACCTCACCAATCTCAATCTCCCTTGAGAAGCCAGTTGCACGATGATCCAACGAGCGTTAATCGGAAGCTCGCGAGTGGAAATCCTTCAAGGAAAACACCTGACACCCAAGAGTCAAGTGGAGGGCAAGAACTAGCCCCAAACCACCCAGCCGCGAAGCACAAGCCAGCCTCTACGCAAGAGCAAGCCGACCGACTCAAAAACCTGGGAACCTCTACCGTCAATACAGGACTTTGGACAGAAGCGCAGGAAAAGTTGGATGATGATCATTTACGTCAGCTGAAACGGTTCATCAAGATTGGTGATGGAGACCTCCACCGAGCCGCCGAGGAAAGACTGAACACTATTCGGGACTCCCGGTTGGAGATCGAGGTGAACGGAAAGAAGCACAACGTGAGAGAGGGAGCAAAAAAGGTTCTCGACACGTTGTGCAGATTTGGACCCGTCATTAAAGCAGCCACAGCTGCTGAGCCTCATGCTAGCCTTGCTTGGGGAGGTATCTCTGCTTTTTTACCAGTAAGCCACTGGCAATCAATGTTCAAGGATTTCTGCTGACGAATGTCTAGTTTCTCGCTACCGCGCTATCTCAGACAGACGATGCTCTAGACGAGCTAGAGTCAATATCGAACATGCTAGTCAAATTCCGCGCGATCGAGATCGTCTACGATCTGTCAAAATCGAAATCTGCAGGGTCTGTTCATATCCGTGACTGTCATAACAAGCTAAGGTCGAAAACCGTCGAGCTCTACGGGAAGATTCTCGATCACCAAATTCAGCTTATGCATCATTATGAGAAAAATCAGTTCTCTCGGATGACCAGGAACATGATCCTAGAGCCAATTGGGGATTTCCGGGGAATCAAAAAGGTGGAAGAAGCTGCGGACGAGTTCTTGAAAACCATTGACAATAGCGCCATCCAAACTATTGATAGAGGGCTCAGATCCCTCGGAGACACAGTGAACCGCAACCTAGAATTGACACGACAAGTGTGCCAAAACACCCGGGTAGGGAACCTCTCGCCGAAGTGATCTAAATCAGAATTAACAAGGAAATAGGATATCGGTCAAAGACAGCTCCTCGCCAATCTCCCCAGAGCCGAAAGCGCGGGGTTTGATGACATATTGGATGATATGGAGCTTCCTCAGTGTCATGCAAACACCCGAAGAGAGGTGCTCGATAAATTCGGCAGCTGGGCAAACGGCGAAGGCGGAGCAAACTGTGTATTCTGGCTCAGGGGCATGGCCGGCACCGGAAAGTCAACGATTGCCCGCACGTTTGCTCAGCAACTCCATGATCAGGGTCGCCTCGGTGCTAGCTTTTTTTTCTCCCGAGTCCAAGATGACCGGAACAAAGCAAGGAAATTCTTCACCACCCTTGCCCTTGATCTGAGTCAGAAAGTCTCTGGGTTTTCCAGGTGTTTGGGTGATAGCCTTTTGAAAAACGGGAATGTCGAAACGAAAAGCCTCAAAACGCAATGGAGATGTCTCATACTCGAGCCTCTCGAAGATCTGAGCTCATTATTACTCGCACCCCTCGACTTGGTGCTTGTCGTGGATGCGCTGGATGAGCTGCAAAGTCCCGAAGCTGTTACTCATCTCATTGAACTACTCCTGACGGCAAAGAAACCGAAGATGATTCAACTCAGAGTTCTCGTTACCAGCCGGAATGAGACACATATTGTGAAACGCTTCAGCGAACAATCTGGTGTCACTTGGCTCTCACTAGAAGACGAGGGCTTATCCGACAGCACAAAACGCGATATTTCTATCTACGCAAGACATAAGCTTTCTTTGATCGCGGAGAAGGAGGACCTCAAAGACTGGCCAGCAGAAGAGGAGACACAGCAGCTTTTGCGATTCAGTGGCGGATTATTCATTGCTGCGGCTACCGCATGCCGATATCTCGAGCGTAGCGACCTCCCGGAGTTGAAGCTCCCAGAGTTTGTCCGTGCTGGGAGGTCAGCGCATAAGGGAACAGCCGCCCTGGACGACATGTATCGTTATATTCTTAACCGCATGCTGACCGAAGGGACTGATCTGGATGAAATCAAGCAGTATTTCAAACTCATTGTGGGTACCATACTCATTTCTAGGGAACCGCTCTCGATCTCCGAAATCGCTGAGCTCCTTGGTCTGCGGTCCAGATATATCCGTCTGATACTAAAGCCTCTGACGTCTTTCCTGATTGTCCCCGAAAGCGACAACCGTCCCATTCAACTGTTCCATCTTTCATTCCGTGATTTCCTTACCAACAAGGAAAGGTGCGATGATGAGGCAATGCTCATAAACGAAGATGAAGCCCATCGAAAATTGTTCCGTTACTGCTTGGAAAATCTTTCCAGCTCGCCTAACTTGCTCAAAAAAGACACCTGCGAACTCAATCACCCAGGCACACTCTCGTCTGAGATCCAACGGGAAAAGGTCATTGAGCAAATTCCGCGAACCGTTCAGTATAGCTGCCAATATTGGGCTCTCCATTTGAAATACGCGAATACTTCCAAATCAGGGGCTACGGAGATATCGAAGGCCTTCAAATTCATTAGCACCCATCTCTTGCATTGGATTGAAGTCCTCACTCTCCTCGGAAGAATAGATGATGCCGTGGCTAGTATTGCAAAATTGAAAAGCGTCACAGTGGTAAGTCAAGCCTCATCTCGTTCCTAGCTGGACTCCTATCTCATAATTGTCCAGGATGTTGGAGAAGAATATTTTCAACAATTTGCCGAGGATTCCCATCGATTTATCCTTTACCATCGGCCTGTGATCGAAAAAGCACCCCTTCAAGTCTACTATATGGCATCTCTTTTCACACCCACGGAGAGTCTCGTGCGGACTCACTTTTCAGAACATCATCCAGCATGGATACGCAAGTCTCCAGCCATGCAAACTCACTGGGGGCCAGAAACACAAACCATCCCATGTACTGAGTTCGGTGACAGTTTTGCGATATCCTCTGACGAGGGAATGGTAGCATTCAGGGATGGAAATCATACTATCACTGTGTGGAATTCGATCAACGGAAAGCTAGAGCATACTTTCAAACTTGAGTCCTTCATGGCATTTGGGACGTTTTTGATGTTTTCCCAGAATGCAGACACGCTGACTGCGTCCCTGGTGGGACATATACAAGGTGAAAGAATGTTTAAGGTTTGGAGCCTTATAACAGGAAGGGCTCTAGCCTTGGAGGCAGACAAAGGAACCTTTCTGTCCTCTCTGAGTGATTTAAGCAGCTGGACTTTCGAACCTGGCTTTACTGCTGGACAGGGGACAGAACCTTGGAAGGCTGAAACAGGCTGGCCGTTCGAGGCTGGACATGTGTCACTCTCCGCTAACGGTACGCTGGTAGCTTTCCGTTATCAAGGGTGTGTCTACATTGGCGAAACAGAGACAAGGCAAATCATTCGTACCTGGAAATGGGACTCTGAAGTAATCCAAATTGCTCTTTCTACCACCAGGGCCGCCATACTTCTGTCCGGGAATGTGATCAAAGTATGGGACATTCTCAATGGCCATGAATTTGAGATACGAATCACTGGAATAGGCATAGCAAAATGTCTGACTTTGTCTTCTGACGGGAAAAAACTCGCTTGCGCAGGAAAGAACATTTTCCAGATCTGGGATCTTGATTCCGGCCAAATGGAGACTACCGTGGAGACACACCTTCCGATCTTGAAGCTTGCGTTGTTTCCTTTCGGGAAAAAGGTCATAGTCGTTTCACTTGATCCTTGTGTGCAACTTTGGGACATCGGACAACCAAAAGTCTCGAGAACGTCCCATCGTACCCCTGTCGGTGAATCATTTTCTCTCAGTACAGACGGAACCAAGTTGGCCCTTCCCTTTGAGGGAGGCGTTCAATACTGGGATATCATCAATGATAATGTCCTTGCAAAGCCTGAAGTTCTGCTTCAGAATGAAAGTATGGTTTTCGATGGACACTACCTGTGGAGAAGGTGTCCAGAAAAAGAAGAAGAGCATCATTCTGTTGAGAGGCATCGCCAAGGGCCTCTGCGTGTTTCTCTCGATCAAACCCGAGTCCTTACCCAATCAAATGACCCTTTTCGTCTGGAAGTCACGAGTGTTGACACTGGACACTGTGAGTTCAAAGTCGATCGGCCCGACGAGAGACTTCTCATGTCAACTTTGTCTCATAACCTTGCAAGGATTGCGATTGCCTTTCGCAGTGGGGTGGAGATATGGGATTTGAAAAGCCAGGAGATGAAGAACTTCGAGAGTCCAGATGGCGCATATCCAATAACCATGACATTTTCGCCCCAAGGCACCAGAATCGCAATTGGATGGAGAAACGACACCATATCAATTCATAATATCGCTACGCGTGAGGTTGAGTGGTGGCTATTTGGTCACCCCTCGGTGGTCCATAGTTTACAATTTTCTCCTGATGACTTGTGGACTGAAGAGCCGTTCTATACTCTTAGCCGTTCGGCCGATTGGATTATTTACGACAGCAAAGAGATTCTTGCTCTCCCTCAGGCATTTCACAGAATTTCTGATGACTATCTGGATCCGTGGGAAAGCAAAAGAATATCCTATTATCATCGGGTTAACTCCCTCGCCTATTGCTCCAGATCTAGCGGCATCGTGACTTTCATTTTCAAAGGTGTTCCTAAGTTTGAAGAATAAAGAATACAAGAATGCATAATCCAATTCAATCATCCATTCGCCATTTACCATGTTTTTTTTTTTCTTCTCTTATGCCCTTATGGAATTAGCGCACACCCTTTGGGACCTTAGAATTCATCCGATGTATCTACATTGGGCCAGGCGTGATTTAAACCTTGTCTCCGTTTGAGTCTTACACTTATGCGCAGACATGAAAGTCAGATATGCTTTATGTATATGTCCAATGACACCTTTTTAAACCGTCAACGGAATCGAGACGTGGCCTGCATGTGGTGATAAGTCAAACCATCCAACCAATATGGCGGTGTCTTGGCCACCCCCACTAAGCCAGGTTCTACCTTAGTAGTTTCCATCTGTTCCAGTCAACCAACTACATCTATCGATCTCTCTGTTTCGGTTGCCTCAACAATATCGATGTCGAGATTAGAGTGGGACTTTTAAGTAGATGATCACAAAAGGCTTTAGCATGTATGAACTGACGCATTCAGGTATACTCACCTTTAGTAGGTGGTGCTTTGATGCTACTAAATGTTTATATTAGAAGATTCTTAGTGTGTTATGCTTATTGCGGCTAGTAGCCTTTGCCATCTGTGATAAAGATAGTTTCTCACTGCAGAGCATGTTGTCTACTCGTATAAGCTTACACTTTAAAGGGGCTAGTTGGGCGCCATCTTAGTGTGACCACTCATGATTGGTTGTTAAGTTCTGACTGTACCAATGAAGGTTTCCAAAGTGGGGTATTGAAGTCTCCGTTGTATCAAATTGCAGGCTTATACATCTCACTATATATCCAGATTACTCTAATACAATATAGCGGAATGATCTACTATACTGGGTACATAACTTGCTGATTCTTCTATTCGAAATCGTTGACAGCGAATGTAAATCTATGCCAAATTCTTTGCAGAAGATCTATTATCTGCGTGTGATGACGTTAGCTGGTCAACCTTTATTCAGGTAAATACCACACAAATTAGTTTCACAATGGTACTAACTGCCAATCAGAAAGCAGGCGAAATAGCTAGCCTCTTCCAGCCGAGAGACAATGGACCATCGAAAAGTTATAAATGGCCTTGTTGATGACGTTAACGCACAGATTGTTTGTTTTCACCCTTATTTGATCTCAGGGAGATATCACTAACCTGACTTCTCGACTAGTCCACTGCGGTAAAGCGAGCTGGCGATAAAGTCAAGTTCGTAGACTATGACCAATACATAGGCCGTTTAAACAGTCGTTTTTATAAGGATGGTGTCGATAAATCCGTTTCAGAAAGCAACACAAGGTGGATGCTCAAATTCTGCCAAATTACTTTTCTAACCTTCGCAATAGAGACAGTCTCATGTTCTACGAGATGGATAGTCTAGACCCCAAGGGCACTAGTTCATAGAAGAGAACTGTCGAAAGTTCATATATTGACACATTTATAAAAACTATGAACCAATTTGCAGAGATCGCATATGTCTCCAATACTTCGTCTGCTGCTATTACTTCTCTTATAGCCGTCTCTAAGGTCAATCTTATGAGTACCTCGGAGAATAAGAAGAGAACGATTTCAAAATGGTTACCAGACAGGTAAAAAAAGTTCCCAACATGTCACGACAGATGGTGGGATTTCGCTAACAAATTATCGACCAATAGATACAGCCGTGTGAACAGTTCCATCCCCAGATTCTGCTTCACGAAATCATCTCCGCGCTAGTCGTCTACCATATGGTGGACAAACATGAGCAGGATCATGGACTTCCAGCAATTCCAGAGACGATTTACTTTGACTTGTGTCCTTACTATCTTTCCTCTGGCTCAAATAGTTCAGACAACTCAGACAACTCAAACGCCTCAAGCAGCCGTATGTACATCTGGATGGTATCTTTTTCGATGAAGGTTGGCCAGAATGCAGTCCAGACAATATCTACGCCGACCTTGTGCGCACACATCAACAACTAAGAGGAAACACCCCAGTGCATTCACAGTACTCAATCCTGGCTCTCCAATAGCTCAATGTTTCGAAGACACCATGGATACGCTGTTGACGTTCGAGAGCAATTATGAGACTCATGCCACCGAGTATGTACCTACTCCCCGAGCCCATCAACATATCCTCCGAGCCCTACAAACCAAATACGACGTAAGCCCGCGCCAGAACACCAAATTCCAACCGGGCAAACCAACCGATTACATTCGCGCACAGGTTTTGAGCACAAGAAAAAAGAGAGAGAAAAAAAAAACCGATGCCATGAATGCAGTGTTTGGTCATAAGGATCGTTTGATATGGAAAAAAAAAGGCCCAGGACAAAAGAAGCACGATCAAAGCTTGACAGGATTGAAAAGGAGCAAGAGCCGATTTTTTTGAAAATTTTCGTTTCGTAAACAGAAAGAAGGGGGAAACAAGAAGAAGAAAATACACCGTTTCTACGACCACGGGTACGCCAGGCTTTTCGCGACTGAATCTAAGCGGGGGATGAGAGCGGAAAGATGCAGAGCGGCTTGGAGCCGGTTGAAAGCGATCGAGCGGGGAAGAACCGAGGGGGGTTATTGGGGACAGAGGACAAGAGGACAGCAAGAGCGCGCGAAATAAGGAAAATGAGATTTGGTCGTTCACATTCAGATAGCGTACTTGCGGGTCCACTCGCGGGCAGTGGCCTCGTAGCGGGGCGGATCGGACTTGTAGACGTGCGCGATTTCGGGCACGAGGGGATCGTCCGGGTTGGGGTCTGTGAGCATGGAGCAGATGGAGAGGAGGACTGGGAGGAAGTTAGATTTTTGAGGTTGATGAGTGTGGAGGGGATTGCGAAGGTCAAGACTCACCCTTGGAGATTGTGAGAGCTGGGCTCCATTGATCCCTCAGGATGTCCAGACAAATGCTGCCGTTGGAGTTGATGTTGGGGTGGTAGATCCGGGTGGTGAAGTTGACTTTGGGAGGCTTGAAGGGGTAGTCGGTGGGGAAGTGGATGGCAAGGAAGAAGACACCTCCGGAGTATGGGGAGTCACCCTGGTGAGTGGGTTAGCGTTCTGAATGATGATGCACGGGGTCTCTGGGACCTTCACCCGGGTGGGATACAGGCGCTGGCCTCGAAGGTCCTCAGAGTGGGAGTGTGGGACGAGGAGTATTACTTACAGGACCCATGATAGTGGCTTGCCAGTGGAACTAGAAAGACAAGAAACCCCCCAGTCAGTAATCGATGGCCCCTCACTAATGTCAGGCAACCCAACAGCGGGGCGCTTTGTGTACCCCGCTATATCGGGGCGCCGTCAACGACAGGGGAAAGGGAAAGGCTTCATACCAGATCCTCGCCGACGGGACCGGCGGAGCAGGAAGAGGGCGGGTCACTGGGGACAGTTAGAGGGTGAACAGGAAGATCTGGGCGATGACGATGGGCTTACCGGCCGAGGTCAGTGAGTTCCTTGTTAATGCGCTTGAGAGCCATGACGGGCAAAGATTGCAAGATGCAAGAGAATCAAAAGGCTGGTGAAGGTCAGTAGGTTGTGGCAGAGAGAGAAGTCCGGTCAACATACGATTACGTCTTTGTGTGGAAAAGAGAAGAGAAGGAGAAGATTATTGAGAGAGGGGAAAAGTGGGCGGAAACGATTCTTTTACTGCCCAGTCTTACTGGCTGATACCGCCACAGCCCGATGACACATCTTTGATGATTCAGCCACTGTTCTTTTTCTATTCTTATAGATCTTCTCATCTTAATCATCTTATTGGTAATTGTTCCTCTTGGGCGTTTGGACATAGGGCTGATTTGATCTCGATCTCTGGCTGATGGTGGTGTATTACCCATCTGACATGTACTGTTTTGCTCAGTCTGAACTCAATGGAAATGGGTTCAATTAGAAAGCGTTAGAAACTATTCATGGACGATTTAAAACAAGTATCAGTGATCTCTATATTCATCTCTCTGCCCAAACTGACCAAATATAGAGTGCAAGTCCTGGGGTATAACAGAAACGAGGCATTTGATATGTATCAGATGTATTGACTGTATGGAATAAGTATGGAAACAGTATTGAGACGGTATCAGATGAAACTGCCCCTCATGATGTCACGTGTGTCCCGCTTGTCCCGAACGGGAAGGACGTTGTGTGCACTTTACATTGACCCGTTGGTGATGCTAACAGTGACAGATTGATTCTTCCCAGCCTATTTACAGATACTCTATCACATTGCGCTATACTTGCTTTATTTTCCTACTGCCTTCCTCTTTTTAGACAAAGGCCTGCACCCCGGTAATCGCACGGCCCAGAATCAATGCTATTGGCACACATTAGTCTCAGCCCAACGTCATCAGGCATATAGACTTACCATGAATATCGCTCTGACCCTCGTAGGTCTGCACAACAAACAGATTGGCCACATGACGGGCAATGTGGTACTCATCACTTGCAGCATTACCACCGAACACCTCTTGCAGACTGAAAAGTACCGTCAGCAAAGTTCAAAAAACATCCAAGTCGAATCAAAGAGGTTAGGTGGGGGGAAAACATACACTCGAGAGTTGGCAAGTGCCCGATCACAGTTCTGGCGCTTGACCATCGAGATCATCTCCGGTGTCGCCTTGCCTGCATCCTTAAGCCGAGCCACCTGCACCGCAGCCAGGGTACCGTAAGCGGCGTCCGTGGCAGCGTCGGTCAATTTCTTCTGAATCAGCTGGTACTTGGCAAGCGGGTTGCCCTTGAACTGCTTGCGCTCCAGACTATATTCCCGGGCCCTCGCCAGGCAATCTTCCAACGCACCCATGCTACCAAAGGCAATACCCAACCGGGCACTGTTCAAACACGTAAAAGGTCCCTTCAGACCCTCCACGTCGGGCAGCATATTCTCCGCCGGCACAGGGCAGTCATCCATCTGAATCATTCCGGTAATAGAAGCCCGCAAAGCACTCTTATTCTTGATCGCAGGAGTCTCATAGGATCCCGGCGTAGCCCGCGAACGCTCAACAATGAATCCACGAATTTTCCCCGTTGACTCCAACTTCGCCCACACGAGCGCCAGATCTGAGATAGGCGAGTTCGTGATCCAGGTCTTACTACCAGAAAGCAAATACATGCCCTTCTGTGTGGGGTGTTCGCGAGCAACGGTCTCCATGGATCCCGGGTCCGAGCCGTGGTTAGGCTCGGTGAGGCCAAAGCAGCCCGAGGTGGTACCCTTGGCAAGGCCCGGGAGGAAGCGCTGCTTCTGCTCTTCGGTGCCAAACTCGTAGATACCGGTCATGGCGAGCGAACTCTGCACCGACATGCCTGATCGGTATCCCGAGTCTACCCGCTCGACTTCTTTGGTGATGAGGCCGGACGCCACGGTGCTGACACCGGCGCATCCGTACCCTTCAATCGATGCTCCCAGGAGACCTAGGTCACCCATCTCCTCTAGAATGCGGCGGTCGTAGTCCTCGTTGCGGTAGGCCTCTGGAATCCCACTGACGTCAGATCATACACTGTTGCAACAGTCTGGCAGAAACACGTACCTAATACTCGTGGCATGAGTTTGTCCTGGCAGTACTGGCGCGCTGTATCTTGGATCGCGAGTTCCTCTTCTGTGAATAGCTCTGCGGAGGCTAGGGGATCCTCCCAATTGAAGACCGCCGAGGACGCATAGCGGCGGCCCGACACAGGGAGAGGTGCAGCCTTAGCTGAGCGCGTAGCTGCGCGAAGAATTGAGCGGTTCATCATTGTCAATACGGGGATTGTATAGATTGACAACGGTAAAGTGTGGGGAGAGAACTAAGAGTAAGGTCGAAATGTTGCGGGGGAAGCTCAATCAAATATGGCAATGGGGGAGACCTCGGCAATTTTGGCTGGGGTGACGGAGTATGTCAAAATCACCGAGACTGGGGTACACTTGGAACTCACTCTGTAACTACGGAGTACGGAGTACACACATCTCCAATTTGATTCGGTCTTTCAATTCAGCAAATCTGATTCGACGGATGACCCGAGGAATTGATGTTTGGTTCCGTGAGTTCAACCGACTCGGACTTTTTCGGTCTTCTATGATCGGCGTACAGTCTGGCATGTCAAACGCCGAGGGTTCATTACTACACCTTACATGATCGAATGTGGAGATTAATTGTTTTTCATTCTAGGGATTTGTTTCAGGTGCCCATATTTACATGAGATGGTCGTGGTCGTCAGAGGCCAGCATTAGGATATGTGAAAAGGGTCGACTCGTATACACCAGGCGTCAGCCTGACAAGTTGCAGACCAGCTCACGCTGGCATCTGGCTTTGCAAGAAGTCAAACACCCCCGTGGGGAAATAGTCTTCGTCAAAGCCCCAGAGATCCGCCATCATAGGATCAACCGAGCCCTCAGACAAGCCAGGCTCCTGCTTGCCCAAAGCAGCAGAAGCTTCGAATCCATTGCTCCGTTCAGCAGACAGCGGAGCCACTCCCAGCAACGGAGGGGGGTGGTTCAAGATGGTATCGCGTTCTCCGAGCATCTGGGCCCCGGGGATGATGACAGGTTTGAAGAAGGAAGAAGGGTCCTGCGAGGCCGATCCAATCGTCTGTTGGGTGCCGGCAGTGCGCTTCTCCCACTCCTCCAGACCAGTCAGCATTTTACGGAGCCCTCGGGCGATGTGGTGACTGAGGTGACGCTCGCTCGCACGCTGGCTACACGAGACCATTAATTCGACGACCCTGCTAACAAGGACGCGCACGTAGCTGACGTCAACTTGTAGACCCGCTGAAGCGATGGACGTCTGCTTCCCCTGGCTTCCGGGGATCGCTCCATTCGAGCAGACCTTGGCTGCGATTTTGAGTAGGAAGACTGCTGCAAAGGTGATCATACTGTGGAGATACAGGGGAACTCCAACGAGGGCCCGTTGGATATCTCGCTCGTCTAAGCAAACCTGCAAAGTGGCGATGGCCGATTCTACCGCGATGTTGGCGCGTTTGCGACGTTCGAAGGACATTTCCCCTGAAGAGGTGGATGAGTGATACGTGCGCAGTGCGACGGAGTTGAGCTGCAATCGAGAGAAATGGTAATGCATGTACACGGCCTTGTAGGGATATGCGCCAACGTAACGGCTCCCCGCTAAAGTGAGAGGTCAGAAGACGGTCTTTGTTTGGGGACTATCGAACTTACCAAGTCGGGGGAGCCACGATGACTTCCAATCCCCTAGATCAATGTCAAATTGATCGATCTTGGAGAAGTCACTTTCGGGAACTTCCAACTCGACATCAGGGCCAAAGGAAAAGTATATACGGGTGAGAATTATGAAAAGGTCGACTTGGCTGTGAAGCCGAAGATCTCCTTGCGAAGTTGACGGATTTTGTGTAAAGATATTGTGTTGAGTGACGCTTGCATCCTCGTGGATCATCGGTGGTCGGCCGTATGCAATCGAAAAATGGTGCTCTAATGTCTGTGAAATGTTAGGAGATATATGGCCCACTGCTCGTAAGAGCGACTCACATATAGAAGATACCACAGCCTTGCCTGTTCCAAATGCTCTGGTGAGCCTTGCATGGCTTTGCGATAGAACTGGTGTAGGTTGCGCTCAGTCGCAATACGCACAGCATAGCCGGAGAGCTTCCAGCTGACATCCGCAAGCCAAAATGCACCAATGCATAATGCACGAATATCATCTAAGGTGTGGTGGTGACCCAGCATGGATTCTGATGCCAGTTTGGCAAATTCGGTGTAGCATGTGTCGAAGGTCCGTTCCTTGTTGGGCATGTGAAGTGCAGTGACGGCCAGAATGGCAGCCGACAGCATTGACGATGATCGTCGAGCTGATGTCAAGTCCTTGTGTGCAAGTAGTGCTCCATCCCATAGATAGCGATTGAGGACTTGGTCAAATTGATAGAACAACTCCTCTGCTTCTTGGACGTCGACAACGCCACGCGAAATGAAGTCAGTGACCAATGTCTGGTCAGGAGCAAGTTTCCGACCCGGTGAATTGTCACGATTCTCGCTCAGTTGTGTCACCTCATACAGACTACCCATTGGCGCTGTGACCAAAGAGGCTGCGCCTGTTTCCTCCCGGTCCAGCGAGTATTGTGATGGCTGTTGGGGAAAGTCGAAGCGTGATCTCGAGGCATTCGCATTCTCCACTGTATGTTCCACGGGCGCAGCCATGGGCTGTGCAAGCCCGTTGCCCTCGGTCGAAACCGTAGAGTCTTGTCGACCTCTCTTCTTCGAAGGCGTCTCGACCGAGCCGCCACCTGCTTGGTAATATGATAACTCCGGAAGCTGCGATTTTCTGAGGAGGTCCGTCATTGCCGATTCGATCATTGATTTCCAACTTCACCGGCTGCAGTCAGCATATGCTCCCATGTATGCTGGGTAAAAACTTACTCAGCTTCATCTTCCAGTAAAGTCTGGAGACTTTTGTTCACGACGCATTCCAGACCCATGCGCCGACAGCGCGAGCAGATAGAATCCGTTGCTTTCATGTCACAGCGCACCTTATGCCGCTTACATTCAGTGCACGCCCGTATGCGCCGCGAGATCTTCGGGACATGATGAGGCCGGTCCTCGGGGGTGAAGGCACCCTGCGGCGGCGATACAGACGAAGCCTCGCCATTGGCCTCGAACTGAATGCGATTCCGCTTCATGTTGATATGGAGGCTAAATTATTCCTCCGCATGGCGCATTCCGGGGAAGACAAAGGCGGGGTCGGGGCAGCTGCGCGCCGGTTCTCGACCGAATTACTCATAAGCCGGATGGCCACCTGATGAATCAGGCATCCATGCATGTTCATGGTACTTGTAAGGCATCAAATAGGCATCAATGGGTCTTCAGCAAATGGTCACCTGACTGGGTGCCACGCTATTCCGCTTTGGGATTAAATAGGTCGCGCCTCCAGGCGCGTTCGCGTGGTGCGACAGGGCTAGCTCCATTTTCTGCTCAGCATTCCACCTTGATCACACTACTTCAAAGCTATATTCAAGATGGGTATTAAACGTGAGTGATTTGCTACCAGTTTCTTATTCCCATGACACGGATCCATACTAAATGAATGCCAGATCTGTACCAAGTGATCTCCGAGAATGCCCCCGATGCGATCAAAACGGGCGAAATCAAGAATCACTTCGGCCGCAAGGTCGCGATTGTAAGTCGCAGGCATACCGTTCTGTCCGCAATTTCTTTTTGGGGTGATTCTGATTTCAATTCTTCCTAGGATGCGTACGTCATAGCTACCTCGATAGCTACAACCCCGTTCGCCGCTAACCTAGCACAGGTCGATGAGCATCTACAGTTTCCTGATCGCTGTTCGTTCAGAAGGTCAACAGCTCCAGAGTGAGTCCGGCGAGACCACCTCCCACCTAATGGGCATGTTCTACCGCACACTCCGAATGGTGGACAACGGCATCAAGCCTCTGTACGTGTTCGACGGTGCCCCACCGAAGCTCAAGTCCGGCGAGCTGGCGAAGCGTGTCGCACGCAAGGCTGAAGCCCACGAGGCCCACGAGGAAGCCAAGGAAACTGGTACGGCAGAGGATATTGAAAAGTTTTCGCGACGAACCGTCCGCGTCACTCGGGAGCACAACGCGGAGTGCAAGAAGCTGCTCGAGCTGATGGGAATTCCTCATATTACTGCCCCGACAGAAGCCGAGGCTCAATGTGCTGTTCTGGCCCGTGCGGGCAAGGTGTATGGCGCTGCGTCTGAGGATATGGATACACTGTGCTTCGAGTCGCCGATTCTCTTGCGCCACCTCACTTTCAGTGAGCAGCGCAAGGAGCCCATTCAGGAAATCCACCTGGACCGGGCGCTTGAGGGTTTAGACATGGATCGTGCACAGGTAAAGTTTCACCCAAACCGTGTGTTTGCCCCGGTGGTTTGGCAATAACTGACCATTTCTACAGTTTATCGATCTCTGTATTCTGCTGGGCTGTGACTATTTGGAACCCATCCCCAAGGTGGGAGCCCACACCGCTCTCAACTTGATCAAAGAGCACAAGTCCATCGAGAAGGTGCTGGAGTTTATGAAGAACGACCCTAAGCAGAAGTTTGTAGTCCCGGAGGACTGGCCATACCAAGATGCCCGGGACTTGTTCACCGATCCGGACGTCCATGCCGCTGATCACCCAGACTGTGACTTTAAGTGGGATGCCCCTAACGTTGAAGGTCTGATTGATTTCCTGGTCAAGGACAAGGGATTCAATGAGGATCGCGTGCGCAATGGTGCGGCGCGTCTATCCAAGCACCTCAAATCCGCCCAACAGTCCCGGCTGGAAGGATTCTTCAAGCCTGTCGCTCGCACCGACGACCAGAAGGCGTCTCTCAAGCGCAAGCATGATGAGAAGCTCCAGCAACAAAAGAAGAAAAAGAAGGATGACGCAAAGGCCAAAAAGGATGCCAAGTCCAAGCCGCGTGGAGCGGCCTAAGTCATCGCGTTCGATGCCTTCTTTTTTTTTCAATTTCTCTGTTTTCCAGAGACTGACGTTTCAAAATTATTCCCCGGTCTTACATGAGCCGGTCTGGCGTAGGCGTTTTGCGGGTTCTTGATTTATCGCTAATGCATCGCTTTCGGGAGAATCCCTGTTCCACGCCGGAATCGGGACGGGACATGAGTTTTCCTGTAACATACAAACCAATTGCCTGATCAAATAGCAGACTTGATTCAATGGTACCTCTGTGCCACTGGAATGTCCCCGTAACCTTTTCCCCATCCTCCAGCACCGAGATCAGTCAAGATCACACCGAGCACGCCCAATCCCTCTCGCTGATCTTTCCCGCCACCGTACATCTATAAGTGTAAAAAACATCTAATCGAAACAAACCCCATTTTCTCCATAGCCATGTCCCTTTTCAATCCCCATATCCCAAATCAGACGTTGCTGGCGCGCAAGATCAACCACCCGGGTTGTCGTAGATGGCGGAACCAATCCGAGGCTCGTAACACCCACCACCAGTGATCTCGACGCACGAAGCCACCAGCGCCCGGAATCTAGAACGTTGGTATTGCAACTTTGTGCTAGAATCAATTTCCCAGTTGCAATTATGCAGCACAGGCCCAGGTGGTGTAGGATCAGCGTGGGTAGGTCGACCCTTGATTTTGGCCGGTTGCGGGTGCAGACATGATCCTCCACGAGGACTCCGATCGACCAATCAGTCGGAGGATCGATTCGACCGTTTGGATTCTTGTACGACCCGTGTCCTGCTTCTTCTGGTCTTTTGGGGGGATATCATGGGGTGAAAGTGTTCGGAGTGGTGTTTCTGCTCACATTGTTACTATAGGTGTGGGTCACTATACCCGCGAGCAGTTTACGGTCTCAACCTTCCAAGGTTGGAATATACTCATCTACAGCTCCAACTCTGCAGCTCTCCAGCTCTCCAGCTCTTCTAAGAAAAAAATTGGAATTTGTTTGTCCGAGCGTATCATCCATGCTGTTAGCTTATTGGTTGCGTCTGCTGATCCCGTGGCGTCGCCAGACCTGAGCTTCCCCTCTCTTGAATATATACATCATAACAGAGGGAGTTGTGGGAGCGAATCTAGTCATCCAGTATTTTATAGACATGAATAAGTTGGCTAACATAACATTGAAAGTGACCTTAAAAACCATTATAACATGAGACCGTTCCTAGAGCTAGCCCTAGATGGAGATGCTGAGATGATTCCCACTTCCAAGGTTGAGCCGAGTAGGGCTATGGGTATATGACCTTGGAATTCATCTGGACAGACAATGAATCTCAAAATCTACATTGACCAGACCGAAACAGTCAAATTTGATATGTGCCAGCTTTAATGGAGTATACCATTTCGCCCAACTACTCGATATATTCTAAGGCGAATGATCTCGAACCAAACATGTCTACGTGGACGGAGGAGTCATCCGGCCAAGGTACCAAAAGACCCTTACTGAGCCAACCAATCAGTGCGAACGATGAATAAGAAAGATAGTCTCGACATCATTCACGGAGGCCGAACCAGGGAACACCCTCATCGGGAGCTAAAAACGGGGAGAACGTGACTCTCCCGCACGAGGCGATGCAGGTCCCCACGCAAGGAGGCAAGAATATTGCAAGCTTGACAGTACCCCCGCCCAACGCCAAGGAGTCGATCGTGAATAGTCCGGAGTTAGAGTGCTGAATGCGCGGTGCTCGGTTCTCCCTGAGCATGAACATGAACATATCTCGGGCTGAGGAGATCTGGATTCCGTAAAGGGTTGCCAGATCCGGACCTAATACGGAGTAGAGGGATAGGTCGATCACCCATTGGAATGTTCATCTGTCGGGAGCTATGTGCCCGAGAGTAAAAGGGTAAAAAAAAAAAGAGGAATACCGCGCTGCATGGTGCTTGTATGCGCGATTTCCACGCGCTGGAGAGATTGCTTTGAGGCTTCAGTCTGGAGGCTGCGGACTGGAGCTGATGATCTGATAGATTCAGTGATGGCGCGATGGTTCGCTAAGATGAGTTGTGAATAAATGGCACATCGAGGTTAGAATCATAGTGTTCATAACTGTTCATACTTCTTGGGTTGAGTATGTGCAGTCATAGTGTAGACAGCGAGTATGACGAGAGACGCGAAGATAGACACAGAGAGTAGATAGACACCACTAAACCACTAAACCGAGAAATAAAACCAAAAAGAAACAGAAGATAGTCAAAACTCGTGTCAAACTTGCAGAACAAGAAAGAAAAAAAAAAGAGGTGCTTCCCCCCCTGGTGATCTTGTGTCAACATCCGTCGCCTATAAATCGCGGATGCCCCGCGGCCTTCCCTTTCCCTCTGCTCTTCTTTTTCTTCCTTTTCTGTTTCCACCCATTTTTCTGGACTTGAACACTAAACCCTTTGACGGTTCTTCATCTCTTCACTTTACCATCCTCAATTTAAATCTTCAATCATGCCTCCCAAGAAGGTCACCAGCGCGAAGAAGGCCGCGCCTGCTCCTCACTCTTCCTACCGTGGTATGTCGCTGATCCTGAATGCCCACCCCATCGCGTAAACGCGGTTTTGGCATCATCACAGTCGCGAGAACCTGCTGATGAGAATGATATAGATATGATCAAGGATGCCATTATCAGCGTAAGTGGATCGTGCCTGCGCGACTTGTTGTGATTCAGGTCGCGCCCGACCGTGACACGTCTTTGCCTTTTGGGCACCACCACAAACCACCGGTGGCTGATTTTTTGGAATTTATTTTGGCTGACCTGTTCTTTTGCGCTGATAGCTTAAGGAACGCAATGGTAGCAGGTATGTGGCGAATGATTTCCCGCGCACTTTTGGAGTCGCGCTCGGAAGGGGAACGGAGTCACTAATGGGGAATTGCAAATATAGTCGTCAGGCGATCAAGAAGTATGTTCAGTCGAACAACAAGCTCAACGTCTCTTCTCAGAGCACCTTTGATGCTCAATTCAACAAGGCTATTAAGTCTGGTGTTGAGAAGGAAGAATTTGTTCAGCCCAAGGGTAAGTCTTCTGTTTCGGCTCCGAGTGTATATGCGCAAATCTTCCCCCTCCCCCCTCGGTTTCGCGCTGTCCCCGGAATTCTCGTTCACTCCCGCAGTCCTTTCTGTGCGAGGGAATGGGGCTTGTCATATGATCAGTCAGCTGACGCGTGCTCTAGGCCCCTCTGGACCATTGAAGCTTTTCAAGAAGGAGGCTCCTGTCAAGGCGGCTGCTAAGCCTGCCGCGAAGCCTGCCGCGAAGCCCGCTGCGAAGACTGCCGCAAAGCCGAATGGCAAGACCGCTACTAAGGTAAGAATCCCACAGATCCACATGATGTGCATCATGCTAATGGTCTCGGAAAGCCCGCTGCCGCCAAGAAGGCCGCACCCAAGAAGGCTGTCGCAAAGACCACCGCAAAGGCTACCCCAGCTAAGCGGAGTGCTCCTAAGAAGACCGCGACCAAGGCTGCCACCAAGACCGCAGCCAAACCTAAGGCCAACTCTGGCAAGGCCCGCAAGACCACCACTGCCGTAAGTGGCTAGATGTTCCGCATCTCCCTGCCCGTTCACTAACCTCCCTCCCAGGCCCCTGCTATCGTTGAGCAGCCCAAGGTCTTGAGCAAGACCAAGTCTGGTCGTGTCACCAAGACCACTGCCCCAGCACCCAAGGCAGCGGCCAAGAAGCGCACCACCAAGAAATAGACGACCGTCTTGATCTTGATCTTGGTCCTGGCTTGACTTGGCTTTGAATTTGTGTTTTTTTTTTTGACCAGATTTCGCTCTCCCTATATTTTCACGAGCGCATTTCCGGGGAGGGCCTCTGGTCCCATTTCCTTTGTTCTTCTCCTGTAATTTCTTTGGATCGATTGGTCTGTGTCTCTCTCTGTGATGGGTTTTTGTGTTTACTTTTTTTTGTTTTTCTGGGGATATCTTCGTTATGACCTTTTGCTTTTTTTCTCTTTTTTCTCCACAGTGCGAGGAATGGCGTCCTGCGGTGGGGTTTGGGGGGAACCGGGCCTTTTTTTTTTACAACTGTTTTACTCTTGAGACTTTATTCTACACGTATGTCCAGTGCAATCAAAGTGTCTTTCTGGAATAGGCCCTCGAGATTGGCTGAAATTGATAGCCGGGTAGATCGCGTAGCGGGACTGAGCACCAGTCCGGAGTAAACAAAATGCAGATCGCGTGGGATTCGCGTTTAGCCTGGGCCCTGTGCTGACAGATGACAGATGGCCATTGGGCAGTATTCCGTATTGACATTTGAACTGATGGAAGTATGGAGTATGACTGGACTTGGTGCATGTACTCCCTTGGTCTACTTGTATACGGAGTATTCGTCCTCTATGTTCTGTACTCTGTAGAGTATTTCCGATCTCTGCAAGGTCCCCTGTGGGCCATGACCCCATACTTGCACTTGTCAATACTCCGTACTCCGCACAGGAAATCAACATTGACATCATTGGTGAAACTCGGGTTCGTATCCTCCGTCCTCCGTCCGAGGACTATCCGACTCACCCCGTGGCCCGGTAGAATGTCAGACACGTTCCACGGGTGCAGAGTGCGGAAGTGTTAAGGCTTTGTCCGAGCCTAAGACCGAAGTAGACAGAGCCACGGTGTGGAGAAGTAACCCCTGTGGCGCAGAGAGAGCCCTATGGAGTATTCCCAGATTTTTATATTTTTAGAACGGTTGTTTGTTTTCCGAGAGAATTAATGGGTATGAAATAGGGATATGATGTACTGGAGGGAGTATATCGTTTATTAGAGGATTGGAAATATTCCAGTATAGAATATAGAGTATAGATTCAAGTTTCCCTGGAGATAGCTCAGGGACGGAGTCAGGGTGGCGCAATTTGTGAGTATTCTCCTATCTCTTTAGATACTTGTATGTATTACGCCGTAGTATGTACTCCGTACAAAGACTAGGTGATTTGCGAGCCAATTGCCTCATTTCTATATTAAATGAGGTTGGCTCATGTGCAATGGTAGTGAATACCAGTCACAGCCTAAGATGACGGTCCTTGCATCAAGGGATATGAGAAAACCGGGCGAGAGTGTCGGGAGTAAAGTAGAGAAGGCCGATCGAAGAGGTCATCGGCCCCTAAAGAGCAAAGATAGCCGTGCTGAGTTTTTATGCAGCAGCCTAGCAACGTTGGTATACTGGAGGATTATATACAGGGGAATATTTTATATTTTATATTCTATGTTATAGTATAATTTGAACTATAGAGAATAAAAAATAGAGAATATCAAATATCAAATAAATATGTAGAGAGAATAAAATACTCTGTACTCTGTACTGACTGAGTATAGCATAAAGCAGCTGAACGGTGGAGTCGGTACGTGTCGTATCGTAATTCTTTCACTCGACAACTTTCCCCTCAGGCACTTTGGTTCCTGTGAACTCTGCCCTGTGTTTCTTCGGGCTCGCTGAATGCCTGAATTATTGACCTCTTCTTTTGATTTTCTTGTTGAATTCTGTCCCGGCTCACACCTTGCCTGATTTTTCCCGCCACTAAGGGTGCCGTCACTTCGGGTTGCCGGTCCAGAGTTCACGTCAACCAGCGCAATGCCATCCTTTTCCAACGACGTCTCCTACCAGACTGCCCCGGCCACCCACCCGCGCTCCTTCGAATCCTCCCGCAAGTCCCACGACAAGATCCCCGTCGGCAACACCTTCTTGTGGACCAACTGGCCCAACGGCAACGGCGACCCCGAGAATGACCGCCAGCTGCTCAACGACCTGAAGAACGGAAGCGCCTACTCCGTGAATGGCCCGCGCTCCAGCGTCAGCTCCTACACGCGCGATCTCCCCTTATCCAAGGACGGCAGCATGCACTCCCTAGGCAATGCTCCCGCCCGGGATCCGCGCGAAAACGGGCGCCCGTCCGCAACCTTGGACCGAAAACTCTCTGAAACGGGCCCTGGTGTCGTGCCGACCACATCGTCCGCCATCTCAACCCAGCCTCAGCCCAATGGGACTACGAACGGGCGTCCGGGCCCCGGGAAATTGATGGTCAACGGAGACGCCCACCGACCCTCGGGGGAGGAATCCATCTCGCCATCGGCATCGCTATTGCAAATCCCCCAATCCGATGAGAATGGTCGACATTCTCCCAACCCGGATCGCTTGATCCCGGACTCGAAGTCCGCACCCCATCGCCACTCCTCTCCTCCCGCTCCGTCCATCCTCGACGCCGCCTCCGTCCCCGAGTCGCAGAATTCCAGCATGCGACAGCGCCACTCGCTCCAAGTCCCCCGAACGCCCAGTGTGCGTCGAGACAGTCGAGAATACCCCGACGATGCCGCCTACAGCACGGGCCGCATGTCTCCGACCTCCGGCTTCCGTCGCACGTCAATCGGTCTAATCCGACGGGCCACCAAGAACAGCACCCACCAGGATATCACCTTGGACGAGGCGCCCCCAGATGAAGATGCGGCTCGATGGGCGGAAGCCATCAAACAGAGACGGGCCTCGCGACGCCGGCGGGAAGAGGAGGACGACGAGCGGGTTATCGTGGGTACCAAGGTGGATCAGAACCACGTCAACTACGTGACAGCGTACAACATGTTGACGGGTATCCGCTTTACGGTTTCGAGGATCAATGCGAAGATGGACCGGGAACTCACTCCGGCGGACTTTGACGCTAAGCACAAGTTCTCCTTTGACATGTGAGTGGTGGATTTCGCCTGTGAACGTGTGGACTGAATGAAGCATGACTGACCAAAGAGCAGCACTGGAAACGAACTGATCCCTTCCGCCAAATACGATTTCAAGTTCAAGGACTATGCCCCTTGGGTATTCCGACACCTACGCGCCAAGTTCCGTCTCGATCCCGCCGACTATCTCATGTCCCTCACAAGCAAGTATATCCTGTCCGAGTTGGGCTCTCCCGGCAAGAGTGGAAGTTTCTTCTACTTCTCACGAGACTACAAGTACATCATCAAGACCATCCACCACTCCGAGCACAAGCTTCTTCGGAAGATCCTCCCCGATTACTACCGGCACGTGGAGAAAAACCCCAACACCTTGATCTCACAATTCTACGGTCTCCACCGAGTCAAGATGGCATATGGCCGCAAAATCCACTTCGTCGTCATGAACAACTTGTTCCCCCCACACCGAGATATCCACCAGACATTCGATCTGAAAGGATCGACCATTGGTCGTGACCTGCAGGAGTCAGATCTTGAGAGGAACCCCCGAGCGACCATGAAAGATCTGAACTGGGTTCGTCGGAACCGTCATCTGGAATGTGGGCCCTCAAAACGAGATATCTTCATTGAGCAATTGAAGCGTGATGTGGTGTTGTTGCAAAAGCTCAAGATCATGGACTATTCTCTTCTGGTGGGGATACACGACGGTGGCAGGGGCAATGAAGAGAAACTGCGCGATAAGACCCTACAGGTCTTTTCTCCTGGGGGTGACCGCGAAGACGAAAACAGTCCCAATGGCCTGATGCGCACCCCGTCCAAACTGGAGAACGAACGCAAGGCTCGGGAGCTCCGCATGCTCATCAAGCGTGAGCGGCCCATTCCTTTGGACAAGGCGGCCGCGAAGATGCCGGACGAGATTCTGGATGAACGAAAATATCATATCTTTTACGCCGATGACGGTGGGTTCCGGGCTACACACGAGAACGGGCAACCTGGCGATGAGATCTACTATCTGGGAATCATTGACTGCTTGACCCATTACGGAACCACCAAGAAACTGGAGCACTTCTTCAAGGGTCTCTCATCCGATCGCACCCAGATCTCACCTATCCCACCAGAGGGCTACGGAGAGCGATTTATCAACTTCATCAAGGGCATCACAATGTCCAAGGAGGAGGCCGAAAAACGACGAGACTCTAGAGTTTCAGCTTCTGGTGCCCCCCAACAATCAACCGAGAAGCGCCGTTCAAGGTCCTCCTCTGTTGAGCGTACCATGCAGGCCGCCGAAAAGGAAGCCTCCAAGGATGTCTCCGTCACCCACCCTCGAACATTAACCACTGTTTGGGACCCAGCGGATGCCGGTGGCCCTGGCCCTACATCGACTCTCCCCATCGTGGACGAAGCTGGTGAGGCAAGCAGCGTTGGCGGCCACAGTTCCCATAGCCGGAATGGGCCCCCAGGAGCCGACAAGGAGCTTCCTCCTGTCCCCGGTGATGCTCCCCCAACCCCACCGAGCAAAGGCAAGGGTGTTGACCGTCATGACTACCTGGCCCCGAGCCCGGCTCGCCATTAGGCCCCCGATCCCTTTGACTTGCACCGCTTGTCATCCCGACGATACCTTTCAATCGTCTCTTTACTTGTTTCTTGTATTCAGCGAGATATCCCCCCTGTCGTTCTTACCACTGCTTTTGATAGAACCAGAACCATTTATTATGTTTCAGCATGGGTCTGCGCGAGGCATCTCCTCTCCCATCCTCCCTTACCCCCCTCCTCCTCTTACTACCACACTTTCGCAAGAAACTGATGTTCACGAGTGACATGTGTATAATCCCCCCTTTGATTGTTGAGCGACTCATCCCCGTCTCTACGTGTGTTGTCTCATTTTGATTTTCGATTTTGTTCATCTCGGATTCCGGTGCAAACTCTCAATGCCCAATCCTCAACTCCTACATTCCTTCAATCTTTCTTCCAAACGTTCTCCATTCTCTACACTCCGTTTGCCAGGCTGCCATACAACCTGTACAGCTTTCGCCAACGCCTATTGACCGAACATATCATCCACATTCTCTATATCATATCCAACAACCCCCGAATCTCCAGCCCCAATACCAGCACTCCTGTGCCAACAGCGAATGCCCCAATCTCTTCCCAACAATCATTGTCAGTTCCAGAATGTTTTCAAAGAACTTTTCAAGAACATCCCGGCGACAGTGACAGTCACAAGTTCCCGGCTCCAACTTTGTTCATACGAACACATTTTTCCTTATTGTACCTCTCTTGTGTATTCCGTCCTATTTCCTCTTTCTTTTTTTTCTCCTTTCTTTTTCTTTTTCTTTTTCTTTTTGCTCCCTATCCTGCTGCCCGAGTCCTCTCCATACCCTGTACCAATCACTATACCACATGTTTTCTCTTGATATTCATGCTTCTACTTGCGGAAAGAGATCCAAATTAGCAGTATCCAGCGTGTGAATCTTTTCTAACTCGTTTTCCCCCCTTTCGTAATCACTTGAAACATCGCATGGCAAGCGTCATCGAGAACTTCAACGTTTACATCGGACTAGACAGACTTGCATCTAAGACAAGCAGTAATTACATTGAGAACTTTGATTCGCTCGCCCATTACGTGAACAACTCTAGCATCTGTTGAAAAAGAACCTTGAAAATCGTTGATTAGACCCAACGTCAAAGGGTAGACAAAGTATCTACCCAATTGCATCGAGCGAACTTAAGATTTCTAAAAGTTCAGAACCAAGGAAAGAAACGTCATAAAAGTCCCATTTCCACCCGAAAATCCGAGGAAAAAAAGAAAAAGGGGGACGTAAAAAGAAAAGAAAAAGATAAAAACGTCAGACCCGTCCGACTATCCCAAACGCCCAAGTAAACCGCAAGCAAAAGAAAAAGTAGAAGCCAAAGAGATCAAACCGCACGAGTCAAAGCCCCCAGCCCTCGACCGGAACCTCTAACCCCAACGGCAAGCACGGCGTCCAGTAAAAAGAGAAGAAATCACTCCGAACGACCCTGAGTAACCTTCGCAGCCTGAATAGCAGACATCTTCTGCGTCCAGCCCTGAGTAGGCTGTGGTTTCTTAACGGTGCGCAGATCATCAGTTGAGAAGCCGGAGATACGCATATTGTAGTTTCGTTCTAGGACGAGTTGGAGATCGCGTAGTTCGAGAGTTGAGGAGGGGCGGAGTTTGGCGAGACGACATGCTTGGGTGATTACTTCGTCGACGAAGTCGTCTGCCATTTGGAGGATGAACTTATGATAGTTAGTTTTGGGATCGGTGTTGGGGATAGGAGTGAATTTGGATTTGGATTTGACTTACTTCTTCGGCATCTGGTGTGAGCATTTCACCTTCGCCGCCGCCGGTGACTTGGCGGACGAGGATGTCGAGCATTTTCTTGGAGAGGACGCGTTGGCCTTCGCCTTCGAGGACGTAGCCGGGATGCTTTTGGATGGCGGGTTGGCCCATCATTCCCATTGCGCCGTGGCTGGGGCCGCCGGAGAGGGAGGGGCGAGAGGCGGGCATTGAGACTGGTTCGGGGGTGGAGACGTTTAGGTTCTTGGGGATGGCCATGTTGATGTTGCGGGAGGTGGTATCGGTTGGGCGGTTGGCGAGGTAGCCCTGGGGGTGAGCTTGGTTGTTTGCTTGGGCTTGTTGGTTGATGGTGGATGGTTGCTGGGGGGTCGGGTTTGTGTAAGTCTGCGCGGCTTGTGAGATCGCAGCTTGGTGGGAGAGGGGACGTGGTGGGCCTTGGTTCACCTGCTGGGGAGGTCCTGGAGGTGTAGGGGTTGAACCATCAGGATTGGGAGTTTGACTGAAAGTGACTTGTGTGCCTGGCGTGCCTTGTTGAGACGGTGCCTGGGGCCGCTGGCCCTGGGGTGGTGGTGCACTGATTGGAACTGGGGTGTTTCCTGCCGACTGCGCTGAAGGGGGCTGTCCAGGCTGGGAAGCGGAGGGGGACATGGCCTGGCCGGCTTGATTGCGTGCGGCGTTCACTGCAGAATTTATAGTGTGGGGAGCTGGGGTTGGTGCTTGACCGGATTGCATGGTGTTCGTCGCACCTGCCTGGGCGTTGGGTACCGTCTGAGTCGCCGCTGGTGGTGCGGCTCCTCCAGCTGCCTGGCCCATATTCGCTGGTGTGTTCGTTTGACCTGTCTGGTTCATCATTTGGCTTTGGGGATTCTGCTGGGACTGCAGCTTGAAGCTTTCCTGCTGTTCTTTAAACTTGTTGAGGAACTCGCTACCTTCCCGGAAGAGCTTCTCCGCAGCCAGTTGTCTGTTCTTGAACTCCTGCATCTCTTCCTGGCTCATGTTACCCTGTGATTGTCGCTGGGCATACGAGGACCGCAGCTCGGCCATGCGAGCCCGTCCCACCTCCTGCTTTTGCAGAGCAATACCATATCGGAGTCGTGCTTCTGGAATCCACGTCTGGACCTGTTCCGGTGTGACGTTCGGAGGGAGGTGGAAGTTGAGTGCGCTCACTCGAGCTTGGATTTGCGGGATAAGCTGATTGAGGGCCTGGGGGTTGTTGGACTGTGTTCGCTGGACCGGCTGACCCTGGGGACCCGGTTGCGCCGCTTGTCCTTGTTGCGGCTGCTGCGGCTGCTGGCCCGGCTGAATCTGACCCTGTTGCGCGCCCGCCGCGCCCTGGTTTTGCTGATGCTGTTGGATCGCTTGCTGGCGGTTTTGTTGGAAGATGCGCATCCCCTTCATCAAGTTCTGCGACAGCTGTGAGAGTTTGGTATGTGCCTGCTGATACTCGTGGGTTTGTGGGTCGCGTGTATTCAGCATCTCCCACAGGCTGCGCACCAACTGCGTGTGCTGGGCCTTTTGTTGATCGGAGAGGTGTGGCAGCTTCTGTACCTGGTCGGTGCGGATCAGGTTGGAGTGCTGTGGTTGTTGTGGCTGCTGTGGTGCAGCCATTGGCTGTCCAACTTGGCCCTGAGACCCGTCCATGGCCGCGATGAGGTTCGGGTTGGTGCTTGGAGGATTGGAGCTGTGAGGAGTCCCACGGCGTGATATGGTGACACCTTCTCGTCGAACGAGTTGGTGATGAATGCGCTGTCTATTTGGTATACAGAAATTCTGCTTCTGAAATGTGTGGAGGATGGTGTGAATGAGGTGTCTGAGAGGGTTCGCGGCGTGCAACTTCTGGCCGCGAGGTTGCTTGGCCCGGGCTCGGTCTTGGCATCCGATTCGGTTCGATCTACGGACATCACTCTATCACTCGCTGTTCGTTGTAGAGCACATTCTATTGTCCACATTGATGCTCTTTGAGATCTATTATTTTCATAGTGCCTTGATATTTGTATTAGGTTTAATTGTTACTATATTGACGTTGGATAAGTGATGAACACAATGGTGGTGACCCATCTATAACTCCTAAATGTCTGAAGACCTCGAATAGAGACCAGCAAATGCATTCAGGAATTAATTGGCCCGCTCAGAGGGCAATTGTAATGACGAACCATGCGGAGCTTTCCGGGGACATAACCAGCCATCCTGGGGAACTTGGTCTTTGCCGACCAGGGTGACATGCACTTTGTGATTATCCCCGCTTCTTCTAGCTTGGGGATCTTTGTGCGTTGCCATCCTTCCTCCTCTGGAGTATACTGCACTAGCTTCGATGCCTTGGGAATGACGTTTGGATATGTAGGGATTCGATGCGTGATGAATCTCGTTACCGGCATGTGGCGAGCTTCTGACACAAATAGGTCCTTGGGTGACCACCATGAATGATTCACTTTGATTAGCTGTAGTGACTGTGTTTCTCCATATTTTTTTGCATCCCCTTCATTTCTGGTTTTTGACGACGGTGTCTTCAGGAACTAGCTGCTTTCAATGCTGGGTTCAAGTTTTACCCGCTGAGCGGGTGGCTCGCCATCAGTCTGGTCGTGGCTAGCGGTTGGTTTCGGAGCAGAGAGGCCAGCGACGGTCTTTGGTGCAACAGCTCCAGCAGATGTCGACGCAGAAGCAACAGCTGGTTCGGACTCCGCAGCGCTAGCTAGCTTGTCATCTTCCACGTGAGGCGGAGTCATCGGGATCTCAAACGGGTCATCGACTAGCGATCCCACCACTTGGGCGAGCTTTTCTTGCATGAGACCATAGGGCTTTGTGCTGAACCAATTGCCAATTGACCTTGCAAAGGTGTCACGTCAACCGACACAAATGGTTGCCCTCTTATCCCTCTTTGTCTGCCTGTATCGTCTCGTACGGAGCAGCGGATTGCATGATCTGGGAGTTTGCAATTGCAATATCCACCAAAGTGACCCGGTTTCCGGACAAACTGTGGGAAAGGGCTCAGAATTGTCATGGTCTGGAAGCAGATGGCATAAGAGATGATCCATTCAGCTCTCTAGACTATCTGCTATGAGGGGGCGGGGTCACATGCGATCCACGGCTGACAAGAATACCCCCATTGCTGTTCCACTGGAAGCGCAAGGGAGGCAAAGATGATGATATTGCGCCCTGTAAGCACGGATAGGGGACGCGGTAACAATTGCGATCATGTTTTGCTTGACATTGATCACACTTGACAATACAGACCCTACCACGAGATTGAATCAAGGAATTCACGGCTGATTGGCGATTCAAATTGTCCCGAATTCTTTGGGATAATGTTTGCTGTTGCTGTCTGCTCTTCATGTCTGGCTCACCCCGGTGGGTTCCCAGTGGTTTCCAGTTGACGCTCCCACTGCTGATATTACTCCACGGACTCTGGAGGGCCAAGAGTAGGCCGATTGTCATTGCGCTCGCCGCCACTGCGACGTTTTCGTCGATCTTTTTCTAGGATCCTTTGGCATGCTAGTATTCATGGTCCTGAGATTTCCGTTGCTGTCAAAGTCGTACGGCCATTTGGCCGCTAGCGTGCTGTTCTTCACATTCTTCGATACACGTAGACCATCAGACCCGACAAGTGTAAACCGGCAGCCGGTTCAACACACTTGCACTCTTCATCAGATTCTGGAAAGCAGCTTCCACTTCTGTCGCTGCATCGGGGTTGAAACGTTCGCCTTCGACCCCGTCGAGTATGATAAAGCGGCTTTCGGCAGTGGAGACTGTGCAAGCTATCGCAACTCCAAATCCGACGAGGAGCTTACTGTATCCTGGTCAACCATAGCGTGGGCCGAGCCTGGTAGGTAGGTCTCATTGGTATTTTTGTCAGCCATGATGAAAGCTGGTCAGGAGTAGGTAAGGTAGTAAGAGAAAACAACCAGTATCGTAACGCTATCGGTCACCATCTGCAGCTGCGAACTAGCACGGGTCACGGTGGTTCATGACCATTATGTCGCAGCTAGCTGAGCGGACTCCCTTTGGGTGGTTCGAGGATATTTTGAGGTTTCATGAGCATATTCATTTTTCACGGAGTGCTCTAAATCTTCGACAAACTCTTCACCCCAGATCAATACTTCGCTGACCTCAAAGTAGTGCTCCGCTTATGTACTTGCAGCAGCCAAGTTTGATCGGGTGGTAAAATGGGGTTCTTGATTTTGGAAATCAGAAGTTCTCGGCAAGCATTGCTCTGTCGCACGAACGGCTTGGCCAAGACTTGCAAAGAAGCCGCTTTCGCCGCATAAATCGCGGAAACCGTGTAAGCCGCGTAGTCCGCGTAAACTGCTGGTGCCGTGATTTCTGCACAATCCGAGTCCACAGCATGGTCTTCTTTTTTCTCTTCTTCACAGCCCGATTCACCAGCTGGGTCTTCTGGACTTTTGACAAATTTATTAAGTTTTTTTTGGCGGTGTTAGAGCCAGCTTGATTGACCAGGCACTCTTGGTGGCTGCCATATTGGCATCGCTCTTGCGCTACATTGAAGTCACTGGTGGCCCAGATCAGCCCACAAACCCAGCAGCGCCTTGCGTGGCGTTTTCTCCATCGCAGAAGGTCATCTATAGTAACCCGAAGAGACAGATAAGCGTTCTGAAGCTGGGTTGGGCCAGAGGGGGCAGAGGTCGGAGTGGGAGTAGAGCTCAGAGCGCTGGAGTTCCGGCCAGTGGGAGTAGGCGTGACCGCTGGCACTGAGGGAGTGGAGTTTGGAGCCCATGGGCCCATACCAGCGGAGCTGGATATTTGCCCAGTTAAGCCTTGCTAGACCTTACGTTGCCGTTGCTATCAAAGTCGTGTGGCCATCGCTCCGCTAGCTCCTTGTTCGTTAGATTCTTGCTGGCCGCTTATACCTGGAGATCCTATAGATGTAGATCCAGTTGATGGGAACCATTTTCCCTGCGTGAGTCACGAAAAGGCACTTCCTGTATGCCGGCGCCGGATAATGTGATTCTCGACACCCTCGACGTTGTGTTATATAACAGGCTCCAGTTGAGTCATGCGTTTTGCCGCAACAACAGGTCTCTGTATTTCTCGAAGACACGGTGATGATGATGACGACGATGATGACCTGGGCAGACTTTGCACGTTCCGCAATGTATTGACTACACGAACCATGTTAGCAGCCATTCAAATTTGATTTCAGCATGTTCATGGGGTAACTTACTCTGCGTAAATCCGGTGTTGTGCTTGATACTCTAATCTCTCTCCGTGACATGCGTCCGAAGAGAGAGGGCCGGACAAGAGATGGAAGGTGCCAGCGTCCGCCACTTAGATGAGACGTGCAATTCCGGCATTGATTGAAAGAAAGTAGGGAGAATAGGAATATGAATATGAATGTCAGAGGCAAGAAACCACAATGCCCCTTAAACTCAGACATGCAGTCCCGATGGCTGGGGGAATGGTAGTCCAAGAGCAAAGCAAACAGTGGAATGCAAAGCAGCATTCGTGGTATTGACCAGATACAAAGAGTATTGTATCTCTGCCTGGAAAGTGATATTCGCCACAGATGTGTAGATCAATGCCATGGATCAGGCTGACCTCCTGAATCTCGACGGTCCTCGCTCCTGAAACGGTGTGAGGGTACGCCGCGAGCCCCCATTTCTCTGTCCTGTCGAAGGCCTTTACCAAGCTTCTGCCGCGGCCCAGAGCGCGAGGAGACAATGGTACTGGGGTGGGGTGAAAAGAAAGCGGGGTCCAGGTTCATCATGCACATGGGTGCGAATGATGGCCATGATAACCTCCTGCCAGGGTCGGATATGGCGGCGCACGCGGTCAAGGTCCATGTAGGCCTGCAGAGAGCGAGACGGCAGGGCGCTGAGCTCGGTACGTGCCGCAGCAAATCGGAAAGCAGGCCCAGCGCGGATGGTAGATGATAACCCCGAGACGAGGCCGGGTAGACCAAAAATCGAGAGATTCATATCGCCGCCCGATTGAATCAGTTTGATTGTTTGCGTGGCACTCGACTTGGGAGTCCACCATTTGGAAGTAGCCTTCTGGAACAGGATCAAAAGCTCCAGTGCTTGAGCTGGCCATATCGGAGACAGGGATAGTTGCAGCTCCCATTGCACAATTGAAGCACGCTCGCAACTTATGCTGGCAGCGAGCGAATGTCAAAGCCCATGACAACCCATGGGATCTATTGCGTTGATACCCCAGAAAAAGCGCTCAGCTTTTGAGCGAGCACATGACGTCCCAAAGAGGATCCAGAGGCTGATTCTCAATCATGCGTCAAAACGCTTCTCCGGCGCGCAGACATATCGTCATCGGGATTATCCGTCGTCATCAAGAGCTGCTTGGGTTCAGTGGGCTTATCATGAACAGCATCATCCGTAGGCCGGAAGATTGCTTCAATGGAGTCTGACTGAGTGAATCTCGCTGATAGGCCAGAGGACTTCACAATGTAGGGTGAAAACCAATTCCCGCAGAAAAAATAAAGATGGTCTTCATTTCTCGCCGCGGAAATAAATCGGTCGATCAAGAGGATGTCCACCTCTGATATGCCATCGTAGCACATGGCGAAGATAATCGAAACTCAAGGAAAGTGATGAACAGACGGGATGCCAAGCATCAATGCATCTTGTGATTGCCTGTCTCGAGGGAGACTGGTTGAGAGAGCCTCTTGCAACGGAATCTTCAGGCAGGTTGAGGTCCAACATGGCCCATCATTTGTATCGGAGAGAACAGGGGCCTCGGGAGTGTACCATCTGCACACGTTCAGGGCCACCAATATCAGCTCCATCCGGAGACTGTAGGTTGGTTATAGCAAGGTACTCGCGTCTCCGTTTCTTTGAGAGCGTTGTTGAGAGAACTCCTAGAGCCTAAGAAAAGACATATCAGGCATAGTGATAACAAGCTGGTTTCAGAAGAAAAAGCCGAACTCGCTATGAAACTGTAGATTTAGGTTGCAAAGCAAAAGACAGACGGGAAAAGAAGAGAAGAGAGAAAGTAAGATGATTGAAAAGATCATGACGTACCAAAGTTTTTTTAGTTCGCTTTTGAATAGAACTCAGTTTTTCTTCACCGAGGGCTCACTTCAATCGGATTAGAAAAAGACATGACAGCAAATATCATAGGGTGGACTCACAAGATGATGTAGATTCAGGTCCCTCTTGGAGAGCCCATGCGTGATTGCAGAGAAGTGATAAGCGTTCGTAGTTGATGACATCACGCAAGAATCGGTAATCCCCCGACTCGTGTTCCAGCAAGCTAAGTGGCTTGCATAGGATGGATGGATGGACGTGGGAATCTCCAATGGCGACTCAATTCAAGTGCCATCCCGGCACTTTAAAAAGGTCCATTCACGCAGCACGACAGATAGACCGCTGAAGCAAAATATGCGACATCGGGAAGGCAAGCAAGGGCCGCCGTGAGAGACGTGTGACTTACCCCCGGACGCATAATTTCGCGGGTGTCACGGGCTGTGTTGCGTAGAACCGATCCCGAAGGCCCCGGGAGTTCATTGAGTGCAACAAAAGAGCCTCGGCGAGCGGGTTGTCCATTGACGGAGTGGTGTGCCTGAGAGGGACGGCCAACACCACAGCAAACAAGAGTGGGAAAGCGGGCCTCAATCCCAGCGCGCAGCCCAAATTTGATCGTTTGCTTCTCAAACGGCAGGTGATTGAGGAGGAAAAGGTTTGTTTGGTAAAAGAGACCTGCGAGAGACGCAATGACAAAGATGCAGCTAGCATCGACTGCCTTGATCGACCAGAACTTGGTGCACGATCTGTGAGAGATGCTTTGCTTAGCAGAGTTCGTCAAGATTGGCCATTCTTTCATTCAAGTTTGAATCATGATGGGGTCAAAGAGCAACCACATGTTAGGCAATGATGCATTAGAGCCAAAGGGGTCTTATAGTCACTCATCCCCGAGACATGACCGAGGAAGTATTCTTTCTGACTTTGAAGCGGAGTCGGTTTCGGCAGACTCGACATGGACAATCTTCAGAGTTGTAAAAGCGTCGAGTGGGGTCATTTGGAAAATGCCACCACTAATAGAGCCATGGTTTTTATAAGCTCTTTCAACCTCAACTGGTTGCTTGCTGTTAAACAGCTCTGATGTGCCGTTTGAGAACCATATGCTTTGTGCGAAACCACTCTTTCGGCAAGTCGTCTTTTCAGCTCAGCAGTCCACCATAAATGGATAATGTGAACGTATTTTGGGTTAGCCAAGACGTTGCGGTATTTCTTGGCTTTGGAGCGGCAGACTTTGAATTTCAAATTGAAGAAAGTACCGAGCTGTTTAGCATTTTGGTTCATTGACCGGTGTGTGGTGGTTTGGCCCATGATTGCATAGCCATCGACAAGCTGATGGTCCAGGTTGCCTGTGAATGTAGCAAATTTAGAGGTTACCCTGCATTTTTCGATCAAAATTTCAACGCCCTTTTCAATCTCATTTGTGGCAATGTCGCATCTGTCCCTTGCTCATATTGATACCCGGATGTGGTAATTTTCGTTCAACAGTCGTCCATGAGACCCAGCCGGCACAGAATACTTGTGTAGAACGTGGCAGAGATCGAGTATTTAGAATCCGAATGCCCATCGTTGGTAGAGGTCTCGAAACAGGAACCACCGATACCATCGAAATTCGTGATGTCGCCCGCTAGATGTGCCAAGGGAAGAGGCATCATGCTAGCAACTGCCCCAAGGCTAGTGTTAGGGCAGAGATCACTGTAAGAGCAAGTTTGAGTTGAACCTTTTGACAATGAGACCCCGATGTCGTCTTCTTCAGGATTCAATCTCTTCTCTCGTAGCGAGGAAGATTGAGGCATGGTGTGCATGTTTTGGGGAAGCTCCCATGGCATCGTGAGTAGACCTTGGACTAAATGTGCAGTGAGGGAGTTAGTTGAACACATTTTTGAGAGGATCTTGGGTCTGCTGTCATTATCTGAATTTATCTTCGTCAGCGCGGTGAGGATAACAGCTCGGAGACAGCACCGAGGAAGGGCTTCATTGGTCTCAGGCTTTCTCATCTGCTGGGAGAGTTTGACCTGAGCGCTCTCTCTCGGATTCAGATCACCTGTGGTAATTAGCTGGAAGATTTGTCAGGATGGGAGAGGGCTCTGGCACCCTCACTTGTGTTGTAGTAAGAGAATTAAAAGCCCACGGGGAGCGGCGATTCATGAGTTATGACCTTGGATGTTTTTGTTGGTATGTCGAACAATGCCCAGGGCCATTTTGTATTTGATCGAGTTTTTGGTGTCCATTTTGAGCGTCGTTGAAGGGAAATGGTTCGAATACCTTCCAGGCTCTGATTGCGGATATGGCATCGAGATAGAGGCCTAGAAACGTGAGCTGACAGTGTTTGCTGAGATCTGATGGCCCGAGTGATATTGCGTGCTCACGAAGCAAGTCAGCAGGAAGAGAATTGAAGTCATTTGAGTCTCTCACATCTTTTGAGTAACTGCATCAAGTTCCACTTCGGGTGAGTTGTGGACGCTATTAATAGGCGATGTTGGGCCAATGAAGACAATGAGGAGGAACTCGAATCTTCGCTCAGTTTTTGTAGTCAGGTCTTGATGGTAGAAAGCGAAACAGATCCGGAATCTTCGTTTGTTTGAGTTTATGAGCGCTCTTTTCACTGCCGAAGAAATCTTGTAGCTGATTCACCGTCGTTTTGTTTGCACCAGCTCTTGACGATAGGAACGAAATGTGGTGAGTTCATGAGATCAATCTGCTTCAATGATTCAGCTCAGCAAAGTGGGCTCGAATCGTCTTGAGCCACGGGTGACGTTGATGAAGTAGCCTGCCGCAGTCTTCACGTTGCTGATCATGCCACACACGTCTTCCTCGGTTTTCTGCCACGCAAGCTCACCGAGATACAATCAATGTGATGGTTGCAAAAGGGTGGTGGGCTTTTTGCCGACTTTTATCAATTTCTTTTCTTTTGGTGCTCACAGAGAAACAGGCAAAGTGCGGCGAGGCTTAAAACGCGAGGCCGAGATATTGTTGAGCATCAACATTAATTCATGTGCCGTAAATGGTGTGTGATAGGTCTGCTTGAAGAAAGATGACCCATCATCACATCCATTCTCCTTATGGAAAGTTGAAGACCGGTCATGTCTCTCTCTTAGAAGTTTTCTCAGCGAGAGGCTTTGTGTCTGGGTGCCCTGGTGACACATGCTAGGGCTGCAAGGTCCTTTTCTTCCATCTCCCATCATGTTTCCTGTTTCGAAACGTTCAGCTGGAGAGTCTTCTGGTGCATGTCCGAGCCTGTGGTAGGGCCTACTCGGCCGGGTCACTTGGGGATAGCACACTTGTTAAGTCAAAGTTTATGGCAAGGAGGACATGGGATTTCTCGATGAACTCTCGTTCAGCACAGAGAACCAAAGAGACATAGTTCTTTTTTTTTTTTCTCATACCGGTCGATCCCTTCTCTCAATTTCTACATAGATGTCCGCACAGCTAAGTGGAGCTGCATGATCGACTGTGATGCTGAAGGGGTTGGCTGGCTGATCTGAAACTACAGGTCGTGCCATCCGAAACTAAATTAGGTCATTCAAAGAATATATGGTTGACCCGTTAATGAAACTTGATGTAACAAGAGTAGCCCCGGTGTGAATAATTTGCCATGAAATTAAGCAACAGATAACTGGCAAGTCTTTGCAATGTAAGGTTCTGTCCGATAATCAAAGGGAGAAGGGAGAGGATTCTTAGAGTGGAAGATGCCCTTGCTTGGCACTGTATATGTGTCCCCGAAGATAAGCCCACAAGCCTGTAACTATTCGATGAGCTTTGATGAATTTATGTTGAGAACACTCGCTGCTTCCATTTTATTCTTGCTAGTTGTGATGCCAGTGCCTCCGCAATCGAATGTCTCCATGTCGCTTCATAGAGATATCAAAAATATCGAGAAGAGATGAACAAACAAATCAGTCCACGGGTCTTTGAGTGCATGATAGGTCCTCAGATTTTATCATCAATTCACTGAAGGTCAGATCTCACATGCCGATTTTAACACCGTACTTGACTCGTGGTCGATCTATCTCGAATGATGACTTCGAAATTCCACATCTCTTGGCGGAATGATAGCACAACGTCAGCATGGAATGCTGAAGAACCTTGGAATTACCTTGTTGTAATGATCTAATTCATAAGCCATACATGTCGTATAAATCAAGCGTAAAATGCAACAGCAGCTTTGGATATGGTCAGTTTACTTTGATAGTTCAATCTTGCACAGGTGGAACGGTGATACCTGACCGGCTCCATCTCTTGGCTACTGCTCTGCGAATATTCCGATACTAGTCCAGGGATCTTTCAATTGCCCGAGAAGACCCTTGAGAGTGACAGTTCATTACCTAGCCCGTGGAACCTTGTCCTATTACCCAAAAATTTAGAATTGTTGTGGAATACCAAGGTTTGACTCCATCCTAATACTCGACATGGAAGGGTTGAAAGAAAAGACACTAACAGTGACCAAAGTAATATCCACATGGCAGACTCTCTGCCACTGACTGAACGATGTGGCCAATCAAAATTGCGTCAATTCCTCACAGAAGAGATTCGTGAAGATCTCCTCCTTGAATGTGAGCTTTTGCTTCTCTCCTTTGCAACCGGTATCCAAGATGCCGCTGCTTGGCCCGATTATAGTTGCTTCGCATCGAACCAGACTGGAAATACATTGTTTCTAGCCATCGGTGTTGCAGGACTCACGAACAATGCGTACAGCTTTCCAAACATCGGGGTCAGTCTCAGTCTCTTTGTGGCAGGTGGTTTCACCATGGGACAACTCGGGAACTATGTTGGTGTCCGACGGCGGATTTGGCTTCTCATCAGCAACCTTGTCCAGACGTCTTTGGTCTTTGCGGCAGTTGCCATTCAGTACTCATTCCCAATTCAAAGGGACGGCCCCACGGCCATGGCTGTTATCGCCCTTCTGGCATTCTCGTCGGGAGGTCAAGTGGCTATGAGCCGTTCATTGAAGATCACTGAGATCACCACGGCCATGGCAACAGCTGCGTTTGTTGATGTGGTTGTGGATCCCAACTTGGGCAGATTGAAGAATCGATTGCGTAACCGCCGAGTCATGTTCCTGGTGATGCTGACTGCCGGTTGCTTTGCCGGCGCCTTTGCTCAGCGTGAAGTCAGCTCGACATTTCCTATTTTGTTGTGTGCTGTTGGGAAATCCATAGTCACCATGGGATTCTTGTTTAACAGGCCGATGGTGATAGAGAGCTTGAAAGCTTAAGAATTCGAGGACAAAGGAATGAAAGACATCCACCTATTTCGGACGGTTAGATATAGATGCAGTCCACATCCATGGATGATCTGTACAAGACGTTCAACTGGCGGACCGTACACGATTCAAGCCAGGAAGCTTCAAAGTACTTGGAAATAGAAACAAAGCATCCTTCGAACCTGTACCCAAACTGAAAGAGCATGAGTGAGGTGGTAAAGTTGTGGATCGAAGGTTCCAAGGGTGGCTTACCAAAGTGGGGCGTCTACCCGCAGCCGTTTTCCGCCTCCACTTCTCCACTCTCTACTTCCTTACTTCCCTACCTCTCCCTTCTTCGGGGTCGACTTCTTACGGGCATTTGTTTTTCACTCTCTTTCAAAGCTCTATTCAAGTATCGCCCTATATCCAACATGCCGCGCCAAGACTTCTTGCGAGATCTTGATCAGGCAGCGGCCGCTGACCGCTTTCCCTGCCTCTCCAACATCAGGGCAGGGGAGTATGATGGATCAATCTCATTTGACTTCATTGACCCCGTCACCGAAGTTCATATTGATCTTCAGGCTATTGTGTCAGGTGATAGATGCTGGGAATCCTCATCATGAGAAGCTATACTGATCATGGAAACAGACTCCCATGATTATCTCAAAAATCACACTTATCTCGTCTTCGCAACCTCCGAGAACTGCCCACCAACAGTCAATAAGCTTCTTGAAAATTCAGTAGCTCTACTCGTGGGATTCACAGTGGATGAAATGCTGAGCACGTTGGCGAGAATCATCACCGATTCCATGACCAACTCTGACTCCGCACCCATAGTTTCCGGGGATGAGAGCGAGTCTGATTTTAATGAACGTGAATCAGTCAGCAGTACTGAGACTAACAATCAAGAGTGGGAGTCTGATGAGGAAGAAGACCTGTCGATATTCGCTCAAAGCGATGCTCAGCTACGGGCCTACATTCGCCGTGATTTGGGTCTGGCCAAAAGAGCTGGGTTTAGAGTGGGATACCTGGGCTCGGAGACTGGAAACTTCATTGTGACAATGTCATGCCGCATCTCCAAGCTCGCCATCTCCGATGAAGCCATGCATACCTGGAACGTCAAGCCCTCAGAATACGTGGTGCTGCTAATTCGCTACACGCCGAACTACATGGATCTGCAGAGAATGGTGCAGTTGGATCGCGATACAAGGAAGACCTTCGTTCAGATGCACGTTGGTCTCTGTAATTCCTACAAACCATCTCTGCAGCAGGCCATGTCTGTCTTTCAGGGCATACAAAATTCCCAGACGGAGGAAGAGCACATCTTTCCAGACAACGCGATGGGAACCTTACGACCACTCTTCATCGGGACATCATTGAACTCACTTCTTGAGGAACGCTTCCTGGGAATTCTCAAAATTCGCCTAGAGCATTGCCTTTCATGGACGGGAGCGGAGCTTCTCTTCCACACCAATCAAGGAAAAACTCACGGTGGCTCTGATTTGAATTTAGAGCCTTATCAGCAGCCAGATAATTGGGCGGCCTCAAGACCCAAGTTTCTTGCAGCAGATCATGTGGCCGATATGGACCGCAAAATTGACGAGATATCTTTCCCTCTGTCAGCCATGCAATTCACTCTTCGACATTTTGTGAAATGTACGGAATTTTGCTTGGTCTGCCACTGCAAAACAAATGATACATTTGAAGCAATAAAGCCGTACGTCTGCTCCAGTGGCCTTTGTTTGTACCAGTACATGGCACTTGCCATGGGGCCAAGTCTTGAATACGAGATTCGCTCACAGCCCCTCGTTGTTGAGCTTTTGATCAGCCTTGCATGCTACGGGGCCATCTCAGGCGATATTGGAGATCTTCCGGAGGGTCTTCGGCTTCGAGTGCCAGCAAAGTTATCTCAGCCTGCGCCAGAGAATGCAAAGCTTTGTGATGGGGATTTCAATCCCGCCAAGCTCGATATGCGGACGGATGTGCATAATATTCTCCGAGCTGGTGACTGGATTGTTATTCTCGCTGATACAAGCATCCATGGCAATGCAGAAATGAAACAGTGGCATTGCCGTGTTGAGCACGTGAGTGAAACATCTGGTCACATGGATCTCTCACGTCCGATCTGTGAAGGTCGACAATTGGGGCAGGAAGGCCTCCCAAGTGATTACATCAAGGTGAAGTTTGCGATCTATGACACAGACCTGGACGACTTGGAGCCAATTCAAAAGCGCAGCATGATGTTGGCTCTCCTCGGTACAATTCCAGATGTCCAGACAATGCACTCTTATATCAACAAAAACAATGGAAACAACAACTCCCTCTCGAACTGGAAACAAGTTCTCTCTCCCGCCGCATTGAACCTTTTACGCTGGGTCGTTGCCTCCAACAGATCTTACATCAGCCAAGACAATCAGGATCCATCTTATCAAGTGACTGGAATGAACGGATGGGTTCAATTTCGCCTTGTTCAGGGCGCGGCCGACAAAGAGCAGCGCTTTACAGATGCCGTCAACTCTGTCTCATTGGCAAAGAACCCCAACCATCCCACCCTATTCGCATGGCATGGAAGCCCGACATCTAACTGGCACAGTATTCTGCGTGAAGGTCTTCATTTTAAACGGGTCGTGCATGGTCGTGCAAGTGGTCATGGCGTGTACATGTCGAGACAATTCGATGTTTCGATAGGATACGTTTCTAGACATGGATATCTCTCCCTGCCTCCAAACCGTCTAGTCATCGCATCGGTGATGTCACTGAACGAAGTCGTCAATTCACCCGAAGACTTCGTAAGCAGCCACCCACACTATGTTGTGCAGCATCTGGACTGGGTTCAACCACGGTATCTCTTTGTGAAAGCCGCGAGTCCCAAGCTTGCTGTGATGGACTGGTTGGGGTCACCCCGCACCAAGTCACCAAGCAAAGGCCTGATGTACAAACAAGATCAAACTCGCCTTGCCTGCGGTCCTCATGGAGGTCCAATCGAAATCCCTATCTTGGTACTTACAGGCAAACGAGGACAAGACCTCCGTGCCAGTGCCAATGCCACATCCAATTCGTGGATGGGGAAACTTCTGTCATCTCCCAAGAGACGTAAACTTTCCATCGAAGGCGAGGGATTATCTGACAATGACGAGGACATGAGTGTCAAAACTGACGAGGAAGATATCAACATCTTGCTATCCGATGATGAACTCCCTCAAACTGAGACCCCACTTCCAACAAAACCTATTGACAACGCCGACTTGAAGACCGACTTCCTTCCTGGGACCTTGCTAGAAAGCACCTTACCCAGACTCTCCCCTCCCCAATATGCAACTACCATAGCCACAAAAGCCCTTCAACAGCATCTGAACACAGTTCTCAAAGTCCAGAAGCAGGTCCCACTGCAGGATCTCGGCTGGTACGTTGACCACAGTCTAATCAATACAGTTTACCAATGGATCGTGGAACTACACTCCTTCGACCCTGAAATTCCCCTGGCGAAAGATCTGAAGGCAGCCAAGATGCAAAGCATCGTCTTGGAACTTCGTTTCCCTGCCCAATTCCCCATGGAGCCCCCTTTTGTACGAGTGATCCGCCCCCGATTCCTCGAATTCAGCCTGGGAGGCGGCGGCCATGTCACGGGTGGAGGTGCCATGTGCATGGAGCTTCTCACGCAGTCTGGATGGCTGCCAACTTCCTCCATCGAAAGTGTGCTGCTGCAGGTCAGGATGGCTATCTTAAACCCGGAGCCCCGACCCGCGCGCTTGTCGCAACGTACTTCGAGGCAAGAATATTCGGTTGGCGAGGCTGTGGAAGCTTATAAACGGGTTGCGCTTGCTCATGGCTGGAAGATCTCAAGTGATTATGCGCAGATTGCGTGGTAATCCTAAACTACTGCTTTTTTTAACGGCCTATGGTTGGCCTGGCTTTACTCAAGAGAGATTACATTAATGAGTATCTCGGAATAGATAATATCACGGAATGGTAATTGAAAATTCGTTTTGCACTAATATAGACCGTAGTGGGTAGTGGAATGCCTCCGGACGAAGTAGTAAATGTGTGAAAATGGTGGGCAGCTGGCGTGTAAATCACTAGGCCAGAGCCTTGGAAGACTCAAGATGACAGCGCTTTATGTTCTGTTGCCAGGACCTGTATCTAATAGTTCACAACTGTAGTCCTTCGCGGCCGTCACAGGATGGAGTATGATGACATTTACGCCCTCCTGTTGGATGCTCGAACTTGGCCTGGGTACGAAGGTGCATAACTGGACGCTTGCTTGACGAATATCTCGGGAGAAAGTAGGGATAAGGACAAGCTCATCGCTGGGTATAGGGCTGCTTGTAGTCACGACCTTGGCATCGTGCACGTTGTACACCCTGAATGGCTATCAAACCAGGTGGAGCACAAGGGGTTGACACAGCGGGGCTAGAAAAATCACAGGGAGCGCGATCAACTTGATGTCAAGTTGTAAGTGGATGTCGATGTGCTAGCATCCAGTCGTCTTCAAGAATGAACCTTGAAACGTCCTGGACGGAGTATCATCGCGAGCGAAGCACGGGGTGTGTCGATTGACATCATTTGTATCGGAGAAACCTTTGCCGTGGTTACAGAGGCCCGTGGGTCACTGCGACTTCTGATGAGCAATAAGGTGGGCCATGAGCATTGATGAGCAGGGCTTGGCAATATGGAAACAAATTCACGTTGCATAGAAGGCTCAGCCAACCAATCCACCGAGATCTCGTTCCATTCCGGTGACCCGTTCTTGCAGGCCTCGTTTCCTCAGCTCGAGGTCTCGAATCTCGGCCATTTCACGCTCAATGTCTTCATCGCTGATCTCTGGTACATCAGGCTGTGCCACAGGTGCAGGCTCCAACTCGTCTTCTTCGTCTCCATAAGAACGCCGCATTTGATCTAGCTCTGCGGTGTTTGTTGCGACTCTTGCTTCCAAGCGTGCTATGGAATCCGATATCATTTCATGTCGGTAGCGAAGATTGGCGATCTTTTGCTGTGCTCCAGCGACAGGGCTTGAATCTGGTTAGACTGAATTCCTCTGCATCGCTTGCTCTGCGCCACTTACTAGACATCGCACAATATCTCAGCACCACGGAGAAGAACTTCAATGTTGACTTCCCCGCGGGGTCCTCGTGTGGAGGTGCCTGCTGACCGCTTGATCTCTTCCATCATATCATGGCCCAGGACTCTTGCTACTGCAGACTGATTGCGGTTGTTTCGTGCAGAATAGATCCGACTCGCCATCGACTCGGGTTCAGACTCGGCGGGGAACATGGTCCCGCGTCGAGTGGCGCGTCTTTGTGAGCCATGGGATTTGGCAGCGGGATCGACCTGGAAAAGCGCTCGTTCATGGGCTTCAGTGTCGCGAATCAAGGCTGTAATGTCGTGAGAGCCTAGGAGGGCCGTGGTAAAAATGCGAGGGCGAGGAAATCTGAGCGCTTGCGTTAGCTGTAGCAACTTGGTCAACGGGTTCTACATGGACTGACGGCAAGTCTGCAATAGCATTGGAGGAGAGTGTAATTTGCTCCAAATGGGAATCAAGAAGAGTCATCTTTGAAAGTGTGCTCACGCTGTGAAATGTCAAGGTGTGTAGTTGGATGGCGTTTGTTGTAGCGCAACTGTTTACTCCAAGCTGTAGTGACACCTGAGGCACCCAATTTAGAAGAAGCCTGTGTATCAGCAACCACGATGGGTTTGACTGCCTGAAGAGCAAACCAGTTCTTTTATACACAACTCTTCACCACTGACCAGCTTCTCATTTCCTATATTATTTTCGTGTCAATTTTCTGGTAGCTTCGACTGCAGAAACGATTGCCGGGTTAAGGCCGGTAAGCTCTTGTGACTAAGCACTCATCTGGTCTCTTGCGCCCGTTCATCCCATCTCTTGACATCACATCCACCCATCCACTTCATCCATCCCTCTGCACCAGTTTTCTTTCATCATATCTGTGATTTTGACAGCTTGACTCTCTTGGGTTTGCCTGTCTGCTTCATATCTCTAGGCCGTGCTCATTCGCCCCCCTACTTCTTCCGGTAGCTTGGAAGCTCAGTCGAGCTCAACAGCTTCAGAAAGATGCCGGCCGAAAGGCGCTCTCTGCGATCAAACAACAAATCTGATACCTCTTCATCTGCTAACGGTGAGAAGGGGCCTTCAGACTCTCAAAACTCGGGTGCGAAAGACAAGGCGCCTACCACACGCGCCGCCGCCAACAAAGCCAAAGCCCAGCCCAAGAAGGACGCAAAGGGCGCATCAAACGGCGAGATGGGAGAGGATGACAAGTCGCACACCAATGGGTCCAAGTCAACCGGGAACGGTGTGAACGGATCTGAAGATGTTGAGATGGGAGAGGACACGGCAGGTGCGCCTACATCCTCAATCAACGCCAACAAGGACCGCAAAGGTAACGAGAAGATGACTGTTGTAGTGCCCCCGACCAAGGGTTCCAGATCATCTGGCAAGGACAAGGGAGAGGATGTGACAATGGAAGGTGCGGAAGACGATGCTGAGAACGCTGAGCCTGAGGTCGACCCGACAACCAAGGCCATTCAAGGTTTGTCAACTTTCCTTTCCCGGTCAACAATTCCTGGAATTTTCTAACGAGCCTGACCTCTTTTCTTCATGGATTCAGACATCAAGACCAATTTCACCTTGCTCGAGCGAGCCGTTGCCCACTTCGACCCCAGATTCACCCTTCGTGTCCTACGATCGATATCCTCGATGCGGAAACACCTCACTCCGGAGGTCCTCGCGGAGGTCATTGTGGAGACCTACTCTCCTTCGAGCTCCACGGCTACCTTCCTTCTGACGGCACTCAACCAAGCGAACGCTTTCGAAAATGCCCCGGCCAACTCACAGATGGAGGTTGACTCCGAGAAGAAGACTGCACCCAAGGAGACTCTTGCCGAGGTGGACGCATATCTCTCGATCCTCGTCCAGATTTACTTGTTCGACCAGCGAGAGATTCAGAAGGGAGCTCAGTTCTCAACAGATTTGATCGAACGCCTGCGAGCTCTCAACCGTCGCACCTTGGATTCTCTTGCCGCGCGCGTGTACTTCTATTACTCCCTCTTCTTCGAACAAATCGCCCCGCTTCCTCCTTCCCCTGCCGCGGCCGTTACCACCATTCGTCAGTCATTGCTGGCGGCTCTGCGTACTGCCGTGCTCCGGAAGGACGTTGACACACAGGCCACTGTGATGACACTGCTGCTTCGCAACTACCTGTCTACATCCCACATCTCCCAGGCCGATCTTCTGATCTCTCACAACCCCTTCCCTGTCGCTGCATCCAACAACCAGATCGCTCGGTATATGTTCTACCTCGGCCGCATTCGTGCCATCCAGCTGCAGTACACTGAGGCCCACAGCCACCTCATCGGGGCCACCCGCAAGTCTCCCGCTAGCCCCGTGGCTCGTGGCTTCTACCAAGCTTCTCACAAGCTGTTGGTGGTCGTTGAGCTGCTGATGGGTGATATTCCAGACCGTTCCGTTTTCCGTCAACCGGCTCTGGAGCGAGCTATGCACCCTTACTTGTTGCTTTCTCAAGCAGTCAGTGTTGGTGACTTGGATGGTTTCCTTACCATTGTCAACACCCACAGTGAAACTTTCCGCAAGGATGGTACATACACCCTCATTCTGCGCTTGCGCCAGAACGTGATCAAGACAGGCATCCGTATGATGTCACTCTCTTACTCCCGCATCTCTTTGCGGGATATCTGCCTACGCCTCGGTCTCGACAGCGAGGAGTCTGCTGAGTATATTGTAGCTAAGGCTATTCGCGATGGTGTCATTGAGGCTACGCTTGACCACGAGCATGGCTTCATGAAGAGCAAGGAGGTCGGTGATATTTACGCCACTCGAGAGCCCGGTGAGGCGTTCCACGAGCGCATTCGCGCTTGTCTGGCTCTCCACGATGAGAGTGTCAAGGTATGTTATTGGATATTCGCTGTGAACCATCTTTTGTGTTCTGTTTTGCTGACGTCTGACCTAGGCTATGCGCTTCCCCATGAATCAGCATCGCCTGGAGCTCAAGAGTGCTCAAGAGGCTCGTGAGCGTGAGCGTGAGCTTGCCAAGGAGATCCAGGAGGGTGACATTGATGATGAGGACGCCGGTGGTGATTTCGATGCCATCTAAACAGGAGGAGTGTGGTTGTTCCATAAATCGATACAGTATTTTTTTCACCTTCCGCACCGGCCCCATGGGTCACCACATCGTAGGGGGCTCTATATCTGTGTGTTAATTATGCCATGTTGCTTTGATTATGATCTTATTATTTCGGGTGTGTAGGGGAATGCGCTGGGCTTGATCGGCGTGGTTTCTGTGTCTCTTATACTGGAATAATTTCTTGCATGGGGTAACAGGCCTGTAGTAGATGTGTTTGTAAAGCCAAAGACTACCCAGAGTGTTTCAAACCAGAAAAAAAAAGAACCAAAGAACCACAGAAGAAAACAAGACACGAAGACATGAAGACATGAAGTATAGCGCAGTCCGCAGGGCTACGGAGTCGCACCGGGTCCGTGCCGACCCGAGAGAGCTCGAAATCTTCCCGCAAGATTGTGTCTCTGTCCTGTTACTCCGCAAACACCTCACATCGACACTGAGGGTTTCCAATGCTTTGACTCTCGCTTTTCATTCATCTCATCTGTTAATACCTGAAAAGCTCTTTTACTGAGCATGGGAGCTCGAACCGCTTCGGCCACCGGGCTGATCCTCTCACGACCGACCTCTACCTCCATCTGCTCCCAATGCCTCCGCGATGACCTCCGTTTGACGCATATTGCCCTTCAAACTCGCAAATACCATCCCACACGTCGGAGGGATGCCTCACCCTTCGGAGCCGCCGTGTCGGCGGCCCAGGCCATCTTCAAGGGTATGCCCAAGGCGCCTCCAGGTGTCTCGGTGGATCCATTGAGAATGGTGGGAAAAGAGCTCAAGTTCCTCTCCAAGAACATCCGTCAATTGCTCGGCTCTGGTCACCCGGCGCTCGACAAGGTCGCCAAATACTACACTCACAGCGAAGGCAAGCACATGCGACCCATGCTGGTCCTCCTCATGTCCCAGGCCACAGCTCTGGACCCGCGCAAGCATCACACCTACTCTGATAAACCGAGTCCCGTCGATTCCTCCTTTAGCGCGCCGTCAATTCTCGAAGACGCCAACCCCGAAATGAACCCGCTCGTGTCCCACAAGGCCGAGAGCGAATACAACATTGCTGGAGACGACAACATCCTGCCGTCCCAACGCCGACTCGCCGAAATCACCGAGTTGATTCACACCGCATCGCTTCTGCACGACGATGTCATCGATAACGCAGTGACGCGCCGCGCCAACAGCTCCGCAAACTTGGCATTTGGAAACAAGATGGCAGTTCTGGCTGGTGATTTCTTGCTCGGACGCGCCTCGGTGGCTCTGGCTCGCTTGCGCGATCCCGAGGTTACGGAGCTCATGGCTACTGTGATCGCCAACTTGGTGGAAGGCGAGTTCATGCAGCTGAAGAACACCGCACAGGACGAAAAGAAGCCTGTGTACACCGATGATACCCTCAACTACTACCTTCAGAAGACCTACTTGAAGACCGCCAGTTTGATCAGCAAGTCTTGCCGCTCCGCTGCGGTTCTGGGCCGCAGCGCGCCGGAGGTGATTGAAGCTTCATATGCTTACGGTCGTAACCTGGGTCTTGCTTTCCAGCTCGTGGATGATATGTTGGATTACACCGTTACCGAGGCGGAGATGGGCAAGCCTGTTGGTGCGGACTTGGAACTGGGTCTGGCGACCGCGCCGCTGCTTTTCGCTTGGAAGAGCAACCCGGAGCTTGGTCCTCTGGTTGGACGTAAGTTCAACCAAGAGGGCGATGTGCAACGGGTATGTGATACTGAAATCCGGAATTTGTTCGAACTATGATACTGACTGTTTTTTTTTTTTAGGCCCGTGAACTCGTCCACCAGAGCAACGGCGTTGAGCAGACTCGTGCCTTGGCTCAGGATTACGCTGACAAGGCCATTGCTGCCATCAGTGATTTCCCTGACAGCGAGGCCAAGACCGGCCTCATTGAGATGTGTGAGAAGACAATGAAGCGGAGGAAGTAAGAGTGTCCTCCCATGTAAACATATTGCTTTTCAGCTTGCCGACCCCATGTGTACACGGGTCACTGCGTTGTTTTTTTCCCTTTCTTATATGCCTGTGTATACTTAGATATCTTAGATGATTGAATACATATCAAATCTTCACCCTAACAGAGGCCGGCCATGCTGGGGATCTGGATCCAGGTATCAAGACAACCGCCCACGGTAGATCAGCCTTCGATATGTGTCGTCAATTTCCTTACTTACTTTCTTCGGCCTGGCAGCAGTCACGAGCGGAAAGAGCCTGTGTTCAGCTGCGTGAAGACAAACCTACAAAAGACCTGCGCCACCTCCACTCACTGAAGAATGGTTTCAAAAGCTAGCCACACGCTTCAAGCCAAGCAGCGGCTGACGCACTTCGCCAACTTGAGAGTATGAGGTACACCTGGAAGGACAGACGAACTCCGGTCACCCTCGCGACTACACTCTGACTATGCGCATCTGCTCAAGTAGACTGGAACAAGAGACACTAATGACCAATCACAAAGATCGCCCACAATACTGATGCATCCCTAGCTCGCGATTATCGTGAGCTGCCGCAATTCGTCACGGGCATATCTCCTGTTGAAGCCGAACTTCCACCTTGAGAAGTGGCAACAGCAATTCCACGAGCGCGGCGCGTCAGATCAACCCTCCCCGATTGTCAAAACGTGCAGAAGACTCGCCAACATATCTTACCAAGTCAACTCATGAAGAGCGGCAGTACAACCATTCCATACCCCGGTCAGATGAAGCGAGGGCAGCCAGGAGATCAGTTCGATGTTTCGCGAGTTGAAGTTGGCTGTTCCGAATCGTCCCTGAACTCTACACTGGCTAAGAGGCAGCGGAGGACGATCTCAGGGTGCAATGACCGTGGAGTACCAAAGACACGGAGATTGTGCTAGAGGGAGCCGTGTCATTGACCTGCTACGGCATATTTGGACTGAACGCCCCAGACTTGCATCGGCGAACAACTCGGACATTCTCCACTGTTGGATGGGATGAGCAGACTCGTGGGAGGAATATCAAGACTCGTCTGTGTCCAGAGATTGTTAGCTGACATGAGACTACGGTCCCAGTTTGATAGCTTCAATCACCTCTGGAGGAAAGTTCCAGGGTTGTTTGACCCAAGATATTGCACGGCTTGCTTCAATGATCATTCTTCGCAGTAGGCAATACCCAGCTACGGGCCTATAGACAATTATTCAAAACCAGATCTGGTGTAATCGTATTCTGTAACTGACCTCGAGATGATGATGTAGATCAATTGTGATGTTCAATCCTGCAAGTGCAAGCTCCGACGTCCTGCTTGGTCAAAATAGAAGTAGCTTGGAGCAACTTCATTCGTCTAGCTCACTGCTGTCGGGCTGGACAGAGTCGGTGCGGAATTGGACAACACATATACTGAATGGTGGTCTACCTCGTGAGCCTTTGCGATCGGAAACCAGGTGCTTCCAAGGTTCTCTGGAAAAGTCGCAAAGCTGGCTGAGGTGCGACAAGGGATCCTTCGATCTCAGCGGACCCGAAGCACGTCGCCCGCTTGGGGGTATATAGTTATAGTATTAAGCTCTTCCAGGGAGGCATTAGATACCTATGTCTCTCGTCTACCAAGCTCCATGCAGAGGTATTATGCACACAGCTAGCTCTTGATGTGTCCGTCATAGCTATCCTGTATGTGAGTGATCATTCCATGGCATGTGGAATCCTGGTTTACGGCTTGTCCAGCATGAAATCTGTTGACACTCCAAGAGTCTATCAAAGGTTGGGCCGCCAGTATTGCATGGCAAGCTCCCAATCTGGTTGCGACAATTGCAGGCTGGGGGCGTTTTGCTCGCGTTTTGCATACCCCTAAAACGTTGCTCTTCAGCTTAGAATTGCGTGGGATACATCAGCTGGGCTCCTCGCCTCTTTGATAATCAAAAGAGAGGAGTCGGCCCCGGAACGTTTGAGGTTAAGATCAACTTGGATACTGTCCAAGCCAATGTGCATTTCAATATAAGTCAGCGCTGCGAATTCGTATCAACGAACAAATGAAAAGATATAATTGGCTGTTTAGTGAGGGCGAGCTTGGCTTCATTCTGTCAACTAGATCTTCAGCACTCCAGTTGTAGGGCTGTGTTTGACTTCTAGAACGACAGTGCGATAGATGTACATGGAAACTCCGACCCGGCAATTCAACAAGTGGTTCCTGGTAGGGCTGAAGGTAATGTCTTGAATGCGAAAAGACTGGGCTTAGGTAGCCTTGTCCTTGTTGTGGTAGTTGACGTCGGAGTTCCAGCTGTGATTAGCAAGTTAGCCAAAAGATCTCTGCCTGCATGTCTCGGGAAAAGAAGTGACAGAGCGTCGTGGGTATATCATGGTGCAAAGCAACGTTTCAATGACGATTGCAGGTATTGGGTGTTGCATGACGCGTGGTGGGGAAGAATGCGGGTTTAAACTCACAAGATGGTCTATTTCAGGCATTGGTCAGCAACAATCATAAATTGACGGGGGTTTGGAACATACCTTGTCGCCGTCTCCCCAGGGGAAGTTCTTGGAGCGGATGTTCTGGTAGGGGTACTCGGTGCGCTCCTCGAGAGGAGCCATGTGGTCCCAGTGCTCCCAGTGCTCGTTCCAGAGGTTGTAGGCGTTGAGGCCACCACCGATCAGGCAGGGAACGATGGCGCTGCAATCAATTAGTATGTTTTGTGGGTCTCGAATCGGAAGCTCTTCTGCATGAGTAACGCACTAGATAGACAGCTTGCGCCAGAGGTCTAGATATTATCAGGGTTAGCGGACACTTTGACTTGGGTTTCAATTGGGTCAATTGGGTGACTGACCACTGGTGGAGGCAGCGTGGTGCTTGACAGCGGCCCGCTCACGGTTGAACTCGTTGTCGGCGGCCCAGGAAGGTCCGGTGCTGTTGGCGCGGCGCTGCACAGTGGAGCGGACCGGAGCGGAACGCATCTGCTGCGAAGCGCGCTGGGAAATACGACCGATAAAGCGCTGAGAGAACATGGTGGGTGGTGCTTAGGGGTTCTTTGGTGGTGTGAGGTCCGAATGTCGTGGGTTTGCTGCAAACCGTCTTTAGCGTCCCGTGATTTCCCGATTACGTAATCTGATGTCAGGCCATGGTAACGGCAAATGTATGCGCCTTGATTCGACGCCAGGGCACTCTGCGACAGTGAGCTTACACTCGCTGCTCTATCGAATATCCGAATCCTCGATATCGCGGGAGATGCTGTGCTCAAGCCAGACGTATCCGGACACTTTAGCTTCCAATCATGGGATTCCGTCTCACAACATGGAATGGTAAGCTTCGTTGAGCTTGTTGATTCGCATTGGTGGCTGCAGTGTATGCTGACCTCTGGATGAATGTTTAGTGAATGGTATTAGGTATGGTTACTCTACGTAGCTTCAAATTGACCATAGCTAATGCATCCGAAAGAAATCCATTTTCCTATGAGCCATGGAGAGGCACACGTACTTTCGAGGTAGGTGTCTGCCCTTGTGCCTTACAGCAGCTCGATTCTGATTGAAATCAAAGTCTATGTTTGACATCCTGGAAGCGGACATCGTGGTACTCCAAGAAGCCAAGATTCAACGCAAAGATCTTCGAGATGACATGGTCCTCGTCCCTGGGTGGGACTGTTATTTCAGTCTCCCACGAGTCAAGAAAGGTAAGCTGTGAGCCTTGCATCATTCAGACTAATGCTGATGGCTCCCAGGCTACTCGGGTGTGGTGATTTACACGCGCAATGCGACATGCGCTCCTATTCGGGCAGAAGAAGGCATCACCGGGGTGCTCTGCCCACCAAACTCATCTGTGCCGTTCTGCGAGCTTCCCGATGACGAGCAGATTGGAGGCTATCCCACTGAAGATCAGCTTTCCAGGCCAAATCTTGCCCCCAACGTTCTTGATTCAGAGGACGAGGAGGGCAATGGCTCAAACCCGACACCCGATGCTAAGATAGATGCGGCAACTCTTGACTCTGAAGGTCGCTGCGTCATCCTCGAATTCCCTGCGTTTGTTCTCATCGGCGTTTACTGTCCGGCTTATCGCGACGAGAGCCGGGATAGCTTTCGCATGGATTTTCTCAATGCCCTGGATTCTCGCGTCCGCAACTTGACACAGATGGGGAAACGAGTGATTGTCACTGGCGATATCAACATTTCCAAGCAGGTCATCGACACTGCCCATGGAATCGAGAGCATAAAGAAGACTGCAATGACAGACGAAGAATTCATATCCAGTCCCGCTCGGCGGTTGTTTAACCAGCTGCTGCTGGATGGCGTGGTTATCGGGGAGCGTGAGGAAGGACGAGAAAAACCGGCTCTCTTTGATGTCTGCAGATCATTCCATCCCGATCGCGCTGGCATGTATACGTGCTGGGATCAGAAGCTCAATGCTCGGCCCGGTAACTTCGGCTCGAGGATCGATTATGTGCTATGCAGCGTTGACATGCAGGATTGGTTCTCAGACTCCAACATCCAAGAAGGATTGATGGTATGGCTTCGACTCCGCTGCTTGCTGGAACCGTGACAGCTTGCTAACTTGAAACCAGGGCTCGGACCACTGTCCTGTCTACGTGGTGTTCAAAGATTTTGTTCACCAGTCCGGAACTAAGACTCATATTCGCGATATCCTCAATCCTCCGGGGGCCTTCCACAATGGTGAGCGCCAGCAGGAGTATTCAAGCAAATTGATGCTGCCAGCATCAGGGCGTCTGCTACCGGAATTCGATCTCGATAAACGCAGAAGCATCAAAGACATGTTCTCACGCAAACCCACCCCGGGCCCACAAAAGCCGGTCGACAAGCCTTCTACGCTAGCTGTTACAGCCGAGACTGAAGCCACGAGGTCCCAATCCATCGCCACGGCATGCTCCAGCCCTCATGATCTGCCACAAAAGGCTCCCACTCTCAACACAAAGGACAACACACTCAGTCCCCGCAAGCGATCTCAGCCTTCGTCTACCGCGCCCTTGAAGCGATCGAAATCATCCGCAACAACATCCTCTGCAAGCTCTCAGAGTGGCCAGAAGACATTGAAGGGCTTTTTCAAACCGAAGGTTGTGGACAATAAAGAATCTGTTGTATCGTCGGCGGCTTCTGTGGGTCTACAAGTATCATCTTTCAGCCCGGGAGCATCCACTACGTCACCAAGCAAGACCGGTGTTGCCCCCACTGGTTCTCAGAGCTCTACGAGTGTTGAAAAAGACCACGGTGCATCTGCTCCGTCTTCGCAAACTGGTACATGTACCAACGATGAATTTGTGGTCGACCCGATCGTCAGCAAGGAGGACTGGACGAAGCTCTTCACGAAGAAGCCGGTCCCCTCGTGTGATGGGCACCAAGAGCCATGTATCAGTTTGACCACCAAAAAGCCCGGGATGAATCGCGGACGCTCGTTCTGGATCTGCCCGCGGCCGTTGGGGCCTAGCGGAGAAAAGGAGAAAGGCACGCAATGGCGATGTTCTACTTTCATCTGGGCCAGTGACTGGAACTCGTCGGCGGGATCGCAGCTATAGCATGTCGGCCATTCATTCTCTGCGGAGAATCCGACCATCGGCCAAGACCTATCAATATACCTACATGTAATCGAGCCTTTGTACATACCACTACACGTCAATCGTAGTCTTCAAGACATTTTACATTCTCCGAGTTACTCGTACCACTTCAAGCGGAATCTGCCACTCAAACTGAACCGTGGAGTGGCTGCTTGCATACACATTGCCCCTACACTGAAGAGTAGTCGTCACCTAACCAGTACTAGCGATGGTGTGGTCGCTGGTTTCCACGCCCTCAACGATGGTTCGCACCAAGATTCTACTCGTGTGTGCCCACCGGAATGGCTCCTGTTGGTCAATGCTGGTGTGGGTCAAGTGAAGCTACAAGCTTGAATAAACAATGGAACCTCCGAGCTAATTTTCTTTGTGTGGCGAGGACAGCGAGGCTTCAGGCTGGACAGAATTATCCTCCTTCATAATGAGGCTGCAATTATCTGAGCTCGCATTGGTCAGTTGCTTTGGTAACACCGCGGGTACTTGCGCGGGTGGTCTCTGTGGAACCGCAGAATAAGGTTGCGGCACGCTAAAAGCCCTACCGGGAGATCAGCGCCACGTGCCCCACATTCGGTTGATCCTGTCTACAAACTTGCTCACAGATCAGAAGCTGCCAGAAAAGATCATTGGTTGCTTAGGAGACTAGCCTGTGAGCAAATATGAGCGAGATCAACTGTTTCCTGCTCGATCATGTGAGGTGTATCGTCCAAAATGGTTCGGTACCGAACTTGTAATCCCTCATGGGATAGGTCGGTGCCTCTCACTAGCCTCGTTTTCTGTTGATCTCGCTTGCCATTGTCCTGCTGAGAGCCTCACATGGCCTACTAGTGTGTAAAGTATGATACCGTATGGAAATCGTGGAACGTGATTGGTCTCAGTAGCGTGGTTGCCATTGTGTAGAGACAAAGAGACTAGCGCTGCATCCATGATTGGTGCTTTCTACTGGACAAAGAAATCGAAGCTAGTGAGACGCGCGCCTTCCATCTCAGCGTCGTGGGTTTCTTTGTTTACACTCTCACCTATAAATTCTCCCTCTTCTCCTCTTCTTCTTCTTCTCTCTTCCTTCTCTTCCTTCTCCACCCCTCTTTACTTTCTCTTTCCCTGTCCCAACTCTTTACTTTTCGTTTACTCTTTCGTGTTGCTGTTTCTTCGGAGACAGTTGCACGTTCTGTTCCCCAACAACTCTTTCATCTTCTATTTCCTTTTCGTCTCTACTTCCTTTCGCCCTCAATGTCTCTTTCCTTGCCCACCATGCAGGAGGGAGCTCACTTTGAGCTGGAGAATGAGGAGTCCATGAGCCCTCGTCGTGCCATGGAAGTCTTCTGGCTTGAAAATTGCCTGAGCATCGCGGATGGCAATGGAGAAGCCTTTGTGCCCTTTGAAGCTGCTGAGCTTATGGGTTTTGACAACGTGAACGAAATGGCTCAACGTCTGGCGTGAGTACTTGTTCTTGGAGACCTCAGTTCTTTCTCACTGACAGTTTCACAGAGTCATCAGGAACAAGACAATTTACGTCATCAAGAACGTCTCTTCTGAATGCTACGTCCTGACTCCTGAGAAGCCTTTCGGCTCCATTTCTTCTGATGACGCCCCTGGAGTTACCACCTACTCCCCGCCACCTCAGGCCCCGCCCAAGGTCCCACGACCTCCCAACTGCTTCATTCTTTACCGCAAGGCCAAGCACGAGGTTGTCAGGACAGCCAACCCTGGTATTTCGAACAACGAGATCTGTGAGTTCCCCTCTTGTGTGAGTACTTCAAACCATACTGACTATGTACTAGCTCGCATCCTTGGAGCTCGCTGGAAGAATGAAACCGAGGAGGTTCGCGCACGCTACACTGAGCTTGCTGAGATTCTGAAGCGCAAGCACGCTATCGATCACCCCGATTATCAGTATGCTCCCCGCCGCCCTTCTCAGCGCCGTCGTCGTGCAAGCCGTCGGGCTCGAGTTCCAGCTCCTGGAGGCGGTATGGGCATGGATGAGTTCGCGGCCATCGACGAAGAGTTGGCTGGATCTGCCTCCTTCGACAAGGCTCTTCTTGATGCCGATCTCGCTGTGGAGGATGCTGTCATGAATGCCGAAGAGGATATTGACTTCTCTGTGTTCGAAGATCGCAGCCCTTTCTTTGATGCCAACCAAGTTGGTCAACTTCCCCCTGTCGGATGGGCTTCGCGCCAGTTCGCTCCGGTTGATTTGACCGACTACATGGACATCATTCAAGCAAACTGAATCATTCACTCTGCCTTCAGTCTCAATGTCCTTACGTCTTTGCTTTTCATCCCATCGTTTCTTTCCCTCATACCCCTGTACAACTATTTTGCTGTTTTCTTTGGGATCTTTTGCAAGGCGTTCGGAGTTCCGGGATTCTTTGTGCCACTGCCCTCTCTTTCGCCTCGCAGGGCTTTGCTTGTCAACACATCTTCATTTCTCGGCTTTGAGGCTTCGGCTCAGTGTCTGGCGGCCACGTTTACGGTTAACTCTTCCTGGTCTTTCCCCTTCCCCCGGTTTTCGCTCTTCGGTCCTCACTTGCGCTTTCGGCGCGCTCTTCAGCTGCTCATGTTTTCGACCACTGGATCCACTGGGTGCCTCGCATCTACCAATGGCTGTTTCATGAGCATCTGCTTCTTTCAGTTCACACATGGCTCTGGTACTCGGTCCAGCAGCCAGGGATGGAAATGGGGGTTTTCCTTTGTCATTTCTCTTCGGGTTTTCTGTCGCGCAGTTTGGTTTTTTTTGGGGCGTCATGCCTGTTTTCTGTTTACAAACTGCTTCATGTACATGATGGTGACATTCAAATCTTCGAACTGGCCGCACTGGAGGCTGTGGTTTCCTTGCCTTTCCTTTGCGCCAGTTCTTGGATGTTCATCATCATGATCAGAATTCAGCCAGTCAGTCAGGTAGCTTAGTTTAATCAAATGAATAGGGTTTTCCCACCAAAATCTACTTCCACTTGTAACTTGCATTGTCTCTCATCTCAATTTTTTTCCATCGCAAAAGGCAGACCGTCTCGATCGCATCCACTCGACTTGCTCTTACTCCGTACATCTCGTCTCATGTCGCATCCCACCCTCCAGCCCATCGGCTTCGAATCCTCCTTTCCATCCCTGATCCACATCGATGACGCTTTGATCTCGAGTCTCCAACAACCCAGAACCGCCGTGGCACTCAGCTCTTTGTCTCAGTGCATGAGGTGACGTCTCGATATTCTTTGTCTGTACCCGGCGCTAGTCTGCACGGTCCACGGCTCTGCAGACGCCACGTTCGAGGATCCACCAGTCAGACGCGCGCCAAGGCTTGGCATGAGCCCGTGCGTTCTACAGGGTCTACAGAGAGATGATTGGTGGTTCGGAGTACAGAGTACAGAGGCTCTACGCAGTATGCAGTGTGTGCTCGGTCAGGTAAGTGTGAATTACGTGCATTCGCTATGGGAATTTCAAAGCTCGAGACTAACTACTGAAAGATGAGGCAGATCCGGGCCGGAGAAGACGAAGTGCGACGCGAACGAGACTCGGGGATTGAGAATGCGGAATATACAGAGCCATGAGCGGGAGAAGGAGGCATGGGATGGATTCTTTAATCTTCCTGGTAGGAGATCTTGCGCATTTCACCGAGACGCTGGCGGGCGCGCGCGAGACCGTTTTCGAGTTGGAGGATTTCGACCTGGGGATGCACATTAGTATGGGTGAATGGGAGATACTTGGGGGGGAGTGAGTTGCATACCTGTTGCTCCATCTCGCGGACCTTGAACTCGTGTCCACTCAACTTGCCATAATCCTCTGCGTCGTCGCCGTCGCGGTTCTTTTCTTTGATGATGTCCTGCACCTGGCGCACAAGGGCACGGCAGGCAGCACCAACAGCCTTGCTGGCTGTCTCCAAGCGGTCCTGGGTCTTGCTCATGAAGGTTGCCTTGACACGACTGGCGGCCACAAGCTGAGCAGTGCTGGCTGCAACATCGTTGGATGCGACAATGAGCTGCTCGGGGGAGTTGCGGCCTGAGATGACACCGTCGGCAGTCTCGATCAGTGTGTTAGTGGAAGAAGCCACTGCCTTGGCGGCGGAGATCAGACCCTCGGTCCAGCGGTTGTTCTTCTTGTAGAAGGCAGTGCGAGAAGAGCTACCACGGCCCTCGCGGACAATCTCCTGCTGGGTCTCTGTGGCAGCCTTAATCAGTTCAGAGATTGCGTTGGTGACAGCAATAGCAGCGGCAAGGATAACATCGTTGATGCGCAGCTCATAGGTCGAGTAGCCATCGCGAGGCTTGTTCTTGAGCTTGGCGAGACGCTGAGCAGCTGCGTCAATGGCATCAGCGGCCTTGAGCAGCTCCTGGTCAACAAGATCACCCAGGTCACCGTTGGTGCTAATCTTGCTGTTCTTGGGAGCGAAGGAGTCAACCAGCTTCGAGAGCGATTGCAGATCACGCTGGACCTCAAGGTTGTTGTTGATGACCACGTCGGTCTTCTGGAGTGGCTCGAGGCCTTCCAGGCGGAACGACTGCAAGCCACGGAAGAAGCGTACGGTGGCTTGAGCAGACTTGCGAGCAGCGTTGACAAGGTGATCAGAGCTCTTGTCGTCATTGGCAAAGCGGATGAGACCCTTGGTGTTACTCAGGACGTCCGAAACTGATCCGGAGAAGATGGAGACTGTGCGAATGATCTCGGCATGGGGGCTGTTGGGGCCATCGGCGATGAAGTTGTTGAAAGCCGTCGAGAACTCGGTTGCAGAGGCCGAAGCTTTTTCGATCTGCGAAAGGACATATGGTGGCGAGGCATTCTGGTTACCTGCCTGCATGGAGGAGTCCAACTCGTACAGAGCATCATCGACGCGCTGCACACCTGTCTGTAACACTGAATCGATGATATCGTTGATCTTCGCCACTGCGCCGTGCAGCACAGTGTCGATCTGGCTGTCCAACGCATGGTCGACATCTCCTTGGTTCTGATTAAGTTAGTAACTGAGCATTCTTGAGCGTGTCTCTACTTACCATTTTCAGCTCCTCGAGCTCCATGAGAGCCTGCTCCATTCCAGACTTGTACACCTCAATTTCCTCATCCTTCTCGGCAAGAGCCAAGTCGTGATCTCCCTGGCGATCGTTGTTGCGGCTGGAATGTTCATCCAGAGCCCGAGTCTTGATGCGGAGAGTCTCCTCCAGATCGGCCATCTCGCGGTTGTACTTGGACAGCATGGAGGAGATCTCAGTGCCCTTTGAGCGCTCTGCGTTTTCAGCGCGATCGATAGCCATGCGCAATTCACGCTTGAGCTTCTCCAACTCGTCCTTGTTGGTACCGGTAAGACGGTCACGGTCATGCATAGCACGATCACGCTCCCGAATCATATCAGCCAGCTCCAGGTTCTTGGTCTTGAGCTCGCGCTCCAACTTCTCACGGCGCTCAATGGCCTCTTGTGCAGATGCAGCCTTGAGCTTGAGGCTCTTTGTGGTTTGGAGAAGGTCGAGATGCTCCTGTCGAAGCTGGGAGTAGAGCTTGGCCAAAGCCTCGTACTTGGAGCGCCAGGTGTTGACCTGCTCCTGAAGAGATCGAATCTGCTCGTCTTTTGAGGCACTTTGCAGGTTGAGGTTGGAATTCAGGTGGTTCATCTGCTCCTCGAGGTCCTTGACACGGCGATCATACTGCTGCAGCATCAGCTGGTCCCGTTCATACTGGGCGCGGGCATTGAGGTTCTCCTGCTCCAGTTCTGCCAGTCGACCCTGGGTGTGTGTTGAATACTGATCACGAAGAAGTTGCTCTTGCGCCAACCGCTGCTGTTCAGCCTGCAAACGCTGTTGTTCCTCGAAGTCATTCTGTGCCTGCTGTTGCGCCGCAAGCTGCTGGCGCTGCTGGTCCTCCCACTGCTGTTGCAAGCGCAGCTGCTCTGCCTCGTACTCTTCTTGCTGACGCTTGGCTTCATTGGTCCAGAAGTCATTGATTGGCTCGGGCTCTGCCGCAACTTTGGGAGGTGGAGAGGGTTGCTTCTCCACTTCTCTCGCTGGGCGTCTGGGAAGAGCTGGACGATCGTCATCCTCTGCGAGCAGATTGGGCGGGTCTTGTGGGAGTTTGGGGATGGTGATGAGTCCGGTCAGATAACGGAGGTTGGAGCACTCGTAGTAGAACCGAACGAGGCGGTGGTGCTGGGCATCATATCGGCCTCGGAGTGGCTCGAGGGCTTCATCATCTCCGGTGGCTGCAAAATGTACGATCAGCACTCATACACATTCTCCAACGATCGGTGCCAACCTACTTGTGTGCATGGCTCTCAGCATACTGGTGATGAACTTGTAGATACCATAGCTCTCCTGCACAAGGGGAACCAATGCCGAGATCCGACATTCATTGTTCGTGCCGGACTGGAAGTTCGAGAAGATGAGTTTCTGGAAAGAATCAATTTGATCCTGAAGAGCCATGAGATCGCTAATGGTCTCGTATCTGCGAGGATGTCAGTGTCACCACCCAAACTTCCAACCGACATGCACGCACCCTTCATTGGGATCGTTGATCGACTTCAAACTGATGTACTCCTCATATTCGAACAGACCTGCGATCGTCAGATACCGTCCATCTGCAGACCAATGGCCGCGGCCGACATACCGTTGAATTCGGGGTGGTTGCGGTGGAAGGCCAGCTTAGCCTCGAGGAAGAATACATATTCCCGGATGAGCGGCGCATATCCTATGATCCTGTCAATGTCTTGTGGCTCATTGCATGCGCTGCCCAGAACTTGGGCGCATGCGCTACCGTCCTCTGAATCATACCTCGAATACCGTCGCCACCCACACCTCTCATCAAGCTATCAATCCAGTTCGAGTGCTGTTGCGCCTCGCGGACAACCATTGGGTGGCCTTCTTGAAGGACCTTGTGTATCGTGATCAGGGCCTTGAATGTCTGGACCTCGTCGGCGAGGACAGGCTGCCTGAAGGGACGCAGATAAGTCAGCCATCTGAGCATTTCCATTCCCTGCTTGCCAGATATTTCCAATACTCACACTTTCATGCCAGCCCAGAAAGCCGCCGAGGACTTGTGGTCCCATGTGTACACGATACAACTCCGCACATGTTTCCCTACAGGCGCGGGGGGGTGGTCAGTTCGATTCGGTGACACCCACGATATCAATTGGAGTCAATGGAGGGCAAGTGAATATGATGCGAACGTACGTTTCGGAGCAGTCTCCTCTATTAACAATCAATTGTCAGCTCATCGTGTCCAATCCCGCATCGACCTCGTCCCCAATCACCCACTTACCGATACTTGTGGCCTTGCGAATATTAATGGCCAAATCGGCCTCGGTCCTGCGCGGTCTCTTGTCAGATCGAGTTTTCCAAATATTCCGAAGTCGTTCTCGCTCACCGACTCATCGTGGCCGTTGGGGTGCACTAGATGTGTGCTCAGGGGGGGATATCGGGTGGGTTTGTCGCGTTGACGGATATCGAGCCCGGACAGCGCACAGACGCTAGAGTGAGCTTGCGCTGACCGGATCAAGCGGATGAATGGAATCGCGAGAGAAAGGGGGACTTGGTGAAGCACCGAGAGGGACACACGTGGGAGTTCGAGCAATGACGTTGATCGGGAACGGGAAAGCTGGCGCCTGTCGGAGTCTTGGCGACGCCTAAGCTGATGCGGATTGGGCCACACTTGCGGAAGGGTTCATCCCTTACCAGTCTACATACAATGAGTACGCGTCAAAGTACAGGCAGCTATTAATCTTTAAGAGAAGCTTTGAAACGATTGGTGTGCTGTATGTATTCGCTGAATAGCAAAATATATATTGAGCCGTGGCCAGGTGGTGGCTTCTCAGTTTAAGACTACGAGGATCATGGTCAACTGATACAAGAGAGCAGCGTTCAGTGTATTCAAGTTTATTGCAGTTCCAAAAGGTAATACAAAGCCGGCACCACCTTCAAGGTTGCAAAGATGTAAGCATGCAAGGGTATCCAGCCTAGCATACAGAGAAACTCCAGCCAACAATGTAGTATAATCAAGGGATCAAAGCCCCAAAATGATTTTGAACAATTCCAGTCACATGGATATGGGAAGCATCAAGCCTAATGACTTTGGGAAAGAGACGTTGCCGCTCCTTTGCGTAGCGCAGGCAGCATAAATTACTACAAAGGTACCTGCGCTCTGCTGGTGGATGGACTGCCCAGGGCCGAATCTGGCATCTGATCAACAGAGCGCAATGATTCACCATCTAGAGCTTCATATTCTTTCTTATCAGCCACAGGTTGTTCCACCTTCGTGAATTCGCTGGTGACGTCCGAGCCCTTTGACAGATGGTCTGATTCCAACTCATCAGGAGCAGGACTGTTTGGTTCGGAATCTTGGAGTGCTTCCACCACAAGCAGCTCGTCCATGCCTTCGTCAGCACGTATCTCAGGTGCCATTGGTTTCCGACGAGGAAGAGGTGGTGGGATATGTTGTTTGTCCGCTGTTCTGGGGCGCTCGGTGGAATTTGGTTGTGCCGCCACGGGCTTGCGTTTGGTTGTGCCTGAGTTCCTCTTGAGAGCATACTTATCAGGACGAGGCAGTGGCGTGCCGGGTGGTGGATGGGGATGTCCACGTCCAATGGGCTGATTTGGGGGTCCAGCCTCTCGCGATGGCTCATGTTGAGTGTGATCGCCTTTGCCGAATACACTCATACTCCACTTCTTCGCGGCAGCGGTAGCCGACCCGATGGTTATGGGACCGGAGTGCTTGTCGTCGGGGGAAGTGGTGGTCGTGAACGACTTGGTGATAGTCTCAATGGTGCTGCGTCGGCGACTCGAATCACTGACAACGGAGGTGGTAGAGCTGCCGCGAGAACTCCTCAAGCTGGAGAAAGAACCACTTTCCATGCGAGTAGAAGACGGCCTCTGGATGATGGTTTCTTTGCCGAGACTAGTGCCTTCGATTGGATCTACAACTGAAGATTCACGACTGTGGACCGCAATTTCCGGCACCGTGATGCTAGCGGAGGGGGGCGAGGTACCTGGGGTCCGGTTTGGAGATGCAGGCGGAGACCGACTCGATATCTCAAACATGGCGCTGGCCGCATGGCTTTTCTCTTCTTTGTGGTCAGGAACGACCTTGTCAACCTTTGCGTTGTCGGGTGTCATCACAGGGTCCGCGGCATGGGAGAAAGTTTGCGAGCGAATAGCTCTCGGGAGTGGCGTGCTTTCCGATTTGTCTATCCCAGTAGACGTGGCAGTCGAAGTGTGTGATGTTTGCAGATCGGAATGACTTGACTTGAGGCCTTTGCGTGGCCTCTGCTTGGCCGCCGCAGGTTCTGAAAGCGTAGGCATGCTCATGGTGCGGTCATCCTTGGATTTGAGAACCTCGATCGGATCACCGCCAACACTCTTCGGGGTCTGAGGAGCTTCGCCGGATTCATCGGGTATCTCTACCTCGGGGTTTGGCTCGGGAGCACCCTGCTGCCAAATGCCACCGCGGAAAGCCTGGCCCAAAGTATCGTGGAATGGAACGTCATCCCAGAAGGGCAGAACGATGCTCTCGGCCACCATCTCGCGAATCTTGCTCTCAATGGTTCGGAGAATGAGGCTGTATGTGATTTGCTTTGAGCTGACGATAGGTTGGATGTCCATTTCTATTTTGGGCATGGTTTCAAAGGACATCCACATGCGATTGCTGGGCGGAGGCTTGAATCGAACCAACAGATGTCCCTCAAGTTTCTTCAAGACAACCGCAAGGACTATGTCGACCTCTCTAGCTTTGAAACGAGGACCCAGATCGATGCGTACGGTTGCCGATATCTCGACACGGAAATTCCCGGTGTACTGAAGGTCGACCTCGATGCAGCAGTTTCCATCCACCGTCAGGTCCTTTAGCCTTGGATTGGTGATGAATGGAGCTCCTTCGCCCATGTCGATCCTCTGCAAGCCAAGCTTACTTATAAAGTTCGGTTTGTTCACCCGGGAGATCTTCTTGACAATCTTGCTCCGCACAAAGGCCTCCAGCTCGGGAGACCGGTACAAGGCGAGGAAATACCTTCCCAGGAAAGCGTTGATCCAGCGCGTTTGGAGCTGTTCTTCAGAAGAGTGCAAGCGCTGCACCAAGGTGACGATATGTTTTGTGTCGAATTCTTGAGGCTTGGGCGGCCGATCAGCCGAGTCCCACAGCCGATTCTGATTCTGCAGCATGGCAATGTAGAAGTCTTCCTTCTCAGACAAATTCTCAGAGAATAGATAGAACGGGGGAGTCGGTCCTCCCAAGTCTCCAAGCGATTGAAGTCTCCGGGAGAGACAGATGGCATTTCGTTTGAGCCACAGCTCACCCTCAGGGATATCTCCCTCACCACCATATATGGTCACATCGTGGTGAGCGAGGGAAATGACGTATCGCACTTCTACCTGATTGACATCATCATAGAGCATCAAGTGGCCGTGTCTACAATAGCGTCAGCGATTGAATTTGGCCAAAACAAAGAAATACGCACCGAAGAACAATATAGAATACATTGCGCGCCCGCTTCACGGTTTTCCCATTCGCCTTGTTCGGCTCGATACTCGGCGCTTGTTTTCGATCGAACAAGCTCCGGTACATGGTCTGATAAACGCTGGGGCTTTCGGCCGCAACGACCTCCCCCGCGGGGGTAGTTCTCTCGGGAGGCTTTCCATTAACGCCACCGGGAACATATTCTCGGCAGACGGCGAAGTATCCAGCCGCGACGTCGGACTCGTGGGTGCGGTGGAATTTCTCCGCTAGCTGGTCGGTGCCGGACTTGGGACCAAAGTCGTCATCGGTCGGCAAGCGGATGGGATCGGTTGCTTTCTCGCATGATGGATGTGGGTGCGAGGCAGATGGAAGTGTGAGGTAGGCGTAGAGAAGGACTAGCGAAAGGACGAGCGGTATGAAGGTGATTCCACCAAGGGCGTAAACAAAAAGGAAGCTACTGAGCGAACCCATCGGGAACCAGTAGATCAATGCGGGAGGGTCGCAAGCTCCATAGTTTGGGAGAGTGACCTCCAAAAGATAACGCGGTGAACAAGAGACCGGCTCCGCAGGTTAACGAGTGAAATGGACGAGAAATTAGGGCGCGTCAGAGAAGTTGCAAGGTGTTGCAGCTGCCACAAGCACGATGGAATGACGAGGTCCTAGATACCTCGGCATTACGGGTCTTGTATTTGTATTTCACTGTGTCTTTATACTCCAAGCGGTGTTTCTATGGTATTTATATCCGATATGTGTTACATACGGTCACATTACGGGTAGAGCCGTTCGTACCCCGCCTGATCCGACCAGCTGTCAGGAACATGAGGAACCTTGGAGTCGTGATCTGGTCTTATTACTGGATTCTTTGAACGCATATTCTTTGTTCCAAAGCTGCCAAGGCTATCCAGGCTGGTCTCTGGTTCTGGGCTGAACCCCAGGGTTTGGTGCAACCGTCTGTTGGCGCCTTGACCGTAGCGCCGATCTCTCAGCGCGACTTGATGAACGTGGAGAACTGTATACACCTGCATGGATATATTTCAACGAGCAAACAAGACACTTTATGTTGCTTGGGATAACCAAATGGAAAATATCTGACATAAATGAGATCATACACCATCCTGTCCACCACGGAGAACCAAGGCCAAAAGCGAAAAGCATTCATTGTACATTATGTTGATACGGGGCTAGCCCAATGGATATGAACTAAAGAGAGTCTGATTCCGGTGCTGGATCCGGCAGTTGTTCAAGTTCAGCCTTGGGTTCTTCAGACACGGACTCTTCTTTCTGTTCTGTTTCAGTGACAGTGGTGGGTTGGTCTGGAACCTCTGTTTCAATAGGTGTCTCCGTTTGACCATGTGAGATGGGAGCGGGTTCGTCGACTGGAGCAGAGTCTGCTGCAGTGGGTAGAGGTACATTGGGAGACGGGGCTATGGCTGGAGGGTCCTCTGCTGCCGGTGGCGCGGGTGGTGAATCTGAGGATGCGGTAGGCTCTGGTACTGCGGGTTGTTCAAGCACTGGAGGCTCCGCTATGTCCGCGATAGTTTCTTGTGGGTTTGAGGCGGCCTCGGGTGCCTCCGAGGGGTTGTGTTGATCATTCTGAACAGCCGCGGGGGGGTCTTGCGTATCTGGCTGGTCTATTGGTTGGGACGGGCTCTGAGCGAGCTGTGGCTCGGCTGATGTGGAAGCCAACTCAGGGGTTGGTTCTGGTTCTGCGGCACGTGCTGGCTCATCAGGTGTTTGCGTCTCAGTCGAAGGCTGTAGTTGGGACGGTTCGGAGTCTGCGATTGGCGGCGGTGCAGGCAAACTTTCTTGTGGGCTTGCAAGGCCGGGCTCTTCCTTGGGAGCGGGCTCGGCAGGTATGGGAGTATTGTCCTCTAGTGGCTTAGCCTCTTGAGGCTCGCCAGCTTCAGGTTCAGGTTCAGGTTCGGCGGATTCTTTTTTCGTTTCAGCACTGGGAGAGATGTGCTCTTGCTCGATTTCCGAGATTTTAGGCTTCTCATCCTCGAGCTTCTCTGGGGCATCAACTTGTACGCTAGTGCTCGCGTCCAGAGTCTGCTGAGGCTGATTCTCAGTTGGCTGGGGCTGCGAGGGGGCATCGGTTCCAGCTGGCAAAGATGGCTCGGGGGCAGAGGGCTGGGGCTCTGGGATATCGTCCGTCATGTCAACATCGGCATCGACGGATTGCCCAGCAGGTGTTCCTATTGAGGCTTGGCCCACAGACTCTGCGCCGGATGGAGGCTGAGGGGTCTCGGGGGTTTTCGCGTCCATCATGGACTCGTCACCCTCATCACTCTCGTCGCCCTCGTCGCCATCCTCCTCATCTTCGTCTTGGCCCGACTGGTCAATAGACATCTGAGAACCATCCGCCTGCCCCTGCGCGTCTAGTCCAGTTCCACTGGTGCCAGCGCCAGAGCCTACGCCATGAACTGTGGCGGCATCGGCTCCCTCACCGGGTGCGAACATGACCTTCTTCTTCCGGCCCTTGCCAATACCCTTGCCCTTGCGCTTGGGAGGAGGAGGGCGTCTCTTGGGAGGCGTCATGACAGCCGCTGAGCCAGCCTCTGCAACGACAACACCCTCAGCGTTGACAATACCCACACCCTCAACAATGGTTCCAGGAGCAGGGGCCTCTGGTTTGACCGGTACATCGCTCTGTTCAACAATTGTCTGCACATCACCAGTGATCTCTCCTTCGATGCGATGCCCTTCAGGCACCCAGGCTTCATAGATGGAGATGTTACCAGTCTCCGGGTCAACCTTTTTGAACTTGGTTCTCCTCATCGGGCCAGAGGCCGCGGTGGTTCCATCGATTCCCGCAGCGGCTCCATACAGAGAGGGCAGGCCCGGTCGCCGCTTCGCCAAGAACTCCGCTTCCGCGGGCTCCAAGTGCTTGGGAACCGTCATCCACTTGCGAGTTGTGAAGCTGCGGTCAGCTAGCCCTGACGCAGCGGCCGAGTCCTCGGCATCTGCAACATTCTGCTCTTCATTGTCGGCGGGTCGCGCGCCCTGGCGAATGTGATTGCATCCAGCGCGAGCTGCTCGGAGAAGTGCGCGACTGGTCGGAGGCAGGAGTCCACTGTCCCGCGGCATGGGAAGCTCCGGTAGCGTTGGCCCTCCGCCGGGACCCTGGACACCGAATTCCGAGTCATCGGGCTTGGGCGCCTGGGAGAATGTGTGCTTTTGCTTGGACCACCGTCGCACGGGGAGTCCCTCAAAGACGTCGTGGTCGATCTGGCCGGTTCGGGTGCGGTTGGGGCCACCGTCGAGGTGTCGCCCTGAGCGCGATGCCCTGAACTGTAACCGAGTTAGCTACGTTTAATCTGATGTATCGGGAATTGAATGTCTGTCGGTCTGGACCGGGGTTGCTGAGGTAGGATACGGGCGCAATTTGTAACGTACAGTGGAGGGCATAATGGGAAATCCCCTGGAGTTGCCCTGAAATTGAATCAATCCCGAGCTGTCTGTTTATTTGCAGTGGTATTGACGTGTGGTGGTAGCAATTCGCGCCAAAACAGATGTCATGTGGTAGTTGGGAGGGCAGTCGCGCTGCGCTCGCCGCGACTGTAACGGCATATCACGTGATTGGTCATCTTTGTGAACAAGCTCTCGCATTGAGTATACTAGTGAATGTAATCAAAGTACTGAATATAAGTATACTAGGACGACAATTATCAAACCTGAATTCCTATCAGAGTCAGGAGTGAGTCAGGAGTGGAGAAGTATTTCGACAAAAACTTGCTACAGCCACGCTGGTATAAATACAGAAAGGCCCAGGAGCCAGTACTTCAAAACAAACAGAATGGGATATTAGAAGAAAGCGTAGTTACAAGGTTCCCATCTAGTGTCGAATCAATCCCAGCTTCGACAAATAAGCGAGGATGTCAACGCTGCGGGGGAGTTTAGACGAAACCAGTGTCCTTCTGACGGACAATGCCACCATGATCTCCAGTCTCCTTGCCCTGTAAAGTGTGAGTTTCATCCGTAGCTTGGAAGATTCTGGGAACTCACAGTTTTTTGGCCTTCAACCACCAACTTGTCCAACTGGAAGAACTGGCTGACGATTGTTTGTCTCTGCGAGGTCGTCAGTATACCGAGACCACTGGAAAATAGAAAAACGGGTTGGCAATGAGGACGGCACTGGGACTTTTCAGGAAGATCGCAGAGCGAATTCACCCCGCCGGCCAAAGTTGCCAACTCCACATCCAACTAACCTTCATCAAGCGCAAGCTTTGCAAACCCTCCTGCATCAATTCTTGTATCTGTCGTTCCTCTGACGCATTCTGGTGCTCGCGGAATGAGTCTCTTGTCTTGCGGCGAGCATACTCCCGGAAGTTGTAGTTGGAGAACTGGCCGGAATACCGCAGCAGAGAGCGGAACTGGAGCACGACAGGTCAGATCGGCGCTAGATATCGGGGGTGTACACTGGGCAAGGCGCAATAACTCACCAAAGAGCGTGCCTGGAAGGCAGTCTCGCGGTTCAAAGAGGCAACAGACATGATGTTTTAAGAGGAGCGGAAGAGGGGGTTGTTCGGATGGACGAGTGCGGGCGTCAAACTTTTCGACCACAGCGATTACTGCTTCTCAGCAGTATTGACAGTGTAGCGGGATTCAGACGTTTGCGAGAAACCAATGCGTGGTGAACGGGAGGGTGACGAAATGTCGTGATTCGCGATGGGCGCGATGACTCGTATCAAGGCGCAATCAAGTCGGGCAGGATAGTAGCAAGAGCGCAGCGAGATACAAAGTAGAGAATTCAACGGATGATCACAACTTTGCAAATACTCGTTGGAACGTGTATCGGGGAAGAAGCGCAGGGCGGGAAATTCTTTTGTGTTCGGAGGGAATGACGGAGTTACCGGGGCCGAGCTTCCCTTTTGCTCCACGTCGATCGCATCTTCTCCAACTTCTCTGCGTTATGCCTCAATTACCAACCCCGCCAACGTCGCGAGCAGGCTCGGAATTTCCCGAGTCCAAGGCTTCGACGGAATGCTTGGATGACCTTCTCGAGCGATACCTCGGTCTTCTTGACCAGCAACAGAAACTGCAAGCGGAGCTGGCAAAACAATTGTCATCGGTACGGCCAACACCCCTTGGGAGATAACAGGACAACAGCTGATTCCAATAGGGATTTTTCGCTCTCGCGCAGGCTAATTTCTCGTGTCCCCCTGGCCGCCGCTATGGGTCCGATTACTACGACGAACGGATGAAAGCGACGAGGAATATGTCAGTCTACCGATCCTGGGCGCTGGCCTTGCTAACAGTGGAATTGACAGATCGATCAAATCCGAACGAGACCCGGACATCTCCGAGGAGTTGCAAGAAAGCGAGAGCACGACTGATGCCCCCGACTCTGTCACATTCTCCACTGAGCTCTCGAGCAATGCGTCTGAAGATGCAGAAGAGAACGACACAGCCCCGTCTAAAGAAACACCAGAAACCTCAGAGCCCACTGCGACTGAGACGACAAGCTCGGAATCCACCCCCGACGAGAAGCCCGAGGTTCGCAAGAAGTTCCGCTCCACCGACCCCATCCACTGGTATGGGATTCTGGTTCCCCAGTCGCTACGCAAAGCACAGTCAACGTTCACCGCTGTGGTCGACAACCAGGTGCCTGACCTGGCTAGCACAGCCCTTGAAATGCGGGCTTTGGAGCAACGGATCAGTAAATTGCAGGCTCAATTGGAATCCGAGGATTAAATCCGTTTGTGAACTTGTCCAACGTTGACGGTCCGCAGCTGGTTATTATAGTACACGGTCATCTATGTCTTATTCCCAGCTTTCCAGCGGAATTGGACGTGCAGTGGCCTTACTCCGTACTCCGTATATTAAAAATCCATGGGAGCATTCTGCAGAGACACCACATGATCCACGAACTATATTTATGGGGCAAGGCCTCGACCGGCACTACGGAGTATTGGGCGCTCAAGTGTAAAAAATAAAAAACAAGTGCCGTAGTCATGCATTATCAAAGTGGATGCAATTTCAAGGTTTTCTGCCAAGTCCTGAGTGTAGGGAGTGCTCCGTACGGAGTAGATGTTAGTGTTGGCATAGCCACCTGACTTTGGTACATAATTCCCGAGCCGCTGAGCCACTGCTGCCGACCTCTCCACTTCCTGTTCAACATGTTCAACATGACCACCTTGGAACCTGCACTGGAATACTCACTTTCTATGGAGTCTTCCAATTGATCTCTGAGAACATCCTGAATACGAAGTGAAGGATGTGAACCGTCTCAAGTTTCAGGCTGGTGGCTCGGACCACCGCAGTCTAAATGTGAGACGTAGCGTCCGGGGCCTCCTGGAAAAACACCCCCACCGGCACAACATCCTCGAGATCCGACTCTCTGATTCGTGCGTGGGCTCCCGAATTTGCCGGTTGATTCGCCCAGGGTCTCATGTTGAGGTGACCTCTGCTCTTCGCTTAGAGAGATCTCTCACCCTTGGGAACTGCCTGTCAGGACAGTCCGACTGGCAGATCCGAAACTCACAAGATTACACGGGGCAGGACCCATTTTGAGAAACAGACAAGTCGATAGTGTCTGGAAGTGTCTAGGATTGGTACTTTGCAGTGTGGTAGTCTAACGTTTTAATCTATTTTGTGCCGTTTGAGGAAATAATCCCAGCCCCGGGTTCCTTTGCTTTCTTTCTGTTCTCCTTTCTTCATCTGCTTCTAAGAGCTTGAGGCTCGTTTCCATTTTTTGTGTTTCTGTGAGTTGTCTTGGGCGAGTTTGAAAAGGGTTGGGGCTGATATGCATTAGATTTGTGCTTTGTTTGGACGCCAGTTTGATACTAGCGATCCCCTCTCTCGTTTTGCTCTGATCCTTGGTAGGTTCCAATTGAAGAGAGAATGCCGTGCTTGCTAACCATTTGAACAGTGGCATTGATTGCCCTCTTCATTCATTCTTTTTCTCGATCCCGTGGATCGCCCGTCAAATCAAGTCTTCATCGCATCCGACTGACATTGACCACACGCACCCATTGTACTTCTATCAGCATTGTCATTCTTTCAAATCCATCACAGCAGCAATAGTGATTTTCCGACTTTACTTGTCTCAGTGACAAGCTTTCTCTGCAGCCCCCTCGCCATACTTGATGCATTGCAAGCCCTAACTGCCGCCGATCATCCAACGTGCTTGGAATTTCTCGGCTTCTGAATTATCCAGTGCATTTAAAATGAGCGGCAATCAACGCAATCCCGACTCGGACGGCCTTGACAGGCAAGGCTCGGTCAAAAGAGCCAGACAGCTGTTGGCAGCCGGTGTCCGTCCGGAACGAGTCTTGCCACAACACCAATTGAGACACCCACCACTCCCTCGGAATGTTTCACACCAAACACAGTGGCCGCTGCCCGAGTCCGGGCTACCACAGCAGCCGATCAACCACCATCCCAGATTTTTGATCCCCCGTGGCCCTCCACCCCCGAGGCCGCTGCATCCCAGCGAGATCCCTCATTCACCATCTATCTACTCGGAAAGAGACGGCCAGGACTCGGAAACGAGTTCGCAGTTCACGCGGCCTCCCCGGTCGTTCTCTTCCCTGCAGCCACCGCCACCGCTACAGCTGCGCCGGCCTGTAGTCGAGGCCCCCGTCAGCCCGACCAGCACTGTCGACATGGCACCCCGGATTTCTATCGCCACGGACGACCTGTTTAGACAATCTACAGCTTCTACGACAGCCTCCGTACCGGATGTGCCTCCTTTCCCTCCACCTGTCCCAGATGACCCACGGCAGCGAACAGCCGGCCTGGTAGCACCAGCGAGCACCCAAAAGACTCGGGCTCGTCAATCCTCGGTTTCCCCGATCCAGGAAGAACTCGCCGATCCGCGACACACCAAAGGATCTTTTGCCTCGAGCATGGCAGTCCCTTCCAGCTGGAGCTCTGGCCCGGCCGAATCTGATATTGTAGGAGCGTATCTCGATATGGATTCAGACAGTGAGCCCACCACGCAGGCAGAGGATTCAACCCTCGTCCGAAGCGCCAGTCTCGGCAAGCGAGGAAAGCCAACCATGCGGACCATCACCAAATCGAACCCCCCGTCCGTCCGCGTCGCAGACTCACAAGTAGATCCCGACCAAGTGTCTCCCACGAGCACAGCGGTGGTTCCTATTGCAATGGGCCCCCCTGCAAACCGAATGCTGCAGCCCCCGAGTCAATTGCGAAAGGGCTCTACTTCCACCGCATCCAGCGACTCGTTGACAGGCATTGACCCGGAGAAACCGCCATTCTCCCAGGAAGATCGGCCCTACAGCACCGGTCTGGAAAAGGAAATGCAGGTTTTTGGCGCTCTGCCCAAGGCCGCGCCTACAATGAGCGACAAGAGGCCGTGGGGTCGTAAGCCTGCGGCTCTGAACATGGGCGTGGTGCGCGACGCAGAAGCCCGAGGGAGTCTTTCTAGCTTGTCGGATTTGATCCGACGTGCCACCAAGCTTGCATCGAATTTGGATCACGGGAGGACTGCCAGTCGCGCCGATCTGTTCGGCGGCGGGGAGGCTGAATTCAAAGCTCAAAAGGGTATGTCTACATCCAAATTACTGAGGTTTTTACTAATTTTTTTAGGCCACCGTCCCCGTAACTCTGGATCCATTTCGGACATGTTAGCCTCGTTTCCCCCGCCAGGTCTGGCCACACCCGAGAGCCGTGGCTCCTGGCCGGTTTTCTTTGGGCGTTCTAACCTGCGAAACGTCGAGCCACTGGGTTCCCACGACGACGGTCCAGATGTACCTCGCCGCAAGAAGATGTGCTGCGGGATGCCCCGCAAGTGGTTCGTGGTGATTTGCATCGTCATCTTCATCATTGTCGTTCTCGCCGTGCTCCTTCCCGTCTTCCTCGTCGCCGTCCCTAAAGAGAACGCCAGCAAAGATACCACCTGCGCAACGAGCAATCCATGCTCGAATGGCGGAGTGAGTGTCTCGAGTGGGAGTCAGTGTTCGTGCGTCTGTTCCAACAACTACACCGGCACCCGGTGCACCATCCCCAACGACGGTAGCTGTACGACCTATCTCATCGAGGACAGCACCGGGACGAAGAATGCTTCGATGGGAACCTCGCTTCCAACGTTGTTCGCCGTCTCCAAGGAAACATACGACCTGACTCTTGATCCGGTTACCATCATGGCACTCTTCAGCATGAACGACGTCTCTTGCAAGACCGAGAATGCCCTCGTCTCCTTCAGCGACGTCCCGACCAATAGTTCCAGTTCCAGCAACGCCCGCCGCTCCCTCGCCAGCCCTACCCCGGTTCTCGCGCCTCGTGCCCAAGCCACGACGGACGGCGGCATCCTCTACGACCCCGGGTCTACTACGGCATCGGCTACTCAAACGGATTCCGTGACCGCCACCCGAATTGGTGCCACGGCGACTTCGACTGCCGAGACGAAGGCCAGTGTTCCTGACGAGGTGGTGGAATTCTCCCGACTGGCGGTGCTGTACATTCTGCAGAAGACCGGGTCGGTGGATACGGCGATGTCCTCGGAGAAAGACATCCAAGAGTTCCTGGTTGATTCTTATGCGAAAGCCAGCTGGCCCACTCAGCAAGTGGGCGAGTTCACGGTTGATTTTGTGAATTTGACCATTTCACTTCCGAACAGTACGGTCAAGGCAGATTAAATGTAATATAATGGTACAAGTTCATACTATTCTTGTTACTCAATCAGTACATAGTGTATTGCTTATATGCAGCTATAAAGTCCAGGTAGACTCCAAGTACCTCCAAGTAGTTTAGAGCATCTGCGGGAATTAGGGTTTTCCAATGATCCTTACCGGATTAGGAAGGGACCCCCATGTCGTGATTGATCGCGGAGGTGACGTGCTGCGTCACGTGCTCTCAGCCTCTGCAAGTATGGCGTATAAGGCTGGGCGACATTGGCAACTTCACTCTTGCACTTCTCATTGGTGTCGAGTCAGATTGAACACGAACTGGACTGGGAGAAAGCTGGACTCGGTCTATAGTCTACACGGGTTCAATGGAATGGCAACCCCCTGAATATCTGATGATCCTCTTCCTCCGCGGAAGCGGAGAGCGGGTATAGTATAGTACAGTACATAGAACAGTGGACCACGTTTGGCGCACGCCGATAGGATGAACACGGTAGTGTATAGAATGGAAACCAGACTCCAAAAGAGCCTGGAACCGACATGTTTAAACCGAAACGCGCAGAACGTACGAGTCGAAAAGTAAAGCCAAGACTTTCATCGACTCCACATTGACGACGCTGCCATGAATTGTCGAGGGGTGTTATGCGGCCCCTCCCAAATTTCTTGATAAGCACGCCTTCCCTTCCAACTTTTTTTTTTTTTTTCTTCCTTCTCTCCTTCATTGACTTCGATTCCCTTTGAAGTTTTTTAATCCTTATACACACAATGGCCAACACCCCCCACGGTGGTGTCCTCAAGGACCTTCTCGCCCGCGATGCTCCCCGCCAGGCCGAGCTCGCCGCTGAGGCCGAGACCCTCCCCGCCGTCGTCCTCACCGAGCGCCAGCTGTGCGATCTCGAGTTGATCATGAACGGTGGTTTCTCTCCTCTGGAAGGTACGTGCAATTGACCCAGCCCGCGGGTGCCGCAAACGCCGCCGCTCGGAAGTAGAGGGGCACCGGACTAACGCCGATTTCGCAACAGGTTTCATGAACCAGGCCGATTACGACGGGTATGTGTGACGAGACCGACTATGATACTATTGCTATATGCGAATCGTCGCTGACAAGGTGCACAGTGTTGTTGAGGACAACCGCCTTGCCGATGGCAATGTCTTCTCCATGCCCATCACTCTCGATGCCTCCCAGCAGCTCATCGACGAGAAGAAGCTCCAGGCTGGTACTCGTATCACCCTGCGTGACTTCCGTGACGACCGCAACCTGGCCATCCTGACCATTGACGATATCTACCGTCCCGACAAGTGAGTTTTGATCTTTTGATTAATTTCGGGTCGCACTGCCGATCCAATCCCGCATGTGGACACCAGCTGGCGCTCTTCATTTTCATTTTTTTACTTTGTTACAAAAGTACATGGGAATGATCTGTGACGGTTGATGTTGCATACTTCCATCCTTACGCAATCAAAAGCCAAGTGGCTCGTGCTCTAGTGGGGCTCGCTGACGCGGAATTCCCCTGATTTAGGACCAAGGAGGCTAAGCTCGTCTTCGGTGGTGACGTTGAGCACCCTGCCATCAAGTACCTGAACGAGACCGTCCAGGAGTTCTACATTGGTGGAAAGATCCAGGCCGTCAACAAGCTGAACCACTACGACTATGTCGCGCTCCGCTGTGAGTAGCTTCCAAACCCCCTTTGGAAATATCTGGACTGACTGGTTTTAGACACCCCCGCGGAACTGCGTGTCCACTTCGACAAGCTGGGCTGGTCCCGTGTCGTCGCTTTCCAGACCCGTAACCCCATGCACCGTGCTCACCGTGAACTGACTGTCCGCGCGGCTCGCTCCCGCCAAGCCAATGTCCTGATCCACCCCGTCGTCGGTCTGACCAAGCCCGGTGACATTGACCACTTCACCCGTGTCCGCGCCTACCAGGCTCTCCTGCCCCGCTACCCCAACGGCATGGCCGTTCTGGGTCTGCTCGGTCTGGCCATGCGTATGGGTGGTCCCCGCGAGGCCATCTGGCACGCCATCATCCGCAAGAACCATGGTGCCACCCACTTCATTGTCGGTCGTGACCACGCCGGTCCTGGCTCCAACTCCAAGGGTGAGGACTTCTACGGTCCCTACGACGCCCAGCACGCCGTCGAGAAGTACAAGGATGAGCTCGGCATCGAGGTCGTCGAGTTCCAGATGGTCACCTACCTGCCCGACACCGACGAGTACCGCCCCGTTGACCAGGTCCCCGCTGGCGTGAAGACCCTCAACATCTCCGGTACCGAGCTGCGTCGCCGTCTGCGCTCCGGCGCCCACATCCCCGAGTGGTTCTCCTACCCGGAGGTCGTCAAGATCCTGCGCGAGTCCAACCCCCCTCGTGCCTCTCAGGGTTTCACCATCTTCCTGACCGGTTACACCAACTCCGGCAAGGACGCCATCGCCCGTGCTCTGCAGGTCACCCTGAACCAGCAGGGTGGTCGCTCCGTCTCCCTCTTGCTGGGTGACACCGTCCGCCACGAGCTCTCCTCCGAGCTCGGCTTCACCCGCGAGGACCGCCACACCAACATCCAGCGCATCGCCTTTGTCGCTACCGAGCTCACCCGCGCCGGTGCCGCTGTCATCGCCGCCCCCATCGCTCCCCACGAGGAGTCCCGCAAGTTCGCCCGTGACGCCGTCAGCCAGGCTGGTTCTTTCTTCCTCGTCCACGTCGCCACTCCCCTCGAGCACTGCGAGAAGACCGACAAGCGCGGTATCTACGCTGCCGCTCGCCGCGGCGAGATCAAGGGCTTCACCGGTGTCGACGACACCTACGAGAACCCCGAGAAGGCCGACCTCGTCGTTGACTTCTCCAAGCAGAGCGTGCGCAGCATTGTGCACGAGATCATCCTCATTCTGGAGAGCCAGGGCTTCCTGGAGCGCCAGTAGACTTTTTGTTGTATGAGTGATATTTGCTGGAGTCGATGATACGTTATGATTTGTTTAGAGAAACCTGTGTTTGCCTTGGCCATTTGTTGGATTCCCCTGGCTTAGAGAGATAATTTCAATTGTTCGCTGCCAATAGATTTGGTTGCATCGTGTTCAAATATTTTCCTACTGTCTACTCTGTACTCTGTAAAGAATTTATTCTAGTAGAAAATTAGAGTGCTGATAGAATAGTTCGCATTCGTACCGTTGACTGGAAAAGGTCGCATATCGGCAAACAGTGCAAACAGAACAAACACTTTCAACCAAGCATTCAATGCTTCACTCTCCAACTCCAACTTTCTAGCAATACAGCATGTTGCCACCACGAAGCGCCGTCGGTCGAATACCGAGTCTCATTCGACCGGCCAATCCCCCTCGAATCCCCAGCAGCATTCAAATGCGACCTTTCACCCACCGCACACGCCTACTACTTCTCTCTCCGGCCCCCGGCCGCCCACAGCTACCATTCCTATCACCGCTCGCGCCAACGCGCCCACTTCCGCCTCTATCAATTCACCTCCGCCAGCACTTCAAGCGCTTGGTCTCTACCGCCAGCCGCGAGAACTATAAAAAACGAGTGTCACGAGGCCTGAAGCTCGGTATATCGCTCTACGCCATCCTGATCTTGTTCTCCGCCATCAAGCTTGGTGTCTACCAAGAGGATATCGAGCATTCATGGCCCACGCCTCCGGAATGGTCATGGAAGAGTCGCTGGTGCCTGCGATCCGCACAGGCACTGCAGAATCCCGAACAGATCGGCAAGTTGATGACCAATTGGCCCATGGTCGCGGGGTATCTCCGTGAACTGCTGGAGCGACTGGAGAATCTAGAAGGAGAAGGTCAGGGCATTATCGAACAGGATGAAGGCGGCTTCTTGGTAGAAGGCGTTGGCCGCACCGGGCTTGACGTCTCGGCGAAAAGTGAGCCTTGGCGCCGTGGATATTTCCAGGCTCTGATGGGAGCCGCGAAGGCTGCTGAGAATCTGGATGGCTGGTTGACGGATCGCAAGCAGCGTATCTCCGCGCCGGCGGAGTACGTTGTTGGACCCTCGAATCCTCGTCCCAAGCCCATGCCCGCGGGCCAGAAGAAGGTCCCGCAGGAAGAGGACTGTGAGAAGGCGTCTCCCTCTCCTGAAAGTTTCTACATGAAGGTTTTGACGACCAAGGGCTTTGATACGAGGCAGAAGCTTGATGCGGCTTTGGCGTACGCTGACTGGCTCGACTTTAAGGGTCTGGGGATCACAGCGGGTGATATGTACACCTGGGCTCTGGATATCGCCGCCAGTGGGATGGATGGCGATGCCAGCAAGATTATCGATATGAAGAATGGTCTTTTGAAGAACAACGCTGGAGATCTGCCTTCGGAAAACATCCTGCGTGTGTCTACCGCCATCGCCGTGCACAACGCCCGCCAAGGCAATCTCCCTACAGCCCTATCTCTCTTCACATCCGTTCTGAAAGCCCGCCGCAATCTCCCCCTGTCAACAGACTCCGATCTCCCCATCACCTTCTCACCACCCCCTAAAACAACCAACGACCCCTTCGCCTCTCTCTTCAAATCCCTCAAAACCGTCCTCATCCCCGTGGAGTACCCAGAGCCACTCCCTTCAGGCGATGAACCACCCCGCCGAACCACCGCATCCGCCTGCGAGGAAGCAGGTCTGATGACCTACATCGGCGAAATCCTCTACGCCTCCTCGACGAAAGAATCCGGCCTCGCCTGGACCCGCGACGCAGTCGACATGGCCGAGTCCACCATGGTTGATCTGGGTAATTCGCACGACCGTGCGGCCCGAACGCGCTGTGCACAGTGTCTAAAGGTCGGTCTGGAGAATTGGAAGACAATGGTCTCGTCTCTAGTTTCTCGGGCCCGGAAAGAGGAGCAGGAGAGCCGGGAGCAGGCGAAGAGCGCTTGGTATGGTGGAGAGCGTCGTGCGCAGGCTAAGTCTCTTGAGCGGAGGCGCTGGGAGGCTGAGGATTCTATCTTGGAAGATCGGATTCGCAGATTGTTCCCTCTGCTGGAGGGGGAGTCGGGATTGGATACCCTCGCTCCGAATAGTTCTCTCTTCGTGTAATGTGTGTGTCAATTAGCAATTGGTTGTTGGCGTACTGTCTGCGAGTATTACTTTGTACATTAAATCACATATTCATATCAACAACTTCATGATCCTGATTCGTTGTTATTTTTTGTCATCTTTGATTCATATCAACCAATACGAGATATCACGAGCAGTCCATTTATTCGGGCTTGAGCCTTTCTGACCAACCTCCCATGCATTCGTGCTCGGTGAGCTCGGTGAGCAAAGTCATACCACCAGGCTGAAACTGATAGGAGTTGCTTCGGGACGATTTCCGAATCAGGAAACCATCCGACTTCTCATACATCAATTCACATCAACATCGCGATGAATTAGGATCGTGTTCCTCTTTGGGCTTACCATTCAAGCTCAGGCTACTGCTTCATCGGAATTGAGATAAATGGACCTGGTTCTGGCATTTTTGATCAGAACTATATAACCTTGCAAGCCCTCAAACCGAACACGAAGACTACGACTGAGACTTGAATTATCACAAATCTCCGTAATAAGCAAGCGCGAAAATGCCCATGGCCTGGCTGTTCGGCAATCGTTGTGCTACGTGGCCGCCGACTTATTTCGATATCCGGTACGATGAGACAATCATTTACAACTTCCAAGCTAACACTTTGGAAGACTTGAGAATGATACCCTGACACTTACTGCTCATGACGAAAACACCAGCTATGGATATCTGAATGGCACCGTCGTACTCTGTCTCGACAAATCACTATATACAAACGATATCAAACTCTATCTGAAAGGTCAACATTACGCCAAGTGAGCAGCTCCACCACGCATATCCCACTGGACCGGCATAAATCTAATGCTGAAACAGCTGGAAAAACACAAAAAACCAATCAAGGCGAGCACGACGACAAGGAACATTCTACCGCCAGGTATGGAATCTCCTAGGATCGAACAAAACAATCCTACGCCCCGGCAACTACGAGTTCCCCTTCTCAATAAGTCTCCGCAACACCATGCCAGAGAGTATTGACGGGCTAGACGACTGTTACATTCGCTACGAGTTATTAGCAACAATCGACTGTTCCTGGGGAGTCATTCCAAAGTCGAAGATAATGAATGTTACCAGGAGGCCTGACTTTCTCTCATTCATTGAGCCAGAGGTAAGCCCTTTTCCTTTTGAGATTATGCGATACAAAATTGATGGAAATGCAGGGCATCGAACGATCATGGCCCGATAAAATCGTATACGAGATTCAAATACCAGGACGGGCATATATTCTCGGAGATCCGATCCAGCTGGACTTTCGCTACATCGCACTTCGCAAAGGCGTTTACCCATCGTCGATCCAGGTTCGACTTGTGGAATGGCATATCTTGCAATCTATTGGGGGACTTGGTCAATTTCGACACGCGCGGTCTAGAGTCGTTGGAGAAAACGAGTCGTCATATGAAGAGTCTTCGGGCGAGAGTTTGATGTCTGAAGATCTGGAGGAGTGGCGTGCGTTATCACATATACTTCGACCCTCACGGACGGAGTGCTTGCCAAGCTGCCGGACCTCGATGATTGACGTAGAGCATTCGTTGGAGGTTACGATCACGCTTCGGAATCCGGATGGGCATTTTTCGAAGGTCAGTTTGTATTGTTGTGTTTTTTGGTTGGGGGTGATTACTGACTACATCTTCTAGATCGCCGCTGCCTTTCCTATATCTCTGTGTTCAGGACCGGGAACGAAACCACCTGGCATTTCTTTGGAAACGGACAGCGCATATTGTCCTCCTTTACCTTTTAGGGAGCACCTTCGTGCTCCTCCGCCTTATAAGGACTACCGTCGTGATCAGCCGTATCACATGGACGATGCTACAAGTTTTGAGGGAACCACGCATCCTCCCACTGTGGATCTGAATGATTATATGAAGCCGCCTGACTATGGCTCAGCGATATGCTCAGCGATCCCCAGAGCGAGTGAAAGCCCTTGTTACTGGGATAGTATTGCCGAGAACAACAGTTGACCACCCAAAACTATACAAATAATATAGCTAGCAGACAAGTCTTGGGGAAACCATGTTGAATTTGGAGTGGTATCTACCCAGCCATATAAAGCCGACGTCGAAGCCACGCGCCCAGCATACTGAATGAGCCAATATCGGACCAGAGCAATCTCTTACTTTCGTAACCATGACGCATAAATCGAATCAAAGCCCAAGGAAACATGGAAACCAGAAGGACAAAAGGATGCGCAAATGATGGAGACAGGAGCAGGAATGAGAACAAACGCCTTTCAAGAACACACGGGGGATGTCGTACAAGGGGAATTAGCCAGTGGCAAGAAGAACAAAGGGTAAAATAAGAGAAGAAATCAATGGGAAAAAGAACAGAAGAAAGATTATAAGGTAGAACAGAATGCCCCGAGGATGGTATTGGTCAAAATTGAAAGAGATGGACGAGGGGACTGCGTGGAGTTTAAGGTGAACGGCGCAGGGACTATACGGCTGGCGCCAATCATTTCTTAGATCCCTTGACAGCCCGCACGAGCCGCTGGCCGGCGTTCTTCACGCCCTTAGCGAGGCCGCCCTTGGCTGTTGTTTTAGGCTTAGAGGGGGGGCATCTTGGCCTTGACGGGACTCTTGGTTGGGGCTTTTCGTGCAGCAGGTTTCCGAGGAGAAGCCCCAGAGCCCTTGGAAGCGGCAGCCAGGATCTTCTTCTTGGTCTCGGCGGATGGTCGTTTCAACTGGGATTGGGATTTGGTCTTGGTGGGAGAAGGCGCGGCCTTTGTTAGCTTAGCTGGCTTTGCCTTGGTCGGCGTTGTCTTTGTCGGCTTGATGGGCTTGGTGGGCTTCGACTTGACGGTCTTGGCTGGTTTAGCTCGAGCAGCCTTGACTCGGCCTGTAGTCTTGACCGCTGGCAGTTTGACAGTGGTCTTGGCAGTGGTTGTTTTCTTGGTAATCTTCTTGCCACGAACGGTTGCAACTGCCTTTTTAACTCCAGCCTTGATAGATTTAGCGGTGATCTTGCGCTTCTTGGGCTGGACGGGCACATCGGAATCGGAATCGGAATCAGAGCTATCCGAGTCAGACTCTGAAGCCTTGCGCTTTTTTCCATTGCTCTTCTTGGGGCTCTCCTCGGCCTTGCGCTTCTCGAGTTCTTTGGCACGTTGTTGCTTATCCTTGAGACGCGGACCCAGGAAACCTCGGCAATTAGCCGATCCACAGCGGCATTGTTGCACGTTCTTGTTGGAATATGGACTGAATCATTAGCATACGGATACTCGGTATCTGCGCGAAACTCACTCAAAGTTGTAGTCATAACTCAATTCCTCTCCCGTGGACACCCCACGATCTCCTGCGAAGAGAGCCATGCGTGGCTTGCCCGCAACGGTCCACTTTTCCATACGACAATTGGGCTCACAGGCGTGGTTGACAAAGCGGGCAATTGATCCACGAGTAGCATCAATGATCATGTTTTGGTCAAAGTACATCAGATAATAACACTGGACAGGTTAGCGAGGACACAGCATGATAGGAAGATACGTACGTCGTTGTTCTTGTAAACCGATCTCATCCTCTTCTCACATTCAAGCTGGGTGAGGATCTCACCAGTATACTCCACAATGATCTGGTTGGGCTCGAAAGAGCGGTTGCTGCGGACACCATACCCGCGATCTGCCGTCTTGATGACCTCCACACCGATATTATACTTGCCACCGGCCTTGGTCCGGTGCTTGAGGCCCTCGAAGTTTCGATTGCCGCACTCGGGACCCAGCCGGCAGTTGCCGTTGTCGCACTCGTAAAACATGTAACGATTCTGGCAGTTTTCGTCGCAGCCAGTGTCTTCTTCACACATGCAGAGCGAGAGTTCAAGGTTCTTGTTTGCCTTCCAGAAACTCCCGGCGTCACCGACGAAGACGTCTACTATGGTTAGTACTGATGATTATGCGGGGGAGAATTCTTACTCTTGTTGGTCTTGCGCCACTCATCCGGCTTGGGTTGGCCGAGTGGGAGCGGCGAGAAGATGTCAAATGGTAACTGGTAGTCACGTCCGTTCTTTAAAAGTCGGGCGCCCTTGAACATTGGCATAGGAAGAACAGTACGCTGCATGGGACCGGTGCCTGTCTTTTTCGAATTCTTACTGCGGCGTTGCTTAGGCGGCGAGTCTGAGGGTTGCTGACCGGTGTAGAGTCCGTGAGAAAGCCAGATCTTGCGCTTAGGCCGTGGAGAAGCTGGCACTGGCGCTGAAGACTCTTCCGGCTCCGCCTCTTTTACCAGTTTAGACAAATCACTTTCCGAAACCCGGCGTTTCTTGGGAACGGGTTCTTTCGTCTCTTCGGCCGACGGGGCGATATTGCGTGGTCGCAAGCTAGCACGGCGACCAGGCTCCTTGTCGAGTAATCCTCTTGTACGCTTCCCTAGAATACTGCTGGCCCGCTCGACGATATCGGTGGCCTTATCCAGAAGACCAATGCGACCCGAACGGCGTAGAGATTTGCGAGAAGCGGTTCGAGATGGAGTTGCCTTCGCGGGTTTCTGCTCATCTTCAGCCAAAGCCTTTTCCACCCGATTTCGTAAAGTTCGTTGCTGTAGTGACGTGTTCATATCTTCAGACGGAATATCCTGTGAAGACTTGGACACCGGGGTATCGGGGGCCATTGGATGGTCATCCGCCGCGGCTTCTTCGTTGTCGGGCGTCCACATGGAATTTTCCATTACCGCAATACTGTGGCGGAGAGATGAGTGTGAACGTTTCGCTTTGGCCAGACTGTCGACATAAGCCTCGCTGGACGAGGCCGCGGGCTCCTCCTTCTCGGGTGTGTCGTCGAGTGGCTCGCCAGGCCGCAAAGATGCGCGTGCGACCCGGGTTGACCTCCTCCGTCCTGCGGGTTTTTCGTCGGCCAACGCGATCTCATTGTTGCTGGAGGTCTCCGAGCGACTGTTTTCAGGCGTCAGAAGCTGTTCTGGCACGTCGAGGCTCATCCCGTCATCGGTGGGTTCGTGTATCTGGGGATCGGGAGCCGCGGACGCGAGTGACCGGGACGTTCGGGGCGCCATTCTGGAACAAATTAGAGGGAGAGAAGGACAATTCCACTGGGAACCGCCTTGGTCTGTCGTAAGAACCGATGGCGCGTGTGGTCGGGCTGAGATGAAGAATATCAGGGGAAAGAGATCAGCTACCCGCGTCTTATCGCTTTAGGGCGAGATCTGACGCGTGCAACGCCAACACATCGAACACCTTCAAGGCGGAATTTGCTTTTTTTCCTTTTTTGCCCCGGAGATGTACAAGCCTAAGCAATTAATGGAAGGGAAATGCAAGGGCGAAGGAGGTGTAAGCCTAGGCGGGCAAGGATTACAATGTCAGCCTGGAATGCCGAAATCCCTCACTCCGGTATATCACACAAGACTGTTACTGTAGTGAATTGAATTCACAGAGCACATAAGTTTGGGAAGAGAAGAACAAACACTGACAAGATCTTTTCAAGTCTCAGAGAATCTTCAGTCTTTGTTAATGAGTAGATATGCTGGTACTTAACTCGACATCAACGACTGGAGAGGGCTACTATCATTCATCCCACCAAATTACCATTGATTGGAGTCAATGATTTGACTCGATGAATGTAATATATTGTTCGGATACTAGTGGTGTACAGCAACTCTGTTGATGATGCCCTGGTGATCTTGATGTACTAGTATGCACTCCGTCTGTCTACCAGAAATACATGGGCGATATCTAGTTCAGAGGCATCATTCTCTCATTGGCAGCCATGCTCCGCCTGTCCGCTGGTCATATCCATAGAAAAACATCAAATTTACAGGTCACTGGTTGAGATGTGGACACGGCATGATGTATTCAGATATGATCTATCCTGACCCACTGAGTGCATGGGCAGATTATACATATAGAAAGTATACGAAAACATGAATAGAAACCAAACCTCCATCTGCGACAGACTCATATGATTGCACGGCGGAAGGGACTTCCTCTGTTTTCACGACGTGCTGGGCCTTGTGCACAGCGTACATTTCAGCGGACTCTCTATAGTGGTTGCAGTGGTGCAGGTACGTTCACTTGTGTAGTGTGAATGATAAACCATGTTTATCGACAAGATGGTAACGACATCTCATGGCGTCCCGATATATGGTGTTGAGCAGAGACCGCAGTAGAACATGCTGTCTGGGGAACTGTTTCCAGCAGTCTCAATATCATGTACAACTGGCCACCACGAGCAGCGGTGATCCGCCTATCTGTGCAGGTTTGTTTGATGCAGTGTACTCAATGGTTTCCCACAGTCGTCGCAGTATAACATCTCATCTTTCTCCTTGGCCCGAGTAATGCTTTGTTCGCGCGTGTTGGCGGATTGCATCAACATTCATACCAAACCCACTTACAGTCGTTAATGATAAAACGGAAAAGGCAGTGTCAGGTCGCTCTCTCGCGGCACCTCCTGGCAAAAGGGCCAAACGTGCTGGCATATAGGTCTGGCGCCATGAATTGAGGTTTCAGGACGTGTCGTGTCAATTGGGCGTGAGAATCAAACTCTTCATAACAGTGTCCGCATTGGGTTTGTATCATGTGGCATTCATACTGATGCTTTACAATTCCAGCTTTATCCAGGAGCCTCAACGACAGCTGTCGACTCGGCAGTTAGATTCGCTTTCCCAGAATCTGCGGCTCCGCGGAAGTTGCGTATGTCTATAGGCAGACCTGGAGCTACCCGGCCAGCTATGTACGGGGCCCTGGCCAGCTCGTTGGTAGTTGGTGGTAAAAACCAGGCCATAACCCAGCCGCAGCGTCTGAACCCCTCATGTACTGCGTCGTCATCTCTCCGTCGAGATCTGGAGTAAAGGTTGCGCCTATACATCGAAAAGCTAAAGAATGCTTCGAGAATTGTTGCCCAGTGCTTGATGGTGTGAGTAACTGACGCCTGTTCTCGGTTTTTGTGATGTAATCAGGCAACAGTGAATGCGCTTGCGTTTCTCTAGTCGTCCGAGAAACGTCCGAACCCGGTGTGCTTGTTTTCCTTTCGGGATATCGATTTCCATGAACTGGTCATCCACCCAGACCATCAGCTCGCAGGTTTCGTTCAATCAATCCATGATTGAGAAGAGCGACTTCTCGTTTTGTAGTGAGACCGTCCAAGCCAATGACTGTGTAGCACATGGCCGTGTTGATAAGGTGGTCTCGCCAGGACATACTGCGTGTTGAAACCCTTGATGGCATAAATATATTCAGCCATCAGTGTTTTGTTCGATGACTGGATCATCAGCAGATACTGCCTCGCAAATTCTACTGTGAATGAAAACGTTTTCATGTGTTGTGTTTCCGTTTCATTGATGCCAGCTTTCATGGATGCCTCACGCTGAACCTTTGAGCCAGATGGGACTTGTGCAACGTACAGATTCTCGTGGATTCTCGGAATTTGATTTATCTCGAGGATGAAGAGTAAAGTGGATGGCCATGGTGAAACAGTAGAGCAGCGCCAGCAGAGGGATGAGTCTTGTGGAGAAAAGAAACAGTAGAGCGGCACTGCAATGTAAACAATAGGCGATTTGAAAAGGATCCAGTCCTTCGTAATGGAAACACCGAACTACAGAGGGAAGCAAGAAGAGGAAAGAGAGATGGAAAGGGAGCCCTGGAGAAAGTGCGAGCAAGCCTATGAAGCCTGCCTTCCTCGATTTTAGTTCTTCGCTGCTAGACTCGCTGGCGTTCCTTTGGGCACTACCGAAAGTCCGTCACAAAGGTCCCAAATCGCAGTTTGATTGTCGGGACGTTGCGCGACTTTCACAGGAGACGTTCGACTTGAATGACAGTTGTTGCTTTTGGCGATGGCTTCCTCTTCCATATCGGGAGTAATCATCGTTCCCAGTCGCCCAGTCGGATCCAGTCTTGCATCCAGGAACTCTTTCGTGACTTCACAGCTCTTAAGCCATGCGTATTCCATTTGGGCTAGAATAACCGGGGGCCATCCAACCTTCGGGTGGTAAAATTGGGGTTTGAATATCTGAGATTAGAAGCTCCTCGGCCTTGGCCTTGGCCTGAGTCTTTGCCTTTGCCTTAGCACCTTTGGTGTCGCATTCGTCGATCTTTTGGTGTCTCAGGTTTGCAAAGGCGTCCTTCGGCTCTTGGGGTTCTTTCAGAACGGCGTTCCGCTGTGTCTTCTCTTAAGGGCTGTACTCGACTTGCCGGCCTTCACGGCGGTCGAGAAGCCTTTTCCTTTTCATTGGGTCGGCTGTTCCATTCAACCCGGCTTGGTATAAACTTTGGTAATTAGTTCAGCAGAACAATTTAGATACCGTCTTTGTAGAAATCGGTATATAAAAACCGTCAGGAGGTCTACTGGAAGATGGGGAGTAGTGGAGGGAGGAATGTAAAGAAGAGGCTATATATACTATTCACAACCTCGGAATGATGCTTGAACACCAGACACTTTCTATCATGTTCGGATTGAGTATCAGTCATTGTTTCAGGTAATGCATTCAATTCTTGATTTGGTAGTCAAGTATAAATTTCCTCATGAGGAGAGATGGTATTTGGTACAAAAAGGCGATATAGAATCGCTATGCAAAAGAGGGCTGTCTATCAAGAACTGATCCGAAGATACCCATCATTATTACTAGAACAGACTGTAGCGTCTTTCCGAATCAACCCCCTTAGTAAGGCTTAGCGGCAGCCTGGCAAGCCTTCAGCTGGTCAAGGTACCAGCCGCAGATGCCAAGGTTGCCCTGGTTCTCGTCCATGCAGTTGCGGAAGTTGCGGACATCGACCTCACAGGCCGGGTTCTCGTAGGAAGTCTGGGAGGCGTTGCTCTGGTAGAGACCGTTGTCCATAGCCTGGGCCGGAGCAGGAGCCTGCTGGGCCTCGGCGGGGGCGCTGGAGCCACCACCGAAGAAGCCACCGATGGCGTGGCCGATGGAGGAGCCGACAGCAACACCGCTGTAGAAAGATGGATGTTAGCATGTGTTTCGAGGGAAAAAAGATGCCGACCCCGGATTTTATCGAAGGATATATCACGCCGGGTAGGGCACTCACGCTGCGGTCGAGGCCATCTGGCCGAACAGACCAGGGCCGGCGCTCTGCTGCTGCATGGGAGGAGCCTGCTGGGGCTGAGGAGGGTGGGCGGCAGTCGAGTGAGGCTGCGACTGCTGCTGGGTGGGAGCCGCGGGCCGAGCAGGAGCGGCCGTAGGGCGGGGTGGGAGCGCTGCGCGCAGGGGTAGGGGCGGCACCACGGCGTTGACGAGGCATGTTGATAGGTATATGTGGTTGATGTAAGAGGTTGGAGAGGAGGTTTAAGTATGAAATCGGGTGGAGAAAGAAGAAGCTAGAAGATCAATAAGTTCGGCGAGTGAGGCAAACTCCGATGCAAATTCTATGGCCTGTGATTGGCCAGTGAGATCCACGTGTGTCACGTGGAGGAACGGACATGGCGGTGTCCGGTCTCCGGCGCGGAGTCAGGAACGGAGTTTAGTATGGATCAGCTACATCATTGGAGTCATGTTTACTGGCCAAATGAGTCAGTGCTACGGATCATATGCATCGTTGAACGTTCCTAGAAGAAGCATTGCAGCATTGGGTGCTCTTGTTCTTGTTCTTGTTCTTGAAACAAAAGTTGTTTGATTTCAGTTATAACTAGTGATCTGGATGGTCTCAATTGTGGAAGGGTATCTTGATTCATAGAGACATTGCAAGTCCCGTACATAGTACATAGTGTCACTCGGTGTGGCCTCGGCGTGGCCTTGTAAATGTCGATAATCTTCGACTTGCAAATTGGTGATCGGTCGGGCGCGAAAGCCGAATGCCGGTGTTGATTAATGTCTTCTGATAAAAGTTTTGCTGTTGATGACGATGAAATGGCTGGGAAGTCTGGAGACTGCCCTGCAGCCCATCCTTGCCACCTATTATTGGAGTCGCGAGGTGTTCATTGAGCTTGTCTGGCAAATCGTTTCTCCTTCTTCTTTTGCCGGCGTTCCTTCTTCTCATCTTGCAGTGCGGATTTGTTGCCCTTCTTCCTCTCCTTCTTATCCTTGCTCTTGTGCTCCTTGCTCTTTTCCTTCTTGGCTTTCTTTTCTTTCTTCTCGGGGACTGACGGGTTCACCTCTACCCCACCGTCCGAGTCGTCATCGGAAGCGTTTGTCTGTCCTTCGGATGTCACAGCGCTAGACGGAGCTTCGGCACTTTTGCGAGCAAGCATTGCAGCTTTCAGCTGAGCGCGAGCTCGCTCCTTGGCTTGTTTTTCTGCTCGTTCGAGGTCGTACTTATCGTTGCCAGCCTGCATTGGATTAGCCACCAAAGTGGTAAAATAACGATTTCAAGACTTACAAGACCATGTTTGATGAATCTACCAGCGGCGCCCTTGTCCAATGTCATGGGGCGCTCTTCGGGCTCGGTCTCGAGGTTCTTGATCTTAGCAAAGTATCCCTTCACGCGAGTGAGTTCCGTGAACACCTGGTGCTGCTTGGCATCCACGCCACGAAGTCTCAGGTACGCTATTCAGTTAGCCAGGTGCTAGAAATGTGAGGAGAGCAACATACAGAAGATTAGTGATTCCAGCGCATATGTCATCATAACATAAAGTTTTGCTTTGTCCATTACGGGTAATTTGTTGGAGCTTTTGAAGAGTCCACCTGCCAGTATAGGCTGCAGGATCTCTTCCAGGTCATCAACATTGTCATCAAGCTGGTCGAGCACTGGTTGTAAGTCTGTTGGATCCATCTTTGTGAGGTGAGGTGGAGATAAGAAAATGCTAAAGAAAAAAGATATGCCGGGCGATATCAAGGCGGTAGTGCGGGCGGTGTGTGCTCCAGACCCAATCATCTGCGCATCTAAGATGGACTTGCGCATACACGACAATTGTTTGAACCAGACAGAAACAGGCATTGGTGAAGTTTCCACCGGTCTTCTTCTCAAACCACTGTGAATGAGAATGAAGCCCACCAGAATCCTCACACGCTGATTTGATATCCGGCAACCGAACACCTGCTCCATCGCCCTGAGTAGAATCACGCCTCAACCTCGCACCATGCAGTCAATACTTCGACCTCGCTCCCTCTGGCGAGCCCAGCCTCTCACCGCATGTTTCCGCATCCACGTTCAAATATCTCGGGGCCCGCGTGCCCGTTTCATGTCCACGAATCAAGATCACGACGAAATCTCTCACTACGAACACGGCGGACTGTCGGGTCGAGTGCACATTCTTGGAATCGGAAATGTAGGGTCCTTCATTGCCCACTCATTAGCCACGAGACGGAATCCACCGCCAATCACACTATGTATGCACAACGACTATGTCCGCTCGGACTTTGCGAAAAAGCGCGGAAGTATCTCCGTCAGCACACACGGCCTGGACGACGTCAGGTCGGGCTTTGATGTCGAAACCATTGATGAATTTGGAACGTGGTCTCAACAGCCCAGGAAGGATTATAGGCCCTCGCCTTTTATAACTGAGGGACCAGACATCCTTGTGGATGACAGCCCCATCGATTGTCTCATCGTCTGCACCAAGGCGCATCGCACCGAGCTTGCGATCCGAGATATCAAACACCGTTTAACAAAAGACTCGACCATCTGTTTTGTGCATAATGGCATGGGAGTGGTGGATATCATCAACCAGAAGATCTTCCCGAACCCAGACGAGAGGCCTCGATACATCAATTCAGTATTCAGCCACGGTCTTACCCGAAAAGATAACTTCAAGTTCGCGCACATGGGTGTCGGCTCCTTTATCCTCAGTCCGGTTCCAACCGGCCTTCCTTCGGAGGCAAACGAAGACACGTGGATACCGTCCACAAAATATCTTATGCGCCTCCTGACGCTCACTCCCGCATTGGTCGCCATGGCCGAAACGCCCGCAGGCCTAGACCAGTACCAGCTTGAAAAACTAGCCGTGAACTGCGTCATCAATCCCCTTACTACACTGAGCGATTGCACCAACGGAGAGCTGCTGTATTCTTTCAGTTTCACCCGCGTCATGCGACTACTACTGTTCGAGATCTCTGCTGTCATTTGCGCTCTGCCTGAATTGCAAGGCGTTCCAGGCATTGAAGAACGCTTCTCCCCGGAACGTCTCCGTCGCCTGGTGGTGAACCTCGCGCGCATGACGGCTGACAACTCCAGCTCAATGCGACAGGATTTGATGAACAAGCGCAGGACGGAAATTGAATTCACCAACGGCTACATTGTGCGCCGTGGTGAAGAGTTGGGCATCACTTGTCCACTCAACTACATGATGAAACATATGGTCACGGCCAAAGTCAGCCTTGAGCAAGACAGGGAGCGTGGCTATGTGCCCTTTGATCTGGAAGATGACATTGACATTTCCAGTTACGAGCCGAGTGTTTGATTCAAAACCAAGGTTATATCGACACAGTTTCAGCTGCATGCTCGCAGAGATCCTTGATCTGCTTCCATCGCTTGAGCAGAAGTTCTGCTTTCGGGAGGTGCTCTTGCACCGTGGGATTGACCTCGATGGCCTTGTTGATCGCGGAAATCCCTGCTTCCGCTTCCGCGGCGTATGTCAAGATCCACCTCTTGATGGTAGCTTCGGACCGCGATTCATCCAACCCCTGTGACTGGCCTTCCAGTACATGATTCCGCCAGTCCTCCTCCTTCATATAACTCAGACACGCGGCGGTTTCTGTGCGATAGCAGGGCCCGTGGGGAGTGACTTGGTAATTCCTTGCGTGGTGTCAGAACTGTATATATCAATGCGCTCCCAATGTACAATAGACTTACCCATAATATTGATTCAACCATAATTCCTCTTGCTGTCCAGGTGTATGAATATCCTGGAATACTATGTCATCGAGGTATATCGAATCTGCCTCGTTGACGTCAAGTATAAATCCATCTGATCGATTAGCGCAGAACAATGTAGTATATCACCACACTTACATTCAGCAAGTAACGTGTCATTAGGGTGACTGCCATAGTTCATAAAGACCTCCTCGCCTTCTTCGTAATCTTTGGTAGCACGGAATACATATTCATCCTTGTCAAATTTGACATCTCTCTGTCCGTGGTTAGCTTAACCATGTGCGAGGGTTTGTCGACATACAGCAACATCTGCATGATTGAAGTAATCTGCAAAAGGCACCAGCCCCATCGCATCATTCAGATCTTCGGGAACTTCCTGCCCTTCACCAACCCAGTAGAAGCTTCGCGTATTCACAATCAGCCAGTGGTAAGAGAAATCCTCCCACTTGGTTTCTGGGTACGCGGAGGTAACATCGGTCCACGCCTTGCGAAGACGCTGGGCCTGCTCCGCAAGAATATTCTGGTAGTCTGTGGTATACTTCCTTGTTTTCGGGCCGGGCTTCAAGCTGGGCCAATGCCCTGAAATAGACGGGGGAAGAAGACTGGGTTGATCTGAGCCGACGTCTTCACTCCCAGGCCACTGCGGGCCTCCTAAAGCTGGCGGCCAGAGTATCGGCATGCTGTCTTCAAAGTCCTGTCGACTAGGCCATGATTTGCGCCACAGGTCGTACTTTGAAAGCTGCTCTGGGTCGCCGTGAGTGAGATATCCGGCGAACAGTGCTTGCACGGCGATGTCTTCAGGGAGCTTCTCAGTAAAGCTGGCTGGAACATCATCCACCGTTACCATGATTGTTGTTGGAACTCGGAGGACAGCATCTCCTTTCTGGAGATATGGTTAGGATGCACCTGAGGGGCGATGCTCGGTCTCTTACTTTGATATTCCGAGTAGCAACCATTCCGAGTCCTCGGCCTTGAAGCCGCGCCGGAGTGACTGCATCTGTTTGTACACCATTGTCGAAAGCCCATTTGGTAAAGACTTCATGCTCTTCCCCAGGCCACCATTCTGGCTTCATCTTGCTCTTTAACGGGAGAAGCTCTCAAATATGTTTGCTGTACAATTCAAACAGCACACTTAGATAGGTGTGTCTCCTAGAGCCGGATGTTTGATCAGCTCTCAAGGAGAGGCGCAAAATGACTTGAACTCGGAAATTCACTCTAGAGGGTGGGGATGTTTATCGGTGATAAGCGGCGTTATCGCAGTCTACGGCGGAGTGCAACAGCCACTGCCGCCATCCCGGCGATCTGATAATCGTACCACTTTCGCCCCAGCTCTGAATATGCACAAGCTTGACAATCACAATCCAACATGTCAGTCCTTGGAAGGCGTGGGGCAAACGAGCTCCGAGCCGTGACTCAAAACACAAAGACAGCAGCCATACGGCCATTCTCAATTCTAAATCGCCCGGCACCAAACTACCCCGGCCATGTCCCCTTGACTACGATAGAACGCGGAGCTCTCGCAGTAGGATCGGCAGTTGGGTCACTGATTAATCCTAGAAGAGCGGGTACGAATGCCATTGTCTTTTGCACGACTAAAAACCGGCTACTTACACGCATGTAGATCTCATTGCAGCGCTGGGCGAAGCAACTGCGACACCATACTTTATATACCGACTACGCGATGCCATGCTCTCAGACCCATCAGGGCGCCGCATTCTCCGCGATCGTCCCCGCATCACCTCCGAGACCCTCAGTATGCCCCATCTCCGCACTCTACCCGAGAACTCCGTCGGGCGAACGTACGCCAAGTGGCTAGACCGCGAGGGAGTCTCGCCCGACACCCGAGATAACGTCCAGTACATCGATAATGAAGAGTGCGCATATGTCATGCAGCGGTACCGCGAGTGCCACGACTTCTACCACGCGGTGACTGGACTGCCGATTTTCGTTGAGGGCGAACTGGCTCTGAAGGCGTTGGAGTTCTTGAACACGCTACTGCCCATGACCGGATTGAGTTTGTTCGCCTTTATCCGGATGAAGCCCGCGGAAAAAGAACGGTTCCTCTCGTTACATCTTCCATGGGCCATTCGGAGTGGACTGCGAAGCAAGGAGCTCATCAATGTGTACTGGGAGGAGGTCCTCGAGAAGGACGTCGATGAGCTTCGGGCCGAGTTGAATATCGAGCGTCCGCCCGACCTTCGCGATATTCGGAAGATGATCCGACAGCAGCAGAAACGTGAGAAGGAACAGCAGCAGCAGGCTGCAAGCTGAGCGCAGACGATGGAAGAGACATGTATGATTATTGGATCCTTGTACAGAATATCATTGCGCAATTGTGAGGCCCAGTGCCCTCTATTCAAACCAGCTGCAAATAAGGTAGCTCTGGGGCCATAACGCCTGGAGTGGATTTTCCAGAGATCCAGGAATGGATCCCCACAACCAGCATCCAAATGCAATTTAGAGAACGATCACCATAGAACGGTTGATACACAACTTTTACAGATCCAGCAGGTCGTCATCATCATCCCAGCCACCTTTGCGACGAGAGATGACGATCTTGTGCTCCTCTTCCTCCTTGCGCTGGTTCTCCGCGATAGCTCCGAGCAAATCCTTCAGCTGTTCCTCCGTCACCTTTTGTCGCAGTTGTCCGGACTGGGCAAGCATGATCAGCCGGTTTTCAATGTCGGTCGCACGCGATTCCTTGACCAGGCGAATACGGCCGAGGCGATCAGCGGCAGCGGGGTCGAGGATCTGGGTCATGATTGAGGCGCGTTGTTCAGCTAGAGATTGTCAGACGTGATGGATTCTATCCACGCTGTGACGGATACCTACCCTCGGCTTGCCTAGTTCAATTAGCACTGCAAAGTCCATCATTGATGTAGTACTCACCTCTTCTGCTGGGCTTGATCGGCGCCATCCTGGCCAGATGGACCACGTGCGCCCTGCTGCTGCTGGAGCTGCGCGAGACGAGCTCGTCTGATCTGTGTGACCAGTTAGTAAAGGTAGGATGATGGGAGACCACACGCTATACCTCTTCTAACTCTGCGTCACCCATGGCTGTTTGTATTGAGGTCTGGTGTTCAATGGAAGAATTGAAGATGTTCGAACCCCACTTGCGCCTGAGGCCGCCACGCGGGGAGAAATGCACGTGGATTGAACAATTTAAAGTACTTGGGTGGTACAAACATTATGTACTGCTTATGTATGTAGTTATCTGGTAATATCTAAGTCTACATCTCCAGGCTCTGTCAAAATGCTTGCGATCATTACCAAGTGCAATTGAAAACCTGCGCAGGTCGTATTCGGATAGGACATCGGCTGCAAGTACGGAGTATACGGGGTACCTGTTCAGGCAATTGCCTCCTTACCCCATTGGGACATATTAGAACAGGGCCAATGCGACCTTAAGCTTGATCGACCTGAGGGGCAAATCTGAAATTCAGAGGAAATTACCCGAGTCGCAAATGTGAGCTTCAGGTTAGCCTCGAAACTAGTTAATCATTGCGTACTTTCACAGAAGCGCCCGGGGCCTCCGGACCGACTCCGGGTGGCCAAATGGGAGAATCTGTCGGCACATGAACATGTCTTAAATCCCCTTCCCTCCCTCGAGTCTTGCAGTTTCTCGCCTTTTGCGTATTTCAAACATCTTCAACACATCAATTGCGCTTGCGTAGCGCCGGCCGATCCTTTCAATAGTTCGCGGGTGACTAAGCTAGTGAGCCCAAGTCGTCGTATCTCGCGCAGGAACCCCGACCTCTTCACCCTCAACAGGCTGATATCTCCGATCGGACCTGATTGTGGCGATTCGATCCTTCTTCTTTATTCTTCAGCGCATTCATTTCGGCAGTCCCCCGTGGTCTCCCCTATTGATCATCACCCCGGATTCGCCCTCCATCCTGAGACATCTACTTGAAACCACGACGTACGCGCGGCCGTTTCTCTTCTAATTCTATATCTCGGTGTGAATGGATACGGTGGCGATCTTCCAACCGGAGCTTATTTGGGCGTGAGATCCATCTGGCGAGTGAACCTGAATCACTTCCGCCTCACATTCCTTGAACGCCCTCTACGTCACTCATCATGGCCGAGTGAGTGCATCCCACGAACCTACCCCGAGGACTTGAATCAGTCTGCTAACGACCATGGCCATGCAGTCTAATTGCCTTTCAAACCTCACACCATAGTTTCTTCTCGCGATCCAACATGATCCCCCGTAACGCTCACAAGAGGTCCGTCTCTTCGGAGCACCGATCCCTATCCCCTGACCGCACCGTCACCAAAGCAAAGTCCACAACCAATCTTGCAGATGTCGCCTCTGTCAACGGCAAGCCCAGATCGAAATTCGATGACAGCGCTTTCAGCACCTTACAGGACCCACGATTGGCGGACGGCTCGGAGGTTTCACATTCAACGTCATCATCTCACCACCCGGACTTGAGCAATGAAGTCGCAGCATTATCCGTGAAATTGATCCAGGCTATTAACAACCAAACCAACCTTGATGACAGCTTGGTTGCTACACGCCAAGAGTTAGAATTGGCCCAGGGCAAGATCCAAGCTCTCGAGTTTCAGAACGACAAATATCGACGAGACTTGGAGAACAGAGTTTATATTAAAAAGTCCGATTCAGATCGCGAGATCCTACAATTACGAAATGCTCTTGCGGAGGAAACGAGTCAGCGCACGGCCGCTGAAAAGGGAAAGAAGACAATTGAACAGGAACTGGAGACTCTGACTGCAGCTCTCTTTGAAGAAGCCAACAAGGTCAGTGACGAGGCAACGTAACCATGACTGGGCTAACACTTTCTAGATGGTAGCTGCAGCCAAGATCGAACGCGAGGCGGTGGAGAAGAAGAACGAACAATTACGTTCACAAGTCAAGGACACCGAGTTACTCCTGGCGTCGCATCAAGATCAGCTAGCTGAACTCAAGTCTGTTATGCAAGGGATGCATCTCCACAAGGACGAAATCGAAACCCGCCCGACCACTACCCCACCGTCTCCAGCACAAGCCCCCGGGTTTGCCAACGTGGAGCTGGAGACGATTCCGGTGTCAATTGAGAACGAAGAATTCACACCGGGGCCTTCGTGCGACTTCCCCCAGATCCTCCGCATGATCTGCCGTACGGATCTGCAGGCCTATGAAGACTTCCGCGATCTGTTGGTACTCTCTCGCAGCTCCAAGCCACCAAGCCGGGCCACGAGTGGGTCATACGGAGGCCTGAACGTGATGGGTCTCGCAAGCTTTGCAAGCGGTGGAGCTTCCTCGGTGACTTCATCGCCTACCAAGGGATTCTCGCATTCGCCCAATGGGAGCATGTCCTCGACAACCGGGTCACATGTGCCCTTGAAGGAAACCAAGTTCTACAAGCGCGTACTGACGGAAGACATTGAGCCTACACTCAGACTAGACCTTTCGCCGGGGATCTCGTGGCTGACGCGTCGCTCTGTCCTCAGTGGCATCTGTGAAGGCAGCTTGGTGGTAGAGCCCATGCCGGCGGCAGCCAAGAAATTCGAATTCCCTTGCTCTGTCTGCGGTGAACGCAGACCAAGCGGGCCTCATGAGAGGACCCACCGTTTCCGCACGTCTGATAGCGAGACCGCCCAGCGATATTCACTCTGTCTTCTTTGCCTGGAACGCGTGCGCTCATGCTGTGAGTTCACTGGGTACTTGCGCCTGATTCTCGATGGTCATCTCCGCGCAGGTGATACCGAAGAAGAGAAGGAGATTTGGGATGAGACTATCCGCCTGAGAGAACGAATGTTTTGGTCTCGAATTGGTGCTGGTATAATACCGTTGAATCGCGCACCAGCGCCTCAACCGGAAGCCTCAGATGTTAACACTGTGGATGATGATCAATATCTGCGCCCTGTGGACGTCAGTATCGATCAGAAGGGGCCAACGGAACACCCCATTGCATCCGAAATTGCAGGCTCTCAATTCGTCAGTGCCAGCTCACCTCGACCTCAAAGCTCCATTTACGACAGAGACGAGGAAGACACCGCTTCAATCGTGGACGTGGAACACAAGCGAATCTCCATCGATTCCGAGCACAGCATATACGAAGAAGCTACCGCGGATGTGGATGCCGTTGAACCAAGTACCACGGATCACAACCCCGTCGTGCCCTCGATCACTCATACTCAAGAGCCCGACACAGACAATAAACCCACTGATCTGAGCACCTCTTGACCTCTCATATTCGCGAGCGATCAATACGAACGAGTGAGACGACTACACGGCTTACCCAGCATTTCACGATACACCTAATGTCTTCATCCCTTTTGGCATTGCATTCTCAAGTCATTTAATTTCTCAGGCCAGGTCGATACAGGCTTCTTTGGACATGCTGCCTTTAGCTCTACCGCTTCTAATTCCCCCATTCATACCCCGGTGATCTGCTCGGGTATCTTCTTCATTCTCAGCAGCATGTCTGCTGTGTATTATTATTCTTTTTTTTTCTTTCGCTTATGCATACATAATAATGTGCCTTGTCTCTTGTCCGGATTTGTTTCGTGGACACTTGATCAACGGCTTCGTGTTGTCTTTTTCCGTTTCAGTCGCGACGGTGTTTCCTCATTGCCATTGGTGGCGTCCTGCTAAATGATAGATGAATCTGAGCCAATTTGCATACATCAATTTCAAGGTCTTACTTTAGACAGTTACCTTAATCCGCCATATTAAAACATCCAGATAAGCTACGTTATACCCAGTTCTTACACGGTGATACACCTGGGATTGATTTGTGCATTGAAAGAAGAAAGTAGATCAGACAGGATGTTTCTAGGCTCAAGGCTAGTGTACAAAAAATAGAAAATAAGCACATCCATGTTCATCCATCCCAAACTCCCGTTTTGTCTCAAACCCCATGAGATGAAACACCCGCCGATCTATGCACGGGATATCATTGTTTCGCAAGTTGGTGAATGTGTCGGAGCTGGTCTTCAATGTTCGTACTCTGCGCGTTGGGGTTGTGCGGGCCTTGCACAGAGGGATCCGCCGCCAACCGCTTGCGTCTGGCCTCTTCCTCCGGGTCAATGGGGGAGGGATCAAAGACATCGCTACGCTGGCTGGCAAGACGCTTGAGGTTGTTGACCACGTCGACGGTGGACAAGTTAGTTGTCGCGCTGCGAGCATCGGCCTTAGCACGCTGCTCCTTCCAGCGAGGGTCCAGGAGCTCGATACGGATGTGCTCGTCGAGTTCAGCCTGGGGCACCTTTTGGTTACAGTATGGGCAGATGGCCAGTTGAGCGGTCTGCTGGCGGCGCGCCTGGGCTCGCGGCACGTAGTCGGAGCGGATGCGCATCGGTTGTTGGCTGGGGATGGCTTGGGCGGCGGCCTGAGCGGCGGCAGCTTGGTCGCGCGCTTGAGTGCGTTCGCGGATGCGCTGGTCCTCCTCGGGGTTGGTGTATTGCCCAGGTGGGGGGTAGGGGCCAGCTGGGTAGGGCGAGACGGCGGGCTGGGGAGGGGGCATGGGGACGGGTTGTGCTGGGTAGGCGTTGTAGTAGGTTGGGTTGTCGAGGTCTGTGGGCATGGCTTCCTCGATGCGCCTTGTGTTGAGGGAGATGGCGGCCTTTTGTTCGAGGGAGGCGGACTGCAGGTCGTTGAGGGATGTTGGCGGTGGCAAGTCCGCATGGTCGTCGTGCTCGGTGAATTCCACGGTCTCGACTACCACAAAGTCATGCCAGTCGATCTGCGCATACTCGATTTGCTCCTGCTGGTTCTGCTCCTCTTTCTGCTGCTTTTGCTTCTGCTGGAATTTGACCCACTCGGCTCGCTGGGTGGCGCGCTCCATGACGCGATATTTGTTCTGTACATTTCGTTCCAATTCAGCAATCAACTTTTTAGACGAAGTGGCTTCATCAATTCCTTCTGGGCGAAGGAGAATAGTGTATTGGTCGACGAGGCGAGTGAAGAATTGGTAAAGACTGTGCTGGGGGCGCAGGAAGTCGAATTGGAAGTTTCGTGCCTCGCGCTGAGACAATGCGGTCATGAATGGTTTTCCACGCTTGGCGACAAACATAGCGGTTTGCTTGACGATCTCCAGATCCTGGGCACTGATGATCGGCATGCGCGCGGAGAAGTGAAATGCGGCGGGTTCGGGTGGCCCCTTGGGCTTTTCAGGTTCGGCGGCTGTTTCGCCTGCGCGTCCTGCTGCCACGGCTGATCCTCGGCCCTCCTTGATCTCGACCAGTCGCCATTGATAGAAAGGCGCGTATGCATCTCCTGGGACTAGGAAAGAGAACTTGGGGTTGCTCTTCTCCTTCTCTCGGATGCGATCTTCAAAGACTGCTCCATTGCGAGCGACGTAGCCGGCGGTCTTTTCCACGATAGCGCGGACATCTTTGGGGGAAGCACAACACCCTCGGGGGGCTTGTTGGCCTCATCGGGGAGTCCGGCACCATTTGACTCCATGGTTGTGATGATGGAGAGATACACGATATGTGAGGTCTGAGAGGTCTGAGCCTATCTGCGGCACTTCAGCCACAAAGCGGTGAGGCACTGTGGCGCAGTTCCGAGGCCATGTTTCCCTTTGCATTTCCCCACTGGCCGCAATGGGACTGTTTACTCCTTTTTGATAGTTTGATATCAATCATTTGCTGGCATATATATAGACTGGATAAACAATCATTTTCATTTTTAAGTTATCGATAAAACTGTAGGAAAAAAAGAATATCTAAAATAATAAGTCGGGGCCAAAAGTAAAGGGGCCGCTCACGTTGCGTCCTCCACAGCCGCCGTCGATCTGGCCTTAAGGCGGAACCGCACGCTTTCGTCCATCTGTGTTCACCTATTCTTGCTTCTCGACCTGTTTCCTTTTTTTTCTTACTCTCCCTATAGCGACACTTTTCTCTTTCTCTTTTATTTCCTCCCTGTCATGGGGCCTATTTCCTCATTGCTACACGATCATTAACTGGTGTGGTGCTCGAAGCCGTAGGTTCACAGTTCGAGCTCGACAGCAGCATTGCAGAGTCGCTGCTCTCCATTGAACTTTGAAACGCCTCTTGTCACCGCAATTACATTACCATTCAAACTCAACCACCCTCCTCTCGTTTCCAACAGACATCCCGTTTCCCGCGCCGATCTCCTGAACCTCTGGCGTCTCGCATTTGTATCACATTGAAACAAGATGGGTCAAAAGAAGGATACATTGCGACCTCAGAGTCGCTCTGGGCGCTCGCGCAGTCGTTCTCCCAAGCCCAAGAGCAAGCCCGCGGCCGTTCCGCAGAGCTATGCCTCGGAGGGCGTGAAGAACAATGATATCTTCCAGCTCCCCGGGTCGGACTACAAGCTCATTGTCCTGGTGACTATGATCGCTGCGGCTGTTCGTCTATTCCGAATCTACCAACCGACAAGTGTGGTCTTTGATGAAGTTCAGTGAGTTTTACGGAGGAGGATACCAAGTGCGGGGGCTAACGAATACAGCTTCGGTGGATTCGCATCCAAATATATCAAGGGCAAATTCTTTATGGATGTCCACCCCCCACTGGCTAAGCTGCTGCTCACGCTGGCCGGCTGGCTCGCCGGTTTCGATGGCAACTTCGATTTCAAGGACATTGGCAAGGATTACCTGGAGCCCGGTGTGCCCTATGTGGCCATGCGCATGCTCCCGGCCATTCTGGGTGTCCTGACTGTCCCCCTGATGTTCCTCACTCTCAGAGTCACCGGGTGCCGCAGTTCGACCGCTGCCCTGGGTGCGGGTCTTGTCATCTTTGACAATGCCCTGGTCACCCAGTCCCGCCTGATCCTGCTCGACTCTCCGTTGATCTTCTTTACCGCTTTAACCGCTCTGGCCTTCAGCTGTTTCACCAACCAGCAGGAGCTAGGACCCGCATATGCCTTCCGCGGACCGTGGTGGTTCTGGCTGGTCTTCACCGGTCTCTCCCTCGGTGCGACACTGAGTGTGAAGTGGGTTGGCCTCTTCACCATGGCCTGGGTTGGCTCTCTCACAGCTCTCCAGCTGTGGGTGTTGCTGGGTGACTCCAAGACCGTCACTCCCCGCCTCTGGTTGAAGCATTTCTTCTCCCGAGTTTTCTGTCTGATTGTCATTCCTGTCGGCTTCTACCTGGCCATGTTTGGTATCCACTTCATGTGCCTGGTGAACCCCGGCGAAGGTGATGGATTCATGTCTTCCGAGTTCCAGGCAACCCTGAACTCCAAGTCCATGCAGGACGTTCCTGCAGACGTTTCCTTCGGATCCCGAGTCAGCCTGCGCCACCTCAACACCCAGGGTGGATATCTCCACTCGCACCCTCACATGTACCCCACCGGCAGCAAGCAGCAGCAGATCACACTCTACCCCCACAAGGATGAGAACAACCTCTTCCTCTTGGAGAACACCACTCAGCCCCTGGGCCCCTACGGAGAGGTCGAGGGTCCCTTTGCCTGGGACAACCTGACTGCTCCCGGTTTCATTGAAGATGGATCCATCATTAGACTGTACCACACCATCACTCACCGAAGAATTCATTCCCACGACGAGCGTCCCCCAGTGACCGAGGCTGATTGGCAATACGAGGTCTCTGCTTACGGATATGAAGGTTTCGCCGGTGATGCCAACGACCTGTTCAAGGTCGAGATTGTCCCCCTCCATGTCTGAGACCCCGGAGTCCAAGAAGAGACTGCGAACCATCCAATCCAAGTTCCGACTGGTGCACGTCATGACCGGCTGCGTTCTGTTCTCCCACAAGGTGAAGCTTCCTGACTGGGGATGGGAGCAGCAGGAAGTGACTTGCGCCAAGGGCGGTACTCTTCCCAACAGTGTCTGGTACATCGAGCAGAACCAGCACCCCTCCATGGCTGCGGACGCCGAGAAGGTCAACTACCGAAACCCTGGCTTCCTGGGCAAGTTCTGGGAGCTGCAGAAGGTCATGTGGACCACCAACGCTGGCCTGGTCGAGTCTCACGCTTGGGATTCGCGCCCGCCATCGTGGCCCACCCTCCTCCGCGGTATCAACTTCTGGGGCAAGGACTTCCGTCAGATCTACCTGCTCGGAAACCCGCTCATCTGGTGGTCGAGCACCCTCGCCATTGCCATCTACGTCGTTTTCAAGGGTCTTTCCGTCATCCGCTGGCAGCGAAGCTGCGGTGACTACAAGCACGTTTCGTTCAAGCGCTTTGACTATGAGGTGGGCACCAGCGTTCTGGGCTGGTTCTTCCATTACTTCCCCTTCTATCTCATGGCCCGTCAACTCTTCCTGCACCACTACCTCCCTGCCCTCTACTTTGCCATCATGGTTCTCTGCCAGGAGCTCGACTTCTTGACCAACCGCATCAAGAGCTTCGGTCTTGTGTCGAAGCCCGCTATCGGCAAGACTCTGATGGCAGCCTTCTTGGGTCTCAGCATTTTGGTTTTCACACTCTACGCCCCTCTCGTCTACGGCAACCCGTGGACCAAGGATGCCTGCAACAAGGTCAAACTTTTGGGATCCTGGGACTTTGACTGCAACACCTTCCACAGCGACGTAAGTGTTCCGGAATGGAGGCCTCCACAACGAGCGCATCGACAGGGCCATGACTAACATGGAAACATAGTTGAGTGAGTATGTTACTCAGTACGTGCCGAACGCGCCTCCCGCTGTCCCCACAACTGCAGCCCAGGCGCCGCCCCAGGCGCCACCCGCCCAGGAGCCCGTTCCAGCAGGCGAGAGCGCCGATGTTTCTGACCCTGCTGCTGTGACCGCGCCTAAGATCCAAGGCTCCATGGCTCGCGTTGAATACCGCGACCAGAACGGCCAGGTTCTTGATGAAAACCTCGTCGCCTCGCTTCGGGCCGAGGGGAAAGTGAAGTTTGAGACTCGCTACGACGCTGGCCACAAGATGGAAAACGCACACGAGGTTCCCATCGTTGATGGCCAGCTCGCTCCCCCGCACCCGGATGTGCAGGGCCAGAACCCCGAGACCGGCAGTGCCCCCGAGGACTCTGTGCCTCCGGAGAGCCCCGCTTCCGTGGTTGAGGGCAATGAGCGTTCCGTTGAGAAGCCAATCTCTATGGAGGCTAAGCCTGCGAGCGAGGGAAATGATGCCACTAAATAGTGGCATGTGGAAGATGTGTAAAAGGCGAGGGGATTTGCCAATGTATAATGAGACTCATAGAGTAGTTGTTCATTTCAATTGTTAGCTTTTTTTCTAAATTCATAATCAATGCAGATAGTTGCAGACAACTTGTGCTGACATCTCGTCTCAAAGATGTGTAAGTAACGGACGGTAGGAAATAAACGGCTATAGCGCAAGAAAAAGACTGAATTGACTCTTTATCTGAAGTAAATACTATGCACAAATCTCTTGCCATCCCAAAGACAAGTTCACGCACCCTTCTCCCCCGGTTGGAGCAGTCTTAGTGTACAGCGATTGGCCGCAACCAAACGACAGTTCGCTTCGTTAAACTTCTGACGGCACTTCTACTGGCTCATCAATAAGCATTTAGTAGTCCCACTCCTCCTTTCCGAGCTTGTTGAACTTCTCGTGGAGCTCCTATCAGAAGAGAGGTGATGTCAGCATTGCATGACTAAACAAGGCGATCATGCAATTGTCTCTAGTCGGAAGTCGACAAGTACAATGGGGCACAATGAGAAGCAGAGAACAGTAGGTTCAGGATTGGCAACACATGGGGCATGAAAAAGCAGCAGGTTCATACCTCGGGCAGGGTGACATTGGGAACAATGACAGTGTTCATGGCACTGGGAGCAGCGCGGAGGGGCTGGCTCTTGTCACCGTGGGGGTGGTAAGAGTACTTGGAGGGCTTGGCACCCTCGGCATCCTCGTTGTGCCAGGGCATGGAGCTCTGGGCAATGCGAACGTTGCTCTCGGAGTTGACGGAGGTGGGCTTGCGGCCGAAGTACCTATAAGATCGCGACAATTAGCGATCATGCGATTCGGGTGTATGTTGTGAAGTTGCGCGCCATTGAGGCATGTTGTTCAGTTGAGATAGTGCTCAGCAAGGTAGTGGCACGTCACAATGGCGCAAATGGGGCGAATTGTTGATATAAGAGGCGATTTAGGGTAATTTCGGGAGGGATGCTCACCATCCGGCAATCAGGAAGGCACCAGACATGACACCGAGGAGGACCTAGCGGAACAGGGTTAGTCGGAATTGGTCATGGCTCAGGCGTGCGGTCCATACGTAGAGCTCGGGGTCGCGCTTGGGAGCCTTATCGAGGGTGGCCTCCTCCAGCTTAGAGTGAGCTGAAGAGTTGAAGCGGCGCGGGGGAGCGCGGAACAGGGGCTGACGGGTCAGAGCCCGGCGAGTAGCCAGAGCAGCAATGGAGGACATGGTTGCAGCAAATTGATTGTGCGTTGGTAGTACAAGTCGTGAGCGGAGATCTAGAAACGGGTAGTGCGAGAGAATCATGAGTGGTAGTATGATGTTGCCCGTTGGTCATGTGACCTGGTCAGGTGACATCGCCGTCTTTGGCTGCGACTATTGAACTCCCTTGGGTTGCGATTGTTTGGTTCGAATTATCCCGGTTGCTGACGCATATACGATCCTTTCCAAAGGTTCCGTGGTGTTTGTTTCTGTGATGTAACTGGCTTTGACGCGATTGCAGTTCACACCAAAGGTATGTCTCCCATATTTTGGTCAGGGGCTCTATTTCGGCCCTAGCTTTGCGGCGCGTCTTGTCGGTGGGACTGGAGCTAAAGGACCCAGATACTAACGAAGCTACAGGACCCTGATCGGTTTCTTCATTCGCTCATTAGACCTTGTCTTGGTCCCTCGTCACTCATTCGTTTGCTCCGCTTGTGGTCGCCTTATCCTTCGATCTCGGTGCCCAAGCCTCCGTGAAATTGCTCCCTGTCAATTATTCCTTCAGCACCAAATATGAGCCTGCGCATTGTTATCTAGTCAACTGTTGATATTCACCCCTTTCCGGCGCCATGTCGACCCCGTCAGATCGCCCCGACACACACGATGCAAGCCAGGCCTCAACGCAGCAACATGCTCTCGGAATCCCACGACCCCCTTCGGTTGGGGGAATCTCATCTCGAGTGACGGATGAGGACGGAGAGCGAACTCCGTCTTATACGTCACCACCCCCTCAGCCGCAGTCTAGGTCATCGGTGTCTCGTCGTGGCCCGCCTCCAACCCGGAACTCCATCACTAGTCAAGGGACTAGCAGACCTGGCAGCTCGGGGAGTAGGCTGAGCAGGTCACACATACCGTCTCTGACAGCACAAGGATTCTTTCGTCCCATGAGTTCGCAACGACTGCAGGCACACCGAGGGACGCGGCCCATGACGAAGGGGACGGTCTCGTCATCCGACGAATGGACCCAACAGGGCGGCCAACACCGAGGAAGCTTGGTCTCCAACAGCACAGTCCCCCAAGGGTCTCTTCCTGAGATGGAGGTTCCGCCGTCTCGGGGCACGGAGTTCACAGATCCCATCATTCCTGACCGCAATACCTCGAATGCTAGCCCCACGAATAACACGACTATTCGGAGTCTGGGTGAGAGCGTTCGGCTGCTGCGGGATCGAGATCAGAAGAATAAGCCCCAGCGCCTCAATTTGGGTGCTAACTACACAGGAAATGCCGTACAAGAGGCACCACCACCAAAATCACCTCTTTCGTTCCTCTCGTTGCAAAACAGGGGCGCGGGACACAACAACCACGATTCGCGTAGCCATCAAGGGCATGAGCACCTTTCTTCCGCTGGATCATCCCCAGGCCCTCTTGATGTGAAGAAACCTCAGCTTCCAAGAACGAACCTGGGCAGAAACTATGAATATTTCCTTGGCAACACGCTCTTCTGCGGAAAAGGGCGTTTCCAAAATTCTCGGGATAAGCCTGTCAACATTGCAACAGGCTTATTGCTGGTTATTCCCTCAGCGTTGTTTTTTGCGTTCTCGTATGTGCACCGCTCAACCGCTTGAATATGGCTAACTTTTTAGGGGCCCTTGGTTGTGGCACAACATCTCCCCGGCTATTCCCATCGTGTATGCCTACATATTCTACGTGTGTTTTTCGTCTTTTGTTCACGCCTCTGTTGTCGATCCCGGAGTAAGTGCTGTCCTCACTCTGTTGTGACTATAGTTACTGACGATACAGGTCATGCCTCGCAATGTCCACCCCATGCCTCATTCCGAATCTACAGACGATCCTTTGGTACTTGGCCCACCCACCAATGACTGGGTGATGGTCAAGCTTGCCACGTCTGACGTGGCTGCCATGGATGTACCTGTGAAGTTCTGTAAGACATGTAATATTTGGCGACCCCCTCGCTGCTACCACTGTCGAGTCTGCAACAATTGTGTCGAAACCCTTGATCATCACTGCGTGTGGCTCAACAATTGCGTTGGCCGCCGAAACTATCGCTACTTCTTTACCTTTGTCAGCTTCTGCACAATCCTCTCTCTTTTCTTGATCGGTGCCAGTTTGGCACACATCTTGGTCTACATGTCTCGAGAGAGCGTGTCTTTTGGAGCTGCGATCTCCAAGTGGAGAGTGCCATGGGCCATGGTGATCTACGGTGTTGTCGCAGTGCCGTATCCCACCTCGCTGTGGGCGTACCATCTCTTCCTCACCGGCCGCGGCGAGACCACCAGAGAATATCTCAACTCGCACAAGTTTGCCAAGTCTGACCGACATCGACCCTTCACACAGGGCAACGTCTTCAAGAACTGGCTTGCCGTTCTTGGACGCCCTCGGCCCCCTACCTACATGCAGTTCAAGGAGCAGTACCAAGATGGTGATCAGCGCCTCGGCACACAGAAGCGCAAGTACCGTGTGCCAGATGTCGAATCCCAAGCCATTGAGATGCAGCATGTTGGCCCCCCACCAAGGCTAAGCAATCACCTCCAACAAACGAATCATTTGTTCCTGCCGGCCTACGGACCGCTATGACCTATGAAGATGATATCCATGATTTATTTCCCTTCTCGAATTCCCCCCGAGGATACTTTCCATCTACCACTTTCTAATCTCATTTACACATACCCTTATTGTCTCGATTTCTGTTTATTCTGCTGTTATCAGCACAAACATAATCCCGTCCTTCCAACTGATCTGTCTAGATCGATTTCTTACTGTGTTTATTCGACTTGTGTGACTACATGGGAATGGACAACCCTATCAAAACCAAAATTTTTCTCCATATACCTTTATTGAACCTTTTTACTTCACCTTCTTGACATTCGAGCAAGTGTAGCGTACAATCATTCGACCTCTGGATTAAGAAATATGCAGATATAAAAGTGAAGTGGGAGGCTCAGCCCTGGAGGGGCCCTGATATTAAATAGCAGCGATTTCTCCAGCAGATGCGACGTCCATTGGCGCACAACCGACAGACGACCTTGGGCCAAGCACGAAGCTTTGGCCAAATCCAGCCAGCCTTCCTGGCGGGTACTGACCTCGGAAGCGACTTATGAGACAAATAGTCTACACAAGAACCTTTATATACAGGCCACCTATGATAAACTATGAATGCATGAACTGCAACTGTTCAATTCCAGGTTCAATCATACAAAAGCATTACGGAATAGTTAATGAACATGAATATTGATCCTGGGAGCTCCGTAGACAGTAAATCAAAATGTGACCGAGTTGCATACCTTGCATCGGCTGACTCCCGAGGTCTCGACGGGCTCGTCGGGCATATCCTGATCCGAACCTCTGAAGTCTGCGTGATTTGTCTCTCGTTGTAGATGGGATACTCCGAAGGCAATGTAGCGTGTTCAATAATCGTCTGGTAACATGAACCGACTGGTCCTCACTGTCCTGGGGGATTAGTACGCGGACTCGGCCTCGGGAAATTGGAACTCAGATAACTTTCACCCAATCCGAAAAATCCTTTGTACGACGATGTGATCCTGCCTGTCTGTACGGTGCTGAGTAACCGTTCGTCCTGTGTGATCTGATCATGGATGCTGGCCATCTCGGAAATAGCCGTAATATTCGCCAGCTGTATATCGAGCATGTCAATAGATGCTAACAAAACAGCTTTGGCGACTTTCTTCGTGGTGTTTTCCTCTTCCGGGCTTTCCTCAGTTGTACCCTTCTTGTCCTTGTTTTTAGACTAAATGCGTAGAACTGGCTAGCGGTCTCATCTTCGTTCTGATTGATAAGTTCTCAAGAATCGCGTTCAATACCGTTGCTTGATCATTGTTGGCGTGGATGTGAGTATCCATAGGTCGCTCATTTGAGGTAACGTCATCATCGGCCATTTCCATGGAGGGTTCCTCGTTAGCGAGGTTGACAAGCCGACGGTTAGCCGCCGCTGCAGGAAGAGAGGGGGCACTCAATCTCGACATGGAACTCGCTGCGACACGCTCTGTGCCAGAAAGCTTTCCATTCTATGCAACCCCAAAGATGTCGCGTGTGCGGTGGAGTTTGCAGATAGATCGAACCATTGGGATGTTTTCGAAAGAGGTACGGCTTGTGGCCTGGCTGTGAGAGTGAGAGTGAGCTGTGGCAGGGCTCGTCAGGGATCCACGTGTGAGATCCCGTACGGGGGACCCTGAACGCGGGTCGTGGTATTTGCCTCGCTGTTAGAGGCGGCGGATGGTGACACGACGGAGGGAGTGACTCCAGTCTGACGTTGGGTGGCAGCCGGTTAACCAGGGCTTGCCATGTTGAACGGAATCACCTGGTTGGGACCAGGGAGTGACATTGTCAAATCCTGCCCACGTCGTCCATACAGTGATCAGAGATCAAGACTGGACAATGCATTGGCAATTGTACCAAATCACCTCTCGTGGTAGCTGGCCACCAGACCCGGGACTCTTCGTAGATTGAGATGATTGTAGCGGCCTTCACTGTATTTAGTATCTGTCTATCCTGCTCGATCCGATCGTGGATACGAGCCATCTCAGACGCAGCCTGCAAGTGTAGAGATTGTATCTCAGCCATGTAGTTGGGCGCGAATGATACCCATTGAGCAACCTCTTAATCGCACTCTCATCGTCCAGAATTATGTCAGCTGTGTGCTTTTTGCCTCTCTCCTTGCTGGCTGGGGTGGAGAATGTGTCTGCCGTTGAAGTAGAACCTGCTGTTCCTGCCTGGCTGCATGAGGTGCTAGTATGGCGAGCTGGAACCGACAGACTTGTGCCGAGCAAGTGATTGCTGCTTGTTCATGCAACTTTGTTGCCTGTTTACGCAGTCGCAAGGTCTGTAAAGGCTGAGAGTGGTTAGACAAAGCAGATAAAAATTATCGACGAGAAAACCGCAAACAGACATGTACGATTTGTAGGATTTTGAGAGACGAGACGAGGAGAGGAAGAAGAGGGAGAGAGAAGCTCTCGCTCTCTAGATCAATCTACACCTGGGAGGAGCCTGGCAAACACCGCCAAACAATATGCACCTTGAAAAGTAAAGGGCAACGGAAGTGAGGCCTTGGAAATGAATGATGTCTCTATCGGACACAAAGTTGTAGCCTTGGAATGCTCAGAGGAAAGCAGGTAGCAGAATGAACTCCGTCTGGGATGTTGTCACCTGTTGTAGACTTAGTATCTTAAGGACTCACTAGAGGACCAACGACCTCGGGACCTCGGGAGGTTGCAACTTCACTTACAGGACGTCCAAGGTTGGTGTATAAGAAGAGGGGTCTTTTGTATAGTGATTCCTTGTCGCCATTTTGTACCACAAAACATATCTCCTAAGTAAACTATACTTGACTCCCCAATCAAGAATTGAATGTATATCTGAAGCAATGACTGACATTCCACCAAACATGATAGGCAGTGTCTCGTGTCTACTGAAGCATAGTCGTCTCAGTTCATACCTGTTCAGCATTTATTTCATGGACATGTTGTGATGCATCACCCTGTACGGGGTATGGCCTGAGAGTCCTCGTTAATATGGCCTGGATTGTGTCTGTTATACTCCCGCGCGATATCCTGACCCCAAGAATAGAAAAAGAGCGAGAAAACAAGCTCTTCTTCTTCTCAGGGAGAGTTCAGAGTTGATAAGCCTCCAGGGCTGCAAGCAAATGTCCCTGGATGCAGGTATTTCTTAGCACTCGAGTGGAAAGGCGTCAGACTTGATCAAGATCACAGTTGCTGCAATCGAAGTTGTATTTCGAGTCCGACTTTGAGACTGTTTAGAAACCGCTTACTACTGAGTGGATTTGCTTTTGACGATGAGCCCCCAATAGCGCTATTGATGTCCCTTCATGTCTGACCAAGATGCCGACCCGGTAGGTTTACCAAGCCGACAATGACTTCCTTTGTATGCGCAAAACCTCGATGATTCAACGGAGATGGTCAAGTGACATCAGAGACATACCCCAGAGCAAACCAGTCGGCTCCGAGGACTTGAGAGCTGGGTAGTAGGTAGTCGCTTTCCAGATACGCGGAAGATTGCACAGTGAGTTAGAAAACATGGACCAGTTTTTATGCAGAAAGAGATAGATTATCACCCATGAACCCCAATACGATAAGCTACATTGAACAATTCAATCACGCCGATCATGAAAAATGCAAGTACGCCAGAAACCACTTAGTTGTACAGCCCCTCGCTCATTTATCCTTGTCCTGATTCTTCCGCGGCTCAAAGTTCAACTAGAAATAAGATCAGCCAGGGCCCACAGCCGATGCATTTAGGGAGAAATACTAACCTGGTTTCCATTGTACAGTTGGCTATTACCACGTCCATCCTGCTGATCCCTCAGAGTTCTGATATTAGGACCTGATGTTCTTGGACGCTGCGTGGAACCAGTTGGCTCAGATGCAGGAGTGGGTTCCGGTGTCGCGGCAGGGCCATATCCGAGGAACGAGCTCACCAGACCCGTAGCGGTGGAGGCAGCTGAAGATGCCAAGCCGTAGACAGCAGAGATACCACGGGCAGGTAGACTGCCAGCTGCAGAATAGGCTTCGGTATATGTTGACACGGGAACCATGACCAAGTTTGCAGTGGATCCAATGCCGAGATCTCGGAGGGTTTGAGACTCTTGGGCCACAGTCAGGGTTTCACTGGGGAGCGGGTTCAAGATTTGCTTGAGGTTGTATGGTCTGGTGTCTTCTTCCATTTGCTGGTCAAGCCAAGGTCGAACATCATTTTTGATGCTTTGGGTTGGCGTAAAGCTAGATCGCACTGATCTTCCATCAAACAGGCGTACCTGCAGCCGGTATTCAGATGGGGGTCCTCGGGGTTTCGCAGGTTTAACTTTTTGCTCCACGACTGGGACTGTCTCCTTTTTGGTAACTTTGGGAGTAGGCTTTTTGGTTCCCATCGGGGCTTTGCCTTTGTCTAACTTGGGCTCTGTGGACATCTGGCCTGGAGATACAGAGCTTGATGGGCCTGTATATTTTGTGTCTTTAGGAGATGGCTTCGTAGACTGCGTCGGGTTCTTTGCTGCAGCCTGGCTCGTTTGCTGTGCAGCTCCAGTAGGCTTGCTAGGCTTGGTTTCCGCCTTAGGTTGCGGTTGACTGACTGGCACAGGCGCAGGAGAATTGGTTGAGACCTCAGGGGTGTCACTGCTCACCGGGGGTGACATAGTTGACGGTGATGTATCATTATTCAAAGCTGCAATCAATCGATTGCGAAAGTCATCTTTTGAGATATCTGGCCCGATGTACTCCTTTAGAGTGCCGTTACTGCATAACATTAGCCAGCCATCCATGAACATTGAACCATTATATGTACTTAATCAGGACGACAGTCGGGAACTTTGAGACTGGACAGAAAGAAGCCAGAAATCCAGCTTCTTGGGACCCAGCAGTCAAGCGCAGCACGACTGCTTTGGCATTGACTGCTTGCGCAATCTATCGCCGTCAGACAAGGAATGATCGATCGCAATGAACTAGCATACCTCATCATCTCCAAAATAAGCGCTCTCCCATGTAGAGCTCAGCTCCTCATCGTCTATATGCAAGTCCCAGGATCAGCGATCTGTCAATGCGGGGAGTAGACTGACGAACCTCGGACAAAACAGATGACAGCCTTTGCATCGCTGACGGCCGCAGCAATACCCTCCTGAAGAGATCCCTGATAGAACGAGGTCATGATCGCACCCCTTTAACGACAAGAGTCCAAAAAACAGTCGAGACCAGCTGGTGCGGAGAGTCCAAGTATAAGACGGGGGAAGCCTGGGCGGTCACGGTAACTCCGATCCCGAAATTCCATCTGCCGCTGACCTTACTCTTCACCAACCTCACGCAATCAGACCACCATGCGGCCAATATTCTCAGCTGTACAGAAAACGGCTACGGCCTGGACACCGTATACCCGGGCAATTCGGAGCCCTCGCATTTCATGGAAGCCGAACTCCATCTGCGCCCAATGCCGCGTCCAGCAGTCCCGCCAAATATCGCAATCGCGCCAGTTAGCTGATAGCTTGAACATCGTCGACCACCCCGCGAAACTTGTGCGGACTAAGCAGAAACATGGCCCTGGTTTGATCATCCTCGGTACGTTCCGATCATCTACGTGGGTAGCCAATTGCTAATGTACTCTTCCGCATAGCTTTGATTCCAATTACTGCGTTCATCCTGGGAACCTGGCAGGTACAGCGCTTGGACTGGAAGACCAAGCTGATCGCTAAATTTGAGGACCGCCTCGTGAAACCTCCTCTTCCGCTACCTCCGCGAGTCGACCCGGAGGCGATCGCAGAGTTCGACTACCGCCGCGTCTATGCTACCGGTCACCTCCGCCATGACAAGGAAATGTTGATTGGACCTCGCATGCACGATGGTGAAGATGGCTACACTGTGGTTACCCCGCTTGAGAGAGAAGGAGGCAGCACCGTACTTGTCAACCGGGGCTGGATTTGTAGGAAGATGGTGGACCAGAAGGACCGACCATTGGGTGTAACGAATGAAGAGGTTCTCATTGAGGGTCTACTGCGTGAACCATGGAAGAAGAATATGTTTACGCCAGACAACAAGCCCGCAGAAGGAAAGTTTTACTTCCCCGATATCAAACAGATGGCCGAGTTGAGCGGGAGTCAACCTATCTGGATTGAGCAAACTATGGGTATGTATGCAAAGTCGCAACGCTATGAATACAGGCTAACAATGGTACTATAGTACCTGATCTGGTTGAGGCGTATGATCGCGCGGCCAAGGGTATCCCGATTGGTCGTGGAGCCGAGGTCACGCTGCGAAACAACCACTCCCAGTACATCTTCACTTGGTAAGTCCTGTCGCATATTCTGCGTTCCTGGTTTGGGGATTTGTGCTCATCGTTTGCAGGTATGGCCTGGCCTTCGCCACATCCATCATGATGGCGATGCTTTTGAAGAAGGGCCCCAATGAGGTAACACGCCGAGTTCGCCAGAACAGAAGCTGGTAGTTGTTTTGGCATTTCATTTCCCCCGGAGCATATTGGTGTTTAAAGGCGTTCGTGTTTTGATCGTGGACAGTTGAGTACTCATGGCGGCATGGCCAATCTCATGTCCTGCTGAAGCTCCTTGGGTAGATGTTTCTGGGCAAGAGAAAACACTGTCGTCGACTTGTTGATGTGACGTTGTCTGGAACAGTTAGCCGAGTTGCTGGAAGGGTTATTTTGGACCAACCTTTTCAACAATGTGATGACATCGCTCTCGTCAATAGTCTTACGTCCTGCGTGTTTCGAATACGCAGCCAGGTCCTGGCTCGCCTGTTCAAAGTACCACGATGATGCCTGTTCAATCGCAGCCAGCGTGGCCTTGTTGATCTTCGCTTTGGAGCCGGCTTTGGAACGCGCAAAGCGAGTGGCTAGCTTTTTGACTACGCCTGCTGGCAGATTTGGAACGGGGATTCCATGGCGTGAGATCTTCTTCTCTTTGCCCTGAGTCGGTGCCTCCTGGTCTCGTAGCCCTCCTCCCACAAGTCCAGGGCTTTCACTGGGAGACGCCGCCGCGGGTGGGAAATCGATTCCAAACCCGAAATCACCACCAACGTCATCATCGTCCGATTCAACTGGAGCCGGCTGGACATCTGCAGTCGACAGCGCAAAGTCTTCCATATCGTCACCCCCATCAATGGGATCATCCAGCGGAGCTGCGACAGGAGATGGGAAGTTGAGGTCAAAGTGGAACCGACCAAGGTCTTCCGTCTCTCCCCTAAATGTCATATTAGCTTTGTAACATAGATAATCGAACATGTGTATACTTACCCTCGATCGAAATCCCCGCCACTCATCATTGTAGCTTCCTCGTCTTCGACAATGAGTCCGGTCTCCTCTGCATCGTCGCTCTCGAGGCGTGTTTCCTCAAAGTCGCCGCTGATTCTGCCAGCCCGACTCATCATCGACAGACGCTCGCGGTCTCTGATGCTCGTCTCTCGGCGGGGGTATTCGACGGACTGATAAGTCATATCCATGTCGTCCTCCCCGAGCGCGAGGGACATCCTCGGTGGGCGCATCTCTGGACTTGTTTCATCATCTCCTGAGGAGGATCCCTGTATAGGAAGGGACAGTCGCGGGGGCTCAACGAGTGGTTCGTTGTCGAGCTGTTCAAATTCATCGAGGGGCTCCTCGACGGGTTCTGGCTGTTCCTGAGGTGAAGATTGAATGGGCTGAGATACAGGGGCGAGTGCTATAGCCAGAGTCAGATCCTATACCTCCAACGAACTAAAGATATCATACCTCTCCCGAGATTCCTAAGAATGTCAAAGGTCGTCTCTCGCTGCGCACGACCGCTACGTCGGCGATCTCGACCCGGGGTATTTGCGGCACGCTGTTGGCGGGCCCGGAGTCCATGGGGTGTAGAAGGTGCCCCAGCGGCCCTGGAGCGAGGCGTGAAACGAGAGGCTGACCGCTGAGTGCCCGGGGTGGCAGCAGTCACCAGCCGACTGGGTGTCAGCGGGTAGCGTGTGTGTCCAGGAAGACGTTGAAGCTAAATTAAGATGTTAATAACTCCCGACATTGAAAGGAACACCGGAACTCACTCCTGTTAGCTTGCTCTCTCCAACCGGGGTAAACGGTGACCGGCGACCACGCGCATTTGGAGTTGATGTAGACATGGTCTGATTTTCCACAAGGGAGATGCTCCTATACCAACAGGATTATATCAGACCACATATGCATATAGTAGCGACAACTGTACAAAAGCAATTGTCGACTCCGAATGCAAGATCGAAGATGATGTTTGTCCGTCGCGTCCAGAAACAACAACTGCGGGTCACCCTTATCGCGATAACGATTGATGAATCAGCAACTTTTTTTTGCTCGAGGTCTAGTTCCGATGCGACTTCGATTTCGCATTTGAAGTGACAGCCTTTGGATATTTTGACTCAATCTCAGAAATCATGTCCGACACAAACGCCCCCAAGGGTCTTTCGGCCAAGATCCAAAATAAGCGCAAGAGACAAGCCGAGGACGCTGCGCCCCAGCAGGAAAAGACCGAGGCTGCAGGAACACCTGCAGAGGGAACCACCAAAAAGAAGCAGAAGAAGAACAAGAACAAGAAGAAGCAGGCTGATGATGGCGAGCAGTCATCGCGCAAAGATGGTATTGACGAATCAATTGGCAAGATGGACGGCCGGTTACTGGGCGATTACTTTGCGCAAAAGGCCAAGCGACATGAAAAGGAGCTTTCTGCTGTTGAATTGAGCGATCTTTCAATTCCTGGTAAGTACACTCAATTCATATGGTGTTGAGTCAGACATTAACCGATCTATAGATTCCGCCTTCCTCGACACCTCCAGCTTCACCTCTACCCGCAAGCTCGAACAGCTGCCAGAATTCCTGAAGACTTTCAGCCCCAAGGGCGCAGATCTTTCCAAGGCATCTGAGAAGAATGGAACCCCCCACACACTTGTGATCTCCGGCGCTGCCCTGCGGGCTGCCGATGTTGTGCGGTAAGGCGGATCTTCAAGTTCGAGTCTAGATTGCGGCTAACAATATCCCAGTGCACTTCGCCCGTTCTCGACCAAGGAAACTATTGTAGGAAAGCTGTTTGCCAAGCACATCAAACTGGAGGAAGCCAAGCAATTCCTTACACGCGCTCGGTCTGGCATTGGAGCTGGCACTCCTACCAGAATCTCCGATCTGATTGAGTCCGGTAAGTCGATCCCATTGCTTTTAACTATACGATTTTGCTAACTTCTGGTATAGGAACTCTCAAGTTGGACGAACTGGAGCGCATCGTCATTGATGGATCGCACATTGACCAGAAGCAGCGAGGAATCTTTGATATGAAGGAAACACACATGCCGCTCTTGAAGCTGCTCACTCGGCCGGAATTGCGGGACCGCTTAGGATCGAAGAAGGGTGTGAAGATCTTAGTGTTTTGATTTGCCATATGGATAACGAACTATTGTATCATTCCGGGACTGCGGTCACCAAAAAGCTTTAAATTTGATATGTACAGCTCCAAGTAGCCCTGAGGTCATCCAAGGATGTCCATTCTGTTGATCCGAGCTTATCGGACGATATCTTTAATCGCCTCACCGCCTCCGGCCACGCGGCAAAAATTTAATTTCACTTTTCTCTCCGCCCGATTTTTTTGGAGCTTCGATCTGGATTCTCTGCACACGTTCTCCACCTCGTTCTGTTTTCTTTCGAACATCCCCAGGAACGGCTCAATTGCGGTTCCATTCTACCTCCATTTGCTCACCTTTTAAATAATACCCACTCCACATACACATCACAATGGGTGACAAGCGCAAGCTCGTTCAGGACGAGATCGTCGAGCCCGAGGGCAAGAAGGTGAAGAAGGACAAGAAGGAGAAGAAAGAGAAGAAGGAAAAGAAGGAAAAGCGCAAGTCGCGCGATGAGTCCGAAGAAGTCGCACCTGTTGAGACCGCCGCTGAGGAGGTCAAGGTGAAGGAGGACAAGAAGGAGAAGAAGGACAAGAAGGAAAAGAAGGCTGAGAAGACCGAGAAGGACAAGAAGGAGAAGAAGGAGCGCAAGGAGAAGAAGCGCGAGGCTAAGGCCGAGGCTGCCGCCTCAGAGGACGCTATGGATGTGGACGAGACCCCCGCCAAGGAGGATGAAAAGAAGGAGAAGAAGGAGAAGAAGGAAAAGAAGGAAAAGAAGGCCAAGAAGGAGAAGAAAGAGAAGAAGGACAAGACCTCCGAGCCTACTACCGAGTCTGAAGCACCCGCTGCCGAGACCGCTGAGACCGCTGAGGCCGAGGGCGAGCAGACCCAGAAGGGTGCTCGTTTCATCTGCTTCGTCGGTATGTCATCTATCAAAACCGTTTTGCAATCGAGTAGGTCATGCTAACCTAGTTACAGGCAACCTTCCCTACTCCGCCAACCAAGAGTCTCTCGCCAAGCACTTCGAGAAGAACCCTCCTGCCACAATCCGTGTCGCAACCAATAAGGATGACCCCAAGAACAAGTGCCGTGGCTTCGCATTCATTGAGTTCGACAACTACGACCGCATGAAGACCTGCCTCAAGCTGTACCACCACTCCATGTTCGACGACAAGAAGTACCCTCCTCGACGCATGAACATTGAGCTGACGTGAGTTCCCATCTGAACTGCAATATGCACAACCCGCAATGCTTGCAAGTACCAATACTAACCCACTACAGTGCTGGAGGCGGCGGCGGCAAGTCCGAGCACCGCAATGCTAAGATCCAAGCTAAGAACGAGAAGCTCAACGAGGAGCGCCAGCGCCAGGCCAAGGAGATCCAGAAGGACAAGAGAAAGCACGAGAAGAAGCCTGAGCAGGAGGGTGCCACTGGTGCCAACTCCGTGGGTACGGACGGTGCTGCTGATCCCAATGACCAGTGGGCTGGTGTCCACCCTAGCCGCAGAGGCCGTCTTTGAATCAACGCTGGTGGATCGCTTGTAGACGATTTCTTTGCTGATGCATATCGGAGGACGGCAAGATGCAGGTGATGCCATGTATCTTGAAGGTTCTGCCGATCATATTTCATTTGTTTCTAAAAGTTACCTACTTTGTCTATGTTGCCTGGCTAGGAGATACCAATCATATTGCTCTGTTCTGTAAAAACTACACTCCAATAACCCATTTCAACATAGTGTTCAATATCCATTTGATCTATATTCGGTAGCTACTGGCATCAGGTACATAACCTTGCAAACCTTGGAACCTCCAACATCGCAGCCAAGAAATTCAGAACTATCAACAAGAGCCAAGAAGACAACATACAGTCCCAGGAAATAACGGTCAATGGATTTCATCACAAAACAGAGGCCGGCGAAATAAGAAAAAAGCCTCTAACTACTCAGACGCCGTATTAACTATATATTATTCATTATAGCATACGAGAACATGGGAGAGTCCAGCCAAACAAATGCATTCTACAAGATCATACATTTGTTGACTCCCTTCCTCCCGGATTTCGTAGCGGGACGAGGATTGAGCACAGCCCTGAGCGAGTTAGTAACCGGAACAGACTCAAGTATGGACACCCGCAACCACTCACCGAATAGCTTCGTCAAACACGCTCTTCAAGTTGCGTTGCGTCAGAGCCGAACATTCCAGATACTTATGTGCGCGAATCTCCTTGGCGACCGCCAGAGCTTGTTCGTAGGAAACGGTCTCCATCTTGCGTGCGCGGAGGGCTTCCGTGGTCGCGCGATCGTCTCTCAGGTCGAGCTTGGTTCCCACGAGGATGATGGGGACATTGGGGGCGTGGTGTTCGATTTCAGGGAACCACTAGAGGGTGTCCGTTAGTATTTGCTGTTTTCTGGTCGACTGGGAGAGAACTGGGGGGTTGGGATGGTTTTTACCTTCGCTTTGACGTTATCGAAGGAAGGTGGGCTGACGATGGAGAAGCAAATCAGGAAAACATCGGTTTGCGGGTAAGAGAGGGGTCGGAGGCGGTCGTAATCTTCTTGTCCGGCGGTATCCCACAGTCCCAGGCTGATGGGCCGGCCATCCACCATTACACTAGCCGTGTAGTTGTCGAAGCTGCAGGGGAATCAGTGGAGGTCGCGATAGAGGTTGGGGGTGAAAGGCAAGACGGGGGCACGTACACAGTAGGGATGTACTCTCCGGGGAAGGCATTTGTCGTATAGGAGATCAGAAGACATGTCTAAGAGATGTCAATGTCGGGAGTGTCTGTTTGGGGCGGAAATACTGACTTTGCCGACAGCACCATCACCGGTCACCACACACTGCCAGAAGGGTTAGACGGCGCATATACGAGAATGGCAATGCGCACCTTGAGGGACTGAGTCGCCGGACCTGAGGCCATGTTGCAATATGAGTGGAATTGGAGAGCCCAGCTGAATTTCCCACAGGGGCTGGAGTATGACGATAAGGGGGAGGGGAACAACGATAACGCGGAAAGGGTATCTGGTCTGCTTAGCTTCGGCTTCAGGGGGAGGTTGGAGCTGGAGGGGGTGGAGCAGAACCGGGATCGAAGGAGAAAAACAATACGGAGTTAACCACACACTTACCTCAAAACTTGTCAAATGTGGAAGGAGAGTGAGAAAGAAGAAGAGTGAAGGGAAGAAAAAAAGGAAAGGCGGATCACTAGTTCCCAGCCAAGCAAGAGGAACTAATACCAGAGACTAACGTGGAGAGTGACATTGGATTCCACTGCTAACATCTGACATCTAACATCGCCATAGCTAATAGCTGGCCTATATAATTATCCTCTCTGATAGGGTTGGATTTCTCCTAAACACAGACCCTCGTTCATGCACCAATCGCATGACAATTCAATCACGAGTCGGCGTTTACAGAGGGCTTACTCTCTGTCCTTTTAATATCCCTCAAACTGCCGACATGGATTTAAAGTCGCGATACGCCCTTGGAACCGCCCAGGAATCCTCCAGCTCTCAGCTCCGACGGTTTCGCCAGTAGGGCGGGTAGTTGGCCCGCGAAGGAACGGAAGTAAGGCGCCCGGACATGGGCCTGGACCGCTGACTGGTTCTTATACCTAGAACCGATCAGCATTGGATCGCAGTGGCCAGGATTGTCTGCCAGTAGAATGTGCCGAGGCAAGGTCTGTTCGCGCGGCACTGATTTGATTGACCTACCTCTCAACGATCACAATCTCGTTCTTGTCTTTGAGCTGGAAGGCGTAGTAGAGCAAGGTGTCTGGTTCGTGCTCTTGGACCTGCTTGATCACTTCAGATACGAGGGTGGACACCTGGATATGATAGGTTAGATGTCAAAAGCACCATGTATAGCAGGGGGAGGGGGAAGCTCGGGACTCACCTCCTCAAATTTCTCCGGCTTGGGGGTGAGGACTGCAGCGACGTTAATTTCGGCCATGGTGGGATGTGAGAGTGAGGCAAAATAGCAAATATTTCGAGCTTGAAGTAGACGAGTTAGATACTAAATACTAAATACTCAATAGCCTTGGTTATGCGGATCATATAATCCTAATCCACATAGACCTCGGCCCAGGGCAAGTGGGGCACATACAATAAACCTTAGGAACCTTGGTGTTTATATACTCTCAACTTCAAAGAATATCCCCAATCTGCCCGAATGCTGGAATTTCCTATTCTATTATCACCCAACTTGGTGCGCTGTACGCATTCACGCATTCCGGGTATAGATCGTGGGGAGCTGGCCCTCTACCCGCCGAGCCCTGGGATCATTAGATTATACAATCTACTCTACATGCATAGCCACGACTCAAACCAATGTCATTGAACCAGTTTGAAGGGTCAGTTGGAAAGAAAGAAAGACATGTTCTGTACTTGAACTTAGGACTCCCTCCACCAAAGATTAGTTGCCCTATGGTCTGTAAGTTCATCTCTATTGTCGACTATACCCCCTCCACGAATGATACCAACTCTAAAGTCCCTGGGATGATTATGTGCATAACTTGAATGGCCATATATTCCCCCGCGGAACATCGTCGTTGCGTCCATTCTACATGCCTTATTAATGAAAACTAGGACAACGACTTAACAATTCTACTGGTTTACGACATTCAGTTCGCCTTTAACTTGAAATTACAAGTACTCACAAATGAAAGCTGCCAGAAGAACTGAAATGATCGATTTGGATTTATAGCATACTGAGGTCCGGTCTCGTATGATTTGCATGCTTTGACCACATGTTTCTGAGATAACTAGCGGTCGGGTCATGGTTCATGTAGTACATGGCCTTTTCCAACTCATCCCTATCTGCAATGCGTTCGACCCAGAAGGGTTACCCGCTAGCTTTGTATTTAGACCACGCAGATGCCGATGATGGTAAACTAACCGGAAGATTGGATGCATTTCGTCACAATGATATTCATGCCGGTACGGAGTAGAAAAGATCGGGATTTCGGAAATCTAGATGATCGACATTCGACATTGTAAACAATGCAAGGAAGATGGAATTCAAAAGGTCCAATGCCGTCATTCGAGGCAGAACATAATTTCAAAGAAGAAAATGTAAATATGAAAACACAGAAACCGCAGCTTCTCAGGTTAAATCTCATCACATGACCGTTCTGGTCATCGAAACAATTACGTTGCAGAAGACCCAGAGGCGGCAATGTCATCCAGTGACTCTCATGCAAAATCCAGATTTTGATCAATGTGGACCCGGTGCTCCATGGGTTGTTACACCACCGCTGCACCTTTGTCAACACACAGCCGGATTCGTCAAAATGCGTCAGTTTCGCCATTATTCCATATTGAAAGTCCATTTGCAGGTTATCGCGTTGTGTTCTGATCATAGGAGCAAAAGTCATAGAAAGGATGACCATATAATAAGAAGGACATGTCCCTCGCTGCATAGCAAAAACATTTGCTTGTCAACCCCAAGAAACAACCCTAGAAACACCGAAATGTCTCAAACCGCTTTACCATTTCTCGCGATCCTGATAGGGATAGCAAGCTATTGCAGTGAACTCAGTGCAAGCCCTCCCAATCCAAACTCGACGAAAGGCATTGATCAGCCACCGGATCGTATCAAGTTTCTCACTGGCTATTTTATGACTGCCGTGGGCCGAGCTTACACCATTGCAACGAGCTACCATTCCATCGTAGTACTAGTTGACTGCTACGACTCTACCTATACATCACATATCTGCTCCCTCTATGTTTCCCTCAACCCGATACTTTTCCAGTGGAATGCGATTTCCGTCATCTCTATTCTGTCTATCTTCGCTGGTACATGTATGCGCTTGTCAGCATATAGAGAGCTAGGCCGAAACTTCACATTTCGCCTAGCAGCACCAGACCATCTAGTAACAACAGGGATATACTACTGGATTCAGCATCCAAGTTACATTGGATTAGCTATGGTTGTTGGCGGATTTATGTCATCATTCTTCGATGGGATGCAACGCCCAGCTGCTGGACCAATGGATTCACTTTACTCGACGGCTGGGGCTTCATCATGAGCACTACGATGACAGGTTTCATGTTCTGTGTCCTGTTGATAAGAGTTCGTGATGAGGAAAAAATGCTGAAAGGGGACTTTGGAAAGGAGTGGGAACGATGGAACCGGTCGACAAGTTGATTCATTCCCGGGCTTATTTAAAACTATCAATCGAGCCGCCTTATGCAAGGAATCTTGATCTGATGAAGTGGACGCAAGCGAATCATCCATATTTGTCCCCAGTGGTCTACTGTTGCCTAGGTGGGAGGTCAGATGACTTCCTTGGCTAGATCTCTCTCTCTCTCTCTCTCTCTTTGTCAAAATGAACTATTCTGAGAAGCGTTCACTTTTCGACACCCTTGCTCTTATGCCTGCCATAGTCCAATTTCTCCCATCTCATCACCAACCCGCAGAAGAAACAGATGGCACCACCGGCTACCACTAAATAAAATTCCCGCCCAATCACCGTGGCCACGGCATCAATCCCGCGAGAAAAAATCTCTGGATTGCCGGACTGCCACACTGCTGACGATACCCCGGCGAGCGCCTCACGCAGGTCTTTCTCCGAGTACCCGTTATCCCCAATGGCGTCCATCAGCAGGCTATATCCCACATTTTGGAAAATCGAACCCGCAACCGCTAGAGCAATTGCAATGCCGCCCATCTGTGCCATGTTGAACATGACCGCGCTGTCGACGCGGTCGCGCGGGGTCTTGTTTATCACATTCGCGACACCGACCCCGTGCTGAAACGAACAGCCAAGACCAACGCCAATGAGCGCTTCCAGGCCTAACACCTGGGACTCAGAAACACGGGGACTCAGTGTGCTGGCAATAGCGCCGGCTCCCGCGACGGTTGCAATTCCCGCAGCGATGTAGATCAGGTTGTAGCGGCCAAAAATGGGGAGTAACCCACCGACGAGGATGACCACGGCGATGAAGACCAGAACAAAAGGAAGAAGACGGACGGTCTGCTCCATGGCGCTGTGGCTGCGAGCGAACGCAAAGAAGAGCGGCGTGTAGTAGAGTGTGATGGCGTACGATGCGCCGGCACAGCCAGACGCGATCCAAAGCGGAAGGAGATCAACCCGACTGAGCAAGTGAAGGGGGACGGCTCGTTGCTCAGAAGTCGTGCCAATGCACCAGCATTGTTGGACGATCCATCCAACCAAGACCACACCAAAAACCACCCAGGTCGCGATAGACGCACCAGAGCCCCAGTCCCATACAGAACCGGAGAACTCTAATGCGAGAGCAAACAGTACTGGGGCTGCCATGTTGAACGCAATACCGATGGGGTCAATCGCCATCAATCGAGAGACCAGCGAAGTGTCTGGCCCTAGGTATTTGCGGGGAAGGCAAAGAACGGCGAGGGCAAGACTGAGACCCACCCAGGGTAGGTTCAAGTAGAAAGCCCATCGCCAGGTGGTGTGTCTGTTTGAGGCGAGAGCGGACCCAATAGGACCTCCAATGACGAGGCCCACGGCCCATATGGCGCTCAGAAGACCGAATAGACGAGGTGTTTCATCAGGCGTGGCAAAGACGGCGACAAATGTCAAGTTGCTATGTTACTGTGAGCTCTATGAGTCTAATGACATTGGGGGTGAATTGCAACATACCTTTGGTAAACAACAGCACCACCGACACCCATAACTACCCGTCCAACAATGACCGCAGGTAGATTGGGGGCCGCCCCAGCCACAGCAGCACCAGCCATGAAGATCACAAGGTTGGCGATATATATCCATTTGATGTCGAAGCAATACAGGATCTTCCGGGAGAAGGATAGGACAGCAAACACGGCGAGGCTGAAGGACAGGCTGATCCATGGCAGAAGCGCAATGTTGCCGAAGGCCTCGTAGAGGGCAGGCTGGATGTTGGCCACGTTACTCACATCATAGCCTAAAACAATGACGTTGTCAGAATGATGATTTGGATGCGCCTGATGTTCAGATACATGAGCTCGACTGACCATTGATGAGGGTTGTCAAAATGAGGACTGCGAGAGTTCCCTTCCATCTCCAGTCGGGGATGTTGCTGCGAGGATGAGGGCTTAGTGACAATGCACTCTCGTCTTTTTCTGGAATCGACATGAAGACCTCGGGAAGTTGATGCTAAATGATGGGTCTTGGCGATAAGGAATCAATACAAGCCAGCAAAAGAATGTAGGAAATGATTCATGAAGGAGAGGTGCTTCATACCCGTCTGACGAAAAGGCACCTAATATATTCGCTGATGCAAGATAGATCAAGCGATTATCTCGTTCGTTGTACTGGCCAGTATCTATCCTGGAACTGAGCACTCGTTGCAATTTCCAAAATGCTCGGACCCCAGGAGCTACTTATGGAGACAACTCAGCCCGGGGGCCAGTATAATAGTAGTGAAAACATATTGTTCTTATCACGTCAACACGAGTCAATGTTTGATCTGCCAAGCGATGGACACGTGGCGCTGTACAAGCACTCCAGGGCTCCAGAGCCTCCAGTAACCACCCATGATCAGCATGTCCATGGCTCTTTTGGCTATGCCAAGCGGGAAGTCAGGTCGGGCAGAGAATTAGAGAATACCGGATTACCGGATTAGGAAAAATGCAGCGCTCAGGAAGGGCTGCCATAAGGCGTTTTCAGGCGTTCCATCTTATCTTGCAAGGATAATGGGGCCGTTGTTCATCTACGCTAAATATAGAGTTGAGTTAGGTCGATATGGAAATAAATCATCTTCGCATTTATAGATCTAAATATATATATACTTAAATAATCACTGAAATGTCATTTTTGTTGTATATCGAGGTAGATGTTGCAATAACATACTGCTGGTGAACTTACTCGAGGATATATTTCTGTTTCCCTTTTCCCCGACTTTCTACAGTTCTTCACATCCTGTATGCTTGAGGGTCTCCAGATAGGGGATTTTTACCATTCTTCACTTCTTGTACTTCGTCTCTTGTACAGATCCCTCTTCTCCTTTATCTCTCATACCATGTCCGAGTCAAGACCGCTCTTCAACACCTCTACTGTTTCCACAACGCTTGACAACCTCCTCATAAGAAGCTGGATAGTCCCAGGCCTTGTGGCAGTCATCCTTGCAGGGCGTCTGCTTCTCTCCCTTTATTCCACTTGGCGCCATTCCCAGAAAGCTCGCAGTTTAGGCTGTGAAGAATCCCCTCTATACCCATGCAAGGACCCTTTCGGTATTTCCACCCTGCTCGAGACACTTGGCGCAGCAAGAGAGAAGCTCCTTCCTCAACTAGCAGAGAGAAGGGTGGCGTTCCTATCCCGTCAGCACGACAGATACGTTTCTACATTTCGTATGTGCCAGGCTGGTCGAGAGAACTTGTTCACGGCAGATCCCAAAAACATCCAGGCTATGCTGGCGACCCAGTTCAATGATTTCGGTTTGGGTGATACACGTCGTAATGTAGCTTATCCTGTTGTTGGTAGTGGAATTGTGAGTCTTTCCCCCACATCGGATGTAGCGTTTCTTTTCTTGGTAAAGGGCGAGAAGACTGGCTGACTGGACCTAGTTTACTACTGATGGCGAGAGTTGGTCGCATTCTCGATCACTGCTACGGCCTCAGTTTACGCGAGACCAGATGAGCAACCTTGACAGGGAAGAACGTCATGTTTCCAATGCGTTGCGTGCAATCCCGATGCTATCTGACGGCTGGTCCACCGCAGTGGATATCCAAGCCATCTTCTTTCGTCTAACCCTTGACTCGGCCACAGAGTTCCTCTTCGGTGAAAGCTGTGATAGCCAGATTGCTGCAACTCAACAGGAAACGGGACAAGCCTCTGATGATACTTTTCTCTACGGGTTTGACCGGTGTATGTGGTATCTCGCGGAGCGACTCCGGTTTGAGCGACTCTACTGGGTCATCTACAATCAGGAGTTTCGGAAGTGCATCAAAATCGTTCACTCCTTTGTGGACCGGTATGTTCACTCTGCCCTGGCGCAGGCTCAGCAACAGGAAGAGAAATTCCAGGGCAACGAAAAGGTTCCATCACAGTATATATTCCTCGAAGCCCTGACTAGTACTACGAAAGACCCCGTCAGGTTGCGCGATGAATCTCTAAACGTGCTCCTAGCAGGCCGTGACACAACGGCTTCTCTACTGAGCTGGGCGATCCTCCTTCTCGCACGGAACTCACACATCTTCGCAAGACTTCGAAGCGATATTCTCGAGCAATTCGGTACTTACGATCAGCCACGCGACATGAACTTCGCGTCCTTGAAATCATGCCAGTACCTCCGGCATTTCCTCAACGAGATCCTTCGTCTCTACCCGGTAGTACCCTTCAACCGCCGTTGTGCAACAAAGGATACTACGCTCCCTCGCGGCGGTGGGAAAGACGGCAATTCCCCGATCTTCATCCGCAAGGGACGTACAGTGATGTACGGCACTTACGTTCTACACCGCCGAAAAGACATCTGGGGCGAGGATGCTGAAATCTTCAATCCGGATCGGTGGGTCGGCCGGAAGGTCACCTGGGAGTATATTCCGTTCAATGGGGGACCCAGAACATGCATTGGTCAGCAGTTCGCTTTGATGAGGTCTAGTTATGTTCTAGTGAGATTATTGCAGAGGTTTGATAAGATTGAGGATGTGCACCCCGAGTCGGAGATTCGTTATGGTGTTTCGCTAACTTCTTGTCCGGCTGATCCGGTGACTGTAAGATTGCATCTGGCTTAGAATGGGATTTGAGTTATTTGGGCAGGATTGGGATTGACGGGACTCAGTGATTTTGTTGTTTGGATCATTATGTTGAGTCTGTGACCTAGAATATCTCCGTTTAAAGCATGTAAATTTGAAATTTTATTATAAACTATAAAGAAGATTATAGCAATTTGAGTACCTAAAGATCGTACTAAAGAAAACATATATCATTTATCCAACTGTCAAGAATTGGTAAATTTGTACTTTTTAGGGCCCAATAGGCCCCTAGTGAAGCCCAGTGGGCTTTCAGCCTGAGCCCAAAGCCCAGCCCATTTGCGGGTTGGGGTGGGGCTAGGCTCTAACCAAGACACTCCCCCGGTGCTTTCGCAATAAATTCAGTGACTGCCCAATATTTGCGGTAGAAAGCTTGCTCAGTGATTTTAAGGAATTACTTACTTACTCTGAATTGTTGGACTACTCTGTTTCAGAAAACACGATCTTGTTTATAAGATCCACAAAGATGATTAACAATCAACTCGATTCATAACTTTAAAATGTTTCTTTGTGCACTGCAACCGGAATTGTAATCCAAGGGCGGATCGTGGCGCATGGCACGACTTTCAGGCACAGTGGGTATCGCACCGGACATACTCAAATTTGGGAGTTCATGAAATTCCACGAACGGGGAGGGTAATGGAAAACAGTCAGGAACGGCTTGGACTCTCTGGGTAGCAGGTAGATTGAAATAATCAGTAGGAGAGTCGCCAGAGTTCTCCTCAGTGATATGTTGATGAGGCGTGCTGCCACTTGAGAATCCCATGTGCTTTCGCAGCAAAGGGAAAAACGCAGTAACCAGAGCCTTGAATGAAGGAATACAGGCTATGAATATGGCAGTGCAGACCTCCACAACTGACCAATTCAATGCATTTACTACATCCCCTATTGAAAGGTAGTTAGAACCGGCCATTCAAATAATAACGGATAGTATCAACAAACATGTGTAGTCAACTTGGAAGCGTCTCAGGTAAGTGGCTCGGATGATGCTGGTAGCACAGACTCTAGGATGTGTAACGTTAGTCCGAGGCATAAAATAGAGATGTAGCTGGAATTCGTAACAGGGAAGACTTACAATAATCCAAGTCCAAAGAATAAGACAACACCCACCTTTGCTCCACGCTTCATCTGAAGTGTCAGTAATTTTGAGATTGGCAGTGTAAAGATAGCAATATTTGTAACCAGCCTCGTGACAAAATGAACCATGTAGAAGACGTAAAGATCCAAACACCTCCCCTGGACCGAACCAGTGGCGTCCACGAGCTTTCGAATTGGCGAGCATTGAAAAACAAATACGAGAATTTCTTCCGTAAACTGCACTACCACAATGGTTATAAGAAACCAATAAGCCCAGCCGACATGTGTCACCGCAAAGAGTCGTTTATATAGTAAGCAGAATGAAACCTGGATTGCAGTCATTGCAATGAGATAGGAAATAGCAGCCACGACGATAAGCTATCATTTTTGTAAGAACCAATCAACATTTCAAGGTATTGACGGTTTCACACCTTTAAAAACATAGACATCGCAGGTATGTCTGCTCCAACTGCTTCGATGTGTTTACCGTATCCGTATCTAGTCACTGCTAGTGTGTCAGAGCTTGCAAGTGGATATCGTACGAGATGGAAGAAGATACTCCACATAGAATTGAAGCATAACACGAAGGCAAAAATCTATATGCAAAGTCAGCAAGTCCAAAGACCTCGGGAGGTCACCTATTCTGTAGAAAGATGTCATACCCAACTTATAACGCAAAGAACTTGAAAAAACGTTCGTTTCTTCAGCTTTGAATTTCAGGACTTTTTCCGATCATGGGCCACGTACCATCATCGATGTGAAGATTTTGAGGATGGCCTAGCATTAGAAGCTTGACAAAAACTCCAGTGGAGGCCAGCACTAGCATGATCGTGTTACAGATTATAATGCTTGGCACCATAGTTTCTTCCATTTTGGCGTTCATGCAAGCCAGCAGCTTGCAGTAAGTGTAGGTAGGCTAAGACGTGGTCTGGTGGCATAGTTGCTTGTCAAACGGGACCATCGCAGTCTTCCCGTGCTGGCTGAGAGACACATGTTATCTCGCGTGTCATAGGTTGGTCATGGCATGACGAGAGAGAAGATAGGATGGATTCATATGGCTCAGAAAAGGAACCAGGTCACCTATATGTAATGTTTTTTTCTTTTGGTATAACCATGGAACATCTTACGAGGCAGGGCTGTGCTGTTCACCTGGGAGAAAAAGCGAATGGGTCGCTTCGTTCAGCTTAGTCATTGTAACGGGCGTTCAAAAGCGAAGTTGCGTTTGAGTTCAATGTAGTACAGGCCAAAAGTCTCATCATCAGCGGCGTAGTAATTCCCTCGGGTAGTTTAAGTTTAGTGACTTTTTGGGGATAATTTCCTTACCAATCAAATTTTTGTACATTCTCTGTGGTTTCTTGCAGTCTCATCAAATCTTAATATATCAACTCCTCAATAATATACACAAGGTTCGGAGTATGTTTGGATGAGGAGTCAGAAAACCTCTCCCAGCTCAGTATCAATTAGAAGACGATATCTGACTATCAGCCCACAATCTAAGCACATACGACCACAGGGTGTGGAGAACAGGGCTTCCCGTCCGCTCAGCCGTACTTAAGCCACACGCCGGTGAGTTAGTAGTTGGGTGGGTGACCACCAGCGAATCCTCACTGTTGTATGTTTTTGTTTTTTGTTCTATTGGATTCGTCTTGTTGCCTTCTCAGGTAAGCTACAACACTCTTTTGCAATTATCGACTTCAAGATTATTTTTAACTTGGCTGGCTTTTTTTCTCCAGTCCCTCACCTTTATAATGATCCCATGGGCAGAGCCAATTTTGCCCAGAGAGTAATTGAGATGTTGTTTACAGAATGGTCTCGACTTGGAATAAAAGGACGATCTCAACGAATTAACTCATGTTAACAATTTGTTTCTGCAGGTCATAGACAAAAGCATTAGTCAAATAAAACGTCACATTGAGACAAAAATCATTCCGGTGGCAACTCCTTCGTCCTCAATACTGCGAAGAGGCAACGCAACGACAAAAGAAAAGACAACAAAGACCAGAACATCAACGCGAAATCCCATCAGAAGTTCATTTTCATCAAGCGATTGATTCGTTCTCCGACTGCCTTGCACTCGGCTAGCTGTTTCACAGGTACCTCCACAAACTTTCGATATTCCACCATGGCTTTGTTGATATCGGTCCGCTGTTTGAGATTTCGGAAAGCAGGGAAATTGGCCGGTGTGAACTTGGGCGCCAGGGCACATTTCTCTGCTGCCTTTTTGATCTCCTGCAGATTCTTTTGAACTCCTTTAAGTTTCTCAATCGTGGCGACTGCTTTCTGAATAGCCTGCAATTCGGCCACGGCTCCAATGGCAGAACCTAAAGCAGCGTCCGCCTTTCCATTGATTACTGCCTGTGCAGTGTTTGCCCAGGCTTGAGCAGTGCTGATTGGAGCAGGAAGTCCCTTCAAGGAAGAGAGAAGTGAGTTCGCATCATTGATCCGACCCTCAGCCACAGCCGTCACTCCATTTGCAATAGATTCGAATTGCTTTTGAGTTTTTTGGAGCTTGTCAACCATCTGAATGCCTTGTCCAATCTCTTTAACGGCGCTTAATTGACCCAAAAAGGCGATACTTTGCCCTGTGAGGTAGGACTTAGTGGCAGCTTTAGCGATTGCCGTCAAAATCGCGCATTTTTGTTGAATGGCGTCCATCTTCTCTTGGACCCTTTCCTTAGAAAGTCCTGCCTGGCAATTTGCTTGGGCTGAAGCTCTCGCACCCTCGCAGCACCCAGCTGTAAGACGATCAAATTCACAGAGAGGAATGTTGATCCGATCGAACTCACATTTCGCGTTGATGGTGCCGCGACTCACCTCACAAGCCGCGCTCTGTGCTCCACCAAACTCACACTTGGGAACATTGAGTTTTCCTAACACGCATCCTGCTTTGAGCCCTGGCCGTTTCGCTTCACAAGCCCCCTTACTAAAGGGATCCTTGGCTTTTTTCTTGCATTTGTCGATTGTCCGTCCCACTTCAGCGAGGCAGTTGGATACAGCTTTGTTTGCATTATCCTTGCAGGTTGCTACGCGGTCTCTGACCCGTCGTTTGCATTCATCCACCTTTTTTGCAATATCTTTTTTGCATGTTGCAATCGTATCTTTCTGCTTTTGTTTGCAAAATGCAACCTGTACTTTCACGCCTTTCTTGCAACTATCTACCGCTGAGCGAGAGATGGAATTGCAATCGGCTATTCCCCCTACAAGCCTAGCTGGGAGAGAGAGCACCCCTTTCAAGCGTGAGACCTCTCCGGCGACCACAGCGGCCGCTTGCTTCACAGCAAAATCTTGGAGGCTAGCACTGCTCGTGGTTTGTCTCTTCCACGTGCTAGAATGGAGCTCGGTCGGATCAAGCGCAGCATGAAGGAGATCACTTGCATTTGGGAATGCTAAGAGACCTTCTGAGTTGGGGTCTAATCCTGTGACCTTTGATGCTTCGTTAAAGGCAGTGTGAGAGGTTGAATGGCTGTCCTCGCCGTATGCCATGTCGACGAACAAACGAAGTTCCTCAATCAAGATTGACGATGATTTATAACCCTCACTACTGGCCAGCTTGAAAAGTGGAACACATTCATCATTTGAGGATTCACTCGTACAAACGGAATTTGGGTCGATGTCTTCCGAATCTAGCAGGGCGCTCAAATGTAGTGGCTCTTCATCATTGTTTCCTGTAACTTGAAGAGTCTCGCTCCATTGGTCACGAACCGACAAGACGGCCGCGGCAAGTAAACGAGGACTAACCAGTAAAATGAAAAAGATAAACCCAACAGTGTTGAACATTTTGATTAGAGCCATTCGTTCATGAGAAGCTTGGAGAAATTTTGCAAGAGCTATCTTCCAAATCGGAATTTAGTTGGTCGGACCCATGCGTGTCTTTTATACTCGCGACTCTTTTGCATTCCTCCCCATCTGGTGTGAATACGGACTCCGAATCAGACTTGACATCATCACCAAGCTGTATCTACCGCAGAGGCGTTCTGACATCTCAATTACAAAACCGTCCACTAACTTCCTCGGATTGGAAACCAAGCTGTCAGGCTATACGGCATCAGGCCTAGGCATGTTCAGATTTTGGCTTTCTTTGACTGCTTGCCTTATCGTAAATTATTACACTCTTCCTAGGTGCTACCTATAGGGTTGAAAGTAGTAGTAAAATACAAAATACAACAAGGATAACTAACAAATCAAGCCGATCTATTTGAATGAAGAAAAACTTAGTCACTTCTTTCCACAAGGATCACCACTGTATAGACCTCGAGAAACCTTAATATCAAAATTAGCACCTTCCCTGCCTCGTTAGGTTTCGAGTTTAAAATGGACCTACATAGGATTAGCATCGTGGAATCATATCGATCCCGAACTTAAAAGCTACGAGTGGCCGGGCTACTTTAGATGCTCCCACTCTAGGAACTGCAGCTGATCATTCTAATGCCAAGATGCCAAGTTGTGAAGAGGTGCCGCCATGGATCAGTACATTTCTTGTCTTAAATGAGGTTCCAGCTCCCTAGCCGCTCCCTTGGCGGGACTCTTAAGATAAATCCAGCGGCCGTGGAAATCAATCTAGGTAGTTGGCATAAAGTACATGGTCTTGGGTCAAGGTATGCTCCATGAATGGTCTCATATAGATCAATCTTGATCTGTTAAATTCCATGTCGAGGTTGGGCATTCATAAGAAAAATGTTCGTGTTCACTGTAACACAAATATTAAGTTAGGTTGCCCGATCTTATCTACTTCCTATCTCACAGGCCGGTGCCAAATTGGAGCTCATGGTTGTATTTTGAATACGAGAAAAGAGTCTGGAGGGTTCCCCGGCTAGCACTTCAATATACGCGGAGTTTGATTTCCACGAAAAACCTTCGCATAAGGTTACGGGATCCTGTGATTAACGTAAAGGAACGCCATATGACGTACTAGCAAGGCGTAATAGGCCGATATAGGTTAGATATACTAGAATGTACTGGCTAAGTTGATAGGATGTACGTCAAATCTAAACTAAAGTCAGGAGCTCGTGTTTCCGAAGCGTCGGAGCCTACCTAACAAAAACCCCCCGTATCTGAGACCTCGGACGCACCACGAATGATCAATATATCCGTGGCTTCAATGAATATCTTTCTCGGCTCTCTTTTCTGTGGGTATTAAACTATAATCAGAGTGGTATTGGCTATATATTTCATCATTTCCTACCAAAAACTAGCATGTTTGATGTGAGGTATTTGAAACCCCTAATTGTATGTTACTAACAATCTTAGTAAAAAGCCCAATGCACGAAAAGGCCAACCAAGCCCTTCATTATGTGAATCATGGGAAAGTAATCAGGGCGCCTATACGGCCAAAATAGGAAGTAGATGCCGTTTCTCAGAAATATGCTGTCAGTATGCGACGAGACTGGTAATTAAAATCGACATTCCAAGGTTGTAATACCTCGTCAAGCTTGACTTGCATCACCCTAGTTCACTCTAGTGCAAGACCTCGGGAAAGCTAATCGCTTATTAAACAAAGGTCTAGCATCCTACATCATGGAAAAGTGAACACATTCAATAGATATTGCACGTTATGTGTGTTGAATACGTTAACTATATCGATAATCTTGGCAGTGCTTAGACAAAACGAAATAATCAGTAGTGCAGCATTCGCAATTTACTCATGAGATTACACTTACACTGGCAGCATTACAAAAATCAATTAATGACAATTAAAAGTGAGAATGACAGGATACAAATATGACACCTTCACCTTTTTTAAGCGTGGAAATCACCGTCAGTTACAAGTACCACAGATCGTCGAAGGCAGCTTCAAGAGCATCGGCGCTCCCAATTTCCCTCTATTATTTTGTCATTAATGGCTTGTCACAGAGACATTTGAAGGGTCAGATAAACTCACCGCAACCGCGAGGTTTGTCGGAGTTACGAACCCAACCCTGTTGAGCCTTGTAATAATTCCTAGGCAACTTAGCATAAATGTTTCTTTTCATCTGGTGCACTTCTGCGATTGAAGTTGACTTACCTGTATCTGCACGTAGCGCTGAACTGGCTGCCAACTCTCGCTTGACCAGTCCTGTCGCTCGAATCGCAAGGATACTTGTAATACCAATATGGCCTATTGATACGACATCTGTTTCCCTGACGACTGCCTCCCTGACGATCCTCTAGGTCTCTTTCTTCGAACTCATTAGCGTCATCAAAGGATTCAAGAGACTCAAGAGAATCAGGGTCAGGATTCGCGGCCGGAGATGCAGCTGCTAGCTCAGTGGCCAGAGGCAGCAGAACAGTCAACAACCAAAGAGGAGACTTCATTTTGAATGAGGTTCAGAAGAGTTTGAGTTTCTCACTGGTATTTGATGATGAGAGTGTTGGATTGAATTGGTATGTAGTTTTGCGGTGCTTTGATGGGTGTTTTATATGTGCAGATGGGGCAAGCACATGGAGACAATAATACGAGAATGTGAAGATTGGAACTAATTGAACGAGTCTAGACTGATGTTAGCATCATCCTTTTCTTCTCGTCAGAATTGAAACTGGATCCCTTTCGGCACATTCGATGAGTCTATTGGGTTGTTAGATTGAGCAACATCTTTAGACTTTGGTTCACATCTACCCTCCGCTCTTAGCCCGCTCCTAAAGACTTGGCACATATCAAGATGATTATTGTGTTTGGCCTCACCATGGAAATGTAGCAGTGCGAGAACCATACGCAGTAATCCGTACTTGTTTAGCATTTACGGCGTTTCCTTTTTTAGATATAACGTTTCTGACCTAACTACTTCGTAAGTACGGAGTATGGATGGATCAAATCAATCAAGGCCGACGGTTTTTACTAAAAGCTTGTCTATATTTTAGACAAGACTCAATATGTTGAAAAAGATACCTGGGCATCGAGATTAAATCAAGCAAGCCCACATATTGCCAGCATAAATATAGAGCACGCTCCTCTAGAAACGAGCTGGCCCATGATTTCACCGTATCCGTCGAATAGATCAGCCGAGCCGAGACAGTCCCAGGAATTGGATCCTTGGCGTTCTAGCCCTACGGAGCTTTGTCCAGACGACCTCGGGAGCTCCCAGATAATAACACTAAGTGAGCCATGGGTGGAATATATTGTCACGAACATGACGAACAGACCCAAATCATAGGACCAAACACAGCGATCGAATACGTCTAGGCCTGTAGTTAGTTCAAGCCGAGAAAGGTCGATAGTGACGGATAGCATAGCTCAAGAGCTGGTGATCACTATTTCTTCCGGAAACATCGAGTAACCGTAAATTCGGCATATGAACAGGTTCTTTAGATGGTCATACAAACTAACCCAATTTGCAGAGCCGGCGAAGTTCTGTTTGAATTGACTCTCGGATGCCCCGCACTTTCTCATGCCCCGGTCGGGGTCATTTCTATGTGGGCCTCCACGGGCGATGCGGTAGACTCACCATGATGCTAATGACGATGAAATCATATCCGTAGCTTGCGCTAAATACCACTGTTATGTGGCAGTGCTATCAGGCCCGCGGACAGCTAGAAATGTGGCCACCTGTCTATCGGAGGACTGTTATGATGTTCGTGGAGCAAGCACCTGATTGTTCATTGATAGCGGAAGTGATCTACGATGAAGCGTAGGAAAGCAATGGATCGGTTCTGCGAGATCTAAAACGGACAGAGGGGAAAAGAAGAGAGAGGAAGAGAGAGAGAAGCTCTCTCGATCTACGCTATCTAGACCTGGAAGGAGCCTGACAAACAGGACAAACACTGCCAAACACGGTCAGATGTTCCGGGCCCGTCATCTGCGTCACCTGACCATCTCAACACATCTTAAGCCCACCCTTCCTCCTAACCCATCTCTATATCGCAGACTTATCCTCACCTGGGCAGCTCGAGATTCCCATACTCAGATTTCTCATTTGATCGGTTTCACGGGCTGCTCCAAAACCCCGATTCGAGCCATTTGTGAAACAGGCTCGGTTGTCGAAAGCGGCGAGAGCGGCAAGAGCGGACATGGCGGGCATAGCAGATAGAACGGACAAAACGGACCCGCTGAGCTTGAGTCGGGCTTTTCACAACAGACTTAATTACAAAGGACAAGCGGAAGCCGCGATAAGACAGTGAATTAAGACTGTAAAGGGGAAAGAAGGGACCGGGGGAAAAAGAGAAGAAGAGAGAGAGAGAGAGAGAGAGAGAGAGAGAGAGAGAGAAAGAGACTCAATATCCGCGCTGCCAACCCAGCTCACTCACACCACACCCCCAAGAGCTTTGTAGCTCAGACCCAACCTGAGATGGGTGTTGCGGAGGCTTATATCGCATATCGTGGCATGAGGAAAGCTTTCCAAGACCCGCTCTCAAACTACATTGTGATGTACTGCCTGAAGTCGATTTTCTGGCCTGCGGCCTCCTTCAACCGAAATCGGGACCAGATATTCGCAGTCAACATTCTGATCTCTGCCATCGCAAAGCTGCCATCGACTCAAGTATGAGATTATGCTATCTGCCGAAGTTGAGACCAGAGATGAGGCACTTCTTGCCAGCGGAAAATGGATAGTAAGTCTGCGGACTTCCCAGTTTAGAATGCGAGGAACATATACCTATCCATGGTACGAGATCTCTCTACGTAGCGTCATGTGTAGGGAACCTTGGAAATACTAGCAATTTTTCAAAGTAAAATCACGCTGATCTATTGGGCTATGTTCTCAGTGTATATGTGCCTTTAGCATTCACTGTCAAACTAAAAGACTATGAGAAACCGAATATCTTCAGATATTTTGCCGATCTCGATTGAACAGTAGAACACCGGACCCTTCGTCGGGATTGGTATCTGACACATATTGACACTCTCGGAAGGTCGTCCACAATGAGAAAAGAAAGCTCTCTTGATTCTTCTCGTGATATGCTGTACCAAGTAGTGGTTTGATTGCTGCAGTTGCCTCCTCCGCGTTGTAGAATGGAATCCTTGGAAAGAGGTGATGAACCACATGATGATCAACTATATCATGGAAGAAATGACGACCGATGAAGCCAAAACTGCGATCCACTGTTCCGAGGGCCCCTTTCTGGAATGACCAGGTATATGCGCTGTAGTGTGGGATCTCCGTATGGGTGTGATGAAGATAGGTTATTGCAACTTGAGAGTTTGTAAGTTAGTGGGACTGTAGTCATCTGATGTATACTGCAACTTACCTAACCAGTGGTGAGTCCATAAATAGGGCATGAAATAAAGACCACAGATGTTGAGAACTCCAAATTTCTTCCCCATATAGAATAGAATGATGATCATGATAGAAATGCCAATATCAGAGAGTACAACGGCGGACCGCTGTTGCCGCGTAAACAGCGGACTATACGGATCGAAATGGGAAGGTATCCTCTTGTTGTCAACAGTCCCTTGGGCACTTTTCTGCTCTCCACCAGTGGCGTAGGTGAGGAGATAGATTTGCCACCCCGCTAGTTGATGTCCAATAAGGGTGACTAGCGTTTTGAGTGGTGTATCTTGCATCAGATCTGCCATGTCTGTGACCTCCAACCCACCCTTCTTAGCGTACTCAGCCTCCGTTAGAGGAACAAATGCAGTGTCCTTTTCCATATGCCCACTATATCGGTGGTGACGCGCGTGGGTAATCTTCCAGGAAAAATAAGGCACTAAAAGCGCTGAATGAAGGGTCCACCCAACCACATCATTGATGACAGCATTGGATGAGAAGGCGCCGTGGCCACACTCATGACCAAGTATCCATATCCCAGTAAACACAAATCCTTGAAGAAGCCCATATGCCACCCAGCCCAGTGTTTGCAGAATGGCGCTCTGCATGGAGGGGATCTGCAATGCCCCGAACACTAGTGCAGACACGTATACGACGTCACGGAAAAGGTAGCCGAATGATATCAAATGTGATCGATGAAAGCAATGGGTTGGAATAGCACTTCGGATATCACTCAAGGCGGGAGCCTTAGGATGCCCAGAATCTTCATCTTGTTTCTTGGAATGGTCAACATTGATGTCAAACGCGGAATTGAAATCACCGAAAACCCACATGTTGCATGATTTAGTATTCACAATATGAAACACGATAAGGCAAAGAAAAAATGATCCTCTCTCTGTACATGTTGCTCGAGTGCGATGACTTGCGACGTTCTTATGCTCGATCACCTTCCTGCCCCTTTGTATCCTTTCCTGATCAGATGCTATCATGCAGACATGACCTCCATGACCTGTTATCGACCCTTCAAGAAGTAAGCCAACAACAACGAAACATGCCGCTTCTGGTTACAATCTGCCCCACGTTGTGAGACATCGCCTTGCATATTATCAAAACGTTGAAGCGAAGTATGGACCGGGCTTGGTACAGATAATGGCGATCGATGTGCCAATGTTGACTACTTTTTTTTCATTCTTGCATTCTGATGCATACTAGAAAGCCGCCAGGTGTGCACTAAATTACCAATTTGCTTGCTGTTGACGTGATCAAGTCACTAACTTCTGATGGTCCTGCAGCATTGCTTAAACAACTCAGCCATGCGTGGCCAGAGAACTAGTGAATACACTGCGTATATTATACATCCATACTTGATGTCTGTATCTGCAAGACTCGTACAGAGCTTCTATCGATTCGCCACATGAGTCCCTTAGTGGTTCCGATCTTTGAAACATGATCATGTTTCGCCTCTTCCAAGTTTCAATCATTTTTCCATTTCCATGAACATATCTGGTGATTATGACGAGGGTTTACAAAAGATTACTTGAAATCAAGGTATTCAAGATTTGAGGCACAAACTGAGACCATGTAGGTCGTTATCACAATCTTTTGCATTGGGCATCTGTGCGCTGGTAGGACTTCCCTTTAAGTGGAGCCTATATCCCTTGGAGAAGCTTCAAAAAGGTCGTTGATTAGCCATAATTTCTTCTATCAGATTTGAACGAATTCCAAACCACAATATAACGTTATCCTTGGTCTTTTCCTCAAATATCCGGTGAATTAGTTGCGGTGTTCACTCTGTGCGATAGCCATGCATAGAGCGGAGCAAAGCCCTTTATTTTCTCCTCGTGCTGCAGACAATTTATGGACTAGGGTATTTAGGAGATGGTTGGGTGAGGTCATGATGGAGACCTTGGGAAGCGAGAGCGAGAGTGTCACGGATGTGGACAAAATTGGCTGTTAGGGCCATATGTAAGCACCCAGTTTGATATTCACCGATGTATTATAACAGCACTCTAGCAAAGGGGAAATGTTTTTAGTTATGCAAGATCTTAAAATTTGCAAACTGGGAGATGCATGATTTGGATCCCGGTGACACGGAAGGGATATTTTGTACTACACGAAATGCGCGCGTTTGCTCGATCCTGCAGTTCCAAGTAATCTACGTAGTGTAATGGGGAAACCGCGCCACATCTCTCACCTGCGCCTCAGGCATCCCGGGGGTATTTCTAGTCCCATTTTCCTAGCATAGCAATTCAAGCATCCTACACCTCTCTGAAGAACATCATCTATTTCCTATTCTGGCAGCTCCTGGGGCCTTGCTTTTCTCACTATCCCCGTCGAGCACTGAGCACCCCCGTCGTCTTGTCTGCGATGCCAGACCGCCAGCGCGCTCTTCCCACTTTACTAGTAATATGAGGAACCGACAAATCATTCATTTACGGTGATACAGTTTTCCTACTTGGTAATATTTGTGAATTTGAACAAACAGTCCATGTTTTGTCTGGCGAAAAATCAACTTCCATACGCATATACAGTCGAATATCTCGTCAACCTGCGCAGACGCTTTCCGAAGAAATAGATCGGAAGTCCCAAAATCATCGGCCCTATCGTTAGCGCGAACTCAACCATGGCAGGCGCCAAAAAGCCTCTTCTCGCTGCCATAGGCATAACCCAATAGCTCATCACAAAACCACAAACATTCTTGATCACAGTTGCAACAACCATAATCTCGCCAGAAATGGGTTTGTAGCAATCAACAGCATAGGCAATGGCGATTGTAGGAACAGCGGTCACGCAAACCCCACTGAAGCCATATCCAACAATTAGGATCACAGGCCAATCCCAAAGCCGATCATAGCCCACCCCACCAACCACAATACCAACAACCGTAATAGAGAAATATGGAATGAGAGCTGGCAACCGCATCTCTGCTTCTCGAATGCCATCATTGCGCGTTGTAGCGCGCACAGCAACCCAATCTGAGAGTGGGCCCGCGGTAGCAAGTCCAATCAAGCCGCCAACGACAAACGCAAAATTCGCATATCCCACACTAGATGGCGAGAAATTATATGGGGGTGCGCTGAGGACAGAAGATTCCGTGAGGTTCCAGAAAAGGAGGATATTTGCTGGTCCGGCGACGTTCAGCCCGGCCCAGAGGATAATAGGAAAGAAAAACAGGCGCAACGGCATGATAGTGTCCCGGAGAAGAATCGTTCTCCATGCTGCTTCCGGGGCTTGCCACAATTTAAATTGGGACTTGGAAGGCCGGCCAGTGCCAACGGTAATGACTCGCTCGACGTTCTCGAGTTGCTCAGATTCTACCTCTGGGTCCCGCCGTTTGATGTTTTGGCCGGAGGGTGTGGTTGTTCTGAATTTCGAGTAATCCGAGGTTGAATCCCTGCGAAACCGGGTTTCGGGGAAACAGATCAATAGAGTGATGAAGTTGAAGCAAGTCAGCGCTAAAGAGAGCCAGAAGAAGCTCCGCCAGCCGTATCTATGAGATAAAGTGAGCCATGTACATTCAAAGATTGGACCGGCTTGAGCTCAGATGTTGTACCTTTGGGCAATATTACCGGAGATTACAGGGCCAATGAACAGACCGAGGAAGTAACCCATGCTGATAGAAGATTATTATAAAGAACGATAGTGGCAGGGGTCATACTCACAAGTAAACACCAGTCCAAAGACCCCTCTCATGGAGAAAGAGCATATCTGCCACAACTTGTACTAAGAGTGTCTCACTGGTAGCAGTGGCGATCCCATTTACAACGCGGGCAGCGAGCATGCTGGTATATGACGTAGCCAGAGCTTGCCATACACACGAAGCGATGCCGAGCAAGCAAAAGGTGAGACTTGTCAAGCGTCGTCCGAAGGTATTCGAGCAGGGAACTATGATGAAATTTGCAAAGCCAAGAGCAAGAACGCAAACCCCAGTCAATAAACTCAGCTGCGTGTCGTTGAGGTGGAATTCAGCGGCGAAAAGGGGGAACATAGGCCCCATCGAGAGTGCTGACTCCACAGAGACGAATAGAAACAGAAATTGGGTTGTAATAACTAAATCTGTGTGATTGATGTTTAGTCAGCCTCTGCACTTCAAGACATCAGACAGGTTACTTGCACTTCCACGTCTTTGACCAGTTCAAGGGGTCCGCAGGGTCACTTGAGGGACATGGTATAAGCCTGTTCAATAGAGTGAATACCAAAATGGCTAAATTGTTGCCTGAATATTCCTTACTGTTTACCCTGTTTCAATGCGTTTGTAAGATGAACTCCCTCCTCCTCTCTCATTAGCTCAGTTCCAGGGATAAGGTCCATGCTAAGAGCGTTGGTACGGTCAATGGGAGGACTCTCTTTTCCAGTCATGTTGATGAGCTTAACTTAAAGGAAAGCAGTGGAGGAGATCTGAAACAAGTGCCGTGTCGAGACATCATTGCATCTTAAATCAAGTATGAGCTAGGATGTCAACCCCGGGATGAGACTTCCCCAGTTACCCCAGATCCGGGGTAGTGGGGGTCCCACAAACCATAACCACTCTTGAAATCACCGGTAAAGATAGAGTTAAAGGGTCAGTGAGATCAATCAAGGATTTGACTTGTCGAATCAATATTGATCGTCAAGGCTCTGTTCACCCGTTAGGTCCCACGAAAATGCGGGACCAAAAATGTGGGACTACGCGCAGCGCGGGCACAAGGTCGATTGAATACAATGTGAAGCTGTAAGCAAAATCATCGGAGAAGATTGCGAGTTATTTCACGAGCCTAAAGGGCTTAATATGAAGAGTCTCATTTTTTTGGAGAAATGTTGGGGTGCATCACACTGCCCCAGATTGACCCCAGACTTTCCCACCTCCGATATTCCCGCTCCCCGCCACATCTCTTCATCCTTTATCCTTCCTCGAAGTGATAACAACATCATGGCCGATCGTTCCCGCACTCGACGCCAGCGTTTGTGTTCTTGGTGTTTCAAGTCATTCACCAAGGATGAGCACTTGGCACGGCATGTCAGGACACACACCAGAGAGAAACCGTTCGTCTGTACCATATGCAAAAAAGCCTTTAGTCGCCAGTACGTCTCCTGCCGGATACCTCCCTGTGATTAATTTGGCACTGACTGAGTTTCTAGCGATTCTCTTTTGCGGCATTCAAGATCCCATCGATCATCCAGCGCTGTTCCCTCTACTAGTGCGGCCCACAACATAGAAGATGATGCCATACCCCCGGCAATGAATCACCACGATGAGCAAGCCTCTCCATTGAATAACGACTATTCATTAGGTGCCCAGGATGCTCCTACATCTCCAGACCATCTTTCCTCCTTTGGATCGTGTTATCCACATACTGGCCATTCCAGATCAGCATTTAATTCACTTATGAACCCGGCACAGCACCCGACTGCGGTCGGTTCAAATGCCGAAGAATTGGCGCAGTCAAATTTCGACGGAGCAGTGGCCGGACTCCCGACACCAGGTTCCCAATCTCGATTAACTGGCCTAGATCCGTCTCTACCTGATTCTAGCCAAGATGGGTCATGGGTCTGTGGCAACACGAGTACCCAGATACCGGCATGGTTTGCAGATGACGACTTTGATCTCGGTGCTCTCAACTCGGAGATCTTGATGTCAACTACTAACTGGGTTCCTCCCGGAATATCCGGCCAATACCAAAATGAGCCTGAGCGCGATATTTTACGATCGCTTGTGGAGGATACACTTCCATCACGGGAGGAACTAGTGCAAAAACATTGGTACACGTTCATGGATACATCACGAACGGGACAAACTACCCCGGAGACGGGTCCAGATCCAACGGAGGTGGATGAAGCATACCGTGCTAGCCTAGCTGTCAAGCTCCAGCCTCATATGCCCTGCCTACCACTTCCCTCCACGGACTTTCTGGTGGGCTTTTATTCTTCCCCCTTGATTGCTATTCTCAGCTAACAAAATAGAATATATGCATCCAAATGTACTTCACGAAATTTCATCCCGTATTTCCAATCGTACATGCGCCAACTTTCCGGCCGTCTGCTAAAAGCTCATTGCTGCTGCTATCCATTTGCTCTATTGGAAGCCTGTTTGTGGGATCTTCACATGCTGCATCGAAAGGTGTCAAGGTGTTCGAGACCCTTAATAAAGCGATCCTGTCGTCGGTTAGTCTGTCAACCTCGATCTCTATGAAACTTCAGTTAACTTCATATAGTGGGAACGATACTTCTCGAGACAAGGACCTGAGACAATTGCCTTAATCCAGGCGGCTCTCATAGGTCAGACATTTGGACTTTTATCGGGGGTGAGCCGACTACATATCCTGGTGTTAGTCAATGGCTAACAGGCGGGATCAGAGACAGAAGGATTTACTCATTGCACAGACATTTCACGGCACTCTTCTTGCGGTAAGTGATGCACTACTCCGGCCTCTGGGCTTGGACCGTACTAACAAACCCACTAGTGGGCTAAGAGGGCAACACCATCCAAGTGCAAGAGAGCATCTGACTATATCAGCTTCAGCGAGGTCTTCTCCACGCCACAAGAGGCCTGGAAGAAGTGGATTCAGGCAGAAGAAAAGAACCGGTGAGTCTAACAGAATATTCAGCAGATGTTCAAATTGCTAAGTCTCGTCCCAAGGCTACTCGCAGGAATTCATGTTCATGATGTCGAGATCTCAGAGCTCTTTTTAACAGATACGTATTTGCGACATTCACCAGAAAAGCTCCCACTATTGTCTGATGATGATCTCTGGGCTGCACCAACAGTAGAAGTCTGGAGCGAAAAGATAATGAGTCGCCTTCCGGGCTCAAGTATGCATGAAGCTCACTCACGGCCACCGGACACAACAGCAAACCAGGCGCCTCTACAATTATCCCCCCTTTTCAGCAATGGGTTCCACGCATATCTTGAGCTAGAAGGGCTCAGCGCATCCGCAGTCGATGCGTTTAATACAAATAGCCCAACCCGGCGACAGCACTGCGAGCATAATCTGATGGCCTTCCACGATTCGTACCTAGGCCCCGGCAAGGGACACAGTCAGGATCCGTACTGCCTGTCCGTTCTATGGCACTCGATATTCTTCTCACTATACGCCAACGCAAACCGACTGGAACTAGTAATTGGGAAAGAGGGGTTCGCCGAATCCCAGAATCACATAGCCTACGCACGCTCTTGGGCCTCATCACCAGACGGCCAACGCTGTGTGCTTCACGCCGCACTAATCCTGCGCGAGCTCGAACAAGAGAATATCGGAACCGAGCCACCTATCCACGTCCCGCGAATCATATTCCGCGCAGCATTAATTTGGTTCTGCTACACGCGCTTCGGATCGGATGTAGCGAACTCGCAGCACAATGTGGAGTTTTCGGAGCTGCAGAAGATAGGTCTTGATCATCAAAGGCTGCTGTTTGAAGCAAATGGGTTCAAAGCTTCCCGGCCTACGACGGCTGACTCTAGTACTTTCTGTGGATTACTGGATATCTTGCCAAGGGCTGGTCATTGGGGGATTTCGCGGTTGTTTTCATCGATTTTGGATTTGCTGCTCCCTGATGTTAAGGATGATGAGAGGTATAGCCGGTGATGCGGCTATCTCGAAGACAAAATACTTCGTGCTATGTTAAAAGTTCTCGTTTAGGCTAGGTACTTGAGAAAGTCCTGATCGGAAAAACGGGGCTGGAGTCTATAGGCTTTCTTGCTTAGCTTACAGCGGCGGGAAATTGAGTGCAACCCCCAGCCTACTCGTTCATTTTCATTACCATCGTATTTCTTTCAACTCGTCATTGGAATCCCGCGACTATTAGAGTGACGGGCCCACTTGAACACGCTATTGGCGAGAATTCTTCTGAATATTACAATAATGTATCACCTCATTTCTAAACGTCCCGCCGCAATGGTCCCACATGCCTTCGATTGTCCGTCCCACTGCGCTTCCAATTATCAAGATATAGCAAAGAGTAAAAATTAGTTTCGTAAGTTCATGGCTAAAATATAGGGGCGAGAAAGCCTTGCCATGACCTTCTCTTCCGTATATCCGATAACCAGTAGTAAATACAAGATGCATAGCATATATCATCGAACTTTGCAGTTACAATGCTGTTCCGTGAAAGTTCCGAATGAATCATCACTACGAGTGACGGTCGCATATCTTGACAGCACGGACCCTTGAATTTGATATTCGTCATATAGCTAGGTCGAAATTGTTGATCGCTACCACGCCATTGCGAGATGTATGTGCCTCTTCGAGAACACCCTCATATACGCGCCCTGAGATATCGCAAATATCCCGCAATATGCATAATCTAATGTGAGGCTAGACAGCATTGCAGTGAATACTCCACATTCATGTATCCCAATATGCCTTCTACTCAGGAACCGTCCGTGACTCAGAAATGCAGGATCCCCAAAGCCTGCGAGGCATGTCGTTTTCGGAAATCTCGATGTAATGGAGCCACACCATGCTCAAAGTGCATTGAAAGACCTTGGGCCTGTGTATACAGAGCAAAGCCTCGTCATCGCCCCAAAAAGGATCAGCTGGTCCAGGAACCACATTCCCTACCATCTGCCTCCGCCGCGCCAGCCTCGCACATGTCGTCTCAGCCAATGTGGGAGGGACTGAAAGATCCCGCTTTAGCATTTAGCAGTGTGACAGCAACACACCTGACATCCCCTGGTCTAATGATGCAATTGTATTATGGACCAACATCGCATTTCTCCTTGATGCAAACCATCTATCAGGATCTCATCCCAGGTTATGGTCAGGGGTCAGCCGGTAAGCCAAAGGCCAAAGTGGAAGAAGAAAATGAAGGATTAGACATGTTTAAATTTCGTGACATTTTCTTTGGGATCTCTGACAGTGATTCTCATGCGGAGACGACAAGCTATGGAAGAAAGCTTGCGGCACCAATCTTTGTGCCATATCCAGTGGCTAAGGCTTTACTTCTTCGATTTCTGGAGACACTATATCATCTGATGCCATTCCGACCCCCAGAGGTATACCAAAGAGAATTGGATGAACTCTATCAAGCGCCACACGGACTTGCGGGAGGAGCTGCAGGGCACGAGGTGTTGTTAATGGCTATCGCAATCGCAGCGCTTAACACTCAACATTACCGCCTGGCGGAAATTTTATTTGAGTTTGTGAATAGCCAATTGGCAACTATGACAGAGATTGTCAATCTCGAGATGGTCCAGACATCACTCATCATGATAAGTCTCGACTTGTTTCTCACCACAATTGATCACACATTGTTAACATAAAGCAGCACGCTCACTTCCAAAACGAAAGAGGTCAGCCAAATGCGGCATATCTGCACCTTGGAACTGCTACAAGAAAGGCGTTATCTGCCGGATTCCAAAAAACCACACCAAGCTCCGACGCTCGATTTGTTGAAATCCGAAACACCATATGGGCGTTGTATATTTACGAAGTGTATGTGGAAATTCGTTATTAAGTATGCAATTAGTTGGTTTATTAACCCGTATAGGCTGGTTTCCTTTTTTCTCGGTCGGCCAACTTCCCTTTCTTGGGAAGATATGGAGATCCAAGCCCCCGACGATCCGTTTCTTCTCTGTCTCGTCCGACTGACAAAAATCATGTCGAGATCAGCTAAGTCAATTTACCTCAGCAGACACGATTCATTCCTCCCAGTTCGAGATGCTGCTGCTGCGATCCGCCGGGACCTCGCAGATTTCGAATCATTGATGCGACACAATCTGGGAGTCAGCGTGGATAGTGACCCGTTTTCACGGGAAAAGGGTGTTTGTCAAACTATTCTCACATCATGTGAGTCTTCACCGTTATTATGGACATTTGCGTTTTCTAACAATGAGCTCGAATGTTCTAAGTGTATTGTCATACTTTGCTCTTGACCTATCGACCATTCATCATTCTTCGAGCCAAGTTATCCAAATTGCTTGCTGAGTCGTGCAACGGGAATGGGGAAACGTTCCAAGGAGAGCGTAGCAGAATGCCAACATGGTTGAATGAGGCCTGTGATATTGCAATTACAGCGGCTCGAGATGCAATACAACATATTTCGAGAGCCTCGGTCATCAATCCACCGGTCCAGGTATAGTTCCACCGATCCTTACCTGCGGCAGCTCTGCGATATTGAAATAGGGCTAATCACATAAATTCACTCTATGCAGGAGCTTCGATATCACGGGTTCTTTATTGGAAGTTCCATATTCGTTCTTATATGCGATGTCCTACAAGATCCATCAATAATCTCTGTCCACCAGCCATGGATCCACATGGGGATTCAATGTCTCCATCTGATGCGAGAGGGGGAGCCGATCGCTAGCACACTTAATGCTATTGATCTAGCACTGAAGAAATTGGCTCAGCGTCAGGTGTGTCTAGATATGCAATCGGGCAACTCTCCAGAGTTCTCGGTCGGGATGTCTTCGAAGACTGGGGATTACGGGACAGTAAGTGGAAATGAGGGATTTGACGGGTCCCCGGAAAGCATCGTTTTGAATGGTCCTCCAGTTCCCTCACTTGCCACAGAGGAACATTCAACCTTCAAGAATATCAGTGGATCTGGCCCGATGGAACTTTCTGATCTGCAAGGGAGGATTGACCCATCCATGGTCAGTCTAGAAGGATTCTTTTCCTGGCCACTAATTGAACCCTTTGGTTGAATAAGCTCTTTCTCCATTTTAAGAAAGCAAATTGTGGTCATTGAACTAGCAAAGTATTTAGAGTGAGAGCAAACAGAAATCGGCAATGAAAGAAAGGTTCAATTGTTTGAGGATGTTTGTCCTGTTTGTCAGGCTCTTTCCAGGTCTAGATAGCGCAGATGGAGAGCTTTCCTCGCTCCCTCTTCTTCTTCTCCTTGTCTATTTTTATAATAATTGATCGTACATGTCCGTTTCCGGATCTCCAGTCAATATCAATCGATGGAGACTTCGGATACGGAATATAGGCCACCCCTTTGGGGCATGTGGGACGAAGAAATGTGGGACATGGGGATGCGGGACGGGTCTTATCCTTTTTTATAACACAATAGATGGGGCTGTCCCACACAATAGCTGGGCACCGGGGTAATGGTAAAATGCAATATTCGGCACCGCATATGCCATTTTTTCTCCTGCGCAGCTATTTTGGTCTCTATATACGTTAATCATAACCCGCGGCCGTTACGGAGTAGTTCGGGGTCGTGTTCACTTTAGTGCTTGCACGCTGTAGTAAGCTATGTCCATGCTGGTTCGTGCTTGTATACAGGGTTCGATATCGCTTGTATTTTTGGATCAAAGCATGACGAAGATCAAAAAATATTATACCTAGAGCGGCCCGGCTTATAGAGAAATAGTTGGACTCGTGAAGAGCAAGGTTGTACCCGGGCGATTCAGTTTACACTTCGTTGGCGGCGGTTTAGATCTACAAAGCTCTGAACAGTGGTTAGGTTGAACAAAGATCGACGACTAGTAATTTAATGGTGAACCGGAAGCGGCTATACCGAGAGAATGGCCGAGCTTATCATTCTAATGACCAAGGAGTAGACGGAAAATTATGGGTCGCCGTCACTTCATCTGTTGATTTGGTGATTATCGGATCTGGGCTGGGCCCAAAAGCTTGGCCACATTTAAAGAACCAAGCATCACGGCTTTACGGATTTTCGGGAGAGCAGGATATTACAATGAGCAATTTGGGCAATGAGGCTGAGATCCTATTTTTATTCCTGCTAGTAATGTGTCACAAATACATGGAATAAATGTTTATGTTTGTGAAGTCGACCCGCTCATATTCCTCGATCTCGCTAAACCTTTTGTGATATCGGGGCAGTGCAGCTGAAAGGCAGAATTTCCTTCGGAGATATCGACGAGAGCAGAGCGAGACATCCATGTACGATATGTATTGTAGAGAGAGACTAGAAGAAGAAAGAAGAGGGAGACCGAGAAGCTCTCTCTATCTACACTATTTACCCTGCGGGGAGCCTGGCAAGCCAGGTAAACACCGATGCCAACAGATGTTTCTCTGCACTTTTTATATGAAAGTTCGGTTAGCCTGAAAACAATATCACATTCAGTTGTATATCCCATCAAAATTTGGAGAAGCACCAGACTTCTAACGTATAGCAGGAAAAGAAAAAGTCCCACTTACACTGCTTACTTATTGATGAGTGAATATTTACGCGCGTAGATCTGACGCCACCCGATGGCACGTATGATGACTGACCCGTTTGGGCTTGTTTATACACCCCCAAAAAGTTGGCATCGGAGAGGTGCGTAGAGATAATGCCCGGATACGTTGTGAAAAACTCTTGCTTGACTTCAGTTTTGGATGTATGTTCTCCACGGTTCTTAGATAACGTCTAAGGGTGGCAAATATCGGTAGAAATAATACACTAGTCAACTACTCCGTTGTCCAAGCCAGGAAGGAAATATAGATCCGTCCATGGTAAGCTCAGAAAGGGGCTTTTCTTGCCTAGCACATATACCTACTTTATGCAGCCTTATGCCTAGATGTATATCCGGGAAAGATATATAAATGGTAATAGGAGGTGAAAGTTATGTGGCGGGACGGAGATGCGTCTTCTGCGAGACGGATATGGCTATGAACGGAACGGAAAGAGGATATTCATGTGCATCATTGATGTATGCCACGGTGTTATTGGAGGAAATAGGAGATAACCCACTGTGGACCCGCTCAATTAAGTACTATCCTAGTTTGTCGAGTGGTACTTTAGACTAATCCAGACAAACACACAGTAGTTGGAACACGGCTATACGGAAGCTCGTCATAGAAGGGCGCAGGTTAGCTTTTCTTTTCTGGAAGAAAGGGGTGTAGGTAGTCGTGGTGATTCTTATAAGTATCGTGCTGCCATTTTTTATATTTGGATAAGACTCTCTGGCAATCAAGATTCCTATATTCTTATCCAACCATTTTGGAGTGATGTCAGACAGCGCTGCCAGTACAATTGAGCTTGGCCACGAGGCTGTTGACCACCCTCACAAGACGCAATCCGCAACCCTGGACACTTTCGACAATTTGGTCGAAGAGAAACGCTCCATCAAGGCTATTGACGGAAATACCAAGCAAGTGACAGTGACATGGAGTGGAATTTCTATCCATGTCCCGGCCTCAGAGGCTGTGCAGGGCGACACTCTATGGTCAGATGTCAATCCCATGAATTTGCTGGGAATGTTCAGTCAAAAGAAGGAAGCGGTAAGGGTTACCTAAATGGTTGTCTCACATTTGAGTTCAATTCTGACTCTGAGAGGCAGACGATTCTCAATGACATGACTGGTCAGCTGCGGCCGGGAGAAATGGTGTGTTTGCAGCCAACCGAAAAGAATCATATGCCAAGGAATATTTATTGACAAGGTATAGATGTTGGTACTCGGTCGACCTGGAGCAGGCTGTTCATCACTGCTCAAAATCCTCTCGAACGATCGCGATGGGTTCGGCAAAGTCGATGGATCTGTCCACTATGGAAGCCTGGACCACAACCAAGCTGCCAAATTCCGTCAGCAACTGATGTTTAACAACGAAGGTTTGATGCCCAATTCATTTGCATAATGATGGAATGAGCAAATCGAAGTAACCGTGTCTTAGATGATATTCACTTCCCAACACTGACAGTTGATCAAACGATCAAGTTCGCCCTTCGAAACAAGACTCCAACGGAGAGACCTGAAGGCATGTCACGAGATGCTTTCGTGGAAAAGACTCGAGATGAAATCCTAAGCTCGCTTGGAATTCTGCACACCAAGCGAACACTCGTGGGTAACGAGTTTGTCCGTGGGGTGTCAGGCGGAGAGCGAAAGCGAGTGTCTCTTGCAGAAGTGATGGCAGGTCAAGTAAGTATCCGTCACCACAAAGCCTTCATCAACCAAATCACCTTGTGAGATCGAAGCTAACGAAAGCGGTTTATAGAGCTCTGTGCAATGTTGGGATCAATCAACCCGAGGCCTTGACGCCAGTTCCGCGCTCGATTTTGCCAAAAGTCTGCGCCGCATTGCCGATGAACGGCGGAAGACAATCATCGCCACTCTTTATCAAGCGGGAAACGCCATCTACGATCAGTTTGACAAGGTCATGGTGGTTGCAGCTGGACGGACAATCTACTATGGTCCGCGTCATTTGGCGCGTCCCTATTTCGAGGAGATGGGATTTGTGTGTGGCCGTGGTGCTAACGTTGCCGATTTCCTAACCTCTGTCACTGTCGCTCTCGAGCGCACTATCAATCCCGGCTTTGAGGAGAGCATCCCTCAAAGTGTCTTAGAGTTTGAGTCACGATACAAAGCTTCCAAGATCTACAAGGCGATGGTTGAGGAGATGATTCCACCACGAGAGCTGGAAGGAGAAACTGCATCTTTCATTTCTCATGTCTCTCGAGAAATCGCCGGCAAGCAAATCAACGTGAATAGTCCTTACAATGCCTCACTCCTGAATCAGGTTATGGCGTGCACCATTCGACAAAGCCAAATCATATGGGGTGACCGAATTTCACTCATCATCAAGGTCGCCTCAGCCCTCATCCAGGCCCTCGTTTCAGGAAGCCTGTTTTACAATCTAGCGAATACCAGCTCCTCAACATTCCTCCGACCTGGTGCGCTTTTCTTCCCTCTCATGTATTTCTGCATGCAATCACTCTCGGAAACGACTTCATCTTTCATGGGACGTCCGATTCTTGGCCGACAAAAGCGTTTTGCATTCTATCGGCCCACTGCATACTGCATTGCTAGTGTTTTTACCGATATTCCCGTCGTTTTGCTACAGGTTACGGTGTTCACAATCGTGTATTACTGGATGTGTGCTTTCCAAGCAGATGCAGGGAAGTTTTTCACTTTTTGGATTATCTTGAATGCGACCACGCTCTGCTTCTTGTCATTCTACCGTATGGTTGGAGCCAACTGCAACAAGTTTGGTAATGCCTCAAAGATTTCTGGATTCTTCACAACAATCATGATGATTTACACTGGGTACCTGATCCCGTTTCAGAAGATGCACGTTTGGTTTCGATGGATCTTTTGGATCAATCCCGCTTCCTATGCGTTTGAGAGTGTGATGGGTAATGAGTTTGGCGGTCTCCTCATGGAATGCGTCGCCCCTCAGTATGTCCCCCTATGGCTCTGGTTTTGACGATGACCAGTTCCGCGGCTGCATTATTGCAGGATCCTCCGGAGCAGACATACCAGGCGCAGACTACATACATTCTCAATATCACTACTCCATCCACCATGTTTGGAGGGGCTTTGGTGTTGTTGTCGGTATGTGGCTTTTCTTTGCCTTCCTCACAGCAGTCGGATTTGAGCGACTGCGAAGCCAAGGAACCTCGTCTTATCTGGTATTCAAACGTGGAACCACTACCCAGGACGAAGAGAAGACCGCCGCTCAGGCCCCTGGTAACACGGACGCCGACCATGACATGCCAAAGCAAGCTACATTCACCTGGGATCACCTCGATTACCATGTTGACTATCACGGCTCAAAACTTCAACTACTAAACCAGGTCTTCGGATACGTGAAGCCTGGAAACTTGGTTGCACTGATGGGATGCTCAGGCGCAGGAAAAACTACGTAAGTCATTCTATCCGGCATTTTTTGTCATTGGTCGTTTTCTTGCAACTGACTTTCGTCAAACAAAAAGCCTCCTTGATGTGCTGGCTCAGCGTAAGGATTCTGGCGAAATTTCAGGCTCAATTCTTGTCGACGGAAAACCACAAAACATCAGTTTTCAGCGTACGACTGGCTACTGCGAGCAACTTGACGTTCACGAACCATCAGCCACTGTTCGAGAGGCTCTCATATTCTCAGCCTTGCTCCGTCAGCCAGCCGACGTTCCGAAACAAGAGAAAATCGATTACGTGGACAAAATTATCGACTTACTCGAACTTGGCGACATCAGTGAGGCATTGATCGGAAGTAAGTCCCAACAACCATCCAGATGGATAATAACCGAAGAGATCCTAACTTTTGAGCAGCTCCGGGTGCTGGATTAAGTATTGAACAGCGGAAACGTGTCACTCTAGGTGTTGAGCTCGTCGCCAAACCTTCTTTGCTCCTTTTGGATGAGCCTACTTCTGGTCTTGATGGCCAATCTGCATTCAACATTGTCCGTTTCATGAGAAAGCTTGCGGATTCAGGACAAGCTGTTTTGGTATTTTACAACCCCTGATATTCAAGCTCAGTTCAGCTTTAACAGAAAGTTCGCAGTGCACCATCCACCAGCCGTCAGCTTCTCTGTTCGATGCATTTGATTATCTCTTGCTACTTGCAAAGGGAGGTAAAATGACATACTTTGGTCAAAGTAAGGATTGTCCTTCTGTGGTCTTTCATATTTGACTAATGGTGTTTCTAGCCGGAGAGGGCTCCGATATCATTCTGGATTATTTCGCACGAAATGGCGCACCTTGCCCTGAAGATGCAAACCCAGCAGAGCACATTGTAGATGTTGTTCAAGGCAGATTTGATTCCAACGTGGATTGGAATCAGATTTGGGAAGGGTCAGAAGAAAACCGTGTAGCCCTTCGTGAGCTGGAAGATCTGAAAGCAAAGGCGGCGGCTGAAGTAACAGAAGATGTTATGCTCACGGACTACGCAACCTCGAAGATGTATCAACTTCAACTGGTTCTAGAGCGTCAGATGGTGAAGCTCTGGAGGAGTCCGGTTTGACTCCCTCTACATTACCCACAGAATTCATTTTGCTAACACAGATATCCAGGACTACATGTGGAACAAGATTATATTGCACGTTTTTGCTGCACTCTTCAGTGGGTTTACTTTCTGGAAAATTGGCGACTCGGTCCTTGATCTCCAGCTTCGACTGTTCGCCATCTTCAACTTCGTCTTTGTTGCCCCTGGTGTCATCAATCAACTCCAGCCGTACTTTTTGCAGAACCGTGATATTTTCGAGACACGCGAAAAGAAGGCAAGTGGTCCACATTGTATATTGAATGTTTTTGTTTAACCAAGCAATAGGCCAAAACTTACCACTGGATCGCATTTATTGGTGCTCAAGCTATCTCCGAGATGCCGTACCTGGTCGTTTGTGGCACGTTGTATTTCCTCTGCTGGTACTTTACTGTTGGCTTCCCAAGTTTACCGGAAGTCTCTGGCCACATGTTCTTCCAGATGATCCGTAAGGGCCCCAAAACTTGAGGCTTTGTGCAGTGGCTAAAAATACTGAATCTAGTCTACGAGTTTTTGTACACCCCAATCGGCCAGGCCATTGCTGCTTACGCTCCAAATGAGTATTCTGCTTCACTCGTTAATCCCCTTGTCCTTGGAGCTGGATTGATCGGTTTCTGTGGTGTCGTTGTACCTTACGAGCAGATCAATGTTTTCTGGCGTTACTGGATGTATTATCTGGACCCATTCACCTACCTCATCGGTGGCCTCCTGGGAGAGGTTCTCTGGGATGCTCCTGTGAAATGTGCTGACAACGAGTGGACGTCCATTGATCTCCCCAACAACCAAACATGCGGTTCTTACATGGAATCTTTCATCGAAGCAGCAGGAGGATATGTCCGTGACGTTGTTTCCACGACCTCGTGCCACTACTGTCAGTACGCGGTCGGGTCAGAATACGCACCACAGTTCAACCTCAAGGCCAAGTACTATTCTTGGAGAGATGTAAGTTTCCACTCAATACTCTAGCTGTGGTTAGAGTTCAACTTTCTGTTTGAGACCGGCCCGCTCATATGCATTTTTCAGACTGGAATTACTGCGCTTTTCTGTATCACCACATACATCTGTGTTTTCATCATGATGAAACTTCGCAGCAAGAAGACCAAGACTGCGTCCGATTAGACTGTCGTCTTTGTTCTTCGATCTCACATTCTTTCGCCCTACGCAAATGGTGTGGTATCTCATTCTCACATGTTCTCCCTTCCTGACCTTCAGTCTTCCTTGATTTCTTTTGTACTATAGGTTCATTCCTTCCCACTTGTTCTTTCTTTCTATGCCATTGTTTAATTAGACTTGATAAATAAATATATCTTGAAGATTGTCACCACTGTGCAATGAAGTAATCTTGATTTCATATCGATGGCAGAAGCAGATCTAAAACAAAACAAGGACTTGGAAAAGAAGGAGACGGAGAAGCAGTATGGTACAATATAGTTTTCAATAATTGAGGCGAGGAGAAGAGAAGAAGGGAGAGAGGTTGCCTGTCGGTGCGGGCGTTTGCCTAGTTTGCAGGGTCCCTGCTGGTGTAGATAGATTCAGATCTCGCGTTCTTTCTCTCTCTCTTCCTTGTTTCCTTAGGTCTCACAATACATACCGTTTTCCCAGTCATTGTCTCTCTCATCCACGCCTATCTACCTGCGGGGAGGCTGACAAAAATGGCAAACGCCTGAATCAACAGAAAGAGAGAGGACAGAGCGAGAGAGGCTATCTAGACTGCTGTCGGCGCCGGTGTTTGATTGGCATGCAAGGTACCCGCTGGTGTAAATAGTTCTCTCTCTCTCTCTCTCTCTCTTCCGTCTTTTCCCCGGTCGGTCTTTTTGAATTCACAGTCAAAATCTGCTGTTTTGAAGCAATTCGTGCCTCTCCTCTTTAGATTATCCTGTCTTCGGTTTCCTAGTTAGCATTATCGCAAACTGAGCGGCTTTTTACCTAGGCTGCAAAGACTTTACAACTTGAGATCCGGCCATATAACCATTGATCTGGGGCAGAGAATGAAGATAGATATTAATATCCATATATTCGGATGGCAGGGTAATAATACAACTCTTGACTATCAGTGTCAAAGAAGCAATGCTGGCAATGAAGTTCTTTGTATCAATGCGACTTTCTGAGCTATAGAGTCCAAAAGGATGACTCCAAGCTTTGCGGTCATATGGATATCATCCATGTCTTTCAAAAGGCGAAAGCATTGATTGAATTTGTTGAAATTCAACATCTGTTCAACCGCGCCCGCAGAGTTTACAAATGACAGATGAATCAGGGCTGCTTGATGCACAGATGTTGCTGTGATATGTGATAGCCGAGAAAACAACCCTTTTCCTTGCACGAAGTCGCATATTTCCAGTACTTTGGATGCAACTAGCCTTGCTTGATATTGCGAATAGGCCTGGAGATCAGAGTCCGTCGAGTCTGAATTCTGTACCGGCCATATCTGGGGTCGGTAAAGGGCCATGGAGGTTGTCAAGTGCATCAGGCTTGACTCTGCCTGGAGCAATAACAACGTTTCATCTTCGGAGGTGTCGAGTTGATGACTGGCTTTTGCTTCAGTCCATTGGAAATCTGTACTCTCATATTTAATACAGAGGGAAAGTTTGTGTTCATAAAGCTGAATGTCTTGTCGCGTCGCTGTTCTGCGAGGAATAATTGTCGCTGAAGGCAATCCCCCCCATGGAGAAAGGTCGTGGTGAGGATGCATATTGTAACATTAATATTTCACCAATGACTACAGACATCGCAGCTGACTGTATAGAGATCAATGCCACCTTTTTCTGATAGTCTGTATTTTGCAGCCCCATGTCTTGCCCTACCAACCAGGAAATTGCCGGGTCCCCGCAATGAAGCCCAAAATCGTCGAGGGCAAGCATTGGCACTTGGTAAGTGTCATCTCGGATTCGACAAGGGTACTTCATGCCCAAAGCGAGTTTTCTGTCTCGAGTAAACATACTCCACCAGATCCGTCGGGAAAGTCCTTTGTCCCCTTTGCAGTTTTCGGGCGTGTCCAAGTGAAAGTTCACTGCCTGGGCAAAGGAAAGGCTTAAACCTAACCAGTGCCAGGAGTCTTTGACAGCAGTTGGATCATCTGTCAAAGAGAGAAGAAGCGATGTCTGAATCATGGGTAATTGTTCGGTCTCGTACCCCACATTATATAGAGCCTGTATCAGATATTAGTCATTACGCGGACCCCGATTTTGGCAGCGTCCACAGTTAGGACTTTCAAACAATTCACCATGTGAACATTAGTGTGAGATTTAATCTTACCATTACTCTTTGGAGAAAGGCATCTTGGGCCTGCTTTCTCGAATAGAAGCCCTCGGCCACAAGTCTATCGAGACTCACATAAGGAATCGCAGAGAGCATCACCCCTTGGAAAAGCAACAAGCTGACGGAGTGACGACCATCATCTGATACGATTGCCGAAAGAAAGTCAAAGATGTTGAGGATTGGGTAAACATAATACACTCTTTGGATAAACGCTCGCAAAAGTTCTCTCAGAAACTCTTCATTTGGAATTAAGAGCGCCCCCTTCACTCTCAGATACTGGATCTCATGAGTCTCAAGGTTGGCGGAGCTCCTTTGGATAAACTCTGGCTTGGGCCCGTCAACCAGATAACCGAAAAAGGCCCATTCCTTTATGACCGGCGGCGAAAAACGCATGTGGTCCTGCAACTTGGCTGTCTCGTCTTTAGATCCTCCGGCATGGCCTAGGGTGTTTCAGCGAATAACTCTCCTCATATATCGAGGAAAACATATCGATATCATGGGACCATAAAAGTTGGAGGCCGGGCAGATATTCACCAGCGAGATCTAACGTACCTTCACTATTCGCGATTGATTTGAACAACCCTTCCTCTTCGGCAGCTTCCCACGCTGGAAGAAAAGCTATTGGCGAAGGAGTCTTTTCGTTGTCTTCGTAACAGCCCTGAAATTGTGTCTCAAAGATCTGCAATGGCGAGCCATTTTCAAATTTCCATGTCTTCGCTGGTACCACACATTCGACTCCAAAATGTGAGCAATTGGTACAAGGTGATCCATGGACTGCAAGGTCACACCGCACTTTTCTTCGCTGACAGTATTGGCATACCCTCGAAGAACGCCGGCGGCACTTTCTCTGAACTTCTGAAGATGAGCCCATGGCGATCAAATATGTGTCTCGCGATTGTTTGATATAGGCAACTATTCTGCCAATATGTAGCGTCGTCGCCTTTTGAATTGAGACGAACGGAAAAGCTTCTTTTGGTAGAACAAATGTAGGTCCTATTGGAAATCTATATCGTACTGGCGATTCGACATCCCTCTATGAAACCAACTACGGCTCAGCCGCGTCCGATCAGTATATCCGGCCCGGGTATATCTTTCTCAGTCTACTCCGTATAGTCCCCACGATGCCCCACAATGCCCCACATTCCATCCACGGCCCTTTTAGCTGTCCCACATTTTGCCACCCAGTGCCTCACACTTTGATGGGCGATCCTTGGTCTCTCCATTACTTGGCCAAGAAACAGATCTCGCTCGGGTTATACTCAGGGGTTGGCTTAGGACTGCAAGGTCCGCGGGTTACCAGTCATGATGCATTAGCTTTCGAGCATCCCGCGCAGGTTTGCTTGCCGGGTGTGGTGAGGCCAAGCTTGACTTCCCGACTTCATAATCCACCATTGAACGGTCATTGGCGGACGAACTTTCGCAAATCAACCTCTGTGTTAATGTACCCCTTAATTGACAGTAAGGAGATATAAGATATGGTGACTTTTACCTTATTATTTAAGGTCATCCTGTCGATAATTCCACAAGGTTGAGTTCAATGATCAGGTTCTTCTGGTTACTACACAATTTGTGAGTGCTTAGGAATATCAATACCAACCTTGGAAGTTCATAAAGCAGGTATTTTCGAGTCATTGGTCATCCCACGTTTCAGCTCGTTACTTCAATTTTTGAGTTATCAAGGTTTGACACAGCTGATCAATTGAAGCGCATCATTCGATTGATCTCAAAAACATAAGTAGATTGAGACTTAGATATTAGTATCTTGTCTGAACTTTTGAGGACGCTATATATCGTGCCTGGCATACTTACTTGCCATCCGAATCCTCTTGCCACGGAACAAGAGAATAAAAGGAAAAGGCACGAACAACAAAGTCAGACAGCCAAGAAGGGTACAAGCCCACCCAACTCCCAAATTATGAAACATCGCAGTAGCAAAGAGTGGGAATCCCGCACCGAACGAAGAGCGCATGAAATCGTTTCCCGCAAGCACAGAAGCAGCATACTTTGGATATGCATGCGCCTGATAACAAAAGATACAATTAAAGATTAGACATCCACCAACAGCAAAAAGCCCGGAGGCAATGATAGGCACAATCCAATGAACAGTAACAAAGTTACCAGTCCAACCAAACCAAAACAATGACATGGGCAGAGCGAAGCAGCCCACACACGCTGGCGGTATTTGTTGCTCCGGTGAGATGTTGCCATCTTTATCAAAGTGGCGCGATTGCCATCGGTATTTCCAGTAGAAGTATGCGGGGATGGTGATGAATATTGTTGAGATGAGAATTCCCATAAAGGCGAGGCCGCCTTGACCTGGGTTAAAGCCGTGAATTTCCTCGAAGACAATAGGAAAGGCTTCGAACCATATGTATAGGATTCCATAGATCAAAGAGATATATAGATTGAGGAAAAGGACAATTGGTTCCATAAAGCAGAGTTGGAATGGTCGAACTAGGGCTTCAAAGAGGACGTCCTGTAAACAAGGGATTGCATGTTAGCTATACAATATTGGGATGGGAGAAAACGTTGACCAACTTACTCTAGAGTTAATTTCTTTGATCTCCCATTCCGACTCGGACATATAGTTGGAGTTTTTGGTAATGCGGCGAACCCGACGAGCTCGCCGGGCTAGGATATTCGGGGCAAACGTCTCAGGGAGGAAGAAGAACAGCACAACAAAGACGAACGCGGAGACCCAGAGTAGCTGCCAAATGGTCCACGTCCAACCCTTCGCAGAAGAGGCAAAGCCACCCACCAAGGGACCCAGGACAGGCGCGGAGATAGCAAACATGCCCCAAATACCTATCATGTAGTCACGGACCTTGGGACTCCACAAATCACCCATAGATGCGGCACCTGTTGCCAACGCAGGAGAGCCAATGAATCCGGTTAGGAAACGGAAGGCCAGAAACATCCCGAAGTTCGTTGCGTAGATCACGCCGAAATTGAAAAAAACGAACACGAAAAGTGTCAGCACATAGGTCGGGCTTCGACCAATCATTGGAATTTCCGAGAGGGGCGACCAAATCATAGGTCCTATGGGGAAAGACTCAGGGTCAGCATATTATGTCTCAGGTGAATCGTGTGTAAGAGGAATGAATGACGAACCGAGTCCATAACCAAGGACGAAGAGGGTCAACCCCAGTGTGGCAGCTACCCTGCTTACACCGAACTCTTCTGAAACGCCGGGAATCCCTGGCGTATAGATCGCAGAGCCGATATAGATGGCAAAGGTGAGCAGCCAAATTTGAGAGCTGACCAAAGTCTTCTTCTTGACACTCCAATTTTGCGGGTTCTTTGTCAACAAAACATTAGCTCCTCAAATTTAACACATTATAATATGCAAAATGCCAATGAAGATCACTGCATAACAGTTGAAGCGGAAAACCAACCTCAGGATCGTTCTGCCCACGCCAACTAATCACCAGCCCTTGACCACTGTCCCGCAATGTCGACGAAGATAGCCGCCTAGACCTATTTGTGGCCTGTGAAGTAACTGTATAGAGACCATAGCTCTCGAGGTCCTCGGGGCTCTCATCCGGTGTCGGGTGGTCCCCTTCCTCTTTCTTCTGGGTCTCTTCTTTGAGATACTCGGGCCAGATTGACATATCTTGCTCTTCTGGGTATTGCATCCATCGCTGGCGACTGAAGACGCGCACCAGCTTTCCAAATGCGGTGTCTCGTATGGTCTCCATCGAGGTAGCAAATTTGCTGGGCTCGAGGAATCACAACAAATGCAATATGAGTGGCAGAATGCTAGGTATGAATGATGTATAGATGCCTTGGTGTTTAAGGTTGCAAGAAAAGAATCATGTGTCTGGAAATTTTAGCATCACCGTCGCAAGAACGTTACGTATTTATACGACATTCAATCTTCCATTGCTTGAAGCTGAAATCTGGTTCGGCATTCGAATTTGTGAGTTACATTTCCCCGCAAAGCCGTATATCCGGCTATTTCAATAACCTTAACAACAAACCCTTGAGGTAACGGCAATAGATGTTCGATTTTTTTTTTTTTTTTTTTTTTTTTTTGTTTTACATCCGCAGAAAATACAGTTCGATGACTTTGGGGGATTACTACCAATGATAAATATAATGGTCATTATATCTGTAGGGTACAGCACGTTTGGTTGACGTCATGACTGTAATTAACTAACAGTAAATCCTGTAGGTAGTATTATCCTATTAAGCTAAAGTTATACTAGTAATTTATCCATGGATGTCCTAATGTAAGTATTAGTTCCATACATTGATATGACAAAACTTGGGTTTGTATATACGACCAATCCGTAGATGCATATTTCAAGCGAGCTACTTGTTCATCTTGATGATGCTTCCAGTGGCTTCTCTATTTGTATAGCTGAATATTCCGGGTCCGCAAAATTTTCCCGAGGTCATTTGTGTATATGTTGCCAGCCTGAGCCCGAAATCCAGTATTGATATTAAAGATTACCCAAACGTCCTTGCTCATTGGGGACTGTGAATATCGATGTCCGTGTGGAGACTAATGTTGACCACGATCTTTCAGCAGATAATTTACACGTTTGGTCCGCGGGGTTCGTTGTGCGATTGTAAATGGACAGCACGATTCTTCCCGGCATTTATGTAGGAAGCCACCTTTTGGACAGCAAGCCTGAAGAATACCTTTGTCGGTGGTATGCAACTGACAATAAAGAGAACCCACATCTCAGACCTGATGACCATGTTAAAATTGAGGAAAGGCATAAGGCGCAGGAAATACCTACTGATTCCAGATAATTACCTGAGCCAAGGTGTCTAACGTATGGAACGGAATAAGCATATACGGCCGCAAATTTTGAGGACTTCAAGCTGCTAACTTACATGTTTCGTCTGCTGTTTTCGTGAGTAGGCTTAGCCTGGCGGATTTAAAAGACGCACAGATGGCTGCACTGCTATAGGTTATAATTCTGCCAACTCAGCTTGTGAAACTTTCCAGTGACAATTACCTGATACCAACTCCCATCAAAGCACAAAGTCCCACTTTTGTCCTTGTTGTGAAGGCTTCGACTCCCCAGAAAAGCAGCATAGGGTACATTGCAAGTGCGATGTCAACAAACGCCGACCACGCTGATCCATTAATTGGTACCGTTAGTACATATTGTCAGGTGGTGATGTTGTACTTCGGGTTCAGGACCCCGGGAAAACTCACATCCCTGAACATAACCAAATATTTGCACTCGTTTCCTAGCCGAACATTCTCCAGGGATACCCTCATTCCAAAGCTTCTGTATTGGCGAACATTGTACAAGGGCCAATATGGCCGCGATACAGTTCACAACGAGATTACTCCCAGCAATGAACCATAAGAAAAATGTTCTCGTCGGTGTGTGGAAGCCTTCGATTCGTAGGAGGAAGACGACGATAGCAATTTTCGAAAGGCCGATGGCCACGAGGGCAAGCAACTGATTGACCCAGCCGAACAAAAGTGCAGAAAGGATATCTTCCGGGGTTAAATGTGACCGAGGAAGACCAAGCCCATGAGCAGCTCCTACGGTGAGCATGGCCATGCTCGCGGTTCCCACCACCTAGTTGACAGATTGAAATCAGTGAATGGACAATGGGGAAAATTAGATGGCTCCTCACAAGAGTTGCACTGGCGACGTAAAAATCGTTTCCGGTACGGTGTAGAATTTTCTGGCATGTATACCATCTGATATGAAACAGAACTAATGATAATCCAAACTCAACCCAAGAAACTATGAAGAAAGGCTGTTGGAAACCTGTCTCTTCGAAGCCATCATTTGTCACCGAACGGACTTCCAGGGACTCCAAGCCGGTTGAAAGGGTTTCATCCTTCATTCTGATATACCATTCTGTCTGCTGTTCAAATTCACAGGTCAAGAAGGCGGAGCAAAGGAGTTGGGAAGTGGCAGCACATTGGCTGGTTACGTCATGAGACTCGAGCAGAATGTACGGAGTACAAGTACAAAGCTCCACTCTGAGACACTTTTTTCTCCACTCTAAATCAACTACATATGACCGAGCGAAGCCTTTTAGAGCATTAATAAAAGCTAGATAAATCCATGCCCGCGAACGAGTCGCAGTATCATACTATGACAAACGCCCCGGAGCCACTAAAGGTGGGCCGGGCAAGGGCTCCAAGGGCTCTGATGGGCCGCCGTTCACCGCTGACTTCTTGAGACTCAATCTTCACGTGCTGTGCGTCTTCTGTTCGGTATAGTCATGATGCAAATACTCACCGTGAGGATTCCCGCGGTTGAGAGAGAAAATATGTAAGAAAAGATGACAAGGAATTGCGTGAAATCAGCAATCGGGGGTTCAAATACCGAGTTGAGGAAATCAAAGCCAAGTCGATGAAATTCACCCTTGCAGCGGTTTGTAAAATCAAACAGAGACTCTGGGGAGGGGCTCAAGAAAACCACATGGAAAGAGATGTCGTACAAGGTCAAGGGTGTGATACTTGATACGATATGAAGAGGTTACACCAAAGACAAAGATCATTTCTCCATTGGGCGCAGCAGAAACTTCAGGGTTGTCGGGATTCGAACCTTGGGAACTATATTGGAGTTACACGAGGGGCTTCTCTAGTTACAATCTTCCTGTCGCTCAACTCTTGTGATGCATATATCAAATCAAATTCAACCGGTCTCTCGAGTCAGTGAACATCATTGGCCTACACTGCGACTCCCTGCATCAAGGCGCGCAGATGGTGTGCGAACAGAGTTGGTATAAGAGCGGTGGCTAACAGGTATCATAAAGACTATAAACGGGTGACGAGGAAGTTTTCGATCATTGAGAGCAAATCAAATTATGGCTTTGGCGATGAGTTTATTTTACACTTCTATTTCGTCGTTGAAAGACCATGCTTCCAGAGCATCATCGACCCAAGTTGAACATGGTCTTTTCATCGCTGGACTCTTTTCAGTAATCCTCTACCACACGAGACACCAAGTGCCTATCTATCATCGAAAGTTTCATAAGAAGAAGATTTACCTTTACATCCACATCGTTACGGGTTTGTCCGAAGCATTCAAATACCGAGTGAAAGGAGTGCGCCAAGGACACTCGAATACTCTCCCCGATATCTATGATGTGTTATCATGTTTGATTTGGTCTTGGACAAGCTTCGAACTCGTGAAGACGCTGCGCCGAGGCGATCCTCGAACCACTCGGCCGCCGTATCAGGTTGCAGCTTCTTTGCGTCCCACCATCGCGGTTATCTCTTATATTTGGGGAATACCAAGTCTACACAAAGTTTCGATTCGCTCACTGGATAGCTTCCTATGGGCTCGCTTAGTTATCTACTTCTTCACTTACAGCCCATACATCTCCTCCTTTCGTTCTAGCACAATATACGCTATCTCTATCCCACTAGCGTCAGCTATTAGCGTCCACGAAAGCAGAGTTCCCGGAGCAACTTTCATCTTTGTCCTTGCGACTGCTTTTGTCACGAAGCTCAACTCTTGGACAACACGTCAATCAGAATCACTGAGAAAGTAAGCTGGCAGAAGCCTTTTGAAAGACTGTTTGTATATCCATGGAACCATTTCTAACAGTTGCAACAGTTATGACAGTTCATCGAGCATCTCGGGCTACAAGAAGAAGTTGGTTGCAGTGCTAGTAAGGCTGGGCTTTGTGGAGCTGAAGGAACTACGGAAAGTAGGAACATTCAGGGAGTTGGATGAGGAGGTGAGAGATGATTATGTTCCAAACTGATGGGGGTATCTTGAAAGACGAAAAATCGACAGGATCAATGCACGACTCGCCGACGAAGTGAAATCATAAAAGAATTGGGTATAGAAAGGAACCCTCGCTCCAAATAGTCCACGGGTGTATTCTTTAAAATATCAGAAGTAATATGAGAGTGGAAGATCTCGGAGGTTTGGAGAAGAGGGAAGGCGGCGCTCGGACCACTTTCTTTGCGGGTGAATAAAGAAGGGCACACCGCCTTTGGTTTATTCTGCCAGCCACGTGATAGACCAGGCGCGTCTTGCATCAACGCGGTGTTCCCGCTATCGCGCCCCTCACACGTCTTGCCCATACCTCAAATCTTTGTATAACAGGGTTCTTGAATCTCTCGGCGCGTTGCTCCCTCAGGGAAGCAGCTGTCAATATGGGAAAACTCATCCGATTGGAGCTTTTCAGTATGTTGCGGTCCGAAGTGTGCTAGCTGCATTCACTAACTTCCAGCAGACTTCAAGTCCTACAAGGGCCACCATGTGCTACTCTTCGGTGATGCATACTTCACCTCGATTATCGGGCCAAACGGCTCCGGCAAGTCTAATTCGTGAGTCTCCTGCCTGTTCTACAGTCAAAGAATGCATCAACCTAACGCGCACCAGCATGGACGCGATCTCTTTCGTGCTAGGAATTAAATCATCCCACCTACGATCAACCAATCTTCGCGATCTCGTGTACCGCGGTCGAGTTTTGCGCACTTCCAAAGTGGACGGAGAGCCTGCAGCCGACGAGCAGGATGGCGAGCAGGAGGAGCCAGAGAACACCAACGCATCCCAAGACGTGGCAGGAAATGACCCCAAATCCGCATGGGTGATGGCAGTCTACGAAGATGATGCCGGGGAGGAACAGCAATGGAGCCGATCGATCACAAGCCAAGGTGTCAGCGAGTACCGCATCAACAACCGCATCGTCACTGCCCACCAATACAATGAAGCCCTTGAGGAAGAGAACATCTTGATCAAGGCGCGAAACTTCCTTGTCTTCCAAGGTGACGTTGAAGCGATAGCGTCACAGTCGCCGAAAGACCTCACCCGGTTGATCGAGCAGATCTCTGGCAGCCTGGAGCACAAAGCTGACTACGAGAAGTTCAAGGCGGAGGCGGAGGAAGCTGCGGAGCAGCAGACCGTGCAGCTTAATCGTCGGCGAGGAATAAACTCCGAAGTGAAACAGTATCAGGAGCAGAAGCGCGAGGCCGAGAATTACGCGAAGAAGGCCGACGAACGCGATCAGGCGATCATTACCCACATTCTGTGGAAACTGTTTCACTTCCAGCGCTTGATCGACGACTCGAGCGCAGATATTCAGAAGTACCACGATGAGCTACGAGAATATCGCCGCGGTGTTGATAAGTACGAAAAGAATGTCGAAGAGGCCAAGAAGGACCATGCCCGAGTTGGCAGAGATGTCGGCAAAGCCGAGAAGAACATCCACAAAAAGGAGAAGGAAATAGAGGTGCTCAACACCTCGCTCGTGCCTGTTGACGAAAAGGTCGATGTCAGCCACCGGGAGGTCGACAGACTGACTGCAAGGATTAACCAAATCGACGAAGAGCGCACATCCCAATCCACCAACGAAAAGAAACTGCAAAAAGATTTGAAGCTTGTCGAGAAGGCCCAGGCTCAATGGGAAGTCGAATGGCAGAAGCTCAAGAACAAAAAGGGCGGCCAGCTCAGCGAGGCTGATCAACAAGAGTACCACAAGCTGCGAGAACAAGTGAATCTTCGCTCATCCGCTGACTCTCTAAACCTTGACAATCTCCGTCGACAGAGGAAGACCGAAACTGAGGCAGTGAACAGTCTGAAGGGCAAGTTTGAGACTAGCCAGCAGCAGCTTGAGTCAGTGGAATCCGATGTACAAAATATGAGCGAGCGTAAATCATCACTCAACGAGAAGACCAAGTCAACTTCCAAGGATATCGATAACAAGAAGAAGGAGCTGAACGCATTGACTTCGGAGCGATTGAAGGTCTCTCAAATGAGAACCGAACTGGAGGAGAAGCTTCAAGTGGTGCTACGCAAACTTCTTGAAGCAGACGATGGCAAGAAGCAGACCGAACGCGAGATTCGGGCAAAGGAATTGATCTCGTCCCTCAAGCGCATCTTCCCGGGCGTGAAGGGTCGTGTCAGTGACCTTTGTCGTCCGAAGCAGAAGAAGTACTCCGACGCAGTGAGCACTGTACTTGGCCGGCACTTCGATGCTATCGTTGTTGATAATGAAAAGACTGCCAAGGAGTGTATCCAGCACCTCCGTGATCAACGAGCGGGACAGGCGACATTCATTCCCCTCGAAACCATCCAGGTGAAGGCGTTCAACTCAAACTTGAAGGGAATGCATAGGGGTATGCGCCCTGCCATTGAGACTGTTGACTACGATGACTCGGTTGCTCGCGCGATCAGCTACGCATGCGGAAACTCGATTGTTTGTGACGATCTTGCAACGGCCAAGTATCTCTGCTACGAACGTAATGTTGATGCAAAGGCGGTTACTCTCGATGGAACTGTCATCCACAAGGGTGGTCTCATGACTGGTGGACGTGGTCCTCAGCAGAACTCCAAGCGATGGGAAGATACAGAGGTCGAGAACCTGTACAAGCTCAAGGAGAAGTTGATGAACGATCTGGCAAACCTGCCCAAGAGCCACCGTCGGGGCTCAGAAGAGGAGACTCTCCAGGGTGAACTTGTCGGCTTGGAACAGCAGCTGCTCTATTCTCGCGACGAGCTGAAAGCCCTTGAAAGAAATCTCGAGAGCAAGCACAGCGAGTTGCAATTTGTCAAGCAACAAGTGGAGGACTTGCGACCCAAGTACACAGAGCGTAAGGAGAATCTCGACGAGCTTGACGAGACGATTGAGACCTCACAAGCCTCCGTTAGCTCTGTCGAAGATGAGATTTACCGCAAGTTCTGCAAGCGCTTAGGATACGACAACATCCGGGAGTATGAAGCGCAACAAGGATCTCTTCAAGAAGAAGCAGCCCAGAAAAAGCTTGAGTTTACCACACAAAAGAGCCGCATCGAGAACCAGCTGAGCTTTGAGAAGCAGCGCATCCAAGCAACAGAGGAGCGAATCAACGTTATCAAAGTTCGCCTTGAGAAAGTGCATAGCCAGATCGAAGAATATCAAAACCAGCAGGAGGAGATCCGCAACCAGCTTGATCAATTCGAAGCTGAACTCGAGCTTCTTCGCGAGGCCTTGGAAGAACAGAAGAAATTCTACGCCCAGTCAGCAGAGACTTTGGCCGAGCAGCGCCGTGAACTTCAGAAGCGCAGCAAGCATGTTGAGGGTGCTTTGAGAAATGTCAGCGCCCTGGAGGCGGAGATCCAAAAGAACTCTTCCAGTCGTTATACTCTTCTGCGTCGTTGCAAGCTCGAAGATATTGACATCCCGTTGACCGATGCCTCTAATGGCCTTGACAAGCTTCCCATTGATGATCTCATGCAAGGCGCAGATCCCGATGCTATGGATGTGGACGAGGGAGATGTCCTAGATGAGGCACCTGTGGTACACGATTATGGAATTGAGGTTGACTTTGATGTTCTTGGAGATTCGCTTAAGGAGGTTTGTGTTGTTTTGAATCATGACCATGTTTACCATACTGACATCTTGCCTTTAGGAATCCGATGACAAGCTTGAAGACGAACTCCTCGAGAAGGTCCGAGTTTTGAATAGTGATCTCGACAAGATGGCACCTAACTCCCGCGCCATGGACCGTCTCGAGAGCGTTGAGAACAAACTTCGCAGTACTGAGAAAGACTTCGAAGATGCCCGCAAGTTCGCAAGAAAGGCCAAGGATGAGTTTGAGGCTGTGATGAAGACTCGGTCCGACCTCTTCAACAAAGCATTCACCCATATCTCTGAGCACATCGGTCCTATCTACCGCGAACTCACACGCAGTGCCAATTACCCCCTGGGGGACAAGCGTAAGTTTGAACCGGACTCGCCGATAACACGACTCTAACATTGCACAGGTACTTGGACATCGAAGACTCAGACGAGCCGTACCTGGACGGTATCAAGTACCACGCCATGCCTCCTCTTAAGCGTTTCCGAGACATGGAACACCTCTCCGGTGGTGAGAAGACCATGGCCGCCCTTGCCTTGCTGTTTGCCATCCACTCATATCAGCCATCACCATTCTTCGTGCTGGACGAGGTTGACGCAGCTCTTGACAACACCAACGTCGCTCGTATTGCAAACTATATTCATGACCACGCTGCACCTGGTATGCAATTTATTGTTATCAGTTTGAAGACTGGCCTGTTCCAGAACAGTGAAGCGCTGGTCGGTATCTACCGCGACCAGGTGGAGAACAGCAGTAAATCGCTGACCCTCGACGTGAGTTTTCTCGACTTTGACATCTTCCATTCTCTACTGACACAAATCGACAGCTTCGGAAATACACCTAATCTCTCTTGGTGGAATTTATGCAGATTCTATGATGACCCTTTCTTTCTTTTCGTCTGCTATATTTGCTTCTTCATATTTGTAGATTATTATTCCGAGCTGGATTTTCCCACCTACTTTTTCTCGGTAGGTATGGATCTTCAAGCTCAGACAGTCTCTTATTTTTATTGATGAAACTGTTCTTTGATACCACTTACCGTATCTTGCATGATTTTGTAGCCCTACTGATGACCAGAACACGTACAGCAGCAATCTACACCTACAACAACAAACGCACTTGGACAAGATGAAGCGACCATGAGTTTCTTGATACTAGCTAAGAAGTCGTTCAACGCGCCGAGGGCCCTCCCATACTGCTCATTTGAACCCGGATCGAGCCTCATATGGACACCAAGCAAAGTTTCCCAGACACTCGCTGAACTCGACTTTTCCATTTTTTGGGGTGAATTTCCATTTCTTCGCCAGCCATCAGCAAAGGGTGCACCGCAGTCTTCAAATACTCGTTCCTTCAACCCTATGCCAACGCCGACTGTATCATGGGGAACGAACTGAAAAGCGAAAAAAAATTAATATGAATCAAGGGGAAAGAACTGACGGGACTTGTGAAGATCACGCAAGCATCGCGTCCGACAGCACAGCAACGGCTCGCCGAACAGCATCAAACGAGCGCGGCATCGCTATTTCTTGGTTCCAGTTTCTTTCGGAACACGAGACGACGAGGTGTTAGCCTGGGCCTGGCCAATCAAGCTCCCCTTGCTCGCGGCATTGGCGGTGACTTTGACCTCAATGGCAACCTGAGGCTTGCTGGGTTGACCCCGAGGTCCTTGTGGGCCTACCCTTTTCGGAGCAACACTTTTTGACGAAACCTTGGCCTGGTGAGGTGCCTTGCCGCCATGCGCCGGGCGCTCGCTAGAGGCGATCTTCGGCTTGGAGGTCATCTGGCGATCGGTGCCATTCACTTCATGCTGTGCCTTCTTTCCGTGTCTGGCTGGATCTTCCTTAGGTTCAATCTCAAGACCTTGCATTTGACTGGCCATCTTGCTGACCGAGGGTTGGTCTGGGTGCTTGAAAATGCCGACCTTGGGATCAACCACGGACTGGGTTGCGATGGGATCAAAAGTCAAATCCTTGTCATCTGCAGCAGCTTCAACAGTCTCTGCGGCATTATTGATGTTGATGGACTTTGTGGAGGCCGCGACTTCGCCGGCTTCGCTGATAGGCGCTGCAGAGGCAGGCTCCGAACTTTCATCAGACAGAGCGGTGCCATCAGTCTTAGCCTTGGCAATTCTAGCCTGATTGGTCATGCGGACACGCTCAAGCTCGGTCAACTCCTGTGGCCACTGATCAGGCAGGCGTTTAAGAATGCAATTCACTTGCGCGGGGTTGTTGCGAATGTGAACAGTCTCGTGAAGCTGTCCATCGATCGTGAAGTCACATGGGATCTCACGCAAACCGGGCTCCTGATCACGGTGGTACTCAGTGAGTTTGACTTCGAGGCCACGGATGAGAATAGCCCAGCAACGGTTGCCAAGCATTGGAGCGGTCTCCAGGCCGGCGATGGTATGGTCCCATCTTTCCATGAAAGGGTCATCGGGATTGAGAATGACTTTGATCACGGTGTGGAGAGTTCTGACTTGTTCGTTGGGCTTCTCTTCGACCTTGACAAGGTAGAAGTTGGTGTGGTTGTTTTTCTCATCTTGGTCGTACTTGAGATCCCAGCCGTGCTTGGGGTCGAAGGCGAAACCCAGCAGGCTTGAGACTAACAGGCACAAGTTCACTGCATTGGGAACATCTTCGTATGTCTTGATGAGCCCCTCGATGTGGGGAAGCTTGAGATAAGTTGCGTCAAAGGTGCTTGAGGCGTTCAAATCGGGGTCAATCGCAGCGTCGGCCATTGTTGCGTCGGGTGCGAACTAAAGAGAGACCTCGGGTTCGGTTAGAAGACTTGTCTGGGATGGGATAGAATCTGGCGAGAACCTTGGAAGTAAAGAGGCGCGAACGACGATCTGATGAGATGGAACTGAATGAATAGAAAAGACTATCATTCAGGGTGACGATGAGAAGAGAGTATAGACAGGATGAGAGAAATGCTTCTATACAGCGTTAAGGATCAGATGACAATCATATAATGGGAAGGCCATCTCACGGTTGAAGATATCTGTTTGATCAGACCAATGCTCCAACTCAAGACTGACCGAGGGTGGCTAAATTAAGGAAACTGCGATGCGTGTTATATTCGCCTTAATCTTGAACATAGGGGTTATTGCCTATTGTAGATCATTGCGGATTGTGAAAGGGACTCTTAACCCACTATGTACCCAGCACTTTTATTAAGCCAGATCTATATGTTTGAGGAGGTGCCTAGGTACTGAACAAAGACGGGAGTTCTATCCAACAAACAAACTCAGAAAGTGGATGCTGTGGTGTAGGAGAAGTGTATACCTCACATGTTCCACTTATCTTCAATGCGCCTCAGTATATCTGAATGGAAATTGATATACATCCAAGTACGTGAATGGCTCATCAGCAGTACCTGAGCAAGACTAAAGAGCCAATCGCGCCTGTGTCGTACAAAATGGTCTTTCTTTGAATGGAGACAATATGTGAGAGCAAACCGGTGCCTAAAGCGAGTAGCCCTCAAAGTACACGACTCTCTCTGGTTATTTCATATAAGGTGAACGGAATCAAGAAACGTTTCAAGATTATCTACCTCAAAGCGCTTGAAATGTCTAGTCAATTGTAAGCTTAAATTTCGTCTTCGTGACAAAACAAGTCAGCTAGAACAAGGATTGAATGAAATAGTGATGATCATGTCTAGTCTTGGAAGCAAACCACTATATTCAATAGCCGAGTCTTAACCCTTCCGGTGCATTGATCGGCTCTCCGCGATTCCAGTGTAACCCCCGCATTGAGGATCCGGAGATATCCATGCCAAATAAAGACGGTATTAATATTTGCGCCAATGGAATCTGCTGGATTGAGATCATTTCACCGCCATAGCACAACTCATCGCCAGGCGGCAACTGAAACCCCCCGGCTCAATAGCCTTATGGCACCGCTCAAGGCATCCCGGTGCTGAGATATAAATACCAAGCCTTTCCGTAGTTCCAGCTTGGCGAATAGGACAATAGGTTATTTCAACAGCTAGCATCTAACAGACTACCTACCCATGTCAGAAAACTCCGCTTCGATCCGCAAGATGTTATTTTGTCTCTTGCTGGGAGTGACTATGGCTACTGCAGTACCAGCAACTGCGGAATCAGGTGTCTCTGTCATATCGGTCAGCGGACAAGTCCCTCAGGCCGCCGGTGCTGCAGTTTTGAGTCCCTTCGTCTCATTCTCAATCGAATTTTCCTCCTTTCCTGACTTTGCAGGTACGTCGGCTTCAGAGTCAAGAGAGTATTGCGACAAATTTGGCTGATCGGTCTTACAGGAAATCTATCCCGTCCGAATAAGTTTTCAAAAAACTTGCTGGATAACCTTGGTGATCTTCAAGGCGTGAAGCCTTACCTTCGAGTTGGAGGAAACACGCAGTATGTACCTACAGTCCACGACCCCATCTCCACATCTCCCTGATCCACATAGGGACCTTGCTCTCTATGACCCGAGTCTTAAGACGCAAATCAACGGCACAGTCGTGCCAGCCGTGTCTTCAGATTACCCCTCAATCATATCCATTGGACCGTCCTATTTTGAGTCATACGCGACCTTGCCTGGTGTCAAATTCAGTCATGGCTTCAATATGGGCAACAATAGCACCAGAGGCATAGAAACACTGCTTGCAACGGTTTCACTGGCCTGCAAAGCCCTAGGAGGTGGAAAGCTGGAATACTGGGAGATTGGGAATGAGCCGGATTTATTCAAGACAACCACACCAAACAGCGTGCGACCTGCAAACTGGACAGAGAGTGACTATGTGACCGAGTGGCTCGAGAGGGAACGTGTTATCAGACGTCAGCTGAAGAAAAGCTGTCCAGAGATGTTAACAGATGATGGGTACAAGTATATAGCTCCGTCGTTTGCTGGATTGACAAACAGCTTAGACGCGGTGAAGACGTGGCAGGATGGACTCAACAAAGACAACATCATTTCTTTGAACTCTATGCATAAGTATGAGCTGCTGATGCTATGCAGGCCCTCTTCTAACAATTAAATAGTTATATTGGCGGTGCAGATGTCCCAGGCGTCACTCTACGACATACTTTGATGAACCACACCGCAACAAAACATAGCGTCGACCAACATGTCAACCTCTCTCGAGTCCTTAGCCACGATGGCCTCACAAAAGACATTCCCTACATCCTCGGCGAGACGAATTCACTCTATCACCAAGGCAAGCCCGGCCTCTCGAATTCCTTCGGTGCCGCTCTCTGGGGCGTGGACTTCAACCTCTATTGCGCATCTCAAAGCATCCGCCGCACACACATGCACATGGGAACAGACTATCGCTATGCGTCTTGGCAGCCAATTGAAACCAACAAGACCACGGTTGGCACGAAAGCGCCGTATTATGGGAATGTCATGGTCGCCGCAATGCTCAAGAAAGAAAGCGACGGCGACGACGTTCAGGTGGTGAATCTACCGACTTCAGAAGAGACCAATGCAGCCTACGCATCATACGTCAACGGCCACCTCGCCCGAATTGCTGTTGTGAATATGCAGCAATTCAACTACACAGACGAAGAAACCGGTGCAATCTCAGAGTTGTCAGACCGACGCTCAACCAGATACACTTTCCAAATTCCCACAGGCTCCGCAAAATCCCTTTCTGTGCAGCGGCTTATGGCGAATGGGAGTGATGCCATCACGGGGATCACCTGGGACGGGTGGTCGTATAACTACGAACTGGACAATGGCAAACCTGTGCGGCAATCGAATGTCACAATTGGTGAACTGGTGATTGTCAAAAAAGGGGTTGTCGAGATTGAGCTCCCGTACTCTAGTGGCGCCATTCTGAATCTTTGATTTGTAATGGTGGATTTCCTATCTACCCCCAATCCACACGCTAGTGGTAATGTTGCCCGGTGGGTCAAAGGGTAAAAGGCATTGGGAGAATAAAGTAAGCTTGCGGGATTTGGTGGGATTTGAGGCGACTTTGGGCCTCACGAGTAGACCCACATGCCTAGTTTTCACGAGTCAGGGTAATCGGCTAATAGCATGAGTTGAAGACAAAAGCTTCACTAGTGATCATCTTCCAGGGTTAGCCTCACTGCCCTTTTTGGGTTGGTGCACTGTGTACTCCGTACGGAGTAGATAGTGCTGGTTTGAGATTATCAGCAACCTTGGAAGAGAGCGGTCAACTGGACCTAGACCACTCTTTGTTTATTTTGGTGGTGGCGAGATTGAGATAGGGGCTAGGAGCTTTGTGGAAAGCAGAAGGCTGACCGAAAGCGAGGGAAGTGGAAAGTACGCCTTGAACAAAAGGACGGGAAAGATTATGGCTTTTGTCTCGGGAAATAGGTACGTTCTTAATTATTCGTTTGGTGCGGTGAGAAAGAACAACAAGGTCAACATGTAAGTACTAGTCATGGTCACCGCCACCATTGAAGTACGAGGGTACGATAACCCAACCTCGGCAAAAATCCCCAATCAGCAATACTTACGGAGTACTCCGTACGGAGTACAACCTTGGAAATCCCCAGAGCTGAGCTTTTAGTCTCAATAATGCAAGCATGCTGCATCTATATCCTGGTACCAGGAATTCGCCATCTGCCCCCAGCGTACAACGGAATGTCAAAAAGCGGAAGCTGCGGAAGTACTCTCGACGGAAATGCACATGGATTTACATGCACATACTACATCCAGCGAGATCCCTAGTTGTGTCAGAGCGGCAAAGAACTTTGGAAGTCAAGGGATGTTTTCGAATGTGTGATCGCGCCGTACAACCGAAGCCGTATCTATGGGCACAGCTAGCGATAGTCCCGTGGTGATTCGTTCGTGCGTGTAATGCAGCCAAGACTGGGGGGGGGAGGTGCTACTTCCTCAATCAATACTGTATGTCGATTGCACTCCATAGGTATCCCGCTGTCGATCAGTTCATCTGTTGTGCTGCTTCGCCCCGCGCGCACACACACAAATACACGCAAGGGATGCTTTTCTTTTCCAAGCCACTGACAGAGAAGGCTTTGTGAGTCTTTCCACCTGTGTGGGGAATGTGCTGCTTGAGTGTTACAGGGTTTCAAGGTTCGGGGCCAGTGCGCCTTGAGAAATAGTGTCAATATTTTGTTTGCTCTGCTTTGCTTTGCTTCTTCGTGCATTGTACCTTGTGTTATCGATCGCGTGGAATTAGTGATCGGAGCTATGATCCTCTTTGCTGTTCTGATTGCTTTTTCCTGTGTACATGGCCAAGATTATTGAGGCTGCCTAACTATTTGTGTTGACTTCCTAGGTTCGAGCCAACCTAATTCTAGATGTTGAGGCCCAAGGAGGCTCACAGCAAAAAAGCTGTTCTGGCCGATCACCCAGATTAAACCATCGTAAAACCTCCAAGACATCCAGGGTTAGAATATTCTCGTCATGACCCGCCCAGCAAGCAAACATTTTGTGCATATTTAATTTCTCGACACCATGTATTACAATGGATGCCCACTATGTAGGTAGTGCTTCGTAATTCCAACTGAGTAAATGTGGATATATATTGCACAACAGAACCCGGGATGCGCCACTGGGGCCAGCCCCGAGATCAGTCCAATGGGAAAGCATAGCCAGACCCGGCTGAATTTTCCGTATTTGTTTGCTATGGGGTTTCTCAAATGGTCCTAGTCCAGATGGCAATACGGAGTACCACGGGAAAGCGAACCCTGGACCTGTTCTCTCAGATTCAACAACTCGAATCGACCAACCTTTCAGCAAAAAGCAACCCCAGACCTCTGGAGTCGATGGGGGATCCTTGTTCAAATTAATTAAATCGGGCCTTATTACATATACAGCTGCAGTCTTCCACCATTGCGGGCCGAGCTTGGTGGCGGCGCCAGTAAGTCATGATTTTTATTTTTATTTTCATTTTTTCGATGATGATTGTGCAACCTGCGCGTTGATGGACGGAGAAGACTCTCCCGCCCTGGAGGACCTCGGGATCACCATTTTTGAGGTTGTATTTCGGTATGGCAATAGTCATGAGTTCCAACGTTTACATGGTTAGTAAAGGTCGCAGTGATCAGCTCTTGGTCTACTCTGTACGGACTTGGGATTCCATCGAAGGATGATCCGCCCCCGCTCCTGGCACCACTTTGTCGATCCGGGAGTAGGGAGTTGATCCTAATGGTGGCCGAGGCCGGATGGACAAAACCCCTCCTTATCGATTGTCCCGAGCGCTCGAACAAATGCTTCAACTTTAAGCCCGGGTTGTTGCACCCGTCAATGCAGGATACCGCAGAGAAGAGAACAAACAACGATTTGGAATACGGAGTATTGCTCGTGTCTTCTCTCAGGGGAGGGCCACACTAGTGGGGTATCGATACCTAACACTAGCGTGGGAAAAGCACACTAGGATATCAAATCCACGAGAATAAAGATCAATCAAAGATAACCTACTCCGTATACAAGTACCAAAGTGAAGCGAGCCAACTGAGGCGTAAGCCACGCGCCTTTAAAACCAATATTGACAAGACTCGTACGTCCGGAACGACAACCGTGATCCCGCGAGCTTGCAAATAAGCTCAAGATTCGATGGTCGCTTGGGATAGATCCACGCCGGAGTTGCCTGCCTACCAATTACAGCCCACCTGAGCGCTTAAGCCAGCTCTCTAAGACCAGACCAGACTAGACTTCATCTCCAGGTCCTTCAGGCCCCGTTTCAGATTAGGTTGGAAACTCCCGCACGGACGCGGGACCGAGCGCCAAGTGGGGAAAAAACCTACCGCGAGTCCCCTTTTGGGCCATCTCGAATGTTTATTCTTTATTCTTTATTTTTTTTTATCTATCTACTCGCTCAAACGGTCTGTGCTTCGTTTAGGTAGCTCGGCCAAGTACAGAATAAAAAAAGAGCACAGATAGTCCATCGGAGAACTGCATGGTGTCGGTAAACTTATCCAGATTACCACTGATTGGTGTGAGACGGTTATTGATGAATCAAAGTGGGAGAAAATCGGGTGCGCCGCGCATTAGTCAATGGATTCTTGGGACTCGGCCCTGGCTTGCATATGATGATGTCAGTGCCGCTCAAAATAAGCCGCCTTTTCTTTTTTCTTTTTTCGTCTTTCGCTTTTCTTTTCTTTTCTTTCTGTTTATAACCGGTGGTGGCTGATGTGGCCAAATGGATCGCCGATCACGGGAAATGATTGGTTGGGTTGAATAGTCCAGTGCGTACGCTATTGGGATATCGATTAAGGACATTATCCACCTGCTGTCAGACAAACCTACCTTTACTGCTTAGAGACCGGAAGATAGGGGGAGGAGCTAAAGAGTAAGTTACAGGTGGAGCTTGGATTGAGAACGAGATGGAATCGATACACCGTCTCACTGCGGATAGGCTATGAGCCGATCTTGGAGGGTCAGAACCCATTGACCTGTTCCTGAGCGTTTTTTTCTTTTCTTTTACAAACATCTTAACGTTGGCGATCTATGTGGCTCAAGTCCGATCGGTTGAAAGTTGAGAGGTTCGGTTTGGGATCTCGGATCCCCCGACGGAACCATGGATCGGGCTATGGGTCGCCCATGGATCCCATGGCTCCGTGGATCCATGGATCGCAGCCCTAAACAACGTCAATGCGCAGACTGGACTCGACCCAGCCAATTTACAAAGACGGAGAAAGTAGTTAAGGAAAGGGGCATCTGATAGATGCAGGAAGTGACACGGAAGCTTTCCTATTGCCACACCCACTGGATTCCAGCTATTCTTTTTTTCCTTGCATTAGCACCAAGGCCGACTCGTACTTTCAGGGGACACACCGATGTCATGTGGAGATCTGCTCCGTATCAATACTCGGGGTTTGACGGCGGCTTTGGGAGATCATGGGTGCAGCCCCATAATTGTTGGTATATATCTACTTTGCATAACTCCCAACTCACCCGGTCGTATGGACTCGGAATAGTTATCCCTCGGCAACCTGCGTTCACCCTGGTCAATTGGATTTCCTTTTATCTCTCATCAAGCACACGCCCGATTACTTCTTGAGCAGCCCGGATTTCTTTCGTATTATCCTGCGTACAGTGTCTGCTTTTAGGTGCGGAAACGGTCACACGGCATCATCTGAACCAAAACATCCTCACATCTCATATCCATGGACACCACTCGTGGATTATCATTTCCCGGGGATGGGCTGGAGCGAAGACACTCTGATACCTGTATCCCACAGCAATCAATGGCTATGGTACATGAATCCTCCCAGCACCAGCATTAGGTAGCACATGGGTTGGAGTTGATGACTGACATTAAATTGGACAGCCGGTTGCTCCTCAACACCAAAACACCGAGTTTCAAAATCCGCCTCCCCACTACTTCATGGTGTACACAGACCACAATGGACAAGTGCACTACGATACCTCGGCTTCATTTGCAGGTTGCGAGGGGGCCGTTTTCACGCCAGATGTGACCAATAGATTCATGGAACTGACTGGCCAAAGTGGTTCCCAATTCTCAAGTGAGCTACCCCAAGATATTTCGAAACCTAAGAATACCTCATTAACCAAATCTACCCTACAAAGGCCCTCCCACTCTAGAAAGCCACCCTTCTTGGGGTGCACAATCCTCATCCTGGGGCCATCCTGCCCAGAGACGAGCCGACATGATTCCATGCGAAATGACAACAAGCCAAAGTCGAAAGAAAACGAAACGAGCCGGAGGCATCATGAAACCTCGACCTAAGTCTACCTCTCCTCCACCAACCACGCCGCCACCTGGACGGACCGTTCTCCGAGTTGGAAATCGGGCGCAGCTACGAGGGTACTATGAGAAAGCCTTTGAGCATTTCCAACAGCTCAATTGCCGCGCCATTGCCAAGTCATACATCAAGCTCGTCGAGCCACGGAAGCAGGTTCATTACCCATATAACGGACGTCGAGTGCACGGCGGTGTTACCCAAACCGACAACCCAGAACAAACCAAGCCGGGATGGTGGCCTGCAGGCGTTGTCCACAAGGAGCCTGACCATCTTCTGAAACCCGGTATGAGCATCGCATCTCAAGATCCAGTTCCTTGAGCATACCATACTAACAGAGTCCAGATCGTTTACGACTCCTCGTTCACATCCTCTGTGAGATGAAGGATAGCCATGGTGTCACAACAGAGAAGCTGCGTGATGCAGGTCAAGATGTGAGACGCCAGATCCAACCCAGCCACAAATTGCACGTTTTAGATGAGATCTACTACGTACGCCATATGGAAGAGAAGTACCTCAATGGTGAAATAGGTATGTACCATATCATCTCAGAAAGCGAACCTCCATCAGCAGTCAACTAATACGAGACGCCCTCGACACAGATGCCAACACCATGATCCAAGTGTCGCAGGTTCCCCTCCCGGAAGCAATGTTCCAGGATCGAAATGATTTTACCTCTCGAGCACACGCGGCACCGTCAACTAGGTCATCACTCGAGAGCGAGAACGACGTGCGTGAGTCAAGTGATAATCCGAGTATTCCCAAATTGGAAGAGGACTCCAAGCCACAGCGTCTGCACGGTCTGCCCCTCTCACCCACCACCAGCGAGTCTAGCGGGCCTCAGAGCCCGACCAGCGGATATGGCTATGGGATGGTCATGGCACCGGCAGTGCAAGTGATCCCCCCTCATGAGTCACCCAGCGTCCCCAAGCCCATGCAGCCGGACCCGACTTACATGAACGGATACTATACCCAACCGTTTGTCTCTGACAAAGGGCCTGCCTTCTGGCCCCACTCCAATTCTGTTTCTCAGTATGGATACTGAGGGTTATGTGATTATAGTTGGGTTTTTTTCGGAGTTTGTGAGCGTTAAGCGGGGAGGATTGACCAATGTCAATACAGTTTACATAGTGAAGAGGGACGTGTTATATACAGGAAATGAAAATTGTACCAGGTTTAATCAGTGAAGTCAAGTAAAGATGAGCGATCTATACAAGTGGATGCCTGAGGCCACCTATCCCACCTGGGCCCAGACGCGTCGTTGATTGGATCCATCCGACGATCCCCCAGCGCATCTCGCCAACCAACCATCAGCCACATCACAAGCACACTGCAACTTCCTGTTCTCTCGCTGGTCTTGACTCTTCAACTCTAACCTCGCTCATTCGGTCAGAAGCAGGAACGTTGGCCGTTTTCGCGTGATCTGGATTTGTTTACTCTTTGGGTCGCCAACCACAGCTCTCGTGTGAGTTTCCCCAAAGGCGTGACCTGCTAAGGCCGTCTGGTTCTTTAAAATCCCCCGCCTGGAGGATGAAGTCTGCTGAGCTGTTTGCTCTAGACATCTGTCACGGGCTCGTCGAAGTTCATTTGCAAAGATGGGAATGCTAACATTTAACCGCTTCCTTAGTCGACCATATCCCAATACGCGGGACGGTCCGACGATTTTCTTCTTCCAACAGCAATTTTTGGCGGAAAATAGCGGCTCACGAAGAAGATCCGAAGTCATGTCAGCCGAGTCCGTGGCCTCCACGCCAGGCGTGGATGAGATCGATGCGCCCTTCCCTGCGGATGACTACGCCGATAACGATGGCTTCTACTCCCCTCCTGCATCCCCCGGGCGATTGTCGCGCAACAACTCCTTCTCCAACAGCAGCTCATACCAGGAAGATTGGGAGACTTTCCCGCCACTGGACAAGCTCACCATCTTCGACTTGCTCGACAACTTCCAGCTCTCGCAGCGTTTGGAGAAGTGGCAGCAAACCATCGCCATGCAGAAGGAAAAGGTGCGCAAACAGCGGGAGAAGCTGAAGTCTTCATCTCTGAACGCCAAGGATCGCGTGATGGGCGAGTGGAAGCGCAGAGCACCGACCGCCGACGAGAAACTGGAGAAGTACCGCCAGCGGATGAACCAGGGTGTGGAACGCCTGGGCAAGCAATGGAACAAGACAGCCACGGTCACTCTGCGCGAGAAGATGTCTTTCATCGCCGGTGTTCTCAACATATTTATTAGCGGCTACTTGATCGGTGCCTGTCCGGAGAACTTTCACATCTGGTTCAGTGTCCAGCTGGCTTACTTCATGCCCATTCGCTACTTCACCTACCACGCCAAGGGATACCACTATTTCCTGGCCGATCTCTGCTACTTTGTTAACCTGCTCTGCATGCTGAGTATATGGGTGTTCCCCAACTCGAAACGGCTCTTCATCAGCACCTTCTGCCTGACGTTCGGAAATAACGCGGCTGCTATTGCTATGTGGCGCAACTCGATGGTCTTCCATAGTATGGACAAGGTAGTCAGGTATGTGGAAACACGTTGTATCTCCGACGAGGCCTTGCTAACAGAATCTTTAACAGCCTCTTCATTCACATCATGCCCCCAGTCGCGCTACATTGCATCGTGCACTTGACCCCGATTGAGCAGCTCAAAGAGCGATTCCCTGCCGTGTATAGCATCAAGTTCAGCCAGCCTTCAGATCCAGAGCATTATGGCCTCGGCGCTATGATCATTTGGTCGACTGGCCCGTACGTGGTCTGGCAGCTGCTGTACCACTTCCTGATCACCGTGCGCCGCCGTGAACAGATTGCCGCGGGCCGACCCACGAGCTTTACATGGCTGCGCAAGTCATACTCCAAGGCTTGGATCGGGCGCTTTGTGCTCAGCCTCCCCGAAGCATTGCAAGAGCCATGTTTCATGTTCATCCAGTATGGATTCGCTCTATCCACCATGATTCCCTGCCCGATCTGGTTCTGGTCCAAGTGGGGCAGTGGAATCTACATGGCAGCCCTGTTTGTCTGGAGCATCCATAACGGTGCAACTTATTATATCGATGTCTTTGGCAAGCGCTTCCAGAAAGAATTGGAGCAGCTCAAGGCCGATGTTGCCCGTTGGCAGCAATCCCCTGAAGGGACGACTAGCCCGTTACTTGTCGCTGAGCCTAGTCCGCTCAGCGAAGCTATCAATGCAGCCAGTGGGGAGAAGCGTAGCAGTGTTGACCGCATCCCATTGCTTGATACTGCCGACGCCACTTCAACTGCCGTTCCCGAGGCCGGTGCGGACAAGGTTTCCACTCTCCGAGAGCGAACTTGAATACTAGGGATATGTCTTTCACTCGTTTAATTTTGATACCCTTGCGAAGACACATGATGTATACATATGTCTATACCTTCGTTTATGCCCGTCCTTCTCTCTATACCCAACTCGTTGAAATCTTTTGATTTTTGATTTTTTTGATTTTTTGGTCAATATTGTTGGATTTTGAGTTTTGCATGTAAACATTTTGAATTAATTATCTTGCAGTACAAGATATTCAGACTGATACAATGTGATGATCTCAAATGTATTACAATACAAGCTTGTTCGAGTCACACCTATTAATATCTTCCATCCAGTTCTAGACCCGGATGCTGTTTAACCCCGAACAAACCCCGATACGGCAATCGGCAGTCACGTGCAAGATGACTGCGGCCGTACATCACAACATCTCATCGGAACCGGTTCCAGGACATTCCAACTTTTTGTAACCATCAATTTATTACCGGAAATTATCTGATTCATCAGGTGAATACACTCTTCGATCGTTGATTCCATTCGTTGTTGCGCATACGAACTCGCCCGTCGCCTTGAGCATCTACTTTTTTTCCCTCAACATTTCCCCAAATGTCCGCCACGATGAGATCGACCGGGTTGGTCCGCGGAACTCCTGCTTTCCGGTCTGCACTTATGGGTAAGAGAACTTGGATACACCGACAACATCAATGGGGAGTCTCCGCTAACTTCTTTCCCCCTGTTCAGCCCGTAATCGCTCAAGTGCTTTGAGTCCGGCCTCCGTGGCAGCCCGCAACCTCCTCCGAAATGGCCGCGACCTTCCATCTCAGATCTCAGCACTTGCCATCTTGATGCCTCAGCGTGGCTACTCTACCGAGCAATCCACATCGAACTCTTCCCAAAACTACCCTCCCCCCGGGTTCAATGCCGAGCAAGCAAAGAAGCCAATTCCCCAAGATCAGACTGCGCAACCGCAACAAGCCGTTGCCAAGAACCAGATCGAGGCCAAGACCGAGGCCAGCAAGACACAATCTACCGGAGCCGTTTCGCAGAGCAATGCCGAGGAGCAGAAAATGGTTGAAAAGAAGAGCGCCAAAAAGTTGACCCTTGGACAGAAGGTCAAGAAGGAGTTGCAGCACTATTGGGATGGTACAAAGCTGCTCGCCACCGAAGTCAAAATTAGCTCCCGGTTAGCATTGAAGATGGCCGGTGGATATGAGCTGAGTCGCCGTGAGCACCGCCAGGTTAGTTTACCAAATATTACAGAGACGATGGGATGCCTGGGGCTTTACTAACTTTGCTGTGACTGCAGCTTCAACGCACAACCAAAGATCTAGGACGTCTGGTTCCATTCTCGATGTTCCTTATCGTTCCTTTCGCCGAGCTTCTGCTCCCCGTCGCCCTCAAGATCTTCCCCAACATGCTCCCCAGCACCTACGAAGGTCAGAAGGCCCGCGATGCGAAAGCCCTGAACCTGAGCTCGACCCGCAAAGAAGTTTCCGGCTTCTTGCGCAACACCCTACGTGAGACCGGTCTGCCTCTGACCGCTGCCACCGTTAAGAACGACGAGTTTGCGGACTTCTTCCGCAAGATCCGCACCACCGGTGAATCTCCCTCTACCGAAGATGTCATCAAGGTCTGCAAGATCTTCAAGGATGACTTGACTCTCGACAACCTTTCCCGACCCCAGCTTGTCGGTATCTGCCGCTACATGAACCTGAACACTTTCGGCACCGACGCCATGATCCGCTACACCATCCGTCACCGCATGCGCCAGATCAAGCGTGATGACCGCGCGATCTTCTACGAGGGCGTTGACTCCCTCTCCGTCCCCGAGCTTCAGATGGCCAGCGCCTCCCGTGGTATCCGCACACACGGCGTGTCTCCCGCGCGTCTGCGTGAGGATCTCGGCATGTGGCTCGAGCTCCGTTTGAAGCAGGGCGTTCCCTCCACCCTCCTCGTCCTGAGCAACGCCTACCTGTACACCCAGGGTGGCAAGGAGTCCGAGATGGCATCCCAGATTGATGCTCTGAAGTCCGTGCTTTCCAGCATTCCCGAGGAGCTGTTCCACGAGATCGAGCTCGAGGTGCACAACGCCGAGGGCGCTGCAACCAACAAGCAGCGTCTTGAGGTCATCAAGGAGCAGGAGGAGCTGATTGAGGAGGAGAACGAGCAGAACAGCGAGAATGAGGGCAAGGGTGTCGCCGCGCCTAAGGATACTGAGGACATTGATGAGAAAGAGGAATCCAAGCAGGATCCTGCCTCGAGCGAGTCCAAGCAGTCCGACGAGGCTAACGAGGCTGTTGCGGAAGGTGAGCGTGCCGCCGAGACACCCGAGTCAAAGGGCGGAAAGAAGAGCGAGAGCTCTTAAGTTGATATGAATATGTTGGCGATTTGATTTATTATTCCCACCTGGGTTACATGTGTTCTATAGATGGTTGCTTTTTTTGCTTTTCTGGTTACCCTTCACTTTCTTCCTACTGTGTTAATTCTCTCTATGTCGATAGACTATTCACTCCCCACCTCTATATTTATTATCTCCCCTTTCCCCAGGTTCTTGTTCATTCCTATCTGGCGGCTACATTCCCTCTGGTTGCCTCATATTTAGCTTTGTGGACCAGACATATCAAGTGGATAGTTAAAGAACACAAACAGTAAAATAAGAAACCCATGTTCAATGAGGAGTCACCTTGGAAGAAGAATTATCAACAATCTCCAACCTCCAGGGCTTGGAATCTCCCAAAATACCCAGACGTTTGTCGGTTACATCATTAGTCACTCAACTTACCTCGGCTACTTCTCCGGCCCAACCTTGGAACCCCAACTTTCTCCAGTATACTCCGGAGTAACTGTGAAAGCGATATAAAACACTCCGAGCCCAGTCATGCGGAGACACCTTCTCCGAACCGTTCGACACTTCAGCACCACCTTGCAGAAACAGAACCAGCACTCGGAGCCCAAACTGTTCAGCCTCAACGCTAGCCCGCCCCGAACCTCCGAAGTAATGGCGCCCCTAAATCACGCCTCCCAGGTATGTGTAATATGTGTAACTCGCCATCTGCACCTTCCCGACGAAACCGCGTGTTGCCAACGCAATCTTGAAATCTGCTGTGTCCATTTTGCCATGGATGCAGATTATCCCTACCATTTTCCCCTACCGATTTCTCTCCTGCCCCTAGTATCCCCTGCTTGAAGCCACGGGTTGTCTTAAATTTGCCATGTTTATCTTTTGTTTTGCTTTTTTTTTTTGAGGGGGGATGAAGATCGTTCCCCATCGAGTGAGAGAGAACGGGGCTATGAACCCATTTGAGTTTCAACTTCGAAGTCTTACATACAGTCTTTGATGGTGATACAATATGGAACATTCTTTTCGTTCCGGAAGACCTCTGAGACTGAGACCGAGACTCTCTCCCACGCTTTTCAACAAGCTCAAACTTTCGTCTTGAATGGTGCCGAGACATCCACCTTCTCTTTTGACCTTTTGACCTGTTGACCTTGTCTCCCCGTGGATGTCCATCCCTCGCAAATGGCGTTGAAACCCAACCCCCGATGTTTATTTATTCTTTTTTTCAGCCCCCAAATCACATCGCGTGGAAAATCAAGCAAATTTACGCAGTCTGTACGAACTAGGTAGATCACCCGTTGATTTCTTGATTTCTTTTTAGGAGGCAATCACCAGACTCCGAAATTACATCCCCCCGCCAACAGCATATGACTCGGTTCCGCTCAGCAGGCGAGCGGCAGTGCTCATACTTCTGTATGCGGATGCCAAGGGTGATCTCAGGGTGGTTGTTACGATACGGGCTAAGACACTAAGTTCGTGTAAGTCTTTTTACTTTGACGCGGTCCTGTTTCTAGCTACTGGACATGGGTATGTAGTAGTTTGGGGAGCTAACCCTGTCTAGACGCAGGAGATGCTGCTTTGCCTGGAGGTAAGATATTCAAACCCTATTACCGATGAGGCACTAGAATCAAGCACAACCCCCAACCCCAAAGGAATGAGGAAAAGCAAAAAAAGAGCCCCCAAGCCCTGGACTCTAGAATGAAGAATGAAGAATGAAGAATGAAAAAGCCAGAACAGAAATAACCCCGGCACCGAAATCAAAAAAAGAAAAGAAAATAAAAAACAAACTCAATATGATTAAAATCCAACACGCATCACATTGAACATGGACCACAATCTAACCACCACCCAGGCCGAGCCGACACCGAAGAAGAAACCGCCTTCGAAACCGCCCGCCGTGAAGCAAGCGAGGAGATCGGACTCCCCGATACGGACACGAATCTCCCACCCCCCTTCCGCGTGGAGCATCTCTGCGAGCTCCCGGCCAATCTTGCCAAAACGGAGCTGGTGGTGCGTCCCTGCGTCGCCCTCCTGCACGGTTATGATCCTCACTCCGGAGCTACTGCCGATCCTGAGAAGCTCATTCCAACCCTGGACGCTAGAGAGGTTGCGGCTGTTTTTACGGCGCCGTTATCGGGGTTTTTGAAGAGTCGGTTGGGGTCGGAGGAATGGTATCGGGGATCGTGGAGTTTGTGGCATAATGAGAATTGGAAGAGTAAGTTTTGTTCTATTGTTATTGTTTCTACGGAGTATACGGAGTACCTGCTTGGTTCTTGCTCTTTTTTATTTGGGTTTGGGAATTTGCTCTTTTTTTCTATTTCGGACTCTTCTCTTTCCTTTCCTATTCTAGGTCATCTTGTGGAGTACGGGGAGGGAAATACGGAGTATACACATGGGAGTGTGGCAGGTTCTTTGTTTCCCCGTTTCCCATTTTTTTTTTTTTTTATTTTCTTATTTCGTCAAGCCCCAAAGGTCCAGAACGGTGGAGACTGACAGCGCCACTAGTGCACCAGTTCTTTGTTCGCACGAATTCCCAGGTATATCGCATCTTTGGAATGACGGGACGAATCATTGTCGACGCGGCCCGGGTTGCCTATGCGCAGGAACCAGAGTTCGAGCATAATAGCCACTTTGGAGACGAGGAGATGATCGCCAAGCTTCGTCGGGTAGGTCGATTGAGTGCCGTTCGTAAATCGTCGGATCAATTGACCCGACAAACGATGGAGAAGGCAGCCAAACTTAGTTGATAATTGGGTTGGAATAGACAGAATAAAAGGTATTAACCACAATAAAGTGACTAGACAGAATAGACCGAATAGACATGTCCAGAGGTCGGACCAATAGTAGTCTCATATAAGCGGAGCAAGGGACGATCCGGCGTCCTACAGCCTGGTTCGTTTGCCAATCGACTAAAAGTCATGTTATTTTAATTATTTTAATTATATTCCTATTTCTATTCCTATTAATCCGTGCTTCGTAATTCTGCTCTGGTAATTCTATTAATTCTAATTCCTCGATTCCTTAGGGACAACTTCTTAGGCTCCTTAGGCTCTCCTAGGCTCTCCTTGCATGTCCGTGCCCTCTTGAACTTCCTTTATTACTTATTACTTCCTCTTCCCTCTTTGTTGTGCTTCTTTTTGTCTTACACTTTCTTTGTCATGTTGTCCTTCACATATAGCATGGCACCGCCAGTCCGCCCTTCACGTTCACTCGACGGACTCGAGCGAGTTGTGCCACCACACTCGCCCTTGCCCGACTTCCTCAACAAGCCCCTCCCTGCCAGACCCGAAGAACCAGAGTCTTCGGCAATGTGGAGTGACTCCAGCGATAGTGAAAGTACCGTCGACAGCATTATTCCCAGTGAACCCCGCAACTCTGCGGACAGTTACCCCATCTTCGTCTCCGGCTCCGACGATTTCGACTTGGCTGATCAGGCTCCATCCGCCGATCATCTTACTCTGCCCACTCCACTGCCTCCACTTGACAAGTGCACGGACGCGATAGATATCGTCATCGACAAATCAACTGAGCCCGACTCAATAGCCTCCTCCCTATCAGACCAGCCTGGCCGTCAGCATTGGACTCAGAATCGGACTGGCGCAAACCATTATTTCCGCGAAAAGAAGTGGGACTATTTTCCCGAATTGGCCCCCTCCTCATTAACCGGCCGCGTGAGCCCCAACATGAGTGCCCAAAAGCCCCGCAAGAAAGGTTCCGCCCTGGAAATCGCCAAGGGCAAGTACCGCTGGCATTCTCTCGATCGCGGTGGTCTCGGTGGGGTTCGCGACTCGATTAAGACCTATGTTCACCGAACGCTTTCCCGCGATGGGCCAGCGGAGCATAAGCCTAAGGACCCAGCGCGCCCTGCCACAGCCCCAATGGATCACCACCTCGGCGACGCCTCTAGCATACTTGGTCCGAAAGGCTGGGAGCCGCAGCCGCAGCAATCTCTAGCCATTGACACCGATGCCGCCATACGGGCAGTATCTGTAGCAACATCTCCAAATATCGATTACGATTACACGAAGAAGATGTTCCATCTCCAAACGCCAGTTTCTCCCACATTCTCCAATTACCAAACTTCCTCCCCGATCTCGTCGGCATCACCCACCACGCCTCGTCAAAAGCAGCTCGCCGTCCCATTGTCACCGTACCAGAAACATGGCCCGGCGATCTGGGAGTCGGCAAAAAAGCCCAAGCGAAATGTACAATCCCCCCGATCATCGCCTTGTTCTGAACCATCCGCCTCCTCCGCCCCCGAGCTATCATTTACCAAGACTGCATCCTCCTCTCCGCCACTCAAGCAACTCCAGCAAAACACCCGCGGGGTTTTCATGGGGGCGAAAAAGAAAATTGTGGAATCAAAGGAGGATCGCAGAAGAGAGCAGTTGAAGGCACAGATCAAGCTCGTCGGTCCTGTAAACCCTCACACCTATGCGCGATCTGATCCATGGGTTTGAAGCATTGGTCATCTATTTTTTGATTTCTTTTTCACATTGCGATTTTGCCTTTGAATTTGTTCATTTTGATTTTTCTCCTTGTTCTTCAGCACTGATTTCTACTCTCACGACCTCTCATGACACCATCATACCCTGTCTGTCGATTCAATTTAGCTTACTGGCTTACTTCATTTCTGCGTGGCTTTCTGCTCACTTTCCCCGGCTGCTTGTCTTCATACCTGACTTACAAAGTCCTCCAATCTCTCCTTATCATCACTTTTATTTCATTCTACCATTGTGAACTCGGTTGGGCGGGGCCTTTTCTTGTTAGCATAGACATGTGGTTGTCACCACGCGAGGACTTTTGATTTTACCGAAATTGAATCACTGGCCATGCATTAATCCTGCAATCTGAATATTCAATTCTTGTTCACCTACTTCGTATACTCCGTATCTCTGTTTTAGTCTTGCAAATAATGCTCCATAAACTCGGCCTTGCATAACCAATCAGCTCAATCACTTCCAACCAAGGCTTGACAATACCTTGCCCACCTGGGCAGGAGATGGAAGATCGTAATCTTAACCTTCAAACTTTGAAAGAAAGCCTGCAAGACAGACTAACTATATCATCCCATGGTATAGCAGCTGGAATGCAAGTTCCCTTACTTACATAGACATATGTGCAGCACAGACAACCACCAACGCTGATCGTCGCAAGTCAATTACCCCAGTCCAGTTTAATACATGACTGCCTCGTCTAATTTAAACCCCGCAGTTAGCAACGGTGGCGTTTGATCACTAGCATACACATACACATACATGCTTTGACTGCCTAGCTATGCACCAAGTCAACAAACCCTGCTGGGCCTGGATCCTTCTACCAAAAGCATGCATAATCAAGGACGACAGCAGCACCAAGAAATCTTGGAAAAACAACACCAACCTACCAAGCCATACTAATCCAAAGTCAATCCATGTGTAACCAATCCCTCGTGTCGACGCACAGCGCGAACTGGCGGTGTCGGAGCCCATATGAGCTGAGCTGTTCTGCCAGAAAGTCACACAATACTCCGTACATGAGACACCTGTCTAGCTTTGGGTACAAAAGAGGGACGAGGGACCAGGGACAAGGACCCCCCCGCATTCGAGACTGGGGGGGCAGACAGTTGTCACCGACATTTGGCACTTACACACATTTTGCTGTACCTGTGGGTCAATGCGCGTTGTGCGCCGCTAGTCAACTTTGATCGCGGCGATGGGTCATAATTCTACGAAGATCTAGATCGGATGCCTAATGCATCTGTTTGCAGAATGTCGTACATGAGACTCGGCTGGTGTTGCGTCATAGCCTTTTCGGCCGTTCGGTCTTGGGGCTTTTAGGTGGCTTCGGCGATCTTGACCGTCATTCTTTTGGGCGTCGGTGATTTCCGGCTTGAGGGGGTGGGTGGATATATTGCCCAGGTGGCTTTTGTTGTGATATCTTATTGATATATGTTGTTCTCCGCAGATTGCATTGGAAGGGTCCTTGTTCTCCATAACTAAGTCTGCGGAATATACTCCGTACAGAACCCCCGAGGTCGGGAAAACTCCGTATGGATGCTCATTTTCATTTTTTGAGACAGATATTTTCGGAACTCCCGAGGTCCCCTCGGCACATTATGCCATGTATCCGTGGACACATGGCAGCCTTTGGGCATTAAGACACTCGAGATTTCAACGTTGCAAGGCCTAACCTTGGAAGGTTGGATCAGGCTCATGTAATTAACAGCTGAGCACTACTTCTATTCCCGAGGTCAGAACGAGTCGGCTCCTACTCCACCGATAACATTGGAAGCCCTGGAGTTGATTACCTCGGTGTTTATCGGAGCAAGGGATACGTAGGTAATCACGCTACTCTTTGGTACGGAGTATCAAGGAATGGGCTCACCCACGAGCTCCCAGTGTCGTTGTCTATTTTCTTTTGGATTCTATACACTGATGGGGCTTTCAATGTTGACATCCACAGATACTACGAAGTACCGAGTAGATAGAAACCGCCGAGATAAGCTTTTAGACTTTTTTGTAACCATGGGTCAAATATCGATGACGCGCTCACTTTCCCTCCATCCATATTGTGGGGGAGCCGTCTAAGTACATCGCCATTGTATTGGTTTCCAGCACATGAGAAAATATGTTTAGTATGACGACGTCTGCGCAGGTGGCTATGATTGCTAATTTAAAGACGCTCATCGAACATCAACCTCCACACTTGCAACAATTTCAAAATCAATAACCACATTATATACTACCACCTCAGTTCCAACCCACAATGTCTGATCGTATGTGCAAGTTCAAGTCACCGAGATAGCCAGACACAGAAGCTTATAGTACTCGCAGAGCCCAAGCACCGCAAGGGAAGCTTTGGAGGCTTCATGGACCGCATCCTCCATCCTGGTACCCATGAAGAAAAGGAACACCTTGCCGAGAACGCGGGTGAACACGAGCCTCAGCACGAAGGTGAGGCAAAGAAGGAAGGTGAAATGGACAAGGTCAAGGACTATATTAAGAAGGATGAGGAGATGGAGGCAGAGGGCAGAACTTATGGAGACTTGATGTGAAAGCTAGGGGACTAATTTGAGACCCGGGTATTGAGATGATTCTGAAGGTTCCGAATAAATTGTAATGAAACGAAATGAAATGATAACAGTTGGATTATACCTGAGTACTTGCTCTGAATTCGGAAGATTGAGTTGAAGTCCGATATGAAGCCAACCCCGCAACTTGGGAAAATTACCCCGGATTTTGAGTGTCCACTTTGCCTGCACTTCAATCATGGCAGAGATCCACACAAATGTGTTGATTTGTTTGAAACGCTTCAAATTCAATGCTTCGTACACTACACAAAAATACCCCATTCAACGAGTACTCCCCTGGGAGCTTTACGTGCTCCACGCGACACCCATTGTTCGCGGAGTGGCTGAAGTGATAATAGGATGTCTAACAATCTGTTCCTCAATCGAAATAGCGAAAAGAACCAAACGAGCGCTTGACCCTTTTCACCTTTCTCGGTATACGAAGCTGGCCCACAATCCCCGCGCGGCTTGGCACTCGGCGCAGATATCAAGCCGTGCCCCTAGGCTTGGCTGACGGTGGCAGCGGGCGAAGGGACTGATGTCCTCTAAAGAATGGCTATGAATGGCTCGGTAGATATCATGCCCGTGCATAAGCTTCTTTTTCAAGCTCTTGGTTTCGCGAAGCTCCTCCCTAGAAATGCGGGGAAGCGCCGCTCCCTCGATGATGATTTGTTGAATGAGGGAGAAAAGCATGGACCGCGGCCATTTGTCCGCCCCTGGCACTGATTCGCCTGGACTGTACTCAGCGAGAGGCCGCTGAGAGGTTAATGAGAATGAGTGACGGCTTCCCCTACTGGGAAATCGATCGACAGGTATTGGGGTAGGTCAACCAAGTATAAAGATAGCGTCCCATCATCTCGCATTAGCCGAATGAGTTGACGAACTTACAATCACCATGAGAAATCATATGGCGGCCGGGTGGTTTTATTCACCCAGCCAAATCGTTCGATACTTTGCGACACGCGCCTCGAGTTTGAAACCACCGAAGGTAGATTCGCGCTGCTCGAAATAAGACCAGCATCAATAATGCTGATCAGATCCATCATTTAGAACCAGTTGAGGAACCCGATTGCGATTTTGCGCGAGCTGACATCGCACCAATGGCTCATGTTCACAGCTGGGTTTCTGGGATGGACGTGGGACTCGTTTGACTTTTTCACCGTGTCTTTGTGTATCACTGAGATTTCAGAGTCATTCGGTGTATCTTATTCTGATGTCTCTTGGGTAAGCTCTAATTCCCGAGGTCCCCGTGGGAGTGTCGGAGAACTGACGGATAGAAGGGAATGACTGTCACGCTCATGTTGCGCTCAGTTGGGGCGATTATTTTCGGAGTTCTGGCAGACCGCTATGGGCGCAAATGGCCAATGATCATCAATTTGTTCTTGTTCATCGTTCTTGAGCTCTGCTCTGGGTTCTGTCAGAATCTGCCTCAGTTTCTCGGTGTGCGGGCCCTATACGGGATTGCAATGGGAGGTAGGTGGCCAGTCCCTCGTCACTTGATCTCCTTTTTATTAACGATTTTCAGGCCTCTTTGGCCCGGCAGCCGCGACTGCTTTAGAGGACCTTCCATATGAAGCACGTGGACTTCTCTCCGGCTTGTTCGAGATGGGTTATGCCACTGGATATCTCCTTGCCGCGGCTTTCTACCGAGCCCTTGTCCCAACGACCAGCCATGGGTGGAGAAGTCTGTTCTGGTTCGGCGCAGGGCCACCATTGTTAATCATCATCTTCCGCTGGTACCTGCCGGAAACGAATCAATTCCAGGTCATGAAGGCAGAGCGTGAAGCACGGGCAAATGCAGGAAGTGGTGATACCGCCCGCGCGATGGGTCTGAAGGTGTTTCTGCGCGATGCAGGGCGAGCTCTGCGTGAGAATTGGGTCCTCTTCATCTATCTCATCGTTCTCATGACTGGATTCAACTCCTGCTCTCACGGCAGTCAGGATTTCTACCCCACGTTCTTGAAAGACCAAGTCGGAATGGACGCAACCCAAACCACTGTTGTGACTGTCGTGGGTCAAATCGGTGCCTTGATTGGCGGCTGTACGATCGGGTACATCAGTACTTTCTTTGGTCGCCGTTTGACCATGCTGGTCTCCTGTGTCTTTGGAGGCGCCATTATCCCCGCGTATATCCTTCCGCGGAACATGTCCCTTGCAGCTTGTGCTTTTTTTGAGCAATTCTTTGTCGGTGGTGTCTGGGGCCCCATGCCAATCCATCTTCTCGAGCTCTCACCGAATGCATTACGATCTCTCATGGTCGGACTCACCTACCAGCTTGGTAATCTTGGCTCTTCTGCCTCGGCCACGATCCAGTCAATCATTGGTGAGCGCTTCCCACTCCCACCGGGGCCAAGTGGCAAGGTACGGTTTGACTATGGCAAAGTCATCGCCATATTCATGGGCGCTGTGTGGGCTTTCATTTTGTTCTTCCTCTTTTGGGGACCCGAAATGTCCCAGGAAGAGCGAGACGAAGAGGCCGAGGCTGCTTTGCAACTGGAGAGCCTCCGCAAACAAGGAGTGAGTCTAGCAGAGATTGGGCAGCATCAAGTCAAGAAGGAAGCGAGCACTGAGAAGGAAGAAGAGCAAGCCCATGTCGAGCACGTGTAGATAGTGTAGATAGCAGATAGCCGATAGCGTCGATAAGGCCGATAGGTAAATGCCAAGACAACCGGCCCCGCGATTCACCGGGGGTCCCTTCGGGTATGTCCCTAATGTTCATCTCCTCCGAACTGACTCATTGCTTCCGTTAACTCCGTACTCGTCTTTCTGTACTTTACCTGTTGTTGGTGTTTGATCATGGCGCAAGAATCGCAAATTGCACCCCGCTACCTGAGCGGCGACAAGCCCGCGATCCGCAAATTCTTGGATAAGTTTGATGTACACAGAATACCTCGGCTTCTTCTAGCTTGCATTTGCTGACTGGGTCGTCTTTAGGTATTCCTATTTGACTGCGATGGTCTGTAACCCACGTTGCCTCGATCCGAGAATCACCTCTGCGATCCCCACGAGCAATCGTCGCATCGCAACAACAGCTGAGACAATGATCGTTTAGGAGTACTCTGGTCCGGTGATCACCTCTTCCCTGGGACCGTTGAGACATTGGAATTATTGCGCAAAAATGGTACGGCCCAGCAACTGGATGAATTTGCCAACAAAGCTTATAAGCCCGACAGGAAAGCAAGTGGTTTTCGTGACAAATAACAGCACCAAGTCGCGCGCCGACTACCGCAAGAAGCTTGAAGGATTGGGTATTCCCAGTACAGTGGTGAGTTGCTACCAATATGCAGAATATGTGCATACCGAATCAAAATAGCTCACAACCACACAGGAAGAGATCTTCTCCTCGTCGTACAGCGCGTCCATCTATATTTCCCGCATTTTACAGCTTCCCGAGAACAAGCGCAAGGTCTATGTGATTGGCGAGACCGGAATTGAGCAAGAGCTCGGCTCCGAGAACGTAAAGTTCATTGGTGGTACAGACCCTGCGTACCGCCGCGATATCACCCCAGAGGACTACAAGAGAATCGCTGCGGGTGATGAGTCCCTATTGGACCCCGAAGTTGGAGTGGTGCTCGTCGGCCTTGACTTCCACTTCAACTACCTTAAGATGGCGCTTGCGTACCATTACGTGAAGCGCGGTGCGGTGTTCCTCGCCACGAACATCGACTCCACTCTGCCAAACTCGGGAACTCTCTTCCCCGGTGCCGGCTCAATGAGCGCGCCTCTGATCATGATGCTTGGCCAGGAGCCTGTTGCTCTTGGAAAGCCCAGTCAAGCTATGATGGACTCCGTTGAGGGCAAGTTCAAGTTCGATCGTAGCCGCACGTGCATGGTCGGTGACCGTGTCAACACGGATATTCGATTTGGTCTTGAGGGCAAACTTGGTGGCACTCTAGGTGTGCTGACTGGTGTCTCGTCGAAAGAGGAGTTCGTGTCTGGAGAGATCAGGCCTCACGCTTATCTGGATAAGCTTTCCGACCTGCTCGACTCCGAGTAATTTATGTAGATATGTTTAACATATAGATTCTGGCTTATGCATATTCGAACGCTGCTTCAATCATAGAGAGCTTTGCTTTGTGCTGAATTGAAAGTGTCCAGTAAATCACCGCATGCCTAGGTCCCACGGGTACCACAACCTTAGCAAGAATGAGTCCAAAAAGTCTACACCACAAGGGTAGCAGTTCAGCGCCCGCAATTTCCAGTCTCAATCTCAATTGACCATGGCCGATGTGGAGATGTCAAAAACTTGATTCGTGTGCGCTCTCAAGTTGGAAAATTCATTGGGTCCCAAAAGTGTTGGCAAGTATAGCCAAGGGTCAATATCGTATTTAGATAGAGTGCAACGCCAAGGGGCCACCGTCATGAAATGAGGGTAGAATCTCTTCATTCCAATTGACAACTATCAAAAATAAGCAAGGGTTTTAACAAAGGCGGCATTTTTATCCGCCTTTCTTTGTCTAACAAACGCAAACCGTGGGAGGCACGCAATATTTCAGGCTCTTGTCACCTTCTGTAGATTATATGGCTTAGATCATATCACTGGAACTGCCACTAGATTTCCCCGAGAACCTTCGAAATCATAACTTGTCATATGTCATATTCATCATACATTCCGCCAGTTCAAGAGGTAATATTTTGAGCGGGATTCCCGGCCCGAACATTTTACTCGGGGAAGTGGCAAACTGTGTTATTCCAAGGTTCAATTCATGGCCGCATATCGTAAAATGCGGAAGAAAAATTCCTAAATCCGGGGACTCAACCATTCGGATGTCATCTATAGGCCTGTCTCGAGTCGGCCAAGATCTCGTATTACTTAACATCAGACAAAAGCATTCTCTCGGAAAGACCAAATGCAGACAATTTGGCAATCTAGAACTTGGATCTTCCTCGTAATTCCAGGATCAAACAAAAACCTGGTTAGAATCAAATGATCATGTCGATCTATGGACATCGTGGTTCAGCCAACTCCAAAATTAGACTGATCTATAGGATGTGAGCGAGCTTCGACTACCTTGTAGGAGAATTATACCTATAAAAGAGCTCAACCTCCCGGCCTTTCCAATTCTCAGATACAGCCAATCTTGAACTCAGATCAAAACATTCTCAGATTCTACGAGATATTTCTCAATCACACTATCAATAGTCAACCATCATGAAGTTTGACCTCCTCACCTCCTTCTTTCTCGCCTGCCTCACCACGGCTGCTCTTGCCGAGCCTAGCAGCTACCACGTGGACGAAGTGACTGTCCAGCTCGCAAATGACCAGTCGGGCGCCAATGCAAACGTCGATGTTCCAGCAGATGGCAAAAAGCGATCAATTGACTCTCTGTGGGGACACACTGCTGTTGCAAGGAAGGGTGTGGTGTACGCGTCAAGTGCACAGCTCACCAAGTTCCAGGAAGACACTCACTGTAAAATATTTGGAGAGCACCACCTCGATGCCAAGCTCAATTCTAGGCAGACTTGGGTTTCCTTGAAAGGTGGCGCGGTGGTGGCTTTGAAGGATGCTTACATCGTCTGTGATGATGATTAGATCCTCTACCAGCAGCTATGGTAAGTCTACAGCGTGTCCAATATTCACCGATTCCCTGCTAACGGTCTCGAAGGGGCGCCTGTGGGGTCCGGCACACATAGGGACACTCTTGCTTGGGCCTTGTGGAAAATATCAATATCGCAAACTGGATGGAAATAATGGGAAGACCGACGTAATTACTGAGAATTTGGGTCTGGTTTGGATGTTGACCTTAAAAGGAAATACCGTGTCATATATTTTCTCGAAGTGAATAGGTATGTTCATGCTTATTGGAGATGTTGTTAGCATCATAAAAAAGAATGGGCACATTACACCGAAGTAGCTGTGAATGATCCTTGCAGCAATAAACATTCAACCAAAAAACAAGCAAGTAGCAGGTCACAAGCATTACTGCCGCGCTCACGCGCGGCCATAAGACAATCATAGTTGGTCCTAAACAGGAGTAGTGATGTATTGACTTGATTTGAGAGGTTCCTATCTTTAATCCTTCTATCCAAACCAGAGTTGATCAAAATTTACCAAATGCTATAACTTACATTTATTAACTATATGATGATACTATTGTGTAAATCATATCTAGATATCAAATTTGACTATCTTTTTGGTTCTTATTTTAGCTGTCTTTTTAGCTACCATTCCAAATATTTACTACCTATTCTATTGGCATTATTACTTCCTTTCTTTATTTAGTAGACCTTAGAATCAATTGGTAACAGGAGAAAGCTATTGTCACGTAGTTATGACCGGGATTGGTCCGCCAAAGAAAGACTTGGCTAAGCCGTGAACCGAGGATTAGGAGTTGGAGATCCAGCAGCCTCACCTAGGCACGTTCAAAATCCAAATATCTACCTACCAGGTGCCACGCGCAACTGAGTTAAAGATGCACTTGAAACAAACCCTAGAGAACTATTCAAACTAATCAGCCTCACAGATACCTCCAAGCTGTTAACTAGAGTCATGGATGTTTTTCACAAACATACCTAAGCCGCGGCTGCCACTTCAAAATACATCTTCACCAGTTGGAAAAGAGCAAAACATTACTACTGATAGATGCAGCAAACGCTGCAAGACATAAGTATTCAGACCGTAAAGGCAAAAGCGGACGGGAAAAAGAAGAGAAAAGTAAGAGAGCAAAAGTAAGAGATCAGTCCTGTTATCCATATTGCTCGGCTATCTTATATGCCTTTATACCTCTTATAGAGCTAACATCTTTTCGAAAGATCCATCTCTCGAAAGTATCAACCCTTGGTACATGGTTACAATTTAAATCATTCTTTGCCCTGTGGACAGCACTGGATTTTCTTAATTTCATATTTTAGAAACACGCTCGAAAAGGTTGTTTACCATTAGGGCTTTGACGTCTCCGTAGATCCTGCAGCCTCCTTCGATGTCCCCGTAGAGTCAGTGGCCTCCTTCAAAGTCTCAGCTTCAAATGTATCTTCTTTCAGGCAACGACATAACTCCTTCACCCAAGCGCTTGCTCTTGGGACATCCATTGTAAAATCCAAAAGCATTCGCTTTCCAGTCTGCCAGAAAGAATTACTTCAAGCTCAGAAAGAGTGAAGATTCCACACTGCGGGAGGTGTACCACGAGAACTTCTTCAAGAGCAGCCCTCGCTCGCAGGTCTCGCTCAGTTCTGCCACCAAAAGACTCTATCCTGGCGATAACAACATCGGTCATCGGTGTCTCTAATTCGGTTGTATTTGCTTTGGCACTATCGAATTTCGTGAAGATGCAATCCAGTTCCTTTGTATGTTTGTTGTATGGAAGGTCTGCTGCAGCTGCTGACGCCATAATAATCGCGATGCTCTCTTTCCAGTCCAAAGGAGCCGGTACCTCACATTGGTCCAGGACCATCAACTTATTTAAAGAGCATTCCCCATGGAATTCCTTTTTCAAGGGCTCTCAACCCCAGAAGAAATGTTAGATTCGGTTCTAACTCAGGCGCGGCATCCTTGGGCAGCTTGAAAGCAGAGCTAAGCCGGAGCTCATCATTGATGATGAGAGACGCTAGAAGAGCAGTAGAGCTTCTTGAAACGCCTAGTAAGCAGTGAACAAGTGTTATCCCGTTACTTCTTTTTTGCCTCAGCGTCAAATACGGAAATGTCGTAAAACCATGGACCAAGTCGCTCAGTAAGAGTATCCTTTACTGGGATTTGCATATAGATAAACTCATCTGGGAAAGTATTGTTATACTTATAGGGCGTATTGAGTATATGAGTGATCCCATGCTGTTGCAGCTCCGAGAGGCTGGATACAAACTCATAGCCACTAATGTGCAAGTGATCTGTAACTTTAGACATGGTAGTCTTCGATGGCAGTACGGCGTGATTATAAGCTGAATCTAAAATCTCCGTGGTTTGTCTAAGGATTGAGTTGAACTGGTCAAGATCCCCGATGGGCAGGTGGGCAGGTAGTGACGTGTCGGAAATCACAAGACACAGTATATCAACAAAAGAGCACAGTAGACATATATGATATTATATTAAAAGAGAGACGAGGAGAAGAAAGAGAGAGAGAGAGAAGCTCTCACTATCTACACCTGCGGGGAGCCTGACAAACCAGGCAAATACCAAACACAGCGTCGACAATGAATCAAATCTATACCTGGGCACTTCCATGCACTTACCAAGGAGGATGTGCACCTTCTCTAGTCTCGCGGTTAAGCCAAGTGACACAGGCAAATCCGATATAGTAAGCAAAGACCATGCGATAAAATCAGCACCCAAGATGATCCATCGTCCTAACTTTTACGGAGTAATATTGGAATACTAGGAGGTATTCCAAAAACGATTAACTTAAAGCCTACTTATTGCGTGTCGCGTTTAGCAAAATTTTCAACCTCTAGGTATTGTATGATACTGTTTCTCTTAGTATATTTGCTAATGCCCCATTATCAAAATGTCAACCCAACCTTTCGATTGCTTAGAAGCCCTGGAGGGTTGCATTGCATGGTGCCCAGGTGCCACACCAATGAGCAAACATCTTCAATAACTCAGCCTCATCCCAAAATACAAGCAAATTTAAGTGATTAAAGCCAACCATGAGGGAAAGATTTCGAACAACTCAAACCTTCTTTCGAGAAATTGGACTTGGTGTCTTTCCCTGGCAGATTTGAAAGCGTTATATCCTCCAAGGACCAGTAGCAATACAAGCTCAAATTATAAACGTATACAACTCCAATTCACCAGTCGTACATTAAACAGGTAAGCTATCATCTTTCTTGAGATGCCCGTAGACATTTCTTTACAAACCACAGACTGATATTCATTGAGACTACTGCTCAAATGACCTCCTATCCACCCATGCTTGAGCCAGGCAGAATACATCTTCATGATGAATACCGCATATTCAAGATGCGTGACGGTTGGACCAAAGCTCCCGTTAGGATCGACTCTCTTTGGCCTGATACATGGCGCCTTCTGATACCCCAAGGTGAGACGTAGTCAAGAGGCAACTTTCTGAAGGCCGTAAGGGGACGCAGCCCCGGGGCTGGTCGAAGGCCTAGCAGATGTTAGAAAAGTTATTGTTGAAGTCCGTGGAGAATTAGATATAGAGTACTCTCTTTTTCTCCCTCTTTTCCTCTCTCTCCGTCTGTCTGTGTACAGTACATTTCGAAACTGGTGTCGCCACTTGTACTTTCTAATTTTTTATCAAAGCCTAACTGCCAAGACTGACTAGGGGTCTCCTCTGCCAGCTCAGCCTGTATTGTTTCTTAGGCATAATACCCACAACATAGGGCGGGGGTGCATCCCCTTGTAATATTAACGCGACTGATACCTCGATACCCCGCTTTGAGAGCCGCCCAAAAGTCAAGATTCTAGCTAAAGCTATGGCCTAGAAATTACCATGAGCAATGTCCTCTTCAAACCACTCTGGGCTGGCCGTGAACCCATAATCGGCCTCGAATTCGCTTATTTTCATCGCCATCAGCATGTCCTCGGGTTGAAATCCTCCTGGTGGCTGGCCCAAAACCCTGACAGGGGCCGAGTACCAACACAGGCGACAGCGATCCTCCTCAAGATCCCTCGAGGAGAGTATTTGGGGCATAGGTAGCGGGGGTACCTTTAATGTACACGGCTCGCACATGCGGCAATACCTACAGTATCGTCCATATCGACATCTCTCTCGACATACAGCGCAGAGGAATTCCTCATGGCCATCCACCTTGAGAGGTTGACCTGGTTGATACATCATGTTGGAGCAGCCGCAATCGAGGCAAAATCGACGGTCATTCTCGATGTGGCCTTTTCCGCGCTTGGCTTTCAGTTGCTTATCGGCAAATGCATTTCCGGGTCGAAGTTTCAAACATATTCTGCAGGAAAAGAGGTCATCATATCTGGAATAATTAGTACCTGGAAGATAGGTTGATCGGCATAGCAAGACTTTGCCCTGTTGGGAAGCACTTGCGTTGGCCATAGTTCCATAACAAGTAGAAGCGATAGTTTCTCTTCCCCTGTCGAAGGCGGCTTTGTAGGAACAATATTCCTGAAAATTCGGCTTGTGTGTAAAAGTGCAACAGATGAAGGGTAATCAAGAAATTTTATGATATGTAACTTAAGCTCAGTCGGCAAATCTAGTAGCGTAGTAGTAGAGATACTCATGGCGATTAGCTCTCTATTTGTTGATTTGATAGAATCGAAGATGGGGCAAATTAGGAAGAAGTTATGTAGCGGAGCAAAAAAGGCTCTTGGGTAGGTTATGTTTCCCCCCCTGTCGAGAAAATAGTGACGTGGATGGTTTTTCGAGGGCCTTGAAGTGTCCCGCATATAGACGATACGAGCGAGCATACTCCGTACAGTACAAAACAAGCCATTCTTTACCTCATTCCGAACTGGGCTTCCCGATTTCTCTTCCATTGGCTGCCATTTTGGGCACTTCTTGCCTCTGCGTGGCTGAATCGACCTGTGCTCTTGGGAGCATGTAAACGTTCCCCTCTTCACTCACTACCCCTCTGGTATAATAATATCTGTAAAAGGCAACACGATCTCTGCTGGCTTGGATTTCGGGGAATTTCTAAGGATGTACTAGTGTAGCTTGGGAATCAGAATCCGAGCAGTACTCCGTATACATGGTAAGCTAAGACTGCCACTTGATCACACAGCAGAATCCAGATTATAAGATAACAAGAACGGACGGGGAAAAGAAGAGAGAGAGATAGGGAGAGGGAAATCTAGCCAGGCTTGTCATCTATGCCACCTGACCATCCTACGCCCCAGCAGGTTGTCAAAGTGATCCAGAGGAGAGGTGATGAAAACCCCAAATAGAATGAATACAACAAATAGAAGGGTATCATTTTGATTCCATTTTGACAAAAACTAATGCTATAAATTGCATCCAACGCCTCGAAAATGTGGGCCATCCCAACCCTAAACGCCGTCTATTCATTCGACATAGTCTTCGGGGTTGGAAGCAAGCCCTAGACCTCTGTGTGATTTCGTGGAGTCCGTTCAGTTTCCACGGAGGATACCAGCGATCCGTAGCGTCAGATCTAGCATGGAAAGATGCTCGTCAGATCCATCAACAAGCCGCTTGTCCATCTCAGAGAAGAGCATGACGATCTTGTTCTTCTGAATATCAGGTATAGTCTCGCTGAAAACGACGTTTTGGTAGAGCTGGATCTTGTCAGTATATAGGTATAAAAAAGTAGAAATCGAGAATACAAACCTGTCCAAGAACCTGCGTGGCACTCCAACCATCCGCCACAAGATCCGTAATAACCTTCGACACAGCCTCATATGCCGAAGCCCCGCTGGTAGGCTGCATAGCCTTAACAAGCGAGTCGATAATACTATCCGGCACAACACCAGCAATCTCTTCGATACTCTTAATAGTAATGAGACGGCTAGATCCCGCATCAGTCATCTCGGCATCATCATCAGCATCCTTGCTCGGAGCATTCGCAGCGCCAACAAGACGCGCCGCACTCTGCAAGTAAGTGATTGCACGACGCAAATCACCCTCACCGCACCGAATAAGTGTATCAACAACACCATCCTCAAGCTCCAAGCCTTCCTGCTCGGCAATATTAGCCACGCGCGAGCCCGCAGCGCTATTATCCAGCATCTTGAAGCGGAACTTGCTGCATCGACTTGCGAGTGGCTCGATAATGCGTGTGACATAGTTGCAGACAAGACAGAAACGGGTAATTCGACTGTATGTCTCCATTGTGCGACGCAGCGCGGACTGCGCGTCTTGTGTCATGCTGTCTGCCTCGTCGAGGATGATGATCTTGAATGGTGGGCATGGGTACTGGGCGCGGTAGGCAGCATCTAATCCTGTTGGCTGTGAGAGCTGGGCACGAGCGAAGTTCTTTACTTTGTCGCGGACGATGCCGATGCCTCGCTCGTCGGAGGCGTTCAGTTCTAGGATGCGGGAGCGATAGAGGGCGGGGCCGAAGAGGGACTTGGCGAGGGCGAGGATGGTGGAGGTTTTACCTGTTCCCGGGGGTCCGTAGAACAGCATATGGGGAAGCTTGAGGTGGATTAATACGTTGATTCATATGTCTGGGGTTGGGTGGCTCACGTTTGAAGCTTGAAGGGTGCGCTGGAGGACTTTGGTGGTGTGTTCTTGCGCGGCAACATCGTCGAGAGACTTAGGTCGGCTGTGAAACATCAGGATATTGTCCAATATGCAATTGATCCGGTATTGACGTACTATTTTTCAACCCATGGCTGGAGTCGAGTTGAGTCTTCCTTGTTTTCGCCGGCCTTGGACTTGGAGCTGCTGGATGCCGCGACAGCTGCGGCACGGGCTTTGTTATTGAAGAATGAGGCAGCCATGATCCCGAGAGAGCTCTAATCAAGTAGGGTGTGTGATATCTCAGAGCTAGTTTGCGATGCGGTGAAGTTCTTCGCTCCGACGCCCTCCACAAGACGCGTCTCCACGTGACACGCGCAGCACTTAAACACATTGGCCAATCAGAGCAAAGCGTTCTACTCCAGTTTACTGTCGAGTCAATTCTGCAGTGGAAATGGAATGCATTCATGATTGCATCAGGTATCATTATTTTATGTATCGCACGCTATAGCTCATCTCGTACTTGCTCTTCAACTTCAGCCTCAAACATCCGCTTTTTCGGGTTTCGAGGGAGTTCTTCCTGCCGCGCTCGTTCTTCTGGTGTGATATCGTCGATATCCACGCCCTTGTAATTTTCCTCCTCTACCATTTGTCCAATCTTATCAATAACACGGTCACTATCGATTGGTGCGGAGGGCTCGTGGTCCCAAGCAGTGCTCCCTGGGGTCACGGTCCCAGTCACAACCGCCGTGGCCGTGTCTTGGATGGCCGAAGTGAGCCCGCTGGAAAGCGACCCTGAAACAGACTGGACAGCCGTGCTGGAAAGACCAACCGCGCCAGTCGTCGCAAACAGAACTCGGGCGACCAGTTTCAGAGGCTGCCATACCAACCACCAAAGTGGCCCGTAGAACACCCGCCTGAAGAGAAGCCAGCTAATAGTCGCGATCAAGATATAAAATGCAGTTTCCAGATACCAAGTATCGGACTTTTGAGAGCGAAGAAGGGAATTAGCAAGACTGCGTGATGAAGAGAGAAGTGTGTCGAGGCCACTATAAGACTCGGATAGTGATGAGATTGCGGCCGTCGATTGATCTGCAAAGGGCTATAAGTGCATGTTCCAATAAAATGCGAGAATGAAAAGCACCCACCAAGGGTTTCTTGAGCAAATTGACTGCGAGATAGCTCCGATTGCATCAGTTGATGAGTTCGGCGCAAAGCCGATGTAACATCATTAGAGGCATTCAGAACAAGGTCGTCATGAGTAAGCTTCTCCGAAGGTTGTTTCTGCTCAGAAGTACTGGATCTGGACAGCAGAATATCTTTCTCCTTCCGCTTGGCCAGCTCCGCATTACGCTTGGCTTGTAGTTGAGCGTTTCGGAAGTCAGTTCGGGTCCTGAGATTACCCAAGTTAGCAAGTTTTGCAAAGTGAACTTGGAGGAGATTGACCGCGATTGTCTATATGCAAGCTCAGAAGCATAGGGTTACCAACCTCTTAAGATCCTCAGCTAAACGCCCCGCCATTGCGACAATTCGCTCCTTTTCAGCCTCTCTTTCCCCATGCACAGCAGAAACCTTTTTCCTTGTATCATTTCCAATCCCCAAGGCCTCGAGTTCCACTCGCAATAGCTCCAACTCTTGTTCGGCATCTTTCAGTCGGGAGTGTATTTCGGCGCCGAGCTCTAAGCGCGCTTCGTCGCCCTGTCCAATAGAGGCTGTAAAATCATGCAGGCGGGTCACTAGGGGCCGGATATCTGCCTGGGCGGCTGAGAGCTCTTTCAGGCGGCCTTGGAGGGCTGTCGTGGGGGACATGTTGCGATAAGTGCTGGTGGTGATATCGCGTGTCCGAGAACAGAACCAGCTAAGCCAGCGTGATCTGAATTTTGTCAGAGGTAGCTGGATCTTATCTCTGACTATTGGGAGTAAAGAGTTGTCTCACAGAAGTGAAGTTGTCCAGCGGAGTTGCCATGTTGACGGGCGTCATTCGACCAATTGATGTTTGCATCTTAGACAAACATATCCCATCCTCCTCATCCGCAACTCGCATCGGAGGTTCTAGTTCGAATAGAACCTCGAATTGATCGCGCGCAATTCTCTGCTGGTCCCATTACGTTTATCCTCGCCTCTCTCCAACTCATCTCCGTCGCAATCACCCCCGAGACCCCGTCTGCCACTGCAACAGGATCCACAGCCGAAATACACCACCTTTAAAAAACTTCCCGCGGATCCTCAATCCAGGTACGCAACAGAACTCCGAGTTGAGGCACCGGCTCCTCCCATATTTCAAAGTAACCAACACGTCTTCCAGTCAATTTCCAATTATTTGACTCGACCGTCAAATCCCACCGCAAACATGACCATCCCCGTCTCCACAATAGCCTCTTTCCGAACGGCCTACAACCCCTTCTCGCGCGCCGCAAGGCCCTGCCGTCTCTTCCTTAGCATGCTCCGGACCCCCGATACCATTCCCACCAGCAGCCCAACCCACATTGATATCCAGGTGAAGCAACTGCCGCGCACCTCGACCGAGTCGCCTACCATGACTGTTGGATTCAAGGGCGGCAAGGAACTCACGCTGGACGTTGGAAAGCGCGGACTTAAGATTGGCGATATTATTGAAGAGGTTTCTCGCGTGGGCAGAGCTTTGCAGCGTGAGGCTAGTTTGAAGAACTAGTGGGTGGAAATGCTGTTGTGTTTTTCGAGCTGTGCATTCGTGTATTATATTATATCTATATCTCATTGTATCTGATGATTTGGCGCTGTTGGGCATATGTTCGAACTATTTTGCATGGTACTTGGGGTAACATGCTGGGGTGACTTGTAGGATGTAGGTATATGGCACTATCCGTACCTACTCCAACCAACTTTGACTGATGCGGGCAATCCTAGCGAACTATACATTTTACACCAGGAACAATCCATCGAGCAATCGTGTTCAACTTTTCACAATCATGATATCTATATAGATATATGATCGCTGGGAATTATTTTAGATTGAAACAATAACTTTACACGGCGGCACCGGAGATGAAGAACCACTTGTCAATGCTGCCCTCAACGGGGGCGGGGGCAAGCTCCTCGTGACGGGGAATGGCAGCGAGCTTGGTCGAGTCAGCACGGTGAGCGGAACCCTCGAGGGAGGAGTTGGCACTAAGAACGGATTAGTTTTTGACACCCTCAAATGGAACAGATAAGAAATGGGCGAAGACATACAGGCTGATATCACCAGGGGTGGTCTTGCCGGAGATGAGCTTCTCCCAGGCATCGGCGCACTCGCGGATGACATCCTCGGCGTACTTGCGGTTCTTGCACTCGCCGGAGAAGGCGAACTGGTTCTCGGGCTTTCCGTCGGGGATCTTGTAGATGCGGAACCACTCGTTGGTGGCGCGCAGGAGGCCGGGGAGGTGACGCTCAACATCCTCAATGTCGTTGAGCTTGGGGGCAAGAGGGTCGTTGACATCGATGACAATGATCTTCCAGTCGGTCTCCTCCTCGTCAATCAGAGCCATGACACCGAGGACCTTGACCTGCTTGACCTGACCGGGGTAGCCGACAAGCTCACCGATCTCGCAAACGTCGAGAGGGTCGTTGTCACCCTTGGCCTTGGTCTCGGGGTGGACAGAGTTGGGGTCCTCCCAGGTCTGCGCGGGGAGTCGTTAGCATTGTGCCCCGCCATGGGTATTATGGCCTGGTGGCCTGGTGAATTGGATAGTCGCCACTTACGCGGGGGAAGGCACCGTAGTTCCAGAGGTAACCCTTGTGGGGGAAGCAGTTGCGGACGAAGCGGAGCTTGCCCTTCTTGGTGTCCTGCTTGATGGGGTTGAGGAAGTCATCCTTGGAGATCTGTGGTATTTGGGATCAGCGAATGGCGGGGTTGAGATCAGAGGTCAGGTAGTCGTACCTCCTGCTTGGCGTTGGTCCAGCGGGGGATCTCGACGACCATGTTCAGGATGGTCTCCTGCTCATTGGCGTAGAGGGGAATGTCGTGGAAGGGGGAGACGGGGACGCCATCCTTCTCAACGAACACACGGTGCTCGAGGGTGTAAGGGGAGCCGATCTTGCGGACGGAGTAAGTCATGGTGGGCGGAGTTGACGAAAAGTGTCTAGAAACTTGGGCCGCGCGGGATAAGGGAGAATTATAAGAAAACGAAGAGGGAGGGGCAGCAGAAGTGGGGGGAGCCAACGCTGCTGATGTGCGCCAAACACGGCGGGAGGCGGTGGAGGTCGCACTTCCCAGTCGGGCTAAGGGAGGACGAGTCATTGGCTGAATTGTCAATTCCTGTAAGTTTGATAGACACAATTTCAGATTTAAAGTAGTCCCAACGTACCTATGACGGAGTACGGAAGCAATTGGGTGATGCTTGCCCCTGTGCCTGGTGGTTGTAATTTTCCAAAATGTGTTGGGTCCGAAAGTCGGCACTGATCACCTCCCGCTTCACATCCCGACCGACTCTTTCTATGCCGTGGCTATTTTACGGAGTACTATACTTGGCTACTTTGGATTTGTACATGCTGTGTGTACAATGTACCTAATGCCTTCTACACTGACATGTACATATACTGCACCTAACCGAGGACTGCAGAGCATATAATACAAGGACAATGTACTCCGTACCTTGTGCCAGTATGGTTCAATACATGGCTCTGCTGGCTCTGGACCCAGTTTGTTCCAGTTTGTTCCGAGTTGTTTCAACTTTGGCTGCAAGCCTGTAATTTATGATCCTCCTGCTGTACGATGTCGTGATTCTTGGCACGAAATACTGTATCTTGATTGGTTGACTCTTTCAGAAAATGGCCAGCTCAGTGGAAGAAGAAAATTACATGAAATCAAATGACAATACACGCAAACGAAAAAAAAAAAACATCCACCTTATCGCCCCCTGTATCTCCACGTGACCTCGAGATCTCCAATCGGCACCCTCCGAACCTCTAAATAATAAGTCACTCCTCCTCATCTGGACGTGCTATGTTGAAGACACTTCGCAAGATGACAACCACGATTGCAGACGCCGCAGGAGCGTCCGCGCAAGCGGCACCCCGCGTGCCCATTCCCGCCAAAGGTGTCGACTACCGCAACAAAATCGTCCTCGCCCCAATGGTTCGCAGCGGCGAGCTGCCCTCCCGCCTTCTGGCCCTGAAATACGGCGCTGATCTCGTCTGGGGCCCTGAGACAATCGACCGCGCAATGATCGGCGCCACACGCAAGATCAACCCCCGTAACGGCCTGGTTGAATTCACCCGCCTGCCATCCAACGGCGGTCGTACCAACGCCGCAGTCAAAGAATCCACTATCTACCGCATCGACCCGAATCGCGAGAAGGGAAAATTGATCTACCAAATTGGAACTGCAAACCCGGAATTGGCTGTTCAGGCTGCGAAAATGGTGGCGGCAGACGTGGATGGAATCGACGTCAACTCAGGCTGCCCCAAGCCATTCTCTACGTCGGGTGGAATGGGCGCGGCCTTGCTTCGCACACCGGATCTTCTCTGCTCTATCCTCGAAGCTCTCGTCAAGGAGGTCGGCGAACCGTTCCAGATTGGTATCTCGGTCAAGATCCGTATTCTTGCCGACCCGCAAGACACAGAAGCCCTTGTCACCCGTCTCGTCAGGACAGGTATCACAGGACTGACAGTCCACTGCCGCACAACTCCGATGCGTCCTCGCGAGCGCGCAATTCGGGACCAGCTGAGCATGGTAGCACGGATCTGCCATGAAGCCGGTGTTGCGTGTCTCATGAACGGAGATGTCACGTCCCGGGACCATGGACTTGAACTGATGTCTGAGTTCGGAGTGGATGGTGCGATGATCGCCACATCTGGTGAAGCGAACTCATCCTGTTTCCGCTCTCAGGCAGATGGCGGTCTGGCTCCTTGGAGAGATGTCGTTTACGAATATATGCGCTTTTGCATCGACTGCGAGAACAGACTTGGCAACACCAAATACCTGCTCAACATGCTGATTCCCGGCAAGGCCAAGGAGTTCAATCAGGCTAAGGTGGCTAAATCATACCTTGATGTTTGCCGATTCCTGAAATTCGAGGATCTCTATTCTCAGGCTGCTGCCGTTGATGTGATCCTGGGTCTCGATGACAAATGGACGAGCCCACTTGACGGGGAGGCGCCGAGCCAATCCGATACCAAGCCCGATTCCAAATCCGAGGCTGTCAAGAATGCGATGACTTCCGAATCTGCACGCGCCGCTGGAGGGGGCGCTGCCCGGAAAAAGACTCCCTCCCCTGCTGTCCACAGCGGAGGTCCCGTCCGTCGCACTTCTACTCCTAAGCCCAAGACTGCTGAGGCCAGTGCTGATCAGCCTATTGCTGAGTCGCCTGCTCCTGCTTCGGAGACACAGCCTCAGGTTCAGCCCCAGGCAGTTTAAACATTGCCGACTTCGTCTCGTCTGGCTTGTCTTTTCGCACCCTGTCCTTGATTTCAATCTTCATGCATAGCCTTTGGTACACTTTCATTTTCTGGTTTGGTTTTCACTGCATTCTGAGGTGTCTATAATACCTTTTATCCATCTTGTCTATAAATCTTATTGATTCCCCATACATACATTTCAATGATTACGAAACCTGTGCTGCACAGTTAACTAGCCAACCGCATAATGTCCTAAAAATTCTTGTCAATTCCAATATTTCAAGATTCCTGCCTACGAGTAAGCAGTCCAAAAGTCTATCTTCCATCCCCAGACATGCTATTCTACGGATCAAGATCTGCCTAACGCACCACAATACCCTTCATACTCCCCTCAGCACGCCAACTCTCCAAAACGCGAAGCCAATGCTCAACACCCATGCCCCAAAGACCTGACCTTGCCATGATCACACGATGTGCCGCTGGCGCACGATCAAGATCACCCTCCAGATTAAAGTATCCCGGTGTGCATCCAATGGCAACTCCCATCGGGGCACAATTCATCATCACCTGGAGCGCCCAGTTTTCTGCTGCCTCCACCGACGGCGCCACAGCGAACTCCGCACCACCAGCCCTACGCTTCGCTTCAACCAAAATGTGCGATATATGCTTCGCATACTCATCGAGAGAGAAACGATAGTTCCCACTCGTAGAGCCCTGGAGAGGACCAGATATGAATAGATTCGGGAACTTGGCATCGATGACACCATGCAGCGTCGCAGGACCGGAGCGAGTCCATTCCTCGCTCATGGAAACACCGTTCAGACCTATAACAGACATATTCGCTTTCTCAGCTGGCGTGCCGGCGGGTGGTGCAAGGAATCCCGTTGCGAAGATAACCACATCAGCCGGGTAGCTTTCCTCATTGATGATCACCGAGTCGGCCGTAATCCGATCGACGCCTTTGCCATCGGTGTCAACAAGAGTTACATTTTCCTGATTGAAAGCCTTGAGATAGTCGTCGTGAAAGGCAGGCCGCTTGCACCACACGGGATACCAGGGCTTGAGCTTCTCTGCAACCACAGGATCTGAAACCTCATTTTCCACGCGAGCATGGATGCGACTCTGACGATGGGTGTCGATTTCGACCAATCTAGCCGCGTACGCTGGGATATCCTCTGGTGATCGCGGCCCCTTTTCATACCCAGTTATACCAACCAGAGCAGGCGCCCTGGTCCATCCGTCGTCAACGAAATTAACGGAGGGAGTCTTGTCCAGAGTAAAATGTTGATGGAAGTTACGCATTCGCTCCCGTTGCCAATCTTTCGACCGTGCGACTTCTTTCTGGAACCATGCTTCGTCTGTCTCGCGTTGATCACGAACGTCTACTGAGCTCGGCGTTCGCTGCACGACGTACAGGTGCTTGCACCACTTTGCAAGCTGCGGAACAATCTGCACTGCCGTTGCTCCAGTGCCGATGACCACGACTCGTTTCTCCTTCAACTTGGAAAGCGATGGATCCGCAGGAGATCCACCAGTGATATCGTATGCCCACCTCGCAGTATGAAACATATCACCCTGATAATCCAGAATCCCAGGGACTTTCGGCAGCTTGGGCCAATTCAGTACACCAGCAGCAAGATTCACAATCTTGCACCGAACACGGAGCCTCTCTGGTTCCTCATCCTTCCGACGCTGTACCAGCTCAACAGACCATACCCTAGCATCGTCATCCCAGACCATCTTTTCAGCCTGTGTCTGGAAAACACCACAATTAACTAACCCCCACCTCTGCGCCACAAGATTAACATACTCCCTAATCTCTTCGCCCTGCGAGTACCTGTGCTTAGGAATATACCCCGTCTCCTCCAGATATGGAAGATACAGATAGCTCTCAATGTCACACATGAGTCCCGGGTACCGATTCCAATACCAGGTCCCGCCGAAGCCACCAGCCGGATCGATAATGCGAATGTCGCTGGCTGGTATACCGGCCTCGATCATACGGACGGCAATTTGTATGCCGCCCCATCCGGCACCGATGATGAGGATCTCACTTTTTTGATTGGGAAATTTGGCTCGTAGTGGCTGTACTGCTGCTGGATCGACCCAGGGGTCATTGGTGAAACGGTCATACTGGGCTGATTTGGTGGGTTCGACGAATTGCGCGTTTCCGTCGCTGCGAAGACGTTTTTGTCGCTCTTCCTCGTAGCGGGATTTCATAGAGGCTAGTGTGGGATCAGCCGTATCTGTGGATGGCCTGTTGTCGTTGCTTTGATGGTTCAGGCTCGACATGGTGGGTGGATTGAGGGTTGGTGGGCTCGATATATCACGCATGGTCCTATGTGGATTTTTGACGGATAGAGCCCTCGAGGTATGTCTAGATAGATGTGACCTTGGAAACTTTGAATCTTTGATCGACACTTTGAGTAGGTTCCAACCTTAGAAGGTTTGTCGACTGCCACTTGTGCAGGTGAGTCAGTCGGGCGTTTACCCCGCCAGTGAATTGGACATCCTGGAAATACTACTAGACGCCAGCTAAAAATGAGGTATCAAAAGCCAGTAGAGAGAATACATTGAAGTTCCAAGTTTGTGATCATGACTTGTGAGCGGTTAGAGCTGAAAATAACCCCAGGGTAATTTGATAAAATAAAAGCAAAGCAAAGCAATAGGATAAGATATCAAGAAATACCAAGAACCAAGCTCAACCTCTTCTGTAATATCTGGGCAAGAAAGAGCCAGTCATGCTCAATCTTCGCTTTTTCACAGGCCATTTCAAAGCTGGCAAAGCTGGTATTGGTGGTCGTCCACCTCTTGTTCTGGGTGAGGCCTTTGCCGATTTACACGGCGATGTGGTTTGGAAGTCATCCACAAGACCCGTGTTCGTGTTCAAGAGCCAGCCTGCGAGGTTGTGACCGCCGGTAAAGATGTACATATCCTTCCAAACGAGCAAGCAGCGGACATTGTTCTGCATGACAACTACGGTCGGCCCCTTTGGTACTCGGGTACGACGTGGGTCTCCGTTTGATTTGAAGCCCCAGACGAAGATTTCCTCGCGTTGTTTGGCTGTGAGCTTTAGAAGGGCGAATATGACCCCCGCGTCGGTTAGCCGTGCGCGTGAAGGATCCCAGAAAACTGTGTGGACGTCCAGAGGACTATTGTCAAAGTCGAATGGGCGTCCAGACGTACTAGAAATTTTTTCAGTAAAAGTACTCTAAAAATGATTCTAATGTCGGTACGTACCGTGCTGTCGGGACGAATGTGAATGAAGGTCCATATCACGGACTTCGGGGATCTGTAGCAATGCTCTGTACAGATGTGTCTGGAAGGCCGCCTTTCTTCTTAGTCCATTGAATCAGAGCTGTTACACATATTAGCGAATGACAATTCTTTTCTTTTCTTTCTGGTCATTTCACTTACACGTATAGGTCAGGCACTGATAAATTGCCTTATCAGCATTGTATGAATGCTTCACCTGAGACCCAGGGCTGAACTCTTTGTGCAGTGCTTTTTTTAAAATGTGGAATAGAAAACTCTCGGGTTTGACCTCGGACTGAGAAACTACTGAAGAGTAAGTAAATATCAAACCTAGCAAGAATGTGAGATTGACCTCACTTTCTCTGGGCAGTCTCTCAACAAGGAGACATCAAGGAGACATCAAGTGTTGTTTGATCTAAGTGATTGTCAGCAAAGTCCAAAACATGTCAAAAATGCTAGCAAATACCTGCCCATGTTAGCACGACAAAGAATCGTAGAAGTAGAAAGGCATCAGGAATAAAGATATGAAATTTGTACCCTGATCTGAGGAAATAGCTATGCTCGATCATATCGCCATGATATCAAACCACCGTGAACACCATGAAAAAAAGAAACCCTAACTAATGCCATATCTTCAGCATCTCATTAAACCTTGGAACGCACTGTATCATGCAGCGCCAAAAAGACCATGCTCTCTTTTACAATTATTTGTTAGCCTCAATCTGCTTCATAGCCTCCTTTGCTTCTTCCTCAGCCTCAGCCTCCTCTCCATCGCCAGCATTATCACCCTTGCGAAGATGCTCAAGCATCATAGTCTCAACGACCTTCATGCCCTGCTCCTCACTCTTGCTGCCATCGCCATCCTCACCAGCTACAGCCTGGTCAAGCGCCAGCTTGGTCTGTCCGAGAGCGTGGATCTGCACCTCGATGGTGTTCTTCGTGACAAGGCGATAGATCTCGACTTCACGGGTCTGGCCGACGCGGTGAGCGCGGTTCTCTGCCTGCACGTCTTCCTGGGGGTTGAAGGAAGAGTCGAAGATGATGACGCGGTTGGCGCAGGCCAAGTTGATACCGGCACCACCGGCCTTGGTGGAGAGAAGGAAGACGGGGATTTCAGTGCGCTCGTGGAAGGCGTCGAGGATGGACTGGCGATCTTCGACGTTGGTGCGGCCGTCCAGACGGACGAATTCGATTTTCAGTGTCTCCAGGACGTACTCGAGAATGTCCATGACCATGGTGAACTGGGAGAAGATGAGGGTACGGTCGCCGTTTGCGATGAAGGTGGTCAGGAGGTCTTTCAGTTGCTCGACTTTGCCGGAGTCCATCCATTCGTCGTTGGTGAGCTTGAACTTGCCCAGGGACTTGGGATTGTCCACGCACATGTGGTGGCATTCGAAGTCGTTGTAGGGCTTGAGCTCGTTGAAAATGACCTCTGGGTCGGAGTTTGACCATTTCTCTTCCTTGAGGCAGGCCTTGGACATCTTCAGGAGGATCTCCTCGGTGAAGTGGCGACGGGCGAGGAGGGGGTGGATGGCGGCCTGGCGAAGCTTCATGAGGATGTTAGCGGACCTAGAACCGGTCTTCTTTCCGGCAGCGCGGGCCTCGAGGAGCTCGCGCACTTGGTCCTTCTCGCGGTTGTAGATATCAAGCTGCGAGGGCTTCATCGTGCACCAGCCGACGTGCGAGTGCTTGGCTGGGAGGTCGATGACCTGGTGCTTCTTGCGACGAAGGATGAAGGGCTTCATCATTGACTTTGCGCGTTCGATGCGCTGAGCGGAAAGCAGAGTGGCGTGGGATTCATCCGTGGTCTTGGCCTTGTTGGAGAAAACAGCCTGGAGGTCATCCTTGTGCTCATTGAAGACACCGGGAAGAATGAAGCCAAGAAGCGACGCAAGCTCCTGCAGGTTGTTCTGAAGAGGAGTACCAGTCAGGAGGAGACGGAAGCGAGCGCGGATCCGGATCAGCTTCTCGTAGAGTTGGGACTGATGATTTTTCAACATGTGACCTTCATCGTAAACACAGACAGTGAAGTCCATATCACGCAAGAACTTGGCGTCAACCTTGGCCTTTGCAATGGTGTAGGTGGTGATGACCACGTTGATCTCGTCGCGTCGTTCCTCGATATCGTCACGGATGTGGGCACGCTCATTGAGGCCAGCGTAATAAGGCATCACGTTCAGAGCTGGGCAGAACTTCTGGAACTCACGCAGCCAGTTCTCAATGGTCGAAGAAGGAACAACAATCAGATGCGGACCCTTGTCACCCTTCTCGTACAAATGGGCGAGGAAGCCAATGACCTGGCAGGTCTTTCCGAGACCCATGTCGTCGGCCAAAATACAACTCAAGTTGTTCTCATACAATAGGCGCAGCCAATTGATACCGACAACTTGATAATCCTTCATGACCAGGTCATCGGCCATGATGGAAGGCTGAGAGATCAGACGGGACTTGCGCTTGGACGAGGAGACAAGGTTGTCTTCATCACTTTCAGGGGAAGGACGGCCAGACGGAGTGGAAATTCCCGAATCATGCTCAAACTTCTTTGGATCCTTGGAGTCGTTTGAAACGCCCGGCAGAGCGAGATTGGTGATTTCAAGCTCGCCCTTGTTCTCCTTGCCAAAGGTGTCCACACCCCAATTCTTCATCTCATCGGCAACAGGCTTACCCAGAGCTTCAACTTCGCTGACAAGAGCATCAATCGCCATGTAACCGGTCCACATATCGACGCACTTATCGACAATCTTGTCACCAATAGGCTTGGGGGCCTTTCCTCCCCGTCTACCCTTGGCCTTCGTCTCTACCACTGGAGCAGACACAGCACGAACTTCGTCGAGTGATTCATAAGGACGATTATTGACAATGAGTTGCGCAACATCTTCCGAAACAGAGGCCAAATCAGCCAAATCCTTGACGGCACCAACATTCATAAACTTAAGAACCTTGGAATCAACACCGCCAGCGGCAGATCCCTTCTCAGGTGCGTCCGAATCATCGGAATCGCTCATCATGGCCTCAGGCGACTCAGACCGATCAGGCGAGCGGTTGCGACGACCCTTCTGGAGGCGGCCTCCCTTCTTCGGGGCAGGCTCGTCATCAATCACAATCGGCGCAGGGGGCGAAGCAGGGCGCGAGCGGATCTCAGACTGGGGACCGCGCATCAAGCGGCGGCGGGGCTTGCTCTCATCGTCGGAGTCAGGCTTGTTCATCTTCATCGCGGCCCACTTATCCTGAATCGTGCCGCGAGCCTTGATCTGCTGCTTGGCGGCTGGGGCGGCGCCGGTGGCCGGGGTGGTACCCAATTCATCGTCGGAGGAGTCGATAACGGTCGCCTGGGCCTTGGACAGGTTCTCGAGAGCGAGGTCGTAGTTTCCTTTAGCTTCTAGAATAGCATCCATGCACTTGCGCACAGGCAGTTCAGGCATAACCTTGAGAACGCGCTCGACCTTGATTCGCACGCGGAAGTCTGCGATTTCATGCAGGAGGATGTCGGGGAGCCCCACGGGCTGGGCGCGAGATGGCGCATCTTGGCGAGCCTTCTTGACGGCAACGCCCTTGATGGGGGGACTCATTTGGTCTGCGGATCGCTTGACGGAGGTATTGTTGGGGTCGTACATGGCGTTGGCGGTGATCTCGCGGAATCGATCCATTGCGGGATCGGTGCGAACGGGAGACTCCATGACTTTTTCTCTTTCTTTCTCAGGGCTGCGAATTGTCCTCTCAAACATAGACGGTTTGATATCGGTGTTCTGGAAATGAGAGTCTTCGTCCGAGGAACCACCTCGATAGGTTGGGCCGTCGTCGAGGTCGAATTTGGGAGTCCGCTTCGCAGGGCCGGGGGCAGGAGGACGGAAATGAGTGCCCGAAGGGGCGATTAAGGACGAAAAGTGACCCTGAGGTTTCCGAGGGGGAGACGAAACAGGGCCCGGAGGCGAAGATGCAGCGACTTGGATTACCGTATTGCGGACTGGGTACGGCTGAGCGACTAGTTGGGTGGGTTGTAAAGGGGTAGAGACAGGAAGAGTCGCAACAGTCTCGTGGTCAGGAGGAGTGCTCGGAATAGTGTCTCGAACAGAGTCGTCCATTATTCACAATGGACCATTCGCCATCTGATTGTTCGTTTATGCCCGTTTTTTTTTCTGCCAAGGCGGAAACGCGACCATGGTACGCGCTATTCAGTAGACCTTATGTACAATAGAGTATAGTGTATAGAGTGAATAGTATGAATATAATGAATACAATGTATACAATAAAGAGACTATAAAGTGTGTATAGATTGTACAGATTGTATAGAACAAGGTGTATTGAAGTTGATTGTTGTATGGTGAAGGGTCCCTTTGATCGAGATAAAAGAGCGTATTGTGTATTGTCCGTATTCTACAAACCTCCCTACCAATCAGAAGCACCAAATTGTTCTCCGCACTTCCGGAAGCATTGGCCGTATGAGATCGGGACTCTAATTCAACATCTCATTCATCTTGCCCTCACTGCCATGTCTTCCCGTCGTCCCCATAATGAGTCCTACGCCGATGTGGCGGCGAAGCCTGCCCCGAAGCCTGCCCCGAAAGGCAAGTCCGACGTCACTCCAGCGGTCCCCGCGTAAGATCCCCCAGACTCACATCACACGAGACCTCGTTCTAATTCAGTTCTCTTGCTAGAGATGTGATCTATAAGTTGCTCGGCTTCACCGCCGCCATGGTTGCGGGGCCGATTGGCATGTACTTCCTGACCTTGAACACGATCTTCAGCGGTAGGCATTCCTTCTCTTCTCACAGCTTGACAACTTCTCACCATCGCCTTGATATAGGAAGCTCAACGCTTGCCGGTGCCACCGCGGCCGTGACCGCGAACGTGGTCTTGTTCGCCTACATCTACGTGGCGTGGCTCGAAGACCAAGGGGACCAAAAAGCGTCCAAGGAAGACTCCAAGAAGGCGCAATAAACCACAACCCTGGCGCTTTCTTCACAAAACAAACTCTATGGCGTTGGTGTGTTAACCGGGTTTGGGGGCGTTTCTTTTGCACTATATTGGGTCAACCGCGTTGAGCCAAAACAGCTTTAAGCCAAATTTGAATATCTTGTATTGTGGAAATGAAAAGAATGCAGAGTGATCGCGAAATAAGCTACCGCTTATCGACCAGTCCAATCCCATCCCAACGATGTGCTATCCATGTTGAAAGGAGGCGCAAATCATTTCCCCAAGATCATGCCCTCGGTATAGACAAATGCGCCAATATGCAGTCCATTAAAACACCCCTTCTGTCGCCTCAAACTCAAGTAGGTCGACGCTTGACAAACTCCTCCAAGTCCTCCTGTGTAGCCACACCGAGCACAAACTTGCGCTGTTGATCCGTGACCACGGCGAAGTCCTGCTTCTCACCGGTGGGGTGAGTCTCCCCGTCAAAGAACTTCTGCAGGTCCTCAAGCGTTGTTTCCATCGTGATAGTCTGGTAAGTTCCGCGCTTACGGTTGAAGCGCTGCATTGCCGCGGAGACCGGGTCCGAATCTTGCACCGACTTGCTCTGCAGGAGCTCCCTGAGGAGGGGGATGCTGAGGTAGCCCAGGAGTGAGCGCTTGGTGGCGGAGATGACGGTCAGGTGGGTGTAGTCACGCTCGAAGGCGGCCAGGAGAGCTGTGGAGATGAGGTCGTCGGGGGAGATGGAGAGGGCGGGAGGAGGGTCGAGATCTTCGATTGTGGCCTGCAAAGGTGATTAGTGTGGTTGGTTGACGGGGACGGGGTGATGGGGACGAACGCCGCGGAATTTGTCTGCCAGGTTTGTCGTGGGTGCTGGGTTGGCTTGGGCACCTTGCTTCTCGCGGGCGAAGGCCTCGCTGCCGGTCATGTATGATGCCATTTTTGCGATGGCGACGGTCTGGTGAGGGGTAAGGTGGGTTGGAGAGGCAACGTCAGTGAAGCTGCGAAGGGTGAGATAAGAAGAAATAAGTAGTTAGGTGACGAAGGTGATGAGGGCGAATGGAGAATGGCGAATGGCGTTTGGAAGCAGAGACCGTTGCGGGATGACTTTTTGATTCCGAGCTTGGCGCCCTTTCCCCACTATCTGTACGGAGTACCCTTGCGCAACTCGACTCTCCCACAATATGTGCTTCCCACCTTGCTTGGGCTAGTTTGAATCTGATTTGGCCTGTTATGACATGAATTGTGCAGCTATTTCAGATTGTTCTCTATATGGATATACCTGAAGAATGCTTCCTGATATCGCCGTCCTCAATGGTACCTTCTCAGGACTTACTCTCACACTGTATGAACTGGCTGATGAAGCTCATATCAGATGGGATCCATGGATACAAAATCCCAGCATCTGCCATTTGATCATTGATCGTCAAGCCAGACCATTTCTTGTCCTTCGCCAACGACTCTCAGCCTCCGGCCAGACGGCCATGTACAGAGGCAGGATGCCGAGATTCAATATGAGCCTACAAAGTGCTCATGCATCCTTCCCTACAAACAGAAGTCCCAGCATGAGGAGAGAAACTAATTAGTTGAGCTAGTCTCCATCATCAGATTTTACTAATCTCATTTGCCTTTGAAGGCCAGTTTCTTCAGAGCCATGCTAACAAGACCACATACGTCATCCTTGGCTCTGCAGTATCGTCTTTTCTACTCCGCATTGCGAGTCCAACTGTCAGTCCGAGTGTTCAATCAGGACTGACCACGGCTTACGGCATCTATTTTCGGTGCACATGTGCTACAATATGCATCTTGGTCCATGCAGGACATGGTGCCTATGTGGAGACAAAGCCCGCAATCGGGAACTCCACTTCTAACCCACATATGGAGTACGGCAAATCGATTGCTTCAGGGTGTTCGGGCAATCTGGTGGTCCTATACTTGGGGGAGATACTCCGCCTTCGGGAGACTGAAGCGTCTCCCTATCCACGGGTAGAGCCCATCATAATAAGGTACCTAGTAGATGTCGTTTACAGAGCCGGTCTCAACATGAGGTTCAACGAAAGAATATCCTATAACTTTTCTATAGCTCTGCTGTCACTGTTGAACTTCATAGACGCTGAGATGTAAGATGAAGCCTAGAGTATCAAGAACATCAAGTACTTTATGCCCTCCATGCCCTGTCCGGTGGCTCAGGATAGCCCATTTTCAGTTCAGTATGGTAGTACCTCTAGAGGCGCTATAAGCAAGACATATATGCTCTGGAACTATGCTGAACACCCTCCGACGTGGTGTTGACAGAGTGAACCCTGAAAGTGTCCAAGGGGAGGCTCTACTCCCGAAGTCGAAGTAGATAGAGTCCGCCAAGCTCACTATCAACGGTGATCATTTGTCACCGCTCCACCAATCGCAGGATGGTATCTTATCAGCGACGTCACGGCACTCACTCGAATCCGAATTAACATGTTCAATACGATTGACATCGAGATATCCTCCCTTTAACATACTTCCTTCTATGTCGGGATAAGAACTATCGTCAACCTCGCTCTATTCTCGCCAAGATCTACTCCCGATCTCGTACTTAAATAATCCCGATCCCCCAATCTGTACGGAGTACTCCGTCCCACCGAGTATAGATCGATATAGCCCTGGGAAAAAGTCCCCGAGCAGCGTACCTGCATTTCTTATCGCCCACGTTTTGCGCTCGATAAGCAACTTCCCCGCTCCGTAATCTTCCTCTTGCATCAACCGCATACATCCAACCATCCAGATGCCCGACAACGAACAGCCTATGGTCTCCCATGGCCGCGGAGGTACTGTCTCACTACACTGCACTGTGTTCGTCTACTGATATTACCAGGTCAGGGAAACATCGGACATGATACCACTGAGTAAGACCCTCGACTCCCCGCATCAGCGGCGCATCTAACGAGGACCAGATACGTGGACGGCGAGATCGTTCGCGAAGGTGTCTATGGCGACCAGGGTGATGGCGCATACTCTGCAGGAGTAAGAAAAAACCCCAAGCACAAGCAAACATACACATTCATCCAGCTCACCACTGTACAGCGCGGCGGAGCAGGCAACATCGGATCACCAATGGTGAGACCTACATCCAGGGTTCCCCACGACGCCGACATGATCCCCGAACTCGCGGTGCGCAACTCCACTGATGAAACATACCATACCGGGGTAAGCACAGGCATACTTTCTTTGCACTTCTTGGATTTCCCTTAGTTACACGGAGTCACTCCATTGCCCTTAGTCCCTTGTTGTGTCAGCCGGGGTAGTGCTCACATACTTGTGTTACTTCATCCTTTCCATGCTATTGCCCACGACCCTATTTCCACCGTTTCAAAGAACCAAAGCTGACTTGTGTGATAGCGCGGCGGCCAGGGCAACGTCCATCTCGACGAGGCAACACTCAAAGAGAAAGAAGAACACAAGAAGAAGAAGGGACACGAGGGTCTCGCAGACAAGCTGAAGAATAAGCTACTCGGCCGGAAGTGAGATGTCACCTCGTATTTATCTTTGATTCCCATTCTTGTTTTTGTTTACAGAGGCATCGGAGGATTTCCCACTGGACAGTACCAATTTGATTCATATTTTTCTTTTTATTTTCGCGCTCTTCCCCTTCCATGGCCCATCCAGGGCTGTATCCATGCACGGGTTCCTGCAGTGTACAGTAGAAAGGGGTAAACTCTAACCGATCCCAGTAGATGTAGATACAAGTATATCAAAAGACATGAGATGAGAACCATGACCAGTATTTTCAAGCCAAAACGGCTACTAACCGAGATAATAATAAACAAATCCATAATAAACAATCTCAAAAGGAGTAGCCCATGTGTGTCCATGTATCATAAACTCATTACAGCATGCAAGATGAGAAAAAAAAAAGAAATGAACAAATGAACAAGAAATGAACAAAAAAGAAAGAAACCGCGCAAATCGCATAACACATATTCGCATATCCAAGCCCAAATCCCCAAACCAGATCGAAACGCCGTTAAATCCATAACAAAACGCACGAGCAGTCAAAATACACAAGATAACACAGCTCGATCATGAATCATAACCATAACCATGAATCAAAAGCTAGATCACAAGGCAGACCATCAACAAGAGACCCACTCAATCCTTACTGAACCGGCGCTTGAACCAACTCTTCCTCTTATCGCCCTTAACAGACTGACCCGTATCCTGGCGGACGACATTCGGTTTCTGTGCAGTCTGCTGAGGCTGAGGTTGAGGTTGAGCGGACCCGGAAGCAGGCGCCCAAGAAGGTTCAGGCTGAGCGATTTTCTGATTCGCGGAGCCGCTGAAGCCGTATTCGGCCTGGGCGCGCTCGTCCAGACGCTGTTGCTGCAGAGCCTGCTGCTGCAATTGGTCATTTGAGCTGTTGAGGGAGCTGGGGTCTGTGGATTGGCCGTAGGGGTCTGTGCCGGAGTTGGAGTTTGAGGCGACGTTTTCGAAGTAGCCGTTTGGTTGGTAGCCGTTGTAGCCGTTGGCTTGGGCGTTGTGGTTTGGGTAGTCTGTTGGGGAGGCGGGGGTGACTGGGTAGGATGGTGTGCGGGGGTAGCGTCGGCGGCCATTTCCGTATCCATTTCCATTTCCATTCTGCTGGTTGTAAGGGTATGGGTTCGGGGTTTCGGGGGATTGGGGGTTGTTCTGATAGCCGTTTATGATGCTGTCTGGGCGAGATTGAGCCTGGCTGTAGTTCTGATCGTATCGATTTCCGTAGCCATTGCCGTAGCCGTTTCCATTTTGGCCTGGGATTTGGTGTTAAAATGGTGAATCTTTTGCATGGGAGTCTGATCAGGATAGGATGGGATACGTACCGCCGTGGTAGCTTGTTCGGCGACTAAAGTCTCCCATTTGTGAAGCGGCATCTTCTATCGTAAGTCAGCGCTGAATCCTGTCTTTGTTTTCACCATGGTGAGACCAAAGTACCTGTCCTGGCGTACGAACCACGGTTGTTACTGTAGGCACCATAGATGGCGGCCTCGAATGATCGGATGGTATCTAACGGGCGCTCCAAACGTGGCCGGGTGGGGTTTGACAGGTCGGGATCGGCTGAGGCAAGGGTTAGCAAAACCGCCCAACGAAGAATGCGAGTGGAGACGAACTGATGACATTTCCATATTGATCCTTATGCTCGATCTCACGAAGGGAACCTAGGTTGGACTTTTCCAAAGCGACCGTGTCTACCAGGAAAGAGAAGAACAAGATGTTAGCGAGTGAAATCTTGATAGGATGCGACCGGGGGGATTGTCCATGCTCAACGTACTGGGCTGCAACTCATTCATTGCGATGAGAGGGTCGGCCTTGGTGTGTAGACTGCGACGATGCTTCTCTTCCGATGATTCAGAGGGACCTCGCTGGTGGCCTTTGGATTTGCCGGAAGTTTGAGAGTGATCGGATTGAACGCTGAAACCACGACTCCGCGTGGGAGCCGGTTGGGGGCGGCCATTTTATTAGGGCGAAGGTCCACCGTCTTTTTTAGCGTCCGCGATTCAAGGCAGGTCTGAAACGGCTGGGATCTGCTGAGCTACGGCCGTTGTGGAGCGCGTGGGAACCGCCAAGAGTACAATTGCGCTTTGCGACAGAGTCAACGGCACCGGGCTCAAAGGGAGCAAGCGAATGAATCGGATAAAGCGTTTGTAGCGAATGCAATATGGTGTGTTACTATGATCGTTTGCCGTGGTGTGGTGTGCTGGTGTGCTGGTGTACTGGTTTGCTGGTACGCTGTGCTGTTGCGCTAGTGTCAACTGAGTCAAGTGGAGCAGTGATATGTAGATGGAGTGCTAGCGATTGTAGAGGGAATCCCGAGTGAAGTGAAAACGAAAGATATCTACAAAAGAAGTCCAAAAGCCAAGGCCTCCGGGAGGGCAATGGATTTTATTCTAAAGGGTTTACACTTTTTGGGTGTACACGCAATGTGTAATTTATAATCTTCAGTCAGTATCAAAGAGTATTGAAGAGTATTATATCCTGTATTCTTCCTCGGTAATTTGGCGCAAAAAAAAAAAGCAGTTCCAAAGGAGACCGGTGCTTTCCACGGTACACAGCCCCGGTGCACATGGGCGATTGGTGAAGTTCCTCCGAGTGGCAACCCTCACACAATCCAGTAACTCCAGTACACAAAGATCATTCTCAACTGTATGGTATGGACTCGGTAATGGAGCTATCTCATCTTGGTGCCTAAATCACTGGCTGTACGCGTACTCCGTACAAAAGAGTCGTTCTATTCGTCTGTTCGTCAATTCGACAATACCGGGTTGGTGCATCTTCCCGGCAGCATCCAATTGGCTTAGGGCTTTCTGCTCTGAACTGTCCACTTTATGCACATCGTGCACATCTTGTACGTTAAGTCCATTTTACACTTTTGCAATTGATATTCTCTTGCATTTCACCAGGCGAATTGAGTCCAGTCGATCATGCTACTCTATCCTCGGATGGCGCTTATCATACTCCGTAGCCCTCGGTGTGTCCGATACCTACTCGGTACCTACTTCGTACCTAACTCCGTACTTCGTACTCCGTACCTAGAGTCATACCACATGCTAGGGCTGAGGCTTAGACCATATGCTATCGAGTTCGCAGTGCAGCGGAATTAGTGTTTGCCGAGTGGGTCACAGGCCGATGTTTTTTTGCTAAAATCTATAAATAGATTATCAGGAACTGCTCGGCTTCTATTAGAACTCGAACATCTACACTAACCACTGTTGGCCCTGGCTCGACCTATTCTGGAGACCGGTGCGGTTTACTGGGTTTGCTGGTGAGACATGCGACCATCACATTCTCCCATATACGAATGACTCCTCAGGGTCTCGATCTTGGCCTGCGGGGTCCTGGGATATCCCCAGCCTCCCCCGAAGTGCGTGTACTCCGTACGCAGAAGGCGAAATGACCAAGTTAGCTCCATTGAGCCCATCTGTCCTGGCATATTTGTCAATTGATCTCCATCTCTGGGGCTGGGCACATTGCGTACATGCAAGCCCTGGAATTGGAGTAAGGCAAGGCTGCGGAGAGTACTGGCGATATCGACCAACGGTGTGTGCCGGCAGTAAACAAACCCCAACCACCAGTCTACTCCAAAGCTATTGTCAATTATCAATGTGGTCGGAGGTACTCTGTACTTCCATGTTTCTCGAGCGCACTTTTGGCCAGTCTGGCATTATTTACAAAAATTCAAAAGTTCACTCCTTCTGAACAATCACCGAGGGACCAACATACTCCTTCCGCCCCTTGACAAAATACATCCCAACACTGATGATAAAAACACCAACGAAGATGACCACACTCCAATTGAAGTTTTCTCGCGTCACCTCCACATCACCCGGCCATAAAGACCAAAAGAGCGCAAAACAGCAGTACAACAACCCAACAATGTTAACAGCCAGTCCCCAGCGACCCATATCCCATCGTCGCGGCGGCAGAGTTTCAGGATACCAGACCTTGCGATAAATCACACAGCTAATCGAGATGATGTAGGTATACATCAGCGCTGCGACGTTCAAAGAGATAATCGCATTGAACGCGGTCTCAGAGCCGATGTTAATGAGAGAAAGCGCGCAGCTGATGAGACAGGAGACGCCGATGGCGTTAACGGGGATCTGGCGGCGGGGGTCGACTTTGCCGATCCATTTAGCGAATGGGAGGCCCTTGTCGCGTGCGAAGGCAAAGGTCTGACGGGAGGTGGACGCGTTGAAAAGGATGTTGCTGAAGATTACGGTGAGGAGGGTGATGGCGGTTAGTCCGTTTACACCGGCTGTTGAGGTTGCGTTCTTGAAGACGTATAGGAAGGGGAATCCCGTAGGGTCGTTTAGAGCGTCTTCGACTGATGGCATGGCGAATAGGAAGGTGATTATTAGTACGATGGCCATGATGCCGTTGCTGAAGTAGCCCCAGGCAATGGCAATAGGTACGTTTCGGGCTGCATCTTTGACCTCCTCTGACATGTGTGCTGTTGCATCCGAGCCTGGGTAACCGTCAGTCATCAGTTCACTGCAGCGTCGAAAACTATCTTTGATACGTACTCAATGAGCCGTAGATGGCTGATAGTTGTCCGATCATGACACTCAACCCCATGGAAGACCAGCCTCCGAGGTTTTTCCACTCTGTGACAAATACAGCTTGGGCTGATTGGCGGGGCGCCATGGCCCAGAGGACGATGAGAATGACTGCCCACGACAAGACGTGAAGGATCATCAATAGATTGTTCAGGATTGGCATCAAGTCGCAAGCGTAGACATTGAACATATAGATCAGCAGTACCATCGCAAACACAAACAGCGTGCCCTGCCAGTTTTGAGGCTCATAATCCGGGTTTCGGACACTGATCAATCCTTGGATGATGGTGCCAGTTAGGAATGAGCCCGATGCTGCTCCCGCTTGCCAGGCTAGAACCGACATCCAGCCTGAATGTTTATTTAGCCGACGACCATGTGTTGCGGGTGAGCGACTCACCTGTAATATAGCTCAGGAACTTCTGATACCGCGGCGAAGACCACTCAGAGACCCAATGATACTGTCCGCCGGATGTGGGTGCCATTGAGGCCATTTCGGAGATCGAAGCGATAATGAATCCGAATCCAATAAATGTCCATAAATACGAGTAAAAGAATCCCGGCATGCCTCCATTGTACAGCCCCTCATAATTAGAGCTGGATTTGTTAGAAGGCTCTCATTTCTGGATATTGCGGGATACTCACATTAGAATAAATTCCCAGGTCGCTTGCAATACCGATGCAAAACTTAAAGCAGCCACAGGACGCAGGTTTCTCTGTTTATGTTAAATTGAAGAGCTAACACGTCCTAGTGGTGACATACCTTTAGTTCTTGTGCCTTTCCCATCCGTTGCATGTCATGATCATCAATGACTGTCCCCAACGTCGTTCCACCCTTCTGATCTCCCTTCTGATCCGAAGAAGCCTCATCTCGATCCATATATTGGAGTTCCGTATCCTGCATTTCCAACCCGGGTTCTTTGACGGAAGCCATGATGGTCGGATAGTGACTCTAAAGAGGTCACACCAGGCGGAAAGGGAGGGAAGAGGGGAAAACACCGAATGCAAGGGGGTAAACGGGTGATCTCGCGTGTTCAAAGGAAATACAAAATATATTAGACTTTCAAAGACGGAGCGCCGAGGAAACAATCCACCAAGGCCGGGGGGCCACTATGCGAGTGGGGTTGCCGATCTCTCACCCCCCGGAGGCTGCAAGCGGCCCGACTGGGCTAACCTTCTCCGACCTTTCACTTCTTCGTGTGTGAACCCGGGAAGTCATACTAACACAATAACCTTCAAGATCTCAGGAACCGAGCAGAATACTTCGATAGGTCTCATGCTGGGCCACATGCCACCCACGAGGAGTCCAGAATAGAAGGATTGTGCGACTAAGTGGGGAAATATGCATGCCACAACACATATCCATGTCTAGCTCAATCAAATACACTATAAGAGGGAAAGATCCTGCTCGTGCTTACTCACGTCCCACAAAAAACGGTATAACAACCCGAGAGCTGCCCAGCTGTTTGACGCAGCTTAGGGCTCTTGCTCCCAGCCCCATCACAAACATTATCGCAGCTAAAGATGCCACCTGGGAACCCTTGATTTCCTCCCATCATTATCGTCTTTTCCCGGCAGGGATGAACCAAACACCACTATCGGGCGCCTTATATGCAACGTGACCCCTCCCTTGGCTCAATAGTATGATGAAATCACCCCCCTGCAATGGGTGCCCCCTACATAACAAGCACAACGGGCCGCATACCCCAGTCACACCCTCATGCACTGTAATCCTTGGCGACATTTGACTCGATCTGAGTGGATGTAAAGATAGCTCATCATGCAGCGCTCTGCTGATTAGCCTGCAAACCCTGTTCGCTGCTGCAACCCTTGTCGCCCCCAAAATCCGGTTAATAGCTCACAGGTTTCGAGGCTCTCTGGAAACACCGAAAAATAATATTGACCATACCAAATGAATCAGCCCCTTCTTGAGAAAATACTTCGCCCCCAATTTTTTCATATGTACTCAAGTATATCGTTTCGCAGGTAGGAGGCTGTCGATGGTTCCCTTCCATCTTGGCCCGTCATGTCGGCCTCGTCGCTGCCCCCGGGCGTGAGCCCTCCTCTCACGACGGATAATCCGAATAACCACAGCGGCTTGATTGTGATTCTTGCGTCTTTTTATATTGTTTTGGTCCTTACGGCGCTTGCGGCTCGCACCTATGCTTCTTTCCAGAGGCGAATCATACAAGAAGATGATCTGCTGTTTGGGGTGCTGGTAGTGGGTTTCGCCGAGGATTGAAGTATGAATGATTCATTCCGCTTACTATAGCATAGGTAATCGCGATACTTCAAGCAGTGGTGGTTCTTATCCAAGTTCATTTCGGCTGGGGAGTTCGAGTAGGATTTGGCGATTCGATAGACTACCGAATGCTCAAGGTTCGTTTTTTTTTTCATTCTCCATCCAAATGCAAGAGCGATGCCTTTCGATCCAAGCTAATACATCCAAGGCCGGATATGCAGCCGAGATTATATCGATCCTCGTCTTAGGTCTCTCCAAAGTCTCAACTTGTTTATTCTACGAAGCGCTTTTCTCAAAAACGCAGCGCCATTTCGCGCGCGCTATTCTGGTCACCGTCGTCATCTGGATGACAATATCCATAGTCCTACTAGCAGTACGCTGCACTCGGAACCCATGGGCTGATATCAGCGAAGCTCAATGTAGCAGTTTGGTACAGACACCATACAAACAAGGCAAATAGCTTGACCGAGCTAACAGCGATGACCAGTTCCCACGATGGCAAGCCATCACAGCGCTCGACATCATCACCGAAGTATTCTTATTTATGTACTCCGGCCTGGCAGTACACAGGGTCAAAATATCCATGCAGAAAAAGCTCGTGGTCTTCCTTGCTCTAGAGAGCCGAGTACTGTAAGCCCTATCCTTCATCAGAATCCCATGAATATTGACTTTAAGTTCTTTCAACCTGACCACTCGAACCAGACTTATTCCACTAGCCGCTATCCGTCTACACTTTATTAAAGCGCAGATCACCTCCCCAACACCTATTCTCATCGGCGCTTTCGCAACCGTAACTACAGAAATGTACCTCGCGACCAGCGTACTCTGTCTCGTGAGTGCGTTTCTCAAATCGTTCCTTGCAGCCTACGAAGACAGTAATGGGATCTCGTACACGGATGGTCACTCGGGATCAGGGTCCAAATCGCGAAAGGGGACTTCGAATACCATCACGCAGAGGAGTCGGTCTCGGTCTAGATTTTCTGCGACGGTGGACCGTTTGCGGGGCTGGGAACGGGAGGAGGATCCTATCTTGGGAACTCCTAGTGCGTCGGGTGGGTTACAGATCTTGAAATCTGTGGAAGTTGATGTGAGGGATGAGCCTATTGAATTGACGGAGGCGGGGAGGGCGAGACATTAGTATCGCTCGGGTGTTGATTGGGATTAGATCGGGGTATGCGATGATACGCAATATAATAGACTGATACCATGTAATGAAACCTTGGAAAGAAAAAAACACTTTCAAGAACTGACTAGTATTGACCGTTTTACGCCAAATGCCAACTAGCGAAAATGAAGACGATTAGGTAGTGGGGTCATACGACTAAGTTTCGAGAAATGTGAAGCGTCTAAAAATAGTCGGCGCGAAGTGCAGGTGGTCTGTTGAAAGTGTGTACATTTTTAAACATGCTCGGCGTTGAGTGTGAGCGGGGGTATATAGTCTATAATACAAATTATAAAACAAAAGCGGCCTGGTGTATAATCCAATAGCCATGCAATATGCAATATGCAAAAAAAAAGTGAAGAATCGAAGGTTGAATCGAAACGAGATCAAGCATTTGACTCGTCGGCCGGAGCCATCTTCGTGTCCTCCGCGGTGACCTGCACCTCGTGGCTGTGCTCCAGTTCAGAGAGCACAATCCACGTGGGGATGACGGCAAGAAGTGTAATACCGAAGTTCATGCCAATGCTGACGAAGTGGTTGGCGCCTCCTTCGCTCTGCATGGCCCATGCGACGGTCTGTCCCAGAGCCTCGAATCCACGGAGGATACCGCAGTGGTAGGATAAAGACGAGATGTCGGTGCTGTATTGGCCGATGAGCCAGTAGAGGAATTGCTGGAAGGCTTGGCCGCCGAATTGCCAGAAGAAGATGAGAGCGTAGCTCTTGCCGAATCCACCCTTGAACCAATCGAAGGAGGGAGGCTCAGCGGCGTTGTAGAATTGGTTCTGCAAGATACTGGCCCAGATCCAGGTTCCGGTGAGGATGACGACGATGGAGGTGAAAGCGATCTTGGCACGGGTCTTAATGTAGATGTTTTGACGGTCGAGCAACGCAGCGAGGATGAAAGAGGAGGCAATTCCGGAGAAGTTGGTGAAGAATGAGGAGAAAGCACGGGAGCGGACGGTGAAGTAGTCGGTCAACCAAGTACTCATGAAGCCGTTGTAGAAGTAGCTGATGAAGAAGGCCGGTAGGAGGAGAAGAACGCGACGGGTCTTGAAAAGAGAAAGCACGGCCTTGAATTCCTTGCCCCAGGTTTCCTGCTTCTGCACAATAACCAGGGACCTGTCCTTACGCTGAACCTTCTCCGCGGGGCTGAGGCAAAGCGCGATAGGGAGACCCAGACACATGATGACGATGAAGACAATGTAGGTAGCAGCGCTGACAGTGCCCTTGCCCGAGGTCTGGGCATTAAGACCCAAGCTGATAGCACCACCGACGATGGGTCCAGCAGCCTTGGCGGTCTGCCAGATGGCGAGGTAGAAAGCGCGCTCGCTCGGGCTGGGGTATCCAATAATAATGGCTGCCTCCGCAGCCCAGAAGAAACCTGCGGAGATACCGCACAGGGCGGCACCGAAGAGCATGAACCACGTGGTAGGGTGGTAGCTGTTAGTGTAGAGACCGGCACCATAGATGGGGTAACCGATGGCACCGAGAACGAGACCGAAACGAAGACCAATGCGGTTGTTGATGGCACCAGCGGCGATACACACCACGGCGAACAATCCGTAGACCAGCGCATTCGCGGCCGAGACGGCGTAGGGCTCGGCAGAGCCACCCGCACCGAGGTTGTTCAGCGCATCCCACATTCCGGGTGCGGTGAATGAAACACCACTGGCAATGGCGATTTGGAAAGGAATGGACCGAACGAATGACCAGCGAGATCGGGTCAGCTGGTGGGTTTCATTGGTATGCTCAGAGGTAACCTCTGCTTCGGCGACTGGAGGGGCCATAATGAATTTCCTCCTTTGGACACAAGGGTCCTGTATATATACAAATGAATGATATATGCAAGATGAAGATAGGATGAACTAAAGAAAAAAGAAAAGAAAGTGTAGAAGAATATATCGATTGATAAAAAAAAAAGCACAGTGGGTCTTGAAGATGTCGTGCTCAACGCCAAGACTTTGCAAGAGCGGCAAAAAGCAAACTTTGACACATCGCCACCCACGTTGTGCTCGCGTGCCTTCCTTTCTAGGCTCTTCGCGAATAACCCTAAAATGACATGCTCCGAATGCCTCGTTATATCCTTGATATTGAAGCCGCTAGGGGCCTTAGAGGCCTTCGAGGTGTCAGTATGCGTCGAATAATATATCTCATGCACGGTATATGCACGTAATCCTAAATTTTCATGCAGAAAGAGCCCCACTTGAGCTTGCTTTTCGTCGGTCGCGGCTCACAAGGAACGCAATCAGGCCAATGCTGAGGAATTGCCCGACAGTAGTGACCAGATTAGAGATAAATCCAGCTTTGAAGTATGGTGCAGCAGTAGCCGGGTACTGGAAGATCTGAGTCCAGGCCGCCATTGCCTGTCCAATGGCGTTCATGCTTGCGGTGACAATGGCTCTTTCCTCGGCATCGTTGGCCATAGTGATGGTGGCCCAGCTCATGGTGAGTGGACTGATGGCTGTACGGTCGAAAGTTAAATCACTCCTTCGGCTATAATTACCGAGAGATAATCTCAACGGGCCCCAATTTTTCACTCACCTCCTTCGAACCCAGTGATGATGAACCCCACCAGCCGTCCCGTCTCGCCAACATTGTAAGCAACCAACAAAATCACACCCACCAAAACGGGGATACTCGTCACCACAGATGGAATCCAGAAATTGTGTAGACGATCCGCAGTAACGCCTGCGACGAGTGCGGCGACAACAGAGATCGCTGTTGCGATCGTTGGCAGAGTGTTCACCCGCGAGACCGAGTAGACGTCCGGCTTTGCCTTGAGATAGAGACTGAAAGGCGTCGAGTACGGGGTGAAGTTCTGATCCATGAGAATCCAGTGAACGACAAAGACATACCAATGCCAGCGCCCAAAGACACGCTTGAAGATCGCCCGTGAAACCTTCAGTTCGCTCGGTGCCGTCAATCCTTTCAATCGACTGTTGGCGATCTCGTGCTCAGCCGCAGTCAAAAACCGCGGCTTAGAGCGATGCGGAACATCAGGAAAGACAAAGTAACCACTGATATAAGTTAGTCGAAGTCCAAACAATCAAAAACAAAAAATAAGAAAAGAAAAGAAAAGAACATGTCCAACTCACAGAAGGCAAATTGGAATCGTAATCACCGTACAAATAACGAACAACCACCTTCTCAAAGATCAGCACCCATCCCAATCTATAAATAGTCCCACATACCTCCACCCAGCCAACCCATGCGTCCCTTCAAGATTCGTATAGGCAGCAGCCTGCAAATAACCCGCAAACATAGTCCCAAGCGGCGAAGCAATGAAGAACAGCGCAACACGCCGCGTCACCTCACCAGGCTTATACCACGAGCCGATCACGTAAATGACGCCAGTGAACGAGCAAGACTCACAAATCCCAATAAAAAAGCGCATTGCGTAAATAGTTTCCAGATTGCGCGCCCACGCACATCCAAACGTAAACAGCCCCCAGCCGACCTCGAGGCTCGGGAGGGCTATGTTTATTCGCGTGCGGGTTAGCCAGTAGCAGGCTGGTATCATGGATGTGCAGTACGAGGCCCAGAATACGGCTGTTATGTAGTTTAGGGTGTTACCGGTTAGGTTGAGGTCTTCTTTCATGCCGCTGGTTTTGGTTAGGGTTGTTTGTTTGGTAGGGTGTGGGGATGGGGATGGGGTGGACTTGCGATACGTAGGCGTTGGTGATGGCTTGTTGGTCGAGGTACTTTGTGAAGAATGAGAGACAGCCGAAGATTAGGATCATGAGGTCGAGTTTGAGGATGAGTTTCTTTTCGGCGTGTGGCATGTCGGTTGGGTACCATTTGACTTTTGTGAGGAATTGTAGCCATAGTCCATCTTTGGCTGACGGGGGTTGGGATGTGTCGAGTTCATGGCTGGTGATATCGTGGTTGGACTTTGCATCGAGTGCAATTGGGCTCTGCATGGTTCCTGTGGAGGCCGTGTCCGTGGATACAAGTAATTATTCATTGCGGCAGGTACTGGTTTTATTCAAGTGCTGGAGTGCAGGTTGGGCTATAGTGAAAGATGCGACGATTATCACGAGCGATGGTGTCATCTATATAGATAGTGTGCATACTGCGGAGAAATCGAAGACCCCGGAGAGTGACCGAGTCTGATGGCCACGCTAACAACTCATCTCGGCAATTGAGATACACAACATGCAGAGAGTGAGATGGTGATTGGTAGTACTTACGCCCCTAAGCCATCTACAATGCAAGTCATGGGTCCGAGCTCAAACATGTTACTGAGAAAGTGAGAAACCGAAGTGAAATTAACATAATGTACCGCTCATGTGTATGTAAAGAAAGAAACAATGCGTGTCATCACATAATATACATCCTCAGGTCTTGACCTCAATCTTGTACTGGGGAACCGAGAAGGTGACATGATCGTCAACACTATAGGCCTCAGTTCCGAAACTCAGACTGCCGAGATAGTCGTCACTGGAGGGGTAGTCTTCACCCTCCATGTTGTAAAGAGCGCTGATCAGGGGATAGATGTCACCAGTGAACGTTTCGGTGGGGTCTGTGATATACGGGTTGGCGAGCCATGACAACACCATCGTTCCCTCGTCATTCTTGTCCTGGAAGAGCGTGCTGGAGGTTGCATGTTAGCGGGTGGTGTCTAGCGCTACTGACGAAAGGTGCGACTTACAATTGAGTCCCGTCGATGGTCTTGTTCATTCCGGGCTTGCCCCAACCGTGGGGCTGAGCAGTCACGGAGGACATCCAGAACCACACCATGACTTCGAACTTGGCGTTCGATCCATTGACCGCCTTATCCTTATCTGAATCCAAGAACATATCAATGGCGACGTTGGTAGCGAGGCTCAGGTCGGTCAGCGCAGAAACGTCGGTGGTTTCAGCGGTCTTGTTCTTTCCCACTCCATATGTCCAGTGGACATCCACATTGAGTTCCGATACATCGCTCATCTTCTTTGGCAAGACGTCATCCACCCGAATATTGGAATAGGCGTGCACAGGTGCCTTCTCGGGACCTGGATTGAATTGCCAGGTGACCGAGAACTCGGGCGCAGTGTTGGTCGGGTATGTTTCGTTGTGCCAGTAAAGGACCTAGATTGGAGACCGGTTAGCAAGTGATTCCCACGTGAAGTTGGGGAGAAGAGAGAGAGAGAGAGGGATCATCGCATACATCCATACACAGGTCGCCCTTGGTTGAATCGGTTACACCCCACTGGTTGGGGTTCACTATCTCGGTCAGTACTCGGTGTTCAGTCGCAGATTGCCGAGAGGATTGACTCACGGGTGTATTGCTCAGTCTTGGAGGGTGGAATAATTCCGTAAGAAAGGTCACATTGACTGTGAATGGTCATGCCATTGTCGTGGGGAGTTGAGCCAGTGCCGCCGCCAGTGCCAGCGCCAGAACCACCACTGCCGTCGTCGGTGTCTCCCGTGAAGAGAGGCTTCTGTCCGGTAGCCGAACGATGGGCATCAATGCCCATCAGGGCTCCAACGCTGCCCCCGATGGGGATGGCCACCAGGACCGCGTTGACCAGCAAACCAATTCCGACAACCATGGCCGCAAAGCAATAGCAAGAGATATAAGCTAGAATAGAGAAGGAGGGGACAACCGCAAGATTCTCAACACAGCAAGGAAGATCCAAAGAGTAAGGCAAAGAGTGAAAAAAAAAGCGAACCACGATTCACATGGGAGATCAGCAAATGGGATCAAAGAATCGAGGCGACAAAACTCGGGTGGCTATCACGACGGATAGCGATAAGTGGAAGGGACCGACCGGGGTGGAGGCGGTTGATGCATCTGGTTAGAAGTGTTTAAGATGATCGAGGCTAAGAGTGGCTAAAGGAAGGGTAAGTGTGGGTTCAACAGACAAGCCTGGCTAAGCCCATGCATGCATATTGTTACAATACAATAAGTACGTACACAGTACCAAATAAAAAAGAGAAAAAAGGTACCGGTTCAGGTACCAGAGATGTAACCCTATCATTCGTCATCGGAGGGGGAGGTGGGTCAGGCTGCCTTGTTTGTTGAGTTTGCACTCCGTTGATTGGGTCTCAGTGACTCTCACGGATTCTGACTAATCTCGCGTGGGTGACATCTTTATGAATTCGGTGTTCCTGGGAAATATTACGGTAAATACACCACAGATTTCGAAAGTGCAAACCCAAACGATAAAATACCAGGTACCGCAAGCGGAGAGGAAAAAAAACTTCCCAAACCTCGGGGAAACGGGCAGGGGAAAATCAAGAAAATCAGAGACATCCAGCCGTTGAAGCCAGACCCCGACATTGGTCAAACTGGTCTAGCGCCAATCAGAAAATTCAGAGAAATGACCGAATAATGCTATTTTTATTAGTGCAGCACAGCGCCACCAAATGCGGCCAACCTCTTGGCCCACTAGTCTCAGGGCTTAATCATTTTTCTATAGGATCGGCCGGTCTGCCCCATTTTACCATACGCAGTACGCCGATAAGAAGATTCCATAAGTCCCTTGGGTTCGGTTCTTCTCTTTAACCTCCCACATAACCAGCTCGCCGGGCTGATCACCTTCGTTTGGGCTTCCATTCCTGTCGAACATTCCGATTATCGTCGAGATGGATCGCCGCCATGCTCATGATGAGGATGAGAAGGTCGAGTTGAACACTTATCGCTACCAATCGAACAACGTCAGCTTCGATCAAGAGCCCTTCTCACCATCACCGATCTCCCCGAGAGCCCTCACTCCCGTCAGGCCCGGTCATTTCCCTACCGATGAATATGGTCAGCCTGTCTGGCTGCAGCCCTCTGCTCGGATGTCCGGTCACTCCGACTCGATCAACGGATCGCCGTGGAATACACAAACGCCCTACGATTCCCGATCAGCTTCCCCAACCTTGGTACATCGAGTCCTCTCTATTCCCATTTTCTTTCCCTGTATTCTTCGTTGTGCAGATCCGCTAACCGATCCCAATAGTACCAGGGTGGTGTGCAAGAAAGTCACCAGAGTCTCGCCCCGTTGGTAACGGCGCCGGCCTCGCCCGGATTCGCCAAGGATTGGGTCAAGTCGGGATCGATTGCTCGAATCCACGACCGAGACGATGTGGAAATTTGGAAAGGATGGAAGCGTTGGGTCTTCTTCCTCGTGCCCTTCCTGACTTTGGCAAACACGGGTATCTACCTGTTCTATCTGGGCCTGCGCATTGCGTGTATTATTATGGCGCAAAATGTGGCCGGGGTATCCTACGCCGGAGCGTGGGTGTTTGTCGCTATTGAAATCACTGTCGCAATCCCCTCGCTCATGCACAACTGCTGGACGATGATGGCCCTGAAGAAGCGTGGCCGCGCCAAGCTGCGACTTACCGGTAATGAATGCCCGACAGTCGATGTTTTCATCACCTGTTGCGGAGAAGAAGACGAGGTTGTCATGGATACTGTTCGCGGTGCCTGTGACCAGGACTACCCCCGCGACTCGATGCGAGTGATCATCTTGGACGACGCCAAGTCCAAGACCCTCGAAGACGCCTGCAACCAGCTCGCTACGGTTCACCCCAACGTCATCTACATGGCCCGTGAAAAGATCCCTGGCAAGCCCCACCACTTCAAGGCGGGTAACCTCAACTACGGTCTAGACCAGGTGAACCTGCTTCCCGGGGGCGCTGGCCAGTTCATGGCTGCCCTGGATGCTGATATGGTAAACAATACGCGGCTCACATCAAAATTTCGAACCTGACTGACACCCTGCAGATTCCCGAGCAAGACTGGCTCCGTGCGATCCTTCCCCACTTGTTGGTGGATCCCAAGATGGCCCTTGCATGCCCGCCTCAGCTGTTTTACAACACCCCTGCATCCGACCCCCTCGCCCAAAGTTTAGATTTCTTCGTGCATGTTATTGAGCCGATCAAGGACGCCCTCGGTGTTGCCTGGTGTACCGGTTCGGGATACGTTGTCCGCCGCGAGGCCCTCGAAGAGATCGGCAACTTCCCGCTCGGTTCGTTGGCGGAAGATGTCGCGACCTCCACCCTCATGCTTGGCAGAGGATGGAGGACCGCATACGTCCACGAACCTCTTCAATTCGGTACCGTCCCAGAGGACTTTGGTGGACATCTCAAGCAACGTACACGATGGGCCATTGGAACCGTCGACACCGCTGCCAAGCTCAAGTTCTGTCTCTGGGGAGATGCCGTTCGAAAGATGACATTCGCCCAGCGCTTCTCCGGTTTCCTCTATGCTACCCTTAGTGTGTACACTCTGCTGCTCACCGCATCCCTCTTCGCCATTCCTATCATTCTGCTGTGGGGCAAGCGCCTCGTCGCCTTTGCTACCGAGGAGCAACTCCGCTGGTTGATCTGGGCCTGTTTCGCCGCGACCATTTCCAACCGTCTCTGCGAAATGGCCCTCTTCATTCCTGCCGGCTACCACACCGGTCAGCGAGGCTCGCGCTACCAACTCTGGATGTCGCCCTACATCGCCCTCTGTATCGTGCGCTCTTTCCTCCTTCCCACCTGGCTGGGTGGTCAAACCCAGGCCTTCAAGCCTACCGGTTCCCTCGGCTCCACCTTGAACGAGCGTGACCCCAAAAAGTCCAAGAACATGTTTGTTCGTCTTCGCGTTATCCTCTTCAACTACATGGCTAGTTTCCACCTAGCTTTCGTCTACGTCACCCTCATCGCAGTTGTCATCTCCTCTTACCGTTGCTTCGCCCAAAACTCCGGCTTCAGAGATATCATCCTGTGTCTTATCACCCACGCGTTCTGGCCTCCACTTACCTTCCTCTTCATCTGCTCTTCGCTCTGGACCCCCGTCTCCTATGCGATTCACCCACCTTCCATGCCGGATCGCGAAGATCTCCTCACTCGCGATCCCAAAACCGGTGTTGCCCACCCGACCAAGAAGAGCAAGAAGATTGCCTTCGGTGGCCAAGCCGCATGGTTCGAGCTCCAGTACATGGTCGCCACCGTCGCGACAGTCCTGGTCTTTGTTTATTCCTTCATCTTCTGATTCATCTTATCCATCTCGCCCTTTAATTCGGCCTGGCTTTTTCTTTTCGAAAATCTATGTATAGCTCACGTGCCACATGCTCACCATCTACAGTTTTTTAGGCTCAGTCCTTACCTCAGTTCTTCATACCTTGCTCTCTATCTCTCCATGTATTTAGCTACAAAACGCACCGGGCGTCGGCTTTTGTCCTTGTTTCCCGGAGTTACTCTATATTGCATCTCATACAAATATATCCAAAATTCGGTATATATTGATCACATCATTCTTTCAAGCTTTCATTTAAAAAAAATCAATATGCAGAGTACGGAGATTAGCAAAAACTCTACATGATTATGACCTGTCAATGAGGCAGTGTAATTCGTACGCGCCTGTAACATCCCGGTATCCCCCCTCAAACCACCCAGACCAATCACCTGCTCCGTGAGTGATCGGCATTAGATCCCAAGCCCTGGCCGCGTTGCCCGGGTTATATGACCTGTATCGCGTGAGTTGCATATCGGACGTTTCTTCAACTTATTTACTCCGTATGATTTGCAAGGTTCTAAGGATTATATTTAATTTGATTTCATTTTTTTTTTTGCCAGCTCATAATACCCCATCGAGTCAAGGGATTACCGCGGCTGAGAGGTACGGAGTATACTTCCTTGTTTATTTTCATGCTATTGTTTTCCCGCCCAGCGGCCTGATCGTCACCCCCCAGTGCGTTCGCAATAACTAGTTTATGTACCTGCCACTTGTTTCCTTATCTTCAACCCGTCTTTTCATTGTCACCGCTGTTTTGATGACGACTCTTTGAAGTCCATGTCATAAAGCTTGCGCGAACAAAGCTTCTGAATGGGGTTCACCGCTGGAATGGAGGATGGGTTCGAGTCTGAGCGTAGCTGGGATTGTCGATGTATGGGGAAGCTTAAGAGGGGTCCATAGTCAAATGAAATCTATGAAAAGGTTGTCGTTGTCGGGCTAGGGATTGGGCATCGGCGATCCATAGATATTGCCAAACGCCAAACTAATAATTGGCAGATAACGGCATCCCGAGGTCCTTTGGGCGTTTGTCCCCACAATGCTGAGTCGAGATAAGCACCTGGGCATATACGGAGTAACATTTCTGGAAGTCAAGAAAAGTCTGGCTGTCAATGTTAGGCGCTTTACTCCAGTATTCTTCGATCACCTAGATACGATATTGGAAATCCACCAATCGAATGCTTGGCATGGTACAATCTATATATATTCGGCAATAAACTGCGGCTAATTCGATCAATGACACCCGTGGACATGTGCTCAATACTTCCAAGGGTTTCGGAAAGTTTGCGTTTCATGTACCTTTAGTCTAGGACTTTGAAGATTTCCATGTTCACTGCCTCTGAAACATCCAAAAGTGACTTTCTCATACCAGAGATATAGGGACCATTTCCAACATTGCCCTTTTGTGTCCAACTTCGGAAGAGCTGGATCTCTGGGAGTTATCTAATGCTGAGATTTCCGTATATAAATCTCGAGGTCTTCGCTCTGTAACGTTGGAATAGACAACCGGAGCTAGAAAGAGGGCGGCGATGCAACTCTCAAAGGATTCAAAAGTTTAGCGGTGCGTAAGCTGGAATTTTATTGTTTACATAGTTTTCTACCCTTTCTAGCTCCGCATAAAAGTGAAAATCAGACTACACACCCTCTTCAGCTGTTTCCGGCGGAGAGCGCGCTGCCTTTGCCTTTGCCTTTCGATTAATCAAACCAGGAGCTCCTAGTGCGATCTTTGGCAGAATCACCATGTTGTCTCTCTCCCAATCATCTACAACTCCAATCAAACCGTCTTCCCTTTGCAATTCTTCAGATTGGTATTTGATCATGAGCCCAAGAGCAGGCAAGTTGCTCACTGAGGATCCCATACGCAGCACAGCAAGGGCATCCAAGGCTGGAGACCATGTCGGGGTGCTGTAGATATAACAAGCAAGGGTAATCAGGACAAGTAACTGCAGACCGAGCAACACGCTGACTGCAATCCTGCCATTCGAGGACATGACAGGTTGGTTAACGTTGTTCCACTGCTACTAAGAATTGGGCGTGCGGTGGGCGACTCATTGGCAGCCTGTTGACCTGAGCCCGAGGTCGCAGATTGAGTCTGAAGTAAATAGATCTCCAGCGAAAAGTACATGGCCGAAAGCAAAGATTGAAGTGCCTGAATGGCTTTCACTCTCTTGGGGCTGAAAATTTGTGAATTCTCCAGCACGACTGCCTCCGGAGAAGTCTCGCCCACATATGAAGTCTCCTTGTTTCAGAAGGAAGGCGAACAAAGGTTATGCAATTCTGTGAACTGGCCGCAGACTTACTTTGCCGACGTCTCTTTGGTTTGTTGCACAGTATCATGAGAATGGGATGGAGGCCTGTTGGCAGATTGGGCTGAAGATGGTGGCTGAATCTGTTTCATTCGCGGAAGCCAAGGACTTGGTGTTCAATAACGAATATTTGCCAAATAATGCCTTGGAAGAGCGTGTCAAGCGTCCAGGCATTGGGGAATTGTTATCAGTTGAGTTATCCGAGTACGAAGTATGTCGCAGGTAATTGCCAGGTGGGAGCGGCGTCCGTCGCTAGTGCCCTTTACGACGTAAATGAGTAAGTTTCTGGGTGATAATCCACTAGAAGGAAGTACTTACATTGTGGTTGGGGCTTCCGAAAAGACATGATCGTCGTTGTGTTTAAAAACGTAGTCGTTGAACTTCCTGTGTGATAATGTATACCAGGGCAAACCCTCAATGATACATGGCACACTTCCAAGAAATTAATGAAAGGAACCATAGGTTGCGCGCGGGAAAATATGGCTACTGGTATTCTTCAAGGTCTTGAGTCAAATGATCATGGACATAGCCAGTGAACGTGGTAGAAGTTTGAACAGCCTGTTGGACAATAGACAGCCCACTTGCCTCAAGCGACCGACAGTCCAATGCTAGATGGATAATGCCAAACCTACCGGGAAACATTGGAAGCAACGGAAAGAGATTGTTAGTTATCGTGAGATGTTCATAGGTCGCCATTATCGGTGTCAAACAAAGAGCATCCATGGATTATACGAGGAACTAGGCAAAAAGGATCGAAGATCACCATTTGACTATCGTTGGAAAGTCGTGAACTGCTCTACGATTCGGTAAATATTATGAAAAGAGATAAGCATGTGGGATTGGAATCCAGACTTGCAGTGATGGTACGCAAATAGCCCTGGAGTGTTACAGTCGATGCCAAGACTCGCTAACTTGCATTAGGAATGCATATCCTTAATGCGAACGCCTGGGACGGCGACATCTGCAACATCTCTCCCCTGATCGCCCCCATGACTCCGGAAGGGACAGGGGTCGCCAAGAATTGATTGTCGTCATTGGAGACTACTGCCGAACACTAAGTCTTGTTGGGTAGCAGGACTATGATGCAGTGAGGTCCACCAACCCCGGATTATAACCGCCGACAGGCTGGGGGATGATAAGGATTACCCTTTACGGTATCTCTAAACAGCGTGGGCCGGGGCAGCCGAACCGGGGACCGAATTACATCTCGGTGCTCTGGATCGTGATGGAACCTGGAGAGAACCAATCGTGGAGCAGCGTCGGATTCGTTCCGCTGCCCGCCTTGCCACACCTCGAGCTCGGGCTGAATATCTTTTATTTCACGGCAGTGCGGGTGTGCTGGTCTTTAAGCCATTCGGTCCGGTTGGGAATCTACCGGTCACCTGATCGGTTGCTTGATATACCTCCCGCCACGAATTGGCCAGGAATTGGCCACCTGATTGCCATGAACTTCCAAACATGTCATTCGTCTCGGATCTGACAGGTCTTGGACCGAAAGGCTCTTCGGATTGGGTTTGGCCCACCGAGAGCCGTGTCGAAAGGGTGATGATGCTGATACCGTCATGCCTATATAGATGACCAGATATCTTCGTCTTCAATGATATCCATCAGCATCTCCACAGATCAAACAAAGATCAGCTTCAATCTTCTCTACTCTTAATTACGAAGACTTGTCTTTGAATCCATCACAATGTCCTTCTTGAGGAATTACTTCGGCACCACTGCCCCGGCCCCAGAGCCTACCCCAGCAAAGGAGGGCAAGACTCCCGTCCGAGCTCTCCCTGCTTCCTGGTACACTTCTCAGGCCATGTACGAGTTGGAGCAGCGTTCAATCTTTGGACGCAAGTGGCTTCTTACCACCCACAAGGCCCGCGTTCCCAACCCCGGTGACTGTGTCAAGTATGACGCTGCTGGCTATGAGTTCCTCGTCGCCCGCGATTTGCAAGGAAACGTCAGTGCCTTCCATGCCAATGACCTTCTCCCCGCCCATACCCACATCGATCTCAATGGCTTCGTGTGGGTCAACATGGACGCTAGCGAAACACCTGAGGTCGCCTGGAAGGACGACTTCGATGGTGTGGATGAGCAGCCCCGATTCCAGTACTACAACTTCGATGAGTACAACTTTGACCACACCTGGGACATGGAGGGAGAATTCAACTGGAAGATTCTCGCCGACAACTACAACGAGTGCTACCACTGCCTTGTTGCCCACCCTGACATCCCCACAATTGCCGATCTGAACTCCTATTACGTCAAGACAAAGGACGGCCACATTCAGCACTACGGTGCCGCCCGTCAAGACCAGATCGACAAGGGATTCCGCATCGCAACCACCTACTTCTGGCCCAACGCCTCCTTCAATGTCTCGTGAGTACATCGCTTCCAGCCCCATGAGCACAGCTAACAATCTCCAGTCCCAACTTCTTCTTCATGCAGCGCTTCACACCAGTCAGCCCCACGAAATCCGTGATGCGCTACGAAGTCTACCGCCACAAGGACGCCACAGACGAAGCCTTTAACCTCATAAGCGACATGTACAAGCGCATCATGTCCGAGGACAAGGTGCTCTGCATGCTCTCGCAGAGAAACCTCAACGGTGGCGTCTTCGTCAACGGCCAGCTTCACCCCGAGATGGAGTCCGGCCCTCTTCACTTCCAGAAGACCGTCCGAGATGTTGTCGTCGAGCACCACGGGAAGGAAGAGGCTGCCGGCCACAAGATCTGGCCTGCTCACCGCCGCGCCATTGAAGCTCCTGTTATCGATGAGAAGGCTACTTCGACTGTTGAGGAAGTCGCTGTCGATGACTACACATTCCGCACTGGAGGAGACACATACGCTGAGGCGGACTACTCCATGAACAGCGGGTTCGCACCAGCTATCGCTGTCTAGAGTCTTCGGGATGACTTTCTTTCATGATTAATGTGTTACTTTATATGACTTTGCTAGCGGTTTTTGCGATTTGATTATTTTTAGACATTGATTTACTACAGAATGAACTTTACATACTTCTGCATCTTCTACAAACGTTCTTAATAATATGTCTAAACCCTCCAGGGCTGCATTCAGAATGATGAAGTTCAAGGCACGGAAGTACCTTGGAGCCCACAGCCTTTTCCAAGACTTTGGTATTTTTGCCCATTGCATCTATGGATTGAGACCAAAATAGATGAAGCCGAAAGGTTATCAGCGCATCTGAATATTGGTCACTTGGAAGTATTGAAACTGGCAGCACATTCCATAGCAAAACCAAAGCATCGAGCATACCACCCTTGGGACCAATAGCTCAGCTCCACACAATGAGGCGCATCTCTCATAAAACTCCCATCAACACGTGTACTCCTGGTGAATGCCTTAACGCATGTATCAACCTCCTCTTCTGTTGCCACGAAAAATAGGTCATCTTCAACAAGAGAAAACATCACGGGAGCTGAGACAAGCGATGCCCACTTCTGTTTCCAAGTAGGAAGCCAAAGAGCCGCAAATCCAGCGACTTCTGCAATGGGATACACCGCGTTGAGTCGTGCGCTCTGTTCCAAAATCTCGGGGTCGAATGTCCCAGGCTTGAACATAGCCTGGTCTTTTGCCTCCAGGGGAAATAGTGCATGGTCCTTGTCAACAAGTGCGAAAGAAGGTGTACTGCCTTTCATAGCTGAGGATTGCTTGTCACCCATGCCACTTGCAATCAAACCACCTAATGGGTATAGTGGCTTTCCATCTTGTGCGTGGAAAGCTGCTGTGATGATACCTGGGATGACTCCTAGGCTGTGACATAGCAGGATTATGCAATTGCAATCGTTCGGTAACCCAATCCTGCGCCAAATTTCTGGAAGAATTTGTTGATGGAGCTGAAGAGCAGAAAGCTCAAAGAAGTCGGTGCCTTGGGGGATAGGCAGGATGGAGCTTGTGCCACCATAGGAAGGGCGGTCGATCGATACAAATGGAACTCCGAAGGCATTACTTGCGACAGCAGCGGAGGTTTTCGGGGATGCGTCGAAATATTGGTGATCATAGCACCCTCCGTGTAGGGCTACGATCAGGGGGCGAGAGTTGAGAAGGGACCCTTGACATTGTGGTATATGTTTGAGACCACGTACAGTTCTGTTGTCGGGAAGGGCGTATTCGAATGACTCCATTGTGATGCGAAAATATGTAACTTATGCGATATGCCTCAGACACTCTTCTTGATTCATATATGTCCAAAACAAACAAGCAACCCTTGGAAGGCCGAAATATCCGAAACAAAAATTGAAAAATTGGAGATGGTCTTCGGACAGTAAAGCCGGTGGTCGGTGTTAAGCTTATCACCGGTCATCATGGCCTCGGGAGAATAAAAGGTTATGAGCTCCACAATTCCCAAGGTCCACGGGTGGATGTTGGCCATGAATAAGTGGATCAATGAGAATATATCTGAGAAGAGAATACTTGAAGAAAATTCCATTGATAACCCTGAGGCCCTTCCAAGTTAGGTTTCAGATCGGTGTAGCCCTGGAGAGGTCGCATGATATTTTACGCACGTTGTATAAAAGAAAATTGCTATTAATTCGGAGTATCATTGGATAATCTACTTTTGCTACAGTTGAGAGCTTCGCATTTTCCAAGGTTACAAGACCGCACCTCCGTAGATATTGACTTAGACAAATTGTAAGAACATCTGGCTCAATTCTCACATTCGGTAAGCAACTTCCAAGGCCATGGAAACCATTTAAAGAGTATAAATGAAATCATGGTTCTCTCGGTCTGTGAGATCAAGCCATCTAGAATCGTTAGTAGATTGTCCAGAAGTCCATATCCCCATTAAAGGGAAACTCACTCCTGTCCTTCAATATGAATGTAGTCTGCTCGCGAGACGATCTCGGCCTTACGTCGGTTCTCCTTGTTATACCACCACCAGATCACCAGTAGTAAAAATATGCAGATTCCCCAGCATACGATGATAACAATTTCGGCTGAAACATATCGGGGTGCATCTTGGGGACGGAAGGTCAGTGGGCCTGACACAGTCAGTAAAAGCGTTTACTAGATGGTGATCGTTATAAATACCGATGATGTTGCCGGCACAGTATCCAATCAGGTACAAAGCAGCAACGGTGGTCTTCTTGGTATATCCGGCGACGTTTGAGGAGATTAATGAGAGGAGGGCCACGAATGCAGTTGGGAATGCCTGTGTCATATAGTACCCGATCAAACGACCAATGTTGTTGTCGAGTGGCAGTGCGACCATGAGGATCACGCCTAGTGTGGCTGCGAGTAGACCTCCAATACTGGACAGAATACGTTGCCCAGTCTTGTCGCCGATGATGCCATTTAGTACAAGAGCGATGACTTCAACTGCGCCGGCAGGTGTTCCATATAGGAGACTTTGCTCTGAAGTGTAGCCGAAACTTTTGATCTGATAAGATGGTGAGAATATGATCCGCTGACTCGGGGTTTATACTTACAAGTTGACTGAAGAAGTTGGTAATTCCGCCGTTGGGGATGTTCGCAAGCACGGCGAAAAAGAAGAAAGCCCACGTCATTGGATCAGTGAGTGCCTCTTTAGCTTGATACAATTTGAAGTGCTTGTTTCCAATACCTTGCTGATTGACACGAACGCGGGCAATGGCAAGGATTCGGTCTTCCTTTTTCAGCCAGCGTGCATTGAGCTGACTGTCTGGAACAACCCATAGGAAGATGAATCCCAAGAGGATTGTCAGCAAGCCTGTGAATAGGAACACAATTTTCCAAGGCGCGATGAGTGATCCATGCTTTTTGGTGCCGACAGCGATGCCGTAAGCAACAAGACCGCCGATGATCTGACCCCAGCCATTAAAACTGTACCAGATATTGACGCGTTTGCCTTGTTCATTTCGTGTATACCACTGTAATTCGCTGTCAGTAAGGCAAGCAGTTATGAAGGATCCGGGCAGAGCGAGTGTGTACCTGTGAGGTCAACAGAGCAAAACCCGGCGTGACGGCAGCTTCGAAAACTCCCAAGAAAAAGCGAATTGCAATCGCGCCGGACCAGTCCTTTGTGGCAGCAAAACAGCAAAGAATCATGCCCCAAATGAGTATACAAGCGGCAGAGTATTTACCCAAGGGTAAACGCTGCAGCAGTCGGTTGGTTGGATACTCCCAAGCAAGGTATCCTAAACAGTGTGAGTTCATGATATATTTTTCACGGGAATCCAGGAAAGCTCACCAAAGTAGAATAGACTACCAAGCCACTGGTACTGGTCATCAATCAAGTGAAGATCTTCTTTGAGACCCATGATACTGGCATAAGATAAGGTAGTTTCTGGGTGTGGTCAGCGTCGAGAAACGGAGTCTCTTGCCTGCATCGCATACTGTCGAGGAAGTTCATCGCGTAGACAAGACACATAATCGGCATGATGTGCCAGTCAATAGTCCGCACAAGACGGCGGTTGGTAGCTTCGTCGAGCTCAATGGCTTCGCCTTGCAGTTCTTCAAAGGCTTTCATGGCCTCGTCTGCATCGGGAGTGTGCTTGGCCAGCTTGTAATCGGCTGGCAAAGTCATCTCAATGTCCTGGGCGTTGGAAGTGCCCCTGGGCTCTTCCGTTTGTGCCATAATTGTGCACGAAAAGTATGCAAAGAGTTCAATGGTATCTTCCTAAGGAAGTAGAGGACTGAATGATATCATGAATATAGTGGGGCGAGTAGTCTGTTATATAGATTGCAAACCCTGACCTAGGGACTTTTGTGGGCTTGATCGATAGCGGCTGACTTTACTCATTCCATCAATAATAGTCTGGGGTAAGAGCATACGTGGAACCGGGGGAGTCCAAGTGAATGGGCAGATCGGCAAAGGCTCAAAGGGCTCCCCCCACAACGTGCCTCACCGGCCTATAGAAGCTTATCTCATTAGACTTTTTGATGACCAAATAGACTTACGGTCAACCGTATCTGTGCTCCTTGCTCTGTTCCTTCGCCAGTCCCGAGGTCTTATCTGCTACTGCATGCAGTGTGTGCGTTTGAACTTGTTGGTTCCGCTTTTTCATTTGCCCCCTTGCCGGCGTGGTGCACCCACCCATCCCTCGCAAATCCACAGAAGTGATTCGCCCCCAAGGAACCAAGTGTTTTCGTAACATGTTAAGCATTCCGGGGACTTTTCGAGCCATGTCACCAAAGCTTACCGGCAAACGTGGTCTTCAACTCAAACCAACCGCTTGCAGCGGGAGGAGTCTGCATTAGCCTTAAGCGCCCCATGATCCGATTGGAGACCGCGTCCGACTACCCGCATGCGAGATCGGATTCACGTTGGACTGCGTAGCCGAGAATTCAAAAGGAATGCGGGGTGAAGGTGGCCATCCACGTTCCACCGTGCCAAGCGGCAGTCCGTGCGCCCGCTCCGAAGCTTGGCTTTCGGCTCTCTTTCAATCTACACACGGCCTTCATTACTCCTGACTTCCCTGGTGGCTTTCAGTTCGCCGCGGGAAATCCTCCTCGTCTCAAGAGGGGTCTGCTGACCCTTCAATTCTCAACGGATTGAGTAGTGGAGGTCCCGTATCTACATCTCCACAGGGATACCCACATGGTCAATGTGTTAGTGTCTCCGCAACCTACTAGCATGAGTTCTAGCCCTGTGGTAGTTGGAAGAACCTTGTGAAAAAAGCTTGAACATTTCAGATGTAGACCCTTGTAAATATTTGACAGAATCATCTCTCCGAATACATTTCAGTATTCGCAATTCCCAAAAAGAGAATCCGTAAAGACATGGTCGATTATCTCGTGCCGCACGGGTTTATAGATCGGCACGACCTCCTTCCCCTTTGGGACCAGCCACCACGCCTCCCCACGGCCCTTCGGAATGTCTCGGAGTTGCCACTAGCTTTCGGTGTTCAACCGGAATTTAAACCCTATCAGCCATAGTGAAGCTCATATCTTCGGAGTTCGATCGCTATAACGATGCCAGATATGGTCTGCGGTGGCCGTGAACAAATCTCAACGGTCTCCTCAAATCAATCAAAAACAATTCTTTCTCTTGATCTATTCCATGTCGAAGCAGCCTACATATAATCACAAATCTGCACACGCCATGCTGAACCTCCCATCGCCAACGTCGCCCACGCTAGAAACACAATGGCCCTGCCCGTTGCCGAACCCCGCGAACCCCGTGAGCTCTAGTACAGTTCGACCAACCTCCCCGCAACCAAAGCCAACACACATACCCGCACAAGCACGTCAAGCCACAACACCGGAGCCCCCAGCTCCCCCATTTCGCAACGTCTCCGCATGCAACAGGTGCCGACTTCGCAAGCATCGCTGCGATCAACGCCTGCCCCGCTGTGAATCATGCGAAAAGGCCGGAGTACGATGCGTTGGATACGACCCCCTCACAAAGCAAGAAGTCCCGCGCAGCTATGTGTCTTTCCTCGAGAACAGAGTCAACTACCTTACCGAGGTCCTACTTGACCACGGGATTGATTTCAAGCCTCCTATCGCCTACGATGAAGAAGAGACTCTCCGCATGGAGGCTGAGCGCTCAGAGACAGAGTCGGGTGGAGTGAAGGACAAGGTCGCAGCCTTGAGACCATCACTCATCGAGCAAGCAGAAACCATATCTCGCAAGAGAAAGCTGAATCCTTATTCCGAGGACAAGATTCCTGCCAGGCAGGTTAAGCGCCTGTCACAACTGAACGTGCTACTCAAAGAGCTGTTCAATGACGGCTGCGCACATCAATGTCCCCAACGGGAGCGGAGGCCTAGACAAAACCCACCCAGAGTGACTAGGCAGCGCCAAGAAGTACCTTTACCTCGAGGCGTCAGGTCATCGTGGTCTCCACAGAGCTTCCAGTCTATGGATCACAGTGATGGTCGGACCAGCCCTGAGACGGCGTCTCCGAGCTCATCCCATGATCAATATCCATACTCATATCACGATACAAGCCCGCGGCGCGGAATGTCTCTCTTCGGTGCTGCTTCTATCCTCGACTCTGATAATGCGTCCCGAGTGTATGAGCCTAGACATCACCCGGATACTGATTTGGAGTTGAGTGATTTCCCATTCAATCGTTCAGCGACAAAGTCATTTAGAGGTGGTGACTTTTTGGAACCTGGGAACACTCCTAGAGGCTTCCGGATTCCAAACTATCTACCGCAGAAGGCGCAGGAGTGTCCTCCGCCAGAGCCTAAATTTGATATTGCTGCTGATCTTCTTCGTGGGCGGAGAGAGAGAAGCGAGAGGGTTGATAGGGAGCGAGCCAATTTTGATTTGCTTGATGAGTTTCTGGTTGATTGGGCCGAATGATCATCGCTCTTCATGTTATGGCTAGTGTATGTAGATCAATGTAAATATTACTCTTGACTTTTTCTCTCATGTTGGCCCTTGCCGCTGGCCAGGTGAATACTTTGCAGTTCGATGTGTTCACGAGTGGATTGCAGTTGCAATTTACGTAGCACATATGCTACATAAATCCTTGAATTCATGACCACATCTATGGATGTTCCAAGGACCTTTCAATTGGTATCAAGCGAAGGGGGGAAATCTGACATGATCCCACCCGGTCTAGATGAAATTTCGCATGCCATCAGGACAGACCCTTCGATCCCCCAAGGAATTGGAGATAATTTGCTAATTGGTGGTCAATGAGCTGTTTGGAGTTGGTCTTGGCTCGTTGATATCTTCGGTACATAGATCAAATACGCCTTTACAGACTGGCACGGACCAATCTATATTGGGAGTAGAAAAAGGCAAAATGGCAGTTCTTGCTGATTCAAAGCAGAGCAAATTTTCAGACGAATAGACCTGAGAGCTTGATCTCATACATTCCCGAGGTCTTGATCAATGTCCATATAACCCAAACAGCCTGAGACGTCAAGACAAATTCTTTATTACAATCAGGTCACAAGGCAAACATGTCAAAAACACACCCGAGACACCACCATGGGGTAAATAGCAAGTATACCTTGAACTTCCCCCAGGAACAAAACTTCCAGCCAGCGCTTTCAAGTCGTCCAACTATCCCTCCTGGTGCCCACCACCACACCACAGCCAGTTCCATGACGATCGTTGTTTCTTTGGAGCTTTGTAAAGTAAGTTTCTGACACGCGAAAGGACTAAACACAGAGCCTCACCTGGGTCGAGCGACGGATCATACTTGCCTGGGTGCCCTCTAGACGAGATAGGACGTCTATGTGGTTGATGTTGGGCCTTGGGTGGTTGCAGTGAATTCTTTGGCCACGGGTTTACAGATTCTCCCAAACCAATAAACACGCCGAACAGGTAGCGCTTCATCTCACAAGTGTTCGCTTGTCCAAACAAGGGAGTGGTTTGCATGGGGTATAGCGATGTCCATCCGTTTCGAACTTTTTGGCTAAAATGCTCAGCGAGCTCATCCAGAATTCGTTCAGTGAGGGCATTGAATTCCCCGAGATTGCGTGGGAAGCTTTTGTGCGGCTTGCCATTTTTCATGGATTTGTACTCCCTGAGTGGTGTATCTGGAGGGAAACGATGCCCGGACATCTTGGGATTCTCGGACATCTTGAAGTTCCCCTCCCAACTTTCCTCGTTATTATCTTCCGCTTCAGTCTGATTCTGGTCTTTCGAAGGTTCACGAGGGGCTTTGGTGACATGGGCCGGATGGAAGGAAGAGCTTGAAGCCATGGCTGTGTAGACTCAAGGGACGTGCTTTGGGGAGTAATGCAAGTCAGCAAGGCGTACGTCGAGTTGGATACTTTTTGAATTGTGGTGTAGACCCCAATCTGAAGTTTCCCAAGGCTATCATGGGGGTAAAACTCTCCCATTTATGTAATATCCCCAACATTGAACATAATATAACCCATTTGTATCATTGAACGAAGCGAAATATCTCAAAATAACAGCGACTAGAGCCTTAACGTTTGATACCCATGGCCGCTGGGCCCACCTCTATTTTCACCACTCGTTTCGAATTCGAAATTTCAAAGCCACGGCGACGAGTAGTATCAACGTGCGTGACACTTAGTTGGCAAGGAAGTCCGACACCTCTATATCAGGGGACGATAAAGTGTGTTAGTCCCCAAAAGCCAGGGTTGGTAACTTGGCAGCGGCTCAGTTGTGTGATTGAGTAGGCGCCTTTCTCAATAGCCCTTGTAAGTGAGTAGGTACAGCTCTATAGCACATTTAACCAAAAGGCTCAGGGGACTGATAGATCTTTTGGACTTTCAATTTCAAGGACAGCTTTTCCTAATTCTCACTCAGCGTTGGCCGTTGCCCGGGTGTTTTCAATGAGATGGCCTCCCCAAAGTATGCTGTGGTTAATCAGAATAGGATGCTATCACCCTGGAGTGGGACATATATATTACCTAGGTATCCAATTTTCTGATATATTGCCCAGGTGTTGGTGTCAAACCAACCTTGGAACAACTTCGCTACATGTAGGTGGCAAGAATTGCCAACCGAATAACTAGACAGAACATCCATCTGGAAATTGGTCTTGAGCCATGATTCATCCTTCGTCAGTGGGAGCGCAAGTGAATGAAAACGATCGATCACGTATATGACGCCCGAGAATAGCACACTAAAGCCGTCATGGGGAAATATCCAGTGTTGTCAGCTACCAGTTGAAGTATCGTGATACCGCATCCTTTCCAAGGCTGACACGCGAGTACCCACCTGGGCAGTGCTCTACATAACCAAGGTACTCTGGATGGGCTAGATTTAGAATCAAGGGACATCAATTTAGATTGTCTTGGAAATACCAATAATTTGATTGTAATATTTTTATACAAATTCTCCTCATTCCACTTCGTAGACTGAGCGATGGTTCTTTGAACTCAACTCTGTCAGTCCCCTATCAAACGGACTATCTGACGCCAACTCCTTGACACCATGACTTAAACGCCTCGAAGCAGGCTGGGACCAATTGTCCCATTCCGAACCTCCTTGGCTTGAACCTGCTTGGCCAAACGTATTGAATGCTTCTTCCTTTCTGCGACGTCTTCGTCGGCGCCAGCATAAGCAACCCAATAAACATCCCAAACCGAGCACGCCTGCTCCCGCCCCGGCACCGGCGCCAATAGCAACTGTTTGAGAATGTGACAGACCGGTGTCTCCATTGGTGGACTTGGTCTCGGTTGGAGGGCTAGTGGCGGTTGGCTGTGTGGCCTTCTCTCCTGTGGTTGTTGTAGCGGATGTCGTCGATGCAGTTGGTACAGAGGTTGTTGACGGTATTGTTGTGGTGGTACCGTTTACCGACGTGACGACTGGCGCTACGCCAGCGGTTGCGGTGATCTCGGGATCGGCCATAGAGAACAGATTGGACGAGGCTTTGCTGCAGCAGTCATCTGCTGAACAGCAATACTTGCTTGAATTCTTTCCGCATCGCATAACCCATTCACCGCCATCAACACTCTCTATTCACGAAAGTCAGATTTGAACGTTGAGATTGTGTCTCTGTTGCCTCCGAGGCTATCTTATAACTCACCAGCTACGCAGTTCTCTGGGCACTCTGGTGATGACCAAGTCTTGTCTGTGCAAGTTCCTCGGATGAACTGCAATTCATTTCCTGTTGAGCCATCCCACCATCCGGCTGGCATGCATAGAGAGTTCGAGGTGCATAGAAATCCCGCTGTACAGCAAACACTCGCTTCGGCAGTACCATTGCAGGGTACGTCGTTTGAGATCGTGCCGTCCGGGGTATAGCACAGCGTGGAGGCAGCCAACTCAATGTGTTGGATTAAGATAACACATATTGAAAGAATGATCATGCGACACTGAAAGGAAGACCAGACAGAGACTAGTCCCATCTCATCACATCGAAGTCGATGCTGGAATATAATGTTGGTCAATATGGTAAGTTAAAGACTGGAAACAGGAAACTCAAAACAATAGGCACCAGGCGCTCTTCTTATGTGAGAAGAAATAATTATGAGAGTAGCCGCGAGGGGCTAGGAGGATGTTTGGGCTGGAAGGGGCTGACCAGGGTATGAGGCACAGTGGGCTCAACAGCAGGGTACAAAAAGAGACGAGTGGACCACATCACAACTGAGAGTCCCCACATGCGCTCTTGGACCCTTTTTGTTAGATACTCGCCCAGCCGCGGAAATGGATTTGCTAGTCAACGTGGAAGCGCTAAAGGTTTCTGAGGCCATTCGCTCACTGAATCCATATCGTGGCGTTTTTCCCTGTGGCGGGATACCGAAGACTATAAATAGAAAGTCATTAAGTCAGAGAAAAGGGACTGGATTCTGCTTGACACGTATCTCAGCAAGCCTGAGTGTTTCACGGATTGCAAACAGAGCCTCGGGCTGTGCTCCTTGGTGTTGTTGAGAAGAAGCAAATCCCACGCTTATCCGAGAGCACTTGAGGATAATCCGGTTCTGCATATTAAGCACTATACGGAGTCCATTTGAATGAAATATTGAGGCTCAGTGAATGAGAATGAACATGGTGGGTGCTGTCTGAGGATCTATTGGTCCCCGCTTAGCGCCGCTAAAACCAACCTAAACGAAGCTAAATGGAGCTAATGCGCCCTTCTAAGCGCCCCTAATGCACAGCTAAAGCCATTATCACTTCAGCGGCCAATCGTTTACTCGAGTCGCACCGATTTTGGACATGGATCAAAAAGCCCTGGATGCGGGCAGAGTGTATCATTAAGTCTGAGTAAAATTTACTACGAGTATCAGGATTCCGTACCTCGTCGCCTCCGCAGGTCCAGGTACTTAGCCGCATAGTCATTAGCCAAGACCGCATCACCTGTGAGGTGCATAACAGTCGCCTTCTTGGCCATCATCTCCGTCTGGCCCTTGATATCCTCGATCTCCTCATAGTGATCGTACGCCGAGTCAATATAGCCGAGCGCACGATTGATGTACTCCTTGCGAGAGGTCCTGGAGTCATTTCCCTGCAGACTCCACAGCTCACCTGCCATTCCCATGTTCGCATCCACAAGAAGCGAATATGCCTGGGCAATGAGAGCGTAGTCCTCTGTCTCAAGAGTCTGGGGCATGATGCTCTCGACCAATTCAACACTAGCTTCAAACTCCCGCAGACTTAGAAGTACCATTGCCAATGCGCAGACTGACTCCCAAAGATCTGCGAGGACCTTGGAGCGGTGCGCGATGCTGGCGGCACGCATGGCAAGAGAGAAGCCGCGTTGGGGCTGGCCGGACTTGCCGAGAATCTGAGCCTTCAGGCACAGGAGCTTGATTTGTGAATGAACGTCGAAGTTCTCTGGCTGCATGGAATGGGCGGCTTGCTCGACCATTTTCAGAGCGCGACCGTAGTCACCTTGGCGGATTGTAAATTCTATTGTGCTAAACGCAAGTAAGAGGCGCATGTCAAAGTCGAGAAGCTGCACTGCTTGCAGTTGTGATAGAATGTGTTCAACGGCTACCTTATCATCCCTGCATATTGTTAGGGGCGAACGTGCTGGCCACATGTAGGGGAGTCTTACCGACAGATCTGTCGCCGTAACTGTAGCATTCCGGAGTAATAGGTCCAGGCATTGTTGTACTTGAAGGCTCGAAGCTTGTCAGGCTCAATCTTATTCAGCCGCAAGAAGGCCTCCTTGTAATTGCCTTTTTGTGCCAACTGTAATCAGGTGTCAGTACATCCCCGCAAAACTGCTCCCAAAACAGCAAACCTACTATTTGGCAATTTCTGAATGTGATTTTGACAAAGTCGTCGTGGGGTTGGCCTTCTGAATAGCACTCGCGGAAAACTTCGGTGTTCAACCATGATAGATGAGTAGCGCCTGTGATCTTTGGTTTAGTATCGCTGAATCGGTGTGAGGTTAAAATCTTACCTATGCGAGTGTACATGGCGGCCTGGAGGAGCATGTATGCGCCGGTGGGAGCAGAAAGACCCTTGGTCACGTTGACATGGGATGCTCGTACGAATGACTCGACGATGTTTGCTAAACTTTCTCCCTGTTTGTGGTTAGCAACAAAACCGAAGAAATCACCAAAAAATTGCGTACCTGTTGCATCTCCAATTTGGCCTCACTCAATAACGTTGTACTCATGAGGGACCACATATCAGTCTCCTTGGACTTGGCTTTTAGGAAAGCGAGGCCCTCCTTCTCATTCCCGAGCATACCGCTATTCTGTACTTCTCGCATCTGCTCGGGAAAAGCTTTGCCGAAGTGATACAGCCAGCTCATACAGAAGTTCAGACAGTTCATATCGTGAGACTCGCGGGCAATGGCAACAGCTTCTTGAACTGCCGAGATAGCTTCATTGAAGCATTCGAAATCGGCTTGAATAATTGCCAAATTCAGGAGCGCGAACTGATAAGCACTTCGGTCGAGATTAGTGTGAATGGTGTAGTCAAAGTAGCGGTGGAGGTTGTCGAATGCTGAAGTATAATCTCCGGCCCTCCACGCATCAAGGTATCTAGGAGGTGGTTAGTGGTGCGATGGTTCAATGACGCCCAGGCCACTACTCACTCTAGGTAGTACATGAGCACGGGAACAGAGGACTCCGAATTCATGATGTGCCTCAGCTGATCTCTCATCTCGTCTGGCACTCTGCCGCCCATTCCTGCGAACATTAGTCAATGATCATGAATTGATTACAGAAATGAAGCTCACTTTGCAGTTCTCCAACCTGAAATTCGATCAGCCGCTCGGAGTCCCTGACGCTAACCTCTTCTTTGCCATCCGCGTCTTCTTCCATACTACCATACACCACACGTGCCAGCTGACTAGTCGCGTCTAGCCCGAGGTCGCGGAGATTAGCATCTATGGCGAATCCATCCGCCCCACGGTGTCTGCGGCTCCAGTAGCTGTATGTTGGGAGACGGTATTTGACAAAGCCCGACCAAAGCTTCACGGAATCATGAAATTGCAGCTTTGTGTATTCCATGTGAGCTCTTCGCACGAACGCGCCAAGGGGTGAGCTCCTGGACAAGCGCATGCGATCCTCGGGCTCTGGAGCAATTCCATGATCCCTTTCATGAATCAATTCCTCGCGCGATTTAGCCAAGAGCGACGGGATTGTTTCTCCGCAGAACGTCTCTAGCGCATCAAGTGAGTCGATGGCCCAGAGTTTGTCCAAGAATAGATCCCAGAGCGTGCGTCCTGGGCGCGCAGAATCATGACCCGACAAACACTCCTCGAGCTCCGCGATGGTTGGCATGTAATGCTCCTCCCATTGCTTATCGGCCGCATCTAGTGGGAAGATACCCGCCGTCAGGAAAGAAAGGACGTGGATGGCAGAAGAATTCGGCACGACCTCATCAGAGTAGAGCGTCACTAGACACAGGAGGGATATCCTCCACGGAGTCAAATAACGCGTCATTTTGGGTCCGTTAAGGCTGCCCCATCTTGTTGTGGCGGTCTATCAACAATTCAAGGGCGCGTTGGAGTGATGAACGGTGGACACCTGAGGCCCCAAGGCGGAAATGCGGGACCCCGCCAGCAAAAAAAAGTGACGATGACGCATAGTTCCTTCTTACATCCCAATTGCATACACAATGGCTCAAGCTTTAACTACTACAGACTTGCAGGGCGCCTTGCCTCTGATTGCCCGAGGCAAGGTCCGCGATCTCTACGAGATCGACGACAAGACCCTCCTCTTCGTCGCCAGTGATCGCATTTCCGCCTACGATGTGATCATGGAGAATGTGAGACATTCAGCAAACACCGCAGACCCAATTCCTTAAACACAAAGCTAATCACTATGGAATTGCTCTAGGGTATTCCCAACAAGGGAGTTCTTCTCACTCTCTGCACACAAACATGGTTCAAGGCCCTGACTGAAGCCAACCCCGCGCTGCGCACCCACTTCATTACCCTCGACCTCCCTCCCCAGGTCCCCGAGTCCCTGCGCCCGGTGCTGCAGAACCGCAGCATGCAAGTGCGCAAGCTGCGCATCCTCCCCATCGAGGCGATCGTCCGCGGATACATCACCGGTTCCGCCTGGAACGAATACAAGAAGTCCGGCACCGTTCACGGCATCCAGGTCCCCGCCGGTCTGCAGGAAAGCGAGGCCTTCCCTGGTGGCCCTATCTACACCCCCCAGCACCAAGGCCGAGCAGGGCGAGCACGATGAGAACATTCATCCCGACCAAGGTATGTGATCATGTCACAACTGCAGTCCCCGCCATCAGTCCAAACCAGCTAACATGGGTTCCTAGCCGTCGCTATCCTCGGTGAGAAGTACGCTGCCATCGTTGCCGAGATGGCCGTTGAGCTCTACAAGACTGCTCACGCATACGCTCTTGAGCGTGGTGTGATCATCGCCGATACCAAGTTCGAATTCGGAGTGGATGAGGAGACGGGCGAGGTTGTCCTTGCCGATGAGGTTCTGACCCCCGACTCCTCTCGCTTCTGGCCTAAGGACACCTACGCTGTTGGCCGTGGTCAATCTAGCTTTGACAAGCAGTTCCTGCGCGACTGGCTCGTGAGTGAGGGTCTCAAGGGCAAGGAGGGTGTGCGCATGCCCGATGACATTGCTTTGAAGACCGCAGAGAAGTACCAGGAGGCTTGGGAGAAGATCACCGGTGGCAACTCTAACTAGACTCGAAACGATTGGCCTCTTCTGTAATTATTTTATGATTCAGTGACTCCGGATGAAATGAGAATGATGTCGATGTTTATATTTCCCAACTCGTTGGGATTTCTCTTCAAGTACCCATACATGGGTACTTTACTTGTCCCTCGGCTCCAATAAAATCGGGGCAGTTCCAAGGTTGCCGCTCGGAGGGCATCATTCTTTTGTACAGCTAGCCAAAAATTATACGCATATAGGATACTTTCACTCCTCCCATTTCAAGCCTTTCAGGCCCTTCTCCTTCGAGTCCTGATTCTGCTGGGGCTTGCGCTCAGCGGGCTTTTGCTCGATATGCTCGGTCCAGCCAGAGCGAACACCCTCATCCAGAGGAAGTGCATTGCCACCACAGATTCTCCGCTCCTCTTCAATATCCGCCTCGCCCATTCCATTCGTGGCCCAGATCTTGTGGATGCGCAGGTCAAACGGCCCATCAACACGATCCGTCAAACCAATACCAATACTCTGAATCCGAGGGCGATTCAAAGAAGTCTGAGGCTCGACAACGAATCCATAGTTTGTGCGCACGAACGAGCTGAATGGCAGCAAAACAGTCTCCCACCCGTCGGTACCCGATGTCGTTGTGCTAGTGGATGTGGAAATGATTGTCGACTCGGGAGGGAAGTCGGAGAGGGCCGCGGGCAGACCGCCGGGGTTCAATTCATCCACGGCGTCGGAGGATTCGATGTCACTGTCGTATGTCTCTGAGGGTTCTTGGCGCACGCGATGATGGCGCGTGTATAATCTGTGCTGGTGGATATCTGTCTCGACAACGGCATCGGCCTGAACGTTTACAGTATACCTTCTGCCATCGGACTTGATGCGCAGTGCGAGGTACGCATATGGATCGACATCCCAGTATAGCCGACCGAGAAGCCAAAAGCCTCGGTCTTGATTGCGGAACGCGGCATAGCCTGGGTTCCCGTGGTAGTTAGAATTCCTGCGCTATAACGTATTGTGCCGCAGCCAGGCGCATTTGTAGACCACATACCGGTTCTTTCGACGCGCCAATTGTCTGGCAGCTTTGTAGAGATACTTCCGTGGAAGCGAGCATGTGCAGGGGTGTTGGAAGACGGGTCCGCGGGTTGGTGGTCGAGACTGGCAGTGCTGAAACCCCCTACGGCACGGTCGGCCATGGTTTTACATCCGTTGGTGGTTCCCTCATCTTCAAAGTTAAGAAGGGTGTAAGGCTTGGTCGGAGTGTGGAGGGCTTCCGTGTTCCAAGCTATGACGGTCAGTTAAGCTCTAGCCCAATGACGCGTGTATCTTACCAATTCTGGACAGTCGGCCAAGCTCGTCTGCACTGCGCTTGAAAAAGCCCTGGGAAGCTAGCCGTCGTGTGGGATACATGTTGTGTGTAGAGTGAAGAAAGCAGAGATCTCAGGAGCTTTGAAGCTAAGGAAGGTCGGCTTTCCGAGGTGGCGTGAATTGATCGATAAGCGATAAGCTGACTTCATCTGCTCCCTTGCCCTACTTTGACCATCCAAGAGCCGTTTGGTTCTCGGTTGCAGCAAGTGATACTGCATCTTATATTGTCTATAGGCTGATCTTGAAGTTTGTTCTTCTCCCCGGTATGTCTAAATGCGTAGTACGATGGTCATTACATACGTCACCAGCCCATTGTAGAGTGTCCCAAGGATTGTGTCTCAGCCCTTCATTTGATATTGGATATCATTTATGCATACTCCGAGCCCTTTGATATGCAGTTTGAACCTTTCTTACTTTGCTCGCACTCTCAATGTGGGCGATTCTCACCTTGTGAGGTGACGACATAGTGATCACCAGTCCCTGAATGACAAGTGAATATACTTCGAATCAACCACCGCCCGAATAGGCAAAATCACCTAGGAACAGTGCATCTAGATCCCATCTGGGCAGACCCAAGAACTTTAATTCCCGTTCAGTCATGAAAAGCCTTGGAATATCTCTGCCCCAAGGCTCAGGACAGCCATGACTATAAAGGAATGTTCGAAGCTGCGGAAGACTGTGCAATGATTGGGCCTCCAGGGCTTATAATAAATAAATTCCCCTTCCAAGCCCTGGAGATTTCCAAGGTTTGAGTGAAAATGAGTCAAATCCATCGGCTTCTATACTTCTGATTGGCGTCCGTCGACCCTTGATCTCTCATCCACGGCTCTTGCGTAAACCTGTCAAGGTTGAAGTGCTCTGGTATCCTAGGTCTCCCCCCGTGCTCAAATATAGGATATAATCTCCTCCATCCCCCATAAACGGCGTCGGCCGCTAGTGATGGCCTGGAGTACCAATAATAACCTGCACCATGGAGTTCTCATTTCTTGGACTCCTTCACTCGCTCATACTCACTCGCTCCGACGTCTTGATCAATACAATCCCACCCATACCACACTCGTTGAAACTGCTAGACCAAGCAGTACAAAGAAACCTTTGAAGCCCAACCTTAGTAGCTGCTGCCCGCTGGGCTTATATACCAGCAAAATGAACGACAAGGCTCCCCAGAATGGCTCTACTGCTGCCGTTAAAGCAGCTTCTACAAACCAAACGGAATCACATATTCCCCAGGACATAGCCGCCGATGATACCATGCCTGGGAACGGTTCCCATCAGCCGAAAGCTGCCGATATCACAACTATCCTACATCAGGTCGCTGGACCTGCGAGTATTCCTACAGCACGACCTCAACTGAGGAACCAAGAGATAACGGCAGAGAATGCCCAGAGCTTTTTTGTGTCAGATGCTCTTGTTTTTATTGGAAGGTGTGTGCGTCAAACCCTCGGCTGTGATGTATACTGACTCAAATAGTCTCGATAAGCGGTTTGGTGACGCTGCCCTGACAAAAGGCTCCCATGATGCGATGGACAAATACGGTAGATGTTACATTCAGATCAAAAAAACCCAGGAGAATATGCCATATGGGTTTGTACAATACGAGGTGAGTGAAGTAAAAAAAGGCTTGAAAAACTCAGTGCTAACAAATATAGACCGTCGAGGCAGCCGAAGCCGCGTTGACGAGCAAAGATAAGATTTTCATTTGCGGCAGGGAAGCGCGACTGGAGAAGGGAGGTGCTTCCAGTGAGTGACCTCTTTCCCTTCTCGCCTTTTCCTTCTTGCCCTACCTTTCTTGCCCTACCCTTCTAACCTTCCCCAGGCACTGCCCACATCGGTTACTGCAACGGACGTCTCATCACGATCCCAGATATTGAGAAACTGCTGCACGACTTCGGTCACCTCAAAGAAGTTCACATAATCAGAGCCGATCCTAGCTCAGACCGGAATACTAATTACGGTGTCGTCAACTTTACCTTCTACGGTGACTTCGCCAACGCAGTTGCAGTAAGTATCTTGCCCAGCTTTCCCGCTGTCTACTGACCATGAACAGGTCTTTAAAGCAAACAGGGAGGTCTACCTCCACAAAGCGCCCAAACCAGCATCCATGGATAACAACAACACCAACACCAGACAGCATCGCGGCTGGAACTCCCCAACTGTCCCCTCTCGAGGGAATTACGGCCGCGCGAAGTCCAACCGCCAGTGGCCCAGCAATGGTCACGGAAACGGCAATGGAAATGGTGGCAACGGGGCAAACAATGGCAGAGGGGGCTATCGCAATGTCTCCAGCCACAGGAGCTCCTTCTCGAGCCAAAACACCAATCAAAGTTACAACGGCCAGAACTTCCCATCTCGCACTCCCCCTCCTCATCAATACAACGGAGGCAACCAGCACGGCCCCGGCTACTCTGGCGGAAATACCTTTAACCAAGGATATAATCCCAGGCTCTCCCCAACAATCGCAAACTTCCCCCAGGGCCATGTTATTAACAATCCCCCTCAGGCCTTCCCACAAGGATACCCGCCTGTTGGCCTCTTCCCCGGTGCACCCATGTTCATCAACCAAGCTGTTGAGGGTCCACCCGTTCTCGACTATGCTGGTATGGTAGGCCCTGGGCTTCCTGTGTACTTGCCGGGACCATACCCTCCAGGTTCCCTTCCTCCCATGATGGCGCAGCCCCAGCCGGCCATCTATGCTCCGATGTCTCCGTATGCCGTCGGTCTTGATCCATACCGTGCACCGCCTCGCCCCAATGAGCCTTTGATTGTTTCCAGTCAGCCCCAGTATGACACCGACAACCACAAGGAACTTTACTATTATCCTCCTAACCAGAGATCTAGTGGAATGGCCCAACCCTGGTTCGATCCCGCGAACCCGTATTATATGCAGCAGGAATACAACCAGCATCCTACTCACGCGGATTACCAATACGGCCAGCAGATGATGGACCCGTCTTACCCAGCAGGATACCCTGATGCGTCGGCATACGATCCCACACAAGGTCAAGCTCGAGTGGCATCGGCTGGATCACAAGAGACCGAGAGAGGACGTCATTATCAGGGTCATCACGCGATGGGCGATGGTGGCTCAGACACACCCCCAGCTGTCCCAAACAACCCACCAAGTGAGCTCGCCGTTGCGGCCGACAGTACTCAGACGGGAAACAGCAGCTTGACTCATGCGGAAGAGCCCATCGAAGCCCATCGTGTGCTCAATGAGCCTGAGAATGACCCAAAGAATGCCAAGTCCAAGCAGGTTGAGTCTACGGTTCCTGAGCCCACCGATGCGTCTCAGATCCGGGAAGAGCCACCGAAGGAAACATCCAGTGAGATCCAGAATGGCGACACTGAGCATGAAAAATCAGAGTTGACTGAGATCGAGCACTTGAGAATTGAGAGGAAGAGCTCAGCAAGCAACTCAACATCCGACGAAGCATCCGGCATCCACACACCAGAGAGCGACAGTGATCAGCCACGGGAGCGTGCGACTGTCAGCACTGCGCCTCGGGATATTTCGCCGTCTACAGTGATTGCACAGCCAGTGGTCGAGTCACAATCTTCAAGCGACCCCTTGTCTGCTACTGAGTCTACTCCTACCAAGATTGACAAAGGCAAATCTCCTGCCAAGTCCTTTGCTATAGCTGACCCTGCTACGCCCGGGGTTATAGAGGCCAAATCCTCGCTCCCCCAACGCAACAAGCCCAAGCACCAAAATCCCAAGCCTGAAGTAAGGCGAGAACCAGCACAATTCTCCGGTCGAACTATTGAGCAGCATACGCGCGAAATGTACGCCCAGATGGTCGGGGAGGACTCTGACTTCGGGTTCAAAGAAGTTGGAAGGTTCTTTCAAGAAGCAGTCCAAGAACTCGAGGAAGAGCTTCACTCGAAAGAGCCCGAAAAGGCAGGCCCCAGCTCTCAGGGTCGCAGTGACAACGAGCCCAGGGAATAGGCAAGGACCAGTTCAAAGGACAGTTTTCAGGTCGAGAGAGAAGTGAGGATTCGTTCGGTTCAGAGAGAGAGATGACGGAGGCGGAACAGCAGTGATTGCGGAGGAAAGAGACAGTACGTGAAATTTGCTACGAGGGAAATTATCTTTATTTTTTTATTTTTTTTTTTTGCTTTGACCAAATACTTCTATGGTTCGATTTGGTGATTGCTCTTATGAAAACTGATCCCGAACCAACGAATTACCAAGGGACAGGCTTACCCGTCGACACGCTCGAGGGAATTACTAGTTTTGATTTAATTGACTTATGCAGTTCACTTCTATTTCCACGTAGCATTTTGTTATGAAACCCCCAGAAGGTAGTTGATACTGACTCGGTGCTCTGTGTAACTGACGCCCTACCTAGTTCAAAGTCCACTCTCTGGTCTATCAGAGCTATCTTTCATGATCAACCAAAAGACATGCTGAAAGGCAATGTGACGATGCAAGATCTCTTTGCTCGAAGATCTCTCCGCTCGGGAAGATCCGCCTGCTCTATAGATCTCGACCTGCTCCACCAACCAGTCTTTGATTGGACGCCTTACCCGATTTACGCCGCATCTCACCAACCTCCCCTCCACAACGCCATGGTCGGCACTGGAGGTCGAAGCAAAGGGTGTCGAACCTGCCGACGTCGCAAGGTGAAATGCGGTATGTACAACTTTTACATGCAATTTGGTCAGCCTCTGACTACGTACGACCACTACTAGATGAAGGAAGGCCACTATGTCAACGCTGTCACAAAGCCGGCTTCGAATGTGACGGCTATGTAGAATTTCTCCACTTCATCGACGAAACAAGCCGACTCAAAAAGAAAGCAGCGCAAAGATCGTCACTACCGAACTCAGGCTTCACGTCTCTCGACACTTCGAAGCCTGGCTCATATCAAGTTCCCGATTTCAACAAGATCAATTCCAACTTCCCATTGACCGTTAACCCAGCATGGAATGAGAATGATATTTTGAACACTTACCTTTTCCGAGGAATCTTCGATTGGAATGAGGATTCTGGATCCCCGCCTGCGCCAGCATGGGACTCGATACTCCTTGGTCAAGACCAACAACTGGAATTATCAAAGGCCTCGGTGCGGGCATTGAGCATGGTGTATTTCGCCAAAGTCAACAAGCAATACCAACTTATGCTGGGAGGTGCAAAGCTCTATACTCAAGCTCTTGGAATTCTGCAGGTCAAACTACAGTGTCCAGAGCAAGCTGTTGGGGACGACGTGCTCGTTGCTATCATTTTGCTCGCTACGTATGAGTTGATATGTCTGACGCATCCGGAGGCTTGGCTCTCGCATTATAAAGGGCTAGCGAAGCTGGTATGTTGAATCAATCTCCCGATTTTGTGGTATCTTGTGGTGCTGATGCCGAGTAGATAGCTCTGAGAGGGCCATATCGTCACCAATCTGGCATTGGATTCGCCCTCTTGCCTACAATCAGGTCCTCCATCGTAAGTGAGATATATTTTGATCGTTTTTGAAAAAAATACTAAGATTCAGAAAGGCGATCGGATATATCGTGGAACGAAAACGATGTTTCCTCGAGCAACTCTCATGGAAAACCATCCCCTGGGCCAAACGGGGCCTCGAATCAAAAACATCATCCGATCTGTTAGATGACATCCTTTGCGATATCCCCGGTATACTCGAGGATCTAAGCACAGCACTCTCACAACACCCCAACGTCCCCGGAAACACCGAGTTTACAACATGGTATATCCCAAGAGTCCTATCAACGCTGGAAGCCCTCTATTCCTGGCGCTGGACCTGGGAGCTGGAATTCCCTAACTCAACTTTCATTACCACACCCGTCAATTCCGACAGTATATCATGCCTTCCTCCCAGTCCCTTCAAATCAATCATTTGGTTCAGCAACCCCCATCGCGCAACAGAACTAATCCTCTACAATGCCATGCGACTCATCCTCACCCGATCTCTGGAAATAGCTGGCCTCCGACAAGATACAAATCAACAGCAGGAGGTTAACGACCCACTTCTCCCAATGGAGGGAAACAGGCACGAGATCGCGACTGAAATTTGTCGCATGGCGGATTATCATCTAAGTTGCTTCCGTCGAAACTCTGGTGCATTCATGCTGGTGTTTCCGTTGAATGTTGCATATCTGCATCTCGATCCGAGCGCTACTGAGATTAGATCCTGGCTACAGAGTGTTATGGCGGTAATTGCGGACTCCCATGGGCTTGAGATCGGGAGATTTGAGAATACGCCTAGGAAAATTGCTGATGTGCATGGTGGACTGCAGTGAGATGTTTTCGAAAACCGCGGTTGTATGTGGAAGGATCTTGGGATCTGTGGATGTACAATACCGTAACGGTCTGCGGGTGTGAATCCTAAAAAGTGGTATAGAGTTCGAGTAATCGATCCGTGGATTGTCAGGAATCCGGGACAGTTCCAAGGCCGGGATGAAATGTATATATATCAGCGTTGCGGACCTTGAAATGTGATCGTAATGCCACCCCCGGCCGGCATTGCTACCATAGAACCGTGGAACCGTGATAACCCCGGTATTTCAGGGCTCGAATTCGGATAGACGGCATCACTTTCAAGATTGCAAGTATGGAAGCAAAACTCACCGAGATAGGTTTAGCGTGGTGTCTGTCTGGGCTAGACCTCATCCATGATTAGTCCAGGACTGTGATTAGCCCATCTAAGAATCATCTTACATTGCACCCATATTCGGGGTCAGCCACAAAGTGAGTGTAGTAAGCGAGTGTAGTTTTGGAAACAATCCTGAAATGGTAAGCTGCCTGTTTCGTCTGGACGGTTAGTAGCATGATGGGGCGATGATAACACAAGTCGAGATCAACACTGATATATAAATTGAGTTCATTGACATCACAAACCAAAGAAGCATGCATGGTATGTTGCTCCCATATACGCCGGAAACAAAGTCGAAGCTGGTTATATGTACAAAACGCTTCTTCATGCAAGATAGCATGCCAAAGGTACCGAAATCAAATGAGAAATGCCATGGGGGGATAGTGATGCACGCCGAGAAGTTGAAGCCGTGAAAAAAAAGATGAGAAAATTCAAAGATGAAATGCAAAGTAAAGAAAGATTGAAGGATAAAAAGCAGAAGTGGATTCCCATATGCAGTCGCTCGTAGTTATGATGCATGTGGGTCGTGACATGATGCGATGGCTAGTGAAAATAGGAATGGTATATAGTAGTGCATGCGACGAAAGCAGAGGGTATTAGGAAGAAGGAAAAGAGGAAGAAAGGAGATCGGAGAAGGGGCCGTGGAGGTCCTGCGGCATAAGCGACAACTGCGGCATACGCGGCGATTGCGGTATGAGCGACGATCAAGCTCTCACTCGTCTAGCATCAAAGTAGCCCAGATTGACGGCTGTGTCATTAACGCCCAGGAAGGGCGCAGCATCTTCTAGCAACTCCCACGGACGGACGGGATAGGGGCCAAGGACGCGACCGCGATGTTGAAGGCGGAGCCGGTTGGCCATGATGTTCGAGCCTTCCATCCCATTGGACAAACCGGAGGCTGCGGCAACGGACTGCTGCGCTGGGGATGGGCCCACTCCGGATAGTGAAGCGGGTGTTGGAGTGGGAGTTGATCCTGAACCTGCAGGTGACGGCGCTGAGAGTTGTTGAGAGTTGGTAGAGTATTGGTCTGCCATGGGACCTAGAAGGTACAGGAAGCGGGTGTCGTTCTGGATTGGAACGAAGGAAGGACACTTTTCTCTCAAAAGCCGAGCGCATTGATGACGGATATCGTCTGGGAAGATGTCGATCAGAGAAGCGGCGACGTCGAGGGCGTGGGTCTGCAGAAGCACACCCGGACAGGGACGGAAGTCTTCGGTCGCATTCAGTCGGGGAAAGTAGTCCGCTGCGGGGTAGAGACGCAGTAGATCGCCGGGGAGACGCGAGAGGGCGATGCAGAGGATAGACGTTAAGAGTCTGAGCTGATCATGTGGGGGATTTATCTTCAGGACCGTGGGCGGTTGAACAAATGCAGACCGGTGGAGAACAATCATTCTTAACAAGGCAGAGAACCAAAATGCAAGAGCACGTTCGAAATCTGATCGTCCTTGATTGGCAGCGCCTTTTGATGCACTTGAGACGTTGCTGTGCATGGATATGACTTTGTGGAGAAGGGAATCCATCTTTTCAACAAGAACGGATGCAACAGCCGGAGCGCCAGATTCGGGAATGCTGGTCCCGAGCTCCTCGATGATAGTGAGGTATAGCCTGGCAGTCTCCAATGAGCTAAGCTTGCCAGAGGTACTCGAAACATCGCCTGCCGGTTCTTCAAGTATAGGGATGGAGAAGAACTCCTTCTCAGCACGCTCGCGGATCTGTCGAACGGCATCAGGACTCATCAGCGCAACGAGGTCAACCCAATGTAGCCTATGAGAACGGCTATCTGACACAGCAGTTTTGAACATGGCATCGACAATCTTGGCTCGATCCTCGGTTGCCGAGTCTGCACCAAAGAGAACTTGAAGCTTCAACTGACAGAAGGGTAGCGAGAAATCATCAGTCATGCTGGCGAGTTTCTCTACCTCTGTAAGAACCGATTCGCCGCTCGATTGAGATTCGACACCGAGCAAAAGATCAAGAGCCTTTTGAATGATGCCTAGAGCGTGTGGGTGCTTGTCAACTAGCTTTTGCAGACTGGCCTGGGCTGCGCAACCGGGATTGCGCACAAGAAGATCACACAACAGCCGAACCATGGAATTTTCAAGATCAGTCACGGAGTCACTGGTTTTGCACGATGCAGCATCGCAGACTATTCCCATCGCTTCTTCTGAATTTTTGGTGAGGAACTCGTGCTGTGCCAACTGGAAACGATAAGAAACGAGATCGTAATACTTTGTTTCGCTGTTTCCAGGGACCAGAAGCTGGACGAGCTCAGCAGGCAATTGTACTGCGTTCGGGATAGTGGCCGAAGTGCTTAGCCTCTTTGCGAGCGCCAAGAAAGCTCTGATTGTAACGCATCCAACGCCAATCAGCGGGGGAAGTATTTGCAACAAAGTCGACCGATCAGACGAACGTAAATGACTGCATACCCAACGCGCAAGAATACCATCGAAATGCTTCGGGCTGAAAGATCTGAGTTGCGCAAGGTAACGACAGGTGTCGTTTGCAGACAAGTTGACTTTGCCACCAGCGGTTTCCAAATGTTTTGCCAGGGCATTGAAGATGGTGTCGAGTGTAGGTTCATCCATTACATTCCCCGAGAGCAAGATTTGATCCAGTTTATCTCGGAACAGAGGATCGATGTCACCGAAGTTGTCAGGAATGTGGTCAGAAACCGGCGAGGACGCAGCCACGATAGATTTGTTCTCCATGCGAGAGAGGTCTTGACGAAGAATCGAGACGGAGTTGAGCTCATTCGGAATCCGCAGTCCAAGTTCGATCAGAGAAAAGATCAAGTCAAGACTGGGTGTTCCGAGCCTCTTCACACCAGAATAGGCGTCAATGAGTCTCCGGAACAAATCGTTAGTGGCTCCTATCACGCATAGCGAATCAAAGTGGCAGTTTGTTGTGTCAGCGACTGAGGCAAGGACTGTGCTATCCTTGCAGCTAGAAGCAAACTTCAGGACATCTGCCAGCATTGATATATCACCGAAGGTTTCCAGCACCTCGCGGACAGTATAGAATTGAGCGGGGGTGAGCGCAGATACTGAAAAGGTAGCGTCGTTTGTGAAAGCCCTTGTTATATGCCTGCCAATAAGTTAGGGAAGCTGTCTAGATAATGGCGGGAAATCAAGGGTTGGTACTCACTCTGTGGGTCCATTGTGTTGCGCAACTGCGCGACGAAGCCATTGCCCAACTTCGGCCTTCACAGCCCATGGCAAGTTCAATGGTAGCGAATCCACTTCCATTGCGGCATGTTCATCGATGCCAAAAATCTCTGGCAACTTGTGGCTGATAATCTTCTTTACATTTTCAATGGCTGCTGCTTCCTCCGAAGCACGTAAACCTGTACGTGCTAGCAGAGTGCTGCGCAAATTCCCGACATGTTCCGGGAGGCGACCCACAGGAAGCTGCGCTATTAACCCAATATCTATCGGCAAGTCCTCGATCTAAAGTGTGTCAGTGACAGTGATAACCAATGTTGTGATAGTGTTCTAACCTTGAGCGCCTGAGATGGAGATCCATTGGTAACACCTCTTGCCATGAGCCATTGAAGGTAGCGCCCAACTGAGAAAGTCTGTGACCTGACAAGCTCAGAAATAACGTGATAAATCGGTTCCATGTCGAGGGCTTGGTTGTTCCGCGCGCGCGCGAGAAATGCGAGTATATGGGCATCTATATCGACGCCGATGGATTTCCACTTGCGTAAAAGGCGAGCCGCAATGTAGACCCGGCGGAGGCCGTAGCGGAAGTGTGTTGAGAGCCATTCAAGCAGTTTTGAGACCAGCACATCTTTGTCGTCAAATGCATCAAGGTAGGTAAATATAGAGGAGAAATCATGAGCGGGACGGATGGAGTCAAGAAGTCGGATGATACGTTGATGTGGAGAGCGTTGGGTGGTTTTGGTGGAGTGTTTTGGTCGTTGCACTCGGGCATTCCGCTCCGAAAGTGTCTGCAACAATGCTTTGTCTGTTTCGTTTGTTAAGTCGAGAGAAGATGATACATGCTGGATATAGGTCTCCCAAGTTTGAGGCAGGATCATGGAGGATGCATGGTCGCGAACGAGTTTCCTGATGAATCGAGAAAGACGATCGATGAGAGGTTGGAGCTGGGTTAACTTTGCTTCGGTTGCCTGTCTACCTGTCAGTATGAATGATATGGGGTATTCGGTGAAGCAATAACTCACCAATCGAAGTTTCTGGAGCAAGAGCTCGGCTAATCGACGACCTCTTCTCCTATAGCGCATTATACTATTCCAATAGATCCCAAGCATCAACAGCCATACCGGGATGGTACCAATAGAAGCAGCTTCAAATGAAGACAAGAACCATTCCAGGAAATGATCATGGTCTAGCAGGTTCTCAAAGAAGAGACGAGCACTCAACCCGACACTAAAAATCATGTTAGTGTCTCCACACATACTTCCCAAGTGTTTTGAATACATACGCATATGTCATCTTTGCTTTCCAATCCGAGGACTTCGGCGAGCTGAATACACCCTCGATAAACTGCTGAACGTTTGTTGTCCAATCCCGAACCCACTTCGCCTCCAAGCCGACAGCCAAAGCACCACTGGTCCCCTTTCGCTTGAAGGCGCGGATTTCATTTGCACCCACGCATTTTCCCAACCAAACGGCGCGTGCAACAGGTATCCATTTGCCGAGGCACTGATCCAGAAGGACCTTGCCGCGGATCCCGTGGGGGATGGTTCGGCTCAAACGCCGCAGCGGCACGGATGGATTGGCGAGGTCTCGAAGCCAGGCTTCGCGCTTATTATCGGTGAGTGTAACTCGGGGTGGTGGTTTGAAGGTGGACGGAGCGTGGACGGTGTTATGCGTTTGGCGCTTCTCTAATGCCGCGGCAAAGACCGACGAGAGCATTTGTAACCCCGTTCGGTGCTTGAGCTGTGCATATAACGCGGGGCGCGCGGTATTGGATTCATTCTGTGAAACCTGCGTGCGGTCATAGTATCCTTGTTTCGCGGTCTGTTCGTTGAGAACGTCTTCGGGGTGGTTCCCGGTCCACGGGGCGAAGTCGGCGGGTTCTGTCACGCGTTAGCTCATACACCGAGATCCCCCTCCGTAATGACTTACTGTTGCCTTTATATACTGGAGCGACAGCTGGTGCCTCAATGCGGTATGGAGTTGTCTGTACCGCTCCGACTGGGGAGCTCTCCCTCGACCTGATGAGGCCGGGCGGCGGTTCGACCACCGCGGGCGTCTTCCATGGCTGGGCGGGAAGCGGCGGTGGGGATGGAGGCCTGGAGCCGGTCGCGCTGTCGTTCCGATTGTCATTGCCCGGGATATCCGATACCACCGCCTGGAAGGACCAGAGTGGCCGGCCGCGCCACGAGATGGCAGGTCGCGAGCTTGCGCTGGACGGGGTGGGAGTCGCCTGCGCAGCATCGGAGCTTGCGGGGAGGGTTGGGGTGTTCCCAGAGGGATCCAATCTCGGCCGTTTAGGTGGCGGTTCTCTGTCCTGCGACTCCGAACCGGCGGTTAGGTCGACGACGGTAGGTGGTCGGGTCGGTTGTTGGCCCATTGCGTTGTCCAGCCGTCCGGGGAGGCCATTGTAGGATCGCAAAGGGTGACCCCAGGGTTGGCCGGCGGAGTTCATTGTCGGGTCATGTTTGTTGCAGAGAGGATGAAAGACAGGTAGAGTTGCACGAAAGAAGCAAGTACAAGACGAGATAACGTAAGGGGATCGGCGATCTGAGAATATACGGTGTATCCGAATCCGACCACTCTAATCATATGATAGTGGGCTAATCGAGAATTCAAGAGTATTGAGCTGGACTCGTTTAATTCGTCGCCAATATCGGACTGCTTCCCGCACCTATTTGCCCCCTTTCAATTCCGAACTTCCGATTGCTTCAAGCGTTGACTCCCGTCGGCTCCCGCATGTCGCGATAACGGACGTCTACAACACAATTTTAAGACTTCCAATTTGGTAGCACAGCCTACACCCCATTCCAACCACTCCGCCCAAGTAGTCGAGAATACACATATACTCGGAGAGATCCGAGTACTCTCTTCCCTATTCAACTCCATTCTCCACTGGATGTTACCCGCCTTCTTCCTACTTGGTATTGTCAATACACCACGTAATGTACAACCGGCCACACATGCGTCTTGGCAGGTCGTCAGATGCAAGCACATTCAACATCGTGGCCTCAGCTCGTGTCTCTCAGGGGGGGTAAGGGAGAGCTGATTTCCAGGGGTAGAGCAGACGTGGATTGGGGTCCAATACTCCGTACTGCGACTTGGCAAGCCCAGCCTTCGTGCACTGCTCGGTTGCCACAAGAATGTCAATCCGCATCTGTATGGAGAATTTTCACACACGTCGCCTCCAGATTGGTGTAGACTATATTTGTGTTACTGTAGCATTCCTCCATACCAGCCGATCAGCCGGTCGTGAACTATTTGCACAGTACGGAGTAGTCCGTATGTCGGTCGGAAATACTTATATGGAATAGACACTGCACAGTTGACCAGCCATGAATACCAGCCTACACTATCGACGGAATTCGGATAGGTCAATATAAGAAATGCCACTCAATGAACGCTGAACTGCAATCTTCTGGTTCTGGCCAGACTGTCTCTGCTTACTCAGCTACCCCAGATCCCTCCCTGGTGCCCTAAGCCCATCTCCATTTTCACATTTCCACCTCGCTCTGCCAACTAGTGTAGTAAAGATCTTCACTCGGCTCGGGCGATCACCCACGGTGTGCATAAGCAAGATTTGACGAGTCGAAACGAGCTGGAAACCACTGCGGAATACGGAGTAAACAAAGTAGGATCGCCTGTTTGTGTAACTGCTTTCCATACTCTGCATCGCCACTGGCGATGCCTTAGTGATATCTGGCACTGGCTGCCGAGAGGGGCCCACAAAATATGTGGGATAAAGAGCTTCTGTCACAGAACGTATCTATTTGAACTTGTACTCCGTACCCCCGAGATAATGACTATTGCCAAGAACTCTGGAATTGCCCGGGCATATCAAAGGTGGGTCAACCTTCACGGCTCAATGCATCGAATATTGAATCTTATCGGCCCACTGACAATAAGGATGATCACCAAACTACGAGATCCACGGACTGTGATATACTTCCGGTTACCCATGAGGGTTACTGGTCAATATCGGAAGAAAAGGCAGGAAGTTTCATCAATCCGGAAGCACGCGCCGAGAACACCCAAACTCCGGTTCGTCCGGCATTCAGAAGTACAGAAGACCCTGCAGCGCACCGATAGACACTGTCCACATTTGAACTTCTAGGTTCGTGTTTGAGTTGAGACCCCTAGCAAGGTGCAAGTCTTGTTGAGAGCCCTCGGGTGATGGCATTGGAATACTTATTTCTCTTCCGAGCATTCCAAGGTACTTTCGAGTAGACTTTTGAGTAGTCTGTTAAAAACGGGTCGAACGTAATAAGAAGCTACGTAATACCCGGGCTTTTCAACGCGAAAGGCATTCAGAACATCACTGTCAGGAGAATCGTCTATAGCTTTCTTATCGCCTCTCTCCCTGACGGATACGTGCATCAACCCGTCGCAAGAGCACTCCCCGGGCGAGACCGTTCCAGAAGGAGCTGAAAGAAATCACAGCCAAGTGTTTGACTCGTGCAGGCGCCTATCAAGTTGAGCCTGGAGCCCTGGAGCCCTGAGCCCTGGAGAACAACCTGGATGAGTCAGCTCATGGCTCAAAAATCAGCTTACACGCATCATGTCCAGATTATGAAAGCCCATTGGCATTCAGGACTTCAAAATCAAGAATAAAGAACACCCCTTTCAGATCGGAAGTTATCAAAGACAAATGGAGTACGGAGTGGCCCAAAGCGAACTCGGGGTGTTCGCTCGGAGATATTCAATCCGGGGTTCTCGACCCAACCTAGCCTAGACTGGCACCGCCTTAGCGCTGCGGCCACCTTCAGTCTTTCCAAGCACTACAACACCCCCCAACACAACCACCATGGCCTCAAAGAAAGATATGCGCAGGGCTGATTTGGGTAATCCAACCTTGACTTCCTTATCTGTCCAAAAGCTAACTCGGAACTCCCCAGCGATCCCCTACGTCGATCCCCCCAAGAGCAGCAGCGATGCCGACATCTCCAGTACGCGAATCCTCAAAGGACCAATAACAATGCGACAGGGTGCAAAGGCTGATTGATACCCAACAGGCACAATGTCGAGCACTATGCCCATGGCGGCTGTAAGTGGTGACCTGGCCCAACGAAACACCAACAGCGCTAACCTCGCCATTTAGATGTTCACTCGTAACCGGTGAGTGAAGCCCATATCGCGCGCCATTGGATGCAATGGCACATGGATCTCGAACTAGTTTATTGACTTCTTTCTTACAGCATGATCGGATGGTATGTGCATGGTTGGCTGTCGATCGTCTGACTCGTGAGCTGATTCGGAAACAGGGTCTCTTTCGTTTTCTCTCTTCAGTCCTGGTTGGGAGAATCCCCGGACCAGAAGAAGAATGCTTCCACCCCGGCATACATGTCGGTTCTGATGTCCCGTTAGTTGTCTCTCTGTCGCGCAGCCTGTTTGACCGAACTAACCTCATACCACGACATAGTGATGGCATTGATCGTTGTATGTATTGGCGTCAAAGCCTGGTCAACATTCACTAATGACAGCAGACATACTTCCCTCTCTTCCTGCCCCCACAGGCCCCTGGTGGTGTTGCCGCCGGAGCCCCGACACCCTCCCCCTAAACGCCCGTTCGCTCCGACGATGCCTGCTCTCTATCCACATATCATAATATCTACGGCCTTGAAAACAATCTATAGAGGATTACTTGATAGCACGATTTGGTGCTATTGGGAGTTCTAGGATTCTTCCGTTGCCCAAGTTGTACTAAAGTGAACTGAGGTGACGCTGTATCAATATTCAACGCAAAGTACTTCTTGCGCGACAAGACAAGCGACTTCGCCTGTCGCGGTCTCTCCCATGGCTATGTACAAACTAGTCTAAAATGGAATTCACTGTACTCGCCACCTAAAAAAAGAAGTACACAAGTAGACATCGATGTGACCGTCGCTTAGTCACTTTAGTCACACACCGCCTTCCCCCACAACGTGACTCTTGTCCTCAAAAGGCTCTGCCGCCGCCGCTCTCTATTTCTTCTACCACCACAGCCTCCACTCCTCTCACAACTCACGCTCCGATCTTTCTACAGAGATATTGAATCTCGCCCTTCGCTCACTTTACCAATACCCATTTAAACTTCGTTTACTTCGAAAAGGCCGAGTTTATGTCCATCGAAAACCTCAAGTCCTTCGGTGAGTCGCCACTTCCCCTCCTGGGCGCGTGTCGGGCACCCCACATACACGCATATCCACGCCTTCGACCTGTGACGCAGATGAGATGCATATTGGACTAGTGGAGGGGGGTTGGATATGTGGAACTCAGCGTTCCCCCACCTCTGTCTCACTGAGTCTCATCGCGGCGGGGTAGAAATTTGGTACCGGACTGAGGCTGACCCAACATCTCACAGACCCCTTCGCCGAAGCCGACGAAGATACCGGCGAGACTAAACAGGCTCAGAGCTACATTCACATTCGAATTCAGCGTACGTCTTATCCTTCCTGGTGTTTTTGCACGTCACTTGCCTCACGGGCTCGCCGGCGCTTATAGGGGGGACCACATGCTAACGGATGTGTTTTACAACAGAGCGCAATGGCCGTAAGACTCTGACTACCGTTCAGGGTCTGCCCAAGAAGTTTGACCAGAAGAAGATTCTCAAGGTCATCAAGAAGCAGTTCGGTACGCCATTTATCCTGTCCATTTTGTCTCTGACCACGCGGCTAATTTGTTTCAGCTTGCAATGGCACCATCGTCCCTGATTCTGAGATGGGTGAGGTGATTCAGTTGCAGGGTGACCAGAGAAAGGATCTCCAGGAGTTCCTGACCTCCAAGGACGGTCTCGAGCTCAAGGCCGATACCATCAAGGTGGGTTCCTCGACGTTGTATTATTATTCTCATCTAACTCCTCTTAGGTTCACGGTTTCTAAGCCCATCACCAACGTTCTGCCTTGTTCCGGTCCCCTCTTCCCAGTTCACTTTGCCCTGTGAGCGGTGGGATAGGAAGCTTGCCCATGCATCCCTCATCCGCCGGCCGTACGCTGTACCGGCGTTCTCGTCGATCAGGTGTCTTGCTTTCTCCACCTACCCCTCAGTGCCTGGCGTGTTAGACCTGGGCCTTTGTCGAAACCCCTCCTTACCCCTATGTGCCCCCTGCCGACCGTTCCCGCATGGTCAGTTGGGTGAGCGGGATTCGACCGATATTTTTGAAGTACGGGATTATGATGGAACGAGGCGTTGGTAGATACCCAATTTCTGCATAGACAGACAACACTATTTCTTTTTTCGTTTTTCACGATTGTGTTCTCCATCCTTATCCTTATTCACAAACGGAAACTTTTCTGCCTGCCTTGCTGATTGCCATTGCATCCCCATGGTTATTTTATCAACTTGGCTTCTCGGGGAGAACCAGGCTGAATTGAGGGCATGCTTTGCTGAACTATGTTATCGGTCTCTACCGTCTTGCATTTTTCCCTGTGCTGCCTTATTCACTTGCTTACCTTGGCTTTGTCTTTTCCTTGGAAACAAGAATTGAACTCGTCTTATCCAGATTTATTGGTACAGTCCTAAGGCTTAGCTATGAGTCGTAGTCTTAAATTTCTACAAAAGAGCACTTGTACACAAGTCAAGGAACAACATAAAGATAAGATCTATTCAAGATCGCTCTGCAGGAACAACAAGGAAAGAAAGAAAAAAACTTCCCTAGACCAGGGGTATAAGTGCTTGAGCCAAGTGAAGAACCTTCCCAAATCAAATACGAAATGCACAATGACGATGGATCAAGAACGCTCGCCCAACTTGCCCAAACCATGACATGAAACGATATTTCCAAGACATCCCGAAAGAAGAAGAATCAAAAGCAAAAGTTCAAAAGACAACAGCCACCTCGCCAGTCGAGCTATAGCTCTCCAAGCCCAGCACGCTCATCAGCAATTCGCATGCGAAGGAAAATAGCCGTGGCCCAGTCCCACAATTTCCGAGAGAAGACAAAAACAGGTACCTCTGATTCATTCTCTCTGGTCAAGTGTAGCTGCAGTAATAGCAAAGACATGGTGAGGAAACTTGCAATCAGTACGACTAGTAGAGAGGCAGCTGTTTCACGCTTGATTTTGGCATGGTTTTGAGTCGCGTAGTAAACAAATGTTAACAACTAGCGGATGTTAGCGACAAGCAGTTTGAGCAATGATCGGATCAACATACAGTCGTTATTGAAATCCAGGCCGGGAGGAGGTGTCGAGGATCAACAGAGGCACCGGATAAGTAGAGCACCCAAGATGTGCTATAAGCAATCAGGCCGTTCGTTGTTAGTAGTCGGATCACAACGGCTGGTGGTGTGTAATTTAGAAGCCTGGGCATATTTAGTATGGCAGATAACAAGTATTCGAGTGAGAATTGAACAAACCATCGAGACATCAAGCAATCAGCAAAGAAATAAGAAAGATATGCGGATGCACAGCACTGCAAACCAGTCAGTATCATGTATAGGGCTTAGCAAGACAGATCGGACACTCAACATACCCACATAATCGCCAATGCCACCTCCGTGACGCGGAACCTCCTCTCGACATCCCATTCCTGTCCCACGCTACCGATAATCGCTGCTGCCCACCCTTCCCGTCCCATCCCCGGTCGAATATGCAGCAGCTCAGCCAAGAAGGTGAATGCGCATCGCAACCCCCACCACGCAGAGGGCAGGGTGCTCAGAGCCCGACATACGAGTAAGGGGATATACCACTTCCGGTCCACCCCTAAGATCACAGCAACCCGCGGGTGCAGGGCTGATGTAGCAGTGTGGCCTGCATCGCTGCTGGGTGGGGCACGGGGCGTGGGAGTCGGGGACGGGACAGCGTCCAAAGGAGATGGAGAAGCCACCTCTTTAGCCTCTGTAGAGGCAGGAACAATAGCTGGATTGGGATAGCCTAGAGATCCAGCAGGTCGCGTGATGTTCACGTCTGAGTGGTGTTGATGGCGGGGAGTGTATGGCGGAGGAGAGGCATTACGTCGAGGAGGAGCCAGCCTTTAATTCAAATCGCGGCATATGCGGCCGCCGCGCAAGGAAGAGAAGAATGGTATTGGAAAAAAAAGGTCGAGACTACCCTGGAAATCGAGGGTGTTGTCAAGCTGTTTCTGGGTCTCCTAATTGGCAGATATCGGGCTGGCTGTGGGCGGTGTCCGTTTTTTCGATGGGTTCCGCGGATTTCGTTGGCCAACTTGGTTTACTCTCTCACCATCCCACGCTTTTCGCCATGGCGTCTAACCTACGATTGCCGATGGCTGTGCCACGCAATATCTCTCAATCGACTCTGGGTTCCGTTCAGTCCCGGTCCTTCTCCCAGAGTTCTCAGCAATGGGCCGGTGGCAGAGCTGTCAACTTCCGCCCTCCGAGTGTCGCGCAACCCTCGTTTAAGACTAGAACGAAGGATATGAAGCCTTCGGATCTGCCAAATGATATCGGATTGCTGCCAGGTACCTTTGTCCGTCCTTTGTGGAGGGACATGCCCTCCATCTTCCAGCAACCGCGCGAGAGGCTGCACATGGAATGGACATGGATGAAGTCGGTCTTCAGCAACTACACCAGGTCAGTTATTTCGTGTACAAAACAAGAACGTGTGTTAATCAATGAACAGTCTCCTCCAATACTGCAAGCGCGAAAACGACCTCCCACTACTCCTCAAGCAGCGCCGAAACTACGCTGGCAGACTGCAGGAAATCATGTACACAGCCTTCGCCGAGTAAGCTTTTGCCGATATACCTCGATCTTCTCTACGTCGCGCTAACCAATGAACCCCCAACAGAGGCAACATTCCCGAAATCAAGCGCATCACCTGCGACAACCTCGGCCGCAAACTCATCCGACAGATCGAAGGCCGCCCTAGAAATGAACAAGTGAGCTGGAAGCTCGTGAAATACCTCCGGAAGCCAAGCACCAATTTCCTAGGCCTCCGCGTCGTCTCGGATCGCGCAACCTCCATCCCCGAGATCCCAAAATCTGGTATCCGCCAAATGGTCGTTCGCGTCACAAGTCGTCAGGCCACCTCCACCACCCAGAAACCGACCAGTTCGTCTACTGAGGTTGTCCCTATCTCCTCCAAGCAACAGGACATTACCGAATACATTGTCATTCAGAACCTGCGCTGGAACGGCAAGGACCATGGCTGGAGGGTTTGGGGTACCACCAACCCAACCACCTTGCACGCCACTCAGACAGATCCCTATTTCATGCCTGGCCTGTCGGCTATGGAGCGTATGGAGATGATCAAGGATTCGTTGAACAAGAAATAGAGATCTCGCCTCTTGTGATTTATCTTCTGGGGTTTTCACCTACTCCGCCCTTCTACACGCTTGGCATCGTGGGACTTGCCTCGATGCCTTGCTTCTGTGACACCAAATACCCTCCTTCGTGGTTGCGGCACAACAGTCTGCTATATCCGCCTGTATTCTCTATATTTACCACCAAGCCATGCACTTTGATGCTCAAACCTCTGTTCAATTCCTTTTTTTGGCAGGAATCTCTGTGTTGAATCATTCACATCTCCATGTATCATAGCCAATTGTTTTGACCAAATGTCACCTTTCTCTTCAGCCATCAGTTGTATAAATGAAACTGGATATCCTCAAGATCATGAAAGCCTACAACAACTACATGCTAGGTAGACACACATTCCACATAAAGGTACGTTTGTTTCATAAAGCCAAAAACAAATATCAAGAGTTGTATGTACAAGAAAGAAAAGGCACATTGGCACATTATCGGTGTGTCATATAGGTATCATCAAAACACTGAGCACAGGAATGAGAGGTACATATGGATGCCGGAGAAAGACACGCTGAAGAAGAATGGATATCAGAAACCCGATGCAAGAGGCCAGTATGCGCCGTGGACCGACGCCCCTAACCCAAACCAGAAGGAGATACACTGGGAGCACCGCAGCAGGACAGGGGACGATTGATCTAATCATCATCGAAGATCTGGAATGTGTTATTCAAGATCGTCTCGATGACCCGGACCTGCCACCCGGCGTCGGCGATGTTGCCACCTGAATTAGCGCCCATGAGGGTTGGTCTAGAAAGTGTTAGCGGGATATTCTGCTCGTGGTCTGGGGATCAGCTTACCCGAAGCAGATTGCCAGATTACCCGCGTTCATGCGGTTCTCGGTGTAATGTTCTTGGATCTTGTTCAAGTGCTACAAACCATTAGTGAGTGTTTGTTATTTATAGAGGAAGGGATGCTGGATCATACCAAGATAATGGCACGGAGAGTGGCATAGTGCGCATCAGGCAAACTGTTGATGAGAGCGTGCAGCGAGTCTCGGCGCTGGATATCATCATCGAATCCTGCATGATCGTCAATATCAAGATGTCCAAAATTGTTCGATAAACTCACGAGCAGCATCGATGAACTGGTGATAGAACTGGGAAGTGAACAGGGGGTCAGGTAGATCGCGGAAGAATTGCTTTGCGAGCCCCGCAACACTGTTCACGTCGTGGTAGAAGTTCTCTGGGTTGGTGAAATCGACCTGAGATGAGTCTGGTGGAAAACTGAGGTCAGCGATTATATTCAACGTTCTGGTCTCTCGCACTAACCATTGTCGAACACGGCCTTCATGTGGCTAATATGAGTAGCACTGCCTGACAGTCTGTAGATACCCTCCATGTTCAGACCGAACAGCTCAACAGCCTGGAAGCATTGATACACGATGAACGGAACGGCTGTACCATCCCGGGCGTATAAGTCATTCAGCGAGACACCAAATACAGGCTTCAGAGGAGGTAGGTTGGCCTGGAAATTCCTGTCACTTGCATTGGGCCCAGCCATTGGTACCTGGATCTTTGGTGGGGCTTCGGGGGCAGGTGGGTTTGAGACTGGATAGGGTGGGGTTGTGCCTGCAGGAGGAGGAGTGAAAGAAGCCTTCTCAACTGGGTAGGGTGATTGTGGCAAGCGATCTGCAGGCTGGGGTTGTTGGGGCGCGGGTGAAGCGAGATTATGCTGCGACGAGAAAGCCTGGGGTAATATGGAATTACGCTTGTTCTGGGAAGCCGGCTGCGCGGGGGTCGCTGCAGCCGGTGCGGCAGGTCCAGTGCCTCCAAGGGTCTGATCAACGTGTAAGTAAAGGGATCTGAGCGGGTTGAGGATGCGACGACATACCGGGTGGCGTGTGTATTGGATCTGTTCTGAAGCCACGGCTCCGGGGTTTCCTTCGTGGCTGAGAATGAACTCGTGAAGATCCTTTTGGTTATCGACTTGTCGTACGACCTGGGCTAGGCTCTTGGGTCCAAACGAGCCGTCCTCCGTCTTCATGGGGGTGACGCAGAGACCTTGGCCCAAAAGAAGCTTCTCGCTGAAAGTAGCTGTCAAAACAAAGTCAGTGCACGTCACAGGAATTCGATAAGCTCAAGTCATACCGAACTTCTGCTGCTGAAGAGTCAATCCCGAGTCGCACTCGGAGATCAGTTGCTGAAGGTTCAGCACGGCCTGGGGCCTGTTGGTTGAGATCAGCTCCTGGCGCGCGGCCTGAGCAGCCTGCACCTTCGACGAATAGTCCCCGTCAGCATTTTGCACCTTGCGCAACAGCTCCTCCTCGTGCTGTGCAGCAGACTTGTGGCCCTTGAGGCCGAACTTTCCACCCTGCTTGTCACCTGTGCGAACACGGTCATACTGCTCAGCCAGCGACTCGTATTTTGCCTTCGCCTTCTCCGCCGAGGATTCGGCATCGACCGCTTTCTTCTCCGCGGCGAGGCCGGTCTGCTTCCATTGTTTGCGGCCGCGCTCGATATTGCCGGCTAGCTCGTGCAGGTCGTCGGCCATCTGTTGGAGAGATACGGCGAATTGGAGGCCATGGTCGACCATGCGTTCCTGGATGCGGTGGATATCCTTATAGCTGGAGCTGTATGTCCCTTGTCGGTTCTCGGTCCGTTGCGATGCATCGCTGATCACCCGAGACAGCTTTCGTAGCCCCTGAGCATGTTCTTCCTCGAGAGATCCTCGCTTTTTCAAAAATGTCGAGAAATCCTAGTACAATCAACTCCCGTCAGCGTTCCTGAGCAGTGTCGCGTCGAATTCGCGATTACGTACCCTGGCGGAGGCCACGCTTTGCTTGAGTCGGGTCAAGAGAGTGGTGATACCGATCTGTATGCGACACAGTCATTAGTTCCATGTGCTCTCGTTTTTCGGCCGGTGTTGACTCTGTTCAATCCCATTGACGGTGCATACTGACATCAGAATAGATGACCTTGTCAAGGCGAGCCTGCAGCTCGTCTGAGATGGGTTCGGGGGCCTGAGTCCGCTCACCCCCGGGGGATGCGCGACCGGCGCTTGGAGGCGCATCGTGCGCGGGGTCTAAAGTGTCCGACATTGTGGTCTCAGGAAGTGTCGGAAAAGTTGGGAGACAAGAGGGGATAAAGAGGGAGCAAGGTCCACCTCTATTAATATCCGGTGGGGGTTGTTGTCGGAGGTTAGGGGCGGATCCGAACGTTGCAGCCTGTGTGCTGCGAGTTCCAACGACGTAATTGCCCACCTCAGCCACAGTGGGTCGCGTAAGGCGATTAGGTCTTCAGGGACTCTTTGGGTACGATCAATTCAGGTACACTTTCAGAACATTTCTATTGAGACCTGTGAGACTTTGAACGTTAGGTTACAGAATTCTCTGCGGTGCTCACTGAGTTCACAATACACCGCTCGGCTCGTCCACCTAAGCCAACTTGACAACTACACTGTGGGCACGGAGTATACAGTGTGTTCTACACTTCAGATGTCAAGGTTGCTAGCTGTTCTAGGGTGGACAAGGGATATACACAAGACATAGCACTGACGCCTTTCCAAGTTGAATACTGGGCAGCCTATCACATCCACATTTGATTCCTGACTGATGGACTCAACTATCCACAAGATAGGATGGAAAGTACCCTGTGATATCTATGGATGAGCTTTACCGATACAGTTACTTCCCCCTTGTAGAAAGGGCTGATGTTCAAAGGCCTGACTTCGGCCACCCTGGGACATCAGCAAACCAAAGAGAGCGATGTACATCCCAACCCTTGAAGAGAGTGATGTTACTTCCGTTGTGGTAAACGTTGACCTGCTTCTCAAGTGCATTTGGATCCCTCCACGGTGCATGAACATCGATGGGGAGAGAGAGAGAGAGAGAGAGAGAGAGCAGACATGTACGATAATGTATGTATTGTGGAGCCGAGGAGAGAAGCAGGAGAGAGAGAGAGAGAGGGAGAGAGAGAGAAGTTCTCTAGATCTACGCTTCCCAACCTGCTGGGAGCCTGGCAAACCTGGCACCCACCGGCGCCGACAGAAAGGCACTCAAGGTCTCGGCGCCTTCCGGCGGGATACCCGATTGCCACGTCAATGGCCCCGAGAGAGTCTCGGGAGGCCTTGCCGATGCAACAGCTAAGGATCAAAGGTTGCTCTGTTGTCAACCGTCCTCTCTTCAACTACTGTCTGCGATCAAGAAAAGCCCTACCTTGAGCGGTACACCCAACGATTGAACTATTTCTACATTTTGGACCGTGACAATATGACTGGGTCCACAGGCGTCCAATTCCTGGACAACACAACCATCCACGATCTATTGATCAATCTATCCCGGGATGAGGCAATCAACCTTCGAAATGTCATGGAGCGAACATTTGAAGATTTCTCCGTCGGAGGTGAACGTCAATATCAATCACAGCCAAGCTTCACCAACCGTCCAAATGGTCAAAGTACTCTATTCAGACCTTTCACATCGAATGACAGCGTGGGAACTAAGATCAGCGTCGAGCCAACGCCTGATCCTGATGGCAAAAAGGGTGCCCTCCACGGCGTCATAGTTCTCTGCGACGGTAACGGTATTCCGACGGGTCTGCTCAGCTCCGAGGAAGTCACCGGGTATCGTACCTCGATGAACGCAATGGTCCCCTTTTCTTGGAGAAAGCATGTTGACGACATTGTCATCTTCGGGAGTGGGATGCAGGCGTTATGGCATACTCGACTCATACTCACACTCCGAGGATCCGAAGTGAAGAGGATCACATATGTCAGCTCTGGAAAACACCGAATTGATGAGTTGATTCTCAAAGTTTCGAGGGAGAATGGGACGCGCTGGAATTCAGAGTGTGTCTTTGATTTTATCGGCAATACCACGTCCGACTTCCAACAGAGGCTGGAAGCGCGCCTGCGAGGCGCTGATTGTATATTTTGCACGACGCCGTCCAAGAAGCCTCTTTTCCCGATGGGCTATCTTGGGGAACGTGATGGCCGACGCCCCTTTATCTCTGCTGTTGGCTCCTGGCAGTCGGATATGATCGAATTGGACCCTGCGCTTTTGCATCTTGCTGTCGCTCCGAATTCTGGATATAACCCGATCACTCAGAAAGACGATGGGGTGATCCTCGTTGACGATCGCGAGTTCGGCCTAACAAATTCTGGAGAGCTAGTCCAGGCAGAAATAGCGGCGAGAAATGTTGTTGAGCTTGGCGAGGTAATCTCCATAATGGGGAAGGAAAAAGCCGACTTCGCGAGTGCGCGGATTGCAAAGACCAAGGAGTTCATATCAGAAGGGTTTGTTATTTATAAAAGTGTGGGCGTGAGTCTCACAGACTTGACGATTAGCAATGCCATTCTCCAGATAGCAAGGGAAAAGACAGAGCAGCCTCGTAATCGTTGAGGGCTGAAGATCTGAGGCTGGGTCCTGATTGAGTCAAATACTACACGGTGGAGTATTGAGGACCTTCTTTTGAGTAACAAGAATGATTAAGTATTATAAAAGCAGCATCTCCAACTGGCGCTGATGTAGGTGTAAATCTTAAAGTACAAAAAATATAGTGACAAGAACGTGTTGTGTAGATCATGGCGCTCTCCGTCCGAGCACTGGAGTCATAGAAGCCCAGCCGAGCCGGGTCCACTGGGTGATGATAGTTGGGATAGAAATGACTCGGGGCTGATGTAGCAGACGAGTTTCGCTGATCTGCTTGCTCTGGGGTAGACAAGACAGGGAAATGCGACAGCGGGAGCAGTTCCTGGTGACCAGAAATGCCGTAGTAAAGGCGGTCGAAACACACCCGGACAACAAAGGCATCGCGATATACCCACGTACGCCTGCCACACACACCCAGGGCAGTCATTGGTCTCGGCTGTGGGAGTCTTAATGCGTGGCTGGATAGCCTGTTCCACTTACCCAGGACCTTGTAGCCAGGCCAGGCCAGTTGGCACCGTGGCGCGGAGGGAGGCTGTGAACGGACCCCGGTAAAACCTATCTGAGGGTGTCTCAACCATCAAACGACTGGTTTCTGGGGAATGACAGACTGTCGATGATCGTCTGCTGCGGGAAGGTGCACATTGGCAATCAGACAAACCGACTTGCGAAGATCGAAGCAAGGCATAGAGAACACCGTACGACTGTCGCGGGGCGAATTGATGATAAGAAGCTCGTTTCTGGGCGCAGGAAGTTCTGTAGCACGGGCAGGGAACTCATCGCGTAGCACGAAGCCGGCGAACTGCTGACGAATGCCGTTGACTGTCAACACGATACGCGGCGGCAGTCCTTCTTGCTCAGCGATGGCATCCACTACCCTGTCAATATCTATATCAAAGACATGGGGCTTCTCCTCATGAATCCAGCTGTACCGAGCGATCTTGGCGTTGCAATCCCACTCAACACGAACGCCCGGGGGCACTGCAGACGCACCGCCGATCTGGACCAGCGCATCGGGTGCAAAGGGACTCAGCCACCGCAGAGCAACTTCCGGGTCGATATAAGGTGCACTGACATATGGGCCGTTGTCCGCGGGCGGGTCAGCGACCTCCGTACCGGAGGTTGGGGTGTTTTCACCGGTGCTGGAGGTCTGTGGCTGACCAGGGAGGTCAGGGACCGATTCAGGATCCACGGGTCTTGGCGCAGCAACAACCAAGGCGATCGCCGCCACGGTCTTGTAGGCTTGCGTCCAGTACCAGCCGGCCCACTTCTGGCGATAATAATCCTCCAGGGCCGTCAATGCTGGCTCGGTGAGGGCGGCGCCTCCAAATACAACTCCGTGTAATGGGCGCTCGAAGATCAGCAAGACGCGATTGCTTCCACCGGGATGTCTGTAGCGCGTGCAGGCTGGCATGCATGCGACGCGTGGGTCGTCCGCTCCGAAGCGCCAGTCATATGCGCCTGCGCCACCAGACACGAACAGCGAGGCTAGCGCGAGCGCAGGCTCCAATGGCATATCATTCGGGATGTACACGGGGAGGTGTGACGGGTACTGCTTGATGGCGCCGGCTGTGTTCTCCAACCCAGTGTACTGGATATCCCAGTCCGGGGCTTCGGGGGCGGCAGAAGCGGTGGCACCAGCTCTCACGCTGAACAATGCCTGCACGATGCGAGTAGCGAGACCCATGAGAGGGGCGCGCGGGGCGGAGATCTCATCGATGCCGACGACGTGCAAGATGCTGGACGCGAAAGAACCTTCGCGTCTTGCTTCCTGATTGGCTCTGTTCGTCGAGTTGGCAACGTCACGCTCAGTATAGTCAACAAGACCGCGGTCCTGGGTCACCTTGGTGTGGTGATCCAGAGGTATCAAGGGCTTTGTCTCTGCGATAGACACGATGTCGACATGCTCGGCTACCAGCGGCTGTGGCTTCGGAATGGGCTTCATGTTGACATTCTTAGGACCTTTCAGCGGCTTCTCCTCCACAATGGGCACGGTGTCGACCTGCAGCTCAGTCATACTGGATCCGGTGCTGGATGCAATCGGCTCAGAGCGCACAGCTTCAGCAACAAGAGTCATTGTGAACAGCAGGAGAGAGAAGCTGTGACGAGATAAAAGCTACTCAGGGGCATCTCCGTCACAACCAGAATTTCATTCTTACTCAATGAGGCAGCAGGTGGATCTCACAGTCAAGAGATCAGCATATCATTGGCTAACCGAATCTTGGAACGGGGAAGTGGTCCACGGTTTGCTTTCGGGGAGATTAAAAGAGATTAAACTGTGGGGTCTGCTGAAAAAAAAGCAAAGAAACCTCATTTGTTTCATCGGCGCTAGTGTTAGCCGATTCAATCACTGCGGTCTATAAGCAAAATCGTCAGTCAACATGTATAGTGAGATCTGTGTTTCTTCTGAATAAACTTGAACATACAAAATCCGCCTTGGCACTTTTATTCGCATGGTATCATCGCTGGAAATCAAACTAATTTGTACAAAGCCCAATAAAGTGTTGTACTCAAGCTATAAAATGGGCGGCGCAACGAAAGAGTCGGGAATGCCATCGAAAACCCAATTCAGGGAGTCAAAGACTTCGGAAAACCCAGCTTCACTGAAGAAAGCACCGCCTTCGTCAAACTGCGCAGGTATCATCACGGAGGTATCCTCCAAGGAACTATCTTGTGGCCGGGTCATGTGTCCTGACGGCCCAAGTATGTCTTGGTTGGCGGCAATCGCGGCAGCTAAGACAGTTAGGAATGTCGAACCGAAACTAGGCCATGAAGCACTTACCTTGCATTTCCTCAAAACTTTTCACGGGTCGGAATCGTTGTCGCCAACGCCACACAGTGTCGTAGACATGGCTCATACTCATTCGGCAGCGGACCTTGAGCTGGAGAGCATCTTCTTCCGCTGTCTCTGTATTGGTGGCATTCCACATCTGAGCTAGAATGTCTGCAAGTCGGATGGGGCGGTCATGGTCCATGACACTGATTCGACGGATAGCTGAGATTGCTCCGTTGAACAGTAACTTGCCATGAACGAAATTGATGAATCGACTAAAGCTACTCCTCAACATTTTCATGAGAGCGAAAGCGGCCGAGACTATCATCTGGAGAATGTAGTTGGTGGAATGGCCGATTAATTCACCCGGAGATGTTTCGAGGTCCAGCACTCGGCCAAGGAAAGATGTGGTTGCAGTGTAGAGTTTCATGAGGTCGTCAGTTCGCGCATTGGAGCTCAAAAACATGAAGTATCGGAAGTGCAATTCTGCGGCACGAAGATGAATCAGGTTGATTGCTGGAGCGGGCGGCGTGTTAGTCGGCTCAAATCCACCATGATGAACTCCTAGCTTACCAGAAATTCCGCTGCCAAAGTCGGCCTCCATGTCTTGTAGTTCACTCTCCAAGATCTGCACAATCACGAGTTTGTCGGCGTTGATAATCTCCGCGGGCTCTGGTTTACTACTGTACAAGGCCTTGGTTACTCTGTCGCAGAATTTTTCAATTCGCAAGCGCATGGCCAACTCATCGGGGAGTCGGTAATCAGCATCTCGCAGTGAAGCGGGCTCAAGAGCCCAATCGTATATTGTGCTCGGTGGTTGCCCGTAGCCAGTCGCAACACTATCAACCATACCAGTCAGTTTCTGTTGGGTAAGTTCGGAAAGTAACCACTCACTTTTGAGCCACAACGTTGCAAATGACCCACGTGTGTAATCGATCCTTGAGAGCTTCGCCTTGCACTTCCATGCGGAAAGTAGTGAATTCTTCTGCTTGGACCGGGCGGTGCAAACCAAGTTGCATGGCAATCTGCATCATCAAACCACTGAGCATAAATGTTGCATCGGTGCGTTGACTTGTTGTGGGCAGAGGCCAAGTGCATAGAACGCAAAGAGCCTTGACCACCCGATAATCTTGTGGAACACTAGTAATAGTAGACCACAGTAGGCGACTGAATGGCCCAGATAGGGCACTTAGGAGACCAGGCTCATGCTGAGAACGTCGGCTCGCAACACAGATGATGGTCCACGCCAAGAGGGGACAACGATTGAGATACACCTCCGGGGGCTTAGGAGGGTTCAACAGAGGAAGAAATGGATGATAGTTGGTGAAATATCTGAATTGAATCTTGGTTAGTAAAGAGTGGACAACATGGAAAACGAGCCATACAGTTCATATAGTCGGATGACTCGGCTTCTAGAAAGAGATATGTCCTCTAGTCTCCAGGAACCCTCGTCTTGTGAGATGATAGAACCATCTCTTTTCATGGTTAAGGGTGTGGTTATCGATGGATGTGTCTCCACAGGCACCGAGACATGCCGCGACTGATCAACCGCGGACTCGCGGCGTGAGAACACATCCTCAGAGCAATGTGACATCGCATCACCCGCTTGGGACTCACGCAGCTCACCAGTCTGCTCATGGTCAGAATTAGGGCCTAAACGGCGGCGGAGGTCCGCGATCTCCTTTTCCATTTCTGCATTGCGCCTGTGAAAAGAGTCAATACACGTGGAACACAACACCGATCGGCAGAACAATGTGGGGATCTACCTTCTCTTAGAGATGCGCTTGAAAGACTGTTCAACTTTACAATCGATACCAAGCCGGCGACAGCGCGAGCAAGCCGCCGCCGGGGTTTGTACAATGTCACATCTCAGCTATACAGGATTGCGAAGTCAGCACGGGTGGGAACTCGGGAAGAATAATGATGGGAATCTCATGTGGCTCACCTTTTGCTGCTTACATTCATTGCAAGCTTTTCGGCACCCACCTCGGCGCTTGCCCGTGACAGGCGGGGTGTTCTCCATTTCGCAAGATTCCGAGCTTCTCTGCATGAAATCAACAGCCGGTGGCCGGGGTAGTGTGGGGGACCGAAAGTCGGTAGTCGGGAGTGAATAATGTGGCCCATCGGGTGCCAGAATGTTCCGGTACCCCAAATCCATCAAGCTCAGCCTGCGTCCAGCCGGTATAAAACCCCATGAAACGTGAACGAATGCGCGGAGAGTCTGCCGTAAATCGGAGAAATCGGCGGAAGGGGAGAGGTGGGGGAGGTGCGAGGCTTTGAGCGCCGCTGACTTGCCGCTGCGCGCCGAGTCTCGGCAGTTGGCCTGAGGCATCGAGTCTGTTTAGTCCACACTAGGCAGAAAACAATTTAGCGTTAGGCGCCTGAGGATTCAGGGTGAAACTGGTCCGTCTTGGCACTTATGTCATCGGCGCTCTGGCCATTGGCAGTTGTACGGAGTAGGCGCACTTCAAACGTGATAGCCACGTGACCCTTTTCAGAAGTTCACCGGCATTTGTTGATAACAGATAAGAGTACTAAGGATGGTCACGTGCAAAGGTGCGTGTTCAATAAGGCAAAGTGCGTGTATAACTGCCCTATGACATTCATGGCTGCTAACTAGTACCTGCGAAATGCAAATTGGACATCCTTGTCAAACAGCCCAACTCCATCCTCTAAACCTTGTATTGACTCCATTGTAGTCCGGCCTCTAGACTTCTCCCGGTTGATTGCTTCCCACAAACGTGAGTTGTTATTTCCTCCCATTTCCTTGTCAACAGCATCCAGTCGGTTGTGCTCGCCCCCACTGGCAACCTCGTCCTCGCGTTCTGGCAATAGATCACCAGACTCGAAAAACAGGGCGGGAGGAATTGTCTTCCGTCCTTCCTTAAATACCACCTTGGATACCACGACAGCGTATAGAACAGCCTCATCACAGTCTTTCGTATCTTCGTCACTTGACCGGTGGAGGTCATTCTTTGCTGTTTGTGTCGTTGTCGAATCACTGTAAGATCCCGGCTTCACGCAGCCTTCTTTGACAAAATGGGATATCAAGTACACCCACTTGTCATCCCAATAGCACACCCGGGTCCATATCTCATAGCGTTGGAATAGCGTAAGTGACTTTTTAAACACAGAAGTGATGCCTCCAAGGGCGAAGTTGAACCTCCCTGCCGAAACGGTGTCGGGCGCATTGAAGCGAGATTCATAGTGACGAGCGCATTGGCGAAAAAGACTATAAATATGGTGACTCCGCGCAAAGTCGATATCAAGAGGGTATGTGCTGTTTGACTTGTGGCCAAAGTAGTCCATCTCGCCAAGGGTGACTTGGGATACGAACACAGTGGGCTGGAAAATGGCAAGGTTTTCACATGTAGTAGGCAAACCGGGGCGTTGGACGAGCTTATATCGGAGGAAATAAGTGCAAAAGACTCGGATCTATGCTGGGCAAATTGTGGTCAAAATATTTCCAAGGGCGCACGATGATGAAGATTGCAGCAGAAACCTTGAACATACATGCCATGAGAATGGGAATACTTTTAAGCTAAGCACGCAGAGAACTATACGAAACAAAGACAATATGAGATCCAAGAGAGTACCAACAAGCCTCTTGATCCAATTGAATGGTGTTTCGGGATTCATGGGGATGATAGATAGTTCAGCGAGCAATGACAATTTTCGCTCTCTTAAGTTGACGGAGCTCGCAGCGATGGACAGCTAATTGACTTGAGTGGCCGGGAAAAACTAACTTGTTTATATGTTTTGGAAGAAGAACAAATAGGACAATGACTACCTATCATCTGCCTGCTTGAACTTTGTACAAATAGTACTCGTGTGTATCAAGTCATCTTGAATTTCTCAACAATACATCCCTAGCATGCCCGCCTCCTAACTAGGCTGTAGGTATAGTGGAATTGACGTCACCAGATCTTCACTTGCTTTTCTATTTTGTACAACAACATTATCGAACAGTTGTATCCAGTACTTATGATCTCACTGGCATTCCCTTATTTGGCCAGTCATCATTCTCACGGGGACCTCGGGAGGCCCGCAACCTTACAAGCAAATCAGCAAGGAGCTTCTGGTGTCACACAATTGCATAGATCTTGTAAATTGTAAATCTTTAAAGCACAATAATGATCTGGTCGAAATGATCGCCTCAGAATGTCACACAAGCAAGTATATATCCACACAGCCCGTGGAGGGAAAAGATCAACAGACTTGCACTTGCCTAGTACCTGTGCAGGTGCTTAATGACAAGCCACTTTCTCAGTGTGTCTAGGTCACTTACTTCGTAGCTTTAATCTTGGAACCCACCTGGCTCTTTAGATCACCACTTATAATTGTTTTTCCTAATCCAAATTTTCGATTCTACCGGGCACAGTAGAGACCATCACCTACGCGTCTGATAAAAGCCTACACTCTCTTTCCTATGATAGAAATTGGGAGGTGTATGTTGGCGGTTGCTCCTGGTTGATCTACAATCTAGATACTATCAGAGAAGCGGGACAGGCAAGACACCTTGAAGCTAGACACAAGAGATATCTACTATCAAAGTCCTCCAGGTCAACGCTAATTTTATGTATGGTGTGCAATTAATTGGAATGCGGTTGTTTTTAAGAAGCTGACTCATTTTTTTTACACGCCCAGGACTTGCTGATCAGGGGTTGAAGTTATATCGGTTACTCTCTATTACAGAGCAAAAGAAGAATTATCAATGATGTGGTATTGAGATACATAAAAGAATCATCATAAGAGTCATCCATGGTATTCCGTAGCTCCGATGATCTGGAGAATTCGATCGTGGAACAGCTCCTTGTTAAGTAAAGAATATTTCAAAACCAGAACGAATGATCCATCTCTCATATCATTATTGTAGATTTATTGATCTACTATCCAAACATTCCATTTGTGTAACATGTCATTGAATTGTGTGACGAGCTACATATGCTGCCCTTCGAGCTCATAGACATCGGGATTTGGTTAGAAGCCCTTGCTTGAATGGTTAAGTTATATGCCTATATGTACGAGTCATGTGTAACCACACTTCTCAGCGCGTGGAATGAATGCCTCATACCTCTGAAAGTCTGTTTACAGATTTTCCACCTGTGCATAGACCATTAAGGACATTGAGATTTCTCTATCCACGTGTACTTAAGACTCAACAGGAGCGAATTTTCGATGATATCCATGGATATCCTACATGTATATTCTGACTTGCTGTCTGGTCCTACGATACGTATAACTGAGCCCTTCTTTGTTTGTATTTGAGAATGGGAAACCAAAGTATCGATGACCCAGATCTTGCATCCGATCTGGATGCTCAACGCTTACGAGGATGGAGGTTGTATTCCATGGCCGTTTGGTAAGAAAGATACTATTTCTTGCTTGCTTTGGTCAAGTTATGCTGACTCGGTATACCAGCCTATTTGTTAGCCTATATCTTGTCAATCTAGAAAGCACAGTCATCACTACGTCGTTGTTTACTATCACAAGCGATCTACAAAGCTTTGATCTAACCAGCTGGATTGTAACTGCATATTTGGTTACCTATACAGGTGAGTCAGCAGCACTGAAAGCCATTCCCCGCAGACTGAGCTAATTGGGGGAGGATTCATTGTACTATGGACTAGGGCCTGCGATATCTTCGGGTGGAGAAATACATATTTGGCAGCCATGGCCCTCTTTCTCCTGTTCTCACTAGGATGTGCAGTTTCTAAGACAGGCGTCCAATTGCACGTACGCCATATGTCCCCTTCCAGTCACATTCTGACCCGAGTTTAGGATAATATGTCGAGCGTTTCAGGGACTTGGAGGTGGCGGTACGTATTCATTGGTCATGCTATGTGTCTACCAACTTGTCCCGAAGGATAGGTTTGCAACATTCAGTAGCTTGGTCGCGGTAACGATCGCGCTGGCAACTATTACTGGACCTATAATAGGAGGCGCTCTAGGTCATGATAAAATTTGGAGATGGCTTTTTTACCTCAAGTGTGTCAATAGCGCCGGAGTACGGAGCGAATCTTACTAACGACTTGTCCAGTCTTCCTCCAGGAGCTATCGTCCTGCTTCTAGCCCTGGTTTCAATGCCGCCTGACTTTGCACAAAAACGTTCAGAGCCAATCTTTTCAGCCAAATCTTGGAAGTATATTCTTTGGCGCCTCGACCTCCCGGGCATTTTCCTCCTACTTGGTGGCTCTCTTGTGCTTGTCACTGTGCTGGATGAGACCAACAGTCATTTCTCATGGTCATCGGCCAAGGCCATTGCTCTGATAATCGTTTCCGCAGTTTTATGGATCGGGTTCATTGTCTGGGAAATCCTGGCTTCGAATGAAAAGTACCAGACAAAGCCGGTGTTTCCAAGATATTTTTTCTCCAATTGGCCTCTCCTTGGAATCTTTCTGTCAGTGCTCCAGAAGCATCAGCGTTTACTTGATGGGAATAGCTGACTCTCTGCTAGAACAAGTTTCCTCGTCGGAGTTCCTTACAACTCCATGATTGTTTACTTACCTCAACGTTTTCAGGTACTTCTCGGTGACTCCGCTTTGATGGCTGGCGCTCGTCTACTTGGATACTCTGGAGTGACCGCGTTCTCATCGACCTTTGCCATCATCATCAGCACAAAATTGCGTGTACCATTTTTACCTATTTTGATTTTTGGCGCCATGATCAGCATTGCTGGAACTGCACTTTTCTCAACCCTGCCTCTTTCAAATGAGTGGCCAGCTTCTGGGTATGGTTATGAGATAATGGCAGGTTGTGGTATGGGAATCGCGTATGGAATATCCATGTTTGCGCTCCCGTACATGCTAGACCTCAAAGACGTCCGTGAGTGCCGTTTCAAAATCAGCTTTAAGTTGCAGTCCCTAACCTGCACCTTTCTTATAATGAAGAGGAGGCCTCCGGTATTATTGTTCAGATGCGCTACTTGGGAAGTTCTGTGGGTGTATCGATTGCATCAAACATCCTCAATGGGAGGCTGAAAACTACATCGAACTTTCTTTCAAACGACGCTTCCGAAAGACTGTCTCACAACGTCGGATATATCAGCAAACTTGCACTGGAAGATCAACATCGTGTGCAGGAGAATCTTGCAGAGAGCTATCGAATTCAATTTCAAGTATTGATCGGCTTCGCAGTGGCCCAGTTAGCAGTGTCGTTTTTGCTGATTCGAAGGGGAGCGCAGATCAGGCCATCTGAGACTTGATTCCAGTTGACCAGTTCCATTTCTTGCTTTCAATACATCAGAAATTCTTTCTGTGAAACGCTTTGAATTGCTGAAGCTTGTCTACTCGTGGTCAACTTGGGGGGTTGCAGCTCCTTTAATATCAGTGACTGAACCATTTCACTGTTAGAAATAACTTGTTCATATGCTAAATCATTCTGCAAGACTGTATGGAGGAATGCTTCTTTCTTTTTCAAGAGAATGAACTGACCACCTTGGAAACAGGGTTCACATCGATAAGCATGAATTAGTGTTGCTCCGTAGAAATGATTTGAGACACATACCATTTCAATTTACTTTACTCATACTACCTTTTTCGCTCTTTATTTGTTCTATTAAGGTCTTGCGTGCTCGGTTCTGCATCGAAAAGTGTCGAGGATAGAGAGCAGACGTATTGATAACAGACTGATCTACGAAGAAGAAGCAGAGATCGCTATCAAGTAATAGGTCCTCTCTGTCCACTAAAAGCAAAAGTGGACGAGGAAAGGAAACGAAGACATGACGGGGGAAGGTCAAACCCCCTTGACTAGATAGCTCTCTCTCTCTCTCTCTTCCTTCTTTTCCTCGGTCGGTCTTTTTGCTTCGACAGTGGGAAATCTACGGTTTTGAAGTTATGTGTGCTTCTCCTCCGTAGATCAGCCTATTATCAGAGAGATCGAGCTCGATATCGGCCCTCCCAAACCATGTCACCTGACACCCACACCCCCAAGATATATGCAGTGTAATGTGAGACGGTGAGGGAACGAGAGCGAGAGAGCGAGAGGTCTCGATCCACGCCATATATCCGCGGAACCCTGACAAACCAGGCAATCATGAGCTCCAAAAAAATCAACGGGAAAGCCCTGCAGCACTTGTTGGGCTTATTTTCGGCGTCGTAGATCGGGAGCTTCGCTCTGTCTCTTTGCTTCGCCTTTTGTCTCCCATAATACATGCATCACATAATCGTGCATTCTTAATCGGGTGATTATACTTCCTCTATTCAAGTCCAGTTTGGAAGACAGAGCTGGGAGGCGAATGATGTAGTGTTCAATACATGCAAAATGCACTCCTTTGTTTGATTGCGTCATCAAATTATGCATTCATCCAACATAGGTAATCGTATAGAATTTTCAGTACCTGATGATTGGTATTATGCACAGGTGTTCCTTCTTCAAGATATCTACATAGGCCTTGGCTTTGCATAATTGGAAAATAAAGTGTATCTAATGGCCAGGGTTATTTCTACGTACAGCATAAGTCTATATCACATTCAAGTCCACAGCCAACTAAAACAAGAACCCTCACAAATCTTGTAAATTATCCGACCATTCCTTGCTCATCGCTTCCATCCAACATGTGTCCAACTCGTCGAGGAAGTCATGATCGACATTGCCCGAATCTAGGAAAAGCCACTCGGGAGCGGGCAGCCCGTCATTCGGGGCTAAGGTGTGGCCCTCTAGTTTCTGCTCGTTGCATTTCCCTCTTTCTATTGGGTCATTGGGATTGGCTGCCGTTGCCCAGTGCTGTGAGCCCAAATCGGTTGGGCCCGGATAAGTCGCTTCACTGCTGGTCTTTATCCCGCGCCCTTCTCGGCCACCGTTTTTCCCATCCTCCTCGCTATCGTCATAATATTTCGGTGAGCGGCCGCGGACGACGACGGGCTCCGAAGGTCTGCGGGCGATCAAAAGCCAAAACGGAAGCTGTGTTGTCGTGTCCAAGGCTTTAGCATAAAGATCTAGCACCAGCTGATGGTCGTTCTGGTGATTTCGGGTCTTCCCTTTCACGGTTGTGGCTTTTCCAAATTGAATGCGCTCGAAGATATGGGGAGTTATATCCTGAAGACAAACTGGATTTGGTTTACTCTTTGACTTGTCGCTCCTTGAGGAGTCATACTGAAACAGCAACTGGGAATCATCGGGTTCATCGCCCACTGTGGCAGAAAGTGCCAAAGCAAACCCCTGAATTGGGAGACGGTCGTAGTTGTTTCGACAAATATAGAGAGGAATCCGATAGATCGATGGGCAGAGAGAGAAACTGCAAGCGACAGAGAAGTAGTTCCGTCGGTAGCATGTCCATCGACCTTCCCTGACCAGGAAGCCACGCTCAATGTTCGCTTGGATATCTACATCCACCTTCATCTCAATTCCTTCGAAGTCTGCCACAATTGACTCGAAAGGAATCGTGTCTCTGAAGAATGAATCCTTTTGTTTGGAAACGCCTTTTGGCTTGTTATCAGACCATGTGCTCAAGTCACCAGGAAAAGGGGTTTGGCAGCTAGTGCTGTCCACGATTTGCTCGGCATTGAATATTTGATCTTCCAAAAATGGTGGTTCGTCACCTTCATTTGGAGAAATCTCGGACAAGAATGGTCCAGTTTGTAGTGGCGTCGCGAGTACCGAGCTCGGATAGTCTAGCGGCAGTCCTGATGTCCCATCGAAACCCTGGCTGTAGACAACGAAAAGCACAAAGGCATATCATCAGTCAAGGAAAAATTTGGATGTCCCAAAACTGAATTCTTACATTGATGGGTATTGTAGAAGGCTGTTCGGATCTTGACATAGGAAGCGATCATCCATAGTAGATTCAATCCATGAAGCATCTATTGATCAGTCAGTCAGCTCTTTCTTTCCTGGATCATGCACTTGAAGAACTGAAATGAAGAATATTTACCAATCCAGCGATCCGACTCAATCAAGGCCAGCGCAGACAATTGATCATCACTATTTGATAAAGCGGTTTAGCGGAAGACAAGAGTATAATGCAGGGGGAGAAAGTGTGGGGGAATTCAAAGCCACTTTCCACTCAAGGCACAGGCAGGAGCCATATATCATAGTTTTGGACAGTAACACAGGATGTCTTGTGCTAGGTAAAAATAACAACTTACTATGAGCTGAATGTTGGACATAGATATCCATACTCGGGTATGCTATTTGAGGCCGAAACCAAATCATACCCATCGTCCAACGGGCTCTCGCTCTCTTCTCCGCTGTAAATTCCGGTCGTATGCAAGTAATCCAGCCCCGTTTCCCTCATGTTGAAATTTCCAGTGGAGGTATCAGGGAGCAGAGACATTGTCTTGATGAGGTACCAAGGCCAGGGAACAGATGAAACCAGTTCATTTAAAATTGTTATATAAACAAGGAGCTTCACTAGAAGTGGATTGATCGTTCAAATGCAGGTCGGTGGGAATAGGGTCTTTGAAATCTAGCAATTCACTGTGATTATATACTTAAGCAATCTGGGAACTAGAACCGTCTGATTCTCGAATTTCGTCATTGGAATGTAAAACTTCTGCAGGTAGGTATAATCAAAGGTTTGAGACTTGCTTTCACGCACCGCGAATACCCAATATCAACCTTGGAATTTCCAGCGAGCCGGGAATTCGTCGTGCTTGAGCCATACAAATCCCAAAGCTCTGCATGCTACGGAATGACGACAGAAGATTAGGTTTGTTGTGGTAGAATTCAATATACAGATGGGTTGCACAGCAGTACCAAAGGCTAGATATGGAGTTGATCGACTACAATTTCATCATGAGGCCCCTTGGGTCTGCTACACAAGGCAATCAATTTCCACGATCTCTCCGATTGCTAGAATGGACCTCCAATCAGACAAAACAGCAAGCCTTTTACTGTTGTACAAGTCATGTAGATAGAGAAATCAGAATCAAGGATTTTTGAGAGGAAAAGAGAATGCTTCTGTGCCCTGCCCTTCTCGGGATACATACATGACCTGATTGATATTGAGGCGCTGTTTGTCGATCTGTCTAACGCACAGGGTTACTCAGATGACATTAGTAAACACCTTGGTCCTTCACTGCAGAGCTTGCATTGCCTGGCGGTGGGGAGATCAGCACGCCACATACAGCAATACAAATCGTGAGTGGTGGAAATACTTCCCTTATCGCCTACAAGAAGTATACTGCTGCAGACCATCGGGATCTGATGAAAACAATGGATATTGTCTTTACAGAGCGAATGATAGTAATACAAGCCCCCAAGCCTGCTTAATGAGCCGCGGTGCCCTAAGTATAGATCTTTAGGCTGATCAGACCGTGCAACATCCGCTTTTCTGTAAAACAATACAGTCACACCACCTTGTCCACTGCACATTATGATACTAGTGTCGTATGTGAATTTGGGAGCAAACCCCGATTTAGAATGATGCTGTCGGTCTAGTCTTCACGAGTCAGTGTTGTACTTAGAAAATGAGTGGAGTCCACCTTGAGACAAGAACTTGAGCAACCTTCTATGCCCGATGCGACCTGGGTAACCTGTGCCGCAATTTTTTGGCACTCGCGATTTAAAGACATCATCGAATAAGTAATGCTTGTTCAAATGAGAATTTTAAACTTGAATACAATAACTCCCATGGCTGTCGGTCGAAGTCCCATTCCAGAACCCTCAAGGAACGTACACATAGTTCCATGCTCCAATACATGGCATGGCGGCTCTCTCAATTGTGAGACCTCGCAGGAGTGAAATCATTTTTTTTGGCAAGCCCGACTACCTCCAAAATCCGACTTACAAACAACTAGGGAGTACTTCGTGCAGATATCCATGTCGCTTGAGGAATCGGCAGTGGTTGAAAATCATGCAAGGGATATCCCGAGTTGCGCAAATCGTAGGATGCCGATCAAATTTCCAACTTGCCGGTACCCTCACATCACACTTGCTATGAGGCTGGGGCGGAAGGCGGTCCGGTAATCAGACATCCCTGTAGAGATGGTTCAATCTCATGCTGTCAAAAGAGTACCCACCGGTCCTAGAGGACGAGCTTAACTAAACGCCACTTTTGACAGCCGGTCGATCTAAAGTGTTGGAGCCTACAGCTGCCTAACTTGCCCAATACTAGCGTAGTAATTAGTCATAGGTCGAAACTCGAGTGCTTTTCTCTCTCTCTCTCTCTCTCTTCTCCTTCTTTGCTCTCACGATACCTTACATTATCGTACATCTCGGCTCTCGGCGCACAGACTAGGCATATTTTCCATCTAATACTATGAATGCAGTTTTATCGTGGTCTCGGGCATGCAACAAGACTCTTTCAAGGCAACACATACATTCAAGTAGTCCTACGAGAGACAAAGTCGGGCTTTATTGACCGCTAACCTGATGAAAAGGACCTGCAGTGGCCCCTATATAGGGACCTTTTCTTTCACAGGGCTGGTGGGTCCTGAATACATGCATCTACCAAATCATTTCTTTGACGTATTTGGCATCACACATGCAAACTACATAATCTGTGCTACATCTCATGAGGCACCGGGGTGCAATATTGAGTAGGTCAGACGAAGTTTAGGCCCCCTGGAGCAAGCAGAGGTCAAAGCAGCCATATGAAATTATTTACTACTCTCAGGGAAAGGACTATGCTTCCCAGTGCGCTAATATACTGCTTAATAAACTCACTAGTCATAGCAGCGGAGAGCTTTTTCTCACCTCACCTCTTTCTCACTTCGTCCGACATTTAGTCATATTAAAGAAGTAGGGGCAATATGTATGTTTAGTGATATCAAAGGAAGTTTTGTTCATTCGAGAACTTTAGAGGTCGAATCCCCTGTAAAGGTATACACACTAAGAATCAGCAGTTTTGCTATAACAGTAGCTGCGTCAAGCCTATATGTCGCATGGAGCATCCATTGATGAAGTCTGGTTTCTCAACAGTCTACAATGGAGGGAAACTCTTGCCCAGGTGAGAGCCGACAATTCTGATTAACTTCAATTCTTCAAATTCTCGACAAGTCTCGCCCACACTAATAACGTTCATCCCTCCTAGCTGCATCCAGCAACCGCGAGAAATTCCATTAATTCTACGAAGACTAATCTTTGGGAGAGAAAAAAAACTTGTCATTCAGATTGCATGAAGAAAAAACCTTGGAACGATTGGCTTAGGTGTTGTACAGAAACCAGGGCATTCAGCACGCACAGAATAAGGCGTTTACAAAGAGTATGAGGACCTGTGGTATCAACGCCGAAAATGAGAAAATGACCGCTAGAAATGGGCTGCCTTTCCGCCGGCAACTTTGGACGTCTAGCCGTTCCCCGGCCCCCATCCGCCCACTGCCCTGCAACACCTGTCATGCACCCGCCTAGCACTTGCAGTTATCCTCCGGTCTTAATGTTGATGCTCGAATTACACATTTGTTCCCCTTTTCCTCACTAACGACTAGAACAACGCCGAAAGTGGCTCTCTTCTAGTCAAGTTCAAGCCTCTCCCTGTTCTGTTCAACCTAAGAGGTTGTATACTCAGTTGGCTTGCCTTGTCTGCTAGTAATACAATTGCTCTGCTGTCTAAAGGACAAGGCCAAGCCTTGGAAATAATGTACAAAAATGAGGCAACCGCAATATGCTTGAACCAGCGCAATGCCTTGAACAGAATTCTCGTTTAGTTAGTAAACGGCATCTTCATATTCACCATACGCCCAAAGTGCAAGAGATCATTCGACACATATCCGTTGGAGTCCAAACGGAGCTGGGACTTGCGCCCTGCAACCTGGACGATGATGAAGTCCTCATTTGTGAAGACTTGACGCATAGACTGGAATGTTCTCCAGAGCTGGTAGCTCATTGCGCTGACAGGAGACTTGAAAAAGCGCGGGGGTTCCTGCAGGCCACGGCCAAGTCTCTTGCTGTCCAATTCATATCGCTTGGCGGTTTCCGGAGACACGGTCAACTTGCGCTTGAAGGAAATATCGCCAGGTGCCACATCGATTTGGTAAGGCTTCTTGAATGGCATCAGACTTCTGACTGAGAAAAGTACGCGCATGCGCCCATCAGAGTTCACGGCCTTGATATGCCTCACCAGAGATCCGGTGCGAGTGATGAATAGTGTGCCCATGACACTCATCACAATACAAATACCACCGAAAAGAGACTTCTGCCACATTGGGAGTGGGACAATGGGATCTCGGAAAGTTGCGTTGGAGTTGTAAAGAGAGTAGGCGAAGCAGAACCCGGACAAGCCAAACGCGGTTAGGACATATGCGCGATGAGAAGGGGCCTTGAACAAAAGCACTTCTCCGCTTTGTAGTACTGTTGCTTGAAGCTTTGCAAGCGCCCGGGGATTCTTGTTGCCCTGCGGGTTCGAGGACTGCCATGCGGAATCAATGGTCCGGGGTACACCTTTGGCCTTGCTGTGAGGTGCACTAGAGTTGAAGTAGCGCCATGATGATTTTATATTTGTCTGAAAGCCAGAGCGTGCAGGGGTTCCCAGGCATTGACGCCAAAATATCCGAAGGGTAGGTAGTCTGGCGGACATTGTTGCGGTGGTCCTATTCATACTCCAGTTAGTAAATTGGCCAGTACAAGGATACGCGACCGATTGGACCCCGTCATTCCATAGGATACATTCACGGGAAACCACATCGACTGCAAGCTCGAATGACTTACCAGAAGGAGAATCAATTGACGGTGTTCTCCTCGGAAAGCGCCGACAGGCTCGAAAGCAAGCAATGCGGCAGAAAAATGTTCCCGTCCCGGCCGCCGGTGAAAGCTCCCAACGCCCTCAACACCTCCGACAGTTGCCTCGAAGTTCCTCCAAAACCGCCCCTCAAAACGAATTGAACTTGGATATTTGCGCGTCTCAACGTGGTGTGGTGGGTTCTTCGTTGATCCCGCTCGTTTCTCCCGAATCCCAGCTTCCGCGGCGAGTTGCGACACCGGCCGAAGATCTCCATCGGCAGCGCATCTCCACCATATAAAATCTCCAGACTCGCACTACACGCAATGGCAGCCAAGATTTCCGTCGGCCAGGTCCCGGCCATGTTTGCCCGACGACAGCAGCAGGCATTCGGTGTCGGCAGACGTGAGTGCAGCCCATCATCCGCAAGCAACTCTCCGCGAGACAAAGCCGCTCCGTTGAGCCCAGCTTCTGGCGGAGACATGCGGCTATACGATTGAGATACCCAAGATATTCTAACATGTTTGTTTCCTCCAGGCCTGCAGTCTACCTCCTCCCAGACCCAGAACCCCGCCTATCCTCTCTACCCCTCGGTCGCCCAACTCCTCCGTGAGAAGGGCATTCCCAAGTCCGATGTCTCCAAGATCCCAGCCTCTGGACCCAAGGGTCGTCTCTTGAAGGGTGACGTGCTCGCATACATTGGACAGATTGCCTCCGACTACCCGGCAACTCAGGCCGCCACCCTGGCCAAGCTCGCCCATCTCGATCTGAGCAACATCAAGCTCGCCCCGGCCCCTGCCCCGGCCGCGCCGGCCGCGGTCGAAGAGAAGCCCGTCGCAGCCCCTCCCGTCATGACCTCTGTCGCCATCTCCATCTCCCTGTCCGCCGTTCTTTCCGCCCAGAAGAAGCTTCAGGACAACCTTGGCGTGACAGTCCCGCTGTCCCGCTTCTTGGCCATCGCCACGGACATCGCCAACGACGACCTCCCCCGTCTGGCCAGCTTCAAGCCCTCTGCTGATGAGCTCTTCGATGAGGTTCTCGGTGCTGAGCCCGTGAACTCATCTCGCGGTGACTATTTGCCCGAGCTCAACGCTTTCGAGGCCCCTCAGACCGTGCGCTCCAAGCCTGTCACTGAGGATCTCATCGATTTCCTCAGCGCCAAGCCTTCCAAGAAGGCTGCTCCCGCTGCTTACGTTGAGACCGCATCTGGTGCGGCTTCCAATGTCTTTAGCTTGACCGTCCCTGTTGATGAGCAAGTCCGTGCCAAGGAGTTCCTTGAGCGCATCAAGACTCTGCTCTCTGTTGAGCCGGCTCGTTTGGTCCTTTAGATTTGTTTTACCATACACTCCCCTTGTTCGACTTTTTTTTTTTTTTTTTTTTTTCCAACTCATCTGAGCCAGAAACGTCGCAAGTCGAAGCTCAGTTCATGAATGTATTCAATGTAGCATAGTTAATCGGGAATTGCCTTGAAATGGATTACTTCACTCAATACATCAACGAACGACATACATCATGCCCATCATGCCCATCATGCCAAACGACGCACTCATACTCCGTACAATGGACGGCTCTGCCTCCAAATAATCCGACATACGTCACTGTCAATTGAGTCCGTTTCCATTGCTGACAAGGCATATACCCCATGAAGGCTAATGTGGTTTGAATTCTATGAAATAGAAGCAGAGGCATGGATCTTTGCCGCAAAGAGAAAAAGGGTCATTTCATCATGAAAAGCAAAGCCTGGCAACACAAATTGCAATGAGAAGTTCCGCCGCACAACGCCATAACCCAGAAATAATGAAAACACCGAGCGCCGCCGCTTAAAGCCTCGAGGTAACGTGGCTGTGAAACTGTCCAGATGGTTCTGAGGTGGCTGGCCAGTGATGCTAGCTTCGCGAACAGCCTGAGTCCGGACGCCCCAGCAAAAGGAATTGCGCGAGAAAAGAGGCGCCGAGAAAGAAAGAAAAAGCAAAAAGAGAAAGAAACCAAAGCATGCAAGGTTGCAAGGTTGCCCGTTCCGAACCAATAAGCGCCGAACGTCCAGCCGAAAGAAATGCTTGTGCCCCCGAGAGAAAATATGCAATAGATCCCCAACGCATGAGATTGTAAAAAAATCAGATCCCCCCTCAAGCCATGCAATGATGTATGCTCCAGCGAGCAGGTAAACCGCAAACCGCAAAACTCCGTGTCGAATGCAGATTAAGAGATGTGTTGATGTGGGTGGAATAGAATGAGACAGACTATCGGATGGTGCCCCATTCAGATAGCTTGCTACCTTCACGGCGGTTATCTCTTGTGGCACGTCTGTCAAAGATCTTCCAGAACCGAAGTGTTTCATCGCCTGCTCCTGTCACGACAGTCTGGCCGTCGGGACTCATGGCAAGGTACAGAACGCGGAAGGTGTGACCAGTCAACGAGACGATCTGCTCCATGCGTGGGTACTTCCAAATGACGATTTGGTTCTGGCTGTATCCGTGTGTGCTGATAATCTCGTCTGAGATCTTAGACCAAGAAAGATTGCAAACCTGGCTGCCTGTATCGACCTCTTTGATTAATGATCCGGTTGATGTGTTCCAGAATTTGATCGTGCGATCTGCTGTTCCTCCACCTGAAGCGAGAAGATGATGTTGGTGGGGGGACCAAGCAATGGCCTTGACTGCAGCGTTGTGATCCGAGAAGCGGAACAGTGGGGTTTCGTTCAGCTTGTCCCAGACCATCAACTTGTTGTCATTGCCACCAGATGCCAATTGGCCGTCTTCAGTATTCCACTTCAAGCCACAAACTTCTTGCTTATGTCCAGATAGCTTTCGAATATACTGATCGGGGGAGCGAACATCACGGTGGTAGATGAGGCGGTCCCTGGATCCGGAGGTAAGGATATGATCGTTCCATGCCAAAGCACCAACTCGGTTCGTGTGTCCGATCATGGTCCGTAGCCGACGACAGTGCTCAGCATCCCAGATCTGCACCAGGCCTTTCCCTGTGCCAATTGCAAGATGAGTTCCCTGTGTTCCACCCTGTCAGTATCAAGTCGTCTCCAGTGGGATCAAGACGAGTTGCTCACCCTTTGAATCCAGTTCACACTAGTCACCGTATCATCTTTGAGGTCGCATAACTTCGTAACTCGCCCGGAATGTGAGTTCCACATGTACACAGAATTGGCTAACCCAACGCCAAGAACATTGCTACTGCCCCAGTCAACCAGGTTCAAGTAGAAGTCATCTTGTAGATCCGGCGCATCCAAGACCTTGTATGGAACCTTATTCACATAACGAGCCTGTTTGCGGGGTGTTTCAAGTATTCGTTGGCTATCATATCTGATAGGTGAGAGGCTGTACAATTCCGAGCGAACATCCAAATTGGGTCCGTGGATACTGCGAGGAGTTTTTGAGGGCGTTGGGTGACCAGATCCTGGCCTGGAGGCTCCATAGTTGAAAAGATTCTTGTGAGGGGTTGAAGGGGTGATGCTCGCGGGAGGGAGGTTGGCAGCGATATGTGCAGGAGGCGTGTGAGATCTGGTCTTGTCATTGATCCCGTTGCTGAAGCCGAGTAATGGGTCGGCTGGTGTTGCGCTGAGGTCAGGCTGAGGAACGGTGTTTCCGAACAACTCACTCCGCAAAACCCGGGAAAACGTGCGATTGGCTTCGTCAGCTAAAACGGAGGGGTCAGTCGGCCGCATATTGATGGGTTTCAAAAATCGGGCATACTTTTCTGGAAGTGTAATTCAGAATGAGGGCCTCGTTTCTTGGCCTTGGATGGAGTTGAGGGGCAACCATCCTCATGCAGCAAGCTGTACGTCGCTTGGAGGTCTTGTCCATCGCGGTTGGGAATGAAGCTGGCTAATTGTCAGCTGCAAATCCAGAAACTTTTGCTAGCATTCTGTTTGAATGCTGCTTTCGGAGCCTGGTGGGCCAAGGGCGTCACGTACCGATCCCCATACACCCGCTGTCGCTTGCGGCACGGACTGGATACCGGGGTTCGCTCCCGCCGCGCTCCAGCTGTCTCATAGTCCTTCAGAGCCTTTGCCAGCGCGTTCGGGTCAACCGATTCCCCTCCTTCTGGTTGCTGGCGGTTGCTGGAATTGTCTGGAAAATACATTGTGCGTTTGCTCGGCATCGTTGGCGGGGTTTTGGAGCCAGGGGGGAGACGATGCTAGAGATATGGGACTGTTGCGCTTTAGCCGCCGTCTCGGCAGTCTTGCCTGATTTCTGAGGTCTGTCCGCCATTGCGATTGTCTGTCCACACCTCAGAGACAGGATGCAGCCGATAAAGCACGAGCTGAGAGTTGCATAAGAGTGATGTGAGCCGTTCGCCAATGAGGACCTAAATTCGTGTATGAGGTTGGGTGTCTTTGAAGGGCGGATTCACAGCTCTGTTGTTTGTTTCGGTGGAGTCGGAATGCGGGCCTCAACCGATGATGCTCGGGTGGGAAGACAAAGGATCGAAACGCCAACGGACCCTGATTCACCAAGCCGATCGACAAAGAAGTTTCTGAAGACCTGCGGCATATGAATGAATGAGTGTCTCTTCCAAGGGAGTGACGGAGTTGCGCAGGGCGACTCTCTGGGTCACGCGTCGGGTACGCTAATCCCGATTAGGTCACATCAGCATCAACACTCTCCGTCAAGCGCAAACCCATCTTTCATCTAACAACATCCTCCAAATCATTGTTTGAGTCGATCTGACTCCGCAAGTGAGCCGCCTCTTCTTAATATAGTATTAAGGTAGTCTCATGCCCGTTGCCGAGATTCTGGGAGACACCTCCATGTCAGCATGCCTTTGTTTAGATTGAGACCAACTGGAAAGAAACGCGCTTATGTCTGATTGCCCAGCGGACTTGGAAGTGGGGGGATATAGTATGACCTTTGGACGCGAGATCCAATTACACTTTACTCGTTTAGACCTCCTTTCGCGCTGCTATACGCGCCCGGGACGCGACGCGGCGAAGCTTGGGCCATGGCAACGAGATTCTATCTCTGCACATTCTACTCCGTACGAGTACGGAGTACGGAGTCGGGAGTACGGAGTACGGGAAGAGCAGTCCCACAAGACATCTAGTGTGGGGAATATGTCAAAGCAATCAAGCTCATTGTGAAATCATATTAATGTTCCGGACCGCGGACTCCATTGTACTCTAAATGTGTTGAAACACACCTAGTGAGTTTTGTCTCCAATTCTCATCACTCCACTCCAATCTAGACCCCGGCCTTGAAGTTGCTATAGCTAGGAACACAGCCATTGAGCCGATAGGGTTTATTTCATCGTACTTTCCATGTCTTTTTTTGAAAAAAAAAAAAAATGCAACCTTCAGTACAGGTAATCAAGTTCCAACTCAGGTGGTTCGATAAGTGCAAGTAAATTCATGGACTAGCTTATAATCACGAACGAACCAGGAGTGATGGCTAGCATGATGGAACATATCCTCGTAAATTCTCCAGCTCTACGTAATACCCAATCATCACCTGGGCAATGGACTAGTCCATGGAGTCGCGACGAAGATTTTTTCCAAGGTTTGAACGATATAGGATCTCAGGATACCACCCCGATCCAAGGAAATTGTAGAAGCTTGCTCTTAACTTCACATATTGAGGGGAGAACAATTCTCCGTTATGACAATCGAAATCCCTGCTATACTCATTGGTCTCCAGTGGAATTTAGGTATTGCTTGGCGATCTCCATAGCTTCAGACTTCACAACCTTGTGTTGAAAATGAATATAAGGCCCTAAATTCTTGATGCGCTAGTCTGTTCAGTCCCGAGGTCCAGTTGGGAAAATCTACATCTTAAAGTCCTTGGAACATCATGTTGAAAAATAAATTGACGTCTTGGCGTGGGGTATAAGTTTTGGTTGTCTGGATATGTATCCACAACACCACCGGAAACGGAGCAAGAATCTCCCCTTTGGACGTCTTGGAGATTTCCAAGGTTGGCAATTTTTTTTTCAGGCTGTGTACTACCCAGGTAGCTTTAAGTTCAATTCAATCTCATCATATTACAAGGTTGATGACATTTGTAGATTTGATCCATTCTCCAAGCTAGTTGCGGCATTTACCTAAGGCTAAGGTTACACCCGTCACCGCCAAATCTTCCGCCAATTTTCTCTCTATACACCTGCTATGGTCTTCAGGCGCCTTGGTCCTAATCTTCTTGGCCTTTCTCGATACTCCACAATGGCTTCCAAACAATCTGCCTTGGACTTTCTGTCCTTTGTGAATGCTGCTCCTACGCGTATGTAGATCGGTTGCATGACGTGGTCCCGCGCTGATCTGTTTTGCCTTTAGCTTTCCATGCCGTCCATGAAGCCAAAGAGCTTCTAGCTAAGGCTGGATTCCAGGAAATCAAGGTGTGTTTAAGTCATTCGACCCCTTTACAGTAATTATTCTAAAACATGTGAACAGGAGAAAGACTCCTGGGCATCAACCTGCAAGCCGGGAGGCAAGTACTACTTGACCCGCAATACCACTACCCTGGTAGCTTTTGCGATCGGCAAGCAGTGGCAGGTATGTATGCAGTTAATGAAAGCAGTGGGATTTTGTGTTGATCATGGAAACAGCCTGGTAACTCTATCTCCATGATTGGAGCCCACACTGATTCCCCAGTGTTGAGGGTTAAGCCTGTGAGCAAGAAGAGCGGGGAAGGCTTCGTGCAGGTCGGTGTCGAGACCTACGGTGGAGGCATCTGGCACACATGTAGGCAGAACTCGGAGTTTTCTAATATACTCCGCTAACCTTTCGCAGGGTTTGATCGCGATCTCGGTGTGGCTGGTCGTGTGATGACGCGCGCGAGCGACGGATCCATTGTCCAGAAGCTTGTCAAGATTGACCGCCCTAGTATGTTCAGTCTGTCAATTTGATATACGTGCCGTGCTGATGATCTAGTCCTTCGCATCCCAACTTTGGCTATCCACTTGGATCGCCAGGAGACCTTCTCTTTCAACAAGGAAACCCAGCTTTTCCCTATTGCTGGCCTGATTGCTGCTGAGCTCAACCGCACCGGAGAGGCCAAGGCCCCGGAGGCGGACAAGGATGCTGATTTCTCGCCTCTGAAGTCAGTGACTGAGCGTCATCATCCCTACTTTGTCGAGCTGATTGCTGCCGAGGCCGGGGTCAAGCCCGCGGACATTTTGGACTTTGAGATGATTCTCTTTGACACCCACAAGTCCTGCCTCGGCGGTATGCTGGAGGAGTTCATCTTCTCCCCTCGCTTGGATAACCTTAACAGCACTTTCTGTGCCACTGTCGGTCTCATTGACTCCGTCGCCGATGCTTCTGCCCTCGAGAATGAGGATGCCATTCGCCTGATTGCTCTGTTTGATCACGAGGAAATTGGTAGCCGCACAGCACAGGGTGCGGACTCGAACATTCTGCCGTCGATTATCCGCCGCTTGTCTGTTCTTCCCTCCACCTCTTCCAAGGATGCGGATCTGTCGACAGCTTATGAGCAGACTCTGTCCACCTCCTTCCTTGTTTCTGCTGATATGGCCCACTCAATCAACCCCAACTACTCCGGCAAGTACGAGCCGGACCACAAGCCGGAGATCAACAAGGGCCCCGTTATCAAGATCAACGCCAATGCCCGCTATGCAACCAACTCTCCCGGTATTGTCTTGTTGGAGGAGATTGCACGCAAGACCACCAAGGAGACTGGCGAGCACGTTCCCCTGCAGCTGTTCGTTGTCCGCAACGACTCAAGCTGTGGTAGCACTATTGGCCCCATGCTGTCTGCTGCATTGGGTGCCCGAACTCTTGATCTGGGCAACCCCCAGCTGAGTATGCACAGTATCCGTGAGACTGGAGGTACTCACGATGTCGCTCATGCCATCCGTCTCTTCACTGGCTTCTTCAAGCACTACTCCGAGTTGTCGAAGACCATTCTTGTGGATTAAGCCGCCACCGATGTGTAGCATGAGATAACATAAGCCACTTATACGAAACAAATTAGTTCAACAAAAAACACTAAGCAAAATAGCCCATCTTAAACGTTTTATAAACGAACAAAGGGTACCTTGATAGAGAAAGCACGTGGTTCGGACCGAGGAAAGTCCGCCTTCATGTCTCCAACTGTGGCAGCGCTGATCAACGCCCTGCCAACCCACGGGGAGTCCGCACCTCGACCCCTTCTCCGCCGCTTTTGGATACCCTCCAAGCCCTCATGACCCTCTATGACAGACGCCGATGCCTTTCGGGATGCGGAATACATCGCTGACGTGTCCGGCATATCCTATGACGATGCGGAACCTCCAAGGCCAACAGGCACGCTTAGCAGCCAGAATGCCTGCGTGAAGAAAGTTAACTCGGCTGCCAAAGTTGCTTTCATCGACAGACTGATGCGCGATCTTGACATATTTGTTTATTGTCAACTGTCCGCCCTATATTACATGGAGTACGCTCAACCCCGGATTGTCGTTGCGTGGTCCATCAAATCCCTCTTTCCGCTAGGACAGACTACTGACATTTTACACTCTCTTTAGCTGTTCATTTCCGCTATTTGCAATACGCGCGGCTGTTCAATCGGTCCTCTTCACCCCCAAAGCGCCCCCTTTCGAACCTAGGCGCAACCAGCCCTTCATCAACGGCATCATCCTCAGTAACCTCATATGCATGTTATTCCATGTCTTCTTCATTCACCCAGAGGCTGGTGAAGAAACTCGCGGCTACCTCAATGGTGGACTATTCATCGATCTCATTGGGCAACGCCCCGTCTCCGTCCTACGACTCCTCTCCTTCGATCTCCTGATCTTCTTCGTTGATATCATTTTGCTTGCCTTGACCATTGAAAGGGTGAACATCCTTGGTTCTTCCACTCCGGCCTCCACGGAATCAGCCTCAACTTCAAATGCAAATACGGACCAAGAGACCGCGGCACATCAGTCCCAAGACCATGACGCCGAAGAGCGCGGAGTCCTGAGACAAGAAGACGGCGATGAAGATATCCCCTCTACGCATGAAAGTGTAGCATCTTCCCCAAATAGCATTGTCGACGCTGAAGTCGACGAAGAGCGCGCAAATCTCCTAGCAGACCCGACCGATATTGAGTCTCCAATCCTCGCTCGAGGAGGTCACCCGATGGATACATTTGCGGCAGGCGAGGCTGTCGTCGTCAACGCGCGCTTCTTCGGCACGCTGGTAGACCAATGGCGTTATTCAAGGGATCTCGTGCGACAGACACCGGCTTTTCCGCCCGCTGAGACGGCGACTTTCCTACGCCAACGTTTTGGTCTCCAGGTTGGTGCTGATGGCCGCTTTGAACGTACTGACACTTAACATTTGCCACTTATACCCACACAAATCTGTATCCAAGCTCTGGTAGCCATTCAAATGCCCATATGACGTCCCTTAGGGCCAATGTAAATATCTTCTTAATAAATATCCTTGTTTTCAAGGTTCTGGTGTGATGAACTCTGCGTACTACCAATAATGCCACTAGCTGGCGACGCATGCCGAAAGTAGCTCTGAAAACCCTCATATCAACATGTAATCCTACAAGATTTCCCCAACATGTAGAACCCGCAAGTCACAGCATCGAACCATAAGCGTGCCCACTGTTCTTTCTACGCAGTAGGAGGCTTAGATTCCTCTCCGGAGTCTTTTTGAACCCGACGATCCAAGATCTCATCAATGACTCCAAGATCCAGAGCCTCCTTCGCGCCCATAAAGTAATCTCTTTCCATGATCTTCTCGATCTCCTCGAGAGATAACTGCTGCTTGCCGGTGAGATGACGCTGGTAGATCTGGTTGAGTTGAGTGCGCACGCGCAGGATTTCTTTCGCGTGAATGGCAATGTCGCTCGCCTGCCCGAAGTACCCACCGGAGGGCTGGTGGACCATGATGGAGGAATGCGGGAGACAGTACCGCTTGCCGGGGTGGCCACCGGCAAGAAGGAGGGAGCCCATTGAGGCAGCTTGGCCCACGCAGATTGTGCTCACAGGCGCGGAGATGTATGTCATGGTGTCGTAAATTGCCAGGCCTAGGAGTGTTAGCGATTTTGTATCTGTTGAGATTGGAGGCGGGTAGAATTGGACAACGGGTCCGTAGGTCGTACCTGCTGTCACAGAGCCTCCTGGAGAGTTGATATATAGGTGGATAGGCTTCGCGGGGTTGTCGGCTTCAAGGAAGAGGAGCTGGGCAACGATCGAGGCGGAGAGGGTATCGTCGACTTGACCGTTCAGACAAATGATGCGTTCCTGTTAGGGCGTGAGTAGACATATTGTTTGGTGAGGGCTTCATGGACATATCCTACCTTCATCAATCGAGAGAAGATATCATCTGCGATGCGCGCCACATGTCAGACGGCCAAACTTGCGATTGGGGGTGCAAGCTTCATTGGTATATCTCATTGCGCAACTTACAAGTATGCCAACTACCTCCCTGTGGAATCAAATTAGCATATTTCTGTTCCAACTTCAAGCTCATATGAATCGAGTCAACCATACCACTGTCTCTGTAACGAACGGCGTCGGTGTCCAGCTCCGCGGAGGCTGCGAAAGCGAGGGGCCTTGGCTCGAGAAGCAGCGTGTCAAGCTGGCGGCGGTTCGAGAAATTGGCGCGGGTGTCTGCTGGATAGAGCGCCCCAGTTGGCGAAGGGAGAGTCTTGGAGGCATGATCAATGTTTTATTGGAAGTGGTTTGCCCAGATGAACAGAGCCGGGAGACGATGAACCGAGGCGATAAAGATGCGCGCTAAGATAAGGAAGCTCTGGCATGACATCCGTGGACAGCCCTGAGCCTCGCAAGACTTCCTGGCCGCATACAGCATTGATGAACCCCGTCAGGTGCTGAGGGCATTTTCATACAGTCTGTCTGACGTCTATATTCATATCGTCTTCCCCGAGTCACGATTCAGCCGAATTTACGCCTCCGCAAATAAGAACCTCTGATTGGCTCTTACACACAGCTCCGTGAGCATCTTTTTCGGTGGTGTCCTCATTGGACTTGGCATTATCACCTGTCGCATCCCCCAGCCCAAAAATGGAGTGTATTGGCTCACGCGTGCCCTATACGCAATGGCGCCTCCATGCGTTCCGACATTTGCTGGCTACTTCCCAACCCTTGAGCGCCCGTACCGTCAAGCGAAACAGCTCGACTTTGCGACATGATCAACCCAATAAGGCTTCGTCAGACGAAACGTCGACTGCCCCGTCTCAGCGGCTCCCTCAATCCCCATTGATTGCAGAATCGCGCCGTGCGCGTGAAAAAAATCGCAAAAGACGCGCGACATTCGAGGACACAGCATTGTTGAACAAGAACCCATGGGCGGTTGCTTTGGCATCCCCCATACGTCTGTGTGCAGTCACTGGGGCAAGACTTCCATTGGACATTCTAGGTACTTGGGGCCTTGTAAAACAGGCCGACACCCGTTTGCAGTACATGTTACCCATTGGCTTGATGCAGGACACCTTGACGAAAAGCAAAACACCAACTACCAACGCGCCAAATCTGAGCGCACGGGACCAAGAGCAGAGTCAAGATGGAACAGAGGAAGAGAAAGCTGAAGGCAGCGATGAGGCGTCCGTTGATGCATTCATACCGCCGGCTATTCGAAGCAAACAGCCTACACGCCAGCTCGTCCTCCGCATGACCGAGTTGCTTCCACTGATCGAAGCCATAACATCTCCGTTGTCAAAATCAAGGTCATCGAGGTCACCGATCCTGCGATTGCTACCATTCCGATGGAGGCATCCCCAGGGACCCCTGAAGCGAGGCGATGAGCCTAACCTCCTTTGGCCCAAGAACATGCCGGATATCTTAACACGCAGCATGCGAAATGACGTTTACAAAAAGTTGGATGCAGTGCTCGGGAAATACAAACGCGTTGGTACCCCGAACGGAGTCTGGAAGCCTCTTGACATGCCAGAGTACTCGGATGCTGCGCTCGAGGAAGCTGTAGGTAAACTGGAACCCTTTGAGCGCATGGCATGGGGTGGAATCGTATTACTTGGCCCGAACAGCCCCACAAGTATCGCAGGCGATGCTCAGGCAGAGAGTGATTTGGATACAGTCGCTCTCCCACAGACCGGCTCCAATGTTCCGGTGTTCAACCTGCCCAAACTTCTTTCGGAGTCTGATCTTCAAATGCTCTGTGGATCGCATGCCCAGTTTCAACATAAAGCTCTATTCTTCCGACCCGAAGAGAAGATGGGAGTCACTGCGCTTTTCTCTCTCTGGAAGATCAAACGTCTTCTTAGTAAGATTGACCTTAAAGGGAAGGAATGATCAACTACATATACGATTAATTCATCAATTCCATCTCAATCTCGCGTTTTGGTAACTCATTCAATTCACTGGCTGTGATTACTCGAGAACACAGGAGCAAACTGTTTCAGAAATTCCACTGGTCAAGCCACTTTGCCATCCACTCCTCTTTAATAGCACCAATCCTTTTCAAACAAGGCAATCTTTCTTCGCTCAGAGTCGTATTAAGAACGAGGGGATCTTTACCAACAGACGCTGACAAGCCCTGAAAGAAACCAAGAAGACCCACACCGGAGCCAGAAGCCTGTGATCTTCCATCCTTCTGTGACTGCTTCTCCAAACGATCCACCCATTTTTGCAACGTCACAACTTCGAGAGGCGACTTGGAACCAAGACGCTTTGCTAAGAAAGGTACAAAGTCCTTGTATGAGTTATGGGTTGGATTGACAATATGATAGTATTCTGACTGACGAATGCCATCGTCACATCGCCGAACACCGCTAGACCCGCATACGAGCTCGGCTAGAGCTTCCGCAGCGACATCAACCGGCGTCCAGTCAATCAGGTCTGCCGGGCCGAGACTATCCGGAATACAGCCAAGCTCCACGGAGCTGGCAAGGAGCGTTGGGAACCAGTCCCGCCGTGGCCACGGGTGCTCTGCATTGTCTTTCTGTTGCCGGACTGGCCCTGTGATCTGTCCAAGGCGGCAGATCGTAGTTGGAATCTTGGCCAACTCAGTTGCGCGATCGAGGATCAAGCTTGCGATGAGTTTACTTTGTCCGTAGCCCATCTGAACGAGTTCAGGCGATGTGAGCTTGGCCTCGGGAACAGGCTCACGTTTTTGCCAATTCTTGACAGTTGCTACCGAAGAAAGGAAGACGATCTGAGCTTGATGCTTGGTATCACAAGCGAACTTGACCAAGTTGCTGACGCCTTGAATGTTGGGCTCGAAGGACTTGAGTGGGAGGTTGAAGTTCACTTCCCATTGGCAATGCAGGATGTCAGTGAATCCGCCCAAGAGAGCATTGTAAGAAGAATCTGGAAGCCCAAGATGAACATCTGCCAAGTCTGTCTGTAAGCTTTCGCAGATGATAGAGCCACCCCCTGCTTGGAATGATTGAATCCCTGACTTTGGCTCAGCGGATCTTCGATTGATGCACGTAATTCTGCTCACGTTCTTCCTGAGAAGTAGGGCTTCCAAAGCGTGCGATCCGATGAATCCACTCGTTCCAGTGACAAGCACATGTTTCCTACTCGTTTCCTTCCAGCCCTTGACGACAGAGGGGGCGGCCGCAGGTATGCCGCTCCTGTATCTTGAGTCTTGAAATCAGAATCCAGCCACGTCTCGAAAGTCAGAGCACTTACTTATGCAAGAATGCATCGAAACATTCTCTTTTACGCGATTCCTGCTCTTGTGGTGATATGATTTGAAGAATAGAATCTGCCAGCATTCCGGGTGTTGGATTAGCATATATGGTGCCAACATCGACTTTCGGCCGACCCGACTCATTCTCCTCTCTTCCAGGTGCAATCGCATGATCAATTGTACTCGCGAGGATTTGAACTTGCCCAGAGTCAGCGCCGGCAACGAAAATATCATCGTCAGTACCCAAAGAAGGCGCATCTGACAGAACCTTTGCAGTCAAGCCAGTCAGATCGGATGCCAGTGACGTTTCTGACGACAAGTTGACGTGCAATTCATCAAAATTGGCTAGGTCCAAACTCTCGGAGGATCGATACAGCTCTTCGATCTCGTGCTTGTAGTTTTCAAGCGTCATGTTGCGATGTATCGTTCCTTTCGGCGTTCGAACAAATGGTTTTTCCTTCCCAGCGACAAGAATCATGCCTTTCCGAATATGACTATCACGGGGACTTTTGGAGTTTTCGGCCTCTAAGGCTTCTTTCACAAGCTTTTGCAATCTGGTAGACAGGGAAGAAAATCTACCCCCTGCCTCATTTGTATCGTTCACCTCCAGCAAGAGTCCTGGAAATCGTTGTCTGTTCCCAATCGCCAGAGCTGCTTTGACCCCAGGAACGCCACGAAGTCGATCCTCAATAGGGACTGGATTCATCTTCTCACCGGTAGAGAAGACTATGACATCGTCAATCCGATGATCATATGACCACAAGTGTTCAATTGTCAGATGCTTTCTGAAAACGTCTTTGGTATGCCACTCGTCCAGGTCAGGGAAATTGTGGAATACACCTTGGTACAACGAAATGGCAGGGTCGCGACAAAGGACCAGTTCAAATTCATTCCCGTCTCCACGTATTCCAGGGTCTGTTGGCTGCCAATGGATACCATTGGAGGGGTGGAAATGGAAATAGTTCCAATATGACGGGTCCGTGGGATATTGAATGAAGGACCCGCACTCGGTCGTGCCAAGTCCGCTGAAAAGGCGTGTTTTGGTGACAATCGCATCCCCTTCTGTCTGACCTATAGGGCCTGTGACAGCAAGTGTTAGATGTTTGCAATTTTATATTGCCAGGAACAGCTCACCTCCCCCAGAAAAGATCCACCCCAATTTGGATATCGAATTCATCATCGCTGAGTTACACGAGACCTCTTCGACAATTGCCGGGGGAGAAGGGCACCATCAAGCTGAGGATACTCAAGTGCTATCTGAAGCATCAAGACACTGGGGGGTCTGCGGGGGTACCCGAACATCAACGTAACACCCGAAAATATGAGATAGCAGCTCAAAGCGAAGCCTGCAACATGGAACAATGGGAACGCAACATAGACGCTTCTGGCGTGTGAGATGATCTCTAATTGGCACTCCTTGCCCTTAGGATCCTTCTGGGATATTAGACGATGTGCATCAGACGCAGCTAATGTGGAATGGCTTATTGGCACAAGTTTGGGTTTACCAGTAGAGCCTGACGTATGTATTATCTTGCTCAAGTCAGATCATTGATTTTCACAGAGTTTGTGATATTGCACTTGTCTTACCACTGCAGGGACTGAACGAAGTGTTGTCCATGATCCTTCATAGGGGAATGATTTCACTTCCTCAGGTTCCAACATTCATGAGAAAATCGGTTGAACGTCCATACTCGTCGATTGCTGCGAGAATCCTTTCTGGGCTTCCCTGCATTTTGCTGTAATCTGGATGGGCTCGAATATACTCCAAAAGCCGTTCTTCGCGACCATCATTGTGCTGTCTTGTTATCGACCGCGGATGAGCGAATTACAGCGCAACAATATTGCACCTCGAACCACATCTTTTGGCAACGCATGGGCCCTGTTGTAATTATTTGGCAGGCCCGGCAGAATTCCAGCTTGGTGATGCTGCAAAAAAGCTTCTTGGAGCAATTGAAGCTTTTTCGTTCGCATATGAGCATTGCCACCACACCCTGTATTGACACCTGAACATTTGACCGATTAGTACGTATGGAGGCAGTGGGAATTTTCCATTTACCATAGATATCTTCGCCATTGTTCAAATGCAAGTTCAACGTGTTCACGCTATCCTGCATACGCAGCTTGATGGGAGCAGAGTTGGATAGGAAGACTTCCACTGAAAACCTAAACGAACAATTGCAAAATTGAGAAATTAGACTTCATGGGTGATTCCATAGTTTCCTGCCCATATTCGAAAGTTCTAGCGTACCTGGATACTGCGACGAGATGTGCCAGCTCTAGTGAATTCTGCTCACCACTCAATGTTACACCCTCGCCTTGTCGGGCTTTCTCAAGGATGCTCCATGACCGATGAGTTTGTTCAAGGTGAGCCGACATCATTGTCGAATGGATGATCGATGATGAAATTGAGGCGGTGTGCTTGAAGCGCGCTTCGGGGTTTGGTTGCTTGATGAAAAGCAAGATTAGTTTCACGCAACGGCACGACTATTCCCAAGGTTGTTGTTTAAATAGAAAATTTTGCAACCTTGGCAGGCAACCTTGGCAGGATAGTGATGTAACACAAACGGGTAGGTGATGTTTCGTAGTTATACCTCATCTCGCATGATCCCGTAATTATGTGAGGGGTGGCATCTTCAGTCCCAGGATGGCACAAACAGGTATAAAAGCGATTTTGATTGATCAAAAGCCACAAAGAACCCAGTATGGACATGCAGATGGTGTTGAGAGCCGAACCTTTGAGATACTCGATAGCTTTGGGTTGAGTGATAACATATGGAAGAATGCAAATCGCACAATCGACCTGTCTATCTGGGTGAGTATCTGGCCACATTTGATATTTTGTTGTCTTATGCACGGGCTTGTTCCCCATGAACCGTGCGCGTATCCATAAAGCTTTCACTAACAACGTGTGAACAGAATGACTGCGAACCAGGCGGTATTCGGCGTCGATCCTTGATGAACAACTGTAATCCAGATCTCTCTAGATTCCAAGAAGCGACTTTGGGCCAAGGTCAGATTGAGCAAAACTTTCTTGATTTCCTTGAAGCCTCCAATTCTGTTGAAGTTAAATGGAATACAAATCCATTGAACTTGACTGTCTCTGAGGGATCAAATTATCCTGTTCGGGTTAATGCTCAAAAACGCGAATCTGACACCCAGGTAAGGTTAAGTCGGCGGTCAAACATCTGAACAGCCATATTCAGTCTTTCCACCTCTGAGAACCCTTGAAACCCCCTCTAACTTGAAAGAATAGACAACACACTGTACCATCAATGCCAAATATCTTCTTGGGTGTGATGGCGCACACAGCTGGGTGCGAGCTGCCCTTGGTCTTCAGCTTGATGGGGCCCAGATGGATGAAAAATGGGGAGTCATTGACTCTATTCCACTCACAGACTTTCGTAAGTCTGAGCGAGTTCTTTTTGATTATGTGGCGATAACTTATCAAAGGAACACTAAGCCGACATTCGCAAGCGGTGCATTGTGAAATCCGAGGCTGGTCATCTGATGATCATTCCCCGAGAGAGAAGGCTAGTTCGATTTTATGTTCAGTTGACGCATGAAGACGCTGCAGCGCTCAAAAAGGGTATGGATTCAACAAGGCTGGTAGATATTGTGAGAAGGATTATGAGGCCTTACAAGTTTGAAGTGTCAAGTGTTGAATGGTCAACAATATACTCGGTGTGTTTTTTCCTCATATGAGGTAGCGAAAAAGCCGACTGTCACTGACCTCGAGTGATCTCACAGGTCGGCTAAAGGCTTTGCCCCACGCTTTCCATGTATAACCGAGTCTTTCTAGCTGGCGATGCAATCCATACCCACTCGCCGAAAGCGGGCCAAGGTATGAACGTTAGCATCCAAGACGCATACAACCTTGGCTGGAAACTTGCATGCGTGATAAAGGGGAAAGCCAAGTCCAGCATCTTGCGCACATATCAAGAAGAGCGGCTCCAGATAGCACTGCAGCTGCTCGCATTTGACAAAAGGATGGTCCAAGGAGTCTTCCAGAAAGATCCGAGCCTCTCTCCAAAGAGGGGACCAGTGTTGAGTCCTTCCATGAAAAAGGCTCTTGATGAGGAGAATACTTCTGCATCGGGCATCACCGCTCATTATAAGCCAAGCTGTCTGATCACACGAGCATGGGGGTTCAAGGGCCACCGACGAGTCAACCCTCTGCTTCCTCATAGCAGAGTTGAATTGGCCGGAAACCTAGCCATTGGCGAGAGGCTCCCGGACTCGAAAATTTTGTTTCAATGCGATTCCAGACCGTACCACCTCCAAAAGCTTCTTCGCAGTACCGGAGAATGGTACTTGTTGGTCTTCGGTGGTGACATTTCAAATTCTACCCAAATGAATCGAGTTTGGTGTCTGGGTTCGGCTCTTGCCCGGGAGGGCTCCTTAGTTCAAAAAATAAACCGCCAAGCCCAGGACTGTGTCGGCAATATTGCATTCTATCTGATTCACAGTGCTTCCCGAAAAAACGTGGAGTTGTTGGAACTACCGAATGTTTTTGTACCTTTTGATGACTGTTTGGGTCATGACTATTGGCGCGTGTTAGCTGACAACAAGCCCAATTCTGGAGAGAAAGGGGCTGCGTATCACCAATACGGTATTGGAGATGAAGGATGTATCGTGTTGGTAAGGCCGGATCAGCATGTGGCTTTTGTTGGAAGTTTGGAAGACCTTTCTGCGGTTGAATTGTTCATGGGAAACTTCGTGACTTTGAGATAGACTTTGCTAGCATTCGAAAATGAAGGGACTATGGTGTAGAATGAAGCGATGCCTCAGTTATCCAGAATCCGTCTCTGTTTACTCCGTACTCCGCACCAGAAAGTCTAGTTACACTTGAAGAGTGCAGAGGCGCGAACCGGCCTTGGCGTTTATGTCATCGGTGTTAGTCATGGTCCACGGCAACTCTTCACCGCCCGCGAAGGCCACAGCCCATCCAGCCTAGCCCCACAATGGCCTGTGGGTGGGGCTCACCCTTCTCCACTCTGGGCTCCCCACTCTAGGATTCAAACAGTGCAAACACACCCAGCACACTCCGCATCCCTGTATTTCGAGTATTAAAATTACAGTCTAGGTGCTCCGTACTTTCTACTGAACTCCCTGAATCCTGACATATGAACTGGCTCTTCAAAAAATAAGTTTGATTGAATGCACTGAGTTCATAAGACTAATTTAGAAAGAGAACGCCAGAGTCTCGAAGTTCAGGGTCACGTGATTACAACTTGGGTGGGGCAGTGGGGTAGTGGGGAAATATACTTCGTATGGCTGACGCATTTTCCGAGATCCTCTTCCCATTCTTCCTCAGGTCTATGTACAAGTAGTGTCTTCGGTAGGGAACCATAACCTTGGAAAGATCGCCTTTTCTTATGTTTTAGGTCTCACGGCAAATCTTTAGATCCACGACTCTTAACCCCAACAGCGGGGAGACTATCGAACCAGGCAGTCACAACATGCTCCGACATACTCCGTACAGCTTGGCCAAAGTAACACAAACTGCGGCGGGCGGACCCAAAGTCGTCGTGAGGGCCGATCATTTACTCGACTCAATTGAAGGTGCGTGCCGCACTTGGGTTTCTTTGGGACTTGCAGAAGTGTACGTGTTCCTTTTGTGTCGCTTACGTAGTTGTGGTACCCGACACATCTCGGTGAAGCAAAGCTAGCACAAGAATGATCATTCATTTAAAGCCGTTGAGACAACTCGCCCCCAAACGTCACTGACCTAGCTGCGAGAGAGCGAGAGCGAGATTACTCCGTACCCAATCATCATCATATCAAAATATCAGAGCGACGATTTTCCACCAACTCACATTCGACTTGTTCCATGTCTAATCTTCCCAAACATACAAAGCCGTTGTTATCGACAATGCTCAAGACCCATTATCTCTCAGGGATGTTGAATTGCAGCATCCTTCCAGTCACGAAGTTCTCGTGAAGATCCTTGCTTGCGGCTTATGCTACACCGATGTTCATACCGCATCAGGTCACATGGGGGATGTTTTCCCACGTGTTCCGGGTCATGAATTTATTGGACACATCGTGGAACAAGGAGCTGATGTGGAAGACTTCCAGCTTGGTGACCTTGTCGGAGGCGCCTTCCACGCTGGTCATGATTCAATTTGTCGCCAATGCTTGCGCAATAATGTCCAACACTGCAATAATCGAGAAATCAGTGGTATTTCTCGGAACGGTGGCTTGGCTGAATACGCATTATTGCGTGCGGAAGCTGCTGTGCGTCTGCCATCAGGAATCAATGTGGCTGAGGTTGCGCCATTACTTTGTGCTGGTTTGACTGTCTTCAACGGGATACGCAGGCAACAGCTTGAGCCGGGAGCGCTTATTGCCGTTCAAGGTCTAGGTGGCCTTGGGCACTTGGCTGTTCAATATGCCAGGAAAATGGGCTACGAGGTTACTGTTCTCTCATCAAGCGGTGATAAGGAGTCATTTGCCATGTCCCTCGGAGCTCACCATTATATCAACAGCAAGCTGTCTGATATTCCCACTGAGCTTGAAAAACTAGGTGGTGCAGATTTGATTGTTCAGACGGCCCCAGGATCCGGAGAACTCCCAAAGTTGATCGGTGGCCTCGCGTCAGGGGGAACCTTGCTTCTTCTGGCCCCTACTGGCAATATGGAGGTACTCATGGACCAATTGGTGATGAAGGGTCAAAAGATAGAGGGGTGGCTCACAGGTGGTCCTCGTGATGCCGAAGACACTGTGAAATTTGCGATGGAGCACAACATCCGATGTATGATCGAGAATTACAAGCTAAAGGATGTGCAATACGCCGTTGATAGCTTGGTTTCAGGAAAGCCAAGGTTCCGGAACGTTTTAATCATGGAGTGAAGGGTGGGAATACGTACCATTCGTGTGATCTGCCGCACATAATAAATCCTGAACTGGTTTCCAGGATGATGGTCTTTCGGAAGTCCCGGTCCACAGATATCTCCCTTCTAGAGCCCGTATCTTCCAGCGGTAGTACCTAGTGAAGAGAGGCATACATGTATGCTCTCTCCTTGATAAACTACTGCCGCAATAATCCATGGCACCAGAAGAAGAATTATCAACATTCATGGATGAGCACATATCACTAGATTGAAGACACATGTGACTCAGTGTCCAAACATCTGCATTGACGTGCACATGTGTAGATCTTTGGGGATATCAGAGAGGCCGTACTAAAGCTTTACCGGTGTAGTGGAACCTTTACATAGTACAATACACAAAAAAACCCATAAGATAATCCCAAGAAGAATCTAGTCCTGAATGATTGAACTCTGATATACCAATGCACATGGAGCATAGGTCCCATGGATGAGGACAGTTCAGAATGTCGGCAATTGACTTTGCGCAACCACCCATTCCAAGGCGGATACTATCCGGCCTAACTCAGGCCTGGTCCGAGGAATGTCATGCCCAGCAGTATGCTCAAAAACTCGTTGCTTGGTTGTGTCAAAGAACGATTCGATCATCATGCCGCAATCTCTTACCGCAGGAGGCTCATTTCTCCCACGTACATGGAGGGTTGGAATGGGCAAGCGAGTCGGTAACAGATCTGGATGCAGCGTGCAGGGAATCCCCGATAACGAATTATCCAGGTAGAACTTGCGTGTCTCATGAGTGATAGGCGAGAGAACATCAATCACGCTATTGAACTTGGTAAGAGCTGTCCGAGCAGCCTGCGAAAGCTGTGAGATTTGCTCATCTTGGGCAGATCGAATGAGTGCTTCGTCTTTCGGGCCAAGAGAGCCGAAGATCCTTTGGGAATAGTTCAAATCACCCGAAAGGGGGATGGTAGGAGAGCAAAGCACCAAGAACTGGAACGGGAGAGGTTCGTCCGGATAAGCAGTTTTCTGCTCGAGCAAGTATCCGACAGCAGTGGCTGCACCCTGGCTGAAGCCAAGAACACCATCAAAAGGGCCGCTTTCCTCAATAGTCTTTTCCAGGAGGGCATAGGATGCGCCTACTCCTTCTGGGCTAAAGTCGCGGGCGAAGCAATAAAATGGTCCGGAAAATGTGGATTCGATGCCTTTGAGTTTGTCGACAAAGTTAGTAATCCCAAATGGCCTCATTATTCAAGCACATCGCTTTATGTCAGCTTACCAGGAGCAGCCGAACAGGCCACTTCACCTGTTAAGTAATGGAACTCCCAGCTCAAGTCGGCGGCATTTCTGAGTCCTGAAATCTGATACTGCAGTACCTCGGGGTTTGTCCATACCCATGCAAGCACAGGATTCTCATCGTGTCGGGGGTGTATTGGATTAGCTCAAGGGTTGTATTGCAGTGATAGTAGCCCCGGAAGAAGAAAGGATGCAAACGTGGGAGCGGAAAGAAGTTGATAAAGGACGACTTCCGAGAGTCTCCCAAAAAGAAAAAACCGTTTTTGGGAAAGACTTTCCTTTCCTTTAGTCCCCCCGTCGATCTCTTGGAGGAAAACTCCTAGGTTTCCCGGTCCTGCAGATGCAGTCAATTGGGCACCTCGAGTCTTGAAATGCGAAACTTGATTAAAATCAAGATCGACGTACTTACATATCGCGAAACACAGTGCCTCCACCGGCCGTGTAACACTTCAATATTGAATGTCGCTAGCGCATGCACGATGGACTACTTCCACCTGGCTAGCCCCGGAGACTTCTAAGGTCGTTTGGGATCTTATCGCATTGGCTCTAGGGCTGCTATCTAGGATGACGTCAAACGTTGTACGGCAGATCACTACTGCATATTACTCGTGCGATATGCGAAAGTCAAGCTTGGAAACTCATTTGCTTTCGCACAATATGGAGCTGTTTCTGATTCCCGAGCAACATATGAGTCCTGCATGTTGCCAGCTTCACTCAGTTAACCTCGTCAACAAGATACACCAACTTTCGTGCTCGGACTTTCCCATCTCGAAGTAGTTGCAGGCCTGCAGGGATCCCTTCAAGACCACCGGACTGCAACTGATAGGGGTGGGGGCGAATTTGAACATCCAAAAAAGGTTCAATAGCATCAATCCAGGAAGCAGCGTAACTCAGACTTTCTGGCTCTCCTTTGAAGTCCTTGCTGCCCATCCGATATGGCTCACCAACCATCTCATATGCCATTGAAACCTCAGTGTCGACATCTGAGCGCGGGCATCGGACATCCAAGAGCACATTGTAACTGCCCCCAGCAGAGGAGATCGCGGCGGCACAAAGGCTGGCAGATTGTGGCGTGGAGATCGTTACCAAAACCATTTCAAGAGCGTCATCGGTGGTTTCACGAATCTGATCGCCTGCCTGGGCATCATTGTAGTCCAGAATGATCTCTGCACCTCGGCCGCAGACGAATGATCGATTGGCCTCGGAGCACGTCGTAATGACCTGGAGCCCAGAAAGCTTCGCAAATTGGATAGCAAGTGATCCAGTAGCTGTAGCCCCACCATTGATAAAGATCGCACCTAGTGGTTCGCTTTCTTGACCGGGGACAGTGTCTTCCTTTTGACCGGGAAGGGGTAACTGCAAAGATTTGTATAGGTTCTGCCCAACAGTGATGAGCCCCACTCCCAGCGTACAAGCAGCTTCAAAGGACATGGAGTCGGGAATCCGGAACTGTATATCCCCTTTGGCGATCACGTATTCCGCAAAGGCACCGCCCTCGCGCTGCATGGGATTACACCCATGAGTAAAGCCGGCGACCCGATCTCCCCTTTTCCAGGATTTCTGGACCTGGGAGCCAACGCTCTCTACGACTCCAGCGTAGTCGCAACCGACAATACAGCCAGTACAGTCCACAAAATAAACATGTTTCCAATCAGTGGGATTCAAGGCCACTGGGACACACTTTCTTAGGTAAATCCCTAGATATGGGGGCACTCAGCAGCTTACCGGCTTTGGTCTTCACCAAGATATAGTCATTTGGCATTTCAGGGAGGGTGAGATTTCGCAGAACCATACGGCCTCGAGTTTCCACGACAAGAGAACGTGAGATAGACATCGTAGTGACTGTCCAAGCTGGCAATCTATTTGTTTCAGCCAAGAACAAAATTTCTATCACTGCTGTTCAAATATGAATGTTTCGCCGTAAAAGAGGCATCTATTATTCTCCCAAAGGTCAGAGCTAATGAGCATGATTTGCCAAAGACGTGTCAATCAGGTTTGGGTCCATTTGACACAGATACGATCACTGCCAGTAAGCACCTGCGTAGCCTTGGACCCGGTATTTCCTACACCGACTTTGAAATGATATCGACTTGTGTTACAAGACATTCAAGACAACTTACCTTTGGGTCGACTTGCAGGATTGATGAAGATCACGCCACCTTTCCAGGATTTTGTCCAACACGTCGCCCGCGAAAGTATCTGCAGCAAATCTAAGCATAGGTCTCAGTGTTTGACCCCGACCAACGAAAGACTTTTCGCTGTAAAGGATAAGAATGGCCGATGTCCTAGGGCCCTAGATTATGCTCGTTAAGCATTTGAGTTTTCAATCCAAGAACGGTGTTCACAATTTCTCAAAACTCAAACATACGTGATCGTCGCTCTGGAGATATCAGTATGGCTACCGGGCCGCACGACACGCCCCCTGCTGGGGAGCCTGTTGCCGTGGTTGGAATGAGCTGCCGTTTTTCTGGCGAAGCTTCCTCCGTTGAAGGATTTTGGGAGATGTTGCGGCACGGAAGAACTGGTCATGGGCCCGTTCCCCCCAGTCGGTATCAGGCATCCGCTTGGCATCATCCTAGCCATGAACGGAAAGGAGCAGTATGCTTGCCATTATCATCTGATCCTTGTGAGCTATCGGGTGGAATGCTAATTCCTTCAACATTCAGATCAACCACGACAGTGGGTTCTTCATTGAGCAGGATCCCTCTCACTTCGATGCTCCCTTCTTTTCAATCACAGCAAAAGAAGCCGCCGGTATGGACCCAGTGCAACGACTGCTACTGGAGGTAGCTTATGAAGCATTTGAAAATGGTAAGTCTTGTCTTTCACAACCTGATTGTAAGCAAGAGTATAGCTGAATACGCATTCTATAGGAGGGGTACCTATGGAAAGTCTCGTTGGGAGTCGTACTGCGGTCTTTTCGGGCTGCATGACAAATGACTATGAATTGCTGTCAACGAGCGATATTCATGACATGCCGCACAATTCAGCCACTGGAAATGGAAGAACCATGCTTGCTAATCGACTGTCTTGGTTCTTTGACCTTCGGGGACCAAGTGTGATGCTTGACACGGCTTGCTCTTCTAGCCTGACTGCAGCCCACCTTGCCTGCCAGGCTATTCGTACCGGAGAGTGTGAGACAGTGGGTCCCTTATTGGCAGCTCGTTTCTAATGTAGACAGATTGGCTGATATGAATTGGTTAAAAAGGCCCTTGTCACTGGTGCTAGTCTTATATTGCACCCGAACTTCACCCAAAGGCTGTCTTATATGCACATGCTCAGCGCGGACGGTATTAGCCATTCATTTGATGCGAAAGCAAATGGATATGGGCGGGGTGAGGGGATAGGCGCAGTGCTGCTGAAGCCCCTTAGCGCAGCTGTTGCAAACGGGGACACGATTCGTGCAGTTATTCGTGCCACTGGTATCAATCAAGATGGGCGGACACCTGGTATCACAATGCCGAGTCGCACCTCTCAAGCTGACCTCATTCGGGACGTTTATGGCCCCGGGCTTCCGTCTATGCGAGAGACTGCATACTTCGAAGCTCATGGAACAGGAACAGAAGTTGGGGTAAGCAATCCAAGACGATAGTCCCGCTTTCATACTTCCCACGATGTTAACATTGTGCGATACCAGGATCCCACTGAGCTAGCAGCCATTGGTGACACTTTTGGAGCTGCTCGGATGGATGGGGATGAGCCCATATATGTCGGCTCTGTGAAAAGCAACATTGGCCACACCGAGGGAGCAGCAGGAGTGGCAAGTATAATCAAAGCAGTTCTCTGTCTGGAGAACGGCATGCTCGTACCCAATGCCGGGTTCACCCAGATTAACCCTAGGATCCATCTCGACAAATGGCGCATGCGACTTAGTGATGCGTGCATTGAGTGGCCGCAACATCTGGCCCGACGTGTGAGTATCAACTCATTTGGCTTTGGTGGAAGCAATGCCCATTTAATTCTGGAGGGTACTGGCATGCACTTGTCCCCTTCTGCTGCGACTGAGAAGACAAAAGAGAAAACCACACCACAAGTCGTCGTCTTTTCCACGCAGGATAAGCCTGGTCTAGAACGATTGACCGAAAAATGGACTTCTTTCCTGCAAAAGAAATTGACCACTGGTGAAGAAATCTCACTGAGAAATATCTCCCACACCATGAGCTCACGCCGCTCAAAACTGCCGTTCCGAAGTTTTGCGGTTGCTGAATCACTTGAACAGCTGCATGATGTGTTACAGCAAGGTCTCCCGCAGTCTTCCCGCGCTAGCCGTACCCTGCAGGCTAACTTAGCCTTCATATTCACTGGCCAGGGTGCACAGTGGGCGCAAATGGGAATTCAATTGCTCGATATTCCTGTTTTCCGGGAAAGCATTACCCACAGTCAGCAGATCTTGTCAGACCTGAATTGTCCATGGGACTTGCCCGAGGAAATGCGGGCGGAAGCAGCATATTCCAACATGAGCCTGCCTGACCGGAGTCAATCAATTTGCTGTGCTTTGCAGGTTGCCTTGGTTGATCTGTTGGCCAGCTGGGGGGCTCGCCCTAAAGCAACTGTCGGACATTCAAGTGGTGAGATAGGTAAGTCTCCCTTTCAGCACGTATGTCTTATCACGTCCAGTCTCTAACTGTCAAAACAGGTGCAGCATACGCAGCAGGATTCATTGCACACGACACAGCTCTCAGGATCGCTTATTTCCGTGGACTTTATTCTCTTCAACTGTCTCAGGGGGAGCGACGAGGGGCTATGATGGCTGTCGAGCTTCCTCCCGTGAATGCTCAGAAATACCTCGAGATACTTCCTACCGAGAGTGTGGTGGTGGCGTGTGTGAATAGCCCAACCAGTGTAACTCTGTCGGGCGACGCGGATGGCATCGATAAGTTGGAAGATCAGCTGAAGGCAGATGGCTGTTTTGCCCGGAAGCTACAGGTCAAAACAGCGTATCACTCTCCACACATGCGTGACCTGGCCGAAGAGTACCGAAACGCCCTGAAGGATATTCACCCAGTCAGCGATGGCAAGAGCACGGCGACTATGTTTTCATCGGTGACAAAGGAGCAGGTGTATGCAGAGGACATGACCGCAGACTATTGGGTGCGGAACATGGTTAGTCCGGTGGAGTTTGCTGCCGCCGTCTCTAAGCTCGCTGGAATGAAGGAGATAGGAAAGACTCGCCGTCGAGCGGTGGCCGTCAAATGGAATGCCTTCCTTGAAATTGGTCCACATGAAGCTCTGAAGGGACCCTTCCACCAAACTCTGCAGTCTATTGACGCGAGTTTGACTACCCTCCCATATCAGGCTTTGGTACGGCGACGCACAGATGCACTGCAGACTACTTTAGCGGTTACGGGGATGCTCTGGAGCATTGGCGCCACGATTGATATCGATGCCGTCAACTCTAGTCTTAACCCAGAAACGCCACAGATCGTGGAAAACTTGCCCTCATACGCTTGGAACCACAAAACCTCTTTTTGGCATGAACCACTTGCTTCATCTCGGCTTCGCCAGCGCAAAGAACCGCGTCATGATTTGCTGGGAGTCCCATTCGACTATCAAAATGATATGGAACCACGCTGGCGCAACTTCCTGAGAGTTTCTGAGATACCTTGGCTATCTGACCATGTTGTTGCCGGGTCTATCGTCTTCCCCGCCGCCGGGATGGTTGCCATGGTAGCCGAGGCAGCACGACAGCTATCGGATCCCAAGAAGTTGCTAATGGGCATCGAATTCAACGATCTGAGTTTCATGCAAGGTGTGGTGATTCCTGATGATAACCGTGGTCTCGAGACAGTACTACATGTCGCCCCCAATCGTGGAGGCGAGAGTTGGTACGACTTCGGTATCTTTTCCCTTCCAGAAGGAGCCTCTTGGATCCGACATGCCACCGGATCCTTTAACATACACTACAACACACAAGGTCTGCCGGTAGATGAAAATGAATGGGATCATTTCATTGAGAAAGTCCAGGAGACACAAGCTACCTCGTCCAGCACGGATATTGAAGCTGTTTACGATTGGTTGTCTGAGACTGGTGGCGTCACGCTAGGTCCTTCCTTCCGATCAATTGCCAATGCTTCCTTTTGCGAGGGGGACCGTCGGCTCTGGATAAAGGCTGCGGTGCGTGATACCCAGAAAGGGATGCCGTATGAAAAGGAGTCGTCTTCCTTCATGCACCCAACCGCCCTTGATGCCCTGTTCCAGGCAGCTGTCCTCTCCTGTTCAGATTCACTTAATAACCAGGAAGCCAACATTCCCATTGGAGTTGACAGGATCTACCTCTCCACTGACTGGGACCTGCAGAATGGGGATGAGTTCGCCATCCACACGGAAACCCACCGGCAGGACGGTGAATCACGATCGGATTCAATTGCTTCGGATTCCTTGTGGTCGCAACCGCGTGTTGTTTTGAAGGGCATCCAACTTGGTCGAGTGCCCATGAGTAAGAAGATAGATGACAAAGGTAACCAGGGCTCTGGTGTGAACCGCTTTTCCTCCTTGGTCTGGAGGGAGCATCTGGAATCCTCGGTCGGCCAGGCACCGGCAGCCCAGACTCATTACGATGGGCTGGAGGGCTGGATACAGCGCTTCTGCTACACCTATGGTGATGGGCGTGCTCTTGTTGTCATTGGCTCTAGCTCTGAGAGCAAGATTCTCTCGAGTATCCAGTCCCATGCACCTGGTGGTGGACACCGACCCCGGCTACAGCAGTTGACTATTGTCTGTGTGAGCCCCGAAGAGAATGCTGCTGCCAATGACGAAGAGATTAATAATTCGTTCCCCAAATCCCAGGTGCACATATAGCCTCAAGCACCGAGTTCAACCAAACGACCTTGGGAGATGATCTCTTCGATCTAGTGCTCGTGGACCAGCTGAGTTTCGAGGAGGGCTCGGATACTAGTACCCTCCTCGAATCTCTCACCTCAATCACTGAGCCAGATGGCTGGTTGGCAATCCGTGCGCACGCTGGTGAGCTGGATCCGCTGAGACTCATCGAGCGTTCACCCAATTGGGAGGCAACGGGATTGATTGTGGATGGTGACTATGCTCTCGCCCATCGGAAGGTGGAGCCTGCACAGATTGATTCCACTGTATTCCTGCTTACAGCAAGCCCTGATTTGGGGACAACCTCTTTCCAAGCTACGCTAGAGAAGAATCTTTCAAAGATGGGATTGAAGACATGCACCGTCGGACTGGAAGACACGAGCACACTTGCTGGCAAAACAGTCATATCGCTGATAGAGTTCGACAATACCTGGATATCTGGCTGGTCTGCTACCACCATGTCGCAATTCCAAGAATTGTTGCAGGCGAAATATATTTTGTGGACCTCTCCAGTCCCTAGGCAAGTTGAGGATGCGTCGTTCGCCGCAGGATTTGGCGCCACCACCGGTCTTCTTCGTACTCTGAGGAATGAACGACCGAACACCATCTTGCCCCAGGTACAATTCAACCCGCTTGACGTGTCTGATGAAGAACAATTGGCTCAGGGGATCCTGCAAGTGTTGCAGCTCACAGTTACCTCCGTGGCCCGTCGCAATCAAGATCTTGAGTATCGCTTGGAGGATAAACGCTTGCTGGTACCTCGACTCATGTCCACAGAATCGGTAGACGAGGAAATGCACATCTTGACTCGTGGACCTCGACCCGCCTTCTCTCGTCTGGTCGATGATTCGCGTGCGCTGCAGTTTCACGTGGTCCCACAAGGCACCCAACCGGGCTATTGGATGGAACATCCGAATCTTGTGGCGGAGCTACCTGGCAATCAAATCGAGGTCCAGCTGCAGCTTCAAACCATCGCAGCCACTGGCAGCTCAGTCAATCACTCGCCCGAAACGCGCATCCCGGTAGTCGAAGCTGTCGGCATTGTCCGCAAGCTTGGACGATCTGTCGATACCCATCTGGCGATAGGAGATATCGTTGTTCTGTTGGCACCCGGCGCCGGAACAATTCTCGGGATGTCTACTCGTGTTAGAGTTGAACCCCATGCCATTGCAAGGCTACCAGCTCACCTTACACCCACACTGGCTGTGGCAACACCACTGGCCTACACCCTTGCCAATGCTAGTCTCTTCAATGCCGCACGTCTGGAAACAGGCTCCTCTGTTCTCATCATCGGCGCGCCCAGTCACACATTACATGCTCTTTTGAACTGCGCCCAAGATATACCAGGGGTTCGGCTGTATGTGGCCGCCGCAGACGATGCTGCAGCTGACGAGATCACTACACAGTATCCTGGTTGTGCTGGTAGGATCTTCACTGTCCACGGTGGCCTTGATGCCAATATTGCGCATCTCACCAGCGGCAAGGGTGTTACGGCCGTCGTCTCATGCCTTGGGGGCTCCATTGGTCGAGTTGCGGCCCGCTGTCTAGGGGCTGGTGGTGTTTACGTGGACCTGAGCGCCAAAACTGCACTTTCATCTCTTCCTGCTACATTCTCCTCCCGAAGCTGCACTTTTGTTTCCTTGAACATGAGTGCTATGCTGGAGAGCAATCCTGACTTGGTTTACACATATTTCCGCCGCGGTATGACTACATTGCAACAGCATCACACTGTTCATCCTGGAAGGGTTTTCCCAGCTGCCGATTGGGCTGATGCAGAGGACCATGCTCGTCAAACGGGAACAAGGTCCCCCATTCACCTCACGGAGTCCCCCAACGTTCTCATTATTCCGCCCGTACCGGAACCCGTACTCCTCTCGAAGGATCAGACTTTCGTCCTGGCCGGTGGCCTAGGAACTTTAGGCTTGGCTCTCGCAAGAGCGTTGGTTGACATTGGTGCTCATCACGTGGTGATTCTCTCTCGATCCGGCATTGCTCGAGGGGCTCATCAAGAAGCCATCGACCGTATACAAGGTGACGGATGCCGTGTCGATATTGTTCGCTGCGATGTTTCCCAAGAAGAGGACGTTGCAACTTTCATCTCCCAGGCTCAATCCAAAGGATGGAATATCAAAGGTCTGATACAATGCGCGACAAATCTCAAGGTAAGCATCAGTTTCTTCTTCTTGCTGGGTTTGTGGGGCTAATGCTTTGTAGGACGCCATGTTCGACACGATGGGCTTTGGTGACTGGAAAGATCCAACTGATCCCAGGATCCGCGGAACGCTCAACTTGCACCGTGCCTTTGCCGACAGCAAGTTGGATTTCTTCCTCGCACTATCATCGGTCGCAAGCGTAATCGGCAACATGGGACAGGCGAACTACTCCGCTGGGAACGCCTTCATGGATGAGCTGATGGTCTGGAGGCAAGCAAACGGCTTAAGCGGCCACAGCATCAACATTGGTCTGGTTCCCGATGGAAGTAGCATGGGCGACGGAGCTGAGTCCCCTGAGGAACGCCGTCGACGCTACGGTCATTTGGAAGGAACAGAAATAGACGTCTCCGAGCTTCAAAAGTTGGTCCAACTAATAGTGCAGCATCGAGTTTCAATTCCCGCCCAAATTGTGGCAGGCATCAACGATGATCTCCCGCTTGAAGGGGCCGCCTGGCGTTATGATCGCAAATTTGATCATCGCATTCGTCTGGCTCAGGTCGAAGCAAGCGGATCTTCGAATCAGACCAGCACTCGGTTGAAGAGTGCGGGCTCTCAAGACGCAGCCGTGCAGGTTGTGAATGAGACGATGCAAGAGTACCTGGCCGCGGCAATGGCGACAACTGCGGACACAGTCGATATAGAGCTGCCCTTGTCGGCCCTGGGAGGTAAATTGAGCCCCACTGCATCGTCTTTAGGTCAAGTCGCTAATTTAGACAGTGGATTCCCTCAAGGCGACCGAGTTACAGAGCTGGGTATTGCGCGAGATGGGGGCAGAGCTATCTTCGTTTGAGTTCCTGGGGTCTCAGCCAGTGAAGGCCTTGTCCGAGAAAATCGCTGTGCAAAGTACTTTCGTTGCTGCTTATTAGATGAATATGGGAATAGCCTAGCTTCTCCCCTCCCAAGGTCTCAGACTTCTGTCTGATAACTCGAACACCTCAGCCTAGGTATGTTCAGCCGGGGAGAATGAGGGGATAGCGGACGTATCTTCTAGCGTCTCGCTCGTCTCGCTGGACTGGCCGAACTGCTTCTCCGGGATAAAACAAATCAGTTGTCAGGTCCTTTACCGGAAGCTTAGGTACTCTTCCAATATTTCCCTGATTATATCTAAAATGCGTAGATTCTATAGGTCCGGGTGTACAAAATGCCAAGCAACGAAGATGACCGCAGGTGCCGCAGTTACCGCACTTGCTGCACTTACCGCTACCACTCATTTTCCGCGGCAGGATAGATGGATGCCGTCCACGGGTGGATGCCATGGTTACTTTATCCTCTACGAGGGCGTGAATAATTTATGAACGGAGAGTCGTGAGACCCTGTGGGTGCTCAGGATCCCTCTGCTCCCCCCAAGCCCTGTTTCTCTTGCCCCGTACCCGTGGACTTTCACCCTTTGCTTCCTTCCCCTTGTATTCAGCCTTGTAACCACCCCCCACCTCCTCAGACCTTGGAAGGTGATCATTGAGCTTTTTGGGTGACACATTCCAATCAGCAAGGAGATGTGCGAAGGAGCTACTATCATTGCTGGCGGCGGAATCGGCGAGCTTATTCCGTACAACCTTGCAAGACGCACAGAGCTACACCGTTCGAACTAGCAGCGGCACCAATATCTTCATCGTCCAGTTTCGTGGATATGGCAAAGCTCTGAATCCTAACCTCCTAGCCACTATGCAGGAGACCTATGGGCATTTCTTGCCTACCTGCCAACAAGTTACCAGCCAGCTTCCAGCCATTATTGAATAAGCTGAAAAGCCAACTCCCATCACTTTCGCAGGTGGTGATCATGTGGTAATAAATGACTGGGATCTCCTTGAAGATAACATCCATGTCGATATTCAGACAGGAAACCTTGGAATCCTACTGGCGTCATCGATTGGCGGTGCTGAGGTGGGTCCATTTGCCGTGCATTTGTGGGGTCTGGAGAATATTCTGGGTATCTGGAAGACGACTTGCATGGCATTTTACCCACAGCATGATATCCGTCGGTTCTTCTGGAAGACACTCTTAAATGGGATAGGTAATGTGCCTGGGGAAACGAAGCTAGCAAGCACATGGATTCTGGCCCTTCCGTCGTCGCCGGTTTATATGAACTCAATATCAGGGTTGAAATTTTCGCTAACCTAGACATATGCAAAGATTCATGAATATCTTGGTTCTTAATTGAACGACCTCGTCGACCTTGGCCTCTTTGGTATTTTTAAAAACAGGTTCAGATCCATGGACAGCAAACGTACATGTGAAACCTCGGGTTCCCAGCTTCTCTCTCCACTCGGCCCCCTGGTATCTCGATTCAGACCGCTTGCTGCCTGGTTGTAGGTTAATTCACGCCTAGAGGCTAGCACTATCATGCATAATAGCAAATTAGTCTCGCCGTTCAATCCGTTCGCGCCAAGCCATATCCAGGAAATTCCATACATGACGAGGTCCAAAAAAACTTGACCAAACTTTCGGGGGCTCCACTTTTGATGATGTCGATTTTCAGACCGGCGAGATGGTTCCTCCGAGCACAGTATTAAGGTCTGCCACCATCGGCAGGTTATCAACGTAACATCATATTTTGGAATCATTGATTTTTCAAAATGGCAGGATTCGTAACGGCTTTCATGAACCCCTTCAACTATGTTGGTGGAGTCAGCTTCGCCCCCGAGACAGACATACCAAACTTGGCCGGGAAGGTCATATTGGTCACTGGCGGTAAGTAGAGCCCGGCTCGATAGTTTCCGGGAATTGTTATTGCTTTTTGCGGCCTACTGATATATCAAATCAGGAAACGCCGGTCTGGGCAAAGAATCAATTCTCCAACTGATCAAGCACAACCCGAAGAAAGTGTTCCTAGGTGCGCGTTCGGAGTCAAAGGCACAGGAAGCTATCAAATCCTTGAAGTCGTCCGTTCCAAGCGAAGTCGACATCACATGGGTTCCTCTGGATTTGATGTCGAGCAAATCAATCAAGAGTGCCGCTGAACAAGTCAATGCCCAAACCGACCGACTCGACATTCTAATTCTCAACGCCGGTGTGATGGCTCTGCCTCCTGGTGAAACTGAACTCGGCCATGAGATTCAGCTAGGAACAAACCACACCGGCCACTTCCATCTCACCAAGCTCTTATTACCGACCCTGCTCAAGACGGCCGAGCAGCCCGGTGCGGATGTCCGAGTTGTATCGCTCTCGTCGGTTGGGCATAACCTGGCCCCCGCATTCGAAACTATCCTGGATCAAAAGAAGCTGAAGCATGTCAACACCAACACTCGGTACGGTGCTTCAAAAGCGGCCAACATCCTGTTTGCTGCGGAGCTCAGTAGACGGTACCCGTCCATAACGTCGGTTTCGGTTCACCCTGGCGTCATCATGACTGATTTGTATGGGTCGATGAATGAGCGCTCTTCGGTCGCTGCTCTAGGACACAAGGTCATGGGCTGTGTTGGGACATCGGTGTCTCAGGGTGCGTGTAATCAGCTGTGGGCCGCTGCTGGTGCGAAAAAGGAGGAACTTAGGAACGGCGCGTATTACGTGCCAGTCGGGAACCTGAAGTCTCAAAACAAATTCTCGATTGATGAAGATATGGGAAGACGCCTGTGGGAGTGGACTGAGACTGAGCTTCAAAAAGCCAATCTGTGATTGGTCATGTATCAAAGTACTCCCTCTGTTGGAAAGAGCCAGTAGTCCTGCAGTGTGCAAAACTCGTTTGTTTGTTGTCAGGTGACTGGCTTCCTTCCTGTCTTCTTGACTTTTTTCCCGATCAGCTTCGCTCTTTCTTATACTCCGCTCCTTGAGGAAATCTTTGCTGTCTCTTTTGATTTTCGATCTATCTTGGAAGGCGCAGTCGCTCATGTCTTCTTTCTTTGCCATTCATACAATATCATACATCTCAATTTCAGAAAATACGAGTACGGTCCATAGTGTATACTTGTTATGACGTGTTGTATCTCAAACATCAGAAAATAAAAGTACATTGTTGAAAATCGGGAATAGAAGGCCTCATCCTTGCGCAATCTTGATGACAATCTTCCCAAGTCCGCCCTTTCCGCTGTAAACAATCTGGCATCCATCCCGCACCGCCTTCAGATCAGAGAACTGAGCAGTAGTTCCTACAACTGTCCTCAATTTGCCCTCTTCAACATACGTTCTCAGCTCATCCAGATCCTGACCAGTTGATGCCAAGAACATGTATGAATACTCCACACCGTACCGCCGAGCTCGTAGCTTACGAACACAATCCATCATATTGAGCGCTGTCTTGAATACGAACGGAATTGTTGGCTTGTGCGGTAGATCCAGGATCGATGATTCCTGGAGCTGTGTTCCTGACGGCATAGTTGCAACCGATATGATGCATCCGGACTGTGGTTTCATCAGGCTGAGAAACTCCATGGAAGAGCCGACGGTGTCGAAAAGGAAATCAACAGACCCGGCTTCTATCACTTGCCCGGGATTTGATTTTGTGTAGTCAATAACTTTGAAAAAATTAGCTTCTGTCCGAGCAGTGGTTGATCTAGTTGCTTACTTTCATCGACGGTGTCTTCGCCCAAAAGCTCCTTGACTTTTGGGATTTTAGAAGTTGACACAGTGGTAATAACCTTGCCTGCATGAAAGACATTCTTGGCGAGTTGGCACGCGAAGAGTCCTGTTCCGCTCACTATTGATGTATTAGACAAGGTGTCATAATTCTTGGGGGGGGATGGCATACACCCAGCGGGCACAAATACTGTCTTTCCCGCAAGATCTCCGCGATACTTCCTCAGTGCCTGAAGTGCAGTCATCGCAGCCAGAGGTAACGAAGCTGCTTCCTCGAATGACATCGACGGTGGCTTTAGTCCAATGTGATTTTCAGCACATTTGACGAATTCACTACAAGAGCCTGATGGATATGGTCGTCAGCACCTCAAAGCTCCGTGCAGATGATATCTTGATGCTCACCTCGAGAAACCTCTGGCAGTCTGGTATAAACTTCATCTCCGACCTTCACACGGTTCACCCCGGATCCAATCTCTGTGACCACGCCGGCACAGTCATAGCCAATCTTATACGGAAATCTGTTTCATTAACATGAGCACAGTCATGCGGAGTAAAACAAGGGCGGCTCACGTGTCTTTGACTGCCAGCTTGAGCATCCCGTCCGCTTTTTTGACATCAATTGGATTTATACTTGCTGCGTGCACCTTGATGATCACATCTTTGGGATCACTGAGTTCGGGCTTGGCCAGTTCAGAGACTTGGTACCCGGAAGGATCCGAATAGGCAGTGACATTAAGTGACAACATGTCGGGTTTTATCCTCGCTAGCAGCTCTGATCACGATATTTCACAGCAGCAACATGGGTATAAATGGCTGACAAGATTGAGCTGCAGTAACGATCTAGACTCTGGATTGGTTCTTCGTTCGTGATTTGGACCCACATGACGGGTCAACCATCTATCCGATGCCAAATGCAGAATGTTACATGCCTCGGCATTTGTTCCGATGCCCATGAAGAAGTACGCAGTACTCGGAAAGGGTTTTAAGAAAAAAGAAGCAAAAAAAGAATAATCACTGAATGTTTGAGATGATTCATCACCCAGAGCTTTGAAATTTTCGAGAACTCGTTCCTTTCATCAATTTGGGAGGTTGGAATGATCGGCCGGGACGATAATCTTCCCGTCGGTGAGGAAAATCTTCGTTGCAGCTCCATTCCAAGTTCCTATCAATTAATGAGATTTTGAGCTCTGGTCCACGGGTCTTGCTTGAATTTTTCTGGCACACAATTCTAATCAGAGTCTAGATAGAAAGAAATTCCAATTTCATTGATTGTAGTGAGACTAACCTTAGAACCTCCAGGGCTTCAAATAATATATCGGACACCGGGCGGAATGAACTTGGTTACATATATCTCCAAGGCACGCCCACGATCTCAAAATGACCTCGGGACTCGCTGAGCGCATAATTATGACATTGGGAAAATTATGCTTATTACAGCCTCTATGCGTCTTCTTTCTACTTAATAAACCAAGCAACCTTGGGAGACCTTGGGAGTTGTAATGCCAACAAAGGTTGGAAACATCCATGGATTGGAATGCCGGAAGGTACCTACTCCGTACTGACCGGAGAATTCGAGCAACGAGGTATAAAGTCGCAAGAAAACCCCAAGGTTTTACCGAAGAGACTGGTATCCCAAGAAAGCAACCAGAACAGAGCGCAATTCTGCAGGCTGCGAGGCTTCCCTATAGATTATTACGATGTACTAGAAGCCTTGAAGGTACCTTCTCGTCGCAGAGGCCCTTTCGAGATGAGGTAAAAGCATACTATCACTCTGCGGGAAATTGTGCACGTATGAGCCAATCATCGGCGTTCCTTGCGCTGTGTGCTAACTACATGCTTGGCTGCAATCTTGATTCTTGCTACTCCGTAGTCTGTCTGATGCATGCACCAAGGGCCCTAGTAATACGAGCTGTGCATCACGAAAGATAAACCAGACTACAGTGCGGAGTAAAGTGAGCATAAAGAAAACACAGCCCTCCAGTTTACTCCGTATCAACGTGGGAATTGACCACTATGGGAACGTAGCTGTGTGATGTCATGCTCCGTACACTCCCTAGAGTGCAAGCAGGGGAAAAGGGGTTGGGAACTTGGGATCCTCAGGGGCGGGTTGGGGTTGGAGACCTCCCGGGCTGATCATTGCAACTTTAAAAGAACAGCAAGGTCCAGGCAATATTACGAGTGCTGATCATGAAGTGAGCGAGGGGAGCTTGAGCTTGTACCTTGAAGTATGCGCTCATATATTGGCATCGGCCGCGCCGGAGTGGGGCGGACTTTCGAAAGCATCGGGGATATTGAAAGATATTTTTTGCATTTCAAGTGATCAACCATTGACATCTGTAATCTGCACCGCTCTTGTGCTCTTATACTCCGTACTGACACTTGAAGTGGACGCTTCACGCAAATTATACCGGACATTTCCGTGGTAAGAGGATCTCATAAAACTGTTTCACCCGTATTTGTGGCACTTGAGACATTACTAGATTTTGGGGGCCAGTCTACCTGGAACGACTGTTGCAAGAATGCTACAGTCAGTACTCCGCACGGAGAATATTTTACTCGATCTGGTTTATTATTAGCTTCCAAGGGTGAGGTCTTATGTTGGAAGCCTTGATCGCCCTCGACGGTGGCTCAGCCACACAGCCACAGCCACAGCCCTTGGAACCCACTGAACTATTGACTCTCGAAAGCTTCACATCTCAAGTCATACTCCATCCAATTTGCGACGGCATCATAGAACACGTTGAACACGTGGATCGAACAGTCAGATTTGGAATCTTTTCCCCGAAAGCTCCGTACTAGGCGTGTTCGCCACTCCTTGGCGCTCAGAGCTTTGAGCTGTGCCGTCCTCAGCTCAAGTACTCCGTACTCCGTAGCCGACAATGCTCTGATCGGACTGGTGCCCACGGACTACTACTATATCATCGCTTGATATGTACCGCATTCATGCATGTCATCGGGATTACCGGGCGCGGCAGCATTGCAGATTCATTGCAGAATCTACTCCGTACACTTTGCAAGCAAACAACTTGGCGTATGAGCAAAGTTGAACCCTTGATCTAGCAATCTCCGATACGAAGGGAATTTGAAAATGTTGGTCGGGTTTACAATGGGGATGTCAAAGTAGTGGGGAGAGAGGCGACAGCGAGCTGGATGAGACGAGTCGATTCGATTGATCTGACGGTGTTTTGCAGATTTTAGCCTCGGAAGTCCGAAGCCAGCTTCGCGATGAGCTGAGGCTGTCGACCCGAGCAGATCTTTGTTGGACCTTGGCCAGTCTAGTGCCTTTGTATTGGATGTACCATGTACCCCGTAAAAAGTGCCTGAAAGACACCACAGTCTTCACCTTCTGTTGTTGGTTAGTCTCATTTTGCTGAAAGAGTGTCTCACCGATATACACTGCATGGCGCCCCATAGATCGAAGGAAGATTGACGTAATTCCGCAAAAATCAGCTCCGATTGAAATTGGATAAGATAATAATTCAAATGCGACCTATAGTAAATTTCAAACGGCGTGGTACTGGGGTATTTTGGGGGAGCACAAGAGAGGGTGGGATCGAAGTGGAATTGTGGCAGAATCTACGGAGTAGCCCTCGGTTATTCGAACAACGCAGCACTGCAGCGCTACACATTTCCCCCTCAATGGTCCCACACCAATTGGTTTCGCTTGATTCGACAATTATTCGGTACCTGATGTACAGTCCGTTGTACGCGCCCGTCATCCGGGATACGAGGTGCATAATCACAGAACGTTAAACCATTCAGGCACCAGGGGCAAGAACAGAAACACAGAGAAAAACCCAAAAACCCCCTCTCTCAGGAACACAGGGAGTCAGCCACTCGGAAATCAGCAAAGAAAGTCAGTTTGCCCTCGCCAGTTCCACATGGACGATCGCAACCCACACGGGGCCAATCATCATCTAATGGGCCGACGAACGCCCAGCTCAGGGGGCCAAGCACAATGGCTCACAGGGGCTCAATGAGGTCTGAAACACACCAATCGCTTCCTAACCAAGTGACTGGGTCTCTCTCGGGGTTTCGTCCCTTACAGTATTGCGCTACTGCGCGAGGGCCCTCCGCCAGCCCGTTACTGGACCACTTTTTCAGCCACCTCTGGACGTAATTCGATTTCGCTGCGGGCCTCGACTGATCAATCTACAAAAAGGGAATGGGGTTCAGGGCACACAGAGTACATATACTTTCGCCGCTCCCCTTCCTCTTTCTTTCGATCGTGCAAGCCGGGCTTCGTCCAATATCATCGCTTTTTGCTCCGTCGCTGTCGTCGTTTTTCGCTCCCTCTATATATCACAATGTTCCTTCCTTCATTGGTACGTCTATACTTCCCACTGGTTCGCCTCGGCGGCCCACATCTCCACTCCCGCGAACCATTGCTAATTCCGTCTCCAGATCTTGGCTGCTGGCAGCCTGCCAACTCTCATTGCAGCTATCCCCCATGGCTCGCAATCGCACCACAACTTGCACCGTCGCGCCTCGGCTGCGTATGCCGTCATGGGTGGTAACGGCGCTGCCTCCGACGGATGGCCCTCTATGAGCCAATGGAAGGCCTTCGATACTCTGTGAGTCAATCGGTTCCCGCGCATCGTTCCAGGCTAATCAATTATCTACAGCTGGGGCCTCAACGAAATCCTGATCAGCGCTTCTTGCGACAACTCCGACGAGGAAACCGCGGCCATCAAGTCGAGCATCCAGTCAATTGCTGAGGAAACAGGAGTCGACGAGCGATTCATCCTTGCCATTGTCATGCAGGAGAGCAAGGGCTGTGTTCGCGTTCAATCCACCAACAACGGTGTCCAGAACACCGGTCTGATGCAAAGCCACGATGGAACTGGCTCCTGTAACAAGGACGGCAGCAAGACCACCCCCTGCCCCTCCTCCATGATCCACACCATGATCAAGGATGGAACCGCTGGTACCTCAGCTGGTGACGGTCTGCAGCAGTGCTTCGCCGCCCAGAGCGGCGAGGAGGCCGCCAAGTACTACAAGGCCGCTCGTACCTACAACTCCGGCTCTGTCGACGCCTCCGGTAACCTCGGCCAGGGTGGTGCTACTCACTGCTACGCCTCTGACATCGCCAACCGTGTTGGCGGTTGGGCTGGTGATGTGACTGATTGTATCGAGTCCACCATTGGTTCGATCACCAGTGGTCTTGCCGACGCCCTTACCGGTGGATCCGACTCTGGATCCGACTCCAGCTCTGAGTCTAGCTCTTCGTCCGCTGCCGCGCAGCCCACCGAGACCCCAGAGCCCGAGACCTCTTCCGCCGCCCCCGTTGAGACTGCTCAGCCATCCTCCACTGCTCAGCCCTGGACCCCCGAGCCTGCTGCTTCTTCCGCTGCCCCCACTGAGTCTGTCTCCGTGGCCCCTGTCCCTACACAGACCCCCAAGATCAACATGGCCGCCCAGGCTTCCACCCCTACCCCGGCCTGGACTACCAAGTCGGCCCCTGCGCCCACTGCCGAAGCCACATCGTCTGACTCGACTGCTCCTATCTATCCCCAAGCTGCTTCATCCTGTCAGAAGTATGTCACCGTTTCCAGCGGTGACTTCTGCAACAAGGTTGCGGAATCTGTTGGAATCTCGTTCTCTGATCTCCGCAGCTTGAACCCCGGTCTCGACGAGACTTGCTCCGACCTGTGGCTCGGATACCAGTACTGTGTGAAGGCTTAGATATAAGTCTGACCGACCTGTCATTTGTTTTCTGCATTTGTTTTGACACCCAAGATCTCCTGATCTAGCATTTTCATTTCTTCACTGTCCATAGGGCAGTGCCTTTTGTACATAGAGGGAGCTTGCTCTCCAAAACCGGCCATCGATGAATCCGGTATTCATCCATGGCTCTTGACGACGAACGACACAGCGAACCATTTTCAAACCTAAACTTCCAAATCCTTAGTGAATGCGCCCAGTAGCCGAAACCATGCAACTAAGCGTCACATACTGACTATTGCCACCAAAACATTATGAAATCAAACACAGGATAATCGCGCTGATCAATGCTGTGGACGGCGTCGCAAATTTGACGTCAGTCCACGCGCTGGCAGCACCTTAATTTTAAGCTTGTGGAGCTTTACCACAACGACCAATGGGTCGTAACATTGGACCCAAGGATCAGGAGCGGAGAAGCGAATGTTAGCCCGCAGAAACGATTATGTATGACCCACCATGTGTTTCCTGCATGTTCGGCAACTTCTAACCTACGCGCATGTGAGGGCAGGAAGTGGCTGTCCTGTGTTCATGGCCACATTGGAAGGAAACTCAAATGCCTAAAATCAGTGAAAGGAAACCCAAAGCCATCTGAAATACCTTTGAATATCAAAGGTTAAACAGCACATTGTTGAGGCAAAAGATCTTTGTTCTCCTTGGAGCTTGGGCAGTCACAAAGACAACCAGAGTATTATTTGAACGGTTGAAAACCCCATCAATATGAGTATTACTTGAATCACTTTCCATCGCAAAGCTATTTCTTCAACCTTACTACGCTATTCTCTCCCAGATCTATACTTGTCGGCCACCCACAAGAAATCACTATCCCAACAACATTCAAGATGAGTATCGTTCCACCCAGCATGTTTAGGTACAATTTCGGCGGCGAGGCGCTGCCGGAGTATGAGGCCAGTAGCCACGAAGCCACTTACTACGTGACTGTGATCTTTAAGCCTATCCAGGCTTCATGGGATAGTTGTGCTCTGATGAAGTTCATGGTGAAGCAAATTGCGAACGGAAAGGCTTTTGTGACGGAGGAGCCTGTGCAGAATATCTCTCCGCTGTGCATTTCTCTACCTGTTTATGGGTTTGATGATGCAGCAGCTCCTCTGGTACTTGCTAGTGCGCTCTCTGTTGCACGGTCACGGTCACAGGAGATTGAGGCCGGGTTCATCGTGATTGATAAAGATCGTCTCTTTCGCAGTGATTAAACTCCAGGTCTTGGTCTTATGATGTTAGCATAATCTTGAAATACATTTGATATCTTGACATCTATGTTGTAGATCACATTCATTCATACTTTCGCATGTAAAAAGCCAAAGAGGACGCGATGCAGAGGCTTTATTCGACCGCCCGACCGCCATCGCTGCTATATGAAATGGATGCATTCAGGCTCTTCAACACAATTCTGGCAAACAAATGGTTTCTTTTCATTCTTTTCAGTCTCATCTCATCTAGCCATCGTATTGACAGGCTGATTATAGGGGCCGTAACCCACACTGCTCCATGTTAATCTTTCTATGATCTTTGTCAAGTATAGAGTGCAAACAGACAATAATCACCATCATTTCAACTGAAGCTCTCCGCCTTCGATCACCAACCGAACGATTTCTTTGTTTAATCCTTCCCAACGAAGACGTCCTTTGACGAACCAATATCCAAGAGCAAACAAAGTAGTTGCACCAAATATAGGCGCTGCATAGTTCATAGTAGGACCAGTCACTGGTAAAGTAGATGGGAATGCTAGCCATACGGTGACCCAGGCAGTGTACACCATGGCAAAGACATTGACTGGAAGACCCAAGCGCCCCATATTCCAATTTCCCAGAGGTGCGGTATTGACTTGAAAGCGATTATGCACCATGCAGGCAATGGCGATAAAGTAAGAAACAAAAAGGCCAATGGACCCAAGGGCAACAAAGGCCCCGAATGCCGCCGAGCTTGCGATGTTCAAGCATGCGAGAATCATGACCACAATAACCGGGAGCCAGACAGCTCGTATAGGAACGTTGTGCTTTCGGTCGATCTGCAGCCTTGATCAATGGGCCATCTTCAGAACAGAACAAATGACACTTACATATGCAAACCACTGGGGCAAGGCTCCATCGCGAGCCCATGCCCACGTCAATCGTGAGACAGACGCAATACTTGCGAGATTGACTGACAGCGAGATGACCAGTAGGCCGCTCACCATTGCTGTTGCGGCTTTGACAGATCCGGTTGCTTGTCGGCATATCTCGATAATAGGGAAGCCTGACTTCTGCGCTTCTTCCATCGAGCCCATTGTGAATAGCATACAGACCACCATCGCGTATGCCAGAATGCCATTTGTGACGACGGTGTAGAAGATCGATCGTGGAACGGCTTGCTTTGCTCGTCGTACTTCCTCGCTCATATGTACAGCGCCATCGAAGCCTATATCAAACCAATTAGCTTCGCTTTGTGCGTCTTCAATGACAGTGACTCGTGCGCACCAACAAACCCCCATACAGGAGTTAATAACCCAATGTTCCATGCAGGGAAAGTACTCCAACCAGAGCTACTCTGAGTCCGTAGAAACACAAACTCTGGTGTATGTCGAGGTGCTAGACATGCAAAGACCAATAGGAAGACAATTAGCAGGCATATGTGCAAGATTCCTGCCAGCATCTCAATCCAAGGAATGAGCCAAAAGGTGTACATGTTCATCAGCGCCTCAACGGTAAGCATCCCAAAGATAATCAGGGTGAGGTGCCATTGCTTTGGCTCATAGTCTGGGTAGTTCACGCTTGCAAGTCCTTGTATCATAGTCGCAGTAGTGTTGGCCACGCCAGCTAGGGTAGAAATCCATGCAAACCAAGTGATCCACCCTTGAGAGTATTAGCGATAGGAGCGGAAGAATCTCAATTGTAACTCACCTTGCATCCAAGTGATAAATTTCTTCTGACTAGATGGTGCCAAGTAATTTGTCCAGTGGTATTGGGCGCCAGCAATTGGCTGCATAGAGGCCATCTCGGCCAGCGACGCCGATTGAGCCATTGCGCCGCACACCACAATCACGATCCCCCAGGCCAGAGCTTCGGGGCCCCCATTTGTGAGGACGGCGCTCAGGTTACTATGCAATTATCAGGATGCGTATTCGAAAGACAAGAAGAATCACATACAGTGCCTGGGTTTCCCAGCTCGACAGATAAGTAAGTGAGAAGAAGAAAATTTGAGTGAAATTGAAAAGTCGCTGTATGTGGTCAGTTTCACCTTTCAGATGGTCCTCGATACGTACCTTAGGTTTTGCCTGATCTGTGGAACCACTCTTACTCGGGTTGCCATAGGCAATTGAGACATTGGCGACTTGATCGGGTGCAGTCTGTCTGATAGTTCCATTCCCGCCTTTCAAGGGGTGCATCTCATGGTCTTCCATGGTTGGCTTGGAAGAAACCAAAACAAGCACTTGTTAGAGGAGTGAATGGGTGGGTAGATTGGTCCAAAGGTTCGGAGAAGAAAAGAAAAAGCAAAAACAGCGACAAGGCTTCTAGTAACAAAGCCCAACAGGGATCATGCAGGATCCATGTGTGACAGTGGCATGCTCTTGGCTCCGCTCGAGGAGATCGGCGCATGCTGCAGCGCTAGTCCTTAGTCTACGTTTGAGACAGGACTAGAGCATGCACGGTTGTGGAACTTTAGATCAACTAGGATCAGTGTCCGTGGGTGATCGTGCTCGTGTGTCAATGACGCGGAAGATCTAATGATCGACCCATTTAGGCGAGATCTTGGGCACTGCATGTATCTGTCTCGCTTATTCTTTACATATAGTGACCGACTAGCCATGCACCGTGAAGCTCTCTGGCAACCCTCCTTCGACTACCATGTCGCCTAGCCGAGATATTCTCTTGCCACCGCTACTGCCCGTCACTGCAGATGATCATGGTGCTTGGGTGATAGTAGTGAGCACGATCTTACTTATAATTACCATTCTGGCAACAACTGTGACTTTGATATCTCGCATCCGCGTTTTGCGCAAGCTTTCCTGGAGTGATTCAGTCCTGTTTCTGAGCTGCGTAAGTGCAGATTGTGTTCAACTTAGCTTTATTTTGACTAATGGTTCAGTTCATCTTCATTCCTCAAACCGTGTGTATCAATATAGCCAGCTCCCATGGAATCGGGAAACACCGCCATGCATTGAGTGATGCCTCTTTCGAGGTATATAGCAAAGTATGCACCTCCTCAAACTGCGATTCCGCTGCCTAACAATATTAAGACCATTTTCGCCAGTCAACTTCTCGCCGTTCTCGTTTTGGGTTGTTCCAAAGCCGCCGTCGTTCTCCTGGTTCTTTCCTTGCAACCTTTCGAGAAAATTACACTTGCATGCCGAACTATTTTGGGCATGGTTGTTGCTTGGATCTTGGCTTCGCTCGTTGCTCTCGGGACACAGTGCAACCATCCTCAGCCATGGCTCTCCAGCCCTGATAGATGCGTGGATCAACATGCACTGTATATAAGTCTGGGAGCTGTGCATATGCTCCTAGACATGAGTATCATCGCATTGCCGATGACTCTCCTTCACCAAGTCCAGATCATTCAGTGGAAGCGCCATCAGATCTCGGCTCTTTTCGCAATGCGCATTTTGTGAGTCCAGTCTCAGCTAATGATTTAATGCTATGTGGTCTAACTTACCACAGAGTCATGGCTCTTACTATCGCTGGACTACGATCCCTGCCCCCGATCTTCGAATCAAGACCCCCCGACCGACCATGGTATACGGTGATGCCAGCAATTTGGCTCCAGTTGATACTCAGCTCGTCGATCCTCTGCACCTGCATTCCCACATTGAAACGCGTACTCGCCGATCTGCAAACAGGAATGATGGCAGGCACAGTGTCCGATTTCTTCGAACAGTCAGTTTCCGGTCATACCAATACAGGATCCCAGTCGGGATCAAAATCTGGCAGTGGTATTGGGCAGAGATCTCCATCAACTTCCACGCCCCACTCGCGACCCCGGAGGGATTCCATTGGCGTGGAGCGTATGAACAGCCAGACGATCTTGCGAGACCATGCGATTGTGCAGACTACCGACTATGAGGTTCGGTATGAAGGGAGACCAGTCAGGGTTTCGTCTTCGAGTCAGTATGAAAGTGATGCTTTGAGTATCCACATGGTGGATCCAACAGGCACGCGCGGAGGAAGTGATGGATGGCACTAGATATTGTGCGATTCAAAGTTTAGATTAGATTTAGTTTTTGAGCATAATGATATACCCAATCAGCCGATTTCGTCCTCGGCAGTCGCGCATTTTTGGTTTTTTGTTTAAAAAAAGTCTGTTCCCACTCACCCGCCATGACTTAAGCTTATGTCGATCTCGTTTACGCTGGTAGTTTATTGGATCGTTCATTGCCCCTGCACAAGTTCAAAAAGTGGCGTGTCGATCAGATCTGGTCCGCGCATCTGGCCCCAAGTCGTTTCATCTCTCGTTCTAGCAAGTGGGAGGTGAGATTTCCAAGGTTGGACCTACAAGTACATGGCCGAGATCGGGGCTCACTCGTATCTGAATAGATACCTCACTTTAGCCCTCCGATTCTTGGCAAAGTGTGTCCTACCAGATGCACCTTGCGCGTATAGCGTGAAAACAATGGGCAATAATTTCAAGTACGATCGACGGCGCAGCCCCGTGGAGCTGTTGGAAATTGAGCTCTGAGTTCCAGTGGTTAGGCACCATCTCGGAACCTGTCCGTCGGGAACCTTGGAAGTTCAGGTGATTGAAGAATTCGATGACGATCAGTTGAGAGATGACAATCTGATAAAAGACGACAGAGCTGATCATTGTGTTCCGTAAGGGGGGGTTGCCTTGCGAGGTCCCCAGAGTGACGCCTGTCAGTCCCCGTATGTGGGCCCAAGCTTGTACGACTAATTCGTATAGATCTTGAATACCTGAAGTCTTCAGAATGTACAATATATGCACCTTCGAAATTTTCATATCTCTAACAATCCACATTTCCTGCTCGCCTGGGCAAGTTCAATTGCCCATGGAGACTTGTGTCTACGATGAGGCATAGTGACTCACGGTGACCAGTGGGGCCTGTGGCGGTCGCAGCCGCCACTTAAAAAAGACGAGATATCTGCTGTGCTCCAGGGCTTCAGTCTCGCTTTGCATGCGCAAGATGTCGCACACTCTCGATGTGTTTGGCCAAGCACCTGGTCTTTACAAGCTGTATACCCAGCTATGCTCTATTTATTCCATCGCGGACGCGTCGTCTCATAAAGCTATCATCAATACTTTGACAAACGGACTTGACCGCTTGGCGCACAACTTTCCATGGCTTACCGGTCAGGTTGTCAACGAGGGAGTAGGGAATGGTGATACAGGTGTCTTCAAGATAACTCCAGCCCGTCAGATCCAACTCGTGGTGAAAGACCTACGATCTGACCCCTCGGCACCGACGATGAACAGTCTTCGCCAGGCCAAGTACCCGTTCACCATGCTTGACGAAAAGGTCATTGCTCCTCGTACGACACTCAATCTACCGAGTAACTCCGATACTGCGTCGGAGTCAGCATTGGTCTTTTGTGTTCAGGCCAATTTCATCGAGGGCGGTCTGATGCTCACCACCGTCACCCAGCATAATGTCATGGACATGACGGGCCACGAATTCGTGATGAATTTGCTATCCAAGGCATGCAATAACGAACCTTTTACCGCGCAGGAGCTCGCGCTTGGAAACATGGACCGCAGTCGTGCTATCCCGCTATTAGACCCTTCGTACACCCCGGGCCCTGAGCTTGCCCACCAGATTGTGAAACCCCCAAGCGTCGATGAAACTGCCTCGGGTCCTACGATAGCCAAAGCGACTTGGGCTTACATTGAGTTTTCCGAGATGCAACTATCCGCCCTCAAATCGTTAGCTACAAAGTCACTTCCGCTTTCCACCAACTTTGTCTCTACGGATGACGCCGTCAGTGCTTTCGTTTGGCAGTGCATTGCCCGGGCTCGGGCCTCGCGCCTTAAGGCAGATGCTCCCGCCATGCTTGCGCGTGCTGTTGACGTTCGACAGCTCCTTGGAATGCCGAAAGAGTACCCAGGCCTTGTTCAGGCTATGACGTACAACACCGATCCGGTTCAAAAGGTAGCCGATGAGCCTTTGGGTGTCATCGCAGCCCAGCTTCGGTCCCAGCTTGACCCCAAAACCAATGACTTGGCATTTAATACCCGTGCCCTTGCTACGTTCCTCCATCGTTCAAAGGACAAGACCAAGGCCTCGGTGACTGCATCGGTGGACGTTTCGTCGGACTTCATGTTGAGCTCTTGGTCAAAAATTAGCTGCTATGAACAGGATTTTGGACTCGGGTTAGGGAAGCCTGAAGCTGTTCGAAGGCCACATTTCACTCCGTTTGAAGGACTGGGATATCTGATGCCTCGATCTCCGGCGGGTGAGCTGCCCGTCGCCATTTGTCTGAGGGATGAAGATTGGGCCCGAGTCAAGGCTGATGAGTATTTTGTAAAATATGCCACTTATATTGGATAGAATTATGAGGTCCATAATGTATATAGAAATCGAGAAGAGAGATAGATCGAGACGTTGCATCCGCACCGCGCCGATCAGAGTCTCCGCATTCCGCCTCCACATTTGGGAATCCCCTTCAGCTCCGCAGCTCCTCACTTCAGCACTTCCCTGGATTGATTCATTTCTGCACTTCGACACCTCTACAGCACCTCACTTAAGTTTTCTGTTCAAAAATCTGTACGGCGTGTCCCCGATCTTTCATTTCACGTCTCAGACATCATTCTCCAACTATGGGTGGGGAGGTTCCATTTCGCCCCGCTCCGCCAGCTATACCCCAGCTAGCGGAGCGCCCGGTCGGCCAACGAATTAACAAACTCTACACCGATCGCCTGAAGCAGTTCACATCAGAGGGTCAGTACGAAGGCCAAAACCTCATTTCCAAATACTGGGAGGCCACAAACTCGGACGAAGACCACGTCAAGCTCTCTGTTTATTCCGTTCCGAACTTGGAGAGACCGACCTTCGAAGATGCGACCTCCCAGGAATTCAAACCAACCCACATCGGAGCTTCATTCGGCCCCAGTTGGTCCACACATTGGTTCCGTATTCGTCTCACGGTTCCTAAGGATATGCTGAAGCGAGAACATTTGGAGTTTCATTGGGATGCCAACAATGAAGGGCTGGTGTGGACGGAGGATGGTCGGCCGCTTCAGGGTCTGACTGGCGGTGGAGAACGTACAGAGTTTATTCTTCCCAAGGAATGGCTCGATGGCAAAGAGCACACATTTTACATCGAAATGGCTTGCAATGGAATGTTTGGCAATGCTCCTGGTGGGGATTCCATTCAACCGCCAAACCCCGACAAGTACTTCACACTTAGTACTGCACGTATCACGGCTGTGAATCTTGCTGCTCGAGCGCTCTTCTATGATTTCTGGATCATTGGGGATGCTGCACGAGAATTCCCAGGCGAGTCGTGGGAGGCGCACGAAGCCAATGTTGTGGCGAATTCAATGATCGACGCCTTCATTGCTGGCAATGGAAGCAACGAGTCTATCAACGAGGCACGCAAGCTTGCAAAGAAATATCTTGGAGACAAGGTAGACTCAGCAGATGTCTATAATACAGACACGCAGCCCATTGTGTACGCCATCGGTCATTGCCACATAGATACTTGCTGGCTATGGCCCTGGGCCGAGACAAAGCGAAAGGTAGCACGATCCTGGTCAAATCAATGTGATTTGATGGAGCGTTACCCTGAGCATCGGTTTGCGTGCTCCCAGGCTCAACAGTTCAAATGGCTGAAGCAGTACTACCCATCTGTTTTCGATCGCGTGAAGCGTTGGGTAAAGAAAGGCAACTTCCAGCCGATCGGCGGAAGCTGGGTTGAGCACGATACGAACATGCCGAGTGGCGAGTCACTTGTCAGGCAGTTCTTGTATGGACAGCGATTCTTCGAGGCCAACTTCGGCAAGCGCTGCACTACTTTCTGGTTGCCTGACACCTTTGGTTATTCCACCCAAATCCCACAGATATCCCGTCTCGCTGGTATGCCGCGCTTCTTTACTCAAAAGCTCAGCTGGAACAACATCAACAATTTCCCGCATACTACTTTCCAATGGGTAGCACTTGACGGAAGCCAAGTATTGTGCCACATGGCTCCCTCAGAAACCTATACCGCCGAAGCTCACTTCGGGGATGTCAAGCGCAGTGTCACTCAGCACAAGTCGCTGGATACAGAAAAGTCGTCCTTGCTGGTCTTCGGAAAGGGAGATGGAGGTGGTGGCCCAACCTTCGGACACCTTGAGAAACTCCGACGTTGCCGTGGCTTAAGTGACCAGGTTGGCTCACTTCCGCGAGTGAAGATGGGCGAGTCGGTTGACGACTTTTTCGCAAAGCTCGAGGCTAAGGCGACCTCCGGTACCGATTTCGCTACCTGGTACGGCGAGCTTTACTTCGAGCTGCATCGAGGTACATACACAACCCAGGCAAACAATAAGCGAAACAACCGCAAGGTCGAGTTCTTTTTGCGCGAAATCGAGCTTCTTGCTACCCTCGCTACTGTTCATCCCACTGCCGGTGGATATAAATATCCCAAGAAGGAGATTGATCAAATGTGGGAAGGGACCCTGCTTTGCCAGTTCCATGATTGCTTGCCTGGGAGCTCCATTGAGATGTGCTATGACGACTCTGACAAGCTTTATGCTGAAATCTTTGAGATTGGAACCAAGCTGCGCAAAGACGCTCTGGAGGCTTTAGGCATCACAGGCCGAGGCGGCGGCATGGCCACCCTCAACACTTTGCCATGGTCCCGGTCAGAGATTGTTCGCATCCCTGAAACAATCACTAAATCAGGAGAAAGCAACTATGCCATGGTCAATGGAGCAACTGGTTTGATGCCGTTGGGTCGGATTGACTTCAACGCGAAACATCAAGCCAGTGTATCAGTCAACGAGGTGAAACCTGGTGTCTTCCGTCTGGAGAACGGCAAGCTCAAGATAAATGTCGAGAATGGCGTAATAACCTCTCTGTATGATGTTGATGCCGATAGAGAGGTCGTTGCGAAGGATCAGAAAGCCGGACAGCTGGTTATCTTCGATGACAAACCTCTTTACTGGCAAGCATGGGATGTCGAAGTATTCCACCTTGAATCACGAAAGGAACTTCACGGCGGCAAGACGACGATTGTTGAAAACGATCCTCACCGTGCCAGCGTTGAGACCTTGACAAAGATCAGCGACAAGAGCTGGATCAAAACCACAATCAGCCTATCCGCATCTGTTTCCGATGAGCCATCTTACGTCGAGCTGGAGAGCGAGGTTGAATGGCAGGAGACTATGAAGTTCCTCAAGGTGGAATTCCCTGTCGATATCGTCAACACCGAGGCCTCCTACGAGACACAGTACGGTATCATCAAGCGTCCAACCCACTATAACACAAGGTATGTGCCCCGGATCTTCAAACTGACATACAGTACTGACGCACTCACAGCTGGGACATGGCCAAGTTCGAAGTCTGCTGCCACAAATGGGCAGATCTCTCTGAGAATGGATACGGAGTCTCAATTCTCAACGACTCCAAGTACGGCTTTGCGACATGCGGCAACCTCATGCGTCTCTCGTTGCTTCGCGCCCCGAAGGCTCCCGATGCACACGCTGACATGGGCCGCCACAAGATCCGCTATGCCATTCTGCCTCACGCCGGCGCTCTTGATGACCGGACGGTCCGCGCCGGATTCAACTTCAATAACCCCCTCGTCGTTGAGCCTGCCGGTCCTAATGTATTGGCTGCCAACGCTCTGTTTAAGTCTTTGGCTATTCATGGCGCGCCCTCGTTGATTCTCGATGTAATCAAGCGTGGCGAGGATGATGCCGATGTGTCTTATGATGGGGTTCCCACTCGTCCTGGCAAGAGCGTGATTCTTCGAGCCTACGAGTCGCTAGGTGGCAAAGCTCGTGGATCTATCGAAACCACGCTGCCGGTCAAGAAAGCTTTCAAGTGTAACATCCTTGAGGATGATGAGCACCCTGGTTTGGATATCAAGACTGTCAACGGTGGTTCGTCCATCAAGATTGAGTTGAGGGCTTTCGAGGTTGCGACCTTCCGACTCCAACTGTGAACGCCGTTGATGCATGGTTTCGATTTCAGCTTTCGTATAATTCTTTTACCTTATCTCTTATTAACACAGAAACATATGAAACTAGTCAATATCAGAGCCATTCGCGATGATCCAAACCTAGTAGTCGTTCCGTAAATCAATTGGAATGTGTGATATGCGCCAATTGCTGTAATCTGTTCAAATCGTGATGTACATGATATCTCATCAGGAGAAACCTCAGCTTCCCGCTTCATTTCCCGCGACGCCCGTGGCTCTTCCGTGAACCAAATGTAAAGATCGAGAAACCAACTCCAGACTCCACAAGAGTAAATTAAATGCGCAACGGCTCGGCAACGAGCCAGAAACCCGAAAAAGGCTCAATCTCTTCCATAGCTGATCTTCAAACGCTTAACAGGAGGCTTGTCATCGTCTAAAACCAGTCAGCATTTTGTTCAATGGCTAGAGCGTATGCGGGAAGGGGTATCCGTACCGTTTTTCGTTGACAAATTTCCACCTGGTGTGGATGCCGGTGTTGCTGCGTGCGAGGGCGTAGTTTGAGCAGAAGAGGGTCCAGGAGAGTCCTGAATTGTCATCAATATCATTCTCCATCATCCATCATATGAGCGGTCTTAGGTTTCCTTCATACATACCATCATGAAACTTGCCGAGCTCCGCGAGAAAACCCGGTCTGATTCTGTGACTGCAGCCTTTCGCCTTGATCCAGCAGCGCCTCCACCAAGTCCTAGCCCCGAAGCACCAAGACTGGACCCGCTCGATGAGCCTTTGATGTAGTTGTCGAAGCCCTTGATGATGTTGCCGGCGGTGGTTTCTTCGAGGTAGGATTGTTCGAAGCGGAAAATTTGATCTTCGAGTTGAGCCTGGGGATATGGTTAGCTACAATTCGAGAGTATTGGAGGTCGATGAAGGGTCTTCTGGTGTTCGCGCGTAGAACGAAAACTAGCAACGAACCCAGTAACGCGACTCACCATGCTCTTGTCCATTAAGCGCTTTTTCTGTAGTGTGTCTCTGAGTTCTCGGCGCAATTTCTCATAGTATGGGAGCCCGCGACTGGTAGCATTCTGGTCTGCGGGCGCATTCGGGGCCCCTGCTCCTGCTGCTGTGCCGGGTGTGGGTGCCGCTGCTCCATTTGTTGGTGGCGCTGGTTGAGCAGGCGCGGTTTCGGCCATTGTGGAGGTATTCGAGGTTGATGGTATGAGGAATCACGGTTTTATGGTCGGTCGCATATACAAACCGGACGAATGAGGAGCGAGAGGTGTGGAAGCTGTAGAATCAACGACCGCGTTTGGAGATCAAGAGTTCCGGCAGATCTTATCTAAGTTTGCAGTGTTTGCATTCCCCTCTTTGTCGTCATCTGTTTGTTGTCTTTCGTATCACCTCGCCCTTTACAGCCTGCGAGATTATTTGGGTGACTATCGAAGCTTCAGTGTGTCGTCGCCTTGCGTTATTTAATATTTGACTCGTCCCTGCTATCTAACATGGATCACTCGATGCATATGGCCATGGGCCACGGTGATATGGGCCATGGTGGTATGGACCACGGCGACATGGACATGGGAGGGAAGTGCAGTATGAATGTGAGATATTATATGTCCCCAGACCTGCTGTAGCTTGGCAATCACTAATCATAATACGCTGCACTATAGATGCTTTTCAACTGGTCCTCAGAAAACCTATGCATTATCTTTCGCAGCTGGCGTATAACCGGCCCTGTTTCCTTCTTCTTTTCCCTCGTGGCTATTGTGATTCTTACTGCAGGCTACGAGGGAATTCGGTCAATTACCCGGAAGTACGAAGCTGCCCACGCACAGCGCTTAAGTACATTCGTGGGCACTGTCAATACAGGTGGTAAGTGATCCTTGTTTCGTGGCTTGGGTACGCATCAAGGATGCCGCATTCCCTGTCTCTTCTGGGGTGCTCAGCTTGATGCGGAGAACATGGTGGGAAGGTGTTTTAATCTGGTCGAGCAAGCTTCTCATTGATGCCTCGGCTCTCTGCAGACAATGAGATCGCCGACCCTATCATTGCGAGCGGCCTGGCCAACGCCATCCATCACACTCACGACGAAGGCTCACCACTGCTTGTAGGAAGGGACAACAAAGCGGCACTGGCTCGCAAAGGCAAGGTCACTATGGCGGCTCTATATGCCATCCAGGTCTTCTATAGTTTCTTCATCATGTGCGTATTGGTTGACAATCCTGTATGCGTGCTTGGCTTGCTCACTTGCTATTGATAGGCTTCTTTTCATGACATACAACGGCCCTGTCATGATTGCGGTTGCAGTGGGTGCATTTTTCGGATACCTTGCTTTCTCCGAGGGAACTCCGGCAAGCAAGACGATCGCCTGCCACTGAGGGATATGTTGATGGACGTTGACGAATCTGCAGAGATGCAGGTCAGAAGGGCAAGGAATTGCATCTCATATTCGGGCCTCCTTTAGCTTTGTAATCGTCGTTATTTAGTCGTTGGTATTGAATGTCTTGGGGACAAAGCACAAATCCAACTGGCAATTTCGGTAGCGTGATCATAGTCCAGTTTGCAAAATAGCTCATGGGACTTCAATATCACTCCCGTCGTCTCCGAATCCAAAACTGAACCCACCTGCCGTTTCTTGTCCATCCGGCGTGTCCTCTGTCTTGCCATGAACGATATCCTCCCATTTGCGCTTCTTGCTATCATTCTTTTGCTGTAGCTCCTGCCAGGCCTGTTCCAAGAGCTCGGGATAAGACTCGCGCATGCCGGTCACAAATCGATCAAGTGGATTGACCACATTTTTTTTGAACCCAGATACTTGATCTGGCTTATTGGACAGGAAATCCAAGGCAGCACCTAAATGACCCCGAGGAATGAAGTTCTGCGTGATAGCGATCGACGGCTCAAGATTGACCACCAAATGCCACCACCCAGAGGGAACGTGTAGAATCTCACCCTCGCCACAGATACCTTCAACGCAGCCCGGAGTCCTCCGTGCCTCGGCGTGGAATCCTAGTAGCCATTCGGCGATGCTCAGTGGTGAAGTCACTTCGCTCTGATCATCCGACACAAACACACCCGGGGGAGGGGCCTGTTTTGTGCCAGAGGGAAACATGATCCAATACTTCGGCCCACGTAGCACAGCATTCCAGGCGCTGGTGGCATTTGGGTCTTTATGAAATTTGCTGCCAGACCTCTCGGGTCCTATGATCAACCATTGGTGATCGGGGCGGTCATCTCCGAGCACGGAGAAGAAATCTTCGGCGAAGCAAGATGGTGGCCAGTAAGATGCATCTGGTGTAGTCTCGGGAGATCCGACTGAAAGCCCCATTTTGGAAACGAAGGAACGGTCGAATAGGTAGAGCGGGCTCTCATCGGAGTTGTCCGCCATGTAGTCGCCATAAGTGCGCATTGCCCAATCCACGGCTTCTGCACGGAACTTGGTCGGACCATACTTTGCAAGCAATGAACCGACTGACCAGTTCTTGTATGCTGGCCAGGCTTTAACGGGTTCAGTCAAGATAAAAGGCTTGTCGGTCCATTTGGCTTGAAACTCCTCGGGTGATAGGTCTGGAAGTCGAGGTATCTGGTTCCGTGCAGGAATTTTGAAAACATAAGGGCTCAATGAGATATGTGCGCAGTTGAATGGTCGGTATAGAGAATCAGAGAACAGCTGAGAGCAATCCACTACCGGGGTTTTGGAGGCAGGGATGTTCAGATATGTCGAACGCCAGGTTCCACGCCAGGTAAAATCATCTCTTGGGTTCCTGCATTGGAGCTTAGTACGAGTCCTCTTGAATTCATGGAAATGTCATTTCATTATGTATTCTGACCCCTTCGGGCCATTGGAACTATATGTTGTGATCTGGGCCGTGGCTTACCGAACAAACAGCGCCTTCCACAATTCTTCAGCGCGAGTGAATGCATAAAAAGCCTTGCACGTTCGCCCAAAGCTGAGCAGACTAGGCCCGTCGAGAGATTCCAGCAACACTAGAATCAGCTCATCTGGTAGATGTTGAAAGGTTCCAGTAGCATTGCGAAGGCTCCAGGTGGCCAACAAAGCGTTCCCGCTTGGCTTGACACCTAGGGGATGAGATGGAATTGCCTCTTTTGTTGGGTCTGCATCCTGGGGATGAATGGGCAAAGATGTGATGTCAGGCATGATCTGGGCCTTAGGGCTTCAAAAAGGATTTTAGTGGGCTGATTAGGCTAGTCGGGGCGGGTGGTTCACCAAGTCAATGGGAACCGAGGAAACTGAAGTGAGCGAACAGATGAAATGACAGCGAGCAGTATAATGCCGTGACTGTCTTCACTCCTGGACTCCTGTAAAAACAAGAAAGAAAGGATAGTCCCGTCGTCGACTGTTCAACTGTAAACTCGCTTGGGCCGCAAGACCAAAGGGGGAGGCGGTGAGGCAGCTGACCCGTAAAAAAAAAACCCGCCGCAGCAAATGGCGCCGCAGTGTGGCATTCGATTTTTTTCCCTTTCCTCCTCTTCTTCTTCCCACCCCATTTGTGAATTTTCACATCCATATCTGCCACCTTCCCTAGTATCCAGAAAAAGACTCTTTACAAAGAGTCTTGTGGTGCTAGTCAACTCTTCCATTCAGCGAACTCCACACAGTTCGCTAATCCTCCTAACCCCACCTCGATCACACGCCTGTGTGATCTCTCTTTCAAACCGCCAACATGGCTGACAAGGGTCTCGAGGAGGTCCCCGAGGGTATGTACTGGATCTTTCCTATTTTTGATCATGTTTGCTGTGAATATACTCGCCCAGCGACACTGCGACCGTGATCTCTGTTCTGGTCGCAGTGGCGTTGCCGCACACCACACCATATTGAGAAACATCTGAGGCTAACATTTTTTTTTCTCACTCAATAGGACAGATCGAGTCCAACTACGATGAGGTCACCGACTCTTTCGACTCCATGGACCTGAAGCCCGAGCTGCTTCGCGGTATGTGACCCTTTCGCCTTATCAGGCGGGGTTCGTGGGAGAGAAAAAAAAATACTGACAGCGATATCAGGTGTCTACGCTTACGGTTTCGAGCGTCCCTCCGCTATCCAGCAGCGTGCCATCATGCCCATCATCAAGGGTGAGTTTCGCTATCTGATCTCTTTTTTTTTTTTTTTTGGAAGACAGTTCGTCTAACCTCCTAGCCAGGTAACGATGTCATCGCTCAGGCCCAGTCCGGTACCGGTAAGACCGCTACCTTCTCCATCTCTGCTCTGCAGAAGATCGACCCCGAGGTCAAGGCCTGCCAGGCTCTTATCCTCGCTCCCACCCGTGAGCTGGCTCAGCAGATCCAGAAGGTCGTTGTCGCCATTGGTGACTTCATGTCCCTCGACTGCCACGCCTGTATCGGTGGTACCAACGTCCGTGAGGACATGAACGCCCTCCGTGCCGGTCCCCAGGTCGTTGTCGGTACCCCCGGCCGTGTCCACGACATGATCCAGCGCCGTGTTCTCTCCACCACCGCCATGAAGCTCTTCATTCTCGACGAGGCCGATGAGATGCTGTCCCGCGGTTTCACCGAGCAGATCTACGACATCTTCCAGCTCCTCCCCCAGTCTACCCAGGTCACCCTGCTCTCCGCTACCATGCCCCAGGATGTCCTCGAGGTCACCACCAAGTTCATGCGTGACCCCGTCCGTATCCTTGTCAAGAAGCAGGAACTTACCCTTGAGGGTATCAAGCAGTTCTACATCGCTGTTGAGAAGGAGGAGTGGAAGCTCGACACCCTCTCCGATCTCTACGAGACCGTCACCATCACCCAGGCCGTTATCTTCTGCAACACCCGCAGAAAGGTCGACTGGCTCACCGACAAGCTCACTGCCCGTGACTTCACCGTCTCCGCCATGCACGGTGACATGGAGCAGGGCCAGCGTGATGTTATCATGAAGGAGTTCCGTTCCGGTTCTTCCCGTGTCCTGATCGCCACCGATCTGCTTGCCCGTGGTATCGATGTCCAGCAGGTCTCCCTGGTTATCAACTACGATCTCCCCGCCAACCGCGAGAACTACATTCACCGTATCGGTCGTGGTGGTCGTTTCGGTCGTAAGGGTGTTGCCATCAACTTCGTCACCGCTGACGATGTCCGCATGCTCCGTGAGATCGAGCAGTTCTACTCTACCCAGGTCGAGGAGATGCCCATGAACGTTGCTGACCTCATTTAAATTCCCTAACCTTTTTGACGTCTTGATGCGGTTACGATGGCAGAATCTGCAATAAAAAGTGGCTTTCTGCGTTTCCGCCTGCAGCAGTCCGCGAGCTTAGGGCTGGGGCTGTGCTCTGCACATTGAGTTGGCCGGTCGTTGATTCGACTAGCCGACGCCCTGGACCGGGTTCACCGGCGTGCTGCTATGGTTTCTATGTCTTGCAATAACGGAGAAGAAATATGTTTGCGTTATCTCTTGCTCCGCCGTTTTTTCTTATTTCTTCATGCATTTTCCTCCCGTTTACTCGAATGTCTGTATCTAGCTCGCGGTTCTTGGTTAGGGATGCTGCTCTTATCTCGTACTTAATCAATAGACCGGGCCAAAATGTGACTTGTTTCTGAGGGCGTTGTCCTTGGATTATATTAGATCAAGTGCCTTAAATCGATCCTGTAAATCTGATAGTCGGTGATGGTCTGACGGCACCATCCTTTTTTATAAGTGTGCCTCTGAACGACTTTCGCCCCTGAGCACACACCCAGGTGGTACACCAACTTCCGGAGTCTGCCGTCCACCTTGGACAACTGAGCTCACTACTACCTAGGTCTTCCCTCAAGTTCCAAGGTTCCAGGTGTTTCAAGGATGGTAGAGGATGACATGATGAGAAGTCCATTGATTCGGATGGTCTTCCGAGCCTCGGGCGAACGAGCCGATATTCCAACGGCATAGTAAAGGCATATGTATTGTGCCTAAAGAGATAGTCCAATAAGCATCGCCTCACCTGGGCACAAGACGAGATGAATTGCTTGTTTGTGCCAATGAAACATAATCATTTAGTCAGTCCGATCTTCCTAGGTGTCATCGCGCTACGTAGTCCGGAGTACCGGGCATTGCATGTCTATAGAAATTTCAAGATCTAGTAGTAGGTACGCACGCATTTATATACTTTGCTAATGCCATTTCCTCATTACTTTCACGACTAGATAAAGTACCAAGAGAGCGGTGACTAGGGGTAAATATACAAGCGGTCGGCGCAGACATCCGCGCTGGCAGTTCTCCGCATTGCGATCGGAGAACACCCGACGCTCCGATTAGCCCCAACTGTGACTCTTCCCTTCTCAATCCCCTCAATTGCTATTCACATTCTATCGCACAGCTTCACAATGGCTTCCATCCGCGCCAACTGCCGCAAGGTCATGTGTATCGGCCGCAACTATGCGTAAGTCATGGATTGTGCTCCGCGATCGAAGTTCCGACTGCGGCGCGTGGTGTTCCCCTCTGCAATTCGGCGACAATTACTGACTGTGTGCGTACAGCGATCACATAACCGAGTTAAACAACACAGCTCCCAAGCAGCCCTTCTTCTTCCTCAAGCCTCCTTCCTCCATCCTTACCCCCGGCTCTGGACCTGTCCTGCGCCCCAAGGGCGTTAGCCTGCACTATGAGGTTGAATTGGGTCTGGTGATTGGCAAGACCCTGCGCGACCTCGACCCCAATGATGAGAAGGGTGCGCTGGAAGCTATTCAGAGTAAGTGATCCAAGCCCCAGGTCCAGAGGCCAAGAGCCTGGGAAGTCGAGAGAGCAAGTCGCTAACCATCACCCCACCACGATCAATAGGCTACATCCTCGCCATTGATATGACAGCCCGCAACGTGCAAGACGAGGCCAAGAACAAGGGTCTCCCCTGGTCCATCGCTAAGGGCTTCGATACTTTCCTCCCCATCTCCCAGGAGATCGCCAAGTCCCGCATCCCCAACCCGCACGATGCATTCCTGCGCCTGAGTGTTGGCCAGACCGAGCGCCAGGCTGACTCGACTAGCCTCATGCTCCACCGGATCCCCCAGCAGCTGGCTCAGATCTCTCGCGTCATGACTCTGGAGAAGGGTGATCTTGTCCTTACTGGTACACCCAAGGGAGTTGGCCAGGTGAAGGCTGGTGATGTTCTGCGGGCTTCCATTGAGGTTGACGGAAAGGAGATTGAGGAAGGCAGAATCGAGGTTGAGGTGCAGGACCGCGAGGGTCGTTATGAGTTCAAGGAGACCTAGATTGACTCATCGGGTTTTAATATGCGTAAATAAGTGCTGTTAGACGAGTTTAGATTTGTATATGTTCTATACGATTCCGGTAATTCCAAATTTGGATGAACTACCCACAGGACAAGTGACTATGTAGTGTTGGCCTTTTCCCATGTGTACAGCAGCAGTGTCTGGAACCATCTGAGGACCATGAGACTTGGAATAACAGTCTAACAGACATATATCATGAACTGGTTATAAATCTCATGCTATTTACCAATCATACAAGCGGCGGGGATTCAGCACCATCAGAGAGTGCCATTCCTCATCGGACAACCACGCCCGCAAACTCTTCAACCAAGCCAGATCATCCACCTCGAGATATGGCGTATCTTTGAGGGCTTCTTCCCTTGTTCGCACCTTCATCAGAGGTGTATGAGGCCTAGAATTACCGAAGTCAACTTTCTTGTCCAACACTTTGGTTCAACAAATATGACCGCATAAGACCTACCAATCACTTCCCCAGAGAACTTGTCGTGGGTTGGCATCGAAGAAAGCCCGAACAAGGGGCTTCAAATCCGCAAAGTCTGGGGCCTGCTTGCTCACCCGATACGGCGCGCTGATCTTGACAAATAGATGACCATCTCGAATAAGCTCAATCAAAGCCTGGAATCCCTCCTGCTTGGTGATATCTCCCTGACACTCAGCGGGTAGCATACTTGCTCCCTTCAGCAAAGCGAAGTGATCAGTAACGAGCCGAACACCTTTGGAAACAATGTCATTCACGATAACAGGCTTGAGTTCAGGCCAGAATTCCGGGTGAACATGTGTGAAAGCCATGCTCCACCCTGCGCGGCTTTCCAGTGCATTTGCATGGGCTCGTAGAGCAACCTTTTGCAGCTCCAGATCGTGCATCGCTTTGTAGTGATAGAGATTGACTCGGATACCACGAACGCCTGCGTTGTGCATCTCTGTAAGCTGGGATGGAGTGACACTCTCTGGATCAATGACGCCGATTGCCCTAGTGATTTCTGAACCCAAGTCTGTTGTGAAGGTAGTCAGGCAGCTGCAGTCGGAGCCATAGGAAAGGCCATGGGTTAGGACAGAATTGGTAATTCCAATCTGGCGTTTGAAGTCATTGTAGCGTTTTATTGTCGCTGGTGGTGGGGTTAGATGCCGGTCTGGAGAATATGGGAAACGCTCAGCTAGAAGTCTCGGTGGCAGGTTAGTGGTGTTCTATCTCGACCTTGTCCATTGGACCTGTGTAGTTCATGGCTTACGTTCAAATATATGATGATGAACATCCCATCCGCCATTGGGAAATAACTGCAACAGTGAGGTGCTACTTTCTGTGATCATTGCGAACAATTCACCGGAGGAAGAGAAAAGAGAAAAGAGAAAATAAAAGAAAAGGTAGCTTTTATCAAATAAAGCAAGTAGGTGTAACCTGGCGATTTGATGGAGCGCTGCCAGTTGGGGCTCGAGGAGTCTAAAATAAACAGTCTTGGTTTATTGAAAAATACTAAATGTGACTAAGTCCAGTCGAAAGACGTCGGTCTTGAGAAGTGTCAAGTTCAACAATCTGTGAACTGACCATGCCGGGTTGATGTTCAGGGCTCCACGCTGGAGCGCTCCGAAGTGTGGGGGCGCGCAAAGAAAGAGGCGAAGGGGTTGCTCCGACGTGGAGACAACCAACCCGGAAACTGCTTTGAATTTCGAAAACCCGCGATTCGTCGAGATCGGCGAGTGTGAGACTTGCAATGATTCGTGTACATTTGTTCAAACCTAGAGAGTCGCCATTCTCGCTTGCCTCCGGCTCTCCGTATATCGCAGCTCGCACCCCGGACCGGAGGTTGGTTGCGGCTTCGGAAAATCACCGGGCTATGTAGAATCAATATGGTCATTGATACGGAGTACTTGTATCAAAGAAATACAATTGATGTAGTGAACATAGCCTTCTTCACAACTTATACTGTACAACCTCTTCACACCATGACTGCAAAAAAGCAAGTATCACCATGGCAGTCGATACTTGCAGGAGCCGCAGGAGGCGGATGTGAGAGCATGATCACGGTATGATGGCACTAAATACCCCGATCCGCTCGATTGAGAGCCCAGAGGACTGATACAAGTCGTTTGCCACTAGTATCCAACCGAATATCTCAAAACTCGCCAACAACTTTTCAAAGGCAGCGCCCAAAGGCCCTCTGCAATCAAGCTTCTGACGTCGACCATCACCGAGCATGGCATTCGAGTCTTATACACTGGAAGCGGTGCCTATTGCATCTCAAATGCATCCAAATCCGCTATCCGCTTCTTCACTTTCGACAGCGCCCGCAAACTCATGCCCGTGGACACATCTGGGAAGACGACACCACTGGGCAATATGTGCGCAGGTCTGATGGCCGGGGTAGCCGAAGCAGTGGCAGTCGTTACACCAGGCGAGACGATCAAAACCAAAATGATTGATGATCGAGCAGGACCAAGATTGTACAAGTCCACGGCCCATGGTATCGTTTCAATCTTAAAGCAAGACGGGTTGGCGGGTATATACCGCGGAGTGATTCCTGTGACTCTAAAGCAGTCTGCCAATGCGATGGTGAGGTTTACGAGCTACAATATGCTTTTGAATCAGATGGAGAAGGTGACATCGCAAAAGTCGGTAAATACTGTTGTTGCTGGCGCAATGGCAGGCGTCGTGACTGTTTATTCAACGATGCCCTTTGATTCCATCAAGACAAGGCTACAAGCTGTTGATGGACATCAGCGGTATAGAGGCTCGTTGGATTGTGTGAGGTCTATCATTTCTCAGGAGGGTGCTACTGCCTTATGGCGAGGTACAACCCCTCGACTGGTCCGGCTAAGTGTTTGTAACCCTTTGACCTAGTGAAACCAAGATGCACGGCTAATATAACAATTGCAGGTATCTGGGGCTCTCAGCTTCACAATCTATGAGTCAGTGATCGAGTGGACTAGCTCCAGAGATTGAAGGCGAAGAAAGGCTTAGCTGTTAATATCTATGACTGCAACAGGTAATAAACGATAGAATATCTAAAGACATTTTCAAGGTTCCAGTGCAGCTATTTAAGTGATAGGGGTCAGGGGCTTGCTTTATAATAGCCTGAAAAGCTCTGTCAGCTGTAAGTAGATCATCAAGAACTTGTAAAAATATGCATTTTATTAATTAGAACCGCATGATGGACTGTCCCTTTCCTTTCTTGTCTTTCCCTCCTTTTCCACCAAATCGATAAAATATCTCGCCAGGCTATGTCGTGTTCGAGATTCTTTTGACTCATTGCCGCAAGCCCTCACTGGCCTGGATGTAGCGTTCTCGAAACGCACCCCGGAGTAAAGGATCCTTTCCAGGCCGGGGATAGTAGGGATCATGGCGCCAAAATGCATTGACAGCTTGCGCCACTCCATCTTCGCTCATTTCCATACTCCTGCAACAATCAAAGTCTAGCACCCATATTGAATGCTCTCCAAAGACAGTGGTGTTCATTTTGAAGCCATTCTCGCTCGAAGGCGCAAGAACAAACTCGATGTCCCTTCCATCAATTTCGCCGACCCAGTGCATCGTCGCGAGAGTTTCGGCCATCACCTCTGCGTACTGATTTATTTCTCTGGGGGTAATTCCGAGTAACTCCATTTGATCCAGATGAAGTGGGAAATTCCGCAGAGAAAATGCGGTGAAACGCGATGTACTATTATCCCTTTGTGTGCGTCTTCGGCCGAGGTATGGCCTGATGAGGCAGTCCTTGTCAGGCTCGCTGTTGAGTATTTGTGATTTTATTTTTTGGGGGCAGTAGCTGCCAATGAGCAGTCGTCTGGTGGTTTCAGGAAAGGGCGGGATGCGTTGAGAGAGAATGACATTGCATGGCGTATACCCTGGTGGGAATCTTCGCTGGTTCTCTGACCACCATGTGTGATCGCTTGACTTGATGAAATCATAGCAGGCTGGGATTTGGATTCGAGGGCGTAATAGGATTGGTTCTTGAAAGCTTTGAAGCACTCGTTGGTGCATCTCAAAGTCATTTCTCAAAGATCGGGCAGGCCCACCATCTTCCCTCTTGAGTGCGGGCCCTCTTGGTGCAGCCCAGACTGTGCCGCAAAAGCCTTGCCCAATCTTACGTAGTGTGAAGATCTCCTCTTCTTTGGTGTGTTCTTTGGTGTCTTTCATAATGGTGTTCATAGATTCTCTGTGTCTTTATGGTTTGAGAGGAAAAGGGCCCGACGAACAATTTGGAGAGACAGCATAATCATGACATTAGTAATCTACTGCACCGACACCTAAAACAGATTCATGAGCAAGCCAGTTATGTGTCTAGGATAGCTCAAGGTCGGAGGTTCTACCTTCCAAAGTCGGAAGGTTCCCGAGTTCTTTCCTTCCTCTTGCCTAGGTAGCTCAACATTAGTGCCATGGTTGATACTTGACTTGAAGTCTACTTAGCCTTGGAAGACCTCGAGATCTCAGGGCTTCTTTATGAAATGCAATCTTCGATTGAATTTATGTTGCTGTAAAATTTCAGGTCCTCTTCCAGTGGAGATAGAATCTTCTCTTCCACCTCATCTCAGAACCTTCCATCTGTCAGTGATGTATATACCGCGTCCAGCCCAAATATACACCGCAAGACACTATTTTTGTAGTTTGGACCAGAGTCCATCTCGTTGGCCAAACGTCGCGCTGCCCAAGGGTCGGAGAATTCCAAAGGCTAAGCGAATGATTAGACATGTTGGTTACGGAAGGTGGTTATGGGTGATACATACCATCTTTCTTTCTTCTTCATTTTTTCCAAGGTCTGGTCTTCAAATAATGCCCGGTACCAAAGTTCCAAGAGAACGATTCCAAGGGAAAATAGGCACGGAATCGATACATTAAAGTGAAGTTTTGAGACACTCTCAGACTTAGAGGCCAAGTTCATATTCCTAGTCCCAAAGTTGGGTCGGATGAAGGGGCTGTCGAAGTCTATCTTCCCATCCAATGAACGTAAAAACAATATATCATGCTTGTTCCAGTGATCAGTCAACCATTCCGTGGTGTGCAGCTGCATCACCGAGGATGTCAACTTTAGTCCCAATCGAGATCTTTGCTCTTGACGGAAAGCTTGATCATGGAGATAACTACCGCAAGCGCAGCCCCGGCGTAACCAAGAAGGGCACAAATTACAGCCCCGACGCAAGTGGAAAGTGTTCGACTTGCTCAGTTACCTTTAGCAATGCCCGGGACTTCTATGAGCACTTGGAAGAATGTATTCTCCGCCTAGTTCAACAGGTAGATCCCTCGGAGTGAATTGGGCATACAAACAACATGTAATTCACCGGACATCAAAGAGGAGGCCGATAGTTATCTGATATACCAATCGACCCCGAAAAAGGATCCCAGCCCCAGTCATCGTGTAGATAGTCTGCCATGAACGTCTCTATTGCAGCTTCAATCGAAGGCACATCTGAGTCAAAGGCATTGATTGAGTCAAATGCCGCTGGGGAGAATTCCATATCATCAAAGGCGGTCTGCGACCCATCCAAGGGCTGAATAGGATGCTCTGTCCCTGGTTCAATTCGAAGTGCCTCGGGATCAGGGGTACGATCCTGACCTATATTGGAGTGTCCGTTTCTTCTTCTCCGCGTGGCTGGAGGTAGACTTGGTGGTGGAGCTGACTCTTGTGTGTGACTCAGGAACTTTATCATCAAGTCTATCATCTTTTCAAAGCTTTCTTTTCCTGCTCGTACAGATGGCCACCATTGACTGCCAATACTGAGGTGATTTGAACAGGTTCGGAGGTCGCGGAGAATTTTCTCAAAGGGAATCGTGTTCTGAAGTTGACGGGACGCCCAGATGCAATACACAATCGTGGCACCCGATGAGAATATCCCATGAATATTACGCCAGTTGTACAGCAGCAACTCTTGGTTACTGAGCGTATCGTACACCTGCAAACGTCGGCTGCAGCTATGATAGCACAGTAATAAGGCGTCCTGGTTTGGCGAAGGAAACATTTGAGAGGGCTGAAAGAGAAGAGCCACTGTATTGTGGTAAAGCTGCTCCAGGCGCAATTTTTCACAATGAAGCATCAGCTTCTCTTCTTCTTCCATGTCGCAGGAAGCAGAAATATTCGAAACATCGGCCAACCAACTGTCAAGATCTGACTTTATTTGGTATTGAATTTCCGGAATGTTTGTTGGCCAAACGAAAGTCCGAGTCTCCGTCGGGAGATTGGGGAGGTGATATAAAAGCAATTTGATTTCCGAGACATGTCGGTCCAGCTTGAATCGGCAAATTGAGAGAATGAGGTGCTGAGGGGGAGCTAGGCGAATTGAGAGCTCATTGTTCGGTATGGTGATCATGTCAAGCAAGTGTGACTCGTCCGGTGGCCGAATGTCAAAGGTTTCGTCACGTATTCCCAAGGGACGGCCCTGAATCGTTGCTATGGATCTGTTCGACATTAGGATTTGTTCCATATTCACTCCACTTTTCGTACCTGTCAAGAGAGTAGACTGTATAGAATATGAATCTCCGAATTGTGGCTTCGACCGCAGGGCTCTCTGCAGAAGGTCCGCCTGGCTCTCGTTGAAGGCCCATATCGATACAGTGTGCCATTGCTACATGGGACAATGTCCACACATCAACACCGGCAGGCTCAATCAAACTTTGCACCACAAGCAGAAGCAGAGCTTGAAGTGAGTGTACAGAGATGTGAGAAAAAGATTCCGACGACGTGGACATTGCCATGCGATAGAATTTGGAAGGCGAATGGTCGTAGTTTTTCTTTCGGGTCAACACTGTGGCTGCAAGCGAAAATGCCATAAAGACATGAAAGACGGCTGTTGAGATGGAGATAGGCGAAATGGGCTCCCCAAAAGCGACATCGATCTTGCCGTTGTATGAAAATGGAGAAACAGAATTGATCCATCCATTCAGATTGGCAGTCTCATCATAACCATGTTCAGAGCAAGTGTATAAAGCTTTGTAGGCGTTGACTAAAGAAGCTGGGTGTAAAAATGGCTGATCGGTATGAATGTGCTGGAAATATACGCCCAGCAGAATGCTGGCTTCTTCAGGCGAGGGGATTTCCTGCTGACAGATTAGACCGACCAAAGAAGACAAAGTCAAGACAGTAGCTTGAGATATGTTCTTACCTTGCTTAAACTTTTATAAATTGACTTCAACTTTTCAGTCGGTATTCTCGGTGGTAATCTGCGTGGCTTCACAATGCCATTAAGTGCTACTGTTTCTGCGGGGGGATTGCATCTCGCTGTCTAGCCCGACAAGTTTTGTGAATAAAAGTCCAGAGGATGATCCCAGATAATGCTGTTGACGCGAATCGGATTGCAATGAGAGCATACCCAAATCGATCGCAACCGAGCGGGCCTTAACCGAAAGAGGCGAGCCAACATCAGACTCTTCCATTGCGGAATGAGACCGCTTATTGGCCAATTCATCTTCGCGTGATGTCGATTCAGCCGTTGTGGACAATTCTTGAGAGGAGGATGTTGGTTCAATGGATTCCAGGTTAACTTGTGGTCCTTGCGACAGGTCAAAGTCGGGCTGCAGTGAGCGAAGAGTGTGCTCCAGCCATCGAATCCGCGCTCCGCATTTTATAGCAAAGTCTCGTGGTATGGACAAATGGTTGTTTCCGCCGTGAACATCAACGCATGGAACTTTTACCCGGGCGCAGTTCCCACAGGCAGGGATGCTGCCGTCGCATTTAATGCGCTTCTGACGGCATCTTCGACAGGCGGACCGTACCTTTCTGGGGGGTGGATGTGCCTCTTCCGCCATCCTGAGCAAGGTCAGGCGAAGAGAACTCTCCAGAGAATTCAGTCGAGTAAAGGCAATTATTCGAATGACATGAGGGCAAGCGCAATCGGAAGTTGGCTGTGGGGAAAATCGAAGGCTTGGCCTGTCCGGGGTACAGCAACCGCTGTCGTTGCCCCCCGGAGGCCGGAGCCCTATCGCCCCGGGGCTGGATGACTAAAGGCAGCGCTGACCCGTGGAACCTTTAAAGGCTGGGAGCTCAAACATGTCGGCATCAGTCCGTTCTGTGACTACGGTTCATATTGTGAATTATCCCGGCTGGCCTGCCCAAATTTACCAGGGAATCGGTAGTTGCATCTTTTTATAGCTATTAGAATTCATGTTCACTTAGCTGTCCCGGTGATTGGGTACTATCTTCCCATTCTTATGTTACAAGCTCATTTCCGTAGTTTCTTAATAGTCGGTCCCATCTCCTCGCCAGCCTCAAGGCACTCCAACGTCTTCTGGTCGATCTCATATCGTTCCTGACAAAGACGCACGCACTCTTCAATGTGGCTGACAGGAATAGAAACCACACCGTCCTGATCACCAAGGATGTAATCACCAGGGGTAACGGTGACCTTCTCGTCAACCTCGACATTCTCATACTGAACAGGCACGTTCAGCTCCGACGAGCGAGTGAAGGTGTTGGACCCCAGGATACTGATTCCACGAGCGAAAAGACCCATGTTCAATTCCTGGTGCTCAGAAATATCACGGAATCGACCATCGATGACGACGCCGGCCGCTCCCAGCTTCTTCGCACGGGTGCTCATCAGGCCACCCCAGCATGCGCTGATAAGTCCCTTGGGCTGCGAGACAAAAACCACACTGCCCTTGGGAATGGCATCGGCGAAGTGGCAAGGCGGTGTGGGCGATGTTTTGTGGGCGGAAGGCACCATGCGAACGGTGTACGCAGGCCCAAAGATCTTGGCTACTGTCCCGTTCGACCCCGGGCTGTACATTTTGAGACCGGACAGATATCCTCCATGACGGAGTCCTAGGTTGACGAGCGCATCCCCGATCTAGATTTTGGCGATTGTCAGTTTGTGTTATGACGCGGAGACGCGAGGGAGAAACTGACGTCGCAAGACGCGAACTTGCCCAACGCCTGGATGGCTTTTGCACTTGCGACCATGTTGAATGAGGAAAGGAAGATACGAATCTCGCTTGAACCCTCGGAGCTATATCAAAACCCAAACTTCGGTCCGTAAATGGCAGCGTTCAAAGTGCCGATGTCGACGGAGTTAAGAGGCGCGGAGTAGCCCGGACCCACCCGGAGCGCTCCAGGAGGCCGCATTCTGGAGCAACTGGCGATTTTGGCAAATGGACTCGCAGGTGAAATGGATTCGGTAAGCAGATATTGCTTGGAGATGTCTTGGTTATCTAGCTCTCTTTATCCTCAGAGTTCTTTTTGCCGTGTTCATGCAAAATGATGCGAAACTCCTTCTCCCGGGTCGCGCAAGCGCCTGGAGCACGAATCTCGAATGCGACGCGGCGATACAATCATAACCAGCCGATTCTTGGAGTCAACTACACCAAGCAGATTGAAACGCTCAGTCTGTTGAAGCGCCAATCCCAAAGACCATTGACGTTGACCGAGAAGCTCCTCTACAGTCACCTCATCACCGGTGACAAGGAATGGGATCTGGAGACTATCGAGCGCGGCAAGACAATTTTGGAGCTGAGGCCCGACCGGATTGCCTGTCATGATGCGACTGCAACAATGGCTCTCCTGCAATTTATTAGCGCAGGCCTCCCTCGGGTGATGGCGCCCACAACAGTACACAGTGATCATTTAATCATTTCAGAGAAAGGTGCCTCCGAAGACTTGTACCGTGCAGCCTCTGAGCATGCAGAGGTATATGACTTCCTGAGCAGCGCTTCAAGGAAGTACGGTATTGGTTTCTGGAAGCCTGGATCCGGGATCATTCACACTGTGATCTTCGAGAACTATGGAGTGTAAGTTTACCTTTGCTAAACCGAGCCACTCCAATTTGTTGACTTTTCTATAGCCCCGGCGGACTGATTATTGGAACTGACTCGCATACGCCGAACGCAGGTGGCCTGGGGATGTTTGGAATTGGAGTTGGCGGCTCAGACGCCGTGGACGCAATGTCAGGGATGCCGTGGGAACTGGTCGCCCCGAAGGTGATTGGTGTCCATCTCACTGGCCAGCTCAGTGGATGGACATCAACCAAGGATATCATTTGCAAGTTGGCTGGTATATTATCAGTCTCTGGCGGGAAAGGTTCAGTGATTGAGTTCTTCGGCCCAGGGACTGAGACTTTGGGAGCGACTGCCATGGCTACTATCTGCAATATGTCCGCAGAGATTGGCTCAACATCGTGTATCTTCCCGTACTCTGAAGCTATGGGTCGCTACCTTGGTGCCACAAACCGTGATTATGTATCCAAGGCCGCTCTTGGGGTCAAGGAGACCCTCTTGACAGCCGACGAGGGCTCAGACAACTACTATAACCAGGTTATTGAGATTAACCTCGACACACTCGAGCCACACATCAACGGGCCTTTCACGCCAGACCTGGCTCATTCTATCTCCGAGCTGAAGGGCGTCGTTACCGAAAAAGACTGGCCAACAAATTTGAGCCATGCCATGGTGGGAAGCTGTACCAACAGCTCCTACGAGGATCTTGATAAGACTCGACAGCTAGTCGCTCAGGCAAAACGAGCTGGGGTTGGAAAATTCAAGGTTCCTTTCCTGCTGACCCCTGGAAGTGAACAAATCCGCGCCACTGCAGAAGCAGATGGGATCTTGGATGAGCTTCGGGAGGCCGGTGCTGTTGTGCTTAGCAGCTCATGTGGCCCCTGTGTTGGATCTTGGGACCGAAAAGATGTGGACGTCAAAGGGAAAGAGAAGAACTCGGTCATCTCGAGCTATAATCGCAACTTCATCGGTCGTCATGACAGCAACCCTTCCACGCATTCCTTTGTCACTTCGCCAGAGATGGTTACTGCATTTGCGTACTCAGGACGTCTTGACTTCAACCCCTTAACCGATAGCATCCCCGTTGGAGAATCATCATTCCTGTTCCAACCCCCCACAAATCGCGAGCTCCCCGCCCATTTCGAGAGTGGAAAAGACACCTTCCAAGAGCCACCCTCCGACGCATCCGGATTGTTCGTTGCGGTGAATCCCGAATCAGACAGACTTCAGCTTCTCACGCCCTTCAACGCATGGCAGCCAAAATGCGCCGAAAAGATGGAGCTTTTGACCAAGGTAGCTGGCAAATGTACCACTGACCACATCTCCCCGGCTGGTCCATGGTACAAGTACCGAGGCCACTTGGAGAATATCAGCAACAATATGCTCACAACCGCAACAAACGCATTCCTGCCCAACACCCCACAAAACTTGGGTCACACACGCAACCCCGTGACAGATCAAGTCCAAGTCGTCCCTGAGGTCGCACGGGAGCTGCAGAATCTCGGTATCCGCTGGTGTATTGTTGGGGACCATAACTATGGAGAGGGTAGCTCACGCGAGCATGCAGCCTTGGAGCCGCGTTTCCTTGGAGGGGTTGCTGTTATTGCCCGTTCCTTTGCTCGTATCCATGAGACCAATCTCAAGAAGCAGGGTATGCTTCCCTTGACGTTCGATGACCCGGCCGACTATGATCGGATTGCAGAAGGTGATCGCATCACACTAGTCGGTGTCGAAGATGGGGAGTTCCAGCCTGGGAAGCAGGTTGTTATGGAGGTTGAGCCGCGTCAAGGTCAAGCTTGGGAGGCTCTGTTAAATCACAGCTATCACCCGGGCCAGATTTTTTGGCTTCGTGCTGGAAGTGCATTGAACCACATCAAGGCCACTTTGCTCCAGTAATGATTTCCAAGGTTTTATGTTGTACTCTTAGGAATGGTGGTAATTTATTTTGAGGCTACAACGAGCAAATCATTAGAATTGTTAAATATGATCACGTAGAATTGATACGCAAAAAGCATTTGAACCATCAGAATTGACATTTATTTGGCTGAAGCAATTTGCAATACCAGAGTTTAGCCTCTAGAATCTGAGTTGGGGTCTTAACCATATCATAGCCCTATCTTCGCTGGTAGAGATAGGCGATAATTCCAAGTGGCGGCCTTGAAAATAGAACGTTTCCAAGGTTGCCATTCAGGCAACTATTCATCATCTTTCACGGGGAGCCATCCGCACGGAGCCCCCAGCATTCCACTTCAACATTGAATAGTTTTACACGCGTCTCCACGTCTCGAAGGAGCCAGCCCCATGTCAGGTATCCGGAGTGTTCCAACAGCCGAATAGCAAGTCTGGATCAAAACCCGCCACCGGAACCCTCCCAACTCCCCACATTCGGAGCAGTCCCTACCCCAGACTTGGCACTAAGTCGCAAGACTGACCAATGCACTGTCGTCTGTTAGTCAATGTGGTCTACAAAGTCAACCTAGCTTTTCTCCTATCACTTTCTGTGGACTCGGGGTAGTCCTTTGAGCTTACTTCCCCGCAGAATCCTTTCGATCATGGTCTTGCCACATCCAGCCGACGGTGTGAGCATCATACCATCCCGTGTGTATAGTCTCTGTGGCTTGGGCTGGATTGGCATATAAAACCACACAACGTCTAGTCAAGGAGGATGAAGATTTGCTGCTCTGCTCTCTTACAGCTTCTTCTATATCCCAGGATTACCCCCGTTCTCATTTTTATCTGAAGACGTATCTCTTTTACTCCCTGGAACTGCCTCCGTGTTAAAAGCACGCCAAAATGGGTGCCGCTGGTGGTGGATGGTCCAACGAAGCCATCAAACGTGTTCCTCCTCCAGCCAAGAGAATGTATATATGGCTCGCCGCAATTTGGGCATCATACAGTGGAGGCCTCCATGGCTTCAACACTGCCAACATTTCGGGGACCATGAGTCTGAAACCTTTCGTGCGTGACTTTGGCTGGGGAGACCTCTCAGACGCAACAGTCTCGAACTATGAGGGCTGGGTCGTTTCTTCGATGCTTCTGGTACGTCACAAATGGCCATTCCCTAGGAAAATCTGATAAATACTAACGATTTCTTCGTGGTAGGGACAAACAGTTGGTGTTCTCATAGCCGGTCCTTTGGGAGAGCGTCGTGGCCGCAAGTCCGTCATCATGCTCTCTGCTATTCTCTACACCATCGGGGCCATCTTGATGGCTGCAAACTTTGGATCCTTGGCTGAACTTCTGGTTGGAAGAATCTTCTCTGGTCTTGGATCAGGGGCCGGAATGGTGGTTGGTCCCATTTATATCTCTGAGATCGCCCCTACTGAGATGCGTGGTATGATGACCACCTTTTACAACATCAACATCATGGCTGGAGTTGCTGGCAGCTACTGGATCAACTTCGGCTCCCTTGAACAGATCTCTGCCACAGATAGCTGGCAATGGCGGACTACCCTAGTTCTCCAGATGATACCATCGGCTTTTCTTTTCATTGGCTATGCGTTTTTTCCAGAAAGTCCACGTTATCTGATGATGCGAGGCAGACCGAGCGCAGCTCATCACAGTTTGTCTCGTCTCCGAGGACTGGATGATAGCAGCCCATACTTCGAGCGCGAGTTTGATGAGCTGAAAAGTCGATTTGACGCCAACGCCGACAGTCAGAGTGCACTTCAGTCCGTGAAGTCTCTACTGGGCTCCTGTATCACCGACCCCCCCTACCCGGAAGTTGCTCCTGTTTGTGACTATCATTCAAACCTTTTTCATCATGTCAGGTGGTAACTCAATCACTTACTATGCACCCACCATTTTGAAGTCAATCGGACTCAATTCCCAGCAACGCCTTCTGTTCTCGGCGGTTTATGGTATGATCAAAGTTGCCAGTGTCTTTTTCTATGCGTTCGTCTTGACCGACCGCTTCGGTCGTCGACCTCTCCTGCTCATCGGATCGACCATCAATGTCATTTGTCTGTGCTATCTGGCCGTCTATCTTGGTGTTGCCGATATTTCAGGGTCAACCGATCCCTCGGCAGCTGCCTGGGTTGCCATTGTTGCAATCTGTTTCTTCGCGGTCGGCTATGGATTTGGCTGGGCGCCTGCTTTCTCCCTGACAGCTTCAGAGATTTGCCCTACGCCCATTCGAGGCACTGTGGTGACTATCGCATTTGTATACCAGAATCTCCTGAATTTCGCTATCACGCGTGGATTCCCAAACATGACAGCTGATATGCACGCTTGGGGGCCTTTCGCGCTCTTTACGGCGTTCACTTTTCTCGCCACCTGCTGGGTCTTTGTTGCGTTCCCTGAATGCAAGGGACGGAGTATGGAGAGTGCAGATACACTTTTCTCAATGCCCTGGTACAAAATTGGGTTCTCAAAGGTTCCTGAGGTTAGTGAAATTCCGACAAGCGCCGATTTGGAAAAGGCCACATCCAGTGAGCACGAGGAGCACATTAGTACGGAGGATCACAAGCTACGGAAAGAGTCTGATTGATTAGATATTCAAGCTACATAGCAGCAGAATTGAATGAAATGAATTGGATCTCGGATGTTGCAAGATTCGCAAGTTTGTTTGGTTTGTGGCTTTTGCGTGTGCCAAGCCTTCGGCATTCGCCTTCGGGCGACCTGCCATTGACTGCTTCCTCAACATATCGCCATCCTCTCCGAGGTGATAACTCCAACGACCCAAGATGAGAGTTGCAGAAATATTGTCCGATATCACTTCTCTCCGAGTCTGTGTAAGTTGATCTTCCGCTTGTGCCCGAGGTCCCTGTTCGGAGAGACCCTCCTCACACGCGTCCTGGCGGGGCCCAACTTCCTTACAGCGCTTCATATCTAAACATACGCCACAGGGTCACAATGAAGCTTTAGCGCTAGTCAACGTACACAAGCATGCCCCGGAGTGTGATTCCACCGGAGGCAGTGCGTCGGCAGATAAGAGCCAGGCTCAAGACAGGGATGATCTCCGTCGTGCAAAGGAACTGGTCGAGCTGCACTATGAAGTGAAGGCACGACACGCTAATGGCACAGTCGATGAAGAGTTGAGTCTGGCTCGTCAAGATGTGCGGCGAGTTTTGAGCGAGTTGAAAACCGTTCGATTCTAAGCCTGGGAACGACACGCACGGGTCTCTGCGATGGCATTCATGATTTATACGACTGCGTGTTCAACTATGTACCACATATTCTAATCAACTTGATAATGTCTGTCACGCAAAGCGGAAAAGGTGCTTCATGCCCTAGGAAAATTCAGGCATATCCAGCGACAGGAAGCAACGCAATTTATCACCGAACTCACAAATCTTTCTGTGCATACTGCACGATTTGATCATGAGCAAACTCTCTGCCCTCTGTCGTCTTACAAAGGTCACCAATAGCCTTGGCCCGAGACTGAATCCCCTTATCTCTCAGTACCCGTAGCAGTGCCGAGGACAGTTCCGTCGCTCCGATTTTTGGTGCCACCTTGCGACTCCCATGAAGACCGATTCCCAGCCATTCTACTCTCGAAGGACAATCATACGTGTCGAACCATTGTGGAAGAACAACCTGTGGTACTCCACCCCTGAGACGAAGTTAATATCTTATGCTGTTCTCGACTTTGCTGCAGGTAAACTTACTTGCAAGCCTCAAAAAACGAGTTCGCTCCTCCGTGATGAACATATGCAACGATGGATCCACTTTCTAAGAGCGATATGATCTCGGGTTGGATCCAAGATACAACTTTGACTTTGTTAGAAGACACAAGGGGTCCTAGAAGGCTCTTGACTTTCCGCGAGCTTTCCCAGTCATATTTAAGCTTCCACAAAATCTTCAAATCGGGAAACTGTCGAAAAACAACCTGGATCGCCTTCGTCATCTGCAATGCGTCGTCTTCTGGGGCTTGAACGTGTGATCCAAGGCAGATCAAAACTGTGGGCTGCTTTAACCACGTGTTTAATGGAATATCGCACGATGCCAGAGCCGATGACTGCCTAAGTATTGGGCCGCAGCTGATCACATTTTCCGGGACGTATAATGGAAAGTCCATTTCTGGGAAGCAGGGTGAGAGGTGCAAATTCTCCTTGCTGTATGGCGAGATGTGAGGGAAATCCGTTTGGATTCCTGCTTTTTTGCGTATGTGAAGAAGATCACGCATAGGTTTGCCGAAGCGAACGATGAAACCAAAGCAGAAGACCATGTAGATGTTTGCAAAAATCAGGTTCCAGGGCATGGGGAATGGATAGCCCGAGCCAGTACTTGAAGCGAAAAGATTAGAGTCGAAAGTTCAATTCATGAAATTGGCACTCACAGAGGGTATTTCCAGAGAATTCCGGCTTTTGGCTGAACCGTGATGACGACGTCTTTGAGAGGAACCGGCCACAAAATTACTATGCGCATACGAAGACTGCGAGCTGCGTCTAAGCCCAGGTGCAAAAGCGGATCCGCGACCACAACAGCCGGGTTCACTTCCTTTAATATCTCAAGGCAGCTTCTGTATGAACGCAGATACTCTTCAGGTTTCCATCCCAGGACGGAGAAATTGATCTTGTCGCACCCATCGAGTGTCCCTGCAAGACCCGGTAGATGGGCCAGTTGGGCTGTTTTTCGTGCTGTGATCTCTGTCAAGGACGAGCCTGCAATAGCGTGGAAATGAATCACTTGATCATAGTCGACGTTGTCGTTGAGCTCTTGGATACGGTTTGAGAGGCCCTTAAAAGAGGCGATGTGGACTTCAAAGTCACCACGGTTCACGAATTCACCTGCTACTGCGAGTGCAACGTTCGACTGGCCATGTTCCGGGCTGGTGATGAAGAGAATCGTTCGTCTAGGAGGGGACATGTTGCTTTTGCCGCTGAGGATTTCTGTCCATGAGGGGTCCCAAAAGTTCGACAATCTCCTTCCTATTTATTCAATTCCAAAGTTCTTCGCAATCCGTGTTCCCCTCTTTCGAGATTGCGCTGTTGTATCTTTCACATACTGTCCGATGTATGGTTACTCAAACATGAATAAACCTGATAGGCAAAGGTTTGATATGGAAGGTAGTAATTAGATCGTAATATCCACGGTGAACCGGCCCATAGGGCCTGGAACCAAGTCCGCCAGTCGATTTACTCGGTTGGTTCCATTACATTATGCATATTGTAACTCAGAAGCGACCAGCAAGTAAACAGGCGAGGCTCGGACGACCTCCAGGTGGAAACAGGGCTTTGTCGTAAGCATTCCACAACACGGTCTCTTCCAATGGCTCAGCGAGCTGGACTGGGTCCATGTCCCGCGCGCCTATCTTTAGGCAAACAGCTGGCAGTGATGATTAGACCTGCCAGGTTGAGGGTGAGAAGGAATCCGAACGCAACGCGATATCCATTCATCCAAGCGCGCGGATTGAATAAAACATTGTCACCGGCGATCTGAAGCTGAGTTGCGGTCACATCATTTGAAATCAGCGCAGCAAGTGCCATACCTACAGATGCACCAATCATGGCGATAGTGCAAACCACTCCCATCGCAAAGCCTTGCATCTCATGAGTGAAATTCTCTGAAATCATCATTGCTGCAATTGGAATAATTGAGCTTGCTGCAACTGAGTTCAACGACACAGCATAGACCGCACAGTTCCAATAGCCCCAGTTGACATCCAAAACAATCATCAGCACTGGAGCAAGACTGGATAATAACGCTGTGACGACAAGCACTCTGCTGGCTGGGACTCGAGACAAATGTCTCTCCGTGAGGGCACTAGCCAGTGCGCCTATCACTGGGATGGGTAACATCTGCCATGAGGATCGGAGGACAGATAGACCTTGTACTCGCTGGAAGACAAGAACCATGAGTTGCGTTGTAGAAAGCGAACAGGCGTAAATAAAGAATACCACCAGCCCGAGCAACATGAACTGGGTATTTGTCCAAAGGGAATCCCGAACACCTTGTGTGTTGTCTCTTTCCCAGCAGTCTTGCCAGAACAGGAATGCAATAAGGAGGAGCCAACCAAGAGCCAAAGGAATGAAGAGTCCCGACTTGCTGAGATTAGCCACATTATTCGTGATTATACTATTTGAACTGTATTTAGCACTGCACAAGTCATGGCCGTATCCGGAAGGGGTGGGATGAACGTACGCTAAGGCAGTAAAGAGAAGCATCATCAGCAAGCTTGCCAGAAGAGTGCCAGCCCAATCAATATTCTCGATCAATTTCGTCGATGAAAAGTGTTGTGGCGCCACTTGTCTTGGTATTGCCCGAATTGATAGCAGAAGTGTGCTTACGCTCAGGATTGCAGCGAGAAAGAAGCCCCGTCGCCAGTTTGTAATCACCGAACACATTCCACTCAAAATCAAACCCACGGCAGAGCCAAGATATTGACTGCTTTTTGCACTGAAGACTGCGAAGTCATAGAGTCTTCCCGCTGGGAGGGAATCCCTGTGGATGTTCATAGCCGAGACGAAGCACATTGGATAGGCGACGCCAGCCAAGGCTCTGAAGGTAATGAGTTGCACTCCACTCTTGGACACCCCACTAGCAGCATGGCAGAGAGCTTGCAAGGTACATCCATATAAGAACATTCTCCGGCTGCCCAGGATATCCGTCAATGACCCTGCCAGCAAGAAGGTGCAGCCTTGGGCGAGGTAATATATCGACATTGGCCTAGCATTCAGTTAGCTCGACCTGGATTTTTTTTCAAAGAAATGGAAGGATCAAGGACCGCATCGAGGAGATGACCTTACCATAACTCCACTCCAGGGCTCAGATCGTAGTCTGACGCTATTTGCGAGATATTGAGGGTGACCAGACCATTAACAGCACAGTTCAGGAACAGCGCAAGAAAAGTGCACGATATTAAAGTAAGACACCCATGCTGAGGGCTCACGACATGGCCTGTGCTTCGCTGGGTGGACACAGACTCGAGAAGTGGTTCGGAGATCTGATAACGGGATCCAGGGGCGGTTTCGGGTGAGGTGTCAGGGTCAAGATGAAGTCTTCCTGTCATCGTGTATTCTCTCTTTCGGCCTCCCGTCACGAAGGCATTCTGAGAGCGACTGATTCCCAAGGGTGAAAATGTCATGAAAAAGCAAAACTCGCCGAGCTGAAAAGAAAGCTACTCGACTTGCATATTAAAGGCGCGTTGTGATTGATCCATTCCGACCCACTATCGCGCCCCCTGCTCAGTCTGTACGGAGTACTACTCCGTGCTTCCGCATTAATCTCGGCTTTTTTCCCCTCGCGTTGGGGGTTTGGGTTGATCTGGCACCACGGAGTATGGATTACGGAGTAAATATAATCATGCAAGACGATGTAGTTGCGCGCTCATGCCCGATATTACCTGAATTTTTCCCATAGCGAGCAGTCAAATTGTGTTTTCTTTTTGTGTCTGAGAGTGCTGAAGTTGCCGCGATCACCGACTATGCTGCTTGTGGTGCGAGGGTCGATATGATCGCGTGTACCGAGCCGGCCGATATTACCGAGACCACCGCGCGTAGACTCCGTGTTACCAGTGCATGTTTCTGGTGCAGCTGTGACCGGAAGAGAGAATTTTTGGGGACGCATCATGATTTACTCCGTAAATATCGCAGTAACTGCAAAACAAGTGGGAAAGTGGCGAGCTAAAATCCAAGCAGCCCACGGTCAGCTCGCCAACTGGTCAGTAATGCCAAGTGGGTCAGCGCAACTCGGATTCTTCACTTCTCACTTTATTTCACACAGCTAGGATGTATGGACTCCATAACTCTGCTTCGGCAGTGATAATCCAGGTTTCATGCTTTTATGTTCTTCAAAATATCATACCAGCCACCATCCTCATCACCACACGCAAGGGATCACCCCTCCGCTATCTTTGCATTCCGTCGATGATCTGGATCGCCAGTCGATTTGTACACCCTTTCGGCTCATCTAGAAGTCCAGCATGGTGCCAGGCAGTGACGCAGCTCATCATTGCGACGTTCCAGGCAATGGACCTCTTGCTCATCAACCCTCTTGATGCCAAGGATATCTCGTATGGCGAAGACAATCTACGGCACCGATTTGTCAAAGCAGTCCGTTTGATTGCCCAGACACGAGCTATCAATACACCCTGGCAAGTGAAGCATGTACCCTCTCACCCAAAATATTACATTCGACGTGGGGGCCAGGTTCCAAGTCGCCGCCTATTCTTGCTGCGACAACTATCGATCGTCCTGTGGCAATATCTTGTTCTCGACATCGTGCAACTCGCATCATCGCGGCAAACACTTGAGCGCGGGTCCTCCGAGAATGTGACATACACCGCTGAGTGGGTTGCGCCTGTGGGACAATGGGCGGAAATAATTGTTACACATCTTTCCATATGGCTCTTGGTCAATCGTCTGATCGTAGATCTGGTCTACCGTTTTCTGTCAATCATATTTGTTGGGATCTTCAAAGATTCCCCTTCAGACTGGCCTCCGGCTTTCGGGAGTATAGTCGAGATAACCACTCTGCGTGGCTTTTGGGGGTAAGCTGTGCGTGTTTGATGATCAAACCCTATCGCTAATCCATTCCGCAGGCATTTCTGGCATCAATTCATGCGCCGGCCATTTACTTCTGTCAGTAATTACGTCACGCGGAATGTGTTGAACCTCCCACGCTCGTCAATACTGGAGCGGTACACGAATCTTTTCATTGTCTTCTTCGTATCCGCAGTATTCCATGTTGTTGTCGACATACTGCAGAGTATACCAATGGAGAAATCTGGTTCAATGTCATTCTACTTGGCATTTGTGCTGGGCATTATGCTAGAGGATGGCGTGCAAGAGGTTTGGAAACGCACAGGATGTCCAGACGCCAGTCGAGAAGCGATGGTCCATCATTCCACCAACATCATGTCGTTTTGGAAGCGTGCGATCGGGTTTATTTGGGTCACAATCTGGCTAGGAGCTACCTCAACATGGTACTTCGTTCCCATGACTCAATCTGCAACAGGAGATTTGCACATGGTGCCGTTGAGTGTCGCAAATCACCTCGGCCTTGAGCCGCTGGTCGGGGTCATATTGATTTATGGAGCTGTGATTGCCTTCATTTTCGAAGTAGAAATCTGATTCGATCTCACTTTTACTGGTCTGAGTGTGATTGCCAACATTCGGCCTGGATATCAAATAAGTCTTCGCAACTCGCTGGCCTCCATGGAGTGCTCCACCATCAATCGCCGGTTTTGTTACCCGATCCGAGGTCTTGGCATCGGAGCGTGACGACTTGCGATATTCAAGCACGTAAACTCAAAAGGATGAGACACAATCCTTTGTTTGATATTGGAGAGCCTTGAATTTGTCGAGATCATGCCTCGCATATCCCAGGCATGCGACAATTGCTTCCGAAGCAAAGTAGGTTTCTTCACATCCTGGTTCCTCGGTATAACAAATCGGCTCACGGGTGGCAGATCAAATGTGAAGGACAACGCCCTCTTTGCGAGTGGTGCGAGCATCGACATCTTCCATGCACATATGATAGAAAGCGAAAACGTGCACCAAAAGTCAGACTGTCTTCTGGGTGAGTAAGATTCTGTGAGACATTCTCACATTATGTCCACGCGTCAATGTACCAACTTTGAGAAGATCGACACGGGTATCAGTAGCGCAACAGCCTGGAGAGCTCCAGAAGACTGCAGAGAGACCTAAAGGTTCGTAACACGCTCTATGAGACACCCGCGCCCTGTGGATTAGAGTACAGTGCGTGATTCTAAAGACTCGACGCAGAGTCCGGACAGAAATTCCCGTTCTTACACCATGTTGGCAACGTGAACCTCGGCGGCAGTGCCATTCTCTTTTCTTTGGAGGGCAAAGAATGGGTTGAACGTCTCACGGGCGAACATATGCCGAAGGATTTGAGCGTGACAAGCTCACGGCCGTGGGAACGTGATCCTGTTTCAGAAATTCAAGATCCTTTCCAGATCAAACCCCTCGAGGCGATGGGCTTACCTGGTCGACAGATGATGAATTTAGTCACAGAAAAGTACTTCAACTCTGTACTTAGCCGTGTGTGGCCATTACCAGACCAGGTGCTCTTTCGTGAGACAATGGATATTGCCTATGGGAATCAGAATGAAACCCCATTCCGAGTACATACAGCCAAAATCTGTGTATGGACTACTTGGGCATTCCTATCATCATTCCCTGATATATCAAATGCGATTTCACCTCTTGAACGCGTGGAACTTGTGAATTCGATCATGGCATCGATTAATCTGCTTCAACAACCACATATCGAAGTTCTCGAGTCGATCTCAATGCTCGTTGTTCTTCATTTGAATTCTGGCAACATGCAATCAAGTATTCTGAGTAATACTCTTGCAGCGAGATTTGTGCTCCTGCTTGGCGCCAATACCAGGGACTGTTTCCGAGATGCCTGCAAATTTGTCTCGACAGGAGACGAGCGATTCCGGCGTCACTACCACTTGCGCAACTTGTTCTGGATGTGTTATCTTCAAGATAAAGAGCTTTGTCTTCGATCAAACCAGCCACCAGCTCTATCTGAATATAACTGTGATCTCGATCTACCTATTGATCATCAGCGCGGTTGTAACAATGCTCTTCCGATGGACGACTGTGTGACTCCGGTCTTTGCGGGCGATCTTCGGCTCAGTCAGCTCAAGTCCAAGGCTTATTGTGATCTATACTCTCGTCGTGCTTTGGAGAAAGACGGAACACTAATCCTCAGTGAAATTCGCGAATTGGATCGTGAACTGGAAGAATGGCGTCTGAGTATCCCGATCGGCCATCGCCCGACGCTGCTTTTCTCGCAAAATACAAGCTTTGGATCCAATGGCTTCAATATCCGATCCCTCATGATGCAACTAGAGCATCATTACTGCATGTCTTATATCCATCAAGCTTGTGGGAGATTCCGGCTATTGGATGGAACCCAAGATCCCGAGATTCAAGGGATTGGTTCCAGTCTCTCCCTTGCAATTGCGACCTGCCGCTCCTCGCTCTACTGTCTCCTCAAGGTCAAAGATTCCCTCTCTCCAAGAGACTTCTGGTGAGTCCACGGTTTTGCTCATGCTTTCACGGCATGGCACTTTCAACTAACCACGGCCTTCTTTCCCTCTCAGGTTGATCCTTTTTTATCCACTTTCAGCCATTCTGACGATATTTTGTAACATCATTGCCCACCCTCGTGCTTCTGAGGCAAGAAGCGATCTCAATATCATCCAACAGATCTCAATCCTGTTTCGGAAGCTTGGTGATCGCGAAGGCGAGATGAGCGGGCGAAGCCATAACACGGATAGGATATGGAGGGTCGTGGCGGCATTGGAAACACTTGCAAGGACTACTATAGAGAAGCAAAGCTAGCAAGCTACATCTGCATTCAAAGCAATCTTGGAAGGTACCCAGCTGGGGACCGTCTACGCTTTAATGGGTATGATCCTATGCACATTGATGTTTATTCATACTTAGAAAAATTGTGGTAGACACAGCACAGCTAACTCGCGGAAAGACAACTTGTTAGTGATCAATTTCATATTGAAACACGATGGGCAGTGTAAGGAATGACGGTAACGTTGCCAATCAATCCAGTATGTACGTTCCCTGGTAAGGTTGTCAATAAAGGCTTCGAGCCCGATATCTCGAGCTCATCGTAGATGCTTCGAATGTAGTTCCACATCAGAGTCGGAACAACTGCAGTAATTTCGTTGGAGCCTTTGTGCAAGAACGGCCCAATGTCTACCATGGGGTTCGCAAAATCCAATGTTTGCACGGCCTGCCCATTCACGAATAGCTTGAGACCGTGCGATATTTGCGGAAGAGAAAGATAAGCCCCATCGATCGATTCGGTGCTGTTTGAGAATTTCGGTGGCCAGAGGAGATGAGAAGAGTAGTATCCCACGCCCGATGCGTTACGAAGGCCCGGAATGTCCAGCCATGATACCAGTGATGTCAGATGGTGTGTCGTATTGCGCTTGTCGGCTATCACTGTAGCATCTGACATGTTCTGTGGGGCTTCCCAATGTTCTGCTACTAGATTCCATTTCTTCAGCCTGAAAGAGGAAACGTCTCTGTTGGCTGGGATGTCATATTTCCTGCCGTTTGAAATTCTCAAACTTTGGTTGGCGGAGCTGGCACCGGTGGCCATCTGCACAATCAGCTCCTTTTCGGATGTAAAATTGTATCCGACGGCTTCTGACGGCAATTGAACTGCGTGAGTCTCCGGCGTGGGGACTTCAGATGCCCAATCATCGCTAAAAGCGAAGGCAGTGGTTTGACTTGAGGCGAGCGTCAATGGTATCACCGTAGTGTTGCCATGTATTTGGAAATTGAGCAGCGCTGTCCGCTCTCCGGTCCAACTGTTTAGAGTATAAGGTGTTTTGATGGAGTTGACCCTCAGGTACCCCTGGGCTGCACTCCCCTTACTGAAAACAAAGACATAGTCTGTGGAATTTTCCGTGCGCATGACCGGGTACCACGTAGCGTTGCTAGGCGTGACTACCTCAACGCGAGGGTGAATGCTAAGATCTTTGAGCTTTGAGGCGACTCCTCCACTTGGGGCTGTATGCACATTATCAGAATTCTTCAGGTTTCGTAAAGCAGCCATGACAGCATCCCGGTCAGATGCATTTCCAGTAGGGTAGTACCCGGGAATTCCACCACTGAGCACTATGGGGAGGCCAGAATTCGCTAATTTCTGAATCCTTGAAACTGCATCAAGCGTCATGTTCTCTTGGGCAGTAATAACCAAGGCTTGATATGCGGGTGCCTCTGGAGCGAGAAGCCCATCAGACACATAGGCCTGAGAGAGGTTGAGGTTGGTTGGGTTCAAGTACGTGTAAGTGTAACCGTCATTGACCAAGTCTTCCTCGGTATACAGTGTGTTGAGTTGAGGGTCGGTGTATGAAACCTTGTTGAAGAAGGCCACGTCGGTTCGAGGTTGGCCTTTGTGGAGAATATACTGATTCCGGTTGACGTATCCAATCATGTCTGGCATTCCCAACTCCCAAGCTGGCTGCTTGTCCATGTATGACTCCGAGAAAAGTAGGAAAAAGCTGAGATATCCGGGCCAGGTGGTTTCAAAGTAGTCACCAGTGAATGTTTGGCCATGCAGCACGACCTGGTTTACACCGCCAGCAAATGCAATGTTGATCTGTCCCAGAAGCTCTGAGATAGGCTGAGCAAGCGCCTTCTGAAGATCAGCACCCATCTCATTTGAGATCACTGGCTTTTGGGCAACATTTGCGGGTCCTGAAAATTGACGGTAGCCGTCAATATTGTCGTTGAAAGCAAGGCTTTCACATTCAGGGGCATCGACTCGATCAATGTTGGTTTGCATGTCAATTGGTAGGTTATAGGAAACCTGTGCGGAGTATCCCAACCCGAGAGCTTGAAGCCAAGATGTCAACGTATCCAGATATTCACCGTAGCCTGCAGCCAAAGTGGCACGGAAGTCATTCAAGAACCCTTCCCCTCTGTGGTGGTCATCTCCAACACATTTCAACTTTCCCGGGTATGATGGCTGCACACCAGGATTGTTGTTTCCGTATTGCAGAAGCGGGAGATACTTGTGGAGCCGATAGCCATTCAAGCTCTCGAACCGTTCTGGGATGGAGGGCGACCATGAAATGTTGGATTTGATCTCAAGGCTATCCTCCCACCCATAGGTTCCGACTTCATTCAGGAGCGCCACAATTTCTGTATCGTTGAGAATGTGGGTCTCCCAAAAAGTCTTGACAGTCTCAGCACCTCGGGGACTATAATGATCGACGGTATACGAACCATTATCGAAAATAGTTCCCGTGACGTTGCTTTCAATGTCAAGGTTTTTGACCAAATCTTGATATTGGTAGTAGGCAAACAAATGTTGAGTACCATGGCTCGACCCGTTGGTCAGCGACAGAGACACCCTTCCGTCAAGGCTGACTCGATCAGTATGGTCGATAAGGGAGTCTGTATCGAGAACCATTCGGGTTGCTTGATTGGCAGGCGTAGAAAAGAGGCTACTCGCCGGGTTCGTAATTTTAGAGGAAGAGATTGACCTGGCAGAGACTAAGGCGACAAGCTCCCCTGTTCCCCATCCGGGAATGGTTCCCGAATAGCTACCGTTGGTTGGGATACTAACGTTGAAATGCGCCTGTCTCCACTGTCAATAGCTGATCATTATGCCATGATGAAGGGGACTTACCAGATCCCAGTGCAATCCTGCGTCAGTCACGTTGGACGGTACACCTTGCGCGGCACTTGGCCCTAGTGCAAAATCCATTCGCATTCCTGCATCTTTGGCAGCTTTTAGAGAAGCCTTGAACACTTCATTGAAAGCCGGGGTTCCAAATCCGTATGTTGCCCAATCTGCCCCTTTTGGTGGTGCTGCCAAGGATGCACCATAGTTGTAGAGCGGCACAAATTCCACACCACCTGCACCCAATGTGCCAGCGGCTCTGATATCCCGTTGCACAGTAGCGATATCAACACTGGCATCCGGTAGCCAGTATCGAAATTTCAAACGTGCATTGTTGGCGGGGTCTTGAAAAGTTCCATGGTCAATAGCAGAGGCGAGCCCTGTGAGGACCAATCCGCTGCACAGCAAGTTGCATCGCATTTTCGTAGTGAAATCAGAGATGCACTTGAAATGAAGCTGAGTCTGAGAGGATCTCCGTGTCTTATCTGCTCAGGTGCCTTGGGCACGGTCAGGAATCATCTTCCAGATCCTCCATTCCTTCGCCGATCGGTACCAAATTGCCATACGCAGTGCTCAAACTAACATGAATATCCCAATCTGAGGCTTGACAACGTTGTCGATCGTCGGATAACCCGGACTCGTTCAGTAGAAGATGTGATCATCGGCCTATGCCGATTAATAATCGGGATAGGGGCCCGCAACTTTCAAGGCCTCAGAAGTGTCCCAGACCCACAACACGCGTCTGCCGAACGGGACTTGGAGGTCCCCGCGGGGGAAAACGCAATGAGACTGCAGACATCGATCGGAAGTGTCTTGGTTCAGGCAAAACGTAAGTCATCAGCTCTTCAACCGACGGAGACATGGTGTTGGGAGGAGTGCGTTTCTTTTTGCCCTCGACGCGCCAAGCAGAGGCTCTTGGCGAAGACAGCTTTGTGGCAACGATTGCCCAAGGCAGCATCCACTGAATACATGTTTTTGGTGCTGAATTGCCTTCGTATATGAGCCATGCTGAGCGGGGGAGACCCCTTGTTCAGAATTTCTACAATCAACCTAATTTGGGTGTAGACATTAGCTGTTGCCACTTGCGTCGGGTCAATGTTAACAACCCACAGCTTGCTATGGACGCCGTACAAAGACGGCTGGGTAAGATCCGCGGACTTCAAGAGCTCAGATCCATATCGCCCATCAAGTCCAATTTGACCTATTCACTGACTGTTATGTGTAGGCTCAAAGAGCAAAGCTACACGCGCCACGTGACTCGTGCACAACATCGATCATCGCTCACAACACACTCTCCACGCGTTCTTCTTTTGGTGTCATTATGCCCCTCGACACACTGGGCAGCAAGGGCTGGGCTTGGTCGCCTTTGGTACTGGGGCAGGTCGACATTGGAGATTTCAACCGCTAGGGGGCTCGTGCGTCGCAGAAACAGCCGCATGTTGATCTCCGCCTCCACCGATTTCTGACCGATTTCCTTGCTTGTCATACCAAATCACTGTCATTTTCATCAATATCCAACATGCCAAAATCCACGTGTTGCCACTCGCAAATTTGCTTGTCTTCTTCCTCTCATGCTCCTGTGGCAGGTTACAAACGCCCAAGCGAGCGGCAAAGGACTGCTGCGACGAAATCAAACAGTCGAGCTTTCTCGGGAAAAGACAAACGTTTCCTGGACTCGAACTTGCAGGCTTTCCCTGCCCCTTTGATACTACCTGGTGATGACCTTGCTGGTGATCCGGAGGAGTCACAAAGTTTCCAGGAGTGGGTGGACGGAGTGCGTAATCCGGTCACCCCGAAGAGAAGGACAATCTACGTGGTCCCCTCTCCTCCCATCGACCCCGAGCTTAGTTCCATACAAAAATGGACACAGCCCAGGGGAATGGGTAATAGCCATCAGATAGTGCCTCCCAGCACAGAAGATATCAAAGATTATTTGGCTGCGTTTTATCATGAACTGCCCGTCAAAATGATGCCACCTTCTACACTACGCTTCACACCATGGGACGAAGCCAAGAAGAAGTCCCGAAAGCCCGCTCGAGAGCAATACCTTGGTTTAGATATCGGAGACGAGTGTGTGCGGATTCGTGCACGCACTCTATCAGATGGAGTGTATAGCGGCCAACTCAACCTCGACGACTTGCTTGATGCAGCGATCAGTCTCCTTCCGAAAGATGCCTACGCCCTCATATTACTTGTTGACTTCGATCTTTACGAAGACGAAGATGACGAGTTTGTGTGTGGTCGTGCGTACGGAGGGAGCCGAGTTGCAGTTGTCTCCAGTGCAAGATACAACCCTAGTCTTGACACTATGCAACAAGTTGAGCACATCCACGCCTGGCCCGCATCTCATTGTGGGAAATATATGGCATCGTGTGCCATGGCAGAGCCGGCCTCGAAAAAGCCGAAACCCTCCCGGGCCGGTAGCAAGGCATCATCGGCGTCGAGTTCGGAACTTGATGGACCAGTGACGGATGCAGTATTGGCCTACAAGGGCCTTCCAGAGGTTGTGTCTAGCTCTTCGTTGGTTTATGCGCTTTGGCTAGGTCGAATGTGTCGCACAGCAAGCCACGAGCTAGGTCACTGCTTTGGCATCGCCCATTGCGTATATTACGCATGCTCAATGCAAGGAAGCGCTTCTATCTGTGAAGATGCTAGGCAGCCTCCTTATCTCTGTCCTGTAGATCTCGTCAAGGTTCTGTCTGCCACAGGCAGCTCTGCGTCTGACCGATATGAGGCACTACTGACTTTCTGTGAACGGCCGGGAAATGTAGGCACACATTTCTTTGCGCCGTTTTCTGCTTGGATTCGGAGCAGAATTCGACAGATTGAGGACTGTGCGAGTGCTGCCCACTGACCTGCGGCATAAATATATTCTTGCTGTATGTGTCAAAACAAGTCGTAAGGGCCTTCTCTTAGAGGCGGAATTTCATTGCACGTTCTAGGTATTTTTTGCACTATCTTTCATCACTTCCAAGGTTCTAGCCCTGGAGGGTGTGCCCACCTGAGCACCTGCACTTGAGCAATCCGAGAAAATATATTTTCGCAGTATACACCTCGGCACGCACTGGCAAGTTCTCTCGCCTACATACAACGATTTCCTAGACTTTTCACAACTACCTGTTCAATTAGAGTGATGGTCTACTACTAATTTAAATTTCTTCAACCTTGGAAGTCAAAGTGGACTGAAAGCGACCGTAACCTGAGAAGCATAGGTACACATCCGCAGCCTTAAATTTGAGTTTCAAATAGTGATCCTCGGGACCCGTTGAGTGAACCGCTACGGACCGTATTTCAGACGAAGATCGCAATGCAAGAAAATCTTGAAAATGATGACAGAGCTCCAGGGCTGTTCTGGACTGCACAATCGGTGGTTTCCAGAAGCATGCCAAATTTCCGGTACCAGGCACAGCCGTACCGCGGTTCAGCCCAACAACCATGTGCATGTTTAAATTGTCTTCATGTGAATTCCAAGTCTGGCATGGAGCCCTGGTATATACAGCTTGACCACGTGAGACGCAAATCAGCCTGGTTCAACTACTTCCAGGCCTGTTGATCCTCTGTGCGCGGTGTAGTTATGTGATTGTTGACCTCTGATGCGAGTATGAGCTTCCAAGGTTGACATTTTATTCAATGGATGGCCCCGTGTAGTTTGAAGTCTTTGCATTGTCGCATTGTGTGAAGTGGGATGGTGTGAAGGATTTGGATGTTGGTTAGACACGCTTATGAAAAAAAAACCCCAGCGGAAGGGCTCGGGTAGCTTGCTGTGATCGATCGCGATCAATATGCAAATGATCGAAAATGCCTGTCATCGTCGGACGGGATCTGGGTTCATTCAGTGGCAAGATGTTTCATGTAAGTGACATCACAACCCGTCCGATCTGCCAATATGAATGCACAACAGATCAAGAACCAGATTCTATGAGAGATTTGTCAACCGTGTGTTCCAAAGAGTCCAGGTTGCGGATCTTCAGCCGATCGCGACAAGCATGTTTCAAGTTGAACCTTTCGATTTTCCGTTTTAGCTTGTCTTGCCCGTTTAGCCCGCGGAAGAGCTCGGCAAAACCCCGCGTATACTTGTACTGATGCAGGGCATTGTTGCGAGGCATTGTGCTCAAAATGGCATTGAGGCTTCCCCCCCTCCCGCCAAATCTCGCCTGGTCCACCAGTTCACCAAGTGAATGGAGACCGAGTCAAAAATAGCCTGTTTAGATCGTTTCAAACACAGTGAGACCCTAGCCTCGAACCCTGGATCCGAAGTCAAAGTGCGAGCTTCGATTTTTCCTCGGGTAAAATGTCAATCAACATGAAACAGGGCCAGAATGGGGCAGATGAACTCAATATGAGAGATCTAGCGAAGCAGTAGCCTCACTTAAGCTTTTTCACGTTTCGAAAATGGTAGGCGAACCTGTTATTTTTAGCCTCTAACAGTCATAAACCTTCCACCCCTTTATACAAGGAGGTCTCAGCCCTGAGTCCTCGGCCGCCGTTCCGAATAGGAAGCATCACAACAGCCAAGGCGAGGGGCGCACTAGTGGAAACCTTATGGATCCGGTTATTCGGATCTCAATGATTTTCCTTCTCCATAGCTGATTACTGAAGTGAGAAACTGCGATTTACGAGTCTGGAGAAACAATTTTTGTCACCAAAAAAACTAAGGGGGCTTCGGGCCGTGTTTCAGGCATTCAACGAGGGTAACGAACACGTCCAGATCCCGGGAAAAGAAATTTCCAGACTTTTGCTCTTTTCAAACGACAAAGATGTGCACGAGGGCAATTGGCTTGGATGTGTAATTGGATAACGTCGCCCGATACTCCGTACCCGTCATAGTTTCCTGCACTCGTCCGATCCCAATGAGACCGACTGGGCATGGAATAATCCGTACCTGTACACGTAGTGTTACCGAGGGACGGGCCATGCGGTTATCTGCAGCTAGAGGTGAGAGCTTGCAGCTTGCAGCTTTTGCAGTCCCACATCTGCCCATTGCGGACTTGTTGAAAACCCGTCCAGGGGTTAAATTTCAAGCAGGGGGCCAGTTGAGCGTGTTTCCATGAAGTGCGCTATATGCAGCCATCAACACTTAGCTCGTGGACTGTGTCCGTGTGGAGTGAGACATGAAGAATCAACAATCGTACTCGTTCATGCTGAAGCAGTGAACAGTGGACTCATCTGCTTAGCTACTTGTACGGAGTGGTCCTAGCCCTGCGTCCCTATGGCTCTGAGCCCAAAGTTGATCACCCGAGATGAAACCCCGATCGCCTCAAGATTCTAAGCCAACATTCAATGTGGTTAGATTATCATGAACTGGTTCCCGAGGTGGGGGAGGGCTTTTTTGGTGCTGGAATTCGGAATACTTAGTGCTGTTTGAGGCCGCTGAGGCTGTGGGGAGCAACTCCACTTGACTATGCCGCAAATCGTTTAACGTCCGTGAAAAACATAGCCTCCCCTATCAACTTACCCCTGGCCATGAACCCATCCGGCGCCATCGCGCACTAGTCCAGGGACGAATTTTGAGGCAAATCACTTCCACTTTTGCATACAAAAATTGATTTTTTCAATAACCACAACTTCTTATTTGTGCCTTTTAGAACTAAGTGGGGACTTCCATGTTGTGGTCACTGCATGACTTCACTTTGGAATTCAAACTGGGCGTTTTTAGCGTCTGTAGCTCCTGGTACCTGTCAGCCACCAACTAGATTTTGGTCTTCCTCTATGTTGTATTGTTGATTCGTAAATAGAGAATGTAAACCAAAAAGGGGAAACACACTCGGAGCACTACCTTCAATTGTACCAAGCCGAGAACTATATGCTTGGATGCACGATTTGGGGTCATCTGCAGTGAATACATGCATATTTGGGTGGAATTCTATTCCATAGTTTGTGAACAGAAGACCCATTGCGGATAGCACTAAAGAACAATAACAAATAACATAGCACCAGGCAATTGAAGCCGAGTGTTGTCTCCACGGAAAGAATTGGCCCGTGAGATGAGGTCAAGACTAACCTGATTAAGGAGGACAGACGGTTCAGAACAAGGATCATGACATCTAGCCCTCTCGTTGGAGTTGCCTCTTTCTCTGTTTGACAGGTCTTGCGTATCCAACAAAACAGCACGATTCGACCTGTCCATCATTGCCTGAAGGGGTTTAAAGCGTACAGTTGTACCTGGACTAATTCCCCGGAGCTGTGGGTCTTGGGTGGACTTGGAATGGACCACTCGGAAGATCGCGTATAGAGTAAGCCTGCAGAGGTTCATAATTTGTTTGTGTACTTCGTACTAGTATGTACTTTCGAACCGTGGAATGTTGTGCCTAGCAATGGTAGAATCACTATGTAGCTTACTCTGGGCTATTCAAGTTAGTGGGGAGAGAACGAAAAGGGGCATAAACGAGTAAAGAGGAAAAACAATTAAAAGAAATGATGAAAATGGAAAATTCAGAAACAACAGACTCGACCGTTATGTGGATCTTGTTGATCTTTTGCCTGGAGAGCCTGGACAATGAGCGCATCGTGATCTGCGAGGATTCATCCCCCTTGAGATTTGGCACTTTACCTATTACCTTTTCATTCTTTGCTTTTTTCTTTGCTTAAATTTCCGTTTTTTTTTTTGCTTTTTGTCGTTTCTTTGACTCGTGATGAGCTTGAGTTCCCACAGTGTATTCGGGTGTTTAGGTTTGTAGTACGGAGTACGGAGTAGTGAAGACTGCTTTTTTTCTAAATCAGCACCACATCCCCCAATAGAGCTTGGTTCGATGGGTCACCATGGTTAGTGTGATACTTGATACACTTCGCAACTCCTGTAACCAAGAATAGACCGTCGAGAGGTGGATAACGAGGATCTCCACCCGGTGCTGCAATCAATATGTCGTAAGCCTCTCACTGGCGGAAGTGATGATCCACCCGACCGTGAAAGATCCAGGTCTCCATTTCTCGATATTCCCTGAAGGCTAAGGGGTAGATGGCTCCAAATGTGGACTCGGAGACCGGGGTACTGAGAGGAGCCAGGGTGAGTCTGTTCCTGACCCAATACCTTGAATCGAGTCCCGGAAGCCTGCCGGCTCCCAATCCATCAGGGGTATATAAACACCCACGGTAGATCAGCTTCGAGGATCTTCATCGCTCAACTGTCTTTTTTTCTTTCTCTTCACCTTTCTCAGTCTATCTTTAATACCTAAGGCGGCTTTTTCTGCCAGCCTTGCCGGTCTCTCGCTTCTGTATTCAGAAGACACTCGTTAATACTTCACAACAGCGTTTGACCTACACATTCGTTAATATACACACACAACATGCGTCCCTCTCTCGTTATGCTCGCCGGTCTGGCGGGCTCTGCTCTCGCATACCCCACCGATTTGGCCATGGAGAAGCGCACCTTCGGTCTCCTGGCTGAGATCCTCGGTGATGTCACTGTCGATGTGACTTCCATCCTCAGCGCTGTGCTCGGTCACGGCCACTCCTCGGTTTCCCTTCTCGCTGGTCTGAGTGCCGAGGGTGCTGCCGCTCTCGAGGGTGGTGCTCTTGGTTGCAAGGCTGGTGCCATCCACGCCCACGCTAAGCTTGCCCTCAAGACTTGGTTGCTCCTCCACGCCAAGATCGACGTCTCTCTCAAGAAGTCTCTCCTCGCCTGGTGTGAGGGTGACGATGAGTTGACTCTCTCCGCTGATATCCTCGCTGCCCTGTCCGTGTACATCCCCGGATGTGCTGACCTCGCCGCCAAGGGCCAGCTCTACGTTACCATCGACGGTATCTTTGCTGCTTCCAGCCTCGAGTCCGCTCTCGTTCTGAGCATCGGCGCTCAGTCTTCTCTCTCTGCTTGGATCGAGGCCAAGGCTGGTCTTGATGTTGACGTCAAGGCTGGTCTCGGTGTCTGCGCCGCTGGTGGTGTCATCGCCTCCTTGTCCGCTGACATCAAGGCTTCTCTCCTCGCTTGGATTGAAGGCAGCGAGTGCGACCTCTCCGCTGAACTCAAGGTTTCTGTCCTTGCCTGGATCCACGGCCACGCCGGTGGTCACCTTGTTGAGCTCGGCTCCGTTGGTGCCGGTGCTCTCTCCACTGTCTCCGTCGGTGCTTCCGTCGGTGTTCACGTCGAGGAAGCTGGCCACCTCTCCGTTGGTGGTAAGGCCTCCCTCGCTGCCTTCCTCGGTGCTGATGTTTCCGCCAACCTCGGCGCCGACGTTCAGCTCGGTCTCCAGGCTGCTGCCAAGGGTGAGCTCGCCGTCTCTGTCGACGTTGACGTTCGCACTCAGCTCGCTATTTGGCTCTCCGGCTCCGACTGCACTCTCGGTGTTGAGCTGAAGGCCGTTGTCCTTCTCTGGCTCTCTTTCGCTGTCGAGTCTGATGTCTCTGTTTCCCTTGGCCTTGTCGGTGGTCTCCTCGGCGATGTCAGCGGTATCCTCACCGAGACTCTTCTCGCTGGCCTCAGTGTCGACCTCCGTGGTGCCCTCTCCCTCTGCGCCGCCGGTGGTAGCATCGCTGATCTCTCCTTCGACGCTCGTGCTGAGCTTTCTGCTTTCCTCAGTGGCTGCACCGATGTCAGCATTGACGTGAGCATCCAGATCATCATCCTCCAGTGGTTCACCGGCTGCAGCATCCCTGGTGCCCCTACTCCTTCCTCCTCCGTCCCCAGCCTGCCTTCCAGTACTCCCTACAAGGCGAGCACCTCTGCCATCCCCTCTGGCCCCGGTGCCTCCGTCTCCGTCTCTGTTCCTTCTGGTCCCGCTCCCTCTGGACCTGCTGGTTCCGTCTCTGTCTCCATCCCCGGTGGCCCTGCTCCCTCTGGCACCGTCCCCGGTGGTAGCCCCTCCGGTGTCTCTCCCACTGACACCCCTGCTTCCTCCGGCCCTGCTGCCACTACTCCCTGTGACACTGAGACTTCCGAGATCGTTGGCTCCACTGTGATTCCTGGCCCCAGCGGCTCTGGTCACGTCACCATCCCCGTTGTCCCCACCGGTACTGCTCCTGCTGAGACTCCTTCCGGCGTTGCCCCCACTGGTACCCCCGGTGCCTCTGGTCCTGCTCCTTCCGGCCCTGCTGGCTCTGCTACCATCTCCATCCCCAGCGGCCCTGCTCCCTCCGGCCCTGCTGGTTCCAGCCCCGTCCCCAGTGGTCCTGCCGCCAGCACTCCCTGCGACACTGAGACTTCCGAGATCGTTGGATCCACTGTGATCCCCGGTGGCCCCAACGGCGGCTCTGTCACTGTCCCCGCTGTTCCTACTGGCACTGCTCCTGCTCAGACTCCCTCCGGCCCTGCTCCTTCCGGTCCCGCTGGCTCTGCCTCCGTCTCTGTCCCCAACGGCCCTGCTCCTTCCGGTACTGCTCCCGCTGAGACTCCTTCCGGTGTCTCTCCCACCGGTACCCCTGTGCCCTCCGGCCCTGCTGCCTCTACTCCCTGTGACACCGAGACTTCCGAGGTTGTTGGTTCCACTGTGATCCCCGGTGTTCCCGCTGAGACTCCCTCCGGCCCCGCTGGCACCACCCCCGCTGGTTCCGTTCCTGCCCAGACTCCCACTGGTGTCTCTCCTACCGGCACCCCCGCTGGCTCTGGCCCCGCCCCCTCCGGCCCCGCCCCCCACTGGCTCTGCCCCCAGCGGTCCTGCTGCTTCTACCCCCTGTGACACTGAGACCTCCGAAGTTGTTGGCTCTACCGTGATCCCCGGTGTCCCCGCTGAGACTCCCTCCGGCGTTGCTCCTACCGGTACCCCCGCTGCTTCCGGCCCTGCTCCCTCTGGACCTGCTGGCTCTGCCACTATCTCCGTCCCCAGTGGCCCTGCTCCCTCCGGCCCTGCTGACACCACCCCCTGCGACACCGAGACCTCCGCCGTTGTTGGTTCCACTGTCATTCCCGGTGTTCCCGCTCCCTCTGGCACCGCTCCTGCTGAGACCCCCTCCGGTGTCTCTCCCACCGGTGTTCCCGTTCCCTCCGGCCCTGCCGCCTCTGGCCCTGCCCCCAGCGGTCCCCAGGCCACTGGCTCCGGCTCCATGCCCAGTGCTCCTTGTGATACTGGTTCCAGCCCTGCCCCCACCAGCCCTCCCACCGTTCCCTCTGGCGGTGGCTCCGGTCAGGAGGTTGTCACTGTCACCGCGACTGTGACTGCCACCGTCTGCGGCTGCGAGTAAGGCAAACACGCCATTTCTGGACATATATTCTGAGAATACCTCATATAGAGATTTCCTTCAAATTTGTTATTTTGTTATTTGTTTTTGATGATATGACCTTCAGCACTGTGAATTGGTAGCGTGGCGATCTGTCGCGTCTGATACCCGCCTGTCTTGTGCTTTGGTGTGTCCCCAGCCTCCTGTCTGTAGATATTTAATTCTAATCATAATCCTGGCTGGAGATTGAGACCCTTTTCATGTACGGAGTACTTGTTCGTATGCTTGGGCCTTTGGTTGGCAGGAGAGGTTGAGGGATTCGGCGACGAAGATCCCTGTTATCATCTAATGATTTGAGCACATATTTACCTTTCCCTTGAATGGAGTACATTCCTTACTTTCATCTGTGGTCAAGCCTTAGACTCAAGTAAAGAACATCCATCCCCCGGGCTATACATGGATGTTCTATCCAGTACAAATAAATCATTGACAGTTGTTTGGACCATCCTTAGCTCATGTCTACTGATTGCAAGTGAAAGAGCAGTCAGCTCAACGATGATAGAACGACAAGATGATTTGTACACGCTAATGCTTCATGGCCTTTGGGCATGCTTTCAGGTTCAGACAAACTTTCTTGCACACATGCCACGCTCGGCTCTGGCGGTGCCGTGACCCCGTTAACCGGTGGTCAAATCTTCTACTGCGCCGAGCCGTCCAATCCTATCCGACGCTGGGCGATGAGCTTCTCACGCCGTAGCCTTTGTTCAAGGATATTGGAGTTGATTCTCATCCAGGGAGGCTTCCTGTAAGACTAGATGAAAAGACCCTTTAGTTAGTGTTGCTTGATCATGGCAGTGTGTTTAAGAGAACAAGTAATGACATTGTTCCGTATGCATTAGGTGTAATGTGGTAAAGGTACAGGTTGGGAAATGAATCAAATGCTTTTTGTTTGGCATATCTCTCAATCACACACCATATCAGCGTCCTGAGTTCCACTGTCATGGGTGGCCGGGGGCCTGATGGTTCTGGGTGTTCATCAGCCGTTTTGCGACGTTTCTCCTCAGGGGCATGATCAGCAGATGGGCTACGCTGCTTCTGATTTCCGGGGCTGTGTCTATCCACTGAGCGACGGCGCTTGCTATCATAATCCTTCTGGGGGCGGGGGCTGCGGCTGCGGCTGCGGCTGCGGCTCTGACTACCACTGGGACTGCGACGCCTGCGGGTATGATCACGATCACGGTTACGGTTACGGTCAGGGCTGCGGCTCAAACGACGGGAATCGCGGTCGCGGCGAGACCGGTGAGATGTGCGTCGGGAACGCGAGCGGGAACGTGAGCGAGAGGGTGATTTTGCGTTCTTGGGGCGTCGACGGTGCACATCGTAATCGGGCGATGAGGACTGACTGCGGCGTTTTCCTCTGGGGGATCGTGAGCGCGAGAGACTGCGGGAAAGGATGGATCTAGATCTAGCACGGTCACCGTAGTCCGGGCTGGGCCTTCTCGCTCCTCCGCGGTTGCGTCTGTTGGGAGATACTGATCTGCTTGGAGAGCGACGACGGCGCTCACGGGGCCGGTGGCGAGGCTCATTACGATCGCGGCGGGGTGAGGATGGTTTGGGGGATCGAGAGCGAGATGAAGGGCGAGTGTAGTCAGGAGTTCTGGATGCCTGGCGGCCTCGGGAGTTACCAGGCGGCACATAGGAGTCCAAGTCCCGTCGCGATGGGGGCTCACGGAATCGGTCTGGGTTGCGGCCTTGGTCTCTCGGAGGTGGAGAGCGTCGGCCAAAGTCTCGGCCTCCCCGACCACGGCCACTGCCCCCAGCGCCTCGTCCGCGGTCAGATCGCTCGCGACGTCTCAAATGATCGATGTCCCGTTCACGGGCTGTGTCTTGTTCTTTTTGTCGTCGGGCAGCTTCGGCAGCTTTCTCGGCTTCGAGCTATGGTGAGGTGGTGTCAGCGACGGATCATGTCAACTGGATAATGATAAGTACCTTCTCTTGAATGAGCTCGAGTTTCTTAGCTTCTAGAAGCTCCTTCGGGACACCCTGTGGGTTTTCCTGGCCACTGAGGCACAAGGACCATAGCTCCTGGCAGAACTTAGCGGTATCTTTGTCTAGGAATCCGGTGAGTTGGATTTGGAGAGATTTGATATCAGGCTGGACACAAGCGCAACAAAGTCAGTAAGCTGCGGGTCGCGCTAGATCTGCCGGTGGTAGACGTACATAGCGAGCCCCTTCCAAATGCCCAAAACAAAGCTCGATAACGACGTCATCCTCGTTTCCGAGGATTTCAGAGATTCGACTTGCAATCCACCTACAAAGTGAAAACCAAGCAATGGGTCAGTGATCAATTGACGAGGCACTGGAATCTGCGGAATATCACTGACTTCTTCATCACTTCGATGTTGACCTTGGTCATGTCCACCTTCCGATTAAACTCAGGAGGGAACTTGGTGCGCTTGAGCAGCTTGGCATCGACGGAAGACGCCATTTTTGGGAAAGGTAAAGGTGAAGAGGGAAAGATAATTTACACAAGAGAGAGGGAGACATCTTGGAGCACGAGATGGTAACTGCACAAGTGGGCCGTTCCCGTGGCCGTAGTGCTGCCGCCTCAATCATCAGGCGACAAATGCAGCGAGATTGAAGCTCCGTTGGTGGGTGAGTACTAACGAACAAAACTGGTAATTAGAAAGATCAACACCAAAATAAAGGTATACTTTGACTTAATAGCTCAGAAACCTTGGAATCATATGCTAAGCATGTATGTGGCTAGGTACTTTTTCAACTAGTTGATAGTTCGAAACATATTGATGCCCATACTGCAGGTGTTTATATACAATTGGTAATACATGATCAACGTGCAGTACGGATCTTGGGTACCACAGCAGTTAAGATATACTGAAGGATGCACAGCAGAGGCTAGCAGTTTAGACAGTCCCGTACTCATATGTTTCCAAATTTACCCAGGTGCTAGGAACAATTGCAGGGAAAGTCTTCACGGTGACATATTCCAAGGTTGTATATCGCTTGCAAAATCTTGGAATAAACCTGGGCAAGCCTTTAAATCCATGGATATTGCCCAGCTCTGGAGATAGCTAGTTGGATACTTTAGATCCTGTGCTCAAATTCATTCCCCTAGAACCTTGGAAACAAGAAAGATGTCCAGGTGGATCTAGTGGTGTTCTGGCCGAGTCTCAGTACGGAGTATGAAATACTGACAGGATAGACTCAGGACCTTACTGAATGTTGCCTACTTCGTAGACATATGAGTGTTATTTATCCCTAAATCCATATGATCTGTGAAAGTTTGAAAAATCTTGGAACTGGAATCAGAATAATCTTCAACCTTGGAATCCAAATTTCATCCTGTCATGTACCTAGTTTCATGTACCTAGTTTGCTTGCAAACACGCAATTGAAATCCTCGCCCCCAAGGTTGGTCACGTTAAGTCGATCTGTGGGCTACCCAGGGCTGCAGACGATGTATTAAAATCACAGGTCGAATTCTTCAGTTCAATTTATATTGCTGGTTGCAATGAGTGGTAGTTTTACTCCGTAGAATGTGATTAGAAGTGAGAAGCCTTGACTTAGTGAAATGGATTTAAACAGCAAAGTTGAGAGTGTGTTCACATAGTAAAACAGCATTAATCGCATGAGGTGGTAAAGCCGTACGATGACGCATGGAGGTTAGAGCCCAGGTGGAACCTGGTCGATCCATGAAAAGGCTCGAGCATGCCGCCTCCAGGGCTGGCATTTGATGTTCTCTAGCTTTGCTCTTCTTTTTTCTTTGGAAAGGAATGCCTCCTTGAATAGGGCTTTATATTGAACAGGATCACTCAAAGGACACAAAAATATTCCGACCTTTCGAAGCCAGCGAAGGGAACTTCTTCACCACATTCGAGTATGTTGTGGCTGGTCGTCATGGTAACCACCACTCACGTGATGATATAGCGCGACACTCGCGACGAAATCGAGACGGCCTTTCTTTCCCCTGGAGCAACAACAAACGACCAAATTGGAGGGGCCGCATTGATTCACGACTTCAATGTAGGTTGCACGCCATGGCTTCTCCGAATTCCCTCCCAACATACAACGCCAGATACCAACCATCCCGGCCAATGTCCCGATCCACGGTTGCACGTTCGGGTTCTAGACGGGTATCGCCATCAACACAAGCCGCACCAAAACACTACTCCGCAGGCGACAGTTCCGACGAAGAGGTCCCCGAACCGAAATTCAGTGCATCCGTTAAAGCGCTGTTACATGGCGATGGACTTAGCTCGTCACCGCACCTCCACAAGGCTCAACCGGTGTCGCAGGAACGAATTGCGACTTCGAGGCAAAGTCGGTCCCCTCGCACCTCATCGCCTCACGATTCATCCAATGGAAGCCCGGCACCAAGAGTTGTTCGCATAGGCGCCATTTCATCCGGTGCCAGATTCTCACGCGAAAGCTCCCCGCTTTCCAACAGCCAGAGCGCTGAACCGGAACACCACAGCCACCCTAATGATTTTGTTACCCCAGCCCCCCGACAACGCAGTGTTCGTATCAATGTATCGCGCAGTAACTCGAATTCTCCCGCTTCTGCCTCGCCATCCGGAAGGCGTTCGGCAGAACGTAATTCGGGCGATGAATACGGCAGTGCTGAGCGCTCTGACAGTGATCGCAAGTCCCACTACGACGATGATCCGGCATCCCGGTATATTCCGTCCTCAGCCCTCCGGGGGCGTGGTGGCGAAGAGATAGCACCTCACAGCTCATTGCGCGTGAAGCGAGTCGGTCGGCTTGCGGGCAGTTTCCTCAATGGCCCCGCTCGGAGAGGTGTTCTGAGGCGACAGAGTGAAGAGAGCAACGAAGAAAACAACAGATATCTTTCGGCGGATGGCGTTCAGGAAGACGTGGAAGGAGAAGAAGCAAACGCCGAATATCAGACTCGCAACCCTGCCAAATCTTCATCACCCAAGGTCTCCTGGGCGGATCCCAATCCGCCCGTTTCACGCGAGTCCCTTCGCTCCGAGTATCCCTTTCGCCCGGCTGAGGTTGAGGGTCCATTCTCAAGATCATCATCACCGAAGTCTTATGGATCCAAGTCAACACCTGGTTCATCCGAAGTATCATCAAAGTCATCTATTGCGAAGGAACAGCCTGTCTTCAAGGTTCCTTCAATACCAAATCTGCCGTCGGTTCGTGACCAGGAAAATGAGCCGCCACCAACGTTCCGCCGCAACAAGCCCCAAGGTTTGAATGTGATGGACAAACCCGACAAGTACAACGTCGTTTACGATACCGAAAAGAAAGATGCAGTCGAAACTCCAGCTGGAAGCTCGGCACGGAAGATACTCGCCACTAAGAGCAACAACACGCCTCACAGGGCCGCACCTCCTCCCCCCTAAGATGTCAGTCTTGGAGACTGCAACTTCGACTGCAGGTACTTCGACATCCCAGTCTCGAAAGAAAAAATCACAAGTTTCAATCAATGGGAAGCACTTCACCCGTCTCGATTGTATTGGTCGAGGTGGCAGTTCTCGCGTTTACCGGGTGATGGCTGAGAACTACAAGATCTTTGCCCTCAAGCGAGTGAACCTGGAAGATGTGGATCCCCTGACTCTGACTGGATATAAGGGTGAAATTGACCTGTTGAAGAAATTGGAGAATGTCGACCGTGTGGTGCGCTTGTTTGACTGGGAATTGAACAACGACAAACACGCCCTTAGCGTACTTATGGAGATTGGAGAGTCTGATCTCGAGAAAATCCTTACATTCCGCCTCAACGCCGAAGATGCTACTTTCGACATCAACTTCACCCGTTTCTATTGGAAGGAGATGCTGGAATGTGTCCAGGCTGTTCACCAGTATAACATTGTTCACTCTGACCTCAAACCAGCCAATTTCCTAATGGTGCAAGGCCGCTTGAAACTTATCGATTTTGGTATCGCTAATGCGATTCAAGACAACACCGTCAACGTTCACCGCGAGCAACAAGTCGGCACCCCTAACTACATGTCACCAGAGGCCCTGGTAGATTCAAATGTCTCTCTCGGTCTGCCAGCCAGCGTTGGAAAAGTCATGAAATTAGGAAAACCCAGCGATGTCTGGAGTCTTGGTTGCATTCTGTACAAGATGGTATATGGACAACCGCCCTTTGCAAAAATCGCCAAATATTACGAGCGCATCATGGCGATTCCCAACCCGCGTGTACAAATTGATTTCCCAGCTTTCGGCATCGGCGGTGTGCCGGTGCCTCCCGGTCTTGTACGCACCCTCAAGCGTTGCCTCCAGCGTGATCAGACTCTCCGACCAACTATCGAGGAGATGCTTGGCCCTCGAGACCCGTTCTTGCATCCCGATGCTCAACTCGAGGGCGCGGTTCCTGTCACACAGGACATGCTCGGTCGTATTCTGGCCAACGTCGTAAACCACTGCAAGGCCCGAGGTGTGCCCAGAGAAGAAGAGCTGGCCGCATGGCCTGCAGGCTTCTTTGCAAAAATCAAAGCAGCCCTCGAAGAAGAAAACGCATGACAGCCCTCACCACTCCTTTACTTTATTTCCTTTGTCTCGGCCACCTTGGTGGCGCTATTACATGTTACATTGTTGGTTAGAACGACTTGATGATTGGCGTTGGATGTGCTCTTTTTAGGTCTGTTTGGTTGATTCGCGAAATATCTACCTGTCCTTCTTTGCATTGATTCTTCTTTCTGCATCATCCTTTGTGGTGTTTGGTTGGCCCACCCATGTCTCTTGGTGGATATCCCTTGACGAATTTCGGTTCAGCGCAGCGTGTGGATTTTTCTTGTTGTATATGATTTCATTACCCTCTTCTTCTCCATCCGGATACTCATATAGTGTCCGGATCAAGGGAGTCCAGTGACTCCAATTTTTGGTTAAAATCTTAATGAATGACTTTGACCACTTTGAACCTCATGATCCCGGTTCTCTATATCGCAAAATATCTGCGCTCTTTCCCGAGTGTGGCACGGAGTAGATCGACTTGCTGCCACTGGGCTACGTAAACTTTGATCCAGAGTACAGTTATGTCTTCATAAATCATGGTTGATAAATGCCTGACTATCTAGAAACTAGCTATGTCCATTGAGAAGCCAAACATGCAGAATACTTTTTCGTCTGAGATCAATGAACTTGATTTTGCGCCATGAACACCACCCAAGAATAGAACAGCCTACGTAGGCTGCATGTATCGAGAAAGGGAAATTGAGAACTGCCTGAGCATGGAGGTATAGATGAAAGGCTGATGCCAATCGGAGGATAGTGGGGAATTGGTGTTGATTTAAACCAGGAGGACACTAGAAATTGTCAGTTTGGGAATCAAAGGTAGGTCTGGTACGTCAAGGAAACTCACGCGTTGACACAACCGTCGTTCTCGGGAGTGTTGGTCACCTGGGCCCATTTACCCCAGACAACTTTACCGGAAGTGGTAACGAGACCCAACTCGGAAACGTTGACTTCGATAATGGTTCCCTTGGTCAAGACACCCAGCTGGGTATAGAGAGGGTTCTGGGGGTTCTTCTTGACGGAGAGAATGGGAAGTTGAACAGTGACAGCAAGTTCGGGACTAAAAGGGAATATCAATATCAGGTCTCGCACATCTCAAGAAAGATAGAGAGTATGTAGCAGGGAAAAACATACTGTGTGACGTTGGCCTTCTTGTAACGCAGACCCATGGGACGAATGAAGCGCTCGTACTTGACGGGGCGACGGGTGAAGTCGTTACCGACGAAAGTGGGCTTGGTGATCATGCGCTTCCAGGACTTCTTGTGGGTCTTCTTTCCGGTGTTGACAACCTTGAACATCTCCTCCTCACTGATACCCTTGACCTTGGGCAGGGGAACGGCGAACTTGGCAGCCTTCTCGTTACGCTTGTCCTTAATGGCACTCGAGAGGGCCTTGGCGTTGGTCTCCTGCGACCGGTCGAGCAGGTACTGGGGCAGAGGAGTCTTAGAAGGCTCATCGGGCGCAGCGGACTTGACGTTCTTCTCTTCCTGGGCCTTGATGCGCTTCTTCATAGAAATCTTCTCCTTGTGGCGCTGCTGCTGGTACAGCTTAGCCCGCAGACCACGCAGGTTCTGCGCATCGTGGGACTGCTTGTGTCCCTCACGGGCCTGGCGCTTGCGCTGACGCTCATCGTGGTCAAGGCGCTTACCGTGCTGCTTCTGCCAGCGCTCAATGTACCTGAAGGGGAAAAAAGTTAGTTGGGGAAGATTCGGCGTGGCTGGCGGGGATGGACGAACTCGTTCTGAGGCTGTAGAGAAAATTTAGGTTAGCAAAATTCCGAATCTTGAATCAAGAGGCTCAAAATAACAGCAAAAACATACCATGATTAATGATGATTGAACAGCACTGAATACTGGGTGGTTGAAGTTCTCGTCTTGTCTAATCGGCCTCGAAAAAAGATGGCGCGCCACGTGACATGCACTATCAGCACGTGATCCATCCTGTGGCCGGCGTAGTGAATTTCTTCTACGAGTAGTTAGGCAAGCCGCTCTCGAGGTCCAACCAACCATTGTCAATCTCGGTGTGAATTGAGCGTTGACAAAAGCCCAGCAAACATGTTCTCCCGATCTGCTCTCCGGAGCCTCGCCTCCGACCTGCGCTGGACAGCGCCGTCTACAATTTCATCAGCTCCCCTGCAGCAACGAGCATGCCTCCATCAAACTGCGTCTTTGATGAATTCGCAACAATCCCAGAGCCAATCTGCATCCAACCACCCCGAATCTCCCCTTAGCGCAACTCCCCGGGCCCAAGATGCCAAACCCAAGGGTATTCCACCCTCCAACAACTTCAGCGAAGAGACCATGACTCCCCTCACACGCGCCGATGTCCCTCTTGCGAAACAACCTATCGAACCCACCTTTACAACTCCTCTCAAAGTGACGAAATCTATGCTCTCACAGCTTCCCCACCTCGCTGGCCAGAAGCCACACTACGTAGTCGCCCAATTGCACGCTCGGCCATACCTTTTGACTGAAGGTGACCACCTGCGTTTGCCTTTCCTCATGCCCAAGGTCAAGGCTGGAGATATCTTACGATTCAATCGTGCTTCGGCCGTTGGATCGCGTGACTTCACAATGAAGGGCACCCCGACTATTGACGAGCGCATCTACGAGTGCCGGGTTCGTGTGACTGGAGTGGATTCTGAGCCACTGCGCATTAAGGAAAAGACAAAGCGGAGACAACGACACACTAAGCATGCTACGAGTAAGCACCGCTACACTCTGATGCGTGTTATGGACGTGCGGGTCAAGACCCCGGAAGAGCTTTTGGCGGAAGGAGCCGTGGTTGTGGAGGACGGAGTCGATGCCACGGTTATTGAACCTCGGTCCTGATCGAATGCTCGGCAATTGAGGCGCGATCGTTCAAGTCGAACATCTGATAGTGGACTACGGTCCGGAAGTGGTCTTGTGGCATTGAGGATGCCAGCCGAAGCATGGTCCAATATATGGGTCTTTATTGTCGTCCTGTCGTGATGGATGATATTTATGCGGCATATTTGTACAGATAGATGGATTTTGGGCTGTTCTATGTATGCATTGTATTCTATAGTATCGACTTTTTTTCTTTTGGTCTGTTCCAATATTGCGGGTGCGTAGGACGTCAATGCGTTGGTAGTTCCCCAGTCTTCGAGGTCCTGGCCGAATCCAAATCATAATGATATTCAATCCGTTCCTTGTGGTCTTCGTGTCAGCTGAAAAGCCCTTCCATGATCTTCTCATCAAGTTGGAAAAAACTACACTGTGGATTGGGGATAATGGGGAACTGCGGACATCAACAACCCTCACTTCTTGTACTCGATAGGCACGCGTATTAGTGCTGACCGCCGGTATGATCCATGGATGCCAATTTTACACCCTCCGGGGCTATTTTGCATGGCTTCGGTGCATGGTCAGCCATGGTCATACTTTGTTAAACAAACATTCAAGTTCTCGACGCAGCAGTGGAACTCTTAAACACTGGAAGTATTTCAGAGGCCGAGAATCACGAATCAATCACACCATGATTCACACTGACTCGGCAATATGGTTCAAAATAAGAAGAGAAACCAAGGTAATGTATTGTTCCGTGCCCAATATTGAACACATTCGGCAAATTGCGTAAAGCTATGGCGTAGACACAGAGAAATTCTGATACTTACCACTCCTGACTAGCCTTCCTCCTGATAGATAGCCCCATCCTCTGGTGCTTCCTCTTTCAGGTGAATTGCTTTCCGCTTCCTAATGGGTAAGTCGGTGCTGTCAAATCGCCACCAAAAGACAACATACCTGCATTCCCTGCCGATGATCTCAGAACGACGTGCGTTAGTGCATCCCTCGTTTGAGAGCCATTCGCGAATGCTTGTTTCAATCAGCTGTTGTCCAAAGGCTTGTTATGTTGAAATCCCTTACTTGATGGACTTCCTTGCGCAAGCCTTCTGGTCAGTGGTTTGCACTGCCTTGTCAACTGTAGCTGGTCGGTCTTGGTTGTCCAGGGTTGATCGTGACTGGGCCCCATGAGGTGTCTCTTCATCATCGGAGTCAAGTACTTCAAGAGAGTCACTAGGAATTTCAGTCAATACCCAATTATAACTGGTAATTATCGAAATAGCTAGCACTCCATGGTTCACCACTCACAGAAGACCATGTTCGGATATCACCTTGTCTGAAACTACCCAAAGACCCTCAAGATCCTTGTTTCCCTGTGAAAAGATAAGCACCAGCTGGGATAACAAAACAGAAAACTCACACAGTGCCGCTTCATGATATGCTTGCGGATTGTACCCCCACAGTGTACCCCATCTGGAATTCCTATTGCTGTCTTTCCAGCCCTAGGAGAATAATCACAGAATGGGCATAGAGAGAAGCAACGGGCAACAACCTTTGTAAGTGGTTAGTATTCAAGAGATACATCTGACTCCAAGAAGATCACTTACCACAGGGCCAGTCTTGCGGAATCTTTGATACCGGTCGTCTCCTACATGCTGGGTACAATAGCACGCGCGCTTCTTGCTATGAGATAAAATTAGTATTTGATCGATTGCTGGAATTATATGGATTGAGAAACTCACAGAAATCGGTAGTTGAGGTTTTCTTTTCCACCTTTCGCTGTAATCTCAGCGGTCACACGCCGGCCTTCCTTGCCAGTGGGGAGGAGAGCTTCTACACGCTGCAGCCATTGCTTGTATGCCTCTTTCTGCTGAATCTCTGCCAGAGCGGATGGAGCCATCGTGCACAGTTGAGGAAAAGGGTGACGGAAACAGTGGAGAAAGGATACGTGATCTTGAGAGTGAGGTCAGTAAAGTACAAAATCAATTTTGTGATACCATCCAGATGTCACGGCCTCCCCTCCCCTCCATCAAGATGATGGTCAGCCTCATGGTGTGAGTAGAAAGCCAGAGATCAACCATAAGGTTGATACCCCAGCTGCATCACAAAATTGAGACCGGGAGGGAGGGTGTGGGTCATCCATACTCATCCATAACAAGGAAAAGAAGTCACGAGAAGAAAACATACCAAAGGTATCAGGTGGGGAGCTTGAGGAGTGAAAAGGCGAAGAGTTTGAGGAAGGAGGAAGAGAAAAGAGGAAGAGGCAGAGGAAGAAGAAGGGCTCCCCGGGAGAGAGACTTGAATTGGGATAGAGGGTGACCTATACTGCCAGCAACTACTGGTAGCTACCAACACTGAGATAGCACATTAAGTTACCAGCTGTCAGTCTTTTCTCCGGCCTGGTGGCCCTACTAACACAGGCACCATGTGTTTGCATGAGAATTTGGACACAGGAGAGCATCAAGTGAGGTGTTGCTACCTACCTTTCTATACAAACCACGCTTTTTAATTAACAACAGTCTATAAAATTCTATATACAGCAAAATGACTTCAAATATCTTGTTGGCCATCGTGAAATCCTTCAGGGATTGGATAGAGACCCGTGGACAGTGATGTTGATTTCACAAAAAACAAAATTCTGAAAATTTTGATGATTGACTCCCTAGCCATGCATTCTGAATCATCAAAGTTATGTAGATCAAGCATCTAGAAGTCTGCATACGGCGTCATCATTCACTTGAAATGGTCTTTGGCGGGGTTATGGAGGGGTCATAAACCAACGCTAATGTCTGTGCTTCACAAAAAGTCGTACCCTGACTGTTCCAATCATCCAAACCGACAAGAAGGCAGAAGCAAAAGCAGAGAAACATATTGGTCAAATTAGTTCGGTGGTTCTAAAATGGCCGAGGTGATCGGTACTGTTGCAGCGGTCTTGCAACTGGCCCAAGCAGTCGCCTCAACAGCCCTCGAAGTCTACGATTTCTTTTCCGTGATTCAGAATGCCCCACGAGAAATCCGGGTCATCAATACAGATGTGCATGCATTTTACATGCTTGTCAATAATTTGGCAACATCCTTACTAAGTCCCAGTGTTGTGGCCGCTGTTGCTGACGATGCCGAGATTGAGACTGCCCTCAAGACCTTACTTGAACCTATGAGGAATTGCCGTGTGGTGTTGAACCGCATGAAAGATAAGCTCAGTCCTCATTTGAAGCCAGATATGTCTACAGCCCAGGCCGCTGGTCAAGATTCAGAAGGTGGCAGTTCGATTTCAGCTGAACGATTGCGAATGAGAAGCGGGAATGTGAGTTGGTACTTCAAAAGGAGAGAAGTTTTTGCTACGGCTCTCGAGTTGGAAAGAACCAAAGCAACCTTTGGGGCTACTATGGGAGGTATCACAATGTAGGTAGCAAGCCCATACCCCCCCCAACCCATCCTTTGTACCCCAAAGCATGGCCATTTGACTCGGTGGCTAAAATCTTGCAGGATCCTGGTGCTCAAGGGAGCAAGTTTGAAGGATCAGCCAAGGAAGATGGCCTATAAGCACGAGTTCGATCAAGACGCCGGCTCAGCGTTGAAGGTTTACGCCACTTCTGTATTCGAGGTTGGAGAGGATGACCGATCAGTCAATGAGTCCACGGAATCCTTTTCCACCAAAGTGGGCAGCTCAACCACCGGCCTTTCAGCAGACCCAGTTCTCGCCGAAGAGCTCAAAGCAGGAGTCAACAGCAGATCCAAATTTGTTGTGGAAGCTGTCCTCCAACATGTGCACGTCGATGTTCGAGATTCAAAGGGCAGAACTGCCTTATCATATGCGGCGGAGAATGGGCAAATCGAAATCACGGAGTTGCTGCTTGAAAGGGGCGCCCTAGTATCGGCCCGGCATTACAGTCTCAGTAGCTGCCATCGCGATAGTGGAAAGAGCCCGATACATTGGGCCGCCATGAAAGGACACAGAAACATTGTTGAGCTGCTCTTGCAGTACGGTGCTAATCCAAATGCGAGGACAACATCTGGACGCACCCCGATACAAGAAGCTTCGGCGGCGGGCCATAATGACCTTGTGGCGTTTTTCATTTCCAAAAAGGTGAACATCCACGCTCAGGCTTACTCCGATGTATGTTCATGATCCAAGTCCAATGGAAAGTATACGAAAACTGAAGCAATTTCTATAGGGCTGGTCGTGCTTGCACGAGGTTGTGTTCTTGAGGAATATCCCAGGAGTCAGGCTCTTGGTTGACGGCGGAGCCCTCTTGAATGTTCAAATCACAAGTTCCAAAGCACCACTACATCTCGCGGTGGTTCAGCAAAGCATTTCCATAATGGAGATACTACTCCAAGCCGGAGCTGATCCGAACATACCAATGAATGAAGACATCACACCGCTTCATCTAGCTGCTGCGGCAGGATGGACTTTGGGTATCGAACTCCTCGTCCGATTCGGCGCTGAATTGGATGCAAAAGATTCTTTGACACATGAGACACCGCTCCACAAGGCGGCCAGAAATCGTGAACTGCATGGTGTTCAAAAGCTTCTCGAATTGGGAGCCAATCCAGAAGAAACAAACTGTGATGGGCAGAACTATGAAGATATCTCGAATTGTGCTCAAGCGAGCCCACAAGACTGGGCTGTGGACAGCTATCGAGGTGCATATCTCATGTCATTACACGCAGGTACTATAAACTGAAGAAATGGTTCCTGATTTTCAATATTCCTCTGCTCTTATGACATGGTAGTCTATATAATAGATATTCTCCATCCCAAGCAGCTTGGCACAGCCCTGAGTCGTGTTCTTACCAGACGTTCAAGGCGTGGCGATGGATGTTTCGAAGGTACCAGGGCCGATGACTATGAGCTTCCAGGATTTTGGGCGTAACCCTCCCAAGGTTAGTTAACCCTTAATTACCATCAGACTACATGTGAAAGTCATATCAGATTCCAAATCAATTGGCAGTACTTGAAGATTGCGCCTAAGTCCCATCATATTATGCAATTGTATTTAGCTGCAGCTTCTGTCTGCATACTTCCAATGATTGCCTCTGGATCTCACCATATAGGTGGAACTCATCCGTGATACAAGCCCCAAGGAGTCGCTGAAAGCCGTCGAGGTCCGGATCTGCGTTCATGATCAACTTGCTGGACTGCGATGCATCCCCCAAGTTTGAGTTGAATATTCCGCCTGCAGACAAGGGAAGGAAATCTTCATAAGTCAACGGCTCATAACAAATGAACCCTTGGGCCACAAGGTCCCGAAGCAAAACAGTTGATTGTGAGCCTGGCGAATTGTTTGTGTTCTGGTTGGAAGATTGCTCTCCAAGAGGCGTCAATCGATAGAAGAAATAGGCTAGGCCCAGATCATGAAGCATCGGCAGGCTGTCGGGGAACTCTTGAAAGCTGTGTTTCAACAGTTTCTCGTATTCTTCTCCCTTTAAGCCTTGTTCCGTCGCTTTCAGATTGACCTTTTCTAGAATTTGATCGTAAAGTTGACGTCCCTTTCGAGTTAAGGCACAGCCGCGTTGCTCTACTTCACCAAAGCGCGCCGTATGAGACCCTTTGACGTATGAATCAAAATGGTCTTTGAAGTAGACAACTTCCTCAAGTGCCTTGAAACTTGTTTGTCTCAAAAGGATGGGACAAACTCGTTTGGGTGGCCCCTCAATGCGTTCTTTAGCGGGCATTCCATGATCGAGCATAAGCTTTTGAACCAGATCAATGTCAATAGTCCGCGGTGTGAGATGGTTGATATGTGAGCTTGGAAATGAGACGACGTCGGCAATCAGGGGATGTTCGGCCTTGAGCTGTTCATATTCATCTTGGGTGACGGTAGCTTTCGAGTGCCATCGGAATGTCTTCAAACCATTGGCGATAAACTCTGCACTCAGCTCAGGCGTCAAACTTCCCTGGCTCTCTGCAATATCTAGTAAGGAAAGAAGCCGAGGGGTGAAGATGTTGCGTTGTTCCAACGCCTTCCGCGCCAATTCTCGGGTCTTCTCGGTCAACAGTTCCATCCGCAAGACTGTAGTGAATACTCGGAATGGGTTCTTGTCGAGTGATTCTTGAGTATTTGGACGGAAAGCGGTGGCGTGCATTGGGAAGCCGGCAAGACTGAGATCGTAGTAGCCTACGGGGTACATTCCCATGACGGCAAACATACGGCGGATTGTAACTAGTTCATGTGCGGTGCCCAACCGAATGGCCCCGTGTCGCTCGACGCGGTGTCGAGAAGGCAGGATATCGTCGGGGTTTAGGATTTGAGATGCACCGTTTTGTTGGCTGTCTTGGACGGCTTTTGCATCTGCTTCCCAGACCACGTCGATGAGGTCACCGTATAGCGGAACCTCACTCTTGTACATCTCGGAAAGAGCATGGCAAAATCGAGCACGTATGTCATCTTGGTCCCACATCATAGTAAGAGTGATGAAAAGCAACTTCGACGAGGAAAGGTTGGCGAAGTGTATGAGATGGTTGTTAAGAGTCAAGTCCCTAGGGAAGTACCTCGTTTCAAATGAGATTTGAAATCTTCGAAAGGGAAGGGTTCAAACCAAGTTAGATCCTGGAATAATGAAGATATAAATACCCCATAGACAATAAGGTGAAATCGAGATTGCCGTGTTTATCCGCTATCTCACCTTTCGGGGAGATAGCGAAGACGGTGTACGGTGCATCCCGAGGTCGAGTCCTCACGATTTGATTCGATGTGAGTCACTGTAGACCACCTCTACTCACCGATATCCTACCTCTCCCCGATAACCGTTACATAAATGCGGGGGAGATGAGAGGAGATGAGGGTTCTATTACGCCATGCAAGGGCGATTTGGGGAGATATCCAAGACGCTATCGGTGTTTTGTGGAGACTCGTATCAGCCACGCCAATAAGATGAAAATCCGGGGGATCCTCAGCGCCGATGATCGCCGGATAACCGAGTAGGCAAGCGACTCCGCCTGATTTTGGGAATACAAAACATGTGGCTACAATCTCAGCTTCGGGCTTCTATTTGACTCACGTCATGGTTATCCCTGATTGTTTCGATCATGTTGTCTCTGTATCAACTTTCATTGTTGTGCTTGGACACTGTTCATATTTACTAACGGCTATATAGAGCAAATCCCAACCCTTAATAGCCGCCATCAATCTTGAAAATGTTAGGTGCAGCTGTCACTCCCAGAAACAAAAGTGCCATCAGAGTTCTCGCAGCCACATTCTCCGGTCTGAGGGTTCTTGATGCAGGTCGTACCGTATCCGCTGCTCTTTCCTTCGTCGCCCCAGTAGAAGACCCAGTAGTCTGAGTCCTCCTCCAGCTCAGAGCTGCTGGGAGCAGTGCAGGTGTAAGCGCTGCAGGTTCCGTAGGGAGCACCGTTGTTGGAGTCGTATTGGTGGTCAGTCTCGAAGACGGCAAATGTTTGAGTCTCAGAGGTGCGGGTGTTGTGGGAGCACTCGGCCGCCTGGATCGCCTTAGAGACCTTGGCAGCTAGATGTCAGTCAGCATAAAACCGTCCGCATCTTTGAGAATTAGCACTCACCGCTGCAGTTCAGGCTGCTCGGCTTGTAGCCCTTGGAGTTCGAAGAAGCTGGGTCGAGGGTGGCCGCAACAATTGCGGGAACCGCGAGCATGGCAATGAAGTTGACGAAATGCATTGTATACGATGTGAGGTTTCAAGATTGAATGATATCTGATGATTTGAGACAGAATGGAATGGCTGACTTTATATACACACATCACAGTGCCCACTTTTTGATCATCCAGACCTTACGACCCGGATCTAAATGAAGTTTAACTGACACAAAGCCATGTCGAGGGACAACAGCCAATGAGACCCAGCGCTAGCATTCGACTAATTAGATGGACTGTTCCATTCAATTTCTAGTCAGGGGAAGGGCCCACTTCATGGCTGCAAGGCCCCATATAAATTTGTATCAGGTTGGGATTTGAAACACGCACTCCCTATCGCCGGCTCCATGGCCTGCGGTGACCTTTCGATTCCTCTGTTGTGTCGTTCGAGAGGGACGAGCCTTTGCGTACAAAATTCCATTGCTGGCCGCTTTTATGATTGTCGTACTTAATTTGGTTTGCGTTTGTCTCCTTGCTGTACATCAAATCATTTTCCGCGGCATGGTGAACTATGCACTTACACGTACGCTCCTATATTCTCGTTTCATACAGATAGATGCGTTTGAGCATGCGGTTTCTGGTCTCACTTCCCTCCCCTGAGCGGTGGCCTCGCTCTGTGAGTCTAGACTCGTCGGACGGGTGACTACTATTTTGGAAATTTGTTGAGCCTCATTCTTTCGGATCGATCTCGGCCCAACCTGGCGCGCTATCTACCTTCTGGGCGATGCCTCCATTCACATACCTGGCAGCTGGCCATGACCGCATTACATCGCCATGGAGTGTGGTTTTTAGGACGTCGTGGCCGTCTGTCGAGTCTCATTTGGAAGGCGCGTTGGCCATTCATCAGATTCCTCTTTCATTTCAAATGCCTTCGTCGAGATCTATCTTCGTTCCAAACAATTCGACCGCAATTGGTTGATTTGTAGGCTTGGGTGCCATTCCAGGCGCTCCATTGTGAAAGAGACGGTAGAGGTTACGGTGCCAGTGCATACCACCTACCCACCTATCTCAAGCTTCAAATGAAGCCGATTTTCTGTACCTGGCTTCCTGAATTGATCTGCTACCGTTCTTGAACGGACATTTCATGGTTTCAGCAGGTCTTGTGACCCTGGCCCTGCTCCATACCGCCGGGATGCGCCTCATGAATCAGCCTGGGAGCGGCGACAATGCCCATCAGACTCCGATGTGCTCAGTGCATGCAGTCCCAGATAAGCTTCCGCTATAGTTGATCACATTCCGGTCGACAACGAGTCCTTGGGACAGGGCTAAGAAGTCTAGTTACGGTTGCTCGCTGCGGCCCTTCCCACCCGCCATGGCAACGGCTTGGGGGTGGCCATTCGTAGCCCACTACTACCGATTGTCTGGGAGGTATTGTGGATTCTGAAGACGGTTGGTTTTTATATTATCCCTGGAGACAAGTGACACGAGGCCGCAATCACTGCCGTCATCACTTTGTTAGGGCAATTTTCGATTTCACCTTCGACCATGGGGAAGTTGTGAGCCACCACCTAGGCTCTTCCACGTCACTGACTGCTGCTCCTTCGTTTCCGGCCAAGTCTTCACGACGAGTTTGCCACAACTGATAGACCGGGCCGGATTGTAGCATGATGTCAGCGTTTTGGCATGCCCAGGTGCCCAGGTGCCCAGGAGGCTGTTGATCGGAGCCGGGCCCGCGCATACGCGTATTCGTATTCTTATACAACACCCGATCTGTCGATCGTACTGGCTTCGAGCCGATCCATAAATGAAGGGAACAATCATGTTGAATTGACCTTTTACTTTCTTTCTCTTTCTCGTTTGACATGCATTGGACACTACTTGCCATCGCGGGTCAAACGGCCCTAGGCCTTCAAGCTGCGGTGCCTGCACCTCCTCAACCAGAACCAATTGATATCTTTGAACTCCCACTACCTCCTGTCGCTCCGAATAATCACACGGGTGCTTGTGATTTCTCACTCAATCCCCATCAAACTGGCTGTATTGGAAAAAGGTCGGACTCCTTTCAAGCAGGCGACTTCACACCTGATGGCAAGCATGTCGTTGCCACTGTCGAATTTGTCGGCGCTCCTGCCGCACCAAGCCCCGGCAGCATATACACCGGTACTCAACTCATCATGATCAAAGTGGACGGTACGAGTTTCAGCAATGGCGACCCGTGGAAATGTCTCAGCTGCGGCGTTCCCCCGGAGAATGCGCGCTCCCTCGACCCGTCGAGAGACTATCCACACGTCGCTCGGAATTACCAGCAAGTCCTTTGGGGCCATAACATTTTGGAATGTGGCAATGTCCCTCTGAATAGTGATCTATGCACACCAAACAAAACACACATATATCCCATCTACTGGCCAGCGGGTACAAACACCTCCGCCAGCCCTCGAGAAATGCGCATGCACCCCGACGATGTTCACATGGGCTGGAGCTCATTCACAACCGGGGGCGAGTATTCATACTACGGTAGAGTGCAATTCAACCCAAAGCCGAATAGCGGCAAGCTCCGTGTTCCACGATACGATCTCGTCGATGTGAACCTTCTTGTCCAGCCATATGGCACTGCGCCAATCACAGTTCACGGCTCTGAGCTCAAGATTCACGATGAGGCCATTACCATTGGTGAGCTACGTGGATTCAGCGGTGCTGGTGATGAAATCATCTACATTGGATCGACGCGAGAGGCCAACAACATTGATCTCTTCGCTGTACATATCATAACAGGGGTCGTCCGCCGGCTGACTAGTCACCCTGAGTACGCAGACCCCATCGCATTCTCGCATGATAATCAATGGTTTGTGACTATGGACACTCGCGGCTCAGATCGCCAAATGTGGATGTCCGGGGTACGGCACATCCCTCCTATCATCGATCTCGTCGCGGTGACAGCTGCTTCTTCAACTCGAAACAACGGCGCTCGCCGATTCTTCCAGCCGATCTTGATAGACCGCTATGGTGACCGAGGAGATTATTTCGGCCAACAGGTCAATGGTGAAGGCGATGGAAGCAATGGCAGTGCTAATGACCCAAATTGGAACGGCAAAGCTGATCCAGCTTTCTCTCCCGATGGCACGAAAATTGTCTATTGGCAGAGCATAGTCACTTCGCCGGCATGCGGTGGTGTCAACCCTCTGCCTTGTCCAATCTCAACGGCTCAAGGCGGCAGGACCTATCGTGTGATGGTAGCAAGACTTTCAGGTCGAGAGCCCACCAGTCCTGCCCCTGTCTTTGATGCACCGGATAAAATCCCCTGGGCAACGTCTTTCGCACCAGGAGCCACGCCGCCTTCTATGCCTTCTATTCCTGCGGGGAATTACACCCTATATGGCAAGGCTAGTGGTTTCGCGAAGGCAACTTTCTCAAAGAACCCGCTTCTTGGTACTCTCGAGACTGTGTCTATGAGATACACCAACTACTCAGACGATGGAGAACACTATATCAATGGTCGTGAATCGGTCACTGTGACCATATCACCAGCGGACCCTTGGGCCAATCATTTGGATTGGGTTTCTGATATCGTTCAAACCGGTCCAGTACATGCAACCAAAAAGACTGGTCCAGGCGGATTCCATTTGTCAATCAATGCCCTTAAGAATATTTTCGTGGCTAATGGGACATTAACCACGACTATTGATGGCGTGGTCTATCACCAACCACTTAACTATACATGATCTGCGTGTCATGGATGTCAAGAAGGGAGCCAAATGGCACGAAAGCAAAGCCAGCTTCCGCGACGAATGGGAACGACGTCCCTGCCGCGGTACTTCCGCGCCTAGGGCTCCGAGGTCCACACCCGCCGCGTTTACCGATTTACTCAAGCTACCGAGATCCGCAAGAAATAATTTGAATCGTAATTCATCATTCGATCTATATGCATGATTCCTGTCTATAAACATCCCCAAACGCAGATAAGAGCCAATCCACCAGAGATGTTCCAAGCAGGGGTAATTCCTTCATCACAAAAAAAAGATTCTAGTCTACCGCAGCGCAGATAAGACTGAAGTACATGAGTTTGCATACAATGCACAATGCCAAAAGATAAAACCGAACGCTTCGTCCCATTTTCAAGATCAAATTGCCAGAAACGCCGAGGAGTCGTGAGAGTGCCGTTAAGAGAAAAGTGTAGAGGTATTGGGTGTCGAGTATGGAGAGATTATAAGGTGAGGGGTTTTTGAAGGTGAAGAGAATGGTGGATATCACAGAGGAGCCATAGAAGCCTCATCTTCCATGTCACTGACAGAAGTAGCCGGTGACGCGAGGCCCGAGATCACCGAGCTGGAAGTACCACCGGCTTCCATCATAGCGTCGTCGTATGAGGCGTGTGTCGTGGTGGGCATTCGCTGCGGAGCATTCTTCGCGGAATTCGCCATCAGTTCTTCGATGCCGGGCTTCGCCGGAACGTGCTTGTGCAACGCAGTTGCATTGTCGAGACTCTGCAATGCAAAGCCCATGAATGCAGCGTTCTTGTGGCTGACGCCGAGTGTCCAGCGGTATTCGCAAAGTCGTACGCGGTAGAATTCGGCTTCTTCGTTGGTGGGTGCTGTGATGCGGAGGAGCATTCCAAAGGAGCCGATGAGGGAAAAGTTGGTGCGTGCCGATGCGGGCCAGAAGGATCGCAGATGGGCGGGTCGGAGGCGGTTGACAAAATCCATCGCGGAAATCAAACGTGTTTTGGCAGCTGAGCGGCAGATGTGTGCTAAATACTGATCTGTGCCCTCTGCGAGAAGGGAGCGGACGATGCAGCGATGCAGGGTGATTTCGGTGGCGAAGTAGGCGAGGTGAAGAGCACCGTTGCGAGCGTGTTCGTCTGTGATGGTTTCAACCAGTTCGCCGGTTGAGGTCTCCATCTTTAAAGATGGTGGAAGAGAGGAGAACCAGTCTTTCAAGCGGATCTGTGCCGGTTTGGCTTTTTCTAAAATCATGCGTGTGCGCTGGTTTCCGGCCGCGGAGAACTCTTCGATGGCGTGGAGTGTGTAGAATCTATCAAGGATGTCGGAGAGGATGGTAGTCAGTGCCACCATGTGGCAGAATAGAAGAGGACCATGACCGACGGCTTCCTCATCATGGGAGGAGTCTGTGCCGGACGCAAAAGCATCTGAGAAGTCCTGCTCCACCAGATCCTTCACAGTCCAATTGAACGCGAAGATATGCGAGGGCCGGCCGTTCACAAGTGATGACCACTTGTCTTGCTGGTAGAGAGCCCAGGCAAGTCGTTTGCGAAGACCCTTCTCCCACGTCTCCATACGCCAGTTGGTGCAATCCTGATGGAGGCCGACTTCAAATCCAGCGGTGACTAATTGTCCATTCAGAGACGCCGTAGCCAAGGTCGACTTCTGCGTCAACAAGAGTCCAGCTTGAATAGTCGACACACTGGGCGAGGGCAGAGACTCCATAAGCAGTTTCAACGCTGTTGCTTCCAGCCTTGCGGCATCGGGCTTGCGGGCTGTCTGCGATGTCGCACCCACGTCAACGAACTTCAATGTCAAAACATAGACCGAGGCTAGCAGTAGCGGTGATAGGCCACGACGTTCTCGGTACGATTGTCGGAAAGCCTCCTCGATCATGATGGGGAACGAAGGGTGCACGTGATCAAAGAACTTCTCGATCAATGTTGCTCCATATGGAGCCACCAGACTCTCAATGGCATCGACCGATATGCTCTGGGAGTCACTGACAGGCGTGTCGACCACGCGCATGAAGGTCCCATCATCGGCGCACTTCCGCACACGCGAGTTAAACACCGTGCATTCGTCATATTGGTCGAGAGGGAGATATTCTAAGAGCGTCGGTTCTAACTCCGTGGTCATGCCAATATGCTGTGTGGACTGGTTGAAGAAGCCCGGGCGAATCATGTTCAAAGCGTGTGGGTGCGCGGATTCGATTTCGGCGGGCTGTGGTTGTGATTGCGGTTGTGATTGCGGTTGTACTTGAGGTTGTGATTGCGATTGAGGTGCCGTTGCTTGTCTATCAGTCGTTAGAAGAATGATTTGAAGCTGACAGGATGCTTCCGTACCGTTTCACAGCTTCCGGCTGGTCTGACAGTTTCCTCTTCTTGGACTCGCCGGTGAGAGTGAAGGTACATTCCTGGCGATGGAAATCGCAGGAGTAACATTTGTTGACCATCTCGTTCATGGCGCACCTGCTCTTTCTGCGGAGACAAGCGTCACAGCTGACTCCATTCCGTACGCGGGGAAGGGTCGAAGTGCCGGATATGGGGGATGGGGAGAGGGTTGGGGTCGTTCGGCGGAGATCAGGGGAGTAGCCAGAGGGCTGAATGATAACGGTCGCCATGCCGAAACGGTCTAGATAGACCAGATAGGTAACGCCCTTGTTTTTCGTATCAATTGCAATTCCCTTGGATTGTCTATGCCTCGTCAGTCATTGGACGAGATCGGAAAGATAAGGATGTTCATACTCGTTATCTTCCCAAAAAAAAAAAAAAGTAGTTATCTCCGACGAAACAGGATCTCGATAATCCCAAGCCGGAATCGGAGCTCTGACGATCAGATAATCAGGGCGAGTCTGCTAGTGACTGCAGCAAGATGAGATGCCGGATAGTTCGCTCCGTCATTCCTTGCAAGGAGCGTTGCAAAAAGTCTGAGTATGAATAGTCTTTCCAGTACGAATAGTTAGAGAAAAGAAAGAAAATATGATGACATCGATATAGACTAAAGATCATTTACAAGTACCGGAATGACTACAAAAATGGAGACGACGATCAGCCTTTTGCTCTCGTAACGAAAACCCCCGTGAGCTAAGCAATGACTATTAGAATTATCCCACCCGAATTGTCACCAGATAAGCTGCCTCATCTTGATTGGTCGGGACACTCTTTTCCTGTACATTACGTATTGAGATATCCTTAGGTCAGCAGGATGGGATCTCGGTTATTGGCCTGGCGAAGTAAAGATTTAGATAATAAGAATGGCAGTTAAGCGCTCCCGTTTGTCCCGTTTATACTTGCACAAGACCAGAGCACTCCCTGCAGGCCCCGAGGCAGTTGACTGGTCTGAAGGGGAGCTGGGGCCTCCGGACCAATCAGCGTAGAATGATAACGGTCTTGGCTCCGACCAATCACAGACGGTCCCAAATACAAAGTCGCAGTAGTGCCCGAGAAACTCTGCCTGAATCAGAAACTGTGGGGTGTGGAGGGAGTCGATGGTGGACGGAGTATAAACGTGTATAACGCAGACGCATATGAACTACTACCCTTCTTGGACTTCGTATGCACAGTCTCGTATGCAGCCCTTTCTCTGACCGCTCTCCGAGTGCATGCTGAGGTATTCATCAGGTAATAGCTTGGCTGGATATTAAACCCATTTAGCCTTAGTGGAATGCGCCGGACTCCTGAGCACATTCCCCGGCACATGCTAAAACGCTACTCCGGGTGGCGAACGGATTTAGGCTTATGTCCAGAAAAGTAATCTGAGTAATATGAGTAATATCAAATCTGCGCCAACGGTTGGCTACTGCCCATTTCTATTATGAATCGCCAACCCAGGATTCCCCCAGTTGGCTATTCTATTCGTGGCAAGAAGATCTCCCTTCGGATCTGCCCTCGGAAGTCCTCCTCGACCCAAACTTTCTGAATCACAGGGGAAAACAAAGCACCCAAAACTCCATCCCAGCTCGGGAAAATGCAAAAATGGCGCTCCTTTCGCCACATTTATTCGGTGAAGTTACGCAGCTTGGTCAACTCATCCAATAGTTCCTGCAAATCCCCGTCCGAGATCTTGTTTTGGAGACTGGGAATCAGGGACTTGGCCTCCTCGGCATTGTCGCAGCACAGACTCCCTAATCCCAAGTCAGTATCGGTGGACAAGGTGGCCCGGGACATGACCATGGATCGACACGTGTGGAGGGGCAGTGCAGGGAAACTTACCTAGCTGCGACCGTTCAAACATCTCCAGTTCCGTATGCGAGTTCAAGAGCCGCTCAACGGCCTTGATGTTCTCCTCATCCTTGAACCGGGCGAACACATCCAGGTAATACAGCGTCTTGTTGAGGTTTCTGTAAACAGTTCTCGTATAAGCATTTTTGATTCCCCAATGTGTCAGTTCAATGGCGATCGCGATCTCAATCTCAAGATTGATCTTGGTCGTGATCTTGAGCTCGCGTGCCCGTGTCCCACTTACTCCGGCTCCTCGTACTTGTTACCTCCCCGGCGCTTGTTCTCGAGGACTTTGTGGATGACGAGTCGGGCTTCGGATAGTGAGAGCGTGTGTGTGTGTTGGTCGGCACCCAGCTTCAGCGTAGATGCGGCTTCGAGTTCGCCTTGGGGGAGCGCGCGCTTGCGGTGCGTCGGAGGGGGAGCTGGACGCTCATTGTGTAGGGCGATCGTTTGGGAGTTCCAAGTTGACGTATGAAGAAGACGTGTGGATGATTGATGGAGTGATGAGAATGGTCTGCAACTGCCTCGTTGGCGTCGGACTGAGGTCTCGTGTGGTTTTCTGCCGGCTGACTCTGGGCGGTGGGGTGGATGCCGCCTTTTACTACGCTCGTCGCAATGTGGGGTTGTTACACCATTTTCATCGCTCGCAGATGGACGGAGTACTTTTTAAAAAAGATTAAGCTCAATATCTTGCAGTGCGGATCTACTGCAGGTTCAAGATATCTCGGGATCTCCAGGTTTCAGGGTATCAATATATGTCGTCATGGATTCAACACCTCACATGCTATGGGAACTATATGCAAAAATCCTATACTTTTCGGAACGCAACATCGCGAGGCAGACGGAAGCTGGCACAGAACATCTGCTTCTTGGGGCTGACCAGTCGGACATTGTGAATGGCAAGCTCGACATCTTGGTCACCACTGCCTCCAACGCAATCATCAACGGTAATCTTGTATCCAATGCGCTCAGAGACTCTCTCGCAAATGTCAATGTGATCATCGACTTCGTTATCAGAATGTCCCGAGAAACAATAGACATGGATCATGGGGAGTTTCTGACCCGTAGACGGGGTGAACAGCTCTTCTTTTCCTGCGTACAACCCAGGGAACGCATCGAGGAACTCGATCGCTGTAGCAGGCAGGTTCATAACATAGTGATCGACAACGTTGGGGCGGGTATATGTTTGGGGTGGTGGAGGTGCTGAATTTTCGAGCTTGCGCTTCTTGTCTCGGTGGGCTTTCTGCTGAATGGTGATGGTGAGAGGCTCGGCGTCTAGCAGCTTCTGCCCCGAAGTTCGAATGAACTCCCGGCCGTCCATGTTGGATGGGGTCACAAAGTCCTGCACCTTATTGCGCACGACGGCGTCTTGCATAACCTCGTATCCGTGAGGGTTAAGATCATTTCCCCACACGAAGATCTTCTTTCGGCCTGCTGGCACAGCGAACGGACCGACGCCAGCCATCACGTCGCAAACCATCTCGCTGGGGCGGAACTTGTCGACCAGGCGGCGGTGTTCAGTCTCGAGGCGACTGTTCCAGTAGACACGGGCGTAGTCGAAGCGGAACTCACAGTCCTGCTCATGCTGAATCACATTCAAATCGTTCTCGCCGGCCAGTAGTTCGAATGGGAAGGTGCGGAACACGCTTTTTGAGCCAACATCCTCAATCTTGTTGATAACGGTACGAATGGTTGGGTTTTTATCCATCAAAATTTCAGCAATCATGTGCTTATATGGGAGGTATCGCTCGCGGAGGTTGATGTGCACTGCGCAATGTCAACATGGTTCGTCGCAAATGACCGAGATCAACATACAGACATGTCCCACCTGAGTGAAGCCTTGAGGCATATCGTCCATCAGATCTTCGGGAAGAACTGATGCAATAATCTCGGCTGTGATGACATTAGCAGATAGCAAAGGCTAGCAGGAGACATAGCCGTACCATAAGTCCAATGGCCATAATCAAGCGTCAAGTCATAAGGCTCAAGGCTGACAGTGCCCTTTTCCACAAGGCCCTGCATAGCCGGTGACCATGTACTCTTATCTGCAAGACTCAGTCAACACCGATTCATGGATCCCATCGTCTGGTGCCATCCATGACTTGCCATCAATTTTGAAAGTCTCTTTCAGCAACAATGCCTTCCAGGCTGAGCCATCCTGCTCTCTCACTTCGCGCACGGAGCTCACGCGTGGGAGCACCAGAAGATCGGATTTGGCCAGCTCTTTGCGGACATTTGAAATGTCACTGGGCTTGAAAATGCGGGCGGCGGAGAGGGGTATGGTTGTCCGGAAAAATGACCGATCGAGTGTGCGCATAGCACGGTTCACGGGAGGCCGGAACATGGTGGCAGTCTCGCGGGGATCCTGCTTGTTTGAAACGTCTGTGGCCTCCATTCGAATGGAAAGAGAACGAATTGGGACTGATTTGTGATTTGTCTGTTCAATAAAAGCTCGAGGCGCATTGCGGCTCCCATACTGATTGATTTCTTATCGGGCACGTGACCTAGATATGATCTACAAGTATCATCTATAGCCAATTTTGTAGTGAGCAGTAGCTATGGAGAGTTGATATCAGGATGAATCTTAGCAGATTCTGAACGAGACGTTTTGATATGGCTGGTGCTATCCTTGAATATCTGATGACATGCAACCCAATTATTATAGCTTTTGCCAACCCATCACCGAGCCCCACATTCTAGAGTACTTGACTGAGGGCACCTGAATATCCAGCATGTGACAATATTACACGAGGATTGGCCCTTTGCTCGAATGAAATCGCCTCTATCTGTAATAAGACATTGTGGGGAGGGATCAACTTGGAAAAGAGCGTGGCGATCTCGTTTCACGCATTAGTTGATCTAGTGAGCCGCAGAAAGAGCAGTGGGATTACCAAGAAACAAAAAGAAACGAGAGACATATTTGGATTGTATTCCAATTTGCTTGGGGCTTTCTACATCCAGAGACATGCTAATACAAAAGAATACTCCGGTAGAAAGATGGCAATGCGTAATTGTGTCGTATCATCATAAAGTTTCGTGAGAAATCGGACAAATGTCAAAGATCCAAGGCTAGTGCCATCGTGAAAAAACACCATTCAATTCCAGAATGACTGAAATCACTTGAACTCCTCGGTTGAATCCAACGATTTGAACCCGTCAAGAAGAGTCCGATCCAACTGCCTCTGCGCTTCCAGATTGGCGACACGCTCTTTAAGATTCGCAATTTCCGTATCTTTCTTCTTCAAAGCTAGACGGGTCATATCGCGTCCACGGATGATCCCCTGCGTTTTCAGGTCATGTCGGTTGAGCAGCGAGGTAACATCGTCGCGGGCCTTGTTTGGTAGCACGACCTCATGCTTGTCCAGTATGTCCATGAGACTCTTTGCTAGATCCGAGGTGTCGAATGCTGAATCTGCAGAGAGCACATCGCCGTACTTGCTTGGCGTGGGTGTCATGCAAACTTCCGCGGAGGAGGGGAATGTCAACGTACGAGAGGATATCGACGAGACCGGTGTCGCAAAACTGGGCCGCTGTTCCGGAGAAGAGTCATCTTTGGTTTGGAATAGTTTCCGCTTGCCAGGCGAAGTGACTTGCGCGGTGCGAGGTGTCTTTGACGGAGATTCAGAGCGATAGTTGGGCTGTGTCATGAATGTTTCGGTAGTGTCGGTAGTGTCGGTGGAGCAGAACGTTTTCACAAGGTCATCATCGTCATCCAAATCATCGTTCCAACCAAACTCGTCTGAAGCTTCCGATATCATTCTGGCTTTGGCTGATTTTGGCGGCAGCTTGAACTTGGGTGGGGGGTGTCATAGAATCGGCGCTCCGTCTGGGGGGTGAGCAGGCCGTTATTGGACCGTCCCGGATTTTGGGATTTCGTTGGAGTGAGTGTGAGTGGATCGAGCTCTGAGCGGGAGTTGGCAAGAACAGCTGCCTGCTCGCGGATTGTAGCGTCAGCTTCCCAGAGAAAGAAGCTGCACCGAAGGTGCATAGGCTGCGCACATGTCCAAACTAGATCTTATTAGCTTCTGGTTCTATGTAGCTTCATCCCAAGCCAAGAGGATCTTTCCCAGAATCTGTCAACATACACCACTTTCCTATATTGGGCCCCTCTTTCTTTGTTTGGCGGCGGACAGCTGGGGGCCGATCTGGGCAGTTGCAACACCATATTCCATTTGTGAAGAGCCCCTTCTTCAACGGGGCCGCTCTGGGTGAGCTATATGGTTTGTAGGGTGATGCCATGGTCCCAGGATCATCTCTATGAGTGTGGAAGATGTCAAGATTGACGTTTGTCGCCATGGGAACCATTTATCGCTTATCGCCTATCGCCCCGGACTCTTGGCATTCTGTTTTTAAACTGAGACACAAACTGGAGACTTCTATATTTATATCTATTTCTCCATGACTGCTATTTCTGCTGAGACAATCTTCAACTTGAAATGACCTCATACCTCGCAGTCCCCTCAACATGAGGCTGATATCTTTTATATAAAGCTTTACCGCGCTTACCATACACCTCCAACCTTAAACCAACTCCATGATCCGGTTGCTACAAGCCCCCAGATGCATACATGCATCAGCCCCGAGGGGCCCTTCTCGACACTTCCCAGGGAGCTGTACATCTCAATATCCGACTATCTTGAGATCCCGGACTTAAGCGCCTTCAGTCGCACAAACACAACAGCTCACATCCTCTTCAACGCCACTCTATACAAGCGCGATGCATGCTCGTCATTTCCCATCGCCCTCTTCTGGGCCGCAATCCATAACAACCCCGCCACAGCCCTGAAGTCCATCTCCGCAGGGTGTGACGTCACCGCAAAAACAGACATCGACACCCGCCTCAAAGGCTGTACGCCAATCCTCCTAGCATCCTTCCACAATAGCCTCGCCGTACTCAAGCTCCTCCTTCTGGACGAGAATGCATCGCCGAATTTCCGCGATCGAAAATGGATTCGACCACCGCTTTCATGGGCTGTCAAAGAAGGCCATGCGGAGGTCGTGCAGGCGTTGTTGAACGACGATCGCACAGACGTCAATTTGCAGGATAAAACAGGCGACACGGCTCTCATGATCGCAGTCAATTCTCGGCCGCGGATGATGGAGTTACTCCTTTGTAGTGGGCGCGCTGATCCACGGATTGCAAATCGACAGGGCTGGACACCACTAAGTCGTGCTGCGCGCGATATAGATGCGAATGTAGGGTTACTACTCGCACGACATTTGCGGTTAATCCTTGATGGAGATGATAGGGCGGAGCATTGCCAACATGTGTTCTTCTACGCGGCTATCATGGGACATGTGGATATAGTTGAGTACTTAATTAAATATTTCGGGGAGAAGCTCGATCCCAATGCTGGTGGTCAGCCATTTGGGCGTGGGGCATTCTCAATCGCCGCTGCTAATGGGAGGGTGGATGTTGTGAAAGCGTTGTTGGAATGGGATGTCACTGAGCCGAATTTGCAAACACAGTGGAAGCGGCAGACGCCCTTGTTTGCAGCTGCGGAGGATGGGAGGGAGGAGATTGTGGAGCTCTTGATTGGATGCGAGAGGGTAGGGTTGGACATTCCTGATATGCATGGAACGACGCCCTTGGGAGTGGCAGCGGGCAAGAACCACGTTGGGGTAGTTAGACAGCTACTCGGGGCATCAAGGCCGGTTGATCCCAATGCGCGCGATGAGAATGGTCAGACACCTTTGCTCAACGCTGCGTTTTACGGCTACCTGGGTGTCGTGGAGCAATTGCTCTGTGCGGATGGAATCGACCTACAACTCAAAAACAGCGACGACGAGACTCCAATTGAGGTGGCGCTGCAGAACGGGAATTCAAGTGTGGTACAAGCACTGCGCAAGCACTTGTCAACTGAATCATAATTCATTGAATTTGATATTGATGGATGATCTATCTAGCATATGGTCGTACATCAGCTATATCCATCTAATTCACCTTCCTCCACGCAGCTGAAAGTGAGCCAGCGAGCAGAATTAAAGCCAGTAATGCATCGAGGTCTCAAGAGAGCTCGAATGAAACCCAAAAAAATGCCAGATCTTTGGCGGTATCATAGAAATGAAGTACGCTCAAAAGCGATGTCTAATCAGCAAGGACGTGTCGCAACATGATATTGAACGGGTCGGCGAGCTTGAGAATCTCAGTGACCTCGGGCTTGACAGGTTCTCCAGCGGTGCGGCGCAGTTGGTCTTGTTTCTTGGTACGACGGCGACGCTCAACGGCAATAGGGTCGTCCCCGTCTTCGTCTACGCTGTCCTCGTCAGATGCATCGGATGCATCATCTGAGATGGTGAGATCTTCAAGATCAGCATCATCAAGACCGAAATCACTGCTCCTGAACGTGGTCACGCCAGGGATGGCATCCCCTGAGGTACCCTCGGCAGCCATTTTCTGACGCGTCTTGTTCAAGTGCCAGCGTTTCCGATCTTCTTGCCACTTGATGAGCTGGTTGATTTCAGAGAGGGCGAGGGTCTTGTCAATTTGGCCAGCACCAGCAGCTCCCTGGAACAGAGCATTGATGTCCATCTTGCCTCCGGCAGGGCCATTGCGCAGGAAATCAAGAATCTCCTCAATCCAAGCCATCAACTTCTGGAACAAGCCATTGTCATGTTGATGCACTTCGTGGATGAACTTGTAGAAGTTGGCCTCATGGCGAGCGCAAAGATCAATAAAGGCTTGAACCGTCTGGTTGGGGTCAGCCGATGTATCCTGGCGCTGGGCGCTTTCGATAACACTAATGGCGTCATCGGCAAATTGGGCAAAGTCAGTGATACTACTGTACACATTGGCGGATTTGTAGACCCGGACCAGGGGCTCGTAGAAGATAGTGAAGAGGTCACGGAAGAGCTGTAATGTGACGGGCTCCTCAACGATGCTCAGCATCATAGCCTTATCCCGTTGACGAGTGTAGAGCTTGAGTAGCTGCTTCATGTGGGCAAACCACTGAGCGCCTTGCTGCATTTCCAGGTCAACATTCTCCACGGCATAGTTCCAAGCCACATAGCCGTTGAACACCTTGCCAATCTGCTCGGGAGTAAGTTCGGGGGCGATGAGCTCGGAACGCAGAATGGCGACGATGATATCAACGTCATCGGCTTCGGCTTCAGCTCGAATCTCATTTTTGACCTCTTCTTCGGCTTCCGCAAACGACTTGAGCTTCTGGGTGAGGATTGAGTCTTCAACCTTTGCAGCCAGAGTGTCAATTGATCGCTGGAAATCCTTGATGCCTTCGTTCAATGTCAAAGAGAAGATACGCTGCAGAAGTGAACGCGATCCAAACGGCTGAGCCATGAATAAATCAAGGACGCCCGACATGACGGCCGCGGGATTGGCGATGCGAATCACATTCTTCATCAAGGTGTAAGGCACAAGGCCATGGATTCTCTTCGCCTGTGCAAACAACTCGGGTGAGTTATCTTCAGCAAGGAAAAGGTGATACAGCGTTGCAGCAACCCTGTGTCATTGTCAGAATAGGGACCCGCGTGGAAGTCTGGAATGAAACTTACTCAATACGTAGCCACTCAGCGAACTTCTGGTACTGCGGGCTGAGGTCGGGAATGGAAGGCTTCTCGCGAATCTCGGCAAAGAGCTTTGTCAACCCATCTGGATTGAATAATATTAGTATCACACATTCGAAGATGCTGGCGTTGAGCGTTGACTTACTGCTCTCCACAATATCTCGTCGGAAGCGCTCCATGTACACGTCCAATTCTGCGGCGCGCTGTCTAGCAATCTCGTAGAACCTCTTCTGCTCCTCAATTCTTACAGCATCCATGTCTTTCCGCCTTTGGACGTCAACTAATTCTTCCTCGTTCAGCTTGACGGGGCGGGCAGTCAAAAACTCCTCCATCGCCTTCGACTCTGCAATGCGCTTGTTTTGCAAGACCGTTCGCAAAAAGGCACGCAAAGACAATCGCTGCTCCTCTCGGTACAGGATAGTCTCCCTGGATACGTCACTGGTTGATGCGCGTGGTGACTTAGTTGATCGCATTGAAGATTTGGATGTTGATCGTCGGACGCCTTTTGAGCCGGCTGGCACAGAGAGTCGATCGTCTGGGGCGTTCGTGCCCTGTGTCGACAGAGATGATAGAGAAGAAGCATCGTCATCTGCCGCAGAGCCCCACCAACTGGTGCTGGAAGTTTTGTTCTTGCGAGGGAGAGGGGGTAGGTGTTTCCCTGGCATCTCGGTGCTGAGTCTCTTCTGGAGCTTGACGAACTCTCCATATCTCCTTCCAACGTGGTGCTCTTTGCCGTCACGGCTGACGCGAATAATAAATTCCTAAGCCAGATGTCAGCAAGTTCAAATCACAAATCGAGGTTGTATTTGAGGAAACCAAGCTTACCGCGTGCGAGTGGTATCGAACTGTCCGCTTCACTGATGTAGTCCGAACAGCGGCAACGTTCACATCCCAGCCGTTGATGGAGTTTCCTTCAGGGATGTTGACCAACAATCCAGAGTCTTGCGCACCACGCTCAACAACCTCCATCTCTGAAAATTGAATGCGCTCTTCATATCCTGAGGCAGTAGGCACACCAGAAACCATCATGAGCTCCACGAGTTTCTCGCATTTCCTCGCCAATTTCCGACGCTTTGTTTCCTCCAATCGGTCTTCCGACGACGAGACATGTTTATTGGCGAATGATTCCAGGAACTAAATTTCCAACCGTCAGCGAAACCCCTCCAAATATGCCGAGGCCAATGCCGAAAAGGGAACACCCACGATTTGAAGCTTATCCTGCCAGAACTCCTTTTCGCGCGCCTTATCGAGGAATGGGAAATTGCGAACATGGTGGACGAAGATGTAGCGCAAAATGGGCAGTTCTGAGTCGACTGGCGCAACCTCACCAAATTCCGATCGAAAGGGGGCGCCGAAGCGCTGGAGTGCGGTTGGGGAGTTGAGTTCGGAGATTTCGTCGCGGACTTGACGGGCGATGAGCTCGCGCTTGAGGTCTGTAGAAGGTTTCTATATTAACGACCGAAGGATTGGGGATAGGCCAAAACGAATGTATAGTGACTTACAATGCTCTTGCTTGCCTGTCAGTATCTGGCCCGGAGCGGGGACATCCTCTCCCTTGCCGCCGTTGAGGAATGCGGGATCCGAAGATTGCGTGTCTGTCATCTTAATCAAGCGATGGGAAGTATCCCTGTGGTTCTTGATAGGGATTTTGAATATCTCGAGTCTTTAGAGAGAGATGACTCGCTTCACCTCAGCTGATGCGCAGAATGCGTCTGCCTGGACAGGCTGATTGACGCTGGAATCGATCACGATTCACGACTGAACAAGACTCAAAGCTGCAAAGTACCGAGTCTCAATAAAATCACCGCGAAAACAAAAGGACAGAAGGGGTGCCCACAGGTGCGAAGGTGGAAGTAGAATGGGGGCGGAGAAGGGAAGAGATGATGTCGTCACCCGATAAGTTCAACCAAAATTTATAGCGGAGACATGTCAGGACCCATAAGGCTACATGTGCTATTCTTTCTGACGCGGCCTGATCTCCACTACCAGCCACTACCAATACGATGGCCAACAGGCTTGAATACCCTGGATTTCCTTTTCTGCCAAGGTCGGTTATGGTGTTGCCTATTGTAAATGCGCCTTATGAGGCGGGGTGCTTTGGTGCTTTGTCTCGGCAGTGTCATCGCTCTATCATTCTTGGCAGCATCTGTGGCTTTGATGCCGATGTAATCCTTTATACTCCGTAGATGAGATGATAAATCACGGGACTCGTTTGTCCATTGTATTCGAACTAAATGAAGAAGTACCAGAGCTGAGAAGAGCAAGGAAAAAAGAAAAGAATAAAAACCCCTTGTTCCGTCATTAAATTCGCTGAAAGAGATAGCAGTGAGAAATCAGAATGTGTGAAAATGAAAGCTTGGCATCTTTACTCCATGAATTCCAGCTTCATGTCGCGAGGCAGGTAGTTGGCCTGAGGATGACCAGCGTAGGACATGCCCTGGAATGCCCGCTCCTGGTCAAGGGAAGGGAACATGTTCTGCTGCAGCTGGCGGTAGCGAGCAGATTGGTCGCTGGGAGCCGACATCATGGGCTGCGCGCTGTGGCCCATTTGCGCATGCTGGTTGTATAGGGTGAAGTCATTGCCGCCCTGGGTGTAGTCACTGCTAACCTGGGACTGGGCATACTCGTACCGCTCAGAAAGGGTATCACCGACGTTGGAGGAGTCGGGGGAGTACAGCATAGCATTGCCCTGCGCACCGGGAGAGAGACCAGACACCTTTCCTGCAGGGCCATAAGACAGATGGTTGACGTTCATGTGATCATAATCGTTGGTGTAGCCCTTCATTGCGTCCAGGTTGTGACCCTGGGGAAGTTGAAGTGGCATGGCGGTGTAGTCCTCATTCATTGGGTAGTCGAGATTGCTCCATTCCTGGTCGAAGTTGATGCTTTCCGTGCCGGTGAGAGGAGATCCGTCGAAGGAGACAGGGCCCATCAGATCAGGAACCGAGTCAGTAGAGGGCACAGACATGGAGTTCATAGACTGGCGATGCATTTCCAACGCCGGGATCAGACCGTTCGGGTCCCCAGACTCGAACTGGTTTTGGAACGCAGTGAGGTTCATTGTGTTGGGGAACGAATTGATATCGTTCATCAAGTAGGGTGAGGCTTCACCAAACAGAGGGAAGTCATCACCTTGGGCAGGCATAGGAGGCTCTGCGAAATTGAAAGGGGGGTTCTCAGGCCATCCGTAGGTCTGGTCGCTAGGCGAAGGACTAGGCCCAGGGATGGGTGATGCAAAGTCAGTGGCCTTGGAAGCCGGAGTGGATACGCTGGGAGTCATGGGAGTATCTTGTACGGAGGAGCCCCGCTTGCTGCTGCCACTGCCACTGCGACCATTGTTCTTAGACCGAACATAGACCCACCCGTGCGACTTCTCCATGTGTTGTTTGCAATTGCTGGACCGCTTGGATGCGTAAGGACAATTGTGGAAAGTGCATCGGAAGAGAGTGGGTTTGTCTGAATGTCTGTCGTTCATGTGACGATCACGTTCCTTCTCAGTGGGCCAGCCTTTGGTGAAATAGCTGCACTTGGGATCTTCACACTTCCAGGGACGGGTGTGGGTTTTTTCATGCTTGGTCAAGTCGCAAGGGCGCTTGAAGACTTTGTCACAGTCGGAACACTTTTGGTTGATGTTCATAGGGGGTGCGTCCTTCTTTCGGCGGGCCATAGAGCGCTCAACGCCTTCATCGGTGGCACCGTCAATGGTGATGGTACGCTTGATAGGAGCAGAGGCATCAACCTCATAAGGCTTTCCGGTAGCCAGGGAGATTGGCTTGCCATCTTGCATGACAACAAGTTCAGCAGCCTTTCCGTTCTTGGTCAAGCCACCCTCGAGAGAGAGATTGGCAGAGCTATCAGGTGTTAGCGGAAATCCGTGAATCACGTTCAATAGGACAACACATACAGAGTAGGGACGGTCTCCTTTTCGGACTTGGAGCCTTGGGTCGCTTGGACCCGCTGGCGCTGATCGCGAACCATGGCTGCGTAGCGTCTGGCCTGTGAAACAAGGTCAAGGAAGTATCCGTTAGTGTAAGGTCGATCGGCTGGTAGTCGTTGATCACGGTCGTTCAGATGCGAAGTCGAAGTATGCAAGCACTGGATGGTGAACTCGCAGAAGTTGAGATAAGAATTCCGTGAAGTAGTGGAGTTCTTTAAAAGAAAAGAAAGATCAAATAAGCTTCGCCGTACTCCAATAACCCATTGATAGAACAATACGAGGACTTACCGGCGCCAACCACAATAGGGTCTTTTCAAGATCACGCAAGCACACAATCTGCTTGTTGATGATGCGCTGCGGGACGCTGCGGACTAGCGAGTGGAAGGGCTTCAAACGAGGCTCCTTGAGGATGGGGACCAGCACGTATCGTTCAATTTGCTTGCAGGCAATGGGGCCTAGTTGACGTTTTGGGGAAGTGCCGCTCTCCAATGACGAGATAGAGCCTGTGATGGCAGACTGGTTGTCGTGAACGCCGTCGTTGACTATTCATTGTTAGAATCAGGGGTGGGACGCAAGACTTTAAAAAGAACAATCTGGGTAAATACCTTTCGTTGAAGATTCGAACAACCCCTCTTCGCTGCTGACCGAAGTTCCGAGTCCACTATCAGACTCGTGGCTATTGGCCTGTCGGGTTTTCTTCTCATCCAGTGGGATGGGCAAACTGCGACTCTCAGCATTTGCAGGGCCGGGTGAATTAGACATGGGCGGAGCGGTCTTGTCGCTGTCGCCGGTAGAATGCTTGTCGTCGGTGGGCTCCAGAGTCAACCGGTCCAAGATCGATGTCATACGCTCTTCGGCAGCAGCGAGGGACTCTAGCGATGTCGGAGAACGGACGGGCAAAGAACGGATGTTCAAAACAGGATCCCGATCACTGGATGGAGCGGAAGTTGGAGTGTTGAAAGTCTCGCCCTTCTTCAAGTGCATCTTAACCTCAGGCGAGTCGGTCGACAGTGCGGGCAGAGTACTGTTTAAGACGGGGCGGCGACGCGGGTGCAGCCGCGAAGGCTCGGCCTGAACATCAGACATTATTGGGTGTAGTTCTGCATCGAGGGAACGTTAGCATACATTCTCGTACAGAAGGTGCCAGGTATTGACGGCTGATTGGCTCTTCCAATGACTCACCGAAGGATGCTTGTCCAGATGATTGGAGAAGTGACGTACAGTCGAGTCAGAGATGGTAGTCTCGAATCGAGGCGGATTCTCTCCGGTATTTAGTATAAATTGGATCCACTGCTCTGCTCTGAGCAATGTGTAGTGCAAGCGACGCTCCTCAGTCTTCACGACCTGAGCATGTATGACGATAACGATCGTCTGATAGTCTGCGCATGCACTCCTTATCGAGAACACCGGAATGTCGGATGGAGTCCAAGAGGGGTCTCAGGGCCGAACGGTCCACTGGCTCCCTTCCACGGCACTTTATGTCGAAGATGGCGATGGCGGTAATCTCCCAGGACGAAATGAGGGCCTCGGATTCAATACGAGGGAATGCCGGTGGCTCAAGATATGGAAGATCTGAAGCGGTGAGCGGCCTCGCGCGATCGGGGGATTATATTCTTTTTTGCGTTTAAAGCGTGAATAACAGAGTAGATCAGAGTCGATAAGGCAGAAAATGAAGAACGAAAAGCCAGGGGATAAGCCAAGGGAAGACAGACGACCGGAGGCTCATGGCGTGGCACGTCTGCCTGATAGACGAAGACGCTAGTCCCAAAGGGGACAACAGGCTGAGCACATTCTGCGGCACTTTCATTGGCCTGTATCGTATTGTCACAAACGGTAACCCGCGGCCCGTATTCCTGTCGTCCAGCCCTGTAGGTGGCTCCCGCGTGGTTCCTAACGGGTATCGTATCGTTTCTCCACGTTCTTAAAATGGAACAGATCCCTTCTCCGGAGCCTCAAGGTAGCAACATTCTGCCCTTTGGCCGTGTTTTTTTCTCTTTTCTCTTTTTTTTTTCTGTTTCGCTTCTTCGTAAATTACGGGATTCGTCATCTTTATGTTGGTTCCCAGGTCCATCTATACTGATATGCTATGAAGCGCCCTGCGCCCGTTTGGTCTTGGCCCCCAAATGGGCAACAGAAAAAAGATCTAAAAAAAAAAAACCGAAGGGGACCCTCAAAAGGAACAACCGCAAAACCCACTCGACCCAGGATTCACTCCAAACCAATGATCGTGGCGAGTTCTCAAACTCCACTCCCAAATACGAATGCCCATGTACGGAGTACACTTGAGCCTCTTTGTCACCGCTTGTATCCCACGGCCCAATGGTCGGCTCCGCGCAAATCTCGGACAAAAAATGCGCCTGTGGCACTTGTCTGCCTGATGGTACGGAGTACGGAGGACTTGTATGCAGATCCGACATTCTGGACTTGGTCTCGTATGCCAAGTGACATCTTCTCTCGACTCCGCCCCATCTGTGTCTTCCCTGCTTCAGTGCACAGCCCACCTGCGACCCTGTCAAAAGGGGACCGCCTCGCCAACGAGAGTCCTGATTTTGGGCTGAGGGGTTTGGTAATGTATTTTCTCCGTGCAGCGGTTATTGACTTTCCGACCCTGTACCCAAGTTAACCCCGTCCCATCTGCATAGCGCCCAAGTCTCACATTCAGCTGTCAACATTCTAAGACTACGTTGTGGCTGACATCGTACGATCTGTCTAGGCCAGAAGATCGGCGTACGAACTCCATGATAAGCGGCCCGGGGAAAGCTGCGTTTCTCAGTCAGCAGCATTTTTTTGACTTTTTCCTCTCGATCTCGACAATTGGACTTCGAGAATGTGTAAACCATGGAATTCGTCACCATCTACTACGTACTAGTCCGTCTCAGCTGGCGAGCCAGGCTGCGATGTTAAATTTTATCGAAAGCAACTGCCTACGATATTGCGTTATCTACTCCGTAGAACGTAATTAATAGACTATGGTCGACCCATCCCGATCTCGGGAGGTCCCTTCAAACACCCGTGGACCCTCCACGGTCAAGATATCTACCTGGGGGTCTATACTCGGGGGTTGACTTTCCAAATAGGTAATGATGATGACCTCGGGAGTCTTGGAGTTGTTTCGATATCGTAACTTCCACCTGCTTACATCCAAAGATAGCCAACCTTGGAAGAGTTCCAGATATATAACCGCCATTCAGATCGAGACGAATCCGAGTACCCCCGCAAAGGTCAGATACAACAAGGCTTCTGATTAAAAAAGGCGTGCAGAACAACCCCCCGGGCCTCGAAATCAAATTTGGAGCCTCCCCAACCTGTATGCCCTAGATAATGCCCGGTGTTGGATGTTCAACAATTGGATCTATACAGGCCTCGGGAGTTTGAACCGTGCCACTCAAGTATGCTCGATAAAGAGTACTAATCAAAAGGATTGGCCCATCTGACTCAACAATAATGTCGTAAGTAACCTTAGATCTCAGGTATTTTGTGATTGTATAGCCAATTCAAGCTTGGAAGAACCTTGAGAATTATGAAGCTCATAATTGTACGGAGTAGATCTTCATAAGCCCGAATCGACCTCGGCATCGGAGATGGCAGAACGGCACCGCCCGAAGTGCCCGCGTGTTGATTTCCCCCGGATTCTGGATCCGGTGACCCTCGTCTTTCCCCTCTAATCCGCTCAAGCTGTGGGAACCGATAGGAGATACTTCAATGGGTGCTTGTTGATCTGTTGGCTTTGGTGATCGCTTTTTCCTTTCAACTCCCTCCTATCTCCCCCGCTCCGTTTGCCGACGGCAATCGGTCACTTCACCGCATCCATGGACTTCGAACAGTATGGGCAGAGCTCCCAACAGCCTAGACAACGCCGAAGAAGAGCCGGAAAGCGGCGATTGAACAACAAGGCTCCTGTCACAGCGCGTCTGGCATTGGATCCCCAGCTACGGGGGAAGGTCGGCATCTTATCCGAGGATCTAGCGAACGACCTCTTCCAGCAGCAGGCTCTCCAAGGTAGGTCTTAAACCATTGCGCAAAGTATCAATGGCTTTAGTATTAATCATTTCGGTCGCTTGCTACTAGATGTCACGACTTCCGACGATGGAGTTCTATATGTTGCGATTGCCCCGCATACCCCGACTTATACCTCCGTGGAGGATCAGGCCTGGACGATACTCCCAGTACGAATCCAGCCCACCGAGAGATCCCCAGTTCCATTGTCACAATCGACCGTTCTGTTCCCCGAATCCGCCGACTCCCTCCAGCCTTTCCTCCAAGCTTTGGGGAAAGTTGACACCTCGCGCAACTCCCTCCAGGCACACCGGTCGGTGGAGATCCGGATCTTGGACGTCGCCCCTATCCACCTCGACACTATTTTTGTGACCGTGGAGCGACATCTTCTTCGCAACCACGATGATATCCAGAACAAATTTGGCGGAGGATTTACGAATGCACAGGGGCCGAACGGACTTTGGGGTAAAACGGGAAAGACGGCAGAAGCCAAGAAATACTCGAAACGAGCTACTGCAGATGCCGAGCAGCGTCTCACAGCGGCAGTCCGCGAGGCACTGGGAGCACAGCGGATCGTACATGCAGGCGATGTGTTGCCGCTTCCTTTGCCTCCGCATCCTATTACCTATGCGCCTCCTCCGCCCGCCCGCATTTCATTCTGCGAACCTGTCTCACAGGGTCTGTTGATGCCGACCACAAAGATCGTGCTTGTCCAAGCTCGCCCTCAGGGAAATCGCGCCCAACAAAGCCTACCATCTAGGTCGGCGCTCTTGAAGCAGGTAGCCGAGGATGAAGCCGATGACACTTCCAACGAACAATTTTACTCCGCCGCGGAAGATAAGCCTGGCGAAAGCGGAACCGAGATGGAAGCCACATCGGCCGCCGAGGAATCTGAGACAGAGGGCTCTGCCGGCTCCATGAGCGACTCGTCAGATGATTCCCTTGAAGATATGATTTCTCTGAGTGCACCTGAACTGCCTCAGCCCCCGTCAGGTGTCATGTCGTCACTGACCTCTGCGACTCCTCGAGCGGGTGGTCGACGAACAGATGGGATTCACACACCGGGATCCGTGGCATCGAACTTCACTTCAGCCACAATGCGTCCTGGTCGTGGCGGAGGCAAGACTTTCAAAGTCGAGGGTTTGCTACAGCAAGTCCCCAATGAGGTTCTTCACCCTCGGCCCCGTGATGACGAAGACGTCGACTCCTTTGTCTTCGTAGACATCAGCACACTGGCCAAGATTGGATGCTTCTCCGGCGACTGGGTCAGAATTGAAGCTTCGGAGGAACCACAGCTGAACATGTTCGCCTCACTCAAGTTTGGAAGCTTCAATGATACCCCAGAAGATTCAGACGATTGGCGCCCAGTCAAGATCTTTGGCTTGTCGGGTCTTCCATCGTCTAAACCGCGTTATGCCATCAATCATTCCGGCGAACGTCGATCTAGCATCCCTCAACGTCCCCCAACTCGCCTGACCCCATCCGTGTTTGTTCCTCCGTTGCTTCTTAGTAACATTGAGAACCCGAAATATCTACGGATATCTCCCATGACATTCGCAACACAGAACGGAACTTCCAAGCCCGGCCTCTTGCACCACATGAAGAATACTGCTACCAAAAACCCGCCTTTGGCGAAGGAAGTTACGCTATTGAAGCTTTCTACTCCTCTTTCAATGGATCGCGTTCTCCAACCAGCGTTGTTTGCCGGGCTCAAGCAATACTTTGAGTCTCGCCGACGTATCCTCAAGAGTGGGGATTTAGTTGGTATCAGCGTGGACGAGGGCCTGGGCCGAGCCGTTTTCTCTGGAACCGCTGGCGGTGACAGCGCCAATCAAGAAGAAGACATCACCATTCGACTTGGCCAGAATTCTAATTCTGGAAGTTCTGGAGCCCGCAAGATCGGCGTTGCCTGGTTCCGTGTGGGTCAAGTAGCCCCCACTGTCGTGGAGGAACTTGAGGAGACAGGCGAAGATCAATGGGGTGGCGTTGCTGTCCTCGACCCAGCGACTACTCGCATGGTTCAGGCTGGAAGTGATGTTAGCCGAGTCCCCGGTGTGTTGGGTAATGGCTGGGAGTACTGGCTAGGAGTCAAGACGATTCCTAAGAGTGTCCATGATGCACCGGCGCCTCATGGTATTGTTGCGGATCCGCCCCAGTCATTCATCCCATCATTGCAGCAGCGCATTCGTGATTTGATGTCTGCTGCTACCAGTCCCAGGGCAATCCAGTTAGGAATGAAGCCCGTCTTCATCCTCCTCCGATCCCAACAGAGACATATTGGCAAGGCAACGGTTGCGACCCGGGCAGGCGCAGATATCGGTCTTCACACATTCTCCATTGATGCGTACGATATTTTGACGGAAGGCGGTGCAAATGGTGGAGATGTCAAGACAGAGGCCTACCTGAAGGCGCGGGCCGACCGAGCTTTCCACTGCGGAGCAAACTGCACCTCATTGCTGATCAGACACATCGAGGTGCTGACCGCTGATCGTATTGTGACCGCGCTGACCGATATCCTGACGGATGCAAGAGTCGTAATCGCAACTACTACCGACGTTGAAACAATTCCCGAAGGCATTCGTAGTCTCATTACCCACGAGTTTGAGATGGGTGCCCCAGAGGAGAAAGAGCGTGAAGGAATCTTGAACAACGCCGTTGCCGAGCGCGGTATCAAGCTCGCTGCCGACGTGGAATTGGGAACAATTGCTCTCAAGACTGCCGCGCTTGTCGCCGGAGACCTTGTTGACGTCGTGGAACGTGCTGCCGGAGCGAGAACGACTCGCCTCGAAAACCTAGCTGAGGCTAGTAAAAAGCTTTCCGGTTCCGAGGTCTTCGTCAGAGACGTCCTGCTGGCAGGTGGTGACGGTGCACGGGGAGTGACTAAGGCTGACTTCGACTTTGCGGTTGAGGCTGCCCGAAAGAACTTTGCCGATTCAATCGGCGCCCCGAAGATCCCCAACGTTGGTTGGGATGACGTCGGTGGATTGACTAATGTCAAGGATGCTTTGGTCGAGACCATTCAGCTGCCACTTGAACGACCCGAACTCTTCGCCAAGGGCATGAAGAAGCGCAGTGGTATCTTGTTCTACGGTCCTCCTGGTACCGGAAAGACTCTTCTGGCCAAGGCTATTGCGACAGAGTTCTCGCTCAATTTCTTCTCTGTCAAGGGCCCCGAATTGCTGAACATGTACATTGGTGAATCTGAAGCTAATGTGCGCCGTGTGTTCCAGCGTGCCCGTGATGCTCGTCCTTGTGTTGTCTTCTTCGATGAACTGGACTCCGTTGCTCCCAAGCGTGGTAACCAGGGAGACAGCGGTGGTGTTATGGACCGTATCGTCAGTCAACTGCTTGCAGAGCTGGATGGCATGAACGGCGGCGAGGAGAACAGTGGCGGAATGTTCGTCATCGGTGCAACCAATCGTCCTGATCTGCTTGATACTGCACTCCTCCGTCCTGGTCGTTTCGATAAGATGCTTTACCTGGGTGTTTCAGACACCCACCGGAAACAGGCAACTATTCTCGAGGCTCTGACTCGGAAGTTCGCTCTTCATCCCGAAGTCTCGCTCGACCGCGTCGCCGAACAGCTCCCATTGACATATACCGGTGCCGATCTCTATGCGCTCTGCTCCGATGCCATGCTAAAGGCCATCACTCGAAAGGCTACGGCCGTGGATGACAAGATCAAAGCCTTGCCCAATGGCCCTGTCAGCACTGCTTGGTTCTTTGACCACCTTGCCACCGCGGAGGATGTCAACGTGCTGGTGATGGAAGAGGACTTCTTGTCTGCGCAAGGAGAACTTGTTCCCAGTGTTAGGTATGTAACTTCTTACTGCGCCCACCCATAACCCCGGAAAATGTCACTAACCCCTCCCAGTGCCAAGGAGCTTGAACATTTCGAACGCATCCGCAACACATTCGAAGCAGTCGACAAGTCGAAGCAAGACTCCAGTGCCGCAGCGCCGCAGACAATCGCAGAGGCAATGGAAGCATTCAACCTAGGCGGTGGTGCCGCCCCAGTAGAAGACGCCCCGTCATCTACCGGGGAGAGAACGCCAACTGGAAGTGTCCGAGGCCGTATTAGAACCCTGAACAAATGGCCAGGTGCTCTGTCACGCAGCGCTAGCGGTCAATCAACTACCAGCAGCAAGGGCAAAGGGAAGAGTAGCAGGAAAGGAAAGGGAAAGAGTACGGCAGAGTCTGATGGATCTGTCGATGGCGATGAGGAGGGTATGACGGATGGCAACCTTGACGGCGACGATGACTACCTTGTCCGGACTGACCACTTGGCGATCCCCAGGGAGCAGGCCGAATAAAGCTTTACATATCCTTTCTATGCTGTTATGGCTCGCCAGGCTGTGAGGCGGCCCTTGTATCTATTATGCCGACTGATATACCTATTTTTCATCTGTACATTGAATTTATTCCCGGGGATGATCGAAGATTGCAAGCCAACGTGTTCGTAGATATAGCAAGAGATAGATATATGGATGAAACCCCGACGTTTTAAGGAGGAAGCTGGGGATGTGTATCAATGCCCAGGTGGATGTTTTCATATCTTTCCCAAGGTTTCTTTTTCAAGCTTGGAAGGCTTTTGCAATGGACCGACTTTGGAAGTGATCCATGAAAATGAGCTCTAGCCTCCTGGCAGGAACGATGGAAATTTCCGCAACATTCCGGCCTGCATTCTCTCGATATCATGTGTGGCAAGCAATTTTGATTAGGGTAAGTTGGTGCATGGCTTATCAAAATATTGATCTATAAAGCGGGTTCAAAAATAGAAATCTGGTAGACGCAGGGTAGAAGATAAGGTGGTTCGATTCGTTTTCTAGTGCAAACCATGATTGGGCATATGATCTAGCGCACAGTGTTTACCACGGATGATGAGAATCCCGATGCCCAGGTGGTGGTTCTCAGCGTTACTCAAGCTTTGACATATCTTGGAAACCTTGGAAGCTTGAAGGTTTCCAAATTGGGATTTCTCATCTTTTTTTTTAACGCGCGCCCATACAAAATTGAATGATAAAGATATTATCTGAGCTCCGATGGAAACTCAAATGGAAGGTGCAGAAAAGGTGACACGTTTTGCCCCTGCAGATCCCGGTGCTAGAAGCCTCGTACAGAGTACATAAAAAGGCAAATCGATAAGGTAGAGCTCGGTGAAGAGAAGAATATCCTTGACATAGGCCTATTTGTCCCCAGCGATAGGAAGGTTTGGCTCCACCGATCCACATTGACCCAATTTCCTATCGGAGCATCATACCGAACGGACAAAGTCCGATGAGCCAAGGCCGCAAAAGTCAATGTATATTCACAAAGTCCAGTAAGCAGTACTTGTACTCGGGCTATCAAGCCGAAATATTCTCGCATACTCCGTAGATGCGTCCCCAAAGGCAATCCACCTGCCCCCAGGTGCAACTTCCCCCGCGTGTGTCGTGGATGTGGGTCTCAAGGGAACCAATCAGAGGTCAGAGAGGGCATAAGCTCTGGGGCTGCCGCCACGAGCCATGGAATCATCGGTCCGCGAATAGCCAAGGCTTTAATGGCCCGATCATGCCGCAGCCTGTGACTGGCCGAAATCACCGAATTCGGACCGCCTAGCCAATCACAGACTCGGGCAGTTATCGCTCTCGTTCGCCCACTACCCCAAGTCGTTAGGTAACAGGGCTACTCATGCTTCCCCCGCGTGGAGTGAACGGTCCTGGGGACTATCGGAGTGTTTGGGAATGGAAAGTGATATTCGACCTGTCGTCATGTTTCAATTGACTTAATATGGCCTCCGTCCTCGGGTTTTTTCTTTCTCTCTATTCCTTTGCTGCTTGTCATCCCTCACAATCATGGACAAGGACGAATATAATAATGATGACACTCAGCTGGCCCAGATGGGCCATAAGTCTGAATTGAAACGCAATTTCTCATTGATGTACGTGCCATTGGAAAAGAATCAATGCCAACGGACTGTATAACTGACTGGTGACTCTCTCTTCAGTTCCATGCTGGGTCTTGCTTTTGCTATTCTAAACGTACGTCACACGCACGATCGACGTATCACGAAAGGTGCGACCAGGAACTAACACCAAGCAGTCATGGACCGCTCTTTCGGCCAGTTTATCCCTCAGTCTGCCTTCCGGAGGTAGTGCAAGTGTTGTCTGGGGTATGTATCCCTTGATTCGATGGTTAGACGTCGAGACTAATGACTGCGAAAGGTCTTGTCACAGCCGGTATCTGTAACTTGTGTATGGCCACTTCGTTGGCTGAATTCCTTTCCGCGTACCCTACCGCCGGTGGTCAATACCACTGGGTGGCCGTTATTTCATGGAGAAGCTGGATGCCGGTTCTGTCTTGGGTCACCGGCTGGATCAACTGCTCTGGCTGGGTTGCGCTGGTCGCAACCGGTGGTCTCCTGGGCAGTGAGCTGATTCTCGGCGTTATCTCGTTGATGAACCCGGTGAGTCTCAAATTTCGCCAACATCCTTCCATCATTCTAACACTCAATACTAGGCCTACGAGCCTCAGCGCTGGCATCAGTTTTTGATCTACCTTGCTTACAACATTGTCGCTTTCATCATCAACGCCTTGATGAATAATGTTCTGCCTTATGTCACTAAGGGTGCTTGTGAGTATACTTCAATCGTCCCCAACAGACCAATGCTGATTCTCCTAAGTCATCTGGTCGCTGACCGGTTTCGCCGTCATTTGTATCACGATTCTTTCTTGCGCCTCCCCGACCTATAACTCCGCAGAGTATGTTCATGATCGGAGTATATCTGGAGAATTCACCAGCTAACAGATGCAGGTTTGTTTTTACCGATTTCATCAACACCACAGGATGTGAGTTTGCCAACCCAAATTTTCATTCAGACATGGAGGACTGATATCTTTTAGGGCCCGATGGAGTTGCCTGGTTGCTCGGAGTATGTCGCTTGCCACAAGTTCTCATCAACAAAGCTAATATAGTCACAGCTCTTGCAAGGTGGTCTTGGAGTGACTGGCTTCGACGGCGTTGCCCACATGATCGAGGGTATGTAGCTGATCTTGAATGCCGTGAAATGAAAACTAACAGACAGCAGAAATTCCTAACCCCTCCATCGAAGGACCCAAGATTATGATTGCCTGCGTTGGTATCGGTACCGTTACTGGTGTCATTTTCCTCATTTGCCTGCTATTTGTGGCTGGTGATATCAACAAGATCATTGAATCGGCTGCCACCCCCCTGCTTGCAATCCTGAAGAACGCCACTCAAAGCAACGCTGGCGCTATCTGCCTGTTGATGTATGTCTTGTTATCGCCCACCCGAGAGATGATGTACTAACAGTCTTGAAGCTTCCCCCTCGTCTGTGTCCTGTTTGCCGCAACAGCTATCATGACCACTAGCAGTCGCATGATCTATGCGTTCGCCCGGTGAGTTTTCTTGAGAATGTGATGGAATTATGGGAAATGATACTAACAAGCTGCAAGTGACGGTGGTCTCCCTGCTTCGCCGTTCTTCTCTCGCGTTCACCCCAAATTGAACGTCCCCTTGAACTCGCTTTACCTCAACCTGGCCCTGGTAACCATCTTCGGTTGCATCTTCTTGGGCTCTTCTAGTGCTTTCAACGCCATTGTGTCGGCATCTGTCGTGCTTCTTGATATCTCCTACGCAATGCCAATTGCTGTCAACTGCTTCCGCGGAAGGAAGATGCTCCCAGAGCGTTCCTTTGCCCTGGCACCATGGTTTGGCTGGACCATCAACATAGTATGTCACCAAGTAAGATCTCTCAGTGGGACTGTACTAACCGGAATGGCTTAGATCTCGGTTGCTTATATCTCCCTGACAACCATTCTTTTCCTCTTCCCTCCCTCTATCCCTGCTACTGGTAGCAGCATGAGTAAGTTGGCTAATTCAATTTCAGAATATGGAGTGTTTGACTGACTTAATAATTACAACAGACTATTGTGTTGCGGCATTTGGAATTGTCTTTATCATTTCCACCGTTCAATGGTTCGTGGATGGCCGAAAGAACTTCGTCGGCCCTCGTATGGAGATGGAAGTGTTCACCGGAGAAGCTGGCCCTCAACCGGAGAATCCTATCCCTGTCATCGAACAGCATAAGAAATAAACGTAAAATGGTGGCATATCATCATATATTCTCTACCTGATAGCACAAAATACAGACTTTTCAAATTAAGTTGATGTTCGTTATTTCCAAACCTTGGAAATTGATGATAACTTCCAAGGTTGATTCTCAGAATGATGAAACTGACACCTCTTTCAATCAGTACCGTTTATTCTTGTGTCTCCATGATTCTTCATCGATTGAATCTCCATTGCCGAATTTGACAGAATCATCTCCGAAATGAAATATAAGACTACCTTATGCTTGTGAATAATCGTTGTGAAGCCATGGATCCTGCAGTAGCTCCTTCGCCGTACTTCGCTCTTCGGGGTTCCATTTGATCATCCGACTGACGAACTTAATGAACATGGCCTTTTCCTCCCCATTAAATTTGGAGAGTGTGCTTTCAAAGCTAAAGCTACTAGGAACCAATTCTTCCTTTTTGAGTGTTCCTGAAATGCGGTGTTAGTTATTTCTATTTAAATAGTTCAAAGGCTCACAAACCAGCAGCCGTATAGAACATCGATGTCCTCTTGCCGTGGCTAACAAAGTCTTTAGGAGCAGGACCCAAAAGTGACGTGATGTACGACAGATGTGTTTCGTCGTCATAGTCTTCAACGATGCGTGGATCAACCGATTCAAACAGTGTTCGTCCTTCTAGAAAATCCCATAGCTTCATTCAATGGTTAGTTGTCTGCACTTGTTCGCGAGGGAGGGGTGGGGGCTGTCTACCATAACTCCCAAGCTCCATATATCAGCACTATATGTGTATCCTCTGTCAAGGATGACCTCTGGCGCACGATATACCTCCGCCTGGATGCAGCCATCCTGAAAAACATCACCCTGGACTGCTAGGTCAAAGTCGACGACTTCAATAAGTCCGATAATGTCCTTTAATAGCCCATAACCCTTACGAGACAAATAGATGATGCGTTCATCATTGCAATGCTTCTGAGGTAGTGGGTTCTCAAACTCATCACGAGCATCCTGGGATAAAAGCTCAAGATCTTCCAATCGTACCATGATGTTATCCGGTTTCAAGTCTGTTTGTTGCTTTAGAATGAGAAAAATTTGTTCCATCCAGCAGAAATAAGATCTCTTACCAGTGTGAATGATGTGACATTCAGTGTGGAGATAATCAAGCGCTTGAAGTATTTCTTGGAGTATAATTTTGAGAATCTCCGGCGGCATCACGCCATCTTGCCATCTTTGGCAGTATTTCCCCAGTGACTCACGTAGAGGTTCGAAGACGAGACATACATGGCCTCCTGAAACTCCCTGCACAGAGAACGAATCAAGTAATTTTCGGACGAAATGCCAGCCCTCGTGTTGACGGTTCGCTCTCGTTATATGTCGCAAAACCTCCAGCTCAACACCACCAGAATTCTTCCGTGCATGTGAGTTATTGGAGTTAATCTTAAGAGCCACGTATCGCTCGTTCGACCAGCGCCACCTAAATTGTCAATATGTCTTTGACCATGTGATTAGGCCAATACGAACTGATGAAGGTCCCTTGCAAGCCAAACACTCGATCTGCTTCCGTGGCCAAGCTTGGTCGCAATCTGGTACCGGTCATTGAGGATTTCACCAATACGCGCTGGATAAAAGTGGAACGGGTCGTAATAGGGAGAGTTCTCCTCTTCAACTAGCAAAGACGGGTCAATTCGCGATGGAAGGGCGGATGCCAATGCCCAAGGCGATTGGCGAAATGCCTTGAAGGGATGCATGAGGATTTTGGGAAGATTCCGCGTCATCATTCTGCACGGAGCCAAAAAAGCTGGCACTGATTGATAGGATTTCTACGGAGCAAAGGGCGAAGTCCGGCCTTCCAGCTTTGAATATGGCGTAGCTTAGATCGTAGGCTTGCGCCGCAAGTGGGACGCGGGCGATCAAGGATTGGCGGCCCCAAGGTGCATGTCAACATTGAAACCAACCAATGATATCGCTCTATTGGTGGGCTCTCACAACCTTGGAACTTTTGAAAGCACAAGAAAGGGAAGATTCATTCACATTTTCGATTACAAAAAAGTAGATAAATAGAAGAAAAGCCTAAATTTGGCATCCAACAAAGTTACTCCTCCATCCTTTGAATTCAGCGACAAACCGCACGGCTGCCTTCAAGAAGAAGCGATCATGATCACCCCAAGTCTCAGCCTGCGCTTTCAGTACACGGGTAGTTTGTACAAACGAGGCATCAGTTGAAAAGGCGCCTGTCACCGCTTGCTGGGCAACCCATTCCCAGTCCTTCTCTTTGGAATCATAATGGCGGATTCGGTCGAGCTTGATCTCGGGACGAAGCTGCGAGATATAGATTGCGAGGGCGTTGAGCCACCATTGCCGAACTAGAGGAATCTGGAATTGGGCGGGGATCATGGGAAGCATGACCCGAACAGCATGGCTGGATGCAAGTACCATAGCAAAGAACCAATCGTAGTAGCCGCTCGAATCCCCCTCGGATGTTCCAATTAACAATGCAACTGCAAGTTGCTGACTTTCCCGGAACTGTTCCAATGGGTTCTCGATCTTCCATGCGCCCCAGTGGTCTAGTAACGCAGTATTGGGAGATGTGAGTAGGGTTTCGAGGTTATCGCTGCCCGCTGTGGGGAAGAGACCATCAAAGCTTTGATCGTCACCAACCCGATCCAGGATATCGAAGAGCGATCTTTGTTGATAAGTTGATTCTTGGGTTGAGTGCGTTGAGGTTGCAAGGGACGTGTAAGTCTCGCTGTGGCAAGTTGCTGCGAGACCAAGTGCTTCCATACCGATCTCTCGGCTGTTCATCTCAAAAGCATATGCAAGGTGAATCAACGGAAGTCCAACTGGTCAAATAGTTAGCATAACAATGCTTGAATACTGAGAGGTATTTTGAATCGCGATGAAACATACGAGAAGCCATAATCGAATCAAACACTGGTTCCTGTCCTTGGAACAGATATTCATTCACGACTTGCTTCCAGTCATAGTCAAGACGGGTCAGCTCATCCTCGAAGAAGTCAACAAAAGCTCGGTCAAACCTATATCAAATTTGAGGTTAGCGGAGGCCCATATCATACGGACAATTGGATTGAGCATATACATACTCTCGGCATCCAAGGTGGCTATGCCAATCTAGTGTGGTGAGCTCGGCAGGGGAGTCCTTCCACTTAACAACCTCACTCATTTGGGATTCGTAGATACGTCCCAAGTCGTTAGCATCTGCGCCTTGTAGAAAAGACGAACTCAAAAGCTACAAGCCGGTCAGTTTCATGATTTGACTGAGGTACCGGGCTGCAGGAAATTTCCACAGAATGGCGGCAAGCAGAATACTAACATGGGACATTTGACTTGGGAGTTGTCGCCTGTCAAAGAGGCCATTCTCAACATGGTCCAATTTCAATAGGTGCTTCAGTGCCCGGGCTGGCTTCTGATGAGCTGTCTCGGTCTCATGAACCTTGGCAGGCGGCAGCTTGATAGCTTGACGTGGCGATGATGAAAATATGTTCAGTGAAGGTAGCGACGGCCATGATATATTCAACATTGTGAATGTGTTTGGCAAATTCTATGGGTGGTGTGTTGGATGGGATTGTTGGGAATTGACACCTGAGGCAGAAGGATATCTCATGACGTAACAGTGTCATGTTATCAATCAAATCACGTGACTGTGTTTGCTCTGTTTGCCTTGCACGCGAACTTTCTCCAGGCGCGTCTCAGCACTTCAACCTTGGAGGTAGTGGATACACTGACCTTTTTCAAACATGGCTGACTGGTTGTGAAATGGCCGATGTTCTTACCCATCTCGCTGAGCAAATAAAACTTCACACCTTCTCGTTCTAACTAGCTCAACGTCTCCCAACACCATCCTTTCCCCTTTGACCGCACTAAACATACGAGCAAGACTAGGTACGCAGGTCTCATGATGCTCGAGTCCGAAGCACCGCTGCATTTATATGCAGAGCTCCTTCCAAACATCCGCCAAATCACAATCTACGTATCCTTGCCCGAGTCCGCAGCATTTGACGAAATCCGCCCAAATGTCCAACTTTCAGAGTCGCGAAAGGCCATAACCGTCTCACTACCAGCCCCTTTCCAAGATATCACAGAAACAATGAAACTTCCGGCGCGCGCGTCCTACCCATCTAAGCGCGACTTGGAGACCCAAGGCGCAAACCGATTCGTCAAAACGAGCGGCGGAAACCGTGAATTCTCTCTTCGCGTGCACGTTGATGACAATGACGAGGTGCTGGCGCCTCGAGATGAGCTGATAGACGATTTTGTGCCCTGGACCGCAGATAAGATGTCCGGGTCAACGAGAATTCGCTGTCGGCATTGTGATCAGCATTTCTTGGGTTCTTTGTCAGCATCCACGTCCACGAGTGATCAGGATGAAGAGAACAATGAGTCTTGGATCTGGAAAGACTTGCCCAGTGGTAATTGGGCTGAAATGATGGACTTTTGGCATTGCCACAAGCCTGACCCCCACGAAGGCCACGAGAAAGATGAGAAAGAGACCGCGCTTCGGATCGAGGATGAAACGGCACATACCAAAGGCTATGGCGCAGATAGTCAGGTAGTCGCCATATCGGGAACTGTGCTCGTGGATGTTGCCACTTTCCTCCTTGCCGAGTCGGATTGTATTGGACTTGAAAAGGTAAGATCCATCCCAGTGTGCTTGCCCCCAAATCGATTTTCCTAGTTTCTGGGCACGTTCTTGTCCCCGATTTATCTCCCATAGGGCAATTTAGAAGGGGGCCACCCAGTTCTCAGTGGGGTGACCTCCGATACTATTGCCCAAGATGAATTTGATGCACTTTGCTCAATCGAAAAGAAGAGTGGCATTCATGGGTGCGTGAACGCAGATTATAGGGGTAGTTATCCTCTGTCCGCAGATGGATCTCACCCTCGAAATTTGTGTGAATTAATTTGTGGAGACTGCTTTTCTGCTCTTTTGTGACAGACGTGCCCTCTTCTTTCAGCGCCAACTATTTGATGAGTGGAGTAGGCGTGATTACATGAGGAACATGAAGGTCGCTGAAAGTTCCGAACCTTTGGAGCTTGGTGTAATGTTGTAACAATATTGAATGCAATTCTCACTATCTACTCTGATCTCCAATCATCTTCATAAGCTTGATCCAGATTGCTGACAAGCATCGCGACAGGGCAATGACCAAGAGCAAAAGTTCAACACCGAATATTCTGCAGATAGAACATTGGACTGCACCAAATGCAGATCCATCATCGGCATGGAGGACCCCGTCGCCAATGGATGGCGACTACTCAAGGCCAGTGTTTCTTTGAACACAAAACAGGACTTCGAATCAAGTTCGCCACAGTGGGAGACCCATCCGACAGAAGTTATAGTCGCTGCTCAATTGCTCGAATTGATCGAGCGCGAAAGCGCCCGCCGATTTGTTGTCCACTGTGGTCAAAAGAGCGGCCTCGTGGTAAGTTTGCTTGCCTTGGGCCCCTTCGAACCCACTAACACATATCTCGCAGCTGTGGGTCTTCAATCCTGACATGCGATACTCGAAACTCAGTGCCGATCATAGTGTCATGGCCCAGCAGGCTATGAAAGTCTTCTTCCAGGACACAGCAGATGTCGATGGTTTGCTTCACCCAGAGATCGGTAATCCATCGCCCTTGTCCGTGGAAGAAGTTGAGCTTCCGTCAATGGTGTTTGAGGCCATGGAGAAAGCATTGAGGGACAGCAACGCGATGCTCCCAGTGTCTGCAAGAAAATTTCAGGAGTGGCAAGTTGGACTTCTGAGTCGTTTCAACCGAGGACCAGTTTAACCATGGTACGATTACATGAGATGCCTTCTACATTGATACGTCAATGAGATCAAGAGTGTCTTTCATTCTCTCTAAATTATCAATATCGTTTGTCGTTATGTGGTATGACCTGGTTCGTAAAGGTCTTTGTGGCATGGACTCTGGGAGTCGTTCAACCTTCGAACGGGGTTTCAAAGGGAGGCTCGGCCTGAGGCGTGAGACGGGCGATGTGTCGGCGTTGACCATCCTCCCAATCGAAAACAGCCGAGTGGCAGGCGAGACGGTTCTGCATATGATTAGCATGCTTTTGTTTTCACAATGTACGGTACTCTGCTGTTTGCGACTTACATCCCAGACGACAACGGTGCCGGGTCTCCAACGCACACGAGCTTGTGTGTCCTGCGAAAGAGCGATGTGATCGTACAGGAACTTGAGGAGGTGGTCCGATTCCTCCTTTTTGTATCCCACGATGTGACGTGTGACTGTTGAAAGGTTAGTATCATAGTCCAAATCCACACTTTCGATAGAGGATCATCAAAGCTTACATTGTGGGTTCACATAGAGGGCCTTCTCGCCAGTAACGGGATGAGTCCGAACAATGGGATGCTCGGAGGTGATTGGGTCACGGCGGGCGATACCACCGCCGTTCAAGCTAGCATTCACTTGCTCAACACCAGAGTGCACAGCCTTCAGGCCGTGGAGACGCTTCCGGAACTCAGGCGACAGACGCTTGTATGCCTGACCCATGTCGCCAAACAGGGTGTCACCGCCTGTTGTGGGGCCGTCAAGGACATACAGGAAGGTAGTGCCAGGGGGCTGCTTCTCGAAAGTGACATCCGAGTGCCAGGTAATGGTGTTGGTTCGCTGCTGCAGGAAAATCTCGCCCGTGCGGTCGTCGGCCCCGCGGTGAACCAAGTGAACCTCGGGGAAGCCCTTGGGGGCTCCCGAGGTCTGATGGATGTGGTGACGGCCGAAGTATCCAGCATAGTCGACGACCTCCTGGATCGGGCGAGACGCAAAGTCTTGATCACGGAAGGCTGCTTGTGGTTAGCTTTGCATATCGCGTGAAAGACTTCCTGCCATGTATCACATACCGACAACTCGGCGCTGTGCAACATAAAGAGCCAACTGGTCCTTGCCCTTGTCAGAAAGCTGGCTTAGTTGCACTCCGTGCACTTCGGAACCAATGAAGGGCGTGATTTCATCAATGCCAGTTTGGCCATTGGGGAATAGGTCTCGGAAGGAAGGATCGGCATCTTTTCCATGGTCGTAGTGCTCGAATGGTTCGAGAGGAGCATATCTGCAGCGAGTTAGTTTCGGTATACCTTGAGCAATGGGGAATCTTTTGATGCCGTACCTTTCTGTCTCATTATCCCACACAGGCAAATACTCCGGGTATGTGGCAGGAGGCAGTTTATCTGTGCCCTTGATCTCGTTTTCCTTCCTGTATTTGTAGCCGATCAGGTTCTCCTTGTTGTGGCCGGCATCTGACCTGAGCGGAGGTGCTGCTGTTGGGGCCCGAAGGCCAACATTCTCTGTAAGACCGGGAGCCATTCTGATAGCTCAAGCTGAGTGCTTAATTTTGCAAGGTGATAGATTCAAAGATCACGCTGTGAGAACCGGTATCTTGATTGACAGGGTTCGTGCTAAGGAGGGGTCGCATCGTTATATACGCCGTTCGGCACACGCAATCCGAGGAACACGAATTGCGCCATGTTTGCGGGGTTGACAGGATATCTGATTGACTGAAGTAACTCTCCGCGATCATCAGTAAGCGACAGAGCCGACGAGTCCGACGAGTCGAATGGGAGAGTTCAAGGATATTGTACCATCCTTGGTACTCGGTACTTGCACTGTAGGTCGACTATCGGCTGGGCAGAAATGGCGTGCGTCCAGTGAAAATCATCGCAATTGACATACAATCTCGGACTTTGTGAATGTGGTGATTTGACCTCAAATTGGTGTCAATCTCCCCGGCGATGGCGTGATAAGTCGTGCAGAAAACATACATCCAACAATTGTACTTTGTGATTGGGTTCAGAAGAACTCGGATGTTTTTTTTCTTGTAATTCATTGCCTCTAATATACTACTTGATTATTTAGACTCTGTATGTTAAAGGCAAAAGGCGTGTTGTGATGTTAATCGTCGGGGGGTACCTTAAGAATAGACTTCCCAAAAGGGCTTAAGGCGAGAATGATCAACCGACGAGATGAAACAACTCGAACAACTTTGGAAGATGTTGAATTGAGATATAAAACAAGCTGGAGCAGACAGTAGAGAGAACCCGTTAAAGGTACAAGTACGTATACTTTGAACTTGTACATGGAACCCTGGAAAGAGTGGAGATCGCAACTGCCAGCTACTCGTCGGCCCTAACGTCACTTGCTCTTGTTTTGCGTGATAGAGCCAAGCCCTCATTCAACTGGACCAAGCATTGCTTTTTTTTATCTCGTTTCAAGCACTAAGCCCTGATTGCCTGCATGGCTTTATCGGACTCTTCCCGGCAATCGACGATTCTCGCCTCGAGGCCTTAGTAGACCCCTAGTAGGCCTTAGCCCCGACAAGCTTACGCCTCTATAGCCAAAACACAACGAAGCCTAACCGAGTGGAGCTAAATGGATCGCAATTGAGATCCTCAATTGCCCATGCACATCTTACTAGACTGGTTTGACACCTTCCTATTCGCGACTTTTCTCCTGCGCGCGTGGATACACTGGGGCCAGCAAAAGCCTCAAATGGCGTGATACTCCAAACGTCAGTGTCGCACCGCGGCCTTTATAGCTAAGAGATGTCCCATCCATCTTTTTTCCGTCTATCTTGAATCCGAGCCTTGGTCCCCAAACCAGCAAGATGACGATCGAAGAAGCCAAGAACACGGGCTCCGATGCCCAGGCTACGGAGTCAAAGCTTGAGCCTAGAGTTTCTTCCGCAGAGTCTTCATCTTCATCTACCTATGATGGCCCTCGCGCACAAGTTGCGAAGACTGACTGCGCGTTCGATGCGACTGAGGATCCCCGCTATTACAAGCCCATTCCCGAATACGAAGGTATTCATCGCTGGGACCCGGAATTTGAATGGACGGAGAAAGAAGAGAAGGATGTAATTAAAAAGGTTTGTGAAATCTGAAAGATCGAAAAAGACACCCCATTGACTATCCTCAGATTGACTGGCGCGTATGCACCTTCGCCTGTGTAACTTTCTTCGCCCTCCAGCTTGACCGAGGAAACATCGTCCAAGCAACATCAGACAACATGCTGGATGACCTGGGCATGACAACAAATGACTACAACACAGGCCAAACAATCTTTTACCTAACTTTCCTTTTCGCTGAGCTGCCTTCGCAACTTCTATCCAAATGGCTCGGCCCCGACCGCTGGATTCCAGTGCAGATGGTGACATGGAGTCTTATCGCTGCTTGCCAGGCATTCATTCAGAACAAAAGTGGATTTTTCGCCACTCGCGCTCTCCTTGGTCTCATCGAGGGTGGCTTTATTCCCGATACCATTCTTTTCCTTTCCTTCTGGTACAAGTCCAAGGAACTGCCGATCCGTCTCAGTTACTTCTGGGTCACATACGAAGCAACTTCCATCGTGAGCGCTTTCCTTGCCTTTGGCTTCCTCCACATCCGCCAGTCGGACGGTACCGGAGGCTGGCGGTATCTGTTTGCTTTGGAAGGTCTAATCACTGGTTTGATTGGAATTGTCGCTGCATTTTGGATGCCTCCCTCCCCCACGCAGACTGCAGGTCGGTTCCGTGGTAAGGATGGCTGGTTTAACGAGCACGAGGAAAAGATCATGGTCAATCGCGTTCTTCGCGACGATCCTAGCAAGGGCACAATGCACAACCGCCAAGCCGTTACCCCCAAGCTCCTCTGGCAGGCCCTGAAGGATTACGACATGTGGGTCATCTATCTTCTCGGTCTCACCTGGATGATTCCCAACACCCCGGCAACATCATACATCAGCTTGGAACTCAAGTCTCTGGGCTTCAGCACTTTCCATTCCAACCTTCTCACTATCCCCGCATATGTAATCTTTATCATCAATCTGTTGATCTGGACTTGGTTCTCTGAGCGCTTCAACCAGAGATTGCTTCTGGGTGTTGGTGCTGAAATCTGGGCCCTAGCTCTGCTCATTGCCCTCGAACTCCTCCCTGCCGATGCCAGCACCTGGGCTCGTTGGGTCTTGCTGATCATGTTGATTGGTATGCCCTACGTACACGCGATCATCGTCGCGATCACCTCTCGAAATGCAGGATCCGTGAGAACACGAACGGTTGCCAGTGCCGTCTACAACATGATGGTCCAGGCTAGTAGCATTATCGGAAGTAATGTGAGTACAGCAATGAACCGTTCTTCCAATCAATTACTGACCTTCGCAGATTTACCGTACTGAGGACAAGCCATACTACCGCACGGGTAACAAGGTCCTTATTGGGCTCTCTGTGTGGAGTGCCTTCCTCTTCATCGTGGCCAAGTTCTACTATGTCTGGCGCAACAAGTAAGTGCTTGCAGATAAACTCGGTCAATTCCATGAACTAACGAGACACCCCAGGCAAAATGCTGCTATCTGGGACAACATGTCCAGCGAGGAACGTGAGAGATATGTCGCCGAGAACAAGGATCTCGGTAACAAGAGGTATGTCATGCAGCCACAATATAGCATGAGAACAAATACTAACAACAAGACAGAGTCGACTTCCGCTTTTTGCATTAGATTCATTTTTGTTTCTTTTCCATGAAATAGATTCCCCCAAAAATATACCAATAGATATACACCATTCTCGATGCAATGTCACTGCAATTTCCAACCTTGAAAAGTCTCCGACTATTTTATCATAAAGTTTGGTTTGAGCTCATAATAGCCAAGGCAGCTTTCACACTATTCCCCAATCACATACTCACAGCCCTCGTCCCCAATCCAAACCTCATGGAGCTTTCCGGCAGGCACGTCAATCCTTTCTCCCACACCATATGTCTCCTTCTTCGCTTGTCCGCTGTTTGATACTGAATTGTCCTCTGGATAACTGATCGTCAAAGAGCCTCGGCGGATGAGATGTGTCGTGAGGCCGGTATGGGTGTGCGGAGAATAATACGCATTACTGCTCGAGATTAGTATATAACTACATGGATTTGCACTCCCGGGCTGTGTTTCTAGATCATGATCAACGCCGGGATAAAGACGGTAAAGTGGAGTGCGGCCAGGTTGTGTGTTTGTTGATCTAGTGATGTCTGATAACGCATACATACCTTCCGTCAGTCCAGGTGAAAATATGTTTGAAGCCCCACTGGCGAACAAGACGCTCGCTTTCTGAGCGTGTTCCGATGGGGTATTTCTCAGACATGTTTGAATGAGAGCAGAATATGGACACCAGATTGCAGACTCCAAGCTTGTTAATGGGGGTGCCCTGGATGGGACATAGCACTATGACGTCATAAAGCTGGAACAGTCCAGCAGACCGAGACATCACGTGAGGAGATATGCACGTAGGCGGGACAAAAGTACTTCAATACCGATTCAAGATACGTGCTAGGAGATCTAATGTATAGTTCCTCAAGTGAAACGTGGGGGCCAAGGGATCGACCCGATGAGAGCGTAGTGACTGACCCCCCCATGGTAAAGCAAAACTCCGACATTTTGTCTTTGATACAAGCGACTTGAGAGTAAAAAGCAAACATGTCATATCTCATTAGAAAAAAAGCAAATGGAAACGCCTTGCTGAAACGAAAATCCAAGCGGGGTTTGCCCGTGTGTTCAATTTGGGCCCGTTGATCTTGAAGATCCCTTGATTTCAAACATCGGACGTGTGTGCACTGGATGTGGCGTCCATCCAGTGATTATAGTGGCGCGACGACCGGCCACAAATTACGCGCCTGGGCGTAGGGAAGTGAGGAAGAATTTCCGTGCATGAGATGTGGCATGCACCATGGTCAGAGATCATGCACACGGTGTGTGGCAGATGTGGCAGCTCTTCCCTGGGATGACCCAGACTTCTTTCCCTTGCGCTTGGCAGTTGGGGCAGCGCACACCAGGCATCTGGATATAGGTCAATATGTGGACATGGGAGTATCACAGAAGTACGATATCAAGACGAACCTTGCTAACGGAGTTTGAGCACGCATTGACGCCACAGGGAGATGAGGTAGTCATGATGTGGTATGTGGATGGTGTTTTGATGGAGTGAATTGGATTGCCTGTGGTGAATTGGAGAGGAAAGAGGAAGGTTGGCTGAGAACAGAGAGGGAGCTCTTATAAGGTCTGGAAAGTAAGGGAGCAACTGAGTCTAGTTCACACGGCCCCGCGATCCTCGAGATCGTATCGGGACAGGAAATGTAAAAATCAATTTAAAAATAAAAAAGGCGCAAATAACAGGGCGAATGGAGTCTCGGTAGCTCCCGTTATGTGAGATAAACCGGGAACATACAGACGAGAGCATTTGATCGACCGATGTGACGGTTGAGCTAAGTGAAAGTCAAGTCAGAAATCAAATCAGGATGACCCAAAGAGGAAGAGGTCATGCATTCTCGACGCCACTAGCTGTCTCTGACCAATCACAGCAAGGCATTCGGTACCTCCCGAGCTCTCCGCGTCTTGGGGGTTCGTGGATGACTTCTTTGATTGTTTGCAATCCACGGATACACTTCTCCCCGAACACAAAGACACTCGGTAGATCCAATTTAAGACCGGATTGGAGGATGAATCGAGTCACCGAATCAGAGCGAGAACGAGCGGATGGAAATTGAGGCCAAAAATTTAAGAATGGACGTATCAACCCCAGAACCCCACAGGTTACGGGTCTCGGTCGTGCTCGGTGGTAAGCGCGTTGATTCGTCAGAAACCTCGGACCAGGGCTAATTCACAGGCGAAGTTCGATCGCGTTTGATTATTGGCTGGATCGCTATGATTGTTTGTTGCTGTCACTTTCCCAGCGATTCGTTTGTTTATGCATGCAAATTTCGCGCATGAACCCCTACTGGAGGGTCGCATTCCTGTCCAATATGTGCGGGAAAGACTACTGAGATTGGGGATTTGGAGACAGAAAAGGTACACCAGATGCGACCGTCTACTCTTAACAAAGACCCTGTATCTCGATCGAGCATACGGAGTACGGAGCGGTCGAGAAATTGGGAAGGATTGTGAAGCCAGTTTGTCTTTCCCCACTAGGGTTGATCAATATGATGCATGTTGCTTGGCGCGCTGATCGCTGCACCTTTCCAGTTCATGTGCGTCAAAGTGTCAGGTCCTCTCACCGATCATTTGATGGCTCGCAGCATGCAGTTCTATCAAGTGGGCTTATCCACGTTCGCCTGATCTAACCATATTCGACAATTCTCTTGTTAATTCCTCCCCGTCACCGCCACTTAATCTAAAGAGATTGCGATTATGGATGATGAATACTCGGAGAGCCCGAGAAACCTCGTAAATCGTGTGTTCACCCCTGCGGCAAGTCAATAAAAAAAGCATTCGTCAAACTAGTACGGAATACATTGCACATAGCACGTACATATGCAGTAGAAAGCCTGAACCGGAAGGCCTCGGGGTAAATCTTTTTTATCGGCGGGAAATCAGACTAGCGCCCGTTGGCTCTGTCAAACCTCGTTCTCTACGGAGTAAAGCATGACAAATACTTCAAATCCAAGGTCAACGGTCAAGGGTCAAAGGTCAAAAGGATGTGCTGACTCAAACGTACCGTTTTTGTGTGACGCCTTCTTTTCAGATTTGCCTCGTGACTGGTGCGATTGCATCTCACAATCGCGATCGAGGATCTGTGGCAGGTTGCTTTTGGCAGTCGAAAGGACTTTGTGATACAGTAAAATGTGCATGCCGTGGGATTTGTCACATCTTGCGAGAGCTCTGACCTGTACGGAGTACGGAGTAACGTTGGCATCCTTCATTCTGGAAGGAGATATACCGATGTACGACATGCTGCCTAAATGCCCAAAGGCGGCATGGTGATAAATGTGGTAATTGAACTCAATTCACTCGGCTCTCGGCTAACTCATCAGCTATCCAAATCCCACTGTGTGACACATGTATGCCGACCTGCAACATCAGACCATCCAAGTCAATGGAGCCTCCGTACTCCGTATTCCCTGACGATCGGAGCTTGGCATGGCTCAGGTAATCTGCTTCTCGACCTTTACCAGTAGCACGCCGCCTGTCTTCTCACCAGAGCAATCATGAAGGTGGACCAGCCGATAGCCCTCGCGCAGTCGATCAAGTCGAATGCAAGCCCATGCAGCCAGCGGATCGCGACCGATTTCGTCATCTTTGATTTTGAACCTAAAGAAAGCAGAGATCATCAGCGTCTCGCACGACAATCGGGTCTACAAAAGCAATGACGTGACCACTGAAGCATGATGCAGAAAGGTGAAGGAAACCGATACAAAGGCTACAGGTCGCCCTAGCCGTATCATGCACTGTGGCTTAGATCCAGCGGTCCGAATGAGGTAGACATGCAAGCCCGGTCACCAGGATGGGTCTTCAGGCTGGCCTGTGCATATTCTCTGACGGGTATCATTATGCAGGGTGAGGCCTGCATGGATTGAATCGAGGTTGGATGTAGAAATGCAAGCCGAATGCAGCATCCGAGCACCAAAGCACGAGGCACATCACGCGACGCAAGGAAGGGAAGAGCGCATTGAGGAAATTGGATGCAGCACTTACCTCAGAAAACTCAAGTCCTCAACAATCCCAGTCACTAGTGGGAACTCCAATTTCTGGCACTCGAAGTCCGGGTTCCTCCCCGAGGAGCTCTTTGTGCATCGCTTGTAGCTCGTTTTCTCGGTATCCGAGCTTGCGTCATCCCTGTCAGGGGCTACTTCGCCCTCCGGCTCCTCGACATGTAGCTGACAGGTAACATAGGGGCGGAACCCCTTTTCGCTGTGATCGCCTAATGGCAAGGATAGGTCTTGGGCTGCGTATATCTCAAGTGACAGAAGTAAGTTGCGGCGCTCGATGGAATTCGTCTCGTGATCGCTGCGCCGGAAACCGGTAGGCTTGAGGCGCCAGCCGTGCGATCCTACGAACATGCCATGATTGAGCATCATGCCCTTGTCAAGGCTTTGCCAGTTCAGAGCTACCAATTGGGCACCGCGACGCCAGTAGAAGGTCGGATCGAGATTAGAAGAGGTGACCCTGAATGCATAGGGATAGATACGCATCAGGGACGTGCGATTGTGCTCGAACAACGCATCGTGGTTATTGATGTGAGCTTCGCGCGCTGCCTTCTCGGACAAAGAGAAGACATGGACTGGAACCTTGGCCTCTGTACGAAATTACAATATGCCTCTCAAAGGAAAGAAGACGATGATACACGTACCTGGTTGATCGAAGTGGCTGAAATGATAAGCCCGAGTATACACAGCCAAATCGGCTAGGGCCCCGAGCACCTTTGACGGTTTCGGCGGTTGCTGCCCCGAAGAGTGTTCCTTAGAGTTCTGTGGCGTCAGAGTCTCTTCCGACTCGGTGTTTGCATCATCACCATTGAGAGGAAGACCTTTGGTCTTGATCAGGATCTTCCGTTTCAAATCGGCAAGAGAAGGAAGTTTGCCATCAGCTGGTTGGGTTTCAACCAACATGCCCTTCCAGGCTTCTTTCATGATATCCACCATCATTTGCTGCTGCTCAAGGCAGGCATGGACCTCCAGACTGATCACAACCGGGAGATCGCTGGCGACGAAAGCATTGTCTCGGATTGCATAGCAGATATCGCGGAAAGTAGCTCCTTTGGTAAGGGTATGTCCATGCAAAACACGGGGCTCAGCTCGTATGGGCATCTGACTAGTAGCAGCGTCTCCCTGAACGGGCTGCGCCCGTTTCTTTGCCGACCTGCGACGCAGGACCGATCCCAACTTGGCTTCCAATCTGGACGTGACCGATTCTTTCGGCGGTTTGTCAGACTTGTCCTGCTTCGTGGTACTCTTTATTTTGTCTTTCGACGTGCTTTGACTCTTTTCATCAGCTTCAGAGTCGCTGCTATCACTGTCGCTACTGGCTTCGTCATCGCTGGAGCTGGGTGTGTCTGATTCCCCGTCCCATACGTCAATCTCAACAGACCGACAGCCCCTGAGAAGAACCTAACCCCGAATCAGTATTACTCAACGCAGAGTTCAGATGAATTGTGTCGCCCGTGAAAGGAATGCATGGATTGACACGTATTCACTCACAGAGGTATATGCGCTCGCAGCAGCATCGCTATACAGCTGATTTCCGGTCAGGTAAGTATTGTGACTGGATGATATGAAGTAATCCGAAAGCGGGGCCGAAGTGTCCAGGCCTTTTTCTGGCGCCATGGCACAAGACGTTGCTTCCTTCATGTACGCGCGGAAGGCATCAACAGATGCCAAAGCATCGACTGGTGTTTCCCTGGCCGTGGTTGCAACCACTTCATCATGTTGAATCTCGTTGAGGAAGTAGTTTGTCGTCGGGGCATATGCATCGACCGACTTGTAAATCCTTGCGATATGGTTGTCGAGCGACGGGTGGAATACATCCACATTGTGTGATGCCTCCCGAGGTGGCTGATGGAGAGTCAAGTGTTTGGCATGGTCCACGAGCGCTTCGACCTTCTCCATATTCTGCTCTTATTAGTCTGCTTTATTGCCGCTATGTGGTGGGAGAACCTGCCAGATGTTGGCTGTGGATGACTGGAGTTGAGCTTGGATGGCTGTGCCCCGCTTTGTTTCAGGAGTCTTTCTGAAGTAGAAAAGCCAGCGGAGCTGACAGAACTTAGTATTCTAGCTTGGATGCTAGGTAACCTTTTCAGAGATACTGCAACAGCCCTGGAGATGACTTGCAGTGGAGGAAATCCCCAAGTGAGCCGTGCGCCCAGAATCCCCACTGCCAACGTGTCGCATATCACTTGGCGTGGATCACTTTATGAACCCGAGGCTACAAATCTGCTGATTCCCGGAATTTTAATGAGCTATGAGTCGAAGGGATCATTCATTGCACCTTTACCTCTCTCTTATCGATCATTCGTGGACATCACTATCTACGAACTATGACACTTGGGTGTGATGAGCATATAGCCCATGTGATTTGCATGATCTGGACTCGTGTGAGTGGATATAATTTTGTCACACGAGCTCATCGAGTGTCTTGTGCTGTGGAAATCGTCCTGGCTTCGCTTTTGGCATCCTCCTATCACTTCAGTCGAAAGTCGGAAAGACGATATGAACTATGTTCTCGGGCCGAGGGAGAAAGATGGAGATCCCAAGGCTTTGGGCAAAACTTCTTCCTTGCCTCGGATTGAGGAACAATGGCCAGGAGGAGTGTCGGATAACAAAGATGTCGAAGCATTGAGTGTTGGAGGATCAACTCGGTATGCAACTTGGTTTCAATCAATATCTGTCGCAAGAACCTGAGATTTTGAGGTGTCATTTGATATATAGCACAAGAGAAAAACAAATAAATGTAATAATACATCCTGGATGCTGAAAAAAGCCAGGTCTATCCAATACTCAATGCAGTGTATAGGTGGTCCACATTCCGGAACAACCCTGAGAAATACAATCGCTTCCACGCATTCCACTCAAAAGCACACTTGCCACGAGCTTATAGACCACGAAGGAAGTTGGATTCCTTGATGGACTTCCGGCGGGCGTCTCGTGCGGTCTTGATGATCTCCGAGCGCTGTTCGAAACCACCAGTGGCATCTTCCATAGCGTCCACGGGGGACCCGTCGCGGTTGTAGGATGCGGGTGTGATATCGTGGGCGTGGTGATGGGCAGGGATCTGAGCAGCCAAGGGGCCGGTGCGGGCAGCTAGCTTCTTCTCGTAACGCTTCCTTTGCTTCTTGTTCAAAGCTAAACAGCTGGGTTAGCCTTCCATGAAACTGACGGGTGATCAACGGTGTAACATACTGCTTGGGTCAACACCTCCCTTCTTGGTCTTGCTATCTTTGGATGAACCATCCAAGAGACCCCAGAGCCATTCTGGGTACTCGGAATCTTCCTTGGCGAGGACGTCGGGCTTGTTCTTGAAGTAATTGAGTCCGTTCAATTTAGTACCCGGCGTACAGCTGCTTGGCGCGCGCACGACGGCAGGCTTTGTGGGTTCTGCAGGGTTGACATCGACATGGACGCCTTCGGGGGTGCTGAGCGGCTGGGAAACACCGGGGGTAGCGGAGGAGATGGCGGATGGGGTTGAAATATCGCCGACCTTGGGTTGGCGGGGTGCAGGAGGCGAAGGTGCAGCTGCTACGGGGGCATTGTTGTCACTGTATGCCCGGAACTGGTTGCGAACTAACGGGAGCTGGCGCGTGGTTGCTGAGGCTGCCCGGGTGATGGGCTGGCTGAACCGGGACAACATTGTCGTGCGACAACTTCTGCAGATCATTGAAGCCTGGATTTTGAAAAGTATTTGGCTTTATGTGGCAAAGATGTCGTTAGAGTACTGAATTGAAGTCCTCAAAGAATCAAGGAGCGTGGTGGTGGGGATTGGGTGCTGAGGTTGATGTACACAGCTGTCGCAGTTTTCTGCGGCCGTATGAGATGCCAAGACGGAGATGAATATCACGTGAGCAGATATTTATCGCCAGCATCACATCTTTTCCTCAGGAGACAATTAAGACTACGGCATCCATGCTTTCAAAGGTACCATAGCTGCTTGAAAAAAAGTTCTTGATAGCTCGAAAAGTCCTGGATGTGAACTCCATGAAAAGCACGGAGTACGGCGTATGAGTTGCCGTAGTCATGTCACGTGATATTTTACTTCTGTGCCTCAGGCGTGATTGTGGCATTTTGGTTTCTCCGCACTGGACAACATCCACAACTTCATTGTTCTCAATTTCTCGAAGCCTCGATGAAAAATCATTGTGAACTTAGCAGAGATTTCATGGGAAACTTTTGTTTTATTCGCATCTAGCGGGAAACGAACAATATAAGTATATGAATGAATATACACCCACAGCACAATACCGCGACTGCGAAAGCTCACAACTGATGCAACTCTAATCAACATGCCAATGCAAAACAGAAAACGCAAAATCATCATACCCACAAACATGCTTCCAAAGCGCCTTTGTTCCGGGGAGCAGGTATATTAGGAACAGGCGAACAAGACAAACAAATCATCACAAAAAGTCATCGTCATACAGCGTTGACAGGCTTTGACAGACCACTGATGTCCAAAAAGTTGCAGATGTCCTGGCATGCATCCTTCAAGCTCTTTTCAGTTTTCCACTGGAGCTCTTCGGTCGATCGATCAACAACCGCAACGCACGCACCCACATCACCTTCCCGACGCGGTGCTGCCCGTCGGGGAATGGGCTTCTCAATAACGGACTCCATAGTGCTGACGACGTCCATGACGGAGTTTCCCTTTCCGGTGCCGAGATTAAACGTACGGAAGTTCTCAGTCAACTTTCCCTCGTTCGCAGAACTGAGCGCGGCGATGTGCCCGCGAGCCAAATCGCTCACGTGGATGAAATCACGAACAGCGGTACCATCTTCAGTCTCCCAGTCTGTTCCAAACATTGACAGCTCGGAGTATTGGCCGGTCATGACTTTGACGACTACTGGGAGCAGATTGGTGGGTGCCTGGCGCGGGTCCTCGCCTAACAGGCCGGACGAGTCACAGCCGACAGGGTTGAAGTAGCGAAGAGCAACGATGGTCCATTCGGAGTCAGAGGCAGCCAAGTCCGCCAGGATGGTTTCACACATCCATTTTGTGCGCCCATAAGGGTTGGTGATTCCAGTGCATCCTGGTTGGATGGCTTGCTGTGTGCCTGTGTGATCTGTGTACAATTCTTCCTTGTGGACACAGAGCTCTTCCTTCAATGGAAGGCCTGAAGTTGCAAGAGTGCCGTACACAGTGGCCGAGGAGGAGAAAATGAAAGTCTTGATGCCGAAGTCTCCAAGAGTTGTGGCGAAGTCAATCAGCCCACTGACATTGTTGTTGTAATACTTCAGTGGTTTGCGAATACTTTCTTCCACGGCCTTGTAGGCCGCAAAGTGGATCACTCCGGCGATTCTTGACTTGGGAGTTCCCCATCGCGAAGACACGCGGTACTCCTCGAGGAGCGGTTGAAGAGCTTTGGTGTCACGATAATCGTGTGCATGCAGACGCAAGGATGGCATTTTGGTCCCATTTTCTTCGTGATGCTTCTTAGCCAAAGTTCTAATACGGTCGAAAACAACTTCAAATGAGTTGCTGAGGTTGTCGATCACGATGACATTATAGTTGGCCTTTAGCAGCTCGAGCGTGGTGTGACTTCCAATGAAGCCGAGGCCTCCAGTCACAAGAATGTGGCTCTCAGAAGGCAGTCTGCGCAACAAGTCTCCGAGATTGTCGAATGGGTCTCCAGCCTCAGTTGCCGGTGTGTCCAAGGCAATTGGAGACTCCACGGGGCTGCCGGTGCTGGACCGTTGAGGGCTGTCCGCCCTTGAAGAAGAGATTGATGTGGAAGCAACCATGGTGGTCGATAAATGTATGACGTGGGTCTGACAAGCTTTGCTGTCTCTATGAACCGAAGGAGAAGACTCTTGCTGGCTTTTGTTCACGACGGGGATGTCCTGAGCAGTTCGGTGGGCCTTCAACCAAGGTTTTATACAAAACAAGCGAGGTCACTACATTGCCTCAGTCGGATGCTCCGTTTTAGTTCATCTATTATGCCATCATAGCCGGACGAATGAGGTATGAGCACAGTCCCCCCCACCGGCAAAAATGGAACCTTGGAAACGAAGAAAACAAAAGGAACAAGCATAAGCGGGAATAAAAAAAGAACAAAGAGACCGTAATAGGGGGAGAACACAAGCAAGACTGGTACAGAACCATCGGGCAGGATCCCCCTTGGTGGGCCAGCCATGCGGCTGGGCCTTGGGATATCATTCTGTGCATCGAAATGCCCTAAGGGCCTCCACCTAGCGGTACCTCATGGCCTCAGCTCGAGCTTATTGACCCAAAAAAATGAAAATAAATGGCATTATTGTATTTTACTCTTTCATTTTTACTTATTTTCCCTCTTTTCTATGTCTCATCCAAGACCCTTTCTGCATATGGTCGAGACCCCGGGTCTTTTTCGGCCGGTGCATGGACACTAAGTCTTGGGAGCTGTTCACCTGGTGCAACTTGTCCCGATCCCATTGATTTTTTTTTTTAGATTTTTTTTTCTTTAGTTTGCCTCTGTCCAGATTGCCCAGATTGATAGCATATTTACTTGAATTGTAGAATCCACTTTCTACTCATTCCAAAACTTCTTTTCTGTAAACCAACATGTCCGAATCCCCCGAAAAACACGTGAGCAAGCGCGGTTGTCTTAAGTCGAAACGCTCTCGTTTTCTCTTGGCAATTGTCGTCCTCATTGTGATAATTGCTGCCGTTGTTCCCCCCGTTGTCGTCACATCTCTCCGGAAGAAGAATAACAGCATGGGCCCCAAAGCGAAGGTGTTCGTTCCACTTTACGTGTACCCTGCTCCTGAGGCGTGGTCTCCGCTTGAAAATGTGTATGTCTAACCCTTTTTGCCCACCCCCAAACCACTGCCCCAGTTTCGCTCTCCCCGATGTGATTCTATACCAGGCGGCCGGTAGCCCGCCACAGAACACGGGGTTATGCGCCGGACATTCACACGTCAAGAAAAAGAAAAGAAAAGAAAAACAGAATTATCATGGGAAGCAGCTACTAAGCGCCACAGGATCTCTGCCCACCCTGATGTGAACTTTACCGTCGTAATCAATCCAGGAAATGGACCGGGGCCTAACGCCCTCCCTGATGCCAATTACACTCGCGAGATCCCGAAGCTCACGGCTTACGAGAATGTGCGTCTTTTGGGTTATGTTCACACCACATACGCAACACGCAATGTCTCTTCCATCCGCAAGGATATTCAGACTTACGCCGACTGGCCGACTAATTCCTCAAACCCCAACCTGGCGGTTCGCGGAATCTTCTTCGACGAAACACCCCAACAATACGAACCTCAAACCTTGAGTTATTTGCAAGGACTGACGGACTTTGTGAAAGACCTCAAGGGTCTTGGCCCAAATCAATTTGTGAGTGTAATCATTCCGAGACTCCATTTTTACTTTTACAATCATTCATTACCCCATACGATACCCCCTGTGTCGCACCATTCCAATCTATTATTGTCCATTGTGAATTGTATTTTTTTTTTTTCACTTTTTCGCTTTCCCTTGGTTCATTGTTGCAATATGTTGGAACTACCCATTGTCAATACGAAACTGCGTCATGGTATTCTACTCTTTTTACAACCGTTATACTGACAAAAAGCCATTCAGGTTGTTCACAACCCTGGTGCCGTTCCCGATTCTCGGTACCTGGCAACAGCCGATTCGACCGTCGTCTTTGAGGCTGCTTACAACACTTTCCAGGAACGCCAGGGCGCCAAGTTGTTTACTGATATTGCAGACAGCAATCGTACCCAACTTTGCGCCATTGTGCACTCCGTGCCTGAAGAGGTTGAGGGCAAGTCGCTTCGCGGCCTTGTGAAAGAAGTACGCAAGGTTGCCGATGAAGTGTACATCACTCATCTTAGCACAGACTACTACGCCTCCTTCGGAGACAAGTGGACCGAGTTTGTCGATCTGATGGCGGCTTAAATTATCTGCCCTCTCTCATGATGACCAATGACCTGCTTTAGTGTGATGTGCGTTGGGAAAAATTGAACCAACCAAGCTGGTATGATTCGCATAGTTTTGGACATTTTGTTGAGCGATTTACGCATTGCATTTTTCTGTTGATAGTACCATCCAAAATTGACAGCCACTTTTCAAGGCAACCCACTTTGTGAATTCTTAATGATGCACAACCAAGGACCGTCATCGTTAGTATGGGACTACTTGTACGGAGTATGGCGAAGTTACTTGTAGGTCAAGATGTGGGGATTACTGTATTGTGGTATTTTTCAGTTGGTGTAATTTTCCTCCGTTCCGCAGTGCCAAGATTTCGATGCACCAATGCGAATGCGAATGTTGCCCTGCCTTTTTTTTTTTTTTTTTGCCCCTAATCCAATGGCGTGCGTTTTATCCACCATTCACGGAGGACCTGTCGATTTGGGACGTGTTCGTCGAAAAGTTCGGCTAGTTCCAAGGTTTCGAAGATGTTTCTTCAACGGATACAGTGGGTGGAAGGTTGGATGTTGGGCCCAGTGATTCTTGATCTAGGTCTCGATACGAGCCATAAGCTAAGCTTGGCTGAATTTGCCTAGGGCGGCTTGCGTTAAGTTTGTTTATGTGAATATAAGCATACTGAAGGGGAGAAGACACCTTCCTCTCCCGGATCACGATCCAGACTAGCACATTCAAGATGTCTCTGAGTTACCGTTGATCCGATCGATCCGTGAGACCTGCATTTAGCAGTCTGCACTCCTATGCTCAATGCCAATGCCGCCTCAAAAACGCGAATGGCTCCGAGAATAGCCCTGCATGTTTGGCGCTCGGGGGCCTTGGCAGTATATAGTACGGAGTACGGAGTACCACCGCCACCGTTTCAATCCACGATGGGCTTGATCCTTTCTCAAGACTGTAATAGATATTCTGACATGAAACATCTTGAGACAAAGACCTCGGCACAGGTTCAGATAAAGTGTATATCGAGTGCGTTGGCTAGAACGCAATATGGAAAACTAAAACCGCAAAGTAAGACATCAATTCATGACATCAATCACAAACTTCGGAAATTAGCATTAAGCACTGGTATATGTCATCACCATGCAGATTTAGGATAGCACGATACAACGCTGCACTGGAACAGGGACAATCTTATGCCTCTAGGCGAAAACGAGTATGTACAACGTGGTCCGAGTGTGGCTGGGCCAAATTTCAAACTCGACCTGTCTCCTTCCAGCGCAAATACTTAGATGTCATATTCCTGGAACTGAGCCTGCGTGCTACTTCGTTACACCAAGACATGACTCGCAGCTGCTGAGGTTGACGTAAGAATCTCATTCTATTAGGAACTTAGCTGGTCTTCATTCATTCCACCAGAACATGCGATTCTCAAATGATACTTCGTATTATCACGGATGATATTGGTACCTAGCCCGATCATAATTTAAAATGCATCACATGGCACTTTATAAACAGGATTTCCCTGGATGACTTGCTGTACGATGCAGCTTAGGGGGAAAACGTACGGATTACACCCCATGTCCCTGTTCTTCAGCTCATAGCCATTAACTATAAAATGTGACATACGACATACGGAGTACTTACCCCTGAAATTGACCGCTGGTGGCGGAAGCCACTAACCCGTGGCATGGCCCGGGTACGTCGGGACAAAACATTGGCAATATGCCCTTGTGCGACCATGGCTGCAGTGAGGTTCGATCTATCTCTTGGCTACTTATCTCTTGGCTACCGAGGGGGTAAGATCGGAAGTTTCATATGTTCCTCTGATCACACGCACAAGCCGTCGGTCTAACTGTTTAGGTACCGTACAGAGTCGATCTTCGGCAAAAGGGAACAAAAGCCAAAAAATCAAAGCACAAGCGCCAAAGATCGCCGTTTGGGAACAAATGAAGGAGTCTGAGATGGGTTGTGGCTGGGGCGCGATCTGTTTTGAATATGAACATGTGGACACGTCTAGATCGGAATCTTTAGCGAACCGCGTCCAGGCTTGCGATGTGGGGTGAAGATTGAGTTCGCATAGCGCTTGCTATGCGAGGATTTTCGAGTGGCAAATGATTTCCCTAAGAGAAACAAACATCCCACTTTCCAACATGAGAGTTCGGGTCGAGGCTGTTCGACCTCCTTTTTGAGTGTGAACAGCCGCCGCAACTTCGGAAATACTCTTTTAGCGTAGTTTTCAGATATGGCAACGCGATGGCCTCGCTTCAAAAGTGAATTTTCGTTCTGTGTGGGGCTGCAGAATTCCAACGCTGACAAAGTGGAGAGAGCGGCTGAGATTGAGTGGACAATCGCCACGCAAACGAATAGGTTCGCCAGGAACCGGGGAGATCCGCTCGGGTGAGCCCCTCTCGGGCGGCCGATCTTAGCGCTTCATCCTGAGTGGCTGTTTCCGCTCCCCATGGCCACGTGAACCGAGCAGCTTAGCCTACCTGAGTCAGGTGGATACACTCACCACTGAGTACGGAGTGCTAAAAAAGCTCTGATCAACGGGATTGAGGGCCAAAAGTGGTTAAGAGCGAAAAACAGTAGAAGTGAAGAGTTGAGTCCCGACCGGAATTGCCGATCGGGGCAACATCGGGGAGCTAGACGAGCCATCCTGGTGCTCACCGGTCTTCGGATCAAGGTACTTTACAAGATTTGGACAACTTTCGTTTTCCAAAAGTTCTCCGTACTCGGTCCAAACCTCGGGTTTATGGAGGCAGCGAAGACAGACTATGGGCCTCCGTACTCCATACAGGGATTTCGACCTTTTCTCGGGGCTGGCTGGAGCAACTAAACAAGTATTCCATACTCCGTACGGAGTACTCTGTATTCCATGCTTCGTAAATATGTAACATGGCACAACGCTTTTGCAGCTTCAGAGTGCCTCTGGCGGATCATGCAAGGGCGAGCCCCTTCAGGACTCGGGAGATGTCAATCCTCCCAGTACTCCGTACTCCGTACTTTACGCGAGTGACCTGAAAAATACCGAGAACCCTAATATTTAGTACGTACTATACATGATACAAAGGAATATCGTATTTTTTCCAAACGCGAAAGTGCAGCCAAAACGATCGACCCACTTGTCTTTCGAAAATTACCGGATGGGTCCGCTTTCTCAAACCCAACGCGCTTGTTTATTTCAACTGTTTTTATCCTTAAACGAAGCAAATTGAAAGAACTCTCGACCTATCATTTTGAGACATTCAAAATACGGTGGAATACTCGGACTGCCAAGACTGCCAAGACCCGACCACACTTCGATCTAGTCTTCAGATGAAACCTCACTAAACGATCGGCCTTCTCCTCTCCGCTACTCCATACGCTAGAGTTAAGTGCGAAGTTTGGACCAATGCGAGTGAATTAGTAATGGGTAGTTGCTTTATTCTTAGCTGATCCATCCAATACTATACTGACATCGGCAATATAGAAGAGACAATTGACAAGGATCAGGTCCTGATTTGCATTTGATGGGTCCAGAAACACAAAAACTCACTGAATGAATCAAAGCGCAGGCCATTGACTTCAAATGAGAAAAATACAACTATTGCCGGATGCCTGACCCGACACAAAAGCGTGGCCTTGGCATCCTAGCCGCTCACCCGTCGTCTGTCCAGACATGCCGGGAAAATACCAGCATTACTCCGTAGGGACATTTGGTTTTCACTAGCCGCATGCTTTGTGGCCACGGGGGCTGTGGCTCGGAGAAAGCGCTAGGAACATGAGCTCTCTGCGCCGAGGATGGCGCTGTTCGGTGGTTCTTTTGCAATGCGCTCCTCATTTGGGCTTGGATGATGCCCGTTCCGTGTGCTTGACAACGGTCATACGAGTGGATGGAATTATTCTAGGCTGACGCTCAACTCCGGGGGAAGGCTTTGGGCGACTATTGAAGGCGCTAGTGATCCAATTGTGGTGACATGTAGCGATTCTGTCTATGTATTGGACTTCGCTTCAATGATGCGATGATGTGTTTCTCACTGAGGCGTTGTTACATCCATGGGCCTTCAGGCTGATGCACCGTGGTTTGTACAGCTGTCAACGCCCAATGAAGGCAATGGCAACCGAGAGCGACAACTCAAAAGTCTAGATGGATCAAACGAGAAAACCTTCATGGTTCAAAATTTGGAAGCTGGCGAGCTCAAGGTGTGAGTGCATACCGGGGTTCATCTCATGTCTAGGTGTCATGGGGTTCGAAGCGACTTTCCCTTTGTATACTCAGGCTAATTCTTATTCTCATTCTCATACGGAGTACAGATGATAGGGTCAGGTATACGAAGTAGTTCAGGGAGAGAAGGCACCAGGAATATAATCTATTATTACTTATACACGCAATTTCAACTCCAAATAGACAAAACAACCTCGGCTTGAGTCCTGACTTGTCATGCTCATTATGGGCAGTACTCAACCCAGTTGTTCAAGTTCATGTTTTTGATAACAGTCGAGAAGTTCCCCGAGCCAGTGGCTGTGCAAGAGGTTGAAACCTGCTTAGCTGTGACATCTTTGTTGTTGTTTGTGTCCTCGCCCTTGGGATATTCAATTTGGAAAACAGGCTTATCAGCCTCAACAAAGGCAGCATATGTGTCACACTCATCATACTGGGCGCATTGCTCGTTGACGCACCACTGCATGTTGTCAATGACAGAGGAGATGATGTCACCACCATTCTTGAGTCCAATCGACAATCCACGGCTATGGGACTGGGATGCGAGCCAATTCACATACTCGATAGCGTCGGCTTGGGTGAGCTTCAGGCCGTTGTCGTTGTCATAACCATCAATATTGTCGGGGTCGACACCATCGCATCCCTTCTTGACAGCGAGATCGAGGCGCGTCTGCATGATCTTGCGGATTTTGGTAGACTTGACGTTGACCCACTTCTCACCAGGCCAGTCATCGAGATTGTTGCCCAAATCGGCCTGGGGGAAATCGTCCTTGTCACTACGCCAGTCTTCATATGTGCCAGCTGAGAAGTAGCAGATGACCTTGCGGCCGAGGTCGTGGAGGTCTGTGATAACGCTGGCCTCGTTATCGAAAAGATCAAGATCGTACACGGGAGCATCGACCGAAGTATCGTTGATCGGGTTCTTCAGAACGATCTGCCACTTAGTACCAACCGCTGGCTGCCATTTGACGGTGGTGTTGGTTGGGGTGGTACCCGTGCCGGTGTCGCTACCGGTATCGTCATCGTTATCATCGTCTCCGCCCTTGAGGCCTATTCCAAGACCAGCACCTAGGCCGACGCCCAGTGCGACGATCACAAAGGCGATTCCTCCAAGGATAAGGACCTTCTTTTTGGTGGACCAGGCCCACCAGCCTCCTTTTGACAGCTCGCCCATTGAAATGAGATGAAATTCGGATGCACGGAATGATTCAAGAAATTTAGTGGCGTGGCGGTATTAGGGCAATGAGGTGAGGCGCCCAAGCCCGACGAACACCCACGATGTTTATATGGAGGGGGGGTGTTGGGGTGGAGTAAAAGAGAGTGGTGAAGATCAGCAGATAGATCGGCAGATTGGCATCTTTAAGCTCAGTTCCAAGGGGTCCAAAGTGCCCAGACCAACGGGGCTGAGGTGTGGCAATCCAGAGCGGTTGCAGCGATCGGAAAGACGGGGGTGTTACACTGGCAAAAAAGCAAAAGCTAAGCCTTAGAGGGCACAAGGGGATCTCAGTATGTCAGAAGACCCTTAGAATACTCGAATAGGCAGGGTAGACGGTGATCACGAAACAAAGAAGATTGAAGATGCAAGAAATGAGGAAGCCTAGCGGGCGGAAGAGGCCGGCTTTTTGGTTCTTTGCGCCCAACAGGTCTCAGTCAATAGGCGAATTTAAGGTGGTGGAACCATTCGCTGATCCGATCTCACCAGATTATCTGCCAAAATTATATTGATCTGATATGGTACCCTAACAACTTGAAAGGTACGGCGTGGAGAGTATGGGGTGCTACTTTGTTCTCTCTGGAATTCAGCAGACAGGAAATCAAATTTGCCAGCCACCCGACCCCAGTCGCTCAGGGGGCTGACAGTCAAATTTTGAATTGCTAAGGTGATTTTTGCCGGTCACATATAAACAAAGGGCGCGACGGGTGTTCCTAGTATGCAGCCACTGGACCCAAAATAGACTGGAAAACACACACAAAAGACATGGAAGAAAAAGAGTCACGCCAAGAATGACCATGCTGAAATGGGATTTCATGCCGCCAACGGCCGAGAGTTGCGATACTAGTACGGAATACTAACAGACGGAGGCATTCCCAAATCATGTTACTTCTACGGATGACCCAATGGTACTCCCCGAAGTAACAAAGCTCATGATTCAACATCGAGAGGTCGGATCTCTTTCAGCCTGATGTTTGCACTTGGAACATTACCAATGATCAGGGTGAAGCTAGCTGCATGCGCTGGCAAGCGCCTTGGGGTGTCTAAAAATTCGCGGGGGTTTGTGTTTTGTAACCACGGTATTTAATATCTGTCATTTTGGTAATATTACGCTAATTCCGAGCACGTTTGGTATTTTCAGTATGCCTCTTGGCCCCACCGGTAATACAGTTTAGCCCTAACTCAGACTAGTCAAACCCGATAAAAGTGAATTTGAAATCTTCTGGTGATCAGTCGACTTGCAAATCAGTCTGTGCTCGTCCGGTTACTCGGATGACATGATCAGCGCTGATTTCCAAGGTTGCTCCCGATCAAATAAGGCTATTTAATACGATCCATGCGCACAACACAGTCTTTATGTGGTACCTGATATTCAAAAACACGCCCAGAACATGAGCATGGGTACGTTTGCTGCTCATAGTTGAATGCGAATACACCCTCTACCCGTATTAGTAAATATGAAACAACTTCCTTTTAAGTCCCCAAAAACCTCACTGTTTGGGTTAGTGAGCCGAAGATACGGAGTACGAAGTACGCTAAGGTGGAAACAACCATGGAAAGATGGCGCGTGGATCTAATTCTAGATAACCCAATCGCCTGATTCTTCCTTCCCGCACTTTCGTTGAACGCCACACCCGCTTTCTCAGACGCGAAATCACAATTCTCACTCTATACGAGATGATTAATAACATCTCTTCGAAATTGAAAGACCCGAGCCGTGCCAAGACTGCGGCTAGTACGGAGTACAAGCACCTTCCAGGTTGAGTACTAGAAGAATTTTACCCCTTGTTAGTACGGACCACACGGTGTACCTTTACCTGTTCGATCATGCCGCATTAGGTTGAGATCTCTGGACCACTACTCCGTATTCCGCATCTATTTCTGAAACTGAATGTTTTAGTTTGATGCCATTTGACAGAAAGACAATTGAAGCATAACGTGGAGCAGCTGGGGAGAAAGGCGGGAGTGGTGGCCAGAGTAAGCACCGAAAATTCGAAGTCAACATAGGCAAAGGTACGGAGTACAAGCCGTGGAATATTATACATGCTCGCTTAAACTGTGGCAAGGCAAGCCCTCAAGCAAGGCCGCCCTGGTAGTTCATTGCTTGAAAATGCACTCCAATGCATGCCCCATGCCCCATGCTCCCCCAGATGCGCCATCTTATGGAGTGTCATTCCAAATTGGGCTTTGAGCCTCGTATTCGACTCAATCGAGTAACTGTGTCATGGCCTAGCTACATAGACGAGCCTCGTATATCGCCTCCCCCGCGGCCTCCATATTAAATGCAAGGAAAGTGGGTTCCCGTGCATGTAATCCGTAGTCCGTCTTCCATGCCTGAGTATGAACGACATTGCGGTGCACCGCATGAGCCTTCACGATTGCAGGTGCATGTGGTTAACACAACTACTAGCTTCTGCATCTATATTGCCTCGACATCCGACACCCGACACCGAGTCTCTAAATTCTCCGAAGCGTCACTTGGCACGGGATCGCGTGGTTGAATGTCCGGGCAAGGCTGGACCAGAAGAAAATTGTAGTGATACCTCCTGGTACTCCATAGGGCAAGGCGATATAGTATTCAGAGACATTTTTGCCTTGGCCTGGGTTGGCTCAGACATAATTAGCTTGGCTAATTGTGTTTTGCCAAGGCCGATTAGCTCTCCACGGCTTGGCTCCATCCGCAGAGTTTTCTTCTTCCGTGGATTATGACTCGATAGTTGTGAAGTAAGAAAGTGACAGGAAAGTGTTCCAAAAGTTTGATTTGGATCAGTCGAACAATGGAACTCACACAATCGTGTCCCATGGCTCGCACAGCGTTGTCCCCTCGGACCTGCAGCGCGGGATCGTTGGCCTGCCCCCGTGTCAGACCGCCAGATGACGTGTCTGCAGAACATTCAAATGTTGGTAATAGTCATGACTAAGTAGAAGTAACCCAGTAACTTTGAACAGTGACAGGTTGCATGAAAATTTAGTCGACTATTCTCTGAAGTATTTTGAGTATTTGTATGTTCGTTCAAGTATACTGGGATGGGTTCAGTCATTAGGGGAGTGCATTGAATCTTCGTATCAACAGAAAGGCAAGGTTTTATCCTTCGCATATATAGAAACCATTATTGACATCCAAAGAGATATCCACAAGTTATAATGAAAATGATGAGTGAACAACAAATGAGGGAAATAGATGGGCTTGTCAAATTAAGACTTGCCGATCGTACGTCAAACTTTCTACAAGGGAATGGCAGAGGACAGAGTGAAAGTGACAGGGGAGCCAGCGAGCTGAACCCAGACGGTCAGAGGGTCGCTGCCGAGTTGCTCGGTGGCAAAGCCCTGGGTGCTGGTGGGGGCAACGGGGAAGGTCACAGGAATGGGATCCGTGCAAGTGTTGCCGGTGGCAGAGACGGTGATCGCGGTGATCTGCTTGTTGCTGGTGGCGTAGCTCAGAGAGTAACCGCACTTGTCACGGTTGAAACGAGCCAGGAAAGAAGCGGACATCTGCGAACGTCAGTAACTTATTACAGCTGAAACATGTGGTTCTATCTTACCTCCTGGTGAGTGAGAGTGACGATGGGCCAATCGGCCAAGCGAACGTACTCCTGGACAACAGTCTCGACCCAAGCCTCCATAATGGACCACTTCTTAGAGACTCCGTTGATGGTGATTGGGTCAAGATCGGCGTTGCGCAGGTTGGCCTGGTGGAACATGTAGCCATCGTGGTAGAGACCGAAGAGGTGGCGCATGGTGTCAGCTTTCTCAACGGCGAGAAGGTCGTCGAAGGTACCGGAGCCAGCGGAGGTGTTGATCCATTCAAGCAGAGTGCAAGCAGGAGTGTCACAGTTGTAGTAAATACGGGTGGCCCAGCGAGGGTTAACCTGGATACCATCGAAACCGTTGTTGGCAACGGTGGTGAAGAGTGGCCACATGGCATTCTCAGTGTTCAACAGAGGAGCGCGGGTGTTATCACCGACACAGTTGGTGATACCGTTTTCCCACCAGGCACGAAGGGCGTCACCGTTGTGAAGACCAGTGATGGCAGGAGGAATGATACCGTTCGAAGTGAACTTGGTGGCCTTATCGATTCCAACAGCCTTGAGCCAAGCCTGATTGAAGCTGATCTCCTTGTAGACATCAGCGTAGGTGGCGTTGTTCTGCTCCTCGTGGGTGAAGGTGTGGGAGATGTGACCAAACTTGTTAAGGTTGCTCTCGTTGGTCCACCAGATAAGAAGCTCATCCATGGCATTGCAAGCGGAAGTCCAGTCATAGGTGGTAGGAGTATCAGGCCACAAATCGGTGCCGGTACCGAGAGGCTTCTGGAACTCGAGTGCGGTGTCAGCAGGAGAGTCATATTCGATGGCGGCTCCGCAAGTGGACCAGCCAGCATCTGAGCTGTCAGAAGAGTTCTCGATGTTTCCGTTACCATTGTGTCCGACTTCAACGAAGTAGGAACTGCCAGCAGGCATGATAGCGTTGATAGAGTCAGTCCAGGTGGCAACATTGGTCAGGTCCTCAGGGCGGATGCGGAAGTTGACTCCGTCAGGGGAGTAAAGACCGGTCTCAAGGAACATGTCATCGATCTGGGTGTTCAGGTTCACACGACGGTATCCAGCGTAGAGACCACGAGTGATCCAAGTAATCCATGCGTGCTGCAGGTAGCTGGAAGTAGCACTCCAGGTGGTATCGAATCCAATGAAGAAGGCCATTTGCTGACGGCCATCGAAGTCGTTGATGACAGCAGCAACGCTGTCACTGGTGAAGCCAGTTGTAGCAGCAAATGAGGCAATTTGCTTGGTCGAAGTAGTGTTGCTGATGGTAGCGGGATAATGCCACAAGCCAGTAGTGCTGACACCAGCACCAGTCTTGAGACCAGAGGTAGGGAAGTCACTGGTATCGGTGAAGGAAACAAGCTGCTCAATACCTGTGTCACAGCAGCCTCCAATGGCAGATGCACCGTAGTTGGGACCGGGGTAAACATCGTATTGAACCATGCGAACACCGTACTCTAGCTGGTAAGCGTAAAGCTGGTTCCACTGATCGGTGGTCAAAGCACTTTGGAATCCGAGAGTACCATAGTCGTAGCTAACTTCGGATGCGACAACAATACCACCAAAGTTTCCTCCGGCGGTACCGTTGAGAGATGGAAGTGCCACACCACCAGAGGGAACAATAAGGTGAGTGAATGGGATACCGTATCCATTGAGACCAGAGCTGGCAACGCTGGCAGAGGCAGCATCTCTGGCGATAACGAGAATGTTGGCTGCAACGGAGGCGTGGCTCAGTGGCGTGGCCGACGCAGTGGCCGAGATGGAGATGGCGGTGGAAGACATGCTGGGAGTAGTCACGGAAGCGCTGGAAGATACAGGCGCAGAGGAAGCAACCGATGAAGAGACAGCGGAAGATGAGACAGCCGGAGACGACGAGGCTACGTGAGACGAAGCGGCAGAAGATGACGCAACGGAAGACGAAGCAGCGGAGGACGAAACAGCAGACGACGGAGCGACGGAAGATGAAGCAACAATCGACGACGAAGCTACGTGAGAGGAAGCGGCAGACGAAGAGACCGGACTGCTAGAGGCAGTGGAAGAGGCAGTAGCACTCAAAGAAGCACTTCCAGATGGGAGAGTGACTGATGAAGAGACACCACTCGGGGAAGGCGAGGAAGAAGCCGGGCTGGAAGAAGCGGCAGGCGAAGATGAAAGAATGGAGCTGGAGGCGGAGCCGATCACAGAGGACCCACTCTGAGCAGGGGTGCTAACAGAGGCAGATGGGACAGTAACAATCACAGAGCTCGAAGCAGAACCCGAGGGGATAGCTCCCGAGGAGGTGTGAGTAACGAAAGTGGAAGCACCAGGGGTGCTAGTCGGAACAACGGTGCCAACGGAGGAACCACTTCCAATGGAAGTAGAGGCCGACACAGAGGGGGTAAACGAGGGAGAAGATGTGGCAACCGCAGTCGAGCTCACACCAGTACTGCTAGGAGTGCTGGAAGGAGTCGAGGTTGGAGGATGATAGGCAACGACAGTCGGTGTGTTCTCAGGCCAAACACCTGGGGCAGTGTCGCAGGTTATAAGGCCATAGAAGCAGCCGATCTTCAAGGCCCAGACTGGCACGGCAACCATCTTGATCTTGACCAGGCACAGGCACAGACAAAAATGGGGGGGTCACACAATATGCACGAGGAGAGCACTAACGACTGACAGCTAGGGAAATGCGATACGAAATGCAGAACGAACGGACTTAGCTTGCGTGTGTCACCCCATCAAGTGCATGATCAACACCTTTATACAACGCTCGTGGGTCGGCTACGGCCTTCAGGCCTATCGCCTTTTGTGTCTACCCATTTGCTACCGTTAAATTAGGTGTAGCGACACTCGCTCCGATCTAAAATCTCACTCGGTGTGTCCACTTGTCTCTCCATGTGGCGTTTAGCTTCTCTGGAAATGGGAGTATAAGGCTAATTTCTCCTAACCCCGAAGGGGCTGAGATCGGGTGATTTGTGAATGGGGAAATTCGAGAGACATCCGTAGTGTTGGCATAGTCAACAAGGTATGCGATTGGACAATCAGAATTTGATCTTGGCAGGGCCAGGTGAGAAATCTGCTGCAGGGGAGGGCCATGGCGTTTGGTGGATGCAAGAATTATTACGGAGTACTCCGTACCTTTGTCCAATCCGGTATTTGGGATAAAAATAATAAATCGGTGGAAACACGATGAAATCGATTTGATCCACCGAAATAAAAGATCGAAAGGCACAGGGCAAAAAGAAAGAAAGAAAAACTCCGAAAGCACATTGCACTGCATACTAGGCCCTCGGCGCCGCCGCAAAGACCTCTTAAAGCCGAGGGCACTATGACTGAGTGGGTAAAATTTGGGGCTCCAAACAAAACCCAGGAAGAGGAGCGAGGAGCGCCCAGGGGCGTATGGACTAAGGAAACCCGTCAGGTCCCAACCTTGGCGTGGGGAAATCATTAGCGATGAATTCCATGCAGTCGTGTACGAAGTACGGAGTACTGGCTAGGTGGATCGTACTCGGATGTATCAGTGATACAGGGGCGTACTTGCAGTATGCAAATACGACGTAACCTTTCCTTACATGACCATACCCTCATACGGTGTTCCCGTCTTTTGTTTCCAAGTCGGCCAACACCTTACCCTTTTGGGAGTTAGTGGGACACTTCGATCGCGAGCTTTGTTCGCGATGAATTTGCATTTTCGGCTGATTCTTTTGCTTTCTGCGCCAAGACTTTTCACTATACCCGGTCTGTCTCAACCAGCCAGCGCAGAATGCTATGATTCTAGCCCGTGCCTAACGAAATGCATCACTTCTCGAGTTTCATTAATCTATTTCTTTTTTTTCCATAATTTTCATTTTCTTCCTCTGTTAAATTCGCATCCGTGAAGATAAATACGCCCTTTAAAATTTCGTGAGAAGATATGTCTGGTGAATCAAACGAGTGCGGTCAGGTACCCGGCCCAGCGTGCTGGATCGAGGTGTCAATTGCCACGATATCAATCGCATGGCCGTGCCACACATGGTAGCAAACATGCCGAAAAGGGAACTTGGCTCCACTAATCCTGTCTCGTCGGCCAGCCCTGGGTGCGTCTGTTAGTGGCTGACGGAGTCCTCAGTTCTGCATCTTTAAAAAAAATTAAAAAAAAACCTTAGTGTGCTATTTTTGCCCCATGGTTTTAACAATTGTTGCTTTAATAGACGCCCAGACTGATCCCCGGCCATAGCGGTTACCTTTGTCCCAAACAGTCGAAAAGAGGCGAAGCTATAGCAATTTTTTCCTTCTTTCCTAACCCCTGACACAGAAAGCAGGGGAACCCCGGGAGGCGAACTTGTCTGCTGAACTGAGGCTTGGAGAAGTGGGTATTCACTTGAACCATTTCCCCCACTACTCTTTACCTTATCACTTTGTCAACATAGCTTCCTTGTGCTCTCGCCGAAAAAAACCTTTTGCCTCCTTTGGCTTTTGCAACAAGTCATTCGTTTAACATCGATATGTGTTGAGTGCGTTTGGAAGAGTTCATTCTATACTTGGGTTTCTCATAACCTTGTCGCTCGGATTGCGCCAACTATCGCAGTCGAGGACTCACCTTCAAAATGACGGACCACCTTCCGGTCAGGCCACATCCCCTTGGCTGGGGATCCATGAAAGGACATTGGTGGCAGTTTGTATGTTCTTTCTGGTTATCTTTACAACCTGACGTGAAGCACCTTCGTGCTCGTCAGTAAACCCGGACATGGATTTGCTAATGCGACTTCAGGTGTTTATTGGAGTTTTGCTACTCACTATCACTATTGGCTCCGCATCTATCATATATTCTGGAACCAGAAGACTAATCAAACACTACAAGGTAAGTTATGACTAGCTCCTATCTACAAATCATTGCTCTAAGGCTGGGTCGTTAACTTGGGTCAATCTTTAGTCGAGACCGCTGCCAGATGTTGTATCCTCGAGTGTCTCGAGCCGTCTGGGCAAGCTAGCCAACCGAGAGCTCAACCTGGTCGATACTCCCCCTCGTAAGACGAAGCCTACGAGCTTTGGGGTGTACTTGGGTAGCTTTGAAAATCCACCCACCGCATCACAAGAGAAGCTGTTGCAAGAATGGGACGTCTTGATTGTGGATCCATTCCAGAACGGTGTCGCCAAAGCTATTTCGAGGCATCAACGCACTCAGGTTCTGGGTCGTGTTGATTTCGCGAAAGTCCTATCCGCCAAAGAATCTCCATTGGCTGTCGTCGAAAAGGTCGAAGAGCTGCTTGCCAGCAGCTTCAACGAAACTGCTTTCTCTGGTATCCTACTGGCAAACTGGGAGGATGTGCTCCGACCTACCGCCCGGCGAATGCTGCTCGAGGCCATCAGTGGCCTTGGTTTGGCTGTATACCTCGAGACTGAGGGTCCCAAGTTTCTGAAAGACCGCAAAGCCGTGCAAAGTAGCGCCGTGGCTGGTTTGGTCATTCGCAATGCTAGCATCATGGCGCAGGGCGAGAAGCGGGATTATTTCCAGATGAGTGAGCTACAAGCAACAATCAAGGCGTTTGTTTCGGAATCCTGCATGAGAGACTTCGTGGTCATGGCTTGGGAAACGGTTGACGACAACGTGACCATTGCAAACGCCATTGTCCGTCGGTCCATTCAATGGTGTGGCTTTTACAGCGCCATCACATGGATCGGTCCGGAATCCGCGCTTCACGATGCTGACAAGAACGTTTCGACTCTCGAACCTCTTCCCGCTTTTGGCTGGTTGAAGGAAGCGGAAATAATGAAAACCCACGATGTTTGGCGTGCCAATCTGAATATCATGCCCTCGCCCGATGCCAAGGATGGCTGGAACGTCCTCAAGCCACTTTTCCCAGCTGTCGATGCGCTGCTAGACTCATCTGAATACGAATCAAAGGCCCCTGACAGTCCTACAGCCCGACTCCGTGATCCCCCAGAGTGGGTCGCACAGGTCAAATCTCAGGGCAGTCCTCTCTCAGTCTCGATGTCAGGAATGGCGTATAACTCTCTCGGTTGTTTCCCTCTTGGCTCTGATTCCACGCCGCTCGCTTTCGCCGAAATTGTTCAGTCTCAACAACGTCTCAAGTCACTGAATCTTCTCCACCCTGTTCCGACAGCGAAAATCCAAAGCATAGGGACACTGTTGCGCCAATTCTATGACTCTTTGGACCTCTCTCAGGACGAGAACCATTTGGCCAGCACGATCAGGGAGCTCGCTCACTGGGCGTCCAATGATATGCTTCACGTGAATCTTGCGCTTGATTCTGGTCTGCGCAAGAGCTCTGATTTCCGTTTCTGGGCTGTCTTCGAGATGGAGAACGATGGAATCGAGATCTACGTCTCTAAGAATGCACAGGGTCTGGCTGGAACCATTTTGCACACGTTCCTATCGGCTAAAGGCTTCCCTCGACATGTCTGCTTTGAGGCAGAAGCGACCTTCGCAACTTGGGCCCAAGATGTCTCTCCTGATACTGGTTTGCCTCGTCGACTGATTCAAGATATCGATTGTCTCAGCCCCGAGGAGCGTCTGCTTCTCTTGCAGCATCTGTCTCTTACTGACGTCCACAACGAGCTTTCAGACGCCATCTGCGCGTATATTCACAAGCAACTGGTAGACTCTCCTTCATTCGCTCAGTTGAAGGCTCTCAACACCGTCGGGTATCTTGCAGAGTCCACTTCTCCAGAGGATCTGATCAAATCTCGCATTGACTGGTATATGGAGCAAGGGTGCAAGCATCCATCGCTTGATATCTCTCTAGAGCTCTTCCACCAAGCTGACCGCGTGCTTTCTGACATCTTGAGATATCGCCGTGAAGATGATCTCGCTGCCATCACCCAGGGCCTCTGCTCTCTTGTTCAAGGTGGTTCCGTTGACGCATATGTGGATATGATGGCTCTTGCGCTGTTCTGTGCTGCTAGAAAGGGTGCTTTCGATGAGATCTACGCGGAAGTGACCGATCGCAACCCGCTCTTCAATAACCATCCCGACCAAGCTGCCGCGTTCGCGGAGTCTTTCGCTCTTGGATCTCGCTGTGAGGCATACTTCGATGTGTCTCCCAGCGTCTTTGGAAAGCTACTCTCTGATCGATTCAGAGCTTACTACGGAGACCACCAGCCACCCAACTGGGCCAATGGCGCTCCTCAGCTTGCTACCTCCTACGCTGGAGCCCAGATTGATGTGAACCCAGATGAACAGCCCAAAGTCATGCGTGGCTATCAACGTTTCACCTTCTTGAGTGTCTTTGCCATTCCTGCTCTGATTGATATTATCCTTTTGACCATGGTTGGACGCGGTCTTTATCTTTCTGCCGCCATGTCTCACGAAGAACAAGACAGTGCAACCATGGCTCTCATGATATCCTTGCTTCTCTCTGGTGCGATCGGTACCTGGATCGCCTGCGGTGGCCCATATTACCTCATCTCGATGGCTTTCGCCGCGGCGAACATGTTCGTTCTGATTCGTCTGATTGCTGGTATTGCCTTTACCGTGGCCGGTGGTTTGATTGGCTTCGTCGCCATTTCTGGAGTCCGTGGTCCTCGTGCTGGTATCATCTTCTACCTCTACCTGATTGCCCTGACAATCTACTTCTCGACTTTTGCCTCCCTTGCGAGTTTCAGCTACCCAGGTTCGACTTTCTTGTCCGGTCGAAAGTCAATCATCTACTGTATCCCCATCCTCTTTTTGTCACCAATCATCACAACTTGGGCTGGTAATGATTCTGCGATCTACCTTGCTGTCATCTATGTCTTCATTGGTGTGCTCTTACTTTGCCTGCGCAACGTTACCTCCAAGTGGGTGACGTGGTACCAGAACGTTCGACGCACCGATGACACTGAGATCCGTAAGTGGTACATCACCGCTCATGGAAACGACGACGAGAAGGTTTTTGCTGGGTTGAGTGACCCCGCTGCTCTCAAATTGGCAAGAGAAGCTCTCTCAAAGGAGGTTGTGACGGAAGTAAACCGTGGCATGTTTTCCCGGGCGTCCAAAGATAAGCTTGTTGTTGAACTTTCCCGGGACTGGGAGTCTACCAACTTCCTTCTGGATTGGTACTGTCGCTACGCAGATGTCCCTCGCCCGATTGCGTTCAGCTCGGGTTGGAACATTCAAACAAAGGTTGCCCTCGACACTTTGCGCAATTCTCAGAAAGGTCTCCGACTGCACAATGCATTCGTTCACTGGCGCCAGTCTAGCAAAGAGATCGGATGCGGTATCCTCTACTTCGTGATCGCTCTTCTGGATAAGTGGATTCAGCTTCTTAGCGGTGATCGCATCCTCGGTCTTACTGGTGCCGTCAATGATGCCAATCGAATGGCTGTTGGCTTCGCTCTCGCCTATTATCTGATTGGCGCTGTGCTCATCGATACCAAAGCTCAAGAACTTCACGATGCTCTCGGAAGCAAAACTCCAAACACTGTCAAGTCCGCAAAGGATATCCGTCTGGCTTTGAAGAAGGAGGTTCAACTTCGCCGAAAGGTCTACTGGCGAGTACTTCTCAGATTCCTCTTGTGGCACGTCTGGAGTCTGGCACTCGCTACTGCTCTTATCTGGACTTTCCAAGAATCGGTTGAAGGCTTCATCATTTTCTTCTCTTATGTCTTGGCCTACACAGGTCTGATCTGGTATCAATACACCAAGATCTTCACGGGTCCGCATGCGCTCAAGCCACTGATCACTGGTATTTGCGTTGGTTTGCCCGTTGGAATTGCTCTGAGGGTTTGCTTGCCTCATTTCCTATACTCGCAAATCATTGGCCTCGGCATTGCTACCTGGACTGTTGCTTTCTTGTCAATCTGGAACGCCAAGATGGGTATGCCGAAGAAGGTAGACTCGCCAGTTGAGCTTGGCAGGACCTTCCACGCCTTCACTACCCCTTGGTCAGACCCCGAGTGGTCTCAGCAGGAGCTCCAGACATTCTTTGAGAACTACTCGCTTCTGCCTAATGATTCCAGATTCAAGTTGAACCCCGCCGTTCACCCAGGTGTGGAGATTAAGAGTGCCATGTTGTCTCGCAGGGAAGAGCTCAGGATTGAAGAGGCTTTCCCCTTCTCGAAGAACATTGTGAACTCCGCGATCTCATCCTGGGAGAAGGGCGAAGTCGTCATCGAACTTGTTTCTCCTGGCTCTTTGGGTCCTGGTATTCGTGCTCTGAGCTGCAGTACCGGTAGTCAGTTGAAGCTAGCCATCACAGTTGGAGGACTGCTAGACGAGCGTCTTGATATCAGTGCAAACTGTCAAGTTATTGCCGAGACTCTGCTTCATGCTGTCACTGAGTTGATGATGGGTGTTCCTCACGAATACGCCTCACTCGCAGGATCAATTGTCTCAGGTGGTGTCACGCACACAATGGCTCGACAGCTTCGAGAGGAAGCCAATACTACCACAGTTGTGCGCTGGGCCAAGAAGGAACTTCTCCGTCAATTGTGTCTTGGATTTGAGGCTGATCTTCACTGGGACAAACTTCCTACCGAGGTCCGCGACGTGTTGTTGAAACGTTGTCTAGGACAGCAATGCAGTCTTTCCAACAGCCAACGACAATGGCTCCAGCAAAATCTCTGCAACTTCGACACGGATGATCTCGATATTCACGTTGCCCGTTGCAACCTTGGCGCAGCAACTGCGATCAGTGTTCTAGACTACGCTCATTGGGGAACAGGAGAAGCCGCACTCCCCAAGGAGCCTGAGACTTCAAAGTACATTTCCTACATGCCTCGGAAGCTTCCAATTGCTCTGTCGATGATCAGATCTCCTGCAAGCTATGTCTACCACAAGCTAGGAACAATGGTGAAGTTCTTCGTGGTGGCTTTGGTCGCAGACCCAGAATTCCAAAGAGAGTTCAGCCACGTCACTCAGGACCTGCCAACGGTTATCCGTGTGCCTACTGTCTTTTTGATGAACATGGTCTGGGTTTACTCCAAGCTAATGCAAGACTTCTGTCTTTCGTTCTTTTTGTTCCACGGTCGCCAAAATGTCAAGCGGCTGTGGGAAGAGACCAAAGGCATGACGATCCACATCAAGAAAAGCCGAGTCATTGTTCAGAGCCTGGAAGGCACTTTCACGGCATTCAGACACCACGAGATTGATGGTGGCTTCAAGATCTATCACTACGCCGGCGAGCACAAGACCGAGCCCAAGGAAGTCAAGTCTCTCAAGTATGTCAGTACCTACTCGGGTGAAATGCTGCTTCTTGTCAAGCAGGAATTCAAAGATGGAAAGGTGACCAATGAATACCACTACGATTACGCATCTCCTGGCAAGAAAGGCTTCAAACTCGGCAAAAAGTCTTCTTCGCGCATTCCCCTGGGACGTCGTTGCATTTCTGGCGCAAACCACCTGCAAAGTGTGCAGTACAACCGGAAGGGTCTCATCGAATCTGGCTCATACATGAAGGACGGCAATCTCATTCGCTTCAAGTATCATTACCGCAAGAACCCTCGTTTCGGTGATGAGCTGTTGCGTGCTGAGTTCGTCTTGTCCCACATCAGCTGTACGGTATCGTGGTGCGCAGCTCCGCGTCGTCACCCGGAGAAGGTTGAACGCTGGATTCCTCACTCCAAGGTCACCGAAGCCAGCTTCGTCCAAGGCGCTGATGTCTACGAAAGTCGCTGGCTGTATGATCACAAGTTCCATCCCACAATATTCACCACGATCAATGGACAAAAGATCCAGACTCCACCCATGATTGAGCACGATTACCTCGGTGTCCTTTCCAAGCCCAAGTACACCAGCTTTGTGCATGACAACCCCTTCTTCTACTGCGACAACCTACAATCAAACTTGTTCACACGAGCATTGGGACTCACCAAGAAGCGCTTTGTGGTTTCGACTTCCCGTGCTCGCTCGCTGATGTGGAAAGCATGGAAGGATCGTGTGGATTTCGATGCCATTATTGTTCGCTGGATGGATGACCGCATTCTTCGTAGAGACAAGGTGCTCACACCTTACTGGCGCAGCCGTGATTGGGGCAATCTTGGATCTGCGAAGAAATACATGGACCTTCGAGCTGATGCGATCATGGCCAGTGCTGATTTGGACGACAACATTTCCAGCTGGACTCCTCTCGCTGTCAAAATCACTGACTTGCTCAACTTTGGACCCGGAGGTGACGCTGTTGTCAACACTCGCTCGAAGAACTTTGGTACCGACACTGACAAGACTCTCCACGTCATGGCAGCCGACAACGGTACTTGGCCCAATGAAGGTGGTGGTGTCTCTGCTTGTCGTCGCGACATGATTAACTCCCTGCGAACCATCAAGTGGCACATGATTTGCGAGTCCGCAAACGACTTCGGTGTTCCCAAACATCAGACTGAACAGAACATTCAGTCTCTCAAGCTCATCCCGCTCTGGGGTATGGACTTCCTCACGCCTACTCACGGTCTTTTCCACAACAAGTTGGACGCCGAGGTTGACAATGTCACTTCTGCGAGCGAATTCGACATCAAAATGAACTTCATTCCGATTTTGACGGCTCTCGTCAAGGGTGCCCGCGCTGTCCACCTGTCCAAATCTGATATTCATCAGGCCACGCGAGCACTGGTTAATCTGAACACATACTTCCAGGAATCCCGCCATTGGACCCAAGTGTGGAACAGTGATATGGTGAAGCAAAGTTGGCGTGATCTGTGGCTGACCCAGGAGATGTCTAACACCATCCCGTCGTCCGAGTGGTTTGACACTGAGCTTCCTACTCTGGCATCTCTCGACGTCGCCCTGGAACTTTGGTACCGCTACCTCTTCATTTTCTCGATTCCTGTGCCTGAGAAGATTCCCTCGACCTTCCAAGCCTCGCACCACAGTGTCAGTGCCTCTTACGGTGTTGTTTGCAAGATCAAACGCAACTGCACTTTGCAAATTTGGGATCACGCTATCAGTTGGCGTGAAACCAATCTTTGCTTGTCGTCTGCGCTTTGCAAACTCTCGCCCTTCGTTCGTAACGCTCTCCTCGGTTTGATGCGTATCACCTCTGTTTTGACTCTTCACCACGCCGATATTATCCTTCCTTGTGCCGATTTCTTCAACCCAGGTTGGGAGGTTGAAATTGGTACCTGCCAGGGCACCATCGAGCACCGCAACACTTTCCGCCGAAAGATCGACCCAGTCGTCAACGGCATCACTGACATGCAAAAGTTTGCGCCCGTCAAGGAGATCAAGTCTGAGCGTCCCACTGTGACTATGTTGTCCCATGTGTGGTATGCCAAGGATATCAAGACTGCTCTGCTCGCTGCAGACATCATCATCAACCAATGGAAGTTTGATGAATACCATTTGGACATCTACGGTGCCATCGACAAGGCTCCTACTTACTCAACGGAGTGTCAGGAGATCATTGCATCGAAGGGTCTTCGTGGCAGAGTCACGCTTTGCGGAACTGCTGACCCGATGAAGGTTTTGGAGAACACATGGCTGTTCCTGAACTCTTCTCTTTCCGAGGGACTTCCACTTGCCCTGGGAGAGGCTGCTCTTACAGGTGCACCGGTCGTCTGCACAGACGTTGGTGCCTCGCTTCGAGTGCTCAGCGATCCAGATGATTTTTCCCGCTTCAGTGCTGTCGTAGCTCCCAACGACGCCCTTGCTCTGGCAAAAGCCCAGATTGGCATGCTTGCCATGCTAGGCGAATGGAGCAAGCACAGTGAGGACACCTCACCCGCACCAGTCCTCACCTCCGCACCCACTGCGGAAGAAGTGGCAGCAATTACCCGTCGCATGTACGAGAAGAGCGAACACCGTCGCAAACTCGGCATGATGACCCGCAAGATTGTGCAGAAGTCCTTCAGTGGTGACCGGTATCTCCGTGAGCACGAGCAGATGCTCTGGATTGGCAAGGCCGCCAAGATGATGGCGAGTCGCGCAGCGGGCGATCCAATCGAGCCCGCTGACGTGGCCGCTGCCATCGAGACAGGCGTCGATGAGGAGATCATCACAATCCCCCGCGGCGCGGTGCACTCATGGCGCTCCTCTGCCCAGTCTGGTGTTTCTACATTGTATAGCTCCACGTCTCAATTCCCTGGTCGGGGTGGCTACCACCGTCCTATGTCCGATGCTTCCTTCATGAGCATGAGCAACATCTCGACTGACACAGAGTCCTTTGCTCGCTTGCCCGTCTTTGCGCCTAGGCAGTCCATGTTGTCCACTGGCTCCCCAGGCAACAAATCACCCATGTGGACTTCGAACCAAAGACTATCTGTGCTGACTCCCCGCTCTCAACCACACTCCCGCGCTGGGTCAAATGCACGCTCCGTCTCGACCGCTGGTCGGGAACAGCTGCGTGGTCTGCATCGTGAGGACTTCAATCCATACCGTAATTCGGATGTGAGTGTCGCCAACAGAGACGACTTCCTGAAAGCTGGGGGACTCCTTCCCAGTGGCTAAGACATTTCCTGTCATCATCTGAGCTACATGCTCTCCTATTCCCCACCACCCCTCTTTTACCCCTTGCACATACTGCACTCCTGTATACTTCTCCTATTGCTATCTTGTTCATATTTGCATTTCTCGGTGTCGAATCTGGCTTTCGGAATAAGCCACTGGAAATATTTGAAAAAGTCAGGTGTTTATATGTTTGTTTTGCTCTTATACCAGTTCTTGTCTGCCTGTTTGAAGCGTTGAGAGATTGTCATACCTAGCGATTACACTCCCTGATCATATTCTAGTCTTAATTACTCAATGCAAATCAATCATACAATGCATAAATTCATTCTGATGTTGCTCCAAACGTGCCAAATATGTGCTTGATCTACAAAAAGTGATGTATCCACAATTGAGGCGAGCTCCAGTCTACCAAAGGCCAAGATGAATAAGATCCCCAAAGAAACTTGGGGGAAAGGTCAACCGGGGCATCTATGTCTTCTCACATGGGCGATGGTCGGGGGTTCGCAATGCGACTCCATTCCCCGTTGAACGCATTGATGAGCCAGCTCGAAAGGCCTGTGTTGAAGGTCAAATTTGTCCTTAAAGAAAGCTTCGAGGTGACGGAGCGGAAGGGATCAAAATGAGAGAAAGAGACTTACGTTCGTAAACAATGGTGTGCGCGTTGTGGAAGTAGATAGAATGGTCAGAGTCTGGGAACACCTGCATGTCGTAGTTGTCAATATTAGCCAAGTCCAGCTTGTCAATCAACACCAAGGTGTTTTGCAGATGAACATTATCATCAGCAACACCGTGCATGATCAAAAATCTAACGTTGCGGCTCAGGGCCTCAACATCGCTGATGGATGAATTATCATATCCCGAGGGGTTATGCTCAGGGGTGTGCATGTAGCGTTCTGTATAAATAGAGTCTGTAGGGGGTAAGAACACAAGTTAGTCTGATGATGCGAATAGAACTCAGGATGCCAAGGTGCTTACCATAGAATCTCCAATCTGTTACTGGTGCTACGGCCATGCCGTATTGGAATGTCTCGCCCGCATCTTGTTCAAGCACCTTGAGGGTCATGAAGCCTCCATAGCTCCAGCCCCAGATAGCCATCCGGGTTTCGTCAACGTAATCCTTGCTAGCCCAAATTTTGGCAGTTTCAATCTGATCGCGGGCTTCATAGTGACCGATGTTGCCGCGGATGATGCATCGGGCTTCTCTGCCAATGAACCCTGTGCCTCGGCCGTCTACTGTCACGACAATATAGCCCAGGCTTGAGGCGACATATGATTGGAAGTCGATCTGGAACTTGCGGTCAACCGTTTGGGAGCCCGGTCCACCATACAAGAAGAAAAGTACCGGGTACTTTTTGGCGGGGTCGAAGTTTGGAGGGCGGCGCTCAACAACTTGGAGGGTGTAATTCTCAACCGTCACATTGGTGTATACCTCCACTGGAAGAGCAAAGTCCTTCGCCATCTTGACGAGTTCAGTGTTCTCCTCAATGAGAGTTTCGAAATCGATTTCGTCGCCATGGGTGTTGATAACGGCCTGCCAAGGCACTTCTGGGCCTTTGTAGCTCAGCAAACCATATCCGGCTCGGTCGGAGAACGAAACATCGAAGTATCCTGGCTCGGATGTATCAGTCAGAGGCCGAAGGTCAGATCCGTCCAGTTTGACCGAGTATACATGACGCTGGGTTGGGGCCTCTTTGGTCGCAACAAAGTAAACGAGACCCTTGTCTAAGTTCACGGCCGAAGGTGCCTTGACCACCTCCCACTCGCCCTTGGTCAATATGACAGGGTTGGGATTATCAAAGGGTGTGAAATAAGCCAAATGATCATAGCCTTCATGTATAATAGTATCAATGTAGCCATCATGTGGTCGGCCATTCTTAGGATCAGCAGGAATGACACGGGTGGACTGTGAAGGCTCGACCCAGCCTCCATCCAGAGACGAGACGTCGTCCGATCGCACAAGTTTGCCGGTTCTCGCCTTGGTGTCCATGACAAAGATCTTGACAACGTCGCTCTCTCGGTTGGTCTCTCGAATCAAGACCTTGCCTTCAGATGCCCAAACAATCTCAATGATGATTCGCTCGGCATCGTCAAAGTCCTCTGGCAAGTCAAATGAGAAAACCTCATCTTTCTCGACATCGTAAAACTGTAGGGTGACGACTGGATTTGGGCTTCCTGGCTTGGGGTATTTGATCTGGCTGACTTCGGGGTAATTCTCGAGTCCTGGAGGTGGCTCTTTGCCTGACGGCCGAGAAAGGAAGTATTGGACAGGGTATTCAGGGACGGCAGACTCGTTTGTTCTTAGGAACGCGGCGAATTTGCCATCTTCAGACCACCAAACGCCTTTGTTGCCTTGGAAAACCTCTTCCTCGTACACCCAATCTGGAATACCGTAGAAGAGATCTTCGCTACCATCCTTGGTAACAGTGGTGGCTTTCAAGGAACCCAGTTTCCGCAAGAAGAGGTTCTGTTCGCGAACGAAAATCACAGCATCAGATGTAGGCGACCAAACTGCCAACTGAACTCGATCGCTCAGGTTGCTAGGGTCAAGTGGCTCAGTCTTTTGCGTCGCCACATCAAATATCCAATACTTTCCAAAGTATGAGTGTCTCCAATTGGACTGAGCATCAGTCATGACCAAGACCTTCTTCATATCCGGACTCGGCCAGGTCTTGGTTGCGTGGTAAATCTTACCATCGAATGATATATAACTCTTCTTCATCAACACCCTCGCCTCGAGGTTGTCGACGCCGTCCTTGCTATTGCGGATGTCCTCCACCCGCAGATACGCATCCTGCTCTTCGCCTCTCTCCACGAGAAGACCATCTTCGCCATGTGGGCCTGCAATCCAAGAAATTGCGTGGGCTCGAGGCTGCCAGGCGCCCTTCAAGACTTGATCTAGGGTCACGGGATTCCCTAGGCTAGCGTTATTGGAGAGGACAAGTGGTTCGTGGGTTGTTGTCGCGGTATTGGACGAGTCGCCCGCCGTGGGAGTAGACGAAACTGCCGCCTCGGGTCGCTTCTGTGCCAAAAACAGCACGAATGCTAGTACCCAGCCTCCGACACAGAGCAAGACGAGCCCCCAAAGGATCTGGCGCAGGCGGTTGGAGGAGCTTGGTTTCTTTCCACTCGGTATAAGGGGCTCTTCTGGCCCTCTCTCCCCTCCATCCTCTATATCCCGGTATCTCTCCCCTTCTCCGTCCATCGGTGTCGTGTTGCCTCCCTTGTGGCCCTCCATGAACGCTGCGGAGGCGATGGATAAGTCGGAGTCGGTTGAGGTTTGCGATGCCAGCGATTCGGACCGCTGACGGGTGAGTGGTGCGGACTCTGGGGTCCCTTCGTCGAGCTTCCCCATGATTGTTGCTTGTGGATCGGGGTTCACAGCGAAGCGTCCCGATCACGCTATCTCTCTTATCGCTGACCTCACTCAGACAAGCGCCAACGGGATTTGGGCGGCCGGTACGGAGGACCTCTGGCGTATATAAGAATATGTTCACTGAGGGTTCGCACCCCAGAATCAGTGCCAATTGTTGATGGTTGAGAGAAGTAGCTTCGAAAGCTGGGGATGTTGTGGTGCCCACGGACCGAGGCCATCTCTTGGCATGAACAAAGCGCTATTCAGGCTGAACCAGCTCCCAGAATTCTTATTCATTTCCTATTCGGGCATTTTGGGACAGGGATATGCCAGCTGGTCCAAATATTAGGTCAAAAACCATGAGAGGATCTAGGTCTCAAACCCTAGAAATTGCTGTCCATGGGCGATATATCTTTCAAAGGTGTAGAGCTGCTACCCAAATGCTCACAAGAACGCGAAAACAACCCTGGAGTGAGTGTATGAACAGCCAGGACATCGGGGCGTGTGATCTTGAAGTTATTATAGAAAATACCTCTGAATTGTACTATAATATCACAATGTTGGAGTCAGACCCGGGCAGGATATTGCAAGTGAACCTCAAGCCTTCGAGGGCTTTGAACAAGTATAGAGCCCAATACACGCCAACCTTGGAACCCTTGAAGCTCCCTTAAGGATATCTAACATCATCCTGCAGTACGGGGAAATTGTGTAACCCATGAATAAAAATTTGTACAAGTCCGAGAGTGATTTTTATGTAGGAACGGGATATTTTTTTGAATTACTCATCGCGATTGATTCGCTTTCCATCATACAGCTCACGTTAGCGGCCGAAGGGCTTTTACCGCGACAGAGCAATGTCATCAATTCTCATGATCATCTTCACAGTCTCCGCGGCCAGCTCGATCGCACTGGTGCTGACCAACAGGGGCTGTAAGATGTTCTCCTCTGTGATATCGTCCTTAACACCACCGCTACGAATACTGACACCAGCGTTGTGCTGGCCCTGAGCGTGACGGTGGCGGAGATCAGTCACAACCTTGATAGAGTTGAGACCGGCGTTCTCGGCGAGGGTGGTGGGGATGACCTCCATGGCATCGGCGAAAGCCTTGAAGCAGATAGCTTCGGTTCCGGAGAGCTCACGGGCGCGCTTGGCGAGCGCGTGGGCAACCTCGACCTCAGGAGCACCACCACCAGCAATCATGGCGCGCTTCTTGACGAGGCAGCGGATGACACAAAGAGCGTCGTGCAAGGAGCGCTCGGCCTCATCGAGGATAAGGCTATTAGCACCGCGGGCAACAATGGAGACAGTCTGGTTGTAGGCGGCGAGGGGGGCCTTGATGCCGGTGATCTTGACGTAACGAGCACCGGAAGCCTGGACCTCCTCGACGAGGTCGGCAGTACCGAGCTTGTCCTCGGTGAAGGAGTCAACGTTGGCGACGGGCTTGCAGCCAAGAGACTTGCACAGGAACTCAACTTCATCACGCTCAATGTCCTTAATGGCCAGAATTTTGAGACGGGAAAGGAAGTGCAGGGAGAGTTCGTTGACAGCATCACGGAGAATGGACTTCTGGATCAGGAGAACATTACACTTGGTCTTCTGGATCTTCTTGACCATGTTGAGGAGGTATTGGCGCTCTTCCTTCAAGATCTTGTCCATCTGGCGGTAGTCGTTGACCACAATCTGGTTCTCCATCTGAAGTGAAATGCGTTAGTCTGAAATTCCATGAACACCTCACGGTGTGAAACATACGTCTGGTTTGGGAGGGCTCAGCTGGAATTGAATAAGACCTATCCGGGCCTTCTCGATTCTTGTGGGACCGCCGCTGCTCTTGATCACGGGCTGGTTGAGGACCACACCATCAACCATCTCGCTGTCCTCAATTGTACCTCCAACCTTCTTCACAATACGAATATCACGCAGATCAACATTCTCTGCAGTCTTCGGGTCACAGACCTTCAGGACGGAGTCAACGGCCATAGGCCCCAGAAGTCCGGAGTGCTGGGCCACAATCTTGGACGAGAGGGAGGTGGAGGCGGCTTGGAGGAGGGTGGCACGATCGGTGAGGTTGATAGGGCGGGACATGTTGTGGAGGATCTCGACGGCGGCACCGGCAGCTCTCTGGAAGGACTCGGCGATGACGGTGGGGTGAAGGCCCTTGGCCAACAGCTTTTCGGCGGCGCCGAGCAGACTGCCAGCAATGACGACTACTGATGTTGTTCCATCACCAGCTTCCACATCTTGCGCAGCACTCAGATCGACAAGCATGCGGGCAGCGGGGTGCATCACGCTCATATCCTTCAACATGGTGTTTCCATCGTTGGTCTGCGGGGGTCAGTTGGGGCTCGGGGATGCTCGAATGGAAATGGGTTGCGTACGATGATGGTCTGTCCCTTGGGCGTTTGGATCTGGAGAGCGTTAGCACATGTCAATTACAGAAAAGCATGAAATGTCCTCACCATCTTATCCATACCCCTGGGTCCCAATGACTATATTTCCAGTTAGCCCCTCATCACGGTCTTTGTCGGTCTGAACGATCGTACTGTGCGAATGGCATCGGAGACAGCTGTTTCAATGTCAGTCAGGGCACCGCCGAGTCCACGAGAAGATACATACCCCGAGCAGCAAGAATGTTGGAGGCCCGCACGGCCATCGGCTTCTCCTTGTCCTGCATGCAATCAGAAATCAGCGATCCACAAACATTATTTTGAGGCATCGCACCTTGAAGGAGTTGTTGCCGGCGCTGCCTTGGGATACTGCGGCCGCCATTTTGAAAATCTATATTCAAAATGAACCGTAAAAAATGAGTGAAAGGAGGTAGTTAGGTTGTTGTGGTGGAGGACACAGGAAATTCTGCGAGGTTCTGGGGCGGTGATGAAGCTTGGCACTGATTAGTGAGGCTAGCTCGACCACCACAGCTCTGCTACATCACCGTTCAATACCCAACTATCTATCTGCTATCCACCTCGACATTATCGGAGCACGTTGAATCTGTGCATTCTGAATTCAGCTTCCAAATAAATTCTCACTTGGTTCTTTTTTCTTTTCTCGCAACCCGGCCGTTGGCTGTCAACACCTTTCACCATGCCTAGCGCCACGGGTCAGAACTGGGAGAAGTACCAGAAGACCTATGCCGACGACGAGGAGCAAGAAAAGAAGATCACACCTCTCACAGACGAGTGAGTTTGAGCCGAGTCGCGATTCAATCCGCGTCAGCGCGATGGCAATGACTGACGCTTCAAACAGTGACATCGCAGTACTCAAGACCTATGGCGCCGCGCCATACGCGAACGCACTGAAGAAGCTTGAGAAGGACATCAAGGATAAACAGAACAGCGTCAACGAGAAGATTGGTGTCAAGGTGATTACTTGCTCAGCTCTTCCGACCCCTTGAACAATTGAAGCTTACACCTTTGCAGGAATCCGACACCGGTCTTGCACCTCCACACCTTTGGGATGTCGCCGCCGATCGACAACGCATGGCGGAAGAACAGCCGCTGCAAGTTGCAAGGTGCACAAAGATCATCCAGGATGAGAAGGACTCGGACAAGAGCAAATATGTCATCAACGTCAAGCAGATTGCCAAGTTCGTTGTCAACCTCGGAGAGCGGGTCAGTCCCACGGATATTGAAGAAGGCATGAGAGTCGGGTAAGTTTTCTGGGCTGGTTTTGTGCCGTGTTCAGCTTCTAACCTGATTTGCAGTGTCGACCGCAATAAGTACCAAATTATGCTGCCCTTGCCGCCCAAGATCGACCCCAGCGTGACGATGATGACAGTCGAGGATAAGCCCGACGTTACATACGGTGATGTTGGTGGTTGCAAAGAACAGATTGAAAAGCTACGAGAAGTTGTCGAGATGCCCTTGCTATCGCCAGAACGTTTTGTGAACCTCGGTATCGACCCGCCCAAGGGTGCCCTACTTTACGGACCCCCGGAACAGGAAAGACCCTTTGCGCTCGTGCAGTCGCAAACCGAACAGACGCCACTTTCATCCGTGTTATTGGTAGTGAATTGGTGCAGAAGTACGTCGGTGAGGGTGCTCGAATGGTCCGTGAGCTCTTCGAGATGGCCCGCACCAAGAAGGCGTGTATCATTTTCTTCGACGAAATCGATGCCGTCGGTGGTGCCCGTTTCGATGATGGTGCCGGTGGTGACAACGAAGTTCAGCGAACCATGTTGGAACTCATCACCCAACTGGATGGTTTCGATTCCCGTGGTAACATCAAGGTCATGTTCGCTACTAACCGACCTTCCACACTTGACCCTGCTCTCATGCGTCCCGGTCGTATCGACCGTAAGATCGAGTTCTCCCTACCGGACGTCGAGGGCCGTGCCAACATTCTCCGAATCCACGCCAAGAGCATGTCCGTCGAGCGTGATATCCGTTGGGAGTTGATCTCACGACTGTGTCCCAATGCCACCGGTGCCGAGCTTCGTAGTGTTGCCACTGAGGCGGGTATGTTCGCTATCCGTGCTCGCCGCAAGGTGGCTACCGAGAAGGACTTCCTCGCATCCGTGGAGAAGGTCATCAAGGGTAACCTCAAGTTCAACTCGACGGCGACATACATGCAATACAACTAGAGCGATCCCGACTTACTTGCATGGTGGATGGGATGTATGATCAGAAGTGATTTGTTACGTGGGAGTTTATTCCTGGTCGACGCATTATAATCTAAACCAACCTTCCTCTTTTGGACTCTATTCATGCCATTGTTCACCAGCTGGACACTAAGGCACATATACAACAAAGTGTTTAAACTTATCCCACGAAGCTCATGTCTGTGGATGAAAGGCTCCAAGGTTTATTCTAGCTGCAGGCAGTTTCGACGCTAGAGCATCTGATTGTAGTGGTAAAACTAGACTACAGTCTATAGATCACACCTGGTTGACTTCGCAGATGGTGAACAACCAAATTTATGGCCCCTGGACAAATCTTCTAGCCTTTTGATATTTCTTTCAAGGTCTGCGAGTATCATTCCAAAGAAGCACACTTCCAAGGTTAGGGCACATCTGACAGTTTTGCAGGACTGTTTGTGTATCCATGTCTAGGTAGTTTATGTCTCTCCTTTGCGGGCTGAACAAATCTTCCTGGCCTTAGAATCTAACTATGGTACATGTGGTTTTATAGTAATAGAGCATAAAGAATTTTCTCTGGTTATATTATTAGTACATTGCTGTAAAACATCCGATTGAATATTTTCGGGCTATATGAATAGCCCGAAATGGAACATATCTGGGGAAACCCCAGACTTCATATGAGTGACGAAGGAGGCGATGTGAAATGCTTGCAGAATGAAGATTCATGGTAGTCTAGTCTCAGAATAGTCTCATTTGAGACCCAAGCCCATGAGAGTCTACCGTATCCTTCCGGCATCCAGCGCAGGCCGGCAAAACGTATCGTGGACACATGCCACCTGACCAATCACGGACGACCGGCTGCCCGAGGTTGCTTTGGATTGTGTCGACGCTGATTGGTTCGTTCGGCCCCGGTCCTCCCCGTCGGCACTGCAAGGCGGTTATGTCAGCTTTTTCCAACCGCAACCCGGCCTTGACGAGTGTGTCCTTGAAGCCATTCCAATCTCCCCTCTTGAATTAAGCCTGTCACCGTTAGTCGGTGCCTCCTGTTGTCTTTTTTTTGGTTCATTGGAGAGATTCAATCCTCTTTTGATCCGTCATCATGAGCTCCATGAGCCTGCGGAGCCTAGCTCCTGCATCCAAGGTGAGCAGCGGATTTTCGGCCCGCCTGCAACGATACTGACCATCTCATTTCTCCAGGTCTCCCGCGTGTTGGGTAACCAGAGACGTCTGTTCTCGTCCTCAAGGCCTGCGGGTGTGTATTCGATCCCCTCATGGTGTCAACCTTCGCCCTACTGACCATTTGCGCCAGCCCGAATTTTCGCCAACCAGCCTCTGCGCGGCAAGGAGTCCCTGAACTACCTCACCGACAAGTACCCTATCATTGTAAGACAACACTCTCGACAATTGGAATTGAGAGCTGGAGCTGACCAGCGCAGGATCACGAGTACGATGCCGTCGTTGTTGGTGCCGGTGGTGCCGGTCTGCGCGCTGCCTTCGGTCTGGCCGAAGCTGGATTCAACACTGCTTGTGTCTCCAAGCTTTTCCCCACAAGAAGTCACACTGTCGCCGCCCAGGGTGGTATCAACGCTGCTCTTGGAAAGTAGGTTGCCCCAGTGCATATTGAAACGCGTTTGGTTATCTGACCGGATTCTAGCATGCACGAGGATGACTGGAGATGGCACATGTACGACACCGTGAAGGGTTCCGATTGGCTCGGTGACCAGGACGCCATTCACTACATGACCCGCGAAGCTCCCGCCAGTGTTCGCGAGCTTGAGGGTTACGGTTGCCCCTTCTCCCGTACCGAGGATGGACGTATCTACCAGCGTGCTTTCGGTGGTCAGTCCAAGGATTTTGGTAAGGGTGGTCAGGCCTACCGTTGCGCCGCCGCCGCCGATCGTACCGGTCACGCTCTTCTGCACACTCTCTACGGACAGTCGCTCCGTCACAACACCAACTACTTCATTGAATACTTCGCTCTCGATCTGATTATGGAGGGTGGTGAGTGCCGCGGTATCATCGCCTACAACCAGGAGGACGGTACCCTGCACCGCTTCAAGGCTCACCACACCGTTCTGGCCACTGGTGGTTACGGACGCGCCTACTTCTCTTGCACCTCCGCCCACACCTGTACCGGTGACGGTATGGCCATGGTTGCCCGTGCCGGTCTCCCCAACCAGGATCTGGAGTTCGTCCAGTTCCACCCCACTGGTATCTACGGTGCCGGATGTCTGATTACCGAGGGTTCCCGTGGTGAGGGTGGTTACCTGCTCAACTCCGAGGGTGAGCGTTTCATGGAGCGTTACGCTCCTACCGCCAAGGATCTTGCTTCCCGTGACGTTGTCTCCCGTTCCATGACCCTGGAGATCCGTGAGGGCCGCGGTGTCGGTCCCGAGAAGGACCACATCTACCTCCAGCTCAGCCACTTGCCCGCTGAGCTCCTCCACGAGCGTCTGCCCGGTATCTCCGAGACCGCCTCCATTTTCGCCGGTGTCGATGTCACCAAGCAGCCCATTCCCGTTCTGCCCACTGTCCACTACAACATGGGTGGTATCCCCACCAAGTACACTGGTGAGGTTCTGGACGTGGATGAGAGCGGTAACGAGAAGGTCGTTCCCGGTCTGTACGCCTGTGGTGAGGCCGCCTGTGTCTCCGTCCACGGTGCTAACCGTCTGGGTGCCAACTCCCTGCTCGATCTGATCGTCTTCGGTCGCGCCGTTTCTCACCGTGTCCGTGACATCGCCACCCCCGGCAAGCCCCACAAGGAGCTTGCCTCCGATGCTGGTGCCCAGTCCATCAAGGACCTCGACTACGCCCGTACTGCCGATGGTCCCAAGTCTACCCACGAAGTCCGCAACGCCATGCAGAAGACCATGCAGACTGATGTCAGCGTGTTCCGTACCCAGGAGAGCTTGGACGAGGGTGTTGAGAAGGTCAACGCCGTTGACCAGCTGTACTCCCAGGTCGGTACCAAGGACCGCAGCATGATCTGGAACTCCGATCTTGTTGAGACCCTTGAGCTCCGTAACCTGCTGACTTGCGCGTATGTATCCCTGATCTGATTTACCCTGTTACCAATAACTGACATGCCCCTCACAGTACCCAAACCGCCGCTTCCGCCGCTGCCCGTAAGGAGTCTCGTGGTGCCCACGCCCGCGAGGACTATCCCGACCGTGACGACGAGAACTGGATGAAGCACACTCTGTCTTGGCAGAAGAAGCCCCACGGTGAGGTCAAGCTCGGCTACCGTAGCGTTGAGGCCAACACCCTTGATGCTGAGGAGTGCAAGCCTGTCCCACCTTTCAAGCGTACCTACTAAGCGCGCTTTTTGGGAATCGATCAAACAATACGGAGGATACCACGGAGTTGTTTCAGATGGACCCTACGGACGCCCTCGTATCGATGGGTTGAGATAAACCCATGGCTTGTGGCGCATCCAGTCCCGTTTCAAGGGGTGACATCTTTGAAAAAGACCTTTTTTTTATTGACTGTGTTACTTACCATCCTGTATAGCCATATTTTTTCCTTTATCTTAACGGGCGAAGATCTGGTGTACTGAGTGCTTTTCCCTCAGTTTGTCTCATATTGAATTTATTTTTTTCTTAATCTTTGAATTTCTGATCTCGAGGCCCCGTTCTACATTTAGTCAGGTGGTTACGGGAGGCCAGCCTTCTATGGTTGTGCCTCGCGTTTCACCTGGAAGGCTCTTGGCTTCCAAGGCCAGTCCACAACAAAGAGAATAGAGAGTTGCCCAGGTCGTCAAACGGTCGATTCACCTTCCGTGGCTCGGCTTGGAGGGATATTGTGTTTGCCCTAATTGGCCAGCCCGCAGAACCAGCCACATGCAGACGAAGTCGACACACATTCTAGGGAGTATTCAAGTGAGAGAGCAGCTTGCTAACAAAAGCCCAACTACGATCCATGGATTTGTTCAGAAAAACATGGCCCATGATACTATTATTGGCATGTCATTGCCACCCTTGACGGGAAGACAAAGAGACCCCTGGCTTCTTTCAAGGCCGGCCTCATGGCAACCACTCCGCGTATCATCTTTCCAGAATGCAATCATATCTGTCGAGGCCATGGCCCGCACTCGTTTGCACTCTGCTATCTTCCCTGTCAATTAGTCTCAACGCCGGACTGACCGTTTGAGGACGTGTTCTCGCCTTGCGCTCGCTCGGTGCTTAGCTCCCCAGCGAGGAATCGAATGCATCACTTTGATCGTTGTGAGATCAAGCACCGAGTATGGATACCTTCGAAGCTCTTTTCCCTCGGGATGCCAGTGCCTGTGAAACAGGCAAGCTGTGGTATGTTTGCACGATAGGCAGTTTTCGTGGCTGTTGCTCAACCGACCCGTGCACATCGGGGGTATGTCCTGAGAATGAGGATGATCCTACGACGACCTCCGCAACGAGTTCTTCGGATTTGGAGCTCACGACCGCTGGGGCTGTCAATAGACTTCCCAACGTGACACCTAGAACGACGACAACTTCGTCCGTGACCACATTGACTGAAGCAGTCACGGTTTCATCAGACGATCCAACGTCGACTATGTCTGCTTCTCCAACATCCCGAACCTCAGCGTCATCTTCAAGTTCAAAGCTTTCCACAGCTACTAACACATCCACTTACCCGGTCGTTGCTGCCACAGATGCAGCAGCCTCTCCATCCACCACGCCCACCGGAAGTTCTAGTACAGCATCTTCAAATCGCGGGGCCATAATCGGCGGAGTGGTAGGAGGTCTAGCAGCTTTGGCATTGATTGCCCTTCTAGTCTTCTGCTGTCTTCGCCAAAGAAAAACGCAGAGGCATTACGGAAGGCGTTCAACATCTCTGTCATGGTGGTATCCGTACGGCCGTGTCCAAAAAGACCAAGCAGCCGGATCCGAGATGAAAGAGCCACAATCCTATGATAGCGAAGCATCCAGTAAGCAAGTCCCAGCAAGCTTTCGAGGGCATTCTAACAATGCCACAGGGTCGTTGACAGCGTCAAGCACTGTTTCCCCAAGCAACACAGGAGTTACATCAGGAATCCACCTTACCCCAAATCTAGTACTGACCTCATCTTCAACAAACCTCATTTCATTCTCGCCGCAGAAGCACCAACTCCCACCCACACCACAGCTCTCAACGGAACTCTTCGCTTCAGTCCCACGACGTCAACACTCCACACCCGAGCTACCAGACACAGGCTTCCCACGGCCGCGCGCCGAACTAGCCTCAAATCAACAAAGCGAGTGGATCAATATCCCGATAAATCAACGCCGTCAGACTCCTATTAGGACCAGAATAGGTCCCCGAGCATGGGAATCACCCGCTCTCACGCCTATCGCAGCGAGTCCGCGCGAAAGTCCAATCCGGGAGACCAGGGTCGACGCTGGACATACGCGTAGCCAAAGCGATGGCTGCAATGCACCTGAACCCAGACAAGTCATCACTGCTGATGGGGTCGTGTTGGGAGCGAATCTGGATCGGTATTCTAATGGGCTGGAGATTGCTAGGTCTTTGGATCAGCATAGGGGCGGTGGTACTGAGCATGCTGGTACGGATCATGTTATGAGCTTCATGCATTTTGGTGGATCTGAGGGTGGTGTTGGGCTCAGCTTGAGGGGTCCTTCTGGTGGTTCCACTAGTCGAGATAGAGAGAGATCCGATATGGATCGCACGGTTGTGGGTGATCTTGAGGATGTAGAAGGTGATGTGCCGCCTGCTTATGAGGCGAATGATGGTTCGCTGCAGCCGGAGATCAAGTCTCCGTCTGGTAGGATGGAAATGAGTCTGAGGGGTGTTTGAGAGAACTAAGATCCCTAAGAGCTTTTAGGTCGGAAGCTTGTGATATTTGTGCAAGTGTTGTGTTTAAAATTGGCATGTCGAATGGGCCATGTGTTTGATGAGACTTGATGATTTACTATGCCTATTCGGCTGCCATATAATTGTTAGGATTGTTATATTGTTTTCAAGATAATCTCAGCCGATCTCATCAAGATCAGATACAGAGCTTGCTTACACCCGGTACCCTTGCCAGCCGCCTTAGCTGCATGGCCCTGGAAGTGAGAATATAGTTCTTGAGGTCAGTCATGAAGAAGGGGCCTCTCGGTTCGGCTATCGATGCTATAATGCCATTCTGGGGCATTGTCAATAATCTTTTCGGCAACCCTGCTTGTAGTATCTCTGCGGAATTTCAATAGATTTGGCAATTGGCGTACATACTAGATGTTGATCCGCTGATGCAGGCCATTCAGCTCCAGTAATTTTGAATGACGGCGTACTGTACATATTCAAGACTCGGTGTATCCAGACAAGTCAATTCCAATGTTCATTTTGTCTAATCCGAAACCCTAACACTTTTGTATCTTTCATATATCATATCCAAAAAGTTTACAGCAGCTTCTTCAGCACGGCGGTCTGCTCCAGGACCGCACGCTTGCTGGTTCCACCGATAGCGTCCTTCAGCTCGACAGCACGCTCGTAGTCCAGGCAGGCCTGGACGTCGGCATCGAAGCGCGAGTCAATCTGCTGGAGCTGCTCCAGAGAAAGTGTGTCCATGGGCACATTGGTGTTCTCGGCCAGGGCAACGACGCGGCCAGAGATGTGGTGTCCCTCGCGGAAGGGAACACCCTTGCGGACGAGGTAGTCGGCAATCTCGGTAGCCAGCATCTCAGGGGCCAGAGCGGCGATCATCTTCTCGGGGATAACAGTGAGGGTGGAGAGAACACCAGTTCCAATCTGGATGCTGTCGCTGACAGTCTTGACGTGGTCGAGCATGGGCTCAACGCTCTCCTGCAGATCCTTGTTGTAGGTGGTGGGCAGGCCCTTGATTGTGCACATCAGACCGGCCATCTGACCGAAAGCACGGCCAGACTTTCCACGGAGGAGCTCCAGGCTGTCGGCGTTCTTCTTCTGGGGCATGAGAGATGATCCAGTGGAGTAGGCGTCCGACAGACGAACGAAGCCGAACTCCAGACTGCTGTAGATGATAAGATCCTCGGCCCAGCGAGAGATCTTGAGCATGAAGGAGCTACCCCACTGCATGGTCTCCATAGCGAAGTCACGATCCGCAACGGCGTTCATGGAGTTGTAGAGCAAACCATCGAAGCCGAGCTCCTTGGCCATGGCCTCACGGTCGATGTTGAAGCAGTTACCGGCAAGCGCACCGGTACCGAGGGGGCTCTTGTTAACGCGGGCAATAACCTCACGCAGGCGCTGCAGCTCGCTGGCGAAAGCAGTAGCGTGTGACAGGATCCAGTGGGACCAACGGACGGGCTGGGCCTTCTGCAAGTGGGTGTAACCGGGCATGAGGTAGTCGATATCTTTTTCGGCGCGGGCAATGGAGACCTTAATCAGATCGCAAAGGTGGTTGTCGATCAGGCGCAGTTCGTCGCGGAGCCACAGGCGCATGTCCGTGGCGATCTGCTCGTTGCGCGACCGGCCGGTGTGCAGCTTTCCGCCGATTTCCTTGCCGATGATCTCGCCGAGGCGACGCTCGTTGGCAGTATGGATATCCTCATCGTTCTCCTTGGCGACGAAGGTGTTGGTTTCCCATTCCTTGGCGATCTCCTTGAAGCCACGCTCGATCTCGGCGAACTCTTGTGGGGTGAGGAGGCCGGAGTTGGTGTTGGCGCGGGCGAAGGCAATGGAGCCGGCAATGTCCTGCTTCCAGAACACGCGGTCATAAGGAAGGGACATGTTGTATTGGACCATGAGGGGGTCAAGGCCCTCTGTTTTTTCCCAAACGAATGAGTCAGTGGAATTTTTGGTGGGATGGAGGGGTTGCGGTACTCACGGGTGAAGCGGCCTCCCCAGAGCATGTTTTCGGCGACACCTTTGGGATTGCTCATTGTGGATGATGTAGGATTGTTCAATGGCTTGGAAATGGAGGAAAAAAGAGAAGAAAGAAGTCTTGAAGGCAATTGGGCCCCCTGCATCGTGGAATCACGGCCGATCATCGGTACGCTAAACCCAATTAGGCATATCTGGGGGACTTTGCTGATGACTCAATCTTGTTGACCTCCCCTTGGTCGACTATCCTCACTCTATACATCGCGATTGAAAGATCCAGGACTCGGTTGAACTCGATAAATACACACATACTCCGTATCGGGGGTAGTAATATGTCAGGCCATAAACTTTCATTTCGAACTTACACGTCCCAGCGTTAATCCAAAGCCTCAGTTATATATAGTTCGATCATATACAATACAACCAGCGAAATATGCCTTCGAGGTTTTTTTTTTTTTTTTCGAGCATTTAAACTCATTGGAGGATACAAATTGGAACGCATGTAATCGAATGTGACTTGTCCACTCCACAAGGATGATGTAGATATCTAATTCCTCCAATCTCAGCCTCAGTACTCCGTAGTCTGTACTCCGTAGTCTGTTATCTAAAACCGGCGGTCCAGCCTTGGAAAAATCTTGGAATGGGTCCTCGATATTCAATCACACAACTCAATAACAGTCCAGGCAACAGTTGTCAAAATCTGTCCTCCAATCTTTTCCATGACCCTGCGACTGGCCCTGTTGACCCCAGACACTTCCGTGTGCGCCCAAGCCCCAACACGATCTTGAGTTTGACTATCCTCGAATTCAAAGCTGCTGCCCCCGAACACACCATCGGGCGCTAATCCACGACACATGATCGCCTTCGATAACGGAACTGCAAGTCCACAGCCCCGATGTTCCGGTTCAACATGTAATGTCGATAGCGCACCGTCCATACCCAAGAAGCCCCAAGCGATAGGCTGTTCTTCAGCATCCTGGTCAGCAGGTTCGGAATCCCGATAGACCGCCACACCAGGCATCGTAGAAAGCTGATTCCTGGACCGCGGGATATGGGTGCGACTTTGCACAAGATCTAAATGCCTAGACTGAACGCCCTCTCTGCCTTCGCGATCACGGAACCTATACCCGACCGGGAGAGGCAGATCGGCAGATCCATGATCAGCAGACCTTCCAGACTCTTCTTCGGCGCCGAAGTCAGATCTTCGGAAATAGTACTTGAAGTAAGGTGGATCATCGAAGCGATGGACACGAATATTGGAGATGGGATCCGACGATGTGTAGGTTCCTGATCGCTGCAGAAGCATATAGAGACCAGTGTGCAGACTGCCAATGAGGAAAGCCCGGGGATCAGGCGCGGGGATCAGGGGCACGCCATTATTGACAATGGGGATTGTGTTGGAAACAGAGGCCGAGGAGATCTGAGTTCCAGCCGTAGATGTGGCTTGAGCTGACTTTTCCAAAGATGACAGGTACGATGGCAGCAAGTGGGTTTTGACATATGACAGCAAAGCCAAGATTTGCGCGCGGCCCAAATCTAGCGTATCCTGGCTAGCGGATAAAGAGAACACAATAGGATTGGAATTTGCATTGTCATGACCCTTGTTACTATTAGTAGATTGTGGAAGCGAGTCGCGTTCCACCTTTAATATCTTTGCGGCGGTCGCACTATCGCTGACAGCGTCGATCGGCTGAATTGACGTGTGCTCCGCTTCGAGGCTGGAGTAAATGAGCATCTGGGTCTCGCGGCCACGAAAGAGATCCACTCGCGCAGCCAGCCACGGTTTCTCAGGGTCAGGGGTCGAACCGGGCGGGAAGGTCGCCAGTAATTGGGCGGTTTCGAAAGGAAAAGCGATACCATGTTGAATTCGTCGTAGCAAAGTCAAACTATACGGCAATTGAGATACGAGCGCCGGCATCAATGTGACAGCATCGTGCCGGTAGATGCATGTGTCGGACTGCATTGTGTACGGAGTACTCCGTAGATGTGCCGAATACTCCGTACCGGGTACCTGGATCCAGGGACGCTTGTGTGAAAGGAGTGTTCCGTTTTGGAATTATCAGGACTATCACCGAGCAAAACTAGTAATTTGACAGATGGCGATTGACAGATTGACGACTGAGTCAGAGTGTGGGCCGGAAATTAGGGTCATCGCGTGATTGTTAGGCGGTCCCCGAGTAAGGCCGAGCTAAGCCGCACTTAATTTGATCGCACTAATCTCCCTCTCGGATCTGGGATAGATAAATCAACCCTTCCCAAGGAATTATCGGTATTTGTCACGCTATTCACCTGGTCTGTGCCTGTGGCGGTGCGACACTATCGATTCTGACGGGGGATCCGCGGGCGATCTCTGTCAAATCTGCATTGGCGCTAGAAGGATCGGTCTTTTTCTCATTCTTTAACTGGGTGTTTGCATTACTAGTGGAAGAATCTTCCTCAAGGCCTATAGGTACGGAAATTTCAAGGTTTCGTCTGCAGGGACGCTATGTCATTATACTCCGCTGTGATACCACCCAGCTGGGACTGGCGTGCTCATCACAGTTTTTGTTCCTCAATCGAGGAGACCATAGGGAACACCAAAATCACAAAGGAAAAAAAATAAACAAAGGGATTCGTCTCTCATGAATGCGATCTCCTACCAGGGAGTCCGCGCGCCAACCATCCAATCCTCCATTGCTAGCCACTCACTCCAGCGAGCTTCGGCCACTCGGATTTCTTCCTCCGAAGGATCGCGCAGGGGTCTCAGGAAGGGTGTTTGCTCATCTGGTGAGAGATCGTAGGCTGCCTTGGTGGAAGCCCAGCCACTGCTTTTGGCCGTGAAGAGATAGTTTGCGCGCTCTTGTTTGTAGATGCACCCCACACCAGCCTCCCAGTCACCCCCAAAGAAGCCTTGCATAATTGAAGGAGAGTCTTGCGCCGTAACAATCAATCGACGAATATAAGGCCGCAGTGACACGAACGGTAGCGACCCAGACTCAGAAGATGAACCACCGCTTTCAGCAGGACGCTGGCATGGGAGTCGGATGTTGACAAAGGCGGCGATGGATTGCACAGCCGGCGTATGCTGGCTATAGTCGACAAAGTGCTGGACACAGTTCTTATAGTGTGGGTACCAGCCGGTGGTGTCAATACGGCCAAAGTCGCTGTCGTTGAGGGCCGACTGGACTTCCGGGTTGTTCATTCTCTCGTCGGGACGCTCGCGCCTATCCGAGATGCGTTCAGTGGCTCGATCGGATCCTGAACCAAGGCGAGATATCTCAGAATACTGACCATTTCGCAGCCTGTGCGACAAGCTCGAGCGGGGCACAAGGGGTGGACTTACGCTGAGCGGGATAGTCGCGAGAACACGGATCGCGCATGTCCATGCGTGGAGAGTTTTCCCAGCACTCTCTTCCAGAACCCTGCATGCTCAGTGACATGTTCAGTCGACATATGTATTTGATAAGTGGAAGGATTGAAGAGGTCAAGACTGGCTTGAAGATCTAGACTGGAGAGATAGATTGGGGTTATGAGTCTGGGGGAGCCCAAAGCCTTATAGCTCCGCGCTGGAGCGCAGACGGGGAAGACCGATCCATCAAGGGTGCCAAAATCGATAACCTTGGAAGATCACGACGGACTAGTTCGGCTTTTCGGAGGGGGTAAGGCAGGGTGGGTCGGGCAAGCTATCGAAGAATAAGCTTGAGCCACAGATGTGGTCACTAGCCACCGATGAGCCACGGACAGGCCGAGGGTGTGGCTCGTGCGCTTGCCCGTAAGTGGTAAGGGGGTTGTGGCTGTGATCCTACAATGCAATTGTCGACTAGTCCTCACTGGGCAACCCCCATTGTCGATCTAGATTCCTTAGTGCAATCAATAGTTCGCTTCTAGTTGCTTGCTATCTCACCCTATATTGCAATGATTTGGAAGCGCTAGCGGGAGATCAGACACCTCGCATTTACTTTTTACCATTTAATTTCAATTTTAATCTTTTCGGCACTCGATGAACTGGTTCAACTCGCTTACTCTTTGGATTATTCGACCTGTGCGACATTTGACAGTTCCCTAGTCCACTTTTCTCCCCAAACGATGATCAAACCCATTGCTAGTTTCCTCTAGCCCTAGTAGTACGTGTAGTGTGGGATCACGGATCGGTTCGGGGTGTGGAACTGACATCACATCATTTACGGAGTAGAGTCCCGCCAAATCCAGTTTTTCCTGGCATTACGTTGTAGGACAAGGATGTCCTGTCCTAACTTAAGAAATGACAACATATGAGCAAAAAACGCGTACAATATGCAAGGGGTAAAAGTAGAACGAGACGGCACAGTTCGTGGTCGTTCTGCAAGTTGCCTGCAGGGATTATCCCAGAGAAGAATAAATCAATTCAGTTGACTAAAATAACTGAAATTAACTAAAATAAATGAATTAACTACATGAAATCCTCGTATTCAACTTTCCCACATCGGGCACCCCGATAGATCGGTTGAATCGGTTGACGCTCGGACACCCGTCCATCCAATGACGAGGCCCCGCTTGCCTGAATCGTGGCCTGGCACACCCGACTTCCTGGGTGCAATTAAGATCGAATCTATCCACGCCTGATCTTCCCCCGCTTCCAAATTACTGCGGCTGACTCGAGTCGTGTTTTAAATGCGCCCGATATCCCTAACTGCCTTGCATACTTGACCTTGTACTTCGCCCGTTATCCTGCATTCACTTAAGTTTTCAGTGATCTATACTTCGTGGACTCCGACACTGCCCAACTCTCTCTCTCACATCCCCCCACCATGGGTTACATGACCAACTATGAGCCTTACGTGAGTTATATTCAACATTTAAACAAGTATCGATCTAACTTGTATTCTGTGACAGTCTCGGGGAAGCATCGATAGTAGACGCTCGCCTCCGCCAGATGAATTGCTCTCGCCGTTAGCAGGGCTCTACCCGCATGTTGCGGCCTTACAGCCACAGTACAATCATAGCAACTGCACATTCACTGGCTATCAAGATACGGATTATTGGGCAGCGGCCTACACGACACAGCCTTTGGAAAAGTCGTACACGTTAACTCGTCGTGGAACGGGTAAGTCCGATATCACATTCTACTATGGTCGCACACTCTGACAGGTTTATAGATGGTCTTCCATGTCGATTTGTCTCTAAACTACGCCGGCTACTAAGCCGAGACGACCTCAAGTACCGCCGGGGATCCCGGGCGACTGCATGAACTACCAACTTGTCTCTCTTTCGACATCGTTTTCTTTCTCTCCGTTATATTCAGCGATTCACAACACGCACACATCTCAGCGACTTTTACTTCAACCTGCTTTTGCCCTTCGCGGCCTATCATTCGACTCTTTGAACATATGCCATTGAGGCTTCAACTACCGGAACACTGATCCGGCATCCATTTCTTTTGTTTGATAAATCTCCCGGTTTTCACATCTGAATCTGAGTTCTACTTTTTCTTGGGACAAGCGACATTACAGCGAGGCGTTATTCGGCAGTTTATTTCTACCCTGGAGGGTTTTTGCAATTTCTCATTCGTGTCATACCATTTATTCGCAAATACTCTATGTTTGATGTATATACAGATTTTATCACATACAACGGGCCTTGAGCCAATATTACCGCATTTTGATAAACTCTTTACACCGCTTGTTCTGTTCTAATGCCGTCACGTTGAGTACGAGCCCCAACGCCAATCTCCAAATACCGAACGCAACCTCGGGGTTTGTGCGTCGAATGGCAGGACTTGGAAGTCCCAGAAAAACAAGGTATAAGGTTCCCCACAATTGATAGCCACCGTCAAATCAGAATGTGAAGCCCCCCCCTTGCCCACCTCCAGTCCTGGCAGGAGATGCCACATGCCAAGCAAGGCGTGGTCATTTCGTCCTCCGTGAACCCTGTTAAGATGACCTCATTAATTGGACCATTGCTTTTTTTCCAGAACCAAACCCTCGTGGCTGGATCCCAATGCCACGGTAGTAATTCAGATCCCTGCCAGGGGAAGGAACATTATACCTTGTACCACTTGAACCCTGTAAAGGATGGTGTGGAGTGTTTGCGCCCAATCCCCATAAGTGAATTCAGGCTCTAGCTTACGTAGATCACCCCGACATCTGTACTCCGTATGAGCAACTAGAGGCTAAAAAAACGACGATCCTGAGCGACCAGCAGCCAATCATCTGCAACTTGATGTCGATACCCTGTCGGTGATCGCTCATCATCAATATAGAGGGGCTAGACAGACTTAACCGCCTCTTGCGACCGATGAAATTCTATATGACTCATGTCACTGTATAGAATATCAATATCGCATTAATGCACGCAATAGGCACGAGATAGGTTCCTGCAGAGCGATGTGAGACAAAGTTTCAGGGGTAACCACGCACCTTCGGGGTTTGAACCTTGTTTTTTGCATTGAAGTCGACTGCTACTGCTGCATCACAAATTCATGATATTCGGGCGCTTGCGCCTAAGGGCCGACCCGTGACGATCGCATTTGGTCTGTGTTCCCGCAAAGCATTTGGAATGGGGGATCCAGTTTTGAGTCAGGGTTCCAATGGGATCTTCATGGGCTGTGGAGCAATGATCGCTACGCCATCAGCACTACAGAGTACTATGTTTGAATCGTTTCTGCTATATTGTCTCTGCTGACCTGGATCGACGATGGTCTGGATCGACAACACAGTGCAGTTCAAGAAACTTCCCCAAGTTGCCCTGTTTCGGGGATTTATGGAACTGATAGTGTCAAAACATCTGTGCCTGACTGCAGGGGCAAAGTAAATGTGATACGATTGACAGAACATGGCGGACCGAGCAATCGCCAACGTCTCAAGCCATTGAGAGATCAGAAATCGAGGCAAATCGCGGCAATTCTCAAATGCAATCGCAAGGGTGACGGTTAGCCCCCGGATTTTGCTTCGCCATGCACGATACGCATGCAGCACGTACATGGTAGCAACCAAATATGATATATATGATATGGCAATATGCGAGTATCATTGGACGATTATCTTTCAATGATCACCACGAGACCAGAGCAGAGAGATTAATCGAAAATGTGATATCAACTGCACTTGGTCAACGATGAAAATGGACACGACGCTAAGGAGTTCATGAGTGAAGAAATCTGATGGCGCAATCTGCATGCCACCTCATCTCAAGCGTGAAATCACCAAATACGAACTAGTCAAACCGTTGCATAATTCAGATGAAGTCTTATTGATCAGATGCAAAGCCCTGACAGCGCAAAATACTGACCGTGGGGGACCGAGCACGCTTAGAAGTCTCCTGCAGCAGCAGATAGATCTCATTCCCCTCATTCCCATTTAGGCCAGTTCTTGATGTCCCAGGACACATGGAATTATGCACATGTCGCGTTCAACTTACCCAAAATGGGAGTATGATTTGAGGATAATGAGATAAGAAGCCTCTGTACAGACTTGGCCAGATTTACTCATGCTCTATCTGGCGCCCTACTTACTGCGGGACTTATCGTTAAATGTACCAAGAGCTAGAGAGACTACATATGATGTACGTTATCCTTGATACTTCTTTGGCTCTGCGAAAAAAGAAACTCAACCTCCGTGCCACGATGCTGGATGAATATCATTCACCCGGTCCGACGAGATTAGCCACAGCCACAGAGCGGGGTTCTACGCTTCATATAGTTTCGACAATATTGTGTAGATAGCAAAGCAAAACGAGATGTCAAGCACAAGTTCAATTTCAGTAGCATTCGGCAATTAACGCTTAGAAAGTCGACATAAACCGAGGGCGAAGAATGTCTGCAGTCAATTACCGACGCAGCCATCCGAGCCAAACTCAAAGTTCGCCCCACACCCCGCAAGTTCGACTCCGGATTTTTGGACCACAACATATCTCCAGCAATGTCAGATCATTCAACATCTTCCGTCGAAGCCCCCAAATATGAGTGCTCAGTATGTCTCAAGAGATACAAGCGGCGCGAGCACCTCTTCCGCCACCTCAGCTCCCATACATCGCAGCGACCACACCAATGCACCCTATGTAATGGGGCATTTCAGCGCGCCGATGTGTTGAAACGACACATGCGCACCTGTGATGGTGGAGGGTCAAGAGCTACTAGCCGGAGACGAGCCTGTGATCGCTGCGTTCGTCAAAAGAAGGCTTGTAGCTCGCACCAGCCATGCCACAGCTGCGTGAAGAGAGGTGCCCAGTGCTGGTATCCCGCAGATTCAGGATCCTCGAAACAGCCATCTCTTGGGAGTGTCGACGTGTCTTCACCGAAAGATCCGGCATCAAATCCGATGGAGTTAACGCCACCGGTCTCAAACCCAGTGATGCCCTGGGGGTTCACAACTGAAGAGTTGCAGAATCTTGGAACGAGTCCACAGGAAACACTTTTCGACTCAGCATCTACCCATTTACCGAATTCGAGTTGGCAGGAATTCTCCACCATAAACCCTGAGACTCCGGCAATGTTTGAACCATCCGTCTCAGATGAAGACTCTCGTCAATCATTGGGGTTTTTGGATAAATTCACTAGCAACACCGGTCTGGTTTCAAGCTTTGACTGCGGCACACAGGAGCAGAGAGAGCACCTCTCTGCCGAATTGGACCGACACATCTCGTTTCAATTACAGCAGAGAATCATGTCGTTACCAGCCCTCGGCATGAATGTTCCATCGCCTACGATTTTGGAAGCCATCAGCGACTCAAGCTCTACCGACGATTTTCCACTAGACTGGTTTAATGATCCACTGTCTCTCAAAACCCACGAGATCTTGTTACTGATCGAAGAAGTCGTCACAATAAAACCGCGGAATAGTTCCGTGACTTTAGATTGGACACCGGCACTGAAAAGTGCATGTCTACAATTTTTTTCACCATCGAATCTGAGAAGGTTTTTGGGATTTTACTGGGCAATTTGGCATCCCAATGTCAATTTTATTCACAGGCCTACTTTTGATCCCCTCGCAGCAAAGCCAACAGTACTAGCAGCAATGGCCCTGATTGGTATGATGTCTGAGCTCAAAAAGTGATAAAAGCTAACGGCTGTTCAGGTGCGTGCGTTTCGTCCGATATGCCTGATAACGAAGATGCGAAAACGTGGTTCAATTGCGTGGAAGAGATGGTCTTTATAGATGATGATTTCAACAGTGATATGACCTATTCACCATGCGGTAGCATGGCCAGCCAGCGACGCAAGATTCAAGCGCTCCAGGCTGCCTATATAGTCTGTCTCTATCAGAATTGGGAAGGCACCGACGCGAGCAAGTCTCGCATTCGACGCCATCGATTTGCCACCCTTGTGTCTGTAAGTTGAGCACTACTCTGGGTGGATGATATTGACAATCGATAGACCGCTCGAGATATTGGAATCACCTCGGCCAGACACCTGAGCTACAGCGAGCAGGGTCGGCATGACTTTGAGTGGAAAGAATATGCAGCTAGAGAGGAGCTGATACGGTCAGTGAATAATCGATGCAAGAATGATCAGGTTCACTAAAGATGTCTAGAGTTTTCTCGTGGATCTATCTCCTTGACTCGGCATTTGTGATTTTCAACAATCTTCCTCCCAGAATGGTCATCAAAGAGATGAGACTACACATGGCAACACCCGAAGCTTGTTTCCAAGCACTCACAGCAGACCAATGCCATCATCAGATCCAATTATCTCTACCAGCCAGAAGCCCTTACTGGTCTATCTCATTCCGAGGTGCATTTGAATCGCTATGCAAAGATGACCCCTCTGCCAACATCCACCGCCTCCTCGCCACATTATGTCCACTGAACCTGTTTGCATTGACATCCGGTATGTTGCATTGCAGCGCGAAAATCAATATATCTGACAACCACATTCAGCCATCCACTCTCAAATATTCCAGCTCCGCAACGTAGTTGGAAGTTACCAACTACTCGCCCCGATCCGCAACGCACTGAGCAACTGGCGCGACATCTGGCAGTCGTTCTCATCAAACTTTCCCCAGGGAATATCACCACACATGACCATCGAAGACCTTCACATTCAACCCGCCGAATTGTGGACCCGGATGGGATTTTGTCGGTATGCGCCGGAGTATTGGCTCCTGGCCCAATTGATGGCGGATCGGTTGGCGATGTTGGGGACGTCGCAGCAGGTGAATGAGCTGGAGCCATTGGAGGAGGGGCCGTTGGATCCCATTCTGAATAAGTATGATCAAACCAGTATGCGACAGGTGAACGACTTGATCATGGGCTTTCAGACATTTCAGATTTGATGTCTGATCCCTTGTACCATTACGACCTTATCAAAGAAAGACGAGAGGGAAATGAAACAACTTTTTTTTCCATTTATTCATCGACGGACGTCTCGTATGATCTTGAGAATGGCAATTCCTATTGCTGAAACCACACAGATTTTGAACAAAGGCCAGAACTCCGGGAGTGGGATTTCACTGGGTTTGAATCAGAATCCAGCCTGGTATCGATGCACTGGCACACTCACTCGTCACTGGCAGAGCTCGCCACAAAGCCGGCTTCTCGTTCTGCTTCAAGTTTGAGGGCTTGATTGTCTCTCCAGTCGGGTTCTCCGTGGAAGCTAGGTATTTGGTCGTTGGGGTCGTGGCGTTGTGTTATAGGGTTTATGACGGATGCATCGTGCGTTGAGGACTCTGTGCTAGCCGTGGACTCTAGTTGGTTCTCTTCGACGGTTGGAGATCGCAGCTGAAGGGGGGCGCATGTCGCCTGCAGACTGAAGAGGAGAGCAAAGAGCGCAATGAGCCACGGACGGAAGAACATGCTCGCTTCGTATACAGTACGAAGGAGAAGAAGAAGAGGTTAACATTGGGGGGTCATGAGCTAAAGTATGGCTCAAAGATGCTTATGAGTCTAACTGGGAATAGTTAGGTCGGAAGTGGATATTGGACTTGTAGATCCAGGCTTAAACAACATGAGGAGCATCTCTTGGCGCTTATTGGACGATAACGCGGTTCGGTGGCTCAGCAGTCTTGGCACGGACTTAAGCTCTTCTTATCGGCGTTGATGACCTTCACTTTCGGAGAGATCCTGTTGAACTGGATCTGCCCGTTTAACCGACTCTTTTAGACCCATACTCTATTTCTTGTGAAATGGAACTGACGACATAGTTCCAAAGTTGAAGGGCCACACACCTCATTTGCCGATAATCTTCCGATCATGCGCATACATAATCAGAGCGATTTGACCTGCAATTGCAAACCCGAGCACTAAAACCCCTAATGGAAATTGAAAGACCTTAACATCCCCGAGATCGGCATGTTGATTCGGTGAGTGCCGTTCCCCGGACCGTTGATTACGCTTGGCATTCTCGAGATCCGCCCCGGGCCCAGCGGAATCACTTATCAAGGCAGCCAAATTCCCCCGATATGCAAGTTGATGACAGCCAAGAAATCCACAGTGGAGATCCCTTCATAATCAACCGAAACCCTGATTACTCCCTTCAGTGGGCTCAATGTGGATATTATAAATCCTCGCTGTGGCTTAGCGAGATCTGGGGTTCATCTTCAGGCAGCAGAATAACGGTCACTCAAGAGTCACTCAAGAGTCAAGAGAATGTGGCTCGGTGTGGTCTTTATGCTGTACTCGTACCCCTCCGCTTGGCGTGGTCTCATGCACTGGGGCTTAGACAGCCCTGCCCAAATTTATTGGACTGCATTGTCGTGTGTCAGCAACATGTTCGTTTTCGTACGGAGAAGATGGGTACAGAGACAGTCAGCCAAGGGTTTGTTGGTCAAACCCGGGAGCAGATGTCTGGAAATAGAAATTATATAAAAGTGATTCATTCGCCTGAATGATCGCGCATCGTCACTGCAATGAGAGGGATTTCAACGCCTGGAATGAAGAAACTAAATCAGATCCTCTTCTCTTTCCTCTTCGTCGCCTTACTCGCTCCAGTCTTAGCTGTGCCACGTGAGTATGATCTGTGTATCAGGAATTGTGGGTAATTGGTCGGTTGACTCTTGGAACAGAAGCAGACACTTTTCATCTCACCAACCCAAAGATAATCCCATCTTTCAGAAACAGTATCTCAGCATTGAGCTTTGATATTCTTGCTGATATTCCCGAATCAAATTCCACGATCAAGTTTGCCCTAGAAACAAATGATGACCTCATCTCGCAAGATGCCACTATCCAGGATTTGAATGGTTATGGACACACAGAGAATGGAGATCAACTCCACAACGGGCTCTACCTGACCAAGGGAGAGTCATGGATTAAAAGCCAGGCCACTGGTCGGTGGCAGGAGGCAGGCTGGGCGCGGCTTGCCGTCAGCCAAACGGAAGAAGGTGTCGTCGTGGATGGAACATTCACCGTGTTCTTCTCGCAGTATGAGATCCAACTGGAAAGCAATGATGGATCGTCAAAGATGATAGCCTCAAGACATACCTCGGACTTTGTGATGGGAAATCACACGACGGAGTCGATGTGTGCGACTGCCCCAGAAGAGTCTATCACAAAACGTCAGTTTGGACTGGTCAACGCCTGGAGCGATAATTTGGAGAGCACCATCGGCGATACCGACGGTTGTCCGGATACCAGGCGGGTTGCTAATATTGGTATCATGACTGACTGCACATACACTGCAAGCTTCAACTCGTCGGAATCTGCCCGCAGGTACATTCTAAACATGGTCAATACCGCTTCGGTTGTGTTTGAAAATAGTTTCAACGTTTCCCTCAGCATCCAGAACCTGACAATCAGCGATGGCCAGTGCCCGACCACCACCTCGCAGTTGACGGCATGGAATACTCCGTGTTCCAATGGAGACATGAACTCTCGTCTGCAGGCCTTCTCTACGTGGAGAAGTTCATTCAGTGATGAGAACGCCTACTGGACTCTCCTGACTGGATGCTCAGTGAACGGAGGTGAGGTCGGTGTCTCTTGGATCGGGGCGTTATGCAACTCCGGTTCCGGCTCTAGTGGCGCCAGCAACGGGGGAGCAAGCGCCAATGTGGTCGCGCGGACACAGTCCGAATGGCAGGTTTTTGCGTAAGTTGCTTTTTGACCAAATGTGAGCTCTAGCTGACCGGCAACAGTCACGAGTCGGCTCATACCTTTGGCGCGGTACACGATTGCGATTCCTCAGCTTCTTGCGGATCGGGATCATCTCAATGCTGCCCCCTCTCTTCAAACACCTGCGATGCTGGTGGACAATATATCATGAATCCAGTCTCTGGGGTAGGAATGACGCGTTTCTCCCCGTGTACTATTGGCAATGTGTGTTCTCGGTTGGGATCTGGCCAGGTTGACGGTCGATGCCTGGTGGACTCCAATGGAAATAATGGAACCTCTGGAACATGTGGAAATGGAATTGTCGAGGCTGGAGAAGCCTGTGATTGCGGCAATGGAGCCTGTGATGAGCAGGAGACTCAATGCTGCGATTCTGTGACTTGCCAACTGCAGGGAGGAAATGAGTGCCGATCGGATACCAGAGGAGGTACTGACGAAGGGCGGGGAAGCCCTGGAGGTGGAGGTGGGCAGTCGAATCGTGACTCTTTGTCGTCATGGGTGGATGATCATCTGCAGCTGGTCATTGGGCTTGCTGCTGGCATCGGTGGCGCCTTCCTACTGCTGGTGCTCGGGTGCATTATTTGCTCTTGCAGACGCCCGAGGACTCCCAAAATCCCACTACGGTGAAAGTTGAATTTATTAGCATTTTAGGAGTTATTGGGGTTCTGAATGAAGTTGAAATATCAAGCCTTAGCATTTGAGCGCAGTTCGTGATCCTCCCCCACACCTCCGCCAGTACCCACAACCCACCTCCACATCCGCAACTATACGCCCGCTTCAACTCCGAAATTATACTCTGTCTAAATCAAGGCCAGAAAGGTGAACAAAAAGGAGAAGGACATGAAACTATATAAAGAGAGCGGGGGATGTTGAATTCTGGAAATAGTCCTAGTTGACTTTGATTCGGGTTTGAATTCACCAGCACAATGCTACCGATCACTCTCATTCTTGGAGCTGCAATTGCATTTTTGGCCGGATTTAGAGTATGGAAAATTGGCCAACGCCCCAAAAACTATCCTCCAGGGCCACCGACATTGCCACTGTTGGGAAACATCCATCAGGTAACGTTCCCAGAAAAAAGAAAAAAAAAAAAAAAGCATACATGGACTAACACTTACACAGATGCCGTCTCGCGATGCCCATCTTCAATTTGAGAAATGGGCTCGGGAATATGGCCCAGTCTACAGCTTGATGCTGGGCACCAAGTGCTTGATTGTTCTGTCCAGCGATGAGGCAGTGAAAGAGCTATTGGATAAGCGAAGTGGCATATACTCGCATCGCCCAGAAATGTACATTGGACAGACTCTGTGCAGTGGTAACCTCAGACTACTTATGATGGTGGGAATTTGTCACTGGATATGATGATATTGTAGCTAACGTATTTGACATATAGGGTTATGGTCAGACATGGCGCGGAGTAGGTGAATCCAAAATCCTCATTCATATCTTCCATGCTGACTCTCCTTTAGTTTCGTAAGATGATTCATAGTCTGCTCAATGTGACTACTTCCAAGAAGTATATACCGTACCAGATGTTGGAGAATCGACAACTGCTACATGATATCCTCACTCAACCGGAAGGATTTCTCAAGCATATTCGGCGATACTCAAATGCCCTGACAACAACCATGGTCTTCGGGTGGCGCACACCGACATATGAAGATGAAAAGATGATGCAACTGTTTGACGGCTTCTCTGAATTCGCCGATATCAATCAAACCGGAACAGCAGCTATCATCGACTTCTTCCCATGGCTGCGAAAATTGCCCGACTTTGTGCTGCCAGCACAGAAGAAAGCAAAAGAGCTCCACAAACACGAAAAAGCACTGTATCTGGACCACTGGCTTCGTGCCAAAGAAGAAACCCGCCAAGGCAGAATCAACCCATGCTTCTGCGCGGGAATGTACGAGGCGCAGAAAAAAGACGGGTTCAGCGACGACCAAGCCGCATATATCTCTGGAACCCTCCTGGAAGCCGGTTCCGATACTACCTCGAGTACCTTGTATGCTTTTGTACAAGCAATGCTCCTCTTCCCCGATGTTCAGCGCAAAGCTCAAGAGGAGATCGAGAAAGTCGTGGGACCGTCTCGACTGCCAGTCATGGACGATCTCGCCGAGCTGCAGTATATACGCGCATGCATGAAAGAGACTGTGCGATGGATGCCAACGACTATTCTGGGTGCTGTTCCGCACGCAGTCACGAGAGATGACGAGTATAAAGGGATGTTCATTCCGAAAAACGCGGGCGTCATGAACAACGTGTGGGGAATTCACATGGATCCCAAGCGTCACCCCAGTCCCCGCACTTTCAATCCGGATCGTTATATGGACGACTATCAGAGCTTTGGAGACGCGGCTGCGAATCCGGACCCGGCCAAGAGGGATGTCTTCACGTTTGGCGCGGGACGCCGTATCTGTCCTGGTATCCATGTCGCCGAGCGCAGTCTGTTCCTCGGAATGTCGCGTATTCTTTGGGCCTTCAATATCGAGCCTGAGATGGAGGGGGCAAGCCTGTACTGCCGGATCCGGATCGGTTGACCCAGGGCTTCGTCTGTATGCCTGAGGAGTTTCCGGCAAAGATCACGCCTAGATCGAAGGAGAGAGCGGACGTTGTCATCCAGGAATGGAGAGATGCGGAGAGAGATTGTTTGGAGCCGGAGACTAGGCAGTGGGTGCAGTCTCCTGTGGGATTATGAGTCTGTTTATTAGATTGAGGCCAAAGCAAGGATAGTCGTGTCCACGGATTTCGCGGTGCTGCTGGTATAGAAGGTCTACCACATTCGTGAGATTTGACACTTTGAGCTTTGTAGCTACCATTCACCTACCCTCAAGCAATCCAATCGCAGTAATCGGCTCTATACTGATTTTCATTCTCGGCGACCTTCTCTTTCTGCTATCTTTTTTTTCCCCTTTTCACTCTTATTTTCCCCCTCTTTTCCTACCCTTCTTCTGCCTCGTGCTTCTATCCTTTTCCTTATCATTCCAACTCTTCATCTTTAGCGATCATTACTCTACAGCTCTTCGTCTATCGAGGAGAGCCGTGCGATCTGATACTAAGGATTTCCGTGTAAATCATTCTTCCTGAAAATTCGTCTTTCTCATGTTATACCTGAGCTTTGCTGATTCTTATAAGCGCGTCAAACTGAGCCCATTAAGCTCATCTTCATTTTGATCTCGCTCTGTATCTCATCTCCGAGGTTCGACCCGTCTGATTTCTTTCACTTCCTGGTCTCTCTCGGTGCCTCATCTCTGGGGCTCGACTCGTCTTCTCTTACTTCCTGATACATTTTGGTTGGTCTCAGTGTGGAGAGAGCTTCAATCCATCTCCTGCCTCCTTCCTTTGCCTGGGCTTCTACGGTTAGTTTTGCTGTTTTCACTTCACTCTTCAAGCTATGCTGGCTTCTTCAAGTCTACCGAGGAGCTGAGTTCCAAGTATGGTTCAGCTACCGTGGTGGGTCTTGAGAGATTCACTTCGCCTTTTTCTCGCTCACTTCATGGGCTATGCTAACTCAGTCAGATAGAGACCAAAACTGCTCCTTTGCCTCCGTTTCTCCGCGGATTACTTCCATCCTTCCAGACATTATGGCCGAGATTACACAGAATAGTGATTTGGCTGGCTTGTGCCGTGAAGAGGATATGCACCATTTCATCTGGAACACACTCAGCTGGGGAGAGAAATCCCATGAGCAATTCTCTGTCAGCACAGATAGCGCTTCCTCCTATGAAGACCACACGGATGGTCAGACATATCAAAATGAAGATGAGGTGCCAATCTGCAGCGACTTGACCATTGCACCCGAGGATATCAAGTCCGGTGTCCGGCTGACGGATGCTAATGTGTTTCGGATTCGAACAACCTTACATGGTGACAAACAAAAGGAATGGCCCCAGAGGTGGCCATATGATTTCATGACGGATGGAGATATCGTTTCCACCAGACGACCTATTGGGAAGGGTGTTGTCATCAACGTGGGAGGCATGGGCTTTTACCCGATATTCCGTGGGTACATCGCGCTCTGCGGTGAACAGGCAGGTCGTTACACCTCGCGAGTCGGTCCGAAGAAGGCGACCCGTAATGCTCTCTACCGCGGATTTCGAGTTGGACAGTTGTTGGCTATGCCGGATGATTTCCATGAAAATCCTGCTATGTACGATCTGAGTGTTTTCGGCGACAGTACGAGCGGCAACGCTGTGAAATATGTCTACCACCCGACAGATCGTGTTGGTCTGTTCGAGAGCGGACAGCTCAAGCTAGCTCCTTTATCTGCTTTCACCGGATTTACACCTGTCATTCATGCAAAGAGCCAGTTCCGGTTTACAGGCGAAGAGACGACTGGACTGACAGGGGATGACTTTAATTGGCTTCTGGAACAGGAGTGCAAGGGAAAGTTGAAACCGTCGACCTTATGCTCAGAGCTGCAACACTTGTCATTGAGCTCCCCACTTTTTAAAGCATTCAAAGACCAACTCCCTCAGAATTGATTGAGCCATCAGATACTGGCGATTTGGAGGAAAAGCATGACCAGGAACTGATCGCACAGAAATCTTCAAACCCCGAGAACTCGGATGACGATTCTCAGTCCGTTGATGATAAATCTTTGCAGGTGAAAACATCGATTGGGGTCGTTGCCCCCAACGTCTTAGCAGCACAGACATCTTCGCCTGTTTGTTCGACTGCGTCCCAGTCGTTCCTTTCCAGCAAGTATGGACGAGCTCGAAAGGAGATAAAAAAGCTCTACCGCGGGTACAAGCGCCTCATGAGCAAGAGAAAACGCCAGAAAGCCCGAGAGATCATGAAGTTAGCCGACATAAGCGATAAAATTGCAGCAGCAAAGGAATTGCTGAGTATTGAAAACGCTGCTGAAATCATTGCTGCGCACAAAGCTCTGAAGGGCTTAGAAGTCGAGTACGGCAGGGTGTCCACGGGTATCCAGGGATGGCTAAAGCCAAAGAGAAACTCCATGGGACAACAATTGTACAACGAGATGTTCCAGACTGCGAAGGCACCTGATGATGACCATAACAGACTGGTGGAAAAGATAACTATCAAGGAGGAGCCCATTTGACTGGGATTTTGCCATGGTCTTTTGGTGGATCTCCATTCAATCCCAGCCGTTGAAGGATAGCAGATAGCAGTTCGAATTGAGAAGTTTTGAAGTCGTTATCATTCATCTAATAGGCCAGAATGGTCATATGACAAGGAATATCCAGAGTAATTCCCCAATCCCTAATTCTCGGTTCACGGCTTAGCCAAGACTTTCTTCCAAGGCCTGGTCGACCAAAACTGGTCATAACTACGTGACAATACCTTTCTCCTGTTGCCAATCGGCTTAAAGGTCTATAATACCCATGGAGTGGATAGTATATAGTTGGAGTGACATCTGAAAAGACAGCTGAAAAGACAGCTAAAAGGATAGTTCAAAAAAATACTTAAATTAGATCCATCCTAGCTATCCATGATTTATACAATAGTAAATTCAAAAAACGTAAGTTATGACATTTGGTAAACATTGATCAACTCTGTCTAGGTGGTATTAACAGAAGGAATGGCGATAGGAGCCTCTCAGATCAAGCCAATACATCACTACTCCTGTGTAGAACCAACTATAATTATCTTTGGGCCGCGCGTGAGCGCGGCACTGATACTTGTACCTATTAGCATCCATCTTGGAGCTATTTGTAGACTAGTGCCGTGGTTTCATCCGGCTGCCCGTGCATGGTCTTCGGAGCCTGCTGCAATCGACCATTTCGATCTTGGGGCAGCGATTGCTTGCTCAACGCCATCATTTGAAGACGTTATGGCTAAAAGTCCATCCTACTTCCGCGCCTCCCTTACTTCCACGGTTTTGGGCTGAATTGACTGAGGCTGACCATCTCCACCCTCACTCATTTCACTAACAGCGAGTGGAGTGGAATATGCCTGAGGTGGGTACGCTTGGGGTGGATATCCGTGCGGAGGATATCCTGCCATTGGTGCCCCGTCAGGGCCACGCATTTCTGGATACCATGGTCCACCCTGCGGAGGATATGGCTGCGGAGGATGCGGAGCATGCCCGGCCTGCGGGCGCCCAAGGACGACAGCGGCAGGATCCTTGCGACGCAAAAGATATTTCAGCCACCATCCAAGCTTAGAGCTGGCAGACATGTCGTTCCATCTTGCGACAAGGAAGGCCTGTTCCTCCGGCGACTTCGCAGGGTATTTTTTGACGGTGATGAGAAACAAACATGAAACAATTGGACACAAACAGGCAAATCCGTAAGGGAGGCCACGGCGGGCTTTTTGGCCAAGCATAGCCCGGCGGAACATGAACCAGCTTTCGATGAGACCAATGATCAAGAACAGCCCGAACCACCCAAAGAAGATTGCGAGGCCTAGAGCCAGAGGTGAAATGCCCCAGGTATAATGGCACCCGTCTGAACAGCAGTATCCACCTGAGAATTCAGAGCCGCCAATATACCAGACGAACTTGCTGCACCCGGAATATCGAGTTGAACCCCCACCACTAACATAAGTCGTCCGTCCTGTTCGGTAATCACTGTCGCAGGTTTTGTACATGGATGGTTTGTAATAAGAGCTGGCAGAGGAGAATACACTCGTGGGAATATCAGAGACATCAAGCATGGCTCTTGTTTGCGTATTGCTGTCCGTGATATACTTGTAAGTGATAGTTGTGGTGACAAGGCTGGGGTGGACAAGACCCTCTGCGGCTCTCGGGACATTGATTGGGATGATTGTCGTAAGCGATTGACTTGTTGTATAGGAGCACGACGCGGGCGCCGTATAAGTCACCGTCGCGTAGTGATTAAGGTAGTCATAACCCGTGTTGATGACTCCAGCTGTGGGCTCAACGACGAGTTGAATCGCTGTGACTCCGTTGTAATATTCCACATCGGTGATGGTGCTGGTAGCAGTGGGATTTGGCACAGTGGGAGTGATGAGTTTGGTGTAGGTCATTACTAGAGGGTCATTTGTGTAATACCGCCCCGTGTAGCCTGATCCGATAGTTGATTCCACGAGAGCAACGTACTCGGTGCCGATCCATGGCGAAGCTTGCGCAGCCGATATATAAAATTGCAGCAAGACGAAGAATGTGTGTAACTCCATATCGGGGTCAAAATGTTGAGATGATAAAACGGCACCGGGGGTCAGAAATTAGCTAAACTGTATATATTCTTGAAAAACATTGCTAAGGCCTCTTCAGAGGCTCGTCCACCTCGCTATTCCAGTTATGGCCAAATTTGACGAAGCAAAAGCCTCGCTTCACCAACAGAGTTGAGTCAAAAGTGCACAGCACCAAGAACAAGATTGCTAAGTGCGGCCCTCTAGAGTAATTAACAGTCCTGCGATTGGACTGAATCTCTCTTGGCAGACGGTGTATACTATGGTGGTTCGTATTTGATGGAGCCATTGCCCTGAACATGGGTGAATACGAAGAGCCAAGCATTTGGCCGATCTGCAGGCTCATTGGATATTGGCTCGAGGTCCCCTTCTGAAGGGTCCCGAGGTCCTGGTGGAGATCGTGTTTCATCACCATGCCCACGAGGTGTCGGTCGGAATAGATGGCAAAATGTGAACCAGATGTTCGTAGTCTGAGTCGAATTTACAAGGCGTACGGAGCGAGGAAAAGTGGTACATTTTCATGCAATTTGGCAATTGATATGCCGTCGGGTCGAAGCTAGAGGCGTTGGAATGGTCGGGGAGAGAATTGGGCTGCTGCTGCAGCAATGCGCAAATTGGTATCTAAATTTCTCTCGATCCTTCACCGACACGTAGAAAAAGAAGAGGTTTCGTCACTCTTGAGAACATGAAACATAAGGTTGTTCGGCGAATACCGATTGTTGTTGAAATTTTGACATAGAAAGGATCACATCATTATGGGCGCCTAAGCTCCCTGGTTGAATCCGGCCTGGGCGCGAGTGTTCTTGATCGTTTTCTTGATAATTTCCTCCACTTCATCCCAGTCGCTGGTGTCGATGCGATCAATGGTGCACTGGAAGTGCTCCTGAATCTTGCGCAGCATCTCCCATTCGTCACGGTTGGAAACGAACGAGATAGCAACTCCAATACGGCCGAAACGACCAGTACGACCAATACGGTGGAGATAAGTCTGGAAGTCGGGAGTGTGTGTGCGCTGGCCAGCGGTGTATTCCTCGGGGATATCCTGGAGTTGTTAGCTTGAATCTTTCAGGGAAGAGATGGGGACGAACATAGTTGACCACCAAGGACACGGTGGAGACATCGATTCCACGGGCAAGGACGTTGGTCGTGATGAGAACCTTGGCCTCACCGCTGCGGAAAGAATCAATGACTGCATCGCGATGGCTTCCTTCGACACCACCGGTCAACGAGGCAACCGTGTGGCCCTCGGCAACCATGCGACGCTCGATTTCAGCGGCGGAATGACGTGTCTACAATTCGTTAGCAAGTTCCAAGGATCCAATGAAGCTTGACATACCCGGACAAAGATAATAGAAGATCCGACAGTGAGCAATCCGTAGAGCTGAACGAGGTTCTGGTACTTCTCCTCGTCACTGCCACAGTCCATGTAGAGCTGTTTGATACCCTCAACGGTCAACTCCTCATGTTGCAGAGTAATTTCGTTGGCATTGGGGGCGAATTTGCCGGCGTAGCGGTAGACATGGGCAGGGAAAGTGGCAGAGAAGAGGACAATTTGAACGGTGCGGGGGATAATGCTGTTGTGGAATGGTGTGAGTACAGGCGAAGCTGTATGGAGCTGGGGACTTACGCCTTGGCGCGGATGCACTGGTCTCCAAGACCCTGCTGGTCGAGCATGTTGTCGGCCTCATCCAACACAAGGACCTTCAATGCGCTAGGGTTCATCACGCGCTTCTTGATCATATCCTGAACAGTACCGGGGGTGCCCACCACAACCGCGGCTTCCATCTTCGAAGGGCGAGCGCTCGCATCAGCAGGAACAGCTGTTCCAATGGTAAGACCGTCAAGGAACTGTCCCATAATCTGAATGACTCCGACAATCTGGCGGGCCAGTTCACGGGTGGGGGCAAGGATCAGAGCTTGCGGCTGGGTGCGCATTTCATCTGATAGATCGAGACGACTGAGGACGTTCAGGACGAAGGCAGCTGTCTTTCCAGTTCCGGACTGCGACTGGCCAACCAGGTTCTTTGGCGGGTTGCTCATTAAGAGGGGAAGGGCGCGCTCCTGGACCTTGGAGGGCTTTCGGAAGTTCATGGTGGAGAGGCCCTTGAGAATGCGCTCGTCCCTAGATTAGGTCAGGTGTTTGTTCCGCATCATAGAGCTTGCGTCACTTACAGGCCGAGGTCTTCGAAGGTCTTAATTGAGAACAGAGGGTTGTTGGGATCCGCCTGCAAATCGCTCAGCTTCACCTCAACATTGTAATCAGGCTCCTCCAGTTCCGCAGAGCCTTGCGCCAGACCGGAGGCACCATCTTCCTTGCCAGTGAGAGAGGTATCTGCAGAAGAAAGATATATCGATTAGCTATCAACCGAGGTATCGCGGGGTTTTTCGGTCGTGGGCTAGAATCAGCGAGGGCGAGGGCGTGGATTCGTTCGTACCGGCGGGCTTCGCATCGTCAGGCTTGCTAATACGGTCGGCCAAGGAGCCGCCGCCAGCAGGGATCTCGGTGTTCTCGGCGGACATGGCTAAATTTCCGACCGATGACGCGAAAGGAGTTGATGAAGAAAGTGAGGGCGGGGTCGTGGGGTAAGGACAATTCGACGGAGTTCTGCCCACAAAGCAATACGAGCTTTGCACAGCTTCAGTGAAGGGAGGAGAAGGTCGAATGTCGAAGCTCTGGAGATGGGAGGGTAGGGTCAATAGAAAACAATGAACTGATCAAGTTCGCAGGACGCTAATCGTTATCTTTGCCTCAGGCCATGACGCTAGTCTTCATTGGGCCAACAGGCATCGGTGGTCTCCCCGCCTACGCAGTAGGACCATGCATGAATGCTGCCAATGCCCCCATTGAGTATTGAGTGCTACTGAGTTGATTTCCCCATTGACGCCTTCTGAAACAACTACCCCGGGGTATTCATACCAACCCGTTCCATTGTTTGGTCTCTTCACTCCCCGCGTTCCATGCGCGTCTGCCTTGCCTCAATCAAGCCATGGCTGACGTCGCTCCGCAGTTCGGAGCAGAACTAAAGGTAACAACCCCATTTCCTGCTGTCGCAAACATGTCGCTGACCATTTTACTCGCATAGGACTCTTTCAAGCCAGTCAACAATTGGGTATGCCCCGACATCGCTTCCCCGCAACCGATCCGTCAGGTCCCCTCGTGCTGAAGCGGAGCTAATGCAAATATGTCGCACAGGTCTCGAACGGTATATCATGGGTCGACGAAGTACATCAATTCTATCGCGAGCGCAGTGTTATCGAAAAGGAGTACGCTGCCAAGTTGACCGCCCTGTGCAAGAAGTACTATGATCGCAAGGCGAAGAAGATCAGCCCCTTGAGTGTGGGAGATACGCCTACTCTGACACCGGGATCCCTCGAGAGTGCGTCGCTGACGACGTGGACAACACAACTGAACGCCGTGGAATCCCACGCTGCGGAGCGGGACAAGTTCGGATCCGAGTTGATTACCCAAGTAGCGGATCCTCTCAAACAAGCTGCTGCCCAATATGAAGAGATTCGCAAATCTCATTTTGATTACCATGGCAAACTGGAGAAAGAGCGCGAGGCTGCCTACGGTGACTTGAAAAAAGCAAAGGGCAAGTACGACGGTGCGTGCCAGGAAGTGGAATCACGCAGAAAGAAGATGGAGTCGTCCTTCGATCATGGCAAGAGCAAGGCAACGGCGGCATATCAGCAGCAAATCCTGGAGATGAATAACTACAAGGTGTGTCTTGCTGATGCGTTTTTGAGCGATGCTAACAGGACAGAACCTCTATCTTATCAGCATTAATGTGACAAACAAGCTCAAGGAGAAGTTCTATCATGAATATGTCCCTGAAGTGATCGACGTAGGTTTTTCTATCTCCTCTCCTGGTTTATGCTCACACCTTGCAGGGCCTTCAAACTCTCAATGAAACTCGAGTCGCAAGGATGAACATCATGTGGACTCTCGCCGCTCAATTGGAAAAGTCTTCCCTTCAAAGCAGCACAGATCATATCTCGAACCTGCTGGTCGAAATTCCCCGCAACAACCCACGGCTGGATTCACTGATGTTCCTCCAACACAATGTCACCCAGTCACAAGAGCCTCCCAACCTTGGCTTTGAGCCCAGTCCAGTATGGCACGACGATGCTTCAATCATCACCGATGAGGCTGCTAAGGTGTTCCTTCGAAATGTATTGGGCAAGAGCAAATTACAAGTCCGTGAACTACGCGTCGAAGCAGACCGGAAGAAGCGCGAGGTCGAAAGTGGCAAAAAGGTTCGGGAGAGCATTCTCAGTGGAAAAGACAACCGGAATGAGGTGGACGTCGTGCGATCTATATTCTACATGACAGAATCCTTACACGAGGTGGATCGCAAATGGGTTACCGCTGAGGTTGAGACGGCAACTATCATGGCCGTGGCCGGTGACCTGTCGTTCGGTGCCCAGAACCACAACTTCCGTTCCCAGACATTCAAAATTCCCACCAATTGCGACCTTTGCGGAGAGCGGATCTGGGGACTGTCCGCCAAGGGCTTCGACTGCCGGGACTGTGGATACACCTGTCACAGCAAGTGCCAAATGAAGGTCCCCGCAGAGTGTCCAGGCGAACAGACCAAGGAAGACAAGAAGAAACTGAAGGCCTCGCGGCAAGAACAAGCTGGCGCCATGCCCGCTGTTGATCTTGACTCCCCCGTAACCTCCACCGCTGCACCTTCGCTCACCCGCCAAAACACAATGAACTCACTTAGTTCCGGATACGCAGCGAGCACAGCCCGGTCCGTATCTAACATTGCTACCCAACCCACACCAGAGTTAACAGGGGATGAGCCTCCGACCCCGGTGGCGGAGACCAAACCGGCAGCAGCGAAGAGAGCGCACAGGGTGCTAGCTCCCCCTCCGTCAGCCTATGTGGCTGCGCCTCCGCCAAGCGAATCGAGGCCTAAAGAGCCCCGAGGCAAGATGCTCTACGCATACCAAGCCACCAGCTCAGATGAGGTCACCGTGGAAGATGGGGATGACGTGACGATCTTGGAACCAGATGGTATGTCGCCACTCAGCATCGTTCGATGAACTCGCTAACAACCTTGCAGATGGTGGATGGATGCGTATCCGCGCAGGAGGCAGCGAAGGCCTCGTCCCGACCGCGTACGTCGAGGCTATCGCAACACCATCACCCGCGCCCTCTGCTAGTCCCGCCATGCCCGAGCGGCCCGGTTCAACATACTCCAACTCCTCTGCCTCTCTTGCTGGCAGTGCTGCAACGAAGCGTGTAGGACCAGCGGTTGCACCCAGGAGGGGAGCGAAGAAGGTGCAGTATGTGGAGGCCCTGTACGATTATGAGGCTCGCAGTGACGTGGAATGGAACATGGCGGAGGGTGATCGGTTTGTCCTGATCACACGGGATGGTGGTGATGGCTGGGCCGATGTCGAACGCGGAGGCGTGACCAAGAGCGTCCCGGCAAACTACATCCAGGAGGTGTAGATGGAGCTCATCCCGAGGTAAATCCGGTCATTGTACAGTTTATAAGACCGAGATGCCCTTGCGGTGGTATTCCCTTTTTCTCTTGTGTACAGCGTTTCATTGCCATTTTGCATCAATTAGGAGCATCGGGGATGCCATCTATTCGTGAGTCTCGGATATTATAGCATGCGTTGAGATGTTCGCCTGAACTTCAATCTTAGATGTTTCTCTCATATTCCCTCCAAAAACTGCTTTAAGCAAAAGGATCGTAATCATCAATCATGTGGATCGTGTGCCGGGCCTGTGAGCCCGCGCCCCTGCTGTTATTGAGCCAGGGGAAACCCTGTATCCAAATGCTCAAATCCAGTCTCGGCTGACCACATGTACCTCGACCAATCCTCCACATGAAACGCTCCCTCCACGGCCGGCAACCCCAAGTCCATATTCATATCCTCCAAATCACTATATCCCAACGCCAGCGTCGGGTCGAGTGGAAATTCAAGGGGATTTACCTCCTCCAAAGGACTAACCATTGGCATTGTCTGAGCGGACTGAGACTCCAAAACAGCAGAGGTCGAAGGCAAAAGCGAGTATGCCGAGTCGAACAAACCATTTACAGCAGTGCTCTCGGCGCCGGTGAATATGGGGTAGTCGCACAAAGACCCAGGCGCAGAGTGCGGCAGCGCACTACTCTGCGCGACCTGCAAGGTCTGTGTCGAATCGCTCTGTCCTCTCGGCGCAGAGAACGAGACAGTCCGACCCGAGGACTCATACCCAGAAAACGACCCTTCCGAGCCAGACCAATCTCCTGCTCCAACGGCATCATGGTACACGGGTGTCTTCCCAACAGACGAAGCAGACGAAGCCGAGCGCGAAGGCACCACGTCCACAGCATCCTGTTTAGATCCCGACCTAGACTTCACCTTATTTGAAGCCTTCTCCTTCTCGTTGACAGAATTGGACCTCGACACCGAAGCGGAGGCCGAAGCCGAGGCAGAGCCAGGACCGGGTCGAGGCGCAATAGGAAGGAAACCGTTCGTGCTATGATGCCGCGGATAGAGTCTTGCGTTTGAGGCTTTCTAGAAACAAGAGGAAAAAGCAATCAGCACCAAGGCATTTGCAATTTTTCTCTTCTTCTGCCGAAGATAAAAATGGGCGGCTGGCTGGCTGTGTTGTGTTTGCGTTACTTTTGGACATTTGAGCTCTGCGTCGCGTTTTGCGCGCGCGTGCTCGATTGGAGCTGTGCAGGGTGTTGCATTGCACACTGTGCATGTTGCGAAAGGGCGACCTTTGCGCTTGATGCGAATCAACGGTCGATCTAGTTATATGGTGTCAGTGAGGACTCGCGGGGGGTTACACCGGTGACGGTGACTTGAGGGCACACGCAGGGAATTGATCTTACCATGGTGTTTGCAGCTGGTCACACGATGGCCTCGTATGCAAGCTTCGCACGCCCACTTTTTGCCGTCGATCAGCATCCCTTAAGATGAGAGGGAAAGCTGTGGGAGGGAGCAGCTTTTATACCCTCGACCCACTTGAGGAGGGCATGGGAGCCATGACATAGAATGACACAGGGACAATAATTCTAGCTTTTCATTTTTCCTGGTTCTGTTTGATCATGTCGCGAACCAAGCCGCAAGGTATGATTTGATCCCAGCCACAGGATCTACGGCTCGTGCATTGTGGTGCCGTACTTTGGCGCGATGGGGGTCTCACCGGAAATTCACGCCAGTTGATTGGCAGTGTCAATGGCTAGGGGTTTAATTTCAGTAGTATGAGGTACTTTTGGCGTGGGTCTCGAGGGCCACATGGTCATAGCGAGGACTCGATGAACTATACTCCGTACAATGCTACAATATTCGAGGCTACCTGAAAAGGTACTGAATGTAGAAGCTAGGGCGATGTAGCAATGCAGTCTATGAGGGATTTACGCACCGAGAATATTAAAAAAATAAATCCCTGGGTGAATGAGACGGAAATTCAGGAAATCAGCCAAAATTCACAGGTCAGAAAGACGTTACTCCCGGACTGCCAGATCGGTGCTAGATCTTGGCGACAAATCCCTCATACATTCCGACTTTTCAGGCTCCTCTTTTTTCGGGAATGCTATGTTCCAGCTTTGTGGACAGCTCTCGGCAGTGAGAAAGCCCGTTCCACCATGGGGCTGGTGAGATCAAAAAAGAAATGCAGGTCTGCCGACCAATTGTAGAATGCAGATATCCATGGATGTCTTGAAGTTGTAGACATGTTAGTGATTTTTACTAATTGTGCTCTTGATTGTGCTCTAATTCAATAATACTCTGAACGGATAATTGATATATTTCCCAATATATTCAAGCATTTCACCTTAAACTCACCATTCCTACATTCTACGGGAGTCTACATTGAAACCTCGGGAATCAGTGCGAGGATATTATCAGCAGACAATATACGGAGTAGCGCTGCAGTGCCAAGCCCGGAGCACTAAGCTGCAGGGTGGCTGTGCTGGCCCTCGCTTACGGACTTTCTCACCTCAAGCAGCCATTTCCAAGGTTTGCCAGGTTCTGTAGGCAGCAGCAAATCGAAGTATACCACCTTAAATTATATTCCGTAATTTGTACTCAAATGTGTGTGTGTCGAGACTGAAAAAAGAAAAAGAAAAAAGCACAGGCCAAATTAAGGAAAATTAAGCTCCGAAACAAGCCAATCATAATTGCTTAACACCACGACCCGATCGAATCCCCGACGCCGTAGCTCCTTCACGGTCTTTCCCCACTTCTGCGCCATTTTTATATCGAGCGATTTTCCTGTCCCAATGGTTTCTCAAAAACGGGATCTTTCCCGCTTCTCTCGTGAAAAAATCTTCTCGCTGGTCACATGGAGATGAGACACTTCCTGTGCTGACTACTCACCGTCAATTTCCAAGTTTCGGCTGTGGTGTGCTGGCAAAGTTCTGCGCCATCTTTCAAAATTTCACATAGTCGACAACGACCGGAAGTTGGATATTCCGATTTCAACACTACCGAGGTCCGTCTTCATCTGAGGGCTTGGGCCATGAAATGAGAGACCCTGGGAGTCGTTGCTCCCCGCGATAAAGGCCAAATCAAAGCCAGGAAGCTTCGAGGGTTATGGCTGCAGAATATGAGCCTGGATTGATTTTGTCCGAGTGTTGGAGAAAAATCGAGCAACTGAGGTGGAGGCAGGCCTATTTATACACTCGAAGGTGTCCTCGAGAAACGAAATTCCTGCTTTGATATATACAACATTTTGGAAGGATCGCATCTGATAAGCCTGGCGGACAGGGCACCCCGTTCGCTGGTTTATATGGCTCATATCATACTAACAAGCATTCTCTGATCTCGAATTCAGGCCGGGAGATGATGTGGTGACTTTAATTCCCTCTTCATGGATTACCTCGCCCGTGATTCGGCAGTGTAAGTCTGTGCAGGTTACGCGGCAGTATCCTGGTAGTCGACGGCCCGTGATTTCCGGGATGTGGCCACGGCTGGATTTGATATGGGCGGTCTCTGCTCTATCGGGGGTAGCGTGCCGCACCTGCTCTCGACTCAGTTCGGTCAACCCACTGATACATCGACCCGTTAAGCTTCTACCGATCAAGCTTCGGTGGATAGCTCAAGTCCACGGGTGGCGAGGAGCTTGGCAGTGTTCAAATGCGGGTAGCTGTCACTGGACACACCTGCCCAGGTGGGTATAGGAATACAGAAAAATACAGAAAGGAAGCTTGGAAGTGCGTCGAGGAGTGATTAGAGAAGATGTAATATCCAATTGCTATCTCCCAAACGATAATCTATTCAATGGATAAATCCATACAAATGCGCCAGTCATATCAACACCTTTTCCCCCTCTTCCAGCAGGATTACCTGTGAGTCCCGACCATAATCAAGTAGAAATACAAAATCCGGAAACGCCGATGTCATTAATAGGTTGCATAAGTGTGATCAGTGTTCATAACAATGCGCGAATCTCAAAGAGCAATCTCAGGCACATTGGTAGAGATACGAGGGAAAGAGGTGCCATCATCTTCCAACGAGAGGCTGCCATAGCCTGTGTCATTGCTGGCAGATCGCTCCCGGCGAAGCTGTAGTCGGTCGACGGGCGACTCGACCAGATCTTGGTCCGCGTCACTCTGGGAGGATTGAGACTCTCCTCTGCGCCGGCGGGATCGGCGCTTCTTTAAGGCCTTGTCGGTCGGAGTGGGCTTGAAATCGTCAATGTTAAGACCGGCGTTTTGGCAGATCGTTGTGCAGGAATTCACGATGGTTTCCACGAGAGTGGATGAGAACCCGTAAAACGCAGGGTTATAAGCATGGCGGGCCCAGTAGACCAACTCGGCAGAGACGCGGCCGATGTTTGGAATGTCGCGGGGACAGATGGACAGTTTGCGGGCCTGTCGGGGCTTTTCTTCAGCTTCATCGTCCGCGGAAGAGGTTGCCTCGGAGGCAGCGGCGGATGGGCCAGAAGAATCGGATGACGCGATGTAGTCGACATCCGAGGCAAGGAGGTGGAGGAGATGGTACACCGACGAGAACCCCAGAAGGGACAGCTCGACTGGGTCGATGGGAAGTTGATTGAACCAAGTGATGGCTTTTTGGAGGGTGAAGGATTCAGGCAGCGAAGTTGCGTCACCGCCGGCGGATCGCGCTGTGACAATTGCGGCAATCATGGCACAACGCACTGCGATAGAAATCTCATCGCGCACGGAGACGGGTAGGGAGGAGTCAAGGAAGTTAGAAGCGTGGCTTTGGCTTCCCTTTCTCTTTTCCTTCGGAAGGGTAGCAAGGACTGCGTTCACATTCTGGATGCGGTCGGTTTCGAAGAACACGGCTTTCATTACGAGAGCGCGGGTGTATGCGGCGGACAAGCGGGGAGCAACATCAAGAGAGATACGAATCTTCTCTTTGAAAGCATCGCGGCAAGTCTTGGACACCGGTCCCTTTTCACTGGCCTCGAAGTAGTTGAGCAAAGCGATTTGCAGCAGGTGACTCGACCACCAGGCGGCAAGTGCATCCTGGGAGCATTGAATCGCCGAGTCCTCGTCTACGACATCAAGAAGTACCTCATCATTGCCGGTGCCTTCTTGGGTGGGTCGGTTCCACGTGAGGTTAACAGCGCGCTGAATGATATCATCGATCATGACATCATCACAGTCTAGCTGAACAAGGGCGGCCAGATGAGGTGGTAGTTGATCAGGGTGGCCTTCAGGGAGCGAGTCATTGATCTCACGAGCCACGCTCCATTGGAACCTAGCAAGGGCCCTGGCGATGTCATTAGAAACGTGGAAAGACCAGGAGCCCGCCTCTCCAACATTCCACAAAAGAATTCGGACGTGGAGGGCCTTGATGATCATTCGCGTGGGAGTGGAGGGAAGGGTTCCCGCGGCGAAGATAGTGAGCACGAGTCGGCTCTTGCTGATCTCGGCATCTCCGCCCGTGAGCTGAGCGTCGATGGCGATATCCCAAGTCTTGACACGTCCTCTCTCATCCTCCTCCGTAATACCAGTGGCCCATGAGTAGATCTTCCAACCCATCAAGCATCGCAGGACGTATTCGAAGCATCTAGAAGTGACCACATACCACTCTCGGAAGAATCGGTGGCGTGGAACGCCCGCCCGTTGCATGCTAGTCAACCAGGCCTGTCGGCGGAAATCGCTCGAGGTAAGGGGTGCAGCCGGGCCTTCAGAGACTGACTTTGATGGTCCGCGGCGCGTGATGGGCTGAGCATTGAAGAGATAGAGGAAAACGACGAAGGCACAGCCAACAACCAGCATTGACAGACCGAGGAAATGAGAGAAGGCGCGTGCCTGCCACGAGTACCAGAAATGCTTCAAGTAGAATTCCCAGTGCGCCGTCGTGGGTGTCCGGAAGCGACTGAGAAGACGGAAAGGAAGTGCGAACAAGCCCTTCGACTCAGTCTCGGAGTCGTCCGAGCCCATGCCTTCGAGAACCATCAGACCAGCCAGCGCGCCTAGCATGTACTTGTTTGGCATCTTTGATCGTCGAGTCGATTTCTCTGCGTACGGCTGAGGGGCTTGCATGTATGATTCCCCGTATATTCCCTGGGTAGTCTGGGCCCGCATACGCTTCCAGGCGTCCGGCACTGGAAGCATTCCTTCGGGGGGATTTGAGCTCGACTCTGTGTTTTCGTCGGCCTGCGAGAATACACTAGGCGATGTGCCCGAGTCTGGGTCAGTTGAAGCATAATTGCTGGGCGATGAGACCGAGGCCGAGGATGTGACGGCTTGATCTGCTGCCTTGTCGGCCTGTCGAAGACGATTCTTCAAAGCGGTGTTTTCATCCTCCAGACGCTTGTTGCGGGTTTCCAAATGCTTGATGTACTCGGTAGCCTTGGATAGAATCGACGCCTTGTTCAGCTTGCTCGCATTGGTCGCGCCCTCCTCGTCTTCGTCGGGTGAGCCTCCGTCCGAATTCTTCGACCGAAGGCTGGGAACACTGTCACGCAGTTCGGCGATCTTGTCATTCAAATTGGCCCGGTACCGCTTTTCAATGACATTGTGAGCACGCTTCTTGGCGGGCATTTTCTTGCCGGGCTGTACTGAAACAGTGGTTGCATCGTCGTCACTCCCTGTCTTGCGCTTTCGGTTTGTTCCGACACTTGAGATAGGAGAGACAAGCCCATTTTGGGGTTGGTTAGGGTGCCAGTTCTGATCAGGGTAGCTCTGTTGATATATGCTGCTTCGCTCCGAACCAGGAATCTCCATTAAGCCGAGAGGGAGGTTGGGCGAGAAGTCTTTGTGGTTCAGGTGAGTCGGAGAGCTCATGTCAGTATGCGGAGAGATGGATGGTAAATCCACAGACGACCCCGTTGGCTTTTGGTCTGCCTCGGAGAACATGGGCTCATCCCATCGCATCCACTGAGTCCAGTCTTGGTTTCCGCCCTCTCCGTTGGGGTGCGTGAACATTTGGCTGTTGGCTCGAGGTTCATCTCCATTGGTGTTTCGTGGAGAGAACAGCTGGAAATCATTGTCCATGCAAGACATTTTGATTGGTATCCTGCGGTTGGATCCTACCCGCGACGATCAAACTCCGGTTGTTGCAACGGGGGCTCCGGATTGTTCTCACTATGTTTGGCGTTAGTTCTCATTGCATAGATGTTATAGTAATGACAATTGAGTTGCCTATAGCATAGCCTTGCCTTATTCCGGCGATAGCCAAACCACAACAGGCTAGCGCGGAAGCAAGATTGATAACATAGATAACACTCACTGGGTTCAGCGTCGAGTAGGGCTCTCAAATCTATTCGAAGTTTGACAGGCTTGGAGGTCGATGCGCGGAGAGATGTAAAGTCTGAGATGTGAGGAGGGGAAAGAGGTAGAGTCACAGTCACGGGTGGTGGTAGGCGATTGGAGGAGAGCAAAAAGCAGGGGTGTGGAAGATACCCACACCTCAGAGACGTAGCGCAGGCAGTTCTGCCCAAGGAACCAGGTGGGCTCTAGTACTTCGTAGTGTGAAACTCCTCTGCGCAATGGAGATCGTCTCGGAGCGTTATAGGGTGGATCAAATGAGGTTATGCACCAGGCCGATGGGTACGAGTGTACTCCGTACAAACAAAGCTATCCGTTTAAGCTGTGATCGAGCATCCAGTCTCCATGCATGAAGATCAGGGGAGGTTCTATGGACTGCTAGGCAGTCGAATGGCAGCTTTGGTCGTATGATCGCGGCTGGCCGCACTTCCGGCTCGCCGGCTGTCACCCCTGACTGAAATCCCGAGGTTAATTACAGTGACTCAGCATATTATGGCGGTGTAATGATGTATTAGCTATTTCGAAACAGTATTTAATAAAGAGTTTTCATTGGTTCCTTTCCACCCCACTGAACCTTGATGATTCAGCTTTCTTCTGGGCATGTGATCGCATCCTTTCCACCGCCCTACAACCTCTTTTCTTCAAGCTCTGCCCTCTTTAGAACTGAAATTTATTGTTCTCACGTCCATCTCTGTCAGTATGAATTCAACTTCTCCTTTTTGATCGTCTGGACACGTCAGCGCGTGGGTTCTTGGCGCCCCGCAGGGAGGCGACACGGGAAGAAAATTTGGGCGCGTTATGATCTTATCTGATCGTGCCAGTCTCCACTCTTCCCTCTGTGCCGGCAGCACCGGAATCCATCACGGCGCAGGAGACAAATCATATTGGATAGGGCGAACCCAAATGAGCGGTGGATCTCCAATCCGGTGTCGGCCAGCACAGGACTTCGGCCCTTGCAACCCTTTTCTTAGACTCAGAGCGTATTCCCTCTCTCTGCTGGGGATCATGCGTCATAAGTGGCCCCTCACCTTCGACTTAGCTCACAGTCTCGGCGGATACTCGGCTTCGCAATTTCAATTTTCATGGAATGGTCGACCCCTCCATGATTGATTTCGTTGAGCTGAACCTCTGTTCGTGAGATACACAATGAAATACCATGGTGAATGCAAGGTACGACGTTCAAAAGAGTGCCTGACCGACTTCTTTGCTGCATCATTTCCCTGTGGAGTATGAGGCTTGTGCCCCTCCAGCGTATATCCACAATGGATCAAAACAGCGCTACCGCTAGTTAGGCCGTCGCAATTCTTCTCCGACGAATTTCCAGCGATGGCCGTTACACTTTCGTCGTCATTTCTAGCCCCCATCTAGAGTCACTCATTCGCCAGGAACTGTCTGTAAAAAGGCCCCAAAGAGCGCAAGACTCCACCTGCTGAGCCTACCGTCTTCTCATGGCCCAGCAATCCGAGTTACAACTAGTCCCGAAAAGAGCAATTTCGCCCGTGCCCAAGGCCACTGACTACTATTAGCCGCCTACTCCACTGACCCTCATGCTAATTTAACTCATCAGGATGCTCTTTAAATCTTTGATGTCTTCGGTGCTAATTTCCCTGACAATTCTCTGCCTATATTCGGGCTCGTGGATGACTCATGGCGGACTTATTCCTTCGCTTTACCGGTGATGCTCTTAAAGTCCAATTCAGTTCTCGATCTCACAATCCATGATCACCCGGCAATATGCTCCGTGCCTTGTAGAACGTAGAAATCAGCAGTATATCCACGGGTGGAGCACCATTTCAGCCTAGAGAGTTGCAAATCTTCCAAACAAAAACATCTCCTGGGTGCAATCCCTCCGCCCTACGGAGGACACATGGATGTGGGGAAGCTAGTATCGGTACAGCTTGCCGATGGGGAGTTTATCAAAGTCGTGTCCCTTGCTCCTCAGCTCGGAGGTGCTCCGAGTCCTCGGTGGGGACCTTGAGGCTTCTCTCCCATCCAGCATCTACAATCTTGGAAGCTTCATACAACTTAGAAGAATTGACGGGGTTCCCAGACCAATTTGTCTTGTTGTTTTGGTACGTCAAGTGTAAGTCAAAAGGCCAAATAAGGGATACCTGGCATAATAAATACCAGCTGGGTGAGGTGTCGCATGTCCTGATTTCGCACCAGCTAATCTCCAAAGGGCCCAATCCTCTCCATCTGTTGGGTCAGTTTCCTTCCCGAAGTACTGGGTTCGAATCCTAGTCCCGATGTCCAGCTGAGTTTATTATGTCTTTTTTTGCTCTCTTGATTGACTGAAGAAAACTTCGGTTATGCAATTTGTTTGTTTACTATGCCATGGCCTACAACGGTAATGATAACAACAAGACAATATCAAACTCCACTCAGTGCTGGGATGGGTCAGTATCAACCTAACTTCACGACGGGCCACACTCACAGCAATGTCCTCCCACTTCTCCCAGCCACGTCCCTTGACTTGAGCCAGCTCCTGATCGGTAAGTGTCTTTCCGGTGGTGAAGTATCCCGACTGGATCTTGGCATCGATCTCCACTCGGGAATCGCTCGGGATCATCTCGTCGGGGATGGGGATGCGCTCAAGGATCTTGATTCCAGTATCGACGATCGCATCGTGCTTCATGTTCGACATCGACAGCATACGGTCAATCTTCTTTATGCCGAGCCAGTGCAGGATGTCGGGCATGAGGGCTTGGAAACGCATCTGGAAAGGTTAGCACATTCGACATGCGAAGGGGCAGGCAGGTTCTGTACATCTCGAACTCCGGCGATGTTCTCTGTCCGGGTGAAGTATTTATCGGCAGTGTCGCCGCCGCGCTTGCGCGCATTATATACCAGGTACTTGATCACCTCTCCGAGAGCGCGACCTTCCTTGCGGAAGTATATCACAACGCCGCTACCCCCATTCTGAGCCTCCCGCACCGCTTCGCGAATTCCAAACGCCAAATAGGGTCGGCAGGTGCAGATATCTGACTGGAAGACATCACTGCCGTTACACTCGTCGTGGACTCGCAAGGCCAACTTTACATTCTCATCCGAGATTCGCTCCGGGGGACCGAAGATGTACACAGTCAGACCACCGATTGGCGGCAAGAAGGTCTTCAGGTCCGGGCGGGTGATGAGCTCCGGGTAGCTGCCGCCAGTATGCTCAAACAAAGTCCGGCGCAGAGTACCCTCGTCAACACCAAATCGCTCCGCAACCCCAGGAAGATACCAGACCGGCTCGGCAGCCACCTTGGTCACACGCACTTCACCAGAAGAGTCAACCAGGATCGACCCATCAACCTCGAGCAGGCCGTTCTTCACATCGTCTGCAATCTCCGCCAGCTTCATGTTAGCGCGAGTCACCGCCATGGTGGGGCGGATGTCCCAGCCCGCCTCCAGTTCTTCCTTGAACTGATTGACAATGTCATGGCCATAGGGATCCAAGGAGACAATCTTTGTCTTATCCGCCCAAGCCGGTTGCCAAGGGAAGTTAAAAGTTGGCTCGGAGTTCCGGAAGTCCGGTCGGAAATCAGCATCCAAGTCGCCTGCGGCAATCGCGAGCGCATTATAGATGCTGTAGCTACCACCGTGGGCGCCGATGGCATTGCGGCGCTTGAGGAGGTTTCCGCTTCGTGATACAACGATTGGACCACGAGATTTGGCATCCGGGGCACCCCATTCGAGAGGAACAGGCTCAATGCCGCTCTGGCCAGGGTATGTGGTCAACTGCATCTGTTAGTGTTGCCCTCATCCTTACACTCGGAGTTCATACGATGATGTGGTTGCTGAAACGCGTGTTGGTGGTTGGGGTGTCTGAGGGCTTCTCAGCGGGCACTGCCCCATCAAGAGGTTCTGTTGTCAACATTGTGAGAATGAATAGGGATATTCAGAAGAACAGAGTGAAAGAGAAGGGGAAGAAGAGGGGGGTAGCAGTCCATGTGACTTATCTCTCCGCACGTTATCGGAGGGGCTTATCTCATGCAGCAGGGGCAAACGTACAGATTGGTCGAGCTCTTGTTGGTTGATTCCAACGTTGTATTAGGCATAAATGAAGTAGCGGTCACTCTGCCAACAATCTATATACACTTGCTGTATACAGTTGAGGTCATGTCCTAGCCCCATTGTTTATGGGGCGTCTCCACTTTCCCGGAGTTCTTCGGCATTCACTTCTCACTGGCCGGAGTTGCGAACGCCGAACCTCCTACCTCGTTACACAGCACTGTCTGTTTGGGATTCTCATGAGGTAAAATATTCCCATCAATATAGACCTACTTGCTCACCGCTTGCAGTACCTCGCGTCGTCGCAACGGTAAGCCAGCTTCCTGCGAGCCGTGCCGCCGAGACAAAGTCCGCTGCGACCACGCGCTACCAGTATGCACCCGTTGTCGGGATCGTGGAGTCTCTCAGCGATGCTTCTACCATCCGGCGCCCCTGACACGGCCAAAAGATCGTCGTATATTTCCATTGGCGGAGGGTGTGCCATTTGATCGAGCCCCTTCAGCACGGTAAATATGGCCAGAATGCTTATACCCAATGGTCGCATTGCCATCCCACATGAATACGGGCTTATATTCTCTAGAAACCCTCACTCAAATGAGGTATCTTTCAACTCATACGTGGCGAACGGCGCACAGGAAGGCTCGTCCAGACCGGCCGCCCGCACCCAGCCACTTCTCCCGGGCTATTTCGGCCCAACAAGTTTCGTATCTCCATTGACTGAAGATGTCGATCTATCCGATCGGCACACCCTCAGTTTGAATGTGGAGTCTCCCCAGAGAGTACTTCCGCCGTACTGGGTCCACAAAATCTCTGAAGTATTGTTGACCTTGGGTGATTTTACCGCCGTTGAGGCTTTGCTGCGCGAATATTATGCGCTCAGCCAGAGCGCGGTAATTGCGGCACCTTTTATCCTAAACAGTCTTGGTCCTATGAAAGCAATGTGCGAAGAAAGCATATCGAACCAGAAGATGGATGATTTGGCCTCCTCGCTGACCGTGCGCATTATACACAATACGTCTGAGACTTTTGAGATTCCGCCGTCAACCAAGGGCAGAGACTTCCATACTCTCTTCACTGGTCAATCCGTTCGCCTCGAGATTGTAGGAATATTGTGCGGCCTTGCAGGTCGAGCAAGGTATCTGGGCCTTGCACGCGACAAATTCACCGACTGTCGGAACTCACGAACTCAATATGCACGGAAGATGCTTGCAGCATGTGATGCTGCATTGTATATCTGCAAGATCCTGACCCCTCTGAATGATTTGACAATCTGGCTGGTACATGAAAATCTTTTACTGTCGGATCTCGTCAACGGGGATTCGAGTAGGTTTATCCCGTTGTCTTCGTGCTCCGCTGACTTTGATAGGTCCATCCTGCTGGAACCGACTGGGTGAGCTTTCCACTGACATCTTCGCCCTCGGTCTGCATCGAGACTCCAAGAGCTTAGGGAAAATACCAGAATTCCTACTAGAGACACGTCGCAGGCAATTTGCTGCGGCATACCAACTTGATAAAAGCATCGCCACATTTCTAGGCAGGCCGCCGCGGATTCCATGGCGTTACGCGGACTGTCGCATGCCTCTGGACATTAGCGACGAGGCACTGGCCACTGATAATATGGTTCTAGACTATTCGCACGACTACATCGACGAGAATGGCTGGAGCCTTCACGGAGTAGTCCAAAGGTCTTCCTGGATGCGAGTACGATTCATCGTGAGCACTTTCCGAGATGAAATCCTCGAAGTCTCCCTGCAAAAATTGACGCCTGATATGGAGAGCATGCTTGAGTGAGTGATATCGTCTAATCACGTCCATCTGCATCTGCTAATGATTCAGGGATATCTCCCGACGCTGCCATGTGGCCTGGGAGGCATTGCCCGGCCACCTGCGATATACCCCACAATGTTGGGATGGATCCCCCGCAGCAGTCTGTCTCATGATGATCATATCGCACCTAGCGTACCTATACAACGACTTCCTCATCCAGCGATTGATAGCGGGAAAGAAAAATCCCCGCGGTAACACAGCGTTATTGTCTGTGAGCGCAGACATCCTATCAACGGTCCTGACGTTAGGCACCCAACGAGAACAGATGGTCGATCTGCGGCCTGACTTTACGTGGACGGTACTTAGCAAAATATCCTAAATACTGTCTCATGAATATCTTGAATACTAATGAACTTTAGGTTCTGCTCTACGGGTTTCCCAGTGCCAGCCTCCTAATCAAAGCCCTCCAACACCAAAAGCGCACCGGCGAACCATTCCTCTACGAAGCATCGCGATCAGCGCTCATTCGGAACCTCAGTGTTTTTATTTCTCACCTTGAATCAATTGCTCGCCCTGATAACGCCAACTACGCCCTCTTCCAACGTGCAAGCCAGGTCTTCTCCAAGATCATTGATGAAATCCTGGAGCCACAGTCTGTACTTCCCGATGCGACCCTCGGTGACTCTTCTATGATCAACTTCGACTCTGTGGTTGACGTTGATGGATTGGACTTGTTCAATAATATGGATTTTGGTGTTGCTTTCAATCAATGGCTATTTTGAGAAGTTCTTGTACATCACATTAATGACGTCAGCGTTGATATGCCGTCTGCTAACACAAAATAAGTTACGTCATTATTTACAAAGTCCACATATTCACGAATTAGGGCTAAATTTTGCTGGTGCCAAACCCAGACTGATCCTGATATGCTGACAGGTACGTAGCGCCGACCTCAGGAATATCTTTGTCCACAACCATGCCATGCCTGGTCCGAAATGGAGCCCAAAAACACTGGATGAGCGGATAGTAGTCTATATGTGAACTTTGAGTACAGACTAGCTATGATGCACCGAGGCAAGAATTAAAACTCTCTGATTGGAATCTCTGCCCAAGGAGCAATGCAGGTCAGTATAAAAAAAAGAAAACGAGGAAACGAAGCCCCGAAAAGACTCATCTGGCCCGTATAGATCGCTTCGGTTGGAATTGAAAAAGGAAACAAGCAGATTAAGAGTAAAGCCCAGTTGGGCGTTATGGCGTGGGCTATTCTTGCCTGGGCTGTACATCGTCTGTTTGTCTGCTCAGATCCTGCATCACCGGCTCAGCGTGCCCGGATGTCCGGATCGGGTCATCGTCTGGAAAACTCGCATAATTGAGAGCTAACTGGTATAATTCGGCCACATATGTTTGGGTCTCTTGGTAAATGCGTATTTGGACCCGATGTTCCAACTCGCGGTAGCGAGTCTCAATTTCCGCGATCGGAACACATTCAGTGCTGGTGATGCGTCTGGCCATCACGATTTGATCGTGGACAACTGCCAGATCGAACAAAAGCATCACGGTGGTGTACTGTATATCATCCATGCACCGGATCAAGTAGCGTAGTCGACAGGCCACTCCCTCTAAGGCCCTTCCGCCAGCTGCTCCTGTGAGGCCATTGTGCTCATACTCGGCATTTGATAACTCTTCCAAAAGAAGCTCATTTCCTGGGCCAGCAAATTGGACATGGGCAAACGATGGGAAGAGCGGAGACCTAAACGACGCACAGTGTAGGTCTTCTCGGAGGGTGGATGGCTGGGGCACAAGATGTTTGTTTTCGATCAGTTTGGTCCATTCAGGCTGTGTTAAACCGGTTTTAGACTTGTTCGTCCACGGAAGTGTTCTGGCTTCATTCACATGAGGGCAGAAACCGCTGAATGCTGTAAGAGGAGCCAGGGTCAATTTGCCGCGGCCGAACAGCCCGACCAAGTCCGTTGCCGCGTACTTGAACTCAATCGGGAATTTCCCGCCATTCACTCCATGAGGCAATTTGTTGAGGTCGTAGATCGCGGGATTCTTGTGGAAATCCTTGCCCATTGCAAGCAGTTGTCCAACACGGAAACCTTTGTAAGGTGCATTGCGGGCTGCCCGCTTGGGCCCGACCACCGAGGTATACCGGCCAGCAGTCTCACCGCAGAGCGCAAGGTACCCCTGGAAAATTGGATAGAACCCCATGCCGTTGGTCCGTATAACCACTCCTGATCCGATCGGACGCCTGTCTGGCCAGATACTGCCTTCTAGCATAAAGTCATATGGCCAACGAGTTGCCCACTCCTTCTGGGGCACACCATGGGGCGTTGTACAAACGCGGAAGACATTTGCGTCACTTAGACTCACTCTGTTCTTGATCGTCCAGACTGGAATTGTAAGGTCATCGCAAATCGGGGTTTCAGATTCAGTCATAGCCTTGTGGTTGGAGTTGAGTTCTTCGTACGGCTGGGCTGTGTCCACTTGGGCACGGAAGAAATTCCCAACCGACAGTGCTCCCCATTCCAGCATCTCCCGGATGAAGGGGTCTGCGTTTGTGGCAGAGCAGAGGCCATCCGGAGTTGTTTCTGTCATGGTTGAAAACTAAATGAAAAGCAGTGTGAGTGAAAAGAGAATGGTCGGGAGGAGAACGAGCTTCACTGGAATAAGAGAGGTTTCACCAGTACAGATAAGAGGAATAGAAATATAAGCAGACCTTGATACCGAAAGAGACTTGGACGGTTGAGCTTGTCAGTCTGGATTGGGAGTGAGAGAAGAAAGACTAACCTCTGCGGACGGCCATGAACCAGAGGTAAAGCGAAAAGATCAGGATAAATGTCAATGGTGTGCCGCTTACCTGACGTGGCTCAGAAGGGTTAGAAGGGTGACAGATAAGTCTCTAAAGATGAGAGTTCGTGGGAGGTGAGAGAAGAGGAGAAAAAAAGAGGGAGAGTATATAGGAGAGGTAGCGAGAGAGGTCACCGAGAGCGAAATGCTCTGCTGGTAAAACGTGTAAGCGGTTGAAAGTACGATGTCGATCAAGTCCTTTGTTGTGGACATTCTACGCTATGGAGGGGAAGGGGAGAGGTATGAAAGAGAAATTGAGAGTGAGAAGTTTAGTATCAATGCCTCTCACACTTTCTTCCCAACTTGCCTTGCACGCTCACCAGTCATCCAGAACAGCTTTCACCCCTTGGGCACTATATACATTCGTACGTTGGCAGTCTCGGCGACATACGAGAGCTCACGCTGGTACACGAGCTGCTCACATATCTGGTCTGCCCTCAGGAGTTGGAGTTATCAGCACAAGACCAAGCTGCTGAGCCTCCCGATGCCGCGTAGCTTTCCATGATGCTGACTACAGAGCCATATGTTCCAGCCACCATCAAGAATGTCCCGGAAAGAACCACAAATCCACTGAAGCAGACCATCAAGATCCACTTCACTGACTTCTCACTCTTGCCTCGAGACCAATTGTCGTAAAGCCACATGCAGCCCATAGGCTGGAATGACATGAGGGTACCAAGCAAAGCCCCAACGAGGGAGACAAGGTCATTGAAGACAGGTATACTGCTAGCAATCACGTATGCGATCACGGTAATAGCAACTGTACAGCTGAGCCATGTGACCCAGTGCGTCATCGTGTTTGTGGTCAGGTGCTTGGATCCTTGGAGGATGCGAAGGAAGATATATTTCGCCGGTAACTGAGATGTTAGCCGAGAAGAGGAGAGTGCTAAGGTGAGTACGTACATGGATCACAAGGAGAGTAGTGACAATCAGTCCTGGAAGAGCAAATCCATAGCTGATTTTTTTCACGAGTGGACCGGCGGATCCCAAGGCAGGTGAAGCAACGTACGATCCGCAGTATATGTAAACAACACACCCAACAACAAGGTACGTCACCGTCACAATCGTCTGACAAACGAAGAGCGCCCGGGTATACTTGGTGGGATCACGCATTTCGGACACAATAGGGAAGAATCCAGGGGTTCCTGCATACGCCATAACGAGAGTCGACACCGCGGTGATTGCCTTCGTGAAGGATGGGTCGCCGACTATCTTGTAATCGGGGACCCACACGCCCTCCTGAGGGGCGGCAGATGGGCGTTCTTGGAGACCGACAGCGATGGTCACCATGAAGACTGCACTCGTCAGTAGCTAAATCACGATATAAGGGGACTATACTTACTTGCGGTAAGAATTCCGACAAGTCCAACCCAGGCCAGCCAGCTGATCTTGGCTAGTGTTTGAATACTTCCCAGTGTCAACCCAATGACAGCGGCAATAGCGACGAATATCGCCGTGCAGGCACCGTGGCTAGACATAGCGTTCAGGGAGATCGAGATACCCAGCATGCCAGACCCTGCAACGAAGATCCAGTCTACATCGGTTGAGCAACATGACCACGGGTAGGTAGGCGGCGAAGATATACTCACAAAGCACAAATGCACCTCCAAAAATAATTCGCCCAATTTGACCGAACATCAAATACCCCGCGTCGTCGATACCATAGACCTCAGGATGCCGCAACTTGAAAACACCCACGATGTAATCGGACCATGTCGTGATACCGGCAATGGTACACAGTACGATGACTCCCGGTACGATACCCAAGGTGTCGAATGCAATTGGAATCGACAAGACTCCAATGCCAATCATACTCTTCGTCATCAATGCAACTGTGCCAATCCACCCAACCTATAAAAATGTCAGTCGATGTTGATGCTTTGCCCGGGGGGATGTCCAACATTGCGGTAGTTAGGCCCGTCTTCTGTGATTTCACCAAAGACTGCATCGTGGGTGCGCTGAACGCCTTCGACCTGACCATCCTGTGAAGGGACGGGGGTCAAGTTGCTGGCTTCCTTCTTTTCTGTCATGTTTGCTACATGTAGCTTGGAATTGTGGGTTGTTCGGTTGACAATGTAGTAGTAGTGTGATGTAGCACTTTGCTGGGCAGGATGGCCGTTTATAAAGTAAGTTTAATCAAAGCATTCGGGCCCGAGACCGATGAAAATGTGATCATAGCTTTCCTCCACAACTTCCAAGATAGGTGAGATAAGCCATATTAGAGAGAAATAAGGAAGTAGATGGCTTTACTGGAGCGTCTTGGGTAAGTGAAACCTGTTGTCATTGGATGGCTATCATATCTCGGGCTGTATGAACTTTGTATCCCCGCTTAGCCGGCGTCATTGACAGGGGCTTCTAGCATTTTTGAATCAATTCAACTTGCTCCCCATCCTGCACTCAACTGGTAGAGGGACACCAACATTTCATGATGTACCAAGCAATTTCAACAACCACATCACTCAGGTTCTCACGATAGTGAGGTCCACAGGCACAGGGGATATATGTATACATTGAATCCAGATCTTTTTCGCTAAGGATCCCGAGTTTTATCGGGAAAATTTACGAGCTAGAGAAAAGGGGTCGCCGCATGGGGTCTCAGGGGTCGGTTTCAAGACTCAATACAGACAGATCGCCAATCACATCAAAGTAGCCAGCGGCAGGGCTACCGACGAATTCATCCAGCCACTCATTGTATGTTGAATATGCTCGGGCAACAATGCCAGGCCGGGAATCTTCCCACGTCAGGCAATCCTCAGCCAGACAGAGCCCAATTTGATTCAATTGAAGGTCTGTGTTATTTCTAAACTGCCGCTTCATATACACTACAGTTGGTATAACGCAAGTATATACCGGGAGGACCCCCGAGGAAGATCAAAGCCATCGGCTAACGCCCTCCTGGCAGGCTTTGGATTGAAGTATTTGACTCATTTTATCGTGTCCCATTCAACCAGTGACACCTCAGCGGTCGTGTAGTTTTCTGGGTCTAAATGGATCATAAGCTCAATGTTGCATTCAGAATGGCAGACGAGCTTTGAACTAAATGTGATAGCATGGTCATTCTCTTATGAAGTCACTTAAGATTGCTTGCCATGTCCGAAGCCTGCAAAACGCGCTGCCTTAATTCAATTTGTTTAAATGTGAAGAATTGTCTCGAGTTATCATATCAGGACTCTTAGTTAATAGTCACTGCCGACGTGTAAGTTTTCCTATCATGATCCCCATACAAAAAATATTTAGTTCCCCACACATCCGGGGGCCCCATCGGGGCCCCGGCCCGCCACACCCGGGTCAGAATCACCGGAAGGCTCCAGCATAGATCCAGACGACTATCATGTGGTGTTTTGTGCTAGCGTGTTTTATCGTACTTGACTTGTGGCCATTTGTGGCATTGTCGTGGGCATATGACATCCATCAGGTCATCAATTGACAAGGCGGGCTACTGTCCCGGCTTGCGCCCAGCTCGGATTCGAAGCCGACAGGTGCCCTCTTCGTCCATATCTTGGGCTCCAAACTGCCCATGCTTTCTCTGAGCGGATTGATAAAATTTTATCTCATTAATAAGACTTTGTCATATCATCAAAGACTCTTTGAATAAAGATTAGATGATTGGAAGTGGCACTCAGCCCTGAAGCCCCGGAGACGGCCCGGGAGAAATGCATAAATATATGTCGAATGTGTAAAGCCTCCCAGAGGCGATCTATACAAGGCCTATAGGCTGTTCAAAAGTGTATGGAAAGAATATAAAACGCTTGAACCATCAAGCCTAATTACATGATTAATTATAAGTTCTCACCATGAAAACGCCTCTTCAAACAAATCAACCGTCTTCTCTCCCTGCACATCTCTCACGGCTTCCCGAACACTGTCGCCCAGGCCACCGGGACCACAGACGCTCACCGCCATCGCACCTATCTGGTTTGATTTCTCCTTCTCCAGTATAGATTTGATACACGGCTTGCCATGGTGGATGTTAACAGGCACGCTAGGTGGGGCACACTGCATCCACGGCGTGTCTGGTTGTGGGATGTACTCTTCGACGGAGTCCTTGTGAGCTGTGACATGCAGGCTGATGGAGAGCATCAGTTGTGGGAACTGGAAATATGAGTGGCCGTTGGGACTGATTGGGCTGTTCAAGGAATCGTGACCGAGGATCTCCGTCATGAAAGTTTGAATCCAAGTAAGATGGTCTGTCCATGTTAGTCCTTGTTCAGATACCGAGAGGGCTTGTTTCATACCTAAACTGCGGACAATCCACACCAAATGTACTTTGCGAGTGGCAGTCTTCGAATCGTTGAATGTACTGATGGCCTCATTCAGATAAGACATAGGGTGAGTGATGCCAATGCCGCCGGCGATGAGTAGCAAAGTGCCATAGGATTCAAGCGAGTGAATGCCACCTATAACGTTAGCGATCGAAATGGAGCCGAGAAAGGCGTTCATACCAAATGGTCCCTCTGCCAACGCCATCGCTTTGATTGACCCTTCAGCCGAATCTTCGGCTTTTTGAATCAACTTCTTAGTGAAGCCATCTTGACCTTTAATCAAAACAGACATGGTCGTTGTTTCCGATCCTCCAATCAGAGCTCGTAGAGAATCAGTCGAGCCACGCTTCTCACTAAGGGCTGCTGTACCCGACGTCGATGTCCATGCGACCGTAAATGGGTGCGAAGTCCACAAACCCAGGCGCGGCATGTAGAGATACATATGCTGACCAGGACGGAATCGCCATGCGCGAGATACCGCCACGTCGACGCGAGCGACAGACCCAGGTAAAGCTTCGATTGTGGCAGTGGTGGGTTTTCTTCCAAGGTTTCTCCAAAGAAGAATTCCAACGCGGCTTGCGCGGTCCAGGCCCCATAGAATCAGCGTGCCGAGGAGAACTTGCTGTTGCAACAAGTTCTTGAGATGGTACCAGAGAGCGACGAAAGACATCAATGCCAACGCTATGTGAAGATGGAGGAAAAGTTCGTAAAAGGCATGTCGGGCCGGCGACAAAGACTGAACGACGATGAAAAGGAATCCAAGAATGGCCTATGATGTGTTAGTTGTAAACATTCGAAATTGGCGGATTGCATACAATGAGACCGCCGAGATATAGCCTCTGCTGCCATATGGTATATAGGACGTAGTCGGTGCCATCTAGCAATTGTAAGCTTCGTAACCAATTTATGATGAGCTTTACTTACAACTGTAAGCGTGACCAGCCAATACAGCACTCATGTGAATGACAGCATTGGCTGCGATCATCCGACCAACCCATCTATGCATGAAATTGAAGGTGTCGAAGGATATCCCCAAAATTTGAACCAACGGATTGTTCCTTCCAGCAGCGAGAACCAACCCCGGTGTGTTCATGACAGCCAAATGGCCTGCAGAATACTTGAGTTGGAACATCTTCTTGGCGTAATCGTCGATCCACCAGTCCACCGTGACGATGATGAAGATCAGGTTGAGCGCGAGGTATATCAACAAAGCAATGATCTCCAACCTCAGAGGAATCGATCCCATGTGGAGTCTGAGGAATCGAAACTCGCGACTGTGGCGGGTTCCCCAGATAGGCGCATAGAAAATGTGCTTCTTGAGGGTAGCGTCAAGCCAACCCGCCTTTGCCAGTTGTGTCTGGTCTCCTCCATTCATAGCCTTCTTCGATCTTTGGCGATTGTGAATGCGAATGGCAGTTTGCCAGGTGAACATGATAGCGACGACACCACCGGCGACAAACAAAGGCACTGCGATTGTGGGATTCATGGGAGGCTCCCCCGTACCATTTCCTTTGAGTTGGACACCCATTGTGCCATCCGACGAGACAGAGACTTGAGATGCTGATCGAAGATGAGGAAATAGTCAACCACAGAGAGCGTGGAATGTCCGGCCACTCCTGCAAGATTGAAGACCAAGGGTGAGAGTGTAAGTATCTAAAAAGAATTGAAGTCGCGTGGGAAGAGAATTAATCTTGATGTATAATTGGCGTTGTATTGGATGGACCACTCTGGAGATGGGTATATGCCGTCATTGACCCCTGGGGGGTAGGCAAGTTTGGTCTTGCCCCATATGAATGAAAGCATCGTCACGTTTTGGACAACTGCGTGTCTCACATGGCGAGTGTAACGCCGAATCGGGCGAAGTAGATCTTGGTGCGGGTGGATGTTAAGGTTAACCATGGGGAAGGGGATGCGCGCGGTAAGTGGCCGGCAATTCTAGATCCCCGGGAACTGCCCTGTCATGGCCCAATCGGGGCCACTTGGCTTGATTAGGGAGAATGTAGTCAATTAAAGTGCTAATAATGACATTTGCGGGTTGACTAAACTTGGAGCAAAAAGACAAGGGGCCTAGATGCAGTTGTTGTTGTTCGGCAATCCGAAAACGGAAACCCTCGGGAATGTTGACCGTTGTTGCCGCCTCCGGGCATAGAATAAGCCCTTTTCAAATGAAAGGTCAAAAATGAACACAATAATAATAAATGTTAGTTATTACACGGATTTAATTGCTTGGCTGACTCTTTGACTTTGACAGAAAACTGTAAAGTTTAAAATTTAAGCTTGAAGAACTCTGTTTTAAACCCAACGTCATATCATCAAAGCCCTAACGTGGCCCGCGCGGCTGGCTGGGACGCAACTGCAACGCTGTGAACAATGGTCTTCAGAGTGGATCCAACGTAGCAGACGTGACGCAATTGCAACTTCTAGCAAAGGCCAAATACCATTGTCATGAATATCATGACATGGCAATCCAATATTTGGAAAATGTTGGGCGGAGGGCCGTGTGTATGGGCTGTCAGAGCCATCTTGAATAATTCTCTGGATCTAAGTTAAGATTCTTTAGTTTTTCTAGTTAACTCTGGTCAAATCTGGTCAAACTTTACGCACGCGCCGCCTGAGCCATTCCCAAAACAGCTTGAAAGTCGCAGCGGGGCAAACAATTGTCACGATCGACTGCCAAAGTTTAAGGCCGAGACTAGTCGAAATCTTAACACAGATCGTGATGCTATGTTGCAGTCAGACCATAAGTGTTATTGCTACTTCAAAGCACATGATCGTCGAATTGCCACAGAAGATTTTGAAGCCTGAACCAGTGAATATTGCAGTGTATCCACGCGTAAATCCAGTGCTCAAGAACTTACTATTACCAGAAACAGATATGTCAGATGACCGAGAGCTGAGCATGCCCTGGACCTTGGCAGTGCGTGAAAGCCCAAAGCAATCAGGTGTTAGGATAACCTGTGCTGTGGTTACCTTTCTTCTTCTTCGTTTTTTGTCCTTATGTCCCGGGAAAATAGCAGGACCTGGGAATTCGGTATCGCAGGGGAATGATAGTTACCAGGCACAACAGATAGGTTTCGTGTGGCGAGTTTTCATGAATTCTGTCTTCTCATTGTTTCCCTCACTACATGTATCCATGCTACTGACAAGAGGTAAGTAATCCAATGTTTTATGCTGTCAGGCCTCGGGACCTTGACTCGCGATGCTCAAAGCAAAATTCGAATACTGGGAAATTATACGCCCGAGGTCACCGCTTCGATTCGTTTCTATGTCCACATCGTTCGTCATTTTCTTCATTTCTGAGCCCTGGGGTCTTTGTGGGTACAGGAGGCTATTTGGTGGAGCTGGATGATATTCCTGATCCGCTTGCATCGTAGAGCTCCCTTCTGAGTAGTCTTTGTGTGAGGCAGATACGTCCTCAAAGCAACAACGCCCAATTTGACGAAGAAGCTGATGATAGGGAAGCAAGAAGAGTTATGGTAGTAGCAAGCAATAGATAGCAAGCAGGAAAGCAAGATCATAAGACCAATAGCAAATTACATAACCAAGCAGGCTAGAAAGACGCATGCAGAAATGCGTTAGAATCCTGAGTCATCAACGATGTGCCGAGATATGGGTCATGTGACACAGGGTCATGTGATGATAGATACACATCATGTGATGCATGAGTCAAAAGTTAGGCATCCAAAGGTAGTTCCAAGGTTCAAGGCAACAGATTAGTCATTCAACTCCTGAGCCCTGGAGCCCCGGGTGTTGTACACTTTCGTAGCCGTCCCACATTGTCAAATGAGAGCTACAAAAAGGGGTTGACGATGTCACCTATGAGTCCCAAGGACTAGCAGCAGAGATCAATCGAATGCAGACGGTGAGAGGAAAATACGGACAAGGGCACATGCTCCATACCCAGGCGAAAGTCAGTTTGAACACCTCGAGGGCTACGTCATATGTTCAATGGTCTTAATTCCATGGGCATATCCTTGAATTGATAATAAGTAGAGACTATGCCACGAAGGTACTGGCTGCAGCGACGGTATGAGCCAAGGCTACGAGGGATGGACTTTGCATGATGTCGAAAATTGAAATCTCCGCGCCAGCCTGCACAGCCAACATGTTTCGCAGTTCAACAGCAACAAGAGAGTCAACGCCAAAATCTGCCATGGATTTTGAATCGATAACCTCTTCGATAGGAATCAAGAAAATTTCCACTAGTCGTTCAGCGAGTGCTTGCAAGACAACCCTAGAGGCCTCTTCTGTCGAAGATACAGAGGTTAGTTGATGAGACAGAGCGTGAGGGGACGAGGAAGGCTTGGTGGCAGTGTTGCTGTTCGCTGGTTTGATATATCGAAGCGCATCAAAAAGCGCATCACTGAGTATTGTGTCGTCACCACCCCTTCCAGTGTTGATCCCGACCACAATCTGAGGACAAGGATAGATAATGGCCGACTCAATAGCCGATAAAATTTCGCTCTCTTCAAGTAGTCTGTACCCCGAGCGCTCCAGCCTGTCGTGAACAGATCTATTTGATGCAACATAGCCCACATTCTTGACGGCGCCGATGTCAAGAGATACTCCTGGCAGGCCCTGGCTCACTCGGTATCTGGCCAAGGCATCCTGGAATGCCCCTCCGGCTGTATAATTTGACTGGCTTGGGTTGCCAATTACCCCTGCCAAAGAGGATAGCATGATGAAGAAGTCCAGATCCTTGCCGAGGTGATGATGAAGATTCCAACTTCCTTGAACCTTCGGAAAAATGGCAGCATTGTAATCATCCAAGCCCATGTTCTCAATGATAGAATCGCGAAGCACCATAGCGGCCTGGATGACACCACGGATCGGGGGAGATCTGGGCATTTATCCAGGGCGACAGACAATTCGGACATTTGTGAAATGTCGCAGTCAATTAGATGGACCTTCGATCCAGGGTACGCATCCTCAAGATCACCCGCGAATGACTTCGTGGTAGCTCCGCTGGTGGCACTTCGGGACATCAAAATCAGACTCCTGGCACCGTGCGTCAAGAGCCATGTAGCGACTGATCTTCCAATACCACCAACTCCACCAGTGACTAAATAGGTCGCGTCTGGGCGAAGCCTCAACGTTGGCTTGAGAGGTAGATACTATTTTGCTTAGCAAAATTCACATTCGGTTCACAGAACTCACCTCGATAGAACAATCCTCTGCCGACAAGACAATCTTACCCATGTGCTTACCCGCCTGCATCTGGCGGAATGCCTCTTCAATGTCCGCAACAGGATACACCTTGACAGGTTTAACAGGATGTATCAATCCTTGCTGCAGAAGATTGACAACTCGAGTCAAAGCGCGATGGATGACTGGACTACCAAGCCTCACCAATGCAAGAATGTCGATAGAGGAAAAGGATGCGACAGAAGTAAATGGTGCCATCTCAAGATAGTTGTTATGTTCCAAGTCAATCTTTCCAATTTCGACAAAGTGACCGAACGCAGCCAAACAATTGAAGCTTTCTTGAAGAAGTTGACCTGATAAACAGTTGAGGACGACATCCACACCTTTGCCCCCCGTGACTGACATCAGTTCGGTCGCAAATGTTGGGTCACGGCTCGAAAAGACATGACTCTGTGGTATCCCATATTCAGACGTGATGAATTGGCGCTTCTCCACAGAGCCCGCAGTTGCATACACCTCAGCTCCAAGATGCTGAGCAAGTATGATTGCAGCTTGTCCGACGCCACCGGTCCCTGCATGAATCAGAACAGACTGGTGTTTGCAAATCTTTGCAGTGTCGTATAAAGAAATATAAGCCGTCGCGAATGCCATTGGAATCGATGCAGCGGTGCAAAAGTCGAAATGGGGCATGACACAAGCAGCAGTCCAATGAATTCGTATCCGGTTTTGGTACTTGCCATCGACGAGTGCAATGACACGGCATCCGATGGCAAAGCCATGGGACGCAGCGGCAGTGCCAACACGAGTAACAATGCCCGAACATTCCAACCCCATGACTGTTTGGTTGAGCTGACCCATTGCGGCCATGACGTCTCGGAAATTCAGGCCAAAGGCCATCGGTTGGATTTCGATCAGCTCCGGAGTCATTGCAGCTTCTAGCGGCGCAATCTCCTTGAAAGTCAATGTCTCCAAGAGGCCGGGGAAGTCAACCTCCAGTTTCAAGGCTAGGTTCGGATCTGTTGCAAGGAATGGGGAGGATTTAACCACCCCTTCGACACCCTTCGCGATAAACCTATTTCGATCAAAATCCTTGACCAATCTGGGAACAAGGATCGAACCATCGCGCTCTGCAAACTCGAAGTCGCGACTTGGTATGTTTGGACCATTAATGATACTAGCGAGAACCTTGGTGATGGCTGCAGCCCATCGAGGTATGTCTCGTGTCTCGGTATCAAGTGATACATATGTCTTTGTCGAATTTTCACGGCGAAGTGTCCGTAGAAGCCCGAGACTGAGGGCACTTTCAGGCCTTTCGGATTCAATGACCCCGCCAGTGGTGACCCAAAGCAGGGCTTTGCAACAAGTCAAAAGGCGAACGATAGCCTTGAAGTCATTTTCTTTCAAAGTTGAAAGAGAAAAGTCTCCATGATCACCGAGGAAAACACATATTTTGCCAGTGCCGTCAACCAAACCAAGGGGAGTCACACTGACCAAGTCCGGAGCGGTGATAGCGGCAATGGAGTGTTGTAAAACTCCCATCCGATCATCGAGGCAAGCAAAATTCAGGTCATGGATCAGAACGATGGGCGGAGATTTTGAAATCTCGGGTTTAGCCTGAAGCGCCGTTGCCATTATTACACTCATGGTATAAAACTCCTCAGATTCGCAGTCGTGCACATCCAGGTCGCGCCCGCTGAACCCCGTTTTATCAAGAATCGTATCCCATTCAGCCGCGGAAAGGATGGGACTCATCTTTCGCCCGTCTGAGCTACGCCACCAACCAGGCAATAGGCCAAACACAAACTGCATATCCATTTGGTTTTTCGTGTTCTCCATCAGCAATAATTTCCCACCTGGTTTGAGCAAACGGCGGACGTGCGTCATTGTGGCTACCATCGATTTGGTTGCGTGCAAGACCTGATTAGCTACGACAATATCGTAGCCGCCGCACTCAAAGTCTTGCTGCTCAGGATCGACCTCAATATCCAACTTGCGGTAAGTCATAATCGCACCCCAGTCCGCAAATTGAGCTTGAGCTTCTGCAAAGAAACCGGACGAGATATCAGTGAAGTGGTATTCGGATGCATATGGACCCCAACCGCACTTCTTGCCGTTTCCAATGGCATTGAGAATCAGAAGCGTGGTTCCGCCAGTGCCCGCACCGATCTCAAGAATTTTGGCGCGCGGATTCTTATGGATGAGGTGTTCTGCTATCCTTGCGAGATGCACGTTGCATCGGTCAAATTTGAGCGCTCCACGGTAGTATTTGTGAAGCAATTTGTCTTCCATCAAAAGCTCCAACGGGGATACCATTTTTGTCAGGAGAGGGATCAGACGAGTTCCCAAGCGAAACACGGCTTCGCCATTCACGCTGGACGAGGCAACACGTTTGAAAAGGCGTGCTTTCTCTTCATCCCCGTCCCTGATCCACGCTGAACTAAAAGGGGCCAGCTCGTCGCTGAGAGCGAGGTTCACCTGTAGTTTCATCCAAGTGTGAAACCTCTTGTGATGCCACTCCAGCTGCTGTATCTCTTTCAAGTTCAAGCACGACAATGCTTCTTGAATGTAGTGGAAGCAGGCTCGTTTCAGATCAAGAATCACGTCTCCCTCTTTAGGGTCAGCAGAGGAACCAATTGCCTTGCTCAGAGACCCCAAATCCATGTAGGAGATATCGGGAGCCCACTTGACCACACTGCATATGTCATCACGGTTAGACTCCGCCGCACCAGCCGCACCCCCTAAAGACTGGCAAATGAACCCGTCAATGACCAGAACAGGATTTTTAGCGGAATCAGTTGAATCAGAGAGAAAGATATTGGACGCAAAAGTCCTGCGGTCTGCACGAAGGAGGCGGATGTGGGATTCGAACTGATGACCCGGCCGGGATTGGATATCGTGAGATAGCCAAAGATTTTTGATAGTCTTGGGGACCATTGAAGTGTAAGTCGAGTGATTTCCTAGAAGTACTCCATAAGCGGAGACAAACACCGAGTCCAAAGTAGTCGGGTGTAGAACGTGGGTTCTTTGGTAGTTGGACGGCATCGTGGATGCAACGTCTGCAATGACCAGAGTTGCCATAGCCTGATCACTACCCACTTGCACAGATTGCAAATTCTGGAATGTTTTACCATGATAAATGGCATTAGCTCTCAAGGCTGAGAACACGTCTTCTGGTTCGATGCGTTGGAAATGCCTCAACTCAGACCATTCTTCGCGGGCATACATTTCCCCAGTACTGATCAGTCCTCTGCAGTATTCAGTCCAGCCCTGTCTTCCCACAGAAAATATGTTGAACTCATTCCAGCCTCTGATTCCAATGGCCTTGGAATCGACGGGCTTGATGTTGAGCTGAACTTCAACCCCCTCTGGTCCTTCTGGAATTATGAGGGCCTGCAGAATGTCCACATCTCGGAGTCGATAGCCTGAGAAGACTTGGTTGGTCCCTTGGGCAAGCTGACTGACAGCCTCAATGGCCATGCAGATGTACCCTGCTCCGGGATATATCACGTTGGATTGAACGGTATGCTCCCGAACCCAAGGCAAGTCCGACAGTCGAATGACATGCCTCCAGCTTGGAGCGAAAGGATTTGTACCGTTGATGGGAACTCCAAGAAGATCGTGATATCCAATTTTCCTAGACCGATGAGAGACATTCGCTCGAGGCTCGTCCCAATGTCGGATCTCATGGTTCCAGGGGTAAGAGGGAAGGTCTGTGATCACAGATAGGCCTTCTACGCCCGTTGGAAAGTTGACGCGGTTGATATCAACAGGATACCCCTTGGAGACTAGCTGACTTGCCAGGGATTGCATAGTTGCGACTGCATCTTGATTTCGAACCAAACAAGAGTGGTATGATATGTCCGTGTCTCGAAATTGGGATGTGACAAGGATATCTCCGATAGGACCAGAAAGTGCGGCGTGCGGACCAACTTCAACGGCGATATCGATGTCTGCTCTGCCACTGATTGGATCCAGGGCCATGTGACAGAATGAATCTTGGAATAGCACCGGCTGAACCATGCTATCTGCCCAGTGCTTGGGGTTCGAGAGTTGAGCGGCGTCCGTTATCCTCGTGCCGGTGGTTGGCGATGCGTAAATTATCGGGCGCAAGTCCCTTATTTCATCTTCCATGATCTCCTGCATACTGCTGAGATATGGCTCATACAAAGGCTGCATGTGATGGGAGTGAAATGCCGTTCGAACGCGGAGGCGGCGGGCGAAGATGTTGTGCTCTTTCAGCAGAATCTCAAGCTCCTCAATCGCCCCCAGATCCCCGGACACCGTGACACTGGATGGACTGTTGATGCATGCAATGTTTGCCTCGCCCCCGCGGATACCATCCAGATAGGTCTGCACCGATCGAGCGTTCAGACCAACCGCCATCATGCCCCCACGTGCATCGTCCAACTCCGACGCGATTTCACAGCGACTATAACATGCGGCCATAGCGGAGCGGAAGCTGAGTGCACCAACAGTATATGCTGCTGCGATCTCCCCACTTGAGTGGCTCGATACAGCGGTCGGGGTCACTCCCCAAGCCTCGAGCAGGCGGACTAGCGAGATTTGAATCGCAGCGCAAAGGGGCATACCAAAAGAAGTGTCTGTCACATTTGTCGTCTCTTCATCCCGGAGCAATTCGTCCAAAAGTGACCACTTGCAGCCAAACCCTCTCAAGAAACCTTCAGCCTCGAGTATGGAAGACTTGAAGAGTGGGTATGCGCCGAGAAGTTCTCTCCCCATGGCATACCATTGTGCACCTTGACCGGTGAAAACAAACCCAATCCTTGGCCGGGCACTGGCACGCGTTGCGGACAGCTTATCGTTTCCAAGAACCATCGCAAGCGCTGAAAGGGAGGAGGCCGGAGTAGTCAACGACCAGGCGAAGCGAGTGCGACGACCACCAAGAGTGAATGCAAGATTGTCGAATAAGTCATGATCCATGGAATCCGAAACGTTATCTTGCAGGTAAGCTGTCAGATTCGAAGCCATCGTTTTACAACTCTTCTCATCTTTTGCACTTAGGATGAAGATTTTGGATTGCCCGTTTCCAGGCGTGACGGAGTTTCCATTGCCGTAGCTCCTGTGGAGAACCGGCTGCCAACCCTCCATAATCAAATGTGCATTCGCTCCACCGTAGCCAAAGTTGTTCACAGATGCTCTTCTAACACCATCTGCACCAATCGGCCAAGCTGTACACTGTAGCGGAACTCTCATATTCCATTCGTCTAGCAATAGTCGCTCGTTCGGCTTTTCGAAATTTATGCTCGGGGGTATCACTTGCCGTTCTAGTGCCAACACAACCTTGATCACACTTGCAAGGCCACTTGTGGGCTCGGTGTGGCCAAGATTTGTCTTGACAGACCCAATGAAAAGTGGTTGATCGCGCGGTCTACCCTTCTGAAAGAGTGCTGCGATTGCACTTGCCTCGATGGGGTCGCCGGTAGGCGTGCCAGTGCCATGTGCTTCAAAGTACTGCACTGAAGAGGGACAAAGATCGGCCTTCTGATAGCACTCACGAATGAGCTCTTGCTGAGCTTCACAGCTGGGTGAGGTGATAGTTTCAGTCTTGCCATCTTGATTGAGATGCGTCTCTCGGATCAACGCTCGGATTGGGTCACCTGCTATCAATGCCTCGTCTAATCTTTTCAATATGATTGCTGCGACTCCTTCCCCTCTCCCGTACCCATTTGCGCGATGATCAAATGAATATCTGCCAAAACAATGTCAGGCCTGAAGCTGGAGGGCTCATTCCAAAACTTACGATTTGCCATCTTTGGAGAGCATTCTATAAATTGTTAGCGTGCGCAGATAATATCAAAACAAGACATACCCTAGAGTAGAAATTGTGACAAAAAAGTCCGGATTGATCAACAAGTTAGAGCCCCCGACAACGGACATGTCGGCATCCCCCGATCGAAGGCTTTGACACGCTTGATGCAACGCAGTGAGTGTAGTGCTGCAACCTGTGTCTATTGTCATGCTCGGCCCACGAAAATCGAAAAAATGGGATATGCGATTTGATGCCATAGCGGCTCCATTCCCAGTCATCAAGAAACGTGGCAGGTTCTCTGCATCCCGCATATGGCCATCCTGGTAGTCATGAAAAAAGGCGCCGGAGAAAACGGAGGTATTGGACCCGGCAATTTGGTCTAAAGCCAGCCCCGCTAGCAAGTCGTATGGTTAGTACAATTTGCATGTCTGATCGTGGAACCTTACCATTTTCCAAAGATTCATAAACTGTTTCAAGAAGAAGTCGATACTGTGGATCCATTGTCTCGTTCAGTCAGCAGATGCGCGTTTTCGAGGTTCAGGGCGCGCCCTCACAGAGGCTGTCTCCGTGGAGAGACCAAAGAAATGGGCATCGAAGAAGCCCAGGTCTTCTTGCAAGAAATGACCACCTCGCACATTCGTCTAAGGGCGGCCAAGACGTCAGCATTCTTTGTTCCAACTGATCCGGAAATCTGGACTAAACACCACCTACCGTACTGATATTCTCATGGTTAGGATGATACCATCCCTCAATGTCGAAGCGAGATGCTGGAATCTCACTCCAGGCACTCTCTCCGTTCTCTAGCATTTTCCAGAGCTTTGTAGGGCTAGTAGCATCACCTGCAAACCTGCAACCAATTCCGATGATCGCAATTGGCATGGCCTTCGACTGAGAGTCTGCCATAGCTGATGTGTGGTTGGTACGTGTCCAAGATGAGAAACCGGACTGGCCCTTGAAAGGTCTGGCGTGTTCGCTCGGTCCGCCAGTTTAGTCTTTCGCATGAACATGACGCCTTCCCAGGATTCGGTTTTATGAGAGGGATATTGAAGCTGCTGCAGTTCAAGCTTTCGCAAAGCCACAGGGTGACTTCGCTCGTCAACAGTCAGAAAGTGGTGTAATGTGTCATGTCATCCATGGATTTGAAAGTTGGTCAATGGGATGGAAGAGCTCTGGAGGTTGGGTTGTATTAGAAACTCCGGGGGTGATACCTGACATGTGATCAAAAGTCAAGCGAGAGCTCTCAGCGTGGAGCCGCTGCCACAGACCAAACACAAAACCTGTTAGTCGAATGAATACTCCGCGGCTTATCGTTCGGAGTATATGGAGGCCCCAGTATTTGACGCCCAGGAAATACAACAAAAGACCAGTGATGGCGAATTTTGCCGATGCAAACATGCCGCGACCTGGGATTTGACTTCGGGTTAGGAGTTAAATCTGACCAGAAAACACATTGGACTTGTCTTATGCTAAACGTGGCTCCAGGGCTAACTGCTGAGTTAGTCCCGAGGTCATAAATAGATCCAACGGATTTTGAACCTCTTCTCAACACTTCTGTACTGTACGAAGAAAGAATCGAGACTCCTCAAAAGTTGATTCTTTAGATATCATGTATGAGCAAGAAGCGATTCAAAGCACGGTCTTGGTATTTGGACCTCAGGCGCTTGCCTTCAATCAAGATTCGTTTCGGGATCTAAGCAACGCTATTGTCGATTCACCGGCACTTGGCTGGGTCAGCAATGTTGTCGCGGAGCTTCCCGAGCTTTTCATCCAGCTCAGCAACGAGAGTCCCGACCTTGGTACTATCCCAGGGGCTGTATTGCTCCAATCTATGAGCCAGCAATTGAAGAATGGCGACTTGGAAAGCATAACACAGGACACCAGCTTACCAAGTATCATGTTAACACCGCTATGTGTCATCTCACATCTTGCTGCATACACAAAATTCATCGAATGGAGACAAAATGAGTCTGGGTGGGAGGCATGGAAAAAGAAAGCAGAAGACTGTTTGAAGAAGACCCAAGTTGTGGGGTTTTGTACTGGTTTATTAGCGGCACTGGTCGTCTCTCTCAGCCGGGACTCAAAGGATTTCCAGAAACATGGGGCTACTGCTATTCGCCTCGCCATGCTGATTGGGGCTGTGGTCGACGCGGAGGATGCCAAGAACGGGAATTCAGGCTCTTTTTCAGCTGCTGCAAAAACCCAGGACGGGTTGACGACGATCGAACAGATTGTGGAAGAATATCCTGATGTAAGTGACAAAAGACTTCTCTAAAAGGTCGTTGCTCATGAGGTGAGGACAGGCTTACCTATCTGTTCGCTTCGACGAAAACAGAGTCACGGTAACTGCTCCAAAAGACGATATTCCCAGCCTTGTGAAAAAACTAGGTGCTGCAGGTATATCGACTGTGGAAATTCGGCTGTCGGGCCGGTTCCACACCACGCGTCACCAGCGTGTTGTGACCCAGCTGAGCAACTTTTGCGAATTGAGCCAGGCATTCAAGCTCCCAGAAGCCGCTCATCTCCAACTACCTTGTTTGGCAGACGTGGATCCAACAAGACAAGGGATCGTTGCGGGCAATTTGTCATCCATTGCTTTGGACGCAATATTGGTACAGCCATCAGATTGGTGGAGAACTTTCACAGCTCTTGTTGCCATCCCAGGCAGAACCAAGATAATAGTTCTCACTCAAGAAAAATGCGCACCACCGTCGGTAGTCAGCAACTTGCCTGCGAGGTTTCAGCTATTGCATCTTGCGGAGCTCATCAAAACTGAACGCTCATCCCAGGACTTCGCTACAAACGAAAATGATATCGCCGTGGTCGGGATGGCTTGCAAGGTAGCCGGGGCTGATGATATCAATGAATTCTGGGATATCCTGTGTGAAGGACGCTCTCAACACACGGAAATCCCCAAGTCACGACTTGGCTTCAAAACCGCATTTCGAGACACGGATGAGAGTAGGAAGTGGTACGGAAATTTTCTCAAATTTCACGATGCTTTCGATCACAGGTTCTTCAAGAAAACCCCACGAGAGGCTGCGTCAATGGACCCTCAACAGAGGATACTCTTGGAGATCGCTTACCAGGCTGTGTCACAGTCAGGATACTTCCACACAAACCCACACTCAGCGAATGTCGGCTGTTTTATTGGAACTTGTGCAGTTGACTATGAGTACAATGTGGCTTGTCACGCACCCAACGCGTTCTCTTCCACGGGTAATCTCCGGGGATTCATTGCGGGGAAAGTAAGCCATCACTTTGGCTGGACTGGGCCTAGTCTCACCCTCGACACTGCATGCTCAGGGGCCGCGGTTGCCGTGCACCAGGCCTGCAAAGCCATTCTCAGCGGTGAATGCGTGTATGCACTAGCTGGCGGCGTCAACATGATCACTCAACCACTTGCGTACCAGAACCTGGCCGCAGCCTCGTTCTTGAGTCAAACCGGCCAATGCAAACCTTTTTGTGTCCGCGCGGATGGCTATTGTCGAGGAGAGGGCGTCGGCGCTGTGTTCTTGAAAAAGAAGTCGGCTGCCATCGCTGATGGCGATCAGATCTTTGGGCTGATATCCAGTACAGCGGTTTTGCAAAACCAGAATTGTACTCCGATATTTGTCCCCAACGCACCGTCTCTCTCTGGCCTCTTTGAACATGTCCTTGACAAAGCCAGGCTAAAAGCCTCTCAGATCTCTTATGTTGAAGCACATGGGACAGGCACACCAGTAGGGGACCCTGCAGAGTATGAGAGTATCAGTCGAATCTTTGCTGTAGCTGAGCGGACGACCGCCGTCCATCTCGGCTCGGTGAAGGGACTCATTGGCCATACCGAAAGCTCTTCCGGTCTGGTGTCTCTGATCAAGGTACTGTTGATGATGCATTATAGCACGATCCCTCCCCAGCCCAGTCACCACAGTCTCAGCCATTCCATTGAGCCAAACCAACTAGTCAATATATCAACGTCTCTGAAGCCTTGGGGCGATCATCTCAAAGCTGCTCTGATCAACAATTACGGAGCATCCGGATCAAATGCATCGATGATCGTCCGGCAATTCACGCCCGATTCCGGTGTTGGATTTGAAGGACAAAGATGGAAGTATCCATTTTGGATCTCTGCAAACGATGAAAGAAGCCTCCAAGCATACGCAGAGAGACTGGGAGCGTTCCTAAGCAAAAGGGCTTGCCAGATGACCTCTTTCATCAGAGACTTGGCATTCAATGTGTGCCGGCAATCGAATCGGCGCTTGCCAAAAGTCATGCTTCTAGAATGCTCAACCGTGAAAGAGTTGCAGCAAAGGTTGGTAAAGCCAGTTTCAGCTGGGATAGCAACTGCACCACAAGTCATTTTGTGTTTCGGTGGACAGGTCTCCACTTATGTCGGCCTAGACCGTGGGATAGTCGCGAACACAACCATTCTGCGCTTCTATCTGGATCGCTGTGATCGACTCTCGAAAGACCTGGGTTTCGGTGGCATTTACCCGGAAATATTTCAGAAAAGCCCAATTTGCGACATCGTCAAGCTTCAGCTATGTCTTTTTCTTCGCAATATTCATCGGCAATGAGCTGGATGAGTTGCGGTGTTCAACCTTGCGCCTTAATTGGACATAGCTTTGGCGAGTTGACTGCCTTGTGTGTTTCCGAGGTTTTGAGTCTTCCCGACGCCATAAAGATGATTGCAGGTCGTGCCAAGGTGATCAGGGAGCAGTGGGGATCTGACAAAGGATCCATGATGGCGGTGGAGACTGACCTGCAACGGGTAGAAGCTATTTTGTCAAACAGCAATTCGGCTGAAGAGTCAGCGTCAATCGCTTGTCATAATGGTCCAAATAGCTTCACCCTTGCCGGTACCACCCAGTCGATCAAAGCGGTCGAAAGATACATATTGAGTGACAAGAGCAGCCCGCCTGTGCGGTGGAAGAAGTTGAACGTCACAAATGCATTTCACTCTAGCCTTGTTGACGATTTGAGATCACAGTTGGAACAAATGGCCCGAGCTTTTCGATTTAGGAAACCGACAATCCCGATAGAATTCGCCACAAAGGAAAGATACACGGAAGACCCGGGTATGACCTTCATCGCAAGTCACATGAGAAATCCAGTGTACTTCCATCATGCCGTCAACAGACTTTCAAAAAGACTCCAGGTATGCGTGTGGCTGGAGGCGGGATCCGGTTCAACGGTCACTCAGATGGTCAGTCGAGCGTTGAGTGGAGCAGGCACTACTTCGCATTCATTTGTCCCTGTGGACATCGTGACCGGCAGCGCAACATCCAATCTGACACGCGCGACTGTTGATCTCTGGAAAGCCGGGTTAGATGCAACGTTTTGGCAACATCATCCATCGCAAACAAGTCAGTATGCCACACTCATCTTGCCGCCATATCAGTTCGAGAGATCGCGTCATTGGCTGGAACTCAAAGAACCCTCAAGTCAAGTCACACAGGTGCCATGCACGGAGAGGATTGAAGGGCTTTGGGAATTCTCGGCATATCAAGACGAAGATCATCGTGCGATTCGGTTCCGTGTACGATGTGAGTCAGAGCAATATAAGGAGATTGTTTCTGGTCACACCATCGCTCGGACAGCTCCAATTTGCCCAGCAACTTTAGAGGTGGATATGGCGATTGATGCTCTTATGAATGTGCACTCAGAGTTCAGGACAGATGGTCTGCAGCCTCAAATTCTCAACGTGGAAAATCATGCTCCAGTCTGTTTTGATTCGTCACGCATCTTGTGGCTGGACTTGGTGGCCAAGGACTCCGGTACTGCCCCATCCCGAGAATGGACTTGGAGTCTCATAAGTGAGAAGAGTTCCACGGATGCGGCCCCCACAGTCCATGTCAGAGGGGAACTTGTATTCTGTCATGCGGATGACGCGCAAGTACAGGCGGAGTTCTCTCGGTATGAACGCTTGGTGACTCATCAGCGCTGTGTCGACCTCCTTTATGGCAACGATCCCAATGATGACATAGTCCAGGGCTCGAGCATTTACAGAATATTCGATGACATTGTTCAATACGGACCGAGATTCCAAGGACTGAACAGACTGGTTGGTAGAAGCTCAACAAATGAATCCGCCGGACGTGTCACGAAGAAATATCAGGGCAGGACTTGGCTCGACGCTGACCTTTCTGATTGCTTTAGTCAAGTTGGTGGGATCTGGGTGAATTGCATGACCGGTAAAGCTGAAGGAGACATGTATATTGCGAACGGATTTGAGAAATGGGTGCGTTCTCCGAGACTTCTTCGCGGCACCCCTCGACCTGAGACGTGGGAGGTATTGGCGTGTCATGAAAGACGCGGCGAGAGCATCTTCTTGACTGATATTTTCATTTTCGATCCAAGGGGAGGAACCTTGGTCGAGGTGATACTGGGAATAAACTTTGCCAAAGTGTCCAAGCTATCAATGAGCAGGCTGTTAGCTCGCCTCTCTGCTGATGTCAAGGCTCCGTTGGCAGAATCGGCACAAATTGGTGCTGTGGGCCGAAATACGGGAGATGAGCCGCTGGGGAAAGCGTGTGAAACCCCAACCCACGATGTGGTATCGAAAGTGCGACTCATCCTAGCCGATCTGTCTGGTCTAGAGACCAATGAGATCAAAGAAGATTCACACCTGGCAGATATTGGTATTGATTCGCTCATGGGCATGGAGCTCGCTCGCGAGTTGGAAGGGGCATTCAGCTGCACTTTGTCCACAGATGCCTTGATGGAAGTGTTCAGCTTCGAAGGACTTGTTGAGTGCATTCGCCAAACACTAGGCTTGTCAGAATCTAGCGACACCTCCGACGCGAACGCAACTTCGCCAGATGCGACTGATACGGCACAAAGCTCGACAGAAGAGATGCCATGTGACTTTTCTACCTGCGAGGTTCCATCGAAAGAGTTCATCTCCGAGTCACTTCCAACGGAAGCGAAAATGGTATCTGCGAGTTCCAAAGGCCATCTCATGACACCTTCATCGGTGGTACTCGAGGCCTTTGCAGAGTGCAAAGCGCTTACGGATCACTTCATAGAAGACGAAAATTGCAATGGATATTTACGGCTTGTCATGCCGAGACAAACAGAGCTTTGTGTCGCGCTTGCAATAGAAGCATTTGCCAAGTTGGGATGTGATCTGCGCTTGGCGAGGGCTGGACAAGAGCTTAACCGCATCACCCATATACCGACGCTGCAAGGCCTTGTTGACTATGTTTATGACATGGTTGGAAAGGAGTCCGGTATAATCGAAAATCGCGGCAGTGTGATTATGCGCACATCGGTGGCAGCCCCGTCAGAGTCCAGTGCTGATATACTTCAAGCTCTCCTACATTCTGCGCCTGAGCATCAATACCCCCATATGCTGACACACTTCGCTGGGTCACGGCTTGCGGAGGTGTTGTCGGGCAAGTCAGATGGCATAAAAGTGATATTTGGCACGGACGAGGGAAGACAACTTGCTTCCGGTCTATATGCAGATTCGCCATTGAACAAACTTTCATATATGCAGATGCAGGATTTTGTCAAGCGGTTTGTTTCAAAGTTGCCAGAAATGAATGGGCCGCTGAAGGTCCTGGAGCTTGGAGCTGGGACTGGAGGAACCACAAAGTGGATCGTTCCGCTTCTGGCCGATCTCGGAATCCCCGTCGAATACGTGTTTAGCGATCTCTCGTCGTCATTTGTCGCCGCTGGAAGAAAGAGATTTGGGAAGAAGTATCCTTTCATGAGTTTCAGAGTCTTTGATGTCGAAAAGGAATGTGAGCAGAGCCTTCTGGGTACACAGCACATGGTATTGGCCAGCAACGCAGTGCATGCAACTCACAATCTGAAGAAGTCTTTGGTAAATATCAGACAAACTCTGCGTCCTGACGGGTTCATCGTCATCCTGGAGATGACAAGAACCATTTATTGGGTGGACATGATTTTTGGCCTCCTGGAGGGATGGTGGCTTTTCGATGATGGACGTCGACATGCGATCGCTCACCAATCTCGGTGGAGGGACGATCTTTACTCGGCTGGATACAGCCATGTTGATTGGTCTGACGGCAATCATCCAGAAACGACGATCCAACGTGTCTTTCTAGCACTCAATGGGGAAGAAGCCAGATCGCCGCCGGCGTCGGACATAAAAGCACGACAGGGAATGATTGATGCCTACGTAGAGAACTATACCCGAGACTTTATGGTCCCAGATTCGCCCTCGGGCTGTTCTGTCGCGACGGACGGTTTGTGCGTTTTGGTGACTGGAGCGACGGGTAGTCTCGGCTCACACATAGTTGCGCATCTGTCTCAGCTACCCCAGGTGCAGACAGTCATCTGCTTGAATCGGAGGGGGCAGATGGACCCGCGCGAGCGCCAGCTCGATGCCATGAAATCGCGAGGGATTCGAGAGGCCAACTTCTCAAAGCTTGATATTATCGAAACAGACACTGCAAGCCCAATGCTTGGATTGGAGCAGCATCAATACAACCACATTGCATCAAGGATTACGCATGTTGTTCACAACGCATGGCCAATGAGTGGGAAGCGCCCGTTGAAAGGTTTCGAGGGTCAGTTCAAAGCCATGCGGAGTCTCCTTGATATTACCAGTGCAGCAGCCTCCGTACAAGGAATCATGATCGGCTTCCAGTTTGTATCATCCATCGCAGTCGTTGGTCACCAGCCCACCTTGACTGGTAACGCGTTGGTTTTGGAGGAACGAGTGCAGACAGCGGCAGCAGTTCTTTCGAATGGGTATGGTGACGCCAAGTGGACATGCGAGCGAATGCTTGATCACACATTGCACAAATATCCGCAGAGTTTCCGGGTCATGACGGTTCGTCCAGGGCAAATTGCTGGCTCCAGTACGAGTGGGTATTGGAACGAGATGGAGCATCTGAGCTTCATGGTGAAATCTTCCCAAACTATTGGGGCATTCCCCACACTGGATGGCATTCTTTCTTGGACCCCGGTAAACGACGCGGCGGCCGTTCTATGTGATCTCATCAGCCATTATACCAGCTCATCGTACCCCGTATATCACGTTGACAATCCTGTGCGGCAGCCGTGGGCTGAAATGACCCAGATTTTGGGCGAGGCTATCGGCAGTGAGGTTGTTCCGTTCGACGAGTGGCTGCAGCGAGTTCACAATTGTTCCTCATCGCTTGCATCTGGGAACCCCGCGGCTAAACTGATTGAATTTTTTGAACACGACTTTACGCGTATGTCCTGCGGAGCCTTGATGCTCGATACCACTCGGGCTTGTGAGCACTCTAGCTCATTGAGGGCTGTCAGGCCTGTGAGCGTAGACCTGGCTCGAAGGTATATTCAGTCGTGGAGATTAGCCGGCGTTTTGAAAGACTGAGCTCGCGTGTACGACAAGGATCGGGGACGCGCTGTAGCGATGGCCATAGCGATGTGGCGCGATTTTGAAGTTGAGCATAATGTCGGCTTTTTAAGATCACCAAGTGCATTAGTACTTGGTTCAAATTCAGAATGTAGGGATTGTAACAGACGCGTTGAAGACCGCGATGAGCTCCTGTGGATCAACCAAGATGTGGGGAGCCTCTGATGCCCTATGCCCCTTTCGGCCTAGTGTCCCGATTAGCCCGTTTCGGCCTGATTTCGGCCTGATCTCGCTCTCTCCGCTTGGTTTTGTGAGAAACGAAGTTACCATCATTGCTTCTATTTGAGTACACTTTGTTGTGATTTATCATCTCTATTGTGGCATACGGAGTACTGGCCAGTGGGCCATATTTTTATTCTGCCAGTACAAGCAGGCTCCTTAGCTAGATCAACATCTACGGTGGGCTTAAAATATATATCCTGCCAGCTCCCAGTACGGAGTACGACTCGCTGTTCTCCATGGCTAGACACTGGCGCGCGGTGTGTGATACGTCAATACCTGGTACGAGGCGACATGTAAGTCACAGTCGGTTTTCCTCGACCAACGCGTCACTCAACTTCACTTTCAACGCGCGACGTACTTGCTCTATCATGTCTCCAACGTCATAATCCCAGATCTTGTGGGATCGAGACTCTACCTCGGCGTGACACCGGATCGGATCTCTTTCGCACGCAGTGGCCTGCCACTCAAACAGCTCCCCCATGAACCGACTGCTCTCTATCAGCCATTGAGTGCGCCCATATCGCACACTCTCGTATGCGGAAAGTGCAGCACTGATAGCACTATTCGTACTGGTTGGGCATTTCCCGGCTGCGAGAGTTTCGTTGATGTCCTTCAGTGCCACCGTCAGAGCGAGGGCATCTTCGATAGCAGAACCCGCGCCAGCTCCGTGGTGTGGAGCGGCAGCATGGGCTGCATCGCCAACAAGGCAAACGCGTCCGACATGGGACACGTAACGTGGCACTGGGTTCTCGCGCAAGTCAAAAACTCCCCATTTGTCTAATCTGTCGTCCAGTAGGTTCATTATCTCCTTTACGACCGGTCCAAAGTGGGCGAACGATTCAAGCACCTCTTTCTTCGTTGCCGGTACAGTTACCTCGCGGGTGTCGGGCCAGTCGTCTGTGTCGGTGACGAATGCAACAACGTTCAGCAGAGCACACATTGATACGGGGAAGGTAAGGACATGGCACCCTGGTCCAAGATGCATAAAACGCGTCAAGGACTTCTCCCTTCCAATGGCTTTGATGGCATCGTCCATCGGGACGACGCCGCGAAATGCAAACTTATGGGTGTAGGATGGGCGGACCGCCGGGTGATCGACGCCCAAAACATGCTCCCGAACCCGCGACCGAAGCCCATCGCACCCAAGCACCACGTCGGCATTTGAAGTGGAACCGTCGGCGAAGCGGAGAACAACTGTGCGGTTTTCAGCGTCCTCTGTGATGTTGACCAAATTCTTGTTAAACTCGACACAATCATAAGGTAACAGCTTCACGAGTTCGTTCAAAAAGTCGGTCCTACGGCATCCTTCAAACCCCCTTTCGCCAAGATACACCTTGAACAACAGCTCTTCGTCGCCCTGCTGCGATTTGCTGAATCCGTCTACATATTGAAACCAGTTCTCAGTGTTTGGTGTTGCAAGCTTTCTAAAGACCGCGTGGATTCTCGGGTCTAGCAAAAGCATTGCTCGTTCGGCATTCGGAGAAAGGCCGATTCCTGCTCCGATCTCACGAAAGCAATTGGCGCGCTCGTATAACTTGACGCGTATTCCTTTGGAAAGAAGCCCCAAGGCTGCAGTCACGCCTGCAATACCGCCCCCGATGATACCTACCTCGACGCAATTGTCTGATCGCATATCAATTGAGTTGTCTAAATTTTTCCTGATAGCCATTCAGTTCTCGATTTATATGGACACATGATGCCAGCAAGCTCACCGCGCACCAATGTGATGCTCAAGAGGATCAGTCCAAGCAATTGGGCCCAGTGCAACCGCACGGAGTATCTTTTTGTCCGTAAGGTTGATTTGCCTATAGTCGGATGATATCAAATACCGTACAAGTGTAACAATTGTGGGTACATCGTCGCAATGGTCTCGACCTCTATCGATTCCAAAAAAATCAACCTCGCTGTATCTTGAAAGCATTTCTGCATAACTACCAGAACATCTTGGTTTCAGCGCCATATTCCCGACGGCTTTTTTGAGGAATGATCTCAGTGTACCAAGACGTCATTGGGCAACTCCCAATACTAAAGACATACAATCACGGCACTCTGGGCTTCAAGATTGAAAATGAGTCCGACCGAGCGGAGATTGTTCTGGCTTTGGAAGATGCTACCAGAAACCTCACAGCCAACTTTCCCTGGCTCGCCGGAGCTGTGGTCAATGAGGGAAGTGGGCCAGGAAACTCTGGAACCTTCAAAGTCGTCGATTGGCCAGAAAGTGCCAGTTCTTCAAATGGAATCCTATCTGTCAGAGACTATACGAACCAACTTCCATCATTCGCAGAGTTCGTTCGTAAGAAAGCTCCCTGCTCAATGATTGATGGAAAGCTGGTAGCCTCCTATCCAGGGTTTCCAGAAAGCTATCAAGATTCTGCGGAGAGGCCGTCGCCGATACTCGCCATACAGGCCAACTTCATCAGAGAAGGGCTGCTGCTAAACTTTTCCTCGCAACACAACGCTATTGACGCAAGCGGAATGATGCAAGTCATCGGCCTTTTCTCAAAAGCAATGCAAGGTACTGAATTCAGTTCTACTGCTATAAGGGAAGGCAATCGTGATCGCAACACGCTCATACCCCTCATTCCACCCGGAGAACCCATCAAAGATCATAGCCACCTTCAGATCCCACCGGATTATGTTCCTTCGCCAGCTTTCTCCTTTGACCAGGTAGCTCGGTGGGGCTACTTTCTTATGGATGCCTCGGCAGTCCCCAAAATCAAAGCCGCGGCCTTGCAATATCAAGAAAATGACCCATCTGTACCGTTCATCTCCAGCAATGACGCGTTGAGCGCATTCTTTTGGAAGTGTCTCGCTGATGTTCGCACGCAAAATGGGCGATCACCCAAGATGGTGACCAAGTTTCTGCGCGCGATTGACGTGCGCAGAGCGATGGCTATTCCGCCCGAATATATGGGGCACATGGTTTACCATGCCGCGACACGGATGACCTTCAAGGATCTCCAGGAAAGCCATATCTCGACCGTCGCCCGCAAGCTGCGCACGGATCTGAATGAAGCCAACAACCAATTCTCCGTTCGGAGCTATGTGACCTACATTGCTAACACACCCGACAAATCGCGGATAATTTATGGGGGTTTGTTCAATCGAGACACAGATGTTGGGGCGTCTGCTGTGGCTAATGCTGATTTTTTCCATTCTTTTGGTGTGATTGGTAGGCCCTTGTTTGCAAGAAGACCTGACTTGGCCCCAATCCCGGGTTGTGTGTATTTTATGCCGCACGAAGCCCAGCATTTACCTATTTTGGTCTGTTTGCGAGATGATGACATGGTTGGGTTGAAGAATCATCCACAATGGGGCAAGATCACTGAGTTTATAGGATAGAGGCAAGTTTGGCAAGTGCTATACTGATCTTGACCATGTATCTCTGCTTGTTTATGAAAATCAAAGTTCGTTGAGTCTTCGCGAAACAAATGTCTCGAGATAGAGTGATTGCCTTTGCCTACATCTTCCACGCTCACACGGTGGGTCAAACTCGACCAAAGGCCCCAGTCAAACTCGCCAATCGACCTAGTTGGTGGATGTCATTACCACCTGGACTTTTTCCCGAACCATCAACTGGTCAATTCAAGGTATCACCAGCCCATGAAGCAGCACCAAAACAGACTTATTTAGGCCGATCACAGACACGTTTGACGACAGTCTCCACGCAGCTGCCAGAGAACAGCTCCCAAAATACCCCACACCCATCTCAAAGGTTTCCCGCCGTTACGTCGACCCCCGTCGCTTTCCAGCCCATCTCCCTTCGTCAGTCCTCACCCCCGGGATCGCCGTGACTATCACAACATTGCATCTTGCTATTGAACGCCAATGAGGCATTTATGGCCGACGGGGGTCATGAAGACCCATGCACGCTGTCTCATATCGAGATCTGACATTCCTCCATCTGTGGAAACCACAGCCGTGGGAAACTTGCGAAAGAAGTTTGAAATTCCAAGTCTGAGCTCGGTATGAGCTAAGTTGATCCCAATGCATGCTGATGTTTGAATTAAGGTCAGAATTTCGGGAAATACCACGTTGCCTTTCACGGGGTCCTTACATCTGGTGCCGGCCCCAAAGCCCATGTAAGCTTCCTCCATCTCTTTGGTCGGGGATATCCATCGATCGGGATCAAATCTACCGGACAGTCAGCAAGCAAGGCTACAAAACCCTCAGACAAGGAGTACTGATTGCTTTCCTCAATGGGTCAGGGAAATACTTGTGTGATCGATGAAGGCTGTAGCACTGTGTCGAAACAGTTGCACCGCCGGGGATGAAGAATCCCAAAAACTGCGCCCCTTCCGGAGGAACCTCACGCGGGAGAACCGATGGAACAGCAGCGTACAGCCGGACGGACTCACGAATAACACAGTTGAGATATGGCAGACTTCGGACGTCGCTATGCTTGAAACCGTCCGAAAGCATCGAGATTTCCGCCACAAGCTTGTCTCTCACCTCTGGGTGCTTGCAGATCGCCCACACGGCGAAGGTCATGACAGTGGCGGTGGTATGACTACCGGCAGTGATGTTAGATCCGGCAAGGTTCTTGATCTGCTCATCCTTAAAGCCTTTGTCACCATTGTTGAAGAGCGGTGTGAAGAGAGTTGGCTTTGGATCTGCCTCCCAAAGTAACCTCTTGTATGCATCGAGCGTCCTCTGGGCCCAAATCGCAGCTCGAGGGCCCGCGTTGAGAAGTTTGTTGAAAATGGGCAGCTTCAGTCGAGCTGCAATTGCAACGACCCACGGCATTGTGGTTCTGACGGCATGCACAGGCCCCAATCCTTCGAGATACTCGATTATATAGCGACTTTCTTCTTCTCCCCGTAGTATATTGACACTCGTTCCATAACTGAGTTCCGTGATAATGTCGAGCGCCATGTATATCCACCACTTCAAAACATCAATGTGCCCATGCTCTTCAAGTTGCTCCTCCATCTTACCCAATGCAAGTGACATTTTCTCCCACACTACCGGCTCTAGCTTTTGCAGGTAGCTATCTTGGAATGGTCCTCCAAGAAGACGGCGCCATCGGGTGTGCATCCGCGGGTCAGTGATATTCATGAGGGTCCACACACCCGGCGGCGCTAGCGAGAGGTACCACTTTCCCTTGATGTAACCTCTGTCGAGCTTGTGGATCGTATGTACGGCTCCAATGTCGGAGATATTCACATGTCCAGGGGCATACCGCACGATTGGGCCTATGGAACGTGGCAATTAGTTATCTTGATGTAGTTGTTACTGCGGATATAGCCCACCGTATTTTTCATGTAGACTGTGGACATATTCGTGTCGATAGCCACGAACATAGTAAAATGTGTCTACTATCCCAGTGAGCTTTGAGATAAATGGACCAGGGACTTTGGACAAAGGGTCTGTCAAGACTCGGTAAAGAAGGGCTGAAGCTGTCACAAGCAGTGACCACCCTAGGATGAAACGGAATGTGATAAGTGATAATATTTCGAGGATGACCTCCATCAAGCTTCCAGACATAATGATTCAAATATGTACTACTCGATAGTCCTCACAAGTCTCAAGATGAGATTCAGTCCGAATAAACGTGTATTAATACGTTAGCCTACAGTGTTTAGAATGTCCGATTGCTCTAACAATTTGTACCGCACCGCTTAGAGAAAGAACATTGTAAAGCCAATGTTTCACGAAGTCCTCATTCTATGTAACCCTTGATCTTTGTACCGGGAGAAGATGATGAGTCCCCTAAAGTCAGATTCCGCATCGGTGTTCGGAAATCTGAACCCCGTTCAGCGTTGGGTCATCATTATGTCAGTGACATGAAATTACCGCTGGAGATGGATGTTTTTCGGACTGAAGATTTTGTGGTGTTCATCATCTATGTTCAACTTCACTCACATAGTTTGAGGCTGCATGTTATGTCTTTAGACAGCAAGGAGAGCAAAACCAGCCCAGTTGGCCAGAATGTATATGACTTAGTGACAAGTATATCAACCTCAGTTTCCACCGTCAAAACAGGAAAACCATGATCAAAAGATGTTCAAATGATCATGTATAAGTAGCCTCGAGATATAAACTTAACGAGATACCGACTCAAGATGTACAGCGAGGGGCGGGAGATTGGCGAAGTCACGAGACGAGGAAATCGAGAAGGTCGAGCCTTCCTCATTGGTAACCGGTGGTCGCCTTCCCTTTCGGGCTCCCCTCGGGTTATCTCCGCCACACCACAGTCATATCTCCGGGCGTGCTACGGGCGTGCTACGGGCGTGTTATTTCTCCCTTCCCTTCTCTCTTCCTTTCCCTTCTCCTTTCCCACAACCTTTCTCTTTCTGCTCTTCAATCGAAATTCCATTCTACCAAATTAAATTGGTCCGACAATGGAAGAAGCTCAGAAGGCCTTGGCCGCCGCTGCAGCGGCCGTACCCTTCCCGACAGGCTGGAAGCTGGGTTTCATCCTGGTTGCCATCGCCTTGGTAACCTTCACCGTCATGCTGGATGCGTCCATTCTTGCCACTGTGAGATTTATCAACGTGCTCAAATCTGATTAATTTTACTGACAGACGATTGCAGGCTGTTCCTTTCATTACCAATCACTTCCATTCCTTGTTGGACGTGGGTTGGTATGGTAGTGCTTATCAACTGGCAAGGTGAGTATAGATCGTCATTTACGACTTAGGGCTATAGGTCTCTAACACGCTCTCACTAGTGCTGCGTTCCAGCCATTCACCGGAAAACTCTATGCAAATCTCCCACTTAAGGTAATATCCGTTTTTAATATCGCAGAAACATTACTGACGTGTTTAGTGGACATACCTCGCGTTCTTCCTGGTCTTCGAACTTGGTTCTCTTCTCTGTGCCTTGTCGACTTCTTCCAAGATGTTCATCGTTTCGCGCGCCATTGCCGGTCTTGGATCGGCGGGCCTTCTGAATGGAGGCTTGACTATGGTTTCCGAGTTCATGCCCAAGGAAAAAGCTCCAGGTAAGGAATCTGGCACCGCTCTCCTCAACGCAAAATACTAACAATCTCCACTTTAAGGTGTCATCGGCGCATTGATGTCAGGTATGTTGTGCAGGATCTATCGTGCTTCACACTTGCTAAAATTTGAATCACAGTCACTCAACTGGGTTTGGCTTTCGGTCCAATCCTTGGCGGTGCGTTCACCGAGTTTGTCACTTGGCGCTGGTAAGCTTTGCAGATGTACCCTCCAGTCCTCTCTACGACGCACTGACACGATAAAACAGGTGCTTCTGGCTGAACCTGCCAATCGGTGGTGTGGTGATTCTTCTCCTGGCCTTCATTGATATGACCGATAGGACCCCAAAGCCAAAGGGAGCCGAGCTTCGTCAAGCCCTGCGTGAGTCTCTTGATCTGATGGGTCTTGTTCTTTTCGCGCCTGCCATGATTATGCTTTTCCTTGCACTTCAGTATGGCGGCAATCAATACCCATGGAAAAGCGCAACCGTCATTGGCTTGTTCTGCGGCTTCGGTGGTATGCTTGCGGTCTTCCTGCTCTGGGAATCCCGACGTGGTGCCAATGCGATGTTCCCTTTCGCGATTGTCGGCCAGCGCACCGTTTGGTCTAGCTGCCTTAGCTCCTTTTTCATCGCCGGCGTTACAGTCTCTGGAGCCTATTACCTCCCGATCTACTTCCAAGCTGTTGAGGGAAACTCGCCCATCCGGAGTGGTGTCTATTTCCTACCCAACATTCTGCCTCAGGTCACTTTCTCTCTGTTCACTGGAGGACTCAGTAAGCCAACACCCTCTTGTTCAACTTTGTAGTTTGATGGAGCTAACATAAATATAGTCATGGCGTGGGGCTATTACCTCCCATCGGTTGTCTCTGGTTGTGTCTTGGCCTCCATCGGATACGGACTTCTCACGATGCTCACTCCTGGTTACTCGATCGCCAAACGTGTGGGATATCAGATCATTGTGGGAGTGGGTATTGGCTCGGCTACTTCAGTGGTAAGTTGCATGATGATGGATACATGGCTTGTTGTCTTCTAAAACCCTGAACCTCGTGACTGACAAAATTCATTTTAGCCAATGATTGCGGTGCAGAACCTGATCCCCCCAGCGGAGATGTCCATTGCCATGGCCGTTCTGGTGTTCTCTCTGAACATGGGAGCCTCCCTCTTCCTGCAGTTCAGTACCGTGATTTTCTCCCAGAGCCTCCAGTCCGCGCTTCCTAAGTATGCTCCCAAGGTCGACCCAAAGATCATCCTCGCGGCCGGCGCAACGCACTTCCGCCAGGTTATTCCCGTGGACGCCATTCCCGATGTTCTTAAGGCCTACTCGGAGAGCATTACCCATGTCTTTTACCTTCTCACCGCGCTTGCTGCCGCCGGCTTCGTTACCTCATCCCTCATGGGAATGAAGCGAATTCGCAAGACCAAGCCTGCCGCCCAGGACTCGGATATCGCCCTTGAGAATACTGATAGCGCTCCCAAGAACTCTGGCACCGGTTAGAACCAGGCCTTTCCGCAGAACAGTAGTCTGACCCGCACTGTTCCATTGCGTTTACTGGTCGCTTTAGATGGACCCTCTCCACTCTTGCTCTCTCCACTCCGCACTCTTGAGTGCTTTTTCTCAATTTCGATCTCGTATGGAGGTCTTTTGCTATTTTTGTATCGACTGGATTGCTCGTTGCTCGCCTGTACCATCATCGTTGAATACGGTCTCTTTCCAAGGTGTTTCAGGCGGATATTTCATTGCAAAGTTCCACGATAATTTGTTTGTTTTACTTTCATGGAATCAAACTTCTGCGCTCATTCGGCGTTTTCAAATGAAGTCACTCAGTCCTAATTTACTTAAAAAAATTCAAAGCCCTTTGCTTGAAACTCCAAGGTCCCAATCAAAATAGTTACGAGCTGTAATACTAAGTTCTTTAAGAAAAGAAGGATATCCTGTCACCTTCTGAAACGATCTACAAGCTTACAACAACCTTCCTTGCACTGACTCCCCTTTTGTGGACATCCAGTGCCTCTTGAACATATTCAAATCCTTTCCCGACGACCTGGGGCTCAGGTGCAGCAACATAACCCCCTCCAGCCAGCGCACCGGGGAGAAAGTCTTGATAGATTACCTTGCCCAACTCACTTCGACCAAGCTCCGCACCCTCAACAAAAATCGTTGTGACTCCGTTCTTCGATCCCATCTCGCTGATCCTATCATTCCAACCATCCACCCACTTCATATACTCCCAATATTCCTCCTCATTTGCCGGGTCATCCTTTGGCCAAGGAAAACTTGCCTTAGCGACTATTTTGCGACATGAATCCCCGAGTTGACCCAAAATACTGATTGAAAGTTCCACAGACCCGGGCCCAATGGCAAACGCGCCAGCGACTTCTACTCCCCTCAATACCGTGAGCAGATCCTCTTCAAGTGTGGACGTGTTATAATCAAAGGCGTACACTGCCCCCAGCCTTTTGACGAGAGGAAAGTTGTGCGGGGAGCACGTGGTAACGACCTTATAACCACTCGCCCGCGCAAGTTGGATAGCATTGCATCCAACGGAGGTTGCCCCGCCGGTGATCAAGATATATTGCCCATTCAAAGGGCGTGGTGGATAGGATGGGTACGGCAATTGAAGATAAGACTCTTGGTACAAGGCACACGATGCAGCCGAACAAGCCAACGGAATGACACTGGCCTGCTCGAAGGACAGCGAGTCAGGAATCGGGGCGGTCATATTCTCGCGGACGATCGTGTATAGCTGGAAGCAGCCCTCTTCTACCCGATTGCCGAAAACATAGAAGCCGACAGCGTGTGCAATCACTCGATCACCGACTTTGAAGCGAGTGATCTCGTCCCCGATCTCGACAACTTCGCCAGCGACGTCCTCGCCGAGGATCCAAGGGTATGTCATCCATTTCCATTTCTTGTCGCCCACGAACTGCTTCGCCCAGTCGATTGGATTCACAGCAATCGCCGCATTCTTCACAACGATTTGCTTAGAATCTGGCCGTGCATATGATGCTGGTTTTACTTCGAGGGGGATTTGTTGACCGACCAGCCATGCTGCTTGATTGGTTGGCATCATTTCGCATGATACTTGATTGTGTTTGGAGTAGATGTTCTCCATCAGCTGATTTGACATCTGTGACATTAATTCGACTTACACTTCTTATAGTTGCAGCGTGGTCGGGGTTGGTGCAGAAAAGTCCGTTCCACTTTGGGTAACGGTTACTCGGAACGAGCCGGTGCTAGTGTACCTCTACCTTGGATCCTCGGAGGTTATTTGAATCCCTTTTCGTCCGTCGCTCCATTGCCTGCGGAAATGCTGAAAACCAATTCCGAAGGCTGCGCTGGGTAGATGCTAGAGGATACGAGTCTCATAAAAGAATTTCCCTCCCACCATAGTTCCACTAGCATGTCTCGAATTCTGACTGAGGCCACTCACAACAGTCCCCTAATTTTCCGATTTGAAATATCCGGTCTGCGAGTTGGAAGGACTAGGTTCAATGTTCAATCAGCGTCCACGGGATGTGCAATCGGCTCGGACCCGGCAGTTGGCGTGGGTGGTTATGTTCCCAAATTACATCAATCCAGCGGACTTCTCCAAAGGCCTGATCTGGGCATTCAAGAATTTCCTTGTTCTTCAATCAAAACTCCTTCCTCTTCTGGCGTCAGCCAGGACATGCTATCATTGAGGGTCATCTGCATTTATTTGGACCCCGAAACTTAACGAATTCCAAATAATTCCAACCATTCGGACCTGCAAGCAAGGTCTGCTCCCAAGTTACTCATCTTTTGTACCGGTCAAGTCGTAAGGGACAACTCCCTATCAGCGGGCTCGGGAAAATGCGTCATGCGAAGCCGACGCTGATCATGATCAAAGGCTAAACGCTTAAATCCACTTTCACATCCACAACCGCCGAGCTCCACCGATGAAGATAGATTGAGCCGACGAGCTTAAACACCCTTTTTAGCGTGCATTAGATCTACGTGCCAAATCAAAACTGTACTATGATCATACTAGACGTAGCTGCATCTCTAGCCTCTCGCGTGCCCTCGCCGGGAAATTTCCAAGGTTCAACCAATAACGCGGATTCCAGATCTAAAGCGTGGGGCGTGGGTATGTACACCTATTGCGACCGTCCCACGAGATTAAAAATATCCAAGTCCCGAGGTCCACAGCTCTCATGGTTATGGGGGTTTCTTTGGGATTTGTACAACGTGTACGTGTGTGCTGTCGACCTGGTCACGACGTGGAGCTACGCGACCCTATTGGGCCAAAGGAGAGATTCCCGTGTCCGGTACATAGTATATCTAGACTTAGTACCCAGAGCCTCGCATCCAGGGTCCATGTGTTTTCCCCGCGGTCAAAGTTCAGGGCTTTGCTGTGTGCCTAGATCGGGCTGTAGCACGCTATGATGATACCACTTGCCCATCGAGCCATGACCACCGCTAGATTTTGCTGGAATACGTAGCCTAACGAGACCGTCAGAGAGATCAAACCTTTCATTATGTTGTTGTTGACATGACTTAAGCCTTTGGCAATTATTTTTGAAAGAATATTGACTAGTTCTGACCATACATGTAGATAAACCTTGAGCTGCCCCCACGCCGGTGGAAGATAACAATATCTTGAAACGCATCACCCCATCTACAAATCCCCCGTGCTCTTCTGGTCAGATTGCTCCTTCCAAATCTGCGCTTTCAGTGTGACAGTGCCTTGGCTCCGCTTGGCCGAGGACACCCTCACGTTTGGCTTGAATTGTGTGATAGTGTTTGACCATTCCAAATAATGACCACGTGCAAAACTGGTCCTCTCCAATAGCAATCACTTCTGATCGGCATAATGTGATCGGCCACACCCTACTGCAGAGAAATTTCGGAATAGTTGCACCTCCTCCGGTCAGCGGTTAACCAATGCGGCTATCTAGCAACGATGATAGATCACTCTGATATCAGCCGAACAACCGACGTGTTCGGGTAGCCAGCTGGTACATCTTGTCCCCGAGCAGCTCTTCATACCACCTCGTTCTCGTGTGATCGCAAAAGAGCAAGGTCCAGCTGGCTAACACGGATTGATGGATGCAACTGTGTTCACTTAATGCATACTTCTTGAATTGATGTCAGTCCACAATATCCGCCCAAAGTAGTCTATTGGAAATGGGAACTGGTGCATCTTGAGGCTCTACTTACCAATTATAGATAGAGAGTATGGCTAGCTTTTAGTGGGTCTAATCAGAACCTTGTGGATGGTCTGGCTGGGTCTAGAAATGAAGCTCGATAATTAGAGCTCGTGCAAAGAACTGATACTTCCAGCCGAAACGTCGCGAGGCTACTCAAAAGCCCATAACTGCCGATGGGTACAAACTTTTCGAGGTTGATTTGAGGTAATGGCTCCATCCAAAGTTTCAACGTTATAAACACTGTCACCACCGAGTCCCAGGGTGCGTGGTTAACTCAGATACATCTTCCGAGAACTGGAGCCGAGGCAAGTGGCCGTAGCCTCAAATCAGATTCCAAGTATTTGCAATGTCAGGATCACGACAGCAACCAGGTCTAGTAAGCCATAACCCTTTAAGTGAAAGTACGACACCGAAGACTGATGAGTCAGGCATGCGAGGAATGTCGTAAAAAGAAGCTTCGATGCGATAGGCGACGTCCTCAATGTAACCAGTGTGAAGATTCAGGTACAGCCTGCTATGTGAATGAAGTTCGGTCCCCACGCGGTCCTAAGAAGGGCCATCTCAAAGCGTTGCGAAACCGCATTGGTGGGTGAGCTAGGGATATTGACATTGATGCTCGACTAATATCAGTGACAGCCACCCTTGAAAGTATCATCAATTGTGATCAGGCTAGTGCCGAGAGACCTCGAGCGGAGACCCAGAGCTATATTCCAGTAGACGAGATGTCCCACATCTTGAGCCCCCCCGCAAGAATATGTCATCCACTCCACGATCTCGGAGCCCAATACTGGGTCGCGCTCTTTTGACGAGTCGCCCATCACACCCACAACTCCCTCAGACCAAGAAAAAGAAACTGCCGATATGATTGAGGCAGATCTGTAAGCACCACATTGTTGTTCCATTTACCGGGGGCTCACTTTATTGACAAAGCATTCAGAGATCAACTTTATTTTGATAGGGTGCACCCCATCGCACCCATGCTTCACCAAGCTCGCTACTTCTGCTGGTCTCAAAGAAGCAACAAGCCAGACCCACATTTGTGTCTACAACTCGCAATGTGGGCAATGGCAGCAGCTGGATCTGCCCACTTGCAGCACATGCGCGAATCTCTTTACAGACGCGCGCGGACTAAGCTTGAAGCACTCGACAACGACATCGAGACTGCAAATGCAGCTTCCCTCCAGGCCGCACAAGCCTGGCTTCTCATTACACACTATGAGTTTCGATACATGGGCTATCGCCGCGCATGGCTCACCGCAGGACGTGCGTTCCGAATCATCCAGCTAGCCAAGCTTCACGAGATCGACCGACTCAATGACATCGGAGTCACAATATCTCTCCCAGATATCTGGACCGAGGCTGAAGAGAAGAGACGCACCTATTGGCTGGCTTACTGCCTGGATAGGTTTCTCAACATCACGTATGAGTGGTCACTGAGTTTGAACGAGGAAGCAGTACGACAACCACCCACGAAGTGTAACTGTGCTAACCTCTGCAGCTCTACACCTACCTTCCTGCATCCGAAGCAGATTTCCAGCATGGTCGGCCCACCGTAACGACACTTCTATACGACGCGATGGAAGACTCAGGCAACAAGACGCTGCCTACATTTGCAGAAACCATCGTCCTGACAACACTGTGCTGGCACAGTGTCACCTTCCACCGCGTCACACCCGATACCGACACATCTCCGAATCCATCCTCGATTTTCTGGAAGCGCCACGGTCGCTTGTATCAGATGGTTCAACAGCGACTGATGTTACTTTCGCTCCCTGCATCTGCGCCCGAACTTCACGACCCAATGCGCCTTTTCACCAACATGCTCGCTAACTCCGCAGTGATATGGTTCCACAATGTCATGGAGGCTCTCCAAATTGATATTAATGAGCAGATGCTGCTGGTACCTCTCTATTCAGCGTATGAGATAGTTACGCTGGCGAAACCACTTGTACGATCAAGCTATTTCAAGGTATTGCTGCACCCCCTCTTAACTCCCACCGAGTGTCTCACAAAGTCAATTAGGCCCATCCATTCTCTCCAATGCTGTTGTATCTGTCTGCAAACTTTCTCAAGTCTCATTCCGACTGTGGCTCTGTGTCGGAGGATAACCAGCAACGATTGGAAGAACTCAAAAAGGCCTTGCGGGTTTTACAAGGTGGCAATAACCTGGCTATGAACTACCTTGAGCTGCTTGAGTGTGAGAGTTCTCAGAAATTGTGTAGTCTCTCACCGCTTGGAGGCTCTATGTTGGAGGAGACGGAGCAGCCGTTCTTTCTGGATATTTTGAATCTGTTTTGATATCAGATTGGTTTATGTTGGAGCTGTCTACATCCACCGTTTAGCAATCCCTGATTTTGACAACGTGGCAAGGCTTATAAGCCGCCAAATAAGACAGTGGAGGTCGCTTTCCTTGATTTCACCACTCTGTACTTGTCTCTTTTGAATAAGAATGATACCACATTGAAAGCGTTTATGCATTTCTGAACTATATCATCCTCATGTGAGCTAACTAGCCACGTTCATCTACAGTTCTGCTTTCGAATTCAAGTATTCAATGTCATCCTTTTGTCTAAACAATAGATAAAGTATGCTTCGTCGTACCGGAGGGTATGTCGAAGAGGAGTCAAAGCACTTTTGACATCAATGATGATGTCATGGGCCTATGGCACTATTGATTTTTATCCAAAACAAATAAATTCATGCAAGGGGTGGATGTGGTATCGGTGGCTGGATTACTATAGACCCCTCGGCGCGATGGGGATCTGACCTGTCCGCAGTCACCGATTATGCCGCGCTCTATCGCCGACTCTGTCGTGTTGACCGAGGCTTCGTTCTGTCCACCGTTCATGGTCTTGCTCTCTATTAACCTCCAATCCATTGAACGATTTACAGTCAATTCACGAACTTATTTGATCTAATATGTGTTTCAAAGAAAACATGACATTATGCGCCAAAGTCTTTTGGCGGGTGTTTACTTTGTTTGGGACCTCATGGTGGCTCTAATCGGCCTGTAGGCTCAGTTGGGCTTTGAGGAGGGCCAAAGCCCACTACGCTACGCAGGGTTTGTCTATACACTGGTATGGTGGATAATCATCACTTCAAGTGCATCTTGCAAGTTCAATGGGCAGAAAATGACTTTTGTTTGTTCGTAAAACTGCAAGCTGAAAGTTGAAATCACACCATCGCTGCGTCTCATATGGGTAGTTGCAGGCGATGAAGTTTTGTGCAAAATGTGTTTCCTCAGATGTAGACCACATACTTGGCAGCGGATGCACCTGCATTCATGTGTCGGTACATGGCCTCTTGAATAGTACCCAAGCCCTTCCCGACAACGATTGCCTTGGGTGCAGCTTGATATTGCTTCTTTTCCAAAGCGGTAGGCAGGAAGTCCTCGTAAATCAGATTTCCCACCTCATTGTGAGCCAAGGTGCTCCCAAACACCATCTTCGTTTTCACGCCAGAGAGTTTCGATTTGAGGAATATGGCAAAGTTGGACCACACCAAGCCAGCGACAGCACGGACAAACTCAAAGTCGGTCGGTGGGATCTTGGATGGGAACTTGAAACTGATTTGCGCAACGAACTTGTTGCCCTTCGTGCGCGACAGAATGTCCATGCATGCCTCGGTTGACCCGTTTCCGATGGCGATGGCACCAGCAACCTTCTTTTGGCCGATCGCTTCGATGATCTCCTTCACGACGTTCTCATTCTTGTAATTGAAACACTCGGTAGCCCCCAATCCGTGCACGTATTCGAAGTTCGAAGGAGAGGCAGTGGCGATAACTTCGTAGCCGGCGGCTTTGGCAAGTTGGATTGCATTGCTGCCAACACTCGAGGATCCTCCCCAGACCAGCACGACCTCGCGGGAATGTTCAGTTGCAGTCAATGTATTGAGGTTCGCGACGTCGGGCTTCTGAAGGGCAAGGAAGTCTTTCTGGAACAGGGCGCACGCAGCAGTGGAGAGACCAAGAGGGAGAACACATGCCTCCTCAAAGGACATCCAGATTGGGATCTGGGAAGCCATGTTTTCACGGATGACGGTGAACTTTTGAAAGGCGCCTTCGGAGGACTTGTTGACGTCGGGGTCCATTCCGATCGCGTGGGCCAGAACACGGTCACCGACTTTGAAGCGAGTCACGCCATCACCAACTTTGGCAACAGTACCGGCGCAGTCATTTCCGAGGATGAATGGGTACTTGATGAAGCCAAACATGAGGTCGCCCATGAGCTGCTTACACCACTCCACCGGATTGATGGCGACAGCAGCATTTTTAACAACGATCTCGTGTGAGGATGGAGCGACGAGGGGAGCCTCCCTCACACTCAAAGGCTTGCATTTGGCAGGTAGCCAGGCGGCTTCGTTTGGATCCATGATGGACGTTTGGGAGTGGATGAAAGGAGGAAAATGAGAAGAGGGGAGAAGGCAAACAATATCTCTCAACCCTCAAGTCGGAAGGAACGCAAAGTCACACTTCGGAAGATTATTTCATCTTCACCCTTTGCAACACTTCAACATGTCGGTCGTTCGGTGTTCTTCTGGTGCTGGATTGAATCCGGTGGGTGCCCTTGTACTCCGTAACCATGATGCCATTCACAATGTTATCCGCTGGTTCCTGACTCTGACCCTGACAGGTTGTCACCTTACCTCAACCAAATCAGCAGGGACATTTGACTGTCAAAATCTCTCGATATCTCCCTGGAGATGAGGTCTAGGTGGAACTCCGCTCCGATGGAGTCGGGGAAAACGGCATCTCAAAAACAAGAAAAACCAAGATCCGCAGCTCCACAATGGCTCATCATTGAGCCCCTTGGCGGGGGTGCACGCTCCATCGAAGTATATCGGATCTGAAGATCTCATACAAAAATGCATCTATCTCAAAGTGCATTGATTGAAAGAGGTTGAGATGATTGTCCAGGGGCTACACCACACGTGCCCCCGTGCAGCAGTCTCAATGGCCGACAGACGGCGCTAAGAGAAATGGCTGTGGCCCACACGGCAACAGTCACTTTAACTTTTTCTCATCTGCGACCGTACAAAAGTCCCAATGGCGTTTGAAATGTTTAAATCAAGGCCCGAGGGCTCTGGTGAATTCAAGCTGTTCCAGGGGCTGATCAACGACGAACTCACCGTCGAAGATGCCGTGCAGTGGGTCATCGGCGCAACTATGGACCGCCTGGAAGGGTATGGTTCGGGAGGGACGATCGACAGGGCCGACAAGATTACCTTCATGGCCATATTGGAACTCGCCATGAGGATCTACCAGGCTCAGTATGGTCCGTTGGTCGCTTTCTTGAAAGAACTGAAGATGTACAACGCGGTCGATTCAACGACGGGCCTGGTTCTCAAAGCACAAGACGGTAGTTGGGTGTGGTCTCACCTGCCTTCACTCACCACTTGCGCCCGCAGCATCATGGCTGAATTTGAGCGTGATGAAGACTGTAAGTGGCCTCTTCAATCCCTGTGGCTCAAAGCTAACCGCCGATCCTTGCATAGATCTATGCGACCCAAACATGGACCCCGAACAACAAATCAGATGGGCCAAGATCAACATCTTCCTCGCACAATCTACACAAGCGGCCGATGTCAAATACACCTCCTCATCGCAGGCATTCATCAGTGATGGGATGGACGAGTCTCATATTGGACTTTGTGGACTTCGCCAAATCTTCGAAGAGGGCATCCCGTCCGAGCAACTGACTTCCGGCGTCGGCCTACTCGGCGTATGCTACTGGATCATATGTGCCGGAGACCGACTCTGGGAGAATGTTCTCAACGGCCGACAATACAATAAATACGATGGCCGACCAGGTGAAATGTTTTGGAGCCGGCATTGGAGAGGCTTTGAGCGCGAACGATGGAATGTCTGGGAACAAGGTCTACGGGATGCAAAGGCTGCCTGCCTTCCTGGCCAAGAAGATGTCCAGGATTTGATCAATCGTGCTTTATCCAAGATGGAGAGCCTTTCCAGCGACCCATCATCATGTCTTTAATGTCCTTGCATATTTCCATACCTCATGAGCAATGAACTTTACGCATTATATTCACTCAACAGTCTGGATCCATTATCTTTCCTTTCACTCAGAAACTGTTACTCTGTTCTCTCTTTTGATCCGTATATGAGGGCTTGTCCAGTGTGATAATAAATCGCACATTGAGAATTTTTCTCGGATTCCGCAGGAGTGGCAACAAACATGCAGCCAACAGTAGTATGCATTAGCTTCCGTGTCATTGCAGGAGGAAATTCAGATTGAGACCGACTAGGAAGAGGTCATAGCGACCTATCCGATGGGCAGTGCATATCGCACACGAGCCGGTCTTGGCCAGTGCGAATCCCTACAGCAGTGGTGTGATATTGTATAGTAAAACTTCATGTCATTGGTACCTATTATACCTATTATGTTCTCGGAAGAGCGTGCATAGCTCAGTGTGCATTAACAAAGGTCTTGAGTTTCAATGCCGCATCCTTGTCAGCGACTAAATTCGTGCCTCGTCCCCTGATAAGAGTTTTTGGCCTGATCTTCACACACCCCCGAGGTCAGTACCACGCTTTTTGCTGTCTGGGTGTATTCTGAGACATATTCAGTATACCTAATGATCACGCTGCAAGATACAATCAATTGGCGACAATTTGTGGCAACAAGTTCTGAGTGAACTCCCAGATCAAACCACTATTATGGCCGATGAAAGCAGCCCCCGAATACCACGTATTGCGCTTCCCCTGTAAAGCATAGAGAGTATCATAGAATCCATTCTCAATACATTCAGCGCCAACACTCAGCTTGAATGGTGTATGGGATTTGAATTTGAGGACTTTTGGTGTCGTTTGTGTCAGATTCCGAGCTTTCTGGATCTTGCGGATAGCCTTAATCGCGGCCTTTTCGACTTCCGACCGCGACATATCATACGGACTGCGGAACCAAACGTAGACCACGCCTTGTATGCGAGTTCCGGTAATTTGCGACGCGCTGGGCTGCGAAGGAATGTTGTATGCTGAGTCCGAAGTATTGGTGTTGATCCACTGGAATCCGGATGGTAGGCCGCTATTGTTAAGAAGTATGGTATAGTATCCAAAATAACTCCACTGTGTGAACACTCCGAGCTCTTCCAGGTTGAGGTCAAAGACATCCAGATTGTGTAAGGTTGGAGGTATGGTGATCAAAACTTTGGATGCCTGAATCAACTTGGACCCGGAGTGATTCTTGACAGCTATTGACACGGGTCCATTAGCTGGTCTTGTGACCGCTGTGACTGTCGTTTTCGTCAACGCATTTGATCCCAATTTCTTCTCCGCCTTCCTGTAGATCTCTTTGTTGCTGTTGTGAGCATTTATGAGGCCACCTCCTGCCATTGCGTATAGGAACGCCGGATCCACCATCTTCATCACATTCACTGTAGGTTGCTGAAGAACGTTTGAAAGCCCCTGTGCACTGAAGTATAGGGCAAATGAGCTACTTGTAAGGTTATACTTGGCAAGGAAATCTCCCAGGGGCAAAAGCAGGTCCGGATCAACGGGCTGTGGAACTTTCCAAGTGGAGTCTAGCCAAGGATACTTGGCAAGCTGGGCAGCCCATCCACTGAAATCTTGACTGGCGTTCAATTGGACAGGTCGACCTGTAGTGAAATCGACCGTTTGAAAGGTAAGATTTGGACCTCTGTAGTTGATCAAAGGAACGTCCAAGTAGGCGAAATAATCGAGGGTAGTGGAGCTGTTCATAAATGCTTGCAATCCATAATCGATCGTCAGATTGGTAGAGCGATCGGTATGAGTGTTTGTGTGGCCACCCAGGTGTTTCTTTTTTTCGATGAGGACAATTTTTTGGCCCATCTTCTGCAAGTTGATGGCAGCGTAAGTTCCCGCCGAACCACCTCCAATGATCGCAACATCGACGACAATTGTATCCTCGGGAGCATAGCCTTTGGGGTCAATGAGGTTGCCAGACGCCAAAATCACTAGTAGCGAGGTAATCCACGTGGAGAGTTTCAAGAAAGACATGATCGTGAACGACGAGCCTGATGCTGTTGAAATGAAGCGTTAGTAGTCAATTTTGGCGATCTATTTTTGGTCTTCATAATTCAGCAATCTCACCCGGGTGTTTTCAAATGCAGGAGACTTCTTCTTCTTCTTCAAAGCTCTGGATTGATTAGAAAAAACAACGAGAGGCTTTCCAAAGAGTGACGACTCTTCGATGCATCGGCAACTTCTGTGACTACAACCTTGGAACTGCTAATGGGGTAAATATCACAACTCTTGAGGTTACCCAAGTGGAACAACTCCAATCACCATGTAAAACTAGATTTTACTTGCGCTACTCTATATAAAGGGTTACCAGCATCTATCGAATATTCCATCCAAATGGTATATTTGTGACATTCGAGGTATTGCGGCAGGATTACCGCTATTGGTAGAGACAAGTGCGTTGCTTTGCTTTTTCCCAAATCCGGTAGATCAGAACTATAAGATGGAGAGAATGTGCAAACCGATGCTGTAGACAACGATGGAAAAGCTGAAGGACATGAGAGTGCAGGCAAAACATTTGTCCCAGTCCATTGTAGACCTTCCTCCTTCAGCGCTTTGCTTTTGGAGTTCCTCTCTCCAAGTTTCAATGTCAAGAGCCTCATAACGCGTTCGGTTGGTCGCACAAATTAGGAAGGGACATCATCGGGATTCAAACATCCCGCCCCCGAAACCCGACATCTCTCACTTCAAACAACATACATCGACCTTCCTTGGCTTTCAGCAAAGCACAAGATATTTGATTCGCGATGAAACTCATCGTTACTGGTGCGACTGGTCTGCTGGGCACCGAGATCATTCGGCAGACCCTGCACATACCCGAGATCACCGAAGTCATCGCCTTGGCCCGCAAACCTGTCCAACTTGATGAGGGTGTTGACTCCTCGAAGATAAAGAGTGTGATCATACGGGACTATGGGGACTATGCCGATGACGTCAAGGCCGAGTTCGCCGGTGCCGATGCATGCATCTGGTGTGTTTACCCGGATATAACCATCTTCTGGTTGACTTGACTGACACGGGCGATTCTATTACAGGACTGTCGCTATCACACCATTTCGTCTTGGAAAGTTCGATTTTGCAGAAGTCAAACGCGTTTGCCAAGATTGCACGAAGAGTGGCTTCGATGCCATGTACCAGGCCGGACCTTCACGTCCCTTCCGCTTCATCTATCTCAGCGCCGAAGGTACACCGAGGGATCCAACTAAGAAGCCTGCTGTCTGGGGCGACTATCAAGTAATGCGGGTGAGCAGTCATTGTCTCACTATCTGTCATGTCTTTAGCTAATATGATTTGTGGCTGTCTAGTGCAATACCGAACTGATGGTGCTTAAATTTCCAGCTCAGAACCAGGGAGTAGAGGTCTGTATCGCTCAACCTGGAGTTATTACCAATTCCACCACTTGGTCGAGGGCTCTGGTGGCGAACATCTTCCGCGCCTTCAACGTTGTTGGTCGACCGTTCCCCAACATCCATCGGAGTGAGCTCGCAGCGGCAGTACTGAATCAGGCTGTGAATGGCTTCGAAAAAGAGACCCTTCTCAACAACGAACTCGTCCGTATTGGACAGAAAGCACTGAAGTCTCAGCGTGGGGGTCAAGATTCGTGAGTGCAGGTGGAAGCATCTGCGTCAAATGGTTGACCTCGGGTCGTTTGACCGGTTAAGCGAGCACTATCTCAACAGCACACTTTTTAACTTTCTTTCTCTCATACATACAGATCTCTGTGTCTTTGTGAATTTATTTGGGGTGAAAAGTAAGAGGCTGTCTACTTTTCTCCTTTCTGTTATTGATATGTTTCTACATGAAGCCATCTACTTGGCGTGAAACACGACAAAAGCCAAAGGATTCAAAATTCCAGTCTTTTCCATTCACCCAAGTACCTTGTATCTAAACATCATGTTACTGTTTAGGTGACAAGTCCTGCACTTTCTGAAATACTTGTTGAGGGTCGTATTTGTTCTTCAGTCTCCTCAGTCTTGCCGTATTTTGTCCATATATCTTCTCTGCTTTTGTAACACTGCCTATATCTCCCAATTAGCACTGGTTTCTAATTCAACTGCCTTTCAGATGTGACTCACTAAAGTAGTTTGCGTAGGTAGTCGCTCCCTCATGATACTTGTTTCCCTTCCAACCAACACTATCGGCACAAAGTTGGCTAAATTCTGTTGATAGTTCACATGCGCGATTATCCATTGACGCCTCTGTCCAGTTCATCGATATGCAAATTGACGCAAATTGGCCTCTGTTTGCGAAAGCCGTGTCCGTCAGAGGAATTTCGCGGATTTTGTTTGTAGGGAAGAACTCAAACCCTATTGTGCTGCTCCGGAGATCGTCGTTCTCCGGTGCATTGGTGGTCTGCCAGAATTGATTGCCGATCTTCTGAGCTGCTTCTTTATTGAGTGGAAATGTGAAATTTGCGCCGCCAAACCGATGCCTATCATCAGGTCCTCGCGGGTATTTGTTGAACATCATATTTAGATCTGGATAGGATAACATGCTGGTAGTGTCACCTAGAAGTTCGAGATCAAGGAGTGGTTTGAACCTTTTTCTTCCTTCCTCCTCTGATCCGTTGTGAAACACAACGGCCATCACACCACTAGCTTTGTTAGGGGGATGAAATTCCCGATGAGCACGCTCATCATGGACTTTCCATCATCGGTTTGTACTGCAATAGTCAGATATTTGCTTTTCATAGTGTGATTTCTGACTTACTAAAGTAGTTACCGAACTCAACAACAGCAGCCAGGCATTCTGGAGTGAAGCCCAAGAAGCCTCCCCAGCTTTCTTCCTGTACAAACGCTTGCGAGGTGAAATGAGTGACGATGCCAAAGTTCGGCCCAGCCCCGCGCAAGGCCCAGAATAAATCTGGATTGTCATCCTTGCTGGCTTTTACAATGTCTCCATTGGCTAGCACGACCTCACAGCTGAGGAGACAATCAAGAGCCAGCCCGCACCGCCCGGTCAAATACCCATAGCCTCCACAGAGTATCAGGCCTCCAACCCCTGTATCTCCGACTGTGCCACTAACAGTTGCAAGGCCATGATCCCACAAGGCATCATTGACGTCCTGCCATGTGCATCCTCCTCCGAATGTGATTGTCCGCATCTTCGGGTCAACTGTGGTGGAGTTTATTTGGCGCAGATCTATCACCATTCCTCCGTCAGAGGAGCTGTCTCCACTTGTACTATGTCCGCCTCCCCGGAGTGCAAGCGGAAATATTCGGTGAGTCGTGGCGTAACGAAGAGCTGTGCTCACTTCGAACGCATTTCTCGGACAAACAATAACTGCGGCCCGCTTGTTGCACGAAGCACTCCATCGTTTGATTCTGTCTTCGTATCCGACGTACCCAGGAAGAAAGATTTCAGCATCGGGAAGAGCTTCGAAAAGGTCATCAAAATTTCTTGCCATTTTGGAAAGGTTTGAGACTCGGGAAAGAGCAAACTTGGTGAGGCGGCGGGCTTTTTGTTTTGATACATGTGGAGACATCCTTGGTTTCCCGGAATGCCTAGGTGAGCCATGCAGCCGAGCAATTTCGGAAAGTACAGATGAACTGCCCAGGTGGCCAGGTTGCACTTGAGATAGTTACATGCCTAGTTGCCTGATCTGTATTCCCCGATGTGACATCACAGCCGCATCTTAGGAAACACACGGTCCGTCTATCCGTTGAAGACTCCTATCTTGCTCGCTTTGCTTTCATGTGATAACTAATTCGAACATTCTGGATAGACAAAAAGTCGATTTTGGGTGAATGAAGATCTGACATATCAGCCTCCGGACTCATTAAGCCTCATTCACCCAGCTTCGGGTTTGATCAATCATATCCAGTCGTGGGACGAGAAGCCATCCAACTTTGATTGATACGAGATTTTACCACATTTTGCCTCCGCAAGAGCAACCTAACTCAATACTGCATTGCTCCCTTACCACCATCAACGCAGTCTTGCGTTGATTTGCGCCACAATGCCAATGGGTTTGGCACCCAGAGTCTTCCTCGGCATCTCATTTGCGATACGAGCCGTCGGCTTGTCTAATCTCACTGCATTATTTGAGCCATATCTTTCACCTGAAGCTGATATCATACTGCCCGGAGATGCAGATTGGGCAACCAAAGTGCAACCAAGATGGTCTGATTACACACCCCCCACGCTCATCGGTGTCATCAAGCCTATGACAGAATCAGATATTCAACATACCGTGCGTGTGCTTTGGCCTTTGGCTAGCATCCTACCAAATTGTGGACTCACATGCTTCTCTCAAAACAGGTCAAGATAGCCCATTCCAACAACATCAAGTTTCTTGCCACGGGTGGAGGACAGTCCTTTTCTGATTACAGCAACTTCCATGGCATATCCATTGATCTAGGCAACTTCAACTCTACTAAGTTTGATGACACTCGGACCTATCTGACCATCGGGGGAGCGGTGAAATATGACCAGTTGACCGATCTGCTGTACAACGCCTCGAAAGAGCTTCGTACGTATGTGACCCATTGAGTCTTGGAGTCATCCTATCTAACGTCACCTCAGCTTTGGCATCATGCGCTTGTCCAGGTGTCTTGGGAGCCACCCTCGGTGCTGGGATCGGGCCTCTCATGGGTCACCGCGGGCTGATGATCGATGCTCTAGTATCTGTTCGGCTTATCACGGCAGACGGAAGTATCCTCACGGCCTCACGAGAAGAGAACCATGAGCTGTTTTGGGGGATCCGCGGAGCAGGAAGCAACTTCGGAATCATCACCTCTGCAACCTTCCGAGTTTGGGGTATCACAAACAATGGTCTAGCTATGTCCGCTGGACTGGTGTTTCCGGCTTCTGTGAACGGCAGTTACTGGAGAGTATTGCAGACATTTGACGACGATATGCCGGCCCGGTTGGCTTTGACCAACATGGCTTTCTTCGATCGCCAAACAAACCAGGTGAGCATCCACAATACTCTTGGTGATCTGATCCCTGACATTATCGATAGTCATATATCGTTCTCAACGCCATATACTTTGGACCAAGGGAGGAGGGCGAGTCATATCTAGAGCAGTTCAGAAAATTGGGTCCCCTCAGAGATATGGTACAAATGGTTCCTCAGAACACTTTATTCCCTCCTGTCCTCGGGTCGTGTACCCCAGGTCAAAAAGTGAATATCCAGAGCGTTGCAGTCAAACGCACAGATCCAGAGACTCTAGACTCAGTCTTCGCCGACATGAATCAATTCTGGCATGAACATACTGGATATCAAGGACGGCTCCTCATTCCTCGCTTTGCAAATGATGCAACTGCGGGTGTGAAAGACAACGAAACATCATATCCGTGGCGGGATGCCATTGCGCATATGTGGGCTGAACATCCAAAATCCCTGATCGTTCGGAGTGTGCTGCTGATTGCTGTCTCATCTCAGAAGCATCGAAGGCTATATGACGGATACGTCCATATATGATATCGTCGACGAGTTTGAGCAACGACTGAGAAATCAAATTGCAAATGTAAGCGGATACCCCAGCCTTGCCACATACACCGGATATGCGCGAGGAAACGAGGGAGCAGTAGCATGGTACTCGTCTCGGAATTTAGCCCGGCTCTCAGCTCTGAAGCGGAAATGGGATCCAAACCAGCTTTTTGGGTTCAAGAAGCCTATTCCGCTCTAGATACTGCGTTTCTTGTGTGATAAATTTGGAGTAAAACAACTCAAAATCAGAGACTTATCGATTCTGGAAATTCAGTCGAAGGTTTTGGACCGCAATTATATAGTGTCGTTCGAAATATATCTTGCAACATTCATGCGCAGGTCTTCTGAAATATAACAAAAACCGCCATTTAAAGGTTGGAGGAAGATGGCTTTGTAAATCATAGAGTAAGAATGATTTGTCTCTACCTAGCTAGCTATTTAGCCCATATCAAATTTTAGAAGGCGAGAATTCGCTCATCGAGTTGACAACAGTCAAGAAATGCGTAATGCCACCGGCAGACGTGTGTGGGGCTGGATGAGAGCACGGACCACCATCATGTGACCTATATCATGCCTGAAATATAGGGTGTCAGCTGGACAGGTTTCGTGCCTTGCTTGATCATCAAACTTGTCAGCTTTGCTGGCAGAACCTCGTAGATTCTACATCTGACATTCATTTCACCTTCCTCTTTGACTTGTTTTGTTTTCCCATAGCCATGTTCTGATGTGAAAGAACTTTACTGAGACCCTCAGTAGGGGGATGTGCTGTCCCTACGAGGCAAGAACTTTTTTACAGTGGCAGAAACACAAGATAATACATCCTTGAACGAGTGCGAGTGCAAGGCTCTTTCAAAACACGCAAAATGAGGGAACTAGACCCCCTGATCTCTGAATACCGCCATGAGAAGAAGCGTCCGCGAGAAGATGAGGCACTCATGATCCTGCGCAAAGTCGCGTCCTTGGTCAAACCGATCATGCGACAGCGCGCGTGGAGAGTTGGAGCGCTATGCGAGTTCTATCCACAGCAGAGAAATCTACTGGGGCTGAATGTGAACTACGGCCAGAAGATTTGCCTGAGATTACGGTATGCCTCTGACCAGCGACAATTTCTCCCGATAGAGGATGTTGTTGATACCATGTTACATGAGTAGGTGAAATTGATCTTGGACTTGTTTTGAAGGTGCTGATCGACCACAGGCTATGCCATAATGTTATTGGTCCCCATAACCAGCAATTTCATGCGCTTTGGAACCAACTACGAGACGAACATGAGGAGCTAGCCCGAAAAGGCTACACTGGAGAAGGCTTCCTATCTCAAGGCAAGCGCTTGGGTGGACAGAGAATGCCAGTGGACGAAGCTCGGCGCCAGGCGCGCGCCGCCGCCGAGCAACGGCGAACCCTCGCCAAAAATTCCGGCCAAAAGCTTGGAGGCACTCGCCATCTGCGAGGAACGGATATCCGCAAGCTTCGGGCTGATGCTGCTCAGCGGCGTATCGAGGTTACCCAGGGCTGTGCATCGGGCACAAATAACGACCAACTTGCGGAAGAAGCCTCCCGAAATGGCTTTAGAACTCAGGCCGAAGAGGACGACGCGAACGAGCGGGCCATCATGGAAGCATTTATCGAGCTGATTCAGGAAGAAGAACGGGAGAAGTATGAATCGTCATATGTCCCGCCAAGTCAAGAACATCCAGCGGGCCCAAGGACGGAATCATCACCACCACCTGTCCCATCAGACATTCCGCCAGCTACATCTAAATCTGTACCCGCATCTCCAAATCCAACAAAGCAATCTGTGCCAGCCGAGTCTGTTAATCTTACCGCCGATAATAGCTCATATGATAAGCCATGGATCTGCCCAACGTGCACCCTGGAAAATCAGTCTACTTTCTTATGCTGCGATGCCTGCGCAGGAGAGCGACCGCCTCCAACCAACACGAAACCTACACCAGCTTCCACATCCAGACGTGTGTCCACTCAGCGAAAGCCATCTGACACACAGAACCCAAAGAAACGGCCCTTATCTATCAATCAAAATGAAGAAAAGGACGTCAACGCCAGAAATGCATTTGCTTTCAAGAATCGCACCCGTCCAGTGGATAACATCAAAGCCTTGGAGAGCGGAGCCGAGAAGAAGCCTCTTGGATGGCTGTGCGAATCTTGTGGTAGCTTCATGGAAAGCCAGTGGTGGACATGCTCTTGCTGTGGAACGATGAAGCCATCTTCCTGATAAATTTTACTTATTCATTGTCAATATGAACTCTATCATGTCCTAATATCTCATTTGTAGGACGCATCATTGCACTTGAAAAGCTTCACAGCGTTTATCTGAAGAAATTTTACAAGTTAGTGTTCCATGTAGTTCGACTAGATTGTATGAAAACGCTCCCTACGTAACCGACCCATATATCCAGCACGTGACGCAATGACTCAGCATAATCCACCCACCTTTTTTTTCTCACAAAACCCGACCCAAACTCTTCACCTTCCTCCAGCTTCAATCATGAGCTCCAAAATCGACCTCACTCAGCTTCAATGTTTTGCTGTCTGGTCATAATCGATATAACTACTAACAGGTATGTTCAACAGAGCTTTGAGCTCCTCGAGCCAGCAAGAGAAAAGCATCGCATCGGACTCTATATGATGAGAACCGCATTGAACCAAAACAATTAGGAAGAGCCGTATTAGGATGGCAGAGGATTGTTCCATAGATGAAAAATCCCTGTCGTCGGTGCTTATAATGGTTCTTCTGAAATGGGTCCTATGATGCTTGCTTTACTCTTGGCTGTCGAGATACTGGAATGTTGCATTGAGCACATTGCTAACGATCTGCCACAGTTCAGCGCCGATACTTCAGTTTCGATTAATCACCAGTCGACAGCGTAATAATGCACTAATCAATTAGGTACCAACGACCAATAGATTGCAGCACTTCTATCAGGAGGAGATAATCTCTCCCTCTTGTCCTGCTGTCTCTTACCTTTTTCTTCGCCTGGATGTCGGATGTCAGCACGGTACAGGCAAAAGAAAGGGTATGCGACAGCAGGATAAGCGGAAGTGAGTTCCAAGGTTATCTCTTGCTGAGGGAGCAAGTGATTTTATCGTCAGATGTAGCATCTAGGGTCTCGCCATTGGTATCATCACTTTCTGGAATGGCTTCAAGTTGTGCTCAGGTCCTCGATGGGCTGAGAAGGGCCAGCATCGAGTTCCTGGATCAGTGCCCTTGTGGCACTGTACATAACAATAAAATAAACCACTCTCATTGAATAAACATTATTACGACGCATCCTTCTCTCGTACTTGACAAACGCAAATCTCGTAGAAACAATTCTATTTTACTAGAAGTAAATCTATGGTACATCCGTTGATATTCTCTTCAACTGACAAGGATATAAAACTTTTGTATAGAAAACAGAAGGAAAGACCTCCATAACTAGGTCGAAAATGATCACAAACGCCAATTGACATGCTTGTACACAACATTTAACCTCAGGCCACGCTGACGAACTGGCGCTTCTTGCCTGTACCCTTGGACGTCTGCTGTTCCTCCCAGGTATCCTCATCAACGTAGTCCGCAGTGCTTTGTTCTTGAATCTGGGTACCAATGAACTGCAAAGCAGACAGGTTGAAACCCATCTCGTCCTTCTGGCGAGCAAGGACGCGACGCAGGGACGCGCGAATGCTGTCCAGCATCGGGCGCATCATTTTGCTAGCCACGATTTGGCGGTGGTGAGTCTTGAGAAGGAAGAACAGAACACGGCAAGTGAGTGGGACGTTCCATTCGCGATCAGCCCAGATGTTGAGGAAGGTGAAGAGGGCGGAGAGTTGGGAGAATGGCAGCACCAGGAGTGCGTCCTGAAGGGCCGCGGCAGGGATCTTTTGAACAGTGTTCAGAACGTGCTGCTCGGCGGAGATGTTGTTGAGGGCGAGGTAGACTGGGTTACGGTCGGGTTGGGCGGCGTTGGGGTTTGCAGCCTTGACCTTGCGCCAGTCACGCACAACTTCGAGATCCTCCATGCCGAGCTCGAGGGCCTCGATGATCTTTTCTCCGGCCATGAGAGTACCCGTCGTTTGCTTTCCGGCGTCGACAGCCTCGGCCTTCTCGCCGTCGCCATCCTCATCTTGCTCGAGAGAGGCAGTGAGCGTGCTGTCGTATGCCTCTTCCTCTTCCTTCTCACGCTCTTCCTCGAGGAAGAGAGGCTCATCCGTCTGCTGCCAGATACGAATGCTCTTATCGTGACTGGCACTGACGATGAAATCACCGGAGCGACTCATAGCGAGTGCCCAGATCTCACCGTGGTGACCAACAAGACGCTGGATTTGCTCGAACTTGTCTCCGTCCCAGTATTTGATGATTCGGTCCTTGCTAGCACTGAAGAAGTTGTGACCGTTTCCATCCTTGTTGTGGGGAACGAAAGCTACCGCCATAATGCTGTCCTCGTGGGCCAAGAAAGCTTTGTGGCAATCACCAAAGTCCAATCCCCAAAGGCGGACAGTCTTGTCTGCAGAGCATGTCACGATGAGCTTGCTGTCGTGTGAAATATCCATGCTCAGAACTGGGAGCTTGTGTCCGTAAAGGTTAAGGAAGAGCTTCAGAGAATCAACGAAGAAGACCTTCACTGTGTTGTCAAGAAGAGACACAGCCAGAAGACGAGCATCTGGGGAGAAACGAAGGTTGAGAATGTCGTCATTGACCTTAAGAGTTCTTGTGTGTGCCAACTTGAGGCGAGGAGTGGTGCGCTTGGTTCCAGGAATCTCTTCCTGGACGACCTGGAAGTTCCAGAACTTGGCTGTCTTGTCCGCACTTCCACTGACCATGGACTTGCCATCTGGGTGCACTTGCAGTGACCAAACAGGCCCGTCGTGGGCCTTAATAGTATCCAGCAATGTGGAAGAGGCAATATCGAAGACCTCAAGTTCTCCGTTCTTATTACCGACAACCACGATCTTGTCACCAGGAAGGAAGGCGGAGCACAGAGAGTAGCCACAGTCGAGGGTTCGAAGGCAGCTTTCGGTAAGAACGTTCCAGATCTTGAGCGTGCCGTTGGAGGCAGAGGCCAGCATTCGATCGTCAGAGCTCAGCGCAATGGAACGAATATCCGTGCGGTGACCAGGGATCTCCACTGCGAGGCTGCGGCTATAGTCGGACTCCTCGCTGTCGGCATTCTTCTTGTTCGCCGGCACAACGGTGTATGCCTCAAGCTGGTTATTTGTGGTTGCGGCCAGAAGATTCAATCCGCTAGACTTGTTTGTCATCCAATCGAAAGAGCGGACCTTTCCGCCAGTTCGAACGATAACGTGCTGAACAAACACTTCCGATACAGGCGCGGCGGCAGCATCTTCGGTCTTGTCGTCTTCCATTTTCTCGCCGCTTTCATCCGCCTTTTGGGCGGCCTTCTCCTTTCTCCTCTTGTTCTTTCGTGACATGCTCTTCTGTACCTCTGACTGAGAACGAATGCGCCAGATCTCGACCGACTTGTCGGAACCGTGGAAGCCAACATAGTCCGAGCGAGGGTGGAATCGAATGCCGATCGTACGGTCCTTGCCGTGGCGATAGAAGGTTCCTCGGTCGCTGAGAATCTTGCGTCCGTCCATGCTGACCTTCTCTCTGGAGATGTCCAACATGGCCGCCTCGTCAATCGACCAGACCCGGAGTTCACCGTCGTTGCCAGCTGTGATACATCCACCCTGATCAGGCGAAAGACCCAAGCTCCAACACTCACCGTTTGATTGAGCTACATGCGTCTCAATACAGTGTTGCGAAGCAAGATCCCAGACTTTGATCAAGGCGTCCTTTCCGGTGGTCAACAAAAATCCAGTGTGTTCGTTCAGCCCGTTCGCGGTGAGCAATTCTTGCGACGGGAAAAGGAAATGCAGTGATGTGATCTGATCGGTATGTCCACGAAGCTTGAAGAGGCCGACTTCGGTGATGAGATCCCAAACAATGATATCGGTATCCTTGGAGCCACTTGCGAGGCGCACACCGGCGTTGTCGAAGGCAAGCTTGGTGACGGCGGACTTGTGGCCGTTGAAAGAGATAATGACGGTGCCGGTTCGCGAATCCCAGAGACGGATGCTGCCATCTTCGTATCTAGAGGACATTCGAGGTTAGAGGGATTCCCTCAATCAAAAGTTCCAGCATGGAATACTCACCCAACTGCGAAGATATCTTCATCCGTTTGGCTCTGCGAGACCACACTGACCTGCGCCCTGCAGCCAGAATCGCGCCACCTTCCAAGAAGTTCTCCCTTCTTCACATCCCAGCACAGAACCTCCTCACTGGCACCGACAATGGCCCGTCCGGCGCCTGTCTGGCGTGCGACACCGGTCTGATCGTCCTTAGCCCAGATCGCATTCGAGGACGCCGAGGCGACGAGCCCGAACGTATTCGAATGCTCGAACTTACTGCACGAGTGTTAGCGCATCGTCAAATAGTCCACAATCCCTCGAAATTCCACGTACAAGTATGATTTCACCATCGTTGGGAGTGGACGGGAAAATTTTTGGGAACCTCCGATTGCTATCGATAGGATAAAATTAATACGGGCGGCGACAGCGACCGCTCCGGCTCCCCCACCGCCCATGACGATCATTGGCAACCTCACAACAGCCACCTCTACACTGCACATGAGCCATTGCATTGCCCGTCATGCTTCTCTTAGATTACCAGAACGTTTTAATTGAGTCTCTCCTGACGGAGCGCTTCTCAGGGTATGCTTTGTCTCCCTCCCCCGCACCTCCACCTCGCCGCATTGTGTACACCCCCCAGGCACCCGGCTAACAAGCTCCAGAGCATCCCCGGTCTCCATTGACCAGGTGGTTTCCGACTTTGATGGAGTGACGTTCCACCTTTCCACCCCCGAATCGAAGACCAAAATCCTCATCTCGATCAACGTGAAATGCTTCAAGGAACTGGTGCAGTACGGAGCCCAGGAGGTGTTGGAGCGAGAGTACGGTCCCTATATCGTGTCCCCCGAGCCGGGCTATGATTTCTCGGTTCAGATCGACTTGGAGAACCTTCCCGCCGAGGAGGAAGCCCGGAATGACCTGATTATGAAGCTTGCCCTCCTTAAGCGCAATGCGATGGCCGCCCCATTCGAGAGGGCATTCGACGAATTCAACAAGCTCGCCGAGGAGGCTTCTCAATATACATCAGAGTCCGCGCCTCAGGGTGTCAAGGAGGGCGGTGAAGTGATGGCGATCCACTACCGCGAGGAGGAGGCTATCTACATCAAGGCCAACTGGGATCGAGTCACCGTCATCTTCAGCACCGTGTTCCGGGAGGAGACTGACCGCATCTTCGGCAAGGTGTTCTTGCAGGTTGGTGAAAGGCATGCTCGTGAATATATTCAAGTACTAACAGTCATAGGAATTCGTCGACGCCCGCCGTCGTGTGTTGACACTACAGAACGCCCCCCAGGTTCTTTTCCGTAACGACCCTCCCCTTGAATTGGCCGGGGTGCCTGGTCTCAGCCCCAAAGAAGGCGAGGTCAGCTACGTTACATTTGGTAAGAATGCCAATTGCTCTTCACGTTCGGATTGAGATTCTGACTCGACACGCAGTCCTGTTCCCTCGTCACTTGACTGCCCAGCGTCGCTACGAGAACATTTCCCACATCCAGACCTTCCGTGACTACTTCCACTACCACATTAAAGCCTCAAAGGTGCGATTGACATTTCCTACACCCCCCTAAGCACGCATTCGCTAATTCTTATAGGCCTACATTCACACACGAATGAGAAAGAGGACAGCAGACTTCCTTCAAGGTATACATCTCACATTACAAACGGGAAGAGTGCACCACGCTAACACCAAACAGTCCTCAACCGAGCCCGACCTGAGAATGAGGAGCGTGAGCGCAAGACTGCCAGTGGTCGGACGTTCCGTGTGCAGGGTTGAAGCTCATTTTTTTGTCTATATTGTTCACGAGTGCTTCGTTTCCCATGAGCCAATTTCATCCATTCCAAACTTACCAACTGTTCAACACCTCATATTACTCATCAAAGTAATGAGATTAGTCTGAGAATCCCTTTGATACTACCTAGGGAGAATTGCTTTTTGGATGTCATTCTTGTGGTGTCTAGTAACCAGAAGAAATTGGCACGTGCACGTGCACGTGGACGACTCGAATGACTCGACGTGCTAGAAACACCCTGGTAAATAAACCTCGGATTGACGAAACACCTCGACTCGCTTTCTGCCTGCGTATACAATTTGAAATTATACTGAAGCCTCTGATTCAACATTGAGACATCTAGTCTATGACGGTTTGTCTGTGGGGCCGCTCCTGCATACTGCAGAGCCGCATGTATGTACTAGCCCTGCCCAGGTGGTGAGCTGAATCCACGCAACCTTGAAATTTATCGGATTACCTTAGAAAACTATGCAAATGTGTCATCTCATACAAGATCCATAGATTGTATCAACCTTGGAAGATTCCGTACAGGATTCGTTCTTCATAGGGTAAACAGATAGAATTGATACTACCCAAGGCGGCAGGTGCAAGTCTAGCTCTGCATGACCCAAGCAATAGTTCTTAGATATCTCCACGTCTCTCCAGGGTTCTCTTTCTCGCGATTCACGAACTTTCCACCATGGAGTCCGACGCAACAGTCGACCCTGTGGTAATGGCCGCAATGATCTCCCGGGCTCGCCTGGACGCTTTCGTCTCATTGTCGGAGGGTAATTGCGAGAAGTTTATCGAATATGGCAAGCATTGTATTGATGCTCACGCCCAAGCCACCAAGGCTATGATGGATGATATTGCAGAGCGCGTCGGCGACGGGGAGGTCTTTGACTGGGAGCATGCGATGGAAGAACTGAAGGTTGGCCTCTTTAATTACTGTCAAGCTATCGTGAAGGAAGCTGAACTGTTGATGCCCGAGGCACTGGACCGTCCACCCAGGAAGTCTTCCTTGGATTGGGCCCGCCGTCTTCCCTCTGGCAAAACATCGTCCAACTCTCTCAGGATCTCGCCCATTCTCTCCAAGGACCCCACTAGGACTTCCGAATCCTCGACTGAACCCATGACGCCAACATCCCTCAACATGTCGGATGCTTCAGGTGAAAGTCATCTGGTAAGTACACAACATCTCGCTGAGCTTACTTGACTTTCGTCTGCTGGACGTGACTGACTTTTTTGGACTTAGATTGCCTCTAGCCGACGACGACTTCGTCTCTTCTCGGTTAGCAGTGACGATTGGATCAAGTCTTCGACTGACTCCACGTCCGCGGACGAATTTGAGGTTGTGCTTCCCGATGGCATGACGCGTGTGGACGAATCCATTCACCTCGGTGTGGTTATGGGTATTCTCAGCAAGTTGTACACTATGGCGAAGCTGATGCAGTCGATCCTGTTGAGCTACGGTGTTGAGGTTCGTTGTCATCTCCCTCCCAGTCCTGTACATGTGGATATACTAACATGTCTCAGAGTGACACCTCGGAATCCGGTCTTCTCTATTGGACCATCAGCTTCGAAGAGAACATAACGAGCAACGATCTGAAGACTTTGATCAGCATTGCGGAGAACCTGTTCTACTCACTGTACGCACGTGTCGTTATCGAACTGGCCAATATTGAGTTGTGTGGTACCTTCAAAACCAGCATTATTTACAAGCGCAATTCTGGTTCATTCTTGCTCCCCGAGCCCGACCATCTGTATCGCATCGTTCTCTCCTTCAAGGACGCACTGGATGCCCCCGGTATTTGCTCTCTGCTTCGAAAGGACGCGGCGATTCACTTCCAGCAAAGCTACATCTCGCAGATTGTCGACAAGACCAAGAACGCCGATTTTCCGCTCCACGACAAACTCGGATATCGTTCTCATACCGCGAACATTGTGCAGGACAGATCCGGGCCCTACTGCACCAAGTGGAAGGCTCTTATTCCCTTCTTCAACGTGATCCCATGTCGGAATATGGCCATGATGTCTGAGTGTTACCTCGCCCTGGCCCCTAGGAATGCCACCCCAGACGACGTTCCATTTGGACAGCTTCCCTTCATCGACACCAGCAAGATCGCAGCAGACGTTCGGGACGCGGAGAATATCAAGGATAACCGCATCGCAACACTTGCCAAGCTGGAAGGCACGAGCGTCGGAGAGGAGCGCCAGAAGGATCCCAAGTGTCGCACCTACTACCTTGCCAAGCAGCGCAAGTGCGTGTGCTTTGCCATCTGCGTTTGTGCCAAGGAGTGTACCAAGGACGTACTGCGCAGCTGCCCCTGTGCAGAGCGCCATGTGCGCATCATGACTGTCCGACGTGGTCTTCACTACAGATGGCCGGGTCTTGCTTTCTCTACCACCGCCGGCACTCTGGCTCGCATGTTTTTCCATGGCTTTGCATCTCTGAGACGCGGTGTGACTGACCGCCAGATTGCGGGAGAGCTGGAGCGGGCTTTCGATTCGATCGAGGCCCTGATCACCAGTGAGCGTGAGAAGGATAAGTCTATGAAGCTGGAACGGGAGAAGGCCAAGCGGGATTCGTGAATCTGCGAGTCCTTTCATCCAAGGGGTTGCTGTCATGGGGAATTCCGACGCTGGACATGACCATTGCTATGCCAAGTTATCTCTCATTCATATGAGTCAAAAGTTTCCTAGGTAGTGACGAATGACGAATCTTGATTTTCAAAATCATACCCGAACTTAATAGAAAGTCTGAAGTTTAGTACAATTAGTGATTAGTGACAGCAACTTTAGATCGCTAAACGCTGATCTTAAAGGAGTGGATATCTCGGGTGGGTTCTGGAAGTGATCCACCTTGAAATACGAATCCTTTCAGTCGCTATTGACAATAATAGATGCGTCAAGGAACAATGGTGTGTATTCTGTAGAATGGGGAATGACTCAAATGCCCAAAAGAACCAAAAAAGTCCGAACAGACGAGGTTGTTCTCGTATGCTCAGACATACTCCGTAGTGCCAATCACGTCGGCGGCTCAGACCAGTGATATCTTCGAGTTCGTTCCTCACCGGTGAGCGGGTTTTCACCCTTCTTTTCATTTTTCCACCTTCCTCTCATCTCTCATGCCTTGACGGCAAAGGACTCCCCTTCCACTAGCCATACAAGTTAGGGATGGTGACCAAGGCGTCCGTGTCACATTCACCATGGAAGTCCATTAGCAAGTGGATCGCGAACATAAGCATAAACCCAACCCTGGCGGGTGCCCACCAACGCCCACACACGGCACGGCCATACCACGCGGCAGTTGGGCCCTCCTACGGCATCACCACCCCTGTGCCCGTCCAGCATCTCGCCCGCCCCTCTCCATTTCGCTTTGAGACCGGCTATGCTCTATGTGCCAAGCGACCCTCGCGACCATTTCCTCCGCCCTTCTTATCTCCGCCCTCGACCTCGTTCTCCGATCCGTTGACTACCCACGGCCTAAGCCAGGATAAGAGATTATCCGTTAAGGGCGAGCTAGTCCGGGGCTTGAATAATGGAGACGACGCTATCATCGTCGCTGAGAACTTTATAGGCGTTGATGATGGTGTTGGCGCATGGGCTACAAAGCCGCAGGGTCATGCTGCGTGAGTTGATTCCGCTGCTTTAAAACTCCTTGCGCCCAACTAAAGCTGGACGATCGCTGACTTTTCCTTCAACCCCAGACTCTGGTCCAGACTTCTGCTACACTTTTGGGCCCTCGAGGTCGAGCGACACAATCATGACCCTTCCCTCGATCCGGTCGGTTACCTTCAATCTGCGTACGAGGAGACTCTGCGAGCAACCACGTCTCCAACCGAGTGGCTAGGCACCACCACCTCGGCGACTGCAATCTTACACCACGCCGAGCAAGACGGCATCCAGAAACCCTTGCTGTACGTCACCAACCTAGGTGATTGCAAGATCATGGTGATCCGACCAAGCGAGGAGAAAGTCCTCTTCCGCACCGCCGAACAATGGCACTGGTTCGACTGCCCCATGCAGCTTGGCACAAACAGCATCGACACACCGAGGAAAGACGCAGTCTTGTCCAAAGTCGCATTGCAAGAGGACGATATCATCTTAGCACTTTCCGACGGTGTGATGGATAATCTCTGGGAACACGAGGTGCTGAAAATCATCATGGATAGCATCAACAAATGGGAAGAGGGCCGTGTTTCACATGAGGATGTTCCGAACTCGAGTCTGTCGGACGAACGCAATGTCTTTGTTGCGCGGGAGCTGTTGAACTCTGCTCTGACTATAGCTCAAGATCCCTTTGCGGAGAGTCCGTTTATGGAGAAGGCTATTGATGAGGGACTTGCAATTGAGGGAGGCAAGATGGATGATATCTCTGTCGTGGTTGCGTCTTGCAAGAAACGCGCTGGATGAGACCTACGCCAGTCTGTTTATCAAAATTGTGCTCGGCATGTGCTACGAGTATGTGCTGGCTCTTTGACGCCTATACCAACCTGTCGCCGGTCAATGCTAGTTTGGCCGAATCTCAAATCGCACATTCAGTGTTTGGTACGATCCCTGGGCCCGGCAGGTTGAACTCCTCACATCCATGCGGTCTCGCTCAATTGGTGCCTGTCAAATGCCCACCCAATATGGTCCGGCAACTTGACCCATTTGGCCAGCGTGTTTGATATCCGATCCTGCGCGTCGTCGGATACGCTACAATGTGATGCCTCATGGCATTAAACCTCATTTTCCACCAACTTTCTACGAACTTACTTGGTTCAGTGCTCATATTCCACGTCTTGTGGAAATCTCATTCCAGGCTTGCAGCGTCCAAGGTGTGTGGTCTGCAGTTTGATGCACTATGGATCATGAAGATCGTGTCACTATCTGCAGTAGGCAGTGCACAGCGCAGGCTGAAGAGATATACGCCAAACACCCGTCATAGCTAAGCTGTGTGTTCTGGAAATTGGAAACAGGGATCTCAAACCCCTTCGTTGTGTATGAGCATACACAACCTTGGAGATCTCTTCGGTGGGTCAGGGACCACACATGTCAACATACTTCCTCTACAATGAGGTGGGTCGCACATACTGTGGCCAGTCACTCCAAACGGACTTGCCATGTTGCGGGTTTTGTCCAAGCCATGGTCAACGGAGCAACTGATACTTGATACTCAGAATATACCCTTTGATGCTATCAAATAGCAATCGCTTCTTGAATGAATACCACCATGGTTGCTACTTCGTATACCTCACAAGCAGTAGAATGTAGTTCTCTATCGGTAATCTTTAGCTTTCAATTGAGGGTCCTGATAGATGGATAGTTGCACGTTTTCCTGGCAGGTATCACCTGTCAATAAAGATGTTTCCAAGTTAAAAAGAGTAGTAGTACGGAGTATAGGTAGGCATTTCGGATAAGCCAGCCCAGTCGAGTGAGGGTCCGAGTACAAGCACAGACCACCTCACCGCTCCAGTTGCCGCCCGGCAGAATGAAAAAAGTTTCGGTCGAGATTGAAGCTCTGCTGGTGGCCATCAAGTCTTTGATTGTCTTGACTCCAACCATTCACAATGAGGGCCAAACGTTCAAAGAAGTATCGCAAGCTTATGCACCAGTATGAGCTGACCTTCGGTTTCCGAGAGGCCTACCAGGTTCTGGGTAAGTTCAATCTATCCATGCGCCCAGACCGTCGAACGCCATTCTAATAATGAATAGTTGACTCGAATTTCCTTCGCGCGACTGACCAATTCAAAATGGAGCTGATTCCTGCCCTCGAGCGCACAGTTCAAGGCAAGGTCAAGCCTCGTGAGTGCCAATATCAACACCCGCAACTCATGCCATATACTAATGACATCGCAGTATTGACCAAGTGCTCACTCGCCGCGATCATGGCCGCGCAACCCATCAACCCCAAAACCGAAAAGCCATACCGACCTCTCTTTCTCCCCCCTCCCACAGAACTTCCTCTCCGCCACTGCTCGCACAACGCAGACTCAACACCAATCGATGAGATCGAGTGTCTGCTCTCACTTCTTTCCCCCGGTTCAGACGTGAAGAAAAACAAAGAGCACTACATCCTCGCTACAGCGGAGCCAATCCTCCGCAAGACAAACCCCAACGAACCAAAGCGGAAATGGAAGACCGAGGATGACCGCAAGGAAGAGGAAGCCATGCGCCGATCGAAGCTTCTGCGCTCATCAGCCCGCTCCATCCCCGGTGTCCCAATCATCTACGTCAAGCGCTCAGTCATGGTTCTCGAGCCGCTGAGCAACCCATCTGAGATGGTGCGGGATGGTCACGAGCGCGGCAAATTCCGCGCCGGCCTAGACGTGGAAGAATCACTCGGGAAGCGGAAGCGTGATGGCGAGGGAGATGATGAGGATGTATCCGATGAAGAGCCGAAGAAGAAGCGCACACCTAAGGTGAAGGGGCCCAATCCCCTCAGTGTGAAGAAGGCTAAGAAGCGTTCTGATGCACCGGCGCCTAAAAAGAAGGAGGTCGTTGCAGAGGCTGAGGGTGATGATGCTGCGCCTAAGCCTAAGCGCAAGCGCCGTCACAATAAGGGTGTTCATTGGGAGATTGAGGATGCTGCTGAGGCGCAACCTGCGGACGCGGATGTTGAAGCTTGATTATGTCCGCGTGGTGGAGGCGACTGGTGCTGGTTATCATTGCATGCATTATCTTTTCATCCCAGGTCGGCGTTCATATATTGGATGGATTTATCTAAAAGTTTAGCTAGTGTACAGAATAGTAATGTACATTTGACATCACTCAATGATTTTACTCAATATCGCACAGGCGAAAGGTCATACTTTGGGCTAGTCTTCCAGAGGATGAAACCTTGGAAGGTTCAAGATTTAGTGTAGGTCATATATACATTCCCGCTTCTTATATCGTACAATTTTCTCAAATGTGATGAGGGGAGAGGACAGCACCGAATCACCCGAGGCCGTTTGTGAAGGTTCGACCATTTCCCATATCAGTCTCGTGGTTCGAGTTGATTGTAGAGAAGATTGATCGAGTTCAAATGGCGAGGCGTGGACCTCGACTATGCGGCCCGTCGCGGCAAAGAAAAAGCACTCCAAACTCCGATTCCATACTTGATAACACATAGCATCGCATACTGCACAGCTCATTGTTTCGAAGTCTCAGTAGCTGCGGCGGGAGCAGGGGAAGGGCCTTGGCTGATCTCGCGCTCCTTGGCCCAAATTGCCTCGATACGTTGACGCTTGGCTCGTGCCTCGTCCCGATTGCGCTTTGCGCGGTCGAAGCGCTCTCCAGAGAGGCATTTGTTCACATCGCGCTTGATATCATTGCAAGCTCCCATGGCCTTGATAAGGAAGCCTTGGGCGTGGCATTCGTCGAGGGCGGTCATGATTTCCTCGCAGTCTGATCATGCAATTAGTATCAATTGGTCAGGAAGTGGGTGGTGGGCTCAACGTACTGACGTTGTAGGGTGTATGAAGGTGGGAATGCATGGCTGCGGTGTTTCTGAGGAGTATTATGTAGAATTGAAACGAAATCCAACGAGTCCAATCGTACAATTTGAGAAGCAAAGCAAACACCGTCGGTCTTCACAATCCCCGGGCGGCGAGGAGATCGGCCTTGTTCTGCCGGGCGGACAGCCCCGCCAGACACACCGATAAAAAAAATATCGCCGATAAAAAAAAAAGTTGACGCAAGTGTTCGGTTTTGGCTCAACACATTCAGCATGTCTTCTATGATTACGACTACGTCGTGGGTCAAGCGCGGTGTCGCTGCCCAATTTCCCACCAAATATGTTATCGACGAGGCTGAGATGGGCCGTATATCTAAGCTTGCGCGCATGCAGCTCGAGGATGCCAAGGAAGATATGAGTGCTGCTCAGGACGGCAAGATGGACGAGCAGGAAGAGGAGGCGCAGGCCGATGATACAATGGAGGAGGACAGCGAAGAGAAGCCCTCGGCTACAGGCACAGACGCAAAGACGTGAGCAGATTTAAGCAGACATGATTAAACGACGCTAATTTGACAATAGTGACGATGATGTCTTGAAGGAGTTTGATATGGACAACTACGACAAGGAGGAAGTCGATGATGACGGCGAGAAGGTCACCATGTTCGGCAACGTACAATCTTTGGCTTACCACCAGCCCAACGAGGCGGATCCCTACCTCACCATGAACGACGAGGACGATGACGAGGAGCGCGAAGAGCTTCAGATCATGCCCGAGGATAATCTTCTCATTGCTGGAAAGGTGGAGGACGAGGTTGCGCATCTCGAGGTCTATGTCTACGAAGATAAGGCAGACAACCTTTACGTGCATCACGACATCATGCTGCCCGGAATTCCACTGTGCACCGAGTGGCTTGATATCCCCGTTGGCAAGAACCCCGAAGGTCGTACACAGGGCAATTTTGTCGCCGTCGGAACCATGGAGCCTGATATCGAGATCTGGGATCTGGACGTCGTGGACTCCATGTACCCCAATGCCATCCTCGGTCAAGGCGGCCAGGATGCCGAAAAGACCAAGAAGAAGCAGAAGAAGAAGACCAAGGCCAACGATGAATACCATGTCGACGCCGTCCTGGCGCTGGCCGCCAACCGTCAGCACCGCAACCTTCTCGCCTCTGGATCTGCCGATAAGACCGTCAAGCTTTGGGATCTGAACACCGGCACCTGTGCCAAGTCCTACTCTTACCACAAGGATAAGGTTTGCTCACTAGACTGGCACCCTACCGAGTCCACCATTCTGCTGAGCGGCAGTTACGACCGTACAGTTGTTGCGGCCGACATGCGTGCACCCGATGTCCAAGCCCGCTGGGCCGTCGACGCCGACGTCGAGGCTGTCCGCTGGGATCCCCACGACCCCAACTTCTTCTACGTCACCACTGATGCCGGTATGGTGTACCGCTTCGACATGCGCATCGTGCCCGCCACCCCCGCCGAGTCCAAGCCCGTTTGGTCTCTGCAGGCCCACGACTCCTCTGTCTCCTCCTTCGATATCAACCGTGCTATCCCCGGCTTCCTGGTGACTGGCTCAACAGACAAGACCGTCAAGCTGTGGAACGTCGAAGACGATCGCCCCAGCCTGGTCGTCACCCGCAAGTTGGAAGTCGGCAAGGTGTTCTCCACCTCTTTTGCTCCCGACCAAGAGGTTGGCTTCCGTCTGGCTGTTGCTGGTAGCAAGGGAAGCGTGCAGATTTGGGATTCATCTACCAATGCCGGTGTCCGCCGTGCGTTTGTTTCTCGCATTCCTGACTTTGCAAACGAGGTCCAGGAGCGCACTGTTGGAATCAATGTTGATAACGAGGACTCATCTGATGACGAGGGTGAGGGCGAGGGAGCTGAGGAGGCTCCTCGTGGTGGTGATGGCTGGGAGTCTATGGATGAGGATTAAATGGATACCCATGATCATTCCTTTGTTTATGTCAAAAAATAGATTTGTCGAGTTTTGCATGTTAATGACCTGTCTGTTCATGATTCAAAAATATGAAACAACCCTCATATGTTCAATAACACTTGGTCACATCGTAGCCTTCTTGGTTTGTTCTAAGGTTAGCTCTTTTGATGTTTCGTAAGGTTCGCAAGATCCTGGAGGTTGTCGTAGAGCTTATATGCAATTCAATTGAAATATTATCTATGATCTAGAAACAAACAATAACTCCTAACCCCATATATATGAAAAGTTCAAGCCTCCTGGGCGTGCACGTGGGTAGTCAAATCCAACAGTCTGTTAGAGTAGCCCCATTCATTGTCGTACCAAGCCATGATTTTGAAGAACTAGTAGTATGTAAGTAAAAGTCACCGATCTCAACCTGGAGATAGAATGACATACCTGGGGGTTCAACTCCATACACGAGGGAGCGTCAATGATAGCGCTGTAAGAACTGCCGTTGTAGTCACTGCTCACAAGCTCTTCGTCAGAGACCTTGAGAACACCAGCCATGTCGAGCTTAGCGGACCGACGGAAAGCAGCGATGACTTCGGCCAGCGAGGTCGGCTTTTCGGTGCTGATGGTGAGATCGATCATTGAGACATTGGGACTGTAATGGTGTTAGATTGCAGCTGTGATCGACATCGGCATGGAACTCACGTAGGCACACGAATGGAGACACCAGTCACTTTGCCCTTCAGCTCTGGTAGCACGGCGGCAATAGCCTTAGCGGCTCCAGTGGTTGTGGGAATGATGTTGTCGAATACGCCACGTCCTGGAACGATGTCATTAGAACTAGACCATACGTTGGAGGAAGCCCTACTTACCCAGACGCTTGTTCTTCTTGCTGTACCCATCCAGGACCTGCTGTGACCTTGTGGCAGCATGGATAGTTGTCAAGAAACCTTGTTGAACGCCAAAGGATCCTTGGAGAACCTTCAAAACAGGAGTCACACAGTTGGTAGTGCAGCTTGCATTGGAGACAACACGGCAGTCCTCGGTAGGGGTGTAGTCGTCCGAGTTCACACCATAGACGAAAGTAGGTGAGTCCGAGCTAGGGGCAGAGATGAGTACACGCTTTGCCTGGCCGTAAGTGACATGGTCTAGAGCAAGGTCTCGCTTGGTGAATTTGCCGGTGCATTCGAGAACATAGTCGACTCCCAGAGCAGACCAGTTGAGCTTCTTGAGGTCGCGCTCGGAGGTTAGGGCGATTTGCTTGCCGTTGACTGTGATGAGGGTCTCGGAGAGGATGTGGATCGGAGTTCGGTCGTCGAGATATCCCATTGAGGAGTCGTAGCGGATTAGGTAGATGAGGTCTTCAACCGAGATGCAGGTGTGGTTGATGGCGACGACTTCGATATCGGTACGGACTAGGGCTGCGCGAAGTACATTTCGGCCTTTTTGGTAGGTTAGCCTTTGTCATTTCTACTCTTTCAGGTCGAGCCAAAGTGCCAAGGTGTTGATGGTCACATACCAATACGACCGAAGCCGTTAATGCCGACTTTGCATGGTGAAGTGACCTGCACTTGGCCATGAGGAACGTCGTTGATCGAAGGGGCCATTGTGGATCTATGAGCGCGATAATTGCAATCGATGTTTGATTGAGTATGTCTCTTGCCTACTAGGCAATGTATTGGAAGACCAAGATCTATAAGTATAGTTCCAACGAACCCACCCCAGACCTGCTTTCCCGTGTCTCCCATCCCAACGCCGAACAACCCGACGTCACCCGCTATCATACGGATAAAGAATCGGCATCGAACAAGTCCGACGGTCTCATAGAGCGAGGTTTCTTGAAACCCATAGCAAATGGAACATAGAGAACAAATCAAAGCCGGCGATTCTGCCGTCATTCGGATGTCCAAAATGGATACAGGGACGAACCAATCAGGACAACCCTTCGTGCCGAAAATACCGCGTCCACTACCCGATGGCAGCGGAGGAGTGTTATTTTGTTACGCAAGGACCCATGACTTGTCTCGTCTTTGTTTGGTGGAGGGGGCTCGACTCTGGGGTAAAGTACCGATAGACGGAGGAATGAATGGAGCTGTCTGGACTATGTTTGGCGCTGCTTGCCGCCGCGAAAATGAATGGGGCCAAATTATTCACACCCATGCAAGCTTTCCAATCAGAATAATCCCGCGGGTCCAGTGGGGAATCTTTGCTGAGAGACTGCTCAAACGTGATTTGTGGGTGACGCCGGCATTTTCTTCCTCCGTATCGGCATTCCGATATGGGGCTGCCCGGTTTCGCCGAACTATGACCAACTTGGGCCTCATATAGTGAAGATTCCGGTATTTCGCGGGAGAGACAGCAGGCTCTTCTTTTTCGCGATAATTCTACGGTTGATAAATCACTAGGCCCGAGATGTCTTACTATGCATGTCGTCAATCTCTATCACAGAAGACATTGCATGCTTTGGCGTGTCTTGGGCCATGGTCATTTATTCCTCTGAAAGGTGCTTCAGGGCTACCAAAAAAGACATCACAACTTTGGAATGGAAAAAGTCTCATACCTTAGGGAATTGTTCAAATAAAATCTATCTATGATGAAGAATGACAAAGGTGTCCTACCCATGAAAGGAGATGGGCCGAATGGCTTCGCTGAAATTCCAATCTAGTGTGTTCTAAATTCTAGACATCTCGCTCGGTCCATTGAGAACCAGGAGCAGATTATAAGCTGTAAACAAAGGCAAGACTCAGACATTCTCCGTCATCTCTGTCGAGCATCCGTCATCCTTTTCCTTGTTTTTGGCAATGAGCTCAGCAGGTGTGACTTCGCCCTGTGGCAGATTACGCGCCATGGAGACAATTTGCCATGGAGACGATGCGTCCCGGAACACGTGGTTCAGCATCTCAAGATTGCGGTTCATGGTCTCCGGGTAGAAGAAGTAAACCAGCACGGGGATGCAGGCTGACAAAATTGCGTACATAATGTAGTACTTGTAGCCGATCGTGTCGAGTGCCACCGGGGTCACCATGACCACCACAAAATTCCACAGCCAGTGGTTTGCAGTTGAGATAGCGGCCATCGCCACGCGCAAACGAACAGGGGCAACTTCTGTGCAGTACAAGAAATTACCACCGAGAAAGCCGATGGGGTAAAACAGATTGAACAAAAAGATGAAAAATGCGGATGCAATAGATGCGTTTTTGTTCTCGGTGCCGAAGCTGGTGGTAATAGCCATTGCTGCCATACAACCTGCCATCCCAGCCCCACTAACCATGAATACGACACGACGACCTAGACGGTCGATGGCGAAGAACGCGATGAAACAGCACAAGCACTTCCAGGTCAAGGCGCAAGCTGCGAGAATCTTCGAAAGATCTGAACCCAGGTTTAGGTTTTCTTGGAAGATTGTCGAGGCGTAGACCGAAATCAGATTTCCGCCGCACATTTGTTGGAAGAATTGTAGAACTATACACAAGCAGAATCGGTAGAGGAGACGTTCATCGTCATTTTTCGAGAAGATTTCCCGAAGGACTCCCTTGGATTCAGATGTGACCTCGAAAGATAGCTGGATTCCGGATATCTCCACCTGAATAGCGTCATCATCTGGGTCGGAGCCTTTGAGAGCAGCGAGGTTGGCGGTGGCTTCGTCTGAGTGGCCAACGCGTACCAGCCATCGCGGGGATTCTGGTAAAAAGAAGATAGATGCAAGAATGATCAATGATGGTAAGAATGAAATGGTAAGCGGTCCCCTCCACTGTCCAGTATTGGTATCGGGGAGCTCGCTGAATCCAAAGTCAATCCAGTTACATAGAGAATAACCAAGACACATGAATATACCATCTGCGACGACATGCCGACCTCTGCTCTTGGCTGAAGAACATTCGGATTGCCAGACAGGGATCGCCACGCTGATTTGGCCCACTCCCATACCCAGTATGATTCGACCAACGGTGAATTGAATCAAGGAATAAGCGGAGGTTTGCAAGACCTGGCCAATAACAGACAGTATGGCACCGAGAAAGATAGTCTTCCTGCGACCGAGACGGTCAGATAAGAAAGTACAAGAGAGTGCTCCAATAAGAGCACCAATTTGAAAAGAAGCGATCACGGCGCCTTTTCCGGTGGAATTGTGTGACTTGACAGCACCTTCCGTGTTGATGGTATCGATTTGAGGAAAGGTTGCAACCCAACTGGGGAGGGTTGCCAAAGGACCGGTACCGGCCTGATTGTATCCAAACAGGAAAAATCCCGGGGCGACAACCAGCATCATCTGCGCAAGACGCAATGCTCGCCCTGTCAGGCCCATATATAAGGAGTTCATGGTAGATATCGAGACCAGCTCAGGGATAATACAAGAAAAGGGAAGTGAAGAAGGAAAGTGCTGGCTGACAGGAGTGATATATATGCATTTATGCTGATCATGCTATACCAAGAACGACAAGCTCGTCTGTGCATCGGCATTAATGCTTAACCCGGGGACCCCATGAAACTGGGGAAGCGGACTTGTCCATCCCCGCAATGTAGCACAGTGATGCAATGGGGAGACCTCAAACCCCGGGATAATGCACTGGTCAGACATTTCCCCAGTTTCTGGGGAGACTTACCCCATATCGGAGGTTGCATTGTCCGAATCCTTGCCTTCGCTTAAAAATGATGCTCATTGCATCACGAGGCAAAATGCTTGTTTATGCTTGTTTATCCCTCTCGCTATACCTACCCCGAAGCCGCGTAATCAGACTCAGTGAATCTTGAACTGACGCATTTGAAAGCCTAGAGTGAAACTCTCAGTCCATGCATGTCGACCCACCTGCACTTAAAATTGGCACTAAGATGCGGCGAAAATTTAAGGTTGTTTGTTTAGCCTGAAGGTTATTCTAGGAAGTTGGGATGGATAGAATGGGCACTGGGGGATTCCTCAGACGCTGATTTTAACTTGATTTGTACATTCGTTTCTCATTCTTGTTCATATACTCTCAAAATAACATGTTTACTTGCTACCAGCAAGCTTCTTGATCTCTGCCACAACGGCATCAGTCACCTGCTTAGTGGTAGCGTTACCGCCCAAGTCACGGGTGAGGACACCCTGCTCGCAAACGTTCTCAACACAAACAATCAGCTGCTTAGCAGCTTCCTCCTCGCCGAGCCAGGCAAGCATCTCCGCAGCGGTCCAGAAGGTGGCCACGGGGTTGGAGATTCCCATACCGGTGATATCGAAAGCGGAGCCGTGAATAGGCTCGAACATACTGGGGTACTGGCGAGTGGGGTCGAGGTTGGAAGTGGGGGCAATACCGATGGAGCCAGCGAGGGAAGCAGCAAGATCGGACAGGATGTCAGCGTGCTAATGAATCGTCAGTTTTCATCACTTGTTTGATCTCTTCATGGCGACTCACCAAGTTAGTGGCAACGATAGTGTCGAGAGTTTCGGGCTTCAGAACCATGCGGGTAGTCATGGCATCGACAAGCATCTTGTCAACAGTGACATCGGGGAATTCGGTAGCAACAGACTTGGCCACCTCATCCCAGAGAACCATACCGTTACGCTGGGCATTGCTCTTGGTGACGACAGTCAAAAGCTTACGGGGGCGCTTCTGGGCGGTCTCAAAGGCGAATCGCATAATGCGCTCAACACCGTGACGCGTGAAGATGGAGACTTCGGTTGCGATTTCCCAAGGCTTGCCGGCGTGGGAGCGACCACCCTGGCCGGCGTACTCGCCCTCGCTGTTCTCGCGAACAATCACCCAGTCAAGGTCGTTGGGACCACACTTGCGCAGGGGTGACTCAGTACCGCGGAAGACACGAGTGGGACGCACGTTGGCGTATTGCTGGAATGGCTGGCAGATGGCCAGACGAAGGCCCCACAGGGAAATGTGGTCGGGGACGTCTGAGATTGTAAGTTACATGCGATTTGGATGAGCTCGGTCTTCTTACCGGGAGCGCCGACAGCACCGAAGAAAATGGCATCGTGCTTCTTGAGTTCCTCAAGACCGCCATCGGGGATATATTTGCCGGTCTTCTTGAAGGTCTCGGAGCTCCAGTCGTAGTTCTTGAACTCCAACTTGAAGGTCTTGAGGGTATCGGTCAAAGCGTTGAGAGCAGTGATACCGGCCTCAATGACCTCTGGGCCAATACCATCGGCGGGGATGGAGGCGATGTTGTAGGTCTTTTGACCGGCGACAGAGGGAGACATGATGTGAAGTTCTTTGGGTAAGTAAGATGCAGCAGAAAGGATACAATTCAGCGCATGCGAGGGTCTTTAAAGAGATCGATTTCCAAGGTCCCAAACCTCAGTCTCCACAAGAAAAATTGCCTCGTTGCACGCTCATCCAACTATGATCTTGATCGCGGGGTGCATCCGGAGATTGAAATGACCGGGCCACTATATTCGGACATTTTGTCCCCCGTGGATCCACCCGGACATGTCTTTGTCCGGTGGCGACTAGCCCTAACTCGGTGTACAGAATCGCGACGATGGATCTTCACGTTCTAGGTCGAGTAAATCCAAGAGGATTGCAAGAGATTGAGCGAAGTTCAATTTTCAGATGCTAATCCTTGTATCTCTCGGGATCCAAGTCAACACTCAGCGCGTTCCAACTCGCATCCACACAATCCAACTGCAAAGCCAACACTATGCCTATTCCACAAGAAGCTATCGACAACGTCCTTAGCCAAGTGCTACCTCACATTAATCACCATGTTGAGTGTCAGAGATTATCATCTCTCAAAATACCTTTCATCTTGGCCCTCACTGGTCTTCAGGGAAGCGGAAAGTCTACATGGACAGATGCGCTGGTCAAAGCACTGAAAAGCCAAAATCATACAACGATCAATCTCTCGCTGGACGATCTATATCTCGACCATGATGATCTAGTCAAGCTGCGCACACTCAACCCTTCCAACAAACTTGTCCAAGCACGAGGACAGCCAGGCACACATGACATGGCTCTTGCGCGCTCTTTCTTTGAAAGCTTGAACAGTGGCCGCGATGTATTGATACCTTCTTTTGACAAAAGCAAGTTCAATGGAGAGGGTGGAAGATCACCTATCGAGACGTGGGAACGTATTCCATCAGACATCACCATTGATGTTGTTGTATTTGAAGGCTGGTGTGTTGGATTCCAGCCACTGGAAGAGCTCGATATTCGAAAGAAGTGGGAGAATAGTGTCCAAGGTGACTCTACAGGTGTATATCCGACAGAGACTTTGAAAGACCACGCGATCGAGCATTTGCTGCAAGCCAACACCAAGCTACGCAGCTACTGCGACCTTTTCATGGGACCGCAGCATTTGGATTTCATCGTTCACTTGGATACGGATGACCTGGTCAATGTATACCAGTGGAGAATTCAGCAGGAGCATGCTCTTCGTCAGCGGGCCAATGAGAGCATGTCAGATGAAGAGGTCATTCGGTTTGTGAAAGGATACATGCCCGCATATGAATTGTATCTGGATCAGCTGAGACGTGGGTTTTTCGATGCCACTTCTTCCGATACTGGGAAGGGCCAGTTGCGAGTTGTTTTGAATCAAACTAGAAAGGTAGTCGAGACTGCGCTGTATCCCTGAATTGAGATTAGAAAGGAACACATTGTACATTGGTTTCATCCGCTCGATATATCTAGAACTACAAGAAGTTATTGTGTATCATCCAGGGACCGTCGGCCACACTCCAGAGATCATTCATCAGCATAGACGAGGAGAAGGGCAGGGATTCCTGACCGGCAAAACCGGGATTGAAGGCAGCATTGCTGTCTGCCATGTTTCCGAAAATAAGCCCGGCGGAGGACTGTCCACTGATGGGGTTGCCAGCAGAATCAAGCATTTCAGCATAGTTTCCAATATTGTCGGTAGGTGAGAAAATAGCCGAGTCATATGCCTCCGTGGAGTTGAGACCTTGGACGATTGGTCGTGCGGCTGATTGGAAAGGCTGCATGCCACCCGAGACAGGGCTCTCTTGGTATCCATTCATAGCCGAGGACCGTAGTATAGCTGGTGTGAGGCCTATATCTCCAGATTCATGGCCATCTTGAACAGAGAGGAATTGAGTTCTTCTCCTGTCTATTGATGGTGTGTTTTGTGTGTACTGTGGTGCTTTCTCTGTTCCGTTCATGGTTCCGGGAATCTTGAACTGCTGGCCGTTGGAGTTTTGTGCCGAGAAAGCAGACTCCATACCTTTGATTGCTTCGATGCAGGTCTCTGGCCAGCTGCTTCCGCGGAGTGACAGATTTTCCAAGACCGCAATTCCCATGCGCGCATACTTTAGCGCGCTTGATGCTGCAAATTCATCCTCCCAAGCGGCAAACATGAGAATAAGACAGGCCATCCATGTTGACCATGTGAAGCATGGCCATGAAAGTGGTGAGTCTGATGTAGAAGACATGTGTTTTTTCAATGCCGTGAGTATTGATCTTGAAGATCCAATGCAGGTCTGTAGGGCATTCTTGTAATCTGCACTGGGCTTTTCGGCCGCTAACAAGGGCCGGTTGAGTGAAATGATGGCCTCGTGTCGCAGAATCATTAGAAGGAGTCGATGGTATGGCTGTAAGGCTGGAGCCTGCTCCTGACCAGATTCATCGGGCTCTTCAATCGGATTGACATCATCGTAAACCTCATTCCACCATTGTGAAAGTTCTCCTGTGACATGTGCCGCCTCAACTTGGCTATCATGGCTGTGCAGTATAGATTTGTTGCGAAGTTCCACAATCAGACCTCTGATTCGGGCAAACTTGGCGAGATGGCAGACCAGTCGCAATCTCTGATCGTCGTTGTTTTGGGGGTTAGTTGAAACATGCCTTTCTGCGCCGGGGTAACACACGTCGATGTCATCGTCCCGAATTGAGAGAGGAATGCCGAGCGCCTGGGAGAGATACCTCTCAAGGGAATAGATTGACCAGAATAAACGACATCTGATGCCAACTTCTTCGCTACTGAAACATGAGAAACGCCCCGGGCAACGGTGCAACCCCAGGTGGAATGCGGTGCGGGTGATTACACCGCCCACCCGCGAGGCCGCATTTAAACGCAAGAGAGAAGTGAGCGCAACTTGCGCGGTGAAAGCCGCTTGTAGTAGTGCCAAGGTGGAAGGCTGCTCGAGCAAGCTCTGTACATCCTGCATCACATGCTGAATGCTCCGAAAAACCAGCCCCGCGGGAACAGGATTTGTCTTGGATGCAGGGGATGTTATTTGTCGATTGTCGCCCAGGGAGATGGATATGACCGACCGCAGTATCATCAACTCGAGGCGATTGATTGACTCGATTCCCTTTTGGCTAACGGTCTCCATGGTCTTCAAAACCGTTGGTGCATGAAGACATGGGAAAATTGAATGCCAATTTTCGAAATAGCTGCGTGTCCATTTGACAAGGTCGTCAAAAGCAACGGTTGGGCTTGACGAAAAGTCCAACTCATCTTTTCCCCATAGGTCATCGGTGGTTTGAGTTGTTCCTGCGTGTCGCCTCAGCCGGTCGTCTTCCCCAGGCACCGACGTTCTGTCGCGCGCTCGGGTTTGATCCAAGTCCGCCGAGCGGCGTGCGAATGCATTGTAAACATGGCGGATGAAGTGAATGCCACTTGAACTTCCAAGAAATGTCGCAGAGCCCTCGTTTTGTGACTCTCTCATAAATCCAAGCTCACGAGGAGATGGACCTGATGTTGCAGCAACAGAGGGCCGCTTGCGTCTCTTGTTTGGGCGCGACCACTCTGTTTCCACGTCCTCGTGTCTAGTGCTCACAGAAGATGGTGACGCCATGGTTTTAACGCAGTTCTTATCACATCTTTTTCTTTCCCTTGGATCATTCAAAGTGTGATGTTTGAATCGGCTTGGCAATGCCGGGCCCGGGGCCCCGGGGTCCGGGGAATCTTAGTCATCTATTACGTCAGATGATTCAGGCTCCGGCATCGATCGCATTCTCACCTTCAACGCGTCCGAATACCCCTAGTATCAAGGAGAGCAGATATGTGTGATAAGGTATTGTATTATGAGACGAGCAGATGAAAGAGAGAGAGAGAGAGAGAGAGAGCTCTCGGTCTACGCTATCTGACACGCTGCGAGCCTGACAAACCTGGCACCCACGGGCAGAGAAGTCAAGTCACCCTAGTATAGAGAACCTTGAAGCCTGCAAGACCTATCTATGGCGCTGGTAAATAAAGACTTGTAAATAACTCCACTTGTTCTCGCTATAGAAGCATCGATAACCTTGGGTAGTATTGACATGTTTCGAGGTCATTTCGTACCCATGCATATAGAATTGATTGTTTTCATCTTCCATGCTTAATTTCCAGACATGCAGTGATCTGGGTTCCCAGATGGGTTTCCCCACCATGTTGGGAACAGGTGTTCCTTTCCACTGGCACCCATGACCGCGAAGGAAAGAATGAAAATTATAATCTGGGATCCCCCATCCAACGCCGCACCGATCAGGTAATTGTACTTGTTGTAGATACGAGGCATGCGGCGTCGAAGCCAAAATTGCGAGAAAACACCAACGGCAATGGAAGACCAGACCCATGAAGTGTTTCCATAGTAATTCATTCCCGTGTAGCTCGCAATAATGGGAGTGTTGATTGGCCAATTTCGTAAGCGTGGACAATACTTGCTCACCACCCAATGGATAACAGGCAGACCGAGTCCTATCAAAATCCCCATGGGTACAATGAAGTAGCGACCCTGCAAGCTGTACATGTCCTTGGCTAGAGCCCATGTGATTGCTTGCGAGTTCATACTCTGAAGAGTGGAACCACTCCAGACGTTTGTTCCCACGGGATCCAGGAGCACCTCTCTCTCATTGGTGACAATGACTGTCATGACAACATAGTTGAGAGCAGCCCCGAGGAGAGTACCATATATCTGGGTGGCGAACATGACCCGATGGGGAATCTTGGTATACTGCCCAACCTTCAGCCAGTTTGCAAGGTTGACAGCGAGAAGAATGACCTGGTGTGACCAGCTAGCGAAGTAAAGGTTGGCTAGAGGTCGACCGGGATGAACGGCACCAGCCACCATCTTGGATATTTGGTTTGTTCCCACTCCAGTTCCGAAGAGTCCGTACAGGATACACGAGAAAGGAGCGATGAATCCACCGAGAAGAAGAGAGATTATGTAGCCCCAAACAGGCAGAGTTGTCTCACCCTTTGCAGTCACGACAACTCCTGCAATGAATGTCAGACCAAAAAGTGCGTAATACCACCACATCGGGACTTCTTTGTATTTCAGCATTCCCTGATAGTGAGGGTCAGGCTGAGTTCTCGCTCGTGCCTGCTTCCACGCAAGAATCATGTCCTTGCTATAAAAGATAAGAACATGCGTGATCAATGCACCAATGGCTACATTCTGTGTGAAATAGCCCCAGACCGTACTAGATGTCAAACTGGGCAGTCCAACCTGCGCAAGCTTGGCCTCATCGACGACATTGTCGTTTGTCAAGATCGACGTAGTGGAAAAGGTCGTTCCATTGGTTGCGAAGAGAGAGGTGGACATGAACGGGAGACTCTTTGCGCCCCACGCATTGCCGTACCACAGCCCCAACATGACCGGATACCAGATGAAATACCCAATCCACGAGTTCACCTGTTGTTTGAAAGGCAACGACAAGTATGTGCTCTGGATATATTGCCAGTCCAGGGAAAAGTTCAGCAGACCCATCCCCTCATTAGATGAAGCACCACCAAAGACCTTCGTAAAGATGGATCGGGTATGTACTGGGGCTTTCAATGATGCAAGGCAAAATATTGAGAGGCCTCCGAACCATGTCACCATGTAGGACGGGAAAATTTCCCAGACCAAGGCAAAGACCAAAGCCCACCCGAACTTGACCAGACGTGCTCGATTGGCGATTCGATCGAACTGAAGATTTTGGAATAGCACAACCTGGGGCAAGGTTGACCAGTAGACCATTTCAGCCGGATAGACAATCAGAGGACGCAGAACACCGGCTAAAACAAAACCACAAAGTGATATCGAAAATGTGGCTAGGACTGCCGTCGAGGCAGAGATACTGCGATCGTAGAATAGCCGCTCGATGGCGTAGACCTCCACTCCAGACAGTCCATTGTTTCCCGAGGATGCGATGAGAGATGCGACGACATGTTCTTTGATTCCAAAAGGCTGCCCAAAGTTGAGAAAGAGGAGCGTATTACGAAGCCATTTTGAGTTGATCTTGTCAGGGCGAGGTGTTAAGCGGGCCCAGGCCTCTCCAAAAATGAATATCATCACTGCCTTCTTTGTTAGGATGTCGTCCAAGCTTTGATTCTGTGTTATAAAGGCACATACGCTGCAGAAAAGTAGCCGAGACTTGCATTTGAACCGGTTTGAAGGTGTATAGCATGGTTATCACACTAGAAAGTGCAGTGAAGGCCGTTCCCAGGACAAAGCAGCGGAAGGTAAACGCAGGGTCGCCATCGTCCCTTGTCGAGATCAGATACTTGGAGACATCAAGCCCTAGGTGACTGTATTAGCTAGTGAGATTAAGCTTGATGATGTGTCTATAGCTCACCAGTTTCAATGACAGGGTGACCCTTCAAAAATTTAGTATCGGTCGGGGTGGGTTCCTCTTCCGAGGCCGTGGAGACCACCGTTGTTTTGTCACCAAGTTTCACCCGAATTGAAGCATCAGAGCCCGATCCCGGGCTCTCTGAGGCTTGATCATTTGTCGCCATCTTGTGAGAGAAACAGTTTGAGTTGGCTTTGTCGGAAGGTTTCAGTCAGTACTTGTTGAGAAGGATTAGTGCAGTGTGCACGTAGTTCATTCCACAATCAAGGATTCAGCGCAGCAAAGGAATGAAAAATTCTAAGTAGAGACGAAATTGGAGTCTCGGAGTAAAAGCTTTTCAATGTTTACACTGAGGTTTCGCCCCGATGTTGCAGAGTATATAATACTTCCGGAGACCATGTTTCTTCTCTTCCCTCCTTCCTCCTTTGGATTGTCGACACAAAGGAACCATCCAGCATGTGTATTTTCCATCAGCTAATAGAACCGGATTTTCCACCTCTAGTGTCTCTCATGGCCAATCAGGGCGCGGTCCTCAAGGATGGGAGTAGATAGGAAATGATACGATATGCAACATAGATGGTGTGTGAGCGTCCGGGTGTTTGGGCCATTTGCTTCGCTTAATAGCGGAAATTCCTCTCCCTTGCAGTGGCATAGTATAAGCATTGCCGACGTTATTATGTTCACGGGTTCTGGCGCGTGGAATCAATGAATGGCGCGATAACCACCCGAAATGCCGAATGCAGCCAAATCCGAAAGAGCCAATCAGGACCAGTGCATCATTACGGCTCAGCACCTAAATTCACTTAGGCTTAGCCCGTCGGCTATTTGTTGATATGCTTCCCTCAAATGGGAACTGTCTGGCTTCGTGGCGCATGGGGTTACGTTGGACCTTGAAAACCTTTGTTCCTTCCACGATTCAAGACATCCATGCTGCCTTCCCTCCTCATACCGGAGGTGGCATTGATACAATGGAGATGTTGCCAATGTCATGTTCACCTAAAGTCTTGTTTCATATCTGCGTGAGGCCAGTGGCATAGACTCAGAACAAATTTTGGAACTCAAAATGTGGAAAGCTTGACAATACAAGCATGCATCGAGGCTGCCCTCCTAACTCTATATGTAATATCGGGTCATATCAGCAAGCGAGATGAGACTTTGCGTAATATGTTCAGGACATGTACACATAGTGGGGCGCTTTAGGCCCTTCGGACTCCGGGTTGCGTTATTCGATGCTGACTGTGTGGTGACATCTTCGGAGTGAAAAGAAGAAGAAAAAAAGCTTACCAGAAGGATCATCCTGAGAAATGTAGTCAATATCGTATTCAACGTTAAGAGAGTCCGATCCGCGTTTTGCTTAGGTGACTGGCCGAAAGCGGAAAAGCAAGATCTGTTCTCCGTAAAGAACGGGGAGCTAGTGGGGTTTTATCGAGCGAAAATTTTGAAAGTTAGGTATTGATCAACGTATATGTTGTGGAAGACCTGAGGAGAGAAAGAGGGAGAGGGAGGGAGAGGGAGGGAGGAAGGGAGAGATCTAGATCTATCAACCTGCGGGGAGTCTGTCAAATCAGGCAGCCGCAATGGCCCCGACAGGTCTGAAGGGTTAATTTTAGTCTAAATGGACCTCGGGAGTACACTTCGCGAAGGATATCATTATAGTTGTTCATGCCTCTGATCACGGCATGTACGGTCTATCTGTCAGGATCTGTAGCTTGCTTGAACTTCTGCAAGGGCGGTTTGAATTCTTCTTTCACTTTGTCAAGCTCTCCTATGGGCATTCTATCTCACCGTCTACTACTCCGTATCATTCTTGTCGTCTCCAGGTTGGGCAGCGCGGTCCTCGCTCTTTGCCGAGAGTTCATTCAAGGTCTCCGAAGTCACACAAATTACCGCGTTATATTTGGCCACTAGACTAGCTTGGGCTTTCTTCCTATGCTGAGCGCGCGTCGTTACTCTGCGTTGACGGGAGTGGGCTTCAGTCTCGGCAACCAAGGAGGTGAATCTTCATGCTCATTGCGGTTGAAGGTTTCAGGGACAACGTCGCCCGCCACTTGGTACAACTCCATAATTCCAACTGCAGTCACTGCTACGGAATTCCCCATTAATGTATACTCAGTCATTTCCGCTTTTCATTTAATTTACTGAATTTGCACAGCAGAAGGCCCCGGTCATTGTACCTATAAAGCTAGAGAGAAAGGAGAAAGGAGAAAGATTCACACGCACGGCTGAGTGACGAATTGACGTGCATCCCAGCGCACCCGCCGCAAATGTCGATTAGGATCTTTGACCTCATTTCTCGCATGCAACCATCTCCCATTGTCCATGAGGATAATTGACCCTCTTGGTAGCATCTCTGACGTGAGATTTAGTATCTGCTCTTTCGCCGCAGGTCCCAGCAGGACCTTCTTCAGTTCCGTCAACGCCTTGGCCGCCTCCTCAGTAAGTGGTGTGACAATATCCTCCCGGAATCGGAGTTGAGTCGCCTTGCCATTGGGGCTGATCGTGAGCAGATTGCCCACGATCTCCGTCTCGCCTTGAGACTTGATGAACTCTGGTGGAACAGTGATGCGATAGTTCGGCGTGAAAAGACACTCCCTAGCAAATGGGGACAGCAGCGTCAAGAGTCGATCAACATTCAGCACAGACAAGGTGCCTCCACCACACTGGTCTGGTTGGAGAACCTGCAGCGCGAAGAATCTCGGCGGCTTGGCTTCATAGCTGCAGTCGGTGTGCCAGGGAAACTCCTCCATTGTCTCTGAGCGTGCTTGATGGTTATTACTCTGGAAGGAGTCTGGGGAAGGACGGATATCCCACATCCAGCCGCGGTTGGCGGAATGGGTGAGTGGGAGGCCATGGGCGTGGTTTTTGTGGAGGTTTAAGAGAAGATCTTGAATGTAGCTACTCTTGTCGTCGGGAAAGGCGAGTTGCATGTGCAGGATGCCTTCATTTTGGAGGGTGCGGTTGACGGTGTCTAGGTGGGAGGATTCGTAGGCGAGAGTTGGGCTGGGGACTCGGATGTAGGGGATTGAGGGGATTGAAGAGATGAAGCGGTTGTCTGTCAGCTGGCTGTGAGTATAACTAGTGCGGGTAATTGAGTCTGAAGCGGGAAATTGAGACATACTGTGTCTGAACAGCTTGGAGGCCGTATGAAGAGGACGTGATAATCGCTGCATTATGGCTCGCTTGGGGCAGAGAAAGAGGGTTGAGCTTTGTGTTTAGTATAGTATCGTATTTTAAAATCTAGAAACTAGGAAAGGGCCGGGATGATCTACTAGAAAGGGATGAACGCCGTCCAAGCGCCCGATTCAAAAGAAATTATATTTAGGATTTAATCCCTGTACGTAGTACGGAGTAGCATCGCGTAAGAGGAACTATTCAGCTCGCTGCGGGCCGATGAAGGATCCACTCTAGCTGAAATATTTAGAGTATTTAGCATCCTGCTATTCCAGCCTCGGTACTCTGTAGACTTCCCCAACCCACCTCATTGATTGTCTATACGCTATGAAGAAACCATCCTCTGCCCTGCACACCATTGTTCTCCCCTCCACAGCGGGAGAGCAACATGTCTCCCCACAAGATAGTGATGCGGCGACCCGCCAAGCCCTCGTCAATACGCTCCGCTCTAACATGCTCAAATGCAGTCCTCCCGAAACCTGGGGAGCTGGCGATATCTACGAAACATGTTCTCCGCATCCAGTCCTCATCACACCCGCTCACAAGAAACAGCTGGAAAGCTTAAGTGGGGCGTTAGCTACAGCGATTTTCGACATCGTAGACCGATGGTGGAGCGATGCTGAATCGAGATTTCCAGAGCGCATGCCAGTTGAGCCTTTTGAGGAGGATTTGCTACGGGTATGTCTGAATCTGGTTGAAAAAGACCACGGAGTATGTGATCTCTAATCATCAACTTGAGTAGTGGATGGACTCCCAACCAGAAAGTGTAATTCGCCCCTTTGAAACCTGCACGGGATCATGGCGACCAGATATGCTGCTCGAGCCAGGAGTCAACGGGGGAATTGAGAATTATCGCATCTGCGAAATCAACGCTCGTTTTTGTATGAATGGGTTTCTAGTCACTGCCTATGGACAGCAGGCACTGCTTGATATGGGCGTTGGGCGGAACGGACTCAAGGGCGTGACAGATCCAGAGACGGTTAGTCCGTACTATCTCCATGAAGAGCAAGAGCTAACGAAACAGGTGAAAAATGGACTCAATAGTCTTTACAATCCCAGTCTACCGCTGCACTTCTGTAAGGGTGAGGAACCTGGGTATGATATCCATCTTTACCGCCACTACGCGAAATCGCTCGGGATTGAGATGCGGCTCATTGATCCGACTGATCTGCGTTTACTCAAGTCTCTTACTTCGCCTGGTGGGCACAAATTGTACTGCCTTGCGCGGGAGAATGCTGCCGGTACCGTCACCAACGATGACGGTGAAACCCTCGAGGAAGTTCACCAGATCGGTCTGGAACTTCACCAGAGGGAGCTGGCGAGAATGACGCCCCAAATGCTGCAGCAGCTCAGCATGCGATGCTTCAACGATATGCGCACTATCTTCCTTGTCCACGACAAGCGGTTACTCGGCATCATCATTGAAGAACTCGACAATCTAGTCGCGCGCAACGTGCTCACCGGGGAACAAGCCACCGTTCTCCACAAAGGAATAGTTCCAACCATCACCCCAGGCTCACCACAACTCTCCCAATTTATCGGAGAATGTCGCAATCCCTCCCTCAAAGACGCCTACATCCTCAAACCCGTCCGCAGCGGCAAGGGAGCCGGGATCCTCTTTGGAGACCAACTTGACCAGGATGAATGGCTATCGAAAGTGGAGGCTATGCGGAACCCCAATCTGCAGTCTGGAAAGACTACCTATGTGATACAGCGGCGCGTCGAACACAGTCTCTACGAGGTACTCCTGCGCGAGTGTGACGGTGTGCAGCGCTACCCACTCATCGGTACTTTTATGATGATCTATGGCAAGCTCCTGGGCCTCGGGCTATGGAGAAGCGGCCCAGGGCGGATCTGTGCGCTAAGTCTGGGTGGCGGCTGGATCTGTTCAGTTGAGGAATAGATGGGTTTGCATACAGTACTCCGTAGAGATTTCGAGCTGAATGGAACCAATGATGTGTACTCGAATATTAGGTCCACCTGGGAAACTCCATTGATCGACATGGTGGGTCTCAGTCCTCCAAACATATTCGGTAAAAAAAAGCACTCAGCCTTGGAAGTGATCAACCATTACGAGATAAATATTGGAACGAGCTCGCGGCCTCGGAAGTTCCCGAGACCGAACCACCAAACTACGGCTTTTACGAAACAATAGACTCAAAGCAACATCAGACATCAGATTTGGGGTAACTAGTTGCGAAAAGCATGCATCAATTACGGAGTAGTGCATCGCGGAGTACAGAGTAAGGGATCTTGGAAATGCAAGTCGAAATACGGAGTACGCCGTCGAGAGGCGAGAACCCGATTAGCCAACAAGATCCCGAATTTCGGCCTGCATCCTAACGAGATCCGGCTAGCGCGTTCCTGTCTGCGAAGAACCCGTGGACAATCACTTACGGAGTACGTGCGGCTTCAATAGTCTGAGGGGAACCTTGGAAGTGGCTTGATGAGGGACCTCGGTGGATCTCCATCGCCTCGGCTTTACTAGTACGATCTTGGAAGAAGCTATGCGACCAATCAAAACTAGACATGGGATCAAACATCTTCTGCTATTTTTTTTCGCCAGAGCTCACGAACGCACCAGTGCTCCTAGCGTTGTCTCAGATTCAGCTTTCGGGGTCCCCTTTGGATGAGGAGGAGTTGCCCTTATTCCATTTGGTCAGACATTGTATATTTTCTGGACACGTCCAAAGCAGTGACCTAGGAATCAATCAATTGAGCCACTGTCACAATGTCCTAATTGAATGCTTACACGAGGACCCTCAAATCCCGGAGGGATCCACAATCTTGCGATGCCCAGGTGAGATTGGAACGATCTGGGGGCGATCTTGTGAGTAATCAGATCTTCAATGCTGGCAGTGCAGCTACTGCCTGATTGGCTAGAAGCCTAACCTGAATGTGGAATATACTCCGTACGGAGTTTGTAGTTCATGCCACTCATCCACTCAAGAGATGCGTCGGGGGCGAATTGAAAATTCTGTGCAACCTTACATATGACCAAAGTTACGGAGTACTCCGTACATGGATCCGCAGTCGGCAGAATGTCGAAAGGGAAAGACATGGGCAAAGGGGCTGCCCCATGTGACTGTGTACTCCATAATTATACAGTGATTAAAATAAACCCCCGGGGGGCCCCTGAGGAAGAGCACCAGATGGTTGTAATTGAATAGTCGTACGGGGTACGGAGTACAATGAAAATGATGGCGACCCGACCCGCCGTGGGCCGAGCCGGGACCAAACTTTTGCCTCTTCACGACTTTCCTCAACGACCATCATTGCCTAACTTCTGCAAGCTTGGCCGGTGTGGAGTCCTCTTACTAGATCGGGAAGGGGTATTTTAGTTCCATGTACGGAGTACTCCGTACTCCGTGCGCCAGATCTAGAGTGCGTCCTAAAGGGTCAGATCTGGGGGCAAATCCGATTTCGACTAGGTTGCGGAGTGGTACGGAGTACAATTCACTAGGTGATTCAGGCTAGGCCAACCAGAGCCTAGAAAGCTAGTGAAATATGGCCCCACCGATCGAGCTGGTCTGCAGAAGCTGATCTCGACTAAATTACTAGCGCATTACCAAAACGGAGTACCTACTACTCCATAATGGTCCACGGGTGTTCGAATAGTTGGAGTATGTCATTAGGGGTTTAATATTAACCACCTCTGAGTGGACGCAGCCATGTGAGTTTCCATCTATCAAGGTTCCCGTCAAAGATCAAGCAAAATGGAAGCCAACTGTTATCCTCTCGCCGATGTCCTGGCCATTGCCAGCGTTCATCCCTTCTACTCCGACGCTGTCTATCCTCCTACTCGGGAAGCATTGCCCTCCGTTCTCGCCAAGGCACGGGAATCAGGCAATGACGAATTGTTATCTTTCCCTCTGACCCACAAAGAGAAATTGTACTGCATCCCATCTGTCCCTCTTCCATACTCTCCACTGACATTCCAGATATTCACAAATCGCCCGCCTCACCCTCGACAAAGACCCCCGCAATGGCTACCGACGTGGCACGTACATCAGCACCACAGGTGGAGGCTCAGGAGGAGCGCCTATGGTCTTTGCGACTGATTCAGTTGAAACGCGAAAGCAGCGGGCCGTGTTTGGTTCATTGATGCGCTCCACTGGCGTTCTTGGTCCCGGTGACTGGATGTGCACAATGCACGTAGTAGGGCATCTCTACCGGTATGTATGCCAACTGACGTGGGGGTGAAGTCTTCATGGCTAACACCAGACAGAGCCCTTGACCTCATGACAGAGGTGTTCGAAGCCTCCGGCGCCACAGTGCTCTGCGCCGGAAACGAAATGTCCCTCGAAAAAGTCGCCGAGACGATTGCCCAATACGACGTCAACGCTGTCGCCGGCGATGCAGGGCAGTTGGTCCAGCTGGCGCGACACGTTGCCGGACTTCCAGACGCGCAGAAGCAAACGCTGCAGACGCAGATCACCAAAGCACTCTACACTTCAGAGCCCATGACACCCGCGCAGCGCAGCTTCCTGAAATCCGTCTTTCCCAACGTCGACATCTCCTCCGTGATTGGCAGTGCAGAGGCCGGTCCGTGGGGAATCTCAACAGGGGAGATGACCGAGAGCGCTTCGCAGCACAATTACGAAGACTTTTTATATGACGATCGTCTCATGCATCTGGAAGTCTTCCCCTCTTCCATCCTGGACCCAGACCACACAGACAAGACCCCGTCTGCACCTCTTCCAGACGGTGAAAAGGGCCTGATGGTCCAGACCTCCCTACAGCGTCTCCGCAACCCTCTCTTGCGCTACATCTGCGGCGACCTTGTCTCCCTTCACCCACTCCCCGAATACATCCAGTCCCAACTGACACCCCAAGATGCATCGCACTTGCGTGTCGCGCGCGTCTACGGCCGTGACCGAAACATCAGCTTCGACTGGTACGGAGAGTACTTTGAATTCCCAAACGTCCAGCGCTTGTTCCAGACCGAGTCCTGGGGAATTCTTCAGTACCAGGTCATCCGGCGGTATCCCGAGGCGGACACGGAGGGTATTAACGTTGTGCTTGAAATCCGTCTGCTGCGAGATTCAGGCGCAGGCAAGATCAGTCATTTCGAGTTGGCGCGGGAAATCAAGCTTTTCTTCTTTGTATTCGAGTGCAACGAGGAGCTGTTTGAGCTCAAGGTCTTGTCTGATGCTAGTGGGTTTATGCGCAGTTCGACGGGTAGGAAGGTGATGAATTTTGTCGACTTGACTAGCAAGTGAATAGAGGCACGGGTTAGTCCGTAGACAAGGCATAATTCATGGATATCCATCGATAACTAGTACATTGAGCCGGTCAGTACTCCATACTCTGTAAAATTAAGCCAAAATGATCTGCTCTGGTATTTCATACGTTTTTTGAACTACATATGACGTGTACCAAACCGACTGAACAGGACCCACTGCCAACAAGAGCTGGAAACTAAGTTTCATTTCCATTAGCAACTAGAAGACTACACGTGATTCATAAAAAGGGGTGTGGATCTTGTAATAATTGCTACTGAACTGTTGGAGTCTCCTCAGTTGCCCACTTTTGCTGGAAAACTCAAAATGCAGATCGAGATGGGCTTTCCAAATGACCCCATTTTCCTCCAGCTTCGCAGGCTAGCCAAGCAGTCGCCAGGCGTGTTATTTCACGATGAATATGGCGTTAATGCAAGGTACAACGACTTGATCCGTGATGTAATCCACATGCGGGAGATCCTGCGAGAGCAATTGCCGAGTGTTTCATTCGACGAGCAGGGCTGTCTGTGTGAGAATGCCAGGTCAATTGCGTACCTGGCCTATAGTGGATATAGTTTCATTATCAGCTTCTTTGCCATTGTGGCTTTGGGGGGTATATGTGTGCCTCTATGTAAGTATTTGTCTATCTGGATACTCTGATGAGATCGTACTAAGCTACGATAGCAACGGGGCTGAACCCGGACGAGGCGTTGTACTTTCTGAAAAAGGTCAAGGCAACCTATATCTTGACTGAGGACAGAACGGTCGACATGGCCACTACATTCACAGCACATGCCCGAAACCATGGTCACACGGTTACTTTGATCCCAATCACAAGGGCGGATCCCGCGACAGCGACTGTCTCCAACTCGACAGAACTCGAAATCAACCAGGAGCTGACCTTTCCGGAAACAGCTGGCTGTCTGATTCTGTTTACATCCGGCACCACTGGGCCCCCGAAGGGTGTTGTTCTCACTCTGAAGATGTTCCATCTCGGAGAAGATATACCACCCGCAACGCTCTATCTCGCATCATGTCCCCCGCACTGGGTAGGCGGAACAGGATTGATTGACAGTGTGCTTATCGGTGAAGGCCTGCACATTCTGAAGAATGAAGCCCCTCCAGCCCGATTCTGGGAAGTGCTGAGGGAAGGAAGAGTCACGGAAATGGCGATCTCCCCGACGCTGCTAAGACGTTTGATGGAGTACTACCAGGAAAATATCAGCCCTCTTGCGTCTAAACAGCAAAACGAGTATATTGACGGGGCGAAGAAGCTAGAGCGCGTGATTGTGAGCGGCTCGATGCTAAATCCGTCGACTCGGCACTTCTTCGCTGGTTTGACCGGTATGCCTATTATCAACGGCTACGGGATCACAGAGATGGGTGGGGGTGTAATTATCAACCCACCTGGTTCGATCTATGAGCAGGTATGTGCATGGCATTCTTCCCATCTCGAACCTGGAATATCTCCTCACATAATCAGGGCTATATCGGTAAAGTCATCCCGGGGATAACAGTCAAATTGTCTCACGGTGACCATGGGGAAGTTCTGGTCAAAAGTCCAACCAGATTCTCCCAGTAAGCCCATCTTCCATCTTCCATCCTCCATCCATCTTCCATTTCCCAGTCTTCTGCTTACACAGACAGCTACATTGGCGATGAAGCAGCCACTCGCGCCGCCTTCGACGAGGAGGGATTCTACAAAACAGGCGATCAAGCCCGCCGCGTCGGTGATGATTACTATTTCGAAGGAAGGATTTCATCCGACTGTATGGTTTTCCTATGTCCCCTACGTCCCAATCAGAGTAACCAACCAGACAGTCGTTCGCTTCCACGAGTACACGATATCCATTCCCGAGCTGGAGAGACAACTCCTAGACCTCCCATACATCACTGAAGCGCATGTCCTTCCCGTCAAAGACCACGGAGCTGGCGGGTTAGTAGCCGCCCTTGTGCGGCTTCAAAATGAAGAGGGTTATGGCATTACTCTAAAGCAGATACGCGACGACCTCGCTGCGACAAACTTGGCTTCGTACAAGTTGCCTACCCTCTTGCGGGTTCTCCGGAACGAGGAACAGGTCCCGTTGACGCCGTCCGAGAAGGTGTTGAAGAGGGAGTGCCTTCGGAGATTCTTCCACATCTCTGAGTACATGCCGGATTCATATGCCGTGGAAGGTGTTGAGTACTGCGGAAATAAGCTTGATGCAAAAGCTTCGTCGCGGGTGTTTGACTGGGGAGGTTTGTAAGCTGTCTGACTGGATAGGTTCTCCTGGGTGACGCCTGGTGGGATCTGCAGTTTCGGGTCATCTGATCCTATATATTTCTACTATGTCTGTATAGGAACTCAAGTCGATGGGGAGCAATACCCATGGAGACATAGATTGTATGGTTTCTGGGGAAGGAAGACATTTGGAAGAGGAGGGGAGGGGGGAGAGAGAGAGAGAAAGAGAGAGAGAGCTATAAGAATGGGATATGCAGTGCAAGAAGCGAAGCCACGCGGACAGCTAAAACTAAAGTTGTATTGAGACTTTGTCCAGGTAGAGAATATGCGTATACATGTACTAAAGCGTTTTTTACTGCACTTGTATAGCTCGAGATCTTGATGACGGTGTTGATAACCCCGAAACCCAGTCCCATCCAGATATGAGGCATTCCTCACTACCCGAGGACCCCATGTAAATAATGTATTCTCCATACCTAGGTATCAGTCATATCAGGCGAAAAGACCAGACTCAACTTATCTTTGGGATCATCAGGTTGTTGAGTATGGAGCATCTTGTAGGTGTCTGCCCAACTGGTACTAAAGCACATCCCGAGGTCTTCACCATATCGTATCTTTGGAATTTCTGCCAGCAACTATTTTTGTCTGCCCACTCATTTTCAAACCAAATTGGCCACTTTTGAATAGAATAATCGCTCAATGGCAAAAATTGTCTCATCCGCCCCAGTCGACTACCAAGATTTAAACTCTCTTAGATGTCACGTGCGGATCAAATTGCCAGCCGGAGGTTTCTTACTCCGAAACCTTCATCCGGCAAGCATCATACATAACTATCAACCAGCACGATTCAAAAACCGGCAATTGGAATCCTGGATCTCGGAGTATGTCCACGTGATTGACATATCGAACCCCATTAGCAGATGGGGCAATTGCGACCGAAGCGCAAGGCATCTGCTACTACAGAAACGACCATGCCAGGTGAGCTACAACTACCCCACATAAAAGCCATACATAGATTGACTGACATTGAACTCCCACCATATCAGAAGAGAATCTGAATCCGATTTCATGTGAGGTTTGCAGAACACGGAAATGCAAAGTAAGTTCCGAGCCGACGGACAAAGTAGCACCATAAGCTGATCATGCATAGTGCGATCGCAAACTGTAAGATCGAAATCTGTTTCAGCCATTTCAGCACTGTCCAATCTCTGACACGCCCGCAAGTCCATTCTGCTCTCAGTGCGCAGGCGAGCCCTCCAAATGCGTATACCCAGAGAGCGGCAAGCGGTGAGTAACGCCCGGCGCCGCACCAATTCTTCCACTAAACCAAGTTGTTCAGAGGCCTGCCACTGGGCTACCTTAACCAGCTTGAGCAGCGACTCGCAGAGACCGAGTCCGCTTTGTATGGAGCTCTCATGACGCTCCGATCAATAGGCCAGACCACAACGCCGGTTTCGAAGCCGGAAGTGTCGAAGCAGAAAGCAGCTCGCATGGAAGAATGGTCTCAGTTACCGATTCGCGAGTGGAGCGATCTGGAACATTGGATGACAGTCATGTCGGACCAGTTCTCTGCGCAGTCGAGGGCGACTTCCGAGACTTATGCAATTCCAGGAACGCTTGAAACGCGCGAACCTCAGTCTGCTCCTTATTCTTGGCAGGGAGATGGTCGGATTGATGCTCGGATTGGGGGAATCCTTATGAGGCGCATGATCAGGTGATGCCATCGCCTTATTTTCAGACTATGGATGAGGTCATGTCGTCGCCGAGTAGTTCGCGGCAGGGAGTCGGGGCTGTAGACGATACGGTCGGCGTTTCGGAGTCGGGATCGACTCGAGCTGAAGAGCTATCACATCGAAATCCGAGTCTTTATTTTTGAGTCAAGCAAACTCAGCGGGAGGTTTTTTTTTTTTTTGTAGTTGACACCTCCAGTATTGCTCAGGTGCGGCTGGGCTTCTTATCTGTAACGGGCTAAGATAGTCCGGCTGCTTCAGGTGTCGGGCTTTTTCCTTTTTCCTTCTCATTTTATGTTCACCCTCTTCTGGGACGGAGATTTTTCGACTCGAGTGTGATGAGTTTGCACGCCGCAATATTCTCCAATGAGAAAAGGATAAGGGCGAGTGTGCAAGGCTTACGGAGTGCAGGAAATATGTACATCGGGATAAGGCCGCAGTCCCACACGAAGCGGAAACGGTGGAGCCCGAGGGTTTGAGCATAAACTCCACACATCATCAACCCAGAATCCCCCAAAACTCGGAGTACGGAGCACATTGAACAGCCCGGAGCAGGGTCCAGCTACGGAGTACATGAGTGAGACAATTCTCCGTCTTCACTACTTCGTACGGAGTATCATATACTTTAAATGAGCACGGAGGGCACCGCACTCAGAGGCCATGACCCCCTCCGACGATCTCATTGGCGGATCTGGGTGATTGCAGCCAAACGGGACACGGAGCACAGACTTCATACAGTGTGGGAATCAGCGTGAAACGTCCGTCGAACTAAAAGCCCGGACCTGCATTCGAGGGTTTCACTCAAATTCTTCCATTGCATCATGGTATTCAGCTTCTGTTAGGGGTGACTTGTTGACAGCGGATGGGATAGCAGTGATGCAGGAGACACGCAGGAGAGGCGGTAGGGACACCACGTTAGACAGGAACACGTCGGTAGCCCCTCCATACTCCGTACGGTGTACTAAGGCACACATATCGGGACCTTACAGGGCAAACAAATACTTGGATACCGGACCCCTGCCAAGGATCGAATATTGTGTAGTGTAGTGTGTGTAGTGTGTACTTCGGACTCGAAAGAGGCAAAGAGGCGAATAATTCAAAGTCTGGATGAACCACTCCAGACCGAACACTGGGCCCTTTGGAAAGAAAATGGGGCTTCTAGACTTGAAAGAGACTGGACGAGACTGGACGAGACTGGAGCCAACTGGAGCCAGACCCGATGATTGTTGGGCTGCGTAGTGAAATCCTTTGGGACGGAAGAGAAGGTTCGCACTTGCACTGGTCGAACTCCTAAGCGCCCCCGTAAGGGACCTCGCCCCCTGCTCTTCTCTCGTCTCTCCAACCTCTGCATTTTTTAGTTCCTTCATTCTCTCCTTTTGTTTGTGCAGTGATCTGAGATCCTCGACTCATCCTTCTGATCGCATTCCTTAGATCCTCTCTTTTGCTGTGCAAAACCCTGAGGACCTCGACATTCATTTTTTAAATCGAAGTGCAAGACATTTCATCGGACTAAAATCTGCATCTCACGATATTATCACGATATCTCACCATATTTGACTGCAATATCTGACATCTGACATTCTTTACCGCAATCGTCAACCCAAAATTCCATTGCCGCGTTCGCGATCGCAAGCGGACTTCTAAATCCAAATTACACAGCGTTTGCCGAAGCAATCGCCGATCGCACCATTTTCATCCAGCGAGGTGATTCAAAACACCCAAGCGCACCATGTCGAACCTGTCGCGCGCCTTCACCCGGCGTAATAAGCGACCGGAAGTGTCCGCACCCATGCCATACCGCGGCGAGGGGCATGTGCGACTGAATTCGGGAACCATCAAGCGGGGCAATATATCAGGCCCCGTCCAGCTGCTGTCCACCACCAACATGCTGGCCTACAACGCGCCCGATCTCAACTCCGCTTCATCTTCGGCCTCTTCGCTCCGCTCCGACGACGCCATGTCTCCCCAGAGCTACGCTTCTTCCATGACCTCGCCAGATGTCTCTCCTCACGAGAGCTCGCCCGAGCCTAACCCTCTGACATCTTACTTCCCCAAGCGCTCGGCCACCGTCACCAGCCACCCGCGCTCTTCCACATCGTCGACCGAGGCCCCCGTGGTGCCGAAGCGCGCCCTGTCCCACACTAAGCGCTCGCACCAAGAACTCGCTCGCAAGCGATCGGTCTCCCGGATGTCGCCTCCGCCATTGAATGCCCCGCGCAGCACGCCTGCCATTCGCGCCTCGCAGGACTTCTTCCAGCCTGAGCCTCATCCTTTCAGCAAGGAACTGGAGCAGGTGAATGAGGTGGCTGAGGAATTTGGTGGGTTGAATCTACTTGATGAGGAAGAGCGGATCCTTCACACGAAAGGCCTCAAGAAGTTCTCTGTGGAGGATTATCTGGTGGAGGTCGAGGAACTCTACGGCAGCATTTTCGATGGTGATAACCGTGGATCCCTGTACACATCCTGGTTCTAAAGCCTACGGTTGACCCGGGCTTACGACTTTGCGGACAAGGACTGGATTCTCTTCCGCCACGACGACCAACTCTTATTCTCTCTCTTACGACTGCTTTTTACACGATACCATGGGAGGCCCTTCTTGTGCCCGCGTTCATTCCTTTTCAAATTCACGGTTCGGGGATTCTTTATCTTTATCTTTCTTCTCTTCTTGTAGATAGTCTTTTTCATTGATCCTTTTTGCGACTATGCGATTATATCTTTTACCGCAGAGTATTGTCCAAAGAAAAAACAAAAACATTCTATTGAGAAACAATCAAATAGTCTTATATCCATTTTGTATTAAAAAAAAAAACAATAGAACAATCAACAATCAGAATGAGCACATGATGACCTAAGCACAATCACCCAATGAGGCGGTAGGGCTCACCGACACGGTCACGGGTGCTCCGCAGGCTCCACAGCAAACGAAAGGAAAAATTTCACTCTATCGGACTTCAACATCACGACCGTTCTGTCTGCATCCTTATTTACTACTATATTACCAGACACAAACTGTCATCGGATGCAGACAGATGCTCTCCTTTCATCCCCTATTCCCAGTAGCATAAGTCCCAAGACCTCGACGTGAGGTGTCGTGTGCTTGGACCAGGCTTCGATAAGCTCCGGTCCCCTCAAACATTGAACCAGTCGACTGCATATTGGAAGAAGCCAATGTCACTGCACTCGTCGACCTAGAACCCCATCTCGACTTTATTCCCTTTCGGCCATGGTATCCCTTGCCACAACTTCCAGAACCCCGGCGCTTACGGCTACGCCTTCACAACGATCCAAAATGCTTTCGGCCCCATCTCCCGTCCCTATCCTCAAGACCTCCAAGTCTTCCAACGCGGCTCCTTCTGTCGGCTCGAAACGAAAAATGAGCGACATGGACCTCGAGATCTCGCCCTCTTCCGACACACCGGATCAGGAGGAGACTCGCATCAAGAAAAGGCCTCGCGTGCAGTTCGATACCGATGTTAAGACCCACGAAGATACCTCGTCGGAGAAGAGTCCGGCTGTCGTTCGAGAGGAGGTCCGCAGTGCCATTCATCGACATGTCACGTTGTCCGAGAGCGAAGGCTATGATCACATCAAGGGCATTTTCACCGCCGATCCCAAGAAGCAGGGCGATGACAGCTTGCTGGCGTATGACATGCCTACACCTACATCTTTGAAGAATCATCTCATGGGACTCCTATCGCATGTCGCCTCTCTAGACCGATCCTGCAGTGGGTTAGTCAATGCTGTCATCAACAGCGAATGGCTCGGCCGAGATGATGCCTATGTCAAGCTCTTCATCAGGTTTCTGGGGAATCTTGCCGCTGCACAGGGTTCTTACCTTGCCCCCGTGCTGAAGATGCTCACTGCCAATATGGCCACTGTCCCTCGAGGCGTCGGCCGACTTCCTGACTATGAGGTCGTGTCGGCTTCGATCATTCACACTCGCGTTCACATGGCATTGCGCCACATTCTAAAACTCATCCCCGCTGGAAGTGGAGCTTTGTCTCCGATTCTGTCCTCGCAGTTCCCCTTCGATTCGGATCCCGCCAACGCGAACGTTACCTACACTCGGAACCTGATTCAGATGATTACCTATGCCCCAGAGCTTCAGTCCGACATCCTGGCCCTTGTCACGGAGAAGCTGGTCAAAATCGATGTCCAAATCCAGGTTGATATGGAAGACTACGAAGATGAGATTGGTGACAACCTCGTTCACGCCGCTGAGGAGGAAGAGGAAGACGATGACTCGGTTGCAAGCGATGATTCCGATGATGAAGACGACGACGCCAAATCCGGCAAGAAGATCAAGGAAAACATCAGCAAGGTTGACGGCATGATCGACCTTCTCTTCGAGTACTTCAGCACGCCGTTCTCCTCTAACAACCTGGACGACAAGGAGAACGCCTTGGACCTTCTCCTCAGCCATTTCCAGACCATTATTCTCCCCACCTACCGGTCCCGTCACACTCAATTCCTCCTATTCCACTTCTCCCAGGCATCACCCGTGCTTATAGATCGTTTCGCTTCTACATTTGTGCAAATCCTCTTCAACAAGCTGCAGCCGGGCATCGTGCGCCAGTCCGCTGCTGCATACTTGGCCAGCTTCGTTGCCCGTGGTGCTCACATCTCCGGCGACGTGGTCCGCGACGTCTTCGATCTGCTCCTCACCCACCTCAACAGCTTGCGAGCTGACTATGAGAACACCTGCCGTGGTCCCGACCTCCGCCGCTACGGCCCCTTCTATTCCACCGCCCAGGCCATTCTCTACATCTTCTGCTTCCGCTGGCGTGACCTGACGACTGCGGCCGCGGATGGCGATACTTACGATCAGGTGGATGAGCTTGAACCCACCCAGATCACCTTCCCACCCAATATTAAAGAGTTCCTTCACAAGTGCATCTACTCGCGACTCAACCCTCTCAAGGTGTGCTCACCGGCCATTGTTGCCGAGTTTGCCCGTATCACCCACCACTTCCAATTCCTTTATGTCTACCCTCTCCTCGAGACCAACAAACGCATGCGCATAACTGCTTTCCGCAGCATCTCCACCCTCGCAGATCCCCGCTTCAGCCATGTCGGTCGTGAAATCCGTGCTGGCGATAACAGCGGTTACCAGCTGGACGCATACTTCCCCTTCGACCCATATCAACTTCCCCGTAGCCGACGCTGGCTCGAGGGCGATTACGTTGAGTGGCGTGGGATTCCGGGTCTCGACGATGCGGATGACTCTGACAGTGGAGCCGACGAGTCTGACGACGAGGATGGTGAAGATGTCACTGAGACCGATGAGGAGTGAAGCATTTCCTTTCTACCAACCAATCCAACGTGATTGGATCTCTGTTACTTCAGCGCGGCGTTTGGGATTTCCACATCTGATCTTTTGTTAAATTTGCCCAAAAGTTCCCTGATACCTTATGATTGATGATATCGTGATTGAGCGTGGCATACCTGCCCATGTACTACCACAGTGCCTAGCTTCAAAAAATGGGAATTAATTGAAAATTTACGCCTTCATCCTAGGAACTCCCTTGAAAAATCCCCCGGAACATTTCTCACATCTCACCACCATGGTGATTCTTCCAACTCCCCGCATAATGATGCGTTACCAGCGCCACACCACTCCCATTCACATAGTTATTACTTGACGCCGCAAACGCAAACCCAGGCAAAATCAACACATCCTCAACAAGCGCCGGCTCCATCAACTTCGATATCGACTCCATATCAACCACCTCACCCCTAATCATCTCCAAACTCCTCAACACACCCCCAGTCAACCTCCTCGGCCCCGTGAGATCAATAATATCCCCCACCATCTCAATCGTCAACCCATCAACCCCAACCCCAAACAAAAGCCCCTTATCCCTAACAGCCGCCACAATCTCATCAATAACAACCCCCAAATGCACACATCCGGCCCTCGCCATAATCGTCCAACTAGCAAATTGCCGAATGAAATTATCCCCCCACCCAACATCAAACTCCCACCCAACAACCAACCCCACGTCCGCACGCTGATACTCTTTAGGAATATACTCCGCGATAGGCATCTCGCACGAAACATCCAAATCAGACCACACGCCCCCTTCCGCGAACAGAAGCAGATAGCGAAGGAAATCGGCTTTCAGGATTGGAATCTGTAGTGCTAGGTACGTGTATACGATATCGGGGCGGTGGGCATAATGATAGGAAACGTATTCGTCGCCCGTTTCATCGGTCAGGATCTGCGTGTCGTGCAACGGGTTTTTGTGGAGACATTCTCGAAGCCAGGTCTCGGATTGGTCGCTTAGTCCTTTCGGTCCGGTCTTGTACCAGAGTTTTGGAGGGATTGATGGGCCATGCTTCTGTGTTTGTGTTTGTGTTTGTATGTATGGCTCGGTTTGAGTGTAGTTGTAGAGGATGAAGAAGATTGTCGCGAGGAGTACTATTGATGTTGTTGAGCATTTGGTGAATGTGCCTGGCATCTTGAAAGACGACTTGTACAGGTAGATGCGTTTGGCAGAGCTCGAGGTCCAGAAATTTCTACAATTACGAGGCTTGGCGTATATGTATGTTTTTTCTCCCCTGTCCTGGTTAACCGATTAACCTATTTTTAAGTAAATGTAAGACCCTGAGACCCCTGAAGGATATTGGGGATTTTGTAAATGAGATTGATTGCTTTCATTGGTCGGGTGGGCTGAATCGAGCTAATTGAAGCCACAGACTACTGGAGGCCCACTGCACTATTTGACTGTGAAACTAGTGTTTGGTGAATATAGTGACACATCTACAAATATGTCCAGGAGTGCTTCGTACAAGTGCTGGTTAGTCCTCTTGGTGAGGTTAGCCTTTGCCTTATTCGATGATTGTCCATCTCTCCAACATTTCATACGCCAACAACTATGAGCACATAGGCAGTAACTCTATGATTCTTGAATTTGAAGGTTTTGTGGGATTTTGACAGTAATTGAAGTTAATAGAAGCCGAGTGGACTATATACCCACATCACCACTGTAGGGTAACGGGACACTGAAAGCTTTTGTCTGGGGCATTTTTTCTATGCAGTCATTTTAATAGAACCTCCGGATAACACGCTAGATTCCTTCAAATCTTTGAATTTCTGTGGGTTTCCACATACAACATCCAGCTGGACATGACACTATCCGGACTGCGGTAACTACATCCTCGGGTACTGCTACCCGGGCCCCGCGCCTCTCCACGAGTTCATTTAAAGCGCATCAACCTCACCTTGCTACTCCATCCAGACTCGAATTCAATTCACACAATCACAATCCCTTCCAAGGCTGAACTTTCATCACAATGACTCAACTCTCCGACTACCGCCTCCTGACATTCGATGTCTATGGAACCCTCATCGACTGGGAAGGTGGCATTCTCACAGCCTTCCAACCAACACTGGACAAGAACAATGCTGAATTCTCACGCAAGCACCTTCTCACCACCTACCATGAGCTTGAGCGCGAGCAACAAATCAAAACTCCAGACATGCCATACCACCAACTTCTCACCACCATCCACCCGCAATTCACCAACCGTCTAGGCCTCGCAGCTCCCACCCAGGAAGAAAGCACTGCCTTCGGAAACTCAGTCGGCAACTGGCCTGCATTCCCAGACACCGTGGAAGCGCTCAACCGGCTCTCAAAACAGTACAAGCTAGTCGTACTGTCGAATGTGGATCGCGAATCTTTCGCCAGAAGCAACGCGGGTAGTCTGGAGGGCTTCCCATTCGATCTCATCATCACTGCTCAAGATGTTGGATCTTATAAGCCGGATTTGAAGAACTTTGAATATATGCTTTCGGCGGTGAAGAAGACTTTCGACGTTGAGCCCGCGCAGGTTCTTCAGACTGCGCAGAGTCAGTTCCATGATCATCACCCTGCTAGTAAGGTTGGGATTAAGTCTGTTTGGATTGAGAGGCCTGGTGCTACTATGGGTAATTTGGAGGAGAATATTTATGATTGGCGGTTTGATACTTTGGGTGATATGGCCGATGCTTTGGAGGCAGGGCAGTGAGCAGTAGCAACTCTATCTTTCTACGTAGTTACTAGATCTTGAATAAAGACAAATCTTAGGTTTCAATTGATTCTTTAGATTGTATGGCTATCTTACAGATCACCTTGAGGAAATGTGCTATGGCCCTGCGCGACGAGATCACCGATCTATATCGAGGACATTCTTCCGAAACATGGTTAGTTCGATTGCTCGATAAAAACAATATGCAGAAAACATCAGAGTTCCCACAATATGAATCTAGTAATGCACTCAATATCATAAAACATAATCTTTGAATTCCCTTCCAAGCACACTTGAGTCAATTCCGGCTCATCGCACTTGTGGGCGAATAACCTCAGCTCCCGGGTACACTCACCCGGCCATCCACCCAAGTCCCCAAATCTCATTCGCAAAGCCCTGGAGGCGACAAGAATCGTTGATCTTTTTTCTTCTTCAAAATTTCAATAATTCCACTCTCCAAGTCCTCCAATTCACACTTCTCATTTCCCTAACTCACCATCTGGGTAACACCAAGTCCGCGTTAGTCCATCCATGATGGCCCTACGACAAATGAGCACCAGCTACTGCATGGCAGTTGATCTCTTACAAAAAATCACGATAATCGACCTCGTCTACCTCTTTATCTTCACAACACTACTCTCATACTCTTTATCCTCTATTTGGGTATATCTGAGACCATACGAAGAAACACCGCCCAGAGCCTTGAATCCGCACAGTCTGACTTCCAGCGACAAAATGGGGACAAAATTGGAGGCTTCAATTGATTCCCTGACTGCGCAGTTAGAGGTTGAGTATGATAAGATCAAGAAGCTGGTGAGTTGGGATACGAGCTTGGAGACTGGAGCTGTTTTGTTCTAATGATTATCAGTATGATTGACGGATAGTCCATGGCTATCTTTATCTCAAGGGTGTTATCCTTGCATGCGAAGCTATCTCCCTTGATCTACGCGAAGTATTTTGAGAATGGTCGATTTGAGATAGGGTGGACAGGGGAGTCTCAAGTCGAACGAAGCTGATTGATGAAGTTCGATCCAACCGTCGCCAAAGGCAATGAGATGGATTCAGGACAATTTACTAGATCTCATGACCATGTAAGGTTATATGAAACTGCGCATAATAATTAAGTTACCATTGAAGAAAGTAAATGACACCTGGGCACAAGACATAAGGAATACGAACAGAGAACAGGGGATAGGGGGAATGGAACGCCAATCTACAAAAATAAGACAGACAAATAATAAACAGACAATAAAACGAGCCCATGGAAAAAAAAAGCGAAAGATATCAGAAACACCCTCGCTAAAGGAAGGAGAACGAGAACGCCTCGACATCTATGCATGGAAACACGAAAAGATGCAGATAGCAAATAAAAGCCAGCGCTGAGCTCAACCCTGAGCTCTATGTATACAAAGCACAAAGCAGGCGAGCCAAGGCAGGAAGATAATTTTTTTCTTTCTTTCTTTACAGGATACTCCTGCTAGCCTGGCTGCGACTTGCCAAGCTAGCGCGACTGGGACTTGTGCGGCTGGGCTCGTCTTCTTCCAGGACGTCACTCAGACGGGTTGGGTGGCGATGACGTGGGGTCATGGACTCCCAGCCTGGGCCCCAGCCGGCGCCGCTGTAGTCGGCAGCCGAAGTGGGCGGGTAAGGGGCTTGCAGGGTGGCGGATGTTTCAGCGGAGGTGTAGGCTCCCTCTGGGTAAGGGGCGGCAGGGTGGTCGTATTCTTCGCTTTCCTCGGAAGCGGGACCGGGGGGATAGGTGAGACCTTGTGGGTCGTGGGCGTAGTGGGGATAGTCGTCGTCGGCCTCGCTGCTTCCGACGTAGGAGCGGTCGTCGGGCTCGGAAGTGGCAGGGGCGGGATATTGGGGGGTTGTGGTTTGGTGCTCATAGAGTGGAGCTGGGTAAGGGACTTTGGAGGCGGGTGGGTCGGTCTTCTTGGGCTCGATGAAGGGGTCGGAGCCTGTGGGAGACATTGGGGTTCCGTCTTGGTAGTACTGGGCACCTGAACTTGGATCAACGGGCTTGCCATAGGCATCTGTGGCCAGAGCTGCGGCAGCTGCGCCGGTGGGATAGGCTCCTTCACGAGTCTGAGAGCGAGTGGTGTTGTGGCGGCTCGGAAGGCCAGAAACCATCGGTACCACCTGGACGCCGCCGACAAGCGTGGGCTCGCCGTTGCGGAGGGAGTTGGTTCGGTCTCGCTCTTCTTGCTCACGACGGCCAAGCTCTTCCCATGCGCGGCGTGCTTCCTCTTTAGAGATTTGAAGTTCGCGACGCATTTCCTTGAGAAGCTCCTCGGCTTTCACTTTGTCTTCCTCGGATTTCTGCCCGGCAGCGGCTGCCTCAGCACGGCTCTGGCGCTCCGCTTTGATCTGGCGCTCCAATTCTGCTTGCGTTTCCTTTGATCGCTCTTGCTCGGCGCGGGTGTCGAAGAACCAGCGCTGGAACTTGCGCTCAGAAGAGGCACGCAGGCGCTGGAGCTCTACAACCGCGTGGAACAAGTTTGCACCGGCGGCAGACAAGTCTGTGATTTGTCGAGCCAACTGTTGGCTAAGTGGATCGCGCTCCAGATCATCGTTGTTCTGTTCAAGTTTGCGCATCCAATAGCTGGTCAGGCCTTCCCAGTGAGAAGACAAAGTCTCCCATCGCTCGAATGCATGCGGGAAGCCAACGCGCTTCGGCTGTTGCAGCGTTTGCTGAGAGCCGGTCTGTCCTGCAGGGGGAGCCTGTGCCGGTTTCGCAAACACACCAGAGCCAGTCTGAGCACCAAGGGCAGCGGCACTCTGGGAGCGAGCGTGCTGAGGCTTTTGGCCAGACACAGGTGTCGGTCGGGATTGACCTGCAGCCTGACCTGCAGCAGCAGGCGGAGGTGCGTTTTGGAACTCGGATGCTCTACCAGGGGGCGCGGAATCTCCCGCTGGTCGGTAGCCAGGCGCCGATCCTGAAGGGATGGGTGCAGCTTCGGCTTTTTGCCCTTCAGGCGCCCTGGAAGCTCTGGGAGGTCGAATGCGAGATTGCGAGACATTGTCTCCAGAGCCGCCAGCAGCGTACTGTTGAGCCTGGGCCTGGGCCTGAGCTTGGGCCTCGACGTGAGCCTGTTGCTCCTGTGCCAATTGCTGACGATCCAGTTCTTCCTGCTCGCGCTCTCGGGCATCGTGTTCTGCTTTGCGACGGGCCTCGCGATCCCGGCGCTGTCTCATGATATCTGTCGGTGTTCTGACACCACTCGGAGGTTGCGATGTTCCCGAAATGGGATTTGGGGGTACACGGGGGCCGCCATTTTGAACGCGGCCATTACCCACAGGCCCAGCGGGGCCAGCAACGCCTACCATGTCTGACATAGACGCATTCACTTCGTCGTAATCTGTGGAAAGCTGGAAGGGACCACGGATGGCGTCTTCGAGCGCGTAGAGAATGGCCGAGGCGGTGCGCGATGAGACACCGGTGGTTCTAAGTGGCCAGTATGAAGTGTCGAGGAGCTGGTATGGGTCGTCGACGGTGGACCCGTTGTCGTCAGTGTGCGCTTCGGAGAGGGCCGGACGTAGTGCGGCGATGCCACTGGTAGGAGGGTGTCGTACAGAGGCCGGGGTGATATGCGCCGGCCGGGGTGGAGGAGGGTGTGCACCTGAAGCGCCTAAAGATACAGCTCGACGGTGGAGCGATTGAGGATTTTCCGGTCGTCGGGAGACACGTCTCAATGTACGCTGGGAGCCAGCAGCACTTTGAGGTCGAAAGGGAGTCTCAGCCGAGGCGGAGGTATTAGGTCGTTGGGCAGTCGGCTGGCGCTGCGGTGCAAAGGTCGTAAACGTGGAAGGGTCGTGAGAATCGTGGGCTTCGTCAGACACTCTGTGGATGTGTCGAGACACCTCTAAGAAGGGTCGGTGAAATTGCGGAAAAGACGACAATGCGAGGAATGCGAGGGTTGCGTCACTGAGTAGATAGGTCTCACAGGATCGCGATCGCAAGATTGTCGATCGCAGAAGGTGTGATGAATTACAGCCCTACAGGCTGTTGGAATTGAAATCTCAATCCACGTAATAATAACGCAATTGATGGAGAAAACAGAAGTTCTCAGGAGTTGTCGAAGCGTGGAAAAGAATTGGAGACCTCGGAGGTGGCTGGTTAATTGAGATGGCTGGGGAGTCGCCGCAGCTTGGAGCTGCAGCGCGCCAAACGTGTCTCGGGGATCATGTACGAAACGTCGAGTCAGCTTCAAATTGGGAGGAAAAAGAAAGGAAAAAAATTGATGAGAGCAGATGTCAGATTGGGCCGAAGCTTCTGAGAAATACCACGGGGCGTGCCGCAAGTGTGATGGGCAGGAATGCGGTCTCCGCTGCCCTAATTGACCTCCAGGGCTGGACTCGAGGTATCTTCGCTCTCGCTCAACAATTTGAGATTCCAGTACTTTGTGCCAGAGAATATTTCTTCCAAGTTTTTAGGAGCTCTGTACTATTGTAGTCATGCAGCAATGCTTGAATAAATGCTGTAACGCAGTAGCAACCGGGCAGTGATGATTCTCTCGCACAGACGTGATGATCCACGCAGAATCAGTCAATTATTAGGGGAAAAACACCCAAACAGAAGTGGATAGCTAAATCAACTGTGCCATGGTTCCAGAATGGATTGTCGGTCGTACGCGAGTGGCTCCGTGAGAGCGCCTAAAAATATATAGATGCGCTGGCAGTGCGTCATGCTGATATATATCCCGTTCTATACCAAAGCACTTAAGTTTCATAAATATATATACTTCCAGGGTTAGTAGTTACAATGTACTTTGACATCGACTATAATAGCAGGGAGAATACTCGAAATTGTCTGACTGGATCAGGACCCATTCGACCCAACGGTTCACTTCGCACCGGCGCGGTCTCCAATTCATGGAACGAACTACTCCACATGAGGGGGACTTGAGGGATTGCGGCCGGCGATGTTCCAAGGTTCTCGACTAGTGAAATTAGTGCGATTACTTACATCGAAGTCGAAAAAGTGAAGAAAATACTAGTTAAATTTTGACATTCTAACATTCTACGAATAATAGCTAAGTGTTGTTATATTCCAAGATTCTCATGTATACTATAGGCAGTGTAAGTTGACAATGCCACAGTGCATACTCCGGACTCCGCATCTTCACATCCCCCGCAATGACATCAACCTCTCCATTGCGCCTCAGACGAACCTCCCCCCCAATGCTTCCTGGTCAGACCCCCAATGGCCTGAGAGGTAAGCCTCAAAAGTCTGCGATAAACACCTAGGTGACCCCTACAGAAACGAATCTAGCCCACCCCCTCGCAACTTTGGAATAGCCAATTTCCATCAAGCCAGGAGTAAACTACTACTCCATCCTCCGTACAGCTCACCGAGACAACCAAAACAAATAATGCAGCTATTACATACTCTACTATAGCAACGAAAGACCACCGACACAACCCTAGGACAGGAATCCAAAGGCCTGGACACGCCCTCCTAAGAAAGAAACGCAAGGGCCTCGTCGGAAAATTTGATCCCTCAATCGGGCCGGGGAAGGGTCCGGATGCACGACTGCCACTCCCGGACTCGACAAGATCCAGAATCGAGGTGGGTTTCACCTATGCCTTGCAGCCTGCATCTGAGAAACTGGAGCTTGGGTAGTTTGAGTGGTGTTTCAGTTCCCTGTCCAAGGACCTGGGATTGTCTGAACCAATCACGGGAGGATGTCTCGCAAGAGAGTTCCGGGGATGGTGAGAGAGCTCCCATTCTAGTAGAGATCTGGTTAAGCAGTGGTTGTCTGGAACTTCGATCGTGGTGATCATTGAGTAGCTATTTTAAAGATAGGGCAAGGAGTCCGGGGGATGGAGGGCGGCTTCACTCCTCGCCTGTAGGGGGATCCCTTATTGGATTTAGAATTAGAATTAGAATTGGATTTCAGAATTGATGATGTTGCAGTGTAGACGCTGGTCGGCCCACGGGGAAGGATTTTGCAACTGAATCGTTGACTATTGGTATCCGTCGCGCGGCGAAGGAATGTGACGGAGAGGATGGGAGGCGAGGGTTTCTGCAGAGGATGCAGTGGGTGCATCCCCGAGGAGTCAATCGCAGTGAGATCGCGAACAGTGCATGAACTACGGAAGCGACGATGGAAAGCTGGACCTGCCGATCAGGGGCGCAAAGTACTTATATGATCCGCTGCACTGCGGCTGTCGGTATAGCGGGATGCATGCAAGTCAAACTTTCCAATTGGAATGTGGGGTTTATTGATCGGGCAACGAAGCAGATGTCTTGAAAGCATTTGTTTCGATGTTCAATATGTCATCGTAGACGAGTTCGATAGTGTACGGGGATACGGAGGTAGAGCGAACCTAGAGAAGGGATCTATAAAAACGACCGAGTAAACTTTACGGAGTAGAAACTGACACATTGCACCAAGTGATGTCAAATTAGATGTCTAAGAGAGTCATAAAGCCAAAACACCTAATTCAGAACATATGAATGGTCGCGAAAAATTTATTAATGCTGATTGATCGAGGGTAAATGTGATCTATCAACTGTCAAGGCGGGGGGCGCCAACCGTCCAGGGAGAAAGTTAGGAAGTCAACCGTCGACCCCCGGCTTAAGTCTCATAATAGCCCTCTTTGCAGAGAGGGCTAAAGAGGATTAGCGAGGACTGTCTAGGATAATCCAGGAGGATCTAGGAACCAGGCACAGGTGCTCCCTCACACAGAGGTGGTGACACGGCATTGTACAAAGACTTAATAGAAGGCCCAGCCACTACCAAATACTCCCAAAGCATTACCTTAAGCCTATGACGTCGTGGCTGGGAGAACAATTTCCGAAATGGAACGTGAACATTGAGGCTCTCGGTTGCTAGGAATTACTGGAATGTGTGCATACGATAGAAGGACCAGAAAAAAAAGTACCAAAGTGACAAGGTGTTGGCGATGGCGATCGGCGCTTGGGCTCTGATATCTCACATTTGGTCTTTAGGAAGGTTGATATTTTTTTCTTCTCACCTTCGCTTCAATTCGTTCCATTGGAACGTTGAGTGAAGGGTAGGACAAGCATGAACCGTAGCACAAGAAGGTACGAATAAAGTGATCTCAGTGGGAAGCACCAAAAAGAAACCAAAAGCACCAAAACAAACAAAAGAGAGGAATACTTCGGACGGATCGAGTTCCGCGCCCTTGCTCGACCCAATCGAGGGTCCTTGCTGCATCCCTACGGAAGGGCATGTAAGGTTAGATAGGTCATGATCGTCTATGTCGGTCTTTTGTTTACATTGCAGCATGTCTGTGTTCTCTCCGACTAGCCACCGGGTCATTCTATACTTATTTTTGTGATCTCCCTGGCATTCCGAATCACTTCTCTCCTTCTCATCTGTGTTCTGTGCTCTGTCTCTGTGCCCTGCTCTGTGCCCTGTCCGACTATCTGTGCCTTGGGGTCCTTGCCTTTGTCTCTCACTCCCTCTCCCCACTCATTACACACTATTCCATGGCTCACGGAGGATTACATTGTCCAGGCGAGTTGGACGTGCTGTACACAGATCGTAACAGATCGGAGACAACCATTTGCTACCCTTCACCCTCCCCCGCTAAGCGCGTTTCATCTTACTACCCTAAATTCGGCCCCAAGGTCGTTGAAGACTCCAATCTCGATCCTTTCTACCTTGAATCATCGCTGGCCGCCACACCAGATTGGGATTCTTACGATTCAGAGATGCGCAATGATCATTTCGACAACAACAGCCAGTACTATTCTTTGTCCTTGACCAAGGACCTCCACAATTCGTTACAATTCCCTGGACCTGACCGATCCACACTCGCCCAAGTAGAGCTTGAAAACAGCCTACGCTTCCATCGATACACTCCTTCCACAGAGGAACGGAGCCCTCTACACAGCAGCCACGACTCCTTCAGCTCCGTACAGACAGACAGCAGCACCCCGGACTTGACACCGAGCAGCTCATTCTCTTCATCTCACTCTTCTACCGACTGCCCGGACGTTGTTCTTGGGGCTACCGAGCAATTGTACAAGCACGCCCAGGAAGCTCAACAAGAGCCTCGCCGTCGGTTCTATCTCCCAGCTTCCACCCCTCCAACATACTCACTTCCTCCCCCACCTCCACCTCCAGTGGCTCCTCTGATTACTGATACTCGCCCTACCACTCCTTGCTACCAACAATCCAACGAATCCACCACCACTATCACAATGGGCTACGAGGACGCCACAGGCTCAGTCTCCTCGCGCTCTCGCCGCAGGAAGCAGCCTCCCACCCTCAACCTCTCTCGTGGCACCAGTGCTCACAGCCACGGACGTAAACAATCAGGCCCTGGATCCCGGCCTCCTCTTGATCCTTCCATGATCTCCCCACCCTGTCTTATCAACCCCGTCACCAAAGAGCCTCATATGACCCACTTCGACCAAGCTCTCTTCATTCCAGCCAACGACTGCCCTAGTCCAGTTCCTAGCCCCGTGGCTAGCTCTCCTCCGATCTCCCGCCAGTGGACCGCCACATCCATGGAGCGTCCATCTACCTCTACATTTGATGCTCACTGTGAGCAGTCAGTCTGGGAGTCCGACTCCGAATCTGAATCCGTGGGCCGCAAGTCGATGTCTCGCAAGCCCATCGATACTCTTCGCAAGGTTCGCAGCCGCGCTAAGCTCCGCGGCGCTAAGTCGCAACCTAGACTTCACAATGCTATGATGGATGATCACATCACGGAGAAATTCCCATGTATGCCAGATGATATTCTCGGCGAGCCTATCTCCGAGATCTACCGTCCCAGCATGGATCGACCCAGCATCAGCCGTCCAAGCACCAGCCGTGACGTTCCACGCGCACACCACGCAATGCAAACGCTGCGCCTGGTTGCTCCCTCTACCACATCTCTCACCCGCCCTCCCCGTTCTCGCAAGAACAGCAGCATCAACAGCTCAGACGTTGATCGCTCCGCCGCCGCCGCTTGGCAGGCACAGTACCGTCGCCGCCAACGCTCCGACACCCCCGAATACCCCAGCTCATCCTCAGAGCGCAGCGACAAGGAGAAGCTCACCTCGCTCTGCCACGAGCAACACTCCCAAGCCACCATCCCCGACGCCCTCCGCGAACAGCGACCTCTTTTCCAGCGCTTCATGGACTCCCTGCGATCCCTGAACTGCCAGAAGCCCCAAAAGTCTCATAAGAAGGCAAATGTTACCACCATCTAAATGCATCCCTCGGCGTTCCGGTTCTTTCTCCTGCATTTTGGCCAGTTACCTGCTACAACATTCAAGCTTCTCACGATCCCTCCAACGATTCCTTTCGATGTTTCCCACGTGTTCTCATATGATCATGATCATGAGCACCATTACACTCTCTACGCATCCGCAATATCTGCACACAATGAACCTAATGATCTTCCAGATCTGTGGCTGGATTTCAACGCTCCACAAGACGCTCTCTGAACGCGCTTCGCGCTATGAACCAATGCCTGGTCCCAAGACCATGATTACCGACTCACGACTCGATACCCTCGAGAATTCTATCTTTAATTTTCCTTTAATTTTATGTCTTTGCATTCTGCTTGCTGTACCACCATCTTTGTCAGAGCCTTTCGCTAGCTCGTGTTCTTCCATCTTGTCTTCGGCCTTTCGTCCGATCTTTTCTTTATTTTTTGTCTGTATTTCAAACATAGAGGAAAATGGCGCTTTGGCTTGGTCCTTGTCATTGACCTAAAATTGCATTTCTTGAATTCTTACCTCAAAAGCTATCGTCTTTTTTGCAATTAAGCATAGACAAAAATAGAGAACCCTTGACAAATCTACCCCATCATTGCTCATAACTACCATTGTTGTCTAGGAGATAAACTGTAGATTCTTTGGAATGTTGAAACCTCCCACATTCACCCAAATAAGGTATCCCCAATACTACTGCGACATCCAAGCACTCCAAACCGCGTCATCACCAACTACCTCTAGGTACTCCGTACAGCATCTTCCACAACGCTCAGACACCCAAGGGAAGAGCAAGAGCGAAAGCCCCATGAAACGCCCCAACCCTTGAAAAGGTACAAACGAAGCCATCAAACCTTCCCCCTCCCCTTCGACCAAAAACCTACGCCCTCAGCTCCTGTCTGAGCTCACTTTCCACCCTATCCATTAATCGACAGCAGATTAAAGCCCCGGCCACGTCAGCAGTTAGGCATTTCAATTGACCACTTTCCAGCGGGTATCAGTGCCCCGTGCCCCGTCAGCATGCAGCTGTCTCGGTCTAGACGCGACAGGGGTTGTTTCCTGGTCCTGGGTCCTGGGTCCCGGGTTTGTTCTGGGGCCGTTAGTGCGGATCGTTAGTTTACTCATCGAATGTACTCCGTACTATTTTCATCTGTTTAAGCCTCGGGGACGCCGGATGGGGGTTCCGATGGGGCTGATGTGTCACTTAGAATTCATGATCGGGTTGGGTTGGGTTGGTTAGGGCTTTGCTTTCGGTCTTTGGGACGGGCGCGGGTAGGGGTACGGAGTACTTTCGGGTTGATTGTGTGTGCTCGCCATTCAATTGATTTAACCGTTGCTGTTTGATCTATCTGAATTCTTCTATAGAAAGGTCAATGGCCATGTACAGTACGAAGTACTCCGTACGGATTACTATTGCCAAACTCGTCGTGTGGAGAACGACCCTTGCATCGATCGCCAAGAAAGTACTTTGGCCTCGGTGGGAATAGCGTCGACGTCCGGAATACGGAATACCGAGGGCTTGAGGGCTCGATCTTAGGAATTCTCTCTTGCAACAGCATCACACAAGCTTAAACAAATTACTACCATCCCATTCGCCCATTCATTCAGCACGAACCTCTCGCGTTCCCCTCAATCTGATCTCTCATCCTGAGGTATGCAACTAAGGTGATCTCCCAATTGCCACTTTGACAGGTAGCGCTAGACAGGGGGTTGACTCGCGCTAAATTGATCGAGGGCTAAGGCTCGGCCGGGTTTGCACTTCCGTCAGGTCGTCACATGCAAGGCATCCCGACCGGACGTTGGACTTCAGCCCCGAGACCCGCTTGGGTTATTAGTACGAGTAGTTTCAGATCTATCGGATATTGTATGCGAGGATGTGGGGAGCTCGATTTGGTACGGAGTATTTGGTGAGTTGTGGGCCGTTCGTGCTTTTGTCGACCGTGTCAATGTACGGAGTACTTGTATCTGATCTATCTGATTTGCCTCGTGGTTGGCACAAGTGGTCGCAGTTCCTTTTCCAAATCACTGTCTAATTCGCTTGTTTGAAGGAATTGGGGTTCATGTCTTAAGGCTGGAGTGGAAAATTTGGACATCGCAACAGCCATAGCAACAACCGTTGCTACAGTTCATTGCAGACACCCCAGCGTCAGTGTCTCAAACGGACAGACAGCCCGGACCGGGCTTCCCCATCCCGGTGCATCAACCTTGCAGCGGGAGTAGCAGCAGCGGATACTGTTCCAGGTGTCTGGGCACTAGTACCAGTAGCACGGAGTACTCCGTAGGCAGGGCCAGGTAGCCAAGGGCGATCTCACTCAGCGCGGAACGGCAGCCCCGAAAGACACGACCCGCCCATCTGCAGATATTGATTCTGCAGGGAAATAGTACCCCCGTAGCCTCAGCGACTAGGAGCGTTCCAACCCGTAGATCTTCAGAGCAATGACGGACTGCGTTTATGGGCGTCGTATCGATGACAAAGTCTCCAGTCAAGCCGTGATGGACTCTGCACAGGAATGAAACATCTTCAACTCTGCTCCACAGTCTGGCCCTCGCCCTTGTGTCCCTGCTCGTTCTCCTCCTTCTCCTTCTCCTTCATCTCCAGAGCCTCCATATTCTCCTCCCACCGCGGCACCGCAGCAGTAGCCTCCCACTTAGCGATGACCGGGTCCCCCTTCATAGCCAGCTGTGTCTCGGCCGTCTCCTCTCCCTGACCAGCAGGAACAACCTCCGTAGCCCCATCTCTTTCACCCCCAGAAAAAACAGCCTGCACATCCAACTCCTTCAGCGCAGCCTGGTACAGCGAGCGAATTTGCTCTTTCTTCGCACGACGCAGTTCCGCAATCTCCTCATCATTCGTCTCAGTGCCAGTAGATGACGTTGCCGCAGCGGGACCCCGCACAGGCTTCTTCACGACGCCCGGCCCGCTGCGCTCTTCGAATCCGCGCAATAGCCCCTCCATTATGCCGAGGACTGTACCAGCACGCATGCCCATCTGCGCGCCCACGGGAAATCCGGCGTCAAAACCATCTTGCACATGGAGGCCTTTGGAGCTTGAGGTGCCGTCGCGGTATCCGGCTGTGACGTGCTGGCGGCGGAGAGATGGTAGGTCGGAGGGTTCGGAAGCTTCTGTGGCTGCGCGGGTCGGGGCGTTGAGCTTCCTTTCGCTCCGTGGTGGGGAGGAGCCGAAAATGTCATCGAGGGAGTTCTCTTCGTTTTTATGTGTGGATGCCATTGTTGCTGAGGTTGGGAAAGTGGTGAGTTGCGAGAGAAAAAAAAAGTCGATAAGAGTGGATCAGGCGGGGTTGGCGATCCGAAGTATACGGAGCTTCATTTGCTTTGGTTCTTCACTACTCTGCAACTGTGTATGCTTCATATTCTACAATCAATGAGGTCTTGCACTGAAAATAGTCAAATGGCGCAAAACATCGTAAGATATCCCCGAGCAATGGGCCGGCCCCCAAATTAGTACTTTGAATGGCCCCCTCTAAACAAAGCACCTGAGCTCAGTACTTTCCCTTTCACGAACAACCCAATATACCCTCATACCTACCATGTCGCGACTCCTACGTCTAGTAGGCTACAGCACCGTAGCAACAGGAATCGCCAGCTACGGCATCCACCGCAAACTGACCGAACTGGAAGAAAAGTACCCCGAACTTCCCCCATCAACAGGCAGCCAAGCACTACAAACCCCTCAAGACCCAATTACACAGCACTGCGCCTACACGAACATCTACGCAGCCACGATTCCACTCGCAGCCCTCCAAGCCCGAATCCCAAGCCCCAAGCCCCCAACAACAATCGAGCTCGAAAACGCCTGGGCCAGATCTGTATTCGGCAGTCGAGTCCTCCGTGCCGAAGGCCTTCTAATAGGCCTATTTACAAATTTGTCGCTCTCGCCATGCGACACAGGGGCGTCAGAGGCGGGGTTTTTGCCTTATGAGAATGGCGCGCCGCGTCTGCTGCTGAATGGGGGTTTGCAGGTGCAGCGACTTCCCGGTGCCGATGGTGATAGTAATGGGTTGCTTGTCTCTATGAGATTACCGGATGGACCACGGGTTTTCTTCGAGAGGATTGCGGCGTGGGGGTATCCGTGGCGGTTGATGACTTGTGTCCGGCATGAGATGAGCGTGTCTGGGCCTTTTGAAGTTGAGGGTGAGAAGTTCGTTCAGGTGCGGTTTGCTAGTGCGCATGACTATGAGGTTTTTGATGTGGAGGGTGGATTGGGGCAGCAGAAGGTGCTTCCGGGTTGGAGTATGAGGCTGCATCGTGGATTTGCAAGATATGTGCTTGATTCTACGGTGGAGGAGGTTGAGCGAGGGGGTTGAAGAGATGAGTGGCTGAATAGTGAGCCTGGGGGTTGTTAAACATTGTATTGTACATAATCTCCACTTTGGGGAGTTATTTGGGCATTGCATCTCATGGTGGTGTGGTTAAAACAGGTCAGGTCAACATGAGCTGGTTCAGCCGACAGGGCACAGAGCGTAACTGTTTGTTGGGTACTTCATAGCTTCAAGACTGGCAAAGCCGCCTTCCGACGCATCGGGTATACCCTTGAGGGTTCGCTGAGCCCTCAACCGCCATTGCAACTGGACCATACACCATACTGGATGGACTACACGACCCGGCGTGTGCCCGGCTATTGCGCCACCGTGGAAAAGGCGAGCTATGAAGCTCGGTCTGTGCAGACTGGGAAGTGTTCCCCAATCATGGAACACAGCCCAGCCTACTCACGCAGGCCCTTTCGAGGAGAACCCAAGATTCTCCCTCCGATCATCTTGAACTCGAGCATACCTATAGCAGCGTTAGAAGAATGGCATCGCAGTAGAGTAGAAAATACAAAACTCACTCCAAGTAAATCCGGAACATGTAGACGTCGATGTCGTCATTCCTGATCGTTCTCGCAGCCCAAGCTTGGCCATCTGCCCCGATAGACCTCGCAATCTGCTGACCCGCAGGGTCCTGCTCGAAGAACCGAACTAGTTCCGGGATCTCAGTTCCATCCTTGTTGATCGGCACATAATGAACCCAAGGAACCAGGATATCTTCATGCCACTCTCTAAAGAAAGTCAATTTGAACGGGACGCTCTTGCTCCGCATAAAAGCATAGAACCGTCCGCTATAAGCATGACCATCCATATCGAGCAGGTAGCGATATTTCCAAGCTTCTTCGGGTGGATCTGGTTCCCGCACGTCATTGAAGAACGCTTCTTCGGCGGGACAATCGTCGTCGCAGTCCTTGATTTCAACGAAGTGCGTGTTGAAGAATCCGTCGATCTGGGTTCGATTTGCCTGCTGTATTTCCCAGCCCTCAGTGCGACCTGGTTTGCAAATGCGTTTCTGATGTAAGAGATACTGGGGCGATTGAGGGTGGGTTAGGTTCCCAACGATGCGCTGGCGCTGGAAGTTCTGCCACGCGCCGCCTATGCTATGTCCGCCAGTCGTTCCGCCGCGCCAGTAGAGCTGCGGTTTCTTGTTCTCCCAATCAACTGCGGTGTTCTCGTCATAGTGAGACACGCCTTCGTAGTAGAATGGCGACGGAACCGCGATGTCTTGGAAGGATGATGGGTGTGACATGGAGAACACTGGAGTGAGCTCGTTTGTCACCTTGAATGAATTCGGGCGGTCGAAAACACCAAGGCGATGCCGAAGGGATGGGCTGTTACACATATCACTGGCGGCAGTTTGATTGAAGATGAATCCCAGAGGCTCGATCGCAAACGCGCTGGAATTATCCGGTGCATTGCCATCGAGGGACCTTGCCGGTGTCTCTGGTGGACATGAAAGCCGGGAGAAAAGCCAAGTCTCCTGGCGCTGGATGTCATTGAACCTAGTTGTGTAGACTTCCTCTGGCGGAAGAGGGTCATGCGCATCGCCCTTTGAAAACATATTGGACAGCTCGGGGCTATGGTCCAGTCGAGCCTGCGTTTCATAACCCTTCGTGATCAACCTGTGTAGCTCCTCGTGTGGGACGGCCACCCGTGGCTCGTCGTGTACGTTGAATTCCAGCAGCATATCTGGAAGCCACTGGGCGAATTTCTCAATGATTCGAATTGTTGCGTCCTTCTGGAACTCTTGCTGGCCGTCATTGCCTAGATGCATAACCCTGCCGTCACGAACGGCCACACCCATCACGAAGTTATTGTACCCGAGATCCTCTCTCACGCGCGAGCGAATAGTGCTGGGCTGCAGCCCCCAGAAAGGTTGTATGGTGTGATAGATGGTGTCGAATTCGTCAATCAGCACCGTGTTTCGCGCCGTGGCAAAGGCATACCACTCATCGAAGTGTGGAGGTGGTGGCATCTTGTAGCGTCGATGATACTCAGCCACAGCTTCCTCCAATGACTGCGACTGGTGTGCGAGTGTTTCGTTGAATGATTTTGTAGCATCATGCACAAGGCGCACGACCGGGTGTTCGCAAGAGCGCTGATCGAGAGGACCGTGGTAATTGTAGGAGTAGAGGAACCACAGTGTCAGAAGGGCCGCTGCTGCCAGCCCGGTCAAGGTGAAGGAGCGCTTGGTCTTTTGCGGCTGGTTCGCCGGGAGGATCTGGTACTGGTATTGTCTCCATGTTCCTGAGCGAATGGCATTTGCGCCAGCTGCGGCGCCGAAATACAGCGATTGGATCAAGGTGAGGAGTCCGGAGCGGAGGTGCATGTTGGAGGATTATCGCGGGGGTTCAATGAGCGTGGGCATCATCCTCTCGAGGTTCGAGGAGTTGCTGTGATCAATTGGAGACTGGAAAGGGAGAAATTGTTGCGACCGTGTCGCGTGTCATTGGGGCCGGGGAGTGGAACCCCAAGACCACCTAGACCTGGGGATCGACAAGGCTGTGACATGTCGGCTTGGCGGACTCCAACAGCCGTGTACTGCCATCGACATGGTGATGGCAATTCTAGGGTATTGTTGAAATAGGTATTTCGCACAGCTCAAAAGGATCGAACAGAATCAAAAAAGCAAAAGAGCTAAAGATGACAGAATCTCTCCGCCTCAGGACCCCCGAGGCCCGGGGCGTTCGGGGCTTAGCTCAGCCCAACAGCCCGCGATCCCCCTGAGGCACACGCTGATTTCATTGTGATTGGACTGGTTTCCAATATGTGACCCGCCATTTGATACACATTAAGAACTACATACTGTGTACGGAGTAACTAGCGACTGTTCAGAACTATTCATGTGGGGTGTGAAATTCTCCGAGTATCCCCAGACGGAGCAGATCGAGACAGATCTGTGCTCCCTCTCGATCTACCCGTTTCCGCCCCTTTAATAACAGTCATCTCCATGCTCAACAACACTCCATCCCAAGAAACCATTGTACAGATAGCACACATCCCAGCCACTGGTTATGGTTCCCAGGAAAGCATCCTCACCCCCCGAACAGTCCGCAGTACTGAACATGCAGATATCTTGCTGATCCTCGGCCGATGGACTCTTCCATGAGATACTCTTGAGGTTGGTGGAGTTGAACGAAACAGTATCCAGAGCCTCGCAGGTGCGCGGGCTCGCACCGTAGCGATGGAAAATAGAGTAGTCCAGGTTAGATTGGCTGGGGTCGCAAGTCGGGGGTGCTTCACTCAAAAAGCGGAGGTCCCACTATGAAACGTTAGCGGTTTGAGGGTGGGAAAAGTGCAAGATTTGGGCTCAACGTACGCTTCTGTACGCAAGAATCGCGCGGCTCTGAAGACTGGGAAATGCGATAGCTGAAGAGATGACGCTGACAAGCGTCAACCAAACAGCGAGGAAATGCATTTTAAAGTAATCGGGAAGAGCTGAATAGTCAACGAGATTCAAGATCGCGACCCAGAAAGCGACATGTACAAGATCAAAAGCCTTTTCCAATTCTTCAAACACAGCAGATTTCCTTCTTCTTATACATCCATGTATCCTGGTCCGACTAATTTAGTACAAAGCCGCCGCCGCATAAAGCGGATCCAGCAGCCCCAATCACACCCACCAACAAGTCTCGACCCCCATGGGTCGAGGAAACCATTCGCAGTCGAGAGCTGAGGTAAATCAAGCCAAGCCAAACACAGGGGCCTCACATAAAAGTTTCTTGGCATCGGGGAAAAAAGCAAAGTCCTCGCCCCACCATTGGGCAGACAGATTCTGTCGAGACCCTGATTCCTGACGAGCTCTATCGGAGATTGTGCGGCGCGGGGTGTCCGGGCCCCGATCGCATGGTGAGAGCAGGTGAAGAAGCTCAAGTGGCGATCATTGGGTGATGGGGTGGTGGATGTCTCGCCGATTCAGGAACATGGCGAATGAGCGCTGGCTCGATTCAGGGACTAGGTCTTACATGCAGCGTGCAGTGCAGACACGAGTGCGCCGCTTTGAAGCTCATGCTACACGGGAGTCATGATGGTTGTATCGGCATTTTGAGCTTCGTTTCTGCTCGTATGCTTTGACTCGAGGGTTTGGGGTTCGGCTCGCTGGTTGGGTGTTGGGTGTGCGACGTGACCAGGGCCGGCTCAGCTGGGCTTTGTATGGAATTCGATGGATTAGCATGAGATAGTGCTTGGTTCTCACGGGAGCAGTGGCATGGCCGGGGTGAAGAGTCCATCTCGGACAGCTTTTCTCTGTGTTCAAGACACGAACATCAATAGACTTTCCGAGTGAAGCGGCAGTCTCGTGTGGGCGAGCCCGTGGAGCAAATGTAAAAAGCCAGCTCGTGTCATGGTATTTATTGCCATCCCATGGAATTTCCGAGGTTGGATTCTTTAACGCCTGCTGTTATAGCATGGCGGGGTATGGAGAGTGATTAGGGCAGTCAGAATGTGGAAAATGAAAGGAAGTCAAGATTGAGGAAGCTAGCTATAAGCAGGTTGCAATAGATTTTGCACAAGAGCACTGATATACCTAAATATTTTCGCAGTCAATCTCACAACCCTTCCGAAGTTACTCAGATTACTGTACGCAAAATATTCACTCTCTCAGGTAGGGCTTTCCTATCCTTCAAGGTTAGGTGTGGGGAGAATATACAAAGACACTTCTTCCCCCATGACATTGAGGGTATTTTTCAATTTTCAATTTTATTCCATTTTTGTTGCAGAAGTTGTTTGAAACATCTCCAATCCTTCTACTACTGCAGTAGGCAAGTCTAGTAAATGCAAAACAATAGTTTAATTCAATCTTTGGTGAGCCTTTTCCTGTTGGGAACGAACGCCAGTTCACCTACCTGCTCTAAAGACTATTCACTGCCTAACCCGCGTCTCTATCTGGGCTGACAATTTATGGACCATGAGCCTATACACCTACCTCGACATCCATCCCCCCATACTTATGCAAAACGCCATTCAATATCTCCACCGAATCCACCAGCACCCCAGGCGTAAAGGCCGTCGACCGATCTCCCACCTGCGTTCCAAGATTGGTCGCAGGACATAAGATTGATTCCACTATTCAGCCATTTTGTATCGCTCGAACTAACAAGAGAAAACCTTGGAGTGTGGAAGAATTTCATGACAACGAAAAACTAAAAATGTTCTATTAAACAGAGTAAAAATTCTATCTGATCTAATTTAAAGACGGTGAGAAGACACAAGAAAATAAACAAAGAGAGGGATGCAGTGAAGAGAAAGGAAGAGACGAAGAGAAAGACAAGTAGATTAACGTGAAGCTTGGGTCCGAAACATGGTCCAGGTCCAGGTCACGTCTTATAAAAAGTGAACCTTGGTCCTCAATCCTGGGGCAGTCGCCTAACCTTTGGTCTTGTTGGCTTTGGGAACGCGAGCCAACCAGTAGATACCAAGTGCAGCAACAATGTTGAATACCAAGTAAGCCCACAAGATACCAAAGTTTCGCCAAGCTTCACTCCAAAAAGAGAAAACCGCGGCCAAGAAGGTATCGGTAGAGGAGATAGTGCAGAACGAGCATGCGCTCATTGCATTGGGGTTTTCAATATAACCTCCAGTCCGAGAGGCGTATGCACCCAAGTAATCGGCGCAAGACTGATTTGCTGGAGGATCGAAAACTAATGTTTCGATCGAGCTGCATATAGCAGTTGTACCACTGACTGCTGTGGACAGCATTCCGGATACAAGGTAGGTGAACGGGGACACTCTGTACAAAAAGATCCAAAACCCTGGCATGGCCTCTGGCGTCGAGACAACACTAAGAGAGTAATGTAAGCAAGATTCAGAAGTACTCTTCATGGGAATAGAGAACTTACCCGCAGAACAGTAGAAGAAGGGCAAAGAGCAAGTTAGCAATGTTACCGCCAGTTTCTGCGGTTTCCACGCCGGCGATAACCATGTGCGAGAAAGTAGAGGTAAACCATAAGAAAAGCAGCAAAAACAGGAACATCAATGCACCGCGCTCGTGTACAGCATCTGTCATCTGGGCATTTCGGTAGAGGCCAACCGGGTAATACCAGCAGAAGAACATCAACACAGCGACGACGAGCATCCATACGAGCTCGACCACAATATTGGATATCATGAACACCTGCCATGAGTACATTTTGGAATGACGCTCGCGAACCTCGAAAATAGATCGTTGGGTAATGAAGTTTGGCATGAGCTGCTGAACAAGATTTCCAAAGATTGTCATCAGCATAAAGATACTGAACATTTGATTTTGGAGACCTTGCTGAGTATTCTCAGCATGAAAGAAGGAGAATCCGTTGTATAGAGCCGTGAGAATGCAGAGAATGAGCTTTGAATAAATGTATGTCGGGGTGCGCCAATACTGCGAGAAGATTCGAATTAGGCATTCACGAAGCTGAACAGTCGTCGTAGATGCAAATTCACGATGCCCTGACTCAGATTCATCTTGGTTGGCACTTTGAGAAGGAGCTGATTTCAACTCTGCCAAATGTTGAAGAACTGCCTCTTTCTCGGGACTCTCATTCCAAACCGCTGGCCAGTCGACATCGCTGTGAGAACCGGGAGCCGCACCAATCACGTCAAGCATCCACTCGGCTGGGTTTTCGCCCTCGGAAAGAGCATGGCCTCCATTTCGAGTGAAGTATTCCGCTAATATCGAAGAGTTTTCACCAATTTGCCCGAAGTAGACTGTGCGTCCTCCTTTGGCAAGGAACATTAGCCTGTCGAACCGCTGGAACAACATCGCCGACGGTTGATGGATAGTACAAAGAATTGCTTGGCCATGCTTTGTGAGAGTCTCGATCAGATCCAAGATTGACCAAGAAGTTTGACTGTCCAAACCCGATGTAGGTTCATCCAAGAAAAGCAACAATTGGGGTCGAGCTGCCAATTCCACACCGATGGTCAAACGCTTTCTCTGCTCAACATTCAACCCTGGATACCGTCAGCACTGGTGATGCAGTGTATTTGAAAGAAGTTGGGGTGACATACCTTCACCTGGAACACCAACCACAGCATCTGCATATGACCGCATTCCGAGCAATTCCAGCACTTCTTCAACGTAATCTAGCTTTTCCTTCCGACTAACGTTGGCCGGTTGTCTTAGAAGAGCACTGAACTGAAGAGCTTCTCGAACTGTTGTAGTAGGCAAGTGCACATCTTGCTGCTGAACATAGCCGGTCTTGCGCTGGAAGGAACTGTCTCTTGGCTGTCCATCAACCAAAACAGAGCCGCTCACAACACCCATAGTGACGCGAGTTGCAAGGACATCAAGCAGAGTAGTCTTTCCAGCACCAGAGACACCCTTGAAAGAGGTTAGCAAAATGAAGCAGGCTTGCAGGGCACAGGAAACTGACCATCAAGGCGGTGGCAGTGCCGGGCTTTACCCATCCGTTTACATGATCCAAGATTCGGCGCTCTTCGTTCTTAATCTTGATGTCGTAACACAGATCTTGCCACTGGAAAATAGCTGTTTGGCGCTGAATATTGGCACCGGTAGTTTGGTCTCCTTCTTCAGCCCTGTAGGCTGTGTCCGGCGCGACTTCGGCGTCGGCTTGCTGAGCCTTGGGCTGATGAGCCCTGCGGAAGATAAGAACCTCACCCTTTGAGGCAGCCTCTGAGATGAACTCTGTGGCAAGGAGATAGACAATCATGAAAAATATCATGAAAGCAAAAATAATACCAAGATTGCGCCACAAGTGACTAGCGGTATAAGCATATGATGTTCGTAGATAGGCATCTCCACTGATTGAATCATCTCCTGGAGTAGATGAGACAGTGGTGCAAATCCTGTTGATTGGGTCGATATTCTCATATCCCTCTCCAGAGGGTACAAAGGCCGCGCATTTGAACTGCCTGTTTCGGAACTCATTCACCATCATACTTTCAAAAGAATAGCCGATTGGATTGATATAGTTCATCCAGCGAGACCATCCCAGCATATCACGCGTGGGAATGATGAAGCCAGTGTAAATGACCAAGCCTAAGATGAGAAGAGCAGCAGGGACGAGTGCTTGAGCAAGTGAACGTGACGCAGCACCGAAAGTGCGAAAAACCATTGACATGGTCAATGTTGTCACGATTGAGAAGACCCAGAAGATGAAAAAGGCTCCTGGCTCACGTTTGAGGTTGGACAAGAAATAGAGCGGGAGGTTGAATGTAAATGAATTAGCAAATTTGTAGGGGAGATCACACAGCATGGAAGCAAGTGCCTCTGTGAACGGATGATAGAAGGCATATCGAGATTGCTTTTCCACAATAGGTCTCTGGGCATAGAGTGTCAAGATCTATTATCATAGTGTTAATATCGATGCAACGGGTATAGAGATATCGGACGGCCTCGTGACATACCTCAAGGGCACTGGCAAATGCGGCAAGCAAGACTGCATAGAAAAGAAGAGCTTCCCGCGAAAAGAAGCTGTTTGTGTCCGCAGGAAGATTGTAGAACACACTTCCCAAAATGAGAGATATAAAGAAGTTACCAAAGAGGGCAGTGTATGTCAGACTCATATCAGCCTTAAGTCGCAGGAATCCACGTTTCACACAGAGGTTCATTTGCTCCAGGACAGAGAGCGTATAAGGAGATTTAGGGCGTCTAGAAAGTGTGAGTAACAGATATCCGACAAACATGGTAGGAGTGACTGACTGTTGCGTAGATTGCATTAGGCGGCGTGCCTCACTAAAGGTGGCCAAGGATTGACCTCCGATAGGATGTTCCTTGTCAAAGGTATCAATTTCCTGCAACAGATGTGCACATTCTGGGCTATTGTGCCAACGCTGCGCAAACTCGGCAGGTGTCCGAGGCACTTTGTCTTCAAATCCTGGCTTAACACGACGCTCGGTTGCACTAGTCAGAGATGTCAAAAAGTCTGCTGTGGTCTGGCGCGAAGGGCATTCGAAGCCCATATTGGTGAAGAAATCACGAGCTTCACCAGTCGGGCCGAAGTAGATTTGTTGTCCCTCATATAGCACAACCACCTTGTCAAAGACCTGCGAACAGAAGTTTTTAGTTGGCATTCTGAGTTTCGAATACTTCTTTTATTAAACTCACATCATACGCATTCTGTGAGGCTTGATAAATTGCAACGCACGCAGTAGTGCCCGCGTAGTCACTCATTAAACGAAGGTTCTTGCAGAACTCCAGCGCGTTGGCACTATCCAAACCTCGAGTACTGTTGTCCCAGCACTGGAGGGGAGCTCCGCTAAGGATGGCCTCAGCAATACTCACACGTTTGCGCTCACCTCCACTGACACCTCTCACGAAGTCATTGCCAACTCGAGTGTTGAATGTATGGCGAAGTCCTAGCATAGTCATCACCACGTCGCGGAGGTGCTCTGCATACTGTTTCCTGTCAAGACCTTCGAATCTTGTGCGAGGTGCACGTGCCATGGCAGCGAATGTCAATGTTTCGCCGACTGTGAGTTGGGGGAAATGAACATCGTTCTCAGCGCTAAAGATCGCTTCTCCGCGGAACTGCTTGTGCATCGTCGGAGCAGAGATTCCTGCCGTTCCATTCCAATGTTAGGTAATTGCCTGGTAAATCTGGACCTCTCAACTTCACTGCGCACCTTGGTAGTTTATGTAGCTGTTGTCGTCGACATAAATGCCGTTCATCTCACCGGCAATAGTTTTCAAAAAAGTTGAGCATCCACTGGATAAAGCTTATGTTAGTTGCCCGTGAAACTGATATACTTAGGCGTCGAATAGTCATTCAAACTAACCTTCCAGGACGGCCTAGAACCAGTAGCATCTCTCCACTTCGAGCAAGACCATGGAAACCATTCAGAATCTGCACTCTCTGTTGTCCGGTGCCAGCAAGGTTGCGGAAGAAACCACCAACGCTCAAAATTGCGTTGAAAACATCCTTCTGATAGTCAGTCGGGCTTCCAAAACCATGGACATGCAGGTTTTTGAAAGCGACACCGGCAGACCGTTGTATGAATCGGTCAGGGTGCTGCGACTGGGCTGCAATAAGAGCCCGAATCCAGTCTTTGGATTTGAAAAACGGACTGTCAGGATGCCAGGTAGTTTCCTTGTCCTCTTCGAAAAAAGGATTCTTCGTTTGAGTGGAAGAAAAGCGGGTAGATTGACGGGTGAGCTGTCTCACCATCCCACGAATTTCTTCGTCGATGTCGGCTGGCTTTTCGTTGTCTGGCTCTATGGTTTTTGTCAAAGAAGATGAAGAATCATGATGCGGTCCAAGTTCGGACGCCAACCCTTTCCCATGCTGGGTATTGTCCCCAGCAGGTATCCCACCAAAGACAGACATGTTGGATGGGAGAATGTTCGATCGCACTTCCAGAAAGGAGAAAATTTCCTCTTAAATATTCACCTTGAGCACAGCTTCCAATTCTCCTTTCCGTGAGTCTCCGTAAGCCTAGGCCCCACTGGTTTATAAGGAGCAATGAGTTTGCATTACAATATGTATTAAATTCCCTATTAGGCTTGAGTATTGAACGTAAATCTATACATGTTTGCAATACAAAATACAGGGCTGTCACGGTACCATGGATTGGTCAAGATACGACCGGAAACAAGTGACCCGGCCCTCCAAACTATTCGGAACTCTTCATACCTCTTTCCGGCCATGCAGTCGTAGACTACTTCCCGGGTGTCAGTCTGCCCGATATTCCGGCATACCTCGCAATCTGCCGAATGTACAATAATTATGCTTTATATATCAAACTTTCAATACATAGAGAACTTACAACAAAGCCAAGAGAACGATGAAGGCCTTTGTTGATAATGATCTTCGATGTGCTGAGGTAGAGTTTAAGAAGTAGAAAGTGTGATACGATATTGAACACACGGCTTCATGTGCTAGAAGGTCTTGCTGGCAATTTTGATGGAAATAATTGCTTTAGATCGGTGTGTGGTCTCCGAGGTCAAGATAAGAAACAAAGCGTTCAAGAGTAAAGGAATGACGGGGATGACGGAATGAGATGGTGCTAATAGCGTATCAACGAGCTTTTGATTGCGATGCTTAATTCAAAAGGCATTTTCAGCACATGGAGTAGACATGACTCGACCACCGCCCTTTGCGGTAGAGACTTCTGAATATAACGACCGCGGTACATGGCAATGAATATATGATAGTCAGGATCATCTGCAATACTTTCCATGCGATTGGCCACCTCCACACACAGATTATGAGCATCACCCGGAAGGTACTCGCTGGAAATAGGAACCAGTGAGGTCAGCAGTCGAGGGACAAAGGTTTGCACCATGATCGAGAGGTACTCCCTATCACCAGCAGTGCAGGGTCGAATGTCACTTCTCCCAAGGACTAGAACGGCACTTGATAGACATCGAAAGATTAGCGATAGATATGGAGTGATTGTGGGAGCAACTCACACGTAGAAAAAGGGATCCTTAGCTTCAAGATTGATCCCCATTTGGTGACTGGTCGTTAGCCATGGCTATTTGTGAAATATGTGCAATCATACATACTTTGGGACCTCGGCCACAACAAGTGACGGCACTGAGACATTTTTCATGATCTTTTCCACAAATTGTTTTGCAGGCAAATGGCCTTCAATCAGACTATCCGTATCTTTGAAGATCCCTTCCTGAAACTCGTAACATGACGGCCCTTTACCAAAGTTGTGACCGAACAGACTTGTTCGTTAGATGTTGACTACAAACGACACGGTGAGTACTGCCTACATTTCACTTTTCCTAGTAAAAACAACCACATTTGCTTCGACTGTAACATGATGGGGAAGAGGAACATCTCCATGATTTCCGTGGCAAAAGAAGTAGCGCAGAGAACCTTGGCGATAATTAGAATTGAACATTCTGGCTGTGAGTTTTCAGTGATAATTGTGAGTAAGAGGCTATCACATCTGGGCATCAGCTTTCCTCGATTTCACTAAATCTTTCCGTGGGACTGGGGCGAGCGAGCTTCGGACTAAACATAAGGTAGGTGGGCTCCCCACCTGGGCACTCGCGAGGTGTAGTGGATGTGTGTAGGTATGTCCAGGTGTATATATCCGGTGGGGCCTCTATATTTCCGATTTTCAAAAGTCTACTCCCTTCTCCGTGCCTATCGAGAAATTATATATTGCAAAGCCCTTCCTCGAGGGATATGGCATTGTCATGATGTCCCCCTTCAAATTCCAAGGTTCAGACTCATTGTATTTTGTGTCAACCGGCATACGTCTTGAGAAAGCCCTGGAGGAAATTGAACATTTTTGATACAACACTAGAAATTACACCCAACAGAGGCTGCTAGAGCGGCCGACTTGCCTTGTAGTATGCGCATTTTGCCGTTGAGACTTCGCAGCGTTCCTGCCCCGGCCCCACCTTGGCACCTGTACATCACCCGAGCAGATCCCCACCGGAAATACGGGTTTATGCCATTCATCCACTTGTCTCCGACATTTCTGCACCTGTGCTCCCACGCATGAGGTTGTCCAGATGAATCACTTTGGCATTTCCAATGTCCTGACCTTTGCACATTTTCAACTAATCGAAGTGGGGCCCACATTAATCTGCCCTTCAGTGCCAGAAGTCATATTGGCTAAGAACTTCTCGGTTCAACCCACAAGACTGGGCCTACACTGCAGGCCAGGGCACAATGGAAATCGCTTCCCTGCTAGATACTGATGGCCGAATCAATGACTGCGAACTTGTGCACAGCAAAGATGTAGCAGAGGCGTCACTCGCCAACAGAAATAGCAAAAAGGTACCGGTTGATTCATATCCCCACATGTTCAATGTTATTATTACAGCTCTCTCACCGTCTAAGTCTGCTGACATAGTAGCTAATCTACCTTCTTCTGACCAGAACGCTTCTAATTTGACCAACGGAAGACCCACTAAGCTCTCTTGCCGTGGGATTTCTACTCCTCGTCACAGGATAAAGAAATCATCGAGTGCCAAGGTTAGTATACGATAATTCCAATAAAGATTCATATTTCTTTCCTGATGCCAGAAGTTTCAAGGCAAGGCAATGCGCATACAAAGACTGACCTTAATTCGAATGCCTAGGACGATGATTACCACGACCTCTCTGTCCGCTTAGAAAGAATAGAGAATTTTGTGATCGAGAAACTCAGCCTCAAACATGTCAAAAGTCTAGGTAACCAACTTGATGCCCTCTCAGAAGAGCTCCAGCACTGACAGCATTATATCATCACAGAAAGTGATAATACTACACCCACCAACAGAAGCTTTCATCCATATATCGGTTATAATAAAACCCAAGAGGCGACAGAGTCAAGGTTTCTCTGTAATGGTTTTCCCTTCAACTCCCCGGAAGGTCAGAGATGGATGGCTATCCATATGGAGAGAAATGATTCAGCTACATCCCTCAAGGAGCTAGGATCCTTTTTGCAAACCCAGCCTCGGTGTTCGGACAGCACTAAACTTCCTTCCCCGGGATTGCGTGAAGTCGGCTTGCCCGAGGAAGACTTGGTGAGAAATCGCCTTGTGCTCTGTTCCTCCCAGTCACCTTATATTGCAATTCCAGTCGTCGATCCCATATTATTTCAAACTACCATTTCGGAAGCTTATTCAACAGAATGTTTTGCAAGCACTTCAACAGAACGAGCGAAGAAATGTGTCCTCGCCTTTTTGTGTTTCTTCTCCCTCTTGGGGTTGACTCAAGATTTGGAAGGACCAAGAGACTCTGAGGAGCCTGATGAGACATGGGACGGCCTTTTTGATAACTTGCGGAGCTCAGTCTGGCTGAATTGTCACGATGTGAGTCTGGAATCTTTGCAGGCTTTGGTTATGATGGTATGTAGTCTGCACAGTATCGATGTGTCTACCTTTCATCGTTGATTGATCAACGATAAAATTCGATGTTGCTTTTTCTAACATACCCTAGGCCTTTTCATGTTTCCTGCTGGGATTTTTACACGAAGCAAGTCTTTTCATAGGCTCTGCTTTCAGAATACATTGCTCAAACGAAGCCAGTTGCTCAGACAACAGCCTTCAGCCGGAAGACTCCATGGACATCCGCAAATTGAAGTCCAAGCATGGTCGGACATTGTTCTGGTTGATCTACATTCTCGACAAAGAAGTATCGGTGCAAACAGGTCAACCCCCTTCAATCAATGATGAACACGTCAACTTGTGCCTTCCTCACGGTCATAGAAATTACTTGGGGGACCAGAATTTAGCAGTGGAAAGTTTGAACGTCGACTCAGTTGGATCATTTCCTCTCTATGATACTCGTCTGGCATTAATCAAATCCAGGGTGTTTGACGAGTTATATTCCTTTCGGGCGAGGCAAAAGCCAAGTTTGCACTTACTCCAGGATATCACAGTCCTTGATTCACTCTTGGATTGTTGGAGGGCTACCCTACCCCCAAAACTCAGACCAAGCCTGTGGGTCCTATCTGAGGATAATGCAAATCTGGACATGAGTGTAATTATGGTGACGCTTACTTACTATGATTGCCTAAGCGCAATCCATGGAGCAAGCACGCGCTGCAGAGCACCGACACCAGACCCATCTATCGAGATCGAGATGGTAGACTCAGATCTGACTTATGCCGTAAAGGCAAGTCGATTTTCTCTTGAGTTTCTTTTTACGACCAGGAAATGTTTGGACAGCCGTTATGCCTGGTAGGTTCTGCTGAGGTTAGATGTGAGCAGATTCAGAAATACAGCTAACCGATTTCCAGTCTCATAATTGTGTATTTTTTCCGTGCATTCTCAACGATTGCCTTCAACATTGCTCTCCATCCTCACAGCCCAGAAACAGCTCAAGATCTGGATCTACTGAAAGCAACTAATCGTTTCCTGCATTCGATGGCGAGCAAACATCGTCTTCACATACAAATTCTCCGACTTGAGCAGCAATATCGGTATTTGGACAGACTTTGTCAGCTCACCGCAGAAAGAAAGGAAGAGGGAACTTGACAGGTAGTGCTGTTTGATACCTTATAATATTACCAACCTTGGAAGTCGGTACAATAGTCATCTTAATTTTTAGCAGATCTGCATGAATACACTTTGCTCTAGCCTTATGTATATACTCTTTTTATCAATTATCATACGACGACTTGTGCTCCGTAAACGTGCTAGAATTCAGGGTGCACTAAATGCCCTTTTCGCAATCCAAATCAAGCCTACTTGGGATACAAGAGACTAACCCATATATGATATGACCTTTTTATACCGAGCATAAGACGAGCTGCGGGCTGTCCACAGTCACCGAGTTGATGCTTAACAGGATGAGTGATCATGTGACGTAGACGACAGCCCTTGTATCTCGCCCTCTTCTCTTCTCAATTTCCCCAGAGCTGGTTAAGAATTCAAATACATCCGGGCAGGTTTCAACTTTTACCCAGATCTACACATCTGTCCTCGATTTCTGGGGTTCTTAGCTTTCCAAATCTTTTCAGCCACCCCGGCCTTGAGGTCCCCAGATATGAAACAGCCCTGGATTACGGAGTACTAATGTCGTGCTTACAGAGTATGCAGGAACTAGTCGCTGTTATTCAACCCCGGGGCCTGCACCTTTGAAGCTTGGAAGCTTGGAAGAGCACAAGTGGGTCTTGACTAGATCCTCCTATTCGTCGCTTTTGACCTCCGCAATCCGCGGAGACCTCAGATCAACCTTCGACGCATCCCATCACTGCTGCCCTTTCTATACATCAATTTCCCACTGGCCTCAGTGAAAGAGCCACCCTGAACCAACTCACAGGCACATGCCTTAGATCCGACCGATGAGCATCGGCATGGGGAGCATCGTCAGACATTTTCCTTGCATCCCTCACGCCTTTGCCATCAACCACCCGACATGAAGGCCTGCCACCAATGCGATCGGAAGTTCCACAAGATGGAGCATTTACTCCGCCACAGCCGATCTCGTGAGGTCCCTCCCCTTCCAACACGTGGTTGGGCAAACGCGAACCTGTATCTGGCTAAATGTCTGAATCCCAGACACAGGCGAAAAGCCATTCCCATGTCCGCATTGTGACCGCCGATATGGGCGTAGGTGAGTACCCCAAGCTACTCGATGGACGGCGCCTCCGCTTGAGCCCCCTTGACTGAGTAGCTGCGGGTTTCTTTTAGCGATGTCTTGCGGCGCCATGTCAAGTCGATGCACGAAAATCTCGCCAACCCCGCCGCCCCGAGAGGATCTGATTCCCGCGCCAATTCGAGAGCCACCGCAACCGATCGGAGCTCGACCTCAAACAGAAATTCACAATCCGCTCCGGTGCTGCAAGATGCCACCGCCGCGCGCATGGATGATTGTCTCGTGCCGGACGAAGCCCCGGCGTTCCATTCCCATTTGAATCACGCCGAGATCTCCCCCGCGGTACAACTCGATAAATTTCTGAGCGCATCGATGCTCCAAGCTCGCGAGACCCCGATATCCCATCAGAATCTCTCTTTGGGTTCAAACGAAGCAGAGTACCCCGAAGATATTCCGATCAACCGCGGGCTGGTGCCGTTCAGTGATGCAACTGGCCCTTTGCGACCTGAATATCGTCATTCGCAATTTGTGTTGAATCAGACCCCTGATGAAAGGGAACGAATTAGCCCTTCGAGGCAGCAGAGCCCCGTTGATGCGGTCGATTACTCGCAGATTTCCATGATGAACAGTGAAGTTGAGAATGCCTCTTCTCACTGCTTCCAGATGAGTAAGAGACTTAGCGCCTATGGCAATGTGATAGATTTCTCACCCCTGTCCGTATTTAGATAACGCACTCCATGATTTGGAACCCTATCTGGGCGGCGACACGTTCTCCTTCCTTCATGGATCTGAATCTACCATGCCTCCGTCCATGGGGTTGCCGTTGCCATCGTTGCCCCCAGCCACTGCTCCTGGCTCAAAGACATCCAGCGAAGATCACATGGACAGTGTTACGGCCGAGCGCTTTGCACTCGTGTCGCGCTTGTGGCCTGGACGACGGAGCTCTTTTGATTGCGGGTTCACTCATGACCTATGGAAAGAGTTGGTCATGCTCCGCGAAGGTGATGTTATCCTGGGGTCATTGCATGCTTCGCCGAATGAGCCACCCCATATCGAGTGGGGCTTGAACGACCATCAGCAGCAGGAGCTGATGCGTGAATTCGCTCCCGGCTCTTCAGGGGAGCAGTGGCGCCACAGCAGTCCAAATCCTGCATTTGATTCGAGTCTGGCTTTCGACCCGGACTTTCCATCCACGCGCTTGTTGAACCTGGGCTTGTTTACTGCTTTCAAGCAGACACACGGTCTCCTCCATTTTTTGCACCAGCCGACATTCGTGGCGCGGTCCGCACCGAAATCACTCGTCTTTTCGCTATGCCTACTTGGCTTTGTGCTCCTTGCTGCGGATAAAACTAAGGAATATTTGAACAAATATCTACCAGTGAGCATTGCGAAACTACCGATGGATTATGTTTCAATTGCTGAGCATTCATTCTGCAGATTGCAACACAGAAATGCTGTGCACAGCTAGCCGAGCCCAATTTTGACCCAGCGGATCCCATGCGTCTTTTCTCCAGGCTCAGTACGGCCACACTACTTCTCTATGCCACGTCAATTCATCCAGGTCAGGTATGCTATTTGTTGCGGCTTCCACAACCGACAGCTGTGGTGCTAACCCACCGCGAACAGAATCGACAAGAAACGCACATGTCACAGATGCTATATCATCAAACTATCATGGTCCGATTCCCGCGGCGTCCGATGTCAATTTGGAATTGGCACTAACGATTTAGAACAGGTTGCTCAATTATCTGGTTTATTTCGACCACATTCGAGCCTTCCCACCACAACGGAGTTGATAAATGAGGGACAAGCAACAACTCGCTTGCATACCGACCTTGAAAGTGACGACGATCTCCGTTGGAGGCTTTGGGCTCGTGTAGAAAGCATGAAACGGTAAGCTCTACTCGCTTTCCCTGCCACGGATGTCCCCCAATGACGTTTGCATTTCCCATTAGACTTGTCACTTCACTCATAGTGACAGACTCCTGGTGGTCATACAAACTCGGCACGACACCCGTCGTATCTACACAGGCAGTGCGTTATGACTTACCCTGCTCTGAGGAACTATATCGAAGTCCGTCTGCGCGGTCTTGGAAGCGCCTTGTCGATGAAAACGATGGCATCGACAATGAGCCCATATTGATCCAGTTGCATACACCCTGGGTGGCGCTGCGGCCCTCGTGCTGCGTGTCTCCGGCAGGCATGTTCGGTCTCTTGTCCATTATCTGGATTCGTATGCTGAACATGCGCCAGCGTATGATACCTCCATGGCCCGTGGCCGCAGAGCAAGGAAAGAGACTGATTTTACCTGTGGCCATCTATATGGCAGACGAATCAGGTCAGACTCTAACAGATGGCTTGCTGGATATTTACAAAACGCATATCCAATTTTTACAGGATGGAAATCCCCATTGCGTGATTCTGTGGCACTTCCTCAACCTCCAGCTGCTTGTGAATGTGGAGATTCTTGAAAGTGCTATTGGTCGCTATGGTGTCGAGAATGCCTACACCGCCTTACCCTTTATCACCGCGTGGAGTAAAACTTCGTCCGCAAGACGGGCTTGTCTTCACGCGGCGGGAATCTACAAAGCAATGAATCGCCGGCGGATCAATGACGGTATCATAATTCACACAGAATCGGCCGGATTCCATGCAGCCCTTGTCATGGCATTGTACGGGTTCGTGGTTCAAACTTCTGAGCACCAGGATCTTGGGTCTCAAAGAAATCCCACTCGCGGGCCGAATGGGGATGCGGAACCTTATGAGGTTCTGGATGACGTTGACTGGCCCGCCTTGGGGCTCATGGGTCTCGAGCCGCCATCAGAGATGGCAACTACTTGGAATGGGCCGAACAGCCCGGCTCAATCTTTCATAGAGAATAGTTCTCCTCTTAGCTTCATGGGAACTGTTTTGAATGGGGGGTATGACAGCGCCCAGATGATTTTGCTGGAGTATGCCAATCTTTTAGGAGATCTAGGCGAAGGAACAAGTGAAGGACTTGGCCGAGTCCTCAGAATAATGAGTAACTCGCTGGTCGACATGGAGCTCAATAACCCGCCACAAAGAAATGCCTCCGCGACTTGAGACACACTATTGGCATTTAAGTATTTTAATAGCAGGCTCAATCTACAGGATGAAACATGAACGGCTGATCAACAGTGTATTTTAGTCTGTCGAACAAAAACGGACCAGGGGGCAGGCTTCCAGGGTTAGTATAGTAATTCGTTAGATACAGTATCTAACTGGTATACCAAGTAATCTACGGAGTACAGCATCTATAATCCATACTATCATCTGTCAGACTGCGAAGATGTGGAACTCTCCACAAACCGATGTCTCGGACCACTTGGTTCCGAGATTGCTATTAGAATTGTGTATACGGAGTGTTCGACGGAAAGATACGTGGAAACCACTCCAGTCTGAAATGTCCGGGCATCCGGGCATCCGGGCACCCGAACTTCTAAGTTACAGTTAAGGTTTAGGCAGGGGCCGTCGCAGGGTCCCTCCCATGTGGGGAAGTTGCTCATGTGGGACGCAACACGTCCCACCTTGGCACATCCATATCCATGTGGGGAAGTCCCGAGTACACCTGTAGTGGGAAGTGGGAGAAATTTTCAGCATTAACTGTAAATCTGACCAGTCCGATGTAGCGGCTAGTTCCTCTGCGCTTTGACATGCGTGGTGCCTTTGACATGGGCTCTTCAAGCGAGTCTCCGCCGTTTCTCTTTCATGAATCGTTAAATGCCAATTTAACGGGTGTGCGACGTGAAGGGGGAGTCTGGCAGTTTCGTGGCCTGCAATACGCCAGCATCCCTCACAGGTTTGCTTCCCCAAAGCTTACCACGGTCAGGACAGGCGACGTTGATTGTACTTTATACGGGTAAGCCCATTAGCCTGACTCTCTGTATCTGCGGGAGATGAGGGAAATCGACCGACTGAATCGATGTGGCTCTGTAGATCATGCTGTCCTCAAAATCACGTAGACTTCCGTCATCTGTTGCGCATTCCTGATGATGAATTCGTTCCGGAGCTACGGCAGGATGAATTCACATGCTTGAATCTCGACGTCACGATGCCCGAGCCAGGCTCTGTGCCTGGTATGAAGAGAGATCTTCCTGTCATATTCTGGATACACGGTAAGTGATACCTATAATGTCATTAGATGCCATGCCTTTACCCACACAACCTATTTTATACATGCGCGTGGGCCCAACGACTCATGAGTTGTTTCTCCAGGTGGTTTCCAAGCTGTGTCATTCGGAAACAGCGCATCGAGACTATGTGGTTGGTACCTCCCGCGTCGTGCTTGCTACGATTTCATTCTAATATTTCCTGTGTTCTTTTAGATCCATCTAGTCTTTTAAGTCGATCCGTCTATCTAAATAAACCAATCATTATCGTCACAGTGAACTACCGCCTCAATATATTTGCTTTCGGAGACGAAACCAGCGATCCAAACCTGGCTCTCAAAGATCAAAGAGCTGCGCTGGAATATGTCAGGCTGCATATTGCTGGATTTGGTGGAGACCCAGTGAGAGAGCGCCAACTTCTTACATTTTCCTACTCTTTGGTATTAATCAAGTTGACTAGGAAAACATCACGATTGCTGGAGAGAGTGCCGGCGCCATGTACTCTCATGCGCACGCGGTAATGGGTGCCCCAGTTCGCCAGTGTATCCTGCAATCCGGCACAATGTATTTATCACCTCCCCAGCCACCCGAGGCCACTTCTGCTCTGAGAAAACGATTGAGCATTATCCTTTCGTCTCTTGGAGGCTATGATCTGCGTACCGCTCCTGCTTCCCATCTTCTAGAGGCCCAGGCGAAGATGGGGTTGATGTCATATTACATCCAGATGGAACCGAAGCTGGAGGGCTGGCAACAAAAATGGGGGAATGTTGAGAGAATCGCCATTGGTGACAATGAGTATGAGGTAGCACGATGACCCGGCTCAAATATCGGGATAATGAATGCTCACTTTCTCATCTGCAGTCCGCTATCTGGAAGATTGGAATTGACGCTTTGGAGCCCTCAACAATCTGCAGCGCATTTGACCTCGCAGGATCGTGCGAAAAAGCCGAGCTACTCAAAAGAGTGTACGGTATAGTTCCTGGTCGTGCTATTTCTTGCAAATTAGGCGCTCTTGACTTCCTGAATGACGTCCGTTTCACCCTGCCCACAGGCCTTGTTGCCGAGCAGAGCCGCCGTGCTCGGCGTCCTGTCTTTGGCTTCTTGATAGACCAGCCCAATCCATGGCAGTCATCCAGCCGAGCGCATCACGGAGTTGACTTGCTTTATCTGTTTCGGGGCTTCAACTTTCCTGATCAATCGGCGTGGAAGGTGTCGGAAGAAATGCAGCGAAAATGGATTGAGTTTATTTCCGGGGAGGATCCTTGGCAGGAAGGGCGATTCTACGCCTTTGGGCCCTTTGGGAGATGTGAAGAAGTGAATGTTGCTGATCGAAGAAGATATCGTCACTTAGACGCTGTGTTGGAGGCTGGCCCGCAAAATATAGAAGCCGTGTTCAAAGCCATCGCGGCTGGGCGAACCAGTCTTTTGAGTTGAGGGTTGGATTTTGCCAGTGAATCCCGCTGCTAGACAAGCGCATATGCGGATATCGCTCTCAACTGTCAATGTGATACTTGGGTAAGAAACCTATCCATCGCTTGTGTTCCGCCCTGAAATGTTCCAAGAGGAGAGCTTAGTATGTGCCTGACCCGTACCTAGGAGGTCCGCGACTGGTATTGTCGAAATAGAAAGACAACCAAGGCTTCAATCAAAGACTTGCAGCCCTTTTCTACAACCTTGGAACTTGGAGGGAGACCTCATCGGTTGGTCGGCCAAATCGCTGAGCTACGTGATCACACATTGTAGGAATCTATTGGTAAAGAATGACAAGTCTAATCATTTATCCAATCTATGGGATATCCGAAGAAGTATACAAAAAGCATTACGGGCCATCAGGCCACTCAAATCATGATATATCACTCTCGTCCCGGACCAGGATTCAAGCGCCACGCACGGAGCGGCAAAGCCTGCAGCTTCCGCGCAGCTGGCTTGATAAACATTATAAATGTGAGTGTGCCGATGAGCACACAGATCATGTTAGTCATGTAGTACCCGTCGCGGTCAACCTGACAGGTACCGCCGCCGTTGATGCAGCGGTTCTTCTCTGGCTCGAGGGCACATGAGAAGGCCGTCGTGACAAGAGTGTCTTTGAGTGAGTCGGCGGGAGGGGCGACTGTTGGCGGGAGACAGGTTGCGCTGGTGAAGAAGTCGACAAGCTTGAGGACGAAGATACGGGGGAATGTTCCGCCGAGGTTGCAGACACTGCGTGATTGTTAGTGGACCTAGGGAATTATAGTGGATGGTGGTAACTTACGTTGCGAGGAGGGTCATGTAGGTTCCGCCAATGGCTGGATCGGCGATGCGAGCGTGGAAAGCCGAGATGGCGACGAACATGACTGTGTTCATAAAAGTTGATAGCACATGCTCACCAATTACTGTGAGCATGTACCACATTGGCACCTCAGTGGCACTGGGGTAGATCATGACAGTGAATTGGGCGAGCACGGCTGCTACCAGACGTCCCACGAAGGCCCAGCCCCACAGGCGCATGGCGCCGTAGTTGGTGGACCACTGGCCAGCGTAGTAACCCAGCATGATTTCAAAAGGGAAATCAATCAGCACCACGAGGGCCATGTTGTCTTGGCCAAAGCCCTTGTCCAGGAGCTTGAGACTGGTGACTCCATCGTTGGCCTGGAAGCCAATCTTGGCAATCAGGTGAATGATAATGATTGTCTGGATGTGCTTCAACTTCAGAACACTCCACATGCTCTTATATACATCCATGATGCTGTCGCGGTCCTTCGTGCTCTCTTCCTTCTTCATGAAAGCCAGCCCGCAGGTGACGATCAGATACGCCCAGCCCCAGAAGCTGAGATAGGTACCGAGGGACAGGAGCCCGCCATCACCGGGAATGGCCCGGAACCATCTGTTCGCAAAGTCTTTCGAGTTGAAAGCCAAGAACACGGTGTAAGAGAGGAAATGGCCTGCGGTCAATCCAACGGTTTGGGCAGTCGAGGCATAAGAGATATTAGGAGGAGACATTAAAGTGATAGCCCACCCGTCCACGGCAATATCTTGGGTGGCGCAGAAAAGGACCAACATGAACCACCAGTAGGTGAATTTCCAGACACCGGCACCACCGTTGGCACCAGCTTCGACCATCATTTCTTCAATGTGACCACCCAAATAGATCATCGCCACACCCGCAACCACTTGCACCGGCGTGATCCAGCTCTTGCGACGGCCGAATCTCGTGCTCCAAACTGCATCGACGATCGGACTCCAAAACAACTTGAGCGAGTATGGGTACGAGGCCAGTGAAAAGATTCCAATCTGGCCATATGAGAGGTAAGGTTTCAGGAGGAAGGGTACGGAGCCGGTGGCCAGGCCCATGGGAATACCCTGAAGGAAATAAAGAAGGACGAGTAGGATGAAGTTGCGGCGGTCACTGCGCGGCAGGTCCTGGAAGGTTGTATTTGTTTGAACTGGGGTTTGCGGAGCGAAGGGGGGTTCATTATCGAGAGAGAAGCTGGGACGAGACATGAGTTGGGCTGTTCGTTCGGCGGAAGATTCGGCGGAGGGAGTGTCCCTCCTGCGCATTTCGATATTGTTGTTCATCTTGCCATTCGCATGCCCGTTTGACCCGGTAGCGACTTTTAGGTTGGGTTTAGAGCGGCGCTTGGAGAGACTTGCGTTCTTGCGTGGCATTGGATAGTCCTGAACAGTAATGCACGATCACGGCGGTCTTCAACTTCGTCCCAATTGTAATAAGGACTGAAATTGGGTGGGTTATGGTAGTGAAAGGTGTCAGGGATGGAAGGGCGGTTCGGCTTCGAATGGAACCGTAGTTGGAGGGGGGCTTAGATACCCAAAGTATAGGTCGGCAGGGAGTGAAGGAGTGACGAATGCATGAAGAGGGATATAAATGAAAGAAACCTCGATCTGGTGGGGGATCTCCGAACTGCGAACCTGATGACAAAACGTTGTTTGAGGCAAGCTGGCCTCTTGGCTTTTCCCCGGTGGATTCGCTGCAAATCCGGGGGCGCAAGGGTCCTCGAGTCCAATCTCGCCCGCAACACGGTATGCTACGTTTGATTCTGTCTACACAGTTTACTTCTTATATTTGGCCGAATGTCTTATAGTTACACATCACAAGTGCCTCGGAGGTCCATGAGGTCATCACAACAAAGTGGGACTGTCCTCTTTGAGCCTAAAGTCCAGAGCCTAATCTCCTTAAGACGAGCCACCTATAGCCCAAACATTCTCCAAAACACCAGCTATAGTATAAATGAACTGTGCACTTACTCCCAAGTCCTGCAGCTAGACAATATTTCCCGAGGCCAAGCTTTTCCAGCTGTTGATTAAGTCACGTGCACCAAAACAAACGCGATAAGCAACGCATCGGACGCATCGAAGCATCAGCGAACATCGGACAATCACAACATACCCCCAAAATGCAACGCGCAACACCAGACCCGGAGGAAGAGGCACTGGATACCGAGATCGCATCCATCCATGCCGAAAGTCAGTCATCTAACTCCCCAAGTCCAACCCTAACCCCTCAAACTAACAACCCAAAGTCCGCAATCTCCAAAAACGCAAACGCATCCTCACATCAAGCCTCCTAACCACGGACCCAATCCAAAAGCTCCTTCGCAAAACAACAGCCAATCCAACCCAAATCTCAGACCTCTCAACACTCTCCCCACTCGCCCAAGCAGCAGACAAACACAACACATCCAACCACCACCGCATCGCCTTCGGCGCCACCGCATTCCCATTCAAAGACCCCAACCCCAGCGCCACAACCAAAAACCTACTAGGCGTCCGCATCGACGTCTGCGCACGTAACGGCCGATTCTCAAAACCATACTATATCCTCCTGCGCACAGATCGCGGGACCGAGAAGCGACTCCGAGTCCACAGACACACGGTACCGGCATTTATCTCAATTGCGAAGCTGGAAGGCGCGTACCTGCCGCGCGCAGCTGCGGACGATGACGCCGAGCTAGCGAAGCCGTGGAAGGGCGCGGTGCGCAGGCAGGATTTACAGGGATTTGTGCGCGAGTTGCGGAGGGAGCTTATGGGGTGGCATATGCGGGTTGATGCGGTGGAGTTTTTGCGGGAGAAGCTGGGGTTAGTTGATGAGGAGGGTCGGGCACAGCCGTTTGATGTTTCGCCGGATCGGGAGACTGGTGTTGTTTCTTTGGCCGCGGCGTCATTGGAGGCGCGGTATGTGAGGCTTGAGTGGGAGGATGGACGGGTTGGGAGGTTTAAGTTGTCTAATAGTGGGATTGTGGAGAGGGCTGTTGTTATTGGGGATCAGGGGCGGGATAAGAAGACGGAGGATGCTATGACTGGAGGGGGGGTTGAGACTGTTTTGGATCGATTGAGAGTTGGAGGCTCTGGTGATTCAGTTGGGGTTTGAAGAGCTTATTTGTTTTGAGCTGTGGTTTTATGATTTTTGTTACGCGCGAGATACCCTGTTTCACAATATTCAGCTAGTCATTTCAATTAAGCTATCGAGTCATTCGCGTATGTCTATGTAGATGATCTCCGCCAAATGCTATGCAACAAGTAGATCAAAAGGCCGCCGCAATGCATGTATGTAAAGGGACGGATGACGGATTCAAAGGGGAAATATCAAAAGGGATTACAAGAAGGGTAAGGGTCATCACAGGATTTGAACAAGCACTGCATCTTAGTGCGTATCAACAAATCACACCTGCGGAAGAAAGGCATTAAATAATAAAAGTGAGAAAAGAGGGTAGTTGAGCAATCAATATAACGGGTAAATGTCGTGGGATCGTGGGCTCTCCAATCAAAGCGGCACAGAATCATGGTTGGGCTGAATTGTATCCGAGGTACGCGATGACTCAAGAGGAGCAGACTCCATAACATGAGCAGGCATGTCAGACGAGCTCGTGAATGGAATGAGAGGCAAAGGCCCATATGATTGGCCATTCCGGACTTCAAGGTGCCGACGTAACACAGCTTCTTCCAGGAACCAACGCTGGAGTAAATTTTTCTTCTTTCCATCCAGAGCTTCCGTGAGCGCTACCTCTTCTTGCTGGTGTTCGGTTTGTAGGGTAGCAATAGCCTGCGTGTGTCGGTCACACATGTCATCCAGTTCCTTTTCCGTGCGCACCATGGCTTCTTGCATCTTGAGTTCTTGCCGGTCACGCAGAACTTTGATGCGGGCGTCGTGAAGTTGATCCATGGATTCGTGACTGTGGTACTCTTGCTCCAGCTGCTCCATGTGCTGACGAGTGAATACACGGGCTGGTGCAGTCGAGTCGGTTTCGGAGAATGACTCGGAGGATCGCTCGGCTCTTGTCGATCCTCCTGCGGGTGATGGCGGGGGACTGGCGTTCCGGAAGTATCCCTCCATGTGTTTAATGCGGGTGCTAGAGTTCAGCTTTGCACGGTCGAATTCGCGTTGTTGTTCGATTTCTACCGCGAGCTGCCGCTCCTCAAGTCTGATTATGACTTCGCTGTTCTAAATGTTTCCATGTTAGTAGTGTACACATGTAAAATCATATGTTGGCCAGACGAACCTTCTCGCGCTTCTCCTCCTCCTGGCGCTCGTTGTGAGACTGCCGTTCGGAGACAGCGGTCTGGTGCCGACGACGGAGGATACCAAATGCAGCATCTTGGAAAGCGAGATAACGATCTCTTTCCAACCGATGACGCTCGTTCATCTGACCAAGTTCAGGATCATCCAAGCTCCTTTGCAAAGATTCTTTGCTATATACTGGAATTTCGAGCTTGGGGAGAGGCGGCGCAGTAGTCTGGTCAGGACCAGCGTGTTCCTGAATAGGCTGAGCAGGTTCTAACATCGGTTGCAAAAAGACGTGATCTGCTTCTTTGGCGCTGTTCCAAGGATTCACCTGCGCATCCGGAGACAAAAGAGTGGCAGACGGACGCTTCCTGCGAAAATGGATTCGTCCAATTGCAGATTTGAAGCTGCTCCGACGCTTCTCTTTCTTATCCGCTGAAGCGATACTGAGCATTGAGTGGCGATTCGACGTAGCCTCCGGCATTTCATTGGTATATCCATACCCCGCAAGAGCCACCCTCCCCTCACTGGAGCAAAACGAGGTTGGGCGAGTAGACATCGAAGCGAGCGATCGCGTACTACCGGGCTTGAAGCGGCGGGAGGCAAGAGTGACATCTGAGAGGCCGGAGACGACTTGGTCCAGCGCGGGACCGGAGGGTGAGACCGGCTCGTGGGACGGAGTAACGGAGCCACCCAGTGAATTTCGATCGGTGGAGGATCCAGAGGAAAGGACCGGCGAGGAGAGATCGACTATTCCCGAGGCGAGGGAAGTAACTAGTGGCGCGGTTGGGTCGACCTCGGGGATCTTGAGTCCTAGTTGTTGCGCCTCGTCGGCTAGTTGTTGCGCCTGCGCTTGTTCGGATTCTGCGGAGGGGAGACCAAGGACCTCTTGGCGATATTGGGCCTCATCTAGGATGGGCCCAGTGGGAGACTCCATTGTTTGTCGTTGTGGCCTAACCAGCGGGCGCACATGAAGGTGTGTAAAAGAGTGGACTTGTCCGAGCGGACGAGAAAGATGCGGTCTATGACGGCATGCGCTTAAGGGAGGGGGAGTTCTGTAATGACAGGTAGAGAGGTCAAAGCCAATAATTAAAGGATTAAAGAATAAAAAAGGAATAAAAAGGAAATAATCAAGAAGATAAACTTGGAAAGAAACCTCCTTTTTTTTTGATCAAATCACACTCGACCCACGGGTGGCCCTGACGCAATCCCTCTTGAAACTGGAGTTGTGAAACCGCCTAACAATCTCATTGTGAAGAGTACTCCGTAGATCCTCAAGGTTTAGGGGATTATATTGCATACATAGCTTATATAGCTTAAATTCTCGGGGAAATCCCACATCGCGCAATTTGGTTTGCTTTTAACCCTGCAACGTGCTTAACTTCTAACTGTATATGATCGTCCTTCCTTTTTAATCCCCAATCCCCAATCAGGAAACTAGGGCTAAGGGCTGGCGTGGTTACCTCGGTCCGTGCCGGGCCAAGAACACGCCGTTGTCAGAGACTGGATCAGGCCAGGAACCACGGAGCACACAGGTATTATTTCTATCTATCTTTCTTTCTTTTAGATCGCCACATTAGCGAGTCTCATTCAGCATGTTGACCGCCAACTGGTAGGCCCGTTCTTTAGCTTCGTATTGCGGGGTTCCGGGCCTCGTGCGCTTATCCCACGCATGAGAACAGCCCTGCATGCGCTCACTGACCACATGCCGAGCTTCCAACGCCTTGATCCTCTGAGCCAAGTCCTCCGCCTCAAGAGCGAGGGAATCACCATCGGCAGTGATCACGAGTACGCGTCGTGGGAACTGATCGGCCTTGGCAAAGTGCGGCGAAATGCGTGGGTCCCGCTTATCAAACCCCGAAGTGTAGCAGCGGTTGAAGAGGCGTGCGAGGGGCAATGGGATTGCCCGACCACCGGCAACTGGTGCAAATTTGGAAGTCGGTTCTGCACTTAGATCGGTCACGGGATAGAATGCTAATAGGGAGCGGAAAGTGTCCCGCGGGAAGAGGCTGGAGGTTGCGGCCAACGCGAGGTTGCCTCCAGCGCTGAAACCGGATAGAGAGATTTGGGCGGGGTCGAACTCTTTGGTTCGCGATCGAATATAGTTAATGGCATCTTCGACGTCGTTTAATGCGGCGGGGAAGGGGTGCTCTGGTGCTAGTCGATAGGGGACGTCCACGACAGTGTGCTGCGTTTGACTGCTGATTCTGCGACAGAATTCATCATCGGTGCCGTGGAAGGGCAACATGAATCCACTGCCGTGGAAGTTCAGCAGGACGGGCGATGGATCTGAGCTGGAGTCTGTAGGTCGATACAGGTGGATCTTGATAGTTCGGCCAGCGTCCCTGGATTTGATGTGACGCACTTCATCTGGCGCCGACGACGTGTTGGCACCGAAGCTAACAACGAATCTTATAAAGATTGCAAGACATTGATCAACTAGGCGAGCGAGAAACGACATGGCTGTATGGGTTGTTGCTAGAACTTGGACTGGACCGAGGTCTGGAAGTAAGGATACCCTAAGCGCAGATCTCCACTTGTTCTAGCTGAACCGAACATGCTTTGATAGTCCTCCGTATGGTTCCCCCATTCCCCCTCAGTGTGCATCACTCGGCTGTAGATCTGCTCCCACTGCTGGTGTCAATTCTACCCCCTCGAGGATGGTATTTTAAGACATCGAAATTGTGAATTACTTGTTCTCGTCTATCGAGCTTGGAATTACTCCGTACTTGCAAGCCGTTAACACGTGGTGGGTGGAGACGGACTACGCAGCCTAATTTTATACTTGGAAGTGCTTGTCCACATCGGGCTATGGATTAGCGCAATGTGAAAACCAAGAACCATGGAACTCGATGGTTGACTTCGGAGAGGGCGGCTGAAGAAATGAGAACCCCTTGCTTTTCACTCAATCGGTTCAATAAATGGAAATTCGATCAATTCATGAAATTTATGGACCATTTTTGTGCAGAAAAGACATTCAAAAATTACTCGGTACACATTGAAAAGAGAAAAAGGCAAATTGCGAGGATGATGAATGGATACACGCAAGGAGTATTCAGAAGAAAAAAAGAAAAAGAAAGGTCTGGGCCCGAATTGAGCCGGGGACCTCGTGACAATCGTACTTTTGCTGCCTGGAAATAATGGCGTCAACCATAGCTCTCCCCGCCAATCAGAGAACGACCATCACTTGTCGTCACGCTCATTCACATCTCGCATCGCCATCGAAGCTACTGTATAACATTATCAAGTCCCAACGCCTTAACCCGAGCTCTAGAATCATAACTCGAAGCTGCCATCCAAGAATCATACATTGAAGCCCCGGGTCGAGAACTCAGCTAGCTTTCAACTTCCTTATCTTCACGTACACCGCAGTCTACATCATGGCCTCGAAAGCCATCCCCGTGGATACCAAATTTACGGTTTTCATACGCCTGCCATTCCCCAGAGGTGACTTTGAGGATCCGCAACCCGTAAGCTATCCAGCTCAGCCTGTCTTTGGAAGAAGCTGACCCGCCCAGGTTGAATGGAACGCTTCCAAGGACCAGGCCCTTTGGGATGTCCTATCCAGGCCCTCAAAAGGCGATATAGACTGTACGTCGACTCGATCTAACCCTGACCTCATATAGTTTATCCTTATGATATCGCTGACATCGCCACAGGGAAAGCCCTGTAACTCCCCTTTGTGCTGAGTCTGGTCAACCCGGGGGCTAACGTGATTGGTTTATTAGGGCAGGGCACTTTGATGTCACTCTACAGTTTCTACTTCAACAGGCTGCATGGCTTTATGATCGCCAGCTGTCACAGGTTCGCGCTCAGATGCGCAAGGTCGGTACGACACAGTCGACTTCTCCTTCTCCTGTTCCTGGCTCTGTTTCCGGGAGTACGGCATTGGGCGGACAACCGTCGAGAGAAACGATCATTCCGGGTCAGTGTTTCCATCGTCTCATTACTTTAATATCTAGAGACTGACCACTAGTAGGTCCTCGGGCGCCATCGCGGCAGGTGTCTCAACAGCAAGACACCCCCCAACGAGGTAGGGCCGATCTGTTCTTCTTTTCAATGAGGATTATCTACATCTCCAGGGAACTTGCCTCTAATTCTTGTTGTAGCTTTCGAACCTCGGCCCACCAGCGTTGCATCAACAGCCCCTGCTAACCAGACCCGCGGGCCTAGACCACCGTCGCGTACGGAGATACCGACGGCTGACAGTGAATCTCGCTGGGATTCATTTGGCCGTCGTCAGTCAACCGTACGACGAGAGCAAGTGCCCGCCTCAACTACATCTCGTTCCCCAGCATTCGAAGATGAGCCCCTGTCTTCAAGCATGTCGGAAGAATCAGAGTCCGACGAAGAAGACACCAGACGCGGACCTCGCTTCAAACGATTTGGCAAAGCCTCTGTGCATCGCTCTGGTCTTCGAGACGACGAGGATGATGACGAGGACGACACCCCGGCATTTTTGCCACTTATTCGAGAGTCGCAACACTCTCACCAGCAGAGAACAGGTCAAGAATTGAGTGCCACTCTCCGACTGGATGCGGAGCGAGCTACCCAGCGCCGTCGAGGACCGGACCCACGGGCCACCCACCGAGTTCCTGTATCGGAGTCTTCCACAAGCTCTATGAGCTCCGCTGGCCCTGTTGGTCTGCCTCCTGGTGAAACCAGACGGACAGGTAACAGAGCACCGATCTCAGGTCCCCAGCGAGCACTTGGGCCTCGCCAAAACTCACGCAGATCGAATGCATCCGGCCGCGAAACCAGTGATGGAACCCCCAGTATGGGAAGCAGCTTCAGTGACCTTGATGGTATGTCCCGAACCCCCGATTATGATGGTTTCATTCTGATCGATAGCCCAGACGCGAGTGTCACCCAGTCGGCTCTGGAGGAGGCTCTTCTCAGTAACATGCAACATGGTGGGATGGCGAGTCGGATGAGCACCATTAGCCAGGCACTCCGCAGTCGCTATTTGCAGTGATCAGATGGCGTTTTCTGCGCTATCACGGCTTCTGCGCGATGTGCCTATTTACATAGATGTTTATGTCTGTATCCGGCACCCCGCATGTGGCATAGTAGCATAGTGGCATACACGTGACGTAACAAGCGACGCGGTATGAAACTCTCGCGGTAGACCAAATCCCAGCGAGTCGCAAGAATCTTTGCAATCCACTTCTGAAAAGTATCAACTTTGTCACTTCGGTCAAACGGGAACGCTAGCGCCGAATCAGGAAGTTCGGTCTCAACAGCTTCCTCGCCGAGAATACTTCAGCTCGATTTTCAAGACCAGATAGAACTGCGTGATTAATAAGTCCAAGCTGATTGATCTTGCAACCAATTGAGACTCACTATTTTGACCGACTGTTGGGATCCGATCGACCGTCAAAAGACCTCAGATACCCCACCAAATAGGGCGCGGGGCGGCAATCCTCGGTATCTTATCAGACCAGACCATTTGCGACAGCTTAAAGCCCATATCTCTCCCCCGTGGAATTTTCCCGGGATTCTACTGTACAAAGCTCCTCCCGTGATCACCAAACATGACAACCCCTCTAGTCGGCGAAATGGAGCCGGCGCTCGCAGAATCCGTCTATTTCAATGAATACCCGCCACCAAAGGCCCTGCCCAAACATGAAGCACTAGCCCGCGCCTTCATCCAGCTCCACGTGGAAGCCAATCGCCGCGTAGTCCTCGTCACATCCGGCGGTACAACCGTACCACTAGAAGCGCAAACCGTGCGATTCATCGACAACTTCTCCGCCGGAACCCGCGGCGCGACATCAGCTGAGTACTTCCTGGAACAAGGGTACGCCGTGATCTTCCTGCACCGCCAGTACAGTCTCCTCCCGTACTCCCGGCATTACAGCCACTCAACGAGCTGTTTCCTGGACTTCATGGACGAGGCAGCGCCATCTGCGGACTCCGCCGATTCAGGTCATGGATCGATCATGGTGCGCGACGAGTATCAGGACCAGATGCGCAGCGTGTTGCGCAAGTATCGGTACGCGAAGCAGAACAATCGACTCCTGCTGCTGCCTTTCACGACTGTCTCGGAATACATGTTCGAATTGCGGTCTATGGCGAAGATTATGAGGCCCATTGGGTCTAATGCGCTTTTCTATCTTGCTGCTGCGGTTAGTGATTTCTTTATTCCGCGCAGCAGGATGGCAGAGCATAAGATTCAGTCTTCGGAGCTACCGGCGCATATGCAAGGAAATGGAGCCGGAGCTGGGGCGAATGATATCTACACTGGGGAGAACGAGGAGGAGCCTTCGAATCGCAAGAAGCTCGTCGTGAACCTCGACCCTGTGCCTAAGTTCTTACATCGGTTGGTGGATGGCTGGGCGCCTGAGGGGAGTATGGTTGTTTCATTCAAGCTGGAGACGGATCCTTCATTGCTGGTCTACAAGGCGAAAACGGCGCTCCAGCGCTACTCGCACCACTTGGTTATTGGTAACTTGCTTTCCACGCGCAAATGGGAGGTTGTCTTCATTACACCGGAGGAGCCCCACGAGCGCTGGATCCGGGTTCCAAAGTCTAAGCGCAGCAAGAGTATTTCTGGAGTTGAAGACCAGGTTGGATTGGCTGAGGCTAAGAAGGGGAACTCTGTGCCTGTTGATCAAACTGAGGCCGAGCAGGGCTCAGAAACTAGCCGGGATGGAGTTGAGATTGAAAGTATCATCATTCCGGAGTTGGTGAAGCTGCATACTAAGAAGGTTGAGAAGAACGCTCAGCCGCAATAAGATCAACTGCTGTACATGGGGAAAAGGACAAAAAAAAATAAGAATCATGTCATTGGCGGAGTTAATGTGCAAATTGAATAGCTTCTTCAATATCAAGCTGTGTATACATAATTGTCCAAGGTGAGGGCATATCAACGTGTCATGATAGCGTGCACAGCCCGATCCAGGTGGATCCGGGACTGATGTACTGTATGTACGGAGTACGGAGTACGGAGTAGAGCTGGAATCTGCCACGCCCAAGGGATCCAACAAGAATTCCAATCAAGGGGGAATTATTTGAGACAAATTCCAACTTGGCAAGCTGCGACTGAGGGAGAACGAGGGAGAAGGGAAGATTGGCCCTGCACTCCAAGCCCACGAGTACGCGTCCCGCTGTGTCAGCACAACCCCGTCGATCATCTAGTTTAGCGCCAACCTTCCCCAGCTCGAAGCTCTTCCTTTGGGCGAGGGGGTAAAATTGTCTGTCCAGAAGATGACCAATTGATCCTTCATCCATCATGGTCCCCCGTCGTCGGTTCAGTCGTCGCCTGCTAGCCGTCGCAGCCGCCCTCACCGTCTTCTTCTTCTACCACTTCCTCTCCTCCGACCCCAATCGCCCGTGGCGACCGCATTTCACAACCACCGACATCACCCCCGACCTCGACGAAAATGGCGAGCCTGCCCCCTTCTGTCCGCCCTTACCCGGCATCGAAGATGTTCTCGTGGTCATGAAGACCGGAGTCACAGAATCGCGAGAGAAGGTCCCAGTCCACTTCCAAACCACCCTGCGCTGCATCCCTCACTACGTCATCTACTCTGATTTCGAAGAAGAGATCGAAGGCGTCAAAATCCACGATGTCCTACGCGACATGGACAGTGCCGCGAAGAAGAACCCAGACTTCGAATTCTACAACCGCATCGTCAAATACGGCCGCAAGGGTCTGGAGCAGCAAGACTTCGCAGACGAAGCAAACTCCGCTATCGGAAAACCAAACAACCCAGGCTGGAAACTGGATAAATGGAAGTTCCTCCCGATGGCTCAGGAGGCGCTGCACCACAAGCCCAACGCGAAATGGTACGTTTTCATCGAAGCAGACACCTACGTCTCATGGCCCACCATCCTCAATTGGCTGGCGCGCTTCGACCATACAAAACCACAGTATCTGGGTACGGAGACGCAGATTGCAGATGTGGTCTTCGCGCACGGTGGCTCGGGCTTCATGCTCTCGAACCCCGCTCTGCAGCGCGCTTCAGACGAATACTCGTCCCGCGAAGTCGAGCTGAACGCGTACACGGACGGCCACTGGGCTGGTGACTGTGTGCTCGGCAAGGTCCTCGCGGATGCAGGTGTTAATCTGCACTTTACGTGGCCGATCCTGCAGAACTCTAATATCGGTGAGCTGGACGAGTTCACAGTAGACTTCTACCGGCATCCGTGGTGCTTTATTGCCGTCGCTCTTCACCACCTCTCTCCAATAGATATTCAGAATCTCTGGAAATTTGAACAAAAGCGCTGGCGTGATGTGAGTACCAACCCTCTCTCCCAATCTCCCAATATCACGCAAATAATTAACCCCGGTCCACCACAGAAAAACAAACGAGTCCTCCTCCACGGCGACCTCTTCCGCGAATACATCTACCAAGAAATCGCAACCCAACCCACCCGTCTAAACTGGGATAACCTAGCAGCCGACGAACAACCCTTCGCGCACTCCTTCGAAGACTGTCGTATAATCTGCGACGCACATAAGACATGCGCGCAATTCGTCTTCCGCGACAATGCCTGCTTCACAAGCTCGAACCCGCGTCTTGGAAACGCCGTTCCCAGCGGCGGTGACGCGACTTCCGGCTGGATCACGGGTCGGATCCGTGATCTTACGGAGAAGAAAGGTCTGTGCCGGAAACCCGAGTACGGGGACTAAATTTCTGTGTGCTTTGGAACGTTGGAACACGTTTCCATGATCACTTGTTGTTGGCTATATGTTTTGCCTGGGCTTTCTTTGCTTTTTGGTTGCATGGGGCGAGTTGGAAGGCTACAAATTGCCTTGGTTGGAATGGGCTTGGTATAAAGGTGGCCTGTTTGGGGTTTTGGTCCGGATTGAGAAGTGGTCTTCTCTCCGACTATGTATTACCACTTCCTGTTTGGTTCTCTTGCTGATGTTTTTGGGTAGATTTTGGCGTTGGTGTTGTGTTACTTATTTATATATTCGCTTGGAAAATTCAATACACTGGACACTCAGGGGCAACCTTGGGAGGCATTGTTATGCTTCTGTGCTCGTGTCCCAATCGCTTCGAACTATCTATACTGTTTCCAGTAGCTACGCTGTCTGGCCGAAGATAAGAAAGAACCCAAAGGACCTTCGAGTTGTGTTGCTATTCATGAACGGCGTCTACCTAGGTAGGAGACTATACACTAATAATATACATAGGAGGGTGCTGGCGAGGATCTGTACAAAGTCCATGGTCACAACCTTGGAATCAACTCACAACGGGGGAGCAGACACATCCTCCAAACACTGATCAATGCGCATGATCTGGTATCCTGCCGACTTGATATACTTAATGAACTTCGGTAGGTATTGAATGGTGGTCGGGTTCAGGTAATGCATGACAGCCAGATTGCCACCTTTCTCGACCCCACGGTAGAAAGCATCGAGCTGCTTCTCTGGCGTAGAAGTGTTGGCCCACAACCAATCTTCGACGTCCACGCTCCAGTTGACAATATATGGATTTGGAATATGTCGTGCCAGTTGCTGGCGCAGACGAGCAGCTACAGTCCCGAATGGAGGGCGGAAATACGAGGCTGCAAATCACGGGTTAGTTGAGTATCCTAAGCTTTTTCGCAGTGCACCTACACTCAATTCCTAATTGATCTCTGAAGACCTTCACGGATTGTATGATCTCTTCATCAATCTCGCGAATTGTTCGAAGAGCTTCCATCCTACGTGAGCGTCAACCACTATCAACCCAGAAACGCAATGCAAGCTGGGAAGCAGACTCACTTAGGATGGGTATTTGAATGCAGCGCAACTTGGTGACCCTTCTGGAGCATCTCCTTATAGAATGCCGTGAAATTAGTCGACCGCTCCCTCAGCCCAGCACCAACAACAAAGAACGTGACCCGCACGCCTTCCTCGTCCAGAATACGCATGACTTGTTGCGAAAACTGCGGCTGGCCATCGTCAATCCCAAATGCGAACGAGTTCGGACGCGAGCACCGAAGAACAAGTCTTCCACTAGGGAGCTTCCCAGGTAATCGGAAGTGACCATTCTCCTGAGACGGCGCTGGAACACTTGGCACAATCTCCACTCGATGAAGCGTCATGGGCTCTTGGGTATAGAAACCATGGAAGGAGAAGGAGACCACGCGATTGAAATCAATCTCGAAATGAGTGAGTGGGATATAGAGCTCACGACGCCCTTGTGGAATGATGGCAGTTCCGTTATGGTACTTGTACGGGTGGCTGGATTTGCGGGGACCATGCTTGCGATGTCCCTCGTTCAAGTGATCGGAGTCGAGGTCATCGTCCTCGTCCCAATCTTCATCATCCTCCCAGTCATGGTCACCTTCTCCACCTGATGCCTCGGAGCTGGGATGCATGACGTATCGCTCTGCTTGGACGGAGTCTGCGACGCTGGGGAAGGGGCTGCGGTGTGGATTGCATTCGTCGTTGTGTTGGTTCAGAGAGACGCTGAATTGGTCTGTTCCTTCGAACACGACATGCAGGAACTCATTGAACCATGGCACCAGACTGTAGCACTGGTTTGTATTGAACTGTGTGTGGAAGTTCTGGTCGGGGTCGGTTGGGATCAAGCGAATGAAGCCTTGGCCATGTTGCACTGTGAGGTTCTCGCCTGAGCCATGCCAGTATCCAAGGTCATTGTGTGTGGGGTTTTGGAAAGTGTCGATGACTATTGGAAATCTGGAGTTCTGGTTCTCGGTGGAATCCAAGTTAAGATCTCGCAGCTCGTTCCAGTGGTCGTGTTTGGTGTCGCGGAGTGCTGCAGAGAAAGAGACTAACGAAAGAGTGACAAAAAAGCAGATTATCGATAGCCTATACATGTTGAGAAGTCTCATGGGAAGGAGTGTATGAGTGTTGGCCAGCTGGGAAGATTGAAGTCATACCTAGGTATGTGCCATGTATGACTCCGCATGAACCAAGTGCGATCCATGATAAGGCAGGAGCACATCTCATCTGGGAATCTACTGATTTGGCTACGTCTGCGCCATGAAGAGATTTTGAAGAGATAGCAGGTTTTATTAATATGGAATAGTGTGAACGGTAAATCTCCCTACCAGTTTGCTTTGCTTCACATCCCCTGTAAATGAAGAAGAACGCATAAGAAATCCAGTGTCCGAAATCCGAACCATAATTCCATCCTGACTCCGAGCCGTAGCGCAGAGCATGTCATAAACTTTTTTTTTTTTTAAAAAAAAGGAAAACCGCAATCATTTCCCATAAAGCTCATTCGTCATATCGTGATTCGCATGTCGGCACGAGTGACAAGGCAGTGTTTACCTGAGGGCAGATCTACCACGCCATGTCATCTCTCTTAGAAGGGGCAGAACCCCAACCATCGTCGGCATTGTCCTTTATGTCAGTCTTCCAGAAAGACTGAGATAGTGAGCCCTCGATCGCAGAGTCCAAGTTGCCCATTTTCTTCGCCGGGCTCTTCGACTTCTTGGACTTCTTGGACTCCTTCGGCTCGGGGATCGGCTTCGCAGCAGAATCAACGAACGGATCATCAGTTCCAAACTCATGGTCGTCCTGGTTCTCCTGCTCCTCTGGCTTGACAGACTGGGTCTCGGCCTGGTTTTCGCCGTCAGACGCAGCTTCAGAGAAACCGTCAGAGTCAGCCTCGGAAGCAGCCTCAAAGAAATCGTCCTCTGAGTTGTCGTCGAAGTTCAATTCGTCGTTGGCTGGACGGTATTGCTCCAAGAAGTCGGGAATAGTTTGCTTGCATTCCACGAGAATCTTGACTAGTTCCTCGGCGATCTCCTCGTTGCGCTCATTGTAGAAGGATGTAGCGATTCCCTCGTTTCCGATGCGAGCGGTACGACCTGTCGGTTACAGGGAGTGATTTTAGAACTGGATATATATTGTATAATACGCTTGGGTCATAAAGGAGCAACAACTTACCAATTCGGTGGATGTACTCGGTGATACCTCCATGCATACCACTGGGAAGGTCGTAGTTAACAACGTGTAAGATGTTAACAACATCCAAACCTCGAGCAGTCACGCCAGTGGCAACCATGACTGGACACTTGCCAGTCCGGAAAGAACGCCTGTTGATAGATCGGTAAGTTAAACACGGGCCCTTGATACATCACGTAGCACTCACATGGCATCTTCACGCTCGAGTTGAGTCCGGCCACTGTGGATAGAGGTCGTAGGCATTGACGAGTTGTAAAGATAATCATCGACGAAGTCAACTTGCTCCTTGCTGTTCACAAAGACCAAGGTGCGCACAGGAGGCATACTGATCAGAAGATCGTAAAGTGCCTTCATCTTCTGGTGCTGATCAACCCAGACAATCTGTCATTTTGATTTCACTGTTAGCATTGATCGCGAAACCAAAGGTGGGAGGCTTTGAATGATCAACATACGTCTTGCACAACGTTACGGTGAGAACTGCCAGCTCGGCCAACGCGAAGGCGTACATGGTCGTCCGCAAGATAGTCCTTGGCAAGCTTGCGGAACTCCTTGTTGAAAGTGGCCGAAAACATCAAGTAGCGATGGTCACCATCCTCGTTCAGATCTTGGAAAAGTAAGCACACGAACGCAGATGTGACCAGAGGATCTTTGGGATCTACTTACCCCCACCAGACATAATGCGCTTGAACTCATCTTCCCAGCCCGAGTCCAGCATCTCATCTGCCTCATCAATGACAGTGTAGCTGTGTGATAGTAAGCCGTCAGCGTTCGAGACTCAAGCCAGTAGTGATTTGACGTGATTCGCGATACAACTTACCGAACACGGCGAAGAGAAAGGACATGAGTCTGCTCCATGAAGTCGAGAAGACGACCAGGAGTGGCAATCAGAATATCACAACCTTTCTGAAGTTCTTCTCGCTGAAGTCGAGCAGGGGCACCACCATAAGCAACACAGGGGCGAAGCATGGATCGATAGCAAAGGCGACGAGCCTCGTCAAAGATTTGAGTTGCCAGCTCACGAGTGGGACAGACAATCAAAACCAAAGGCTCCGCGCGCACAGAGTCGCGAGCGGCATCAAATCCCTGGACGGTATTGGGACGAGGTGCCGCAAGCTTCTTCGCCTTTCCCATGAGCTTGGACAGAATTGGAATCAGAAAAGCTCCCGTCTTTCCCGAACCTGTACTGATCAGTAACTGACATGGACAGTCGTTCCACCATTTGAGTCTTACCAGTTTGCGCAACAGCGATGAGGTCCTGGTTCGCCAGCACGGCAGGAATAGCATAGGACTGAATGGCCGTGGGGCGATCAAAGCGGCACAGCCCAATGTTCTGGACCATCACCGGGTGGAGGCCGAGATTCTCCCACTGTCCTATTGTTAGATTCAGTCAAATCATTTGTTATGAAGTTGCACCCACCTCAGTCACAGGCTTGACCTCGTCCGAGGACTCAACATGGACCTTGTAGCTGTTCAGACTGCGCAAGGAGAGATGTCAGCTTCAAAAGACGCTATCATCTACTCAGTGTTTATACTCACTTCTCGAGCTTATCGCCAGCACGAGTGATGAAACTACCGCGGAAAAGCTGATCCTCTAGCTCAACGTTAGGAGGGCCAACTTCACCGAATTCGTCGTTCCATTCATAGCGTGCGGCTACTCCAGCCCAGTCAGTATGATCCTTGCCCGACAACTGAGCATATTCAAATGGAACTGGCTCCGTCCATCCCTTCTCACGAGCCACCTGGGCGGCGGTATCAGCGTTAGGCCCGATGCCCGAAAGGACACCAGCAGCGACATCTTCCTGGACAGGACGCTGAATTGAGCCAGCAACCGAGGCAGCATCAGCTGCCGAGGTGGCTGCTGGTCCTTCAGGGTCATCCATTGCAATTGGATCAAGAAACTTGAAAAAATAGTTGGCCAAACACGGTTCAAAACGAAGCGAAAGTAAGACGGGGAGAGGAGAGAAGAAGAGAAGAAGAGAAGAAGAGGGCGGCTCCGTAAACAAAAGGCGCGCGGGGGCGACAAACACCCGTGAAGACCGAAGTGGAAGGAACGACCCCGTAAATGAGACCTGTTTCGGCAGGTGCGGGTGGTGAGGTTTCGGTACCTGCTCACTCGTACACAATTGTATATAACTCGATGTGCCATATACCTCTACTTTTTGGTAGAGAATCCCCAATCCAGACTGTAGGCATTTTGGTCAATGAATCTCACCTATATGATAGAGACTAAATATACTATTGACACAGAAGAGATTATATAAAACAGTAAAAGCTCCATGGTTGACAAACAAGTGACCTTGCTCGCCCTAATTGCATGTTTGAAGGCTGATGTTCACATTCTCCAACCTTGGAACTCCAGTGGAACTGCTTGTCTAGAATCTGGCCTGGCAATATGTTGTGAAAGCTATTATCAGTGGATCATTGTTCCCGGGTTGCAGCCAGGGTTGATGAAAGCCCCGGAGGACGACATGTACCGTTATGCGGTGCCTGACTGGATAGTTAGGCGATGATAGGTAAAATGCACCTGGGCAGTCTCAAGGTTTTAATAAAATCACTAACTAGGCAAAAGACAGTTCAAAGGGCACCTGGTCAGCTCAATGGATATTAGCAGAACCTCCAGAGCTTGGAACGATAGTTAAAGCTTTAGATTGTCAATTACCCTGAGATACTACCGTCTTAGTCCTCAAAGGTTGAGCTGTGGCTTCAGATATTTTATCAGCGTCAGCTCCTACTCCAGAGCTATAGGTAGCTCTCATTTCATGGTTCACCTTTTATATCTAATGCCAAGAAGGCAACGGCGGAGAGGCAGCCCTTATTGCCTGTCAGATATATATCCCCTACCACCTTTAATATTTTCTAATGTTCCAAGGTTGAGACCAAATCATTTCAAAGGGTCGGTTACACTGAGATACGTTATATCGTCTTTATGTCCTGTTATTCAGGTTGTACAGAGTCGTGTACACAAGAATCAAATGCTATGCAGCAGTGGGAAACACAGCATGAAAACGGAGGAATGCCAAGATTTCAGAACGACCCTGAGAAAGGTGTACAGCTGGGCATCGGCACAAAAAGGATTTCTTTCACAATGTTACAGCCGAACTGGATCAAACACTACAGAAGCTCAATACTTGTACACTCCAATCGCCGAATCGAAGCCTCGGGACGTTGATGTCCTCGGCTCGGAGTGGAACCATCCCGGGTAGAAGGAGATATACGCAGTAAGCGTGGGAACGGGTACCTCAACACTCAACCCCGATCTCTCCTCTCATCATCATCACAATGGCTCCCGAACGCATCGATTCGTCTCGCAAGCGCCCCAATCGCCTGGAGGAAGCTATCACCAACCCCGGCGCTGTCAAGATCAACGTCAAGGGCGCTTTCATTGTCGACGACGAGCCACGATCCCGGAGTCCCGTCGAAGCAGAGGGTGTACACTATGAGAATAAGGATATCCGACTTCCGCACCACACCGGCGTGGTGAGCCATGTGGCTGTCGATGTGAGTTGATCGCGAAAATTGTCGTGTGCCCCGCACTGCGACCGGCTCCCCCGCAATCCAGGGGTGAAGACAATGCAACCACACCACGAAGAGAGAGAGACCAAGGCTGACGGACGGGGTGGTACAGATTGGCGGAACACTGGCGAAGCTTGTATATTTTACGCGAGAGCTGAACTCGGAGGATAATGGCGGCCGACTCAATTTCCTCAACTTCGAGACCCATCGGATCGACCTGTGCATCAATTTCATCAGACAGCTCAAGGAGGAGCATGAAAAGCGCAACAGTTCCAAGCGGGATGAGCTATGTGTCGTTGCGACCGGCGGTGGTGCCTATAAATACTACGACAGGCTGAAGGATGAGCTCGGTGTTAACATTCTACGCGAAGAGGAGATGGAATGCTTGATCATTGGTAGGTGACTGCCATGCCCTGCCACTGGAATCGACACTGACAGTACTTTACACAGGTCTCGACTTCTTCATCACCGAGATTCCAAACGAAGTGTTCACCTATAGCGATGCCGACGCTGAGCCGATGCAATATGCCGAGGCCCGGCCCGACGTGTACCCATACCTCCTAGTCAACATTGGCTCTGGTGTCTCCATGATCAAAGTATCCGGCCCGAAACAATTCGAACGTGTAGGAGGAACACATCTCGGTGGAGGAACGTTCTGGGGTATCATGTCCTTGTTGACCGGCTCGCGAACCTTCGACGACATGCTGGCCATGGCCGACCGCGGAGACAACAGCGCAGTGGACATGCTCGTCGGAGATATATATGGCATGGATTACAGCAAAATCGGGTTGAAGAGCACAGCCATTGCTAGTACCTTCGGCAAGGTGCTTCGCTTGAAGAACGATGCCGAGCAAGGGGCCGAAGACGGCGAAGGATTGATCCACGGCGACCCGAATGAGCCCAGCCATGGACCCAAGCCCAATCCGGAAGATATGAGTCGGAGTTTGCTTTACGCTATCAGGTACGTTGGACTGTCTTTCGTCGCTGATCAAATCCGAACTGACTCTCTACAGTAATAATATTGGTCAGATCGCATATCTGCAGTCGGAAAAGCACAGCGTGAAACACATCTACTTCGGAGGCTCATTCATCCGAGGTCACCGACAGACCATGAACACACTCTCATATGCCATCCGCTTCTGGTCGAAGGGCGAAAAACAAGCCTACTTCCTGCGCCACGAGGGCTATCTCGGCGCCGTTGGGGCTTTCATCCAACGCCAGCCGCAGAACTGGGGTCGCAGAAACAGTGTCGACGACGTGGTTGCTCCGCAGGCGGTCCGCAACCTCGTTAAAAATAACAATGCGCTCAATTCTCACAGCAGGTCGTCCAGTGATTTATGATCCGACTGGTCAGCCCATTGTGACTCCACCATTTCTCTACAGCGAGTCTTGATACCCCTTGAAAGCAACTTTGAACTGTTTAATTTGTCATCATGTATCTCACTGCCGATCTCAGCTTGGTCTTTGAGATCGGCTTGTTGTGATTTACAAATGTGGCTAACCCGTCGGGCATTTCCCCATTGGCTGTACGTCTATTTACCTGTGGCGATGTGGGAACATTTCGGTCTTGAATAATAAATTTCTTTCAAAATCATCACTTGAAAAACGTGCTAGAAAAGAAGGCTTGTTTTGCAATCTACCAACCAGTGGATTGCCGCAGAATCGTCATTGGTTTATGTCGCATTGGATGTGACGAGCTGCCGAAGCATCACTCGGGGACTCAACTGCCGATCAACCCTCATGTCATGGCTGAACGCTTGAGCTATTCGCTATGCGCGAGGGTTGATGTATGCATGGCGTTGAGCCTGGCGTTGGAGTCTCAACGCCTATCCTTTGCCAGACTGCAATTTCATCGGACTGAACACTCAACAGGAAACATTCGACCGTGCATTGGGCTCTCAAAGAGGACTCGCATCTTGTGTCGACACTGGAGAGACTGTGTCGCGGAAAGTTCTTGTGGGACGGTTGGCACGGGCCTGGTGAATATCTCCAGCAAGGACTTGAATGAACCGAGCAGACCTTGGAAGCTTTGGATCGACGCATACACAAATCCATCCTTCGAGCATAGACGCAGAGCTTAGAACGCTTAAATACGCCTTAGACTACAAGAATGGACTACTGATCTACCCTACCAACTCTACAAAGTATTTCAATATTTCAATGATTTCCTATTAATCTCGAGTTCTCAGTAGAATTCGCGGCGGCCGAACTTGCGCCCACAAACGTAGACGGAATTACAGATTCAACCAGCGGCGACAATTTGCTTGATCACAAGCCCGAGAACGATCATCTGGCCAGCGAATACCTTGGCCTCGGTGGAACTGGAGGGAGGATCAGTTTGGATCGCACTTTTGTTTGGCTGCAGTACTCACGAGTCGTCCGCAGACTCAATTCACGTCATTGGCGCACAAAGGGTATCGGGGCAACGATTAGTTGGCATCGTTGGGGTCCTTTACAGTGACCACCTTCTCCTCGCCAACGCTGGGGCCCGCACGGGAGACGGCCTCCAGCAAAGGTCGAATTCGTCGTGACACTGGGTCCCGACGAAACGGACGCCTTCCACTCCGGGGTAGGTGCAGTGCACTCCGGCAGGAACGGGGTTGTAGGATTCTTCGATCTTCTGGAAGAAGACCGCCGCATTATCTGTATCGAAATAGCGGAATGCTTCGCCGCCGTGCAGGACAAGCTTGAAGCGGACTGCGAGACGGCGCCTTCCGATCTCGCGAGAGTCCGTAGCAACTGGAGTTGGGTTAGCTTGGTCTCTGTATCCGAGCACAATTTCTCTGATTAGGGCTTCATCGAAGATCACCTTACCGGGATTTCGAACGACTGCTATCATGGCCTCGTAAGTTCTGGCATTGCTTGTAGCGGGGACATGGTCGTCCATAACCCCGTAGTTGAATACGGTATTATCACCGGGGGGGGAAATTGTCGCGATAAAGGTCAAGAGACCTTCTGCCTGCCTCAGACATGATTGGTTCGCTGGATTTATTTCCGAAATCAAAGAAGCGCTTGTCAAAAATGACGGTGGAGGTGTCGGTTCGCCAGAGGCACAAAATGCTCGAGGTGGTTTCAAAGGAAGTGGTGGCTTCCTTCCACGCGAGGAGGTAGTACCCTTTCAATTTCTTGCATTGTTTGCTGAACTTCCACGTGGGGCGCGTCTTGAGTTTCACCACCATTTCCTCATCACCCTTTTCCGATTCCAGCACGAGGATATGGTAGTGTCGCTGCTTGCCAGCGCACAACTTGTTGACACGCCAGAGCAAAAGCTTGTACTCTTCCGCATCCTTGTCGAAGATTTTGCAATTGTTGAGTGATGGATTTCCAACGGCACAAGGGTGTGCAACATCCTCCTCTGGGAACAGGCTGTGCCAGCGCTCGAGGATTCCATGGATGAGAACCGGGAATTGTTTGTCTTTCTCATCGCCCGATCCCTTGATGAAATCGTAACTCAGACGGAAGGTTGGACCGTTCTCCGATTTCTTCTGGGTAGTTTCCTGAGTTGCAGGATGATCAATTGGGGTCTCCTTGGGTGCAGATGCACTGGATTCAACACGACGCTTCTTGTTACCAACCCGTTTGTTGCGTTGCTCGATAATGTTGACTCCGCTGGGCGATTTCTGGTAGCTCAGATTGAGAGGCTCAGTCTCAGTTGAATAAGCATCACTGGGCAGCAACGGATACTCGGGCTGAGTCGAGTCCAACTGCATCGCCCATGGGCTGTCGGAAATGGTGTTACCCAGCTCAGAGGTTGAGCGAACCGCGGTGTTGGTGGACTCGACTTCGGATCTCAGTGACTCAATGATGTGCTCGCCTGGAGGGTTAATTGGTATCGCAAAGTTACAGACTGGCGAAGATGCCTGCAGATGCTCAAGCCCGGAGGCTACCTGGTTCACGTCATTTTCCTCCATGGTGCCACTGGTACGATGAAGACGTTGAATGTGGGAAGGCCCCTGTGTATGATTGTTCAGCACGCAATATGCCAGCGAGAACTATGTTCAACGTTTGTCAATGCGCACAGAGACACGGAAGAAGAAAAGAAGAAAAGAGAATTTGTGGGAAGAAATCATCGTGAGGTCCTTCCTACGGTTTAGTCCGACAAGTGTGTCTCGGCGACGACTAATCGATGACAGTCATTGTTCCAAACCTATCTTGAGGTTGCGTCACAAGATACATCGCTTCGCTGATTCCCAAACGCTTAGATATTGTGGTTGTCATTATCTTTGAAGCATTCCAGGTTTTCCAGGTTTTGCCTAAACATGGTTGTTGGGTCCAATTTAAGCCTTCTTAGACGCTCTTCCGCAAGGAGCCTCGAGGCTTGTTCTTATCCATGAAGCAAACCCCCTGAATGCCCAGCCAGTTATTATAGCATATATATGCCCAGGTCAACACCGCGCCCTTCTTTTGACCTCGGGATCTAACATCCATGGATGTAGTCTTTGTCGTTCACCTATTAAATGTCTGGATCAAAGAAGCCCACAGGTATTTAGGATGGAAGTAATCTTTTCCAAGTGTCAGAGATGTCAAATAATACCCGATCGTCGTTATAATTCGATCTATATGCATGGATCTGGGGAGTGGTTGCTGGCAAGTGTTTATCAATGATTGTGCAATTTATCACTGAGGACAAACCCAAGGGTACCCATGTCTAAATGGAGACAGCAAATACTGAGGTCTCCTATTCCTAGCAGGTTTTTTGATGTTGAAATATGCAGGTATCAGTCACAATTCATTGACATGTCGTCTGGCTGTTCCAGTTCCAGTAAGGGCTGATAAGATCACGTGCGCGCGGGCAGATTACGCGTTTGCGGTACTAAGTTGTCACCATCCAGGAACCGACGTAACGGATCTATTCATTCTCACACCATGCCCATAAAGTTGTCTTGATCGTGCTCCATGGCGTCTTCTCCACCCTTAAATTCTTTGACTAATTCCAATTCGATCGACACCCACCCAAACCGCGACGGGTCGAAGTCTCCTGAGCACGAACGGCATCTCCCCGACCCTGATCGACTAGCACCAGAGGATGCCTACTTTGCGCCAGCCCTCTCCAGGGTACGCTCAGCGCCTGCCAACTATGAAGAAAGCCTGCGGTCCATGAACGGCGAAAATACGTCCCACATTGGCTCTGCGGCGGCGTTGCGCAAGAAGTTGGGCGGTGCTCCGAGGCGCCGAAAGCGAAAGGGTGCTTGGAAAAAGTTGCTCTGGGTCAAGCAGTCTTGTATGTGTACATATAATCGGCCTACTCTGATATATACAATGCTAACATTGGTACACAGACCCGGACAACTACACCGATACCGAAACCTTTCTAGACCACCTTCAGCGCAATCCACGAGTACGGCCGTATGATTTTTGGCCGCTCGTGGCTGACTCAACTGTGATTGTCCAACATGTCTGCTCAGTGGTGATCTTCGTTTGCTGTTTCGTTGGCATCGTTCAAGACCGAGTGAGCCCAGTTTCGATCGTGTGTTGGGGAAGCGTCGGCACGGCCGTGGGCTGGATTCTGTGGGACAATTGGATCTGGAAGGAACACGAAGAATCTTTACAAGAGGCAGATCGAACCGGAGGCGGAGACGATGGCTCTAGCTCAACATCCTTTGCCAGTGCCGCAGATGCACTCTCAAGCGGGGCGCAAAGCGATGACACTAAGACGAACGCTATACATGGGCTTGGGTTATCAATGTCCGGCAACGAATCAAAAGAACAGTTGGTTCGTCGCAGTGGAGAATTCGGCGAAAGTCTAGACGCAGTCGCTCATTCGACGGAACAACGTGCTACTTTGTCAGTGCCGCCCAACTCCATGGCCGGCAATGAGACAATAGTGCCGCAAGAAATCCACCGAGTGTCAATGCTATCTGCGCGCAATCGCCAACGACTGACCACGGTCAAATCAGCCTTCCTGATCTACTTCTCCCTCCTGGGGCTGAGCCCCATCCTCAAGTCTCTCACCAAATCTACAGCCAGCGACTCAATCTGGGCCATGAGCTGCTGGCTTTTAATAATGAATATATTCTCTTTCGATTACGGGAGCGGGGAAGGCGCAGGCGCCACTACCAAATTCCCTGCTTCTTTGTCCACCAACGCAGCCGTGATGGCATCCACCGTGCTCGCGTCTCGCCTACCATCGACCACTCATGTATTCAGTCTCATGCTCTTCTCCATGGAAGTGTTTGGTCTGTTCCCCATATTCCGGAGGCAATTACGACAGAAGTCATGGACTGGCCATGTTGCATTGACCTTGGCCCTCGTGATCGTTGCTGGTGGCGCTGTTGGGGTCACATTAAGTGGCGGATGGGCAGCGGCCATAATCGGCTCCATGCTGGGGAGCATCCTGACTGCGTTCGTCATGGGCGGCTGTAGCTGGTGGCTCATCAGTTTGCAGAAGTACAAGAACGTCGTGATCGGTCCTTGGGATCCTGCTCGTCCAATAATTCGGCGGCATTGGAACTAAGCATGTTCGGCGGTTCGCACTCATGATTCTAGCACCACTGTAATATAAATCCCGGCGATTCTCTATTATTATTGCTTATACCCTTAGATCAGTCGACTGTATCTTCAGCACATTCTCAAGATGTGATATCGCTTCAATATCCCCAATGAATCGCATACATAGCCTTGTCATTCTGTGTCCCATGCCACCGAACCGAACCGAGCAGTCGGGTCACCATTCCAATTGAGCAGCGACCACGGGGTAATATTTCCGGGGTTTGCCTTGTGCTGATTGAGTCTGCTAGACCCCGAACAACGTGCAGTGACGCAGGGAGGTATGCGGCAGTAAGAGGGAATGCACGGCAAATATGGCATAACTACCGGCAATGCGATCGAGCACTCGCCTGCTGCCCTTCGAAAAGTCGGTTCTGAACAAAAAGAAAAGCGACGATCAAGGGCTTCAGGCGTGGCGAGAAGATATGAACTTTCAGTTTAGGCCTTTTGTCATGTCGAAAAGACTCTCTAACCCGAAGCCACGAGGAAAGTAGGGTTAACATTCCGATGCCCCTCAGCAGCGCTTCGTCCCTGCGCGCAAATGCTTTCCTGGTCATCTGTATTGATCCTGCGACATTCTCCGATCACAGGGGTGAGTTGCATGCCCCACGCGGGCGCGAACTGCAGGATACAGCTGTTGTCTACCAGGATCAAGACGCCGATCATTGACGCCGGCATACTTTGGCGTCCATGCACTCTTGAAGATTCAATGCTATATCCATGGGTCTCTCCCCCGGATCCAACCTTGTCTGCAGTCTGATCCCTTGTTTACTTTGTCCGCGGCCACTTTGCTGTGTCTGTCTAACTCCCTCGTGTGCGCACTGAGACAACTAACTATAGCTTCAAATATATTGGTTTCCGGCTCCATTATGTTGAAAACACTTGCAGTCGGCCTTCTGGCCGCTCAATCCGTCGCCGCGATGCGATTTGCCATGTACATTGACCAGTAAGAGAAGATTCAACGTCCATGCTTTCAGTGATATTGACGCAAGATCAAGATACCACGTTACCGCGCTACCTGGCCAAAATCAGACCAAAGGAATTGACACCGCTATCATGGCATTCGCGCCGTCAAAGTTGTTCAATTCGGACTCAACCCCGTCTTTCGAGCCATTCGAGTCTCCTGAAACCATGCGCAAGCGCTTCAGCCCAGACACAAAGCTGAACATTGCCATCGGAGGCTGGGGCGATACCTCTGGATTCTCGGAGGGAGCCAAGGACGACGCCTCTCGTGAGCGATATGCCAAGAACGTCGCTGCCATGCTCGACGCTAATGGATTCGACGGCGTGGGTAAGTAATTACCGACATGTCCGAAATATCGGGCCAAATGCTAATTTGGATATAGACATTGACTGGGAATACCCCGGCGGTAACGGTCAAGATTACAAGGATGTTCCGAACTCAAAGAAGGTAGATGAGATCGAAACCTACCCCAAATTCCTTGCTGCTGTTCGCAAGGCTATCGGCAACAAGACCCTTTCCATTGCTACGCCAGGCCGCAAGCAGGACTTCATCGCCTTCACCAAGGAGCAGGGTCCTAAGATCTTTGAGTCTGTGGACTACGTCAATGTGATGAGCTACGATCTCATCAACCGTCGCGATAACGTTACCGATCATCAAAGCGGTGTTCAGGGATCCCTCGACGTGATCAACGAGTACCTTGCTATCGGTGCCCCTGCCGAGAAGCTTAACCTTGGTCTCGCGTTTTATGCCAAGTGGTTCACCACTGACCCCGATTCCGACTGTGACGAGAACCCTCTGGGATGCAAGCTCGTCAAGCTTGAAAATGACGACGGAACCGATAATGGAAAGTCCGGAGCCTTGACCTTCGAGGCAAGCACTGTTGCCGAGGCCCCCAAGGACTTGAAGACCACCACAAATGGAAAGTGTGGCTTCGCCGAAGCCACCAAGTGCCCCGAAGGACAATGCTGCAGCACCTATGGCAACTGGTCAGTACCAATACCTCTCTTTGTACCTCTAAATTGTGCTTGACAACTAACGTGTCTCCAGTGGTACCGGCGATGACTTCTGTCAGGCAGGTTGCCTGTCTGACTACGGTACTTGCAAGGGTATCTCGATCGTCGACTCGTGGCGCAAGGCCGAGAAAGACGGCAAGACTGACGAAAAGGGCGGTGGCCAGTACTACTTTGACAAGGAGAACAACATCTTCTGGACCTGGGATACCCCTGAAATGATTGCACGCAAGTTCAAGGATATTGTCGCAGAGAAGAAGCTTGGGGGTGTCATGGCCTGGAGCTTGGGTGAGGACACTTACAAATTTGCTCACCTTGAGGCCATGCAGAAGGGAGTTGAGTCCCAAAAGTAGAAGGCAAACTAAACTACCTGGTCCATGTGGCCACGATGTATTTGCATGTATGAACCATAGCCTGGAAGCTATGAGGTCGAATTGGCACTTAATCACTGACCTGCCACCTGGGCACTTGGTCCCAAAATCAAGATTTAATTTTCTGTGCACTTGCTCTCTTCTCTGTCTGTCTCTACAACTTTGTTCTCCTAATTATCTTCTTTTCCTCGAATGTGTACTGCGGCAATCGAATTATTTTTGCCTTCCTAGTGGGCATGCATACCTAAGTCCATGTTCGTGAGAATTCCTCTGTGGCCAGGGTTCAGCCTCATCAAATCTTTTTCGTTGATGTGACAGTCAAATCATACTTTCATTATTGTTCTTGAACCTTATGTACTAGTCCATCGCTTCATCCAACTCTCTATATAACGCTGTACCAAGCCCACGCTCACTGGATCTTTCACCACCGACAAGGAGGGACAGTCCTGAATTGTGACCCCAGTCTCAAAGGTAAGACCTATCTCTTTGGGTTGCTCCTCAGAAGTCGAGGCCTGAGCTGACTGGCTTGCAGTAGCATATTTGCCTTGCCAGAAATCAATCAATTTGATACTGGGATTCTTCTCTGGGTCTTGATCACTGCTTGCTAGTCTCCGAAGCCATTCTTGCGGTGAAACGACTTCGAACTCAGGCAATGCGGATCCCTTCTTCAAAGAGGGAAGCAAATCATCCTTCCAGCTGAAAGCGTGAGGGTTCACCAAGTGGTATACCAAGTTCGGATCGGAAGAGACAGAAGCAGGATTCACAGCTATGTCCGAGATCGCCAGACCACATTGGTCAACAGGCAACCAGCTCGGTCGCTCATTCAGCTCTGGCAGGGCACCTGTTGTCAATGCACTCCGGAACATCAAGGCAATAGCCTCCGTCTCGTTCCACTGTGCACTGATGGTATCACCGCCCAGCTGTCCGATCCTCAGAACGCGTGCCTGCATTCCAGTCTGGCGCATAGCATTGCGAGTAATGTGCTCGGTGACCAGTTTCGATCGTCCGTAGCCCATTTTCTGGGCGTGATCTAGGTTTTCTACCATGGATTCGGGAATCGAGGCTGGCTTGGGGGTATTGCTCGCAGCGCTCACGCTAGAGCAGAAAAAGAACCGGGCAGGGGTCGGGAGATGGGAGCGCAAGCAGAGATTGATGAGATTGTATGTGCCACGAATATGTTGCTCTTCAAAGGATCGCACGCCCAAGTTGAAGTTGACGGCCCATGCACTGTGTATGACGCATGTCAACGAGGAAAGCAAGTGCTGGAGGTCGTGGTTGCTGAGCCCGAGATTGGACTGTGACAAGTCGCTGGGAACGGCGTGAAGCTTTGCTGCCATCTCGTTGGAGAGGACGATCTGACGATCTGCCAGTGATTTGTATAGACGGGCCCCTGCTGCCGCTTGTCCTGGTGCACGCACAAGTGCCCACACTTGGGAGACGGTTGGGCGCTTGAGGAATTCGGCCACAATGAAGGCTCCCAAGTTGCCTGTCGCACCGGTGACCATCACTACTTCGGTTTCAGGGCTCTGGGTTGTTGTCGGAAAGTGTTGGGTGAAGTGTGAGTATTTCTCGATCAGCTCATGCATGATGGCCAATTCGTCTTCCTTTTCTGACTCCTCGCCTATTCTCATTTGATACAAATGCCTTGCCAGGGCTCTGACTGTGCCTTTCTCGAAAACGATGTTTTGAGACAGGCGATCTTCCAGTTCCCCGAGATCGATGTCGCGCACGATGCATCTCCAGATCTGGGTTGTTTGTAAACTGTCAACACCAGCAGAGAAGATATCGGCATCAGCACTGGGCAGTGATACACCCAAATCCTGACTGAACCTTGTAAGGAGCCAGTCTTCAAGCTCGGGGACATTGAGGACGAGGGAGCCACGTTTCTGACCGCTACCTTCAAATCTAGCATACGCCTGCTTGATCTCTTCTTCAAATTGTTGATATACTTGGGCTCGAATAGACGTGCCCTTGTCAGTTCTGGCATAACTCACATCTGCACCCTTGATAATGATAAGCTCTTTGGGAATGCGAGAGAATGTTTCGGCACGAGCATTTGCAGCTTCAACAGCCGGCCGAATAGCTTCCAGGAAATCGTCATCGCTCAAGTGCTCTACCTTTCCTGGGGCGCGGAAGATCAAAGCTCCAGGAACAGTACGCTGGAATCCGAAAACGACGCAATCGCTAACGATCGGCTCTTCTCGCACCCGGCCCTCAATAGGAATAGGGAGTACCTTCTCGCCATTGACTAGGGTGATTCGATCATCCAGTCGACTCAAATATTTGTAATAGTTACTCTTCGCTGGGTCGGGATGTCTGGTGAAGAGGTCGGCTGTCCGAAAACTGTTCTCCGGGTTTTTCGCGCTGTAAGGGGCCTTTGCATTGGAAGGACCCTTACTGGGTAGACCGTCTAAAGCCACACACTCGAAGACTCCGGGGGATATCTCGTCCATGAGAGTGAGGTCGGCAACAGGACGGTGCAGCCGCATGTACTGCCACTCATTGTCGCCGGGAGGACGGAAAGAGGTCATTATTTGACCTGTCTCTGTGGCTCCGTAGTTGCCGACCAGATTCACACCTTGTGCCACAAGACGATCACCGAGATCATCGGGACAGCTGGAGCCGCCATAGAGTACCAATTTGGGAGCTGCAAGTGCTTGAATACCCTCTTGCTTTTCTGCGAGTAATTTGATGACATATGGCACGGCACTGATTTGCTGCGGCTTGGCAACCTGGAGGGCGTCAAAGAGATTCTGATATGTCACAGGCAAGGAGTGATTGCCGAGATAAGCGGGAGCTCTGGTAAAAAGGGCTCTTCCAAGCTCCATCAGAGCATGAGAGTGGAACAGCGGGCTAATTGTGAAGAGACGCAGGCCAAAACTCTTGCGGAAGTTGGCGAGTGTTTGGAGGTTGGTCAGGAAGATGGGCTTTGGGAAACCGGTACTTCCGGAAGAATGCAAGATCCACGCAATCTTCTTCCCTTCTTTAGATGAATTCACATTGGGTCTTTCGTAGCGAGGAACGCTGGCAGGGCGATTGAACCAGTTCTCTCTTTGCAAGATCGAGAAAGCACTGCAGCCTGGACGAAGAGCACAAATTTCGTTGACAACTTGCTGGTGCTGTTGCGTATTGATGATCGAGTTACAGTTTGCCATGTCCATCAAGCGTGCATACGCTGGAGCTGTGAGGCGGGTAGACAAGAAAAGCACTGCGTATCCGAGACGATTCAATGCAAAGAATGTCACAACCGCCTCGAAGCTAGATCCCACAAGAGTGGCAATGACAGGTGCCTGATCAAGACTTGGGTCCTAGAAGAATGTCAGTGATATTATTGGATTGACACTGAAACGACACTTACAGCAGCAGTGAGCCCCTGTTGCATATAAAAGCGAACAGCAACATCGGTATATCGATCAATATCGCCAGCTGTGTGCTCTTCAAAGTCGGCGGCTGCGCGGATTGGATAACATATCAAAGGGAATTTCCCTTCATCCGGCTGAGCGGCATGCGACTTCAAAAGACCGTCGATAGTCTCGAACTGTTCAAAAGCGGGCCATTGAGAGTGGAGGGTGCCGTTCAACAGCCGAGTCGCGATGTCCCTGGTCTGGAGCGGCTTCACGCCCGTACTTGTGAGGGTGACAGTAGCCATGTTTGTGGAGTGTGAATCATCCATGTTCATTCACGATGTCTTTATATTGAGGAGGCAAAATCGCAAAACCCCACGTCGGGGTAAATCCCACGCAATCCCGGGGCTTTTCCGGGTTTCCGACTTGTTGCCCCGGAAAACCCTCGACTTCGGCTTCAGACCTCCCTGTCTTGCTTCCTTTTCCCAATTCAACTTGGCTGTCGTGAGGTTGAAACCACTTGACATAATTCGCCGACCCTTATTTTGTTTCCCATATATTTATTCCCCGCAATAATATGACCGGCGACATTGCTAAACGTGGATCGTCGTTACGTTGGATATCCGAGATGAGCTACGGATAAGTAAACCACCAAAGAGAACCACCTTGTCCATGAGGGATTCCGCACTCTGACCCAGACAGTTTATTCTGGACCCAATATAGTTGACATTCCTCAGCATATGGCTCACCGGGTTTGTCAGTACCGTTTGTTTGGTAGCAAATTTTCATTAGAGCTCTTCATGAGACTGGGTTGGGCCCTAGCCCCGGGCCCCGGGCCCCAGGACCAGGGACCAGCCATCCATGTGATATGGGCTATGGGCTATGGGCCCCGTTTCTAGGTCCCAGCCCAGCCCAGCCCAGGGCTCATTGAGGGTTGGGCTATGGGCCCTCACACGAGCCCACGTCTGTGTATAACTATAGTCTTGGCGTTCATAATAATGCTTATTAATATGTATTGTTCATAACCTTTATGTTTGCCAAGAATAGACGTGTTTGCACTGTTTGTGAGCCCCTTTTTGGCCCCCAACCCATCAGTGCCCAGGTGGGCTTTCGTCCTCGGCCCACAGCCCATTGATGGGCCCTAGGTCTAAGCCCAAAACCCTACCCATTGGTGGGCTCGGTTGGGTTATGGGCTCTGGGCATTGAGGAGGTCTAGTCTTCATATTTTGAAATGCAGGCACGGAGCTGCCGCTCTGGGTCACAACTGCGTCACAACTGCGGACTCTAAGTGCTCCCCGATTCGGACACCATTTGACTACGGTGTCATCCCAACAAGTCATCAAGTAGGAGATATCGACAGCCCCACTGTCAGTCTGCGACGAGACGGGTACCAGCTTCTTCACGAAAGCCTACGCAACTGCCGCACTGGTCGCAAGTCAAACAAATCAGCCTCGAGTCGCAGCTTGGCTGAATTATTGTTTTGGTTATCTGCATTTGACGCATGGCGATGAGGCAAAAATTGCTACTGCAGTCTGGGAAGAGATTATCGGCATGTACCAAGGGAAGGTCTTGAAGCCTGAATTCCTGGAGATTGTTCGTATTGTCTCAGATGAACTTGGACTGTTGTATCTGACACAGTGCGTTCAAAGCAACACGTCCGCAGAAGAGATGCTAATATACGGAACGTTGTTGGAAAGACTAGCCGGTAACGAGCCCCTTCAACCAAGCAGATCTCCTAAGGAGATGCTGTCAACGAATGAGAGTCCCTGTGCTACAGACACGCAAGCCACTTTCAACCTGGGCCACTTTTACACGACATGCGGTAAGACTGAAGAGCCTCGAGAATGTTACAAGGTACAAGTCAGTCGCTGTTTCCAGCTTCTAAGCGATGAAGACAAGGCCTGTTATATACCTGCTTTTTATCGCCTCAGTCGGGCTCTTGCCATGGTTGGTGACGCTGCAAATTCCCTGGCTGCCTTCTACCAATGTGGTTTGCTGGGACAAACGCGAGATAAGAGCCCTGGAGGAATAAGAAATCATAATCAATGAGAGAAACATGGCCATCGGAAGCCTCAAAGTAAAGTAATATGATTCTAGACATACACACAGCCCTGGAGTCCATGACGCGCATGCCTGTTTCTCAGAATGTCGCCAGGCGAATAAATCCGGTTAGACCCCGTTTCCAGATTCCCTTTTTCTTACATTCAAAGATAAAGCAGTCATTCGAAGGTTTGGTGGACCTTTGGTTGATGACTCCATTTCCAGGGCCCCCCGGTTCCAAAACTCTAACGCAGTACTGATACCCTTCCAAACCTTGGAACTGCCTCTCCGACTATGTGAGATAATACTATGACTGATACAAGAGGTTCTAGAAGCTGCCAGCGGCGTTATTCTGTGGTCTTAAGCCAAACACATCGAACCTTTCTCACTTCTCGAATTAGTCGCCATCCTCGCCGCGATCCAATCTTTTCTGTTCTCATCCTTCTCAGTACTCTTTTTTCCCCTCCTTTGACTATGGCCGTTGGAACTCGATCCAAAGCGCGTGAAATTCGCCAAAATTCCAAGCTATTTTTACCACCTGAGTTATGGAACCAGATATGTCAAAGTCTGAGCATCGAGGAGGTTTGTGCACTGCGCTTAAGCTGTATTGCGTGGAGCCTTGGGACCTACGACTATTTCGCTGACCAGTTGTTCCACGACTTCTACCTCACACTCACCAGTGATGGCTTACGCGCCTTGGAGTATGTGGCTGGCCACAAAGTCTTTAGCGCGCATGTCAAGGTAAGTAAACTCAGGGAATCTGTGCACAGCACGCAATACTTCGGGTATCCACTGATTCTTAAGCCTAGAGACTTTGGGTTATCCCCACTCTCTTCTGTGGAGAATATACATGGACACCTGATGATATTCACCGACATGTTGAAATGCTGTGGGCGAGAGAACGTCATCAACGACAGCTTGCTTCACTCCGCTCTTTGCCCGGGTCTTCGTCTCGTGACAGGATCTTGCCCAAGAAGTCAGTCTATCACGGCCGTGCTTCGCTCTCGAAGCTAGCGAATGAAAGACGCCATTTGGTCTACAAGAATGCAGTTCTCGACCACTTTCAGGTCCTGTTGTCATTCCCTGACACGCCAAGCGCTGGAAAACCGCGTTTTCGAGATGCGCTGGAGCGTTGTCTGCCTTTTTTCTCGAATCTACAAACTGTTGGGCTGAGACACTGTGCCGGTCACCCAAGTGACGAGACAACCAAGAGATACCCGATGATTGTGAGAGGGATAAGGGGACTGCAAGGCAAACTTGGTTTCAACCCGGTCCTCCCAGACGCGCGCCAAAATCCTGCGCCCTGCCATACTCACCTAATTTCCCCCGGAGGAACTTTGTTACTGTCATTTGTTCTATCCATGCTGCTGGCAGCCCTTGGCATGACTCAAACCCGAGTCGTGGCACTAGAGAACTCTGAATGGATTATGGTGGATGACGGGCTATTACTCACACGCTTAGAAGAAGAGGCCGTGGCACCAATCTTTCAACAGCTGCAGAAAATATCCGTTCGCGTCTTGTCGGCTCACACCGAACATATTGAGCGATGGATTCTACGCCAAGAAGAAGAAGCGACATGTCTTCTACAGGGATCAGTGGTTTGGGGAGAAAAGAAGAATCGCACCGAGACAGAAAACAACAGACTCCTGCCACTTCTTGCTCGAGCTGCTCCGAATATAAAGAGTCTATTTCTCGATATGTGTGCCAACAGATTATCTCTGCACAGATTCCTCCGGGCTCAAAGCGGCCTTGACTTGCTAGATGCACACTTTGAGTGGATCTCAGAAAACTTCAAGTTCTGTCGTCTCACGCAACTGTCCCTGCAAAGCATCATAACCACTGCACCATCGTTCAAAAGATTTCTACAGACGGCCACACACACCTTGAAACATCTGGTCCTTAACTCTCTTATCTTGACAAGTGAATACAAACCCTCCCATCCTGGAGAATCGGAGCTTGAATACGAAGGCCGGCGGGTCTGGAAGGAGATATTCATATATCTACGGGACCACTCGAGGATACAATACTTCAAAATCAGCCAACCGGGTTACCAGAACGGGAGATTACTTCTAAGAGACCCTCTCCACGATGGACCAAGGCCGCTTCCAAATTACTGGGACATGAGGTGCTATGACATATCGCATGACAAATTTTCTTGGGGGCAATGGATCAACCAACTTGAGGTTATGATTATTGACTAGCTGGGTATCCTGTATTCATACCTTGGTTGTGAGGGTGCATCTATTGGGATATCATGCCCATTGTTGGAGCTCGGCCCTGAGGCCCAAAAGCGGGGAAGCGGGACACGTTCTGTAGCCCTAGGTCACGGATCGTGGTTTGACATGCCAACGCACACCCTTCGATTCGCTGAAAAGTCGGAGATTCAGGTGCCTTTTCGACAAACTTGGCAACATCTGATTATTCTCGAGGGAAAAAAGTTCGTCTCAGCACTAGGGCCGTTGCTTGTGCGCATAGTCCACAGGGGCCGATTGCCAAGATTCTACTATTATTTCAAGCTTGCGCTAAGAAAGTAGTGGTTTTTTCTTTTACTAGGATTATAAGCCAATGGTATACTAGTCTGCTCTAAGCTGATTTTCTAGGCAGTTTCTTTTTCTCCCCTTTCAAAAATCGTAGAACCCCAGTCATCAGTGTCTTGTGGGCTTGTTTTTGTGGGCTGTTGCTAGCTCTCTCTTCACAACATCCAGCCCAAATCGCCCCAGCGAGCTTGTTCCACGTTCGTGATGCAACCCAACACGCTTTCTCTCCTGTTCGCAATTACATGTGTGACTGCTGCAACAAATGGCGCCTCGATTGACCCGGCTCTCGAATCTCTCTACTCAGTGCCCACATGGGTCGTAGAGGCAATGAACTCCGCAGAACCAACTGCATGGGCTTCTTCTTTCAGGTACGACGAGGCATTCGCTTCGTCAGTGCTCGTTGCTATGAACGCAGGGACCATGCCAGCTTGATATACCAACCTACCTGAGAGTGTTCAAAAATTCGAATCCACAAAACTTGCTGCAATCGGGTCTTACGGGAGCACTGCCACCCAAGATTGGGCCACATTCACTGAATCTTCTGCTACTGCTACCGCTACCGCCACATCTACATCTACATCTTCTTCCTCTTCCTCTTCGGGTGCCAGTTCCATTTCCGTCGCTACTGGCGGAGCCCCTTCTGCGACTGGGGATGTCTTGCTGGGGCTTGCTGGTGCAGCTGGAATCTTGGGCCTTGCGATTGCGCTTTGATATCTGAAAGTTGGCGCAGCAACACAAAAACACGTCAACAGAGACTTTGTGTTTTGCGAAGGATACTTCCCGGTATACGAGAGTTGGGCTCATCACCTAGGCATCATCCTGGGAATGCAGGTTTCTACTCTGTGATCCCGAGCCCCCGGCCTGGAGGTTCGTTTTGTCTTGACTGTTCACTCTAGGCAGCTGTTTGTTTATATAGTGGCTCAAGTGTTATAAACAGATGTTGTTTTCCTTGTCATTAAATAAAATTTACCGTCCGCGCCTCTAGCTACCTGGTTTATCAGGCTCCCAATAGGTACTCGGCATAGTCGGTTGCCGCTAACGCCGACATAACCGACCATTCTGGTCCGGAAGACCATCAAGACTCTTCACTGTCCATTCCTCACTACCAACACCCGTAGGTGTATAGAAGAGAGTCGACGGGTCATACCGCTTCTTCAGTTGATACAAGCGTTTGTAGTTAGACCCGTAGAATGACTGCTGGAAATGAGGCTCTTGAATATCAGACTCGGACATGTATGCTCCAGCATCGGGGGAGACAGCGCGCCATTTGCCAAGAATATCATTAGTGAAGTGGTCCATCTTGACTTTGATATCAGTGTTCGACGTGGTTTCCGTCCAGCTAGTTGATGTGATAGCATGCATTAGAGTTTGGCGGAAGGCCGAGTTCGCCGAGTTTGCCGCGAACCCCCTTTGTAGCTCGGCTTTCATGTTAAAGGCGAGTAGCGGGAAGCCGGCAGTGACAGTCTCGCGGAGAGTGTTGAATGTATTGTTCAAGGACTTCGAATCTTCCCAGTTGGATCGTGGGAAGAGACGGCTGCCTGTCATCATAGTTGAAGAGGCCACTGTTTCCAAGGGGAATCCTGACATCCAGGCGTCGTAGAAATTGTCGTAGTAGGTCGAGTTCGGCTGTACTTTGATTCCGAGTGAGTCGAGCTCGTTGTACCATGGCTCTACAAGAGTATTGTACTCGGCCAATGTGTGGTTAACGGCGAAGAAGGGGTTCATAAGGAAAGTGAACGAGTTTGTACCGGTCGCCATGACCCAGAAGTAGGCATACGTGCCGGCATCGGCGTGAGCCGGGAATCTCTCGAAGTAGGATCGAACACCGGCCCAGAAAGTATCTACAGAGACATTTGTCCCGGTAGAGAATTGGAAGGTGGAGACTGTCACGCCAATTTTGGGGTAGACACGCGAGATGATAGAAGTGACAATGCCGAAGGTTCCTGGTTGAGCGCGTTAGACGGATATCTTGAGCAGTAAAATTGGTTTAATCACCTCCGCCTCCGCCCCGTAAAGCCCAGAATAGATCAGGATGGCTGGTCTTGGACACTGTGACGAATCGTCCGTCGCTGAGCACAACCTCAAGTGCCAGAACCTGATCCGCTGCCAATCCGTAGAGACTAGACAGGGGTGAGTGACCTCCACCTAGGACATAACCACCTGCTACACCCACAGTCTGCGATGGTTAGCTATCGTCGTACATTGGGACGTATTGGAGATGAGATCATACCTTTCCTTCTCCACCGACGACAGTGAATCCTAGCTTCTCAGCATGCTCATACACCTCAAAAGCCTGTACACCAGCACCGAGCTTCACGGCAGGACCTTGATAGTCCGAGTTATGATAGTTCTCAAGGTATTCGATGTCTTTGAGATTGTGCGTCCAGATACCTAAAGCACCTGCACCACTCGATTTGCCGTTGAACTGAGTCAGTTAAATTAATAGCACTGCTTGAGGAAGGCTTTTCAAACGCTCACATCATGTCCTGTATTTTTAATGACCAAACGAATGCCACTGTTGCGAGCGAAGTTGACCGCAAGCTGAATCTGGGCAACGGTTGACACCTGTGATGATATCAGCATGTGGGTCTGGCACAGTAGGCTCATTGAGTCTCCTCACATTCACAGAATAGGTACTGTATCCACCAACGGTACAGCTCGAGGTTGCATTAGCGGTGGGGAGACAGCTCCTTCCCTCAAACAGTGGCCACATGACAGAAGCCGGGTCAGCAGCACTTCAAACAAAGTTAATTAAATATTTCCACTTTGTCTAACAATTTGACTCACTGAATATTGGAGTCTGTCCATTGCGCCGTTAGATTCGCGCATTTCTCACTGTCATATTGGGACCATGACGAGTAGCAAGATGCAGCAAGGGGCACAGTTTTAATCAGCGCTCCGTCCAACAGGTTGTTTAAAGTCGACCAAGAAGGGTGCGAGGGCCACTGTTGATCACCGGGAAACACCTTACAACTGCCTGAGGGGATCGGGTTTGTTGTATTATTACCAAATCCAAAGAGGCGCGACTGATTTTGACCAAGCTTCCCGATGACCTGATCTGTCAACTGAATCGTCTCAAAGTCAAATAACGGCGCGCCAGCCGAAGATTTAGACGAGCATCTTTGAGAAGCCGCAGCCTCTCCGGTTGCCAGCAGTGCAGCAAGCAGAATGCCCTTCAGCGACGAGGAAGGAGCCATTTTGCGCAGGTCCAGAAGTCAAAGATCGTCGAAAGGGTTTCCCAGAAAGGGGGAATCCAGCTTATAAGGCAGCCCCAAATCGAAAATGAACTAGCTCAAAGTTCCGAGCTCTGCCACGAGGCTGACAACGGCCTTTCTCTTTTGAGGCGGACTTGTCATGCCCCACTGTACCTTGACACTTCATTGCTCAAGGCTTGATCGATATCCACTCTCGTGCATCTTCCAATAACACGCGCGATTCTGATGGGCCAGAGACAGATGCGGTTCCTGGACGGCGTCTTCGCTTGGGACGCCACACTTTATCTGCGGCGACCATCGTTGTTGCCGTGGAAGCCCCGGGTATCAAAGGAGTTTTTCCAGATTGCGGCTGCTTTCCCAGTTCTTGGCAGAATGAGGGTTTACTTCAAATCTGGGGCCGATACATATGACGGTTAGTTGGTTTATTTTTCCAAGGTGATTTTTAAATTTCACATGGATTCGGTCTTTTTTTTTTTTTTTTTTGCTGCAAAATTACTATCTTGAGAGCTGAAAGCCAACCATCTACAACCCTACATTGACTATAGTGAAACCCTTGTTCCTACAAAGTTACTCTTCCTACAGTGGCTTGATTTACAGCCACGCATCTCGGGTATCTTACTTGGAGCTCATTGGCGGTAATAGTCGGTCATTCCTGGCTGTTGTTTCCGTGGATATTTTCCAATGTCAGTCTGTCACTTACATCTATCATAAGAATATCCCGGGCAGGAAATGCATGGACCAAGACGCATTTTACATCTCAACTGCTGCGTTGGATCTCATCAGCTAGCCCGGGGTGCATAGCAAACCGTTGTCACACTCTACTACACATGCATGCTATGAGATGGAGGATCCAATGGGAGAACCACGGTTTCACGTGGAAGCTGGTAATGATCTTTTTGATGTGCGCAAACATGGACGGGGAGTTCCATGATTATTACAACTGATCATTAGGATATACTGGGAATTGCCAGAACCCACCGACATGACCATCGGCTCTACAATTCAGCCAGCTCATCTAGGGACTAGCCGGCTATATGGAACCAGATCCGCCTGTGCCAATAGCATGATCTAAAGCTTGGAAAGCTTTGCTGTATTGTGAGTTCTATCTATGGGGAAATGAATACGAGATCTAGTCAAAGATCGCCACAACTATATCACCGGAGATGATGTACCTTCCGGATTTACAATCACAGTTCACCTCCGAGAAGTCATTGAAAATACCTGCTACTTTAGTTTGTATAGAAACTATTTGTGTATCTACAAGTTCGAAATGTACTCGGCGAATAGGCGACTTGGGCAAATCAAACGCGCCGAGGATCTTTTCCCCCAATCGCGTACTGATAAGCGTGAGGGGTTCGGCTTCCCCTCCTCAGCGAATATTTCTTATAACCTTGGAAGCAACAGTTGCTTCGTTGTCTCGTTGCTCTAGTGATATTCTCAATTCTAATTTCGCTGTGAACTTCACTCAACATTCATCATGGCAACACAGTACCAGCTACCATTCCAGGTATGAACTGTTCACCCCCATGCGGGGTGTTCGGCGAGATGTCCGAAGTCACTGAATGAGCTTCGGCTAGTTCATGAACTTCAGTTTCGTACAGTGTTAACTCGCAATATAGCTATCTGATCCCAGTCTCCTTCATTTTGATTCCTACGTCAATGAGAAATGGGTGGCTGCAAAGAGTGGCAAGCGGTTCGAAGTTCTTGGTATATCTCCCCGTCAGACATCTTATACAAACCACAACTAACACATTCTCCGAATGTTAGACCCCGGTACCGATAAAGCCTGGGCAAGCTGTCCGGCAAACTCAGGAGAAGATGTCTCCGAGGCTGTTGAAAGCGCCCACGCCGCATTCGAAAAGTACCGCAAGGTCAACCCGCGCCAGAGGGCCAAATGGCTACTCAAATGGCATGACCTGACCCTAGCAGCTCGCGATGATCTGGCGCAAATTGTTACTCACGAGACTGGAAAGCCTCTGGCGGAGGCATATGGCGAGATTGACTACTCCCTTGGATTTTTATGGTTCTTCTCTGGAGAATGCGAACGCATTCAAGGCAGTGTCTCACAGGCTGCTGCTCCCAATCGCCGCTTATTTACCATCAAAGCGCCCATCGGAGTGGCCGCGGCTTTGACTCCTTGGAACTTCCCCGTTGCGTAAGTTCTGAGTCACTACATGGAGTGCGTCGCTAATCGAATAGCATGGTTTTGCGGAAGGCTGGAGCGGCTTTGGCAGCTGGCTGTACTATGGTTGTAAAGCCTAGCCCCGAGACGCCAATCTCCTCGCTTGCTTTGGCAGTTCTTGCTTCCCGTGCTGGTTTCCCTCCAGGTTGCATCAACATCCTGACCACGGATTTGGACAACACACCAGTGCTGAGCGAGACACTAATCAAACACCCACTTATTAAGAAGGTCTCGTTCACTGGCTCGACTCGGGTCGGAAAACTAGTTGCCTCGCACTGTGCTCAAGGCTTGAAGAAAGTGACACTTGAATTGGGCGGCAATTGTCCATTCATTGTCTTTGATGATGCCAATCTCGACCAAGCGCTCGAGCAGCTCATGGCACTAAAGTGGCGTCATGCTGGTCAGGCATGTATTACCGCCAATCGGATTTACGTGCAATCCGGTATCTTCGATCGCTTCGCTGCTCTTTTGAAGGAGCGCACGGCTGCTTTAGTCGTCGGCCATGGATCTGCACCTGGCACCACAATGGGACCGCTGACAACACCTCGCAGCATTGAAAAGGCCACTGCTCAGATTGAGGACGCTCGCCGTCTTGGAGCCGACGTTCTTTTGGGTGGTAACCCACTCACGTCAAAGCCAGGCTACTTCTTCGAGCCGACAATTCTTTCGGGCATGACTGAGGAGATGCTTATCTCACAGGAAGAATCATTCGCCCCCATTGCAGCCTTGTACCGGTTTGATACAGAGGATGAGGCGGTCAAGCTGGCCAATGATACTAGCATGGGTCTGGCTAGTTATGCGTTCACTAAGAATATCGATCGCATGTGGCGTCTTTTAGAGACCCTGGAAGCAGGAATGATCGGCATGAACACAGGTTGGTATTCAATGTTATGGGTCAAGTCATCCAGCTGACATAGTTTGCAGGCAATCAATCGGCGGCTGAATCGCCTTTCGGTGGTATTAAGGAGTCTGGATATGGAAAGGAGAGTGGAAAGGATGTGGCGGTTAATGAATACCTGATCACCAAAACGGGAACCTTGACACTCGAGGGACACTATTGAAATGGCCAGCGTTGAGATGCGCTGCCGAACTTTTCCATTTAGCTTCTGACGTTAAATGAGGCGCTAGCTAGGTTCAGGCAGCAGCTCCAATTCACTATTAAAGTATGGCACAAGTCGAATCCATCTAAATAAAGATAGTCGGACTTGGCCCCTTGGGAGATTCAATCGCAGAATCTTCATTTACCAAGGAGAAATTTCATCCTCTCCCAGCACTCGACCAACAAAATTATCCCATTCCCCTTTGACAACGCTTGCAACCCGTTGCCCAGCTTCAGCTGGGGTAACAATCCTATTGTCGAGCAACGACTGTGCGTTTTCAGTGGAATGAGTGGCACAAAGGCCGGGGTCCGCACCGTGAATTTTGAAACCTTCGTTTTCAAGACGAATCCGGTAAACCGTAATCATCATTCTCAGTGCCGCCATACTGGATCGGTACCCGATGTCATTGGAGCTGTAGTGTTGGTATGACGGATCCGCAGCCTGGGAGATTGAGCCAGCACAAGAGGAAACGAAGACCAGGCGGGGCTCCTCAGACATTCGCAACCGGTCGAGCAAAGCCTCTGTGATGCTGATATCTCCCACAAGATTGGTATACTGTATGTTGCGGTTAGCGTCTCGGGAAGGTGGGTTCGCCATTGATACGATGCTGGAATTGTTGACGAGGATGTCTAGACGACCGTAGTCTGCAGCAATCTTCTGTGCGGCGAGAAAAACAGAGTAGTCGATGGTGACATCAACTTCGATAGCCGAAACGGATCCATTAAAGTCGGTCTCTGCTTGTAGCATCCTGACGGCGTTCTCTCCTTCGGCCAAGTCGGGACTTCCCAGGATGACATGATAGATCGATGAGGTGGTCAAAAGTGTTCTGGCCGTTTCATACCCCACGCCTTGGGTTCCGGCTGTATGAGGATATGCCTCGTCAGTTTCAATGATGAGCTAGCAGATGTGATCAAGCAGGTCCCAGCTTACCAGTGATGAGCACAATCTTCCGAGATGTCGCTATGGTTGTTAGGTACAAATATAAGTGTTCGAAGGTTTCGTCAAGAGCAGCTGTGCTGTACGATCAAAACTTCGAAAAGGGATGGAAGAGGTGGAGAGATGGAAAGATGGAAAGATGGCAAGATGGAAAGAGTGTAGCAATCAGAAAAAATCTATACACATCATAGACGGCCAGACCTTTGACATAAGGCATTTATATCAATCCACGATACACTCATAGCCAGACTTCCAGGGCCTCCTCAAGGCCATGATGGGATGATCGAGTGGACGGTGTATAAAGCTCACTTCGTTAACTTCAACGTCTAGAACAGAATGATGTGTGGCTTTGATGGTTTATGTCTGTCGGTGTCTGCCTTTGATTTCGTTCTAATTATAAAACTCTTGATGTGTCCAATATTGTTACCCCGTATTCGGAGGTTGGAGTTAGGGCTTCCGGTTATAAGCTATATAATGACTTGGGACGCTTTTGAGATGTAGACAATGTTTCTTGAAGAAATAAGGTTAAATTTGACAAAAAGAACTAATGATGGGGAAAGAAGTGGAAGAAGTAGCAAGAAATATGAATGAGGATGTATGTGCTTATAAATAGTAAAGTGAATACAAGCAAAGAAGAAGCAAATAAGTAAGTAGGAGCCTATAGTAAAGCACACAAGCAAGAAGTATGCAGGCAGGCGAGCAATCATATGTATAGAAGTGAGGAATCAAGCAAGCAAGCAAGCAAGCAAGCGAGTGAGCAAGCGAGTGAGCAAGCAAGTGAGAGCTTATAAGATATAGCAAGCATGACAGCTTTTATCTATTGGAGCCCGCAAGATTCTTCCAAGGCATGGTAATAGCCCGCAGTCAGGGATAACTGTAGATGATTTGCTGCAAGCTTTCAAATAGCAAATTTCAAGCTATAGAGCTGTTTGGGGCGCGAAATCATCTTAGAACATAGTATGGGAGTTGGCATGGTGTGTTCGGCGGTTTCGGAGGCCGCGTTTTTGGCACTGCGAGTTCCACTTTCCGAGTGGAGCGATACTAGCCGTTACGGACGAAATGACGACTAGCGTAAGCTAGTACAATACGGAGGAAACAAGTGGTTTTGAGGCCAAGGGTGTTAATTGGATGATGATAGGTGAACTAGCTAATAATAGGGAAATGAGGGGCACTTGAGGTACCCGCTAGTCACGTGGTAATATTAGATAATCCCCTTGATCTCACTCTCCGCCGCCACAGCACCGCACCCTGGAGGTCCTCAAAGCACCGTGGAGCCTTAACAGCAGCCAATAGGAGTTGGCAGAGTCATTTCGGCGTTTTCGGAGGCCGCGCTTGGATTTCCCCACATCATCACAACTTTATCTGACCACTTCAGTCTTGAACCTGTCGATCTCACACGGAGGAACGCGTTGCTATTCATATAAAGAGGCTTCACCTCACAGGATGTAACTTCACAACTCTGAATTCCGTTATTGACTCCTGTCCCAGAACACAGCTTATTGAGATCAAATCTTCGCCATGGCCAAAATCATTGCTCAGTGTCACAAGATCATTGAGGACGAGACTCTGTGTCGTTCCTCGCAGGTTCTTTCAGTCGTTGGTGATCAAGCCTACATCTTTGGTGGTGAGCTGCGACCGCGCGAGCCTCGAGACAATGATGTCCATGCCGTCTCATTGGACAACAGTAAGTTGACGGGTCGAGGATTAAGATGATTTCGAACTTGAACCTTGGAATGATCAGACTGACACTATCTACTCTAGATAAAACCAGTATCAAGTCCATTCCTGCGACGTCCCAATCTCCCTCGCCGCGTGTTGGAACTGCCACTTGTACACTGAACGGAAAGATCTATATCTTCTCGGGCCGAGGCGGCGTGGCGATGGCACCAATTGAGGAGCATGGTGCTGTCTGGGAATTAAACCCTTCAACTGCAAGCTGGAGATTCATCTTGCCATCACAATCAATCGCGAAGACATTCCCCGTCGCTCGCAGTTATCACTGTATGACCAGTGACGGCCGGGATACCCTTTACTTGCATGCCGGTTGCCCCGAGAGTGGAAGATTATCGGACCTATGGGCCTTCAGCGTCTCCCGGGGTGAATGGACTGAGCTTCCTCCCGCACTTGATCCTCCCCGTGGAGGTGCTTCGATCGCATTCGCAGATGGCAAGTTGTATCGCATGAATGGGTTCGATGGAAATACCGAACAGGGAGGAAGCGTGGATGTCTATCTCCCCGAGACCTCTTCTTGGACTTCGCACACTTACTCGCCCGATGGCAAGGCAGGTCCCGGGGCACGAAGTGTGAGCTCATTGCTGCCGCTTTGTCTTGACGGCCGGTCATTCCTTGTCACGTTGTTTGGTGAGCGTGACCCCAGTTCTTTGGGCCACCAAGGAGCAGGGAAGATGTTGAGCGATGTGTGGGTGTTCGACATTGAGAGAGGCCTATGGGAAGAAGCTGTGCTTCAAGGAGATGGGCTACCTCTCGCACGGGGCTGGTTTGATGCGGATGTCGCCGGTCCAAATGCCATTGTGGTTCACGGTGGGTTAGGGGAATCAAATGACCGATTGGGAGACATGTGGACCATCGAGCTGTCTCGATCTGAGTGATTTCGCAAGGGTTCAGAGAAGTGCCAGGGCTAGACGCTACGCAATAGCATCATAAGGTTCAGGTGCATAATCGAGGTGATTATTAGATAACCCAGAGAAAAATAGAGGTCGTGAGAGAAATTCTAGCGAGATTGAACACAAGCGAAGTGGTTGATTCAGTGGGGAGCCCAACGTCAGTTGTTCTTGGCATGCGGGAAATATATTGACCACGTCCAGCATCGCCAAAACGATAGGCGAAAACCAGAAGCATCTCTCACTTGTTAAACTCATGTTCATTTCGGTCTTTCCAGTTAAAATAATGTCGCTAAATACAACGAGATGTGAAGAGATGTGAACGAGGGGGTCAGGTGACCCCCCACCTCTAACTTGATCTCCAACAGAATCTTCCCCTCCCTCAATATTTCCCAAAATGGACAGTTTAGAATCCCTCCGTGGCCTGATCCAGTCCCACCCGCTGATCGATAATCATGCTCATAATCTGCTGAATAAAGAGTCGGCGACCGACTACGAAACATATCCCCTCGAGGCAATCACATCCGAAGCTCATGGTCGGGCCTTGGCGAATGCACGCACCACTCTGCCCTTGATCCGAGCTACCAACCAGCTTTCTGAGCTATATGGCACTGTTTGCAATAACTGGGATGATGTCCTGTCAGCTCACAAGAAGTGGGTCTGTGAAGACTACGAAGGCCTTATTCGACGATCACTGAAAGGCACCCACGCATTACTTCTTGATGATCTCCTCTGCGACGATGAAGACATCGAATCTTTCAACTGGCACGATAGTTTTACCGTCTCGCCGACCAAGCGGATCGTGCGAATTGAGACGGTAGCGGAGTCAGAAATGCTTCAAATAGCCAAAAGCGAGCGCAAGGCTGGCGAATCTGTCTGGAATAACTTCCGTCAGCGCTTCCAGGACGCTCTGTCCAATGCAATGGAGGATCCCAATGTCGTTGGTTTCAAGTCTGTTGTTTGCTACCGCACTGGTCTGGATGTGGATCCCTATTCTTCCGACGATACCACCTTGGCCGGTTCGTTGGTGCGCACCCTCGATTCCGGGACCACTAGATCTGGTTTCCGAGTTGAAGACAAGCCTCTGTGTGATTGGTTAGTTCAGCAAACTCTCAAAGCCATTACCTTCAAGAAGAAGGCTGGAATTGTCAAGCCACTTCAATTCCACACCGGCTTGGGAGACAACGATATCGACCTTGTGCGAGCAAACCCTGCCTATCTGCAACCTTTGATTGCTCAATATTCGGATGCCGATATCGTTTTACTCCATTCTGCGTATCCGTACACGCGACAGGCGGGTTATCTCGCCAGTGTTTATTCCAACGTCTACCTTGACCTGGGTGAAGTCTTCCCCATGGTTAGCCGAGACGGCCAAGAGAAGATCCTCAGAGAAAGCCTGGAGTTGACGCCCACCAATCGTCTTCTTTGGAGCACTGACGGTCACTTCCATCCAGAGACTTTCTGGCTTGCTAACCTGCAATTCCGTCAAGCTCTTGAGACAGTGAGTTTCAGCCCCGTTTCCTTCTTTCCCTCTACCAGCGTGCTTATATTTCTTCCAGATTTTCGTAGACTATGTTCAACGCGGCGACTTCACCACTACCCAGGCTTCAAAAATGGTTGCCGATATACTGTTCCACAACTCCAATCGTCTCTATAGCCTCAACTTGACACTAGGTCAGACAAGCGACGTTTAATGACAAAGGAATCCACGGATCCAACGGGACCATGGTCATGTTCTTTTTTGAGAATTATGTATATTGTTCTCTGATATTATGTATAATGATGACTTTTGATGCTGTGATGCCCTCATTCCAATCGTGTATATCGCTAGGCCAGCAAATAACCCAAGACTACCCGGTGTGCAACAAGTGCTAGTCTGCCCAGAGTCACTGAGTCCCCAGGAAGTGAAATCACACGTACCACCAACGCAGCTGAATCGATGTACGCCACGCAATGTTGAGTATCATGCAAGAACCCTGCAAATGAGGCGCAAACAAAGCAAGAAACAATCAGGTTAGAAGAAAAAAAAAACAAAGTTGCCCAACTCCGGCCGCACTATTCGTGTATCAAGTACCGGCCTTGACGCAATGCACTGCGTGAATCATGAGTATTCTAGGACAGCCAGGGGGTCAAATAATCGTATATATATGGGGAAGCGAAGGTCATGTAAGGGGAGGGAGGAGAAGACGGGAAAGACTGTCCAAGTCAACACGTTGAATTTCTCAAATGATAGTATTGACATTGTTATAATAACAGGATCAATTCCAATCAGTTGATCAGTTGAACGGTCGGTTGGAAATCTTCTTATAGTGTATGAAGAACAGTCCAAAAGAAAAAAAGAAAAGTAAAAACAGACAAAAGCCAACAAGATGGGAAAGAGAAATTCCATCACGGTGTTGAGATTCGTGTATGTGGGAAGAAAGAGGATCGAGGTAAAAGTGGTCAGGTAAGGGATATTTGATGACAAGATGACAATGGTGAAACTGGCACCGCAGCCAAAAGAGATCAAGGTCATGAAGCATTGCTCCGCTCCAGCTCCATGCCATCCCGTTCCCACTCGTCCAAAAGCCGTGACACTTCTCTGAAAGACACGGGCTTCGTCAAGAACAGATCCACACCAGAAGCCAGAGCATCAGACTCGTCGCGCGAGCTGCTGAGTCCTGTCAGCGCAATGATGATAGCTGGCTTGCGACCATCTGAATCCTTCTCTAACGAGCGAATGGCACGAGTGGCTTCAAAGCCATTCATGACGGGCATAGACATATCCATGAAAATGATGTCATAGCCATGCTGTAAACGCTCAACTGCCTCAACTGCCAATCTTCCATTCTCGGCACCGTCGAGAGCGACGAGTTGACGTTTCTTGAGGAATGTCATCATAAGATTGAGATTGATCCGGTTGTCATCGACGACGAGCACTCTCGCAAGCCGTGTAGAAGGAACCGAGCCCTCCGATAACGGTCCAGGCAAGGGAGCTTCCGCAATTTCCTTTGGGTCTGCGGTGATCACCGAGGGTCCTAGGATCGGTGACACCTGCATGGAGACATCGCGAGTTCCTGGATCGTCGATATTTGAGGCATTGAGCTCAGGTGCGCTCATCACATCGGCGGCCGACATGTTGGGAGAGGCAATTGCAGATGGTAGAGAAGATGTCCGGATAGGAAGGCTCATAGGTTGCCTAGCTGAAGAGGGTGTTGCGGATCTCGAAGGGCCGAGAGGTTTCAAGCAGCTCATCACGCTACGGGCCAGCTTGTGTGGTCCGCATGGACGTCGGATGATGTTGACGGACGCTGCAAGAGGTAGCCATTCAGATCGAGCTCCACTGTAATCCACCGCCTTGTGGCACAGGACGAGAAGTGCGGGCAAGGTAGCCATGGGCTCGGTTTTGATGAAATTCGGAATGTCGACTTCATCCATGAGAACAATGTCGATTGTAGTTTCACATGACCACGGGACAATCTCAATATCGTACCAATCCGTGAAATAACGAGCGATTTCGGCCCAGTTGGGATTTTGCAAGACGTTGGTTGGGTCAATGCCCCAAATCGCTGCCCGTCTCCCGGGATAACCCTCGCGAAGCAAAAGGGTTTGGGTGAGGAGCTCTCTTTGTTGCATGAGCTGCCCAGATGGTTCTATGGCCGGGCTTTCCTTGCCAACGGGACGCCCAAGAGGAAGGGATACATGCACAACAGTGCCCTCACCAGGGCGGCTGCGTATGCGAATGGTTCCGTTCAATGCTTTGACCAGGCTTCGAACGATAGACAAACCCAATCCGGTTCCCACTGCGAGCGAGTCCTCTTGGGCGAAAGGCGTGTACAGCTTGCCACGCAGGAACTCTTCTGAGATACCCTTACCCGTGTCTGCGACCGTCAATGTAACCAAGTCCTCGAGACCCTGACGTCGCGAGCGTCCTTCGGACTGACTAGTGGCACTCAGTGTCAAAGTGACACGGCCAGAATCTGTGTATTTCATGGCATTGCCAAAAAGGTTCATGATGATACGCCGTAAAGCGCCAGGTTGGGTACGGTAGACCCAATCGCGGAACGAAACGTCGACAACAACCTCAACTTTGGACAAGACGTTCGGTAACTTCGGATGGTGTGGCATCAAGACAGGCAAGTCGGCCGACGCGGTAGAGCTCTGACCATAAGCATGACCAAGACAAATGCCTTCAACGACTTCTTCGGCGAGAATGGCAACATCGGTAGCGACATAGGTATCCAAGTGATATGCCAACTTGTCCGTTCCTATTAAATCGAGCGGTGTCTCTTTCTTGCGCTTCAATGTACGCCAGGTTCGCTCCAATGACACGACTTTGCTAAAATCAAGCACTTGGTTCATTGTGTCCAGCAGCGTGCGTCCACAGGCGTTGACAGTCTCCAGCAATGAATCCTGGAATTCATTCAGATGCGTGCTATTTAAAAATTCAGCCGCAGCCAGGATGCCATGAAGTGGGCTACGGAGTTCGTGTCTAAGACTCAGTGTCAGCGATCAATACTATGCACACCCCCTGATTGTCCAATGAAAACCATGAGTTAACTTACGAAATGCTTCCAATGAAATCACCCTTCTGGCGATCCGCGATAAGAGATTCCACACGGCTGTATTCAGCCATAATGGACGATGAAAACCCGAGCACGGAACTAAGCTCGACTGACGTGTTGAAAACCTGGGTCTCGACTGTACTCCAGCAGAAACATCCCGCAAACCACTGCGAACCAACGGCATTCCACAGCGGTACGAACATTATCTGGGTGGCATCAGGGAAATACTGATTGAGCACGGAATTCTCGCCGGCTTTCCTGCGTCGACGCATGGGCTTCGAGTGTTTTGGGTCACGTGCATCGCTAGGAGGAGACCGGCTGCTCGCACTGGTTCCGAGGAGGTGATTGTCTTGCGGTTCCTGGTCGTCGTCATCAGATGTCGAGATGAGCCCATCCCGGTGGAACGACCAGAGCTTTCCTCTGGGATAACGCCGAAGGAGCGTCTGTAAGAACGATTGATCCAAGCTGGCGGCTGGGCATGTGGCTATCGATCCGGCCTGTGGAGCAAAGGGTTCATCGTTCGTGGAGACAGACAGTACGGGGGCTGGTCCGCCGGCTTCCGAGCAATCGCTTCCAGTTTCAGCGTCCATCATGGGGTTGTTGTTGGCCTCCAGGAAAATAACGCCGCTTTCACCGCTGAGATCCAAGCTCTCCCGAAGCAAGTTGGCGGCCCTGCGGAAAACCCACGAGTTGCCCTGAGAATCATCGGGGGGTAACTGGTTCCGATTACTGCTCGTTAACCACTCTGGCAAAGAGCTTTCAACGCCAGAAGTTCCGGATTCGTTCTTCGACCCGCTACCCAATTTGGAGTTGCTTCCCGATTTGCTGTCGTCATCGGGCTTCGAATCACTGTCCAGCTTCAAGTCGGAGGGGACGGATGTAAAAGATCGAGCATCGTTGCTGAGTGATCGATCATTGGGAGGACTGGCCGAGGCTGCTTGCGAGGCTTGTTCCGCGCTATTTTCCCGAGTGCCCGCCATTGTACTCATGCGATTGTAAGATGATGGCGGAGTAGCTGACGGAGGCCCCACGCTGTCGGTGCGTGAAAGATCATTGTTGTCCACGAAACTGGAGCTTCCTTCAACAAAATAACTCAAGCCACGGGAAAGTCGAGCCGCCCTGCGTCCTTCTGACGCTTGTCTGCAGACTTTCATGTAGTCCATGGCGAGCATTGACAAGGACCCTAACGTATCCTTCTCCAACGGTGTCAACCCGTCCCGAGGTTTCTTGTCCAACACAAAGAAACATCCCATGTTGATTTTGTTCCTGGAGGTCAATGGCGTTCCCGCGAAAAACCGGAATTTCGGTTCGTTTTCGACGAAATGGAGATTGCGGTAGCTTTCGTGTTCGGTCATGTCGTTCGCGATCAGGAACTTGTACTCTGCGGTCTGGCGGTTGTTGGGAGGTAAAGCAGCAGTGTCCTGTCGAGTTGCGTGAGTACCAAACGATGATGATGGCGAATAGGGCGATCAAATTCAACGATAGAATTGTGTCGAATGTCTCGTCGAAGTGAGCTAACTTACCTTGCAAACGCTCCATGATTTGCGAGTGTCGGAGGCTCCCAACCAAACATTTTGGTCCTCATTATGAACCGAATGATCGTTTAAATTGAGTGATTGTGTTGCTTCAGCAATGATATGTTGGCGGTCACGATCTAGAACAGCAATCATCACCCTCTCCACGTTCAGGCGCAAAGCTGCGAGTTGCGCAAAAGCGGTCAGAGTACTATTCTGAGTCCCGAGAATCAAGGTGTCAGAGCCGATCGCGGAGGTGGCCGGTTGCGAGGTGACAGTGCTGGTTGATCCTAGTCCTTCGGAGATTGGTGGGGTGATGGTGCTTCGAGAAGGTGCAGAGAACGGAAACTCGTCGCCCGCCGGTAGCCAGGACGGGACCACGTCGGTTTGGGCAACCGGCTGGTAGTAGCGGTACAACTCTCTCGCCCCGCGGTCGGCATTGTGTCGTTCCTCCTGGTTGGACCTAGGGGCCTGCATGGTTTTCCGCTGGAGTGATATAGGCGAGGATGCAATGCTGCATCCTCGAGCTCTAAGTGTTGCAGTTGGCGGGTTGATCAGGCAAGCGACAGCCTGAGCGAAGCGGGGATGGCGAGTACGATTTCAAGAGGCACGAAGGAGTGTAGGAAGGAAGATGTCGTGGGTGTCAGTGTGACCATATCAGTCATCGATAGGGTAAGATGGCAAAAGAAAAATGGAATTTCTGATCTCGGGCTCAGAGCTCCACAGCAGTATACTACAATTGTGGTACATCAAGTCAGGTGAAGCATGAATGGGGCACCAGGGAGAGCGAAGAATTTCGGCATCGAACGAGGGATCTCATCTGTCAAGGTGGGGACGGGTACAGGCGAGGGTACCAAAGGGGAGAAAGGCTCCATAGAATATGATTGAAGAGAACCAACGGTCGGTGCACAATCAGAGTCCAGTGTACCCTTGCTCCACGCCTCATTAGGTCTCCCACTCGTGTGATTGCGCGGTATCTTGGGATCGACACATTGGTTGAGTGTGCAAATACTGCTTGACCAATGCAACCGACATCTTGATGGGGCCGATGGGGTGGGAGGCTCCAGGGGGCGTCCACTGGGGATGATGCGCGCAACGAATGTGGACGAATGTGGAGGGTGAGTTTCGAGTGGCTGTGTGGTGACCCAGTGGCGGCGGTCGGAGACTGCAGTTCATTGGCTCCTGCCTGAGGCCGCATTATTGGCCGTGAAGATCAGGCACCGCAAAAAAACCAAGTGGTCCAATCATAACGTCCTCTTCATAAACGTCATTGAGCTACGGTTGCTTTCTCCTAGTTTCTTCTGTACACTTGCGAAGTATCTCGAAGAATGTGAAAGGGTACGTAGCCGAGTCCCAAGTCTCACATTCACCATCAGTACGGAGTAATGCAGCCACTGAACAGCTAAGCCCCTACGTCATCTCTGCCAGGGGCTGACGCTAAGGCTGCAAGCCTCCCACAGCCCATGACGCCGGTGGCGAATATATATGGTTTGAGTGTGGATGGAAGTACCCATACATACAGCTGGCGGGTCGTCAAAACGCACGAAGCTATGGGCAACGATCTCCACGCACGCTGGTAGCTATACATATCGATCGTCTCCCCTCCTTGGGCATTGAAACTTTCTCCTCAAGGCCATCAGAATCTTCCAGCATCATGCAACTCTGCGTTTTCGATTAGGTACATGTTACATATGTGACCCAAAGTGGTCATTGCGAAGTTGTTTTGGATGGAAAAACTCGGTGCATTCTTTCATGTGTTTGCTGTCTAAAGATCTTGACAGTTGCACCGTCCTAGGAATTGTGGCCTGTCACTGCGCCCCAGATATACGCCACCCATGACCCAAGAACCAGAATAATCAAAGCTCCAAAGGCAACCATAGAGATGGTGCGAGTACGGTGTTTATCGGTCACCAAACTGCGCTCGCGAATCCGCTCGATGATCTTCGCTCCCGACGTCAACCGCTTCTTTCGAGTCCACTGCAACAACGCTAGGTTGTCGGTAAAAAATGTGCCAATCAGGATGGCCGTGCCGATGACTGTAGCGCCAGCTCCGAGAACTAGATACACTTGTACCACTCGGCGGTAGGAATTGTCGTCAGCATCCTGCAGGGCACCTGTGATAATGCGAATGATAATGCTCATTCTGCGAAGGGGACCGTTAGCTTGTGGCCCATGACATTTTGAGGTTTAGCAAATGGGGTGAATCTTACGCGTTGTTCATGGTGACCTTCAATGCATACGCAGAGCCGAAAACCGATTGATGCCAGAGTGTAGTTCGGATACTGTCAATCACCGAGGTTGGTCCAAGAGAGACTGCGATGGCGTAGATGCCAAACGCGGCTCCCGTTCCGGCTTGCGAAGTTGCGAAGTTGATGAGAACCATACTCAGCAGCATACCCAAGCCGCAGGCGCACACTAAAGAGACGAATTAGCCATTCTGAGCCTACACCCTGACATATTGGTCAAACTCACAAACAGATGCTCGATTGCCGAGGACATCGATGAATACGCCCAAGCAAGGCACGAGGAAGAAGCCCGCGTACTGTGATAGAGAACTATACCATCCGGCTTTGATCGAGTCGACGTTGAATCTTTGCTCTGCCAACTCAGTGGCATTTTGGGAAAAGACTGAGGCCGCACTCGTTTGGAAGATAGAGAATGCCATGACGGCCCAGAACATCCAGGGAAGCTCGAACATTTTCTGAAGTTCGAACTTTTTGTTCTTCTCGGTCAATTGCTCTTTTGTCGCTGCGTCGCGACGTCCCATATAGTGGCGGTTGCAATACTTGTTGAAGAACCAGAATGCCGCACTGGCAAAATTGGTGAACAGATTCATGAAAACCGATGTCCAGAAGACCCAAGCGAAGTTTCCGGTTTTCTATCTTGTCGTCAGAAATTTCTTCTTAGATATATAACCAATAAACAAGAGCACAGTACCTTTGCAATGATGTTGGCCGTAGACTTGCCGACAAATCCACCAATCTTACCGATCGCAAGTTCAAACCCAAGAGTGGAAGCAAATCCATTGCTAGGGGGGAACCAGGAGGAGAACATTTTGTACTGCGCAATCTGTGTTGCAATATCGCCCAACGCAAGAATAATGCGACCTCCGATCATGAAATTGAACGAACGCACGGTTGTTGCAGCGGCGACGAGAATGGATCCCATGGTATACACGATATTTCCGTAAACGATCATCTCTATTGACAGAGCGCAATTAGAAAAGGTCTCTTGACTCGACTCATCGCACTTCCGGGTCTATCTTCAGACTTACCTGCACCGCCGACCCGGTCGGTAATCACACCACTGATCAAAAGCAGAACCGTTGCCATGAAATTCTCACTTGCCTCCAAAAGCGAGAACTGGGTATTATCGATATGCATTTGCTGGCAAGAAAGAACTCGATTAGTGATATTCGCCAATCTTTATCTGTGATCCTTCGATACCTTTTTGATCGTGCTTTTCATGGCACCAGTGACACCAGAGCTCCAGTGCGAGCCAAAGCTGATACACGAGATCAACATGACGGCAATCAGCTTTGCCACGAGGGGAGGCGGCCTTTTCCCATTATCCGAGTCATTATCAGATCCTTCAGGCGTGTGAACGTCGCGAACAGGCTCCGAAACAACATCCACGGACTTGGAGACCGAAGTATCGACTGCCATAATGACAATTTGATACCGGAGTTAAGCACCCAAGGGCGACAGAGAGTCAAAGCTTGCAAAGAAAGGTAAAGATAAACCCCCGATCATAAAGCGGCATTTGCTATTTATACGGGATCGAACTCCAGTGCTCGGAGATTGATAAAATTCTTAAAATGCATAGCGGGGCATGGGAAGAGCGAATCCCAGGGTGAGCTGATACGGTTCAAGCACCGGAAACTCATCGCCGAGTCCAAGCTCCGCCCAAACAAGAAAAAGGACGAGAATAAACGTTCCTTCGGACCTTGGCACCTGAAAGGGTCCCATCAGATAACAGTTAACATCGGAGACTTGTCCCAATAGACTCACAGGCTACTCCCTTTCGGGCCTAGCGTCCAAATTTACCTCTTCTCGGCGCATCGTCGGTGATTTTAGCTCACAGCAGCTGTCTCAACAGCCATACAAACGCCGCCCAGACTCCCGTGTGGGAACCATCTCGGTTCCGCTCCGAGCCGTCGTCAGCTTCTCATTTGTGCTATCTTTGTAGTGCACCCGTTTTCTTCCTTGCGCCAGATCTGTGAAACTGGTTATGGTTATGCGCTATATCGACAGGCCACATGGCTCGGCCCCTCTGTTGACCCGCTCGGTCGGGTGGCCTGTTATTAGAAGGTCGGACATAAGGCTGAACTGGTTGAGGCCGAATTTTGTACATAGAGCCGGCGGAGCTGTGAAAACATACTTGAAAACACGGACGGTCTTGGCCTTGGCAATTTAAACTCCCGGCCCGCTGCAGGGCTGCTACCTATGTCACACCACCACGAGATGCTTATACATCTCAGCATCTCGGTTGCAACTGCTCACTGGACCATACGTACTCTGGTTCTGTGATACTGACGTTACCTAGGTGTCCATGAATTGTCCAAGGCAACGTCCCATTGCCAACAAAATAAAGATGTCTGGGTGATTTCTTCTTTTTGCTATAGGATAATATCTCGTCCCACCTCCAAGTTCCACACTTCATTTAGCGCAAGCTTGAGTAAGAGACTCTGAGCGCAATGTAGTCACTCTTCCACCTGGGCAAGGTTAGGGTCGGTGTTTGCTTCCTGACCTCGGGAGATCTAGGATAGTCGAATGTGCCGCGAGTCTTGCCATCCGGCGGAGCTTGCGTGCACCACAGCGCCAAGACGCAGTCTAAGAGCAGTACTTCAAGCCGACGGAGACTATGACTGATAGTTATGGGAAATGGTCAAGGTGGACCCCCTGGCCACTTCTGAGTTTGTGGAACATATTGATGGATGCCTGGTTAATCCCGAGGCCATTATCAGATCTAAACTCAGGTACATTCTCACTAACTACGCCCATTCCTGGTTAACCATGGTACTCAGGCGAAGGCGCCAAGCATCGCCACCACCTGATCCACTTTAATGTCTCAAAATGCTTGGCTTCTAGGGTTATATACACCGCCGCCAGATTGGAATGGCTGACATGTTCTCGTGGAAGATTCCCAAAAAGGAATCAGATATGTACCGCCGTGCCGGGATTCATGATAAATATGCAAAATGAAAGCTTGAACGCGAACGCAGTGCCGAAAAAAAAAGCCGCAAAAATGATTTCACCAATAGTCTAGATCAAAGTCGTTCCATCAGCTGCTTGCGGACGGTCCACATCCGAGCTCGTTTGCCATAAATGTACATGGGAATCGTCATGAGCATGAAAAATAGCTGAATGCCACCGATAGCAAGGAAGACGGTCTTGGAACCATCAGCGTCGAGCCAATCCACGATGAATAGTGAAAATATCAAACCGTGGAGAACATCTGAAAGCAATGTTAGTAGGTTGTAAAGGGGGTGAAACAGGGATGCAAACATACTCTTGCTGAAATTCAGAGTAACCAGTGCTTCTCCAGCATATTGACGATAGCTGTCCACACAGAATGTGATCGCGGTCGTGCTGCCCAAGCAGCAGCCGAATGAGATCATACCAAAGAAGACAGTGGGTACGATCCAATGATCTCCGAGTTCCGCACTCCAACCGAAAGCCATCAAACCAATGACAGTAGACAAGGCAATGGGGATTGCCATGACGAGACGGAATTCAGGCTCGTAAATCCCACCATTTCGTTTCGTGAGATATTGCGCGATGACATCAGAAACTTTGCCAGCTACTGCGGTTCCCAGCAGACCGCCAACAAATGGCGATATGTAGATGAGACCAGTCTGAAGAGCGGTGAAGTGGTAGTGCGACTTGCCCTCGAAGATATGCGCAACAGATTCCGAGAGCACGATCAACCAGCCGACCGAGAGGGCATAGACCACTGTCGACCAGAGCACAGATGGGTAAGCGAATAGTACAAAGGGCCGCGCTGCAACACGGTACCAACTGTCTTGTGCGATTCTTCCATTCCATACTCCCAGCAGTTGAGAGTATGGGATCTTTGGGCGCTCACGGAGCCGGTTCGTGTATTGCAGCGTGGCGGCCAGCGGCGTCCCGCTAGGCTCCTGTGATTCGGTTCGAGCTGGTGACACAGCGACCGAGCGAGATGCTTCCAGATCATCATGATGCGCAGGTGATACAAAAGCCTGAGGTGGAGGCTGGAGCATGCCATTGTCTTTCTCGTTGATTGGAGTAAGAGGCTGAGAAACGATTCGGTCATCGTCGGCATTCCCGATTTCTGCCTCAGAAATCGGCTTTTCGGGATTCGCCGCTGACGTCCCGTTTTCGGCTTCATCATCCACAAACCCAACATGTGCATGCTTGGAGCGTTTTGGAGACAAAGTCGATTCTGGGTCTTGGTGGTTGGGCTCGTCAGGGACTTGGACATGAGGGTGCCGCCCGCGGAAACCATGAGATACAATATCAGAGACACTGCGGCCAGGGAGACGTGGACGTTTGGGTTTGTGTACACGGGGCCTAGGAGTGCGGTCCCAGAAGGTTTCTGGGACAAAGAAGAAGAGCAACACGAAACATGCTCCCACAATGATTGCTACGATCCAAAACACCCACCGCCAGCTCAGGCCTTGGATGATGGCGGCACTCACTAAAGGAATGAGGTTCTTTCCACCGAGTAACAGAAGAGTGTATATGCCAACCCGGTATGCTCTTTCATGGAGGAAGTAGATTTCGGCGATAGTGGCAGAGGGAAGACATTCGACCGGGCTAACGGCGAATCCCTGGAAAATGCGAGCGACAACAAGACTGGGGTAGTTCGGCGACGCAGCACACCATATTGCTGATATCACGAACAACAAAGCTCCCAGGAGGTAAACTGGACGTTTGCCATAGAGAATCGCCGTTGGCGACATGACGCAAGATCCAAGACCCAGACCGAGCATATAGAACCCAGTGGTGAAGGCAACTTGCTGTGTGCTGACATTGTAGGTGTTGGAAACATCGGTGAATCCAGCTGCTAGAATGGGGGTCATGCCTCCTCCCATGAGGCAATAAAATCCCAATGAAAGGAGAGCAGCATCTCTCTGCCATACAGGCCAATTCAAAGGATCATTCACTGAATCATCTGGTTGAGGATCAAGCACGAATTGACCATCTGCTGTCCTCTTCTGCACTGGCACCCGAGTCCGAGAGTTTGATCGTGATGGACGATAGGACGAGGAGAAAGATGATGTCGATGTCCGATGGGGTTGATGGCTCATTCCCAGGGGCTCATTTCGATTCGATGACAGCAGAAGCACCGTTCCTAAGTAACACAAGTCATTTGTCAGCCAAAATTGCATCTATTGTTTGTTCCACGAGAGCCGGAGCTCTGCTTACCAGGGACTTCATCGGTCTGTTTGTCACTGAGGATTCCCAGTGTCGCTCTTGCACGGTATGTTTGATTCTCGCTAGAGTCGGTTTCTTGTTTGGGCTTTCCCCCAAAGAACCGTTTCCAGCGTGGGACGGCAGGCTGCGGGGTATTGTTGTCTGTGTCTGTGTTCTCTCCCATCGTTGCGGGACGGTCTTCCTCCGGTGAAGCCATTTTGGCACGGATGTGAAGGATAGACTCTTGATCTATGCAATCTTTAAATCAAAGTTCTGTACGATCCATGGTCAGTCAATGTGACATAAAAGCGTTGTTGCCACCAGGGTTTGTTTCGGAAGTGTCATCAAAACACAAAGCCCCAGTGCATGAGAAGCGACGGGATGACTCACTCAAGTCTCTTTCTGATAGCTGGCAAGGTCCCCAGTAACTCCTGTTCAAAGATGATTGTGAAATGCTCTCGGCTCAGAAAGCAAGAAGAAGGTCAAGTATATGCGTCCACGACCCGCTTCTGGAGAGAGAAGCAAAAAAAAGGCTCTCAACGCTGGTAGATCCCAAGCGATAGCGAGCGAAAAGTTCTCAAAATCATAGCTTGACGAAGCAACGAGATTTACGCAGATAACAAGGTATATATATCGACCATTGAGAAGCTTGGGAGAGTATCACGGGGTAGCAAGCTGATCAAGAAAAAGATGATGCGATCGACGATCCCACATGTGGCAGCGGGGCGGTGAAACGTCCACAGGTACCCACCGAGTACTTTGACTGTCGCGCAAACGCCAAAGAAACAGAAGTAGCGTGGAAGTATTTCTGAAATATCATTTTTTGGCATTGCAGATATGCACCTTAATTCGATGGGATCACGACGCAGGGTCCTCCTCGAAAGACTTTCTGTTTGCGGACGCTGTGCAAGTATCTCCCACGATGTCGTTGATGCGCATCTTATGCGCATCTGTCACAGGCCCGCGTCAACAAGTGGACCCCCGAGGCCACGCACTTGCGCAAGATAAGAGGGGAAAGACACAGACTTTTTGACAACTCAATCTTTGAGAGAAACGGCGAAGCTCATCCACGGACGCCCATTTTTGTGTTTTGTGGAATGCACGCGGCCATTCCTGGGGAATGCCAAGACCCCCGAACCCGGCAGCCAAAACGCTCCTCACGGCTGTGTAAGCCTCATTGAGTCTACAGAGTAGATGACCTTGAGGTTGAGGGATCACGAGTCTCAGATGATGCCCCAAACTTCTCTCAGGTGATCTACTTGGGGACGTCCGCTGCCGTCATCGTGCAGATTGCCCGCCCAATGGCAGAGCAGCCGCAGCCGGGGGGGCTGTTCCGCCCTTGTCTACCGCGGAAGCCCCAATATAATCTGAATTTATGATTATCATTTTCTGGGATGTAAATGGATTGGAGCAAATTTTCACTTTCAAGGGTTCAAATGGTTGCGGGTATCACCGGCGTTGGTACTCAAAATCTTGCTCAAGTGTATATATAGTCTGTCGATTTCGGTCCATAATGCTCCTTGGCCGTGCCCAGGTGGTGAGCCGCTTTCACCAACCCGCAGCTGCTCACATGGCCAACTTCCAAGGTTTATACTGTCTTGAATCCAAGTCTTCCGCTCCGTTCTCTGAGAGGTCTACCCCAAAGCACCAGCCCTAGTGGTATGAAAGAAGCACCAGCAATGATAGCAGCCTGCACACCAAAACTGTTCTTCACACCCATGGACTCTGCCCAGTTCACCTGGAAATAACTCACAATAAAACCCCCAGTCGTGCGTGCCATGTTGAGCCAAGCCGCAACCTCGCCGCTTCCTTCTGGATAGCAATCCACTCCGTAGGCATTGACAGCGACTGTGGTGATCATGATACCGAACACATACAAGCCCCACCCCAAAGCGGTAATCATATAGTGATACCCGTACTGTAGGGCAAATCCTAACAGGACAATTCCCGCTATCATGAATGGCGATGATATAATTGCGGCTTGAAGTCGGACTTCAGGTTGGAAATGACCATCGTGCCTTTTGATGTAGCGACGTGCGATGATATCGTGGATATAATGACCACATAGCTCACCCAGCAGGGCGGCAACTATTGGTGTGAAGTAAAAATATCTAGAAGAATATTCGTCAGACTACACAGGGCTTCAACTATAACACCTTTTCGAGCAAACAAGGACTTACCCAATTTGTTTTGGTCCGAAATCATAGAGCGGAGTCAAGAAGATTGAGAGTGTCGCTAGATGACGGTAAGCTCATAACATTAAGAGCAGATGATTAAAACATACTGTTGATACCAACTACCCACGCAAAGGTAAGGAAGTAATAGAAAGAGATGAGCAAGATTGGTAGCTTGATAATCACTTTGACTGGTCGAAGAACTGCATCCGTTAAGGTGTTCGGCTTGAGGAGGTTGACACGTCGCTGATGAACCCCGATAAGCGTCAATATCCGTGATCCGTTTGAGGGACTGTCATTGGAATCTCTGTTATAGTACGTCTCCGGCACGAACAATGCGGAAAGCACTAATGCAAGACTGCACATGGCGAAGAACAGCCAAAATGCAACATTCCATTCTTGTGTTGACGTGATGAAAGCTGAGAAGAGAGGACCGAGATAAGGGCCTAGAAAAGAGAGGTGTCAATCAGTATAACTCTTTGTTTCGAGGCAAAACGTGCTTACTGAGAATGATAAACGCTGCCCAAATGTTGATCTTTCGTGCTTGTTCGTGGAAGAAGAACATGTCCTTGATGAACATCAATCCACCACCTTGAGCGACCTATCTCGAAGCACTATATTAGCAATAGTGTCTTGAAGAAGGAAAAGATTCAAGATTAAGATACTAAGTCACATAAGAGATTGGAATAAGATGCTTACCGTAGAAAAGAATCCATTTAGAATGCGCGCAGCCATGAAACTTTCAAAACTTGTCGCAGCAGCACACCAAGCGGCAGTGGCAGTCGCAATGACCAGGAACCAAAAGAGAATTGGAAGGCGACCGAAATAGGCAGACCCAGCAACGACGAAAACACCACCGGCTCCAAGCATAAAAACATTCCCTACCTGAGAATGGTTGACAGTATCTGGACTTATGCCCCATTCTGTCGCTTGCGGGATCAGAGTGACAGCACCCGTAGCAGAGCCATAGTCCGCTAGCAAAGAAGCCCATGATACAATAAGAAGAATGAGGTGCTTCTTGAATGACGACCAATTCAAAGGATCTTTGGGATCCGAGCTTGGCTGCGGGATGAGCAGTGTGTGGCCATCTTTTGCTAGTTTTCCGTGGCTGCCTGAAGCTTTCTCTGCATCGACAACATAATCAATTCCATTTTCATGTGTTTGAGCTTGAGGAGGTACAAGACTCAAGTGTCTTGCAGTGGGAAATGCATCCACTTCGTCTCCCTTTTGAGGAATTTCACGCTCCATTGCACAAATATACAAAAGAGGCCAGATCGCCAGCCCTGGAGAGAAGAATTGAAGGTAAGATCGAAGGATGGCCACAGATGCCCAGGGGTCAATTGAACGTCTATTTGTAGTATATAATTGAAATGTAGGCACAACATGTAGCGCACCAATAACATGATTGACGACACTACCCCGCAAAGCTCCAAACCCTTTAAGCTCGATGTACAAGGCTCAACGGGCTGAGTCAGTGCTTAGCAACACGCAGGAGACCAAATGGCGTCTCTAGCACCAAAAACCGTTCCTAACAAGGTCAAATTTATTGAAGATCTCGGTAGACTCTGCTATATTGGACCAATAGATTATACTTACGGGGAAGCGGGGATGGAAACGGGGCGAGATCTATGGGGGAAAACGCCCCTGGAAACGAGCTCGGGAGTGCACAACTGCCGAGCTAGGTCAGTTCACATCGAGCGTGATAAACTCCTGATTATGGACAGAAGTTTGAGTAAGCTTTTTGAATAACATATTGCCAAACTATCAAATCAATCAAGGACCTACTTGAGTCATATTTTTTAAAAATCCCCGAAAATGAAGGCGCTCCTTGCTTTATGATACACGGAGACCAAGGACAATTAAGGGAAGCAAATTCGCGACGTCAGAAACTACATCGGAGTAGAAAGCTACTGACCCAAGCTCACATGAATCCACGGGCTTAGTTTGCCTAGCTACTAATTCAGCTTAGCAGCTTAGCGTTCAATTGGTCACACTTGGCTGTTCCCCTACCAGTCCTTCCATGAAAATCACTTCGCATTGATATTGACGTTGTTAAGTAACGTCAGAACCCCGGGCATTGGTAGAATTAATTTCAATTCTTAACGTCGGCCTTTTATCGCCAGATGTGTCCACAGATGGAGATAAATCTAGCCCTGGATGTATGCCCAGGTGGCATGTACCTAGACTAATGGCTTTTGATGACCATACGAAATATAGAAAGTATGGAATGCATCTATTTGCTACATCGACATAGAAGCAAACCTTGGAACTGTGTAGTTTCACTCATCCTTCTACCAGCCTATATGCACACATTAATGCTGGGCGAATATGGTAGCGAAGATTCAGTCAACTTTTCATTCAATCCCCCTTGGCACCCACATACTGTTTGCTTTTTCCGGCTTCTAAGGGGGTGATAGTTAGTACAGAATAAGCATTGAATCAGAGGGCTTTGATTGGGCCGTTCGCGGGTAGATCACGTGCATGCCCCCTTGTGCAAGTCCAGGATGGCAAATATTTACCTTCGTTCTAGACCCTGGACAAATCGAAATACTCGTTCCTCATATCTCTTAGTATCTCCGCTGAAGAACATTTCGCACACTCGTTCGTTCTTCAGTCTTCGTTCTGGGGGAACTAGATCTCACGCGATCTGTTGTCGTGGCACTTATCGAAGAAATCTCCCACCTTCGATAACAGATCTGCTGTCTTTCTTCATTCACCCCTGAGCAGACCCCATCAATCCTTCTTTTCACCCGTTCGAACCTGACCCCGATTCACTCCTTCTGCGGAAGCAGCCGCCGCCCATCATGAAGCTCAACGCCCCGTCCATTCTCTTGTTCCTCCTGCCTGCCATCTCGGCCGCACTCGCCGATGGAACGTATAACGACAACATAAATTCCCGAGTCTCGCGTGAAACCGTTGGTAACAATGCTCGTCTCGTTGACTCGGACATCGTTGCAGCAAATGTGGCCAAAGGAGCGCCGGACGTTCCGGTCGATGGCAAAGATGGTAGACCACACGCTGGCCCATGGGTGGAAACCAATGGAGAACGCGACCGCAAGGTGGTCAAGGGCGGGGATGACATCGACTCAACAGCAAAATATGATCCAAAGATTCCGTCTTCGCAGCATTTGAGCACCGAAGATGGGAAGATGATCCCTCATTCAAATGGCGGCGTTATGGACGATCCCTACCGGGCGGGCCCCAAGGAGGGTACTCGCGGGACCGAAGGTGGTGTCTCGGGAAAGACAAAGGATAGCCAATTTATTTCTGAAAAGGTTCCAGGAGAGCCCAAGGAAGCGCCTCCGCTGCCGCACAGCGAGGCCAAGAAGTTGTCTGATAGTGATGACACAACATATGGAAGCTCCGGTCGGACTGCCGATGGTTCGGAGTCACTCGGTATCTTGGGGGTGAGTTTTCGATATCTGCCTGAGGTCGCAGAGATATGTTGAGTCAAGCGTATTAACGTGAATCCAGAAACCCGCCGATTTGCCCGAGAAGCCTCACGACATTCCCCACCCCAAGCCTCCATCGATGATCAAGGATGATCCTCTTGGTCTCGACCATGGATCAAAGGGCTCGGGCTCGTCCTCGTCCTCGGTTGGTCACCACGACCATGATATTGTTGATGGCGAGCCTGATGCCGGAAGCCCTTTGCATTCGCTTGTTTTCTCCTTCACCATGATTTTGGTATCCGAGATTGGAGATAAAACATTCCTTGTGGCTGCATTGATGGCTATGAGACATCCTCGTTTGGTGGTGTTCAGTGCTGCGTTCAGTGCTCTGATTGGCATGACTGTCTTGTCGGCAGTCTTGGGACACGCTGTACCTACTCTTATTCCAAAGAGCTTCACTAAGTTCATGGCCGCAATTCTTTTCTTGGTCTTCGGCGCAAAGATGCTGAAGGAGGGTCGTGAAATGTCTCCTGATGAAGGTGTTGGCGAGGAAATGCGGGAAGTTGAGGCGGAGTTAGAGGAGAAGGAGCATGAGCAGCTGCGCTTAGGTCGTCGTCGCTCTTCCATTACGCCCCACAGTCTCGAAGCTGGCCGCGCTGGAGGTCGTCCCAAGACTCGTGGCTCCGGAAACCGCATGCCTTCGCCTCCCGAGAGCATTTCCTCCTCTTCGTCTCGAGGCTCTTCGCCTCACCCCCGCCAGCACCTGACCAATGCCTTCTCCGGTTTGGGCAACCTCTTCTCTCTTCTTTTGAGCCCCGCCTGGGTGCAAACCTTTGTTATGACTTTCCTCGGTGAATGGGGTGACCGCAGCCAAATCGCCACGATTGCCATGGCCGCCGGTCAGGATTATTGGTGGGTGACCATCGGAGCAAGCGCCGGTCATGGAATTTGCACCGCTGCCGCAGTGATCGGTGGACGGGCTATCGCTGGTCGTGTCAGCATGCGTGTTGGTAAGTTTCCCCCTCCCTTTCTACCAACAGAGCCACAGCTAATCACAAACCTCACAGTTACTCTTGGCGGTGCCGTGGCATTCCTGGTGTTCGGAGTCATTTACTTCATTGAAGCCATCTTCTAAAGTATTGCATCTCCGCGATTGTATGATTTGTGAGAATTTCAGTTTTTTGGCGGTTGAGTCGTTTACAAAAGTCCAATGCATCCTGTGACATACCGCTGCTCTAATATTTTAATTGCGTGTCTGGTCCACGTGAATTGACCAGGTCTTTCCAGCCCACTTCCATCTGCGTCTTATCCCGTATTGCCTAGTTTTCGAGTGTGTTGTCTGGTAACGATAACCACTATAATTAGTGCTCATGTAAATCCAGGGCTGGTTTCCTGGAAATCCATCCTATATATAGGTCTGGGGCGCATTCCAAACCCTATACCACTGCGTCAGGGCGAAAGACCAGGGTTCCAGGACTGGCGACTTGGAACTGCACTCCCTTATATAGGACGAGGTTCATCACAATTTTCACGTTGAGCCGGTCCTGTCATCAAATACAGAATCAGAATGTGTGTGAGGGACCAATCTTTGAATCCGCGTCCTGAGCCATACTACAGACAGGGCGTGGGTCTAGGGTTTGAGGTTTCCGGTTTACGCCACAGGGCGCGAGCGGATTATCGATAGTCCGAACGAGGTTAAAATAACGATGATGCGGGTCGAACGCATGGCGAAATGATAAGGAGAGTGGACAATAGACATATCAGTCGGATGGCGGGATGTCAAGAGTATCAATGTGTAGCCACATGTTGAAATAATGAGAGATTATTTCGGAAGAACAACAAGACGTGAGGGAGGCGTGTGTGCATCATCATAATCGCTGCCTGAAACTCAAGGCATGATTACTTCCTAATTGGGCTGTTGTGGTCCCGGCCTTACCTTTTCCCGTCTCTCCGTGTGAACAAGAGCCCCGAAAACCCTACCTACTTTCCGTCTCTGACTTTCCCCTTTCGCCACCCCTCATCACTCACGCCCTTTCCCTGAGTCTGGCATTCATTTGGACCAGTGAGTTAATTCTACTTTTTCGTTTCTTGGGGCCGGGTTTCATCGACCTAGAAGCCCTAACAACAACGCGTGGAGCAGGGGTCCGCACGTGTGGGCTCTTACACCGCCCGCCATGGCGCGAATCACGGGATCGCGCATAACCCGAAGCCAGAGCCGCCAAGCCAGCAGTGAGCTGAGCAACCAGATCGGCCGTTCAGGAGCACTAGGTTCGAAACGTAAGTATCTATTGTCCAAAACTCGATCTTGCCCCGTTTGTCTGTTCGGTCTGCCCTTCACTACGTTAGAATCATCATGCTGGTCGTGCTTTTTGTGTTGGATGTCTTATAGATCAACCCACCAGGTGGTTCTGGGAGATGTCCACGATGAGGCGGTCCATAAACGACCACTTGGAATCACGTGCCCCGGTTTAGCTCAGATGCGATTTACTATTCACTTTCCAATGTCATGAACTCATTTCAAGCCTCAGACATCCGTCACTTGGTGCGATGGGAATGAGAGATATCACTTTCTAACTTCATTCAGACCTAAACGAGCTGCCTGAGGAGCAATCTCCTCCCCCAGGAGGGAATGGATCCACTCAAGTGATACCCGAGTCGCCAGAAAATCATGAAGGTTATACCAATGTGTCTGGCACGACACTGGCGCCGAATGACGCCGACGCCGTCGAGTATCAACTGGGGACGAAGATCACAAACCACCTCCCCTTCATCCAAGAGCAAGCGACCCTAGTGATGAATCTCTTGGTTCCCCAGAACCTGAACCCCGAGAGTATTCCAGTCGAGGCCAGAAAGCTTCGTGATGCTGGTCACCCCAACACCAAACGCTTGGATCGGTCAACCAAGGGCTTGACTGATGAACTGCAAGATTCGCCTCTCTCCTCTGACGGCAAGCCCTTCTTGGACACCACTCGCCTCCGCGGCTTGATACCTCCTGCTCAGTTTGATGCGTCCATCTCTGATGTGCACATGACGAACTGTGCCATGCTGGCCCTGGTAATGTTTTCTCGAAACGGCGAGGACTCTCAGCCACAGGTCATCCAGGATCTCGACGAGCTGTTTCCCATGTTACTCATGGAGAAGATCTCGACCACCCCCAAGTCCCGGGCAATCGGCGCGAGCCATACCCAGGAAGAGACATTCATGCTTGCGCTGAACATCCGAACCCAATTTTTCATCATGGAGCTTGAAAGACGTCAGCGTGAGTCCGATTTCAACCCGGTAGCCATCTTGCGCCAAATTTTCTGCATGGACATCACTCCCAGCGACGCTAGCCTCGATGAGAATCCCAGCTCTTTCCGAGGGTTCCACTTGCCTCATGTTTTTGAAGACTCTGACGGCCATCTTCCCGACAATCTCCCCGAGAAGCTGCTCATAGCTGTCAGCGACCGCTTCAATGATCTCCATGAAGAAGTCTCCGACTGGGACGAAGTGGATGTGGATGGACTCAAAAAGGCATACAGATGGCGCGCGTTTGAACGTGAACTTGCTCGATGGATCCATGTGCGCAGCCGCGAGATCAGAGAGGATATTCGCCGGATTTCGGACAAAGCCAATGATCGATCATCTTCGGTTCGGCGCTTTACTCCAGCCCTGGCGACAACCCCCATCCCACGCCAGACTCCAAAGGCGGCTCATCTTCAGGCCACTCCGTCCTCCCAGAAGTCTCGTCACACGAGCATGTCTCATGGAGTGGATGAAACACCGGAGGGTGACTCCCACGTATCTGTAGCATCGCCTCTTCTCGTGCCATCGCCCCAAAAGGCACCAGTTGCTGAAACGCGTGTGTCTGTTACATCGCCCGCTGTCGCCACATCGGCCCAGCAGGTTCCTGCGCCAGCTTCCAATGACCAAGCCAAAAAGCCTGCCCAAAATGATCCGGCTCGACGCCAATCTAAGAGGTATCTATGCTCGGTTGCCCTACCTCTCCTATGACCCCCTCACTAACTTTTCATGTTCTACAACAGCAACTATCGAGATAGCGTCTCATTTGCCAGATTGAAGAGACGTATGGAGAGCAGCCACCAACAGTCCAACTCTGGCGCCACTTCACGCCCTCAGACGCATACGAGCGATGAGAATACACTCATAAACACCGCAAGTGAAGGAACCAGCGCTATTGGTCCAGCTCTACGCGTACCCTCCGAGACTCACGAGCTTCACGAATATTCGGCAGATATGGGTGGTGAAGACGACTTTACATATGTCAACCATGATGAGGACGATGATGACCTCGACTACGCCGGTCCGGGTGATGTTCTGGCATCGACAAGCCCCTCGGCCTCCGCCAGAATCAACAGAGTCAGCCATAACCCTCACCAATCCCTCAACACCAAGGACCGTCGAGATGCGCAACGTTTGCATGAGGAGAACCCCGCGAGCAGCAGCGAGTCTATCACTGCGCGGCGCCTCTTCATTGACAAACAGAATGACCCCCGAAGAGTTTCGCCAATTGACGACAACGATACTGAAAGCCCAAACCAGCGCCACGCTATCCCTTCCCACGCCAACAACAGAAAGCGACAGATCTCCCAAGCCCCAAGCGACGACTCCGATGACTTCGAACAAGACACCCGCGATCTCAGCCGCCGACCCGAAAAGCGCCAGCGCTTCCTTCTCGCTCGCGACGAAGAAAGATCGCGACAAGAGGGTGTATCATTCCTCAACAGCCTCGGCCCCGCGAGCCAGGACCAGCCAAACCCCTCGCAGGTTCCCAGTACTCAACCCCAACGCCGAAGCTCAGAGCTCACTGATGGAGAGACCACCACCGTCCGACAGCTCCCCTTCACCGTGCAGCCCGAAAAATCCGCCGCCGAAGCCGAGCACTGGGCGACGCTCAACACCGAGGCCCATTCCGAGAATATTGGGCGCAAGCCCAACCAGCGTTGGACAGCAGCGGAAGATGAACGTTTCATAGGCCTCATGGCCACTTTCGGACTACGCTACGCCGTGATCAAGAAGGAGGATAATGCTTTCCCGCCCGATGCAGGTGGTCCTCGCCTTGCCAATCGTAATCAGGTTCAACTGAAGGACCGGGCGCGTACTCTCAAGAGAAAGTATATCAGGTAAGGAGTTCCGCATGGTATTGAAAGTGTTTGTTATGTTGCTGACTTTGATTGCAGGGAGGGAGTGCAAGTCCCGGAATACTTGGCTGCTATTAACGCTTAATTTCGCGGATCGGATTCTCTTCGGTTGTTTCTCTGAAGGATTCGCGGTCCATTTCAATTATTCTTGCTGGTTTGGGCGTTACAGCGGCGTGCGGGATACCCCATTATGTTTTTGAATGGCATTTTGAACCTTCTTTTGGTGGTGCCTTGATTTCTTTCTTTGCATGTTTGAGTAATGCTCACTTTTTTTTTCGACTCAGAGCCTAGTCAACAATGGTACTTCTATTTAATTTTCACACCCTGTGGTTTGTAAACGTAAAATCCATCGATCAAAACACCCGAGGATGGGGGTCAAAGTGATCAAAATGATCGGCAGGGGCCTTGCAGAAATGTCGTCATCAATCTCACAACTACTCCATGCATGGGGTTGATTCGGTAAAGCTAAGCTTCAAAAGGAAAATACAGCACAGAGTCCCTTGATGTTATTGTCAAAATATTGAATTTCAGGAGGATATCGAAGTCCATCCGATCTCAAATTTAGAAGCTAATCTTCAACATATGCAAGCGACGCTCGAAATCCACAATGCGCAAAAAGGGCACAGGCACAGGCACAGGTACTCCCTACACAGGAGACTCGTTCCGTAGGCGGCAGACGCATACCAAATCCGACCAGCGGACGCACCACTGACATCACCACCTACTTACTTCATGGAGTACAGGAAACAGGAACTCAAATGACTTCACAGTCACAACCCATGCCACAGACGTATCGATATAAGTATATCAACACAAGTGAGCTTAGAGCAACAAGCCCATACCAGCAACGACAGCGCCGATCAAAGGCGAACCAACACGGATGGTATCAGCGGCATTGCCAGTGGGCGTGGGCGACGCGCTCGAAGTTGCGGCGGTAGTGGCGGAGCCTGCGGACTTAGAAGAGTTGGAGTTAGAGTTTGCGCTCTTAGAGTTAACAGATGAAGCCGCGGTGACGATGCCGGATGGAGCGGGAGCGGTTGAGGGTGCGACGACGATACCGCCAGCTGCGGTGACGGCAGTGGGGGCCGCGGTGGAGGCAGCAGTTGAGGCGGACTCAGAGGTCAAGTCGGAGATGTCCTCATCCTCGGATGCTTGGACGAGTGTGTAGGCATCAGCGCCGCCGCCTATGAATGATTTATTAGTCATTTTGTTTCTGATGCGTGTGTAGTCAACCTTGGAACGAGTTAGACTTACAATTGTTGACCGGGTACCCTGGGCAAACAGTGTTGCATTTCTCGTCGTCGACCTTGTTGGATTGCGATGGGAGGGTGTTTCCGCAGTAGCACATGTTACCGCGCGTAAGGGCGGCGAACTTGAATTCTTTTTCGATGCATTTGGATTGGCAGTATCCGAGCGAATTGAAGCTGTAGGGACCCTGGCTCTTCAATGAGGGGATTTCGGAGTAGCAGCCCAGTCCGCTGGCGGAGAAGACTGGCAGCGCGAACGCCAGAACCGAGAGAATGGATGTGGCGCGCATGGTGGAAATTTTCGATCAACGAATGGAGAGAGATATATAACGAAAGAGCGAGGGAAAATTGTAAGAGGTGAAAGGAAATAAGCAAAAGAGAGAGAAAAGTACAAAAGATGGTAAGATAGTAAAAAGTGACAGTGAGACAAACACAAAACAGGGTCCAACTTCTTTAAAGCACCCGAATATTCGGCGCAGGAACGCCTCTCGGGCTCCATTTTTTCTTCTTTCTTCGATAATTGTACTACACTACATCCAGTATGTTTCTGTGGAGAGCACTGGGGCCCGATGACATCGAAGTCTCATTGATCGCACAAGTGTAGCAAGTGATCATCCTGAAACACTAAGCGAGTTGCTCTATTGAAAGGTGAAATGGGGCCGCAGTGGCTTCATTGGCTTGCGAGCGGACGATCCGCCTGATCAGCAATCCCCAGGTGTGGCACCTTGCTTTCGTTTCGGGAGGCCAATGGTGGCAGATGCGCTGGGCAGGTCCAGTGGGGGGTGAAACCGAAGAACAGTTCGCGTGTTTCTAGTTCGCCGCTTAACTTCTTTGAGCGTAGCTCATGTCTTAGATTGTTGCATTTGTGAGGAATCTGACATGGTTTGGAATTGCTCATCGCTTTGCCCCCTTTGAACTCCTTGGAGTTGAGGGGTATGCCACACGCGTCACTTGGGTGTGAAAGGTATCGGATTCAGATTCATGAATATTCTAGAAACCGAAACGAAGCTGAGGAGAGTCGGAAGTAGAAAGAAGATGGAAAAATAACCTTCGAGGGTCCTTCGAGGGGCGTTCCACGGTTGACCCGAGCCTTCCGGGTTTTCTGACGTCGCTGCCTTATTTGTCAGGCCTTCTTTCGGTTGATCTTCATCTTCCCCCTTTTCGTCTCCTTGCCCTTGAGCTCATTGATAAGGGCTGTTGCCGATCAGATTGAATCAGTCACTCCAATTTTTGGCCCCTCTCCCCTCTGGAGGCAATTTGAAGCATAATGGCAATTGTGTCATGATTGGCCCCCAATTCGTGCCATGCGTTTTTCAACCGGTAAAGGATCTGACAGCGCAGTAGTGCCGCCTATCTGGATGCGTGTGAGTGAGGGTCATCGTCAAATCAAGCTGGTTTCTAAGAATAACTGTGGCACTGCGGTATTTTAAGTACTCCGTACAACGCCGCGGATAGACCGAGTACGGAGTACTTGGTTTGCCACTGTCATTTAGCCCCCATTAGAAAGGAACAAAGCGTTGAGTGTGCTTGGGGGCCTTCCCAATACCGCGAGATAGCTATGGAGTCCTCCATACAGAGCATATTCATACCAAAATTGAGAGATTAGAGAAGAAGGACCATGCATGCCCAGCATCTGTAGCTAAATTTGGGCTCCTCACTCAACCTTGAGATCACTCATTTATGTGAATTTTTCCACGCTTGAGACTTCCAGGCGCAGGTTTCCTGTGTATTTGTCAAAGCTTACTCCTTGAATAAATTTGTTGCTTTCGCTCAGGCTGTCAATCAATTCCTCTCACGGCGATCCCAACTGGATGAACATGGTTCTGACATCTCGACAACCCACCAATGAGCTCTTCGAAGAATGAAGCGAACAATCCCACAGACATGGGGTACTATCTCTATCGGTCAAGGTTACTTGGACAGCAGTGCCTCCCTTGTGTACCATGAGGACTTTAAGGGTCCAAACTACGGAGTACTCCGTACCGCGTGGTGAAGACAAGCCATACCGAATTAGGAAGATGCCGAGGATAAGCCTTATGGTGGCTTTTGGTGATGTTCAGCCCTGGAGCGGAATGATCATGTCGGTGTATCTACTCTGTATCGGCTTATAACTCATGCTTCCCGTCTCACGAAACCTATCAACTGTCAACCCCAACGATGCTCAGTCAATACTACAATACCCCAACCTCTCGGCAAATCGGTCGCGCTGATTGGGCAATTCGCCTACGGCAACGGCCGCCATCCGACCTCGGGAGAGGGGAAGATAAGATAGCCTCCAAGGCTTGACGTGCTCCCCATAACAGATGGTGAATTCGTGTTTGAATCCAGTCGAATATTTTCCTCAACAGAAAATATTCACCTCGACATCACCATGAAGAACCTGGGCTTGCTCGCTCTGGCAGTGCCTTCATTGGCCCTCAACATCCCTACTCAACAGCTTCTCTCCAGCGACTTGCTCACCAGCTTCTCCAACCCATTGAAGCCTTCTGCGCGAGAGATTTGTCCTCAGCCTCCCAAAGCGAGCACACCTGACGATGGATTCCACTCGTCGGAAACCTTCCTCTCCGACGCCGCTTTCCGGGCCCGCCAAGCAAACCGTCTCTCGCGCGCTGTGCAGGTTCCAACCACAGTCGGCGACTTTGCGAAGGACCCGTATGATAAGGCTTTCGAGCCTGTCGTCAAGTTCCAAAAGCTTCTGACGGAGCTTTTTCCACTAGTGTAAGACTCTTCAATCGCTGCGCTTCTTGTCAGTCATGAAAATAGTGTACTGAATTAGCAACATAGGCATAAGCATGCTAAGGTCGAGCACATCAACCGCCTCGGCTTGGTATTTACCTTTGAGGGTGTTGATACTACTCGGAAGCCGCTGCTCTTCATGGCCCATCAGGACGTAGTCCCCATCGATGACCCTTCAGACTGGACACACCCTCCCTTCGCAGGTGTCTTTGACGGCGAGTGGATCTGGGGCCGCGGCTCAAGTGACTGCAAGAATGTCCTCATTGGATTGATGTCAGTGGTCGAAGACCTTCTCTCCCAAGACTGGAAGCCGCAGCGCACAGTCCTCTTCGCTTTCGGGTTCGATGAGGAATCGCACGGTTTCCTCGGTGCGGGCTCCATCTCAGCTGCCCTTGAGGAGAAATACGGTAAAGATTCCTTTGAGTTCATCCTCGATGAAGGTGGGATGGGTCTACAGAGCCTGGGCGATGAATCTGATTCCGGCAACGAGGTACTATACGCTCTCCCCGCCGTCGGCGAAAAGGGAAGTCTCGACTTGATCATCGACATCGCCGTCCCCGGAGGCCACAGCTCCATTCCCCCCGCACACACCGGTATCGGAATCATGGGAGAGATCCTGTACCAGCTCGAGCGCAAGGAGCTCTTCCCCGCCTGGCTGGATACCAACCATCCAGCACACGGTATGCTGGAGTGTCAGGCACGATACTCCCCCGATCATGTCGAAGCTTGGCTATCCGATAAACTGGCAGCGGATGATCCTGCCGCGCTGGGCGAAGCAGTCGCCAGTTCCCGTGGTCCTGCAGTCCGTTACACCATGCAGACCTCGCAGGCCGCAGACTTGATCCACGGCGGTGTCAAGACAAACGCGCTGCCGGAGAAGATTTCGGCTGTCGTGAACTACCGCGTGGCATTGCACCAGACGCCTGACGAGCTGCGCGAGCGCGCTTTGCGAATCATCAGTCCCATCGCTGAAGAGCACAATCTCACTTTGCGCGTTGCGTTCCCTGATGTGGAAGAGATTGCTGGAGATGTCAGCGACCGCACCCTCACCCTGTACCCTCTGAGCAAGCCCCTGGCCCCAGCGCCTATCTCGCCCACGAACCCGCTCACCTCGAAGGTGTGGGCGCATTTCGCTGGTGTGGCGCGCAGTGTATTCGAGTCTCACTCGAATCCTCTCTCGAAGTCTGATTCCAAGCCGACTGTGGTTGTCACTGGTGATGTCATGACTGGTAACACGGACACTCGGTTCTACTGGTCTCTTTCTGAGAACATTTATCGTTGGAGTCCGTCGCGTGCTGGTGGGTCTGAGAACATTCATACCGTGGATGAACGGATTCGATTGGATGTTCATTTGGAGGGCATGATGCTTTACTATGGTTTGTTCTGCCTTATAACCACAGGTTCGGTTTCCTTTCGCTAACTATGATTAGATCTGATTCGATCCTTCGATGGTTGGGATGGAAAGTCTGAGTAGATATTTATGAACGGAGTTGGTGTAGGGGGTGTGTTGGTTGATGAGTGGTTTTGAACTTTGGAAGACCCATTCATTGTCTAACGTATAGTTGGACGTTGGAAACATTTACGACATATCAAGAATCAAGAAGCATTGCAGTCACAAGGCTTCCAAACTAGGTACAGACATACATTGTTACAACAACCTTGGAATTGGGGCACTTCAGGGCTTCATTTGAATATGATCTGTCTTAACATGCGAATTTAAAAAGCCCCGTTCAGTCCAATGCAATCGAACCCTAAAAGATCTAATCACTGTACGCCTTCTTAGTGTTCTCATAGGCTTCCTGTAGTTTCTTCGCCGGATCGGCAATAGCTTCCTTGCAACCCGGAACCACGCCCTCAATGTTGTTGGTAAGAGTCTGATTTCAGTCAGTATGAATTGACAAGTTCAGCATGTCCCAGGGGGCAGGGAGTTATTTACCTTGGTATAATCGAAGTCAACATCCATGACTGAATTGACAGGTTGTGTGAAAGGGGTGATTGCAATGAGACCAGCTTTGCCGGTCAAAGTGTTCATAAACTCCTGCGACGCTGTTGCGTACTAGAGAAAAGGTCAGGTTTTGACTTCCGAGGTTGTCGACTGGTACAGACTTACGTTGATAAATTCTTGGCAGACAATACCTATGTCTCCTTCCTCGACACTCTGAGGGAATTCTTCGATGTATCTTTGCTTTTGTGCAGCAATAGACGATTGCCAGGTGCCGATCACTCGCTTCATGGTATTCAGTAAACCGATTGTCGCGTCAATTTCCCGCTAGCTCACTACTTACAGGCATGCTTTGGACAATATTGATGGGGCTGGCATCTTTGAGAATGCCACGAACGTCGGTGGCAGCATCAGTAAGCTGCTGAAGTTGTTCCACCAGAGGGCTAATAGCCAGGGCCGGGCTGATAGCAGCCAGGAGGCTGATGGCGGAAACGAGGTTGAGCTGCATTGTTCAAGGGTATTTTTATGTCGCTGGTTAAAACTTAGGTGATGCGTGAACAGAACCGAACCGAACTAGAAAGGGATTTAGTCTTACAAGGAGAATTGATTTACCAGGGTCACTTAGGGGCAAAGCTTTCCACCCAATTTAGCTCGAGCCATGGACGAGATTGGATTCATCAAAGGGTGGAAATCCCCACACGAAATCCTAGCGAAGCCGATATGGAACAGGATCAGCAAGACATGGGATTCTCTCCTATGGTACTCCGTGCATACGAGGTTAAGGCATTTTTTTAAGCTAGCCATTCATCTCCGAGCGAGCCGTCATTATTGATCGCTTCATGAAAAAAAAAAAAAAAAAAAAAATATGGGGGAGCTGAAAGAATGTGGAGTCAATAAACCCAGATCTCGATTAACTCGTTATATGACACTCTAGAACGTCTTCAGCCCAAACTGTGCCGCTTCAATAGCGGCTATCGATCGCCTCTTAGCGCGACCAGAGAGATCGTTTCTTACCAAAATATGAAAGTCACAACCCCACTGATCCAGAAAATTAGAATGCAGATCAATCGGCACATTCTTGGTCCTCGGCTTGTGTCGATTTTATCTCTCCTATTGAAGGCTATCTGAATTGTCCGAGGCGACTCTCCTTATATCAATCAATTTCCACTTCTAAACCAACCTCCGATCAAGTACTCCGTATACTCAAACCATCCTACAAAATGCACTTCACACTCACCTCACTCTCCCTCCTTCTGGCCGGCATGGCCACAGCTAGCTCCTCCTCCGCGAGCTCCTCCGCAACCTTCACACCTGTGACCTCCGTCCCCGCCATGCCATCAATCACCCTCCCTCCCACTTCCGCTGTGAAGAGCGCCATTTCCGCCGTTCCATCTGCCTCCTGGTCCTCCATCGCTGCCGCTGAGTCCTCTGCTGCCGCCCAGATCATTCACTCGGACGAGTACGACTGTGCCCACCAGGACTACGGTTGCAACTGGGTGGCGTCTGACTACACCTACGGCGATGACTACTGCGGTTCCTCGCCCTTCGAGGCTGGTGCGCAGCTGAGCGAGGACCACATGGTCCTGGCTGTCTCCAAGGACGGCTCTGGAGATTGTGACTCCAAGGCCGGTAGCCAATGCTGCGACGTCCTTGCTGAGTCTCCCTGCAAGCGCGGCGAGAAGTACCTTGAATGCGTGAAGCCTTAAATTGTAAGAGTTATAGAAAGATATTTCGGGTGTGTATGAACGAGTGCTAATTGACTTAGATGATTGGAAATTATGCTTGTATATACCAAGCTAACGTATAGTAATTTCCTGATCTTTGGAGCTTGTATAACTCTCCAAAATGAAAACAAACTTTTAGAATCCAACCTTGAAAGGCATGAAGATCCACGGATTTACATTTCCATCGCCGATCAAAGGTTAAACTATAAATGAGGTACCCGTGAACGGTCAAACCACCCCAACGTTAGAAATATATTCAAATAGGAGTATAGGTAGTAACTGTCGTCATAATAGCCCAGTAGATTACCCTCCATTGTAGTTCCAAGGTTGTCGTATTCCGGGGTTGAACCCCATATGACTCCCCTGCCAGCTAGGCCGAGTGATGTATCCTCACGAAGAACCTGAAATCCCTGGGTTCAATTCCCAGGGCAGCGAAAACCTTGAAAGCAATTCCCATTTTTTTGTGCCCTCGGAAGTAATTTTCAAGGCAGGTCCTATTGACCAAGCTCGCTTGAATGGCGTTGAGTATGCACATTGTCATTGTGAAACTATTTTCCATGTGTACATCTACCCAGCCTAGTTAATCCCTAGTATGTACAGCAAGCCCAAACCACAAGGAATCAATGAGCGAGTAAGGTTGGTCCCCAGGTCAGAAGCGTGCTCGACTCTATCCTGAGATCCACAGCAGCAAGCGAGATAACGGAGAGTATCTGGTTTGCTTCTCGGCTCTCTCTGAGCAGGAATGCCTGTCAGAAAATGAAGCCACTCACTTCGGGGAAAGGCTGTTCATGTGGGATGAGAAAAAGAGCCTGAGAGCATGCGGCCAAAGGAGATCAATGCAAAGCGAAGGCAACCGCTAGCGAACAAGCAGCGGTGCAAATGATCCTCCCATCACAGGGCGAGCGACGAAGGTGTTTTCAGGGTAACTGGGCTTTGTTAATGAATTGACACCAACGGGCCAAATATTCGAAAACTTACTTTCCAGACTCCGTATCGTATAGATCGGTGAGAGGTCGGTTTGTTGGCGTTTCATTGATCCATGTAGCAAGGCGTTTGATGAACATGTCTCGAGTTCCTTCCGAGCTGATTGCCGCAGCGAAGCATTCCCAGTCACCTGTGTCTCTGTCAGTACTAGTTTCAAATCAGAGACAATTGGCGTTCAAATTCTCACTCTTGGTGTAAGCGTGACGGGTGTCCAAAGGCACACCGTACTTGTTAGCCACAGTTGGGTAAAATTCGCTTTGCATCTGGTAAACAGACTGAGGCACTAAGCCGAGGCCTAGCTGCACATCAGCAAACAGGTTGTAGAGCAGACCTGTACGGTTCGTTAGCAATGTATATGTAAACAAGACATTCGTTGACCGGGCTTACCATGGCTGTTGGTATCGCCGTAAGCCAAGGTCGTGCGCGGTGGGTTCGCATCCTTGGCAATAGCCAGCTCCTGCCACTGCCTGATGTAGTCGTGGGCAATGTTTGAGTAATTGACAGCATCGTCGGTGTGACCAGTCTTGTTGGCAATAACAGACATGGCTTGAATACCAATCATGCCCTTAAGCGCTAGGTTGGTTTGGTTGCTAATTGTCCTGGTCAGTTTTGAACAGCCGAAACCGCAGGGCCAACTTACGCTAGGGAGCCGGCGAAATCATCAGTGGAGATCTGGTTCGCAGGATAGAGAGAGTCGTCCACTAGGTAACTAGTCCACTTCTTGAGCAAGTTGTAATGGAGGTCCAAATAATCGATGTCTCCGGACTTTTGCGAATAGGCCAGCGTCATGATGAGCATGTCTCCGCATTCCTCAAGGGGCATTCTTTCGTCACTGCCGTCGGAATGACCAGTGGCATTGGGGTAGGACGATCCCATGTCATGCATGGAATAGCTGTTGGGGTACTTTCCGGCTTCTTGATTCTCAAACAGAGGGTCGAGGACTAGTCTGAGAAGAGCAGGGTTGGAGTACAGGAAGATTGGGTAAGCTGGGAAAATCACATCGACGGTATTCATGTTCCCGTCGGAGGAAATCTCCTTGAGGAACAAGTAAGGCTTTTCTTGGGTACCGCAGAGCTGCGTAGCACCAAATGCTTGCCGTGCTGAAAGCGATGTGATCGTGAGATAGTCCTGACCCGCCGTAGCGATAGAGTCCTCGGCAACTCTGTCATCAAACCAAGTTGAGAAAACACTGGCCTCGCTAAAGTCATGATGGAAGAAGGAAAGGGCATCCAATTCGGTATCAAAATAACTCTTCCACAAGGACGGAACGGGACCGTATGCCTCAGCACCCTCGTATTGAGCAGCTTCATCCTGTGTCAGTCCGAGGGAGAATAAGGTGCTGACAGGAGATGAGCCGACGGAGCCCAGGTCAGACGAGAGTCCAAGAACGGGCCAGTCTTGGTGGATGGGACGGAAGTTGGTATCGTCCTCGTTGGTGAGTTTCCCGTTCGTAGCGAATTGAGAGCGCACGAAGTTATCCGCACCGGACTGGTGGGTTGTGCTGGGGGAATCGTCAGTGGCCCAGTACCAGTAGCCCCATTCTCCTTGTTCGTTATTCTGTGAGAAGGCAAGTTGGGTCTGTCGGAAGACCTTGTGGTACGCCACACCGTCGGTGGTACCATACTCCCATTCCGCGACTGCGTTGCGGTCACCCGAGACCCATTCTGTTTGCAACTTAGCCACTGCAACGGAGATTAGATCGAAAATAGCATACCTGCAGAGATATCCGCGTAGACCTGCACATCATGGTCCTGGCCATCGAGAGAAGAGACCTCGACGTTGAGATATGAGAAAACCAACGACTGGCGCATGAAGTCGTCCGGGGTGATAGGCGACATGAAAGTGATGTTCATCTCTAGTTTGTTCTCCACGTGCATGGTGAAAATACTTTTCGTGGAAGTGTATTCGTACGCGACCTGGTTGACGGCTTTAGTGTCCGGTAAGCCCATCCAAGTGTAAACATTGCCATCTACACGGATCATACCAGCCCAGCCCGTTACCTGGTTTCTGCCCACGAAAGATTAGCACGGAGGCTCATATGTGACTTTTTAAACCATCAATAAACTCACTGCCAGAATACTGGCCATTGACCAGCCAGGTATCCGCCATTGCCTCCATCACTTCCGGCATCAAGCCAGGTGCTGAGATATGGAGATCGGACCGCAAGAGGTATGGCGGGGGGACGAGCCGGCGAAAATGTAGACTGTGCTGCAATGGAGGTCGCCAAGGAGGCAACCAGCAGTCCGAGGCGAGACAGCTGCATGATGTTGGGGGAAGAAAGGGGATGGCCTTAGAAAGGTTCAAAGATCAAACTAGGGACAAGCCTTGTTTGATATTTATTTTGCAATGTAAGCCACGAGCTTTTGGCGGGGGGAACAATGGCGGGACACCTGGAGACAGGGATCAGCATTATGTTTACAGGAAAGGAATGTCACGACATTTTTATAGTCGAGCTCAATCTACCGAGAGAGGGGTGGGCAGCTCGAGCTCGTGGACCCGCATGCCAGAATGTGACCTCCTCCACATACGGGGAAACATTTAAGTGAATTAACGTAATTAAGGCACGTCGCAGCAGACCTACATCTAACAACAGACTCATAGCGAGCGCCCGTCTTGGCTGTACGCCGTCGGCATTCAGAGGGAAATGCATACAAAGGGGACCACCGTGCTGTCAGGGGGATCAGGGGCAGGGGCTCGAGTGGAAGGACAGCAGAAGCGGCGGACACGGAGAGTTTGCGCCCCAAAGCTTCCGATTTCAAATCAAAATTCACAAGAAACATCGCGGTCTAGCAGAGTTCGGGAAAAAAGGAAAATTCTGAGGTCGCATGGAAGACAAGCAGCGGTCTATGCGGATCGACGCGAGTGGCGCTGATAGATCGAAAGTATTGGAGCAAGCTGACTCTCGTGGTCGGTGGGCGCCTTGCAGATGACAGACCACACGGCATGGCGCAAACAAGGGTGTGGAGTAATAGAAGATGAGACTGCAGGAGAAGATCAAGATCGGGTTGTTTGTTATGATCGTCAACGGGTCCAGCCGAGCCAAACACCAACACCGCCCGATTGTTCCGGTGTGCTTCGTGATGGCATCATGCGGGCATTTCGGAAGTCGAACTTGGTTTGAAGCATGGGTGATCTCTTGGATAATGGCGGTGGCCGATGAAATTGCGGGGAAATGGGAGATCAGCAGAGCATAAGCGTGATGTGCAAGGAGCTAAAACACACGCACGGGACCACAGCTGGGTCTGACCCGTAGTTAATCTTTTAAATCTGATAATTATGAGACTCTGGACAGTTATATGTGGATGTTCAATTAACAATTAAAAAATGAGCGTGTTTTAAAATTAGTCTAATGTTCGACCCCAAATCTGCTGTATATTACCATTGCTAGCCCTAACACCCCTTTTTGCTGCCAAATATCATGGACATAATACCCAACAGACATCACCTTGGCGTCAATACCCCATTTTTCAAAATAACACGACGGGGCGGAGACCCAAGCACCACCTTCGCTGACCTCCAGGCCAAGCGAAGCACATAAAGACCCAGAGCCGCGAAATTGACCCAGAGAAGCACGACCAGATAGATCAAAGCCTTGGGCGGAATTACTCTGAGCACCACTAGTGGATCAAACCCAGACTGCGCCTTGAATTCATCAATCTCAGCCAACGCCGTGTGGTCTCTATCCGAGTCACTGAAATGCATCGCGTTGGTCTCTTCAAAGGTATCATTATAGATGGCCGCCGCAAGAGTACCACCGAGAACCGTCAAAATTGACATGACAACAGCCTGAGAGAGGAGCTCGTAGAGCCATGCACAAGCAAAAAGTAAGGTCGTGAATGCTTCCTCTCGTGATCGTAGATGAGAAGTCGTCAAGAAGAGGGCGAGGGAGTCATGGGGAAGAGCACCCTTTTGTGAAAGTACCAAGAGGCGAGCAGCCAGATATGTCAAAAGACTGACTGAAGCGGCTGTTCCGATGAAAGTTCGATTCCTGTTGAGGAGGTTGAGAGCAGTGAAGCCCAGTGCGATGAGCGTCCATGAGGATAGCAGGACCCCAGAGATGATGGTTGAGATTCGGGGCCAGAGAGAAGAGACTGCCATTGTAGTGTGTTTGAGGGAATTGAGAATTTCAAATCCATGAGAGAAACCGGGGGCTTAAAGGGTCTTTCACTTTTTCGCCTCTATTTTCGCTTCTATGCTCAATGGAGATAGGCCGTGATACTAGCGCGACGGCGAACGGCGCTAGGGCCTGCTGCCTGAGCGTTAGGGCTGTCGCCTGAATTGAGGCTGAAAATCTCCCGATCGCCTCGCTCCGAGTGTCCACCTTGAGATCTGCGGATATTTGTGCACATAATTTTAAACTAACATGTCTCATCTCACCAGAAGCTTTGTAACTCTCAAGGAGAAAGTGCCTTACGCGAATAATTTGCTAGCAACTCACTAGGTTGCGCCACACGTTGGGTCAAACTAAAAAAATGGGGCCATTGCGACCGTAGAAATTTCCATGCTCATTTCGCTTGCAATGATGAAGCTTGTGACTGTGCAATCTACTGAGACAAAGAATTTTTGGATTGGATATGTCAAATCGAAATCGATACATCCATCTGCAAGAAGTAAAGTCCCAAGGTATGTGCATATGACCACCAGAAAAGAAACAACGAACGACCCAAAACGCCCAACAAGTAGATGATGAAAAGAACGTAATAATGTTGACCGTGACATTGCCTCGGGAAGCGATCGGCTCCCGGATCCAAGGGTATCGACGAAGAGCACCGTAGACATGTACGAAGTTGTATTGAAGAGAGACGAGGAGAAGAAAGAGAGGGAGAGAGAGAGAAGCTCTCACTAGTTAGTTAGTTAGTTATCTACACTGCGGGAGCCTGACAAACCAGGCAAAAACCAAACACAGCTGCCCAGTGAGTAGACCTCTTCAAAGCACAATCCAGTTCACTCATGGGCTGGGCTACGGGCCCCTATCAAAAAGCTAACCTCACGACAACTAAACTCAACATCAAGCGGCTGTGCAAACTCCGAAATGAAAATATGGAGACTTTGAAGATAGTCGAGAATAATTCGGTGAGTACGGACCCCGGCGATCTGGGGACGGAGCGCACACGCAGTCTGGCGCCCTGTTTTCTGCCCTCGGCGATCGCGGTCCGTGTCTATGCCGGTCTTTCCACCCTAGAATCAGCATGTCTAATCGGCGCTTTTTTCGGTAGTTCTCAATTTCACCGAGGTTTGTATCCCATAGTGGATTTCGGGGAAGTGCTGCAAACTTTTGGAAGAGCTCTTTTGGGCTGAGTTGGGAGTGGATAATGATATAAATACAAAGCCTTTGCCGAACCTCTACATTTCCTCCTTAATTTGACAAAAACACTCTTTGATGAACCCCCGAGGCTCCTTCATTTCCACGCATTAAGTATTTGCAATGGGTTTCTCCGAGGTCGACAAACTCGCGATCAACACGATTCGCACACTAGCCGTTGATGCAACTTTCAATGCCAACTCAGGACACCCGGGCGCCCCGATGGGGATGGCACCGGCGGCACATGTCCTTTTTAACACAGTCACAGAATCAATGACATTGGCTAATTATCATCCATGGTCTAGCCTTCTATTTGCTCTACCTCAGTTCCTCCCTCACTCTTTTGCATCGCGCGTGCGTTCGCCAGCTCTTCCTCATCCATGGCGATAAATCGAGCAGGTCGTTGAGGCTGGATCGCTTCTTTTTCCATGAAGACCCATGTACCGAGACCCTCCTTGAACACGATATCGACGTCTTCCAGACGCCTGTTTGCTGTTTCTGGATAGAAGAGGAAGATGATCGGGATCGAGACGGCATTGAAGAAGACCCAGATCAAGTAGAATCTCCATCGCAGGTTCTGAATACCAATCGGAGTGATTTGCACCACCATATAGTTTACTGCCCATTGAGCTGCAACACTTGCAGACGATCCAGTCATTCGCATGTTGAGCGAGTTGATCTCGGTATTGTACAGCCAGGCTGTACCCTGCCATCCTACGCCGAAGAATGCATAGAAGAGAAAGATCATACTGACAGCCGCAGCGCCATAGTTGAAAGACATTGTGCTACTGTCTGTCATCTGATTGAACCGGATTAGAAGCATCAGCACAAAATAACAGACGAAGCATCCCGATGAGCCTGATTCAAATGGTTAGCTAGATGTCAATGGCCGACGGGCTATACGTACCAATAAGCATCGCTCCACGCCTTCCCCATTTGTCAATGAGCATCATACCAAGGTATGAGAAAAAGATATAGTGGATTGAATTAACAGCTGTCAGTAGCCTTGCCATTTTCTCCTTGAAACCAACGGAGCTGGTCAAAACCGTTGGGAGGTAATATGATGTGGCATTGATACCAGACAGCTGTACAATGATTTGTGTGCCGAGTCCGAGGATGAATCGGCGTAGAGTTCCCGGTCCTTGGGCTTGGCCCCGGAGCAATTGGCTCCAAGGAATATGATTCTCTGTCTCCGCTTTGTAGGCGCGAAGAATTTCATTTCGCTCTGCGACAACTGTTGGAGAGGACGATGTGGTACCTTTTCCTTGAATGTGAGCGAGCACAAAGTCTGCCTCCTCCAGCCTATCTTTCGATATCAACCACCGAGGGGACTCAGGGAGCCAAGGAGCCGTTGACAAGATCACAATTCCAAACAAAATTTGCAATGCCAGGGGAAATCGCCAGTTCACACTACCTTCGACATAGGAAAAGCCGAAGGTGACCCAATTAGCCAAGCAAAACCCTGCCACATTGACCACTAGACCCAAGACGACCAATTTGCCTCGCCACTTCGGCTCGGTTGTCTCACTCTGGTATACAGGAGTTGTAGCTGTGTTCAAACCATTTCCAAGTCCTGCAACCAAGCGGCCGACGATCATATGCGGGACACCGTATGCAGTAATCTGAAGGATAGCACCAATCATCATGACCACTGTCCCCAGAATAATTGCACGTCGACGGCCCAGCCATGATCCCAGTGACGCTCCAGAAACAGCACCGAAGAAGCACCCAACATCATAAAGAGAGGTGATTGTACCCTGCAGATTTGCATCTGGGTTACCCATGGTTTCTAAGAAATTTTGGGTCACAATAATACCACCTGGTTCGGAAAACGTCAGTCCGGAACCTTTGATCATTTGCCACTGCCACATACTGAAAACTGCCTGGTCGTACCCATACAGGGCCATGGCAGAGGAACAGCAGACTGTGATCCATATTGTGAGGCTTGTGCCTACGCAGCCACCGTATACCTTCATCGTGGAATTATTGTGATATGCGGCCTTCATCTGCGTGTAAGACTCTGGACATGGAAGAGAAGGAGCATAGTTTTATATGGCATGGCCGTCGCAAGTTCCTGAGAACCTCTTGGCTTTTTCTCCAATTTCTCCACAATTTCCCCAGTCCGGGGCCACTCGGGGACGGCATTCGACATGCGACTTCTTGGTTTAGAGTTGCGGAGCGGGAAGCGGGCAAGACACGGACCGAATACATGATTTCGACAGGCGATCAATCATATGATGTCGTGCTTAGCGGGGAAAGGAATATGTCAATTGTGAGGGATAATTTGGTTAGCCGGAAATGGCAAACTCATATTTTGACTATCATACATGGCAAGGTACAGCGGTTGAAATTTTGTCCGCCCAATTCTGTAACAATGGACTCAAATCTAACACTGAAAATTGTAAATCATAAAACTCCCAAGGAAGTGCCGACTCAAGGATAGGTGTACGATGCTCTGCCACGGCTGTCCGGATTACTAACTCAAATAACTTTGCCAGCTCCCAGCGCTCGCTACAAATGTGTAGAGCAAACGCTAAGGAATGCAAGTTAACCGAGACATCTGCCTGTAAACATTTTGTGTGCACTGGAGACGATAAGCTCAAGGATCGCATGGATCAAAGGGGGGGGGGTGTATACCGATGTAAAAGCGAGCAGCAATAAAAATTGGTAGGATCAGACATGGACTGCAATTTTTAAGTTCGTCTTCGTTCATTCTGCGAACCTTTGCTGCCATGTTCTCGCACGCATATTGACACCTATGATCGGCATATGGCCACTGTATATTATAAGAAGTTGAATTTTCAGGTGAGTGATGTTGACTTACTGGGTCTGAACCAGGACCTACGCCTTCTGGCATCGAAGACTGTGACTGTAATAAAGAGATGAGACCCCTGTTTAGATTAGCCTTTGGATTAGCTGCCCTGTTGCCTAAATAATCGGAGGTTTCTGAACCCACATGTTGAGCAAGCAATTTGTCAAGACAATAAATGGCTCCATTTCAGCATGGGAATTCCCGGGGAATGCTGTGTTGATCAACCGGAAGACAGCAGCGACGAATTCTTCTCGCCATATTGTCAAACGTTCATCCAGTCTTTGGGCGCCACTTTGCCATTCTAAACCACCAGCTATTTCGTTTGAATCTCGGACTGTCTGTTGAAAGCGATTGACGGTAGCAAGCTCGGTGGTACATAAGCTGATGCACATGGAAAATCCTGAAGAGTACTGAAGGTTTTGATGCGAGGGCTCCTGTTGAAACAAGTCTTCTGATTCCCAGAGTTTATCGCCGCAGGGAAGCCTGGTAGTGCGTGGAACAGCCGGGACAGACACCTGCGAGGAAACACCTAAAGCAAAGATGCTATCTAGCATTTCGATCATCCAAAAGGCGCGCATGGCTTCTTCGCGCTCCACTTCTGAATTGATGGCAAAATGCTCGTCGGGTTGTAAGGATGTCTTTGGTGGCTGAATTCCATCTGCTGCAGAAGTTGCTGTGAGACCCAGCTGCTCGCTCATTCTATTCAAACGCGCACTCAGTCTCTTTGTGAAATATGCGAAGGTGCCAGGACAGGGGATATAAATTACCTTTTACATATAGCAATTGTACTACTATACTCTGACCACTTCCCTTCTCCCCAGGAGTGTATCGATAGTATAAGTAATGACTGAATTGAACGAAGATTGACAGCCGTCATGGCATCAAGAATGACTTCTTGACAGAGTGTATGTGATCGAGCTTTTATCCAATCCAATGGCATGCTAACCATATCCCACATCGTAATAGCCAAAATTGCTTTGTGTAAACCTTCTCGCCGGGAGAATGAATTAATTACCGAAGTGCGATGTAGAATCGGGAACCAGTGTTGATACTTTTGCATCCACACATCGTGCGACGCCCAGTCAAGCGGTGGAGATGACTGAATCTGCGATAGCTGTGTCACTGCCCCAGGATGCACATGTACGTCCGATGGTGGACTGTTTAAAGGGCCCAAGGTGTCATGATCTGACTGGGTAAGGGGCTGCGGGGTCGAAGGAGGAACGATACCCATTTCTGCATCATTTTGGGATGAATCGTGAGACAATCGACTGACTACGTCGTTCATTCTTCTCTCCAGGTGCTCTGGGAAGATGTGAGCCTATCGTGGACCTGGATAATCGAGCCACTTGCAGCCAAATTTCTCTTACCGACACGTCGTTCCAGTTGCGTCACATAGCCCGCCCTCAGTCCCGGGCGGTGATCGCGTGGCCTGTATTCACAGTCGAAACCATTTTTCTCGCAAAGACCACAGCGGGGTTTACTCCGGTTGCACGCCACCTTTCGCTGGCGACATACCAAGCACCTGCAACGTTTGAAGTCAGAAGGGACGCATATCACCCGGATTGAGTTCAGTTGAGTTTGACCACTTACGCCAGTTTCTTACCATTTTCAGATGACATGATGCGAGTTTGAATACATGAAAGGTGCAGGATGTCGGTGCCGTGTCTTCGCCGAAGTGGGAGGTCGCAATACCCACTTCGGGGAAACTCCGGGTTTTTGGAGGCCTTGGTGCCTTGGAGCCTTGTTTATATTGTCTTGTCCATTTCCCACAAATTGTCGCAAAGTATTCTGTTCTGCTTGTCCTGCTTGTCTTGCATATCCTGCAAAGATTATTCACAATGACTATTTCGACAAGCGCGGATCATGTGGACCGACTTGCGCGAAAGGTTCAAGGTATGAAGCATGTTCATTTTCACACTTCCTTACTGATTTTCCAGGCTTCATCCAGCAGGAACCCGAGAGCTCGAGAATTCTCATCGGCATTTCTGGGATCCCTGGCTCGGGTAAAACGACCCTAGCTGCTGCAGTTGTCGATCATCTCAATCAATTGGAAAACACCGATCTCGCAGCATATATACCAATGGATGGCTATCATCTATCGAGGGCACAGTTAGCAGCGATGCCAGATCCTAAGACGGCAATTCACCGTCGAGGTGCTGCATTTACCTTTGATGGACAAGCGTTCCATCGACTAGTTCAAAAGCTCCGGGAACCTTTGACCACAAATACACCTACTATCTACGCACCATCCTTTGATCATTCAATCAAGGACCCTGTGGCCAATGATATTCCTATCTCACCTCAATCAAAAGTAGTCATTTTTGAGGGGCTGTATCTGTCTTTGAACAGTGAGCCATGGAGCTTGGCTTCTGCTCTGATGAATGAGTGTTGGTTTATTGAGGTCGATCGCGATATTGCTCGAAGCAGACTTATCAAACGTCATGTAACTGCAGGGATTGTACCTGATGCCGCGGCTGCTGAGCATAGAATTGATACCACGGACTGGTTAAACGCAGATGATATCATGGAAAACCGACTTCCTGTGGATGAGCTAGTTCCCGGGAGCTAAATCAATTTCAATCTTCATCGTCATATATATTTGAATAATCGAGTCGTCGAAACCAGCCCAAAGAGGAATATCTAAGTCAGTGTCTCCATATTGATAAAAACCTGGCTCAAAAACCCCTCTCGCCCAGCTCTGTTACAGCTCAGAGAGTCGAAAAACCGACAATCATCAACTTTTTCCGTGTTGTCAAGAGTATCATCATCTGGCCGCAACACTTCGGGGCGGGATGGTATATTGCCCAAAACCGAGCCCAGCTTCAGGATCTCGCGTGAGACCTCAGTCTCAAATCCTCGGTTGTATGTCATATTCGATGTGTTAGAAGCGATGAATTGATTGACGTGACCCAGAAACTCTGTTCTCCGTAGATTGTTAGCAGAAGTTTACCCAATGCATTTGTGTCTAGGCTATCTTCTCTCACCTTTTCGCGTCATTTTCTTCGTTGAGCGGATATAGTACAAGTTGGCAAAGAAGGGAATCAGCTCGAGATGGTCACTGTGAGGTTCTTCTGTACAAAAAGAATTTGTCAACACCCTTGTAGAAGATGGATCTATTCGTCCACTTACCATTCTTGTAGGAATGTATAGATGCAAAGGGCAAATCTCCATCGTGCAGCTGAGGAAATAAAGTCGGAATCGCGGGAAATATGGGTGTCATCTTCCTGATTAGACTCAATAATGATTTCTGTTTTGTAACAGCCAACGGTCTGAGCAAAGGGTGGTATTCGGGAATTGCCCAATCGATGTCGCCTGATGTTCCATCTTTCCAGCAGAACTCCAAGCTTCGAGCGCTTGACTCTATCTTGATCCTCAGCCGGAACCTCTTTCCTGCGGTATCAATCCGCCGTGTCGGACCAGACAGCAGTATACCAGTTGCAAATCCACTCGGAATAGAAGAGCCTGATGAAAGAGTTTCAAGGTGGTAGATCTGCTCCGAAAGCTGCAAAAGGTCACCTATAACGACCGTGCTATTTCTCGGGCCACATATAATACGAGCACCGAGTCCCCATACGAACTGCTGGTGATTCGTCACAGACGATCTGGTTTCATTCATATTTTTGACCACCCATTGTGCAATTTGGTGGATGTGGGATGGGCTGTAGTCGGTCGTTCCGATATGATAGGCGATGAAGGGCTGCGCAAGTTGACGTTTCAACAGGTCTTGGGGTGCTGTATAGTCGTCATCTCGAAGTGTTATCGAGGGTCCACCAGGAGTGGCAGTACCCTGAGAGAGGTGGTAGTAATGTCCTTGGCTATAGATAGACCAGTGACAGCGTTGAAATGGCGTAGTCACCAGACGCTGCCATCTGTTTGGTCGTGCAACAATGTAGACACCGAAGAACTCTGAGTTGTCGATATAGGGATCTGATCCTATGAAGTGTTCATGGACTTGGCGATAACCCTTTGCCAGCAAAGGAAGATTGGGTGATATCAATCCGCCTGAAGGAAGCTCAGACAAGTGTAGACGTGAGGAAGTTGAGCCAAAGACCGGGGCCAGGATGTCGGAGTTTGAAGGGCCATTCTTGGTTTGTTTGATAAGATTCTTGTGCCAACATCTGCTAGGGAATTTGGACATGTTGGATGGTTGAGAATCAAGATTCGGCGATTGCTAGAGAGGATTGTTTCCGAACCCAGATGTTGGACATGAAAGTATTCTTATACTCTAATTGTAGGACACTTCCTGCCTATATTAGCGCAGAATTCTCTCATGCAACGTAGAAAAGACAACAATACACACAACCCATGACTAGCGTTACCACGCTATAGCTTTGCTAGCCTGGCAAAGGAGCGGGAGATACCCGCCGAGCATACCCAGGCGGCTAGAGCCTCAGATCCCCGCGTCTGGCCTATCGGACATGTAAATTCTGCGTTGAAGCGCTTTGTGATAAGATTTCGGCGCGTGCAGTACTAGTGGAGGGTATAACACCGGGATGAGGGCGGCTAAAACGAGCAAAGCGCCAAACTCCCAGCGCCGGCGACATTTTCAGTGTTTTCCTATACGTAGAAAAAACTTTTTTGAGAAATCACCAAGTCACTCTCGTAGCGGCGCATTCGCTTCTGATTAGCCCGCATCGTAGCGCCGACGTGCAGGATGTACCCCTATCCCCAGCCACAATCTCACAATCTCACTCTTCACGCCAAGTGTAAGCAACAAAACACACACAGGCACTGAGCTGTACTCTGTACAATGCCAGTCATAACAGATCTACTCAGCCCAACAACAAGAGAACAAGATGCACTCGAAAACCTCCTACCCGCCTCATTCAGAGACGAGAAGCACGAGTTCCACGCCCCACTCAACGACATCCCAACATTCCTCCACCAAGACCTATCAGTCCAGCGCCTAAACAACATCCAAAAATGGCTCTGGCTAGCAGGCCGCCCCATGCCGCCCCGAGCCCTAAATTACCAAATCTCCGTCTCGCGCCAGATCATCGTCGACGAAAAGGTCGACATGCACCTAGTCTGGGGTCCCGGCCGACGAATCCACATCAAGCCTTTACCCGCCTACCTACTCGACTCTCGCTTCTGGTCCAGTCACTTAGCATGCAACCGCGATGAAAGTGACTGTTGTCCCTGGCGAAACGCAAGCGGGAGCGCAAGCGGGACAGAAACCTTCGCTGCGAACCCTACCGCTTGTCCGCGCGCCGAACTGGGTAAATTAGCCCTCGGCTTCTTGAGCTCGTATATAGCTCTTATAGAGCATCCGAGTGATTTCCTCATTGCGAAACAGCATGCTCTTGTTCCGGAATCACTGAGCTGGATCGCTTGGTCTGGTCTTGTACGGAATTTGCTGCGGACAGATATCATCAATCCGGATAGTGTTAATCGGCGGTATCAATTTGGAGAGCTGCGTCTCGGTCGACTGAATAAGATTTATTTTTGTCAGCGGCGTAGCGTTCTGCGCGGGTATAGATCCAAGTATCAGACGTATGATGAGTTGTTTCATGCGTATTTGACGCCTATCACGGCGATGACGGTGTATTTTGCGCTCGTGTTGACTGCGATGCAGGTTGGGCTTGCTACGGAGAGATTGCAGTATAATGGGGCGTTCCAGAATGCCTCGTATGGGTTTACGGTGTTTTCGATTCTGGGGCCGATATTGCTTGTGTTCATTGTCATCCTCATTGCTATTGCGCATTTGGGGGCTAATTTCTTGGCTACTCTTCTCTTTAAGAAGGAGAGATCTATTTTCTTTAAGAAGAGACGAGTATGATGCAAGGACTGTCATAATAGATGGATAGATTGGAACCTCGTCAAGATGGATACAGACAGAAAAGAAAACAGCCTCAGCACCCAAACGTATACATCTAAAGCTATCATAAACAGACGAAAAGTGAATAGTTTAAGATACCAACCGCACCAAGCTCATCACCGAGCAAACCTATAACTCTAGATTGGAAAAGGCAGAATAGAAGCCACGATCTTGCACTCGTTTATCATGCACTGCGCGCCAATTCAATACAGAACTCGCCCCATTCATGCCCACCATTTAAAGAGAGAATCTCCTCCGCAATAGCCTCTTCCAATCGCTCGCGGTATCGACGCCGATACTCCGTCTTCACCAAAGCCAGATGTCTAGGCTCCCAATGAAGTCTCACAAGTCGCGAGATCAGCAACTCAGAGCGTTCACGACCACTGCGCGATTCCCGCAGAGCCTGGTGTAGAAGCAGGGCATCGCGCATGGGACGGTTAATCGCGCCATTGAGAATGTGAGCGAGTGTTTCTCCCTGTAGATATAGACGTCAGATAAAACCCCAACAAAAGAGAAGAGAGGAAAGTAGACGAAAAGGTGACAAAAACATACCACCAGGTTTTGCGACTTCTGAATCATAGCCTTGGCAAAGTTATGCCTATACATATCCTCATAAACGCGAAGAACCTCACGCAAATGCTCATCACTCCTGAGCACAATAATCTCAATCATAGCCGTCTCGCCGCCCCGCACAAGCGAATGATTCAAATCTTGCACATCATGCATAACCATCCTCTTATCAAGAGGATCACGATCATCCTGCCGACCACCCTCAAGCGCAAGCAAAATAGCAGTACGGAACTTATCAGCCCTCAGCTCTGCCCGCATACATCGCTCAAGACTATTATCGTATCTCGTATCTCGGAACGAGCTCTTGATCTCTCGGATCGCGGCATTCGAGCGTCCCATGAGTGACTCGATGAGAAGTTCGCGACGCGATGTTCCAGCCTGGTAATAGCAGTTCGCCCAATATGCCTCTGATTCCCAGCGACCGAGGGCAGTGGCGTAGCAAACTTTAGCGAAATTCGAAGAACCGAGTTTCAGGCGTAGGTGTTTGGCGAGATTAATTCCTTTTCCTTGCATGCGGACGCGGGATTTGTATTCGCGGCGGAGGGTTAGGATTTCGTCGCTGGTGAGGCGGGGGAGGATTTGGATTAGGGGTTTGTTGTCGATTGTGCGGTGGTTGAGGGCTTCTTGCATTGCGGTTGCGTCGGCGGCGGCGTCGTAGAAGGAGACGCGTTTGCGGCCTGTTGTTGGAGAGATTACGACTGTGGAGTCGGCGATGGAGGACGAGGAGTCGAGACGGGAGTGGGCTGGTCTGCGGCGTTCGTCGCCGGAGCCTCGCTCTTTGTCTTTCCTGTCTTTTCGATCCTTGCTGCTGCGGTGGTCTTTTTCGCCGACGGATGAGTGAGAGCGGTGGCGCCTGTGACGGCTGGAGTCAGAGGTTGAGGTGCCGCCGTCGAGGGGTTCCAGATCGGAGATGTCCTCGTCGCGGATCGAGGGAATCACGATTGGAGAGGGCATTGGTGAAATTGACTGGTATGTACCGTGGTACGGCTCTAGTAACGGACTAGCAGGGGGATGACCTGCATGGCTTGGAGTAGGGGCCGCCACGGCCAGGCTGTTCGACGAAACAGAGTGGCTGTGGGGACGACCTCCCGAATGACCTCTACCAGGCGCAATCTCCACAACCTGCGGCTCGTAGGGGTATCTGTACGTATCCTGCTGCTGCTGAGGTTGCGACTGCGCGTGCGGCTGCACCTGTTGCATCGGCTGCCGATACTGAGCCTGAGCCTGAGCCTGAGCCTGAGCCTGAGCCTGAGTAGGCTGCTGCGCCGTCCTCGAAAATTGCTCATGAGCAGAAGCCGTATACGCCGGCTTAGCCGCCCCCTTCGAAGTATACTTAACATTAGGATCGACCTGCGCATACTGAAACACACCCGGATTCGCATACCCCGAAGCACCCGAAGTAGTCGGATACCCCGCCTCACTAGCCGAAGCCGTCCGATAATGCGACGGCGCATATCCCGCACCAGACACATACGGAGCAACAGGCGTCACGAACTGCGCGGGCACACCAGCCGCCTCAGCAAAACCCGAAGCAGGCGGGAAAGCACCAGGCATGGAAGCCGTATCCGCATGCGACGAAGGCGGCACGAAGCCCGGGCGCTCGCACTCAGGCACCGCAGCCCAATCGGTTCCCGCGCCGGGATAGGGCTGAGACTGAGTAGGACGCGGGGGCTGGACGGGTGCCATGGGCGCAGGCTTGGCATAATTGAATTTCGAAGGACGCGCATAACTCGGATGAGCACCTGGCGCGTCACCATATGCCAATTCATCATCGACAGAGCTGTCGGAGTCATCTACGCGACTGCCGCGATCGGGGGAGCGTCTGCGATGGCGCGTTGAAGATGGGATCTGTGCGGAGACGGGAGGCGCGGGCGCGGGTGCGGATACATATTGGCGACGAGCGCGGTCGTCGTCGGAATGGTCGTAGCGATCTTCGCGACGACGAGATCTCTCATTGCGGTCGGCGCGACGTCTGTCTTCGTCTGAGCTGGAGCGGTTCACGTCGTAGCGGGCGGGGCTGCGGGGGGCCCTGGAGATTGTTCGGGGTTCGGTTGTGGCATTGCGGTGGTCGGTGATGAGTTTGTATTGGCGCTCGATCTCTGCTTCTTCGTCTGGGCTGTAGCGAGATGAGGTTGGTACGGCTGGGGAGCGGGAGCGGGGGATGGAGACGGGACTCGGCTGTCGCGCGACCGGGACCGTTCGCGACCAGGGGATTTGGAGCGGCGCGACCGTGGGTCGTTCACTGAGAGTGACATGGTTCGGATATTTGTTTGTTTTGTTTTCGACTATTCGGCTGTTCACTGTTTTGTTCTGGTTTTTGCTTCAAGTTGGTTTTTGTTTCTGCGGTCTCAGACGGTGTCACACAAAAAGAAGAGTGAGTTTTGTGCGATGCGCCGTTCAAGCCATGACCGTCCTGAGCGAATCGAGAAGTGAGAAAAAGGGGAACGAGAAGAAGAGAAGTGGCGGCTCGTATTGCAAGTAAGAGCTAGTGCATTACTTCTTCAGCGCCGGCCCCCAAAGCACAAATGACTTTCATTGGCTCGAAGTAGTCGCTGAGCTTGAGATCGTCGCTCTTCAGCCGCCAGCTCCTCTTTGGGTCAATGCACCAGTGAGATTGTAAATTCAGCCGAGGGACATCTTTCGTTACATTGTGCCTGAGCAATCTACTCCGTACTCTGACTTGATTATAATATAATTTCAGTCAAATTAGTGCGAACAGTAAAAACACAGCACTACAAATTCTGAGAAGGGGGATAGAGACACATTTTGTCAAAAAAGAAACGAAGCTGATAGGTATGACATAGAAAAGAAGCCGTGAGGCCGCGAAGAATGGGGTATGTGCGGGAAGAGAAATGCGAAGAAAAGAGACAAAAGGTTAACGAGTGCGACGACCATCACCTGGACCCATGCGGCCACCGTAGTTTTGCTGCTTCTGAGGCACCGGCTGTCCATTGCGGTTGAGGCGGTTGGTTCTCCAGCGCTCGTACCAGATCACGCGGCTGGCCTCCCGCAGTTCGGAGCGCCAGTCGGAAAAGACGGAGTCCTTCAGGCGCACAAAGTCACAATGCTCGGCATCGTAAGGGTCTGCGAATCCCCAGGGGAATCGTCGTCCCACGGGTTGGTCACCCGCAGCGAGGGAGTGCGGGTCGGGCGACAGGATGGAGAAGGGAACGTGCTGGTTCGCGGCCTGGCTGCGGGTGCCTTCGCTCAGCTGCGAGGGCGATCTGGGAATCTTTGCCTCCGTGGCGGTGTCCGGGCTGGTAGGTTCACCATTGGCGCCTGTTTCCTCATCCTCGTCGGCACTCTCCGAAGAACTGTACTCCTCTTGATCCTCCAATGTCAAAATCTCCAGGGGGTCGATGTTGGCCTGCTTCAAGCTGTTCCAAACCGCCTTGCGGAGATACTGCATGTGAGCCGAAGTAATGGTGTCCGCCTTGCTGATGACCGGCACAACGGTGGTCTTCCCCAGCACCGTGCGCAAGACCTGCAGATCCAGGTCAGAGTCCAAAACGCCACAGATAGGCTTATCCGAGGCGTTGGGGGTCCCCTTCGCAGCACGCTCGGCGGCGGCGATGTTCTCGTCGAGACGGACGGGGTCCAGCAGGAGGAAGGTACAGTGGATGTGAGTGTCGCGGGCACCGGGGGAACGAATAACCTTCATCTCCTCGGCGAGGGTCTCCTCAAACTTGCTCTCCAGGAAACCTGTAACGCCCCGCAGCTGCAGATCGACGATGTTGCGCTCCAGACCCACCGAGTCCCACAGGGTCAGTCCAACACGTTCTCCATCGAATTCGGTCTCGAGGTACTGCGAGGTGAAGCCTTCCCAAGCCGAAGTCTGACGCTCCAGTTCCTCGATCTCTTCCGGGCTGCGTGATGGGTGCTTGTGAGCGGGCATGGTGAGCGCCGAGCGGAGGAAGTTCAAGAACGAAGTCTTGCCCGAGTTCCGGGCTCCGATGACGAGGACACTAGAGCTGGGAGTTAGCCAAGCTGCTCCAAGCAGAGATGTATCTCTATCTCGCAACTTACTTGTAGGAGGTGGGGTCCTTGCGACGGCGCACACGGCGTGGGCTGTTGACGGTGCTGTTGGTGCTGGCGTAGCTGTAACGGCCGCGATGGGTCATGCTCTCCGTGCGGGCGTAGGGATCAATCACATTGGTAATTGAACCGGTCATGGTGGGCGAAGCGGCGAAACCGGACTGGGGGCGAGAGATGGGAGCAGGGTCGATCTTATCGCGTTCTTCGCCGCCAAAGGTTTCCAGCTCGGGAGCGGGGGAGAAATCAGGCAAGCGGGGAGGGACTTTGGGGGCGTAAGACTCGCGCTGACGGCGCATCTCGTCTTCCATGGCAGTCTTCTTCCGGCGGGAACCAGACGACTTGCGTTCGCCGAGAGGTTCGGTGGATTTAGAACGACGAAGGAAGCCGAGGGAGGTGCGGCGGTCCGGTTCAGGCAGGCGTGCAGTTGGGGCTGCCATTGCTCCTTTTCTTTTTTTTTCACATTAGGTCACGTTCCTTTTTCTCTTCTCCTTTCGGGTGTTTGACGTTTCATGTTGATTGCCCTCATTTGGACTATCTCCATCGCGCATCTCGCATCTCGCATCTTCAACCTCCAGGGGATCACTTACTGGAAATACTCCGTACAGATCTCGACACCAGGTTACAAATAAACCAATAAAATGTACAACTTCAGAGCAATTTGAAACTGCGCCGAAACTTGTCACCTGTTACAGCTCAGGAGAAAAGATAGAAGGATTCCCAACCAGTGGGCGATCGAATTGAAATTGGGACTTAGAACAAAGTTTCCTCTTTTTGGCGGCTTTTTTGGGTTCTTTTTTTCTTGCAAATTGCGAAATGGGCCTGCTCACAGCGTCCAGCAACAGCGGCGCTTGGAGAAATGAGAGAATGAGAGAATGAAAGGAAGTCAATTCACAGCTACAGGGGAAGTTCTCCAGGGCGATCCAAGGGAAATTCTGATTGGATTCAGGGGTAACCAAAATGTCCAAATAACAAAAAAAAACAGGCGCCGAAGCATCGTCAAATCCGAGAGCCCAGAGCCCCCCGTTCGTCTCCACATGGAGCTTGGGTGTCTGGTCCTCCCACGCCAATGAGCGACTAGAGCCAGACGGGAAGTGGTAGGATCTCTTCTTTACGGGATGAAGCGAGACCTGTCGAATTTGGCTCCCAGAATCTGCAATGAGTTCGTACTGCTAACTTCTTTCTGGGAAGAACAAGTGAATTGTCATTTATCTCATTTAGCTGCACGTTGCTTTTCCCTCTCGTGGCCCTCCTCGTGCGGGCACGTGCACGTCAGCCGTTGATGTCTCCACCTGCTGACCTAATCTTGCTGAGCTCAGCTGTTCAAAATGCCCAGCCCAGGTGACTTGCGGATTGTAGTCGCCATGACTTTTAGCCTCATCAAAAGAAATAATAAGATTACCAGGACGATCTTTAAGTCTCCAAGGCAATCTCCCAATGCTCCAGACTCATGTATATCATTCCCAAATTTTAATAACCGTATCTCAAAAGAAACTAGCCCCCATTCAGGCCCTGGGCAGGTACGGATTCTTATTATCAATCTTGAACCTGCGATCAGCCTCGGGTAAGACGAGCTCGACACCGAGTACCATGGAACGGCGCGGGATGGGATGAACTATTTAATTTGCCCCTCTTTCCCGAACAACACGAGGGCGAGCCCCTTTACAGCCCAAGCGCCCTCAGTGTTGGTGTTGGTCGTGGTATTATATCACCTTGAATGATACCCTCGCCTGCACTACTGAGCTCGACTTGGCTACATGTACTCTGTACATATTGCGACTGATAGTATTTCAAGCTAATTTTTCACACATTGCGTAGCTGCCTCCTCTAGAAGTCTTACAATTGCTTCATTGCCACTCCATTCTGCAAAGTTCCGTGGTGTATCATCTTCTTCAACCACAACAGCGGAAACATCCGCCCCTTTTTCGAGTAGCATTTTTACAACTGCTTCATTCCCAGACTCGGCCGCTATATGCAGTGTCGTATGTCCCAGAATATCACGATCCATCACGTTCGCCCCATTCGCCAAAAGTGACCTAACAGCCCATTCATTGCCATCCTCTGCAGCAAGGAGTAGTGGTGTCATGTGCCGAAAACGTTCAGATACAGTCACATCTGCACCCTTCGCCAGAAGTAGATTAAGAACAGACTCGCCGCGAGGATTCTCGAAACCAAATGCATAGAATAACGCTGTTTGCCCATTTGATGAAGCTGCCTCTAAGTCAACTCCCTTCTCTAAGAGCAACTCCACCACCGCTTCATTTCCAAACTGAGCTGCATAATGGAGTGCTGTCTCTCGGTTGATCGTTAATGCTGCCACATCAGCTCCTTTCTCTAGAAGCAGTCTCGTAACACTTTCTTGGCCACCACGGGCCGCATGGTGTAGAGCAGTCTCTTGCCCTGAATTAGTGACAGCAATATCTGCCCCCATTCCTAGCAGCATATGGACGACTGTTTCATGGCTATTTCCTGCAGCGAGTTGCAGTGCGCTATATGTCTGACCCTCTCCCATATGTATCGCAGACGATAGATCCGCACCTGCATCCACCAAAAGCTTGATGATGCAATTCGTTCCGGCCTCTGCGGCGAGACATAGTGCTCTGCTTTTCTCTTCAAGTGGAATTGGCGCATCACTGGTTTTGCTTAGGATCTTGCGGATTATAGATGCTTGATTCCTTTTTGCGGCCCATCCGAGGACGGAATTTCCGTCGGCGCAGATATGGGTGCGCGCACGTTGATAAAGATGGGAATCGAGGATGTCGGCATATCTTCGCGCAGTGCGTAGAAATGAGCTGACGTCTCGGGTGTTCAGAATGTCCGCTATCATGAGGAGGAGCTCGATTGGGAGGTCGAGTAGTGGACTTGGAAGCACCTGTCTTGTGGGCATATTGAACTCGAGGACTAATCTGGATATCCTGTTGCGTTATCTCACAAGTCTTCATTTGTCAAATAATGCAAAAGACAGATGTAGACGCGGGCTCCAAAAAAAATTAAAAGGGGCGAAGATCTTGCCAGATGTTCGTTACATCTTCATTCTGATTGGACTATTTGTCAAAACAATACTTACGGTCCTCAGCGGAAGATCTCACGACAATCATGAGCAAGTGGTATTTATTTTTATCAAAATCAGTGTTGCTATATCCAGGCAGTACATCTTAACTTTTTTATATAGCAATAGTAAAAATATCGTTATAGTAGGTTGGTCTCAAGACCCGAAAAGCTTCCGAATTGATAATCTCTCTCTTCTAGCCTAGAGATTATGACAGATGGTTCAAAACTTATATCATAGGAGACGAGAAGGAAGGAGGAAGGAAGAGAGGGAAGCTCCCGATATACAATTATCTAGCAGCACGGAGACCCTACAAACCAGGTAACTGCTGCTGCCGACAGGTATAAGACTATCCCTACATAGGGCTAAATCTCGCCCCGCCGAGCGTCCAATAACCTAACTTGACTCTGAGCTCAAGTCACTAGGCTTTGTCTCACGCTGAGATGTTTTCAGGATCCCGAGCCTGGTTCATCTACATGTGGGTGTTTACTCCAAATCTTATATTGGTGGCCTTATAACACACTTTTATTGTCTTCCTTCGAGTGAAACGCTGCACTAGTGATCTTGATAGACCGCACTCGCGACATCTTCCAGGTCGCCGGAAGAGATGCGAACGCTTCGAACAACGCCAACAAACTTCACCAGATGCCTGTCAAAACCCATCATTCGATAAATTTACGTGAAGTGAATGAGGAGTTGAAATCGAGTCTCTTTTCGACTTCGTCTACGACCAGTGCGATTTATTACCGGTACATTCAAGTGCATTCATTTAAACCTCCTGATTAGTTGAAGTGCTACATCCCAAGCATCAATAAGCACCTCTGGTAACCTCGGTATTCATTGAGCAACCAATTTCCGCAGCTAGTGTGCTGCTTCATTGTGCAACGTTGCTCTTTTGCCCGTTTGCGTGGCCGCAATTACTTCTCATTTGCGCGCCCAGTTTTGGAGCATTTAATTCCCCACAGACCCTTTCTATATGAATTAATCATTTTTGAACTTCTGCTTCCTCATAGTCTGCTTCTTACTTCTTCAAAATTTCTGCAATCTGGGCGTAGCCAGTCACTGGCTGTTAAAGGGGTCTTACACACGTTGTACCGGGCAGTCTCGACGCCTCGTTGGTACCTTCCCCAATGAGCCGGAGTTGCCGAGCTTTCCTCATTCCCGGGAATTCTTGATCTCTCCCGAGGTCGCGGGACTATATAAGAAGGATAGCTGCATGTCCGCGACTACACGGTGGAATTTATCCACACTAATACCTCACTTCCATCTCACTTTCACCTCATTTCGATCAAGTTGAGAATTCATACTCGCCGAGCATTCACGCGACTGACTGCCACCATCATATTCTGGTACAACTGAATGACTCCGAAGTCGTTGGCCTATGGCACAAAGGTTGAGTCAAAGAAGACTGACACACAAGGCCCGATTGCAGAAGTGATAAAGGGAACGTTATAATAAACAAGGTTCGCCGAGTGAAGCCCCGCTCCACTTGTCTGAAAGTATGAATTTTCGTGGACTGTCGTGAATCCAAACACAAACGCTCTGGCAGGTCGACAGCTAGGGCCCTCGTGACGCTCATCTGGACGAAATCCGATACGAACGTGGCGAATGCTTCCGGTACGTGGTCGGTAGGACTCATACTAAATTCGGCCGACACTTCGCTATTGAGGGACAAATTATCTGATATAGATCTGAGGAACTTATCTTGCGACTCGTGGACAAAGGCTCCTCCCACCTGCGCAAAGGATATCGAAACCTGACTTCACATAACTCGAGATTCAACGCGCGACCTGGGAACTCAGCGTCAAGGATGTGGAAAGGTGCCTACATTCAAGACACGATGGTGAATATACCGAGATGGCCTCGGGGCAGAGTCTTGCTCTTCTCTCGAAACTTAGTAGGTAATCTGGGACATGGTGAACAAAAGGCTTACACAACTGACTGGGAGTAGTTACTACATTGGATCTTATCCAGCAAACTTTCGAGAAGGCAGGATCACAGTGTCTACTGCGATGAGGGCCTCGGCACTTTTATCCTGAGCACATATACATGAAGCCGCCACCGAGGTCGAAAAAGCACACCCACTCAGTGTGCAATGCGAGTCTGGATCTGCTTCTGCTATCATGTTTGAGCGCCTCCCGCTGATTTGGACCATCAGCACCACATTTGTTTACACACTTCCACTGATCCAATCGGGACGCCCAAGCTCCGCCCCACATTTCCTGAATTTCCGAGAGTGCAAACGGTGTGTGCCACTTCGTCAACCTCAGCAGAGTGGTGCGCTTTGGGCCAGCCAATAAGAGATGCGCAATGGTTCAAGAAGATCGCTGTGTCAATGCGATTGCCCAATATGGAAGATCCCCAATCTTCACGGACTCAGTCAATACGGAGATCATTCTACACCAAGAGATCACCAGGAAGTCGACATCAGGGCTCTATGTACGCTATTTCTTCATACGGGACGCAGTAGCGGACAATCTCATCAGTCCTCACCGGATTAGTACTAAGGAAAATGCTGCCGGCGGATTTACAGAAGCACTGAGGATGGAAGAGCTTCCTGGCTTCCTTAATCTCCTCGGTATGGACGATAGTTAAGTGCAGCTCATTTGACAGGCGGGCGGGCATTGTCGCATGAGAAAGGAAGGCCGATTCTGTCGAACGGTGCTTTTACATGATTATCTGCCCTGTGAGAGGAATAAGGCAACACAGGAAGCTTGATGCGGATATTTTCCACCAGAGACAAATAGACCATACCTAACCTCTTCACAGTATGCCGGTACCCATTTCATATGCGATCATTTCCAAGGTTTACATCGGTTAATTCTAAGCGATAGGGTATGTTCAGAGCCGCACGAATACTAAGCAAGAAGTTGCATCACCTCCCAAACAAGGTGACATCTCTGCGTTTCAAGTGTCGACAAATCAGATTGTGTGCCAATGGCAGTGGTACATTCTGTGACCGAAAGCGCCTCTTATGCAGGTGAGCGCATTAATCAGAAGGATCAATTGCATGAGTCCCAACCTTGAAAGTACTCCGTAGCTTGTACCCAGTACCAAAAAGTAAGAGATACGAAAAATGCTTCTTGTTTCGCCAAGATCTAGTGGAATCAAACCGACCCGATCAATCTCGCTCGAAGGATACCCGTGGACGCTACCATGAAACACATTTCCCAGGCAGTATTGAGAAATCAATGAGCAGCAGAGGCAATGAAAATTTCAAGACAATTTCAATCTTGATCTCATCAGACATTGGTGAAGACTCAACAACAGTGCCAAGAGCGGGCAGATTGTCTTGAGTTGTCAACTTCATGCGGGGCAATACTCCGGACTTCAGCGATCGTCACTAATATGCCTGGATTCAGCCTAGTCCGCCAGAAAAGCAGTGCTTGGCAGAGCATGCCAAGCTTTCCAGGTCAATCATCTGCATGTTTAAAAGTATAGTTATCCGACCCGACTTCGTATAGAGCCGACGTGGCATATATTAATCTGACTGCGTGACGCATTGCATCTCACTCGGCGAGGTACAGGATAGGTATCGTGGAGTGATGGCCACCTCTAGATTCTTGGCACCTACGGTCAAATCCGAGGATAGAGATACGTCTTCAGCTTTGACGGCTCAAGATGAATACTTAAAGCTCGACGAGGTTCGTCTACGATTGAAATAATTCTCTTCATCATCTTGATCAACAAAGAAAATAGTTCAACTCCAAAAGAAGAAAAAGTCAAGCTTCTCAGTCGACTTCAAATTCCCAACAATGCATTTCTACAAAAGCATTCCAACTCTTCTCTCCCTTGTGCTTTCTGTCGCGGCTCTTCCCTGCGACCAAGCAATTTTGACCAATAGCCCTGATACCAGCCAAACAAAAACCTCCGAGCATGTATTCATCAACCCCACCGCCAATGGCGGGCTGTATCTATGCGAAAACGCCGGTTTCCGAGGATACTGTGTTCACTATACCGAGCCATTCGGAAGATGTAGTAAGTAACCACATGAATAGCCGAAGTATCTTTGACCTGCGCTGACAATATAAATAAGCTACCATCAACAATCAATTCCCCTCTGGCGATCGGGGGGTTTCTGCTGCCGGTGCTGACCGCGGTAGTTGGTGTACCCTCTACACGTATGAATCCGTTCTGTGTTACCTGTTACCTGTAACCGTTACTGACTTTATTGAAATCATAGGGAAGAAAATTGTCATGGACAAGAGCTTCAAGTGCATTACCCGGGATATGAAAATCTCTCCCCGCTTGGTTGGAATGATAGAGTTCGGAGTTTCAACTGTGCTGCGGAATGAAGCTTTTCGGGGACCTGGAATTTCCTCCATCTTATCTGGCCAGGGAATCTTTAGCAAAAAGGTTCATTAAGTAGTCAATGCTTAGTAAAAATATTGTCTTTTCATAACTCGCCTCATTAGTATGGTGAATGAGCAAAGACTTGAGACAACGGTGCTATTGACATACTGTCAATTGTGGATCTCAACCCATGGCCCCAGGACAAAGTCAGTGTTGAGTAGAGTAAACTCGTAGTTGAAAAATTCTGCATGAACGTTGCAGGGGGCTTGGCCAACACGTAAAAGAGCGATACCCTAAGTGAGCTGCAAAGACGGAACCGTGGACTTCGATGCTCCAAGGCTGCTCTCGCGTAGGCCGAGGCGAAAGGTCCTATAAATGTTTCACCTGTGCATAAGATGTTTCACCTGTGCATAAGATGGGGAATTTTTTACTTTGAGGTGGGCTTCAGGCCCACAGACACCTGGGAAGATTCAAATCTCCAAATTTTCCGGTCTTTCGGTTTTCGAACTAAGGTCCAGCTATAGAGAGGTCAGGGCTGACTTGATCAATTGAGAACATGAAGCCACTGTACCTATGTCGGGGAGGTTCAGGTTACACGGACCATTGTGATACACTTCTCCAGACCATTGGTACATCGCACGTGTCGATTTTAGCCCATCTGAAGGCAATTGATATTCAGGCAACCTGATTGTTTAGCGGCCATCGGTCAAATCCCACACAAATCTCAAGCCCAAACCCAAGTTCTAGTACAGGTAGGGCGGAATTCCCTGCAGGCAACGCAATAATTGAATTGTGTTGCCTGAAACAGGGTTGAGGAGAGGAACCAGTAGAAATTCGTAGAGCCAACCAGCGACAGGCGCCCCACCAGGTTAAGCTTCGAAGGTTCGGTTTCCCGCGCGAATCCACCTAAACGCAAAGCTTGGCTCAGACTAATTTTCCCCTTATACTGGGACTTTGGGCCATTCCTTCTCTTCTGATTGGTACAGAACATGACTGACAGGGTTTGCATGAGGGCTTTTCTTCCGATGGTAGTGCGGAGGTTTACCCCGGAAGTACACTGGGACTTTTGTGTTTTCTCTCAATTCCAATGAAACTTTTCATTCTGTACATTATGTTCTGGCGATTGAAGGTGTGATAATGGGCTACTGCAAATTATATTTTCTGTTATTTAGAGAGCTCATAATCCACCGCGGAATTGGTCAATTGGGGCCATGAGCCTCAAATTGAATATCAGTCAGATTGAAATACAGACATAGATATTTTCACGGGTCGTGGCCTAAAAATACAGTGGCCCACATCGTATTTCTATTATTGCCCGGTGATATTCACACAGTAGCGAGTCAATCACTCATATAGTTACACCCCCGAGCCCTGTTGCTCGCCCCCATCTCCCACTCGTCTCCAGGCCACTTTTTCTTCTTCCACTCCTTTGACCGCAACTTCATATCCAACTGCCATGCACACATAGAGGATCTCATATCGCTCTTTCTTCTTGTTGATATTCAACCTTGGCCACATCGTAGGCCATTCCACTCCCTTCCTCGCCCACCTCCTCGCCCACCTCAACATGAATCTCTCATCGAGGCATGTACACGAGATAGCACTTGGGTCAAAGAAACTGGGCCCGATCTCAGTCTTAGCCCCTTTCTCAGCACTCATTATCTCCATCACACTCGTTATCTTTTTCTTGATTCGCTACTATGTATTGGAAGGCTTTCTCATCCGCCGCATATATGGCAGCATTTACACAGACATGACCGAATTGAACCGCCGAGGCTTCATCAATCACCACATCGCAGGTGTCACAAAGCTCATCATCTTGATCGTCGCCGCATACCCATTTGTCAGCGTCACATTTGGTAGTGGGCGCTTCCAGACGCCTTTCGCCAAGGGATCACCGGTCACACTGGGAGATATGCTGGTCGTTGTCGCCCAGATGTTGATCGGCATGTATATTTTCGAGTTGATCTACCGCGCCAAGCTGTCACCAGTGGCGGTCCTGCATCACATGGGCACGATCCTGATTGGCCAGGCGGCTATCGCGATCAGTCTGAGGTCTTTACGCGAGCAGGATGCTTACATTGAGTTCATCCTGTGCACCGTCTGGGGTAAGTTGTTTGTTTCTGGGGTCTGGCATCGGGGTTCTGACTTTACTTCTCTGTAGGCGCTTTCGATATCATCTCCGAGTTCTTTCCACATGTCGCCATCATCCTGTATCGTGTTTTCCCCGATCGCCATCGATTCCTCAGTCGCGTGTTCCTTTTATCTTGCTTCACAACAGCAACGGGAACGCTCTGTGAGACTATTGTGACAATGTGGCTGTTTGGTAGTTTGTGGAGTCAATGGCGCTTGGCTTTCAAAGTGGTGACTCCACTTTTGCATATTGCGTTTTCCGCAGCGCAGGTACATGGAAGTATTGTTTTCTGGAGGATGCATCGTCGCCAACAACGATATTTACAAGAAGAGGGGGATGTTGAGGCCAGCTGCGCAAACAAAGATGACGCAAAGCATTGTGACCATCAAAGTGAGGAAATCACAACCTGTACGAGTGTTGGTTCTACATTTCCCATCGCTCACACACCTGTGTAGCTTCAAATTTTGCATGTTTTATTCGGGTTTTGGAGTTTTGCACATATGATAGACTTTTTCTCAACAGCGAATAGTTTTGAATAATTCCATGAATCCGATCACTTTTGAAAAAAACTAGGAGCCAAAGCGGCTAATCTCTTAGTTTTAAGTGGCGGAGGCATGAGATGTCCCCGGGGCTGTTTGAGCTAGCCACGCCACACGGGCTTCCCCGAACACCTGCTTGCTCCCGGCTGGAGCGCCCCAACAATGACACCTGGGCATGCATGGATTCAACCCCCAGGTATCTCTGTGCCCCGGACACTATGATTTAATCCTGAAGGCTTTCTATAATCTTAGTGTGATTGAGTGAAGATACGGTGATCTTGAAATGTTTGAGCATAATTTTATCAACTGTGATCAAGCTAAAAAAGAGATTGCCATGTCAGCTGGGAATAGCTCCAACTAGGGCTATAATTCCCGATCGCATCGAAAGCCTTCCCAACCACGGCGATTTCAAGCGACCGCAAAGTGGCAAGCGCAACCATCAGCTGAGCCCTGTATACGGAGTACTTGCAGAGTGAAACAAAGAAACATAAATAATGGACCTGCACCTTATACCCAAAGAATACATACTTCCAAACAACCATGTCAGACCCCCAACCATCCCGCAAACGTTTAATAATCTGCTGCGACGGCAGCGGCCAATCCGCCGTCTCAGGCAAAACCAGCGTCCCATCCAACGTAACCCGACTCTGCCGCGCAATCAGCAGCGTCGGAACCACTGACAAAACATGGCAACAAATTGTCTGGTATGATTCCGGAGTCGGAACAAATGGCCAAGCCCCCGCCAGCAAAGACCTGGAAGGCAACGTTATCGAAGCGTATAATTTCTGCGTGCTGAATTGGAACCCCGGTGATCAGATTCTATGCTTTGGATTCTCACGGGGTGCGTATACGGCGCGCGCTGTCGCGGGTCTGATTTCCGATCTGGGAATTTGTTCAAAGGTTGATATTCAGGATTTTCCCGAGATTTGGAAATTGTATAAGAGTGGTCATCCTGCGGTTACTGGTGAGAGGTTTTATGGAAGCGATGCTTATTTTGAATGGCATGATGGGAAGCCTGCGGATCCCCAGCCTGTTGAGAGGCAGGGGGAGAAGATTGTTTGGGATTCTGTTGGGAGGGGGAATGGGCGAGGCCGGGGTCGAGGCAGGTTGAGGTTGTGGGTGTTTTTGATACCGTTGGGGCTCTTGGATTTCCGGAGGTCTTTGGGTATGAGGTGCCCAAATGGTTGACGAGGACGGACAAGCCCGAGTGGCATAATGTTGGACTTTCTCCAAGTATGAATGACGCTCTGTTGCTTTTTGGAATTGGCTGACCGACATGAAGATATTAGACATGCATTCCAGGCGCTCGCCTTAGATGAGCATCGTGCTGTATTCACTCCGACACTATTTTATGTTCCAATCGTGACGAAAGCTTTGCCTGGGGATATTTTGAAACAGCAAGAAGTCCACAAGATTGCGACGAAAGCATGGTTGGATCTTTTGTTGACTGAAAGACCAACCATTGATGAAATCAACCGTGTGCTGAAAGCCAAGAATGAAGCCTCGCGCAAACTTCTCGAGATGGAAGATAGTCAAAAGGACCCCTCAAAGCTGCTCCAAGTCTGGTTCCCAGGAGTTCATGTCAACATCGGTGGCGGGTCGACCCTCACCTTGGAGAACAAGGGCAATATGGAAGAAATGTCCAACATCGTATTCGCCTGGATGCTGGATCAAATCAAAGGCTTCGTCTCCCTGAACGACGAAGTGTTGCAGAAAGATCAACTCGCCCGTCGGAACCGCTTGTCCAAGATAAACAATTCTCTTCACTGGTACAATGAGCGCATGAAGCAGCGACAAAGTGAATCGTGGGGACAATGGCTTCGACGTGGTAGCGAGTGGGTAACTTCATCCATCTTGCATCCCCTCACGCCCAGCGACAAGCCCGCTTATATGCATGATCGCGTCTATACCTGGGGCCTTGGCGACCTGCCAGACAACTTTGGAATTGTCTATATTGCCAATGGGTCTCGACCACGAACTCCAGGCCGATATGCAATTGCAAATGGACAAAAGCTCGGTGAGACTTTCGAGCGCATCCACCCTGTTGTTGGATACAGAGTGGAGAAAATACAGAGCGGTCCAAAGAATCAACAGTATCGGCCCATCTGGCTGGTGGGTGATAACTATGAGCGCCGGAGGAAAGGTGGCAAGTATGAATACCGCCTGAGATACCCTGGGGCCTCTGAAGATGAAGTCCTGCCTGAGTGGGAGATGTCTGCAGATGTCAACTCTTATGAGCGATTGGCGATTGAAGGAGATTCAGCTTATGACTATGTTGATGCCTTGGACTTTGAGTTGGGCAGAGACATCAAGACTCCTCGTTCGCGACTTGGGTGGGGTGACCGAACTTCCAGTTAATGTGTATCTCGAATCCAGAAATGGCCTAATGCAGTCAATATCAATATTCTTCAGAGCTTTGTTAGTTAGTAAAACCGATTACTCAGTCTTGAGAGCCGCAGAGGGGAAAAGTTGCAATCACAAATGACGAGCCCTAACTCCACTTTATCGGCAACATACATGCCAAACCATGCGCAGCAATCGCCTGTGGGCAAGTGGTCTAGTTTCAGTTTGAGCTGCAATGTTCCAGGCAATATGGCACTGTTAACCAGTGGTGATAAGTATTCTGGGTAGCCCTAGAGCTGCGTGGCTATGCTGGCCGTGAAGTGCATCCCATACCAGACAGCTTCGTAGGGCATTTTCTTCCAGACTTCCAGGGTCTCCAGATGGGGGATTTGATCAAAGCAATGAAGCATCTGTTCACAGGGAGCTGGTTATGTAAAAGCATCGCCGAGTCGACCCATTGGAGTGCAGATTTTCCCCCCGGTTTGTACGATCCGATTTCTGGCTTTAGGTTGAAGAGTAAAATTTCCAAAAAATGGCCTATTTCAAATGGAACAAGAATGTCTGCAGTAGTTGAGTCGTTTGGTGATGGCACTCGCCTTGTTTGTCGATTTAGATTCCAATTCCGTTTCTACGTAAGATCAGTCGGAAAGGCAGTCCTCATCGACTCGACTCGACCCGACCCGACTCGACTCCCTGAGCGCACCGTCTGTTGGGGCCCCATGGCTCCACTTGGGCTTGAGAAGCTATTTTCAAGCCCGGTACGCTTGCCATACGGCCTCATTGTTTTTTCTTTCCCAAACACAAGTGAGTATGCACCTTGAGCAACCAAGGATACGATAAGAATTCAGCGAAGCACGAGATCGACGGAAAACTATCCATTTTTCTGTCTGCACTGACTTGATAAAAATATCGACGCGATCTTCCTAGGTTTGATCAGAAGCCCCGCGAAAGGTTTCCACAAACTTGCAAATCCGTCCTAAAAAATTATTCGCTTCGTTAATATTCACCAGGGACACACATGTCCATTCACCTCAATCGATTTCAACCTTGTTCTCGCCGAGGTATCTCATCGATTGGAAAAGTCTCTCAAATCCACAAACTTCAGGTGGTCGCCTCATGCTGATTGGCCATGCGCTGCATGTTGAGGCCTGCGATCGGTTAGTGAGTACCATTCCATGCCTGAGATACAAATGGGATTTCAACTTACCAAAGTCTTCAGAAGACCGCGGTTTGGCCTTGCGGCGAGGTAATCTACCATGCATCAGGTTGTCAAATGTGGGCGAATTGTGCAACAGGATGTACGCCATTGCGATAGCACAAGTCACCCCGGAAGCGATAACCCAGACATTGAGTGCAGTCAGCGGGTGTACCATCGAGCCGAAGATACCGAAGCAAGCGATCAGCGTGGCCGTGACATCGATTGCTACGATCGCAGCGCAAAGAGACATCGAGGGCTTGTTGGTCCACAGCGAGCGGGAGCCAGCACCAGACGACCGAGTCACAAAGATCAACCAACTCTGGGTCAGCGAGATCTCCAGGAACATGACTTCATCACGCAGCCTCTGACTGACAAAGCCGTTCACCGCAGCAATACCTCCCTCATCTAAGAGCGTTGTGGTGTAAGCTACCCAGCTTCCGATGGCCAAGAGGGAACCCAGCACAATCGATTCACCCCACAGTCTTGGTGTGTTCCACTTGACAGGGACATGGGAGTAAGGAGCGTTGTCATAAGCAATGGCCAGAGTCGCAATATCGGCAAATATCGCAAAAAGAACTATCAGGCGAAGATCCAGTGTTTCATTCTCGATGAAGATCTTGATGCCGAAGAAGATTTCCAAATGAATGGACAAAGCAATCCGATAAACAACATACGAGTACATGCGGTGAAAGATCTGGCGAGATGTCTTGATCGAATCAATGATGGCCGACAGACCGGGTGCCAGGAACACAATGTCGGCAGCGGATCGAGCTGCATCAGATGCGCCCTCAACTGCGATACCGGTATCGGCCTTCTTCAACGAGGGGGCGTCATTCACTCCATCTCCGGTCATGGCAACCAGATAACCGCGAGCCTGCAGGATCTCAATGACACTGTACTTGTGCTGGGGGAATACTTCAGCAAACCCATCTGCAGCCTCAACAAAGTCAGCAACCTCGGATCCAGGCATGCAGCCAGCACCAGTCACCCCGAGCCGCTCAGCATTGTAAATGTTGGTTCCGAGCCCAAGTCTGGCCGATGTCTCACGAGCAATACCGACGGCATCACCAGTGAGCATTTTGATCGAGAGGCCGAGACTTTTGGCTTCAACAATCGTCTGGGCGGTATCATGTCGAGGGGGGTCGTGGACCGGCATAATTCCCATTATCTCCCAGTCATGGCCTTCGCGCTTGCGAGCAATCCCGAGGCAACGGAAGCCACGAGTGGCAAATTCAAGAACCTTTGTCTTGTACTGAGCGACAAACTGCTCACTGAGCACAGTCTCTTTGAGCACAGTTTGCAGGACAGTTCGTGGGGCACCCTTGATGCAAGTAATCCGCTCGCCATCTGGAGACTGAACAAGCGCAGTCACTCTCTTTGAGACTGAGTCGAATGGAGAAAACTCCAACGTCTTGTATGAGGCGATCTGTGCTTTGACGGCGGGATAATGACGAAGCCCCTTCAGGAAGACTTTGTCGATAGCATCGATGCCTCCCTTCTTACGATTTGCGGCAAGACATGCAATCAACATGAGGTCGGCTGCTGTATTTCCAGGAACAAGGTGTTGTTCTCCCAGGGTCAAGACATTGCGGGTCAAAGTTCCAGTTTTATCCGAACACAAGATCTCGACTCCAGCCAAGGACTCAATAGCGGATAGCTTTTGCACGATTGCCTTGCGATTGGCTAGATATGCCGCACCCACGGCCATGGTTGTGGTTACAACGATGGGAAGTCCAACGGGTACACCTACCATTGCAATCGCCAAAGTGTGTTCGAGGATCTGGATGATGAGATTGGATCGATAGAATCCTGAGATCCATACCGCAACCAGCGTGAAGATTACCAGATAGAGAAGTGAGCGTGCCATTCCGTTCAGGACAAGAGTGAAGTGTCCAGGGGATTGCTGAGCTTGCTGGACAAGGGCTGCAGCAGTGCCGACATAGGTGTGGTCACCAATTGCCGTGACTACCATGTATCCCGAGCCACGCTTGATAGCGGAAGATGCATAGCAAGTGTCCCCTTTTGCCTTTTCGACTGCAAGAGATTCACCCGTGATGCCGGACTGGTCGACCTGGATGATCTCATTCGTGGCGATAATGCTGCCGTCCGCTGCAACAATGGATCCCTGAAAGGAAGATAGATTGTCAGCTTCCAACGGCATACCATCCAGCAGACTTCAACTCACATCTTCAAGATAAACAATGTCGCCAATAACAACATCCTCAGCCTGTATCTCCACAATATCGCTGTTTCGAACGACCAAAGCTCTGAGTGCTAGTGTCTTCCTAAGATTTGCGACAATATTACCAGCGTGGTATTCCTGGACGAAGCCGACAATGGCATTGAGGAGCAGCAGCGCGCAGATGATACCGAAATCAATCCAGCTGCGCAAGCCAGCGGCAAGAACAGTCACGGCCTGGAATATACAACGAAGAATATGTTAGCACATGTTGATCTTGAATAACCAAACAAATTGGGGGGTCAATCACCTCCATGACGAATTGGATTGGACCAACAAAGAACGATAAGAACTTGATCCAGTTGTTTGTCGTATTCTGGGTCAGGCAGTTGCGACCATGTGCCTTGCGACGGTCGGCAACCTGCTCATCGGTGAGACCTTCATGGTAGTCCGTCTCCATCAGAAGGGAAGGGTAGGGAGTGTCCTTCTCGGGCAAAGCAACCAGGGTGTCTGGAACAATGTCATTGCCCTCTTCAGCTATCAGCTCATTGATGAGACTGGTCAGGCTCTCCTCGGTCTCCTCCTGGGATTGAATCATGTGGAGAGACTCTTCGGGGAAAGACATATCCTTGAAATGCCGTTAGCCGAACCATTCTGTTTTTCGGGGTCGCTGTCAATGACAGCATAAATGTCAACTCATTACTCACCTTGGACTCGAGGCCAAGAATTCCCAAACCAACAAGAGGCTTTGCTTCATCCTTGGACTCTTCAGCCAGAGAGGAGTTTGGCAGATCCCATTTTCCCTGGTCAATTGGAGCCACTAGCTTGCTCTCAAATTCAGGACTTTCGGACATGCTGGAGTGAACAGTTTCGTCCAAGACATCAGAGTTACTGTACACCTGTCGCTTCAATCCGAAGGCGCTGTTGTTCTTGTCGCTGTCAGAAGCAGTATCCTCTGCATCGCTGGTGCGCAAGCCTTTGAAGTTGATTGGGCTGCTGCATCGAAACGGAAACCTTCCCAGCAACTCAGCTCCACTTTCGACTTCTGAGGGCTTTTGGTGCTCCTCAGGTCTTTTAGCAAGCGGAAGGGCGGGTGGGTGGCTCCTGAGAGGGCTGCTGCGCTTGTCTGCCGGATCGGCCCCGCGTGGAGGCATGGTGGCGATCTTGCAGGCAATGCTAGAGAAGTCAGCAACTTTCTGGAACCATTTATCCCAATAAAGGTGCAATAAGATGACAGAACAGAGAGAATGAGAGCATTCAGCAAGCTGGAAATTTCCAGATTGCGTTGAGCAACACACCAGGGCAACAAATGATTAGGGCAACCGCAGGCGAGCGCTGTTGTGCGATAACGCGGGCACAAACTCAAACAACAATCTTTCTTGTCTCTGAAGCACTTACCGCAAGCTTTGGACGAATGGGTTGAAGAAAAGGACTATCCCGACGCGTTCTGGCGGGGACGAAGAAGGAGGTAAAGAGAAAGCGCAGCGAAGCCGAAGGAGCGACCCGAATACACCGGTGCGCCATTGGCACGTGCCGAAGTCCCGGGGGTTGACCTTTTGACCGGCTTTGCTCGTTGACTTCGAGCTGTTGAAGAGAAAGGGTCTGTTGATCTATGTGATCGGTGATGAATGATCAGTCGACGGCATGGGAAGAGTTTCAAACTATGGTGGCCCGAAGTATGAGTCGGGAGGCTTGGCCAATTAAGTGAGTGGGTTCAAATTACGACTAATCGACATGGGCTCGCTCTGCGTCGACGACTAAGCGTATCGATTCATACGCTTGGTGACCACCAACATCTTGCTTCTCGGCGACTCATCCAAACAGCCACCTGACAGTGGCAACACAAACAGGTCCCTGGGAATTGAAACTCACGAAACCACATCATCCTAACCTTCAATTCATGTCCAACATTCTCCAAACGAAAGACCAAGTAAAAATCACATTCAACCAGGACAGGACTTTATAGATCGGACTTAGGGCCTGGCAAAGGTCACGAGGTGATTACATAAGACACCCACGTCATTGCGCATTTCAACTTGACAATTTTCGTTGAAGTACGATATACTGAGTGCTGTTAATTCCAGTTAATTCGATTCTACGAAATCTGTTTTTCCTAGAGCGTTAGCTTCTTTTCTCGACGTTGTTCCATCTCGACGTGGTGTTGCGCAGAGTGGCCAGGGAAGAAAAGTCTTGACCAGCTGAAAATGGCTCCAGAACTCCCAGGTTTCTACTACGGTGAGTCCATGTTTACGAGCCCTATGTCACGTCTGTGATCACTTCAATGGGTTGAGAGTTCTCAAGGATACACTGGGTTGCTTCAATGCGTTACGAGACTACCCGGCCTCAATGATTGCCTCTTTTTATACTCCCTATCTTCTCCCTCGTGGCGTCCTCACCAGCAATTGTGACTTCTGCATTTTACCAAGATCAAGTTGAATTCCACGCGTCACTGGCCACTTGATTTAATTTCTCTTCTACCCACCCATTGTGGACTTCCAAGTCCCCTTCAACCTTCTCATCTATCAACCCGACTCCGACTGACCATAACTATCAACAGACGAGGTGAAGAGGAAGTATTTCAAGATCCAAGCCAATCACCAAGCATCACAACAAGCAAAGTACACACAAGATGACGTGAAACGTCGCAAGCTTGATACTGCCGTGAGCCAAAAGCCCATCCATCACCTAGTCTTTAGCTCTATCTTGACCCATCCGCTAACTCGACACAGGAATCACAAAGGGCTGCCGCTATGAATGACCGCCAGACGAAGGAACGTGTCAGACGGTCTCGTCTACTAACTAGTTCCTCAAATCGTCTCCTCGAAGAGCTCGGATCTCTCAGCTTATCACACGATGACATGTTGAGCCGCCGGGGCATTCAATGCGCCAGTGAGATGAGCCGAAAGACACTCTATGATTATGGCCAGACTGCACCCATGCATTCCATCTTTGACGTCCATCGAGATTCCCGTTATGGTGGAATTTTTGAAAGCAAGTTTCTTAAATATCTGATCGTCTCCAACCATGACTAATTCTTGACAGTCGCGAACTTTTCAAAAGGGTCTCATGTTTCGTAAGAAGAAACTCATACATTATTCCGCTGCCTGTTTACTAACAATAGCAGCGTATGTTACCCAGTCGAGGACGAGCACTCGAGGTGGCAGTATTCACCCGAATCGCAAGTGTATTACTGGCAAACTCCCTCCCTGGTACGTTTGATGGCCTCTTGATAAAAGCTTCACTAACATCATACAGGACCCATGTTGTTCATCTATCAGCCCCACCGGACATGTCCTGTAAGACACAACTATCGAGACATACATGCTCATTCTTACTAACAATTCAGGGCCGGTCTCTTCGATCATCAGGGCTCCGAGCTCCGCATTTTTCAAATCCCACCGCCAGATGATGGAGGCAAATACCTGCGTCCAGAGTGTATGAATCCCTCCCCGCTTTTGCTATGTTCAAGGCCCCTAGCTCATATTCTAAAGGTCCGACTGTTCATCTCTTGAGCATAGGAAACAATCTCCCCCGTGTTGCCACCCCTCTCTCAACAGGGACTATTCCCATATTCGCCATCGGCCTTCAGTCGGGTCTCAATCTTCTCACTCCCTCGCCCGACGGTTGGACCGATCTCAGACCATTAGGGACTTCCCCAACTCGGACCAACCGCTCGGCCCGCCGTAACAAATCCGAGTCCACGTCGGATACCGATGTGTGGGCAGCCGAGTTCTTGACTCCCAACACCATCGCCGCTGGCGGCAAAGGAAAGTCCGTGTTCGTGGCCGATTCTAGAACCAGCGCCGACGGCGCCGTCGCCTGCAAGTACGGGGCACTGGTCACCGATATCAAAGCCATCGATGAACATAGGATCGTCGTCGGCGGGACAGGTCGCTCCCGAGGCCCAAATCGCGCCGATGTGGTGAGTACTCCCCACTATGTGTGAATTTCCCATACCCTAACGATCATTCTGCAGGAACATGTGGTCACGTATGACCTCCGCTACAAGAAGGAGTCAAACGGAAAAACTGTGCCATACAGGCAGTATCCCGGGCTTAATTTTGCTCCGCCGTGGCCCAGGTTTGATGTTTGCCCGGAGCTGGGGCTGTTGGCAACTGGTGAGTCCACTCTGTAATTCAATTCGCCTTTGGATCAATCCTCCTGACATTCTCTTTACTAGTCAACCGCGCCAAGAGGCCTTGTTTCATGTCCCTGACGACTGGTCAGATCGTGGAGACCCCAGCTGGGGAGTCTGATCAAACTGGCAAAGTTAAATTTGACCGGGGTCACGATGACCCCCAATGGCGAGGCCCACGGTCACACAGTCTCTTGGTTAGCACCCAGGGGGCTATACATGAGTGGTCATAGCTGGGGCCATGAAGTATGGGCATGCATAATCTGGGGTCTGGGCTCCCTGGTCTCGCAGCGTTGTCGCTGATATTGGTTAGGGCTGAGGACGATACTTGAGGTAGAGAGCAGTGCTAATGAAAACACCATATCAAGTTACAGCTACTTCTCTACGTAGGTGTAAATGAAATGATCAACCAGGGTATATTTGATCTCAATATCAGGATCCAATGCAAAAACCAGACTACTCCCATGAACTAATGCAGCATCTTACAAAACACCTTAATCCAAACCACCTGCCAACCATTCACCAACTTCGACTCCAATGCCCTTGGCCAATTCCCCGACCCAATCACCAGAGACATTGACACACCATTTATCTCCGGCATCTGCACTGGTGTTTCCACTACTGCTAGCCATACCATTATGGCTAGCAGCAGGAACAACAAGACGTAGACGACGCAGCGTCGCCAATTCAGCATAGATTCGATCCGCAACTGCCGCAACACGAACAGCAGTAGCAGGCGGATTGGGATCGATAGCGTGGTAGATTGCCAAAAGACGTTCAAGTGGGAATGAGCGTGCTGTCAGAATGGTCGAAGGACCCGTGATGCCTGCGCCACCTCCGACAGCTGACGTGGTAGCCGAAGAAGTCGCGAAGGCGGAGGACAGAGTCGACTTTGTAATGCGAGTTTTCGTGCGCTTGCCTTTACCTCTCTTAGGTTTTGAAGAGTCATTTGCAGCTTGTCTTTCTTCAGCCTGAGCTTGAGAAAGCACCTTCAAACGACGACGGTGGTGAGCTCGCTTGTTACGCGCTGAAAGCGACGACGACGAGAACTTCGAGAAGAAAATTGTATCCAGTCGTTGGGGCGTGTGTGAAGCCAAATAAGCAGATGTGAGAATCAAGGTTGAGAAGTACGGCAGGGAAGGAAGCGCCGATGGCATGACTGTCTTTGTCTTTGCCAGCGGAGCCTTGGTGATACTGGAAGTCGTCTCGTCGGGAACAATGCGATGTACAAGGGCTGACTCGCCCTGGTGTCGGAAGATAGATCTGTTTTTGACAAGCAAGCGCGAGAAATCCCATTCGCCTGTCTCGCCTGGCGCAGCCTCGCCGTTCAAGACGGGCGCAATGAATTGAGGCCAGAGTCTCTCAACTATGGAGCGGAAATTCGGGATTGAGCCTGCTGTTGGTCCAACGAGCGAGTCGTACACCGTTGAGACGAAGTATGGGTAGATATGCGTAATGGTTTCATCTGATAGGCCCTCAACGGTCGGCGCATTCGAGTTGAGAATGATCTCAATGGCTTCTCTGCGCGTGTAAGGAGGGAAGTTGATATGTGGCACTCCTGCGCTTTGAAGGAAAAGCGGACGGGGGGTTGAGCTGAGAACCATTACCACACAGAGTGACGGAATCTAGATTTGATCGTTAGCCCATAATTCCAAGATCCTTTGGTCATTCACAAGCTCACAATCTCTCCCAATCTGGCCAGCGCCGATAACAATGTGGGCGATGCCTCCCTCTGTCTATCGATCTCATCGAGCACCAAGACGAATTTGCGACCCTGCGCATTGGGCTGTGGTTGCAGGCACTCCTCAAGAAGCACAGACAAACCACTGACATGATCGCAACGTCCCTTTCCAGCCTTTTCCCACTCTTCTTTCAAGCCCACTGCCTCAAGTGTATTCCATAGTATCTTTGTCAGGAGATGTCGGCCTGTAATGCATTCCGAGCTGCGGACAAAAGCATGCGGCACTTGGATTGTGGAGAGGACGGCGCGGAGAATAGTTGATTTGCAGGTCGCAGAGATGCCATTGATAACCAATGCGGCCGGGCTAGGCGTATGACGCTATACAGAAAGCATATTGGGTCAGTTCTTTGTATATTGATTTCGCTTTGGTAGTTTGCAAACTTACACTCAAGAGGCTGGCTAACTGCCGCGTCTGGACCTCACGACAGGGCCATTGGGCGCTCAGCGAGCTTGCAACCTGGGCTGGTAGCATGGGAGGTCCCTTTTTGTGTGGGACTTTGTAGACACTTGTTCCACGGACAGGAAGTTGCGGCATCCTGAAGCTCCGAAGGGCGGCTCCTTACGCCGATGCACGTGATCACGCGTCGTGATGCGTTAAAATTATACACGCCCTTTTTATTCCAAGGGAGAAAAGGGTTCTACTAAAATACTACGTGCCATGGATTACTTCAAGATGTAGTTTGACTGATTCCATTTACTGAATGTAGAATTTGGATGAAAGAAAGTTGTGGAAAACCGAATTCGCCCTCCATTGCTAAAATACAAGCAGAAAGTGTTCGCAGCAGGCCTGCATCAGAAAAAAAAAAAAACCATGGCCCTCGTCACGACAGAAGCGATTGGCAAGCGAAGTGAAGAAATCAAGGACCAGAACCAAGGCATAAGGAACCAAAGCTCTAAAGACCTTGATACTAGACTTGATACTGCTTAACAGCTTCCCTGTAACAATGAGCCAATGTGAATGCAGCGCGCACAACACCAAAAGCCATTCGAAAAAGCAAAACGAAAAGTACAGCGGCTGGTAATAATAATGGTGAAGAAATCACAAAGTTGAAATGAAAATAAGAATGAGCATCTCGAGTAAGAATAGCACGAACCTCCAACCAAGAGTGTTAGATCAAGTAAAGATCCAGAACTATCAGCCAGGAATCCCAGATCACAGAATCCGAGAAACCAGAGGAAGTAAAGGGGAATGTGAAGTACATTGGGGAGGGAAACAAAGGGCACAGAATTGGGAAAGTCTGCATCATGCATGGCTCGCTGGATGAAAGATATGCAGTATGCAACATCGGCAGAGTGGGCGCAAAAGCTATGATCATGGAACATTGCTTCATAAGTGGTATGCTGAAAAACGCAAGTGGTAAATCACGGGGTTAATGATCATCGCATGTGCATTGATTGGGGCCTCGTTTGATGACAGTGTGTAGAAAGGCGTTAAATCGTGAAGTGGAAAACTGGTATCGTCGCATCGTCTCACTATGGGTACACTGGTCCCTTGCTGGGGACCACTGATGTGGGTGTCGAAGACCCAGATCAGAAGTAGGTGTAGGGCTGGCCCTGCGATCCGATGCTGATGGATTGCTGGGGAGCCGGGGCAGGGTAAACAGACGAACTGTCACTCTGTCCAGAGGGGGTGTTGGAGACTGAGCTCTGCGAGGAATGGGGAACATAGGTCTGGCTGCTGTATCCGCTGGAGGTGGGAGACTGGATGCCAGAGGATGTACCGGATTGATACATGAAAGGCTTCTGCAACATGGCCTTGGGGATCTGGGCACTGGTGCTGGCCTCGTTGGGCGTCGCCTGGCCACTGGTAGCAGCGCTGCTGCCGTTGCTGCGGGTGTTGCCATCTGCCGCCATGATCTTTCCTGCAATGCGACGTCCGTGGGGAGTCTGGCGAATCGAAGGAAGGATGGGACGCACGGCCTCGACAACACGGTTGCGGGTTTCAGCATCACAGAAATCCATAGCGGTTTGCACAACATAATTGGCAAAGGAATCGCGCAACATCTTCTCGAGTTCATTGCCCATGAGGAATTCATCGATGAGCTGGCGCTTCATGTAGTTGTCAGCAGTGCGGAGGCACTTTTCAATGACATTGGAGCTGAATTTCTGCTTGGACAGCTGAGGAATGTTTCCTCCAAAGGTAGCACACAGTGGGTTAGTGAAGCTTGGCTCATTCAAATCCAGAATGTATTGCACAACATAGTTTCCAAAGGGATCTTGCACCAGAGCGAATGAGTGGGCAGTGATCTGCGCAATCAGGCGAGCCTTTTGGTTACCCGAAGCATGGTCAATGCAGCGCTGCAGAACACAACATCCATGGCGGTGGGTACCAACAACCACACAGTGGCTACCAACAGCTTCGTAAATGAACTCGGCATCCTCGGGAGAAAGGCGGTTCAGGCACTTCTGAATCACATGGTTTCCATTCAGGTCCTGCACAAGCTCAACAACATGGTTCTTGAGAGACTTGATCACGGTCTGAGTCTGGCGGGGTGTCGAAATGAACTCAATCATCTTCTGCAAGGCACGGGTTCCATGCTGGTTCAGAGCAATCTTGACCAGTTGAGGGGATGCGTTGTCAATCAAGGCGGTGCGCTGTTCGTCGTTGGAATATTCAAGCAGCTTCTGACACAAATAATTGCCAAAAGGATCTGTTGAATTGAAAAAAAAATTAGCCATCAAAACCAGTGAAAGAGAAGAGGAGTTCCATACCAGTCATCAGCTCAATCACATGCATGTGAGTCTCATTGAAAATCAACTGGACATGCTCTTCATTGCGCTCCTCCAACTTGCGCTGCAGGTATCGGCAACCGTGCTGATCCTTGCAAAGGCTGTAAAGTTCACCCTTGTAGTGCTCCAAAGGGAAATTGCCGAAACGAGTGAGCTGGTTGGCATCGGTATCCTGGCGGCGTTGAGCCATGTTTCCTCGGACCGCAGGCTCATTGTAGCGGAAGCCAGCGTTGGTGCCGTAGTTGGAAAATCCGTTGTACCCATTGGCACCTGCGAAGTTCTGCATGTGTCCGTTGATGGGAGCCACTTGGTTGACATATGGCTGGATTCCGTAGCCAAAAGTCGGAGCTGCTGGAACCTGGAATGGCAAAGTCATCTGCGCAATAGCACCAGGGACGTGGTTGCTTGATGCAGCAGGAGTGAGCTGTGGTCCAAATGGCGGGGCGCTAGCCTGCAAGGTAGTTTGGGACTGAAGGTTCCCGTTCCCATTCATCTCAGGCTCATCCATCTCATTCTTGACTGAGCGGTTGTTCACAGCACCCTGGGGAATGCGTCCCAAGCTCGTGTTGTGCTGATGCATCTGCTCGTGGTGAGCCTTTGGCGGGGTGATGGCATGTCCATTTGCATTTGCATTTCCGTTGCCCTTCACGGTGGGAAGGTCGTTGGTTGAGTACGAAGACTGCAAAGCAGTGGGGCGGCTCGATGGAACAGGGGTGGCCACCTCATCATGACGATCATCATGGAAGCCCAGGTTGCTGCTGATGGAATGGCGAGTGCTGTGGCGCGCATGAACATAGTTCCCATTCTCCTCGTTGGAGTTGGCGGGCTGTCCATAGGTGATGACGTTGTGAGGCATGCTCTGGTGAGACGACCGGGCCCGACTGTGGTGGGCATAGGGCTCATTTCCATGGACACGGGGGTTTGCAAGGTCGTGAGCATCAGGGTTTGCCGAAAGTACGTTGGAATCTCCACGGCGAGAAAGAGTTGGGAATTTGTCATCGGACTCCGTCAACGAGATGTAGCTCTTAATGTCAGGGGTTGAGAGCCGCTCGAATTCCCTGAGATGTCCAAGCGATTTGTCTTCGGCGCTGGGGAAAAAGTACTGAGTGCCAGCCCACTTGTCAAGCGCAGGGTTGACACTGGACAATCCAGAAATGCTGTTCCGGCTATTGCCATTGGTGTTTCCAGAAGGCATCGAGTATCGGTGAGCACTTTTGAGAAGAAAAGGATAAGTCAGTTGCACTTGAAAGGCAGACAGCTCACATCCGGGGATTTGGAACTCACCTTGGGGCCGGTCGGAAGGGGGAGGTGGGATCAGAAAGGAAATCATCCTTCTCGGAATTTCGGCGAGATCCGGGGACCGAATGTCCCGCAAAACGATCGATCGATGGCTGAGTCGAGTGAGTGGGGGCCTGGGGGAAGTCAAGGCAGATGAAGCAAAGGCATTGAAGAAACCTGGCGAGGAAGTAACGCTCGAGGTCGAGAAGCGGTTCGGGCGACCAAACGCACTAGTGACGGTGCTCTCACGGTACTCCGGGGGAGTAGTTGGCTCACTGACGGGACCAGAAATGCCAGCCTGGGCCATTTCACGAGAGAGCTGATCCATCTCAAGCTTCTCGCGCGCGTGCTGAAGGTCGAGGATCTTCATATCTTCTTCGAATCGACGTTTCTGTTCACGCATGTATTCAATATGTTGTCTCTTCTTTTCGAACTGCTGGAGAAGTTAGCTATCATCCACAGACCAAACGATAACGTCACTCTGTGATTCATTCAAGAGGAAGGCTGTGTTCGGGCAAGGAAGATGTGGAACGATGTGAAGTCGCGCCAAAGTCAGAGAAAAGTGAGCGCTGAGGTTTCAGCTGCAGCACCTTCACCAGACGTAGCGAATTCCAGACCCCAGGCGTCTTTGAAAGACGCCGCCAAGGCTCGCTCCAAGGGAATTGGGGGACAAGACGTATGGGCAGAGGTGTTCAGCGAAACGCACGCAGTATCTCAATGAAAAAGCAATGGTGTGACCCGACCACAAGGGCAAATAGGCTTCCAGTAACACAAGCTATAGCAGCTTGACTTGAATGTAGTGGAACGACTGCGGTGAAGGTGACGAAAGAAAAGTCAAGCTGGAGGCCGGAGAGCTTCCTTTTATATGCACCACCAGACTGGCAGAGTTGGCAATACTCGATTGAAGCCGTTGTATACTTCAAGCCGAGTGAATGCCCCAATAGCTCAGAATGGCGTCGAGGCCTCGGTGAGTGCCAATCACTTCTGCGAGCGTGGTGGATTGATTGATATTGATAAGGGGAACGTGACGAATGGAAAGAATAGGAATGTGGAGGGATGGAGAGAAAAGAAAAGAGACGAAATGAGAATGAAGACAATGAGTGTTGGGAGTCCTTGAATTGAGGGACGGGCAGGCACAATGCAGTGAGGATTTGACTTGCGACCCCGGGAATCTCACAGCGCTTCCATTCTCTCCACTTTCATCACTCCTTTGGAATACGGCGGAGCTTCCCTGGGCAGCCAAATCCCCAGTGCATTGTTCCGGTGGGTTTGAAACAAAAAAATCACAGGTTTTATGCTAACGGAAACTCCAAGCTTACCGAAGACAATAGATCTAACGGGTCCTGAGTCGAACCGGGGCCTGAGCCCGCTCCTGGGGACTGATTTAGGTGTCCCCATGAGGAGAACTTGCTCGAATCGGTCGTGAACCGACGCTGCAGATTTGCTCGTACATCACCCGCCGGCCGAGATGAGAAACCCGATCCAAAGTTCGAGTGACCTGGGGACAGCGAGGTGTACCCCGGAAACGCCGATTCCGAGGGCGGGGACCGAGGAGACGGGAATCGCAGCTCGTCGAGGCGTTCACTCAGCCCATGCTTGAAGGCCATCGTGGGTTAGAGCCAAAGTGTTCAACTACACCAAAAAGAGTTGACCGGTCAGCTCGAGGTCTGGATTTGTTGACGCCAGGGTTTTAGAGCTGGGGAACACGCCAGTACCACACGCCCCAGGTATTACGCCACGCTCCTTCGGTGGCAGGGAAATGTCCGAGTGATGGGGCGGTGTGTTCGGTCTCAAGTAAGGGGAAATCGGAGAGAGGGGCTGAGGGGCCGGAGGTGATCTGCGTTTCGCGAACGGGGACCTAACTCACACAATGAACGCCTCGAGAGGTGTCAGAACGAGGCGGTTATGGGGTGTTACGATGCGGCTTTAGATGGAGCAGGTCATGTAGCGTAGGAGAGGATCTTTTTTTCGAGAGTATCGTACCTGATGCGGAGATCAGTAGGGAGGTTGCAGAGTGGGATGGAGCTCTCTTACCGCTCTTAGCGAGAGGAATTCGAGGGCGCGGCGAAACGAGCGTGTCGCGCAATAAGGAAACACAACCTAACAATAACCCAAAGGAACGATACAGAACTGTTGTACAAAGGGGAGTTGCAGAAGGAAGAAGGAAGAGGGGGAAGAGAAAATGGCTGGGAGGTCCAGAGCCAGAGCGGGGAGATCCTTTTTTGGGAATCTGTGCCCTTCTGCCTTTTCTTTTTTCGACTTCTTTTTTTTCTTTTTTTTCTTTTATGCATAGTATAGGGAATATATTCTCTATTCTATATTGTCTATGCTCTATGCTCTTGAGATAATATACACCATCCTCCTCTCGCTGTCTCCTTTCCCTACGCGTCTCCGGGATGTAATTATTTTGATCTCGGTGCAAAACAAAGACCTCCCTATAGATACCCGTGAACATGACCTTTTCTATACAGAATACACACCACAGTGGTCACTCGGACTTGGACCGGGTTCTATTGATTGGAAGGTCTCCAAGACCTGTATGACTTGGGCGCATTCATCCCGGGAAGCGCCTAGGGTAGTCAGTGGGCGCAAAGCTCGAGCTCACCCGGAATGGTCAATTCCATGACGGACTAGAGACAACCTGGGCTGTGCAAGACGGTCGCGCAAGGGCTCAATGCGCTGTCCTCAAGAGCGTGGCAGCTGCATAAGTAGAAACCAAAGTGCCCGAAGATGTGACAGCAGAAGATGGTTAGGCGTCTGTACCTGGATCTAGGAAGGGGGTGAATGGTATTTAATATCACGCCAATCAATTGGGTCAATCGATGGTTCGTGACTTGTCCATGGGTGCTTTGCTTTTCTTTGTTCTCGTTCCATGGCTCATCAGCTGCTCACCTCCTTTTTTTAGAAGGAATATCTCTTTGATCTCTTCTTTCATTCTCGACTAATATAACCCTCCAATGCCCCCTCTTCCACAGAGGGTATATTCCATATTTCTCGAATCCCCCCCTCTAGGGCTTCCAACTCCACAATATGCACGATAAGGGCTCTCCTCAGGACAAGCGGTGTACCGTGCCAGCCAACGCTGATCGTGTCGCTTGGAGCCCCTGATCCACCGAATGACGAGCATACTAGTGGAGATCCAATGCCCCCCGCCGTCATCCTTATTACTTATTAGTACGAGGAATTTATTCAGGATCGTCAATGGACCACTTTTACCCCTCCGTCACTAATGTTAAGGTCATCGATCTAAGCAGTGGACTGGCTCCGGTCTGTGCTGAGAAATCTCCAGTCGCCATGTGCCCTAGTGAAGTACGAAATATATACGGAGTACTTGGATACTCAATTCCTGGTATATGCAAACCCCATGATCTCCAAGTGATACGTCCAACCCCAGTAAATGAACTAGTGTGCCAGCTATCGCCGCCCGCATCCAATGATCTCACTCATATCACAATAATCTCGAGGTGGATTCAAATCCACTCCTTGACGCCTAAATAATCCAATGGTTACCCGCTTGCTTTCATGCCCAACGGCTTGCGCCTCGGTTGACTGGCTGCCTCGATTCGGGAACGAATCAGATGCATTGGGGTCAACTTACGAGACTCGCCCCCAAAAGTACTGGCAAATAATATCTGAAACAAGTCCCTCCGTCGCCTCCGTAGAGTCAAGCCAGCAATCGCCTGGTAATAGACATTCTAGACTCGCTAGCGGATCAATCCCAGTTAATATGTCGCCATGTTAAGATCTCGCCTTGAAGCGAATTTGCTCGGCACCCGTGCACACCTGGGCATTTACAAGGGAAAAGCAAATCCAGACCACGTGTGGAATTGTGTTATATTATACTGTACCTTACAAGGTTCAAAACTCATTCTACACACACTCAATAACCTCCGGTATGGCCGCATACCCCTCATTGTACGGATACGCGCATATTTCCGGTCATTAAGGACAATCCCTCTCGAAAATGCCGTTTAGCAGAGCATTGTCCCAGGCCTATTAATTTTAGAGTGGCAATTTCAATCTGGCGGTCAAACGTGTGTCTTTGCCACTGGCATCACACTCCCCGTCAATCGCAGTTTCTCCGTACTCCGTACATGACCGGATGTTCCCGATTCCTGGTTTCTCAGTCAATCATACGAAGCGGCGAGGCTGATCAATGTATAGTGTACCTTTTTCTCAAGTCCTTGCGCGCCTAGTTACTTCAGAAAATAGATAGTTTCAAAGTAGACGTGACCGCTTCTTTGGGGGTTTATACATCACTTTCATCCCACAGATCCAAGCCAATTCCGATCAACAATTCGTCCGTGCAGAGATAAACGTTCGGCGCTGGCATGCGTGAAGACCCACTTATAACTTGTCACTGATCCTTGAAGACCGGCCTCGTAAACTTCATTCCTGCATCAATCCGCTGCCCATGGGAAGGGTCACTTCCATGGCTTTGTTTACAATATAAGCAATTGATCAGGCTGCTGTTCGAGACTGATGTCCTACACTCGAGAGATCATATGATGGTGATGAGAATCACCAAAGCATAACACTCGGGCTGTATAATGATCATCCAGCTTACTCTGGGGCCAAGGTCTATCTCGCAAATTGCGTCATGCGCTATGCAGTGCTGAGTGAGACTGATGGCCCTTCGCCAACGATGAATCATGCTTCGTCTATCCGAGGTGGATATAGCAATGTGTTTCCATTCTCTGGTGCGTTTCGTAAATCTACTTTGTATCTACGCAGTTGTGACTTGGGATTGTCATCTTGAAACGAAGAACATGCTCTCTGAACTTCCGAGGTCCGTGGCTTGGGACGCTATCTACTAACCAAGTAACAAAGACCATTACATTTGAAGCGACATGATATGAGAGTACTTGGAAAGCACACATTCATATAAGACCGTTCTTCGAGGATATGCCTTGAAACCAGTGCCCGTGAATCGATGGTAGGGCTGTTGCCTGGGTCGCGAGCGATGATCTGATCAGAAGAAGACATCATTTGGGATATGAGGACAGGTGCGGTAGCTATTCGACACCATCTTACCCATCATGCTACCCAAAAAAACACCAAGCGAACCTAAATCATACAAAGTAAGTGACTGCCAGATGGATGCTCCGTATAGGTTCAAGATAAATATGGAGATCGGGAAAGACGTTCGAACCAGCTTGAGCGCCAGAATGTCGGGGCCATGTTCAGCTCTCACGGGTAAGGATCAAGTGATGGCTTATTCCCCTTCATTTTCGTAACCGAAAAGGGCTCTGTGTGCACCCAGCTGTTTTTTTGATGCCAGTTGACATGGTCTCTTTGAGAATTGAAGGCCGCTAAATTGTTTTGTCAGCCAACCCGGAATATGAATCTTCCGTGATTAGTCAGGATTTATCGCGGCCGATAGCTCTAATCAAATATTTCCCCTCCATGCGGAAAAGCCGCAAGCTCATATCCAGGCGATTGAGGAGTCCGAGATAATCTGAAGATTGTCTTTGCAAATCAGCTGTCTAGCCAATATGCCTCCGCGCAGAAGGCCCCAGCCCTCTGCGGCTAGCCAGCGACGTCAGTCAGAGGTAACAAAACTTTTTTTCTGCCCAGTCGCAAGCTTCAAATCGTGGATCATATCCTGACTGATCGCTACGTCTTTAGGCTGATCCCACGAAGAAGAAGCGCCCTTCGCAATCCAATCCAGAACCCGAGCCTGAACAAGCTGCTCCCGAGCAAGCTCCGCCTCAGGATGACCCCAATGCTCCGAAGTTCACTCCGCGGGATCCGTTCGATGCGCTATTGGAACCATTTTACTACAACAAGGGACTCACAGACCCAATTGACACTGCCAAGGACAAATGGAACCTGCTACCGGCTTTCCTTAAGGTTAAGGGACTGGTGAAGCAGCATATTGACTCATACAACTACTTTGTGGAAGTGCAGATGAAGAAGATCGTCGAGTCGAGCTCTACAATTCGCAGTGACGTGGACCATAACTTTTACATAAAGTTCACCGATGTCTATGTCGCCACGCCCCGACGCGCCGACGAGCAAGGCGACGGTGGTTATGATTTCGAGTCAACGATTACGCCGCAAGAATGCCGACTGCGAGACACTACTTATGCTGCGCCTATTCTTGTTGACTTCGAATATGTTCGTGGTCGGCAGAGGGTTATTCGACGAGGTGTTCCCATCGGAAGAATACCTCTCATGCTTCGTAGCTCCAAGTGTGTACTGTCCAACAAAACACCCGCTCAGATGAGCATTCTCAACGAGTGCCCTCTTGACCCCGGTGGTTACTTCGTTGTCAACGGAACGGAAAAGGTCATTCTGGTTCAAGAACAGTTGAGCAAGAACCGAATTATCGTTGAAACCGACCCAAAGAAAGAAATCGTCCAGGCATCGGTTACCAGGTATTTACATGGTCGCAAAGCTCACTGGAAAGAAAATTATAGCTGACATTTAACAGTTCTTCCAACGAGCGCAAATCCAAAAGTTATATTGTTTTGAAGAAAGAACGGTTATATGTCAAGCACAACGTGCTCAACGAAGACATTCCCATCACAGTTCTGCTCAAGGCTATGGGTATCCACACCGATAAGGAAATGCTGGAAATGGTCACTGGTGACGATCAGCAATACCAAGACGACTTCGCCATCAACTTCGAAGAAGCCATCAATGTTGGTGTCTTCACCCAACAGCAAGCCCTTGACTGGATCGGTTGCCGAATCAAGATCAACCGCAAACATGCAACTTATCGCAAGACCCACGTCCAAGAAGCTGTCGAGGCCATCGCCTCTGTCATTATCTCCCATATCGAAGTCAAGGATATGAACTTCCGCCCGAAGGCTATCTACGTTGCTCACATGGCCCGTCGTGTTCTTATGGCCAAGAATGACGCATCTCTAGTCGATGATCGTGATTACCTTGGAAACAAGCGTTTGGAATTGGCAGGTCAGATGTTGGCTCTTCTTTTCGAGGATCTGTTCAAGAAATTCTGCTTTGATATCAAGATGAACATCGACAAAGTTCTGAACAAGCGTAACCGGGCGGAGCAGTTCGATGCTTGGACCATTGTGGCAATGCACGGTAATCATATCACCCAGGGCATGAACCGAGCAATCTCTACCGGAAACTGGAGCTTGAAGCGTTTCCGCATGGAGCGCGCAGGTGTCACTCACGTTTTGAGTCGTCTGAGTTACATTGCAGCCCTTGGTATGATGACCCGTATCAGTTCGCAGTTCGAGAAGACCCGAAAGGTTTCTGGTCCTCGTGCCTTGCAACCATCCAACTTTGGTATGCTGTGTCCTGCCGATACGCCCGAAGGTGAGGCCTGTGGTTTGGTTAAAAACTTGGCTCTCATGACACATATCACAACCAATGACGAAGAAGGCCCTGTGAGGAATTTGATGTTCATGCTGGGCATTGAAGAAATCTCGAGCGTTGGTGGAAAACAACTCTATGCCCGCGGATCCTACACTATCTCTATCAACGGTACGCCAACTGGATTGACGAGACGTCCCAAGTCTTTCCTCAACGCATTCCGCAGACTGCGTCGCATGGGCCGAGTCTCCGAGTTTGTCAGTATCTACATCAACCACCACCAGCGAGCTGTCCATGTTGCGACGGATGACGGTCGAATCTGTCGACCTTTGATTATCGTCGAGAAGGGCAAACCCCTTGTCACAGCCGGCCACCTTGAGAAGCTGCGCGATGGAAAGATGGCGTTCGATGACTTCCTCGCTCAAGGTCTCGTGGAATACCTTGACGTGAACGAGGAGAACGACTCGTACATCGCAATCTACGAGAAAGATATTACAAACACTCACACCCATCTTGAGATTGAGCCGTTCACAGTCCTGGGTGCTGTCGCTGGTCTCATTCCCTACCCTCACCACAACCAGTCCCCCCGTAACACATACCAATGTGCTATGGGTAAGCAAGCTATCGGTGCAATTGCTTCCAATCAGTTCCAGCGAATTGATTCAATCCTCTATCTCATGGTCTACCCACAGAAGCCGATGGTCAAGTCTCGAACCATTGAATTGACCAAATACGACCAACTCCCTGCAGGTCAGAACGCAACCGTCGCTGTCATGAGTTACTCCGGCTATGATATTGAGGATGCTCTGGTCCTGAACAAGGGCTCGGTGGACCGTGGATTCGGACGTTGCCAGGTCTTCCGCAAATACGTCACAACTCTCAAGTCCTACCCCAGTGGAGCCAAGGATCAGCTGCAGGGACCAGACTACGAGAATGATGCTCCCATCCGCAAACACGCCCTGCTCGAGTCCGACGGTTTGGCCGCTGTCGGAGAGTTGATGAACTCCGGCGAAACCTACATCCGAAAGGTTTCGCCCAGAGTCCAGAACTCATCCGGCATCGCAGGCTCTGATTTCAACAGCGGCGGAGTCATCGACGCTTCCATGACCTACAAGCTACCCGATCCCGCATACGTGGACAAGGTTCTCGTCTCAGCCACAGAAGGTGAAACTCAGCTCATCAAGGTTCTGACTCGACAAACCCGTCGCCCGGAAGTCGGTGACAAGTTCTCCTCTCGTCACGGACAGAAGGGTGTTGTGGGTATCATCGCCGATCAAGCCGACATGCCATTCTCAGACCAGGGTATCAACCCCGACATTATCATGAACCCCCACGGTTTCCCCTCTCGAATGACAGTCGGTAAAATGTTGGAGCTTGTTGCCGGAAAGGCAGGTGTTCTCTCCGGCCAGCACGGCTACGGTACCTGTTTCGGCGGCAGTCCAGTCGAGGAGATGTCCCAGATCCTCATCGACAAGGGCTTCAGCTACGGCGGAAAAGATTACCTCACATCCGGTATCACCGGTGAGGCTCTGCCTTTCTACGTGTTCACCGGTCCTATCTACTACCAAAAGCTGAAACACATGGTTCAAGATAAGATGCACTCTCGTGCAAAGGGTCCGACTGCTACATTGACTCGTCAGCCCACTGAAGGTCGTTCACGTAACGGTGGTTTGCGTCTCGGAGAGATGGAGCGTGATTGTCTGATTGCGTACGGAACCAGTCAGCTGCTCCTTGAGCGATTGATGATTTCTTCGGATCGCCATGAAGTCGATGTTTGCGAACAGTGTGGTTTCATGGGATATCTGAATTGGTGTCCTGGATGCAAGTCGTCTCGCTCTGTTGTGAAGATGGTCATTCCCTACGCTGCCAAGCTTCTCATTCAAGAATTGATGAGTATGAATGTCACGGCTCGTCTCAAGCTTGACGACGAATTCCCTGAGATGAAGGGTCGTTAAACTCGGCAAATGGGTTTGAAATCTTCAAAAATGGATCATGTGCATCCTCGGAACGAATAAATGGCATAGCGCGGCGATTTTTAATGTTATTCTTACTTTCCTCTCTTTAATGAATGTAGAGGGTTCTTCAAGTACAACTTCTTTTGCGCACATCAAGTAATCGACAGTAAAAGATATTCTCATTCATGCGTAAGGCGAAAACATTCTATGGAACGAGATCATTCTAAAGAAAAACGATGTGCAAGTCAACATCAAAACAAGAAATCAAAGCATCAGAAGATTCGACTCGAAAGCAACACCTTGATAGCGCGCAAACTCTATAATTCCTTGCAAAACCTTGGCCCGATGCTCCAAAGCCTCGTCGAGCGTCATTGGCATATGACCCTTTGAATTTCGATTGTCAAGCGCCAGCTTCGCCATGGCCTCTTTCAACTCGTTTCCAAGTTCGGGAACATCTATGGTCCAATCAAGACGCTGAGGTGGAATATTAGCCGTAGAGATGATCCGAATGTTAGGGTCAACAAGTAGGAAGACCAAAGCGCGTGCGAATCCAGGCTTCGTTTTATCTTTCAGCTCGAAACGAGTAAACTTGTGCTGTATTGTACTCGGGTACATGATGCAACGACCTGGCATGGCACGAATAGAGCCGGGAGCTTGGATGGCTGGCTCGTTATTTTCAAGGCCGAAGACCTGACGCAGCCAGATGAAGTCGTTGGGCTCGTGGTCGACCTCAGTCAAAGAAGCTGTCTCGACCATGTTACGGAACTCCATGTAACAGTCGTTGACGTTGTTGTGTTCGTAGGTCAGGAATGCGGAGGCACAGATATGTTCGTTCTGGTCGTGTCAGTGGGGGTTTTCATTTTTAGAATACGTGGATGGCGGTGCTTACCATCGTGCCTTCGACATGCCAGTCGGCTGCAAAGGCAGAGTTCTCGGGGGTGAGATCGATTCCCAGCATACGAGTGATGACTTGCAGACCACGCTCTTTGTAGTCTCGGTTGAGATCCACACCCTGTTCAATTCGAACAGAAGCCGGCAGGTCAGCCGGAAGCTTGTCCATCATCCAAGGAGGGACTGCCCATGGCAAGAATTTGCCTGCATCGGGCTGAATAGCTTTGTAGTTCTTCATTTTCCATTCTTCCATTCGCTCGTCAAACTCGCTCTGTGCCTCTCTTGGCTTTATCTGAGGTGCTTGGGACGCCGCTTCTTTGGCAACTGGGTAGTACTCTGCTTTGTGATACTCGATGCGAGCACGAGAATGGAGCATATCCTTGAGGGGGGTCAAAGTGGCATTCCATTGCGGGATGATACCATTGAATGCCTCCTCGACAAGCTTGTAGATATGTCTATGCTTGACCGGGTGCAGGTTGTTGATGTATGTGGCAATATGCCAGCGGCCATCATCCCGGAATTCCCAATCTGAGGGCAAACACTGGTAATCCCGACTGTAGGGCCGAACTTGTACATCTGCACGCGACATGGCTCGCCAGGAAATGTCTTCTCTGGTGATCCCTGTCTCCTTTGGGACCGGAATTACCTCACCCTGGCCGGCGTAGTCAAGAGCTTCGTCCAATGTGATCACTCTGTCAGTGAGGATGCGAGTTTTGCCATAGACGAGTGGGTAGAGCGCCATAGCAATGAAGTCCCGTTGTTTGGCGAGAGGTCCTGGGTGATAAAACTTCAGGATCTCTTGGTCAAACTCTAGAGTCTTGATATGAGTCTTGAGGCTGTTCATCAAGGAATCAGGAAAGTTTGTATCGGACTTTGTGACATCCCCATTGTACAGAGCAACGACCTGGGTGGTCTCATAAATCATGGCTTTGAATTGAAGCTCCTCAATGACCCACTGGGCCATGTTGAGCGTAATGTCTCTGTCGCCGTTCACGGCAGCCCTCTTCCACTCTTCCTGGATTGTAGGATCGAAGACCTACAGATGTTTTCAATCAGCGACCTTCCAAGGTTGGAAATTCAAAAGGATGCTGAGGATAGTTTCTGACCTTCTTCCACCACTCTGGAATGTCGGTAATATCCTCCATGTAATCTACCATGGCGATCTCGCGCAAAGTGAGAACAGGCAAGCTGGAGATATTCTCAGCATAGAGCACAACTAGGCCAGTGAGATACTCACTCGGCATATCCTGCTTCAATGTCCCGATCGTCCAACGCAGAAGGAAACATACTGCGACTTTCCACGCCATATATATTTTTCTCCATGGGGGCATAGTCCAACGGTCTTCCGAATCCAGGAAGAGCAAACCGGCAATCTTTCGACGCCTTGCTGTGCATGAAGCTTACCTCGTTGGCTTTGTGCTGAAACATCTTGATTCTCGATGGGTTCTGTTTCTGGTTGTCTCGAATCTGCTGCTAACTTGGTCAGTTAGTTTCACAAGCACAGCCGAAGAACCTTAAATCAACCTCAACCTCAGTCTGTATCGATATCAATTCAATCATGCGCAAGGCATAAAACGTTAGAAGATCTTTGGGAATGTAGTCAAATAACAGGAAAGCGTGGTTAATCGCGGATATATCGATGATGCAGCTGTGTCGTCTTCGGAGCTTCTAGCATTGTGAATGGCTCCTTCTGCGAGAATTGCGGAACTTTGTTCCGACTCTCTGTATTTTGATTTTTTTTTTATTAATTTATCATTATCGTAATTGGGGGAGAAGGTCTGTCATGGTGATTCAATCATCCCGAGGTCATTCAAATGTTCATGGAATGGGCCGGGGGTCCAGGAATAAAGCGCTCCTCCCACGCTCTTTCTCTTCGCTGATCATTTGGTAATAGTAAATACTGTCCCACACATTCTAAGGTTCCAAGGTTGACCTTACCAGATATCAAATTAGATGACATAACATTCATGGTCTTCAGTCGATTGTTGCTGCTGCATCTGTATAGTACGACATTCTCCTTGATGGTGCTTCCAGCTGCCCTAGCTTGAAATGGGACTCCTTGGAGCACTTGTTGCATATGATCATTTGATCAATTTGTTGATATGTATTTACACAATCTCAAAGTGTCTACATCTTGCTTCGTTGCAAAGATTGACGTCTATCGACGCCCACAGGCCCGAAAAAATTGACCGCGAAAAAAAATACCGAAATGCAGCATCGACACCGAGAGCTGATTTATGATGCCGCCGCAGCCCCCAGATAATCTTTGATAACACCCCAATAACGGTCTGGATCTGCTCTCATGTGTCCAACATGAGGTGATCCCTTGAAATACTCACGACGGACCACCCAGCCTATAGCCTCGGCCTCCGATGCATGAGATTCGACATCCTCCCAATCAACCAAGGCATCAGAATCGGAATAGATATAGCAACGAGCGAGCTCGCGTTGCGAGGCAGCGGGCCGCACCAGGGAAGAGTCATTGACAAGTCTCCGAGCAAGCGTGATAGGATCCGGGTTGGACTTGTGGGCATGAATCAACATCGCGAAAAACAACCAGACAAAGAGTAAGCTTTTGCCCAGCATCTGCAATATCCACATTCGCGGCAGTGCGAAAGAGAACGCCCTGAGTCCCGATCGCAGACCCATGCTTCCGGGGGCACTATCCATGATCATGGCCGAAATTGGCATTGGGGTTCCGGTGATCATCTTCCACGATTGCAGGAGATGCCCTGTGTGAGACAAGCCTCCATTTGAAAAGAGATGAAGGGTAACTGGATTTTCAGGGGTAACTAATCCCTGCATGGCCTCGATGGCCGGCGCGATGCGCGCTCTGCGCGCTATACTTTTCAGGGGCCACATGAAATCATTTGACGAGCTTCGGACGAAGATGATTCGTGCTGATGGAACCAGGCGTCTGTATTCAATCACATATTTTGCCAAGGCGCGAGCAGGGGCGTTCATCCAGAATGCGATGAAGATCACGGGTTTGACTTTGTCATTGGTGTCGGAGTCGTGGAGATAAACCGAGCTGCCCAGCTTGGCAAATGATCCCAGTGGATCTTCAGGATTCGAAGCCATGATGTGAATTCAATAGAGAAAGTGGATTCTGTTTTTCTGGGGCACTTCCCGCGGATGCCAAGAGCCGTTCCACTAGCAGAGCTATACGAGTCGAGGAGTCGTGTTCGGAGGGGGATCACACTGGATATGAATGAACTGCTGGATCGAGGCTATCGAATCAACCCCTGGAAAAGCTTAGGAGTGCTCAGGTAGGCGATGAGGATTGGTGGAAAGCAAAGCAAACGGTGGAGTCGTCCTGCGAACGTCCTCAACTTCTTAGCTTGCAAACAAACGACGAGACAAGCACTGACTCAGGGAAGAAAAAGAAAGGAAAGCTAAATCTCTACGAGAAAGAAGAAGGATGCGTTGGCTTGCAAACCATTTTATATTCAAACGGTCTTAAACACTGCCACCTAACGCCAGGCGCAAGCTCTGCTATGCCCCTAAAGACAATTCCCGCCGTAAGATCTGAAGACGCCCATCTAAACCAGACAGACCATGTCATAAGCGTAGGCAAATAAAAGGGAGGCCATTAGCGTTTCCCCAGGGTCCGTCCGCCGTCAGATTTCTTGGCACTTTCCTTGCCCTTCTGACTCTCAGCTTCGCTACCAGAGGCGGTGGCGGAGTCAGCAAGGTCCTTTCTCTTTCCTCGTAACGTCTGGCCAATTCCTTGGAACTTGGGCTGATCATCTGGAATGACCTGGCCGTTTTCATCTCTAGGCTTAGCTGGTTTGATGGTATATCCGAAGAAGAGCTGATTAGGTGGAAGTCGGAGGGGTTGCGGGCCATTGACCCTGCGAGCGGGAGGGTTTTGGGAGCCCGATGCACCAGGAGTGGGCGTGGAGGGGTTTGGAGTCGGGGCCTTGCTGCCTTTCTTCGCATTTAGACGTTGTCCACCGGTCAAGAAGTTGGAGGAGGCAGCGCGGGCACCCGCCGCGGCATCGGTAGCCTCGGGCGCGATGGCCGGGTAGTTAATTGATTGCGCCATGCTACCATGGGGGTGCAATAATCCACCGGCTGGAAGTTTACCACCCCCGACAGCGCTGCCAGGCGTGCTGGTGCCGCTTGTGCGTTGTGGCTCTTCGTACCCGACGGGAGTAGCGAAGTCAACCTCCAGATCAGTTTCTAGCACCGAAACTGCATTTTTGGAACCAGATGGTTTGGTTTCCAGCACCGCCATCTCATAGACTTGATCATTGTATCCGAATGTGAAAACATCGCCTTTGCTGAGGCACGAGAAGTTCCGAAACGCATTTTCAAGAACGGCCTTGGGGTCGCTAATATCGAGGAAGGAGGTTGACTGTGCTTGAAGCTTGATAAACTGGCCGGGAGGGAGGTCCGTCGATTTAATCTGGAGGAGGTCACCGGGCTCGAGCAATAATGTTTGCATCAGCTGTAAAAAGTCGAGTCTTAGTACTCCGAAAGTGCAAATATCAAGGGTCCTGACATGCTTACCCAAAATGGTAGATAAATCTTTCCTTCCTCGGCAATGAACTCCAAGACACCCGCATGTGTATTCCTTCCCTTTGCGCCATTGTGGAGCTCGAACATCATCGGATAAGTAATGTGAAGTCGGGTAAGCTTGTCCAATGCACTTGGAGGCATAATGACCTTGCCACCATGGTTGACATTCTCCCTCTCGGGACCAGGCAGCATGGCGACAGGATAGCAGCGGTAATATTCATCGAAGCGGCGTGCAGCACCACCGCCGCGGGCCAGACCAGAGCCTAAGACGCCGTCCATAGGGTCGTCGGACCAGTAACCAGGTCGGTACTAAGATAAAGAGTTAATGTAAGAGCTGGAGGTCAAAGAAACGATGGTCCTACCATATCGAATATCAAAATTTGGTAAGAGAGAGGTTGAAAGAGAAGTGAACAGTAAGCTTTGGATTTATTTGAGGTATAATGCCGCCTTCTGGATCATCGTCGGTGACGCAGTTGGTTCCGCCATGATTTTCCGCTCCGACCCCAGACAGCTCTCTGCCGAACAGCTCAACGACGCATTTTGACCAGAAGGCATATATTGAATTTGCTCTCAGTTGAGAATCAATTTGGTCGCCGCGATGTCGAGCTCCTCCTATCCCCACTCGAAGCGCAGCGGCGAAGATTTTACCGGCACCCACTATGATGCCAACCCGGAGGATTCTTCGGAACATAAGAAGCCGCGCTTCGATCTTCGCAACCCCTCAGCCCTCGCTGCCGATGCTCCCGAGGAAGATGCAGTTCTAGACGCCGATGAGATTGGCCGCCGGGGCCAGCAAATCAGGCGCAAAGCCGTCAACCTCGACGGTTACGATTCAGACAGCGACAACGAAGGGTTCGGCGCGCGCACAGAGGAGAAATCCAAGCGCAAGCAAGACAAGCAAGACGCCGATGATGATGACATGTTTGCCGAGCTACAGGAGGATTTTGGCGAGGAGGAAGTGGACGGCGATGAAGCTTTGCACAAAAACAAAAAGTCCGTTCGCTTTCTACGAGATGACGAGATTGAGGGTCAGGTTGCTTCCTCCAAAAGCGGGGGAGGGGTTAATATCGATCTGAACAAGGGTGTCAACGACAATGACGACGATGAGGATGGGAGTGGCAGTGAAATTGGAGAAGAAGAACGCGCGCGAGCGGACGAGGTGGACAAGGAGCTTGGGGCTGGCGCGAAAAAGAAGCATGCGCCCCTTCTTGATGCCTTCAACATGACCACCGAGCAGGAAGAGGGCAGATTCGACGAGACAGGCAATTACGTTCGCAAAGCCGTCGACCCGGACGCGGTTCACGACTCATGGTTGGATGGTGTGTCCAAAACAGACATCAAGAAAGCCAAAGAAGCTGCCGACCAGCGCGACCAAGAGCGGAAAGCCAAAGACCGTGAAAACGATAGCGTTCTGACAGCCGATATTTTGACAACTCTCATCACCAACCTGGAACGCGGCGAGACGATACTCGAAGCGCTGGCTCGACTGGGCAAGGGCCTTCGCCGGAAACCCAAGTGGCAGAACAAAAAGAACAAAAAGAGCGTCTCCGAAGACACCGAGATGGCGGAAGAGGACCCCAACGAGGTAGCCCGGAAGAAGGCAATCGATGCCGTTACTGGGGCTGCTGACATCTTGATGGGCCGAGGCCAAGAGCAAATCTATGATACTGAGCGCGAAGTCCTCACCCGACAATATCGTACCGAGACAGGTGAAACGTGGGTCGATCCTCCATCTGAGCAAGAACAGACAGAGCAAGGACCAGCTATGTGGGAATACAGGTGGTCTGATGCGCGTGATGGAGGAATCATCAATGGGCCATATGACGGCGCAATGATGGACTCGTGGAAGAACGCCGGCTACTTTGGCGAAGGTGTCGAATTTCGACGTGCCGGCGACCCTGGACCTTGGAGCAGCACTGTCGAGTTCTTGTGATATCCCATACGATCAGCCATGTCGGCTGGCTACAATAAAACATCTGGAGCTATACTATATGTGAAATATTAATATGGACCTCAGAAAAGAGAGGGCCGCAATTGAATTCCAAAGGCCCAAATCAACCTCAACAAGCGCCAATCCTATCATACATCATTCGATGTCACTGAAAAATCAAAAAAAAAATAACTCAAAAGATCCGGTGTAGTTTTATCCCCGCAAGTACTTGACATGAGTAAAATTAAGAGAGCTCCATCGCATCGCCATTGGCGCCAACAGTGAAGCTGACGGTGCCTTGGTCACCGATAAAGCGTTGTTCATATTGGTTGATGAAGTTCACGCTTCGAGCGGGATCGTAGAACAGTCGGTAACTGCGCTGGACATCATCAACACTCACTTCCTTGGCCTTGCGTTTTTGGGTCAGGAGATGAGAGGTAGTAATGATGTTGCTGGCGTAGCGCAGGTTTGACTCCTGACCAATCTTAGTGAGAAGGGCCAGAGCATCGGGTGAGAGATCGATCTCTTCTTCCTGGGCTCGGATGGCGAGGATTTGACGAATCTCATCGCCGGAGTACAGCGCTGTGCTGACAATGACAACACGGTCAAGGAAATCAAGAGGAAGACCATGAGGAGAAGTATATGTGGTTCCGCGGATGCGAGCCTGGCCACGGTTGCTGGCCATAATGACAATAGGAGCTAGCTCGGCCTCGAGGGCACGGTTGATGTAGGAGAAGCATTCAATGTCAAGCATGTGAACCTCGTCAATGAACAGGACACCAGGGATGATCTCTGCTTTGCCCTCTTCCTTCCACTCGGCGACCTTGGTGTTGATCTGATCCCGAACCTCACTGCGAATCTCGCCTGTGTCGCCGGAGAAAAGGGCAAGGAAGCCTTGTGAGCGCGAGTTGATGACATCGATTTCGTGGAGGCTGACGGTGTGGACAATCTCCTTGCGGACCTGGAGTTCGCCTTCGGGGCATTGGACGAACTTAGTATCGGCGCCCATGGCATCGTAGTCGCGAGAGCGCGCGTAGGATCGGCCGAGCTTGGTGATCTTGCCGGAGGACTTGTCGATCGAAATAACATCTCCTGCCATCACACGCTCCTTGGTCATCGAGTCGATCATCTTGGTTCCCATATCGTAAATTGTTTCCATATCGGTGGTCTTGATTGTGAGCTTTCCTTGTTTATTGCCCTGCGGCCAGTTAGCATTCATACCAATGCAAAGGTATTGACATCAATGGTAAACTCACGCCAGTGACGCTGCGATCAATCTGGATCTCGACAACTTCACCCTCAATAATCTCACTCTCTTCTTTAATGCGCACACCGATAGACTTTCGGAAAGCCTGAGTCAAGGCCTCGGTCTTAGACATCTCCATGGAGAAGATTTCAGACGCGGCGAGCATCGTGAACGGTACATCCGGACCAAGCGATTGTGCCATTCCCATCGCGATTGCTGTCTTTCCTGTGCTGGGGGTCCTGCGATCAGGACTGCACGTCCAGCAATCTTCCCTTCCCTCACCATCTGCAAGATCACCGCCGCAGCTTTCCGGGCCTTTTCCTGGCCCACAAGGCCTTGGGATGATGTCCGGGGTTGTAAAGAGTCGACATCGACACCGAGTCCTCTGATATGCGAATGAGCGGCGATGAGGTTGAGTCCCCGGAGCTCCTTGCTCTCTGCGACGGTCGAGATTGGCTATGCAAGGTCAGCAAGATATCCTGGAACGAGAAGTAAGTTGAACTGACTACAGCCATTTCGGTAATTGTTCAGCGCAATGTCTGGGACTGGGGTAAAAAGTGGATGATGTTCGCCGGAGCTCTAAAAACGCAAACGAGACAGGACTGTAGGGGCACCGCCCGCCCGCCCGGCAGAATAAAACAAAGAATGTGTTTGACGATTACTTTTTTCGACATTGCCTGGCGGTATAAAAACCCAGCTAATTTCACTCGGGCGTTTGTACTTCTCTCGCCTCTTTCCCTTTTTGCACTCAACTCCTTTTTTCTCTTCTACCCCCGCAACTCTGCGCTACATCTACTCCTCCTCTATCCACCACTTCGCGTCTGCACGCTCCACGTCCGCACGTGTCAACCGCCCCAAGTTTTATCTATTTTTCCTCGAAGACTCTCCACAGATTACTATTTGAATTGAGCGTGATATCTGGTGAATTGTTTTGGAAGGGGATCACTTGGGGTCGAGTTTAGCAAGCTCGTCGGTGTCGTCACCTTTGCTTCACTGAGATAGCGAATATCCTATCATGAGTATTTCGCAACCAGTGCAGCTCAGGGAATATGGCCAATACGATGGCTGTTGGCTCCCCCAAGCGGTTAGGAGGACCAGCTCCACCGCGTCTCGCTGGACTCGCTACTCTCACAGCCCCCGAACGTGATCCTCGTCGACCTCCGAGAACAGCACCCACGTCCCCGGTCACGGCTTCAGCTTTGTCTGCTCCGTCACCAGTCGTATCTGCTCCAGCACCGAAAGGTGGCACCATTTCCAGGCCTTCCGAAGCTCCAACTACGCCGAATCGCGGGGACGCGCCTTCCATATCTGAGTTGGTCAAGTCTGCAGTGAGACTCAGCAAATCCGAAGATGAGAGGGTGAGACTTGAGAAAGAAATCGCCACTCTTACCAAAGGATTACAAAGGGCAACCCAGTTTCAACAGTTCTCGAGCACCGTCACGACATACCAGCATCAGCTTGAGAGGGCTAAAGATGAACTGGCCAGGCATATGAAAGTGATTGCTCACCAGGGAGCAATATTTGATCAATCAGAAGCTCATTACAATGGAGCGTTGTCAAAGTCACAGCCACATCCTGATGTCGAACAACTTCGTCAGAGGGTCGATGAACTGGAGTCTCAGCAAGCCAAGATGAAGAGCTCCGCTGGAGTTCCCTCTGGCGCAACTGCTGAGGAGGTGCAAGAGTCACGAGCTGCGATAAGCAGGATGGAGAGCGATCTTCAGCTCCTGCAGCAGAAGTCCGATATCACGCCTGAGGTGATGGACCTGATGCGCAAAATCGCAGCCTCAGTGGACTCATGTGCCACTGAGGAGAGGACAATGGGATCTCAGCTCCCTGAGCTAGAACGTCAGTTACACGCTGCCGTCAACAGCAATCAAGAACAGTACACTCTTTGTCAGAAAGGGATAGAAAATGCCGAAGATTCGATCAAGGTTGCTCATGAGGAACATGAGAGACGAATCAACGAATTGAAGAACAGCTTGGCGACCTTTGAAAATCAATCCCGAGACGCAGTTTCAGATGCCAGCAGAAAAGTGTCGAGCCTCTCAACCAATTCCCAGGCTCTCGTCAATAATAATGCAAACGACATTGCCTCGGTGAACTATGAAGCCCAAAAACATCAAAATTCGCAACAGATCGCTGCTCAAGAGCAACACCTGGAGTCTTTGGTGCTCAAATTACGAGAACAGAATGGCAGAACAGTCACGACAACCCCCCAGGTCGCTTCAGATCCAGAACTCGCTGGGAAGTACGACAAACTCACCGAAATGAGCTTGAAGCATGAAAAGATGTTGGGTGACATAGTCCAAATCCATTCGGACTTCCAGAAGAAATATCTGCACACATTGGAAGAGGTTGTCTCCAAGGTCGACACGCAAAAATCCGAGCATAATAACTTGAACGGCAAATTCGGGAGCATGCACAGAATGCTACATGGTTTAAGAGATAACATGAATGAAAACATGGCCACCAAGAATGAATACGAAGGCATGAGAGATCAAATCCACAACCAGCTTCATACTTCCGTCATACAGGAGATTGAAAGGAAAATCGAACCTCTGTCCCAACTTCCAGCAAGAGTGCAAAAGTGCGAGAATACGATGGAACATCTCGGTGGCGCTTCCAAACGTTTGGACGGACTCGTCAACACCAATATCATCGCCCTTCGCTCACTGGAGTCCCGATACACGAACCTTACCACGGGTTATTTGGTCAATCAAATGGCACAAGAGATGCAAAAAATGTATCCCTCTGTCGGACAACTAAACGAAAGGTTGTCATCCCGTGAAACAGAGTTGGGCAATGTCAAGGAAAAGACGGTGCAATTCGAGGGACGTCTCAAAGCAATGCAGAAAATTCTCGATGCAGTAAAGGCAGATTCGGAAAAACGAGGTTCTCAGGAAAAGACTCAACCGGAAACGCAAAATCCGCAGGAAAAGAGACTATCAGCTGACCAACTTAATGCTTTGATTGCAAGTGAAATCGGACCTCTGAAATCCAACGTTGCGCAATACAGCGATCGGTTACAAACCATGCTGGAAAATGAAATCGGGCCTCTGAAATCGAACGTTGCGCAACACAGTGATCAGTTACGAGCCATGCTTGAAGATGAAATCGAACCTCTGAAATCGAACATTGGGCAACACGGTGATCAGTTAAGAGCCATGCTCCAAGAATCCAGTGATGTGACGAACATGGTCGCGACTCAGAACAGCTGCATCGAACAACTTTCTGAAAGCCTCGATGAACTGAAGGGGAAACACGAAGATCTCAAAAACCAGGATGTTGATAGTCTCGGGCCGACCTTCGAGGATGCTATGAAAGAAATCGCCGCTGTCGACTCCCGCGCTGACAAAATCCAGACGGAGATGGATGAACTGAACCGCTCAGATACTGCCCGTGTACTCTGGAATGGCAAATGCGAACGACGCTTGCAGGTATTGGAGGGATTCACCGCGTCCGTCGAATCCACGGATACCAAGGTCAGGGAAGACCTTCCGAAAATGCAAAAACAGCTGGAAGACCTTGGAGTCGACATGGGAAGCATGTTCGCAAAACTGACCTCGTTCGACGAGCAACTACAGAGACTCCAGCAAACCGATTTAATGAACGGCTTTAACAGACGATTGAGATCAGTCGAGGACAAGGTGGCAGACCTGGAAAGCGATGATCCAATAGACCAACGTGTTGGGTCCCGTTCAAAGCAGCCTCTGACAAGCGGGTTGAAAGTGCGCGGCGCAGCTGTGGCGCCCACTAGTGCCCCTAGCCCACCTCACCTTGGCAGTCACACAATATCTCCCAAGAAGCCAAAGGCACCGCCAATCAGTCAAGACAAAACCTCTTCCGCCCCCTCTGGTTCCTCGGCAAAGCAGCCAACACAACGGAATTCCCTTGCCTCCAGAATTCCAGTCGGGAACATTCCTTCGCCTCGCCCTGTACAAGATCTGAAAAAGCGCCGCCGAGAATCCACGGGGCCTGAATCTGGAACAAGCAAACCTAGCTCACCAGTGGTGATAGGATCCTCGCCTGATCCCAGTTCTCCCGCTCGTTCTGTTGCAGACTCCAGCTCTTCTGCCAGGAAGGATGACAACACCGAGGAAGAAGATAAGGGAAGTCAGGAGAAAGAGCGATTAAGAGCAGAGGCAGAGAAAAGGCAGAGAAAGGAGGAAAGAAGGCAGGCAAAGAAAGCAAGCAGAAACTCTCTCGGCGCCACAGGATCGGCGATTAAGAAGCGTAAGGTTGGATAGGACGAGGCCTGAAACAGTACTCGATACCCCTACGTTGTCACCGACAAGTGGCTGCAAGGGGCACACGTTTCACCGAGGATCGAACATACGTTTGAATACTCGACTCGTTCAACATCCGAACATTAACTTCCTGCTGGCGGTCTACTTTTACACGAATTTCTTTACCAATACCCCGAGCTAGGTGGACTGCTTTCTACACCCACCCATCTATCAGTCTATTCAATAAGTCACATGACCATTCATCGGCCAATCAGCGTCCAGTCCCTTCATTCCAGGAATTTCACCACGGCTATTTATAGATCGTAAGTATATAACTCGTATAGATGACGGTTGGGTCTTACCTTGTCGGAAAGCTTCTGGGTTCTCGGAAATCAGCCAGTGACCCGCCTCAACGTCGGCGATCTTGGCGTTAGGGAAGAACTTCTTTATCGCCGGCACTGTATCATCCGACACATATCCGGACTTGGTACCACGGACAAACAGCGTGGGCCCGTTATATTGTAGATTATCCGATTCTTTGAATGGGAAATCAGCCATGTTGTCCAGCGAGCGGCCGATGACCGAAAGCGGGACACGGAACTTCAGAGTATTATCCTCCTCTGATCTGACGAGGTTTGTAAGAAGGAATTGGCGAATAGGAAGGGACTGTCGAACGTTAGAATTTTGGTAAGCACGACTGAATGAGCCATTAAGCATTACCTCTTCGTAATCTTCGAGAATCTTGCTGGCATCCGATTGCTTGGAGACCTTCTCCGCCTCTACTTTCTGCATACCCCTGACATATTTCGGGAAGTCGCTTTTCAGAGCCGCGTTCACCGGCGCATTGTCTACCGGGATAAGAGCTGAGACACGTTCTGGTGAGCGGAGAGCTACCGCCATGGCGGCCTTGGCGCCCCTTTGTTTGAGTCAGCGGTAGGACAAAGCAGGCCCTTTGATAGTGGTCCGTTTGATTGGGGGTTTGTCAATCCGCGGTGCAGTCACGTACATGGAGTGGCCAATCAAGACGCATTTGTCTAGCTTCTGCTGATCAATGAACTCCTGGATATCTTCGGCCATGACACTATAGTTGTGCTCCTGTGCATGGAAGGACTGGCCATGATTCCGCAGATCCTGAGCCAATATTCAGCATTGGATATTTATTCCGCACGATCCGGGAAACTCACCAGGGCGAAGATTTGGCATTTGAGATCCCGCGCCAATGCCCTGCCCATGTCAATATCCCGTGCATGAATAGAAGTGTTGACCGACCACTTACTTTCCAATACTTCTGTTGTTTTGTTTTGACCCAAACAGACCGTGCAGGATCAGAATGGGCTTTCGGACAGCTTCACCGTTTTCCGGTCCGAACACCTGGTACGCCAGCTCGGCTTGCATTTTACGAGCTGTAGAGAAGGCCCGCAGGCCTGCTGCTCCTCGACTGACCGCCCGGAACGAAAACATTGTTGAAAGCAAGTTGACAAAGGGCAAAGCTGGACTTGCGAGATGCCAAGCTCCGTCGTCGGGATAATCCGCTGACTAAACAAAGCGCGTCGCCGACCGGGCGCGGGCGCTGGGCACTGCCTACGGGCCCACCATCTCAGGTGGAGGTACGCCCCCAGATACACTCTGCCAGTGACTTGTGCAATTAGCTGTCTATGTCTGCCGATCTACCCCAGATTCTTTTTAAACTCTGCAGGCTTACGGTCTGTGCTGTGAGTCGAGACTCTGGAGATTACAAATACAACATCCAAATGCATCACACAAAGTGAGGGGATAAGGCTTACTCACATATGCATGACTTCATCCTGCTTGGCAATCATGCGATAGACGGGACAAGCCCGTATTTAAAGGCGTAAAATGTGTCCTCGTAGAAGTTGAGGTTTGCCCACAATTTCAATATGACAGACCCTCAACCGTACACCATCTCCGTTGCTGATGATGCCCTCAAAGATCTGCAGCAACGTCTAGCTTTGGCACGGTTGCCCACCCAGCTTGAGTCTGATGAGCAGAATCTTTGGGACTTTGGAACACCAGTCAAGGAAATCCAGCGCCTTGTGGAGCATTGGAAAAATGGCTTCGACTGGCGTAAAGCGGAAGCAAAATTGAATGAAGTACCACAATATCAAACACAGGTCGATGTGGATGGATTTGGTACTTTGGATATCCACTGTGAGTGCCAGCCATCATTTGATCAGACGGTTTGAAAACTCATGCCTTATAATCTAGACGTTCATCAAATCAACACCAACAAGGCGGCAATTCCCCTCTTATTCATCCATGGATGTAAGTTCCATTCTTATCTGACATGGTGCAGTGCTTAATCTCTCTCAAAGGGCCTGGATCCTTCATGGAAGTCTTGAAACTCCTCCCTCTGCTGAAAGGGGATGAAAGCAACCCCGGCTTCCACATTGTAGCGCCATCGCTACCCAATTTTGGATTCTCCTCCGGCGTCACTCGACGTGGATTTGGACTCGCACAGTATGCCGAAGCTCTAAACAAGCTCATGATCAAACTTGGCTATGACAAATACGGTAAGTTTTATCAAAAGATAATTCCAATCACCGAACCTACCTCGCCGCATGCTAGTCACTCAAGGAGGTGACTGGGGATTCTGGATCACCAGATTCATTGGACATCTATATCCAGAGCACTGTCAAGCATCCCACATCAACAGCGTGCTCGCCAGACCCCCCAAATTCGCCATTAACCCCTTACTGGCAATACAGCACACACTAGTCCCATACAAAGAACGAGAAAAGAAAGGTCTCGAGCGCTCCAAATGGTTCGATACCGAGGGCTTCGGATACAACAAATTACAAAGCACCAAACCGCAAACCATCGGCATAGCACTGCATGACAGTCCTGTCGCACTACTATCATGGATCTACGAAAAGCTTCACGATTGGACAGACTCGTATCCATGGACAGACGATGAGATCTTGACTTGGGTTTCGATTTACTGGTTCTCTACCGCGGGACCGGCGGCGAGCGTCCGCATCTACTACGAGTCCATACATGCTGGTCCGACTAAGGGTAAGTCGCTCGAGGATTTGCTGGGGCATATCCCGGTAAAGCTTGGGGTTGCACACCTTCCGCGTGAGATTAGTGTTGTGCCTAGTACCTGGGCGGGTGTGTTAGGGCCGTTGGTCTGGGAGAGTGAACATGCCAACGGTGGGCACTTTGCTGCCTGGGAAGTTCCCCAGGTTATTGTCGATGATTTACGGGGCATGTTTAAGAAAGGTGGTCCTTGTTATCCGGCTGTTGCTGGCAATGAGGGGTACTAAGGGACATGCACGAGAGTTCTCTATTAAAAGCGACTTCTTCGGGTTGACGCTCGACCTCAAGGGGCTCTGCTGATTACAAACTACCAGATAATTTATAAATTGACCAGAAGGGTTTAATGAATGCGAGGACTTGGTATTCAAAGAAGCTGCTAGAGCTCAGATTTTGTGTTTATAAATATAATCTAGCTGTCCAGCAGCACGGGGACCTTCTCACACAAATATTCCACAATGGCGTCCGGGCCTCGCTCAACCTGCAAGCCTTCGGGGATGGCATGGAGCTTGATGTCAGGACGGACGGAACGAGCAATCTCGTGAATCTGCTGGGCCTCTTCGGCGGACCACATCGAGGCGCTGAACTATAGCACTGTTAGCCTCGGCGGTTGCTCGGAATTCCCGAGCGCAACTCACCAGAACTTCAGGGTTGTGTTGCTTAACCTTGGCCTCGACCTCGTCGATCTCTGTAGTTGTTAGTTGTGTTCTAATTCACAAGGCATGATCCTTTATTGGGTGTGCTTACTTTCACAGTTATCGACGTGGACGATAGTGTACCGATCCTTCAGGGCCTCGGCAACGCGGCCGATGAGGCGCTTCGCGCGCTCTGGTGCGGTGTTGACAGTAACGAGGTGGAAGGGACCCTTGGCAGACATTTTGAGAAATTTGAGAAATTTGAAATCGCAGAATCGCGAAATCCGCGGGGATTCTGTCGCATTTAATCGCGTCGCCACTGCTTCTCCACAATGTGGGAGGTGCCCCTCCGGCTTATCCCTCGGGGTAGATTTACTCCGCTATCGGTCGAGACATGCTTCTTAATCTCCAATCGCGCCCTTCCCCCTCACCAAACACAATCGCCATGTCGAAAATCGCATCTACCTTTTCGCGTAAGATGGTCGAACTTCAGTGTGATGAGTAGCAAGCTAATTGAATGATATAGGCCTGGTGCGCTTCGTCCCCAAGTCCAACCCCTCCAAGGTTCTGATTGGAGAGCCCGTCGACCCTAAGTTGGATGTCGGATTGGCACTTTACCAAGGCCAGGAGGTTGCTGTGCATCCCTTCTCTGGAACTTCGGTTCTGAGCCCTGGCCAGATCACTGACGCGACCGAGACAATCTCGCGCGTTCTCTCTCCCTTGGCGCAATCCGAGATTGGAACTATTCGTTGTATTGGATTGAACGTGAGTTTCCTCATTTGATACACTCATACAGCATGCTGAATTTCGATAGTATGCCTCCCACGCAAAGGAGATGTCCCTGCCAATTCCCGATGTGCCAACTCTTTTCATGAAGCCATCTAGCTCTCTGGCAGACCCATGGCCTGCGCCAACTGTTCTGCCTAAGATTACCCAGCAGGATAATACCGGCGACTATGAGTCTGAATTGGTCATTGTCATTGGCCGTGATGCTAAAGATGTGTCTGAGGAAGAGGCCCTCGATTACGTACTTGGATACACTGCTGCCAACGACGTGTCAAGTCGCACTTCCCAGATGAATCAGAGCCAGTGGTCCTTCTCAAAGGGCTTTGATGGCGCATGCCCAATTGGTATGTTTATGTTGCTCCAGATGATTTCACATTCTCGTGCCTTCCTTACTGACTTCGTATTGCTAGGCCCTGTTCTTGCCTCAGCTGCTCTCATCCCCGACGTTACCAAGCTGCAAATCCGCGGCCTCAAGAGTGGCCGTGTGATGCAGGACTGCCCTCTCACGTAAGTTTTGACCATCGTTTTTTCTACTGAGAAGGGGAGAATCGCTAACATTTTATCCTTCGCAGTGACCTGATCTTCAGCGTTCCCCAGCTAGTCAGCTTCCTTTCCCAAGGCACTACCCTGCCTGCTGGTACCATCATCCTGACCGGTACACCTCCTGGTGTTGGCGCAGCCAAGAATCCTAAGGAGTTCATCAAAGCCGGAGATGAGTTTGCTGTTGAGCTGCTTCCCCACATTGGTACTCTCATCAACAAGATCGAGCACCAGTAGTCATAGTCTAAAATTATACATACAGCATTAAAGTCTTCAAGCTCTTCAATGAGAATTTTACTGGAAATCAAATCAGGTAGCAACCTTCCAAGGTTGGAAGCCTGCCACAGCTACTTGTATAATCTCGACGCCAAAAGGTATCCATCGATTGGGTAGGATGACCCTCTATTCCAGCTAAACTTCTAAATACCTCGAATGTCTTTAGAGAATATCCATTACCGTTGAGTATGAACACTGTAGAAATAACGACCTCGAAACCTTGGATGCCAACTTTTGATAGTATAGGGCTTCAACCTTTCGAAGGCTACTGCAGCTTATACCGAGTCATTTTGAAGCTTCTCATGTCTAGTAGATGTCTCCCATCAAGCTGCATTTTGGGGGGATTACCGGCCACATGTACCATGACCGGAGCTCAAAGCAGTTTCCGTCATCGGAGTAGAAAACGTAGTCCCTGTGTAAAAACCAAGAGCAATCATTATCTGAAGTTGCTAATTGAAACTCCCCGAGAATATACAAAGCTTGGACCAATCACAGAGCTTGACGGGATATAACTTTTTCCCTCGGCGGAGTAAGTCTAACCCGCCTGCCCTGCAGATATCTTATCTCTTGGCGTGCCAATTTTGCTTGGTAGGTTTTGGGCGGAAGTTTATGCTGAAGTGACATAGAAGCCATAGTATTTTTGCTCTCTATACAAAGTACATAGTTGCTATAGAAGGTACAAAAGTCACATAGAGCACAATGTATACAGTACATCAAATCTGAAGATAGAGTATACTGATAGCTACGATCATGCCGTGGTCGATCTAGCGCTTGGAAACGTTTAGCCAGCGAGCCGATCTGACATCCCGACGACATCTGATCTGGCACCTCGTGGGCCTGCCTCGCCCGCGGTGGTTCGATTTCAGCGCTACGGGATATTATCGGGTCGGTGTACCGGCCTATATCCCGTTCGAAGTTTTCTTTCTCTTTTTTCTTCTATCAAAAGATAATCTGCCCTTTTATTCTTTTTCCTGTTGAGACTTTATTACTCGACTCTTTTCTGTGCAACATGCTGCCTTCACGCTTGGTTTCTCATCGAATCTGTCGCCTTGTTGGATGTGCAAACATCACAGACACCTGAGGTATCAGATCTGCATGTTTATACACTTTTAAGTTTCTCATCCCACCCTCCATACGTTACTTGGACACTTCACACTATACCCTACTTCATTTCGATGTTTCTTTGTGATGTTGATGCAAAGGGGGTTGAATGTGCTATGCGTCATTCTATGTGCGATCCCGAAGTACCATGCCGAGTCCGATGCCGAATCTCTCTAGACCCGAACCCGAACCCGGACGATTCCCACCGACGCTCAAAAATCCGAAGCCGAAAATCACGAAAGTTCCTACAAGATTGGAATCATCATTATTCCCATCATCGTCGTGATCATCTACTCCTCCTTACGCCACGCCTGGCCCTTCCATTGAAGGAAGATAGTGGGGATGACGCTGACAACGACGACCATGGCCGACCCAATACCCGCGCTGGGAGCGATGCCGACGTTCTCGAACATGGCAGAGAACCTGACCTGTTAGCGATGAAACTGAGAATCAAGGATGAAGACACATACCAGAAGGGACCAAGGAAACCCCAAATCTGTCGCACAAAAGTGACAAACACACCGATGCTTGCCGCCTCCTGCGGGAAGCAGTCGACAGCATAGGTGATCATCACGGTCGTCACAAGTTGGTTTCCAACAGCGCCGATCGCAGTTCCAATGATGGGGGTTACGTTCCAGTGCCCGCTAGGCGATGTCTGCGTGCAGACCAGGAACACAATCATACCGATGATGGTCAGCGCGAAGCCGAAGTAGCTGAGCCAGAGACGGTATTCGGGCTCTGCCTTGCGGTCGATGCGACGAGAGCGACGACTCATCCAGAAATCGGATAGCACGCCGCCCATTTGTTCGCCGATTACGGATCCGATGATCACACCCAGGAACTGGAGGCCTAGTTGCTCGGCGTTCAATTCGAATTTCTTTTCCAGGAGCTGGGGGACCTCGACTGTTGCGAGAATGCTACCGAAGAGGAAGACCATGGCGTATGCGCAGGCTGGAATGAGGATGGAGGGGTGGCGGGCCATGGTCAGTGGGCGGATGAACTCGTACCATGAGAATGGTGTGGGGTCAATTCGTCGCAGTGACATGTACTCGATCTTACGAGCGGACTTGTTGTCTACGCCGCCGCCGAGGTAGCGAGTTTCAGGACCGAAGAACAGATACAGGATGAACTGGCCACCGTTGATCTGTATGTCGGTTAGCTAATGGGAAACAGATACTGGAGAGGATTTACTGACCATAGCGAGGATCCAGTAGATCCAGTGGTACCCTGCGCGGTAGCACACGAAACCAAAGATGAAAGGTCCGATCGGAACGCCCAGGGTGATCATCAGGGTCCAGACACCCATATAACGGGCGCGATCTTTCTTGAAAGTCGTCTCCATCACGACTGCACTACCGATGGCAGAAGCGGGAGAGATGAAGAATGCCACGAGTGCACGACAAGCGGCAAGCGACGCATAGTCCGTGGACTTGGCACAGCCGATGTTACAAACCAGACTGCAGATGAGAGAAAGGAGGAAGATCGGTCGTCGCCCATATCGGTTTGACAAAGGCTTCCAGAACAGAGGAGCACCTCCCAGAATCGCGATTTGCAAAGAAGTCAAATAACTGGCGTCTTGGACAGAGACGCCAAGCTCCTTGGCGATGTCAGAATAGGCGGGAATGATGGCAGCGGCGGTAAATGTGCCCATGCAGGCGTGGAACGCCACAAGGATAAGGTTCATCATTTTCTATACCTTCATGCATCAGAACTCTGCCCAAAGAGGTAATTTGTGTCTGCGTGATTTCTGCACGACTTTTGCTGGGGGTTAGACTTACCTTCCATGAAGGCCAATTGTAAGGATCGGCTGCGCTCATCCCAGGAATAGGATCAAGCTCCAGTGTCCCATGTCGCTCTAACAGAAAGTCACGATGGGCTTTTGGTAGACGAGCAGCCACCGATTCTTCGTAGGTGGCTGCTCGTCCATGACCGGCACTCTCGATGAGATCAATATCGGCTTTGGTGCCTGGCACCTGCTCGATACCATCTCCACGAGATGAAGTCTGTTGTAATTCGAGGGATGTCATGCTGATGGAATTCGAGGGGATCAAGGATTGAAACAAGCAGTGTAGGGCTTCAAGTCCCCTTTCTGAAACAAGGTTTGAAACAAGACAGGGGAGAGGTAGGTAGGGATCCCCAAAAAACCGTTGAAGATGTACGAATACTAATGAAAGGTATGCAGAGTCAAGAAGTGAAGTCAAGAAGATGAGCAGGTCTAGAGAGGAGAGAATTGACCTGGGGGACTGAACGACCCAAAGTGAAAGCCAGCGAAAATCCCGAAGTGAGTGTGCATAGCCAAGCCGCTAAGGCCACGGCACTCGGATTTACTTCACCTGGGGTATTCTCCGTTCATCTCGGCTCCGCGCACCATTCGCGTGGATCATGCGGAGAGCGCTCGCTTGCTTAGAAACCCAGAGTACACGATTCATCTCCACTTACCAGGCATTATGGGGTAGGGCGAGGGATGGCAATTGAGGCCGGCTACCCGACGGGGTCGTTTACTATGAAGAACGGCTCCCAGCCCGAGCCAAGTACCGAAACCTACTCCATTCTGACGTCTTGGCGCAATCTCTCTGGGGTACGCGTCTCCATATCTTGCCTCCAGTTCCCTTCAATTTTTCTCTGGGGAAACTGGAAACACTCACCGCGGTATTTGTTCTTCCTCTGCAAGCCGTGCAATCCCATCACATCAGCCTAGGTCTGAGCACAACTATGCGCATTAATCCTTGTTGAGCCGAGTGGCGGGTTCTTGCCACGCTGCCGCGGTATTGCCACGCTCGTCCCACTCGGCTTCTCCGCAGAGTGCCTTCTCTTCATTTCCCCCTTGTAGTCCCCCACGAACTTCCCACGTCATATATCATCACTACATGAATACTGACTGAGAGTCATCGAATGCAAAAGAACTGCTGAAAATAGTTGTCTGCATAGACTTTACCTATAATTAGAAATAAATCCAGCCAGAAATGGTGGTTAAACCCGAACGTTGCAAAATGTAAATCCGTGCTCGCATAAGCAGTCCCACACCCCACAATCACTTCCCCACAAACCCAACAGATCCTCCTTCTTCACATTGACATATGTCTACAATGGAGACACCAACGGCGTCGACCAAGAAGCTGATATGTCGAGCATGTCAAAAGGGCTTTTCGAAAGCTGAGCACCTAAAGGTTAGTCAATAGATCTTCAGTGCCCTTCACGCCTTCCCCTTCCCATACTAGTATCCGGCTTCCCCACCGGGGACTCGGGAACAACAAGAGATCTTAGGACTATTACTAATACCCTGTAGAGACATGAACGCTCTCGTATGTTCTGCCGACACACTGATATGCTCAATATCACGTTCTGGGTCTATGCCATGAGACTAATGCAATGTTTTAGACACGGGATCTAAGCCCTTCGTCTGCAAAGAGTGTCGACGGCCCTTTGCCCGTCAAGATGCCCTTACTCGGCACGAGAAGCTACATACTCGTTCCATGGATGGAAACTCTGACTCGGGTCCCTTGCCACAGCCTTCTGTAGGATCTGTTGCTTCATGGAATACCAACAGCGTCTCACCAGTGGATTTATCTACTTCCGCCACGAGTCAATCGTGGGATGAGGCTTCCGGTGATACTAGCATGCATGCCGCTTCAGAGTTGGATCTGACCTTGATCTGGCCGGACTCGGAGAACCTGTTCCAGAGCTTGATGTCGTCAGACACGACAGATCAGTGGCAGATGCCCCTTGGGACCTTGCCTTTTCCACCTGTGGTGCAAGACGTTCATAGTATGACGTTTGGCTCTCCGAGCTCCTTCAGTGACCGTGGCTCTTCAATTGGCACAATGCCACCTGGTGGTGGACACAAAGCGGTTCAGGATTTAGCGGAAATGGTGACAAGCTCGGTAAGCAAGAAAGCTAGCAAGGAGACCATCGTGATTTTGAAAGAGAGATGGGAATTTCTCAAACTGATGCCTGACTGATATAGTCTTCAAGCGTCACTGCTGCCGTCAAAGCCACATCGATCACATCGGTTTTCCTTGACGAATGTCTTCATCTGTTCTTCTGTCGTTTCATACCCACATTTCCAATCTTACATCGCGCAACATTCATATTCAAAGAATGCACACACGCCCTGCTCTTGAATGCGATCGCTATTGGATCTTTGTACTTGGGCCCGAAAGACTCGGTTGCCAAGGGTGAAGTTTTATGGCGGCTAGCACACACAGCACTCGCAACCTCCTGGCAATCCCTCATCACTCACAAAGGGCCATACGATGCCTGCAAAGGTGTTCAGCTGATTATCACCGCCCTTTTGGGTCAGGTATATGGAGCACTATCCAAGAACCGAGCAGTTCGAACCACTAGCCAGGTCTTCCGCCCGCTGGGCTTTTTCTGGGCTCGGCATTGTGGCATGTACGACAGCGAGCCATATTCCATGGAAAACCTTCCGTCGACAACTGCTTCTGTGGCAGAAAAAGAACACCAGTGGAGGATCTGGGCAGCCCGTGAGATTCAACAACGTGCCCTACTGGCCTATCATGTGTTGGATGGTCTCGTAGCTCAAATGTCCGGCGACGCGGTCTCAGCCAGACACGTAGCAAATCCACTCTTCCTTCCAAGCAGTGAAGCACCGTTTGAAGCCAGAACCGCCGATGAATGGCTTGGCGAAATGCTCTCTCATAACCCCAGCAGGTCCTCTTTCCGCGTGATCTTCCGCGCCCTCTTTCCACCAGTCAGCAACTTCCGTCCACTCGACCATCGGTTCTCCGCCTTTGGACTTCGTGTCGTTCTCGAGGGCCTTCAATCATTGATCTCGGACTGCGATGACAACGACCTCGCCGTCGGCGTCCCCGGTCAGACAGATATCCGCCGAGCCCTAGCCCAAGTTCACGAAACAATAGCAATGAGCATCCACTTCACATCCGAGGAACGGCTCGAGATCCTTCTTCGCTGGCACACACTCTGTCTAGACACAATGATCGACTCCACCGTCCTCTCTCGTCACATCTGTTCCCGTTACAACATCCTACAACATTTCTCCGGCGGCTCTAGAACCGTTCGCCCCGGATTTGATTTATGGGAATGGGTAGATACGGACGATGCGCGCCGCGCCGCCCTCCATGCCATGTCGATCCAAGACATTGTCGAGAAATTACCGCGTGGTCGTGCTCATGTGGTGCATATGCCCAGCTCACTCTTTGCAGCAGCGACTATCTATGTCGTTTTCGCACTTTGTGGTCAACCTTGTGCGAGTTACCCGCGTGAGATTGACTGGCAGGAGGTTCTGCTTTCACACACTGATCTCGCCTTTGGCCATGATAGCTCAAAGCTGCCCTCCGGGTCTGAGACGAGTCAGTTCATTGAAGGGAAATTCAATAGCTTCGATGGACGTAACTTGCTGTATGAGTTGAACTCTATCCAGAAGCTCTTCCGGTGTTTGTCTTCGCAGTGGGGTATTGCGCATGATATGGAGGATATCGTTGCCCAGTGGATTGAGTTGTGTCATTAAATTGCTCTCTCTCTCTCTTGGCCTGGTGTGGAGTTTTGAGCGTGTGTATTCTTTTTCAGTGACTTTTGGTATGAATTATGAATTATCTTTACGTTATGTGTGCTGTGCTTTTGACGCGGCATCCGCGGTGCTTTCGGCGTTTGCGGTGCTCTCATATAGTTTTCCGTTCTTGCCACTTTGGCAGGGCCCCACATCAATGCCAAATGAGGTTAGATCCCCACCGCCAAGTCCCCATTTTATCCCCACAGTAGGTGTCAGTCACGTGACTTCGACGCCTGACAGACGCGTCGTGACGCGCTGCGTCGCGCGATCCCCACAATCCACTTTAGGCTCACTTCATGCAAGTTGCCGCGTGGACTCACTGGGAATCTTCAGCCTCCGGCCTGTGGGTCACATTCGAAACTAGCCACATGCAAGGACTCGAAGTGCAAGTCGCAGATTCAAGCAGTGTTTTCACACCAAACGTCATTCAACCAGGCTCAATGATCCTCTCTCCACCCCTGCATCGACGAACCGATGCCGGCAACCACGGAGCCGCCGATAGGTCTTGCCTCGGCACATGGGGCCGTACTCGCCGATATCTTGATTGAAAAAGGCCGGCTACAGGACGTGGCAAGAAACTCACGCTTGCGCAAGAAAATGTTCTGCGACGCCTCTATGAGCTTGAATCACCTTCCATTCCAGAGGGACAGATACCTGTGAAGAAGTTCTGGGTCTACCTCGCAACTCGTTTTCAGCAATGCACTGGACGAGAATACTCGTGGTTATCTGTGAGAAGGAAGATTATGGGGTCAGGGCCAGATGCTCAATTACCGATACCTGACGGACCTAGCTCTTGTGTCGAACAGACCAGCAACGAGCAATCGGCAATTGAGCCTGCTCTAGATGACTCCAGTGGCTCCATAGTACACGGCCTAAACTCAGCAGACGAATCTCGATCCACTCTGGAGCAAGGCCAAACACCGTCAAACTCGCTTTGCGTTGATAGACCGGGGTCCTCTGAGTGTGAGAGAAGCCCTTCAGTCTTCGGTGATCTGACACGGAGAGCCTTGTTTCCCGATGCAGCAAAGCATACGAAACAAACTCAAAACATTGCCAAAATTCCTCGACATCCTCGAAAGAGGCATGATGCACCCGCGTCTAATAGACGGAACAATCTCCCCGCCCAGAGACTGGACCACCCGCGACTCTCAACCGCATCTCGGGGTGTCTTACCTGGTCCCACTAATTCGCCATCTCTGCCACGCACATTTGGGGATCGTCATTCGACGAAACCGGGTACCCTCAAACGTAAACGTTTGGTAGTGGACGGTGATCCTCCAAATGAAATGTCCAAGGAGACCGCGAACGTTTTGCAAAGGTCACACGAAGCGGTTTCAGAAGACAGTGACACGCTGTATCCATCTGATCCCGATGAGCTGCCCAACACTCCCACTAAGATATCGAGAAGGGTTCGTTAATTGCGGAAGATCACATCTCGCAGTACAACCTTAGAACTGCTGCCACTGCCGTGCAACAACCTCAGTAGTTTTTGCAATTGATCTTGTTTTGATCTTCAACCCTTCGATATCAACAGCATAATCTCATACTCAAGTCTCATCCACCATGAATCATCCTCAAACTAGTAAAGTCTCTACAGTCGAGCAGAAGCAGACGGATATTTTGTATATTCCACTATGCTTGAGATTAATCAACCCTCCCCGATCAACCTGCCTTTTTGTGCTTTTCGATTTTGTACCGTCTGAAATTCCCGTCACGCTCCCTGTATTGAACCTTCCGTTCATCGATATAAAAAAAGGGGATATTCACCGCGCGTGACGTACATCGTGAAAGGAATTGTCAACTCTCGATATGAGGACCTGGATATCAAACTTGAAAGAAACGCCCCCACGACCTCGCCTCAATGTGCAATTTTAGCACTTGAGGTGATTCAAATTAATTGTTGAGGAGTGGCTTCCCCATGGGATACCACTCCGGAGATTCAGCTTCAGCGGACTCTTCGTTCGAAGCAGGATTCAAAGATGTTGCATCAGGGCTAGTGTCCATCTTAGACTCCTGTTCCGGGCTGGAGAGAATGGGGATAGGATCAGCAAAGAGAGCCTCTTCTTCTTCCTCGGTGATCTTGCGCTTCTTCGAATCGACTTTGCGTCTCATCTCACCAATCTGCTCATCGTTGATGGTCACAAATCGGATAGTATTGGGAACGCTGATCTCGTTCTCATCCTCCTTGATCATCTTTGCGAGGGCAAACTTTTCATCACCTTTCTCCTGATCCTCGCGCTTGATCTTGGCTGCGTTATCATTGCCGTGCTTTTCGCGCTTGATATTGACCTGGAGAATCTCTTCTACCTCGCTGTCATCGTCGTCCTCAATCTCCTCATTCTCGCTGCTCTCCGAATAATGTTCCACAGCACGTTGCGAGGCCATCTTTGCATCCTTGGCTCTCTGTGCCTGAGAAACTCTGCCCCTCTTGCGGGCCGGAGTTGCTCCACTGTTGGGAGTCTTGCGAGGAGCTCTCTTCTTAGGAGTGTTTGGGCTAATAGCTCCTGGAGCACCGGTTCGAGCACGCTTGCTGAGCTCCTTGATCTTGTTGATTCGTTCCTTGATTGCTCGAGGAGTGGGCTTGTCCTCCTCGTTGGCGGCTATCAAACACGTTAGCAAGTTTGTTGTTTGTCGGTCTGTTAACTGAATGACTTACGCCATGCGTCGGCCACACGTTGGACATCAACGCTGATCTCGGATGTCTCGAGAATCTTGGTCAAGAGCTATAAACGTGGTTTGTTAGTGCAAGGTGGGTGGAAATAGTTGATAAGCACAGTGCACGCTGCGTGATTTTGGAAGGCAAGGCAATCAGGCAAGGCATGCAGTTTTTGATGAAGAGAAGTGCGAGGAAAGTGACGTGTCTGAGTGCAAGTGACGTGACATGGATAGAGTCAACATGTGTGTGTGTCACGATCTGTGAGCCCGAGAGAAGTGACGGTAAAGCGACGGTGGAATACCGGAGAGGTCACGTACAATCTGGTCAGCAGCGCTGTCCCATTTGATTTTACCCATTCTGGCGGTTTCGTAGCCCGGAAGGATAGTGTATGAGTTAGTTCGGTGTAGGACTTTAGTCCCTGAAGTTCTTTGAAAGATGTGGAAGAATGATTGGAAAGTTGCAGAGTTGCGTATATGCGAAGGAGAGAAGCATTGGACCTAAAAGAACACGCTATATACTGGACGTTTCCGAACGCGAGTCCTCTACAAGTTTGCGAATACGAATACGAGAAATCATATTAACATACATGGAATAGTGTTAACAGAAGGAAATTTTCGGTACAATGAGTCGATAGCATTGCACGGCCCAGAGGTCGCAGGGGCAAACATAGCTTGCCATCCGCTAGCCACCCGCTACACGTCCACACCAGGGCGAGTGAATTAGGTATACTAGTGAAGGACTAGAGCTACCTCTTACTCAATTCATGGATGAGATAGTCCTGTGTGATTTGATCATGACTTATGAGTACCCTGCATGCCTGAAAAGCGGTATTTTACCTAAGCCTGTGGATGATAAAACATGTATCACTATTTTCATGCAACGGTTTAACGCGACGTGTCGGCGGGACGTTTCGGTTGCGGTTATTCTTATATCATGGCCGCCTTCTTTGTGAATCTTATAACCAAGTCTGATAACCGAAGAGAACAACAGTCTAAAGGTTTATTCGGGTATGATTGTTTACATGCAAGATTTGACTAAGATCTGTGGACAAAGAAGGTTCCTTGTAAGCAAGACCACAGACAGATACAAGCCCGGAGCTGCGCTACCGCGCGATCACCTGTGCAGTGATTTGATGGGTCTCACAAAACTCCGAAAGCTTTTAACTACTTTTGAACTACCAATGGGCGCAGTCAAAAGATTGGAGCACCGGTAATTACCGGCGACGGTCTAGCAAAAATATCATCGCGAAGTCGTATAGTCTTTACTTAAGATCTTTATCTACTGAAAGAAGTCTAGTCCAAACCTAGAGGAATCATAGGTACCCTAGAGACAATTCTAGTCATATTCGATAATAACTGGTCGTGTCTAGTGGTATCTTATAGTCCGCTTATTGGTAGATCTATAGATGAACGTTCTTATAAACGTTCTTTGGACGGATCCATGGATGATCAAGGTATACGACCTAATGATATGATTCTGTTTTCCCGTCTCCAATGTTCTAACCGACCTTGCTCACGTGGGTCTGTGGTATCATACCAACATAGATTGGCTGAAAGAACAAAAACACGGAAAGTGGACTTTTCAAGTTTGGGAACAAATTTGTTGCCCTAATTAGCTTCCTAAATAGGAAATTTCTTGGCATATTGAACAAAGAACACTCGACCTTGAGGAAGATTGTAGTAGTTCAAAAGGTAAGCAGAAAAGCCTTAGAGTATTCATTGTGTTATCAAAAGACTGTAAATATCCTTGGGATTAACAGCCCCATGGTCACCCGCACAGAAAACATAAGGAAAGACCAACATGTTAACATGAAGTAGACTCATAGATGACGAGGCTCGCTTTTCTCGTGCTTTCATCAACCATCCTCGTAGCTCTGATCTCTGAGAGGCTTTCAAGACCAATCTAGGTCCTAATTATTGTACTCATGGGGGCATAGACCAAGCGGTCTATGCCTCCATTTTTCTTCTTGTCCCAATTTGGAAATCTTCGACAAAGAAGGCCTGGGTATCGTTTCCCATGTTTCGCTTTTTCTTTTGACTTTTCCCCCTGAGTGAACAGCGTTGCAAATCAACATATAGGCATTGGGCTGCGTAACACTCCGCTCTCATCAATTATCATGACCAGAGTAGCACAGTGAGCCTGAACATACCCCTATGGTTATTGCAGGCCTGCTAACTTCTTTATAACCTACAGACAATTGCTGTTTTTGGATCTAGCCAGCTTCACGTATTCGCTCCCTCTCTTGAACGTGGCGGGTTTTTGTCGTCATTCCGGTCATTATTCACGTCATGCACTTCATGGCTATTGATATTCATGAGGCAAAAGTTCAAGGTGTATCATTTCTACCAATGCGCAGGACCTTCTTCTGGTTGGTGGGATCAATCAAGGGGCCAGGGGCGTAATCAATATGCAACATTGGAAGGAAGGGTATAGAATTGTGGTCATATCGCGGTGGTAGAACTTAGGTTAAAATCCGAGGGGAGTTTCGGCCGTTGCGAGAAGATCAGGTACCGAGACACGTGTAATACTGCGCAGAGTTGGTGTAGCTTGAAATTGTCCTGAAACATTCAGAGGCAAGCCATACCATGCGACGAATGCATTACCTGAAAAAGAGGCACTGATCGGTGATAACTATAATGAAACTAACCTGGAGTGGCTTGGTAAATTGGATTTTATTTAGTCTTGTGAGCTATACTAGCCATGTGGTATACTTCATTCATTACTGTAGGGATAGATTTAGCCTAAGGTTGGAATCTACCTGGTAACCTTAGATAGTAGCTTTAGACTTATTAGTTATTTAAAAAGCTTGCGAGGGTCTTCTAGCTTTAAATCATTATGACATTCTACCCCCTAATTAGAAATTATGGGTCTTGGGGGACATGGCTACTGGTAGATCCCCAAGAAGTGGGAATGCACTACTGGGTACTCCGTACTAGGGCCGATCCTCTCTGCGTACCCCCGGAGCTAAGCTTATAAGTATGGCTGTAGAGAGTCACTCTAATAGTCAAGTATTCCAGTCACTAGAGATAGACCTTTACAGATAGTCAAAGTATTGTATTTGTCCCAAACCATCTCGCGGACTTACCTTAATCGATAGCTTTCGGAGCTCGATATTCTTTCACTCTCTCATTTTCTCTTTCACACAACTTTCTCCTCTCCCCATTTCCTCCACCACACATCTCTCCACAACCCATTTTCATCAGTTAACCATCAAACTTCATCCAACATGCCTGGAGCTTGGGATCAGCAGCGTGAGCAAGAGGTGAGTTACAGCCAGTATAGCAACCCATGTTCTCTGTCTACAACCAAGACAATCTACCGATGTTTTCAAACTTGCCTATCAAAAGAGGCCCCGGTCACCGAGCAAGGCCGTTCTCACAATTCAGTTTTACTAATGAGTTTACCGTTGTCTTAGCTCTTGCTGGCAATCGATGCCACCCACACTATTGACTGGGCTGCCGTTTCCAAGGAACTCGGTGGTAAGTATCGTCTCGCCCTACACCCCACCGTATCTTGACCTTTAACGCTCATGTGATACTGGCAGACACCAGCATCAACGCGTTGCGGAAGCACATCAATGTTGTGAAGCAGCTGCAGAAGAACACCGATGATGCCAAGGCCGCTACTGCCACCAAGGCCTCTACTGCCTCTACTGCTAAGAAGCCTGCTAAGCGTGCTGCGAAACCTGCTGCGTCGAAGGCTGCCGAGTCGACCGCCGAGGACACCGACTCCGACTAGTCGAATTTTGCTGGAGGGGTTGTCACAGTGCACAGACTCGAACGCATACAGGTCACTTCTCTTTGTCAACAAGATGGTGGCTTCGGGTCTCTGGTTTCGATTGGCTTCCTTTCCTCGTGATGGTCCTGGTTTTATGTGATGGGAGGCGTGTATCCTGGATATCGATGCCAATACAATCAAATCTGCAGGCTCATCCATGGCTTGCTACCCTGGCTGAAGTTAGTTTATTAGTTCAAAGGACCACCATCATGAATTTCTCTCGCCCATCGTATTCACGTTTAGAGGATGTTATGTGACAAATAGAATATCCCCATGAAACAACATTCTGCGCTATTAATCTATACATAGCTGTTCAGAACAAGCGACATATCAACAAAGACGCTGGAAAACTAAATAATGCACTAGTGAGGTTGTTGGACATAAACAGCTACACCACTGAGTATTATTGTCCACATCACTGACACGAAATCAAGATCCTGTCTACATCGGTCCAGAAGAGGGTGGCGTAGCAGCCCACGGTCCACTAACAAACTGCGATCCCGATGATCTTCCAGTGCCCTCCACGGATTGCATCGGGTAGTGGTTGGATTGGAGATAGGGCATTTGGTGAGCCTGTGTCGAGTCGGGATATCCAGCTGTCCCATCGTGTCCCATCTGGTGTTGGGGGGCATAATGATTCGGGCTAGCTTGGGCTAACATGTTGTGGTGCTGGTTATTTGCGTGCGGTGCTGGTCCGCCTGGCCAAGGGTGTGGGGCTTCCGATCCCGAGTGTGTTCGTATCATGTGTTGTTGCTGGTATTTGGTTTGCGCTTGTTGTAAAGGCGAGAATCCTTGCAGAGCAGGATCTTTCTGGTTATGCTGTGATTGGGAACGTGAACCAGGGTAGCCCTGGAATCGAGCTTGATCGACCATCGATTGCGGTGAATGGTTGGAGAATTTCTCGGGCGAAGATTGATATTGTTGGGCTTCTTGGTGCACGGATGGAGCCAAGGCTCTGCTTCCGTACTCGCTCGAATGCTGTTCGGTGCGCTGTGGAGACGAGTAGGAACCATAGAACGGCTGCTGTAACGTGGACATTGGGTGTTTGCCACCGGATGCACCATTATGCCCTGGTTGAAATTCGGATGGCCACTGTTGTTGAGGAATCCTTGCTCCGCCTAGCTGCCTATTCATTTGCTCTTGTTGGCTGTTAGTCATAGCCCACGATGCTGGTGGTTGATGACCATGCATCGCTGCAGCACTGGCGGGATACCCTTGGAACAATTCAGGGTGAATGCTCATATTGTAAGGGTCAGGCTGAGCCTGGTAGCCACCTCCGTTATGGCCCCACGCTGGCTGAGTGGCATTCTGGGCCATGTCGTTGGGGTAACCTGGATGTGGCTGGTTCGTATACAACGTCGACTGGACGCCATTTGCTGACACACCATCGGCCCGGTGTGGACTCTAGTTTCGATCAGAACTGTTACATGCTACCGATAAATATATCGCAGCACTGGAACACCTTGAACTCACCTGCCCGTACCCCGCGCTTGCCGCGTGGTGATCGTACCCGCCGGGGAGGTGTTGACCGGGGTGATTTGAGTACCAGCCTGGTACATCGGCGTCATGTAATGAGCGTTCGGACTGCGGATAAATCTGGGAGTTAAGGGAGCTCTATCCCACCATCAGTGCCATTCCTGTGACGCTTCGCAGACATAATGAGCGCGATTCCCTACGGAAATTCTCGCACTATCCGCAGCGAGCAAGTGGTTCCCCTCCATATGATTCTCTGACCCCGCTCCAGGAGTGATATTGTTTGCTTGTTGTGGTGCTTGCGACGGCCCTCCTCCGATGGATGGTGTCGTCGATGGGGTCAGATGGATCGGTTCGGTGGGTATCTCCCATTGTGATTTGCCGGTTGTTCTCTGGACATAGTACCATTGCCGACGGACACCTTCCCACTGAGGGAGCCTGTCGTTGGCTGTTAGAGTCTCGTCATTGAAGTCTCATGTTTGGACTTACCAGCCTTCGGGGAGTTGAGGCGGTGGAGAAGACGGGCCAGCAGTATCCGCGGGGGCCTCTGGGGCCATGGCCGGTCGTATTTCGGCACTGATAACAAAGAGATCGATGAGGCAGCCAAAGTCGAGATAGCGATGAAGTGCTGTCAAGGCAGGTGAAGTCCAGAGAAACTCTCGGATAAGAAGATCTTGTGGGGCTTTATCGTGCACAGACCCCACATGTTCCAAGGCCAGGGCCACTTCCAGGAACTGGACGCCACCGTGCCCAGTTGATACCTAAATTGAGGGTACATTCGTGTTTGCTTTGAGGCTAATATGAGGCTCGAATCTATCCAGGGTGATATATTCAAGCTTCCAAGGCACCTTGAGTCTTGACCTACAACTTGGCCACCACCGTGAAATCAATACTCATCGTGCTCCTCTCCTTCCAGCCACATCAAAACTTCCTAAATTCACTCAGCCAACACTCACCATCGCACTGAGAGATCTGCTGGACAGAGTCAGGTCAAGTTATTTAATCTTTTTGGGTTGCTGTGTGATTGACTGGAAAAGTCTCTTGGCACCCAGTAAGATGATATTGACTTTCCCAATAGATCTGCTGTAATGATGTCTTTATCCATAGCCCATTCAAATTTGAAACGAGCTGTGCGCTCAATCTTAATTTTGGGGGAAGGGTTGTCAACCAGGCGTATCTAGTCCGTCATCTTGTTTGATACTTCTGGATGTGCCAAGCTTCGTGCTTGTTTGCAAAATACACTATGGAGCTGCTTAAAATTTTAATTTTAATTTCTGCAGTAGATTCACGACATGATCTCCGGGCTGGTAAAAATCTCTGGTCCGAGCAATTTCGCATCTTGATGTGGTGAGAAACCGTCATGTTAGACACGGCATCCGAACATCTCGTTTTACTGAGTCTGTCTAGAGTTGACGGACTTTCGGCGTAGTATCTTACAGCTCATGATTCGTCACAGTGGAATCTGCAGCTGCATCGGTGTATTAAACTGCTCGTTACGTAGCTTGAGGCTTAAGATTCCGAAGATTCCGAACCATGAAGTTTGTAATGTTGGGCCCAATGCTCAGGTATTCTTGGCACCGGAAAGTACGAAGGCTTGGCAGCGCATTTGGGTCATCTCTTCCTTAGATTTTCATACGTGGGCCGTCCAACATGTACAATTATGTAAAATCAGTGCAAATGGAGTGGAGAGTCCGCATTTTATATCCAATCGCCAGTCTGTCTTTGGCGGAATTTTCCAACTTTTATCATTGATGGAGACCTTTTGGGAAGGGTTCTGGCCGATCGATCGGAGGAGTTGATGACGCCAGGCCAGGTTTGTCCCGATTTCCACACCGCGGTTTGTGTTGTTTGCACACATGTCTCAATTAGGAACATGCATGCAGTGCTACATAAAGAGCTAGCAATTCTTCGAAATCTTCTGTAAAATATTAACTCCTGAGCGGTTTCTTGTCCATTCAAAATGAGCAGCAAAAGCAGCAGTGTCATTCCTGCTGGAAAAGTGGCCTTTGTGACTGGTGCGAATGGTATCAGTGGCCATGCCATCATCGAACATCTCATTCGGACACCCGAGTCAGCCTGGTTAGTAACAATTCAAAGAAAGAAAACATGACTCTAACTTATGAAAAGGTCCAAAATTATCGTCACATCGCGGCGACCACTTCCATCTTCTTGGGTAGATCCTCGAATCGAGTTTGTGGCCCTCGACTTTTTGAAGCCGGCTGAGACGATTATCAACGAGATAAAGGTCATCTGTAAAGATGTCACGCATGCTTATTTCACCTCATATGTGCACTCCATGGACTTTTCCGTGCTCGCTGAGAAGAATTGTCCCCTCTTCCGAAACTTCTTGGATGCAGTCGACTCAGCCTGCCCTAAACTTGAGCGAATCTGCCTTCAAACCGGTGGCAAAGTAAGTACCCTAAGTCTCACCGACCTACCTTTCTAACAGTCTTGCAGCACTATGGCATGATGTTCCGGGAGTTCTCTTCACCATTCCACGAGGACACCCCACGGTACGAGGGCCCTGGATCCGAATCCATCTTCTACTATGAACAGGAAGACGACATGCGGAGAGTGCAAAAGCGTCGCAACACGTGGCACTACAATGTGATCCGTCCTATGGGAATCATCGGGTACACTCCTCAGTGTAAGTGATCAAACCTTTGAAGCGAAACACGAAGCCACTTACTGAGATACGATCAACCAGTCAATGGCATGAATGAGGTAGTCCCTCTTGCTCAATACTTCCTCATCTGCCGAGAGCTCGGCGAAACCCCCAAATGGCCTGGAAATCTACGCAACTATCATCGCGTTGAGGATCAATCATACGCTCCCAGCATCGCCGACCTTACAGTGTGGGCGACCACCCAAGAGCACTGTAAAGACGAAGCATTCAACCACACAAACGGAGACGTGATTCTGTTCAAATTCCTATGGGCTCACCTCGCGAAGTACTTCAACGTCGAAGTTCCTAGCTACTCAAACATGCCCGACAAGGACGAACCTGAGCTGGACCTGGTCGAGTGGGCTCGTGACAAGGAAGAAGTTTGGAACCGAATTGTCGCCAAGTACGGTGGTCGGGAGGATTGCTTCCAGCTTGACGGCTTTGCCATGTTGAACTGGGGATTCAACCCTTCCATCGACATGAAGACTCCTTTCATGAGCACAGTTGCGAAGGCTCGCAAGTTTGGCTGGAATAGGATCGATGACTCCTACGAGGCTTACGATCGTTCATTCCGATCCTATGAGAACACTGGTATTCTGCCGAGCTCGCGCCAATTCCGATGAGTGCTGAGGCTTAGAGGAGCTCGATGTGTTCTTATATTCAGGTTGATGTGACCGACATCGAAACAGACCCTAGGGTTTGTTTTGATGAACACCTGGAGTTGTTGAGCGGACAAAATATACTTATATATCCTCCCGGATTCTGGGAGTTTCACAGGTTTCTGATAGAAATGATAACTGCATTTTAGAGACCTTCCAAGGTTGGAGTTGTCCAACGTTGAAGATTAGGCAGGTGAGGGGTCCAGCGCAACATGGGTGGGCGTCTTGTTGACAAACATCCATAAAGTAGCCCGCCTTCCCACTTCAGGCACAGAGACCTTCCTAATCGGGTAATAAATCAAGGTCAAGAAGCCGATAAGGGTATAGGTATAATGTCAAGAACAGGTGGGCTGGCCTAGCGGTGCAGCCACTGGGCAGCCCGGACTGGAGAGCCCACCTCTTGTCTCGTAGTATAACAAAATATATGCCCATCTGGTAGGACCAGATGGTGGAATATTTTTGTCAACATCACCGGTTCGACTCCCCCTTTGCGCTTTTTGCTTTTTATCATTTCGAAACACTCCTTCCATATACATGCAGTAGTCTCCTGCTGAGGCCAGCCAAGTCAACCATACACCCCACCCAACGACGGAATCCCAAGTGGAACCCATTCGAGCTTGGATAGATCTTGGCATTAAAGTGAAATATTTTTGCACTCAAAAAACGCGGAAATCGTCCAGTATTTCGCAAATCGGCGGTGGGGCCTGCCAAGCCTGTTTGGAAGCTTAAAACACTCTAGACGTTACAGAGGAAATTTCCTCCAGTGGGATTTGAAAAATATCATAGCTATTAATTATCTCGTGTTTATCGCTAATAAAAGTACCTAGATAAGGAATCACCTTCCAGCTATCTTGATAGCATTCCATAGTAAATGTATTGCGCCATGACCTTGCGCCGCGCAGCAAATTCAAAAAGAAAATATTATAAAGTCCTCAAAAAAAATAAAATATCCCCTAGCTCCATGAAACGTAAAAGGGTAGGATGGGTATAAATAGACATTAGAAGAGGCATCAAGAGTTGCAACGGTGTTGCGTTACCACGCACTCCCTGGGGCTGGCTCAAAGTCATTGCCATTCCAGTCCTCGTCTCCGCTGAGTTCATCATCGAGGAAGTCGTTCTCGTTATATTGCAGCTCTGTGGGTCGTTGATTGTCAATTCGAATACTGACGACATCACACATTCCTTGAATATTCTCGTCATCCGAGGGCGAGGCGCCCCGTGACTGATTAGCCGCAGCCTCGAGCGCCTCATCAGAGCTTTGTTTGGCTAGACGGGTGCTCTGTCGTTTCGACCGAACTGATGATTCCCCGTCCGCGGTGTTTGAATCGTTTGCCCGCGCTTCTCCCTCTTCCGCTTTAGCGAATATCGCGCTGCTAGGGCCTATCTGGCGCTTGCGAAGGGAACGCATGTTAGGATCTGGCGGAGGGCTGCGGCGCAAGAAGACTTTTTCGAGTCGACTGATCCATCTTTCGCGGAACGTAGCACGATCCCGCCACCCAATTTTCAGTATAGCGCTGATTGCCAGTTTGCGCAGGTCGGAAAGACCCGGCGCTGCATTGACGAGCGAGGTGAAAAATACCTCTGCAGCAGCATCATCCCATTTGCGCAACTGGGTCAACTCAATTTCTTGGAGCTTGGTGGGCCAGGTGGGTACCTGTGTTTTCACAAGCAGTGCATCAAAGTGTGGTTCGACATCGTGGTAACTTGATCCGTCGTGCATTGAAACATCCATCTTGAAAATCGTGAGATTGGGACATGACTCGCCCAAGGTTGGGATGAAAGACATGCTGAGATGGCGATTGTGGCTGAGGTTCAGCTCTCGGAGATTCGTGCCATGTGAGTCTAAGAAAGCTTTGAGGTCTTCTGACCACATTCTATCGCAGTTTCTCAACGTGAGCGATTGGAGTGTCCGTGGTACGTTGAACAAAATCTCGGCGCTGACCAGAGAACATTCGAGGAACTCCAATCGTTGGATGTCAGACAGCACGCTGAGTGAACTCGCCAGCAGGTTCCCTTTGTCAAGTGAGTCTTCTGTGGGGGTATCATTGAAGTGGAGCAACTTGAGCTCTTTGAGCCCGCGGTATGCCGGTGTCTGATGTTGGTCAAGCATAAACTCGAGAAGGACGTCTTCTCCTGTGAAGCGGCAGTTCCAATCCCAACTCCGGAGAATTATACCAGCATCTCTGATGGCGAAAAAGAGAGGATCTTGATAACTCCATCTCGAAGGGACGATATGCCATGGAGGAATTCCGACGGTGTAGTCGTCTTTGTGATAAAGTCGAATGGTATGCACCTGAGGAGTCTTCTCGATCAATTTAGCGAGATCAAAATATCCGAGAGTTGGTCCACTTTTATATAGTAACAGTGGTTCCACTTCAAGATGAAGGTTCTTGATCTTGCTGGCATAGTTCATGGAGAGTGATTCCGGTGGTTGCGTCAACAGGTTGAACAGCGCATGGGTCTTGTGGGCTGGCAAAAGCGGCGGGCATTGATAGAGAGCAGCAAGCGCAGGCTCGTAGAAGCTTCGGCAGAGTAAAGCGGTATTTAGAAGCCACTTGACAGAATCATTGCGGTCCGATCGTCCCTCGTCAAGCAATGGATAGGACGCGCGCAAGAAAATGTCGAGGAGTATATGATATGGCAGAGTTTGCCAGGGGGGAATGACACCTGATCCGAGGATAATCCCACAATCATTGTCGGTCTTGACACGTTTGCGCAAAACCTTTCCCACCTGACTCCTGCGCTTGGATGGCCGTTTGGTCTGCTTTGGTTTTGGAGTTGTTGTGCGCCGAGGAGGTGGCTGTCTGGAAGGGCGAGGAGTAGGCAGGTTTTCGGATGCTGGGATTTGTTCTAGCGCCGGAGCTACACCCACCGCTACCTCTTCTTCTTCCACTGGCTCGTCAAAGCTGGCATCAGTGGACTCCTCGCGATAGGACCTCGGCATTCGAGTCCCACTGCGCGAACGAAGGGACAAAGATGCACGTTCAGATCTGGGTACGTCATTTGATTCATCAGAGGATGTTTCTTCATGATAAGTCTTGACCTTGGTGCGACTGGACCGCATAGGGCGAGTGGATCTGGATCGTGCGTTCGAGGGTGCCATGACGGATAAAGTCACGCTAGGATAAGAGAGTGGGTAGCTCGAAAGCGGGCCACCGTGCCCACTTTATGTGAGGCGCGCAACAACACGAGCAACCGTCACACTTCGTTGAATCAGATGCGATCAACTATTTGATGTTGTTGCTTGAATTGACTTTGAACGACCGGATGCACACGGTTCTTTGACGGATGAAGTCGAGTCCGCCAAGACTTATGCTTATCGATAAGGTGATAATGAAGAAAGTGCACGTGATAATCCCAGGCAGAAACCCCCGCCCTCAGGCCACAGCGCTAGTCCCCATTTGGTAGCACTAGATGGCCCCAAAATAGATTCTCAGCTTGAGCTTTAAAGATGGGCGCTTCCAGCCACCTCGAGGAGAAACCTCCTGGAATCGTACCGTATCAGCATATTCATCTCCAGGATTCGATTCGATCTCATCTTCCCTGATTTAATTGAACAGCGCCTTCCATCTATGCTGCTTCTGACTGAACGGTGATGACGGCTGATGCGACCCAGGCTTATCAAAAGTACCAGTGAGAAGATATCTGACTGCACTTTGCAAATGAGCTTCAAGCTCTGGGATTTCCAATCCTCACATCTCCCATGGAAATCTCATTTCCTGTTATGATGGACTCGGATCGCTCCAACCGTGGTGACCTCGGCGGGCCGCAGATGGTCATCCAACAATATGCGCGATATCCCCCGACCTTGGAATCCACACTGCAGAGTGCTTCCTCTTTAGGAAGTTCTCGTAGTCACTTAGATATAAACAAGTCTCCTCCTCTACAGCGAAGAGAAACACCGAGGAGTTTACAATCTTCCCCCAGAGGGATGCGTTCCATCATTCCCTCATCGTCGGCGAATCGCTCTGGTACATCTATGTCGCCGCCAATGTTTGATCCACATCGCCATCATCCGATGAAAGATACGGCTGATCACGCAGATTCTCGAGTTCTCCCATCGCGGGATATAACCGAGGAGACTATTGACGATGCCTATGTTTCCTTTATTTTGTATTGCAATCCTAATGTTCCCTCTTCTGTGGATACATCAGAGCTTCGAAAAACATTTCGTTGTTTACCACGAAGTGATGGTAAAAGTTTCAATATCTTTACTCTATTTGGGCTCATTCGACGACGACTTCAAAATGACGAGATGAAAACCTGGATTCAACTAGCCATGGAGCTTGGCGTTGAACCACCCTGCATGGAAAAAAAACAGAGTTCTCAAAAGGTTCAACAGTACACTGTCAGACTAAAGGTATGTTTGCTCCCATTTATTTCGGACCTGTTGGTCTAACTTCATCCAGCGCTGGATGCGTGCTATGCACATTGATGCATTCTTTGAATATTGCCTAGGTATGCCTCATAACTACTACACACAGCTGCCGCCATCTGGTCCTTTCGTTGGTGATCCGCGTGACGGTGTGGCATTGGAGGAGGATCTTGCTCTCAGGGCACTTGTGCCTCAATGGAAGCCAAAGCGAGGACGCAAACGGGTCGAAGACAGAGACGAGGAAGACAAGATACCGAAACGCCCTCAGTTGGATACATCAGTGGGCGGTCTTCACCAGAGCAGCTTTCCATCTCATTCTGTGACCTTCCCTCAGAGTGCCATTCCGTTCAGTGCATTCCCCGATGATATGGAATCGCACGATCCATGGATGACGGCAACCACGTCCTTCCCAAATGGCAATGGTCAGGAGCAGCAAGGTCAAGACATACGCTGGCGATTACCAGAGCGAGACGCATCTCCAGCCAACTACCCTCAATCTGCTATCGTCCCTCGAAGTCACCTTCCATCAGATGTTCTCATGTCTGCGGAGCCGCAATCAGCCGTCACCCCCTCTACTGGAGGAAAGGCTCGGGCTAGGAGGCGTCATGGTCCCGCGGTGTCTTCTGCTTGGCCGAACAGCAACGGAATGTCCGGTGGGAAAAGTCGAGGGAGACCACCGAATAAAGGATCATCATCGGGCTCCTTCACCACTTTCCAAGTAAATCCTAGCCGGGAATCATCACAAGCACCTACCACCGACACACAATCCACCCCGCTTGTGCTTGATACACATCCTCCACAACCATTCCAGACCCCGACTTACAATCAAACACCAACGCCTGTTGCACAAGGAAGACCCAGCAAACTACAACTACAGGTTCCTCAACACTCCGGCGCCCCTGTACGTCTTGCTACCCCTCCAAGGCTGGTTGTCAATGGCGTGAACGGTGCAGTCATCCCCGGAGCTGGAAATGAAACCCCGAACGGCTCTCATCACCATGGTCACGACGACACTGAACGAAACGCTATCATGCCTTCAAAACCTTCATCTCTCGGGCACGACAATGCAACAAATCCTCCAAACCCCACTATCGAAGATATAGTCCGCGCTCTGACCGAAGAGCTTATACACGCTAGAATAGTAGGGCACCCAAACACCATCCACACCGACGAGGCTGCCGCCCTAGCCTCGGCAATCGTGATCAACGTATCCTCGATATACTCCCAGTTCCAGCTCGGCACCCCAACTTTACTTCTGGCCTTCCATCTTGGCATCGGTCATCATTTTGGGTTCACAGGTACCCAGCCAGGATCACTAGTGATCAAAGTGGAACGTGCCGCCAATCCCGACGGAAGCCGAGGCCCCATGGCCAATGGCCACCCCGCTGGCTCTCAATATACCGTCTCTCACGAGTATCAGGCCTCAAACAGCTTCTCAATGCAGATCACACTTGCCAATATCAATCCCGGGATAGGAGCAACGGGCTCTTCGGCTCATTCGAATACTGTCAAAGCCCCACTCCACGCAATCAATCGAAGTGTTCATGCTGCAGACCTTGAGCTTGACAATGATGAGTTCGGTGAGCCTGCTACCGAAGCAACGTGGAAACAACGATACACACGGCTTCGCGCTCAAATGCAGAAAAGGGATCAATCGCTTTCGCAATATAAACGGAAGATAGTAGAATCCGTCATGGCTGATATATGAACCGAAAATTTGGAAGTTTTGCGACTTTTGTACGAAGAGCCTTCGAAGTATATTTCTTTTGTTTGACACATTGTGGCTTCTGAGCATGTCATTTCGCGCGTTCTTATGTTGATAGGATACCCCTTTGATATGCAATCCTACTGTTTCACTTTGACTCGGGAGAATCTCTGGTTCATCTTCCGTGGTCGCTATTCTCGAAATTTTCCTGACACAGATATTTTATGAATATGGGACCAGGCTCTCGATCGATGCTCTATTATTGAATGAGTGAGAGTTCTCTCTCTTCTGTTCATCCCTGATTAATAGAGGTCATTTACACCCGTGGACCTTGTATGGTGCTTGCCTTACTAGATGTCCTCGACATTTCTTTTCTTATGTGAATGTCTAGATTAAGTCGAAAGCATTGCTCGACCTCGGGAGTATGAGGTTGTACGGCTAGGTCGAGTGCGGTGGTCATAAATTAGTGAATGCTCTCACCGCTCAGCAACATCCCATGTGGTGTAGGGGTTATCATCGCTCGTTTTCAAATGGGTTTTCACCTGTATTGTACCGTGCAGACCGGGGTTCGAATCCCCGCATGGGAGTTTATTTTTTGTCTTATTATTTTTTTCATATCCTTCAAATTGCTCTCAACTCCTTGGATTTTTTTTAAACAGGTGGACAGTTTTCAAAGGGATTGGACAGCAAAATATCGTCAATTTTGTCTCTACGGAGGAATCCAAGCCACAACACATATCCATGAACCCGCAAAACATCGAGCGCTTGGAATGATAAGCTCTCCGGAAAAAAAGCAGATTGCGGAAATAATACAATCTCCAGCGCAAGGTATAGGCCATCACAATCCATTGATGGGAGAAATCCAAACGAAGGAAATCCAGGAAATCCAGGAAATCAAGAAGGAAAACCGGGACCCAAATGAAACTACTTCTCCTAGCTCCTAGCTTACATCAAGCTCAACGACAACACTCTGGCTCCCCATAGGTGGTATGGCTATGTCCTCCCTGGGGGGCACATTTTCATCAATATTGATGACAAGAATGCTGTTTTGAGTAGTAGGGTCTGTATGGCACACTGCCAACGGATCAGTGGCTCGCGGGTTACTCAAGTCAGTGGCGGGCGTACCTGAGGGAGATGGGCTTGGATACTGGGCGGTTGGTCGCCAGAGAACCAAAGCTTTGTCAAGATTCTCCGTCTCGGATTTTGCAGGAGATGATGCTTGTGGCGAAGGAGGCAGAGGCACTTTGGTATCGCCCGGGAAACTCCGCAATATATCCTCGTTGGGTGGTGTTGAGAATTGTTGCGAAGGAGGCATTGAAGTCCAATTGGTGATTGTTTCCCTTGTTTGCTGCTCCTCATTCCGCGGAACTGGATTATCCTGCGGGATTGATAGTGCATCCGGCCAAAAGAGATTCAGATGGGCTTCCTGCTGCTCATCATTCTTGATGACCGGAGATGTTTGGCGAGACATGAGTTGTGGTTCCCAACTGAGAGCAGCAGTGTTCTGATTGTGGTTTTCCCTCATTGTGGCAGGGACATCTTGTGGCACAGATTGAAGCGGGTATATGGCAGAGCTACTAGAGATACTTTGGTGTTGAGGCTCAGGTGCTGTGGTTGCAACATGTGGCGGTACAGATCGGAATGGCTCCCAGTTCATAGGCGAAGTATTTTGTTGCATCTCCTCGGATTTTATGACCGGGTCTCCCATGTGAGAAGGCTGTTGTCCCCATGTGAAACTCGAAGGCAATCTCTGGTAAGGAGCTTGCATCCCGAGATCTTGGACTCCAAAGTTTGCATGCATGCCATAGGGATAGCTCGTGGGCATGGTCTCAGCGGGCCAGCCATTCATGGAAGAATCTGGCGCATTCTCGTTAGATTGCGAAGCTCCATGCTGCATGCTGATTGCCTGTTGGAATTGCATCGAAGCGTAATCTTGAGGGTAATATTGCTGCCGGTTCATGGTAGCTTCTGGCATTGTTTGGGAGCCATAGTGTAGTTGGTTCGGCATCGAGCTGCTTTGCGTGCCTGGCTCGGACTTAATGAAGGGATTGCTCTGGGAGGATGAATCGGTCGAAGGCATCGTAGGCATCATTGTAGGCACCATCCCAGGTTGGTTCATGGGGAACATGTTTTGCGTCTCCATTGGAGGATCCACAACCTTGGCCTTTTTGGACTTTCGTTTTGCCCTTGGTGCGGCTGTGCCTTCCATTTGCTGTCGAAATCGAGAATAACGCATGCGAGCAGCATGACCGTTGGAGATCAGGAGATCGGAGGCAACTCGGTTCCAATCGATCTTGACCATCACTAGTTAGCACTTCAACGGACGATCACTAGAGATGGAACTGACTGATTTTAAGTCTGTCTGCTTGATTATTGCATAGAGGAACTTTGCAGTGGTACTCTCAGTATCCAATACCTTCTGGCGTTGGGACATATTGTAGAATGTCAGTTGTAGTGAGAGATAATCTGAGCTATGGGATGAGAAAAGATAAGACTGAACACTTGGAGTTGGCTATATACGCAAGCTGAAACCAATAGGTCACTTTGATATGCACATGTTATCCAGACTTGCTATTGGTAGTGAGTATATGATCTCTTTGTGCTGCATGAACATGAGAACAATGGAATGCTTACGAAATGAATTGCTGATCGTGGATGTCTATCAGGTTGGGTCACCCTGGTGAAAGGTATGTACGTGCTACACGAAGCTGTTTGTCTATCTAGAGTGCGTCCCTACATTCAATACACCCTGCGTCATGGAAGAGAAGATAAAGACACGCATAGACCTTACATGTTAAAACAAGTTCTACAAAAACTCTCGCGAATGTGACAAGCTAGCATCTGAGCCACGCGCCACCCAAATACATGTTACGCCTGCGCACGACGGGTGTGGTAAATGCTCCAATATGTAGGTCAAATGCTGTCATTTATCCTGGTTTGAATAGATGATCCTACATACGTGACTTGTACTTCCTGGTTACGACGAAGAGCTCGATCGAAAACTTTGTTGTTTTTAGATCAGGTTTAAAAGAAGTCGCTGATCTTCATCTTGATAGAGAACTCCTGCTCGTAGTGCATAGTATCCCGCAGCCAACGCTACATAAATTTCATCAATGGATCTTGCTACCCAAATTGTCGGCGGCATTGTGTGGAAAGCCACCAGAAGAAAGCTGTTGGTAATTATTATCCAATTCTTACATGCCCAAATACCAAGGTTCTTCATTCACCCATACAACTCTGCTCTTCTTGTTCCAAAAACACTGATTTTTCATGGCAACAAGGAAATGTTTAGAGCAGAGGCCCGTATGTCAGTAATGAGTAGGCATGAACGTTATGCGTGGCAGCCGCTAAAATGATCGGCGGTAGCCCGGAAACGCCAGTCGGCCGAGGGCAAAACACAGACAACATACAAATTCGACTAATTTCCACTGCGCACAACTTTGGCTTCTGCCAACTTGAAACTAAACTCCCATCTATATCAAGCATATTTATAGCTTGAAGATGACCTTGATCGCGATAGGAGCCTGTTACATTGACACAATCCTGACGTGAATTCACCCCACCTCATCGAAACATTCTGGGAGAGTTTGGAGACTGATAGAATCTCGACAGAGTACCTTACTATCCAGAGGAAGATGAGAAACTACGTTCATCCAGTCTATCCCGCCGCAGGGGCGGAAACTGCCCGAATAGTCTAGAGGTCATGGGCCAATTGCTGCAACATGGCCCCACGATAGACAGATCTTCACTGAATCTAATCTCGGTCCTACCATCATCATCTTCAGTTTTGTCCAATGGCATCCAGAAAGGTCTTGGAGATCTTGTGCGGATCGAAAATTGTATCTATCGTGAACAATTCGCCGAGCCAGCATCGAGCTACATCATTATGAGCGAGGCTTCCGGCAGTCGAACAATTGTCAATTATAATGAGCTACCGGAAATGAACCATGCTGAATTCATGTCTGCGGTTGAGCCTGTTCGAGGTGCGACCGATGTGCCATGGTTTCATTTCGAGGTTTGTGAAATCCGAAGGCAGCGGCCTCGTGGATGTCTAGGCTATAGAGCACTCGCTGACATGGAGCTAGGGTCGTATGCCGAGCTTGACGCTTGATTATATTCAGTATATTCGCGATTCTTTCCCAGGGGCCACTGTCAGTGTTGAGGTTGAAAAACCAGGCCGTCAAGGCTTGCAGCATTTGGCCGAGATGGCAGATGTTGTGATTTACTCGAAAGGCTGGGCCCAAGTAAGAGAAGACAAAACAGACCTGTCACTGGACATTTAACAAGACTTTCTAACAACTGAGCAGGGCAATGGATACACATCCGCTGAAGATTGCCTAAGAAAGCAAATGCCAAAGACCCCTAAGGCGTAAGCTAACTATTCTCATGTGGACTTGAATCAACGACAAATTCTAACTTGGGTGCTTTTTTTTCCCCAGGTCATTGCTATGTTGTACTTGGGGCCATGATGGTGCTGCAGCACTTGAGCCAAAGACCGGGAAATTTGCCCATGTTCCGGCACACACCGACCAGCAGGTCATTGAGTAAGCTAAGCTTCATCCGACCCTGTAGATGGATACAAAGACTAACAATCAATAGTACAATCGGTGCTGGAGATACGTTTATAGCTGGGTTGTTATACGGGCTGATCTATCGCAGCAATGATTGGGACTTCCAAAAGAGGTTGAAATTTGCAAACCGCTTGGCTGGCCTGAAGGTAGGACAAATTGGTTTCGCAAACCTGCATCGGGCATTGGGCCTGCCATATTAAGTCACAATGGTTTGCTGGGAGTGAAAATGTGGTCTGGGAAATCCAAATGAAATTGACAATCTGGGTTTGTACATGCGTTGGCGGTGATGGACAGCAGATCATTTTCTGTGGAGACAATATCACGTGATGAGGCGGTGTGAAACAAAAATATTCTGCCACTAACTTTTCGGTCTCGGGCTACTTTTGCACGATCCATTTTAATACCATTTTAACAATATCACCTGTTACAATGGCCTCCGTTTACAAGAGTGTTTCAAAGAAGGCTGCTCAGCAGGCCGAGGACTCCTCCGACGAGGATGTCCAGATGGAAGAGTACCTCGACGGAGAGAACGACACCACTGATAGCGAGGAGGAAGATTCCGAAGATGAGGGTGTTGAGGCCATGAAGAAGCAGCTTGCTTCCGGCTTCATGCCCAAGACCAGAGTGCTTATCTTGACTTCCAGAGGTGCCTCTTACCGGTATGTACAATGCGCTTCATAAAAATGGTCCCCACCAGTCAATATCTGACGATTTGCGTTTTCAACAGCCACCGACACCTGATGTCCGATATCTGTGGTCTTCTCCCCCACGCGCACAAAGAGACCAAGCTTGATACGAAAAAGAAGGCCGCTGGCTACAACCTCCTCCTCAACTCTCTTGCCGACCTGCACTCATGCAACGTTATTTTCTTCCTCGAGGCCAAGAAGAACGGCCAGGATCTTTACCTCTGGCTTTCTCGCCCTCCCAACGGCCCCACCATTAAGTTCCACCTCAACAACTTGCACACAATGGGCGAGCTCGGCGCAGGATTCGCTGGAAATTGCCTGAAGGGTGGTCGTGGTCTGGTTGTCTTCGACCGATCCTTTGACGAGGCTGGCCCCGACATGGGCAAGCCCGGTAGTGAGTACCGTGCCCTTGTTCGCGAGATGCTGCGCGGAGTGTTCTGTGTGCCCAAGCGCGGTGTTCGCGGCATGAAGCCATTCGTCGACCGCATCATTGGTATCTTCGGAGTGGATGGAAAGATCTGGATCCGGGTCTACGAGATCCGCGAGTCCGAGGCCGGTGGAAAGAAGAAGGAGGGTGAGGAGACTGTCAAGCCCACACCGAAGGGCAAGGATGGTCTCCCCGAGGTTACTCTGGTCGAAATCGGCCCCCGCTTCGTCCTGACTCCCATCGTCATTCTCGAAGGCAGCTTTGGCGGTCCCGTCATTTACGAGAATAAGGAATACGTCAGCCCCAACCAAGTCCGTAGCGAGATTCGCCAGGGCAAGGCTGGCCGATACTCCCAGCGTCGCGATGGCCAGACTGATCTGGTCGCCAAGCGCTCTAACTTGGGACTGTCAGACAACTCTGTTCGGAAGGTTGATGCATTGGACACAAGGAAGCTGTTTGCATAGGGGGTTCACGTTTTTGTTTCGCGTTATTTGTCTCTAGACTTGATATCCCTCGGGATGATGTTTCGACTACATGTGTATATTTGATGCGACGCTCTCATCATGGTCCCTTAAGGCGTCGGGGCAATGTCTCATCCTGGTTAATTTCAAAAAGTTGATTATTCCTATCTCTCCAGTCTTTTACTCATCACTCGCATTCGAACGCCGATGGCTTCACTCCTGTCCGCTGCAAGGGGCAATGGGGAGAGAACCAATTAGCTAAGCGCCATATAAAAGCCCCCGGGGTCCGCGATTGCGACACATTCCGTCGTTGCTTCTCAACTCCATCAATCATGGCATCGTGTCTAATGGAAAGCCCAATGTGGCCGCAAGGAAATGATCCTCTTGATATGTCCTCCATTCAATATACACCATCTTCTATTTCGACCAACCCCAACGGCGGGGCTCTTCTCCAATAAGCCACACCGTACCCGCGACAAGTGTTGATTGCCTCAATCCGTGACAACACTGTCCAACTTCCCACCTTCAAGTAACTTGAATTATCGTCTATCATATCCATCTACAATTTATTGAGTACGCAAACAAGAAACAACAGGTACATCATATGTCGACGCCTTACCATGACTCATTCTAATAGCTCCAGAGCCCCGAAGCAATCTAGATTCCAATAACAACACAAACACGTTCACCATGACCATTGACCATCTTGCAACGGAGCTTCTGCTCCACATATTTCGCTCCTGCGATTCATTATCCGATGTTTTGAACCTGGCTGCGAGCTGTCGTCGGCTTCATCGCGTCTTCGACTCCACAAGCAAGCTCCAAATCCTCGCCAGTACTGCGGAGAATGAGTTCGGACCACTTGACGACATCATTCAAGTAGTTACGCAAAATGAAAGCCAGCCAGCTCATCACATCCGACGTACCGCGATGTCTGATTCTCTGCTAAAGCAGGTGATCAAGCTAGGAATGGTGGCAAAGAAGTGGGAAACTATATTCCCCTTCAAAAAGTGGAAGTTGGACTATGAGAATCGCCGCTCACTCACCGACGAGGAGCGCTTACGGCTACGTCGAGCAGTGTACCGACTATGGCTTTATCATCACGCTTTCCATTCTCATGCATATGACCGGCATTCCCGCAGCTTGCGCCATGTTGTGATGGAGCGTGCTCAGCTTCTTCACAATTGGTCCACCGAGGAATTAGCAGAGATTGAAGACCTGCGTCTTGTAATGAAAGACATTGTCCAGAACCACATCTGTCCGAGTAACGGGACCATTCAGCGCAAATTCCGCAAGCGTTTCCCAACCAGCAATCAGCAGCTGTCGTTCAACATCCACCTCAATTATCCTGCGCCATCAGCATATTTGTCCTCAAACGATGACACTTTGGGTAACAAAAACCCAGGTGCATCCTTTCAAGCGCATTTCCACACTGCGCATCCAGGCAGTCTCACAGGATCTTCAGCTAAATATCGTTCTCGGTTCCGCAATGACCTTTCGCATGATCCTGGGTACGAAGGCTGGGGTGACGAGATTCCAAACTATTATGTTCTGCAGGACATGCTGAAGCTTGACCCTGGTCAAATATTGTGGCTGCGGGACAATGCTTTGTTGAAAGAGCAAGTGGAGGGGTACGTGTGGTCACTGGGTGAATGGTTCCGTGACAATGGCGAGACTTTCGCAGATACGCTGGAGTATGTCATGAATGAAAGGGGCCTTGATGTCAGCGAAGTGAGGTATGCTTTGGCAGATCGGCAGATAGGGATTGTATTGAACTAGACATGTCACATTGATAGCATCTGCAGATAGATTGATAACCATTTTTAATGATGTTCTTGCTTTTTTGAATGCATGACAACACAGATTTGCTTGAATCCACTGAAGGCCAGCGATACTCGTACAAGGATTGCCCAGGTGCTTTGTAGCAATTCGTACAGCCCCGTAGCTTTTTTGCCGGCTAGACCTAATTGACCTTATTAAATAACGATCTGCCCACAAGAGAGAGCATAAAGACGCTAATTATTAATCTAAGTCCATTAAAGGCTAGACCGGAGAAATAAATTGTCCTGTGGAGCGTTGTGGAGCAGTGGCTCCATTGACACGGCACTGAAGCCCAGAAGCCCTCTTTTATGCACTAAACAAGCTCGTGGGATTTTAGAACTACGCTGGGCAAGAGGTGGATGAATGTACTGATTTTCAAAGCTCCATAAAAAATCACGCAGCCGCAATATTAGACGCCCAACCAAGTTCATTGCACCAGCATTTGTGTCCATTGGAAGAAACATATCAAACACAGTTGGGCAAACAGTAAAAAAAAGGGATCAATTTCGTTGAGGACCACAGGGTGAATGAGAAAGGAAAAAAGACGGGTGAAAGGGACGTTGACATCCTGGACATCAGTCCCCGTAATCCCTCATGGTCTTCTGTGGTCACGAACAGATCCCGCCTGTGTATCATCTTTGTAGCTGTCGAAATCCGGACTCCAACACAGATCAAGACCATCTCAATATCACATCGCAAAAGAAGAGTCGTGGCGGTCGGGGCATCGTCCTCGCGAGGGGTAAGTTAACAGCAGCCCTGCTTCTGCTCATTGTCGTTCTTGCTCGGGTTGATAACGGGCTCACGAGTGAGGACCTGCTGGCCGCCTTCTCCGTTGTCCAGAGCCTTGCTGGAAACAATGCGGTAAATTTCTGTCACGGTTAGCATTATCAAGATGATCGCAGGGATAATCACTAACCTGTGAGGATGTTCTGGAAGGCCAGCTCGACATTGCTGGCGTCGAGGGCGGATGTCTCGATGAATGAAAGGTTGTTCTCGCCTGCACCTTGTCAGCGTCATACACACAGGGTTGAATGTAGATTGGGGGAACGAACTGGCAAACTGCTTGGCCTCATCTGTGGGGACTGCACGAAGGTGGCGCAAATCGCTCTTGTTACCGACAAGCATGATGACGATGTTCGAATCAGCGTGATCCCGCAGCTCCTTCAACCACCGTGTTACATTCTCGTAGGTTTGGTGCTTGCTGATATCGTAAACGAGGAGGGCACCGACAGCGCCGCGGTAGTAGGCAGAGGTGATTGCACGGTAGCGCTCCTGACCAGCAGTATCCCAGATCTGTGCCTTGATAGTTTTCGAGTCGACTTGAATAGACCGAGTCGCGAATTCCACACCGATGGTTGACTTGGAGTCCAGGTTGAATTCATTGCGGGTGAAACGACTCAAAAGGTTGGATTTACCGACACCAGAGTCTCCGATAAGCACCACTGTTCATTCCAAAATACGTCCAAGGTTAGTCTCGGGTGTCAAAGGCATACAAGGGGGACGAATGCTGAGGCGAGGGCGGGGATCATCTCGAGGTGGCGACGTTACCTTTGAAGAGGAACTGTGGTAATATAGCCGTTAGTTTACCGATCTGAGATATAGGAGCCTTCAGTGTCCATATTCAACTCACGTCATATTCGTCGTTGGCCATTTTGAATGTAATCGAGCAAGTCAAGCTCGAAGTGTGGTATTGAAGTACGGGTAAACGTGGCGGATGGGTGTTGACTGGGGTACTGGAAAGCACAAGAGTCAACGACGTCAGCAGTGGTCCAGCAGTAGAAATAAATGAGCCAGGCTGTACACACGGGAAGAGGGAATCAGCAGGGGTTAATCAGTGATGCCTTCGCGGGTCGAATGTCTCTCCTTAATCGTGCCGAGCCCGTTGTGGTCTAGTGCTTGGATCACGTGAGCCATCACGCGCAAGGCGGTATCTTTCCTTTTACGGCAGTAACCCACGCAAATCTACGGAGTATACTTATTCTTTGATGCGGGCTGTTTGCTTGGGAGTTTCCCCATAAATCTCATCTTCTATTTGCCTCATCTCAAACTCTACTAGCATCGAACTATGTCTATGCCAATCTTCCAATTGTTACCTTGCCAAGGAAAACATTGAAGCACACAAGACTCGGCCGGTGTTGGCATTTTCTACTATGTCTATGTCTCCTGATGAGGGTGACCTGAGTGATGCCATCTCTATGACATCTACTCTGGTTAGCGATGAAGACCAAGAATTTGAAGTGGAGCGCATCCTTGCAGAAAGAGAAGTCTCGGACGAAGAGGGTGAAGACTCGACTCGGTATCTGGTTCAATGGACTGGCTACCCGGCACATAGACATAGCTGGGAACCCGCTACGGCTTTCAATTCAAAGGAGACTTTGCAAAGCTGGGGAGCTAGAAAACGGGAGATTGCCTCGGGCAAAAGGAAACCATTTGATGTTCGGAGCTGGGAGGTCCACTGTAAACATGTGGCAGCGGAGACAAAGAAACGGAAAGCAAAGCGAAAACGTTTACGGGATTCCAAGACTCGACAGGCTAAGAAAACCGGGGCTCCCGCGAAGACCAACTACAATCTGGTTGATGTTGACAGACGCAAATCACGGCGACGTTCTTCCGTGGATTCAGTGGCATCATCCGCATTGTTTGTTCCAGAAAACCACACACCTCCTTCACTGGAGAATACGGCTTCTACCCAATTCCGAGAGCAGCAGGATAATCAGCATCCTGGGACTCCCCCTCTCCAGGCCTCATCCGGTCGATTTGTGTCAGTCAACAAGCCCTTTCCGCCAGGGGAAACCAATTCTCCCCAGTCATTGGAAAAGCAAAATTCAGAACCTTCGGCTACAGCAAGCAAACAGAAAGCCACACGCGAATCAGCTTCCCACCTCGCTCGAGCAGCAGCAGCAAACTCCCGCAACAGTAGGAAATCAACGTCCGCGCCGTCGGCTGGACCAGCGAATACGGAGAGTGAGCAGCCAGCAGGGTCTCATAAACAGAAACCGCGTCAGCCTACATTGGCGACGGGCTCCAAGAACACAACGATCAAAAAGCCAGCGTTAGCTGAATTTGGTTCGCCTCGTGAGCGAAGGGAGGCGCGTCAACACAGATGGAGTGAAAGGTCAATGCCTCTTGCTTCGGCGATTGACCGCAAAAAGCCATCTGAGTATGCACCGCGCACGATGATGAGTGACGGCACTCCAGCCATGCTCCAGGCAGACAGCAGCCGCACATCTGAGGAAACACAGCATCAGCTCTCCAGTGAGCTGCAAACCAGCATCGTTGGCCCACCAAGCCCCTCTGACGAGGTATCAAACATAGCAGCTCCACAATCAGCTGGACAAGAAGTTCCCTTGCCCACGCCCGTGCCTACCACGGCATCTGCAGTGTCACAGTCCCCCAGTTTTGCTCAAAACCCCCTAGGTTCATCGCCGGCTCTGTCATTGGCAAACTCTGAAACTAATATCGATGAAATTTTCAACCCACGCGGATCACTGAGTCCAATTGGTCCTCTTGATGTTTCTCTCGAGGGAACCACAGGGACTGATCTTATCCAAACTACCGAGCCTCCAGATTCGAACATGGCTCCTCATTCACCTATCCCTATTCGACCCCGTGTGTCTATCGAAACAGGGAATCTCACCGAGAAGGAAAGCTTGCCTAACACCCGTGATACAGGACACCGATTTGGCCCCTTCACACTTGAGTCTCCCGCGTTATCTGTCGACATACCCAACCCTTCAAATTATTCTGTGCAATCACCCTTCGACCGGAGGTCTCCACCTCCTCGAGGCTCACCTGTACGACACCGCTCGCCCGTTCGTCGACGTTCTCCGCCTGGAGGAACGTATCGGCCTCGACGACGCTCGTTCTCCAGAGACCGATCTTTTTCACGATCCCCTGAACGACGGTCAATCTCCTCAAGACGTTCACCTTCCCCGCGACATCCATCTCCGTCTCGCCGTGATTCTTATCGCTGGGCTTCTCCTCCTCAGGAATCAACTCAACGCCGTGTGCCAAGGGGAGGCGATAGCTATAGACCTAGCTTTGACCGCCGGTCTATTGCCTCTGAGAATCCAAGGTCAGCTGACTTGCGACACATCTCATCGGCGAATGATCCAGCTGCCATCCCTAAAGAGCCAAAAAGCATGCGCGATGGGTCCTCGACATTTTCTGCAAGGGCCCTCGAAAGAGCTAGGGCTGCTGCTCTCATTGCACAGATGCCAGTTCGCAGCACCCCAAAACGCGCGAACACGACCCCTGGTGGCTATTGGTTTGACAGGGACAGGAATGAGATTCTTGTCGATGTTTATTTCGGGCCGATGAGACGAGCTATCGGTCCCCTCAGGCTTTGCGGCTTAGATCGCCTCGTCAAAAATGATTTGGTTAGGATTGGAAGAAACCCAGACGGCCCTAATTTCGAGATTTGGTTCAAAGATGTGTGCACAGCGGAGGAATTTGACCGGCTACGTGAACCAAACGTCAGTCTTCACCCTCATGATTTGTCTATCACTGGAAGCTAACCCACCACAGGCTAATCATACCGTAAATACCGGATGGTTCGAGGGTTTTGCAGATAACAACTCCAAGTTGTTTCACATGGCGGAAGACCTGCAAATGGACAACCGGATTGCTGTTTACCAACTCCCTATCTGGGATGGAGCACCATTGTATTCAATTGTTGCATGGCCTCGCGGGTCTCCTACTTTCCAGTTCCCCTCTGCGTCGAACGAAACCTTGCCATTGGACGTCGAAATTCCGTTGCTCTTTGCGGTGCAAGATAGGCTTCTGCCGATCGAGACGCTTGGTCCCAGAATACCCTCAAGGCCCAGAGAGGCACCAACTCCAGCCTTGGTTTCAAATCCACAGGTGTCACCCCAAGCCGACAACTATCACCATGCCCCGACTGGTTTCGTACCACAACTCCCGTCAACCACGCCAGATGACGTGCAGCGGGAGGCAACGGCCAGACTTGAGGCACTCATGGCTGAAAGGAAAATTGATGTGAATGAATTAGCCTCAATTGAAGATGGCGTGAAGGTTTCGAGGGCAAACTATTTCTATTTGCATTTCCCCTCGGATGACGATGAAGCACAAACGGACCTGCATCTTCTGAAGTCATACTTGAGCATTCATGGAATGACCGTGCTAACAAGCCTTGACCCCAATGGCTGGTCTAACTTTCACAACAACAGCAAAATGGGCGTAGTCATAGTATGTCTCCATCCGCTCCTCTAATTTGAGCAGCAGCTAACCACGATCACAGTTCCACGAATCATTCAGCGGATATTCGGAATTGCAGCCTGCTCTCAATTTGGTGCTCCACAATTCCATGTTCAATTACTGGGTCATCCGGATCACAAAGCCCCTCCAGTTTATGGACGAGCGATACTTTTCACTCAGTAATCATTGCACTCGCATGTTCTTGAAGGGCGGTGTTATACTCATCACCGAGGACACGCTGGGAGATTTGAAGAATTTTGCCATCACGCTTCAGTGGCTTCGGCACAGGATGAAAACCAAGCAACCATCAACTACCTACCATTTCATGCTTCACCCGGGGATCATGGAATGGATAGAAAAAAGACTGGGCGATGAGAACTTTACGAAAGACCACGGACTGTAAGTTATACCTTTTGCTCGTTACAATTCGAGGGGATCACTAACCCGAAATAACACAGGCTGGGGCTCATCAAAGCTCTGATAATGAAATTGAACGTCTCAGACCTTCGGAAAGAGTTGTTCAACAATTCCAGCCTCGACCCCGATTCCTCAAACCCAATCATCTCCTACCCAGTGCGCGGTTACGGTACTCGCACCGAACACGTTGAACCGAGAATCAAAGACACAGCTCAACGCGACGCTGATCATCTAATTGAATTCTTTGCAGGATGGGCACTGCTCAACAGACAGCGTTTCAAGCACTTCCTTGTTCTGACTTCCTTCCCCAAATCTCCCATTTCACAGCGTTGGGCCTCATGGGGTCACATTCGTGTCATCCATGATGGTTTCAAGGCTTTCTTCGATCGCTTCCACGTGAAGGACGCCAACAACATATGGGCCCTTCTCTGCAGTGAGGCCAGGCCAGGCTCGAGTCGACCGACTACACCTGTCTCTGCGACAACCACACCGCGTACCCCGGTTTGGCCAACTCAAACTACCCAAGGGCTTGCCCAATCTGTTTTGCAAGGAAATCAGGGAAACAGGAGCGCAAAGTCGCCTCAAAAGTCACCCCAGAAGTCGCCCCAGAAGTACCCTGCTCCTTACCTCTAATGCTGCTGCTCCCAGGGCCTTCTGTTCGCTTTGTGGATTCCTGCTTTGAACTATCTTTGAGATGACTTCCGTTCGGCCACGGCCAACGAAACACGATGAGCGTCTTTAATCGCTGTCGTTCTTTTTTTTTTCATTCTTGTCTTGATACTTTTATGATACCCCATTTGGTGCCCTTTTTCTTCTTCGTCTACAGTCAGTTAGCTAATCAATGATGGGCCTTGATAGTATGACACATTTTTACTGCATCCTGGTGCATCTAATATTTAAATATGGGGATACCCGTATGCACGTGTGATAATTGTCAAAGGAGTTCAAGTGTTGCTAATCGAAAGAATAATTGCCGCCAATACATGCGATACAACGGAACCCCCAGGAACCATCAGTAGGGACTTAGAGACAAGATACCATGAACGCTAACCAACTGCCTTCGTCCTGTACTCCTGGAAGTTGGAAGGATGAGAGGCTCCACCTTCATCCTGGGCCTTCTTCTTATCCTGTTCCTTCTTCGTCTTCTCCTCCCACACGCTTTCCTCGGCGGAAATCATAGCATGGAAACGACCGCCCTGACCACGGGCAAGATAAACAGGCTTCTCCTTTCGCTCGGCAACAGCCTCTGTTACGAGAACAAATTTCACACTTGATCCCGGTGCTTCGAACATCGCATCACTCAGAATAGTTTCCATCTCCGTGCGCAGAGCTCTTGCTCCAGTGCCCATGGTGAATGCATTCCCTGCGACCTTCTGAAGTGCCGGCGTGGTAAATCTCAGTTCGATACCCGAGAGAGAAAAGAGTGTTGTGTATTGGGCGAGTAGGGAATTGCGCGGCTCAGTTAAAATGCGCATGAGTAAAGGCTGAGATAGGGTGGAGAGAGCTGCTGTAACTGGGATTCGACCAATCAGCTCTGGGATGAAACCGTAGCTCTGGAGATCAGAGGGTGTTATTAGGTCGAGGGCGTTGAAGAAGGTTGGCTCGGCGCCAGAACCAGCTGGCGATGCGGATGCGAAGAAGGGTAGATGCTTCTTATATAAGGCTTCTTCCTCGGACCCGGGGAGAATTGGGAGGGGTTGGCTTGGTGATATGTTTGATGAACCGGGGAAATCGTTGGTGTTCGAAGGTGTGCGGACGGGTTGGCCGAATCCTATGGATCCACGGGAGATTCGGTCCATGATTGTTTTGTGAAGTCCGACGAAGGCGCCGGAGAAAACGAACAAGATGTTGTCTGTCCGTACGTTGTATACTTCGCCTTTCGCGGCTGGATTGGGGTTGTTGGGTTGGAATGGCCCGTTTCCTAGCGGGCTGTTGGAAGGGAAGCTGTTTGGGGGGCTGGTTGCCCGAGGGTTCTTCTCCGGCTTTGCTTGCACTTGCACAGTTGTGCCTTCGATGATCTTGAGAAGCGCCTGCTGAACTCCTTCGCCTCCCACATCTTTGCCATGACTGACTTTCGCTGCTGCGAGCTTGTCAACCTCATCTAGAACGATGATTCCGCGCTCCGCCTGCTCCACGTTGTAGTCCGCCGCTGCCAAAAGTCGGTGAACACACTGTTCAGCGTCCTCTCCGATGTAGCCAGCCTGTGTGAACACCGTGCAGTCAGATATGCTAAAAGGCACAGAAAGAACTCGGGCAAGTGTCTTTGCCATCAGCGTCTTTCCGACACCTGATGGACCCAGTAGTAAGACATTCGACTTCTCGAGCTGTAGCGGTGACGAGTCGGTGAGTTCTGGTTGCTCTAGAGGTGTAGAATGCTGGCGAGTTTTGGTCGCGTTGGATGTACCGGTTCCCTTGTGAGGAAGTGCGAGCTCATCTATCATGTATACTGCGTCAACAATTGACCGACGTCATCGGCAAGTGGATAGACAAATTACCGTCCAAGGGGTGGCTTTCGAGCGCCTCTCTGCGCTGACGCTTGATAGTAGCTTCAGCCTGCTCTTCTTCCCGGCGCACTACCTCCTGCACTCGCTGATAATGGTTGTATACGGCGACACTCAATATCTTCTTTGCGCGGTCCTGCCCCACAACATACTGATCGAGGTACTGCTTCAGCACCTTTGGCGTGATGCGCGGGGCTCCAAATGCCGGGGTTGAGCCCAAGGGCCCTGGTGTAGGTAGCCCCGTCTCATAACTGCCTGAAAATGGTTGACTTGTGAATTCGGACCGGTTGAACTGTGATAACGTTGGATATCTAGTTGAGCTAGATAGTTGCCGTACGGACCAGGATGGTCTCAGTGGCCGACGGGCGGCGCAACGGGCCACTGCAGTAAGCCGACCTTGAAGAGGCCTTAAAAACATTGCGAGACCACGAGGATAGTCAAGAGCAAGAAGAGAAGTGTGTTCGCATCAGATACCGGATAGCTTTCCCCGCAGGCAGGTGATCTTATCTGATGAGGTAATCGCTCCGAGCGCCGACATTCCGACATCCCGACATCATGAGCTTTCTTCGGTAAGGCTTTCAGGTCTGCTTTCTTCACCGCATCACAATCGTGTATGCGCATCGAAGATCGCTGCTTATCTCTTTGCCTAATGTATGATTTTCGATCATGAACTCTTTTCCGTCCGCCTGGTTGGGGGTCTTGAACTATTGGTCGAAATTCTATGAACCATTGTAACCCGTCTCCATAAAATTGTGCCTCAAGATGGAGATCCTGCCCAATTTTGGGCAACTATTGTAGTGTCTGCATTAGTCTTGTCCCACACTGTGATTCAAGCGCGAATACGCTGTACCTGAGAGAACATGTACCGAAACAAACATATAAAGCATCAAGTAAGGGGGGGAAATCGGGAGGAGACCGCATCCCTTTCCGCGTCAAATTGACAATCACACCGTTAAAAACCATTCTCACCCCACGCGTCATGGTGCGCTTATTCTCGATAACCTTGTTCGCAAGTCTTGTCATCGCCGCTCCCGAGACAGGCCGGTGCAGATGCCGACCGCACAATGACTGCTGGCCCGCCCAACAAGAATGGTCCAGCCTAAATGATACCATACAAGGGAATCTGGTAGCAGTGAGGCCTGTGGCTTCAGTCTGCCATTGGACAGAGTTCGACGAAGCGGCTTGCAAAGCCACCACGGAGCAATGGCATGATTCTCTTTGGCGCGCTGCGCAGCCCGGTGCTGTGCAGTGGGAGAATTGGGAGTCATGGGCGGAACACAACCAGACCTGCTACATAGAGTCGCCAATGAACACTATCTGTGGACAGGGTAGGGTTTCATTGTACTCGGCGAAGGTGCAGACAGCGGAACAAATCCAGCAAGCCGTGGCGTTTGCCCAGACGCATAACCTGCGACTTGCTATCCGGAACTCCGGTCATGATTATATCGGTCGCTCGACAGCCCCTGAGTCATTGCAGATCTTCACCAATGGCATGAAGGATATCAAATTTGTTGATAACTTTGTGCCAACTGGTGCGCCTGGGGGCAAGGGTGAGGGCCATGCCGTCACGTACGCGGCGGGCGTTAATTTGGCCGAGCTATACCAAGCTGCTGGAGATAAGAAGAGAACTATTCAGGGAGGAGCTTCGCACACTGTTGGTGCCGCTGGGGGATATATTCAGGCGGGAGGCCATTCGCCCTTTGGTACGCGGGGAGGAATGGCATCCGATAATGCCCTCGAATTTGAAGTTGTGACGGCCGATGTGAGTGGCTTCCTCGTGTTTCTGAACACGCAACTAAGTAATCACTAGGGGAAACTTGTTATTGCAAATGATTATCAGAATAGCGACCTTTTCTGGGCCCTGCGAGGCGGCGGCGGAGGGACATTCGGTGTCGTCGTCAATGTGACTGTCAGGACGCTCCCAGAGACACCTGTGCTAGTGACGAATCTGAACTTCACAACGGCGCTGGGTGATGAACAATTCTGGGAAGCAGTGAGCGAATATCACGCAGCGTTGCCAGCCCTAAACGACGCTGGTGGCTCTGGATACTATTTCGGATACCCCATTATGTCGGTCAATTCGACAAACACGGTGTCCGTGATGACTTCGTTCATGTGGTTCGCAGGGTACACGAACACAACTGCAGCGGACAAGCTTTTGGAGCCATTGCATTCTGCATTGAGAAAATTGCCTGGTGTGAAGGTCCATCACTCCAAGATCCTTATGCCATCTGTGGACTCAGTCCTTGAAAAAAAATGGTCGGGAGATGGAGGTGACGCCACTGGTGGTGTTGCCGCGCTTATCTCGCGTTTATATTCCAGGGATCTGTTAGCATCCAAAGACGGACCCGGTCGACTGGTCAAAGCATGGAGGAGCCTCAGATACGGGCCTGGCGATTCGTTCCGTGGCCATGTCGTGGGAGGAGGTGCCGTTGCAGCCAATGGCAAGAAGATTGATAGCGCTATCAATCCGGCTTGGAGGAAGACCATTACTCATTTGGTCATTTCGAGAGCATGGGGAGCAAATGCAACGGTGGAACACCAACATGCCATGATCAAGAATGCCACTGATGTTGAGATCCCGCTCATTCGTTCGGTGGAGGGTGAAGATCAAATGGGCTCATATGGCAACGAGGCGCATCCATACGAGCCTGGTTTCCAGCAGTCATTTTGGGGAGATAATTATCCTCGTTTGTACCAGATCAAGCAGAAATGGGATCCCAAGGGACTCTTCATTGCTCGGATCGGGGTGGGAAGTGAGGACTGGGATGATGCGGGGTTGTGTTTGAAGAAATGAGTTGGTTGGTGGGAAAATTTTGGTTGTATAAATGCCCATTTGTTTATAACCCTACGGTCGACCGGTTTGCAGGACGATCGGATATAAAACTCTTCTATTTCGGTTTTGTTGGGTATTTGATTATGTACTGTGATGCGCTATGTGCTTTTTGTGGCCTGATCCAGTCGAAGCCGTTCCGAGTCATACTGGTGAGGATGACATTCGGGATGCAGGGGAGTTGGGCCCTTGTTGTAATCACTTGAAGTGATGCACTCATGCTCGAGGCGAAACGCATGGTATCCGGTTCAATATCTTCGCCGGTTGCGTTTCGTCAGATCTCTGCAAACGCATGCCGGCACATGAACCAAGTACAACAAAGGCTTGGTTATCGATCGATAGGGTTTGTCTTGAACCATGGTCGAGTTCATGTCTGAGTTCATTTGTTTTCCTTGAACACAGGCTGCTTGTCCATCGTTTGGGAGATGAAGTTTCGGAGGGCAGACCACCGACCGGCGGTCGGATTCGACTGAGCACTTGTCTCGCCACTGGTGGGAGCAGGAGCAGGCCTGGTGATATTGGACATCTCGGTCAAATTTCTGTTGAAGCGGTCCCGCTCCAACTTCTCCAACTTTTCGCGACGCTTCAACGCACCGGGCTTGTGTCGTAGGGTCTTCTGCTTGATGACGTTCGCTTGGCTGGCTGCATCCTGCTCTTCAGCGGCCTCGGGGAGAGCATCGGCCAAGGATTCGAGGTTGGCGACGAGTTTTTTGGAGGCACGTCGACGCTTGGGCGTTTTTGCCGAATTCTTTTCGATTTTCGAGACCAGTGCGGCCCGCTTGATCGTCCGCTTGTCCCTCTTGCTCGTGCGGAACTCGTCACCAAAAATGTTATTCGGTGCGCCTTTCGCGGGGGCAGTTTTTCCCATTTTGCGTATGGGGGCCTGTCCAAGAACGATAATTAACCGGCTGAAAGTGGAACAAGATAAGTCACAGTGCAGGGCTTACCATATTAAGCATGTGAGATCTACAGCGGAGAACAGTCGGAGACGAATTTGCGGCGGGAAAAGCGAAAAGCCCCGGTTGCTCAAAACACTCACCGCCTTCACCGCCTACGCATCCACTCTCCCCACCATTTCCCTCGCGATCTCAACGTTGTTTGGTTTATATCCAATGAGCTAGCCTGCACTAGTTTGTTCGCAACCAAAGACACCTCCAAAAAGGACACTGTGACGTTATCGCAATCCTAATCTTTTTGTCCAGTACTAATTGGTGCTGCGTGATTTAATCCCGAGATTTCTGGCGATCCACCCGCTGTGACATCAGAGGCAGACAATCCGGCTGCTGATACTATTGGGTCCCCAGCACGAGACCTTTTTATGGACAAACCTCTCACATTGCGTCGGGTCTGCTTTCCTAGTCTCTGCAAAGCTTTCCAACCTCGGCCACGGTACCGTATTCCGCATCCATTTATCTCCCGATCATCCCCGTCGGTGTCTCTTTTCACCTTTAAATCCCTCTTCCCCAGATCTGGTTTCCGCAGATCATTTTCTTCACACAATATGGGTTTTCAACAAAAGCACAAGATCACCGTCGTCGGCTCCGGCAACTGGTAAGTGGCATGAAAACACGTCCAATTGAGAAGAATTGACGCCAACGAATTGTTTCACAGGGGCTGCGCTATCGCTAAGATCGTTGCCGAAAATGCGGCTGCTTACCCCGACCTTTTCGAGGAGAAGGTAGAGATGTGGGTGTTCGAGGAGAACGTTGAGGTCCCGCAAACATCAAAGAACTACAACGCGTCAAATGCTGGCCCTCAGAAGTTGACCGAGGTGATTAACTCTGTTCACGAGAACGTCAAGTACCTTCCAGGCATTCAGTTGCCTGTCAACCTCCACGCCAACCCTTCCCTGGAGGACGCGGTCAAGGACAGCACCCTGCTCATCTTCAACCTGCCCCACCAGTTCATTATCAAGACCTGCGAGTCAATCAAGGGCAAGATCTCTCCTTACGCCCGTGGTATCTCTTGCATCAAGGGTGTTGATGTGAACGCCTCCGGTATTCATCTCTTCTCCGAGACCATCGGCAGAATCCTCGGTATCTACTGTGGTGCTCTTTCCGGTGCCAACATTGCCAGCGAAGTCGCCCTTGAGAAGTGGTCCGAGACCAGTGTGGCCTACGACCCTCCTCACCAGGACTCCAAGGCGCCCACTCCTCAGCTCACCCCCACCGGCTCGCAGACCAACCTGGTTGAGTTCCAACACAAGGATACCTCCGGCCAAATCTCAGAGGTCAAGCTCCAGGCTCTGCCCGTTTCCTACCCCCCAGTTGACCACGCTCTGTGGAAGTCCGTCTTCCACCGCCCTTACTTCCACGTGCGCGTTGTCAACGACGTCGCTGGTGTCTCCATCAGCGGTGCCCTCAAGAACGTTGTCGCTCTGGCCGCTGGCTGGGTTGTCGGCATGGGCTGGGGTGACAACGCCAAGGCTGCCATCATGCGTGTTGGTCTGATGGAGATGGTCAAGTTCGGAGACACTTTCTTCAGTGCTACCATCGATAACCGCACTTTCACCGATGAGAGTGCCGGTGTCGCCGACTTGATCACCTCCTCCAGCGGTGGTCGCAACTTCCGTTGCGCCATGCACAGTGTCGAGCGCAAGCTCCCTATCGAGGAGATCGAGAAGCAGGAGCTCAACGGCCAGAAGTTGCAAGGTACCTTGACCGCCTACGAAGTCAACAGCTTCCTGAAGAACCAGGGCATGGAGGATGAGTTCCCTCTGTTCACTGCCGTTTACCGTAAGTTCTTTTCCCAAATATCATCTGCCATTGATCTCAATCTAACGCTTTGCAGGTATCTTGGAGGGAACTATGAAGGTCGAGGAAATTCCCCAGTACATTGAGCGGTAAAAAATCCCTGCAGCCTTTCATTCGATGTTTGTGTTGCTTATCAGAAATCCGTGTTTTTTCTAACAGCCCTCCTTCCCGCACTTCACCTGCATCCCAAAATTCTGGAGACAAAGACGGCGCTCGGTTCGGTGCTGCACGATTATGATTTCGGCTGGGATGATATCGACTTTTGTATAGATTTTTCATGACCTGTATTTATGAATTGCATGTACCGACGACTTCTTAGACATTATGATTTTTTCTCATTAGAGCTCTTTTTTGCAATATCAATCCTAATCCATGTAGAAAGCGTACGAAGTACAGCTGGACGCTTGGACGCTATAAATATTCGCGGGTTGCAGCCAAGGAACATGCATGATGTCATCCTTCCCGCGGTCTGGGCTTTTCTCCAGGAACGAGATGAGGGGAACGCCGGGTCCTCCTCTCCCCAGGTCTTTCCTGCTTTTTCTTCTTCTCTCTTTTATAATTTTTTTCATAACGGTCTTTAGTCCATTTTCACAGTTCTCCAATTAGCTGTTCTTTCCCTGTGAAAGTAGGGCGAATCGAGATTCTCCGTGACTCTCACAATCCGTTGGTCTAGACCCCGGAATTGTTCGTCGCAATGAGCTCCTCTCGCCAGGTCTACTTGCTTCCATTGAAGGATGATGGAGCCCCAGATGTGCCCGGTGGGTTCATCTACCTGGCCCCTCCACCAAAGGAGGGATACGTTCTCCGTTTCATCATCGAGGGAACGAGCTCCATCTGTCGGCAGGGTAGCCTGTGGGTGAACATCCCCGAAGAGGGCAAGCCATTTGAGCGTCACTCGTTCCGGGAGTTCAAGTATGTACCTCAATCAATCTCCCTTACAGATTCATTTGAAGCGCGCGACTGACCAAAGTAGATTGCAACCCAATTTCAATGAGAACATCCAGATTGATATCACTGTGAAGTTTGCTGGATCGTTCGCTTTCTATACGACGTTTTCCCCACTGCCAGAGTTCTCCGTCGAGGATGTGCCCACTCCTGAGCCTACCCAGACGCCCGTTCACTATATTGACGTGTCTCCGAGACTCACAGTCCAAGGAAAGGAACTGCCGCTCAATGCCTTGTCCATCTTCTCGGTCATCTCCAAGTTTATGGGCGAGTACCCCACAGACTGGGACCGACACCTTCGGGGCATCGGTCAGCGAAACTACAACATGGTTCATTTCACCCCATTGATGCAGCGCGGCGCGTCAAACTCTCCATACAGTATTTACGACCAATTGGCGTTTGACAGCGCTTACTTCCCCAATGGGGAAGAAGATGTCTCTGCCCTGGTTGCGAAGATGGAGAAGGAGTATGGCCTTCTCACTTTGACTGATGTGGTCTGGAACCACACAGCTAATAATAGCAAGTGGCTGGAAGAGCACCCCGAATCTGGTTACAGTGTAGAGACTGCCCCCTGGTTGGAGGCAGCTCTTGAGCTAGATACTGCTCTATTGGAATTCGGCGAGAAACTTCAGGACCTAGGTCTCCCGACAGAATTCAAGACCGAGGGAGAATTGGTCACAGTTATGAACGCGGCGCGCAAGCAAGTCATTGATGGAATTCGTCTTTGGGAGTTCTATGTTCTTGATGTCAAGAGCGACGTCAAGGCGATCGTGGATACGTGGATCAAAGCCGACATTGACCACAAGCTCGTTGAACACCAGGACATGCAGCTGTTCAAGGGCTGGTCCCTTAACCAGCAGGCTAATGTTCTCCGGGAGCTTGGCATTCCATCGGTTAAGCAGGTTCTGGGAAGATTCGGTCGTACCGTGGATCCTCGATTCGGTGCTGTTGCTCTTAATGTGCTCTTTGGTGACTACGACGAGGCAAACACCAACCTCGCCGAGGTGGAAGAGGCCGTGACCAATCTGCTCAACGAAGCAAACTTACCCTTCTACAAGGAGTACGATGCCGATGTTGATGCGATCATGGACCAGCTCTTCAACCGCATCAAGTATCTGAGAATCGAGGACCACGGCCCTAAGATGGGCCCTGTCACGAAGGAGAACCCTCTGATTGAGACTTACTTCACCCGACTCCCTCTTAACGAGACCACCAAAAAACATGACGCTAAAGCCCTGGCTTTGGCCAACAACGGCTGGATCTGGAATGCCGATGCTATGCGTGACAACGCCGGGCCCGATTCCAAGGCCTACCTTCGCCGCGAAGTCATCGTTTGGGGTGACTGTGTTAAGCTTCGCTACGGATCTGGCCCGGAGGATAGTCCTTTCCTGTGGGACTTTATGACCCGCTACACTCGCCTGATGGCCAAGTATTTCGTTGGATTCCGAATCGACAACTGCCACTCCACTCCATTGGTTGTTGCAGAATACCTGCTTGACGAAGCTCGCAAGGTCAGACCTGACCTGACCGTGTTTGCAGAGCTCTTCACCGGCTCCGAAGAGGCCGATTACGTCTTTGTCAAGCGCTTGGGAATTAATGCCCTCATCCGTGAAGCCATGCAAGCTTGGAGTACCGAAGAGCTCAGCCGTCTTGTCCACCGTCATGGAGGTCAACCAATCGGTAGCTTTGAGATGGACCTTCCTTCTGCTGGAAGTAGCCACGCCATCGCCTCCGCCAGGTCTGGCAAAAGTGATGAGAAGATCACTCACATCCGGCCATGCCCCGTACCCGCTCTGTTCATGGATTGCACCCATGACAATGAAGTACCGGCCCAGAAGCGCGATGCTAGAGACACCCTTCCAAATGCTGCCCTTGTGGCCATGTGTGCATCTGCCACGGGTAGTGTGATGGGCTACGATGAGATTTACCCAAAGCTTATTGACCTTGTGCACGAGACGCGCCAATATGATTCTGCATCCTCGGATTCTGATAGCCTAGCTATTGGCTCTGGTGAAGGTGGAATTGGTGGTGTTAAGAAGCTTTTGAACGAGCTCCACACTATGATGGGTGTTGAAGGATACGATGAAACTCACATCCATCATGATGGTGAGTATATCACCGTGCACAGAGTGCACCCAAAGACTAGGAAGGGTATCTTCTTGGTTGCGCACACCGCGTTCCCTGGCAACGAGAGTGGTGCCATTCTGGACGCCACTCATATTGCTGGCACCAGTGCCAAGCACATTGGGTCATGGCAGCTACAGGTCGAAGCTGGCGATGATGAAAAGACGAAAGCATTGGCCGATGAGAAGTACTTGAAGGGTCTTCCCAGTCACACTCGCGACATTGAAAGCACCAAGATTGAGCAAAACGACCAAGAAGTCATCATCTCTGTTCTGGACACTTTGGTTCCTGGATCCATTGCACTCTTTGAGACCTGGATTCCCGGTGCTGACCATGCGGATGGCTTTGAAAACAACCTGGCCAATGGTGCTGACGAGGCATTCTCTGACCTCAGCTTGGTGGATCTCAACTTTGTTCTTTACCGCTGCGAGGCCGAGGAGAAGGACTCCAGCGATGGTCAGGATGGCATCTACCAAATTCCCAAGCTTGGACCGATGGTCTATGCTGGTCTCCAGGGCTGGTGGAGTGTCCTCGAGGACATTATCAAATACAACCAGCTTGGCCATCCCTTGTGTGATCATTTGCGAGAGGGCCAATGGGCCCTGGACTACATCATCGGACGCCTGGAGAAGGCAGCCGCAAAAGAAGGCTATGTCGCCCTTAAGAAGCCCGCGTCGTGGCTGCGTGAGAAGTTTGAGGCTGTCCGCAGCTTGCCCAACTTCCTTTTCCCGAGATACTTTGCAATTATCGTGCAAGTTGCGTACAACGCCGCATGGAAGAGAGGTATTCATCTTCTGGGAGACAATGTGCGACACGGCCAGGAGTTCATTCACCAGCTGGCTATGGTGAGTGTTCAACAGACTGGCTACGTCAAGTCCGCCTCTCTGTGGCCTACCAAGATGGTCCCCAGTCTCGCGGCAGGCCTTCCTCACTTCGCCGTTGATTGGACAAGATGCTGGGGCCGAGACATCTTCATCTCTATCCGTGGTCTTTTCCTTTGCACTCAACGCTTTGATGATGCCAAGGAGCACATTATTGCTTTTGCCAGTGTCTTGAAGCATGGCATGATTCCAAACCTGCTAAGCAGCGGTAAACTCCCGAGATATAATTCTCGCGACTCTGTTTGGTTCTTCTTGCAGTCCATTCAAGACTTCGTTGAAATGGCGCCCAATGGTATCGAGATCTTGCAAGAGAAGGTCCCAAGACGATTCTTGCCTTACGATGACACTTGGTTCCCCTTCGATGATCCTCGCGCGTACTCTGAGTCGCCCACTCTGCTTGAGTGTGTTCAGGAAGTCTTCCAAAGACACGCTTCTGGTCTGTCTTTCCGTGAATACAATGCTGGTCCAGACCTTGATTGCCAGATGAAATCCGAAGGCTTCCAGATCGATGTCAAGGTTGACTGGGAGACCGGTCTCATTTTCGGTGGTAACCAGGATAACTGCGGCACCTGGCAAGACAAGATGGGAGAGAGTCCCAAGGCCGGAAACAAGGGTGTTCCTGGCACACCGCGCGATGGCTCTGCCATCGAAATTACCGGTCTGTCCTACAGCGCTCTGGCTTGGGTTGCCCGCCTTCACGAATCGAAGGCATACCCTTACGAAGGTGTCGACATTGGCGACGGAAAGAAGATCAGCTTTGCCGAATGGGCTCGCAAGATTAAAGACAACTTCGAGCGATGCTACTTCGTTCCCCTTGACCCCAAGGAAGACAGCCAGTACGAGGTGGATGCCAAGATTGTCAACCGCCGCGGTATCTACAAGGACTTGTACAAGTCCGGAAAGCCCTACGAGGACTACCAGCTCCGCTCCAACTTCCCCATCGCAATGACTGTCGCCCCAGAGCTGTTCACGCCCGCCAAGGCCCTTGTTGCCCTCTCGATCGCCGACTCCGCCATCGTGGGTCCCGTCGGTATGTCAACACTCGACCCATCCGATCTCAACTACCGACCCAACTACATCAACTCCGACGACTCGAATGACTTTGCCACTGCCAAGGGTCGCAACTACCACCAGGGTCCGGAATGGGTCTGGCAACGTGGCTACTACCTGCGTGCTCTGCTGCATTTCGATCTCCTTCGCCGAAAGACGTCGGAGGAGCGAACAGAATGCTTCCAGCAGGTCACTCGGCGTCTTGATGGCTGCAAGAAGGCATTGCGGGAAAGCCCCTGGAAGGGGTTGACTGAACTGTCCAACAAGGCTGGCGCGCATTGCAATGACTCGGTGAGTTTCTTTTCTTGTACGTGTGCCAGGGAAACATGCTAACAAATATAGTCGCCTACCCAATCCTGGTCTGCAGCTTGTCTTCTCGACGTTTACTATGACGCATCTCACCATTCGTAAATTCCATCTAGAACATTTGGATACGATTAATTACCTTGAACACAGCATATGAGAGATAGATATAATTGCATCACGATTTTCTAGCGTTTAACATTTTTATGGTGTATCTTCTATACAAGTGATATTTCGAACTGCCATCTTGGAAAAACCCTCAGGCGGACTGCCCGGGTGCTCTTCTCGAATACCTTCAAACCACTCCAACACACTCAATTTCAACCAGAATCAGATACGTAGTACAACACCAGATCTAATCCATCTGGTGACGTAAAAAAAAAAGTCAGACCAGCAAGGGCCAAAAAAAGTATACCGAAGTATGACGAACCCAACCGGGGAAATGGCGGACATCGGCCCAGTGACTTGCGGTCTGAGAGGATCCGAACCCCTGATCAGCAGTGCAAGAAGGACGAGAGCAGGTATGGCTCACGATGTTTCCAACTAGACCACTGGGGATTTGCTAACTTCCTATACAAAAGTTCGCATACATAGATCGCAAACGTCACGTGATATACAATATAGCATGTATACACTATGACGTCAGTAGATCAATATCTCTAGGTCAACTTTGTTCGCTTACTTTCGAATTGAATGAACTCACTCTACAGATAGAATAACCCGATCTAACCACGGAAATAAATGCAACAGTGCCATGAAGTCTCCGGTAATACAGCCAGGAAATATCACCAAATCAGTGCATTTGTAGTTCCATCTCAGTGTGGACAATCTCCAAACTACGGGACCATCAGACCCACACCGTCGATCTCCGCTCCAGCATCTCCAGGTTATATTCATCATATGTGGGGAGTACACCCGATGACTAGCATAAAGCTTACTTCTATCGTCTTGGCTCAGTCTACCTGTGTGCATGCTGAGGTTTCTACATACTGATAGAGCCATCCATGGATGCTGCCGAAGTCCACTCCGCCGTTCTTTGGGAATATATTCCATGCATATTAGTTCCAATCTCGAACCAGTCGCATTTTCTCGCAGACTCAGTGAGCCAATGGGGATCTACAATGAACAGTTTTTGCTTTTGAATACTATCTTAACATGAAACTGGGTTTTAAATAGCTCATTCACCTGATTGATACGACTCTTTGTCTATACTTCGTCAGCGCGGCCTGAAATGATGACTCATCACCGCGGCCGCAGTGCCGTCATGGCCGAAACCAAAAACAAAGGACCTTTCACCGAATATTCAAAGTCCCGCAGAATTGAAGGCGACAATCGCGCCCTAGAAACGTCACACCACTTCATCATCCTATCTTCCCAACTCCTGACGTCACTTCACCCCTGCCGCATGCCCTTGAAGAACCAACGCTCCGACAGCCCCTCGCTCGTCGAACACTGAATCTAAGTCGGAGCCATGTCACTAACTGCATCAGCCGCTACGGCAATTTTGACCGGGCTGACCGAGAAACCTGGCAAAGGAAAACAATGGGACGACCAGTTGCATGACTTGCGCGATCTATACACGCAGTTCGTGGTTAGCTCTGTGCTAGGCCTGAGCGCTTTCCTAACGTTTTGTGTATGTTGAAGTTTTGGCGCAAAATATGCTCCAGCTGCTGATTTCTTTGTACCAGATCCTGCGACCAAAATGGACCGAGCTGTATGCAGCACGGCGCCGACAACGAAACGCCGCTTCGCGCCTACCGGAACTGCCCAATACCATGTTCGGCTGGATTCCGGTTCTCCATCGCATCACTGATCAGGAGGTCCTGCAGTCCGCAGGCCTGGATGCTTATGTGGTATGGGTTGAATTCTCTGATATGGTAGTTGACCGTTGCTGACCCGTGCGTTCCGACACAGTTCTTGTCTTTCTTCAAGTTTGCGATTCGTTTCCTCCTCGCCGTCTTCATTTTCGCCGTTGCAATCATCCTCCCCTTACACTACAAATATACTGGGCAATATGGAGTTCCTGGATGGGATAACGTTCCTGGCAATGACACCATGATAGCTGAGAAGGACAAGCCAGTCACGGACCCCGGGTATCTTTGGATTTACGTTTTGTTTGCGTACGTCTTCAGCGGCTTGGCCATTCATATGCTTCTTCAAGAGACGAACACAATTATCCGCACTCGTCAAACGTACCTGGGGAATCAGACCAGTACTACTGATCGCACAATTCGCCTGTCTGGAATCCCGCATGATCTGAGCACCGAGGAACAGATCAAGGACTTCGTCGAGGGCTTGCGCGTCGGTAAAGTCGAGAGTATCACAGTTTGCCGGAAATGGCGTGAGCTGGATGAATTGATCGACGAGAGAATGAAGGTCATCCGAGATCTCGAAAGAGCATGGACGAAACACCTAGGATATAAGCGACCGAAAAGCGACGGAAACACACTGCCCTTGACCAACCAACAATCACACGACGAGGACAACGAGCGATCCGGCCTTCTTTCTGGAAGCGAGCACGATAATACCATGGACTATTCCAGCGAGAGGCCCAAATTCCGCTTGTGGTATGGCCCATTCAAGCTTCGGTATCGCATGATCGACGCCATCGATTATTTCGAAGAGAAGCTGCGGAGGATCGATGAGCACATTCAGAATGCGCGAGAGAAAGAATACCCAACCACCGAGATCGCATTCGTGACTATGGAATCTATCGCTGCGTCTCAAATGCTCGTGCAAGCCATTCTCGACCCTCACCCGAACCAGATGTTTGCTCGACTTGCCCCAGCGCCGGCGGATGTGATTTGGAAGAACACATACTTGTCTCGAACTCGTCGGATGGCTCAGTCGTGGTCCATCACTATTGCTATTGGGTTCCTTACTGTTTTCTGGTCGGTGCTTTTGCTCCCCATTGCATCGCTGCTCGATCTGGAAACTCTTCGGAAACTCGTTCCCCAATTGGCGGAGTTCCTTGAGGAGCATGTGCTTTTGAAGTCTTTGGTCCAGACTGGTTTGCCCACCCTTGCATTCTCGCTGTTGACCGTTGCCGTTCCTTATGTCTACGAGTGTAAGTCTTGAAAAAGGAGTTCTGATAGGGGTGACATCGAATGCTAACACTCATTATAGGGCTCTCGAACAACCAGGGAATGGTTTCACGCGGCGACGTGGAACTATCGATCATTTCCAAGAACTTCTTCTTCTCGTTCTTCAACCTGTTCCTGCTCTTCACCGTGTTTGGAACAGCAAGTGGGTTCTATGGCTTCTGGGAGAACCTCAGGGATGCATTCAAAGACTCCACCACGATCGCCTTTGCTTTGGCCAAATCTCTCGAAGGTCTCGCTCCATTCTACATCAATCTGTTAATTCTGCAAGGTCTGGGTCTCTTCCCATTCCGACTTCTCGAATTCGGAAGTGTAGCACTCTACCCCTTCCAGTTCCTCTCTGCTCGCACGCCACGAGAATACGCCGAACTAGCAACTCCCCCCAAGTTCAGCTACGGATTCTCAATCCCTCAAACCATCCTCATCCTCGTGATATGCGTGGTGTACAGTGTCTTCCCCAGCTCATGGTTGATCTGCCTATTCGGTCTCATCTACTTCACGGTCGGCAAATTCATTTACAAGTACCAACTCCTCTACGCCATGGACCACCAGCAGCACTCCACCGGTCGTGCATGGCCAATGATCTGCAACCGCGTATTCGTCGGTCTGCTCATCCACCAACTCGCCATGATCGGCGTCCTAGCCCTCCGCCGCGCAATCACCCGCTCCCTGCTCCTCGTGCCTCTTCTGGGCTTCACGGTCTGGTTCTCCTATTGGTTCGGTCGCACATACGAGCCTTTGATGAAATTCATCGCCCTCAAGAGCATTAACCGTGACCAGCCGGGTGGCGACGATATCTCCCCGTCGCCTTCCTCCAATTTCTCACCGCCGTCGGGCCTCGACCGCGATAGTCTCCCGATTCGCATTGGCGGTCATGATCTGGAACTGCGGCTGAAGAAGTACGTCAACCCGAGCTTGATTGTTCCGCTGCATGATGCCTGGCTCCCTGGTTGCACGCCTACTCCAGGCAACGGTGCGTCGGCCTTTGAGGCTCATCAGACGCCCAATGTCTGATTTATTTATTTTTTCCTCTGCAAATAATGCATTCGTTTCGCATGTGTCTTTGACTCATCATGATGTACGACTTTGATACCTCACATTTCTAATTTCTGATGTTTTCTGATGTTTATGTTTGACGTTTCCGTCCATGATACCTATGGGTGGACACCTTTGTTTACTTTTTGATCCCTTCCTCTCGTTAAGACCACTTCCGCAGTTGGCCCTTAGAGATCTTGCTTTTGTGTTTTATGTTCTATGTTGTTGCCCTTCACATTGCCAGTGTCCGAGTATAAAGTCTGTACGATACTGATTCCAATACCCCGTCAAGCGCCAATGTATGTACTCCGTACCCATAAGCCATTTTCGTTGCCTTGTGATAAATGCCACCAGTGCGGCCCCTCGCCGAAGTATGTCTTTTGGTATGTCTTTTGCATATAGAGCACGGAGTACTCCGTCTCCGTACTCCGCAAGTATGAATAAACTCGGCTAAACTCTGGGCCTCGCCTGGGTTAACCCTTTTCCCGCATTCCTCCGCTTCGTATGGCGGCAAACGTGTCTGAGCACGCAAAGTCAAAGACACCGAATCCTTGCAATTAATCATTGGACGCCTATTTCTTTTTTCCCCCGTCTCTTTTCCTTTTCTTAGTGAGAGGCTATTGAGTTAATCAGTTCACTTGAGAATGTTCAAAAGTTCCCGTGAGGGGATCTATGCCGTTGATGGGGGTCCTCGGCCAATAGTCTTAAGACAAGATTCTGCGAGGGGGTGAATATAGTCTCGTATCACTATCACGGAGATGGATGTTGTGATCTCTCACGGCCAAGTATCAGGGATCAGGGATCGGGTATCGTGGAAATCACACCCTATTGAAAGCCGATCACTACGCACTCAGATGAACTTCTGGAATTTCTTAAGGGTCCACATGGTCGGGGGCACATTCCTGGGCAGTGGGGGATGGCGGGTTGGTCTTTTGCGGTGAGGAGGATGAAACATCCTGAGAAAGAAAGACATGGATTAAAGTATAGAGAGTTGAGGAATGTGGGATTTGGGAGACTAAATAAGTGTATTCTCAATTGTGTTTGTATTTCAAGGGTTTTGTTATGACTGAGAGCTGCATGAAGTGAGGAAGTGAGGAAAGTGAAGTTGCCAAGACATGTGCTGCATCCGGCATTCTTCGTGTCTTTCGGTCTTTTACGCTCTTCTCTTTTTTTCTTTTTTTCTTCCCGAGATCCTTTGGAATGTTAACGTTGCATGGCCTATCTGATCGGGTTTTCTCAGTGGATTACTCGTTGCCTTCCATTAGTGCATTATTGCATTGCACACTATCCTATTCTATGGATCTGAAAATACTCTACGGAGTATACTCGGTAGTTCTTAGTACAATTCTATGGAATGACAGCTGTTCAGGTGCATAATGCACTCAAGTCCGACATTTTTGATGTCTCTTGACGTGCTCCACTCGGAAGTTCCGCGTGGAATAAAGAATAAATGACAGAACGAATTCTTAAAAAGTCTCGACGTCAGATTGAAACTTGAACCTTGGAAATAGGGGAGTATTTTAATTAAACAGCCCTTGCCTCGCCCTCGAATCTCTCGGGTTCCATCTCAGACCTTCTTGATAACCGCTTTCAGAGACGTTGCCGATACAACCTTGACCTTGCACCGTGTCAACATACCTCTGCAAATCCCGTTGGCCGATTCTTTTGTTAAATCGGTGGCGATCTCTCCTTCCAGTGCGATTCGCTGGTCTTGACTTTTTTAAAAAAAAGAAATCTTTACAGACGATCATTACGTTGTTGGTCGTTGGATAAACATCCCGTGAAAAGGGCCCCTCGTGTGTTTCAAGGTTGTTGTTGTTGTTGTTGTTTAAGGGGGTGAAGAGAAACAAATACTGGGTTTGAACCATTTATACATCCTGATCTACATCCTCATTGAATTGTTGATCTATCTCGATGTTCTGATTCAGGGAAATCAGACCGAATGGCTACCACCGCCGGGTATATCACCATGCCCGCCTTGCGATCACTGCGATCAAGTCAAGACTATGCTGGTCATGTCTCAGACTCCCGTCACAGGAAACCAACCGCATCAGTATCGACTTCGAGGACCGACGCTGGATATCTTCCAGTGAAGCGACAAACTCGAGCATCTATATCAAGACGTGCATCGCCTTCTGCGGCGAATCTGGCGCCACCGGAGATCTTACTGGATATTTTCTCGCTGCTGTCACCGCATGACTTTGATAGCGCTCGACACACATGCTCGCGGTGGATGCGGGTTAGTTTGAATGAACAGCTTCTCGAGCGCATGATGAAGAGAGCGGGGTGGTGGAAGGCCTGGCTGCAGGATCGGCGAAGACCGTGTGTATCGGATCGGTTGGATGAATGCAATGTTTGGAGAATGAGTCGGCGAATTGCTACAGAGTGCCTGTTGTCAGGGCGCAGGATGAACTCGAAGAAGTCTGGTTTCGTTAAGACTGCTGTCATTGACTTCTCAGCTCTTTCTGGGGCTGAAAGAAGATCCCATCTCACTCGACATCAGGCGGTTGGACAACTCGGTGACAGCAAAGAGCTGGGAGCTTCTACTTCGACCTTCAGCACGAGCAGCTGCAGCAATTATCTGTTAGTGACGATGGGCTGCATGATTTATATCTATCGCCTTCGTGGACGAAAGATCCGGTCAAAGTCGAGCTTGAACGATGTCGATTTGGATTTGATATCGCGTGTGCAATGTCCATTTGACGTTGTTTCAGCCGTCGTCGATACCACCACTTCGCAAATCACCATTGCTGCATTACTGCACAATCGCGTTGGAATCATCAGCAAAGTCCCAGTATCCTCCAAACCCTCAGAATCCCAACCAACAGACCCATCCTCCACCCACCTCTTCTACAACATCTGCACAGAAGAAAACCCACCCCGAACAGTAGCAATATGCCCAGGACAAGACCTGGTAGCTTTCGGCTGTGCCTCCGGCATCGAAATCCACAGCGTATCCAAATCAAAACGCAACGATCCCCGAAAACACTTCACAATCCCTCAACCCTCCGAAATCCTCCACTTCCTCCCCAGCAGTCCAGACTCCCCAACCGAACTCCGTCTCATCTCCTCCCTCTCAGGCCCAGGAGGCCTTCACGAATGCACATGTCCCCCCACATCACCAAAACACCAATTCCACTTCCTTGCAGACGTCCAATCCTACTCCCGCCGCAGAATCCCTCACACCCCATCCCGCAGCTTCGTCCGCGCAACTCACTGTCACCATTTCCACGCAGTCCCTCTAAACGACGGCTTCCATATGACTTTTATCGACCCACGCTCTAATCTCCTCTGCATCGGCTCCGATGCTCCTATCGGTGGTCCAACAAGTCTTACCCGTGCAATTGTCTGCGTCCCCCCTTTCTCAAATAATGTCAGATCTTCCGAGGACCAAATCAATCCTCTTCCTACTGTTTTCGCAGCAGCTTCGGATCTGACGTGGGGTCCCCGTCTCGTCGCGGTTTACGGTGATCGTCTCGTTCTCTACTCCGTTCCACTGGACGTCTTTGATCTCGTTCGTCGAGAACGCGAGCGCCAGGTTAATGGCGTTATGGGCGATAGTGATCTCGCGCGTGACTGGTACGCTGATGCAGATCGCTGCGAGGCGGACCTGGAATCTCTTGATGTATTCAGATCTGTGGCTATGATGTGGCCGTTTAAGGTGTATGGGAAGGAAATCGGGACTGTTGATGATGCCGTTGAGCTTTCTGTGCAGTGCTCGGAAGGCGGGGTGCGGGTTTGGGCTTTTGGACGCAGTGGCAAGGCGGAGGTTTTTGATATTGAGACTGGGGATGGGAGGGTACGGAGTTTTGGGTCGGGTGCTGATGGGGTTCTGGCGAGGAGGAATAATTCTTTGAAGGAATTGAGGAGGAAGAGGAAGTTTGAAGATGATGTTTGTTTTGCTGGGAGGTATGGGGCTGGGAGGTTGGATGTTAAGCCTTGTAGGGCTGGGGTGCATGGGCAGGATCTTGCTGCTAGACGGTCGTCTTTTGCGGCTTGTATTATTGATTTTAAGATTCCTGAGTGAGCGAGCTCGGGAGGCATTGGTTGTATATAATTTTAGAAAGCATCTAGGGCTGTGATGAAGCTATTGAAATGCATGGACATATCTGTTAATGTGACTATGACTGGAATGATTTATAAACTTGGAAGCTCATTCTAGCAAGGGCCATCTAAGTAAGGTGATGGGTCCATGGATGTATCCATTTGAAGTAGACTCTGGAGAAGCTCAAGTATTTGCTGTCATAGTCCCTCGAATGTGAGGTATATGTGATATAAATCTAAGTAAATAATAGTACAATCATGTGCATTTCGCTCACAAGTCATGTAGTAGCGGTGACTGCAGCTGAAAAATTGAACCAGTTGAGAGAGAAACTAAAACAATAACTAACGCACAATAGACCTCTCCACGCGCTCACTTCTTCCAACCTTTCTCTCACTTCGTCTTCCACCACCTTACCCTTGACTAATACTTCTGAGCCAGAAGGTACTACAAAGAGATACAATTGCCTTTATAAACCGATATAACTGGTATCGATCTATTGCTACCACTTTGCCGATCATCAACACGCGAGCGCGGCGCTCCGCAGATGCATCCGGATGATATGACCGGAGGGTCCATCGAGGGTGATGTTCCCAAGCTGGATCGATACAGATGGAGTCGTGGAAGACTAGGACAACTGTACCTTCTTCAACAAGCCTTGAATCCACAGGCCTCCGCTCCTTCTCCAACTACCATGCGACAGGCTTGCTGTCGCAATAAGGTCAGGTCGGAATACTGCTTCCGACCTCTACTGTCAACTGGCAGAGATCAATCATACGGAGTTCAACAACGCCTTTCACGAAATGGGAAGAACTTGTGTCTTATCTCAGTGCTGGAGACGACTACGTCTGTGCTACTGGGCTGGTCTCAAGATTTTCGAAACTTGAGAACGTCGATTATGGGAACAATACCCCATACTTAAATATGGCAACCGCTGCTGTCATTTCCCATTGGTTTTAGCCATGGTTTCGCCTTTCATCTTCCAAACCCTTGAGATCTGGCTGCCAGATATCCAGGGCATGTCTTTGATCCCCGCACCAGGAGGCGCACCAGCACCCGTGTATCTGGGCCTCTTGAGGCGGTTTTCACATGTAGGACGTTTGCATTATCACTTGCCCGTCACCACGGAAGTGAACGCGGGAGCCTCCAAGGCATACTCTTAAATCTCCTTCACCTCAAATCAGTTGAGATTTTAATTGACTTTCTGCTCGGATCGGGAGAGAGCAGCTCTAAACTGAAAGATGTCCTACCGCCTGGTGTTGAGACCGTACACATCCGCCCCAATCTTCAATACCTCAGCAAATTCAAAGAATACGGCGATGCAATTATCCAAAATGTCGACTAGTTCACTCAGGAAATAGGTACCGTCAACAATCTACGACAAATCTCATTCCAGGGCTCATCCTGCGCCGTTCATCGTTTGGGGCAAACCTCGCTCACAGATGTGCTTCATTTTCGTCAAAAGCACCAAAGAACCCATGCCAATTGTGCAACACTCGGCTTTGATTTTGGTTGCCATGGCCCATTTTAGGTTCCGGGGTATCTCACAATGAAGGGCAAATCCTCGATACTTCTTAGCACACCGGCCAATGTTTTCACCACCACCTGGCCGTACAAGCGTACTTGGGTACCTTATTTGGGTTGATTTGGGTATCCGAATCACATTGATCATCCGAAAGACTGCTTTTCAATGCTGATGGATCCTGCATGTTTCTTGGTCATCTTGTCTTCATTGCACCAAGAGTTATGGGAGGGCTACCTACGATTGCTAGCTTTGACTGATAGTCCAAAGAGCAAAACTACTCACTTGCACCTTTGAAATCTCTGGATGAGGACAGGATTAGATTTGCTTTCATTACAGAATAGCTCAAACATCTTGATGTACAATCTCGTATTCATTTTTCTCCTTCTATATGACTTTACAATATGGTTAGTTCTGCGGGCCCATCACAGGATCTTAGGAATGATTTCCCTCACCAAAAGTTGATAAGAATAGAGAAAAGGCAATCCAAGCAAGTGGAGAGAGATTAAGAGGTCCCAAGAGCTACCAAGAAATAAAGAGTCGCTCCCAGGATTTATGGTGGACTCTCACTTGCTCGTCACTTCTGAGATTCACGGAGCCATTCAAAGGCTTACTTTCGCAGCTACCTCATCTCAGATCACTTTATATCCCTGTTGACTTCCTCCTCAAATCGAAAGAGAGAGAGAGAGCGATTACATACTGAGAGAAGCCATACTGCGGGTGATTCCTCGGGGGTCCTACACACCCGTCCCGATTTCCAACGCCTCGGCCACCTTATAAACTACGGCGATCCAATTATCGCAAGTGTTGGCAAGCTTCCTCAGAAGCAGGGAGCCGTCAACACCGGGCGAAATGTGCAGCATCGGGCCTCGATCTCACACGCCTTGATCCTTTCTGTGACCCTGGAACCAACTTCATAAGGACAAAACCCCAATGATCTTCCTCACTCCGGTCGATATCAACTCCACTGCAAGCGTACTAGCGTGGCACCCACGCCAGGACCACTGGACCCCTCGTCGCGTGAGCAGCATGCCCGATACCCCAGCTGGCCCCGCAGCGTTTCTTCGGGGGGGACGACCACCATGCCGCCAATTGTGGCCTGACACGGCGGCTTGAAGCCGTGCTGACCCAACCCAGCTGGTGTTCCAGGTTGTGCAGGCGGATCGTCAACGTCTACCGCAATACTACCAACAACTTCTGGCAAAAGCAACCTCTTTCAGCTGCCGTTCTTCATCACCGGGAAGGGCACCATGATGGCTGCTTTGATGGCACTGCAGCAGGACATACACGCAACCAGCAGCCGGATCTGCGTACGGAGTTATGGGATGGCAAAAACAAAGCTGAACCCGAGCTAGAGGCTCTGCTCTATCTTAATTGATTCGAGCCATGAATACCCCAGGTACTATGGGGAGGCTCGGTGCGGGTTCGGTCAGATGAGCGTGACTGGTCTAATGGATACCTGAGTCTTGGGTATGCAAGGAGGAATATCCCGTCATCCAACATACATTCTTGTTTTTTTCGGCTGAGTTCAAATTTCCGGATCCCGCTTCCTCCGTCATGGAAATGGGGTTGTGACTATGGCGAGAAACCTGGAGACGAGGTTGATGGCGCTCGCGAGCTTTTCCAAGATGGTTATGCGCAATATCGATCGTTGATGGGTGTCTGGGCTGGTGTACCATCAAAACACGCCCCGAAATCAGATATCTGGAGATTTCGATGCCATTTTTGAATATTTTGACAGTTAAATCGACAGAGCGGAGGACACAACTTGATTCTTCCATCAAATTGCCAGTATCTCGCATTGTTGAAGATCAAACATCACCCATCAATCCCTGAATGGGAGTAGGAGGCTTGCTGTCATTAGAAAGTAGCTCGGAATTTTGTACGATCTCGTATTCTTTCTGACTTTACGCTATGGTCAACTCTTGCAGGTATTGCAAGATCCTAAGAACGATTTGCTTGTCCGAGATTGAAAGAAGCTGATAGATAAACGAGCGCAAAAAAGCTCAACTTTTGTGTCACTATGTAGTATCAATTATGGGCATGGCCTTTTGGAGCAATAGATCTCTCAGAATCGCTTATTTTGAGCTCTGCTTCTCGCGACGCGCACGCACGCCTTGAGCAAGAACCTCCAGCACATCCTCAGTATCCTCCCAGCTGATGCAAGCATCCGTGATACTGACACCGTACTTGAGGCCTGCCTTGCCCTCCTCGGGAACTTTTTGGTTACCTAAAGTGCATGTTAGTAAACGTTCCCAACTCGAGAGATCAGAACCAAGATTCGCAAACTCACCCTCATTGATATTACTCTCAATCATAACACCCATAATAGCATCTTCACCAGCAGCAAGTTGCTCAGCAAGAACAGCAGCAACCTTAGGCTGGTTCCTGTGGTTCTTCTCCGAGTTTCCATGACTGCAGTCGACCATGAGACGGGGCCGCATGCCCTTTGCATTAAGCTTGACCTTTGCCTCGGCAATACTGGCAGCATCGTAGTTGGGACCCTTCTTACCACCACGCAGAATAACGAAGCAATCGGGGTTTCCAACAGTTCCCACGATAGAAACAACACCAGGTTTCGTGACAGACAAGAAGTGGTGCGGGTGCTTCACAGAGCCAATAGCATCGACTGCAACATCCAATGATCCATCGGTTCCATTCTTGAATCCAACAGGGAAAGAAAGACCAGATGACAGTTCGCGGTGAACTTGGGATTCAGTGGTACGGGCGCCGACAGCGCCGACGGACAGACAATCAGCGAGGAACTGGGGGAGATGGTATCGAGCATTTCGGAGGCGATGGGCATGCCCTTGTTTGTGAGGTCGAGGAACAGCTGACGCGAGACGCGCAGGCCCTTGTTGATCTTGAAGGAGTTGTCGATGTCCGGGTCGTTGATCAGACCCTTCCAGCCGACTGTTGTGCGGGGCTTCTCGAGGTAGGAGCGCATCACGATGAGGAGGTCATCGGCGTACTTCTCCTTCATCTTCATTAGGCGGTCGCAGTATTCGAGGGCCATTTCGGGGTCGTGGATTGAGCATGGTCCGATGACGACCATCAGGCGCTGCTTCTTATCTGTGCCGTGGACGACCTCGACGGATTCTGCGCGTCCTTGAAGGACGGTTTGCCGGGACTTCTCTGACAATGCGAATTCATGTTGGAGGAGGTTGGGTGGGGTGAGGGGGTTGTAGCCGAGAACTGTTTTTTGTTTAATTTATTAGAATGCGTTGTACTGTAATATGAGGGCTCAATTGGAGAATATCTTACTTCGAGAGTCTTCCAGGTGATTTGTGTTGCCCACGTTAGGGTTGTCGATGAAGAACTGGCGACGTCAGAGGTGGGACTGGAGCGTTACTAGTGAGGGGCTGACTTACAGCCATGGTGGGGAGTGAATGGGAGCAATTGAACAACTCAATGACAATTGAAGGGGAATTGAGAATATGGATGGAATTGAAGAGGAAGCAGAAACAGAAAAAAAATAATAAATTGCGACGGAGAAGGCCTATGACTCAATCGAAGTATAAAGCGAGGCTTCCACGTGATTCCGGTGACCGGCGAGGCAGTCCCAATCACGGCGATGCCTTTTGTAAATGTGGATTTAAAGATGTTTTTACTAATGGCCCACTCTCTGTCAACCCCCCCTCCCCCGGGTTTTCAGCTATCTTAAATTGGCCCCTGTTGCATCCGACGGTCCAGCTCCTGCAGCCCCCGGACCAAGTCCTGGCAGATCTCCGTGTGTTGCTCCTTGACATGTTGCATCTGCTGCTTGTATAGCGTCATGCGCGCTTCTTGCGCCTGGAATAAATCTTCTAGGATTCGTCCACACCCTTCGCGGTAGATCTCCAGAACCCGTGTAATGGTTGCTTTCTCCGCCGCCAGTTGAGTTGAGAGATTCTATCATCGGATTAGCCACATCCACAAACCTTGGGAATTAGGACATACGGAATTCGTTTGGTGCAACAGGTTGTGCGCGTCTTTCTGTGCTACACGGAGGGTCGAGATCCAGTTCATTGGATCCTCCTCCGAGGAGCGGTGTGATTTCATATCTGGCTGTGATGACACCGAGATATCTGTGCGGAATGATCTGTCGCATTGTCGATCTTGCGCCACGCCCAACCCCCTCTCTTCGATCGTCCGCTGTGAAGAGTCTGGGCCACTCGTTGATTCCTTGTCCGAGTCGGCGCCATCTGCTGTGTCTTCTTTCGAGCATGAAAGCTTAGGCATGGGTTGTGGTGGCCAGGTGTGTGACCTGTCCATCTTTTCGGTGTCGATTCCGTAGGCCAGGAACATTTCTCGCTGGAATTTTGTCCAAAAGACACCTTTGTATTGACTTGCAGTGGAAAATTCACTAGAACTTCGATCATATTGACTTGAGCTGGTTGCGACTTCTTGGTCTTGTTCGCCGTCAAAGTCAACCTGGAATGGAGTCACTCCCTTGATTGACAAGGACACAAGCTGAGGACTGCCGTTTCGGTCGACAACTATGGTTCTTGGAGCCGATGTCTGCTGAGGTGAGAGCGAGCGATGTTCGGCCTCGCTGCGCAACAGAGGCTTCTGCGACTCGGGTGTGTGGCTGGATTCATGTTTCTTGTTTCCACCTGCAGGGGGTATATCAGTCTTTCTTGTAATCGAAGTGCCTGAAGAGGTAGACTTCGGGCTTTCGCCGGGCTTGGTGGGCTGCAGATGCGTGGTCGGTTCATGGATCATGGGTTGCAGAGTTTCAAACCCGGACAAATGTTCCATCTCCATATGGTAGTCGAGGATAGACGGTTCGTCATCAATCAAACCTCTTCCCATTTCAATGTCTGAAGAATCCTCCGTGCTTGGCCCTTCACTGTGCCCTAAGGAGGACAAAAAGGCGCCCCAGGAGGCCATTCCACCTGTCGCATCGACTAACTCGACTTCTTTCGTGTCGTCGACGACAACCGGCGATGACGATCTAACTTTGTCGGACTTGGATGAATGGTGAGGGCTGTCGACACGTACTGCATGCTTTTGCACTTTCTCGATGCCATGAGGTGTCGGCATTGTCTGAGTCGGCATTGGATCAGGCTGTTTGCTTTCGGGAGACTTCTGAGGCTCCACTGGATCGGATGAGATAATGATAGGAGCATCTCTGTTAAAGACCGGTCCATGCTGAGAATCTTCGCCGTGAAGCGCAAGCATGAGCTTGCTGCCAACACTTTGTGCTCTCCCGTGGGATTTGTGAGACTTGAGAGACTTCTCCACGCATGCAACCTTTGACTTTCTGATCTTTTGCTTGTGAAGCACCCTTGACTGCAGTATGGTGAGCTTCGAAGCACTTCCACTAGCTGGATTTTTCGCGTCACGGCTGGAAATCGAATCTGTCTCAGATATGATACGACCAGACTTCCCAGCTTTCTTCTGTGCTTCCAACTGTGCCCTGTGTTCCAGGATACTGACCATCTGGCTGTGCTCTTTGATATCATAATCGAACCCGAGAGACGAGTCACCAGTGATCGAAGGGCTGCTTCTGATCTCGACACTCACTCGTGGACTATTCTTGATGATTTTGTTGTAGTCATCCTTCGGAAGAGATGTCTTGTGAGAGGTCTTGGGTAGATCGACCTTGGTCTCCGTCGTCACATTGCATTGGTTACTTGGCTCATCAGGAACACATGGTATCTCTTTGTCAATAGGAGCTACAAGTGCACTTGTCGCAACAGTGGTCAATGGAAGCTGTGATATCTTGATACCTCGCTTGGCGGTGTTGCTCTTCGTCGAATTCGACTTCCTACGCTTGGCTGAGGTTGTCCGTGGTTTCGATATCTTTGCACGCTTCTGGTTCCCCTGCTTCGCAGCTGTCTTCCCTTTCTTTGGTTCAGTCTGAGCACGAGTTGCCCCTCCATGTGCTTTCTGGGCCTCGGCTTCTTCACCAGGTGTTGGGCGGAGATCTTCATCCCAATCCACATCCTGAGGATCTTTTCTGGCACGCTTTGGCTTGGTCAGTTTTAAACGAACGATCTTCGAGGCAGGTGGTTGGATTGGAGCGGGCAGTGAGTTTGGTAGAGGTGCAGGCACAGGGCGTTCTGTGGGCTTGCTGCCCTGGCCCACGCCAACGACTGCAGGTGACACCTGAGACTTCTCAGTGACATCCATAATACAATAACCTCACATGCTGGCTTGGATCGAATCGGCGCAACGGGTAGGTCGAACGGCTGGTGTGGTTTGTGAGGGAAAACGGCTCACCCGAGTGACTGTGTCTCCCCAGGTCTACGGTGTACTTGTACTCTCACGTGGGGACTTCAGCTAGTGGCATTTATAAGCCAAGCAGAGCTCATGGCTATTGTCATTCTGATTGAAAATATCAGTCTTATACTCGCAGAAAGAATTTATAGTCCAGGAATATGCATGTCCCTATTCAAGGCACAAGATAATGTGACATGCGTGTCTTCCCCAGATTTGGCGTTGACACTTCCCCTGGGGTATCTTCCATCTTCAAGCAACTGCAACTGGTTTCGCCATAGCCATCGGTGCCCTACACCCTCTCAGGCCCTCTCGAGGGAGTCTCCGCCGGAGAGCTTCAGGGCGTGAACAAGCATCCTATCAAGGATATCCAAGGAAACGACCGATGTAGGAATCCTGATTCCACGACACACTCAGCTCCAAAATCGGTTCATCCAACCACATTCAGACATTCCCTGAGCCCTAGAATGCTTTGATACAAACGAACAAGGCGAACCCCCGGAAGCTCCCCTCGGCCCGTCCAACCTCCGAGCTCCGTTAACACCGCAAGCCAAAGTTGCGCCGACTCCGCGATTAATAATCCACCATCGAAGCCTGGGGCTTATAGCCTTCCACTTCGTCCGAATCGCGGCTGAAAAGCGCCGCTTTATAAGCCATGCCTACGTACTCGCGCCTAATCCCCTAGATCATGCGCAGCCTCACTTTTCATACGCCCACCATCACGTTATAACTCTTCACAATGGCAAATCCAGCGGCCCGAAACGACGGCTCGGCTCCAGCGGCTGAATGTCGCTTCAGCGCAACCGCATCTCTCACCAAGCTACGAGGCTTACTTCCAGCTTTTTGGGCTAAACAGGATGTAAAACTCGATACGACACCCATCCCCACAACGACGATCGGCCGTCGTCGCGCATCTAGCTTCGCCGCTTCCCTCGATCGCGATGAAACGCTCGCTGAGAAGATCTCCGAGCAGCTGGATCATGGAGTGGAGGTACAAGAGACTGAAGAGACGGTCTTGTATCTAGCGTACGGGTCGAATTTAGCGACGCAGACATTCCGCGGGATGCGCGGGATCAAACCACTTTCACAGATCGGTGTCTTTGTTCCTGAGCTGAGACTCACGTTCGATCTTCCGGGGATTCCGTATGCGGAGCCTTGTTTCGCTGGCACACAATACCGAGAGGAATCGCATGATGGGTGCGTGTCAGACGGTGAAGAGTTATCGGAGAAGGCTACGTTGATGGGCGCACAGCATGAGTCCAGGTATCACAAGCGTCGATGGAGCGGGCCGCTCGTTGGCGTGGTTTATGAAGTTACACTTGCGGACTATGCGAAGATCATCGCGACGGAAGGCGGCGGTCGCGGATACCGTGATGGTGTCGTTGATTGCTATCCATTCCCCGAATCCTATGATTCCTCCGACCCGGTTCCCGATCATCCATCCACACCACCGTTCAAAGCGCGCACGCTTCTTTCGCCTGCTGCGGATGATGCGAGGCTTCGCTCGCAGATGAGGAAGGGTGCTGCGGTAGTTGCTAAACCTGCGCTTTCGTGGTGGTATACTATCGGTTTGCACTTCCGTCCTGATCCCGATTACGCTCAGCCTTCTGCTCGGTACTTGAATTTGATTAGGAATGGGGCTGCGGAGCATGATCTTCCCATTTCTTATCGGAAGTATTTGGCGCAGATTCGGACTTATCATATTGTGACGCGGCGGCAGAAGGCTGGGAAGGTTATCTTCTTGGTTTTGTGGATTCCGTGGGTGCTTTTGGTATTGACCTTGTCGAAGATCTTTGCTGGACCTGATGGTCGCAGTCCGCCATGGTTGGTGGCTATGGCGAATATTTTGTTTTCATCTATGTGGAGTAGCTATGATTGGTTCTTTGTGAAGGTCTTTGGGAATGGCGAGAGGACTCTGGGCGATGTGTTTGCCTAACCTGCCTCGCCTACTTGGCTAGATGTAAAGTTTCAAGATCACTCTTTATATAGATCTAGATGAACATAATGAGATATCTGAAAAGTACAGACTGCTGTACAACCTTATAATCATGTGTTTCTCTGTTCGTTTTACTACGCCCTGCCATGGATATCACTGCTATGTTGTCGCAATGGAATGGAGCCTGCCCAGGTGGATCAAGTCGAGCTGTCAGAAGTACTTGAAATCACCCCCACAATGGAGCTCCAATATGTACTGAAATACGGAGTAAAGGCCTAGCTGTTATCTACACATGCCTCCCAGTTGCCCATAGGCCTTCGAAGTTCCAAAGTTAGGGAATAAGCCCCGGCCCCAACCTCGAGAATCAACTACATGAACACTTCAGGGCTGGGTGACATGCAAACCATCGATCTGGATCTAGAGCCCAATCACAACATTCACTACGCACGCCAATCTGCGTCATAATCACAAAGGAAATTAAATTCAGATGACTCCTCGAAGCACACAGTTTTCGAAAGGAAATGAAAAAAAGAATATATCTAGGATACAGATACAAGTGTTCGGGGAGCGTTCTAACAAAACACAGACACAGCGTAGATAGACACAGATAATGACGAAAAAGAGAAGCCTGTCCGGAAGCCCATACCAAGCTGGGGTGGTGGTATGAATATTCCCCAGCGGTGCGGCCCCGTCGGCCTCTCGTATTTTTCCCACTCAGAAACAAAAGGTCATGCTGCTGATTTAACGACGGGGACCGATGGGAGGGCTGTACACGATCTTGCGGGTCTTGAGAGGGGCCCACTTGTAGCGCTTGACCCAGACGGAGATGGCGAAGAGACCGGTGAGAAGAGCGACGGACTTGACACCCATCTTCTTGCGGTCGTCCATCTCGGGCTCGGCGGACCAGTTGAGGAACTCGACGACGTCCTTGGCCATCTGGGAGGTGGTGGCGGGGGTGCCGTCCTCGTACTCGACGACACCGTCGAACAGGACACGGCCCATAGCAATACCTAAAAGAGAGAGAAAAAGGTCAGATCTGGATCGGGACGGGGATCGATTGCGAGATGGTTGTTTTTCACATACCGGTACCGGGGAAGTAGGGGTTGAAGTTCATGCCCTCGGCGACGGCAGCACCGGCGGGAGCCTCATCAGGGTAACCGGTGAGCAGAGAGAAGACGTAGTTGCAGCCACCGTGACGGCCCTTGGTGATCAAGCTCAGATCGGGGGCAGAGCACCGGCGTTGGCGGCACGGGCGGCCTCATCGTTGGGGTAGGGGGCAGGGATGTAGTCGGAGAGCTTTCCGGGGCGCTTCTCGATGTTGCCCTCGCTGTTGGGCTCGGTGTCGTACTCGTTATCCTCGGCCATGGCCTTCATCTCGTCGACGGTGTGCATGGTGCCGACCATGCTGCGCCATGGGACACGGGTGAGGGAGTGGCAGGAGGCGCAAACCTCACGGTAAACCTGGAAACCACGGCGGAGGCTTTGAATGGGGTTAGTCTGGCGGAAGCAAGATTGGTTGGGATTAGGGGAAGGTTGTCGTCACTCACGCAGCGTGGTCGAAGGTCTTGTTGAAACGCTCGTGAACCCAAGGGTACTGAGTGGCGTGGAGTCTAAATTAATCCCATCCGTTAGCTTTGGTCCTTTCCGGGGTGATCGCACAATGCTCAATTCTCGGTTTCGGCGCGCCGGAAGCATTGTTGGGACGATCATCGATGGTGAATTTGACTCACCCTTCCTCAGCGGGTGTCATGGCGAAGGCCTCCTGGCCGTAGAGGTGGTAGTACCATGCGGTGGAACCGGCGGCGGCGGCGGTTGCGAGACCGGCAGTGAGTGTGAGGTAGAAGGGGGAGCTGGCGGCCTCGCCGGCGGAGGTGGAAGCGGCACGCTGAGGAGAAAATTAGCAACAGGGTCCTCCGATCGAGCAATGGATGCCCATATAATTGATTGGCCTCGTCGACCAAGGTCAATGGGGTGCAGTCGTACCGTGGACTTCCCGAGGGAGCGTGCGAAGGTCCGGTTGGACGCGCGCAGAATCGAACGTCCCAGCATGGCGAAATTTAACCCTCCAAGCAATTGAGAATGGATGGGAAGTAGTGCTGAATCGCCAAAGCGAGAGAGGGGTGGGTGGGGAAAGGGAGGATGAACAGGAGAGAGGTGCTCTTTGGAGGTTGGACGTCGAAGTTGCAAGTTTCTTCGTTGATGATTACCCCTTCGTTCTGATTGGCCAGACGACCCTCCGACCACAGCACGACGCTAGAAAACTGCCTCGTCGGAACTTCTTCTTTGTGCTTTGTTTGCCATTGCTGTCTACTGCATCTACTTGGGCTTTCAATTATCTTCTTTTACTAGCTTGGTGTTGCTGGTGTTGGGGGCTCCTGAATTTCGCTGTTTTTATCTTATTTTTCTTCGGCACAGCCCTTCCGAGTTTCACCGAGAGAACACGCATCACCGGAACAACAGAACCGTTCTAGTGCAAGAGCCTCTTCAAATCATGATGCTACTGATTTGATGACACTAGTATATCTAGAGGCTCTCTATTCCCCAGGTGGGAGACGGGATCTTCTTCCTCGCCCGGTACAGCACACGGTGGCCCCGTACCTTTATACTTCGACTCCATACTCCGTACTATCCGTTCATACTTAGTATGAACTTGTTTGGTTTGCTTTGTGTAAAAACAGAATATGGACTGGATGCAGGGACACAATACAGGTGGGACTGATCTAGTGGCAACCTCGGGAATCTCTCAATGGCTTCTTAAAAGGAAAAGATGGCCCAGACCTCGGGATATATAATGTCATGTTGAAATAGGTACCTGTCTTGTAGCATGCGCTTCCTTTTCAGATAGTACAAATTTCAATTCAGTTCGGACACACTCGTGGAGTCACTACAGCTGCTAATGACTGACCAGGTGTATCCTTCAATTCTTAGCTGAAGCAATGGAGCTCATCGCCATCGAATGACCCAAGCTCCCCGTTGCCACAGAGCGGTGTGATTCTGCCACGGGGAGGCGCTGGACCCTGTCCGTGCGCGCAAACAGACTGGAATGTTGTTCCTCAGTAATAACAGTTTTTGAACGATTTCGCCAGTGATTGGATGCGGGCAATGTCTCCATGAGCCTCTGGCACTAATTTGACCCAAGACAAGTTGTGGTTGTTCGATACCAAGATAAGACGGACCACCGCGGGGCCACCTGGAGTCCGAGGGTGTCTCAAATTACGGGCCACCGACTGCTTTCTGTTCCCCGATGAAGAGGTCAAGAACACACGATGCCAGGCGCAAAGAAAGGACCCGGAGCCGTGGCCGGACCACGCAGAGATGTGCTGGCCTCGCTGCGCATGGCATCAATGGAGGACATATCCAGAGCGGCTCTACCAGCAGGTGTGTAAAGATGACACGCGGTGAGCGAGCAGAAGATACTGACAAGCACAGAGATCGTATCCTCAATTCTCGACCATGTCGGCCCCGTTGATTTGATCCGAGCAGCGCGGTCATGCAAGCTTATGCACGAGATGGCGTACGATGACACTCGATGGGTACACAGGCTAAAACGGATCGGGTGCTGGGACGAAGCGGATGCGAGGAAACACGCCGAAGTGCTTTTGGAACGGTTGCCAACATGGAAGCTGTGGAACAGCAAGAGGAAGCGGAAACGGGCGATGGAAGCGTCCCCGCAATTACCGTCGGCGACGACCCTTCGAACGAGTTGAACAAAATGTCAGATGGGTTCGATAAGATTGATCTGGTGAACACATCATCTCAGTCCACTGCGCTGGATGACCTCACTCAAGACCCTAGCTTGGTGTGTTTAAAACAGACCAGGTCGATACGGGGCGAGGCTCGTCAAGAATACGGCAAGATCCATGCTGCATTGGCACCTTTCTACGATGACATTGCACGAAATGGCCCGTCAGCCCAGAATCTAGTCTTCACCAAATACCCAGACCCCCAGGCGCAAGCCCAGCTCTTGGCCCAATTGCTGTCATTCTCGAAATCCGATATCGAGCAAGGATGTGAACAGCGCCACGAACACTTGCAGAGCACAGTCTCTTTGTTTGAGACCGCAGCGCTCAAAGAGTTCCGCCAAGGATATGAATCCGAAGATGTTGACGGAACTATGCGGAAGTATGCTCACATCCTATGGACCCTCAATGGCGGACAATCTGCACTCGATATTTTTATCCATCACAATCATATAATGACACGAAAGTCAGATCTTGGGAATGTGGCTGATTGCATTGATGGCCAAGCCGGCACGGTCAAGATGGAACAGACCCAGGCATTTTTCACACGCCTCAGTGTCGCTTTCAATGATGAGATCTCTATCATGAACCGTGTCTTTCCTCCTGATCTGGACGTCTCATCGAAGTTCATGGAAAAGGTCGGACAAGATGTGCTATCCCCTTTTCTCACGGCAATATTCGACGAGCTGCATCGTGTCAGCATTGAAGCATATCTAACTGCGATCTCTGCGACCTTTGTGCAATGTATGAATCTATCGGAGGCCCTGCTTCCCACAAAGACCTCAGATGCCAAATATGACGAGTATCTTGACAACGTTGTGATCAAGATCTATGAACCGCATATCGATCTGTACTTGGCAGAGGAGCTAGATCATTTCAAGAAAACGTGCGAGGCCACGGTGCGGGATTGGGACCGGCAGCTTTCTGAACAAGCAGCGTCGACAGAATCTTTCCTGATGTCGAATATCAACAGGCAAGCCGACAAGCGAGACTTCCTCACATCTTTCAAAAAAGTGATCATGATGCCCGTGAACATTCTCCCGAGTTTCTCAAGCGCGAAACCAGAGGAGGCGAAATCAGAAACGGAGACCAGCAGTGATAATCCGTTCCAACCTCCCAAAAGCCCTAATCGTTTCTCGACAATATCTTCACCTGCCCCAGTGGCCGTTGAAGAGGTCCCGACCACAGAACTGGCTGCAAAAGCCGCCATTATGAAAGTGAAGATGGAGGGCATTCGATCCTTGTTCAGCATCGAGATTGCCCTTGGTCTAGTACATGCCGCCAAAGCCAGCCTGGAGAGAGCTGCCCAGTTCGTTCGACTTGGCGGTGAGCTTGCGCTAGCAGCAAAGCAACAGTGCGAGGCGATCTTCGTTACCCTGCTTCGCATTTTGGGACACCAGCACGTCATCGTAGGCTTCGACAAAGCCGTCAGCCACCTCTCCAACTACCGACCGCGCGAACAAGGTGAACGTGACCAGTCCGGTGTCGAGCCGCTGGTGACTTTCTTGGAATTGGTCAACGTCGGCGATCTGATCCTGCAGATGATGGACGTGTTCTACGAGCAAGAGTTAATCGGCTCAAGATTGACCGATCGAAACGACTTCTTGGATCCTGCAAATAAAGAGAAGAAGAAATTCGAACAGAGTCTCGATGAACGCGTCGCAGCTGGGCTGAATAAGGGAATTGATGTTCTCATGGAAGAAGTCGACTATATCCTAGCCACGCGCCAGCTAGCTACGGACTTTAACCCAGGTGTCTCCTCAGACCCGCACCGCCAAACCATGGACGTCGGCGTCAGCGAAGTTGCCACCGCCGTGGTCGACGTGGTTTCCTCGCACACCCAGATGCTAGTAGGAAGCACGGATAAGAGTACCCTGGATGTCTTCAATCAGGAAGTCGGTCTCCGCCTCTTCACCGCCCTTTGCAAACACCTGAAGCGCCAGCGCGTGAGTGTCGAGGGCTCACTCAAGTTGATCAGTGATATGAACCACTACTTCAAATATATCCAGACTCTGAGAAACAGCGAGCTTCTGCTATATTTCACGGCGTTCCGGGAGCTCGTGCAGATATACTTGGTTGACCCGTCTGATGCCAAGGAGCTGGCGAATCTCATTGCCGATGCGGATCGGTTCCATGGCATCTGGCGCGTGGAAGAGGTTATTGAATTTGCGGAGCGCCGTGCTGACTGGTACCAGGTCAAGCGTGATGTTGAACGAGCTATGTATGGCATTGGCTGCAATGTTATGTAAATGGATTCCGATACCCCGAATGCAGAGTATGGAGTTTGCTACTAGTCGGCTCCCTCAGAGCACATAGGTAAATACGAGAATAGACACTTATACCCGAGTACTTCTATACCTTCCTGTTGGGCACAAATTAGCCTCCAGATCTTCTTATGCTCTTACAACTTGAACATTTCCGAGGTTGTGGGCGGCTTAGCCAACCTTGGAACTAAGCCGGGACCTTCGTCCTAATTTGATCTCGGGATCTGATACCAAGGACGATCTCAATTTTAATCGGCATACTGTATTTCTAGGCTCACCCACATATCACATCCGTTGGCCAAGGTTACTTGCGACTCTATACCGTCGCTCGATATAGGTTGAAGTGAGCTCCGTCGCCCAACGCGTCCGAGTCTCATTTGAGAATAAGATAAAACGAAGTGGCACGGAACAATAAAATGTCACCAAAAGCGCTAATCTATGTCTAAAAATCATCATATGCAATGCTAGATGCTTGATTGCTGCAGATTCCCTTTGGCCAGCCCTAAAGCCAATGTGACGTTAAGGTCGGCGGCTGCTGGAACACCTAGTTGGGCCTGAAACCACCCCGACCCAACTATCGCTCTATCCCACTTGAAGTCTCCGACATGAATAAATTTGTGCAGTTAGCTTATATTCCACTCTTCCTCGTCTTCGTCCTAAGCGGTGTTGGTATTCCAAGCTTTCTCCCGCCAGCACTAAATATGCATCTCGTTTCTTTCACCCATTGTCCAACAATCTATTGACGAGACCATGAATTCCAAACACATTGAATGAAAGAACTAAAAATAGCCCAGCTTATTCACATCTCGATCCACGGGACACTATCGAGTCTGAAGGGACACCGTGGATCAACTAGGTCTGAATCGGATCAAAGCCTTGGTTCTGCAGCGTCAAAGCCTATTGTCACGACTCAAAGCACCGCCGGCGATTCGACCGCAAGCTGAATAAGAACTGGATTGTTCATAAGAAGGCTTCTTTTGCCAAAGCCATCTTTGTCCTCTTCATCTCCCCACACCTCGAAACAAGAACGACAATTCCATTATCTCATCATCTACCGGCATCCTCATACTTCACAACATCATATTAGCTACATTATCTTCCACATCACACTTCCTGAAGACTATCTCTTGCAAGTGAAGAAGATAATATACCCTTCATCTTGCGAATCCTCAATACCACAACCCAAGAACGACATTTTCACATCCTCGAAATGATGTTCAAGAACCTTACCGTCAGAGGATGCATGGCCATCTGCATCTTCCTTACAGTTCAGAGCGTGAAAGCCGTTGAGATGGAAGATATGACTCTCGTCGCAGAAGGACAGCCTACTGTTACCGTCACGGTTGTTGCTCCCGCAGTGCCAACTACACCCATGGACCCGTCCTATATTGACCCCACAATCTTCAAGAAAGAAATGCTTGATGTTTCAAATGACTATCGCCAGCAACACAGTGCCAAACCACTCGTATGGAACGATACCTTGGCAGAATACTCCAAGAAATGGGCCGAGAGTTGCGACTTCGTTCACTCAGTAAGTTTCCTCCCCCAACCAAGACCCCAACGCAAAACTGACAACATATATAGCATGGCCCCTACGGCGAGAACCTCGCCTACGGCTTCAATACCAGCGACGCCGCAGTCAAAGCCTGGGGCGACGAACGCGAATTCTACAACTTCACCCTGCCCACCGGTTTCGCCAAAGCAACAGGTCACTTCACGCAGCTGGTCTGGAAAGCCTCACGCCAAGTCGGATGTGCCGCTGTAGACTGCGGATATACCGTGAAGAAGAAGACAGTCGAAGGGAAGAGAAACCTCGAACCAGATTTCGGTCCCGACTCTGTTTCTCAGGAGCCCTATGACTTTGAAGATCTGGATCTGGCCAAGCGTGATGGTGAAGAGAAGCCACGCGCACAGGGTTGGTATTTGGTCTGCGAGTATGAGCCCTATGGGAATATTTATGGAGACAACAATAAGTCGTTTAAGAAGAATGTTCTTCCGCAGAAGGTGGAGACTACTACGACAACTGCTTCGTCGACTAGTACTGCTGTGGGTGCTGAGCCTTCGAAGAATGCGGCTACGTCTACTACTTCGCCTCTTTCTTTGCACACTGGTGGTGCTTTTAAGGCAGGGCTTGGTTCGACGGCTGGTTTGCTGGTTGTGTCTATGGGGACGGTTTGCGTTGGGATGGGATTGTATGCTTGATCGACTTGGGATTCGTGCACTTTCAAGGCTGGAGTTTGGGGTTGAAGTGATTTTGATGGGACATTATATTGCTATAGGGTCCAGGGGATATACAAGGGCGTTGGTTTTGAGATTTGGTGATTTTCTGGGATACACAATGCTGTTAAATGATCAGCTTTCTTGATATATGGACACGGCTTAGCCAACCGTTTTGCTATTGATCGAATATGATCGAATACTACTATTGCTTGAACAATATTGGAAGTGACCTTGACATAATGAGTAGATACCTCTAGATTGGGTTCAACAATGTGCTTACTTGTAGATATCGTATGTTCCAAGAACCGGATGATGTACACTGTCTAGCTCGAGGGACTGTTCGAGACTTGCTAACGGGTGAACGTAGCTTTTTTCAGAGGGAGCAGAAACACAAGGTTATCCGAATGTTGCCATAATACTTTTTGCTCAGTTCCAACCTTGGAAGGACCTCCAGGGCTGGTTGTAGACTTGACACCCTCGGGCCACCCTCGGGGCCACCTGGGCATGAGCGCATCAAGTTACTCATCTTGCCAAGGTGGGCACCTTGATTTGATAGAGACCAGCGTAAATGCCCAGAGAGATCCCACAGATCTTGCGTTTACAGATATTCCCTATTCATGGATACCTATGAATAGAACAAGGTTGAACTTCACTAGGAACTGGTTTCGTAGCCATCTCTCATGCTTATCCACATTGCACATTTCGTCGGGCACACCGATCTATTGAATTTTGGAATGTCCCGATCCTCGCAGGGCTTGCCCAGGGGACCTAAAAGAAACACAAGGGGGACAGAAGGCTGGGCGCAAAACGCCAGCGTCGAAACAGGGGGAAAAGAGGAACAAAAGGAAACACATTATTTGCGAAAATAGACACTGATTCATCCAATGACCTCCTCGGTCTCTTCGACAATCTCTTCGACAATCTCCTCGACCACCGAGTCGCCCTGGTCCTCGATAACGGGACGGGCGTCGCGGGCGGCCTTGGGTGAATCTGCGTCTTCGGGGAACCCAAGAACCTCCTTCTCCTCGGCCAGGAGCTCCTTCTCGCGACGGAGCCATGCGAGCCACTCGCTGAGCACACGCTTGCGGGTCTCGACAACGGCGGTGTTGGCAATGTCCACGGCGTACTTGTCCTCCTCGTCGAACTCCTTTGAGTATTCGCGGAGGTTCTTGCGCACTTGCTTTTGTTCCTCCTTGCTGAGGAGGGTGGCGGGGCGCGGGCGCCAAAGGAATTGCTTGAACTTTTCGGTGGGGTTTTCGGAGAGGGTGGTACCGGAGAAAGTGTGCATGTTCCAGCCGTTCTCCATCTGTTATACTGTTAGCATGATACACTGACGCAAAAAAAGTGAATATATCTTACGGAGTGTGTCCAGACACTGGCGCTACTGACGACGTAGCGACCAGTTGAGTCCCAGTCAATATCAGTAACACCGTAGTGCTCGGTAGTCTTCATAAGCTGAAGGTTGGCGGCAAGGTCCTTCTCAGCCTCGTTCTTCTCGCCCTCGAAGTCCATGTCCCAGAAGTCCATATCGAAGCTGGTCTGGGAGTGAACGGTGGCGACAATAACGAAACGTCCCTTGGGGGACCAGTAGATGCCGTTGCTGGTCTTCTTATCGACAGTGCGGACCAGCTTGAAGTTGCCGAATAGGTGACCCTTCTTCTCGGGTGCGAAGAAAGAGACAGAGGTCTTGGGAGCGACGGCAGCACCTTGGGGTGCCTCGCCGTTTGTGATAGCAACGAATCGTGATCCATTGGGCTCCCAGGCAAAGTTAATAACGGTGTCCTTAAGACTGTCGACGACCTCGACGGGAACACCCTTCTCGCGGACGCGGAAGATCTCCAGGTTGGTAGCCATGGACTTCTTTGACTTGGAGTGACGGTCGACCTTGACGCAGACGTAGGTACCTTGTGATTGCCAGTGCAGCTTGACATCGGAGACGTTGAACAGGTTACGGGTACGGACAACCTCCTTGGAGGGAACGCTCATCATACCGACACGGGCGGGGTTGCTGCCAATCTCGGGGGTCCAGAAGCAGAGGAGTTGCTCGTACTGCTTAACACCCTCGCGGGCAACGGTGGCTGGAGACCACTCGAAGTCCATAACGCCATCGATCTTGACGGCAGAACGTCCGAGGAGGTTCATGTTGGGGAGCTCGTAGATGGAGATTGACTGGCCCTGGAGAATACGGGCAACGTACTTCTCATCGGAGGACCACTTGAAGGCGGGCCATTGGACCTTCTTCTTAGGGGCGACATCGCCGTCGATGGCGACAGGGGCAGCGAGATCGTGCGATACGAAAGAACGGAGGGGCTTTCCAGTCTCGATATCCCAGATAATGATGTTCTTGCCGTCCTCCTCGTTAGTCAGAATGGGTTGGCCTTCCTCGACCTGGATGGGGCGGGCGGACCACGTTGTCAAGTAGCCCTCAAGTGGAGAGAACTCGATCAACTGCACGAAGGGGTGGGGGAACTGCTTTTGCTTGGAGAAGGATTCGCCTCCCCAGAGTTGGACACCCTGGGGGTGGACTGAGGCGAGGAAGGTACCCTTGGGAGACCATTGGACGAAAAATTGTGTCCAGTGGGCGCGATCGACGACATTCTCGGGTGGGTTGCTCTTGTTGTTCCAGAAAACACCAACTTTGTCGTTGCGGTATAGAGCAAACTGATCACGGGCGTTGGAATCTCCGATCCACGAGCGCAGGTGCTCCTTCTCCTTGAATGGCTCCAGGGTGGGGGCCTCGTACTCCTCGTTGACACGGCCTGTGCGTCCATAGCGTTCAATATCATTCAACTTGTTCACGCGCATGATGTTCTTCTTATCGACAGCGACATTGTCCAGTCTCTTGACGGCGGTCGCAGCTTGTTCGGCGGTCTTGTATTCCACGAAGGCAAACCTGCATAATCCCAATAAATATTAGAAAATCATCCACCGAGCCTCATATTTCCTGTTCTGGATCGGATACGCACCCTTCGGTCAATTTGGTGTCGGCGTTGATAGGCATGAACACCGCATCGCTGGTGGTGACGAATTCTTCGGTGGGAGCCTCTTTGTTAGGCTTGGAGATTTTGTGTTTCAACAAGAAGTCCACGAGCTTCGCCCGGGTTGCCTCGGGCACCTTGGGGAGGCCATCGATAACGACGAATGTGTCCAATCCCTCCTCAGCCTGAACTTCGTACTGCGCCTTGAGATCTTCACATCAAATTGTTAGAGAGGGGCACGGAGACCAGAAATCGCTCTAGTACTCACCGGAGAAGTCAATCTCCTCCTCCTCCTCTTCGTGCAAATCCTGCTCGGACAGGGTGTCGAAACTGGGCGCCATGATGGGTATTTGCGAATACCAAAGGCGTCTATAGGTTTCGGAGCAAAGATAGATCGGTGTAGTCCGCTGTTGGATTTTCGGGCAGAAACAAATCGCGGACGCCAAGCAATTCTTTGTGCGGACTGACATAAGCTCAGAACATCTTTGCAAGATTTGCAGTGTTTGCAGTGTTTGCATCGGTTTGCGCTGCTTCGTCAAATTGGGATTAGCGTCTCTCCCTATCCAATGGAAAGCTGCAGGGTCTTTCCTACCACACTCTACAGAGCCATTACCTCCAGCATCACCCACCGTTGTTGACTGAACCGATAGATTCGTTGATGGCTGTGCGGCCATTCAATCGGAGAATATCTCAACGTGGTCCCAGATTCTCCGATGCATGTTTTCATGGATCCACATAGATGTACAAACACTTCCTAGCTTGAGTCTCTCCAAGCTTCTTAGTATCTCGAGAGCTCAATGCACTAGAGGAATACGATACAAAAAGAATCCATCCTACCACCCTAAAATCCACCTACAATACGTATAGGGACTGACGGGAGAGAGCAAGAAGATCATACTGAGTGATACTTCTACGGTATTGTCCACCCTAAACCTAGCTCCGTGTTATGTGATACCTACCAAATAAAGAAGCTAGAATGACACCAAGGCTTGCCCCTGTCTACCACCAAGACATCTTTTATTTTGAAGTTCACAATACTGTGAGACTATAAGACTTAGGTAGTAAATCTGCAGGAACTGTAGTGACACGTGACTGCTTACGTTATTTCCCCAGCTTGAGGCCCGTCAATCATCATAGATGCTTCTGGAGAGGCTCTCAATTGTGTTCAATCTACCTTTTCCCTGCATATATATATGCCCAGCTCCTGATTTACCTCATCTTTGTCGCCTTTTGGTTATTAACCAGCTTCTCCCGCCCTCATTCTACCCACCACGCTGTCTCTAATGCCCCGCCGCTGTTAAGCGCCAGTGCGACTTGAGTATAGCCCACCTGACAACTCCGAGCTCCTCTTCGACTAGCCTAGCCTGTCACACACCCTTCAGTCTCCCCAATTGCGCCTCGAAATTCTCAGCATTATCGCGAAACACGGCAGCCGGGATCCAGCATTGCGATCAACTTCAACAAGATGTCATGTAAGCTACCTCGGCGTTGTCCCGGTGTCAAGTGCCGGCGGTTCCCCAACCCTGCTAACCGCCCTGCGATATCGCGCAATAGTATCCTCAGAGTTGCGCGACAAGTATACCACGATCATCGATGACATTTTGGTCAAAAGCGACTTGACCACCATATCCGAGAAGCGGATTCGCAAGGGTCTACAGGATGTCGTCGGATATGATCTCACTCCGCAGAAAGTCAGTCAACCAAAACGATCTTTCGCGCACCACTTGATCGAATCTCGATAGGATCTTTTTGCGACGAAACATGGCTGACAGACAGTAAGGCTGCGATAAAGCAGCTCATTATGGAACGCTTCGATCGGTATGCCGAACAGGATGGTCTTGGCGGGTCACCGGAGGAAACAGCTACTAGCAATGGCCAGCGCGATTCAGCTTCAGCTGCAGAGCCATCTCCTCCTGCTTCGTCATCTCCTGTGAAGCGTCAGGCCTCCAGCGAGAACACCTCCGAGCCTGCAAGCGCATCGCCGCCCGCCAAGAAACAGAAGCCCGATGACAAGTTCGATGCTGATGCCGCTTTTGCCGCGAAGCTGCAGGCCGAGGAAAACTCGCGCGCTCGGCCCACTAGAGGAGGTAACACTCGTCGTGCGGCTCCATCTAAAAAGAAAAGCAAGGCCAAGACCTCGAAGAGGGTGAAGGCCTCTGATGATTCGGATATCGCTTCCGGCGAAGAGACCAAAAAGGAGGTCAACCGGAATACTGGATTCCATGTATGTGAAAACGTTCCGTCAGTTTCATTGATCTTTCCTACTGATCCTAATCGCTATACAGAAACCACTCAATCTTTCTGAGCCCCTGTCCGCACTCTTGGGGGAAGTCACGGTGAGCGGCCCTTTCTGTTTGACACCAGGATCTCTAGACTAAACTTTTCTCTCTAGCTTTCACGGCCACAGACAGTGAAGAAGGTATGGCAGTATATTCGTGAGAATGAGCTTCAAGATCCCAGCGACCGCCGTCAGATTCGATGTGATGACGCTATGCGCGCTGTCTTCAAGCAAGATCGCGTTCATATGTTCACCATGACGAAAATCTTGAATCAGAACCTGTACAACCCCGATGAATAGTCATGGTTTTGGAGAAAGCTTTTATACTGGAAGAACGGGCTCCAGTCCAAGTCCTGTTTCTTAACGATTCTCCTTGGTCTTTCTTGATAGGTCTTTTTTTGCGATGCATGGGGATGCTGGCGCGAATTTTTAGCAATTTACATCCGCCATTGTTTGATATTTCCTGAGGTCGACTTTGCTTTCCTTCAATGTGATATGTGATGTCGGTCCACTGACGCTGTAGCCTCAGGGTCCTCGATTTTGTTCTAGGACCCTTGAGCACATCCATCCTACATAGGTGTAGAACATATGATCTTCATATATGAAAGCTGATAACTTCCTCAATGGATAACCATGGAAGCCAGGAAGTCAGCATGCTGGCCGCCGCTACAGTGTAGAGGGATTCAGACGGCCACACAACTATCCATTTGACAAGCACGACCGCATTACCGACATGAATTTTGTGGAACTGACCACCCGCATATTCCGAATGTGAGGCTGAGTTCTTTGTTTGAGGTGAGACCAACAGCGCGTGGAGGTCGCCGGCCATAGAGCCGCCTCCAATACGGGATGCGGGATCAGTCAGCGACATACCTGGATTTTTTCCGTAGTCTCTCCCCCACCACTCTCCACAATCTAAGAGCTCTACAGCTCCAATCACCTTGCCACTGGCATCAGAAGCCCCCTCCGCGATACCTCTACCACCCGCCCATTCATTCCCGCCATGGCCGACAACCAGACCCCCCCCTACAGCACCCAGCCAACGTGGCGGGCGTCGTCGCGGTCGTGGAGGGGCAGCTCCCCCGGCCGTGGGGACTCACAGCCAAATACCGATGGCGAAAAGCGATCAAAGCCTCGCACCCGGGGCAGTGGTCGAGGTGGAGGAGATTCCGGCCGCCAAAACCGCACCACCGATGAGAAGAGCAGCAAAGTCCCGCAACCCAAGTCTACGGTGACGTCGACAAAGAAGCCAGTGGAAGCTGCCACCGACGATGCAGACGATGGCGAAGTCTGCTTTATTTGCGCCTCAGCTGTTGAGCATACCTCGGTCTCCCCTTGCAACCACCGGACGTGTCATATTTGTGCGCTTCGACTGCGCGCACTATACAAAAACAAAGCTTGTGCTCATTGTCGGGTATGGTCACCTTGCAGGTCATTCTACGGCTGCATCATTTGATGTTTATACCTTGCTGGTTGGAACCTTCATGCTGACATTTCCTCTAGACGGAATCAAATTACGTTATCTTCACAGATGATCCAGTACGGCGATATGAGGACTTTAAGAAAAAGGACTTCGCTCGAACCGACGAGAACTTGGGAATCGAGTATGAGAATGACGTGATTTTTGAAGACACTGTGCTCTTACTTCGGTATAACTGCCCAGACGAAGATTGTGATGTGGCATGTCTGGGTTGGCCAGACTTGCATCGCCATGTCAAAAGCAAGCACAACAAAATGATGTGGTATGTTGAACGGAGAGTACAGGCGACTCTTGAACTTTCAGCTGACCTTGCCTCAACAGCGATCTATGCACTCGTAACAAAAAGGTCTTCACACACGAGCATGAATTATTTACGGCTGCTGAGCTACGAAAACACGAAAAGTCTGGCGACGACAAGCCTGGTGCTATAGATCAAAGTGGCTTCAAGGGTCACCCTGAGTGCGGTTTCTGTCGCCAACGATTCTACGGTGATGATGAGCTGTACGCCCACTGCCGTGATAAACATGAACGCTGCCACATCTGTGACCGACGCTCTTCCCACCGCCAACAGCAATACTACATTGATTACAACGCCCTCGAGAAGCATTTCTCAAAGGACCACTTCGTCTGTCTTGATCAAGAATGTTTGGAAAAGAAGTTCGTCGTCTTCGAATCTCAAATGGATTTGAAAGCCCACCAGATCGAAGCCCACCCAGAGGGTCTTTCAAAAGATATCCGCCGAGACGCGAGGATGGTTGACCTTGCTGAATTTGACAACATGCGAACACCATTCCAGCCGCAACGCCAGCGCCGCGGAGCTGGCCGAGGCCGTGACCCCAACGCTGAGCCCTTGCCACAATCCAGTGCCCAGCCAATGACCAGGGCCGAAATCGCTTACCAGCGTCAAATGGAGATCCAGAGCTCGCAGTCTGTTTCCACACGAAACTTTGGTGGTCAGCTTACTCGAGAAGACGTTCAACCTGTCCGTGCCCCTGAACGCTCCGCCGCTGCCACTCCAGTTCAGTCTACCCCAGCCTCACGTCAACCACTTCCCACTGCAGCATTCGAAAACCTCAACCTTGGTGCCAACTCTGCACCCGCTACTCCCCAAGAACAGGCGCGCCGCCTGCGCCATGAGACTGTAATCCAACGTGCCTCCAGTCTCCTTCGCAACGATGCCAATAAGCTCGCCGAGTTCCGTAGCAGAGTGTCCAGCTTCCGCGCCTCATCACTCTCAGCAACCGAGCTTATTGATGCCTTCTTCTCGTTGTTCGACACTTCCAGCACCGAGCTAGGAAAGCTCATTAAAGAACTCGCTGATATTTACGAAGACGAGTCAAAGCGCTCTGAGCTCTTACGCTCTTGGAATGACTGGCGTGCCATCAACGAGGACTACCCGGCTCTCCCAGGGCCCGGTGGCCTCCTTCCTGGCATGTCACCCAGCACCCTAAACACCGGCGGCAGCCGTGTTCTTCGTCTGAAGTCATCGACTGCCAGATCTTCACGCTCCGCTGTCGGCAAAAGTGGATCCCTTCCAACTGCCTCCTCCAACCCATTCCCCCCTCTTTCTGCCGCAGCCGGCTCTTCTTCTCGCCGCGGCAAAGCTGCCGCCGCGACCCCCTGGGCTGCAGCGCCTCCCCCTGCCCCTGCATCGCGCCCCGTGATGTCAACACCTACCAGCTCCTACTCAGCCCCGTCCTCCAGTCGCGCTCCTGCTGCGCCAGCCCCCAGGAGCGCAGATGCCTTCCCATCTCTCCCTGCGGCCGCCAAGCCTAATGTGCTCATGGCCGGAAAGACCCGCGGTACAGTTCGTTGGGACAGCAAGGTCGGTCCTTCCACGAACGCGTGGGGTTCAAACCCGAGCTCCGGCACTGCATCTCCCGCCGAGCCGAACAACGACAGTGAATCTGGCACTGGAAAGAAAGGAAAGAAGAACAAAGGAAAGCAAACTTTGTACCATTTCGGTTAGATGGGAGTTCTTGACTAGATATTGTTGTGATCCTACAATTGGCTAGAATCTGACCCCGTAACGTACATAGACGATAATATGCCTCCGGCTGGGTTTCTTGGTGTTCTTTTGTTGTACCTAGCGACTACAGATACACTGCATTGTACAGAGGTTGTTTGATAGAATTTTTATTCTACTTGCTATTGTATATTTGGGCATTAGGCAATATTGCGACCGAAAGTCCACCCTCGGCACTATAGAAATACCTTGACAAAACCTCAAATATCGGGTAGGAATATGAGAGTGAAACTCACTGAGGACCAAATGTGTTTAACCCAGCTCAACTTCATCGCCAGCGTCATGTTCGGACTCCGACTGTGACTGAGAGCCCACAACGAACGTCTGAGAAGCATGAGTGTCCACACTGGCATTATCATCATGAAGACCGAGCTCCTGAGACTGTCGACCAGAACCCACATTTTCAGAAGCATGTCGGTCGGAACCTTCTGAGCCGCCCTCGTCACCATCATTCAGTTGCATTTCGCGATTGATAGCAGTCATACGCAACGCAAAATCATCTTGCATTTTCACCAACAAAACCCGAAGAGCCGCATCATCCATACTCTCCTGACGAACCAGCAATAGTTGTTCCCGAAGCGACAAGAGCAACTTACGTTTCTGAGCAATCGCCAGAGCACGCGATGGGCTATTTCGTCGCCTAGCCAGTCGATCCATTTCTTTCGATACCTCACGCGCCTTGCTCCACACAGCTTCAGGCAAATCAGCAATCTGTGCAAGAGCAATACCATATCGACGATGCGGAACAGGTCCCTCCGTGATGCGATACTGCATGGTCATTTTGGATGAATCCGGCGCAATATCAGCAGCGAGATGAAGATTGATGACGCCGCTGCGTTGGGCAAGAATCTGAGCCAGATCATGGAAATGGGTTACGAACCAGACTAGCGCGTTACTCGAAATGAGCGCTTCGGCTAGAGCAATGGCGATGGCTAGCCCGTCTGTTGTGCTTGTTCCGCGACCTAGCTCGTCAATGATTACCATGCTGCGTGGCTGGATGTTACGCAAGATGAAGGCCATTTCGCGCATTTCTGCGGCGAAGGTTGAGACGTTGGCGTCTAGATCGTCTGATGTGGCGATGCGGGCGAAAAGCTGGTGGGAAATTGGGAATGAAGCGTATTGGGCTGGGACAAAGCTGCCTATTTGTGCCATTACTGTTGTCAAGGCTAGTGAGCGGATGTATGTTGATTTGCCGCTCATGTTGCAACCTGTGATTATCTGAAACCGTGTCTGGGGCGTTGCGAATGCATCATTTGGGACGAATTTAGCAGAGTGAATCTGTTCGCGGATGGGATGGCGTCCTGCCCTAATGGCTAGGGTGTCTGTTAGCTCGGGTCGGATGTATTCGTAGTTCGTTGCTAGTTGTGCAAATGCACTGAGCATGTCGAGCATTGCAATTGCTTCGCTGACTCGGAATAATCCGGAGATTTCGGTGCAGACGTCCCGTAGCAGATCTTGGATAGCCTCGTTACTCATATTGATAACTTCGCTGTGGGAGTCTGTGATCCTTTGGTTGAGTTTCACTAGATCAAGTGTCTGGCATTCAATGAAATTGCGCTTGCGATACACATTGACGAAAATGTCGGGTAGTGGACCTTGATGTTTTGCCGGAATGCAGATGTAGTAGTGCCGGGCTGTGTCGTACTTTAAGTCCAGGGTTATATCGCAAGTCTCTGGGACGTGTTAGAACGTTATGCACAATTCTGATCGGAGCTTGCCTGATAATTTCTCAATCAGCTCTGTGGCATCTGTATTCGCCTCTTTATAGGTCTGACGGGCAACATCAAGCAGACTATTGACGCCAGCCTAGGAGTTGTTAGTGATAACAAACCATGGAAATTTACCCAAGATGTCTGACCTTGACACAGTAGATGCGTTGGTTTCTCAGGTCGAGTGGCTTCGACTGATATGTGACATGCTCATTCAAGGTCCTCCTGATGAGCTCCTCAATAGCACGATGGCCATCCGGTGCGCATAGCTTAGAGAAGTCAGTTGGGCCAAGACACTCAACATTGCCGAGTGCCTACTTCGCGGATCGTGCGCAGCAGATCACTTTGTGCTGTCGCCAGGGCCTGGAAGATAGACTTGATCGCAGAAACATAGGTCTTGAGCATAATCACGTTATTGACTGATTGTTCGACATATTGAAGTGTCTGTTTGGTAGGAACCAGGATGATCTTGGAAATCTTTAGCACGTAAGCTTCACAGTGTCACGGAATACTCTACCGCAGTTAACACTTTATCTGCATCGACGAAGCCCTTGAGCGCTTGTCTGACAGAAATAAACATGTCTTCCTTGGTAGTCAGGTCTTCCACGGCGTTGTATCTTGCAGTCAGTTTTACTCGATCCGTTGAAGGCTGTAGGATGCTCGCCCGAAGCAGTCTCGCGCCCATGGGCGTCAGTGTCTCATTGAGGAGGCCGAACAGGCTTTGCTTGGATTTGGCGTTTTGTAGATTCTGTATGAGCTCAAGTGATACGATAGTTGCGAGGTCAATTGTCATAGATCCCTCCGACGGTTCGAACCGAATACGCAGCGAATGCAACGTAAAAGATCGCTGAAGCTCAATTTCAACATACTTCAGAGCCTGTAAGAAGTGTCAGTAATGATCTAGAGTATTATCGGAGGTTCATACTGCTGCAAAGCAACAAGCTGCGAAATAGTTCCCGCCCAGAGTTACTTTCAGCGAGTCGATCTCTTCTGGAAATGAGAGTCGTTCCACATATTCGTGACTTGTCTTCTCAGACCACCATCTGCGATCTAAAAAAGTGAAAATTGGATCTGGCAGGTTCTCTTGGATGATATAACGGAGCTTAGACTCTTTGGCCGTGTTCATGAATAGTATCTCGCTGGGCTCGAATACCCCGATCTTGATGATCGTCTTGACGTAGGTCTGGCTGTCACAAATCTGACATAAAACCGCCTCAGCTGTTGCAAGATTGATGAATGCAAGGCCAACTGTAGATGAAACGCCCCGCGATTCACTGACAGCGCAGATGATGTCCTGGGATGCGACGCTGGTAGCAGTTGTTGTCGCTCTTGCTGTTGGACGTTTACTGGTGGCTCTGGAAACCAGGCGACCGGCTGGTTCTAGGGAATTCGATACATCGAACGAATAATCCGACATCTTGAAGTTCCATCAGAATTGGTCTTGGAGTGGAAGTGTTGATGGCGGGTTGATGGATTGGGCCAAATGATAGCGATAAGAGCGATAAGCATCGAGATAATTTTGCCCGTCAAAAATTCTCTCCTCCCTCACGACGTCAACTTTCAACCATATCTAAACCATGGCGACTTTGTATCCTCCCCCAAGCAAGCGCCAGAAGCTCGCTCAGGCCGAGCGCGCTCGCGAGCAGCAAGAACTTGAGACTATTCCCTCCGATTTGGGTAGTGTCCGAGTCCAGTTCTACGATCAAGCAACCGGACAGCCCACCGGACCTGCAGTCTCGGTGCCCGTCGCCGATGCCAATGTCAAGAACCTCGAGACTCTGTTGAACACACTACAAGGAAATGTAAGAACTTCTAATTATAGCGCTCTTTAATTGTTGTCGGTGGTGTTAATCGCCAATCTACAGGAAGATGATGAGCGGGTACCCTACCGCTTCGCCTACCACTCTGAAAAAGAAGGAGAAACAATTGACATCCTCCGTGATGTGTACCACTCTCTCCTCGAGCCCGGAGTCAAGACAACCGAAGACACAGTATCTCTCTTCTACACACCCCAGGCGGTCTTCCGAGTGAAAGCCGTTTCGCGATGCGCCGCCTCTATCGCGGGGCACGGCGAAGCCATCCTGGCAACCTCATTCTCCCCCATCAACTCCTCCACCATGGTCTCCGGAAGCGGAGACAACACCGCCCGTGTGTGGGACTGCGACACCGGAACCCCGCAACACACTCTCAAAGGTCACACCAGCTGGGTGTTGGCAGTCGCATACTCGCCCAACGGTGCAATGATCGCCACTGGTGGTATGGATAACACTGTGCGCTTCTGGGACGCGAAAAAGGGTACTGCTCTCGGCGGTCCACTCAAGGGCCACTCAAAGTGGATCACGAATCTGGCCTGGGAGCCATATCATGTGCAAGAGTCTGGACGGCCGCGTGTGGCGTCTGCCTCCAAGGACTCAACCGTGCGAGTTTGGGACGTCGTCTCCAGAGTCATTGATCATGTGCTTACTGGCCACAAGTCCTCTGTTACTTGCGTGCGTTGGGGTGGAACCGGCAAGATCTACACTGCGTCCCATGACAAGACCATTAAGATCTGGAATCCTAAGGACGGCACCCTGCTGCAGACGCTTTCTGCGCACGCTCACCGTGTCAATCATCTTGCTTTGTCTACTGACTTTGCTCTGCGCACTTCTTACCATGACCACACTGGCAAGGTCCCTGGGACCGAGGCTGAGAAGAGAGCGGCTGCCAAGAAGAAGTTCGAGGAGGCAGCTACAGTGAACGGCGCCATTGTCGAGCGGTTGGTCTCAGCCAGTGACGATTTCACAATGTACTTGTGGGAGCCGTCCGCTTCCAACAAGCCCGTTGCACGCATGCTGGGTCACCAGAAGGAGGTGAACCATGTCACCTTCTCGCCTGACATGGCCTATATTGCCTCAGCCGGATTCGATAACCACGTCAAGCTTTGGAATGGCCGTGATGGAAAGTGAGTGTTATTAAAGATTTGCAACATCCAAACATCAACTAACTAGACCAGATTCATCACTACCTTCCGTGGTCACGTGGGTGCCGTGTACCAGTGCTGTTTCTCCGCCGACTCCCGCATGCTGGTGTCTTCGTCAAAAGACACTACTCTGAAGATTTGGGATGTGCGCACCGGCAAGCTCCGCATGGACCTTCCCGGACACAAGGACGAGGTCTTTGCCGTCGACTGGAGTCCCGATGGACAAAAGATCGGCAGTGGAGGTAAAGACAAGCAGATCAAGATCTGGCGGAACTAGACTTTGCCACTGAGATTGGCTTCAAATGTTGTTTTTTCACAAACAGCTAGGCATGCCGCCTAAGCTGAATTCACATTGGAGACGGCCGGCTAATGTCCAACACTGCTGACAAGCATACACTCTCTTATGACAACCTCGACTGGGAGGAACCCGACCCCGAAGCTTGATCCTTCGTGGGTTCGCTTCCAGTCATGCTTTGGGTCTGCTTAGCAGCTGCTTCTGTCGCTATATAAGCCGGTTCCCTCGAACGGATGGCGAACCACGGGCTCGAGCATGTAAATATTGTGTCGAGCCAGCCTCTGCGAGTACAGCATGGATTTTAGACGGTACCTCGACGTAGACTATCTTATGTCTATTCTATATACTTCAGCGCACAAAATATCCAGGACATTCTATGTACTTAGTGACATCTCATGAACATCATTTTTCAGCGCATTCTTCCAAAAGTTCCAAGGTTCTGAATATGTGCGAGATCCATGGATCAAGTATACTCCCCGCGTCGTTCATCTCGGACTACATTTCCGGGGTATGACCCAATCTTCTAATAATAGACAAACCTTGGAACTCGACAGATCCCTGGAGCCGTTAGCCGATGACCGCATGCATGTAAGACAAGTGCAACCCATGCTCATGACCCCTGCAGCCACTGACGCCAACCCTTGGAAATGTCTCTAAACGGCCCCGATCCACCGCGGCGGGATCCAAGGTTCCATCTGAGCGTTCTCGAAGCTATTATCGAGAACGACCTCCGAGGTCGGGAGGCTTGATACACACAATCTTCAATAATCCGTAGCTCACAATCATTGACAACATTCTACAAAGCCCAAAGTATCATGTATCTCCAAATTTGTGTTTACAGAACAAGACGAGAGAAATAAAAAAGGTATCGTCATTGAATATCGAAAACGAAGACACAGACCTACAAGCAAGAACGCAGGCTCAATAACATGAATAAACCGCAAACATTGAAAATAAACAGTGAAGACACTAATCAACCCCAATCTCAAATTTAAATATACTGCCAAGCAGGAACATCCCCATTATAAGGCAACGCCATAGCCGAGAATCCCAAACACTCCTTGACATCACCCTTAGGAACAGTCGCATTCGCAATAGCCGCGAAAACCTGCCATTTCGCATCCTCCGTAGGACAAGCCATGAACCCACTAGCGCCCCATCCATTGAACGAGTAATGAGCCCATGGCTTATCGGGACTATACACGAAAGGCCCGACAGCGGAGCCCGGGGGAATGTTAGCTGAGTGGGCCTGTGTGAAGCTCAAAGCGCCCTTGGGGTCGACGTAGACTTGTTGACCGCCTGGAACGTTGACGTCCTGGAACTTGGTGTTAGTGGGGAGTTTTTTCTTCTGGTAAATTAAAGACCTTATGCATGTGCATGGGGTGGGAATGGGATGGGCTTACAAGGGAGGCACCGCCGGGTGTGAAGATTGTTTGGTTTCCTGGTGGGCAGTTGGGGACTTGGTCCGGGCAGTAGGAGGCTGTTTCGCCGCCGAGGTAGAATTTCTGGCCTGCGGCGTTTAGTTGGAGGTAATGGATTGGTGAGGCGGAGCGGGCGGCCATGACGCTGAAGTTTGGGTTTGGGGTTGGGTCGCTAGCTGGGGCGGCGGATGCTAGGAGGGGGAGGGCGAGGGGGAGGGCTGTGGTGAACTTCATTGTTGAAGATGTAGATGGTAGATGTAGATATAGATATAGATGTTGGTAGAAGGGTTGGAGGTTGGTTATTTGTGTAGAATGTAGTAGAGTTGGAATGAATTGAATTGGAATGTGCAGTGAATGAATCAATCCGAGCAGAGCGAGGGAGTGTTTATATAGATTCAGATTCAGGAGAAAGGCATAAATAGATTGCACATGGAGATCGAACCACTCGACCCATGGGTCGCAACAGATTGAAACAGATAGATTGGTTCCTCCGTCATGGACTATCGGCTATGACCGATTTCACCGATTCGAACGCGGAGAGACCGAGAAGTGGCGATAATTGGACATTCGAGTACTTACTGTGAGACATTTGGTATCCAGCATGGAGCATTTTGCGATTATAATTATCCTCATGTAACGGTGATGCTACCGAGCAAGTAGAATACATCGCCCTAAAGCAACAAGTGAGACATGACGAAGGGTCAAGGAGCTGCACGCCAAGACGCGGAGGAAAGGCCCTACGAGCGTCCGAGTGGCTGCTCGGAGTGCGGGTTGGAAAGAAAGTGGATTTGAGGTTGTGATGATGGGCTCCTGAATGGCTGTCGGTGCTTCGGGTAGTTTGCTGGCGTGAAGATCTGCAATCCCTGTCTCAGTCTTTCTGCACCTCCGCTACTTCATCGCTCTTGGCTTTCGTATTCCAAGACTTGGTTTGATCCGATGGTTCTCGGATTTGTTCGATACTCGCTTACCAGGTTTTCCATTTTCCTGATATTGATCCATGACGCAGTGGTTTAGCTGCGCACTCATGCCAAAGTGCAAAGTGCAAAGAGCAAAGTCCATTGAACTTGAACCACCTCTTTACTCACAAGGATATACACACGCCACATCCTACCACTCACCTACAGTCTCAGAACTGTAACTGCGATATGCAGTACCCCTGCGGTTCGGGTATACTAGCCGGCCGTATAGCCGGTCAACAATGCAATTGCCCCCCGCGGGAAGCTACATAACAAGCGAAACAAGCCTCGGATTCCGTGCACAAGCTACGGGCACATGAATATAAGTCATTTCCCGACGAAACGGCTAGATGACCCGGGCGTCATGGAATGAGGTCACCCGTTCGACGTTGCACATTGTCTGACGTGAATTGGCTCGTGGGTGTCGGACGGCCGGGCCAGGGACGGTGTGACGGGATCCAGGGCGCAAGCTGTGTGCCTGTGCCTGAGAATCATGGTATGGAGGGAGAGGTGCGAGAGAAGAATCTGGAAGTTGGGGCTGAGACAGGTGGTCTTGGTGAGCAGGTTGGGGCGAGGAGGTAGGATTTTAGAGTTACTTCGGTGGTTGGATTGTAGGATGACTGCAGGTGAGATGGGGTGGTTTGTTTCTCAAGGGAAGGGAGGGTGTAATAATGTTTGAACTACAGGCATGGGTTGGGATGGCTGTAGAGGTGATCTCGGTGGAATCTCGGACTTCAGTGGCTGAGCCATATAGGTAGGTTTCTGTCTCATGTTCTCATGTCGAACGTACAAAGTTCTGATAGACAATTTAACCTGAAAACCTTTGGAAGCAAACGATGGGAATCATCCCACAAAGACTTACACTCCCACGACTATAGGCATCACAGCGAAGACACCACGATAGCAGCAACAATGACATTGGATATCAAACTTTTTTCTAGCAACCTCAGAATGACACAACATTCGATTGGCCGAAAGTATGTACGCGCGGGTCAGCCGCGAAGGTAAGGATAAACACAGCCAACGGCCCCAAAAGCCAAAAGCCAAACCAGACCAGATTTCCCACCCAGCAAGATATAAAAGCGCCAGAACACCGTAAGCCACGCGCCATTCCTCTGTCCCCCTGTCTTAATGTATTGGCCCGAAAAAGAAACAAAACTGAATAGAAAGGGAAAAAAAATAAACCGGCGCATTCAGTAATCGCCTTCGTCGTCGTCGTCACCGTCTCCGCCTCGGCCTCGAGGCTTCATCCCATCTTTGCGAATGGGGATCTTGATCCCTTGCAATGCGAAGCATTTGCTGAGCTGGGTGCTCTCGATCACACCAGGGAACTTCTTGGCGGAGAATACTTGGAAGGGCTCGGAGAAGACGGAGGCGAGAACGGGAGCGGTTCCGTGGTTGATGACGGGGGCGCCGTTGGTTGTTTCGGAGGATTGGGTGCCGACATCGACGAAGCTCATTTTCAAACTGGGGTCTGTTAGCGATTGTGCAATGTGCGATGATTCGGGGAGGACGTTACCGGAAAGTACCCTCTGTGCGAACACTCAGATCCTGCAGAATGAACCATACGCCGATCTTGTTGTCGGGGTCGGTCAGGCGGAATGCACTGGCGCTGAGGCTACCGATCAGATTCCGAGTGAACATCCCACCGGGGCCTCCTGTGACGGGCTGTGCGGCAGGCGACATGGCCGGTGGGCCCTGTCCACCTGGGTAGTATTGTGGTGGGTAGTTAACGGGCTGGCCGTATTGATTGGGGTAGGCCATTGACTGGCCACCGTAGTAGTTGTTCATCTGCGGGTAGTTCACGGGGTACTGATTTTGGCCGTAGCCCCCGTAGGTCGGGGACATGCTCTGGGGCGGAGGAGGATATGACTGAGACATGGCGGTAGAGATGGAGGGAGAGGAAGCGGAGTGCTTGACGAGGTTGACTTCGCTGGTGCCATCGACGTTCCAGAGATCGACGGTGAGGACGTAGAAAGAGGTATCGATCTCACTGGGGCCTGGATTAGCAAGGTTGGTCGCACAGAGGGGTCGTTTCACATACTTGATATCGATTTCCTTATTTGTGAGCTGGTCGCGCACGATGAGGCGGATGCAGGGCGGGGGAGTGATCGGTCTCCGGTCCTGGGAGATTGTTAGAGCTGAGAGAGACCAGCGGTGCGGAAAAATCACCCACCTTGTCACCGAAACCGCACATGCGAGCTCGGATGGGCTGCTGCACCACCTCTAATGACCAAATGCGACCGCCGTATTCATTCTGCACAGGCGAGAGGTGGTCGGCGGGTCGTAGGGTGTTGGGTGCTGGCGGGTAGGAGGGTGTCGGCATGCGATCCATTGAGAGGGGAGGCGGGACAGTATATTTTCGGTCTTCGACGGCGTACATGGTGGCGAGTTGGGAGCGAAAGCACGGGGAGATTGGCAGAAATGGACGAAGGCTCTCTACAGATCCGATGAAAGATCTAATAGCTTCCCTGGTGATTTGAGAAGAGGGGGAAAGTGCGACATGCGACCCCGCGGAAGGTACAAGACGTCACCGTTCGAGCATCGACGGATTGCAGCGAAGAAAGGGCGTCCGCGGTGGGCGAAACAGCTGCACGAGATCGACGAGGGCTGACCAATCCGGAAATTGGGGAGTCTCGCAAGCGCGCGGGCGAACGCAAAGCGAGGATCAGATTAGGCGGAGAGAGTTATGCGGAACCGTAGAACGCGCACGGCGGCAGTGGCGATGGTAAAAGGGGTGGTTCGAGGGAGAGAGAGAGGTTCAGGGTCTTCTGGAGACTTGGTTAGGATCAGATTTTCCCCTCTGGGCGAACCGCACGATGACGCTGTCACATTGCGGGAGATACGCTGGTCTTCCACGGATTCCCCAAAGTCTGTAGGCTCCACAGTATATGCACTTACCCGCAAGAAAAGGTGATCACACGAACACAGAGCTAATCGTACAGGCGAAGAGTAAGTATTATCCTGACCAGACCGAGAGAGAGAGAGAGTCGAGAAGTGCAAAAAAGGCGGAAGGGAAAAGTGACGTTGGAGCGGCAGATACTCGCAGTTCATTTCGTTCCCGACTGATTCTGGCCGCATTCGGATGGCCGCAAACGGTCTTCCTCTTCTTATTCGCTCGAGTCGATTTTTCTTTTGTTCGCTCTACTCACTGTGAGCTATAGAGTACATGATTACTATTGATCTTGAGATTCAATTCTATTGGGGAAAAGAAGATCTTTCACCAGCCCTATATGTGTGGTAGACTATCCTCGTACCTGTTTCAAGTATTCCATGGACCTTTTCTACCCAAGTAGCTGTCAACCCTGGATCCCAGACGATAATCCCAGAGGATAATAACTCGCGTAACCCGTCCGGAGTAAACCCGACCAGCTGGGTTCCTTGCAGGGAACCTGACACTTGGGATTTCCGACGGAGCGGTAAGCCCTGCGCTTATGTGAGAACATTCTCTATCACATTTCTTTTCCCTTTGACGACATTCATGCTACAAAGAAATCTCTACTTCATACTATGGAGTACCGTACCCAGGGTCAATTTATAGGTGACGAACAATTACCACGAGTCATGCAGTGGATCCCGGGGTCTCAACTTCATACTCCATCCCTGTACTTAGCTTACAGCGCGCCCATTGACGAATTCACCTGCAGAATGCTAGAATCGGTCTACAAATTGCAAGCGGGGGCTTGTCGGGTAGGATTTAGGGCCTTGGATTCTCCACCGCGGGGTATCCCGGGTCTCTATACTGTACTTTGCACTCCGTCGCCTACCGTGATGTGTCTTGGATCTGCAGTGTCAGATAATCTGGCCCCACCATAGTGTTGTCATATCTTTATGCCAATACTTTTACCCACAGCCAGACCACCTCTTAAACGTGGTTTACCCGAAATGCGAAGTCTATGGATGTAAATGCGGAGCACCGGGAGCACTGCCAAGTACATTTCGGGTAGACAGGTCATGGGAATTGACGCCCACATGGTTATGCACCAACCTCCTTTGTTTCGTTTCACCCTAAAAGTTTTCAATGGCCAGAGCCAAGAGCGAGCTGAAATATTGCGTCATTGTACATTTCCATTGACCTTGGATAGTGGACGATCTCTACGCCGAATGTCCCTACCGGATTTAGTTTCCGCACCGCCATAAGGCCGCCTATGGCCATCCATGGAGTACACACCCACAGAGCACTCACCGCACAAGCGGAGTGAGCACTGGAGACCCTTCAATGTCTCTACCCAGCCCCGCCACTTGTCTTCGCCAATCGCAGTCTTTCTCTTATCTCACCGTTACCCCGGCCCCGGGCGGATAGAGCTTCGTGCAGATGGACTCTGATTCGAATCGATGATAGGTGAATCGATCAATTTAATGAGGTGCGTTGGACCCACCAGACGCCCAAACATGACAGGGGTCTTCCCATATTGAAAGGAGGTGATACGCCAACGCACGCAGAAATTGGAAATGGTTAAGCTTGGTGGGTCGTCTCCGCCTCCCGTCCCCCAACCACTGGCTTTCCACCGCCCCGGGCCGTCCTTGTGTCACACCTTCACACGTCGCACCGTTTGAACTTGGATGAACTACTCCGTACAGAGTACTTGAAAATTCGGTTTGGTGGTTTCAAATTGAGACATATGTTGGCCTTTTGCAACACCCGTTGGGACCGCCCTACAGTGCGCTACGTAACGCAGTCAACGTGTCCCCAGCATGACAGAGTCCACTGCTTGTTCTGTTTAGCCTTTTTAGCCTATGTCGACTACATGCCTGGGCTTGGATTGGAACAAAGCCTTATTTGACGCAACATAAGGAATATGCAGTCCGCAATCTGAGATGGCGTTTTCAACCTCAACCTTGGAAGTCTGCTGTCATGGCATCATCGGAACATCAGATGTCAAGCATGCGTTTTGAAGATCATGCCTCAGACCATGGACCATCCAGGACTGTGGCCGTCATTGTACTTCGAACGATATCCGTTATAAACCAGAGGGATGATAGAAATTGCGACGAAACACAATGTACGCTGCTGATCGATGTCTGCGTGGCCCTCAAAACTCTGGTATTCAAAAAGCCAAAGGTGTGATCTGTGAAAAAAGCACGTCGCATACTAGAGCGACACAGATACATCAGTTGACTGACCACATAACCCAAAAAAGAAGCTGAATAACACCGAGAGACTTCCATTGTCCTCTTCAAATGCAGAGCAAAATCATGGTAAGAATAATCTGGTATACTACAATCCACAGCGGGTATGTCCTGCCGAACATAGCCAAGATGGGGGACGATACCAAGAGATTGCCAAGTTTGGAAGCTCTTGCAAACTCATACTAAGCACCCAGGCCGAAAAAGAGATGGGGAAAAACCCTGTGAAGAGGAAAGCGAGTATCGTGAATCTCTCGCTACTATGTCAGTTTGTGGTTGCATTTCTTGAATCATTTTCCCTCCCACATTGTCATAGTTTCCAGCTATCGAAAGCCGATGTTCGCCAGATCAATGGATTTTCTGAGATTGTTGAAGACTCAATTTCCCAACATCTACACTGGAGACGCGTGCGTCTTCGCTTTCGCGGTTTGTCTTGGTGGAACAAGCAAGTCACCGATTTCAAAGCTCCAAAATCGACCATTGAGATGTCGAACACCCTTGATGCGGTATATGGAGGCCCATTGGGGATAGAAACATCTAATTCCTGATAAGATGCTTCAAGGAAGTCAATGTGATACCAAAAACACTTGATTAATCGGAACGCCGTTGATTCAAGGAGAAGCGGGGTTTTCACAGAGTTTCCAAGGACACAACGTTGGAAACACAATCCCAATCCTCGGACATTCCTCGAAACATCGTATCAGCACACGGTATCTCTAGATCAGAATTTACGAGCGAGATGAACTTTCAGGAGTCCACTAGTGGTAAGCTAGTCTATGTAGACGCGGCAAGGCTGGGTGAAATATGGAACCCCCGAATCGAACGTCAATTGCGCGAACTGAATTGGATTGATCGTTATAGCAACCCACTGAACACAAAAAAGAATAATATCTGGACAGCTGGGTCTAATGCTGCCCCTGAAATACGCCATGGACTTTTGAAAAATCGAGGCACACAAGGCTTCCGAGCTCGTACCTGAGCATGCAGTGACCAGTACCACCCCAGCTCTTCATTTCTCCCACGTGAGGCTGAACCCCACATGGCTTTATTCTCCTTTTCAAAGCTTAATGTACCCCTCAACATTCTTCCAGAATTCCACCTTCTGCAATCCGACTTCAACCATGCAAGCAACGATCGTCCACAATCCCAGCAGGAAGTTGTCCCAATGGATACGACCACCACTTTCAAGCTTCTGCGAATCGAACTGAGCAATCTGCATAACAATGGAAACAGTCCAGGTAGCCATCCAGGAGACCCACAACCACGGCGAGTTGATCGTAGAGATGATGTATGGGATGGTCAGAAGTGGCAGAACACTCAAAAAGGCAAGGAACAGTCGAATGCGCTGACCGGCAATGACGTAGGCAGAATTTATGTTCATCTTGCGGTCATCGACGCTATCTTGGTGGCTGTATGCGGTGTTGAAGTACACACACCAGAAGAAGACAAGAAGACAGATTGGGATGCAATGCTTGATGATGTCACCAAGGGGCTCCTCGCTGCCGGTGATCGAAGCCCACCCCGTGATGGCGGGGTAACCAATAGCAAGACCCAGGATATATTGGGGGTAAACGAAGACCTTGCTGAAGATGGGTCGCTTCAGGTAGGGGTAAAGCATGATGCTGGCGGTCAATGGCAGCATGAGGGTCCAGCTAAGAGAAAAACGGTTTAGTATATCTTGAGTCTCTGGTATCGGAGTTGTAGAGTCTTCCTGACGAGACTTACATGTTTCGTCCATCCAAAATGAGATCCAGCATTTTGACAGACAGGAAATATTGACCGGTCATCCAAAGAAGTGCCTCAGTGAGAGTGACCTTTCCAGATGCCAAAGGCCGCATCTTTGTGCGTGCCACTCTGGCGTCAATATCGCGATCCACAAGATCGTTCCATGTGTTTCCAGCACCGCAAAGCAGCAGACAGTGGACGAAACAGAGACCGGCCTTGTACAAAATGAACTCGATCGAAAGGCTTTCGGGATCCTGTTGTAATTTGAGAGCGCCGGCGATGAAAGTGGCCCATACTATTTTGCTCGAAACACTCAAGGTTACTCATTGCTCGGCGCCGTTTTTAGGAATGGGAAAAGTTCTTACCAGCAGCCATCATCGTGTAATAAGGCATGTATCGATTGAACCGCGAGGTGCTGATCAGTAGGAACAGCAGGTCCCTAGGACCAGAGTCCTCCACTGCGTTGGTCATGTTGAAAGTGAGGCAATGAAATATGATGCCAAATGGATACAGAAAATCACGAAGTGGCAGGACTGGAAAGTTTTCCAAGATTCTGCTGTGAATATAGGAAATTTCTCTTTTTGAAAGCCCCTCAAAGTTTTCGAAGAACCCACGAGAACTTTGACCGTGGTGGGAATTCGGTAGTGCTCAGGTCAGATGGTATACATGGCCCCTCACTCTAAAACTTCCAGACCCCACGTTCCTAAACCCACCCGTAGTCAGCGTACGAAGTAGATGACGATCCGATAGCTGTACAAGGCTCCCGGGAAGCTCATGCAGGCGACCAGCAACTCGCGATACAGACGGCAGACAACCGAGACAACACAGATGTACACCTACGGATACGGAATGCTCCATCTGACCGCAGAGAGAACCACAGTCTCACCGAAAGCCTTGTCATGGCTGAATTGCCTCTTGGGGGCCAACGCGATTCACCCAATTGAGGTGACCGCTACGTGTGTATTAAACGAAAAAGGATGAATAGGCATTCCCGCCTGTTTCATTACCCAGCCGTACTGAGTATAAGATTTTCTATATCTGAATCACCCCAATGTACAGAGTATTACGGAGTATGCAAGGAGGTGTCGTCGATGGAGTATGAATATTTGTATTGAAGTATTACACAAATCGGTAAAATATTTCGGTCCCACCGCGGACGCCGGGCCGGATGGGGGCCAAGCGCGGGATCCTCCCGAGCTGCTTACGCCCCAGCCTTGGAATTGGTGCAGAAAAACAGGGTTTCTCCCGAGAAAACACTCTAAGACCGTCCTGCAATGCTGAATACCTGTATTTGTAAAACCAATACACACAACCTCCATCAAGCTCGCATGATTCAAACCCTAATTGACGCCAATGGTCTAGATGTTACATCCCGGTCAGTACGAGGGACGTTGTATGCATGTCCGAGGTATACGAGTCCCACCCGTAAAGTATTCGGACATATTTAGGTCCCCGAGATCCGACAGCCATTGTTCTTTTTCGCCTCGCACCCATTTTCCATTTTGAGGTTTATGCAAGAGTTGAAATCCAGCCGATTATTGAGTATTGTAAAATACGATCGAGTTTTCTTTAACCTTTTTGTTTTTGTTTTTGTTTTTCTTCTGTTTGTTTTTCTGTTTTTCTTTGCCCCACCGCGTAACGCCTCTGCATCCACGTTCTTTAATACCAACTAAATATCTGATGTAACAGACTGCATCGTAGGCCCCCCAAAACAGCTCAGAGTCAAGTGGCAAAGATACCTTAGGAAATTGAGGATCCCTGTCTCCGCTCTACGCTCACGTACATTCAGTCCACTGCAGTACTTGCATTGTGGTCCATTGAGTCGTTGCATATTAACAAACGGCAAAAACAGCCGACACAAGCAGAGCCGAGGCCAGCAATCACTCAATCGTTCAAACTTTCGATCGATCGTTTGAGATAGCTCTACAAGACATAACGTCCAAGTTATGAATAGCAGCATGTCTTTGTCTTTGCCTCCAGCACTTTCTGAGCTTGCGAGGGCACTTCCCTACAGCAGAACTCAATGGCTTCCAATCTTGGTGGGATTTCTGATTGGGTACCCCCTCCTCATCAAGGCATTGCGTTATAAGCGACTTGGAGAGATGAAGAAGAAGTTCTATTTCCCAACTCGCGAGTCTATGGCTGAAATGACCGATGAGGAGGCATTCCTGATTCAAAAGGAAATGGCACAGCTCGAGTTTCCATTCATGTTCTTGACATCTGGGCAGTTTGCACTATTCCGGGTATGCAGTTCAATTTCATTGATTATATAGTTCTATACACGAAAGCCACACGGGCACCTTTGCTTGAACTTGATTTATCTTTTTCTAATCATTTACAGACATATGGCATTCCGACAATCTCTCATCTTCTAACGAAAACCGGGCAATTCTCCAAGCCAGAAACATCTTTCAAACGCTATACAGACACAGCTGCTCTGATTGGTGAAATGGTAGAGAATAGTCCTACCTCGCAGAGGGGCATTCATCTCAGTAGCCCGCACACGATTCCTACATAGCGGCTATCAAGCTTCGGGCAAGATCCTCGATGCTGATTTGCTTTACACCCTTGCACTCTTTGCGGTCCAACCTGTGCGATTTATTGAGAATTTTGAATGGCGGACCTTGAGTGATTTGGAACTCTGTGCTATTGGGACCTTTTGGAAGAGTCTAGGTGATGCTTTGGGTATTAGCTCTGAGATTCTTCCATCGGGCAAGACCGGCTTCAAAGATGGTATCCAATGGCTTGAAGAGGTGGATGTTTGGAGTCAGGATTATGAGGCCAAGTATATGGTCCCAGATCCCAAGAACCGCGAGTCAGCAGACCAAGCGACGGCAGTTCTGCTTTACAATCTGCCGAAGATTTTGCATCCAATAGGACTGCAGTTTACATCTTATATGATGGATGATCGGTTGAGGAAGGCGATGTTGTATGTGATATTAGTCCATTCGAGATCCTACCATTTGATCCTGTATACAATCACAGATACTAACTTCAAACAGATACGAGGCCCCAAGTCCTGGCTGGAGCGCTGTTTTCTCATCCCTCTTGGCTACTCGCAAGTTCGTTCTGCGTTATCTATCGCCACCACGGCCTGCGGCTCTTGCAGTGTCAAACATAGCTCAAAAGCCCGACAAAGATGATCGCTATCACCGCATGTCTTGGGATGCACTCCCATTTTACATCAGGCCTACTTTCTGGAATAGATGGGGTCCAATGGCTTGGATCTCTTGGTTGATGGCCCACCCTGTCCCAGGCGATCATGGCCAGAAGTACTATCCACAGGGATATCATATACAAGATATTGGACCAAAATACTTTGAAGGAAAGGGCCACAAGGAAATCCAGGAAATGATGAAGGAATTAAAGATCTCAAGGACGGGGAAATGTCCCTTCCATTAGTTTAGAGCAAGTACCATGCTACAACAAATGATAAAAAAAAAAGCATCAGTTTGGGCTTCTGAGATTACCTGCTATTTTAACACTAGAAGAGAATAAGATATTGTGCAAGGGAATGAACCGAAAAAATGGATTCACAAACCCATGGACACACGTAGGCAATGAGTATCGCAGCATGACTATATAGTAATGTATGTTGGAAACGGCGAGTTTCCTCACCTTCGCCCACCTGACCGAGCTCAGTGCGTAGGAAAATCGGCCCTAGATTAACCAGTCTCAGATCGCCACCCATGCCTGTTTAATTCCGGCAAATCACCCCTGTGCGGAGTTTCGGCCTTGAATCATTACCGCGGGCTACTGTAGATCTTTACAGTCAGGGAGTTTGTGTCGACTTCAATTTGCAATTTGGAAGCTCGAAGAATTATGTGAAAACATACACAGACTGAATCTAACATCTAAAGCTGGACATGTGTTCTCAAGAACTCATATCCTTCTGCCACTGCGGCCTTTGCTTCCTGGCCAGCGTGTGAGGCTGGGTAAAGGTCGAAAAGGTGTGCAGCTTCCTGCACCACTCTAAGCTCCGCCTCGACTCCGCTGGCCGTCAATGCACCATGCGTGGACTCCGTCTGAGCACAAGGAACAAGGTCATCACTTGTTCCATGAATCAAAAATGTCGGCGTGTTGTAGCGACCGACGCGGATCTGATAATTGGGACTGACTGCCTGAATGTCCTCCTCTGTCGGACGAGATAGGTCATCGGGGCTGCATTTCTCGGTGTTACCCTTGATTGTGCATGCCTTTAACAGAACAGGCAAGGTTTGTCCAGTCCAGTTCATGTGCAGTGCGATCCGACTGCGCGGATCTCTCGTTGACATCCAGCCTCCGAGAGGGCGTTCCTTGAGTGCAGGGTTGTAGCCGGCTATCGGCATGCTCTGCAATCCTTCCCAAACATCGTACTCCATCTCGTTTGATGCGACTGTCTGTCCGAAGGGGAAGTTTGGGTTCGACCAGAATGGATCCTCGTAATTGGTCGGGCAGTAGAATGCCAAGACAGCGTCTGGAGCTGGAATACCAGCAGCTGGGGCCGTGAAAGGTAGCGTCATGGCGAGATGACCACCAGTAGACCATCCGATAGCAACAACCTGGTTCCCGTCGGGTCGAATATCTGCGCGCAGCAAGGGAATGTTCGGGAGGACGCGGCGAACCCAGGACAGAGCGTCGCGGGCATCGGCCATTGGGCCTTCTGCTAGTGAAACTTCTGGGCACAAGCGGTAGTCGATGCTAACAGGCAGGAAACCGGCATCCAGAAGGGTCTGAGTCTGGGCTGGACGGATGTCCTTGCGAGATAGCATGACGTGGCCACCTCCGTGGATCATCAGGGCTGAATTAAAGTGTTAGTATACCAGTGGGACACGAAAGCTTGCTATGGGAGACCAAAAATAGGCATGTACTTACCAATCGGTCGCTGCTTCCGAGTAGTGTCCACGGTCTCGGGATAGTAGATGTCTGCACGGAGCTGCAAATTGTCTCGCTCACCCCAAACCACAGTTTCCATCTTTATGGGTTTCGATGGAGACATTGTCGCGGCGGATGAGTTTCCAGTCGGCGAAGCGACAATGACACGCAGAGCATTTGACTCTACGGTCTCATTGTTTGTCCAGTCAACCCACTCAAATCCAGATTGACGAAGAGTCTGATCCCACATCATCTCAGTAGCCAGCGCGTGTTCACGTCCGTCTTCGAATCGCCACCAGCCTTCCAGGAGACCAAAGACAAGATCCAACCAGAAGATGTCACGAGTCAGCTCGACAAGACACAAAATTCCGTCAGGTCTCAGAAGCTTGCGAATGTTCGTGCAAGATTCCTGGAGGTTGCGGGTAGCATGGACACAATTTGTCGAAAGCACGATATCGTATTGACCACTCAAAGCTGAGGGGGGGTCATTTTCAACATTCAGAGTTTCATATCGCATGAAGTTGTAGTTAGAGAAGGTCTTCCGTCCAGCTGCAACAAGTGATGGCGAGATGTCTGTGAATGTGTACTCCAGACGCGTCGACAGTCCAGGAATTGTGGACAATTTCTCGAGGAGATTCTTGGTGGTACCTCCTGTGCCGGCACCAATCTCAAGAATCTTGATAGTCCGGCTGCTTCCAAATGATTGAACAACATCCAAAAGGTAACGCGCAAGATAAAGGTTACCCGATTTGAAAACTGGAGATTGTGCGTACACATCGCCTACCAAGCGCCGAGTGTTCGCATCCTGGAAAATCAGAGATACTCCGTCCGCTTTTCCGGTGAGACAGTCAGCGAGCCGAGGGGCTGTGATTTGAAGAAGATCATGCTCCAGGGCATACGGAGGATATTCCGCCCTTATCTGCGTGTGCAGGTCATGCGACCGCGACAACGGGATGGGTGTTGTCGTGCGCACAAGCTCCCCAGTGGACATCTGGCGGACCAAGCCGACAGAATCCAAGATTTTGTAAAGATGCTTTCTCAGCTGCTCGTGACGGGGAAGCACTGCGATTGGGGTGAGCACTTCGTTTGGCTCACTCGCCTCCAGCGAAGAGCCCAAGGCTCGGAATGCCTCGAGAATGTAAGCAGTGAGAAGTGACATTTGCTTTGGGTAAGTGGTGTGGAAGAAGCCAGCCCAGTGAGCATCGGAGGTGTGAGATACTGCTGCGTGCGTTGTGTCAAAACACTGGCGGGCCACTGAGACTAGTGGTGGTCCATTGCTAGCCGGTGTCGGTACATGGGATACAGCTTGTGGTGCCACCGACTGTACTGGCGCTTTTTCAACAACAGGCCGTGAGGGGGCAGCGTGAGAATGCCCGGGGAAGATATGTTCCACCAGACCTTGAATGTTGGGGATGTCCACCAAAGTGGTATACGACATATCGACTTGGAACCTCTTCTTGATTTCAGAAAGAACTTCAGTGCTCATGAGAGAGTCCACTCCAATGTCTACCAGCGACACTGAAGGAGAGACCTCTGCGACACTGACTCCAAAGAGCTCACAGAGCATTTCCTGGACAGTGGCAAGATCGTTAGCCGCATGTCCATCGGCAGCCGGTGCACTAGGGGTGGCTGTAACAACTGATTGCTCAGCCGGAATCGCGGCCTCGACAACTGATTGAGCTTCAGCGGTCTCTAGAACATTGTTATTCAGCTTGGCCAGCGCGCGAGTGAGAGAGCGGATTGAGACGCTCGTAAATCGAACACCCATCATTGCCGCAGAGAGTGTATCTGTTTGGCAGTCCATCACATAGATGTCGCACGCGATCTCAGTCTTAGACGGCCGGACGTAGCTGGTGTACACCTTCCATGTCGAGGGGGAAGCACCATTCTCTTGCTTGAGCAAGGAGTTGATAACAAATGTTTCCCCAATAGCGTTGCAGACAAAGACCTCGCTTGACTGGCGATCAGAAAGGCAGTTGACGTGAATTCCAGCAACTTGGAGGAAGTTGTCTAGCAGAATGGGGTTGCAGTTGGTCTCGGTGGTTGATGGCATCATGGACACCAGTCCACTGGCTTCCCGACCGTTTGCAAATACCTGCTTCACGCCACGGAAGTAGTCTCCATAGTTTGTTACTGATTCAAGAGCAGCATAGACAGTAGAGCCCTTCAACCCGTTTGAAGCAGGGTCCGCTTCAATGGTTTTGCTTCGTGCCGAGTCCAGCAGTCGATCCATGGACTGGAAGCGCGCCAGAGCCCTGGACCGCTCCTGGTGAAGACACACGGTACCTTCAGCGTGGACCAATGTATGATCATTTGACTCACTGCTGAAGATCGAAAAGAGCCATGGTCGAGTAGGACCCGCTCCATCGCGGGTGAGTCTCAGGAACACCTTTCCTTGTGGGTCCAATACCAAGGGCGAGGAGATGGTGAGATCCTCGATATGTGACATGGCTGGCTCAGAGGCGTTGCCCGTGGGGAAAATGGAGGCTGCTGCCCGCAAAACCATCTCCATGTACATGGAGGCGGGACACAATGTCTGATTCAGAACTGCGTGACCCTGGGTGCATGCTCTGTAGAGGGCATCTTGAATGTTAACATGATAGAGACGCTCATCTGGGCTCTCGCTCAATTGACACAGAAGGCCTGCTTCTTGTCCTGCGGACTGCTTTCCAGACGAAGGTCCAGCAGATGAAAACGCTGCAGGGTCAAAGTCAACCCAGTGGCTGTTTTGGGCAAACTGATATGGTGGAAGGTTCATCCATTTGAAGCTTGCATGCTGGGCCCGATCGAAAGGCCAGAACTGAACGTGTACACCCTGTGCCCAGAGGGCGCTAGTGACGTTTGCCAAATTTTGGGCTCCGCTTGAACCACCCAAATCAATTTTGTGGTATGTGTTCGCAACCGAAGAGCTCTCTAGCACTCGGCGTACCATTGGTATGATGGGTGAAGCGGATCCTGCTTCCAGCCAGACGGCGGGGGCTTGTAGCTTTTCAGCTACTCGCTCAACAGCACGTCGGAAATACACAGGCATGCGGCTGTGCTCCACAATCTCAGCCGCTGTGATGGTCGACCAGTCACCACTTGCAGAGCAGGCTTCGATGGGAATGATCGGTGTCTGGTAAACAAGGGACCCAGCCACCTCCATGATGCCGGGCACAATGCTATCGACAAGTCGAGAATGGAAAGCATGGGAATTTTGCAGCCGAGTCAACCGCAAGTTTGATGCAGACGGGGTTCTAGCAGCGGCGTTCTCAATGGCCTCGATAGATTCCACTGTACCTGCCAGTACTTGCTGTCGTGGCCCATTGTAGCAGGCAACGTCAGCGATATGACCCGTCTGGTCTAGCAGCTGTTGGACCTCAATCTCCGTCCCTTCAACGGCGAGCATGATCCCAGATTCTGGGCCCCAGCTGGATTCAATGAGGCGAGCACGCTCAGTGACTAGGTGAATGCCATCGCGAACGCTCAAGCTGCCCGCCACAGACAACGCAGTCAACTGACCAAAGCTGTGTCCCACAATGCGACTGACACGAAGTCCAGAGTCCAGCCATGCCTTTGCAGAAGCATACTGAATAGAGAAGAGTATGAAATGCAAATGGATGATGTTTGTGATTGGGGCTGAGCTGAAGATAGTTGGGAAAAGACTGAGAAGGCCAAGCGTGCGGCCCACTTCCTCGCAATCTTCGAGGTGGGTCCGTAGAAGAGCGGAGGCGTCGAAAACTTCCTTCGAAATGGTTGCCGTAAGTCCATTCTGACCACCGAAACACAAAACAACTGGGGGCTCATTGGAAGGCCGCTTCTGAATCAGATCGGCAGATGCGCCCGTGGAAATGGCCTCCAGTCGGGCGCCCAGCGAGGTTGTGTCCGAAGAAGTTGAAAATGTGAGATTGAGTGGAAGGTCCCGGTTTTGCTTCATCGCGAGGTTGTATGCCAACTTCTGCACCAGAGTTTCAGATGGTGGGTGGCTCAAAAGAGTCGCTCGAAGGGCACCGCAGTAAGCCCGGAGGGATTCTTCAGACCGAGCGGAGACCAAGATTGGTACATTTTGGATATACTCAGGGGCTGTTCCATTTTGCTCGGAGCCGATGGGTGCGTGCTCCTTCACTATGAGCGCCGCGTTGCTTCCCGATGCTCCGTAGTTGCTGACCATGGCAACTCGTTTGGTCGACACCCACTCAGTCGACTCTGAAGCGATCACTAGCCGGTCGGGTGTGAGAGACTTGACCTTGGGATTTAACTGATTGAAGTTTGCCTGTCTCGGGATGCGTTGTTGTTGGAGCATAAGGATGGTCTTCAGCAGACCCGCGGCCCCAGAGGATGTCTCAGTATGCCCGATATTTCCCTTGATCGATCCGATGTGAAGGTTGTTTCTGCGGTGAGGGCCACCAAACGTTCTTCGAAGGCTGTCCAGCTCAATGGGATCCCCGACTTGGGTGCCTTTGTCGTTGTTAGCAAAGCTCAAACGGAAGTATATCGAGGGAAGACGTAAAGCGGGTACATACCAGTGCCATGGGCTTCCACATAGGTGACTTCGTCAGGAGAAACTCCAGCGAGCGACATAGCCTTGTTGTAGAGTGACCGTTGGGCTTCCGCATCGGGGACTGTGATTGGTGAATTGTTGGAGCCCTGGTTGACAGCTGATCCAGCGATTACACCGAGAATTGGATCTCCGTTGTCAATTGCATCCTGCAATGGTCGCAGAACGAATAACCCGGCGCCCTCTCCGCGGCAGTATCCATCAGCGGAAGCGTCAAATGGCTTGCACGCTCCGCTTGGTGACAGGAAAGACGCAGCACTCAGGTTCTGGTACACTCTGGGGTTTGTCAAAACATTCACACCACCGGCCAAAGCGATCTTGCAATCGTTTGTTTGCAGAGCCTATCACAAGATGGCGATTAGTTGCTTTTCTCGTGAAAAGAAAAAAAAGACGTGGAGTATGATGCTTACTTTGCATGCCAGATGAATAGCTACTGCCGCCGATGAGCACGCTGTGTCCAAGCTGATTGAGGGGCCTGACCAGCCGAAGTGATGGCTGATCCGCCCTGCAATGAACGACTGCAGGGTTCCCGTGATCGAGAACGCATTAGCGTTCCTTGATGCCACATTCTCTGTGTAATCTTCAGATCCGACACCGACGTAACACCCAATATCCTGTGAGAGCCTGTTTGGCTGCCATCCTAAGTATCCAGCAGACTCCATGGCTTCGTATGCTACCTGCAGCGCGACGCGCTGCTGGGGGTCCATGGATTCGGCTTCCCGAGCCGAAATATTGAAAAAGCGATGGTCAAAGACGTCTGGGCGCTCCAGAAAGTGACCCCAGAATGGGCCTTTGGGCTCGCGTTGCAAGTCGGACATATGGAATCGGCTCTCAGGGGGCGACTTCACTGTGCACCGACCTAACTCAAGTAGCTCCCACAGCTGAGCGAGTGTGTCTGCGTTGGGATACCGACATGCCATGCCGGTGATGGCGATGGGCGACGCCTCAGCCGCCTGCGGACGAGAGTCGAAGGTCTGCACAGAGTTTGACAAGGACGCCGTGGAGGGCTGTGGGCTTTCGTTGGCAAATCCTTGCATTCCGTAGCTCTCAAGTTCTCTTCGTGCCACCGACCTACTCCTCGCAGACCGTGGAACGAACTCCTCGGGTCCAATAGACAGTAGGCGAGATTGATCAACTGTCATTTCTGTGCTGTTGATCAAAGCGGAGACAACGTCGTACCAGTTTGCTTTGGCACAAAGAATTGAGTCCAGTGCAACAGTGTGTAGTAATGCTTCTTGTTGGAATATCTCCCCGCCCTGGCTTGACCGAAGCGGAGTTAATAAGGCATCACTGCGAGGAAGCTTGAAACGAGAATCATTCATGCATAACTTCATGATGTGTTGGATTCCCTCACGGTGTGCCTCATGATGGAATCGCCCTCGGAGGGATAGTTGCTTTGTACGCAGCCCATGATCATGGATCTCCTGCTTCACTCGTTCTGCGCTGTCATTGGGGATAGTGATGGTGACACTTTTGACGTCTGTGTAGCATGATGTGTATCCCTTGGGTATCTGTTAGTATTTATTTTTCTTTTACCACGCTTTCCTTTTTGATTTATGTGACTTTTGTATAGGAAGAAACTTACTTCAGTGTTGTTGTTTAGGATTTTTTCGAGATGGTTGAAGTCCTCTACGGACTCCCACCTGACTGCCAGTGACGTGGTTGAGCCACACAAAATCTCATCCAAGTCCACTAGCGCTCCAATGCAAAGAGAAAGGCGTATGGCGTTTGACGCCACATATTGGAACTCCTGTGTGTTTCGAGAGCAAGCCACCGCAATTGCTGCAAGCAGACCCACGCAGAATCCTTGAGTATCAACTATCCTTGGCATTTCTGTCTCAGATAATGAAGATGAAGGGAATGCTGGATGTGTGGCAACATCTTGGAGATTCCAGAAATCAACGACGTGTCTCATAACAGTTATTGGGGTCATCATGAGGTTTGAAGCTTCTACCCTGACTTCACTCTCATGCTCAAAAAGGCGGCCGAGTGCAAGCAGTTGATTCTCGCCTTCGACATTCTTCAAAGCTGGCCAGGCACCGGCGATTGTTGGCCATAAGGAGGGTAATTCGTCGAGAATATTTGTGAGAAATCCCAAACCTGTGGGATCTTTGGATATGGCATCTCGTATGTGAGTGATAGAATCTGTGATGTCCGGGCATTGTGGTCCAAAGAGGACCCGAAGATCTTCCTTCGGTTGCCCTTTGTGGAAATTCATGGTGTGTAGCTCAGTGAGATTGTGAAACTTTCAAGTAAAACTTTCAAAGGATTTGTGAGTTATATAGACCGGTCGTAAGCCTTGGCTGTGGCAATACGGTTAAATTGAGATTTCTCAGACAGAACTCCCTGGAGCTCTTGCGAATCAGCAATGTGATTTGAGGCAACAGGCAGCCGGGTCCACTTAAGCATATGAGTTGATTTACGCAACAGCTTGGGGGCCAACTGAGATCTCGACCTTTCAAGGCTGTGTATACTCTATCGAGCTGTCAGTAATTAAAATACCAGAATTACTACAACATGGCGTGTGTCGATCACCTTTTCGAGTTTCCACCGATTCGGTCTCGCCAAAGACACCCAAAACAGTATTGACTTTCTAGTTGGAAATGATATTATTGCATAGATTGGGTTGAGACATTCTCATGGTATCATTGGACTCCTTCAAACATACCGTTACTAACATCTCCCAGAATTGAATCTAACATGCCTCCGTCAAGTACGAGACTTCTAGTTGCATCATGGTATTGATATAGTTTGCACAATGTTTTGATAAATTGTTACATCGGTCGTACAATATTACAAGACATAACTTAATTGTCTTCCCGGCCCTTCTTGGTTACCTGTCTGCAAGGCGTTCCACCTGCGCGCGGACCGAAGAATTATCGTTAGCGAAAGCCGATGAACATATTCTGACAAAAGTCCACATGTAAGCCGGGCACTGTCCGGACATCGGGATTTTCCAACATCCAGATACACGCCATTTCATGCAGTTAACAGCTCTGGGCATGCAGATTTGCGCCCTGAACCCCTCTTTCCAAGGATGGCTGTTCCATTTCCCGAGGTCCTTATCTTTCCCATTCGAGTGTTTGCCGTCTTCCTTGTTCTGGTTTAATCTGATATAAATGTTGATATCTGAGTCCTCAACATGGTCCAGGCGTCTGACTGCATATGCTAAAGCAAGCTACATCCATTAGCGTAAATTCTTAACCTTGAAAAGAGCTTTCCAAGGTGGCCAATCCATTCCATTGATATCACATGTGCTTTAGCACGTTCTTCAAGTTAGATTTGGTCTAATTCGTACATAAACACACATTCGCGGGAATGCCTGGTCCATTGTCCTTTGCAACCTGGAAGGCAATAGCACAATCGGCTCAAAGGATTGCGAGAAAAATGGCCCCCAGAACAATTGAGAGCCTGATAGAGGGGGCTGAGTTGATGTACGGCAGCAACATATCTCCACTAGAATCGATTACCGTACATATTCCCATTCCAGAAAGCCATGTTCTAGGAATGACGCGCATTTCCCACTTTAACCTCCTCTATTGGTAATGCAGGTGAATGTCACCCTAATGTGACACAAGTACAATCTTGGCAGCTGGACACCAATTCGCTTCCACGATCCAGATGTTAGGTTCTGATAACTAAGCTCTGATGGCGCTGTTTAGCCCTCATGTTTATCGTCAACGAACCCAAAAATTGGGGTCCATGAATCCAAGCAGAACTTGGCTTACTGAGAGGCCCGTGGTCAATGTGGAAAGCTTCTCACATCATCAGCCGTTCGGGCCAAGGCCGCCACATGCTTGTTTACTCTTGGAGTCAACTATGAAACAATTACGTTGACGCTGCTTGTCCCTGAAGCAAGCCCCAGGGGCCAATATGTCCTGTAGTGGGGCAGATGGCTAAAGATACGAAGGAGACGCATGCATTAGCTGGTACATGCACGGACTAAGTCCGCTAAAGAGGTGAAAAGCTGTGTAAGGTTACAGAGCCGTAAAAATCAAAACACACCATTCATACGGTAATACCGCCCCCACGCGGACGGCTCCACCCGAACCTAAAGCTTGATTCCTGGAAGATCGTGTGACCGGTAACTGCAGGTATTACTGTATTTATTACAATTCTTTCTGCGTCCGTACGGAGTACATACTTGCTAAACATCCCACGTACATCAAGCAAGCAGCATCTACGTGGGTAACGCAGGTAGGCTTCAAAAGTACATTTATTACCCTGCATCCATGGATATGCATGATCTTATTTCCAAGGTTGTATATATTCGGCGCTGGGATAGGCAAATGGTCCCACCGCTTGGTTCTGCAAGGCCCCTACTTCAATGTTTCATGGTATCAAATTCCGTCTGACAACTAGATAAAATTCTCTTCACACAATACGTGGTACAGTACTCTACTCAAAAGATCCGCCACAGCTATACGAGATTGACGATGATCAGTGGATCTCAAAGTAAGCACTACACGCCTATTAGTATGTAGATGACACGCACGCCAGGGACTTTTCGAGTCTGCCCCACTGACGTTGTATGAACTGACCTGCACCTCGGTCCGCACCACCGAGACAAGTAACCTCAACTCCGCGGGGCAATTTCGCATCTTCATGTTTTCATTGGTCTAGAATGGATACAACATTTGAGGAACATCACCAGAAGGTCATCATCAATCGATTAGCCTTCCATGGGTGGATTGCCGATGAGCTCAATTTTGAAGTTGCTAGCCGTGCTCAATTGATTTGGCGTTTACATCGGGGTTGGCCGATGGCAGGTGCCAAGATGGTTGCACCGGAGTACTCCTTTGTAGAGCACGAATTTGTTGAGCTTTTGTGTTAATGTATGACCCGCTCTGTTGCTTCAACTTGCGTAAAGTCGGTTGATATTTCCTCTACCTACGGAGTAGCAATGAAGTATTTAAAATTTCAACTCAGGAAACCGCGTGGGGCAGTGGAGCCATCTTCAATGGGGGCCAGATATTCCGGGGCCGGAGTCAAATACGAGCCCCGATCGGGAAACCGAGAAAACATATTTCAAGTGTATGTTGAAAGTTTACCTGGGTATTCTCCTTCTAAGGTCATTACATGTACAAGTCTTCAATACGAACAAGTTGGGTCAGAAAAACGCCCCCATCTCACTTGGTATGCTGCGTGCTATTCCTTTTGTGGGGTGGCTAGGTACTTGTCTCACTTTTTGTGGAATCTTGATACATTCTCCGCTCCGCTGTATGCAAGTTTAACATTCCTTGCACTCCGTATGAATTGGGGGCCTAAGAGGATCTGACGTGCAAATGAGGAAAGTGAAGTGAAGTTGTATCTTTTACAAAATATACCCATGGACATGAGCTCATGGGCGGTATTGGTACCATTCCTGTTACATTGCGGAAAAACATTCAGATAACGAAAGACGTGCTACTCTTGTGTTTCTCTACCAATAAGATCTTATGTTACAAACTAGATACTAAAGTCTGGCTCGGTCAAATCTAAGAGCCGCCGTGAAACCTCCAACATCCAACTGTGTACAGCTCCCAGGACTATCTGCAATGGAGTCTTTGTCGCTAACATGGATCACGGCTATTGCCGTGGTACTATATCTCGTCCAACGCTATGTCAGGTCATATTGGCGGCTCAAGGATATACCAGGTCCGGTGTTGGCAAAACTCACGGATCTCCAACGTGTGTGGTGGGTGAAGACTGGCCGAGCACATGAGTTTCATCGTGACATGCATGCCATGTATGGCCCTATCGTTCGATTTGGACCAAACATGGTTTCAGTCTCTGATCCTCGTGTTATACCAACCATCTACCCGAGTAGACCTGGATTCCCGAAGGTCTGTTATTGCGATTCATTGCTCCCCAAATCTCCATACGACCGGATCCCATTTGCTAACTCTCAGGTTCCAGGGTGACTTTTATCGCACGCAAAAACCATATACCCGGAATAAGGGCGCAATGCCCGCGGTCTTTAACACTCAAGACGAGGATCTGCACAAGCAACTTCGAAGCCCGATCGCCTCGTTGTATTCCATGACAAATGTGGTGAGACTCGAGCCACTGGTCGATGAAACTCTTACAGTACTATCGAAACAACTCGATGAGCGCTTCGTGGGTACGAATGATAAGCCGTTCGATCTCGGGGATTGGTTGCAATATTTCGCCTTCGACTCCATGGGCACATTGACCTTCTCCCGAAGATACGGCTTTTTGGAGCAAGGTCGTGATATGCATGGAATCTTGCAGGAGATTTGGAATTTCATGACCCGAGTCGCTGTGGTGAGTACATGCTCTATAATCAATATGACATTCAAATACTAATACAAATTCGACGCAGATGGGACAAATTCCGTGGTTTGATGAGATCTGGAACAAGAATTCATTCATTACTTTATTCAAGCGACCTACCGGGTTTGGTGTGTTGAAGGTTGTCGATAACTTTATATCTCAACGAGTGTCCAGTCGTGAGAATGACGAGAAAGCAGACGAAAAGGACATGCTTTCTCAATTCTTGAATATCCAAGCATCAAATCCTCATTCTATCATGCCTTGGTAATCCACCTTTTGATCGATTGATCACTTTTCTCGGACCTAATTCGGCTGACGCATTTCCAGGGCACCAAGGGCGTGGACCTTCTCTAACGTCATGGCTGGCTCAGACTCTACTGCGAATGTCATGCGTACCATGATGTATAACCTTCTCGTTGACCGAGATACGTTGAAAAGTCTGCGAGCCGAGCTTTTGGAAGCGGAGAGCTCAAATGGCCTGTCTCGATCCTTGCCTTCTTGGGATGGAGTGAGAAGCCTGCCTTATCTTGATGCATGCGTTCTTGAAGCTTTGCGTCTGCATCCCCCATTCTGTCTGCCCTTTGAACGAGTCGTCCCTGAAGGCGGTATCACAGTCTGTGAGACATATCTTCCAGCGGGAACAGTTGTTGGAATTAGTCCCTACTTGGCCAACCGCGATAAACAAACATTTGGTGACGATGCAGATAAATGGCGACCTAGCAGATGGTTAGATTTGAGCCGCGAAGATCGGGTCAAGCTTGAGAACAGTATTCTCACAGTGAGTCGAAGTTTCGATTTTGTCAAAGATGCCCTTGCTGACGTGTAAACCCAGTTTGGCGCGGGACGTCGGACTTGTTTAGGAAAGAACATCGCCATTCTTGAGATCAAGAAGCTCTTTCCGATGTTGCTTTTGAATTATGAAGTAAGTTATCCCCCCCGTTTAGATAAAATCTCTTGTGCTAATACCACCCAGATCGAAATTGTGAACCCTGAAAATTACCAGACCACAAATGCCTGGTTTTTCAGACAGTGGGGCTTGCACGCAGTGATTCGCAAACTGCCAGCACCAGAACGAGATGATACCATTGAGCAGAAAGCTTCCATCCCGCCTGCTTTGAATATTCCTCCTTCATCTTCGACAGTCGATGTGCGAATTATTGACTCGTAAGATTCCTTGATTGCTGGGTTCTACATTATTCTGATTTGGACACAGGGGAACACTACTTGATCTGAGACCTGATTTATTCTGGACACCTGATCTCCCAGGGCTTCTGAAGGTCACAGCTCCAACTTACTGCTTTTTGATCTCAAATGGCAGTCGGCATGTTTTGTTTGACCTAGCCGTTCGACAAGACTGGGAAAACCTCCCACCATCCATCGTGGCCATGATCAAATCGCAAACGGTCATCCAAGAGCCACGCAACATCTCAGATGTTCTTGACTCAGACGAATCCTCCCTGGGGATCCGAAGCAAAGATATTGAAGCGATCATCTGGTCGCATGCCCATTTTGACCACATTGGTGACCCATCAACTTTTCCCCCATCTACCGAGCTAGTCGTCGGACCTGGCATCCGAGACACCCACTGGCCCGGGTTCCCAACCAACCCAGACGCAATAAACCTCAACACCGACATCCAAGGTCGCAATGTGCGTGAGATCTCCTTTGAAAAGACACAGAAGGGAGCCACCAAGATCGGTTCCTTTGACGCCATGGACTATTTTGGCGATGGGTCCTTTTATCTTCTAGATGCTGCGGGTCATTCCGTGGGCCATATCGGTGCTCTTGCTCGCGTGACTACCTCTCCAGACTCGTTTGTCTTCATGGGTGGTGACTCATGTCACCATGCCGGAGTGCTTCGACCCACAAAATATCTTCCTTGTCCACTCGACTCTGGTGACACTTCACTTCCATGCAAATCCGACTCTGTTTTCACGTTATCGCCTGCACTGCCAACTGATTACACTGCTGCTTTGAGGACAGTCGAGAATATTAAGGAGCTCGATGCCTGTGAGGATGTATTCGTCGTCCTTGCTCATGATGCTACCTTGAAAGGGAAAGTCGACTTTTACCCTTCGAAAATCAATGATTGGAAGGCGAAAGAGTACGGCAAGAAGACAAAATGGCTTTTTTACAAGGACATTGAGAATGCCATAGAAGGACAGAAGTAAATAGTGCATGTTTAAAAGTCAATCTTCACCAATCAAGCCTTGAGATATTTGGAATTGTTCAAATAAACCATAGGCTTTCAAAAAAGATGAGGATGTTGAAAAGTAACCAATTGCAAATTTTGGTTAGCGTACCCAATGTACTAGTTTGAAAGTTTTGCGGTACGTTCATCTCGTAAAATGAACTTTTCTTCCGACTGATACGATTGGTGTGGCCATGGCTCGATCGAATTCCCATCTACATCTATGGACATGATTCTAAGATTTTTCCTAAGACATACATCACTAGGAGGATAATTATCGAAACGATATGGGCTCTACTGGCTTTTTGAAAGGGGCTTCAAAATGTGTATCTTTTAGTTTAAACTAACTTTTAGTTTGCCCAAATAACTGGGATAAACATAATTTTTCACAATGTGCGACACGCACAGAGGCTTTCTTTTTAAGAAGAGTACAATTTCTTCTCGTGGCTGTGAAGACCGTGAACATTACCCTCGGTCTGCGCGCTGGCGCTTCTCATCTCAAAGCGAACCTGTCCGTTGTTCACACCGTTGTGCAGGGCCTCAAGATCCTGAACACCGATATCTTGGAGAGAGTGCTGAATACCAGCAACAAGGTAAGGCACGTATTGAGTGATGGAACCGCGGTCGACAACAGATCCCGCAACACCCTGCGCGACCTTGACCTTGTCGTTCTCAGAGAAGTAGCGGGAAGCGCCAGCGTTCTTACCGCCACCACTCTTGCCCTTGTCCTCCATAACAGCGATACTACCCATACCGCGGAAGGCCTTGACCAGCTGACCTTCATTGCTAACGTAGTATTCGCCAGGAGACTCGGTAGTACCGGCAAGCAAGCTTCCCATCATAACTGCGGAGGCACCAAGTGCAAGGCCCTTAACGATGTGTCCCAGGTTCTGGACACCGCCGTCGGCGATAGTGGGAACGCCGAAACGGGCGGCGAATGCAGAAACACTGCGGACGGAAGCAGCCTGGGGGCGACCGACGGCCATGACTTCTTGGGTAATGCATGCGGAGCCACTTCCCATACCGATACGCAGACCGTCGGCACCAGCGGCAATGAGTGCGGCGGCTTGCTCACGGGTAACGATGTTACCGGCAATGATATCGATGTCTGGGAAGGTAGACTTGATCCACTTAATCATAGCAATCTGGTACATGCTGTTTCCCTGACTGCTGTCGACAACGACAATGTCGAGACCAGCGTCGACGAGCTTCTGAAGGCGGACCTTGTCAGCGTCGTGGGTGCTGATAGCCGCAGCGCAGAGCAGCTGCTTGGATGGAAGCTTGGATGCGAGGGGGTAGTGGATGTTCTTCATCAAATCACTGCGAGAGAGGAGGGAGACCAATAATCCGTCCTTGTCCACAATGGGAAGCTTGCCCTTCTTGGAGCTGCGGAGGACTTCATTGGCTTCAGCCAGGGTGGTTCCCGCGGGTGCGGTGACAAGTTCAGTCGACATAACGGCTGTGACTGGATCCTCTGGAGTCTTGTGGAACTGGATATCTCTGCTAGTGACGATGCCGAGAAGCTTGGAGTGGAGAGTGCCCTTCTCTAGAAGCGAAAACGAGTCAGAACTTGCCAACTTCCCGAAGGAGGATAAGTAATGTGTCTTACCGGTCACTGGGAATCCGCCGAAGTTCCATTTGGTCTTCAATTCCTTTGCCTCTGCGACGGTTGTGCTGGGGGACAGAACAACGGGGTCGAGGATGAAGCCGTTCTCATAGCGCTTCACCTTCCTGACCATCTCAGCTTGGTCATCGGGTGGGCAGTTGTTATGAATAACTCCCAGACCGCCCAGAAGAGCCATGTGAATAGCCATGTTATGTTCGGTCACCGTGTCCATGGGGGACGAGAGGAGTGGAGCCTTGATGGTGAACCGCCGGGTCACCTTGGTATCCAAGGAAACGTCCGCTGCTGAGAAAGCTTTGGACGAGATTAGAATACATGGCGGGCACGAATGAGGATCAGTATCTTACTGATAGAGCCGGGCAGGATGAGGAAGTCATTGTAGGTCAAGGCTCCGTGGTTGTCGGAGTCGAGAAGGGTATCGACATGGAGACCATCTCCGGAAGGATACTCCTTCAGGACCTCCAAGGCCTTGGTGTAGTCCAGAATTTCGACCATTATTTATGTGGAGAGATAAGATTGGAGAGAAACAGTATGAAATTTTTGAGGGGGAATAGTTCCCAAAGAAATTCAGAGGGGCAGGGGGGAGGGGTGCCTATTTAACAGGGGGCCCAAAAGTGGCATGCTTAGCGAAACGCCTCTCATGTACGATCTTTGCTCGAAGGCCGTTTGAACCCGTGGGTTTAATTGACTAATGAGCTTGTTATACGCTTGTAATAAAACGCTAGCAGGGGTGGTAAGGAGAAGCGACCAATCAATGCGAAACTAGTCATATTTATAGATCGTCGGTGTGGAACGAAGGATGACGCTTGATCTGCCTGAGCCATACCTAAACGGGGAAGAACACAGGGATCATGACCCCACTGCCCCACACTGCCCCAGTCCCTAGAAAGGGCATTGGTTGAAATTTTGGAAATGTAACTGACTCAATACGCCCGGGGTGTCTCCGAGGCCCTGACACCAGCCTTCGGCCCCGCTTTACCGAAGTTTGAGCGCCGCTAAGAACCTTGGATGATCGCAGCCTAGACTTTCTCAGGTTGGGGGCTAAATCTGGCTTTGTTTGACTCTGACGGGAACAAATTTCTAATTCTTCTTTTCACGTTTAGAACCCGACGATCAGGCGAGTTCCGCTTCAATCAAACTCTCTGCCACGCCGGGATACGAGTATATGTTGACTACCTTCAACCCGGCCCGGGTCAGAATGGATCTCCAATCGGCCTCTGTTCTCTCCTTGGCTCCCATGTGGGCCAGCATGATCAAGTCCATGTTGGTCGCTGACATCACTGGGCGCTCCTCGTCAACAACAATCTCATTGAGGAGCACACGGGAGTAACCCTTCGCCAAAGCAGGAACAAGGTTGGCCATGATCTTAACTGCATCCTCGTCTCCGAAGCCATGAGGAACGGAGTGCATGTAGTAAGCCCGAGCATGCTTCACGGGCTGCGTTGTGAAGATGTCATGGGTCGTCGCTTCAAATTGACGGGATTCATCTGCGGGAATGCTGTTGATGACTTGCTCTCGATCTTGAAGAACAAGTCTTCCTGGGAGCGGACTGAATTGAGAGCCGAAGGTGGCGATGTCATGTCCACGACCACCGCCGACGTCGACCAGCAGAACATCGCTCACAGAGGCGTCAAACCCATTCAGAAGACGGTCTGCGACAGGGTAAAAGCCGTTGTCACACCAGTTCGGCTTTCCAGCGCGATAGGCACTCATGTAAGAGTTAAAGTATTGCAGGTAAGGGGGATTTCCGACAAGCCATTGTGGGAATGAGATGTCAACCTTGTGTGCAGATTGGAATGGGCCATCAGTGGTGCCCAGGGCGGGGGTCTTGTACCCATTGCCTTTAAAAAAGCTCGGGAAAGCACCGAACGAGGGCCTGGACACGTCATGACAGAAACGGATTGATTGTTGGTAGTTTTCAGCGGCAAGGCCGTTGCTCAAGGCAGTGCCATAGAACACTCCGTTGCGGGAAGTGATCACGTTCATGGCCACAAGATGTCTGGCCAAGCGTGCGAAAAGGCTCACATCCATGCCAGTCTTTGAGGCCAGAGCTTCGGCGTTCAAACCCTCTTCTTGGGCATCTTTCAGGTATTGGAAAAGGTTTACATCGGTAGCAAGTCTGACGATAGCAGAAAGGGCGGGCTATTGACTCATTAGCTATGCTTCCAAGGTTCCAATGACCAGCCAAGCTCACCTGAGACCAGAAAGTGTGTTGAATGAATTCGCTTGGAACTTCAAGCGAGGCGATCAAAGCTCTACTCTGAGCAATGAGAGCTTCCCTTGCACCAGATTCATTGTTCTCATATTGTTTGGCTGCCGATGCAAGCTCCTGGATAATGGAGGCTGGGGATGCGGCACTCATGATGTTTCTCGTGGAAGGCTGCGGAAAAGGGTATCACCGGAGAAAGCTAGGCACGATATCATGGCTAGTCTCGCTGACAGGCTATTGTATTTGTAGCCATTTTCGGAGGGGAATCAAGATCTCTGTCTTTCAAGGTTTCGCCATTCCTACACGGCAATTTGGCCCCTCGACCTACAGTGACCCAACAAGTTGATGATTTGGGGGCTATTCATGCATGTCTCCAGTTTCGTAAGATTTAATTGGCATTTACAAGTACAGTGTGCTCCAGGCCTACAATTTCTGGAATGGACAGACGAAGCGGGGTCGAAGTTGTTCGCAATTTCGCGATATCATATCTTTGCTCTAGGGCTTATGTGTATGGAGCTTATATTTTCGCGCTGTGGGCCATCTACAGCATGTATACGTACTCTGTATTGTAGGCTGTCACGATCCACTTCTGCATCTGGCCCTCGGATAAATTACATTGTAAGAAGTACGGAGTATGGAGTGGTATCTGACGATTTGGGGTCTCGCCACCCGATTCAGCATCATATCCAGAGCCCACCGGCCTACAGGTTGAAGGATGCTACTCTGCATAGTACGTAGATGGAGTGTTGCAGCCTAATGCAAGGTTTTCCTCACTCCACTTTGGGGGCGAGAATGATCGGGGTACGGTATGGTATATGCGCCGACATCTTGAAAGTCGGTTTTAATCTCATATTACGTCCTGTTATGACTCGTTTCGCATGTTTCGCAAAAATACGCAACGAAAAAGGAGCAAGACCCGAGCAATGTTTCGGGAAAGTGGATCCTCTGAAAATACGCGCACGCCCTTGTATTCGTATTTTGAGCTAGCGGGAGGATACATGGAAGGCGGGTCTTCCCGCTTACTGTAGATCCGCTAGTAACAATACCAGCATTGGAACATCAACAGCCTTGAAATCTCATCTCGTAAGAATTATCAATGGCAACTACCAACTTCAATGTAAGACCTCGTGTCATCGTGGGCCTGGTTACATTGGCTTCGCCACTTCGAAATTGAAGTTGAACTATACTCCAATGCGTGACCGGCCACATCAGTCAAGGGGGCGGGGTTCAGTCCCACCACTCCGCCTGCATGGCTGGAGTGACACTGGGAGAGAATTTTCTTTGCAGTCCTGTATAAGTTTACGTGGCTAGATTTCTGGCCCCAATTTCCAAGAGTAGAAACCCGGTCACCATGATGAGATTTCTTTTTTCGGGTTGCCTTGTAGCGCAAACGAAGGAAATTGCACTGCCCTCGAACGTCATCTTTCTTTGCATATTCTACAATTACAGAGTCTACGTGAGCCTGACCTGAAAATCATAAGGTACTCCCGAGGTCAACCTTGGAATGTGCCTTATACTTAACTCGAAGAGATAAGGATGATATGTACAAGAAATCGAGACATATTGGAGAATATACATAGTTTTACATTTGAGAACCCGCGACAAATAACTCCTTTCAGCTTGTAACGTGCAATCTAGCAGCTATCTAAAGTTTTCCCTTATCATTCCTCTTCTTGCGTCCACTAGGAATTGGCTTCAAAACCTTATACCAATTTTCTTCAACCGCAAGATGACTTTTCCCATCCCTGTCTTCTTTCCACTGTCTTTCAGTCTGACGGAATCGATCCATCTCCTGCTGAAGCCAGACTATACATGTTTCTGCAACGGTCTTCACTTCTTGGAATGGCATCAAGTGCCCAAACCCTGGAAGAACAACCTCGCGAACCCTCCCATCCGGCACACCTCCGCTCCCACCAATACCCGACCCGCATATCTTGACACCTTCGCGTATCTCATCGATGTTCAAAAACGTAGCGCCGGCTATGACCCATAAGCATGAAGGTCGAAGCGTCTCCAGACGACGGAAGGTGCTTCGGGGTTCCGGGCGGTACAATGGAATATAAGCAACCAGTGGATCCATGTCGGCATGAGTGTCGCGCGGAACTTCAATGCGACCTGTCTTCGGGTCACGGGCATTGAAGTTCTGTCGAATTTGAGCTACGAGCTCATGATATTTTGGTGTCGTCAAAGTGACTGGAGTGGTAGTAGAGTCCGCAGTGGTTCCAAATAGAGCCTTTATGGCCTCAACATCTGGGTAGAGTGGGGTTGGTAGATCGCGAAAGAAGTGTTTCGTCATGCGATCCAAGCATCGGGGATCCATGCCTTGCATGATAGCGCGGTTGGCGCGTATTGCTACTTCCCTGCTTGGCCATACATCATCTCGCCAGAGAGTGTAGTTGATCGCACTCGGAGCGTCAGTTCCAAAGCCCAAAGAGGGTGGACTTAGCTGAATAAGAGGATCGAGCAGTAAGAGAGTAGTAAAAAGACGGGGATGCAAGTAGGCAAGGTTGGTACTAAAAGAAAAAGCCAGTCAGTGCCTTATCATCTCATTGTTTGAGATGGGGAGATGAGATTCATCACAAACATAATATTGCCACCAAAGCTGTGGCCGATTCCAACTAGAGGACGTGGCATCTGGTCCCGGAAATGGTTGATCATCAACAAAAGGTCTCGGGCATGATCCATCCAGGAGCCTAGGATTGATTCTTTAGTCCAGTGAGAAGTATTAGCAGCCAGATGCACATACAATCCATGCTGAGCTTGTCTTCATTGTGAATGCCACTCTGATTCATGCTGGCGACATCGGCCATCCATATGGCACGGATATGAAACCCAGAAGCTTGGTCTAGGAGCTCATCCCATAGTGGCTCATACAGCTCCTGTATTTAATAGATGAGTATACGAGGAACAACACAAGGTCACAAGAGCACTCACCTTTGGCAGACCGACTCCGTGAGTGGCAATGAAAGTGATTGCATCGTCTGGAACCGGACCCTCTCGTTTAGGAGTATATTGTTTGACATGAATCTTCAAAACATCCTCCTGGTTAACCGTACTTCCGGGATATTCCCTAATATGGCTGCCTGGGACCAGGTGCTCAGTGATGGTAAATTTCTCAGTTGACATAATGAAGTGTGTCTTTGGTGAAAATAAGAAGTGACCACAACATCAACAGTGGAAAGAGGGGGATGTATGGAAAATAAATAAAGTACAAGGTTTCAAAGTTCCGTTACAGGATTGGTGAGCGATCTTCTCTTTTTCAAGTTTTGGCCCCATGCAGGCAGCGCACGGAATACTCCGTGGCTGCACTTTAAGTTACATTCTTCCTCCCTAGCTCTGATTTTGAAAGGCACTCTCATCTCCAGAACCTATCGAAGAAGCAAGAATGGATAGCTTTGTAATTTATTATTAGAAAGGAGGAGCAGTGGAAAGAGAGAGGGGTCACTCGAGATCTATCAAACTACGTGTTTTGTAGCCTGACAAATCAGGCACCAAGGCTCCGACACAAGCTTTCGCCTAAGTCTGGGTATAGATCAGATCATGCATCGAGCTGGTGTTAAACTCTGTCAGCATGAAAAATTCGATGACATTTTTCAAAGGTGCAAATAATAACAAAGGACAGCGGAGAATCGAAGACAAAAATATTACCCGGTGGGAGGTGACTGGGGACATGGCTAGCATATATGTTGACGTCCAAACGTGCTGAAAGGCGAGAGCAACGATGGGCAAGTTTGCCTTGAAGTAACCCACCTCGACATGTCTGCCTACTCTCAACTTCGTCTCAGTTTTCACCTTGCTCGATTGCCCGATTGGGATTGGGAGGGCATGAAGGCAACCTAGAGACTAGCTCTATACGTGATATCAGATTTCACGAGCTAAAACTACCTCTTTACTTCCTCGCACTAGCTTCCCACGCGGCCCCAATACCCATTTTTAAGGTTCCATTACAGAGTTCTCTCTCAATCAAAATTTCGCCATGGCTTCCAAGGTTCAGTCACACAATTTTTGCCATTTATACCGATCCCGACTCGATAAGTAAAACCATTTCTACGTTATAGGGTATAGTGTACGAGCAAACTCCAGTTTGTGCTGGCTTTTATTCGTCGGTTGACCGGAAAAGGGATGGAGACGAGAGGATTTCACTTCGAGATCGTGTAACCCATTATCGTTGACACTTCCTCCTGGCCAACTGTCATTCTGGCATGTCGGTCGGTGTTGCTGGTTGATTCATCGCTCGGGGGGCTTTGAAAGGTCAGAGCTCTGGGGTCCATCGGCCAAAATTTTATCATACTTGACAATGGCCCCCTGCTTTAGATGCTCTTTTTGACTCCAGAGTGATGTATCCGTATCAACGAATTCAAGACTCTCTGTGTTGGAGAGGTCCGCAGGTGGGGGGTTGCATGCTTCTGGTAACAGGTTGATCTACGGAGGAGAAGCACAAATCGCCCCGAAACATTAGACTCTGGCCGTTGAAGAAAAAAGACCGACCGGGGAAAAAAAGAAAGAGAGAGAAAGAGATATCGAGACAGGGGGTTATCTGATCTCCCAACAGCTTCCTTCCTCCATGGATTCGCCTCGTCTCTTCGGTCCGTAGCTCTTTAGCTCTCTCCCTCTTCTTTTCTTGTTCTCTCTCCACGCAAATCCGTATTTATCAAATCATCCATATTCATAATCCCTTCTCTGCCATCTAACCACTTGAAGGAAATCTTAGCCCCCTGCTCCAGTGGGCAGCAGCAGACTCTTGAATTGTTGAAAGAATGCATGGTCATTATAGATGTTGTATTCAAAACAAATAGGAAAGATAGAGGAGTATCCCCCATAAGCTCCGAGGAGGTAAGGACAAGACTGGTTATCAAATAGCCATGTGATCGAAGTCTGAGTGTCCCCAGGTATCTGTTTTCTAAAAACGTCGGTGATATTACCTGAGGCCGATTTTAAGAAGAATTTTGGAGCCCTGACTGGCTGGGCTGCTGAGCTCCACTGAGTGTGATTTGATAGAGCCCGAGAGTTTTCTTCTCTCTTCCCCCTTCACCCTTCAATCTGATAATACACTATTGCTTCTCGGGTGCAATTCAACATGAGCACTATTTACCCGTATTTTCTCACAAATTATACACACGAGTTATCCGGACAGTAACAGCGTAGTGCAAACCACACTCTATAAGAGCTTCCTCAATTCTTGACCGCAACACCAGAAGTCTATTCCTCAGCGCACCCGACTGGAATTGTGGTCCATGAGAAGCATCAATCCACCTTAAGCCTTAGCGTGAAAACAACCAAAGCCACATGAACAGACAGAAGCAAGCAAGGTGATGTTGTCCTTGTATAGGTGCAGCTGTATTGAGATTCGGGTTGTATCGGGGCAGATTGCAATAGTTTGCCCCAACAACGCTTCCCTGGTCTTTCTGGCAAAGAGTGAAATTACCCTGCAGCCACCGACCTGCCTCGTTATCATCGACACCGGGCTCAGGCAGACCTTTGAAGAATCGATCGGGTATTTCACACCACTGCGCATTCTGGGACTCGGAGTGAATTGAATTGGGTGAACAGCATGATTTCAGGGCTGCGCTTGCGTTCCGACCAACCTCCCCATCTTCAATATAGTACATACAATAGTTCGTTGAACTTTGAGTTGCGCTTGAGAGTGTTGGGAGGCTCTGTCTCTCTTTCATTTTGGTCTGAAGGGGCTAGATCAGCTTCTGTGGTAGTATCTTGCTGGATATGTATTGCGATAGAGAAAGACGAGTTCGGTGCAAAGCAGACTTACGTCGGACGACTCCCAAGCTCTGGAGATAAGGCTTCTCGGATGTTTTCTTTGTCAGTAAGGGTGTCCAGGTGTTTTGAGCTGATCAAATTCAAAATTGTTCTGGGGTCCAAACAGATTTTTTGATTTGATTATCTTGGCATTGATGAGGGGGCCGTCAAATGGCCCCAGAAACTCTCCGTCATACTGTGCGGCAAATGACTGGATTGTCAAGGAATGGGCTGACTTCAGCTTCCTGTGAGATGACTTTTTGACAGTTTCCATTTACCGCATCATTCTAGTAAATCGTCTGGAAAGTGAAGTTATGCCATTGACTTGTTGGAGGAGAATGTGCAGTCACCTTTCTATACTGAAGCTGGATCCATAGTGCCAATAGCTGCTGAGTTTTCTTGACTAGACTTTAAATATGACCTACCTGGACTCTTGTGAGGGGTTCAATGTCAGATTTTCGAGCAAGCAATGCCTGCAATTGCTGCTGCTGCTCAACAATGCGCGATTGCTTCTCGTTTGCGCGCCCATTTTGGGGGCATCACATGCCCCAGAGACCCTGCTCCAGTGAGTCATCGTTTCTGAACTTCTGCTTCCTCTTAGAGAGCTTCCTTGCTTCATTGATTAAATGGCTTGCTGGAGTGCATAGTCAACCACCTCAGCACTTGCTTTTCTTTTTCATCAAAATCTAAGTCTGGAGGGTGAGGGGTAAAAGGTGCTGCAGCTGCTCCTATTACTCCTCACTTGTGATAACAGTCTGATTCACGGAATAGAAGCACAAATCGCTTCAAAACAGTAGATTCTGGCTGTTGAGGAAAAAGACCGACCGGGAAAAGAAAGAAGAGAGGGAGGGAGGAAGGGAGAGAAAAGAGAGAGCGCACTATCTCGCCATGGGGGTCATCTAACCTCCCTACAGGCTGGTCTCGACACTCCCAATCCTTTTTAAGTGTTGTTCTAGGGCGGGTATCGCTCTGGGTCGATGAGCAGGCGACCTTAACACAAGAAATATCGAAATAAATTACTACAAACCTTGGAAGTCTCTTCTTCCTCAACCAAACTCGGCGCCCAAGTGTACCTTTATCAGGCGCAACGCTGCTACCAACCCAATCAAGGTAACAGTTGTGAACGAAACTCGGCTCACAAGGTCCAACAAATTTCCGGCTTTCAAACAAGGTATTATAGCTTCCAGCGAACCCACGTCCGATCTCGAATCAGCGTTGGATTTAGAAGAGGAATTTAAACCCGACCTCGAGGGAAAGGGAAAGGGTAAAGGCAAACAGGCTGCAGAAGACCAATCGATGTCCGACTCAGAAGAACCACTGTTCAGTTCAGTCAGGACCAGCGACAAGGGATGACCCTAACCTGATGTCGAAAACACTGGAACGAACGTTGTCGTCAATAGCGGATGGGTATCTCAAAATACACCAGTCACTCCTCAAAACCCCGCTGAGTCTTTGACCTCTCCACCGACTGATCGGACCGCGCAGTCGACCGCGTAGCCCACCGCAATCCGCCTACCGTCATACTCACTCAGAACGAGATACAATTCCTGCCATTCTGGTGCGACGGATACACCCTGACAGGCGGCTAAAATGCCAATGGGTGGCTCATCAGAGATGCATATCTCAGTTACAAAGGACCCCACATCCTCAAGGAATGGCTACGCGCGGGACTCGTAGCGCCAATCAACACGCAGTCGGCGTCTCCCAACTCCCACCCAGGCCGCGGATCAAAACAAGGTCATCAACCAGCTCGCCCTACCCACCACTGCATCTCTGAAGCCAGCTACGCTTCTTTTCCCCGAGTGTAACTCCTCCTTCTTACGAAAGGAGATCGCTTCACTGATGAAGGAGATTAACAAACTCGACGTGGATACGCGACTCGCTAATGGGCTAGCTCCGCTGCTAGATTCGACTCAGGTACAGGAATTCCTGCTAATGTACAATCACTGGGTAGCGACATGGGGAGGCCTTCCAGAAAGGAGAGACGCCATTAAGACCCAAATCAACGCGATACCACGAGTGGAAGATCAGAACGTTTTTCTTACAAAACTAGCCACTATCGCTGGACAAGCTGGGCAGGTGGGATTCACCACAGAGTCCCGACCTCCCTCCCCGCTAGCAGAAGTTGAGTCCGATGCACCTGAAGCCGGGGAGTCAGACAGCGAAGAGCCTCCGATGAAGAAGGCCAAGACCGAAGCAACATCCGCCAACAGCTAGCTGAGCAAGAACACCGTCGCCAAAAGAAAATTACCGAAAAGTGGAGATGAAAAAAAAATGGAGGAAACTGTCCTTACCGACCGCAAGAAGATTATCGAATGGTGGCTAGCCAATCCCGTGCTCCCGGGCTCGCGGCCCCATTCGTTCCCCGTTTCACGGGGCTGGATCATGTGTATACTGACAAACACTGAAACTGTCAAGCCGAAGAACATGAGGTTCAAACCTAAGAAGGAAAGGCAAGCTAGCACATGGGATTGGGGCATGTTGCGCACGACGTACCGCTGCGAGGCACAGCACCCGGAGACAACATGGTGCTCGTGATCGAAGCGACGAGCAGTTGGCTGCCAACGACGGTCGTAAATGGTTTCGCAACGGAGACGAACAAGATCAGTACACGCAGACGTCCCGGCCGTGTTTCGGCAACCTTGGAATCACGGGCGTTCCAAAGTCGATTCATACAACTCGATAGATTGGCCCTTGTTTCAAAATTCACACACCCACTACAGAGGAAGACCGGCCACATCAATATCAAATCGGACGAAGAAGACGGCTAGGTATGAGTGAAAAGAGTGGGATCTTGTCATTCGGATTGCTGTGGGGCCATGCCTCGATTGGATCTACTCCATACCGTCCACGGGTGGTCTCTGCAAATTTTAACTGACAGCCCTATGGTAACATGGATCGACCTGGGTATAACATAAGCCTTGTGGACTGCAAATCTATTCCAAGGTTGTTCTTCAATTCAAACAATTTTCTCAAGTGTTCATGGTCATGCCTTCGAGCAAGAGCTTTAGATATCCAAATCCAGGAAGAATATACGTGTAGTACAGAATCGATGGAGATGAACAGTAGGTACAAAGTCCAAACCTCCAAATCTCTAGACCGATGAGGATATAACTGCGAGAGAGCTAGTTTCCTAAAATCTCTCGGAACGGGAGCTGACAAGCCGAGCGCGGATGGCAGATTGGATGAGATGCGATTGAGATCTTCAAGCTACAAATTATTTTCCACTCCCGAGATAAACACAGTCCATGTACGGAGTGAAAAGCCAATCACATTCAATGCCCAAATTGCTGACGGGCGGAGATCCATCTCCGCAGACGGGATCGAGCTCACGACTCCGTACGGAGTACTCCGTACTCGGACACGAACACGCCCCTGACGCGCTAACATGGTTGGACCCGCGGCTGAAATTTGGTCCGAGGCTCCTGGAAACAAAGTCGAGCAGACGGAGTATTGAGATGAGCACCTACCCATTGTGGGTATCTCCCTAGTCGATCACTTGACCCGACGAGGCGGGTGCGCTTGAATCAAGCTGAAGTCTTGAAGGCATACGGAGTACGGAGTAGCATGTGAAATAACCGACGGACCAATATGTTCAGGGCAGGATACGGGGCAGAATAGGGTGTGTTCAGCTGAACTTCAAAGTGGCCCCGGGGATGCAATAGTTTACTCATTGGGCTGCATGGGACAGGGCAGGTACTCCGTACACGACTCGTCTGTACGGAGCAATGTGCGGCTGGTGGAGCTATGGTTCGCGAAATGTGCTTATGACGGGTCCACTACAAGGGATGGCCAGAACTTGCAAGGTTCAGCACTGCGCCCGAACATGCACAAGTGTCAATTGGCCGGTGATGCAAGGGAGCGGGATGTATGTAGCGTGCGAAGAGACGGGTACTCCGTATAGCGCCGTAGCTCCGAGGTGCATTACGGGATACTCCGTACTACGAAAGATGACTGATGACTGTGCTTGACCAGAGACACCTCCGGGCTGACCTCAGATCTATGGAAAGAGGAGGTTACGGAGTAAATCATTGAAACTCGCTAAGAAGAAAGGCGGGAACAGAATAAATTAAATCGTCAGAACCTAATCTTTGTTTTGATCTCGATGGATTTCGATGGAATTCACCGATCCGAATGTAGATCAGATCGCCAGATCGCGTGGATCTATATGACACATAACCCTAGGGCGGCTGATGTGTATCTCGATCTCATAGTCTATTCGTGATATTCCGTGATATTCAGGGGAAGTGTTCAAGTTTCTCCCTCCAATCACGGCGTCTCCCAAGCTCCAGGAAGACGCGGTGAGAGCTGAACTTCCTTTTTTTATTATTTTCTTTTTTATTGGCTTCCTCTCCTTGTGGATGTGGTTACTCCGTATTTCCCTGCGGGCTTCTGATTTTTGCCCGAGGCCGAGGTCGCCAACCGAAGAAGACCGAGAGAAGATCAAGTGAAGGGTTTTAAGGCTACTCCATACTGTGCTCCGTCTTCGGCGCTCCACATGAGCCTTTTACCAAGACTGGCACTAATTGTAGGTCTGTTCCTACTCCGTGTCCGTGGAGTAGTCTACAAGAGCCGAAGTTTGAGAAATAATCTGACGCTGTACAAGTGTACACCGTACTTCCTAGACATGACATCAGATGCAGGTCAGCCAAAGTCTAGTATATAATAGTATCTCCAGGGCTCTACCAGGGTGTCTAGGCAAACAGTCAATAGTTTAATAATTCAATACATTAGTTCTCAGGGGACCTGACAAGTACAAGTGCATTGTTTTGTCTAATACATCAGAGCTATAAGGTACTTTTGTACTTCTGTAATGTGGTCATCCCCGGCCCGGTGATTGGTTGGACAGATCTGAACACTCACCATTGGGTGGCTTTTTTTTTCTCTCTCTCTCTCTCTCTCTCTGCCTTGTATGAGAAAATTGAAATTGAAAGAAGCAAACAAAATAGTAGAAATACGCAGCATCTAGCCTAACGCCCAAGGGAAATTTGAGAGGACAAATACGGAGTACAGAAAGTGCTACAGCTGAGCGTGCAGCGTGCAGCGTACAAAATCCGACAGATCGGCCCACTTTCTTTATTTTTTGCTTCACATTTTCTCCTTTTTTCCTTTTCCCGCCAGTCTTGTGAGTCACTTTCTTACATATAAATTCCTCTTGGTCTTCCTGTGGGATCATCCATTCTTGTTTGTTTAATATATCTTTAATACTAATTGGTTAGCCTTTTGTTTTCACAATGCCTCTCGTCAACACCACCGAAGTCAACGAGGACACTCGTGGTATGTACCTGTCACTGGCTAAGCCCTGGAGCTGGCTGTCGTTAGTTTTCTGAATGTCACCGGCTAATTGAACCTCTAGTCCTTGGATACGACCCTTTGCTGTCTCCCTACTTCTTGCAGAATGAGATCCCCGCGGTGAGTCACTTTTTTCCCTCCCACCACCCACGGCTGGCCACCCCGCCTTCCGCGCAAAAAACCGCCCGTTTCAAAATAAAAAATTGCACCAGCTGACAAGATGATTTCAATAGCCCGCTCGCGCCATTGAGGCCGTCCGCGCTGGCCGTAACCAGGCCGTGGAGATCATCGAGCAGCGCGATGACCGCCTGCTCGTCGTCGTGGGCCCCTGCTCCATCCACGACCCGGACACCGCGCTCGAGTACGCCCGCCGTCTGAAGGAGATCTCCACCAAGCTCGAGAAGGAAATCTGCGTCATCATGCGCGCCTACCTCGAGAAGCCCCGCACCACCGTCGGCTGGAAGGGTCTGATCAACGATCCCGACATCAACGAGACCTACAACATCAACAAGGGTCTCCGCGTCTCCCGTAAGCTGTACACCGACCTCACCAACACCGGTCTCCCCATCGCCTCCGAGATGCTCGACACCATCTCCCCACAGTACCTGGCCGATCTGATCTCGCTGGGTGCCATTGGCGCCCGCACCACCGAGTCCCAGCTCCACCGCGAGCTGGCCTCCGGTCTCTCCTTCCCCATCGGATACAAGAACGGCACAGACGGCAACCTCACCGTCGCCGTTGACGCCATCGGCGCCGCCTCCCACCCCCACCGTTTCCTCGGTGTCACCAAGCAGGGTCTGGCCGCCATCACCAAGACCGCCGGTAACGAGCACGGTTTCGTCATCCTCCGCGGTGGCAGCAAGGGAACCAACTATGACCGCGCTAGCATCAAGGCTGCCCGCGAGGCTCTCCGCGCTAAGAAGCAGCGTGAGGTCGTTATGGTCGATTGCTCCCACGGTAACTCCAACAAGAACCACCTCAACCAGCCCCTTGTCGCCAAGGAGGTCTCTGATCAGCTGCGTGAGGGTGAGACTGGTATCATCGGTGTCATGATCGAGTCCAACATCTACGAGGGTAACCAGAAGGTTCCCCCCGAGGGAGCTGAGGCTCTTCTCCGCGGTGTCAGCATCACGGATGCTTGCATCAACTGGGAGATGACGGTCGAGGTTCTCGAGGATCTCGCTGATGGTGTTCGTGCTCGTCGTGCGCTCCTGAAGTCCCAGACCAACGGCTCCCACTAAGTGCGTAGCGGGAATTCGATAGTTTCGAGTTTCTTGTCTTCGTCCGTGGAGCTGGCATTAGTACATGGTGCTGGTTTTGCGTGTTTTTTTCTTCTTTCAGCGGTTTCCTTTGTAACTTTTTTTCTTTTCCTTTTTTGTGTGTGGTGCCAAAAAAAATATGAGGGTTCGTTTCTGGGAAGGATTTCGTTAGTGGTGGGATAATCCATGGTGAAAGAAAAAGTTATGCTCGAGAATGGCATCTGCCCCTTAGATATCTTTTTCTCAAATTCTAAAGTGTTTTTCCACCGATTGTCTCTCTCCTACTTATAGGCCTATTTCTATTTTTTTCTCGCTCCACCGTGGACCACTCGTGGTGTCTACAATGTGCGCGGGAAAGCGCTCTGCCGGAACTGAAAGATGGGTCCCTCCCTCTTTGGGACTTAGTGCACACCCTTTTGGTTTTGTTTCGGCTAGACTCGGTGCTTGTTAGTCACTGGGCAGTGTGACTCTGACATGCTGAGCTTATGTGGGTTGTGGGTTGTGGCTAGTGACCTGGAGAAGTAGTCTATTCAGTCCAAGGTTCTGCGGAGTACAGGCGTGCAAGGACATCGGGTCACAGGAAGTTACTTCAGAAAGTTACTTGTGGAAAATAGAATTGAGAGCAGATAGAAACAGATCTATGTACTGTACACGATATACATGGAGACCAGCCCAAACACTCATAACAAATGTCAGACAGGCCGTATAGACTGGAAACACATTCCAGGGCAGAAAATGAGAAATTAAAACGCCGTGAACCCCCTGGGACGATGGAAGCAGCCCACGACAATGGTGGTCTGCTATGCAAGAGAAAAAGGTATTGTGGATGTCGGAAGGTTGAGGATCGGCAGAGCGGTAGATGGGATCGGTTCATTTGCGCGTGGAGTGTTGTCCGTCCCACTGCGCGTGCTTGTACGTGTACTACGTAACGAGTAGACGCTGAGGTCAGATCAGCACAGCATACGGGTCCTCGGAACTCGCATGCAGGCAAGGTCATGTCCACCCGCCCATCAAATAAGCGCCGCCGTTCGTGTGGTTGCCTTGAAGCAGGTTATTGTCCATCTACCGCCCCGTCAACCAAGAAGTCCAGCCCTTCGTCGTGGTCTTGGCGGCATCCTCCACGCGCTCGGCCATGACGTCCAATTGACCCGGCAGGGGAGCGCCGGTCTTTGCAGAGGCAGCGTCAATTGCCTGCTTGGCTTGCAGTGCCTCGGTGACACTGCCCTTTTGTTCCGCGCTCTCTGCCAGTGTGGGTGCGGCACCGCTATCTTCGGCGTTGAACTTCTCGAAGAGGAATCGCTTTGCCTTCGCCCAGGGCTTCTGTGCCTTCTCCTCATCGCGCTTCTGCTTGAGAATATCTTCAATCTTCTCTTTCTTGACGAGCTCTTCCTGCTCGATAGTGGCGGTGCCGTTGGCGATAGCAAGCTCCGCCTGTCGAAGGCTCGCGACTTCGCGCTCGATCCAGAGTTCGCGTTGGCGGCGGTTGTACATTGTCAATGAAACAAACGTGTAGACTGTCAGAGCAGCACTGACACCTAGTAGCCAGAGTAATTAGTATCGTGCACGGATGAAACCGGGAGCTGCATGGATGCATTAAAAGCAATCGTATGTTGCAACACCGTCACTCAGCTGAAGGCAGATAAAACATACCAGATGCAGCAATCAAAGAGTAAACCAGTCCCTTGTGCGCCTTGTTGGCAAACTTCCGCCCAAACTCGATGAATCGATCCGCGCTGCTTCCCGCTGCCTGTGCCTGCTTCGCAGCCCGTGCCTGGGCTCGCAGTCGTTCAACCTTCTCCTTGGGTGTCTCGGGTTTGCCATTGGGTCCGGTCTGTGGTGATGCTTTCTTGGACTTCTGTGCGGAGAAGTCGGGGGCGCTGCCGGTCTTGGAGCTGGCGTAGGGCCCGGTGGCCGTGAACCGTGTTGCGTCGGCGGCTGATCGGGACATGGCGTGTTATCCCGTGTTCAAGGATCTAGTCAAGACAAAAGTATTTCCGACAGTTCGCCGCGGGTGGGAGGACTCTGTTGTGGGGATTGAGCTGTGCGACGTTGAAAGCCGGGGAATTGGAGGTGGTAAATTTTCACGGGTTGCGCCAAGACATCCAAACACCTTATGATATATGCGCCTCCGAGATCCCGACCACCTTGCTGTACTCGGTATAAGCTGGATTCTCTGTGTCTTCGCTCTGAAAAATACTCGTCTTATTTCCATCTGGGCTATTTATATTCGTTCTATCTCCGTCGGGGTTCATCTTGACTTTCAGCATCACCCGTCATTATACATTATCCCTGGGATCGACATCCTTGTTTTGATCCCCCAGATCTTGATATCTCAATTCATCAGACCTTCATTATCTGGCCGTTCAACATGGCAGAGCAGAACTATAATGCCGCAGACTTGAACTCAGTTCTTCAAACGCTTTCAAGTCTAGCGCCTCAAGCTCAAGTCTCCCAGAACACCACACCCGCTCCTGCTCCACCAAAAAGATCATTCTCCAGTACCAAGACCAATGCGCCACCAGGCCAAACTCAGGATCCGCGCCAGAAATATCCTCAGCCATCACCATCAAATCGTCCGTCCACCTCTACATCTGGTGCAAACTCTTCAACTATCACCACATGGCCAATAGCGCTCCGCCATGTCATGCGCACTGTTGGTCAGAACGAAGAGACGCAAATCAGAATCCGCGGAATGATCCGAAGCCAGCACCACCATGAACAGAGTTGGTTTGACAGTCGACAGGCATTAATAAAACAGCAGCAAGGGCGCCCCCAAAAGCAGCGAGAATTGGATGCTGTTCTGTGAGTCTACATTGCAGGTCATCACATTTTACTACTTGCTGATCACTATATAGACGATCGATAGGTGCCCCGGTCAAAGAGGATGACGGCTCTGTATGGCTCCACATTCCCAGTCTTGTATTATATCTGTTTACTGACTGTGCCACAGACGGAGAAGGAGCTTGCTGCGGAATTGAAAACCTACGATCTTAAGGTGCATGCGGCGGCTGTGAAAATGGCGGATGCCCTCGCTGCTGAGCTACGGGGGATGGACATTCCGTTCTTTACGCTTCGCAAGGATCTGGTGAAAGACGCTCCGAATGCAGGAGACTCTGTTCAAAGTAAAGCCAGCACTGCGGCGGCTTCATCTTCAATTACGAAACCAGAACTGCTGGACCTGCAAAATCGCATGCTTGGATTGCTGGAGGACCTATGCAAAGAGTAGGGCAATACTCAAACAACAGGTCCTCTGGTTTCCACCTGGTTTTCTATGTATACCATTCGCTACTAAACTAAACTGGGGCCGTGCTATTGAGTGTCACAGATCAAGGATTCTTATCGATGACTTCCAAGTTCTTGATCTGGAAAAGCGTTGCTATGAATGTATTAGCATTGTGATCCGGAAACAACCCAACCGAACCACGGCTTCACGCCGATGTGCGCTTCAGAGCGCATTGCCTGGGTGGAATGGGGCGGAGGGTATTGAACACTTACTTCCCGTGGGACCCGGCGTCCCACTACTCCCCTCCATCTGCAGATCAATAATCAAGTTCAACGGCTCGCCAACCAAACCCCCAGCATACTGCGTGGTGACCAGCGATCCATCCAGATAGAAATTAACGCTGACATCGGCACCATTCTCATCCCGCAACTCAGCCTTCACAGCATGGAACTCCGTGGGGGATGGATACTCCACATCCTTGGCCTCAACCTCACTCGAAGAATTGAAAGTATTGAAACTGATATCGCCGGATCCCTTCCACTCAGCGATATCAATCTCAGGGGGCCAGGAGTTGACTCCGTTAAGCCAAAACGCAGGCCACGTGCCCTTATCCACAGTCGCGATGAAATCGACCGAGAAATCAAGGCCTCCACCTGCCTCAACCGTGAACTGTTGCTTCGCATACACGGTTCCGGAATCATACGCGTAGTCCGAGGCCCCCGTGTACGTCGCGTTCAGGGTCAGGGTGCCGGCGGTGGAAATCACCGCATTGGACTCTTTCATGATGGCTGCGCCATTGTGCGTATCGCCCCATGGATAGCCGTAGCTGAAATACTGGGTCAGCGACGAGGTCGAGTCAAAACACGAGGTCGGAATCAGGGTGGTGTCTCGTTTGGCTAGTTCGCGGCTCGGCAATGCGGATGCCAGGTATGGGAGGGCGGCGAGAATGTATGAGGAATACATGATTCTATACTGCCCGAGTGTCCCTTTCAAGAGCGGCTGGTTTTCTTTGATGCGGAAAGCCGTCCCAACTTATAGATCGCGCCCATCTCGCTGTAAGACACTATCAAGCCTAGAGATAGAGATCTGCATGGCATGATATTGTCCGGGGAGCTAATGCACGATGGATTAGGCGAGTAATTATCCGAGACTTTGGCTGCAGGATCGACGAGATTCAAGGCAGTCTTCGTCGTAGTGGCCTGCGCCGGAAACTTGAATGTTGATTAAGTCGACACCCCGCTCGGAGATGGATACTCTTTGGGAGAGGGATTTGCACCCCGCCGGAGCTCCTGTAGATGATGTTACATCTTCAGTCTCCTCTCTCCTAGACGAAGCAGGGCATGCGGTGTTGATGTGCTGCTGTATCTGGTGAATTTCCGAAGTGATGCAATCTTGTAGATTAATCACCTTCCAAGGTTACTTTCCGATCGAGGATTGAACGCATTTAAGCATTTCAGTATATCCCCAGCCGTGAGGTGGTTCCGCACTCTCGCCTATGTATGGAGTACTTCGGCGAGACTAGCAACTCAAACATTGTATCAGGGTCGATCACCCGTGTTTCAAGCCATGGAGCTCAAACAGGGCGTTTCCTGTCAATCCCTGTCAATCATCGGGGGTGACACTTTGTATCGCAGATCTTATTCGCCGACACCCGTGAATTCTTATTCCATCCTCGTCTTCGGGTTTATATTCAAGATGGAAATAGGTGTCTTTGGATTGGTCTCCTACATTGCGAAATATAGTTGCTGGTTCCCCTAAGCTTACCAGGTTCAGATCAGAGCCAGAAGATGACCTCGGGAGATCTTTGCAAGGGGTTCTTATCCTAGATGATCTTTGTGGCCTCGGGGTCCTATACAAAAGTTCTCATCTATTTGAATAGACTGCCATATTGATCGTTGATATTCTTTAATGAAAGGCTGGAGGTATGAAGAAGATGACGTGAAAAGGATGGCGGCTGACATATTCCGCCTCCGTCAATCGCCGACCGAACGTTTCTTCACCCCAACATGACTCCCAGGACAAAGTCGAATGGGCTCGCATCGCTCGCTTGTACCGAATGCAGAAAGCAACATCTAAAATGTGATGCCAGCAAACCCTCCTGTTCACGATGTGTACAGAGTGGGCTTCCTTGTCAATATCTACCCTCTCGAAGGGGCGGCCGGAGGAAATCCCGACAAGAGAGCCCATACTCGCGCAATCCAGCAACCGTGAGTTTTCAACTTCAATTTTCTTAACTATTGAGTTTTGTACTGAAAACAACCACAGACCGGATTTCGACCTGCAGTTCCAGTCTTGCCAATTACCCCTGCGCAATCTACGGGGAACCCTCAAACAGGCGACACGGGACTTTCTCTTCCCACTGAGCCAGTTTCTTGGCCAGTGATGCTCTCGAGGAATGCTACCCAGCAACCTATCGAATCAGTGAGCAAACATTCACTTTTTGACGAGCGATTGCCTCGGGTCTATTATGAAAACTTCCATGTTGCCCACCCAGTTTTGGTACCGAGCTCCGTGTATCATGATCGGAATTACCCACGCTTTCTACAGCTCGCAGTGCATTTTGTGGGCTCTCACTATATTTCCTCGGTGTCCAGCCAGCCTTACAAAGACCAAGTCATCGCCGAGTTGAAAACAAACCCGGATCGATCGGCTTGCATGGTCCAGGCTTGGCTGATATATTCCATTGCTCTGTACGCGCGTGACGAATGGCAAGAGGCACAAGAAGCTCTTTCTAATAGTATTGATATTGCTTTGGAGATAGGTTTGAATCGCTGGTCATTTGCTTCGTCTACGAATCCTGAAAGATCCATTGAAGCCGAGAGCATGAGGCGGACATGGTGGGAGCTATATGTTACCGATGTATTCATGGCGGTTCCTCTCAAGACTACGGCGTTCCGCTGTAGCGCCGTTACCCCGGAGGTTGCGCTGCCGTGCGAAGAGTCCGCTTATAACAGCGGAAGCGAGGTTCCGAAACCTCGACTGATCATCGAGTTCAAGCGCAGGATTCTTGCTGCGGAGGATACTGTTTTCTCGTCTTACAGCTATCGTATCGAGGCGATCACTATCTTATATCGGGTCCTTGTGCTGAATCGGATGCGAGACTGTCACAGAGATCACCTTCAAGCGGTCGAGAACGCTTTGGTGAGCTGGATTAACCATCTACCACCAAAGAAACTCGACATCGTCGATTCGTATGGGAATGTCGATGAAATGATGTTCCAAGCACATTTGACAATAGCATACGCTGCTATGCTCTTACACCTCCCACGGAGTGATCTCCCAGCCGTTCTATCCCAATCACAACCAGATGACCGATTCTGGCCCGGTCTGACGGGTCAACTTTCATCAACATTCAGCCGTCTAGTCCACAGCATCAAGGCGACAGAGGCATCGAGACGAATCTCAGATTCTATATCTATTTGTCCCAACGTCTCAAAACATACTCCGTTCATCATTCCCGCCCTGGCCCTCTGCGGCCTAATCCAGCTTGCCACTTCAACCAGCCATTCCGAGGAATGTTTCGACCACCATTGCAATCGGGTCACTCTCATATTAGGATGTCTCAAAAGCACACAGCGAACCTGGAAACTCACCGAGTCCGTCTACCACGGCCTCCGATCCTCTGCCGCAGATGTCTTATCAGACTCCATAACGAAATGGAATGCAGAACCACTCCACCGATTCACTCCGGCAGCCACAACCCCAAGCGATGACCGTCCCAGCAGCGCGAATCAAATCCCCGCTACCATGTCCGACGGCCACGACTTCATGCCCCCAGAGTTTTCCCCTGCTTTCATCGACCCCTCATGCTACAACGCATCCTTCTTCAGCGCCATCCCTGACTTTGATATTAATTAAATCGGCTATACCCGGGTTGTTCCCAGTGAATCAAAACCTCACAGATATCCTTTTACCTAAAGGCTTCTCGGCATACCAGCCGGCTTCGTCATCCAGCATTATATTGCATATATGGCTTCGTAGTGTATGCCCCAGATACGTCAGATAGGGATTCAACATGATCTATCAAGAATCCTCGTTGGTACTTTTCGTCAAACGCCGATTGCGCGGTCGCCGATTGCCATATATTCGAGCCGTGATTGGTCGACGGGCACGGCAAACTCCGCCCGGGCTTCCAGTTGGAGCGCATGTCCTTGTCTCGTGCAACAATCCAGGCGCCAACTATCATCATAGACGCTTGATACGAAGTACTCCGTACATTCGTTGGAAATGATAGCTCGTCCTGCCTAATGATTTAGATAGAGTCGAGTTGAACATTGCAAGTAATTCCAATTGGCTGGATCCACTTTGGCATGCAGTGTCATGCTTCTCGCCCGTTGTACTTCGAGATAGGACGGAGTTGAGAATTCATCGGACTATACCTGGGTATACATAGGTTTCACCGACTATTCCTCCATCGGGTGCCTTTATCAATTATCCGGGGATAAGCGTACATGAAAATTGTTGGCAGTTATGTGTGTAGATCGCCGTCCACGGGTTGGAAGGGGAGGCATTGGGCTCGGATTGAACTCAGCTCATACCCTTACATCATAAATCACACGAGAGTCGAACAAGCTGCATGTCTATTGCGTTTTAAGTCATGGCGATGGCGTTATGGGATGTCAAAAAGTATCAAAAATGGCTGTTTTGAAATTGGGACTTTAGAAATTAAAAGGATTGTTCTGATTTTTGAATTGGAAAATTTTGTAGAACTGCAGGGCTGTTTTTGGGGGTCCCGACCAATTATCGTGTCCGGGGAGCACGATGGAAACTACAATAGATTTTAACGTCTTCAAACAGAATAACTATACTTTATTTCTTTAATGACGGAGAATACCTAGCAAAATTCAACGTCATATATGTTCAGGCCTCTGGACACTCTCAGGCGAGACTGGAATCGGTCTGGGGGCGCTGGAATGCAAGGCATTGGATCAATCGGCGATTGAGGCCCATTTTTGCGATTGAGATCGCACGGGGGGTTTTCAGGGGAATGAAACACATGCACCATCTAAAAAAAAAGATATTTATCGTCGTGGTCTCCAGCTAGATTCTCGGAAATTTCATTCTTTCTCGTTTCTCATCTTTCACAATGCCCGCTGTCGTCCCCCTACTCCCGTCTAGCGTCCTACCGGACTACAAGCACTACACACCTGAATACAACCTCGACGACCTGGTTCGGGATATCAAAGCGTATCTAGGAACTAGCGGTGGTATTTCTTCGGCGGAGGTGGATAACGAATACTTAATTTCGTTGGCACAGAAGTATATCTCGGATCCGAACGATTGGGCGCGATATTTCTACAACGACACTAGCAAGAATTACACCCGCAACGCTATTGAGAACATCAATCAGAAAGCAAATATCGTATGTTATTTCTATTCTTTCCTTTTGTATACGACTATGTTCCAAGGTCAGGGTTAACCCATCCCAGCTTCTCCTCGTATGGAACCCCGGGAAAGGCTCTCCCGTTCACGACCACGCCAATGCCCACTGCATTATGAAGATCCTGGCTGGCACGCTGCAAGAAACCGTCTACCGTATCCCGGACCAAGAGTCTGATCGGGGTCCACTGGAGATCAAATCAGATACGCGGCATACTATGAACGACGTGGCTTATATCTCTGATGATATCGGGTTACATCGTGTATACAACCCGAGTAGTGATCAAGTTGCTGTGTCTCTTCACCGTGAGTTGCCCTTTCAATTTCGTCTTCTCGGATAGAGCTGACAGAGGTTTAGTATATACACCTCCGAATGCGGCAGACTATGGGTATAATGTCTACAACGAAGCCACGGGCAAGGCATGCTTCGTACCTCAGGCCAAATCTGTTCCAGCGAAGGAATGAGGTCGGGTCGGTCTTTGCTGTATTGCATGAGCCGGTGGAGTATTGATTTTAGGGTTGGCTTGGCGCTGGCGCCAGGGTGTTAGGTGGTAAATTTAATGACATGACGAAGTTCTTCCAAGGTTAACATTTTTCTGAGGCGAATAGATGTAAAAGATTAAGGAACATGCCACTTGACCCACCTGGAACCGGGCGGAGGGTCGGAAGGGCTAAAGACCGGCGCAAAGACCGTTGAGCTTAAGGTGGAGGTGGATAAGAGTGAGGCTGAATGTCGGTGGTCGGCCGTCATCCTCCGCTCTTTGCGGTCGGCTTTTGGAGATTCACTACTTCATCGGCGCTCGGCGGGTTCTGGCCCCGATCTTTGTGGTATGCTGAAGTTCTATAAGAATTAGCCTCGAATCTATAGCATCTTTAAAACTATCAATCATAAAAACGAAGTCTTAATCATGTTCAGAACAGGCATTTTATCTCGACCCGTAACAAGGTCCGTCGTCTCGGTGCTCGCTATAGGCTCCGGAGCCTACATCACCCAATCCTTCCTCTCAACCGCCTACGCAGAGTCAAAAGAAGCCCCCAAAGCCTTCTCAGGCTTCGGTTTCACAACTCTACGTCTGCACAGCACCAAAGATGTAAACCACAACACGAAAAGACTGGTCTTCGAATATTCAGACCCCACTGCCACCAGCGGTCTCTCCCTAACATGTATGAAGCTCAACCCAACCCACGCCCACCATTAGCCCATTCTAACAATGTACAGCCTCACTCCTAACATTGACTCGCCCGGAAGGACGATGGCTCCCCGTCCCACGACCATACACACCCATCAGCGATCTAGGTAAGCACACCAGGAAAACCCAATCACCGCATTCACTCACAATTAGCAGACCAAGAAGGCTACATCGAATTCATGGTGAAGAAATACCCAAACGGCAAAGCTAGCACGCACATCCACTCCCTCGTCCCAGGCGACACCCTCACATTCGCAACTGCATTGAAAGGACACCAGTGGACACCCAATCAAGCCCGTCAGGTCTACCTTATTGCCGGCGGCGCTGGGATCACGCCAATCTACCAGCTAGCGCAGGGAATCCTGAAGAATCCCGCTGAAAAGACGAAGATCAATCTTGTTTTCGGGGTTAATACTGAGCAGGATTTACTGCTCAGAGAGGAATTGGAGGTGTTTAAGAACCGGTATCCGGATCGGTTTGAGTATACTTATGTTGTTAGTCATCCTGAGGGAGGGGCTGATGGGTTCCAGAAGGGTTATGTTACGCAAGAGTTGTTGAAGGGTATCATGAAGGATGGGGATGCGAAGGTCTTTGTTTGTGGGCCGCCTGCTATGGAGAAGGCTTTGGTTGGACCGTGTGGGAGAGCTGGGATTCTGGCTCAGCTTGGGTTTAACAAGAGTCAGATTGTGAATTTTTAGACTCGGGGCTGGTTTCTATGGACAAGCCATTGTATAACAAATGTATTCATACCTGCCCGCGTTTTTGAATCACATAGTTGACCCCGAGGTAGACAAAGCTGTATGTTCTGAAAGGACAGAGTGTGGACTCGTAGGAGCCATATTTAATGAACACCTGAGATATTTCCAGAAAATACACCTAAGCAATTAACACACTACGGAATAGACTGTACTAGCTTCGGCAAAAGAGAACCAAAAAGCGCCACGATCGACTGCATCGTCAACGTAAACGCGGCCGAGCGGCAGGGTGAGAGCTGTCGTCAGCCACGCCCGATTCAAGTCTTCAAGTCCACGTGTCGCCCTCGCTATCTGATCATATTCCCATTTTTCTGCTTGCATCTCTCTCCACTGCTCTAGCACGTTTCACCCGTTCGCCCCGCCCCGACAGCTCAATTTTGCGATGACCAGATAGCGGTGTGTGCATACAGATTTGGCAGGTCGAGAAGAACCATTGACGTAAAGTCTAGTTTCCAAACGGTCATTGATTGAAATAAGTGTCAGGCTGGTCCAGGATTTGTTTCACCACGAGCTCAGGCGTGCAGTAACATCTGGGGTTCAAGTGTGCGGTTGCATACGGAGTACTATGTAGTCAAAGCACCGGTGCCGGGTAGTGGAGCGAAGATCGATTCCTGAAATGTCTAGACAAACGGGCGAGTTTCTCAAAGAAGCACTAATGCAATTCCGAAACATTGGATTGAGCAACCGGGGGTATCAGGATTGTTTGAAAAATTGAGATTCACAGTATATACAGAGACATGTGGGGGATCATCAGAAAACCGGGTAACAAGTAGTAAGTAATCCGAGTCCAAAATATTACAAAGAAGAGATCAGTTCAAGTCCCCAGAAAGAAACCCAATATAGATCCTTCAAGCGCAGCTTGGAGAGATAAGTATAAGTAACAATAAACGCCAAATGGTGGGGGTATGATATGCATGAAATGGCCAGCGAGGCCTCAACTGTCCCTCTCTTTTTCTTTTGTGTATCGACTTTGTCAGTCCTCGGGCGAGCCCGGTTCGATATGATGCAAATGCGAAACGAAACGGTATGCAATGGTGATCATGTAGAATTGGAAAAAGGTGTCCATAATTACTCCCGTCCGGTGGAGGTGAGTCGGATTTCTTCCGTTGGAAGTCCTTCCTCGGAGGGGACGTGCTGGTAACTGCGCTTGCGGCGCTGGCTGAAGAATCGCCAGAGGGCATAGCCGGCTCCACCGAGCGCGCCTGATACCAGGAGGAAAACAAGGAGGCTGCCGAGCCCGCGAATGATGTCGTAGGCTTTGTAGACAGCCTTGGCGACTTCCTTAGCATCGGCATATTGGGCTGCGGAGTGGTCGCTGGAACCGATCGAGCCGGTGGAGTTGGTCGAAGTGCCATCGTTGATGACCTCGGCGGCTTTGTCGCTGCTGAGGCCGGATGAAGATGAATCCGTCACTTCGTTGGCGGCAGCAATGATAGATGGGTCATCAGGGCTAGGGCCGGAGCTGGAGCCACCCCATCCAGCGGCCTTCCAGTTCGTTGGGATCTCAGTACGCATGACGTTGGAAGTGTGCATGACGTTTCCTTCCGCATCGATTGCTTCTGCGGAAACCCAATCCATGTAGCCATCGGCAATGTACATAGTCTCGAAGTCGGTCTTGTTAGTCGACCCAATGAGCACCGGGTCGCCGCGATCGTAGGACTGGGCGTAGAACTTCCACTGCACGACGTCGGTTGCGCCGTTCCAGCTAACGTGAATCAGTGTAGTCGTGTCCTTGTCGTCGGTGCCATATACATTAGAGACCACATCTGGAGGCGCGACCGGGCGACCGGTGAACTCGCCCTTGTAGGCGCGGTATGTCGAGTATCGATCCGAGGTAAAGCGACCGGTCATGAGGAGATCGCCGTTCGATGCGTGTTCGCTCGAGTAACCGCGCTCACTCCATCCAACGAAGTAGTTTCCATTAGGAAGAGGGCGGAAACTACCACGAAGTCGAGTGAGGCCGCTGTCGGGGCGGTTGATTCGACGAATCACACGTGCTGTCATAGGGGTAACGCCAGTGTCCAACTCGATGATGAGACCGGATGAAGTATTCTCGTCATTTCCGCGCTCGTCCGAGGCGTTGTTCAGTACCGAGATAACGTGGTGGGTGTCATTAGAGGAGACGAACTTGGCGTCGTGCTGCTTGGAGAAAGTGAAATCCTGGTCGAAGTTGCTCTCCAATCCACCAAGGCGCCACAGAATACTACCATCCTGACCAGAGATCAAGTACAAAGTGTTGGTGAATCTCAATGAGATCAGGTAGTCGCCTGCCGCGTTCTTGTCGACGGCGTTGATGTGCACATAATCCCAACCTGGCTCACCAGCTGGGTTATCCCAAGCGTGGAACATGTTCGACTCGTGGAGGGCGATCTTATCCAAAGAGTCCCATTGGACCAAAACCTCACTAGTCTCGACATCCAGCTCGACAAACCCACCGACCGTGACCCAACTCTCCTCAGTAGGACGTCCGAAATCAGCCATGTTGACGCGCGCATTGCGATAAGTGCAAGCCAGAGCTGTCTTTCCACCGTCCAGAATATTGAACTCATGCATATTGAAATCGTGAAGGTCGTTGATCACCTGGACCTCTTTCTCCACTTCATAATGGTGGCTGACGAGCGCACCGTGGCCCTTCTTCGACTGATCAGATGCCCATCCCACAATAAACGAAAGGTGCGGGTTCGAGTCAATGTTGTTGACTGGCTTGAAGTCGAAGGTGTTTTCGTTATCGTACATGGGGGAGCCGGCCCAAATCAGCATCTATGCAGGAGCGAGTCAGTGCGGGTTTCTTTGCGTCCGGGGAATCTCCACATACACCACTGTCATCGTAGATATAAGGACCGACTTGGTATTGCTGGTATTTCTGGGTGGGGTGTTCCGGGGAGATTTGTCCGTAGGGTGCCACGAAGAGGTAGCCGGGCGCCATGCGCTCGCGGTCGTAGTGTTCGATTTCCCATTTCAAGGCGCGGACCTCGGGGAGCTAGATCTGGTCAGCGACGAAGGAGTTCTGAGGATTGAGCGCCACGCACTGTCACAAAGGACATCAAGTCCGAGTCCTGGCGCGATGCGACGGCATTACTGGAGAGGAGGAGTAATAATGCACCCCAGAACATAGTGAAGGAATGGATAGGAAGGACGATCTCCCAGAACAAATCATGCGAAGGGAATGAAGGGGGAATAGAACTAAAGAGGCAAAGCGAGAGACGACATCGAAAGCGAAAAGACCCAATTAATTAAGAAAAGAAAAACAATAAAAACAATACACGTAGAAACAAGAAGTCCAATCACAGCAAGTAGGAAAGCAGAGGAGAGGAGAGAACGAGGTCGGAGCAACGTAATGATATCTCTTGGCATTGTTTCGGGTGGGGAAACGCACACGAAGCCCTACGGAGAGTCCACGACTGTCCTACGACTGTCCTACGAGGCTGGTCCACAGCGGAGTTCCTCTCCTCTCGTATACTTTTCCGTATCTTATGCCGCCCTTTCGCATTGGTCAGTTTGGCGTGTTTGGTCCTACCACAATGCATCGGAGTCGGTCTTGTTTTCCTCAAACAGCCCAGTTGACGCCCCGTACGCCATAACCCGCCCTACAAGGGGATGCCCATGCGTCAGATTATTTCTCCGGATGCCGTTTTGCCGGACATGATGGGTGGGAAATGATCGGCCAGGGGGAAGGTTCTTGGCACTCTATCCGTGGAGTCGTTAGGGGGCTATTGTTCCTTGTCTGTTGTCATTGCTCCAGTCTTGAATGAGGATTGACACGGCAGAAATCTTTTTGACATGAGAGTGGACTCTTTACAAGAATTAGAACTCCTGCTGGGATGAGACGGGCACTTCTGGTCTTTATGTTCACCCCGTCTGAGCCCAGAACCGCACCACGCCGAGGTCGGCAGTTAGGCGATCTGTCAAAGATCCACCCGTGCAAATTTGACACTGCAATACAATTCTTGTGTGTGGAGATCTGTGGATATCTTGAGCTGATGGTTCTTGCAGTTTTCAATGAGTTGAAGTATGTACAACGTAGCTTGCACGTTCCAAGGGTGACTTGGTTGTTTATGCGGAGTAGCCTCGGGATTTCCGACTCGATCCAGCTGGATCAGAGCTTTTGCACAGGGCTGAACTTCGTCCTATAAGCACGCCCTCAAGTGGCTCACACGTCGCCATATCTGTAGTACAATTACACCCAGCCAAAGTGGGATACCAGGCTGGTCTTCAGTCATATCTTGACACGGAGCTTGAGACGCGACCAGATATAGGCCCCCTCAGCCACCTCAGTGGCACTTGGAGACAACTCAGTGACTCGAAACACACATGACTTTGATCATACAAAAACCATTGAGAGAAAAGAAGATGAAACAGAAGAAAAGTGCAAAATGAAAAGCGAAAAGCGAAAAAGAAAAAAAAAAAAAAAGAATTTGCGAGATGCGTAGGGTTCGAAGGTCGAACCTCCAGGACTGGACTTGGCGTTCAAGTCAATCAGTTGCTAGTGAAGATGCCTCATGAGCCCTTGATTAATCATGTCCATAGATTTTTTAGAATCTGCAGATTTTGATGAAATCGATAATATCTTGAGAGGCGCAGCATGTAGTAACCCCCCGTTGAGGCTCGCTAAAAATTGCTCCGTATAAAGCCTGCATTTCGAGCCCAGTGTGGCTGATGCTCCTAAGAAATCGTGAGATCGCCACCAGCTTTGCAATGTACGAAACTATACATTAACTTTCTGGCAGATAGGCTGCTAGCATATGAACCTTGGCAGCTCTTCAAGGTACCCCGATGTATGGATTGCATGAGGGGTCGAGCTCACCCAAAACATGATCGTCAAAAGTGAAGTATAAAAGAAAATACCCATGACTTTCCAGGAAGATAGATTTATCTCGACCTGTGAACACCACACTCTAAACCTGTGCACCCCAACAAACGTGAAAGCCCCAAAAAGAAGAAAACCCGATCTGATCTCAGATCGAAGCTATAGGCTCTAAGGCTGTGCTACGTATCCACATAAACAAGCCCCGCAGCCCGCCCCTCAGCTCTTGTCTTCCATTCCATTCTATTTCTTTTTTTTCAGCTCTTAAGTACATCTCATCCATTTCTCAATCCTCACACATCCTCAAAAACCATATCAAAATGTCTTACCGCGACGAATACAACAACAACGGCTCCGGCGCCGGCGCCAACTACTACGACCAGAAGCAAGACTTCTCCGGCCGTGACAACTCCAACTCCAACTCCTACGGCAACCAAGGCAATCAAAACTACGGCCGTCAGGAAAGCCACGGAAACTACGGCTCCAACGACAACTACGGCAACCAAGGCAACCAAAGCTACGGCCGCCAAGAAGGATCTGGAGAGTACGGTTCCAACAACAACAGCGGCAGCTACGGCCAAGAGTCCCACGGCCGTCGCAACAGCGGCAGCTACGGACAACAGGAATCCCACGGCCGCCGCAACAGCGGAAACTACGGCTCTGACGATTTCAGCAGTGCCGCAGACCACGCGCAAGAGCACCACGGCAGCGAGGACAAGTCTCTATTCAGCTCTGCGTTGAACTTCATCAACGACCGCAAGGGACAGTATTCTGGATCTGGTGGTGATGTTGATGAGCAGCATGCTGTGAATGCTCATCAGGCGATGTATGGATCAGGCTCGAACTCTAACCAGAACCATGATTCCAACACCGTGGGTGCGGGCGCTGCTATGCAGGCTTTGAAGATGTTTACTGGTGGTGGCTCTGGTGGTAGTTCCAGTGATGGGGGTATGGATAAGAATAAGCTTATTGGACTTGCTATGGCTCAGGCTGGTAAGCTTTGGGATGAGAAGCAGGGTAGTGGTGGTAATGTGGTAAGTTATTGTCCAGGTTGATATTCCGGGATTTTTTGCTAACTGGGGTTGGTTTAATTAGTCTGGCGACAAGCAGTCTGCTGTGAACTCTGCTGCTGAGATGGCTCTGAAGATGTATATGAAGAGCCAGGGTGGTGGTGTTGGTGGTACTGGCGGTGCTGGAGGTGCTAGTGGACTCTTGAGCCTTGCGAGCAAGTTCCTGTAAATCAAGATCGATATGTATCTACCTAGGTAGTTTTTGGGACATGATGCACATTCAGAATGATATGATGACTGTTCTGATTTTTTTTGGAATTCGCATCGAACGGTATATAACAAAGCAGGCTTTGATGGGGGGAGCCTAGACTCGGAGAAATGACTCGCTGACCTGCACATGCAATGCATATGCCACACAGTCTCGCATGAAAAAAAATACAACGCAAAAAGGTCAACGCTAAGCGCAGAAAATGTCCAACACCGCGACCGACCGTAAGAAAAAAACAATTCGCATCTAATCTACCACTCGTCGTCGTCATCGTGTTTGCCTTGCATCGCGCTCTGGCGTGCACGTAAGGCCTCCGCCAAACCGCCCGCGAGGCTGGCGTTGGATGCACTGTTAGGGGTGCCGCGACCGCTGGCACCGGATGAGTCGCCAGAGTTCATGCTCACAGCGCTATCGCGAGGAGCAGGTGGGGGCGCGGGTTTGCGACCGGCCATGTTGGGTCGCTTGGCGGGAGGAGCGGGCGGGGCGGGTTTGGTCTTCGCAGCGGCGGCGGCACCGGCTCCGTTTGGCACAGGGCTGGGGGTTGCTCGGGGTGCTGCAGGAGGAGGGGGAGGAGCAGGTCGGGGAGTGGGAGCTGCGGCTACCTCCTCGAGATACGCCTCTGGAGTCCATCCTTGTGTCGAAGTTGTGGTGTTCATACACAACCACCAACCTGGTTTTTGTTAGTTAGGAAAAACTTTGGGTTCATGTCATTAAACGTACCGTTTCCTTCCTTGGACACAATCTGTACAATTTCTCCTGTGCGGATTGAAAGCTCGTTGGCCCGGTCGCTGTTGAAGTCATACTTGACCTTTGCGGTGGGTTTCTGTGCAGCGGCTGGAGGTGCCGAAGGGGGTGGTGGTGGAGGAGCCCTCACAGAGCCAGTAGACTCATTGCGAGAGTGGGATGCCGCGACAGCAGCGACAGGCTGAGGCACGATGCGGGGCTGCGCAGCGGGTCGTGGTGTTGCTGCGGGCTGGGGAGTTGACCGCGGGAGTGGTTGCGCGGCGGGAACAGGTCTGCGAGCAGCCTGGGAAAGCTTGGAAGGACCACCACCCGGACCACCGGGACGAAGGAGCTTGCCCTTTGTGACTGGTCGTGCAGCAACGGGCTTGGGCCGAGGGGTAGGCTTGGAGACGGAGCTGGGAGGCTCACCACCACTGGTGTGGATTGTGCTACTCTTGTAGCTGTCAACAGTTCCAGCGGCTGGGTCTTTGACAGCCTTGACAGTGGCCAGCTTGCCTGGCTTTTTGTGGTATTCGATGGTGTCTGCGATCTTCAAATTAAGGGAGCCACGGAGGACGGTAGAGAGATGAGTGAAGAATTCGGTCTTGAAGACACAATTGACCAAAGGATCGGGCTCTTGCGCACCGACAACAAGCGAGAACCAGTCGTCCTTGAGGTTGGAGGTGCTGATACTTTTGAGAGCTCCAACAGGAATGGTTCGCTCTGACGCGATGGCAAGCTGGTTGTTGACGATACTTTGTGAGATGATGTAAATGTGTCGGCTGGTCAACACAAGAATCCGAGGCTCAGGCTTGCTGGAACGACCAAACTTGGAAACCAATACTTCCGCACGACAAGAGAATACAACATCTTCTGAGCCACTGATGCCTGCACCATTGCGGATCATTTCACCAGGACCACCGGAGTTGCCAACGCCGAGGTAATCACCCAAGAAGCGACGAGAACCGAGCAAACTCATTCTGCGACGTTCCTTGCGGCCTTGGAGAAGCTTGTGACCTTCGTCGCGAACCTTGATGAATTCAAGTCCACCAGTCATACGGCGCCAGAAGCGCTGAATGCGGATCGCACATTCAATGCGATACCGAAGGTAGTTTCGCCAAGCGCGCTGAATACGGATGGCCATGTTGTGCCAGTACTTGTCTCGCATGGCTTCGAGTGCAAAGAGCGTCTCGGGTGTCTTGACGAAGACCTTGGTGATACCCATCTGGTATTCCTCAGCAGGGATGCGAGTGTCCTTCAGGATCTGCTTGGCACCCGATTCCACATCACCGGTCCATGTGTAATCACCGGCATATGAGGTCTTGGGAGAAAGGAGATAGAATCTCTCGGTGAACTTATCGAAGGTCTGACGATAGGCGAAACCAGCACGTCGAATGCGCACGTTCTCTTGCAGACCGAGGTATTTGATCTGATGCAGAACGTTACCCTGGTTGTATTCCCTCGGGGCCTTGTTGTCGTTGGGTTTAATAGTACGAATGTACGATGGCTGTGCCTTCATGAGCGTGGCCACCAGGTCGTTGGCAGACGCCTTGATCTTGTCACCGGCAGTAGGTGGGCGGCGCTTGTCGTCTTGGTTCACCTGGTTAGGGAACAGGGTGTGGACGAATTGGTTGCTGCTAGATTGGGCAAGGTTCAACAAGTCCTTCAAGAGCTGATCCTTGTTCTTGTCGGTCATTCCCTCAACAGCGTAGCTCACGTCACCGGCGTAGTGCTTGATGATGAACTGACCCTGTCGGCCTTCAAAGTTGGGATTCTGGGACAAGAAGTTCAGTCTGCCGACGAAAGTCTGGTCAGCAGCACCGGGATCAGCGTGAGCAGTCGCACAAGCGTCGTTCAAGGCAGCGAAGACACCGGGAGGACGCTTGTCCTCAATCAAGGAACACACGACTTTGTTGTCAAAGTATTCAATCGGAGACCACTTGATTTGCTCGCGGGCATATTCATCCTGCTCTGCCTTGAGGGTCAATTGAATGAAGATCTGCTGGAGCTTCTCGTTGACGTAGTTGATGCAAAGTTGCTCGAATGAGTTCTTCTCGAAGATTTCAAATCCATAAATATCCAGAATGCCGATGGAATTGGTGATGGCTGCGCGGGCAGTCAGGGATTGATTGACGCGTTCCACAATCCAGTCGAAGAGGTTGAAGTAGATTCCCTTGGCTAAAGCATCCCGCACGGCAGAAGCTTGGGCCCTGTTCAAGGGAACTTCGTAGACAGAGCCCCTGCGTCCTCCACGTGCAGTCTCCATGAGGCGAATGGTCAGGGCCTTGTTCACTTGAGCGGAGTCGACTTCCAACAGGTAAGCGACAAAGTCAACAACGGACTGGTCACTGATAGCAGCATTGCCTGAGTCGTCTTCGCTGAACTGAACGTTGCCAATCCAAAGAATGGCGGCCAGCATGCGGAAGACGTTATCCTGCTCAGCGTCGCTCATTCCAATAACTGCCATAGCATCCAGTGTGTCCTTGAACTCAGCAACATCGTCAATTCCTGGCACATCGAAACATTTCGAGCGGCTCGTGTAGAGGTAGGACTGCGGCTGTTGTAGACCAAAGCTATCTCGGTACTTTTGTGGGGCGCCCTTGGTGAGTTGGTAGAAAATGTGGAAGTTTCGCTCGTTCGTAATTTGGCCCACGACTCGTGATTTCTCCAGTAGATAGTTTGTGATGTTAGCTCCCACCGGCTCGCCATTGGCGTTGAATTCCAACTCCAGGTACTTTCCGAATCGCGATGAGTTGTTGTTACGGAGGGTCTTCGCATTACCGAATGACTCTAGCAGGGGGTTGGTTGCCAGCACCATCTCCTTCGTTTGTTGAATAGACGAATCGTTGCCGCCGGATACACTGGCGATGTATTGCATGATCCGCTTGGCCGCCTCCGTCTTTCCGGCACCGGACTCTCCAGAGATGATCACACATTGGTTGTCCTTGTAGGACTTCATGTTGTAGTATGCGGATTCGGCGACTCCAAATACATGAGGAGGGACTTCGAGGCGGTTCTTGCCACGGTATGAGTCGAGGACGCTATCAGTGTAGATACCCACTGGACGAATCGCATGATTGTTAGCCTAAAGACCACCGTAGCACGATCGCGGAGCAACTCACAATCTCGGAACGGGTTCACAGAGACCAACACATGGCCAATATAGGTCTATATTCCTCCCGTCAGCATATCCCCGTGTTCGCGCACAACCCCGCAGTCCGCGTGCGAGAGCGATCCCTTACATAAATCTCGTCATGCTCGAACCGGAGCTTCAAATTGTCGTTGATGGCTTCATTGGAGATCTTGCTGAGGAGCGTAAGATCCGATACACCGATCTCCTTCTTCTTGCTGCTCTCAAAGGTGGCCTTCTTGACTTGCGGTTTGCCCCCCGCCTGCCGACCATCGCCAACATCGGCGACTGCTTTCGAGCGGCCGAACCGGCTCTTCTTCTCCCCACCAGCGGGGCGTCGTGACTGACCCTAAATCGGAGCCGCAGGGTGAGTTTGGTCCTTATCTGGTCATTCGGCGCGGAGTAGGCCTACCATGTTGTGTCAATCTCTCGGGGTTCTCGCGCCCGAGTATGGTAAATCTGACCTGTCAGTCGAGTCGCGTAATGAGACTCGAGTAATGAATGGGGTAGACAGGGTCGAGAAGAGTGAATAGTCTAGAACCAATGCCAGCTGTAGGGAGGAATGGAAAGTGACTGGGGGGAGACTTACGTACAACTAGTCAAACCAAAGCAAACAGCTGCGCCACACCACTTTCCTTTGGTTCCGTTGCTGCCTCAGGGGGCAAATTGGGTATCATTCTTCCGGAGGATTTACCAGGGTTTACTAATTTCAGAGGACCCTCTGAAGTCTTATTGCTCAATTACCGCCGCGATTTTCTTTTTTCCTTCCATGAACCTCGTTCCCGTCAGCCACGCGCGTCACGCCTTGTGGCTCGTGCATTCAAGAATAGAAGCACCGACGTCATTGGGCATATCCCTTCAACCCTACTGCCTAACCGTTGGAGAACATTAAAGTGGATTGATCACAGCAACTAGGCAATCGGGTATCAGCACTTGCTCTGGTCTTCTCGAAAGTCCAGATCATTGCCTGAATTGTCCGACTTCCCCTTACCCACTCCCGGGCTAGATTGAGTCTTTACATACACAACACATGTGTGAGTGCCGCGCTCACGCGAGGCCAAAAAGACGACCGAAGAGACCTCGGGAGCTATCACCACCTTCAGGACCTCTTTTGAACTGTCTTTTGGGCTGTCTTTTTGGCTGTCTCTCCAACTAATCGTCGAGTAATTGTGGTTATTCGAGTAAAGGAAGTCTTGGCTAAACCGTGATCACTGAATCAATTATTGTTGAAATGAAAATCACCTATGACCTTGGCAAAGAAACTCAAGCCGCCAAAAGGTTAAAACAACTTTAAAATGCTGCTACAGTTTACGGATTGCCTAAATGCGCCCATGTCTAGGGATGAACACAGCCTTGGTACAACGAGCCTTGGTACATCCATCCCGGGAATGTTTCCAAGGTTGCTCCCCAAGAATACTTTCGAATTGAGTGAGCCTTGAGAAATCTAACATTGAAATTTTGTTTTTACCTTCGCCAGGTATGGGTTTGATTAAAACCCGTTCTATCCAACTCAAGTCTAAAGCCCTGGAGGTAACTAAAATTGAAGGTCCGCAGACCTCCAGGGCTTGCAGTAGCAAAGCAACTCCATGAAAATGCAGATGCAAGATAATGTACAGGTAAATATCTCAAAGATGCTTATCATCGCCCAGCAACCACTCAACATGACGATAAGACACCCGCCCTTGATCCTGGGACTGTCGGTGGCCCGCCTGGTAGGTTTCCGCAAACATGAGACCACGCTCATAGTGCTGAACACCCATAATACCCTGTGGGCCATCGAGCTCGCCATACCCTTCCAGGGCATCAAAGGGCGCGTAATATTCCAAGTCGGGCATGTCAATATGAATAGGCATAGAAGGGCGGCTCTGGAAACCCAACTGGCCATTCCAAGTCATATTCTGAATCGCGACCAACGTTCCATTCGTAATGATCAGATAGTCCCAAGCTCCATTCGAGATCAAAACGCGATTAGTCGCCTCGATAATGCGGGGAAGTACATGCTCTGTGGGATTCGGGGATTCGTCGAATGCTTGTTCTGGTCCCGGATCGGGACTGACAAAGACACTCTGAGCAGTGCAGATCTCCCAGTCGATCTCCGCGGGGACGTGTAGGGCCTTCTTGACATCGATGCGGTTGAAATAGTTCGCCGGTGCGGGCTGGTAGGTAAGGTCTGTGGGGAGGCCTAGAACATCCCACAGTAGAGGGCAGGTTTGACTGACTTTGGACGGGCTCCAGCATGGGTTCGGGTTGTAAGCCTCGTTATAGATCATGTTGTAGATGTCACACTCGGAGTAATTCATGAGTTTGGGGGGTTGGATCCCAGAGGGTGGGAAGGAGAAATATTCCTCGAAGTATTCCTCGTAACCGCATTGCTCGTATGTCTCTTTAAGCTCTCCCATAAAGGATTGGTTGAAGTTGAACAGGTCGGCGTGTTGTTCAACGAACGGGTAAGCGGGAAGTTCGGCCTGGATATAGTCCCATTGGCCAATGCATGGCTCATACATCATGATTCCTAGCTTGGGTAAGAATATGCGATCACTTGGATTTAGGTGGGACAGGAGTGTCGAGTCGAGACTTACCACTGAGGTCAAAGTGTTCGGTATCGTTTTTGTCGAGCATGGCAGCGGATATGTAGGGCACATAACGCCCCGCATAACTTTCACCAGTCAGGAAGATTCGGAAATCCTTGATACCATAGAGATTTTGGAACTCCTCGAAGAAATTGACGAAGTCCACTGCAATTTCCTCTTCGTTGGTAGCAATTGGCGTGCCGTTGGAGAAGCCCACCCCAACCGGTTGGTCCACCCTAGACAGCGGTCAGATTTCAATTCAATTCAGCTGGTCTTGCCAACAACCCACCATAACATATTTGTCAGATTAACCCACGAGTACGGGTTGACGACCGGTTCATATGTGCCGGGAAGCCAGGTAAACCGTCCATTCTCCTGCAAAAACCCCTGCATTGAACTACAACCCGGTCCACCATTAAACCATACTGTGAGGTCGTTGCTTGGCTCTCCAATCTTCGGCTGGAATATGTAGAATAAGGATGCATTTTCGCGAACTGGGAGGAACCCCGAGTACATCTCCCCCAGTTCGTAGTGAACGTCTGGTAGGCTTTCTACCACATGAGCTATGAGAAGTCACACATCGGTCAGCTATGATCATTGTGTTGGATGCGCAGGCATACACTTTGTCTTATTGGTCAAGAATCGATAATCCGATGTATCGATCGGCTCCGATCTATGAGCATGATGGCCGCGGCGTGTAGGCGGAGCCCGGGGAGTGAGTCGTCCAGCTTCAGCACCATTGAGAAGCAGTGCAGTGGCCAGCAGAGCTGCCGTTATCGATCGACCGAACATTCCGAGTGTAGGCAAGCAAAGACCGCGCACCAGCCCTAGAGTATTTGAGCAGCACCAAAATATCAAGTTGTCCAAATGCACAGAGCTGAGCAGAAGCAAATCTCGTGAGATTGGTCAGCTCTGTCTAATCTGACGATCAAGACCCTTTTATGCATTTGCTTTTCCGTGTCTTGCATCTGGAGTCCACTTTTCTGGGGATCGACCTGAACAGATGGTGGCTGCCAAGTCTATCCGTAGTGGATTTACCGGAGGTACCGGTATTTCTTCGGCAGATTACTCAATGGTCTACCAATCCAAGTACTCCATACGTATTGGAAGGGGGCTGAGTAGGCCACTAGCATGAGTGGGCGAATCCCAGAGCGAATGGAGTTAAGCGAAGTTGGGGTTTAGACTAGAGCCGACAAGTCCCGGATCTACTAGGCGGAACTAGTGCCTATCATTGGCCCCCCTTGCATTAGCGGCCCACTGGACCCTGGCTCTCAGTCGGCCTGAGCCGCAACAGTTCACCCAAATCCTCCATCTAATCAATCAACCTATCTGAGATGGAATCAAGCCATTACCTCGCAGGTGTGGCGTTGTGACACTTGTTGGAATCAACAGAATTTAAGCTTATATGAAACCTTCTTCTCACCTTGGCCGATGGCTGGAAGCTTAATAATCGTCCGTAGATCTTCTCTCGGCCGATCACCCGTATTCTTCAGCAAGCCCAAAGTCAATTCTTGCAACCCGAGATCCTTGAGAACCACTACGGAGTGCGAACCATCGAGTGGGTTGATCGAGCCACGGATATTTAGCTCTAGCTCCCCGGTAGCTGCATTTTAGGGCGTCAATTTTGGAGCTAGGTGGTGAATATAGTGCGGCTGGAGCTCAGCTCGGTATGTGCCAAGGGGGACTGCGATATGATTTGCACAGCACGGTCTCCTTGCCCCTGGGAATTACGCAGTAGGCATTTTGACATTGATCCTTGGTGAGCAATTGCCGAAAAGTCTGTCCGACACTGATCAATAAAAGGCGCCAAAGTGGAGAGATCCAAACTGTCCTTGTATCTGCGGCTCCATCTCAGCTCACCACATACAATGAGCACAAAATTCAGCAATGCGGATACCTAGTATGGAGTACCCTTCGGCGGCTTAGGGAGAAAACCTTCAGATATGTCAGAATAGTCGCCCTTGTCGACAAGAAAGAGGCACTTACAATCGAGTTGACCATCTTGTTGTCACTCACGTCAAGCGATTGCGTGCACATAAATCTTGTGGTCGGGAATCTCCACTACGTCCGATGTACAAGTAGCAGCGCGGTCGATAAAGTATTTCTAAAAGAGGAATGTAGAAAGACGCCGTGGGCTCAGGCATTCAACTATAGATTTGAACACGGCTTCCCACCTGGGCAACCAGGGCAACAATAATTTATCACCATTACCTCTCCACTGGCTTCTGTGAAATCCCATGACATGGGTGAGGTTTTCAGCTTCCAGGCAGTAGGTAAAAGCTGCTCCCGAGGTCTCGTTCACACGGGCACCTGCTTCCAAGGTTACCTTTATTTACCAGAGCTTACAACTAATCGAGAAATAAGGATATATGCCACCGGGGAAAGTAATGGTACATCTACTCCGTAGCCTACAAGCTAATTTGTAAGGCAAAATTCAAATGGAGATCGTTCAATGGACAAATGTGAAATTCGGTGGTTCACTTGTAGAAAGTCATAATCTTGGAAATTCCAACAAAAAGGTGCTACCGAACGAGGTATTAGGGCTAGCCATACACAAGTAAATTCATGTCAATGGCCAAGCTTTCCATTCAAAACCACCCAGGCCCAATTCTTTCCTTGGAGAATATCGACTAATCACTTTCGAGGTTGTGTGAAATCAGGGCGTTCGGTTTTGATGGCTGTTCATCGTTCAAATGTTAGTATGGGGCAGAGGTAGACCAAGGGAATCGAAGGCGATAGGGCATACTATCTGTAATGTTGCCACCGAAAAGGGCTCGCGGAGTAAGGTCGAGACCCTTCACAACGAAATGCCATTAGTTTGATTGAGATATCGATATGATAGGAGGTTAGCTCACAGAAGGCGGTTTAGTAGCAGGCCCAAACAATGAAGGTTTCTGGGTATTGTCGGTTTTCTAAAGATGGATATGTCAGTAAGTTGCGGATATCAAATAGCAACAGTGTGGAGCTCACCGAATAGGCAGTGCTCCCCAAGGCCTTCGCCCGCCGCAGACTCTTCATATAACTCTCGACGCAATCCGTGAGATACGCCGCATCCGAGACAACAATAACGGGAGGCGCGTCGGAGAATCCGAGAGACAAGCAGTGGTGGAGGGCGCTGAGGGACTGGATTGCTTCGGCTTGCTGTTCAACTGGTCCGCTTGAGTTCATCAGGTACACGATAACGTCCATAAATGGTTTGTTGGTTTCTGCAAAGTTTTTGATGGTCGCACCAGTTTGGCGGCGGTTGGCCACTTGGAAACTGTCAGGAGTAAGAAGCAGTGCACTCAATTCGATAGCTTTGATTAGGCCAAAGCCAGCAAATGCTCGAGTTGGAGCTGATTGGAACATCAACTCAAAATAGAAATCACGCTTCGAGGCCTGTGGTGTTCCTTCTGTGATGGTCCCCAAAGCCGTGATGACAGGGCCGATTCTTGCCCACTCTGGACGGTTTCGTAGCTCGCGAGAGTACGTTCCATGCAAGGAAAATATGGGGTCAGATAAAACGCCTGGTGTGGGGGTGATAGGAGCGGTCGCTGTCGACTCAAATGGTGCCATCGGTGAGGTATTTGAGAAAAGAGATGGAAATGAAACGGGTCCAGTTGATGAGCGCCATGTGGCGAAGGGACTTGGGGCAGAGCTCGGGGGAGGAACTGAGCTTCTGATAGTGGCAGCAGGTGATGGTGACGCCATGCTTGCGACTAGAGGTTGAATGTATGACTAGAACGAGGTTGGGAGGAAGCTGAGTGGAAGCGGAGTTGATTATGAGGGGAGATAAAATGTATGTACTGAAAGAGCAGAGAGCGGAGAGGATATCAACAAAGTCCTCCCAAGGAAGGAGCGTCGTGACTGCCGTTAATGACAAAACTCCCAGTCTTTCCAAAGTGAAAGGGTATCTAGACCGAAGCAACAAATGAAAAGAACATGCACGCCAAACTTCTATGACCGAATTCGCTATAAGATGAAGATGAAGCAGACAGCAATTACTGACTCTTACATGGGGACGCCGGAGCCTTTTCAGTTGAAGCAGGAGGTACTTCTGGGCTCTGAACGGTCGGGACAGCGTTGTCCCCAGAAGGCTGAGCTTTAGATGCAGGCTCGGGTGTCTTCTCACTACTCTGTCCAAAAGTGAGATAGGAGGAAACGCGTGACAGCCAGCCCGGCGCAGCTGCGGGCTCATCGATCTCTGGAGCCTGCTCATATATCTCACGAGAGAGGATTCGTTGCGAAGGCAACTTCGCCATGTCACCGTGCTTCGCTCTCAGCTGGAGCAACTCCTTCTCCAGGGCGACCAAAGCCCCACGCGCAGCCTGCTCCGATTGTTCAAGCTCTGCCAGCCGTCCTTCCACACCCTCGCGCCTTGTGCTTTCTTTGTTGCGAGACCGCCATGACTCGAACAGGATCAAACCGCCGGCGACAGCGAAGAGGAAGGATTCGGAGATGAAGTTGGCACCGGACTCGATAGCCTTGGACTCGGACAAAGGTCGGATGCGGTAGTGGTGGGGTTTGGCCGCTTCGTCTGCGGCAGCCTTGGCCTTGGCCTCAGCCTCTTCCGCGGCTTTGGTTTCGGAGGCATTCTTGACGGTGGGCATTGAGGGCTTGTGCTTTCGAGCTTCTGCCTCGGCAGCTGCCCTTTTTTGGGAAGCGGCATTGTCACGGAGAGAACCTAGCCGGAGGCGCATATCGAATCGGTGGAGAGCTTGCGCCATAGAGACGCAGATGTTGCGAAATCGCTCATGTTCGCGTGCTTGGGCCTTGATTTGCGACTGCGGGGGTCAGCTGTGAAGTGTAGAGGAGGATCGCTTAGAGAATGCATACTGCAATAGGTTTGGACAGTGTCCGAATAGCCAAGGAGGAGAGCTTCAATGTCAATGACATGGTTGAAGCATAGGAATGTGAAGCTTTGAGCTCTGACGATGCTTGGTCTGACAATCAGGCACCCGTCCCGCTATGATGACATAATGTCAATCTGACGGGCCAATCGCGTGAATCTGCTTTTTTGTGGAGTCTGTCTGGTCTGTGCCTACAAAGTACACCGAAGGCTTATGGTGCAAGTGTGATCACTGGGAAGAAATCCAACATCTGGATTTCACAGTATACGCCATAATGTCTCCATTTGGCTCTTTGCCCCGAAAGTCGAGAGTTGAAGCATTGGCAGTTGGCGATCTACTTGGCCAAGACGGGTCCCGAGCCCACATCTCGGCGAGCCCCGAGGGGCACATGCGAAACGAATACCCCATACAAAGCGGCCACTCCTACAATGGATATACACGTGTGCGCCGTACGGAGAACGGAGAACGGAGTGCCTGGGGACTAGTTCCCGGGGTCAGCTCGGTGCTTGTTCAAGTATTGCACAATCTGCGACCAATCACGTCATGCATGCGACTGACGAAGAATTCCACGGCTGCAATCTCCAAAGGATTGATTGCGTTGCAATCTGAATCAGCGCCTTACCCAGATAAGCTGGATTAACCTCATCCACCAGTCAAATGGTGTGATTGGTCCTGCAGACATCCAAGGTTCAATTTCTTAGCCCAAAAACTTTTTTTTACTTTCTTGCTTCCTGCAACACGATGGCAGGGGAAATCGGGAGCACCAAGACGGGCAGTCAATATGTCGTTCACGATGTTGAGACAGGTCCATCAGGATCGGGATCGGGATTGGGGTCGCAGCAGGATCCTGATCTTGGGGGTATCGTCACGCAGCATGAACATCAGAGCTTGGTCCGTGGTCTAGGGCAGCGCCATATTCAGATGATCGCTATTGCGGGCGCGATTGTATGGGACCAAAACTTGAAAATCAAGTCTTTCGCTAATTTCTCATAGGGCACAGGTCTTTTCCTCGGATTGGGTGGCTCGATTGCTACCGGTGGTCCGCTTGGAGCCCTACTTGGCTACATGTTTGTCGGCCTAGTCGTCTGCAGCATCCAATTTGCGCTGGGAGAGGTCGCGGCCTTGTTGCCCGTCACTGGTTCATTTGTCCGCCATGCAGAAATCCTCGTTGACCCTGCGCTGTCATTCGCAATTGGCTGGAACGTCGTCTATGGGTGCTTCCTTAGTGTTCCCAGTGAAATTTCCGCCAGTGTGGTGTTGATTCAATATTGGACCGACATCAACGCAGCGGTTTGGGTCAGTATCCTCATTGTGGTATCCGCAGTCGTCGCCTTCTCGTTCATTCGCGTCTACGGTGAGGTCGAGTTTGTTTTCGCCATTCTCAAAATCCTGTTGGTCGTTTTCGTGGTGATTCTAGGCCTCGTCATTGACCTGGGTGGTGTTCCAGGGGTGCCTCGCAGAGGTTTCCATTACTGGAAAGACCCTGGCCCATTCGTCGAGTATATCTCAACTGGATCATGGGGTCGCTTTCTAGGATTCTGGGCGGTCATGACCAATGCAGTGTACTCGTTTGCGGGCGTGGAATCGCTGGCCATGGCAGCCGCGGAAACCCAGAATCCGCGTCACAATATTCCTAAAGCATGCAAACGGGTTTTTGCGCGTGTTTCCATCTTCTACCTAGCCGCAGTGTTGGTAGTAGGTATGGTTGTTTCCAGCGCCGATGAGCGTCTTGGCTCGGATTCCGGCACGGCGGCTACAAGTCCCTTCGTCATTGCTGCCAGTGATGCCGGCATCAAGGCCATTCCATCGGTCGTGAACGCAGTGTGCTTGTCTTCTGCGTGGTCAGCCTCTAATCAGAGTATGCTAGCCGGAACAAGAACCCTGTACGGTCTCGCAATCAAAGGTCATGCCCCCAAAATCTTCCTTCGGACAACGTCATGGGGTATCCCATACATGTGCGTCCTGGCTCAGGTCCTCTTCTCTTTCCTAGCCTACATGTGCGTCTCCAACGATGCCATGGATGTTTTCTGGTGGTTTGTTGATCTGACCGCTGCTGGTACCCTGGTCTCGTGGATCGCCATTTCGCTGAACCATCTTCGTTTATTGAAAGCCCTGGATGCACAAGGTATCCCAGCATCTGAGCTGCCGTGGCATAATCGAATTACCAGTATGTCCAGTCTCCATTCCCCGAAGTCAAATCTCTCTAACGGTTCCCAGGATACACCACTTGGTTCGCCCTGGTCTCCTGCACTGTCATTCTATTCACAGGAGGCTTTGCAGTTTTTACAACAGGAAACTGGGATCCTGCTTCCTTCGTTTCGTCATACCTGTGAGTGTCATTCTCATTCTGTTGGTCAACTCAGCCGACTAATTGAAAACTTTAGGGACATTCCACTGGTCCTTGGTGCATACGGAGGTTACAAATTAATCCGTCGGACTGAGATCATTCCTCTGAAATCGATCCCCATCCAAGAGGCATTGGATGAAGCCGCTAACGACCCTGAAAATGTGCCAATCAAGGGAGACAGCGTCTGGGCTAAGATGAACATATTTTGGGGCTAACTTTACTGCTGTTTGAAACGATGGGTTCAACTTGAGACCACAGTGGAATGTCTAGATCATGATACAACCTTTAATAATATCATTTTCCTTATAGCATTGGACTCAACATACCTTGATTTCGGAACACCTGGGAAGTTGGTCGACATGGACTCTTAACCTCCAGAGCTTGGAACTACCCCCACGGACTAGCCCCGCATGCTCTCTTTTCACGTCCGGCCTTCCCCATCGGGCCTAGCGCAACGGGTGTACTTGCTTCATCATTCTCGGGGCTGAGTGCCTCAACCCCTCACGTTGATCTATCTATACGGAGTACTGGCACCATATCTCTTAGCTATGGCGACATATCCAAGGAGGAACGTACGCAACGATTTGCTGCCGACCGATCGACAGGTGGCTCCCAAAGGTAACACCTTTGCTTGAAACAGCTTAGATCAGCTGCTGAGAATAGCAGATTGCCGTGTCTGTCAGAAACGCCGTATAAGATGTGATAGAACTGTCCCCCAGTGCCAGAAATGCGGCGTCCGTGGCTTCACGTGTCCTGGCTTTCCATCGATAGTTCTGAGATGGGACCAAGGAATTGCCAGTAGAGGGAAGTTCACTGGACGGAAGTTGCCTCTGCTGGACAATGATAAATCCACGAAGTCACAAGAGCGAGGCTTTATGCAAAAGCGCGAGCTTCAGAATTGCAGGTCTATGATCTCGCCTTTCCAAATGAACGATTTACAGCTGGCGCGTCATCAAGTCTCGACTTCGATCTGCCGTTTATTGCTAAGACATTTCTTTTCAAATGTGGCTCCTCGTCTGACCTGGTTTGATAGTCCGCAAAACCCTTGGAGAAGTCTTATCATTCCACTGGCAAAGATGTCAGTCTGTTTCCGGCTCTCGATAATATGCCTCTCGTCTGCTCATATAACCGCGGTATCTGATGGGATTGACCACAGCCCAGCAACTTCACGAGTGAATCGGCAGATTCGCGAGGGAACCCTTCACACATTGACGCAAAAAATGCAGGCCCACATGCTTGGAGCCTCATTACCTTATGCTAGCAACGCGAGTGCCTTCTCAATAGTCGAAACGCTAGCCTCTATGCTCGCCCTCTGCTACAGCGAGATATTGATCCCAAATTCAAAAGAGTGGGGACTTCATCTTCAGGCCTGTCGAATCATAATCGAAAGGCATAGTTTACAGACCGATGCAGCACAGAAGCAAAGCAGCTACATACACTTTCTCGTGAAAGAGGTTTCTGATCTCTTAGCGTGTGGGAATTTCTCGATATTCTCTCGGCATGCTGAGTACTCCACCGCGCCATATCGCTCTAATATCCCAGATAATCAGTACTGGGGGTTTCTGAACCTGATAGACGAGATCACAGTGGCGGAAAGATCGAGATACGGTATTCTTTTCCGCAACGAAAACCTATCCCCCATGGACATGAGTTATTGGCATGTCAAACTTGACAAAGCATACGGGAAAGCCACTCAGATGCTAACCAGTTTGGCCCCTCCCGGAAAATGCCGACGGAAGTATTCTTCTGCTATCGTGAAAGCCCACTACTACGCAGTGTCAATCTACTGTTTTCAATCATTTGAGCATTGTGGGGATTCAAACATCGAGTCACGGAAGCCTTCGATTGAAAGTTTGGTGGAGACGATAGCGTGTGCTGCCATGGAACCTTGCTCTGCATTCGCTCACGATTTATTCTTCCCTCTTTTCATTGCGGGCACAGAATGCCGAACCGATAAATTGAAACAGCAGATAATTGAGGAGTTCTTTGAACAATCAATTTCTGCATGTGGATTTTGGTGCAATGATGCTGCACGGAGGTTTTTACGCGCTTTTTGGAAATCTTCAGATGAACGCGGAACGATGAACTGGATAAGCTTTGCCCGGAAGAATGAGCATGAAATTGGCTCATTTGTCGTATTCTGATCTACTACCTCACCATTCTGGTGAAATGACACGAGAGTCTGATTCGGTGTACATGGTTGGATTGATATCACATATCAATTGTCTCGTCATCCTCAACACCAAAAAGAACCCTCATGGGATCTTGGTAATTAACAAAACCCACCCCGGGATCGCAAACGCCATATCCCATCAGTCTTTGGACTTGTGGCTTCATTTTTCTAGCCTCCTCGAGTGGGATCATGAGAAATTGGTTTTCGGCTGGGCGTAGAATGGGTTTGCAGAGGAATATCCCGACAGTTTCACGATATTGATCTCTGAGAAGGAAGAAAGGGGCTTATATCAGCATAATGATCAAGATCTCACACCCAGGTCTTCGTTTAGAAGAAAAGACGGAAATCCTTTCAAATCAACTTACTGCGTGACATTGCCACCGCCGGCATGGTAGGTATTCCCTAAAAAGATAAAAGTGTCCCCTGGCTCAAGCTCCGCGGGAACAGCTTCACTGTCCAAAGGCTGGCGATCTGGACCCCACAGATGGGAGCCGGGGATTGCGATAGTTGCACCGTTTTCCTTTGTTGTCTTGGTCAAAGCTGTTACACAGCCGATCATCACAGGGGCATCACCAGGTTTCGGATGATAGTCGCTAGCATCTCATGTGAGTCATTCCCCTCAAAAAAAGGGTTGGTGTCATGCGTACTTATCGTCGCGGTGCAGAACTTGCTGTCGACCACCAGGGTTCACGCGAAACCCAACTGTGGAGGAGATGATTGGCTTCCCACTCACGGTCTCCTGATGATCACCCCGCCAAAATGTATGACTTGAAGAAACAAGAGAGTTTGCAATGGCAATATATAGTGGGTTGCATGCAAGCTCCCTACAGGACTCCGAAATGCCCATCAATCCAGTTGCTCGCTGTGTGGTTGATGGGAAGAACCCTGACTTATCAGGGATGTCACCATCAAAGTGAGGCTTCAAGTCTGTTTGAATTTGCTTTGCCAGAGTCGTGGTTATCAAATTTTCGATGATGACACCGCCGTCACGCTGGATGATTTGAATTGCTTTTTCCGGGGTGGTGGATGGATGAATGGCGTTGAGCCGGGCAAGGGTGGATTTGTTCTCTGTCATTATGAGAGAAAATTCATGAGGGATCAGGTTCGAAGCGAGTTAATACAAATCAGAGACTTGAATGTCCACGGGTTAGCTTTGCGAATTTATACATCAAGAAATGATTGCACTATGCAAAGACCATACCCAAAAGGACAGGCCGGGTGAGAAACTGAAAAATGTAGGATTCGAACACCGAAAGGAGCATTGTATTCCAAGGTCACTCATGGTAAGAGACAGGCTTGAAGTCGATGTAGAAATTGGTAGGTCGGGAGAGAAACCATGTACCTAATGCGGTCTAGTGCAATATGAAAATGTGGGGAAATGACCCCGTGCACGCTAGGCCCGATCAGTCAGGCCGGCTGAGAAAAGCAGCAATGATGCCTTGATTATCAGGCTGGATGTCCCAGTCTTCCCACTCACTTACCATGCTCCATGCTGAAAGAAAACCCTTGGAATAAGACGGCATTAATTTGATTATTCTCACGTGTGTAGAGTAATACCGCTAGAGTTCTTGTTTTAGAACTCAACGTGTTATTTGTTGGAATGTTCGGAATGCGGTCTATGCAGTGCTTTCGGTGATTGCAGCTCTATCGGCGCATGCGAAGCTCGGTAAGCGACAAACGCGGTACCATCGGCGCTTATTGTTTCCCCAGTGAACAAGCCTAAAGTTCGATCATGCGGGCAGTACGGTGGTTTATGCACCAAATTACTAGAGGCAACTAGATCAATCGGTATCGGGATGTCAAATCGAGGTATCACAAAAGTCGCTGTTTTGGCATGACGTTCGAATCAGGTAAGATATTTGATCTCATTCTGATACGTTCTCGACGACTAATCTTCTCTGGCAAAGAGAGCTAATATCCCAGATTTCTCAGTAACTGATGCAATATCCAGGGCTGTCTGCTCTTCACCATTCTCCTTCCATGGATCAAGCCCCATGTCCACCAACATTGAAAACAACTTCTCATCATGGTCATCTCCATCGCATTCACCTTCTTCCCGTCGCGCAATGGCATGGAGAAGACTTCCTCCACTATAATCAAGTGTGTGGATATCATGCTCGGCAAACATCTTCTGACAGTCCTCGAGATTAAAAGGGGCGATTGGTGCGTTGATAAAGTCCCAAAATTGAGACTTGTCGGCATCGACAAAACAGAAGATAGGTGTTCTGCCCTGGTGGTCACGCAGTTCAGGGTCACATCCAGCCTTCAAAAGGCGTTGATAAAGCCCGGAAGCCAGGCCAAAGTAGTCCTTTCCATAATACTGTGCTATATGCTCCTCTCGGTCTTCGTTGCTCGCATTCATGAGTGGCACAGCTACGCAGTGAAGTGCTCCCCGACCATCTGATAGCACATCGAGGGGGTTTGCACCAGCATCTAGCAAAGCCTCGATCATTGGGAACCATTTGCTTGACTCGTTACACCACTCTGCAAGGCCCTTCAATGCGTCGCATAGGGGTGTCACGCCAAGACAGTCACGGGGTGAGATGTCGACGCAATGATTCAATAGCTCCTGCACGGCGTTTTTATTCCAGCACCGGGAAGCATGGTGCAATGCAGTTGAGTCGGTGTTGTCAACGAGATCCGGACTGGCACCTGCCTGTATTAGGTCTGCAACATTGGTGGAACGATCCTTTTTGCACATGCAAGCTCTCATGAGAGGTGTTCTGCCTTGAGCATCCCGGGTGTTGCAGTCAATTCTCATTGCTAAAATGGGCTTCAGAATCCCACCCTTGCTACAGATCTCATGCAGCACAGTAGACTTTCCATCCTCCATTGAAGCGTGTGGATCAGCACCATATCTCAAGAGGATTGAAACGGCTTTTTCGCAATTCCAAACTCCTGCAACCAGAAACAGGGGTCGCTCAGTATCAGTGCCATTTGGGTCAATACCCAATTCGAGTATAGACTCGAGCGCTTCCAAGTCAATATCGCGGTTAGACAGTGTGACAGAAAGTATATCCGAAGCCTTGGATACATCAGCACCGTGATCGACGAGTGATTTTAAAATCTTGACATCTCTTTTAGCCTGCAAGGCAATTTTCAACTCGTTAGGATCAGCGCCATTCTTGAGAAGAAGGTCAAGTAGCTGAGGACCCCAAGTATTCCATTTTTCAGACCTTCTTGTGGAGTCTCCGGATATTCCAAAGTTGAGGCACCTGGACATGGTGGTGAATTGACCCCCAAGATTTGGATCGGCACCGGAATCGAGAAGAATGGAAAGTGCCCGAGGGTACCACCAAGCTTCGCTTTGTACCAGATGATTCACAGATGCGACAAACAGAGATTTGTCTTCGGCAGGGGTCAGATGATTGACAAGAACCTTAACCATCTGAGTGTTGCATGATCTCTGGCTTGTCGCAGATTCCAAAAGCTGACTGCCTATGGAGGCAAAGTCTTCTACATAGGGAATCATGCGGTCCATCATGGATGCGAGGCCCCGGCTTGCAACAAGAGACATTAAAGACTCCCCATCGGGTCCTGAGATTTTGAGTTGATTGGCGCGCAAAATCTCTTCAACTAGGCGTCCGTCGCCTGTTGACACTATTTTTTGCAAGAATGATGTCCAGGAATCTGGCGTCTTTACTGCAAGAGCCTCTTTGCGGATGAAACTCAACGGAGAGTAATACAATGTTGGTTTGGGCTTTGTGGCACAGGGTGCTGTATTTTGCAACTCTTCAAAAACAGGGAAACATGCCAGAGAGGCAGCAACATCTGACGCGGTGTGGCCATTTTTGTCTTTTGTTGATGTCTCTCCTCCGGCAGAAATGAGCAGAGCAACAACTTGCCGTATGTCCCTGAATATCTCGCCAGGAACGTGAGTTTGAGAGACTGCATCCCAATTTCCAGATGTGACCATTGAGGCGGACGCTTTAAGTGTACGAGTGGTTGCATCGGATCCAGCTTCCTTCACATTGGCACTCTTTGGCCAACGGAACTCCGCAGCTGCATGCAGGGGTGTTTTGCCGTCTTGGTCCTGGATCCGTGGATCCGCGCCAGCGTCAAGCAGCATTTGAACGGATTCCTGACAGCCCGCTCGACAAGCCTCATGCAATGCCGATCGTCCTTTCGAGCACAATTTATTCACGGACCATTGGTTCTGCTCGTAGCTTTCAAGAATCAACCCCACAATGTTACTCTGACCTGCTTCGGCGGCGAGGTGCAGAGCTGTGCGCTTTTGGTGGTCTTCAGCGAGAATGTCAGCACCCCGTTGAATCAAGATATGAGCGTGGATGTCCGACGCAGTTGATGCATAATGCAAAGGTGTGCATCCATCACTATCACGGGCATCGATCTCGAGGTCTTTGGAAAGGCCAAGAACAAAATCTAGCACTTCCCCTCTCTCCTCTTTCTTCATGAGTTTCCCCACTTTGGTTGTAGCTGTCAGGTGCAACAAAGTTTGACCTTTGTAATTTTTCGATGAATACGGGAGCCCGAGATTGATCAGTCTCCGCGCACGAGGCTCTAGCCTGCTCCAAACAATGTGGCAGTTACTCACACTGACAAGCTCGTGAAGAATAGTGTTTCCAATGTGATCGATCGCATGAATGCTCGCACCACAGTCCATCAATCTTTGGATAGAGCTCCAACTCCGGTTATCATCGACGCAGAATAAATGATACTTAGTCCTGAAAGCATAATGCAATACTATAGATGGTTTAATACTTGTTTTGCAGGCAAAATGATGGGAGATTGGCTTACCTGAGGCCCCTTCGTTATCCACGGCTTTTGCATCGCCACCTAGCCGAAGGATCTCGTCGACCAGAGAGAACAATGTCAAATCTGGGTGATTCAATGCAGTCAGGAGTGCCGTTTGCCCAGAAAAGTCTCGATCTTCCAACGATGCGCCATTTTTGATAAATTGTTGGATTATTTGGACGTTGTGCGACCCATCAGTCCAATTATTGCCGTTTCGAAACAGTAGTTCAAGCAGTGGTGTTCTACCAAAATTGTCTCGGGCATTCAAGTCTCCTAAAGTACACCAAGCATTGATCCAAGGGACTATGTCTTTCTTGTTTGTATCGGAGAGCCTTGAACGAAAACAGTGGTGAAAGGCCGTTTGCCCTTGACGGTCTTTTCGCGAAAAGTCCACATTCATTTCGTACCACAGAGAGAGCTCGATGCGACTTAGGCTTGAAGCCATGAGCATAAGGGGAGTCAGCCCATCTGAGTCCCTCGCAGAGTTGATATCAGCTCCACTATTTACCAGAGCCTCCGCTATATTCGACGTGAGCTGTGGAAAGTGGAGTGGCGAGGACCCTTGACAGTCGAGTAAAGCAGCATTCGCCCCACGATCGAGAATAGTGGTGACAAAGTCCATGGACTCCGTCCTATCACGTGCAGAGGGAAACTGCGACCAGTAAAAGAGAGGTGTGCGCCCTCGGTGATCCCTCACGTCGACATCACAGCCCGAGCGCAGAAGCAGGTCCAATGTCTCCACCCAAGTGGATTTCTGAGGCCAAAACCAGACAAGAGACTTCATTCCAATCGCTAGCCCGTGTAAAGGAGAGTAGCTTGGCCACAGACCGTCCCGGTGATAGTTTGCCGACTTGAATTTCGGCTCTGGGGGGTGATTGAGGTTCATTGAGTTCAAGGTGACATCTGCTCCATGCTCCAGTAAAGTTTTGACTGTTTCACAGTCTCTTTGCTTAGCGGCTAAGTATAAAGGTGTGTTTCCGTTCGAATCGCGGAGATTGATCGTCCCTCGAACTTTCTCATCTTCAAGCAAAGCACCCACCACTTTGGATTTTCCAGCTTTCGAGGCAAGATGGAGGAATCCATTACAAAGATATAATGAGTCGAGATGCTTCATCAACTCTTGGACAGCCTCCAAGTGCCCGTCGTAGCAAGCAAATTCAAACGGCGTGTGAAGTTTGCGTGATCCCTCAGAAGTCACGTATCCACCTAGGACGTCACATGGAAACTTCTCCTCTGATTCAGGTAGGCTTTTGAGATATGTTTTGATTGGGACACCTCCTTTTATCAGTGCTTGCAAGGACTTGGCATGGTTCTTCTTGGTCGCATAAAGCACTAGGTCCTTTTCATCACACACGTCATGTTTCGCACCATGCTCCAGCAATAAGGTGATAACCTCAGCGTGATCTCTCTCGATGGCAAACATCAGTGGCGTTTCGTTTCTGAAGTCGCCGGAGTCAGGATTTATCCCTTTAAGGAGGAGGTATCTGGCGAAAGCGGGAATTCCGCAAAATGCAGCAATGTGCAAGGGTGATCCTTTTTGGGTACACCATGTGTGTTGTATGACCACAATTTCTTCCAAGCTTCGTAGCTATGATTTCCATCTGTGCAGAAATTTTCAAGAAAAGGTAGCAGCCCATCATCGAATTCGACTGCTTTGGATGCATGGAAGGGCCACTCCACAATAGCGTAACGGAGGAAGTAGAACCGCAGCGCCAATTCTTTGTTGACGGCCCACCCATCGTCTTCACTAGGCCGCTTGGTCTCGGTGCTAATCCCATCTAGACAGCCGCTGGAGAGATAATTGACACATATTTTGGTGATCATTGCGTGGACTGTAGGAGCATGGAATCCCGAGAAGCTGCGCTCGTGGTTGGACATCTGCGTATGGGTTACATCTCGATTGAGAACAAACTCGGTCAGGGAATGGTGAATGATTTGAATGACCCCATCTTCACAGACTTCCAAAAGAGGGCCGCATGTCGTCCGGATAGCAAGTTTTGCATCCTGGCTTTCACTGAGTCCACAACGGTTGGGAAGAGAATCTACCATGACCGCCAGCTCGAGCAGGCGTAGTGGTCGAGCAGAATGGGTGATCCATTGTAGAATGAATTGTTGGAATTTCGTCGAGGTTCCCGAGCGAACAGCGTGATCACGAAGAAGCTCTGTGTACATATCTCCAAGACCGTCCGGGAGATTCTTAATATTGATTGACATCGACTCCGGGTGCAGTAGAAGCTGGTCCAACATGAGCCTGGAGTAGAGGAACAACCCTTGCCCTCTATCGCAGATTGTTTGTTTGACTTCCTTGATCTTCTCGTCGGGAATTTCTAAATGAGCATCTACCAGGCGCCGTGTGATGTAAACAGCAATATCCCGATCCACATTGCGACGATCGAGACGTAGATCAACCAATGACGTCCCTTTCAAATGCTTTTCGACGTGTGGAACCTGTCGACTGGTAATAATTAACTTGATTGAACCGGAAGATTGGCGACCTAGATCAAGGAGATCTTGGAAGAACTGATCATTCCCTTGTTCCATTTCATCAAGTGCATCAACCACACAGTGAACCTTGCCAATAGACCCCATGGCGGTCGCCATACATTTCCAAAGCTCCTCATATGGCACCGCACCGACAGATGAGTGCTGTGCCTTGATTTGACTGAGCTGCGATTGGAGCCAAGGCGAATACTCGAGCATCTCATGACAAAAATCCTGCATCAGCGACCGAGGCGATCGATTCGCCTGGATGATCTCGCGGAAGAAGAAAAATAATACAGGACCATCTTGTAATCTTCGGAACCGGCTGATGAAGCTTGCTGCAACGACAGATTTTCCGCAGCCGGGAATACCTCGGATCCAGAGGTTTCCGACTTTGGATTCACTCCATTGGCGGTATTGCTCCGTTTCCAATATCCATTCGCCGGTTCCTGCTGCATGGGAGTTGAGGTGCTTTTTATACTCGCTGGCGGGGGTATCTGAATCCGTGGGGCTAAGCCAAACTTTGATTTGCTGAAGCGACTCAGTCGACAGAGGGGCAGTTCGTTTTTCATCTTTTGACTCGTTAGTCGTGTACACTAAAAGACGAACTGGGATATGATACCCTCAACAGCCGCGGTCTGCCTCGGGCTATCACTGGAGTTATGCGTCATGATATTACGAAGTTGTTGAAAAGTGAGTGAAAATTTCAAACGCTAGTCCTCTGTAGTTGTGATGTTTGTACTGACTGAGGGTCCACCAGGGGGGCGAACCCGATTCAGGCATAGCGGCCCCCAATGTATTGGGAGCCGCACATATGTTTGTTTGGCTCAATTGAGTTCTTCTTGATACCTCCAAACTCTTGCGAATAGACTTTTTTGTCCTCGGAGCTGTTGTCATTTGGTGGTATCTCAAAATCAGGTCTCTCTCCGCGGCCGGTGGCCCCGTGCCGCCCGGGGCTCAAACCAGTCGGTGCTTTGGAGAGCTCGATTGCCTTTTGTAACCAGCCTCTGAGACCATATTGCCGCGCTTAGATGATCGTGGTGAGGTGGGTCATGGTTCGCCCTAGGGTAGAGACGCATTGCTGAAGTGGGTTGTAGTGACTCAAAAACTTCGTGGTTGGGGAGCGGCAGTAAAAGGGCGGCGCCCATCGGCCCCCCTCCGCACTCGCACACTACACAGCGAGTTGGCTCTACAACTTCACCAACACTACTCCGTATGTTTTCTGTGCTTACGCGATGACCATGCCCAATTTTATGGATAATTTACAGTTACTGCTCATTATTTCGAGCTGGTGATCACGATGTCGACACTCGAAGCGATGAGATCTTTTTTGCGAACGGAATAACCTCTCATCGCAGGTGCCACGTTATTGGATCAGCCGTTTGAGGCACCCTGAGCCTCGTCACAGACAGGGGACTCTTCGACCAGAACTTCACACAAAATCTTGAGAAACTAATCTTATCTGCGGATGTTTTGGTGTCAGTTGTTGGACCGGCGAAACCGGCAAACCCGGCGATGTCCCCTCACAGTTTGTGACTAGCATCCGTTGCTCACTGGTGGTATCGGTCTGATATAATTTATTATCCAATCAACAAGCTTCTGCTTTCGATAGGCGGCCATCATACTTTGGGCAAATGGGCTTGGCTCTGAGGTGTTGACGAACGGGCTTGATATCTGCCGCCTAAGCATGGCCCCATGCATCCTCTATCGCAGCCCAGACCGGCGGGGCTTGCCCCCGGCCCTCTCCTTCCAGAGGATGAAACAAGCGCATGATCGCTAGATTGTAAGCTACTTCAATTATCTGCTTATGGCGTTTTTGCCTTGATAGTTTGGCCTTGCGAGTATATATTTACATGTAATCGTCTACGTGCTCCCCCGGAACAAGCTAATTTGAACAATGTCACCTTCTATACCTAACACAGAGTCACCAATCACGGTCGGAGAAATAGGGAAGAAACAGCATGGCTTATCATGGCTCTCGAACGGCGGTATCATGAAGTTGAACTTCATGCTCGTTATCTTCCAGATTTCAAGCTACGCTACAGGATATGATGGGTCTATGATGAATGGATTGCAGTCCCTCACTTCTTGGAGGGATTCTTTTAATCACCCCGGCGCTTCTGAACTAGGCCTGTGAGTGGATGAGGCAGCTCTAGCGATCTCGAAGAAGTGTGAACTAATTTCTCTCCATCCCAGTTTGAATGCCATACAAAATGTTGGCCAACTGATCACAATGCCAATTTGCGCAATCAGCTGCGACAAGTTCGGGCGTCGTCCAGTACTCTTCGCCGGTGCATTCGTTCTCATGATCGGTGTTGCTCTACAAGCTGGTGCACAAAATGTCGGCATGTTTATCGCAGCTCGAGGAATCATCGGTATGGGCCTTGTTTTGAATATCACGGCCGCTCCTCTACTGCTACTGGAACTAGCATTTCCTGGACAACAGGGTCCACAGGTGGCCATTTACAACAGTCTGTGGAACCTGGGCGCGCTGGCTGCCGCGTGGATTACATACGGTACCTTTCGCATCGAAAGCACATGGGCATGGCGCGTCCCGTCAATTCTTCAAGGGCTGTCAAGCATTATTCAAATCGGTCTATGTTTTCTTATCGAAGAATCACCCAGGTGGCTGATAAGCAAAGAGCGAGATGAGGAAGCAAGAAAGTTGATCTGCAAGTATCACGCCAATGGCCATGATTCGAATCCCCTTGTCACACTGGAAATGGAAGAGATTCGAACAGCCCTCCAACTCGAAACCGAAGCGAGGCGCAACACGTCATACCTTACTTTCTTTCAAAGCAAAGCAAACCTCAGACGTTTCTTTATCATTCTCTCGGTCGGCTTCTTCTCACAGTGGAGCGGCAACGGCCTCATCTCCTATTATCTCACCTTGATCCTTGACTCAATCGGCTACAAAGCAGAGAGCACCCAGACACTAATCAACGCGCTCCTCACTCTTTGGTCCATGATCTGGAGTCTTGTTTTTGCTTCCCTGATGAACCGATTTGGCCGACGCACTCTCTTTCTAATATCCACTGGGGGTATACTCGCCGTTTACATTGTATGGACTGCGCTTGAGGCCACATATGAAAAGACCACAGCTTTGGATTCAGAAGGCGGTCATGGCTACGCCAAGGGAGTCCTGGCTATGATATTTCTTTACAACTTCTTCTTCTCCATTGGCTGGACCCCACTCCAAGTGACCTATTGCATTGAAATTTTGCCCTTTGATATGCGCGCTCGGGGTCTCGTTTTGTACAATTTGTTCGTCGCACTTGCTGGTATCTTCAACCAGTATGTGAATCCTATTGGGGTTACTAACAGCAAGTGGAAATTTTATATCACGTATGATGTCTGGTTGGCCTTTGAGCTTGTGGTGGTTTATTTCCTGTTTGTCGAGACGGGCAATATGAGTCTCGAAGAAACAGCGGTAATTTTGGACGGGAAGCAGGTTGAGAACAAGTTGATTGAAGTCACAGCATCGGTAAGTGAGAAAAAGATCGCTATGCAAGAGGAGGTGGAGAGGTCCGTGGTACCGGGAGAATGATAGTTGTGTCGGAGAAATTTGATCCACGCGCACGAAAATGCGGGGAAGCGTGCGAATTAGGAAATCAATGGGCTGATTGAAGTTGTTATGAAATTGCTCAGTTAAACTGTCCCTGTGGGCTTACACAATAACAAGAAAACTTTGGAACTCGATCCTTTGCGACATCAATTTTGCATATCTCTCACGAGATTTCTGTGTTCTCCGTTTTTCCCGAACTCCTAGATCGGATAACAGAGAATGGGGGTCACTCTGAACTAGGAATGCCTTTATCAATTTTGACCTCGGGATAATTGTGGCGTGGTCTCCGCATAACCGGTAAAACGACCGGCCAATCTGGGAAACGTCTTGGAATAGCCGGAGTAAAGCCGACCAAGAGCGCACTGCCCATCTAAGCTATAACAGCGTGACTGCAAGTCTCTACTGGGAAACAATGCTACTTGGCACCTACAAAACCGGTCAGCTTGTGTTCGCAAAATCTGTATGATCAAGTTTTGCTTCACCCCAATTGAAACGTGCATTACAACCGTTGCAGCAAAATGGGGTCTACAGGATTCTACTACGTTTCATTCGCGATTGCAATTTTGGCCCCATGCGCTTTTGCTGGTCAACTCACCACTTCCTTGACCAAAAGCATGTTCGCGTCAAAAGATTCCACATAAGACCCAGCTAACAAATATACACAGATGCACAGGAGCTTTTTGACTGGTCGATGTATGTCAATGACAACCGATGGGACAACTCGTACAAGTACATCTGGTACTCGGACAACGGTCCTTGGTCAACTCGCTTTACAGCATGGTATACCGCAGGTCTTCTCTACCGCAACGAAGGACAAGATGTGGTCAGTGCAAAAGCGGCAATCGAGAATATGTATGTGAATCCCTCCTCTTTACCATCTTCAACTTTCTAGTGAAAATCACTTAACTAACTTTTCCACGGTCTTACTTGCCAAATGACCGAGAGCTATGAGTCGGCTTGGTACGGCACTTTCAAACTTTCCCCCGATGAGCCTTATCCGACCCCCGACTCGGATTTGTATCCCCCTGAGATATATGTAGGTCATTTCTCGATTCGGTGGATTTGATTTCGGTTAATCTAACAAAATCAAAAGACCACCTATGATCCCAACTGGAGAGAATTCATTGGCACACAGCTGGTGCAGATCGTTGAGGAATTTTCTGATTTGCTAGGTGACTCTCTGGTATCGCGTATAGAAGACACTCTTGAAATCGCGGCCGTTGGGTCTATGCGACGCAATGGATCATTCCCAGAGGGTGACAATTTGACCCCGGGTTACTCCAATCCGGCCATCATGCGCGCGTGGTATGTCTCTTGGATTGGCGAGCGCCGAAAGAACCAGGTATTCAACAAGCAAACGCCCTCTTAACCTCCTAATCATCAAGCTGACCCAAAAGACTTTCATTGATTATGCCAACGAGCAAGGAAATACAATTTTGGAGCTTTTCAAATCCACGGGGTCCAATGTGCTCTCCGAGTACAACGCACCAACATATTACGGCATGGATACGTGGGCTCTTGCAGGTGCCATCAAATATGGACCTAAGAATGCTACCATGACCAACAACTCCAAATTCATGTTGTCCGAGCTCTGGGCGGATATCTCGGCTCATTACAACCCATACCTTGGTAACATGGTAGGACCGGTATGAAATTTCGTCGAAACAAACAATCAAATCATCCGCTGACCAAAGTCACAACATAGTATGATCGGGCATATACTCGAGACATTGTGTCCAACTCCGCTGTTATTGATTACTTCTGGTGGGGTCTCTTCGGCTACGGCGTAGGACCTCAGCCTAATAAGCTAGAGGCGGACCTTTTGTTTGATGTCGCTCAGGGTGCAGCGCTGGCACTAGTAATGGACGTCGTGGCAGATCACATCTCAAAGAAAGATTTGAGCTGGCTCGGATCGAAGAGCTCTTGGGACGGAGAACGGATGATCACCAAAAAGGTTCCTGATGCTCTCGGCGCTGATGCCGATGTGCGAGTCATCACCTCTTGGATGACGGCCCCTTTGATGATTGGTGCTCAGCAAGTGGCAGAGGTCGAGAATCGCGGAGAACAATACGTGCCTGCTATCGTTCAGTGGGCTGGTGATAAGTCCCATACCCCTCGTCCCTACATGGCCTTGTTCAGTCTATATCCAACAGCATCAACTATTGATGCCGTGGCTGGGCCTAACAGTCTTGACATTTCTTACCCCAACACGACCCAAGAGGGATCTGACATATTCACCTTTGTTCTCGCGCAACTACCTCCAAGCTGGACGCTTGTTGAAAAGAAGGTTGTCCGGGGCCTTGAAGATCTACCATGCCTTGATTTGAGTATTGAGGCTAATGGACTGGAGAAGCAGCCAGTTATATATGGCACTTCTGTGGAGGACAATCGTGTTTACAACATATCGTATGTTGTTCCGCCTACATTTTCCGGTGTGCCCAAGATTTCCTTCAAATTTGAGTATACTTGTTGATTGGAACTTGGAAATAAATTGAATAACAAATACAATGGAATGTGTCGAATGAGAAGGGGGTATTCTATCACCAGTAAATTTCAGGCTCTCTACCTACTGCCTACTTACTCCCCGAAAAACTTCCCCAAGTTAAAAATACATGAAAAACAGGGGTTGCAAATTCGCCTGTCGGTCTTCCCACCGAGCTCGGAACTCCCGGGCTTACGGGGAAATAGACAGCCCGTTTGCTTTTAGCCGGTTGGGGGCCCTTTTACCCCCCCACCTACCCAAAGTCCACTGCCCCACTTGTATAGATCCCTGTCCGGCGAACATCAGCGGTTTGCCGGGGGGTTGCTAGTACTGTGGAATTTGGGCCCCACCGGAGTTTACTACAAGGTATCATACCCCTCTTCTCATTTCAACTAGCTTCACCAACATCAAACAGCTGAGCCAAAAGCCACTGATCATGCCGTTTCCCGCAACTCTGCCAGATTGGAATAATCATCAAGTGATTCACAAAGGCACTCTTCCTCCCCGAGCGCACTTCTATCAATATGAATCCGAAGAGAAGGCTCTGACCTTTGACCGGAGCAAAAGCGAATACTTGTCGCTCAACGGGACTTGGAAATTCCGCCACGATGAGTCCCCGTTTGAGGCGCCCGACTGGGAGTCCGCTGATCCCTTGAGTTGGGATGATATCCGAGTCCCAGGAATGTGGCAACTCCAAGGATACTCGCATCCGACTTACACCAACGTCAACTACCCGTTTCACGTCAACCCTCCTCAAGTTCCCAATCTTAATGAAACCGGGTCATATTGGAGAGAATTCACTACACCATCCAAGTGGAGTCAGCAGCAGATTCGTCTTCGATTTGAAGGAGTTGATAGTGCCTTTCACCTGTGGATCAATGGAAAACAGGTCGGGTATTCTCAAGGCTCCCGCAACCCCGCAGAGTTTGACATCAGTTCTTTCCTTGTGTGTGCTGGCTCTGTAAATACCATTGCAGTCCGAGTGTACGAGTTCTGCGATGGCTCATATATAGAGCGACAGGACCAGTGGCTGTTGAGTGGTATTTTCAGAGATGTGGGCTTGTTGGCTTTCCCAACAGATGCTGTTACTGACTTCAGCGCCGTGGCAACGCTCAATGAGAAGTTATCAGAGGCAACCCTGACAACGGATGTTACAGTCCAAGGCGCCGAGGGGAACATTGACGCTAAGCTATATGGCCCGAATGGTGCATTGATTTCAAAGTCCACATTCTCATCCGCTGAGCAAAGTATCATTCGGGTGGCTGGCACCGACCTACGACTGTGGTCCGCCGAGGACCCAGTTCTTTATACTCTGACAATCTCCTTCAATGGTCGAGTCATTCCCCAGCGTGTCGGCTTCCGGCGTATTGAGCTTCAAAACTCAAACTTCCTAGTCAATGGGGAGCCCATCATCCTCTACGGAGTCAATCGACATGAGCACCATCACCTTCACGGTCGGGCAGTTCCTTACGAAAATATGCGCGCAGACCTTATCATGATGAAGAGGCACAACATCAACGCTCTTCGATGTTCCCATCAACCGAATGACCCTCGACTATATGAAGTTTGCGACGAGCTTGGCCTATACGTCATGGCCGAGGCGGATCTTGAGACTCATGGATTTGATCCGGTTGAACGTTCCAACATTCCAAATCAGCATCTCAAGACTGAACACGAGATCCAAGAAGAATCTTACAGAAGAGCGAAGAAATGGACATCCGACAATCTAGAATGGAAAGAAGCCTATCTTGATCGTGCCATTGAGCTAGTTGAGCGATTTAAAAATTTCTCTTGCATCATAATGTGGTCTCTTGGGAACGAAGCATTCTATGGACAGAATCATGTCAGCATGTATGAGTGGATCAAAAAGAAGGATCCAACACGGCTGGTCCACTACGAGGGCGACCGAGAAGCTCTCAGTGCTGACCTCTACTCCACCATGTATTGGAGTGTCGATGCAATCAAAAGGCACGTTGCTGAGAAGCCCGATAAACCACTGATTCAGTGCGAGTATGGTCATGCTAGTGAGTTCCCCTCAGTACCATTGAGTCTTGATTTGATCAGCCTATCTAACAAATGTTCTTTAGTGGGAAACGGCCCGGGAGGCTTGAAGGAATACATTGAAGCATATCGCAGCGTCCCGCAACTTCAGGGAGGCTTCATATGGGAGTGGTGTAACCACGGTCTTCTGAAGAGAGATGGCGACACTTCATACTATGCATACGGTGGTGATTTCGGTGATGAGCCTAATGATGCAGACTTTATTCTTGACGGGCTGGTATTTTCTGATCACGAGCCAAGTCCTGGACTGATTGAGTACAAAAAGGCGATAGAGCCTGTGACGGTGCACCATGTACCAGGCTCCGCACGATCGAAGTTCATCAAAGTGATGAATGATTACAGTTTCTGCACACTCGATCATCTTTCCGTCTCATGGCATCTTGTAGATGACACTGGCAATACAGAGACCCAGCAAATTATTCTGCCGCACATCAAACCCGGACAATGCGGGGATTTGTTCTTTCCTTTGGATGCCAAACCTGTCAACAAACCCACGTGGCTTTCTGTCAACTTCCGTCTCAAGTATGATTCATTGTGGGCTCCGCGCGGGCATGAGATTGCCTGGGCACAAATCCCTTTGCATCAGTCGGAGGTGTTTTCTATTCCCGACTCGTTGACCCTGCCCTCGGAGTCATTGTCCCTGCGAGAAGGTCGAGGCCGACTACATATTACTTCAAAAGAATCTGGATCTCAATTCAACTACGATCTCGTCCGGGGTAACTTGTCCTGGTCCACCGACGCAGGAAAGATCTTCCACGGCGGGCCTCTTTTAAGTATTTACCATGCTCTAACACAGAATGATCTAGGCCCTGAAGGGCCTGGAGTGGAGTGGGAGCGCTTCCGAGTAAAAAGTGCCCGCATGCTGATGGAGTCTGCTAACTGGCACGCCAACGACAATGGAAGCATTTCCATCATTGCCAAAGTGAGGGTTGCACCGAAAGTGCTTGAGTGGGCATTGGAGGCCACTTTGGATTACACTATAACCGACTCGTCGGTCACACTTCATATCAAAGGAGACTTCAGCGGCACACATCCGAAATATGTCCCTAGGCTTGGGTTGACATTGCGTCTACCCCGTCACTATGAGGCTGCGACATGGTTTGGCAGAGGCCCTGGTGAATCGTACCGTGACACAAAGCTTGCTTCTCGCTTAGGCAGATACACCGCGACTCTTGATAACGGACTGGAGACTCCGTATGAGTGGCCCCAGGAGAATGGCAACCGCGTCGATACACGCTGGGTCCGGGTGCATTCATCATCTCCAGATACATCCTACTCGGCATCTGCTGGGGCCGATGCGCCTTACCCGCAGATAGAAGCCCGGATGGATGCGCCGTTTAGCTTCTCTTTGCGTAAATATGGCATTGATGAATTAGATCGCGCAAAGCATCCACATGAGCTTTCTGAGCTGAAAGACGAGACTGAGCTCAACATTGACTATCTCCATCATGGGATTGGGTCTGCGAGCTGTGGTCCCGGTCCATTCGAGGGTCACAGATTGGAGGCTGAATCGTTTGAATTCACAACATATTTCAAGATTGTTAATTGATGGGGGTACTGCCTGAGCGGCATACAAGGATGGCTTTGGGAGCAGGTTCTGTCGGTATTTCACATGTGATAGCCTGAATATCAAGCCTTGGAAGAGCATGTAATTTCATGATTGATTGTTTATTCCGCTTTGGGTCTCCGAACTAAAGAAGGTCCAAGTGTCCACCTTCCACGGCCACAGTCCACGGGCCGTCTCCACCTGCCCCACTTCCCTCGAGGCTAACTATAGCCGCGGTAACGCTGCTCAAAGCACACAGCCAATATCTGGACCACCTAATCAGAATCTGTAAGTAATCATAGCACAGAGGAGTTCATAGATAGTATCTGCCTTCTGTCTTGTGATTATTATTGCAGGAGAACGGAGAGCGACCAATAGCTTGATCAGTTGGGCGATATGGTTGGTTGGTAGTTGGTTGGTTTTGTGTTGGTTGCTAAATGGTTGGTTGAACGTGGCCATCTTAATGTTAGGCTTTCCTATCTCTGGCAGGTCGGCGGCAAGTGCAACTCGTCTGGGTTTCCCTGAAATCTCGCGAAATATAAGGCGAACAAAATCCCTCGGAGACTGGTGCTTAATCTTGGAAATCCATCACACTCATCCACCTACTGCTAGGTGCTTGCTTACTTCCAAGGCTTCCACCTGGGCAATTTTTCGCTCTCTTCTGTCACATCGGAAGCCCGCCTTTCATATATTACTCAATACTTTCCACCTGGATTCCGCGATGACGTGGGATCCTCACGATACACACCCACAGGCTGGGTACGACATAAAAAGCCTCGACACACTCGACGATGATCCAAAAGATGAAAATAAGGATGCCCAGATGGTGACGATCACTGCATCCGTGAAGATCTTACTGCGATGCTGGGTCGTCCACCTCGTTCCTATCACGATCTCTGTCATAATAATTTTCTTCAACCTCAAAGGATCCTATCTGGGTGCCGACTTGATGAGCCCAATCAAGTCAGAGACAGCCAACCTCATGCTCCTTCAGGTGGCTTCAAAAGCTCACGAGGCCATGATTATGATCAGCATCGGCCTGATTTTGTTACGATTAGTCCGAAACGAGGGCATTACAGTTTTCGGTCCCACTTTCACCGACCTCTCGCTTTTCCTCAACAAGAAATTCCATGGCTCGGTGGACTATAAAGGAGAAAAGAATGGATCTAGGAAAATCAAATTTGTTACATCCTTGGTGGTGGCTGGTCTCACAGCTGTACTAGCTGGCCTTGCCAGCTCTGTGCTCCTCGCACCCAAGTCCCAGGATTGGAAGATTGGAGGCACTCAGTTTTATCTGAATGGATCTGCAAGCAACTTCTGGCCAGCAGACTTGTCAGGCGACATGTCAGAGCTTCGACCATTCTGTGACGGAAGTGACTCGACACGTCTGGGAATTTGCCCGGCGGGGGGATTCCAGGCCCTTTGGGACCACTGGGGAAGCCAGAGTGCCAACAACTTCCGTGGGGATACTCTTCGTCCATATTCAAAGCGCCTGTCTGGATCCAATTTCTACTGGCCAGTGTCCAGCCCCTCATCTCAGATCCCGCCCCTCTATGCGCTAGGAAATGCTAAAGATGGCGACAACGGCGCAACTTCGCTTATACAAACGCACGCAGCAAGTGCAGTCGTATTGCAAAGACTAGCAACAGACTGGTGGCAGGCATTGAAAGCACGGACAGGCCTGCCATCCGACCAGGTTGATGATCGCGTTGCGTCTGCTGACTTCAAAAATGCGATCAGTGTTGTCAAGTGCGCAAGCCCGCAAGAACTGTCAGCATCGGATACAATTGTTGATTTCCCTTCGCTTGATGGCCGATTTGACTTCGCCAATAACATACCCTTAGTGCTACAGAGTCTCAACCATACCGCTGCCAATCACTTACGATTCCAATGGGTTCATCTTCCAGCCAAGTATGGTGCGGCAACCATTGGAGGGGTTTTTGAGACCCCTTGGAAATTCAATAATACCTCACGGGCAGTGATCGCCTGCACAGTCCAAGCTGGGTGGGTCCCAGCAACTGTTTCAACTGACAAGTACACTTTCTGGTCTGGATGGTATCCGTGGAACATTCAATTTGGCGACCGGACACCACAGTGGTCCGCCACGGAACATAGCTCTACCAATGGTCGAATCTCCTTTGGGGACGACTGGCTGGACCTTCTGACGCCCCCGACCAGCGTTCCCGACAAACCTTCCTGGCGGCCATCCACTATTGAGAGCATATTCTTGAATGCTGGTTTAGACACTTCATCTGAAAATGTGGCTGCAGATTGGCTTGGTTCGAATTCCGGGAGCCAAGATAAGCTCGCACTCATTGAGGCTATTGTTTGCAGCGTGGTTGTTGATGGCCTCAGTCGTACTGGCAGCTACCGGGTATTTAATATTTCGGGATCGAGCTCCGCTTGGCCGCTAGCAAACTACAACCCACTTCCGAGCTTCGAGACAGAAGTGCTGCGAAACAAGCCTGCTTTGGAAGTCCCAGCCATTGACTCAGAGACTCTCACGACGATTGAGGCAAGAATGAAGATCAGTGGCTTCTCGTTCCAGCGATCTCTACTAGTATATATTTCCATGGTGGTTCTTTTGGTTCACATTTGCATGGCCGCGATCCACATGTACCTTACATTCATGGTCGAAAGGCAGGGATCTGTTAGCGGTTATCCATAGGATGTCTGGCTTGTGGTGTTTACCGATGCTGCCTAAGATAGCCCTAGAGTGACATCAAGACGCCGATCTATATCTATACCTATGCTACCCAGTACTCCGTAGTGGCAATCCATCCAAGTTTATAGGTGATGTTGTTTTGGATTATAGTTTTTGAGTTTTAGAAAGTCTTGCTTACAGGTGATCTAATGGTGCTAACCTTGGAAGTCACAGAAAAAGGCATCAGACAAAAATTAAGCATGCAGTGTCCCAGAGCCATTTGTGCTTGTCATACTTTTGGTGCCTCATAATGAAGAATTCCACGCCAATTCACCCAGCTTACTCACTCCTTCGGTTCTCACCATACTCGAGTAAGGAGTACTCCGTAAAAAGTACAAAAATTGTTCGAAGGTTGTATGCACAAAGTGACTAGTTCGATGCACTCGAACTGCACTTTACACTCAAGAGTAGGTTGCTTCATCCCTGAGGCAAGCAGTCGCACGGTTGATCATCATTTCGGACCGGCCAATGAAACAGTCTGCTCACACGATCTGAGTGGACTCATCGACACTAGTCCGATTGGAAGAACTTGAAATCTCGCCGATCATTTCCCTTCTATATCTAGCGCTGTGAATCATGTCTTTTCCAGGAAACAAGTGGAACCTTCCCTTTAGGAAAAGTAAACATCTCTGCGGATTAGTTCTCCACAAGTACAGCAGATGAGAGAACTTTTAATCCATTGTATTTAAGAGCGAGGTCCCTGGCCCACACTGGGAGTCTTCTCCTAATCACACATTCATTCATTCAATTCCGACCTCATTCTTTCAAGGACCTAACCAACTTCAATCACACTCATTTCAATCTTCATAATGTACGCCTCCAGCATCATTGCCGTCGCCCTGAGCGCCCTGGCTGTCTCTGCCTCCCCTGTGACTCCGGCTCCCTCTCCTCTCCTCTCCTTGAAGGCCTACTGCCCCGGCAAGTACTTCGTCAACCCCCAGTGCTGCACCTACGACATCAAGCTCGCCGCTTTCGATTGCGACATTCCCAAGGGTAGCCTCAGCAGCCTTGAGGACTTCCAAAGCAGCTGCTCTGCCGAGAAGAAGAGTGCCTTGTGCTGCCTCATTCCCCTTGTACGTTTATCCCAGGACTTTGTATACGCATATGAAATCTAACGAAGAAAACAGGGCGGTGCCGACCTTGTCTGCAAGGACCCCCAGGCGATCTAAGTGATCTTGAAGCACGAGCTTTCCCCATGCTGAATTCCTCTCCCGAGATTCTCTCAAGTTAAATGCGGAGGAAGGCCGCTGAACACATCAGAGCATGAACAAACGATGGATATAATTATGTACAAATTGCATCAGCCTAATCAAATATTTACCTGTTAGCACCTAACATGACTGGAGACAAGATGAAATCGGCTGCACTAATTACAGAGTAACCTTGGAACTAGCAGCCTCTATCCTTAGTCATCACCAGCGAGTCACGTGTATATACGAGAATCTTGATTGTATAATTGCCAAGACCGAGCTCGGGACCCACAATTTCCCGGGATCACCCCGTGACCCACGATTTCTGCCAGTTTTATCAGGCCCAAAATACTCCGTACACCATCCCCCTATTCTAGCATGGACTCTACAAATGGTACGCCGATGGTAGAGATTCAATAGCAATCGGTCTATGAGGTCCAGTGAGCACTCAAATTATAGTTACCCAAACACGCCACGGAAGCAAACTTGACAGGAGAACTTCACTCTCATTGCCTGCTGTAGCGGACGCGCAATAAGAGCTTTCCAACGTAATGACGGCTTTCGCATCGCTATTATTACAGGCAGCATTAGCATAGTGAAAGTCAGGGAGAATCGGGACTTTTAAAGGGTCGTTTGATAGTCATGTGACGCGATAGTCGAAAAAGAATATACCTTTTCTTCCTTCTCTCTTCCTCTTCCAATTTCCTTTCTGCTTCCAATTCCCATTCAATCGCTTGTCCGCCAAAAGTCCAGCATCATTCAAAGGTGGATTTAGAACAAGGCAGTTTCCCTGGCATAGTCTCCCATCAAAATGCTGCTGTCCAGACCGCGCCTTGTTAATTCATTTCATGGGCCTTTCCATCAAATCATCCGCAAAGTCTGGGACCCGACAATGACGTTGCACAGGAATCACCCATTTCCAGGGATCAAAATTACACGATCAGATCCCCAGAACAAGCCAAATCTTCCATGGGGCTTTTGCATTTACCGATGCACATTCAAAGATAATGTTGCATGGAGCAAGATGATCCAGCTCATTCGACAAAACGTGCAAAAATCTTTGGAGCTCTGCTTGCCGCCTGGAGAAGAAAGAACAGAGCTCCTAGAGGCACATGACCTCGTGATTCATGACGAGCCGAAGTTCGATGGCGCCACTTCTCATGAGGTGCGCGATCATTTTCATGGTTGGGTGGCAGAACAACTACCAAAAGTATTCAAGACACCTGAAACACTACAAATGATGCTTCAATCGCATTCAGACACAGATCAACATCCTGGGCCTGAATTTGGATTGGGAGCACGGTTCAACTCGGCCCTTTTCGTCGATGATATTTGTTTGGAGTCTATGGACCATATGCGTGAACCTGTTGTGAAGATTATGTATAAGCCATGGGGCGATTTGAGTCCTGAGGAGAGGAATTACAAAATTGATCCCGAGTGGCACGATGGGACAACAGATGAGTGGGATGAGGATGTTGGATGGATGTACATGAGTGTTGGGGATTACGTTGATATGTATGACCGATATGCGTGGACCGATGACTATATATGGATTGATGAGTATACTCGGCCTCCTCTGATGAATTCATGTGACAAGGCAAAGCTACCGGGCTTCTGGCGCAATTAGTCGTCTTGAAAAAGTGTGTCGAAAGACGGGTCTACTACCTTGGCAGGTCAAAATAAGAATACACTTCAACACTAGATCGCATCCTATAATTGCACAGCGGACCTCTGGAGGTCTCGTATATCTTGCCCAGGTGCCTGTGGGGCTCCGATGCCTTTTAGAGTGATACTCCAGGGCCGAGCGTTGACAAAAGCGGCAATTGCAAGCTCTTCAAGGGGCACAAGAGGTACAAATCAGATGCGACCTTATTTACAGAACTTCCATTCTCTCTCCCTTTCTCCCTCCCTCTATGGAATAGATGCAAAGACGCGGTAGTTCTGGAATCGCATACTTAGGGCACTCTGATTTATGAAGATTTCTACAATTTTTGGCGCCCCCGATCAACCTTGGAATCATACGATGGGCTTAATGCAATCTTTGGAACATAGGGTTGTGAATTAAAATTATATAAAAATTTCAAAGAGGTTATTCGAGGAACACTTTTAACCCCATATCATTCGACTCCAGCACCCATCCATTTATGGACCTCTCTCATCTGTGTGATGAACAAGCAAGATGATTTGACATCGGTCTAACACACAGGGTCACGATGAATTTGAAAATTTCAATCCATAAGTGTACACCACCCAAGCAGATGCTAGATAATCCCTCAGCTCTGAGAGCCACATTGAGGACAGAAGCGACTTGAGACAGCGGTCCCACACTGGCCACAGTACTTGGAAGCTGTTTCTGTAACGTTGGGCTCTTTGGGAGGAGGGGTTCCAGCGATAGATGGGTTCCTTTCAGACTGGCTCATATCAGGCGGTGCTGGGGAGCCAGAGGACTGAGAAACCTGGTGTGGTGGAGCGTACATAGGCTGTGGCGCAGCGTAGGTTTGTTGGAAGGGCTGCTGTTGCTGAACAGCAGGAGTGTTGACGTATGTGACGGTATGGCGATCAGATCGGCTGCGCTTGACGCAGAAGACGATGAGTAGGATCCAAGCGGTGAGCTTGAGGATACCACCGATCACAAACAAAGCAATAGCACCATAGAATTGGCCCATGTTGGTGCTGACGCAGGAGTAATCGGAGTAATAGGAGCTGTAGTATGAGCTGCTATAGGAGCAGTCATCGTAGGAGTTGGATACCCATGTGCCTACGAGAGCACCGCCGATGATGAAGCAGACCACGGCGCCAATAAAGAATCCGATGGGCCACCATTTGTTGAGCCGCGAGGGGCGCGGTGCGCCTTGGGTTGTTTGCATAACGAAAGTTGAGTGTACCGGTGAAAAGGATCACGTTGGGAGCTGCGGAAAGAGAGGTGAAATGGAAGGGAATTTAAGGAAAGACTGAAGTTCACTTTAGGGGGCTTGATGAGTTTTATGGTAGGTAGTAGATAAACATACCCAAAGAAAATCTCAGCATAGTTAGGGCGAAGTTGATACGTAAAAACTTAGAGACAGAGTGTAGAAGCGTGCCTTGAGCCTATCACCGTGCGTATCTCATACGACTTGAGGCTAAAAGTCAGCGGACCGCGCTTTTTTAGCGGGACATCTCGTATTCAGAACTCGGGCCTAGCATCCTTCGCAGGCTGTGTGAACAAATAATTCCAAGTTCGTGTCTTAGCTTTGGAAAAATATAGATTTCACTTCTTTGGAGGTTGACCTACAGGTAAGACGTTTCAGCTATTCACGTTGTCTATCTACTCTATATACACACACTGTATCTAAAAGGCAAAAGAATATTTTTAGAAGTGGGCATCTACATGATCATCGGGGATCGACAAGACTAAATCAAACAATACGATCTCTGATCCACTTTCATCCACTTCAACACGAGCTTCGCGGGAGAACGGTTTCAAGGCTCCTAACTACAATTTTGCTGTCAAAGAGTTTGGAATTTCCTTGATCCACTTGTTTATTTGGTGTGAGATTAAGTTTTTTCTCCTGGGAAAGATAGCTGTCGCAGTACAAAGGTGATTGAAAGAGTGGTTTTCGTGCGTGATGGAGATCGAAACCACAGGGATGGGACTTTTAACTCTCTAGTTGGAGGTAGAGGATTTTGGGCATTGACTGCAGCAAACCGGGCTCGAACTAAAATTAGATGAGGATCAAAGACGGAGAAAGTCGTTTTCATCTTTTTGGAAATCTCCAGTACTGACGCCAAAGTGCCAGTATTTATTGAGATGCTTATATACCCAACCGCCCAAACCATATCTTCTGCTCATTTATATCAGGCTCTATGAGGAGCCCCATTTCAGTCACTGTACCTGCAGAATCCAAACAAAACTCAACCATGAAAGGCGGCAATAGATCCAAGCCTGTGCGGTAGATTCTACCAATGAAGAACTCACCACTCGCATGTGAGATAGAGAGCTCACAAGGAATGACGCGATCTTGCAAATCAGCGACCGGGCACCCTGATTCAATTCTGAGATCAATCATAGCCTCTGATCGGTGCAGATATGTTCCGGTATACTTGATCAGTGGCAAACTGTGGGGGATGGGCGGATCTGGCAATCGAGGGAAAAGTCTCTGCTTTGATATTTCCGGCGTCTCGTTTGCAAGCTTCGTTTGCCACAGGCTTTCTTGTTTTGCTATAATTGCTGCAATCTGGTCTTGGTAGTTTGGGTCGGCTGGGAGGTTGAGGTGCTTGTCCAAAAGAAACGTAAATATTCTGTATGCAGCGTATCGTGCCGAAGACGAATTTCCCATGATCACCCAGCCAAATCTTTTGCTTGGAACGAAGCCCACATGACTCGCATACCCGGGCCAGCCACCGCCGTGGCTATAGAGATACTGGCCCCGATAGTTATCCACCACCCATCCTAGGGCATATCCATGGAACGGGGCGGGTAAGTCTGCGTCCTCGTTTTCGAGACAAATGGTTCGCGGTTTGATCAAGGTGTCATGTCCCTTCAAAGGCCCTGTAGGTTCAATAAGCTCTTTCACCCACCGAGCATAATCAATCACGTTGCTATGAATAGCCCCAGCACCGCTGTTAGATGGCCAATCATGTTCTGGTTTCGTTGTAAAAGAGCCATCACTGCCTGCAGGAGTCCAGTCATATCCTTGCACAAGTCTCGCGGCGGTTGATGGATCTTTCTTTGCTTCTGCTGCACCGAAGTATGTATCGTTCATGCCAAGAGGCTTCCAGATGCGGTTTTTCATGAACGTTCCTAGAGGAATTCCGGTACGTTGTTCCAGTGCATGTGACACGGCAATATACATGTGGTTGCTGTAATGGTATTTGCTTCGCAGTGGTGTTGCGAGAGGCATGTATCGCATAGCACGGACTGTTGAAGCCGGTTTTGAGCCCTTACTTTTGAAAAACGCCAGTGTCCAATTGTGCTGCGGCATACCCGTGCGATGGGACAGCGCATCCTCCAAAGTCACATTCTGTGTCGCATGGTCATCCTCGAGTACAAACTCCCCCGGAATGAGAGAAGCCAGTGTTGTGCTCCAGCTCAGTGGGCTTGTGGTGCCTTGGCTATCTTGAATCGCTATTGAGGTACCTGCAGATGTGAAAGCCTTGGTGGTGCTGCATGCTGCAAACAAGGCGTCTGTTGTCATTGGACGCGGTGCATGAGTATCACTCGGTAGCTCTGCTAGCCCGTATGCCTGCCCTGGGTGTGAATGGTCAATTTTCCAATGGGCACTTGTATACTGACCTTGGCCGATATTTCAGAGCCTTGGACAATCGCGATGCTCAGTCCTGGAACTTTCCATTTTTCCAGCTCGGTTCTGACAAGTTCGTCAAATTCTTCATCAAACGGAGATTGATGGGATGACATTATGAATAACAATCGAGTTAGTTTGACGGGAACAAACTCCAGGTGAAAGGGATTTTATCATATTGAACAGCGAGCTAGCCCCCATATGTAATACAAAGTAATCCGTACTGGGGCAGCATGACTCGTAGTCTTATGGTGTCAGAGGCGGGGGTGTGGTGAGCTTGCATGCTAGCTGAAAGCCACCTAGCCAGCGCCTGAGAGACTTCCGTTACAAATCTGGAAATCCGGTCAGATGTAGTCGGAGTATTGTGTGATTGGCTAGCAGAAAGAGGCCTTATAACCCTTAAATTGAACGGAACGAGTAAAAGCGTTGGTGCTCCCAGGTTGATTCGGAGCGCCCATTAGGGCTCAAATCTAGAGGATAAAGGAACCTACTTATAATCTAGGCACTTTTATTATCTGACATGCAGAATCAACAACATCCAAGTTCACCAAGATTGAAATCGAAGAAGAACGCAGCGCCATTTAGGGCTGTCGATCGTCCAATCAGAGAACGCGTGACGTCGCGTTAATTGCGGCGCGTCGCGCGACACATCCGACCTTCTCACACATACCATGTCCGAGGCTCTAAACTCCAGCGCGGAGGTCGCTGTACAAGCTACCAATGTTCGGGCAGAACTGAAAGTCTGGGAGAAATCATTTGCCGCCGCAAATGGGGGCAAAAAGGCCGGACGCGACGACATCAAACAGAACGCGGAAATCGGTACGTCCAATGCAATGACACTAATTGCAAATAGACTAATCGAGACTCTCTTTGCATTTCAGCGGCCAAATACAAGGAATATAGCCGTCTCAAGGCTCTAGAGTCGTCTCTGAGTCGACGTGAAAACCGCCGACACGAACCATCGGACAGCCACTCCAAGAAGCGGAAACATGCATCGCCCCCCAACCAAGACGCATATCAGCAATCTACGCCACGCAAATCGTCCAGAGGTCTTTTCGCAACTCCTTCCAATGATCGCACCAAGATCCTTCCTGCAGACATCGATGCCTATGACTCGCCAAACACCCTGCGCAGGCTCTTCAGTCCCACCACCCATCGCCAAGGACAGCCTGCGCCATCGCCGCTAAAGGCTGCGATTGGACCAACACCACAGCGTGATGGAAAGACTTTGGGCTTATTCGACATGCTCTCTGAGTCCGGAGGAAGTCGTGATACACCTTCTGCCAAGAGGCAGTCCAACAATCTAGCTGCGGCCTTCCGAACCCCTTCCAAACGAAGGCCCGTAGAAGCGATTCCAGAGCTCCCAGAGGAGGAGGAGCCGCAGCAGGAGACGCCTAGACTTGCGCGAACACCGGCGTCCGAGACGAAACAATTTTATCTTGCGAGTCTGTTCGCAACGCCCACAACCATGCGCTATGCAGCAATGGTAGAAGCAGAGGATAACAAGGAATCGCAGTATAACGAGCTGCAGAATCTTGCGCCTCAAATGTCCCCTCCGGCAGCTCAATCGGGTACACCATCATTTCTTCGCCGCTCTAATTCCGGCCGATATCCTCCTCCTAACGCTGGTGTCGACGGACCAGGGCTCAGTCCTATTGCATCACGCAAACCACAAAGATTTGCCAGCAAAGGTCTCTCTCACTTGGTCCAAGGCCTACGAGATATGGAAGAAGATCGCATTGAAGAGGATTGGGATGTGATGCGCGAAATGGAAGAAGAAGCAGAAGCAGAAGAAGCCGCCAGGTTGCAAGGAGAGGATAGTCAACAGCCAGACATCAACCGGAAGTACAAAAAGAAGGGCCAGAAGCGGACTACTCGACGGGTGATCATGAGACCGGTTACCCATCAACCGAAGCCCAAACCAGATACCAGGACGACAGATGCCAATGACTCAGGCAGTGACGATGAGCTCGCTACCGTCCCAGAGACACAAATTGCGCCTGCGGTTGAAGAAGAATGGGATGATGTGCCGAGTGATATCGAGCGTGCTGAGAATGCCGCTTCTGCTCCTGTCATGTCTGAGCCTGAATTTGATACCGAGGTAGAATTTGATCAGGACTCAGATGATGATCCTGAATTCGGGGAGACGAAAGCTGCTGCTAAGCCGAAGAGCTTCTCAGAACGTATCAAGGAAGCTGTTTCGTCGTCTGCTGCGAAAAATCCGGAGCCACCGGCTTTGGGTAAACCTCCAAAGGCCTCTGAGGCTGTGGAGAAGAAGCCTCGTCCTCGGAAGATCAATGCTCAGGCTCATGCGAACTATCGGTCGGTCAATATCAACCGTGGTGGTTCTTCTCGTGGTAGGGGAGGACGGTTTCGACGGAGATAGGCTGTGGGATAGACTATTTTCCCTTCATGATGTGATGACTGCATTTATTAGCTTGGAAGCATTTGTTGGAATATTGCTAGTAGCGAGTTCAATTTGAGTTATATCACCCATTCCAATCTTTCAAAGGCTATATCAATGATTTGCTCTTCCAAGGTTGGCCGGTCTAATCAATTCACAGAGCTGCTGGTAGCGGCTGTCATACACAGTACTAGATTTGTGCGTACAATACCAGGATCGTGGCCATTCATACAAATGGTGTTGAACAACGAATATCAATTCTTCGAAAATGCATACATCTAGTGTAACATCGATGAGTGGTAGCAAATCGCGATGGGCGATAGTGAGATCATAAACCACACAAAAAATAGAAGAGAAAGCTCCATGCGCCAATCCTTCATGCAAGTCAAACCTCAGGGTAGAAAAATTCGAGAAGAATACAATGCTGTCCGCGGGTCCGTGGGATAGCTTTTGAAGGTTTGCAGCCTCAATACTACTGCACATAAACTGCACATCAATAGTCCATGGAGTAGCCTCCTCTTGGGGCAGGTCCACCGCCGTGGCCGCCTCTGTTATCATTTGGCCCGTCGTAGGACGCTCCGTGGTCATCCAGTGACCTGTACTGGTAGTAATCACCACGGCCACGACCTCTGCCACGGGCCCGGGGGTTGTTTCCCCGACCACGACCAGTACCTCCTCGGCCACGACCACGGAGACCGCCTCTTCCTCGTGCGCTCTCGTCGTTCTGGTAACCTCCTCCACGGTAAGTGTGATGATAATTGCCACGACCTTGGAACTGTCCTTCATGTCCGGAGCTTTGGTTGGGCGCCCAGCTGGCATTGTCATCTTGGTCTGCCTGGAAGCGTCTCTTCTGGCTCCTGTTCAGAGTTCGTTCTCCAGTACGTAAGTCTCCAGTCTCCTCAACTCGCAAGACAACCTTTTCCCCAATAACAGTGTCGAAGGTCATGGCCTTGTCAGCAGGGAGGGGTTGCCAATTCTGAATCTTGCCTGCGTCGATCAGACGGGCACCTTTGCGAACAGCCAATACTACAATCGGTAGTGGGTTTTCTGTGTGGAATGGTTCGTTTGCTGGGATGGGTGCCACACGGGCTGCCCAAATCTTGTTGTCCAAGCTTCCAGTTCCAGTAACCTTCCATTTAAGATTCTTGCCCATACCTCCGATCTTGTCCAAGATGGAGCGGGATGCTGGGCGGGGAGTGATTAGAATGCTGTTAGCCATGTATTTCAGGTCATTTGATTCAGCAAGCCCAGGAGGCAGCATTGGCGCCAACAAAGTCTGGGTCATGATATTTGACACCTCTTGAGTGACCAAATAACCCGTGTAAAAGACAATTCGCTTGATCTGTAAGCACCCATTCCGGCTATTGCTCTGTTTGAGGGCGGTGTTGCGCAAGGCAAGATTATGGGAGTTCACCATGCGTTGGATCTCGGCAGTCTCAGTGACAGGATCAAGATATGTGCAACCCTCGGTTACTTGAATAACCTCTGCAGTAATAGGCACCCGTGCACTAGGAGGAGGTCCCGGTTGAAGATTCCTGTTGAGAGTCTCGAAGAAATCACGGAACCCTTTCACGCTAGCAGCAAGTTAATACCCGAGCGATTGGAACCACTTTGAGTTGTTTATCGTAAAACTCACTGCTTGACACGGTCCTCATATACGCGTATTTCTTCAGCCTGTGCGTAAGTGAGAACTAGATCTTCAAGGAAATTCTGCTTGAAGTTCATGGTGCTTGCAAAGCGTTGGCCGTTCGGTCCAACTTCTGGTTTGAGTCCAATGAGGTCGAATTCAAGTTTTTGACTAGCTGTCATCCGTTTGATGATCTCCGCAAAGCCAGCTTCACTTCGACCTGTCAGGAGAACTGTGAGGGCATCTTTTTGATCCATACTCATTTTGACCAAACGCAGCTTGAAGAAAGTCAGTTGGTCGCTCGAAAGCTGCAGGACAAGTCGGGAATCGCACAATGTTCTCATTCCACCATCCAATCCATCCTCGAGGCTCCTCTACCTCAATGCCTTTTCCGGTGGCACCGAGGATGTTCGGATCGTGCCACCAACCGCCGGTGGAAAAGCTATCTTCGGTTTGCAAAAAGCCCACCGAGGAGCCGTGCCATATTTGGGGATTCGGCAAGGGACTTAAGAACACTGAGTATCCCAGTTGTCAGTTGTGTATTTTTGCCATCAAGGGCTTGTGGTTCTCACGGGTATTGTCAAAGTCGTAGACGTGGATCGCACGGATCTGGGAGACGGCTAGAGGCATTGCTATTGTCAGATAAACTGTCTTTGTAGGTCCGCAGTCCAAATCGAGACTTACGGGGAAGTTCCTTGTTCACAATGGACCAGCGACGGAGCGAGGTGATTGTATGGGGGGGGACGATTTGCGACATGCGCGGCGCCAGTATGGTAGGACATGGTGGAAGTTCCGAGGCGCGCGAGGTTTTCAGAGACCACAGCTTTCGCGGACCTCATTTCAAAACAAGAAAAAAAGCGAGTGTTGCTTAGCACATATCGGAGAGGATCAAATGAAGTGAGAGAGAGGAGAAGTCGAGACGAGCGCAACCGCGTTGGAGCTGCCCGCAAAAAAGGAAGCGACGTTCGGGGAGGTTTTGCCGCCCGCCCAGAACGTGACTTTACAACCTCACCCCCTGCGGTCTTCTGTTTGCATGGACGATGTCGAACTGCGACAGCAAATTCTCCAGCGGACTCTGCAGGAGGTAGCTGATGAGGAGAAGGACGCTGTCGCCAATCCGTGTGTCATCTGTCTGGACACCATCACCGAGCCATGCGTGGCCCAGCCATGTCACCATGCGAACTTCGACTTCATCTGCCTTCTTAGCTGGCTAGAGCAACAGCAAAGATGCCCTCTCTGTAAGTGAGCGCTATAGCCTCTTCCAGCTACAATTAGCTAATCATACAATAGGTAAAATAGAACTGACGGCTGTGCAATACGAGCTCAAAGCCCCGCAAGGTCCAAAACTATACAAGCTCCCAACCCCGGAAACACAATCCTCCACAGCTCCACCCACACCTCGATTCCCACGAGGCTCTAGAGGTGGCAGGCGCGGAGCAAGACGTCCTCCATTCCCGCCGCGACCATCACCAGATGACCCGCTTGAGCGCCGGCGCAACGTCTATCGCCACCAAACATACTCCATGCGCGTCGGATCCAACCGCCTATCTCAATACCGAGAGCTCACTCCGGACATGTTCAACAGAGACGAAGAGCTCGTCTCACGCGCCCGGAAGTGGATCCGCCGGGAACTACGAGTGTTTGCTTTCTTAAACCCGGAGCCGGAGGAAGAGGAGCGCACACCCCAGCAGGTCTCCCGGCCTGGACCCCAGCGGCTTGAAACTCGCAGGGCAAACAATGCTGAGTTTTTGCTGGAGTACGTTGTTGCCATCTTGCGCACCGTGGATCTCAAAGGCAGCGCCGGTCAGGCGGAAGAACTCTTGCGTGACTTCATCGGGCGAGAGAATGCTTGTCTCTTTCTTCATGAGCTACAAGCATGGTTGAGAAGTCCCTATAATTCTCTCGAGGACTGGGATCGCCATGTCCAGTATGCGAATAGCCCACAGAATACATCTGATAGAGGAATTGGGCATGTACACGGTCCGGGTCGTGGATCAATATCTACAAACATGAGGAGAGGTCAAGCGTCTCGACGACCTTACAGAACCCGGCCGGAAGATCCAGTTGCTCGCTCTAGGCGAATCCAACAAGCCCAACAGCGATATCATCCATATTAAAATGCCAGAATATACTATGAGCATCTGCTGGCAATACGCCTACCACCACCAGCCTTGCTGGTTAACCCAGTGATGGAGGACAATGAAAATTGTATGGATCTGTTCATCAATCAGTTGTAGATGTTCAGTCTTGCACTTGCGCAAGCCTCCCTGACCGGCGAGTCGCAACGGGCCCAAGCTGGCGAGTCTCGCGAGTTTTATAGTAAGATTTTTCGCCACTTGGATTCACAGTTGGGACACGACACGGACCCTTCTTGGCGATGCCTACCACCCATCGTAGATGGTTCAGCCATCTTTTATCGGAGCTCTCTTGGGTGCTGCTCCGGTACAATTCCTCCACCTCATCCCGTTCCGAATGCACCAGCGCAGGTGCCTCGCCCACTGTCTCCGGTGGTAGCAATTTGAAAGTCAATGTATTGAACCGCTCGGTTCCTCTGAATGATTCGTCGACATATCTGCGGCGCCCTTTGTGCGTCCCGGCGCCTAAGGTCAGCTTTTGGAATCTCCCCAATCCGTTGACCATCTCGACGCATTCTGGGCTTGCCCTAAATACTTCATGTCTTGCTTCAAAAAATTGAGAACCAATTTTCTCGGCCTCCTTGTATGTCAAGTAGGGTTCGAAGAAAGAATCAGGTCCACCACCGGTGAAGTATGGGCGGCGGTCTTCGAAATTGCCAACTAAGGAGTGGAGAGACAAAGTCTTCATATTTGGGAATCTGCTTGCGAAGGTGTCCAACACTTCATATGGCTTGATTTCAAGTCAGTTTCCCACGGTTCATTCCAATCAAGCATTTCGCACATACCCAGTCATTGTCCACCCGCTCAATGTCCAGCTCCAGAGATTCGATATAGGGACATGATGCATCCAAATCTATCAGGTCCTCAGTCTCAGCCACATGGCGGACAGCATCGCTCTTCCAGGTCTCGTCATGATGCACGCAAAGATTGATCAAATTGGTGTGGCAGGCAATGGCATCAAATGGAACAAAACAATTGAACATGGTCAAGTCCACAAGCGTGTCGAAAGACTCGAGGAAATTTTCGAGATTCCGGCACGACTCGCTGACATCACTACGATTTCTCGAGACCTGCAAGCGTCTCAAGTTCACCATACGTCCGGTCAAGAGCTTCATATTTTTGGATGCATACTCCCACTGTGAACCACCTAGCTTGAGGGATCGGAGGCTTGACCAATTGAAAGGACCATTTGGTCCAAGTGTCAATATCTCGCTACCTAGATCGTACATATCAAGAGCCAGGTGTTCAACAGAAGGGAACGTTTTATGCATGTCGAATCCCTCCAGGCGCTCTGGCCATATCAAGTAGGTATGCTGTTCCCAATCACAAGATTTCAAGTTGGGACAAGAAGTGATGAAACTCAAGAAATTCTCGGGCTCTGCGCGATCAGGACACCAAAAGTTATTGGTAACTTTAAGCGTTGTCACAGCCGGTAGTAAGCGAGGACAATAGGTGAGACCGTCCTCTTTGAGTAAGTGCAATTCCGGCTTTTTGGGATGTTTCTCAATACTTGTAATGTATTGGTTGTTGAAATCACAGGGAATCTTGAGCCTATAGGGGAATCAGCCAGTTTCTACTTGCTGTAAGGTCCAAGGCATGAAAAAGCCAAATCAAGAGAGATATGAGCAATCTGATCACATACTTCACGCATCGCAAATTTGGGAGGCGCTCTATCAATGTAGAAAGATGTTTCCTTCCTCGTTGCTTCAATACCATCCTCTCATGCGGTAAGATAGTGATCTCTTGGACAAAGTGCTGTGGTGAATCGGGCGAGGCATCGAGCAACCTGAGAACAAGACCATCTTGCGCCTCTACCAAATAGTTTCCACGTAATTCAATGTTGACAGAGCGGTGCAAGAATGGAGTTGCTATATTGTTCACAGCCTTTGAGACAAGACAGAGGCTAGCCAAGTCACTCTTTCCCCATGAACAGAGCTTTATGAAATTGACCTGGAAGCACAAGATCGTGGGGGTTTTTTGCTATCTTAACACGTACAGTCTCACACACGAGATACCATGCATACCATGTTGAGTCGTTGAAGCTGCACCAGGGCTTCTTTGCTCGTTTGTGGTCTCCGAGAAACCATTCCCCAAATTCAGACAGATTCCTGTTTTGAACTGAAAATATTGCACTTGATAAGCGCATAGGCACACGATGATGAGGGCTATCCATCTTCCAATGTTGGGTGTTGAAATTGGAAAACGAATAGGCATGAGAATATATGGAAGTGTGATGGAGCAGTTCGGGCAAAATCCACCCCTGCGCTAACCGAAATAGGGTCTTTCACCACATCTCATGGCCAATGAGAGATTCTATCAAGCAACATTTACTGAATGTATCATCGTTAAATGCATGAAATACCCACCTCAGTTAATGACAGCTGCATTTTTCAAGGTCTGTGTCTAGTTGTGAACCTTAGCATCAGTAAACAAACCTTGGGATCGACTCACATGAACTACGTCATAGTTCAAGCCTATTGACAAACTTTGGAAAATGCGGTTTGTGATACAGGGGAAGTAGATGGAGAAACAATTGTGCGTCGTATGGCTGAATAACATGGTATTTCTATGTCGAGAACAAGATGTACTCCAACAGGTTCAGCAAATCAATAATTGAACGTTTCCTGGGAGATGCAATCCAGACCCGATGTCTGTTGTCATCAATTCCCAGGTACAAAAAAAAAAAAAAAAAAAAGCGAGGATCAATGTCCTCAAATATGTTCGTGAAAAATCCCAGATTGTCCATATCCCAAAATTCCCTTGGGAAATCCAAATGTTCCAAAGTGCGCGTGATCCGTTTCCATCCATTCCGTGAATTGCGAGCTGGGGTCGTGTGCTCGTAGGTATTATTCATTTCCCATTTGTGTCGTCCCGTTATAAGGGTGGTGTATGTTGCGAGTGAAAAGGCAAAGGCAAAGTGCAAGTCGTAAAAAAACAGTAATAAACAAAGAACAACATTGTGTTGCGTGGGCGTTGAGTCGAGTCGATTGAACAAATTCGATCATTCCTCATCGGTCAGTTTGCGGATCAGACTGATACTCAAGATCATCACCAGCAAACCAACTGTGACAATGACTAGTAGGACGAAGCCAAACCAACCAAGCACCATTGCTGAGGAACCAACGCCACTCTTGACACTTCCATTGCCCATGTCTTGAGCTATCGTACTGGCGGCGACAGATGCGGTATGTTGCCATAGTACGGAAACGAGGACGAACACGGATGACACAAAGATGAGTGCCAGGGCGGCCTGGGAGACGGGTCGGGACGGGAAGGGCTTGACTTCGCGTTCGGAACCAGAGTCGTCGGTCTCCTCGTGCCAGCCGGGGAATGTTGCCAGAAGGATGAAGCAGAAGAAAGCGAGAATAACAGCGACAATCCTGCACGTATGTTAGAGTAATTCAACAGTCCATATGCGGGACACTCACAATAAGTACGGGAACACGACAGCATCTTTAAACGTCGAAGCAACCCAGATCAAGTTGAGCGGATCTTGGTCCACGGTGACAATACCAGCCAATGCGGTTGCGTTGGCATTGCAGATGAAGGATCCTGGGGTAGGTGAAACGCAGATACCGAAGTATCCCACTCGGACTTCCATCTCTGCACCGCCAACAATATTTGCGAGCGCAAATGGATAATCTCCTTGAACCTGAGCGAGATCCTTGACAGCGTTGTACTTCTCATAGTATAAAGAGATAAGGAAGATGTTGGGAATTTGCGGGGATGATGATGAGCATCCGGCCAACAAGAGTGCTTCGATTTGTTAGTGACATTCCAGGAATGTTCGATAAAGCCTGCAACTCACATAATAGGATAATAGCGATGGCAATGATAATCATCAACACATGGTGGTACCCGATCATCGGAATGAAGCCTGCGCCAATGAGTTAGCTGTCATCTCATCGTTGGTTTCTTGAATTATTGTCGTCACTTACGGGCCCATTTTTGTGCGAAGGGAGAAGCCATTGTGTATGTTTTCGCCTTCCTTCACTGTTTTGTTGACTCGCTTCTCGGTTCTCCGAGAAGGAGTGTTCGTAGCGGACTTGATCTCAGAGCTCGACTGTATGCCCGATGACCCAATTGATCTGTGGGAGAATGGAGCGACAGCGGTATCGATATCGGATCGTAAGACTGGAATGCGTGTGAAGAATGTGGAGGTTGAGATGAGAGGTGGATCGTTCAAGATGGCTCCAGTTTTGAACGCAATTTGAAGAGTACTCAAAATAATAGAGATTCAGGAATCCGGCTCGCACCTAAAATGGTTTATTGAATCAGAGATATGACTTGACGCCTGTGGTACAGGTGGGAAGTGTGTGAAAGAGAGGAATGTGTGGAAGGAATGGAAGGGGAGGGAAAGAGGGATCGTAGCTGAGACCAAACTGCACGTCAAATTGTCACTCTGCTTTCTCTGGAGGCTGGGAATGAGGCAAGAGTATAGGAATCTAGGAGGCTGGGCCATTGTTTACACTGGCTTCCCCGGTAACGGCTCCTCACCGCCTGCTGTAGCGGGTAATTTCTGCCCGACACGGGACAGGTCGAGACCACTTTAGGCCCGATTGGGACTAGTGCAGATCTTGATAAGCTTCGCCCCACCAGCAGGAGCCACGCGATTCACCCAGCCACTCGATATTAGGCCGTCTACTGCTACGTATTCGGGCTCCATGTTTCAGGCTTCTTAAAATGCGGTGAATTTCAATTATGGAGCGCTAGGTAAAACGGCAGTTTCTAAACAAAATAATACAAGTTGCACGCCAAAGTGGAACCGAACTGTGGTTCCAATGCTTTACCCCAGATCCTATACCCCAGTCCTGTCCCAATGCTCCGTAACCAATGAGGATGTAGCTTAGTTTGTTGCTGTAAAAGAAAAGCGTGCGAGGTCCAGTGGAGTTGCGGATGATTCCGTCTCAGAACCTTCCTCCTCATCGCTATCTGGAACCATGAGATCCTCGCTGCCCTGGGTGCCGATAAAAGAGCAACGCTGAGCAACCGGAGAGCGCTCTTTGATCGGAGGTGCAGCGTGAGTGACCCGTAGCTTGCTGGGGAAGTTGAGGCTACGGGATCGGGTGAGGGCGTTATGTCCCATGCGTTGTAGCGGCGTCAAGCGTCGCTGAACAGGGCTATTTCGTGAAATCGAGGCTGGGGTCTTGGGCGTCGAAGGCGTTTCAGGCCTCTGACTGGGCTGGATGGTAGGGATATTCGTCATGAACGGAGTGCCCGTTGTGTCGGTCTTGGGTTCCGACCTAAATGTGAACTTGGAAACGATATCTGAGTTTTGCCGGTCGACGTGGTACTCCAGGGCCCGGTCAAAGCCAGGGGAATTGACAGGCACAGCCTGGGTGGGCTCGGAGCAGTCTTTTTCCGGCTGTTTGTTGGTTGTAGATTCAGATGGTGTTCCGACTTCGTCCCCCTGGCTAGGAACTTCTAAATTGCCGTTAGGCTTTGATTCGGTCGGCCCAGGCGTATGAGTAGGATCAGGCATGCTGGACATGATGTCCTCCGCATCCTCATCCGAAAATACCCCAATCACTGATTGACGAGATCGCTTAGATCTGAACAGTTTGTCCCCACTGGGACTATCTTGATTGGAGGTAGGGGCGAAAAACCGACTGCGAGCCGGGGAGCAGGCAGGCAGAGAGTCCCCTTCAGTTTCAGAGCAGAGCCTCTGCCTTTTGGTGGGCTGCAAGCTTGATGATTTCGCGCTTTGCGCCAAGAACGAGGATCGCTCTATGCTTCGGATCATGGGACTGAGTCCTTGATCAGAGAATGCCCGAAGAGGGGTTGAGCGAACTGAGTTAGAGCGAACAGGTGCGGCATTTGCCTGCCAAGAGTTGTTAGAGTTGCGCTCAAGGAGTCGCTGTTGACTGGGAGACGGAGTCAGACTGTTAGGATCCAGTTCAGCCAAGGGTGTTCTCTTCGGGGTGAAGAAGTTATTGATAGGTTTGCGCGGCTTCAACTCGGATGAAGTACCCAGAGTCTGCCGGCGATTGATGCCATGAGAGAACCTGCCAGCAGCCAACGGCTTAATCACAATTGGCTCCTTCGTGGAAGGATCCAACTCGCCCCGAGATACGCCAACTGCAATTGCAGGTTCGTATTCACCACCAATAAAGGGCAATTCATCCAAATTGATGCCATCTTCTGGCTGAGTCAACGTCAACAACTTTTGGGCCTTGGCGCAAAAGACCCGCTGGTAGAGAAATGTCAACTCAGCCTGCTTGAAGTTGGCAAGGTAGTCGGCTGGGACACGGAATTTGCCTTCGAATTGAAGCATGCGCAGGGCTTTTTCCGCGCTCCTGTGCTTGCGAACAGTTCGGTAAGCAGTCTTCAGTCCCATCTTCGGAATGTTCGCCAAATAATCACAGCCGCTCAAAATGCACATGGTCCTGAAATCCGCATCACTCCAGCCAACCAGGCTGACCTCACGACAAGCACTGAAGTCGGCCCGGTTGATCTCAATGCATTCTCCGTGTTGGTCCAATTTTGAAAGCAGTCGCTTCGCTCCAAACACAAGCAAATCCGAATCTTCTGATATGATCCCATCAATGTCGCCCTGCTGTTCCAGGTAGACCAACTGTGCATCTGCCTCGTACGGCGCCACCACATATTGTACATTCAGTTGCTTCAATTCTTCAATCAATTGCCGGGCCATGTACGGGGTCACATCAACGGCTTTCTGGAATTCCTGGTAGGCTTCGGGCAGGCGTCCCTTTCGTTGCAGTTCAAGACCAAGCGCCTTGCTTTCTTGACGCCGACGGTAACGATCTTGTTCGGTGCCTGACTTGCTGGGAAGGTTATCTCCATCAAACACAAGGTATGGTTTCACTCCAAAGAAAAGAAGCATCCGAACACGATTAAGGACGAAATCGAGGTGCCTGTGGTTTGATTAGCTGGTGCAAAAAAGATAAACATGGAACGCATCTCATCCAACATACTTCCTAGTTGGGTTCTCCAAGACAAGATCCGCGGAGCAGGCAACTGTACCGCGGTGCAGCCATCCATATGCGTCGACGCCAAGGGTTAGCCCACTGAACTTCTTGATGTGACATGGTTTCTGTATGGACTTTAGTAGCCCGTGGAGTCCTGTTGTGACATGTCAAAAAAGCCGTTGGTCTCATCGTGTTCAAGCTCTGCGTACCGTTAATTCCCATAGTGGACACCCTTCGAGGCACATGCGGGCCCTCTTATTTAGGCAAGAAAGGATAACATAGATAGATATTTGCACAGGCCGAAAGTCGAGGGGTAAGAGAGAAAAGCGAAGTCCAAAACGGAGACCAAAATTGACATTCGTAGGAGTAAATAACCCCGGAATGTTTGGTCCCTTCGAAGGGACCTCTACGCGCAGACGCGCTTTCCTCCGGTGGGGAAGGCGGTGATTTGCGCTTCACCGCCCAATATTCTGCCCCCGCATCCAAGAAAATTATCACGGAGGATTATTCCATGAGAACTTAGAACAATCACATTACCGCCGCCATGCCGAAAGTCTCTCTTGAAAAAGTGCATAAGCAAATCTCCAAAAAGAGAGGTGTTCTCAATATCATGCACGAGAACAGCCGCGATGCCCACCGACTGCGCAAAGCTGGTGCTCGTGTTGACCGATTGTCCCGCCATTCCCACACTGTGAACAGAGCCAGACAGCCATACAGTGAGATACACTCCCCTGCCACCAATTGCACTGATCTAATTCAACTAGTGGACCGTATCGAATACATCCACGAGGCCGTGCAAGAATACACCGACGCTCTCTCTACCGAACAAATGACCGAGTTTGTCGCCAAGTATGTACCGATGCATCAGCCCTCGAGAAACCACCACTAACAATACTAGGTACATCGATCGTGACACCGAAGAGATCAAAGAGCTCCAGGCCGAGCGCCGCAAGGGTCGGCCCCCAGCAAACGCGAAGAGGCCCTCAAAGAGCGGGTGCAGGTTGAAGACCGGGAGTTCACCACCGGACTTTGGATGCCAGACCTCAGCGACCAATATGCATTGACAGGAATGAAGAACTGGAATGGACACTGGTCTGGCCTCAGCGCTATCACTTTCATCCGACTCACTAAGGCGGGAGAAAAGCTTACATCCACATTCCCTCCCAAGAGCATGTCATGATCACGAATATTTTTTCTTCTTTTTTGTTGTCTGGTGTCCAAAAAGACTGGGTTGGCGCATTGTGGGTACATTGACTCTTATTTAGATTCTGTACAGCCGAATCTTCTCGAATATACCATTTCATCTATACTCCGTACTGTTTCTCGACTTCGTATCTATCAGTGATAGAGTATATCGCAAACTGATAAGTCGTTCACGAAGAGCCATGTATATCTACTCTCATCAACAGTTTTGGGGCTCGTATGGCGATCATTACCATCCATCAAAGCACGAATACAACCTGCTGCCGTAAACTTGCAAATATTTGCCACCAGAGTACTTCGTACTGGGCAATGTCGGGGTGGTTTGATGTGGAACTATGAAGTGTGGCCCAAACAAAAGTCTTGGCACCCGTAACATCATCTTAGCTCCATTTACTTTTTTCCGCAGCTCTCTTCTACAATCAATTCCCCTGCTACTCTAAATAATTCATCATCAAAATGCTGTCCCTTCGCACCATCTCCCGCGCTGTGCCTCGCACTTTCTCGCGCTCCGTCGCCACCTCCGCTCTGCGCCCTGCTCTTCCCAAGGTCACTCCCCAACCCTGGAAGCAGGCCACCAAGCCCGCCTACGCTGCTTTCTCTACCTCTAGCATCTTCAAGGCGCCCGCCGCTGAAGGTAAGGATCGCCCATCAAACCTGAATAGTTCCGCGCAATCCCGGTTCACCGGATCGCGAACACTGTGTCTGGCCTTTGGCTAACCTATTTTTCTCTCCAGGTGACATCGACCTTCTTGCTAAGCTCGAGGATGAGCTGAAGCACGAGAAGACTTCCGATATCCCCGAATTTAAGGAACAGCAGGAAATCATCCAAGAAATTGTCAAGGCCGGTGAATGGCAGGTTAAGGATGTCGAGGGTGAGCAGGAGGTTGTCCTCTCCAAGAAGTTCGGCAACGAGAAGTAAGATCCATCCATTCGAGCCCAGTCTCTTCCCCATCAATTCTCTATGACAGACGCTAATCCATCACATCATTTAGGGTCAGCGTCAGCTTCACCGTCGCCGACATCCAAAACATCTCCGAGCAGGAGGACTTCGATGAGGCTTCCCTGTCCGATGACATGGGATACCAGAGCAAGGATGGCCTTGAGAACGGCGAGGAGGCCGAGCACCCTGAGCCTAGCTTCCCTGCCCGCGTGAACGTCACCGTTGAGAAGCCCACCAACGGCGCTGTCCTCATCCAGGCCGTCGTTCAGGATGGTGTCTTCCAGATCGAGGAAGTCTCCCACTTCGCTAAGGCCGAGCTCGCTCAGGCCCTGACTGCCGAGAAGGACTGGACCCGCCAGAGCCTTTACGCCGGTCCTCCCTTCGAGAACCTTGACGAGGACCTCCAGAGCCTCTGGGAGCGCTACATTGAGGACCGCGGCATCAACGCTGAGCTCGCCACTATGATCCCTGACTACATCTCCGTCAAGGAACAGAAGGAGTACCTCCGCTGGTTGGAAAGTAAGTTTACCTTGCTACATCGCTTTGTTTGATTTGATTGCTAACAAACTTATTTTCTCTAGACGTCAAGAACTTCGTCGGTGCTTAAATTAATACTCCCAACTCCACGCTATAGTCTCTTCTCCGCATTCCAACGCCGAGACTGTCACCCTGATAATTTATAAGTAGGATATGGTCTAGAGTCAGCTCTCGGGCCTCTACGACTTGCTTTGTTGCGACTACTTCTGTATGACCCAATATGTACCAATACTTTCAAATATACTCCCACTTCAGATGAAACATAACCATCGTATCCAACTGAAACCTGTCCACCTGGGCATAATCCTTCGTCGAGCATGCATTGGTCGACATCACATGCATGAAAGTAGTAGTCAGATACCTGACCTTAGAGTGGGCGATCTAGCTAATTTGGTCTGTAGGCCGCGCTGAGGAAAAGATAGATGCATTATTTGCCAAGCTAATTGAGAGCACATGGTTCAATATGACACAAACACCAAACGCCATGGAAATTGTATAAACCGAGGAAGCCTCGAAACAAGATCAACAGAGGTAATCGAAACGGCGTAAATTCATAGTCCTGAGGCAACTTAATGCAACATGAACATTGAGCGACTAGAATTCCATGGGATCCGCCTTGACGGCCGGCTCATTCCCATCACGTTCACGCTTGCCTGCACGTTCTTCTTTCATGAGGCCTGCGATAAACGAACGGAAGAAGTCAATGTAAGGCTTCAAGCTGGTCTTCTCGTAATCCTGCAGCTTACGGCCACCCTTCATATCAGAGCCGTTCATTGCACTGCCCTCCACCTCAGGGGCATCAGCCTCTGCGGTACCGGCAGGGTGCTTGGCGTCGTATTCGTCAATCTCATTGAGAAGCTGCATCGCCGTGGGCACGGTGAGAGGATCAAAGTTCTCGGCATTGTTCGGGTCAATGGGAACACAGATGCGTCCAGTTCCCGGGTGAATAACAAAGGGACTCTTCAACAAGTGAATCATCTTCTTGCTGACCTCGGCATCGAGTCGTGGGTAAGTGTATTCTAAAACAATATCCTGCTTGGCGTCTCGGAGGGTCGATGTCTTAAGCGTAGTGCTTTTACCGCTCTTCGCTAATGTGTCGATATCGGCCCATTTGCTAGTACTGGCGCGGCCCGGAGAGGAGTCCCATTTCCTCTTCAGGGAGTCGTTCAGCCCCTTATCAGGAAGCAACGAGAGGAGACGTTCTGCCTGCTCGTCACTTTCAAATGTGTCTTGATCAATAAGAGTAGTGCGAGCAAAGTCGTGCTTAAGAAGTTCGAGACTGCGCACGATATGGGGGTGCAGTGGCCGCTTGACATTGACTTTCTTGCCGCTCTGCGACCCTCCTTTGATAATTTCGAGATAGCCGGCGAGCGCCCTGCGTCGATCGTCGGGCATGCTGCGGGCACGCGAGTCACAGACCCAGGCGTGAACACCACGACGACCGGAGTAAACCCAGAGAATATGTTCGAACCCAAAATCTTCTCGTAGTGCGGTGTCAATGACCTTGATAGCCATTGTCGCAAAGGACCAACACTTTGGACAGATATTGGCTTTAACACAGCAGGTACGGATATCATCATAATCAGTCAAATCGATATCGAAGACCAATTCTTTGGAGACTGGCTTCATTTGACCGCCTCTTAACGTTTTGCGATCGCGTGGGTTGGTGCTATAGACGGGTCCAATCTCGAAACGAGAGGGGTTCATCTTGAGAATATCCTTCCGGAACCTGTTTGTATGCGTTAGTTTAGCTGCAAGCTAGCAATCGGAAGACTTGGGCTTGGTCTCACATGTCGGCGGTGGGGTACGATTGGTAACGAAGATAGGCGTCATTTTGCAGAGTGAGCGCGAATTCGCGGTTTCCAAAGTCTTTCGTCGGAACAATGCCATGGTTGAGCCACTGGAAGAGGTATCGGAAGGGGAAAAGACGTTGATAGAAGGCGAGCATCAATTCATCGTCGACTCCAGAGGGTGCGGGGGCAGGAGGCCTGTGACAACACTTGCGTCAGAGATTTCCTTTTCCTCGAGGTTTAAGACAATCAAGGCTCACTCTTCTTCCTTCGCAGCGGGGGACTCCATCTTCACATCTCCCGACGCAGGGAACTCCTCGTCGTCATCATCGTCGAACATTTCCTCCAATTTGACGTTGTTCTCGGTTGACTCGGCCGGCGGTGCGTCCGGCATATCATCGTCATGTTGCGCAGTACCAGGCGATACAGAGTGAGGCATCTTGGGCGTGTTGGGGTTTGGCAAACACTCTCTTAATTGATCCTAAACGGGAAGGCGCGACGCGCGACGCGTCTTGGCGCGTCATGTGACTGCCCTAACTTCCAATGCCCTAGTTTCCTATTCTGGAAGTATACTTCTCTGGCCGAAAGCGGACGACCTGATTCCCATTTCTTCGTCAATCTGTCAACAAGACAAAGTGTTGGCACGGACATCTTTTTCTCTTCTTCTTGCCGCTTGCAGCGAAATCACCAACAATATTTTACGTTTACTCGGGTACCTCTCGGCTCGCGGGTTCCGTGCATGACAATTAGATCTGTCATTGGATCATGGACGAAGTGTACAGCAATGGTACGACCCAAGCGCCTCAGCATCTTCCTTGGGATTGGTGAAGCTCTGCGAAACTGGAATCCGGCGCAGATTCTTCATTCAAACCAGACTCTCGAAGCACGGTAGCCCTATGGACCGGTGGAGATTCGGTCCAGCGCGATGTAACTTGGCAATGTTCTCGTCATAGATGGCAACTTACAGTGAGACAATAGATCGGATCTGATCAAAATCTCCAAATTGCGACAAATTCAGAGATTTCGAGGAGACTCCACTCAGGAGGTGTTGCGAGCCTGCCCGTACATTCTTCGCTCTGCTAATGGAAAGCACTCGTGCCTTGTTTGGTGTTCAACTCACATTCCACAGGCCCAATGAAACTCTCTCATTCGCTCTCAGGGGTCTTGTGCCTACCCAAGATCGTCGCTTTTGGCCTCTACGGTGCATGGAGCTTGATTCCATGTGCTCGCCTCTAACCACAGGGGCTTCTTACTGGCGGCGGTGGTCCTTCCAAGCAGTGGCTCTCCACTTTCATGCTTCCGTCCACGCCCCAGTCCGGACCTTGAAATGCTTGGCAGTGATATCTATCGCTGCCCCAAGTGTTTTACGCAGGCGTGACTATGCTCAATGTCGAGACAAATCAAGTTGTCTCTTGCCTCGGATTTAGTGATATACTGGATGGAGCTGAAACATTTCGCCATCAAATGAGCGCCTGTCTGATCCATGCAGATCCATGCAGATCCATGCACTACTGACAGGTACCCACGATCTTCAAGCTGATTCTAATCTTTCCGCATTAGGCGACTTGTGGAGAACCTCCACTCTACCTACCGCAATGATACTATGGACTGTCACGTTTGCAGTCAGGTCCATCGGATGGAGGTATCATTGCTCAAAATTTTCAACCAACTGACTTCTAGTTGTGCCTTTGCCATCCGTGCTTCGATCGTGAAGGTACCCGCATTCAGCCTTAGAATGGTGACATTGTGGGTCAGGTCTAGCTTTCTGTCCTGAGCACGACCGTGGCACTCGTGTCTGCTCTGAGATGGGATGGATCTATACTGTCGAACGGGGCATATAAGGGCAGCTCGACTGCCCGTCCTCCAACTTCATTCCCATCACCGCTTCACTCGTTATCTTTCCAAGTTTTAGCAAAGGCTTCAATCTCTCGAAATGATCAACTCCGTCGCCCTCTTGGCCCTTGTTGCCAGCCCGGCCTTCGCCGGTGTCATGCAGGCTCGTGGTGAGGACTTCATCGTCCCCGCCGCTCAGAGCTCCGCTGTCGCTCCTCACCACACCGAGAGCTGGGGTGAGCACGAGACCTGGACTCGTCCCACCGAGTCTTGGACCTCCCCCTGCACCACCTCTACCACCCCGGTTGAGACGCACACCAAGCCTCACCACACCACCCACACCACCCCGGTCGAGACTCACACCAAGCCTCACCACACCACCCACACCACCCCGGTTGAGACTCACACCAAGCCTCACCACACCGAGACTACCCCCGAGGTCACCCACACCAAGCCTCACCCTACCAAGTCTCACCACACTCCCCCTGTGCACCCTGGTACCACCAAGACCCTCACCATCGTGACCACCACCTGCCCTGGTAAGCTCAAGTAACTCATGTATCATATCAAGTCACACCTTCTAACAGAAACCCAGTCTCCTCCTCCATTGTCACCTCTGGCTCGCAGACTTACACCGTCCCTGTCACCGGTACTGAGACCATCACCATCACCTCCACCACTGTCTGCACTCACTGCGAGAACATCCCTGTCACCACCCACCCGGCTCCTCTCCCCGCCACCAGCGCCCCCGTCAAGCCCACCAGCGCTGTGATCGTCCCTCCCCAGAAGCCTGCTTCCTCCAAGCCCGTTGTGCCCGTTGTGCCTGCTCAGCCTTCCAACCCCGCTGTTCCTGCTCAGCCCTCCAACCCCGCTGTTCCTGCTAAGCCCTCCAACCCTGCTGTCCCTGCTCAGCCCTCCAACCCTGCTGTCCCTGCTCAGCCCTCCAACCCTGCTGTCCCTGCTCAGCCCTCCAACCCCGCTGTCCCTGCTCAGCCCTCCAACCCCGCTGTCCCTGCTCAGCCTTCCAACCCCTCTGTGCCTGCCCAGCCTTCCAACCCCTCTGTCCCTGCCCAGTCTTCCAGCCCCTCCAGCCCCTCCACTCCTGAGCAGCCCTCCAACCCCTCCACCCCGGAGCAGCCTTCCACTCCTGTCACTCCCCAGGAGTCCTCCACCCCCCTCCACCCCCGGTAGCTTCACCGGTGGTGCCTCCAACGTCCAGCCCGCCTTCGGCTTCCTTGCCGGTGTTGTTGGCCTCATGGCTCTCTTCTAAATTAGTTGAGCAGCTTTGAGCGTGTCCGCCTCCGGGCGTCGACTGCTACTCGGAATTATGACCTCTTCTGTTCTTTGTGGTGTGGATCAGAGAGACTCCCATGGTTTCTTGAGACTTTGAGATGAGAATTATAGGGCCTATGCCCCGCTTGGGTGTCCTTCTTTCGCTTTTGACAGGGCCGGAAGTCGGATAAGAGCGGCTGCTTGGTCACTTCGAGATTTTGACTTTTTTCTGTTTTTGTTCGGTGAATCTAAAATACTTTAATAGTAATACAGAGTCTTTTTATTGCTTGGAGTTTTATCTTTCTTCTTTCATACTTCTCATAAATACAGTTGCAGAACATTCGTATCTATAACAAGTGTCTATGCAAAAGCAATATATACATGGTCTTCGAACCCCATAATTACACCACCACATCTAAAACTTCATCACTCGTACCAGACATCTCCTGCATAAGAATTCTTACTCGTTGGCAAGCACGTAACGGTAGCGTGCCTTACCATCCTCCATGTCAACAATCGCCTGGTTGGCATACTTCATGGGGATCTCCTCAATCCAAGGGTGAATATCCTTCTCAGCAACGAGCTCCAGCATCTCCCGGATCTCAGAAGGGCTGGCAACAAGCGAGCTCTGAAGGCTGATTTGGCGCATCAAGCTGCGCACAGGTGCAAACAGACCACCGTCCTCGGGCAGACCAACCTGAACGAAAGCACCACCAGTCTTCAACAGACCCAAGTAGTCGTTGAAGGGCATCTGAGTATCAAAATTAGCACGATGTATCCACAGATATTCCCATCCCCATAACCATGGGGAAACATTCCAAACTCACCTTAGTAGAAGAAACAGTCGAAACAATCAAATCCAAAGACCGCGAATTCTCAGCAGCCCACTCAGGCTCATCATCAGTAGCGATATAAAGATCAGCCCCCATCTTCAACGAATCCTCCTTCTTCCCAATCTTCCTCGAAATAGCAACAACCTTATCAGCCCCCATAGCCTTAGCGAACAAAACACCAAAGTGTCCAAGTCCACCAACACCAATAATTCCAACCTTCTTGCCAGGCCCACACCCATTGAACTTCAACGGACTGTAAAGCGTAGCACCACCACACAACATAGGCGCAGCCTCCGCAGACGAAATCCCATCAGGGATCTTGATCGCAAAGTGTCCTGGCACACGGTTATACGTCGCGTATCCACCGTACGACTTCTCGTTATTGTAATGGAGAGCGTTGTAGGTGCCGACAACCTTCTGGCTACAGTAATTCTCCTTTCCGGCGGCGCACTCTTCGCATTTTCCAAAGCGGTTGCGGCACGAGTCGCTCTGCGCGCCGACACCGACTCGGTCTCCGATCTTGATATCGGGGACTTCGGTGCCTACGCGTACGGCTGTGCCTACGATTTCGTGGCCGACGCAGCAGGGGTATGTGGCAGGGCGCTGGGTGTTTGTTAGTTTGTAGTTCTTCAATTGACTTTTGAATCTTGATATGGGGGATGTGGGAAAAGAGAAGAGAAGGGGAGGAAAAAACTCACCCAGCCGCTGCGAAGGGTGTGCAGATCCGAGCCACAGATACCGCAGTGAGAGATCTTGATATCGATATCGGTCTCTTCCCAGGTCTTAGGTTGGAATTCTTGCCAGACCATGTTGCCCTCGCCGGAGTTGGCGTCGAGACCCATCCATCCTTCGAACTTGTATTCTGTTTGAGCCATTTTGAGTAGTTGGAGAGTCGGAAACTTGGAAAATCCTCTTTTCGCGGGGTGTCTTGCCCCATTTATATCCGCACCGCTAGTCAGTCCCACTCGGGCCATTGGTCTTTTACACTGGAAGGCTTCGGTGGAATCGATAAGAAATTGGTAAGCACCCCACGGGCTCCATTTTGGGGGTCTGGGTGGACGTGTAGACGGCGTTACGGAGATAAGAAGTGGTAGTGGCTAGGTGGATAGGACTCCCCTTCTTAGTTAGGGCTTCCCCGGGAGAATATTTCAGGGTCTGGTATTGGAGGTGGGATGGACTGTGAACTTCATGAATTGATGAAAATGTCCACATAATTACAGTAAATGCTACGTTGATATTTAATTGAATAAAACTCATATCTACTGGGGTACAATGCGTAGTTAGACCTCGGCACAAGTTCCGAATCCAGGGCAGGGTTTTTCTCTTTTCTTTTTTTGCAGTGGAGCAGTGGCGTCTATCGGGCGAAAAGATGAGGGCAGACAACTTTAATTGATCACCTCATATCTTTGCCCGCGGTCGTCATATGAGTATGTCTTTAATTTCCATGTTGTTTTACAGAAGTCGGTCAATTGTTCGACATATAGATCCATGCCAACAAGGTACCTCTTCAGAGCGCCAAGCTTTCACTAACGTCTTCCAAGGCTTAGTCGTATGAGCTTAAAGCAAATCAATTCAAAATGTACAAGCCTTTTGCAATCCGGTAAAAAAATTAACGTAAGAAACAATCTATTTCTGTTGAAATCTTCGCTTGCGAAACATCTGCATATAATACTCAGACTATACCATGACCCGTCCACTCTAGAAAAGCGACATGATGTCATCGTTAGACTTCTGGGGCTGGTTGTTTTGGCCCGCATTCGCGGAGAGGTCGAGACCGGAGAATCCATTCATCAGATCAGCAGAACCACCGGCACCGGCACCGGCACTCGATGAGGACTGCGCAGGTCCCGAGTCTCCAAAGACGCCAAGCAAGTCATCCAGGTTGTTGTTGGGCTGACCGGAGGGAGTGCCAACTGCAGGGGATGCGACCCGCACGGGGGTTCCAGCCAATCCTTCCAGGCCGGACATGCCGCTTGATGGCTCGTTTTGCGCTGAGGCAGGAACACCACCGTCGAAATCGATGTCCAGCAAGTTCTCGACGTTGTTTTGCGCCTGCGCAGGGGGTGCGGTGCCGCCGGCGGCTGCAGCGGCTGCCGCAGCCAATGGGTTCTCGCGCGCGTTTTGAAGTTGTTCCCTGGGATTCGGTTAGTGCTGGTATAGGTAAGCAGGGAGATAAGGGGTACATACTCGATAGCAGCGCGCTGGACAGCGTCGGCGCCGAATCGTCCGTGGCCAACAAACTGCTCGGGAGGCTTGTGGTAGACAGAGGAGAGGGTGGAGAGTTCGGTGAGAAGTTGGTCGAGGAGCGCTGGGGGTAGTGAGTGGATGGTGGTGACGATAGGGGGCTTGTCCGAAAGCACGATGTTCTTGGTCGCGTTGGAATCGCTGGTATTGGACAAAAGACGCCAGTAGATGTAAGCTCGGTCACGGACATCGGGGTTGTCGTTCTCAGCTGTCGCAGCCTGAAGCACCCGTTGCACCAGACCTTGGGCCTTCTCGGGCCGTTTCAGGAACAGCTTGACAACAGAAGTGAGAATTTGCAATTGGGTCTAGATATGAAGGTTAGCCGACGTCACCCCACGCACATAAAGATAGCAACGAACCGAGGAGAACTCTTCGTTGAATCCATCCACAAAGCCACCCAAGATATCGCCTGCATTGCTGATCTTCTCAGCGTACTCTCCAACAATCCAGATAAGTGCCGCTCTGGCATTAGGTTCATCCAGTTCATCGATACACTGGCACAAAGTCGGGATAATGCCCTCGTATCCGGGGTACTTTCGGAAGATGTCTTTGATGACCACGATCGCTTCTTGGACAACGTAGTTCACCTTGGTGTTGATGAGATCCAACAGTGTGTTTACACATCGTTCACTTGCGCCCTCAATCTTGATTGCGACTTGGCCAATAGCCTTGACGGCACGTCGGACAAAGTCCATATCAACTTCGAGGGCGTACTCCTTCAGTTCAGCCAAGAGCTGATCCACATTGCGGTCGTTGGCAATGCGGACCATGATCTCAAGCTTTTGGAATTTGACATATGGCGGGTCATTGTATTTACAGAAGAAGACACGGAGCTCCTTCTGGAGGATATCAGGCTGCTTCTGCAGTAGGAGGTCAATATTTCTCAAGGCCACATATTGCACCTCGGGGGCGGAGGAGACCAATGTGACTATTGCAAATTAGTTCAGAGATCGCGCAGGGAAAGATCAGTCGGAGATCATACCTAGTGGAGGGGCCATCTTCTTCAGGTAGTTCTTGGACAATTCAGGGTTGACATTCTTCATATGTAAGAAGACAGCCTTGACGGCCGCAAGAACGACGCCAGAGTTGACGTGCTGGAACTGAGGCGCCACACGCTCACAAATGTGCTCCGACTCTTTGACGTCAGCCGTCTTGTACTCAGCCAAGGTCGAGAGAATAGTAACTCGTCCCCACTCCGTGCATTCATTCAGCGCCATCAGCATCTTTCGTAGGCTGTTGGTGGTGATCTGCAAAGCTTTCGTCTCCGGTGCCGAGTGGTTGATCTCTGACAGCGCAGTCACCGAATTGGCGACCACCATGGGGTTGGGGTCACCGATCATCTCCTGGAGCGTCTCCAGGAATCCGTTCTCGAGAGCCATTGCCGGGTTCAGGTCGAATAGCTTGGCGACACAGATCGCGGCTGTCTTGCGAACGTATGGTGATTCGTCTCGAAGAGTCTTGCGCAGCGGTTCCTCCATGTAGTCAACCATCTTCTCCACTCGGATGCAGCCCATTGTTCGGATTGCCAGCGCACGAATCAGCGGGTTGGGGTCTTCAGAGTCTTGTACGAAGGTGTTCACGGCGAGAATACATAGGTCCGGATGCGATTTGGCGTAATTCCTGTGGGCGAGATTCAACCGATTAACATACGTAGCCACCCGGGCTGGTGTTGCGACGCTCACATAAGATAGAGGTAGACCAGTTTCTTCTGCTCAAGGTCGCCCGTGGCAATGTTCTTGAGCACGTCGGGGAAAAGTGCCGACACATCTTTGCCCAGAGTCATGGCCATGATGGTCTTCTGAATGGATTCCTTTCTGTCACACGGTCAGCCACCACATCTTCGCTCTCTCGATTGACCGTTCTTGGATGATTTCTCGGAATGCATACCGTTCATAGGCATATTGAGAGCTGTGCAAATCGTTAGCATCATTTGTTATTCCTTCTAGCAATGTGGCCAGCGCATTGTGGAGGGGGCCGCATACACAAGTCCAGCTCGCAATTCGAACGTCTCTCCTTTCCGGGGCACCGCAAAGGCACCACGGATTTTGTTCATCGCCATGGCGAGGTTGTATAAGCTTCAGCAACGACTAGGTCGTGCCTCCGCCTAGAGATTCGAGGATGGGGGGATGATTCGAGTATTGTTGGACTGCGGGGGATTGGGGGCCCGACGGTCGCGCGACGTCGGGGGTAGAGCTTCAAGGTCGTTTGGTCTGTCTATTAGTGCAGACGAAGAGATATGGCCACCGGAGTTGTGGGGGATTTTCAAGGAGAGGAATGGGGGAGTGAGAAAGGGACGATCAAAAGTTGTCCACAAATGGCGGGCTTCTGGACTCTCCCGTCGCTACTACTCCGGACCTCTTCTCCTTTATTTTTACTCCGAATTTACCCCAGACTCTACCATAACATCCTAATGGTGCGTAGTCAAGAATGCTCAATGTTTTCGATGCTAACTCATCCATAGGCAAATCTTCCTAACCTGCGACGCCTCTTTGTTGAGGCGAGAACGGAGGCTGAAGAGAACGAGTACTCTAGAAAGGCTGCAAGTCGCCCGGTTGTCTCTTCATTCCATTTCGCTGACATCAAGCAGTTCTACAATCTTGTGCTCTTCATCTCTTCAGTGGCCATCTTCAGCTTAACTGCCCAACGCATGAGTGGACCGAAAAGTGCACGATAATGGGCCTGCATCCCTATGCAAGTACCTTGTCTGAAAGTGCCATGACACTCTACCTGGTGCTTCTCGACTATTTTATACACCATGCACATATTTTGGCATCACGGGGATCAAATATCAAGTGAAATTAAGATATAATTCTGCTTTCGGACCTTGAAACATTGCTCTGCCGCACCCATGCTCATTCATTACGGGAAAATATGTTGGTATCAATCAGTCTCCTCGCCCTCATCGCTGTCTAGGAAAGCAAGCGATTGCCTTCCTCGATTCTTCCGACTCTGAGATTTCTCGTCGTCGCCATCCTCGTCGCTATTCTCATCGCTGTCAAGGAAGGCAAGCGACTGCCTTCCACGTTGCTGCCGACGTCGAGGCTTTCCATCGTCGCTAGCTTCGTCACCCTTCGCACCCCAGTTTTTGGCGCCCTCCTTGATCAATTCAAGATCAGCTTTCAATTCGCGCTCTTCGCGGATCTGGTTCGCCCGTTCTTGAGATGGTCGGCCTTTCATTCCAGCATCTTCAAGCATTCCCTTGAGGTGCTTGATCTTGGCTTTGGGGCTGTCGTATGGAGCCAGCTCTTTGCCCCACAGCTTCCGGATTCCACACTTGACGAGCCATCCTTGTAACCGTTTGATCTCAGCTTGGTCTGGGCTGATGTCTTCGTCCTTGGCCTTGGCTGTTGCCTTTGGTGCTTTCTTCGGTTTAGAAGGCCCGTCTGTCTTCTTCTTTTGCTTGCGCGGGGCTTTGGGCTTTGGCTCTTCATCAAGGACTACTGACATTTCGCTTTCGGAGGCGTCATCTTTGGTATTTGTAGTTGCTTCGTGCACGTCGGAGGTATCTTCAGCAACATCGGACGCTTCTGATTCTGCTTTTGGGGGCTTCTTAGATTTGGCTGGTGCCTTCGATCGTTGTTTTGGTTTGGTCAATTCATCACTTTCGTCATCAGATGCAACCGGGGAATCGCTTTCTTCGTCGTCTTCTGACACCGGTGTCTTGGTCTTCTGGCGTTTCCTCGGCTTCGGTGCGCTTTCTGACTTGGGGCGTTTGGCTAGGGTGGGGTTCTTCTGAGGCACAGGTGATGGGGACTTCTCAGCAGCTTGAGGCTCTGGGTTTTGAGCTGCGTTATCTTGTGTGTCCTGGATCATGATCGCTATCAATGACTGTGCTGAAATGAAATGTTTCGACAATGTAGGCTTAGACTTACAAACTCTTCCTTGATAATCTTCTCACTTCGCGCTTTCCAATCACCTGTGGACTTGAAGTACTCTGCTGTGAGACCTAGCTTGTTTTCCACCGCAAGTCGCACGCGTTTCACAGTCAATTGCCCCATATTGCCCGACTTGAACATAGCAGCAACTTCGTCGCGGAGACCCTGCTCTAAAGTTTGATCAGAAGGAGCATTGGTGGCCTGGTCCTCTGGCTCTGGCTCGGAGTCCGACATTGTGTACTTCGGCGGCATGTTGATTGTATTGTCACTGGGTGACAGTGGCTGACAGTGGCTGGATGTGTATATGGGATTCGGTCAATATAGCGCGCGAGGCCCGCGAAATGCGAACAGTAACTTTGATTCCAGACAAAAGTCACAGACAAAAGAAATCCAAGAAATAACTAGGCTGCATGCGCGCGCGTTGGGAAAGCGCGCGGAACGATGACAAAGCGCGGCCAAATGCCCAGGTGATCGGCGCTGTGGCAGTAAAGCTGCATACAATTGCAACTTTGCAACTGCTTTGATCCAGAAGCTAAGCCGATTCGCGCATCTAAAAGCTCTTTGTTCAATTTGCTCAGTCAAGTCCAACCACTGTCCAGCTTTTTTTCCCAGCTACTGCGCTAAGAGCCCACCACTGTTCCTGTCTCGCCTCCGTCGTTCTCCGCAATCTATTAGAAATCAACTCCGAGAACCTTGGAAGCCTCCACCACTCCAAACACACAATTTTTTACACCTAAAGCAAACACACACTACCAGCGCAATGGCCGAAGTACCACCAGGGCAGACCAACAGCCAATACAAAGGCACCGCGCACATGTTCAACCAGAACTTCCCCACAGCTTCTGCTAGTTCTTCCAAGCAACCAGCAGACGATGACTCCAAGGCACCATTGCCTAAGGGAGTAGTTTTGGACAAGGATGGAAAGCCGTACGTAGCGGACCACATTATACCAATGGTCAATACTAGCAATCAGACCAAACTAACATACCAAACCTCCAGTTGCCGCACATGTACCTCCGTCGCTTCCTGGCGAGCATTGACAAAGCAAGCCGACAAGAACTCCAACTCTACCTCCGCACCCAGTACCAACAATGCAACAATCTCAACCCCCGCGCTCGCCGCAGCCGCAACTCCCTCACCAAGCGAAACTCCTTCCGATTGCCCACCAGATGTCGAAGCCCTCGGCCGCTCGACTTGGACTCTATTGCACTCAATGGCAGCCACATACCCGGAAAAAGCAAGCATCGACCATCAAAATAATATGCAAGGATTCTTGAAGTTCTTCTCAAAGTTATATCCGTGCTGGGTGTGTGCGGATGATTTCCAGACGTGGATGGCGCATCCTAGTGGACGGAACCAGCCCAAGTTGGGGAGTCGGAAGGAGTTTGGATGGTGGATGTGCGAGGCGCACAATGAGGTCAATCGCAAACTTGGTAAGAAAGAGTTTGATTGTCGGTTCTGGGAGGAGAGGTGGCGCACTGGGTGGAAAGATGGTCGCTGCGATTGAGATGCGCTGATGGTGTGATAATTCTCTCTACTCTTTGGGTTTGGAACTCTCCTTTGTAAAATAGATATGCATAGACAGCCTCACAAATGTACCATTACAATAAGACTTGTACTACTTACTCCTACAGAGACCGAGTGTTGACTAGACAGTAAGACTAGACAGCGAGCACCGGTACTATCAGGTCGGACTCGAAAAATTTGGACAAACATGTTCGCATACAAACTAGACCGCTAAGCAATTATAATCTTGGATACAAAATGATGACATCTAGACAAGTGTGTGCAGGAAGTTTTGTCTTTCTCCCAGCCGATGAAACGAAAAGCGCCGCCAAACACAACTTCTCCACGTGCAGATGAAAATGAACACATTTTGTAACTTCATATCAGGAAGAGAAAAGGTAGAAAACCGTGAAGCTTCGTCATTCTGCAATCAAAATTGACTGGGGACAAACAGACGCAGACCACTGGCCGGCGCACCGATCTCAGTAACCTCTGATATCCGGTCCACGCTGCCCTTGTACTGTGGGTGGTACTTGGCGCCGGTGAATGGATCGGACACGCTAGGAGAGCCGTTGTAGATCGGGGTGAAGGAAGCGGCACAGATGTCGAACTCGGCGAAGGGATCGAAGTCAATGTCGATCTGGTCTTGCGGGTTGCGCTCGCATTGGGCTTTGATCTTCTTGGCCTGGATTGAAAGGTTAGTGGTGATATGGGATTGGGATGGGTTAGATCTTACCTGTTCGAGGAGCTTGGCCGAGCCTCCGTTGGCCAGCATTCGGTTGGCGAAGCTCAAGGCGGAGCCGTAGTTCTTGTTGGCGAAAGCCAACTTCATCGCAGCCATCAAGGCAAGTTGTCGGTGGGCGACCTCAAGCTTGGGGATGGTGAAGTAGGCAGACAACTCAAGGCTACGCTTGAGGTTTTCGGGTGTGTCGGTAGAAAGTGTGCGGCGCTCAAGCTCCATGGACATAGCAAGGATGTATTCACGGGCAGTGGCAATGATCTTCTTTGCCTGCTCGACCTCTGCCTCCGAAGAGACAGTGTTGACGAGAACGGTGTGGAGGATTTTCTTGAAGGTGGTCACACCGTCCTCAAGCTTGTTGGAACGCATGGCGGTGTAACCTTCCTGCAGATCGACGCTGGCGACGGTCTCGAGGTCCCGGGGAATGATGGGAAGCATTTTGCGGGAGTCGGTCTCGTCGACAGTTCTGCGGACGTAGTTGACCAGAGGCGGCAGACCAGCGCTCGCCGGGAGGTATGTCTTGGTTGCCTTGTAAACCTCAAGGAAGCGAGGTTTCAATGGGGCGAACTGGACGGCGCCAACCTGGCGGTTCAGAAGCTGCATGGCAGTGTCGAAAGAGCCCGCAGCGACGTGATCCGCAGCCAGCGGGGAATTGCGAGCCCACAAATCGGCCTCGGAACTAGCTGCGCCAGCTTCAGGACTTTCCACGTTGACAAAGTCGACATCTTCCTCAACAGTGACATCGTCACCCATATCCCACCCGGAGGGCTCATCGTCATCATCGTCCAAAGTCTCACGGGCGAGAGTGGCTTCCTCTTCCTCTTCCTCGACATCGTATCCATCCGCACCGGCATCCTCGTCGGCAGCACCAACCTCTCCGAGGAGGGCCTTTTCGAATGAAGAGTGGCCGGCCGCCTTGACAGGCCAGTTGGACTTGAATGTGGGCACAATAGGATGAGGAACCTTCAGGGGTTGCTCGAGTGTGGGCAGACCGATTTGATCCTCAGTAAGCCCGCAAGCTTCCAGGATGGATTCGGCCTCTTCGACAAGACCATGTGACTTGGCAGTCAGATAGGCAAGGGGGTACAAGTCAACCTCCTTGAACATCTGAATACGGTCCTCGACATCCCCGCGGTAGATAGCGTTCTGGAAGCGAGAGGTGAAATCACCGCGGTGCTCGGCGATCTTCGCCATACGGGAGAGCTTCTCTTGGTCACCAGTGGCGAGATACAAGAAAGAGAGCTTGTCAAAGTTGCGCTGCTTTTGGTATGTCATTTCGACAGTCTGGTGGTTACCATGAGCCAATGCCTCGTTTCCAAGTCTGCTCCAGAAGTTGGGACGGTCCAATTCGCGAGCCATCTCGTTAGCAACCTCAAGGTTACCACACTCGAGGGCAAGGTCAAAGCGGGTCTGAGGGTCCTGAACGAACTGCAGGGCAATTTCTGGGTAGCCCTTCTTTTGCAGATATGAGATAATGCTCTGGCCGACCAAGCTAGAGGTCTTGATGATCTGCAGCATCTCGTCGTAGTTTCGCTTCACCAGAGCAAGCTTGAAGCGGTACTCAGTGGGGTCAATTTCCAAGATCCGGGGCTGGGCATTGCGGTCAAGGGCGTATACACTACGTCCCTTGACGCGCACAAGGTAGACAGTCTGGTCAAGAGTGCGGATGATACCGTTGTCACCGTTGAGAAGAGAGTACTTGACGTGGTTGAGAGTAGAATACAAGAGCACACCAGCGTCGTCCCAGGTAGCACTCTTGATTCGAATAGTCTCGTGCAGGGTGCTGACTTGCTCAAGGGTCTTGGTGACAATGGTTACATTGTGCTTGCTCAGCAAGGCGCAATAGAGCCCATCATTAGACCACGCCACGTACTTGACGCCACTGACGGCAAGCTCAGCGAGCTGCTTCTTTTGTTGGATATCGAACAGGGTGACGTGAGTAGGAGTGATGAAAAGTAAACATCCGGTGCCACCAAAGTAGATGTCAGTTGTACCAGCTGGAGGTTTGATCGTCTTGGTTGTGGAGTTACTCAAATCCTTGATATCAACTTGCTGGCTGGAAGGGTTGAAGACAGCAAAGCGGTTGCGGGCAACAAAGACGGCTGAAGTTGCTTGCCCACGCTTCACGTCTGTAGGCTCCACGGCACCAGTGGCATCCCGGGGAAGATGAATCAGTTCGTAGGTTCCGTTATCGGCGGGTGTGGTGACCAGGATAGCACGCTCGGCAGGGTTGTAGGAAAGAGTGCGGGGAGGAACCCATGGGGAGCCTAGCTTGCGCAGAGAAAGCATGGGAGGCGACTCGACGTTCTTGGCGAAGTCATACATCTTGACGTGCTTCTCCTTTGTGATGTAGAACAGCTGGTTCTGGTGGATAGCGGAAGCAGGGCGCTCTCGCTCGAGCTTGAAGACCATGACACCGGTATCATGACCCGCAGCAAACAAGTTCATCTCGGGGTGGGCAGCAATAACCCAGAATCGATCGAGGTCGCGCTTGAAAGACTGCACGGAGGTGCGCTTGTTAAGATCCCATGCCCGAATAGTCTTGTCCTCGCCAACAGAGAGGATCAGGTCCTGGTGGGGGTGGAACAGAGCGGCGGAGGCATTTTGGAAATGACCGCGACAGGTATCAACCTCCCAGGCCTTAGTTTCACTCATACGCCAGAGCTTCACAAGTCGATCGTCACCGGCGGAAACAAGCAAAGGCAGTGTGGGGTGGAACGACACCCAGTTGACTCCACGGTCGTGTCCTTCCAACACGAACTTGACGACTGCGTCGGTGTTACCAAACATGTCGGCTTGGTTTTGGTTGGCTCGTGCCATCTGGTCTTCGAACGAAATCGAGGTCGGGGCCGAGTGCTTCTTGCGCAAACCGGAAATATCCCAAATGCGAACGGACTGGTCCAACGAGGCTGAGGCGATGAGGTCTTCGGTAGGGTGGAACTGGGCGCACATCACATAGTGGTTGTGACCGGTCATAGTGCAGACTAAAAGAGAGCGAAATGTTAGTTTACGTCGTCGCAGGCGGCTTCAATGGCTCGTACTTAGTGAGCGGTTTTGCCAGTTCCAGATTCTGATGGTCTGGTCATCGGACGCAGACAGGATCCAAGGTAGCTCGGGGTGGAAGAAGACCGTCCGGACATAATCCAAGTGACCGTTCAATGTGAAAAGACACCTCCGGGTCTGGTAGTTCCAGACCTTGATCTTGTAGTCGTCGCCTCCCGACACAAACAGGGGCTGGGTTGGGTGGAAATCGACACCACGGACGGGTCCATCGTGCTCTTCAAATCTGTCAATGAGGGTTCCCATGCGATAATCCCACAATTGGATGGTGGAGGAGTGGAGGGAGACAAGGATCCATGGCCTATTCGGAGGTCAGTTCGGGTGCTTTGGCTAGGTGTCCCCTCAACAGGCAACTGACCGTTTCGGGTGGAATGCGATTCCTTTGGCTCTGGATGATTTGGACTCAAACTAATTAAAGCACAGCGATTAGTATCTCCAATCTCACGACGCGACATCGATGGCGCATATGCCATTGACGAGGGGCGTACCTTGGTGAGCATGTTTGGGGAGGACTGCATCTTGAAGATTTGGCCGGAGCCGCACTGTAAAGTAGCAAGCTCCGCACACTAGAGAGCAAAAGAAGGCAGAGGCGACCACCGCATCCACTGCCAGAGAAAGATAATAGAGAAGTCAAGGTAAACAGCGTGCTTGGAGTGAAGGTAAACTAAACGTGGACTCTATTGTGCAAGCGAATGACGGCCAATCATGCCGCTGGGCGGTGAGCCGTCAGGGGAGCTTCGACAAGCCAATTGCCTTAGTGTACTATCTATAGATTTGGATCTTAATTTTTATCTATATAATTTCCAGTTTATAGAATTGATTCTTTCCTCTCTATGGAGTGTTTTATACATCCTAATTATGCTGGACCTGCAGGTAGAAGGTGGAGATTCAAAGGGTTCCCCGTATACTCCGTACTCCGCGTTGGAAGCATCTGGAAATGGTTGCTATGACCAAACCCTTCTTGCGACTTCCGTGATCTACTCCTTAATTTTTCTCCCTTTGTTGGATGCACATGTCTCTCAAAATACACTCAAATAACTGTCCACCAATATCTTATCAGTCTCACTCATGTCCAACATATGTGGTCCACCTAACATATCGATATGGAGAGCCCCCAAACCGATATACACCCTGCTATGCCCAACGACCGATCCCCCACACTTGGGTTCTGTCCTACTTCGGTAACAGGATCTGATGAAAGTGAGCTTAGCTTGGACGACTCTGGCCCTTTGACTCCTGCACATGACCTTGATTTATCCAACGGCCATGAAGGGGCTCGCACCATCAAACCATATGCCATAGAGGAGCCTGAAGATGACGATGAGTCCGAAACACCGACACGAAATTTACTTCGCCTTCCAGATCAATTTGAGCGCTGGCAACGCGACTTATCAGAATATATGAACGATCTGAACTACGAAGCCGATGGGCAGTATGCTGCGCCTCAAGCCGCTCGAAAACAGGGACACAAGCGGAAGTTCACACACGCAGCCAGACAAAAGCGCAATTCCTTCGGTCCAAACTCTCCAGATACTCGGCCAGTTAACGAGGAGAGCTCAAAAAAGCGACGGAGTAACGCCAATTCTCCTATTACGGATTCGTTCCATGCCTTCCGCGAATCCAATGCGGACGAGAGCTCATGCTCGGAGCCGCGTTCTGCTGATTGCAGTGGCATAGACACTGAGAACAACTCGCCTGGTGTGGATTATATGGACATTGACTGAAATGTTTTGATGACGCTGGACAGTGTGTATGACGTCATGTCTATATCATTGCAGACCCAGAAGTCCTCGATATCAACCACACCCTGCAGTCACACCACACAAAATTCTGGTGCTCTACTACTACAGAATCATTACAATCTCTTGGTGATACAAAATGGCCTCCCGAACGTCTTCCCGTCATGCTGCCCACAAAGCAAAGGAAGCTATCGCAGCCACTGCCGAGCCAACTGGCAAGGCTCCCTCCGGCACAAAACGAAAAGCGCCGACCAAAGAGGCTCCTCCGCCCAAAAAGGAGAAGACTGAAGATACTCAAGGCGACGACATCAAGGCAGAGGAGCCAACAAACGAACCAGAGTCACACGCTTTGGCAAATAGTCCCTCGGCGCCGAAGTCTGAAGCCACCGCCCAAGAGGAGAAGCCACACGAAGACAATGCTTCAATCAAAGCCCCATCAACCCAAAAGGGCAGTGCCGAAGAAGGTGTTCGCAAGTCCGAGGAGAGGGAGAACGTGGTATCCTCCAATATTCTCGAGAAAGGCTTCATCTACTTCTTCTTTCGCCCACGGGTCAACGTGGACGATCCCCATAGCATTGGTGATGTAGCCCGAAGCTTTTTCGTCCTCCGTCCAACCGCTCTGGGGGCTGAATTCGACAATGACCAAGGCCCCGTCGACAAAGGCGCCCAATGCCGATTGATGATGCTGCCAAAGAAGAAGTTCCCAACTTCGAGCAAAGAGCGAGACATGGGATTTGTGGAAAAGTCGGGGCAATCCATGCAAGCCTTGCAGGAAGGGTTCATTGCTGGTAAAACATACCAGACAGCTACTATGGGGGAACGTCACACCGAGGACGCAAGGCCATACGCAGAAGGTGTCTACGCGATCACACACACACCACGGGCCTCCCATCTTGCCTACATACTGACAATTCCTGCGGAATTGGGTGTCCTTCAGGAGGAATTTGGCCTCCGGGATCGCGGGAGCTGGCTTGTTCAAGCCAAAAACCCCAAGTTCCCTGGTCCGCCGATCGGACAACTACCACAGAATCCAGAGTACCCTGAATCGTAAGTGAACTTGCAATGTAAAGCTCAGCGAGAAATGCGTTGACTGATCCTTGCTAGTGTTCTCAAGAAGTTCGGAGACCTCCGATGGGTGCCCCTGGAACCCGAATTTTTGGACTATCCCAATGCTCAATTCCTTATGATTGGCGAGGCTCAAAATGACCTTGGCAAAGCCGCGACCTCCCAAGGTGAAAAATCACCTCACGAGGAAGAGCCTGGTCAAGAGCTGGAGAGACTCGAAAAAGAAAACGAGCATCGTATCAGTACTCTGAGTGGTAGGTTTGCCCGCTGATCTCTGCCTTTCGTACCTAACTTAATTTGGAACTAATGCAGGGGATGCAACCGTCTATCAAGACTTGGGCTTCCGCGCGAAGAATTACCCGAAGTTGCCCACGACTTGGAACCACTAAATGCAAAACTGGGAGGACTGGTTTCTAAGATAGTTGACAATGTGATTGACCAATTTTGGCGAGTAGAGACAAATTTTGGCCAAGCGCAACATGCGAGCCTCCCCAGTTCCAGATCAGATAGCATCTAGGCTCTGCATACCCGTCGTGGCAATGATTTACCATAATGTCAAATTAGTCGACCACCGGATATTTCGATGAGCACCGATCCCCTCAAATTTGCCAATCACTAGATGACGCACGAAGTCATCCGATGCTTATCCCACGTGGTGTCTGGGAGTGAGCATTGTCGAAAGTCTTGATCCCGGAGCGGTATGATCTTCAAAATCGCTAAGTATAAAGACCTCAGACCAAGTTATCCAAGAAGGCTGCTAAGACACTCGCTTCACCTCTACCGCCTTCACCTCTACCGCCATGAAATTGACACTGGCCGTCACTCTCCTCTCTGCGACAGCAAAGGCTGCTGAGCACGTCGTCAACCAGACGACTTGTGGCGGAACAACATATAAATACACCGGTCTCGCTGGCTACGGCTTTGTCCCTTCAAATGCCACAGATAAATACGGCGACACTATCGGAGGCATCGGTAGCTCAATCGCTTTCGACCAATCCTCTTGGCGCAAGACCGGAGCAGATGGTTACTCGGGAACTGTCTACGCAACTCCGGATCGAGGCTGGTAGAAACAAGTCCAGTCCTATATGTGACTATATCCTAACCATATCCAGGAACACGAACGGAACCCTCAATTTCCAGTCCCGCATTCACAAGTTTGCCATTACATTGAAGCTTGCGCCAAACGCAACACCCAAGAACCCTTCCAACCCGAACGTGAGCCTCAAGTACCTCGACACAATCCTGCTCACCGATCCAGCAGGCCACCCCGTCACAGCCCTTGACGCCGATGCCGATGGCTACGCTTCCTTCCCTGGTTTCCCGCCCCTCCCCGTCGCCACGTACCCAGGCGATGGCTACGGTGGACCAGGACCCGGCGGTAAGCGAGTCTCGGTAGACTCTGAAGGCACAGCTTTGGACGTGCGTGATGGCGGGTTCTGGATTTCGGATGAGTACGGACCGTACATCTATAAGTTCGATGCACAGGGACGCATGGTACACGCTATCCAGCCACCAGAGGCATATCTGCCACGCCGGAATGGAACTCTGAGTTTCAATTCCAATTCGCCGCCTCTGTATAGCCCGCAAGCTAGACCTGTTCCTATCTACACTGAATCTGGAAGAAACAATAACCAAGGTCTAGAGGGCGTGACAGTCTCGGCGGATGGAAAGATGCTCTATGCTCTTGTGCAAAGCTCTTTGAATCAGGAGGGTGGACCGGAGAAGGTTTCCAGATCGCCTGTCAGATTGCTTGCTTACGATGTTTCGAATGCGTCGAAGCCTGTTCTTGCTCATGAGTATGCTGTCATGCTGCCCAAGTACTGGGATTACACGGAGAAGGATGCTTCGAAGGCATACGGAGTTGCCAGCCAGTCAGAGGTTCACCAGCTGCCTTCGGGTGATTTCTTGGTGCTTTCTCGTGACGCAGGGTTTGGACGCGGACAGAAGAACACGCGATCTGTGTATAGACATGCGGATGTCTTCTCTTTGAACGGTAACAATCCAGCCACTGATTTGAAGGGCAAGAAGAACTATGATGATGCTAATGGAGCGATTGCTTCTTCTGAGGGTGTACTGTTCCCTGGTATCGTCCCGGCGGAGTACTGCTCATTCGTGGATTATAATGTGAACTCTGAGTTGGGCAAGTTCCGACTTCACAATGGTGGTCCTTCGGATGCATTCTTATTGAATGAGAAGTGGGAGAGTCTTGCTGTTGTGCCTATGAATCCTTCGGCCGATGGTACTCAGAAATCTGGTCAGGAATACTTCTTGTTCAGCTTCAGTGACAACGACTTCATGACTCAGGATGGTAAGCCCCCTTGCTCTTTCATGATATTGTAAACTAACATCGTGCCAATCTCTCAGGGCATCTCAATTTTGGAAAGTTCGATTACAAGGACACATCTGGCTATAGCCTTGACACACAGGTTTTGGCATTTAAGCTGAAGTTCTAATTCTGGACATAGATAGGCTGGTGTGCGCTCATGATTCCAAATTTATCTATGGAAATTATATATAGAACAACGAGACGCCAGTATTGGTGCTTATTCATTGTTTAATTAGATTTTTGTCCGTAGGTATCAATACATTGTTGTCACAGTGCAAATTCTGGGCCCGGGTAGGTCCTTCGCCGTTTCTGGTGTCGTCCGACCTCCCATCTGTGAATGAACTAAAGGAGAGTGAGCATAAGTACCAACATTTTCAATGTGAAACTAAATTAGCATCTGATAAAAGGCGCCCAGTCAGTCAAAATCACAAACGTAGCCGCTTGAACGAAGGCCTCGGGCCAAAAGTGTACAGTTTTGTCAAATCGGAGAGCCTAATCCTTCATCACCTTGATAGCCTGTAAGATATCTTCGAGGGACCATCCTGGCCCGCCAGGAACAATCTCTGCCCAGACTTCTTCAGGCACCGCATCGTTGGGATCAATTAGGCTCCAATTTGGACTTGGTTCAGTCTTGATCCATTTGAAGTCCTCGACTTGGCTCCAGCGATCTTCGTGGTCAGGTCTGTCGTGTCTCAATGCCTGGGAGAGAGAAAGTCAAATCATTAGTTGTGCAATAAGAAGGATTTATCGGGGAAATGACTAACATATGCTTTGGGGATCCGGCCAAAGCGAATATTGGAACAGTCCTCGATGATGGGATTGCTGGAGCAGCTAAGATACACATCAACGTTGCTGCAGTTATGCATGCGGAACTGGCGACAGGAAACAACCATGACGCTACGTTCAACGCCGGTGACGTGGGCAGGACCATTGACTTGGCCACAGACTAGCAAACTCCCTTTGACTCCCTTGGCAGTCAGACTGGCGTATGGTTTTCCATTGGCAGTGGGGATAGACATGTCAACGATGCAATGATCGAGGGAGGTAATTGATGCAGGAACTGTGGAAGTCGATCCAGCAGATGGGAGCATAATATGCAAGCCGTAATGATCGTCAACGGAGACGGACGATATGCCGGTAGCTGCGAACTTGTCCGAGCTTGACTTCGAGGCGAAATCATCAACAGACACACCGGGGCAAGAAGTAGGCGCAAGCTCCGGTTTCTCCTGTTGCTGTTTGTCTGGCTCGTTCAGCGGTGTGGATGGATAGTTGGGTGTGTGGGTTGCGGATGAATCAATGGACGAGGCGCCCGGAGAATGATAGCCCGGAATGTTGAGTCGTCCCTCCAATCGTCCCTCCACAGCCAAGGCAGCGGCATCAGAGATGGAGATTGCGGAAGCATTCTTCTTGTTCTTGAAGCTGAATTTCGATCGAGGCTCAAATGCCGTACGTATCTCACTCAGTCGGTCTTGCAGAGCTTTGATCGCCTATAGAGATATTTAGTATGGGCCCATGGAGAAGAACTTTCACAATGTACCTCCGCATAGACCCTCTGATCATACGTTGGGATGTAGCTTGCTGCATCCTTCACCTCATTCGATAAGCGTACTATCCCCGCAAGGCAGTGGTCTGTTGCGTCGGCTCGCTCACCCCCGACCAGAGATGTGCTGGAAAGGTGGTCCATTCTTTCTTGCAACACTAGAAACTGAAATTAGCTCCGGCTTTGCCGGGGTTAATAGTGGAGTACTGTACCGGTGATCTCATGTTGAAAGTAGCGGAAGAACCGTTCCTTCAATGGAATTTCCGCCTTGGAGACGGTCTGATTATCCGCCGACAAACGGCGCTGCTGTAGTTCGGCCATGAGGAGGAGGTGTAAAATTTAAAACGGAAGGGAAACGAGTTATAAAAGGAAGAATGTAGCAATGACGTCGACTCAATATGATCATACCACACCCCGCACTTGTGAAGCTTCCCAAAGAAGTTTCCCCGGTTCTCCGGACTGTTAAATGCACCTTAGTGTTGAAGCAGCAAAGCGCCCCATTCAAGGCCTCGACTAAAATTTCCCAACGGGACTGGGGAAATGGACGGGGCTAGACTTAATGATAATCTAAGTGATCTCCAGATGATTCAATTTCTGTGACGTCGATCATCCCGCATTTTTGCGGATCCTCAATATTCCGGGCCTGAGGCCTCAGGCAGAAATGTTTACAAACTGAGTTCGATCCTCTTTGTCAATGCAACTACTTGCCCAGGTGTTACTTACAACTACGAATACAACTATGTGAAAGAAATTGTTAAAATGTCACTATCTAGGGATATCAGTTTCCATCTCTTAAGGTTGACTCTTTTGGTACACAAGTGATCAACAAGGTAGCACAGTCTAGATCTCTCGGATCTCTTGAGTCTTGAGACCACGGGACATTTGGATAATGGCGGTTTGCGAGTGGTGATACAGAAAATGAGACCATCCTCGACGGTCAAGGTTGGCTTTGAGTGGTATGGAGAACCAGACCATGAAGAATTCATATCTGGCCGAGTCATCTGAATGGATGTGAAAAGACGCAAAAGACTTCCAAAGGACGCAGCCCCGGGCCACTCAAATCGGAGTATATGAGTTATTGCTAACATCTAATGTTGCCATGCAACCTTGTACTTTTGAGTTTGCAATGCCGACGATAGATCTCGAGTCAGATGGAGTGGTCTGGATGGTTTGTGGTCAGGTGTCAGAGAGCATTTGGCCATCCCAGGGTCTCCAGGGCTGAGCAGTCGATCGGGGTGACATTTGTTTTACCAGCTCCATAATCGCTTTGCCCTTTGTTCTCACTTCACTCCCCTCCACACATCGATCGCGCCATGCGAGTCCAGGCTCCAATCCTCCAGGCCTTGAGCCTATGGCTCGGTTGTGCTCAGATAGCATCATGCATTGTCTATCCCAATCATCAACGCGTGGAGCAACTCAACGAGATCCCTCGTGGGTGGTCTAGAGGAACAAAGCCTCCTCCCACGCAGCTCATCAAACTCCGTCTCGCAATCACTCAGAGCAACGCAGCAGAGTTTGAGCAGCATGTCATTGATATCTCCACTCCAGGTCACCTCAAATATGGCAAACATATGAAGCGGGATGAGGTCAAAGAGCTCCTTCGTCCGTCTCCTGCAATTTCAAACAAAATCTTAGAATGGCTCAGATCGGAAAATGTCTGGCCAGACGCCATCCAACCAGATGGCAATTGGATTTTGTTTACGGTGCCCATCAATCAAGCCGAGCACATGCTGAGATCAGAATTCTTCTACTACCACAACGAAGCCCAGAAAGAGCCCGTCATCAGGACCCTCGGGTATTCCGTGCCTAGTGACATTCTCCCATACATCCAGTTGATCCAACCCACCACCCGGTTCGGCAATATAAGCCCACGAAAGCTCACGATGTTAAAACACGAGCTCGCGACCCCGGAACAGCTGGCCTCTGGATGCGACGAGGCCATCACGCCGAGTTGCCTTCACAATTTGTATGGGATTGGAAACGTGAGCACCACACCCGATAGGCGCAATCGACTGGGTGTATCTGGATTCTTGGAGCAGTATGCCCGCCACGGAGACTTGGAAGAGTTCTTCGCTCATTACTCACCACACCAGACGAATAACAATTTTACTGTCGTGTCAATCAATGGCGGAAAGAATGATCAGGATTCCGATTTGGACAGCGTGGAAGCCAATTTGGATATACAGTACTCTATCGCAATGACCGATCAAGTTCTGACAATCTTCTACACCACCGCAGGGCGCGGTCCTGCAGTCCCTGAAATTGACCAGCCAGACCCTGCAAATGCATCGGATGAGCCGTACCTCGAGCAGCTCCATTATCTCCTGGGTCTACCCGATGATGAGCTACCCGCAGTTCTCACGAACTCATACGGAGAACATGAACAGGGTCTTCCAGCGTCGTATGTTAACGCAACATGCAATCTTTTCGCACAACTTGGGGCACGAGGTGTGTCAATCATTTTCGCCAGTGGAGATAGCGGCCCGGGAAATTCCTGCTTGATGAACGACGGAACAAACAGAACTAGATTCTTGGCTGAGTATCCAACCTCTTGTCCATTTGTGACATCCGTAGGAGGCACAGAGAGGATCAACCCCGAACGGGCCACTTATTTCTCTGGTGGTGGGTTTTCGGAGATTTTCTCTCGTCCATCATACCAAGACCAGGCCGTGGAAAGCTATCTCAAGATTCTGGGCGGTCAGTGGGAAGGTCTGTATAATCCCCACGGCAGAGGTGTCCCCGATGTTGCGACTCAGTCGACACGTTTCGTTGTCCGAGACCATAATAAATGGATTTCAGTTGCTGGTACAAGGTTTGTTTTCCATGACTCGCAGAGGGATCACTAAACTGACAGATAATAGTGCTTCAGCTCCAGTTTTTGCGGGGATTATTTCTCGGTTGAACGACGCTCGTCTTGCGCAGGGTAAGCCTCGAATGGGATTCCTTAATCCATGGCTTTATGGCGAGGGCCGACTGGCGTTCAATGATATCGTTCATGGTCGATCCGGAGGCTGTGACGGGTGGTCTGGCGGTGTTTCTACACCCAGGGTCCCGAATGCCGGTTGGAGCGCCACTGAAGGATGGGACCCTGTGACAGGACTTGGTACACCTTCTTTCCAGGAGCTGCTCAAGTTGGCATTGTGAGAATATGTTGAATAGCGCAAAATGAGGACTCTTCAACCCATCAAACTGATAGGTCTGAAAGACACCATAGCGAGTTTCCATGAATTCCATGACTTCGTATCAACCACTCTTGAGGAATTCTCCATTCAACTGCAGGTTTCAGGTGCTTCTCAATTTTTCTGTCAGCGAGTCATTCGTTATTGGACCAGGACCCTCGGAAAATATTACTACAAAATGTGACCATTAACTAGTTGTAGCATGTTAGTGTTTTGATTCTTTAGATCACGATCAGACCGCCTAGCTGATACCGTCAGAAAAACAGCGCACGTGACCTCATTCTGACCGCCCGCGACAGCTCCGTCATGGGCAATAGCATAGCGCCAACAACCATCGACCAAAACCCGAATTCCTTATCTCGTTCGCCGATAAAGTCACTGCTTTTGTTAAGCTACGGCTAGGCTATAAATTCCAACTTTCCAGCATCGTTCTGAACCCACATCCCCAACGCCATGTCCGATCTACAGTCCCTTGTGTCAGAGCTCCACGGTGCTCTTGAGCGCAAGCAGCTGGATGCCGCCAACGACCTCCTCAGCCGTGCCAAGCGAGCTCTCCTTTTGCAAAACGCATTGATTCCCACCTCATCCACACCTCCCCAGCTGGTCGTCCTCGCACGCCAAGTCCTCGAGCTCGGAGCCCTTGCCTCAATCCGCCAGACCGACGCACAGTTGTTCACACGATACTACCAGCAACTGCAGCCATTCTACGACATCGAGAGACATGCTGGTCTGCCAGGACAAAGCTCATCAGAGGTTGATTTCAGCACAAGCCAGCGCAGCAAAGTGACGGGGCTGTACCTGCTTCTGCTTTTGAGTATGGGCGACAGTGCCAACTTCCATACAGTGCTGGAAGGTCTGGTTGAAGAGGCAAGCTTGAAGGGTGCTCATGTTGAGGATGATGCATACATCAAGTACCCTGTTGAGTTGGAGCGCAACTTGATGGAAGGTAGCTACGACAAGGTCTGGCGGGAGACTAAGTCCGAGCGTGTTCCGTCCGAGGATTTCGGTCTCTTCTCTAATGTAAGTTCCTCGAAAATGACGTGTTTGTTTGATACTCAAGGCAAAGATACTAATCACTCTCTTCTACAGGTTCTCATCGGTACCATCCGCAGCGAAATCGCAGACTGCTCCGAGAAAGCTTACCCTTCCCTTCCTATTTCCAACGCCAAGAACCTCCTCTTCCTTGAGTCAGAGGGTGCAGTCATTGAATTCGCTCAGCAGCGCGGCTGGATCCTCCGCGATGGTCGGATATTCTTCCCCGTCGAGCCTGAGGCGTCTGGCAGGTCCGAGAAGGATATCCTGATGGCCAGCGGAACCGTGATTGAGAATGCATTGGGTTATGCTCGCGAGCTGGAGACCATTGTCTAAATAACGCGCTCAATTGGAACGATAATACTTCGGATACGAACCATCTTTTTTTCTTTCGGGCGCGGATGTACTTGTATACCTGTCGCTAATGCATGTTATTAATCTAGCGTGTTCATGACCACAATCATGTCAAGTTTAACATTGGATTCCACTCCTAGTCTCGTGATATCATAGAGAGCCAAGCTGCTGCTGGCGTAGATTTCCCAACCAGAAACAATTGCCTCTGGCTATACGTTCGCGGTCCAGACGCAAAGCCTCCGATCATAGAAGCTAGTTGACACAACCAGCAGCTCGGAAGACTGATCCTTTTCGCGGTCTGCGTTCTGGCACTTCCAAACACCGCTAGCATAATTCATGCTTTCATGCTCTGTGAACTTCGCCAGCACCTCAATATCCCATTCCGAAGACCCTTCATCCTGCTTGCAACTAACTCGAACAACCCTAGTCCCAGCATGCATACAACTCGCCAGAACCAAGAAGCTCGTTTCCGCCACAGCCAGGGGATTCTCGGAACTCATAACCTTCGTGGTATCCAACAACTGCAATCGCCACACCCCACCATCCAAGCCCTGCTCAGCGAGCACTTCGCCTCTACGTGTAGCGTGGTACACACGAAGACCCTCATCATAACTTCCCGTCAAGAGAACAGGGGCATCATCAGTCAACGAGACAGACAGAGGCAAGATGGCCGTAATACCAGCAGTGTGATGGCGAGCACGATCATCATGCTCAAGCAGCATAGGTGAAATATGATCATCTGGATCGTCCAGTTCGGCAGTGCCGTCAAACCGGCGTGTATGTAACGAGCCGAAATCATTTCCAGTGAACATGAAGGGAGTAATAGAGGTTTGTCCATCGGTTTCTGCGATCTCAGGGCCCGCGATTGAAGCCAGTGCAACAAACCAGACTTCTATCATCTGCTTCGCTTCAAAAGTTCCCCATTCAGCGAGGCTGTCATTGCGGATATCGCCTTGTGTCCCGAAGACGGCGGTTCGGCTATCGGAGAACGTGACTGCGAAGCCGTCCGCTGGATGACGCGGGAACCAATTTTGCGGTGCCCATGCGAGGAAGAGAGCTGGGATTGATGGGTCTTCGTGGACTTGCTTTGTCCATAATTGGGTGATGGTTGGGGGCTCAGTGGACGCATCTGCGGTGTCTACTTGGAAGAGAGAGACTGTGCCCACGCTACTGGCAATAGCGAATAGGTTCTTTTGCGTTGGATGAAAGTGCAAGTCGAAGACTGCATATGGGACTGCAATTCTTTGGATTTGGGTTCTGTGGGGTATTAGTTTTTTCGTGGCTTTGGTGGTGTAGGTATGCTGCGATGCAACGTCTTTGAGATTGGCTTACAGTGCTTTGCTGATAGGGTCCAGGTGCCATAACTGCAGGCTGCCGGTCTTGGCTTGTTCGATTTCTCCCTGGTCGGTTTTGGTTTCTGACAGAAGGTAGGTTCCTACAACGAAGTAGTTTGGAGCTTCTGGGCAAAATTCCAGACAGCTAGGTGGCTGGTCTAGAAAGACCGTAGTCGCTGACTGGGGGTTTTGCATGCTTGGCATTTGAAGCAAGTTCGATCGTTGTGGTTTACTTCGAGACCGCGGTTCTCAATGATTGATTGCCGGGCCGAAAGCTCACGGCTTGTAACTGGCGTCTCGGTGTGAAACTCGGTAACTCAATATTTCCTTCCGTATCTTGAGCTCTAGGTGGCCTCTTTTGTCTTGAAGATGCGATATGTGTGAATATCAAAAGGCAATTGTCTCGTGTCTACGAATCCAAAGCCGAAAACTCACATAGTGGGGCGGTGAGGACCCACTTTGAAGTAAAATGTCCTATACGCTTCATTTTGATATTGGAGAGAGCAGTACCAGAGAAAATCCGATACTACAGAGACTATGATGCTGAGCTGATGCAGATTCATGGCAGGCTTTGCGTGCAAGAAAGATCCACGGGAACGTGCGCGGGCTGTACGGAGTACATATGACTCACCTGGAAGTCCACCTTGTTCATGTACCATTTACCCTTTATGTAGCGGCGTATTCTGAGCATTGATCTTGCCGAATATCATTTCGTCAGCGTGAGTATCAGACCATTTAGAGTTATTGGCAAGAGCATTGCTAAACGATTGAAGATCACCAAGGTAATATAGACCGAGTTATGGATCTGTTGGGTTACAGTGCATGCGCCTGTCATCAGGAAAGTCGCCTGGGCAACGACGATGCTGCCATAATAGTCTTCTTTCAGAATTGAGTGTAAAGACCCCCAGTAACTTCTTGAGCTTCCAGCCATAAAAGGGGTCTCACGCCATGGCTATCAATTGGATCATTGATTGGCTGCATTCGCCTGCATTGCATGCAAAGCAGCTGCACGTTGTACTTGTGAGTCGTCCGAAGGGAGTAACCATGAGCATTGCCGGGCCCAATACCCAGAATAGAGAATTAAGATAAAGCACTGATGCTATGTTGAGGACAGGGTACTCAGTGTTTCAGTAGTAAAACTCATACATAACACGTCCGACGGTAGCCGGTGGTATACAACCACGGTCCACGGCCATGAAATCTTCGAGGCATCTACCTTACGGACTTGCGGGGGAGATGTCTCTCTTTCTTTTTATGTCTAGGCCTGCCTTTCTTATCATTGGGTGAAACCTCCTGTGTTACATGTACAATCAGCCCCCACATACTCCGTAATCTGCGGATGGTTTCTCACTCCCACGGGCCCGCTTGCAGGATGCTTACAGTGTGAAAATTCATGATCGGCATTAAAGGGCGTGAACTCTATGTGTGACACACAAAGATCAAGCCAGTACTTCGTCGTCCTCGTTCATAACTGCATTAGTGTGCATTGGGGCGTTGATCACGTTCGGCTCAGACGCGAGGGCAATCTCATTTGACTCGTCGCCAATCATAAAGCACACCCGGCGCTAGGATCAATGCTAAAGCGTACTCCGAACATCGGGATATTAAAGCATTGAAATCAGTCATATCAAAGATCAATTCCTCTGTTGTATTCATTTTGATGATGTGATCGGACGTTTACTTATTTCTCCCTCGCCCCCCACTTTTTCTTTCTTCTTTACACCTCACTACAGCTTTGCGATGGAAGAAGTTAAACAGCCATGGGGCTATTCGTGGCGGTCATCGCGGATCTTGATTGTCTCGTCAATTACAGTGGCATTGTTCGCAGGTTTGTTTGGTCATGTTTCAGTGCGGAGGATTATTTTTGACTCATATCGACAGAGACATTTTTGTTTGGGTTTCTCACACCTATCTTGAGTTATATGCTTGAGGAACGACTGCATATAGATCCATCGCAGACTCAAAGATATACAACTGCATTGCTCACGAGTCATGGATTTGTTGGTCTCGTCTCAGCTCCGGTCATTGCCTACCTGGCCGAAAAGACTGCAAGTCAGAAAACGCCATTGCTGTTCTCTTTAGCAGGATGCCTTGTTGGAACTTTGATGATTGCATTTTCTACTTCAGGTAATAATTCGATCGGTTAGTGTTGAATCAATATAATCTTACTAACGTTTCTGAATAGTGTGGGCTCTCTTCACTGGTCGCGTCCTACAAGGCGCGGCAGGCGCCGGCACTTGGGTAGTCGGTTTTGCTCTCCTGGCCAATAATGTGGACAAGAAAAACCTTGGAGCATCGATGGGAATGGCAATGTCATTTGTGACCGCAGGAATGGTCGGTGGTCCAACAGTGAGTGGTGCGTTGCTCGAAATGTTTGGATACTGGACCGCGTGGTCACTTCCCTTGCTTGTTCTGGCGCTGGACATTATCGCACGGTTGGTTATGATTGAACCTCGATCTGGAATCACCACTTCAATCTCAGACAATGGTGTTAAAGCTTCCGGCTGCTCAACTTGTAACGATGATGCGTCACCCGAGGAATCAACGGCACTACTCTCTGACGCTCAACCCACCGCCCAGCAAAGCGATTATGGGGTGGAGGACAAAGGCGATCAAAAGAAAAAATACTATAAGGCTATGCTTTGTCAAGCCCGAGTTTTGATATCCTTGGCAAACGTCGTGGTTGTCGCATCGTTGATGTCTGGTATCAACAACACCCTGCCTGTCCATCTGCGAGATGTTTTCGGGTGGAAGAGTTTCCTTATCAGCATGATGTTTTTCTGTCTGCAAGTTCCCAACATTGTGCTCGGCGGCCCGGCTGGGTGGCTGCGTGATCGACTCGGACTCCGAGGCCCGACTACATTCGGCTGGGCTGCGAGTGTTCCTTTGATCCTGTTGATGGGTGCGCCAGGTGATTCTCGCTTCCAATGGGCAGGCGGTGATGCAGCTGGGAAGTCGATCTTCTCTGGCAGTCTGCTTGCTTTGGGTAGTGTCCTCCCATTGGTCCGCGGTGTTGGAGCTGTACAGCTGGCCTGTAAGTCATATATCAATCAATGTTGATGTCGTTCCAATCATCATTTACTGACGTCCTGTTTTTTCTCTTAGATGTGGTTAAAGATATGGAAGCCAAGGACCCGCGTGTTTTCGAGTCTAACAGAAGCAATTTGCGAGTATTTTCCATGACTGAAGTTAGCTTCAGTTTCGGAATGATGATCGGTCCTTTGTTGACTGGATCGTTGTTTGAAACAGTAGGCTTTTTCTACATGACTGTGGTACTAGGTAAGCTCTTCCCCGGTGCATCAATATCTTGGTCAGTTTACTGATATTTCATAGCTTTTATTTGCTTCATTCAGGCTGTGCTGTCGTGGCGCTGGCTGGACACCAAGCTCCCGAGATCAGAGGAGACCTCTTCTGCTTAGGCTGTCACTGCACAGATGCTGCATTGCTGAAAAGTTTTCTGGGCGATTTTTTCCCCGCCAATCAAATTGGTTCATATGATGCATTTATAGGGAATCTGGGTAAATATAGACTGGCTGTACATAGACCCATCCACGCAACATTGGGCATGAAATACATGAATCCTGAAAGAGCCCATGGATATCGAATTGCGGATGAAAGCCCCCCCTGGGGTTTTTTTCTCCCTAATTTTTACCAAATGATATTTGAAATGACTGAAAGTTAGCCCTAGCAAATGTTCCATCTAGGCAAGGTTGGTATCGATCTGGTGGCGGTGGGTTCGTCACTTTCCAATGTTGTCACCCTGCCCCATGTAACACTTATATACAAGCTTTATCAAGCTTTCAATATGGTTGTCACATCGACTCCTAACAGGGTTCGACATCTTCGGAACGAGATTCTCAAGTTTGTCAGCGTAGTCGATCCCACCCGAATAGAAATAGACCCCGCACATGACGACACGGGATGACTGAGTATAAAGTGTCCGCCAGCCTCCATCGATCTCAATAAGCACAAATTTGGAATGTCGTTGCCTTTTGGTACGCCCCCTTCAGGGGTCTCCCTCACGCCTTTCAAGGTCTCCATCCCAAAGGCTAAGATCTCCGAGCTTCGAACCCTCCTCGAGCTTGCCAGATTCGCTCCGCACACCTACGAGAATTCCCAAACAGATCGGCGCTATGGAGTCGGTACTGATTGGCTGGTAACTATGCGGGATCTATGGCTGCGATCTTATAAATGGTATCACTACCACGTCTAAACCTTGACGACACACTGACCTTGTGTTAGGAATGCCTCGGAGGATAGAATCAACAGCTTCCCTCAGTTTGAGGCCGAAGTCGAAGGGATCACGATTCATTTTGTGAGCCTCTTCTCGCAGAAGAAAGATGCAGTCCCCCTGCTTTTGTTGCATGGCTGGCCTGGTAGATATACCAAATTCTGATTAGCACATGTTGAGCATTCTGACTTTCTTTGGCTTACAGGGAGCTTTTTGGAATTTTTGCCAATACTGCAAAAGTTCCGAGAGGAGTATACCCCGGAGACTTTGCCTTATCACTTGATTGTGCCATCTCTGCCGGGTTACGCTTTTTCGTCTGGGCCTCCATTGGACAGGGACTTTGGGACTGGCGATATCGCTCGTGTTCTTGATCAATTGATGAAGGATCTTGGATTCGGGGATGGATATGTTGCCCAGGGAGGCGACATTGGAAGCCGGATAGCCAGGCACTTGGCTGTGGATCACGAAAGCTGCAAAGGTAAGAGCTGTCCCTCGTATTGATTTGAAGATACGATCTGACATCAACTTATAGCGGCACATCGTAAGTTTGCTCCCGGCAGAATCATCTGGGCGTTCACAATACTCATTAAGTCCAGTCAACGTGGTTTTCATGAGAAAGCCAGAAGGCGTGACAGACGAACACCTAAATGCCTTCGAGATCCAAGGCATTGAACGGATGCAGAATTTCATGGCGACGGGATCTGGATACGCGATTGAACATGGCACACGGCCTAGTACCATCGGTCACGTTGTGTCATCCAGCCCGATTGCACTCCTAGCTTGGTGAGTGCTCTTTCAAGCAGATTCCAAAAGATAAAACATTATTGATATCTACAGGGTTGGTGAGAAATTCTGTGAATGGGTTGATGACCCCCTGTCTCCGGATGATATCTTAGAATCTATCACTCTCTACTGGCTCACAGATACATTCCCTCGGGCCATCTATACATATCGACAGGTGGTTTGGTCTTCACCATAATTTAGAGAAGGGATTGCTAATTCAAATCTACAGAACTACCCACCACCGCCAATACCGGCTGCCAATGACCCTCGCTGGTATATCAAAAAGCCATTGGGATTTTCTTCTTTCCCCATGGAACTTGCTAGACTGCCGCGCTCCTGGGTTGAGACGACCGGCAATCTCGTATTCTGGCAGCAGCACCAGAAGGTATTTCTTTCATTAATGTTGAGAAAATGACATACGCTGACGCTGTAAACTTTTAGGGCGGTCATTTTGCTGCTTTGGAGCGACCTGACGAGTTAAAGTCAGATCTTGTTAGATTTGTGGACCAGATTTGGCCTGATGTCAAATCTACCTCTTAATTTGATACTATTCGTATGTTAGTCGCTTGAGCTACTTCCAAATTCTCAAGGGCTGGTTCCCATTTCAAGATTGTGATCAACGTTGGAGCTGTCAGCATTACATCTATCCGTGGATATACATTGATGGACCCAAGGTTGCCTAGTAAATACAAATGTGCCTACGGCTTTTTTAAAGCTCCAATACTTGCTCGAAATGTGGATTCACAATTTATTCCTGAGTTGTCCCAACGAAAAATCCATCTAGCAAGCAGATTAGAACAAAGAAGTATAAAAACGCGGGTGAAGTATCAGATCGCGCCCACCTTTTCTCGCCGTTTCCCGACTTCCAAGGATTTCTTCTATCCAACTTAACTACTCCTTCCAAAAAAGCCATAATCAACCACCTGGGCAAGACAATGACAGTCACCAAGGCAACTGATGAAATCTTCTCCGACGAATCGAGCTTCTACGGTATTGTAGCTCGTGTTATCCGTGTCCAGAAGTAGAGCTGACGTTCACCCCAGGCGACGAAGAGGAAACAAACAGGCTTGAGACCCTCGTTTCGACCTACGATCCAGAGCCATATTGGGGCGAGTATCATCAAAATCTCTTATCAACAATGCAACATAACTTGCAAGCTCCGACAAAACCGTCGTCGTCGGACGTCTCAATGATGGATGCACCTCCCCCACCAAGAACAATACGCCAGGATCGTCGCGGAAGAATAGAAACCGTAGATCAGTTTCTCTCTCGACTTCCGCCCTCGACTACAGAGATGACGACTGCGAGACCTTGGATATGGACCTACAATCACCATATCCCACCAACTGGGGAGGGGGATGTTCCCACCCTATTGAGAAAAGGTCGAGAGCTACTCGAAGCGTATGAGAGAGAAAGTAATGTTCTACGCCTGGAGCACGACAAATCAGGCGCAAAGACCACAAGCGCTCTAACGCGCAAACTCAACCCACTCCGCCGAGAGCTGGAAAAGGACATCCTCGCTCTCGCTCAGGAAACAGGCGTGACGCATGGCAAGTGGATGCTTTTCCCCACCCCTGACGAAGTCGATGAAACCTGGGCTACGATCGCTAGGGCAATGGACAAGGGCGAGCTCGGCGACACCGCGAAAGTTGCCCCGAATGATGGGTCCGGACAATCGCCTTTGATATGTGTTTATACGGTTGACTTTGCGGACGTCGAGGATGTCAAACGTGTGGCGAAGAAGCTGGTTGATCTTGGGCTTGTGGGGAAGGGACCTCGGCCTATTTTCTACAAGAGTGATGCATACACGCTTCTTGAAATCACGTCGAAGAATGATTATGGGCTGAAGGCGAGCATGTTTTCGAGTCGGGATGTGCTTGGGAGCAAGTGAGAACGATGTTGACATGGCTATTTCATGGTTGATGTACATGGATTTGATTATTGATATCTTGCTGTAGTGGGTATCTCTGAGAAACGCGTCTATCTATGACATCTGACAAACAAGGAAATTTCGAGTAATGGCAGTCGCTCGTTGTACCGGCATGCCAGTATACCAGATGAGAGTGCCAGAAAGAGGTTGGATGAGGACGTTTTGGATAAAGCGCCGGTCTTGGTGGCAGTGACTGGGTATCCATGTGGGCCAGCCGGTTTTGGTGAGTTTCTTTCTCGAAAGCTCCATGTGGTACTCGTGTAATGGCCTGGGAGGCTGTCTCTGGCGGGAGTCTGTGCCCAGGCCACATCCGCAAATATTATGACCGATGGCGAGTCGTGTTTCAACCGTCGTGGCCTGCACCGGTCATGGCCTTCTCACAAGCCTCGCGAATCTCAGACACACCCTTGACATTGCCCCAGGCGTCAAGCAAATGCTTAATCTCTTCCCAGTCCTTCTCCGCATCCTCCCGTTTGTCGTCCGCCAGAAGTTTTTCAAGCCTCTGTGGTGCAGCAAGCACCCATCGAACAGTTTCCTTTTCATTTTTTAGATTCGATTCTTCAACATCTTGCTTCGCCTCCTTCATGCGTTTCCGCTGCTCCTCGCCTTCTTTGATGAGCCCACCAGCGGTCTCCGCAACGAAAGCAATAGCCGGCCCCAATGTTTTCGTCATGGTCAAGGGAGCACCACGATCATCCATGCTTCGGCGCATTTTACCGATTGTCTCCACGGCCCGGATTAACTTGGAGTAGTTGTCGTAGACGAGGGCCTTCCGCTCCCCGTCAAGAGTACGGATGTCCCCAACCAACGTGTTTTCCGCTTTAAGTACAGTAGACAGCGAAGAAGTTGAAAGCAGATGCTCAACATAGCGATGCGGGTCGAAGTCTGCGCTATCGAGCTCTGTCCCTGATCCCAGAGCTGATGGGTTGGAAATATCTCCTGCATCCGTATTCCGTGGTACGCTCCGTGAGCGTGAGGGGTCTCTAGCGGCGGACGGATCTAGCCCAGGGGGCTTAAGGTTATAGTAGTCCCGGAGGGCGCTGCGATTGCGTCGTGGTGGTAGTGAGGGGGAAAGCGCTCGTGCAGTGGACGGGGTAGATGCGGCGCTGAGGCCCCCGCTGACACTGGTATTCAGGGCATCGAGCGATGGGCGGGAAGAAGCAGGAGTTGGGGAGTGAGCTCGAGATGAGGCAATCGAAGGGCGTGGAGAAGATATAGTCGACATGGTGGTTTGGGGTGGTGGTGCCGGGAGAGACACCGGAGGTCGGGGCCAGATCAACGGCTATAAGCGGTGGTCCGTGCGCTTGTTTTCGCGATGCTCATGGCTTCCCCGACATTTCTTGCTTCGATTGGATCTTGCTAGACACAATGGCTAGTCCCGATCAACTCGCAGCTCAGATTCTGAGCTCAAAGTCGCTCTCGGTATCTCCAACTTGGCTAAATGCCTTCTTATCCTCCAGCACCTCACAGCGCAACATTCCTATTTCTGCTCTTACACAGACTGCGATATTCCGACTTCTAGCCTCCGACATCAAGGAGTCACTCTCGAAACATAGATCATGTGTCCTGCCAGTCGATGCGTATGACCCCACTGTTCAAGAGCGACGTTTGCAAGGCTACATTCCAGTTCAAGTTCTCGATATCGAAGACATCGGAACGAGTCTATGGAGCCAAATTGAAGCGATTGAACGCGTCGAGCGCGGCGAGGCTATCCGAGGACGCGAAATTGTTCGCACAATTGCTGTTGACGAAGACCCAGAAGCTGCAGAGAGTAATCGCACAAACAATGGCCGTGCAAATGGTGCGGCAAATGCGTCAGGGTCCGGTGGGTATGGCCCACATCGCTTGATTCTACAAGATGCCGCTGGTACTGTTGTTGCAGGTGTAGAAATGCAGCGCATTGAGGGTGTCACTGTGGATAAACTTCCTATCGGCTCAAAGCTTCTACTTCGCTATCCAACTGTTGCGAGGGGTATGGTGCTTCTTACCCCCGAGAGCGCTACACTACTTGGGGGTCGGATTGAAGCTTTGGATGCGCCATGGCGGCAAGGTAGGAAAGCTCGATTGTTGCAGAAGACTGCAGGTCTAGAGAGAGTCTGAAACCCCAATCGAGGCAACATTAAGGACAAACACCCTATCAATTTACGATTCTCGTGAAGGTATGAAACTTATTCGTCCTATTCCTATTTCATGATGTCTCGTAAACACATGCTGAACAACGGTACAGCAAAAAAAATCAAACACGCTCTCATGCCTTTGGCCGGAATATTTCCATGGTACAATCAAACAGCCAGGGTAGACAGATGATAGTCCAGCTCCTCCCAGCCGGTGCTTGTCGACGGTGAAATCATAATGGCTCGGAGAGAGTCGATCATCTTCCCGCTCTGCGCGTAAGCCTTGCTGAGTTCCGAGGCTTCGAGCTTGCCGCGAGGAGGCACACTCTGCAGCGCACATTCGACGGTCATCTCTGCAACATCGGGGTCTTGCGTGGCTGCTGACAACTCCATCCATCCTGCAGGCTGGGCTGGTGAGATCATGATCGCAGAAGATGCCTGAGCAGTTCGTCTGAGGTCCTCGGGAACATCCGCATGAGCATTGAATCCCAATGCGGATATAGCGCTCCGGAGTTTGACCAACTTAGCTGCCTCATGCAGGTTGACGTCTTCGCGTGTGGTAAGGCTGTTGAGGTCGGACTCTATCGCATCAACTGCCTCGCTATCCTTATCCAGAATCGAGATGGCACCCAAGAGCACAGTCGCACCAATGTGGCCATCGTTGTTCTCGAGACAGGCGAACAGCTGCTCACGGGCGACTGATCGGTCCTCTTCGCCACCCTTGGCCCACAGGACTTGGGCCAGAAGGCAGACGACATCTGGCGCGTTGTTTGCTTCTTGAAGAGCATCGCGGAACATGTCGATGGCTTGATCCCATGACTGAGTGTAGTAGAATGCGAGACCAGCGGTCAGATGTGCGGATAATCGAAGCTTGCGGCAGGTTTCAGGATCGAACTTTTCGGCATCTTCCTCGCCAGAGAGTGAGAGGGCTAGCTCGGCCTTCTCTGCCGCTTCTTCATAGGCATGACGAGCAAGCAGAACACGAGCCAAATCTGCATTGGCCTGTGCATATTTCGAGAGAGATGAGGTGGATTCGGTCTCTTCGAATTCGGCTTCCATGCCTGCGCAAACTGCCTGCAGGCTGTTCTCGGCATCTGCGGTTTCGCCCATTCTCTCCGCCAAAAGGGCAGATAGATGGACAAACGGCAGGTCAGATGGGTTTTGGCTGCACAATTGGTGAAGTGCAAAGAATGGTTGAATGAGTTCAGATACCTCATGTGAAGCAGAGGGATTGACAAGGAGGTGATCAAAGAGAGTAAGGGCATACTGGCGCTTGGGTAGAATCTCTGAAGAATTTGAAATCTCGAAAGCATGTTCGAAGATGCCCCTGGCCTCTTTGATTTCTCCAACTAGAAGCGCGAGTATTCCTTGGCCAACCCAAGCTTGTGCGTAGTCTGGGTCAGTTGACTGTGCCCGAGTGAAAGAATCATTGGCAAGCTGAATGTCGTTGTGGATAAGGTAGAGAGCACCAAGATTCGTCCAAACCGACGCATTGCGATCATTCAGATGTAAACTTCTCACAAAGGCGTGCTGCGCAACCTTCGGACTCATGGTAGTAGTGACCACACCCAATGAGTTCCAGAAATCAGCATTGCCAGCTTCCAGTTCAATGGCTCTCTTGAAACACTGCATGGCTGCTTTCAAGAACTTGCGGGATTTTTTACCCTTCTGGGCAGAGTCTGACTGTGCTTCGCGATATGCTAGATGTTCAGCCCAACCAAGGTTGTACCAAGCGATTGCTTGGGCATGGGGGTCATGGACCGAAACATGCAGTGCACGTTTGTAGGCAAGGATGGCTGCTTGGCCATAGAAGTTGGCTGGCACTGTCTCTTCTGTGAGATCGGTTTGAAGCCAGTCTGCTCCAATGCCGTCAATTTCGGTCATCGAATCAAATGCAGTAGGGTCGAGATTAATTGAGAGTAGAGTCTTGCAATCAGAAGGAGAAAGCTTGACAAGCTTGCTCTTCATGTGTGAGAAATGAGAATACGCATCGCCAACAGCCTTCCACAGGTTGAAAATATCAGTCTGGACATGCGCCAGCGTGTGAGCCAAGTTGATAGCTCTGCATGCCAATTCAGCTGAATCATTGAAGAGGCCGAGACCAAGACTCTTAGCTGAACTCTCAGTCAAGGTTTGAAGGAGTGCAATTGACACGCCGATGTCGCCAGGCCTAGAAATCAAGACTTGGTCGTAGCTAGAAATTGCCTCGTCGTACTCGCCAAGCTCTCGCCGGACGTTGGCCAGCATGTATCGGGAGAACCACACATTCTCCTGTTCCTTCTCTGAGAGGTTTGGCTCCAGTGTTTTCGCATACTCGAACGCCTTGGTGGCAGCAATGTATCGCCCAGAGTGGTGATAGCTTTCGGCAAGTCCAACCCAGGAGTGGTAGTCATTTGGTGCCAGTCGCAGAGCCGCTTGGAACGAGACAATGCTCTTGCTGTATTGTTGCTTATTGATTTGCACAGTTCCCAGCGCAGCATATGGCCAGCTGAACCCGCGACGTTTTGAGCCTGGGGATGGTTTCGCTTTGCCAGATTCAATGACTCGCGTTGCAACTGCTTCGACGAGATCCCATTCTTGAGAATCGGCAAAGGCCTTGGCGAGACGCTCAGCAGCCTCGATTTCCGAGGTAGATAATTCAAAGGCTTTGTGGAAGCAACGGCGGGCTCTCGCTTTGTCCTTTTTGTAATCGGCAAAGTAAAACCCAAGAATGGTGTATGCAGGTGCAAAGTTCATGTTCGCCTGAATGGAAGCGAAAAGGCTGCTATACGCACCTTTTCGGTCTTTTCTTGCGGCTAGAGACGGGTCCAACTCCCATTGACAAAATCCAATGCGATACAGGATTTCTGCTGCAAATTCTCGGTTTTCAGGCTGTGTCTCCTTCGAGTCTTCTAGTACACCTTGCAGTCTGTCCAGCCCAGCTTGGAGGTCACCATTCAAAGCTTCACACCAAGCAAGCTCCCCACGAATGGTGAGGTTTGAAGTATCACGTTCAAGGGCCCGGCGTAGGAAGTCCACTGCTTCAGCATAATCCTGATCCTCTTTCAAAATCAGACCAACACCAAGCAAGCAAGTACAAGAAAGTGGGAATCTCTCGAGGATGCTGTTGAAGATGATCTTTGCTTCTGTGTGATGCCGGGGTGCTTGGTGATGGATCAACGCGTTGGCAAGCGCAATATTCAAGGCATCTGCCGTGTTTGGAATTTTGACACCACAAGCTTTAGTCAAATCTTTGATAGTAGACAGACCCTTGCGTGCGACATTCACCACACTCTCATATTCTTCCAAATGGAGGTAGAGATCTGACATGATTCGATGAGCAATGATAGAGTTGCCAGCAGATTCTAGCCCTTCGACCATGAGGATGAGACGATCCTGGGCAGCTGTAACCTTATCAGCTTGGACGTCGTTTTCCGCAAGGTCAACTTCAACGTCATTCTCAGCAGCTGGCTTGTTCCTCTTCTTGTTCTCCCCTGGGGCTTTCTCTTCGCTATGGGGCTCATTGGGGAAAGGTGATAATTCACTTGACAGGAATCCTTTCAGAATCTTTGAGATTCCGGACTCTGGGAAAAATTCAACATATTCACGCAAGTGTCCAACGTCGTACTCCGCGTAATTCTGGACATCTTGCCACGTCAAGAAGACCTTCCAGGCAGGCTCAAATGGATGTTTGATGATCACCATATCCTGGGCGGCCTTGAACACGAGCTTCTTCTTTTCCTCTTTTTGATCAGCTGGAGAAACACAGAGATCCTCATACGCGCGTTCGAAGAGCTTTTCTTCGTATCGACGTCGCACATCATCATCATTCGTCCAATCAACTATTCCTCGGTAAAGCTGGTCCAGGGCACTCTTTTCAAACGCTTCGCGCTTGACTTCTTGAGTGACCTTATCGATACGCGCGCCGAGACGTGTTCTCCGCTCACCAATCTCACGATTGATAAATTCTCTTTCCTCGCCCTCGGTCAATTCAATCAATCGCAAGTATGTGTGTGACGGGTGAGGCAGTCTTCCTTCGAGGAAATCGTACAGCGGCGAGCTAGGCAATTGCAACATCAACGACGACTTGCGTTGAGCTTTGGACCCGTGGCTCGCGGCCAACTTCGCATATTTGTTGACCAGATCCTGGCAGCGCTCCCGCTCGTCACTGTCAACCGTTAGTACCATGCCTTCAAAAGAAGCGACGTTCGCAGTGAATCATACTTATTGGCAAAAATGTTTCCAAGCTGAATGACAACCTGGTGGTAAGAATCAAGCTTGTCTCCGCCTTGTCTGTCATAAAGAGAGAGCAATCCCTGCCAGGCAGCTTTGTCATCCGCCTTGATGCGAGTCGCGGTGATGTACGCAGTCTCCGAGCTGTCATTCCTGTTCAGTTTGTCGTTTGCGAGTCCCAGAAAGACATGACTATGAGAAGAAAAGAGTTAGGACGGCCCCCAGGTGGGAAAGCGGCGGACTTACGCATGGTAGTTTTGGGGATCTTGATTCACAAGCGCCTGAGCTTTTTCGGCGGCTCCTTGGTAGTCTTTCGACTCTAAAGCTGCGCGAACCGCTTTCAATGCCGCTTTGCTCGACATGGCTTTGGTTGCAGGAGCAGAGGGGAGAAACTGGTGTTTGTGGAGCAAGAAGGTCGGCTAGCCGATACGTCACAGCTTATCGTTATCGTGGTTATCGTTCAGATCAGAGAGCGAAGCTATCCAGGGCTCCTAGGCTCCCATGCTTTGTTGGCTTGTTCCTTTGCTCAATCAACATTACCTCGGATTTTTACGGCAAATTACCTCAAACTGCTTTGAATTCAGCTAAATCCTGGAGAATTGTCTGAATCATCATCACGTGCGTGGGCTGAACGGCAATCAGGCGGCTGTCCTCTCCGCAGTCGTCATCCTCAACCCATCTAGTGGAATTACTTGATCCCCCTCAGCACCTTAACGAGAGGGCTGTTCTGTTAGCACTTTCCTATATCGGCTCTCTGGCTATCACTGGCCTTGCCCCGTGCCTCGCCGAACTAATCAACCAGCTGGATATCGCGCCTAAATCCATCTCGAGATCTTGCGACTGCCTGTGAAAGACATGGCCCCTTTACGTCTTCGGGTCGAGGGTCAGTCCTTCCGAGACCCTCACAACCGAGAAATTACGCTTAGAGGAATCAACGTCGCGGGCGATGCGAAATACCCCAAGACACCCGACACCCCCTCCTACATTGCGGATAAGTTCTTTGATGGAGACAACGTCTCGTTTGTCGGACGGCCCTTCCCACTGCAAGACGCCCATGTCCATTTCAAAAGGCTGAGGAAATGGGGTTACAACACCATCAGGTACATTTTTACCTGGGAAGCCATTGAGCATGCCGGGCCCGGAATCTACGATCAAGAGTGGATTGACTTCACAATTGAAGTCCTCCGGATAGCCAAGCAATATGAGTTTTATATCTTTATGGATCCGCATCAGGATGTGGTAGGTTGTTTAGATCGGATAAACCGCTTTAATACGTATATTAACAATCTCTAGTGGTCTCGGTTTTCGGGGGTTCTGGAGCGCCCATGTGGACGCTCTATGCAGCAGGTCTGAACCCCAAGACCTTCAAGACCACAGAAGCTGCCTTAGTGCAAAACACATATGATGTCCCTGCGACATTCCCGAAGATGATTTGGAGTACAAACTATACCAGATTAGTTTGCCAAACCATGTTCACGTTGTTCTGGGCTGGACGAGACTTTGCTCCCAAGGCTGTCATTGACGGAATGAACATCCAAGATTATCTTCAAAGTCACTTCATTGATGCATGTGCTCACTTGGCACAAAAGATCCACGATGCAGGGGATCTCGATGGCGATGTGATTATTGGCTGGGAGAGCATGAATGAGCCCCATCGTGGCATCATTGGCGTACAAGACATATCAGTTGTTCCACCCGAGCAGCAGCTCCAACTCGGAACTTCTCCAACAGCGTTCCAGGCCATGCTCACCGGCTCAGGGCGAGCATGCGAGCAGACAACATGGGCCTTTGGTAACTTTGGTCCTCACAAGACTGGCACGGAATTGGTAGACCCTGCAGGTGACATTGCTTGGTTGCCAGCTGATTACGACGACAGCAAGTATGGCTGGGAACGGGATTCCGGATGGAAACTTGGGGAGTGCATCTGGGCACAGCATGGAGTGTGGGACCCATCCACCGACACGCTCCTGCAGAAAGACTACTTTTCGAAGAATCCCCAGACCGGCGAGGCGTTGGACTATGAAAAGTTCACCAACTCATATTTCCTGGATCATTACAGAGCATACAAGAACGCCATACGAAGTATCTGGTCAGAAGCAATCATGTTCTGCCAGCCACCTGTTATGGAAGTTCCCCCAGATGTCAAAGGCACACCTGACGATGACCCCAATATGGTCCATGCAGTTCATTACTATGACGGGCTAACTCTTTTGACGAAGCATTGGTAGGCCCTCAGACAGTCCGTGGATAAATGTCCCAAACTAATTACAGTAGGAATCGTCTCTACAACGTGGATGTCATCGGTGTGCTTCGCGGCAAGTACCTCACCCCGGCGTTCGCTCTTAAGATCGGCGAGTCGGCTATTCGAAACTGTTTGCGTGACCAGCTCAAGTTTCTCCGTGAGGAAAGCCGGAACTACATGGGCTCTCACCCTCTAGTTTTCACGGAGATTGGAATACCATACGACATGGACGACAAATACGCATACAAGACTGGTGACTACAGCAGTCAAACTAGTGCCATGGACGCCAATCATTTTGCGCTGGAGGGCAGTACGTCTAACGGCTATACTCTCTGGGTATACGTCACGCAAGTAAGGGCTCTCTATCGGTCACCGAAGGTAGAACATACTGACCAAAAGTAGAATGACCACGAATGGGGTGATCAGTGGAACGGAGAGGATCTGTCCATCTTCTCTCACGACGATCTGGAATTGCCTAGCAACAGTGCTCGGTCCGCTAATCCCCATTCTCCGGCATATTCTGAAAGTCAAAGTAGTGGAGACGAACCAGATGTCGGGCCCGGGAACCTCAAGGGTGCTTTGGTTACTCCTTCGATCTCTAGTGATCGGTCCAAGCTGTCTATGCAACAGGGCCAGGGCCAGGGCCAGGGATACCGCGCTGCAGAAGCCTACCTCCGTCCGAACCCGACCTATGTCAGCGGCAAATTGGATAGTCATGTGTTTGATCTGAAGACTTGCACATTTACCCTCTCGTTGACGGCCAAAGGACCTACCTCAGCTACCGCGCCGACTGAGATCTATCTCCCGGACTTCCATTTCCCACAGGATAGCCTGGTGGTCACCGTCAGTGGTGGGAAATGGGACATCGAAAATCAGGATATCCAAGGAGTCAAACTACCCTATCTACGATGGTGGCATGCGGAGGGACAGCAAGAGATCACGATTGAGGGATACAGGCGCAAACCTGGGGAGATTGCTAACCCAGCTGGGGAAGATGTCTCGTATTTGGAACAATGCCAAAAGGGTCAATGTACGGTGATGTGATGAGGTATCTGAGAATTTCTTTATCCAAATAGCTTGCAATGTTTTTATTGAAACCATGGACGTTTCATTATGCACCGTTGCGGTCCCGGCTATACAGATAAGATAAACAATGAGGGGCATCGTAGGCAGCTACCAAGAACTATTCACTGCCATGACCGAGATGGGGTGAAAACTAAGTATACAATAAATGAGTATAGTACGAATATCCGAATAAACCAATAAAAACACAATAAAAGACTAAAAATTAATCAGATATGCGAGAATTCGAGCCTCATGCTGCATTCAAACGGCAAACAAACATCGCGTGGAGCATCAAGCGGTGTGTCCATGTCTTGGGGAAATTCTTAGCCCGACAAGTCTCCAATTCCACGAGTATTCCCTTCGACCAAAACACCTACCCTCCCAACACTTCTCCGCATCCTCGTACCTCGTCGCTTCCGAATCGCAACCTCAGGTCCCTTCCCGGAAAGCGCGGCGCGTGCAGGTGGGCCGCAGCGTCCGACTGCTAAGCCAGACAGGTTCAACGGTCATCCATTGTTACCTATTGAGACACGGTCTGAGACTTTCTCATAAGCTGGTATAAGACCGTCTGCTTACCTTCTTCTCTGTCCGGCAGCATATCTTCAACATGGCTGCGGAGGACTTGTCGGAGGGCGGCATGGCCGATATTATCCAGGCCCTGCAAGTCATTCACAACCCTCACTCACCAAACGATATCCGACAGAACGCCTCTCGATTCGTGGAAGATCTGAAGGAGACCGAGGGCGCCGCGCGCAATGGCTTCCTTCTCGCCTCTCGTTTGGAGCATGAGCCTGTGGTCCGTTACTTTGGTCTCACTCTACTCGATCACGTCCTGCGCAAACTGTCATTCTCTTCCCCCGAGGAAGCCACCTCCATTCGATCAATGATCCTACAACTCGCCGAGAACGTCCGACCCGAAGACCCCCACTATTACCGCAACAAGATTCCCCAGCTTTGGTCCGAGGCCGCGAAGAAGAGCTGGGGGCTGGACTGGAACGATATGGATGCTACACTGGTTCAGTTCTGGGGCGCATCTCTTGTGCATAAAGAGCTGGTACTCGCTGTCCTGGAAACTCTCTCCGAAGACATTTTCTTCCGTGAAGATGTTGTCTCGGCCCTACGAGGAAGCGAGCTCAACCGGGCGCTGATTGAGATCTTTACACCGGACAGCATTCTTGAAGCAATCACATCCTCGGAGAAGAATAGCAGTGCCGCTCTGCGCTGCGGTCAGGAGGGTTGGTTGGTTCGCGTGAGCCTGTTCCTCAATGAATGCATCCAGAACATCTCTGGCTCTCAGCAAGCTCGAGACGCAGCTTTGAAGGCCTTGGCAACTCTCAAGTCTGCCCTTTCTTGGTCTGTGTACCCGGCTGTCATTGCTTCCACGGCCATTCTCAGTATTTTCAGGGCCCTGTCCTGTCAAGATGACCAAGTACTTCTCGCTGCAATTGAGGCGCTTCATGCGCTTTATGGTAGAAACACTATTGGCTGCGAAGAATCTCATGCCCTCGTTTGCCTTATCTTTGAGTCTGACTACCTTGTCGCCCTGCGGGGACTTTACGAGTGGTCAGTTGTAGGCCCAGATGATGTCAATGATCCCAGATACTTGGTGTCCAAGAAGGTCTCCGAGATGGTCTCCTACATCGCAGGGTGCCTGGACGATGAAAGGTTCCTGCGTGATACCATGAGCCGTTTAGACTTGCCACCCTTCTTCCACTTCATGATCAACATCATGCAGCACCAAAGCTTGACGGTCTCCATTCCCTGTCTACACCTGTGGTCCAAATTGTTACAGATTTCGAAGATTCATCGGATGGATTTTGTCACAGAGCAAACGCCCCAGTTCCTCAACATCTGCACAGAGCGACTACTCCGTTGGGAGTCGCTTTCCCCCGACTCCGACAACCCGACAGTTGAGTTCTTGTTCGAGGACATTGACACAGCTCCTGAACGTCATGCGTTCGTCGGCAACTACCGCCGCTACTGCTCTTCTATCATAGAGACCATCACGTTAAAGAGACCCCAGGAAGCAGTGCGCGAAATCCTTGCCCGGGTGGACAACAACCTTGATAACCTGTATACCGGGGTTCAACCGTTTAGCAGTGAGTGGAAGACCTTTGCCAATAACCCCTACGTCTGCTCATGCTAATTTATTGTCTAGTGGGAACATTCAGCAAATCCTCCATTCCTATTATGCGAGCGGACTCCCAATTTGCAGTTGTCGAGGCTGTCATCAAGGGTTACAACAAATGGGTGTCGGCACATGGCAAGGCACCACAAAATGATGTGAGACCTGGATCGATTGAGCCTCGTGGTTGCACAGGATCACTAATATTGTCCCTAGGAGTCAAGTCGAATGGAGTTAGAACAAGCTGTGGAAAACTGGGCCTCGACTTTGATGACAAGATCATACGAGGTACGTCAGTTTCTACAAACAAACATCACTATACACATCCATTACTCGGTCTCAATTACGTTGTTTGGAATTGTCACATACTTACACTTCAATACTAGGACCCGGTCATCAAACAAAGAGTTATCAAATTGACTGTTGATGTTTCCTCGAAAGCCCTGGATAAGAACCCAGGATTTGCCCTCAAGGTTCTGGAACACGTTCTGATGACACGTTTGCCGGATCACCCTGAATATCCAATGTATTCTGAGGCCGTCAAAGAACTTCATGGACTCGCCAGTCATGAACTTCGTCGCTTGGCTATGCGTTACGCTGACAGCTTTTCCGTAAGTACTCTCTGGTTGTGAGTATAATTGGCTACAGATAAGTCCTAATCACCCTCTTACAGTCTTTCTACGACGTGATCGAGCCAAAGATTAAAGAGATCACGATGACCAATCATGTGGACGACAAACTGCAGATGGAATTGACATCCATTCTGCTCATCATCACGTAAACTTCATGCCTTTCTCTCATATACCCACTCACTGTGCTAACCTGCTATAGGCAACGTGCGATCGAGATTGACCCAGTCCTACAAAAGAACCGATTAGAATCTTTCCTTGAACCCGTCAAAGTTGCTTGGCACGATGAACAATTCCGTCAAGGCAGTTCCTCCTTCCAAGGATTTTGTGAAATGCTTGGCTTAGAGAATGTCGGTCAATACATGCAGACAAAGCAAGCACAAAAGATGCCAGACTGGACAGAGATCGAGTTGGACAATGAAGGAAAACTTGTTCAGGAAGAGATGACCCGAAAGTTCCAGGTAGAACCCTTTGAGCTCAGTCAATCTTTTCATTGGGATAATTCTGACCATTCTTAACCTAGCTCTTACCGCTGCGTGGTACTAAAACCATGTTGGCTGTCTCGACAGATCGACTCAACAAGACTACACAGGCATATGGAATCGCCCAGGAAATCTGGTTTGACACCATCCGAATGATTCTTCCGACCTTGTTGCAGCTTGTCCGGTAAATTATATTGATTTTCATCCAAATCAACACTCTCATACTAATGGTGCCTTTTTAGCCACGCCCATGCCTTCCACAACCCTGCTAATTGGAACATGATGGACGGCATGCAACCCGTGGTTGAACGAATCTTGACAGACCGGTTCTGGCAGGCTGGCATTTCAACCGGTAGCCGCGATGATTTCTATGCGAGAATCACATCATCCAAGTCCACTCTCGAAGGCTTCGCCTCATCGGTCCGAGGTAAAATCAGAGCTGTCCGCGAGGCATCTTATTCCATGCTGTTCAGCATGAGTCGGTTGGGTTTCATCTTCTATGGATTTGAAGAACTTCCAGTCCCCCTGGCCGAAGCATTGTTTGTTGACTCACCCCATCTCTCCTCTCACCAGTTCTCAGTTCTTCTCAATATCTCCCGCTGCTTGATTGACGACTGCCCCGTGCAATTCCGTGCCAACTTCTTGCCACCCATGCTTTCAACTCTGTTCACCAATATTGATCGCAAGATCACCACGGAATGGGAGTTCATTGAACAACGCCGAGACGGCGGTCCAGATGGAGATCTCACCACAGAGATGAAATCTGAAAGTGTCCTTCGACAGTTAACTTATTCTGCTGTGATCATGGTTGCCAGCCTATTCGATCCGCAGAGAGGCGGTAAACGCTCCCGAATCCCACCAACATCCGACAATTGTCAATCCTGGTCGCTAACTCAATTCCCACCGTTTCAAGACCCAGATAGAACTGAATCAGACCCCAGTGTGGCCCAACCAACCCCAGCACTCTCTGATTCTATCCGCCACTTCGTGCTATCCTCCCCCCAGATCTTCGAGCCCGTCATGCTTTTCTGTACCCACGCCCTTCGCATGCGTGACACACGTTGCTGCAGTATCATTACGCGCGTGATCCGTTCCATTCTGCAGGATTTCGCGCCTAGTCCTGACACTGAAGACACCCCCACCATTCGCACCATTCGCGAGTTCATCTGCTCTGATGTTCTGAAAGCCTGCATTACATCTGTTCATGAATCGTACTTCGTCGATATGCAAAAAGACTTCGCTCAGTTGATTGCCTCGATTTGGATTCTCTATGGCAACTGCAGCGAAACGCCAACCGCCATTTTCTTGAGTTTGCCCGGTATAACCGAGGAGAAGATTGCTCGAACCGAGGGTCATCTCCGCCGATGCACTTCTCCACGTCAGCAAAGGGCCTGGGTTCTTGACTTCTTAGAGTCAGTGCGAGGTGTGAGTGTTTCTGCACAGGGAATGTTCCTCGGTTCTCGTGAGGACCGTCGCAAAGCTCGCTCGGCATTGCAGGAGAGGTATATGACCAACGAAATAGACACTCAGGACCAGAGCCACCGTGTTGATATCAACGACGGTCCGGATCTTGGTGGTGTTGCTGATCTATTTGGTTAAAGTGATATCCATACACTGACCCTATGGTACTTTCTTCCTTGGATCTTTCCTTTTCTTTTTGTCTCTGCATTCTTTCCAGCTTCAAAATACCTATTCTTAGCGAGCTGTGACATATTGAAATAATGATATAGAAGAAAAAAATCCAGCATGCTTTAAACATCCTATGGTTCTCTATCAGACAGTCACCCTGAATAGTTCTATGCTAGCATCAATCAACCTCGTATTCCAGGTTCATGCTCCATGATTTGCCTTTCTTATGGCTGCCCAGAGGCGTGGGAAAATTACAACGTCAAAAGTAGAATAAAGAAATAAGACATTGCAAAAGACTGAACTAAACCTTTCAAATAGGCAAGTAATATCTACAGTTTTCCTCGAACTGTCTTCGAGATAGTTCACCCAAAATAGCCACTGCCATGCTTCTAGCTCTCCCCATAATGATCAGAAAGGCCTAGTTCAGTCCATCTACCATTGAGGCAAGGGGTCACACAATCAAGCATCCCAAAACACCAGCATCATACAGAGTCAAAAGAGAAAGCGTGAATGGGGAGGAACAAAATCGCTCATAACCACAGTGACATAGTCAAGATGTTTATTGAGTGAGGTTGGAAGGGGTATAGGCGAAAGTAGGGCGGACGAAGCTGTGAATAGTAAGATAAGTATCATTCCGGGAATCGGATGTAGAAGCCGCTAGCGCAGTAATGGGCCAGACATACCGGTCAGAGTTGTAGACCTTGATATCGGTACCGAGGAGCTCCTTCTCGCGAGCCTTGTCGGCATAGTGGCGGCGGACCTGGTCACGATCCTCCTCGGCTTGGAGGAGGGGGGTGAGGTGGTGACGGGACCACATCTTCTCACGGGCAAGCTCGCTATAAAACCCTGTCAGTCGCTGAATTTGCAGTATGTCCTTGCGCGGAATTGGATTTTGTATTGGTCTCGATTTCAATTGTGGTTGTTTCGGGACGATCGGAGTGAAGAACGGATCGGGATGGTTGACACATACCGCTGCTCACGGGCACCGTGGAAGTACTTGTAGAAACCGTAGGCCATGATGACGTGCATGCCAATCATGTAGTAGGCGGGCTTGAAGCCGCGGGCAGGGATGTTCCGCTGTAACGAGTGGTAAGTTGTCTGAGTGCTTGTGTGCTGGGCGCGCAGAGCCATTGAGGGCCCGGAATCCGAATTTAACTGCATACCTTGTACTGGACTTGAGCGTAGCCCCCCGTTGGGGGCATATCCTGAGGCATTGTGGCGGGTAGAGCTGGTGAGGGCTTGGAGGGATAGCGAGGAGCCGCTGTGACGATTGGAGAAGTTGGATCTGGACGGTCACGTGAATCGAGTCTGCACAGTAATGAGGGCTAGGTGCGATTTGATTGGTCTGTGGGCTTTGCGGTTTCCGCCCGGGCGATCTACCTACGAGCAGTTGACAGCCCACCTTCAAATTTTGTCAATCGCACCACAACACCATGGACGAAGAAGAGAGGCCTCGGAAACTTCCCAAGCTGAATAACGAGAACCAGGATAATACTGAAATACTTGGTCCCGCTATGACAGGAGCTGGCGATGTGGCCGGCAAGGATCCGGAGCCCGCAGTCGCAAACGAACCCCAAGACCTCTCCGAATTTACAGTCAACAACGCCACAGCTACGAATAATGAGTCTGCTCCTGCGGCCGATGCAGAAGGTGCTGCGCCGGTCTTGTCCAAAAACCAACTGAAGAGACAGCGCAAGGCAGAACGGTACCAACAAAAGCGCGAATTCATGAAGTCCCAAAAGAAAGACAAGCTCGCCGAGAAGAAAGAGCGTCGCCAGAAACTATTTGATGAGGCGAGGGAAAATGGAGGCGAGGAAGCCATCGAGAAGCTCCGAGAGCAATTCCGATCTAAGAAAGCCAGGAAAGGCCGATGCACAATCATACCCATCTCATTCGTGATGGACTGCGGTTATGATGAGCTGATGGAACCCCGGGAGCGGATCTCTCTCGCCGGACAGCTCACACGATCATACTCAGACAACAACCGCGCCCCCTTCCATGGACAGATCATGTTCTCATCGTTCGGCGGACTATTGAAAGAGCGATTCGACACCGTACTATGGAGCCACAAGAACTGGAAGCACATCCGCTTTTTGCAGGAAGACTATGTACACGCAGCTGGATTGACTAAGGAAATCATGTCAGGTCCGAAGGGAGGCAAGCTTGCGGGACCTTTCGAAGCACAGCCCGACGCGAAGCCCGAGGATGGCGAGGTCATCTATCTCAGCAGTGATAGTGAAAATACTCTGACCGAGCTGAAGCCTTACAGCACATACATTGTCGGAGCCCTAGTGGACAAAAACCGACACAAGGCTGTCTGCTACAAGAATGCGGTTGCGAAGGGCGTCAAGACTGCAAAATTGCCAATCGGAGAGTACATTTCGCTGGCGCACCGTCCTGTGCTGGCCACCAACCACGTTATTGAGATTATGCTTCGGTGGTTGGAATGTCGTGACTGGGGTAAAGCTTTCATGCAGGTTATTCCGACTCGGAAAGGTACCGCTTTGAAGGAGACCAAACCCGGGAACGAGGAAACCGTTGAGGATGTCACGGGTGACGCAGAGCATGGAGAAGATGCGGACGATGTGGACGAGGAGCAGATTCAAGCGGACCAGATGAAGCAACTCGAGGAGATGAACGCCTCAGATGAGGAAAGTGAAGATGACAAGGAGTGAACTCCACGAAAAGAAACAAATACCACTCGGGAGCTTATGGAACTCCCTCCCGCCCAAAGCTCATAGTAAATCTAGTCCAGTATTGACATACACAGCGGAATCAATATCAACTCCATCTGGCAGGCCTCCAGTATCTAATTTTTCTACAAAAGGACTCGAGCCAATTTCAACCTTGAACGGTGAGCCCTCTATACATATTCAAGGTTAAAGTTGGCCGAAGATACCTGAGCATCCATGAATACCTAGGTAGTCCCTATGTGTCCACCTGTCGTAATAACCTTGGAACCTTGGAAGGGCCTTGGGCCTACGGGGAATATATGAAATACCCATGGACCTGGGAACAATACCACAGAAGACCTTGGACATGGCTTCGATTGCGCTCAAGCCCTGGAGGTTTCTCTCGAAATATTCATCCTAGTGTTCCGAGGTTGTAAAGCTGCCCATATAGTCCACGGGTGCACATTTAAAACATTGGAAACCCGAGCTCGTCCTGAGGTCTTGATATATATCCACAAGCCCACCTTCCCAGTTCATTATCCTCACACAGTGATTTCAAGCCCTGGAGATTAACCTCATGAATACCAACAGAACCTTGGAGATCCCGAGCCAGTTAAAGTCTTGGAAGGAACTCGGGAGTCTGCATTTAGGCTGGGGTGGTACAAAAGAGGAGGGAAATGAATAAACAGACTGCCAAATGTGGCTTGGTGGGATCAGGAATCACATCCCTTAATGATACAATAATGACGACGTGATCAACATGTACCAGTTTCGTGGTCTAGCGGTTATGATTTTCCGTTAACAATTGCCTCATTGGCGAGTGTTCCGGAAAGGTTCTGGGTTCGATTCCCAGCGAAACTAATTTTTTTGTACCTTTTCCTTTTTTGGACAGCTATATAACCCGTTTAGGCAAGGCGTGAAAATTACATAAACAATTAGCCACAACATCTATGACGGAGGCGATTTTTCATTGTGATCGCAACCCGCGTATTTTCTACACCTTTCTCGTCTTTTTTGGGCAGAAGGTCTCTCTTTCTGTCTTCTGCTCTCGCCGAAAGCTCCATCTGCTTTCCGCCTGCTACTCGCCACCCCTTCCTTCCTTCACATTTCTCTTTTGTTTTGGCAGCTGCCCCTCGCAACCATGTTTATGCTCCGCAACGGTAAGCAACGCTCCCTGATGCCCCGCCAAACCCCTCCAACTGAGGTTATCGTGTCTGAATACTGAACTGACTTTTGTTTTTCATTCCTAAAGTGAGCAAGTTCATTTTCGGCGACGCCTCAAAAGAATCTATCATCGAGATTCCTCAGGGCGAGCTGTATCTGGTCAGGCCGCAGTCACCCAAGGGTTACTCCGAGCTTATCTTCAAGGACGCCGCAGCGACAATCCGACGCACGGGCCAGGATTTCCAGTATCAGCTCGTGATCCAGAGAGCCTACGAAGAAGGCGAGGAGGAACTGGCAGATGACGACGGTGAACAAGGCTCCGGCGACAGCATCGACAAGGACGAAAAGGTTTTCTTGCTCGACCAAACTATCCACTTCCGCTCCGAGCTTCGTGAAGGAGGAGCCAAGATCCTGGCCTGGGACGATCTGAGTGGGGACCCTGGTGATCTCTTCGAATTCATCTGTGATTCCTCAGTTCCATCGGACAAGGTAGCCACATTCGAACTTGCCGCTCTCCAGTGCCAATACGAGCGCAAGCACCGCCGCAGCGCCCAAAAGGCCACAGAATCAGAACTGGAAGAGTTCTCTTACAACGCAGAAGAGCCTCTTCCCTCCGCGAGCCCTATCTCGTCACCAATTACCAAATCACGCGGAAACTCCGTATCGGCAGAAGAATCCACCGCTGCCATGGCGCGAGACGTCGAATATGCCCAAGCCAAAGGGCAGATCAAGACCGCCAGTGCCGAAGAAGAGCCCACGGCTGCCCCGCCCTCTGCTGCCCAACCCGAAGCAAAGGAGATTCTAACAAAGGAGCGTGCAGAGCTGCATCTCTTTGACTTCTCTACTGGAACTTTCGTGCAACAGGAGTCAGATGTTATTGCCACTGTCTCAGAAGTTGGAAACTGGCAGTACTGGCTCCAGATCTCAGGCGAGGAGAAGGAATGGTTAGGACAGGCTGTTGTTGCTGATATCAACCCTGTATTCAACTTTGAATACCTTTCCTTCATCTTCAACGCGTTCGGCGAGGATGGCTCAGCTTACTCATGGCTTCTGCGTTTCAGAGATCAACCCTCGGAAGAACGTTTCCAGGAGGGTCTGATGCAGGCTCTATGGGAACAGCTGAATGAAATGAAGTGGACCAAGGTCAAGGATAATGACCGAGACTACGTTCTAGATGCTTTCCAAGACCTTACAATGGAGGATGCCGAGGATCAACCAGAGGAAGAAGCCGAGGAGGAAGAGGAAGAACCCGAAGAGGAGTATGACGGCGACCAGGATGACGCACAGCGGAGTGAACACTACGACAGTGATGAGGAGGAGGAAGATGTTGTGACCCGTGACGCCGATGGAAATGTCAACTCCCAGCTGGCAGTTGGCTACAAGCACGATCGCTCGTTTGTGGTCCGTGGTTCCAAGATTGGTGTCTTCAAGCATACCCCACACAACAACCTCGAGTTCTCTACCACCATTTCCAAGGTTCAGACTCCCAAGGGTAACCTTTTCAGCCCCAAGAAAGTTATGCTTCACGCCGAGGATCAGAACATGATTCTCCAAAACGGCGATGACCCCAACTCTTTGTTCAAGATGGATCTTGAGTACGGCAAGATTGTCGATGAATGGAAGGTTCATGACGATATCGGAGTTGAGACATTTGCACCCGAAAACGTAAGTTCGCATGCAGCTCTTATATTACACCCAAGTGTACTAACTATAGTTTCAGAAATTCGCGCAAATGACCTCTGCCCAGCCGTTCGTTGGTGTCTCCAAGAACGCCCTTTACCGCATCGATCCTCGTCTTTCGGGTAACAAGCTCGTCGACTCCGACTTGAAGCAGTACGCTAGCAAGAACGACTTCTCTGCAATGGCTACCACCGAGAAGGGCTATCTCGCCGTCGCCTCGAACAAGGGTGACATTCGTATGTTCGACCGTCTGGGTATCAATGCCAAGACTCACATTCCTGCCCTCGGTGAACCTATCATCGGTCTTGATGTGTCTGCCGATGGACGCTGGGTATTGGCAACCTGCCGTACCTACTTGCTGCTCATCGACTCCTTGCAGAAAGAAGGCAAGAACGAAGGCAAGCTCGGATTTGAGCGTGCTTTCGCCAAGGACTCGAAGCCCCAGCCTCGCCGTCTTGGTCTGCAACCCGCCCACGTTGCGCAATTCCAGCACGAGACCAAGCAGCCTCTTTCATTCACACAGGCTCGCTTCAACACCGGTGTTGACTCCACTGAGACCAGTATCGTCACCGCTACCGGTCCCTTCATCATCACCTGGAGCATGAAGAAGGTTCTGGCGAACCGCAAAGACCCTTACACCATCAAGCGCTACGAACAAAACGTTATGGCTGACAACTTCCGCTTTGGATCCGACAAGAACGTTATTGTTGCGCTGCCCAATGAAGTCAACATGGTCGCAAAGCGTACTTTCCAGAAGCCCACCCGTGAAAGCATTGCTGGTCCCGCTACCCCCAACCGTGCACGGAGCGGATGGAGCAGCCGCCTCGGCAGGGATGACGTTGTCAACTCGCCTTACTAGTTGGCCTTTCGCTTTCGAACCCCTCCTGTTACGCATTTCACTGACCCCTTTCCCTTTGATATTTTGTACCATTACCCATACCCCCTGATGTTTTGTGCTTTCGGAAATACTATTTCTTTGTGATTTTTTGGTGCTCTTGATTCAACCTTGCGGCTCAACATTGGTGCGCCTTTGGCTCAGCAGACCTTGTGCATTCTCCCTGACACTAATTGATTCTCTCTTCGGTCAGTTGGATTTCGCCTTTGTGGTCACGCCATCTTCACACTGAATTTTGGCGGCCAAAGCAGCTAGCGAGATTCCATTTAGATAGCCAGCTAGGTAGTTCAAATTAATCACAATTGAATATTCTCAATTTCACGAATTGCTAGAAAAGGAGCAAGGTGGCATACACTGATATTAGGGTACAAAACAAGCAAACGCCTAGCAAGAATCATTCCTCGTCAGTCCAATCTTCCATCTCATAATCCACGTCAACCTCCCCACCAAACATGCCACCATGGACATCTCTCATATGCCCGTAGATTCGATCATCATCAAAGGCATCTCCACAGAAATAACACCAGTCAACACCACAGTCCACCACAGAGCACTTCATATGTCCACAACCAGAGATCTTCATAGTCATAGTCTCACACTTAGGGCAAGGCTTGACACTCTCCAACAAACGTTTCTCAGCATCCAAGCCAGCAATCTCCCGCCTTAGTTCCTCCTCTTCCATCCCCACCTCAACAACCCTAGCTTTTTCAATACACTCACCACACCGCCACCCCCGTAGCTCAGGAGGAGCACCACGCGCACAGCTCCTCTCCATAAACTCCTTGGCAGTATGGCACCCCTGACACCAAGCATAGACTAGCGTCCCCTTATCACGGACCGCATTAGCCAGATCTCTGACCGCATGAACTCCCATCCCATGCTTCGCCAACGTCTGAGGAGCAGGATACCGACGACAGAATGGACAGCCCAAAGCAGCGGTGTTGATAACACTACCAGCCCGATTAAGCCCATACCAGCCTGACAAGCATTCCTTACAGACGCGCTGGAAACATCCTTGACGACCACAGGCCTTTGCAAGTGTTCCGTGCTGGAAACGCGAGAAACACAGTGAACATTTCGTACGGCTGGTCTTTCGATTCGAGACAAGGCTTTTGAGCTTGGCGATTATATCACTTGCGTTGCGAATCTGTTTTCCTTTGAAGAATAGCCGTGCGTCAGAAACTGGGAAGAGCTCGATCTCATTGAGGAAGGGCTCGGTGCCAATATTTGAAATCTTTTCGAATATCGATGTGTCGGAGAATGTATGACCTTTGACTAGCCACAAGTAGTCATTTTGGGTACTGATGGCCTTGGCCGTCAACTCTAGCTTTTCATGTGGTCCACAGCCTGATGTACAAGGTGGACATATGAATTCTGCTTCGATGAGTGAAGAGTCTCTGTACTCTTTGGGCCAGATCATGCGGTTCATACACCGAGTACACTCGATGATGGGGGCAGGCTCTTCTGTTTGGCTTCGACAGTAATGGCATTTGGGACGGGCTCCCAATGCGTCGGCGTTATAGACGATGTATTGGGCTCTGCAGGATTGAGAGAAACATTCGACCCAGGTTGTGTTGGCGGAGATATCGGTAACAATGCCTTGGTTCAGATATTTCTTTTTGGTCTCTTCATTTTCGTAATCTGACTCTGAAACACGGCATAGACCGCATTTTCTGTTGGGACCCATGATAGTAACTGATCGGGGATATTGGCAACCTTGACAAGTTACCAAAGGTCCAATTGGCGCACTTGTCTTTTGTGGAGTCCATGGAACTAGTACTTCGAGTGGCGTTTCGAGGTTCCACTCAAGGATCTTGAAAGACACAAGGCTTTTGAATAACGTTCTGTCAGAAGCATGAAGAAGTCGAGGCTGGTCTTTGCCTTGGCTCTGGATTCGCTTCCTGTGTGCTTCGTCGGCGTCAAGGAGAAGAGAAAGACATCCAATGCTCCAGTTTTCAGGAGTTGAGAGGTCATTCCACTTGTCTTTGAATGCAAGCATTTCTTGCTCTGCGGCTTTCTCCAGTGGTATGATTCCAACCTGTAAACAAAGTGCAGCAACAAGAGCACCGGGACGAGGACCCAGCTTTGTTCCTGGCTTGATGACGTGGAAAAGTATTCTCCAGAATTGCTTTTGGTATTTTTCTGATGTCAGAGCCAAGGGTATTTTAGTAACGCTCTCAGTGGTAGTCCCAGAGATATGCGTTGGCATATCGCTTTCTTTCTCCACAATAGTCAGTCTGGACAAGATGGTACCCAGTTTTCGAAGAATGGAACGGTCACAAGATCGGCCGATTTCGAGAAGGTCGGCGCGAGTCATGTCAGAAAGAGGCTGGGTGGATTGTGCTGACTCGTTTGGTGTACCGGAGAAGTCCAGAGTGGGATCAAGAAAGACGCAAGGATACTTCTCTGAATCCGGGACCCTGTTGATGGTAGCCACGATATCTCCGGCAAAGTCGTATGACTCTTCGAGCCAGGTTTTCATGTTTGCACGCTGATCTGGCTCCTTCATCTTTTCCAAGCGGTGGTTGAATGCTTGTAGGATCTCGTCGCGGCGAGGGTAGGCTCGGTCACTGCAAACTGCGCGCCACAGAGTTCCCAATACAGGGTTGAGTGTCAATGCTTCGATGTGGTCCTCGATGATCTTCTCTAGATATTTGACGACAAAGACCTTGTAGTCGGGGTCTATCATGTAGCGTTTTGCAAAGTCTTGCACAGGCGTAGCCTTCTTGGCAACATGCTCGTCGATGATGTTGGGAAGGAGCATGGTTTTGGTGATGTTCTCCTTGCAAGGCGAATTCTTTTTGAGATCATTCGAGAAGAATGTCATTGTATGTTGATCTTTCTCATTCTGAATGCTGTCAATGCCTTCCAATGAGGCATATCGAGACAATTCTCCGGGAAGAACTTCGGGCTCATTCTCACTGGCAGAAGTAAGGGTCTTTGTAACTCCCATCCAAGCCAAGAGAAGATGAACAGTCAACTTGGCGATATTACCGGGAAGGTAGCTCTTGATATTGAAACAACTTCCATTGGTTCTCGTGGCCAAGTAGTTATACCAGGCAGCATCACCGGGGGCCATATAGGGATCAAGAATCGCGAAGAACTGCGCCTTCTTGGCTCCGTGTCGGAACGTATCAGTCACCGAAATCCAATCAAGAAAGGAGGGCCCAAGACTTGAATATGACGTTGGATTAGACAAGGCTTCCTTTTCTGAAGCTGCGTTCTTCATTCCCAAAAGGTTATCGGCGGGATGAGGAGGTGCATCCGTGTAGAGAAAGATAAGGGTTTCTGCGTCCTCGCGCATGAGCTCGTAGGCTCTTGCAAGAGCTGTCTTGACGGCTTCCGGGTAGTCTCCCCCTCCGGCTGCCATGAGCTTTTTGGCAAACTCGATCAGATCAGGTTGTTGTGATAGGGCGACTTCGTCTTGGTCCTGATCCTGGTCCAGCCAGCCTGACCACTTGAGAAGAGGTTTGTCGCAATAATCGCGGTATGCGAGGACTCCGATACGAGAAAAACAGCCCGTCAGAGTGGAGATGGAGATAACTTGAGGAAGAGAGGTGATCAGTGAGCGTAGATAGCAGCTCATAGACCCTGTTGCATCGGCGATGATGAGGAAATCTTGCTTTTTCATCGTATGATCCATCGTGGAATCTGTGCTATGATCCATGATGAGGTATTGGAAAGGAAAAAGAAGAAAGTATTCTCTCGTGGAACTTATGGGACTCAAAGACTGTATCTAAGCTGGGGCGCAGAGCCGCACAGCGTCAACATTTGGTGACTCAAACAATGTTAAGCGCCGCCCACATCGGCGTCAAAAAACGGGGAGATCTGACTCACTAAATGCACTAACCTTGGAACTAGAAACCAGAGGCCTTAGCACAGCGCCTAAATGGCGCGTTTTTGTTTTACTTGTATCGCGGGGTCCCAAAAGGGTTCCCGATACTTCATTCCTGTTACGTAGTCTTGGACATTTCGATACGTACGATTGATTGGATTTGGCCCTTATATAAAACCTTGGAGTTCTGAAACAGTGTCTGGCTGAATCCATCTATGCTGTTCTTGTTACTGGATAATGGGCTCCTAGTCGAGCACTCAAGTCCACAGTTTCAAGGCTTCCTATTTCAAGGCACCTAACATCACCCCGCTCGACAAAAGGTGCGCCGTCCTCGGCCGCTGAAAATGTAAGGAACTGTAGGCATGTGCTAATAATATTGGAAAGATTTGATGTAATGAAATGGTAAAGACAGAGTGGCAGATGGCATAGACAGTAAGCAGTCGACGCTAGGATGGCGGCGGCGCCATAACCCACTGCTGTAGCAGGTTACGGTAAATATCCGCCTCAAGGCTGTCGTCGGGAAGCGCTCTGATCCGTTGCTCGAGATGCCTGACATTGGAGTAATAGGGAAGGAAATCCACCACCGCGTTGCTGCACTGGTTGTCGTGTCTGACCAGAGCGACCACATGTGCTATCCAGTCCTCTTCGTCTGTGCGGAGCCAACGCATGCCCATTTAGCCGCCGAGGCGTGGCTAAACATGCGGCCCACACAGCCCGAAGTCCAAGCCGCCCCCGCAAACGAGCTGGGCTTTGAGCCCCCTGAAAATACACAAATCATTAAAAGTCTCAAATTCGTTCTTCATTTTGTTTCGGTGGGCTTCATGACATTCAAATCCATTGCAATTTGCCACAAGTAGACTCAATAAAATAGATTGGTAGGAGGTAAATGGGGTTTGCAAGTGTTAGGCATTCAATCATGTACTCCTTGGCTGCGCCTCGAAAGTCCGCAATAGGGTTTCAAGTATGAGTAAGATAAAATGCGTGTAAAATGAGACGCAGTTCGCGGAGAAGGATGACATCCGTGTAAAACGAGTCAACAGTTGTGGCCAAAGAGGGTGGCGTTCACATCAATAAGCTCGGCCAATCCTCGACGGGCTGCATGTCAGCTTTGGAAGGCATTTCCCTCTTTTGAGGCCGGAGTTATGGTCGAGTACGAGATAAAAATCAGGGTGAGCCAGTTGTGAGGGTCCTTCACGTCTCTCGAAAGAGTGTCGTGATTTCAGCCAACGAGTTCCGTCGCCAGAGCGAGTAATTTCCCTCTTCAGCTCATTTCGGACGTTCACGACGAACTCGTTGCTGCAACGAAGCGACCTTTCACACACCTCATTATCTCAAGAATGACGGCAGCCACTGTGGATTTTGCGGTAGAAATTGCTATGATCCTGATTAATTCAATGTGATCGCAACCGAATCTCAAGGAAACCACCCAGTATATTACCAGTGATTTGGTTCTGCTTCAATGCAAGCGATGTCATGAACAACATTCTGTGTAAATAGCCGTGCAGCCGAGCAAATCTAAAGTGTGAGACAGCTTTCAGCGTTCAAGAAAGCTGTGATGATGTCGACATGGTGCAGCGGTAACCTATTTCTATTTTGGGCAGCGATCGCGATGATCGTTTTGTTGGACATTGGTTTCGAAATAACCGCATAGGGTTCGTGGGAATCTGCGCCTTTGATCTCGTAAAATCCTCTTCAGAATAGGTGTTCTTTGTATCTTGGAATGTGAGACGGCTAGAACCAGCACGGAAACATGGCAATGGCTTGCTTTGCTTCTAGGCAGATTGAGTGCTCTTTATGAGGGGCAAAGGCAGCCCCGATAAAAGAGGTGTTTGAGTTGAGCAGGCCAAAATAGGAAACAGAGGCCATTCCTGCAGAGGGTAGAACCGGAGGATTCAGGCCGAGCAAATCTGCAACCGCGTTGGGCAAGTCATGCGGATGTGTGACAGGCTGAAGGGGGAAACTTGGACCCCATGTATTTGTTCTTCTCCCCTCTCCCCCTTCTTCTTCTCTCACCAGATTATAATTGGCATATCCAAGAATTCGATTTCTTCATTGAATTCTCCGCAGATCATATCTGGGGCCGATAATGTCACCGAGGCTTATATCGATCCGACAAAGAATTCTACTATTGAGGTCAGCTGCAAGCTCCCCAGTAAGCCCGGGCGGAATAAGCTTGGTTGCCGTGAACCCAGAGATGGAAGCCCCTCCGGGTATTGGCTGTGGCTTAAAAAGCCTCTTGCGTCGTCGGTAAGACACCGTCCGTCGTGGACATTGGCCCCCCCACAGGGCCTGGAGGTACATTATGGCTTTCTGATATGAGAAACCTTTCGCAGCTTGACGACAGTTCCGATTTTAACGCTGCCCAGCGTTGCCCCTAGACACACGTTCTTCTGGGCTGGCACTAATGAAATGTGATATCCCGCCTCTTATGGAATCTGGTAGACGATTTTGGGGTGGCTTCTTCTCATGGGAGATAGCCAAAGGCACTATTCTCTGTTGTCGTCTATTCGCGCGGCCCCGATGCCAAAGTCTGTACACCCATCAACTTTTGCCTGTCGTGTTGATCTGAGAACAATGCCTTTTCCGGGTGTTCAACTACACAAACAGTCAATTTGAGGCTTTTGGATGTGGAGAGCACTGTGAATTCCTCGATTGTGAATTTCACTATTGTCACGCCGATTTGTGCGAGAATCAATAGGACAAGCCATTTGAAAAGGGTCCAGGTGCGTCCTGCAAACCAACTTCCCGCGACACTGGGACTTTCAAGTCGGCTTATCGTTTCTCAGCTCAGCGTCTGGTGACCTGGCGTTCCCGCTCTCGAACGACGCAATGACCGCATGTGACCCATGAAGTGTCTAGAGGCCTTGAATATCGTCTCAGCAAATTCCGATCTTGTTTGGTAGTGCGTTCTGAAATACTTACTCCTGGTCTGATCGTGATGGAGACACTGATGTCTTGCTCCATGTCGATATCTGGTCCCAATTAGGGCCGAATCGTAGATGCAACGTAAGACCCGCTGTGCAAAGGCAGGACCACCTCGTGCTCGACCGCTAAAGCGCGAGCTGTATTGAAGGGGTATCCAGAACTGAATTGGCGATCATATCGAGTGGCAGACGCGGAGACCTCCTGCGGGAATCCGGTCGTCCGAACCGCTTGGTACTCTCGCTCATTGATGTGAGTCGCTGGTCGACTCGATGAAATTTCACCAAGTTGAAACGCTTGGGCGAAGCAATGCGTACTCGGCATCATTTCTGGTGAAAAGTGTTCATGTCATTGATGATGTGGGCATGCTTGTGATAGCGTGTGACGAAGTCCGTATCAGTCCATGCTTCGTGAAGCAAGTCGCGGCTTTCCTGGAGTGGGGTGCGGAAGCAGGCAAGACTTTCGTCGAGACAGGCCACGCAGGCGCAGTGCCAGCGGTCACCACGGTGACAGGTGGGGGTTCCCCAAGCATGGTCAGCGCAAAGGTCCATCACATCATAATCAATGAGGATGGCACAGGTGATACCATACTCGCCATTGCAAATTTGAAGACTAGAGAGCTAGACGCTACGCATCTAGTTTGCGAATTATTGCAATTCTGCAAAGTGCCTCATATTCTCTCTCATTGATTATGGGAGTGATCGGGTTGTTCTTTGGTAATAGAGGCCCTTTTTCTCTCTGAACGCTGCGTTCACCCTGGGTCAGACCGCACTTATGAGTGACGTGAGCGGCCCTCCTTGATGTTAGGGTATTGGCCCCTTCAAACGTGCATGGCGATAATGAGGAGTTTCTGGAAGCGGACGACATGGCCAAGGCGTCTGGCAAGGGCCGTCATGTAAAAGCCGGTCGTTCGGTAGCTGAAGACGGGAGTTGTGATATTGGGTTCGCGCACCAGGCACTGGAATATCCATCAGCAGCGGGGCGACGGGCCACGAAGTGTACGGGCCCTGAAAAAAGCACCTCATTCTGCTGCGAGGCAGGTAATTCATCAGGCTTGCCTGCAGTATGGCCGGCACAGCGCCCCTAAAGTGCACGGGGTGTTGCTGAAGAGGTATATCTGGACGTCTCGCACCAGCGTTTGCGCATCAGGCGTTGGAACACCAAGATCACCGGGCAATGGGCCACGCAGTGTGATCTCTCTGAAGAAAGCACCTAATTTTGTGGCGAGCTAGGTAAACAAGCAGGCTCGCCTGTAGGATGGCCGGCTCAGCGCTCCCTAGAGAGCAAGTGGTGTTGCTGAGGATGTAAACCTGGGCGCCTCGTGCCAGGGTTCGCGCACCGGGCACTGGAATATCCAGGCGCATCGGGCGACGGGCCGTGTAATGTATGGGCCCTGAAAAAAGCAACTCACTGGGCAGAGAGCTGGGTAATCGCATAGGCTCGTCCACAGGAACGCCTGCACTGCGCTCTCGAGAGAGCAGGGGTTGTGGCCAAGGAGGTATACCTGGGCGTGGCGTTGCGCATCAGAGTAATCGCGAACGCCTGGTATTGTATCACGGCGACGGAGATACAACCATATATCTTTGGTTCATGTTCCGGAAATCGAGCTCCTATAGCCCCTTAGAGCTGTATAAAAAAGAGCTCCCATAGCTCCTTAGAGCTGTATAGGAAGATATAAAGGCCACGGATGCCCCGTGGGTGGATGTGAAAGAAAATGGAGATGAGTGTTGAGGAAGGAAGAATCGGAGATGAAGATGGAGCTTCTTATGTAGTCCCGGTGGCAGGGCTGACATGACTTCAGGGCGTAGATAGATGAAGAGACGGACGTTGAAGCCATGAGAAATTTCCGGGTTGAGATGGTTATCAGTTGAAGGTAAGTGAGGAACCTCGGGGGATTTAAACTTAGGTGATATCACATACTTCAAAATGTGACTTTCGAGCTTGGACTGGATAGTCGAAGGTCATGGATGCACATTTCGATCTAAAGCCGATAAGAGCTAGCCTGGATGGCATCAATATCACAAGTAACCATTCTTATTATCGAGGAGTACACTTTCTTCAATACACAACTTCAGAAGCACCGCTCTTTTACTCTAGCGCAGCAGCTTGATAGACCGTGGAGCAAACCCCACAGGATCGGCTCACAACAATAACCAAAGGCTACTTGTAAAAGAGAATAGTGTCAAAGGTGTGGTGTGGAATGATATAGTAGTAGGCAGCAGGTGAAAAATCAAATTCATCGAAGAGCTAATACAGGATGGCCTGAAATGAAGAAATCTGCATCCGCCAAACGACACGCTAAACACCACCTGAGCACTGCAACTTGGATATATTGAGACTCACTTTGCCACTATAACCAGCAGACGTACTTAAATGAAGAGCCCGGATGCCCCTGAACCCCCTTGGAAAAAACCCCATGGCCTTTTAGCTCGATTCTATGATTCTGCAGATTTATCTCATAGAGCTGGGCAGTAAAGATACACCCATCCCCATCCCATCTTAGCAGGTTGACGACGAAGCATATTTCCATACCATGAAGTGCTGGGCCAATAATCTTAGAGCACGAACGTTGTTATCTCTTTCGCTTGAGTACTGAGTTGGCATAAAAGTAATGCTCCGGTTCAAGTCGCACATGGACAAAGATCGCTCGCTTTTCCATCAGCGTATGAGCAAGCACTCGGAAAAAGGTGATTGGAAGCTCTGTAGAGGCATCAAGATTTCCAATCCAGAAGCCCTTTCCTGCACGGACATATTCATCGATTACCAGTTGGCAGATTGGAGCGGAAATCGGGGCGTTGTTAAACAGCCACGCTGTCGCCGTCATTTCAGGCACTCGGCGGAACCCAGATGCGTCTCTTGTCCGCCGTTTCGATGATAACCGTAAGCAGAAGATTCACTCTTGCTCATCATCGAATTGTTTTTCCCACACCAAAGTAGCGAACTCGACGAGTTCTTGTGTTTTAAACACTATGTCGTGCTCTATGTTGCCCTCTGCGGGTCGTCGAAATAGATGGGAAAAGGGGATCACGAGTTGAGGTGGAGGGTGGTCGGGATCAAAGCGAACTTTGCCCTTGGATTTTGTCAAGGTTAGGCTTGGCTTTTGGATTGGTCTGGCGTGCTCGGAGTTCCACACCCATTGTTCAATTGTAATCTGTGGCTTTTTGGCATGAACTTTGATTCCGATGGCCATTGTAGCCTGCCCTCGGGCTGGATCTACCCAATAATGGCAGTCTCGGCGAAGCTTTGCGGACATCTCTGAGGATGCGACTTCTAAGATTACCGTGGGTCTCTTAGGAGCTCCCCGGGGTGGTCTTCGGGGACTCCACCCCTCGTCTGGTTCTTTGGTTGTGCCATCTCCGTCAGTTAGTGTGGTGTTTCCCCAGGCGGAAATTGCCCTATCGAGGTTCATTGGTTGAAGGGCCAACCTGAGCATGTAGTTGAATTCCTCTGCGGCTTGGTTGTGGACGTGGTGAGGCATTTTGATGACAAGAATTCTTGTTCTGGGGCTGTATGATAATCTGTAGTGAACAGAACGATCTGCTGCCAAGTCAAAGTCGTGCGTGAAATCCGAAGGCTCGACGATGAAAATAATGTGATCGCTTTGGGTGCCTTCCATATCTAGATCATCTTTCCGCTCCTCGTAACCTCCATTGGTCCATAGTCTTGTGTTTTGTGCATCAGGGAAAGAGCAATGAAGACGATCACGCTCAAGCAAAATGACCCGGTGAAGTTCTTCCATACCACAATATTGATAAACTTTAACCGAAGGGGGCAGCTCTTCAATACGCCGTGGGTCATGCTGGTTGGCATTGTCATAAAGATCTTCCATCTTTGTCTTAACCATAGGGAGATATGCAGAAGGAAGAGAAAGGGAAAAAGTAAGGTAGATGCATAAACAACAAAGGAACAAGCCGAGTGTCCCGAAGCCTCATGCAGGTGGAGGTGATAGCACATGACTGCATTATGACGAACTACACAATTGCGACAACGGCTTTGGATCGGATTTATTTTGACCATTAAAAAGGGGCATAGCGTGCAATGAAGACATTGTGTGTGAGAGTGAATGCTGATGTGTCCTGAGTCACAGCGAGAGGGAAGTAGAAGAAAGGAGGGGGGTGAAGGAAAACATGAGTGGGAGAGACATGAAAGAAGAAGAAGCTGAGATGTGGAGCGAAATCGGTGATATGGGTATGGGGTTTCAGCCAGTATGGGTTCCTAATTTCACTTGACTCTCTCCGTGGTTATTCAAGGGCAGCTTTCAATTCCCAACACAAAAAAATGGAGGCTATTTTGCAGAGTGTGCTGATCATGAGCCTCAAAGCCTAGGTGGCAGCCCTTGAACGGGTGTGACTTGGGATGTCTCACAGATCGGACAGTAACATTATACGATCACTCTTTCTTAACAAGCCTAAAGCCACAAATTTTGCTGAATGTGTAATGATTCAATATGACTCTCAAACATCCCCAATCAAGTTCTTCAATTGGTTGGTGGCAAAGATGTATGATTGATCGATCTAGTATGCTACAGCTGCAATGAATACATTCCAATAAATATTTGGCAACGAAGACGATATGTGTGTAAAATATTCAATGTCCCCGATCAAATTGGAACATATAGTCGGCCCCCAAGACAAATCTTGTGATATGGAGGTATGGTTTACCTCGAGCTCAGTGATTGGTGATATAATTGCATCCTCGGAATTTGAGAGCAAGTTACCGTCCTAGAAATCCAGAAAACATGTTGACAAAGCCCAAGCTCGTTGCCATTGATACGTGGAGCAAAAAAAAAAAAAAAAAAAAAAAAAAAAACAAGGAGTAGACAAAGAAAGGACACACAGGAGGTAAAGGATTGCCCAGGTGTGCTATCAAACAGCTACTCCACGTGAGATAACTTCATTTATGATGGCTTTTGGAAGGGTGTCATATTGAGTATTATACCACAGCCTATATAATGAGTTAGATTTTATTGACTCTAAACTCCATGAATGCAACTTGGATGTAGGATATGATTGTTTCAACCTTCCACGAAATAGAAGATTTTATACTTCAAACTACTCGTCACAGCTACCACCATCTCCACTCCACCTCATTAAATTATCGAAAAAGGCAACATCGACTCCCTGAAGTATCCAATCGTCAATGCCATCTGTGGGTAGATGATCACCACCTCCCATCATTGAGAACCCATCCGTGAAATTCGAACACTGAGATATAGAAGGCGTTGCGACTTGACCATAAAGATCATTGGCGAGCTGAGTGGAAGATTCTGAATGTGAAAAATCATCCAAGCCACCAGAGTTGGTGACCGCAGGGTGCGAAGTTGCATCGAGGTGATTGGAGCTGCGAGCCTGATCACCCGCGTCATCCACAGTGGAATTAGGTCCGGCCTGATCAAGATCTTTGGAGCTGATCCGAGAGTTGGAAAATTTGGAGATAACGCCGTTGCTTGTGACCTGAATGGCACCCAAATGTGGGACTTGAAGATGGATGGGATCGGCTTCAACCTTTTGGAGCTCTGATGCTGCGTGGCCGGGTGGGTTTTTCGAGAAGGAGCTATTCTTATCCATTGCCATATCTTCGATCTTCATCAAGCGATTTAACAAATCTGAGGATTCTGTTCTCAAAATGTCGTCATCTATTCGACTGGCTTGCTCCATGCTCTCTTGGATTTGCTCAACCAGCGCACGGTCACCCGGTCGTTGATGGGCCAGCAAATTGTCTGGGGTCATCGTGGGCTGCCCTATCAACAAGTCACGGGTAACTGCGCTGCGCCGATGTTCCTCAAGATGAGCAATAAGTAAAGTCATACCTGCCATCAAACCGAAGAAATCGTATGTCCGGCAGGAGAACGCAAATTGGTTGAAGTTGCGGAATGCGAGGAATCGAACGAGCACTTCACGAGCTGCATTCACACAAGCAATGCGTGAATAGTAAAAGTTCGGATCTGTTGACGAGTTGACCATGTAAGGCAAATGCAGCTGTACCAGCAGGTTGTAATGATACAGTTGATGAAAGAGTCGTCTCATTTCCCAAAAAAGAGCATCTGGTTGATCTCGAACGATAGCCAAATCCGCGGCGAGCCACCATCTGCATGGCAACTCCGCCGCTGCTTTTTGCAGGTCTCTATCTATCTCCCGAGTCAAGGAGTAGTTGTGGAAAGATTGATTGGAACTGTTGCGCTCGAGAATGCGCGAGGCGATAACACAATGTCTTCGCTCAAGACGTCCCATCGGTATGTCACTCTCGAAGTGCTCTCTCGAGGCCATGCTGCGGTCAAGTGTTGCCTGAGGAAGGCCCAGCATCATGCATATGTGGCGTTCGAGCGATACGCATCGGAACCATAAGAATTGTGGGTGAACCTTAGTTTTCGAATCGACAAATTTGCACTTGGTGTGATCGCCGGGTCGATGGAAGTTCATGAGTTGCGCAATAGTGATCGCTCGACGTACTGTGATCAAAGCTTTTCTCAGATTGCCGCCGTTCACCTGAAACCAGCTCTGGATCATCATGCATTCAACTCCTTCGACACAAGTGACTAGGTCATCGTTGGTAATCACAAGGCTGCAAGCACTTTTTGTTAGTCGATCTGTGATCTGGTGGGGCAACTCCGAGAGTTCGTATAACCTCGGATGCGAGGCTGGGTGCAGGTGCTGCAGGAGATTTGCGATATAGAGCATATATCTCGCTATCAGGGTAGGGTGCTTGGTTGACTCAGGTCGTTCAAAAAGAACTTGGGGGGACTTAGACCCATCGCGATCGAGTTCACCGTAAGAAGTGACGTTCATTTGATAGAAGAGAGTGGAGATGCTGCCACATGATTCAATGATCCGGGCAGCATCCTCGCTGGAAGGTAGGAGTTGATATAGATTGTGAGACAACTCTGTGAGTCTCGATGTCGGCTTTGGTAAGTAACGGGTTTGTTTTGAGTTGCCTTGGAGGATTTCAAATCCAGCTGTTTCCTTCTCCTGGAAGTGGAAGCGAGTTAGCAATTTGCGCGGATGCCCATTCTCTATATCGGAGTACTCACTACTGGGGCTATGGATACAGGGGAGAGATAAGAAGTAAGGAGTGGAGCTGGACGGGGTGTTTGGACATTGCGAGTCAACGTTCTCCCAGGTTGTGCAGAAGTCTCCGGATCATTGCCACGCTCCCTGCACAGCCGATCAACTGAAGCTTCCTCTCTCGTCACTTGATCTCCCACTTGAAAGCTGTGATCCAAAGGTTCTGAGGTATCTTCTGGAAATTCTTGACCGACACATTTTGTACCACGGCGATGGCATTTGATGCAGATGTCCGTGGATGAGCCGAAGGTGCACTTTTCCTTTCGCCGTCGGCATTCCCAGCAGCTTCGAGTCCCTTTTCGGACCTTTCGGCGCTTTGATGGGGGAGTCTCGGACAAATAAACACTAGTAGCCATTTTCTGAGCGTGAGAAACTTGAGAAACCGTTGCGGACATGCGTGAGAGTAAGCCATATGCTTTCGACCGGTGGTCCGGTCCACCGGTCCACCGAAGTGTGGATCCCGGACGAGCTGATGTTCACCTTCCAATCATATCACACCTGGGACTATAAACCGGCCGGACCAAACAACCAGGCCCGGACGAAGAAAGACCATCACTCACATCTCAGCTGAGTCTGTGGTACTACATATAAGAACATTCTGTCTTTAAATATTTTACTATTCACATAATCACTTACTGTACAACAGTACCTTCGATCGAAAGCTATGTCTAGTCCCTTCGGCAACCCTCCAAACAAGATCTCAGCCAAGCTTGAGCCTTACAGGCTAAGTGTGCCAGAGGACGAGCTGCGCCGGTTCACAGAGCTTCTGAGACTCTCCGAAATTGGACCAGAAACATGGTGGAATACTCAGAATGATCCTCAATTTGGAGTGTCACGCGAATGGTTGATTAAGGCGAAAGAAACCTGGCTGCACCATTTCGACTGGCGAGAGCATGAAAGCCTCTTAAATGAATTCCCAAACTTTAAGATTATTGTCGAAGACCCCGAAGCTGGATCAGTCGGCATCCACTTTGCTGCCTTGTTTTCCGCCAAAGAAGACGCCGTCCCAGTTGTCTTTCTCCATGGCTTTCCAGCATCATTCATGGAATTCATACCAATGATGCAACTACTTGTGAAGAACTATAGCCCTGAGACCCTCCCATATCATATCATCGTGCCCAGTCTTCCTGACTACGGACTATCCGGCGGGTCCACTCGAAACACCGAAATGAGTGTAGTGGCAGCAGCACGAATCATGAACCAACTGATGGTGGACCTTGGATTTGGTAAAGGATACATTGCACAGGGAGGTGATCTTGGTAGTATGATTGCTCGCATCATGTCAGTCAATCATGCGGAATGCAAAGCATTTCACGGTACGACAAATACTTTTTGCAGAGATGATGTGACGCTAACTGATTGGAAGTCAACCTTCTTGTACTAAATCCAGGTGAGACACCTCCTTCAGCTCAGTTGAGTCCCGAAGAATCAAATATCTTGCAGAGGTCCGAAGCTTGGCAAAAGACTGGCTTGGGCTATGCATTTGTACATGGAACACGGCCATCTACGGTTGGACTAGCCATATCTTCGAGTCCACTTGCATTATTGGCCTGGTGAGACACTCCAAAGAGGCAAAATACATCTCCCACTGTAGCTGACAGTCAATCAGGATTGGAGAGAAGCTCCTTGAGTGGGTTGACCAGCAAGAGCCATTGCCCCTCGATACCATCCTAGCCATGATCACCTTTTACTGGTATACGCGCACATTTCCTCGCAGCCTTTACCATGCGGAAATTGTCAAAAATCTTCTTCAAGGTGGCACATATCCGATATCGAAGGAAAAGCCTCTTGGGTATTCGCTATTTTCTCAAGATCTCGCAATATTACCAAAAGCATGGGCTGAAGACTTGTATCCAAATCTCGTTTTCTTCAAGGCCCACCAGGCTGTGAGTACATACCCGCTTCGAGGATTAGCTGAAGTCGCATTGCTAATGACTTGCAGGGTGGACATTTTGCCAGCCTGGAGCGACCAAAGCAATTTCTGGAAGATGTTGAAGACTTTATACGAAGCGTTCGTGGACTATTTTGAATTGCAAATGAAACCGTGAGGTCACATATTTATGACGCATGCATGAAATATGCGAGTCCGATGTTATCATTTGGATTAAATTGAAACCACTATCAAAATGCACATGGTAGCATCATTTCGAACCGAAATAAGTACTACACCGACGCTCCAATCCTTTGCAAGCAGGAAGCTTCTCAACCAACGGAAATGATCGAGCCTCACTGGCTCTCTGATTATTTTGCTCCACCCTCTTGTATTCTCCGCAGCCCGCGTCTTTATAATGAGCGTATAGAAAGGAAGTGCTGTAGATGGTGAGTTCAGAGATGCTATAAGGGGATATATAAAGCTTTTCTTTTGGAACATTTCCACATCGCGAGGGACAATATCAATTTCCCCAGCAGCCTTTTTTTTTGGCGGTAGAAAATATCAGAGAACTTGTCAAAGTCGAAGTTTGAAGGCTCGCCGCCTCAATGTATCGCGTCTCCATTTCCATTTCCTCTTCTCACGGGACTCTCCCATCTTTCCTTTCTGCCTTTGACTCTCTCATCCTTTTCATCTTTCCCACTCTTCGTCACATTACTTGTCACGCAACTCTCTTCTACCACGAATCCACAACCTATCACCCTCGCCGATGACATTTCGTCCGAGGCTCCATCATGGCCGCATCAACCCTATTGCCCAAGCATGGGGACGAGCCTCATCTTCCAGATGAGGCAACTTCCCTTGTGGAAAGGATCAATCAACTGCGCTCTATGGGTGTTGGTGAAATGATTGACCTTCCACAGCTGCTTGCTTGCGGCAACGAAGACAGCAGCAAACACTCTGTAATCGAGGCAATCACTCGTACTCGGTTCCCTGCCAAAAAAGTTACTGCTCATTTTGTTACAGAGATCAAGCTGCGCCGTCAACAAGATATTATTTTTCGAGTGGCCATACGCTCACCGGCGCCTACCAGCAATGACACAGACACCCCTCCTAAGCCTTTTCTACTCACCCATGTCACCAGCACCGACAAATCTCTATCACTAATCGAACGGGGCTTTCAGCTCATTGCTGCCACTTGTCGCCATGGATTTAGTGACGATGTCCTGGATATCGAGATCGCCGGTCCTGATCAACCCAACCTGACCATTGTTGATCTTCCGGGCCTCCAATCCACAACTATTGGCGACAAAGCACATGAAGAGGCTGATAAGCGGGTCACGCTGCTGAGGAGATACATAAAGAACTCTCGTAGCATCATCTTCGCTGTGCTGTCCGCAGACGTCAACCTTCAATCGCAAAGAATTCTGGAGATTGCAGCAGAGTCTGATCCAAAGCAGCAGCGCACACTTGGCGTCATCACCCATTCTAACAAGCTAGGAGAACTGACAGACTTGGGCTCACTTCGCTCGGAAATTGTCACGCGAAAGTTGTCCCTTGGGTGGCTTCTGTTGCCAGACCATTTCCACCAACTTCAGAAAACACCATACGAAAAGGTTGGCAGAGATTGTCAAGGCTCGACACAGAAAGAAGACTGGGAAGCTCTTGGAAAGACCGCAAACAACGTGGAGAGTCTGCAGAATTGGCTTGGTGATATCTTTGCTGAGCACGCCCAGAATTGTGTCCCGGGTCTTATTTCGGACATTGAGAATATGATACGGAACAAGAAATCAGACATACCTCAGCTTGTTCTTCCAAGGAACACACTTGAACTGCAGAGGGGATTCTTGTTCAGATTGAGCAATAGCTTTGAGCACATCATGAACCAAGCTTTGTCTGGTATCTGATGCCTTCTTCGATACTCGTGGCTATGTCAACCAGGCCACTCTCGTTGATTCCCGTCGCTTGCGTTACACCATTCATGAGCTCAATTCCCACTTTTCGGAAGCCATTCAAGTCATTGGTTGTCGCCGTAAGATACCTGATGCTACCGGTGAATGGAGCATGTTTCAAACTGCCTCAACAAACCACTATGACAACATCAGAAGCCCAGAGTGTGTGGAGCGAGCCAAGCTTGAAAATGAAATCGCTCAACAGATACAGCCTGATGGGGGACTCCACATTCTGGGAAGTCCCAATCAGTCCTTGGTGGGTGCTCTATTCCGAGACCAAACACAGCCATGGGATGAGATAGCCCGGGTACATCTATTGAAATCATGGAAGTCTGCCAAGAGCTGTGCGACCTCGGTGCTTCAGTATCTCACGGACAAGCGCACGTCAAACCTGATAATGAAGACCCTCATTGACCCCGAGTTTGAGAAGTACAAAGCGAACCTACTGGCGAAGCTGGAGGAATTGACCGCTTACAACAAACGAGGTCAAATGTTCTCGTCAAGCTCGTGCGTTCTCCACTGGATTGAACAATGCCGAAACGACCGATTGCTGGCTCGTATCCAAGAAACGTTTCCAGCGGGGTCAGATCAGGCAATTTCCAAAGACCAATTGAGGATGATAACGCAAGGCTTGAGGACATCGAGTAGGGAATTTGCGGCTGCTGAAATTGTTGATCAAATGCAAGCTCATTATAACGTGAGTTATACGGACAGTTCGCCTCATGAATCGACAGATGTCTATGTCTATTTGCTCTAGAGAATACTGACGTCTTTTAGAATGCCCTTTGGACATTTATCGACAATGTGGCTTTTCTCGCAGTCGAGAATTGTCTTCTTGTCCCTCTCTCGTGTGTACTGACAGCTCAATCCATCAGCAATTTGAATGGCACTCAGATCCAAGAACTTGCCATGGAGCCACGTTCGGCTGAGCTCAATCGCCAACGGCTGAATGAAGAGCTCAGAAAGCTTCAATTGAGCTCCCAAGCACTGAAAGAGTTCAATATGCCAGATCTACCAATGTCACCAAAGCTAGGGACAGAGACGCCCGCATCGGGCGCGGCATTCGCGGTCACTTCGGCAGACCATTCGGGTTTGATGGCACAGCAAAAAGGCTACAACACGCACTCGTACAGCGATGACAGATTCAAACCTGAATTTCGAGCTTTGGGACCTCAGATCCAAAGGGTTTCCAGTTCAGACCCATCTACGGCCACAAACCAAGCCATATCAACTGAGTGCCCAGTGCATCGCAATCCATTCGCAGGCCCAATACGTTCCAACGCGTTTGTGAACTACGACCCATTTCGGGATTCCAAAACATCTCGGACTTTAGCCAAACCCATTCTCGCGCAACCCAGCTCGCAGTCCTCCAATGTTCGCTGTCCTTGTTACTGGTGTCTCCCTAAAGCGCCAATCACGAATGTCTACCCACGGTACGTATGAAAATCAGAAAATCAGTGTTCTCTCTCTCTCTCTCTCTCTCTTTTGCAATAAAAGAGAAACGGCAGGCTAATATATATATGATGGCTTGTTAGTGAAGTGACTTACATCGAAAAAGACGCCTCCTCCCAGACGACCCACTGCTACCAAAGCATCACCTGTACGGAAAGGTTTGAAAGATTCTCGCACGAGGTATTTCAATTTCATCAACCGCAAGTAATCAGCACTAACCACGATGAAGGAGCTTCGACTTGCCGACTACGAGGCCATTCTGGCAATAAAGGGCAGCAAGCCGCAACGACGTGCTGGGTCAAGTGCCAAAACCAGCAACTGAGAGTACACAGAAGGGTCGGTGGTTGGAAATGATACCTTGGAAAAGGATATCTAATCACATTCTGGGGTGAAGATCGTGTTTCGAAGGTCCCTTACAAAGCGAAAGCTGGGTTAGGCAACAAGGGTTTCAGATACTGGGGAAGAATGCCTATGGAGTTTATTGATATTTGCCTTAAATCTTTAATATGTGCCAATTTGAGTCAATTCGTGGTATCCTACTAAGTATGTCTATTCAAACTCGAAATGCAAAGCTTTGCATTATTAACCGGGTCCAGCTCAGATGAAGGACTGCCTGCCCAGGCGGGCAGTGGGAAGTAAACGATTGTTCAATTATGTGAAAGTAGCATTTGTCCCTTCCAATTCGCATGCCAACCATGAAACAGGCCTGTTTTGCATCCAGTGCAAATGGCCAGGCTAAATACATGCGGTCGTTTCACGAACCTACATACCACACCTCGACCCCAAGGATATCGAATTTGATGCCTTCATCCGAGAGCGGCTCATTGCCGAATGTTTGGCAGGATGCGCTGACGCCCTTTTCGAGGCTATCATCAATCCACAGCCCATAATGACCATCACTGTCAAAATGATTAGTTAAAGACCATTTCTCAATGTGGAATTCTACTTACCCGCCTCCTAGACTGAGAAAACCAGTTTCACAGAACATCATATAATCATTAACACCGCTGTACGGGAAAGCCTTGAAGCGAATACGCTCAGGCGTGCTGGCCCCACTTCGCGAAGGAGTGTGAATAGACGAGGGCGAAGGCGGCGACAAAACACCCCCACTCGCAGCCGCGAGGTTAGTTTTTATATTCATATTGAGATTATGAGAGGGCGACTCGGCACTCGGTTTCGACTTCGGGTCATTACGCAGCGTGCTCCACCGAGCCGCAGTGGTGGTGTCAGCAGAAGGTGGAGGCGGGAGACCAGCTCGCTCGAGCGCTTCTTCAGATTGGGGGCCGTCGCCTGGCAAGGGGAGAGGGAAGCTTGCTGGGGGTGGGAGCACGCTGGAGCGCCAGAGGAAGCATTCGCCGGTGCCGAAGAATTGTTTGGCTGGACGGGGCGCGTCTGTCATGTAGGCGCCGAAGACGGAGCTTGAGGGGGAGGAGTCGTGTATGACGAGGACGTAGCCCGCCCGCGGGCTGCGATGGGAGAACTCGGCGCAGTTCTCGTAAAGGGTTGATAAGGAGGCGCCGTCGCGGTCGAGACTATATGCTAGACGCCAGGTCTCGGCTAGTTGAAGGCGGGGCGGGACGAGAAGGCGAATTTCCTCTGCCAGGGCGCGGGTCAGGAGTTGTTGCTGGAGGAGGTCTGCGCCAGTTGGGATTTCGAGGGTGAGGGGGTGAGTGGGGGTGGTTGGAAGGGTGATGCTGTTCGTTTGGGCGTGAAGACTTCTGATGAGGTGGACCGGGACCATGGCATGACGGATGGCATCTCGTTCGATATGTCTGGGTCTGTAATGCGTCTGTAGAGGCCTGATACGACGTGGCTGACCGGGTAGGAGAAGTAGGAGGCAGCGGATTGATAGGAGGGTCGGGTGGGCGTAGGAGATGAGGGGGGAGGGGTTTCTTTTTCTGACGCGGACGACATGCGGTTGATTGAAAGCAGACACTAGCAAAGGGAGTTTGGCCAGCGCCCGTGTACAGAATAGAGAGGTAAAGAGCAGAATGCGGAGGTGAGGTTGAAACCCGCTATCGCTCGCTTATCGGGCGCCAATCCAAAGCAGCCTGCAATGCTTCCACATGAATTACCGGGATCTTCTCTTGATTTGCTGAAGATTACATGTTTAACAGAATTGATATCTTAACTTGCGACCTTGCTCAATGGTCTATATGGAGAATCTTCAAATCTCATAGGGCTGACATCTGAACCAAATTTAAGCATAATCCGCCAAGTCGGACCCGTTGTTTACGCTTCTGCAGGCATATAGGATGGCCACCGCACCGCTCTCAAGTTACTTCTGAACTAAGCCAGATGACATTTCTATTTCATTAACTAGATCCAAACAATGCAGACATGGTATCATAATGAGGTGCTGTCCAACCAGATAAGACTCAATTCCTCAACACATCATGGGCGTAAATCTACCGTTTCAAACTCTAGATCGGTGTGTTCGTAAACATGCCCCGGCGGTCGCAAAGCTCCGGTGTAGATATTTTCTTCCGCGTGTGGATGGAACAAGCCGGTTTGAGTGCAGTTGAGCACTGACTTGAGCCCCGGGGGATCCGTTAATCGGAACACCCCCCAGTCAGGGGTTTTGCTCGGCGCACATACAATGGCGATACTTTCGGGGAGCATGACCTGGTATCCACAGTGCGTGTGAAGGTCCCGTGAGCTCATGAAACAAGTTTGCGTTGGGTGGGTATGAATCCAGCCAAGGGTCATCAGATCTTCAGAGTCGCAGTAATCAAATAGAGCAGACTCGTTTACTGTTTCGCAAGTGTCAGAGGTGGCAGTCTGCTCAGGTATGACTAGCTTGGAGATAAAAAGGGCGTTGGAGACGAGGGTACCGCAGAGGATACCACATGTCTCGAGATTGGCGCGGGTGTTGGCAGAGGCTAAAGACAAGAAGCGCGATCGGAGGTTTCCCGGCAAAAACACCGAGCGTAGTGGGGTGCCATTTTCGAGGTATGCAGAAGGCTTAAAGGTGTAACTTGAGGGGTTGAGATTTGATTCTGCGGTGACCGTTCCTTCTGACGGCAGTACTTTGCCTGGAAGTACTGGAGCAGGCGAAACCTTGGCCGGCAATGATGGTGCGACAGCATCAATGATTGCCTTCCTGGGCTCCATGCGTTCCTTTGGAGGTAGAATCGGCGGTGCGTGACGTTCCACGTTTTTGTCGAGGATGGCGATTTGAGCAGCAGACACCGTGGGTTCCAAGGGCTTTTGACGGGGCACACTTGGATACTTGTATGCACTAGTTGAGGATAGAGCATCGGAAGCCTTGGCGCGCTGCCCGTTGGGATTATCGATGTTTGATCTGATGTTTTGAATGCGTTGGCTCAGATCCAGGTCATTTGTTCGAGTATCCGGTTTCAACTGAGAGTCCCAATCGCCCCATACACCAGCTGCTCGGCGACTTTCCAAATCTTCTGCCGAAGGTCCCAGAGAACCCTTCGAGATCCGCGCAGTGGCTCTGCGATTGAGTTCCGACTGGGCTAACCGCACCGCGAGGTCTCGATTCTCTCCGGCTTCCAAAGGCTCCGCCACGCCCGCAAGGGCAGGGTCGGGGATGACCTCACGCGACTCCTGAACAGGAAATGCCTGGAGAGGTAGTTTCCGAGAATCGCGCTCGCGCATCAACTGGACGTAACGCTCATATCGCTTGTTTATTCGAGGCTTTAGGACCTCGAGTTTGCCGAGGTTTTTCTTGACCTCCTTCTCGGCAGCTATCAAGGCCTTGCGATCTTCGTCGTTCTTCTTGGCATCGGGATGCTGGGAGAGATTAACAAGGACTAATTGGGCATGTCGAAAGAGGATGAAGTAAGCTTGTTCGTCGTGACCTTCCCGTTCGTAGATGTGGGCCTAGCAATTCGATTCAGATTAGTCCGACGTCTCCATTTGAGGAGTATGAAACTTACCTCTCGTAGAAGGGTTGCGGCAGTTCTCAGCCAATACCGCAATGCGACTGAAGAATTGTACTCATAGACCTGTGCAATTCGTGTGATGCTTTCGACGCTCTGTGGGGCAGTACCCCCGGTAGGGATTTTGTTGGAAGCCATAATGTGTCAAGGCAGTTTAGGGCAGATCAAACACCAAGAAGCATAATGGACAGAAGTCCATAAAACCCGGCACCAAGACCAGCTGCAAGAGTGGTTGCATTTAGGCGTTGGTGAAGCTGATGAGGGGGGAAAGTGGCATGGGACGCGGAAGCTCTGCCTCTCTCCGCTCTTAGGCCGCATTGGCCCAAAAAAAAAAAAAAGAAACACAGACTCACTGTTAATCCTGAATGACCAACGAGTCAACATGCTTCATTCAATATTTTAAGCTCTGCGCGACTTGAACAATTGATCTCTGGACCCTGGGTCGGATTGTGAAAATGCCTGCCATGACGCTGCGACAGTCAATGGACCGCTTCCCGGCAGCGAAGGTGCTCAACAAGCACTTTGCAGGGAAATACCTGAGAGGGGTCAGGGAGATAATGGACGAGGAATTATGGGGTAAGCCAATCTGTTTCTACTTCCGCTGGAGTGTCAACAATGTGTTAATGCGCTAGGCTCATAGACGATGTGTTCCAACGACTCAAGCCCTACTTGCGCCAATCTGGCCCCTTGGACATACTCGACCTTTGGCCTGGCTCCGGTGTCAGGTCTTCCAAGGCCAACGAACTTCTCAATCCGCGTCGCCATGTCCTCGTTCGTTCGGACACGAAGCTCGACATAGTTCTCAAGCCACTTGTCAAGAGCAAGCCTTCTTTTAAACTCATGAAGGAGGACATCTATGGAAAGAAAGACTGGCCGGAATTTTTGAAGACCCATTTCCCTGAACAAGACACTACTATCCAGCCGAAGTCGGGTCGAATAGCGAAAAATAATTCGTTACTCGTCCTGGCCAATTTGCCTTCCAATAATTCAAAGAAGAATCATTTCACCCCAGGCCGTTGGTGGATCCATTTTCTGGAAGACTCCATGCGGCAAGCAGGGCTCAACGCATATGGTACTGTTCGAGTTCTTGCCACAATGCCATCGAGCGAGGTTCCAGCGATGCTGCCTCGGGCTGCTATGGAGCGCAGGCGAGGTGGTACGTTGATGGAGGCTTTGAATTTGCATTGCTTCGAGGTCGCCCGCTCGGACGTGTCTGATGCTCATCACACTTGGCGCGGGTGGGACACTACGCAGGCTCACAACATGCAAGTGGCCGAAAGAGCCGCGGCACAGAACATTGTCACTCGACCTCGCAGGGTACCTCCGCCTTTGGAAAAAAGCCCTGACTTCGATGACCGGGATATCCCATACGTGGCCCGGGTGGCTTCACCTACTCTTGCGGAATGGACCAAGGAGCTCGCGGCCGCAGATCTCACGATCGCTTCAGGAGCTAAAGGCCCTGAGTTGAAGAAAGCGACCAAAGAAAGAGCAACCCTCAAGCACAAAATAGTTCAGGAGAAAATTCGCGTTTATACCCGCCACAGCTTGGCTGAGATCCTGCTTAACATTGAGGGAAAGCTCCACCAGCTTTCGCGTGCGGCTGCGAATCCCAAAGAGTCAATCGAATCTCTCAAGGCGCTTGATAAAGAAATCGAGTCTCTCCAATTGTCATACAAGACTTCACTGTCTGAAATCCATTACATGAAATCCAAGCTTCACACTCATATTATTGACGACGACCGTGTGTTACGCGCGTCCCGCGAGATGGGCCATTCGCAACTCTGCTGGGAACGGCGACCGTTCGAACCACTTCACCTTCACGAGGATGAGATCTGGCCTCGTGGAGATCCGACTTCAGTTCTGTACTACGAGCCCAATGAAACCCCTCCCATCCTACAAAAGATCTGTCACCTACCGGCTGAAAAGCAAAGACAGGTAATTGCTCGCTTTGACACTCTGATCTCATCTCTCACACAAGGAGCCATGTCAGTCGAGGAGCTCAAAAACTTGATGATTCCACACTGGTCGACAAATGAGCTGGTCAAGGCCATTCCATCCCTCGCCACCTTCTCCAACAAGCGACTGAAGCCTGACCACGGGCCTCTACCCCTGGACGATCCAGCTGCTGATCCAGTGAGCAGCTATCAGGAAAATCTGGACTATGATCTGAGTGCGGTTCGAATGCACATCATTTCTGCGGAGACCTTCATGGACCTTGCCCTTTTATACGAGAGCGTCCCGGACAAGCTTACTATTCCGGCGTTCTGTCGACTCATCGGTGGGACACTCACAGCCTCGCAGCTTGTGTCGGAAGTCGCGTTCAGAAAGAAAAATTAAACCCACGATATGGAGAAGGGTCTTTGTGAGCAACCTCAAGCGGGGAAATCTCCGGGTTGTTCATCTCATGTATAATATATGTATATCAACTCTGTAATATATGAAGCACATATCTCAAGCATATCTGAGATACAAAACTAGACAATTCATACACTACAAAGTATTCCGTATAGATCTATAGAAGGTTGCCCGCGAGAAGAGTATTATGTAAGGCTGTCGATGCCACTCTAAGTGGACCCCGATGGCGTGCTTTGGAGTATAGGAAAAAAAATATCGTGAGTCAAGTCGAACCCTTCGATTTATAAGATTGACATCCAATTCTTTCTCTGCTGAAAATACTAGGAGGATATTCGGATTCTACCTTGTCACTAATCCACGAACTACACACTCTCCAAGGCTTGGTGGAGTATATCCCCCAGGGTTCTTATCCTTATCTCCAACACCAATCGTGACAGCCCTTTTACTCAGACTTACTTTCTCCGCGGAACTTGGTGATACCAATTGGACAATTAGTTCTGCGCATACAGCCATTTGGATTATACAAGGCGGGAGTTCCCCTCTCCAGGCCTGGTCCTGATTTCCAATTTTCCGAAAACGTCTCTCTCCGAACAGTGGCGGGGCTCGATTACAATGAAGGACGCCAGCAATCCCACCTTCCCCGCGCCTTTGATGGCAGCGTGGAACACAGATTCTCAAGTTCACCTAATTGTCGGCTCCAATTCTCTTGCCGGCGCGCGATGTGCGAAAAGTATCGAGGTCGGCGCAAAGCCCATTATCCTTGCGCCGGAAACCGCGGACATGCATTTTACCCTTTCTGAGCACATTGCGCGCGGCTCTGCCCAGTGGGTCAGCCATGAATTTCAAGATGCGGACTTGACCACGCTGGGTAGAGAGGAAGTGGACCATGTGGTGGACTTGGTGTTTGTCACATTGGGTGCCAGCAACCCACTGAGTACGTGCAGTTCAAGTGGTTTCGATAACACTGTCACTAACAAAACCATATAGGCGCGCATATCTCGAAGCTCTGCAAGCGACTCAGAATCCCGGTCAATGTGTCGGATGCCCCCGAGCTCTGCTCCTTCACTCTCCTCTCCACCTACTCGGATGGCCCTCTACACATAGGTATCACAACGTCCGGCCGAGGATGCAAGCTTGCTTCCCGTTTGCGCCGAGAGATTGGCGCATTCTTACCGCAAAACCTCGGAAGTGCCATTGACAGACTTGGTTCTGTACGGAGGCGGTTATGGGAAGAAGATGAAGCGGCTGGTTCAGGCGAGGTCGCATTCGACGCAGAGGACGACGACACAACGGGCCAGAAGCACACCTTCAACAACCTCGTCACAGAAGGCGATGCCGCCGCCGCGAAGACAAGGAGAGTGCGCTGGTTATCCCAGATCTGTGAATACTGGCCTCTTCGAAAACTTGTGTCTATCACCGATGCGGACATCGAAACAATTCTCAATGCCTACACCGCAAGCAATACCCCTGTGGCCAACACAAACGGCATCGAAACAGTCTCCAAGAAGGGCAAGATTGTGCTCGCAGGTTCTGGCCCCGGTCACCCAGATCTCCTCACTCGCGCCACTTACCACGCAATTCACAACGCCGACCTCATCCTCGCAGACAAACTTGTCCCCGCCCCGGTTCTTGATCTCATTCCCCGCCGCACAGAAGTCCACATCGCCCGCAAATTCCCCGGAAACGCAGATCAGGCACAGGAGGAATTCCTCCAAATGGGTCTTGCGGCCCTCAAACAAGGCCGCCAAGTCTTGCGACTCAAACAAGGCGATCCATACCTCTACGGACGCGGCGCCGAAGAGTTCGAGTTCTTCCGCAATGAGGGCTACTCCCCAGTGGTGCTACCGGGCATCACCAGCGCGATGAGCGCGTCCCTTTTCGCCGACATCCCCGCGACCCACCGTGGTGTCTCCGACCAAGTCCTCATCTGCACCGGTACCGGCAGAAAGGGCGCTGCCCCGAACCCCCTACCTACGTCCCCACCCAAACGGTCGTCTTCCTCATGGCCCTGCACAGACTCTCCGCCCTGATCGATTCCCTCACCTCTTTCCCTGAAGGTGGTGAGCAATCCCGTGCTCTGTGGCCCAAGGAAACACCCTGCGCGATCGTTGAGCGCGCTTCGTGTCCTGACCAGCGAGTTATCCGTTCGACTTTGGAACATGTCTGTCTTGCCTTTGAAGAGGCGGGATCCCGACCACCTGGTTTACTCGTTGTTGGAGCTAGCTGTCATGTTTTGCATAATCCCCAGGGCCAGAAGTGGGCGATTGAGGAAGGATTCCATGCCTTGGATGGATTGCATGGTGAATTGGAGGTGGTTGCCGACTTGGCGGAAGAGAAGGCGTGATTTATCACATTTTTTTGGATTTTAAGCGATCGGATTTGCATGGAAGTGTATATAAAGCATTACAATACCCCTAGAAACGAGATATGCATGATCATTGAGATTTTTCCGAGAGTGTTTGTAAAATTTTAATGATGTTAGAGAGTGGGTTGACTTTACTTTGTACTCGGATTGGTGGGGGATTTCCTATTGTTTCCAAAGTGGACAGGCACCGGTGCGGCTGTGATATATTTTTGTGGACCCGGGCTGATCACTCCATCTTCAACTCTTGACATTCAGACACCCATCAACCATGTCGTCTGCACCAAAGAAGACAACCTACTTCTCAAATGGGGAGCTCCTTGAGACGTGAATATCTCCAGGCCGACCTCAACCTCAAGTACACGACCGCTAATCGTCAACAGCCCCCCGGTGACCGTGCGGCTCAGCCGCTTCATCGAAAGCATCTACTTCTTCTTCGGCCTGTACTTCACCAGCCTGTTCGCAGTAAGTAATTCCTCCGATCCAGCAACCGAGTCCTTAATACGGGTCGCACGACACTTTCTACCGAATGAATCTGACAGCTTCCAGCTCGACTCCTACGCGGCCGCCCAGAACTCCTCCTTCAACGTCAAGAAAAGCGGAAACCAGTATAACACTCGCTCCCGCTGGGGAGGTTCATCATCTTACGGAGGAGGCGGCGGTGGTGGTGACGGTCCGGGATCTGGTCCGCGACGCGTGGGTCGCATCGACGATATCCGCGGGGCTACAAGCTCCAGCGAGCCTCGGTGCGGCGGCGGTTGCGGTTAACATAGTGGAAGGAAGTGCTTTGCTCGCATGCTGTGTACGTTGAAACAAATTGCACAGCAGGGATATCATTTAGGTTATATGGAACCGTTGACTTCCTGTTACTCGTCATATGCAATGCACGCATCCTCAGACCTAAATGCTTATAAGTAGCCTACATACTCCGCAGACACAATTCCAATATTCTCCGCACAGAGTACCAGCAGACAGAGTCCACTAGCCGCGCGCCACACCGTGTCAACATGACATCTGCGCCACGTCACATCCCCCTCTACTTGGCAAGAGGGGAAAAAGTGCAACAATAACACAACCCCAATTTCGGTGACTTCTGACTTCTCAGGGGACAAGCAACCCGGGTCCATGTACACCATGAGTGAAGGTCCAGCCACAGACGCCGAATGGGCGGAGAAGATTGCTCAGATGAAAGAGCATCTTCCTAAACGAATGCTCTCTCAACCTCCCATCCCACTCGCCGTGTACAGGACAATCGACCACACACTTCTGACGACACCAGTCACCGAGGCCCAAATCGACAAGCTCTGCCAGGAAGGCCGTGATTTCGACTTCGCCACCGTCTGCGTCCGTCTCGAAAATGTTGAGCGTGCAGTTGCGAACCTCAAGGGAAGTACCACGGGTGTTGCGTGTGTAGTTGCGTTTCCCGAAGGCACACACGAGACCGCCGAGAAAGTCCGCGAGGCGAAAGAGGCTGTTTCGAAGGGTGCTACGGAGCTGGATATGGTTATTCATTATCGTCTCTTGAAGGAGGGTCGATATACCGAGGTCTATCAGGTACGGTTCTGGCGTTGGTCAATTGGACTGGATTGTACTTGGCTAATACGAGTAGGATATTGTTGCTGTGCGCAAAGCGGCGGGACCACCCATCGTGCTTAAGACTATCATTGAGGCGTCTGTGCTGGATGAAGATGAGCTTGTGGATGCTACGATTGTATCATGCATCGCGGGTGCGGATTACGTCAAGACCAGTACTGGGTGGGAAGGCGGTGCGTCCACGCAGCATGTTCTTCAGATGAGAATCGCGGCAGACTTGTGCTCAAGAAATACGAAGATCAAGGCGAGTGGAGGTCTGCGGACTGCGGAGGATGTGGTGAAAATGCTTAAAGCGGGTGCGCATCGGATCGGCACTAGTAATGGGGTGAAGATCATGAATGAGATTGATGAGGGGGAGATTTTGGAGCAGGGTGCTAGTCATGCTGTTTCCTAGCGCACTGTCTGTCCTTGCGATTGCATGAGATTATCTAGGGTTTGTGTCTGCGAGTTGGACGATTCCGGGGATGGCCTGGAACATGACCTCGGGAGCATGGGGGTTTAATGAAGAAGGTCACCTTTCAAGGTTTAATTGTGTGCCGGTGAAAGTAGATTTGCAAGGACTGTCCAGGTGTTGACCTCGGGATTAGGGTAGTTCTGTGCCTTGGACAAGGAAAAAGGTTATGTTGAAACAATTATATTGATCCTTGCGCTTCGGAGGCCCTGCGTTGCCCCTTTGGGGTTGCCTCGCGAACACACTGGCCCTGCGGATAATCAACCCTCAATGATCGTTTTACCCCGTGTGCCCTTGTTGCCCAGGAAAGGATGAAAGAACTAATCTGATGGGAAAACCTATATGATCTCTAGAAAGAGTGATTGTCTGCGTTTCTTGAAATAAGCACCAATTACTCCGTAATCTGCAGTAGTGTGGTGTATAAAAAAACCAAGTTCCACAGTGAACGTGGAAGGAAAATCTTATTATTTGCCCAAAGCCCAAAGGATATATACGTGGTACTAATCCAAACCTGCGCCAATCCCATGCAAACTTTTTTAATCACTCTGATCCGAGTCACTGGCCTCAGCGTCAACGTCCATCTTTTGAACAGCCGCATCTCCACTCTGACCCTTTTTCTCGGCCGCAAGCCAAACTTCCCTTTTCTTGGTCTCGTGCTCCTGCTTCCTTGCTCGCCTAAGGACCTTCGCCTTGCGAGCGGCCTCCTGCTTTTCATGGAGCTCATTGATGTAATCCTGCAGATTAGCAAGGTCTGAGCGCAGCTGTACGACCTCATCGTCTGCATTGTGACGGGCGGTCTCATTGACCGCGACCTTCTTCTTGAGCACAGACACCTCATTCTCTAACTCGGTAACTTGTGCTTGCGACTGGCGCGAGTCCTGAGCGGGAGCGGCTTGGGGCTTGGCTGCACCGGCGCGCACTTCAGTGCCAGGCTGCCCGAATGAAGCTAGCTCTGCGAGACCCTCGTCGATCATGGAGTCGGGGAAAGAGGCGTGGGTGAGAGCTTGGGAGAATTGGGTGGGGGTGCGGGTGGAGTTGGGTGCGATGATCTGGGTGTGGAACATGTACTCTGCAGGCACGGCGCCGGGGAGTTGAGAAGATAGGCCATTATCAAGGCGCGGCTTGACTACGGCGTGGGCCTTTCTCTGGAGGTCGGAAGATGGGTGGGGGATGCCAGCTGGAGGGAGCATCACTAGGTTCGTGATTGGGTGCGTGTAGTCGGCCACAGCGGCGATGTATTTCCGTCGCGCAACGTTCCATGATAGGACCTTGCCATTCGCATGGCCTGAGAGTAACGTGGTACCGTCGTATGTAAGGGAGAGGGTGTTCGCCGATCCTGATTCGGCGGACGGAGGGAGCCAACGATCCTCGGTGGAGACCTGTACTGGGGTCGATTGCACTGAGGGGTCGTGGAGGGGGTGCTGGACGGAGTGGCCTCGGTAGAAGTCTACCGATTGCACACTGCCATCTTCATATCCAACGTAGAAAGCGCGGTCCACTGGATCCAGAGTCACAGATGTCGCGGAGAATGGGAGGAGGAAGGTTCTCAATGCGCGACCAGTGTGGTAGTCCCAAGCGATCGCAGTGTTGTCCTTCGCCGTTGACACGACAATGTTGTTGCGGCCATTGCTGTGTCCGACAGCCAGAGAAGTGATTGCTGCTCGGTGGTTGGAGAAGGTTCGGAGAGGTGAGTTCGTAGGCTGACGAGTCGCGCTCAGAGCGGGCTTCGAGAAGGAAAGAATACCAGGCAAAGACCAAACGTGTACACTGGCATCAGCAGAACCGGACAGGATGAAGTTGGAGGTGGGATCAATGACGAGCGAGGTCACTGGTTGCAAGTGGGAGGCTGTGGTGGCTACCTGACGTCCTGTGCATGTCTTGAAAGCTGTCAGATGGGCACCCAGAAAATAAAATTGTATCAACATACCTCCCAGAGGATCAAACGTCCACCCTCGGTACCCAAAACTAGAATATCACCATACTTCCCGCCCGCAACGGCGATGCTGCGGATCCGTTCCGGGAATGGGACAATTCCTTCCTGATTTCCCTTCTCTCTGCTATACACATGCAAGACGGCCTTATCTGCTTGGGCCGTAAAAATATGCGAGGGGGTGATGGCCAGACAATTGGTTGTGGTAGAGCTCTTCTTGAAAGTCGATCGCAGGATTGACGAAGGCTGCAATTCGTGAATGCAGATCCCTACATCTCTGAGCGAGGCTGTCGGAGATTTGTTAGATGACAGCGTCGACGCCACAAATGATTCGGAAAGCATGAGGAATGAGGCTATCGAAGTATAGCGTGTGGTGGTCGAGGGACATTCCAAGCTTTTTTTTTCTTAATCTTGATAAGGTGTTTGCAATGTTTGCAGTGTTTGGACCGGGGAAGTCACTCCAACGACACGGGCTCAATGTGAGCTGTCGTGAGATGCTGACCTATTATGCTTTTGGCTAATGCAGTGGATTAAAGTGTTCTAAGTTTACTTTTGTCCCGGTTTCAACTTCTATCAAATAATTGTCTGGTGTTTGAGATTCTATATTAACTTGGCTTGAAGGTCTTGGACCTGTCATCCCCGAGCGCTAGTTCAGCTTTGGCGATCAGCGATCAGCAGTATGAGCTATCAACTCTTCGGAACATATTCTGTTTCTCGCTTCATTTCCTTCAGGCGCGCTGGCCGGTGGCAATGCACGCCATGGTCAAGCATTTATATCCAAACCTCCACAGATTATGCTAATATGACAATGCCACTCGGTATGGGGCCAGCTGGATGCAAGGGATCGCGGAAGGGGTGCATTGCTGTTGCGACGAGACAAGGTCCAATGAAGGTCCAATGAAGACCCGCTTTAATACACCCTCAGGCTGATCCTACTGCCCTGCCCAAGGGTCTGATTCGTCGCGGGAACCCTTCTCCTCTCATGCATCCAATTTGTCTCATTCCTAGTCCCACCCACACTTGGCTATGACGAGACGAGACGCCCGATGGGGACCCTTCCACGTTGACGGGCTGCTGCAGGCTACAGATCGAGATCTGGAGCCAATGGCCTGCCGTCATCCTGGTTTCTCATATTCCTTGGAATGCAAGGATGACGCGACCTCATTCTCCCTATTGTTGCTGCGGCCCCGTGCCTAGACGACCGGGTGTTCGTGCTAGACGACCCTCTTCCTGAAGGGGGAATCCTGCTGAACATTTTCGGGGTTCCTCATGGCAGGGTTCGGTTCCTGTCAAGGGATGTCCACTTGAGCCTGACCCTATCCACTCTGAAATTAGCTGACTAGCGCCACTCTCGCTGTATAAGGACATATCGAGCCCCTGCATGGACGAAGGTCCCTTTGTTTTGACTTCAACAATAAACAACCACCTAGATCTCATCTAGGTCATACTTGTGCGACAACATTGCTTTTTTTTTTTCCATCTGCCAACTTCATTGACTAGTCACTCCAGCCGGGTGACCCTTGTCCAGCATGGACTGCGGTGTCACAGATATGCCTAATCGTGCTCACTTTCCGGCCCGTATTCAAACTCATTTCAGGAACCAAGACTCATATTCTTCCTGTTTGAGCCACGAGACGGTGCCAATGGCCGACCCAATTCCCTCGCCTCGTCGATGGTCTCCCACCTATCAACCGCGAAGGCGCAGCAAACAAGTGCCATCGTTATCTTTTGTACCATCGCCAGTTGTGCCTCGAATAGAGTCGCAGGATTTTTCCAATTCACTGCCAAGGAGACCGGTAGGTCGGTCACCCGCATGCATGTCGCCATTTCGCTCTGTCCGAAGAATGAAAGAACCCTTTCAGCTGAGGTTGCCAACATCGCCAGCATCAATGGACGCACCGACACCGAACTTTCCAGAAAAGCCAGCAAGATCACCAAGGCCACGAGGCGGGCATTCCCTGAGGACGTGGCGCTCCGACCAGAATCTGAAGGTTGATATTGGAGGTCTTGGACTGCTTCCAAGCCCGCCCATGACAGAATCACGACCTTCGAGTGCAGGTCCAGAATCGTCTTACTTCAAATTTGAAATTTCCGAACCAAGATCTGCAACTATGGAACCAAGTCAGCGATGGGTGGGCGAGCTCAACGAGGATATCAGCGAAGACCTCAACGAAGACTTGGAGCTCAATTTAGACACCGATATGAGTGAATACTCTGAGCCCAGTACCACAGACAAGCCAGAACACAACGAGGAGCCTGTGGTTGGAGAGACGGAGTCAAACGAGCCCAGCGAGGAGGATCTAACTCCAACGGCACCAGAATCGGATGTCGACGAAAAGCTTAAATACCAAGCCTATTACCCTCCGGATTGGAAGAATCAACCTCGCACTGATGTCATGAATGTACATGAGGCACACTCTGAACTCCTGCGCCACTGCGAGTCCGACAGCGAACAAAGTTCACCAGCGCCAGAATCCGATGCTCTTCACCCCCCGTCAATCAAATCACCGAAGTCACCTCACAGCAATCTGGGGCTACCACCTGGAAGCTCACCAAGGCCCCAAAGATCACGAACTGCCACGGTTTCCAGCGAAGCGAGCTGGGTTCCTAGCAATTTCTCGTATTGCGAGCGATGGCTGCAGTGTGTCCCGACAGACGGGGTGAACGAGGAAAGCAGCCCCATGAAGGAATTCAACAACCGCCGCAAATTCCAGATTGTCGAGAATGACCCTCCAATGCCCAAACTTGACATTATTCCGGGAGCAAAAGCTCTTGAGGAGCCTGTGGTAAGTTCTCACTATATACTCTCACCGTGCTATGCTAATTTAACTAGCGCTTCGTCGTCGCCAGTAAGACGAAACCAAAGCTCGTCGATATTGCTCGACAATCACCAGCCTCGGTAGCATTACCACCACCGCCGTCTCTTCTTCCACAAACCGTCCCAACAACACCCGACCAACGCCAGGAAGAGGTCTCTGCGTTCAGCCCGGATACCCCGTTAGACATGTCTGACAGTGGGTATGGGACCCGGGACTCTAGTTATTCATTCGATAGCTACGATGATGGCAAACCCGATGATGACGATGCATACACGGATCCCGGGTCACTGACCTCATCCGATAGTGTTGGTTCAACAGTAGTCTGCGAGAGGCCTGAATCCGCGCAGGGAGAGCGCGAACTGCAGCAACTCGAAATACGCTCTGGCAGCGTAAGCCCGAAAGCCGCATCACCAGCACCACCTCCATCACCGGGGCGGAGCTCGAACAAGTCCGAAAAACAGGATGAAAAACCACAACTGTGGCCCCAAGACTGGAACTTGGATGACCATGAGTGGACTCTAGATGAGCTGGATCATTCTGTCAAAGACTTTCCTCGCAACATGCTCCGCCTTACCTCGCCAGTAATATTGTTCCTTCGCAAAAGCGATGAGGAACCGTTCATCAAACCCTTCCGAACTATCTTCCCCGACGTTTCTGAAAATCTCCTTGATTGTCTCTGCGCTGCCCTTCTTGCTCGAAACTATCTCCTTTCACTATCAGCCAAACACCGCAACAAACCATCTGTTTCTACACGCAATGACTACATTGCAGACTCCGTTCCTACAAAAGCATACAGCACCCTAGGTATTCAAATACCCTCAGCATCAACAACGAAGCCCAAAGACCGTGTCTTTGCCGCTCGAAGTGTCGAGCTCCGACCGCACCTTGAGCGAATCGTGGATAATCTCCTGTTTGCCATTTGCGGACGCTCTGACCCTACACTAAAAGCCGCCGTCGAAGTTCTTGCACAAGTTCTTGAAACGAAGGCCTAATCGACCTTCCCTACTCACACTTTCACTCAGCACAGTTTTTCTATCACCATCCTCTTGGACACTCCCTCAATATTTCTTTGCATCTATGAACATCTCCCACATTCTAATTGTATCACTTACTGACTCTTTCCTTGCCTCTTCCAAGTCTCCCCACTTTCCCTCTCTTCCATGACCCAAATTACCTGTTACCATACGACATACTCTCCTACCTTGGTCTTGCATTTGATACAAAACACCATTATTCCTGCTGGCAAGATCTTTCGCCAACATCTGTCTCATTCGTCATTCCTGTTTTGCCCGTATACACTCATTGGCTCTTGTTCTCTGACATTTTCTTTGCTTTATTGAATACCCTTGCATTGCGTTTGGTGCCGGACTTGGGACTTCACTCGTTCTAAATTTTATCAACAAGATCATTCAAATATCCTAGTTTCTACAATAATAATAATGCCCTCAGCCAGACTCGCTTGCCTATCGTAGCCGTGGATCGATAATTTGTAGAGTTTCCCGCTCCGAGAGGCGAACGTGACTAATCATAGTTTCCCGGCCGGCGAACCTAAGAACAAACTCCATGCCGACCTTCTACCTTCGTCACAGCAATTCACACACCATGGCTGCTCCAACTAGAACTCTACGACACTTGTCGTCTCTTAGAAACACAGCTTGCCCTGCTTCAGCGGCAATTGCCCCTCGCCGCACCTATGCTACAACAGATTCCTCGTCCGCCACCAACACCCCAACCACACGGCGGAAAGCGACAACCTTCAAGGATAAGCTGAACGCCGGACCTTCATTCTCAGATTTCGTCTCTGGAGGCGGCGAACCACCCCTCGATCCCTCCGAAGCCTACGCTCTCAAGACTGCCCTCGCCGGACCCGCCGGCCGCAAGAAGGAAATTACTCGCCTGCCCGAGTGGTTGAAGACGCCCATTCCAGACTCCAAGAACTACCAGCGCTTAAAGAAGGATTTGAGAGGTCTTAACCTGCACACCGTCTGTGAGGAGGCTCGATGCCCCAACATCTCCGACTGCTGGGGCGGTAGCGACAAGTCCTCCGCGACTGCGACCATCATGCTGATGGGTGATACCTGTACCCGAGGATGCCGTTTCTGCAGTGTCAAGACGTCTCGCGCGCCCCCACCCCTCGATCCCCACGAACCGGAGAACACCGCCGAGGCTATCTCCCGCTGGAGCTTGGGATACGTCGTTCTGACAAGTGTGGACCGTGATGATCTTGTCGATGGCGGTGCCCGCCACTTCGCTGAAACCGTTATCAAGATTAAGCAGAAGAAGCCCAGCATGTTGGTCGAGTGTTTGACAGGTGATTACCGCGGTGACCTGGAGATGGCAGCGTTGGTTGCGCGATCCGGACTAGATGTGTATGCGCACAACGTTGAGACCGTTGAGGAGCTCACACCGTTTGTTCGTGATCGTCGTGCCACCTTCCAGCAGTCGATCCGTGTGCTCGATGCCGCCAAGAAGGCTAGCCCTGATCTTATTACCAAAACTTCGCTCATGCTTGGTCTTGGTGAGACCGACGAGCAGCTTTGGGATGCTCTGCGCCAGCTTCGCGCTGTCAATGTCGATGTCGTGACCTTCGGCCAGTACATGCGTCCCACTAAGCGCCATATGGCTGTCCACGAATACGTCACTCCTGATCGCTTCGAGCTGTGGCGCCAGCGCGCCCTTGACATGGGCTTCTTGTACTGTGCTTCCGGTCCTCTGGTTCGCAGCAGTTACAAGGCTGGTGAAGCCTTCATTGAGAATGTTCTCAAGAAGCGTCGCTCTGCTGGCCCCACCGAACCTGCTGAGAAGACTACTGCTACTGCCGAGGAGGCTACTCAGTGATCTGAAGAAAATCGTCTCCAGCACCTACCTTCCTACCTCCCTGCGTTCCTGTTTCCACACTTTCGTGCTTATATTATTGGAGTTACTTTGCATATTAGGGTTCTTGGTATGGGGTTCATATAGGGGTCGTTTGCCATTTCAACATTTCAACAGGATTTGTTCTTTGTATCATCATTAAAACCTACAATCCTGTCTACTATAATCAAAGCTAGACTACAAATCAACTTGTTACAGCTTCATCAATCATAGACCAATCTTTGTTCATGCCACACCCCGCAATTAGCCAGAACTGTCTCGCAATGTCATCTCAATTCATCCAAACGGCATTTAGTAAGTCTCGAAACTTTGATCCTACGATCATAGAGCGTGCTTGGCCCATCCAGCTCAATTCAAGTCATATAACCACGATACAATCCATGCGTTCTACGCTGCAACTCCTACCTATCTCCGTCGCCAGCGCCCCAAGACAAACTCCGAAATCGCAAACCAAGCCAACCGCTCTGGCCCGGTTTAACCTGCAGGGGGTATAGTTCAGTTGGTCAGGGCAGCCTATATGCTCTACAAAGGCACTCGCCCATCTACAACTCATTGGGAGGTCAGCTCCGCGATATTATCGTCATCCATGCCGAGCAGGTAGAGGATATCGACCAGACTCTGGCCGTTGATGCGAGTCGGTGCCTCCAGCTGGACCTTGGACTTGGCCCGCCAAGCAACGCCGAGACCTGCGGCGTGCAGCATTAGCAGATCATTGGCGCCATCGCCAACGGCCATGGTTTGCGCAATGGGGATATTGCGCTCGGCCGCGAACTGCTTGAGCAGTGTGCGCTTCTGAGCGGCATCAATGATGGGGTATGAGGGGACCAGCTTGCCGGTAAGGGTTTGAGTGGTCTCGTCGATTTCAAGCTGGCAAAGTTAGATGGAATGTAAAGATGTGCCTTAGGGTGGCGCTTACGTGGTTGGCAACAGCAATGTCGATGCCCAGCTGGGCGGCTAGCCATTCGGCCAGAGGCTGGAATCCACCGCTGACGACGGCAAGTGTGTAACCGAGGGTCTTCAATGCGCGGCAAAGCTCACGAGCACCCTTGGCAATCTTCAAGACAGACTTGAGCTTCTCGAAGACGTCTGCGGGGACGCCGTTGAGAAGGCCGACACGTTCCCGCAAGGATGCGGAGAAGTCCAGCTCACCGTTCATGGCGCGCTCGGTGATGTCCTATTTGAATTAGTTCTGAGTGCCTGGACAAAGATGAGACGGTCAACATACAGAGACCTGCTTCTCGACACCAATGAACTTGGCGATCTCATCAATGCACTCGTTGTCAATTAGGGTGCTATCCATATCGAACACAGCAAGACGCTTGTGTCGGCGGAAGACACTTTCCTGCTGCAAGACAACCTCGACATTCCACTCGCGCTCGAAGCGCCAGATGCTCTCGTGCTTCCGCAGATCTGGGAATGAGAGATAGTCCGGGTTTGGCGGGGGAGAGAATGTAACCTCCACAACACGGGGGTTCTCTTCGCGATCCAGACAGCGGTGCGAAGTGTTCATGCGCTGGTAGGGCGTAGGCAAGGCCTCCAGGATCTGAAGGAAGTTCGTCAAGCACATCTGCGAGACGTACGGCCCGTACAGGTGATCGAGAGGCTCGGGCTCTGGCGCGGGGGGCTCGCGGGGGAACTTGTCCATGTCTTCCGTGGGAGCTGAAACCTTGGGCACGGTGGGAGCAGGGATGCTAGCGGAGGGATTGGGCGACGCATCGGGGTGGTAGTGGGGGTGGACCGGGTTGGCGGATTTGTAGTAGATGGTCGCGACGATCTGGGCTGTGCCGCTTGGGAGGGGGTTTTCGTGGTGGTTGAAGATATTGTGGACGACACCGCTATCGGTGACGCGCTCTGGGTCGGGCTTGATTGGGTTGGCGTTCAGGGCTAGGTCGTCCACTTGGTTTGCTAGAACCTCTCCGATGTTTTGGTTGATTTGGTTGATCGGTGCCATCGGCTTATATTGTTGATGGTCCTGCAGGAATGAGCTGCTGCGCATCTGGCCAAGAGATGGCCGCGTGGGGCGACTGGGTTCTGCCATTGTTGTTTATAGAGATGATCTGGTGAAGTGCTGGTCGCGCAGAAGGAAAATAACGGGATCGTCGCCAGACACACGTGATGAGGTTTGGTGGGGGTTGGCTTGGCTCGGCCAATGAGCGCGATGGCTACATCGTAGCCCTACATTTTAGGGACATGACAGCTACACCTTCGAGTATTGCACTAACTATCGGTTCCATCAAGAAATGACCAACAAACGTTTGTTTACTGTAGATGTGGCAGGAGAAATAGCCTTTGATCTACCATCACTGATGACAGGCTGATTCATCCAATCTGGCATATCCTCGAGGCTAGCACGTCCCCTTCTAAATCCCCCTGTTTCTTGGGAATCTGCATGTCCTCGCAGATGTGCTTTTATATCTAGAAACCGTGACTGAGAGGCGTTTCTGTTGATTGGTATGGTGGAATGAGTGTGAGTCGAGCCGGGGCCCTATTGCGTTGTCAAGATTGTCAAGATTTGTTTCCTTGTCCAAGCTGTTCAGTATATGAAAAGCCGAGCAAAATCCGAGCTGTCACTATATTTTGGGATTAAACCCGTAAAGACAGGTATTTTCGCTCACGAACAGAGCCACGGATGGGGCGTGATAGCCGATGGCACTCGTTAAAGAAGGCATTCAATGATAGCGCCAGCGACCATTGGAAGAACAACGTGACCGCTCTCACTGGGTGGCTTTCGGGGCACATTGATAGCACCACTCGTGAAGAGCATGATGATGGTACAGGCAATGAACCCGTGTTTCTTCACACCCCATGGCGCTATAGGAGCACCGTTACCCAGTCGAGTTTGATTGTATGCGAGCACAGCAATGAGGGCTTCAAAAGAAGCCAGCAGGACTAACTATAGCATTTTGCAAACATCCGAGCTAACAGGTGGCCTTGATATGTTTTTTTGCTCTCGATTTTTACGCTCGTGCAAGTTCCAGAGCTAGCGGCGTTCTCGAGAGCCAGCCTCCAGAAACTGAAAGGCACTCATTTGATGATGTGAATTTCATAGCATATGTACGGAATAGCTATGAAGTCATAGCGTCAATATGTATGAATGTTCCGCCCCTTTTCTTGACGTCTGTCTCATTACCTGGGCCCAATCAGGGCCAATGTGACAATGAATCATGGCTACTCCCATGAGATGGGAATGTTTTCTCTTTTTCTGCTATGGATTTAAAAAGTTGACGCCGGATCTCTCAAGCACCATGGTCAGCTAAGTCTAGGAGCATACGGAGTACTCCGTACTACCTTTCGCCTCTGGGAGGTCGTTTGATGGTTACGGACCTGTCCGAAGGCACTTTCCAATGTATCAGAGTCGGAGATGCTGGCCAGTGGTGCCAATTCTACCTTATTGATGCCGACTTATAGATTTTCCTTTCTGTGTACTTGTATCTCCGCTTCATTCAAAGGCCGATAATCGGGGTCCTTCTTCGGGGATAGGATGGGGCTCGTGGTAGGGTTTACGTTAGTGCGCAGCGGGCGGAACATCATTGGCTGGAGGACCCACCTCCCGCCGGCTTCCGTTTTTGAGCCCAACTATTTTCCAACGTCGAACAATGACCCTAAGTCTTCGGGATTTGAAGGTTTCGTCTGTAGTAGAGCAGAATATCTGGTAACTATGGACTTTTCAGCCAATACGATCACTTCAAATGATTCTCATCTGAAAGAATTGAGATCACTCAACAAGTTTGGTACTCCGGTACGAAGTACGGAGTACTAGAGGTTAGACAGGAAGGCGGTGTCTTGCTCCCCGAAGTGAACCTGCTCTTCCACCTGGGCAAAAATCATGCCTGAATCAGAGATCCTTGCCACAAAAGCCGTCACATCGGACAATTTCGCTCCTCGCTATGAGCAGACAAGTGAGACCCTCATTGAGCTAGTCAGATACTTATCGTATAGCGTGCCGCTACTTCCGACCATGATCAACCCTAGCGCCCAACGGCGAAATAACGCGACCCACCTAAAATCCCGAATTTCAGGATTGCAGCGACTCGTCTCTCAAATTGGAGATCCACCATGACATACAATCGAAAGTCATCAACAAGACCCGAGTGATGAGGTTCCCGCTGACACGAGGAACTGGTCAACAAAGTTATATGACATACGTCATAGGAGTGAACCGGATCACCAAGTCGATCATGAAGCCGCAGCGAAGCCAATGGAAGAGCCAGCAGGGATGACTCCCTGACTCTTGGTCAGCCGCGATTACCAATCTCCAAGCCGGGGTAAAGGCGATTCCGGAGCTACGTTCCTGAGAATTTGCAATTTTCTGCCTGAGGTTCGAATGGCGTGATCGATTTCCTCATCATTCTCGCCTCTCATTGGTCAACTATATCATCCGAAAATGGAATATAGTGGATCCCCAGAAGTAAAGCATCGAAGCACGCAAGAGCCCTTCCTCGTTATAATTCTTGCTGGTGAAGGCTTGCACTTTGCTCTCTACAACATCTTGACAAAAGCTTTGTGTTCGTTCACGCTTTCATACATTCTGCAACACCTTTTCAGTGGTTTCATACATTCAATCTCGTCTGCTTGGTCCTTTCATCTATCAGTTCGCTTAATTTCATCATGTCCTCCAAGCCTGACTCCTACCCCTCCGAGATGGAGGCCTACGATTCCCGTGACAACATGACTGAGTCCGGCTATGTCAGTGCTGGCTCTGGTGCCAGTGAAGAATATGTTCCCGAGATTGTCTTCACCAAGCCTCACCTTCAATTCCTTAACCGCCAGCTCCAGTTCCTCGAGCCTCAAGGTACGTGTTGATAGATGAACCCCTCTTTTGAAAAAGGCCCGTGTTTCTAACTCAGTCTACAGAGATCTTGAGATGGTGTATCACTTCACTCCCTCATCTCTTCCAGACTACTGCCTTTGGCTTGACTGGTCTGGTTACCCTGGATATGCTGTCTAAGCTCGAGGTCCCTCGCCCTCAGATGGTTGACCTCATCTTCCTCGACACCCTCTACCACTTTGATGAGACCAAGTCCCTGGTCGACCGTGTGCGCCGCAAGTATCCCAACAACAACGTGCACATCTACAAGCCTGCCGGCGTCGACACCACTGCCGAATTCGAAGCCAAGTACGGCACCAAGCTCTGGGAAGTCGATGACCAGCTTTACGACTGGGTTGCCAAGGTTGAGCCTGCTCAGCGTGCCTACCGTGAAATGAACGTCCACGCAGTCCTCACTGGTCGCCGCCGCAGCCAAGGTGGCAAGCGTGGCGACCTCGATATCATCGAAGTCGACGAAGCCGGCCTTATCAAGATCAACCCCATGGCCAACTGGTCTTTCTCTCAAGTTCAGCAATACGTCAAGGAGAACGATGTTCCTTACAACGAGCTTCTCGACCGTGGATACAAGAGTGTTGGTGACTGGCACTCCACCCAGCCCGTTGCTGAAGGCGAGGATGAGCGTTCTGGCCGCTGGAAGGGTCAGCAGAAGACCGAGTGCGGTATCCACAACAAGCGTTCCACCTACGCCATGTACTTGATGGAGCTAGAGCTCAAGAAGCAGCAAGAAGAGGCACAGGCTCTTACCAACTCCCTCAACGCCGTCACCCCTGTGGCTTGAGTTCTTGCTTTGCCTTGTGCCCCTTGATTTTGCATACCCCCCGGCGTTTCCTGCGTGATACCTATGTTCCTGGCGTGTCTCTGAGCGACTTATGACTTAATTTTACCTTCAAAAGACAGTACTGCGGTACTAGTCACACTTTCTCACTCCCCGCCCTTGTAGGGCACTGTACATAGGGAGTCTGAGATATGATTACGATACTGCTACATGATTATCTTGCATGACTCAATGAAAAGAATCAATTTATTAAATTCGTCTGAACAAGTTCCCCGTAGACTTCGTATTTCAACTTTACTGTTCTAGGTTTGTGTGCATCACTTGGTAAATTAGTGTGGCAGCGAACCCTAATCCATCATCTTCCTTACGCTCGTTTCACGGCTCGATCCACATGCCGATCACTTTCGCCTCGCTGTCCTGATTCCTGGAAGATCAATAACAGCAACATGCACGAACTCAGCCAAGAGAAGGAGTGTCGTATATCAAAGCCTCGCACCACCTGGACAGAAACCCAAAGATCAACTTAAGTATCCGTCTTCTAAATCTCATGTGATTCATCTTACTCGACCAATACTTTGCGGCGCCATTTTGACATTCGTACTAGAAAAAAAGACAAACACGAAGCACTGGCCTGCTGGTGCCGTTTTGAAATAAATCACAGAAACCTGTACAAGGATGATTTTTGGGTTATAACGCCCGGTGAGCCCCTCATGTTTCTCAATGCTGACAAGAAACCCCATCAAGTTGGCACAATTTACCCCACTATAAGTCGCCAGATAAGAGCCTAAAGAAACAGAATTTTCCGACTCTAAATGCCCAACAACTTGCCCCTCTTTTCCATACCGTGAGAGACTAGTCATTGCCGACGCCCCGCTATTGTTCGCGATACGAAGGGAAATAATTGTGTTTCTCCAGATTCTCTATGGTACAAATTAGGCTAGGAGAGAGTAGCCAGGAGTTTGATATTGATATTGTAAGATATTGTAGTTGAACACTCAGAAGTTCGCCCACAAATTGACCATATTTCTGACAAATAGCTCTTCTTTATGCTGCAGTATTCTAGTCTGATAGTCTAGTATAATTCAAAAATCCCACTACTCTTCCGTGATACCTGCCTGAATTCCACTCTCCAGCACTTGAATGAATCTTGTCACATCTGACCGGACATTATAAAACCCAAATGAAACCCTTACACCCCAATGAAAGATAGAAACAACTGTTTCATTGGCTTTGAAGTGCTCACTCCATCGAGGGTTGAACAGTTTCAAAGTATAGAGATGAGGAGCATGTCGACCGCCTGGGCCCAGGATTTTGATACCAAGACGCTGGCATCCTTGACGAAGAAGTTCTCCAAGCTTGTGTAAATGCTGTTGAACATCATTTGGGTTGATCACATCCAGATAAAACCGAAGAAACGCTTTTGCAGCAACAGCTCCGATGAGACACATGTTTGCATGCTCATATCTTCGAGCTGTTGGGTGGAAGGCAACTGGTCCCGAAGAAACTTGAAAATCTTCCGAAGGGTCAAAGACTGACCCGTAGCTGACCAAAGGTGGCACAGGGTCATTTTTGTTGATGAAATCCTCAGACACGTAAAGAACGGCTATGCCAGTAGGGATATTAAACCCTTTATGGAGGCTGAATGCCGCCGCGGAGACTCCCAGCGCCTGAATATCCACATCCGTAAATCCGACCTCTTGAGTAAGATCTGCCAGAATTTCCACCCCCTTAGGTTTGAAAGTTTTGACAATATCTGCAATATCATTCCACTGTCCGTTGTGGAACATGATCGAGCTCAAGCCAATGCAGCGAGTTCGTTCGTCAACAAAGGAAGCAAATGTAGCAGCGTTTGCAGGACTCTTTTCATCCTGATCAGTGGGCACCTGTCTAACTTCGAGACCTGCTTTCCGAAGTGATAGCCACCCGTATGCTTGGTTAGGGTGCTCACAGTCTAGAATGACCACATTATCACCCGGTTGAAAAGCAAGACTGTGCATGAAAGAGCCCATTCCTTCGGTGGTGTCTCGTGTGAAGGCAATTGAGGATGGCTTAGTGTTGAGATACTGCGCAACGAGTTCTCGTGCATTCTCAACGTCCTTCTTCCAATCGGACTTCGGGGAGCTATGATGCAGCCCTAGTTCGCAGAATCGGTCAATGGCATCGCGGATTATCAAATTTGACGGCGGCATGAATGCAGCATTAAGGTGAAGAACGTTGTGCTCCGATACCAGCGGGACGAGTGGGCGCATGATCTCGAACTTTGTGTTCGAGGATGTAGATGAATGGACATTCTGCTTCGAGCGCATCGTTGCTTCATCAACAACTGTGGTGGGTATACTGATAGGAGCCATGATATTGAAACACCCTTGATTCGTGAGAAGTGAAGAAGAGTTAAAAAACAGACAATCTTGGAAACTGGATGAATAGCAACGACGGTAGTTGTGGTGCTTTCTTCTATAGTCTCAAGGCGGCAAACAGTACATTATTTATATCACGGTCTTATCTCAATGAGATTACGCTCTGGGGAACAATGTCGCTGCTCATCAGTGGGGCTTTCATTCCAAGGTTGTCACCATCTACTTCGTATAGGAATACTGACTGGTTGTATACACCACTTGAGATTATTGTGGAGCACCGGAGAGGCAAGTCCGGCGCTATGCCAATCGAGGCCGCGCCTAAATTGTTTTTCCGGGCCCGCTCCTATAGACCCACCTGCGCCACTTCTCGGAGTTGCGTCTCCGTGTACAGAATACATGCGATAGCCCTGTTCTCTCAGCAGCACTAGGTGCAGGAAGCTATGCATCGATTATCGTGAGTGATCCTGCTCCTCTTCCGGCTATTCCAAAGTTAACTGGTAGTATGAAGATGTAAAAGGTGTCAGCTCAAAAAGGTAGGTTCAGAATCGGATTTGGTTGGTGCATGGTTGGCCTTGGTCGGTTTAATCATCTTAATTTGAAACTTCGAAGGAGGCAAAAAAACAAAAAAGAACGCAACCGCAAATCAAATGAGCAATAGTGCAAAATGGTCCAAAAGGAACAAGGAACTGACTTTTTACTGCCATTTTACGATCTAGCTTAAGTGTTCTCGGACAGATCCATGTGAGAGCTGTCAGAAAGCCCGGACTACATGCGAGTATCGTGGAATCGACCAAAAAAGACGCCCGGCTTCCCATGATCATGTTGTTCTCCTCCAAAATCGAGTAACTTGGCTGGAAGAGTTCATAAGAAACCTCCAGCATGCAGGGCACGCCGAGAGAGATGTTTTGTTGCAATCAGTTTCACTCGGGGCAGCACCGCCCCGTTCTTCATCAAAGCAAGACCTTCTCGATCCCTGGACAGTTGGCAGTTTGAATAATGCCACTTTTCAACTAGGAATCGAGGGGCCGCTCTCATATCATGGACCAACCAGCATTTACCGCATCTTCTCAAACCATGGACACAGCGAGGGCTATAACGAACGCTCTGCTGCACGAGTCGAGTCGATGTCAAATGTCGATGATGTCCTTTCTCATTTCGGTATAGTCATTGACTCAGAGATTGTCACTAGTTCGTTGATGTTATTTTTCAAATGGCAGTACCCTCACTTCATGTTTGTCTACCGAGATGCCTTTCTTCGAGGTCATTTCGGAGATCGCGCTGGAAGTAAATACTGGTCGACCACTCTTCTGATGGCTATATGTGCACTTGGGTCGCTACTTTTTGATGACACTGCAAGCCAAGCTATGAGCGAGCAATTTTATGGGGCGGCAGAGAGCATCGCCCTAGTCACAGGTCTTACGCAACCGTCAATCCTTACTGTTCAAACCTTTTTATGCTTGGCACACTATGAGATCGGGCGAGGTAACCCATCAAAAGGATGGGCATATTCAGGTGAATTCACTCAGATCCTTGATTTCTAAATTTTGTGGTTGTTGATGTGCCAAAAACAGGCATAGGGTTTCGCATGGCCCAAGAGTTAGGCTTCCAGAAAGATCCCAAAACCTGGATCATCCATGATGCTTCAATAACAACTCTTGAAGATCTGGAAATACGCAGGCGCATATACTGGGGATGCTATATTTCAGACAAATTGATCAGCCTGATCCTTGGAAGGCCAGTACACCTTGGCTACCGTGATGGTGAGGTAGAAAATTTACAAACCCAGGAGTCTGTAGTGCCCACCATTTCCTATCATAAACCGAGAAGCTTATCATTTACCAGAGACTCCCCATTTATGAAACAGTGGCGCTCTATCGGATTTGATGACGACAGGGAAGAACATAATTCCATGATACCCTATGTCAAGGAACAGATCAAGCTTTCACGAATTATCGAGAAAATGCTTAGTACATTGTTCAATTCTCAGTCAGAATTTGACGGCATCGCTCGCCGGGATACCCTTGACAGCTTAAACATTGAGTTGTGCCGGTGGAAAGCCGAATTGCCAGCCTGGTTGGATTTCAACAAATGGGACCCAATTGCCTGCCCTATGAAACCGAGTCTTGCTGCACTACAGTATGATATATCGCAGTTTCCAACTTGACTTTTCGAAAATTACTGACTGAAGGATTTAGCGTGCTTTTTCATAGTGCCCGCATGGCTCTCAACTTCGACGAAGGCTTCTCAGCGGGTACTACTAGCATAGGCGAACGATCACGTCAATTATGTCTGTCTTCAACCGATGAAATCACTTCCATTTTGCGAAAAGTACGACATCAATATGGTTTGAAGTATTCACCGATCATTTTTATATATGGGATTGTTCAAGCAAATAGAACCCTCTCTGCTTTTGGAGCTTCTGAAGGATGCAATTCACTCCTGGCAGTTTTGGAAGAATGCTCGGTGGCATGGGTCCTCGCTCGGCAGATGAAGGGGCGAGCATCACTGGGTTACGCACCAAGTGTCCAAGCTGAATGTTCCTCTGATGAAATAGTAGCTTAAATGGGGCTTCTTCGGCTTTATTTTACAAACCAAATCGAAAATTTGTTCATTATTTCACAACGTCACGAATCACTCACTCTTGTTTCAGTATCATAATAAGTTCAATGATTTCGACGTCGATATCTTTAAATGGACTAATATATTATTGGGGTTTGTAATTTGACTCGTCACCTGGGCATGCTGTACACCCCGAGGTCCTCGCCGTACAGAAGAAGCTCAAAGTACATATTCTTCTAGGTACTGATATATTCGACCATAGCTGCCAGATTTTACTGTCACATGATGGCCCAGAATATGTTATCAAAGCGTGTAAAGATTAGGAGCGGCTCCATATCCATCAAATCGCTCCAAAATCTTCTTGTTTTCCTTGCGTAACAAAAACTTCATGGCGAAGCACAAGAGTGCCTCAAGCACACAGAAGGCCATGAGCAGTAGCATCGCAGTTGTATAGCGAGGTGCGTCATTGGAATTGAAGAAATAAGGACTCCAGATGCTGCCAAACTGGCCAATGACGTTGATGATAGCTGTAGCGCAAGCTTTCTTCTCCGGGGTACTGCTCACACTACTTGCCGCCCAACCATATAGTGTAGCATTGGCCCCAAATACACCGCTGATGTACAGAAAAGAAGCACAATAGCGGGCTGGAATGCTTAGCACTGACACACTGATGATGAAACCGACAGTGGCAACGATGATAGGTAGCGCAATATGCCAACCTCTCTCCCCCCACACGATCGCTAGACCAGGCAATCAGGTAGGCAACTATAGCACCCACGATGTAGGGAGGAGCTGTGCAAACGAGAGTGATAGTGCGAGTGCCGAGGTCAAAGCCCTCGACAATGGAAGGGTAGAAGTAGTTGAAACCATAAGCGGTCTGGTTTGCACATAGCATCAATGCCTGTTTCGTCAAATTAGCTATATGCTCAAGTCTCTTTTCAAAATACAGATTCTTAACATGATGGCGTAGAACATAACTCACAAAAAGCCAGACTTTTGGGTCAATCACTGAAGCTTTGAGACCACGTAGTAATGAGTGATTGTCATCTTCAACTGAGATGGCATCTCTTCTCATACGCTCAACTGCAACGTGGCGCTCATACTCAGTGAAAAGCCACTTTGTACTACCAGTCTCTGATTCAACAAAGTCCGGAAGAAGGAAGAAAGCCAGCAGTCCAAACACCAAGCTGACTAGTCCTTCGATAATAAATAGCCATCTCCAGCCTGCGAGTCCTTGCTTGTTTTCAAGTCCAGCAAAAATGCCGGCTGCTAGGAGGCCCGAGAAAGCGGTGGCTAGGACTAACCCTGAATATAAAACAGCGTATCGAAGTGCTAGCTCCTTTTTTGTATACCAGCATGAAAGCAAGTAAAATACTCCTGGGAAAAATGGCGCTTCACATATTCCAAGGAAAAAGCGAATAGCGGTTAGGCCGGCGAAGTTTTGAACAGCAGCTGTTGCGGCAGAGAGGCATGACCAAATACAGACCCAAAGAGGTATGTAAATAGACGGTCTGACACGGGTCAGGAGCATGTTACTCGGAACTTGCATCAGGACATAACTATGACGGGAATTGTTAGTTAAATAACAATAAATTAGCGTCTGATCTCACCCAATGCTTAGGATAGAAATTGCAATATTGTATTCATTTCCTTCTAATCCCAGTTCTTCTTCGATTGTATCCAATTTGGCTTGACTGTGATTCCTGATATTAGTGATTGACTCAATGTAATCCAAAGCTGCCAGAAGCTCACGCGATGTTGTTTCGATCCAAATAATTGAGCAAATATAAGACAAATACCATAGGCATGAGGGTCATATCAAGCTTTCGTACAAGACTTTGCTCATTAATAGCATAGTTCTCGTCAATGATATCTCCCTCGCCCTTGTCAATCTGGGGGATCTGGTCTTGGTAATCATATTTCATATGATTACCGTCGGTACTTTCAGGTGTTGTTCTTTCCATTGTCGTAGGCAATATGTCAAGGCTTTGGCAGCTCAACTAAAATTTTGATGAGTAGTAAGTATAACATTTGAGATCTTTCTTGCGCTTTTTATAGTCCGGATTGACGTTGCGGTATTCCCCGGTTTTGCGGGGTATGCAAAGGGTACTTGCATGGTTACGAGGAGCCACGCTTAGGGAGATAAGAAATCATGCATTGGGTACGGAGTATTAGATACAGAGTTCCTGATCTTCCAAGGTTCTGGCTGAGAGGGATAAATCTATGAAGCCAAAGGAGCCCCACAAAGGAACTTTTGGCGTGTGCGGCGATAGGCCCTGCCAATCGTTGCCATGCAGACCCCGGAGTTTGGTCTCCGGCCCCAGTTTTATTTAGTGCCAACTCCCGGAGCTTTGTCTCCGGCCCCAGATATATCCATCGTGTTATCGCCAACTGCCTGTCAGTTATTCATTCGAACACGAGATAATGGAGTTCCTAGGTAATTGTTTATCGACGATTTAAATATACTGTTCGACCTGTAAACAACCCGAAATCTGCTGACCAACGAGGATATCTCTACTTTTCTATTTCCATTTCCGCCTTTTTTCGACGCCCTCGAATATCGATTTAATAAGATAAAAATATCTCTGGCCGATAAGCTAGCTTTATAAGAAAGTTCTTCCATATCTTAGGACCAAAAAGAGAGTATTCATTGTAAGAGCGGTTCCTCTTCGATTTGTGTTGATTCGGATGAACCAGCTGATAATGAACACAATTTGGAATACCACGAAGAGAATGGCACAAGGATGACTCCGGCACTCCAGTTGGAGCCTGTGGCTGCCCAAATAGTCAGGCTCCCCGCAGGTAGATAGATCTAGAGCTCCAGGGCTCTCTCTTCTCTTCTTCTGCTCTCCTCTCTTCTCCTCTTCTTCTCTCTTCTCCTCTTCTCCCCGTCCATTTTTAACTCTACAGTCTGAATCCCAGTGTTCTCACAGCGTTTCCTGCTTCTTCCAACAGATCAGCTCGTTGAGTGGTTTTTTGGTGGACGCGTGTTAGGGGCTTTACTTGCGGTTATATCATCAATCATCCAAGACCGACTTTCTGGGCACTCTGCGTATTCAAAGACATTACACATATCCCACTTTATCCTGTTTCCATACTTAACGTATGGCTGGGTACAAGGGCGGCGTCATCATCTGCGGAGCGTAAACTAAGCAAGCAAACAAACAAACAAGTATCCATCATCATGAAGCCGAAGGCAAAGCTGGGTGTTCGAGAAAGCCAGACTCAAGACTCAAGGTGAAACAGATTGATCAAGACCCCCAACGCACGTCACATTGTGGTCAATTTGACGCAGAGACTTACATTCCTTCGAGCAATAATAGGCCGCATCGCACTCAGTGCATGGAAACAGCGGCCTGTCAAAGGACGGAGTGAAATGACAGTATTCACAGCCTCCCTCCATCTCCACTTTTTCCTCCCCATCGTCTGTTAGACAACAATCATACATCGACATCGCATGCAGGATGTCGTTTTTCCATTTCTTCCAGCATTCGCCAGCAATTTGAACTGTCTGGGCGTCGGAAACCTGAACAGTACACAGTTCAGATCGGATGCCAACGGTGCGGCACCTGGCGGAAACGACACGTGCAAGGAGTGGATCTTTGGTGCTCCAGCTATAAGGAGCGAAAGAGCTCTTGTTCTCTGCCACTGGGGGGGGACATGCCATCGAATTCGGTGACAATGCTTCCAGCAGGAGTGGGACAATAACCTTGGCTTGGTCTTTGATTGAAAGATTGGAGATCTGGGTTCGGCCTTCGCCGTGGAAGTATCGGCCGTGTGGATTGACGATGAAGACAAGTTCCCCTTTGTATCCAGGCATTGGTCTAATTTCAAAATGCCAGTGGTTGGGCAGACCGCCTACATCGGTCTCGGGGCGCTGGAGACGGTTGAAGTGCCGCAGCTGCATGGCGGTGGTCATATTTGATATGGTTGAGCGGTCTTGAAAGCAAGAATTCGGTAATACTTTATAAACTGGAGATTTGAATCTCTCCTGTCTGTTAAAATTTGCAGTTCACGATGCCGCAAAATTTCCATCACTAAATTTGTTGATGGTTCCACACACGCGCTTTTGACCCGCGATTTACTTGACCCATTTGAATCGCACTACTCCGTACTCCGAGGTCGGTACCTGAGTCACTGCTACCTCTTACAATAATTCTTATTTTATTTAAATAAGAGATGATGGTAAATATCGTAGATGAACATGTATATCCCTCATTCTAATGCCGCAACGATCCTTTGCAAAGCCACTGTCAATAGCTCATGACCCTGCGTAACCACGATTCGGAACCATCCCTTCTTCTCAGACCCGAAAAGGAAGCCAGTGGCCAAAAAGACCTTCTTCCGCATAAGACGCTGCATTACTTGCTCTTCAATATCTCCGTCCCCGACCTCGGGATGAAGCTCACGATATCTCTTACCGAGGTTCATCCAAACGAAAAAAGCAGCATTACAGCCCGTGGCATATTCGATACCGTGCTGTTTGAGATATCTTGTGGTATATCCATGGGCTTCAGAAAGCTTTTTCTGATTTTGTTCGATATACCGGTTGGTGTAGTCGTAGTCTTCGAGCAGCAGGGATGTCAAGTGGTCTGTAATACCCGATGCTTGAGAATAGAGCGAAGTTCCTTGCAGTGCGCTGTGGACGTTGCGATTTGCCTGGGAGATAATGACTCCCAGTCTTATTCCATTCGCACCGAAGTCCTTGCTCATGCCCCAGAGAACGTGGACAAGACCTGGGTCTATGATGCCGGTTGGGTCGATTGACAAGGCGGACTCAAATTTCACAGGGGCCGGATGGTCATCAACTGTGTTCTCGAAAATGGAGAGAGCATAGATCTCATCACTGATCAAGTGGACTTGATACTTTTGGCAAAGCCGCATAATCTTGATAAGTACCTCTCTGGGGTAGCAACGGCCCAGTGGGTTGTGGGGGTGACATAGCATCAAAGCTTTGACTTTTTTGCCAGTCCGCTGCTGGAACTCCAAAATTGCTTCTTCATACTTATCAACACCCCCGAGGCTGAGAGGATCATGTTCATCGAAGCTGACAGGAACGACAGGGCTCCCGGAACGAAGGGAGATATCAGGTATAAACATTCCGTAGTACGGTCTTCCTAGAAGGATTCCTTCGCCGGGATCCGCAAATGCCCATGCAACATGCTCAATTGCCGGCGAGACGCCGTTGGTGGTCATAAGGTGGCTGGGCTCTAGGGGCGTGACTGGTTTGAGGTGATGATTCAAAAATGAGGCAACAGCTCGTTTCAATCTAGAGGACCCGGTCCCGCCTTCATTGTAGGTGAGGTATTTGGCAGGTAATTCGAGTTTTTGGTTGAGAAACTCCAACAATTCATCGTGCATCAATGTGTTTTCGGCCACGCCCACGTTGACGTATCCATTGGGATTCTTCGCGGGACACCACACATCACTCATCACATCGTGGAAGGGATTATCGGCTCCTGCGTTTACCACGGCTTGGGCTCGGTTGGATAGCGCCGATTGAGTCATTGTGGTGGAGGTGAGAATTTTCACGATCAGATTTCGACAATGTGGCTCGCAAAGGGACAGAAATCCAGTCAAACTTTGGAAACCAAAGAGTGTAAAATTCTTTAACACCTGAACTGCTGGCCGAAGGTCAAACCGCCTGATAATCCTGGAGGTGATTGAAGCATGGGCTCGAGTATCCAGTGTGGGGATTGGGTCCGAGGCCGGTACGAGCTGACATAACTGGGATGGACTCAATGGGAGAGCGCTGAAGATGCGATGTTACATTGCCACAAGTGGAGACCTCCAACTCAACTGCATTGCCTCAAAATGAAAGACCATGTTTCTGTGTACAGACGTGGGCTGGGGTACCTGGGGTTTGGGGGAAATGCCAAGCATCGTGAATATCCAACCCCGCGTCACTTAATTCTCACGTCCATCATAATCTAATCTCTGCGCAGCTAGAATACTACATCAATTTTGAAGAGCAGGTCTCCGTCGAACAAACTAATCTAAAGATATACCTGATTATAATATTCTAGTGCTTTAATGGGAATTTCTTTTATGAAAAGACGAAGGAAAACAGAGTAGAGAGATATTGCGCTAAAGAGTAACACTTGAAAGTGAGAAAAAATGAAAATCTGAAAGGCTGAAAAAACACTGGTCAAGTCCATGGTTGACAAACAGCAGACTCCACCACCAAAGTATTCACAAACAATGCGAATCATTCAAACAGGCCCAAAGATAACCTTGACCGAGTTGGTAAACACAAGGTTTCGGGGGACTATCTGAACAGACCGGAGAGCGATCGACGGGTTTCTCACCTGCGTCTGCATTCTCTCCCTTGGAATCTCAACATGAACACGACGAGGTCTGACTTCGACAGGAAGCACATCACGTCCCAGGGATTTGGCGTAGTCGTTTGCTAAGTGGAGCGCGTTAAGGAGCGCCATCTCTCGAACTTCGGCATCAGCCAATTCATGGGAGGCTTTAGAGAGATCCCAGCAAATTTCATCAATGCTAACCCCAGGGATCTCTGTGATCTGGTTCGCGAATTCACGTAGTTTGGTGAAGTTGCCAAAGGTGACATGCAGTTCAATAGCAGCTGAATGGGTGCGACAAATGGGACCCCAGGGGGTCAGCCGACTGGATTGAGTACTGGCCTGTGCCTGTGGGCTGCCCCGGATGCTGGCTTGCCCGATGGCCTGGATTAAGGCATGGGTGTTATCCTGAGCAAGGGCTTGGGCGCTGGTTGGGGGACTGGTCTGAATATAGGCCGCCATGATAATATCGAATAAGGACTGGGTGCGGGCCTCAGTGCTTTGAGTGCTGGCTAGGGCCCTGTCTCGGTCGATGAATTCCATGATGAGATTGAATAAGGCCAGGGCATGGGCCTGATTGCGGGCCTGATTGCGGGCCTGGGGGCTGGCTTGGGTGTTGGCCTGGGGGCTGGCCTGAGTACTGGCATGGGCGCTGGCCTGAGGAGTGGCATGGGCGCTGGCCTGAGGAGTAGCATGGGCGCTGGCCTGGGTGTGAACTTGAGTACGGGCCTCGGTACTTGAAGCAGGGGGATGGGACCATTGGCTTGCTTCGCAGTACATGGGAGACACAGACCAATCGATGATCGCGGCATCGGGAGCTGGGCCCCCATCCTCAGTTCGAATGGCGAGCGGAGCGATCATTCCATGAAGCTTCTCGGATATCCTCTGGATTTCGTTGACGGTAATCACCTTTGAGAGAGAAGTTGACTTGGCGGTGATATTGACCACCCCAATCTCTGGAACACGTTCGAGTCTGTGACGACCGTGAAGTTTGATCTTGAGAGGAGCCATTGTGGACAGACAAGAGTAGGCAAAGCAGAGGAAGCTTGAAGTAGAAGCTATGAAGATGGAAACGGAAAAGCGCGAGGCAGAGCAATAAAATTGGTCTGGATAGGACAAGATGCACGCGTGGGAGAAGAAGAAAACAACAAACAAGAGAGCGCGAGGTCTTTTATCGGCATCACCGTGACTCCGGTATAAGAAGGCGGCGTTCTTCTGGATCACGAGGGAGATCACGGGAGCAAACAGATCAGACTATCGCACCTCCCAGCTTTGTGCAAAGGGACGACCATGGAAGCACGTGAGCATGCATTGGACTATACAGAGTGAGCTCTTTAAATCGGAAGAAAGCCCACACTGGGCTTTCAATGCTGATCTGATTCCATTCTGTTTGATATTTTGATCCTATGTTCGGTTGATATCAGACAACGCTGAAACACACGATCGACTGACTAGCCGAACATTGGCTCCTGCTTGGCCCCCTCAACAGGAGCAAGATAGCTCGGACGGTCCTTCACATAGAACTCAACATCAACTTTGCCGCGGAGGTTGGCTTCGCCGCCATCTAGACCTCCGGCCTTGACGACTGTGTTGTCAGGCATGACTTCCAATTCGGTGTAGAGACTAGATCCGCAGTTTGAGCAGAAGAAGTGCTTGTTGACTTTGCCACTGGCGCCAATGGCATCGTAAGTCTTTGGTGTTCCTAAAATCATTGTTAAGAAACACGAGTCATGGATTGAGGTAGATGCTGAAATTACCCTTGGTCACCTTAAAGCTGTTGCGGGGAACAACAGCATTGGAGGTGAAGGCACCGCCAGTCCACTAGTTGATGTCAATCCTCATTCCATGGCGTTAAAAATCAACATAGCCCTCCTGTTCGGTATTTACCTTTTGGCAGTCGGTGCAATGGCACAAAGCGGACAGGTAGTTGTCAACTGATAGGTTGTGTTAGTTAGCCCAAGCAAAGTATTAGCTGCTTTTAGTGCATACCTTCAACGGTGTAGGTGATACCACCACACATGCAGCTTCCGGTAAGTGTCATATTGGATATTGATTTCAATGGGGCAACTAGGAGAGAACCTTGGGGGAATCAAAGAACAAGCGGGGAAGCTGTTGGTCTTTTAAGTTCGGAGCTTTCGGTCTTCGATTTTGGTGCTCCCCCACTTCAAACGCCGAGGACCGAGAGTGTGGTCGTTGGGGTTGAACAATGCCATTGATGAAAGCTATTGTTGGCGAAAGTAAGTACGAAAAGTGCAGGGATTAGAGCCAGTGTCTATTTTTAGTGGGTGTCATTAGACGTGCAGGAGAAAAAAGATTGGCATCATTCCTAGAAACAAGAGCCTGCTTTATATACACGTAAATTCCAAAGCAGTAAGAACAAGACGCCAGGTTCCTAGATTCAAATCACATTAGAGACAATCAGAGAATAAGAAATAAGAGAAAGTAAGGTTGACAAGACAGTAATGGTATATCACTTCAAAATCCACGTGAAAAGGGTCATTGGAAGACAAGAGACAGAAGGAAAATCGGGGGAATGAATGGACAATAACCGGGGTATAGAGAAGATTTAGACTGGGATCTTGATCGAACTATAATGAGACGGTTCAAAGCTCACAGGGTGGGTAGAGTTAAAGGAGTTAAGAGTATTGACAAGAATTGAGGGCGGTCGACTTGATCCAAATGCCGTGCCCTTATATGAGCGTGGTTCTGAGAGACGAACTCAGGTTTTTGGTTTTTTATTTGCACCTTCCCCTCCGGACCCTCCCTCCGGGCTTTTTCTCTTCTTGTCTTGATCGTCTTCTCGAGAAAAGCCGGGGCCATTTTGTACTGCCGGGGTCGGGAAATTGAGGGGACTGGGCAGCATGTTGGAGTCTGGGCCGGAGCGACCAAAGCCCCATTCAGGGAAGAAGCTGGAGGGCGATGGGAGGAGAGCGTCGGATACAAAGCGGCTTGGTAGGGCTGATATGGGCGTCTCGATATTATTCGAGTTGTTCCCATTGCCTGGATTGCCACTGTTGCTGCCATAGGAATCATTCCGGGTTGCGGGAACTGGGGGCGGTGGTCGTGCAAAGGGGTTCGGCGGCCCCTGGGCTCCCGCGCTTAGTATTGCACCTGCTGACGGCGATGGTGGGGGTAGCACCACGCCCGAGCCACTATTTTCCGCGCTGGTTTTCGCAGGTGTCGAGGTCTTGTTCCCAGCAGAATCCCGCGAAGAATCGGCGGTGGCACTTCCACCGCCATCGGATTGTTCGCTAGGAATTTGCACCTTCAATTGGGGTCGTTTTGGTGGTAACGGCCCGCTATTGGTCCGTGATGGTTTTGGTTCCGATTCTGACCTAGGAGCTTCTGTGGCAGCTCTGACTGGTATGGACTGTAAACCGGGTGAGCCTTGTGGCCGTCCTTCCACCTTGAGAGGGTGGTTATTGTGTGGCATCTCATAGGAGGGCGCCCCTGCGCCGAAATGGCGGGCGAGCACAGAACCTCGGTCGTCAATGGGCGTGAATATACTGCGGGATTTAGACAAAGACTTGATCTGGGGCGGCGATTGGTTGTGGTCCGGCTTCAGTCCCGAGGGCTCTTCCTGGGGTTGTTCAGACCCGTGTCGATCTTGGTGGCCATCAGGCGCGAATCCTGGGGGAAGTGAGCCTCTTCCATGCTCATGCATATATGCCTGTGAGACCTGCTGCACCTGCGGATGAGGCGCGGATGGCATGCCTTGATGGGGGGTGTTGCTGTGGGTGTTGCTGGAAGTGCTGCTGGGGTTGGTGTTGAGGTGGCATCTGCTGGGGTAGACCGTGGTGCATTGGAGGCGTTCCTTGGTGTTGCCCCGATGGGTGCGGGTAGTGTGCGAATTGACCGGGTCGAGGTTGTTGATTCATTGCGTGAACGTTCGGATTGTACATAGACGGGTTTGGCATGTATCCAAAATTCCCATTTTGGGAACCAGGGGGTGGCGGCGGCGGTGTTCCATGTTGCTGGGGACCTAGATTGGAGCTGACTCGACGGATGTGGTTTCTTGAAGATGGGCGCGAGGTGCCTTGGGATACCGGTGTGCCATGGCGAGTTAGGGTCATGCCATGATGGATCGGGGGAGACGCGGACGGTGCATGATTTATATGCTGGAAAGCGGGAGTATTCTGAAGGTGGGCGGGTAAAGCGGGGTGGCTCTGAGTCTGTACAGCTTGGATTTCTTCGGGGGCTGGTGAAACCTCGTCGTCCTCATCATCATCCTCCCGCTTGTTGGCAAAATCTTCCCGTCCTTTGTGCTCGTGGGGAGGTCCGAACTAGGGAATCAACATTAGTACTCGGTTTCAATAATAAATATGTTCAAGCATGAGCTAAGGGCCGTAATTGCTACTCACATATTGGTAGCGACCAAGCGCGTCGTGCATATCGCATGATGAATACTCGTATAGTTTCTTGTTCTGGCCAAAAATAATCACGGCGACATCAACGGAACAGAGGACAGCAAGTTCATGTGCCTTCTTGAACAAACCACCCTTGCGCTTCAAGAAAGTCCTAAATGCGAAGCGCCAGTCAGTCGCGGGCCTCCTGGGAAGCAGGAAAATTCACTTACACGGAGCGGTTGCGGTCATCCTTGATGGCCTTGATCTCGATCTTTCTCCGACCCATGATTAATTACGAGCGCAAGATATGCGCGCCGACGTGGGATCGATGGGATCGGGCTAGACACCGTAATTCGCAGCAATTTACGGGAATACCGAGGTTTTTCTCTTCAATTTGTAAGGCGACGCGATGGCGATAGTATCCGCGCCGGGTGTGTCAAAGGGCCGATACTTTCAGCAGTCGCAGAACCGACAAAGCGTGAAACCATGGGCCGAGTCTTTGAATGTGATGAAACCTCTATGGGGTACTCGAGCGGGGGTTGGACAACGCGACAGCAAAGAACCAAAGAAACGAGACCCCTCGGAGTTCAAAGTATAGTGAACCCGAGGAGAAAGAGTTCGAGAAAGGGAAAACAACACAAAGGTAAAAAAAAGTGAACCGTAGAACGATGCTGCAAAGGATGTTGCTAAATTTAGGATCGAGGAGAGGATTTGCAGGGTGGCCGGTGGCCGAGCTGACTCAGCTTTTTAAGCGCCCTGCGAAAGGGTCTTGATGCTGCTATTTTTAGCTTATGCAGTGGCTTGTCACTGTCACAATAGACTGGACTGGCTCACTAGCCACTCTGTTGTGTCAGTTCTACTTCGGCATCCAGCAGAGTACGGAGTATCGCAAGATGAATTCACATTGCTTCCACTTTGAGTCTCCTATAAGTGCAAATATCATGATTGTGGAAAATATGAACTTCTCCCCCTACCTTCCAGAATTTACAGTCTGTTCTTATTCCTCAAGTCTCGTCAATCACAATCCATGGGCATGGGGCTTATTCTATACATGATTATTTGACACCTTGTGTGGCGTAGTACTCCATACCAGGTGAGAGCTTGGCTTCCCGCTAAGGCACTCCGCATGATTGCTCCCTTTGGTACTAAAAGGCTAGTACCAAAGTTCCCAGAAAGATCACTACTGTGAAAAATGATGAGTAAAAATCTTGGCTTATCTTATAGCTGGTTAAATTGGGCTGTCACCCCTTGTTCGTTGCATCTACTGGTCCTCCGGGTAATTTGTAACGCGAGTCTTAAACCCCAGCTAGCTTCATGCATGCAGCTCATTTCAAGAACATAGGCAGTGTTACGGAGTGGATCCCGACAGCTCTCTTAGGCGCAATCCATGGATCCTCTTGCAATAATGTTCCAAGGCTGTTCTTACATTCTGCCGAAGGAAAACCAGCAACCCGATTCCAAGGTCATCACAGCGCCCACAGCAGCCTTAGGGCATCCACTCTCACGCCTACTTTTCTTTTAGCCGATAGATACTGGACTGAGAAGATCCTACTCAAGGCTAAAATTGTGGTGGTGCACGTCAGGTCTCACTTTCATGGTCGAAAGTGGCTGTGAAGTATACATCCGTGACAATGGGCGCCTCACAGTTCATTCCGCCGAAATCGGCCAAGGTGCTGCACCATCACGTTTGAAACCTTGGAGTAAGCATTGGTGAGCTCTTGGCTGCTCGGTTGCCGTATTCGATGTCATTTTTTTGACAAATTTCAAGGTTGCTTCCTGGTCTATCATTGCGGGAGTTTGATCCGAGGGATATGATATACCGCACAGAGGCTCAAACAGCCTACCGAAGGTTCGAATAACATCGAGCATATTTGGCGCTATTGTTTTGCGTTGGAGCCTGATGTTTGATATGCTAAATGACAGAAGTTGGGCCGCTATAGTTTGATAAAAGTGTCATTTGAAGCCAACTGCCACGATAGAGTGTAAGCAGTGCTAATATCAACCTTGGAACTCCCACACTCAAAATTAAAACACCTTGTTTATAGCAGAGGAAGTATAGATGTAGTAAGTAGTACTCCGTAATCAACACCCAGAAGGGCTGAGTATATCGGAGATGCAGAAGTTGATACGGTTGATCGGGCCCCACCTAAACGCGGGAGCATCTCAACCCGAATGTTACCGGCAACTTCGTTACCATTTTCATACAATCCATGCAGTCTTAATTGTCTGTACTTTATTGCACTGCAAGGTTAAAGTTTATATGAACATATAGAGCTATACGAAGTAATGAGTATGGAGTATATAGGCAGAGATTTCACACCAAGCAAGGCGGGCCCATCTGACTGGACGTTCCAAGGTTCTTTTGTTTACATATCAGATCGGAGTCTTTTCCCTGTCCACGGGTACTCCGTACTTTTGTCACGAAAAACAAAGAGGACCCCTAGTTACTCCGTACGGAAGACAGATTTAGGCCGATGTCTAATTAATTTAAAGATAAGCTCCTAATATACGGAGTGATCCGTATGCAATGCCTTACTATGGCTAGCCCGACTTTAAGTAACCAGATCTCCAAGTCCTCTAGCCCCAAATCTAGAGCGGTTAGCGTTTCAGTACCTCATACTTAACCGTTTTAATTCTAGTGCGGCACAGCCGTTTGACCAGTCGTGATCGTCGGAGGCCACAGACTCTCTCATTTGACACGTTAAAATGGGCTTGACACGTCGGACGTGTCTGACAGATGCAAAATAAAAAAGTCCACTTAGTAAGGTCAGGCAGCTGAAAAGACTCGGGAGATATAAATCTACTCCGTATCTGAACCAAAGATCGGAGATGATGATCGCCAGCATCATCCATATCCTCTTAATTCTACCCTTTTACCCTCAAATTTAAGGAGCCTGGTACACACTTGTGTGGGATCTAACTGAGTCGCGGGTACGTTAGTCTCGTTTACCCCTGAGCTTCTTTTCTTCTTCACCCAACGTTCGTTTGTCCTTTCTCTTTCCTTTTCGCTTCTGGGGCTTCCAAGGTACTGGTGGCTTTTGCTCTAGTGAGAAGCACAGACTGTCAATTCTCATCGGCTACTCCTGAAGAATTTTGGTTTATTTTTTTTTATTTTTGGAGGGTCTTGATGTTGTTGTTTTAACCCCTGCTAGAATCTAAAGAGAAAAGACCAGCCTGATTCAAGGTTGCAGCACACCCAGGATAACAGACGGTGCAAAGTCTAGCAGTCAGTCTGACGTCCAGCAATTGTCGGAAATCTCCAGCTAATCTTGTGTTGACGAACAGCAGAAAAAAAAAAAAAGCGGACCCCCTCGATCTTCCCCCACAGTCCGATTCCTGACGCGCAAAGCCAATTCACGGTCGCATTTCCGTCAAAATGTCCTTCTTTTCACGAGTCTTCAGGGGCAAAGACTCTAGTGTGAAGAAACAGGCCCACCCCACCACCATAGTCGACACCTCGCCCGCCAAACCCAAATGGACCGATGCCTGGCAGCGGACAGAGGTCGCGCCAGAGGAAGTGCAAGACCTGGTGCGAGGCTGTGTGCATGAACTCAAGGCCCGAGGTGCGTGCTGCATTGACATCCAGACCGGAATCCTGGCACATAGTCTTCGGACCGCTGATCATTCGTCCGTGTAGCTCTCGATACGCCATTCCTCCTCCTACCGTTCCGTCCTAGCTCCGACCCGAGTGCGGCTCGCACGTTCATTCGCAACTACTTCAATCAATCGTTCGATAAGGGCTCGCCCGTGAACGGGGATGCCTTGGTACAGGAGCTCCGGCTTACTGAGCCGATGGTGAGGCGCCAATCATGCGGTTCAGGGATCAAGCACTAATGGCATTGTGTGGAATTAGGTCCTCTGCGGGGTGATGAAGTGGTGCTGGAGTAGACTTCCCGGTGGTGTCGTCACTTGGGAAGCATATGAGACCTTCAAGATGGGTGAACACGGTACGCGGATGGGAAAATGGAATGCGGGGAAACACACGCGCTGATGGTGTATTAGATTCGGATATGGCCCGTGACGCCTTCTCAACCTTCATCCCCATCGGTGGCGACTCCGACGCCCGAACCAGTATCATCTTCGACTTCTTCGACCTTTTGGCTGCCATTGCGGCGCATGGAAAGTCCAATGGACTGGGAGGACGCAAGCTTTCTCGATATGCCGGATGGTGGGCTTTCGAGCACAGCGATACCGGCGGCGGCTTCGAAGCTGCCTACAAGAGCTGGGCTGCGTATGCGTACCCTTTCCTCCAGCTCGAAATGTCATTCTAACGGTCAATATCTAGTGCCGCCGACGCGACGAGCCACCTGTTCTTCGCCTATCTCCGTTCCCTGTCTCCAGATGTCCCACGCGGTGTGAGCGGCATTTCCTCGCTGCCAATTTCTCTTCAAACTCTGGTTGAAGCAACCGAATACCCCCGGAAACCCCGACTTTGCTACAAGTGACGACTACAAAGGTGGTCATGATTGTGGAGAATGTCTCGCCGACACCATTTTCACTCTTACGACGCGCCAAGAACTTTGAATACCGCGACGACGACTGGCACCTGCAGGAGTTTGCCAACTACGATGATCCCATTAGCGCATTGACTGATGAATGTCTCCGCGTTCTCCAGTGTATCTCCTCCGCGAACGAGTCCAGTGTCTCGAGCACCAAGCAGTCTACCAGCTTGCGCGACGCATCCTGGTCCCGATTCGAAGACATTGGATTTGGTGGCTCGATTGACTCCGACGAGGAAGACCCTAAGGAAACACTGGCCCCACCATCAAGGAAGAGTGGATCTGCCGGTGGATTGAGCAATGTGCCCAAGTCTGGAACTGGTGATCTCGGCCGCCCTACCACCCCCTCGTGGGCAGACTTCATGTCCTCTGGATTTGCCGATGAGAACAACCTCAAGAGCCATGTGAGCCCTTTGCTTCTGCCTCCTGATAAGGTTCTTCCTCCAATTGCAACCGCCCGCGGACAAAGCTCTCAGTCTCACAAGCGCTCTTTGAATGATGAGCCCGCCCTTGAGCCGGCAGAGTTGGCCAGCATCAATACTCTCGACATGGACGACTCGTTCTGGTGGGTGTGGATTAGCAGTCTGTCAGGCGATGAGCCCTCTGCCCGCAAGGCAGTGTTCGGCCGATGCGCCCTTCTCGAGACCGTCATTCGTGACACCAAGTGGCTGGTCCTTGAGGAGCAGGTCAAGGGTGCTGCTCCAGAGCCCGAGGCCGGTGCCCAGATTGTTGAAAAGAAGAAATTCTTCAGCTTTGGTAGCCGGAAGGGCAAGCTCAGTCGCCGCAAGTCTTCTGCCAAGAAGGTCTCTCCGATTGAAGAGTCGTACAAGAGACCCAACAACCCTGGCTCGCAGAGCAAGACCAGCATTGGCCCCGATCAGCACAAGCGTATCCAGGCTGCAGCGGCTGCTCTGCAGCAGAAGCATCGCGAGCAGGAAGCAGAGGCAAACCAGAATCATTTCGATCCCAAGACCGAGCGTTATTCTAAGACCAACTCAGTGATGACCCTGCAGCCTGCTATCGTCAACGAGGCTTCCCAGGCCATGAAGTGGACTAAAAACTACGACAAGGGTGCTTTCCGCGCAGCATATCTCAAGGACAACCGCGCTGGTACTGGTGCCGCCGAGGATGTCACTGATGAAGTGGAAACCCAACCGGAGGAAACAGAAGAAAAGCCCAGCACGCCCTCTGCACCGGCGACTAAAACCACCGAGGACGTTCCAGCGCCACCTCCCAAGGAAGCACCTGCTGCCGCCATTGCTGCTCCCCTCCCGCCCTCTCCCGAGCCGCAGCCCAAGAAGGCCGTCAAGGTGACCACTCCTGAAGAGGCCCAGGCGCCCGCCAAGCCTGCCGTTGTTGAAAAACCGGCGGAACGTCGTGAATCAGTGGACGAGGCAAAGAAGCTCAAGAAGAAGAATGGCAATTCCACCTTCAAGAGCATGTTCGGCACCAAGAAGAAGCCCGACCAGCAGCAACCTCCCATGAAGAACATCGGTACCGAAAAGATCTCTAATGTGGCAGCAGCCCGTGCAGCCCTCGAGGCCAAGCACAAAGCAGCCCAGGAGTCCACCCCGGTAAAGAAGAAGCCCCTTCCCAAGGAAGCCGCTGTTGCCGTCGAGCCCGTGACTACGGAGCCTAAGAAGCCCTCCACCCCGCAGCAAGCCGAGCAAGTCGAGCAGCGCGAACCCGCCGCCGACCCCCCAACCCCAAAGCAGCCCTCATCCTCGCAAGAGGAGAACGGAGCGCCCCCTAGAACTAGACGCGCGATCGAATGCGATGCTCTTTCCCGCATCGATACACTCGAGCGCGACGCCGCCGACCAAGAGTTCTCCAAATTCGACCAAGGCCCTCTGACCGACCAGCCAGCCTTCGCCCCTGACTCTCCTATCCGCAAGTCAACAGAGAAGACCGAGCTCCCGCAAACCCCAACCAACGGCAACACCAACGGTCACGACCACGGCGTCCAGCCCGGCAGCGCAACTTCACCCGAGTCCACCGGCCCGCAACATGACAGGTGGAAGGCGATCCGCGAAGCAGCAGCTGAGCGCTCCCGCGCTGCTAACGGACACCACGAACCCGAGCACCAGTCCGAGCGTGAGCCGGAGACCGAGCCGGAGACCGAGACTACCACCCGTACCAGCCAGTCTGAGCGCACTGACGAGGGCGATACCAGCGGCGAAGAGAGTAAGTTTAAACCTACCATTCCATCCCATTGAGGAGCGCATTACTAACAATATTCCAGCCATCGAGTCTCGCGTCGCTCGTATCAAAGCCCGTGTCGCTGAGTTGACTGCCACTAACGCGGATGATGGACAGAGGCCCTAATCGTGTCTCGTACCATTTATTCATTGCTGATGATCCAAGATTTATTCATTGTTAATCATATACCCTTCTTACGACCGCCATTGGTCGTGCCTTGCTACATTCGTCTGGAGAGTCCCTGAGACTGTACAGATCGAACGATGCACGACCAGTGGGTTTTTCAAATGGTTGACTGTTCTTACCTTTTTTCGTCACAAGTTGACATTTCTCCAGTGTCATCTGGTCAGATATCTTTTGTTGGCCCCCTGGTCTGGGTGTTTACCATTCTTTTTCACTTTTTGAAACCTTTTGTGACTTTGCTCTATTCCCCTTTTGCTAATATTGATTTGAATCGCTCAAATATGAACTGCCTAATCATTGCAAACAAGATCTGGAACGTACATTGATTTTCTAGGAAATATCTTAACGAAGTCATGTAGAAGGTTACTATAGACCTGTTCTCAAAGGAGGTACAGATACCATTTGTGGCGACGCCGCCGGATTCGGCCGCCTGATCATGGTGACCTCCTACAGCTAGTTTCATAATTGACATCCTTACAGAGAGCCCTTACCAGCCTTTAACGCCAAATCCGGCAATGAATAGGAGTGGGGTTACAAACGCGTTCAACCCCAAGCACTTCGATCTCAGATACATTTTTGATACTGCCCGAATGATATTTTGAAACACATTAAAAAAGACTGTTAGAAAGACGGCAAGAAAGACAGCACAGAAGACAGCAAAGAAGACAGCAAAGAAGACAGTAAAGATTCCATGGTTACTGCATACAAATTGGTCAGGCTCCAGAGTGGATTCTCAAGCACTGGAAGGTCCAATACTCACGAAACTACACTGTACCAACCTCGATTAATGACAACTGCTGAGCCAATTCTAGATACCACCCTGCATAAGCAAAATTCATTACTCTTCAAGTCCAGAATTCATAAAGTAAATTAAGCTCGGTATCTTTTAAATTATTTACAATCCCAGAACCTCAAGGATAGCCTTACCAACACCGGCAGAAGAAGAAGGGTTCTGACCGGTAATCAGCACAGAGCCAGTCGTCGTCTTATCAATGACAACCTTCTCACCCCACGCCTCAGCAGCCTTCACATACTTGCCACCAGAGACACGACCAAGTTCAGTCTCCAGCATGAAAGGCATAGCAGAAGAAAGCTGAACGGCATCCTCCTCCTCGTTCGAGAATCCGGTGACAGTCGCACCGGAAATGAGAGGAACGCCGGAAGGAGCAGTTGCGTTCAACAGAACGCAGGGTCCGTGACAGACAGCCGCAACGGGCTTGTTGGCTGCAGCGAAAGTCTGAATTAGGGCCAAGGAGACGGGGTCGGTGGTCAGGTCGAACATGGCTGGGATTGTTAGTACGGGTTCTAGTGGTTGGGATTAGGATTGGGATTGGAGGGGAGGCAACGTACGTCCGTGACCGCCGACGTAGAAGATGGCGTCGAACTCAGCTGCGCGAGGGACAATGTCTGAGAGCTTGTGGGTGTTTGTCCAGAGGGCCTTCTGTTCCTTCAGGAAGGTCTGGGATGTGGGGTCTGCTTCGAACATCTTCACGGAGGAAGGGTCGAGCGGGGCTTCGCCGCCCTTGGGCGAGGCGATGGTCAGGGAGACCTTGTTGTGGAGGATTTCATGGGGGTGGGCGAATTCAGGCTGGGATTTTGTGAGTAACTCTACTTCAAATGATTTTATAGTTGAGGTGGGTTGGACATACCAGATACCAGCCGGAAGGTTTGCCGGTGTTACCGAGCTTGTCGTGGGAGGTGAGAACGACGAGGACCTTGGGAGTCATTTTGATGGATGAGAATTGGGTATATTGCAGGAATTGGATGTAGTATTAGATGTTGAAAGAGCTTCGGGAGGGGCGGTCTGAGCTCATATTTATACGTTGCCCCTCCGCATGCGGTGTGTTAGGGGCGATCAGCATCATATATCACTCTCTCGTCACTGACCCCACCAAACTTAACTCTGCAAGAGGTTGTCTCACTTGGACCAATTAGAATACTCGAAGAATGTCTCTCTTTTCTTCTGCGCAGATCTCGATGGTCTATTAGCGGGATGATGTCATACCGAATGATAAGAAGTCTCCGATTAGAATTAATTGTAGTTATGTACATGTGCTTTTTGAGCTGTACATTGGTTATGTACAAGGTCTCTGGTCAAGGATGTATCGGGTATCGAGCAGAAATCAATAGCTGTCGTGACAAGAATCGTAATTGCGGACTGCGTGCTCATAGAATATAGCGCAGTCGGCGGGTAGCTTCGGCCGCGATAAGGGCACTAATTGCACCGATGAAAAGGCAGATTGCAATAGCATTAGGTCTATCCTTGTCGAGGTTCATCCATTGCGCCTCGGGCTTGTTTTTGTCCGACGGCTCGACGCCGGGTTCAAGGATGCTGAAGACGATCCAGCTGATGAATGTACCCACGAATTGCGGGAGGGTCGTGTAAACGTTCAGGACACCGAGATAGATACCGGCCAGCTCACCCGTTGACGGGATATTGGAGGAAGGATCTTCTTCGTCGGTATCACTGTCGAAAGAGTCGTGGTGGTTGAGTCGGAGGACGTCCAGCTCGGTGTCGGCGGCGTTGTTGCGCAGACTGGCCGAGGTGATCATGGTGACATCAGACCTCGAAGCTGGTACCACGGGCGAATAACCGCCCGTTGTCAGCTTGTTGATCTCCACACCCATGAAGGCGAATGGGGCCCAGCCGCTGATTGCCCAGGGGATACCGCAGACTGCTACGAGGAAGGTCGCGAAAGCTCGGGAGTGGGCGAGCGGCGCGAAGATCATCGTTGCCGCGAACATGATCTGTGAGATCAACCAGGCCGTTTGGAGATCTGGACGGACAGAGGTGACCGCCTTCAAAACGGCGGCAACACCTGGGGGAGGACGCGGAGTGAATCGCGTTTTCTTAGAATCTGGTGGTTGGATACAGAAAGGTAGGAGTACGGAACTGAGGAAGGTGATAGAAGAGAAGACTGTCAAGGACAGACTTCCCACGCGACCAACCTCGCCAAGCATGTCTGTTGCTTTGGCCATGTCGTCTTTCGGAACTTCGTAACGGAAATAGGTCTCACCGACCCAAGTGGTACTATAGAAGAGGAAGGGAAACCAGCCTATGTTTGATCAGCTTTCAGTTCCCAACAATTGATGCAATTCACCATACCAATCCAAGCCCAGAATTGGGCCCAGCAAATAGCTTGAATTCGAGGCGGCAGATCGAACGTAGTTTTGAACAGTTGAGAGAGAACTTGGATAGCACCGGCGCTTCCATCCCTTTTCAAAACGATTAGTCTGACACTCATGTATTCATCGCAACATTCACTAACCTCGCAGTGATGAGAACCCGCTCCTTCACCGAGTATGAGGTGATTGCCACGGCCATTACCAGCGAAAAGGCGGCAATCACGGTCATCTGTTTGAATTGCGTGTCTCCAATGATAGTACCAAATATGCTAACGGTATCAATAGATCCGACCACATAAGCAAAGAGCTGGCCAATGGCGCACATTCTGCCGGCTTTAAATCAGTTAGGGTGTGTTTAGGACTGAGACATACGGGGAAGAACCATACCCCATGCGGACCCAGCTTGCTGCGATGGAATAGGTAGCGTATCCACAATCAGACTGCGACAACATGCTTGCACTAAAACATTGTAAGTAACCAGGCTTCAAATATCAGCCTCGCCCACAAATCACCTACCAACATTGATCGAGAAATCCACTGCATAGATACTCAACACCGCTAGCGCGATTGTGCCATTCTTAGCCTAGACAATTGTTAGCATCCTGCATCTGCAAAATCCGAAGTTCCATACTTTTTCCGGGTCCTTAACAAACAACCCAACAATCTCCGCCGTCCAGCCCAAGACAAGCAGACAGAACGCAACAACAAAAGATCCGAAAATCATAAAGGGTCTTCGACGACCCCATTTCGACCGTGACCGATCAGCAATCACACCAATCAACGGTTGTATAATGAGTCCAGACAACGGCCCAGCAATCCACACCAGCGAAGTCTTGGATTTCGTCAACCCAAGCTGTAGAAGATACGGCGTACAGTCTATCCAAGATTAGCAACCACTTCATCTCCCCACGGCTTCTTCCATATCCTTACATGTCATCTCAGTACCCCACGTGAACCTAGATGTGACAGATCAGCAAACGTACATCCCCACCGATACTCAGCATACGCACTGCAATCCCACCAAACTAAAAGTCAACAGCGCCATGCGAGTCGACTCATTCCGACCCTTGATAGAAGGCGTCCCCGCCCACCTCGCAGCCTGCGGCATCCTGTGCGATCATGCGCTTATGGCCGAAGTGGCTGTTCCGGGTGTGCCAGCGACAGTGATTCGGGGTTGTGGTGGGTTCCGGGATGGGAAAAAAAACGGGCCGGGGATTATTTCAGGGTTCGGGGAATTGTGTCGCGTGCTCTGCGCAGAGCTGAGCTTGGCGGGTTCGGTTGGCCCGGGTTCGGTTCGGGAGTTGAGGGGGTTGGATTGTTGAATCAAGTATTGATTTGGAGACGAGTACCCGGTATGAATTGGCGGAGAGAAAGAGCTTCGAGAGTGAGGGACGAAAGAGAGGAAGAGGGTGAGAGAAAGAAGGCTAGGAGAAGAAACCCACTGGCCTGAGCGCCTCCATGCGGGCCCCCGGCCTTATCGATTTATTAATTGAGTCCCGCCAGCCTCTCGCCATCTGCCGATCCGGCTAATTTGACAGGGTCTGACAGGGTGTCAATTGTGTTATTATTTGGCGGATTTGTTTTCCACTGGCATGCGTCTGTTTGCAGCGTTGGAATTCAATCCAGGGACTCTCAGGTACAATGACATAATCAGTCAAATCGCCAAATATAGAACACACGGGACGGCTGAGGCGCCACGCCTACGAGTTTCTTGTACAGGGGTATTTTTTGCCACGGACGATGCGTGTACTAGAATATTGCGTGGAATAATCATTGCCAAAGACAAATACAGCCGAGATAAGAACATAGTATCTTTCATTCGCATCCTCAAGTCCGATTGCAGCCAAACCTAAGTATCACAATATGACGCGACTCCTGTCTGGTCCAACAAAAATCTGAAAAAGAGTTTTTAATTTCTTCGTGACCCATCCGCTTCCCATAATCGTCGTGAAACAGCTACACGCTGGTGTTTTACAGCCGGTTGGGGGCCGAGGTCGTGACGGGCCACTGGTAGCCAGCGGCGTCACTGAACTTGTAGCCGTATGAGGCGGTAAAGTCATCGAGGACAGCGGGTCCACGGGAGCCTGAAGAGAAGAATTAGCTATGTCACGCCAAACGTCTGCGGGGTAGACTTACCGTAGGGGTATTCCATGGGGATGATCTCCTTGTTATCATCCAAGTAGTGCAGGAGGGGAGTGAAGATGCGCCAGCTGGCATCCAACTCGTCATCACGGACGAAGTTGGAGTGGTCGCCCTTGAAGGCGTCCAAGATCAAAGACTCGTAAGCCTCGGGGATCTTGAGGTCGGAGAAGCGGCGGCGGTAAGTCAAGTCCAGCTCGGTAACCACCGTCTGCATGGACAGACCGGGCAGCTTGGAGTTCATCTTGATGTAGACGGACTCGTTGGGCTGGACACGGATGACAAGCTCGTTGCGGGGAATGTCCTTGAAGATACCGGAGGTGACGTCCTTGAACTGGATGCGAACCTCGGTCTTCTGCTCGTTCAGAGCCTTACCAGCCTTGAGGATGAAGGGAACGCCGTCCCAGCGCTCGTTCTTAATGTAGGCAACCAGCGCGCAGAAAGTGGGGCAGCGGGAGTCCTTGGGCACGGTGTCGTCCTCAAGGTATCCGGGCTTGCTGCCGTCGAGGGAGCGACCGTACTGACCGATGATGACGTTCTTGGGCTCGATGGCACCCATCGCGCGGAGAACACGGACCTTCTCGTCACGGATGTCCTCGGAAGAGAAGGAGATGGGACGCTCCATGGCGAGCAATGTAAGGACCTGCAGAAGGTCTTCGGGGTGTCAGTAATGCATTTGACGGTGGAATTGGAATGGACATACGGTTCTGCATGACATCACGGATGATGCCGAACTCATCGAAGTAACCACCACGACCCTCGGTGCCGAAAGGCTCCTTGAATGTAATCTGTCGCACAGTATCAGATATCTACACAGATCTGAAATCGGATGTCACATACCTGAACGTTGTCGATGTGGTGACGGTTCCATGTAGCGTTGAAGAACTCGTTTCCGAATCGCAGGATCAAAATGTTCTTAACCATCTCCTTACCGAGGTAGTGGTCGATACGGAAGATCTCCTCTTCCTTCCAGTTGGGGTCCAGAGCCTTCTGCAGGTCGCGCGAGCTCTGAAGGTCCTTACCGAAGGGCTTCTCGACCTATTGCAGACAATTTTGATTAACACAGGCATCCGTGGGAGTCAGAATACCGACTCACAATAATACGGGCAAGGCCGCTCTTGGGGTAGCAGTTGCGCTTCAACTGCTCGGAGACGGTAATGAAAACGCTAGGGGGCAGAGCCATGTAGAAGACACGGTTCTGCTCCTTTCCTTGGCGACCCTGCTCGATCTTCTCGAGGTGCTTGTTGAGGTTGATGAAGGAGTCATCCTGGTCGTATTGGCCGGAAACGTAGGTGCACATGTTGCAGAACTGGTCTAATTGCTCCTCAATCTCCTTTGTGGGAACCTTGATGTAAGAGCGAACGCGCTTCAGGTATTCATCGTGGTCCATCTTCGTGCGCGCATATCCGACAATCTGAATATCCTTGGGGAGGAACTTGTTACGGAACTGGAGGACATGGTCAGTCGATTGGAGCTGGCTGAGTTCGTAGGTTGCACACATACGAGACCGAATAGTGCGGGGAACTGCCAGATTGTTAGTAGGAGTCATGGGTATCCAGGAAGGCGGGGCACGAACAGTCTTCTTCTTGGCCAGATCGCCAGAGGCGCCTAGCACGACGATGATGGTATCATCCTTAAGTTCGATGGTGCTGAACGCAATATCCATTGTTAGTGTTTCGTTCGATAAAAAAGATTTGCGTTCGGCGCGGGTAATGGAGGGGTTGCGAGGGAAGCTCTCTCTGGGCTGCGAAAAGCCTGGACACGCCTATTGAGACCTAACAAAGGTTTATAGTAGGGTCCGTGGGAAATTGATGGCAGTCAAGATATAGGCAATGTCCTCAGAGCAGAAATTGGGATATGTTGAGGTTGGGATCCGGCTATCCGCCGGAGGGGGGAAGTGATGTCACCTGGATTGGACCAGGGGAATAACTTACCCTGCGCTTCCACGCTCATCGTTCTGAGTGATCACGTTAGACATGCTGTGCTGTACAAAAAATGAAAGAATTTGGAGAGGGAAGAGAAAGGTTGAACAGGATCCGCGGCGGAGTAAGTACTTTAACAGGACTCACAGCTCTTGGTGGGGCTTATTGTATGTATTTTATTTTCATGACTTCAAGGTATTAATCACCCACGATGACGATACTGTTTTATTCTTTTTTTCTTATTTTAGGCCCTGCTTCTAGCCATTGGCTTTGATCTTGCCCCAAATGCCGACCTTATATCCCTTCTTAACCCCGACCTCCCCCCTACGGTCATCTTACCACGTTACACATTGAGACTTAGACGCTGAGAGGGTCACGCTTGTTTAATTGTGACCCCTCATAGATCCTATCTTGCTGACTCGCTTATCACATCGGGGATACTGTCCGGGATGTTCGAGGGGAAATCGATGCTAATGCAAGTTTGAGCCAGTCCAATTCAGTCCAATACGAACATTTCGGCCTCTTCGGTTCAGATAGAAAAAATGAGGGCAGGTCATCTGATAAGTGTGCTCTGTACTTTATAGGGGCGGACCACATTGCTCCAAACAGGCTGAATTCATCCGGTGGAGCCGACCTAATAAGGTATTAACTACACCAAACTCCGTAGAATTAAGAGCTTTGCGGTCAGCCTGCACAGACTGTACAGATTGTGTACAATTTACTTGTATTAGAGTGGAGCAGCGTACTTGGGTGAGATAGAAAGCCACCTTGAAGGTTGCAGACCAGAGCGAGGTGACATCTCCACTAAGTTTATTGCTAAATTGACTGCTTCAGCAGCACCGAGTCCACGCGGAAGCCGTACCGAAAGCCGTTCATAAAATACCGAGCCTATATCGGAGTTCTTGTACAAGTACTCCGTAGGGACGAGTGTCCTCCGTGTCTTCCAGCAATCACGCAAGTCGATAAGAAAAGTCTCGGTGACCCAAATCGTGGGGAGCCCTTGGATCGGCATCTCTCATACCACACTGCTAGGTCCGGATTTTGTTTTCCCGAACGCGGAGGATATTAACCGTCGAGTACCACTTCACACCACACACGTTTTCATATTCGGGCTCGTACGAGTCCGCTTGGGAATTTCTCCGAGCACCTTTACCTTGTATTGCTGTACCGGTCTCAAGTGGAATCAGGGCCGATAGGGTGGTGGGGCTGCATTGAGGAACTTCTAGATTTTCCTAATGGGTGGTCTCGGTCTGAACTACACCGGAGAAGATGGACTATGTGATCGTTTCTTTGTAAACAAGGGTTGAGTCTCAGTGGAAAATTGAGGTTCTAGTCATCTCAGATAATTGTGATGAGTAGACGTGAACTGAGCAATTGATTAAAGTGCTCCCCAAAGAAAGAAAAAAAAGCCGATCATCAAAGGCCGACGAGAGCCCTTGCACGTTAATTTTTTACCAGATGGGACCCTTGTCGTCATCGCTGCTGGGGTTTGTCAGCTTAGAGTCCATGAAAACTGAGCCGGAGGTCTGTGGCCCGGGGAGATAAAGAATGATCGCCCTTCCTGACTCATCATGTCACGTGGGGACTACGGCACGGCACATCCACCAGTGATGCGGGTCTTATATTTCGGGTGTTTCACCTGATAGTTTCATCTTGTACTTCACCAAATTGTGACACAATGAAAAACCAGGGAACCCTATCTCAGGGCACTGAAGAAACTGACCTCCAGAGTTCGCTTTATGAACCATCTTTTGAGCAGCCTTACGAACCTCTACATAGTGGACGTTCTTTGTAGTGGAGTTTATCATAGCATGTAAAGACATGGTTCCTGATCATATCATCTTCCTTCTACATCTCCCTTCTTTCCACATCTTCCCTTTCTAACCATCATCCATCTACTATTCTTCCTCATCAATCACTTCAATAACCCACTCTCATATTTCAAAAGAAACTCCCAAATCGGAACCGCCTGACCAAGATGTCTTCTTCAAATTTGGGTTCCAATCAGATCTCCCTCCTGAAATCTGACTCCCAAAAGAATTTTCTGACATACGACTTTGTGTCAAGGGGCGATGTTCGCCAAACTCTCACAATGCAGAACTCGATCACCACACTCATCAACACACACCGACCCCCCTTGTGCACTGGCGATTGTTCCGCCAATTTCTATCAATGATGATTTCTTTCAAGAGTTTGAACGGGTTACGTTCTGCAAGAGACAGGAGAAAACTCTCCTGACAAGGATCAGAGAGTTATGATCTGATTCGGCCATCCCGTTGTCTCAACTGGGATTCACTTGATGGGTCAGTGTGCCCACAACTTCAACATCTTTTCAGCAACCGACGCTTTCGAATTTTTGTGTCAGCGTTCGAAATGAGCTGTCAGAAGACTGACTCTCGAAAAAATCCATCATAGCCAGCATTGGGTATGGGCTGTGTTACCGAGATAACTCATTCGAATCCTTCAACGCCTTTGTGAAGTGTGACTCGGAGGCAACTATTTGTGACAAGAACATTCAAATATTATGTTTGCCATCTACGAAGACCACGACGGAGGAATGGAACACTCCAATGAGTTCGACTGGCCACTTTGTGATGCCATCCCCGTCATGGAATTTTCCGGGGTCTGTCTATCGGACGAAATCGTCTGGAAGGTCCGTACAATTACCCATGGCGTCAAACCTCGACTATGGCCCAAGAAATGGCCAAGAGACTTTAACTCTGCCGGCGATATCGTGCCTGACCCTCATCCAGTTGCTCGGCACTGCAATTTCCATTCGAGCCGCTGGAATCGGATTTCCTCCCATCTACCATTCAACCGACATTCTCTGCGGCGAGACACCTGGCTACTGGACTTCTCAGATTCGACAGAGAGAATATCAGATAAGAAAACAAAGGAAGTTCGAGGGAACCGCATCCAGGATCATACCGAATCACTGGTCCGACGGCAAAGTTGCCTGGGAGCGCACATGAGTATGCTTCGCAGACACCGGCTGCATATTTGCATTGCGCTTACTTTCCGAGAGAGCACCAATTATATCCTCCGATTTGGACGCGCATGGCGAGATACGCTGGACGCGAGGCCGCAGACCGTCTACTGTCATCGTCACACAAAACAACGTCCATTGCCTACTCTTGACGGGACATGTACGTCTTTACCGGAGGATACAACAACGAGGGCTGGCTCATACGGCCTGTGGGTTGATTTACAGATACCGAGGTGGCTTCCTGTCCAAACGTCCGGCGTGAAGCCGCTATGAAAGTTGGCATACGGAAGATAGAAGCGGAACACACAACGGCATTCTTGTTCACTGCCACATGCGCGAAGCATTATCTGCTCATGATCCAGAGGTCGAATAACCCAATCATGGCGAAGTACTTGCAAACCATCAAGTTCGAAGAGAATAATGCACTTCCTCGCCAAATAACAGACAAGGCAGCAAACAGAGATGCGGCAACTAGTGGCATGCAACACACGAATACAGCCATGTGCATGCTGGTTGCGCTCACTGCGCACGAAGAGTCATTCATTTCCGTGATGGAGATATTCAACGAGACGTGTATAGAGCTTGTGGTCTGGACACGTCACAGATTTCTTCGGAAGGACATCCCAGCTGTGCTCATAACATCTCCACATGACCCTTTTCTCCGCGATAACCAGGGAATGTCAGCAACGAGGCTGTATTCCGATGAAAAGTTAGGCTCCCTCCCCCCCAGATTGCTTGAGGGCACTGGAAGCCATGATGAGTGGCGAGAGAAGACATTTGATGTTATCGTCCGCACAGAACTAATGTGCCATTTACATTGGGAGACTATGGAATTCGCTCTGACTGTCGGCTTGTGGTGCATCGTGACTGCAACCACCGCGCCACCCCCCCAATCCCCACGCCATCCACTGTTGTTTTTGCTGCATGGGGTTTGGCATAATGAACTGGCTCTATGATGAGCGGCTTCTCGCAACCACTGGAGATTGAGTGTGTCTAGGAGTTTTCGTGGTCACACTTGCTACGAGTGTTGCAGCAATATATCATTTATTAAGACCTGGCCAGACGGCTTACAAGGTACAATGGACATACCGGCGCAGCATCCGTCCGCCCACGCAATAGCAAAAGCGGCCACTGTGGCAATCATGGCATAATGATGTGGAAACCAAGTTAAAGCCAGCACTGCCTCAACCGAGCATGAAGCGTCTATGTGTAGACCACCAGATCCCAAAGTGGAACACCAGGTGAAACACGCCTCTGCAAGTGCGCCGACTGGCAAAGGCGCCTGGTCAGTGTCGCTCTTCCTTGGCTCGAGATAGACATACCGAATACATCACCTTCGCCATCTCTTCGCTTCCTGTAAGCCGGCAAGACACAGAAAGCAAGGGAGGAAGAAAGATGATCGTATTTCCAAGGCTACCTGGCTAGACAAGCGGGCACTCCCTTCCAAATCCCGTTTGAAAGCCTGATGTTACGGCCAATCGACAGTGCAAGAGCCACAGAGAGCGATCTGATGTTCTCGAAAGCAGATCTCGAGAGGGTTTTTGAGTCCATCTGGGACGCGGAATTTGAGTAACTTTTGTTTCTTTTTTGTTGTCATCACTTGTCTCAACTCATCTCCATAATGAACAGACTACTTGTATTTTAGCCTAGACACACCGTCGACAGTGACGTGAGACTTGCCCAGGTAGTGCCGCGCATCCGGACAGAAGTGAACAAGATTCCAAGATGAGCGAGCCAAGCGTTTGATTTATCTTGTTTGTCTACTTAAGAAGTACCCACATGCGTGACTGCCACTCCTATGTGTCACACAATACAGTGAGATTAAATGTAATTTATCAACAAATCGGTGTAGCCGAGGCTACATAACTATGTGTGCAGCCTCTAACTAGCTCGGCCTGTAGTTGGTTGGTCTTTTTTGTGGAGCGCTAGTGTACTTGAGAAGAGACAGCGACGCATGCGTCTCTGGCAGATGTACAGTGCCGTAATGACTAATGTTCTGGACCAATGGGGATTCTGAGTCATGTGATCTGAGTTTTAAATTATGTAAGTGGCCAGGGGCGAGGTCACACGTGACTGATGCGACCCTAACGCTCTTAGGGCCAGACGAATATTGCGCACTGTGGATTCGCTAGACCTCCATTCCGATCTCGTCACGCCAAACCATCGACAACCGGACGGGATTCTTCGACCTTCTTTCCTTGCCCGATCACAGAGAAACGCCGACACAATGCCTTCCGAACAAGGACACCGCCGTGAGTGAAAACCCTTGAACTGCGCCGTCGATCGTCAATTTGGCGGTCTCGAATTCGCAGAGGCGCATCTGGAGGACGACGCTTGGTGGTGCGAATATAATTTGACTTGCATGCTAACATTTCCGTTCCTTTCTAGTTTACGTCAAGTGAGTACCGCAACTACCCTGCCCAAATTTACGATCGAGACCCCGGTTCGAAATGGAGGAACACTTTTTGGAGGACTCTGCCCAACGCCACTTCGCACCCACCACATGAAACCTGAATCAGACCAGAGAATTAATACGACTTTTTCACAGGGGACGTCACCTCAGCTACCAGCGTAGCAAGCACGCCCTTACTCCCAACACCAGGTACTTACACCCTGCGCACAAAACGTGAAGACTCGATGAATGGAATCTGATATTTGGAATACAGCTTGGTCAAGATCGAGGGTGTTGATGACACCAAGTCCGCCAACTTCTACCTTGGCAAGAAGGTCGCTTTCGTCTACCGCGCCAAGCGTGAGGTCCGCGGCTCCAACATTCGCGTGATCTGGGGCAAGGTCACCCGCCCTCACGGTACGTTCAGGGAACGCCCAGAATCCGAAGCTGCGAGCAGCCACAGGAACCACTACTCGAACGAACGAAGAACTGTCAACTAACACATCCCAGGCAACTCCGGTGTTGTGCGCGCCAAGTTCCGCAACAACCTCCCCCCCAAGTCCCTCGGCGCTACCGTCCGCGTCATGCTTTACCCCTCCAACATCTAAACGGCTTCTCTGTGTTGTTTTTTTAGTGGGTGATTCCCTTCTTCGCGCAGACGGTCGGTCAGGCAAGGAAAAGTCGACGGAACGAGCCGATGTTGTTTTGACGTGATGGAGTTGGCGGGTTGATAACGTTCTATTCGTGGGAGAAGGAAGGGTCACCGAACCCTACGAATCAAAAATTTTACACTTTCATTGCTGTGTTGGCCCCGAGGCACCGGGAACGAGCACTGTCTCGATATTTCTCCTTGTTCTACAATTCGCGAGCATGATGTGTCTGGTCGCGCAGCGTCACCTTTCTCCCACTTCGTATCTGACGCTAATACGCACCAAATTCCATACCATTTCAAATTCAGCACGGTCAATCGATCCGCTTCTTCGTGTCAGTCTTGTGTCTGTGTTAAGAGAAAATTGCATTTTCTGCTCTGGCTCCATTTACCACGGCATGCTCCTCCGCAATCCATCCTTCTGTCAATGTAAACTACGCAATATCAACTTAAAATAGCCGCTGTATGGAGTAGCTCTGACACCATAGGTCCTTCAGTACCTAGTGATTAGATTCCCCACCTGGCAGGTTGTGCGTGGTGTGGATCCGCGTCCCCGACCTGACTTGAGCCCTATCAGCCCTGGGGCTGGGCGGCCCTGAAAGGCTTGGGGCGCCCGACTGGGAAAAATTTGCTCTATACTCAAACATCGTATCCATAGCAGCATCTGTATCAGCCTTGAGGGAATGCTTTAGACCTCAAAGTGATCGGATTCCGTTGCAAAGTGCACAAATGGCCAAATATATATTGCATCATACACCCTTGACTCCACTCTAGCCGAACTATATATCTCCTCATGAATCGTAACAAAAACAGACCTGGTATCGCGAAACCAAACTCCAAACTCACGGACATCGTATCAGAAACATTACAAGAACCGCTCCTTGTGCACTGCCTGCCTATGCGCCTTCATGTTCTCCTTCCGACTCGAAGCGTGGTCACATTGAGGGCATTTGAAGCCTCCAGGGTTGAGATGTTGAGTCTGGATGTGTCGCTTCAACACCCCTTTGCGAGAGAACAGCCGGTCGTAGGTGCAGCCTTCGAAGTTGCATTGGTAGGTTCCGTAGTCTTTGTTCTCACTAGACAAAAGAGAGTTAGAAATGTGTTCTGGTTCGATGAAGGGTTCGCAACGAAATACAGGCTAACGAACATCTTTTTTCTTGACCCAGGACGAGATCGGCAGGGTCGTTTGGACCGCGGAGGTAATTTGCTAGCCCCGTCGGCGTGAGCAGCTTGTTGGTCGAGACCAGACGAAGGTGTAGGACAAGCCCGAGGACTAGGACTGGGGTCGCAAAGGCTGGCCGGGGTGAGTGCCGCGCCCATGTCCGATTCGAAGACAGAGTGAGGCTCTTCCTCCCCAAAGGTCCTCTTGGTGGGTGTCGTGTTGAGAAAGTCCGAGGAAGGAATCGGTGAAGTCGTTGGGTCGGTCCACGGACTGGTACATCTTGGGTCGTAATGACTCGTAGAGGAGACGATGGTGCCGGATGTAGGTGCAAGATGTCTTTGCCCGATATAACCTTTCACAGGGCTCGGGTCCAGATAGCATCCCGAAGAAACGGACGATGGAGTAGGTGACAACATCGGCTCAAAGGAGCCCGGTGTCGGAGGGAGTCGTGGGTCGAAGTTGTGTGAGGGGCTTGCAGATGGCAGGAAAGGTGCAGTGACTGAAAGGTTTGGATAGGAATACATGGGGAAGGCCTGGGGTTGTGTGGTAGGCCTGGCCTCCCAGTTTCTGTCATTTTCAGACCACGAGTAGGATGTTTCTGGGATGTTGAAGCTGTATCCTGGCCACGACATGGCGACGGTGAATCACGGGACCGCGGTTTGCTATAAAATCAGGGTGGGATGATAGAGGGGAGTCAAAGTGATAACAGGGACAGAGTCATATAGGTCATGCAGAAAAATTTATGTTCGGACTAATCAGGGATTTGAAGTGGTATTTATTCTAGAAGAATGAAGACGATGGGAAATTAGAATCTAATAGACTAAGCCCCCAAAGATAGGGCAAATGTGCAGAAGCGTATTTGCCGAACACTACGGTCGATGCCATACTCTGCCCTCAGTCCCTTTCTGGGCGTACTTATGGCTTAGAGGGTAAGGGTCCTTCTCAGGTGTTCTCCACATCACATTTCTTATTTAGCAGATCTCTCCTCCATAAGTAGTAACAAAGTACGAGGAAGGGCGGGTGGTGACCACCCAATGGGCACCTCAACGGACGAGAAGGCCCCTGGCGTTAACAACACTTGGCTGCAGAGAACCTCGTAATCCATGTCCCTCCAGTGCCCTGTTCACTGGGTGCCAAATAGGAAGTTTCCAGGAGTGGGGACGTCATTCCAAAATCCTACTAGTCAAGGCAACCCATTGTGAACATGGTGTTAGCGACCAAAGAATTGCGGACTGATTGATCGACGGAATAGAGAGCTCCCTCTTCAAAAATATTGATATACCACATAGCTGTTTGGTCTACACAAAGTGAGCAGTGACTCTGTGCTCCAGAGGCATTATGTCACATCCATATGGGCTTATGCGTGTTTACGAGATTCTATAATTCCCACACCATGGCCCTGGAAACTAGTCTCCGCCCGGTGTACCAAAGCTTTGGGTAACTCATCGACATCGTGCGGGCTTGGTAGATGTCAAGACTAAACTCCAGCATCGTCAAGTCCATGTGCGAGTAATCGAATCCCATGTCCACGGACCTGGGTGTGGAAACTGTATCCCGCTCAATGCGACAGGTCTCTGCCGCTGAGTCAGTCTAGGGGCATCGAACATATCACCAAGCCGCGGGGTTCACAAAACTCACTCGGGACAGATGCATTGACGATGACCCGTAGTGCGCTCTTAGCGTGCTTCTCTCTCCCGCCCCTTTCAAAAATGTTTTAACGCATCTTGGCTTTAGCTTCCTGTCTGGGAATTTAGCATGGTTTTATCTTTTCTTCGTGCTCCGTGCAGCGCTTCGTGGTGAGTAGACCAATGGAATGTCACGAGAAAGAAAGAGAAAAAAGCAAAGAGGAAAACGCCTCAGCTTTGCTATAAAATCGCGTGAACTGGCCAGGGATCCGAGGGTTACATTGCATCGAACGGCATGCAAGTACCGCCCCGGGGGCCGACGATGATAGCATTGGGGCCTAGCACTTCGTGCTCTGTACCAATCAATACTAGTCACTGAAGATCCCTCACCCAAAGAGAATCACGAAGTTAACTCAAGTCGCCGATCACTTGATCAGCCTCACTTTAGGTAATTGCGTTAGAGCACACAGCAAAGTTGGGACATTTCTCTGTATTCCGTAGTGGGTAAACTGTAATTATTTTCCTCCGACCGAAAAGGCTTTCACTACTCCGTATGGTATCTGGACGTTGCACAACGGCTAGAGCAGGGTCGGCGATCATGACTCGTGGGTATGTGACGTGTTGTGTGGAAACTCGGGCGCGTGTCTGGAGTATGCAAGTCAATTTTAGTTACTTCAGCCGCACCCAGACCCGTGGAAAGAAGACGCTTGAGCTCTGAGTCTTGCTTTCGTTGGATTCACCATTGAACACATCATCCATGACAAAATGATAAAAGATTTCGGCGTGGGAGAACACCTGCAGATGTCAGTGAGCGTTTACTGCCGCTTGGTCTAGAATTTCTGGACGTTGTGAGAGATATGCTCACCCGAAGGCTTAGCTTTACTCTGTTCTCATTGGAGCAAAGGGCTGTGGGGAAGCCCTGATTGGTGCGGTCCCACTAACCGTGATGAGAAAGGCTGTGGCCGGAGGCTTAGCGGCAGAGCTGTTTGCAATCTATGCCCGAACAACGATTAAGTGCTGAGGTCATACTCGGTACTGCCCTTTTCATGAAGCTGCGCCTCAGAACTTGTGGCTGTGTACTCTGTTTATCCAATCTTCGCAGATGGTATGGTTGGAAAGTGAGGGGCTGTAAGGACGTAGCTTGTTGGTATGCGGTCTGAGTGCACAAAGTACGGAAGTAGAACATGCGTTCAGCGAGACGCAAGGAACCGACGTGTTGCCAGTCTGAGATAGTGCAGATAGAAGGCTGCAACCGAGCAAGCCCCGGAGAGAGTACTCCATAGTAGCGTACTCCCTAGGCTCTCGAGCATTAATGACTCCGTACCCAGTAAGAGAGAGGAGAGTTTCCCAAAGGAACAAAGTTCCCGGGACCCGAAAGGAGAAGTGGGGCGGGACGGCACAGTGTGGGGCGCCCCGAATCACAAAGTTGACAGCCGTCAATTAAGGACAACCCTGGAACCTTTTCATCGTCCCGGGGAACTGGGACGTCGGGAGAGCCATTATGCTGGAACAAACCTTCAGATCTTTTTTATGTTGTAGCTACTCCGTTATCTACATTAAACGCCATGTGGTTCCAAGGTTGTCTCGGAGCCGAAATCGTTGAGAGAACAGTGCACGCAAAGCGTCAACACAACTATTACGAGTCTCCATTACCTAAACTCCACAGCGGTCAAGATGCAGCTAGTCCCTCAGTCTGGCCCGGAAGTTGATCTTTATCCCCGGCCTATCTACTACTAGAAATGAGCACCTGGGCACCTTGGTTATCACTTGTTACTCACCAAAGTGGGGAAGTACACAGGCCTCCCGCAGCGGGAAAGTCACTTTCATTCAAGCGAGTCGAAGGCGCCACCTTTTCGAAAAAAACATCAAATTTCAATTCTGAGGAAATTGGCTTCGAATGCTTTTCGTTTCATTAGTGAAATCGTTTCGTCCTCACCAAAACAAAGCGACCCAGATCCACGGGAAAATGAATGTTGTACACAAACTAGAAATTTGATGCTTCATTCACATAAGCATTACTCCCTACATGAGCCCTCAACAAGCGGAAAAGTGAATCCGGTCGATAGGCACTGCCAAGAACCAAACATGATGGCGTACTTGATCGCCCCAGACTGGCCCGGCTAGCCAAAAACAACCTATCAATGACTTTAGAGCCGGAGCGCTTTGCCAAAACCTCACTCGGGGCATCCATGGATTGCCCAGGTGCTCAAATCTCTGAGTGTGAGCCTGGCTATCAAATTTTCTTACTTGTACATAGACGATCCAGAGTTATTGAATAGGTACCTGCAATCTTTCCACTAAAAAAATAACTGCGTAAGACGCAGCGCAAGACTAAGCACACAGGGTAAGCCTCTAGAGAATCTATTACATTTGTCATCTTTACTAGCCTCGCTTTTTATGAACCCTACCTATGTGTTCCATCATATTATCTTTCCGGCTAAAGGTCCTGTCGCATTTGTGACAATCAAAGGAGTGTGGATCCACATGTTGTGTTTCAATATGCCGCATTAATACGCCTTTGCGAGAAAACACGCCTGGGTAATTGCAGCCTCTCCAGAGACATTGAAAGTGATTGCGTCGGCTCCTTTATTGGCCATATTACATTGTCAGTGTGCACGTTCAACCTTTGAGACCTCCAAGTGCTTACCTCCGACTCGGTCCAGGTAATTGAAGATGGCCGCGAGTGTCATTTGCCTGGATAAACTCGCTGCTGGCGTCGCAGGAGTACGAAGCTTGAGGTATCCAGGTGATTGGAAAAGATGTATTGATCGGTCCTAATGTACTCTGAGGGCCAAAAGGAATCGTTCCGGAGGGGTCACCGGTGTAGTGAAATTCGGCCGAGGCGCCAGATAGTTCATGTTGGAATGTGTGGCTCCAATCGATGCTTCTGAAAGCTGCGACTGAGAGTTGATTGGAACAGGGTGGCATGAACTGGCTTTGCGATACAGGATCATGTTGATGGATATCTGTAGAGACGACAGAAGTAGGAGGGTATTGAACAGGAATGCCATCCTGCGGGAAGTTGCTCACATCCATCACTCCCCAATTTTCCTCGCTTAGAACATTGATGTAGTTTGAAGGAAAGCTGCACAGAGAGTCTACCATCGTGCGATAAGCATCCAAGGTGAATTAGTGTGCGTATTTCCGGTGGAAGAAAGCATAGAGCCTGGGGCTCAGGCCCAAATTTTTGTGAAAGAGAAGAAATTTTATATGACAGAGTTTGCATTTGCGGCTATATTATGATGTAGGAAAGGAGATCCATGCATGAACAGGTTCCCCAACGGTGGATAAAATCTAACACCAGGCACCTATGTTTCGTAAGCCGTGAAACCCCAAAGCGTTCGTCGAACCTCCAGTGTGCGACACCAATCCTTCCATTCTAGAAGGTTTCCTGTCGGAGGATTCTGAAACAGTGCCACGTGTAGAACAAATGAAGAAAGAAAAAAAAGAACTGAAACAAAAGTCGGAACTGTAGGATTTCCCACAGAGCAGCGAATCAGCAGCGGGGAGCGAGCAGAATTAATCCCATGGGTCCTCGGTGTGGTCACACTGAGCCCTTGACATCATCTGCAGCGGCATAACGAGACCACTTTCGAATAATAGGCCCATAGCGGTAAAAGACATATGGCACTGGAACCATGATCGCGCTGATACAGCCCAGGATTGTAAGGGTCCAATGGACACCCATGTTTTTGTAGAAGGGGATGCCGACAACGGTCATCCCCCCAGCTGCAAAGTATCGCGACACAGTCATGAATCCCAGCGCAGATGCGGCGTAAATGTCGTAGGAATCGATGATGTACATGTAGGAACTGATGAAAATGCAAATACAGCCGAAGCCGAAGAAGCTTGAGGCCACAATAGGTGACCAAATCGAGACAGAAGCCTGAAACAGCGTTAGCTTTACTTTGAATACAGTAGATAATGCGGGGGCATTGAACTCACAAAGTCAGTCCAGCCCATCCAGAACAGACTGATAGGAATCAACGGCGCTCCACACATGGCAAACCAGAGTCGAATCTCTGGTTGTGTATGGACGTTGTCTAAGGCACGGGGATTCAAGGCGGGATCGGCCCCGTTCTTTTGCTGTGCTGCAGCAGTAAAGTCTCTCTTAGTGTAGCGGTAGATTGGAAGAACCAGGAGACCAGCAAGAGCTATGCCAACATACATTGCAACCCAGACAATGTTGGTAAGGCCTTGAGACAGACCATGCACATCAGTGAAGATGTTGGTGTACCCGTCGAAGAATGTGAACAGAACAATATACAAGACCGTCATGTATAAGGAGATGAGCAAGATGATGGGTTCGTGGAATGTGATGAGAAACTGCCGCTTCATCGCACCGCCAATACGATTGAAGAGGGAAACCTTGTCCATATCCATTGAAGAACGGTAACGGGGATCACCTGTCTTCTGTCGAAGATGCTTTCCCTTCCATTTCAAAAGCAACGGCGAATAAGTCTCGGGCTGGAAGAGCAGAACAAGAACGAAGATTGCGCCTGATGTGATTAGAATGATCCAAGCTGTCCACTGCCATTCCAAAACTCCAGTTTGTCCGATAAAGGAAGCAATCACCGGTGCCAGGACAGGTCCGCCGAATGACATGATAGCATACATGGGAAATGTGATGGTCTTTTCAAGGGGATTCCAAAGATCCGCAATGGTACCTCCAGCGCATGTCAGAGGAGGACAACCAAAGATTCCGGCTAAGAAGCGGAAGGCAAGCTGGGCACCAATGTTTGGGGCGAGGGCTGAGCCCATGATAAAGATCATGAACAAGGTAAGAGAGCCAGCGTAGACAGCATTACGACCGAGGATTTCCGATAGCGGGCCGCTGACCAGCGATCCGGCTGCAAACCCAAGAAGATAGACACCTGCTCACAAGTTAGACGTTAAATGTAGTATAAGGCCAAACCAATGCGATCATACCAGTCACCAGAGATCCGACAACCTCGCTCACGCCGTACGTCTCAGTGATTTGAGGTAGAACACCAGACTCAATGGCAGACGCAGCACCGACGATGAAAGCCAAAGCTGTGACCAGCAATGTCGCAACCATCCGGCGCGTATAGCTAAAATTCCGAGGGTTCAGAGGGTCATCATCACTCTCCCAGCCAACAACAAAGACATGAGCGTTTGGGTTTGAACTATCGAGTTGTTTTTGGATATCGATGCCGGCAAGGGACTGGGCTAGGCCGGACTTCTCGGAATATTGCGAAGGCTTTTGCGAAAGCGGACTCGGCGCTGGGATTGGCGGCATCGTGGCTTGCTCGGCTTGATAGTACGGACGGCGCGGCGTCATCGACGGGTGCCTTCTTCATGGAAGAAGTCGCACCATGTTCTGGGGCATTTTCGAGTTGTCTGTCGACAACGTGGCCCAATCGTCGGAATTGCAGATAAGACTGCATTTTGAATTTCAAGATTAGACCGAAACTTTGCGTCCGTCAAATTATGATCTCACCGGTTATATTGAGAGCGTTCCTGTTTGATTCAGGTACGCTATGTGATGACTGCTCAGGTCTCTTGGTGCGAAAGGAGAATTTCTGAGTCAAGGCACGGTCTCTCGGCTTTTAAAATATGCGTTCATGAGCATTTTGACCCACAGCTGATAAATCGGACTTCTTCCACCACGAATTCGGTTGAATTTCGGGCCGCATGCCAGCGGTGGGTCCCCTTAAACCCGAGAACAACTCGGCCCCTGACAAATAGGGGAGAGCCGAAGAGAATGCAAAAGACGATGTCGTGGAAGAATGGCATTGTTAATAGGAAACATAGCCAGTAGTTGAGCCACAGCATACAGGCCAATTTGGCTGAAGCAGGCCTTGACCTTATCTTAACCCGATCCACTCTTCAATGTGGATACTCGGACGAGAAGGATCTGCAGCTCGGACACTTCTCCGAGTCCGAGATATTGACTGCTGCCGGAGGTGGAATATACATACTTGCAGAAATAGGACCACTGACATCCCGTACCAGTCAATGATCATCCGCATCATCTGGAAACTCTCTTCTCCCAAATTGAAAAAATATGCCGATTAGAAAGAGGACCCCAGGAAGCATGGTTAGTTATACTCCGTAGTTGTGTATGCATCATCACGTAGAATTAGGAATATGCACTATTTTACCACTCGGTTTTTCAGTATAAGGATCAGATAGTATGCATCCTCGATAGGGGCCTTTCCATTATGCCCTTGCTGCTGCTGTTCCGCCACCTGGGCACTGATGCCCCGTTCGCTCTCCCGTCATCCTACCTGCAATGCCAGACCTCCATAGCGCTCTTCTCTCTTCGGTAGTTAACTGACTAGTAAATGACACTTGAATAAGCAATGCCCATTTCCAGGGCTAACAGAGCTCCATACCTAGTTTACACGCACGGTTCTACCTATACAGCATAGATAAAGGAAAGGGAAATGAAACACAAGATGTACATGCACAAATAACCTCTAACAGATACCGTCTAATCTACTTCACTCTACTCTGTACACGCACGTCACGTCACTTCACTTCACTTCCAAGGCTCACTTTATACCCACACCACTTCACTTAACTGCGAGTGAGTCGTCAAAAATTAAAATACATTGGTCTATCCTGAGCTCAGGTTGGACGTTGTATATCACCTCGCCCTTAATCTCATCTGAGACCTAATAAAATGATAAAGATTCATTCAAATTTCAAAGCTCATTTCACTAAAAGTCTTCATCGTATGATTAGGATCAGAATCAAGGACATTATCATTAAAGAAGACATAGATAGAGGCCCTATCTATATACTTCACAACTAAGAGCACATCGCAACTCGTGAAAACAAACACTCAATGACGTAGCTGAGTAACATCAGACTTAAAAGAACTCAAGTGCCTCATTAACACATTCACCATGTTGTTCCCAAACTTGGCGGCGGAGGCGTGGCTTCAGCATGACAATGCGTGTGTGGATCTCTTGCTCCATGCCTGCTCCGTGCGGGCACGCACAAAGTTTTCCGCCTGTGCTTGGTAAGAGATGCGGACCTCCAGGTCCATCAAATCAGCCTCTGTGACTGTGGCAAGTGTGGACGGGATTCGGTTGATCTTATTTCTGAAGAATCGTAGATTCCAGATATCCCGTAGGATGGAGGCGATCTGGTAATGGATCAGGGTTCGCTTTTCGAAGGAGTACATGTGAATTACCTGCGGGCGTATTATCACACCGGCGTCACGGTTGGTGGTAGGGAGACCTCGGGAGTCGAGTCCCGACTCCTAGTGAGTTAGTTGATTGTGGTAGTATAGGCACGACGAGCCAACTCTCCATCGACTGCTGTAGGGGGTGATAAATACATACTTGCAGATATAGCATCATTGATGCTATCCAATACTCAAATTATATGCACAAATTTCTTATTCAAAGTGGAAAAAAAAGAAAGATGAAAAGGCAAATGTACAAACAATCTCTAGTACAGACAAATTAGAATCTACTTCACTCGACCCTCACTTCAATTCACTTGATCGTGAGTGAGTCGTCTAAAGGCATTGGCACGATCTGGGGCCAAGTTGGATAGCTCAAATTACCTTACTTTAATCTGATCTAAAGCCCGAGTAAGATTCAATCAAAATGTAAAATCCATTTCACCGAAGATACAAAAGGCAAGGTAACCTAAAAAGAGATACAGGTCAAAACCTGACTCATGTATTTGACAAGTAACGACACACTGTATCCCAGTGAAAACAACCTCTCAAACACATAGCCAAGTAAACCGAGACCTAATAGAAACCGAGAGCCTCATTCACATCTTCACCATGCAGGCGCATGAATTCGCGGCGGGCACGTGAGCTCAACATGACAATGCGGTTGGTAATCGCATATTCAAGACCGGGGAGCTCAACATAAGCACGAGCAAGGTCTTCCAAATGACCTTCGTAAGACCTGCGAATCTCTAGGTCCTCCATATCTTCCTCGGTGATAGTGTCCAGTGTGCGTGGAATGCGTTCTATCGCGTGTTTGCAATATCGCAGCTTCCAGATTTCTTGGAGAATGATGGCAAACTGGTAATGGATCAGGGTTCGCTTTTGAAGGGAGTACATGTGACTTACCTGCGGGTGCGTCATCGCACCGGCGATATGGTTGGTGGTAAGGAGAGTCGATCCCCGACCCCCAGTGAGTTGCATGATTGCAGCGGTGCATGCACGACGAGCCAACTGTCCATCGTCGGTGTTGGCGGCCTGAGGGTGGCGGCCAACACCGCGATGGGGCTCGAGTGCAGAGTTCATGGCACTGACGTGCCGACGTATTGGATCGGACATTGTGTCGACGACCTGAGCTGGGAGGTTAGTCAATCTGATGCCTATTATGTAGAGACGCCAAACATACCGGTAATTGGATGGATGATGGTTTTTCAGAGGAGAAGAAATGTGTTAAGTGTATGATGGAATTACGAAGAGGAAGAGAGGAGAGCAAGTACAATGAAGAAGAGATTAAATAGTCAAAAGAGATCGAGCAAGAGCCGAGAAAGGCAATAGTCATGGTCCCGCCGCCGCCATCTGAAGAGGCTCTTCAAGCTTCACTTTGGACCCTGTTTCATCTCCGCCCCGAATCAGGAAGTCAACCTCAACCAGATATCCCCGAACACTATTATATCGGGCTGCTATTATGAGTTTCACCAGCACTAAGCTCAGATCTGATCAATTGATGGCTATATAGTACCTTTACTATTCATACTGATCAAAAAAGAAGCAGTTAGCAAGTTAACAACTATGACAAGAATTGTTGAGCTGACAACCATGAAACCCCAGCATTCAAAGGTTTAACCTTCATACTTCATCCTACACCCTAAGCAAGAGCTCATATTACACTCAACTTGTGGTTGAAGCCAAGCCCCTCGGTCCCTGAGTCTCAGACACGGATGAACACTAACTTCCGCCTCCAGCTGCCCAAAGTGGGCACCCGTGGATTGACACGGAAAGTCACCCAATCTCTGCACCCGCTGAAACCCACACCTCTACCTGTCCAAGCCTCTAGTCTGGACCCTTAATGTCAGCGCATATATTTAAAGACAGGACCTCGCACGCCGAAATTTCCATCCTCAAGTCCAAGAACGAACCCCAAAACCACCTGGCATGGCCAACGGTTTCCTCCCATACCACGAACCTGGAAGTGTGTAGCCCAGCACATACCAATTGAGCGCCATCCACTTTCTCACTGATCGATCGCAGCCGTTCAAATCCTAATAATCGTCTCATTCTTCTTCTTCCTATCGCTCGCAAAATGGTTCTCGGCAAAGATCATTCACGCCGGCATCATCGGCCAGATCGCTGTCGGGATCATCTACGGCGTGCCCCTGGCCAACATCCTCGAGCATAACTGGCAGGAAACTTTTCTCGCCCTCGGCTATGTCGGATTGATTCTGATCATTTTCGAAGGTAACTTTACTTGGCTTCTTGGCTAACATGAATACTGATGTCATCTATTCTAGGCGGTCTTGGCACTCGCGTGGATCTGTTGAAGCAGAATTTTACTCTGAGTATGATCGGTGCGGCGACCGGGGTTTGCTTCCCTATTGCCCTTTCTTACCTGCTGCTTTATCTGGGCTTTGGATATGGTCTGTGTGGCGATCGTCTATTTCTGGGGTTGAGGCTAATGTGGACCAGGCGCGGTGGAGACTTTTATTATAGGCGCTGCGCTATCAGCTACCTCATTGGGTATGTGATCTACGGCTAGTCTCGGTCTTGTACTTGGTTTGCCAAGAACTCGAGTAGATGTTGACACTTACTAGGCACTACTTTCGCCGTGATCAGCTCGGCTTCGAGCTCGGTCAATCTCGCCGAAACGCGCGTCGGTTCAATCCTCGTGAGCGCCGCTGTCATCGACGATGTAGTAGGGCTCGTCATGCTTAGGTATCTTATGTTCTCATTTTTGACAATCGAATAACCAAACTAACAAAATGTACAGTGTTATCGGCGATCTAGGCAAACTCTCAGACGAGAATGTCAACCTAGGCTGGTTAATCGGCCGTCCCATAGTGGCATCAGTGGGAATGGCAATCGTGACCCCCATCGTCACAAAATGGGTCTTTGCACCTTTCTTCCGAAAATACATCGAGTACCACTTCGCGCGCTTCGACCACGTCTCGAACATCATTCTCATGATCCTTGTTCTTTCGGCTTTTGTTGCCATTGCCGGTTTCACTGGCACATCGGTATTATTCGGTGCATTTTTGGCCGGCGTGTTCCTCACCTATATTCCGAGCAAGCGGCCAGAAGGGCCATTTGTGGTGATGAGCCGCGAGCAGGGCGAGCGTGAGGACGATAAGAGTCCTACCTTTGTCCACACTTTTGAGAAATATCTCCTAGCGCCTCAGGAGTACTTGATGGAGCCTTTATTCTTTTCTAGTATTGGGTTCGCGATTCCGTTTGTGCAGCTGTGGACAGGGAAGAGGATTTGGAGAGGTGTTGTTTATACGCTACTGATGGCTTTTGCTAAGGTATGATGGCAGCTAGTTACTATTCTTGTCGGTGTTGATTGAGCTAACGAATCCTGATCAGTGCGTTGTTGGAATCTGGGTCCCCATATGGCAAATCGGGATGAAAGGCAAGTCTCAAAGCACAGAATCGCAGGCAAGGACCAAAGGGGAGAAGAAGAGGAAGAGAAGCCACATCGAGCAAGTTGAGCATAAACAGCAATGGAGACGGGCTTGGCTCGCTGCAGCGCTGCTTGGGTCTGCTATGGTGGCCCGAGGTGAGATTGGTCTGCTGATCATTGAGATTGGACACAATGAGACTCCGTATGTCAGTGACGATGGGTTTATCACTGGCGTGTGGGCAATCTTGTTGAACACAATTATTGGCCCGGTTACTGTTGGTCTGATGGTTCGGTTTCATGCGCAGGCCATTGAAGAGGGTGATTGGGGGTTACAGAGCTCTTCAATTCCTATGGAAGGCGAGGAGACTGGCCATGGTGCGGTATAGATGCAGTTTCTGGCGAGACTACGCTAAGACCCCGTTGTGGGAAGAGTGCAGGTTGATGTGGCGAGTAAACGACATGATGATCGATGTAGCTAGTCTACGCAATTGAGAGTGAATGATAGAGATAGAACTACGTGCCAAGATTAAAAAAAAAAAAAAAAAGGTTTATGTTCATTGAAAAAAATATGTATTCACAATAGATCGCTGGGCAGGGAGATGCTAAGACCAACGTCCGAAATGCATTATCCATGAACACAGGCTATCCCACGGTCGTGAACCTTGGAATTCAGTGTAGCCTGACGGGGGTATTCAGTGAGGATGTCATAAAGACTCCATTAGAAAACGTAAGCATTAACTTTTGAATATGAGTGACTCAGCGCAGAGCACCATTATTAAATGTGCATAGAAGTAGAAATTAGGATATTAGACCTCGGCCTCAGGCTTCGAGGCATCTTTGCGCTCAGAGTCGATCAACTCCTGGCGGGCACGCTCTTGCTCCTCAAGGCCGGTCTTTCGGACAGTGTGCTGAGTAGTCAACTCGCGGCGGCGAATGAACAGAGACAAGATAAGACCGAGAGCTGCTACGGCTGTGTAGAAGATCCACATGCGGTTGAGAGCGTGGGTATAGGCACCCAAGATAACCTGGCGCTGGGAGGGATCGAGGCTGTTGATGAGAGTTTTGGAGGAGCCGGCAAAAGAGGCAGATATGGTGGCGGCTGTTTCAGCGCCAACGGAGGCAATCAATTTGTCGGACTGCTGGCCCATGATGTTTTGGAAGATAACGGTTCCCAGCACCACGGACATCGAGGTGGAGAGCTGACGCACGAAGCCGAATGTGGCGGTTGCGGTAGCCATGTCGGCGGGGCGGACGTTAGCTTGGAATGCGACGAGGGGGCCTGGAAGTTGGGTCCAACGCCGATACCAGCGATGATCTGGTAGATGATAATACGAGGCCATGAAGCATAGACCTTGAGATCGATGAAGAGACCAAATCCAAGGCAGATGAAGAACATACCGCCGATGATCAGCTCACGGAAGCGACCAGTCTTCTTCATGGCGATACCGGTGAAGACGGAGCTGATCGAGAGAGACAAGACCAGAGGCAAGACGTAGACACCACTCAGAATAGGGTTCGCTTGCAGAACAGTCTGGAAGTAGAGCGGCAGGTAGTAGGTACCAGCAATGAAAACGAAACCGTGGCAGAAGCAGACCATCAGAATGAGGATGTTGTACCACTCACTGAAGAGCCTTGCGGGGATTATCGGGAACTTGGCAAATTTCCATTCCCAAATCATTGCAATACCCCAGGTCAGCACACCGAACAGGATCAGACAAATCACGGTAGCGGAAGCCCAGGGATAGTTGACACCTCCGAACTCCAGACCAAAGAGGAACATCAGAGTTCCACCTACGATCAAGAATGTGCCTGCCCAATCAATGCTGCGCAGACCGGCTAGCAAAGGAGTCTTGGGAGACTCGATGTGGAGGAAGAGGATCAGGATAACAAGCGAAACACCTCCAATGGGAAGGTTGAGATAGAAACACCAGCGCCAACTGACGTTTGTAGTGAAGGCACCTCCCACAATAGGGCCCAAAGCACCCGCAATGGCCCAGGTTGCACCGAAAAGACCATAGTACATGGGTCGGTCTCTGTCAAATAGTTAGTCTTGTCACAATCTAAGATGATGATCACCATACCTCATGCTGAACAGATCGGAGACACTGATGTTAGCCAGGATAATGATACCACCACCGCCAACACCTTGGATAGCCCGACCGGCGAGGATCATAGCCATGTTCTTCGCTAGGGCGCAGATCAGACTGCCCACCAGGAAGGCAACATTGGCCATGACGATAATGTGTTTCCTCCCCCAAATATCACTAATCTTTCCCCACAGGGGAATGCAGGCGGCGTTTGCCAGCAGGTAAGATGAGGCAATCCATGAGAATCCACTTTCAGAAGCACCGAATTGAGCAGCGATTGTAGGGAGCGCGGTTGAGATAATGGTCTGCAGGAAAAAAAAGTTAATTATGCAAGCCTCAAGCGGGTGGATCAGATAACATACCATATCAAGAGCAGCCAAGAACAGGGCCAACTATAATGCGCCATCGCCAGATTAGCTTTCTGCAATTCAAGATCACTGCTCGCAGGAAATGCGACGAGAGACGGGTATTTCTTACGCATAGCGCTGTCATCACAGCAATAATCTTCTTCTTTCCCATGCGCGCTGCTTGCGACGGCGTCCGGTCCAAAGGGGCAGTCTTGTCGACTTCCGTATTTTGCTCGGCGGCCGGCGCATCGGTAGGTTCCGTCGCAGGTACATCATGAGGCTTCTCGGTGTACTGCTCAGAGGCAGTATCATCGCTGGAAGTAGGGCGTGAAGTCGCCATGGTGAGGGAGAAAACAAGAAGTTTTCACCAGAGTCGGAGTTAAAGCCCGTAGCGGCGCTCTGAACCCTTTATGATGAAATCTAGTCTAAACGCCGAATCAAGGGGCTTGCGAAAGGAAAGAGGCCGGAGGGAAAGAAGTGACAGGACATATTTAAAGAGGGACTCGGGGAGCGCATTTTCGGAGTTTAGAAATGGGCAGGATTGTTGCCGAATCAGCATTGACATCGGCCATATCGGCCATTGCGAACTCCCGACGCCGACATGAGTCAAGTAACTCAAAACACGAACTTACGTAGTTTGTGAGATTTGTGAATCGTGAGATTAGTATCATTTAGGACTTGTATTACCCTGTAGTATTATAGCAGTGTTCAATCTACCAGGATCGTATGGGAGAAAAGTCTTGGTGTTGCCCAAAAGAGCGTCGGCGCGATCTACAAAAAATGTGACCCGCTCATTTCCCGTTTGGGAAATTCTAGACTTGTCCAACACACGTCTGAATACTCCACCATGCTGAAAAAGCTCAAGGCGCTCAAATTACTCTTCTCCAAACCTGCGGAGATATGCCGCTCTCTAAAGACACGTCTATTTCGCCGTGAGGTAAAGCAAAGTTTGATGTTCAAACTGGACAAGCAGGTACTGCACCGGATCTTTGACATGCTAGACCCAGTCGACCAAGCCTGCCTAGCGTTTACCTGCAGCAAATACCTGTATCTCTTATGGAAGGTCCAAGATATCACACTTTGGGGACCGGATACTGAAAAACACGCTATATGCCCAACAGCCGTGGAATCCTCGAAGTATACTACTCGAGAAAGGTTCAGCTGTCGACTACAGAACAAGCAGTGGTTGTTTTGTGCGATGTGTCGTCGCTTACACCCTGAAAGGGCATGCAAATCACAAGAATATGAGAGAGAGCTGGAGTATGAGAGGCAGCAGAGACAGCAGAGACAGCGGGAGTATGAAAAAGAGCGGGAGGAGAGGAGAAAAAAACAGCAAAAGAGACAGGAAGCGCATGACAGACACAGATCGACATCTTTTGATTCTTATGTGTACGATACGGGTCTGTGGATGTGCTTGTGAGTTGATTGATCTGTTGCCGAACTTGCGACAGACACCTGGGCATTGGCAGGAATTGCTAGAGTGATCAGAGGTCGCTTTCTCCGAATCTTTAATCTTTAATTCTTAATCTTCATGGCTGATATCGCCTTCCAAATTCTCTCCAAGGCTGCATTGGATTAGCAAAAGATATCTCATGTTGGAGAACAGTCCATGCTTAATCAATACCTAGGTTTCCAGATGACGTAGATAAATCAGATAACATCTGAAAGACTTCTGATATCAGGCACTAGCTCGACCGATAAATATGCAATGATGATTCTTTCCAGGCAATTCTATGACAAAAAACAAATTGAGGGGTGGGGTATAAAATGGAAAGATAAATCACAGAGGGCGAAGCCAGACACATGCATAGCATCAAACGTATGGAGATTCTACTCCTGCAATAGGAGAATTTCTGCAAAAGCCGTGTTAGCCAACAATCCCAAACCTGATCGCATAACACGAAACTCACCCGTCAAAGCCTCCTCAAAGCTAAGCGTAATATAACCATCCCGATCCTCATCATAGCGCTTAAACACATCCGTCATGCGCTTGAGACTAATACAAGCCTGAACAAACAAATCAAAGCTCATACCCTGACGAACAGGATCCTTCGCCGTCCCCATCTGTTTTCCCTTCGCCTCAAAGACACCAAAAATCACACCGATGAATTTCGGACTTAGTCTGTAGCCGAAGGCAACAAGCGCCTTCTCGAATTCAGGCATGCTAATGCGCCCACTGCGGTCCTCGTCGAATCTATCGAACAACTCCCGCCACGCAGCAAGGTACCGCCACAGCGAAACAAACTCGTCGAAGTTGATCGTTCCACTGCCGTCGCGATCGAACATGCGAATCATCAATCTGACTGTTCGCGGGTGGAAGGATGTGTAGTCGCCGTTCACCAGAGCGGAGCCGAGCTCGTGTTCTGTGAGAGTGCCGGAGTGTGAAGAGTTCGCGGCGCGGAAGAGGGGAAAGAGCTGTTGCGGGTCATTGCTGGGGGCTGTTAAGGGTGGTGGGGCTGGAGACTGGGGAGGGCGCGAAGAGGGCGCGGGTCGATTGCGATGCACAGGCGGGGGGCCGAAGCCGTAGTTTTGAGGTGGTGGGGAAGGGTGGAGAGGGTGTGGGCGACTTTGACTTTGGCTATAGCTCTGGCTGTGGCTTTGGCTTGGGAGTGGTGGGTTCGTGGATGACGACCGTCCGTTGTAGGAGTGATGGGTCTGGGGGTCGAGGCGCGGGGGAGCGGCGACGTATGCGTTTTGCGGGGGTGCGCTGGAGACTGGAACACGAGCGGGGACGCCGCCTGGTCCTGACTGTGGAGGGCGCGAGGGAAGAGGCTTTTGGTTCATGCTCTGGCTGTGCGCTGAAGAGTGGCTGGAGTGGCTTTGAGGGCCTGATACGCTCATCGAGCCTATCATCTGCGCGACCTGTTGAGCTATTAGCAAGGGAGGGGTGTGGCGCGGCGCGGTTTAAGTACTTGTTCTGGCTCAGCATGACTGGGTTTTATGTTAGCAGGTGGACTTGTAGGCTGCCATGTTTCTCGCAATCAACCAAAGACTTACGCGGGCAGCGCATCGGGGTTGTAGGACTTGTTGTACGCCATTGTAGGCGATGGAACAATGGACGGTGATGAGGTGGGGGGAAACGCAACAGGCACCAAGCAAAGATGCGTACAAGTCTCTCTAGACAGGAGAACAAGGAGGATTAAGAGAGAAAGGAGGTGGAAATCGTAGATTGCCCGAAGCGGAGCCGTGGGGCGGTGGTTTACGAAGACACTTTAGCGCGCCAAGTGATAATCTCGGAGTGTTGCCAATGTTAATGTCGATGTCACCGTATAGACGCCGTTAAACAGTGTAACCTATTCTATTTCAAGCTTTATCCGCCGTGAACTCTGAAGTCAACATGTTTTCTACATGGTGGCTTCTCGCAGATCAGCCCTACGTGGGGAACCTATAGGCGCCCTACTAAAAATACATTGGGGGCGATATTCCCGAAACCGTTCCTCGTATTCGTATTGCAACAGGCTTCTTTCCCTTGGAGGCTGAATCAGGTGGGTCGCACCCAAATCCTGACAATAAAGAGAACGCTTGAATTGTTTTTCTTTTTGTAATGTGTCGTTTCAAACACTACTTTGTTCTGTGAATCTGAAAATCGAAAAAAAAACGCCATAAACTAAAGATGCTTTGATAACATGGGTATCTCAACGAGACGCAAACGCTTTTGGGTGATAATGATGAGGCCAGAAAACGGATCCAATAGTGGATACCAAAGCATTGAAATGATGCAAGATTCGATGGAGAGAGTCAAGCTCTTCTGTTTTTCGTGGGGATGATCGCCGCAGAGCTAAACACCCTGGTAGACACCGCGAGCGATGATGGAGATCTCGGGGGCCTCGGCCTCCAAGACAGCGATGATCTCCGCCCAGATCTTTTCTTGGAGCTCCTCCGCATGGGACCCGGTAGTCAGAGCAGTGGATTCACTACAATATGATCAGTAAAAAACAATGAGACATGGGGGATTTCTCTTACTCAAGGTATCCGTCACTGCGCCAGCACTTGCCCTGCGACTCAACGCCCTGAAGAGTGGCGCTGACCAAAGACCGACTTCCTTCCTCGGTGGTGCGGGCAAACAACCTGTGCATCACCCAGACGATACACTTCTCATACCAGGAGTTGTATTGACGGCCTAAGCCCGACACGCAGAGACCAGGGCTGATGGTGTTGACGATGAGGGGATGCGAGCCATCCTCATTGCGCGAGAGAGCGGCGATTTTCTTCATTGCAAATTCGAGCAACAGCTTCGAGATACCATATTGCTTAGCGCCCTTGAAGTTGGCAGCGTCGTTGACGTGGGGTAGCAGCGGGCCATCAGTTTGCAGACTCTGAGCCTTGACCCGGACAAATTGCTGACTTGAGACGACGCTCAGATGCGCGGGATCAGTGGCCGTGGCGCTTTTCCTCAGCTTGGGGATCAACAGCAGAGCCAGCATCGAGGTGGAGAGAGCGTTGACCTGGAGACTCTCCTCCCATCCTTCGGGGGATTGGTTGTATCCGCGATTCCAGAGACCAGCGTTGAGCAAAGCAATGTCGAGGCGCTCCAGCTCATTGTTGACACGGTCAGTGAAGACTTTGACGCTGCGGAAGCTGTTCATTTCGAGCTCCCAGACTTTGACGACGTTGTGCCGTTTGGTGATTCGCTCCAGTTCGAGTCTGGTTTGTTTGCCGCGCTCGGCGCTACGCGATCCAATGATGAGTCTGTCGACGCCGAGATTCAAAATCTTGATGGCAGCTTCGAAGCCCAAGCCCGAGGTGGCACCTGTCAGGAGTACAACTTTGCCGGCAAAGGATACCCCCTGAGGATCAGTGGGTGGGGTGTACTGCATTTTCAGCAGTCTAAAAAGGCCAGCCATGATGAAGGAAGTTTGGGGCTGTCCGAAGAAAAGGAATGAAACTCGAAGGTTGAGAAACGAAGAACGCGTTGGATGTTGGAGCAGGCGATCCGATAAGCCGATAAGTCGATAAGAGGTCCGATAAGAGGTCGACGGGAATTTGGGAAGGAGGGGCCTCGTCCAGTGTGGAAGGCAGCACTGTGTTCCTTTCAACTGACTTCCAGGAGTCCTCCCATCTTCAGACCGGCGGTAACATTAATTCCGACTTCGACCTAGTCATTAGTACCTACAACAGGCAATGCCATGAGCATTTGAGGTGAAAGCACAAATAGTCAAGCTCAGTCTGACACACAGACACAGACCCAACGACATCCACGGGTGTCGTATCGCCCTGTATAGTATGTCTATAGATGCAGGGCTTAGATTTTGGACAGTCGTAGGGCTGACAGGTCCCCAGATATCACTGAATCTGCTAGCAACCATGAACAATGTTCAAAATCACCCAGATGTACCGATGGGCCGCACTTCATAGCATATGAAGCTGGAGCCTGGAGCAAGCCTTATTAAGACCATGGGACCAATATTCCGTAATGCCGAGTTCTATAGATCTGAAGAACATGCTGGATACATCGTTGAGCCCATATTTGCAGTAATGGCGAAACAAACAAACACTGCAAACAACCGCGACCGTACCACCAAGTCGGTCCTCAACAGAGCTTAGTAGTATACAAAAACCATAGACAATTGAAGGGGACTTACAAAGGGGCGCCTTCCTTAGTTACCTGACCCACGATCCAGCTCTCATTTCTGCTCTGGACTCACCACCCAAGCAGTGAGCTACCCGAACAAGCTGCATCGCGGGGCAATTATTAATCCACAAACTTTCCGAGGTCATCTAGGAACTCCCAAAGTTGCATATTGAACATACCAGCATTGTCATATTCAACATGGCAGCTGCCGAACAAGGACATCTCGTCCATCCTGAAGGTCGGACGTGGAAGACTCATTTCCCTAAAGGTGATCTGTGGGTATTCGGATACGGGTAAGTTGACTCATAGATCTGAGATCTGATGCAGTAACCAAAGTCAACAATTGCTGATTAGGCCTCAGGAGCTTGATCTGGAAGCCACCTCCACACTATGGTACGTGAAGTTGCCAAGCAACACAGCCGTTCGAAGCACTAGGACGAGCCTAAGCTGTGTGGCTGGCTCAACCAATGAAGATAGCTGACATGATGCAGACCAGCGCATTCCGGGCTATGTCAGTGGCTATGTGCGACGATTCTGGCAGGTAAGTGAATGTGCAGGTCTGAATATGTCTCTCCTTTGAAACGACACTAATATCCCATCTGTATAGGCTAGGTGCGTATGCAGCATTACAATGCAAACAGCCTGGAAAGAAATGAGCCATTGCTGACTTTGAGAGCAGTTCTGACCACCGCGGTACTCGTGAGAATCCCGGCCGGGTAGTCACTGTCATTGAACGAAGCTTTTGGGAGACCCTCGATGACCCGGTGAGTGGTGCAAGACCCCTTGAAAAACCCATACTAAGTATGATCAGCTCGCCCAGCTAGAGTCAGAGTCCGCTTCGACCGGGAAGGTCTGGGGTGCAGCATATCATATTCCAGCTTCCCATGCTGAAGAAGTGCACGACTATCTTGACGAACGGGAAATCAACGGTTATACCGCCCATTACACACCTTTCCACCCAACTGTCGATATTGGGGGCAGTAATGCCAGTGGAGATCAGGCGTCGGCGCCCATTATCTGCATGGTTTATATTGGCCAGCCGTCTAACTCGCAGTTCCTTCGGGAGGCCGCGTCTCGCGATCCCCAGCAAGTCGCTCAGGTTATCGCTTCCAGTGAAGGTGCTAGTGGAAAGAATACTGAATATTTGTTCATGTTGGAGAAGGCACTCGACGGCATTGGCCTTGGAACTGCAGATGTACATGTTACGGATCTGGTGAAGAGGGTCAAAGCTATTGAGGCTGAGGGTCTCGGGGAGGCCGAGGAGAAGGAAGCTGAGCTCCATGTCACCAAGTCATTGGAGGAGGCAGCCAGAGATCCCGAACATGCTGATGGCCACTCTGCGATTGAGTAAGTACATGCATTTTGTCTGGTACTGTATCATCGTGGCGATCCCAGTCTGTCAAATGAGCATGGCTAGCTTTCAGCCTTGCTATGTGATTTTGAATACACATGATTTGAGATAAGGTCACTGCTTCTCTGTAGATTGATAAAAAGGGCTCTGTCGTGGAACATGAAACTCGTAGTGCAAATTATCTGAAAACACACATGGATCATTCTGTGAAACAAAAACAACACAACACCAAAATAACTTTGTAGACGAGGCCGAATGCAACCGTATAAATGCTCAAATCGGGCATCTCATGACCCAACGCCAGCTACGAAAACCCATGTACCCTCCGTAGCTTGTCGAGCTTGATTGAATAGAATGATCTCGTTGCAAGATTGGAAAATTAGCACCCGCTATCCCCGATCATTCACCACATTCCTGCCGTGATATGTTGTTACTTCTTTTTGAAAAAAAAAGGAAGGCAAAATGTAGAAATATTGCAAAAAGAAGAACTGAAAGCATATCAGCTCATTCAGTGGTGGTGGCCGTCCTGAGGAGCCTGCTCGCCGTTGTTGCCACGCCAGCCTGCGGTTGTCAGTGGGAAAAATTCCGGGGTCTAATGGGCATTGAACTCACCTCCTCCACCACCGTATCCGGTGTTGGGACCACCACCTGTTTCAGAGTAAGTATGTTTCATGAGTGATAATGTTTCCAGCGATCCTCTAACATACCGTAGCCACCGCCGCCATAACCCCCCCGCGCCGTAGCCGGTGGGACCACTTGGGCTGTTGTTGTACCCGCGGTTGTATCCACCCCCGTATCCACCACCCCCGTTGTTGTACCCAGCATTAGGGTGGTAGTTACCCCCAGCATAACCAGCATTACCCTGGTAGCCGGAGGGGGGTTGCGAATTGTACCCACCCCGGCCCTGGAAGCCACCATCGGTACGTTGAGGGCGGTCAAAGGCCTTGTCGACACGAATGACCCGTCCGTCAAATCTGAAACATGCATGAGAATGCTGCGCTGGAATTCAAATGCACAAGATCTAGGCCCGGTTCTTACTCCTGATTGTTCATGGCTTCCATCGCGGCATCTGCTTCGGCATCTGAAGCAAAGCGAACGAAGCCAAACCCACGGCTACGCAACGTGGCACGATCCTTCACCACAATCTGCACGAGTGGATTTTAGTGCAAGCTCCAAAATTGCGATGCACAGAGCAGAATGGGACTGACGGCTTCTTGGATCTCACCGAATTGCTCAAATCCCTGGCGCAGAGTATCATCATTGGTGTGCCAAGAAAGACCGCTGAACAAAATCGCAATAGTCGTTAGCCTGGATTCAACAAGCACAAATTTGTCTCCGGAGGAATGGTACCCACTGAACAAATAGCTTAGACATCCTGTCGAGGTTCTGGTAAGAACTATATAGCCGGTAAAGACGGAATCAACGTGATTCGAAGGAGGAAGGAAAGGATGAAGGAAGAGACGATACACGAAAGAAGGAAAGGACAAAAATCAGAATTCGTCCGGGTGGTGAAGTGACAGGGAGATCCTAGTGGTTGCGAGGCGAGTCAGCATTCAGTCCCGTGTAACAATCACACTGCGTTAGGGCTTCCACGTCGCTGGAAAATTTCCACTGGTCAGATAGCCATGAGATGCCCACAACGCGCAATATAATGCTTACTGTGTCTTTGTCTGGGAGCTTGGCCAGAGCCACCAAAAGCGCGGAGTCCGCTCGAAAGAGTACAAAGTGGGGGAGCTGCAGAGCGATAAACCCGCCAAAGCCCACGGGTCTAAACCTTGAATTGATTGATTTGCGGGTCGTGTCGGCTCATCCTTCAGCGATCAATCAGAATGTGTCCGATGTTCCGTATCCATGAAGGATTGGCGGCACTAAGGGCAACGGCTGTACATTGCCCCTCACCCTCAAAATTGAATACATAGTCTCTCGCTTATAAGGCTGAAATATTCTGGCGGAATTTGTGAGATTCCGGTAAACATGACGCGATAAAGCACATGCGCCTTGAACGAGAGCCAGCGCGAGCCGAGCGGGGCTGTGGACCAAGTGGTAGACTTCGTACCTCGCAGCTGTATGCACCATTGGTTGTACATGTGCTTATGCAATCTTGATGCTCCTTATTCGGTCGGGAAATGATTGCCCAAGGCGGCTGAAGGTCTGGCCATGCAGACTTGCGATATGCAGTTGCAGAGGTCTAGCCTTTGCCTTGAACTTGTGCGTGCACTCGGGGAGATGGGCAGTGCCCGTAGGCCCACCTGCGGCCTGGGCCGTGTCTGCCGGAAAGGTTCCGGGGAATGGCGAAAGATCGACGCATGGGTTGGATCTATACAATCTCGACAGTTTGGAGGCCATATTTGATGAGAGTTGGTTTCCAGCGCGAAATCGATGTCTGGGTCAGTAGCCGCTCGAGGCCGGTGCTCGGTAAGCGCTCACCGTTGGCAGGTGAAAACGGCCAACAGCATCAAGTGGATTGAGCATGCCCTTTCACCAAGAAGTGTTGTCGTTCACTGGGCACCTAAAAATGCGAATGTTTCTGGAGAGAGGTGAGTTGAAGGTGCAATGTTGTGTAATGAAATGGTCGTGCCTTCTTCGGCGGTGACCTTGCAAACTTCAGCCTCGCTGTCTCCAGATTTATTACTTCATTCAATCTACTTTACCATCTCGTCTTTACTGGCAAGAGCATTGATTCAAGCTATGGATGAGCAACAAGATTCAATCCAACGATGGTTGTCCACTGTGCAGGACCAACCGCATCATCGCCATGAAGGTATATCGCCGCGGTCGAGATGGTACTAAGATTCATGTCAACTGACTGAGCTTCAGATCAGAGTACAGATGAGGGTCCAAGCAAGCCCTCGGGCAATGAAATTCCTCATATTCAGCTGGAAGTTTCCGAGGGTGCGAATAGTCGACCTCACACAACTTCCAAAAAGAGAGCCGGGCAATTTGACGAAATCGCTGCGTCACCTACCGAACCTTTGACCCAACTCAAGGGTCGGAAGAAACCCCGCCATGACTTTGATTTGAAGCCCAGACACAAGACACGAGAGGATCACTACGAGTACAAAGGCAATACACCAGGAACGTCCCAGTCGCATGCTCCGGTCAGAAAGGGCAAGAAACCCCGGGGGAGAAGGCGCACCATGAACGATGATTTCCACGCCATGAATGTCACCGAGAATAGATTGACGGTATGTACCACCTCCAAGCTTGTATGAACTCTGCTAATCTCAAGAAGTTGCGCAAAATCGCTAGTCTGGGGATTTTCAGCAAGGGAAAGACCTCATCTCCTAATGACCCTCCAAGCGTGCCATCGGACTCTTGCCCCAAACCAAGTCCAAAAGATGTCTTTCGAAAGCGCCAAACGTCGTCGGATCTTGCCTTCTCGAAATGGATGTTTTTGTCGAACCCGTCGTCAGGAAATATCCCTGCCCCTAATCCTGCTGCAACACAGCCGGGAGGACCGCTGTCCAATTGCCACGCAAGTAACCATACGAGGAGCACCCTATCAGAGGTAGACATGACCTCCAATAATCCAAAGTCCCTCATGCTACAGGGAGAAGCTCCGCGCCCGCCAGCAACCCCATCGCAATGGTTCAAACATCGTCCAAGTCTTTGTCCACCAGGTACCGACATTTTCAAGTTTCTTGGTGCGAGAGACCCCCATGAGCCTATTCCAGCACAGGACTCATCAGACGATCTCGTCCAAAGGGACGTTGGCGATTGCAAAAATGATTCATTCAAGGTCGACGTTCTGGAGAACATCGAACCACGAGACGAGACTTGCTCCCTGCGACCCCCGAAACGTCTTTTATCCCCACTCGTTGAATTTCCACAGAAGAGGGAAAGATTATCGACACAATCATCTTGCACTCCATATACCTGGAGCGAAAGTGAAGATAACGCCAAACAAAATGACCACGCTCTTGAGAAACATCTGCTTGATTTGTTGCATGCCGGCCTTAACTCCCAAGGCACCTTCAGCGAAATCCCAAGCAACCAATTGGAAGAGAGATACTGGGGACTTTCAGAGTTATGGTTGTTGCTGGAAGAGAGGAAAGAGCTGTGGCCAGATGAGGGCAATAAAAAGCATCAAGAACAGCAGCAGGTTCCAGGTCCGCCAAGTCAACGACCTATACTGAAGCTTGCAGAGAAAAGCCGTTCTAGTCTTTTCAACATGAGCAGCATCCGCGAAAAGGTGTTCAGCAAACGCTTGAGTCCAAAGGCCGCGGCTCAGATCGTTTCCAATAACAGCAGCAGCCCACTCCAGCAGTATCTTGATCTGCGTTCAAGCCAGGGGCCCGAATATGTCGGCGGAGATGTGGAGAAGAATGCTCTCTTAGCACAGGTCTCACAGGTCTCACAAGCACATAAATCGAGAAGTGTGTCTCCCGACAAGTCAAAGGATCAATCTCTACCTCTTGACCAGGGCTTTGCAGAAGAACTGGACTATGGTTCTTGTCCGATCAAGGATCCACCTACATCAATCTGTGACTTTGACTTGCATGCACTGAGTCGAGTCGAAGACGATGATTTGTTTTATCAAACCCTGGAAGCCGCTTTTGACACGATCATGGACCCCCGGCTTCCGGCCATAGTTGCATCACACCTGCAAGAGTTGCTGACGCCTGCAGGTCTCAGAAGGCCTTTGGACCAACCTCAAACTTCCAAAGCAAATCCAACGCCGAGTCGCTACAGCGGCGCTGAAAAGAAAGGAGAACTTTGTGCGGCCACATCAGTGCGCCCTGAGTGCATCGACCTGGAAACATCAGATACGATGGCTTTTGCGCCACCCATTGGATGTGAGACGTCGACAAGCAATGACAAAGAACGCGATGACCCAAGTGACGAGATGTCCTGGTTGGTTGGCAGCCGGTCCCAGCTGGATCCCTCGACAAGAGGCCAGACCGACCGTAGCCCGGCTGCTGCGCTATCTGGATTTTGGCGGAAAAACAAGCTCTACTAATTGTCATGCGGAGAAGACGAAAACAACAGCAACATCACTGTACTGTAAATCAGAAAACCTAATTTATACATAATATCAATGACTGCCAGGAGAGAGAAAATCCATTGATACTCACAGATGTAATAGTGGAAAAGACCGAAAAACCAAACAAACATAAATCTGGCCCCGGAAGAGACGCATGGGATTTTAATGAGTTGAGGAGAAGAGTCAAGTATGAGAGATGGCCATCTTGTCATGGATATCACCTTTGGTGTTGTGTTTGAGTCAGTGTCGTGGGCCGTGAATGCCACAGCTCTATTGAGCGAAGCTATCCATTGGTTGAGTTCCATGTACACTGCTAGCAGTGAAAGATTATTAATTCAGTGGGTATAGAACGTTCTTAGATGACAGGAGAATCAAACACATCTTTTCATAGACCAAGTCCAACCTTTGTTTCTATTCAAGATATGGACATGCTTCGTCTATGCAAGTAGCCATAGGTCATCACGGACCAACCTCCTGGGCTCCCGTTCTGCGTTCACGTTCCTGTGCTTTCAAGCAGGCTTGATTGACTCGTGATGTTGGGCGGGTGGTTCGTTGGTGTGCATGGTTTCAAGCCGCGAAAATGAGCCGGGTGGGGGTTGAAGAGGGAGTTCAGTGAATGACGGGTCATCAAGCGGGATCAGTGATGTGGGCTTTCGGGATATCGGAGAAAGTAAAGCGTGTGTGATGTGTTATTGTGTAGTTTGCGAGAGCCGGTTTTAGTGCAGTGATCATAAAGTTGCAGCCGCCTCAACAACGCCCGCTGCCTTGAATGCGCCCGGGTTCTGGATCACAACCTCAACTGGGTATTTCCACTGCATGAATCGTGTCCAACCTATGAAGATATGCGATTAGCAAAACATGCCTCAGATTGCGAGCACTGTTTTCCGGTGCTTGTACTCACTCCAATACGCGCATCGGCGGCCCATGAGTTTCCCGATGAAGGGTACCAGAACCATGCTCAAAAGCAATTCAAGTTGTTGGATGCTTTCCCGCCATTCTTCTTCGGCATCGGAGGAGTATTCCGACAGAGTCTCGAGGTCGGACTCGGTTGTAGATTCAGATGGGAGGGAGGCGACCTCGTCGTCGGAGTATGAATTCTGGCGGGGAGGGCACCATGTACGCGGACATGGAGAATGAAGGGTTGGAGCTTTCCGGTGATTGGGAAGACATGGTGCAAAGATCTTTGAGGAGCACAGCTCAATAGCGAAACGGGCAGCTTGCCTTGCTCTGTTGTACTGAGACAACTTGTTCCAGGCGGTGGGTCAACAAGGATGAGGTAATCCGGAATCGAAGCCAAGTCACGTGCGAGTATGCGATAACGGCCCTGCGATAAGCCGCTCTATGATCCTCCCGGGGTCGAATTGCTCTTCAACAACTATTCGAAGAACTGAGATGTGAGATCCTGGTATATCAATAGCCTGACAAATGATTCGAAATCTCAGAAGCAAGCGCTCAACTCCCAGACCAGTCAATAATTTACCATAAAGGAGGAAATTTCATTCGCAATGAGCTAAATTGCCTAATCACTTGCAGAACATGCTGATTGAATACACAAATTGGTATAAAACGGAGACCAGCTCGAATATGGCCCACGCCCACACTAACACTGGAAAATATACAATGTGCGGGAATCTGAAACGTATGTGCCGACTGGATCTCCCATGGCTGAGGCAGATCAGTACATCGAAGTTAGCCACTGGCTGTGCTGAGCTTCATTTGTGCTGCGAAGGCATTCAAGTTTCTGGTTTGCAGATAAACCGATCCCGGTCCTTCGAACCTGCAAGCAAGGCCTTCCCCAGAGCTGAAACTAGAAATGAGGCCACCAGATGCAACACGGATCATCTTATAATCACAATTCCAAGCCACGAGATGTCCGTTGTCGATGATGTATACTTCTTTGTCAACGAGCTATCAGAAGTAAATTAGCCAAATCTCGGGCAAACCAGTGATCTCGTGGGTTCTTACGTCTTTTTTGATGATTGCACCAAAACTCTGCATCCAAAGAAGCCCAGTGCCGGTGATGTGGTAAACAAACAGACCTTCACCGGAAAATACACCCTTGGTCAGACCTTGGGCCTTGTACTCATGGTGCACACCGCTGGTGTGGGCTAAGAAGGCATCCCTGCCGATCTTCCAATTGTCTCCATCGTTGACTAGGTTGACAATAACATCTCCCAGCACAGATGGCGCAAGCAATAGCTCGCCGGGACCCGTATAATGCGACATACTCATACTTCCACCGGCAAAGAGCTTCTTCCAGGAGAAGCTCACATTTCCTCGGAGTGTGATTGTGGGCGACATTGCAATCATTGCACCTGCAGAGCCATGATTAGAATGACCAGACGTAAGATAGACAGGTTCATCGGCCATGAGAGGATTTGGAGGATAACTTACCTGGCCTAACTGTCAAGGGACAACCCATCGCCAATTGGATGGTCAAAAGTGAGTTTGTATCTCGGTGACTGACTCTGTAACTTCCTCCGTTGAATGTTCCAACATCATCCTGATTGGTTGAGTGCGCTCCAACGAACTCTCCAAACGCAGGCGCACCACCCGGTATCCTTTCCATCTTTGCTGCTGGAGGGGGTGTCTGGGAGGATATTGAAAGATTCCCAATGGCTGAATTCTGGCGGTACGCATCTAGGTTGTATTCTTGAATCGCCTTCTGGTCAACGGGTGGAGGTGGATACTGTCCCTCTGAATACTCTGGCTGGCTTGGCTGTGAACCCCCCGGGGGCGGGCTCGATGGAGGCGGAGGTAGCGCATACCCTCCATTTGTAGGGGGCGACCTTCCTGGGGGCGGCGCATAGCTAAAATTTGGTGGTTGATCGGCCGAAGATTGTCGCGTATGAGGCTGGATTGGTGGAAAGGCTGCGAATAGTATAAGTTCCAAATTTGAATGCGAACAAAACTCGAATTACCGTACCTGTTATATGTGCAGGTGCTATCATTCACCCGTCAGCTTTTGAGGATCAATCCAAAAGATGCAGTCAAGTCTTACCAGACATGGGCGGAGCGGCCCAATTTTGTTGTTGAGACATGATTCCGAGTCAACCGCAATTCTCAAACCAAGATCCTTTATACCAAATGTTCAAGATATAATGGTTCTCGAATAGAATTTTTATCTCGTTGCCGTCTGTCAGATTCAATGGTCCTTGGCCTTTCCAGGAGATGCGGGGTAGCAAAGTACAAATCAGACAGGAGAACCAAGTCAATAACAAGTGACGGGTGCTGTCTAAAAGTGTCTGAGGTAGTCCAAGTCGAGGTGTATCAACAATAGACCTTGAAATCAATCGGGGGTCCAAAATGAGGAGTAATGGATGGTACAATTCCGAAGAGGGGGAGATTCGTGGCGGGCCATTCTTTTTCAATGACCACAGCTTGAGCTCCGCACTAGGAGCTTCAGCGCTATTATTAGATCAAGACAAACGAAAGAGATCCCTCATGTGAAATTGGTCGCAGAGACCTCATTGACGACCCGCGAGTCACACGGGACTACTGCATGTTCATCCCCGCTGGGCGCTTAGGATGGTCCATTGAGCGATCTGATAGGTTGGCCCCACGGACCATCACAACGTACGGAAGATCTTCATTGGCGTATTCTTCAGGTGCCAGGAGGCCAAGAACAGTTAGGAAACTTTGTGGGCTCATCAAGAATCTCCTTGTGTGGGGGAACATCAGTAACGTCGCTCTGTGTCGCCATCGATTGATGTTACGGTCGTTTGGATTAACCCTATGTTGAGACAGAAAAAGGATAGCCAAATGCAAGTGAAAGTAGAAAACTGGTACCTATAAAAACAGTGATTTGAATATAAAGACTACGAGGACAATTCTAATAGATCCCGCAATGTAATAGATATTCATGCAACTTTCATGGAATGCTTCAAAATAGCGATAACTTGCAGACAGCGAGCATGCTTATTCGTCGCTGGTTGCACACCCATGAAAGGCATGCCGTGCCCATATTGCTGAGTAGCCCTAAGGCCTTCTTCTTTCCTATTAGCCAGATCTAAAGCTGTCAAGCCCTCGTTGTTTCGGAGCTGCAAATCTGCACCTCCGGTGATCAACATCTGAAGCACTTGAGGATGAGCATCGAATGCTGCACACATAAGTGCAGTATGGCCCTGGCTATCGCGTGCATCAATATCTGCCCCCTTTGTTATGAGAAAGGATAGCATGTCAATTTGCTCTTCGGCAGCAGCAAACATCAATGGAGTCTTCTCCTCAGAGTGGGCAGTGTTGATGTCGGCGCCATAGCGTAAAAGCATATCCACAGCCTCAATATTGCCGCAACGGCTAGCCCACCACATGACCGGCAGTCCCCGAGGGCCCAGCGTGTCTGGAGAGGCTCCATGTTGCAAAAGCAATTCCACGATGTTGACATGTCCCAGCTCTGTAGCTGCGATCAATGGGATTATTCCGCCTGCTTTGTGGCTGCCGTTGACATTCGCACCGTATTCAAGTAGAATGCGGGAACCCTCCAGATCGGCGCGTGCAACACATTGGATCAGCGCTGATTGATTGAATGAATCCACGGTGTTGATGTCCATGTTATGGCGCTGAAGAACCCGGATCGCAAAACGGGACTTATTTTGAGCTGCATGGGCGTAGGCAGTTGGTATCAAGTTCGGTATTTGTGCACTCCACTCGATCACCCTCATGAGGAGAAAATAGAGTAATAACCCATGGGAGTTTCGAATGGCCCATCCAAGGCAAAGACCATCTCCGTCTTCATCTGACAACACTCCATCTTCAAGATCGATAGAATTGGATGCGAGGAAATATTTGAATGCCCGTCTGCTATCGAGCAGATCTTGTGTCCCATACTGTGGATCCTGGGTATTGTACAACTCTTCTCGTATTCCCTCGCTCTCCAAGAAGTTATGAGTCGATCTCAAATCAGGGTTATCCTTTGTGATTGCGTACGCTACCCAGCCAAACTGAGCGCGGAAACTATCCCACCAAGCAACACGCTGTTGGGACTTGGTCCAATCTTGGGGTAAGTAGCGTGAACGTGTTTGGAAAAAGGCATCTCGTATGTCAGAACTGATGAGCCTGCATGTCTGCTCAGCTCCTTCGCTGCGGACAGCGGAGCTGTCACTTAGCATCGCTTGATGGCAAAGGTACGCCAATGCGTAACAAGACGTTTTGAGTTCAGGACCAATTGATCGCTCACATATCCAGCGAAGCAATTCAAAGGCCGTCTTCCATTTCCCTTGTGTGATCAATCCTTGAATGCGAGCTCGGATCATTGGGAAGTCACCAGAAAAGGTAGGCAGAAGGCCGAATCTCTTCAACACTGGTACAATGCACAGTAACGCATCCTCTCGCGTCCCTAGCCCAGAGTCTTCCACCCCGGAGACCAAGTCGTTTATGCGAGCATTAGAGCTGAAAAAGGAGCCTTGAATACCAGGGACAACATCGGTTTCACTTCCGAGATCCTTCAGGTGAGGCACAGCTTCCTTGAGAAATTGTACAAAGATGTCCTGGGCAGCCATGTTCTCAAGTGGACTCGTTGTTCTTACTGTCAGAACAGATTTCTCGGATTGGTCGTCTTTCGGCTCTGATATGAAAAGGCGGTTGGCACCGTCGATCAACCCAGCCTTGACAACTCTCGCCTCAGTTTGTCGAAAGATCCACTTATGGAAATACAGATAAGTGTCCTCCAGACTTGCCTCAGCCTCATCCAATCCAACCAAGCGGCAAAACGTCGAATTGTGCAAATGTGCATTTGACTTATGAACAGACCAAACCCACAAGCCTAGCACAGCCTCAAGCTCATTGACATTGACCTTCCATCGCAGGACGTCACCGCAACGCACAAGACCAATTGAATAAGTCCCCGCCGACTCAGTCTTATCGGGTGACGAGCTTTTCGCGCACTCAAAGCCAAGCTCGAAGCTGAAGTTGGTTCCAAGCTCAACTCCCCAGTCGCTTAACAAGTCCATTGTTGACTCAATCGCTTGGGCAAGTTTTCTAGCTACCTGACGAATAGGCATATCATCCCAATCAACATTCAAGCTTTGATTAGAGTCGGATGTCAACCTTGCCAGCTGAACTCTTGTTTTAATAATCTGTTTCGCGCTGGGTGTTTCGACTTGCAAAGTAATGCTCGGCGAAGGCATATTCGCAGACTGATCAGGCAGCGGAACGAGATCAAAAGAGTGTAGATCCTCAAGATGAAAAGCAAAGCAGTCCAATTCCTGCTGCTTGTGAGATGTGAGATCCCTTTCATCTTTCATTTTGTTCTCTCCTGGTGCCATTCGCTCAGTCCGCAAACAGGTTCGTATAATCGCCATTAGAAATGTCGATCCTAGCTGGGCTAAGATGACGGAGGCGTGAAGGCCTCTCAGTCCGACGAATTGTAAAATGAAGCCTAGCAATGTTGAGCCGAGCGTTGAGTATATCTCGAGGTACTTTCTGTCGAATCTTCGATCTCGGACAGACTTGATGTATTCATCCGTGTCTTCTTTGACGGCTAGGAAGGCGTTGAAAACTTGATCGCCGACGTCTTGATTGCCTGGCTGCACCCAGTATATCTTACTTGGCTTTTCTGGTCGGAGGTAATATTCTTTCGAGGAGCGCTCTGTGATGAAGGCGCAGAAGAACATTCCAATGAACAACATGGTCGTCCCTATGAGGTAGAATGGAAATGCGTATGAGGCGACAGCTTTGTCGTCTTTCTTGAAGTGTTCCGGAAACACAAAAACCGTTAGGATAGCGTACATTATAGTGCCTGTTTGAAGCATTGGTCAATCCTCGAATTCGAACAGCAATCTGAAATGATACGCACCACTCTGAAGCAAACCACCAAGCACTGCAGCAGAATAAAACCACCCCTGACCCCGTCTCTTGATCCCTTTATTCAAAGAAAGATTGGGGATATCAAGTTCAGGCAATGCACTCGGAAACGTCTTGCCTCTACAAGACCAAGCCCCCTCCTCAAGAGCCTCTTTCATAGTACCGATCCTCGTCGATTTCTCCCCAGTCTTTTCATCAAGCTCTTCCCAGGACACAACCTCCACGATTTTCGGTCTACCAAAGACCCGCGCAACACCACCATCATTGAATAGCTCAGCAGTGGATTCCGAAACACAGGGCAACAGCTCACTTTCAGCCTCAGCAGGACCTTCCTGTGCTCTTCCCACAAACGCCCGAAGCGATGAACTCCCGCAGATTCTAATCACAGACACCACAGCAGTCAACACACCCAATGGCGAAAGAGCAAAGATGACATTATCCAGCACACTGATCGACTCAGATAAGAATTGTTGCGTAATTCGTTCGCCGAACAATGTAATCAATGGCGCCTTAAATCATGTCAGTATCACCCGTTACTCCATCATCTTGTAACACACCCCCAGAATAAATGAGAATGAACCATACCAAATCCGTAGCAAGATTATTCGTAAAATCATCCCAATCATCAGCCCTCACACAACCAACAAATAAAAAAACCAACAAAGTAGAAACAATCATCATTCAATAACTCATCAATCTCCGTAATTCATATCAGGAAAAACGGTCAACGCCCGCTATCTTCCAACAAACGCGCAACCGCGCTCTTTTAAGACTCCTCATTCCCCAAGACCGGTCTGGCGCTACTGGATCCAGATGCGAAGCCATCATGCACGCGAACCGCCCACATAGCGCGAATAGCAGACAGCTAATAATATCGGGTCAAGGACCGATGGCTCTGAAACTGGCTAGGTGGGTTAGTGCGTGTGTAAGCGCTGAGATGGGGGCTTTGGGAAATGGGGGGGGCTTTGGTTATCGGTGCGCTAGTTGCGGGCCGCAGGACGCTATAGCACGGACTGTGGACTGCGGGTCTAGGGGGCTTGGGGATCGGCGCGTATATTTATCTTTCGTGCGTGAATGGCGTGCAGACTGATATTGATATGTTATCCTCGTTACTACGTATGCGGGTGGGTGATATGTCAGTGGCGTGGACTGGTTGGATGGCGAGTTAGTTCTTGTTATCGATGGTGTGCTGCGCCCTTGTGCTCGTGGCGAGATGGTATGTTTCAAAGATACGAATAGATGCGCTGTCTCGCCTTGATGAGGTGCAGGGGCACATGGGAATCTACGGAAATCGCGGTTATGGGAAGCCACAGTGGGGTCTCTCACCACGAGATGCAGGGAATGAGTGGAATTTGGACTCGAGGGAATCATATTTGACACATGGGCCAAGCTAAATATGTACGGTGCCCCTCTGGGGCTCATTAGTGATATGGCCTTGGGTGTCAATAAGCACTGCTAGAGCCCAGTCAATCCTGTAATAGTTGAAGCAAAATGACAAGCCACCAACGCCGTATCAATGAGTGTGAACACGAGAACGAGAACGAGAACTGCAAATTGCAATTACAAAATTGCAGGGAATCAACCATAATCAACCACGCTATAAGATTAGAAGATACTGTTCACGATGTTGGAACCCATAGTAGCACCGGCACCAAAGATTGCTATTCTCAATTAGCATGCATGGCTCGAGCAAACGCAAGGGGGGGAGGGACCTGTCAAACATACCAGCATTGCCCAGCTTCTTTCCGAACTTTTTACCGCCTTCTTCGAGCTTGTTCTGCTTAGGATCCTCCGGGTTCGCGGGGTTGGAGGGCTGTCCACCCTGGCTAACTTGGAGGGGCATGTTCCCATAGTTTGTAGGCGGGGGCGCTTGGTAAGGAGCAGCCTTCTCCGACTCAACAGCCACGTAGCTTGAAGGGAAGATACCCTCCTGTCCAGTAGTTTGGTTGCGACCACGCCACCCTGTTCGATATAATTAGCCAGGCGTCTCTTCAAACCAGGGGTTCATCTTACAGTCATTGTTCAGCTCCGTAGTCACTTCGATGCGGTGCTGTGGCTCGAAGGACAGATCACCAGGATCCTGAGTTCTGTATTGGTAGAGCGCAGTTGCCATTTTGACCGGAGGGACTTGGGGGTACGCGGGCGGGGCCTGCGGGGGCGGGCTTGCGTATTGATTGCGCTGGCCGGCCTTCTCGTTCATCGACATGTTGGACATCTGCGATGCGGGAGGGGAATAGGATGGTGCATAGGGGGCTGGAGGTTGGTTTTGCGCCGGCACTGGGTGCACAGGCTCCGGCTGTGCCAGCTGTCGGGTGGCCGGTGATGAGACTCGCTCCGCTTCGGTGGCATGTGTGTCGGCGATGGCTTTGAGGGGTGGGAGTATGGAGTTCATCTGGGCCGGGGTGATCAAGCCGACCGAGTCGAGAAATTCCAGTTCCTGGTCGGATGGTCAGTACCTGGCGTGGATTCAGGAACCCGCGGTCTGGGGGGCATACTGTCTGGATGGCGCGGAGCGACCGGGTGCGCATGGCAAGCTCCAACTTGCTAGGGGTCGCCATGGTGAAGCGGGACTGTTTTTGTGTAAGGAGGTGAATCTGTATTTGATGCCGGTCAATTGCACCAAGTAACGAGGAGTTTGAGGAGTTTCGAGGTTGAGGATTAGGGAGAGAAAGGGACGGGGCCAAGTCGGGATGTTATTATGCAGCCTAAGGCCAAGATCTCAACTCTCAAACAGTACAACAAACTATCAGCTATCAATTGAGTCAAATCTGAGTATACACATAGCCCTGGAGGTATTGTTTCGGCATGGTTTTACTGAAGCTTTTTGTCATCATGAACTCTGAATAAAATGAGAGACCCGGGGAGTAAGGTCTGATGCCCAGATGCCAAGACGCTTAAGCTGCTGGGTTATCTTTCAAAGCATTCAAGGGTAGACGGGAGTGTCTAATTTCCCAATCACACCGGACATGAGGCTAACTCGAAGGAGGAGATTGCAAATGTGCAAGGTCGGGTTACTCCCGAGGTGACAGTCGGCGATTGAACCTCCGTACAGTCGTTGTACGGACTAGTATCTGCTGAGAACCAGAAGTATCGGAGAGGCATATCGAGAGGAAAGTTTAAAATGACACGATGTAATGACCAGCAGAAAATAAAGGCGTCTTATGCGGAATATCCCAGGATTACAAGTTGAGCTCCAGGGCTATGATCTCAGGATTGCGAGTCAGAGCCTTAACCGGTGCTATGCGCTCATAGCTGCAAGATGTAAGATGCAGTATGTTTGCAAAACAAGTAATGCGATCCATTGAGCCGGAAGTGTACTTCCAAGAATGAGAGTCATGGATGAGTTGGCTTACTGCGTACATTATGGGCTTACCAGTCCATTACGTATGGCTCCCTCGGCGCTCAGCACGAGGCCGAAGGATTGGATATCCGTCCCAGCAGCCCTGGAGCCCTGTTCATAGAATCGCCAATTAAGCAGTAACACATAAAGGAAAGTATAGCGACCTCGAAAGCAAATAACAAATAACAAACAATAAACAATAAATATAATCAACACAACCGTTGAGATGCATGCGTCCCCCGGATCGGGGTGGCTGCATTAGGAAGACCTCAAAAGTCACTACTGCGGACTAGCACGAGACCTCCAGGACAATGATGATTGTAATTTACTCCATAGCGCCAGTGTAGTTTTGAAATATACGAAATGGAAATGTGAATTGGCTATAGTTCGGAGGAGCTAAAAGATTAACCGAAGGGTCCTAATTTCCCGTTGCACCGTTTAATTGGAACCGTCGTATTTTGCTGTCACTGTCGATCCGTAGTTCGTCCTGTTCGAGACTCTCACTTCCGGCCTTTGCTTTTTTTTTTTTCTTCTTATGGAAGAGAATTCCCAGAACTCCGTATATCTGATATGTTTCACTATTTCTAATTCCCTAATTTCTCCAATTTCCCTAATCTTTACGCCACAATCAGAGTGCATAATCTTGGGCTATCGCGGTGGCGCCGATATCAAAAAACTAGTCCAGACCCTGGAACTGACTACTCCGTACTCCGGACGTCGATATAACCCAGCTCTCTCTCTCTCTACCCAGAGATTTTCCTCACCATGGCAAATCCACCAATTCAGCTGTCCCTCCAGACAGACAAAACCACCCCAAGTCTCACTCCACCAGTGACTCCAATATCCAAACAGAATCGCCCTCCATTCCACACCCAATCCTCCGAAACTGAAACCGAAACCGAAAATGTCTGCACATACTTCACCGACGACCTCGAAATCTGCCGCGACTCCAACGACCGCAACCTCGAATTCGGCCGCGGCGTCTGGAGCATCGTATACAAAGCCCGCAGCACACCAACCCCGAACACCCTAGGAACACCACCCAGTTCCCCAGTAACAGCCGCGCAACTCTTCGCCGTGAAAGCCCCGCTGCGCCGCGACGCCCGCCCAGTCCTAAAAGCCGAAGCTGAAACCCTCACCCGCCTCTCCCACATCCAAGGCAGTGCCCACCACATCGTCCCCTACCACGGTTTCCACACAGAACTCTGTGCCCTCGTCTTAACAGCAATCCCCCTCTCCCTCTCAACCTACATCGAAACCCAAGCCGATCTCGCCCGCGCAAAACCAATGCAAGCAATGCTCGAACCAGTCGCGGGACCGACCGCATTCAAAAATCTCGCGCGCAAGCTTATCGTCGCCCTAAACTGGCTCCATGATACAGCTGGTGTTGTTCACGGCGATATCAAGCCTCAGAACATATTGCTCCGGGAAAGCGAAAGCGATGACGAATTCCCCTACGAGCCTCTGTTCATTGATTTCTCGGCCACGGTGGAAATTCCGAAAAGTGATGATGCGCCGGTTGACACGACGCGCGCTTCAATGTCTTCTTTCACCCCGCCTTTCACGGCGCCCGAGATGTTGGCTTCGTTGATGTGTAGTGAGATGGCGCCGACGCCTGCTTCGGATGTTTTCTCGCTGGCTGCGACGCTGTTGGCTGCTGCCACGGGGGATTTGTTGATTTATTCGAATATGAATCATAGGTTGAGGCTTGAGATGGCGCGATCTGGACATCAGATTATTGACTTTGCGCGCTCGGGTGTTAGTGGTTGTCGGGTGCCGAGGAATGGGTTTGTTGAGCGCGTTGTTAAGCCTGCTGTTGTGAAGGATCCTGGGTTGCGGATCTCGACTGCGGATTGGGTGAAGCTTGCGACTGAAGCTTGAGGTCCTTTTCTTTTCTTTTTCGTTGTTTTCCTCTTCGCATTGTTTTGTTTTGTTTTGCATCTGCGCTTGGTGGTATACCCTGTATGATGGAGTTTGGGGACTGTATGATATCAGTGATATAGTAGGATGGGATATTGGAGGAAATAATCATAGATTTGCATAATATCAAGAACCCTAATTTTTAATGCTCGTCAGTTCTTGGACTCGTGGAAAAGTCAAATATCCTTGGTATCGCAAACGCCCAGACATAGTATCACCATCAGCACGAAACCACAACCTCAAATTCATATCGTCAAGGTCAATTGCGCAGCAAGTTGAATCAATTACCATCCCCAGATTCAACGAACCGCTTCAAATCAGCAACCCACAGCTCAAAGTTCGCCTGCAGCCTCACCCCATACATCATCCTAACCATAAAAACAACCCAACCAACCTGCGCCTCCCAATTCCTTACTTCCGTACCGCCCTCCACATCCATAATCTCATGAACCCGCTCCGCCATCAACAACGACCGCGACATCGTCCCCGGCGCATCGTAATCCCCCGTCCACACGATCCGACCCACAGAGCCCGTCTCCGGATTCGGGGGACTGAACTCAGATATGAGTAAATGGACGTCTGTTGCAGGCTGAGGTTTCTCGGATGTGGATGTTGGGTCCATGCGGACGTGGAAGGTGAATCTTGTTCCCTTTTGGAGAATTGGAGATAGGGAGTTTGTGGTCGGGGCATTGGATTGGGATGGTGGTTGTGCAGATGTTGTTGGTGTGGGTTCAGTTGGCTGGGAGCGGATTGTTACGTGGGGGACGAAGGAGTTCCAGCTTGGCCAGGTTGAGGTGTCGGTTAGGACGGCCCAGACTTTTGGGGAAGGGGCGGTTATGAATGTTGAGCTGCCGATGTGGAGGGAGGCCTTTTCGACGGGGATGTTTGGGGTTGCGCGTGAGGCATTGTTTGGGTCTGAGAGGGTTGCCATTGTGGGCTGGATGGTTAATGGTTTGATTGGAATTGAGGAAGGAAGAAATTGGCTGGAAGGGAGAGGCTGCCAAATTACGTAGACCCCGGAGCTTGCTTGCATCCGAGCCGACTGCAGATCGCGATTGGACGATAAGATAAGATAGCGATAGCGATAGATAATCTCACCTGCGCACCAGGTTGTCGGCGTGGCTCGAGTTGGCTTCTTCCTGAAACCTCTGGTTTGACTCTGAGGCTACTATGGTCTCCTGGGTGGCTTTAGGCTAATTTTTGATTTTGGATCTTCTCAAACAGGATTCATTGGGTATGACAACTAGCAGTGAGTGACACAACGCAGGCAAAATTCGCGAAAAGGGCAAATGAAAGACAAGTTCATCAATGAACCGAAGCCCCATCAAAAGCATCAAATTGCCCAACAACACAGACCAAGAAAAAAGAGACAGTGAAAGACACAAACAAAAAGCCATAAAACGCGACTCCATCGCAAGAAACCCCAGGGGCCAGTCACTGACTACCCGCAAAAGAAAACCAGACCCCCACGGCAAAGGAATGACAGTGGAGACAGTCCAGCGAGCCTTGGTGGTAATTCGAAAACAACGCCTGGAAGTTCAAAAACGCCGGGAAGACCAAAAACAACACAATAACAGCACAACAGGAGACAAGAAACAGGCAACTATGTAAAACATCTACCTAAGAAGCCTACCTAATCAAAACAAACAACGCAAAACGCCGCAAACAAGTCCATCTCGAGATTCACTGTTGAAATCTTGCCCAGCAGCCTCACAACATGGCCTGACGCATAGAAACGCCTGACTTCCAGTTCGGATCACGCACTCTGGCATGGGAGGTTTGTTTGCCGCGGTCAGACTGCTTCCTGGCCCGCTTCATACGCTCACGTCGATCACGCCTCTTCGTGGCTGCGTTCTGTTGCTCAACCTTTGGCTTTGACTCCTTCTCTCCACTTGGAGACTGAGGACTGATGGGAACCTTTGGCTCGGCGACTTTGAGTTTGGCCTGCAAGCGCGCTTGGATTCTGCGACGGCGCTTGGAAAGAGGGCCCTTGAAGATCTCAGGGAGGGGAATCTGCGTGGCTGGATCTGGCTCTTTGGTTTCAACCTTGAGCTCTGGCTTTGATTCTTCCGGGGAAGCTGAAGATGCCTGGGAGTCCAATGAGCCTAGCTTTGCTTGCTGGCGGCGGAATCGCGCTTTGATTTGGAGGCGTCGCTTGGAAATCATGCCTTTCATGATCTTGGCAGCCTTCGACCCTTTCAGTCCCTTGAGTAAATCGCCCTCATCGCTAGCATTGAGGACAGCTCTGAGGCGCTTGGCGAACTGATGAGCTCTTCTGTTGTTCAGACGTCTGGCGCGGATTCTGCGGGCTCGAAGGATGGCCACTGCCGTGAAGGTCAGGGTAGTGGCAGAAGGGGAGGCTAAGCGTTGACTCTGGGAGGATGGAGGGCGAGACTCTTTGTCTTCAAGTTTGGATTCCATGTCTCCCTGGTCGGGATGCATGTTGAGAGAATCTGATGGAGAAACCATTGAGAAAAGAACGTGAGTTTTGGCTTGTATGCTTTCGGTGAAAAGACAGTTGAGTGTGACGGACAAGCAAAAGAGTGGATGGTGAGAAGGTAAACAGAAACAAAACGAATCTCGTGTTGACGTGGAAGGGCAGGTGTGTTTTGAGGAAAGAACGAACGAGGTATCCTAATTTGGAAGTTGGGAAACAAGGCCTTAGATGTACACCATCTATGAAGCATCATTGTAACTCATTTATAATTTGCCCTCTATATTTCAGAGCTCTTTGATGTATCAGGGTTTGATATTATGACAATGTACTACGTTGCTGGGGATCAACTCCTTGTACCATCACCCATACTGGCTTGGGCATTGCTGAGACCTGCACTACACACCCTCAAGACGAGCTGAACCAAACTTTGGCATTATTTCAGCATAGCAATCACACAATTTCATTTTCAAAGTGCAGATTGATAGGAGTCGTATAGCCGGCTCAAAAACGTCACCTTCGGCAACCCCCGCACGGCTTATCTCCGATGTCTATACATCTAGCCTCCGTGACTAAATTCACACACCAACCCCCATGGCGCGAGTTAAGAAGCCCCGTGGGATCCGCCATGACCGCGACTGCAGCCGCTGCAAAGTCCATGGTGTCAAATGCGACCTCAACAGACCCCGATGCCAGTCCTGTCTCCAGCTCGGAGAAGCATGCCAGTACCCACAACGAGTCGTATGGGTTGACGACAAGAAAACAAAGTCGCAAACTCCGCCAGAGATAGATACTGCCTCTTCCATTACAGAAAGTGGTCAAATGCTCGCCCCTGAGTCATCTACCAAACCAACCTCAATCAATGTGTACGGCTTCGTCGACCTGCTAGGCACCTTCTACCAACAGATTCGCTCTAGCAGTCAAGGCATACCAGAAGAAGGAATCCAATTAATATCTCGCACTCTCAGCTTCGCACGCTCACGCATCGAAGATGCAGACAACAAGCAGTCTATCCAGTCGCATCTCGTCGCGCTGACGAATCTCAGTCAAGTCATTGAATCCGCGCATCCGATTGCACTTTTTGGAATTGCCACCTTCGCCATGTTCGAAGTGTGTTGCGGATCTTTTGGGAACTGGCATTGTCATCTACAAGGTGCGCGCTCGCTACTGGATCTCCACTGCCAACACAAGAGTGCGTTCGATGAGCTTTGTGGCGAGATCTCCGGGCTTGCTGATGTACTGGCCTACCTGGTCTGGTTCGATGTCACCGGTGCTCTTGTTAGAGATAGTCCGTTGATATTTGATGATTGGCATCGTGAGACGCTCGGTGTTGAATTCTTTGATTCCGTTGGCTGCCCGAGTGATACATTTGAGCTTTTTGTGTATCTTGCGGAACACCGCAACGATAACAGCATTAACGCCATGGATCTCAGCTCCAGAGCTATGGCTCAAGTCATGAGTTTCGATGCTGGGGTAAGCGACTGCAGTCTCGCTGCTACAGTGTATAGAGGGGCGGGTGCTATCATGGCATTTGGTCGGGCAGGCGGGCTGGTAGATATGAACCCCTCAGCATCGAATTATCATTCAAGCGCGGTGCGCTCAATGGTTGATCGGGTCTGTGATGCGATAGCGAAGATACCTTCTACATCCAGGTTCTACGTGCACCTAGCGACCCCCACATATTTGACAGCGATGTATGGATCGACAGCGAAACAACGCGAGATAATCCGAGATTATTGGAGGAACTGCCAGTCGTGCGAGTTCCCTCGTTATCCGGACGCAGAGGCACAATGTGAGAAGAGATGGGGAAATGCATCGAGTGGGGTTTAGCGTGCTTTAGATAGCCTTCCTATTTGGGTAAGGTATCACGGTGGTTATCTATGACCTGGACCTATATAACAACTTGCGCAGTTCCTGTAACATTTCCCCTGGAGGTGTTTTTGAATAGATTAAAGATGACCATAACTACGACCAACCCCTCGTACTTGGACCGCTGCACCCAAAAGCGGGCAGTTCAATACGCTCTGATTCCTTCCGAGTGGCGCATAGATCCGATCCCCTCAGTTGAATCGGAACCAAATGCGCTTCCCCTTCTCCGCACTCTTCTCGCCCCTCAAGAGCTTTCCTTGACTGAGGAGACAGATATTGGCGTGCTACTGCGGCAACTTTCATCCGGCGAACTCTCTTCCGTAGAGCTAACGCGTGCATTTGCCAAGCGCGCAGCTCTTGCGCATCAACTAACAACATGCTGCACAGAAATCTTCTTTGAAGAGGCTTTCGCCGCAGCGAGAGAGCTAGACAGCCATCTGGCCACAACGGGTACCACGGTCGGTCCCTTGCACGGACTGCCTGTATCTATCAAGGATCTGTTTTCCGTGAAAGGAGTAGACACTTCTATCGGTGAGTAAACTACTCCTGTGCCGCCTGTTCCGTAGTAAATCCAAGCCAACCCAAGTTCTAACAATCCATCACAGGCTGGGTCGGCCTCACCAACAACCCAGAGCAAGCGGACAAATCCGTCGCTCGAACACTTCGCCGCCTGGGCGCTGTACTCTATGTGAAGACCAATCTACCACAGTCAATGATGATGTCTGACTCTTACAACCACGTCTTCGGACAATGTGTCAACCCATTTAATCGAGCATTGATATCCGGTGGTAGTTCTGGTGGAGAGGGGACACTCGTTGCTGCTCGTGGGAGTGTACTTGGAATCGGGACGGATCTGGGTGGATCTATTCGTATCCCAGCTGCCTTGTGTGGGCTTTATGGATTGTCGCCGAGCCCTGGCAGACATCCGTATGAGCGGGGAAAGTAAGTTTAATCCTGTCAAGTTCACGGTGCCAATCAAAAACTGATGAGGGATATTTCAGCCCTGGACAAGATATCGTCCGTTCTGTTGCCGGGCCGATGGCTTGCAGTCTTGAAACTATTGAGACCTACATGGAGGCTTTACCGGATGCAAGGCCTTGGGAGGTTGATCAGCACGTCGCTCCTGTGCCCTGGAGAAACAGTTTGGCGACGCCTGGCGCAAGGCGTCTAAAGATTGGATTTGTGATTGACGATGGCGTAATTAAGGTACAGCCACCTATCGCTAGGGCTATGAAGGAGACAATTGAAGCGTTGAAGCATGCAGGGCATGAAGGTACGCATTTTATCACCACTTTGCAACCAATGTGGAACATACTCACCGGTATAATACAGTGTTCGAATGGGATGCTTCCTCGCATACCCAAGGATATGATCTCTGGGCAAAGGCCATTTTCTCCGACGGTGGCGAGGGCTGTCGGAAAAAGACAGAGATGACAGGAGAGCCACTTATCGAAGGTATGCTGGTCGGGAGACCGGAGCATACTTTGACGACCAGTGAGACACACCAGGTAAGAATGTATGCTTACTACAAGAAAAAAGCATGAACTGAAACATGGAACAGCTCAATGCAGACAAGTACAGATTCGAGTCTGCGTATCTTGATCAATGGTTGTCTTCTGGGATCGACGCTCTAATTATGCCCAGTACCCCCTGGGTAGGATACAAACCATGGACATGGGTGAAGTCCAGTGCCTACGTGGGTTACACGAGTATCTGGAACTTCCTCGGCTATGCTGCACTGGCAATGCCAATCACAACAGTCTCACGAGATAAAGATGTCCCGGATCAGGAATGGCTGAATCACATCCCGCGAAATGATGGCGACAGGTTCAATCAACAGCAGTGTAAGTGATTTATAGAATTTATTGGTGCATGTTGATCACGCTAATCTGGAACTAGATGATATTGATCTTGTCGAGGGTATGCCGGTTGGCATACAGGTTGTCGGAGGACGATTTGGCGAGGAGAAGTGCATCGCTGTAGCCAAAGCGATCAACCAGGCTATACAAAAGAAGGCTTCTTCTTAGTCAGTCTTCGACTACGGACGATACAGGTAGCGAGTTACATCTTTAACAATCATATTATAGCTTTCTTGTCTTATTATATCGCGTTATTCACCTATTATATCGCGTTCTTCACCGGGGCCGAAGTGCACGGATCCATCAAAGCTTTCTAGTTTGATTAATTTGATATCATATTTGAACAAAAGTTCGCACTATCCAAGGCATCGCCAACGCCTGTGGACTAGCTCTAAACTAACCAAGGGACAAAGCGCAGGCGCTCAGATCCTTATAGGACATTAGATCTCCATTGAGCCTCAACTCTATAGTGTTGGTCTCTAAGCGGTAAAGCGGATCACTATACGGAGTCATTCTGAAGTGTCTTAAGGCTGCCTTATTAAAGATATCGGACACATTTTCTGCATTCATAGTCGACCAGCTGGCTCTGCTCTTATCATCCGCTCACCCACTCATCTAGGTTTCATTCTCATGTCACAACAGAAGAACCTTGGAAGAAAGCATCGTAGCTGCTCCTGTGCGTTTTCATTTTGTTCCACTCGTATGTAATGGAGAATCCTGGGAAGGTTCGTATCCACATTTTGAAATTCCCTGAGGGGCGATCTACCGATGAATCCTGAACTCTATATCAAGCTGGAAGACCCAGCATTTTTTAATGACCCTGAGGTCAGTGAAAAATAACCGAGCCACAGCAAACAATGCCACTTTGCATCGGCACAATTTTTGCACATGTCTGAACATCGAAGCGAAGCGGCATAGCCATCAAATGGAATACCAAAGAACATGAATGCCGGATCCGCATCCGCATCCGCGTTTCACTAACTAAATCCGGTCTAGCCATTACCAAGACGCTAGACGAAACAAGCAAAAAGTCTGAGATATTTAGGCTCCCAGAGTCTGTTCAGGCTAAAGCCGGGTGCGCAACCGATGAAACAACATCCATGGATCACTTTCCTGGTTGCAATTAGCTCAAGGATTTACCTAAAGCTATCAACACACATATTATTCTACTCCTCCCTACTACATCCTCATAGTCCATGAATCCCCGCGGAGGTGGGCATTTTGACCTCTACCCGAGTCGGCACGGGACGGGGCTGTGCCGTACCCACCTTACTGTCAAAGTCGGATTATCCGTTACGAGCTCCCCGTACGGAGTACTTCGAGGTCTGCGGTATAACCGAGCCACTCTACATACCGATACTAGCTTCAATATATCCTTGGGCCGGTCTGAGACATGGCTGACCAGGGTCCGCAGAGGTTCTACAGAGTACAGAGTACTGGAGGACTTTGTGTGAACTCAGAAAAGCATCAACTGGGCGATCAAAGAGCTTAGAATGTTTAGTGTTGGTTTATCAGACTCGCTGTACGGTTCAGGTCCACTCTGACGAGGGCCGTGCTCGGTGAACTTACTCGTGAAAAGTGTTCTGTACAAAAGTGAGCTAGAAGGTCCTCCGGCCCAAGTCGTCGAATGCTCACGCGACCATCATGCACGTTTACCCTTCTGTGGGTTTCAGAGTCATATAAAGGAGGCAAGAGGCGTTCTGGGCTGACGATCTGATTCGTGCCGTCAGATTCGGGCTCTAGACTGTGGTTTTTAAAGTCTGGCGACCCACTCTCCACTATTGAAGGTTGTACTAAGAGGTAAAGAAGGAGATTTGGCGACCGGTCCCGAGGGGGACCCGGCAGGGGGCACATGCATGTCCACTCTTTTTGTTGCTTCTAGGGAGCAAAACACGAGGCTTCTTTTCTCCTCTTTTCTCATTCGCTATGTTTGTTCTTGTGGAGGCTTGAGACTGTTGCAATCAGAGTGTTCGGGTCCCACATTTGTCCTAAAGAAGGAATAGGAATTGGCTATTGATCCCGGCGGATATACCCCGGTAGAACCCAGCTTCCAATGTATGCGGACGTTGCCCATTCTTGCGTGCCGCCGGCGTTTTAACGCGGTTTTGATTACCGGCTTATACAGTATGGCAAGGATGCTGTCGCTGACGCTTTTAAGTTAAGGTTTGATGTTCGCCGAAGATTTCAGCTCTAAAGATCCTGCGAGGAAGTATATATCTAATAGAAACTCCCCAGGAAATTTTATTGTGGTTCCAACCTTGGAAGCTTTAACCTTGGAAGTTCCAAGGTTGGCTACAAATTTCAAAAACAAAGCATACCTAGCTGTGGAGAAGCAACAATGTTTCTGTGGGTCAAGGGTGTTTCCAGAGCTGATGTATACATACGGAGAGTCACCGAGACCTCGACACGGATGCACGGTATCTCCTGAGTGAGATCGGTTATCCAGCATTTAAAGGTCGACGATTGCCAATCTCCTACGGGGAAAAGACATTTCGTCCATCTTCATCTCTCCATTGCTTATCGAGATTCTGAACCACTATTTGCACTGGCATATAACTTATTTCAGGATATCGTGCTGTGGCATTGTTTTTCTTGCTTTGATCTTTCTTGAGCTGAGTCAAGTTCCCCGATTTACACATGCCAAATCAATTGTTTTCCTCCACGCCGGAGTCGGGTTGGGACGATCGGCCTACCGTGGGGTCGCGATTACCGATGAGCGACAGCGAATTTGCCGAGCTACTGCAATCTATACAATCTACACCGTCAAATTGGGAATTGCTCCATGAGTCTCGAGACCATAGCAAATCATTAAGCCCGTCTGATCTTGCCACGCTTCCTTCCCAACTAAAAGATTGGAGTGTTGATGATTGTTTCCGCAATTTGCCTGTTATCTCCCAAGGGAGCCAAATGAGGAATTCTACCACAAACACTTGTGCAGGAGAGGAGTTCAGGGACAATGTAGCAATCCGCGACTGGAGCGACTTTGAAAGCGAGTCACCTGCTTTATGGGACCCCATGGACACAGTGGAGGTATGTTGAAAATCACTCACTCGTTAACTCTTTATTTCAAAGAAACACCACTGACGGGGATACCATAGGATGTTCCTTCCTTCATTGCATCCGACACAAAAGACTTAAAAGGCGATTCAAGTCCATCAGATTCCAGTTCTTCATTCAATTTATGCTTCGACCAAATACCCTTAACGCCCACCCTCAGTCTGCAATCGCCCGAGCCGCCAAGTCCCATATCACCACATGAAAATGAGGACCAAAATGAGTGGGACTGGAGCGACTATATTTGCATCCCCAACGACAAGCCAGCAAGCGACAGCAACGAGCTTTCCAGCACAGAGAACACGAAAACCGTAACTCCACCCGCCTCTTGTCAAGGCAGTCCATCAAGTCCGTCAGCGCAGGATCCGCATACATCTACCAGTGCAAGTACCACACCACCCGCAGGCTCATCAATAGTCACAAAACCCACTATTCATAAGACTTCGATCCAAAAGCGACAAAAAGTGCATCCCATAGCGACTGCCCATCTGCGACCCAAATTCAACCATATTTTACCCAATCCGAACAATGCCAGTGGTATGTCCCCATTTCAAAATATGTACCACCATTGATACATTCTCATTATTCTAATCTGGTCTTCAGCCACACCACCTCAAAAACATTCCCAAGATCAAAGTCCCAAGCAATCTCAAAATAAACCAACAGGCCGAGCAACCAAGCGCTCAAGTATGACCGACGAAGAAGGTCTGCGTAAAAGACGCAACTATCAAAGAATCGCCGAGCAATCCCGGAGACTTCGATTGAACTCCGCGCTCAAAGACCTGGAAGCTCTCCTCCCTTCAGACCTTGTTCGTGAAAAGGAGCAGACAGCGTGCGAAACGCTTGAGTCAATAGCCAAAAAGGACACTAAGAAGGAGGCAAAGAGCAAAAAGCCTTCGGCTGAACAGACTAAGGCTTGTGTTATGGAGCTTGCTGTTGAGTATATTAAAATGCTGCGCACTAACCTGAACGAGAAAAATGTGAGGATGCAAGAGCTGGGCGCCGTTGGCACTAGTATTCTGCTATGAAGCCATCAAGGCTATGTACATGAAGAGAAGGAAGTTTCTTTCCAAGATTTGAGCCCTGGAGGCTTTATGTCAATATATGATTCCCCATTGTTATTTTTGCAATAAATCGGTTTTCAGGGAACGGGATAGTTCATATTCTCCCGAGGTCAATGGACATGACTTCTAAACCTCTTTCAGTCCATCTAGTGCCGTATTAGAGCCTTGGACTCCACCCATCAGAACAACATACAACTACAAGAAACCTCACACGCTCCAAATGCATTCAACACGTGGATAGCATCACATCATTATCATATCATATCATCATAACCATGCAATATATACAACCCCAACCTCCATCCAGAATTCTAAATAGGAGCATTCATCCTCTCCTTATAATCCGGAAACTCAAAATCCCCCAAATCCCACTCAATACTAGGATTCGACCTCCCCTCATTCCCCACACTCCTACTACTCGCCCCCTCCGCCATCTCCAAATCACCTCCTCTCCCGCGAGGCGAAAGATCCCTCAACTCAGGCGTATGGTAAACATTATCAGACTGCATTCTCAACTCCCTAACAACCCGAATCCCATCTTGATTCCCAGGTTCTTCTTCCTTGGTATTGACTTTGGAAATACTAGCCGTGTAGCTAGTAGGACCAGGCGTGAAGATTTCATTGTACCATACGCCGCCGTCTGGGTTGTTGTTTGAGTAGTGATCATAGATAGAGGGTTTGCGCTCTGTTAATTGGGTTGTGTGGGAGTGGGTGCGGGTTGCTGGGGATGAGTGTAGGGGTTGGGGGAGGAAGCAGAGTGAGAAGACGCGGGAGAGGAGGGGGTGTAGTGGGGGTAGGCAGACGCAGATTATGGAGATGTTTGCTTCGAGGGAGGACCAGACGGCTGCTTTGGAGTTTATTTCTGGGGTTGGTTAGTGGGTGGGGCTGGTAGAAGGGTGGAAGGTGTGGGCTGGCTCACTGGTGAAGTTGCCTCCGTGGACTGTGAGGTCTGTGAGATAGTACAGGCGAACGGAGCTGGTAGCAATGACACTGCGAGGGGGGATCAGTTTTCATTTCCACAGATATGGAGATTGTTTTACTTACCAGATTCCAAGCCCGAAGACTGTGAAAATGCCCAGTTTCAACTGTCTTGGAATCTGCAGTTTCCATAATTGAGGCATGGGCAGAATCAAAATGACCACGTCTGAGAAGATATGGACTGCCGCGTTGAACAGCCATACTACATCCATAGACATGCAATGATCTTTGCGCTCTTGATCAGATAGCGACCAGAAATAATGTATAGGCACACATCCGAAGAATCCACTGCAGAGCATCCATAGTCCCACGATGACGAGAAATCCCATCGAGATATAGCTGGTCCGTACAAGGAAGCGGGAGCGAAAGAGGCGGACGAAGAGGCACAGAGCGGAGAGCTTGGCTAGGATCAAGCTGAGGTTGTAGAACGGGATTGCGAGCCAGAGATACTGTTTTGCGTGAGCCTATATCCCAATTGATATGTAAGGGTGTCTTACGTATAGTTGGCCCTGGATTGTTTCGTCGGATAACTCGGGTTGGGGCACACCAAGGCCATATTTGCGTTCTATGAGCGAAGTTAGACATTTGTAAAGTGCTGGGAGTGTCAAGTCAGCTTACCGACTAGCACCAGTGCGTAGTATACGATATTTGTGATCTGTGCAGGTGAGAGAATTGTTAGAATTGGCTATTAATTCATGACTTCCAAACTTCATCTGTGGTCCCCTTGACAGGCCACGCAGGTTGACGGTACATACCGTGGCTCCCACGACCAACACATCGTCAAACCCAGGCGACTTGATGAGGTAGAATCGAGTGAATAGCCGGAGAATGACCGTCAAAGTAGCCAGCGCCGTAAAGATCGTTGTAATTGTCAGAATATACATTCGATCAGCGGATGCAAGAAGTCAACGAATGAAATATGAAAAGATGAAATTATGTCAGTCCATTAGACAGGTTGTGTAGGCCAGGCCGTATTCAATCGACCACCTGAACTGTATCGTGTTATAATCAATGACCCGAACAAGGTAAGGCATATGAAGTGAATAGTTTCGAGAAAAATAAGGGCCCATTGACTTATATATGAAATAAGAAATAAGAAATATGAGATAAGCCCAGCAAAAATCAAGCAGAAGAACCCAAAGTACCTGAAACAAACCTGCAGAAAAAACCAAACCTCCAAAGAACTCAGACTTCAACGATAAAGTCAGCCCCAAAATTATGGTTGGTGCAACCACCCAAGAAACACGCCGCATTAGGCAATTGCGAAGGACCGATTGCGTCAAAGACATTCATCAAGTCTATCGATCCTGCCTGATTCAATACGATAACCGCCTTCCGATTGGTCCATAGACGAGAAAATGCGGGTCCCGAACTATCATTCCGAGCCAGAGCCGCTGGTTCGTGGGAAGTCTACTTTGCTGCAATGCTTTCACTTTTCCATTGGAACACACCCCAGCTTCCCGGCGATTAGGAGTGATGGATCCACGGATATGAGGGGGGAAAATTCACCCCGGCCGACACAAGAGCCTTGGATTTTCGGTTTTAGGCTGATTTAGACTCCGGGGGGGAGTTGGTGATCATGGGTCGAGTGGATTGGGCTTAAAGTCATGGACTTATGGACTTATGTGGATGGGTCTGGGCTGCTCTTCGGGATCGCCGATGGAATGACTCTGGGGTTTCGCTATCGTTGCCGCTTTGGGGTGTGTCCGAGTCAAGAGAGTTAGAGTTTTGGGATTTGGGCCTGGTGGCGGTGATGCAAATGACTGTTTGGGGGTGGTGTTTGGCTGGGCCCTGGCACCCCTTGCGATGGTGTGAGATAAGGGTGCCGTGGTTGATACACTGCGTGCTCAAGGGGATCTGAAGAATGAGATTGGGATTGAGAGGCGTGCTCGGGTTTTCCGAGGCGGGTATTGAAGGGGGTCTATGTGATAGTCGTTTGAAAGCCGGGGAGGAAAGTCTAGATTCCCAACTTGGGGGGAAAAGTCTAGATTCTCAATGGCGTTGTTAATGCACAAGCGGCATGGTTGGCCCCTGATTAGATGACTAGTGCTACAGATAACCACCGGGAAAAAGGTTGTACAGAACAGCAATTCAATTGCACTCAACTATACAATGCCCAGCCAATGCCAGGATAACAGGATCAAAATTTTCCACTCGCGAGTCTAATAGCGGGAATATCTCATAAAAAATTGGGCATCAAATGGGAACAATCTACAGGCGAGCCTTGAGGTTGGCCTTCAGCCTCCGCTCAACGGCAGCCATGTACTCTCCGGTAGTAACCCAGGCCTCACGGTCCTTGCGGCCACAGGCGAGGGCAAGGTCCTTGGTCATGATGGACTCCTCGTTGACGACGTCAACGCAGGCGCGCTCGAGCTCCTCGGCGAAGGAGACAACCTCGGGGGTGTTGTCGAGCTTACCGCGCTGGATCAGACCACGGGTCCAGGCGAAGATGGAGGCGATGGGGTTGGTGGAGGTCTCGCGGCCCTTCTGGTGCTCGCGGTAGTGACGGGTCACGGTGCCGTGGGCGGCCTCGGACTCGAAGGCCTCTCCGGTGGGAGTGGCCAGGGTGGAGGTCATCAGACCGAGGGAACCGAAGCCCTGGGCGACGATGTCGGACTGGACGTCACCGTCGTAGTCTGCAATTGAGGTTAGGTATATCGTTTTTTGACAGATAAAGAAAGGACGGCAAACTCACTCTTCAGGGCCATGACGAAGCCACCCTCAGACTTGATCATCTGGGCAACCATGTCGTCAATGAGACGGTGCTCGTACCAGATCTTCTTGGCCTCGAAGTCCTTCTTGTAGTCCTTCTCGAAGATCTCCTCGAAGATGTCCTTGAAACGGCCATCGTACTTCTTGAGGATAGTGTTCTTGGTGCTCATGTACAGGGGGAGACCCTTCATAAGGGCCATCTGGAAGGAAGAGTGAGCGAATCCAGCAATGGACTCATCAGTGTTGTACTGGCACTGGGTGACACCACCACCCTGGAAGTCGTAGACCTGAACACGCTCGGGCTCACCGCCAGCAGGGGTGAAGACCAGCTCGAGCTTACCAGGGCCGGTGATGACACGGTCCTGGGCACGGTACTGGTCACCGAAAGCGTGACGACCAATAACGATAGGCTTGGTCCAGCCAGGGACCAGACGGGGAATGCGGGGAATGACAATGGGCTCACGGAACACGGTACCGCCACTGAATCAATCGTTAATAGGGAATCGCGGGGCAATTCGGATCAGATAGACTCACAGGATGTTACGGATGGTGCCGTTGGGGGAGAGCCACACTAGGAGCTGGTTAGCGAGTGGGTTACACGAATCGAACGGCCGATAAGCTTACTCTTCTTCAGCTTGAACTCCTCAACACGGGCCTCATCGGGGGTGATGGTGGCGCACTTGACACCGACACCGTACTTCTTGATGGCCTCGGCGGCATCAATGGTGACCTGGTCATCGGTCTGATCACGGTATTCGATACCGAGATCGTAGTACTTGAGGTCGACATCGAGGTAAGGCAGAATCAACTGTGAAAGGCACCAATTAGCATCGAGGCGATAACGGAGGGGCCGAGATCTGATGCATCCACTGCATGCAGGTTGCTGCACCAGTGGTCATGCAGATCTGGACCGAGGGGTAGTGGATGAACATACCTTTTCCCTGATTTCTTGCCAGATGATGCGGGTCATCTAGATTCACGAAGATGAAACGGTAAGCACATGTTCCAGCTGAGTCTCCAGGGCGTCCCGTAGCCTCTTCGTCGGGTGAACACATGGAAAATGTTCCAGCTGCCCCCGTATTTCCCCGCGTTTTCGAAGGCGATAATGCGCCAGCCGAGCAGGACATGCAGGCTTGTGACACCGGGCCGGTAGAAACCCGAAGGAGAGTTCGAACTATAAAAGGGAGCGCCATACCTCATCACCGTCCAATTCCACCAAAGGACTCTTAACCTTGATCTTGGTTTCGATAGTCATAGTGCGAACTTGAGAGGTATACAACGAAGGGATCGATCCGGACCAGCGGGAAGATGCAACTCGACTAGTACGAGAGAGAGAAGCGGAAGAGATAGATCGAGAGGAAGATGAAGAAGTGAAAGAGGTAGAAGAGAGAAGACGAGTAGAAGTGAGAGGGGCGGGAGGGGTCGCGAGGGTCCGACGAGCGAATGCGGAACTTGTTCGGAGGGCGTTCATCGTGGGATTCTTTGGGGGAAGAGGTCAGCACCAGTTTAGGCCTTTCTGTTTGGCTGAGCGGGATTGCGATTCGGCGATTGCGCCGCAGGTTACAACCGAGGGAATGAAGTTCGGCAGAAGGGAAAGTGTGGAGACGGAAGATTGGGGCCCGGAGAAACGAAGAGCAGTTCGGAACTGGGGGAAGACTTGGGGTATAGCGTACAGAGAAATCACCGGGGCAGAACGGGTGTAAGAGAGAGGCAAATCGGAAAGGAGAGAATTACCGAAGGGAAAAGTATTTGGGAAAAAGCCTTGTCCGGTGAAAAGGGTAGAAGCCTTAAAGGTCCTTGATTAACCGTGTCTCCGCAAAAAAGAAGCGCCGAAGCCGGACGTCACGAGATATCGGCCTAAGGGGGGGATGTTTGGTATGAGAGCTAGGAAAAAGAAAAGAAGCTAGGAGCTGTGAGAACTATGAAGCTTTAAAACTGGATCATCTTTGATTTAAATTCCAAAGCTCCTGAGTCATCTCGTTCTCTCAGAATCAGCGACCCGCTGTCGATGAAGGTCTCCGGAGCTCGGAGCAGTACTCCGCGGGCCCTCACCGGCCCTCCATAAGGGACGGGAAACCTGCTACCGAATTGTACGATCTGATATCTGCTAATACGATTTATCATAGCTTCACAGATTAAATTGATCCAATTGTCATGTAAATTTCCATTGTTGCTGGTGTTGAATTTCCCCGTCTAAAGACCCGTTCCAATTAGACGCCATTAACTGTATGTGTTGAAGTCCAAAAAAATATTGGTATTTACAAGTTCCAAATTCTATTCATAATTTAGAACAGTCCATCGATATCGCCGGTCTCGGTGTCAATGTCGACGTTGAGGTATCCCGGCGCGGTAGGCAATCCGGGGATGGTCTGGATGTCGGCTGCCAAGGCGTAGCTATAGCTCAATTAGTACCAAAATTTAACATTTTCCACAACGATAGGTGCAAAAACTTACAGATAGCCAGCGCCCACCGCCAATCTGACATCCCGAATGGGCACAGTGAACCCGGTGGGGGCACCCTTCAGGGCTGCGTCGTGACTGAGCGAATACTGGGTCTTGGCGATACAGATCGGCAGGTTCGAGAACCCTTGCTTGGTGTAGATGTCGACCTTCTTCTGGGCGAGTTCGCTGAACTCCACCTTGTCGGCACCGTACATGGATTGGCCAATGCGCTCAATGCGCTCCTGGATGGAACCGTCGAGGTTGTAGAGGAGCTTGAAGTCCTTCTCCTTGGAACTGGCGGTCATAACGGCCTTGGCCAGATCAACGGCTCCGGCTCCACCCTCAGCCCAGTGGTTAGCGGGGACGGCATCCTCAGCACCGGCAGCAATGGCCTCCTCCCTGATGACAGCAATTTCGGCTTCGGTATCGGTCGCGAACTTGTTAATCGCAACCACCACAGGAATACCGTACTGCTTGGCGTTGGCAATGTGCTTGCGGAGGTTGACGCAACCCTTGCGCAGGACATCCACGTTCTCGGTGCGGTAGACCTCGTCGAGAGGGGCACCGGGCTTGATCTCGGGACCGCCTCCGTGCACCTTCAGGGCACGAACAGTGGCCACAATGACAACGGTGTCCGGGGACAGACCAGAGGAGCGGCACTTGATGTTGAAGAAGCGCTCACCGCCCATGGTGAAGTCGAATCCAGCCTCGGTGACGACGAATCCGGTCTTGGCCTCGTGGTCCTCGTCGGGCTCGGTTCCGGCAAGCTTCAGTGCCAGCTTGTCGGCGATGGCGGAGCTGGCGCCAATGCTGATGTTGGCGAATGGGCCAGCGTGAACCATGACGGGAGTACCCTCCAAGCTCTGCATCAGGTTGGGCTTGATGGCATCCTTCATCAGGGCAGCAAGGGCACCGCCGGCACCGATGTCGTCACAAGTGACGGGGTCTCCGCTGCGAGAGGTGGCGACCACCATACGGCCCAGTCGCTCACGCATGTCCTCCAGGTCGTTGCTCAGGGCCAGGATGGCCATGCACTCACTGGCGACCGAGATGTCAAAGCCGGTGTCGCGGGAGTGGCCCTTCTCGGTGGCCGCTTGGCCAACGGTGATACCACGCAGGTGACGGTCGTTGACGTCGAGAACGCGACGCCAGGTGATGGTCTCCGGGTCGATATCAAGACGAGCAAAGCGGGTAATTTCTTCCTCAGTGAGATCGTCGGGGTTGGTCTTGTCGATTCCGAGCTTCTTCAAGCGACGGAACATGATAGGCTTGAACTCGCGCTTGCCCTTGTCCTGAGGAACAAGACGTCTGTAGAGAGGTCCATCCTTCTGGGTGGACTCGTGGAACATACGAGTCTCAATGGCGGCAGCGAGAAGGTTGTTAGCGGCGGTGATGGCGTGGATATCACCAGTCAAGTGCATGTTGAACTCGTCCATAGGAATGACCTGACTGTAGCCTCCACCAGCGGCGCCACCCTTGATACCGAATGTAGGACCTTGGCTGGGCTGGCGCACATTAGCAAAGGAGATTCGGTTGAGGTGTGCACCCAGGGCTTGAGTAAGACCCAGAGTAGTAGTAGACTTGCCCTCGCCGAGGGGAGTAGGGGTGATACCGCAAACGAGAATGTATCTTCCGTTGCGACGGTGGGAAAGGCGGTCGAGCAGGCCAAGGTTGATCTTGGCCTTGGTGTGGCCGTAGGGCTCCAGCTCGTGGGAGGCAATGCCAATCTCGGCAGCAACCTGGGTGATGGGCTTGGGGTACTGAGCCCGGGAGATGGCAATGTCCGAGGGCACAGGGTTCTGGAGGCGGAGGGGAATGGGGACGACACGGCGGTCCTTCTGCTTCTCGAAGTAGCCCTTGGCGGCGTGAACCACGTTCTTCAACAGCATGGCCACGGTCATGGGGCCAACACCACCGGGGACAGGGGTGATCTGGGAGGCCACTTGAGCAGCGGACTCAAAGTCCACATCACCGACAAGTCGCTCTCCAGACTTCTTGGTGGCATCAGGCTTGTAGTTGATACCAACGTCAATGACAACGGCGCCAGGCTTCAACCACTCGCCCTTGACGAGCTCAGTCTGACCGATGGCAGCCACCACGATATCGGCGGTCTTCACGATACGCGCGATATCGGGTGTCTTGGAGTGGCAGACAGTCACAGTGGCATCAGCGTTCTTGAGCAAGTAGCTGACTGGGCTGCCGACAATGTCGCTACGCCCAAGAACGACAGCCTCCTTGCCCGCGGGGTTCACTCCGCTTGCCTGGAGCAGCTCCATGACAGCCAAAGGTGTGCATGGGGTGAACAATGGACGGCCACCACGCTTGGCAAGCTCGCCGATGTTGATTGCGCCGAATCCATCGACGTCCTTCTCGTCTGCAACGGCCGACGTCACGGCATGCTCCGACATGTGGCTGGGGAGAGGCAACTGAACGAGGATACCATGGATGGCGGGGTCATTGTTGGCTCGGGTAATCTCTTGGGTGAGCTCCAGCTCGGTGCTGGTCTCAGGGACATTGATAAGGGTGCAGATAATGTTGGCCTAGCTGGTGTCAGAACTCGAACTTTCTCGTTGATCAGAATATGATAGAGAAGATATACCTCCTGCGCGGCCTTCAACTTCATGCGCACATATGTACCTATAATTGATCAGTCCGATACACATCTCTTTTTTTTTTCTCTTGGTTAACCAACTGGAATCGGAACGGTTGCCGACTAGATAGAATTGGTGAGTCAGTCTGCTGCGATCATGGCGCCATCGCCCAGGGAGGGGTCCTGCGTACCTTGGAAGATGACCAAGTTAGGCTTGAATCTGGGGTTCGTCACTTGAACATGTTCGATCTCGGTCTTCAAGCCTTGGCGAATGCTCTTCGCGATGGCAGTGCCATCAATTTTGGCGGCCATGGCTAACCCGTGAAAAGTTCGAAAGGGAGGAAAATTGAGGGAGTCAATTGACCTGCGAGACGTAACTCGGGGATAGATATAGGAAGAAGATCTCAGGAAAGAAATAAATCGGAGAGAAGGGCCCGCATGCACTTGGAGAAAAGCGCAGCGGGGTAGGGCAGCGGGGAGGAGTGGCATGAAATATTGCTTGTTTGGGTGGGCGAACCCTTTCGTTATCGCCGTCTGACTGCTGAATTAGGCTGCAATTTCACAGCTGCAAATATCCAAAGCCACTGCACCTGCTATTCCGATATATTCCCCTCACATTCACCTCTTCTTCTTCTTCTTCGTAATTAAGCTCGTGCGGAGAGCCGGGGGAGTTTTCGGAGGCCCTCCTTGTTTCGATCTCCCCGATGCCTGAGGCTCAATGGATGCGTTAACCCAAAACGGCCTAGCGCTTAGGGCAGCCGGTCACGTGCAGATATCGAGGTACAACTCGGAGAAACTAAATCTCCGAAGAGGTCTTGGCACTGAGGGCCGAGTGTGCGATGAAATTCACTAGTCAAAGAAAGTGAGGTTGACGAGGTTGACCCCCCAATAGCCACTCCGCCTTAACCCCCTCTGAGCCGAGCCTCCTCAGAATTTTCCCCCTCCATCCCGGCCGTCCTATCGCATCATAATTCAAGATGCGTCCTATTTTGCTTTCCGGCCATGTGCGTTGCTCCGTTGCTCCCCTCAAATTCTTGTTGGATCCACTGAAAACTGACCGCGGGCATCTATACTATAGGAGCGGTCTTTGACCCAGATCAAGTTCAACAGCGACGGCGATCTCCTGTTCTCCACCTCCAAGGATAAGATTGTGTGCGCGTGGTGGTCCGCCAACGGCGAGCGTCTCGGAACATACAGCGGTCACCAGGGTGCCGTCTGGACAGTCGATGTCAGCCCCAACACTACCCTCCTCGCCACCGGTTCTGCCGACAACACCGTGCGCCTATGGAACATCAAGACCGGCGAGTGCGTGAAGGTGTGGGACTTCCCCACGGCCGTCAAGCGCGTGGCATTCTCTCCCGATGGAAGCAGACTCTTGGCAGTGACAGAAAAGCGTATGGGTTTCCTCGGCACAATCGCGGTTCTCGACATCAACTACGGCGAAAACCTGAACGAGCAGGCTGCCGAGCCCAGCCTGGTCATCACCTGTGAGGATAGCAAGGCGACCGTCGCCCAATGGAGTTTCCTCGCCAAATACATTCTCGCTGGTCACGAAGACGGCAGCGTCAGCCAGTACGATCCTAAGGTATGATGTCTTTCGGGAGCTCATGCAGCTCTCATATCTGCAAATCAGCTTAAATATTGATACCGCTTCCAGACCGGAGAAATCGTCGAGAACATCCAGATCCACGAATTCGACTCCGCAATCACCGATCTCCAGATGTCCCCCGACAGACTCAGCTTCATCACTGCCTCTAAGGACAAGTCCGCCAAGGTAAGAATTCACAGACTACGCATTGATTCCATCGTGCTAATATCATTCATAGCTCATCTCCTCCCGCAACCTCGCTATCCTCAAAACCTACACCACCGACACTCCCCTCAACACTGCAAGCATCACACCTAAGAAGAACTTCGTCATCCTTGGTGGTGGTCAAGCCGCCATGGATGTCACCACAACCTCCGCCCGCCAAGGAAAGTTCGAGGCCCGTTTCTGGCACTCCATTGTCGGCGAGGAAGTCGGCCGTGTCAAGGGTCACTTCGGTCCTCTCAACACTATCGATGTCCACCCCGCAGGCACCGCATACGCCTCCGGTGGTGAGGACGGTTACGTTCGCGTCCACCACTTCGACAAGTCATACTTCGATTTCTTGTACGAGGTTGAGCGGGAGCACCTGCGCGAGCAGGCACGGAAGTAAAGAGACGATGTGGTGAATGTTTTTTACGAGGCGAAAAGGCTCAGGATAGATCTCTGAGTCCCGCATACGGAGTGTTCCGTTGCACGATTTTCTCATTTCATTGATTCCATGATCAATCGGAGTTGGTACCTTGTGTTATTGTCTTTGTTTAATAAAAAGATGACATGGTTCAGATTTTGAGCTCTTATGTCTGTCCGGATTGCTGGGCCGGTGGCTTTCAGCAGGAGAGATTAAAATCAGGTAAATAGACAAATTCAAATCCTTGCAAATCTTCAACCGCTTTCGAGAGCCTAGACCGTGTGTTGTTGAATTAGGTCACAACCTTGGAAGTATTCACTTGGGCAGGTGGCTTCAGGGTCTTGAATGTTTACAATGAATAAGTATACATTTTTCAAGGTTCTACTAGAGATATCCCATGAGTCAATAAGCGTGACGAGCCGCGAGGTTGGATTGAAGGCTATTCTTCATTCTCAACAAAGCCGCCCCCGGGTGAATGGCGCTCAAACGTCTAGGACTCGAAACAACGGTATTGCTTATCCGAGGCGAATGAACCGTAACATAAAGGCTTGATTATACCACCCGCGTAGATGCGATCCCCCACTTCAGTCAGAATGGACCATTCCTTTTCGCTTGTTCAATTCTGTTGTCACATTACGCATGTGCTTTGTACAAAATAACCCATGAGAAAGAGATATGGTGTGTCAAATTTTGACAGCATGCGTTCCTTCTGATATCTACAAATCCAGATTGATCAGCGGGCGGAACCCGTGGAAAAAGCCATGGGGACATGGGTAGCGGATCCCATTTGTGATGAACTAAATGTGGGACGTGGCATTCATTAAACGCAAAACTAGACTGCTAGAAAACGTATGGTATGGTTGTAAACGTATGGTATACCGCAGCCTGGTTTCGAGAACACAGGCGGGCAGCGCAGCCGGACCTGCTTATTTCGGAACGGGCTTCTTCTGACGCAGGTTGGCGCCAGGGAGCACCTTCTGCAATTTGGTAATGACCGGGTTGGCGACCTGAGATAGAGCCACACCACGCTCGATCTGCTGCAGAGTGGTCAAGGGAACGTTGGCCTGAGTAGCGAGCTGCTTCTGATTGAGCTTCCTGTTCGTGCGGGCTGCGATGATGTTCTGGCCAATTTGCTTGTCCATGACAGGGGGCTTCACGATGTCATCGGCCTGGTCGACCTTGGTCATGCGCTGGCCCTCGGGGGCTCCGGCCTTTGCGCCCTGTGATGTGGTGAGTATGAGTCGTGGGATGGGTATTGAAATAATCCATTTCATTCGGAGGCTGACATACGAGGTTACCGGTGGTGTACTTCTTTTCGGTGGTCACGCCTCCAATACGGTTGGCAGCGTTGAGGGCACTGTTGCCCTTGAGGGTCTTCTCGCGGGGTTGAGCACTGGCTCCGTTGAAGGACCGGCCGATCTTGAGGGTGGGTTCCCAGTCAGACATGATGAGGCGTATGGTTTTTGTTGGATGTTGTTGGAAAGGAGGAGGATTGTGATCAAGGATGACGTTGGTCGTGTGAGAGTAAAGAGAGAAACGCAATTTGCGTCGGTGACACAGAAGCTTCTCGAGGGTGGGGAGACCACACTAGTCTACTTTGGGACTAGTGTGATTATCAATTGCCTTTCGTCAGCGTTCCCTTTTGGTATTTGGTACATACCTTCAATGTCGATTCTACAGCCAATGAAACATATCTCTGGATATAAACTTGGAAATATTGGTCCTCAGACTGTTCATTTATCTACATAGAAATTACATGAGACTGGCTGCAAGCATCTTCATCAAACACTGCCAACCTTGAAAGTCATCAGACAACCCCCGCCATCTCAATTGCCACAGCCACGACCACATCCAATAGGATCCTGGTCCATACAATTGGATCCTCACATCAGAAAGGGTATAAGTTCCCTGAATTAATTATCTATCTTGCAATTTGATTTTGATTCCTTTGATATAGTGTGCGACGTGGATAACTCAGAATTCTGTTTTTTGAGGCAATGATGTTATTTGACCCACAGCTTGATGTCATAAACTCTTGTCTACATATTCTTACTGTGTGCAGACTGCTCCCTATGTATGTAGGGGTAGCCCTATTGAACACTTGTGTCATAGAATCACGGCAAGGGGAATTTTTCATAGTTACTCGGTATGAATCACTACTCTCGGACGTTCAAATCCTTGTAATCATGACTCACACTAAGCTCACAAGTAACTAAGCCACAAACAGCATTGTTCGCATATACGATGAGGCTCAGCAAGATCGGAGACCCAGATAGGTTTAGTCTACTTACTGAGAATCGTGAAGAAATTCCATGCAGGTGCTAATCCATTCCCATATACGGAGTACCCTCACAGCATTACAAGGTTATATTTTATGATCTCTGTGCCATATGCAGTGCCAAGCCTCTGTAAACATACCACCTAGAAATCATGAAATTTAGATTTGTCCCAACTTGAATGATTTCAGGTTTATCGCAGACACCTGGGCAACTATCTGAGTAAAGAGAAAGCAGCCAATTTGGTCTGCTCCTCATTTTTGTTCAATGGTAAAAGATAATTGCAGAATAGAGTAGTGAACACACTGATCAAAGGTCTTGGAGGGGATTCAGTGTCGAGAACTCAATCAGCCCCATGGAGCGAGGCACACAGCCAATTGTCACAGCTGCAGTTGACAAGTCCAAAGCGTTTAGGTTACACAGTCGATGCTCAGGGGGTACCCATAAGATGTTGGTCCCGTCGTATGTGATCCAGTCAAAATCCTCAGCCAGGCCATACCCAGATGGCTTTGGTGTATAGTCCCAATTCTTGCAATCTGCCCAAACTCTCTTCAAACGTGTCAAATGAAATGTGCCGCGTGCTGTGTGGAGAGAATCCGAGTCAATGCTATCAAAATGAAGATAACCCTCAGTCAACACAGGAATGACCAACGTACATTGTCCTGTTGTCGGGTCCCACACTCTAGTGTCATCCGATGCTGCGGATGCGAGTTGATTCCCATCATGAGACCAAGAAACATTGTTGACATACTTTGTGTGGCCTTCGAGAACGGTATACTGATGCGTACCAAGATCCCACACCCGAACGAAAGTATCAAAAAAACATGTTGATGCAAGTCGACTTCCATCGGGAGACAAAGCAAGCCCCTCGCCTTGAGATATAATCATGCTGTTCGCGTATACAGCTGTTTCAAGACAGGTGGATTGACCAGTGCTCAAATTCCATATTCGGACAGTCTTGTCATGGGATGCTGATGCGAGTGTATTACCATCGAAGGACCAGGAAATACATTCAACCTGGTCGGTATGACCGCTTAGAATCGTGGACTGACCGGTGTCAGGATCCCACACTCTAACCGTACAGTCACGCGATGCCGATGCGAGTTTGTTTCCATCGTGAGACCAGGCGACATTCACGACAGTGGCTGTATGACCTTCTAGATTCATGCACTGACATGTGGCTGTGTCCCACACATGAACAACTTGATTCGATGATGTTGCAAGTCGGCTTCTGTCCCGAGTCCAGGCGACTGAATTGTTGATTCCATTTCTCAACTCAAAGGAATCGGCATGGACTGCTGTGTTCCATATCTTGATCGTCTTATCATAAGATCCCGATGCGAGAAGTTTGTCATCTGGAGACCAGGCTAGGGAAGTGACATTGTCACTATGGCCCTCAAAAGTGGCAATACAGTTCATAGTCTGAAGGTCCCAGATGAGGATAGTTGTATCACGCGACCCAGATGCGAGTCTGGACCCATCTGGCGACCATGCCACTGATGTGATCTCACTCGAATGGCCCTCAAGTTGACTTAAATTTCTCCATGTCTTTGTCTCCCATATCCAGATCTTGCTGTCATCCGACCCTGCTACCAGGAGTGTTCCGTCTGGAGACCATGCTATGGAGCCCGTGCTCACATCACAGCCCTCAATGCTCGCGATGCACTGCAGTGTAGACAAATCAAAAATGTTGATAGCCCCTATACACGAGGCTAGCGCGATCAGGGCCTGGTCTGGAGACCAGGGCATCGCGAAGATAGAACTCTCGTGGGCATTGTAGATTACTACACCTTCGGCAGTGACTGGATCCCAAATCTCAAAATCCCTGTCTCGTGCTAGAGCGAATCGGCTTCTGTCATGAGCCCAGGTCACGCAAGTCGGCGTAGGGCCTCTGTCCTCATGAATCGTCACAATATCGTCAGTGTCTAGATGCCAAGCCTTGATGGCATATAATTCCACATCTTCCCATGACCACATAGCAGCAACTTGAGTTTCGCCTAGCCAAGAGACAATGCTAGACATGCTGAATTCGTTATGAAGTGTGAGGATACATTGACTGGAAGCCAGATCCCATGCTCTGAGACCTGTGCCGGACCCTGAGGCGAGGCGACTTCCATCCTGGGACCAGGCAATAGAGTCGACGGCCGAGTTATGCCCCTCAAGTGTTTGGAGACATGGGCCCCATTGACCATCGACCACTGGCAATTTTTGGATCCAATCTTTCTTATGCTCTCTATGTTGATGGCATTGTCTCGTGATGGTTTTGTCCGGGCTATAGACGAGAGATGAGTAATAAACTTGGAGTGGACAACTTTCAATGGCGACTTTGGTGTATTGAACAAATCTAAGAGCATCTCGTACTCGAAGTATCAGAGTTTTTGATTTGTCTTCGACCTGCTCCTAAATTAATATCGGGGGAATTATATGTCAAAATCACCTGATATCTTCATACCTGAAATAAGTCTTCAAGCTTCCGTATGGAAACGATGCCAGCGGGAAGACTTTTTATAATGCTCATAGCTTCTAGCCAGTGAAGATAGTCCTGGCGTAGGAAGAAATCCACCAAGCCCCCTTCTTGCAAGTCCATCTTTGCACGTTCGATTTTATTGCATGCAAGAAGATGATCGACCCAATGGACGCATGCATAGCGTGCTGAAATCAGGGGGTCCTCGTCTGGTATGCTGATCTGCTCGGCTGGATAGCCAGGCGCTCTCAAGCTATAGATATCGCGGCGTAAGTTTTCTCTGAGATGAAGAAGCGATGCGGAGAAGAGGTTGTACTGTACATTTTCTTCCCCGGAAGGGAATAATTCGCCGGATGCCTGTTTCAAGAGGAAGTCTTTCGCTGACTGGTGCACCAAATAGACAGTGTTGCCCTGAAGTGACAAAATAGTACCGCATCGCCGGACTATGTCTTCGAGGACCTCCACCGAGCTCTCGGGGACATCAACGTATACCATCATCTCTTCCAACGTGATTGGACGAAGAACAGTTGTACACACGCTCAAAACCGACTTGAAGAGATCAGCATCTTCCGACATCATGATTTGGCTCATCATGCGGTCGTAGATTGAATCAAGACCCGGGGGAAACTCCTTCAATTTCCCTTGAACCTTCCACCATGACACTTTTTTCAAATTCTCCCAGACTAAGGCAACCCAGAGGAATGTGCCTTGTGCATTCTCAAGCATATAGTCTTTGACAGTGTTCCAAATCTCAGGCTTTTCTCTTTTTTTGGACCGCAAGTCTTCAACCTTGAATTCAATGAATGAACGAACAGCTTTTGATAACACTTCCTCGTTCAGTTCAAGTTGAAGTTTCGTCTCTGCTGCATGCTCGAGTTCTTGCTCAATCTCTGGCCAATTCCGGCTCGAGGCGATCCATTTGACATTTGCATGAGCGGAAGAGTGCTTGGCAAGTAGCTGAAGAAGACGATGGCGGTTTCCAGTGCATTCGTCAAGTCCGTCTAAAATAAGGTACGTTTTCCGCAGGTTTGGATTGTTCAGAATGTTGACGAATACTTTCTGGAGTCCGAACCAGGCATTTTCCCCCTCAAAGGAATCTTCCGATATTTCATCTATCAGTGAAGGCTGCTGTTTCACAAGCATCCATATGAGGCCTCTCAGAACTGCGGCGGAGTTGTTGAGACCCTCAGTGTTGTCTTGACAAAAGAAGTAGGCAATGTTAGCGCCATTCTTAGCCATCTGAGAGAGTTCATCGATGACTCCACATAGCAACATCGTTTTTCCTTTGCCAGCATCGCCTTTTATCCAAAGCAGTTGACCAGATTTGGCATCTATCCACTGCTTAAAGTCTTCATGCTGAACAATCCAGTGGTAGGAGTCCTTGAGGAGGCCACCTTTGAATTCTTCGATGCGCTCTTTGTCGTGTTGGGGATTAGTAGCCTTGAGGATTTCTCGGCAGCGGCGATGCTCGGCATTAGACATGTGTTGAGAAATTTCCCGTGTTTGTTCGGCGATCGCATCGAGCGCTTTGCGTGATTCTTGAGCTTCTTGTTTGATGGTGTCGAGCTTCTGCACACTAGTCCAGGACGCGGCGTCCTGAAAACTGTCTCGGAGAGTTTGCTCTGCCTCCTTGATCATACTCAGCTGAGTACCCCAGTCGTCAGAATCGACCACACTCTTCAGGTAGTCTTGTAGAGGGCTGCGATCCCATCTCATTACGCTTTGTACTTGGAAGCCGATCACGAGTTTGTAGAAGCATTTCACACGCTCTTTCAACTCGGTTTTGATCCCAGCATCCAAACAGCTCGGCAACATCAGTGTTTCCATCTTGATGTAATATCTGATTTGCGATGTGACGTATAAAATTCCTTGGTGATTTTCGCTGTCGGCCGTGAATGGACCGGTCAACAAGGGAAGGAGAAGGCCGATGCCAGCCATGACAATTGGTGCATAGGGGACATCTCTGAATGCATCTCTTGTGTATTCCTGAACCCAACTCACACCGAGACCAAACTTCCCTATCGCCTCTTGCCACACAACTTGCTTTCCGAAAAATGTAGTTTTGAGTCTTCCGTCTTGCATCTCTTCGAGGCTGTGCAGTGCAATGTTTTGCAATGTTTGTCGCCGTGCTACCGAGTCGTTCTGGGGGATCTTATTTTCGGCAATGATCGTGGCATCTTTTGACGTTAATAGAGTTGGCTTGGCTATGATAATATCAGCATTAATGTCCGGGGTCATGAAACCTAATTGGTGGTCACCTACTTTCAACGTCCACTTGAGATAAGAGGATCTCATACTCGGTCACAAGCACAGGATTCTCTCGCTTTAAAAGGTCATAGGCTTCTTCCCATAAGAATGATTGTTCAGGCGAAGTGGTTGTTGCGTCCGGTGTCGGCTTTGGTGCCAGCTTTGCTTTGCGTTCCTTCTCGGTGATAGATGATACAACGGAAACCAGTTTTGGAACAGCTTTCTTCTGTGCTGGGGGTTTGACAGTAGCTACTTCTTTTGGAGGGGCATCCTCTTGAGACCGGTGCATCAGTGGTAAGCCGTGGACTCCTCCGGGGGCAACGTACTCGTGGATAATGTTCTCCAGTGCCTGAGAACTTTGCTCAGTGAAGACTTTCTGGCCTGTTTGACCTCCATCGTCTGTCTTTCCTCTGGTTATAATCGCCACGGGGATGTGTATTTTTCTGGCTTGCTGATAGACAGCCTTGATATAATTCTCAAATCTGCCGGTATATTCAATAGCGCTGCAAGTCAAGAAAGCAGACACCAATAAGAAACATAGATTTGGTGATAATAACTCGCGGTTCGGTATATGCGAGGGCAGTTATGGGAAGGAAAAGAACAAATTCCCTCGGTGTACGGAGTACCCTCATACCCTCTTCGTACTCCCATTAGCTGACTGTATTGAAATGTAAACGCCCGTGAAGGTGCAGTAGCGTCATCTGTATGTGTTGTCAAGCGTCGACTGCCAATCAATTGTCGCCCAGCAGAGGCCAATGGCTAGTGGCATAGGCCTTTTCCACGCCACCATCACATACATGAATATGCAGGGATATTCATGCCACCAGCAGCATCAGGTTTCGGAAATATATGGTGGGGAAAGGGCGGCAATACCGCTCAATTGGTAGGTCTGGGCTTGACGAGTGATATGAGCAGCATGGTGCCTAAAACTAGTGTGATGGTTTTAGCGCCGCGGTGCCAGATCGTCGTAGAACGCTTAGTTTGGGGGCTAAGTCATTTCAAATGGAAATGCGAGATGATCGCTTCCAGGAATATTTGGTCCTTGATCCAGGAGACTCAACATTTGTATACACAATAAACATATCTCGAATTCTGTACGAACACATAGCAGTTGTGCATGTTTGTATGGATTTGGAGGGTGGCCAGAATCAAACATGTGGGCCTCTCGAATAAGTTATGGAGACTTCAGAAGGAATTCTAGGATAGCAAGTTCTATAGCAAGATACAAAAGAAAGCCAGAGAAGAAGACGGGGAGTAGAAAGATATCTCGATGTCTATTCACCATTTCTGCCTGGGAAATCGGGACTCAACACGTGATGGAGCTCCAGGGCGCGATCACCGACCCGAGCTATCTGGAGCTAACTACATCATCTCATCTCGAATTGTCATACACAACATTCCTGTGTCCATAACCCGTCTATCCCATATCACAGAAACTCTCTTTGAACCGATCGGCCAGCTATACCCCTACCGTCATCATGTCCGGCGGCCTTTTCAAGCCCGAGAAGGACTTCACCAAGGATGCCGACAAGCTCATCCCAGAGGCGGAGGGCCTCGCCAAGGTACTTCCAGCATCAACTATATCAGGGATGGTAGCTAACGCGATGACAGACCGACGTCCAGGGAGCGGTCGATAAGCTGTTGGGTTTGGAGAAGCAATCGAGACAGGTATGACGAACGCCATCGCCGCCGAAACACTGACTAACAAGTCTCGCATCCAGGCATCTGACCTTGCTACTACCTCGCGACTCCTGATTGCCATTGTCACAATCAGCAAGAACTCCGGCGACTGGAACCTTCTGAACGACCAGGTGTTGCTCCTCTCAAAGAAACATGCTCAACTCAAGCAAGCCACAACGAAGATGGTGCAGACGGTGATGACATTCCTTGACGAGACACCAAACTTGGAAGTCAAGCTTTCTGTTATCGAGACTTTGCGCACAGTGACCGAAGGAAAGGTACGCGAACACTTTCCCTCAGACCATCAGGCCAGTCCATTGCTAACACAGTCAGATCTTCGTTGAAGTAGAGCGAGCCCGCGTTACCCGCATCCTTTCGAATATCAAGAAGACCCAAGGCGACCTCAACTCGGCAGCGGACATCCTATGTGAGCTGCAGGTGGAGACCTTCGGGTCAATGACAAGACGTGAGAAGACAGAATTCATCCTGGAGCAGGTTGCTCTGTGTATTGAGCGCGGAGACTGGACCCAGGCTCAAATTCTCAGCCGCAAGATCAATAAGCGTTACTTCAACCGCAAACCCAAGAAGTCCGCCGAGGAGATCGAGAAGCTCAAGAAGGAGGCAGAGGAACGGGAGAAGACCCGGGCGTCCGACGAGGCACCCATGGAGGTGGATGACGATGTCACAGATCTCAAGCTTCGATACTTCGAGCAGCAGATCATCTTGGCCAACCACGATAACAAATACCTCGAGGTATGCAAAAACTACCGCGAGGTTTTGGACACAGAAGCAGTTGAGAACAACCCGGAGCACCTGCGTGCAGTAAGTTTCTCCTTATCAACCCCAATAAGGTCATGTGAGCTCACATCTACAGTCCCTCGCCCGCATTGTGTACTATGTCGTCCTCGCCCCCTACGATAATGAGCAGTCCGACCTTCTGCACCGCATCAAGCAAGACTCTCGCCTGTCACAAGTTCCCGAGGAAGCCCGTCTGCTAAAGCTGTTCACCATCCCCGAGTTGATGCGCTGGCCCATGGTCTCCGAGCAATTCGGTCCACACCTGTGCAACACTGACGTCTTCGACGCCGACGCCAAGCAGACCACCGACAATCAGGCCAACACGAGGTGGCAAGATCTGCGCAAGCGGGTCATCGAACACAACGTCCGTGTGGTGGCCAAGTACTACACTCGCATCCAGATGAGCCGTCTGACCCAGCTTTTGGATCTGACCGAGGAAGAGACCGAGAAGTACATTAGTGACCTGGTCACCCTCAAGACAATCTACGCTAAGATCGACCGTCCCGCGCGCTTGGTCAACTTCGCCAAACCCCGCGACGCGGACGACGTTCTGAACGAGTGGAGCAGTGACATGAAGAACCTGCTTGGTTTGCTCGAGCGTATCGATCATCTCATCACCAAGGAGGAGATGATGGCCCGTATCCAGCCTACTCGCAGTGACATGGGCAAGGCTTAATTGGAGTGTATGGCGCGGGACAGCCGCGTGTAAAATAATCGCCGGTAGATCCAAGTCACAGCATTTGACCTTATACTTTGTCTCATCTTATCTCGTAGCAGTAGTCGTGATTCGTCAATTGTACTGAGTACACCATGATCTAGTATCTCTATATACACACGATGCTCTAAGTCTAAACCAGTCTCTAGAACGGCATATCCATATCATTAACATCCACCTCCTCAACCTCCTTCTTACCACCCTCCATCTGCTCCCGGATGAACCTAACAGCGGCATCCAGATAAGGCCGCTGGCTAGGCAAGAAATGACCACCAGGATGCCAAACAACGGAACCATCCTTCTCCGGCTCCCCTTTGCAAGCTTCAATCAGCGTCCGGCTCCTCCCCTCGTCAACAACAGCATCCAAGGACCCAAGCACATGCAAAACAGGCGTCGTAATCGCAGGCTCATAGAAAGCATTATACCGCACACCAGGAGCCCTGAACCCAGAATAACAGATCGCAAACTTCAATGGCGGGTGAAACTGTTCGCCAAATGGAGCGGGGATATCCATTCCCGTTGCGCCATCTTCGGTAACCTTGGCAAAGTGCTCAAAGGTCTCTTTGCGTCCCTCTAAAATAGCCGCAACCATTGCTGCCAATGCGGCACCCTGTGAGAATCCAATAACTCCGTCAAAGGGTCCTTCGGCCTTTAGTGTTTGTGCGACTGCTGCAAAGCCATCTTCGATCCCCGTGTAGAGAGGCGGATTGGCTGTGTTCGATCGTCTCCACCAGCCGTAGGCTTCGATTTCGTCGTCCGGCTGGCCGGAGGGCTCATGGCCGGGAATCTCAGAGGGGCGAAGACGCAGTGGACCGGTTGGGTAGATTGCGGTCACTTCGTGGAGAGGGAAGGCCTTTTGGATGTGTTTTGTCAGAGCGCGGCTTTTGGCATGGAAGAGAGTACCCGATTGGGTGTAGCCGTGTAGCATGAGCAGTTTAAGGGGCTGCCGGGCTGTAGGATTCGGTGCCATTGTTACTGTGCGCAGGGTCCGGTATTGCTTTCCGAGTGCGAAGAGATTGGACGTTTAAACATCTCAAAGGAAAAAGACTGACTCAAGTTCCCCGGCCCCCCTCTTCAATCCGATAAGATAACCAAGGCGGAGTCCACGATAGGAAATTCTCAACCCAAATTAAGCATAACCATCACAAACCATCACTTCGACTTCACTTCATTCCAATTATCTCTCCTTGCGCATACCATCAACCGCAATCATGTCCGTCAACATCCAAGAACTCGACACCAATATGCAGGCCGTCATCGAGTATGTATTTCTTCCCCTCTGCGCATTCGACCCCGCGGCATCAGACCAGCGTCAGACTATCATCAGACCAAAGGATTAACGAGCGCAGCGCCTTCGAATCGCACCCTGAGTGCCAGCCTCCCAACACAAACCCCTCTATCTTCTTTAGCTACGACTTCATCCGTAACACTTACAACCAGCTGAAGCAGGTTGATCCCGCCAAGTACGCTGCCGGCGACAAGGCCGCCCAAGCCGCCGTTCAGGAAATCATTGGCCGCAACAGTTTTGCTTCGATCCTTGTCAACGATACCTCTGGCAAGGTTGCTATGATCACCGGTGGTAACCCTGCGTCTCCCCCAACTTTGGCGATGAGATCAAGGCAGCCGTCGCTGCTTTGTAATGAATCATTCATTCATTTAGCACTTATCTTTATCTTCTCTTTTGATGTTTCCTGGGCATTGGGCTTTGCCTTGATTTCTCGATGTTCATTAAATTACCGAGATCGGTGACAGTCTCTCGTTGCAAATAGTTTTTACGAATACCCGTGTCATAGGGACACCTCAAATTATACATTTGTTTCCTTGTCATTTATGTGGTAATTCTGTTATTGTTCGGGCACTTGGATTTGGTTTTATTTCCACGAGGCTGTTAGTTGTGTGTATTCCACGCTACTTGCGGGGCTTTCAAGGTTCTTATACACTTGCATGAGAATGCTTTACTTGTAATACCAGAGTGGCACGAGCGGGATTGATGTACAGTATGCCTTCAGGTTGTGTCATGCCCAGGTGTTAGAGAACGAGAAGTACTGTACGATGCAATAGTGTAACATAACCCCTCCTCGCTGTTCTTGGTTTATGTCCTATCTAGCTCTGGCCCAACCATGTATAAAAAATCAGACCTTTAGTTTCATAGTCATAACATATGGGTTCGACATCGTAGCCTCAAAACCTCCGAATCATTCTAATTGTATAATCCGACAGGCTCTAGATTGGGCACTCACGGTTGGCCCCCGAGGTCCGTTTCTTGTAGGGCTGTTTTACAGTGCACCTGAAATCAGGGCATTGAGGGTTTACAAATCAAGGAATCAGAGCTTTCATAGCGCTAACAGTGGAGAATACTCGGGTGGCGTATCTCCGCAGGCTTAGACTTCGGTCCGGTCTGTGCAATTGAGCAGCTGCGAGTAATGGTTTGGTCTCTGTGTTGATTACTTCGGTGTCGGCTCGGGTTGTGGCGAGTTCGAAATGGTGGGGTGGAAATTTTGGAATGTGGTGCTGTACGAGTACTTGTTCAACCTTGGAAGCACCTATGATATCAATGTGAACAAGCAGGAACTTGCCAAGGTTCCCTCAGGTCACTCTACATACTGTCCGACGATCTAGCCCGGACGATTCTACATTTACTTATACGTAGACTGGCAACCTCGAAAGTACTAGGTACAGCTCATAGATTGAGGGAACCATTATACAGTATCGCAGTTACATTTGCACATTAAAAAACAAGAAGCCAGAATCAAACAAAACATGACACAAAGTCTAGCAAGGTGCCTTTTGTGCCAGATATCCGGAACTCCCTAGCAGAATGCGTTGCTTTTTTTTTTCGAATGCTTTTGGGGTCGTTGACAGGGTCGGGTCATTCCATCTTCTATCTGTCATCAATGAAAACAAAACAAAAATCCAACGCTGAGATATTAATCATCACCGTGAAGTGCAAAGGGAAAAGATATAGCAAGGAGGAAATAGGAAGGGACCAAAAGGGCCACATTCAAATTCTTCAGAAATGCAAAACGGGACACAAGTCGTGACAACCGTTATCATCCGCACCACCAACCCAGTCGAAGAAACAGTTATGGGAGTTCGTGCTCGGTAGGGGAATGGTGAAATTGAAAAAAAGGGTATGTGACATTTTGAAGCCCGTTAGGAGAACCCGGAGGGCCAGTCCCCTAACGAAAACCGAATCCGAGATAAAAAGGTAAGAAGAGGTCAACCCCGGGTTTTGGTATTTTCATCCTAATTTCTCCATGCTAATTCTCTCTTTGACGTTTCAACCGGAACATAACAAGAAAAAGAAGTTTTTTCATTCGTTTCTCGTTTACTTGCGGCGGAAAGAGCAGCCCTCGGTCAGACGGGCCTTACCACCGGTCGGCTGGCACAGAACGGTGGAGCAACCGGCGCAGATGACGACGGTCTGGGCGTGGGAGAAGACGGTGGTGATGGTGAAGCAACCGGGGCACTTGACGTCCATGAAGAAGGAGCGGGGCTGGGGCACAAGGGTCTGTAGCGAGTTCGAATATCAGCCATCAATTCCGGTAGTCACTGCAAATCTTGCAAGATTTTTTCCATCCTGTCGTTCGCTCTGTTCCTTTCTGCGCCCGATGGCGATTATCGAGGGGCGTCCAGGTCCAGTTCGAATATCCAGTCCGGTGTGTGATTTTTCATTGTGCAGTTGCATTTGCGAATGTCGAGGGTCCGGTTGTTCATACCTTGAGCTTGTGCTTGCGGCCCTCAGCCTGAGGGGTAGGGTTGAGAAGATCGACAGCGAGAACCTAGCAGAGAGGTGTTAGCGGACATGTTCAAGATGTTAAGTCCATCATCGTCTTCCCGGGGAGAAATCGGTATCGAAATCGAACGGGGTGCGAAAATGGAGGGCGAAAAAATCTCACCATCTTGACGAGTGAAAGTCGATCAGCGAGATAGTTGATTAAATGGCGCTGATGGCGATGGCCTTGTGTGATGCGGATGAGGTGGTCGAGATAACTTTGAAGGGATTTGACCGACCCGGGTCCGTTTGTGCCCTCAGTCTCGCTTAGGGCACGACAGTCTGGACTTTCCGCCAATCATCGATTGCTGATAGGTATCCACCCAACTTCTTATCTGGGACTAGCGTATAACTCATATCCAATGGAGGCAAGCAGTCTCATGTCTAGAATTCTACAACAATCTATAACCATCGCGAATCTTGCAATTACAACTCTCATATTCTATCGCTAAATCGCCACTCGGAGCTAATGGCCCGGTGTTGAAAAACAAAAAATTATTTACTGAAAAACGTCATGAGCCAGGTTAATGCGCGCGCATGGGATCCGCCGATACCTGCCTAGCTCGGTCGAGCTCCGCTCGTGGTGATCAAGGTTGAACTTCTCCTCACCAATCTTCCCCAGATTCAAATTGCCCCATCTACCTCAAGATCAATAATACTTGAGGTCTATTTGGTCTTCTTGGACACACCATTCTTGTGCTCCGTCTCTTCGGTGAAGGGGTACTTGATGGTGAGGCACCAAATGTCAACATAGTCACATATCGTGGTGATGACATCGAACTGGAGAGGGTCAGCACTGTTGCGCGCAACATTGGACGAAAGGGAATAAGGGAAACATACCACGAAGCTGCCATACACTCCGACCGCCAAGCCCAAGCAGACGAAGAGGAACGCCACCTGCCCAACGCCATTTCCAAGAACGGGCGTGGACCACAGGCCAACCTGCGCACCTGCGCTGTCGAACACACCCAGAGCGAGTGGGTACAACAGAACATTCTGGTAGGGGAAGCTAGTCTGAGTGAGGTGGCCGACAATGATGCGACCGACGGAGTAGGCGTTGACCAGGGTCACAAACAGTCCGAAGGGAATGGTGAAGTTCTCCATGATCGCGGGCTGCAGGTAGAGGTAGGCCGGGGTGAGGGTCCAGATGGCGACCAATGGAAGCAAACCGTACAGCGGCTGGAAGGGGTCCTGGCCTCGCTCGCGACGCACCTGCATAACGTGCATGATGCTAGATCCGGTTGCGAAGAACAGCACGAATGCACCGAACACCAGGTACCACTGGGTGAAAGGCATGTCGTAGATTTGGTTCGGGAGGAAGCTTGGCTTGGGGATACCGACTGTGGACATCATCGATTGGTGCCAGAAACTGCCGCCGCCCATGTAGGCCGTGACTGCGAAGACACTGCACAGGGCGAGGATACCCTCGACGGGTCCGGAGATCACACCTAGAGTGAGGATCTGGGTGTAGTACTCGTCCCATGTTTGCACGTAGAAGGTCATGGTTGCTGCGCCCATTAGAACAAGTGGTTGTAGGGTTGAGAAGATGGCTTACATCCGAACAATGGGATGAATGTCATCCAGCCTTGTCCAAGGTTCATTGCAGATGCGAAGACCAATACGCCGAGACCGGTGTTGCATGCATCGACGCCTGATTGATTAGCCATCGATCTACCGTCCAACGCTGGGTCAACTCACTGTGATCAAAGAGTTCACCGAGCGGTCCACTCTGTCTTGTCCTCCGTCTGCATCTCATCAGCAAAGTCCACTAGTCCGGGTTTATAGACATACGCTTGCATGCCGTCTACAGCATCAAAGGTCTGGTATAAGAAAAGACCAATCGCGCAGCTTGCGTAAACCCATCTCGGACAATCCGTATCCAAGTTTGGGTTGTACCACATAACGGTGATAAAGTTGATCACAACGAACATGAAACCTGTGAGAGTAATCTAACCAGCGCAATATTAGCTCGTATACTCGGAGAACGTCGCATCTGCAAACTTACAGCATTGGGTCTTTAACATGCCAAAAGTCAAGTCAGCCACATTGCGCTTATATCACTAAAACCAAAAGACCACCAGCACATCGCTGAGCCAGAGGCCAAAGGCAAGAGGAGGTATACGCACGCCATGGACATGGGGAAACAATTGATCACGAATTTGTTGTAGAACGGCTTGAGGACAAACCGACTAATAGGGGAGTGGTCGACGCCCGCATATTTGTAGTTTTTGAGATTTGCGAGATGCTGTTGCCGAATGTACACCATCTTGAAGGGTAATGCGCGTGTGCGAACGCGCGATTCGATTATATGTGTGCGTTCAACGCGCGCATGTATTGAGTTCGGATTTCGCGTTGCGCATCCAAGTTTGGGATGTAGCGCGGGTTCGTGGAATTTGGATTCAGGATGAGAGATGGGAAAGTAGAAAAGAAGCCCGGGTGAAAACTGGGTTCTGCCGTAATGTCGGAGTTGAAGATCGGCGATGAAGAACTGAAAGAGGCCACTTGGTCTCGATCGTTTTTGTTTTGGGGGTGGTTTACTTTTTTTTTCTGCCGAGTCGGAGTGGATAGATTAGATCTTGACATTCGAGTCGGTGGTCTCTCTATATCATGATTTGATGTGGCTGTTTTCTTTATATCGAGTGCTTTCCCAAGGGGAAGGCCGCTCGGCAACACGTGCAGCGCGTGTGTTGCACAATGAAATTACTGCTGTCCAAGCGTTGCCAATAAATTGTCCAAAAGCGTGGCGATCGTCGGTTGCTGGGGCGGGGGATGTTCACACTCTACCCAACTTGTCACGGAGTGCACTACTAAACAGATGGGGGATAATGAAAAAGAATGGTAAATGTATGCTGGATTGACACATGCTTCATGCCTAGGTACACAATACAGGATATGATGCAGAGGGCCTAGTATCCTCCACTCATACTTGAGAAAAACGACAGGCAAAGGGCGATGATAGGGCCAATCTCGCTTCCTTGGTAACAACCAAGTGTGCCCAACAACTATGCAAAACAAACCAGGTGCTTCATTTGGCTTTTGTTTAGCCAACGGGGCTCCAAGGCATAGGGACAAGAATCCGGCTCTGCATGGTCTGGATCAGAGGAACAGTCTTGTGGACTGTTTCCGCCCAGCCCTCCACGCCCCACGACTCCTCGCGGCGGATTTTGCGCTCCTCAAGGTTGGCAAATTGCCAAAGATGGTGCACAGTGTTCAGCTCGCCAATCTGCACGAACCAGGCACCCACACCCTCCATCACTTCACGGCGGGCGGTCAAGCCACGACGCCAGTGTGTCTCCCACTCCAAGAGGTTTCCTGGGTGCAGTGTGTATGATCGAAGCTCAAACAGACCACCAAGGCGGCGGGGTGGGGTTGTGGGCCAGAAGGAGAACTCCTGCATGAGCGAGGTCTTCTTGCTCTTGATCAAGCTCTTGAGCTTGCGGTCGAACTCGCGGAATTCTGGGTGTTCCGAAATGTTGTGAAGGGAGGCATGGTAGCCTTCGTAGCGCTGGTATTCCCAGATGTGAACTGTTCAGGGGTCAGCCGACACAACAACGTTGAATATGGGGAAAGCGATCGATCGGAATTTACCAAAAGTGTCATTGTCGCCCACTTGCGTGCGCCAGCTGCCGACCAGGTTGACGCGGTTCTCTTCGGTGCCGGCCATACGGGGGTACCACTGGCCCACCAGGTCTACATACTCGTCGACTTTGTCGGGCTTGACGTCGTGCATGACGATGGAGTGAACATATTTACCGCGAGCGAGGACCTGCGAGAACGAGCGCTCCATGTCCTTGTCGAAGTGCTGGCCCTCCTTGGTGCCGTAGATGAGCGACGAGAAAGAGCCACGTTTGGCTGCAGCTTCGTGTTGTTGGTCTTCCCCTAAATATCGGTGCATCGACAGTGAGCCCAGTGCCTCATGGTCAAGCGGCGTAGCAGCATCGAAAGGACGAATATAATCACTACTGCTCGCATTGCTCACTTTCGGAGCAGTGGGAGCGTACTCACGGGGAAGGGTAGAGGAGGCGGAAGAATTGCCAGACTGACTATCTTGCTGTTCTTTTCTCAGGCGAGCCTGTTCCAGGTTCTCGCGGAACTCCTTCTGTCGTCTGAGGAACTCCTCAGTTGACTGGGGGGTGACATCTCGGATTGAGGGGGAACGGTACGCCACGGCCGATGAACTGAAGGGGCGCAGCAGCGAGGTCGCAGACCTCGCCGTGCGGACTGCGCGAGGGCCAAACATGATCAAGGTAGAATGTTACAAAGACGGTTCGGGTGGATGGGGATTGAAGCAAAGGGGGGTGGTGGGAAGAGTAGAATGTAGCAAGATGGTAAAGAGGGGGCGAGTACGGAGTAGAGGAAGGTAAGAAGAACAGGGATTGCAGCAAATTGATTGAAGGGGGCACACGACGATCCGGGGGGGATGTGTGTACCGATTGGGCCGGAGGGTATGAGGATGTGTATGATCAGACTTGAAGGCTCAAGACTGAAAGGGAAAAAGGAAGTACGAGCGATGACTTCGACTGCAAGTTGATTTGACCTGAGCTTGAATGTGCGGGGAAGGAGCTATCCCCCAGTTGTGGGTACTGGTGACGAACCGCGTTGGTACTCTTGGCTCAAATTCCCGCCCATCTCACGCTGAAATGTGGGTAATGATGACATGGCTGAACTGTAACAGGTACTTCCTCAGACCCCGGATTTCTTGACACATGTTTACATGTGTTGCAAGAGCTTTGAGACTGCCGTTGTATGTACCGATACTCTGTACGAAGCAGGACTATCATGCGATGGACACAGCACGCACAGCGTGTACATGTCCATGATCCCGTACAGAGTAGCTAAATGATCGTCGTATTCAACTGTCGCCATTATGACGAACAATCTTTTCTATAGAACCATTTTTGTTTCTTTTCACGAATCATTTTTGCCGTGTATATGCGGTAATATTTTATACCAAAAGAGCTGAAGTCTAGACTGATTTGGGCATATGAGAGTGTGCATACTTGTACGGACTGGCCACTCGAAGATCAAATGTATGACGTTACTGCCGGTTTGTCCGGACAAACAGCGATCCGGCCCCGAACATCGGCAGATCTTCAGATCTCGGTCCCTCTTCAGCTTCACAACATTGTTAAAATGGCTGATTCACTAAACCCCCCACTGTCCTACGAGGCATCTGCAACAACCACTCACCCGCATGTTGCAACCTCGCTGCCGTCCGAGGTCATCCAATGTCTCAAGAACTCCCGCTTCGTAAGTACCACCCCACCAGCAGATGAACCATGCTGACCTCCCTCAAAGCTGCATCTGGCAACATGCGATGACAAAACACCCCATATCTCCCTGATGTCGTACACCTATCTTCCCTCGACCCCGTTCGACCCCAACCCCACTATCATCATGACCACAAACCCCGCATCGCGGAAAACAAACCACCTCTTGTCCAACCCGCGGGTCTCTCTGCTGGTTCACGACTGGGTCTCACATCGCCCGCCTACCCGGGCGACCCACGGCGAACGCGATGGCTCTCCGCCGCCTGCGGCTACCCGCTCTTCGCTTGCTAGTCTGCTGCTCAACTTGAACACCAGTGCGCTGTCTAGCATTTCTACCACGATTTGCGGAGAAGCGCAATTCCTCGAGTCGGGCTCGGAGGAGGAGGCGTGGTGCAAGGCTCGCCATTTGGAGAACAACACTTTCGAGGAGGAGGAGATCAGTGCTTTTGGTCAGCAGCAGGATCCCAGTCAACGACGACCCAGTGTCTCGTTGGACACCGATGTGCGTGTCGTTACTGTGAGGGTTGCTGAGGGCCGTATCGCTGATTGGAAGGGTGGTGTTCGTGACTGGACTCTGCTCCCTGCTGAACAGGATGCTGGACTGGTCAATGGTGTGGCGTCTTCATAGTCTCGCATGTTGTTATACTCTGCAAATTCCATGCCAGCAATGGTTTCTCAATTCTTGCTTCTCACTTGTGATTTGCGAGGAGCTCCATACTCTTCTGATTTGACTTATCGCCAAAAGTGTACTTCGACCAATGCATAATTGACTGCTTCCAGGACCTCCAACTTGCGTGAGCACCACAGGTTGACAAGCATGATCAAGTCTCGAGAATAGGAGAATCCATAGGTTGTATGCAAAATAATCCAGATATCGAGCTTAGCTAGAACATATAGCATAATTGACTGCTAAATGTGAAGCGCATCTGGGCACCTGTCGCAGGCAACGCCACTTATCAAACCTTATCGGGGCCAGCAGCTCGAGCTTCTCCGCAACCGACTAACTCCGTGGAAAACACATATTGTCCTCGCAAAATGCACTAAAGGCCCTCAGGCCCCCAAAAACTTCAATCCCCATTCACTCTACCATCCACCAACCTCCAAAATGAGACTCGCCCACCTCCACCTCCCCCACCAGACGCCCTTCGCCCGCGTCTCAGACATCCAACAAGCCCTCACAAGCCGCCTCCTCACGCACAAGAAGCTCGCCTCCCCAGGCTCAATATCCTCGCAATGCAGCAATCCAAGCTCAATCTCTAAAACCCCACCTCCGCCTCCAGACCCAACCATCATAACCTTCACCCCAAACCCCGTCTACACCACCGGCCGGCGCGACCTCCCCCCATCCAACACTCCCCCTCAGCAACAACCCTCTCCCTCCCCCCACCCCTCGAGCCAATTCGCTCCCTCTTCACCGGCCACAAGGCCGAGTATCACCCCACCCTACGCGGTGGCCAAACAACATACCACGGACCAGGCCAAATGGTCGCATACACGATTCTCGATCTAAAGCGATTGGGCCTTACGCCGCGGTGCCACATCCGCGTTCTAGAAAACAGCGTCATTGATCTCCTAGCTAGCTACGGCGTGAAGGGCTTTACGACTGAGGATCCGGGCGTTTGGACCGGGGCTGGACCGAAGAAGATCACTGCCGTGGGCGTGCATCTCCGGCGCAACATTAGTAGTTTCGGAATTGGATTGAACGTCACTGATGAGCCGATGTGGTTCTTCAAGCAGATTGTGGCATGTGGGCTAGAAGGCAAGGAAGCCACTAGTCTACAGGGTGAGGGCGTTTCCGCTGAGATAGATGATGTTGCAGCTGGGTTTGTGAAGCGGTTTGTTGCACGCGTCAATGCTGACTTTGCGTGCGGGGAGGGCGCTGGTGAGAAGATTGATGAGGTTTACCGGGTAAAGGAGGAAGATCTTCTACCGGGGTTGCAATAGTACCTGTATCACCGCAGGCCGTGGACCTGGATTGAGATATTATGTATATTTTGGTGCTGGCTCGATACAGTTTTTCCAAGATTCTAGATTGTATTGGATTCTATATCAAGCTGTCCTATAGCATCTATGCGGCCATGGATCTACATCGGCACTAGTGCTGATTTCATAACCGGCTTTTCATCTGACTGGGCCCGTGGACGGTCCATATCATGACATGCAATGTGGATGTCCGAATTGGGGACCTGCATGCTGCGAATCGCTGTAATCAAACCACCGTTGCATTCTTAATCAGTCCACATCAGACCATCATTGATTAGTACTCCGTAGACAGTCGGACTTTGGACCTCGGTATGTCCTTGACTAGATGGGATGAGAAGGGGATATATACTTCCACCATGGCTGGGGCTTTGTCCACGGTATCTCCACGAGCGGGATGGATTTGCGCAAATTCTATGAAACGGGAGCAGTGGGGTCATCTCTTTCGACAACTGAATAAATTATATTTGTATAAAAACGTAGACCTCAAAAGACCAACCTCGCTGAGACGCTTCGGATTAGAATCCGAAGCTATGCAATTGCAATCAACACAGGCCAATCGTTGTGCCACGTGTTGAGAGAGACGGAAAGAAATCAGCCAGGCTTGAAGGAAGAAAAAAAGTTGGAAAGGAAGCTCAAAACACCAATGCAGGGGGGAATCAACAAAACGACTAGAAAGTGGGGACAAGAAGGGAAAAGGATGGAGGAGGACGCAATGTCCTCGACAGCATGAAGCAATATAGCTCCAGCGAGTATATGGTAACAGCACCCCATGCAAGTCATGTCGGACATCAAGGTGTCAATCCAGGAATCATTGGATGACACATGAAGAGCCGGAAGCCGAAGCCCCAGCGGGCTTGACCTCAAGAGCAACCTTGGCAGCTTCATAGAAGCTCTCTCTGATACCGCGATTTTGCACGGCCGAGCATTCTGCACCAGTCAGCCGTGGCCAATAAACCAACGCAGAAAACGAAAGCAAATCAGAGATTCCACATACCCAAGTACTTCACGGCACCGATTTCCTTCGCCTTCGCCAGACCCTGGTCAAAGCTAATAGCATTCGGGTTATCATTGAGGTCCTCGTCTTTGCGCAAATCGCACTTCAGCGCCGTCAAGACAACCCGCACACCAGGGCAGTTCTCATTAATTTCCGCGATCCATTTCGACGAGACGTTCTCGAATGAGTCTGGGCTGTCGACCTGTTGGCGCATCGCATTAGTCCATGTAACCCAATACAAAAGGGAAACCATCAATCTCTTACACTAAAGCAGAGCATAAGCACATGGGTATCCTCATACGACAGCGCGCGCAGGCGATCGAATTCCTCCTGGCCGGCAGTATCCCATAGCGAAAGCTCAACGTGTATGTTATCGACAAAGATATCTGGGCGCATAAGCCGAGAACAACTTAAGGAAGTGGGGAGTGGGGAATACCGTGGACGTAGTTTTCTGTAATGCGTTAGTTGGGGTTTCGGCAGTTGAGGGGGAATGCGCGCATACCAAAGACTGTCGGTTCACTGGAGCGCGAGATAATAGTCAATTTCTGATTTCTCCCTATTCATTGAGGGGAGTTCTGGTTGCTTACTAGACGGTTGGGAAGAATCTAAGAAAGTGGTTAGCGTTGAATTCGAGGGGGTAATGCGAGGGGGCACCTTACCCGCGTGTAAACACGTTCAGCGCTGATGTCTTGCCACAGGCTCCGTCGCCTCTGTTGGATGGATTAGACCAATCGTAAGGGGGGTTCTGATCAAAACTGACAGTAGCACCATCTTGCGCTGGACTAGCTTCTGTCGGCCGCACAGCTGCATCGCGCAAGGTTGGGGGGTAGGGTAGTAAGGAGAGGGTGTAGTTGGGTTGATCTCGGGTGTTGAGGTTGAATTATGTGTTATTGGAAGAGTCCAGAGATCGCAGGTGGAAAGAAGAATATCCAAGGTGTTGTCGGGGGAAGATTCCAGGACTGGCTGAGTCGATGACATCGAAGGGATCGGCGAATAGCGTCCCAAGCCCCCTTCTGGTCCACTGGTTGTTCGGCTGTTTTTCTCTGCCGGTCTTGCGGGCTATATAGTACTTTTAGTTCAGAGAGGTTATACCTCTGGATCATAGCACTGTCTACGGAGTACTACTTTGCGCCTTTGAGGACTGTACACGATGTGCTTTGCTTTTTCTGGCATTCTGCTCCTATGCATCTGGCATACCGGAGATCGTAGATTGAGCTACGGGTCAAAGGGCGCAAGCTGACCCCTAACAAGTAAAGGTTTACGCTTAGGTGGACCTTCATTTCCGCAGCTGATCCTACTACGTCAAGGTGGGATAGATCGAGCTAGGAGAGGGCTGGGTGCTCACTCTACCTGATTGAAGCTGGTTCAGGACAGGGCACTTCCGATGTCCATATTGACCAGTCTCATTATGTTCAGCCACTAGCTTGATACGGAGTAGACCTATAACAATTGCGACGCTTGTCCTTACTCGGACGGTGTACGGAGTAGCGTGTAGTTACTCCGTATGTAGCCAAATATACTTACGCAGTACGCGGTATGGATCAAATCACTGGTAAATATAGGAAGGTGCATATACTCGAGCTTGCAAGAGTCCAGTGTAGTCTAATTCGATGTTCCACATAGGCTAAATGCAATTGCGCGCGTGAAAGCGCAGCGCCCCAAGTCCGCAAGGCGGAAGCTCACAAGCTTCTCCAAACCCCACTCAACTTTGAGACCTATCCACCTCTTCCACTCTTTCCTTCCTTTAACACTACATAACATTCAAAATGTCCGACGACGATGATTTCATGCAAGACTCTGGCGACGAAGAGTATCGGCCCCTTGTCCGCTTTCCCTGGGCCGCGCTGACTGTTGACACAGTTATGACTTTGAATACGAAGACGCCGATGACGACGAGTCCGGTGACATTGGAATCGAAAACAAATACTACAATGCAAAGCAGATTAAGATCGACAACCCGGAAGATGCGGTGGACGAGTTCTTAGGCATCGCGCCCATGGAGCAAGACAAGAGCGAATGGTGAGCCAGTGACGTTGCTCTGGTCGCGACGGTGCGGACTTGCTGACCGCGAGATAGGGGATTCAAAGGATTGAAGCAAGCTATCAAGCTGGAGTTCCAGCTTGGGCGATACAGCGATGTGAGTGCATATGTGGCAGGCGTTGTTTTCGGTGATACTGACTGTCTCTCTCTCTCTTGCCAGGCCGTTGAACATTACCGCGAGCTGCTCACCTATGTCAAATCCGCCGTCACACGAAATTATTCCGAGAAATCGATCAATAACATGCTGGACTACATCGAGAAAGGATCCGACGATGCCAAAACGTACGAGTGCATGGAGGAGTTCTACTCGCTGACCCTCGAATCATTCCAAAACACCAACAACGAGCGCCTCTGGCTGAAGACCAATATCAAGCTGGCTCGACTATGGCTGGAGCGCAAGCAATACACCCAACTGGGCAAGAAGGTGCGGGACTTACATCGGGCGTGCCAACACGAAGACGGATCGGACGACAGCAGCAAAGGCACCTACCTACTCGAGCTCTACGCTCTGGAGATCCAGATGTTCGTGGAAACGAAGAATAATAAACGCTTGAAGGCCCTGTATCAGCGGGCTCTCACTGTACGGTCGGCGGTACCACACCCCAAGATCATGGGTATCATCCGGGAATGCGGAGGCAAGATGCATATGAGCGAGGAGAATTGGAAAGAGGCACAGAGCGACTTCTTCGAGTCATTCCGCAATTACGACGAAGCGGGCTCGATGCAACGAATCCAAGTACTCAAATACCTGGTTCTGACGACAATGCTGATGAAATCCAACATCAACCCCTTCGATTCCCAAGAAACCAAACCATACAAGAATGACCCACGCATCTCAGCCATGACGGACCTGGTGGATGCCTTCCAGCGGGACGACATTCATGCATACGAGGACGTGCTGAGCAAACATCCAGACGTGTTGGCTGATCCTTTCATTGCGGAGAACATCGACGAGGTCAGCCGCAATATGCGCACCAAGGCCGTTCTGAAATTGATTGCGCCCTTCACCCGCTTCACCCTGCAATTCATCTCCAAACACATCAAGATCTCCGTACCGGAGGTGCTCGACATCCTGAGCTTCCTGATTCTCGACAAGAAGCTCAATGCCAAGATCGATCAGGAGAACGGAACGGTGTCGGTGGAGAGTGCGAGTGACGTGGAACGACTGCGCGCTGTGGAAGAGTGGAGCTCCGCGCTGCGCACCCTCTGGCAAACAACATTGAACGGTGAGGGGTTGCGCGCCGACGAGCCCACGCATGGAGCCCCGATCTTCCAGCCGGGATTTCGAGATGAGCCAGTCCGTGCCCGAAAGGCGCCAGTCAAACAAAAGTTATCTCAGTGGTCGGCTTAGGGACAAAGAATAAGCGCCCGGTCCACACGTGGATTGTTGGTGTCAATGCAGTTGAGCCGCGCGAGTTCTCACACCGATTCTTTGTCTGACCCTTGCACTTTGGCCAATCTTGACTTATTCCTTTTTCTCTCCTTTCCTGTGCGGTGTCTCCTTTTTCCCGCCCTCTCATATTTTCTTTTTTCCCACAGCTTCCAACGTTTCAGCCCCGCTATTTAAAGTTGGACTGACAGCGAAATGTCATGATAAGATGAACTTTTATGTTTACTCCGTACTTCGGGGCCCTTACTGTCACCACAGCATGTAGCTGTAAGCCTGTACAGACTGCCTACACTCAGGTCCCACCCTTAAGGGAAGTTGGCAAACTTGCGCAAGCCATCGGGAATCAAGTCAAATGATAACCCTGGACGGTCCCAACAGACCGGATGATAATTCGACGGGCCTCGACTGGGAACGGAAGCGACCTCCGATTGGGAATCCCCAATCCCTGGAGAATACGTAGTACTTTTGGCATGTGAGTGCGCATTTTCACCTTTTCTTCTTGTGTCCTTTGCCTTCTCTCTTGCCTCACGGATGTTACGGAGTGGGATCTGAGGTCCCCTAAGCCGCACAGATCTCGATTTGCCCAAGTACCGGCGTCACCGTCTTATCCTGATATGGTGCAGGTCGGGTGATGGTAAAGTGAAATAGGAATAAATAAGAAATTATCAACCATTAGACAGTAAACAATAAACAATAAACAATAAAATGACAAATGACAAATGACAAAATGATGCCCAGGTGCCCAGGTGGGATTTGGGGTTTCGGATTTGGGTAATGCCACTGTGGGCGTATATAGCGACACATCCCCAACTGCATACGAATCACGGCAAACATTTTGATTTTCAGCCCTGGTTAAACCCCGCTTTTGGTGCCTTTTACCCGTACTGTTGCTTCTCCGAGAGATACTCCGATTAGCCCAGTTATCGCGGGGTTTGGGAGTGATGGGCTCTGTACGGAAGGTAATACGATATGTAGTAGTAACATAGTAATAAAGTAATAGTTTAGTATTGAGTATTATAATATCATAATTTTATGTCTAGTGTCAGCCTAGATAGTAGAAGCGTAGAAGTACGGATTACCGTTATAATATGATACAATATCTAGTATTCTCACAATAATATCCAAAGACCAGCCTAATCAAATCCAGCGGTAACCTGTTTACGATCAGCATCTTCAGACATCTGTATGGACGGGGGTGGGCACGGTGCATCGTTACTTCTTGTTTTAATGTTTTAATGTTTTTTCCCTCTTTTTTAATTTTCTCGCTCTTAATAGTGTACTGATCTTCCTTTATCTCACATTCTCACGTCTTCACGTCTTCACATCCTCACATCCTCACATCCTCACATCCTCACCCTCTCTGTCTTCTTCGATCCGCCAACCTCCGACACCTCCCCTCTTTTTTTTGATTGTCCACTTGATTCTTGATTTTCCCTGGAACTTCTTTCATGCGCCCGAGGTAGGTACACTTTTTACCGATCGCATTCTGTTTTGCCCTCCTTACAGCCAACTTGTCTCCTAAATTCCCGGAAATATCCTCCGCTTGAAAGTCATCTGTGACCCCTGCCCCACGGATGGTTCGTGCACCCCCTCCCCCCCTTGAGGCCGCACTTCCAGATCGGGACTGTCAATCCATAGCCATTCTAGCCTTTTTATAAAGCTCTGTGGTGTGGACTTGGCCCTGACATCATCCGTTTCAATGTTTCAATGTGATTGTTCAAAGTAGACCCTATTCGGGTCATCAAAGCTGGACTCTTCGCACTGCCCTTCTGTTCACTCCCTATCACATATCACCTTCGCCTTCACTTATGACCACGTTCATATGCTGTAGTATTCCCCCCTGATGCCGGTTACTACTCTTGTCACCGGGATCTTCATGCAAGCCTGCCACCATGCTTGTCTTGATCGTCATGCTGAGAACTATGTCAGCAGTAGCCGATCCACCGTACTGGGACACGCAGTGTTGCACAAAAAGTGTACAGCCGTGTGCCCATCGAAGTTCCTAAGTCTTCAATGTTATCGATGTGTATGTCACCTTGTCTTTTTTTTCCCATTAAAATTTGCCTCTAACCGTTTCCCCCAGAAATTGACTTAAACCTGGACGCAATATCACCCGTATGCGATGTCCTTATCAAAACCTACTTGGAATCATTTCGGTTCTCACCAGCCGTTCCCGGAAAAGCAGAATCTCGCCAATCTCTACCGGGACGCTCTTTCATCTTCCATCCTCACCCCTGCTTTCTCTCTCTCCGCCTTCTCACCCTTCACCATGAATGCCCTCTCCCCGGACGAGATGGAGCGTTTCCAAAGGCTCTCCAACAACTACCAGCCAGATGTCCAGGTAGATTCGCACTGATCTTCTCTCCCCTCTGTACTCCCAGCCTCTGACATCGACAGGGTCCCCATGTCTCAACGAAGCAGCCTAGCCACAACATCGCCCTGGACTATTCCAATGCAGACCCGACTCTCGCAGCAAAGACCAATGTAAGCTTTCGTGGCGGCCCTTTTGTGTCTCGCATCTGACAGGTTACAGGCGCTTGCGCTATCCCACCCGGAATGCCGTATCATGAGGGGGGACGGGAATTGTGGTTGGAGGGGTAAGGTGCTTCTCGCCCGGTTTCAAATCTAATTGTGCTAACCCCCGGTGCAGCTGTGGCATTTGGTTACTTCGAAACTCTGTTCGCCCTTCGTGACCCTATTCGGATTCAAGCGGAGCTTTCAAGGATGAAGTCTTTGAATGGGCTTATGGATCAGATGGGTATTGGTAATCATATCTATGAGATCTTTGTTGACGAGACGGAGTCAATTCTTAAGCAGATCTTGGATGCTATTCAGGGCGGTGTCCAAGATGAGTCTTTCCTGGTCGGTGCTTTCAATGAGGGGTATACCGCCGATGCTATCGTTACCCATTTCCGAGTACGTATTTTGTTGGGGGAATTTTTGTTGATCCATGTTTGATATTTGATATGGACATTTCTAATGGCTTCTTGCACTTGTGGATGAATGCACGCTAACATTCTATTTCAGATGTTGACTAGTGCTTGGATGAAGCTTAATCCGGGACGATACCAGGCATTCCTTCATTTACCTGTTGATCGATACTGCGCTTCACGCGTCGACACCGTGAAAACCGAAATCGACGAGGTGGGCCTGCAGGCGCTGATCGATGGTGTTATCGAGGGTTCAGGCTTTGGTGTCGAGATCCTTTACCTCGACCGCAGTGAGGGCGATGTGGTGACGCCTCACCAATTGTCCTCCAACTGCCCCAATGGTGCCACAATCCGTCTTCTCTACCGACCGTGAGTAGCCCGAGTGGCGAGATGCGAGATCCCATGTCATATCTAACACTATCATATAGTGGCCACTATGATATTCTCTACCAGGCGGATTCAGCTTTGAACATGGCACCCATTGTCAACCTCCAATACGGATTGAGTTCCGATTACACCACCTCCTGGGACAATGCCACACTTGGATTCGACATGAATTCTAGCTTGATGGCTATCCCCAATCTCATGCAGGACTCTTCCTTCGGAATGGGCGCTCCCATGTCTCCCATGCCGTCGGCCTCGCCTGCTCCCCCAAGCCCTTTCCGCATGTCCCCGCAACAGGACATGTATCAATCGCCCATGCAATCGCATGCTCCGATATCTCTCCCCGTCTCTCCCCCTCATCCTCCCCCCACCGCCACCCTCCTCCGCCCCGCCACCCATGACATCGTTGCCCAGTCGAACCTCAGACGGTCCGCAGATTCGACTGAATCCCCTCGTGATGAAACCAAACCTAAGTCGCTCGCTGCCTGTGAGCGCCCCTTTTAAAAAGTGAGTTCCCAATCATGATACATGCGGCTCGGCTACTAACTGTTCTAGCTCACCCTACAATCAAGCCCACTTCCAAAATTCCGACTTCGAACCCATTCACTGGGAACCGCACGGAAGATGACTTGTTACGATGAAAAGAGCCATGACCTTCTTTCTCTTCTTTAATCATCCTTCGCCTCGCCTCTTTTCTTTCGAGATCAGGACTCTTTTTCGCTCGCTTACGTTTTTCTTTTGGCGCCCATCTCACCCCCCTGAGTTGAACCCTCTTTTCCCTTTTTGAATGTTCTCTTTAGCGTGGTGCAGCGCGTTGCATGGTACGAGCGTTCTCGCCCAGATTGTTTCTTCGGCCCCCGGGATTCTCTCTATTTCGTTTTTCTTACGGTCTTTTGGTGTTGAAATTCGGAACCACTCACGTTTATCTCTGATCCACTATCCATTCCACTCTTCGTAGCTGTATTCTCTGCAAATCACCCTCGAGTAAATTGATTCCATATTCTATCGTTTCTCGTTATCATACATGAACCTCGTAATATTCATTTCCCGAATCTCTTAAACCTCTTCATCCCCAGCCTCTAATACAACATTAACCATCCCATCCAACGCCCTCTCCCTCGCCCCTCCATCCAAACACCCCCTCTCAACAAGCCGCCTCAACGCATCAGATACCCAATCCTGACTATTCCAATCATCCAAATCCGTATTCGGAATCGGTGTCTTTGAAATCATCTCCCGAACCTCCGACGCAGGTATCGACCCCGATAATGCCGACACGGGAATCACGCGCGCAAGATCTGGGCTTCCGTTAGCTTCTTACCTAGGTGATTATTTCTGGTGATTGTCACGCTTACTCGTTGATGATACTGGTATTTGCCAGTTCACTCGCTCGGAATAACTATAGAATCCCGTTGTCCCCACTACTTCCGCCACTGAGGATTTGATATCCCCGGTCTCGTATTGGATGTATAGTGCAGCATGTCTGTAACGCGCGTAGTCGAGTGGTGAAGCGACGAAGACAAGAATTGAAATTCTGGACATTTTGAAATGGTAAAAAACTTTTGGAGACGTTGATGGGATTGCCAGGGTCAGGTTCTATGCGAAAAGCGGGATGACGTCGTCGGTTTCTAGAAGCATGTGGGCGTACTCCATAAGACTACTTCGTTTGGGATCGATCTTCACTTGCGCGAGTCATGTAATAGAAGTTTAAAAAATATTGTTATCTGTATTCATATGAAGTGCTATCTTGGTTCTTGGATTCTGGATATTCAAATCCCCTCTCACCCAATCCAGTAATCACAATCCGAGCTTCTTCAGCAGGTAGTTCGGAACAGCCTTGATGACTTGCCACAGCATGAAGCCAAAGTCCATCGCCATCGCATCCGCATAGGCCTTTGGTCTCTCGGTGACGTCCGCAAGAGCAAGAACGAAGTTCACCAGTGGAGCAGGGTAATTCTCGCGAAGGTAGGCGGCGACAAGATCGTGTCCGTTCGTAATTCCACCTGCGCGATAATCAGTTAGTCATATCCAATCCAATCCAATGCATGACCACAATCAAAATCATAGTCAACATACCACAACTCCAAAGATTCTCATCCCTAATCACTCGCAACTCCCCAAGCCAGTTCGCATCAGGAAACTTATCCTTCAACTCAGGAACCAGCAGTCGAGGTCCGGTAACAGTGCGTCCATCCGCAATGCCCGAATACCCAATAGCATAAGCACCAGTGCAAATGCTCAGAATCGAAGTCCCGGCCGCATTGTGCGCGCGCACGAAGTCCAGGTACTCGTCGTCTGGGGAGCCTGCTTTCGGGGCTCGGCCTGGGATCATGAGGACGTCGAGCTTGCCTGGGGCCACGTCGGAGTCGGAAATTGCGTTTGTGGGCAGGATGGTCATGTTTGCGGTCACTGGGGCTGGCGCGAGGGTGGCTCCGATGTAGTGGATTTCGCAGGGGCGAGATTGGGCTTGCAGAGGGGCTGGGGCGGAGCATTCGGTTAGGTAGGATGGGGTGGTCATCCAGAAGAGGTCGATTGGGGATAGGTCGAGGAGTTGGGGGGTTCCGATTAGGAGGACGCCGATGCGGAGGTCGGACATCTTGACGGTTTGGTGTCTTCTTTTCGAGTGAGGGGAGGAAGACGGAGAGAGGAAGAGAGGAAGAAGAGGAGGAAGAAGAGAAAAGGAAAGAGAGAGAGAGTCAGAGGGTAGGAAAGGGAAGGAGCTATCTACATGCAAGTCAAGGTGAGCTCCAGGCACTTCTACCAATGCGCATGATTGCGCAAGTTACAAGTGAATTGCATTGAAGTGCTTCGGTGTTTTCATATCAAATGACAGCAGATGTTTTCGCTCATGATTCGTTCATGCAGTCTTCTACAAAATGAAACCTGCATGACCTCAAGACCTCTTTGATGAGCTCTAAAAGAACCAGGTTCCATTGTTTTTGTGGACCTGTCAAGTCAGTATCTGGTACAATGTTATGGTTTAGAGCGAGTACCTCGTGCGAAGATGGAGTATGCTGGGCCTGGCTTGATGAACTGTTACCATTGGGCAGGGTAATGCTGGCGCAAACAGCCCTAGAAGTTATGTGCTGATTCAGTGAGCTCACGTCATATACAGAGGGCTCATGTTATATTTGTAAGGATTGCATCTCATAACCTGGTATCTCTAGAGCTCAGAATTATCATAGCGATCTCATGCCGGTGAATCTGGAACTAGATATTTCCCCGAAGTCAAGCACTGGTCAAATCCTTGACTCGGCGCCATGTAGTTTAACTCCTGGGCTATTGGATTTCATCTGACCAGTATATCGGAATAGTAGCTAGCGGAGGCACAGCAGGATGACGAACCTCGGAAGAAGGCCGAGCCCTCACTTAGCCCTCAAATTTCAAATTTCCTTGTTTTCACTCGAAACTCCCTGGTAAACGATGTAGCTGGATTCCAGAGACACTTCCAACTTGTCCACAAATCAAAATTAACATGAAAGACTGAAGAATATCCAAAAACCCCAAGGTACGCTGCGAATCGGTCTCGCGCTTCCGGACCGTGCAGGGTTTCCCCGCATTATCACCCCGAGTCGGCCCACAACATCGGGGTAGGATCTTCCCCAGACTCAGGAGATGCTCATATTGGATCGGAGGAGAGCACTCCGTTTCTTTCTCTCATCTTATTCTTTATAAGACCACTTGGATCCGGAGTACTGTGTTCCTGACATCTTCGCCTGTCCCCCCGAGAGATCGGAGTACTGTCTTCCTGAAAGACCACGCGGAAGAGTGATCAAAGTCCTAATCTGGCAAATGTGCACTTTATTTGTCGCTCAGAGAGGTATATAAGACCCCAGACATCTGGCTCTGATCGGCTCATCTCGATATCATGGCTACTACGGATAGCAAGGGTGGATTCGCGCTTGTGCTGCAGAATCCTTATCTATGCGGTGTTGCATCGGTAGGTCCTTCCCCTTGTTTCAAGAGCCATATCTAATAGATCAGTTCTCAACCCTTGGCGGGTTGCTTTTTGGCTATGATCAAGGTGTCATTAGCGGTGTCATAACCATGGAGTCCTTTGGAGCGAGGTATCCACGAGTGTTCTCCGACAGTGGATTCAAGGGCTGGTTTGTTTCAACACTGCTACTAGCCGCTTGGCTTGGGTCATTAATCAATGGACCTATCGCCGATAGAGTCGGAAGAAAGATGTCAATCAATTTGGCCGTCGTGGTCTTCACCATCGGCTCCGTCATTCAATGTGCCGCAATGAACATCCCGATGCTATTTGCCGGTCGTGCGATTGCTGGACTGGCAGTTGGTCAATTAACCATGGTTGTACCGCTGTACATTTCCGAAGTTTCGATCCCTGAGATTCGCGGAGGCCTCGTCGTCGTGCAGCAATGTGAGTCACCCCCCATGCGGAGATATGACATGAGCTCATGAAACATTAGTATCTGTCACTCTTGGAATCCTGTTCAGTTATTGGATCGATTACGGCACAAATTATATTGGTGGCACCCGCTGTGCTCCGGATATTCCTTATTCGGGTGGCACAGTGGCTAAACCTGCCTTCGATCCATACCACGATGTTCCCGTGGGCGGGTGCAATGGTCAATCAGAGGCGTCGTGGCGGTTTCCTCTGGCTCTTCAGATTCTTCCGGCTGTGATTTTGGGGCTGGGGATGCTTTTCTTCCCGGACTCGCCTCGCTGGTTGTTGATGAAGGAACGGGATGATGAGTCAATCACGGCGCTCGCGAAATTGCGTCGACAGGCTCGCGATAGTCCTGTTTTATTGAACGAATACCTTGAGATCAAAGCTTCTATTATGCTGGAGAACACCTTTGCAAGAGAGAATTTCCCCAATCTGTCAGGGTACAAACTGCACATGGCCCAGGTATGTGAGCAACGCACTTCATGGTTGAACTTTGTTAACAGGCTGTAGTACATGTCATTCCTGACGACTTGGGCCCGGTTCAAGCGTCTGGCAATCGGTTGTATAGTGATGTTCTTCCAGCAGTTCATGGGCTGTAACGGTACGTCAATTTCAGTATTCATAGTACTTCTCAAATCTGACGCGAACAGCTATGATCTACTACGCGCCTACTATCTTCGCCCAGCTGGGTTTGGATGGAAATACCACTTCCCTTCTTGCGACTGGTGTTTATGGTATCGTGAACTGCCTAAGTACCCTCCCAGCACTCTTTTTCATTGACAAGGTTGGCCGTCGACCGTTGCTTATGGCCGGTGCTACCGGAACCTGCATCTCCCTGGTCATTGTCGGTGGAATACTGGGTGGGTATGGGTCTGCTCTGGTGAGCAACAAGTCTGCCGGGTGGGCTGGCATTGCCTTTATCTACATTTACGATATCAATTTCTCATATTCCTTCGGTAAGAGTGAGCCCCCCTGCTTGATTTCACGGCAGAACTGACATATCATGCTATTGCAGCTCCTATCGGCTGGGTTCTTCCTTCTGAAATCTTCAATCTTTCGATTAGATCCAAAGCTATCTCAATTACAACCTCCGCCACATGGATGTGCAACTTGTAAGTTTTGACCTAACACTAATCTGGTTTTTGTCACTCATTATTCTGTTTTCCATAGCATCATTGGCCTCGTCACACCAGACATGCTCGAGTCCATCACTTGGGGCACCTATATCTTCTTCGCCGCATTCTGTCTTCTGGCGCTCGCTTTCACAATATTCTGCGTCCCTGAAACGCGAGGCAAAGTAAGCGCCCCCTTTTTGTCATTCTCTTAGGTATCTCATGCTGATCAATCACTACAGACGCTTGAAGACATGGATCTCATCTTCGGGGATACAGCCGCCCACGAAGAAAAGAAACGCATCAAGCACATTGAAGCCGAGTTGCGCGGCACTCCTATTGAAGATGAGGATTTCATGAAACCCGTCGACGAACACGCGGAAACCATTGAAGCTTGAAAACAACCAGCGAATACTGACTTGTCTGAATTCAAAAACACGATACGTACATACTGCTGATATAGGCAATCGCTAATGCCTAGACCTGTGATTATTTCCATTGCTAGTCAAAATGAAACCCTGATATCTCACATGCGAACCCTTAAATGCAAAATACAAAATTTGATATTCAAGAAAGGAAAAAAAGACATGGGTCGACGTGATTATTCCGCAGGTGGAAAGTTGACCCATTCCGAAAAGTCCATGCCTCCAACATTCATCTGCATCTGCTGCTCTACTGGGAAGAGACTTCCGCCGAATCCAGGATCGCCAAATAGCTGTTCGGGGAATGGCATCATGTTCTGCGGTTGTTGGGGTATATGCTGGTGCATGGGTTGTTGATGGGCTTCGTATGGGCCGGTGGCGGGGATGCCTTGTGGTTGAGGATTGGTGGGTGGGCCCAGGAGTCGGTTGATGACTTCGTAACAACGAGTTGCGAAGCGGTTGGTACCGAGTGATGGATGGGTGAGGAGAGCTTTGGTGGTCTCGATATCCTGAAGCCAGGTTGCGGCGTCTGGATTGGATGGGTCCGTCATGAAGAAGACGATGGGAATGAGGCCAGCTTGGAAGAGGAAGTATCTTATGTTGGTTAGTTGAAGCTCTCAGGCAGAACGGCTACTAATGGAATAAACTTACAGCATGTACCATGCGCCAAGTCTCGTGCAGATATAGTTCTCCATGTAATCAGAGATGGAGGAGATGGTCAACCGGGCGTTCTGAAGACAGCGCACTCGGCATTCTGTCTCGCTTGGATCTTCGGTTCCTGCATCTGGAGTGCCTGGCATGCCGCTAAGTGGGTTCCAACGTCTCGCGGCCCAGCGAAGGAGAATGGGTCTGTGGATAAGGATGGTAAGGTTCCAGTTTCGCCATAGTAGGCGGTTGCGGACGAGAGCGAGTGAATCGGGGTCCGGATTCGTTGGTTGCACGGATAAAGGCATTTGCGGGTGTTGCAGGTAGGATGGAAGACTATTGTACCACTCTTCGATGGGCTTTTGAAGGCTCAACGTGTCTTCGGCTGTTGGGCTAGGGCTCGAGATGAGACGCTGATAGACGCTATTGGTAAGGAGGTGGAATCGAGCCTGGGCAATCAAGCCAGAGTAGATGGTCGGGCCGAGAGATTCGTCGGGAAGTGTAGTTGTGGTTGGTGTCAATTCATCTTCATGGATATTCCGCACTTGCTTGGCATCCATGACGCACTCTTCGGGTAGGAGAATTGGTCTTCCAAAGGTTTTTGCTGCGCCACTGTCAAAGATAAATACGCCCCACCACAACCTTCTCCGGATTTCTCGTTGCAGCAAGCTAATCTTCCAGCCGGGGAACTCTTTGTGAAGACCCAAACTCATGGCCATTCGAACGGCTAAGCCGAGATAATTCCATCCGGTATTTGGCTTGTTTCGCTTCTGGGCATAGTTACTCAGTAACAAAAGCGCCTGCACCAATGTCAAATTTCCGGTCTCGAACACAGAAGCCTGTTGTAAGTATCCTCTGGCTTCTTGGTAGAAGGTGATATCGAGGTCAGAGCTGTCATCACCAATACACCATGCCCCTAGGGCTAATATTGTGTTGAGAAGGATGTGCCACGCGGTGCCATGCGGGCGAATAGATGGCTCATTGAACTGTGCCCTAAAAGTTGGCTCGTGGACAAATGGATAGCTGGTGTGGTAGTTGAGGAAGAAAGCATCGATGAAAGCTTGTTCGATCAACCCTGATGGGGCGCTTTCAAGGAGCTGCGCCTTGAGAGGCACGCCTCCCGATCTTGCTGATCGGACAGGCATATTTAAGTCGAACCCATGATCGAATAATGCTCGCAAGGGAACAACACTTGATGAAGCTCCTGTGGTGATTGTCAGTTTTCAGTAATCATAAACTGGGCTGATTTAAGAAAGACCGACCAAAGTAACCAGCTCCTTCGGGTTTGATTGACAGTGCAGCCATTCCATCGGTCAAATCTCCAAGGGTGATTTCTTTCTCGGCCCAATCAAAGCCATCGGCTTGCTGGGGGAGAGCTTCAGGTGCTGGCTCGGCAGGCTCTTGCTCATGCTTAGCCGGCGTAGAGTGCCTCGAAGAGGACTTTGATGAAGGGGCCCTTGGAGCTTCTGGATTCTGCAGAAGAGACCGAAGGGTAGCATCTAGATCACCACCTGGAAATAGCCTTCCTAGGGCTGTCTCAAACGAATGTAGGCGATCTTCAACATATGTCAAGTGTCTGAAGGTGTAAGTAAGATTCCGAAGCACTATCTCTTTCAAATACAAATACTCACTGTCGAGTTAGAGGGCTCCGGCTGACTTTGGGGCTATATAAGCATTCTTTGTTTAACTGTCTGCATTGCAGACATACTGGTCGCTCTTTGGAGCACTGTCGGATTCCAGGTCAGCATTCTAGGCCTTTCTTTGATCAACTCGTAGTTTCATACTCTTGACTTGCGCAAGCGGCATTCGTCGCACTGTGAACTTATCAGATACCGGTCATGTCAAACTTGGAGGTCGCATAGCGAATACATACAGCAAAGGAATGGGAATCACGGGTGCTGGCCATCTTTATCGAGACAAGTTGGATATCTCGTATGGTGTATGCAATGCGCTCTGATCATGCCATACAACGGCAGTCATCTGGACATGTTAGCTTCATATATCTGATGCTCTTATGCTTAGATCGAGGCATGTATATAACCCCTCCAGAGGAGAGCTCTGCTAGGGTGTAGGGGAAGCATAGTGCATGAGAGCGGAAGACAACTCACGATCGGCGCTAAAGCAATCATTGATCAGCTTAGCCTGTAATGCGATGGATAAGATGCATCCGATGCTCCCCTCCGTTGAAGTGGGGAAAAAAGCGGACAGGCGGTGCAAAACTTTTTATCGTCGCCTCAGGCAGAATTTCACGCCGGACTGTCCGCTGTTTGTAAAGGCCATTTTTCCTCTTTCAAAGTGGTTCGATATGGATTGAATATTGACTATTTCCAAAGCTTGGCTTAGAGAACGATGAGAGGTTGATTTTATTACTATCAAATTTTCAAGAAAATATGGAACTTGCTGAAAAGGGTCCGGATGGGACAATATATAGTCGCTCTATACTTCAGCCTTAAACACGAAAATCCTGAGGGGTTTCCAAATTGTACGTAGTATCACAAGGGGAAACAACCTTGGAAGAAGTTGACACCCGAAGTCTTCGTCCGTTAAATCTACCCAATATACAAAAATAGCTATTCCCGAGAACTCATATTGAATGCGTGTATCATCGCAAAGGGCCATGTCTTGGCATCGCGGGATGCTTGAGCCGCAGACATTTTTTTCTTGACGTATCGCCTCACTCAATCAACAGCAACACAACCAAAAAAAGTATCAAGTGATACATCTGAAGGCACAGAAAAGACCTAAAGCTTCATTTCCACTTGCAGAGGACATCAAATATCTTCAAAATCCAGGCGTTATCATGCCTTCCCAACCCCCACTACCGCCCCTCCTCGCTCCATATGTATCATCTCTGCCGGATTCATCTTTGACGCTAGTGTCTTCTATCCTCGGAGCCACATCAAACTGGCTGGTCTTAAGGTTCTTGCATGCCGCCCTCAGCTCTCAATCAGCCTCCGCGTTTGGCGCAGATGAATCGCAAAATGGCATCAAAAAGAAGGTGGTACTAGTGAGCTTTATGCGCAGTTACGAGTTTTGGAAGACCGAGGCAAAAAGACTGGTAAGCCCTTTCATAAGGAATGAAGAAAAACATCAATCCGAACATGTGAATATGTGAATCTGCATTTGCTCCGATTCCTTCAGTCACCAATTGATACACATGTCGACCAAGACGCTAACAACCTCCCAGGGCCTCGACCTTGCACGTCTAGCAGACAAACATGAATTTGCATTTGTAGATGGTTTGTCTGAATTATTCTATGCACCACAAGCCACTGCTGCTCCAATGAGCTCGCCAGGTGGCCCGGCAGGCAATCCACGCACAACGTTGCCAATGAGATCTGCACCTGGTGCTGTGCCAGGAAGAGTACCTCAACCGAGGGCGCCGGTAGCCAACCCAGCAGGCAATCCGGCCACAAAGCAGACGGAGTCCGGCATCGCAAAGAAGCTCCATTTCACAGGCCGCGGACTGGCTTCACTCGATGCAATGGAGCAGGATGTTGCCTCCGTGATTGAACAGCAAAAGGCCCAGATGGAGGAAGGCGATGAGCTAGTCCTCATCCTTGACCAGCCTGACCTGCTTCTCGCTACGACGGGTCCCAGTATGGGAATCGGAGCCACAGAGATGGCAGAGTGGATTACAGGGCTGCAGCAGGTAAGTCGAAGTCGACAGCATATTTTGATAGTGCTGACTGGTACCGCAGCATGCGCATGCTACGATTCTTACCTTGGCTACGGATGCTCCTTTGATTCATAATGCAGCGAGTTCCGGAGGGCAATTGGCTACGCCGATAGAGACGGAACATGCGGCGCTTGCTATTGGGTTGGCGCATCGGGCTAGGTCGGTAATGCAGCTCCGCACTCTGGAGACCGGGGCCGCCAAAGATGTGAGTGGGGTACTCAGGATCAGCCGGGGCGGCGGATTGAGCACGAGTGACGACAATCTGGAGGAGCGAGAGGCGCTGTACTACATCCAGCGCGATGGTGGAGTCACAGTCTTCGGTCGTGGGGAGTCATGAAACCGATGTATACTACGGGATAGATGTAGCAAAAGCAACAAGATTACCAAGGAAGACAATTAGAATGTCCAACCTTGGAACTCTTCTCCATCTTCAAAACCAAGAATGTCATACTGAGTAAAAAAGGCGATGAAATGTTGAGAAGAGTCTTCACATTGTATCTGCCATGACATGGGGATATCTGCCAGTCATAAAAGAAGAAAAAGGAAATTCATGCACGCTTTCCCAGGTTTTTTATTCAGCCAACCTCCGTGGAGGAGAGCCCTTCAACGAAACTTTTCCCACCGTTTCGCAGGTTTTTACTTTGTCATCAAGGTCGTGGCAAAGAGAACCAACAAAATCGACAGTTGCACACCAACTCCACAGGAAAGCGGTAAGATTCCGGAACTGCCATTGCATTTCGAGTAATGCTATCCCGTAATGCTAATTCATGTCATGCCAGTAACCCTTCCCTCATTTCTTTCCAGCCTCTCCGAAATCGAAAACGCGACGCCGAGCGGACGAAAAAGGGAATCTAGTTGGTCTCGGGGCCACGGGCACCCTTGGGGGTACCGGTCTGGAAGCCGTTCAGGAAGCGGCGGTGGACATCACGCAGAGAGCGCATGCGGCCGGAGCCGGTGGTCTTGCGTCTCTTGGCCTTCTCACCCCAGTTGACTGTTCGTAAAATTCCATGTCAGCCGGCATTCTTCACAAATTCGGGACGCGTAGTCCATTTTCCTTGTCATATTCATGACTCCAGTATTCTCGGGAGGGATATCGTACACTTGCGGGTCTTGGCGGCAGGGTAGCCACAGTTGGCACAGGTGGACTTCTGGATGTGGAAAGACCGCTTGCCTGTAGGTTCGCAAATTTGTCGGTTAGCTCTCTGATCCTTGCTCATATATTTGTGTGTGTGTGGATGTCCTCCCCGTGGTCGACGGTGTTGCGTGTTTCGTTGGAGAAATTTTGCAAGTTTGCGACAGCGGTTCGGATAGGTGGGATCGTGAAGAAAAGATAGGTGTAATACTAACCACAGCGACGGCACAGAGTGTGCGTCTTGTTGTGGCGCTTTCCGAAGCTCGAGGTACCCTTCGCTGCAGAGGTTGTCAGTTTCGATCTTCAATGGACTCGACGTGGTGACGCTTCGAGATGCGTGGTTTCGACATGGGACGTACTCATTTTGAATTAGGAACTGAAAAGGAAATTAGTAAATGCTCGAATTGTGGTGTGAAATGGTGCACTACATGCGAACCTACCTGGCGATTCCGTTGAAGGGGCTGGCTGGTTGTCGATGTCGCTAATAGAACTTCCTCCGATGTGATTCAATCAATTGCCAGGCCTCGCTTATTGCGGCGGGTTGTGGGCCTCCAGAATTGGAAAGTAGGGCACCACTAGCGTCCGCCCTATCACGTGATCTTCCCTCTTCTTTGGGGGCCTGAGGCAGACTTTCGACTGGCCCGTGCACTTTGGAGGTCTTGTGTCCCACCTGGGCAGCCTATTGGTTAGTTGTGGAGTAAGAAGTACAGCGTTTAGAAGATCATTAAAAACTGGAGATACTGCGGTAACATTACTGCGGAGTGAGGGTGTAGAAATTACTATGGATACACATTTTTCATAACTTTGAGTAAAAGTTTGTGTCATATTCACTTTTAAAGAGCTGATGATGAGGGTATTTTATAGTACATCCGAACGCCAATGCAGGTACAATGTGAAGAGTAAATCTCAATCTTTTCCGATGAAATTCGCCATAGGATCATCTGCTGCCAGACGGCTGCGTTTGTATGATTCGTATTCCTCCTCGGTGACACCAGACTTGATCTCCTCCAATGTTCGCTTTTTCGAATTTGCGGTTGTTTCGCTCTCGGTGACTTGGGTGGTGGTGGGTTCAGTCTCGTGGGAAGCATCCGCAGCGGCAGCGTTGTCAGCCACTTCTTCCTCCTCATCACCCATCATCAGAAGGTTACCCTCCTCCTCGAAAGCCTTCTTGCCATCCTCTCCAGTGCAGTAGCTGTTCTTCACAGTGGAACAGCAGCATGCATATCCCCACTTGAACTGGTACCACCAACTGCCGAAGACAGAGGAGTGATTGTTGACCTTGACATCCTCGGGGTATTTTGATTTCGTAGCCTTCTTGGGTGCACCCTTGATAGCACCGCTCTCGTCGTACTCGACAAAGCGCTCATTTTCAACAACCATTGTGTCCCGCAGCGCACTGGCTTGTGTGTGTTCGCCGCCACCGTATTTATCCATGAGAGCCTTGCGATGAGACGCGCGCTTGGCCTCACTCTCTTCCCTCTCCTTCTTTCTGAGAACTTCTCCAGAGGTAGGGTTGGCCTGGATATGCTGCTGCGGACGGCCTTGTTCTTGGGACTCCCACGCATACTGCTGGGCCTTTTCGAACTCGGCAGCGTCTCCGGAAGCGCGAACAAAGTTTTCCTCCGCGACAAGGGCAGATGCTTGATCGTCCTGCGCACCCATGTCTACCATTCGGCGTGTCTTGGGGTCGTATTTGGCCGAATCGAGGTCGAGGTTGAGCAAGTACTTTGCAGTGTCTTCACGAATACGTAGGTTACGAGTTGCGGTACTCTGCTGACGTCCCATATCGGATTCTTCAGCGTAGCGGATATCAGAGTCAGGTGCCTCGTCGCCATCTTCGCCCAGTTTCTTGAGATCAGAGCTCTCTTTGGCCGCCTTCTTGAGCGCCTCCATCTCTTCATATTCACCGACAACCTGGCGGTATTCACTGGCATCGTAGCCGTTCCACCGGTCTCGTTTGGCATCCCATCCCATATCGACATTCTGGAGGAGCTCATCCGCTTGAATATCCTTGCCGGTCCATTTAGCGCCTTGCTTTCGTGGCCGACTCAGGCATTCTTTGGTCTTATGTGTCATCGCGCCGCAGTTTTCACATGCGCCTTTGCGGTACTTGGTGGCTGCTGGACCAGCACGCTTTCCGCGATCGTACCATTTTGATTGGTCAGGAGTAGTTTTCTGTAGACGTTGATGCTCTAGGTAGTCGACGTCGGCATCATCGTCAACGTAGAATGGCTTCTTTGCGATGAAGGAGGGAATGTACTCGTTGCGCTCTTTCGCTGCAACATCAGCTGGCTTTCGGGACGACATGGCTGCGGAGCCTAGCAAAGAAATTTCGATAGATGGGAACACCAGGGCGAGCGATCCAAAAGGTAAAGGCGGATCGTATTGAATCAAGTGGAGACGATGAAAACCCGGCAGATCTGATCCCAGACCAAAGATGAGAGTTGAAGTTGCGATACCAAGCTCGGTCTTGGCGGGTGGATAAATTGAATCCACGTGACTTGGTGTTATCTACGCGTTCCGAGTCAAGGGCATAGCTCCATCGCGTTTCTCAACTCACTTGTCGATTGACATACAATAATCGGTGCTGACACCTGATTCTCGCAATGTCGCCGTGGCTTCCGATCGCAACACACCGGAGCCATGGAGCCATTTCGGGTGCGCCTCAACTGTATCGATCATTACCAAGCGACCGCGTCGGACTTAGATCCCCCGCTGCCTGTTCGGGATGGCGCATCGGGAAAAGAGCTCAGACCGAAAGTGCCTGTGATTCGGATATTTGGAGCCACTGAGACCGGCCAAAGGGTATGCGTCCATGTCCATGGCGCATTTCCATACCTCTATATCGAATACAATGGGTCGTTGGCAACGGATGAAGGTATGCCTGACAACCGCTTACGCCTGGCTCTGGAGTTAACATATTGGCAGTGAATTCTGCTATTCGAATGCTTCATCTGTCTATTGACCACGCTCTGGCTGTTAGCTTCCGCCAGAATGCATATGACAGGAAGATAGCCTATGTGGCGCATATCACCTTGGTGAAAGGTGTCCCATTTTACGGATACCACGTTGGATGGCGTTTCTTCTTCAAGGTCTATCTTTTGAATCCTTTCCATACCACCCGCTTGGTCGATCTCTTGCACCAAGGAGCGGTGATGAAACGCCCCCTTCAGCCGTATGAGGCGCATGTGCAATACATCCCGCAATGGATGTGCGACTACAACCTGTACGGATGTGCAATCATGAGTTGCAGCAAGGTCCAATTCAGAGCACCTGTTCCTGAGTATCTTGAACTGAGTAATCTTAACCACCGCTGGCACGACCGCTCAGTCTCGGCCCAGGATATACTCGACCATCCTGCTTTACAGAAACAAAGCCACTGCCCTCTAGAAGTTGATGTCTGTGTGCAGGATATCTTGAACCGTGGTGATATCAAAGAGCGGCCCTTGCATCATGATTTCACGGAGCTTTTGCAACCGGTTGCGGTGAATGAGCGGCTGGTCCCGAGCATGGCTGGACTGTGGCAGGACGAGACTCGGAGGCGCAAAAAGAGAATGGGAATTAAAGACCCGGGAAGCACTCCGTTTGGGCCGGAAGAGTTGGTCTCAATGTCAGCCGACCCGAGAAATCAGTCAAGAGGTGGCTGGGTACATGAGGAAGAATTCCGTGAGATGGAAAACCAACTAGCTGCCAACGAGAGACAGGATGACAGCGGCAAAGATCCGACGTACGAATCCGTTCTACACCCCAAGGACCTGGCGGAAAATGTGAAGACCGCGTTGGATAGCGTCGAAGACTTTTTCCCCAACAAGAATGGTACCTCGTCCTTCGATGATGCATATTTCCAGGAACCAGCCCAGAAAAACATACCAGAGATTTCAGTCGACGAGGGTTTAGCATTGTCTTCCCAGGCCGACTGGCAGCATGGCTCTGAATCCGACCAAGAGGACAGGCCTTTGGATGAAGAAACAGACCCAGAGGAAGGACCCAAAGAAGATCCGCTGACCGAAAGCTTCTATGATGGAGTCTTTGATGACCTGCCAATTTCAGATGTAGCAGTTGTTGCAGAGCCTTCAGCAAATTCAGAAGACGCAAGCAGAGATCAGCGCCAAAGCAAAAGCAATGCCCCCAAGCGACCGTTCTTTGAAATACCAGAAGACGATCGTCCGCCCGGGAAAAGACCAAGGAGCCTGACAGATGACAACCCATCGAACGGACATTCCAAATTGCAAAAGCCTCAACAAGACAACAAACAAAAGAGTGTCTCATTTGAGAGCAATCTCGATTCCCATGCTGGCACTCCATCATCAACGCCAAAGTCTTCTTCGTCGCAGCGGACGATCCGTCCGAAGGCACACAGTTATACCAGTGGGCTGAAATTTCCAGTGGTCAAAGACCCAAATGACTCGTTGACCATCTTGCGGTACAGCCAAGATAATACAAACGGTCCCAAAAAAGGCACAGAATCATATCAGCCTCCCCCGAGCTCTCTCCCCTCTGCATCGACCACGGATGGCTCAGGGAAGGCTAGTGTACCTGGGAGCTCATCGGAGCTACATTCTTCTGCAACGGTAACCGGAGCGACCTCATTTGATCCACGTCTTGCCGAGACCTTGAAACTCGCCCACCAATCATTCAACTTTGCGCCAAACGCATCCCTCCGTTGCTTTGGATTACCTGGCCCATCTTTCGATGAGATAGTTTCGACAATTGGCGATTATGGACGTCCTTCGGTAGTATACCAAAAGGCATATTACAGCGACGAGACAGACGTACCTGAAAGGCCGCGAGAATATGGCGGAAGAGAATTTCGATTGGAAAGCAACACTATTCACTATTTACCTGAATTCGATCCAACAGCAGACTCGCCTGCAATGTTTGGTGAGCAGGCGCCGATAACTCTTGATCAAAATCGGCTGGAAAAGGCCGATCAACAGCTCAGAGAAACCTGCACAGCTAGGGTCTGGGAGTTTGCCCCTGTCCCACCGAGTCGTTCAGAGGTCATACAATGGTTTGATGACATGGAAGCCTCACGAAAATCGACGGAAAAGGAGTCAATCCAGCCCCGACCCGCTGAAGTGAAGCCCGATATGTGTTCTCAGATCGAAGGACCTACACAGAAGAACACACAAGGCTTCAAATACTCGCAGAAGGGAAAATCTACAAGTGTGGAACACCAAGCCCAGCACATGAGCACAATGAGCCTGGAAGTCCACGTGAACACACGTGGCACTCTCTTCCCCAATCCCGAAGAAGATGAGATTACTTGTATGTTTTGGTGCATCCAGTCTGAAGACGAAGAAGTGGAAGTCAACAGCCATCTTCCGGGCGTTCATGTTGGCATGATTTATCAGGGTGAAGGCGAGAGACCCGAAGCCAAAATAACCAAAGCTCTAAAACTCGATGTTGAGCATGAGCCCACAGAGTTGGATCTCATCAACCGCCTTGTCGACTTGGTTCGGTATCATGATCCAGACGTGATCACGGGTTACGAGGTCCACAATGCTTCTTGGGGATATGTCATTGAACGCGCTCGCAGAAAGTACGACTTCGACATTTGCGAAGAGCTTTCCAGGACCAAGTCTCAATCCCACGGAAGATTTGGGAAAGAGGCAGATAAATGGGGATTTGACCATTCATCCTCTGTTCGCATCACTGGTCGACACATGTTCAACATATGGCGCGCCATGAAAGGCGAACTCAATTTACTGCAATACACCATAGAAAATGTTGTATTCCATGTCCTCCATCGTCGGATCCCGCACTATTCACCCCAAGTCTTGACCCAATGGTATCAGAGTGGCAAGCCTCGCAACATGCTCAAAGTCGTGGACTACTTCTCGTCCCGTGTGCAGCTCAATCTCGAGATTCTCGAAGCCAATGAGCTAACTCCGAGAACCAGCGAGCAAGCGAGATTGCTTGGCATCGATTTCGCTTCTGTGATATCGCGAGGGTCTCAATTCAAAGTCGAATCGCTGATGTTCCGAATTGCAAAGCCTGAGAATTACCTCCTCGTATCACCAAGCAGGAAGCAAGTGGGACAACAGAACGCACTGGAGTGCTTACCTTTGGTCATGGAACCGCAAAGTGACTTTTATACTAGCCCTCTTCTGGTGTTGGACTTCCAATCACTGTACCCAAGTGTTATGATTGCGTACAACTACTGCTACTCTACATTCCTGGGTCGAGCAATGCACTGGCGTGGTCGAGACAAGATGGGATTCATGGACTACAAGCGGCAACCCAGAATCCTTGAGTTGCTGAAAGGCAAAGTCAACATCGCACCAAATGGCATGATGTATGCGAAACAGGAAGCGCGTCAATCCCTGCTAGCTAAAATGCTCACGGAGATTCTCGAGACTCGTGTGATGGTTAAGAACGGCATGAAAGCTGATAAGGACGACAAAGTACTACAGCGCCTTCTCAACAATCGACAATTGGCTCTCAAGCTAATTGCAAACGTTACATATGGCTATGCATCCGCCTCATTCTCCGGTCGAATGCCGTGCTCGGAGATTGCCGACAGCATCGTTCAGACTGGGCGTGAAACCCTCGAGAAAGCCATCGCATTCATCCACTCCGTCGAGAGATGGGGCGCCGAAGTAGTCTACGGTGATACAGACAGTCTGTTTGTTTACCTCAAAGGGCGAACTCGCGACCAAGCATTCGACATTGGCGAAGAAATTGCCAAAGCGGTTACCGACATGAACCCCCGGCCAATTAAGCTCAAATTCGAAAAAGTCTATCACCCCTGTGTCCTCCTAGCGAAGAAACGCTACGTCGGTTTCAAATACGAGCACCGCGATCAGAAAGAGCCAGAGTTCGACGCAAAGGGAATCGAGACCGTGCGACGAGACGGTACACCCGCCGAGCAAAAAATTGAGGAGAAAGCCCTAAAAACCCTCTTCCGCACCGCCGACCTCTCACAGGTGAAGTCTTACTTCCAGCGCCAATGTGCCAAGATCATGCAAGGCCGCGTCTCCATCCAAGACTTCTGTTTCGCGCGAGAAGTCCGCCTGGGCACATACTCAGACCGCGGACAGCTCCCCGCCGGCGCGATGATCAGCACGAAGCGCATGCTGGAAGATCCCCGGTCCGAGCCACAGACCGGTGAACGCGTGCCATACGTCGTTATCACAGGTGCACCGGGGTCAAGGCTGATTGACCGCTGCGTTGCGCCACAGACTCTCTTACGTGATGCCCAACTCGAGCTCGACGCTGAGTACTACATTACGAAGAATTTGATCCCGCCACTGGAGCGGATCTTCAATCTCGTCGGTGCGAATGTTCGTCAGTGGTACGATGAGATGCCGAAAGTGCAGCGCATCCGGCGGGTGGATGCTTCGGCACGGGTTGCTGGGTCTGTGGCTGGAGCGACGAGAAAGACACTCGAATCGTACATGCGTTCTTCGTCTTGTGTGGTTTGCCGTACAAAACTGAGTGATACTACTGTTCCTGTATGTGGGGAGTGCTTGCAGCAACCTCATATTGCGCTGCTGGATGTTGTCTCGAGGTTGCAGCGCGCTGAGAAGCGGGTTGTGGATTTGGAGGCTATTTGTCGGTCTTGCATGGGTGTCACAGCTGGTGATGAGGTCAGCTGTGACAGTATGGATTGCTCAATCTTTTATTCGCGCACGAGAGATGCCACTCATTGGAGGCATTTGCAAGCCACGCTGGACCCAGTGGTTGAGTTGTTGGAGCGCAAGGGCGACGAGGGTTTGGATTGGTGATTTAAACAGTCTGAGAGCGCCCAGGGATTGCACAAAATTGACCGGATGAGGATTCAGCTAAAGTGATGTTGGACAAACCTCATTCTAAAAGCCATCGCCTCCATGTCTGGCACACTCTAAATTAGGCCACTTTGCAGAGAATCAATGTAAACAGTTTCCCTCGCACCTTAAATTGTCATGATTCAAGGACGAGCCTACACCGGATCTTTTTATAGCAATTGAGATTTTCTCTCTGAATAAAGAATGCAGCATACCATCATACATCTCGATACTTACACAAAGCCACAGCAAGTCTGCTTGTAGATTTCTGCTACATAGCTCGGACCTTGCAATACCCATGCTGCCACAGAACATGACGTTCGTACAACATGGCAGTTCAAATCCTTCCGGCTCTTGATTGCTTGGTCCATCATGTCTCATGAACAGAAGTCTGTTAACAGAAGATCTGTTGAAGTTCAGTCAATGAGCCTCCAGCATAACGAGGCCCCACACCCAACCAACACACAGCCCATCGATGTACAATCAGCTGTTGATCATGTTGATCAAGGCGTCGAGGGCCGAAGGCTTGATGTCCCCGTCCTGCTCCACCATCTCATTGTCTTGCTCTCTGACTATGCTGTGAGAGTCTTCAACTTTCTCGCCCATATCCGGTTTAGGTGCAAAGCCCTCATTTGCGGCGCGGCTTCCGGCACGGCTGGTCAGCTGGACCCCTCCGGACTCAATATCTTCGTCACCGTCCGCCTCGTTTCCATCGCAAAAAACACCAGAGTCAACGTCTTCGGCCTGTCGGTTCATCATGTCTTGTACATCCTGCATGTCACGCATTCCGTCCATGACTTTTCTAGCATGAGTCCAGTCAAACATCGGAGCCACACTAGGTGGGAATGCAGCCTGTTCGTCCGTCTCAAGACCGGGAACCAAGACCGGGACTTGTACTCTTCCCATTGCGAGGTCTCCTAGAACTTCGGGAAACACCCAGGGAAAGGTGATGAGTGGGAGCTGCGTGGAGTTAACTATCACATTCTTCGGGTCTTCTCGTAAAATCTCCTCCTCCTGCTGAGCCTTCAGCGCAGCAGACATTTGCTCTTCTGTCACCCGGTACATGGCAAGGACCATTGCTGCAATATTGTCGGGCCCCGTCTTATCGTAGCAGCTTTGGCGGAACCCACGGCGCAATGTGCCAACTAGTCTTCCCAGATCTTCCTGTAAATTGTAGTCTCTCAGAGCACCACCATTGCGCAGGACAAAGGTCGACCAAACTTCAAACTCGGTGTTGATCTCATATTGAGCCATCACCTGGCGCATGCTCGTATCCCATTCGACTTTGAGATCCCGAGCGAAGTCCATGAAAACTTCACTTGCGCCGGTCAGCGGGCTTGTTAAGATCCGAGAGTCGAAAGGCATCGCTAGATTTGGCACAAAGTTAGGAGGGACGACAGCGTCGTACAATTGTCCAAGGATTTTGTGCGAGCGATAACTCGGCGTTTTGGACCGCTTCTCCATGAAGTGTGGCCATCTTTTTACCTTGAGATCCCGACCCATGATCGCCACACCCCCGGTCTTGTTATAATCCACTGCATCAGAATGAATTTTTGCAAGGCGGAGACATTTTTCAGACTGGACACCATCTCTCATTGTGTCAGCCCAAGCCATGTGGGCATGTGCAATCGTTGGCAGGCAGTCGTTCTTCATGTAAGTGACGAAGAAAGAAGTGATTTCGTCAACCGTCACATCGTGATCGACGTCGGGGGCTTTTTTGGACTTGAAATCCATACTCTGCCTGAACCATTCATTATCATCGGGGATCAGGTCAGGGTCCCAGATGACAAGATAATCGTCTCCATCTAGGTCTCCTCCGGAGCACATCCCCGAAACGTCCTGATCCCCGGTTTGTGGAAGGACGACTACATCTCGCAAATCATGAAGCTCGGGTTTATTGACCGCTCTGACAACACGGATGTCACCTGGATGGAGTGAGGGATTCCGAGCGAGAATACAAATACCCTCAATAATCTCGCGCTCGTCGCTTTGGTTATCGCGGCAGATCTGAACGAAAATCTCCGGCAGAGCATCCAGTCTCTCTTGGTATGTTCCACCTGACGCATCAGGGATCGAGCTTCTGAAATAGCCCTTCAAAGTACCCGTTTCATCAAGACAGCCAATCAGATTTGCCCCCTGATCTATGACAATTCTGGTTTTTTCTTTGAGATATTTCAAATGCCATGCCCTCCAGAGGCTAAGCATTGTGTTCATGAAAGGCTCATTGGTTCTCCGGAACCCATTACTCACCATCTTTGAGAGGGTGAGCGTGATTTGATTTTGGTCAACATACTTTCGGAGTAAGGCAATTGCCTTCGTATCACTGCTCATGGCTTCATAGAAGCTGCTCAACATGATTTCTTGCTTTTGGCGGAAGATGTGGTCTGGGATGCGCAGAGAACTAAGAACGATGATGATCTGTCGGTTCAAAACCGCCAATGAAAACTGAGACCAACGGATAATTTCAAGGCCGTTAAACGTCGCCTCAAACTTCTTTTGACTGGGCCGAAGATGCACTTCCTGGTGCTTGGGGTCTGGAGAAGTGACGAGCATCCCTTTCGACCCGCCGAGACGAAACTGATAAGCCGAAGGCGGTTTTCCATTAGAGGTCTTGATTCCATACTCCTCGGTCAGTAGCTGAGCAAGAAAAGGGGAGATCTTTCCAACGCCATCAGAGAACGTATATCCGTTGCGAACAATATCGTCAACGGTAACGGTCTTAACTGAGGATGTAGTGAACGCTCGAGTAGTCGAGAAACACTGGCCAAGTCTAGCAGCATACTTCGCAACGTTCCGGATATGGTTAAACTGCCCCATCCAGGCACGGATTGTTGCCGCTGAAATGCCTGCGTCTGAGGCAAAGAAATATGCTCCGTGTTCACGAAACTGGGAGTTCCCAAACGCAAGAAACTCATAGTGGCGAGTTCCAATGGTGATTCCATTTGCCAGTGTTCTCTTGACCCGAGTGTATATCTCGTCATTGGCATTCCCCATGGATGAGTTTATTCTGCCTTCAGTCTTCTCATCCGTGAAACGGACCCGGAGGAAACGACCTGCCTTGCGGCTGCTCGACCATTGCCGCACAACACGGTTGGAGATGTCCACCGATGGAGTATTGTAATAGATGGTGGTAGGGGTGATCCTTGCCGTGTGCATGTGGCAGCAATAGCTCGGGATCTTTGAGTTAGTAACGCCTTTGAAGAAGTTCAGCTCGAATATCTTCAAAGGATCAAGATATCTTTTCCTTTCAGTCGCCACAAATTCAAGTAACCTTCGGGCACGAGTATCTCCGAGACTCTTCAATTTTTGGATAAACTGCTGGTTCATGGTATACTCGGAGAGATACCCTTGTGACATGCAAACTTCCAGCTGATATCGCACCTCGAAGGAAAGATGTTCGTAGGTCTTGTTTTCAAGGTCTTCCAGCAAGGCAGAAGCCTTCGTAGACCCTGACTCCGAAACGTCTATCCATTGCCACACGGGAATAGGTCGGTCTGGACTCTCCGTGAAGTGGTATCCATCTTTGATAGCAATATTGTAGTCTCGAAAAATATCACGGATTTGAATGAGAGGGTCGGCGGGGTGTGTGAGGACTTTGTTGTTGCTGTTCTGTAGGATTTGGGGAGCCAGGGTGATCTTGAAAACATTCCATCGCCCTAAGACGAGGTGAAAATTAGCTGCTGAAGTTCTGGGGATTATGGAGAGCATACGTACCAAGATCAATAACCTGGCCCGTTCTCTTTAGGTTGGTGGTAGCATTTTTTTGCGAGCTTGGATTATGGGTCACCGTGGTTTGTCGATACCAGGAGTCTTCCTCCCTCCAGGTTCGAGAACCATTAAAAGTAATGTGCGGGTTTTTCACTTTACGGTGGCATATAACCGAGTCATCAAGGACTATGAGAAGGGAAGTCTGTTGTGTAGCATCGTCGAATGTTTTAAACACCTCGGAAAGTTGTAGAAACGTGATCTTGAGCCGATAATCATGCTGGATCAAATCTGCCCGCGCCGGCCCTGATCCACGAATACCTACTTTGAAGTAAAGAAACAAGCATTTCGATTGCAAGCTGACCACACATCTTGGTTGAGTGGCGGCCGGGAAGTTCTGCATGAAATGCAGTGTAGACTCATTCAGCAGAACGCCAATGTCCACCTGCATGGTTCTCAGCTCCTGAGAATGGTCAGCGACGCAAATCACGTCGTTATTGGGTATCCCACTTACAGTCTCGATAGGCAGACGTATTTTTGGCCGGACTGGACTAGGCACGGTCTCAGTATGAGATTGTGACAGTGAAAGTTCGAGGAGGTGGAAGCCTCCGCTTCGGAGCTTGATGCGATAAGGCTCAAAAATCCAGGCGATGTCTTTCGGCGGGGGGCTAACATTTGTCAGTGATATTCATCAAAGCGCAGCGAGAAGACGCAAACCGGAATCGCACACGCCCTCTCCCTGCTGGCTCTCCCTGGTCATTATCCCAAAGATCAATGCACGAGATGTTTCCTTCTTTGCTCATGTTATCGTAGATATCATGTGTATTGACCTCCCTAGGAACGTTGAGTAGATCAACAGCCACGGTGTCCCATGATTTCCAGGCTTGCCATTGCAAGTGAGGCGCAATCGCTTTCTGCGGTCCCCGACGCTTAAAGGGTCCCATTTTTGCGGAGGAACACGACGATCGTGGAGTGGAAGATGGTCAGAGTTGGAGCGACGTGCAGCTTCCCTTTACACGTGCTGAATCTGTTGGTGGCTGGAAAGGAAGGAAGGTTGGAGAAAAAGAAAAGAGTGACTGGCACTGGTAAGCTTGTAATTTCGATCAACTAGTCACCTTTGTATCAGCAGAGGCATGCAAAGTCAGGGGACAAATGATGCAAGGACGCTTGTGACCTCCTTTGGTGTGTATCTGAGATAGTAAAAATCAGGATCATTCAATCTCAAGCACACTCACATCAAAGTGAGGGTAACATGAAACCCTCAAATAAAGTTGAGCATGAAATTGCCTAGTAGTGATTGAATGGATCAGAAAACATCGTAGGTAAGTTTCAAACCACTGAGAGGGAGGCTTCAAGATGTCAGTAATATTGTAAAGAAAGGTATGTCGGAGAGTTGGGGATGTAAAGGATCTATAGCTGCAAGAGAGTCAATATATAAGAACGTTGGGGCCATATCTCTAGGTCAGACCCTCTAACCCAGCAACCTTGGAAGGGTATGCCGATAGAACGAAAGTAAGATATAAAAAGCTATGTGGGACTTCTCATGACTCAATCACTTCTGATGTATAGATATTGTGCCTAGGGTAGGTAGTAAGTAGGAGCAGATATTCAGTGAAAGTCAAACGATTGGTATCTAAAGAATAAAGTCACATAGAAGAGAAAGTCATAAGCGAGGATAGCCATTCTCAGCCAATTGCATGATCACTGCCCCTCAGCACGTTCATTCGAGCCCGTGAAAGCAGTGCCGGAAAAGAGGAATTCTTTCGAGAACTCAAGATCCATATCAAGATCCAGATTCTGGAGACGATTCTCCGCAACATTCTCCTGGGCCGGAGTATCCGGCACCGCGTCAACCTGACTACTCTTCCACCCACTGCTCGACGGGATCTTGGCCGGGCTGTTTCCAGCAGCAGCCGCTAGTGGCCTGCGAGCAGAGCGAGATGTAGCCGGTGGACTCTTTCGAATCATAGTCGCGGACGATGCACTGGGGGCACGGGCTGCCGTTGTTTTGTGATTGCTCCTTGGGCGTTTAGGTGTGGGTTCCGTGGGCATGTATTGAGAAGACTGTGGCTGTGTCTCATCTTCATCTTCATCCTCATCCTCGCTGATTGGTTGAGGGGACCTTGCTGCCGGCGTTTGGTAGGGGTTGGACCTGGTGCGTTGATGCTTGGGGGTTGATTCTGGAGCGTTTGACGAGAAGCCCATCACGCCCATCAGACGCCCGATGTGCTGTTGCGCTTCTGAGAACTCTCGGGCCTTGGCGGCGCGCTCGTCGCGCAAAGCTTGTACCTAAGATGGGTATTAGCGTTGATTGTTCTGAGCTTCAGACAATGCTCTTTACCTTTCTCTCCAAGTGGTGGATACGTTTGTCCTTTGACTGGGCATCGTTTGCGGCCTCAAGGGCGGCAGCTTGCATATCCGCTTGCAAACGCTGGTTTTCCGCTTTTTGTTTTGATATCTGGGTGAGTTCGTGCATTAGCTTATTTGAACTGCCAACGTAGGAAGGGCATGCCATACTTGATTGGCGGTCCGAGAAGCTTGATTTTCTGCTTTTCGGTTAAGCTTCTCAATCTCGGCCTGTGACCTCACTTCAGACTGCTGGAAGGCAGATTGGAGCTTCTCGTGTTCACTAGCTTGTTGTTCAACCTTGAAAAGTAAGCAAGATATCACTTTATCGCGCAGCAATAGGAAGCTTACGGAAGTTTCCAAAGACCCGAGTTCCTTTCGCAGGTCTTGTTCCCTGGCAAGTAGGAGACTGATCTGATCATCCTTTTGAGCAGTAAGACCTACAAGGTCACTGATTCTGTCTTCATTCTCCGCATTCATGAGCCTGAATCGCTCTAAGCTTTGCGTAGCACCAGCAAGCTCGAGCTCCAAAGATCCCGACGTCTCACGGGCGTTTGAATTCTCCTCCGAGGCTTGCGCAAGGGTTTGACATGTCTGCTCATACATTGATCTCATCTTGACCAACTCTTCCTGAAGTTCTTCAACCTGGTCATCTTTCGCAGTGATAGTAGCCATTAGCTCTAATTCCTTGGAGCGGTTCTTATCTCTCTCCGAGACAATGGCGTTTTCGGAGCTAGTTTGCTGCTCCTGGAGGTCAAACCGCAGAGTCTCAATGGATCTCATCAGATCGTCGCGATGAGAATATTGTTCTTGAAGAAGTTGCTCTAGGCGGGTGTGCTCATGGCCGAATTCGGTCAGATGCTCGGAGGACGTTCTTCGCGCAGCGTCCACTTCATCGCTCTTTTCTTTCAATTCCTTGATCAACTCCTCAGTTCGCTCTCTGAGGTGCCGGGCTTCTAGTGCATATCGGTCGCGCTCCTCTTCGACGATCCGTATAGGCCCTTCCACATCCTCACAGCGTCGTTCGAGATCAAAGCAAGTCTCTTCAATCTTTCTCATCATGTTGTCATGGTGGGTTTGGGCATTCTGCATAAACACATTTGTGATGCCAGCGCGCCAATTCCGATCAATACGAGTGGATGACGATCTGCTGGTTTCGGGCAAGCTAAAGCTGCCTCCATGGCTTGCGGGACATGTTGTGGAGAACCCACAGCGAACATCGGGCAAGGAATCTTCCACTTTGACAAGGAAAGATTCCATCACAATGTCACCTCCATTTTGTTTCAAAGAGAAGGTGTTGTAGAGCGCCATGAGGGATAAGAACAGCCGGTTTTGCATCATGCATAATTGAGATGTGCATATGGCCGAATTACTGCATTGACTCTCGCTGGGTGTTCGGGGGAAATGCTCGATGGTCTCCCCTACAGCCTGCCTGAGAGGATTAATCGAGCTATTTAGATTGAACCCGGTTGCTTCCAAGTCTAGCTCCCGTAAGCCAGCCAGGATCAAGTGGGCCAATCGTAGGGTTGCTAATGATTGCATGTTCTTCCATTCACTTCCCTTGAAAGTGCCCAGCACAAATGCAACAATCTCACGAGTAGCAGGTTCTCCCGTGGCCTATTAATGTTAGAGAATGTAAAGAAAGAAGCTGTTGGATACTCACAGCTAATGAGCCTGCAAGACGTGTGATGAGCTGTGGTGAAATCAACTCCAATGTTTCATGGCTGTCATTCGACAGAAGGGTCCGAAGGCCAAGCCCTCGTAGCTGGGACGATAGAGACTGCGCTGGAAGAAGAGCGTGCAAAAAGACAATAGCCTAGACGCACCAGTTAGTGCTGATCAGTAAGAACAATGATACCAAACCAACCATCTTTTGAATTCCATGATCCAAGCCATCCTTCGCAGCCTTTTCGCATAGCTTGGAGATCTTCGCGGAGTTGCTTGCGACCCAAGCCTGCTTCTGTGCAGGTTCAATGGCACCAGCAATATCAATTGCGAGCCGAATGCTAGTAGCAGCATCCTGCGGCCCCAGGTTACAACTTGACGAGCAAGCCAGAATGACCCGCAGTACGACCAAATCCAGGGTCTTGATACCTCGTTTGGGGCCGAAGAAGTGCCTAATGTTAAGCAGCCACTGGCGTTCTGATCCGTGTTGATTCTGTGGCTCTGCAAGTCGTGTCGTGGCGATCTGGGCAAATGTGGATAAGCAAAGTATGTTCCCCATATGGTCATCTAGGTTGCGTAGCGTTTTAGTGAATTCGGTCTGGAGCCCAGACATGATTTCCGTCGGTATATCATCCAGGACTCGCGGTGAGCCTTTCAGTCCGGCGATAAGTGCGTGGATTGGCGCCACAGTATCAGCGCATGGGTTGGCTACCATCGCGCTCACCAGCTTGGAGATGAAGACAGCGATGCGGACAGGTGGCACGAAGCCCTCTGGAAGAGGTGATTTGAAGAAAGCAATACATGCCGAGTCGTACTGGTATGTTTAGCTCATGCCCACCGACTAAGACACTCGAGTTGAGGTTGTGGGTTAGCACTCACGTTAGACTCGCCATTGACGGCCTTTTCAAGGAACTTGTCTAATATGACCGGGTGACGCTCTAAAATGGCATCCCGTACAGCCCGTGTAGAGGCTATATCGAATTAGCCAAACTTGACTGCGAAGTAAGGATATTTCGCTTCATACCAAATGCCGCGACCAAAGGCACGGCGACGCGCGATCGCGATAAGGCGTCGACCAAAACATCGGCAACTAGACCGACCTGACAAGGCTTACACAACGCCCATGATTCAATCGATGACAGGCAGCCTTGCTGCAACAGATCATAGAGACCCTGGTATATGCTCATTAGTATCATATGGATCTATTGTCAACCATGGTGAGCTTACCTGTAGTGAGGGCACGTAAGGCGCGGTGACCACGCGCTCCACCTCGCGCACCAGTTGAGCAAGTTGCTCCATTGACTCAAATTGGCATAAGAAATGTCTTTTTTGGTTCTCTATGATCGTCTGTTGGGCGCTTGCGTCTTTGTTGCGAGGTGAAGGTTCGTAGCTGGTTGCCCCATCAACAAAATCCAAACCTGTGGACTCTACACCAATGAGATCACTACGTTTCCTTTTCAGCGTCAATATACCAATTGGTTTCGATATGTATGATATGTCTATTCCAGTGAATTTAGTAAACATTTAATCTCAATAGCAAAACAAGAGAAAGTGTGCAAACACAACTTTGGCTGTACTCGAGTGCGGAGTACGGGGTAGTATGAGGGAGGTATAGCCTCGGCTTTTAGCCGATGACCTCTCCCACGACCCCCACGTTCTTTCAAGCTTCTCCGCACTTCAGATCCGACAATGATGAGGCGGAATTAATCCCTGGGGAGCTTATCTTTTTGCTATTCGGCCGAATGTCCGAAGTCGCTGGCACTTAAGACCGGTCACACCATGCAGGTCCGCAATGTCGAAAAGGGCTAGTTGTTTCCATTCTTCCTCGACAATTTGAAAGCTCGAGAATCTTCTTCGGCTGCTTCCACAATTCAATTCATTTTCTCCCTGGAAATGCGACTAGCCAGAGTTTCTCGGGTCATCCGCGCCCCTTGCGCCCCTTGGTCCGGGATCTCATGCCGCCAGGCTATTCTGGCGAACAATGTGAGATTAAACAGCTCCACTGCAAGTGGAAAGACCAAAGAGGAGAGCGGTTCGTCTTCAAATACCTCCTCCAATGCTCCCCCATCACCCTTTTGGACCCCTACCAAAGCTCTCCTCATCTCCGCGTTTGCTGCGGGGTTAGGCTACGGCTATGCTTCGTACAACACCACACCGGCAAAGCCATCCACGCCCCAATATGGTTCGACGAAGGACTTTGATCGAGTAAGTCTCTCAATAGTATTCAAAATTATAGCTGTAACTGGTTTCATTAGGCCATTGCCGATCTTAGAGCCCTCCTTGGCGAAGACTCCGTCAGCACCGAAGAAGACGAGCTCGAGCACCACGGCTACTCGGAGTGGTCAAGCCTGAACGCAGAAAGACTCCCGACAGCAATTGCCTACCCCAAGACGACAGAAGATGTCTCTGAGATCGCCAAGATCTGCACAAAATACCGCATGCCCATGATCCCATACTCGGGCGGTTCAAGTCTGGAAGCCAACTTCTCCGCTCCACACGGTGGTCTGACTATAGACTTTGCGTTCATGAACAAAATCCTAGACATCCACCCAGACGATATGGATATCGTGGTTCAGCCGTCCATTCAATGGATGAGCCTCAACGAGCAAATCAAAGATACAGGCCTTTTCTTCCCCGTTGACCCTGGTCCGTCCGCCATGATTGGCGGTATGGTTGGAACGAACTGCAGCGGGACAAACGCTGTTCGCTACGGTACCATGAAAGACTGGGTGATCAACCTGACTGTTGTCCTTGCCGACGGAAGGATTATCAAAACGCGGAGGCGTCCGCGCAAGACTTCCGCCGGTTACAACATGACTGGATTGTTTGTTGGATCTGAGGGCACATTGGGCATTGTTACCGAGGCTACGTTGAAGCTGGCGCCGTTGCCAGAACAGACTCGCGTTGGAGTTGTTGCATTCCCGACCATTCGAGATGCCGCTTCTACTGCCATGAAGCTGATCAAGAAGGGTGTCCCCGTGCAGTGTATGGAAATCATGGATGATGTTCAAATGGATGTCATCAACCGGGCTGGAGGCACTGGTCGCTCTTGGAAGGTCTCACCGACACTCTTCTTCAAGTTTTCTGGAACTGTTGCTGGTGTCGCGGATAGTATCAATTTGACAACACAGATTGCGCAGTCAAATAAGGCCGAATCGTTCGAATTCGCTCGTACCGAGCAGGAGGCTCATAGCTTGTGGTCTGCGCGAAAGCAATCGCTTTGGAGCATGATGGCATTGCGGAAGGAGGGGTCAGAGGTCTGGTCGACGGATGTGTCTGTGCCAATCTCAAGATTGCCTGATATTATCGGTAAGAATGCTATCTCCTGGCTTCACTGTGCAATCTAACGAAGATGACAGAAATTTCCAAGAAAGAGCTCGTCGATCTGGGCTTGTTTGCCAGTATTCTCGGCCATATCGGTGATGGAAATTTCCACGCGAGCATCATGTATGATCGCAATGATCCTTCTGAGCGTGCCCGTGTCGAGAAGGTAGTATATGACATGGTCGATCGAGGACTAGACATGGAAGGCTCTTGCACGGTATGTCAGACTCCATGTGAATCAATGGTATTCGCTAATTCGATATAACAGGGTGAGCATGGTGTAGGTCTTGGCAAGAAAGGATCACTGAAAAAGGAAGTCGGGCCTGAAACCATTGAAATCATGCGTGGTGTCAAGCGCTCCATGGATCCCAACTGGTTGCTGAATCCTGGCAAGATTTTTGATCACGATGACGATGGAAAGGGTCCAGGTCATTAACTTCATTCAGAATTAAAAATATACTAGGCAACCAAGCGCGATCGAACTAGGGATACTATGGTAGGAACATGTGTTCCAATATCAAGGCCTCTGAGCGATGCTCCTGCATGTTCCACCATCCATTGAGTGTTTCCTGGATGCTCGTTTTTTAGCCAATGAACATGATTTATTCCTGCGTCTTCCATACTCAGCCTCTTGGTAGGGTAGATTGTTACCTGCTATCCTTCTGGGAACCTTTAACCCTCATACTTGTGAAAGACTTGGACCGATGAAATGTTGTTACAAGCCAGTGCAAACAAGTCAAACCCCGTTAGAGTTCAAGAAAGATCGACCAATCGGGGAGCAGCAAACTTTTCTCCGGAGATGAGTCAGCGCGGGGCTGCCCAATTGGCCAGCGACATCGCTGCGATGAAATGCTTCAACTCCGTCACCAACGAAGTGGTAAGTGCAATTGATGTTTCCTATTGCTGCGCGAGTATGAAAGCCGTTGTTTATGTTTACTCTTGGGCTTGACGAGGCGATGAAGGTGGCAGAGCCTCCTACATCTGCATGCGGGGCTCTGGCAACGCTTTGACTCATTCAAGACTCAGACAAGATATTGCACGATTTGATACTTTGCTGCCCATCTCCTGAATTGACATTGATCAATATTTGTCTATCTAGCTTCGATTTGGTTTATTTGCTAACTTGCATAGATTGATACCCATATCTATAAAAGGTTCAAAATGTCTCCTACATTTGCTAAAAAGAAGTGCGGTATGCTATTCAGCAATTTCCTTATGCATTGATCAACTCTAACGGAGTAAAGGTGTCCTCGGTGCCACTGGCTCGGTGGGCCAACGCTTCATTTTGCTGCTGGCAGACCACCCTTTCCTTGAGCTGCAAGCCGTGGGTGCTTCTGCGCGCTCATCCAACAAGAAGTACAAGGATGCCGTGAACTGGAAGCAGTCTTCTCCTATGTCTGAGAAGCTCAGCAACCTTGTCCTGCGTGACTGCAAAGCCGAGCTGTTCTCTGACTGTGACCTTGTCTTCTCTGGATTGAACAGTGATATTGCTGGAGAGACCGGTACGTGATATATCAAAAATTTGATTCATTGGTTAACTTACTAACCCTCCACAGAGATGGCATTCATCAAGGCAGAGATCCCTGTCTTCTCTAACGCGAAGAACTTCCGCAAGGACCCTATGGTGCCTTTGGTCGTTCCTACTGTCAACCCCCAACATTTGGACCTCATCCCTCACCAGCGTGAGCAGTACGGTCTCAAGAAGGGCTTCCTGGTTTGCAACTCCAACTGTGCTGTCATTGGAATTGTCATTCCTTTCGCCGCTCTCCAAGCCAAGTTTGGCCCCGTTGAGGAAGTTGAGGTCTTCACCGAACAAGCTGTCTCCGGCGCCGGTTACCCTGGTGTCCCCACCATGGATATCCTCGACAACGTCATCCCCTACATCAGCGGCGAGGAGGACAAGCTCGAGAACGAGGCCCAAAAGATTCTTGGCTCATTGAACGCCAGCGCCACCGGATTCGATGAACAGACTGGCCTTCGCATCGGTGCCACATGCACCCGTGTTGGTGTCACTGACGGCCACATGGCATTTGTCTCTCTGCGTTTCAAGAACCGTCAGACCCCCAGCGCTGAGCAAGTCGTCGAGGCTCTGCGGGAATACCAGTCCGAGGCCCAGAAGCTGGGTGCGCCCTCCGCGCCTGAGCCCGCGATCAAGGTCTTTGATGAGCCCGACCGCCCCCAGCCCCGTCTGGACCGCAACATCTCCGGTGGTTACACCGTCAGTGTTGGGCGAGTTCGTGAGGGTGCTCCTGGAGGTCACTTCGATATCCGATTCGCTGCTCTCTCCCACAACACCGTGATTGGAGCTGCTGGATCATCCATCCTCAACGCCGAGGTTGCTGTGATCAAGGGATACATTTAAATACCAAAAGATAGAATTATCAACGAATGTGAATAGAGACATGATTAGTACAATTCGGAGTCACCACATGAATTTCCCAAAAAGGAAATGGGCGGATACTTTAGCCTTGGTGCCTGATATAAAAGGCACAAATTAAGGCCGAAATAAGCGATTGGACCCACTCCACTAGGGCTCGTCAACGATTCAGTCACATGACCCCACTGATCCCCATCTCCTAGATTTCTGGACAGTCCTCTCTCATTGCGATACTCGACCAACTCACCAACCGTCGACCAAATCAGTCAAAATGCGTGGCCCGTAAGTGTCAATCCATTTCTCGACCATCACTCCAGCGCGCTGGATCCTGCAACTCGTCACACAGTGACTTCAGACATCCTGTCGCTGCGAGCGAAATTGGGAAAATTTTTCAGCTTGTGCATCATCACTAACATGAATTGCTTCACAGCGGAAAGCACCAGAAGCGCCTTAGCGCGCCCAGCCACTGGCTCCTGGACAAGATGTCCGGAACCTACGCTCCCAAGGCCTCCCCCGGTCCCCACAAGCTGCGCGACTGCCTTCCCCTGATCGTCTTCATCCGCAACCGTCTCAAGTACGCCCTGAACGGTCGTGAGGTCAAGGCCATCCTGATGCAGCGTCTGGTCAAGGTTGACGGCAAGGTCCGCACCGACACCACCTTCCCCTCCGGATTCATGGACGTCATCTCCCTCGAGAAGACCGGCGAGCACTTCCGTCTCATCTACGACACCAAGGGTCGCTTCACCGTCCACCGCATCCAGGCTGAGGAGGCTGAGTTCAAGCTCTGCAAGGTCAAGCGCGTTCAGCTCGGCAAGGGCGGGATCCCATTCTTGGTTACGCACGATGCGCGAACGTGAGTTCCACACTCCACAAGTTCCGTGTCATTCAGTCGTTGGACCAGGCTTTGGTTGATCGGCGGAGGACAAAGAACTTGGAACATTTGTTCCAACTGTTCCATATCTCTGGACACAGTAAGAACGCTTCTATCAGAACATGGTTTTGCTAACTTGCGTGCGCTCTACAGCATCCGTTACCCCGACCCCGCTATCAAGGTCAACGACACCGTCAAGGTCGACCTTGCCACTGGCAAGATTGTTGACTTCGTCAAGTTCGACTCCGGTGTTGTCATCATGGCCACTGGTGGTCGTAACATGGGTCGTGTTGGTGTCGTCACTCACCGTGAGCGCCACGACGGTGGTTTCAACATCGTCCACGTCAAGGGTATGTCTTCCGTTACTTGATCTTACATCATAATCGTGTTCTAACAATCATTCTAGACGCCATTGACAACGTCTTCGCCACCCGTGAGTCCAACGTCTTCGTCATTGGACAGGAGAAGCCTTGGGTTTCCCTCCCCAAGGGCAAGGGTGTCAAGCTCTCCATCTCTGAGGAGCGTGACCGCCGCCGTGCCCACGCTCTCGCCAACTAAATGTCTCATGACATTGGTGAGATAGTGGTCGGTAAAAACAAGCACTAAAAAACAGTAGCTGGGAAACGGCGTTGTCTGCTTAGTGGGCTTGGATGCAATGTTCTCGTAGATTCTGAACCATAGCAAACAAAGCAGGGACGGGCTAACCGCCGCGTTTCCAAGTGATATGATACCATTTGACGATACCTCTGTTCAATTATTTTAATGACCGTATTCACTTCATTTTCCTTGATCTTCAATGCTGCGCAGGCCGGTGATAGCTTCTCAATTGTCCAAGCTCCCTTTTGATTGGCTGTCACCGTTCTCCAATGTCACCGGCAGCGGGCGTATTGTCTCTGCTCGAGGAAGATCAATGGAACCGTAGGCGATTTTTGGAGCGCTTGATGCCGCCTAACCCAACTTCATATGCATTGAAAACTGTCAATTCCGCCTTCCCGCTCTGTGGGCCACAGCCACCTCTAGACTAGTCGACGCACATGCTCAAGCGCCACCCATCCAGAGCTGAGGTCCAAATGTCGGTAAATGAACAACACTACTTGCGTGGATACACATCTCAATCAAGGTACATCGCCTTGTCATCTCCGGCGAAACCCGTTAGTCAGATCCACACCAGCCACGCGCCGCCTGGCGTCCCTCGGACGAACCAATGGCACTCGTATAAACCTTCAGTGGGTTCACAACGCTATGCACCGTGCGCCTTCTGTCCTCCGTGGCCGTGCTCGAATCCAAGGAGACGGCAAGGTTTTCATCCTGCCAGGCTAGGAACGATCAACGAGACCTAAGCCCTGGTAGTCTGCTCTACAATTGACAACCACCCGCTCGAACATAAACCTTGAAGAAAGGTCGGTGTTTAGCTTTGCCTCCACGAACCCCGTGCGCACCATATAGGGACGATCATTCTTTGAAGAAGCAGCTCCGACGATCAGTATTTTACGAGACGGCTTTTTTGATCAAGGTATTTGCCAGCCAATGACCTTGATCGTGGAGAACGCTTGGCTCAATCTGTATGTTGTACCTAGCTCGGGCCCCGATATCGATATCAATACTCCGTACAACTCAAGGTGCAATCTCCGATCCAACCTTCGGAAATGCCCTTCGTGATCGATGGATACATCCGATCTCGGCAGATGGGCAATTGGAGACATGACATCGGGAATATCGAATAAATGGCCCTATGCCGTACGTACTAGTTCTCTGAGATCAATATATATCACAGATGGTGACGACCTCACCAGAGCCGAGGGCACACCTTAGACTACTTTAGTCAAAAGATAGTATATCGAAGGAGAGAACAGACCAATAAAAGTTTCAGAGGAAATGAATCTTCTCTGGTATCAGAAAATGGAGAGACCAGTCATCCCCCGATCCCAATATTGGCCCGTGATTGCAGAAAGAGCCGAGTCGATCGCGTTCGATCAGCGTATGAGCATGAGGGACACTAACCATCAGACCGGCAATTTAGGGAGTAGTATCTCTCTCAAGTGGGCGCGTGGCCAATTCGCTTGGAGAACTTATTTCCCCCAAAGACGGGCCAAAGGTGACATACATAACTCCGTATATCAAACCAAAAAATAGTGATGATATCTTATCAGTCACTCCGTGCTTCATATATGACCCGTGGCTACTCCAGAATAGTATGTCGGAACAAGTTCTTGAGGATAAAGGTAAAAAAGGTGAAGGGGGGAGGGAGTGGGGAAAGTGAATCTGATAGATCCAAACTCACCCCGAGAGCTGGGCCGTCCCACGTTCGCACCAACGCTAGGAAAAGGACTCCGTGTCCCTAACCGGTCTGCTGGGATATGCACGACAACACATTGCAGGATTCCTGACCCATCATTTGATGCAACGTGGGGAGCAACAAACGTCCTTTGAATCCTTTGAATCCTTTGCATCATTCGCAGGGATGGGCGGTAGGGGGTCTCAAGAGGCAAGGCAATGGGGTAAGGGGGCAATCCCAGGACTTTTGTGATACCATATGTGCGACACTTACATTGTCCCGTTGGCTGTAACACTGCAATCTGGGTGGCTGGCTCAAGGTATGTCAACTTGCACCGTTAGTTCCTGATCTGGCATGTTAGCATATGTGTCATGGGTATGGGGGGTCCACCTTATACTGCCGTTCAAAGGCATTGTGCTGCACTGTCTATGATCATCCCTGTGGCGTATTATTGATACATGGCATTCAAATAAACTGTGCATCAGGCCTCAAGTCACGGGTAGCGATCGGATATCAATATCCGGGTGTAATCATGGAGTGCTCCGTACTCCATTTACCCGATGTCTTGCGACTCTTTATAGGAACGATCGAGCAATTTCCTGTTGCGGGGGCTCCAAGTTTATTTCCAAGGTTTTGGTATTGATATGTACGCTGTGTATGGTGTACCCCGTACGGAGCACTAAGATGCTGCATGATCATTTGTTAACCCCGAGGCCATAGAAATGACGAGATAAAAAAGATCAGGGATAAAAGTTACACTTTCGCAGAGGATATATTCGAATCCCCACACAAAACCTAGGAACGCGTGGATCTACCGAGATCCGTTACCCAATTCCAAGGAGCTGGGTCGCGGTAGGAATTCTCCCCCTTGATGTTTTCACGTGGCTCAAATGACGTTGTTTTGATGCGGAGGTGATTGGACTGGAGAACTTGACCGTGAAGTTATTAGCGCCTGTAACGGTCGTACTTTGTATGGAGTAAGTACGCAGTACGGAGTATACTTGGAACTGTTGGAGTACAGTGACCACCTTGTGGAAAGGAGCTCAAAACAACATTCTCGAGCATTCGATCATGTGCCATTATTTCTGACGGTGATTCTAGCGGTGTGCGCTTGTTCCTGTTGTAAGGCCGTGATGTTTGTGCTCGGGAAAATCATAGCCCCTATTGGAGAGGGCAAAAACGCTAATATTACTGTCTATCATGATATAATTATGATATAACACACGTCCTCCCTTCAGGCAAGGCAATTTAATAACTGATTATCAATATCGGTCACAAAGTTCAATATTAGTGCCTGATTGCTTAGCCTTGCCTCAAAAGTTTGGAAAGCTGCCTAGAGTCCCCAGCGGTGTACTCCGTGTGCTTTGTACGTAGATTCTCTCCGAATGACCATCGGGTAGTAAGGATTGGCATTGACGGGAAGACCAATTGCAGACTTCCATGAAATCCATAGATCGATGTCAAAGAAAGAAGCCGGGAATGTTCCAAGGTTCCAAGGCGTTCCAAGATTCAAGGAACTCCACCCCCTAACGACTCCGTAAACAACCACTCTCAAATTGTGGAATTTTTTTTCTTTTTCTTTTGTCCCTCGGGTTTTGGGGAGTTGATCATCGGGCTCCACTAGAGTTAGTGGCACTCACTTACTCCGTATATTAGCGTCTTTTCTGGTTGATATAGAGACTGGGTCTGGACCATTGTTATGAAGTCATGTACTGTACAAGTATGTATGCACACCTGTAGATGTCGAGCAGGTCATGCCCGCATTTGGTCCACATTCTAAACGACTTTTTACACAATGTATTATCACCCTGACCGACTTATCAGAAATTAAAACTTCTAGAACTCTTGATCCCCCCCGTAGAGGCTGACCGCCTCTCAACTAATTCGTGTAGCAACTGGGAAAAAAAAAATTATCATATTGCCAACTGGTCCGAGTCTCAATCCTGCAGCCCAACGGGCTGCGGGTTCGGCATAGAACGGAATCAGAATGTCCCATCAACCAGCAAAGAAGCCTTTGTCGCAGATCTCATTTCTTCGCTGGTGGAGTTCGCCAGCTTCTCCCCGATCTGGGGCTGGAATGGAGTATCCCATGATGCTCCATGTCGATCATTACTCCCTTTCTCCGAAGGCTCCTCCCGTCGGGGTTCTCAGTACTCCGTAGTCTGGGCTGGGATAATCGCTCTCCGTTGTCAATGTGCCTAGTCAAGTTCCTTGCCATCGTACCCTCGTGATGTGTCGAACGTGGCGGAACGGTAATAGCAGGGATACCGAAAACACATAGGTCGAAACCAATGACTTCCACCTTTCCACATATTCTGTTTACTATCCCTGCACCATTTGTTTCATTAATATCGCCGTCTCGTTCTCGTCTGCTTTCCAAGGTTGTCTCTCGCCGCGTCTATCATATGCCCCTTATCTTTGTCCCATAATTACTTTATTCAAGCGCCGTGTTACATGAGCGCCAACGTGTACTTTGCCTAATGTGTTGGCCTTGATTCCCTGGCCAGTAATCAGGTAAATGCAATTGATCAGCCCAGAAGATTTGTCCTTTGAATCACCCCCCGAAAAAAAGTCACCCTCGAGAAAGCGCAATATCACCCCCGGTCGTGGGCAGCACCCATTGAAAAAAGCAATCGTCGATTCAATCCATCATGATGGCCTCGGACTCGGGAAATTCCCACCAGATCTTTCAAACCGCCGCTGAGATCCCAGCCTTCTTCGTCTCGTATCGCTGGTGGGAGGATGAAGCAACAACCGTCTTCTGGGCTTTCGACATTCAAGAAATTAGCCGAATCATTCGATTCGGACTCTTTCGTGATGAAAACTTCCCGAGGACTTCTCTTCGCTCTCGGAATGCAGACACTATCGATACTTTCTTGATTGCACTGTCAGAGCCCCATGAGTACCAGCTTCTTGACAGTCTCTCCCATATGCAGAGAGTGGAGGAAATTCTACGTCGGTCAAGTATCCCACCCTTCGAGGCCGTTCCCTGGAGTTGGTTCCCGCCACAGTCAAGTCCGACGTTGGATGCGTTGGAGATTGCCATCGCAATTGAGAATGAAAGCCATCTTCATTTCAGCCAAATTGAATTCGAGGAGTTTGTTCGTGCTGCTCTTGGCTACAATGCCTTATTTGTCGACTGGTTCTTACAACAACATACGGCTCTTTATCTCATTCTCCTAAATCATCTGCAAGCCCACCCGGAAGACATTCCGCTCTACTCCAATGTGGAAAAGGTATGAGCCCCCCCAAAGAAAAGAAAAGAAAAGAAAAAAAGCCGGCAGCCCTTTCCAGACTCCAGACTGACCTCAATTAGCACCTGCGGTCGCGGAGTCCCTTTGCTCACCGAGCGTTGCTCCGTAGTCTTTTGACTGTCGCACCTGGTAGCAACCGTGACATGCCTAATCCTAACACACCTGGATTTGGGTTCATCGCAGGCCCAATCCAGGAAATGTTCCAGGATCAGCCTGGACGACTTAGTGACATGCTCAAGATGCTGAGTGTTCTGGCAATTCGTTTTCGCCGACAGTATGCTCATGCTACGGATATGAATTGGAAAGCTCCGTTCGATACCTCGACTGCCTTCTTGGAGGATTGTCTCTTGTATCCATCGCCAATGGACTTGGCACTCAATATGAAAGGTCTGGATGAACAGCATTTCACCGAAATCAACCGACAGAAGCTGGTAGCAGATAATGCTACCGTGAGACAATTGTTTGTACATTGGCGGACTTTGAGTATCTCCGTTTGGGAATGTTGCTGCGCCCTTCCAGACCTGACCCCATATCTTCAAGAATGTTCACAAGTGAGTATTTACCTGAAGCCGTCGAGAAAAAAAACCAACTTTAAAGCATTAAGAATGATCTGACTGTGTGATTTCAGAGTTTACTAGCAACAAGAAACTATCACTCTCTCATGGCCATGGTTAGTGGCCTTCGCAACTATTCCATCTCCACGATGCGCACCGGCCTGGACAACGGCACAGCAGCAACAGTCGCCTTTGAGGCCCTCGTCACTTCCGAGGTTGCATCTCTCACGAGCCCGACTGAGAACTATGTCAACTACCGGCGACATTACAAAAAATACCCTGGAATTCCCTTTCTGATCCCCCACATCCGCGATTTCAAACACAACGGCGATGCCGGGCTTGAACCGGTTTTACAGTTCCTGCAGAGGAATTAATAAGCCCGCATACAGGACGATCAAATCAAAGCTTACGACTGAGGTCGCTCGCTAGCTTCGGTAACAGAATAAAAAAAAAGGGAGTGTGCTTGGCTTGCTTTGGCTGCAGATGGCGAGACCGCCCCACGTTGACGGGGGGCTGAAGACTTCTCGCCGTGCCTACTTGTCTCAGAGCAGCTGATGCATTGATTGTGCGTTTTTCTTGGCAGCAGTACTCTGTACGAAGTACTAGGGGGCCGATTGACACTGCCTATGACTTGAAATGCTCGATTTCATGACCTGTATTTCTATCTATATACCCATGCTAGTATCGGGCAGCATCAGGGAGTTTGGCGTTGCCTACTAATATGAATCTTATGTTTTTATTTTTGGTGATGATCCAAGGGCCAATGCATTGTAGTCTGAGATGAGAACTCCTATTGGATCCCATGCAGTTAGGCCCTGTGTCAACTGTCTAGACACGGCCCAGAGTAGCGCATATGGTCACAGTCACAGTCCACGCAACCCCTCTTTCTTAGAGGCCACTCAAAGAGCCTGCGAATCAGCTCACATCCACTGCATCCGAAAAGCCGCTCCAGGCGATAGCATGATTGAAGTCGGGATTACAAATATGCGGTCTCATGCAGGTCGGATTGGAGGTCCCTGTGCCACATTTTCTATTTGCTTTTTTTCTGTTCTAATTCAGAGAGGCAGGGTACGGATTGGTCCAACCAATAAAAACACAAAACGCTTCACTGCTGCTTTGCAGCCGCCTTAGGCGCCTTCGCATATCCAAATGCTCCCCATAGATATGCAATCCGATTGACGAACAAGAAGGCTGTCACCCCAATGTTACCCCAGGTCAGGCTGTTCCATGCTCCAACGTTCACGAATGCATCCCAGCCCATCGCCAAGTATGTGGCATACACATGGCCTACGTCTGCGATGGCTAGCCCAACCAGGTAGTTGCGCAGAACTTTGGGCTCTGTTGTGGCATGGCACACTCCAACACCGACCAGGAATAAGAGTGAATACAGGTTACCAAGCTGGTAGGCCAAAGCGACGCTGCTTGGATGTAAGGTGGCCGGCGCGGGAGTGGTGGGGGTCTGGCCTGTGATGAAGCCTTGAAGATCATAAAGAGGGTAAGCACTACCTAGAGCTCTATTAGAGTTGATGGTGTCAGTGGTATATATGAGTGAGGTAGGAAGCTTGCGATTCATGTCCATACAGTGAGAGAGGCTCGAGAATGCCAAAGAGTATGTGTGGCCATGTTGGGAAGATAGTGGGCATTTTGAAGTTCTGTAAGTCCCAACGTTATTCTCTGTGTCTTATTGCTCGCGTATTGGTTCTGATTGCAATGCGCTCGGAGCGGTCTGCATAAACCCGAAGTTGGCTTCATGTACTCCGTACTCCGTGCCTGATACCTTGATATGGAAGACTTACTGTTGTCAGATACACCGCTCGGAGATGAATAGGAATTGAATGGGCAATGAAGGCAAGGGGTAGAGACTCAATTGACCATCTCAAAAAATATGGAGAAGTCAAATAATGAGCCAGGGGAGATCAACAGAACAGTCATGGAGAGGCTGACGTATTGCCCGAACCCACTTTACTGGCACGGGTCACCGCCCGTAGACTCCCGTTATCATCTTCTTATCGAATGCTTCATCTTCTGCAAATTACTATGGACGCGACAATGCCCGGGATGATAAACCCATAAGAGCCGATTGGAAATGGAGTCGTCCAATGCCTTAAGGCCTCTTGATGAATCAGCGCTCCGCGAACTACCTCAACTTTCTCTGCGTATCGCTCCCCTCCGAGAACCGGTTTCCTCCCGAACCCTAAGTGTCCCGTCGCCCCTCGAGCCAAATGCCAGCGGAGCAAGGGAAACAAACAGTATACCTACGAACGGCAATAGTGGCGAGGCAGCAAATGCAAAGGCCGGTCTCCCGACAGTGACGGAGTTCCTCAATGCAGCGCGGACCAAGACAACCGAGACGCCAGCAGACTCACCGTCGAGCGTGGAACGGCCGCCGAGGCCTATCCTCCCCGCTTTTGTGAATTTGCGTGCCTTGGAAAAGATCCCGTTCTCCACGTCGTTCGATGATGGCGCTGCTCAAGCGACCCGAAAGCGTCGCCGCTTAGAACACCAGGCGGATTCTTTCAGCGAGCATCTACAACTGCCCATTCCGCAAGCCCAGAAGGAGCAACGGCCTCCGCCATTTGGTCCATTTGCCATTCTTAATGGACTGAATGAGCCCCCGCCGAACGCTGCCTTCCTACCTCCCATCGAGGTTGGGTCTAACATTTCCCAGCTTCTGACCAAACCCTCGGGAGGCGATGCAGATATTGATGCGGGGGTCCCAACCCCAGGCCAGGGCACCTCGATGGATGTTCAGCTTGCGGAGAAACGTGGTGCTCGCATTGAAGAAATGTTGCGCACATCACTCAGTGTGGATGAAAATGATGCTCGTAACTATAACGATGAAAGATTGCAAAATACTAACACAGCCGAGCCTAATAAAATCGCCCTATTACCCCGTGAAGCAGATCCATCCCAATCCCACAGTCCTTTGCCCACCGCCCCCAAGGAAGATGCACCCATTTCGCCGAAAACTCGAGGCCGATCTCGCAAAAACTTGAGAAGATGGACCGACGAAGAGACTACTACTTTACTTCGGGGTGTGGTCAAATGTGGGATTGGAAATTGGACTGCTATATTGGCACAACCTGAATTGGAGTTTAACCAAAGGACCGCATCTAATCTCAAGGACAGGTACGGAACATGCTCTTCCAAGTCAATTTTTGGTCTCATGCTGATATCACCCCACCAGGTTCCGAGTACTATGTCCATGGGCGTACCGGTAAGCAATCAAACCAACTTCTCCCATTCCACTTATCATGGTTTACTTACCCGCATGACAGTGCATCCGACCCCAACGAAGCTGCAAGACAACTACACGACACCCTCACTAACGCCCTACTCAACGCCAAATCAGGAGGCCCCGATGAATTGCCCACCAAGATGCAAATGCCCCGACTCAACCGCACCGAATCAGGAGGTTCCGACTCTACAACTGCGTCGGGAAGCCCATCAGTCTTCTCCCGCCCCTCTTCAACCCCAAGTACAATCGCTTCTACACCCGACTCCGAATACGGCAATGTCATGTCACCCTCATCAGGCAACAGTGCACCTGCCCTATCAGCTCAATCCCGCTCAACACTAGAATCCCTCGGCATTCCAGAGCCCCACGTTGCGCAGACCAAACGTCGCTCAAGACGCCCCTTCACCACCGCAGAAGATGAAGCCTTGCTGAAGGGCTACGCCGTCCACGGCTTTCAATGGACACTGATCCAACAAGATCCAAGATTGAACCTCAGTCATCGCAAAGCAACTGATCTGCGTGACAGGTTCAGAACCAAGTTTCCCCACGCCTATCGCGACGGTGGCTCTGTGAGCGGCAAAGCCATGACAAGCCAGAGTCCGAGCCAAACGGACTCTGCAGGCACATCCACACCTCGTCTGAATCTCGCCAATGTTAGCGAAAACTCTTCTAGTAAGGGTCACACGACCCCGAATCTAGCTACCCCTCGCCATGCGAGGGAAGGTCAACCTCCTACTCCTTCTCAGTCTAATCCTACCCAGATTGACCCGGCGTTCCTGCCCCCACCCCATCATGGATTTTTGGACCAGTCCATGTCTCTCCCAGCCGCGGGAGGGCTTTCCTTCTCCTTGGATGAAGGCTCTGGTCCGGCTTCTTCGGCGGTCGAGGCGCCGTGGGGAGACAACACACTTGCTCCGATGACTTGGGATGAATTGACCTAAGCATGGAGCAGCGTTCTCATTGATGCTATGATGTGAACGCATGCTACGACCTCGACTTTTTTCTCGGTATCACTTTGTAATGTTTCTCTTTTCTTGTTTTCCAGCCCTTTCCCCTTTTCGGTATTTCTTGGATTACTACTGTCTCTTGTCATCAGCTTTCTTGCTCTGGTTTGTTTGTCATTGATCTATATCCCGCAGTACACGATGGTCTTTGCTTATTTATCTTTACAAAAACCAAAAGTTATTTACACATTCTAACAATTGTTCATTGTAATTGGTATTGGACATTCAATAGGCTATTCCCTATGCTGCTAGCGGGGGGAATAGCAATAGATTCGGATATCAAACAAGCGTAAGTGAAATCATGTAACGGCCATCTCATAGCTTACAGTCGCGGGTAAATTTTGATCGCAAGAAGTCTGCCGTATAAAGGATATGTAAGATGGAGAGAGAGATGAGGACGGGAACAAAAGAAGATGGGAGGCGGATGCCTAGGGATGACTCGATGCGAGAATCAAATCATTCCCCAACAATGAAGCACGCTGAATAAAGACTAAGCTGACAGGAGTCCTGAGATCTACCACGCATTGCGGTCCCAGTTGGGATCTACACATCTAGATTAGCACTGTTCGACATAAATGTAGGCGGGGGAGCCGGCTTACCCTGTATGAAGCTTGCCAGAACTTTGCTTCCGGTTTGCAGGAGGGGGTGTCCAGCGACAATCTGAAGGAAGCGCTGGAGACCTTCCCGACGGTGCTCAATGACATCGTCACTGAACCGGTTCGTGAACACTTTGCCTGGCAGCGGGGGTATCGTGACGCGCGTGCTCTCGCGCTCTAGGATATCGCGGAAGTACTCGAAGTCAGAGTACCGACGGCGCACGACCGAGTGTTTCAGCTTGAAGGCGGGGATGTTGGTGCTGCACACGATCTCATACGATGTGTACATGTTCCGCGATGTGCCATGGGTTTGGGGGTTGCGAACCTTGATTCGGCTTGTCAGTCTACTATTTGGAGTGGGTAATGGGGGTAATGACGAGGTTTGGGTGGGGATGTCCGGGGTTTGCTAAGGTGGGATGTGGGCACGAGACTTGAAGCGAATGGAGGTGGGGAAGTCGAGTGAACAGTTCGCATTAGGCTTGCGAAATGGACTTACTTCAATCTCGAGGAAGTTCTCTGGGGGTCCGTAGATCTCCTCAAATGACTGCTGTCGTGACTCTGGGACGGACTGCATGATGGTGGGGTTGAGTTGGTGAGGGCGGGGAATGGAGCAGGGTGATGCGAAAGCGAGACTTGTTCTTCAAGCAGGCAGATGCGACCGCGAGTCAGGTATTCGGTATTCGCTTGGACAACTTCGTCTCGTGCTATTTGCCTGGTCTTGAACACAGACAGCATACGAAGCCCGAGCTCGGAACTTGGAGAGTAATAGTGGGGCCTCGGGACAATTGTTAGTCCGCCATTTTAGCTTATCTCTCAACGTCTTCCTTCTATTGCGATAGTTGGAATTGACACATTCTTCCTGAAACTTGAGATTTATTAATGCCCCTGAGATCCACATATACCATGAAATGATCGAAAATTGAATACATACAATTTGAACACTCAGGTACCTTGCTCCAAGTTGTGATAAAAAAAAACTCAAGGTCCAAGGATAGCTGGTCAGTGTTGCCTATGCGCTTCCCCCAGCCTTTGTTTCGTTGAAACTCTCCCATCAATTGGTGAGACTCGGTATCTGTATCTAATTATCAGAAAGCTATGTAATTTAGCTGGTCAATTCAACTCCGTGATGGTTTGAACATTGCCCAGGGGTAGAAGGGTTGCCATTGCCAAACATAGATATGCCATAGTGTAAGCACTGCACAACATCCATGGATGCATATGTAGGCAGCAAATGGAAATAACTCCATAGAATTATACCTAGTAAGCTGGCCAATTTATGAGAAGGCATACTGTATCTCTTAATCACAGTTCCCGTGGTGTAGATGTTCCCAAAGTCCTGGCTGGATGGGCTTGAATAAGAGTTGCTTGCCACCACGTGATCGACCTGCCAACTCAATGAGTTTAACAAACTTTCAAAAGCATTTAACTGCCCACAGACACTCGAGATTGAATCGACTTGAAAATTCCACTACGAAACAGCAACATTGGGTGTGTTGTATGGTAAGAGTTCGATTTGTTCGGCCCGGAGTTAAGCTCGGAGTTAATAACAACGCTAGTCCTGAATAGGATCAACAAAGCGGTGACCTCACTTCAAGTGGAACTTATCTACGATAAGCATTTACTCTTCTCCAGTTTCCCCCACAGCGACACCATGAGCCCGAGTCCCGAAAGACGAGGTTCCCCCGAAGAGTCGGAGGCAATCTGGCATCCTGCACACGAATGGCTAGAAGAATCTGAGTCTGAATCCGATCCCGATCCCGATTACGACCCCACCCACGACAACGACAACGACAATGACCTCGACAACGAATGGGAGATACACGGTACGATTGCAGATCAGTCGATGGACCCTCTGACTCTAGATGGTAAAATCCTCTGAACTTGCACATTCAGGTTCGTGACTTTTTTTAGGAGACTAACACCTTTATCAGACAGTCCTAGCATCAACATCGGTAACATTGAGATCGAGCTCACAGGCGCGGGTTTGGATGGCGAAAGAACACGTCGTATGTCGCGCGGCCGATTGCCCCATGGGATGATGGCTAACTAGGTACAGTTCCGACTACCCGAATATTAGAATTGCTTTCCGAGACTGGATTACAAAACCTGCTTCAATTCCGACAACCAGAAGGCTGGCCGTTTGGCTCCGAAGAAGACCCGAGACAACCAAGCATCGATGAAGATGATAGTGATGACCAAGATAGTTTCATTCCCATGCTACGTCGTCACGTAAGAGCAGCCAGAAGACGACCCCCCGCCGAATTGCCTCCTGTTCCCAACCCAGAAGGCAAGAAATTGATGAGTGAAGGCCATTTTGGAACTGATCAATACTATGTCGATCGTCTCAAGCAGCGCAAGAAGTCGCTGGCGACGAATCTCATGTGGCGCGAACTGGGTGTCGACCCCCACGGAGTACGCAAACGTGCGAACCAATACATTTCACAGGTAAGATCACAGTCTCAACGACTACATGCAATTCAATTGCCGTCTTGGACTAACAATTGCTGTTTTCTTTGTTGATTAGAGCTTGATTCCAGGCTCTGCTGCAGATAGAATCATTCATTACGACTCCCGAAGCTACTCAGGTCAATTCTCGGACGATGGCAATTTCTTCTTTTGTTGTGCACAAGACTTCAAAGTTCGGATGTACGACACTTCGGATCCTTACGACTGGAAATATTACAAAACCGTCGATTATCCATTCGGCCAGTGGACCATCACTGATGCGACTCTGAGTCCCGACAACCGGTTTCTGGTTTACAGCTCAATACGCAGTCAAGCATACATGGCGATGACAGATCCAGAAGACGACTCGGATCCCACTCTCCTCGATTTTTCAGCCCCACAAGGGCGAAGGCAACGTGGGAGCTCGCATTTTGGAGTACGTATACTTACCTGTACAAATTTGGAATTCACTAACAATCCTTGAACAGATTTGGTCTCTCCGATTTTCAGGAGATGGACGTGAGGTCGTCGCGGGTACCTCGGAAGACTCGGTCATCGTTTATGACATAGAAACGAAGCAACCCGTTCTCAATCTACGTGATCGACATGAGCACCATGTCAACGCAGTCTGCTACGGTGATACATCGTCACCACATATTTTATACTCTGGGTCCGATGACACGACAATCCGAGTTTGGGATCGACGATCTATGGGCGACGGGCGTGAAGCCGGAGCCTTCATGGGCCACACCGAAGGATTGACATATGTTGATAGCAAAGGCGACGGTCGATATGTTTTGTCCAACAGCAAGGACCAGACAATGAAGCTTTGGGACTTGCGCAAGATGATGACCTCGGCTGACGTGGAGGATTTCGACCCTCATGGCTACATGACTGAATTCGACTACCGATTCGAACCGTATCCAGAGGAATACCGCCAAAACCCAAAGAACGACTGCTCTGTTGTTACATACAGGGGTCATCGTGTGCTCAAGACGTTGATCCGATGCCACTTCTCGCCACCAGACAGCACAAACTCCCGCTATGTGTATAGCGGTAGCGAGGATGGAAAGGTCTACGTTTGGAACATGGATGCTACACTTGCGGATACAATTGACGTCAGGGAAGCAACTGTCGACTCACGGCCCCGTGAACCAGAGGCATACGCAACGGCCTATGAGATGAGTGGAGAGATGGTATGGAGGACTTGTGTTCGAGATGCAAGCTGGCACCCGAACGCCCCAGTTTTAGCGGGTGAGTATTATATTTTGTCTGTTCAAGTCCCATTGCTGACACAGTCTATAGCAACTTCCTGGAATGGTTGGGGATTGTCCTCTGGAACCTGCACTGTGCACTCATGGAATGGGGGTGCCGCCACTGACGAAGGCAGCCCACCTCTAGGCAAGAATTATGATGATAAGTTGCGTCCCATTCCCGAGTTCAACAATTACCGTGAAAACGCCCCGTTTAATCGTCCTCGGCGACCACTTCGCAGTCGGCCTGTTCGCCGATGGGCTATGAACGATCAGGCTGAACCCGAGATATGGTGAAGACTGCAGCAAATTTTAGGCTGGCTGCGGCCTGAGAATGGTGAGTTTCAAGGTTTTGAGGTTCGCAGTTGTTCTCATTTTGGCGGGAGGTTTATGCCTCCGTACATTTGCTGAATGACGATGTACCTACCTTAAAGAAATGACAATTTCCAGATACAGAGATGAAGATGAAGATTTTGTTTAGGCGGCGTTTCAGTTCAGAGGATTTGCGCGACTACCAGGACGAGGAATGTGTGCAGGTTGTCAATTAACTGAGAATAGGGTCTGTATTGATACAGGATGCGTAAACGGTGGTATCTCATGGATTGCGATGTCAGACGGTCTCATCGCATGTCCAAATAAAAGAGCCAAGTGGCAGCGCTCGCCATGGCATTTCAAAACATAGAAACAAAAGTGCTCAGCAGCACATCAGGTGAGCGAGTCGGGTGCTGATTGAGTGTCCACAGGTGGGTTCGAGCTCGGCGATGCGAGTCATCGGAGGCACATTCACGACGATGTCATCAGGTAAGGTGCGCAACGTTACGCCCACAATGCGCCGGTATTATCGTCGTCGTCGTCGCCCCACGCCAAGACACGCCTCCATGCCACTAACTCTCTCTGTCGCTTCCTCCTCCTCCTTCATAGGTTTCTCTAATCCCCCAGGCTTGTGGCAGGAGTTCAAGACACCTTGGATGCATAGATCCCTTATGCGCCACCGACCAGCACTTGGTTGACGGGAATGTGGACTGCAGAAGCATATTAGCACGTGAATACGTGTTATCGGATACCGCGGACAAAGATCCGGGCCTTGGAAGTCATACTCAGCTTGACGAAGTAGCCAATGGCTCCCTATTCACGATGTCAGCCTGTGTCTTGCACACTCGATCCAGGGGTCGCCAGTATGATACTCACCATGACGAGGAAACCCATGCCAACAGCTTGGCTGATCTTGATGAATTCGCGCTTATCGGCTGCGCTGAATGTCAGTATTCCAGAAATTCGCATGATGAATGCCGATCAACATACGCTTGGTGCAACGGCGAACAAATTGAGTGCCTTCCCGGACAAAGTCCTTGGGAATATCGGCAAGTTCTTGGAAAGTCTCGGACATTTTTATGAATTGGAGTCGAAGAGGAAGAGGACTGGGTGGTGCAAAAAAGGATGTCAAGGAGTCAATGAGAACAGGTGGTTCTAATGGCGTTTCTGGGCCCGGGGTGGCTCGGATCATGTGATTTTCCGTCGCTGAGCTCATCGCAACACGCCGAGGTCATCGCCTCAGTGTTCCGCATCGTTCTATCTCGCCAGCTCTGGGAATTCTGCCAGTACTTATCGTCCGCAGCAACGGATTGTTCTGGTCTTACCGATACTGACTGCGCGCCTGCCCAGTTCATCTCGCGCGCATCGTTCACAGCACTATTTGAACCCATCCTCTCTGTCTCTTCCTTCTTCCCTCTTTCTTCTTCTTCCCCTTCACGCATCCCCATTCTGTGAATTCTCTGCCTTTCTGTGGCAGATATACTGCGTGTTCCATTCATCCTTTCTCTTATTTCATCTGTACCCGAGGTTCTCGGACCCATCTTCCTCTGCGTCGCTTCGCGCAAGTCTTGTCTCCATCGGAAGCATCTTACTTGATCCGCCTCGGATTTGTACGTATTGTCAGGCCTTGCTCCTCATGTCTGTTCCTCCTTTGTGCTCTCAAGGACCCTGGCCAATCTGCTTTCGTCTAATGTCTCTGCGAGAACTGAGGCACGCGAGCTCTCAGGACCTACTTCGAGAATTGCGCTTTCCCTGCACCTGATCTTCACACTGTCCATGACCATTTACCATGTTGTCTTCAATGCTAATTGATGGCGTGTGTTTTCCAGAAGTGAATCTCTCACCTTGGCTTGCTGATAAGCGGAAAGAAGAAGAAGATCAAGGGCCTGTACATACTGGCCTAATCGAACAATATTCATCTTCAGTCATTGATATTGAATACTAATCTAGTTCGCAATGGCGACCGACGACGATAACTTCGATATTGACATCTACGGCGATGGTACTTACAGTGCCAATGACGCCACTACCCAGGATGACTCTGAGCTTGCCCTCGATGTTCCTGGAAACTTGCCTGCCTCCAGCTCCGGAGCAATTGACCGGTCGGATCCCCAGTCTTCGAATGTTACCGATCAGGGTCAAGCTCAGCGCCCCGCTCCCCAAGCTCAGCCCACCCAGCCCACCCAGCCCACTCAGCAGGTGAACTCTACCTCTGGCCCTCAGCAGCAAGCCTCAACCCACGCTTTGCCTGCTCCTCCTCAGGGCACCAAGAGAAAGGAAATCGACGAACCCTCCGACCCTTCCGCAACCAATGCATTGCAACTCGGCGAGCTTGCTTGGTGGAAAACCGAAGAAGATGTGCGCGGCACGATCAACCAGGCCGGCGTCGAAAGCGAGCTCAAGGAACTGACCTTCAGCGAGCACAAGGTCAATGGAAAGAGCAAGGGGTAAGAAAAACAGTGTCATACGGACTGATAAATTACATCTAAACTAACATTCGTTGTTCAACAGTCAAGTCTACGTCAAGTTCACCACCCCTCAGGCTGCTACCGCTGCCAAGCATGCCATTGAGCAGACTGGCGAGCCAGGTCGCAAGCATACCGCGATTTACGCCAACCCCAACGTGAACCCTTACAAGACTTTGCCCAAGGACACGCCCATGCGCGCTGGTCCCAACGCTCGTGGTGGCTACCAGGGCGGTTCCAACTTCGGCCACAACAACGCTGGCAACTTCCGTGGTGGACGCGGCAACTACAACAACAACCGTGGCAACTACAACAACTACAACAACCGTGGTGGCCACAACAACTTCAACCAAATGCCATTCCAGGGCAACCCCAACCCCATGATGGGTAACTTCACCGGTGGTATGGGCGGCATGCCTAACTACGGGTTCAACAACCGCGGTGGCCACATGATGGGCAACCCGATGCGTGGCGGTCCTGGCAACCGTGGTCGTGGCGGCAACCACATGGGAGGCCACAACATGATGCCGATGGGTATGAACCCCGCAATGAACGCAATGGGCGGCATGGGCCCAATGAACATGATGCAAGGAATGGGAGCGAACATGGGTGGCAATATGGCCATGCCGGGTGAGTCATCTACGCTATAAATTACCACTTCTCTGATCTAACCTCTCCGCACAGGTCAACCACCCTTCCAGGGCGGCCCCGCCCAGCCCTTCAACCAGGGCCAAGGCCAGAACCCCGGTGCCTTCTTCAACGGGCACCAGGGTGGCCCTGGCTCTAACCCTCACGGCGCCAAGCGCAGCCGTCAGGATTAGGAGCCCCGTCGCGCCGAGCTGGGGTGGCTCCCCGGGGAAGGGACTCGGCCGTTGCTTGCCCGTCGCCTGGGCCGTTTGAGATTTTGCGTTGCTTTGGCACGTGGGAAGGGCTACTGAAGCCGAATCTTCATAGCCATCGGCGCAAAGGACAGGTTCATCAATGGAGTTAATTTATTTCTTTTTCGTTATTTTTCGCGCTCTCGAATGCTGTAGTTATTAATCTAGAGCACAGCCAGGTATACCATCGTCATACCTGTAGATTCTTTTACGTCACTTGCCCGTTCCAAGGTTATTTTGGCGTCAAGGTCGAGTATTCAAAAATTACGAAAAGAATTCCGGTAGCCCGTATACAATCATATAAGATTCGGAACGCTGTCGCCCAGGTGGGCGACTTTATGCAATAGTAGGTAATGCCCCACGTAACCGTGAAAGGGGGGGCTACTTGTAGGTAAGACCATCTGGCTAGGGTACACCTGTGAACACTGGCAGGGCACGTAGGGCTACTGTAGTGCCAATCTCCCTACCGAACTCAAGTGAATCGTCACCCACTACGCCGGCTTCGCCAGGGCTGGACGTCACTTGACCGTCACTTGGCCGTCACTTACCCGTTACAGATCCGTACGGAGTACTATGGTTGATAATAATAGTTAACGAAGGTAGTTCTAGAGAGTGTATGTTGAATTGATCCATCAAATAGCTTGCTGGATATTCACTCGCACGTCACTTGAACGTCACTTAGCCGTCGACCATAAACAGATCTGTACGGAGTACTATGATCGATAATGATAGTTAACGAAGGTAGTTCTAGAGAGTGTATGTTGAATTGATCCATCAAATAGCTTGCTGGATATTCACTCGGACGTCACTTGACTGTCACTCAGCCGTAACATAGCCGCTGGCTATAAACAGATCTATACTATGATTAATATTAACAGTGAATGAAGGTAGTTCTAGAGGGTGTGTACCTATAGACTCGATCTATCAAGTAGCTTGCTGGGCGTCACTTGGATGTGATTTGACCGTCGCTTGGCCATTGTCTATACATGGAGTGGTTTTGTTTTCAGCAATGATAATAGGTATCTAAAAGCGAGTAGTGTCATCTGAAAAGAGGGGGCTGTGGGCAAACTTATGCATATGTTGGATAAAAGAGCTATTGGATGAAACGAGTTGTATATGGGAGAAAGCTTTTCTCTGATTCTGATTCTGCTCTCAAAATGTCTCAACTTTCACTGTGAGACACTTCCTCCACTTCTAAAGCAGGCGACTGACTGGGTAGCAAATACAAAAGCATAGTAGACCAACATGTGGGCTACTATCACGTTGAACCATCTCAAATGATCTACAACATAGCCAACCTAGTTCTGTCCAACACAACATGCTGCGTTTGGCATTGTCGCAGCTTGCAGGTGATGAGTCTAAGCCAATTGATTGAGTGTAAGAATGTTAGGTCAAAAGAAGGTTGAGTAGAGCGAGATAAATGAGATCAATGGCAGTGGGCAACAAGGCAAATTGTGGTTCTCTAAGAGTGCCAATATCAATTTTACATATTTTTTTTTTGTCTGACTGAGGGTGTGTGGCATGCCAATATCTTGACCCATCCTGTTACAGTTTAGAAATAATTTAAATCCTTCTTTTTCTTGGAGACTTCTTCACAAATTGTGATGTAGATTGTTTCAAGGTTGGCTGTAAGGCTTCGCTAGATTCATGGTCGAAGATGCCTTGGCGCAGATCAGAGAGGATCAAAAGCTTCTGCTGGTGGGGTGCCTTCAGCCCTGAAGCCAAGTCCAGATCATACTCTCCAGGGGTCTTTAGGAAATCCATAGTAGCCAATCAATCCACCTAAAATAAACATTAGACACAATACAAAAACCATGGAATGAGGATGGAAGGGTTCCAATCATTTCAAAATTTCAATATGTACAAAGTAGAAGAATATGGTGTCCATGTGGGGCATAAAAAAGCCCACTACGCTCTCATATCAATTGAGCTGGCTGTCCCGCTTCTTAAAAAGACTCGTATCCAACGGAAGGCGATCTCCCAGCCAGGTTGCGCGTTGAGTATGGTTACGTTCGTCCTCCGACTCCACAGTGTTGGGGTGGAGCAACGCGCTCAAAGGACCGCGATTGATAACCAACCAGGGAACAAAAGCGCCAAATTGAGCGGGTGTGAACAGGTTCACCTCGAACATTGCCACTGGGTGAGGTCCAATAGGTCGGTCCCAGAAGCGATAGATTCGTAGCTCGGGGACTATTCTTGTCAGCGGTAGATCAGATAAGATGGGGTGAGGCCTGGTAAGATGACTCCACTCCCAGATCCCACCTGGGCAACAAGAGAGTGCTCTTACATTCTCGTCTAATGCGTTCATGTAGTGCCTGTGCGAATTTGACTTGCTCGGGGTTATTCTGATCAAAAGTATTAGTGCGAAGGGTCCTTCAAGTCTCACGGGAGTAGGCGTGCGATACTTGGAAATGGTAAATGTGAATGTCGAAGCCTCCCTCCCGACCCTTGGAAAGAGGATCGGGGAATTCGTCGTATGCTTTGCTCAGAACTCCATGCTGTGGGTTCTTCAATGATTTACCATCCTCGTTCCGCTCTCTGTGGGGTATTAGGATAGGTCGTATCGTGCACTTGGGCATGTGAGGGAGTACTTACTCGGACAATGGCTCTGGGTTCTCGTAAACTTCGAGCGGAGATGGGTACTTATAGGCAAATGGGTCTGACATGGTTGTGGTTGAGGTGGATAGAAGAGAACACGATAATGATGCTGGATATATCACCGAAGTGTAGGTATATAGTGAATAAGGAAGGTCGACGTCGTCCAAGAGTTTCAAGGTTAAGCAATCAGTTTTGAGGACAGCAGGGTAATCAACATTTATATAGCTTGGAAAGCCAATTAACAATTGATTTGTCGTCAGCAAACGTCTTTCTATCACCATCTGTCGCTCGGAGTCGGCGGAATTCCGCTCTGACAAAGCCGCGGAACGCCACTATCGGCTTAAGTAGTCACTAAACTCAGCCCTGGAAGACTTATAGCAACGGACATTGGGGAAGCACAGGGTTACTCTGCTACGTTGCGGTGTTTGATAGATCCTCAATTATGTGTTGCATTTGGATATGTAATAAACCAGTGTTTCCAAGGTTGGTAGTAATGCGAAAATAGAATATGCATGGTATCATAAAGCCTTCCAACGCCAATAACAAAGAATAGAGTCGGACTACCACGCAGCCCGAATATCAATGTGCCCATCATCGTTCACGAACTTTCCTCGATCCCACTCTCGTCCCTCGCCCTTATTCGACCATTGCACGTCCTCCGGCTTCCCCTCTCCATCTGCCCCAGTGAAGGCGGCATTATTCTTCCATTGGTGAATCGCCTCCTCGTTGATTCCTGCTGCACGTAGCCTCTCCTCTCCCTTCTGTTTCCAACGCGTGCGGTCGCGAAGCGCTTCCAGCGCCATATCCCAATCGTCGTCTTTGGTCATGAGCCCCGCAACGGGACGGCGCGAGGGTTCGCCCTCGGGATGCATGTTTTCCTCCAAATGTACATCGGTCGTCGGATCGTAGCCGGGTGCAAAATGAGCATCTATGTTACTCATATTGGGTTTGTAGGCGCCTCGTCCTCGTGAGCGGATAGGGGCTTCGTTTTTTCGGGAGGCAGTGGCCCAACGAGGTCTTCGAGGGGATCCGATTCGTCACCCGTCTCAGTGATGATTGCTTTTGGAGGCGGCGGGCTTCGGTCACGTCGAGTAGATTCAGGGCGGGAGCGACGTGGCGATGGGTCTACACGTCTTGAAGACCGAGACTTGCGACGTTCCTCAGAACGAGAACGTGAGCGCGAACGTGAACGCTTGTAGCGGTCGGATTGGCGGTCTGTTCTTCGATGGCGATGGCGATGGTGATCGGTACTTCGATCCCTGCGTGGCGAACGGCTGCGGGATTGCGATTTGGAGTAGGATCGGTCACGACGTCGCCTGGTATGCTCTCGATCTCGATCTCGATCTCTTTCCCTGCGATCGTTCCTCGCCGTCTCATGCTCTCGTGACTCCCGTCGATAGTCATCGCGTTCCCTGTGTCGGTGTTCGCCCTTCTCATGGTATTCGTCTCTTCGATGGCGTCGAGTTCGGTCGCGTTCGGTGGGAGAGCGACTTCGATATCTTCTCCGGTGTGAGCGATGATGATCATCTTTATCATCACCCCGCCGCTCATTTCGCCTATCAGATCTTCCAGCTGTACGGTCTGTCGAAGTCGAAGCTGAAGCACCTGATGCCTGTGCTTTCATCTGACGCATGCGCTCTCGCGCTTCCCTCTCTTCCTTCTGTTTGAGAGCAGTATTATGGCTATCGGTCACTTTTATAAGGTTGCGCAGGAAGCGAGTGTTGGGTTTGGGGGCGTTGCTCGCTGGCCTGTAGCTACCAGTCAACATTGTATCTTGTGTTATACATGATGTGGATTGAAAACCGACTTTGACGCAGGCATCAGAGCACTCAGACCCTGAGAGGAGTATTTCAAAGAGCTCTCTTTGGCCTCTTTGGCGAGAAGCTGCGCAACATATTCGTCGTCCATTGTGTCGCAGATTGCGGGGTTTCAGAGGCAGTCAGGGAGAATTAGCACGGTGCCCGATGCAGATAATCAAATAAGAACTGTAGTATTCAAAGCCATTCCATGCAAAGCAACATATCACACGGGATTCTCAGACGAAACGAAGATCGAGGACTGAGAGGCAAGAACAAAGCCGCTCTCAAAACGCCTGACCGCCTTTCGGGATCGGCAATCGCGATAATGTTTATCGCCCGCATTTGATTGTTATGCAGTCGCCAATCGCGGATTTTCCTCGTGCGCAAGGCTTCTGACATACGAACACACCCTCGGATTTATTCAAAATGGCAGCTACACCAGCTGAAGCATTGTCGGCCCTCCAGCAGCTCGAGCAAGATGGAGACTTGAAGAAAAGACTCACGATTGTCCGCATCAGTGAGCCCATTTCCACCGATGTGGGGAGTTCCTATGCATCACCCTCGAGAAGAGGCTCAGATATCTCGACCTCGAATCTGGAAAACCCCACTCCGTCCTCCCTGGAGGCAGATCTCTCGCATTACAAGGTGGGTGGTATCGAAGCGCTGCGCGCAGGGAAGCACGTACTCACCTTCTGTCTAGGAGCTATTTTCCAAGCTTCGATTCTCCTACGTCGAGCAAGTCACGAAAGAAAAGTTTCTGCGCTCAATTGTGGGCGACCCACCAGTGATCGTGGGACACAATGAGAACATGGAACTGGAGGCGCAAATGGCGGAGGTGAAAGCTGAACTGAAAGCGCGAAAGGAAGAAGTGCGAGTGATGATTGAACAAATGGAGCAGATGGGCCGGGATCTGGCAAGCCGTAAGTGTCGGCGCTTTTGGAACCATGAACAAACTGACTGACATGTCGGGCCATTTACAGGGTACAAGGATGTTGAACTTCAAACGACACAGCTCTCCACGCTGCCAGCCTCGATTGAGACCCTCGAGTCGACCATTGCTGGTCTTCGCGCGAAACAGGTTGCCAACATGGGCCCCTCTGATGCCAACAACCCTTCGTCCCAGAGTCTTCCTTTGCCGGCAAGTTTAGCACTGTTGGCTGAACGCGAGGCGGAGCTGGCAGCTTTGAACCGCCAATTAGCTGCTGTGCAGAACACCTTACCTCGGAAGACTCGAGAAGCCGAGGCGATTGAGAGAGAGACCAGTGTGCTCGAGCGACGCAAGTCCGACGCTGTTGCGCAAGCGCAAGAAGCACAACGCAAGAAGCAGCAGGGCGAGAGTGATGGACTAGAAGAGATGGGCCGGTGGTATCGGGGCGCGGAGGAAACACTCAAGGAGCTTGTGGGGACCACCAAGGCATGAACAAGCCTGCAGGCCACATCGAGGGCCTAGATACGACGACACGACCTCGGGAGGGACGAAAGATTGGGCTTATCTTAAGTGGGGAACGAAAAATCGGCGTTTTGAGGATCTACATAATTGTACATATATATGGGTCTGAGGGTATCTACTAGAAAGACTGCAATTGACATGAAATTGAGTTCATTGAGATCGGGTTCCAAATTGAAGCCTTCTGGCTGTTTTTGATTCATTGTATTGCATGATCGTAGAACATGAGACGCTATGATGCAGTCATTTTGAACCCCCAAAGATTGGAGGTGCCCCAAGCGAAACCCGACCGTACTCCATTTTTTAAAGATGGGGAATAATTTATTCCTCATCCTCCTCCTCCTCGGCGTCGTCACCACCGGCGGCGGCGGCGGCCTTCTTGCGGCGAACGCGACCGGGGCGGCCACCTCCGAAGGGAGAGGTGAGGGAGAAGTCAATGTGCTTCTGGGAGTCAAGACGGACCATGAACGAGGGAACGTTGACGATCTGCTTGCCGACGCGGATGTGACGCTGCTTGATGAGGACACGGGCGTGGTGGATGGACTTGGCGAGACCGAGCTTGTAGACACAGGTCTGGAGACGACGCTCAAGGAAATCCTCGACCTTCAGGGCAAGGACGTAATCGAGCTTCATGCGGCCCTCGTCGAGCACACCGATGCGGACGAGACGGCGAATGAGGGCATTTCCTTCGAACAGACGCTTGGGGTCCTTCTCGTCGAGAGTGAGGAGCTCACTGTGGAAGAAAGAGGTTAGCACATGTTTCCGTAAATTCACGAAGCGCGATCGCTCGGCGCCTCGCAAAACCAGTGTTCAATCACATACCGAGCAGCACGACGGATCTTGGACAGGGTGAGCTGGACACGCCACACCTCACGCTTGTTGCGCAGACCGAACTCGCCAACGACCTTGAGCTCAGAGTCACTATTAAAAAAGGTTAGAGATATGAACACGACATGAAAAGAAGCACGCTTCAAATCAGTGGCCGGAGAATACTGACAGACGGGCGGACTCGAAGGCTGCGATGGAATTAGCTTCAGATCTTCACAGGCACACTTTGCTCAGAATTGACTTACGGCGACGGGGGACCTTGTAGGTCTTGGAGGAGACGCGACTGCGATGGTATTAGACTCATGCGATTCAACAGCAACTGTCGATATACTCACGGGGCCATGGCTGCGGTTAATTTGGCGGAGGATGTCGACGTGAGGGAAGTTCACACAAGCCTCCACGGATAAGTTCGAAAATTCGCTAAAACCAGTGGGGCGCTGCGGCGGGCAAGCAGCCAACCACAAAATTATTAGGGCACTGACTTGCCCTAACGCCCACGTGATCTCCACCTGACTCAGCACACAAGAATCCCTATCCGAGACTATTCTACTCAAGCGCTTGGAAGTCGTCGACTAACTCACCAGCACCCACCAAAACACCGCCGTTATGCCTCACTCGTACGGTCTCCGCGCCGGCACTCGGGTACGTTTCAATTCCCTCGCGACACACGAATTTTCCCATCCTTTGGAGCAACCACCTGGACCGACACACGAACTTGGAGGAATTTGTCGGGAGCATAGCTAACGTCACGACCAACAGTATGCCTTCAGCCGTGGCTTCAAGGAGAGCGGTATGATCCGCCTTTCTACCTACATGAAGACCTACCGGTACGACTATCATTCTCGAAACCCGAACGAACGATAAGGATTGGAGACTGACGGAATTTTTTTAGTGTTGGTGACATTGTCGACCTCAAGGTTAACGGTGCCGTCCAGAAGGGGTCAGTACATCTCCGATAACATTTGCGCACTTGCCCGGACCGCCATCAGCGACTCTCCCAACATGGGCATTGCGCACGTCGAAACGAGCGAAAATCTAACAATTGAACAGTATGCCCCACAAGGTCTACCACGGTAAGACCGGTGTCGTCTACAACGTCACCAAGTCCTCCGTCGGTGTCATCCTCTACAAGAAGGTCGACAACCGCTACCTCGAGAAGCGTATCAGCGTCCGCATCGAGCACGTCCAGCACTCCCGCTCCCGCGAGGACTTCATCAAGCGTGTCAAGGAGAACGCCCTCAAGAAGCGTGAGGCCAAGGAGAAGGGTGTCCACGTCCACCTGAAGCGCCAGGCTGTCGGCCCCCGCGAGGCCCACTTCGTCAAGCAGGCCGGTAACAAGCCCGAGACCGTCGTTCCCATCGCCTACGACACCCACATTTAAAGGGACTGCGTTGGAATTGGAACGGTGTGTGCGGTTGTTAGGTGTTTACTGGGTTTTCACTCCATTTTTTGCCTAGACTGAAATGGATTTTGATGAGACGAAGCGCAAAGGGTTTCGGATGCCCTGGCACATCTCTCGCCTGTGCATAGATTCCCCTGAATGAAACAAAATCAAAAATCTCCGAGTTTTATGTCTATGATTGTCTATGATTGTTTTGCTTTACATCGCTTGTTCGGCCATTTGGCTCTAGACTTGTAGTGCAGATCACCGGCCGTTCCCCATAGTCTTGATCGAAAGTGCCAATTCTGCCTTGATGGTTCGAATTGGTGTCACTCAACCTGCCCAAAAGTGCTCTTTTGTCAATCGAGTCTAGATCGATTTGTTTCCGCGGACTCCGAAAGGACCGGTATGCTCGCGTGGACAGGTCTTCTAGCAGACAGGCCGGTATAGATTACTTCAAGGCAGGATTTTCTAATTACCACTAATACAATGAGAATAGCCTCTTGAATGCACTGATTGGCTTCACCGAGGTCCAACTGAATATGATAGATCTTCCAAGTACATCATGATTATTTGCCCCTTAGAAATGCGGCCTTCCCCAGGGGAGCGGAGGGGACCCGCAATCGAAAAAAATATCGCTCCGGAGAGATTCATCTTCCTACCTCTACTTTCAATGTACACTATTTGACCTGCCTATTTGACCTATGATGATTTAATTGGACTTCATTGCCTACCTCTACCTTCTAATCACCTTCGATAACTGTCCTCCTGACGGTTATTTCAAACGTTCCGATGACTGTCTCTCCAACAGCCCCCAGCTCTGCGCAGGCGCATCTGGGAGGCACCCCCGCCTCATTCAATAAAGAATCGATCCCACAATCGAGAGAAATGGGGGACGTCATTCCGAATCGAACACCACCAGTCAGCGAAGAGAAGCCTGAAGCGAAGCCATTCGCGCACTTCGTCGCCGGAGGGTACGTCACCGTGAAAACCGCCGCGGAAGCGGATCATCCAAGAACAATAAGAAACGGGTTCTAACGAGGTGAAACAGGTTAGGAGGAATGACCGCTGCCACTCTTACCTCGCCGCTGGACGTCTTGAAGACGCGCCTGCAATCCGATTTCTACCAGACGCAACTCCAAACGTTGCGCGCTTCGAAGCCTGCACCCGCTCCGTCCTCTAATACCCTGGTTCACCTCACCCGGACGGCGGGCATGCACTTCAGTGAAACATTCCAGATCCTCCGCTCGATACATGTTCACGAAGGGTGGCGCGCGCTGTTCAAGGGACTGGGGCCGAACCTGATCGGCGTGGTCCCGGCTCGCGCCATCAACTTCTACGTGTATGGAAACGGAAAACGGATACTGAGTGACTATTTCGGCTACCGAACCGCCGAGCAGACTCCTATGGGCATTCACCTCGCGGCAGCATCGATTGCCGGCATCGCCACGGGAACAGCGACGAACCCGATCTGGCTTGTGAAAACACGGTTACAACTGGACAAATCGAATGCGGAGCATGGGAAGAGCCGGCAATACCGCAACAGCTTCGACTGTATCAAGCAGACTGTGCGCCACGAAGGCATCAAGGGCCTCTATCGTGGCCTCTCTGCTTCCTACCTGGGAGTGACCGAGTCGTCGCTCCAGTGGGTGATGTACGAGCAAATGAAAATGTATCTTGCTCGTCGTGATGCTCTCAAGAAGTCTGATCCGGGCTACGAATACACCTCGTGGGACTCCGCGGAGCTGTGGGGTGGCCGCATCAGTGCTGCCGGTCTGGCCAAGCTGGTCGCGGCTGCGATCACTTATCCTCACGAGGTCGTGCGCACACGTCTGCGCCAGGCACCGACCGTCTCTTTGGGCAACGGCAAGGTTGAAATGAAATACACTGGTTTGGCTCAGTGCTTCAAGACTGTCTGGAAGGAGGAGGGCATGGTCGCCATGTATGGCGGCCTGACACCTCACTTGCTTCGCGTCGTGCCTTCTGCTGCGATCATGTTTGGAATGTAAGTTGTGCTGAAATGATCTTTAACGATTCGATATACTGACTCTCTCACAAGGTATGAGTTTATTCTGCGCGTTTTCGGCACGACTTCATAAACCACCTTCGGTATGCCTGAAGTCGCGACACGACTCGCAACTCTTTCGCCACTGTACAATATCTGGCTTCCTTTGCAGCTTTTTCTCCGCTCAACGTGATGGGAGACTGGCTTTCCTTTTGCGTATTTTGATTATTGTGTATAGACGGGAAAATGGCCTGCATGTCTACGGCGCACACGATTTGGGTTTACACTTCTCTCTGAACAAGCGTCTCTACTCTGACTTGCTCACACATCGGCAGAAGACGAAAAAATTCTGTTTTAATTGCGAAATCATCTTGCTTAATGTTCTTACCACTCCACTTTTATACTACATACCCTGTGCGACCCCAGAGAAGGTAGCAGAGGAAAATGAAGAATTGAACTATCAAAAAGAATGGGCAAGTTGCAATGACATAGATCTTCCGACCTACGGAGTAGCTCGGACATACATTCACCAGGGCCGCCTGCAGAATACACGCCAGACGCATACTAAGTGCCTGATCCCGGGCAATAGTTAAATAGGCGCAGTCGTGACGATAATCCTGCACCGCCCATCAAGCCCTGCATATTTCGAGTCAACTCTCAGATCGTCATACTGTGTTTCCTACATTTGACTCCGTACGAAGACCCGAAATCGCCACCGAAACAAATCAGGCATCATTTCGCGGTCTCATTTGCCGGGCATTTAGGCTGCCATACCTCGTACCCAGGTGACGAACTGGCCTATGCTCACTTCCCGTCCTTGTCATTCCCCTCTTCAGATTGTGCCCCGGGGATAAAGCATCGCCTTCGGCATGCCCATACGAGCAGACGGTCCAATTGCACAATGCCTCGGGGCCGACCGACATTTGCTCGAAAATGGATGGACATCTCGTATCACTGTCACACCCCGGTCTTTCGGCATTGATTGGGCTGCCATCAGCTAGGGCCGGGTTGGCAGGTTACTCACTGCCTCTATCTAGTTTGGCACTTCACTTCGGCGTGTTTCATGTTCGCGAACTTGTGGTAAGCTGATCTGCGCCCCTCTGTGGTGATTTCTCCGGACATGAACGCTTTCTGATGTACTCCGTACATGTGCATGACTGCGAATCTCTCAATGGGTGCATATCTTGGATGGGTTGGTGATTGGTCGGGGCTTCGTCCATGCGTTGCGGGAAATTGATGTGGATCGGCGGGGTTCTACTCCTTAGTAGGAAATTGGAGTCGTTGCGCCCTATCGTCGTAAGCTTGAAGATTGCCCGGCCCGAAAAAGTTCTAGAAAGAAAGATGTGGCGGTTGAAATCTCAATACTCGAAGACGAGGCCCCTCTTTTGTGTTTCAGACCCTGTTCGTATGAATGTCAGGAGGACAGATGAGATTGTAATTGCATGTCGATCAGTCTAGATCGCCCTCGGCTCTGTGATCTTCGTGGCTTGGAAGTTCTCGACGTAGCGTGCATGTTTTTCCAGGGATTTTCTTGAAATTATGAAACAACATGAGAAATAAATGAGCCCAGATCAGGGAGACTGAGCGATTTAGTGTCTACAGCGTAGAAATGACATCGTGGGTGATCATGAACACCCGAAAGAGGGTGTCTGCGCCACAATGTACCTGAATCCCGGATTTCTTGACGTGATCTATCATATCTGACGTACAGAAACGGCGAAGAAACTTTTGAACGCTCCGATCGCACGATCCAGACTTGAATATCCTAATCCGTTACGCAGATCAATCTCGACTTGAGATTTCCATGCTTGGTAGATCTTCTGTGGCTGGTACATCATTGATTTATCCAAGCCAAAGTGATTTAACTATGCAAGGTACCTAAGTTACTGCTACCAGACGAGATCTCAATGCATTCAAACAAACCTACTCTAAGGTGACCACACTGATTGTAGGGATATTTGTGAACCATCATAGATGTTTGCTGTATAAGACATAATATTCATTTGCTGGTCAAGATTTGCTTGGCTTCTCAATGGTCACAGGTATCTTTTGTCTTACTTTTTTTTAAAAAATAAAATAAAATAAAATTTGGGTTTCGGCATACACCTCGGGAGGTGGTTGAGAAAAATAAAATCAAACAATGTTAAAACAGTAAAACAGTAAAGGAGCAACACTCTGTCTATACAATACCATTCACTCCTTGTATACGGAGTACTCCGAACTTCAAAGAGTGTGATGGACATTGCCCAGGTGTTTGCACCCCTACACCGCATCTTCTTCCACACTTTCCTAGGCATCCACAACATTTGAGGGGAAATCGGGTGAACTCGAACAATGAGTTGGCCTATAATGCAAGGTTTGGGTAGCTATCTGGGTGAGCTCAGCTACTTTGGATAACAGCACATAGGCACTAGACCAAAGCTTCTTGAATCAGACACAAGGTGTGGAAAATGAGCACAGCCACAACCAATTCTGGACCTTTGTACTCCGTACTTTTAGGGTCTACTAGGCCTGAACTATGAAACCCTGTGCATACAATACACAGTGTGGATACTTGTTTCTTTGTGCCAACATGCTTTGTGCTGTATCTGCATTCATCTCTTTTTGAAAGAAACAAAAACAAAAATAAAAGCTTTGTTTTATTAGGATGCAGCCACTGCCGAGGATATGCCAAAATTAGTCGATGTTTTGCGTCTGGTAAGCCAAAATTGCATACAGGCGGTGACCGGAAATGCTCTGTTCATTCGCGTTAATACCGATCGGCAGGGGCGAGCACAGGCTGTACAGCTATTAGAAGTTTAGAGTATGTTGCAAAGATCAAGGATGATACCTTTTGCAAAGTGAAACCATATCTTTTAGTTTACCTACTAGTAGTGCCACACTTGGGACATTATGCTAGACAACGGGCAGATGACTATCGCCCGACGAATTTGTTTACCCATGTGTACTAGCTTTGATCCCCCAAACCCCCTAGAATGGGCAAAAATTATAGGAGATCAAGTAGCTTCATTCCATTGTCTTGGTAGAATTATGGCTACAATCATCGTATCCCAAGTAATGCTGGTCGGATATGATAAATATTACACTGATACGGAGTAATAAGATGAGACTTGGCGAACCCGTTGTAGATCCATCCTGTTACCATAGTGCCTTTACCCAACTCAACCCGTGGACACCGCTGCATTGCCTCCAGGGCTCTCTTTCCAGACTCTAATTATTTCAACCCGGGATCGCAATTCACGCCCGGGCTCGGTGTTCTCATAGGCAACAAATGCTCGTAGAATAAATCACAGTCAACTTATAACCAACCATGCTCCCTTCTCGTCTAGACACTTTCCACCCACTCCATAACTACCCCAGACTCAGGATAAAAACGAGCAGATCACTCTGCTGTCTGCTATCTACTGTCTCGATATACTCTCTTCGAGAACTGAGTAGCTGCCACAGCTATCAACCATACCAATTCCTGCCTTCCGGTCCGGAATTCGTGATCGCCACTTCTCCGACCCCAATTCCTCGCCCCCAAACCTCCAACTAGGTGCCAAAATGAGCAAAAATAGGTAAGCCGGCATATCCAAATCTACCGTCAATATCCGCACCCTCAAATCTGCACCCAATCCCCAATCAAGTTGTCATTGGCGTTTCTCATCAAACTCATAAAAGTCGATCTTGGACTCTTATCAGCTAACCTTATTGCGTTTTCTCGTTTAGCTTCCCCACGTCTGACTGCCTCAAGGTCAAGCCCTCGAGCATTACGAGCAAAAGCACTGATTTTGGTCGCAACAATGCGGGCCCAAGAGCTTCGTCAATCCCCGAGCCCAAGCCAGTCAAGAAAAGCTCCTACATGCTTGACCAGTGGAAGGCTTCGTCACCAAGTTCGGACCCGTGGTCATCAGCCAGAGCCACTCTCAGTCGAACCTGAATACTGTTCCAATTTACTGTGAGATAGGGTACTGTACGAGAATTCTGGGGAACTTTTGGGATTATGGGATCGGGGCTTCGGTTTTGACTTTTGCTTCCTTGGAGGATATGACTGGATCATGCTGTGGGGCACCAGGTACTTTATGGCTGTTGAGAGGGAGTTGCCCGGTTTGCTGATCGTTCTTCATCAAAGTTATAATTTCTTTTCTTTTCTTTTCGATTTTCTTTTTCGATTTTCTTTTCTTTGATTTTTTGGGGGGTTTTTTTCATTTGAAATTTTCTTCTGTTCGCATACTATCTTGCTGTTAGTTTTTGTGGTTATATCTGTACACATAGAAAGGGAAATATGATTTTTTTATGGATGAGGCACATAGAAGCAACATTTGGAGTTACGGTGTTCTTGTCAATTCCCCTCTGCTTGGCCCCCAAGATGAAGATTGGATGCTCCGTAGTCCGTACATAACCCTCAGATAACTTAATTATGTGGTGCTCCACTAATTTGAGTAGCCGAGGCTCTTTAGGAGAAAATTCTTCGCCATTATCATGGAATCCTATGACGTCGTCAATCTTGAGTACCCATGCTTCGATGGAGCCATGGAACAGCGGCGGGCAGAGCCTCTCCGAGGACCCGCATCCCCACTTGAACCAAACTTCCTATCCTCGGCATTGGCAACATTTGAACCAGGTCGCTTTTCGAGTCCTTTCCTTCACCCTATTATATTTTGAAACACATTTTATGTTGAATTTTATTTTGCTGTCCAAGCAGGTATGGGAATCGCAACATAATTTCCGGCTGGTCATCTTGATCCGGTTCTACGCGCAGCGACCCGTATCAGGAGGATCTCCACCGCTCTCTCAAGCCTCCCAACCTCTACGCGTCTCCTATTGAAATGAGCCTTAAAATTTTCAACCACAAAAGAGCCAATAAGATAAAGTTAATTGAGTTTCGGTGAGAGAAAAGAGTCGGAACACACGGCGGCGAACATCACCAGCTGTCACCCGGGGATCATGGGGTCACTGGACAGTAATGCCCAATTTCATCTAGCTGGGATTATCCGCCTCGGCCGGAATACAGTTCAAACTACATCCGAGCTCCGCTTTGGCTCTCTATAGATCTAAAAGATCCGAGCTTTGTGGAGAGCGTGTATACTCAACCGCTCGCTCCTGTGAGAGGGGGACAGGTGATCTATTTTCCTGCAGAGATCCCCAATAGCGCCAATAAACTTCTGGCCACCTGCACAGTAGTTTATTGGAGGCACAAGCTGCTCTGATGGGCTTGCTAACCCCTGGCCTTGTGCTTCACTTTCAAAATGATGGCGTCAAAACTAATTTTTCGCTAGCTGGGTGTAGAGTACAGCCCTCGTTGCTCGCTCAAAGATTGATCTATCAGCGAGCTCAAAGTCTCGCCTCGTATTCTCTCAAATAGGATGATGGGAGCGCTTTTGAATAAGGATTCCGCGCGGCTTTTCCGGTATGACAACCGTGCACTGTAGCGATGAATTGTAATTCCATCTATTCCGTTGCTCCGGCTTGGGCATGAAAAGCCAAGATTCATGAGGATTTCCCCGTTGAGTTTTCTGCGATAAAATTATTGGACGTTGGCGCTTTGCCCATGGAACGTATATACAACGCCCGATAATATGTTGAATTTACCCTCCCGGCCACATCAAACTCCCCGGACTTGTTAACCGTGTGGCTGGGAGTGTTCCAAAATTCAGGTTTGATCCCTTGAGTCAAAATTATGAGTAAAAACAAACGGAACCATCGAAATGGACTCGGGATCCATCCGGGGAATTAAGTCCACAGTACTCCGTACGGAATGCGGAGTATCTAGTTTGACAAGACGAACCGACTGTGGGTCAGTGAGCTCCGTAGATTTATTTTCTGGAATTTCTCGTCATTTAAATTTATTTTTCGTCTCCCAATATTTCCAAGGGTCTCGGACTCACTCATTAGTGATGTTCATTTCCTGTATTTTATCCCCCACGGTTCACCTATATTGGAACATCGCGGTAGTTTGCGGTCACCCCAGGCCGCAGCACCAGTGAAACGGAGCCCAATCCAAGACTTTCAAGACTTGCGGCTAAACAAACGTTTGGAAGGTTTGCAGTCCAACCTCCACGTGACTGACTTGCGGCTTAAGTGCAGGGGGCTGTTTGAACCCATTTCGTCATTGGCGAGCACTGCCCGTTTCCCCCGCGCGAGGACGATCATAGATCGCTCACCCGCTCCTCCTCCGGTTCGATAACGCATGCGACGGGATTTATTCTCAGTACTCTCAGCAAATGAAGAAAGGTCAGTGAATTCATAGGGTTTCCAAGCTCTGGTTCTACACAAACGCCCCAGTCATATGCGGTGAAAGCGGTTATTGGTCGCCTTGGATATCGAAAATCGACCTCTACTGTTGGGTCGCGCATGGGCAGCTAGCACGCCTCACCACTTCCGATACAATTACGAAGTATTTTCAGTTACAGTATTGACACACCGACTCCTTGTTTTGGGTTCCTTTTCACCCCGGCAAGACTTGACCTGGTGGGCCCAAATCAGCCAAACGGAGCACCCTGCCATTTGGGCCTGCATTTCAGTGATAATATTCATTTTATGATTTTCCTTTTTTTCCTTTTGACATTATTAAGTAACAGGAGCCATTACCCGGGCAAGCGTGGCGGAGCCTTGGCCTGGGGCCAACATTTATAAGATCAGGCTTCCCTCGCTTGTGGATATTCATCTCTGCGCAAAGTCTTAGCTGTTTAGTCTGTTGTTGGCTACTCCAAGCCCGCCCAAAATGAGTACCAACTACACCAATGAAGACGAACTCAATCAGATGATGGACAATGATGACAATACAAGGTCATCATCTTACCAATCGCAGTCTATACTCACTGGCTCCAGTGGCTCCAGTGGCTTGAATGACTACGTGAGTTTGGCCATAGTGGCTCATGGATTGATGCTAATATTCCCTCACAGAGCTTTATCCACCCCTACCCTAGCTCCACCTCCTCGGCGGATGACACAAGTCAAACGAGCTTGAGCCAACTCCAAGATGAATCTTCACTCGTCCAAAGCGGGTTGAGCGACCTTACCATCCGTCCCCCCCAACGGTATGAAAGCGACTTTGATGGCCTCGGATGGGCCCATGCGCAAACTGATCATATCCCCCAAGAGCTGGAAATCGACCTCGGAGGGCAGCACAATCCTACTCCGAATCCGTTGACAGCTGCAGAAGCCCAGACGACCAAAGAGCCCTTTGATCGGACTTTGTTGGGAATCACAAACCCCACAGCCTCGCCATTGAGTTCCCCATCTGTTGAGCTTGATATGGCTATGACTCAGGTATGGTCGACATTTCGCCATGTCACTTCTGACCCTCCATATATTGGCGAAAACATCCTGAAAGGACTAAGTGACCTCGAAACACTCAAACAACTTTTTCTTTCAAAGTACACGGATCCTGCACCTTCGACAACAACTGGTTCTGAATCCAGGAAAAAAACCAAGGAAGCCCACCAGTGCATGATCTGCGAGGCCAAAAACAATGCCAAGAAGACCTACAATACCTTCGGATCGCTCAAAAGACATTTTGGATCCATTCATGGAATCGCTGACCGAAAGTATCGTTGTCTATCTCCACACTGCGATAGAGACTTTCTCCGGCGAGACAGAGCGCGCGAACATATGATCTACACACACAAGATGCACGACATGAAAGACCTCGCCGCCGCTCGAAGGAAAGTCGCTCCTCCCTGCATCTGTCCTGCTTGCCCCCAGATCATCCAGTCCTGGGAACGGTATTGGGAACACGTTAAAGTGCATTGCACTAAACACTCTCCAGCGGCCAGTGTAATGAATGGCGGTGACAAGTCTCGCCGAGGCGGCGGCAGAGAAGGCGGCAGCGGTCCTAATCGTGGTTCTTCTTCCTTTGCTGAGCCAAGCAATGCATACGAACAGTCTCGCTCTCACCAAGGAGACCAACCATCGGATTCAAATAATTACCGCACATACCAAGGAGGGCACATGAACAGAGCCAGGGAAACTTTTCAGCCTTCCATGATCCTTCCTGTTTCAGATGATAAATTGAGTCTCGCCCATCCTCCAGGATTGGACGCAGCCGCTGGTGAATTCTCCATGAACGACGTATTCGACGAGGCTCAATATGATCCTGACTTCCACTTTGCTGGTGGCATACACCAGCGGTTCGACCAATCTCAGAACCCTCAGACCCCATGGTTTTCACCCACCGATCAGTCTTCCCAGAAGCCTCAGAAGCGCAAACGCTCAACGAGAAAGCAAGCAGCCCCAAAACAAGCCACAGAACAAAGGCCTTCAAGCATTATGAAATGTACTGGATGTGGTCATGTTTTGAGCACATGTCGGCAATGTCAATATTTGACGGAATCCGTTGGCTCCTGTCATAATTGTCCTTCCAGGGAAGCTATCGCGGCTCAAGCTATGCATCATTCCGCATTGCCTTCTCAAGATCGCCAACGACCATTGTCAACACTCGTCACACTCGATCCATATTACCTTCAGCCTAGTCTCTTGCAGGACTTTTCGCTGTTTCCCATGGGGGCAGATCAACACCCCTATCCTAGTTCAAATTGGCCAATGCAGTACCCTGGTGGGTCGAGCCAACGTCAATCATTTGATAGCGAAGAGTACGACGGCTCCGATGACTTCCTCTCGCGGCCTCCATTCATCGGTATGACAATGGTCGATGAAAACCATGGCTGTCTGCTTAATGTCGACAACAAACCACAGTCGCCGGTGCTTGACCACGATTATAAACTGCTTCGCAGCGTCGGCTTGGGCTCGCCAATAAAGCCGCTCACTCTTCTATCCAATCTCAATCAGGCAATGAAACAAGCCTCGATCGGTCTTTCTTCTGAAATGTACACCGAGCTGCCCTTCAGACAGCGTGAACCGCTGAGGCTCCAAAGCTCCAAAGCTACTCCCGGATGTCAATGCCCGTGTGTGATTCTACCTGTCGTTAAATACAGTGCCCATGCCAGTGCCCGGCTTTCCGACTCTGAGCGAGTCGAGATGACTTTCAAGATGTCCCCGGCTGCCCGCGAGTCTAACCACCCCTTGCGTACTCGAGTAAGGGTGTTCGTTAAGCTCTTCAAACTAAGGGCATCGGTATTAAAGACAACCGCAAATGACAAAGAAAGGCATCAATTGATTCAACAAGAAACTGCCCTGGGAGGCGTTCTTGGATCTGACACCGACTCAGATCACGCTATTTCGCCTATCTCACCCTCCGACTCCGAGCTTGCCCCGGTCTTATCATGGACCGAGGATGTTCAAGACTGGTCATTTGAATTCGATCTCGAGTGGGCTGTGTCGAGATTCTCCCAAATGACCAGTGGCATTACTGCCGATACGTACTTGAAACATTTCTCTCCCAACCCTGGCCGCATACTGGACTTGATCTCGATGTATATCTTACACGAGTTCGAGATATGCTGGTCCTTGGGTCTTGATAGAGTCCGCTGGCTCTTGATGTATCTTATGATTTCATGTTCCTCTTCTACTTTATGATTTTGACGTTTCCGACCGTGCGAATACCTGATACCCCGGCAGTTTTTTACTTCTTGGTCTTTTGTTGGTGTATACTTCTAACTCATTTTATTTTTTTCTCTGCTATCCTGTGGCTTGCTTGGTTGCGCTTATGGCACTACGAATATTTTTTTTTCTTGTTCTTTACTGCATGGGTGGCATACTGTTTGATTTGAACTTGATGCATCCCAAGATTGAACCTCGGATGATAGTACTACGATTCATGCAATTTTTTTCCCCATTGATTTGGTCTCGCCATCTAATGACTGCTAGACACATTATGGCTGAGAGTTGTGTTCTTTTGATCTTCTCATCCTTACCGAATGTACCAGGGCAGGTTCAACTTGCTTGGTTGTCATGGTAGATCTATCTGTCCCCGTCGGTAGAGTGTCCAACCCGGCCTCCACTGAGCCCCTAAGTCACATTGTTTCTTGTTCTGGCTGGCGACCCAATTATCTTTCGCTACCAAGAAGGACAAAATACCTAAGCACTACAATCGTGGAGTTGACCGGGCAATATTGTTGTCATGAGGGCTCTGCCGGCAGGTGACCTTGTCACACCGTTCGTGACCGAGGGTAACTATAGGCGCCGATCAACCACCATACAATGATGGTGTGTAGGTGGAGCCACTTTGGTGACTTTTCTGGTAGCTCTAGTCCTTCACAATGGTCAGCTACTTGGGTGTCGAAGGGGTCGCATTATCAATCACCCACATTCTTCACGGGCTGCATACCGCGCCCCGGAGGGTAAAGAAGGTAAACAGAACCTTCGAAGACACCATGCTGTTTGAGAAATGCTACCCACCTCATTTGAATTCCGGTGGCTATTCTCTCCAGTTCACATTCATCTGTGGCGCTGCTGTGATCTGCTGTTCAGAACACTGGCATGATCCCAGTTAGGCCGATCACTCAACACTGGGCATATTGCCATCAAGCGAATAATATTGACTGTCCAGGCAAGTGCAAAGACTGCGACCTCTTATTGCTTGAATACCTTCAACCGATCGATCTTTGCCCCACTTCTCATGGTGCAGTGCTGGTAACAACCTCTTACCCACGAGGTCATACTGATCACAACGTCATGTTGGCCTGAGATACTTATAAAAAGCCCTGAGAAGCCCACATTCTTTCCGATTTCAAGGCTGTGAGCTTTATAGAGCCCTGGCAAGGATACACAGCAGTGGGCAGTATCGTCACAAACCTTCGAAATGCTTCACCTCATGTGGTTGGCGCTCGTTGCCCTAACGTCGACCAACTCCGTTCGTGGTTTGGTCAGCGAAAAGGCACCAGAACATGTCCCGCAATATGTTCTAGACTATGGTGAGGATTCCAAGACTGTAATTAGCAAATTTTCATTCGCACTTTGTTAATCATACCGAACAGCACCGCTGGTCTGGCTTCACAGCCAGGAAACATACATGCCCAGTGACATCCAAGCACAGATTGATCATACTGTCCCCAAGGTCAATTGGACTTCCATTGAGGGTGTTCAATGTCCTTTAGATCTGAGTAACCTTGACACCTTGAACAGCCTCGGCAATACAAGTGTATATTTGACGTCCCACGAAGGCATTGAGGCCAACCCACAGCCAGCATGGATTCGAGGTATAGCCCCAGACAACGATGGGCGCATTGGAAATGGCACGGGAAGTGCGATCATTCTCGCCAATCGTGGAAATGAGACGGTCGATGCCTTTTACTTTTACTTCTATGCGTAAGTATGGGAAATCCTCATATGCGTTTGTTTTCGCTGATGTTTTCAGATTTAATAAAGGCGATAAAGTTTTGAAGATGGAATTCGGGGATCACATTGGGGACTGGTAAGCTAGAGAAGATTCGCTCTGATTTTCCAAACTCACCTCGACATACAGGGAACACAACATGATCCGATTCCACAAAAGCCAGCCTACTGCAATTTGGTATAGCCAGCACGCGAGTGGCCAAGCCTTCACATACCACGCCGTTGAGAAGCAAGGGAAACGGCCCTACGCCTACTCGGGAAACGGAACTCATGCTAACTACGCAACCTCCGGGTGGGTTGTTCCCAAAATTTCCATGCTTCCTGTCATTACTGACATGACTAGACAACATGATCATGCAATCCCAGGCATAAATCTCCCCGTAGGGTTTGTAATGGATTACACAGACCGGGGAAGTCTCTGGGACCCTACCCTGAACGCATATTTCTACACCTACGACTCCAAAACAGCCGCCTTCGATGCTGTTAATTCAAGAGACCCAGTTGCATGGCTGAATTTCAATGGGAAGTGGGGAGATGACCAGCCTCCCGGTGAACCCGAAATTTTCGGACAAGCCAAAAACGTGGCTGGTCCGAACGGCCCAAAGTTCAAAGGCTTAGGCAGGAAGCTGATCTGTCCATCTAAGCCATGCGTTGTGCTCCCATTCAGGATTTGGTCTGGAAATTCGACAGAATAATGAAGATGGGGTATGTGATATGCTGTTACGTTAGCCTATGGTTGCGCGTTTTATAGAAATATTTCAAGTCGCCTGTATGGCATAAAATCCATGCATGAGAGGCAACATTGCACATTTCAAGACTTGTACAGGCCCAGAAAGGCGTTCGCTCTTCTCGATCAGAACAACGAAATTCCTGATGTCCCATCTCTCCTCATGTCTCGTCAATCCGAAGTCGACATCTCTTCATAAATAGAGCGAAAGAGAACTCCCAGCCTTTGTAAGTCGAGAGCGTCTCTGCCCCAGAACTCTAAAATACTTGAAGCCTTCTCCGCGAATTGTCTCCAGTCCGAGCGAACTGCAACTCTCTGACTTTTCTTCGCCGCGATGATAGAAAGCCCACAGCGAAAAGCCGCGCGAGCTTGGAACCAGCTTCCGTGATGCCGATGCTGAATGTTAACAAGGTCGATGATAGCATAGCAGCCTTCCAGGCAGCGTTGAGCAAATGCATAAACAGCAGGGGGCTGTAGTGTAGTTGAGTGGATACCAAGAAATAAGAAAGGCCGAAGTATACCGTCCTGCACAGCAAGAGATCGAGTCCGGATGAAATATGGTAGTTCTCGGTCGGAGGCTTCGCCCTCTTTAAACTGCAGCCATGGCGGAAGTCTCGACGCAGCGAGGGTCTGATGCCTCTCCAGCTCCATCGCATTGTGAATCAGGGATTCAATAGGGGTTTGAAGGAGTTTGGTGTCATGCGTGCTTGAGTAAAACGTGCCAATGACTTGGTCCATCGTGCGCTTTTGGGACACTTCGAACAGGTAATAATACCAGCTCTCCTCTAGAGGGAATTCTTCGGGGATGTCATCTCCACCTGCTGGAGGGTTTGGATAGTCCACTGGAAAACTGGGCTCGGGGCCCAAGAGAGCGGGGAGGTCCAGCTCAATGCGGAGCTCACTAGAATGAAATCCAAAGCCGTCAGCTGTAAGCCGCTTTCATTCAAGACTGAACAACGCACAACTCCGATTTTGATGCAGACCAAAAGAGGCGCTCCTCGAGGTCACTCGTTTCGGTGCTCATTGATCCAGGATTCCTGGTGCGGATGTAAGGAGGTATCGCGGTAGAAACCACGTAGAAGGAGTGCCATGCTTCCAACGGTTTCAGAGTATACATCTCATAAATACCAGAAAGAAAATAGCATTGGAGATATAGAAGGGATGATATGCTCAGTAGACCTATCCGCTTTCGGGCTGCAAAATAGCAGGAGTCAGCCAGAGACCTATCAGCCTCGGGTGGAGCCTGCTGCGTGGTTGAAACACGCTGAAAAGTAGTCGATATGATACCCAGAGCCGAAGTCAGCAGCTATGAACACCTGGTCATTAGCACAGTATTGTAGCAAGGGTTTGAGAGCCCCCAGTCAAACATACCACCAAACAGCTTGGTCCATCCCACGAGATGCCATTCTCTGAAATGTCGTTCGCATGTTGGAGCAATGCTTTGTGCTCAACTACCGGATTTTTGGTATGAACATTGGCAAGAAAAGCGCGCACGTGAGTTGGAAAGTTCTCCTCAATGACCCATCGCGAGCGTGAAACTTGCGTTGTCAAGTCGTCCTTCTCCAACACAAACATCGAATCCAGTATCCCATTGTGACGTGGGTTCTGAAGAATGGGCCACTGCAACACGCGGCAAGATAGATTGCAATGAGAGAGGACCTGGGAGGATACTGAGATGTGGTCATCGTGAGTGTTTATAGCGCCTCTGGGGGAGACTGTGTTAGTACTAGTATCGGGTGTTGTTGCCGGGATCCCCTCTACAGGGTGAGTGCGTTGGGTTTCAAGAAGCGACACAACATAGTTCATCTTCTCTAATAGAGCCATGCTAGCGGGATCAAAACTATTAAATTCAGCGCCACGCCTATCTGACGAATCAGCAGCACTTACGCATTGCTCTCCTGCCCCGTAGGTTGATAGGAGCATGTAGCGCCTATGTCCGCACAAAATCCACATGTGGGTCGAACATTGTCACATCTTGTTTTCCGACGCCGGCAAATTTGACATGCAGTAGCCGCTCTTTTACGAGGATAGATCTCGCCGGGTGTTGCTGTGGACGCCTTTCGTTTCGTGCTTCTCTCTGGGGTGACAGTGCTACTGGCCGGTAAGTGGGGTCAACTCCTTGCATGATGTGACTCACATATTCGGCAGGTCGGGGGATTGCTCCGTCATGATGATAAGATGTCAAACCTCGCGATGTGAGCTCTGCCTGTGTCTCTCAAGGCGAGTGGTCATTGTAATAGGGCAATGGGGAAAGTGACGGGGAAGCTCGGGAGCCTAAATATGCCATCCGTTGCCTGACGCTAGTGCAAAGTGGAGCCATCGGCAACTTCCCCGGCCATCTATATCAGCCCACAAATTTACTTCGACTGTTGATCGATTTTCTTTCTCTGCTATCTTTGTCGTCGTTTGCACAAAGAATTTTCAACTTGGTCTCTATGCACTCACTGGGAAATATGGACGGAGTGTTTCGCAGACTACAATTCGTAAAACTTACGAGGGCTCATACACCGTTCGAACCGCTTTCGAGGACTCGAAAGAAAGTTTGAATATATTCAAGATGCTCATCAAGGTTGCTGATACAGTTTCAAAGACACAATCGGATTTTGCATCCTTTGAACCGTGGAGATTTTCTCTCCTACTCGCCGAAACGTTACTCTACGAATGGCCTCCCGCCGAGATATGAAGTGGGTCTTTCCGGCCCGAGTACCCCCGTCCAATTAAGGGTAGCCTTCCCCACAAAATTTGGAGTACTCCGGACGGAATAACTTTGTGATAATTATTTAAAACACCTTGATTGCCCCGTCTACATCTCCATTTCATACTCGCTGCTCAGATTGCTCTATCATTTATCCATGATGGGTCACCCAACACTGAGATGGGGCGTCATCGGTTAGTAAAGTTCGATCCCTGCCGTGATCACCCACTGATTATCTATAGGCACCGGACTTATCTCTTCCTGGTTTGTCGGAGACCTCGTTCTCCCAAGAGAGGACAAGTCAGCCAAACATATAATTCAAGCGATCGGATCCTCATCTAAGCAGAAGGCTGAAGATTTCATACGGAAGTTTGCACCGGAAAGTACTGCGGCTACTTATGGAACCTACGATGCGGTTTACGCAGATCCTGAGGTGGATATTGTTTATATCGGAACTCCACATGCGTTCCACAAGCAGGCATGTTTGGACGCCATAGCCCATGGAAAACATGTTCTGTGCGAGAAGCCATTTACTTTAAACCGCCGCGAGGCTACCGAGGTCTTTGATGCTGCGAGGAAGCAGGGCGTTTTTATTATGGAGGGTAAGTTGTGGTCCTTCAAGATTTGGACTTCACTAACGGAGAATAGCTCTTTGGACGCGATTTACACCTTTGTGTCAAAAGCTTCAGAAGGTCGTCCACGAGGAGCAGCTTATTGGAGAAGTCCATCGGGTGTTTTGCGACTTTGGTCTACAATTTGATCTTGAGAGTCTGCCAAGCTCATCTCGCTTGAAAAATGTGGCATTGGGTGGCGGGTCGCTGCTTGATATGGGAATTTACCCGATTACATGGGGACTGCTACTCCTGGATGATCAAATCGGAGAGAAGGCTGCCACCCCTCACGTATTTTCAGCCCAGACGATCAGCGAAGAAATTGACATCGCTACGTCAATGTTGTTGCATTATCCCGAAAGCGGTCGCCAGGGAATTTTGACCTCGAGCATGAAGACAAAGTCCGATCCCATATTTGCCAGAATCGAAGGGTCTAAAGGCGTTATCACGATTGAGGGTCCTGGGACGTCTATGCCTAGCAAGTTTACCTTGTATCCGCGGGATAATGACTCCGGGAGGAAGGAATATGCTTTCTCTCACCCTGGATATGGTTTTTATTATGAAGCAGACGCAGTGGCTCAAGACATTGCTGCAGACAAGACTCAAAATTCCGTCATGCCGTGGGATGAGACTTTGAGAGTTTTGGAGCTAATGGACGGGGTACGAGAGAGAGGCGGGGCCAGATTTCCGCAAGATCATGTCGTCTGAATAATAATTGCGATGATTACACTTTTCTATGGCATATGGAATCAGATTAGAAGTTCAATGTGAGATTAGCCTAAATAACAAACGAAAATAGGTCACTGTTCACTTGTTGAAGACAATTCATAGTTGTAGACGGAAATAATAGGTTGTGAGGCGCTACACTTATAAACTTATATTAAGAGCAGGAATTTGCAACAACCATAGAGTGTATTCTATTGCGAGTTAAAAAGAGAGAGAGAGAGAGAGAAGCTTTCAGTCTACGGTTAGTTAGTTAGTTAGTTACCTAGCTGCGCTGGGGCCTGACAAATCAGGCAGCAGCCCCGACAAATTGGTACCGCAGCACTTGGCACAGCCAAGTTTGATACATCACGCTTGAAAATATTGACTCAACTTGTTTTTCTTTGATAGATCGCCCGGCTCTTTGAAATGGCACCTTCAATGGTATAATTCTGTTTGGTGCTGCGGAGTTCACCAATTTGGAACTTTATTCGGTTGATATCGAGTGAGCCTGACAATGTAGATGCTTATCCGCTATTGGCGACCCTGACTCAACACTTCATGCATGCAGTCCATTGCCATGATCCCGGATTCCCAGTCAAACATTGCAAACACACATTTGAGACACTCCCCGCCATTTGGTAGAGATCAACAACCCTCTCAATGTCCAACCCAGATCTTTACCTTGCAGGTCTCTCATTGACTGTGAGCCCTCACGCCTGACCAATCTTTTTTTTTTCTTTCCGTTTTTTGCATGAAATCATTCTTGTCGCCAAGGCCACCAACATGGGATCAAGGGGTCTATGGAATTTACGTGTCGATGGTCAGTAAACGAGATGATTCTTATCAAAATGCTTATGCTTTGTGTCAGACTGCTGGTACCGTCTCTGTCATTCAAGTCTCCGAGTGAGCCCACCAGAATCGGTCCAGACAACTGATATGGCCATTAAAATCCGTGATATGAGTCTCGATCTTGGAAAGTGGCACAAAGTTCCATTCCCCAGTCCATTCAGTCCATCCTTCGACTATGTCTACACTGTCAATCGAGATGCGGGCACGTTTATTATCTCGATGCGGGCGCGCCATGCATCCATGTTTATGCCTGTTTCGCTTGAAGCTACCCTGGCCGAAATATGCGCGGCCCCGGGTATTTCAACTGAGAACTTACGCCAAAGGAGTCCTCCTTTTTTTCCTGATTGTGAGGGACACAACAATTTAAAACTCGATCCAGGGACCTGGAAGCCATGGTTTCACCCGGTCAACTTACCTACGGCCATGACCGAGCTTTCACAATTATTTTTCATTGACTTTGTCTCTATGTGGCGTCCTTGGATCGGCGATCCGATGTCCTGGTATTATGGGAGTCCCGTATTTAACTGTATCAGTCGAGCTCTGCTACGTCTTGCTTCTTGGGATTTCGAGGTGCTTTACACCGACGATGCTCCATTACCCGTCTCTAATAGCTCCATTCCTGCCTGGGATTTCCCAGAAAGCGAACATTATTGGTTCCATGGATTTCTTGTCTTGTTACAAGAAGATCTTGAATGGCCTCAATCCCTTCGCGCCGCGGTTGAGAGATCCCAAAGCCTCATTAACACTTCTGGCTGCATTGCTCAAAGGACTCAATCTATCTTGATCTCACCGCAAGATATCGTCTTTGTTGAGTTTTCTTCGGGTGAGATCAAGTGTGGCGAAGTTTTTCCGCTCCTGACTGACTCTTCGTCAATGGAATGCTCTCCGGGGTTTCGTTTGTTATCTCAGATCATGTCCTCTAGTTGCAGTAGGATGGACTGGGCATATCGAGAGAAGTGGTCTTTGCCCCTGCCCTCGGAGGTTTTGGCAAATATTCTTCAGGTATCAGAGCCAAGAGATGCAGTATCTTTCGCGCAGTCTTCTTTCAAGGTTGAACAATGGTACTATGACTCATTACCCCAGATTCAAGATATTGAATTACAGCACCTCCACCTGTCCGTGCCCTGCTGTGTTGAGCGTACTGGGCTAGAAACCCTAGGCATACACTGCAGTGAGTGCGGCATATGGCAGCATGCGAAGTGTATTGGACTTGAAACTTTACCATCCGAAAACTCATTCGTCTGCGCGTCCTGCCTGAAGCCTGATCCGAGATCTTCTATGCTTACCACTGGTGGATCTGGAGGCACGGTGACAGACGTGACAGAAAGAATGTCGCTGTCAAAACAAATATGACCATGAAAACCCTTCAGGTTCGACGATTCAGGCCGGTACACCTTCGACCAGAGCTTCGAATCCATGGCGATTTAGTCGACGTGATGCCCAAAGCTCTGATCCACTTTAGCATTCAATTCAATGGTGTATTTGCGGGACTGGCTCATGGCATGTATGGCATTGATGACATTATTCTTTGGGCAGCAAGCGTCTGATGTTCACATCGGGGCTCAACGGACGAAACAAAACGAAATTCTAGTCTTCGAGCAAAATAGAATGCAAGGCATGCGTCGAAGTGCCTTCGGCAAAGCACAGCCAGGACGAATATCCCATTTCAACTCTTCAGTGCCCATGTTTTTGTGTCGTGGACCAATTTGAAAAAACCAGCAAAGCGCTGGATTGAGGTTCATACGTGATCTTCACGCTACTAAGGTGCAATTCTGGAATACAGAGGGTCCATAGAGTTTTAGACCTTCAGAATCCATCACTGTACACTCCGTGTGGCGTTTAAACCCTAAGTTGCGCAACATCACGTTTTCTGTTTGGTAAAAAAATTATGAGATTATATTTGGTTCTCAACATTTACTAAGTACATACGACCACAGGGTGTGGAGAACAGGGCCTCCCGTCCGCTCAGCCGTACTTAAGCCGCATCGTAGAGCGCGGTCGAGAGGAAGGAAGCCTAAATGACTATAGGCAGCGAGAGCTAGTTCACCAGGGTGGGCATGGGCGATTTGGGTGTTGGGGGTGTTGAAGGTGGGTTGGATGACGGGTGAGAAGGTGAGCAAGGTGAGAACGTGTGGGTGAGGTGGGGGCTTGGTACTACTTAATCTGGGATCACATAAAGTATCGTTTAGTAAGATAAAAGGATGTTCTTTGCGCTAAAGATCTCTAGATTAACGATTATCATAAAGATATTAATGTACTTTCCAAGGTTTTTATGTCGATAGAAGTCCAGTTAAATCAGAGAGGAGTTTTACGAAGTTGCCTTCACTGTATATATATCGGTTCTAGAAGGCATAGCGTAGTGCTCCTCGAGGTTAACCTAACAAAGAGCTTATTGACTTTTTTTTTTTAAATAGTGCTTGGGTTATCTATCCAAAAGACTCTTGTTGGAGAGCAGGGCAGGTGCCTAGATCACGTGACTCCCCTGCGATCTCGTCTGCTCGCTCCATGTCTTCTGCCTTCCTCGCTCTCTCTGCTTCTCTCTCCTTACGCATCTTCCATAGTATCAATCTTGCCATATTGATCCTTCCTCTGTTCGCATCTATCAACTCTGTATAGACTATCTACAACATTCTATGAAGCAGAATCGCAATGTTTATAAGTAAATTACCACTTGTTATTGAAAACCTTGCCGTCGACGTAGTTGACCAGCTCCTTCACTGGAGATAGATGGTCCCGCCCGGCACCAAACTGCATACCTTGCTGCAGAACCTTTCGGTAGTTCTTTCCAGGGGACACTTTTCCAAGAACATACTCTTGACGGGTCTCGACACGTGTAGGAACAGGAATAGAACGACCAACCACAGCTTCCATACCCTGCCAGGCAAAGGTGATAGCCTCCTTTGCGCCTGCTGGGATACCAGCCTCGTCAAGCATTAGAATACGAGTGTTCGGATAGTGCTTCTGGATATATCCGCTGATGTTCGGATTATATGCGCCACCACCACACATGAAGATTTCTGCGATCTCAAGATCTTTCGGGGCATATCGACGGTAGTGATCCACAATAGCCTGTGCAGTAACGCGTGTAATAGTCGCAACGACATCATCAGGACTAAGTCCTTTTGATTCAGCTTTGACAATGAGGTCGTGTGCGAGGGTATCGCGGAAAACTTCACGGCCTGTAGTCTTCGGTGGATCAAGAGCAAAATACTTGTGACAAAGGAATTCGTCTACAAGCTCTTGATCAACGATACCACGTGCACCCATCTCGCCATCCTTGTCGTACTCCTGTTCACCGTCTGTATAATAGCGAACGACCGCATCGATAAACACATTACCAGGGCCGGTATCAAAGTCGTAACATCCGTCTACACCACCGTGGGTGTCAGGCGGGATAAAGCATACATTTGCGATACCACCGATGTTTTGACAGGCACGTAACTTAGTCGGGTGATGTAACACGAGGGCGTCGAAAAAGGCAATCAGCGGCGCACCCTGTCGTCCAGCAGCTTGATCGCTCACGCGGAAGTCGGTCACTGAGGTGATACCGGTACGCGAGGCCAGGAACGAGCCCTCAGCCATCGTCAGTGCGCTCCGTGTTTCTCCTTGTTCCGGCATCGAGAGAAGCCAGATTGTTTGGCCATGGGAGCCTAGCACATCAATAGATTCGATGTCGACGTTTTGCTCCTTGCAAAACTGATGCACTGCGGATGCAAATGTCTCGCCGAGGATGACATTTACTTCCGATAACTCGGATGGGGATGTTTGGTTGCGCAGGATCATATTCATGATCCGTTTCTTGATGACTGGCTCCAGCGGAATTTCTCCATACTATCACCAATGTCAGTAAGTTTTGGTTCATCGGAACAGTCAAAATGTTTACCTTCAGCAGCTCAAAGTGCATTGGGGACTCAGGGGTCTCCTGGCGGAAGCGGCAAAGGGCACAGTCGATGCCATCCTTTACTCACTGTTAGATCATTTTCCTGTCACAATCAAAATGGAGTACTGACCATCGACGTCCCGCTGTTCAGGCCGAGAACAGTCAGATCCAAGGCATGGTCAGCAGTACCGTTGGTCGTGCTCGAAGCCATTGTGTGATCGGGATAGGGGCCTTGACGTCTTGAGCCGGATTGTGTAGAGAAACAAATGAGCGAGGGCCTCGACACTATTTAATGGAAACCGAGATCCCATGGCCTGCCGAGTGTAAATAGATAACAAGCCCGACATTATACTTCGGATGCATGACGGCTAAATGGGGAGTCGGCAAAACGCCTATTGCTCTTTCGCTGAGCCACGACAAGAACTTATCATGACACAACTTCAAGGTTCTGGATATGTCAGCTTCTACATTAGTCATTAATGGTGCACCTTTAACGGCAATTGTAGCTGAATGATGACAAGTTAGAGTTTTCCGCATTTCCCCGATTGGCCAATTCGACACTGTTCTGGCAGAACGTCTGCACGCTTCAGCGAGCCATGTCGGCTAAACGCTTAAATCCGTATGGTGATCCTATCCTTCCCCAGATTCCCCTGCATATTGATTGTTGGGGCAGCTTCCCCTTATGTTCAGGGCCTCACAAGCGACCAATAGCAGAGGCTCTGTTAAGCGGCTACACGTTTAAATGAGAGCTACCGGCATACCGGACCTCGGCAGTTTCCCCAGAAAGACCTCCGATCCGATAGCCCGGGGAACGAGCATATATGATCTATAAATGATTCAGGAAAATCCACTTTTCCTTGACAATGAATTTAGAGAGCAATACCAAATATGAGTTATACGACGCTATGGAAGCGACTCTCGCCGCGCCAGCTGAACTTTGCTATACAACTTTTCTCCCTCATTTCCATCTTCTTCGAGGGCTATGACCAAGGTGTCATGGGCGGCGTTAATGCTTCGCCTAGATACGTCACAGAGGTCGGTATCGGTAAACCAGATGGCACTGTGACCGACACCACGCACCAAGGTGGCATTGTCAGTGTTTATTACCTGGGTGCTATCTTTGGTTGCTTTGCTGGAGGATACTTGGCTGACCGGATTGGTCGTATCAATGGTCTTCTGATGGGTTCATTTTTCGCCTTGGTCGGTGGGGCGTTACAGAGTGCCGCTCAGAATTCAGATTTCATGATTTGCGCTCGAGTGCTGACCGGTATCGGCACTGGAGGTAAGTGAATAAGTGAATAAACGAATGTTCTAATTCCCATTTACTGACAATGACATAGCTTTGACTGGTATTACCCCTGTCTTGGTCTCGGAAACTTCAACAGCAGATCATCGTGGCGGTTATTTAGGCTACGTTTTCGTTGCAAATTGTAAGATGGCCTTCCAATGTATCATTTCGCCATCTTATTGCTTACACTTTCTAGACCTTGGCATATCAGTCGCATATTGGATTTCCTTCGGTCTCGCTTTCATCGACAACGGCTACTCGGACGTGCGATGGCGATTTTTGCTCGCTTTCCAATGCGTTCCAGCCTTGATTCTTCTCTGTTTCATCAGGATGCTGCCCGATAGTCCCAGATACCTCGCTTCAGTTGGTCGCAAGCAAGAGGCTCGTGAGCTGTTAGAGCACCTTCGACAAGACTCTTCTACCCCTCAGCAAATTGATCAAGAGTTCTTTGAAATTGCTACCTTAGCGGAGGAAGGTGAACGCGACCCTTTTAAATTCGTAAAGATCTTGTTCGGGCAGGGTGGAAAGCAGTATCCGAATTTGGGCAGGCGAGCTTGGCTATGTATCTGGCTACAGATCATGGCCTCCTGGACGGGTATCACTGTAAGTGTGACTTCACCACGTCTCTGCTTTTGCTCAAAATGTCTGATCTTACCGAACCTAGGCTGTCACTGCTTATGCTCCGGTTCTTCTCCATCAAGCTGGGTATAGCACACTTACAATAAATGGTCTGGCCGGTGGTATCAACACAATTGGTATTTTTGGCACCCTCATAAGTGCCCAGATTGTCGACCGCATAGGCCGTCGTGTTTGCCTGATAGGTGGTGCAGCCGCTTTGTTTATTGTCAACCTGATTGTGCGTCTCCATCTCTGTTTATTTCGCCTGCTTACCATTTGATAGACTGGGGCTGTCTACGAGGGCTCGTTGCATAATCCTGATAAGTCGACTCAGTTCGCTCCCGGTTCTACTGCTATGTTGTTTTTATTCAATCTTGCGTATGTCGAGCACATCCTGCTTGATGTCTTTTTGTACTAATCTTTTATCTCATCGCAGTTATGCTGCGACGTGGGGTACTGTCGCATTCTTGGTGCCTACGGAAATATTTCCCAGCAATCTGCGAGGCCAGGGAAATGGCTTCGGAATCACCGGTTGGGCTATTGGTGTTGGCATGACAACTCTAGTAAATCCGATCATGTTCGCTGCTCTAACTGTGAGTTTGAAACCCTTAGGTAGTCTTCATGTTGCAGAGGAAGCTAACCATCATTTCAATAGAGCCGCACTTACTTCCTCTATGCCGGCCTTAATTTGCTCTGGATCCCCGTTATTTATCTCTGTACGTCTCGATACCAAATTGAATATCAACCCGATAGCTAACAATTTAGTCTACCCGGAAACATCTAATCGCTCCCTGGAATCAATCGAGCAATTGTTCTCCACACCCAGTCCTTTCTTCTGGAAGATGGAACAGGCATTTGAGTTACATGGTAATGTGTTGGCGGAACGCGGATTCAGTAAAAATGATGGTTTCAATGATGATGAGAATGAGCCGGGGTCATTCGAGAAGTCAGAGGAGCAGATGATTGCCTAATGCTCTGGAGTATTCTGCCAGTTGCTTACCAACTCCGCGGAGACATGGCCTGTCAGCTTTATGGCAATGGAATTGAAACGCATTATAACAGCGGTTTCACTCCAAGTATTCATTGAATGTATGGCGGGATCAGTTGCGACCGATCCTTGAGGATGATGAAGGGAATTTGGAAAATAATGCGCCCTTTCTCAAATTCTCATTTATATCTTGGATGATAGATTGGTGACAACAAGGCTTCCCGTCTGTTTAGCTGTATTTAAGCCACAGCCGGTGAGTTAGTAGTTGGGTGGGTGACCACCAGCGAATCCTCACTGTTGTATGTTTTTGTTGTTGTTTTTTCCCCTCTCCATTTCCAAGAATATAGACGACATAGTGTTTGTTAGGAACGAGGCTCAATCTGCCAAGATGATAAATTGACCAAACTCTGGTGTCAATCTCTAGTTGCTAATCTCCGTATCGCAAACAAAACCCTAAATAAATTCCTCCAGCTCAGGAACAAGAAAACCGTGCTTCAGAAAGGATGCATCGATTGTGAAAGTTCGAGAGGGTTTTTGTAGAAGAATTTTACACACAGAGCCGCTCAATCAAATACTGGAGCATGAAGTTACTTGTCCCCGACTGTTTCTCCAGCTTGGAGAGTGCACTTCTTGTCTGGGACTCCAGAGATGCAAGAGTCTCCTTTGTGAATTCAAGACTCTTGGTCTGGTTCATCTTCTCCAGTATGAGCTCCTTGGCTTCAAATGACATCTTCCCGTTCTTAGATCGCTCGTGGAGAATATTCTCGATCAGGAGATGATCCGGGGAATGAGACAGAAGATGTATAAGGGGGAATGATAGTTTCCCTTCATCAAGGTCCTCAGCATATCCCTTTTGCTCCTGGAACTAAGTCTGTTAGCTTTTTGTTATAGTGAAAAGGTTCCGAAACTGCATACCGTCTTTGAAGTGAGATTGATGTAATCGTCCCGAATTTGGAAATACTGTCCCATGAGTGTTAAGAAGCTGATCAAGTCATCGATTCCAATTTTTCTGTAAGGCAAAAGGTCAATTAAAATGGCAAATTTTTGGGTCCGATTTTGTTGTTAATGACATACCGTGGTTCTTGCGCTTGTGCGTATATCAAGCGACCGAGCATGCAAAATAACCCTCCAGTTTCTAAAAAGGATGTCTATCAGTGTCTGCATGGATGTAAGTCACCTTGCTTTCGCTTACTGAATTGGATCATTTGCATATATTCGGCCACAGAGGGAAAACTGCTCCTGCGAGCCCAATGGATATCATAGCTTTGTCCGATGTGGAGATTGTTCATCTCGTCTGCTTAAACGGTAAGTATTGATAATTCACTTCGTGAGCGCCAATGGTGACATCATACCAAGAAAGGCTTCCTGAGATGTACTAGCATTTAAGTGTAGCAATTCGTCCACGGCGGTGACGTAGAGGTAGTTGGCTGAGTTGATTGTCTGAGACACACCAAAGATACGATGAGCCGATGGTTTTCCCCGACGAAGCGGGGATTGATCTTCAACATCGTCAAGCAAGAGTGATGCGTGATGTAAAGATGAGACAATGCTTTCGATGCGATTGAGCGATTCCTCGGGTATGGTGAACCAGGAGGCCAGTGCTTCGATGAGAATACCTCGGACATTTTTCGATGGAAGTCCCTTGATATACTCAATAGGCCCGAGAAGTATCTGTTCATAAATCATCAGTTTTTACTTCGTGTCGGGCTTTGGATGTCGAGAAGACTCACTTCCTTGGATAATGTCTCAGGAACAGTCTCGCCAACATTGGAAGCATCGGGTTCAGCCTGAGGAATACTTCGATTAGCCTCGAACCCATGGCCATCGGCATTGATTTCTGTTTTGGGTGCCTTGGACAAGTCTTTCCCATGATTGGGCACATTATTGTCGACATGACTCCCAGAATTGGAAAGCTCGTATTTCTCCGGGGCTTTCACCCTCATAGATGCCAGTTTGAGGTAATCTGAACACTTTCCCTTTTTCTCATCAACAAAATAAAATTCAAGGTCTTCAGCATTCACATCCCCAAACCGGAGTACATTTTCTCTCCAATTCAGATATCGAATCGAAGAACCTCCCCAATACCAGTTCCCCGATACCATCAGCCCAACGAGTTCGACAAAGTATGTCAGATCCGACGGCTCGTTTTCCGACAAGAAAGCTTTCTTTTTTTCCAAAAATTGTTTTTCGAGTGGACGGATCTTGTCTTGCAAAACCTTTTCCTTAGCCTCGTAAGCCGTAATATCAAATTCAGTCATCATGCGCCACACGGCATTGTTTATGTTTCCCCCGTCTGAAGCTCCAGGGACGCCTCTCTGTCAAAGCTGTAGATGTCATTGGTCAGAGCTGTGGCAACCATGCCGGGCCAAGTGATATGTTGAACAGCCTTGACATCAGCCATGGTCAAATCAAGCTCAGAGCCGTAGACAATGAAGGGCATATAAACACTATTGAGTATGAGTGGTGGAGTCTGTATTATTTTAGGGTGTCAGGCAACTCACTGACAAGCGGCATCTTCCCATCTGTATTGCAACCATTCGTCCCATGTTTGAATCTCATCTGCCTTTCGTGTCCCAATACAAGATCGGTATTCATCGAGCACTTCAATTATCATTCCTCCCCGTTTAGGATCGATCTTGAGAAGCTCAACAAATATTTGAGCATAAATCTGCTTTTCACGGGTCTTCAAGTGATGGCTGTCACTTGCTGCGATAGTAGAGTTCTTGCTCAAGAATGCCTCTTCGGACTGTGTGGCTTGTGTTGAGAATGACTAGACATGTAAGCAAACTAGATAGAAAATGGAAATGGATCGCGTACTTCCTCCAATTTTCGACTCGAGAATGTGTCTAAAACAAAAGAGTCTTAGCTCTGGTATCATCAAATGAGATTAAAGGTGAAGATAAACAATATACCATCCACAACAAAGAGAAATTCTGTCAACTTCGTCAAGACCTCTATTCTCTCTGGTTTGCACTCGGGTAATCCAAGAGTGATGAGAGAGCCCTTGGCAGATTCGCAGCCTCCTTCGAAGTTTCCACCTATGGCTTTCCACTGCCGGAGAAAATCTTCGCTGGCTTTTGTTGCAATCGAGCCATACTTTCCCAAACGCACATCGAGTTGGGTAGGGCAAGATTCGGCGATCACTTGTGGATCTATGGGATCAGAATATGGGAACTTCATTTTTTCTTTCAATTTCGGTGTCTTCCTAGCTCGAGCTTAACAAGAGAGCTTTGATGAGGGTGATTAAAATCACAGCAGCTCCTGACTTCTTCTTATACTTTCTAAAAGCCATGCATGGATGTACCCAGAGACCGCTTGAGTCTGTCTTTGTCAACATGGAATTGATAGATTGTTAGTGCATATTCAAATTCTACCACTTTCACTGTTCTGGCTGACTTGGAAAGTAGTCTAGTAGTCTGGCATGCATGTACAAAATTCCGTGCCCTTTTCTGTTTTCCCTTCCAAGGTTTTCTTATCATTTTTTATGTATATATCGCAAAGACGAATCAATATCACTGCACCCCGTGTGTCTCGCCTCATCAATGGTATGCGGAGGCTCCGAGCCCTCCGGATCTAGTATCAAATGCTTATGCCTCTCATAGCTGTATAATCAAGACCTACGCGAAAAGGGACAAATTGCCTACAGATTCATTGAAATATGCTTCTAATGCTAATATCAAGGGGGGGAAGAAAATACGTGAAAGTATCGTGGATACCCTTGGTGATGTTCACGGCTTAGCCAAGACTTTCTTTACTCAACCAATCAACATTACTCGATAAGTAGTTCAGGAAAAAAGACAGCCAAGCTGTACATACTCTTGAGAACAAAAATAAAAACATACAACAGTAAGGATTCGCTGGTGGTCACCCACCCAACTACTAACTCACCGGCGTGTGGCTTAAGTACGGCTGAGCGGACGGGAAGCCCTGTTCTCCACACCCTGTGGTCGTATGTACTGAAAATGGGAGTTGAAAGAATTATATCGTCTCCAAATTAATACCGAGTTTGAGCTGGGAGAGGTTCGCTGGCTCGCTGGACTGCTCATCCAAACATACCTTGTTCAATGTCAAGAGACGTATGATGAATCTTGGAAGGCAGTTGATTGTTAGTCGAACTATACAATAGTGAGACTATTTGATATTACAGGCTTCAAGCAATGAAGATCAACGTTGGAAGCTGAAAATAAAGGTGATGGGCCTTTTGTCGGCAGTGGTGTCTGCCTGGTGTGCAGGGTCCGCGCTGATAGATATTCGTAGATCGGGAGCTTCCCTCTCTTCCTCCTTCTTTTCTCCTCGTCTCCCACAATACATAAGATTGATGCTACATACTGCTCCTGAGCTTCGCCCGATATCTTTTATCACTGAAATCTTTGCTGTCTATGAAAAGACTTGAGACTCCCCGTTTTCCACACATCAGGTCTTAAGACCGGGCATTGAATCCATGAATAAGGCAGTCAATGCGTAATTACTGAGATATTCAGCTTATCCGATGTGCCGATACTTCCTATCACCCCGTAGCGGAACTATTCGTTGCTGCTGTTTTTGGGAAGGTTCAACCTAGTGATTTTTGGGACCAACTTGAGATTATTGAAGGGTGCTTCCATATGTTCACCGGCTGCCTCTTGGCGTAGGAAAATGCTCACTAGGATAAGACTCTTCAAAAATTACTAGGATCTGTCCACGGGTTAGCCGAAACAAAACGTTGTGCCCTGATATTCTGAGGAATCTACCACCTTTTTTGCATTGCATAATTTTAAACGAAGCCTTGAATTGAAACACAAAAATCTTAGAATCTTAGAGGAGACCCAATCTGGCTCTACAGGCTTCGAGCTTAACCATTTGATCATGCATTAACCCTGGAAATATATAGCATGTAAATTGACAGCCATTCCTGTACTATAACAAGGTTGGTAATGAATCTCCTTCTTTCAATTGGACTTTTGTACAATTATTCAATCTTGCTTGCAGTCACTCAATATATGCTTCTGAAGATTGGCAACGACATGATTTACAATGACAAGTTTTAAATTCAGCCGCAGTAGGCCCGTTCGCCGTTGGTAGGCGTGGCGTATTGAAGAGCCTTGACTTCATAGCCTGAAGTACGTGTTATTGATATAGGTACAGTTTTAAACAACAGTGCGCAATGATTTTGGTGGCTTGTCAAGACTGGAGTATTGTAGATTGCATGCCCTTGAGGCTTGGTATACTTGTATTATGTTTCTGATTCCCTTGTCCCTATCATCCCAATCACAGGACGATTGCAGTTTCAAGGAAATATCACTTGGAGATAGATACACTAAGCCTGATGCCCAAATGGATTGCTTGTGAAAATTCATGTGATCCATGGACACACTAGAGAATTCTCAAGGTTGACATATTTGCTTGACCTTATAAATGTGTTGCATAGGTAGGATAATCATTTCCAAGGTTACCTTCCAAAGCTCTCAAGACTGGTTTTTCAGAAACTAGGTATCTTACGCCTTTTCGCTAGAACCACTAGCTGTGACCGGTCTAAGAAGAGGCGACTTCGGAAATAATTTGCAAAATACCTTGAAAGCCTTGAAAAATGCTGTCCACGATTGTACGAAACTCGCAGAATCGTGGCACTATTTATCAGGATGCGCATTTCTAACCTCACTTTTCTCTTCTTAGATATGTTTCGCTCTCGTAGCGACACTCGCTTCCATCTACCGTTGTTATTTCGACAAACTTTCCCAGATTCCGGGGCCCAGGCTAGTCGCACTTCATCCGGTAGGCTCAACACAATCACCCAAATGTGAAAGTTGTATTTCTGACCAACTCTCTTTAGCTGTGGACAATTACAAGACTGTGTAAAGGGCGCTTGCTTCAAGACACGAAAGAGCTTCACAAAAAGCATGGTGAGATCAACGAATAACCATTCATAAACTTGGATTAATGTTTTGCAAAGGTCCCATTGTACGGACAGGACCTAGTGAACTTTCTTTTGCGACTATTAGTGCCTTCAACTCAATTTATGGGCCTCTTTCCGATCGAAATACAACAAAGGCAGGTTCGGTTCAAGGCCTGGCCGTATCACTCGTGACGGAAATTGACCAATCCATGGTTGTTGAAGTTAACAAGAAGCTCCACAAAGACGCCAGGACTGATGTTCATCCTATCTTTACTGAAATGGTGAGGGGAACATTGGAGAATGTTCATAGTGATGTGTTCAAAAAGCACATGATCAATTCAATCGTACTGGACGACAAGAAAACCCCTTTCAACTTCACAGAATTCGTGCAAGACTTCGCTTGGGAATTAGCCGCAGGGGTTGTAATCGGACATCAATTGCCACCAAACGCCAAAGGTATCATTTCCCCCAGCTTTAGGTCTTGGGGAGAAGATCAACACTAATACAGCCACAGCTCAATATGACAGATTCAGAACATTCTTTCCAATGAGCTCAATTGTCATCGAGTCTGGGTCCTACTTGATGGGAAGAACTTCCTTCCATGCATTTTCTCGTGTTATAGCACGTACCATCAAGGTTTTGGGTCTAGACTTGATGCCATTTCTCAGAGTCAATGCATTCGTTGGACCTTCCAAGGGAGATACCCTGGACCCAGAACATCCAGTTTCAAGTTTCAAAGGCAACCTCACGTCTGGAAAATTGGCCGAGGTAAAGCAAAAACCCACCCAAATCGATGAAAACCTTGTCCTCTTCATGTGAGTTTCATTACATAGGCGCTTTAGACAGGATGGCAAAGAATGTCTTCTAACAAATTCACAGGGGTGCAACATACGACACATCAAGTTCTACAGTAATTTCTTTATTCTATTATTTAATGTGTCATCGTCAGGCGTTCATGGCAGTCAGAGAAGAGCTCAAAGGCGCCTTCCAGACGCTCAGCGAAATCTCAGATCAGAAGCTCATTCCGCTCGTGTACCTCAATGCATGTATCAATGAAACATTCAGGATGAGTCCGCCTGTCAATGGTAAAATCATGCAACGAGTTTCTCTCGGCATGACAATCGACGGTATTTATGTTCCAAAGGGGGTATGTGACAATGGCGGAAGACCTCACCCTTGAGTCCGTACTGACTATATTCAGGTCGCTGTGTCTGCCGATACTCTGTCGATGCATCGTTCATCCGTCTACTGGGACCAGCCAGAGTCATTTCGACCCGAGAGGTGGGTCAATAAGGCGCCAACCGATGAATTCCGTGCTTTCCGTCCCTTTGGATCTGGAAATAGAATTTGTCCCGGTCGAATGATGGCCCTTCAGTCCGCCCGTCTTACCTTGGCCAAGATCGTTTGGCTCTATGACCTGGAGATGGTGAGTGATCCGAAAGAATGGCAGCAAAGTGCGAGGTCGGGATATTTGTGGGAGTACCCTGATTTATACGTGAATGTATCCAGCTCCGGTCTGAAGTGAGAATGTTCAGTGGTTGGTCCGGGGTTTCGGGATTCTCCTACAACTTGAGGGATAAATTTATGTGCATCCGAAGAGATAGTACTACATGGTAGAGATTGCTTGATTGCTATGTTGGAGGGCTATGCGTGTATCAGGACAGACGTTACCTAAATGAAGTTTAAGAGTGTTAGGCAAGATCAACTGGCATTCCAAGATTTGAAAGACCAAACCCAATTGCACAAGAAGGAGCTTTCCGATATATGACTGTGCTTCAGAGCTACTAGGCTGGTCTACGAAACTAGGTTGTTCTGACGTCGCTTTCTACAACTGCCGCACATGCCGTGCCACTGGAGACCGAGCTTGCTGCACATGCCGTGTTTCAAGGTTGGCATAAACATTCTTAAGGTCGGTGTCCTGCGCAGACTCAGCTAGCACCATTCCTATTATTATGTTTTAGATTTTCAAATTTTCAGATGAATCTAGTGTATTGAACCGCCTTTGCATTCGTAACGTGAAAGGGAGATATGAATTCGCAGTCATACATTCAAAATCAACAAAAAGCCTGCCGCCCATAAGTATTCATCATCAATCAAAGTCTTCCCTCAATACCCGCGTAGTGACGAGATTCAACCTTTAATCTTGAGGTGAGCCATGGTCCCCTTGCCAAGCACTGACACAGCTCAACGCTTTTCAGAGTCTAAACTTCAGGTCAGTCGATCCGTAGACTTAGAGTCAAAGACAAACGGATGAAGTCAAAACCTACTTGAAATCTTTTGCAATGTGAATTGGCCAGTCTCGGTCAATTCCTGAGTGAGCTCGAGAGTTAGATCCGCAGACCGAGAAACGTAAAGCGAAGAGACTGTGTCTTGGAGCGAAAAGGTAGACCCATTCATCTTGTTTATCTGATAGACTTGTGCGTCAGCTCCATCGAGATCAAGGCTGCAGGTCGAGCCCTCCTTGCATATAAGGGTTGCAGGGCTGTCGATAGTTCGGATGACAGCATCGGTATCTGCCTGGCCCTCGGTGTTGAATTCCCAGCCATTCTTATCTTGAGTGTAGGCGTTGGTATCGAGTTTCACATCGACTTCTTCTGGGACACCGTGGATTAAAGTCAAAGTAGTTCCCTCGACATCCTGTGTAATTCTGTCTTGGAACACAAGGCCGTTGGCTGAGGTGGACAAGGCGGCGAGGACGCCGACACAAATTTGGAAAGAAAGCTGCATGGTGATAGTGGTGTTTGGCGGATTGTTGAATTGGTTTGGGGGAGGGGGGTTATTTTGGGGGGATTAGGAGAGGGGAGGGGAAGTATTCATTTTCAAATCAGCCGTCGTTTGAATGTGGTACTCCGTACGGAGTACATCCAGTCAATTTACTCTGTAGATCGTTGGTCCCACCTGCAGAAATTGTGCCTGGTCTAATAGCGGCTTTGAGGGCTATAAGATGCAGGTGGCGCGGCTGAGAACTTTGTTTTGCAGAGGATAACTTGTCGCCAACACGGTTTGTGGAAACCAGATTGTTTTTATTTGTTGCCCCGGACTATTAAGAATCCTTAAAAGTGGTAAGTACACTGGCAACCATAGGAACTTCATACTATTCATGATGTACTCCGTATGGAGCACGATATCCTATGGAGCACGGAGTACTTGGTCAATATCTTTGTACAAGATCTGAGGCTGGATCTTCTTGCCGCAGTGGATCAGATCGGTCCATGCTACAGATCTCTCCACTAATGGATCCAATAAAAGCCAACACTAGCCTGTATACGGAGTACCAACAGCACGGAGAAAACAACATTGTCAAATGATTGCCAACGTCGGAATGCTCGCTAGGCGAACGGCGGCATCTCTTGAACCCAGCGCCTTGGAACCGTGATAAATAGTTCAGTGGGGCAATAGAGATTGGCCCCTGAGACACACCATAAAATAACTCGAGGGTATGGAGAATAACAGGTCGCTATCATTATGGGAGTTTTCTACAGAGTACGGAGTGCATACATACTGTGAAATCTCATGCTTCGGTAATCTCTGACGGCAGTTGCTTCTTTGCTCGCTTGCTCTCTTGCAGCTTACGGAGAACTCCTCGCCCAAGTAACCCACCATGGCAGTGATCTACCTTTGAAGCACCCGGGGGCATGGTTCGACGATTTCTCCGGACCCCTTCGCCCCACCGCATCTTTACTTGTACCCAATGGATGTACCGATCTCATAGCAGGGGGTTCATGATAACAGAAGGAAATCTAGGATGAAACGTTTGGCAAAGCAGTAGCCCAGTTCTGATAAACGAAAAACGGATGGAGGAAATAAGAAGAAGAAGAAGCAAGAGAGGGAGGGAACGAGCTATCTAGCCTGACCTGTCATCGCCTGAGCAGATCGTAGATCACCTATCCCGACAGTTCAGCTGCACCCGTCACCGCTGAAAGCTAACACATGAAGCTCGGGACGTGGGAATACGAAAATTCGGCACCTATAACTCCGGTCAGTAGCTCTTCTAACTCCTCATTCCAATCGTGCCATACTCGCACACGGAGTTGGGTCCAAATGCCTATCCTCGTAGGTCCCAGGTCTACAACGGCTTAGCTGCAGTGGAAAGTGGCTAGGGGGAAAGGAAAAGGAACACAGGTACTCCGTACTTCGTAGAGGATCCGTAAGTAGGATCGGTCTAGTGTTTTTGGTGTCGGAAAACTAATCCGGTGTGAGAGGCGACGATCATAAAACATGACCCACTTGCAGACTGGTAGACAAATCAGCCCGAGTACTCCGTAAGCCGATCCAGGAAATCATTCCCCCTGTCAAAAAAATCCCCACACTAGCCCCTGAGGGTGCTGGGTAGGTGCAAAATAGAAGGCCCGTCTTCCAAAGTGACTGGTGGAAAGGCGGCCGTTTCTGGCGCCAAAAATGGCCACTTTCGGCGTAGATTTCACAGGCCCTTATATTTTAGTTGTAAAAGGTCTCAGGCAGTTTCATCTGTGGATGCTTTTGATGCGGATCGTCGATCGTGGCAATGTTGGTTCACCTCAATATTGGGCAAACGGGGTCTTGGAAGGTTCCAAGGTTGGAAGATCAGTTCTCTATTCGCTATCGACATCTCCTCATGTCTCCTTGGGCGGTGGATGGTGTACACGGCTTGCATGGTGAAGTATAGCAAATATTAAGTTGTTTTCGGCACTCGATTATGGATTATCGTAGACTACACTACACAAACAAGAGACAGGAAGATCCTCGGGTCCTGCCCATTCCTAACAGATAGGCGATATCCAAAGAACCTGGTCAAAAGCAAATAGGGGCGATGTACACAGCGCTGAACAAATGGAAAAGGGTCAAATGCAAAGGAGCCCACTCATCTAGTCAGCTACCAGATCCGAGGGGCCCACGGGTTTCATGGAAGGAAAGGCATGGGGTCAAAAGCAGAGTATGTAAGAGATATGTGCAATGGAAGAAAGAGGGTCATAATCAAGACTTGGAAGTCAGGTGGTCCACGGCCTGGTGACTAGTTAGTAGAGTCCAGAAGGGGGAGAGGGGGATGATCTTCTTACCTTGTCGAGGTTGTAGTCAAACTTCTCCAAAGCGTCCAAGGAGTCGTTGCGGCTGAAACCCATGCCGGTCAACCGTTGCAGGATCTGGTCGTCCTCGCCACTTTCGGTGTTCAGGGCCCATCCAGGCTGCTTAGACTTGTCTTCGAGCGAGTCCTCGCCGGTGGTGGGCTGGGCGTTGTCAAGGGGCGCGAATAGGGCATCCCACTCGTGGGCAGCTGGCTTTGCCCCTCCCTCGGTGGGAGCACCAAACGGCTGAGCGGGAGCCGCGTGGACGTTGTTGTCGAAGGAAAAGAACTCAGACGAGCTGCCTTGGCCGGTGTTCGTGGCCGAGAGAGGCTGCTGCTTCTGGGACGGGGCGTCGAAAGAGAAGTCAAAGTCATTGGTGTTTTTAACACCATGGCTCTCAGGCTCGTCATCGTCATCATCCGCTTCGGCAGCGGGTGCAAGGTTCATTCCCGCGAAAGCTGCCTCGAAATCGGGCCCTCCCACCTTAGCTCCTCCAGCGGGAAGAGTGGCTTCCGAGATCGAGTCCCGCTGGGTCTCGCCGGTGACCACTGGCGCCCCAGTAGTGTGCTCTACTGAATGAGGCGCATCGGGAGCGACCGTCGGATCAGTACGTTCGGGAAGGAGACCATTGAATTGGGGTGGGAGGTGAGTGTTATCTTCCTTGGGGGCTTCATAACCAGGAGGGCTTTGCTGCTCCTCCGGGGATGGGGGCTTAGAGTTGGTTCCTGGCACAGGGAAAGCGGCCAGTTGAGCAGCATCAATGGAGTCCGGTTGGGCTCCCTTTGTAGCAGCAGGTGTGGGGGGCGCGAAGTTGTCGTCAAAGCCCAGAACACGTTCATCATCCGAGCTGTCATCGTCGTCATCGTCGTGGTGGAGCTCCTGGATGGGAGGGAATTCAGAGCCACCAGGAGCGGCAACAGCTGATTTTTCACCACCGGAGGGTTGCTTCATAGAGGCGAATGCTTCCTCAAAGTCGTTGCCTTGCTGAGATTCAGAGCGCTTGTGCGCCTTGCTTCCAAACAGCTCGTCAAAGCTAAGATCCTGATTACCGCCCTGAACTGGAGAAGTAGTGGATTCAGGCTGCTGGGTGGCGGGTGCAGGGACATCCGGGAACTTTGTCGACTCGTCTAATCCCTCTTCCTCGAAGGGAGACCGGGCGGGGGTACCTTCAACGGTCGAGGTAGGCGCACGGCTGTAGTCGCTGGACTCTGCGAGAGAGGGCGCACCGTTATCACTGGAAGGACCCTGAGACGGGGTACCGAATCCAGAAGTTTCAGTACCGCCGAAGCGACTACCAGGAGGTGAAACCATAGTCGACGAGGTCACCGATTGATTGTCGTTGAATGGGAGGAAGTTGGGGGTTAATTGACGAGACACACTAGGAGCGGGGGGTTCGGCTAACGGGCCCGTAGGAAACGCGCCGGGCAAAGATCCAGGTGGCGGGGACACGGATGGGGTCGGTGCAGAAGAAGTAGGAGGAGAGCTGACTGCAACCTGAGGCGACTCGGGGCGGAATGAGGTGGGCGGTGGTCCCGCAGCAGAACCCGCGAAAGATTGACCGAAAAGGCTGTCAAATGCCTTCTGTTGGTCACTTTGGACATCTGGTGATCGCGCCTGTTCACTTGCACTGCCAGTCCGACGGAAGAATGGGTTGGTGTTTTGGCTGGCAGATGAAGCTGCAGGGCTGGCAACTTCGGACACGTTGGCAGGGGTCGAGGACTCCTGAGAGTATTGTGGGGTCTCGGCTGCAAAGCCATCGATTTCACCTTGAATCTTGTCACGCTCGCCTTCAACAGTAGCCAACTGCTTCTTGTTGATGGCAACCAGACCCTTCTGCTGGCGCGCGCCAGAGCGAGCCTTCTCCAAGGCTGGCTTGAGTTGGGCGACCTCGGCATTTGCCTGTCGAATCTTCTCCTTCAGGCTCAAGTTTTCTTGCTCATCGGCGGCCAAGGCGGTTGAGACCTGGGTGTATTGATTGTGCAGATCCTGGCGACTACCATCGAGTAAAGCATACTGTTGCGACAGCTTGGTCGTTTCCGCTCTGGATGATTTGAGGCGCTCCTCAAGTGCCTTGAAGTTAGTGACTTCCTGCTCATACATGGAACGCGCTTGCGCAAGACGGGCTTCAAAGTCACGCTTTTGCTGCGTGCTTTGTGTGAGGTTTTGTTCGGCAGAGGATCGCTTTTCCTGCACGTTGTGCATTTCTTTTGCCAGAGAACCAACTTGGTTTGACAGATTGGCTAGCTCGGTGGTCTCTTGTGTCAATTTGTTTGACTCTTCAGGGTCATTGTCACCAAGAAGATCATCCGAAGGAGGCGGGGGTGAGCGTGCACCGAAAGAGTTTCCAGCAGATGCACCAGTTGACTGGGGCTGCAAGGTCTGACCAAACGCAGAGCTGGGGATAAATGGCTTGAAAGTGTTGGATGCAGTCTGAGGGGATGCTCTGGACGGTGAAGCCGGGGTTTGGAATGCACTGTTAGAGCCTCCTGTGGACTGAGGCATCTGTGGTTGAGCAAATGGCTGGACGGGAGGCTGAACAGGAGAATCCAGGCCAAACAGATCATCAGCAGCAGTTCTGACTGGTGGAGCTGGCACCGGGGGAGGAGTTGGGGCAGCCATTGGGGCAGGCGCCTGACGGCGCATGCTGGGCGGGATAAGCGCAGGTGGCACCACCTGTGGGAGCTGATCCTTTCCACTACGCTGCATTCGGACGAGGTACATGGCCACGGCAAATTCATCGCGGCTCAACTGACCGTCCGCATCTATGTCGGCAAGGTCCCAAATCTGAGCAAGTGTCTCTTCCGGAAGCTGGGCCTTCATGAAAAAGGCAACAGCTTGATCTCCAGTAATTAACCCCAACTTGGCCGTGTCGACAGTCTCAAAAATCGCATCGTACTGGGCCTTCTCGGGTGGAGTGACTAGCCAATCACCCCCAGTGACCTGGGCGGAAAGAGAACCCCCGAAAGCCTGGCGGCTGGCTGGGTTAAGCGGGCTCGTCGTTCGCTGCGGGCCAGTGAATTGCCTAGGAATAGCAGGGACAGGAGGGACATCGGGTCGTGCTCCAAAGGATCCACGCGCAGCTCCAGCTCCAGCTCCAGATCCTCGTCGAGCTGCGGCATCATACAGACCCGGTGGAAGTGTCGCGGGGATCCCGCGCAATGTGCCATACTTGTAAGACGTCAAGAGATGCATAGCAATTGTGAATTCCGTGGCATCCAAGGCGCCTCGTTGCTTGGTGTCCGATAAGGACCAGATGCGACCCAAAACCTCGTTCGGAAGTCCGGCGCCTTCAAAGATCTGCTTCGCACTTTCACCTATCCCAAAATACCCGTTAGGACTTCGGTCTCCTCTCAAATGGGGAGTAACATACCCTTAATAAGTCCATCATGAACATCTGACTTCATAAACAGCTGGACAAATTTACTAGCGTCATCTGGTTGAAGTGGAGGAACTCTGATAGGTCCTCCAGCTCCAGGTGGAGGGCTTGCGGTTCCTGACTCTGGAATGCCCGCGGAAGCATCAACCACGATACCGTCGAAACGAGGAATAGGACCACCTATGTGTGAAATGCGTCATTAGTACCGATTGCCATGGGGGACATTGTATGGCTTACTCTGCAGAGCCAATTCGTCAGAAGGCGCGCGACCAGCTTGAGCATGTCCAATCAAGCGCAGGACAATACCGAAGCCAGACGGGGTCAGGAGACCCCTGTTCTCTTTATCCGCAATTTGCCATATCTGCACCGATGACTATTAGCCGTGTTTCTTTTCGCAAATCATATAAACTGGCTATATCCACGTACCAGGCCAAGTGTGTCGGGAGAAAGGTGAGTCTTCTCGAAGAATGGGACGGCGATTTCGCCAGTGATGACGCCGAGGTTGGTAGTGTCAGCAGCCTGGAAGAGCTGGTAGAACACGCGCTTTTCCTCCGGCGAGAGGTTAAGATTCGGGTGTCGTTGTGCTAAGAAAGCATAATCCGTCAGCTCTGTCTGGTTGCGCGTGGTGAAAGCGGGTGTTGGAAGGGGAGGGGGTAATGACGGAGGCCTGCGGGTCTTCTCCTGAAGTGCGCTGAAGCTCTCCTGCCATGCTTCGAGGGTCTTGTGGCATGCGTTGAGTGGTATATCTTACTGGTATCAGCCATTGCTGTGTCCTAGGAGGAGCTTGACTCCCCTCCTTCAAATGGTTTCACAATTGTTGGGTGCCTGGGGTACAGATGGGGGGATACGGGGTGCCGTCAACTTAGTGATAAGATGCGACGGGCATGGGTGAATCGCGGGTTGCTGGCAGATGTCAACCGGGATAGAACAGACTATTCCCAAGCTTCAAACAGGAAAATAATGTTGAAGAATGGAGGTATAGAGTGGCTGGAGTTGACGTGAGGAACGGAGGTTCCTGGGTACGGCAAGGCGGTCAGTCCCTCTAGCGTCCATTCCATACTTACCTCCAAGGTTGTTTGTTCAAGACAATTCTCTGCTCAAGACCCATTGGATTGGCTCTTTTCCAGACTGTTTCTCAACCTAGATATCATGTGAAATAATCTTCACATTCATTGATCACCAGGTCTGAAAATTGGCAATACTTGAGCCCCATGTGCTCGGTCCACTCCATCTATTCAACCGCCAACCTTGGAACCGTTCAAGATACTTGGCTGACCAGACGGAAAACCGAGGTAAATACATCATGACTATCAGGCTACCGCTGTAGATCTGGGTGTTCCGTCAGATACGAAGTAGATTCGACGATCCTCATTACCGTTGATCATATCTACCGTGGAATGTGGCTGTCGTATTCCAAGTTTGAATATCGAAGAAATATACATCGATCGCATCACTCTCAAGATTCCGAGGTCAGTTCAACCTAGAAATTTTAGCGACCTTCCAACCATGGTTCCAATGCTAGAGCCTTGCAATATCTGCCTTTTAGGTATTATCTCCCCTTCTGTCATGCGGATGTCCTCGTAGTTCACGAGGGTCCCTTTATTGCGGGTGTTTCGTTCCCCGAGTCCCTTGTTATAGGGCTGAGCCTCGAGAGAAGTAGACCCCGTAATTGATTTGATTTCTTTGATGGAATTCGGCATAAGAATGGATGAGAGCCCTCTTGTTTTTCCGAGTCATCCTCATCTTCTTCATACTTCCTCAAGCCATCAAACCATTTCAACTTCCTTCGTCGGCGTTTCGATAGCACATTATGGCGAAAACTGTGCCCTTTCCCATACGGAGTACGGAAGCAGAGATCCAAATATAGTATGATTGCTATTCGGCGCGTATTCAGCCTTCTGACCCAGGGTATCGTGTCTGGGGCGTTGCCAAAAATGAATTCAAAACCTCCATTAATCGTCTTGTTGATGAATTTTGCTAGGATATCGCTGGTCAGATGGGCGCCTATGCCTGGAATTAACGTCGATTTGGAGGCAATGCTTGCACAGAAGGATGCTTTCGAGGATTCCATATCACGATACGGGAAAGCTGCCATATGAGCCTCCATCCCCAAATTCTCAAAGCCCCCGGAGAACTGCACGGTGGAACTCAAAAGCATCCTTCTGTGCAAGCCATGCTTCCGAATCGAGGTTGGTTATAGGCATATATGGCCACCCGAGGCCCATCTGACTAGCAATATCCTGGCAAAATGCCTCTACAGGATGATAGATCGATCTCTTGGATTCATATTTGGCAACCTGAAGATACCTGGGCAGTGAGAGGCACAAACCTTTTAATGTTATAAGGTATTCCAAGGTTAATTATTGAAGTACAGTCCCAAGGCCAAGCTACTCCATGGGTCCATCTAGACAGATACAAACTAAGAAAGGAAAGATTGAGAGTAATTACAATAGCATACGTATGTAGCATCCCGAAAGGTAGATGGAACGAGGGGAAATTTCATCGCTGCTTCAGGGATATTAAAGATATATCGAACAACAAAGCCAGAAAATCATTGGCAGCAAAACTTATGATCCCTTCTATTTGCAAGAAGCCCGATGGCTGCATGAGAGCCGAACCTCTAGACTCGGCGTTGGTCCCCAAGCCAGCCTGTAGAAGTGAACCAACCAAGAGTCTCGAAGCCGGTCACAAAACATGAGTAATCTAGTACTCAGGCTCCAACTCCTCGTCACCCTCAATGGAGTCGGAGGCGACTTCCTCGTAATCACGCTCGAGAGCAGCGAGATCCTCACGGGCCTCAGAGAACTCACCCTCCTCCATACCCTCACCAACGTACCAGTGAACGAAGGCACGCTTGGAGTACATGAGGTCGAACTTGTGGTCGAGAGCGGACCAGGCCTCGGCGATGGCGGTGGTGTTGGACAGCATGCAGCTAGAAGATCATCAGTACTGAGTTCATGAAATATGGGATGAACAGTCTTATCAGACCGGGGGAAAACTTACACAGCGCGGTTGAGGTTGGCAAGGTCGCCGTTAGGGACCTGTTGGGGAGGCTGGTAGCAGATACCGAGCTTGAATCCAGTAGGGCACCAGTCGACGAACTGAATGGTACGCTTGGTCTTGAGGTTGGCGACGGCGGCGTGAGCGTCCTTGGGGACGACATCACCACGGTACAGCAGACAGGTGGCCATGTACTTGCCGTTGCGGGGGTCACACTTGACCATCTGGTTGTTAGGCTCGAAGCAGTTGGAGGTGATCTCAGTGACGGAGTGGGCCTCGTGGGCGGCCTTGTCAGAGGAGATGATGGGAGAGTAGGCGACCAGAGGGAAGTGGATACGGGGGTAGGGCACCAAGTTGGTCTGGAACTCGTTGAGGTCGACGTTGAGGGAACCGTCGAAACGCAGGGAAGCGGTGATGGAAGAAACGACCTGAGCGATCAGACGGTTCAGGTTCTCGTAGCTGGGGCGCTCAATGCCGAGGTTGCGGCGGCAGATGTCGTAGATAGCCTCGTTGTCGACCATGAAGGAGCAGTCGGAGTGCTCCAGAGTGGTGTGGGTGGTCAGGATGGAGTTGTAGGGCTCAACAACGGCGGTGGCGTTCTGGGGAGCAGGGTAGACACAGAACTCAAGCTTGGACTTCTTGCCGTAGTCGACGGACAGACGCTCCATCAGGAGGGCACCGAAACCGGAACCGGTACCACCACCGAAGGAGTGGAAGACCAAGAATCCCTGGAGACCGGCACAAGAGTCGGCAACGCGACGAACGCGGTCGAGGACCTCATCGATCATCTCCTTACCCACGGTGTAGTGACCACGGGCGTAGTTGTTGGAAGCATCCTCCTTACCGGTGATCATCTGCTCGGGGTGGAAAAGGGAACGGTAGGTACCGGTGCGGACCTCATCGACGACATTGGGCTCGAGATCGGCGTAGATGGTACGGGGAACGTACTTGCCCTGGCCTGTCAAGTGGGGGAGGAATGTTAGTGACGGGCCGTGGAATTTTGCACCCAAAAGCGGGGGAGAACATCAAAAGGGTGGGAAAATATGGATTTCATACCAGTCTCGGAGAAGAAAGTGCTGAAACCGTGGTCGGGGTCGGCCTTCTTGCGCTCCTCAGTGAGGAATCCATCGGGCTGTTTGTCGTGTTAGTCGCGGGTGTTTACATCGCGGGTAGAAAATAGGGGTACGGGTGCCCGAGTCACGATCGGGCGCCACGAGTTTCGATTGGAATTCCAACATACCTGGATACCGTGCTCCAGACAGTACAGCTATAAGGACAACTGTTGTCAGTTTACTGAAGGTTGAGTTGAATTTTCAATGGGATGTGGATGTTTACCTCCCAGCAGGAGTTGGCGATCTGGCAACCGGCCTGACCGACTGTAGAAAGAGAAGTCAGCGCGTCAATTCATCGAAAATTGATCAATCCAGACGGAGAGAATTGATCAGTGATGATTTCCTTACCGTTCAAACTGATAATTTCTCTCATTGTGGTGGGTGTTTTCAGGCTAAAAAATCAGGAGAGGGGGAATCAAAACCCAAACAACAAACACGGCGGTCTAAGGTTCTCAGGGGTCAGTCCAGATGTCCACGCACGACGGAAGGGGGCGGGGGTGGAAGTGTAAGTACCTGAAGAATGGGAGGAATGGACGAGAAGATGTCGAAGGGAAAACAAAGTCGACCCGAAATGTTGTGGAGGAGGAGCGTCTGTGCTGTACAGGGGGGGAACTTCATTGTTGATCCGTTCGTTGGGTCGCGTCGTGCCTTCTGATTGGCTCATTCCCGGAGACAAGCTGCTGCTGCTGACCGCCTCGTACGGTGTCCCGTGACTCCACGTGATATCTCCCTAATTCGAGCATGTTTTTGGCGTTTAAAGTGTTGAAATTGAAGCTTGAAGAGAAAGAGAATGAATCATGTTAAGTTTGGTTCGAGGTGCGCAGAACATCTCTCCCATGGGTGGGTGGTATTGAAAGGTGGTCAACCGCGACGTCACGGTGAGAGCCATCCGCTGCCAAATACTCGGTCAGTTCGGATCCACCCGCAAATCTAGCCACGAACCATTTGCCCAGGCTAAGCGTCAAGAGTAGATATTGGTGGTAAAGTCTCAAGCCAAACATCAAACCAGACAAGAAAAGCTAATTGACCTCCAGATATCACCAACAAGACCCTCAAAAAAAAGGCGAAAGCTTCACTATAAGCTGTTATCAACGCATTACTGGTCAAGATCACGTCACTGCAGTCTGCAAGTACCGTCTATTCAGCATCAATATGCAAATCAGACCCCTTTCGGTCCTGGGACTTGTGCTGCCACTCCTCTCAGCAGTGCAAGCAAATGTGGAAAAGACCATCTTCCTAGCACCCGCACCTGCAACCATCCCATCCCAGGAGCCATCCCTCGACGACCTCGGTGTTGAAAGACTCTCACCACAAAACCCTGTAGTGCGCACTAGACTCAATGCATCGTTCCCCACGACTGCTGTGCCAGAAGGCACAGAATCGTGGTTCTTCCTCGAGAAATTGAATCCTGGACAGCGGTACGAGGTACGAGTCTGCTGGCTATCAACTGTGAGTTCATATACCCGCTACTAAACCACCCATACTATATTCCCAAGTTTGGTCAATTGACCAAGACAAACAGCAACCGACATCTTTTACTCTCACCACATACCCCCTATCCAAAACAATTGAGGACACATCTCTCCTGTCTTCGCTCAGCATTTACACATCCGCCCGTCTAGCATCACTAGCCAGCCAGCCCCAAGCCAGCACGCCAAAAGTGAGGAAATCGCTCGATACAGCACCAACCAGTGACTCTGTTCTTTTCCTACGCGTTCATGCTGCCGCGGATTACTTCAGCACTAATCAAACACTGATGCGGGATGTTCCGCCTGTAGCGGTGGATTTGATTCTGGATCCGTTCTTGTTCAACGTTTTCCCGCGCTCGTTGGTGCCTACTGCAGGTTGGATCATTGCTGTTGCTGTTCTGGCAGCTGTACTGGGGAGGTGGATCGTGGGAGAGGTTGGTAGGGTTATTGATGATGCTAGGAGGCAGAGGAGTTTGGAAGAGATGAAGAACAAGTGATTGAAATAAGGCAATCGCGAGAACTATTTGAAAAACATGAAAAGAGTATTGTACTATAATCAATTCGTTTACATGCATCTACTCGATCGAGACCCAAACCTTGGAACTGCGTCAGGTTTTGGAACTGATGAATCGAGCTCGGGGCTTAGGTATCCATGGATGTCCCCCGACATGCTCCCAAGGTTCCAAGGTTAAAGTGCCTATCTGTGCATTTACCAGACGAGTTGGGCAAGGCAAGAAGGAAAAGAAGAAGATGGAAACAACATATGGAGCTGATGTACGGAGTACGGAGTACGGAGTAAGGCGTCGTGTAAGTAGAATTCAATAGTGTAAAAAAGCAATTATATGTCAGAGCCGCCAATTTAACAAACAGATACAAGAGGGGGCCGACAGGAGCGGTGAGGGGGAATAAAAGGGACAGCGAGGTAAACAAAGATCAAAACACGCCAAAATCAACGCCTCGCCTTTCATCTTTCATCTTTCATTTTTACTTCTATGCATCTCCCAAAACTCCAACAGAGTCAAGGATACAGCACACATCGTCAAGTATATCGAACAACGTTAAATCGTAGTAAATGACCGAAAAATCACCTAATCTTCGAAGAAGTTCAGGATTGCACGAATGCCCTTGGAGCCAAGGCCATGGGACGGGTACGAGATGTACAATGGGTCTTCGGTAGCACCGAGCTTAGCACGGAACTCACTCTTGCGAACAAGGTGGAACTGCTTCGCCAGGGCCTCGTAAGTGTGCTCCAGCATCTTGACCTTGGTACCGTGCATGTTGTGACCAGGGATGAGCTGGGAAGTGGCACCAGCGCCGAAAGTGAGGCCACTGACACCGTTCTTGGCGGCTGTCTGAATGGCGTGGGTGACGATGTATTCAATGACACCGTTGGGGGCACCAGGGAAGTCAAGACTGTACTTGACCTGCATGCCGTGGGCGGGAGAGAGTTGGGCCAAGGCAACGAAAGCACACACGGTACCTTCCTTGTCCAAGGCATAGAAGTACCAGCGGTGCTCAGAGTCGCACCATGGGCGGATCTGGGACAGATGGACTTGTGTACCCTTGCGGTTGGATAGCCACTCGCTGATGCGAGTATCGATCTTCTGGCGGATGTCATCTGGGACCATCTCACCCTGGTTCATGGACACCAGCTTGATGCCTTCACTTTCGGCGCGGCGGAGCTTGCGTGCGATCTCACCGTCAGAGGCGGCTTGGTTGCGTGAAGGGTCGACGCGCTCTTCGGCAATGCAAGACAAGCTGCGCCAGCCTAGCCGTTCGCCTAGAATGGTTTCAACTGCCGGCGAGCAGAGGATCCAAACAGGCTTGAGCTTGGTCTCGCGGCGCAGCCACTGTAGGAATTGCGTGATAGTGCGGGTGAATTGCTTAGGGTCACAGGCCGGGTCACCGGGGATGATGGCGAAGTTGCTGGAGCTGGGCACGTATGCAACAGCGGCACCAGTGACCATGTCACGCCAGATCTTGAAGCGATCATCGAACCAGGAGGTCGATGTAGCATCGCCATAGTTCGCGACCAGGTGTTCGAGCGGCTGAAGCTCGTTCACGTTCGCTGCGGTTCTGGTCTTCCGCTCGTGTTGCCACACAGGCTCCAGAGTGGAAGATTCAGGGTGTCTAAGCTTCTCTGTGACTGGTTTGGCGGGCAGACTCTTGGGGTCGCGGTGGAACAACGAGGTCAGACGAATATTGCCCAGCTGAAGAATGAGCATCACAATACGCTCAAGGCCGACACCGGCACCAGCATGAGGTGGAGCACCCCAGCGGAAGCCTTCAAGATACTCCTCCATGTCATCTGGGTTAATGCCCACACGGCGCATGTTTTCCTCGAGCATGTGAGGGTCGTGGATACGCTGACCACCGGACACAATTTCCTGACCGCGAATGAACATGTCAAACGAGTTGGTATACTTGTCGTCCTCGGCATCAGGCATTGTGTAGAATGGACGAGCACCGCGAGGGAACTTGTCCAGAACGTAGTAATCGGTGCCAAATTTCTCCTTGACGAGCTCACCAAGGCGGATCTCATCACGAGTTCCCAAGTCTTCATCGAGGGGCAGTTGTTGACCGTCTTCGTTCAGCCAGCCGGACTCATTCAGCATCTTGATGCCATCGGTGAAGCGGATGATGGGGGTAGTCTCTAGCCAGACAAGGTCCTCGGAGGGGAATTGGTGCTTGATAAGTTCGACCTCGCGGCGGTGCTTGGAGTAGATACCCTGCAAAATATTCTTAATCACAGCATCGAGGGTCTCGAGCATCTCGTGGTAGTGCTCCTCAATGGCCATCTCAAGATCCAATCCAGTGTACTCCGTCAGGTGACGGTGAGTGTTGGAGTTTTCGGCACGGAATACAGCACCAATTTCGTACACACGGTTGAAATCAGCAGCGATAGCCATCTGCTTAGCCAGTTGAGGGGACTGGGCGAGGAATGCAGGGCGACCAAAGTAGTTTACTTGGAATACACTAGATCCAGACTCTGTGGCAGCGCCCTGGAGCTTAGGTGTGTGGATCTCGATGAATTCACGGTCATCGAGAGCGCCACGGAAAAGGTTGCAAGTGGCGGCTTGGATACGGAAGATAGACTGCGAGGTCGCAGTGCGCAGATCAAGGATTCGGTTGGCCAGACGTGTCCGGTCGGGGATATGGTTGCGGCGACCCTCGGCTTTCTCTTCTTCATTGGTCCGAATCTCCGCTTCATATACACTGAAGGGGACAGGTTCCTCACGGTGCACTTGAAGGTGAACAGAATCAATGGCCAATTCGACATCGTGGATGGAGCAGCCAAGAACGGGAACTTCGGGCTTCTGCAGGGTACCGCGGACCTTGACGAAGGACCCCACTCGGAGGTGCTCGACCCACTGGATCATGGCAATGGAGGCGACCCCCGCTTTCTCGTGCAGCACACCTTGGAAAGTGCCCAGCTGTTGGCGGAAGACCAAAAAGACTAGCTTAGCACTCATCCGGCGGATAACATGGAGTCGTGCCGTGAAGGTGACCTCCTGTCCCTCCATGGCAGCGGTAATGTCATCGATGCGAGTCCGGAGTTCCCGCGGCCGCACCGAGGACTGCATTAGAGGCAACTGGCCATAACGAGCTTTCATATCCGCGGTTTCCGCGGCTGCGGCTTTAGTGATCTCCTCTTCTTTGCGGTGGTGATCGGTCTCGGAGAACATCTCCTCGCTGAGACGGCTGCGCTCACTGCGCCGGTGCTGGCGGACCAACCGTTTTTGTTGGTTCTTGCTCAGAGCACCGGTTGAAGAGTCGTCCGAGAAATCATCGGAGGAAGAGACATAGTCATTTTTATCGCGCAGGAAGTTTCCTAGGATACTGCGACGAGGGGAGGCTGTGGGAGACCCCGAACGAGAGGTGGAGGTACGGGTCTTGGGGGACAGGGCCGAACGGAGGTTGGTACTCGAGGAATCATCCTCACCTCCACCCATATGGCCCTTAATGGCTTTGGACAGGGCGCGCTTGATAGACATGGCGGTGTTTTCGGTGTTGGAGAGGAAAGGGAGGGGAGAAAGGAGGGAGAGTTTGTATATGTGGTGGGGGGAGGGCCCGGACCCGTCGATCTACTGGGTAAGCAAGGAACAGCCCGAGGCAGGATGCAATTCGCAATAACTTGAAGGACTCAAGAATAATCACAAACACGAGGAGGCGTAAGATAGATAAGAAGAGAATTGGAATAAATAAACTATTTCCGAGAAGAAAAGAAAAACAGCTGAAACCAGAGGCGATGACATCACTCACGAAACCAAGAATTCCACCTCGGATCCCTGATTTTCTTGGTATGGAGTGCGTCTGAGGGTTCTGATGCTCATCTCTGACCTTAATTCAACCTCCTCTCTGTATACACCGTTTCCCTCCGTACTTCGTACACAAGCTTTTCTACTTTCTGCTCCGTACTTCGTACTTCCCGTCGCTGCTTATCATTAGGCAATCTCCAGGTCTCCGGGTCATCCGGACCTCCGCAAACGCATGCCAACGAGAACACGAACATCCAAATCCGAACCTCCGCCATGGCTTCTTCGCGTTGGTGGCTCTACATACAGGCCATCTTTTGGCGTTTCCTGATGCGCATCGGCATGTTTCTTCATGACATCGGTCCACCCCGACCACCCCGACCGCAATTTACCCGCACCGTCAACGTCGACAAGCACCACCATTCCCTCGTCTTGCATTTCTACGTCCCACCCAACTATCACGAACAGCGACGTCTGGGCCATAAATATCCTGTATGTGTCAACTTCCACGGTGGGGGTTTCACCCTCGGGGCAGCCACGGATGATTCCCGATGGGCGAAATCGTTCTTGGAACACGTCGGCGCGGTCATGGTTAGTGTCAGCTACCGGCGGGCCCCGGAGCACCCATACCCCGCCGCCGTGGATGACGGAGTCGAAGCACTCTTATACCTGGCAATGCACGCTGGTGAACTGGGGCTGGATGTGAGCAGGGTAGCGCTGAGCGGGTTCTCGGCGGGTGGTAACCTGGCTGTGACCGTGCCGTTGCGGCTACGTGGTCGCATATCGACAGAAATCAAAGAGCACTTGGGTCGAGCAGAATCATCACAGAATCTCTTGAGTCAGGTCTCTGATTTGAACATCGTCGCGTTGTTCGCTTGGTACCCCATTCTCGATTTCCAGGAATCTCGTGACCATCGTCGGGCCATGAGTCTCATGCCGGACAAGACTCTCCCCGCTTTCTTCACAACCCTGTTTGATGAGTCCTATCTGCCCAATCTGGATGAACGTGACTCGCCATATGCCTCTCCAATCCATGCGTCCGACCGTCTGTTGTCAGAAGGCTTACCACGTGACATTTTCATGTTCATCTGTGAGTGGGACATGTTGATGAAGGAAGGTCAAGCTTTCGTCCGTCGCTTGGAGACACTCGGAAAGCGTCCTCGTGCCATGCTCATCGAGAAAGCCCGACATGCCTGGGACAAGTCTCCTAATCCTTGGAGAGATCAAGATAGCGTGGACGTGCTGTATCGTGACGCATGTGCGTCCATGAAAGGAATCTTCGATCGGTGATCCCTTAGCCTCAATTCTTGTATTTTCTTTTGCTTTTGCTCCCTTTCTTCAGCACTTCTGATTCTTGATATTGGCGGGGTCGCTTGGCATTCACGGCGTTAGCTGAATATAGATAGCGTTGCTTCATTCGTATGTGAAATCCTGTTTTATTTGACACCTGATCCCTGTATCTACTGCACCCAGAGGAGATAAGTGTAGTCTGCATCTACTGTAGGCTCCATCATTATTGTACATATTCAGGGTCCGAGCCCAGGGTTCTGCTACATGTATATGCACGTTGATATCAAAACCTTCTTTTTATAACGAACCCCTCTCATTGGCGGTCTAGCTTCCCGACAACAACAGCCCTACATGCACGTTCATGATCGACATGTCCCAACTCCCCCCGCCCTGTAGCCATGAGATGATGTCATTCCAAGGTTCCCTCTGAGCCCAGGCAGGTCCTCAAGATCTGCGATACTACCTTTCAATGAATATCTTTCGACGATCATGCACAGGCATTGTGTCATTTTGCAAGTCATCCACCTGCTTGACGTTGGAGAGTCCACGAGTGGTGTTCGTTTGGCTTTGGTGCCTTGTTTTGATGTCTTGGCGACCCCTTTAGTGGCATTCTTGACTTCATACTTAAGTTTGAGTCCATGCCATCACATTCCAAAAGCAGGGTTTGCCCCCGGTGATATGGACCCGGTGCGCTCCCGAGGTCGTTAGCCATGTGTGATCCACCTCTAATTGAACCAGTGTTATCTCTTGTAAAAGGAATTCACACGGTAGATTTCTCTTGCTGAAAAATCATACATAGAACACTCAGGTCAAAATATGGAGTCTGGATGTCGTTTTGATTTTCTGGGATACTGCGTACAATTTCCTGTGGTGCCATCAAAGACACACTCCTCTGCTATAGTCGAGGTATAGAAGTTCATGGCTGATACCACTTAATTATACAATGACCTCGGGATATCAAAACTCATCCCATTGATCCCACATCGATGATCGCCGCCAAGTGATTTATTCCGAAACTAGCTCTTCGACTTGAGATTCGAGCGCTTGCTGAACCCACTCAATCATCTCATCATCTACAACACCTTCTTGCCAAGTGAAACCTAGTGCCAATCTTCCATCTCGACCCGTTACAGCACTGATCTTGATTGCAGCGCTACAAGCGCTCGAGCTCTGACTGAACAACATGCCTCCAACCTCGAAGCCAGCCCCTCTCGGTGAAGGATGGCCCACACCGACATTGGACAACTCAAAGGCCGCCATTCGCTTTCGACCCAATTTCTGTAACATCCAGTGATGCTGATTTTCGACAAATCTCAAGTAACCGACACCCATATCACCCCCTTTCAAAGCCATGGCATGGTTGAGTACTGCTTTTGTCCGCCGAGCCTCGTTCCAGTTGAAAGGCGCACGCTGATATACCGTTGGCACTGAGCCGACGTAGCAACCCATCGTTGTTGCAGTGACTGGCTGTGGCAAGAAGCTTCTTAATGAGACTGCACAGTCAGCTTGGAGTGTTTTATACTCTGGCGGAAGAACCGAAAAGAGACAGGTTGCAATGAGCGTTTGAAGGACTGCCGTGACTGACGAGCCTTCCTTCTTACTCAGTGCTGCTAGAGTCCTCGTGTGAGCGTTTGAAAGCCACAATGATGAGAAGCGAGTCTTCACTGGCGTGAACTGTGGAGATCCTGTCCAACTATCGGGAGAGGGCTCTTTGGGATTCTCTTGAGACCGCAAGAAGTCTTTGGATAAGGGAAGAGTATAGAGGTCCTCTAGCGGAGGGACCAGTGCATCAGATGGGGGTCTGATGGAGGACACCCGCTCACCACTCTGCAAATCCACATTGACCTGATTCATATGCGTTTCCAGCTCATCATGGAAAGAAAGTGCGCTTTTTGTATCCATGAGGGCGTGATGAAACATGAATACAAGAGTGAAAGATTCGGGAATCTGCTCACTCTCCAATATGGATATTCTCCAGAATGGAAGTGGCCTATCAGGATTAAACAGGAAAGGATAATTATGTTGTTCTTCGAGCGTCTTGTCCAGAGCCGCCTTCCAATGCGAACTTGAGGGAGCACTGTTTAGTGTCACGAATGTGATGACTTCCTCGAGTTGGTATACTGGGAGCCTCACGAAATAAGGATCCGGTGTTTCGACGGCCAATGGAATAGCGGATAATATCGGGTGCTTTGAAATGAGGCTGGAAAGGGCATGGCAAAGAGCAGATTTGACTGATGTTTCAGTTGATCGCTTATAGTGCGCTGTTAGACCCACATTGTTGTATATTCTCAAGTGGCTTCGTGTTGTTGAGTACTTCTCCGCATGCCCTAGTGATATTAAGAAAGGTTCTGGATGGAGGAGGTCGAAGTGTTACCTAGCGGTCTCAACTTGGTGAGCCCTTGATCCATAGTACCCATGAGTGGAAAAATGGACACCACAAGAAATACCTAGGTATTTGATAGAGCAAAGGCAAGTGGTGAAAGTAGTCAAACACTCAGCCGGTGGCCGCGGGGCCTTTTGTGATCTCCCAGCCCGGGTACATACACCCGTGTGAGCCCAAGTCCGATATCACCATTGGTGTGTAATGGAGGGGCATGTATGCGAGTTTGAAATTGTCTGTTCTGCATTTTGAAGAATTCGGCGTTCTTTGGTAGTGAACGCCTAACCGATGAATGAATCTAAGTCAAGCTCAATGATTCATTCTGGGATGCTGTTCAGCCCTGAAGCTTCAAGTTATCTTATCAGCTGCTTATCGGAGGTCTTATCGCGAACTCTACTGGATCTCTTATCGCTCACCCCATTGATTACGTCACTGCGCGGCAAACGATGCAAACCGCACAGCCGCCATTCCCCACGTTAATCCTCGCATTTAAAGCATGGAGATCCTGCGAGGCAATGACTGAGCCTAGCACCAAGATACACAAGGGTCGGCAAAAGCGGCCACGCGTACCCGATGAGTTACGCAAGAGGGCGGCGAAAGCGTGAGTAGGGCCCGCCAATTGATACATTCAATATCTAATGCGGCCAACTAGATGTGTGCCTTGTCGCCAGCATAAAGAAAAATGTAAGCTGATATGATTGCTCTCACATGTCCATCGGTCTCTTTACTCTTTAGATGGTACTATTTACACCAGCTGACAGAATTGAAAAGGCGGAGGAGGCAACCCATGTACTCGTTGCCAGCAACATCAAAGGACATGCCATTTCGACAGCGGTGGCCGACAACCAACCTCAGGCACAAGGAATAGCTTGCCGAGGTCAGTTCATACCCGGGAATTGGCTTTGAGGAAAATCAATCTTACATACTTTAGGCTGAAACCTCACATTCACGAAAGCAGTGCGGCCTCCCAGATCCAGCCTGCCAAAGAATTCCAAATGCAAAGGATCATCAAGCACTTTTTGGGCAATGTCTCTTTTGAAACCAACAACCTGCAGGAAATTGCAGACAAACTCACACGAGATGACGATCAAGAAAAGCTGGACAGCGATCCAAGTGAACCCCACGTCGATACGCCGACGGATGACTATTCCATAGATACTCTTTCAACCAGCACGATGCGTATGTTTGGAAATTTTTGCTGTGCGAGAACTAGTTAACGAGTTTCAAAGATTACTCTGGGGAGCTATCTCATTGGAACTTCTCAAGGATGCTCGAGCGACGATTGCGAAGCCTCGGGGATCAGGCTGGACAACGTAAGGTATGTTGGACGAGCTCCATGTACCGGCAGCCCAGGATATTAGGTGCATGCCTAAGACCTCTACTAAACCATGAGAACAGGGAGTTGATCCCACCGAAGGATTCTTCCGAGCCACTGCTTTGCAATCATCTGGTTCATGCATAACCCTTGCGAAAACCTATTTTCCTCCCAAACCAATCGCCGAATTCTTAACAAATGCCTTCTTGAAATTCAGCGAGACGAACTACTTCTACTTCCATGAAGCAACATTTCGAGAAAAGTTGGACTTTTACTACGCCAACGACGTATCACTTTCGATCAATGATGCCGGTTGGATATGCACTCTACTCATGACTTTTGCCATTGGTACACAGTTCGCACACATGCACGCGAAATCGACAAACTCCAGTGATGCCTCTTTTGAGGCAATACCCGATGATAAAATAGGGCTGGAACTCTACCGATATTCGTGCCGACTCATCCCCGATCTCATCACGGTTGCAAGTGTGGAAACTGTCCAGGCGTTTCTACTTCTAGGAGTCTATACATTCCCAATCGACACCGCGGGGCTAGCCTACGTATACTACGGACTGGCAATCAAGATGGCGATACAGAACGGTATGCATCGCAGATTAGTAGAAGGTAATATACCCGCCGAGATCATCGAGGTGCGAAATCGTCTTTGGTGGTCTGCACACGCCCTTGAAAGGTAAGGATGTCCGGTCCCCATGACAATTTCTTCATTGAGTCAAATGGTTCTAATTGTTCGAATAGTCGAATCGGAATTCTCCACGGACGCCCAGTTTCTGTATCGCCTTCTGATATCGATGCTCCTATGCCAGTCGATCTGCCGACTCTGCGACCAAAAGACCAATACACCAACCTTCCCAACTTCACGGCCGCCATAGTATTGACTAATCACCTGGAAAAGGCCTCAGAAGTGATGAAGTCTCTCCGGCATTTTCAAAAGCCAAACAAGAAGAAATACCTGAGACAGCTCGCCGCCATAAGAAGCCGACTGAGCTCATGGTGGGAAAGTCTCCCTACCAAGATTCACTGTCGAGATCTTGACCCAGATGGCAAATTCTTTCGCTGCAACGTCCACCTTGAAATTTATTATACCACGACTTTAATTTTCATGGGCCGACCTTTCATCATATCGCAAGGCACAGCTGGATCATCAAACGCAGATCCTGGCCCTGAATCGCCAACCCATGAAGTACCAGACATAGTCAACATACTCCGCCGCGATTCATTTCACGCAGCAATCAGAGTAATCGAGCTTTGTCAACTTTTACATGACTCTGTGGGACTTGCTCGGGTCTCATACACCGAATTCAACGGGTGCCGAGTTGCCTTGCTAGCCTTGATTGCCCATAGCATGAACGAACCAACACTCAAAATTGCCAGTACCTTGACACAGGGAATGGGCCTCATCCGCCAGATCTGCACTGGGCTTGAATCAGCGCGATCCGAAGTTGCTGTAATCGAAGCCCTCGAGCGTGCGAGACAACGACTCCATGACCATACGGCAGCGGAGGAGAGTGGTGCAACCGAAGATGTGACTGGTTACGACCAATTCAAGGAATGGGCTAAATTATGGCGAGGGGATCTGCTGGAGGATAGCGAGCCTTTCTCATTGGATAATGGGGACGTCCAATTTGAGCAACAGCCGCATGATACTGTCCCCTCTTTTGATGGATTTCTTTCGTCTTTCCCGAACGAGCTGGGTGAGTTTGCAGCCATTCCGGGCCTGAGCTACGACCTATCATTGGCTCATGATTGGTTCAGTGATCTGCCTAATGAGGGCTCGGAATGGATCATAGACCAGTCACTGTGATGATATCATGGCATTGCTTTCAAATATACCCAAATTGGCTCTCCAAAGGGCTCCACCCCGGGGCCGTAATTCATCTGACAGATAAAATGCATTCAAAAAGTGTTTTGTTACTTCTCATCTGGAGCTTGGGATAATTTCCCTGACTTGTCTTCAGTTGAAGGACGCACCTGACCAGCCATCTTTAATTCCTCGTCAAGAGTTTCCGTCAATGCGCTAAGCAACCACTCAACTTCACTTTTGCGTCCCAGTAAAGGGCTTTTCTTGTCAAGCCAACTCCAGTCGCATGCTCGGGCCTTCTTCGGGTGGTCATCTCCATCACCAGGTACATTGGGTCTGTTCTTCCCAGCAAGAAGCTCTAAATAGTACTCCCACTCGGCGTAATCAAACTTCCTAGACGGATTGCTCGAAGCGTAATCTATCAAATTGCGCACCTCCCGGAAGAGCAAGTAATGATAGTGATGAAGATTTTCCATCGCAACATCGCCTCGTTTTTGGGCTCGGGCTTCCCTTTCTTTTTCTTTTTCCTCAAGAGGAGAACGTCCTTGACCCACAGGTTGGTTTGTTTCCTTTGTCTTGCTATCACCTGTTGTTTCCTCTAACCACCACCCTTTCCAGGATATATGAGACAAGTCTTTGACTCGACCGACGAGAGATTGGTCGCCTGGCAGGATTGTGATCTCGCCAATGACCAAAGTGATGTCTCGAATGAGCCGCACAAGTGTGTCACCAATACTGGAGATGAGAATCGTTATAGTTGGAACTGCAAGTAAAGACCAGAAAACGAAGAACGATTTCCCCAAACTGCTGATTGGGTAAATGTCACCGTACCCAATTGTCAGAAGAGTTGTGTATGCAAAATAGAGAGCTTGGAAATATGACCATTTGGAGTATGACTCGGAGCGCCAGAAAACAACTCCGCCAATCAGCCACATCGTCATCCATAGCGTGAAGGACACAAGTAGGGATATCCACTTGTGCTGAACTGTAGCTAATTGTCGGACCTGACGCATTGCGATGAACTCTCTCTTGCGCTGTTCACGATCACTTCGCCCTTCAACTTTGGCGCTCTGCTCGTCTAGCGGCGGCACGATTCCTTGTAGATGAGAGTCGTTCGAGAGTGCTTCCTTGACAAGGAACTTGTGCGTGTGGGCCGTCAATATATCACCGATCTTCTGTCTGCCCTTTTCGAGCATGAGGGTTCGAATTGATGAGATAATGAGACCCAGAATGATAATACCCCCGACTGCATAGGGGAATAAAAGCCCACGACCGAGGTGTGTAGCTGGGGCAAAGTTACCAACACCGATAGTGAGAAGGGTGTAGTCTGCCCAGTAGAGAGCATCCAGGAAACGCCAATTCTCTATTCTCGCATAGACAGCCGCCCCGCCGAGAAGGTATATGAAGAAGACGATAGTCTGTAGCATCAGAGTCCGCTGACTGGTTGTCAAGTTGTACTCGCGGCTATAGTGATCTCTCCAGGCACCATATCCAGTCACTGCCATCAATGAGGCGATGATGAAGTATAAGCCCGCGGCAAAGGTGCCGTAGTAGTAGCTCTGTGCGTATATTCGGTCGTCATTCTCGGGTTGGTACATCATCACACCGAATGGAATGAGTATGCCGATCAGTAGAGCAGATGAGATGTACCATCCGATGATGATTATAGGTTGAGCGATCTCGAATCGAATGCGCCGCGCCATGTTCAATGATAGAGCGAGGTTGGCGACGAGAGCGGAGACAAGCGAGACTGCATTGATCGATGTGACCCTGCGAGACAAGATACCGTTAACGAGGCGCTTCTATCGCCGAAGAAACGAGTCATACCATTTTGGATCTGAGATATTCAGCCCACCGCCGTTTGTGAGATCCATTCGCCATGGCTGCGAAAGGGAGCAGATGTTGAATGCGCTGGTCATGGGACCAAATGTACCCTAAATAAGCCGTTAGAACCAGGAAAACTCAAACAAAAGCCAGAAAGCATTGGGTTGTCAGATCAGACTTACTGCCATCAGTGGATACGCGGTACTTGCAAGCCACCACCGAGCAGCCTGCGGATACTGGGATCCAAGGGACCTTCCATCTGCATCTGTTGTATCCTTTTGCTGGCCAGAAGACTGGTCTAGGGCCACTGCCTCATCAGCAATAGCATCATCAAGACCAGGGTCGTTCATTTCGTTTGGGCTTGATCTGCCGAGATTGCATAAACCTGCTGGCTATGAGACAGTGTGAGGGTCAACCCTCTCGGTACTTGCATGCATTTCAAAGGGATAGCCAGAAGCGGGGAATTCATCTGCCGATTTAAGTGGCGCAGAGGAAAACCAAGCTTTTCTGACGAGCCTAGTGACATGGGCATCATGATCGGCAATGGTGCTGGACGGGAAAGTACAAGCGACGTCATAGTATCACGTGGATGCCCTGTTTTGGATTTGTTTCAAGGTACACGATCTGGAAGCTATATTGATGAATTGAGGTTCAATTGGTATATTGGTAGATCATTCCAGAGGAAAGTTTGGGTGATCAAAGAGGAAGAAAAAAGTGTGTGATTTTGTCAGGAAAATGATCGGGTCCATCCAGTGGAAGAGAAAATAAAAAAAAGAGATCAAGCCAGAAATGACATCGAGTGCTTTTGGTCTTGAACAAGAGTCATAGAGCTAGGAAGAGAGAAAAAAAAAACGGTATCTGTACATCGCACCCACCTGCTCCTGTAAATTGAAGCATAGGCAGAGTACTGCCTAGCAATTGCGACTCGCTTTGCTATCGGCATCCAACGTCGATAAGGTAAGGACAAGAAAGAAGACGCAAAGAGCAAAACCGCAACAGAGGCTTCAAATCTGCTCTTTGAATTGCCCCATGATGGCGCAATATCATTTCCAAAGAAAAAGGTATTCAAATTTAGCCAGAGAAGTGAAAAAAAGGGTATCGCAAAGTATGTGAGGGTGGACTAAATCATGTTGAGCGTGGTGTGTTGATCATCGAGAAAACGAAAATCATTAGACTGAAAGACAAGTTAGCATCCTAAAGCAAAATAGTAAGCTTTCTGTGGCACGTACAGTGAGCACCCCCGGGCGTCAAAGAAGAAGGAATAGCGGAATCGTTGTGAGGTGATGGACGTCGAGCGAAGCGAGGCTCCACGTCTTCGTAATAGTTCGTGCTAACAGGAGCGGACTGCAGCGGTGTGCCGGGAGGCCGCGGAGACACCGTGTGACGGTCATTGGCACCCCAGCCCGCACGAGGGGGGACGTAGGACCTGTTTCAAGGGGGTTAGTAAAACGAGAGATGATCCATATTGGGAACATGATGGCTTACTCAGGTCGACTGTACATGCTCGTTGGGCTTTCAAGAGGAGCGTTGTAGTCGGTAGAAAGTGCATGAGGAACACTGCTCATAGGTTCTTGCGTGTCATATTGGGTACGACTTTGTGGTGTCATTTCGATGGCCTGGCCCACCGTCTCAGGTGAAACGGCCATTCCAATGGGCCCCGGAGAGGGTTGACGCATTGGTCCTTGCGACGACTCGTACCCATAAGGGTCATCATGGGGAGGCGACGTAGGGTGACCGTATGCGTCGAAGCCGCGAGCCGGGCCAGGCATGTATCCACCAGGTGGCCCTCGGCCTGGAGCCATTCCACCACGACCACGACCGGGCATTGGACCCATGTAACCACCTCGCGTACCAGGAGAAGGCCCACGAGGAGGCCCCATGTAAGGTCCTCCGCGGCCTCCGCGTGGTGGGTAGCCACCTCGCCCGCGTCCATTGAAGCCGGGCGGCGCTCCGCCTCTGCCAGAACCCATGCTGCCATCTGAGTATTGAGGGCGGAGTCGCGGGTCGGAGGGGTTACGCGACATAGAGCCCCCAGCGTAGGGACTTGCGCCCTGGGGAGGAATATTACCCAGCTCGTCTTGCTGGGCGCGGTATGGGGTGCCTCGGCGGTCCGGGGGCGGAGGAATATCGCTCATGGGCGTTCGCGAGTTGAGAGGCGTACGATCATCGTCACTGTCGCGTCTTTCCGTTTGGAAAGTCGCGAAAGTCGGGCCAGATTCGGATGTGAGGGAATTGGACACGAATGGTTCCTTCGGCTCAGCGGGCGCCGGGACAGGGGCGGCGGCCGCGTTGGCATTTTGTCGGTTGTAGTAGTTCTCGCCGCTCATTTCGGCATTTTCAGCGATCCGGCGCTTTCGTGCCTTGCGACTTACCAGCGTCCGGCGCATGGCGCAGGTGACCACCCCGCAGGAAACGAGGAGGATAGTCGCCGCTAGAACAATCCAACCACCCCATCCTAAATGGGGCACAAATAGCAGGATATCAACCAAAAAGGCCAACAGTGTCACCAGCAGGGTTGGCAATAGCAGAATCAAAAGTGCCAAGAGATAGCGCGGTGAGTGAGAAGGGGCGTGGAAATGGGCGGCGGCGGCCAGGCACAGGCAAATGAGGGTCAATAAGGCGGCGACTGGGTGGATAATTAGAATTGAAGAGAGCGACTTTCGAGTGCTGGACGGCAGATTGAAATCGTCGCCGGTGCTGCTAATATCATCTGCAGGAAAATTAGCCACGGGTAGGCAGAAGCGAAAGGGGGAAACTCACTGCTGGTGTATCCCACATGGATATTAGTGCAGGTGTTCCCTTTGCAGTAGCCAAAGACACCGTAGTCCACATCCTTGAAGGTTGCCAATGGAATTCCCTTGATAATGGGAGTGGAAAGGCACGAGAGTAGCAGTAGCGCGAATGCGATCAGGAGCAAAATGGTGAGGGGTGTCGCAGGCTTAAGCAACATCTTGAGGGGGAGGGTGACACCCTGGAAGCCTCAGGAAGAACTAAAAACGAGCGATTATTCCTTCGCGACACCAAAAATTGGGAATCTCATGCGGCACATTGGATTCCGGGGAAGAAAAAGAAGCCCAGGCGAAAGGACACAGACAAATGAGGGGAAGGCCAAGGACGTCCTTTGGGAATGCCAAAAGCAGCTAAGCCATGGGAAGAACCATGGGATGATGCCTGGCCTCAGGCATCAGTCAGATGACTTTCTATCAATTTTCTCATTTGCCTTTTCGTTTGCTTCTACTCCGTACTCTCCGTTGTACAAGTACAGTACTATCCTACTTATGCTTGGACTATTGGATTGCTGCAGACTACATTCCAATCTGTGAGTGGCTCTCTGCATCCTCGCTTCGGGACTGGGAATACCTCGTGTCGCCAAGCCCGGAGAAATCAGCGCCCCAATGGGACCTGCGCTTTCGCTGGCGTCATTGGCTGCAGACTAGGGCCATTTGTGTGCCGCTTTTGATTCCCTGGTTTTTGGTTCCTGTCACCCCCATTCAGATTTAACTAAGGTACTTTGTTTCAGGATCCTTATCTTAATGTCGAATCATCGATGATCGACATTTCTGAGATTAGGTGTTTGAAAAACTGAGTCAAATGCAATCACCCATTCGCAGCAAACAGGATCTAGCCTTCTTCAATATATTTAGCATTAGTACGGAGTACGGAGTACCTTAATGTCATTTTCACGTCGGCCATCATGCAGGCTCTCCAGCCCCAGATAACGCTTAGGCCAGAGGTAGCCCTGGTAGTTGTCCAGGCCCACCCACATTTGCTCAAGATGAAACAGATCTCCACTCCAAGATCTAGCCCGATTCTCAAACAGAGTGTCATTTTTTGGAGACTGAGATAAAACATGTCGCGTTTGCTGGCCAGGACTGCTTGCTTGTCAGAGTAGTTATATGGCGTTCAACCTTGATTTTCATGCTTCACCGGTTAATATGGGAAGAGAGGAATGATACTGTAAAAATAACGAAAAACAACTTCCAAGGTTTTCATATTCATACACGTTCGAGGGGTCTGCCCTACCTGACTTTTCGTTCTGGAAGTAGGGCTTCTCCCTCTCTTTGTTTGCTCGCTCATCTCCCTTCCTCTCTTCTTCCTCTCTCCATCGATTCGCTAACACATCATCATCACTCACACTCGTATGCTTATGTTTAGCATCAACCTCATTACATAGCTCTATGCATACCATCTACATTGCTCTTGTGCTTCTTGCTTGCTTCGTAGACCTAAGCCCTACTTGCCTTCTCAAAGGGTTGCAAGCCCTTCTAAGAGTGCAATAGCGCTGTATATATACCGCACAAGCAAGGTATACACCGCAGGTTGTTGCTGTTGACTGCCTATATGCGCCGGCTATATAGCTGTACAGGAGCTTACTATCCAGCAGATGAATTATTCGCACAAATCATTACCTACATAAAAGCCTTGTAGGATTGGTATAGTTCAATTTAAAGTATGTAGCGAGGTTACCTGACTGAACACTACCTAGTGAAGTGGGAAGAGCGCGCTGGCGGTCTGACATCGCAGACAAGACGACGGGGGTGCTCAGTGCTCGGCGGGAATAGGGAGGTATGCAAAGCCCTAGAACGGCCCGATTAGGAAGTAGATGCTGTTTTGCCAGAGAGGTGTAGAATGCTTGGATTGCTATGCTATGAAAACGGGACTAGAAATAGCCCAGGGGTGCCTAAGGCACAGGTGGGAGCGGAGCGGTGCGGTTTCCCCACTACACTAGGTAGCCCGGGTTTTGTCTTCGTCCGCCTACATACACTTTCAACAACCCATTTCAAGTAACCGACATGCACTACTCTTCATCTGGGATATCCACAATTACTCCATCTTGTGCTTTCAACTCGTCAATACCCTCTGGGGTGAGTCTGTATCATTTATGTCAGATGATTTTCTCAACATGCGAAGAACGTACATACTCTGCACCAAATATGGTTGGGGGGACACTTTTAGTAGAAAGATACTCTGATGTTCCAGTGTGTTTATCTAAAATGCTTTAAGATATGTTAGTAATGGATGCTATTGGAACAAAATATCTTTTCAGTCATTTTGCGCTTACCTGTTGACATTTTCCCATTGCTGTTCCCACTCTTCCGGGCCCTCGAATCTGATAACTACCGGCTAGAAAGTCATCAGTACTGTCCGGGATGAAGAGTTCTTAGGGTTTCAAGAGAATCGAACCTTGCTCATGATGTAATTTTCGGAGACGAATGGATCTTGAAGAGTTGAGACTTTATCGAGACAGATATAGTCAGATTTGCGGTTTATATACCTGAGGGGTTGGTGTATGTCGTCATAATCGCAACGGAAGAATTTCTTGGCGAGGGGTATTTGCGTAACTAGGCTGCTGAATCGAATGTCGACTGCCCCCCCTTGGTGCTACATCTTGTATCTAGGGTTAACAATAGATTTCCTTTGTATTAACCATCATCCGGAAGTCGCTGTCCTCATCTACATATGGGAAAGACCCTTACATCTTCTACGAAAATAGATGTCTGTTGTCAATGTGGTTGCCGATCGGTATAGGTGCTTGATCACGACCACAACCAAGGTATCATTGCGTCACACACGTTCGAACGTAATAATATTGGATGTGACAATATATCGCCCCACTCTTTGCAACCTACTCCGTACATATGTAGTAGATCGAGTCAGCTCATATGTAGCATCGAATCGCATTTCTATATAGAGTAAAGATCATCGATTGGAAGAGGGGTTGATCTCGAGTTTTCAGCTCCCATTACAGCCCTGGAGGTGTTCAGCTGCTCTCTCGACAGCCACATAGTTCATCGACTCTTGACCCAGCCCTGGTGTTCCAAGGTTTTTTCTATTGTATCAAGCATAAATAGCAACCACCCCCCAGTCATTGGGAAGTACAGAACTCATTATACTCATTGATATACCAATTTTGTCAACCATCCTTTGCTACTTCTATAAAGTGTTGGGAGATGGGTGATGGTTATCAGGTGAAAGATTTGACAGACTGCATAGATAGCTCTCTCGCTCCTTTTCTCCCTTCTCCTCACTCTTTCCAAGGCTCCTCTCCCATCCGTTTTCGTTTCGATCAGAGAGAATATACTGCTTCAGCGAACTGCTTCAGCATTGTAAATTGCTGCTCTGCTATAACAAAGAGCCTTCCATGCTGATTTATTACCTGTAGAAGTTCAACAAAGTGAACGAGATAAATTGAAACTAAGCTATGCAGCAATGGCATTCTACCATTGCAAGGCCCCATTGACGCTGATCAGCACTAGACCATAACAAAGGAAACCCCTTTTAATTTTCTTTCTTGCTGGAACTACTTGTACACAGAGACGCGCTTGCATAAACAATACCCAATGCTTTATTTTTTCTGACATTGGGCCACTGCTCTATTTTCCATCGCGGTAAAAAGTAGTGACTGCAACAATCTCCTGGGTCGATGGAAATCATGTCATCTGCAGGTTCAAGTACGGAGTAAAGTTGAAGGGATTCTTGGTTTTTCGGATTGATTTAAACAAAAATTCCGACAAGGTCTTTCTTGTTGTGAACATACTCCGTATTAGACTTGTGTTAGCTTCCTAGCAATCTCAGCGTGTACTGTGAGTCGCTCTTAGTGTCGAATGTTTTCATGTCGGCAAGCATTTTACCACACCGATAGCCGCACAGCTCAAACTTTAGTTCGACATGTGACTATGCCAAAACATGGCCTTTGGCGATCACCTGGCGATAATGACCCCCTTTTCAGTTCGTGAATTGCGCGAGGACTCCGGGACTAGGATGATGGGAACGGTCTTAAATCTAACCTACTGTTTTCACTCGTCGTTGTATCACAGACCTGAGCCTATGGAAGAGCTTACCATGAAAATTTGGTGTGGTTTTCTTCATCATGAGAATTGGGCAAACCATGATCGGCACTGATGGACGTAAGCACTAGTACGTTTAGTCCTTGGAAATATCTGAGACAAATTAACCGACCATCCATATCTTTGCACTAGTCGGTTTGGTCCCTAGTGGTTTTGTAACAGAGATGTCCCAGAGACATCTTTTCCCAGCAGATACTCATATAACAGAGGTTCCTGGCTGTAAGTACAGTAATTAATACGATCGGAAGCAGATCGTTCATATCAGATGCGGCGTCGAGATTTGTGGGCTCGAGCTGGCGATGAAGCTAAAAGGGGGCACTTCGCCCATGTGCAGAATTCTCAAGCTCCGACGTCAAGCAAGGTATTTTGAACATGTTGTTCCATACCTTCAAATTGCTCGCGATCGGGCTGGCGCTCAGCGCCAGCACCGTCTTGGCACAGAATTCGTCGGAATCCTCACATTCGCTCGTCAGCCGCCGCCTGACCGAGTACCTTATGCCAGTAGCTACGGCGACTCATGAGTTCGCTCGCGTGCCGAGCACTAATTTCGTGCTGTTGACGCAGATGTCCAGCAGCAAACTTGTCAAAATCGAGTTGGATCCGATCACCGAAGAACCCATTGCCTACAACACCTTTCCCCCTAAAAGAACAGTACCACTTCCACGCTCCATGGCGTCTGGCCATCAACGGTGTATCCAGGTTTGATGTGGTTGTCGCTACAAGGCGACAATAAGCTTCTGCTTGTGGATCCCGGGAAGAAACTTTCGTCTGCGCCGATCATCAAGAAGACAATTAACATTCCGGCACCCGGCAACGGCCCACATTGTGTGTTTGAAATTGGTGACCGCGTCTGGGCTGGCCTCAAGGCCGCATCGAAGCAGACTGGCAAGTACTATGTGTTCTCTGCCGATGTCCACGACCCTAAGAACCACACACTCTATCCCGCCCTCAACAGCCCCGTTTTCATCAAGGAGGAACCCACAACTGGCTTCATCTACGTGACCCAAGACAATGACTCTTCTATTATGCGCATCAATGTGACTAGCGGCGAGACGAAGCAGATGCACATCCCTCCCAGTGTCGGAAACAATGCTGTGGGCATGATCTCCGCTACCGGTCCTCTGAGTGGCGTCTGGTTTACGCTCGCTGGAAATGCCACTGGTGGCACCGGCACTTTTGGACACATCGGAGCCTCCGGCGAGATGGAGTTCTTCAAGCTCAAGCACCCGCTGCTTGGAACCAATGCTGGATTGCTGCACATCGCCGATGCGTCGACCGCAGCCGGCCCAGCGCTCTGGCTGTTGTCTACATCGCTACTCAGCACCGACTCCCCCGATGCCTTGATCCGCGTGACTTTCGACAAGGATGTCAAGGCCGTTGCCGACGAAGAGTACATTGCAATGCTCACTCAAAACGCCATGGTTCACCGCATCTTGCCCCTGAACAACACAGTTTTTGTGTCCGAGCTAAACACATTCACACTCGCACAACTCTCGTACAAGAACACCGTTGCTGGAAAGTGGCTCCCAGCCGAGGCTGTCACTGATACCTCAGTTTACACTGAGGCCGGGTGAATCTGGACTCTTTTGTTAGATGTCCATAACTAGTGGTCAAAGCTAGTGCGCCATTGACATACAACTATTTAGTAAATAATAATCTAATCAATCATCACATGTCTTTAGCATTGTGCCCATAATTCATGGACGAGCAGTGGAAGAGAAATTGTGGGATTTTGCATGGCTGCCTGGTTTGTCAGGCCCCTCGAGATGGGCAGACACCTAACTATGCGTAGATCTGGAGAGCTGCTGTCTCTGTCTCTCTTGTTTTTCCTTTCTCTCCCTCTCTCACAATTTATCAAATTTCCGGGCATTCCTGCCTCTCCGCTAGGAACCAATTCCTACACTTTCGCGATCATGTCATATGGAGCACGAACCTACTGAGCCCTCTTGAAGCTTGGGCTAGGCGCCTGCCCAGGTACCCGGGTAGATGTGGTGGCCACCAAGGCCTAGACTTCTGCGTTTGCCCAAGACGAGCCAGACCTCTTCACTCCGGCATGAAGCCTGATACTCGAAGCGATGTTTTTGGAGTGCAGATAATGTTCGTCGTATACAATGGTCGATGCCTGCATGTTTTTTGACAAGAGCATTTGCTTCTTTATCGATCTGGGATCATGGTCTGGCCGATACATTCAACATGCTCGAATTCAACTTATACATTGTGACCTCACTTTCTGCTACCATGTCACATGCGGGTTGTTTACCATCCGGGTACGCGCATCGCGTCATTTGACTCTACAAATGCTGCGATGCAAGGTTCCAATGGCGCACCCATCAACACTGCCTTGATGGGTCAATCCAAGCATTCAAGTTCCCATCCAATCGACCATTCAAGTTGCTCTCAAAATCAGACATTTCTCAACTAGATATCCTCGCAGAACCTCGATTTGAAGAGCAGAGCAGAGCCTTGCCGTTGGACCACATCCAAGGTAACACAATGTCTGGGTAACCCACTATAACGATAAACACTGATCATTCATACGCAAATATTGTCACTGAGTTTACGCTAAGTATTCCTGACAGCGATCACGCGAATGAATCTGCATTTTCCTTTAATAATTGTCGAAATTCCGAATTTCAGAGGTCGAAAAAAGAAACACCCCAAAACAGTTATATCAGCAGCATTGGCCACAAAATCAAGTCCTAGCTTTTCTTACGCCGAGAAATGCCTTGTCTCTGGGGATTGTTCAAATGGCGAAAGCGGCAGAAATCGGAAAAAGTCGAACCCGACCTCTCGTTGGACAACCTCGATAGAGAAACCCTGCTCCAGTCATGGGATAGCGCCCGGAGTAGGGGAACCCAAAACGGCAGCTCACCATCAAGTTTTGAGGAGCGCTATGTGAGATTTGGGATTGGTGGAGCTGGTAATATGCGCAAGTCAGACTCTCTCTTCATACACTATGGTGCCGTTATGACTTTGACAGCTGTGCATGTTGCTGACATGAAATTCGCGATTAGAGTCACTACTTACAACGGTCGAAAGATAGAAACAATTGCGCGTTGATGATTCCTGAAGGACAACGAGGAGCCCAGGTTTAGGTGGAAACTAACTTAGTCAAGTCCATAAAAGCGTGTTTCGGTACATCTTCAAGCTGTCAACCGCTGCAAATTATGTCTTGTGAAGAGCATACCTTAATGTGTCCTCCCTCGCACTTCGTCGAGCATTACAATATTTGTTCCACCTGGGCAGTGGGGATCGCTTGGGGATCTGGTCCCCGATGGTTGAGTGATGACTATCACATTATCACAAATGGCACATTGAGATTTCATGTCGCAAAGGCAAAGATGAGTCAATGGTGGTCATTATATAAACCAAATTACCATACAACCTTGGAGTTTAGAGACGGAGGTAGGAGGTATAGATTTAAGTCTCTGGCCTCATAAAGAAACTTTAGCACCTGAGCAAGAACAGAGGGGCAATTATCGTTTGCATGCATTATAATAGCCTTGGAAAGCACCAAGAGCCTTGTGGACACTGAATCGTCCAGGAGGGTGGATGGACACTGGATTTCTATCACTTTCATGCAGGCAATCCGGTCCCTACATTGAAGACATACCTTACAATGTAGTCCATGAGTGGGTCTCGGTCCTAGTCATAATTGATACAATTTGGTTTCATTTAGCCCTAGATACAGCCTTGAGTTTTCATATTGTGTTTGACCGCCGTCTCGGCTTAGTACCCAGCCACCGATACCAGCAAGGGAGAGAACAATTCTAACACAACACTGCATTTTCAAACAAGGAGAACATACAATTGTACTAGCACACCCTGCTTGTGTATTGCTATTAGCGAAAATAGAGGAGAGAATTGTTGGCAATTATTGCTTCGATTGAAGCCCTTTGCGTCGAAATTAAACTCGGGTACGGGGGTGGTGTGCCGAATATGCCGAGACTACCGAAGTAAACCGAACACTAAGGCATGAAGCTGGACAGCGTACGGAGTTGAAGCAGAAAAATCAATTGTCTATCGCGTGAATTGCTAGGTTTCAGAACGTTTTAATTATGTAGAAATGATGCGAAATCTGGGTAGCAAAAGAGCCAAGCTTTGGGCTGTCCGTGGATGAGTTATTCGGGCCGCGAGCCAAACCTTGGGACTCAACAAATTCAAGCGATCGTTGTATTTTGATTGGATAATTAATTGCTACAATATACCGAATTAATCGTGTCTAAGCTGTCAACCCCCATGTTTCATTCATTTCTATTGGTTTGTGGGTTGCAGACCTTGCTCAGGTGGCTGGGGAGGCTGGGAAAGGTCGCCCAGCACGGTGACAGCTAGACAAAAGCCCACTGGGCAGCGATTGCTGGCACTCAAAAATCCCTTCACTTCTCCAGCGCCAGGTCAAGGAATGCTTCTAGATTAAGTCTCATCGCGCGTGGGTTGAAGATCCACATTCCAGAGCCAGCATGACGAGTCCGACCAGAAACTTCAGCCTGCGCAACGTTAATTGTACGTGCATATAGAGAAAATCCCCCGCCTCGTTGTCGTTTAAAGGGCCAGGAACTCCCAGCTCTCAAATCTTTCAATGCCAACTAACTCTTATACAGCAAGCAAGCCGCAACTTGCCCGGACAGAATCACGACAGTCCATCGCTGCATCAGACGACTACTATTCATTCTCTGATCGAGCAGCTTCTTCAAGTCCCGATAGTCAAGTTACTGTGAGACGATTCAGAACTCCTGACTCTCGTCCCTCTTCCAACGCTTCTTCTCCTACCATGGCACAGGGCCAACCCACTGCAGAGGAGCTTGGGTCTCATCGCCCACAGACTGCCAGCACAGTCCGGTTTGGGGAAGATCGAGTCACTCACATGCGTCCTGAATCCGAGGCAACATCATCCGACGAGACTGCTCGTCGAGAACCCAGTGACTATGCCGGTCCTGCCCCCACTCCTGGACTGGATGATTCTCCTTACGTCCGGTTTGCAATCGATCAACTCACCCAGGACAGGTCTGGGGGTGTGACAAGACACGACTCCCTTTCCACCACTACTACGGGTGATTACCCGACCGATCGTATGGTTTGGGATGAAGGACTTGGCTACTTTACTCGCACACGTACTCCACTCCGACATGACACGCCTCCAGTAAGGCCTTCATACACTTCTCCCTCACCTCAGGCCCTGCCTCAACCGCCAATGTCCGTGGAACCAGAGTCTTTCGAGGCTGTTGATGTTCCTGAGCAGAGCTTGTTGTACCCTGCTTTGGACTACCTACCCATCGTGCTGCGGCCGTGGGCCTTGGTACTGGCGATGTTTGCCTCTCTTCTCATGATTGCCGGAGTTGTTTTCTGCAATGTCTGGTCTCAGCGACATGACGGAATTTGGAACTACGCTGGTCAGGGCGGAGCACGTTACTTTGTTCTGCAATTCTTGCCTCAAATCTTGGCCGCGCCGATCATCATGTGGCTGTTTGTTATCCAAGCTGCTGTATACCGCATCGCACCTTTCTCCATGATGTCAGCTGAACGACAAAAGGGCCTCGTCATGCAAGCCTTGCCAATCCTCTCGAAGAATTTTGTCTTTCCCAACTTTTCCCACTTCCGCAACGGAGAGCCACTGTTCGGTTTCGCTCTGTTCACAATTTGGCTTTCCAACTTCTTCGCCATTCCACTTCTCAGTTGCCTGTTCCAGGCAAAGTACTATGTCATTGATGGAGAGGGTGTTTGGAGATGGGCTTCCGTGCAGTCTATTGGATGGACCTTGGTTGCTTTGTACGGTGTCTTAACAATTGGCTTGGTACTGCTCTTTTTGAGATTCCTCCGCAGCAGATCTGGATTGATGTGGGATCCTGTGAGCATCGCAGACTTGATCTCGATTATCCAACGGTCAAACATTCTGCACGACTTCGAGCTTTCCGAGACTGTTCCATCCGTTCGTGAGTCTCTTGATCCTCGCGTTCTCCGACTGGGCTACTGGAAATTGTCCAGCAAGCCAGAGGTCTTCTACGGAATCGGCGAAGTTGATGCACCAATTCGCACACCATCTCTTCACCAGACCGAGAAAAACCGACAGAAGCAACCCCAGGGACTCGCCAGAGTCAACTTTGATGTCGAAAACCAGACAGGATTCTCCAAGGATCCCGACAATCACTTGTACTCACCCACTATCCGCTACCGCTGGACCCCCTGGTTCCTTCGCAAGTTCTCAGTATCCATCTTTACTGTCATCATCCTTGCTCTCTTCATTGCCTTTGTTGCTGTCAGCTTCATTCACAATGGCATCGAGGGAGGTTTCCCTCCCAAGCTCCCAACTCTTCCATCGACCAGTGCTTTCTCCTCATCCAACTTCCTATACAGCTTTATTCCCGCGCTGATCGGGAACGTCCTTTTCTTGGTCTGGCAACCCATCGATGTGTACTTCCGAGCTTTGCAACCATTTTTCGAGCTCTCCTCTCCCAGCGGCGCATCGGCTGATAACAGCATCCTGCTCGCCTACCCCTCCGCTTTCCCCTTCCGGGTCACCATCAAGGCCCTCATCAACCGCCACTACAAAGTCGCCTTCATCTCCTTCATGAGCATGATCTCTCTCGCCATCCCCATCCTCGCTGGTGGTGTTTTCATCGCTCTCTGGTTCCCCTCTCAAGATGACATCCGCATCTCCGCTTTGATGCCTGCTTTCTACGCTTTGATCGCCTTCTGTGCTCTATACGCGGTCTCATTTTTGGCAATCTGGCCCGGCCGCCGCCGCTATCTTCCTCACGACATTACGACTCTCGCCGATTTGATGAGCTTTATTTACCAATCACCCCTGCTTTCCGACAAAATTCTCCGCGAGCCCAGGAGTAAGACTGATCTTGTGACTCGTCTTATTGTTGCGCCTCCTTCGGAAAGACAACTGCCTCAATATGGCTTCGGTGTATACATTGGCCGTGATGGTAAGGAGCACTTTGGTATCGACCGTTTTTCCCGACCCGGCCGGACTGATATGCTCATTACCACTGGCTCTATGAAATGATTTGCCTGACGGGTCTTAATGACTTAGACCCCTTTTTACGCTTTGATGACCTGTATTGATGTCTATTTGCATATATTGACAGTTTAGAAGCGTGTCTGCTCGCAACCATGTGCTTGGTTTTGTTTTCGCTTTTCGGTCTTCTGATTTTGCGCTCTTGTTACTCTAGCCCTTTTGCATACCAGGCGTTATTGCTTGTTTGATATATTCTATGAATTGTTGCGTTGAATTTCCCAGACAATAGACCCTACCTAGGCATAATGATACTCTTGAAATCCAAATTCATTTGATAATACTTGAGGTACACAGATGCTTTTCCAAGGTTGCAGCCCTCGCGAGTCCCTTCCGAGCTTTCGAGAAAGAAAACAAAAAGACCTTGGAAAAAGGCTCGCAGGCCTGGATCCCCGGAGTCCTCGTTACATGTCTCATCACTGCCAGCCACTGCAAACTACTTAAGCTACCCATAGTACTTTGCAAAGAAGAAACCCGCATCGCGGAATCCCGAGTATCCCGAGCTGTGGTCCACGAAGTGTATGATCGAGAACAGCGCCATGCACATCACAGCCACATATTTTAACACAGCAACAAAGTACATGTTTGCAAGGAGCATAGTCAGAGTTGACCACGATAGACTGCGCCACGCCCCTTTGATATCGATGGTTCCCGTCGCATGGTTTTGACTGTCATGGGTAGGATTCACAGAAGCAGCAACACGCATAAAAACAGCGTATGTAGGGACTGTACCCCCGACGTAAGTAACTCCGTAAAGGGAAAAGACCATATACAGTGCTGTCTTTCTAGCCACACTAGTGAATTCACCCTCCACAAAGCCTAGAGTGCGAATTGCATAAACGGTGATATAGAAACAGAAGCTTGAAGCGGTGCTATGCAGCAGCGTAGCCGGAAAGATATCAAACCATACTGACTGATTCAAAGTGCGTCGACGCAGAGAGACTTGTGGGTGTAGGTTGAGAATGGACTGTATGTTGGCCACCTTGAGAGGTGAGAGCACCGATTCGAAAATCACACTCAAGAGGAAACACTTGACTAGGCTAGACCCTGACGTGGGAAACAAGGAAATGAGGAACATCTTCAACGCTTGATGTAGCAACATGATTGGAAGGTATCGAAAGTTCTGGGGTGAGAATAGCCTACGCGGCTCTCTCGGAGTCAAAGTTGCCCTGAACGCAAAAACGACTGTTCCCTCGACATACGCAGCCTTTTTGAATAGTCAGTTGCCTGCGTCGCACAGAATTCATCCCTTTTACGATCTAGAGAATGAGGCATCAACTCACTAGAGAGGATCCAATCGCTGCCAAGACCAGAAACAATCGAATACGTTGCCCATAAGTCGAGTCGTCCACCCCTTTGTAGTCCAAAACATCGTCATCTCCGACAATATCAAACGACATGGTGAGTCGGAGCTTTCCTTTTGTTTGGCTTGTCTGGATGATATTTGTCGAAGCCACAAATGGGCGAAAGTCGTGGTTGATGTAATTTGGAGTTTAGCGAGGTTGAATCGCCCCGAGTCAAGCTCACAAATCTGAGGCTCAAGCTATTTTCAGCACAGTATCATGGCCTGTTATTGGGCATGCGGCCATCAACTTCTCCACTAATTTGGGGGCCGCTCAAGGCTCGCGAGAGATCAGACTCCACTATTCTCGGGCATGGCTGAAATTTGAACGCCACAGTGGAAAATAACACAACGAACACAGTGAACGCAGTATTTTGATTTTCATGTCGGCTGCGTTGAATCGAGACTTCTTTCTACTGATCAGACTTCTATCAGATCCACCATTGATGGTGAGAATTCTATTGGGTCTGGAGGTTATCGCTGGAAGTATATGACCAAAATCCGCTCGATCTGGCTTTGCACCCATGAAACTTGCACTGGAGGCAGCCCTATGTCCGAAGAAAGAAGGCTTTTTAGATATGGCGCAAGTATCCAGGGACCCATTAGGGGTGCGATCTGGTGATGAGTCCAAGGGACCGGCCGCGTTTCGGCGAATGGGTATTCGACAAGCCCAGGCCTCATGCGTACCGACTCAATTTGATTACCAAGACAAAAGGGAACACTGGCGCAAATATCGTCCGCTAGACGATGAGCAGTGTTCATTGCCATCGTTGCTTTGAGTCCATCTGGATCATGAGAAGGCATCATCCGAAGACAACCAAGTATGATGAGTTGTATGAGAATGCGACAGTCGCGGTAGGTGTTCCAAGTAGACGCGGTCCATATGTCAATGTAGCAGTCACACCGATTATTGTACACACCGGCATCACGGACAGATTGCGGAATGATGCTTGCTGCAACGGGAGCCCAGTCCGGAGGAAGTAGATAGGACCATGTTGCCAGGTTTCTATCAATTCGACAAGCTTTTTCTAGAAGAGCCATGCAACTAGCTTCGTCCGCTGGTCGAGATAGAATCTGTTCCCAAGAAACGCGAAGGTTGACGATTTCTGACGCAGCCGTGGCCAATGATATTCGGGGTTCTGGTTGCGGTGTTGGCTGGGATAATGGCCAGACCTTAGGAGTTGGAACCATTGGAACTTCAAGTCCCCTGCTAGTTTTGATCTGCAATCTATGTGAGTAATTGTTTTTCGGAGATTAGTATTCAACACGTACTATTTGTATCTGCACAGCGTCATCAATTGTTTGTGATGATGGTGTCTCGAGACGCTTTGTCTTTCTATCATTTATAAGAGCAATCGCTCCCCTCAAGTGAGCTTTTAAAGGATGTTCTTCATCTTTCATTGCAACGAATTCCTAGTGGCCAATCTTAGTTCGTCGGCTGCGAGTGATGGGGATGGTGCTCACCTCGTAAGTAGAGAGCAGAAGTGTAGACAGCAAGATTGAGTCCAAATCATGGTGTTCTGTTTTTAAAAGAACTGCACGGATTTTGGACAATGCTTGAGTAAAGTACTGCTCTGCTGCACGGAGAAAGGTCATATTCCCGGTCCACGCGGCCACGGAGAAGAAAGCAACAGCTAAAGTGCTCACATGCAAATGTGACCCAGTTTGTGTTTTCGAGAATATTTCTGGCACTATTTCCATAAAGCCTTTTCTGCTGTGTTGATCCCTGGGAAGATAGATGTATGAATTGAAGAAGATGGGGACAACTGTGTCTTCCATCGGTTGATACAAACCAAAGGGACTAGGGAGTGTAGGCCAAAACATCGTTGCTGGTTGTTGGTTTGCAAAGAAAGTGGCTTTTGGCACTATCTCATTGGACTTGTCTGCAGTCTGTGGATTGGGAGAAGACTTGCTGGAACTTGACTGACTGCTTGCTGGAGGAGTTATCCTGGCTTGTGCAGGTTTCTTGAAAGATGGTGTTTGATCCCGTAGCATCAAATCGAAAGGATCAGGATATCCTGGACAAGATCTTTTTGTTCTTGTACATGCTCGACAATGTGGACGTGTCTCATCGCACTGTGTTTTGTTAGTCTTTTGCACTATAAGACTTAGAGTAAGCAAAATACCTTAATATGTCGCTGCCTGCATGTACGACATCCCGTACTTGGTTTTCCTCCATAAACCATGATGGCTAGACTTTTGTGGTCTCAATAAGTCATGCACAGGACCCTGGGTTACTTGATATCGGCTCGGAGGTATCGATTGGCCTCCATCTGGTCACACATCGGGTTTTCATAGGGCACCACAACGCGAGTTCCTTCAAGAAGCCCCGCAAATGAGAGATGGAAATCTAGCGGATCCAATCATGGATAAAATATGTACCTTTCTAGATCGTCGTTGTGTGAAGGCAGAAGCCAAACCTTCTTCAGAAAAAAACTGGTCACGTGTAAGGGATCGACAACGTCCGACTCCGTCTCCGCACGGATTTGCCCTCGTTCATGAGACATCACCAGTACCCCGCGCAACGTTTATCTCTCTCTCAACAGGCCTCGCTGACTTGATCTTATCTCTGGAGTGCCTACTGTTAACTCTCCTCTTGTCCGACGATTCCGCGCTGCTCCACGAGCTATCGAGCTAGTGATTACTCCGTACCCGTCTCCGATTATCAACCAACACCTCCTCACCCACACCACGCATAAACAATGGTTTCATTATTCGGCTGGGGCTCAAGCCCAAGCTCCGACGCAAGTCGAACAACACAAGAAAAGTCAACACCAGAACAACCTCAAGCTTCACCAAAAGAACCAGAACTCCTACCCTTTGAAACTCCGCGCCCCCCTCTCGCATCAAACACGAACCTCAAGCTCCTCTTCGGAGGAATGGTATTCTCCGCCTTAACCGTCCTCGTCACGCGGCGCTCTTTCAACAAGAAACGCATCGCCTGCATCCCACCTTTCTACACAAGCTCTCTGTACCACCAGCCCCACTCAAACTCTGCAATGGACGCCTTCGAGGCCCTCAACCTAGCCACTCTGAATGTAATTTCATTCGGCATGATGGCCGGCGGAGCAGCCGGATACGCTTTGAATATCAACAATATTGACGATATGCGGAAGTTCGTGCGGGCTGGTTTGCAGGGCGGCAGCGATACACCCGTGAAGAGTGATGAGGAGCTCGAGGAAGAAGTGACCGAGTGGGTTTCCAAGGTGCTCGGTGACAAGTTCGAGAAGCAATTGGAAAAGGAGAAGATGAAGAGAGCGTTCCAGCAGGCCCAAGCGGATCAAGCTGCTAAAGAAAACTGATTTGTTCATGGCATTGCGGGTGTTGTTTCCCTTGTCTATAATATTGCATCCACTCTACTCATGATTTGATACCAAACTGTATATTATGCATTCTTTGCGAGCATGCCATTTGAACCAATGTAGATATTCAGATGGATATGTGGAAGCCAAAAATTTCACTTGATTGCTAAACTGAACTGAACGCTAAAGGCTGAAGATTCTCGTTGAGAAATGAATATCGTACAATTAATCATGAGCCAGAAACATGCTCGACAATTGAGTGATGTTGAAACATCGGAGATCCTTGGGTTTAGCTCCATTCGATGAATATGCCATAGCCACAGCGGGCAATATGTGCATTCTCACACCCGAAGACCGAGAATAGTGCTGTTGTACATTTGAGCCACAAATCCTTAGCCAATAAAGCTAAGACCGGTCCATCTCCTCAAAGCGCTGGCGCGCGGTATTCCTGGTCTTCTCCAAGAATTCATCATATCGGCCACGCGTGTTCCGACCCGCTTCTTCAGTTGCATCGCCTAGCTTGCCTCCCTGGGCACCGAGACCAACACCCTGCGCATAAATTTCGGTCGCAATTGGCTCAATGACACCAGTTCCTTGTGCACCAAGACCGGTACCTTCAGACCATCCCATTTTGCCGAGAAGAGAAGCACCCTTCGAGGTCGTCTTTGTCTGCACAGGAGCTTCGGGTTCTTCCCTTGGCGTAGCTCGTTGAGAGGGCGCGGCGACTTTAGGGCCAAGGGCTTGACGGCGCTCTTTTGCACGGTCACGGTATTCTTGAATAGTCGGCTTCTCATAACCCTCAGGCGCTTTCACGAGTTCATGCTTGATTAATTTGTACATGGCGTAGTCGGTCAGCTCCTTGTTCTGCAGGTTGGCTTGATGCAGTTCACTGGCACGCTCATGTAATCTGAGTTTGGCAACGTTCCTCAGTTGACGCATACACAGCCAGCAGCAAACTTTATTGTAGTCGGCGTAAGACTGGACTTCCTGGGCAGGGTTGGCTCCGGCAGTGGCACCAGGTGTGTTCTCGTCGGCTCTGTTTGGAATCCCGTGGAGCTCGGCGTGACGGTTACTCCAGAACTGAAGCTGGGTGGGCATAGCAAGCTTTTTGGAATTGGCGTTGGTGGCGGCATCAGCCTTTCGCTTCTTCGCTTTTTCAGTGTCCTTCGTGCCCTTGGTCTGGTTGATTTGAGGATTAGGCTGTGCGAGATCATCTTCTTCCGCGGTCAGCGTCAGCTCTGTGACATAACCTTTGTCGTCCCAGTACATCAGTCTCATTGCTTTGTTATGCAGCGGCGTAAACGTAAATGCATCGGTGCTAGCCGAGGGACTCAAAACTGGGATAAACACTCCTGCGTGGATGAAGGTAACCAAGACAGGCTTCGAAGAGATTGTGAACTTATTAAATGACTTGAGGCGAGCCATCGCGGCTTGCGCATCCTGATTTACGTCAGATAGAAACCAATGTGGAATCCAGGTTGTATGAACATACCGCAACGCCTGCAAATTCTGCAAATCCATATCCCCAACTCTCATTGGTTTTGCGATCGCGCACAAGCAAGACGCGACGGATGGAGCCCTCTCGCGCTCCGAGTGTGCTGCTCGTTGAGGCGACTTTGGGACCCTTGTTGGAGTCATTGGGGGCAGTGTCATTGCTACCAGAGGGGCGATACAGTTTGGCAACGCCCTTTCCGAGAAGCTGCTCAGTGACGGCGGGATCTAACCCACGAAGCAGAAGGAATTGGGAGGGCTGGTTCTCGGGGGCAGCATCAGTATCACCGAGGTTGGCAACTCTGGGAGCGGGAGCTCCGAATGGGTCGGTGGTAGCCATTTCTGTGCGTATTATGAGTGTGTGAAACAATTGCAGTAGTTTGGAACATGATACGTACCAGGTCGTGGGGCGTTGCACTTGAAGCACTTTCCACGTGTAGAATAATTGGAGATAGCACACTGAGTAGGTAAGCGCAGCTCAATTTAGGTAGAAATCCCAAGTCGGTCCCACATCCACGCGTGGGCAAACTCCAGGTTCAACTTACCATGCGGCAAGTCCAATCACTCTCTCCTCTTGGACGTGCTCTGTCTTCTCGCTCACGGCTGTATGCAATACGCACTTTGGTACTGCGGTCGTTTGGACCAGCGCTGGGCCCATAGAAATAAATGGCTGGCTGGTTCTTTGTCACGAAATCTCTGGATTCCTCAATCGTGCGGAACCGCAAGAATCCTAGCTGTCTTGACAGTTCTGTGGAGCGTGTTGCTATGTCAGGAACGAAAATCTTCGCCATGCTTTCTTGGGTTTACATACTGGTCTGACGGTCCCGAATGACCCGAATATCTTCCAAGTCGTGGACATGGTAAGCTACCCTGAGTTCAGCGGTAATCTGCAGTCCACAAACGATGTGCATGTCAGTCATGGCCTTCGACAGTATATGCATCACTCGGCTTAACACCCAAAATTCAATGACTCACGTCGTCTTCTGTCATATCAAGAGGAAATCCCTCCATCATTACTTCGCGACTCTCATTCCCAGGGTGGAACTGGCCTCGCCGAGGGCTGCGGCTGCGACTATGGCTTCCGCTCCTATAACCCTCGCGGTCACGATCTTTGTATGATTGTCTTCCACGGCGAGGTGGTGAGCGTGAATCCCGGCGACGATATTCATCCCGACCGTGGCCTCGAAAGCCTGCGCCATGATCTCGATCTCGGGGATAGTCGTTTCGGCGATCTGCTGTTGGTCTCCGAGGCGACCGAGAACGGTCTTGATTTCCTGTCGCAAGGTCAAATTAACCAGAGTCCTGTACGGCATGGGTGGTATGGTCCTGTTGCTAAAATGCATCCAGCCTAGTGACCGTGCGGGGAGGAGCTTGTACCGCCAGCTGAGCGCGAGTCGATCTGATCGTCATACATACGACCATCTCGGTCCTCACGGTGTTGGAAAGGCCGCTGGCCCCATCGGGAGTATCTGTCGTTGGACTGAGAATGCGACATGACTTTCAATGATATGCGGAGGAAAGTGGAAAGCAAAGTGAGGCTTCAACAAAACATGGAGTTCACCATCCGATAAGCGTTATCGCTACGGTCCGGTCTACCTTCCATTCGTGCACAATTCAAATGCGCTGCTCACCGCCCTCTGAACCATGTACCTCCGCGGCCTCCACCCCGGGGCTCGTGGACCTCCAGGACTGGCCAGGGGCTCCATCACTGGGCGATAAGCCTTATCCACACCCCCGGAGTACTTTGCACTCTGTCTTGCACGGTCGATGACTTTACCACTACACTGCCACCGGGTACTTGAGAGTTGAAAGTAGCTGGGCTATACCTACTGCCTTTGGAGTGTTGGTCAAACAAACATCCTCGGAGACACAATTGTCCAAAAGGGCAATCTCGCTAACCTCGCCATCACATACATTGAATAGTATGAGATTGGGAGCACGGTAAAGAGTTCTGATCATGAATGCTACCATTTTTTCCAATCCAATCGGTCAGCTCTTACAAAAACCTTGGAACACCCAAACACAGCCTGTGTACAGAGTACACATCAAGCCAAGAAACTGGGCTGTTGCATAAGTCATCAGCATTAGTGGAGATGATCCACCGACCCCGTATCAGAGCTTCTGATTCAACGCTCAAGCTGCAGTCACAAAGTCCATGTTCAGGAATGGTCCAGCCGATCCATTTATTTCAATCGCTGGTAGTCCGATGATTCTCCGCTGCCCCGCGGTGGGACGTGCTACAAGTGATTAGACCTCCAAGTGTCCTCATGCTCTTCCAACCCAAATATAACAACTTGAAATCTCACCCGAATCCCCATATTCTTATTCCTATCCTCGTATCCTACACATTACGGCCGCAAATATCACCATGGCTACTCCCGGAAACTCCAACCACCGCGCCTGGTGGAAAGAGAGCTCCGTGTATCAAATCTGGCCCGCTTCCTTCAAGGATTCAAACGATGACGGCGTCGGTGATATTCCGGGTATTGTTTCCAAGCTCGACTACATCAAGGATCTAGCTATAGATATTGTCTGGCTGTGTCCGTCGTACAAGTCGCCTCAGGTTGATATGGGCTACGATATCTCCGACTACTATAGTATCGCCGACGAGTATGGTACAGTTGCTGACGTCGAGAAGCTTATTTCGGGTTGCCATGAGCGTGGTATGAAGCTTTTGATGGATCTCGTTGTCAACCACACCAGTGACCAGCATGAATGGTTCAAGCAATCCCGAAGCTCTAAAGATAATGAGTATCGGAATTGGTATGTGTGGAAACCCGCAAAATACGACGAGAATGGCAATCGCCAACCACCCAACAACTGGGTTTCTCATTTCCAAGGTGTGTATCGGGCGAAACATATTCCACTTCCTTGCACCCTCTAATTATAGTGTACAGGAAATGTTTGGGAATGGGACGAGCACACACAAGAGTACTACCTCCACCTCTATGCAGTCGAGCAACCTGACTTGAACTGGGAGCACCCACCAGTGCGCAAAGCAGTGCACGACATCATGCGTTTCTGGCTCGACAAGGGCTGCGATGGTTTCCGCATGGACGTGATCAACTTTATCAGCAAGGAGCAGAGCTTCCCCGACGCACCTATCAAAGACACACGTACACCATGGCAGTGGGGTGACAAGTGGTATGCCAATGGCCCACGTTTGCACGAGTACCTCCAAGATCTAGGAAAGATCCTGAAAGGGTATGATGCCTTCAGTGTGGGTGAAATGCCTTTCGTCAAGGATGAAAAAGAGGTGCTCCGTGCCGTGCAGTTCGAGCGCAATGAGATCAACATGATCTTCAACTTTGAACATGTCGATATTGATCATGGAACATACGACAAATTCGAGCCCGGCAGCTGGAAACTCACCGACCTGAAGGACTTCTTTGAGCGTTGGCAGACTTTCATGTATGCCAATGATGGTTGGAATGCGCTTTACTGGGAGAATCATGATCAGCCGCGCTCTATCGACCGCTACACCAATGCTAGCGAGGAGTATAGACTGGCCGCATCTAAGATGCTGGCCACTGCTTTGGCATTGCAAGCCGGTACTCCATTTGTTTACCAAGGACAGGAGATCGGAACAAGAAATGTACCGAAGTCGTGGGGTATTGAGGAGTACAAGGATATTGACTGTTTGAACCATTGGAACAGGTATTTGATGACTCTTCTCTGAGCCACCACAGGATCAAGCTGACTGGTCTATAGACTGCCAAAGGATGACCCAAAGGCACAAGCTATCGCCCTCCAAGAGTACCAGAAAAAGTCCCGCGACAACGGACGCACACCTGTTCAATGGTCAGCTGCTGAAAATGCAGGTTTTACTGGCCCTGGAGTCAAGCCCTGGATGTCCGTGAACACAGACTACCTCACAGCCAACGCCGAGGCCGCAGTCAAGGATCCCAACTCGACATATCACTATTGGGCCACTGTTTTGAAGCTCCGCAAGAAGTACCTTGACATCTTTGTGTACGGCGATTTCACACTTCTGGACAAACCAAACCAGGAGGTCTTCGCGTACATCCGCCAGTATGGGGACCAGAAGGCCCTGGTGGTGTGCCACTGGACCGAGAAAACTACCCAGTGGGATGCAGCGGCCAACGGCATCAGTGAAGTGAAGGAAATTTTGCTCAACACATACGAAGGTGCCGATGAAGCTTTCGCACGCTTCTCTGGTGATAAGTGGACTCTCCGGCCGTACGAGGCAGTTGTGCTTCTGTTGTAAATTGGCTAGACCATAGTATATAGGCTTCTGGTTCATCATGCCCTGTTGAGCAAATCATCAATGCCGAAATTACCAATCAAAATCCTCCTGAATATCATAGAAATGCACAAAGCGGAATTCATCGGCCCTCTCCGCAGATCGGTGCGGTCTTATCCACCGATCCCCGCAGGCGATAAGCAATAGCCCGCGGACATTTACACTGCGTTCCCACTAACACTCAAACGCACCTCAACGTCTCCAGTGCAAATGACACAATGACGACCAACGAGCCCCTCCCAGCACACCTGGACCCAAACACCTACCCACGCACCCACCACGACGCAGCCCAAAACATCCATGTAACGCTAACGTATGATGTCCTCGACGCCAACGCCTCGTTATCACAAACCTCCTCCCCCGCAGCGGGCGCAAACATCCTCTTTCTCGGAACGACACGCGATACCTTCGAAGGCCGCTCTGTTTCACAGCTCAGCTACACTACATACCCACCTCTCGCACTCAAGACGCTAGCGAAGATCGCGGAGGAGGCTATCCGAACACATAAGCTTGAGGGCGTGAGCATTTCACACCGATTGGGGGTTGTGCCTATTGGAGAGGCTTCAATTGCTATTGCTGTTAGCTCGGGTCATCGTGGAGCGGCGTGGAGGGCTGGCGAGGAGGTGCTAGAGGCTTGTAAAGAGAAGGCGGAGATTTGGAAGAGGGAGGAATTCGTGGATGGCGGGATGGAATGGAGGGCTAATGCCGACAGAGATGCTGAGGGGAAACCTTTGAAGAAAGATGAGGCATGAGAGATGCTGGAATAACACCTTTGGTTGGTATTATCTTGATTATGGGGTTCGAACCTGGACATGAGCATGGCTAATAGTTGCTTAGATCCTACAATCCATGCACTATGTGCTGACATGACCCTTCAGTGCTGCCCAGGTGGATCCTAGCTTGCGCGTGCAACACTAGAGCGGTTGACCTAAACATCACCCTACAAATATGAGTTTCTTCGATCACGATCGCAGCTCCGGCTGAGTGGGGTATTCCAATATTCGAACATATATTGTACAATTTCTATACACAAACCTCGCAGGAGACGCTTACTCGGTCTTCAAAGGCTTGCCTTCTCTCTTCCAGTCATTGATGTGCTCCAAAATCACCTTCGCTGCAGAATCGGGGGTATCCTGGCGACCAATGCACTCGACAAAGTCATTATCGGGATCTATAATCAATGATTAGTACTGCAACATCCTTGCACGGCAAGGTTTCTAGGTGGTTCACGTACCCATGAGGTAGAAGTAGATGCTGTGGTCCACGAGGTAGTCCTCGCCAGGCTTCACATCCTTAGGCGTGCTGAAGTACACGCGGTACTGCTTGCAGACGTTCTTGACCTGCTCGTAGGTACCAGTCAAGCCAACAATGCCGGGGTGGAACTCAGCGAGGTACTCGCGCAGGACCTCGGGTGTGTCGCGGACAGGATCGCAAGTAATGAAGACAGGCATGAAGAGCTTCTCGTCATTGGTAGAAGCCTTGACCTTCTCAATGATCTCGGCCATCTTGTCCAGCTCATCCGGGCAGATATCGGGGCAGTGGGTGAAACCAAAGTAGACCTTCAAAAACAAGCAAGATATTGTCAGCAAAGAATGTCATCGAATCATCGCTCTCGCATCTCCCGCGACAAATTCGAACCACTTACAAAGCTGTATTTTCCCTTCAAGTCCTCCGCAGTGAACTCCTTGCCCTCGAGATCCTTCAACACAAACGGTCCGCCGACCTTAGGCTTGCCAACACCCTTGCTCATTTCTGTCATGCGCTTGCGCTCCAAGCGAGCCTTTTCAATGCGGAAGTAGAGCATCATACCCGCACCAGTCAACACGAACAGCAACGCAGCCTTCCACGAGAATGGACCGGTCGTGTTACGCTGGCGCAGCTGGCCCATTGTCTTTTGTTTCTCGCGGAACGCGGAAGTCGAGAACTGGTTCCGTGAGGTGATCATGCTTCGCATGGTTTGTTCGCATCGTGGGCGTTGTGCTTGGGTGTAGGCTCGGCATTGTGAGGCAGTGTTGTTGCGCAGAAGGCGTTGTGTGGATGCGGATTCAATAGCAGCGGTGCGGATGGCCCGGGTCAGGAGCCCGTTTGCCAATCTCATTGAGGAGGCCATGTTGAGGATTTGTTTTCGCGTCGTAGGTGGGAGAGCGAGAGGTTGATTATCAATTGCCGCGGAGGAATTCGAGAATCTCCAGATCGACACCAAATTGGGTTTAGCCTTTCTGCCTTAAGGCATCAACTGGTAGCTATAAAACCCATGAATCTAACTCTACTCCATACTTGATTTTCTTTGATATCAAGATCTTCAGTATAACAACTTAGGCATTCTTTTGTTTCCTGGAAATACTTTTTGTGACTTTGAAAGCTTTGGGAATTTTCAGCGTTACAAATGACCTCCATATCAGATCTTAAAGAAAGTGTGAGTTGGTGGTTGAGTATGCAAATGTTGTGTATATGAGTGCCTAATTTACTAACTCAAAGAAAAGGAATGTTAAAATGGTAAAAGGGAGCAAACATGTTACCTTCCCCCCGGTAGCTCAACCGGGGTGACCTAGCCTTTGCCATCTTCGGGGGAGATGGGAAAGTACTCAGTGTCGTGCTGAGTAAATGTGATGGTCACAGCCAGGAGATGATGCTCATGTGTTCAAGCCTAGACGGAGTCGGAATTTATTCCCTTTCCTGAAGTCACATGCACGCCTGTCATCTTTGCCCCGTAACCCTTGCCCACCTACCACCCTCGAGGGAGTAACCGGGCCGGGTTACAACTTTAAGGGGGAATATTTGGAACCACATAATGAGAGGAATAGCTGCCTCTCAGCATCGTTTTTCCCTGTCTCTTTATATGTCTCAATGCTTATGTGTTTAGACAGACATAAACCGGTATCAGCTGCTAGCTGAGCTGTATAGTAAGTACATGCAGTCTTAAACGTCAACAGCTTGTTTGAGCCAGTTCTCCGCCATCTCGTCAAAGTCAGGACTGTATAACCAACTGAGATCAAATGGCTTGGTTTCAATCTCCAATTTTGTCGAGCCAGGAGCTCTAGGCATTCGCCTAGCATCAATCTGAGCATTCAGCTCCAGAATTCGGTCAACCCGTTCCTGCCGACCTTGCTGCCAAATCTTCAATCCGCGCTCAAGCTCCTGAGGTTTGCACCGGTGGAGAATAACAGAAAACGTGTAAATATCTTCAAACGCTTGATTGATACCTTGGCCAGCAGTGGGCGGAATCGCATGCGCGGCATCGCCCAGAATGACAACACGCGAGTGTTTTGAGGTCCAGTCCTTCAACTTAGGCACAATATAAAACGGCCACAGATTGACTTTGTTCAATGGGATGTTGGACACCGCGTTCTGCACAACCTCGGGGAAATCCTCAGCTCCTTGGCGGAGGAAGTCAACACACCACTGCTTGTCTTCAAGCAGGGCGGCCCAGCCAGCACGATCAAGCTCTGGCGCACGCTTCTGTTTGCCAATGAAAGCTTCAGACCCATCGGCTAGCTGTGGTGCAATGACGAAGGCGCCATGCTGGGGGTTCATGATTGTCACCGGAATCTCGAATGAGGCTGGAAGATTCAGTTGAGCTGTCGGCACGGCGGCGCTGACGCCAACGGCGTTCGTGAAGATGGGCTCCAGCTCGGGGTACAGGTATTTGCGAACTCGCGAGTGAATGCCGTCTGCTCCGATTAGACATGCTGCTTGTCCTGTGGTGCCATCTTCAAATTCCCAGGAGACTTCGGTCTCGGTTTCGGAGAGGACCTGTATGAATTTCTTGCCGTACTGGATTTGAATTCCTCGCTCTTTAGTCGCAGTCAGAAGCGCATCGATTAATTTGTGTCGGAAGATGCGCAGCCCGTCATATCCATATTTTTCCCGATTTCCGAACTCGTACGAATCAAGTGGTGCAGCTGTGCGGAAGTGGAGGTCTTTGAAGTGGTATCCATCGAGCTTGATCTTCTCATAGATCTCCAAGGAATCCAGAATTCGTAGCGCGTTCGGCGAGAGCATGACCGCGCCTCCGATGTCGAGCGAGGCGGTGCGGGATTCGTAAATAGAGCATGGAATAGACTGTTTGTGGAGGGCAAGTGCCAATGTCAGACCAGATAGGCCTGCTCCAATGATGGCAACCTTTCCTTGGGTCATGGTGTGGGATTCACGGTTGTTGCATAGAGGTTCTGGGTGTTGCTGAGATTACCAACAAGTCGCGGTATTTGAGACTTTTGATGACGGGCATCCCGAGCTTTATACGAGAAGGTCGCTACTGCGTATCCCATGTTGTCGTCCTGTGGCTTGGCTTAGTTTTCCCACGGCTTACACCCAAGAAACTAGATGAAGTGGTGAGATATATGTCCGGATCCGAGTTCGGATCCGGCTGGAGATAGCGCAGTCCGGAATCCGGACTCACCACTCAAGCCGCAATGATCGCTCAAGCTTTCACCAGGATCCACTTCAACGACCGGTACTACATTTATCACTACCGTGATGACTGCCATACAAGCTGACTCGGTGCCCAAATTGTTGACAGCGTCCCCGCCAACCCTCAGACATGCCCTAGGGATTTTCTACAAGGCTCTGGCAACCAGAATAGGAATACAAGCGATATACTGCATGAAGTCTTGAAGTATAAAATTATAGTTTTGCTTTTATTTTAATATGACAATATTATAGCTTCTGATCAACAATCAGTCGATTCCAAAGCACCTTGCTCGGATGTTCACCCGGACAACATTGGAAGAGGCCCTTTCTCGCATAGGAGCCTTTCCCTGCACGGTCTTTCGACTCAAGTGCTTAGATAGCATCAGGGAAAGTGTGAGGGTTCTTCAGAACGCTAGGTGCGGAGCCACGGGCCTTAGTTCCGATCAAATGATCGAAAGCAGGAGAGTGCTTCACACGAGGACTCATGTCTTCCAAATCCCACAGGTACCCGAGAGTCTTCAAGACCGAGGTGGCACTGTAAGAAGTTGACTCGCCAGTGACAGGATCCGTTCCATAGTTCTCGACGTGGCCACGGGGAGCGTAGGGAGATACGAGCCAAGTAGGCATGCGACCACCCAGACGGTCGAAGTTGAGGGTGTACTCAGTGCCATCAGCAGCGGTCTCGGTGTAGGTCTTCTCGTCAGGACGGACGGCAAGAGGGGGAGCAACGTGATCGAAAAATCCACCAGTCTCATCGAAGGTGATGAGGAGCAGAGTCTTGTCCCACTGTGGGCCTGTGCGGACGGCATCGTAGACCTGTTTCAGGAGGACTTGTCCGAAGGAGACGTTGCCGGAGGGGTGCATGGAGTTGGTGTTGAGACCGCAGCAGGATGGGTTGATGTATGACAATTGGGGGAGAAGACCCAGGTATGCGTCCTGGTAGAAGTTTTCGAGGGGCACAACGTTGCTCTTGGCGTTTTGGGCTGTCCAGTTGAAGAACATGGAGTCTGGCAGGAAGTCACCGTTGGTGCCGTCGTAGTTGCGCCACGAGATACCCTTCTCCGAAGCAACCTGGAAGATACTGGAGGTATCAACGCCGGAGACATCGAAGCTCTCGTCGTTCTTGCCGTGGCCGTCGGCAGTACCAGACACCGCACAAAGACGGTTAGGGTTGGTAGGCTGGTTGCGTGTCAGCTGAATTTCTGAAATTGGATCTCAAGTTGGGGGATGACTCACACCAGGGACACAAGAGTGCCAGTAATTAAATGTCGTGAATTCGTCAACCAGGTCAACGAGTGTTGGGATCTCATCCTCGGAGTAGTATCCCATGACCTCATCAGTAGCTCGCTGAGCCGAGATACTGGGGTAGGCCTGCATCTGGCGGTTGACGAAGCCTTCTAGATTGGGCTTAAGAGTGCCATTGGCAATAGCCTCATTGTCAGGGTTGTAGGTGCCATAGAGCTCAAAGTTCACTCCAGTGACCGAGTGATCAGGGTCATGAAGAACTGAGTCGTAGTCTTTGTATTGACTGTACCACTTCTTGCTGTTGGTGTCGTTGACACTCTCAGGATTCCAGAAAGGACCGTTGTTGACAACATTGTCCAGACCTTCCTTCTTGACACCACCGAGGATGTTGTCAAATCCACGGTTCTCGAGGATAATCCACACAACATTCTCGATCTTGTCCTTCATATTGGCAACCGACTCCTTCGAGCCAGATTTGTACCCGAAAGGCTCTTGGGATCCCTTGCTCACAGCAGCACCCAAGGCACTGCTGGAAAGGCCCAACAATGAAAGGAAAGTATTGGTCTTCATTGTGTCGAGAACTTGAGGAAAGAAGGCACTGGATTGCGATGATCACTTCGGCCGCCGTGGTCCTTTTATATATTTCAGGATAGGGCGTCCGCAAATATCAAACGACATTCCGAGTCGGAAACGTGCGATATTGTCTCAATTAGGCACATCCCGTGTAGCAAATGAGGACCTGTCATCGTGACCACATGTGCATGCAGTAAGCAATTTGGCTAAGCAGTCCGCAAGGACCAGTGCTTCCAAGGTTAGCGGGACTCACTAGCGCAGGTTCAATTTGAAGAAGTGGGCTCGATACCATCGCCCATTATCGCGGGTATTCCAGCAAAGGGCAGCAGCGAGTCGAAAACAAAAGAAAGGCACGTTTTCGGATGAAAATTGTGGGGCCGGATGAGCTTGGCCCCACAGGCACACCAATCAAAAGTATGAGCCTGGACTTTAATCTCTGCCAAGCCACCAATCACGGTTGAGTCTTGGCGCATGCGTCGAACTATAAGCACATGGGTAGTCGCACTCTATGTCCACGAGTGTCCACGAGTGTGTATATTGCCTCTTAAATGGGAAAATGGAAGGAAATAGAACTTTCTATTCGTGGTCTTCGGTGAGAATAGATATGAGTGGAGAATTTAAGCAAGAGATAGTGTGCGAAAATGTATCAACTTTGATTTTGGCCTGAAGAGAAGGCTGTATGCTCCCTGTTGGGCGGATAATTCCAAGTGTGGTGGCCAGGAGATGAGTCTCAGTAGATCTAATGGTCCATTAAAAGGCCAAATAAGGGCTCCCAGGCATAAAAAATACCAGCTGGGTGAGGTGTCGCATGTCCTGATTTCGCGCCAGCTTAATCCCAAAAGGGCCCAATCCTCTCCATCTGTTGGGTCAGTTTCCTTCCTTCCCGAAGTACTGGGCTCGAATCCTAGTCCCGATGTCCAGCTGAATTTGTTCCCTTTGTTTTAAACCCTTTTCTCCTTCATCATCCTCCTCTTTGTCCGTCGTTTGTTGTCAAGGCACCCAGGCTACTAGAGCACATCAACCAAATATCACGAGGCTTTGGGATATCAGAGCCCGTGGAAGTTATTCTGGGTCTTGGCCAATCGTAGGGTGGATCCATGCAACCTTATAACGCCCGTGGACTGAAAGCCAACTGCCCCGGTGCGAGTAGGCTCACCGTGGTACTGCACAGGTGGCGTATGTTTAAAAAATAGAGCATGTATGGCCTCAAGCACTTCTAGCAAAACACCTGGCCATATTTGGAGTAGGTACTGCTAAGCAGGACCTCATAAGGATATATTTGATAAATTAGGTAGCCCTAGCAGTGTAGTAGGTAAAGATGAATGATTATCCCAGCATTTCCAAGAATTGATGCACCCCTATATTAATTGGCGACGCGATCCATGGTTATCCCAGCGTTTGACCTGCCCAGGTGTCTAAATTAATCCCAAGCCAGAAAGGTACTCGTTCAGCCTCGGCTCAACAGCTTCTCCCTCAAAGATCCCCCCGATGTACTGATCCGGGCGCAACAAATAAACAGCATCCTGAATGAGACCGGCCTTGGCATACTGGTCACTCCATTGGAAAACAAACAACTTCACGCGCGACTTCTCGGCCCACCGGCCTAGTTCTGGTCCAGGCTCTCCATACACATGGAGCTGCCAGCAAAGGTCTCGAAGTGTTGAGAAATTGTCACCATGGTCTGTTTCAACCCACGGCAGCCGATCACCGGACTGAATTTCTCCTGTTTTGGTTTGAGAAAGACTGCTATCGCGGTAATTGCATATGAGCTGAGAAGCACCGCGGAAGATCCGCTTGCGGGCGGATTCGAACTTCACGGCCAAAGGGATTATGAAAGGTATCAACCAGTTTCGAAGGATATATCCGAGCGTTCCTTGTGAGGTTAAGGTTGTGAACCCGGTGTCGGTTGATTTGACGATCGTCAGGGCAAAGGAGCGCCGTTCAGACTCGTAGGATTCTAAGAGTTGATGTTTCGCCTCCTCGCTCATTTCTGTCTGCTTGAGCACAGTCGCTAGTTTCCAGGCTAGGTTGATAGAATCCATGATGCCAGTGTTCATGCCCTGACCACCCACTGGACTGTGGATGTGGGCTGCGTCTCCAACGAGGAACGCCTGACCGCTGCGGAATTTGTCCGCAATACGGTGGTGGCTGCGGTATGTGGAGAACCAGTTGAGCTTCTTTATGTTGATATCCATTGTTTCCATTAACTGTGGCCTGACGTCTTCAAATGTGATCTGGTGGTCGTGATCTGGGGAGTCGAGGGTGGGATTGTCTTCAGCGCCCAGGCTTGTGATGCCAACCAATCTTGCATGTCCTGCTGTGTTGTAGGGAACTATCAGATTGAAGCTCTGGTTCGTGATCATGAGGTTGCCTTCTCCGTTGAAGAGCCTGTCGCCTTCACCTTCGATGTCGGCGATGTAGAATAACGGTTTGTAAGTCTCCCCTTCGTATGTGGCACCAATAGCATGACGGACAGCTGAATGCGCCCCATCACAGCCAACAATGTAAGATGCTTCGTGTGTACTTGAAGTTCCATCGGCCTCGTGAAATAGAGTAGCAGTGATGCTTGAACCGTGATCCACAAAGCCCTGCAATGTTGTGCGTCGCTGGATATAGACACCAACGCTGTTAAGTCGCTTCTCGAGCATCTTTTCATGTTCATCTTGTGGAACAGTGAACATGAATGGGTATGGAGTTAGCTCGCAGCCAAAGTCTTGCAATGCTATCCGCGCTTTGCATTGCCCATGAACCCAAAGATTCGTCGCTGGGAGCTTGTATCCAAGAGCTAAAAGATCATCGGAGATTCCAAGCTGTCGGTATAGTTCAATTATGCGCGCGTGGACGACAATTGCGCGAGACTTGCTTGCTGGTGCAGTCGCTTTGTCAACAATGTGGACAGTAACACCTTGATGTTGGAGCCATAAGGCAAGGACAAGGCCAGTCGGACCTGCGCCGATAATGAGCACTTCAGTTTGAGGCTTCATTCTCACACAACAGTCGAATGCTATCCTGTGTGAACAGTTTGAAAAAGATATTTGGTCGATAGAGAGATGGGTATAGTTAAAACAAAAAAATAACGAAACAAAAACCGTGAGGCGTGACCGACTTTAAATAATGTTCCTTGGCCAAAGACAATACCTCGAAAAAAGGGACATCAACAATAAGCTGAGTCGTTTATGCCGTCATTGCTCGGCCATTTAGTCACCGACCCCGAGAGTCGCGTCCATATTGGTGAGGCCAAGTACAGCCAAGACGTCCATGCGGGATCGGAGGATCGGTTGCCGATCGGCGCGAGCACACCCGCTCCTGGTTTACATGAATACGAGCCCAAATTTCCCCGGTGCTCTCGTGATATTTATTGAATCATGGTGGACCCGTTTTATTCGTGAGGCTGATATCGATTTTTGAGTCATGGCGGCGCAGCTCAACTCGCAGCTCCATGCTCGACAAAGGGATCAGACCGCCCTGTCAGGTCATAAACGTATCATCGGCCAAGGAGCTTTGGAACTGATTGAGAAGGTTGTCCCACTCATTCCAATCGACTGGACTGTCTCCCATCATGAAGTCGAATTTCTCTGCCTCTGGATCAAAGTGAGAAGTGGGAAACTCGTGACTGGGCTGCGCATGTGGCTCTGCATCACTTTCAAATTCAACGATTCTTTCGGCGGGTTGCGGGTCGGGAACATTTGGTCTATTCGCTAGCAAAGAGGCGACAATAGTGGGACAAGGTGTAGGTGTGCGGCGTTTGAGGTTACACTCTCCAATATACGCCCTCCAGGCCTTTATGATCAAACTTTCAATGGCCAAGTGAAGAGGCGTAGAAGCTTTCTTACCAGACTCGAGTATGTGTTGAGAATAGACATTCCCAATCAACTGCCAGACGGTGCTCTTCTCCTCTGGGTCGGTCCGATTCCGTAGCTCCGAAAGCATGAATATGATGGCGTCCCACGGCATATGGTTCACAGTGTGCCACGAGAATCTCCGAACGACTGGGTTGTTCTGTGCGTGGTCGGCATACTTGGTCATTTTGAGGGCGCTTTCAAAAATGATGTTTTTCTCGGCCGGAGATATGCGGATGTTCTGGTCCCGGTATTGACGAGGGTGGTGCGCCATCAGTCGGGTGTAGTGTACAGCTGAACGGGCCATTAACCTTGTCACCATGTGTAGTGGAATTGACTTGTCGCAATATCGAAGGAATCTCGACTCCATGAATTCCTCAAGTTCGTCAATGGTCTTGTCTTTTTCGTGCAATGGCATCGATGAAGATGATAGATTTGCCCATGGTCCAGTATTATCACCTGAGACGCCGGTTGATGATAAACGGCGCAACCACTGTCCAAGTCCGCTTCGAGCCAAAACAAAGATCATCTCTGTCGGGCCTTGTTTCTCGCAGGCCGGTTCTGTCATGCGGGGGTCGAGATCGCTATCATTTGCATTCATGGGGGGTTGAATGTCAATTGAAGTTGGGACGGTACTCGAAGCAACGCCGCAAAATTGGGCAGAAGTGGCATCTATGATCATGAGTTGGAACCAAACGCGACGGCGCATCTCGGTCTCGAAGACTGATAGACCGTGGTTGGAACCGTCTCGATGGACTCCGATTCGCTGCGCAATTCGTGTTGCAATCCCACATAGAGTCCAAATTGTGTGGGGATCGGAAAATGCCCGCATACACAGCTACAGAAACACTGTTAGATTCGAGCCCGAATTCAGCCATGAGAGAGTCCGGGGGGGGAATGGGACGAACATACCAGATACAACATGAAAGCTTGAAGGACCGTTAAACTCGAAGTGCGGAGCAGTGCCGCGTTCTTGAACGCCTGCTGGGCCCCTTTTTTGTATTTTGATAGAAGAACCTTCTTGCTTTCTCCAAATGACTTCTCGACATCGCTTTGTTCCATGGAAACCAGCGCAATGCAGTATATCGCAAACATCAGTGCTTCGAGCTCTTTACTCGCTCTCGGTAGGTCACTCATAGCTTCCAGGATTTGTTGTTGCAGGGTTGGTACATGGATGACCTTGGTGAGTGGATTCACATTCTCGAGAAATGCTTGCCACAGCTTGAAGATATGCAAGGGAGTTGGATGAAGCTCTGCGAGGACTTTTCTTGTCGTGGAAGGAGAAAGTATAGCGTATTCATCATCCACATCCTGGGCAAGATCATCGCTGCCTGTGTCCGATACATCCCCCAAGACATCCGATGCGTTGGGGAGCTAACAAAAACGGTCAAAACCAGAATGCGCCAGCACTCAACGAATACGCACCTCGTTGCTCACACTTGTCCATAGGTTACTGATGCGCAAGTTAGCAATGTTGATCACACATACAAATGCAATATTCACTTTTCCAGGTAGATGGAGTTGCCATCCTTCATAATCATCCTCCCGGATCCATTTCTCTCAGGACCAGCCCGCTCTTCTCCATCTGGGGATCTATGTGTAGCAGGTGTACTGCTGCTAGGTTCTGCATTGCGTTTGAGGGATTTCGCGGGTTGTTGCGACACGTCGCCATTCGGCTCGAGCCCCCTTTTGCGGCGCGGTGGGGGAGCACGGTACACACACTCCACACTCGCCTTCGCGCAATTAGAACACGGCTCTTTTCTGTCGCATTTGACCTTCCGCCTGTGGCAGACCACACATGAGAACGGGGTGAGTTGTTTTGGTGGGGAGTCTGTTGCGCGCGCGCCGTTCAAGGGATTATTCGCGCTGCTCGGATCCATTGCGACAAGATACTGTCCGAGCCAGCTAGGCACATAGAGTATGTATGTGTTGCTATTCCATCAGTAGAAAACGCGGAGAGGATGGGTGCATGTTGCGATCGGCACGACAACCGGGGCCGGAGACTCATGAGTTTCGGCCTCATAAGTCAGGCGCCCAGCCCACTTCCACCATCTCCACCTAAGACATCGTTTCAATCTCGGTTGGGTTAAATTGTCAACTTCAATTGGCTTGATATTCTCCACTGCAATTGCTTGTTTCCAGGCTGAAACGAAAAACCCCTCGACCTCTGAAGTTGTTCCCGTTTGCCATGTCAAAGTCTATCCGGTCCCATGACTGCGCCGCTACAGTCTGGGCATTGTCAGATACTCGTATTGCTATCATTCCCACGGATCCTTCTCACATCAATTGCAAATACATATACTGGGGTCTTCCAGTGATTCCTTGAATGCATTTGCCATGGCACACTTTCTTGATCGAGTGAAAACTGTCCTCCGGAGAGGCAGACGGAGCTCAAGCTACGTGGGACCCAAGGATCCAGTGTGGAAAAAGCTTCCCTCTCACATCTTTGTGGCAATATTGGCATCTTGTGAGCTCAAAGATATTGGCTCTTTGTCCCTAAGTTGTCGATTGCTGCATGACCGAGTGGCCAAGCTGGAATTTGCCATTGCCTGGGAATACATTCAGCTTCGTAAACAAATCCACCATCACGGCTACTCCCTCAATGAATTTTTGTCGCCGGGAGATGACATCGCATTCATCTGCGAATTGTTCCCACCACCACCGCCTGAATATAATCCAGCCATCGATCAAGATAACGCGGGATATTCTTTGGGATATCTCGGTGATTTGAAGCGATGCTGGAATACTTGTCTTCGACTGTCCTACCACCTGGCTGATCACGTAGTGGAGCATCACTTGGAGACCGATCCAATTGCTCAGCCTTTGTGGACTTCTTCTAAGACGGAGAAAGAGGTTGTCCACAGCAGAGCCGTGGCGGCACTACAAGCCAAGCTTCTGCGCCCAATGTATGGTCCCAAGATACGTCTTGCTTGACTAAATGCTAACTTGCTTCCAGGGCCTATGCGGTATTCTTCCTTGAGGCTTCTGCTGTCTCGGCTCATGATCACCATCACTCACACCACAGTCATGACCTGGCGTCATCTATCAAAAGGCAACAATCAATTCTGCAAAAGGCTCCATTCACGGACACTCATATATTTTTGTCCACCCACCACTGCATGCATCTCCTTTTCTCGACCGTGCAGCGCTTGATGGGGCCAGAAATTCCTCATTCCTCGGCCGAAAGCTGGATCAGTCTTCTTCTCACCACCTCGACAATGGAGAGACTTGTCAGCTTCTTTGTTGCAGTAGCTAAAGACGACCATAAGAAGCAAAATGGTACACATGACTCTACATGGTCTCATCGAAAAGAGTTTTTGTTAAGAATGCGACAAGACCTCAACGACTATGTGGCATCAGTCAGCGATCATGACCGGCACATGGACCATGAGCTAGAGCTCAACCATGTATGGTTTCAAGCAGCGTCGCATGAGATGGATCGACGAGGCGCTATCCCGCATACTGTCGAAGATACAGAAGTGCATGTTCTCCATGGTTCCACTGTTAAAATGGAGTGTGGGTCTTGCTATGATCGTTATGATGAATAGTTGTAACAGTTGAGATATCCCGACCGGACGTCTTGCTGATCTCTCAATATACAGCATGTGAGCTGAAGCTTCTATGTTTGCGTTTACCGCAGAGTCCTTCCTTAGCTTGGCACAAGCACTCTAGCAATATTGTGATTACCACATTAAAAGAGAATAGTATACGCGCCGGCGGCCAACATGCGCCCCCTAGGTAGCCAACCCCCGCTCCCGCAGCCAGTGAGTGGGGGCTAAGCGCCCACCCCAGCGCTTGCTGACCCATTTCATATTTGCACCCCGCCCTCGAGGTGTCTGTCCTGGATCCCTCCAGCCCTCTTTGCATATGCAAGTATATTTCACTCCTCTTCGCCAAGAAATAATTTTCCACAAAACGAGTCCAGCACACTTTGCATGTATCATATGTGGACATGACATCGTCAGCGAACAGATGGAGCATGCAAAGCATTCATGGCTAAGGGAGTTTCGAGCAAGTATGGATAAACAGATCCCTCCCAGAGAAAAAGCTTACATTTCAAAGTCTACAAAGATCCTGATGGCTATCATCTCAGTGGAACGGGACGGTATTCTGATCCAAGGGCAGGCTTATGGTTTGTACCTTTGGATCCTACCACGCGATGGGACGATGGAGACCATGTGCCACTGCACATAATTCCCGTAATGCACCACACCCCCGAGGATGAAGTGCATGGTTTTGTATGCCATGATGCGTGCTGGTCAGTTTTTCAAAAGGCCATTCAACTTGACAACATTTCACTCTACCGAATTCTTGAGATCTGCAATTCCCTGCCAAGCCTTCCTGGCAGATCTGGTTTTTTCTGGGGGCATAATTATGGAGGTCTTGGGTTCATTGACAAGGACAATGAATATCCGTGGGAACGCAGAGTCATGCACACAGACCTCAAAACTGTGGAAATGTGCCGAGAAAATCCCTGCGAAGCTCCAGAAATTACTGAGCTAGTGACATCGGCCTTGAGATTCCCCCAGAGTTCTACACACTTACCAGACTATCGCAAAATGTCTAGTGACCTGATTCGACTCGCCTCGCTAGACCAACCCGAACTGTCCCAGTCGGCATCGAGACTCGAGAGAAAAGATGAGCTGTCTACCTTGCCGGTTGAGATACTGGAGACAATTGCTTCCTACTTGCCTACCCAGGATGCACTGAGTCTACGCTTTGCTTCAAAAGCTTTCAATCAATTGACATCAAGCCAGACTTTCTGGGCCTCCAGATTCGAACCCGAGCATGAACGCGGATTCCTTTTTGAAACACAGGACAGCAAACATACTGGAAACTGGCTAGCTTTGTACAATCTCACCGAGGATACAAATCTTTCTCCCGGTCTCAAAAACAGAAAGAGAGTTTGGAACTTGTCGCGTATTGTCAGAAATTTACTACGCTTGCATTTGACGACCGAGGATGCCACCTCATCTCTGCCAAGTTCGTCTTTGGGTGATTCGGAATTGACAGTTGTGAATGCAATCGTCGACAATGGTCCTAGGTGGCTTTTCCGCAGTGGAGCCCGATTAATGCAAACTCACCTTCGCTCAATACCACAAGCCCTCAGCAAGATCATATTCTCAACGGTGGATATCGGAGACATGGTTTATGTTTCCGGTATGCGTTTCGTTTCTTAAGAAGGCGTTGATCATTCTTTTGGCTACATGGCCCCTGAAACAAGCGTGGTTCTGGATGTTGAAGGTGTGAAAGGGTTCATCTTAGCAATGGGTACCATGGGTCTTCATGCGCTCCAGGTCATCTCGAATGACGATTCCGTTTCACAATGGATTGGCTCCCCACGAGACTCACCTCTCACAAGACGGTTGGCTGATATTGGATCTGTCGAACGTTTGAGGATTGGAATCGATGTAAGACCACATCCTACATGTGAATATTATCGATTGCTTATCATTGATGCACACTAGGGATTTAAAATTGTGAGCTTCGCGGCTGCTCCATTGGAAGGAACTACTGCCCATGAGTTGTCCTTCCGAGACCAAGCTTATTGGTATCCCTCCATTCCACCAATCCCTCCATTCCACCAGATGATGTCTCTCTCAATGCCGAGTCCTTCACAGGAAAAGATTCCCTCATCAAGCGATACCAGCCTTTGGTCTGGTCTCGGTTTGGAGGCCCACAAGGTGCCTATCTTCGAGCATTGACAAAGATTTCTGTTTCTTTGAACGGCCGTATTCAATTCCAGTATGACGGAGAAGACATTCCCGCCCCCTCACTTACCCTTGGTCGCGAGAAAATCACCGTTGCCGAACCCAGCGATTCCGAAGAGGCAATTGACTCCGAAGAAAATGATAAACCCAAGAACATTGAGTTTACTATTGACGGTCCTGGTGGTGAAATTATCCAGGCCATTGAGGTTGCCATTGATAAATTCTTTGACCAACCGGGAGATGGTGACGAAGTACCAACCACTTACATCCGCGCAAAGCTACATTCTTTCAAGGTTGGTTGTTTTTTTCTGAATCTGTTGCTTTAGAATCAGCTGGTTTGCTAATTACATCCTTATAGGTAGCAACGAGCTTTGGTAGATCGTTCAAGTTTACAAATCAAGGTGGAAAGCCTATTGATGATGCCGAATTCAAAGTCCTCCCGATAACCCCAGGGACAACCATCACGGGACTGTATGCTCATCAGGTATGATCTTCTGGCTATGGCACACATGCAAGACAGAGCTAATGAGTGGGATATAGAGTAACAAAGGCGCGTTGATGCGCTTGGGGGTAATTTCTGAGGTGATCAAACGGTCCCTAGAAACAGAGGGAGGAGAGTAGGTCGGCCGTCAATACCGTCAGCACCGTCAACCTCGATCATATGTATTGTGCAATACACCTGGGCATGTTACCGTGCCTGATCGATACATGGGACTCAAATTTTTGAATTAAAGTAGCATATATATGGATGAACACCTTAGCGTACATGATTCTCGTCTGGTACCTCTCGGATCTCGGCATTTCGGAAGCCGAACTTGCGACCCGTACTCCGGCATCATTATGCCCATTCAACGCAACTCTCCTCTGTAGCATTCCCCCATTCCGATTCTAGGTTGAATTATCCGAAATAATGTCCGCGGTAAGTGAAAATGCTTCGGCTCGGGGAACGCCGCGCCTCTGAGTCCCTCCCTCCTCCCTGTCGGAATCAACTCAATTGACCGGTTCTTAGTGCGACTTGTGCCACACCCGAAAGGTATGCCCAAAGATATTGATTTTTGGAAGGCCGGTGCCCTTATGTAACGTCGGCATAGGTCAAATGTGATCGCCAAGATCCCTGCGTGAACTGCACCGATGCAGGCGCAGATTGTCTTCGTAATCGCCAGGCACGCGTTCATAGGCCACGAGTCTCTCGGTAAATGGATCTTGCCCTTGTTTTACTGATTACTGACCAGTAGTAGGCTAGATGCATTGACTCAACGGCTGGCGAGGCTTGAAGAGTCAAAGAATCATGAGACTACAGACTACCCAGCAAACCACCATGTTGCCAGTAGCACATCTACTTCGCCTTCAGCTGGTCTACTGAATATCGCCGAAGCAACAAACGATAAACAGAAACGACCCCTAGTACATGACTCACATGATATCAATCCGCAACAGCCTCCAGCGAGCAAGCGATATAAGGCTCAAACTATGGCTCAAGCGAATGCTCACCATGTGCATTCGCCGGGCTCTACCCACCATGTGAGTGAAGCTCGGGGTTACATCGAACATGAGCTTCAATGCAATCCGGCTTTGTCAAAGGATAGGCGAACTGCCCTTGAATCAGCTCGAAAGTTCGTGGGCCAACTGTCCAATCCGATACTGCATCTAGAGGAAACAGCAGCTATGGATGACATCGACGTGGAGAATAACCTGGAGCCTCCGCGTCTCACGCCAGAACTGCTTTATATGATGCTTCCTGGTAGGTGACCATGTACACATCGGTGGGTTGGCTTGATTGGCACTGACATTGGCAGGCCATGACAAAAAGACAAACTCCCAAGGGACCGTTTCCTGGCCTGATCACATCTCCGACAAGGTTTTGGAGCAAATGGGGCTTGCCATTATTGAAGGAAGTGAATGTGAACAAGTGCTTCAACACTACCGAATCAATGTCTGGGTAAAGGCTATGGGCTGCATATCAAAATTGGCCCCGTTGATTCCCAGTGAACCTTTGAAAGTTCATTTCCGGACGCTAAAGAAACAATTTGAAGCCGCTGCTACAGATTTGTTGAACCAAATTCCTTTGACGGCTGCCCCCAGTCTCTTGTTGCTTCAATCCCTCATGTCCGCGGTATGTGTCATCGAAACTATCTATCCCTATAAGTTGTTTCTACTGATATGTCCCAGGTACGATTGATGCAATATCTAGGAAACATGTCACGCTGTTGGATGTTCACGGCGCTAGCTTCCAGGGTTATTGTTTCACTGAACTACCACAACATCACAGATGTCCATGCACGGAGTGACATCGAGGAAAGTATTCATGCTTGTGTATACACTTGCTACTACTTCGACAGGACACTCAGCCTACTACTGCTTCGGCCGCCTTCTCTACCAGACCTCAAGGTGCCACCAACGCAATTGATCCACTTAGACCCCGATCTACCCACATCTGCTTTGATAACCGGCATAGTCGAGTATGCAGAGTTGAAAAGCTCTCTACTAAACATCTTGCTTGATAGCAAAAGCATAGAAGACACCGAAAAAGCCACCATGCTGTCGGATCTAGTGGCGCGGGCACACACAATACACACCAACATGCAAAAGGTAAGACATGGGCTCCATAAAACATCAAACCACCACTCATTGTGCCTACAGGTCCGGCAGCGTCAAGAAAAAGAATTTCCACAATCATGGAATTACCTTCGACGCGAGTGGCCCTCAATGGACTTCAACTATTATAGCGTTCTGACGACAATCATCCAAGCACGCTCCTCGGTGCTTAAATCCCGACTAGTCTGCGAAAACTGCTTATACTCTGCAAGAGAAGCACTTACGACTCTTCGTGCGCTACAAAAGGCATTCTCAGATCATCTCAACTGCATCAATTCTTATCCTTATTTTCTCACCTGGTATGCCACAATTTTCCCCGCCAATGCCATACTCTAACAGCCGCCCAAAAGGACCATGCTTTTGTCCCCCCTAGCTCCCTTCTTTGTCTTGTTTTGCAATGTGATTGCAACGTCAAACGAGAAGGACTTCGACATGATCCAAAATATCACAGATGATCTTCATCAGTTCGCCGAAGCAAATGCGTCTATTGGCAAGTTATACAAGCTCTTTTCCAAGTTCTTGGATCTTTGTGCACCACTGGTGAAAGGCCCGCCTGAACAACCATCGACTACGCTCACTAGGGTGGAATCAACCGACAAGCCCACCCAGGATGTATCTTTCACGGATATCTTTGGTCGGGCTGCGGATCAAGCTGCGGAAACCCTTAAAGACGCGGATCCTACAACGGGCGACCCAACAGTTCCCCGGGCTGTAGAAGGATGGGACGATAGTCTTGTGTGGGAGTTGTTCAATAATCAGCCATCATTGGGTTGGGCTGAATCAGAGTTATGGGGTGCCATGACGCACTTTGACGCTACATAGACTAAGCTAGTTCTGCTGCAGAAGGAACAGCATACTCAAGCGCAAGATATTCTTTTTTCTGGAATTCGTTCATGGCTAGTTGTGCCATGCTTTGTTTCGATTCAATTAGTACGTGAGATGTATTTACTCAAGTAGCTCTTCGGGACACAGTCCAAGTTAACATAGAAAAGCGAAATGCAGGATAAAGAGCGTGAATGGTGAGGACATCCCAGAGTCTAACCAGAGAGCAAAGAGAAAAGACATTGAGAAGCGGAAGGTTCTCGATGGGTGACATGTAGAAGGGCCAGTTGTCGAAAACCAGACAAGCCAGGTATTATAATACAGTAAAGGAGAAGAGGGGTCGATGCCATGTTTATCACGAAATCAAGACCCAGAGAAGGAAGAAGATCTGTCATGATTTGTTAGCAATGTTCTCAATGCGAATGAGGTATGTGAACTCACCATCAGGACACCGAACATCTTAGCAACGAGCCAGCGATTGCCGGACACACGCGTCCAATATTTCATCAGTTCACGCTGGGCACCTTGGACGTTGTCCACAACATCCTCAGTGTTGGCGTCAATGCGTTGGATCATTTCTGACTGTTCGCTGACCATCTGTGCCAGCTGGCCAAAGATACCACCCAATTCACTAATGGTTCGTTCAATGGCTTCAATGGCTTCGCCTCGTGCCTGAACATATGTGTTGCTGGACTCTCCTTCTTCCATAACCATTAACTGTTGGTCTGATTGGAAAGATGGGCGCCCGAGGGGTGAAGGATTCGAAGGCTCGAGTGTCAATAAGTCGGAGGAGTTGCCTTGATATCCGGGTTGTGGCGTGCGTCGCCCCGCGGGGGTTGTACAAAGGAGAGTCTGAGCGCTGGGCATCGAGAGCACTGTGTGATTTCGACGATACCGAGGAAACGAAGTTCTCGGTTCGTGTTCGCGAGGCTTGGATATTCTTCGTGCGGACCTCGAGCACTTCCTTGAAGCTGGCGCCTACATCGGCCAGCTTTCCTTGCAGCATAACAACGACCTGTAAAGCATCAGTCAAAGCCCGCGGACGTTACGAGTTCCACTCACGTTATCATTGTGTTCACCCTCTTGATCTGTCTTGGAGCGATTCGACTTCGGATGCTGCGCGTGGGTGAGGGCTTGCAACGAGGCAATGCTCTGGTTGAGTCCGGCAAGATCTTGCTTAATCACATATGTCAATTCGGATATTTCGACGGGTCGATCATCGAAAAGTGATTTCCGCTTCGCCACTGTTCAGCCGTTAGAATGCCGTCACTCAAGACATTGCGACCACACTCACGTTCGGCCAATCGCTGCAATTTTGCCATTGTTCCTGTAATGCCCCTTCCAATATCACGAGCTCTCCGCGCAAACTCCGATCGGGCCACCTTGGCCTCCTGCGCAGCGCCTTGCGGTGATGCATTTGCTTGTCGCCTTTGCGCGTCTGTCAATAATGCCTGGCGTTGTGAACCGACTTTGGATGTGCCCATGCGCTTCTGGGCTTGACCCAGAATAGCGCTGAACTCGCTGGTTCGATCTTGGATTGACGGACCAGTCATTTTGCGGAGTAGTATGAGATGTAGCTTCGAGGTAACGGAGAGACGATATCTTGAAGTGGTGAGTTTGCGACACGAGGACCGGTTTCGGGTAGACGGCGGCGATCGATAAGGGGGTAGACGTGTCCGGTTGCAGCGTCCACGAGTCTCTTCAAATCAGAACACAACAAACAAAAGTCCGATCACCCCAGAATTGTTTGAGACAAAGTCAAAGAGGCAAATCCACACAACGTGGGCCAACAGGGTCTTGATTGCGTAGTCCCCATGTTACGTAATCGCAGCACCGCCCCGAGGCTCTTCACAGCCCTGCCAGGGGCAAGGCAGCCAGTTTATTTTTGGTCTACAGCTTCACTCTCATTTACTCCGTAAAAGGTCTCCTTCTCTCTCTTTGTTTGCTACAAGCACGGAGTAGAGACTTGAACATTGTACCCTGTGGAGACACGTCATCCTTGTCCTTGTACACTAATCTTGTTTCCCGACTACTTTTGATCGGCACCTTGCCCAACGCGGGCCAAAACGCCACCTTCGTCCTCCCCATACTCCTACTGTTAGGCAGCAGATCCCTCTTGTTTTCTGCTACTTAACTCTGATACTTGCCGGTTCAGAATTGACAGGCGCATAGTCGATGCTGGTAATCGACCTCATCTCAATTCCCTGACGTCCGACGAATGGACCCCACTCAATCGCATGGGCACGGAGCCCCAACAAAGTAAGGATCGTACTCGCATGCTGTCGCATAACCTGTCGCGCAAATACTAAGACGTGCTCTAGCCCTTCTCCATCAAATGCTCGCAGTCCGCTATCCCCTGGCAGTGGTAGCAGCGGGACCCCGATCTCTTTCCAACCAAACGTCAATCGCTCTAAGACCAAACGATGGGTAGAAGCTAGGCAATACTCATATGATGGAGGTGACTGGGGCGACGACGACGATGAGTCGGAAGAGGAGGAGGCACCTCCCCCGGTGCCTCGGGCCCCATATGCATCACAACATAATGGCAGTTCATCGGAGCTGAGCTCGCGCCGATTGTCCGGTTTCGGGTTTGGCGCCGATGAGTCGGGTTCAGCTGGGAAGAAGAACGGTGGAGGCGAGCAGAAGGTTCTTCCCTTCGTAAGACCAGCCGACCTCTACAAACGCATGCGAGAGGAGAAGGCGTCTCAGTCCCCCGTTGCCGACGGTACCCCAGCTCCTAGCGCCACCGAGGCTTCCCCGCAAACAACTCAACAGCCCCCATCAGTCGAACTGCCAGAGGTGAAACGGATCTCGAGCTTCGGCACTGATTTCATGGGCGGCGCAGACTCCACTCAGCCAGAAAATACGAGCACAGCCCAACCCGCTCTGCAGCACAACCCCTCTGCGGGATATCGTTCCGTTGTGCACCAGGCCTTCGATGTCCCACAAACCCCACAATCTACCACCACCAGTGTTGAGCGATCTAACAGTGACAGCACCTCGGTGATCAGCCCTATTATCGGCAGCCGTGGTGTTGAAGACGAACGCACTCCCACCATTCTTGAGGAGCCCGAAACTAGTCCCCCGCGGGAAGCTACGACAGAGGGGCCTGTGTTCCAGCCTGGCCATCGGCGAGACCTGAGCCTGCCAAATTCGGAGAATAGCCCCTCGAGGCGACCCCAGGTTACCGATCAGGAAACACCCACAGCAGACCGTGCGGAAATTTCGGGCATTCCTCCACCGTCTCACGACATTCCTCATCCTAGCACGGAAATACATCCCTCCACCATGCAGCCATATTCGATTGACGGACAGGATCGACCTGCGCCCCTGAAGTTTGGAAGCGCCTCGGGTTCCGATAGCTATGGTGCAATCCCCACCATCATGGGAGCGGAAGAGTCGCCGCAGAACACCGACAACGACCGTTTAAGGGAAGAAATTATACAGTCCTTAAGTCGTGAAGCTACTCCCTCAGAGGAACCAGAACAGAGGAATCAGTCACAGCCACAGCCACCTGCTGAGTCTATTCCACAACAATATGAAAAATACTGGAGCCCTACCGAAACACCCAACGCCCTGGTATCTGGCACTCAGCCTGACCAGACAAATCCTCAGCCCTTGGCTCCCCAGGATCCCTATGCAAACAGCCAGGGTAACTCGTCGTCTACCATAGTTGATCAACCAAAGAGGGCTAAGTTGGAACGGCGATTCTCGTGGGAATCCTCTGGCAGCGAAGAACCCGAACCCCAGATACCCGGCAGCTATTCATCACCCCCTCACGACACAACTCTTTCTATGCAAGAACCGGAGCCAATTGTTGAAGACACTGCCGCGATTCAATCCGACCTGCCCCGCGAGATTCCGACCTCTGATAATGAAGGCTCAGATAGCCAACGCGCTGAAAGGCCTCGGCTCTCGATCGTTCCACCCGTGCCCCAGAACGCTTCACCCCCGGAACAGGTCTCAGGGCCGGGCACCATCCAACCTTCAGAGCCTCAAGTTCCGTTGATTACGAAGAACTCATCTCTAGATGAGTCCCAGCTTCTAGGCTTCCGTGATATAATTGGGATTACATCCATCAACCAGCGCATCAAGTCCTTTGAACACACGCGCGATCAATTTGCGACTCTTGATACTGGTTTGAGCCAATGGCTACAGTTCATGGTGCAAGAACACTCTGAGCACACCGATGTGGTTCAAAAAAGCCAGAATCTCTCTCCCATTGTGGCACAATCATCTCCGTCCAGAAGCCGTTTCCCCAAGCTGCCTTCTCTTGGCAATCTCGGCTCCTCTAACACTGACGGTACCCCCACTAGCGGTAGTCATATGAGACGTCCTTCCGCTCACCTCGGCTCCGTGATGAACAGGCAGAACGTCGGGGACAAAGGAAAGGAGTTCCTGCACACCGCAGGGGCATTTAGTGGCAAGGCAAGCGGAGCAGCCAAGGGTCTGTTTGCGAAGGGCAGAAGCAAGTTCCGACCCAGTGGAGGGTCTGACAAGGTAGATACCTGATTCTTTTTTCTTTCTCGTCTGAGCGGGTTATTCATCTGGGTGGGCGCGGTTCAAACCGTTGCTTTAATTTCTCCCTTTTAATTCTGCTTTTCTTCTCTACTGGATACCACGATGTAATTCCGAGCGCCTTATGGCATTGAGCTCTAGAATGAGACACGATTGATGCTTCTACCCTTTTGCCACAATCTAACACCCCAACCTAACTGCTTCTTGTTCTGATGTTGGTAATTTTGTAGGGCCAATCGACACCAAATGCTCCTCGGCGCAGCTTCCAGTTCTCTGTCCCTTCCAGTGACGCAGCTGGGAACTCTTCTCGAAACTCCCTCTCATTTGGCAGTTTGCCAATCTTCAAATCTACAAAAGCTGGAGGCTCTGCCTCCGAGTCTGATCCAAAGGGACTTGACTCCTCCCTAGACGGTTCACAAGATGAAGGCAATGCACGCAAACGTGCCCGGGCTACCAAATCGGGGGATAAGTCCATGTCACACAACTCCGGCGAGACGGCTGTACAACCAAAGAACTTGTCAGCTTCCAATGGTGCTGCACCGAAACCCGGAACTTCTGACAAGTCCGAGGCTGCGGGAGATTTCGAGCAGGAAATGATAGCTGCGCTTGGTCTTTCCCCTACGGACCCCCGTCCCCAAAGGTCTGCAAGCACGCCTACTGCGCTGCACCTTGGTCTGATGAACGGCGAGATGAATGGCACGAACAAGCAGCCTATTCAGCCATCGCGGCCACAGGGAAACAAAGCGGCTGGGATGCGATCTGTCAGTGATATGCCAGTGAAGAAAGGGCCTCTGATAGATAAGGACCTACCGGTGATCAATACCGAACCCTTCAACGTATCTTTGGGGACGAGCAGCCAGATAGGCCAAGACCAGCGAGGCAGGAAAACTCCACCTCTTACTACCCCGTCGATTCGCCCGGTATTCGACGAGAGTACGAAACCGCCTTCTCCGCCTCCCAAGGATGCTAATTTACATACATCAAACGGGCATGCTGTACCACGCCAGCCCTCAATCTCAACACTCGGGGCCGATGAGGAAACCGGGAAACGCTCATCCGAAGAGGATGGCCATGAAAGGGATCCACCTTCTCCCTTGCAGCCGCCACAAGCTCAGATTGAACCGGTCGCCGAGCCCCAACAAAATGTCGAGCGCCATTTGAACGGCAATCCAAACCCGACACCCGAAGCTGGGCCTTCTTCTCATGAGAATACAGGTTCCTTTGTTCCTTCGTATTCGTCTGAACACGCAACTTCTGCTGAGGTACTAGAATCCAAGAGGAAATCGATCAGCGGCTTGCCCCCTCGGTCCCGGGCGTGCAGAGCCCCTTGAGGAACGAAGTCAGGTACTCTCCGGGAACTCGGAGCAGTATGCTGAGCTTTGGTAGCTTTGGTAGACACAGCATCCACAGCAAGGGGACTCGTCCTAGCACACCTGCCAATGGTCTGCAGGCTTCGGAGTCGAGCTCTCCGGCCGGTAACGATGAATCTACCTTTGGAAGGATAAAGAACTTCGGGAGGCGTCGGCGAGCCTCGGTTGGAGATCTACTGTCCAATCTCCAAGGGCAGGGAGCTCAGAGCTCTCAGGGTGGCCAGCGGAAACGTGCGCTCAGTAGGCTCAGCGTATGGCACAACCTTAATCCTAACATTTCTCTTGACTGACTTTGGCAGGGACTATTTGGGCGACAGGAGTCTCCAAAACCGGAAGCTAAACCTTCTCAGCATACGAGGACTGTCTCGGAACCGCTGCAAGTCAAGGATCTACCGAAGCCTCCGTCGACAAACGGGAATCTAGATACGGGGTCTTCTTTGGAAGATCAACCACCGGTCCTTAAGAACCCATTTGAGGATCAAAAGCCTTTACCGTCAAAGCCTGTTGAACCGCCTACACCTGCAGTACTCATAGCACCGCCCAAAAGCGACACTCCACCTCCTCGCGACACATCTCAAAGATCCAGCATATCGCTCCCACCCAGTTCATCATCTAATCCTGTGTCGACCAATCGCTTTTACTCCCAGCTCCAGTCCGGGGCTGTAAGTGAGACACCTGTAGGCTCTCGCCAAACCAGAGCACTCAGTCATCCACTTCCTGGGAAATCCCGATCCCCGTCTCCCATGTCAGTCCATGAGAACCGAGCTGCACAGCCACTGTCGCCATTGGAAGAACTTCAAGACCACCAAATCCAACAAATCGAGGAAGATCGGGAGAAGCAACAACCCCCACCAGCCGAAACCACAGATCCCCAGCTAGGCACATTGAACGAGAACCAGGAACAAGAAGAGCACGAGGAACGTAAGGACCAAGTGCTTGAAGAGCACAGACACGAGCTCCACGGGGAGCCATCTCCGCTACCTCAGAAGTCCGAGTCCGAGGGACGAGAGACCAAGCCGGAGCCAACTCTCGGCCCCGAGCACAATGTCCGATCCCGAAAGCCGACGGGGTCGGACTTCGCTTCCCCGATATTTGACAATCGGGTCGTCTCGAACGTCTCTGTTCTTTCGGTGCATCCTCATCGTAGTGAAAATGAGGCTCGAGTCGTTAATGATACGCATGAACCGGTCGAGCTTGCAATCACTGCTGACGACTCCAGTGAGGAAATTGTTATGTCCCCCACTGCTTATCCGGGACAGGAGTGGACGCCGGTACATTTGTGAGATTTCTGTTATAACGATATATTGGTATTATGATGCATACGATACCCATCTGGGCGATTTTTCAGTTTCTCGCATGTTTGTCAAGTTTGTGTGTTCAATCTGTATAGTACACATGAGCACACGCCAGCCCTGGATGTTCATATCAAATCAAAGCTACCTACCGACCTTCCCAGGTGGCTGGAGAATGAATACAAAACCTATCTACGATCCATTGATAGTACTTCTAATACCCGTGGAACTAGGAATTCAATGTTGGGACCTTGGTACTCCCCAACGTGGCCCATTTCCTATTTGGGAAGGTGACATGCACTACAGCTCGCAGAGAGCATATTCCGTCGGTCAAACCCCGTCAGAAGTGGTGAGTAGTTAGTACTGAGGGGTGGTCTAGCGGGTAACAGCCCGGACAGGTTATCCTGTTAACCTCCCCTCAGCCTGGCGGCCAGGGTGCGATTCTGTTCACGGAAGTACTTCTACTATCTTCCAGGAAGGGACTATACGATCTTCCACGTTCAATCCCTGGTGGCCCCCTTTTTTCTCTTTTTTCTATTTCTCATTCACCCAGCATGTCACATCCACAGCCAGCTACCCTCTGTGTCTGATTTTCAGCTGAGAAGACCTCGGGACTGCCCAGATGGTTCCAGGCCTTGGAGGTTGCTTGAGATGATACTATGGTTTAACATTATCACCAAATCCACTAACAAAGTCAACGGTACAAGTGGACTCATATGAGAGTTAGCTATTTATACCTAGTGCCACATCAGCCCCATCACATCCCATCAGATATATCACGACCCGGCTCTCGACGCATCTCCCCAATCCCCTTCTCCGAACTCCCATAAGTATCCGCATACCGTCCAGTCATCCAATCATGAACAGTCACAGGCGGATACTTTGCCCCCTCACTAGGATCCTCACAAGTTGGAAGACACCGAATCGTGAAATCCGGATTCCCAGAGAAGAAGAAAGGAACACTGAATCGTTCCTTTCCACTGCGATTGATAACCCGATGCAGATTTGATAGATACCTATCATTCGTCCATTGCATCATCATATTACCCAGATTAACAACGTACGCCCCAGGCACAGGAGTGACATCCACCCATTCCGACGAAACATTGTTCCAAACTTGAAGTCCGCCCGTTTCGTCTTGCAGGAGCATAGTCACGGCGCCGAAATCCGTATGTGCGCCGATGCCTTTGCGAGGTTAGTTCTAGTTGCTTTTTGGCTTTGTGTCGGACTTCTTCTCACCTCTCTCGAGATCCACGGCAGCTTCTTGGGGTGGATAGTGCAATAGTCGGAGAATAGAGACTGGGTGGTTACAGAAGTCGTCGAAGACACTTGGGTCTAGACCTAGGGTTTGCGCGAGAATCTGCATAATGGATACTGCAAGTTCGATCATGGTATCGTGGTACTCGTCCATTACTCGGCGGAACCCCTTGGGGTCTGGTACTTCTGAGGGATACTTGTTCGGTCCTTGGTTGAAGCGTCTTCGGACGACGTAGTCGTCGTCTAGTGGTAGGTCTTTGCCTAGATAGAAACCCTCTTTTAGATCTCCCTTGGTTCGTTTCTCGAAGTTCTGGGCGCGGAGACGCTCGTAGCCTCTGTTGAATCCGCCGATGTCTGTGTTTCAAGCAGTGAGCTTTGTATTATGATGAGATGTATGGGTGGAAGTGACCTTGGTTGTATTTCTCTTTATGTTCTAGCGGTAGGTTGAAGAACTCGCTTGAATGCTTGAGGACTGCGGTTTGTATATCTGCTGGGATGCCATGGTTGATCAGCTGGAAGAAGCCGAAACGCTCGCATGCTTGTCGAATTTCGTCAACAAGTTGCTCTTTGGCAAGGGGATCGGCTCCGTAGAATGCTGTAGACTGGTTAGATGCGTGGGAGCAGATTTGACATGTGTCTTACGTCCAAAGTCAATGATCGGTGGCTCGCTCATTCTGAAGTGTAGAAGTGTAGAAGATAACAAAGTAGAGGCTGCAAGGTGGTTGTGACAGATGCGGGGATTGGGGTTCGGAGCTCACCGTCCCACCTTATCTATGCAGCGTGGAGTGAAGTAAAGCTGAGAGTCTTTCATTATTCGCTAGTCTGATCAAGCTATCAAGACCTAATACAACATCAACTCTATCCTTCGAATACCTCGTGGTTCAGCTCGACACCCATGTCCTTCGCCATGCCCTGCATCTGGGCCTCGAGGTCATCTTCCATACCTCCACCCAGACGTAGGAACTGGCGCACTTTAGTGAAATAGAAGAATACGTCGGTACTAAACAGGACCACGCGGAACACGAAATGGCGACCAAGATTGCGCACCTTCTCGACCAGCGAGAGATCAGGAGACTCAATCAGCGCACGCGATGCCCATATTCCTGTGATTTTAACACGGTTCACCGGCGACCCCAGGAACTGGTTGTTGCCCTGAACAATGCGCAAGTTGCGGCCAATGAAGATCAGCTCTTGCGGCCACTTGGTTTCATCGCCTAGAATATCCCGGATGGCCTTGCGTGCCGCCTGTTGCATCTCGTAGGATCTTTCCGCGCGCTCAGATTTGCTAAGTCCCTTGATGCCCCGCTTGGTTGACAAGTCACCCCCGCTGTATGGGCGCATCAGAGTGGCCGATGCGAAGATATCAGGATTGTTCACACCCCAGCCCTTGACGATCTCGCCCAGCGTACGATTGTCAAAGGTCATGAGGGCTTTCCAGAACCGTGCGTATTGGTGTCGGAAGTTAGGCTCCATATGAATGTACAAGCCATGATCAATCAGAACCAGCTCCGGCTGGCCAGACGGCTTGCGGCGAATGAAGATGTTGCCCGGGTGCGGGTCGCAGTGCACGTATCCCCAAAGGAACATCTGGGCGGAGAACAAGTCGACCATAGTTGTCATCACTTCCTTCAAGGAGAGTCCTAGGCCACCGCGGTTGTTCTGGCCTCGCCAGTAGTCACGCTCTGGCTTGAGCTTCCCTGCCCGGGGTCTGTGGTCTGTAGGCGTTCCGGGTTGATCTAGAGGTGTTCCGTGACAGCCTGGACTGCCCTCTCGCCAACCTCCACGCCAGGGTCGTGTGATAGCCTGCTTGTCCCAGAGCCGCACGCCCTCCACCCATTCGGCGGTCATTACACGCTTAGAGCTCAATTCGCGGTATACCCGGGGGATGTACACACGATCACGCAAGCGGGGCTCTCCAGCCACCAGCTTTGCCATGTTCTCTGAGTTGTCTGCTTCATTCACGAAGTCGGTCTCGAGTGACAGTCGCTCGCTGATGTATGGGACGAGACTGTAGAAGGGGATGTCGAATATTTTGCTGTAGATGAATGTTACAACCCTATTTCCAACGATTAGTATATTGCATCTCGCGCGGGAAAGCATGATGTAGCTCACTTAAAAGCCCAAAGATCCCAGGCTAGTTGCTGTACGATCTCCCGTTTTTGAATCTTGATTGCGACTTCACTGCCGTCCTGCAAACGAGCCCAGTGGACCTGTGCGACGCTGGCGCTGGCTCGCGCCTTGCGCTCCATCACACCTTTACCAGACTCGCCGGTAAATGAGACGCCGAAGACCTCCTCGGGCGACTTTCCAAAGTCCTCCCGAATCACTTTCTCGACTTCCTTCCAGTCGTTCTGGGGCGCATCATCGAACATTCGAGAGAACATATGCTGGAACTCCGCTGGCAAGATCGCAGACTGCATGGCGATCGCCTGGCCCATTTTCAGGTAAAGTCCGCCATTGTGTCTCAGCAAATCCGATAAACGCTCTGCGTTGCGGGCATGCACAGCAGCAATAGAGCTGGCCAAGGGAGGGTGGGGGGGCGGAAATTAATCTTGTAATCGATGGCCACGAGGAGGCCGAGGGAGAAGGTGCGCGCCGTTCGCGTCAGTGACGAGGCGTAGAACTGGCTATCGACGCCGTAGACAACGCCCGTTGCGAGCGAGGCGTAGAAGAATCGACGGAGCCATTTGCGAGTGCGTGTGTATGTTTTTGCGGCGGTGGGTTTGCCTAGGGAGCTTGGTGATGGCGGCACGAGGGGCTGGAATTGGCTGGAATGGGCGTGTCGGAGTTGATGTAAAGGACGGAACTTAGGCCGCAGAGAACGGAAATGCGTCGCGAACGCCATGGAGGTTTAGATTGGACTAACGCTGCATTGTGTGCGAAAACAAACCCGAGGGCAAGGAAGATTATAAAGAAAAAAGTGACCTTGGAAGTGAGGTTCGGGTTCGTCATCGAGTCGGAGGCCGGAGCGAACGTTCGCGGGGATATCACACGGACATTGCTCCAAAACCCGAGAGCTGAGGATCAGTTATGGAAAGCGAAATGGGTATAATCAATTATATAATTACCTGAGAAATGATATTTCCCTTCTATATAGACACATATACATATACAAAAAGGTGCTCAAAGCTCGTCGTGGTCGAACGGCCCCAGTGAATCACACACCTTAGCATAATCCCTCATATTTTGAGGAATTGTATCCTCCCATAGCTCATCACCTTCCAAGAACCGAAGCTGTTCCTTGCACGAGTCCTCCGAAGCCATTGGGATCAAAGTCGGGAGGTGCTTGATCGAAGCCTTCAGAAAGTTGCGCTTGAAGCAATTTCCGAAACCAGCCAGAGTCTCAGCATCGGAGCAAATGTGGATTCCGCCCCCGAGCATCGGTCCGCAGCGGTCTTTGATAGTAAGCGCTACGTCGTCGCCCATCTTCAGTAGCGCTTCTTCCTTGTGGGGGACATTCATGCGGCGCATCAGACTGCGCACGGCGGGTACGAAGGTGTTATTGCGCGTCCAGAGATCCCAATGAGGGACAGTTGGCTGGCATCCGGCGTCGCAGATTTCACTCTGGAACTTGTTGAAGAGATGGGTTGGTCGGCCGACCAGCGCGGAGACGACTTTGAAGCATGATGTGCCGATCGCGGCGATTGGGGAGATGAGGAGGAAGAGGAGGAAGAGGAAGTCAACCGAGAGCCTCATTGCGAAGGTGGTTGCGAAAGAGAAGAACGTGAAGAGCGTGATGCGCTTTGCGCGTTGCGCCTCAGGGGAGGCTTCCCCCGCATTTGTGGAGAAAAAGAAACCCAACTTTCATCCCAATTCCGCCACAAAATGAATCTATCCCACGACCCTTTTAGGTACTTCCGTTTCACCGGCTCTACTGGACCTAGTCTTGCAAGCTTGGAGCGCTGACTCTGGATTCGTAGTGAGCCCGACGACCCCGTAGACTTAGAGGAAGTCGACTCCCTCGAGGCCATCGTCATCATCGACAATGAGTTGGATCCGCTTTCTCCCCCGGCCCCGGACACAGTCCAGATCTCAGGCAACCTGGGCACAATAGCCATGGGCTCGGGGCATACTCCGACTGATCGCGGAGAAGCCTATAAGGAACTCAGGCTGGAAGATGTCTGCTGCGCCGCACACGGCTTGTCTATCCTTGTGGTAAGCCGCGCAGTCTTGAATCTGGGAAGTAGAGGAAACTTATTAACACTATTGGGGTACAGACTGCTACCAAAGGTGACAAGAAACATACTGTCCTATTTGATGCTGGACCAGAAGAAGAGGCCTGGCAGCGCAACGTGAACCGATTGCGGGCAGATATATCCTCTGTTGAAGTGATTCAACTATCGCACTGGCATCGAGATCACTCAGGTCCGCACCCTTGAAGGCACGAGGCATCTCTCCGGCTCTATAGTTACTGACACACACATGTAGGGGGCATGCTACGCGCGATTCGCATGATAAATGAAGCTAAGCAAGCGGAAGGTCGCTCCGAGGAGCTGGTCGTTGATTTGCACCCAGATCGACCATCCTATCGAGGGTTTGCTCTACCGGAGCACATCATCTCGCTTGAAGCCGATCCTACCTTTGAGGAGATGGAACACGCAGGTGCTGTGGTTGATAAACAGAGCGGACCACACACCGTCCTGGATAACTTCTTCCTCGTCTCTGGAGAAATCCCACGGGTGACACCATATGAGACTGGCCTGAGGAATGCCGTGCGATTCGACCCAGATGAGAAAGAGTGGTTCTCCGATGAACTGATCCAAGACGAGCGTTCACTCATCTGCAATCTCAAAGGTAGGTGGACACTGAGGGCCTCTGGGTGTTTCTTGCTGACATGCTCTATAGGCAAAGGGTTAGTAGTCTTCTCGGCATGCAGCCATGCTGGTGTAGTCAACACCACCAAACACGCAATTCAGCTCACCGGCGGAACAGTACCTGTTCATGCCGTCGTCGGTGGATTCCACCTTGCCCAGAGCGACGCAGATAAGATTCAAAGTACGGTGGCCGACCTGAAACGACTCGATCCCGCTGTGCTCATGCCGGGCCACTGCACTGGCTGGCGAGCCAAGTTCACCATTGAGAAACACATGCCGGGTTCACTTGTGCCTTGCACCGTAGGATCACGGATCACTTTCTAATTGGTAATGATTGCCTGTCGGTCGATGCAATTGCGCTCGGTGGACCTGTTCCTTGCAGTTTTGTCCACAATATCCACGTGAACGCAGGGTCTTGATGCGAAACCGCATGGCATGGGTCGCTCTGAGCGACAGTTCCTGTCAGGGGGCCTCTGTCATCATTGGTCGGCACAAATTGCCTTGATATCTGCTACGATCAAGTGACATCACTTCAGGCCCTTGCTGCATTTCAATGAGATCGGAGGAATGCGGGAATATCAGTCGGTCAGAAATTGATCTCATGATAACAGTATGGTAATTTCGAAGTTGATACTTCGTACAGGATGGTGAACTTTACACCTGATATTCAACAAGATATCTAGATCATGTGTAAATTGCATCAGCTACCTACACCTGGTTAGAATATTCATTGCCTGGGTGAGACTACCTAGGTAGTTGTGATAATATTTTATGACATTGAAACTCCAAGGTCAGGATGTTTAAGGGCTGTGAGATGTTCCGACACTGGGATCGTGTATATATTTTTGCCGATATGGGCGGCGACTACCATCCGCTGATTTCCAACCTTGGAGGGTTCAGGATTTTAATGATTCGGATCAGCAGAGGTTTATACTTGAGTCATATCGAATTGCATCTACTTCGATGATTCTTAGAAATCTCCAGAGGTTTCTATGTTGTAACTTCCAAGGTTGCCTCAACCTTGGAACCTTTGTAAGGTCACGGCCCGTTGATACTCAGCATCCACGGATCACCTCCAGGGCTCCAGGGCTGGGGTTTATGGATCCATGGATATACTAGTACACTGGTTCGCAGCTTACAAGGCTCTTCCCGAGGTCTGTTTTATGTAGCCTCTCTGAAATTTTGAGGTATATAGTTAGGACTACCTTGAAATCCTATCCTGACCTCGGGAACATATTTGGCTGTGCTAACGTCCAAGTGAAACATTACTTCTGTATAGATATATGTTACAGGTAGAGCAACGAACGGCTGTTAACCAGGATCTCAAATCAAAACCCGGAAGTTTCAAGGTTCTCATTCCAAGGGTTGTGGTTCGCATTGTGAACTCAAGTCCTCGACATGTACCCTCGTCATCCCGGAGATCCTGAAGAATTACCGTGTAACCAAAATCACCAGGGCATGCCTCACCACGGTGAGCCTGCCCTCCGTTTGTGTACCGTCCTACAGAGCCAAGATTCCTTGGGAAAACGATATCTCCCGGACTCACAAGAAGCGGGCAGCTGGGCAATCACCCAGCCGTCTTGGCCGGAGGAAATCCCTCACCGTCCAAAAGTCAGCAAAAGCATGCATGCGGGAGAATCGGCATTGCTTTCGACGAATCTAAACACCCTCTTGGCAGCAACACAGATCTCCCAAAAGAGACACCTTTGTAGACATCCTTACTGCGTATTCCTTACGAAGTACTCCGTAGTAAATTACTCCGTACTCCGTACTGAATCTACATACATTCGAGGCAAGCATGCACACTGCCCCCGCCAAGACGCAAGCACAACAAGCATTATCACCAGCAATCCTTGCGCCTGTCGGTTTCCCTCTCCTCTCCACCCCGCCCCACGAATGCGCAGTGATCTCACTCATGGAAAATGAAAAGGGGGGCGGCTGGCCAGCGACCAGATTCCCGCCAAGACGATAATTGGGGAGGAAGGGATGCACGGCGCGTCTTGGCATCGGTGGACAGGTACCAAGATGAGGGCGATCAGCAGATCAAGGGGGCGATGTCTTTGGCGATAACCGAAACATTACATCACAGAATGACTTTATCGTCGCACACATGTGCCAAGCCCCTGGGAATAGTTTCAGTCTTTGGGGGAGTTGTGCCAAGCTCTGATTGTCCGGAGGGAACAGGGGAGAAACGCAATGCTGATCGTGATGATTTGCGCGCATTAACGTTTGAGACTCGCCGATAGTCTGTTGTAGACTGATGGTACTCCGGACGGAGTACTCCCTACAATTAGCAATTAACTACTGTAGCACTCCGTGCTTTGTGATTCTATCTAACCCCATGTGATCTATAATCTTTCTCTATGGAGTAAATCCGATCGACGCATGTCATCAATTTTTTCTTCTTGAAAATGCTTTTTATTCAGTCACTATGCAAGATGATGACCACCCCGTCCAAAGTAGTACCGATAACCACATGGTCTCGGTCAATGACCGCTCTTCCAAGCCAGGTTCTCACATTTGAGAAATGTCCACTGCCCGTCTGGCACAGCCAAGAAATTTAGTATACACGGAGGTTTGAAATTCGAGCACGAATTCATCCTCCCCCTCTCTTGGTATTTTCTTGCTCGATCTTGGCTTGCCTGTCTATCGTCGATCATGAAGTTTAATCCCGCATCCGTGGAAGACACTCTGCACCTCTCCATCCACTCACATCAAGTTGAGCTATCTATGTATAGACAATGGTTTCCCACGCCAGGCAGCACGTCGATCATCCCCCCCACGAATTCATCCCTCCCTTTCTTGGCATTCCCGGACATGGTATCCTGGGCACTGGACCAACACCCAAGTATACGGTACCTGTAAGTCTCAAACACAATCCAATCGAAAACAATTATATGCACTGTACTCCGTATCGAGACAATTATTTGACTCCGCCCCCCTCCCCCCAGATTTGCATCGGCAGAACGCGGGAATCGGCACTCGAAATCCGGAGATTTGCAACGGTGGCTATGCAGCCTCTGCCGACGCACTGGCGATAAGGTGCAGACCCTAGAAGAAAATACATCGTAGCCTGCCAGGCAGTCTCATATTCACTTCCAACAATAGAACCAAATGCAAGAAAGCGGCAGAGACGATATCTCCATCGTCATATTCGCATCATGTTGTCTCCGACAGTGGAGACCGTGAGACGAATTTGGCAACGTGAATACCGTAACAGTCTTTGCCCGAGCGCCAGCGGCCAATAGTCCGAGTCTGAATGCTGATTTTTTTACATGCTGATTTTTGGTCTGAAGAAAACACCAAGACTGTGACCAGGCCGCATCCTGGTTTACATGATACCGATATAAAACAGCCAAGCAAATAGTATGTAATACATGATCAACATCTCCGTACTCTGTTCCTCGTACGGAGTACACAGACGTGGGGGAAAATGAGGGCGTGTGCATTGGAGGTCAAACGGCTTTGGCGCACTGTCATTCGGACTACCTACCCAGAATGTGTTGCACAGAGCACAGGGCGCACTTGCAAAGCTATAGACTCCATGCTACTACGGAGTACGGAGTACATAGTATGCACGTCAGGCCCGGTGCTATACTCAACACGGTAAACAGGTAGTGAAACAGGTGCATATTTGCGTCACAAGCCTAGAGTTGAAGAGAAAGGGGGTTACGGAGTGCGTAGTACAAGTAAACACGTCGCAAATGACATACTGTTTCTGTTTATATCTGCTCAAGATACCGAGATGAGAGCAGACAGCTCGAACCGATCCCAAGACCGGTTTTGAGCGCGCTAAGAGGGTGGGCGATGTGCAAATATGGAGTAGCGGCAACAAGCGCAGACGAATCCCCGCGCAGTATTTGTGTGAAAGGTCACGTCTCGCCAATTGGGATTGGGTTCGTGTCGAGTGAGTGTGGGGATTTGTTTATTTCCCCTGTCGATCACAGCTGGAAGAGGAAGACCGAACATGTGCTTTTTGGGGGAGGAGTCTCGGTCTCTACGGAGTACTTGTGTGTGAACTGAAATTGTGGCAAGTCGCGTTCGACGTGTTTGGGATTTAAGTTTCTTAGCTGGTTGATTTGTTTATTCTTTGCCTTGTTGGGTATCGTGGGAACTATGTATGTCATCGTCGTGAAATAAGGGTCTTTGATGAAATCATTGCTGACAGGATTGTATGACTGACGATCTGCCTATGTAGGTATGGCATACTCCGTACTCCCCAATCTGGCATCTCCGTCCTCCAGACCGTCCGGGGTGGAGCATGAGCTATCTCAAAAGTGTCATACCCCGAGGGGAAGGAGGGCCTGGGAGATTGAGTGTTCATGTTTATTTTTTCTTGTAGCGAACTTCTCGTACTGGTGCGTGTCTGAACGTGACATATGGACCTGATCTACACAGGGGTTTGTATGCAGCCAAGAGAAGGGAAAAGCCATGGTATACGGAGTACGAGTGTCGATGCTTAAGAGGCAGCATAAAAACTCCGAGCATAAAACACAGTATCGCTTTATGCGAGTCATGCTGGTCCCGCAAGTAATAGGGCTGATAACATTGATTATCTTTCATGTTGTGGCACACAAGAGGTATAGTGCGCCAATTTGGCTAGTTACGAGTACGAAAGTAGATGAGGAAGTGAACCGAGGCAATTTACCCGGTCTGACAAGATAGGGCAACTCATATCCAATAAGTAGAAAAGCAAAAAAGCATATTGAACATATAGTAACGGAATAATTTAATGTCATTTGAGATCACGCAGTAGTGTATCATTCGCACATGAAATTTCACAAATGAATGCAAGTGTACTCCGTAGAAAGTAGAAAGTAAGGTACAAAGCCTGAAACCGTCGTGCCGAATTCCCGCGTCCCGCGTCGCCCGATACGGCACTCCGACACGGGAGTCCGACTCAGACCGAATGAAAGTCGGCAGGGGGGCCAGACCAAAGCCGACCAGCCAGCTCGTCTATCACCTCCAATAATGTGCGCATGAGCAGGCTCAATAATTGGGGAAAAGAAAATCTCATCAAACGTCAGAATGGGTAGTAGTCTCGCAGCACAGACGCGCGGGACCAGCTTCCGATACTGGCGATGACGAGATGGCTATTGCCAATTTGAATACAAGTACTCCGTACGTTAAGGTCATGGGAATGATAGTCGCGAGCTTTGACCAGCTGGGAATTAACTATCTCCACGATAGCTAAACGGATACTCCGTAAAAGTACGACTATGGAGATAGGTTTGGCGAGAGAGAGAACGGATACTCCGTACGGAGCTGGACAAGTACGGGGCACCCACACTCTACTGGGCACGGGTGGACGGGATCCTCTCAAG